GGCCGGATTTGCAAGAATGACTACGTAACAAATTGAGAAGGCACAGCAAAACGAGCAGGACAGAAGGCTGCGCTAGCCGTCTACAGAAACAAAAGCTCACCAAGTCTAAGCGGTTGCTACATTCAGCTGACGGATCCAGCCGCTCTCTACACGGCGATCTAGCTGAGCTGGTCCCTCTTCTTAGAGAGTAGCTGAATTTAATTCCAAGTATAGTAAATAACCCTCTCGACGTTCATTCTCCAGTTTGATGAAGCTTGCTACATGAAAGAGTAGAGCTTAGACTACAGCCGTGCAAGGTCCGAAGTCTATGCAGAAGAGATTGCGTCCTCTAGAAGCGATTAAATTTCGAAATACCGGCGATGCGAAGTGAAGTAACAAACTCGCCACCTTCTTGCGGCTGCACATGAAAGAGTATACCTTGTTCAGTCAACACGCAATAGAACGAGGCTGTAGCATTAGTCTAGGAGTTGCAAAAGCTGATTGAAATTCGAAAAACTGGCGACAAAACTCGTAGCTGAATGCAACTCCAACCAACCCTGCCTACTCCACGTATTTACTAAACTCTAGGCGTAAAAAACTCTCCATAAAAATCGAGAACACCCGTCGACTGAAGCCAGTCAAGAAATTGCCACTTAAAGTTTTAAAAGTCGACGTTTCATCTTAAATTTGCGCGTCGGGTTGAACTCATAAAGAGGAGGTCTGTGCGCAGAGGCGAGTAAGAGGGTTCTGCAGTTAGCTACTGCACTTACTCCTTTATCCTACTACTCGCTATCACGGCCCAGACTCGCCTAAGCATCTTTTCCCACCTACCTGCGCCTTTGTTAGACAGGAATCCGGTCGGTTTCTACTTTGGGGAGGACTAGCACGTTTCTGTCGAGCAAATGCCTACATTTGGAACAAATATTATTTATATAGCGCACGTATTCACTTTGCTTTGAGCCTGCTGCTACACGCAGAGTGACGCCGTTACGCCTATATAAGGCAAGAGCATCACTCGAAAGTCACGTGCAGCAGGTCTAAGCGCCCAAAACACCACTTCCGAGTCTAAGCCGTTTGCATGCACAGATACAAGATTGTCTCCTACATGATCTGTATTAAAAGGTACGAGTCAAGTAGAGCAAAGTTGAGTGAGAAAAAGCCTTTTAAAGTTCGGAAAACCGAGCTCCGTACTTTGTGCCGGCTCTAACTTGTTAAAAACAAGGCGTTTAAAGGCTAAGACTAGCTGCACATAATTTGCGAGTTGTCTACGCTCGCTACGTAGCAGCCGGCCCAAAGCAACGTAGTAACGTGCACTATTTATAACAAGAGCGTTCTAAACTTAGGAACGTCGTAGGCAAATTTGTGCTAAATAACCCAAAATAGAAACCTTCTGGTTTCCAGTCTAGTTAAGGCGTAGGTGGGCAGGAAAAGCTGGATAAAAGAGTAGGAGCAGCAGCTAACTACTAGATTATAGTACTCGCCTATACGCACAGACCCCTCTTTTTCGTGTTGCGAAGTCTTCGCAAGTGAAGGCTAACTGTAGACTAAGAAGAGCCGTCTTAGCTTCAGAGATGTAGAATTGAGCGTCTCTTGTGTACCAATTGCATCAAATGATAGTTTGGCTTTTGTTGAATCACATACGAAACTTTGAGAGCCGTCCGATTAGAAACGAGGCCAGGAGAGCCGTTCAAAGTTCGGAATCACGAGCTTGATCATTCACGAACGAGCAGCGGCCTCGCTAGATGAGGCTTCGATGTATCCTACATTAGATGTACGCCTAACATTGAACCATCCAACGTTCGGAATCACGAGTTTAAGCATCTTCGAACAATCGACTGCATATTTAGTTCGCTAGATAAAACTTCGACGTATCCTTTGTCAAATGCAAAAGTTTTAAGGTCGTACGTCTAAGGTTGAAGCTAGGAGAGCTATTCAAATTTCGAAATCACGAGTTCACGCATCTTCGATCAGTTGACGATTTAGCCAGACGAAACTCCAAGATGTTTTATGTTGGATGTAAAATTTGAAGGTCGTACGTCTATATTGAAGCTAGGAGAGCCGTTCAAAGTTCAAAAACCCGGACCGTAGTTAACTTGGTAGGCGAAGAAGGCATCGCGGAAGGCCGGAGAAAAGTTCATATCAATGGATGTTTACTACGCTCATCAGGTGGAGGGCAAATTGACGATGAAGAAGCTCGTCCATGGAGCAATATCATTCACAGCGCGAGGGAGAGCACGAGGAGGATAGCATGAACAGCAAGGCAACGAGCAGGACTGGCGGACCCTGCGGCCGATGGCGACGAGGAATAGGTGGGCAACTCCGGCCAGCTACCGTAGTTTAGTCGTAGTATGAAGACTTCATGAGCATGATCGTACCAATATCTTTCTTGTTCCATTCTTTCCACCGCCAACAGCGAGGATGAACTGAGCCGTAATATCCAAGCCAGGTAATGGCGAGATAGGGAGGGCATCGCAGAAACTGTACATCACTCGGCCCTGTTTATGCCCTCCAGCGAGGATAGGGAGAAATCCAATCTATCGAGATCGAGCTAAGTGAAGTCATAAGAAACTTCAAGGTATGTCGCAACACATATCAAACAACTAAGGCAATCCATCGAGAAATCGGCGAGTTACTGGCCTTCAAAGTTGGAAAACCCGAGCTTTTTTAAATGAAAAAAAGAAGTCCAATGTACTACTAGGATGTATTTAAAAAGCGTGCAGCCTCTAGTGCAGTGAGTAGTGCAGTCGCTTATGAAAAGTCGGAGAGATAGCAGTTCTCGACGTTCCACGTAGAGCGAGAAGACTACGAATCCCGTCAAAGCCCCTCAACCCCGCCCAACATCCCCCGCTGACGAACAATTCGCGCCCTACGATCATTTTGTCACGCTATACAACATTCATACCAGACTTCCAAACCCGCACTCTTCGAGTCACAGGACGGCCATGTCCAACATCGAGTGCGGTCGACAAGCGGCCAAGCACTTTGCCTTGGGCGAAGGTTATAGAAACCTCAATCACGGTATGTTCCTTTTGCATGCCCTCCCACCACACTCACACCTCCCCAGGCTCGTACGGCACGTATCCCACGGCGATCCGAGACGTCCTGCGGCACTATCAAGAAAGAATCGAAGCTCGCCCCGATGCCTTCACTCGCTACGAATACCGCGAAGGCCTCCTTGACCAGAGCAGAGCCGCCATTGCGAAGTGTGTCAACGCTCCTGTGGAATCTTGCGTGCTCTTGCCGAACACATCATACGGTATCGACGCTGTACTCCGAAATTTGATTTAGGGTGATTGCATCATCAGCTTTTCCACAATCTACGGCGCCTTCGCAAACACTCTGACATACCTCTCCGAAACCACACCGGTCGGGATAAAGCAGATCAATTACACTCTACCCCTTGAAGACGACCAGCTATGCGACGCCTTCGAGGACACCATCAAAGCCCTCAAGTCCTCTGGCAAGACCCCACGCGTTGCAATATTCGACACCATCAACACCCTTCCCGGAGTGCGAATGCCTTTCGAACGACTTATCAATATCTGCAAGACCCACGACGTACTCTCCGCAGTTGACGGTGCTCACGGCGTGGGCATGATTCCCCCAAATCTCGCCGCTCTCGATCCAGACTTCTTCGCCAGCAACTGTCACAAATGGCTCTACACCCCACGAGGATCAGCTTTACTGTACATGCCGAAACGAAACCAACATCTGCTACGAGCCACATTTCCAACGAGCTTCGCATTTGGCAGCACGTTCGCCGCAAACTTCGCCTCGATCGGTACCCTTGACGAGAAACCATATCTTACCGCCCTGGAATGGCGCCAAAGGATCACGCGGGAAGGCAAAAGTGGTGAGGAAGCCATCATGGGCTATATGGCTTCACTGGCGCGGCGGGGTGGCAGAGCAGTTGCGAGTCTGCTAGGAACTGAAGTCCTGGAGAACGCAGGGAACACCCTCGGCGAATGTAGCTTGACGAATGTCCGCCTTCCCTTGGATTTCCACTTTTCGACCGGCGGCGACACCTCAGTGGCTGAAAAGATAGGCCAGTGGATGATGCGGACCATGATCCTGGATTGCGAGACCGCTGTCAATGTCATCGTGTATGCGAATGCCTGGTGGGTCAGGCTCTCTAGTCAAATCTACTTGACCATGGACGATTTTGAGTATGCTGGCCAGATGCTGCAACAAGTCTGCCTGAGAGCTGAAAGAGGAGATTGGAAGCATTGAATTCATTCAAAATCGATATCATTACCGCTTAAAATTAGCAAACGCCGAATACCCTGCATTGATCATGTCTCGAGTCGCCATGTCTGGATCACCTCCAGTAGTGGGCCGACCTGCCTCAGCAGACGACCTTCCTGCAGGTGTCACTTCGACGACTGCAGGCGGCTTCGACGTTGCCGTGCCTTTTGGTACGTTGTAACCATGGTATTTGGCCGACCCATCAGAGAATGAGTTCAATCGGACCTCGTAATTGCGGTCCTCATTCTGCCCTCCACTCCTCAACATTGCTGAATGTCGACCATAACTACTGAACTTCTTCCCAGTAGTCAGAGTATAAGAACGTTGGATCAGACCAGCAATGGCAGGCATACAAGCACACACCACGCCCAGGTTGATCTCTGTGTTACTCCATATGGCGATGGGGTTGTATAGCCAGGTCACGTTCGGTGCGCTGCCCCAAACGGCCAATGTCCTCAGTCTGATAATCGAACACAGCGTGACGAACAGGCCGATGCAGAAAGTTACGCATACGGCGACCTTCTTCCTCGTGGCGATGGAGAGCGACCATAGCTTCGGAATCGGGAGGAGAATGACGGCAAAGTCGAGGATGATGTTGATCGCCGCGGTTGCGAAGATCAGAGCATTCAGGTTGACGCACGTTCCCCTGCGAAAGCTGTCAGTGACTGTCTGGAGATGGGATTTGAGAGATACACACTGATGCTGACCATCCCATCGAGTCCAGGAAAAGGATATCGGATGGCATTGTACTCCAAGGACGATGATGCAGATGGCTGTAAAGACGGAAAGCAAAGCAATGAGGACAAAGCATGCTTTTCGAAACCAGGTCGAGCCGGCTCTTTCTTCCGGCCACATCCGGAGATAGAGTAGGAGAATCGATATTTTGACGAGGGCTACCGAGACCACGTACGTGTACTCCGACACATAAAAGAGGTACAGGATCTTGGTAATTTGATGATTTGGGTCGGACAATATCCAGATGCTAATGGCGAAGGTCAGCAAATGTCGCAGGCACGAGGCGGAATCTCTCCTGCCCATTAGTATACTTACTCCTGCCCGAGCCCAGTATCAGCCATGGAGGTGAGTATACCATCAGAAGGTATCAGCAAGATCCAGCAGAGGAGAATAGTCCAATCGTCCCAGCCAAAGCCGCTGCCGTTTAAAGCTGGAAGTCGGGACAAGAATCTGGAGATGAGGCCAATCGTAGCGAGTGTGAACATCGTCCAGGATACTCGCTTGGTAAGTTCACTGTGATCACGGACTGGTTCTCCGCAGGTGATTGCAGAGTATCTTCTTGCCTCTGAGACACTTGTTAGCGTAGTCATCACTACCCCGTCCATCGACACCCACCCAGGGAGTCAACCACTGTGCAGTTGGCAGTCAAGCAAGCCGTGACCGCATTGGTGTACGGCACGCTGGTGCAAAGACATGCTACGTCCTTGGGATCGCAGCCCGATGCTGGCAAGCCCTGTGCAATGCAGGATTGCTATCCACGATGTCAGCGAGCATTACAACAACGTTGCTTGGTTCAACCCACCGAACATGTTGATAGAGATGGTAGTTGCGATTGTCGTGGAGCCAGGACGTTGCCATGAGATCGAATTATCGCCCCCTGCACCTCGAGCACAAATACCACAACACCGACAATGTACCGGAAGAGGAGCATCGTGTGTATGTGGGTCGCAGTGAGCGAGAGTGTGTATTTTCACGATTGATCAATCGAAAGGGAGCGATCCTTGATAAGAACGCCTCCTCCACTCATCCGTTCCTGACTAACCCCTCACAAGGCGCACAAACTCCCAAATGTCAGTGGCAAAGTATGTCCAGGATTCTGTGCAGCTATCAATCTTTTGTGCGCTCGCAAGCGAAGTTATACCGGGATAGAAGCTGCGCAGGGGGGGGGGGTTCCTGTCATTTCATCAACTCGTTGAGAACATGGCAATGCGGATAGCCAAGGCCGATGTCTGGACGGCACGCCCAGTGGCTTCAGGCGGCGTGCTGCGGATAGTCTTCCGTCGCAAAAAAATGAGGAACTCCGTACTTTAGCGACCGTTCGAGGCGTTTCGATACTAGCGCGTGGTGGAGGATCGACAAGGCCTAGCCGGTGCCGTCGTGCGGCACAGGAACGCCTCGCCTGGGGTGTTTGCTACCTGCCTCCGCTGCCTACTATATATCAAGCGCATGAAGAGGAGTTCCGCATCGAATAGGAAGCTGAAGTGTAATTTAACTTTAAGCTTAGACCCTAGCATGTGCAGGTGAAACATAAGGGCTCATCAGCCATACACGTGAATGTATTTCTGGACACATGGCTTTGATGAAGACAACAACCGCTAACGTCAACGTTTGGACCGGCGTCGACGTTGGACATGCACCAAAAATTCGCAATCACCTTACCCCTCCGATGTAACATTGAGAGACGACCTGAATCGTAATGATTGCAAGAAGCGAAACCCGTTTTCAAAGTAGAAGGCTACATGGTGGGAGTTTTGTAGTATAATACACTATCAATGTACTTCAGAAGAGAGAGATATATCCGTCTTAAAAGTTCTCGCCTGGTCCAGTTGGGCTGTATTTGTGGCCAGGATACTTGTTGAACCTGCAATGGAATTAGCGATAGCATAGGCAACGAGTGTGCGAGACTCACAATGTCTGATCAAACTTCTCCACCACAGGGCAATCAAGGTCTTTGATGATAGGCGAGATGGCGTCCCTGACAAGGCCCGTAATGGCAGACACCTCGCTGAGCAAGAGATTGGCCGAGTCGGGAATCAGTGACTGAGCCAGCTGTGCGTAGAAGCAAGCAGCTCGGGGATTGTCGATGTCGAAGAGATATTCAGCGTTCATGACACCTCCAGTCAGATCTTCCAAATTGACGCCAACGTAGGAGTTGACTCCATTCACGTTGCCACCCAACTTCAGGCTCTCGGGATATGCAGAGTATTGAACGCCAACATCCGAGTCTGCGTTGGGAACGTCGTACAATGAGATGGTAGGTCTGGACAGAATGATCAGCACGTCCAGTATACCAGAAGACGACTTCCCTCTCTTCTTACCGGCGATACCAATTATCAGGAATTCTCTCCTGACCTGGCTTCCACTTGAAGGCAGGGTAGTTTCCAGTCACTGCGAAGAACTCCTTGAAAATCTCTCCATTCAGATAGCCGCTCGGCTCCTCAGCACTGTGGTTGGACATGAGGTTGATAACGAAGATGTATGCGGCCGGGGCCACGACGACGCCAGAGAACGGAGCCGAGAAGAAATATGGGTTCAAGTCGACGGAAGATTTGCCCTTGGCCAGGAAGTCCTGAGCAAGGCCATCCAAAGTGTATCTGTCGTTGTCCATGCCGGTCGCGTAGGCGTACGCAAAGCGGGAGATATCCAGGCTGTGAGCGTCACCATTCTACTCCGGCGTTAGCCAGCAGCACCGTCGAGTCTTCAACATTCAACTCACATTCGTGTACGCATCCGGCCGTCCAATAGACATATCGCTTTCGTAAGTCTACCGCATGTCAGTATAGATCTGGGGATACTGAGCGAGAGACATGCGTTGTGTGCGTATGAGATACCCTGCGGTTGTCCAAGAATGTTTTTGGTGAGCCCATCTGAGGCAGGAGCACCACCGATACTCCAAGTCTGAAGCACAGGATCTCCATTCATGATGATAGCGTACGCAGCGAGGAATCCAGACAATCCAGGGCCCATACCGAAGGCAGCCTCCATCCCGACAATGGTTTCAGTCAGAGTGGTAACACCACTTCTGCTCAAGTATCCGTGGTTGGCGGCAGCGTTGAGTCCTGGACATGGACCTCTGATGTCGCCTGGTTCTGGGCTGGCGTATGCATGATCCTCCGTCGTGCTGACATACTGATCGCGTGCGTCAAAGGTCAGACAAGGGATATTGCCACAGTTCGTTCGTGCCTTGCTAATTTGTTGAGCGACAGATGTGACTGTCGTTGGAACCTGGCGCTTCGCAGCTACATCGTCCAGCGCGAATGGGTATGCGAGGATCTGCGCACAGAAGCTGAGAAAAAGAGCCGTGTACTTCATATTTGGAAAAGCAAAAGAGAGGAAGTAGAGAAGGTGAACAGCCACTAGCAAAACGAATGGACGTAGCACTGCTACGAGGAATGATCTTGTTGTCTCCGTGGACAAAATGCACCACACCGAAGGAGAGGGAAGGAAGCGCTCATATCGAAGTATACTAGGCGCTTCTCGCTAACCTCGTATTCTCGATCAACGGATCCAGTCTCTGGATTTTTGATGACCGAGCTGCCAAGTGTGAAGATAGGAGCAGCTTTGCCAGGATAGATGCGACTCTTGCAAAGGCGTTGGAAGATGTAACCACGCGAAGCCCCTAGCGTAAAGTGGCAGCCGTAGCGGAACGGGTGTGCAGTGATCGACGCCACCGCGCCTCATCCTCCTCCTCGCCCTCCTCGCGCCACGGCCCTTTTCTGTTCACATTGAACATGTCTCCCAAGCCTCTTTCAAGCCTGGACTTTGGCATGCGAACTTCACTGGCCATTGGAACACCACTTCAACGGAGACAAGCTGATTCGGGTTCGACGGGGAGGATGAGCGAACCTCCGCAGAATCTCGCGTGCCAGCATCCAGCGGTCCGTCACTATTGCTACCATGGAATGAGGTCGCGTGGTACACTCGTGGAGGACTTCAGGAAGCCGGAGCCAAATTCTCGAGTGGCGTGATCCAAGCAGTGGGCATCCCCAAAGCTCCGTGAAATCGAATTGCAGCCTACCGTAACGTCCGGACACACAACAAGAACGGTATAAGGTGGTCTGCAATGGCCGTGGCCTCGAGAGTCGGATAGGGACAAACACTCAACTAACCGTCCCCCTCTAACGAGAAACATTCTGCCCCATAGGCCTCCCCTTCTCAAACCACGCTTTCAACATGTCAAGATCACGCTCATCAAGCGCAGGGTCATGAGTTCCATGCCTGGCGACCAAGAACCCAGCCAAGTCCCCCTTGCCGGCCGCCTTATCACCAGGCTTTCCACCAGCCTCATCAACCCATTCATGCTCTTCCAACAGGCGATCACGATTGGCAATGCTTGGATCTGCGCAGAAGCGTTGCAGCAAGTCGAGGCCGCGGTCGTCGAAGACCGCATCGTTCTCGGTGCCGTGTCCATTAATGATGGAGGCTGCAAGTTTGTGGTCGTCGATTTGTTCGCGGGTGTTCCAACCTGCCGGTGCCATTGCTGTTGAAGGTCGATGCGTTAGCCTGGTGGAGAGCCCATGTACGTGATACTATACCGGTTGATACTGGAATGGATCTGAAAAGGACGGATGAGGTTTGTCTAGAGGCCTAGGCAAACAGTGGGGTCAAATAAGTTGCGACGCTCAGGTTATCCAGTTGCCTCCAACGGATCATCCTGCTGCCTAAGCAGATAGGATGGCCTCGGCTTTGCATTCAGGTTGCTGTGACAATCCTGCAGGGTCAACATATTGTGAGATACCTCAGTGGCTCGACAAACGAACCTGCGATCGGAATACCGGTGATAGGACACCAATGTCGCTCGGATCCAAATCGCTATCTACGTATGACCGTGTCTCATCAGCCATCTGCTGTCGTAATTCAAATGAGTGTGTTCCAAGGTCGCAACTCCAAAAGCAATACCACCATACCATCCAAACCGTCCAAAAGATTGTTTCTTCACATCATCACCATCACCCCAACCAGACAAGACATGTTGAATGCCCATCGTCTCATCAACTCTTCTATACAGAAGCAGCAGACTTCTCATCCCCTCCGTCATCATTTTGTCTCACTTTTCTCGCCTTTCTTGCTCGCTTGACAGCCTTCCAGCTTTCCACAAGCGCAACAAAGCTGACAACACTCCCAAACACCAGACCCCATTCCCAGCTCAATGCCGAATGTCGGAAGACGATCCTGTTCACAACAGGTATGTAAATGATTGGGAATGGCGTCACAAGCCCAGCCATGACAGCCCAGAAGAGGAATCGGTTGCGAGTGACGGTGGAGAAGAATGATAGTCCACCCCGCTTGCCTTCATTGGGATACATGTTGAATAGGCCGAAATCCAGATGTTTGGCCTCCCATGCCATGACAGACAGCAAGACAGTGAGAATACTGTACGCCGTTCCACGAGCACGATAAGTAAGGCCGCACGTGTCGTTGTAGCTGTGGTTGCAGTCATCCCCAAGATCGCCATTGCCTACGCCGTAGGCAACGATGACGAAACTGACGAGGCACAGACTGCCCATGCAAGTGCCGTAGATGAATTTGTCGATGATGAGTTCCGCCGTGAACACGCCTTTCTGCATGGGATGCGGCGGCCTAGTCATGACATCGGCGGATCCTTCCTCCAGGCCAAGGCCGATGGCGAGGAAAGACGAAGATACCAGGTTGGCGAAAAGGATTTCCAGCGGCGAGAGCGGAAATACAGAAACATCATTCCTGTCCTTGAAAGCCAGACCGACAAGCAGAAGGACCACCTGCGCAATGTTGGAGATGAGGAGATGCAACAGAAATTTGCGGATGTTGTCAAACAGGCGACGACCCTCACGGATGGCGGAGATGATGGAGGCAAAATTGTCGTCGGTAATGACCATGTCTGCAGACTCTTTGCTGACGTCGCTACCAGATCCCATGGCAACACCAACATCCGCGCTTTTCACAGCTGGTGCGTCATTGACACCATCACCGGTCATGGCGCAGTACTTTCCTCTGCGCTTCAGTGCACTCAGCATTCGCGATTTCGTTTCCGGAGCACAGCGGGCTAGAACCAGTGGTAACTCGGGCATCGCATCTACTTCTTCTGGGGACATCCTGTCAAAATCGGTCGCCAGCATAACAGCATTTGGACCGGAGGAGCCGGGTACGGATGGCGCCAGGATTCCAATTTCTCGAGCAATCGTCGTCGCAGTCTTGAGATGGTCGCCTGTGACCATGTGTACAGTAATCCCAGCAATCTGGCATCTTCGTACGGCTCCTTCAGATTCAGCGCGAGGTGGATCGTAGATACCCACAATGCCTGCAAACTCCAGACTCTGCTCGACGAAAGCACGGTCACCAACTTTGTTGACGTCCTCATGGGCCATTGTTCGATGCGCCAGGCAGATTACCCGAAGCCCCTCCGCCGCCATGGCCTCAACTTGGGCACTAATAGCGTTTGCGGTGGCCTCGTCCACGTTGGTCAACGGCAGCAAGACTTCGGTAGCGCCTTTGGTGAATACTGTTGTCCCTCCGTTTGGATCTCCCTCATAAACGATAGACATTCGCTTGATTGACGAATCGAAATCGTGCTCTGCCAGCAACTTCATCGCTTCACCTGCGATCGTGTCTCGCTTGCCTGAGCCCGCTCTCATCGCCATCACTTGCAGAGCGATTTCCGTAGACTCGCCCGTCGCGGTCCAGGAATCATTAGCCTCATTAGGTCCTTGTATTTCGTTCACCTGTGCGAGATTGCACAAGGCAATGATTTGGAAGAAGCGGTGGAGCTCGAGATCATGGAAAATGGCTTCCTTCTGAAGGTGGACATCATCGACCTTCAAAATACCAACTGTTGGGTCAACAGGACTGGACTCGCCTTCGACCACAATGAAACGCCCGCTCGGAAGCATCGCCTTTCTGGCAAGCATTTTCCCTTGAGTCAATGTACCGGTCTTGTCCGAGCAAATGTCCGTGACTCCACCAATGGCTTCAAGCGACTTGGTTTGCCTCACAATGACATTCCCTCTCGCCATCGCTTTGGCCCCTACCGCCATTGTGATGGTGAGGACCGCAATAAGAGATTCGGGGATCACTGCAACAGCAACGCAGATTCCGTAGATGACCGTCTCGTCGTCCAGATCCCACAGATTCACAGAGAAGACGATGACAGCCAGTAGAATTGCCAATCCCAGGAGGAATAGTGCGAACCAAGAGAGCTTGACCGTCAGAGGGGTACCTGTCAATCCGAGGGCACTCTTGATCGGACGCAGAGCTTTCTGGCCGTAGCGAGCAGCCGTGGACATCTCCTTTTTAGGATCATCATCATCCAGTTTGGGCCTGACCTGGTCAGCGACATTTCCGACCTGAGTTTTCATGCCTGTGGCGACAACAATGCCCGTCCCGCGGCCGCGATCGACCGTGGTCGAAGAGTAGACCATGTTACGACGGTCGCCGAGCGGCAGTTCGAGCTTCTCTGAGATGAAGCACGAATCCTTTGGTGCCAGTTTGGACTCTCCAGTGAGAAGAGCCTCTGCATCAGCCATGTTCACGGTACTGATGAGGCGAATATCGGCGGGGACCGTGCTGCCATGCGACAGAGTCACAATGTCACCGAGGACGACATCTTTGCTCCTCACGGTTTCTTCGCGACCTCCATCACGGATTACTTTGCAGTCTGGTGCAGCAAGTGCTTGTAGGCTGGCAATGGTTTGCTCTGCTCGGTAGTCCTGGAAAAAGCCGACAACTACATTCAAGCAGATGACGGCCGTGATCACACCTCCCTCGATATAATCTTGAGTACCGTAACTGAGTGCCATAGCAATGACCAGAACAATGGTCAAGCTATTGGAGACTTGGCGAACCAGAATATCCCACCAGGTGAAACCTCCAGACGACTTCAAGCAGTTTGGCCCATACACCTCAAGTCGGCGAGCGGCTTCGTTCGAAGTCAAGCCATTTCTATTACTCATCAGCAATCCATTCTCTGCTCGCAGTCCGTTCACTTACACAACGTCTGTTTTCAGAATGCTTTCCACCTGCTCTACAGGCAGAGTATGGGCGTGGGCATAGATGTTCTCATCGTTGACATCGCCATGAGAAGGATTGATTGAGGGAGTTGGGTTGGTACTGCGGGCTCCGTCCAAGTGCATACTGTTCACTTGAACAGACTCCTTGTAAGACGAGCCCGCGTTCGGTATGTCGGGCGGTGGCTCTTCGCCATTGCCGCTGTCATCAGCGGGTACGATGCCGCCATGGTGCGTGTTCGAGTGGTGCGTCTCGACATCGACGTTGGAGGACACAGAGGGTTTTTCCATCAAATATCAACGATTCTGCAATGAACAATGAAGTGGAATGAGAAGTGAGATCAAGCAGACCGTCGGTTTTAGCTCCTCCACGAGGTGGCACGCGGGAGATGGGCGATCTTTATGGGATGGAATCGCTTGCTCGCCACGGAGGGGAAGACTGCACGTGGATAAGACATGGGTGCGATGGCATGCGTGGCCAGTCCTGGCATCTTCTGGGCGCTGCACAGCTCCGCAACAGGTGTAGTGCGCATCTCGCCAAGCTACTCGATGCATGGCAAAGAGCGCGTGGCACGCCAGCTGCGGGCTGCCTTCTTTGTTCTGCTTTGTTGTTGCGTTTGACCTCCTGACGTTGTTTGTCAAAGTCCTGGCGATGAGGCTGCCGTGTGGGCCATCTCCTAGACAACGCTGCGCCGTAGATAGAAGCACAGGAGGAGGAGTTTGTTTGTCAAGACGCAGAGGCGAGAGGAGTTGACGTGACGTTCCAAAACAGTGGGCCTTGATCAGTCTAGTCCCGGTAAAGTAGTTTTCTAACCGATTTAGGACAGACGCCAAGGAGACGTGATTCTCTGCGCGCTCTCTCTCCTCACGTCTTTTGTCCACCTCGCTTCATCGGTACGTACTAGATTTGGTGCTGCCATCAGCAAGGTATGCCACTTCTGACACATCATGCAAGGCGGGCATAACAATAATACATGAGCAAGATGTACAGTCCCGGAATTCGGCAAACGCTCTGGTCAGCTCCTTGCGCCATGCAGATTCGGCTGCAGTCGATTACAGCAGCTCCCCGTGGTCAGGTGTCTCTGTGAGGGCGAAGGAAATACTATGGCTTGGATCTTGGCCAGCATCTCTTTACCCGGTCCCCTTGATGGCTCCTTCTGGCAGCATACTCGCTCGCCCATAGTGATGCTGCCATCGGATCAGCGCCATATCCTCCAATGGCCTCGAAGCAGCACTGACGACGTACAATCCTTGATTCTCCAGATCTACGTCTGCAGTTTGCTCAGTGGCCTTCGTCATTTAAGTGAGACTTAGAGTGTTGAGTGGTCGATGAACGAGCGGTTCCTTGGCGTTTCTTGACGACAACATTCGCCTGTACAACCTGAGGCCAGCCAAGATTAGCCATGGCCAACGGAGCGACCAACCAAACACTTCACACCAACTCTTATCTTCCGCGGTAGCGTTATGGCTTGTCGCCAGGCATTATGGCTTCCAAGCAAGTCGACTCCGAGGGGCATGCCCTCGTCGAACTGGATCGCCCACGAAGGCTTTCTGCGGCGCTTGGAAAGTGGCGTGGACTTTTTTTCAGAGCAAACAGTGAGTCTATCTGCATCATGTTAGCTTGGAAGCCGCGGTCTGCCCTCCTGCCTACCTCTGCAAAGCTCAGCCCTTTTGTCTCTGGCACGAGGAAGAAGAAGGCCACGCAGAAGACGATGCCAAAGCCCATCCAGATGAACCCAACCTTCAAGCCGAGATTTCCAGCATCAGGATTGATCATATAAGGGATAGTGAATTGGCAGCTCCAGCTCCTGATCACAATCAGTGACATTCCGCTACTGTCACCCGCTACCTCTTACCCAAGTGATATGGTTGCGCTGAAGAGAGATTGAACTATGGGCCGCAACGGTGGCGAAACAACTTCTGTACCAACTGCGTACACCACAGGTCCAAGTGTCAATTGGTATACGACCGCCCTGTGCTCTGTGAGTTAGCGCAACAAATGCCACCATCTTGATACACTTACCAGACGAAGAACATTACAATTGCCGCCCACAGCGCGGCCGTGCTGTCGACGCATCCCATAACGCCTATGATCAGCAGGCAAGCTGTCAGCAGGCGCACTCCCCAATTCAAAAGTATTCGTCTCCCCAGAGCTTCGATGGCGAAGAAGGATACCAAGTTGGAGAGAAGCATGACTGTCTGCAGTATCAGAGAGACTGTGAAGAACTCGTGCACTCGAAGGAGGCCAAGAAAGTACGTCGTGTAGCCGACGACGAAGCTTGCGCCGACGTAAGGCTGGCTTATTGCCAATGTCATGGCGGTGATCGTACGTCTGCGATCTGTGTTTTGAAAGCACTGACGTAACAAAGATCCGCGCAAGAGCGTCTTGCTGCGTATTTTCTCGCACTCATCGGCAGTCTTTCGCAGGCGGTTCAGCTCGGCATCAATGAGGGCCAGGTCATGGTGGCCATGAAGCCGCACCAGAGATCTTCTCGCATCTGCTGTTCGCTTCTGTTGGAGTAGAAAGTAAGGCGACTCCGGGAACCAGTGCCAGAACAGGCACAAGATGGCTGGGAAGAGAAATTGTATCATCAGTGGAACCTTGTAAGACCAATGGCCTGCCATCTCAGACGTTCCGCGACTAATCAGGCCCAGCATGAACTGTGCAAAGGTGATTGAGATGTTCGTCAAGCACAAGAAGAATCCTCGAAGTTCTTGCCGGGCATTTTCGCCGATCCAGACGGGGGCAACAAGGTACGAGGAACCGAATCCAATGCCTAGCCACCGAGAGTCAGCTTCAATTTCGACATTCTGACAGCATCAAACTCCATACCGTTGATGAATCGTCCACCCATGAAGATTCTCCAATCGTCCGAGGAGACTTGCATCGCGAGCCCTACCGCCGCCACAAGGGAAATTGCAAGCAGCACTGGCTTCCTCCCAAATCTCATCATTACCCATCCAGCGCACAGGTTTCCCAGGATATCTCCAGCAGTCGAGCATGCAACAAATCCTGAGAGCCTATTGGCAGGTATTAGGTATCCGCATGGTTGCGATGGATAAGGTACACCCATTTTTCGTTGGAACGCTGGACACGCGGACACGGTCGAGGGGACCAAAACATCGTAGCCTAGCATAAGGGCGCCGACGCAGCAATAGATAGACCAGGCCATAAAACGCTTTTGGTGACGCAGAATTTGCCACCTGTGTTCGGCTTGAATGACGTGCCATTGCGGTGTAAAAGGCATGGTAAGCAGGGTGTTATCAGTGTTTGAAGGTGATGCTGATTTGATCATAGGACGTCGCCACCATATTCATTCTCATGCGGTGCACGAGTGTTGGACATTGAGCATTCTCATTTCACAATTCAATATGCGATGCGCGACCCTCCTGTTGAATTCAGGCTCCAAACTCACTCGGGATCTGACGGAGGCCGGATCCTGGATCAAGCACGTTCAATCCCTGCTTCACGCGTTGAACGAGGATCAATGGAAACCAATATCCTTGTCATAGTCGACCTTCGCCTTTAGGGCAAGTTTTCAGCCAACTCTGGTGGCCTGTTACACATTGCGTGCAGCTGTCCGGTCACATTGCATGCAGCAAGGTCGATGTGAGAGCACTGTTTTGTGCGCATGGAGCCCCAGACCTTCACCATATGCTCCGAAAAGCTTATTGCCTCCAAGAAGGGAAACTTCGCTCCCCTGGAGAACTCTGGGATGCTGCTTGCCACAGTGGATGCACTTGAAGAACATAGGAGACCCTTGTTCGCTGGCGGACGGGTCACCTGCCTTTCGACGCTCGTAATTGGCTACGAAAACTCATCCGTGTGGTCACTGAATCAACCGTCTCCTCTTTGTTCTTTTCGATGGTGCATAACCAGGCTCAGTGAGCAATGAGGTCTGATTGAGGACCGGAACATTCATCCATCCGTTTTCATTGGAAGAGATGCTCGTGCGAGGACGACCAAGAAACACCTGTGAGGGCGAGCGTCGCTTTCGAGAATTGAAAGAACAAACATGCCACCAAGGCTTTAGGTCGAAGTTCGGTAAGATTACAGTAGCAATGGTCGATTCTGCGCTAGCTACTACGTTGTTCTCGGCTTGCGGGGAGGTCACTGCCACGTGCTAGAATAGGTCAGGGCGATCGGTGTATGGGATTAACTACAAGGTGTGTTTGCGAAGTCATGTCTTCTCTCTCATTGGAGACAATCTCTCACTATACCAAGACTTCAATGAAGCCACCAAGTTCGGCACAGTGTGCTTGGCAAACTTGGCACATTCGGTATCCCCCCATTCGACATCGAGCAATCGTCTGTGTCGATCATACCGTGCCACATGGCTGCTCGTGGTCCCGTCTGGAACACGTATCGTCGTCCCGAGGAGGGGAAACAGAACTTGCCCCTTCATCGTCTTCCAAGACACTTTCGGCGAAGCTTATGCTATGAGTGCCATTAATTAGGTCACGTCTGACGTGCGGAGAACTCAGTCAAGACTCTTGTACCGGACTCACGTAAAGCTCTTGGTCTGCGCGAGAACCTTACTCACAACAAACAAGTTCCACCTGCTTGCACAATTTACCATCATGGATGCAGAAAAACGGATTGGTCTGGAACGCCACGAAGACGTCTCTCAAGATGCCGCCGACATACGAAAGAACTCCCTGACAGCTACTCCAGACGACGAGGCTGCCAAAGTGCTTGGAAACTACGATGGCCCGCTCACCTGGACCGACGACGAAGAGAAGAAGCTACGGAGGAAAATCGATTGGAGACTAATGCCTATCCTCTGCATGACATACGGCCTTCAGTACTACGACAAGGCTATGATTGGTCAAGCAGCACTTTTCGGCCTTACAACGGAGCTAGACCTCAGTATTGGTAACCGCTACTCATTCGCCGCAGCCATCTTCTACTTGGGATTCATTGCTGGTGCATATCCGTCAAGCTTGTTGGCTCAAAGGTTTCCAATCGAGCGGGTCGTTTCCGCGACTGTCACCCTATGGGGCATCTGCCTCCTATTGACCATCACCTGCTTCAACTACTAGAGCTTGTATGCACAGCGTTTCTTCCTGGGTTTCCTGGAGAGTGGTGTTAGTCCTATGTTCATGTTGATTGTTGGCTCGTGGTACAAGAAGGACGAACAGGCTTTTCGCATGGGGTAAGATCAGCGACAAGGTAAAGAGAGTCAATACTAAGGCATAGCAGTATGTGGTACAGCTTGACTGGGTTTGCATCCGTCGTATCACCCTTGATCAACTATGGACTGGGTTAGTCTGGCCGCATACTTTGAATGGTGGGACATACTCACTGACATGCCTTTACAGGCCACGTCAACGCGGCACTTTCACCGTGGAAGTATATGTACATCTTCGCAGGATGTAAGCCCAAATGAACGCATTCGCGCAACTTTTGATGGGGCTAATGACCGATCTTGCAGCGCTCACAACTTTCTGGGGCATTGTCCTTCTGGTTCTCTTGCCCCCTGACCCCATTCGTGCACGCGGATTCAACGACCGCCAACGGTACATCCTCGTGGCTCGACTGCGTGTGAATAATGCCGGTGTGAGAAACACGCAATTTAAGAAGGCACAGGCCATAGAGCTGGCCACCGATGTCAAGTTCTGGCTCATCTTCCTCATCGCGCTCCTCAGCATGATCATGAACGGCCCGATCTCAACGTTCATCCCAACGATCATTCACGGCTTCGGCTACAACACTCTCGACTCTCTGCTCTTGGTCATGCCTGCTGGTGCTATAGCAGGAAGCTTGATGCTCTTGATGGGCTGGCTGTCATATCGATTCAGCAAATACAACATCCGCACATGGCTGATCTTTGGCACACAATGTGTGACGATCCTCGCCTCTTCATTGCTGTGGAAGCTAGACCGATCGGACAAAGGCGGATTGCTTTACGCTGTCTATACCCTTTCTGTCTACGGCTCGGGCTATGCTGTCCTCATGGGCTTGTGCATTGCCAACACTGGAGGATACACGAAACGTGCACTCACTTCATCTGGACTTTACGTCGGCTACTGTTTCGGTAAGATCTCAAGCTTTCTGTATGTCCAGCCGTACTCACAATCATACAGGGAACTTCATCGGACCGCTCGTCTTCTTGGAAAGTGAGGCGCCGGTCTACAACACAGGTTTCACGGTGACGACCATCACAGCGTCCATTGCAGCCCTTCTTGTTCTGGTATATCGCTTCGTCTGCATCGTGGACAATCGCAAGCGAGACAAGTCTGGCACGGCAGAAGCATTCGATCATGCCTTTGAAGACCCCACGGATAAGGCGGTAAGTTCATTTTTCAGCACTTTCCACAAGTTAACCCCTCTAACAGATATATAGAACAAGCAATTCCGCTACGTTATGTAGATCTTGAGAAGTCTCGTTCATGTAGAAGATAGCCAAACAACTGCTCGTTCCGTTCTTTACTTTCTGATGCAAGCGAGACGGTCGATGTATGTAAGCTTGTGGTTGACATCTCAGTCGCATCTCTTCTACGTCGGCTTCCTATCCATCTGAATCTCGAGGGCATACCCCTCTTTTGTCACGGGGCGTCCTGGTTTGACGGCATGAAGTGGACTACACCAAGGAAGACTCCTCGTGTCGTCCCCACGGGGCAGAGATGGAGCACGCGGAGAAAAAGCGGATTGAGAACCCACAACGGTACCATTGTTCCACGAAAGAGCTCTGAAATGCCGTGCCTTTGCCGATACCGAGACATGTCGGCATGCTCTTGTACAGACTGCCGATCGGTGGAGGCGGGTCTCACGGCTTCTGTGAACTCCACATCTCGGCACTTCACCCATCCTTCAACGACACGAGGCAAGCCGGGGATATGTGCACGTTATTGCATGCGAGAGCCACGCTGGTCAATCAATCACACCATCAAGGTCTCGTGCCGATTGCGCTATGCCGGATACACAGCTACCAAAGGTGATGCGGGCGTGGAGGAAACATGTTGGAAATGAAGAAGCTGTAAGTGTTGACGATCGAAAGTGTAGAGACTTTCATTCCCAACTGATCGCAACTGTTCAACAGCAATACGATGAGGTGACGGTGCCAAAGACACCTCCAACAGGCTTTCTGTGCAAGATCCTCGCAGCTGGAGTCTGCCACAGCGACCATGCCCTGCTTATCGACAAAGCTCCACGACCTTGGTTCCAAGATCGATATATTCTAGTGAATCAACCCTTTATGCGAACGTACTGGACGAGTGACTAACTTAAGGTAGGGTCATGAAGGCTGTGGCGAGATCATTGATATTGGTCCCAACGTCACAGACAAACGCTTCAAAATTGTAGTGTATCCGAACACATTCTGAAGTACCTGTTGCTCAAGCTAACAAATTCCTCGCAGGGAGACGTGATATCTATGCTTGGTGTTCCTGGCTGCGGCCAGAGCAACTGTCTTGAATGCTCTCAGGATATGCAGCAGCTTTGTACAGTAGGCCATCACTCTGGTATCGGGCAGGACGGGTTCTACGCCCCTTTCGCAACGATTGATCAACGAGGAGCTGTACATGTTCCTCAAGGTCAGCAAGTCATTCCCTCTATCAGAGCTACCATGTGCTGAAGATTGTCTTAGGGGTAAGCCCTCTCGTGGCCGCTGTTGCTACTGATGCTGTCACGACAGCTTACCACGCTATTGTCCGTCGTGGGGAACTGAAGCCAACCGAGACTGTGTTCCTATTTGGCCTGGGAGGCCTTGGCTTCAACGGGTTGCAAGTAGCCAAAAGCATTGGAGCCAGGGTCATTGTATCCGATGTCCGCGAAGAACGTCTTGAGGCTGCGGCTCAAATAGGGATCCCAAAGAGGGACATTGTGCCTGTGGGCACATCGATACAGGAGTTCGTCAAGGAGAACAATCTTATGATTGACACTACGTTCGACTTCGTGGGCATGAATCAGACATTCGAAGATGCACAGCAAATCGGTTAGTATCGCGGCAAGCCTAGTTCTACGAATAGCCTAACCTGAATTGCAGTTCGACGAGGGGGCAAGATGGTGTGCATAGGCACACTGAACTTGGACAACACAGTCCACATGAAGGTTGGCATCCGTAAGCGACTGAGCATTATCTTCTCCTACGGTGGGCAGGTAAAAGATCTCGAAGACGTTCTTGATCTCATTGCGAAGAAGAAAATCACCCCTCAAGTCGAGACTGGAAAGCTGGAAGACTTCCCTCGATGGCTGAACGATTTATGTGATGGGAAAGTAAACGCCAGAGTGGCCTTGACGCCCGATTAGAATTTGATTTGAACATCTTGCCAACCATTATGCTTTTCATGTGATGCAAATTGATGTCGCCACCATCTCTGTTCTTCCCTCTTCCCTCCGCTCGTGTTAGCGTAGAACGGAGACGATCGAAGAACACAGATAGCGTTAAATAATCATGTATATATTTGAAGTTCTATCACGACATGCTTATGTCTTCGTACTCCCTCGCAGCAACGTCCAATATCCTCTTTCTGAAACCTGGACCAGGACCCTGATAACGAGCAATAATCCGATGTTGCTTCCCCTTGACATTGGTATTGACTCCCGTCATCCACGAGTCAATCTCGTTGGCCAGTAGACCTTGGGCGCAATCAAAGACATGCTGCGTCCACTCGTCCACTTTCTTCTGCTTGGCTTCTACGCGGGTGATGTCTTTCTTCACACAATATTCGATAAAGGTACCGATCCAGTTGACCGCATACTCTATCGATCGAGGAATGTTTCCAAACATCTGGTGAGGGCCCATGACCATCATCATGTTGGGAATGCCACGTGTAAGGAATCCAAGGAATGTGCGAGGGCCGTTCTTCCAGACATCCGTGATCTTCACGCCATCCACGCCCCGGATATCAACAGCTGAAATGGGACCCGTGACGGCATCAAAACCTGTTGCGTAGATGAGAGTGTCTAGCTCGACCTCTTCTCCAGTCTCGAGTAGCACCCCCTTAGGAGTGATCTTTGCGATTGGGGATTCGTTTTTGATATCAACAAGTCGCACGTTCGGCTTGTTATAAGCCTCGAAGTAGTGCGTTTCCAGGGGTACTCGACGAGTGCCAAAGCCTATTGCCCAGAGTTAGTCTCTGTTTCTAACTAGCTGGAACTCCATCGTCTTAGTATCAGTCGACGTACCATGACACTTTGGAATAAGCTTCTCAGCTGTGTCCGGGTCATTCACTCTCTCCCTAACTTTGTCCGCGAAGAACTTGCTAACAAGTGCATTGGCTTCACGGGAAGTTCCAATGTCAGAAAAGTTAGATTGCCATTTCTCGAATCCTCTGGTGGCATAAATCTTCTCCCAGTACGCCATACGTTCTTCGTCCGATACGTCGGAGGTTTTCACCATGTGTGGCATGTGAACAAATCCGGAGTAGGACTCCCGGCAACGCTCAAAGATCTCAGGATACCGTTGTCGGATCTCTTGCATTTCTTCCGTTGTGATAGGCTCATTTCGCAGCGGTGCCGACCAATTTGGTGTTCGCTGAAATACGGTCAGAGTCTTCAGGTCGCTCTTCACAATCTCCTGGATGATCTGGATCGCAGTTGCTCCTGTGCCGATAATACCGACCCTTTTGCCAGACGGGCTCCAGTCTTTCGGCCAGCGAGTAGTGTGGAAGCATTCCCGCTCAAAGCCATGGACGCCCTCAATGGTCGTTGGGAGTGTAGGTTTGCTCAATATGCCCATAGCGGTGATTACGAATCTGGATGAATATGTACGGCCTTTGGAGTCGGTAAGGAGCCATGATCGACTCTCTTCTCTCCAGTGAGCTGATTCAACATCCACGTCGAACTTCATGTAGCGCCGAAGATCAAACTTCTTCGTAACGAACTCGGCGTAGCGAAGGCTGCAGGAGATCAGAACTTGATACGCATCCTTGGACGCATCGAGAAACTCACATCTCTGGTTGGCCTGCGAAATGTTCGGACCAATCCCACTCATCGAGTACCTCTTGCGAGAATGAGAATCCATAGCTCCAACTCTCAGAGTCGAATCTGCAGCCCGGATATTGGTTCCTTCAGACAAAGTCAATCGACAGAACCTCGTAAAATACTCTCAACAACGCATACCAATACCATGTTCCACCTTCGCTCGATCCAGTTTCGAGTGCGCAAGTTCGCAACCCAAGCTGTGTCATTCGATAAAGACTGAAAATGCCACTGAGTCCAGCCCCAATAACTATGACATCGTAGTCAAGATCTGGCTCCCCAATGCTGCCCATGATGTGCCCGCGGTATATAACGTCCACTTCTTGCCAGGCTTGCGAGGTTGGAAGTGGCGAAGATTCAACGTCGACGATTGCTTCCAGTGATGTGTCAGGCAGCTATCATCATTCAATGACGAGGCGGGCTTCTTGATGAAGCAGTGCACCACGCCACCCGGTGTGATCACGTTTGTCTGTGCCGCACTGTGAAAGGATTGAGCTTCCTAGCCGATGCATTTGCGGAGTGCAGAAGTGGCCCATATTGGGAAATGCCGGACGCGGTACAGCCTGATGAGGAGAAGGCGATGTGCCTGATGCTTAACAATTGATCAATTGGTTTTGGGAGCAGATAGTATTCATGATACTCCTTTAGAATCGAAGTACGGCTTCAGCTCTTGTAGCCACGCCCAGCGTGTTTGCTTTCCCCAGCCCTTCTCCTTCCACGAATTCAGGCTATGTGGGAAGTGATCGACCACATTTTCCACGTGGAAATCGTGAGCCACGATGACAAAGACATCATCGTTGCAATCCAACTCTTGCAACCATTTGACTGTGTTAGACGCTAACGGTATGTCGTGCCCGAAAGTCATAGTGAAAAGAGTGTCTGTTGGCTCTCGTCCACGGGACTTTTGCAGCTCTTCAAAGGCATGCCCTGGACACAGGGACGTGCTTGTCTGTGGATTGATTGGGTTTGGAGTGATGCTGTCTGGTATTGGCATATGAGGTGAGGGACGCATAAGCCCAGAGTAGTGGCAGACATCGCCTCCCAGCAATATGAATGTATCTGGATCAACGGTCGTTCTCACGATGCCGCATAGGTGGCCTGTTTGACTCGTATTGCATTAGCAGTGTCCTATCTTGTTTATCGATGAGACTAACCAATAGCATGACCTGGCGAATCCAGCAAATAGAACGATCCATCGCCAAAGAAGTCAACTGCAGGGAACTTTCCAATGCGCAAGCTCCCGGCTCCTTCAAAGTCGATTTCTCGAAGGTTTCGGCCCCTAATACGGCCTGCATGAGCAGCTGATAGATATGTCGTCGCATCGACCAACTTACTTCCAGTCGGCCTCTTGCAATGGACTATCAGGGTTCGCAGGAGCACCTGGCAGCATTGCCTCTTTGAACCCGCGGCCAACAATCAGGTCAGTCGACGATGGAAACGTCGACGGGTCGCCAATATGATCCCAATGCCAGTGGCTCCATATTACAGCTTCGATTTGATCGAGCCCAATGCCTCCATCACGGATAGTATCAGCAACATCGCCCTTAAGTCGAATGTTGTACTTCGTCGTGGGAATGTATTCTGCAATCTTGGGAGAATAGTTTTGATAGTCTGATCGAATGCCGAGATCCCAGACGAGTTTCTGCCCGAAGGGTGCTCTAGGAGAAAACAATTTGATGGTACAGCTTCGAACGTCTCCAGGCCAGGAACCGGAGGGGCCATGAATCTGTTCAGAATGGAGGGCCCAAATGTGACCGGATTAATGAGCTTGACGGTGAGGGTTGTATGCCCTGGAGGCAGCCTCACTGGGATATCGTCTGAGGTCTCCATTGTTGCCATGTCGTCTGGTGTTCTTCGAATAGAGGACTCGTTCGAGAAGAGAGAGGCAAGACCACACAAAGTAGCTGGTGTCTCTTACTTCCTGTTATGGAAATCCCAGCGGGGATAATCGGACTTGTGAGGGTGGATAAAGTTCAACGTCAGCTGCACGGAGGGTAAGCTGGGAAGGCGGGGTTGCACATCGTCCAGGCGATTTGGCCCGTTGGATGAGGCTGGCCGCTGGCGGAGGCGAGATGACGGGGCGCTGTGCCGTTCGCTGCAGGGTCAACAACAACATCTGCAGCAGTCAGCGTGCGAGCGCGGTCTCCGACAACGACATCATCACCACCCAGGCTGCGAATCCTCATCGGACAACACCCCCGGCATGAGCGGTAACACGGCCATCTCGTCGAAGTGGACGCAGTACACAATCACCCACCGGCACGAGAAGCGCGCCGAGCTGGTCTGCGAAACGTGCCACTCCAAGAAAATCAAGTGTGACCTGCAGGGGCGACGAAGGAGCGGTATCAACGACTGTTCGTTCTGCAGCCGCTCTGGACGAGACTGCCAGCCACGCGTGCCCAAGCGTCGACCACGCCGGCCGGCAGCAGCCAGTGGAAGCGCTCACAAGGCCAGCAACTCGACAGACGTCGCCGCAGACGTCTCTACCACGTCAGGAGCATCAGAGATCTTGCCCATCACGCCTCGCAGCCATGACGAGGCAGCAAAGCTTTCGGCAGGCTCCGAGACCGACTCGTTCGCGATGATGAGAGGCGACCAGAGATATGGCTCCGAGCAAGCCACGGCACGAAATCGATCCTGGTCGTCAGTAAGTCATTCTAGGCCTGACCAAAATGTACTGCAATTGCCACCGAACGGGTATCAGCTTGAGGCCACTCAGTCAAATGAAGGTCGACAAGTGGTTCGGAGTGCGGACTCGATAGAGGTACACAAAGGGGATGTTGACACCGGTTTCGTACAAGTCTATGGCAGAGAGCTCTTGGAAGATGCCGAAAGTCAAGCGCTCAAGGCGTTCCCTAGAAGATCCTCAGCCAAACCCGATCTGCAGGTGTCTGAGGAGTTACTCAATATCTTTGCGGACACGTACTTCGACGACTGCTACGCTTGGTGTCCTGTGCTGGACCGCGAATCCCTCCATCAAGATCTGGCGCGATCTCCAATGCTGCAGAATGCCCTAGCTTTGCTAGGTAGCCATGTAAGACCACCGATACTGCCTCACGAAGGTCCGGCTGTCCATTACGACCGAGCTAGGAGAATGTTCTACGAGGACGAGGAGCCCGACAATCTCACTTGCTTACGAGGCATATTGCTTTTCAACTGGTACGCCCCTCGATCCACTGCCATGGTTCACCGGCACTCTTCGTGGTGGTGGACGAGCATTGTGATCCGTCAGGCGCAGCAGATGGCCATACACCGTGCTGCTGATTCGCCTCACTTCAACACAGCAATCAATAAGATTGGGCGAAGAGTATGGTGGACGGCATTTGCACGTGAGCGTCTAACAGCACTGTGCCAAAGTAAGCCTCCGATCATTGATCCAAATGATTGCAGCGTACCAGACCCTTCCCTCGACGACTTTCCCCTGGAAGCAAGAAACGAAACAAAGCCGATCATATTCATCCACTGGGTCCAAATATGTGCTATAATAGGCAGAGTCGCACATATGCTCTCTCATCCAACAACCTCCAACCCTAGCAACGTGGCCGATCAACTCAAAGGATGGGTAGGGTCTCTGCCTATCCAAGCCCGTATCTCTTTGGCCACACGATACGTGTCCAACTTTGACAAGGACGCCTACCAGCTACACATTCCATACCTGATCGCCATCATCGTCTTGCATCTCAGACGTATTCGAGAGCCTGGTGCTTTACCACTTGCGTTGCCACCGGCCATCTTCGCTGCATCCTGCCTGGCTCGCATCTTCAAGGGCTTTCTCGCGAAAGGAGATACACGTTTCTTGATGCCAATAACCAGCTGGTATTGTGGCGTCTCCTATATTACCTTGCTTGCAGCAAGCAAGGACCCGAGCTTGAAGGAAGCTGTACAAGCCGACATGGAGATCATTGTCTTGATGTGCGATCAGCTGCGGAAGATGTGGGCATCCGCGAATATAATCTATCTCGGATTCGAACGCCTTCGGGCTATGGCAGAGAACGATAGTAGAGGGCAGAGCGCCTTGTCGTCTGCAAGAGCATCTGTTGCACCGCAAAGCAACGAAACTGCCTTCCAGCGCCCGGAGGAAACGATACCTGGTTCAAGCAGCCTCGACTGGATCGATTACTTTCCATTTGCTGCCAATGAAACCTCAAGGACAGTAGAGATACTACTTGAGCTTCGACAAAAAGACACTTTCAGCGCCGAGAATATGATGTGGGATCCTTCACTTATGGATGTGCGAGATTGGTCCGATGGTCTGCTCGGTTACACCGATTTCAGCTTCGAAAACGAGTTCCTCGACTCGTGGGTAGGCTGAGAAAGTCCATTCGCCATAACTACCGCTTGTATATCTGCGTGGGAACACCGTCCAGCCACTGGTCCTTGATGATGTTGAGCTGTATTGCCTGCTCTCCTGCGAAATACTCACGCTTTCCATCGACATGATCGTCATCTTGGACATCCATGTAGCCTTCCTTAGCCACAGCGCGTGGCACAATCATCAAGGAGTGGCCTTTGAATCGAATCAGCATGACCGGACAACGGCTTCCCACGGAAAAACTTACCATTTATCGACTGATCCGCTGCCAGCCTCTCCATACAACTCGCCACATCCTCAGCTTCGCCAAACCTCACACCGAGATCCATGAGATACTTCTCATACTCCGGCGTACGGATGGCACTCTTGATGTAGTTCGGGCCGATGAAGTTGATCCGGATGCCTTGCTCCCAACTACTGCAGCGTACCGTTCTCATCAAACCGCGAAGTGCATACTTCGAAGCGGTGTACTCCCAGTTACCCTGCAATCCTGGTCAGCAACATCGCAAGGCTAGCCACCGGAGATATCATGGACACGAACTGGCGAGTCGATCCACGCGGTCAAGCTACCCGTCATCATGAAGCTGCGATCTCGATCCATTGGTTGTTTGCGGAAATAATGTGTGGCAAGCTTGAAGGTGTAGAAGGTGCCGTTGACATTCGTCTCCACGATGTTCAGATCAGGCTTGGTTGGAGGCCCGCTAGGGTCTGGGATTCTATGAGCCAAATGTAATTACTGCATCCTCGAGTGAGGGTTCAGAGACTTGCCGTCAAGTTTCCACAAGCTGTCACCGCTGCTCCGACTGATTCCAGCATTCGCAATAACGACATCGACCCCACGGCCTTCACCGGTAGCCGCATCGAATAAAGCAACTTGATCTTCCCAAGACTTGATGTTGCATTTGACGAACTTCAGTCTCCCTTTCAACTCAGCTTCGAGAGCCTCGCCTCGTTTTACGTCCATATCTCCGACTGTGACGAAGGCGCCGTCGATAATGAATCGACGAGCTGCCACCTCGCCCATGCCATTGGCACCTCCAGTGATGATTACAGATTTGCCTTTGATCTTGGATTTATCGACCGGGATTGTGTGGTCGACAGGACCGTTCCATGAATATCGTGGCACGGGAGATTTGGTAGACATGTTGATCAGATAGAGCTGTAGCAGACTTCGAAAGCATCAGCGTGACTTCGTGAGGATATTCAAGTAGCTTCACATCCCATTATGTCTGACTCCGGTTTGTTGTTTTCGGCGCCAAGTTGTCAAACGTCTGTGGAGACGAAGGAATCGTGCGGCGAAACAGCTCGGCTCAGCCAACGAAGAGCTGTGCACGCTTTACTGCCGAAAAAGAGGAGCAAGAGGAGGAGAAGGGCATACCGAAGCCGGCTGCCTGCACATCGGTAGCTCTTGGACAGACAGGTCTGCTGACCTCCGTAAAGTCGGCCTCGTGTAAGCAGCTCGATCACAAGCTTACGAGACACCAGAAGTGAATGGCATGGAATTTATCCCAGCTCAACCGTAGGCTCACGTGTTTGAAGTGGAGAGTAGTCAAAGGAGTGCTTTCATTCCATTGCTCATAGCACACCGTCTACATAATCATATTATCCTCGTTATTCACGCCGTTCCCAATGGGTATCTTCTTCTCCTTCCCCTTTCCGTCCTCTATAGACTCCACATACCAAGACAAATCACTGTCCGGCTTCATCTCCCACTCCGTAAATCCATTGCCCATGAAGTTGAACATATTGCCGCTTCGATAGCTGATGTCGAAGTCTTCTGCTCGGATTTCGTGGATCATGCGATGGAAGAGTACGGCACTGCCGCCGAAGAGAGCTGTCACTCGTCCGTCGACGGAGCCTCGTTTGTACCAGCTCGTGCAAGAACCCGTCCACACTAGCGTCTTATGGACTTCGTCGCAGTAGCGGTTGAACGCTTGCACTGCAGAGCTCTTGGGTACGATATATTTGATATCCTCGTTTGACATCTTCTTGATCCAGCGGGCAAAGTAATCTCCAGTCCAGTTCAAAGACTCCACCAGACTACCGTGTCCGCCTAGGCAGTTTGGTCCCATCATAATGAAGTAGTTGGGGAAGCCATCCGTGCCGACAGAAAGATATGAAAGGGGGTCAGCCTTCCACTTGTCTCGAAGATCAACGTTCTTCTGTCCAATGATGGGGTACTGTGGTCGATGGGAGACGTCAAAGCCAGTTGCACAGACGACAATGTCGCACTCGAACTCCTTGCCATCTGCCATTACCACGCCTTTTTCGGTGACTTGAGTGATAGGGCTGTTGGTGAGCGAGCAATTCGGTTTGGTGAATGAGTCGAGATAGCCTGGTCCAGGGGTCACGCGACGGCAGCCGAGTTCCCACTTTGGAATCAACATCTCGCAGAGGTCGGGATCGTGATTGAGCTTTTCTGCCATTTGAGTTCTTGCACGCTCCATCACTTCTCGGTTGACTTCGCCTTTGATGAACTGCAGTCCAGTTAGTCTCAAGCCTGGCTCAGAATAATCCATCAGGCACATACCAAACGGAATGCTCGATTGGTCCGGTCGATGATGCCCTTTCGATACTGGCGATGCTCCTCAGGATCCGCAAAACGCTCCTTCTCCTCGTCGAGATATGCTGGGTTGTTATCATCGTCGACTTCCCTACCCATGTGCTTCGACGGAGGTAATCGGTAGTAAACCCACGCAGGTCCTCGAACGAAGTTACGAACAGTCGTACCAGGTAGTTTGACCATGGACGGGACAATCTGAATGCCTGAGGATCCATTGCCAATCACTGCGATTCGCTTGTTCGAGTAGTCAAGGCTGTGGTCCCATCGAGCCGAATGTACAAGATTCCCCTTGAAACGATCCAACCCTGGAATCTTTGGCCATGCTGGATGGGTCAATACTCCTTGGCTGGAAATAAGAATATCGCAGATTTCTTCTCGTTGTGCGCCGGAGGTGACTTCCTCGACCGTGACTTTCCACTGACCTTGGTCTTCCTGCCAAACTGCAGCGACGACCTTGGTGTTGAGCTTTACATCACGATCAAGATTCCATTTCCGTGCAGTTCGTTTGATGTGGTCCTCGATCTCAGGTCCACTGGCATAGAATCGCGACCAGTTTGGGTTTGGATCGAATGGGAAAGCATAAATGTGAGCTGGGACGTCGCATTGTACGCCAGGATAGTCATTGACGAGCCTAGCCACGCATTGTCAGCTCGAATGACCCACTCTGGCAGGTCAGGCCATCTTACCAAGTCCCACCGACATCACTTCGCGCCTCGAAAATCGTGTGATCAACAAGGTCCCTAAGCTCTGGGAACCGGTGTTGAAACTTGTGGGCGATCAAAAGGCCAGAGAAACCAGCTCCAATCGTAATGACCCTTAGCTTGCGTGGCGTATACGCATAGTCTGTGTTCAGTTCAATCCGAGCAGCGAACTGCTCAAAGGCCGCATCGTGGTCCATGTGGCGATGTCCGTTCGTCGATGCTGAAGTGTTGTTGAGATCCGCTTCTGATGACGACTTGGTAGGAAACGAAGGAACTTCTCCGTCGGAAACCATCGGCGCCGAGGGTAAGACGTCCTGATCAGAGTGAGGCGCCATTGATCAAGGTTGAAAGGTGGCAAAAAAAGCGAAGTGAATGGATGCGTGTAGCGCAGCTGGAACCTCCCAAGTCTATGACTGGGCGATGATCAACTGCACATAGGTTTTACAGTGTCGCGCGGTCTCTCAACTAATACTCTGATCTTCCTGGTATGGGCAATTGAGTATCCCGAGCAATGAACTCTCAACACATGGGCAGCGCATGGCAGCCATTTCCTCGGGTCGGAGCATGTGATCCTGGGCGGCCTGTTCAGGAAATACCGTAAGCGGCAGCAACTCTCGGCAGATGAGGTCATCCAACATGCCGTCCAAGACTCCTTCCGGCTTCTCACGGGATGTCGGAGATACACATGACTCTTGGCCTTTCCTTCATAGCGCCACAGCCTGGTCAAATCGCAGCCCCCTAGCAATCATGAACGACTTCTCAGAATACGGAGGACTGACCAAGCAGTTCGAGGAACTCCAGGCCAACCAACCGGTGCCACCAAAGCAAGCATTGCAAGAACTGAAAGCATCAACCAACGATGGGCGCGAAAAGGCATCTGAAAAGGAGATGGCCACACTTGGTCCTCAAGTTGTCATTCAAGACTTCCAAATACCCGCTCGTGATGGGTATTCAATAGAAGCTAGGACCTATCGATCGAAATCAGCACCAACAGACGGCAGCCTTCCCTTATTCATCCATCTTCACGGTGGCGGTTTTTTGTTTGGAACATTGTCATCAGAGGATGCTAATTGCTCTCGCGTTGCCATCAATGCGCCCGTCGTTGTGCTCAATGTAAACTACCGCCACTCCCCTGAGCATACCTATCCCACGGCTTGGAACGACACCGAAGACGCCTTCGAATGGGCATACACCAATGCAAAGACCCTCGGCGCCAACAGTCAGCAAGTCATTATCGGCGGCATTTCCGCCGGCTCGTGGTTGACATCCTCGCTCGTACAAGCAAGACATCGCAGTCGCACACCTTCAACGGACTCTATCGTGGGCCATATCCTGATGATCCCTCCATCAGTGCATCATGCGAATTCCGAAGGGCTCATCAAACATCTCAAGAGCCCAGAGGTCTCGTCATACGTGCAGAACGAGAACGCACCGATCCTGTCCAAAGCCCGGATTGATCTATTCAACAACCTCGTGTTCCCAGAGGTTCCCACAGAGCTCAGAGCCAACCCAGGAAATGCTTCGGCTGAGCAAGTGAAGGGCCTACCGCCTGCGGTATTTGGCATAGCTGGCGCAGACCCGCTGCGTGATCAAGGGCTACTGTATGCGCAGCTTCTGGCATCGAATGGGTAAGTTCTTTCTCTGAACGGCACGCCCCAGGCTCATTAACATCACAGGGTACCGACAAATGTCCACGTGTATAAGGGGCTCCCACATGGGTTCCGACGCTTTGGAGCCCAACTCCAAGAAGCGTCGACCGCCTGGGATGAAACCATCACAGGGGCATTCGTTGGATCTTAAGCCAGCCGAAGGCGGTGGAAAAGATAGATATACAAGTTCATTGACGAGTCTTGCCGCCTTTTCACTCGAACTCCAGTTCCACCTCACTTCGTCCTTCTTCAATATCAACAGTCGGGCGTCTACCTGGTCTTGAAAAACCATCGTTATCAGTCTCGTCGGGCACGGCACAAGCTACCGTTTGAATTTGGTAGCACTACTTTCTTACAGGTGGCTTCCACGCATCAACATTCTTCGTGCCAGGGTTCTTCAGATCTAGCTCAAATCGATCTGGTAGTCTCAGACCGAGCTTTGTATAGTCCTCCATGACAGTCGCTGAGACACCATCTCTAAACAACCAGGCGTCATTCGTCTCATACTGCCATGCCTCAAGCTTCTCGCGCGAGTCTTTCAGGATGTCTTGGTAGTTCTCGTTCTCCGCCAAGTTATGGACCTCCTCTGGATCCTTCTCCACGTCATACAGCTCCTCTGGGCCACGAAACAAATATGCCTCCAGCGGACGCTTGCCGATCATGACGGGTCCATCTTTGTTTCTAATGCCTTCCCAGGAGATACTTCCGTACAGGTCGGCTGCAAATGGAAAGTCCAAGCGGTTCTTGATGTTGCGATGATACTTGTATTTGTGAGTCCGTAGGTATCTCGTCGGGTAATAGTTCTGAATTTCGTGAAAGGTATGCGAGCCGAAGACATGCTGCTTCCATTTATCGCCAGACAGGGTTTGAGAACTCTCCAGAATTGGTAGGACAGAGTCACCCAGTCTCTTAGGCGATTTGCCGGTGTTCGGCGTCTTGATGTCACCATCCTTGTGGCCAACCCAATCGATAGCAGTTGGCAAGATATCGAGAAAGGAGACAAAGTTCGAGTTCACAACGCCAGGTTCTTGGTGCGGCTTCCTGACTATAAATGGTAGCTGAACGCCGGCCTCATACAGCGTGGTCTTGGAGTTGATGAATGGAGCGCCATTGTCACTGACGAAGACGACCAGAGTATTGCTGTCAAGTCCTCGCTCCCTGAGTGCGTCCAGAACCCATCCAATGCCCTTGTCAAGTCTCCAGATAGCTTTGTAGTATTGGATTAGTTCTGTCCGCAATTCTGGAACGTCTGATATGAACGATTGAACTTCTACATCATCAACCCTAAAGTCAGGTCCCTCCAACCCAGCTTTCACAACTTCGGGAGCATCGTTTGAAAAACCTTCCCGGGTGTTATCCCTATGCGGGTCGTGAAATCCAATGGTCAAGTGGAATGGCCGATTCGTCTCCTTGGCTTTGTCGAAGAAGGCTGCAGCCCTGGAAGCCACCCATTTCGTATCACGACTTTGGCTGTCTTCAAACACTTCCCACGGATACGCTCGCCTGGGGCCAACGTGGACTTTGCCAATGATGCCTGTTTGAAAGCCAAGGCTGTTGAAGACTTGCGGGGCAGTCTCTATGTGCTCGTGAGTCTGGAAATGGTTCCATCCATGCTCAAGCCCGTACTGGCCATTTTGATGAGTGTGTAGTCCAGTGTATATGGTCGAACGACTCCCGCTGCAAGACGCTGTGCTTGCAAAGGCATTGGTGAATCGAGTTCCTTCTGCTGCTAGAGCATCGATGTTGGGTGACTTAATGCCCTTGGTCCCATAGCATCCAAGGTATAAGCCAAGGTCGTCCGCAACAAGCAGTAAGACGTTCTTATGTTCGCGTATCATTTTCGGTCCTCAATGGCTATGGAGCCTCCTGGATCGTCGTGGTGAGTGAATGAATGGAAGTTTCTGCAGCGGGGCATGGTTGCAGAGGATTGAGCTCTTCCCATGGCCAATCCACGCACGTGGTGAGACCACGAGAGCACGCCATTGTTGCGCGTTTCAACATCGTGCCTGGCTCGCTTTAATCACTCACATCGGTGAATATGGTTAGGAGAGAAGACGGACAGATTTCACCGTGAACAAGTTCACCCCCCAAAATCGATGACGTAATGGTTCCTGGCCATCGCTTCCCAAATGGCGACCTCACCTTGCCCTTGCATCGAGATACGGACAACAAACATTCAGCCAAAATAGCACGTAGAAACGGCTCGGTTTGAGCTACCACTCACCCAAAATGAACTACGGTATGCCTTCTGCCATACCATGCCTACCTTCGCTCACTGACTCTGCCCAACAGACGCTCTCATCGAAACCATCGTAGATGGCGGCTACCTGCCCGAATTCGTCCTCCGACGAGGGATTCAAGGCCAACTTCAGCAAAGAATCAACTTGATCAAGGCCACCAGCCTTGCCGAGAGCTATGAGACCAAGATGAAATATGTTGATCTTCTACGAAGCCGTCCCATCGCCATCGAGACTGCCACTGCCAATGAGCAGCACTATGAAGTCGGGACAGGTATCCTAACGACAATGCTGGGTCCACGGATGAAGTACAGCAGTTGTCTGTATCCCAAGGGAACAGAGACTCTGGCTCAGGCGGAGATAGCTATGCTGGAGAGCTATGTCGAGAAGGCCCAGCTGAAGGACGGCATGAGGATGTTCGATCTCGGGTATGAATATCTTCCACCCCTGGCCTCCATATGTCCAGCATTGATCCATTTTCAGATGCGGCTGGGGCTCCCTAAGCCTGTACCTCGCTGAAGTCTTCCCTAACTCAAAGATCACCGCCTTCTCCAACTCCCGAACCCAGAAACAACACATCGACAGCCAAGCCGCCAGCAAAAGCCTCACCAACCTGGAAGTCATCACCGGCGACATCGCCACCTACGATTTCCGCTCCACACCCTTGGAATCCCAATTCGACCGCGTCCTCTCGATCGAACTCTTCGAACACATGAAGAACTACGAACTCCTCCTCGCCAAAGTCGCCACGTTACTCAAACCTCAGGGGAAACTCTTCGTGCACTTGTTCGCGCACAAGACTTCCCCTTACGACTTCGAGTCCGGCTGGATGACGGACCACTTCTTCACGGGAGGAACCATGCCCTCGGCCGACCTGCTGCTTTACTTCCAGCGCGACCTCATTCTCAAGCAGCAATGGTGGGTCAGTGGGAAACACTACGCCAAGACCTGCAACGACTGGCTGCGAAAGATGAACAGCAACAAGAAAACCCTCATGCCGCACTTGGAGGAGACATACGGAAAGTCGGAGGCGTTGAGATGGTTCCACCGCTGGCAAGTCTTCTACATGGCGTGCGCGGAGCTCTTCGCATGGAACGGAGGGGAGGAATGGGGTGTGTGCCACTATCTGTTCGAGAAGCCATAGACAACCGACAGCCTCTACTCAATCTAATCGAAGCGTTTACGTCCCCTCGGGACCCGTCCAATTCACCTGCACCTCGCTCTCACTCGGCAACGTCGTAACCGTCCACCTCGTCGGCCCTGACCCATCCCCCAAATCCTTCCACTCATTCCACGTTTTAAACGTCCCCGCATTAGGCCCATACGTATTCCCCACCCTCCGTCGTCGCACTGCAACCCTCAAAAAATTGAACCTGGAAATCCGCGAAGTTGTTCGTTCCTTGGGGATTCTCAACCACCCAATCCGCATCAGGACCAGTACTGGCCGTGCCGTCGTCAGGCGCAGGGAAATCCGTTGACACAGCTTCGCCGGTATTCAAATTCGTGATGGCAGCATGCCCCGTCGTAGGATTCACCCTCGTGATTTCCAGCAGAAGCGTATCATCCGTGTTCGGACTAAACCCATCAAAGTATTGCGCCTTCGCCGGGAAGAATTCGTACCAACAACGGGTATACAGGTCCTGATAACCGTCATTGAAGAACGAGCAGCCAGTTTGGATGATGCCATTGCCCGAGCGTGGGTGGCCGGCGCCAATGCCAACCCAAGCTGTGGAAAGTTGGGTGGTTCCTGGGGAGCCTTCGGCTGCGACGAATTTTGTTTCGGGGACGTTGATTTGGGCGGTGATGTAGTTGATGGCGGTACCGTCGGGGGAAGAGAGGAGGGAAGCGCCGGAGTAGTCGGGGCTGCGGGTGGTGGTTTGGCGTTTGAGGTGGATGGGAGAGGCGGAGGCTACTGTGAGCGAGAGGAGGTAGAGGAAGGCGAACATGGTGAGGATGATATAAACCTTAGGTAGTATGTTACAGTCGGTGGGGGAATTATCTCGCCATCCTCAACTCTTCATATACGTCGGCATCTACAATTGGTCAGCGAAGCTCCAACTCCAAACTTCACAAACACAAAGCCTACCGTTACATCAACTCTCACTGCCATAAGAAGCCAAGACAGCCACTGATATCTTGCAGACAGAACACACGAACGGAAGACACTCCTCAAGGTCCAATTGCACCTCTTCGGTGGGAATAAAGCTCCGCGCGTGGCGTGAAGATCAATGTCTGCTAATGCAGGTGGAAGCGAAGCCTGGAGTGTAACAAGCTTCACCTTCTGCTTTCGTGATGTGGTAAACAGAGCCGAGGAAAAGTCGTTGCTCTGTACAATTGTGGATTATGCTATCTTATCGAAAGAACGGATTCGACTGATAGGTATAGCGATTGTCAGGCTTGAGGTCCGCCCCGTCGCTCGAGGTAAGAGGTATTTGGTCTGAGTCGTCGTGTGGACTCGATTCAGGGACATGCATTTGACCTGTGATACTATGTTAGTCGTGCAAATATCACTTGTTGGTAAAACTTACCTCTGAAGATTTCCAGCGCCGAAACGAACGGCAGCAGGAGAAGCAGCATTGTGAGCAGCTGCCCAAAACTCCACTCCTTCTCTCCCATGTCTGATAAATTCACCGACGGAGTTCCAAACGCCTGCGAGATGATGATGACTCTCACCGCAGCGCCTATCGCCATAGCCATGAGCACGAGCAAGCTCACGCATCTTACGATCTTGCCCCAGTACTGCCTCTTCATATGGAGATACCACGTCCCCAGCGCAAAGATGATCGCACTCGCCGCAATGACCGCAATCGTTCCGATGACACTCAACGTCTTGTTTCCCTGCCCGTCACTGCTCTTGGCATGCTCTCTCCACACACAGACCATCGGCAGTGTGGGCGCCAGACTCTGAATGTTCGTCTCCAGCACGAATATCCCAAACACGATCGTCAATACCATATTGACAAACATAGCAAACTGCCTCAGCCACCTCAGGACCCAATCCCTCTTGAAGTCCTGCACAAGCGCCATAAGCGCGGCGAAGTTGGTGGCAGTGGAGAGGAGTGAGAGCATCCAGATGATGAAGAAGTGGTAGGGAACCATGCTGTTGACCTTGGCCAGCCCGACAACTTGTATACCTATGCCTTCGACTAATTGCTGGTCGGAGAGCCCCGAGAGGATCTTGCGGGAGATGTTGCGGGAGGTTCTGCCGCGGATTTCGCTGAAGACGATGAAGGAGGATAGGAGGAGGGCGAGGCCGGCTGTGATGATGAAGGCGAGGAGGATCTAGAAACGATATTATTAGAGGGGTGTGGACAGGGTGTATATTGCATTCCATGAACGTACTCCAGCTCCTGCCACGCCCGCGTCTGATCGAGCTGTCTCTGGGGCGATTTCGCATCGAGGAAGTGAACTGTTGGACATTTTGGCGGTGTCTGCTCGTAGTGTGTCCGGCTTCGATTAATCAATATGTCTTGGACTCTCGAGCGCGCATCGCAAGAGAATGCGCGTGGCAGAAGTGACCGTGGTGCGAATAGCTCAAGGAAAGAAGAGAGAAGGACAGAAAGAGCGTCTGATACTCATCGTCAGGCCGGCATCAGCTGGTGCAACTGATGTTGGCGGCTATGCTCGTCTCAGACTTACGTTACAAACCAACCACCAGCAAACGGACGAGTGTGGGTGGAATGTTTGTTTGGTAGGGCTGACCCTTTTCGTGTTTTGACCCCTGGCGGCTCTGACGTACCGATTGTTCTATTTTTGGATCTCATTCACCACCGCATCTTCTTCACATGCGTCCAGATATCGAACGTTGAACTAGAGCTTCTGGCAGAATGAAAGGGATACACGTCTAGAGAAGTTCCCATATCATTTATTGAACAATTTGCAGAGCAAGACACTCGGTAAAGAAGAGCTCCATTGTTTGGCCCCCATTGCAAGAGACCTCGGCTCTCGATCACCCGGCCATCTTCTCATCTCGTCTCGGTCATCGATTCCATTGACAACTTCTCCTGTATTGATAGCTTCTGGAACAATATTTCTATACAGTTCAACTTCAGACCCTCTCCAGCAGAAGTTCTCGGAACACTTCACCGAAGAGTTGACTATCTTCGCCACCGTTCTCGTTACAACGACTGTTGACCAAGCTACTAGAATATCAGTTCGGAAGGGGACAAATATTGAAGTCAAAACAAGGGAATAGAACTATCACCCCAACAATGGCCGCCTACCAACCCCCTCGAAAGCCCTCCCCCAATCAACCCTCGACCACTTCTCCTCCCAACCCTGGCTCCGCCCCACTCTCTCCGACACAGACTTCCACATCGTGCCCGCGTCCCGAGAAGTAACCCACGAAGGAAAAGGCCACACCCTCATGGCCAAGACCTGGAATACCCCCGAGACCATCACAGCCCTCCTCTCCTTCTACCGGCCCTCGAAATCTCCCACCCCATCAGTCTACCCGCAATCTGAGACCGAACGAGCCGAAGTCCGCCGCTTCTACACCTTTGGCAAAGACCTCAACGCCCATCCGGATCTTTTACATGGAGGGGTGATTTCTTGTTTGCTGGACAGTTCGTTAGGCGGGGCGGTGGGCATGGCATTGCGGGAGACGGCGGTGTCGAATACCATGTTCACGGTGCAGTTGAACGTGTCGTATAAGAAGCCTGTGCGGACGCCGGGGACGGTGATGTTGAGGTGTTGGGTAACGAGGGTGGAGGAGGATGGGCGGAAAGTGTGGGCTTATGGGGTTGTCGAGGGGGATGGTGGGGTGGTGCATGCGATGGCGGAGGGGATGTGGTTGAGTGGGACGAAGAAGAAAGGGAAGTTGTAGGTCATGTGCGTGGAATGTGCTGTCTACCTCACCACACTCGCCTTGAAATTTTCACCTTCATATCACCACCAGGACTCAACGCCCCGGACCCGGGAAACGCTTTGGGCATGCCCGGGAAATCTTTCGTTGGCTTCTTGTCGATGTCAATGTATCCCTTGACGTCGAAATCAAACTTCAGCAACACCATCGCCAGAGCCCCTATAGCTTCTTGTTTGGCGAAGATGCGGCCAGGGCAGATCGTTTTGCCACCGCCAAAGGGGAAGAACTTGCCTGTCGTGCGCGACATGCTGAATGCTTCTTGGCCTGTCTTGGGGTCCTTGACGAGGAAGCGGTCGGCGTGGAAGACATCGTATGGGGCGTCCTCCGTGCTCCAAACATTGTCGTCACGGTGACCGAGGAAAGAAGGTGCAAACACATTGTCACCAGCGCGGAACAGAACGTGATGTTTGCCAGACTCATCCAGAGGGAGTGTGATGTCCTCTGGCAAGTTTCTCGTGACCAAGACATCCGCATACAGGCGCAGTGTCTCTGTCCAAAGGCTCTGCAGGAGAGGCTGCGAGACCAAAGTTGCAATATCCAAATTCCCGTCTTCTTTCGTGGCCGCGTTGATCTCCTTGAGAGCCCGCTCTAGCAGAGATGGGTTCTTCGGGTTGAGAAGATGGAAGAGCATCCACCCCGTCGCCGGAATAGCGTTGCTCGAGATGGCAAAGGTAATGCCCAAATCCAGCGCCGCCGACGATCTCGAATTCAACCCTCGGGCCTTGTAATCCAGATGTCTCGCGCGGTTCAATCGACTTCCAAAGAAAGGCTCCCACGCAGGTCCTTCGGGATCAACCGGCGTTCCACCACTCAATCGATGCATTTCCGCACTCCACTTCTCCAAATTGTCAAAGATGCGATCCCTCCTTTGATACGCGTCCTTGATCAAGAATTCTGGAAAGCGAAAGAAGAACTTGAGGAACTCCCCATCAAACCCATAGAAATCCTCGCAAAAGTTCGGATACATTTCCTTCAGCTTCTCCCCCATTAACGCATAGCAGCTCGCCGTGAACATACGATCTCTCAACCACTCGTAAAGTCCAATCTCTCCCTTCTCCACAATCTCCTTCGAATCTTTCGAAAGCACATCTTCCAAAGATTTTGTGAAGTGCTCCGTAAGCTCATTAACCCTCTCGAATTTAATCATATACTTGCTGTTCATCACCTCCTCAGAATGCTTCCCGTTATAAGCATTCTGCGCCTGGTCATGCGTCATCTTGAAGACCTGAATGTACAGGTCAAAGTCGAAGATGTCTCTCGATGGGGTCCTCGCCTTGAAAATGGCCTGCACGGTCGTCGGCGAGAAGACGATATGCGACTTGCGTCCGCCCATGAGGAGCGTGCAGACTCCAGTCTCCCTAGGATGGTAGCTGAAGAGTTCCGACCAGAAGGCACCCGGTGAGGGGCGGAGGAAGTCGAGGGAGTTGCCCAGCCATGGGATCGTGTAGGGGATTTGAGGTGGCGAGACGATTTTCTGGCCGCCGTGGGGCGAGTCTTTGAATTGTTGGAGAGCGCGGTAGTAGTTCACTGTCGTAATTACTCTGGTGAGCGCGAGAATGACAGCGATTGCTGCAAATGGTGAGAGCGCGTAGAGGATTGGCGTGGGGACGCTTCTGATGATGGTGAGGAGCGTCTCCATGTTCAAACTCTCAATTGTGTTTACGATCTGATGCAATGGAAAGGTTTTGGAGGATGACTATCGTGAAGCAAGTCATTCGTCGGGTGAGGTGGAGGTGGTAATATAGGAAGACGAACATGGGAGTCCATGCGATCGCGGCTGTCGAATCTCGCTTGCACCTTCTTTGTCAGAATTGCTCGCAGCTGTGGACATTTCTAGCTGTTGGGGTCCTGAGAAACAGCTACCTACTACCACATCCGTCAAGTACATCAACGCAAATATCCACTGTTCCCTTACCCTGATTCGATTGGCTTTGCGAATGAGTTGACCCGGGTTAGGCGCCGCAGGCACTAGGAATTAGGAAGCCGCGAACATATGGCGAACGTTCAGGATGGTACAACACTCAGATGCAACGCCTATGACCATCATACTGGGCATTGAATCCTGGTATGTCAAGTGTGCCATGATAAGAGCTCTCGGGGGGCTCTCCGACATCAAGGTGAGACATTGACAAGAAGCCAGCCCGCACTGCGCCTGTGTACTTTCTCCGGCTGAAGTCTGGTGCCATCCAACCACACACTCTCTTCGAGTTTTGGCGAGAATAATGATTGTTCGAACAATAGAGTGAATCCATGGTGGCAGCGAAGCGACAGCGGGCTTGTGTCATCACGTCGCTTAAATGTTGGCCCTGGTGGGAAATTCAGCCGCAGCCTCGAAGATTTGTAAAAGACTTTGCGACATTTAGGTGAAGGCCTGGAAGAATAGCTCTTGTCCTTGACATCGACTTCGCTGGCTGCAGTCAGATCCGATTGTGGGAGCCAGCAACAACAGATACGACATCGACATCAACCATGACGCTTCCAAACTCGCTGGCGTTGATGTTCGCCACGGCATCATTAGCGAACGGATTCTCGGAGTCTTTTCAATACCTTGCGTGGCTACCACGTTCATCAGACCGCATCGTACCTGGAACTGTCACTCCCATCACGACATTCCAGCAATACTTCCCAAGGCTCGTCGAAGAGAACACAAGATACCATCTCCTAACACACATAGCTCTATGGCTCAGCTGCGTCTGGTCTTTGTACGTATCGAGAGATACTCGGTCCTCTCTCACGGCCGTCTTGGCTTTCGAGTTCGGCGCAATGGCAACAGCTGGGTGGATCATGGCGGCCGTAAATCAGATATACGCGGCCAAGACCACAAAGGAGGTTGAAGCTGGGATTCGTCTACTCATGCGAAGACAGCTCATCCGATACGCGACAACACATGCTCCCAGTGTGGTGGTGTGTTTGTATGCTCTTTCCTCTGGGTAGTCGCCGGTCATTCATCAAGGACTGGACGAGAAATCATTGTCGTGCGTGGGACATTTGAGGGGATCGGTGCCATCGCTGCCGAGAAATATAGGATGCTCTTCCCACAAATCCGTTATCACCAGTACATTTCCGAGGGCGTTGTGCTCGAAGGCCAGATGCGATGTATAGATGCTGAAGGGAAGATGTTGTTGATAGAAGATTCATGTTCATCACTCCAAAACGCGTGCGCACAGACCGCTGCTGGACCCGCTTTGGCCGCTAGCGCGTTAACCTCACCTGCTTCCTCTCCTCTACACAACCCCTTCGATCCACCCATCAACCGTGAAGCTCATCTTGCCTTTTTGAATCGCTGCATCTCGCGATGCATGGCCGCCGCTTGAGAAGGGCGAAGGTGGGCGGCCTCCCGCTGCGCCTCGCAGCCGCGAAGGGCGACGTAACAGCTTCCAGAAAATGATCTGCCAGCAGAATCGGCTTTCCAGCGAGCATGACGATCACCGGACGCAGGCAACTTCTTCGTCTATCCCATGAATGGACGCCTTCGACCTGCAACGCTCCAATCACGAAGTAGAGAAGACCTCAGGAGTCAGGACAGCCATGGGGCAACTTCGTCTGCCCTCTGGGCGGCCCTTTTTCGCCCTTCTGGAGGTTTGTAAAACGGGGGATCCAGGCGCGCAGTCATGAGACACCGCCTGGAGTCTTCATCTCTTCTCCATTGCTCATGGCACGTTTTCTTCGGTTGGTCATCGGCTTCTGACATCGGCCTGTGGCTGTTCGAGTGATCGCACAGCTGTTGCTCTTGAGCAACCAGCCATCTAAAAACGCTTTGAGCTCTAGCGTTGCTTCAAACGCAAGCAGCCATGTCAGGAGCTTCGGATCCCTCTGGTGGCTTTCCGCACGAACATGGAAAAGGCAAGGGTCGTGCTGTTGACTTTGATGATCTATCCTCACACAACTACTGGCCCTTTTGTGCGACATGCAAACAGCTTGTTCAGAACCCCTCGAACTGCGTGAGTAAAGCATGAGTCTCATCCTTCAGCAGCTAACTGACTCTTGCAGCTCAATCATAACCACGATCTACTTGGAATGGCCCTGAGCAGTAGCAACGAGCTGCTGCCGCAATCTTTTCGAGATGACTTCCAATACAGTGGGCATACGGATCCACTCACCGACTTCTCGGACGGGAGTGGACTGTTCTCCACCCTTGACACTGGAGGAAGCTCCAATACGGTCGACTCATTTCTGGGCCTCGGGAACTTCCCTGCCAAGGAAGACGCTTTGCAGCAGAATCTTCTGACTTCGTCTGATCCCCTCCACTGGTCATATCCAGAGGACCAGGATCTGCCACAGGAACATTGGTACACTGAGACGCAAGATGTAGAAATGCTGGACAACGGGCACATCGAATTGTCGGTGCCTCAGCAAGAAACACTCAACTTTTGGTTACAGCGATGCGAGCGAGAGCAACGACGCCCAACCGAGTCGGAAGTGCTGGCCATCGCCAATCTCGAACATCTCAGCGTAGATGCTGTCGTTGCATGGTTTCAAGCGCGCCAGTTTCAGGAGCCAATGAACCCTACCACAGCTGAGGTCAATCCTGGAAGTCAACCTCCAGCTCACAAAACAGCCCCAAATCATGAAGTTCTTTCCCAGGTCAGCGAGTATGCTGCGAGAAGAGCAGCTGATGACGGTGCCTGTTCAAACGCTCAATCACGCAAATCTGACTCTGGGCGGCGCTACAGATGCACGGTCGGCTGTGGTTTCTCAACAGACGACCTCGACACCTGGAAGCGCCATCTCAGGAACAGGTATCCACAACAATTCTGGCACTGCGTGCTCTGCCGTGGGACGGGTCGAAAGCCATTCATTTGTCACAGGAGAGACAAGATCTTTCAACATCTGCAGAAGGTCCATCCTCGTGAGCATCAATCGCGATACGACCATCTTCGAGATCAATCAGAGATCCAACATGAGGGTCGTTTTCCCTCACAATGTCCTTTTGACAACGAACGTTACAGCTGTGACCAGACTTTCCAGTCTTGGGAAGAATTCATCCAGCACTGTTTGGAACACCTCAACGAGCGGATTCATGATGGTCCTTGGCTGCTCCGTTTCAAGCACAGACACTCGGAAGACGACGATGACAACGCGAATAGCGGCCAAAGTACGTCGTCGAGCAGCGGCTTTGCCGGTGCCTCGAGCAGCTCAAGCGGCCCATTGCAGGCCGCAAACTCTCAGAGCAGCTCTCAGATGCACTCCAAAACCACAACTAGACCTTCACAGCAGCAGGACCTCCGCTTTGAGGATAATACCAATGCCACGCCGTCTTCTCTGATCGATGTGAGGAGCTACCAAGTTGTTCGATCCACACCACACGGGGCAAAGTGGCTTGCCCTGGACTATTCCTGGGCTTCTGAAAGATGTGCGCAGTCCAAACTGACTTACAAGGCCGGATCTCTGGTTTTGCCAAGTGGCAGCCTGCGATATGCAAATCTGCCGATACCATTCAAGAGAGCCATGCTGCTAACTCGAGAGATGGGCTATCGATATCTTTGGGTTGACATACTCTGCGAGCCAAACGAAAACACCCAGAGGCGAGAGGCCATCTACAGACAAGCGGCACTCATCGTCGTGATTGTTGGCTTCAAGGCCTCGCCAGACCACATATGGCACTTCACCTGCGACTACAAAAACCTTCACACCGTGCTGAGTTGGGCACAGGATCGGATTTGGAACTACACGTTCTATCAAGTACGAAACCTGGGTCAAGGGGCGTACGGCATTGTTGATGAGGTTCGCCTGCGTTCTACGCGGCAGACCTTTGCGCGCAAGGTCTGCCTCAGTAGACAAGACGGCAAGCTCATGCAACATAGATATCTCCAGGAGATTGAGATTCTGCAAAAGTTCGACCACCCGAACATACCCAAATTCGTCGCAGCCTACGTCCAGCGCCGATCTCTCAACATCTTGATGCTGCCTGTCGCGGAATGCGACTTGAGAGAGCTGCTTTCGCGGCCGCACGAGTGGGCTGCCAAGCTCAAGTTCCTACCGCGTTGGTTTTTATCGCTTGCGCGGGCCATTGAGTATATGCACGGCTTGTCATGCCGACACAAAGATATCAAACCTGCCAATATACTGATTAGCGGCCAAGACGTGCTCCTCTCGGACTTTGGCACCTCCCAGGACTTCTCAACGAGTGACTCTGGCTCCAGTGGACCAGGATTCATGACACCGAAGTATTGTGCTCCAGAAGTTGCGCAGAAGCAGCAGCGAGGCCGGAAAGCGGACATATTTTCTCTAGGATGTGTCTTCCTGGAAATGATCACCATATGTCTTCAGCAAACCCTATACCGATTGAGTGAGCACTTGGGATTCTCATCGAAGTCACACAACGCCCAGGCCGTCTATCATCAACAGATACCTGCTATGCACTCCTGGCTGAAACATCTCTATCGCCTCAATCCCTTGCCGTACCAGGAGAGGATTCTACACATCACCTCACGAATGCTCGAGCAGGCACCAGCTAAACGGCCGACTGCTGTTGAGATATGCAAAGCTCTATCGCCTGAGCATCTTCAATACGCCGTCCAAGGCAGAGATGATGCTGTGCATCAGGAACGTCATACGATTGTGTTGCGACACCGCTCCGTCAACCCGTCTGCAAAGCCCTCAAGATCCTCGACAGGATCTCCACCAGGGAAGGCCTTGGCTCTTATTCAAGCAGCCCGTTTGGCCACGCTACGTGTCGTTGAGACCGTCAATGTCATGGTCTCCTGGTCTTGTCTCGACGTCCGCAAGTCTCCAGAACTCTCGATGGTGCCAAGCAAGACTAGTGATCGCCTACGAAATACAATCGTCTCTTACACCTGGACCCACCTGGCATATGTTGTATCTCTGGGGCACGGTAAAGACGACCAGATTGCGGCGAATTTCAGAGTTGCGGCAGAGGCATTTCACCCGTCCAATGTCTCAACAGTGGTCGTGATCAATGGCGGCGGCTTGAAGAACAGAGCAATTTCTGCACGTCACGGGGACACTGCATGTAAACCCTTGGAACCCTCGAAGACAACACTCATCATTATGTGGATTGGCAAGCGGGACTGTGCGCTCTCCGGACCTCGACTCAAGCATTTGAAACAATCCCTGCTCCCTCAAGCCGACTACGCCATGGTTGACTATCCTTCAAAGCCCCTGGCTCTGCCCTGCCCACCAATGGAGTTGTCCGCGGGCAAAGATTCCAGAACTGGTGCGAGCCTTTTCTCCCATCGTCATCGCCCCATGCTGGCTCCCGAGAGAGGATTGAAGAAGCGTTCTGCTCTGTTGAGTCGTGTCTTAAAAGCGATACAGGCTATGCTCGAGGGCGCCTTGCCAAGAAACAACCATCAAGGCCATGGCGATGAAGCAAACTGCAAGGATAGAGCCAAGCAACGTCAAGAACGACTCCAAAGTGTATGGAGACAGATCGTCCAGGGTCTACCCAGCATGCTGACTGAATGTCCTAACGCACTCTTCCCACTCCATTTGGCAAAGGATCACTTGTGGCAAATGCTGAAGAGGAAGTGGACCCAGTTTGACAGCATACTTGCGCAGTATGAGCGGAAGACGCTGTTCGCCATACTGAGTCACAAATCGAAGGTGGCAGTTATCGTCAAACGCAACTTCCAACAACTGAACATATCGCCCTTGGCAGGACGGAGCACTTGTCCGCAGCACGGATCGATTTCTGATGCCCCTACATCATGTACTGATGTCGACGATGCCTTCACCACCCCACAGCAGCAGACTGCCGGACATCACACATGCGGATGGACAAACCTCAATGCGACGATGAGAAGCCTGCCCACTTCCTCCATCACCGGACAGGAGTCATCGCATGCTTTCATCGACAATACAGAGGCCTGGCACTCCGAGCCAACAGGTCCACGCTCCCTGGTGCCAGAAGACACGCCCGAGTGCTATAAAAGCCCCTTCAGGAGCGAAGATTTCAGGGAGTCTGCGAAGTCGTCTCACCTCGCTGCAACATCAGGGGCATTCTACCAAGAACAGAATCCGCAATCCACCTTGGCCAGCCACTCAGGCTCGAACGACATGTACCCTGAGACATTTCACTCCTTCGACAGATACAGCGGACGATCACCGCCCTCTCTCGACCACCCTCCATTCGATGACTTCTCCTCATGCACAACACATGAACGAGACTTCGCAGCCTCCTGCATCGAAGTCGGCGACCTAGGTTTCGTGCCAATGGAAACCATCAACCGCACCCTAGCCCGACACTCGCCCTGCACCTGCCACCACAACTCACTCTTCCCCCACGACCCGCCTTCTTCAGATGCAACAATGACGCTGGACATCGACTCCGACGACGCCGACTCAGACACGCTCAGCGTGTGCTCCTCGTCCCAAATGGTCCGCTCCTTCAGCTCGTCCACGAGCCTCTCGTCTCTCGCTCATGCGGACGTTGAACGATCGTTCCCGCCGCTTTTCAATCCTTTGCGGTTGACGGCGGCGGATTTTGATCTTGAAGTTAGCTTTGTTGATGCGAGTGAGTTTGGCGAGTTTGATTTGTGGTAGGGAACCGGTCACTAGCACGAGGACGTGGTCACGTTGGGCATGTGTTGACATTGAGGGACGGTGAGGGACGAGGATGTTCACGGTGTATGTAGAATATGACTCTTGATCGAGTTGAGTATACTGCAAGATATCTGTGCTTATTCCGGATTTCTGTGCTCTTTACGAGTGGCGAATGATTTCTGGTGCTTCAATGATAGCAGACTGAACAGCATGTTGCAAGAGGATGCAAGGCAGAGACTGCTGTAAAAGCAACGAGGCAGTCAGATCACTGGTCAGAACGACAAGAAGAAGAACGAGTGTGGAAGTTCCTTGCCAACAGTCCAAATGATTTCATTCTCTTTCAAGCGTGGTACGAAGCCCTTGCTTGCCCATAGCTGAGTTCAGCACATTCATTGCACACCCATGTCGAAGCACTGCAGCTGCGCTGTTCAGCCACTTTTTCATCCAAAAAGATCCCAAGAAACGCCTCGCTAGAAGCACATCTGACTCGTGCTCGACACAGAGCCGCCCAGTTCTGATCCATCCAATCATTCTACTCGCTGACCTCCCTCCGCTTCACACCTGGCGGTGCACTCTCAACCAGGCGACGACTAGCACGCCAGATTTGGATGAGATTGTCTTCGCTGGTCGAGCACATGACCCACGGGTCGTTCTTGTTCCAGGAGAAGTCGCTGACACGGTTAGTGTGGCCGCCGTGCATGAAGAGCATCTCGGGTGGGCCATCCTCTGCGTCCTCGGGCGTCTGTTCAGCGCCACAGCGAGCAATATCCCAGAAGATGATGCGGCGGTCGTTGGAGGACGAGGCGATGATGCCAGAGTCGGTTGGGTGCCATTCGACCTTGGTGATGACGTCCTTGTGGCCTTCCATGCTAAGGATCTTGCCGTGCTCGGGGAACCGCATGTCGAACATGCCAACCGTCTTATCTGCGGAACCGGTGCAGAATAGCTTGTCATACTTGGGGTGGAAGGACAATGAATTGATGGCATCGGTGTGGGCGTTCTTAGAGTCCCTGCCGAACTGGATTGCCGGACGGCTGGTGTCTGTGGTGCGGAGGTCCACGAAGCACATGGTGAGGTCGTCCGACACACTACCGAAGAAGTTCTTGCCGTATTGAGGATGCCATTGGACGTCGTTGACGTAGGCAGAGTGATGGGTGAAGACCTTGGCGGCTGAGACGATCGGTTTGTCTTTGCTGAAGTCGTGTTGCAGATCCCACAGGCGCACAGTGGTGTCCTCACCTCCAGAAATGAGCTGACCCTCAGTGAAGGGGTTCCACTCGACTGCAAAGCCCTGTGGAATGTCAGAAAGTGGCTTGTAGAGTGTTCAAAGTAATATATATTTACCTCTTTGGTGTGGCCTTGCAGAGTAGCGTCCGGCTTAGGAATGTTGTCTCTTGGTGGTACTGAGCCGTGCTTTGATCGATCCCACAGGTAGAGATTGCTGTTAGGTGCCCAGGTCGCAACCAAATCGGGGTTCTGTGGCTGGTATCTGGCCTTGTTGACTTCGCCAGGATGTGGGATTCTCTGGACGACGGAAAAGGAGATCGGCTCCTTGGCGGCGCCATGTCCACCCAGCTCAGATCTTGAAGAATCGTAATCAGATGTCTTCATGGCCTTGGGTGTGGGAAGGTTCATGTGGGCGATCTGCAGGTAGTCGACTTGCGAGCCGGAGGTGTGAGTGCCGATGAGCATGCGATGGCGTCGATATTCCTTGTTAGGCTGATCCTGTACATCGGGCAGCCACTGGGTGGTGAGGGTGGGCCAGTCGAGAGCGCGGCTGTACATGAGGTCGTAGAGAAAGACGGAGTTCTTCTTCCAGATCTTGTACTCCTCGTTGATGATCTTGTTCTGCATGATCTCCTGGTCTCGCTCCTCGGCCGTTTGGCCCGTCATCTCTGTATTGCGGTCAGCATGCGTTTGCCAATCTCAAGCTTGTGACTACGCTGGCTGGGAGTATGTTGCAACGAGGAGTGGACGACAGAGGTGTGGATGGTTGGAGACGGTGGATCAGATGGTTGGATGGCCGTCTCCACTTGGGACAGGAGGTTATCCAGCGAGCCCGTGTCTACTGGGAGGGATGTCGTCGCTGGCTCTGTTGCCGGCCTCGCTGCTGGGCGTCGCGGACCAACAGGATGATGCTCGGGCTTGTAGCTGGAATGGCCGCTCTTGGTCTCCACCGCCTCCAGCTCTTTCTCCATGCGGCTCTTCTTGCTGGGCTGGCCATGCAGCTTGCAAGACATGCTGCGCGGAAATGGATGCGTGCTGCCAACTTACCCGTGTCGTCCATCGTGGACTGGTCTATCACGTGAGAGATGTGCTCCTTCAGAGGGTAGTTGCGAGTGGTCGATTATCGGTGGACGGGGCAGTTGCGGCGTCGGTGGTGGTGGCGGTGGAAGGGGTGGTGGGCGGTGGCAGACAGACAGACAGAAAGTTGCAGCACTCTACGCGTGGAGACGGAGGAACGCGATCTGAGCCCAGTGCCAAGACAGAGAGCTCGCTTCGAGCCTAGCGGCATGCGGGGAGAAGCGGTTGGACCCGCATCTTCATCGACCACATCACCGCAGCCGGCGACAGACTCTCTCTTCTCTTGCTCAAAGACTCCGTGTCACGAAAGTCATTCACCTCCGCCTCCTCCACTTACACTCACTCCACCACCAACTGCATCACCCCGCGCGAGCATCTGGGCCATCCGCGGCTTGTCTTGAAACACAGCGGCCGCAATCATGGGTATGACTGGTCCGCCTTCACATGCTACATCACCATATTGACCACTTTCAGGTGTCCCCAAGTTCTTCCGCTGGCTCTCCGAGCGCTATCCCACCATATCGCAACTCATCGCCGAAAACCGCATTCCCGAGTTCGACAATCTCTACCTTGACATGAACGGTATCATTCACAACTGCACCCACAACAACGCCGACTCCGCCACCAAGGCCCGCCTTTCCGAAGATGAAATGTTCATCAAGATATTCAACTACATCGAGCATCTGTTTGGCAAGATCAAGCCTCAGAAGCTCTTCTTCATGGCCATCGATGGTGTCGCCCCACGCGCCAAGATGAACCAACAACGATCCCGCCGTTTCCGAACAGCGTTGGATGCGGAGAAGGCGAGAGATAAGGCCATTGCAGAGGGTCACGAACTTCCAAAAGAAGATCCCTTCGACTCCAATTGTATCACTCCCGGTACAGAGTTCATGGCGCGCTTGACCCAACAGCTCAAGTACTTCGTCGCCAAGAAGGTCAGCGAGGACCTCGACTGGCAAGGATGCGAAATCGTCCTTTCCGGTCACGAAGTCCCAGGAGAAGGAGAGCACAAGATCATGGAGTACATTCGTCAGGCCAAGAGTCAGCCCGACTACGATCCAAACGTGCGCCACTGCTTGTATGGATTGGACGCCGATCTCATCATGCTTGGTCTGCTATCTCACGATCCACATTTCTGTCTACTGCGTGAAGAAGTCACGTTCGGCAGACAGAGCAAGGTGAAGAGCCAGGAGCTGGAGCACCAAAACTTCTTTCTCATGCATCTATGCATTGTTCGCGAGTATCTAGAGCTCGAGTTTCAGGAGCTGAAGCAACCCGAAAATCTTCCGGGTGTGGTCTTCGATATGGAACGAGTCATCGACGACTTCATCCTGATGGCTTTCTTCGTCGGAAACGACTTTCTTCCTAATCTACCGCATTTGCACATCAATGAGGGAGCGCTAGCGCTGATGTTTGGCGTCTACAAGAAGGTACTGCCCCAGGCGGGCGGTTACATCAACGATGGGGGTGTGATCAATTTGAAGCGTCTGGAGTTGCTGTTGAAAGAGCTGAGTCACGTCGAATACCGACATTTCGAGATGGAGAACCAGGACGCGAGCTGGTTGAAGGACAAGAGCGTGATGAAGGAAGATGTCATGCAAAAGGTCAAGAAGAAGGGCATTCAGACCATAACGACAGGACAGAAAGAGCTCTACCAGAAAGTGAGGAAATACGTCAACAGCCGTGGATCAGGCGAGGATCAGCTGTTGGACATGCCATCCACTCTCAAGGCGGCAGACCGTGTCTTCGTCGAGGATCTTTCGAGCAGCCTTCACCTGCAGTGCAAGAGCGTGCTTGATGACGATGGAAACAGACATCTCCAATTGTCGTTCCCTCCTCGACTAGAAATGGACGATGAGGAAGACGACGAAGACGAAGAGGCGCAGAATGCTTTGTTGAGGGTATTCAAGCAGTACGATCGCGCCAAAATCGAAGACGTGTCCGCGTCCGAGGCACAGCAAAAAGCCCAGGAGAAATACGACCAGAGGTTCAAAGACTGGAAAGACAAATACTACAAGACCAAGTTCGAATGGGGTCTTGAGAACGAGGACGAACTCAGGAAGCTGACCGAGAACTATGTTCAGGGTCTGCAGTGGGTGCTGTTCTACTACTATCGGGGTGTTGCCTCCTGGCCCTGGTACTACCAATATCACTATTCGCCTATGATCAGCGACGTTCACAAGGGTCTTGGCGCAAACATAGAATTCCAACTTGGCCAGCCCTTCCGCCCATTCCAGCAATTGATGGGTGTCCTTCCCGATCGAAGCAAGAAGATTGTGCCGCAAGTATACTGGGACCTGATGACGAACCCGAACAGTCCAATCATCGACTTCTACCCGCGTGACTTCGAGCTAGACATGAACGGCAAGAAGATGGAATGGGAAGCGGTCGTCAAGATTCCGTTCATCGACGAGAAGCGTCTTCTGGATGCAATGGCAACGAAGGATTCTTTACTTTCAGAAGACGAGCGGAGACGCAACGACTTCGGCGTCAGTTTGAAGTTCACGTACTCCCCTCAAGTCGACTACACCTATCCCAGCAGTCTTCCAGGTGTCTTTCCGGACCTGGAGCACTGCCGTGTCGTCGAGAACATCTTTGAGCTGCCTACCATGGACGGACTGGAATTGTACGTTGGCCTGGTCGACGGTGTCAAGCTTGGCGACGCTGCCTTGGCAGGATTCCCCAGCTTGCGCACGCTTCCACACACTGGCCAACTCGGCTTCCACGGGGTCAGCGTGTTCCAGCAGGAGTCTAGGAATGAGAGTATGGTCGTCACACTCACCGAAGGAGAAGAGGTCGGCTCGGTCGCCCACGCCAAGCAGCGTCTTGGGAAGGCTGTACACGTTGGCTACCCTTTCTTGCAGGAAGGCAAAGTTACCAGCGTGACAGATGAAATGTTCACATACACTTTGCACAATCCGGAAGCCCTAGCGACTGAGCAGAACATCATACAAACGCCGCACGCACCCAAGCAGATTGAGGACTGGAAGAAGAAGGCGACTCGTATTGAATCACACTACAGCAAGCGTCTGGGCATGGTCGTTGGCACTGTCGAAAGCCTGATCCAGATCGATCCCTTGGTTGGTCTTCGCAAGACTGAACAGGGTGCTACCGTAAAGGAATACGCACCTCTTCAAGGAGTCGAGCCGGATTACGCCACGCAGACCATTGTCGATCATGTCATCAGCGAAGACCAACGTTTCCTGGAAAAGGCCGCGCTTCCCATCGAGGAAGAGTTTCCACCACGTACGCGGGCGTTCTTCTTGGGAGACATGGCGTATGGACGTCCGCTTGAAGTCACCGGCCATCAGGTTGGCGCTGATGGTGTGCCAAAGGCCGAAGTCTGGGTCGCGCAGCTGATGGCTCGCGAACCTGAGTTTGGTCTTGACATTGCCATGCAGGCAGAGAGGAGAAATCCATACCTGCCTGCTTTCCAGGTCGCCCGTCAGTTGCAACTGCATCCACTTGTACTGTCGAAGCTCACATCAGCGTTCAACGTGACGTCTTCTGGACTGAAGTTGAACCTGGGTCTCAACCTCAAGTTTGAGGCCAAGAAATTGAAGGTACTTGGGTACAGTCGCAAGGGAGAGAGCGGCTGGGAGTATTCGCCAAAAGCAGTTGAGTTGATCAAGCAGTACATGATCAACTTCCCAGAGTTCATTGCCAGGATCGCGGCAAATCCAACTGGAGATGGATGGCAGGACACTGCATTCTATCCTGATCCCCAGGAAGCCAAGGCCAAGATGAAGGAGATCGGTCAATGGCTCAAGAGTGTCGAAACCAAGTCTTTCGACCGCGTGCCACTTGAGGCGGAACAACTCGACGGAGACACTGTCATGGCGATTGAGAAGGCAGCTGACGCCCTCAATGCTACCGCGGCTAATACCCAAGGTCGCAAGATTGGAGGCGTCCCGCGTGTCGCACTACTGAAGCCTTCCGACGCTGAGCAACGTACGCAGCATCAGAAGTTCCGCATCGGACATCGTGTTGTTTACGTGCTCGAGACCGGTCGAGTTCCTGTCGCAATGAGAGGTACTGTGGTTGGCATGACGCGGACTACTAGGAATACTCTGCTGGACATTGTCTTCGACTCCACCTTCATGAGTGGCACTACTCTCAATGAGCGCTGCTCAGCCTTCAGAGGCAGCACCGTCCCATCAAGTGCGGTGCTGAACCTGACGGAAAAGCAGGTTGTCGCCATGTCACAGGCTGCCAAAGCTCGTGCTCCCAAGTCGCATTTCACTCCCATCAGAGGCGGACATGCGGCTTTGGCCAGTGCGTACGGTATGCCAGGCGGCCCACAGCTCGTGCAAGCCGATACGCCACCTCCACTTCGCGGGGGATGGCGTGGAGCCGTCCACGGACATGCCAACGGGACTCCTCGTGGTGGCATGAACCGTGGTCGAGGTGGTGGATTGGGATTCCAGCAGGATCTTCCTTTCCATAACGGTCCACCTCGGGGCCGTGGAGGTCAGATGAATGGTGCGTCGCCCGGATTCGTGCCTCGTGGCCGCGGCGGTCGTGGTGGTGCTCCCAACCGGGGTGGGTACACCGTGGTCGACAACAGCGACCCCAACGAAGGTGTGGTGAGGAACAATCCACAATTCCGCGCCCAGAATTACAGCAACGTGCCACCGCCAACTACGCTCAACGACAGAGGTGGTCGCGGCCGTGGTCGTGGCGGAGGTCGAGGCGGAGACGGCAGCATGCGCGGCGGCCGCGGCAGAGGTGGTCGAGGACGCGGCGAGGTTGCTGCAAGCTGAGTTTGATCGTCCGATATGCAGCGGGTACAGCCCTCTTCACCCGCTCAGGCCGACACTTCGTCCTCACGAATATCGTCTTGGCGGTGAAAGGGTTTGTCTCGAAACGCAAACGGACGGGGAAGCATGCGGAATCCGGAGAACCTTGCCACGTCTCGGCGTTGCAGCATCAGCGGCTGCACGAAGAGGAGCCCCATCAAGATGCTTGTAGGTTGCAGACGTGACCTGCAGGTCGGGAAGAGATTGAGCACACCCGTTCGGGTTGTTGGAAGGTGAAGGTGATGTGCAGCGGCTCCAGTAGGTCAGTACGAAGCAAGTTTTGAAACGATGCAAGTGTTGCCTACTTTTCCCATTCACTGTCACCCCTAGTCCTTTTACGTTCAATCGCCAGCAAGCTCTCCCTCCGTGTGTTCGGCGTCTGAATTTGTATCCAGCAAAACATATGCAGCTGCATGCAAATTTGACGCAGGGCCAATTGCGTGCATGCAGACTCGGCTTGCAGGCAATCGACCAGAAAGTGAGTGCATGACTTTGCATGTGGAGTTTCATTCGGACGTTCCTTCCCTTTCGAGCCTCTCTACGTTGACTGTATATCAATATCCTCACTATGCGCTCTAGTTGAATCCCTTGGCCTTCTCTCGTATAACAGCCCCACCACGACTCTTCCATCACCATCGTACCTTCAATCACTAAACCCCTCACAACTTACCCCTCCCCTTCCCCTCCCCCCTCGGCCTCAAAATCCCCGTCTGCGACATCGTAGCCACAACCCTCCCCTCCCCATCCCAAACCCACCCCTCACTCAGCGTCCTCCCACCCGCAGCCGCCATCGTCCTCCTCTCCCTTAAATGCCACGCCCCAAAATCCATCCCCCGCGTCTCCACAACCCTCAACGCAAAATCCAACGTCGAGCACGCCCCCGCGTCCTCCAGACTCTTGTGGTCGAGATGTAAAGGCAGGAAACTGAGTCCGCCGTCCATGTAGAACGCCAGCGCGGCCCAGTTGGCGCTGGGGGTCGGGAGGCGGCATTTGAGGCGGATGTATTCGATTTGGGGGCGGGCGGTGAGGGGTTTGGAGTCGTGGGTGGTGGGGAGGTGAGGGGCGAGGCTGAGGAGGGTTTGGGTGGATGTGCTGGTTAGGCAGTGTCGCCAGTCGAAGTACTGGTCCATGAGGTGGAAGTTGGTGAAGTAGCTGTTGGCGGAGGAGGAGGTGATGTGGCCATCTTCGATGCCGCGGGATAGGAGGGTTCTGGCTGAGGGGGCGTGGTGTTCGTCTTCGGGGCCGTCGCCGTCGATGGTTGGTAGGGGGATGCTGTATGTGTATAGGGCGGGCTCTGGGACGTGGAAGTCGGCTGAAGCCTGGGCGCATACCCTTTCGGATCCATTTTCGAGAATCTGGAAGGCGTACACAACCCTGCTTGCAAGACTCCTCGTATCTCGTGTCCGTGCAACTCGACAGTGAATCTTGTGATCGATGCTCGTCGGTCCGAGGAACGAGCCTAGGAAGGAGAAGAGTTGATATTGTGGTTGGACGGTCTTGCAGACGGCTTGGATCATCACTGCGGTGGTGCATCCTCCGTAGCCGATTCGCAATGTATTGCCGGTGCGCTGGGGGAATGATCGAGAGACGAATACATCTTGGGATTGCTCGTCTACGGCGATCAGTTCACTGATGTCTTCGCTCGCTGTGGAGGTTGTGTTCGCCATACTATCTGAGGTGAGCCAAGCAGCCAAGTCCAGAGGGCCGCAGGTTGGAGTCCGCATTGTGCCCAATCGCTGGCTAATCGCCAGCATTTATTCGCCATGAGGCGAAGGCCACGATGCTATATCCTCGCTTGTGTCTTTACCAGTCTAGAAGCCAGATACAATGACCAAGATCGCTTGAATCTCTAATCAGAGGCCTGAGGTCGCCTTTAAATTTCCATAGTCCCCTTTAAGCTCCGAAATCTCGCAGCGCTAGGCATAGTCAGCTAGCGCCGCGAAAGTGAAGTGAAAGATGGCTGGGGGCCACCTCGTTCAACGACCTATCTCCAGTCCATATAAGCCTTCTGGTTCTGGGCTGGCATTTTGTCGGTGATACATGGCGTTCCATTGAGCGTACAGAGCGGACTTTGTGACCACAGCTCAACGACACACTGCTGAGTCGTACTTTGGCGGCCCTCTGGGTAGCTGCTTCGAAGGATTCGTACTCATTAAAGGCATCTGACCTGTTCTTATGGCAAGATGGCCGGCAGTGCTTCCCGTCCGTTGGATGATACGCTGTCGCTCAATGTCCTTCTGCCATAACATGAGGAGAGATGCCATGTCTCCAATGGCTCTCGGCGACGGGCAGCTCATCCGTCTGCACACACGTCAACCTTTCCAGCAGTCCTCGAGGAGCGTTCACGAATCAGACAAAGCCCAGCAACCTTGCACGGCATTGACTGCCTTAACAGGTTCCAGGGCTGAAGACCTGAGCTGGAAAGTATCTCGTCTACTGGCACGACACGAGAGTGTGCGAATTCGACGTTTCGGTGCAAGTTATCAAAGTTCTTTTGTGGAAAATGAAACGTAAGGTTGACTGTTGTAGGTCTCGAATGGAAGAGGACTGCCGAGGGAAACACACTGGCGATGGAGTGGATCAGTCGAGTGCGAAGGACTACGAAGTTGCACTGTTCTACTCACAGCGTAGAAGCAATTGACATCTCTTTGGTCGGCGAGAAGTCGATATGTAAGCTGAATGGTATTCATTGCCAAGTCTCACCTTACATGAAAGGCTCTTCTCCGTCCTGTCGGTCTTCACGAGAACGATGGCCACTTCCATATTAACTTTTCGTGCTATAGGCACGTATCGTCGGTGGCGACGCAGCGAGCTGCACGAGACATGGAGGCGTACTGTTGGGCGCTTTTTTAGCTCATGCATTTTTAATAGTGCCGTGAAGCGCTTTTGACAGCGATTGAGTTTCGATCAGCTGATGGCCAGTCAAGGTCTGCACAAATGGCCTTCCTTGCCATGTGACATGGATTTTGCGAGCGAGGAACGAAGCTCTTGTAGCCAAAAGAGCGAGAGACACAAGAAAGTCAGCTATTCTTGGCAGAGTTCAGAGTCAGCACTCAGATCAAGGATGGAAGGCCTGGTCAAAGCGAAGGAGCTGCGCTGCTCTGCTGAAAGCGCACAGCTGTCAAAAAGTTCCCGTGTTGGGCAAGAGATCGAACATCTCAGCAGCCGCAGCGCACGCAACTTTCGGCTGGCTGCAGGACGCCGTGCGACCCTGTGGCTTATCCAAGCGATAGGCGACGAATCCTTCGTGGGAGAAAAATTGGTCGTCGTGCCGTGTTTGTTGAGCGAAACTATCGATTTCGTTGATGCAGCACGAAATCCACTTGTAGACCAACCTCGGCGCGTGAAGTTGAGATAAAGATCGAAGGTGACCGCTGTTTCGCTGGAGAGTTCGGGCAAAAGTTGGTACGCCAACGAGAATGGCTCGGATAGTCTTGGGGCCAGAAGATGTATGTCTCACTTTGATCGGCGAGCTAGACAACCCACGTGCGGACGTTTGGTTTGAAGAAACGGGACCGACTGCACCGCACCGGCTGGATCACTGCGTGAGGGCGAGGCCGGGTGTAGCCAAAGCTCACCATCTCATCAGCGTGCTCTCGCAACGGTAACATCGCGCGAGCGTGTAGTACACTGTACCGGTACTACGGGTACTTGAGCTGAAGTACCTGTCTGTCGCCGGGCCGCTCGGAGGATAGAAGTGGCATGACGCGAAGGGTTCTCGTCGCCAAGAGGAGCGATGGACAGATGGACAGGCACAGCACCGATGCGAGCGAGAGGGTGCAGGTCGATGTTGGATGTATCCGGAGCGCAGCGGATTCTTGGTCGTCCAGGTTTGGGGAGAAGTGTGAGAGGGACAGATGCTCGAGGTGGAAGCCGGGATCACAGCTGGGCCGGACAGGACGGGATGGAAGGCTTCTGGAAGGAAGGAAGGCCGATTAGAGTTGGCACCGTTGCAACACCCCTGCATCCTGCGATGGATGGCGGTGCAGTGTGAAGATGGGAGAGAGTGTTGCGAGATGCGCTGTTACGTGACAAGAACAGTGGCCCGCACATCCAAGACATCCAAGACGGCTTTCTCGTGTGTGTGCTGCTGGTCGGGAAGATGGCGTCGCGGGCTCCGGGCGACATATGCCACTCCAGCTTATCGTCACACATGAAGGAAGCCATGCGAACGAGTGTTTCGAGACTCGACATGTCCGCCCTTGGCACTCATCGTCGCGCGTTTCACCGGCTCGCTTTCACGTTGATATCACCGTCGTTCGTTATAGGGCAAGCAGCGAGTCGCGCCTGCCGTGTGGGATGTGATGTACCAGGAGAAGGAGCGGTGCGAAGAAAGAAGGAGCAAGTGCTAGCGGCGGCCAAAGTCAGTCTAAAGGCGGGTGAAGCTTGTGTGTCGAGCTGCGGGTGATGGATGCGTCCAGGAGCAACACCACTTTTGCACCTCGCCGCACCAACGACGGTCCGGCTGCGAGGCCCAGCCCGGGCGAGTGCTCGCGCTCTCTCGAGTTGCTACACACGGGATAGTCGCCGTAGTAGCACACACTACTGCGTGCACGCGGCGGGAGGAAGAGGCTGACGAGATTCAGCCAAACCATGCCGACTGCCTGCTTCACCACTCAAAATGCCCCTCGCCGCCACACTGGCCGCCGCCGACGCTCTCCCCTGCTCCTTGGACGTGCCGACAAGATCGTTGCACCAGCGTCTCCCCGGCCGGCAGCGACCAGGACGACACCCCCAACTGCCCGTCCACCGCCGTCGTCATTCGCTTGGACGACAGACTTGTACCAGCGCCTCACGCTCCTGCCAACTTCACTGCACCGGTGGGTGGGTGTGAGGCCCGAGTAATATTTGGTTGGGAGGCTGCCAACTGGTATTTAATCTATCCTCGATTGCCACGGAACGCGAACCTGCACACTCGAGACTGCCCACGTTGGATCGTCGCTGGCATTCCAATCCAAACTCTGGCATCGGGGTCCGACTCCAGCGCGCGCCTCGATATCCCGGCGACCCGCGCTTCTCCCTTGCACCTGCTCAGTTACTCCGTGGTCCCTGATCGCGAGGCTTGCAGCGTCATTTTCGCGTGCCACCCCTGCGCATCGGCCTCTTCGGTCGGTTTCAACTTCACTGCAGCTACCGGCGCAAGCGCTGATCCACCCTTTACAAGCGGACATTTGCCCTCCGCTGCGCTATGGCTAGTTTTCAAACTGTCCGCCCCATGGAGGACTTTTTCATCAATCCCACTCTTCTCCGGGACCCTCCTCTGCACCGCCCTTCAACAATGGTCGACAACAACCAGCTGTACGCCATAGCTGCTGCTGGCAGCGATGTTTACATGATCGGCGCCAAGGGTAAATCACCTGCAAAGCCAGCTGCATCCATTGTCGATCTCGTCAACGAGCCTGTCTTCTGGCATGGCTACACGTCTGACGAAGAAGTCGCCTCTCCCGTTGACGATGATGACGACGACGACGACGACGAGTTCAGTCTGCACTCCGACGAGAGCATGGACAGCATCGCCAGCAGTGCTTCCTTCCCAGAGCAACTAGCAGAGACATGCGGCAACGTCAAGCAACAATGCAACCGAGCACAAGCCGTCAAGATTCAAGCCGCAGGCAAAGCTAGGGTCGTGTCACTGCCCAAGCCTATTGACATTCCTGCGAGGCGAAGCATCATGAGGCCGGCGAGTCCTGGGTCCCCATCGAAACGCGCATCGATCCAACTCCAATCCAGCACCCGCAACAGTGAAGACAGCCAAACCACTTGCAACGATTCGATCAGCTCTTCCAGTGTCAACTCACCTGCTTCAACTGCGCCAAGCTCGGTTGACGAGCCACTGGAACAACGCCCACCGATCAAGCATCAACAAAGCTTCTCGCGACATGTCCCCTTGATGGAGGCTGCCAGAGCTTTTTCGCCCAACTCGCCTACATCAGGACCAAATTCGCCACTGTTCCCTCAATCAGCTGGCCTACCCAAGCGCCACAGCACAGCATTGAGCGATCGATCCGAGGTCGCTTCCATCACTACCAGATCATCCGTTCGCCGCATGACCAAGCTCTCCTCAAACTTCAGCCTGAATAAGATTGGCAAGAATCTCGTGGGGAGGGACTCGACCTATGGCGGGTACATCGCCCCAGCGCAACAACATCGAGTTGCCGCGAGATCGACAAGCTTGAAGCCAAAGATGGTCGCCAGAGCTGCCAACGAGCGCGCACCACCGATTACCTTGCCACCATTCCCCGACGACGCTGAAGAGCCATCAAACGACTGGCCATTGAGGAAAGATTCTGGCTTGAAATCGTCACAACCGAGAAGTCTTTCGACAAAACTGACCCACGTCGCTCAGGTGTCGTAGACCCTCCCAACCGGTGACGAATGTTTCGATTATTTCAGCGGGCGTCTTCTTTACTTTCATTTGTTTTCACAGCCGCCGCCGGGTCGGGCGAGCACAACGATACCATGGACGGGACGACAAACGGAGTTTCCTGGCGAACTATGACACACACAGAGAGAGAATGAAAGATCGTATGGTATTATCTTTGCACAGATTAGAGAACCAAAGTAACGGCGACGATTGATCTTGGGATGAGATTTGGTGGGACCCTTTGAGAGGGACTGATGAGATTGGTGGCAGTTTTTCTCCTCGATGGCATGAGGGTCTATGAGAGATGTACAAGGAACCATCCGAAAAGCAGACGAGAACAGCCAGAATGAATGGTAGATTCGATATTCAAATTCATGAGAGTTGAACATACTCACACCCACATACAGTGATTCCAGATTCCCAATGCCAAACTCACAGAGCTCCCACCCATCCATCCTCAGCATCGACCACTGACCCTGATCGATAATCTCGGATCTCAAAACTCCCATCGATGCATGCCCCAATTCCCCGAAAACACCGACATCACCACGAACCCCACCCAACACCAACAATACCGACTACTACGACGAAGATACACTAAACCAACATCCGCAATCTACTACAGTACTTATTAGTGAGACATGTGCCCTAAAGCGCCGACGCTGGACGAGGGAATCAATCTACGCCGAGGGCTACTGTTGATTGATGTCATGTTATGTGGTGTACAATGTGTACATGTACCTCTGGACATTATGTTAGTTGAAGGATTCAGAAGGATTTAAGAGCCGGAGAGCGAAGCGCAGGATGCATGACTTTTGTGGGGTTGAGATACATTGCAGTGCCGTGTGGATGTCTCGGGTTTGCGATGGAGGAATTGAAGGTCCGATGTTATTTTATTCAGCGAGTAGATTGTGGATCGATCTGTGATGGCTACTCGTGCATTGGTGACTGAGGTGGATGGATGTGGTACCTGAGGCCGTCTACTCGATTACCGCGGAGATCGAAAGCCCGTCACCGAGTTTCTTCCTCTCACACCACCAGTACCACCAGTACCAGGTCACATGCATGCAATCCATTGCGTGATGCACGATGATGAATGTGGGGTCATACCATTCTCGCTGGGCTATCCTTGCGAAAAGGTTTATCCTGCTTACATGTAGGTATCCTGGTTGTGAGGAGGCGTGATGGACGTCATTAAGGTAGGGGTGTTATTTGGCGAGTTGGTTGTGGTTTTTGAGGCGGAGTGTTTTATGGCCAAGGCAGTTTGGAGGTTGAGTTGGTTCTTTTGGGGTTTGGAGATGGAGGCTGAGTTGGGTTGGGTCGATGGCTCCGATGATGTGGACGTGGGTCCATAGGAGGTGTTGTTGAGGCGAGGTGGTTTCTTGCTCGCGATGGCGATTGAGTGTTTCATGCTCGTCATCGGAGATTTGGACGTTGTTGATGGTTGATGGTTCGCTGTTTGATGTGCGTGATGGCTGTTTGCGAATGTTGGGTCCAGATCTGGGCTTTCGCGGTGTCCAGCACATCTCAGTGATTCGAAGCATGTCCAAGATCGTGAAGTTGGATGCTCGATAGTGTCGATGTCATATATCCATCGTGAGCCTGTCTTTCTTTTGTATCGTTGTTCAGATCCAAAGTTGGCATACATCAGGGCATATGCGTCACAACGTCGTCCTGAAATCCAGGAATTTCAACCATCCAGCTTGACGTGCTGTCGAGTTGTGCTTGCAAGGCATCGTGATCAGAAATGGGAATGTTCTTTTCCCCTTGACAATGCCTCATTTCTTGCCTTTCTTCTTGCCGTGGTCCTTTGCATCGTCTGTCGGTCCAAATCCACCTTTCACTACTGCATCCCTCGCGCACTGATTGATGAGTCGAAAGCGATCCGGTCCAAGCTTAATACCTCCATACCATCTGCTCACGACAACCATGACACCCCAAGCATTCATCAATTCCAACAGATGCAGCAATCTCCCACCAGCCGCATCCTCCCCATCGTCATCACAATCCTGATACTGCACTCCGTCATCCCTCCGTATCCTCCAAGCCGTGATATTATGCGTAGCTTTGGCGACCTTCTTATCAGTTGCCAGCAAGTGCGAAAGATACGACTTGGCCTGCTCCACAGACTCGACCGGCGCAGCGCGAGCGATGAAGATCGACTTCTTCTCCGTAACGATGTCGGACAACGTCCACGGCGGCGGATCGCTCAGGTCGTCCACATGCTGCTCGTCGTCAACGCTGTATCTGGCCGGGTCGTGGTATGACAAGTCCTGACCGTTCGCTTGAGAAGTTTGTTGTTCCTCGTTCTTTGAGCTTGCGTCCAGGCTGAGCTGCCGAAGTCTCTGGTTGAGCTCCTCAATGAGGTCGAAGATACACGGTGAACCGGGAGTGTAGACTTCGGAGAGGATCGTCCGAGCCAGTTCCACGATTGTGCTACCTGCGCCTTTCGCAACATCGTTACCCACGGATTGCGTGCCAAGAATTGATGGAGGTGCATCTGGGTAGTCTTTTGGGAACTCGATTCTCAGGGAGACTTCAGTTTGTGATGGCAAGGAGAGGGCGAAAATGTTGGGCTCTATCGAAGCGAATGTCTCGTCCCCATAGATGGCGTTGATCGATGTGGCTTCATCCTGCAGTTCCTCAGACATAGCACCGTAATAGCCCAGAGCTGATGATCATCACATGCTCGCTAAGCGTTAGGAAGAAACATGAAGAAAGAAGGCGCGAACTGAATGTAAAGCGGGATGTGCCGCAATTTTGACTTTCACTAGCGTGATCTGGAGTTGAAGATTTGAGGTGGGCTTTCGACGACAGCGCTGTGACGAACCACCACCACCCCCATATCACTCTCACCATGGCCGCTGGCTCTCGCACATCGCTATCCAGCGCGCTGCCCAAGCCCAAGTACACCGGCGAAGATGAAGACCTGCCGACGCACACGCAACAGAAGGGCCCACGAGTCATCGATGCACGCGAGCTCGAATCATCGCAGCTGGTGGTGAAGCGCTCCGGACCACCGCCATACGGATCGCGCTCGGGATGGCGACCAAGAAATGCCGAAGACTTTGGAGATGGGGGTGCTTTCCCGGAAGTACCAGTCGCACAATACCCTCTAGACATGGGTCGCAAAAACCAGCCATCTTCTTCCAATGCACTCGCACTGCAGGTGGATAATGAAGGTAAGGTCAAGTACGATGCGATCGCACGACGGGGCCACAGTGAGAACCGCGTTATCCATGCCAGCTTCAAGGACCTCATTCCGCTGCGGCAGAGGGCTGATGTCGGAGAGATCAGCTTGGAGAAGCCGAGCGAGGAAGAGGTGCAGGAGAGCAAAGAGCGGACACAGCTGGCACTGCAGACTTTGGTGGATGGTACTTTGGCTGCACAGAAGCCCAAGAATGTCAAGGGCACGACGAGGCCAGAGCCTACCTTTGTGCGGTACACCCCGGCCAATCAAATGGGAGACAACAGCAAGAAGCAGGACCGGATCATGAAGATTGTGCAGAGACAGCAAGACCCGATGGAGCCACCGAAGCACAAGATCAAGAAAGTTCCTCGTGGACCACCTTCCCCACCACCCCCCGTGATGCGTTCTCCGCCACGTAAATTGACCGCCGAAGATCAAGAAGCGTGGAAGATTCCGCCACCCGTATCAAACTGGAAGAATCCCAAGGGTTACACTGTGCCTCTTGACAAACGTCTGGCTGCTGATGGTCGAGGACTGCAGGACGTGACTATCAACGACAAGTTCGCACAATTTGCAGAGGCACTCCACACCGCGGACAGACATGCAAGAGAAGAGGTGCAGCAGAGACAGCGAATGCAACAGCGGTTGGCCGAGAAAGAGAAGGAGGCCAAAGAGGAACATCTGCGACAGCTGGCGATGAGAGCGCGCGAGGATAGGGAAGCTGCGACAACACAGAGACGAGGATCTGACAGGGGAAGGTCAAGAAGCCGATCTGCGGATAGCCGCTCATCATATTCATCACATTCTTCACACTCGCGCAGCAGGTCTCCTCCTGGTCGCGACGATGGGGAGAAAGATCGCAGAGAGCGTGAGCGACAACGCGCCGATGCTCGGCGTGATGCCCGTCGTGAGATGCGACAGAAGAACATGGGCCACGAGAGGCGATTGCAGATGATGGCACGGGAGCAGAATCGTGATGTCAGTGAAAAGGTGGCTCTGGGTCTTGCGAAGCCCACGCAGAGCAAGGAAGCAATGTACGACTCTCGACTTTTCAACCAGAGTTCCGGCTTTGCTGCAGGTTTCAACGAGGACCAGCCATACGACAAACCGCTGTTTGCTGAGCGAGATGCTTTGAACTCGATCTACAGGCCTCAGGTGGGAGATGACGACGATGAAGATGGTGGCGAGACTTTGGAGAAGATTCAGGGTACGAAGAGGTTTGAAACGCTCGGGAGAGCGCCAAAGGAGGGGTTCAAGGGCACGGAGACGGCCGAGCAGAGAAGTGGACCAGTCCAATTCGAACGTGACCGCGGCGATGATCCTTTCGGTGTTGAGGCCATGATCGATGCGGCGACGAAGAATGCGCACAAGCGACCGGCTGAAGACGAGAGCGGTGGGAAAGGCAAGAAGGCGAGGGTGGACGATGAGTAGGGGGAGAATATAGGGTATGTTGGTAGTTCATGCGTGGCTGGCAGAACAGCAGCATGCTATGAATCCTAGTGAGTGAATGAATTTCGGTCCCTCTTCACAACCTCCTCCAGCTGCGTTTGTGTTGTGCACTGCCGCGGGAGCGAACACGTCAAAAGCACTTAAGCAGGCGAGATATTTGCACACTCGTCTTTGACTGCGTTTCCCATCGCCTTGACCTTCTTCAACATAACCCAAGGTCAACACACAATGCCGCCGAGAAGGACGATCACATTACTCGAGGCGCATCCACGCAGTAGCGCTCTCCCCGACAACGACAGCCACTACAGGTCGAGTGATAGAGTAACTGGACCATCACCAGCGCCGACATCGACGCAAACTGCCAAACGCTCTCCTGCGGCCACAAACACAAACGCTGCTTCGCCATCTCGTACACAGGGCCGCCGCACGAGCAGGCGTGGCAAAACACCAGCTGCTACCACATTAGCCTTCACGACTACGGCGAAGTCCAGCCCCGACAGTAAAGCAGCGCCCCTTCCCACTGTAACCGAGTACTCAAGCACCACCACCATCTACACCAGCGGCTTCGCGACATCGACTCGACCCGAGACTTCACCACCCTCGAGCACAATCGCCGGACCACCAGTCCACCGCACTCGAGTCGAGTCATACGAGATTCCGGACCCGCCGGTATGGTTTCCTTACATGATCGCTACGCTGTTGGCGATTATGCTGGCCCTGGCTGTGCTTTTCTACTTTGTGAACTTTCCCCGGACTGGCCGTGCGATTAGAGAGATGTATCATCAGTGGAGACGGCGGGTGGCTGAGAGGAGGAATCGAAGGTATGGATATGAGAAGGTTCAGGGGATCGAGCTCGATGGTAACAGCTGTCGCAGTTCTGGCACTTCACCAGCTCTGAGAAATTTGAGCGAGGTCGCTAGGTCAGGGGAAGATGATGTCGTCCCCGCAGCCTTCACGACATCTACGAATACCCCTGGGCTTCACAATACCCCTACGCTGTACTCGCGCAGACGCAGAGGCGAGGGTATGAGCGTCGATACCAGCGCCGCCGCCGGGCTGGGCATCACCTTCGACAGAGGGCAATCAAGCGGGAAGTCGTTCGATCCGAGCCTCCTACGCCCAGACATGGACAAACCACTACCAGCACCTCCGAAGAGCCCAACACACCAAGCCATTCAGTCCGCCAAAGCTTTCCTTCCACGAACCGCCAACAAGCCTACTGACGATGCCGCCCCTGTCCCACGAAAGAACTCTACAGACCTCGAAGCCGGCCTGCTCAAACCCCTCCCTCGCGACCGCAGGAGGCCGAACCTGGTACCTCTCACTCCATCCACGGCCTCGGCGCCTCCCAGTCCGGGAATGCGAGTGCTGGAGATGGTTGGTGGTAGTGTGGAGTATGCGGCGGAGAAGATGTCGAGGTTCATGCATGACCAGGTGAAGGGGAATCCGGAGGAGGGTTTGCTGTTGCCGGTGAGGGATTGTGAGAGGGAGAGGGAGATGGGGGAGGGTTGTTCTTGTTGAGTGGGGTGCTGGGAATGGGGCATAATGACTGTGTTGTTTGGGTTTCTTGTTGAGGGTGTTGATTGAGAACATGGCATGTGGAGTTGTTCTGTACGAGATTAGCTGTTGGTTTTTCAGTAGGAGAATGTTTTTTAAAAAGGTATCGATCACAAGAACTACAAGGCGGTTCGGTTTCTCAACTCGTGCAAGTCCTCGTGCCGAAATTGAATAGGCTATGTGAGCACTTCAAATGAAGAGTGAGTTATTACACTGTATGTTTTGTCCTTCGCTACTCATCAGATGATTGAGTATACTTGTAAGGATCCATCGAGATCTTCAGTACATCAAACCTCACCTATCGATGACCTCATCGTTGACCTAACGTTGTTGACCATCTCACAATCGCCACATCCTGACAGTATATCACCGACAAACTGTAGAGGCGAAACACTTTTATTTGTCCAATTTCATATATCCCCCAAAATCGATACCATGGGCCTCCCACAAGAGCAACCCCAAACCGCCCAGCGATCCCAACCAGACCCCTCCACCTCCACCACCAAACCAACCACCCTCCCCCCCGAAGCCCTCTCCCTCGCAACCAAGCTCTTCGACTATGCGCGCGCCGGCAGCACCGCCCCCCTCGCACAATACCTCACGGCCGGCATCCCCGCAAACCTCACGAACCACAAAGGCGACACGCTCCTCATGCTGGCCGCCTACCACGGCCACGTCGACACGGTGAGCATGCTCTTGGACCACGGCGCGGATGCGAATGTGCTGAATGAGCGGGGCCAGAGTCCCGTAGCGGGGGCGGTGTTTAAGGGGTATGAGGGGGTTGTGAGGGTGCTTGTCGAGAGGGGTGGGGTGGATTTGGAGGCGGGGAGGCCGAATGCGGTGGAGGCGGCGAGGATGTTTCGGAGGGAGGGGATGTTGGCGTTGTTTGGGGTTGGGGAGTGAAGAGGGGGATGAGGGGATGGTTTGTGGGTTGTCTGGAAGAGTTGGGTCGATGGTGAGGATGGAGAGCGAAGTAATATGTTTTGCACCGACCTTTCGGAAAGACGAAGGGCTGTCTACCATGCGAGATTCGTTTGCAAGACATGCGTAGGCCAAGAAGGCTGAATCGAAGAAATGCCCGACCGCATGAACGGCAACGTGAGAGCAAGACCCTACAACACTATGGTCCACTTCGAAGGAATGGGACGTACGTCAAGTGAAGACTACCAACGTCTTTGTCAAGGCCATTGAAATCAACCTCTTGATGGATTCATAAACGCTCCAGCAGTCGACCATTCAATCCCAAAACGCAATAATCCTACACTCAATCGACTCCCTGGCCTCCACATCCTCCATCCCCGGAATCACAGGCGACCCATGGACACAATGCGCCGCGATATCAGGCTTATTCTCGCCCAGGTCTCCCACCGAGGTATCCGAGAACTTCAAAATCACGACCTCGTCAGGCTGCTGGCTGGGAATCCAGTACCACTTGAGCATCTCAGGGTTCTTTGGAGGGCCGTGACTGAGGCCCGTTCGGATATACTCGCCTTCTGGACGGATTCCGCTGAGGGCACGGGAGGTCATGGGAGCTATGTCGGACTTGTCGACGGTGCGCCAGTCGAGCATGGCGAGAGGGTCTTTTTTTACGGGCTTGAGAGGACGCTGGGCTCGTAGATCAGTGGGTATCGCTTGCTGTGGGAGGTGAGGGACGACTTACCCATATACTGTAAGCCGCGTATCTAGGCGCCTCGCCAGCATCCTCCGCCTCGATTGCGGCTTGAGCCTCCCTTGCGATGTCCTGCCTACCCCAACGAACCGTGTCTCGAAGCCCTTGGACGCTGAAATCGATATGAGCGGTTCTCGCCGGCGGGATTGCGTTGTTTCGGTCCTTTCCAGATACTGCACCAAAGATTACCATCACCAGTCTGATCGATCCAAATCATGCACCGACTAACCTCTCAAAACATCCCTCGGCAACTGCGAAACCACGAGATCCAATCCATCTCCCTTCAAATTCACATCATATGGCTTCTCCTCCTGCAACGTCGCACTCCTCGTCCGGATCCCAAACCCATCGACCACTGCCCTCTTCGCCCCCGTCACCTCACAGATAAGCTTGATCATCTCCGGCGCGTAGACATCCTCGATGTTGCGCCCTTGGAACCACTCGTCCCCAGCGAGCGCCGACTTATGCGTAAGCCAGGTGAAGCCTTGCACGTCGAGACCGGCGCCGGGTTTTATGGGGGATTGGCGGAGGTCGTGGAGTTCGTGGGTGTGGTCTTCCACAAGGCGAGAGGCTGGGAAGGAGTAGAATGATCGTTCTGATGCTGGAATTGAGTCGTCCGGCTCGCTGTATCTGATGACGCCGTGGGCGGCGGTCGTGCCATTGGCGTCAATACTGCCCATGATTGTGGTGTTCAAGAGATAGGTTGTGACTGTCGAGTGCAGTGATAACGAACAATGGAATCTTAAACGCCGTCCGGGTTCTTGCGATGAAGCGAAGTTCGCTCCTCTACCAATCCGTCGCTCTCTCCCCGTACATCACATTGGGAGCTTTCCGCGATGATCGTTGGCCTGCCTTTAATTCTGATGCCGTCAAGTCATTGGGAGGATAGCTGTGAAGATGGCGAAGGGCTTTAGTGCTTACTGTACCTTGATAGCTGGAGCGTTTAGTCAGAGGCTCGGACATAGCGCTGGAGTAGCAGGATTGTTACCTCTGTGCCTGCCATTTGACGAGGCCGTGTAGTTTGTTGGTGTCCCACGAGATAGTGGAGTTGTTCCCATTGCAGAGAGACATGATTTGAGTAGTTCTCGTGTCAGGGGTCATTGGAGACTTGCCCTTCCCTTTGCGGTGGATCGCAGGATGCACCACTTATCGTATAGAGGATTATCGAGAGCTTCGACGCCTGGGAGTTCTGCCTGAGATTAAGACGTGCCTGCTTCAACAATCGTGGAGTCCTCACGGCAATATTGGCGAAGTATTATGAGCAGATCCTCGAGATGTGTGCCATTGTCTCAGTATGTACGCATGGCATGAGGCTCTTTATCTTCGAATCAAGACGATCCGTGTCTCGAAAGACTCGACTTTATAATGCCTCTCTCTCAACTTGAACGCAGCCAGCTAGGAGAAGCGATACTATGCCTACCCTCGAAAGCAGCACGCACACACGCCTCAAGGCTATCGAAGTGAACCATTCGCCTGACCAACCCAGGAGCATAATGTGCGTACTTGGCCGAATTCGTCATGATGTTCCCGCCTCCGGGAGGCACGACAGGTTCCTCGAGCATGCACCAGCAAGTATCGGAGATGACTTGTGCTCCTATCTTCTCGAGGATTTGCCCACGGCCGAACTTGATGAATTTTTCATGGATTGCTCGGCTGGTGGTGATGATGAGGGGGATTTCCGTCGGTCGATCGTACTTCTCGCATAGTTGTGCTAAGGAGTAGAATTCTTCGAGGGAGAAGTGAGGGTTTCCGAGAGCGATCATAGATACTGAGTCGTCTTGGGCGGTGTTGAGGCTCTGCCAGCAGCGGACGAGATCCTGTGTGAGGATCTGTGTCCTTTGCAAGCTTGAGTAGTCCTTATCCAGCGAGAGAGCCTCGGGGGTGATGCCTCGTATATGGAACATAGCCGCAGAAGATGTCGTCGCAAACGCTGCCCCAAAGGCTTTCAGATCAGAGAGACTGAGTTTCATATCCTCCATCCCGATTACAACTGGGATGTCGGCACCACTCAGTAGTCCAACGCGGTACCCCAGCAAAGGAAAAATAGATTCGTCTTGGACGGGTGTGCGACTTACTTTCAACAGTACCCGCGGAGCCCTATCTTCCGAGTTGTGGCAGCCCGACGAGGGAGCCTTTCCAGTCAAAGCAATGCAGACATCAATACAATCCGGATATTTCTGCGTTCGTGCCCCGAGGACGCTGTTGGCAAAGACGACAGCGTTCGACTCGCCCCATCCGATGTGCTGGCCACGCTCAGGTGAGCTATCCAACAGATAAGGAGCGCATGTAAACGTCGGGCGAGCTCCCATCTTGACGTACGCATTGCCGAGTCTGTTAGCTGCCTCAGCCTTCTCTGGCTCCATGCCGATTTCTCGCCAACGCCGCTGATCGATCGAGATGGAGTTCATGGACGTGGGCACTGCTACTTGTGCATCTGGAAGGCTAAGTAGGGATTCCGCGAAGGACAGACTAGCCGGTCCGGTGTAGACGCATGCGTCGATGTGTGCTTGTGAGACGCTGACGAGGCTGGTGGCTCCTTGGAGGGCGGCGAATCCGGTGAGGATTTCCATGGCTAGGCCTTTTGCATTCTTGGGGCCTTTTGCTAGAAGAACCTCCTCGTCTTCTGTAAGTTGCAATTTATTGACCGTGGGCTTGGGCAGTTGTAGTTCGATCTGTTCGGGTGGAGTCCCAGGTCCGGTATGGACATTTTCACCAGCGATAGCCACATGCTCGTAATCTCCAAGTAATGCAAAGTCGCTGCTCGAAAGCACCACAACTGGGATACTCCTATCAAACATTTTCCTCGCCACGATAACTCCCAGCGTAATAATCTGCTCCGGTACTTCGAAAATCAGTCCAAGCGGAGCGGTCCCAGCGAGCATCAACTCCAGCATCGCCATACTTCCTGTACATGATCCGCGGCCTGCAGGTATTGCTAGGATATGATTGTGAAGGATTCTACCAGAGAGAGGGTGATGGCGATCGATTATTTCACCTGTTGATGGGTCGGTTCCGCCCCAGAAGCTGAGAGGGACATTGGAGAATAATAATGGACCAGTGGCTTCGCCATTGATTAGAGCTTTGCCCCGGAAGTGAGGCATCGCTGTCGTGCGTGTTTCTACCGATGTATGGAGTCATGTTGAGTTGTTGAGATGTCGTTGTTGACGCTGAAGTTGCGTTCGGAAGGTTATCCCGAGTCCATCGCCGTATCTAAGCGCTCGGATCTTTGGCCGTTGCTGAAATCTCCCAACGCTCTCAGAGCTGCCACTTGGAATCAAATGTTCCCAAACTTGAGTTCTGCAGTGCTGGGAAGTTGAGCTCCAATAAGGGTGCTGCTATGGAAAAAAAGGTTTAGGGCTGCGGCGCAAAGCTTACATATACAATCAAAATTTGCAGCCCACCAATCACATCTAGATCTTTCGAGATCTAGCAAGGCCCGATGGTCTAGTAAGTTCAATCCATTATCCATCCACTGATGGTGTTGCTAACAAACCTTGTAGGGGGTATGATTCTTGCTTTGGGAGCTTCAAAACAGCACAATTGCAAGAGGTCCCGCGTTCAAATCGCGGTCGGGCCCTTAAATCCAGCTTTTTTGCACTTCCACCACTCCAAATATGAAGTGTAGGAGTCCGTCGAATCAAAAAATATAACGATATGATGAATTTTTAGTGATGTCAACTTTACGCGACGACGGTGACCCAGGTAACGTTTTTGCCATGATTTTGACAACAGGAGCTTGTTCTCCGTGTCCGAATTGACAATTTCCATTCCGCTGGTACCTCCAAATCGGCAGCTGCTACGTATTCTTGCCTTCGAGGGAAATTCTCCAAAGTCTTGGCAAGCTCCGGGAACGCGTTAACGATCCATTCAGCGCGGTACGGGCTTGAACAACGAGCAACCGTGAGGCTTGAGGAGCCGAATGTGCCTATTATATGCAGTTCCTATCTACAAGCTACAGGGTTTGCTCCAGAGTACCAACGATGCCTTACGACCGCCAATCGGGTGCAAATTTTTCATATGACGGAGTGAGGTCGTTAAAGGCTGCGCTAGACCCAATTTGGACACCGACCTCCCAGTCGACTTGCTCGTCTTCCTACTAAAGACAATTTCCACAGTCAAACATCCCATCACGCTATCTACTACCTCCATCAGCACGCTCCAGACTATGTTAATATACATGGTCTGTGCCCATCGGCAGCTCACAGACGAGCACTTCCCTGTGGCGACTTAAAGCAACCCGACGTAGCCCTCCGTGTGACCATGCTGGCCTCCCTTCACCATGATCCCATCTGCGTTCTATTCGCAGTACCAGGCGCTTCAAATCTGTCTGCAGAAGCCGCCTTTACCGAACATGGCTTTTTGGCTTGATGGCTTCACGCCCTCGCCGTCACCGTACATTTCCACCACCAACAAGCTTCGCCATCCCCGCAAAGATCTACACAACCTTGAATGTAGCCTTCTTTCGGCATCATATCAAACCAGACAACAAATTCGGGAAGCATCCTGAGCTACGTCAAATAGCTGCAGCCAAGCAGCCACATTCGAACAATGCGTTCGCACTGCGGCCGAAAAGAGAAGGTGCGGACGCCCATAGGACCCCGTCTTATTCAGTTCTAGCAGCTAGCGGCTTGGTCTTGCAGACTACTCTATACGTCTCGAAGAGGGGTTTGCCAAATGGGAACGGATGATTTGAAAAAGAGACGCTGCTATTGGACGATGCAAAGTGTCACTGGAGGCATACCACAATGACGACCACTTGGAAATGCTCGAGTCTTTGCTAGCCAGTCTAGGCCGGCAAAAGAAAACTTGTGACGATGAACAGTGGCAAAGAAGATTGGCACTGCGTATATGTAGACAGGGTCAACACGACTACGAGACTGGCATCAACAGGACGTTTTCTTCAACTGCTCTTTTGACGTTATACAACTATGCGCCGAAATCTTCAACTTCTCGCTACGGCCCTGCCATTGGCTGCGGCATGGCCAATGGTCATGGAGGAAGTGGCCAAGGGGCGCACCCTCCAGAAGCGAGTGGTCTATCCTACCGTTCCACCGCCGAAGTTCACCACCCAAAGAGACAACTGCGGTGTTCACGGACCATGCACGACCTTTGATGCCGACGACCAATTTGTCGATGTCAGCCAGGGTAGTGGACACGAGTTTGTTTCTCCTGGTCCCAGCGACATTCGAGGACAATGTGAGTCTTGACATCATAATCGTGTCGAAAAGACGTGAAGATTTGATATGGCACTTGGATACTGACCTTTTACTCAACAGGCCCCGGTCTCAACGCTGCTGCAAACCACGCCTTCATGCCACGCAATGGCCTTGCTACTATTCAGCAGAGTATGCTCCAACAACCTTTCTCAAGCCACGACGTTGCTGACACCATCATTTAGCCGTCGACGGCCTCGAAGCCGCATACAACATGTCTCCCGATCTTTCAGCGATCTTGGCAGTCATCTCCATTGCCATCTCAGGCGACCCTATCGCCGGCAAATGGTCAATAGGAGGCGGTTTCAACGGCGTACTTGGTCTTTTGGGCAGGCCAACGGGTATCATTGGTACTCATAATAGATATGAGGGAGATGCCTCCATTGTTCGAGTATGTATTCTGCCTTTGGTTTTGCTAATTTTGAGGCTGACACGAAACCAGGGTGATGCATATTTGCACGACGGCGACGTAGACTTCTTTGAGATGCACCGTTGGGAACACCTCTACTCCATGCTCGGCGACGAGGACAACTTCACCCACGACAAGGCCGCGGCACAGGCATACTACACGATGAGATACTCTGTGCTGAACAACCCATACTACTTCTCCGAGCCATTCTCCGGTCTTGTCGCGCCTGATGCGCACAACTTTGTCGTTAGTTTCATGAGCAACCATTCCGCAGAGATCCCAGGTGGAAAGCTTGATGGCGAGACGCTGAAGCAATTCTTCTCTGTCACTGGAACTCCAGGAAATTTCGTCTGGACTCCGGGTCAAGAACGAATTCCTCTCAACTGGTAAGTGATACCATACTTCGAATACAACGCAGATACTTACTCTGTCTTGTAGGTACCGCCGCCCATCAGGCCAACAAATGAACACCGTCGACACCAACGTCGACACACTCATCAACAACGGCATGTACCCAGGTATCGTCCAATTCGGCGGAAACACCGGCAAAGTCGACACCTTCACCGGCATCGACACCGGCGATCTCACCCAGGGCGTGTTCAACGGTGCCACGCTTCTCGAGGGCAACAACCTGGCATGCTTTTTCCTGCAAGCCACCCAAGCCGGACTTGTTGACGCTGCAACGCCACTGCTGGAGCCTGTGGGCGAGATTTTGAGTTTCTTGAACCAGAATATTGCACCGCAGGTTTCTGCTCTGAACTGCCCTCAGTTGAACAGCCTCAACAATACGCTGTTCAAGCAGTACCCGGGTGCTTCTTACTTCCCAAGTGGACAGTAGGCTACGATGGATGATGCAGGGTCATTAATGATATTATGGCGGATGTATGCTTAACGACAGAAAGCGAGTTTGATCATAATGAATATCAAAATTTCTTATCAATCTACGCATCTTGCAATGCCTCAATTCTATCCATAAAGTTTTTTTGTCTGTCTTTCGCGACCCAGCACTACTTAGAAGTTGCAGCATGACATGTCGCTCAGATCAATCTACACATCATACAATGCCTCAGTTCTATCTATCAACATTACTCCCTATCTTCTCGGGACCGAACACTTGGACGTCTCAACTCACACTATGCTCTGAGTGACAGACATGTCATGTTACAGACGTTCAAGTCACACTCCGTCATCCCGGCAAAAGAACAGGAAAATACAGACAGAGGTCAAAGCATTGTGAATCGAATCGAACACCTGAAGTCACAGATCGCCAGCACCACCATCGATACGCCCAGAAGAGGAAATGCTTCATCTAGGCATCTTCCGATCGCAGTACAAAACCCGGATCCCATCCTCACAAACACGTACATGCAGAGGCTACTACTGCAATGCAAGGCATCTGCAAACTGACAATCATCGTCAACAGACAGACGCCGATCACCCTCGTGAAAAGCACCAGGCCTCGCCATTAGGAGGATACCGCAGTAAGATGTTCCCCATTGATCATGAGCCGCCGGCATTTCATTCAACATGGACGGAAAGGATTGAACTAAGAAGGAGAGGAGTGCAGTGCTCTTGTTCCGGATTTGCCGAACCCATTTCATGCCAGCCGGTGCAGATCACTTGGGTTGGAGAGGGTATTGTTCAAGATGGGAAATAGTTGGTGATTGGTATGAGGGAGACCGAAACGTCAATTGAGAGATCGAGTCTCTTATTCTACTGCTCTTGATGACCTGCACACGAACACCAGAGAAGGACTTCGATACTCCGCCCTGAGAAGCAACGCCTTACCAGAAACACCTGCACCCGTTTACCTCATCCTCTTCTTCTCTCTGCGGCTCAGGCATTCCAGGAACCATGATTCTTCCGTCTAAAAAGGCGAGCAATCGGCCTGCGTAGCAACAGGATTGAAAGAATCGAAATTCTGTCCCTGCGAAGCCCGCTGACAAGCCGCACTGAAGCCATTGGTGTCGAGGCCAATCTGGTTGTCGTCCATGCACTGTTATTGCTCAATCAGTCTCTGCTCACCATCGCCACGGGGCTCTTCTACTTACGACCTGGTTCCAGTCATCCCAGTACAGATTTCCCCAGATGCTGGATAGCTGATTGCAGGCTTGCTGGCCCGTCGACGGGTCTTCTTGCTGGTTGGTGTTGCAGGTACACCCGACGCGGTAGTCGAGAGGTGGTTGTCCGTTGTTGCTCCAGCCGCCTCCTCGGCCAGGACCCCATTGGCGTGGATGTGGATCCCAGGGTCCGAATTGGCCTGCTTGCTTGGCGGCGATGGCGCTGTTGATAGAAGGTAAGTCTGGCGTTCAAGTAGAAGCGAAGGTCTTCGGGAGGGCATACGAAGCCGCGAAGAGGAGGGTCATTTTGACGATGTAGTGCATCTTGGTTGATAGATTGGTGGAAGGCGAGGCTTGACTTGCTGGTTGCTGTGAGCCTAGAGCTGCTGTTCGTCTGGTGGAGTCGAGTGGACATGCCATGGGGAGAGTCCATGTCGTTATATACCCAACAGGCTCGGCTCTGAGGTGTGTGCTTCTGTTGACATGCCCTGTCAGACCTTGGTAGCCCATGCATCGTTCATGTGCCATGTCCTCGTTTTGATGCGAATTGGCTTTCATGGAGGTACTTCATAACAATGCGCCCAGGTATTCAACAGTTGAGATCCATACCAACGGATCCAGCGGATGCCGTCTGAGACGAACATTGCTGGGTAAGGCGCCGGAGAGAGACGACTCGAGCATTGCTCGACCCGCGTAGTTCACCACGCTGAACCATGAGAAGGACATTCGCCAGTGGAACCAATGGGTGGGTGATGTGCCTGTCGAGAGGTAGGCTCTGTATCAGGCACAAGCCCGAACCCTTGTCCGGGAACAATTGCTGCAGGGTTGACGTCTGTCATGTTCGCGTCATGTTTGCCGTCAACACATGGCAGAGCATGCCAAACCGGCATGAGCGTAAGGCAGAACTCACATGTCTTGACTCGCATAAATCAAGACTCCCCGCCTGGGAAGCACAGTCCGCAGGCTGAAACGACTACACGGCTCCCAGCCAGGGTAAGGCTGCGGTAAGAGTTTCGTAACCGGATCGCCGTGGATAACCTACATGACGGCTCAGGTCAGCAGTTGATGAATGTCAACGGTGATTGCAAATTCATCCTGTGTTTACACCGCCATATTTGAACACGCCAAAGGACCAGAATCGATGTAGGATGAGCTTTCGCGCGTTTTTATGAACCTTTCGAAACCTGGAAATGCATTGGACATTGGCCACTAAACTTATGTACAATGCTCGAATTGAGGTGTATCTATCGTTGTTCGTAAGGGGCGCCAGACGCAGTCTGATACTTGGCCGTAGCGCCAGTCTTGGCACCTGCGTCCAGATCGCTTGCCGGAATCTGTGCTGGGTTGCTCGTAGGCTCGAGCGGGTATGAGGTCGAAGGCAGGCTTTCAAGGTGCTTGCGGTGGTGCTCATGCGCCTGCCAAAGGTTAGTACATCAATACGACACTTCCTCCGGAGCAAACTCACGAATGGCAGGCCGCAGTATGTGCACCAGCATATCTGTGGCTTGTCGACGTTGATAAAGATTCTGGGGTGTCCCAATGGTCCGCCTCCGCCATCGCACGAGACAATACGCTCCTTGGTCCAGGTCACTGGCTGCTGGTGGATAAGCTCGATAGCGGCTAGAGGCCGTGGCTAGCAAACTGTTAGCCATTGATCTCCCATATTTCCTCATATCCAATTAGATGTCTCAAAATAGTAATCCTCTGTGCATAATTGCATACCTGATCTTCCATGATAGTCTGCTCGAATCTTGGCCCAACCATTGCCTTTGGCCGTGGCTGCTGGCTCCTGCTCCAGGTCTGTGCTCTGTTTGGAGCCTGCATTGTTCGTAGCTCTTCTGCCTTCGCTGGCTCCTCCACTAGGGCCTTGTCGCCCGCCCCCACGGAGACGGTAGGGAGGGCATTGGTGCTGGAGACGGGGGACCGGCGCTCCTGATGGTTGGGGTTGTTCGCGGGGACGGGATTGTCCGTCTGTGTGCTGTATGATCGCGCGGCGATTGTCCGCCGACTGATGGCTGGCAATAGCCTGTGGGCGCTCCGTTGCAACATCGTGGCGGTGGTGGGTTGGTATGGAGGAGTTGAGGTTGCTGTAATTGCTCCGCTTCTGTATGGACGGAAGCTCGGAGTGTGGTCAGTGCATGACGGTCACGTGCTAGCGCGATTTCGAATCTCGCGTTCATGTTGTTTCGAACTTCAACTTCGTCTCCTGGCTCTTCTCCTATTCCTTGGAATTCCAGACTCGCAGTCTAGACGCTGCGGAGAGAATGTTCTTCTCATTGAATTGGGTCCTGCTATTATACGGATATGGGTCTTTGTATTTCAATCTGTACGTTGTTGGCCAATATCGACCAAAACATATCCTCTATCCAAGAACGTTCATCAAATGCAACGAATCCGACAGAAGATTGCGGGCAGGAATGGCATTAAGAAGTTGACCGCAATAGATCATGGCCAGCCAGGCTTCGACGGCCGCTTTACGACAGCTGTCTGACCTCGGCGAGCCTGTGACAGCCTTGAGAAGACATCCCCATTAGAACGCATGCGAGATCGATTGTATCTCTTTCATTCCAATGCGGCGTTGGGGAAAGGATCACCTGCTGCAGGGTGTCTCTGTAATTCAAGGTCTGCCTACACAGCGAAGTCCATGTCAAGCCTGAAGACCTGGAGTTTCTCCTTTCGCCACACTGATCCGATTACAGTCATATCTGACGATAGCACCGCGAACATGCTTGCCAAGTACAAGAAGTGGACTGACTATAGCATCTTCACCTGCGCAAGAGTCTTGACTGCAATGAGTGGAAGAAGGGCTCTGAGAACTCTCCGTGAACGCTTTACCGATTCCTTGTTCGATATCGACATCGACATCATGCTTTGCCATTGCGTCGACGTCAATTTGACCGCCTCTCAGTTGCAAGAGATGCCGCCGAGTGTGCAGCGGCTTCTCGAGAAGGAGGAGAAGGTGCACCTTCGGCCATTTCAAAGCAAGGAGACCGCACCTTAGCTTCGATTGCCAACTGCACGGGTTCCATGACCGTACCGGATTGGCCACGGTTGAGGACACTCCTCTGAGCCTCACTTCCTGTTCTTGCGACCTGATTGTCCGACTAGCTTCTTCTTCTGGCTCTGTTTGTGGACCTATGCCACGTGATATCCACTGGAACAGGGACTATCGTCCGCTGAAGTTGGCTGGCTTTCGAAAAGGGTATGTAAAGCCGTGCCTAGTTCAGACTCCCGCCCACCTTCTTGCAATCAAGCTTTCAACCTTTATGATCCTCCGTCTGCTCTGTGGAACAGATCCGTATGCAGAATTGAGAAGGCAAGTAGAACACAGGCTACACATATGTCATGCAAGACTTCGCCCACTACTTGAGCGGGACGAGGGATGCACATCACTAATCACGCAGAGACTCGCGGTCTTTACTATTGCCGCTCTTCGCACTTATTCTGACAAGACTAATCAGAGGCCCTTCAAGATTGGATGTACGACTCACGTATGGACATCCAGCACTGCTTGTTGGGTGAGCAAGCGCTGACATTGCTGCACAGGCTCAAGGACTCCATTACCCAACAAGAGCACTCCAAAGCTACGGTGTCAGAGCTGAGATGTCTAGTGCTGCATTAGTCTTGGACTTGAATACGGATCGCTCTTCAACGAGTGCACCCATGAGACTAAGCCGCTTCATGCAGGGTAACAACAGGACTATGCTTCTGGCGCCGGCCGGATGACAAGAGTATAAAGAAACAACATTTTGCGTCCGAAAATATGCTCAGGCTCTCTACAATCGACCTCCCACCATGAAGTCGTTTACTGCCACGCTGTCTCCCCTCTTGGCGCTCTCTTCAGCAACCCTGTCCGCTGCGTACGATCATGCCCAATTGAATGGTATGACCGTCTTCGGATATCAAGCCTGGTATCCAACTTGGGACCCCAACCACCAGCCGCAGGACCAAGTTCACAGCAACGACTTCAAATGGTTCAACCCTGCGCAAGGAACACCGGGGCCACCCAACCCTCCGAACAGTCAAGGTATGACAACACCACTGCTTGCGGGCCCCGTCACCCGCTGATCACTCATAGTCCTGACTGACACTCTTCCTTACGTCGAGGACTACCCAAGCGAGTGTTGGGAGACGACAAACTTCATTCTCGCGAACGGATCGCATGCTCAATTCTTCAACAGCTACTGCACCGCAGTAATTGAGAAGCACTTTCAGTATATGGTGCAGTACGGCATCGATGGCGTCTTCGTCCAACGATTCTTCGATGCCGCCACACCTTCGAACGACTACTACAACGCTACTCTACAGGCACTCCAAACTATTCAACAAATGGCAGAGAAGTACAACAAATACTTTGCCGTCGAGTACGATCTCAGCGGCAAGACGGATGCCTGGGGACCTGACCAATATCTCACCATCTTGCAAAACGACTACAACAATGTTGTGAAGCCGCTGTTCTCGAGCAAGAGCTACATTTACAACGGAACCCGTCCCGTCGTCGAAATTTGGGGCGTTGCAAGTGCGTATACCACATTCTCTGCATGCTAACATGAATCTAACTCGCTTCCGTAGTCAACAACGGCACCGGTCCCAACGGCTCCAAATTCAAAGACATCATCAACCGCTTCCAAGAAGCCCCTGAGAACCCATTCATGGTCGCAGGCGTGCCGCACAACTGGCTCGACTACAAGACCCGAGACCCCAACGGGTATTGGCCAGCCTTCCAGCAAGCCGACTGCATCCAGCCCTGGCCTGTCGGCGCCTTCTCAACGATCTCAGACTTCCAGTGGTCTGTCCAGCACGAGCTGCTCCCTGGAAAGGCCCAGACCGATTCGTGGGGCATCAAATTTGGGGGTGCATTCACCCCTGGTGGATCGAATCGCAATGCGAACACCAATGCGACGTATCAACCGCCGCTTGGAAGCCGCTTCAATGGAACGTTTTACGAGGAGCAGTTGAAGTCATTCTCCAATGGCACCGTCAAGGCGTGGTTCAACTTTGGGGCCATGTTTGATGAGTACACTGAGGGTAAGCCTGCCATCCAGCCCCCTTCCGTTGGAAGATCGAAAATAACGGTGAATATCCAGGCACCCAAGTCCTACCTATGATCTAGTTCAAGAACCTCCCGACGAATCCAAATCCAGGTTTCTTGGGTAGCGATGATGACAAGAGTCCTTTCTACTACATGCAGTTGTCTGGCCAGTATACCACTGAGAATCATCAACTTTGGGGCCAACAGCCACTTTAGAGTTGACCGATTTCATTAGATACTTATGGTATGAAGATGCTGTGAGAAGAAATCCGTTCGATGCTCGAAGAAATGTTATTTTTGCACGCTCCCTTGTTGACCTCACCTACTCTCCATTTTGTCAATCTCGACTTTTGGCCAGGCGCCGCTGGCGACTTCACCTCATCACAACCGTGAGCTTCTTCCCGTTCCCAATTCTTTGCAATGCCATCGTGACTTCATCAATGGCCGTGGATGTCTTCTTCGTAGCTGCACGATCTCGTGTGGCTCGGTGCAGTCCCTTGAGCCGCGACTCGCTGAAGCATGCAAAGGACGCTGTCAAAGCCAACAGACTTGCATCTCCTCCAACCGTGGGACATGACAGCAACGACTCGGAAACATTCGATGAGAATCCACATGTACGGCGACCAGAACCGAGTGCTCATTGCAAAACCAGGTCCCCCAAAAGACTTAGCAACAAGGCTAGGCCAACGATCGAGGAGTCGACGGCCAAGCTGCTCGACCTCCCAACAGAAATGCTCGCTGTAATTGCAGAATTTTTAGACAGCAAGGACCTTCTCGCAATGAGACTGACACACAGTATCCTCACGGGTGCTGTGGACGACGCTTTCGCAATAGCCTTCTTCGCACATCGTAAACACTTGTTCACCACTCACAGTCTCGACGTCTTGGCCAGGATTTGTTGCAGACCCAATTGGGCGCGGAAAATGCGGTCTCTCGAGCTTTGCACGATCGGACTCGATCGTGAGAAGTACGGCCCGGGCACAGGTTCCGCAGCGAAGCACCGCACAAGAGGTGCTAGACGTCGAGGAGACATTTACGCAAGATTCGTGGAGGAGGTTGAAGGTGATGAAAGCGAGATTCACGAACTACTCATCACAATACTTGGTAGATTGGACGACCTTGAAAATTATGTGGAGATAGCACTCTCAGCGGGTTCTAGTGCACGGCGAATAGAAGGCTTCTATGGGCTTCCGCGACTCCTTGAGAACCTTGACGATGAAGTGCGTTCATGCGATCTGGTGACCGAAGAATGCAACGATGCATTCGTAAGTCTCATGAAGACCTTGGATCGTGTGGACTATTTCCTCACCGAGTTCGATATTTCCGGGGGCGAGTTGAGTCTGACTTCATTCGATACCCTGATCCGAGATCAACCGAGTTGTCCGATGATGTGGTCTAATCTGGCAAGCCTTGATCTCAGCTTTGCGCATCCGCACAGTCAGTGGCATGCTCCTCATACAAGCGCATTGGAGGCGTTCTTCGCCGAGGCAACCGCATTGACGCTCTTGTCCTTCCATGTCGAGGAGGATAGGCCAGAATCTTTCTTAACAGCAACAAACTGCACCAACTGGCTGGCGAAAACTACGTCACACATGCATCTACGAGATCTCAGCCTATGGGGCCCTGCAGCGAAAATCGACGAACTTATGGCTCTGGCGAACACACATGCGAGCACACTGCGCAGTCTCGGTGTCTACACGATCAACCTACCCGGACACGAGTGCTGGTCCGAAGCGCTGTTGTCACTCAGGGAGCTGGATCTCGAGAGATTCGGTATGGGCAACCTGAGTAGAGGTGCTGACGAAAGCCTCTTCATGATGATTGTCGATGGAGAGAGCCGGGATATCATCGAGATTAACGGTGACAGGGAAGAGGTATTACGAGGTCTGGAGGACTTGGCCCAAGATCCACGTTATGAAGATGCGGAGTAGCAATCAAAGGGGCCAGAAGTCTCCTTGGAAGATCGAGTTCATTGGTTTGCGCTATTGGAAGGAGCAAACTAAATCGACGTCATGTCTCTTCTGGCTGTCCACATGCTCTGTCATTGTAACAGCGCAATGCCATCGTCCTTCTATCAGAGATCGCAAGCGCACGTCCGAATCGATGCTTCCGTTGCAGAACAGCCATCAATCCTCGCCCAATTTGTCCTAAGGCGTTCAATGACTCGAACAGCCCTGTTTCTGACACATTCACAACCTTGAGTGAAGCATTACGTCCTCAACCTCCGCTTCATAGCCCCCTTCTTACATCAGTAGATGATCTTTTTCAAGTGATTCTTATTACGAGCCTGGCCGGAGGAAACGAAAGAGCCATTTAAAAATGTCAGGTGCTCCTGCCTCGTTCGGATTCCAGCATGTGATGCCAAGCCCGCATCCCTGCCAACTTGAAATTTAGCGCTCCAGCAACTTCCTCGCCCACACCTGGTGCTTCCTTCACAAACAACTTCCCCGAACCTCACACACCATCACCAGGACACCTCACCGCACCACCATGGACGCGCCACCGACGCTGGCGACGCTGCCGGCCGAGTTGCAGAAGGAGATCGCGGAGGCACTGCACTACGAAGACGTCATTGCCTTCCGCCAGGTATCCCGTGACATGCGTGCAGCCTCCGAGGACGCATTTTTGACTCTGCACTTTGGAGAGCGTCACTATGTCTTCTCACGATACGGTCTCACTCGCCTTGCCGAGTACACCTCACACCCACACCTCACCAAGAAGCTATGGAATATTCGAATCATCGTCGTCGATCCTGCAGCTTGTGCAACATCTTCTGAAACCCACACCACCCAGAGACCCGAATCGATCGATAGTGACTCTGATGAAGAGGTCGATAGAGACGAACCCGCATCACGGGGGAGCGAGATCAAGCGACTAGAGTCGGCATGGCAGCCCGAAATGACCGACTTGACCAACGATGACCTGGACATCCATCTGTTGGCATTGACCATGCACAATCTGCGAGCAGCTAGTCAGGAGGTGGCATTTTGCGTCACAGGCTCGATCGGAGACGATGTCGCGCCTGGGATGGCCATTAGAAGCGATGAGATGCTGGACGTCTTGAATCTTGAGGGAAGCCATCAATTCGTGCGACGTGGTTCCTCTGGCAGTGACTGTAGCCGGATCATGAACAGTCTGTTCAAAGCGGCGGCAAGGACGGGGTTCTCTTTCAGCCATCTCGAGTTGTGTGAAGACCCGGACAGAGGTACCTTCACGTCAGAGGCACTCGACGGCCTGTGTTCATTGGACATGGAGAGACTGTGTCACTCGTGGGAAAGCCTCTCGTCGCTGATGATAGGATTTGCACATGGTCAGGAACGTTGGTTCGTTGATAGAGACAACGGCTTAGGCGCACTGATCGCTTCTGCGACCAACATCACGTCGCTGTTCCTTTACAACGACGGCATGTATGATGAGCACTGGGAAGGATCTGCAGCTTTCGACGACTCCAATCCATTGAGCTGGTTAGGCAAAGCCTTTGCCAACCATCGGCTGCATCATCTGCGGCTAGGCGGCTTCTATGGGAGAGCTGATCAGTTTGCCAAAGTTTTACGTGGACATCATCAGACTCTGAAAGAAGTTGAGCTACTGGGCGTGCAAATTCAGGGGCATGAATGTTGGTCTTCCGTTTTGCAAGTCGTGCTGACAGATCTTGACCTCAACGACCTCAATATCTGTGGTTTGATGAAGATGCCGGATATGTATGAAGAAGTCATCTTTCCTGATGGCAAGGATCGCCTATCTGTCGACAAACCAGAAGCAATCAAGGAGTTGATTTCCCAAATGTTGGCGCAAGGTGTGCAGTACAAGGATATCGATGCTTGAGTAGGGCAAGACGAAGAAACACTGGGCTGCTGTTTGGCAGACCTTCAAGGCCGGCTGATCAGAGGAAATACATGTTGTACCGCGTGATCCGATTCATGGGACCGAATCGGCGAGATCGTCGCCTTTTCGACTTGCCACATGCGAAGGGCAGGTATGAGAGCATAAGACATCTGAACTCTTCTTCACAAGACTTGCCTTCATATGTTGTTCCGGATGTGAGCAGGTGAATAGCTAAGATTTGCGGCCTGTTTGTCGACTATTAAACCTCGCCTTGCCACTCTCTTCCTCCAACTTCCTCGACACTCTCGACAACAACCATAACCGCTTTCGACGACATCCTCTCTCTTACATACCAATACACCATCCACTCACTATACACCACACACATCCAACTCCTCACCTCCACCATGAAGGTCCTCGCCAAGTTCCTGGCCCTCGCCGCAATCGCCATCACGGCCACCTCTGCTCTTCCAACCACTACCGACACCAACCTCGTCGTAAGCGCCCCTTATCACAAGCCAGATATTCAGACTCACTAACACCTCCACCCAGGCCCGCCAGCCCTCTGACCCGCCGTGGTGCAAGCCTTGCCCACCAGGCAAATACTGCCAATGTGTCCCCGACGACAACCCCCTCCAACCCTCGACCTCGACCTCACCACCCGTCAGGACTCTAACCTCCAATGCTTCCCCATCACCGGCACGGGCGTCTTCGCCGACTACTACACCCCCGCCATCGAGACATTCTGCACGCGCTTCAACGGCGTAAGTCCCACCCTTCACCCCCTCATCACCGCTCAACCAAACTAACCCACCCCCCAAACCAGGCCTCCCTCTCCACCAACTCCGCCTTCCGCGAAGTCTACTCCATCCCCCCCGGTACCGACAACACCGTCGCGCTCTCCCTGACGAACCCCTTCTGCGACGCGGACGCCTACTTCGACTACGAGGGGTGCGTGCCGACGTTCTACAACATCCTGCTCGGGTGCAACACCGGCGAGAGCCCCCACAAGAAGAACGTCGGCGGGACGTATATGTACGGGTGCGGACATTATATGCTGCAGCATAGTGGACCGGGCATCTAAGCAGGGAAGAAGGGGAGAAAGCTTTCTTTCCTCCTCATTCGCGCTTCGAGGCACCGCCATCCGATGATCGATGTGAGGCTCTTGAAACCCCTGGTTTTGGCCCGAGTGGGAGCGGTGACTGAGAGAAGTTTGCTACGCCTATAGCCTCACCATCCCCCATCACCCACTCCAAGCAATCCCCTGGAGACCAAGACCATCAGCCCCGGAATCCTCGAAAGCAGACATGTGAGTCAGCCCTATCCTTCATTTCTCGACCGACCGGAAAAAGCACTAACGAAAAACCGTCCAGCACATCTCCCATCCACCCAACCAGACTCGACCATGGTAACGACTCCACGGCACGAAGGAGTTGTCATGAGTAGCGGGGAGGGCATATCACAAAAGCGAGAAGGACACTACTACACATTAGATAGAAGATAGACTTCTATCAATTCAACAATACCTGATTCCCGAGTACTGTGCCACACCTCCCTCCTTTTGCGCTCAAACTTCCCAAAAACGCCCTTGCAACACCAACGCTAATTCTACAACCAATAACAACATACTCCCCAAAAGACTACCAACAATAATTATACATACCCCAGAAAAAGCGCCATCATTTCTATTCATACACACTCCCACTCCGCAAACACACACCACCTCGCACTACGATCCGCAAGCACTAAACCCCTCCAAATCCCCCTCTCCCCAATCTTGATAACCGTCTCCCAACTCGTCGTCAACCCGCCGAAATCCTCCTCCTCGACTCCGCGACTCGTATGCTCCTGCTTCCTGGTCAGACGGATAATCTTCTGGCTTGGAGATTGGATGGCGAGTTTGGCGGGTTTCTGTTGCGCGGCCGTCATGCCTGAGGAGGAGGCGTTGGACGAGGGGTCGGAGTATTGGCTGCCGGTCTGGGAGGCCGAGACGGAGACCATGGACATGGCGCTTGTGGGGCGGACGAGGGGGTTGGGGCTTTGAGGGCGGCCTGTTGTGCCGGTGCCCCAGGTGTCCGGGGTGAAGCGCGAGAGGGAGGAGGGGTGTTGGCGAACGCAGAAGACGAAGGTGTTGTTCATCGTCAGGCGGAGACACTGCGGTTGCGCGACGTATAGATCGTGACGCTGGGCGTGCGGTGTTGGGTGCCGGGTATGGAAATCGTAGGGCGGGTTCTGTCCAGTGTGTGAGAGTGGCAAGGCGAGTGCCATCGAATGTGGATTGTCTTTGACAGAATGCATCAGGCCCCTTTTCCCAGCATAGACTTTGAGCACACCACGACCTTCATCGCCTGACAGAAGCGCCTTGACAGTGAACCGTTTCCGGCCGCCAACCCATTCTGCCTGAGCAAAAGCTTGCTTGGTGACAATGTCGCCACTCTCGAAGAAGTCACCATCTGCGTCCTGAGCGAAAGCCCTAGCTTCCGTCTCGGCAACACATTCGACATCTTCAGGAACGTTGATGTGCAGGTGAGCCATCTCGAGCCGCTCCAGGTACAGCATGCTCGTGTCGAAGTTGGACATCTCAACACCATTTCTGAAATACGCCGGACACGCACAAGGCAGCGCAATCAAGATCTCATGCTCTACTGGAGGCACGAGATGCTGCTGCTCTGGCAAAAGAGGGATGTGAGTGTAGCAGATCTCCATCGGCCGGGCGAGGAAGTACCACGACTCTGCCACTTGGCTGCTGGCTGTACTGTAAGCACTTCTCTTGGGATGCGTAGGACTGGCAAGAGCACAATCCATCATCCGCCATTCGCCATCGACAATGACCGCATTCCACCAGTGATTCGGTTGGGCTAGCGACTCGAGCTCCACGATTTCGCCAGGTCCTTTGAGGTATCCACGAACGATCTCAGCGTGCAGGCCCACCGCAACACACATATCCCTGATCAACAACGCAATCTCTTCACTGCAACCACGCTTGGTCTGGATCGTCCTGCGCGTGTCAAGTTCACCCTCGAAATCCTCTTCCCACCGGATTCGCTCAGCAACCCAGGTAAAGATTGCACGCAATCGCTGAACATCACTCCTGTGAGGTCTGCAGACATAGCTCTGTGCCAGAGAATTCGCACTGACCATCGGCGGCACATTCTGAATAAAGCGTGTGCTCTTGTCGACTAGCGCCAGGTTTGGCAGATTGAAGTCCGTTGGCTCACTGACAGGTAGACCGTCGAGACTCTCATCGCCTTCGACAATCTCCAGCAACTGATCGATAGGTCGCAGCACAGGATAATCAAGCATCTCACACCGTTCTGCCCGATCATCTCGTTCGCGCTGGCTCAGGGAATTCGAACGATTGATGTCGCGGCGCACTTGCATCCACTCATTGCCTCCACCAAGACCCATATCTCTTGCCGCTCCACCAGGTGCGGTTTGCGGCCTTGCAGCTGTTCCGCCGGCAATAGACGTGGGACCATTGCTACCAAACATCTTTGTGGGACTTCCTGAACGACTTTCAGGGCGTCCACCTGCTCGACTGCCAGGTCGGCTTTGGCTGGCATTTCCAATGGTAGACCTCGCATTCGCAGCACCGGTTCTCGCTGTTGTTTTCGCAGTCTGAATCATTCTCTTGAAGAAACCACTCCTCTTCGCCGCCTGAGGTGAACTCAAGCCACCAAGCACGCCTGCATTTTCCATCGGATCCTTCGCCCAGTCAGCCACAGGAGTGACAGGTGCCTGGATTTGCGAGCTATGGCTCTCGTGATAGCTTGGGCCAGACGCAGAACTCTCGCTCGCTACCATACGTCTTGCGCTGGAGTTCATATCACCTGTGGACTTGCTGTGCGTATGGTCTCTGCGCTCTTTTTGACTCCCCAAACCAAACTTTCGACGGGCAAGGCTGCCAGCACTCGTAGCGCTGAAACCACCCGCTGAGTAGCCTGACATGATGCTACGGCTCGTCAGCTGGGTACTTGCGCTGCTTTGCGTCGCTGAAGAGTTCTCGGTGGAGTTGGTTGCATTCGTTTTGGTAGTATACGTCCGGTTAAGACGTTCACGACCAAGCTCAAATGCTGACTTTCGATGTCGAAGTTGTGGTAGTTGAGCTTGTGCGGACTGAGGATGATTACTGGAACCACTGCTAGATTGGCTGCTGGATGTTGTCGGTCGAGCTGAGTACTGTGTTCCCTTGAGTGGCGGCTGGGGTGGTTGATCTGAGAAAGACGGCATCTGTCGTAGCTGGTGCTCCATTCGTTGGACGTAACTATCAACTCTGAGAGGTCCGTCTCTCGACGATGGCAAAGAAGGCGTCTTGGTTCGCGGAATACCAAACGGATCCTGGGCACCGAAGCCGAGCGAAGACTGTGCCCGGTCCGGTTGCGCAAATCCCATAGCAGATTGTGCACGGGACAGGTCTCTGACACCCTCGAACCCGTCGGGCGACCAGACATTCGAAGGTGTCTTGGATCGTGGTGGCGGAGGAGGCGGTGGAGAGGACTGCAACGCGCTCATGTCTTCGAGCGATGTCATCACGTCGTTCATAGCATTTCGTAACGGTGACGGCGTCATGTGGCTTCCATTCGGTGAGGGAGGGACGGGAGTCACGGTTGGGCTTCTCCCATAGCCAGGATGCATGGGTTCGTCTGGCTGCGGTGAAGGCGCCCGGCTGACTTGATAAGGCACTCGATGAGCAGGCGGTGGAGGGGGAGGTGATGATCCCAAATCATCGTCGAAGTCCGCTCGTGAAGGAGGTCTGGAGTTGTATTGCGGCTGATCGTAGGGATTAGGTGATGGCTGTCGAGAGATTGGTAGCATCTGAGGATACGCTGAACCATCGTGGTACGTCGATGGCAAAGGAGATCGCGGCCGTGAAGGTGCTGGTGAAGGTGCGTATGACGGCTGCGGCGAAGGTGCTCTGTAAGGGACATAGCCAGGCGTGGGCGTGGGTGACGCCGATTGAGGAGCTCTAGGCGGTTGCGGACTGCGTGCTCGACGAGTGCCACCTCTCGGCGGTGGAGCTGGTATCCGCGGCGCATTATCCTGAGGAATGATAGGTGCACCTGAAGCATGTTTCTTAATCGTCCCAGTCGGCGCCTGCGCGGTCTTCATGCTAGAATATGGCCTGAACTTGCTCTTCTCTTTCTTGGACTTCTCCAAATCGCTCTCCGGTGTCCCCTCTTTGCCCTTGACGCTATCCAAGCTGTCGCGCTTTCCATACTCTTCATACGCCTGGTATGGTTTCCTGAATAGTGATCTACTCCTGTTCGAAGAATCGTGTTGAGGTCGAGGTAGCTTCGTCGGCGTCGCATTGCGACTATTGGGCGCGGGTTGGAACGATGCGTCGAGTACTTTGACGAAATTCGAAGGAAACAGACCGACAGCTCTGGGGTCCCGTCGCAGTCTTCCCATCCACCATGCGCCATCGCCAGCATTCAGCGCTTCGATCAAGTCGCCCTCAATGAAGCCCAGGTCCTTCTTGGTCTCTCCGCCCCAGGAGAAGGTGGCTTGCACCCAGCATGGGAAACGCGGGAGATCGTTGGGCACCGTCATCGTGTGCAATGTGGCGACCCAGAGTCGCAAAGCTTGTAAAGCTATGAATTGCGTGGAATCATAACAAGCCGTGCGAGAGGGTACGTCGGTTGAGGTGTTGTCGACGTGGGTCGTTGCTATGGCCGGCGCTAGCAGCGGTTGAAACCAGGTTCAAGACGACGGCGCTGGACCGGGATACGACCAATTCTTGGTATGGATGGAGTTGCGAATGCTGGTGGATGATTGAGACGGAAGCACAGCAGGCGACCTCGCAATGCGGCCGGGCGATGAATATCAAGAGCTTGGTTGCTGTGCTGCTCGTTTGTTTGTTGTGCGAAATCGCGGGTCCTGTGCTAGCGCCGTTTCTAGCGTCCTATTTCTAGTACCTCTCCGATCTGGCGGCCCCATTTCCGCCCCCATCTTGAACTCCGCCATACCTACTACTTCAATGAATTTTGAAATCAAAGTGAATGACATTGAGTACATTAGACATTGGCTCTTCATATTGGTTCCGTTAATCCGCCAAGAACATCTGTCCTCCTTAGATCGTGTTCTCGTCCTAGCCGCACAAAATGTGCCTCGAGTTGTGCATGCAATTCACGCCAGGAGCAAGTCTCACGCACTGATCGAAGCACCCGTCATTACAGCATTCGACGAAGTCTTCGCGGCAGTGATACTCTTCGCTGAATTCTCCTCGTCCCGCAGGAACCTGTCCAAAATCTCTGCCGCAGTGTGCAGCATCCGACTTCCACCCTCGATTCTCAACGCCTCCATGATGCGATCCGAGCCCCATACAACTTCGAACAGGTATCCAATGACGTATGGTAGCTGCGACTCCTCCTCCATATACGTTTCTCCAAAGTACTTGACGAGATCTGCGTGGAGATGGGCCTGCAGAGTGCGAAGCATTTTCCAGCTGCGTTGGTGGAGGCCGAAGTAGTCGAAGTTGAGGTGAAGTTCCTCGCCGGCGACGCCTTCGCGCACGATATCGAGAAGCTGGAGAGGGCTGTATTGCTTTTGCGTTACCAGCTCTCGAGCAAGAGATTGTAGATCGGTAGATGGGTTGCTCGTGCGCTCTGCCTTGGCTGCTACCGACAGCATGGCGATAAGATTCGCAGTGCTGAGCTTTGCCGTCTCGCCGAGCATATAGCGGTCGTGGAAAACGTCTTTCACAGGCGTTGTGGTCTTGAGGCCACGCGGCCCTTTCTTGGACTCCACGATTAGGGAACGACCGCCTGTACGGCGATTGCGAGCAAAGTTGGTGGCGCTCGCGCCAAGGGCGAGCACAAAACGCTTCAGATATTCGATTGCCTCAGTGGGCGGGGCGCCAACGAAGATGCGTTGAGGGGAGTGAAGAGAGATGATGTAGTCCATGTCTTTCCAATCTGATTCGAGACTGGCACTATGACGAGCTGCGTTGTAAAGATGGGCAGGGTAGATGGCTGATCCCCATGCGTTACAAAGCGTTATGCCACTTGCGAGTAGATGCATGTGTTAGTATTCGTTCGAAGTTGATAGAGAGAGTGCAATTGTGTAGCTCACGTTCTTGAAGCTGTGTATTCATTCGGTAGATCAACAGGCCACAGAGGACGGGATGGCGCTTGAGGAAGAGGTAAGGGGTACGAGAGACTCCCATCTTCTCGTACTCTGATCTGAACAGCGGAGCCATGTTGTCTTTCTGAGTCCATGCATCGGCGAACGTGCGGAGGTGCTGGAGTAGCTCATCGTGCTCTGGTGTCCAGACATCGACGCTTCTGCCGCGAGAGAAGGCAAAGTACGAGTCAAGAGTGTCGACAACTATTTTGCCAGTCGCTTGCATTTGCTCGAATGGATGGGTGGAGTCGTCCCAGAGGACGTGGTGAATGTCAATGAAGACCTGCATGGCGAAGACTGCATAGAGAGGCAGTGCTTCAATACTGCTTTGCATCAATCATCTGGCGAAGTCCCTTGGTGAGCTCGTCCTCGGCCGGTATATGCATGCCAAGTCTCGATATCTTGGTGAATTCTGGCATAACTTCCATTACCATTCTCAAATCTTCGAGCTTCTGCTGGTCCCTGGACATCAAAGTCCTGTCTTGCTGGGGGTCATAGCTGCCTTGACGAAGCTCCAAAGCTGGTACCTTGTTGGGGACGAGACGTTCGGCGAAGAGTAGGAGCATCTCAAACGTGGGCGAGCAGATCCACTCTTCAAATTCGTCTGTCGAACCTCCTCGGTTATCCATGTAGTCCACCAGGAAGTCGACGAATTTCAAATAGTGACGGCTTCCTGGATAAGCTTCATCGAGCTCATAAGAATGGCGTTTCATCATATTGAAGGCCGTGTCAGTCGTGATAGCTGCGCTCATGAGATCGAGTTTGCCGCATTGGTAGTCTGACCAAACGCCCCTCAAATGATCACGAATGTCGTTCATGTCCTTCACAAAGCTCATCATGGCGAAGAAATCATCTGCGTCCGAGACTTCAACTTCGTATTGATCCTCGGTCGGTTTCTTTGAAGACGTTGCTAGTACGCTGTTGTCCGACGTTGATTCTTCCACGTTCAGCGCTGTAAACATATTGTCGAGAGCATCGTCGTCGTCGCCCTCATCTTGAGTGGTATCCAACACATTCGGCTGGAGAATCTCAAGGACATTCTCCAAAACTGAAATGAAGTGAGAGTGGCCCGCTTTCGCAGCCAGTATAGCGGGATCTGTCTTCTTCCTGGAGAAATGGGTGAACAATCTGGAGGCATCCTTTCTGAGGATAATAACACCCCGAACGAGGGTGATGACGCGGTTTGGTATGCGGATCTTCGGGCTTGCAGCGGAAGCAATGGTCCTGGCCAGATTGGTGAATTCCTTGACGGGGACAGGTACTTTTATGGTTTTGTTTTCTGTGCCTCGCCGTCCTCGGCGGCTCCAGCGGTAGTGGCAAGAAAGCTCAAGTCAGCTCCACATCGTCGAGCGTTCTCAACAAGCCACGTCACAATCTTGGTGGTGCCAGTCTTGTACGATTTGTACGTGCTAAGATAGCCGGTTGGTAATGCCATGACGGCTGATGGGATCCCCGTAGAGGTCGATGGTCAGAGGGGGTGTACCACAATGGCGTCGCTTGGTCAGTGTCACTGTGGCAGGGAGAGCAACCAATGCGAAAGGATGACTGAACGTAGAGAAGAGGAAAGTGAAGGCAAACGGCACCGTGACAGGGAGAAGACAAAGAAATCGCTGCTCCATACCGGGTGGTTGCATGAGCAACAGAGATTTGTGGCTAATTTGGTCAAACGCGAGGAATGAGCCTGGCGGTCGAAACATCGTGTCCAAAGGTATAAGGGTCAACATTGGCGATGAGGTGAGCGAGTGAGTCGAAGGGAGGACGTCGGATCCGTGAAGTTTTAAGCTCATCGCCCTTACCCAAAGCAGAACAAACGCGTTGCGTCACTGCAAGGAACGAGTGGTTTCACGAGCGCGGACTCGGCGGGCGGCTTCGGTCCTCGAAATCTTTGTCTGAGAAGCACCAAAATGACTCTTCTGTGTAGAATGGCACCACTCGCCGCCAATTTGCTAAGATAAATACGCCTCTTCTCCCCTCTCCCTCTCCAACCTTTCTTCCCGTCCTTCACTCTCCCACTCCGCCACCATGCCTACCGCCGCGCTCAACATCCCCGAACGCCCCACCAACGGCGACAACTCCCTCTCCAGAACCGTTAGCAACTCACGGACAGACCCCGTCAACTCCCTCTCCACCAGCCCCCAACTCTCCTTCCACAGCCCCCAGGCAAGCTACGCCGGCCCGCCCAAAGTCAGCGCAAAACAGCTTCGTCCGTTCCAGTCACAAGATGTCAAGATCCTGCTGCTCGAGAACGTCAATCTTGTGGGACAGGAGATTTTGAAGAAGCAGGGCTACCAGGTCGAAGCGCTCAAGAGCTCCCTCCCCGAGGACCAGCTTATTGAGAAGATCCAAGATGTGAACGTCATTGGCATTCGTTCAAAGACACAACTCTCTGCCAACGTCCTCCGACATGCGAAGAACCTGATTGTCATTGGATGCTTCTGCATTGGCACAAACCAGGTCGACTTGCAATATGCCGCAGAGAACGGCATTGCGGTTTTCAACTCGCCTTTCAGCAACTCTCGCTCCGTGGCCGAGCTCATGATTGCGGAGATAATAACTCTGGCAAGACAAATGGCTGACCGCAGCATGGAGATGCACCATGGCGTTTGGAACAAGGTCTCGAACGGCTGCTGGGAGGTACGAGGAAAGACGCTGGGCATAGTAGGATACGGCCACGTTGGTGCACAACTCTCGGTCCTCGCAGAAGCTATGGGCATGAGGGTCATATACTACGACGTGATCAACCTCATGGGATTAGGAACCGCTCAGCAGGTCCCCAACTTGCAAGCCCTCCTTTCCGGCGCCGACTTCGTCACCCTCCACGTGCCTGAAATCGAAGAAACCAAGAACATGATGGGCGAAAAGGAGCTCTCCCAAATGCGCAACGGCGCCTACCTCCTCAACGCCTCGCGCGGCAGCGTCGTCGACATCCCCGCCCTCATCGCCGCCATGAAGTCCGGCAAAATCGCCGGCGCAGCCCTCGACGTCTACCCCAACGAGCCCGGCAAGAACGGCGAACACTTCAACAGCCAGCTCAACGCCTGGGGCGAAGACCTGCGCAGCCTGAAGAACCTCATCCTCACCCCTCACATCGGCGGCTCGACCGAAGAAGCCCAATCCGCCATCGGCGTCGAAGTCGCCGACGCCCTGGTCAACTACGTCAACTTCGGCACCACCACCGGCGCCGTCAACATGCCGGAAGTCACGCTGCGCTCCCTCACGCTCGACGAGCCCAACCACGTCCGCGTCATTTACATCCACAAGAACGTCCCCGGTGTGCTGCGTCGTGTCAACGAGATCTTGGGCGACCACAATGTCGACAAGCAGATGACGGATAGCAGGGGCGAGGTGGCGTACCTGATGGCGGATATCAGCAATGTGAATGTCTCGGAGATCAAGGATTTGTATCAGAGTTTGGAGGATTTGGGGAGCAGGATTCGCACGAGGGTGTTGTACTAGATCAACAAGTACAGATAGAGCAGATGGACAAGGGTGCTTTTGGAGCTGGTGTTCTTGGTCTCGGGATGGGAGGCAAAAAGTGCTAAAAGGAGCTCTGGGTTCAACGAACAGACAGGCAAAAGAAGAGGAAAAGTCATCGGGAATAGAGAGAAAACTTTTTATAAGCAAAAGGCGTGGATGCGATGCGATAACGCGAGAGATACCACAGTTGGCATTCAACATGAGGCGTTATTCTGTCTGCTCTTCGGAAGATGCGAGATTCATCGCAATAGCGAGGCTTCAATCGAACTTCTCACATCTTCCATCCTTCTTGCGCCCCGCTCGCTGGTGTCTTGTGCTCCACAACAAGCACCTCACTCACAGCCTCCTTTTCATATCAACAGCTCTCCAAAGCCATTCCTTAAATCACCACCAACCCAACCCAACCCACTCCTCAATCCTTCCCCTCAAGCAACCGATTCTCCCAACTCCCCAACCACCTCCACCCCCTACACGTCCCGCCCAACTCCCTCAACGCCTCATTCACCTTCCCGCCCTCCCCACCTTCCTCCTTCCGTCCCATGACCTCCACGAAGAAGATATACTGCCAGGCCGCTTGGCCCCCGATGTTGGGCCGCGTGTTGATGGAGGTGAGGTTGAGGTTGTGGGATTTGAAGACGGCGAGGGAGTCTGCTAAAGCGCCGGGCGAGGTGTGGGAGATTGTGAAGGAGATGAGGGTTTTGTATGCGTCATCGCCAGCACCGCCAGCATGCAGATCGTGGGAGGGTTGGAGTGACGGGGAGGGTGATTTGGCGGAGCGTAAGATGAAGAAGCGTGTCGAATTCCCTTCTCGGTCTTCGATTCCTTCTGCCAGTACCTCCAGCCCATTCATCTCCGCGGCGATCTTGGACGAAATTGCCGCCGAAGTCCCAGAGGGGTCTTGCGCGACAAGTTCAGCGGCTTTGGAAGTCGAGGAGACGTCTTGGCGTTCGGTGGATTTGAGGTACGTCGATAGGAACAGGTGGCATTGGCCCCAGGCTTGCGGGTGGGAGTAGAGTTTCTTGATGTGGGAGATGTCGTGGTCGGGCGCGGTCTTGGGTTTGGAGGGGCTCGGGGTGGATTGCGTGGGTGTTGCGGTGCCGGAGAGGTTGGGGCTATTGCTGTTGTCGTTTTCTTTGAGGCGGCGCCAGGGGAGATCGGTGCGTTTGGTTGGTGAGCTGGAACGGGCGTTGGTGTCGGTGTTGAGGTGGCCGAGGAGACAGTGTCGAACGGGGAGGTAGATCTCGCCTTCAACCAGAATTTCTGGGTACTTGCCGTTGTGGTCTGCGAAGAGGTCCAGGGTGAAGACTACAGAGCCATTGGAGGAGTTTTCGAAGGGAACCACGCCGTGGGCTGCGGTGCCGGATTGGACCGCGGCGAAGACGTCTTCGATGGAGCTTTGTGGTTGGAGATCATATTTGCTCTCTGGGAAGGAGGAGACTGTGGCCTGTTGAATATATCTGTTAGCATTCTCGTTCTGAGATGAGTCAATGGCACGAAATCCCAAAATTCAAAACTGCCCATCAACCACCACCCCAATACTAACCTGCCTCCCCATCTCCCTCGCAACATCACAACATCCTCCATCTTTCGCCCAATGTTGTAAAAACCCATTAGAGTCATAGGAAGGTCGACGAAGACTTACTTGGTGCGTGTAAGACGCCTTGGGGCCGAGGAAGGCCACTACTGGCTTGGGGTCGCCCATAATGGCGGTGGGCGCGAATCAAGAAGTCTCTTGAAATGTACCTGCCTTGCCAATTATGTAAGTCTCATGTCCTGATGCGATTGTCTTCAGAGGTGCATCGGCTGCAGGCAAACGGCGGCTTCAAGGCAAGGGTGCTGTTGGCGTGGCTGTTGCGATGCGAGAAATGCTGAAGAGACTTTGATGCAGCGAGAGCTTGTAGTGTCAGACGTGAGACATGACGTAGTACCCCTTCAATGCCAAAATGGTGTTATGGCAAGACAATACAACAGAGGTGGTTGAAAGAATTGAGAACTGGTGTTGCTGGAGTAACGACACTTTTCACAAAGTGTAGTCCGTGACTGCCGCTTTCGGAGCTTCAAACCGAACCAACGCCAAGACATGTCGAAAGACTAATCAAACTTGGAGTAGAGACAGTGTGTATTGCAGAGCGAGCTAATGTCCAATATCTGAACCATTATTTCCGACTCCAGCATACCGACCAAAGTATATCGCCTTAAGGAGTGTGTTTCTTCCTAAAAGCCACTGAACGCAAAGCAATCGAAACACCAGTTATAATAAATGCGTGCTTGTTGTGAGGGCGAGTAGCACTGTTGCTTTGCACGTGAGAGTTTGCCATTGCAATCAATACAGCTCGGCATGATCTTGTTCGACCACGCTAAGAGTCTGATCGCACGTCACTCCCTCCACTTGGACACCTCCTCAGGCTGCAATGCCTGCTTTCAGTGGCGAAGATACCTATCGTCAAATTAGCCCACGCATTTGCCTCGTTTCCTTATGAATTTCGTACCTTTGGTCGGTTGAACTCGGTCTTCGTCGCAGAGTTCTGCTTGGCGAGTACTTTCTTGGCGAACGAGACTGGCTTCTTCTCGGGCTCGTTCGACTCCTTCCCCGCTTGCATCTCATCTCCTGTCCCATTGACTGCTGGGACTGTAGCAGTTGCAGCCGCCTCGACGTGCTGCGTGGGAGGCGCCTTTACACCTTCGACAACTGGTGCTGGTCGTTCCGTGCGCGGCGCCTCGCCCTCTGCGAGGTCATCTATTTGTCAATCGTCGTAGAACTCGTCTTCGTCATCATCGATATTGAGTTGCTCAAAGTTGAGCTTGTATCGCATAATCGCTCCAATGCCACCAAATCCGCGCACGAACTGGTTGCCTTCAGAAGATCGGTCGGAAACGAACTCCAGCGTAGCACCAAAATCGCGGTACTTCTCTGCCAGCCATTCGAGGAAAGGCATTGAATCTACCACTTCCATTTCCTGGCCAGTCTCCTTGTCCATGAAGATCTCGCGGTTCTGTTCCTGCTCCTTGGTGGTGTGCAAAATGACTTCGCTGCCCTCGCTGTTCTTCAATTGCCATCGGGTCATCTCGAGATTCTCGTAGACAATCAACGTCTCGGCAGCACCAGCCTCCAAAGCCTTGAGGGTATCATCAATACCGTAGCAGACCTTTCCACTGTCCTGGCTGATGTGGTCAAAGTATTGGTTGATCAGCTTCTTCTCCTGGATGAACTTGACGTTGGAGAGCGTCTCAGAAGCCAGCTCGATGGCCTGGTTGAAGCCGTTCTCGCCTCCGTAGCTGACATCGACCACTTTGATAACCTTGGCCTGCAGACGCTGGTCGAACAGGTCGGACTGGTTGAGATCGTTCTTGAAGTCGGCGCTACCAGCCAGAATCACACCCGCCACGTTGACCTTGTCGTTGCTGATGAAGTTCTGGACAGCCATTTCGGCGACCTTGCGGACGTAGTTGTGCCGTTTCTCCTCTCGCAGACGGGCGAAACGCAGGGCAGACTGACCACCACGACCGTGCTTCTTGGGCAAGTCAACGCTGAACTTGGCCAGGACATCTCTCGTGTTGCCCGAAAGTGTACCAAATAGGGCTCCATTACCATCCATGATGATAAAACCGAACTTCTGATCCGACTCGAGAAGCTCGCTAAGCGCCTCGGTGTGGAACTTGTTGTCACACAGGTACAGTGAGGTATTGATTGGCTTGAAAGGCTCGAAATCGATGTTGATCTTCCTCTCTTTACCCTCGCTGGTGATGATTTCACCACAGTAGACGACGAGTCCGTTCGGCGGCACCTTGCTGTACAGCTTCAACCTCTGCTGGGTGGAGGTGATGGCTGAAAGGACGGACAGACGGTTGACACGGGACTTGATGTTGGAAGCAGTACCGAACTCTTCAGCCAACATCTTTGCGGCACGTGAGACCTGGTCCTTGGGAGGGATGATCAAGCTGATCATGCTGGTGCCGTTGCCGCGGGCAGCTTCGAGGCGCTTGATGAGTTTCTTGACCTTCCATATCTCGATGTTCTTCTCGGCGTCGTTGGCTTGGGGCGCCGACATGATTGCGGTTGGGGAGCGGAGAGTCGCTCACTGTGCGGACAAAGAAGTTAGTGGAGGAGTGAGGTGAGGTGCGGTGCGGCGGAAATTTTGAGCATCGGCAGGTGACTGCGGGTCGGCTGTGCTGGCAGAGGAAGGAGAGAGTGTATGACACGCACCTCGCGGGTTGGCTGGGGACAAAATGCGCCTGGCGACCAGCTCTCACTGGCGTCAAGGGGGCTGCTTTATCGGTTGGTGTTGTGGTGAGTGTCTGCGGTGACAGTTGTTGTCGGCGAAAAATACGTCACGAGTCGCCGTCGGTCCCTCCGCCCAAAAGCGGCGGCAAGGCCCGACCACCACCACGGCCAAAAACAACAAGCGGACCCCTCGACCCGCTCTCCGCGCAGAGGCAGCGAATTGAAGAGGCGGAATGGGGCGTCTTACCTGAATGCGTGACAACCGACACGCCTAACAACACCCTCACTTCACGTCGTGTCTCGGTGTAGCAGCAGCTATACTGGAACTTCGTTGTTCTACAGTCCACGCGTGAAATAGTCTCTGCCCTCAACCAACGGTCGCGGCATCGCCCAACCCAACCGCCCGCTTGTCCGCGGCATAAATCAATCTTCTTCAATTGGGGAGGCGTCTCATCAATCAATCAGCTGGCCACTCCGATAAGACCTGCCTCAGCCCTCCCTGTCGATAATTTTCATGAAGCTGGGATCCACCTGCTTTGCCTTTATCGAAGCACTGTGCCCGCTATCAGTCGGTGTGTTGCATCTTCCTCCGCCTTTTCCTTCAAACATTCTTCTTCCACATATCTACGGTGTATGGAAAGGCCGGTCTCGAGCCGGGAGCTTCAACAGCTCTCCTACTAGTGTGGATATACATCGGCTGACCATCGAGCCACCCCAACCCCACACATCATCACGACACGAGAACGTATCACTAGAGAGAGCTGGAAATAGGGATCGAATACCATGCCTTCAGCAAGAGGGCAGCTCCCCTCCAGTTGGGGCGCCTACGAGCGTGATCGCGCAGATTCCACCAACTCGAGCGTGCAGTTCAATGCGGAAAGCGAGCAACACCAGCGGCCGGTCGAGGAACATCTGAACCCGTACGCATACCAAGGAGGGGATAGCAAACCCCCGCGAAGGAGATCGTCAATGTCCCAGGCTTTCAATTCGATAAGGAACGCGGGTGGTGTGAACAGCTTGGACAACTTTGCTCGCTCATGGCAGCGTGCAGTGGGGTTTCACGAGGTCACGCCGGTACGGCCGAGCTTTCGATATGCCGATGATGATGGTGAGGATGATCAAGAGGCAGATGGGGACGAAGAGTCTGGCACACCAAAAGCACACAGATCACTGCTCAGACAGCAGCTGGAAGCGCAGGACAGAACTGTGTCAGACGATGCCATTGAGGATGCCGATACCGATACGACGGTGACGAGACTGTCTCGACAAGGGACGAAAGACAAGGATCAGCAGATGTCAGAGTCGTTGCGGGAACAGGAGCCGTTACTGAGCAGGACCACATCGCTGCAACAACATGCAGACGATAACATCTTCCTCGTGGAGCCTTCGCTGGCATCGCCTTTTGGAGGAAGCTATGGCAGTACGTGGGGATCGCTGTCTTCGAGAGTAAATGAGTCGTCAATGCGACATGCTGGACGACTTTTCCGCCAACAACAGCAAAAAGGCACCACGGCGCCTGATAAGGAACGGGAGCCATTGATTGTCAAGCGTGTCGAGGAAGATGATGGAAAGGTGGTGAATGTGGTCATTGGCCAATCCACGCTACCGCAGACTATTTTCAACAGCGTCAATGTCCTGATCGGTGTCGGCCTGCTGGCACTCCCACTGGCCATGAGGTATGCTGGATGGATACCGGGACTGATATTCTTCTTCTTTGCTGGTGTTTCCACCCGCTACACAGCCAAGCTTCTCGCGAAATGCTTAGACGTCGATTCAAGCCTCATCACCTTCGCTGACCTGGCCTACGTCTCCTTTGGACCATGGGCCCGTATCGGCACATCCATTCTCTTTAGCTTGGAACTACTAGCCGCCTGCGTCGCGCTGGTGGTCCTCTTCGCCGACTCCCTCGACGCTTTAGTCCCCTGGGGCATCATCGAATGGAAGGTCGTATGCGGCATCATCCTCATCCCTCTTAGCTTCGTGCCTCTTCGATACCTCTCCTTCACCAGCGTCCTCGGCATCCTCAGCTGCTTCGGAATCACCCTCGCCGTCCTCGTTGACGGTCTCGTCAAACCACATACCCCAGGCTCTCTCCGCGAACCTGCCAAGACCTACCTCTTTCCGTCGAACTGGCTCACCCTCCCCATATCCTTTGGTATCCTCATGTCACCCTGGGGCGGCCACTCCGTCTTCCCCAACATCTACCGCGACATGCGTCATCCCTGTACGTATCCCCAAAACATACTCCAACTCCCCACATCCTAACCATCTTTCCAGACAAATACCGCAAAGGCGTCGACATAACTTACGCCTTCACCTTCTCCCTCGACCTCCTCATGGCGGTAATCGGCCTCCTCATGTTCGGCGACGGCGTCGCCGACGAAGTCACCCGCAACATCCTCTCCGAAGAAGGCTACCCGGCCGCCATCTCCCTCTTCATCGTCATCTGCGTCGCCATCATCCCCCTAACAAAAATCCCCCTCAACGCCCGCCCGATCGTCTCGACCCTCGAACTCTTCCTCGGCCTCGACGCCCGCGCCCTCGGCGCCGCCCCCGCCACGACCGGCCTCTCGGGCCTCTCGCGCGGCATCCTCAAAATCACCGTCCGCGTCCTCTGCGTCGTCGTCTTCGTCCTCCTGGCGATTCTCATCCCGCAGTTCGATACGATCATGAGCTTGCTGGGCGCCGTGGCGTGTTTTACCATTTGTTTGATTTTGCCGTGTGCGTTTCATTTGAAGCTGTTCGGCAAGGAACTCAGTGCGTGGCAGAAGGGTGTGGATTGGGGGTTGATTGTTGTTTCGAGTGTCCTCGCGGTTGTGAGTACGGCGTTTAATTTTGTGCCTAAGGAGATGTTGGGGGCTTGATTTGATTTATGATGAGGAGGTGGATGGGGTGGTGTGTATGTTGAGTCTGTTTCAGGCGAGGCGTTGTGGGATGGGTGCTTAATGTATACGAATGCATGGGTGGTTCAGCAAGCGTTTCGAAGTCGTTACATCTGTACATTTTGCCATATCCCAAGACCTACCTACCTACACACATCTTGATATCTTTCACTGCCCCAAATTCGCCTTATCAATACTCCCCTGCTCCGTCCCCACACTCCCCTTCACCGCAATGCCCCCCTCTGGAGTCTCCGCCCACACCTCCCACTTATTCTCCCCCGTCTTCGTCCCACAGAACTTGACCGGCTCATTGCAATACAACGGCGCGACATTCCTATACTCCACACTCTTGACGACTTCATTCCCCTGCTTCGCCAACTGCTGCTGCAACAACGTCACGAGGAACGTAAACGACATGGGTCCGTGGAAGAGCAGATCCCTATGGCCTTCGATCTCGCGGCAGTACTGCGGGTCGAGGTGGATGGCATGCGCGTTGAAAGTGAGGGCGCTGAAGCGGAAGAGGAGTTTCGGGTCCGGGAGAATGGTATGTGTGTAATCGGGCGTATGTTGGGGTTTCAAGATCTTCCCGCCCGTCTTGGCCGCGTCGGCTTTGGCTTGCTCGGGGGTGCGGGCGCGCATGAAGACGATGTTGCGCGTCTCGAGTATGCTGCAGTCGCCGAAGTCGGTGTCGCTGTCCCTCCACAGGCGCTGGCGCACGCGGTGGTCGAGGTCCTTCTTGGCGGCTGGGTCGTTGGTTGCGGTCGCGAGGCGTTCTACTTCGTCCTCCGTGGCTTTTGCGAGACGACGCTCGATGGCTACAAAGATCTTCTCGTCGCCTTCTTTGCCTTTGAGGGTTACGTTGCGGATGAACTCGGCGCAGACGCCGCGTGAGGCGTCGAGGAGGAAGGGGTTCGCTTGGTTGTAGAGGACGTTGCCGCCGGCCCACATGCGGCGGACGAAGGGCTCCCCGGGGGATTGGTCCGGGTTGGTGCCGTCGGCGAGCATGTCGCTGGCGCGTTTGGAGGGTTCGAAGTAGAGGAGGTGGTGGGGGATGGGGAGTTCTTTGGCGGGGCGGGTGGGAGGGAGGACGGGAGGGGGGTTCGTCGAGGGGAGGAAGTCGGCGAGGGTCATGTCGAGGCGGTAGCTGGTCTGCGGGCTGAGGTCCTCGAAGGTGGGCTGGATGTTTCGCCTGGGGAGTTCTTCCTGCAAATGGGCGAAGGAGGAGTTCCATCTTGCTGCTTGGTGGGAGGGATGTGTTTGTCGGACGCTGCATCTCAGCAATTGGGCTCGGAGGGTTCGTGTTGCGGTCGCCATGGCTGGAGGCACGGCTGCTCGTGTGGTCTGCGGGAGGAGAGTGTGTGGGAGTTGGATGTAGACATGTTTGGGACTGAGTGCGGTGCGCGGAGCAAGCTACACCTCGGGAGCTTCCAAATGTGAAGTGGACGTCAGACGAGCTCAGGGCCTCGAAATGTTTTATTCCCGTCCTATTCCCCAGCGAGATCGGTCAACGTCCGTTCCAACAACAGGAGTCGAAATGGTCAACGAGTTGTTCATTCTACGGCCAAGCAGAACAGCCTTCGTACAAAAATACCAAAAAGAGCCTCAGACGTCGAATATCCCCAAAGAAGTCAACGCTTTGGCAAGCAAGTCGAAGCTCCACCCGGTCACGCGAGATGCAACATCGATGGCGTACCGCAGCATGTATATCAGGAAGACAATCATCAGCATCAACATGTCCATCAACATTGGCCCGTTAACCCACCATCATAACAATGGCAACAGCTCAGGTCGTCCGTTCAGGCCCCATCGGTCAGCCTGATATCGACTACGCCCCCAATCTCGATAAATACCTGGCGAGAGTGAACCGCCGCAAGGAAACCGAGAAGCTCGAGAATGAACTTCCCACTGGATTCCCGAAGCAATTGGAGTCTGATCTTGTTTGGGATGGGAAGGATATTGCGGAGAAGTATGAGTTTACGTATGAGTTGAATGAAAACGAGTTGGAGGAGATCGAGGCTGCGTTGAAGTATTTTAAATGTTCGCCACTCATGAGTGCTTCCTTTTTGATATTCGAGACTGATCGTGGACAGCTCTGGACAAACCACTTGGCTTCGTCGACCAGGAAACGTTTCCCTTGCCAAAGCTCCACGCCGCCTTGAGACAGATCTCCCACGACGTGCACCACGGTCGAGGCTTCAAAGTACTCAGAGGCCTGCCATTCGACAAGCACAACCGCGAGGAGAACGTCATCATATACGCCGGCGTAGCATCCCACGTAGCCTCAATCCGAGGCCGACAAGACCACCAGATCAATGGCAAGCCCGCAGATGTCGTCCTCAACCACATCAAGGATATGAGCGCCATCGTAGATGCCAGCAAGATCGGCGCTCCGGCTTATACGACTGACAAGCAGGTCTTCCACACCGATGCTGGAGATGTCATTGCTTTGGCGTGTTTGGAGAGTGCTGCGGAAGGGGGCGAGAGCAAGCTTTCTAGTTCATGGACGGTGTATAACGAACTCGCGAGGACGAGACCAGATCTCATCCGAACTCTTGCAGAGCCTTGGGCGGCCGAGAAGTAAGCAGCCATCCACCAAATCAAACCAAACCCACAGAGCATTCGGATTGATATGATGAAACAGCTTCAGCGGCCAAGGCTCCCAATTCTCCCTCCGCCCCCTCCTACACTACACCCCAGCAACGACCACCTCCCCCGAGCGCATGATAATCCAATATGCCCGCCGAACATTCACAGGCTACTGGGGTCTCCCCAGATCCTCCAACATCCCACCCATCAGCGAAGCCCAAGCCGAAGCTTTGGATGCTCTACACTTCCTCGCGGAGAAGCACGCCTTGTCTCTGGACTTCAGAAAGGGAGACGTGCAATTCGCGAATAATCTGAGCATTTTCCATGCGCGGGATGGGTTCAAGGATACGCCGGAGCAGCAGTAAGTCCCTTTGTCGTTCTTTCTTCGTTGGGTACTTTGTTGGGGAGAAGAGGCTTGAGCACATCATTCCACCAGTGTATAGAAACATCAACAGCTAAAATCTGACATGCAAAAAAACAGACGCCACCTCATCCGCCTCTGGCTTCGAGATCCCGAAAACGCGTGGAAGACGCCCGAGGCGCTGAAGGGGCGATGGGAGCACGTCTACGAGGGCGTCACGCCGGAGAATTCTGTGTTTCCCCTCGAACCTAGGATTCGATCCTCGAGCGCTGGGAAGCCGGCAGAGTAGGTACATAGCCGCGTCGTTCGTGTGTATGTAGTGCAAACCGAGACCGATACGAACTGATGATCGACTGGGCTGTACCCGCAACTGATAAGGTCGTGCAACGAGACTGTCCTACAACATCAGCAGCGGGAAGTAGAAGCTTCGTTCTGATGAGGTTCACTCAACAATTCGCTCACCTTTGCCATTATTCGCTCCGTAATGCGTTCGTCTTCAGTGGTGGAGTCAGTAAATCATGCCATGCAAGCCAATATGCCCACATGGGCCTTACGTCTTGCTCCTCCCGAATCGCGCAAGCGGTCTCGAAGCAGCAGAAGCTCGTCAAAAAGCGATTCACGGCGACAGCGGTAACACACGGCATTGGCAGAGCCCCCATCGTTCGAAGAAAGCAGAGATCCACCGTCTTGGGTTACAGCCGCGTGCTTGTTGCGTGGTGCTCGGCGTGGGTGGGTTGTATGCATGGCGTGCGATGGTGAAATCTGCGCCTAAACTTCCCAAGGGCTTTGCGGTGATCGACCTCTCTCTCAACGCGAATGTGCGTGGGTGGAGCGGAGCCCATCGCGATTTTCTTCTCAATTGCATGCGAGCGAGGTGCATAGGTGGGTGGGAGAGAAAGAAAGAGGGTTTATATAGTTAGTGGTGGTAGCCCTCGTGCTACTGCAGCGTTTCGCTTTCGCACCATCTCTCGTGCGCGACCGCTATTCTTCTTAGTCGATACCTTGTTGGCTATTGGATAGGAGGCAAACATGTCGGCCTTATTCAGGAACAGGTTCAAACCTGACTCGTCGGGGGATCGCAACGTCTCGACGACTCAATCCGTCACGGCCAGCGGCGACATCCAGGTCTCGGACGGTGATCTGAAGTATGTCGGTCAACAGGGGGGAAACAATGCGCCTGTCGGGTACCAGGAGGCCAGCGGTGCGCCGGTCGAGGTGCAGAGTCCGTTGGGGTATGCAGTTGGACCGGTGACGATTTTGTTCTTGAATTTGAGCAAGATGGTCGGGACGGGAATCTTTTCGACTCGTGAGTACCATTGAAGACCTTGCCATTCGTGGGAGAGTATCCAGAAACGCTGACATGCGAGGCTAGCCGCTTCGATCCTCAAAGGCACAGGCTCCGTCGGTCTGAGTCTGATCTTCTGGTTCCTCGGATTCTTGACGTCCCTGTCCTCCCTCTCCGTCTACCTCGAGTATGCTGCCTCCTTCCCCTCGCGCTCCGGGAGTGAAGTCGCCTACCTCGAGCAAGCATACCCCCGGCCAAAGTACTTCTTTCCGACAACCTTCGCTATCCAGACTGTTATCCTATCCTTCAGCAGCGGCAATGCAGTCGTCATGGCGAACTACCTCTTCGCGATTGGGGATTACGAAGCGTCGAATTGGGAGACGAAAGGACTGGCCATCGGATGCTATACGCTTGCGGTGTTATTCGTGATCTTCCATACGCGGGCTTCATACTTCATCAGTAACGCTATTGGCGCCATCAAGCTGATCACGTTGGTCTTTATTGCCATCACCGGGTTGGTCGTTCTGGGAGGCCATACATCGGTGAAGGATCCTGACGCCAACTTTCGCAATGCCTTTGATGGCGAGGCCAGTCCTTATGGTGTGACGAATGCCATGTACAAGATCATCTTTGCTTGTAAGTGCTTCGTTTCTTCATAGCGTTTTTGGATACTGACAGTTGTCCTAGACGCCGGGTATGAGAATGCGTTCAATGTCGTTAATGAAGTCAAGGTAAGTCCCAATAGACTCACCTTCCAGAATCCGTTTCCCTTCTGACACAGCAATTCTAGAATCCTGTCAAAACTCTCCGCAACAACACCTTCGCGGCGCTTACCGTGGTTGCCATCCTCTACATGCTCGCGAATATAGCGTTCTTCTCAGCTATCCCTAAAGACGAAATCATCTCAGCCAAGACCATCGCCGCCGGGCTCCTCTTCACCAAGGTCTTCGGCAACCACGGCGCTGTTCGCGGACTCAACTTCCTCATCGCTCTCTCGTCATTCGGAAACCTGATCGCAGTCCTGCTCGGCCAGTCTCGTGTCATCCGCGAGTGCGGACGACAAGGCGTTCTTCCATGGACGAAGTTCTGGGTATCCACAAAGCCATTCGGAACCCCGGCAGGACCTTTCCTGGTCAAATGGGGTTTGACGATCATCATGATCTTAGGACCTCCTGCTGGTGACGCGTTCAACTTCATCACGGACCTGCAGATTTACCCATCCTCGGTCTTCAACCTGATCATGGGTATCGGAATCTACGTCCTGCGATACAACCGCCATCGTCTGGGACTCTCCAAGCCGACTTTCCAGGCGTGGAACGTCGTGCTAGTCTTCAACATCATCGTCCAGCTGTACCTGATCATCATGCCGTGGTACCCACCCACCGGCGGTGCAAACGGCGGCGATGTCTCGTTCTGGTATGGAACGTATATCGTGGTGGGCATTGCAATCCTGGTCCTCTGCGCCCTGTACTACCTCACCTGGATTGTGTGGCTGCCCAAGATCAAGGGCTACAAGATGCGACAGGAGCTGTTGCAACTCGGGGATGGAGCACAGTCGCATGTCTTGGTCAAGGTGCCTCTCGATCAGCTATCCGAGTTCGATGCGACGCATGATGCCAATGGGGCGAGGATTGATCAGACTCCGAGTGAGACGGATGAGAAGATTGGCGTTGAGGTTGCGATTAAGGGCGATGAGAGAGGCGTTTGATTCTGCTTTTAGTACGCGAATGAGCCCATGGAGAAATGTAGATACGCAGGCGCTGTCCATATTGAGGTTATAGTCCGATCGATATGCAGCCAATGTTTTTCGAGTTGAGCCGTCCCGTTTGTACGACTTGTACGTAAGACGAGCATTGTCTTCAGTCGACGCTGTTACATTGCTGTGTACGTGAATTGTGAGACACGATGTCTCCAAATCGTGTTCTTCGTGCTCCTCTCATAGCGTGATATGGCGGTTGATGGTGCGATCCGGAGTGTCTTGACGTGAAGTCTGCGGTGAGATTTTGGCTTCTCGCGGAGCTGTCTCCGGGTCAGCTCTGAGGCAACGTGCACCTCCACCAACACCCCGATGCTCAAAGAAAGATGCAAACCAGATATAAGACGGCACCCTGACTTCGAACTCCTGTCGCCAACTCCGAGAGACGGCATTCCAGGCTGCAATCGATGATACGGTCAAGATGGAGCTGCACGCCCTTCGGCCAAGTACGCAACACGCGATTGGCCCCTTGTTGACATCCACGGATGGCGGGATTCCATCCTTGCGCCGTGTCTTGCCAGATTTGTAAGGTGGGTGCTGCGATAACGATTGCAGTCGCGGGGAAGACCAGGCCCTCTACACTCGACCTTCGCCTCTTCTTTGTTTCCTATCACTCTAGACACTACCAAATAGACCACCATGGCGACCACGGCGAGCTCCAGGATGACGGACGACAACGATGCCCGACCTCTCCCCAAGGATCTCTCGCATCACTTGAGCAGAGCCACGAAAATGCGCGAACAGAGCACCATGAAGGCATTCTACAAGTACTTCCAGATCCCAGGCATTGGTCAGTTCGCTGGTGGTCTGCCCAACAACTCCTACTTTCCCTTCGACACACTTGAAGCCAAGGTCGCCCGTCCAGATCGATGGCAGCCTACACCTGCGAAACCTATTGATCCCCCACCCGCCGATGAAGCCCTGGCAGCTTTGTCGTTGAACGATAAGAAGGACGCGAAGCCGCTGAGCGATGCCATTGTCGTCCCTCACACTTCTCAACAGAATAGCCCACTGAAGAAGATCGATTTGGATACTGCTCTTCAGTATGGCCAAGCGCAGGGCTACCCGCCTTTATATTACTTCATCCGCCAGTTTACACAGGAGCATATGCACCCGAATTGTCCTTACAAGGGTGGTCCTGAGGTGATACTCACCTGCGGCAACACAGATGGCTTCTCCAAGGCCTTGATGGCGTTGACGAACGAATGGAGTGAAGAGAAGGACTGGATAAGAGACAAGGAACACCTGTTGGTTGAAGAGTTTGCGTACATGAATGCGATCCAAGGTGCGAGGCCGAGAGGTCTGGGTATTGTCCCCGTCAAGATCGATGACGAGGGTATGGTTGCCGATGGCCCAGGTTCGTTGAGGGATGTTTTGGAGAACTGGGATTACAAGAGGGGCAAGAGGCCGCATTTGCTTTATACGGTGACGTGAGTATCCTTCGTGGTACACGGGGTTCGGTTGTGGCGTGACACTGACTTGACAATTAGCATGGGCCACAACCCAACGTCTGGCGTGCTGTCGTTGCAGCGACGACGGGATCTCTATGAAGTCGCATGTGAATATGATGTTATCATTGTTGAGGATGATCCGTACTGGTACTTGCAATTCCCATCGTCTACCGCGGTCAACACCACGACGACCGCGGATCCGGCCAATACATCGTTCAACCCAGATGTGGCAATGTTCGCCAATGGTGAGCCTCGACCTGAAGGTTGGAAGTCCAGCGGCTACAAGTTCCTCGACAGCTTGGTTCCCAGCTCCGTCAACATCGACCGAGAGGGTCGTATCATCCGTCTCGATACCTTCTCCAAGACCGTCGCTCCAGGCTGCAGACTCGGCTGGATCACCGCCCAACCAGGCCTTATCGAACGCATCCTCCGCATCACCGAGACGTCCACCCAGCAACCCTCTGGCTTCGTACAAGCTATGATTGCCGAACTCATTCTTGGACCCGACCACTCCGGCCTCGACAAGAAGACCAAAGACGGTAAGGGCCCACTTCCAGGCGCACAAGGCTGGAAAGCAGACGGCTGGGTCCGCTGGGTCGAAGGTCTCCGTGGGAACTACGAGCGCCGCATGAACCACATGTGCCGCATTCTCGACGCTGGAAAGTACCTCGTCAAGTCTGGCCGGCGTAACAGTCTCGCCGAGGGCTCAGAGGAAGAAGAATGGTCCGTCGTCGAGAGGACTCAAGTGCTGTCATTCGACTGGCCCGTCGGCGGCATGTTCCTCTGGCTGCACATCCTCTTCGAGAACCACCCGCTCTTCTCCGCCTACAAAAAGACTGCCTGGCGCCTCAGCAAAGCCCTCTGGATCTTCTGGACGACCGAACCCTACCGCGTGCTCGTCGCTCCGGGCGAGATGTTCAGCCCCACGGTCGAGATCCGAGATGCGCAGGGGTGGAAGTTTTTCAGATTGTGTTTCGCGGCCATCGATGAGGAACAACTAGGTCCTGTGGCGAAGCGGTTGGCCGAGGGCGTGGCGGCTTTCTGGAGGATCAAGGAGAAGAAGGTTATCGAGGGGTTGCTGGAGGAGGATGATGCTGAGGAGGGGTCGTTGAGGACGAGGGAGGGTGTCGCGCAGTTGGCGAGGGTTATTGGGCCTTGTTAGATGAGAAGTGAGGGGGCAGGGATGGCGCATAGATTGGGATGGGATGGGAGAACTGAATGATTTGTCTTTTTTGATGGGAGGGATGGATGATATGAGATATACGACACTTAGAGTTTTTCGCTATAGACATTACTTTGGAGGTCTTGAAGATGACCTATGAGTGAACACAAGTATCTTGGCTGTCAACGTTCCCGGTGTAGGAATGCTGTCATCACATGGATGCGCATGACATTTCCCTGCGCTTAATGACAGATATTGAGATGCAGTGTACGCCTGAGATGGACGCAAGGGAGATCCTTTTTATCTCTCTCTACCAGTACTTGCCCACATGTCACCAACAACTGGAACTGGATTTCACATGCCTCTCATCCGGCGACCAAGTACATCTACAGACCCAAGAACCCCAACGCCCTGCTAAAGATCTCAACATTGCCCCCACACACACATGTCACACAGTTCTGTAGATTCCCAGCGACGCCGGCTAGCTTGAAGACTCTCCGCCGTTCAAGCTCCACTCGTTACCCACATACTTGAACCAGCTCGGCCGACAGTCCTCCTTCTTGAGCCAATCCGCGCCATCGAAGAACTTGCCCGCCGTGCATTTCTTGCACTTGGGCGAGTTGGGACAGTTGAAGAAGGGGATATGTCGATAGCCGATATCCTTGAACCAGTGGATTTTGCTGACGTCTTCGAAGAGCCCGAGGGCGATGGAGTGGACGGGAGCGTCACCCCATCGTTCGTAGAAGAAGCCGCCGGCGCGGTCGAGGTGCTCGAAGTAGGCTTCGTAGGCCGGGGAGCGCCAGAAGTTCATGTCGGCAATTTCGAAGTTGGACCAGAAGTGGCAGGTGCTGTAGCCGTGGGCGATTTGGTTGTGTTCGGGTCGGCGTTCGCTGTCGGTGAGCCAACCCATGGCGTTGCTCTTGGAGAGGTATTGGTTGTTGGCGGCGAGGAACTTGACCGTTTCGGGCCAGAGGGTTGGGATCGATTGCGGCGAGTCGTAGATGTTGATGGTGAAGCCGTAGGTTTTGTTGTGGTCTCGCATGTACCGGAATACGTCGTAGTCCACGTCGCAGTAGAAGTTGACGTGCGGCTCTACTCGCCAATAGTACTGGACGTTCTTCAAAGCCGGATGCTTGTAGAACAGACCGCTGTTCCACCTGCACATCTGATGGTATGACTCCATGCTTGCGTACTGGATGTTCTGCTCCTCCAATATCCTCGCGCTCTCTTTCATCAAGTCCCTGTTGATCCATGATGGTATCTCCCAGTGCTCTTTTGGGATCAGTTCGTATCTGCATTCGGCGTTGGTGTTCGCTCGTGTCACTTTTTTGAACTCCTCCGTGAAGGGCTCGTCGTTGAAGAAAGTCCATGGGTAGTTGAACTTGTGATTCCACGTTCGTTCCAGCTCCTGCATGCTTCCCACTATTTGCTCCAGTTCGCTGTTTCTCACCAACGATAGTAATGTTGCGTTTATGCGATCTGAATTGGGGTTGTTCGGTGCGTAGTTGTTCCCAGTCACTCGGTGCAGCGGTTCAGGCGGCTCTCCGGTAGCTACACCTCCATTAGTTGTCCATTCATCCATTCCACCTTATAGCCACATACGATCCAAATTCGGATCCCTCACCATATCATCGATCTTTTCCCTCCCTCCCGGCGCCTGCACCACCCGCGGACTCCTCACAATCTGCCAGACCAGGAAGAAGAACAAGGCCATTGTCGCGCCCGCCAGCAGGCGTATCGGCTTGGACATTCCTCCCATCTTCTTAGGTCTGTCGCCGACACCAGACGGCCGTGATTCGTATGCGAAACTGTCTCGTTTCTTGTCCATGGCGGCATCGAGCGGGATGAGGACAGGTGATGGGATTGACTGTCCGGGATATGGGAAACGTGACATCGACGCCAAGCTCCAGAGGACGCGCCTCCTCTTTGATGTCGGTCGGGTGGCGCTCCAAGCGAGGCCGAGGCGTAACTTGGTTTGAGCCTCCGACAACCGAATCTACTTTTCGTACGCCGTAGAGCATTCAACTTCACGTCTTCGCGTCCAACGACTTGACAACATGGCACGATGCTACCAAAAATGATGCAACAACAGACGGCAACTCAACATGATCATGGCCCACGCCGCAACTCTCAAGAAGCTCGCGGCGAGCCTTGTCACCGCGACCACCGGCCGCAATCCTGAAGAGCCCTTGTTTGGGAAGCTTGTAGACAAGACCTTGAAAGACCTCAAAAATCAGAGCCATGCCAGGACCAATCAATTTGCCGTCCAGGCCAAGCTTGAAGGCTTGGTGGAGAAGTTCACCGTTCTGAATCGAGACGATCTTGCAATTGCGCTAGAGACGGACTTGGAAGACCTACCGCAAGACTCACGATGGATGCCGGAGATCCTGTCCCTGCTTCTAGAACTCTCAGACCACCCTGTTGAGAGGACGCCAGCAGAAGATCTTGACAGTGAATTTGCTACTGCAGAAGAGCCACTGACATGGGAGGACATCGTTGACGATGAGCCTTTTGACGACCCTGACATGTGGGAAGATGTCGAGCGTGGCTATCATTCAAGTGGAGACGATGAGTTCAACCATGATCTTGAATCTGAGCCTACAACCTCCACGAAGGCCACCAGTCTGGACGAGGAGGATCCAGCCGCGATCGCGAGACTGTATCTTTCACGCCCGGACGAGGCTAGCATTGAGCACATCAAGTTGGCTCGCGAACGTGGGAAGTCAATCAAGCAGCAAGATACTATGCACCACTTGTCCGAGCTGAAAATTGCCCGCGAGATCTTGTCAATGATGCACGGCCTGCCAACGGACTTGTTCGAGATAGACGACGCCGGTCAAGTGACAGTGGCTAGCGAAGTGCGGATCGGGAATGCGAGTGGCGATAGCCTGCGAGACTTACTGGAAACCGCAGCTGCCACGGGTTCTGCTCTCAACTCTCTGCGGCAGTGGGTCCCAGAGGCCTCCCATTCGTACTTGCAGGCCATTCATGGAGCTATTGAATCGCAAATATCATACCTGGACACACAGCTGGGCATGATGGAGCGGAGATATATCACGCCTACGGAGCATGTTGCTGTCAGTGCTCTCAACGTGGAAACCGAGATCCAAGCCATAGCAAGGCCATTGGTACACTTATCAGGCATCGTGCAGCATACCTCTTGCCAAGACGACCTGGAAGCTCCATTTGCATTGCTTGATGAGCTCTACAGCGAGACGGACCTCGCTCATCTGGCGGGCGACATGATTCTGTTCAATGCTCTTGCGACTGTGTTTCTGGCCGGTCTCAGAAGCTACTTGCGGCCGGTCGCAAGGTGGGTGACTAAGGGAGTCATTGTCCCCCAGGACCGTGACGTTCTCTTCTCGAAAGACCTTAATCAACACTGCGAAGCTGGAGATCTCTGGCGACTGCGATTCGGGATACGATTGCTACCTGATGGCACTGCTTTTGCGCCGTTCTGCATCTCGACAAGAACGACATCATTATTCGCTCTCGGCAAGAGTCGGGCGTTCTTGAATCAGCTTGATGGCAATGAAGCTTGCGAGGATGTCCAGACGATGGTCCAGCTTCCTGAATTTGACCATTGCCTGAAGCAAATTGCGGATGAATCGCTTGCGCCATTTTCACTGCTGCTGGACGAAACCCTTGATTCCTGGATACACGATATCAGCGTCGATTGTAGCGCATCGTTGCGGTCGAAGCTGTTCGACGATCATCATCTAAAGAAGACGCTGGACGCGCTTCCTCTTCTCTTCTTCTCGCACAACGGCACCTTGTTCCAGGACTTTGCAGATACAATCATTTCGCGAGTCAGGACAGGCCGACAATCCGATACGCACGATCTCTTCTTGAGGGCAGAGCTTGCTCAGACGACATTCGGATCTTCGCCCGACGTTGATGCAGAGAATGTCTGCCTCGCATCTATTGGAGAGGAAGACGTACCATCCGCAAGCTCCACAACTCGAAGAATCGGTCAGTTGACCATGACTTACCGGCTCTCGTGGCCAGTGCAAAACGTGGTGCAATCTGCGACCATCGACGCTCACTCTAAGGTCTTCACGTTCCTGCTGCAGCTTCACGCTGCGACAGGCCTACTCGAAGATAACTTTCTTGGATTTCGATCTCGCAACCCTGTTTCTCCAGCGTTGCTCAAGCTTCGCCAGAGGCTGTTGTGGTTCTCGAAATCCATATTCGACTACACTACCAAGACAGCTCACATCATACACAAAGACATGATGCAGGGCATTGGACGTGCCGCAGACATTGACGAGATGGTGGCAATACTTGCCCGCTACGAGAAGCGGCTTCAATCGAATCTGCTGCTGGCCGCAAATCTCGAGCCCGTCCGTGACACCATCATTGGCATCTTAGAGCTCAGCGAACTCCTTTCAAAGACCGATAAAGAGGACCGTATTTCATCGTTACAGCAGCAATATGAGAAAAGCATGCGTTTCCTCGTCGCTGGTATCCGAGGCGTCGGTCGTGCAGGAGGCGACTCTTTCCTTCAAGGGCTGTCTGAGAGGTTGGGATGGGGTGTTTGATGATTGGACGATTGCATCAAATCCCAACTCAGGCTACGTCTACCTGTACGACTACATGTACTTTCGAGATCACTCCTGCCTCAAAAAGGAGTTGCGGTCCTAAGTTTGGAAGGTAGATGCGAGGGCTGGGGACCAACTCCAGACACCACCCGTTCTGGTACGCCGCCTTGTCGAAGGACAGGGCTACAACGTAACTACACCAATCGTCTGGATTTCAGAAGCACCACTTGCGTGCCACGTGCATGTTGCGGCCCACTCTGCAACCTGTGCGGTTCCTGCAACTTGATACCGGTCTTGATCGCTTTCTACACAGCCTCTCGCAGCCAAGTCACTAGACTGCGCATACAATGTGCAACGTAACGCCAAGCACCTTTTCTTTCGACCAGAAAGGCAACTTTGCTCTAGACTGATGCAGGCCAGGCAACTGTACGACTCTACGGGATATGATGAGGTCCAAAATTGTAGTGCTGCCACTCCTGGACGTGCTCGTCATAACAAGTCACCGCATATGACTACCTCGTCGAGAATATAAACCATGTCGTAGGCTGTCCCGCAGCTCGCAGAATCCCAAGCGACTCGGTGCTGATCTACGGGACGAGATCCTTTCCAACATCTTTCAAATCCTACCTTGCATACAGCATGGCGGTCCTCAGTCCTTTACTCACGGCCATGATGGCTCTCTCGCACAGTGCATCCACCCAATTCAGGGCGCCTGCCGAGTCCGACATTCAAATCGGGACCATCATGAGCTGGCCCACTGCAGAGTCCACCATGGACGACACATCTCCAGACCCCAATTCCCAAGTGCGCGACACTCGGCAAGAGATTGCCGACATCGCCAAAGCCGTCGCAAAGCACCAAGCAGTGGAGATGTTCGTTCGGGACCCTGAATTAGGAGAGCCTGCTCGTGATATCCCAGACACGAACTTGGAGACTGCGCGAGAGATGTTGGGCAGCGTCAAGAATGTGACTCTTCACGTTACGCAAAACGTCCACTCACTATGGGCTCGAGATACTGGTCCTGTCTTTGTACGGTCTCTCAATGGAACCGTCAAGAACACATGGGGTGCAAGTGATGATCCCGGTCTTGGTTTCGAGAGGAAGAACACATCCGGCGAAGTCGTCGGTTTGCTCCTCAATTACAACAACTGGGGCCGTAAGACTCTCCCAAACACAGACTCCTGGTTTGCTGCATATGCCTCTCAAGCGCTGAACAAATCCTCACGCACGGCTCCCTTCATTGCTGAGGGCGGCGGCATCGAAGTGGATGGAGAAGGCACCTTGCTCGCCTCGGAGTCTTCGATCCTGAACCCCAACCGCAACCCCGGTGTCGACAAGCCGACGATGGAGCGCTACTTTGCCGAGTTCCTGGGAATCGAGAAGACGATTTGGATACCCGGATTCCGTGGAGGTGATATAACAGACGATCACATCGACTCCATCGCACGCTTCGCAGCGCCGGGGACTGTTCTCCTCAGCAAAGCTTTCGATAACGGGGAGGATGGTGCTCTCGACGACTACTATGACATAAAAGACATCCTCAGTAAAGCAACAGATGCCAAGGGCAGGAAACTCAGAGTCATCGACGTTCCGGAACCGGATCCAGTCAAGGTGCTTGGTGAGGATTATACCCCTGAGCTCGGCACGGTGTCATATGTCAACTACTTGGTCGTCAATGGAGCGGTGATTGTGGCGAAGTTTGGGGATGACGAGTTTGATCGCGAGGCGGCGAGGATTATTGGCGAGCAGCATCCTGGGAGGGTGGTGGAGCATGTTCGTCTGCATCAGTTGGCGACGCAGGGCGGGGGGATTCATTGTGCTACGCAACAGATTCCTGCTTGATAGATGAGAGGAGAGCAGGATACCTCATCGTTTCGGTCAGAACCACTCTCGCGAGCATCCATACTTTTTCTTTCATCGCACACATCTACACAGCACAATACCCGCCATCCACCACAATATCCGCGCCTGTCGTATAACTGCTCGCATCACTCGCGAGATACAAATACGCGCCCTTCAACTCATGCGCCTCGCCCTCGCGACCCATGGGAATTTTGCCGTGCCAGATCCTCTTCGTCTCCGGCGGGATGAAGTCGCTGATCTCCGTCGCCATGTAGCCCGGCGAGATGCTGTTGGCGCGGGCGAAGCGCACCCATTCGACGGACAGGGATTTGCAGAGGTGGATGACGCCGGCTTTGGCGGCGTTGTACTTGACGATGAAAAACCGTTAGCTGGACCGCGTATAGCTGGACCACTGATTCCATCTAGTGATGATGAGTACGTACGGCAGACTGCAGCTGAGGGATATTCGCAATATGTCCACTCATGGACGCCGTGGCGACGAAGGATCCATAGCGGTAGTTTTCGAGTTGGGAGCCCTGTGTCGTGAGGCCGGTGAGGTGTTGGCGGCGCCAGATTTCGCCGGCGGCTTTGGCGCAGTAGAAGACGGAGTCGAGGTCGGTGGAAACGACTTTGTGGTAGTGGTCTAATTGGCCATCGATCATGCGGCCCTGGGAGGGGACGTTAGAGGGAGATGATGATTGTGGGAGGGTGATGGGTACCTGTGTCCAGGGGATTCCTGCATTGGACAACGACCGTTAGTCTGGATGAATTGTTGGCTCACGAGAGGAGATGCTCATACCAGCATTGGCGACGAAGATGTCCAGTCGACCGTTGAACTCCTCGGTGATGTGGTTGATGACTCGCTTGGTGTCCTCGAAGTCAGTGACGTCCGTTTGATACGCACGGCCTAAAGTATCGTTTCAATCAAATCAGTCAACGTCAGATTTTAATAAAATACTTTTAATCTTGCCGCTGGACAGGTGAGAAAGTAAATAAACAACAAGCACGAAGTCGTATATATCAAGAGGGAAGAGTTCGCTCGCCCACATTTCACGCCATATGTCTCTTCAATGGCCTTGGCCTTCTTGATGGCTTCTTTGTTCCCATGATACTGTTCCGCGAACGAAGAATCGAACGTCAGCAAACGAACTCCTTCATGGTTATTATTTGAAAGATGAACCCGGGATGGCGGCTCGATCGTACCCAGATGGCCACATTGGCGCCGGCCTCCGCAAAGGCCTGCACGACGGCATAGCCAATGCCTGCGCCCGACCCAGACACAATGGCCGTCTTGCCCTTGAGGCTGAACAGCGACAGCACCGACTCGTCCGTGGGCGCGACCGTGTTGTTTTCCTGGAAGATGCCGTCCTTCATCGACGCATCCTCGGGACTGGGCTTGCTCATCGGCCGCACGACCATGTTCGACGTCTGGGGATTATTTTTGTACGAGATTGGATTCGATGGAGGATATTTGCCAGATGTCCTGATGGTGGTGCAGAAGGAAATGGGAATGGTGCCATCGCTGGCTGATCTCCACCCCGGATGCATCGCAACACGCTTCCGCTGCTGGCGCTGTTGCTGACAAAACCTTGGACGTCGCCGCATCATCGACTGGCTTCCTCTCCTGGCTACCATCTTTCACCACATCCACGCACCGCCAACACGACCATTCTGTGCAGCATCTGCAGACGCGAACAGCAGTTCACGCTGGCTGCAGCGCGTCGTGCAGCAGTGCGATCTTCGCGGTGCTCATCTCATCATCAGTTGACAGCAACGTCGTGAACCTCTGCCAGGCCGCTGCCATACACCAAAAGAGGCAGATAGAGAGATGAGAGCGTTACGATGGACCTGAGGGTAGAGTATCGTCGTCGATTCGGCGGCACTGCCAACGACGTCTTCAACTTCCCATATCTAATGTCTATCGCACCCTCTCTGCAACGCTCATGTTTGTTTTGCTGTTAACAACGCTCTCTACTCGTCTTTTCATTTCTTCATGAAACGCTCATTCAGATTCTATCGTTGCAAGAAGTCTAATCTCTATTGTCTTACTACTGACCGCAGACGAGAAAATTGCTTGGCAGCAGCAACATCCAGCACGTGTCTCTTCTATTTCGATTGCATTCCAGCAGTACCTGTTGTGGCAACGACCGGATTGCATACCGCACGTCGGTTTGGCTCATAACAGCGCGAGTACAACCGCCGGACTTTGCGATTCCGCGAGCGCGAGTTTGCGCAGTTCGTTGTATCCTGGCGCTCGAAAGGCTGGTGATGGCCACGACGAGAACGACAACTCCAGAACTATATTAACGATTTTCGAGCGGGACGACGACATTTCCGACATTGCGGAGGCCCTTTTCCTTACTTTGCGACGAAAGGGATCTTTCACGAGCATCTCGATTCAAAATGGCACCAGGCGCATCTTTTCAATCCACTGATGGTGGCGCATTTCCAATGACCGGCGACGCAAACTTCCCTCGACAAGATGGCGCATCCGGTGCGGCCAGTTCAGCGCCTGCAGCAGTCTCACCAGCCATTGTGGGAGCTGGAATCGGCGTTGGCATTCTCATCCTGGCAATCATCATTGGCGTTGTTGTTCGAATCCACATCGCGAGGAGGAATCATCAGAGATCCATGGCCGAGCTGGAGCGAGGGTTGGCATCATCACCTTCAAGGCAGATGGAAATGGCACGACCGATTAGCGCAACAGGATGTGGTAGTTTGATGCCACATGGACAAGCTGGATGGGACGCGCTGTATTCGAATGACAGCGTTAATGAACCCCAACATGCCGCTCGACCCGACAAGCGACAGAGGACATCGGTGTCAATACCACAACGCATTCGGCAGTCTAAGAGACTCAGGGCTTTCAAGCACCTCTCTGCCATCATGGAAAATACCGAGAGTCCAAGGATCGAGACCCAGACATCTACACCACCATCTCCACAAGCGGTCGCGAAAGCTGACCGACTGATGGGGTCGCCGAAGTTGATGATCGGCCAAGCACAAACGGCAGACCATGCCATCGAGGCGATGGATATTACGGACGCTTTCAATCAACGAGGCAGCCCAAAGTATGATATTTGGCCATCGGTCGCCATCAATTCACCAGCGAGATATGGAGCCAATGATGATGAAAGCAAGAACAACAGACCGGCGAAGACTCTTAGATCGGTATCAGCTGGCGTCCTTGATACAGACGGTGCTGTTTTTGGAAACTCAGATCGACTCATTCGCAACCCAAAGCGAAGGGAGCGTCCGTCAATGCATGCCAGATCTGCATCGCTGGGCGCACCTACGAGTAGACCTCCTTCAGGTCCTGTGCCACCACTTCCAGCCATTACCCCAGAAGCTTTCACCAACGATGAGTTTGTGCGCCTGGGACTTTGCGTTACGCGGGAGTCGTCTGAAAGCAGCATAAATTCTGCTGGAAGCTCCGTCCTCGTCACCAGCCCCATCCTGAAGATGCACGGCACTGATATGCCTGCAGCCTCGCCGACGGTGGAGGAAGTTGTGGCAGGAGACGATCGAGCGGCATTGAAGTCGGTCTTAAACCGCCAATGGCAGAACCCCAATATCACTGGACCACGACCGAACGCCAGCCTGTCCAACATGAAGCACGACAGGACTCATTCATCGATCAAGGGCAGCATCCGATATGACAGCGAAAGCGCACTGAGCCACCGCTTGTCCATTGGAAGCACTTCCTCAGGAGGCAGCCGAGCAGAGAACAGGCTGTCTGTGTTGTCTATCCCACAGATCGCAACAGCCGACCGCGTCAGCATCAGCAGAGTCTCGTCATCCAACTCGCTCCTCGATGGTGGCTCCGCCGGCCGTATTCAGAAGATCGAAACGCCGCCACGCAGGAAATCGCATCGCCAATCATTGGTCTCGGCATCTGGATCGCCAGCCGCTCGAGACAAGAGAAGGAGTTCCGCCCTCCGTGACATGTCCAGCAATATCACTGGCCCCGTCAAGCGACCTTCTCCTCGACGACAGATGAGCGTCTCTACACGAGCATCCAGCTGCAGCAGCAACGGCAACCCTTTCCAATGGGATACCAGCAGCTCAAACATCCTGCCCAAGCCCAGCGCGCTAAAGGGTTCACCCACTGCTAGAAAGACCAAGGGTCGACTCAACTGCGTTCGCATCAGCACCCTAACCCCTGAAGTCTTCGGCAATCGCAGCAGATCCTCCAGCCCTCCCGACGGCATCGTCATGGACGACATCCTCGAAGAACGAGAAAGCGACGAGATCAAGCGAGAGGTCGAAAAGGAACGCGCTGAAGTCGAGCGAGCGGTCGCCAGTGAGCGTCGACGAAGCCGTCCTCCAATGCCTGCCCGAAATGTCTCGAGCGAGTCGTGCTTGAGGATTCAGACGCTGAGAGCCAGCCTGACGCCGAGCTCGCCGACGCTGTCGTCGTGGAATAACTACCATGATCAGTCCGCTCAGCATGCTGGCGGCCTGGCATCGCATCCCTCTGATACCTATATGTCGGTTTCGAGGAACAGCTCCCGACAGTCGAATCGCTCTTCTGGGAACTTTGTCATCCCTAGGTTCCCGTCACCGAGCAAGGCGAGGGCATCCATTGCTGTGACTATTCCGCAGCGGGATTCAGCGCCCATGCCTGAATTCTCTCTTGACGTTGACATTGAGAGCCCGACTCTTGGCTTCAACGATATCAACAGCTCCTCGCCATTCGGATTGGCCGTGTCTTCCAGGACTCAACATTCGCCTGTTTCGCCCGAAGACTCTGCCAATGGTGACAGTCCAGTGGAATTCTCACCCGTCTCGCCTGTTGATATGCCTTCATCCCCACCTCTCCCACTGTCGAAGGAGAAGGAGTATGATCCAGGCTGGTGTCCAGTCGTATTCGATTTCCCGGCGTCGCACGAGTACGATCCTGCCAGCCCGCCGTTCATCTGGAATGGCTTCAGCTCGGATTATCCAAACCCGGACAGGAGCTCAGGCATCTGGTTGCCGTTTGCCGTGAACATCGACGATGAGGTGTCTCCCAGGAGTCGACTGCGAAATCAGGTAGCACACGGGTTGGGTAGGGAAAAGGACGACTCGCCGCCATTGAGCCCCAAGACAATCCCAACAGTCATCCCCGACCTCTCGCCCAAAAAATCAGCAGAGAAACTCACAAGCTCAAACGCCAGCTCAGTAATGGCCAAGTCCATCGAGCCAGCCTCAACCTCCAGCTTCCTAGGAGTCGAGGTTCCCGTCCTCGCACCCCCATCCCGAGAAACAGATACCACGCTCCCGCAATGGCAACTCGAACAACGCCCGGCGACCGCACCGCAACCAACCCACCGCCGCCAACGTTCCGTCTCCAACCTGCGAACCCCCCGTCCCAGCACCGCCCGCGCGCCTCCCCTACCCACAATCCCGCAATCCTCTTCTCCAGCCTCCCCTGTATCGGTCCCAGCGCCGCTCAGCATCGCCTCGCGGATCCGCACCAGCGCCGGAGAGCAAGCCCAAAAGGCCATCCCCATGGGTCCCCGCTCCGCACCCGCGAAATCTGTCCTGAAGAACGCCATGGCATTGAGGAGGATGAACAGCGAAGTCCAAACCCACCGCGAGTCGCGCGAGAGCAGGAACTTCACCCGTCTAGGCCGCGAGCCCAGCCCCCTCCTCCCCTGGATCGGCACCGAAACAGAAGACATCTTCGACTACGACACGCGCGCCGGCGCCGGCGCAGAGAGCTCCTCCCAAGCATCCTTCTCAGACGTCGAAGTCGGGCAACAACAGCCCAAACACTCTCGCCACTCCGTCCTCGGCGTCCCCCAAGTCGACATCGACATTGCCCCCTGCCCCTCCTCAAACAGAAACACAGCGACCTCCGCCCTCGATGACCTCTGCCTCGATGACCTCGAAAAAGTCATCGACGGCGCCCTCGCGGGCTTCGACGCCGAGCATCGCGCTTCCATCACCCCCAAACCTTCCGCGTACGCTTACGGACAGGGGTATAACACCACCACCAACCACACATCCACATCCCCAACCAACGACAAGGCTTCCAAGCGCAATTCAAACGTCTGGGACGACGGCGAGAAATTCTGGTCCGGCGCCTACCGGCCGGAGTCCTTCGAGCTGCCGGAGTTTCAGCTGGGGAGCGTGTCGACGCCGCGGAAGTCGCCTTTGGCGAGTGCGTTGGAGTTGGAGCGGGAGGATGGGACTGGGATGGGGACGGTGGATCCGAGGTTGCTGTCGACGCCGAGCGTGTCTGTGGCGGCGACGCCGAGGAGTTTGTATGATGCGGACGGGTTTTTGAAGTGATTATGATGAATTTTGTGAACTGATGTAATGATAATGTATTTTCTTGGATTTGTTCTTGGGTTTTGGTTAGGAAGGGTTGTGTTTGATGATGGAGCGGTTGTCAATAGTTTCTCGATTATTTGTGAGGTCGATATGCCTCGATCACGCACCTAGCAGGGTATCTCTTTCGATGAAGTTAGGTAGTAAAAACGCCTTCTTTATGCCACAAACCCCGTTTCTCACTCATCCAGTTCTCTGCCACTTACTCTCCTCCTCCTCATCCCCCTCATCATTCGCCTCCGCCGCCGTCCTCGTCGTCCCCGCCCCAGCACCCAACGTCACAGCTCCCTCCCCATCCTCCTCCTCGCCCCCAACAACAGTCATCCCAGCAGGCATCCTGAAATTCCCATCCTCGTCCATGAAATCTGCCATATTCTCACTCGTGATCCACCCTGTAGCCCCCGGGGCCGTCTCATCGAAGGCTCCCTCGCCACCTTCATCGTCGTCTCCCCGCGGATCGGGATTCAGCTCCTGGCAATCCGAAATCGCCTTGAACAATGCCGTGGAGGCATCGTTCCCGCTCGTCGTGCCGTTCGTCGCAGTTCCCGCGCCGGCACTCGCTTGCTCTTCTTCTTCCTCATCATACTCCTTCACAATGCTCTCCGGCGTGATCCGCATCTGCAAAAACTCAATATCCTCATCCGCAGTATCCTCATCGGATAAGTTCAATTCAAGCAGCACGTCCGCGCCATCCTGTGCCGTGACGGTGATGGTCGGATAGGGGATCTGAAAGCCGAGGGATGCAGCGGACGAGAAGAGGATCAGGTGATGGGAGGTAACGTAGACGTCCACGGGACTCGTCAATCGCTGGAGGTCGGTATTGTTGTCGGCGGTGATGCGGGCGATGGCGTGGAGGTGCAGGACGGGTTTGCTGGCGAAGAAAGTGCCGGGTGTTTGGGCTTGGTGGTCGGAGAGGGGCGTGAAAGCGCTGGGAGAGGGTGCGGCGGTGATTTGCTCCATGATGGCGTCCAATGCGTCTTGTGTGGTGTTGTCGAGGTTTTCTTGTCGTGGACATCCCATTGAGCTGTTGGGGAAGCAATAAAGTTGCCGCACTAAAAATGACGTGCATTAGCGTGGGCTTTAATTGAGCCTTGTCCGAGACGACACCTCCTTCCCACTGGCTACGAAGTTCATCGTTATTCGTGCTCCTCGTAACAACTGTCGTCTGGCTGTGACTTCCACCATTCTCATGGTCAAAATGTCGTGTGAACCGGGCCCGGTAATGTCTTGTCTTGACGAGTGCAACAGTAACAACTATCGTGAGAATAGCCAGGATGAAGAGGACACCGAGGAGACCGAGCACACAAGGCATGCATCCAGATTGCGATTTTCGCTTCGGCTCTTCTACAGCAGAGACTTCTTGACTGCTTCTCGGTTGGACTCGCTCGATCTCCAGGGGGCTTCGGCGGGGTTGGTAGGTCGGTGGTGGTTCAGTAGGGTAGGAGGTACCGTACACGGTCAGCTGAGATGGGTTGTTCAGATTCATGCTGCGGAGGAATGGTCCTCTGTGGCTTGGGAGTAAGTGTAAATGAAAGTGATGGCGAGGATGATGGTGATGGTGATGGTGAAGGGACAAAACAGAGACGATGAGAATGTTTAGAGGACTTGCGAAGACTGCGTCCTTCTCGCCCCTGCCATCGGACGATTGAGGCTGTCACGACTACCTCATCTGCTTCGACGACCTGGGAAAGCGCAGACCCTCTTTTCGGCGTTATTGGCTTATCTGTGGAATCTGAATGCAGCATAGTACTGCCATGGACCATCCTACATCTCTTCATCAGGGAGGAGCAAACTCTTACTGCTATAGACTAAAGGTATGTGGATGAAAGAGAAGTTAATTTGCAAAAGAATTATTGCGATGATTTACTTCTATACGCAGCAGATATCTGCGAAGTCAATCAGCTGGCAATGATTCTGGCCACCTCCGCCCACTCTGAAGGTAGCACACCCCTTCCCCGCCCTTGATACCAGAAAACTGTAAGACTCTCAAAAAAAAAACCTCAAAGACTCTAGAAATCTCAGACAACCCAGCGACCCAGCTACTCAGCAACCTCCGCCGAAACCTCATCGATTCCCTCCTTCTTCCTGGCCAACCACTCGACTGTGTAAGATTGACGCATTGAAATACAAACGCTGATTCAACGCGGGCAGCATCAAAAAGCGCAATCAATGCGCGCATTGGCCGTGACTTCGACTGGATCGAAATGGATGTCTTTGGCTGTTTCTCACTTGCCGAGAGCGGTAGCAGAAGCCTTAGCGCGCTTCGCCTTGCCTTGAGTCATCTTCACCTTGATAAAGTCCCCAAGGGTGGGCTCCTGTTGTGCGATCGACTTTTGGACAAAGCGGCCACCGCAGCGAGCAGGCTGAGTGTGAGACTTCTTCGGTCCGAGCTTCGCAGCCTCGGCCACGCGATCGTACGGATGCTTAAGGAGGTACAGCTCCATCGTCGTCTTCGCATCCTCGACCGGAGTGTGGATGCCACCCTGTTGGATGTTTTTGCCCAAGACCACCTCACCCGCGTAGGCCAAGCCCGGCTGACCGCTGCTGCGCAGTTGGCTATATACCTCCTGGGTATCGTGAATCACAACGCCATTCGCAGCGGAAAAGGCATTCTGGTTCGTTCCAGGCCCGAACCTTCCGCTTTCCTCAAATGCAACCGGAAAGAAAAAAGCACGATGTGGGCTTCGGGCTGCTCAAAGAGTAGTATCCAATCGAACCTTGTGATCGTGAGTTTGACTGAGGGTGTCATGGCTTCTGCGCATGCGACCACCTCGAGACATCCAGCTTCGAGTTGCTGCAAGACGTATCAAGAGTTACTCTGGCTCCAGGTTCATCATCCTGAAGATCTCCATCGTGGCTCTCGCATTATTCACAGGATCAAAAGCTCCACCATACTGGAACTCCTTCCCCGTAACGTCGTTGTATACACGAGCGAGTCCGGGTGGGCTATCAAGTTCTGGAGTATACTCGATGTCCGGGTGTCGTAGACCGTAACCCCATTGGAAGGCAAAAGCGCATCCTCGGACTCTCCGTAGTAAAACCAATAGCTGACAGAATCGTGCACGAATACGGTGCGATCTTTTAGCAGCTCCTTCAATTCGCCTTCGAACTGCCTGGCTTCGACTGCGCCGTTTTTGAACAGAAAATCCGGTGGCTCGACGCTAGCTTGCTTGAATGAGCAGTACTTGATAACCTCGTCTTCGTCCTCATAGGCGAGGTATGCGTCCACGACAGTCTCGCCTGCGGTATCGACCACGGCTATCCGACCGATCCGATGCTTCCACATGCTCTCGCCGATCGTTTTGTAATTCTGGAAAGTGATGGAGATGGAAAGCGGCTCGCCATCCTCGACACGATCCCAGCGGATCTCCGTCTGGGTTGCGCGGCACTTCCACTTCGTCTTCTTCAGACGGACATTGGGTTGTGGATATACTGTCGTTGGGTTGGCGGGGGTGGTTGGGCCTCCGGAGTAGGTCGCATATGCAGGGCTGTAACTTGGGTACCACTCGCCCACGAGCTCAGGATCATTGGAATCGATGTCGTTGCAGGGGGAATTGCTTTCGTGGTCGTCTTGCGCTTCGTCGGCGTCAGCGTCGTCGATGGAGTCGTCATTTTTGATGCCGATTTTGAGGGAGCTGAGATTAAGGCCATCGGGACTGTTGTTGAACACATCGTCTGCGATTGAACCACCGTTGCGGAGAAAAGCGGCCATCGCCTCGTCATGTCTTGAAGACATGATGTTGTTAAGAGTCGTGTGAAGGCAGTATTGATTTAGCCTCTTGAGGACAATCCTGTTACAGATAGGCGATATTCGATGTTGGTAGTGGAGTCTAATGTGTGTATGTCTTTGCTCGTGGATACTGACCGTTGATTGTTGGTGTGTTCGGAGGAAGTCCAGTATTCGAGGTCTCGAAGAAGAAAGGAATTAGATATACTTGATATTCAGCTGCTAAGCCGAGTCGTGAATCTTTGGCTTCTGATTATACTTGTTCATCTGCAAGCCAAAAGTCAGTATCAAAAGCTTCTAAAGCACATGTTTGTTGCGAGAGGTTCACCTGCAATATTATACTTCAGCAGCTTAAAGCAGTCATCTAGGTATCTCCTGATATCATAACGTATGCTGTGTTGCGAAAACAGGTCTAAGAGAAAAGGGGACGGCATAGATCAACGAGTGTTAGGCATGTTGTCATGTCACATATTAATCTTGGCGAAAAGAATTGTGAATTTATAGGTCATTTAAGACCAATTGCTATGGCAGAAGAAAGACCACATGTTTCCTCTTTGTATCAAGCAAACTTTCACACACTAGTAGTAGTAAGTCTTAGGAATAGTAACAGAACAAGCTATCTTCACTATAGCAGGTATACATCCTTTCTACAGACTCAATCCAAGTCTGCTTAGAATCTCTGGCCGATGTCTATTTAAGCTCAATGATACTACAACCGTCTCAGGGTCCTTCCTATGTCGTAGATACATCTTCGCTCCGTGCCAACGCTCAAGTCGAGGTCTCGCTTGGCCGTCAAGTGCTTCAGTGGATCGTCATGACGAGCTTTTTGTGGCTCGACAAAGGCTCTCTGCTCAGCTATACAAGGGTTTGATAGATGGTAGGTGGAGCTGTGTATTTGAAATACAGGTGTGGTCCAAATAGAGTTTAAAAGGATGCGCAGATCACGATAGGCCAGAGTGCACGACCAGATCCAGCATCTTCAGTCTTTCCTTGCTAATCGACACTGTCCTTTGGTTGAGGAGAGTATTGCAAGACTCTGGCATCTTTTTAAAAAACAAACTTGTTGTGATACAATGTGGACTCTCATCAGCGCAACGCCATCACCGTACGCAAAGAAAGTCCGAGTGGCGTTGGCGGAGAAAGGCCTCCCGTTTACACTGCAAACTGAAGTGCCATGGGACTCGACGACTCAGACGCCGCAATACAATCCACTTGAGAAACTGCCAGTGTTGATACTCGATGATGGCAAGACTGCAATCTACGAATCGCACTATATACTCGAGTGGCTGGAAGCAAAGTATCCATCAACTTCGATGCTGCCGGAAGACTTGGATGGCAAGCTGTTCGCAAGACAGGTCGAGGTGGTTTGTGACGGCATTTGCGATGCTCTGGTCTTAGCATTTTGAGAGAGACACCGGGAGCCGGAAAAGCAGAGTGCCCCTTGGACCGCCAGGTAAGAACGGCGTGGTAAATGAAGCTCGCTGAGAACATGCAGACATTAACAACAGACGTGCAGGCAAATGCGTAAGGCTGAAGGCGGCTTGCGGGCATTGGCCACGTGGGTTGACCGTAGCAATGGAAGCAAGTATCTGATCGGAGACAAATTGAGCCTTGCAGATCTTGCAGCAGTGAGCATGCTGGGTTGGCTCAACGTGCGTTGGCCAGATCATCAATGGCAGACAACCTATCCTCAGCTCAAACACTATTGGGAGACTCTAGAAGAGCGACAGAGCTTTGCGACGGCTCGACCTACACCTCAGTCGATGAAAGATCAGATTGTATGATAGATTCTGCCGAAATGGAATCGATCGATATCGAAGGAAGCCTTCTTGCCCGCCACCAGATAGGCCGGCCTGGTCAAAAGCATGATGCCCATTGAGTTCTAGATAAGCCATGCTTATGCCAACCACAGTGCATGATGGGGTGGCGAAAGGATGAAGGTATAGATCCACGGAGATATTCGACAAGTACGCATGCATCCACAGCATACAGCTCTATAACCTAGCGTTCACACCAACAGCAAAGTTACTTGAAGTCGTATTGTTCTGAACAAGCTGCATGCTGTCCCATCTACTATGATTGCCGACGAAAAAGCTTCACAGAAAGGCGACAATGTCGTCGACAGCCAGGAAGGCAGCATCGAAGGTCTGGCCAACTTCGACAAGCCTGCGGAAGCCCGTACTCTGCGAAAGTTTGACATCCTCAGATGATGATCTTGATGCTGGTAGCGTACTTGGATAGAAGCAATATAGGTTCGGCAATTTTATCGAAGCTCTTCTTGCGGTCGCCCACTAACGAGGCTACCAACAGGCAATGCCAAAGTCTTCGGGCTGGTGGAAGGACTTCATCTTCATGGCAACCAGTTCAACAACATAAGCACGGTCTTCTACGCGACATACGTGGTGTTCGAAGTTCCTTGGGTCATTGCTGTCAAACGATTTGGTGCTAATCGAGTCCTGGCCGTTGCGCTCGTCTGCTGGTCGGTCGTCACCTTGTGTACTGGCTTTATCCACAACTACGCTCAAGCTCTTGCTATGCGACTACTCCTCGGTGCTGCAGAGGCTGGCCTTTTTCCCTCGTTAGCGTTCGTCATCTCAACCATCTAGGACCGTCAACAGTGTGCGAAACGGATTTGTCTACTCTACATGTCCGCTGCTCTAAGCGGTGCCTTCGGAGGAATGATCGCATACGGAGTCGAGACAATGGGAAACCAACTTGGACTCGCTGCTTGGAGATGGCTTTTCATCATCGAGGGGGCCGTCTCTGTGGCTCTTTGCAGTGCAGCTTGGTTCACGCTACCAAGGTCCTCCGAGCAGGCGTGGTTCTTGACTCCAGAGGAGAAAGCGATCATGCAAGCACGAAGAGCACGAAACGTTGCATACCAAGGCAGTACCGACTCGTTCAAGTCACACCATATTGTTCAGGCTTTTACAGATCCCCAGGTCTATCTCGCGGCCATCTTACAATTTGGCAACACAGTCTCACAATTCGGTTTCGTAAGTCTGGCGACTCCCAATCGAACAAGTCATCGACTAACAGTTGTCTCAGAGCACCTTCCTCCCAACCCTGCTGACCGGCTTCGGATACACCAGCCTACAGGCAAACTACGTCTCCATTCCTTGCTATGTCGTGGCGGCAATCTCACTGTTTACCTGGGCATCCATCTCCGACCGTCTTGGGAAGCGAGCCTTGATCAGCTTTGTCTGCTGTCTGCCACGCGTTCTCGGCTACGCCATTGTGGCGGGCACAGCGAACAAAGCCGCCGGGTACTTTGCAATGTACATGTGCGCTGCTGGTATCTATCCGTACAACGAGGTGTTGACGACGTGGGTTTCAAACAACATTACTCCAGACTACAAGCGTTCGGCAGCCTTACCCCTATTTGTCTGCCTGGCCAACATCAGTGGCATTGTGGCCAGTCAGATCTATCCCGCTTCGGATGCACCGCGCTATATCACCGACAATGCGACCTCACTTGCACCAGAGAGCTTATCTTGCGTCGGTGTCGGCCTGCTCTGGTTGCTGTTGAAGAGGAGGAATCAACGAAAGTCGATGGAACAAACAAGTGAGGGTGGTCTACACGAATATTTGGACGACGATCGTGGACCGAACTTCGAGTATGCCTTGTGAGAAAGCGGGTGCTCCAGTGGTGCAAACAAGTATCTCAGGACATAGATCATAGCTAGGAGAGTGGGACAATTGCTTTAATGCACAATTCTCTAAACGTCTATGTGACTTTGTGGACTAACAGGATACTTCAACGACCCGTGGTCCAAAAGACTGTCTCGCAAAAACATAAACATCCTTCTTCTGAATCCAAAGAAACCACTGTATCGCCAAGTTCGTGAAAAAACAAATATCGTCGAGGGTCCTGTTAATCATCCGAGGAAACCACCAGCAGTACAACCAAACCTCGCGTCCTCCATCCACGCGGTAGAAACTCATTTTCGAGGGGGGCATACGGAACAGCCTGATCCGGCTCTGGCTGACTGACGGCGCTTGATACTGCCGAAGTAATCGTGGGCCAGCCTGCGTTTCCTTTCTCCCACCGATCCTGTTGGTCGAGGAAGCTGAGAAGGAGAGAACGGCGGTGTCACTGGCTTAGTACTTGCTGTTTCGAGTGAAGCCGCCAGTCGGTCTCTTGTCGCGCTTCGATTTACCCTGAGGCTGCTTGATCTTGATGAAGTCTTCGAGCACGGGCTCAGCGAATGGCTGCAGACGACCAAAAGGCTTCTGAGTCGCGCGAAGTGGTGTTGATTGAGAGGCGAGCTTCGCGGCTTCGGCGACGCGATCGTATGGATTCTCAAGCTGTTGGAGTCTCATAACTGCTTGTCCGTCCTCCACTGGGCTGTGGGCACCGTCCTGGATAGTGTCGCCGAACATGGTCGAGTAAGCCAGGCGCAGACTTGGTCGCCCGTTCGGCGCGAGATGGCTGTACATCTGCTGCGTGTCGACGAGCATGACGCCATTCGAAGCCTTGAGAGCATCCTTCTCGTGGAAGAAGCAAGTCTCGTCGTGGGTCTTGTCGTGCACAATGATTTCGCGACCGCTGACGAGCTTCTTGATCGCCTTCTCCGCCTCGCGAGCCGACAACGCTCCGTTCTTGAAAAGCAAGTCTGGCGCTTCGACCATGAAGTCTGGTCCAGGGTAGCTCTTCTGCACACCTGGCACGTTGTCGTATGCCAGATAGGCGTGGAAGACGACCTCTCCAGCCGTGTTGACGATGCCGATCCAGCCAATGCGATGCTCGAACTTCTTTCCGTGAGATCTGTAGTTCTGGAACTCGACATCGAGTCCCAGAGGCTCGCCAGCAGGAGCGCGATCCCACCGAATGGTCGTCTGCGTTCCGCGACACTTCCAGGGTATCTCCGTGATTGGGATCTTTGGTGGCTTGATTGCAGGTGTGAATAGTGTGTCAACGGCGGCCATCTCGATGGTGCCGTTGATGAGGCCGTCCAGCAGGTCCGCGCCTCGCTCATGTCGATGTTGTTGGATCTTGAACGAGGCATGGTCGCTTTGATCGCGTTGAGGGGAAGTTCCGAGCAGAGTTGTGTTGCTTGAGGCTGGAAAGCTGCAGTTGAAGAGTCAATGCCAAAAATTGGGTCGCTGTAAGGGTGTACTGAAGAGCGTTCGAGGCTGTGTAATGTCCAATCGGTCTGAGAGTTGAAACAGACGAGGAGGCGGACTATTTGAAGGCGCCTCTACAACGAGTGACGCTTAGTCCGCCTTTCACTCGATGACGACAATGTTGTTGCTGAGTATTCACGAACTCGGCAAGAGACGCTTGTGATTCAGGAATTGGAGACTCCATTCACCTCCAGAGACTCGCTTCCGAGTCTGCTCTAGGAGGCACGTGGTCATGTTCTACCAGGTTTTTGGCTTGCGAATTCGCCACACCTTTGACTGGTGCCTGCACCTGTTATCGATTCGACTTCTCTGGAACCCGCACGATGAGGCGTATAGTGCAACATGTTGGATTTGCGTCGCGACAAGTCTTGTACTGTCTAAGCTTCGCAAGCTTCTCGACGAGAAGGCTGCATCCAAGATAATAGAGTACGAAGTGTGAAGGAGCTGAGCGAGAAATGGAGATTAAGATCACAAGTTAGGTAGTTTCCAACAAAGGCAAGGCATCCTCTCAGCCTACCCCTTTGTTTCTTGAAGCTCAAACGCCGAAGAAAGACAAACTCACTAGCCAATACAACGATATTGATTTACAAGGCGAGACTCATCGAAGGTGTTACCGCTGTCTCATACTTCCTTCTATCGATATGTGAGTGCTTTGAGCAACTCACTGAGAAATCATACAACAAGGCGCTAAAACTATTAGGCTGTACCCTCACTTCACCATCTGCTTCTCCTCCCACTTCCGATCCAGCATACCAAGTTGTATGCAACCCCAGAACCTGCCTTCGTACCAAAAATGCTCCCTCCAGATTCCCTCTTCTTGGAACTCGAGCTTCCTGTACAGATTCAAGGCTTTCTGGTTGCGTTCGTGCACTCGAAGCATGACACGATGCATCCCATAAACTCGAAATGCCCATCCGAGTGACCATTGTATAGCTTCTGTCCCGTAGCCTTTGCCTTGGTAGTTGGGTACGATGTTGATGGAGACTCTGGTGTTCCTATGCATGGTCTGCATCTCTTCTGGCTTGGACAAGCCAATGTATCCAATCGGGTTATCTTTCTTAGCCTCCTCATGGTCCAGCGATTTGAGGTAGATTATCACGAATAGAATGTACTTGGACCGCACTCGAGTGGCGAACGCGTTCGTATCTTCGACAGATTGTGGTACCGGGTCATCCCAGTATGCTTGGCGAAAGGCATCTGCATTGGTGCGAATGGCGTGAAGAGTGTCAAAGTCATTCAGCGGCTCGTAGGCGCGGTAGCTTAGCTTGTCGGATTCAAACATAGACGACATGATGTCGAAAAGTTGTACTTCAGAGGGAAGAGTTCTTCGAAGGTCGATAAGACATTTCCTTTCAGAATTATAGCCTGAATCTAAAGGCCCAAAAAATTACGTGGCGATACGGCTCTTGGCCAGCCTCAAGTGAGATCATACCAGTTCAGGAGAATTTCGCGAAGGAATCAGACACAACTGGCAGCCGGACTGCCACTTTCAAACTTGTATACGAGACACACGAGTTAGTATGCTTACCTTCTTTCAACGGCGAACTCCTATTTGAAAGGACCTGGAAAGTGGGACTGATGGCAGCGGACACATTTCAGCAATAGCAAGTCTCTGGACGCGCTGATCTCTGGCGTGTCTGATTCCACCCTCCTCTTCGACTCCTGATCAAAACCCACTTTCCATCGCCGACCTACTTGCCATTGCTCAAGTTACCCTCCTTCAGCTTTGCCAGCTCCATAGTCGACTGCGCATCCTCCACGTTTGAATGCTTTCCCTTTCCGCCGCCCTGGATGTTATTGCCCAACAACGCCTTCACTAACGTAGCTAAACCTGGAGTTCCATCCACCTGCATGTATGAGAAGAAGATCTGAGTGTCGATCTCCCTGAGAGTGCCTGTGAATGGCTTCCCGTAACGGAAAGCGGAGATCTCTCCCATGCCACGGTGGATGACAACCGTACGGCCAGCGAAGATCTTCATGCAGTACTTCTCTACCACTTTGCCATTGACCGCGCGGATCCAATCATTCAAAAGCAGCTGTGATCTTATTGAATAGGGTATCGAAAAGGGGGTGACAGGGCCAGCCTCACCATATGCGCGAAAGCAAATCTAGAAAGCACAACAATCTGTCTCAAGCGTAGCCTGCTCCACAATTCTTTTCTACCCCTGATCGTAAAACTATTCGCATCGCCGCTCTATTTCAGGCTCAAAGCGAACAACTCGCGTGCAGTCTGCGCATCCTCGACTGGAGAATGATCTCCATCGCCTCCTCCCTGGACGATCTTGCCAAGGATCACCTTTGCGCACAAAGCAAGCTTCGGCTGCCCGTCGGACTGCAAGTATGCGAACAGCTTCTGCGTGTCAACAACCTCCTTAGCCACCTCAAACGCCTTCTCGTACTGGAATTCGAGTTTGTCCTGCGTGACGGCATGAAGGACGACGGTGCGGCTCTCGAAGAGCTTCTTAAGGTTCTTCTCTACTTCACTGGCGTTGACCGTGCTGTTGCGGTACTTCAAGTCATTCCAAGTGACCCCGTATTTCCGGGGAGGAAGTTTTCGCTTGGTGCCTGGCGGGTCTTCGTCTTCGTGACGTGCGAAGACGTTGTAGATGACTTTGCCGTTGGGCCCGACCACCGCGACCCAGGCCAGTTGAGGCTTGGTCTGGGTTGCTTTGCGCTTGTATTTCTCCTTGGACTTGCGTGCAGCGACAGCTGGCTTGGTTGGAACGGCTTTGACTTGGGCGGTCGTAGCCGTAGCGCCCTTTGCTGTGGTCTCTGGTCCTGGAACGGCGACGAATGTCTTGGCCATGGCGGTGGTATCGAAGATCTTGGCCTTTGGCTGCAGAAGAGCGGATTTGTCCTGAGAAGTCATGACGAGTATTTGAGAGTGGTGAGTTGATTCGTTGTTTGGGCGTTTGGTGATGGCGGACTTCGTGAAAAGTTTCGTCGAGGACGTCCGCAGTATGATGAGAGAAAGGAAGAAGCAGTAGGAAGAAGAACAGAAGTGTAGTTATAGAAGTCCCCGACCTCCTCCAGCGATCGACACCTCTTTCATCCTGTCGTAGGTGAATGGTTCTCCTCTTCACCTCCATTGCCATGTGATTAGGCGCTACTGTGCAGATCGTGAATGTCGCGGAGGGCTGACTAGCCGAGCATACGCTGGATTGAGTTGTCTTCACGGGCAGGACGAGCATCGACTGTTATGTTGTTACGCTCAGCAAGGAAGATGGCATGCGGGGACCTCTTTCACCACGCAGCCGGAGACGGAGTCGTGGGGATCTCGCTCTGTTCTCTTTTCATGTGTCTGGTTGGAGGCTGTATAGGTAATTCGTGGAAGTGTATAATAAGTAAGGGACAACGTGTAAGCTTGGGAAAGGGGGAAAGCCCAGTAACAGTCTTGACGAAAAGGGTTTTAGCAGAAGGCGTTTCTTTGTTCAGAACAAGACCGTTTATGCTGCTTCTTGACATACAAGAAAACAGCGGCAGCATGCTGGCTCCCGAGACAGCCAGCACTAATCGCAAAGCGATCATGCGTCTCTCTTCACTAAACAGCGCAAAGCGAATCACTGACGCTGCTCTGGCCAAGTCTCCAAGACCCTCTCCTCCCCAGTAATTTCGAAGGTGAAGTTAGCTTTGTCAGGGGTCGTATCAATGGCAATACGGTACGTCCCAGGATAGAAAATCCGTCGACCACCCTCATCCCAACGGCTCAGTGCTCCCAGGGTGAGTGGCATGCTCGCAATCTCAACAGTGCCTGGCTCAATGTCCTTCAGACGCTTGTAGGCAATCAACTGCTTGATAGGACGAGGCGCAGGTCCAAACTCGCCAGAGACAAAGGAGAGTGCAGAGTAGTCGGAGCACACATCGCCAGTATTAGAGACCGCAACTTGGATGTATCCAATGATACATGTGTCGATGTGTGTGATATCGCTGCAGCCACAGCTATCGACCACCTGGTTAACAGTGAGGCCTGTGAGACCCTTCGACCAAGCCTTGACGCTGAAGTTCGTGTAGTGGAGTCCATAGCCATATGGCAACACCGCCTCACCTGTGTACCACTTGTACGTTCGGCCGGGGCTATTTGCGTGTGCACGTAGGGCCATATCGGTCATTGGAATGTCTTCAGTGTAGCTGGCCGGATACTGTGTGACAGGTAGACGGCCTGCGGGTGCAACCTTGCCAAACAGAATGTCTGCAATGGCATTGCCACCATCCTGGCCTGGATATCCAGCCCACAATATGGCTCCAACGCTAGGATTGGAGAGGAAGGCACTATCGTCGAGCTGACCTCCTCCAGTCTGGACAAGCACAAAAGGCTTCTCCAAGTCGGCGAGAGCATTGATCAAGGCAGTCTGGGTAGTGTTCCAAGCAATGCTTGTGCGATCCAAGCCTTCGGCTTCGACGAGCTCATCCATCCCTCCGACGTAAATGATGACGTCGCTGGATTGGGCTGCCTTCAGAGCAGGAGCCGTGTTGTTGATATCTGTCACGAGTTGGACGTCCACCCCTTCGACTTGCAGGAGACCGTCGTACGGAGAGTGAAGGAACGGGGCGACTCCAGAGTAGCCTCCTTGCATTTGCTTCGTTGCATTTGCCCAGTCCCCTACAAGCGCAAGAGACAACTTCTCGTCCGAGTCCTTCCCTCTCAATGGCAAAGTGTGATTGACGTTCTTGAGAAGAGTCATACCGGCACTGGCAGCCCTGCGAGCTAAGCCTTGTGCTTTGTTGGTGTTCACGCCCGTCCAGTTGATAGAGCGGTATGGGTCCTGGGAAGGGGGGTCAAAATATCCGACTTTGATCATTGCTCCGTAAGCACGAGCAATTGCGCGGTCGATAGATTCCATGTCCACCAGTCCTTGACTAGTGGCATTTGGCAGGAACGTTGGATAGAACGCTCCACAGTCGTTGTCGGTACCTGCCTTGATTGCAGCAGCGGCAGTCTCTTCGGCGGTATCTGTGAAGTTGTGACCTTTGAAGACAGCATCTAGAGTGAAGCAGTCACCCGTTACGAAATGGTCAGAGGCGTTCCAACCCCAGTGCATCTTCAAAAGGGCCGTAAGGAGCCATTCATCGACACAGCTGGGAATCCCGTTCACAGCATTGTACGAGCACATGACGGATCCAGCTTGCATGTCACGGGCACATGCCTCGAAAGACGGCATGTAGTAATTGGCCAGGTCCTGCGTCGTGACTTTGGCGTCGAAAATGAAGCGGTTTGTGTCGTGCCAGTACTCCAGATCGTAGGCTCCGTAGTGCTTGCAAGTGGCAACCATCTTCTTCACTTCAGAAACGTCACTTGTTTCTAATCCTGACAGTAGAGCTCGGGTGTAGGATGAGACCCGGAATGGATCTTCTCCAGGGGTTTCTTTTCCTCTGCCCCAACGGGGATCTTTGAATGGATTGATGTTGGGCGTGAATACTCCAAGACCAGCATGTCCGCCGTTGCTAAAAGCTCTCATCTCGGTACTGATGGTCTCGGCGACTTCATGGATCAGGTCATCATCAAACGCTGCTGCCATGAGAATAGGTTGAGGGAAAGACGTTGCGTAGGAGTAGCTGCCATTGGGCTCGAAGATCACCCCAACGCTACTGGCGACTCCGTGAAGGCCTTCATTCCATAACTGCAGGCTGCAATTAGCTTGAGATCTCCCAGCTGGTGGTTCAGCAATTGACTTACCCAGAGAGGCGGCAAACCAAGGCGATCAATATTTGGCTGGTACGAAGACGTTGCATTGAACTTCTCTCCCGCGGTCATGGCATCGACCAGCGCGAAGGCTCGTTCATGAATGGCTATGCGACTTCAGTAACAATTTGAAGTACAATTGGTGATACATACGGAGAGACATGTTGCAGATCCCATTCTGGCTCAAGGGTTCGACTTCGCAGTTGGGCAACTCTCTGACTCGGCCGGAGACCACAGGAAGGATCGATTGCAGAGGAACCGCAAATGGAGGCATAGAACCTGGAGTTAACACGAGAGGAGCGCTAAGAGCCATTCTGGGCGGGGGGCTGAGCCAATTTGGATGAAGAAAAGGGACGAAGTGATGAAACGCCTCTGGTACCTACCTGCCACGTTCGACCCTTCCTACTTTATGTCAACCGCAAGAGCTGCTGGGCAGTGACACAATCTGATGTTGTACTCGCGCCAGACCCAGTCTTTGTGTCGCTCGATCGCGACGAGTGCGGAGAGCTTGCTCTAGACGAGTGCTGAAGTCCATACGCATTGTGAACATTCTCGGTGCATCAATGTCCGATAGGCATGTCGATACGCAGAGCACACTCAGCCTAAATGAGTCACGTCTTTGCTCCAGCGCGAAGATGCTAACGTCTTTCATGGCAGAGTGAGAAGTGTAGCTCAAATGCACCTCGTATCCTCGTCGTATGACTCCGCTTCGTAGCGGTATGCATATACGAGCTCCGGACCGGATACGAAGGAGGTCTGCTTCGACTTCACTTCTGCATCATACCGTTCACCATGTCCGCGCGCTGCGAGGCGATCTCATCTTTCGGGCCGCGTTCGAACGAGCGCAAACCATGTGATATCCTCTTTTCTCGAAACATCTCCCCTCCCTCTCTAGCTCTTGCAATACTGGCACGAAGTAGTCGATTGCTCAGTAGGCTGGTCTTGCTGGGAGCGACGCTCTGATGTGAACCCGTAGCCCCTGGTTGTGGTGACACTGTGGCGGTGGAGTGCAGGCTTAGGTGATGGCGGCTCCTGTATAGACAATAGGCTTGTGGAGCGCTTCTTGAACTTCTCCTTGATCTTCTCCTTGATCTTGTCGACTTGCTTCATCAACCACTTGGGCGCCATCTGGTTGTGATCAGTGAGAGCTTTCCTTCCTGCTGGACCGTCACTCACAGCTGCGATATTTTTGCTCTGATGTCTGGGACATCTTCACCTGGTAAACTTCCAGTGGCTGATGGTACTGTGTGGGTTGGATTCCGATATGTGGTGGAGTTCTCGTCCGCGCCTTGTGTGTGGTCTAAATATGTGTAAAGGTGTTTGCTGTACGAGACATAAGTGCTTCCAGGTGAAGTGAAGTTTGAGCTGGGTTTCAATGATCCTCCAAGTGAAGGAACCGACAGCATCATGAAGGCTGTCGAATGCTCCTGTGCCTCTGATGCTACTATCTCTCGAAAGCTAGCAACACCTTGCGTGGTCCAAGGCGTATCTCACAAGCTCCTCCGGTCTGATGCCAAAGTGCTTACCTTATCCTTTTTCCTACCTTCGAACGATCCCGCAGTCTCGTTCCATTTCTAGACCGGCCTCTATAGTAGCGATTTACCGATACATAGGGATGGCAGAAGTAGACAGAAAGTCTCGCTGTGTCTTCTTCACCAGGTGTCCAAGAGACACGTCTCACGAGGTCCTCAGTGCCGTTGCTATCGGTAGGAGCGAGTCGTTCATGGCCTTGTTGGTCGATATGGCACATCAACGTGAGGTGGGACGGCGGATCGTGCGGTGAGTAAGAGTCGAAAAGGATATCGTTCGGGTTACACTGGGCGCAAAGGGAGGCTAGGAAAAGGTTTAGCAACTTCTTTCAATACGTACCCGCTATCGCACCGCCATATCCCTCTGTCATCGTTGATGTCGACGTCTCCACGTCCTTTGAAATGTCGCGACTGAGGACGCTCGTCCACGCGCCTGGTGAGCGACGTAGTGGTTTCGATGGTGTCGTGGGAGCGCGGTAGCTCTGGTGGTCTGTCGTCGCTGGAGGCTGCGTCTTGCGCGCCCGCCTCGTCGTTAATAGCCACGACTCCTCAGGTGGATCATTTGTGTCCTGAGGTGCGAGTTGTTCGATGTGTGCTTGCCTTGAGCCTGTTCCGACAGCCCTGACTTCGGTGTAGAGGACACGAAGTCCACCGCCGGCAGCACCAACACCAGCATCAGTAGTTGGAGGCCGCTCGGTTGCACGAGAGCCACCACTCCGAGGACAAAATCCACATACAGCGCCTGCAGCAGCCAGTATGAGGCTCGTCGAGACCTTCATCCGCATGTATGTGCCCACTGCGAGCGAGCAGTCTGGGATGTTCAGGCAATCGAGTGCATCCTTGCAGCCGCAGCGGCGTGACTTCGCGGTGGCCCTCGCCGGCACCAGCTGACGCTGCGCTTTGAAGCACACAGCCATCTGTTTATCGATTGCTCTCGACAACAAAGGCCTGCAAAATTTTGTTCATCAATGGCGATTGATCTTCAGGTACTTACAATGCTCCTGAGTGATTCAGAAAAATTTTAGGATCGTTGGTGGTTGCTCTAGATCGATCCGTGGCAGAGTGGTGTCCGACCAGCGGCGGGCTTGCGAAGGCCCAACTGGGCCGCTGACCAGCCCTTCGACTGCGCAACGCGATTAAGACGTGCAAACACCACGCGGTCAGTGGAGAATCCCCTTCACATACCGCTCGAGCTATTTTGCAGATACTGACCTTTATAACACTCCCGAGGTGGCCATTCGAAGTCCAAGATCGATTGCGGGTCAGCGAAGCCCATCCCCCATCCTCCTCGACTCTCAGAGTCCGCCAACGTGCTCCAACGATCCCGCGAGCGAAATCAGCAGTAATTCAGCAAGGTAGAGGCGCGCGCGGAGAGAGATGCAAGAGCCAGGAAGCCATTACGTCTCGTCGGAGCAAAAGAAGGATCAGAGTAAGGAAAAGGCGGAAAACACCAATCTCAGGGGCTGGCAAGCCATTTGTGGAAGAACCAGACAATGTTATCGGTGCCGCGACCAGAGTGAGCCTTACCAGGGCAGGATAAGATGCAGAAATTGGACTGGAAGATGGACACGGCGCGCAAGACGAGTTTGACCGCCATCTGGCAATGCAAAGACACGTGGCTGGGATGCTTTGAAGGGAGGCCTCAGCTGTAGGAACAACAGCCTCAGGGAGGGATAAAATGTCAGGAGAATCTCCCGGGAAGCATGCAGTAGCAAGGTTGCCGCCAGGAATGGCCTCGTAGAGAAGTAGCGGAATAGCCTACGTTACTTCAACTTCCCCTGAAGACTCAGCGTCCTACCTTCTGCCGCCTTTTCAGGGGCATCCAGGGGCTATGCAGCGTTCTGACGAAACTGCATTTTCGCCTCTTGAGAGCTGGTGAGAGGGACCAAAGCGCTCAACGGTGGGCACGACGGAGACGACAACCAGCCCCTGAGCCCAGTCCACGAGGCCTTGAAGCTGCAAAAAGCAGTCTTTGAGATCGGGGGATGTTCGCCGTAGATCAAGCAGACTGCGATCCATCTGAACGTCTTCGTTTCATGTCTCTCGCTTCTTGCAATGGACTTGCTGAGATTCCAAGGTCGAAGAGCTCGCTGTTGCCGAAACCTCAGAACGAAAAAGAGTTGCTGAGGCAAAACTCAAGGGTAGGAACATCACAGCAAAAAGATAGGAGCGCCATCATATCGCCTACCGAACGACCGTGACGCTCCCAAAACTTGAGTAAATCGTTTCAAAAGTGCAAAAGAGTTCACATCCAGACAAGCTGGATGCTACATCTCTGCCCTACGTAGAAGATATGTCAGTATTCGAACTCAATAAGCTTTTTTTTTTTTGGCGGCGACGGCGGGCTTTTGGCATATGGCGTTTTGGCATATGGCGTTTTCCGATTGAGCTAAACCTGCGATTTGTTAGTAACGAGGGATTCAAAGAACTCAGCAACTATAATGCTTCATTCCTCGCTGTCGGCCTTAGCGAAAAAAAAAACGCTTGAAAGGCAAAAGAGTTCACACCCAGTTGCCTGGGTGCCACATCTCTGCCCTATAGAAATGTTAGCATTCGAACAGAGGGCTTTTTGGCGATGGCGACGGCTGGCTTTTTGGCATTTGGCAGTTTCCGACTGAGCTATACCTGCGAATCAGTTAGTAACGAGGGATGCAAGGAACTCAGCCAATATGACACTTCATTCCTGGCAGTAGGACTTGGCGAAAAAAAACATTTCAAAGGGCAAAAGAGTTCGCACCCGGTTTCCCGAATGTTACATCTCTGCCCTACGTAGAATGTTAGTAAATCGTACACAAGTTTCTAACTCGGATATTTTTTTTGGCGGCGGCTTGGCTTGGCTGTGGCATTTGGCATGGCGTTTCCGACTGAGCTATTCCTGCGATTAATGTTAGTACATGGGATGCAGATAACTCCGGAACTATAACACTTAAGATCTGGCAGCGGGCCTCCTGGACTTAGGAACTTCGTTTCCCCTGCACGGCGAGATCTCTTGCCACAGGCCAAGTCTGGACACCGGAGCAATTGGAGACTCGAGAGACATGTCTATGCACCTCCAGCATCAGGTTTTGGAGACTTGGTAGTCGTTGTGGCGCGTGGTATCCGTGGTAGGGCTTGTTGGTGAGCTTTACAGCCAACTCAAGGTACGCCGGCCGGAGGTGGTGCGGGAGCTCGATCGATACCTCTTGCCATTGAGCAGCACCACGCCAAATAACAACGCGAGCAGGGCAGCAATCACTCGCGCTTGTCCTTTGTCGAGCCATTACAACCTCCGTGATACCCAGCGACCTTCAAGTGAGGTGTACGAGCAGCGCCTCAGACCGGCGGAGCGCCAGACAGAAAGCTATGCGACCGCACTGGTCCTCTCTGGCAGAGCCACGACGACCACGGCACCGCCAGCACTCAAACGTCCTCAGACTGCCTTACGATTGACGAGAACGACGCCAAAGCCTTCAAGACATCGACCATCAATCGATCGCGAGGCAGCGAGCACACCTCGGCGGCCAGTAGCGACGACACCACCACCAGACCGCCCACCAGATCGCCCCATCGAGCAGCATCTGCCGGCGACCAGGATTTCCTATCATCGCCAGACTTCATCGCAAAGTTTACGAGAGAGAGACCGGGTTTCTTCGCAGCCAAGAGCCTGAGAACCACACCATCGAGCCATCATCGAGCATCGGACAGCGAGGACGATACCATCACGACAGAGCGCCGACCGTTACTCCTTTTGCGAGCACCCATCAAGCAACGTCAACACGCAAAGGAGCCAGTGCAACAAGAGGAGGACTCCTTCCTGGCCAGCGCGAGATCAAGAGGCCAAGACAGCCCAACATCACCACCACACTCGATCTCCGCAGAAGGGTCGATCAGAAGGGCAAGATATATCCAGCCTGCAGCAAGCACACAGCCAGCAAAGATGGGGTGGATCTGCTGCCGGTGCTCAACGGCCAACACCACTGCCGCCTTCACCTGCAAGCGCTGTCGACACCAAGGCGATTGCTGCTTCGACTGTTACAGCTACAGTCGCGAGAGGAGCGCCCAGCAGGCGCAAGAGATAGGGGGCAAACGCCACCCGAAAGAGAGCCCAGGACGCTTGGTGGAGAACAGCAGCCCAAGGCAGGAGGTGGCCGACAACACCGGCGTTATGAAACCACGAGCTGGACATCCTCTCCCAGACCATCCCCAGCTCCTTCATATGTCGGAGAAGGCTGATTGTTTGCTTGTTGGTGTGGACGCAGACCATGGCAGCGAGATAGAGAAGAGCAAGAGTATATCGCAAGGTTATGGATACTCTGTCATGATAGCTCGCATGCCCACATCCTTTCATTTCTCCAGACTGCAGAGGTGAGCACTCCTTGAAACAATCCAGGCATCTGTCATCCAAGTACATGAAAATGCCTTTCAGCCTTGGTCCGCAGAGGATTCCGGAGAAGTGTCGAGATGCCACAGACAACGCCAGAGCTTCCCATTTCATCGACTCGGCGCTCTTGGACTGCAAGGATGTTGTCTAGCTGCTCGTATACGTTCCTGATGCGCCGAGACGCACAAGAACCGGTATTATCGATCTCAAATACGGCGCACCAGCCTCAGTATGCTCCAGTCCCTTGACGACAGCTACTCTGACGAGCAGTCACGGGTAATCGCAGTCCTAATACAGCATGACGGTCTGCCAAATCATCCAAGAGATCCACGGATTCGAGCAAGTCCAAAGTCCAGTCCACTCCCGAGACACGCTGAAAGCTGTATCGTTTCCGAAGTAAGAGCCATACCAGAAGCATCATAACATTCTAGCATATCCTGTGTCGCGAAGAGAAGGATCTGACGGCTCTCACGACGGAAACAGGAGTGCCTCAACCTTGGCAAAGTCAAATTCTGGAGCCGAGGTCTTGCCCGTACGAACAATGCCAGAGTTCCATGCATGGCATCGAGAGGTTGAAGACTGAGAAGACCGAGCAAGCAGTTGACAGCATCAGCCTCAGCCTCGTCGCTCTGTCTTCAATGGCTCATTGTCCGTCCAATATGCAAGGCTTCACGGTTTTGCAGCTGGAGTCTGAGGACGTCGGGTTTCTGTCCGAAGCACCGAGTATTCAACAAGACTCAACATCTTCCAAGGAAGAGACGTTCAGCTACAGGCCACAGACATAATACTCGTTCGACAAGCAGTCGGCGATGCGTGAGAAGTAAATCCGATTGGTTTGGGCTTCGGACTCCAGCAAGTTCTCGTTGTCAACTGCTGCCCGGGAGACCAATACATAGTCGACAACCGGTCTTTTCCGATGGGTTGCGATTCTCAGCCCTTCCTAGTCCTCATGGGATATCCGCTATAAGCTTCACTGAAACCCTCATTCAAGACCTCAGTTCAGATGCTTCCGTGCAGACGGATATCACATGCTTCTCGTATCCTCGGAGATCGTGGTCCGCCAGAGCATCATTGCCAAGTTCTTGAATTCACAAGGCCCGGACTTGAGGTCTGTTCCTCTGTGGGTCGTTCGGTCGAGATTTGATGGTCTAGTCAACAGCTCGCAATATCGAGTAGACTGTCCGAGCGGTAGACAGGGGCCAAGGCGTGAGGAACTTTGTCTTTGTCATCGCCTGGCGAACATCGTCTGTGAGAATATCAATCCAAGGTCCTGTTGCTCCATGATCATATCGAGGCCCTGGCCATCAGCAAAGGAAGACATTCGCTTTGTCCTCTCCCTGGACTCGCTCCTCTGCCATTGAGCTTGAACGGGCTCTGAGCTGCGTGGATTTGTTGGCTTGGCGAGATTGTTCATCCTTCGGTCTGAAGATTCCGAGCGTCGAACTTCGAGCCCTGGCGTATTCCCGATGCATGCGCTGCTCTTTGATAAACGGCATGTGTTCACACCGGTCTGGACGGTGATGCTGCCGTCGTGCGGCCATTTCATGCTCGTTGCCGAACTCTGCTCTCGCATGCAAAGTGCAGACGGCCGACTGGAGATGTGCGAGTGGGAGTGCCTTTCCTGAGCAAGATCTGATACGCTCCCTGCGGTCTGTGCATGACACGCACGCCATTACTATTCGTCCAAGGTCTTTTCCGATGCTCTTGCTCGCCGTTGAGTTGTGCGGAACGGATCAGGCGTCCCACCGTGGCCAGCAGTCCAATCCAGTCGTGGCTACTCACGGTGCGCTGCATGGTGGGCGGATACTCGCAGGTGGCCGGCGTCGCAATGATGCTGGCTCGGCAGACCGCCGGTGGCCACGATGTCGATGATGGGGAGTATGTTATCCTTGTCGCGAATGCCAATATCCTCTCCGCCGTCGACTAAGGCCTGTCATTGCGCGATAAAGGCATGAAGGTGGTTCTGCGGCTATGTGGTGTTGTTCAGGCCGATGCAGCTGGCCGGCTTCTTCTTGCCCTCCCCTCCTCTTGGCTGTCTGTGTGCGGCCAGGGAATGCTGTTATGGCTTTGAGAAGGTGGTGTTGGTATTCTCGATGCTCGAAAGCATGGCCGTCAACGCAATAGACATGCGCACGATGCTGTTGTGTCGTGTGGACGGAGGAGGTGGTCGCGGCGTCAGGCGTGGTCGTCGGCTTCGCTGGTGATCAGAGGCTAGCGTGCCCATCAAGGCCGCGCAATGGGTCGACTGCTCATGTCATGGCGACGATGATGATCTGGTTATCGATATCATGCTCTGCAATCGCCTCGTCAAGGTGTTGTTGTCACCATGGAGGCGGGCAAGGGGTGGAGGTCTGCAATCGCAAAGCCGGAAGCCAGAGACTCCCACCAGCCTTTGTGGCAGGCCAGCACATGCCAGATGAGTCTCGTGATAGTCTCAAGGTCCTTCACTTTGACGTTCAGTTCTCCATTGCCGCTGAGACGTTGGCAAGTCGTGGTGGACCACGGCGGTCGCAAAGCCAGAGGCCAGAGACTTCCGCAGCCACCACCACCTGGCCTCGCAGGAGGCCAGCACATGCTTGAGCAACGTCTTTAGCGAGACTTGGGTGAGGATGATGATGTCCTCAATGTCCTCAAGCTCGTTGCTCGAGCCTCGTGTTGCCGTTGAGACATGAACAAGGCGTGGTGGACATCTGCCGTCGGAGAAGCCCAAGCCTGCTCTGCCTCAAGGCATTGCAGAAGGCGACCACGGGATTTTGCGACCGCCAAAGTCCACGACGCCTCGCCAGCGACTCAACGGCAATAGAAGGCTCGGACAGAGAGTCTGAGGACCTTGAGGACATCATAATGCTCATTTGAGCAACCATGAAGGCGTTGAAGAACCTCCGCTGCCTCCAGGCGCTGCGCCAGGCCACGAAGTGCCTCCGCCACACCTCCAGCGATGCTCAGACGAGTGTATGATGTCCTCAACGTCCTCCAACTGTTCCTCCGAGCCTCCTGTTGCTGTCGAACGCATGGGGTGGTGTGTGGGCGATAGAGGAGCGGCGAGCGATTCGGCGCGGCGTTGGGCTGCGGAGCCTCTTACGCTTCTGCTACGGTCAAACGACTCCGTAACACATCTCAGAGTCACCAGAGCATCAGCAAGACACTGCTCACTGCCCTCGAGAATGGTTGTCGCTGTTGTGAAACTATGAGACCGAATCCTCGAGTCCGAAGCCCTCCAGCTTCGCGACGCTCCCAGCCCAGCTTCAGCCCCAAGAACACCACAACGACTCTAACAACACTACAACACGACTCTAAGCACCTAACCACCCTCCTCAACACCCTCAAACACTCCCCAACCCTCCCCGTCACCTCTAAACAATGTTTCAAGGCCCCTATGGCCTTTCAGGCTTCCCAACGCACGAGCCCACTCCCAGGACTCCCCCGCGGCTTCTCAGCAAGAGGTGAGGTCGATTTAAGCTGTGCAGATCTGTGGCGGTGCTGCAGGGTAAGGTGCATAAGCGTCGAGATCCTTCCCGAGCCAATCAGCCCGGTGCAGGGTGAGAGCTGCAAGGCTCCGCAACGACGTCTGGAAGGCTGCGGACGATGAGATGCGTGAGGGGATGATGAGGGAGCCGTGGGTGGGAGGTAGAATGGGAAGTCTACCGGAGAGAGAGAGCAGAGCGGATGAGGAGGGAGGAGGAGAGCAAGCTAGTCAGCGGTATTACAGTGCTCGAGAATGCACGCTGAGGAAGTCATGATCGTGATCTGTTGAGTCCATCACGCGGGCTGGTCTGCGGCATTATGTATCCGTCTACCACCTCTTCCGTCGGCGACGCATGCAACAGTCATCGCTACCAAAGATCCATGGGCAAGACCGAGTCGTATGCTTCCAGCCCTGGCCCTCAAATTGATGACCTTCTCGAAGAAAATCGCTCGACGTGACATGACCGGCACCAATGACTCGTCTGCGATTAGTAGTTGTTCCGAGAATGCCATCATAGGATCCATCACTGCCACAACACCCCATTATAGGAAATTCAATCCTACTTTGGTCTCCATGCATGTGCTCTCTACCATGGGACACTCGAAGGATACTCGAGACTCAAGATTCCGATTTGTATGGATATGTAATGGAGCTAGGGTTCCTCCACTATGTCGGTAACTTCGAGTACAAGCAACTGGAGCCGAGCATTCGATCATTATAGACCCAATTTGGGCACTATCGTCAGCTCGAGACCGAGTAGTTGGGACGAAGTTAAACCCAAGCATGAGACTTTACTTGATGGGACGGGGTAAGCTTATGATGTATGTATGAACGCAAGACTACCGAACTAAAAGCAAACTCAATGTAACATGATAGACACCCTCTCGCCATGATATCTCAGCCACTTCACTATTGATCAAGGCAAGTCCCACGAAGTAAAAGCCAAGAGGCCATCACGACCCCCAACTCAACCGATCCCCCTAAGACCGATCTCTCTTCGTGAAGCCCCCCAGCCGATCTCTGAAATCCCCAAAATGCGTACTCGGCTTCTTGCTCACATCCTCCCTGCTGCCCGAGAAATCCGGTAGAATCGACATCCGCTCTCTACGCGGAGCCGGCTCTGGTGGTGCCGTAAATACCTTCTCGAGGAGCTCGGCGCCTTTGATCTTGTCGACTTGGCCGAAGCGGGTGTGAGATTTGGAGGAGTCGAAGAATTCTTCGCCTTTGCCTTCGGCGGCTAGGCCCATCAGGTCTGTGGTTTGGCGGAGGGGCGTGAGGCTGTCGATGAGGCCGGGTGCTTCGGGGAGGGCTTCGACGTAGCTGATGAGGTCGTCGATGTCGATTCTGTAGGCAGCTACGGCTTGTGGTGAGATGCGGCGGACGCCTGGGTCGAGTGGGAGAGATAGCAGGGCTTCGCCGACGTGGGTGAGAGCTTCGAAGTAGATGCGCTCTTTCATCTGTTCTGGCAAGCCCAGAAGCACCATGTTCATGGTGTTGGAGAGATACCGTGTCAGTTCTTGAATGTAAGGACTGGCGCTGTCCGGGATGTAATTGCTGAGCCAGTCGTACTCGGCAGTCTCGATAAGATCGTCGATCTTGCTGTTGACGAGCTCGAAAATGCGTGTTTCTGCCCGCTTCTTTGCCGCATTGAACTGACTTGTTGCATTCAGCTTGACCGGGCCTGCGGCACTGCTGCTGGATCGAGCTTCAACGAGCAAGTCTTCGAGATCATTGCACGCATCCTCGAAGTGATTGAGGTTGGTGAGGATCTGCACGATCTGTCCAGGATATTGAGACGAAAGTCGATCAACAAGGCTCTTGCAGACTTTGTCCACGAGCAGCTCATCCAGACTCTCCTTCAAGGTCTTGTCGATCACGGTCGTATGGCGGAAGTGATCATCAGAGAAAAGGTAGATCTGGTTCAAAAAGTTGCGAATGTCGATGCACACCAAGGGATACATCTGGCTGAAGGGCAAAACGCAAGGGTATTGGATGTCCTCGGGTCGTTCTTGTCCAGCTGGAGGTGTATACCACGAGACCGAAATAACTTTAGTATATTCTTCTGCGTTGTTGATGGGCATGGGCATGTAGTCGTCCGTGGAAACTATCTGAATCGAGATGTCAGTGCTGTTTGTTTAGATAGTCGCGGTTGACGTACCTCTTGGAAGTCGTCGCTGAACCTCTTTTTCAGCAAAGAGCTATACTTGTCGAACAGCGTGAGTAGCAGGCTGTCAAGACTACTGACAGGGTAGCCCCAGCTGTCCATGGTTTGAATGAACAAGGCGATCACGCCCTTGATCTTGAGGAGATTCTCGTCGTTGTCGACATTGTGCAGAGCACTGCTGATCAGCGAGACCACCGATTGGCACATACTGTCCCACAGCTCATCGACGTCGCTCTGAGCACGGAAGTTCTCCGTCTTCTGCATCGTTGCCTTTTCCACAATGGCAAACCCGGCAGCACCCTCGAGTAAGCTGCTAAGGCTGCTGCTCTCCTCGTCCAAAAGATTGATGGCCTGCGGTATGAGTAAGTCCTTCTGTCGTCTACGTGTAGCGGCGTAGTCGGCTCTGAACTTCTCGGTCTCGCCAAGAGCGTTGTGGATGTGAAGGCATTCAAACAACGGAGAGAAGTCGACTTGCACCTCTTCGTTATTGAGGACATCGAACTCCTCAGGCTCATCAGCGACAAGCTCCACTGCTGAGTTGAGTTTGAAAGATCCAAGATACTCGTCCTTCTCACCACGCTCCTTTTGCCGTGTACGTCGCATCTCAGTGTGGTAGAAAGCGACCTCGCCAAGGAACTGTGAGGTCTCTCGAATCCTATACAGCCAGGTGTTGAGGTCCATCATGACTGCATCGGCAATCAGGCGCTGTGTGGCTGGCACCGAACGCTCGATCATCTCCGCAATCTTGTATCTTGTCACCTCTCGTAGATGCACATTCTGTAGCTCATCCAAAGCTCGGAGAGCCGCATAATGGTTCTTTTTGCCAAGCAGGTCATGAACTTGATTGGCAAGACGCAACACCTCGAGACAGTCCTTCAACGCTTGAGTTGCTTCGTCAATGTTCTGGCGCACACCTCGAGACTCCACAAGAGCCTTCTTCTGCTCGGCGATTTTCTCGGTGCTGGCCTGAATGCTGCGACTGAGTTCCATGATCTCCGACGTCAAGTTCACAGTGCCTTCTCGAACGGACTGTAGCTGATTGACGCTGTTGATGAACTCTTGATGATTTGAGTTGCATATTGTCTCAATCTGCGCCTCTCGATCTGCCGATACATGGTTGAGGGCATGTATGAGTGGCGTGACCTGGGTCTGTGTCTCGGCGTTCTTCAGCAAGGGAATCAACTGGTCGAGATAGTCAGACTCAGATGAGGAGAGTATTATCTAAGAAGGCAAGAGTTAGCTGTATGTGGTCAAATCGGTGATCGAATCACTCGCGGCTTGCGTTGCCCATTTGCAGTCTTCAAGGGTTCTCAGTTGAAAAGATTCGTCTGATATCATCTTGCGGGCAGAAGTGACTCCACAAGTGAGACGTAGATATTGCTTTCTTGCTTTGCCTTGATCTCTGGTATGGAAAAGTCACATACCTGCTGAACAGCTCCCGTCAGGTCATCATACTGATCGCCAGCTACAAGGCCCGGCATGACGCTCGACCCGTGCCTTCCTGAAGCAAAAGCGCACACGTGACGGCTCGAGTATATGAAGACAGCTGGAGCTTCGCTTCGCTGCAGGACTCTTGAAGACAAACAAACGTCTTCTCAGCAATACTTGCTCGTCGACTGAAGACAACACAAGACCTCAAGACACACTCTTCTTGAGATGTCAAGAAGTCAACCGATGGCCAGGGATGAAAAGAATCACGGATATTGATTTCCTGTCAAAGGGGCAGGTCTCGGGCGCAAGACACCGCTTCGAGATCGAGACAGAGCCTTTCGGAAGGGTTCAGCGTCGAAACAACGATGCCTACGTTGATATCAGCTCAAGAACCTCGACATTAAGGGACCAAAACAAGGGGTGCCTTCATTGGGGCAGGCAGAAAGAAAAGTGGCATACACGTACGACAAAGACTGCCCGCGAGGCGGCGATCCACGGAACCAGTCAAGAAGCAAAATTGCGGACTTGCGTTTGTGACGAGGGTCTGCTTATTCAATTAGAATATCGACAATTCGGATGCGGATAATGAAGATGAGGTCGCGTCTCCCAGCCGGCTTTGGCGCCTCCCGTCAGCGGAGGTGTGGTGGTGTGGCGTTCACTGCGGCTGAGCTCCACCGCTGCCGCCGCTAATGCAAGCCCGATCGCGCTAGCCAGGGCGTCGGGTTGGAGTGATCCAAGCTCCTCTATCAAAATTGGCTCGAGTGCCATTACACTGAGGAAGGTACGGTGGAGGGTCTTGCACGCCAAATGCAGCACGCCCAACAAATGGCAGTGCCATGCATCAAGAAAAAAGCAGACCTGCACCAATATGGGGCTCTAAATAATCATCAAGAACGTTGCTTTCAGGCCGTGGCCTCATGCGGCAGGTTTTGGGAGCGTTGACGTCCTTGGATGCTGCCAAAATCGCGACGAGGGACTACTCTGCCAAGCCCAGGTCCTGGAGGACGACCGCGAGGGCGACGACTACGTTACTCGACTCTCAGAGCAGCTACAGACTCGCGGAAGATTGGCGGAGCCACAGACGAGGATATCCATTCACCGGCACCGTATATCACGCCCGGCCAAAAGAACGATGCGGTCGATTGAAGGACACGGCGAGCTTGTCATCGGCTTCCCGCACATGCCATTGGCAGGCAGTGAAAGTGGGTCCTTGACCGCGTGCCTGGCAACGGGCAGCCAGTCAGAGGCATTCGCTTGCTGAGCATGCTTTCGTCTGATCCTGCCACTCTTTCCACGGCCTCCTCCTCTTCTCTCCTCTTCGCTACCAAGACATCCACCCACTCTCGCACACAGCTTGAATTTCTCGCCTTCGAGCTCGCTCCCTCCATTCTTCTTCTTCTACCCTCGCAGCCTTCCTTTGAGCATTCAGACACGCTCTCATCACTCCTTCATCCTCCTCACCCTCTTGGCCAGCAGCTTTTGAACCTGCGTTGGTCGCATCAACCACCCACCAGCACGCTCCCTTCAGCTTCCACAGCAACGAAGCAGCTCATTCATTGCACCAACCGTTCACCGCAACAGAACAAGTCTCAGCAAGATGGGAGACATCGACAACACCCCAACTGCCGCCAGCAAGGGCAAGTCTCGCAACCGCGATGACTCTCACGACTCGCCAGCTACTGAAGTTGGCGGCGTGACCGTGAGCCTCGGAGCCATGAGCCTCACCAACTCCAGGTAAGTGTGCAACCCAGTAACAGCAGCGAGCTCAACTGACACCACTCCAGCACCGAGCAGCAAGGCAGCTCGTCCACCCAGGCGCAAGCCAGCTCATCCACCCAGACGCAAGCCAGCTCGTCCACCCAAGCCCAGGCCAGCTCGTCCACCCAGAAGCCAGTCTGGGCCGGCCCCAAGCCAGAGCAGTCGCCCATGGACAGGAACATCTTCGGTGGCCAGTACATGAATGCTGCTGCCAACACCTTCTGCCCATCGGCCTTCCACCCATCCACCTTCCAACCATCCGCCTTCCACCCATCCGCCTTCAACCCAACCGCGAGCGCGGGCCACGTCATGCCAGAGGCTACCTTCCTCCAGCAGCAGGCGGACCAGCCGCTCATCGTCCGCTCCACTCCAGTTGGGGCTGGCAAGGGCAAGGAGCCTGTCACCAACGATGGCAATGGCAACATGCCTGCCTTCACCACCGACGCGAGCAGCCAAGACTATCGACCACGTCACTTCGTTAAGATCGACAACGTGGCTCTCGACGCTCTTCAGCTGGTCCATCTCTCAGGCAACGTCAGACATCCTCTCCGACAATAAGACTCGTACAGATCACTGACGCTCTCCCAGATCCTCCAGACCGAGACTGCCGACTCAGAGGTCCACCCAGGCAAGACGTGCGTCTACATCTGCTTCGACGACCTGCGCGATGCTTGCAAGACTGCTGAGCGGGCTTCCGCGACTGTGCCCACTTGGGACGTCCAGTTCCTTCCCGACAGTCTGTTCAAGGATCGTACCGGCCTTGTCACCACCGCGTACCACGACGGCACCTCCAAGTACGACGGCCAAGTCCTGTTCGTTGCCAAGATCAATCGTCAGCATAACGGCGAGCGACTTGCCCAAGAGTACGTTCCCGGCATTGTCCAAGAGCTAGCTGCTAGCTTTGGAGATGTCATCAACATGCAACCCTATCCGCACAGAGCTGGACAAGGCTTCCGCGTCGAGTACTGGGCCATCACCGCTGCGAAGGAAGCTGTGGCTCACTTGAGCGAGGGCAAGAACATCCCGCACTTCCGCGATGGCTGGGACGTCTCGGCACAATCGTTCGCTGAGGTCCTTGTCGCTGCATCTCGCGATGCCCCCGAAATCATCATGAGCCCAACTGGCCGCACCGCGTGGAGCTTCGACCCTCAGGGCAACATGGTGGTCGAGAAGCCCATGCTCACCGTCCCCAAGGCCAACCCGGCCATGACTGCGACTACCACCGACGTGGTCCCATGGTCACCAGCTCGTCCTCGAGGACAGTGGACCTCCCTGCCCATGCCACAGACACAGCAAGTATTCGACCCATCCTTGATGGCGCGTAGCACCTCCCACCCAGTGGGAAACCACGTCACTCGTGGCTCCGGCATCGCAGGAGAGCCCAGAGACAATCAAGAAGTGAGCGTTGCACGAATTAGCAACGGACAAGACGTCCGTACTACGGTCATGATTCGCAACGTGCCTAACGAGTGGACTTGCGAAGACATGAAGACCGCGGTCGACGCCGTCAGCTTCGGCAAGTACGATTTCGCCTACTTGCGCATCGATTTCGAGCGCAACCTGAACGTCGGCTATGGCTTCGTCAACTTCATCGACGCAGAGTCGATCATTCCATTCCTGCAGCATTACCACAGCCGGGATTGGAACCAGCACACCGGCCTGCCAGGACGTCGTCTCGGCCAGGTCTCGTACGCCACCATCCAAGGCTACGACTGCCTGATCGAGAAATTCCGGAACTCCGCTATCATGGACGAATGCCCTGGCTACCGTCCCAAGATCTTCTATACGTTCCTCGATGCCAAGACCGACGACCTCGTCGGCACCGAGAAGGACTTTCCCAAGCCCAACAACGCCAGCAAGGTACGTGTCGGATCGCGTGTGACACGCCCAAATATCATCGCTGACTTTCCTCTCTTGCAGCACAAGCGATCTGCCGAGAATGCTGGCCAGATTGGGCTCTTCCAGCCGAACTCTCGGGGTGGTGATCGTGTCCGCGGCGGTGATCGGGCTCGTCGGTCTCAGTACGACAGAGGCACCACCCGCCAGATGGCCGAGGATGCTTCCTACTATTACGCTCACGCCGCCGGTCCTGCCTATGGTGGTATGGCGCCCATCGGCACGCCGGCCATGGCGCCTGGAATGTACCCTCATCATGCCGGCTACCCACAAATGGGCCAGCAGTTCTACAACGGCTTTCCCCCAGTTGACCCCATGGGCGCCAACATGATCCAGTACCAAGGCCAATACCAGCATTACCAGTACCCGGGTAACTTTGCTGGTGCTCCACACGGCTATCCTGGCGGCAATACAGGCTTCGTGCCGTTCACCGGTCCAGGCCAAGCTGCCCCAGGCTACGGTCAAGCTGCTCATGGCTACGGCTATGGCTACAACACCAACAACCGTGCTTCCCAGCTTCGCACGCTCACCAACGGCCGCCTTGCGACTCGTCCTCGTGGCAACGTCACTGTGGCTGATCCCTCCCGCTACGACCCAGCTCCAGGCGTTCCACGCAGCATCGTCGCCAACCAGGGCGAGTTCCCGCCCGTCGACCAGTACGCACTTCAGCAGTACTATGCCGCCAACGCTGGCTATGCTGGAGTCCAGGCTCCTGCCAACGGCAACCACTACCAGTACTCTCAGTACTAAGCAACACCGTTGACGTTGATTGGAAAACACAAGATGTTCCAACTGGATGTCATGGTCGCCGCTTGGTGTGAAGGGTAGAAGGATGACTGGATGGTTCGAAGGTCTTGCTGGAGACGTCTGGTCGTTCGTGCAACATCTTCATGCTTGCTTCTTTCATGTTATTGCTCGACTGGCGATTGTTTTCTCTGCTCAGATGACAGGGTTCGAGACTGATGGCCGTCTTTTGGCTCATCGACATCAACCATTGCTGCACAAGGCGTTTGGGCGTTCATCATAGAAATAGACTGGCTCCGTAGATTAGAAAGTAATAGTAATGTTCAGCGTGATTGCAAGTGTTCCCATCTCATGTCGTCGTGATGTTGTTGTGTGCGACTTCGAAGGTCGCCGTCGCTACCCTTGCTGGAGACTCCGTCTGAGAAGTCGTGGGCACGACGCGAACTTCGGCTCTCGGGATCGACATGGACAAGACAACTTTCACCAGCATACTGAGTACTTTACCTTTCACTCCCGCAACTGACTCTCTTTTCTCTCGCCTGTGGGCCTCTGTTCCTTTCATCATGGCAAGAGTGCTCGCTCGGTAGCAAGCTCCGACACTTTGCAACACCCTCGAGAACTCACCCCAATGGCGCGTTCGCAGCGCGTCCGCACGACCGCGTTGACCCTCGCGAATCTCCTCCTCCCCATCGCAGTCCTCGTCTTCGCCGCGGGTTTCTTTCCATACAAGCCAGTACTGCCTGGCTTGGCCACGTCTGAAGAGCAGGATGGGAATGAACGTGCGGGAGGGAGAGATGCGCCGGTGTTTGACAAGGTCATCTTCATGGTTGTGGATGCGCTCAGGAGTGATTTTGTGTATGGATATGAGAGTGGGATGCAGTTTACGCAGAGGTGAGGATATACATATGTCTTGGATGAGGAGAGTACATGCTGATTGCGATGCAAGTCTCATCCGCTCCGGTGCTGCGATCCCCTTCACTGCGCATGCGACACCTCCCACCGTAACCATGCCTCGAGTCAAAGCCCTGACGACAGGCTCTGTGCCTTCCTTCCTCGACCTCATCCTCAACTTCGCCGAATCCGACACATCCTCCTCCCTCGCAGCCCAAGACACCTGGCTCGCCCAGATCCGAGCACAAGGAGGCTCCGTCGTCTTCTACGGCGACGACACCTGGCTCAAGCTCTTTCCACCCAACGCCTCCACGGGCACATCCTTCTTCGCGCGCGAAGACGGAACCAGTAGTTTCTTCGTTTCGGTCAGTGCTTTCCCCCAAAAACAGCCAACTGGCCGTGGTAACTATAGAAGAAGAAAAGTACATAGAAAGCTGAGCATGGCATATTTCTTTGCAAACAGGACTTCACCGAAGTAGACCACAACGTCACGCGACACGTTGCGCCCGAACTCGCGCGGCCCGATTGGAATGCGATGGTTATGCATTATCTCGGTCTCGATCATATCGGGCATAAGACGGGGCCTCAAGGCCCGAATATGCTGCCGAAGCAGAGGGAGATGGATGGGATTGTGAGGCGGATTTATGAGGCGATGGAGAATGAAGAGCATCATAAGGATACCCTGCTCGTGCTCTGCGGCGATCATGGCATGAATGCGGGAGGGAATCATGGAGGGAGTGGGCCTGGTGAGACGGAGCCTGCGTTGTTGTTTGCGAGCCCGAAGATCAGAGCTGTGAGGGAGAAGAAGACGTATGAATGTCCTACGTCCCCGAAGGAAGGGACGGAGTTTCATTACTATACCAAAGTCGAGCAGAGCGATCTGGTGCCGACGCTGGCTGGACTGATGGGCTTCCCGATTTCGAGGAATAGTTTGGGGGTGTTCATTCCCGAGATGAACGACGTGCTGGGGGAGGATGAAGGTGCTGTGAGGGGGCATTTGGAGCGGAATGCGAGGCAGATTATGAAGATTGTGGAGAAGACGTATGGAGGGGAGGGGTTTGAGAGGAGGGTGGAGATTTTCAAGAAAGAGAATCATGCGACGGGGGAGATGTGTGAGGAGAAAGCAGAGGGAGAGGCGAGACTGGCTTGTCTCTGGGCCTACGCTGGAAACGTACTGGAATCTCGAAGTTCCGACACGGCGAAACAAGCGACGTTGATGGCTTTCCTGCTCGAAGCGCAGGAGACCTTGAGCGGCACGGCCAGCTCGTACAACATCCCCCTCATGGTCGGCGGCATGGCTCTCACAACCTTCATCGTCATCCTGTCCCTCCACTCCTTCCCGAGATTCTGGCCCCCAAGCACCGCAGGCATCTCCCTCGCCCTCACGACCCTCCTCTACGGGATCATGATGTTCGCGAGCAGCTACGTGGAGGAAGAGCAGCAATTCTGGTACTGGGTCACGCCCGCTTGGATCCTGCTCTTCACGGTCCAGACAGCTTCGCAGACGCCTTCGCCGAGGACGAAGTACATCCTTGCGATGTCTGCGACGGCGATTCTGGCGGTGCATAGATTCTGCGTGCGGTGGAACCAGACGGGGCAGAAACATGCTGGGGAACCGGATATCGTGCATGGGTTCTTCCCGGAGGCGCATGTTCTCATGTGGTTGCTCATTCTGGCGACGTATGCTTGTAATGGGTACTTCCTTGTCCAGAAGGCTTTTGCGGGACTGCTGGCTCCTGAGATTGGAGTGCTGCTCGCCGTGGCGTTGGAGTTGCCTGCTGTGGTCTTCAAGTTGAATTTCACGCAGGCGGATGCGCCGGAGTTGGTGCAGGGCCTGGCTGAGCAGATTCGAGAGTTGACGAGCTCGTTTGATCTCGTGCTGCAGGCGAGGGTGGTGTTTGCGGGATTGGCGACTGTGACGATTGTGGTCATGACCCTGGCTGTGCTGTCCGCGAGGGAGAGTACGAGGCTAGGGATGAAGGAGGCGGGACTTCTGCCTTCGCTGGCGGAGAGGTTGCACGTTCTGCTCACGCTCTTCCTCATCACGCAGAGCAGAGCGCCTAACGTGCCGCTTTTTCTTGGGTTGGAGGTGCAAAAGGAGGCGTTGATCCGGATCTTGAATGTGCATGGTGGAAAGGAACGACGAGTCACGGCGGTGGCTTTGACGACGTTGCTTCTCTCGCATGTCTACTTCTTCTGCACGGGCGGGTCGAACTCCATCTCCAGCATTGATCTGAGCAATGCGTACAACGGCGTGGCGGACTACAACATCGTCGCCGTGGGAGTCTTGCTCTTCGCTAGTAACTGGACTGGTCCGATCTGGTGGTGTAGCGCCGCGAGTGGACTTCTCACAGCCAACCCCTCGATACCGTCGCAGGCACTTCAGAACGGCCGCTCCTGGATCGACAACGAGCGCTCGAAACTCCACTCCGAGACGCTGCAGGCGATGATGGGGCCTGAGAAGTCGCGGGAAGCACAGTCGCAAGCTGATGAAAGGAGTGGTGGTTGGTCGCTGTACATCTCCTGCATGACGGCCTTTATCTCAGCAGGCCTTCTGGCCGTCATGGCGGCTTGCACGGCTCTTCGAACACATCTGTTCATCTGGACGGTCTTCAGCCCCAAGTACCTGTACGCCATGGCGTGGGCGGTTGGGTGGCATTTGCTGTTCAATATCGGGTTTGGGAGTCTGATGGGTTGGGTTGCTGGTGTAGCATAGTTATGATAGAGAGATAGATCGCATGATTTGAGTTCTCAGCCAAAGATGTCGTCGATGGCGTTGCCGGTCTTTTTGCGTTTCTTTTTGGTCTTCTTCTCGGGTGCTTCTGAGGAGCGTTTCTTGGAAGATTTGGGTACCTCCGGCGGCTTGGAATTTGTACTCCCTCCCATCTCAACCTTCTCAGACTCATCATCCTCCACCCTCGTCACCAACTCTCCCCGATCCTCTCCCTCCCCTCGCATCACCCCTCCCTCACCCCACTCCTCCCGCCCAAACTCCTCAAGCACCCTCTCAACCTCCCCCTGCCCCAACTCCTCCAACTCCACCGTCACCCCCACAACCGCACAAACCTCCGCCAAAACCGCCATCAACACAACCCCCAGCACCGCAAACCTCCCATCCGCCACAACCTGCGAAAACGCCCGCTGCCACCTCGGAACCATGGCATCCCTCCAGAAGACAAGCCTCTTCTCATGGTTGGCGATGAGGAGGGCATCGGAGCGTTTCTTCTGCGTGCGGGCGAGGTTAGTTGTGGGGAGGGTGTTGAGTTGGTCGATTGTGGTGCTGAGGTGGGAGAGGTTTTTGCGAAGGAGGGAGAAGTGTCGCCACCAGATGCTGCGGCGGTGTTGGTTTTTGTTGCGGTGGTGGAAGAGGTGGAGGAGGGAGGATAAATGCGCCAGCGTGGACTGAGAGTCTTGGGAGATGTGGAGGGCTTTTTCTGCGCTGGCCATGGTTGATGGTGGGTGATGGGGAGATATATTGATGCTCTTTTCTTGTGTTCAAAGGTCGGTGAAATCGAAAGCGGATTTTGCGAAATCTTCTTCGTTCACCTCGCTGATCCGTGTTTGCATGCCATCAACTGCCAAATGTAGGGCGATCTCAGCGTTCGATATGCTGGAAAGATTTGCATGTGATGGTGGATGGTGTATTGTCCAATCAAGAGAGGTGGATTGCACAAAGGCAAGTGAGTGAATCTCGGCGAAAGAAAGAGCCGAGACAGCCGGCGGGCAGGAGTCAGGACATCCCACTTGCTCACGATAACAATCCACCTCATCTCTCGTTGGATTCTCTGGTCGTGTGACCACTGCAGACTCGTTTTCAATAGGATGGAATGAGTCTTTGTTACTGCTGCTGAGCAGCTCAACGATACTCTCCGCCTCAACACGCCCGCAACGTCACCATGGAGAGAAGGCCACCGGATTACCACCTGGAAGTGTGCGCCGATAGAACGAGCATTCGCGATGTCGTGAAAGGTACATACAATCCAACTATAACCCAACCCGGCGCCAGCTAAGAAGTTGATCCCAGGCATCCTCCACACCATCTTCTTCCACCGCTACTTCACCCCGCTCATCCCCTCCACGCACGAAATCCTCGACACCACCCTCCCCTACATCTCCGAAGACGACATCGACACCCTGATAGAAACCCGCACGACCCAACTCCTCCGCGCCCTCGACGCCGCCCCCTCCACACGCACCCCCTCCCTCCTGCAAATCAACTTCCTCGAGCGCAAACGGCGCAAATCCGGCTGGTTCGTCACCAAAGCCGACGAAGAGACGGTGTGGGAGACGTGGTTCATCTCCGTCGAGCTCATGACGGCGAGGAGCGAGCCCGAAGCGCAGAGGAATCGGAGGCTGATGGAGAGGCAGTTGCAGAAGGCGGCGATGAAGGTGATTGGGATTGTGAATCGCGAGAGGGCGCATATTCCGCCCATTACGACGAATGAGAGTAATCCGTTTCCGTATCAGATTGTTGTGAATCCGAGTGGGAAGGAGGGGACGGTGGCGGGGATTAGTGGGAAGATGGGGATATTTTGAGATCGGGGTGAGGGGGATGAGGGAGGCTTTGCTGGGAAGTGGATTGAAATATGCAAAGATACCCGTTACTGGCGTTTAGAGGAGTTACTATGGTAGTACAAGCCTTCGAGGTGTCCACATAAGGATGCAATTATATACACGAAAGACCATGAATTAACTCATCCGGCATTGCTCCGCTACTGACTCTTCTTCGCCCAAGCGCTCTCCGTCTCCACCCAAGTCCTGAAGTCCTTGAGGTAAGGATACTTCCTCCTCAGCTCAGGAATCTCGACAGTGAACCCATCACTCTTGAACCAATTGAACATCAAGCCCAACTGCTTATGCAGCAACCACTTCAGCACAACCCCAACAAAGCTGAATGTCGTCGGCAACTCCTGTCCCGTCACCTCCTTGAACACCTTCGCCGCCTCCCTAGGAGTGAAGTCATCCCCGGCCAAAGGCACAGCCTTGTTCTTGTACTCATCACTCTCGGCATTCAGAAATGCCTCCGCAGCGACCTTGCCAATATCACTCGTCGCAATCATCTGCAGCTTGTTGTCCACCCCGTTCAATTTCCACATCGACACGAACGCCTTGCCCATGAAGTCGTTGGTCATATTGTCGAGAAAAGCCACTGGGCGAAGGAAAGTATACGTCAACTTCCCACCACTCTTCTTCGCTTTCTCCTCGATATCCTTCTCGATATGGAACTTGCTCGCGAAATGCGGCACGGTCGTCTCATCCGTCTCGGAGTTCTTTCCTCTATCCGTGCCCGTGAAAACGATATGCTTCACACCGGCCTTGACAGCCGCAGCCGTCACGGCTTTCCCTTCTTTCTCTTCCTTGACATGGTCCATCGGCATCGTGACGCTGAAGATACCCCATGGGTCCTTGACCTGGCGAAAGATGGCTTCCGGGTCAGAGAAGTTTCCCTCGATGAGGGTGACGTTGGGTTTGGCTGCTAGGCGTTGGGCGCTGGGGGAGGTTTTGTTGCGGGTTACAGCGTAGATCTCCAAGGGTTGTTTGGGTTTGGAGAGGAGGGCGGAGATGAGAGCGCCGCCTTGTTTGCCCGTTGCGCCTGTCACGATCAGGCGGCGGGTGGTTGGGGTTGTCATTTTGGGGAGTGGAAGTAGGTGCTGTCTCTTCGAGTTCCTTTGATCCTGCTGGAGGGGCGGGACAGTGAAATGCCTAGTCGATTGAAAGACGTAGTAAGATGAAAATACAGAGATCCTACTCTGTCTCCTTGCGCAGCTCCATGCCGTGCTTTATACTTACATACCGTGAGCGTCACAGAGACTTGCTAGATCGGGTGTACGGAGAATCGAGAAGCTACGAATGGGTCTGTGTCGTTGGTTCTTTGCTGAACTTTTCTTGTCGGCTCAATCTTGTGGTGCATTGGTGAGAGAATATAGATTAGACGGGGAGTCTGTGTTCTGAAGACGGCATGATTGATGGCGAGTCGGAGTGTCTTGAGAGGAAGGGAAGACCGCTGTGACAGTTTACTCAAACTTGGTGCTTTTGTGGGAATACAGGGCTTTCTACTATGAATATGTGGATTAGCCACATAATTTGCGTCGAGACAGGGAGATGATCCACGTGGATAAAGACTTGCCCTGGAAAGCGGAGAGTCTGTTCCTCCGGAACAAGGCAGAGTTCGCCCGGTTCTGTCTTTAATTCGAACGTCACCTCTACTATTCCACCCCTCGTACCGCAACACGACGGGGCATGCCTGGCCTATCCCAATATAGACCTCGCTTGCCTACAGGCGAGGCGACACGCACTTTCAGCTGCCTTAGACTGCATGTGGAGCTCAGAGGATTCGACTATTGCGGCTCTCGCAATAGACATCCAGGTAGAGGTGTACAGAGGACAAATCGCGTGGACGACATTCCACAGCTCTTGGTTGACTGGGTAGGGCTCGCTAGAGGCAGTAACATCGCTCTCGCTATGCATGTATATACACATTCCGAAAGAAGGGCGTCTTCCTCAGACACACTCATTTCCAATATATGCTACTCACGATGCAGGCCCTCAAAGTCGCAGGATGTATCCCTCCACTATTATACTCTCAACTCTTCGTCCACATACCTTACCCAACATCAGACTTCTCAGGACAGACCATCATCGTGACAGGCTCCAACACCGGTCTGGGCAAGGAGGCCGTCCGTCATCTCGTCCGCCTCGGATCAAAGAAGGTCATCATGGGAGTGCGTACCGTCTCGAAAGGCGAAGCTGCAGCCGAAGACATCATCAACAGCTGCAATGTCAAAAGCTCGATAATCGAGGTCTGGCAGCTCGATATGGCTGATTCGAAATCTGTCCAAGCCTTTGCCGAACGAGCGAGAGGGCTGGAGCGATTGGATGCGGCCATTCTCAATGCAGGGGTACAGTCTATGAAGTGGTCCACTGCGGGCAGTTACGAATCACACATCGCCATCAATACGATCAATACCACTTTGCTCTCGATGCTTCTCTTGCCGAAGTTACAAGCCAGCGCCAGGACCACAGGCCAACGAGGCCGTCTCACAACCGTCGGCTCGGATCTCATGTACTTCGCCAACCTGAGAGAACTCGAAACAGAAGGCAACATCCTCAAAAAACTCAGCGACGAAGCACAATCCCGTTCTTGGATCGGCCAGCGCTACGCTCAGAGCAAAATCCTCCTCTTCTGGCTGATTCGTGAGCTCGCGAACCGTAATCCCCTCACGCAAGACTCAGACGTCCTCATCACTGTCGTGACACCCGGCGGCTGCCAGAGCGATTTATTCAGAGACGATATCGGTCCGGTCGGCAAGGCGGTATTCAAATTCATCTCGGGATGTTTCAACCGCACGACTGAGGTGGGCGCGAGGACGTATGTTCATGCCGTTAGTCCTGAGCTGCCGGTGGAGGCTCATGGGAGGTTTCTGATGGATGCGAAGATTGCTGCGAATGGGATGAATGTTACTTCTGTGCAGGGAAGGAATCTGGCGAAGAAGTGGAATGAGGAGATGTTGGAGATGTTGCAGAGGGAAGTCGACCTGGACGCAGGAAGCTGAGCAGGAATGAGACACGATGATCTCTCCTCTTACTATTCCATTAATAATAACGAAGGCGTGATGCCGACTGGGTTCCGAATATCACAACACTCGGGCCGAGCGACAAGGCTTGACGCCCGCCCCTATCCGACTTCATCATTTCAATAGCCTTGAGACAAACGTACCGTCTGACTTTTGGCTTCCTCTTCAAGGTTGAAAACATCCATCGTAAGACTAACAATCCACCCCCTCCCCAGCCTCTTCACCGTCAAAGACGGCCCCATCCTAATCGACATCGACGTCAACGTCGACATCGAGAGCATCGAATCCTCACAACAAACATACGTCTTCGCAGACGTCAACGGCGACGACTGGTTCTACTTCGAAGACACCACACAACCAAGTTCTCGTCGTTCTTCTGCTGCTGTTGCTGCGTCGACGTTTAGTACTCGTACGGTTAGCGGCTCGGATACGACGATTATTGATTTTCGGTATGAGAGGACGCCGAGGCATAGGGTGTTGCATGAAGGGAGGTGTAGGTTTGCTGGATTGAGGGCTGTGGAGGTGGGAAAGGGGGTTGGGCATCGGAATGGGGATGGGATACCAGGGCGGAGGGGGTGCGGTTTAGGGAGCAGTTTTGATGTGGATTAGTGCTATGAGATAGGGATGCGCTGGTAGTTGAGGCTGTTGATGATGATACTTCGACGGTACTTTATGGTATTTCTGGATGTGTCGTTGGGATACTAGCGGATTCTTTCCTCCGATGTGGTTGGAACGGAATAGCCAAAGCAGTATGAAAGGACAATGTTGATCAAGGGTGTAGTTGAAGTACTGAATTCAATGGCTATCGGAGCAGACTACACGATCTTCTCGTGCGGGAGGTCGATGGTATAGCTCTCCATGTTTCCTTTTATAGCGAAGCACCACCGCCTGGCAGATTTTTTGGGTCGCAGTCCGCGCACGCGGCCGTGAAACTGCCAATAGCAGCCAGGCAGGCTAGGTCAGCGATGGGATCTAGAAGCATTGATTTCATTCAGCTTCTCCTTATGCCACTTATGAAACGCTGCTCCTAGCGTATACGTACCAAGTGCACCTTGTCCCGCAGCCGTTGCACAGGAGGCAAGGCAAGCTGCCGCGGCAGAAACGCATGCTATGTCCCATTTAGTCAGTCCAAATGCTCCTCAGTCTTTGCTGATGGTCTGTCGTCAACGGACCGAGCACATTACATCCTCTGGCCTTGAGGATGTCGATCTCGCACTGAGCTACCGTGTAGCCGTCTCCTGAGTTGCAGACTGGTCCTCTGGGCATGGAAACTCGTGGGTCCCAGCCTAGCCCCTGTCTGGGTTCGATGGAGCGGGACAGCGGGTTGGGCCGGTCGGAGAGGTTGAGGAGATCAAGGAAGCTTGCCGTGGAGTCCTCGACGGAGCGGATCGAGAGGGATCGAGGGCAGATTTGTCCGACGGCGAGGTTGCCGAGTAGGGCGAGAGCAATAGCGGGTGTGACAAGTAGCCTCATCTTGGAGAGTGGTGGGCGTGGCAAGTTTGAATGATAGCAGTGAGCAGACGAGATAGCCAATCCGAGGAAATGTGGATTCGATGTTGCAATCCGATTGCATGTTGTGCCTGCTTTTATATCGTGAATGGAGGCAGTGTTTCAGTCTGCATGTGATGAAGGACATACCCTGGAAAAGACCAATCCTTCGTTTCGAGAAACAGTCCTCCCGTCCTCAGTCTCAGTTTTTGAGTGCTCGCTTTTGCTCCATTCTCCTGCCATTTCGTGTGCCTGAGGGGTGAAACACATGAACGAACCTACAGCATGAATTGCGGCAAGTGGCAGATAACATTTTCCATCGATATGCGGGAATGGATGAAAGCAACAACATGTGTATCTGCAGTCAGCGTAGGTCACCAAGATCATGGGTGCTCTGTCAATCTTTTACGTGTTACGAATCTTGTTGAGAAGATCCAACATCCTCACCCGTGCCCATAGAAATTAGCCTTTTTTTCATGGCTTCAGCCCTTCTTGCCACGTCTGGATTCGGCAACCTGCTGAAGTCACATTTCACAGCCCAATTTCCTATACCGTGCTGTAAGATGTTACGAGCTCGAGCAGGGTCGTTCCCAACTAAGCCCATAGTCCCGTGCAGTGTCATACGCTCGTTGGTGCTGTCGTAGACGCCTCGATGCAGGATGTTGTTGTTATAGAATACGATGTCACCGGGAAGCATCTTCACGGCCAGTTGTCCTGGCATATCGTCCTCGTAAGGATCTACGCTGCGCTCCATGTCTGTTCGTGCGCGCTTGTGGGAGCCTGGAACTACCACAAGAGAGCTGTCTTCGTAGAGAGCGAGATTCCATTGAGCATGCAGCATAGGTTCACCTAGACGCTCCAGTTCTTCTTCGGCCGACACATCTGGACCTATATCGTCTCTATGCCAGCGTAAGGAAAAGTCACGATCCGGGCGTACAAGCATATTGTACAGTTCCATAACCAGATCGTCTTGTGAGCAGTTCAGTAGCGCCGTGACGGCGTCGATCATGGTATCGCCAAAGTAGGAACTGGCAAAGATGTCTTTATCTGACTGGGGGATATCAGGGTGAAGGAGGTGCTGCACGCCCCATATGCCTTTACTGACGTCCTCGTTCCAGGGAGGAAATTGTTTTGGCAGGCTGCGGAAGTAGGGCCACTGGCCTGACCTCGTGCGGTCTACCATGCGATGGCAGGCCGCGCGGTATGTCTCGACCTGCTGCAGTGTGAAAGCGCCAGGAATCCGCACGAAGCCGTCGCGGGCCAGAGACGCTCTCAGTTGTTGAGGTGATGCAGGGGCTCCCGACGCCATTCCAGCAGTGGTTGTGCTTTGTGTTGTGGTGGAGCGACAAAGGGCGTTCCAGCTGGTCGAAGTGGCTGAGGAACAGCAACGGCGGCGCCAATGACGAAACGCCGACTAGCACATGACAAGGACAACCACGGCCACAGACTCACTCACTTCGCCCTGCATACCTCCGACGCGCTTCTGGTCGCCTTCTTCACCACCGGTTCATCCCTACTCCAACAACCCAAATGTCTACCTCCGTCACCACATCAACACCCAGCCACACCACACAAAGAGTACGGGAACGGTACCCGAGATAACGACGTGCCAGTAGACCGCCGACGACGAACCACAACACCTCCGATCGCATCGATCGCATTCCCTTTCCACTTCAATACACAAATCGCCTGGCATGGCCGACTATATCAGCGACACGCCTAACCAGAGCGCGCCCGCCGGTGGCTCCAACCAGCGCACGCCTTCCTCCGCCCATAACAAGCGCAACAATCGAAATCGCAAGCACAACCCACAGACCGACGGCACCGTCTCGGATGGTGCACTTGCACATCCAGCGTCTCCTCGAGCAAAGAAGCCACAAAATCAAGCACACCAGCAGAGACAAAGTGTAGCAGGCGCTAAAGCGGTACCCATTCCACAAAACGGCAACATGGGCAACGCAAATGGTCAAAAGCCACGACCGGTCTCCGTGGGTGGGAATCTCATACCCATGACTCCAGCGAAAGAGCAGGCATATGCAGCGAGTGCGTTTCAGGCTTCGCCGGCACCTTCTTCACTTCCTATGCCCAAGTTCTTCTCCAAGTCTGTACCGAATGCGGCAGACCCTTCGTCTCTACAAGCGCCGACGGGAGATCGCATGCAAGATGGGCAGACCTCGTCGCCAGAGTCGGACAACATCTCGCCGGCTCCGCCTCCACGAGAAGCGCAACAATCACCTTTGGACTTCTTCTTTAAGGCGGACAGAGCTGAGAAGGAGCGAATGAGGAATGGGAGCGCACCCACGTCCCTAGGTTCTGAGGCACGGTTTGCGCCTCCTCCTAGAGGGTATGCCAGTGGATCACAACACTTTGGCAAGAACATGTTCATGCAAGAGCTTGACGGGGACGATACAGACATGCCCAGCCCACGAACGATACCACCGAATAACCGTCCACCTACAAATCGTCAGTACTCTTCGCCTGCTCTCTCTGCTCGTCCAGGTTCCAGCGATCAAGAGCGACAGGCACACACCAAGGCTCTCAAGGATCAGCTCTTCAGCATTGCTGCCACCCCTCCACGCGAGCACTCTCGTCCCAGCTCCGGCTCGCAGACTCCTGACGGTGTATTCGGATCTCCTTCACCCTTGCAGCGGCCTGTGTCAGGGCCATTGACTCCACAATCCTCCTCCGACCCTCAGCAGAGTCAGTTCTTGCATTACAACAGCCGAATGAACCTCTCACCCGTATTCCAAAAATTCCGTTCCGATACGCCGCCGCGCCAGTCTGCCCTTCGCCAGGAATTGCCTAACGATGTGGTTTCAAGCGCTGACAGTGCTGTCGACTCGCAGGCCAACTATCCTCGTCCGCCATCAAATGATTCTCAAGCTTTTGCACGTTCTTATCTGAAGGAGCAGATTCGCACCTCGGGGCCAGCAGAGCTGCCGCAGTTTCCTTGGAAGAACGGTCCGGCACCGGTTCAACATCCAAGAAGTAATGAGGGCTCTGGTCCTGTTCCTATTCGTTCTCAGCCCGTTCACGCACAGCATGGAGTTCCGTCTTCTACGACACCGCGGTCCAATGGATCGAAGGATATTAAGGGAATGGAAGATGATTTACGAAAAATGCTAAAGATCAATGATGTTTTGGGTTAATTTGAGCATTGGGGAGAGCATACTGGGTGGGGATCAGCATGGGGAACACTTTATAGCGAGGCGCTCAGGGTGTTCATATCAATCTTTGGCTTGGTCAATTGCTGGGCTTTGGTAGGAAAGCCGCTTATGATGAATCTGGAGATAAGATGCTGGTAGCGGCAGGAGGAGTCATGGGATAAAGAGGTCCTGGATGGACAACGACGATCGCTACGAGTCTCGTATGTTTGGTGGAGATGACACTCGCTGAATTTCATATGTCACGGGCTCAGGTGCTGCGAGAAAGCACTCAGTGCAAGGCAGCATGAGCCTGATCCCTAGATAGAAGACCAACTCACGTCACTCCTTCACCTTTGACCCCTTCATTTGCATGTGATATTTCCTTGGCGTGGTGCGTTTTGGGTTGCGGGAAGTACGGCTAGATGCGGGTCACTAGCGTCCGCCACGTGAAACCGCACAACGCAAACACCTCTCAGTGGACCACACTTCTCGAGCCTTCCTCTTCCATCAGCTTCGTGTTTGAGCTCGCAAGCCACCGACTTCCAACTTGTCTTTGGAACGCCACAGAAAACGAATCAGGCTACAAGAGCGCGGTCCTGTAGAAAAGCCATCCGCGAAATGAACCACGCCCGAAACAAACACCATGGCCAGTAACGGTTCGGCGGTCCCAGCTCCGACCAGCGTACAAGAAGTCGAACAGGTAATCATCCACCAGAATACAAAGCTCAAGGGCAGCGCTGATATTGATTGCCAGCTCGTCAAACGCCTCTACGCCCCAGGAAACCCCCGCACGATCGCACAGGTCGACGACCAGCTCAAACTCCTGCAACATTCCCCAGAAGGATGGCAGCTGGCAGACGCCTTACTCGGCAGCAGCGATGTCAACGTGCGCTTCTTCGGCGCGCTGACATTCCAGGTCAAACTCAACAATGATGGGTCAGTATTTGCAAGACCCTGAGCTGAGGTTCTCAGGTGTGTGGGACTACGTTTGCTTACTTGTTGCGTTTGGCTTGTAGGGCGAGGCTTGATGCTGAGACGGCGAAGACGGTTGGGATGAGATTGGTTTATTGGACTGTTCGTGGTCTCTTCTTGGGATGGAATTAAGGTGTGATGTTGTGATGAGACTAACGCTTCGTAGGTGCAACGCGATCGTGCTGGAGAGGGAATGCTAGTTCGAAAGAAACTATGCGCTTCGCTGGCTACCTACTTCTTGCGATCTTCTGTGAGATGGACGAAGCCGCTGTTACATCTCGCGGTCTCGTTCCAGCAAGGAGATGCGGTGCCAGAAGAACGACTATCAGCTTCACACGATGCCATTGATCAAACCCTTCCGACTTTGACAGATTCACAGCTTGCCACTCTTCTATGGCTTTCCGGTTCATTAGCGACAGAAGCAGCGAAGACCGACAGTACCACACCTGAGAACATGCAACTGCACACGTTGATGGAAGATATGGTTGCAAGCGCAAGCAAGATCATCCGCCACGCATCGAAACGTCCAGACACAGCACAAGGAGGCAAACTTCGAGCAGAAAGTCTCGCTTGTTTCTTGAACTGGGTCAACTACGCTCAGCCAATGTGGCATGCTCAGCAGGAATCCCTGAACCACTTACGAAATCTGGTAGAGGATCTGGCACCAATGTTGACCGAGGACTCGCCTCAAAGTGAGGCTATGGACGTCTTCAGGGACATTCTCGAGAGCTTCACGACTTTCTTCAAGCCTCAACATATGCAACTTCTGGCCAATATCATCAACCAGTTTGCCGCACCGAAGATGCTGCAATTGCTGCAGGATAAGGAGCCTGAGGTCATTCCAGTGGCACAGCTCATCATCGCGTACGGTATCGCCAACATCCAGCAAGTCGTTGAGGAGCCCGAAAACGAATATGGATCGCGGAACATCGTCCGGCTACTGTTGGCTATCTTCGAAGCTCCGGGCTATCCTGGTGATGACGACGAAGTCTCTATACACAACATAGAGTTCTGGAATACCTACATTGAGTACGTCAACGAAGCGATGTACTCACGAACGACGGACCAGCCACCTCCTACTTGGCTGGAGCATGACAAAGCTGTCTGCATGCAACTGTCAAAATTGATCCAGAACAAACTCGTCACGCCGCCACCAGACATTGCACAAGGATGGACGGATGCAGAGGCGGACGCTTTCAAAGAGTTTCGTGTGGACGCCTCAGATCTCATGCTCTCGATCTATGTTCGGCTGGGTAACGAAATGCTGCAGCAGTTCATCACGCTAGCTCTCACCTCACTGGCCGCCAAAGACTGGCAGAACCTCGAGGCAACCTTGTTCTGCATCAACACGCTCTCTGATAATGTCTTGGAAGATGCCACTGCAGAACAGCTACTCATTCAGATATTCAGCTCGAGCTTATTTCGTGATATCGCGGATTTCAACCAGCCTATTCCAACTCAAACACGGAGAACTGCGATCGACACACTGGGAACATACGGCCAATACATCGAACGCCATGCCGAGTTCCTGCCAGACACACTTCGCTTCCTTTTCGCCTCGCTCGAGACTTTCGGCCTCTTCATGAGCGCTGCCAAGTCGATTGAAGCCCTTTGCTCCACGTGCCGAAACAGTCTGACAGGCGAGCTGGATGGCTTCCTGGCGCAGTACAATCGCTTTGCCCAAGGCGAGACAAGCGAGCCGTACACGAATGAAAAAGTCATTGGCGCCATCGCTGCCATCGTGCAAGCTGTAACCCCCGAAAGTGCGAAAGTGTCGCCACTATCTGCGCTGTTGGACATTGTCGATGGCAACATAACACGAGCACAACAGCTCATCAAGCGAGGCCAGATGGAAGACGCAGAGGCATACGGCGTATCAGCGATCGAGTGCCTTGTCAGAATCGGTAAAGGGTTGCAAGTGCCTGACGACGTTCCCATCGACTTGTACGAGGACGAACCGCCGAAAAAGAACGAACAGAGCTTCTGGCGAACACAGGAAGGTCAGGCAGTCCAGCACAGGATTTTGGGTATCTGCCAGACTGTGCTTCTGCTACTTCCCGATTCAGGGGAAGTGGTCGATGGGGTCTGCAACGTCCTCAAGGCTGGATTCACCGAAACAGAACCTGGACCATTCGTCTTCCCTCCTGAGATGACGGTCAGCTTCCTCGAACAATGCACCATCAGCACACCTCACCTCGAATCTGTCCTCTCCATGATCTGCACCCTCCTCGTCCAATACTCCCGACGAGACCAACCACGAATCGACGCCGAAGTCGCCCGCATCTACAAACACACCGTCACCTACATCCAAGCCCTCGGCGAACCCTCCCAAGACCCAGGCATCGCGCAAAGCTGCATCGACGTCTTCAACCGCATGTCCACCCGCTACATCAACGTCCTCCTCGACACAACCTCCACGGGCGACTCGGTCCAACCCATCCTCGACTTCGCCCTCAAAGCCCTCGACGGCCCGGACCTCATGCCCAAACGATCCGCCGCAGACTTCTGGGCGCGCATGGTCCGTCCACCGGAGAACGCCACCGATGAGACGGTCATCACCCGCGCCGGCCATGTCATATCCGCCTACGGCCCTGCGCTCAGCCAAGCACTCATCAACCAGATCACCGGCCGCGCGCAACGCTCCGAGCTCGATCAGCTCTGCGAGCCGCTCAAGGCGCTCACGACGAACCGCGCTCCGACGAAGGCGTGGTTGGAGGCGGCATTGTTCAGTGAAAGTTTGCCGCCGATTGCGAATGGGAGTGTCGGGGATGCGGATAAGAGGCGGTTTGTGCAGCAGGTCGTCGGGTTGAGGGGGGAGAGTCGGAGGACGAGGGACGTGGTGAAGAATTTTTATGTGGCGTGTCGGGGGACGGTGGTTAGCTATTGATTGTGAAGGGGAGAGGGGATGAGGCGAGTGGGTGAAGGAGAGGAAGCATTATGTTGGGCGTGGGTGAGTGAGTGAGTGAGGGCGTTGTTGCTTGCTTCGAGGATACCCGGACGACCTTATATAGCTTGCAGAATCAAGTCAAGTGTTTGCTACGAAATGAGGAGGTCAGCAAGAGTTCTAACGACTGCCCCAATCGTTACTACAAAACACAAGTCCATCCGTCTCGCCTTGAGGCATAGAAGTCCTTATTGACCTTCTCACATAGTGAATGAGGCTCGACCCTCTTCCTTCCTCGTCGACCACGGCATCAGCAACGTCTCGATTAGCTCGCTTTGGAAGTAGGAGGAGGAAGTGGATCGCAAAATAGAAGGCGGACGCAAGACCGCTGCTGATACGACTTAGGGGATGGATGTTCGAAGGACGAGGCACTATTGCAACAGGAGAGGGAAAGACGAGAGTTCGAGGAAGATATCGTTTTCGCGGTATGAGACTCTTCGAGGTGGGAGGAGAGAGAGGAGAGGAGGTTCTGCTTGGAGGGGAGAACGGGACAGGGGCAACGGCCTTCTCCTGCATTCTTTGGAGGAAGGGCGGGCCTTCGCTGGCGGTCGTGCTGAGAAACCCTCGCCCAACGCCTTCGTCTCGCTCGTGACTTTTTCTCCTTTCGCCCCCATTTCAACGAAGACTGCGATTGTGCAGGTGACCTTTTCTCTTCGTTGCCGGCATGCCTCAGCTCGTCGCCGCCTGCCCGCCTCGGTCGAGGACCATGCTCATTTTCCAATCAGGCCTTCTGCAGCGGCGTCGTCGTCGTCGTCGATGTGATCGTCGTCGCCCGAGCTCAGCATACAGGCTCTGCGAGGTCAGACGACCAAAAGCTGCATCTCATCGTTCGCATCCTCGCCCTTCGCCCAGCCGCTGCGATCGTCAGTATCATCATCATCGTTAAGTTCCTCATCTTCAAGAAAAGAACGAATCGTCAACCCCGAAAACCGTTGAGGAGGATGCCTCCTCTCTGCGTGGTTCCCAACGTCTTTTGATATACCATAAACTTGACGCATTCAAGGTCTTGTGACGTCCATCCTTCCCCTTAGCTTAGACGTTCGCATAGGAAGGATTCAGAATCTCAAGCATGGAAAGGTCTCGTGAGCTATGTACCGCTGCACGTCGAACGTACACCTGTGTGATGCACGGTGCATGAACTCTGTATGTACCTTGATATGCTCGTTCTTTTGTTCGTCATCATCACCGTCGTCGTCACCGGCTATTGCTGAAAGATTTCGTTGAGGAGGAGTACTTGGAGAGCTGAAGTCGTAAATTCTGAAGCTCATGTGACCCGGGAGGCCTGAAGGAAGGAAGTGGATACCCCGGTGTAGGTAGGTCATGATGGCGTCAGGCCTGAGTCCAGAGCTCTGGATGCGCTAATGAAGAATACTACTCCAGTTTTGTGAGGGTAGTTGGCGGTTGTTTCAGGGTGAGATGGACAGTGTGAGATCTGGATCTGGGCAATCTTTTCTTAGACCTCTTGTGAGAGGAGGCTATGCGTTCGTATCGTCAGGTGAAGTTCAAGTTTGTTCCAATGAAATCATCCGTATTCTTAAACCCAAATGAGTGTAGCTTACTTTCTTTCGAGCTCGTGTGATGTGCATGGAGTGGCCTGTATTGTCCGCAGCTTTGGGGCCCGGCCGGCTACATGACATCTGGAGAAGAGGACTCCACAACGCGGCACGAGGACGAAATTGTGGAGTCTTGCTTGCTGGTACTGTATGGGGCTGTGTGCACTGTGAAGAACGACACGCATTGAGATCTCTCCGTTCCGTGACTGTGCTTACCGATTGCCAGTGATGTTTGGTGACGAGCTAGTCCGACTTGTCGTTGGGCTGCCTCTCAACCATGTGGTATTTTGTGAGCAAAAGGCTTGGCGGGCGATCTAGCGGACAGATCTGGATGGCTCTGGGCGCGTCTCGCTTATGGCGGTAGGTGGAAGGCGACATGTGACAGTCGTGCTTGCTGCGCGCCGTTGGTAGATCCGTGCAAGCCGAGCGCCGGTTGGGCTGTGCTTTGCGGCGGGTAAGAAAGGTTGTTGGTGGATGCGAGTGAGTGAGTACAGTAGTAGAGATGTGGTGTTGTTCGAGGGCACCGCACAAAGCCGAATCCACACAAAACGGCAGTGGCAGACACGTGAGAGCAGTTCTGTGTGACAGGACCAGCAACTAGCCAGCCATGAGGTTTCGATGATACTTGCGTCGCACCACAAGCTAGGATCTCGTAGGATTTCTCACTATGACAGCGAACAGGCGGACGATGGCGTGTGTAAGGGAGAGGTGTGTTTGGAAGCTTGCAAAGCTTTCTGGCTTGGGCCGCCAGAAGTATCGAGTACTTTGGGTGATTGGGGAGGGCGTGATTGGGTAGACGACGGGCCAGGCGTCATGGTGCAGAGTAGGTACCTGAGAGTCGACGATGCAGGTCGCTGCTTCTGGGAGGGCAGAGCTGGGCCTACTGCGTCGGCAGCACGGGACGGATTCATGCAAAGAAGTGGATGCTGGGGAGAAGGTTGTGAAGGCTGACTGCAGCATGGAATGAAGAGGTTTTGTTTCTGAACCAGAACGTTTTAGACGGTGTGGATGAAGTAGTGTATACCACAAATGTGTATGAGTGTAAGTGAACAATGAATGGTCGGCGGCGAGAAGTGCGGTCAGGTAGGATCTGTGATGATGTCTGCGGTGGGGATGATTAAAATAGCGGAGGCAAATGAGTGTCACGCGCCTTTTTGCTGGAGTGTCAAGGCGCAACCGCACGTGGGTGTATGCAATTGTCCTCAACAGTTTTCCGCCTCAACCACAATCCACGCTGCCAGCGAGCGCAGAGCGGCCGATCTGGCGGTGGTTTGGGGTGGTGTTCGAGAAGGAATTGAGCGGCCGGCGGGCTGGTCGAGTTGATGGATAGCAGCCCCTTGTGTAGAGGACAAGGGCAGCTGAGAGCCGCTCTGCAGTGCACATGACCTTTGCTCGGGCTCCACTGTTATTAAACCAGCGTCATTTCTCCCAGGCCCGTGCCATGATTGATTGACTGAGCCCTGTCATGCCCGTCTTATATTGTTGTTATTGTTATCGTCGACGACAGGTCTGAACAGGAGACAGAGGACGCCGCAGCACCGTGTGACGAGCAAGTGAAGTCCAGTCGACTCGGCGGCGTGCATTGCATATCGTTCATCAGAAGCTGTCCCGGGGCGGACTTGGGAGAGGGGAAAGCAGAAGGGAAAGCGTTTCGAAGCTCACCCATCCACCGTCACCTGCCGCTGCTGCTGCTTCAATATCCTCATTCTTCACCACCACCGCTGCTTGCTGCTCCGCTAGGCCTTCTCTACCCAGCCCCAGGCCTCTTCCAACCGCACCGCCCTGCACTGCATTGCACGTACGCACGCACGCACGGCACGCCGCACCGCAGTCACCGCCAAGACTTCTGTCTCCGCCGCCGCCTTGTCGCGACTGCCCATCGGTCAGCCGTCGACTTCACCTTCTACCAGCCCACCGCTGCTCTCCACAACACCACCACCACCCTCCTCGGCGCGCGCGGCGCCGCACTCCATTTCTCACCACCACCCCTCCAACCACGACCACGGACTTCCAAGCCGCAGACCCGCGATCTCCTCACCAGCTCCTCAACCGAAGCCCTCCCTACTCGCGATAGCAGCACTCGCCGCCGTGCGTCCACCTCTGCAGTATGGCTACAAACAGCAGGCCCTCGGCATTTTCTAGTCTGAGAATGGGTGGTATGACGCCCGCTTTCACGTGATGTCGCTCTGTCGAAGACCCATTGAACTGACCACGCGAGCAGAGGTAATCCGCGAGAAGGTGCAAGATGGCCTGACGGGCGAGACGAAAGAGATGCAATACACCCAGTGCAAGATAGTGGGCAACGGCAGTTTCGGCGTCGTCTTCCAGACCAAGCTCTCGCCCTCGGGAGAGGATGCGGCCATCAAGCGCGTTCTCCAGGACAAGCGCTTCAAGGCAAGTCTCCGTGTCTCGACCGTTCCCTGTGCGCTATGCCTCTCAAGATTGGACACTAACACCCTCGCAGAACAGAGAGCTCCAAATCATGCGCATCGTGCGCCATCCCAACATCGTCGAACTCAAGGCGTTCTACTACTCCAATGGTGACAGGGTTCGAGATCTCGATAACAAAATGGGGGTGCAAACAGCTCTGATCGCGGCGCAGAAAGATGAAGTCTACCTCAACCTGGTCCTCGAGTTCGTCCCCGAGACCGTGTACCGCGCCTCGAGGCACTTCAACAAGCTCAAGACCACCATGCCCATCCTCGAGGTCAAGCTCTACATCTACCAGCTGTTCCGCTCCCTCGCCTACATCCACTCCCAGGGTATCTGCCACCGAGACATCAAGCCACAGAACTTGCTCCTGGATCCCGCCTCGGGCATTCTCAAGCTCTGCGACTTTGGCAGTGCAAAGATTCTGGTCGAGAATGAGCCCAATGTCTCGTACATCTGTTCGCGCTACTATCGCGCCCCGGAGCTCATTTTCGGTGCCACGAACTACACCACGAAGATTGGTATGTTCCCCTATTTCTGCAAATTTCCGCATGTTCACCCGCTGATGAGTCTGCAGATGTTTGGTCCACTGGCTGCGTCATGGCGGAGCTGATGCTCGGCCAGCCACTGTTCCCAGGAGAGTCCGGCATTGACCAGCTGGTGGAGATTATCAAGGTGCTTGGCACGCCGACCCGCGACCAAATCCGCACCATGAATCCCAATTACATGGAGCACAAGTTCCCGCAAATCAAGCCGCATCCATTTAGCAAGGTAATGCCTGTTTGGGACAGATGATGAAAACCGGACTGCACTAACGTTCAGCTGCCACAGGTGTTCCGTAAGGCCGACCCGAATGCGATCGACTTGATTTCACGGTTGCTTGAATACACGCCGACGCAGCGCCTGTCGGCTATTGACGCCATGGTCCACCCATTCTTCGACGAGCTCCGAGACCCGAATACGAGGCTGCCGGATTCACGCCATTCGAATGGCAGCAGCAGGGACCTCCCAAATCTCTTTGATTTCTCCCATCATGGTATGTTTTGGAATGGGACACGAGTGTTTCAAAGTGGTCGTGGATGCTGACTCGCTATCTTGCAGAGCTCTCAATCGCCCCGAATCTCAACCATCAGCTTGTGCCAGCGCACATCAAGCCGGTTCTGGCCGCCAAAGGTCTGGATATCGAGAACTTGACACCGCTGACCAAGGATCAAATGATGGCTCGTTTGGACTGAGAGAGGAGGATCAGCTCATCTGATGATCCTTCTTGAAAAACAGTCGTACAAACAAGCAAGCATGAGGCCAAAGTTCTCTCTCCCGTCATGAAGTCACGCAGCGATGCATTGTCACATTGAGATCACAGCCGGCGTTCGCGGACCTGGCGTCTACGGCGCACGAAACTGGACATGAAGGGGCCAATTGGGAATCAACCCGGGGGGAAATACCACGATACACTTCACGGTGTGCTGCAACAAACAACACGAGGGTGCAAAATATGAGCGGGGTGTGCGTATGCGTGTGTGTGCATGTGTGGACGTGCATTGGTCCAAAAACCCCTCCCCCAAAAATCTACGACTGCTTGCAAGAGTGTTTTTTTGACCATTGGTGGAGCATGCGCATGCTCTCTCGCATGGGACATGGTAGTAGATGTTTTCTTCTTCGATGGACTTGCAGAGAAGGAGGGGGCGGTCAGAAAGATACAAGAAGAGAGAGAGAGCGCGGCTATGAGGCCTACTATACTCTCTCTCTCTCTGTGCTGATTTCTGTCTGCCCTCTTTGTCTTGAGGTTTTTTTTAACTACTATGGCGAATGATACCAAAAGGCGAAAAAGGGCGGGATGATGGGAGGGGGGTGCAACGGGCGTGCTACACCACTACTACCAACCCTTAAAAAGGAATCGATTCGATTTTTTTGTGATGAAAGCATGTGCGATTCAGGGGAATGAAGAGACTTCTTTTTTTGTTGTTGTTGTTGTTGAAAGTTTTTGAGAGTGTGTGCTGTGTGTGTGCTGTGTTTGTGTTTATCCTCCATTCTCTTTTCTTTCTCACCATTTTCGATTTCGAATATTGAACTTCGAGCCTTGTTTACACGTGAACGTGACTTGGGTTTGAAGAAAGGGGCGTTTCTCGTTTTCTCGAGTCTATCTATTGTACATCTCACACTCAACACTCAAACGCTGGGGGTATCTCATCTTGCACACACAACCCCCCTCAAAAGTCTCTGGAAACGCCCTCGCCAATGCCATGCCAAATAATATCATACACCCTCCCCCTCTCACGCCAAAGCCTCAGCCTCAACCCCCTCCACAGTCCCCTTCACCACCCGCTTCCCACCATTCCCCCCACCACCAAACCTCCTCACCCACGCCAACAGCGCCAACGCCCCCGCAGGCGTAACGCCCTCCACCCGTCTCGCCTGCCCCACACTCTCCGGCCTCGTCTCGCCCAAAACCTTCTTCTCCTCCCAACTCAGTCCATGCACCTTGGAAAAATCCATCCCATACGGAAGCGAGAGATTCTCATCCCGCGCCATGGACGCCGCGGCGGAGGCCTGCTGGGTGATGTAGGGCGCGTAGGTGCCTTCGATGTCGATGCGGGCGAGGAGGGAGGGCGGGTAGTGGGCTAGTTGGGGGAGGATGGGGAGGAGGTGGGCGGTGGTGATGTTGGCGTGGCGGAGGAGGTCGAAGGGGGTGCGTTTGAGGGAGTCGCTGCGGACGGGGAAGCCGTGCTGGATCCAGGTTTGGGAGGAGAGGGGGGTGGAGGAGAGGAGGGTGCGGAGGGCGTCGAGGTCGGTTTTGGTGGTGGAGAAGGCGGACCAGCGTTTCGGGGTGATGATGCCCGCGGCGTGGCCTTTGGGGGTTAGGCGCAGGTCGGCGTTGTCGGCGCGTGCGGACATGCGGTATTCGCTGCGCGAGGTGAACATGCGGTAGGGTTCGCTGACGCCTTTGGTGGTGAGGTCGTCGATCATGATGCCGATGTAGCCGTCGGCGCGGGAGAGGGTGAAGGGTGCGCGGCCGACGGCAGAGTTCCCTGCGTTGATACCTGCGAGGATGCCTTGGGCGGCGGCTTCTTCGTAGCCTGTTGTGCCGTTGATTTGGCCGGCGAGGAAGAGGCCGGTGATGGATTTCGTTTCGAGTGTGCTGCGGAGTCCTCTCGGGTCGATGTAGTCATATTCGACGCCGTAGCCGGGTTGGAGCATCTTGACGTTTTCGAGGCCGACGACGGTTCTGAGCATGGTTTCTTGGGCTTCAGCGGGGACTGTCATGCTGAGGCCGTTGGGGTAGATGACATTGTTGTCGAAGCCTTCGGGTTCGAGCCAGATGAGATGGGCGTCTTTGGAGGTGAAGCGGATGACTTTGCTTTCGAGGGATGGGCAGTATCGGGGTCCTTTGACTGTCTCGCGGATGTGGATGCTCTTGTCGAGGTTCTGGCGGATGATCTCATGGGATTTGAGGTTGGTGTGAGTGCTCCAGCAGTTGAGCTGTTGTTCGACTTGGACTTTGTCGTTGAGGTATGAGAACGGCGTAGGTGGTTCGTCTCCTGGTTGTACTTCCAACTTTTCAAAATCGATTGTTCGTTTATCCAGTCGTGGGGGGGTGCCGGTTTTGAGCCTGCCCAGTTGGAAACCTGCCTCTCTTAACGACTTGGACAAGCCAAAGGTCGCAGCCTCGCCCATCCGCCCTGAGGGGAACACATCCAGACCGATATGGATCTCGCCTCCCAAGAACGTCCCCGTTGTAATAACCACATTCTTCGCATCAATCACCTCTCCAGATTCCAACCTTACTCCTGTTATCCGCCCATGTCGACCTTCTGCCACCGCCTCTTCAGATCGATCAACCGCAATATCCGCAACCTTGCCTTCTTTGACCTCCAGTCCCGGATAAGTGAGCATCTCTTCCCTCATATATCTCTTGTACAGCGCCCGATCAATCTGTGCCCGAGGTCCCCAAACCGCAGGCCCCTTCTTTCGATTCAACATCCTGAACTGCACTCCAGCCTTATCCGTTATCCTCCCGACCACTCCATCCAGCGCATCAATTTCCCTCATCATCGTCCCCTTGCCAATCCCTCCAAACGATGGATTGCAACTGCATACTCCTAGGTTGTCGAATGAAGGCGTGATCAGGGTCGTTCGTGCTCCGGTTCTTGCGGCCGCCGCTGAGGCTTCGCATCCTGCATGGCCTCCTCCAATGACAATCACATCGACTGGGGGTCTTGAACACAAGTCAGGTTATTGTAGAAGAGAAGAGTTGACCGACGTTCAGCCTACCTTGATGGAACATCCGTGACGGTGGCGAGACCACGACGAAATGCGGCAGCCGACCGTACACGAGGAGCGTGGCCCCAGAGCATGCGCATCCGCGCTGAGAAGACCAGAGGCATGGTGGACGTGGGTGTAGAAGGAGGGTGAAAAGGGAGGTATCGGCCTGGAAGTTTACACTGGCGGCATCGATAAAGCTTGAGCCTCATGCGGAAAAGCGGAGCCAAAGTTTGAGGCATGCGGTGGTCGCGAGGATCTGCATGACGCTTGACTCCAGCCTATCTTTTTTATCAAAAAATCCATATACATCGATTCGGCCTTGGACTCGAATTTTACCACCGTAAATCGCTATTCATCCGGTGCTGGGTCTCGAACTCGAAGACGACAACAAAGAAAGCAGCCAGCCAGCGCGATTGTCGGAAGTGGCTGATGACCTCAACCCATCCTGCCAGCCCAGTGCCCTCGTGCTTTTTTGAAAGGCCACTTTGCATGTCGCGTGTCATCAGGTCACTCCCTTTCAACATCTTGGATACCAACCTTTGGACCTCCATGGACAATGCGGCGCAGCAATGATCAATAAGATACTACGAAATGTAGTCGTCCTCGCATGGATCTTCGATGCTGTCGGCACATCTGCGCAGGACCATGGCGATACGACACCGGCTGCCGGCTCTAGTTCGAGTACCGTCCAAATCACCAGCACAACGACTACGACTGTATCTGTAGGAACGACCGGATCGCTTTCGAGGGCTGGTAACTCGACGTGTCCGAGTCGGACGGTGAATTACATTACCCATACTCTGCCGCGGCAGTGCTTGAGGACTGATCGGGTCCCGTATAATTCGACGGCGAGCATCAATGCTACTGGATCTGCTGTTACAACCTCAGAGTCAGACTCATTGCCTCTCGAGACAAGTTCCTTACAGGCTGCCGACAATGGAACAATGCCAAACGCCACTCCAAATGCAGAGGCGACTCCGACCCCCACAGACGGCACTGAGACAAGCGCTTCAAATGCTGCTTCTCCCTCCATCCTAGCAGCTGAAGCACAAACACTTGCGGAAGAAGATGCAGACTCCCCACTGGACAACGCCAACTTCCTATCCTTCGAGGAATGGAAAAGACAGAACTTGGCCAAGACCGGGCAGTCGCCAGAAGACATAGGACGTTCCCAAGCCGCCAATCCAGATCGACCTCGACCAGTCATTAACAATGCTCTCGACTCTTTGGGCGAAGAAGCCGAAATTGACCTGGATTTCAGTGGCTTTGGAGGTGCGGTCAACGCACCAGGCGTCGACAGTCATACGGTGGCTTCCTCTGCTTCTACGTATGAGCATGCCCCAGGGAACGCACTCTCTCGTTCCAAAGATGCGGGAAAGACCTGCAAAGAGCGAACCAACTACGCTTCTTTCGACTGCTCTGCCACGATCTTGAAGTCCAACAAGGAGTGCAAGTCAGCATCGTCAGTCCTAGTCGAGAACAAGGACAGCTACATGCTCAATGTATGTTCTGCCAGTAACAAGTTCTTTGTTTTGGAGCTTTGTACGGATATCCAGATCGACACGATCGTGTTGGCGAATTACGAGTTCTTCAGCTCGAGCTTCAGACACTTCCGTGTGTCAGTGTCGGACAGATATCCGGTGAAGATGGAGAAATGGCGGGACTTGGGCACTTTTGAGGCCAGAAATACGCGGGAGATTCAGGCATTTCTGGTCGAGAATCCACTTATCTGGGCCAAGTACCTTCGGATTGAATTCCTTACGCACTACGGTACAGAGTACTATTGCCCTGTCAGTCTCTTGCGGGTGCACGGCACCACCATGATCGAAGACTTTCGCCATCAGGCTGGGTACGCAGCCGGCGACGACGAAGAACTGACACTGGAGCCAGAAGCTTCGGCGACTCTTTCGGTGGTTGAAGAGCCGGTACTTGTGACTGAGGAGGCTGCAGAAACCGTATCGCAAGCGGAGCCAGCCGATGATTCCGCTACTATGGAGTCGTTGACGAAGGGACTACCCGTAGAGACGGCAGCTTCGACGGCTAACCTATCAGAACACGAAGAGTCCGTTTTGAGCAACTCAAGCGCCGTCACTGTGGACAACACCGGCTCCATGAAAGCCGTGGGTGTCTATGAGCCGCTGAATCTCAATCTCACCTGCAACAGCTTGACCACGTCAAGCTCTTCAGTCGAGGATCCTTCGTCGACTGTTGAACAGGTGGATAGTACTCCTCCTGTGACGCAGACCAACGCTACAGCCACGGCGACGAAGGCCCCTGAAGTGACGGATTCTGCAACGACAAACAGTACCTCATCAGCTGCATCAACAAATGTCAGCCCCATCACAGACACTGCGTCTTCTCCCCAGACTTCGCAGTCTGTTGTATCAGAGAATTCAACAAGCTCCATCACGCCAATAACGTCGACGAGCATCGAGAGCACATCCAATGTCTCCAACATAGTACCAGCAAATGCGACCATGAGCTCGACAACGAGCAGCCAGCCAGTGTCAAGTGTGAACGAAACAAGCATCTTGTCGTCTTCAAGTGTCGGTAGTCAGCCATCGCAGAAAAGCGAAACAGCAAACTCAACACGCGCCGCCCCATCATCGACAAGCGCACAACCGGCCCAACCATCGACCCAGGAGTCGTTCTTCAAGTCCTTCCACAAGCGATTGCTATCACTCGAGAGCAACAGCACGCTAAGCCTGCAGTACATTGAGGAGCAGTCACGGATTCTCCGAGATGCTTTCAGTAAGGTCGAGAAACGACAGGTTGGCAGTACTACCAAATTTTTGTCACAACTCAATGAAACCGTCATGACCGAGCTGCACGGGTTCAGACAAGCTTACGATCAGCTTTGGCAAAGTACAGTGATCGAGCTTGAAGGACAGCGCGAGACCTATCAATGGGAGATGCTGGCCCTCAGCGCAAGACTCACCATGGTCGCAGACGAGCTCGTCTGGCAGAAGCGGATGGGCATCGTGCAGTCGACACTGCTACTGCTCTGTCTCGCACTGGTCCTCTTCGGCCGCTCGTCAAACGGCTACATCGAGATGCCTCTGATGCAGCAGATGATGAACAGATCCACCGCAGCACTACGAGCAGGCTGGGAATCACCACCCAATAGCCCTTCCCCCGACAGCAGAAGTCCCGTCAGCCTCTTCCGACGGAAACTATGGCGATCGAGCACAGAGCCCGCCGGCGAAAACGGCAATCTCACAGACTCTGAAGTCAGCCGGCCCCAGAGCAAAGAAGGCCCGAATGTTCTGGTCGAGCCCCCTTCGCCCATGTCGCAGGCGACGCAGAGTGATTTCGATGATGAGGATTTTGGTGATAGCTCGCCGAATGCGGAGAGGAAGGAGAATCAGAACCAGGGGGCGTTGAGTCCGAAGAGGAAGAAGAAGCAGAAGAAACCTCCTCCTGGTTGGGCTAGTAAGGAGAGTGGGCTGAATGAGAGGGTTAAAAGTCCATTAGCGATGTAGTATGATACCCATGTTTTGTAATAGTTGTGAATGATACAGTTTTTTGAAGTTCATTTCTGCGTGTCTGGCTAATGACCTACCTGACCATCCGCAACGCCACTCCACGAAACACCATAACGCCAAAATCATCATCATCAGGAGCACAGTCCAAAATAAAACACAAACTCCCATCCCTCCCCTCCCCATCCCCATAATCACCCCATCAATCCGAACTCGCACACCCGCGACACCCACAACTCACACACTGCACCTCCTGATCCTCCTTCAGCTGCGCGCGGGGCACGCGACAAATACACGTGGAATTGAAATTCGTCTCCTTGGTCTGGATGCAGCGCAGACAGCAGAGTTTCTCGTAGCCTTGCTTCTTCCACTTCGCGATCAGGTTGGCGTCGGCGTAGGAGTTTTTGAGCAGCCAGTCGTAGAGGGGTTTGGAGATGGCGGAGGTCGTGTAGTAGAGGTCGTAGATGTAGCGGGAGCCTGGAGGAGGATTACGATTAGTAGGTGGAAATATTGTGATCTGGCGGTAGGTCAATGTTGAAGATAAGGGGTGCGTCTCACCTTTGTAGCCCGTGCGTGGCGGTCGACGGGCGGAGTTTGGTTTATCAATCAAAGATTTTTTGCATGTGATAAAGCAAGAGGAATGGAAAATGAGGGGTTTCAAGAATACGTACGCTGATGAGTGATTTGAAAGACGGGCCAGAGCATCTCGTGTTTCTTCTTGCCTTCGTGCGAGGCGGCTTGGGCGTCTTTCATTTTGTTTTCGAATTCGAGGAGCGTGTCTTCGATGTCTTCGAAGCCGTCGGGTGGCGGCTTGCGGTTCTTGGCTGTGCGGATGGCGGGCATGATGGATGTGGTGTTGCTTGAATGTAGTTGGGTAAGGATTTGAGAGTATTGGTTCAGTCGAGTCGAAGTTTTGGTTGTTGACTTTGATGGTTGTGCTGTGTCTTTTGCATGTGCAGTCACAAGCGAAAGATTCCAGCTTTGAGGCGACTGAAGTTGAAAGTCGGCGGCGGGAGTTGCCGAGCTCCGATCATCAGCTTGTGTCTCGAACGCGGTGCTGAACTTCAAGCTACGAAAGACTTGACTGCACCAGCGCAGCTCAACCGCAACATCATCATCCACCAACTCATCCGCACAATGGCTGACACCGACAGATACCGAGGCGGTGGCCCACGCGGCTACAATAACAAGCGAAAGCGCTTTCGAGGTATACCATCCCCAGCTCCTGAAACATGCATTGCGCAAACTGAAGCTAACACGCGACTTGAACAGAGGACGACGACTATGACCAGGGTCTCCGTAACCAGCGCCAGCGCCAGGAGCCTCCGCCAGGCACGAGAATCCGACGAGGTCTGATCGAGATCGCCGAGGACCACGGCAGACTCCCCCACGAAGTCGCAGCCAACCTCGCGAAGCTCACGGCCGACAACTACGAGGATGAATACGTCAAAGAGGTGTTCAGCACAGTGGCGCTCAAGCTGGTTGGAGAGCAGCCTTTCAAGATCCCGTTTGTCGCGGCGGTGGTGCTCTACGCCAATGCGGAGAAGGCGGAGGTCGCGCAGAATGTGCTTGAGCGGGCTCAGAAGCAGACACAGGAGGCGCTGGAGGGGGGACAGTGGAGGCAGTTCAAGCTTTTGCTGAGGTTTCTGGCTTGCTTGAGTCCACTGTTTGAACAGGACGGCGTTATGCCGATTCTGGATGAGCTGTTTAATCGTGCAGCGGATTTGCAGACGGCTTCGTCGGAGGATGTGAGTGTGCGGTCATTACATGTGGAGAGACATCTTACTGACTATTTCAGGCTGTGGGCATTGAGCTCGTCAAGATCATTTTGCTTACCATCCCATACCTCCTCGCGAGCTCGACGGATCCTTCAATGCAGCAGAGAGTGTCGGAGCTGCTGGAGAAGACCGAGATCATTGCATCTACCACTCACGCGCTCGAAGCCCTCGTGGATCCATACCCGGTGTCTTCAGACCAGGAAGAGAAGGCCATGACTTGCGCCAGCGTCATCTCGTTGCTTCAATCACAACTTACAGAAGAGGCAAACAATGGCTGGAAGCTTACCTGCATTCCTAGGCCATACGACCCGACCTTCAAGCCAGCCAAGAAGGAGGAAGAAGGCAACGGCGAACTGAACGGGGACGCGAATGGTGATGTGCAGGAGCCAACCAAGCACGCATTCCCCAGTGTGAGCGTCCCATCTCCTGTCAATCCAGGAACCCGAACACTCCTGCCAGAAGTGTACTTCTCTCTTTTCGCCGACCAGGAGATCGAATCTGTTCCACAAACCTCGAACATCGCTGCTTCTCTCATGCGCGATACGATTGTTGACACGATTAACCTTCTCGACTTCAATCGCAACATGGTAGCCAAGTATTTGACCGAGATTGACTGCTTCTGGACAAAGGACACCTTCGTGAAGCGATCGACTGCTTTCGACAAGCTGAGAGATGTGGCTCCTGGAAAGCCAACATGGAAGTCTGAAGACGTCACAGTCGATGCGATCTTCTCGCAAATTTTACAACTACCAGTTCCTGATCACCGCTTGGTTTACTACCACTCGCTCATCACTGAGGCTTGCAAGATATCGCCGGGAGCTGTTGCCCCAACGCTTGGTCGTGCGATCCGTTTCTTGTTCCGAAACGTCGATCAGATGGACATGGAACTGTCGTATCGCTTCATGGACTGGTTTGCTCACCATCTGAGCAACTTCGAATTCAGATGGAAGTGGTCTGAGTGGTAAGTCGTGGAAAAGCGCCAGGTGGATATGTTGTGGTTGCTAACGATGCCATAGGGAGGGCGATGTCCAACTTCCAGACCTCGACCCAAAGAAAGCTTTCATCAACGGCGCACTCGATAAGGAGATTCGCCTGTCGTTTGCCAAGCGCATTCGAGAGACACTTCCACAGGTTTACCATCCTCTCATCCCAGCCAGTAAGGAGAAGGACATGCCCGACTTCAAGTACAGCAACGACAACACCCCGTATGCCAAGGAAGGACGTGAAGTACTTGCCCTCCTCAAGAAGAAAGCGCCCGAGGAAGAGGTTCAGAAAGTGTTGGACTCGGTGCATGAGCAGGCTGCGGCTCTTGGTGTTGTGGACCCTCTCGTCCCCAGCACCGACATCTACATGACTTCGATCTTGAGTATCGGATCGAAGTCGTTGTCTCATGTCTTGTCGACGATCGACCGCTGCAAGGATCGACTGCTCAATATCGGACAACAGTCTGAGCAAGCCCGCCGACAGATTATCGCTTCCGTGGTCGACTTCTGGGCTGATCACCCCGGTACTGCCGTCAACATTGTCGACAAGCTCCTCAACTACAGCATCATCACGCCAATGGCCGTCATCCAATGGGCCTTGCAAGATCGTATCTACCGTGGCCGCGCACTCGCCTCGTCCCAAATCTACGAAATGGTCTCCATCACCATGTTCAAGGTCACCAACCGCGTGCGCCAAGTCCTCCGCGAGCGCAATAACATGAAGCTTTCCTACGAGCAGCGCAAGCAAATTGACGACGCCCTGCCTAGAGAGCGTCAGGGCATGAGAGATCTGTTCAACGCCATCGAGGATGCCGTCTCTGCCGTCGCGAGCGGCGCACAGGACGAGATGATTGAGCGGTTTGATGGTGAGGAGCCCGAGCAGCATCTCATCACCGCTTGGGGTTCGCGCTGGGCGAGGGTGTGGAGACGCAAGGCGGCTGTGGAAGAGGCCATCGTGGGTGAGGCGGTTGTGGGACCGCTGGAGGAGGAGCCTCCTGCTGTTGTTGAGGTGGCTGAGCCGGAGCAGGATGGCATGGAGGACTTTGATCAGGTGTAGTCATCGAAAAGGAAGACTGGACTCATATCTGCCACCCGCGAAGTAGTCGAAAGACAGCGTTGGGTAGATGGATTCACTCAAGTGTAGTAGTGCCCTTGCTGTTGTTGTACATGTATCGAAAGCTATGTCCTTTTCCTCTGAAAACAAAACCAGAACGATTCCTGCGCTCCTTCGTAAACGTTTGGAAAGTCTTGCTTCTATGCAACCTTACCACTCAAAATCGATATTGCTGTTGTTGCAAATAACTGGACTCCGTTCGGCCTTGCTTGGGTTTCTCTTCAATTTTGATCCTGACTTTGATATGAACTGTATGGATGGATGAATGAATGCTTTGAGTGGTTCTCGATAGAAAAAAGGGAAGACCAACCAACCAACCGAAAGAAACCGGACGTTCAAGATTTCGAAAAGGGGGAGGGAGGTATGAAACATAGTTGGGTTGGGTTTGGTGGGGAATGCTTAATGCGGTGCTCTGTTGCGAGTGATTTACTCTCGACGAACGGATGGACGGGCGTCTTGTCATGTCACGGATGAACGATATCGTGATGACTAGATGGGATGGATGGGGTGGATGGTTGGAGTGGTAGCCATCGTCCACCACCAAACGATCCTGACGGGAAACTACCCTTCGTCACCGTCGCAGAACCTGCTACGCCATTTGGAGGATGTGGTGACTTGCACGACCGGTGAGAGATGAAACGCGTGGGAGGCTCGCGAGGTGAAAAGGCTCCGTCCATCAGCTTAGTCGGTTGACTTCCTCGAGCGCCGGCATATCAGTCCATCAAGCATCGGTTGTGTGGTGTGTTTCATCAGCAGTCCGCGTACAGAAGGATCAATACTTCCCCATGCGTACACTGTACTCTCTCCCCCTCTTAGCCACCTCTCCTCATTTCCCAAGCGTCCGGATCAGGACGCAGAGCTCCGAGTCAAGGGGATACGCGGGACGGGTTGGTTGGTCGACGATGAGAAGGATGGTTAATCCTCTGCGAAGTGTGTCATGCATTCTGTACCGTTTTCTGTTGTTGACTGACTGACTTTTGTTCAGTTAACCTCGATAGGAAGGATGCTTTGGCTTTTTCTGTGTGAGGGGTCTTTGGGGTGAGGTGCTCGCGTTTATTCGGATTCTTGTCGTTATTGGTTGTTGAGTCGTGCTTGCTGTTGTAGGACTTCTGATTCGAATGGAGGATATCGAAAGGGACATGTTGTGTAGATGAATACACCCTGAGGACTTTCGGGTCGATATTAGCAGGGTTCGTTCGTGCGTTCGTTCGAATGCTTTGATTGATAGTGCCAGACAGAAAGATACCCGACATCCTGCTCTTCCAATACGCACACGCTCACGATGCCCATCGATCGATTCCACCAGAAACTCCCCCTCATCAACGCCCAAAACGTTGGAAGCTTTCGACGATATCAGGCTGCGTTGCGTGCATCAGAGATCTTGTTAGTTGTATGATGAAACACAGAAAATCTGAAACCGTCATGACGAAAGAAAAGGAAATGAAAAGGAACCATTGACTTCACTCTTTGGTACAACAGTACCGAGACAGAGTCTCTTATTACGCTTTCCAGTTCGAGGGGCAGGCAGGCAAAGTGGTTAGGTTAACCTCAAGATTTAAGGTGTGGAAACTCTGCTGCGTAGAAGCGTTCTTGTGTCGAACGATCGGTTGACGCAAGGTGGGCATCTGATACGTTGACTCTGTTCAAGTTTCAGCGGTGTTGGAGTTGTACCTTTTTCGATTTGTTCGTCAACGTGGCTCCGTTGTGTTGGGAGGAGGAGATAGATGTTGGTGAGACATAAAGCCTGTCAAGCCTTGTATGTTCCAAGGACGGAACATGTTGAACAGGTCGTCGGAGACGTCTCGGACTCTCTCTCTCTCTCCCTCAGTCATGACTTTTATTGTCGAAGAGGCTCTCTTCTTACAAGTGTATTCCTATTCCGGTCAACCGTTGCGACAGTCGGGTCGATTCTTTTACTCTGAGCATAACAGGCTCCGGTTCGGCGGTTCGCTCGCACACAGGTAGGGATCAAGACACGCCTCTGGAAGCGTGCTGCCGCCGTTTGCTCAGTCTTCATGAACCACCGCCATGTATTGAAAGGAGAGTATTCGCATCGTCAAAGACCTCGTGTGCACGGCCCGATACGACGTTCAATCTCCTGATGATGAATGAAGCGGATGGGCATTCGGAATCGGGCTCTTGATCCCAGTCGTTGATCAACATGGCAGTGCACACTTATGATTGATGGGAAAAAGGCAGGGGTGTCAGGTTCATCAATTGCGGTCAACGCCGGGTGTGTTTTCCGTTGGAAGGGAGAGAGTCATGTCAGGCCCGATAAGGTCATTTGACGATGGTGTCCTGTCTTCCCAGCCGTTCGACGCCCAGTGCTCCTGCAAGGACGGAAGAAGGCCGACACAGTACGAGGGAGTCCTTCGTTGCGAATTCTCATCAGACGGTCACCGGCTACGACCGGAGAGTGCACGACAAGAGAGAGCTTCGTGCTGCAGCATCGGCCCAGCTCCCTCCTCTTCCTCCTGGCCGCCACGTCGTTGTTGGTCCCGACAGTCTGGTAATATGTCAAGGTGTCATTAATAATTCCCGAGCGGCGGTGCAGTGCGGTGTGAGAGCGAGAAGCAGGATGCTGTACACGAACGAGCTTTCCCTGATCTTCAAGACGCACCGCGGCCCTTGTCCAGGTACAGACAGTACAAGCAAGGCTGCTGGTTATCGCTCGGGCATAGCACATGTTGGTTTGAAGGAGAGCTTTATCAGTCAGCAGAGAGTGTCCCTCGTCAGGCACCATCATCAGCATCACCATACCCCAACCTCGCTGCTCCCGCCCAGCAAGCTGCCTGTTCGAGCCCACATGCGTTGCTTTCTTGGGAGTTCTCTCGCAGGCGGCCGGCCAGATCGGGCAGCGAGAAAAAGGGATCCCATCCACGCTCTAGCGCCAAACTCAATGCCCCATCCCCTTCCTCCCACGCGCACCGTTGCAAGCAGCAGCAGCATCAGCAGCAAGGTTTCGGGATGTCGCAGATTCTCCGTGCGAAAGAGGATCTGCCTGTGCTCCAACGCCTGCCTTCTGACTTGCAGCTCTGCCGAGGCGTTGCACGAAAGCGGAGAGGGAGAGGCATGTGGTCTTTCTTTTGCGTTCGCACACAGAACAACGCCCACTGCCTCGCACCCAGAAAAATCAGGCAGACCGCGCCAGACGCTGCTGATGATGAGATGAGGAGTGAAACTGTCTCAAGAGGCTTGACCTAGCGATGAAGCCCACACCCCCGGCTATGTTGGATTGGGAAATCACCTTCCTACCGCGGTCAAGTCTCTGCTGGACCATGGCTTGAACCAGGGCATGTGATGAGAACTGCACTTGTGTGCTTGTGCTTGGTTTGTGGTGGGTGCAAGAATTAGCGACGATCTCAACCTCGCTTCAATCGACGTCAGCTGCTGCACTGGAAGGGTCTAGATTCGTTGCGATTCCGTGGGTTGTGATGTCCGCGAGGAAAAGTCTTTGGTCGAACAGACCACCGCGGGAGTTCGCAGAGATGTTGATCAAGAGATGTCGTCTTATCACGAATGGAGTTAATGCTAGTGCTAAACAATGTGAGGGTTAGAGTTCACAACGCGGCTGCTGGCAGATTTCGGCTATGGAGCCTATCCATGGCGTTTGTATGAAACTTTGTTCTGGATGAACCTCATGTCGCATGTGTTTCATGAGAAGATGGCTGGCGATGCGGCGGACAGAGCCATGACGCTTCGTATCTGAGGCGATGCATGTTCATCACGAGCTGATGAGTGGCCATCGCGGTGAGTGGTCTGCTATCGCTGCTCGCTTTGGAGGCAAGGTAACGCATGGCGAAGAAAGGACTATCGTCTGAAAACGGCGTGAGGACATACCCTTGAATGGTCCATTCTCGTGAACAGGCGGCTTTTGACGGGACTCTGGTTGCAGGGAAGGTCAATGTTGTGTCGGTGTTAACGTGCTTCGCGAGTCGCATACGTATCCATGACAATCCATCAGTTTCCCCGTTGCTTCTTCTTCATAACACAGGCGTGTCTGGAGTAAAACCATTGACGAGACGTCCGGATCGCCCCACACCCACAGGCAGTGGCCTGTCTGAAAGGTCTTCAGACCAGGATTGGGAACGTGGAGGACTGGAGAAAGTCAAATGCCACGACTCGCGGGGGCAAGTCATCCCAGTCTTAAAGATGACCCTTTCGTCCTGGGGAAGCGGGGTTCGTGAACGAGCGAGCCTAGCAACGAGTCAGTCTCGTTCTGACTGATGCGTGCACGGGACCTCATCAGCAGGGTCAGAACTCGTGAGTTCGTGCGCTCCACAGTAGGGTTCCTGATGACCAAGGGGACAACACGTCTCAACGAATATCTTCAAGATGGAAGATGTCGGAATGAGAAGGGGGAGCCAACCACCATTGTTCCATGGCCAATCATCTTCGCGTGCAGAGAGAACAAGGCTTCCCTCCTGGCGGCGGGACAACCCAATGCTCTGATGGAAAGTGTATCATGATTTTATGTTCGCCACGTTCAATCTGAAGGTAAGAAGGCAATCACTTTCGAAGGCCAATTGACTGCCCGCAAAGCTGGGACTGTTTCAATCAAGCTCGCTTCAAAGGCGTCTCAAGTTTTTCGAGAGTGACATTTGGCATTTGACGTGCGCCTACCGATGTATTCTGCCACAGGTATTACACAGACCATCTGTACGAGAAGGGCGAGACCTGCCGTTGACTCAAGCAGTTGCGCATTGCACAATTTCGGAAAATATAGCCTCATAATGTCAAGTCAGTTTCGACTGTGAGTTGGCTGGCTCTTTGCGATATCCGGGTGGTCGGCTTCGAGTTTCAAATTCTCGCCAGGAACGGTGGCGTGACGAAACTAGACATCTACTGTACAGTGGTGTACAGCGGTATCGATGAGAACATGTGCCAAGACCCCAGACACCGTACCATTACTCGCACAGCGTTGCAGTCAACTGTCAAGGTTGAGCCGCATGTTCAGCCTGACATCACGGTCGCGCAAGTTGGCGACAGCTCGTCTTGTCTTAAATCGTTCCATGGGAGCTCTGGCTGAGTTGTCTTTCTGAGTTTAGGGATCGTTCGTAGCAGCATGTCTCGCAGGCCTCGCAAAAATGTAGGTGGTGAATGTAGCGTCAGCGGTTGCAGGAGAATTTCGAGTATCACGATTTCGCCAATGTGCATCGGCATGTAAACCATGCGTCTTAATTGAGGTTCTATGCACTCGGTTCATATCGTTGCGACATGACTCTCAGCAGTGGCTCCAGGGATCTTGCACTTCAATGATTGTTACAGTAAACGTCGGTCCCATTCTGGCCTCTTGAAACCGTTCGGCGCTTTTCGGACGGGACGTTTTGGTCGGTGCGAGTCAATGTTGTCGTCGAAGCCTGTAATAGTACCGACGAGCTGGCTCTGTCTGCTGGTTAATAGTGCGTGCTGGCTGGCTGGCTGGTGATCGGAGAGGTTGCAATCACGCAGACAAGCGAGGTGCAGATGCAGCCCTAAGTGCAAGCTATGAATGAGATGCAGTGAGATGCAGTTCAGGCGAACCAAACTTGGCCGTGTCTTGACTAACGTGGAAATGAGGATCCAGACAGCGTGCGATTGTTACCTGATCGCTTTTGTGGTGAATTGGTAGAGGTGGATGAGCAGGGTGCGCCGCGATCACGATGTGCTCATCAGGGCAATTCCGTTGTTGACGGTGGAGGCACGGGACGTGGTCGACTCACATGCAACTAGAGGGTCGGGCTTGCAAGGCGTGACGAACCCATGCAGGATGCGCCCATCGTTCAGAGGCCTGCTATTGGCTCCTTGCCGCACGCCGGTCGACAGTGTGTGAAAAGCGAGAGAGCTGTCGCCTGGCGGGAGCTCCCTCGTCGAGCAGCAGAGCTAGTCAGAAAAGTACCGTGCCCGCTCTCAATATGCCCCGCCCTGCGCCTTGCAGTCAGCAGGAATCGACAGGCTCGATGGAAGTGGCGGCGTGATTGGGCGGGAGGGCGACGTGAAACCAGCATCAGCAAGCATCGGTGAGGGAGCGAGCGGGCGGGCGGGCGAGGAGGAGGCAGAGGGGATGAGATTGGGGTGGCTTCACCGCGTCGGGGAAAGGGCGCCATGAGAAGACGAGAAATCCTGGTAGCTGGATGGCATCTGCCGCGCTGCACGATCTGCAGATCCTAAAGCGAGCGCCTAGGCATCGCCGCGCAGCCGATCGTGCAGCTTCTGACCGAGCAGACGCGACGACGAGAGGGCTGCTTTGATCTTTGCAGTCTGCTTCTTCTGAAGAGAGGACGTGAGGTGAAGACGAGGCCGTCAAAGAGAGTTTCTGATGCTCGAGGCTACCAACGCCTGTCGGCAGCTGCCTTTGAGTTCACGCCGTCCAAGGAACACTGCAGAGGGAGTGAGCCAATCCTACAGAGAGTGTGAGCCAATCTGGCTGGGGCCGTGGAGGAGGAGGCGCTTCTCCCAAACCTGGTTTGTGGCTTGCTGGCTGGACCATGACCTGGGAGGAGCAGCGGAAGCCCGACGGAGGCCTCCCCGTGCTGCGCGGGCGAATGCGTTGCTGTCTTGCTGCTGCTGCTGCTGATGGCGCCGTCGGCCAGTCAGGCCGTGAGGTCGTTTGTGCTTGCCTCGCTCACCACAACAACTCGACACGCTTGCCTGTCTCAGCAGCCGTCAACGGAGGCGCTAGGAGAAAGCAGCCGTTCGTGCTTTGAATGGCTATCCTGTCGCCATTGCAGTGCCATCCCTGGCCCATAAGCTGCGCATCCGGACAGGAGACCGGATATGTACGGTACGGTCGCTGGTGCTGAGGAAGGCAGCAGCAGGGTAGTAGGACTAGAGGCCTCCAGCAGACCAGGGCCGATTTGAGATGCCTCTTGTTTATGATCGTCTGGCCAAGTCGGATCGAGGCAGGCGTTGGGCGCAAGAGGTCCGACACGGGGAGTGAATGATCGACTGCGAGCCGGCAAGCGTGCATATCCAACTCTGCCTGTGGCGCCCGTCAAACAGCAGTCCAACCTCATACCCCAGATCTCGCGCTGCTGTTAAGCTTCAGATGTGCGAACGTCAACAACGCCTTGCGTACATCCAGCTCCAGCGTGTCGAATCTGCTGCGGTGAAGCCATGCTGCGCGCCGCCACAGCTCGTCTCTCATCTCACTGCCATTGGCACTGCGCGTCCAGTCTTTGGCGGGCAGGCATGTGACAGGGCGATTGGACATGACCAACCGAGCTCGAGCCGGCGTCCTGCGCAATTCCGTGGTGCTGGGATGGGTAGTGTTGACGACGGCTCGAGCCTTCCGGATCTGCAGGGTGTGTGGCTACAGGTGTCTTCTGGTTACCTGGTAGTATTGTTATTGCAGTGCGGGATTGCTGCAGCGATGGGCTGGCGTGCTGGAGCCCGTTATTCCCAGCTTGGGCTGTCTCCCTAGATCACGCATCCCAGGCCGCGTGCCGTGCAGCGCATTTGCCTGTCCGAGTGCTGGTCGCGAGTACATGCAGAGGTGTACATGTAATCCCGCTGTGCTGCCAGCGCGAGGCCCACGGCAGGACGTGTTGTTATTGCTGTCGACAGCAGACACACGGCCGCGCGCAGATTGGTATCCATCCTCGTCCATCACCGATGATAGCAGCGTGACCTCGTACTCCCGCGCACGCCCACGTACACACGACGGCTAGCAGACTACCGGATGCTAGGCTTGGGCCTCTATCGCGGCTAGTGGGCCTCGACGGCGCAGGCGTCTTCTCCAGCTTCCTGCACGGCGCTATTGGATCGGCCTCCACACTGGTGAGTCGTCGCGCGGCCATGGGCGCCCAGAGCGTCGCTCACAATGATGTCTAGTGCGGCCACGACCCAGCGCTCGACTGCACCTCTGCCTCCCCCCATCCAGTCCCGCCGTGGCAGCAGAGGCGGCGTGGTGTGCTGCTTAGCGGACCCTCGACCCTCGACCGCCAGCGAGTCTGTCCGGTCTGGCAAGTGCGTCGCGCACCCATTGAGCAAAGGGCGCCGTCAGCAGCAGGCCAATCCCACCCAACCCGGCCGTTGCTCAACTCTATCGTCTCAAGCCTGGTACGTGTGAACTCTGTCGTTCTTATGCTTAACTGTGGGGTCCAACTGTCGTCAAGCCCATCATTAACTTCACCGTTGGCGACGCTCGCACGCACACGCCCGCCCGCCGCTACTGACTGTCCACCATCCACCACACCTCATCGCCCATTCACCACTTTCCTCTCTGCTGCTGCCCCTACGACCGCACTCCCCTCTGCGCGACTAGTGACTTGTCACTGACGGACACTGACCGACCGCGGCCCAGCAGCACGCCCCCACCGCGCCTGCACATTATCATCGCCATCGCGCCTGCCTCTGACTCTGCTCTGCTCCGCGCGCATTGCCAACTTACCGACGCTGCGTCTGCAATTAAATTCACGCAGCCCGAACCTTCCGCAGCGTCTGAAGCTTTGGATCTTCGGTGCGCCATCAACCTTGAGCGTCTGCTGAACCTTCTGCATCCGCCTCAGGTACAAGACTCCCTCAGAAGTCTGTCGCTCTGATCTGCTCTGCTGGTCGCTGCCGCCGCCGCCGCCGCCGCCGCTGTTCGTCGCTGCTTTGCGCTAGCGACTGCCCGACCACAACAACATACTCCCGCGCGCCGCAACGCTCACGACGATCGCCGAGGAACATCACTTTGCGTATGTCTGCCTGCCCGCACCCAACAACCCAACCCAACCCACCCACCCACCACCACATGCAATCGCCTGCTGGGCGACCGCGCTTATTAGATTACCTCAGCGAACGCCGTGTTGACTTTGGAGCATCTTAGGTCGCCCATCTTCCTTCACCCCACTGCGCCAGCACACTCAATTACTGCCGCCCAGGCACAGTAACCTTTTGGCCCGCAGTGACGCGTTCACGTGCGCGATACTGATTGACTGCGCGCATCTCATCCTGCTCTGAATTCTTCGACGGCGAACTGGCAACTGAACGCCCACCATGAGCACCGGCGGAGGCGCAGGGCCCTTGGTCCCGACTTTCCATGGCTTCGTCCACAACAGCATGGACGGCCTGGTCCTGTTTGAGGCTTGTCTGAGCGGCAAGCTGCATCACGTCCCGCGACGACCGCACGACCGCGAACGCAGCTCGCTCATCAAGAGCGGCAGCATCTTCATCTACGAGGAGAACGCTTCCGGAATCAAGAGGTGGACCGACGGCGTCGCCTGGAGTCCCAGTCGCATTCTCGGCAACTTCCTCATCTACCGCGAACTCGAGAAGCCATTCCCACCCGGCGAGAAGAAGCGAGCCATGAAGCGCAAGCGAACGAGCATGCCTGGAGAGCCGTATCCTCGTCGAGATTCAGATGAGAACGAGGGTGCTGACATCAATACGCCTCTCACCCCACCAGAGCCGCAAGTGCCAGTCGGCGGCGAAGTGAAGCCAGAGATTCCCAGCACTGACCAGGACAAGGAGCTCGAGAGGTCATTGATAGGATCTCTGGTCGACAGCTACGGCTTCCGGCCGGATGGCTTGGTGAAGAAGACGATGAGCATTTCAGTCAACGGAATTTCCCACCACATGGTGTCTTACTACAAAGTGGACGACGTCAAGAACAACCTTCTCCCACGACCGCTGTCGGATCCACGCCTGCAGAACATTTCCGTCCGCCCTGAGCTGTATCTCAAGCAGAACTTCCGTGCACCAGTAGAGGAGACTGAGCATTACGCGATCGACGGTCATATGAACGCACATCCACAGATGATGTACTCTTCGATGGCAGGCGCTCCATATGGTGTGGCTCCAGGCCAGTACTTTGGACGGCAGTACCCTGGCATGTACGGCATGCCCTCAACAACAGGTGCTAGCATGTATGGCAGCGTGACGGGATCTTCATGGCCAACTCAACAGGCTACCGCGGGCGCACTGCCATATGGCTCGCATGGAGGCTACGGCGGCCAAGGCTACAGCAGCTACTACAAAGGCCCAGACCAGACGAATGGATCTGCCGTGAAGACGGACGGCCAACAGCCCACTTCGCAAGGCATCCCATACGGCAGCCAGTACACACCCTCATATCCGAACATGCAGAGGAGCAACTCAGTCTCTACGCCTTCGATGATGCAGTCGTCATACCAGACACCCGTCCAGCAGGGCTCTTCTTCATACGGCGGCACCAACAACGGCCGGCCGTCGTACGGCGGCAACAGCATGAACAGCCCAACGGCGAATGGCCAGGGACCTCCGCCATACGGTAGCGCGTCGTCTCAGCAATACGCGGTTCGCTCTCCTATTCAAGGTTACGGAATGGCGAGTGCTCCACAGAGCGCGGTCACACAGTCACCGCATCCGTCAGTGAAGAGCCCTTCATCTGCCCATCCAAGCACCCCCGCACAGGCGATGAGCAACGATCCCAACGCACAGGTGCACAGTGGTGGCATGCCTTACCGCTCGGGCTCTTACGGCGTTCCACCAACGCAACAATCGGGCCACCCTGGAAACGACATGAACGGTCTGGGCATCAGCAACACTACGAGCTACGCACCTCCCTCGCAGACAGGACCCAGCTACAGCTATGGGGCTGCAGGCCACGGACCTGCGAGTGCTGCGCCGTACGCATCGTAGGAGAGCGACCACGACTCAGACATTGCAAGTTCTGAATGAGACTTTGAAATGGGTTCGCCAAGACGCACCGCCGCGCAAAGAAGCGAACACATCATTATTGATACGAGTATGATTACGCATGTAAGATGAAGACTGTGATTTTGCACAGCTGAGACGGTGCGGGAGCATGGCGTTTCTGCCAGCCCTCTGAGATGGGAACGATTCTACAGGCGAGAGGTCGTTCCCACATCGAGCACGAGACCAAGATGGAATCCGAAAATGGGGAGGCGTTTGGGTTCTGATTTGAATGTGGACTGGGCAGAGGGCCATGTAACATTGCAAAAGGACATACGAAGATGAGGGAAAGGTTGGAATGAAGCCTCACCAGTTAGTTCTGGTGGGCGGCGCGCTTTATTGGCTTTGCTATACCGTGTGCTAACAGATCATACGGCGAGGCGTACTGGGTAGTCGGTAATACTTTGCGTGAAAGAGGGTATGCGAAGATAGACGAAAGTATTGATTGGTCTGATGCGTCGACAAGTTCATCAAATCTTTCCCAGGACCTTCAAATTGAGTGAACTTCATTCAGAGAGTCGAAACACGATCATCGAACAACCACATTATCTTGCTGAATGTCCCGTTTCAAGAAGAACCTGCGACAAACGACTTGTCTGATAACGCCATACATACATTCGACCCTCTCATCTCATCAGACGTTGGCAAACTCTCTCTCCACGCCCATATGAGGGTTCTCAACTTTGAACCCTCCAACCTGGTGTGAGGATACACAGCCTTTCGGCTATGCATGCAAGCGAAAGTCTGCTGCCAACAAAGACTTGGCTTTTACCCAAGACAACAACAGCGTTTCGTTATAGCTGGTGAACCCTGCGTCGATCATTCGCGGGCGAAAAAGTGTGTGTGTGAGAGGGTGATGGTGCAAGCAGGGGATTAGTGATGACGGCGGCCCCCAACAGAAGCTGGATGGGAGATCTGCGAGTTGGAAGCTGGGCAAAAAGTCGCGCACTTCGATCTGTTGGTTGTGTTGTGATGGGACGAGATGGGCTCTTCTCCGATGCTGTCGGGGGACGAAGGAAGTGCTGGGGCTGGAAGGGGGCGCTTCCGACGCTGATGGAGGATCAATTTTTGTGGGCTGCTGATCCGTTTATCGACCGGGTATTTGGATCTGCTTTCGAACTAGCGCTGAAATCAACTCGTTCGCTCTGTGAGAGGAGATGCTCTGCCCTTGTGACAGTCACCTGACCACGTTATTGTCTCTCCAACTTCACCTTCCATGACCTCGACGGCGTGTCTCCCTCGACTTCGCGCCCGCCCGCATGTGAAGCCCTCCATCATTCTACTGTTCTCGACATGCGGTAGTCTCGCCACAACGGCAGCGTCGCCCGCTGCTGGACCTGGGATTCAGGGATTTCATAGGGGTCGAGCACATTTCGTCGACGCCGTTCGCCACACATGCAGTCTCCGCCGCCTGCCTAGCCGCACGCACTTCCTTCGGTATCCTCCTCAGCTTCCTTCGCCCTCATGGATGTCTGCTCTAACGCGCCCAACACAGGAGGGCCACCGTCTTACCCACGCCGCTCTTACCATCACCATTCTCATCAACACGGCAACGTCTGCATTCGGAGAATTCACAAGATAAACGGCAGCCGTCCAGCCCAGGAGAGGATGCGGATCCGTCTGGCGATAGCGTAAGTTGAGCCCTCTCGCTCTACGACTGTCGACTGCGCTTGCGCCATCTTCACACGCCGTGCTTGCTCGCTGTCTCAGCACTCGTTTCGTTCTATTTGTCACTTTGGCCAGGGCCTCCTCTGCAATGCGACTGCGCTGCTGCAACGCCTTCGCCATTTCACAACCGGCGATCACCACTACTGACCGCTTTCTTTTGGTCACGGACTCCACTACCATGCCTGCACGAGCTCGATATCGGCTGGCTTCCGGACGACGTACCCACGGTCCTTGAAATCGAACACACCGTGTCGTCGAATGATGTGTCCACAGCCCAAATTCTGCCGAGGCACCATGGTCGCCCCGGCATTTCCGTATAGGATTTAGGGGATCTTCATCCACCTCTGCCATCCGGCGTCCCAATCGCTTTGCCTTCTTCGAGAAGGCTGCGACATCGAACTCTGTCCACGCCTTACACATCGCTGTCCCTCACACGTGATGCGATATGGGACCTCCCAGGATTGCTTACAACTCACCTGCATAGCTCCACACTTGAGCGCCACACAATGTCAATGGGAATACGAGACTGACCTTCCGCGTTGCAGAGTCCATCACAGCCAAAGCCGAACGACAGGCCAGTCAGTCGAAGTCTAGAAGCCGCGCGGGAACGCACCAAAGCCGTGCGAAATAAGGTCCGCTCCTCCCTAACGAGCCTCACGCCACACGAGAACATCTACAACCTGCCCAACTTCCTCACCGTCACACGTCTGTTCGCAGCGCCGGCGACGGCTTACCTGCTCCTGCACGACCATCACACATGGGCCCTCGGACTGTTTGCCTATGCCGGAATCACGGACCTGGTGGATGGCTGGATGGCGCGGAAGTGGAAGCTGCAGACGGTGGCGGGCAGCGTGATCGACCCTATGGCTGATAAGGCTCTAATGATCATCCTGACCGTCACGCTTGCGGTCAAAGGAGCGATACCATGTAAGGGAACCGCGAATCCTTCCCCGCTTCCAATCACCAACAACGTTACGTCTTGCCTTCGCCCAGAAGCCTAGACTGATGAAAGACACACATCGTTGCTGACTATGCATGTCCATTGCTGCAGTGTATCTGGCGACTCTGATCCTTGGCCGCGACGCATCACTCGCCGTCGCCGCCATCTACTATCGCTATGCCTCGCTACCCGCGCCCAAGACCTTCCTACGATACTGGGACTTCTCGCTGCCTTCGGCCGAGGTGCATCCCACGACCGTCTCGAAATACAACACCTTCCTGCAGCTCATCCTGATCGGATCGACCCTCGCACTGCCAGTGGTCGCGGCTAGCGGACAGCAGACGGAGGTCCTAAATCTCAGCACGGAGCAGCTGCACACGGCGATGCAGTACTTCCAATACGTCGTCGCCGCCACGACGGCATGGAGCGGGTTGAGTTACGCGTACCTCAAGAACGTGGTCACGATCCTGGGCACGAACGAGGAGTTGAAAGCCAAGCAGGGCGCGAGAGGACGAGCCATCATCGGCGTGACGTTTGGTGGGTGTGTGTTGGCTGCTGCATGGCTCGCGGCGAACGTCGATAGACCTGTTGCTGCTGCCGAGAAGGATGGGGAGAAGGAACAGGAAGGAACCGCGTAGCGAGAAAGTATGATGATGTAGGTGTTGAGGAAAAACTTTAAGGCTCGAAGATCATCCGTCACATGCAATGTGTGTTTTCTTGTTTTGATGGGTGGATGGATTGGATGGACTGGTGAGAAGTCTTTTCTTCTCTCGTGTCTTTCATTGTTTTGCCTCGCGGTTTTGTTGCCCAACTCCGTCGTCGGACTCGCCTTGATTGATGCTCGAGAACAATGACTGGAGACAATGATCGAGGAATCTGGCGGGCGTAGACTCGACTCGACTCGATTTGGCCTTTGATTCTTGACAGCAGATGTCTCTTATTAATCCGCAACTCCTCTTCCCTCGGAAATATTTCTTTCCTCCATCCCACGGCAATCGATCAACGATAACTTCATGTTTCCAAGAAAAGAGTCTTCTTTGATACATCCAGGTCCCCCCGCTCCCCCGCGAGCCGAGAAGCCTTCTGCGTCGTCGATGATGGATACATGTACCTTTCCGACAAATCTTCTTCGAGTCCTTATACAAACGCGTCACGATGAGACACGAATGACGATGCTGCGAGACCTATCTTTCCATCTATCCATCTAGCCCAGACATACCCACCCACCTACCCATCCAGCCAAATCAACCCCGAGCCATCTCATCTCCCATCGACGACCGCACGAGAAGGAGAGAGGGAGAGAGAGGACGACACACCCCCATCCACCCACTCATCCACCGCCGCCTTGTTTGCTCTATTCATCCCTCGAAGAATCTCTTGTCCCGTCATGCGCATGCATGCATCTGAATTCTAGTTCTGGAATCGTGAGGGTTTTGTTGCTCGATGATAGACTTTTTGAGTTTTTGGAGAAGTCGTCCCTTTCTAAGACATAGTAAGTAAGTAGCTGCTGTGATGGGGTTTGTTGGTCGCGTGTAGATTCTTGAAAAGGGATCATCACTGAAGGCTATGAGCTCCTTCGGGTTGGTGATGAGATAAGATTTTGCGTCAGCTGGGAAGGCAAGGGATGAAGGAAGAAGAGAGAGGGAAAAGATTAGGAGAGGCAGGGGAGGAAAGACTTGCAGGACCGAAGTAAATAGAGAGACACAGGGGATAATATAAGTAGACAACTTCGAAACAAACTTCGAAACATACTCCTTCCATCCATCTATGAATGAAGGAATGCACTGCACTTAATCGATACGCAAACAACACCTGCGAAAAGTAATGATGATCCTACGACCCATCCGCGACTGAAGTCTACCGACCGATTCCCACCTGCCTGCCTGCCGTGTTGATGGCATCAATACTCTTCTCCCTTCCAAAACCCCCTCCCAAAACCCTTTAGCCCCAGACCAGTTCAAAAAAAGTAGTACTAACAATACACAGAACAATAACCTCAATACTGCTGCTCATGAGAAGACGACACGTCTATCCCACCTCGCCATCAACGACGGCGAGCCGCTGACGGACCGTCTTGGCCTTTTTGCTGATGCCCTTGCGTTTCTTCAGGGGTGGACCGCCCTCCATCGCCGACACAGGCGTTGCGGCGCCAGAAGGATCGTGGGACTGGCCGTCTTCGAATTTGCCCTCGCCTAGAAGAACATAGTCAGTATCGATCTTGACATGTCGAAATTCCTCATCATGCTCACCTTCGTGGTACATATCGTCCATACTCATCTCCTTCTTCTTCGCCGCAGGAGCCTTGCGTTTCCGCTTCCCGCCAGCCTTGGCTTCTTCTTCCATGACTTCGGCTTCACGTCGCTCGATGGCTTCCACCTGATCGTCATCCGCAAGCCACATGGCCATTTCCTTGGTGCGGTTGTTCTCGCGACTCCGGTTGTTGAAGTCGACAACGTTACTGCCGGCTTGGCCAGAGATGACGACACGTTGGACCTCTTCCTTTTGCAACGCTCGCTTGCGGATACGCTCTTCGATCGTGCCGCGAGTGATGAGACGGTAGACTGTGACTTGTCTTGTCTGACCGAGACGATGAGCTCTGTCCATGGCTTGCGAGTCGATGGTAGGGTTCCAGTCAGAGTCGTAGAAGATGACGGTATCTGCGGATGTCAAGTTGATACCCAATCCACCAGCACGGGTAGACAGCAAGAAGACGAAGATCTCTGGCGAGCTTTGGAAGGCCGCCACGGTGTCTCGACGATCTTCGAGCTTCGTGGAACCATCCAGACGGCAGTACTTGTAGTTGCGGTACGTCAGGTACTCTTCCATCAAATCGATCATGCGCGTCATCTGGAAGTATAGCAAGACACGATGTCCGCCTTCCTTCAGTTGGCGAAGCAGCTGATCCAACTTGGCGAGCTTTCCAGAGTCGGTGACGAAACGACGCATGCTCGGGACCTGGACCTTGGTGTATCGCTGCTTCTGAGATGATGGCTCGGGCAGGAGGTTGGTGACTGGGTATTTCGCTGGCGGCAACTTCGACTTTAGAAGAGCTTCCTCGGTAGGGATGTTGATAGGATACAAAGCACGCCGCAACGGTACGTTGAAGAAGCTCGTCTCCTTTTCGACCAGGGAAGTGTTGCTCGAGCAGACAAGTTCAATTGGCGTCGCGGCAGCGGCTGGAAGAGCGCAGGCCTCAATGACGCTGTATCCAGTGTTATCCATGGCATTCTTCGAGATGTTGAAGAGCTTGCTCAAGTTACTGTCAGCAGTGGCATCTGAGAGAGGCTTACGCGCGTTGCGAGCGACGATGTTCAGCATGGCATGAGCAGGGGTGAAACCGGCGTTCTCTTTCTCCTCTTCGTCGTCATCGTAGGCGACCTTGAGTTTGGCCAATTGATGGTCGTCTTTGGCCAAGTCCGTTATTCGCTCGATGAGACTCTGTCGAGCAGTGCGAATCGCATCTCCGGCGGATTGATCGATGAAGCGAAGCCATGAGAAGCCGCTGTTAGTGCTCTTGCCTGACTTGCTCCTGCCTGAAGAAGACTGAATGTGCTTGCCATCCCAAATCGTCAGCTCGTTGCGGAGCCACTTGTTGCGCCAGCCAGCAGTGGCATTGCTGGGACCTGCGACATCAAGTCGTCCTGGATCTTCACCGAGCATGGTAGGCAGCCAATATTCGATCAAGTTGCGAGAGCTGTACGAAACATTGACGTTGTGACCCTCACGCATGAACGACGCGGTCTCGGCGAAGTAGGAGGGGGCGAGTGGACTCCAGGTATCAGCTCGCTCGAACAGATCCGGGTGATTGCAGACCTTTCTGAACTGCATGACCAGGTTCATGAGATGCGCTGTATCCTGATCGTCGCCAGCGGCTGCCTTCTCAATGAGATCCATAATACTGATCTTGTTGCGAAGGTTTGTGTAGTATGCTCGCTGCCGGTAAGTGAGGTCACAGAAGACATCCTCTTCAATCTTGTCGCCAAGCTCTTTCTGGACGTGCTTCTTGATACGACGCAACATGAACGGTTTCAAGATCATGTGCAGACGGCGTAGCTGATCCTCGTTGAGCTTGGAGTTAGACTGGGCATGGTTCTCAATGTCCTTGGAGAACCACTCGGAGAACTCGTCGTGGCTGTCGAAAAGCGAGGGCATGATGAAATGCAGCAGCGCCCACAGTTCTTGCATGTTGTTCTGAATCGGTGTACCGGTCAATAGTAGTCGATTTCGGCAGTGGAACCCAAGTAAAGACTTCCATCTCGATGATTGCGATGACTTAATGGCCTGGGCTTCGTCAAGAATCATGTATTGCCACTTGACCTTCTGGAAGTATGCGGTGTCTTGCACGACCAGCTGGTAAGAAGTGACGAGCACATGGAAAGGACTGTCGCGGCTGTAGGTGATATGCTTGCGATCCCAGAACTTGCGTAGAACTTTTCGATCCTTTGCAGAACCCCAGTATGGGAGAACTTTGATGTCTGGCACGAACTTGGCGATTTCCTGCTGCCAGTTGTGTAGAGTACTGGCTGGAGCGATGACAAGGAATGGACCCCAGATATCATGCATCTCAGCCAAGTAGGCCATGACGGAGATGGATTGAACAGTCTTGCCAAGACCCATCTCGTCGGCCAGAATGCCGTTTATGCCCTGCTCGTACAAGTTGACAAGCCAGTTGAGACCCTTGAGCTGGTACTCTTTGAGCTGGCACGAAAGCATCTTCGGTTGAGCAACATCCATGCTTTGGAGCGATGTGGGATTCTGGAAGTTCATCTCACCCTCATCGAAGTTGGCTTGTGCGTTGGAGATGTCCTGGCCTTCTTCGTCCTCTCCAGACTTGTTGAATGCTCGGGCACGGTCTTGTGCTTCTTTGATGGCATTCTGTGCGTTGGCCATGGCGGCCTGTCGAAGAGCGGTCTCGTCGTCCGCATCGAAGTCCAAGTCCTCGAAGTTGGTGACCTTCTGCCCAACGTCGGCGAGAGAATCAGGCAAGTCGACGGTATGCGTAGCAGATGGATCGTCGGTGGTAGTCTGGCCGCTTGGGACCACGCCATCCCCACCTGCACCATGCTTCTCGATCTCGTCTGTCTTGACCTTCTTGCCGATGAAGTGAGAGTACAGCTCGGTCTGTGAGATCAAGAAGTTGAGCTTCCTCTTCTGTCTGTTCGCTTCGCGCTCGGCTTCGGCCTTGCGGGCCTTGTCAAGCTCTTGCCTCTCGGCTACCTTCCTGCCTTCACGCTCATCACGCTCGTTGCGCTTCCAGAAACCAAGCATCTCTCTCATGGCACGCTTGGCACGGGCTGCCACGTCCTTTGTACTCTTGTTCGTCCGTAGCTGCCATCGTCGAGCTTCCTTCGCGGCGAGCTGGGCCGTCTTGCGAGCATTGCTCTGCTTCGTATCAAGGCTGTTATTCTTAATACGTGCGACTTTAGGCACTGCCTTCGCAATGTCGCGAGTGATCTGCTCGTAAATCTGGTTGTATCCTTTGCTGTCAAACTTGGCCATTCCAGTAAGACCAGCGGTAGGCTGCATGTCGAACGTAGCAGGGGTGACCTCACTAAGGGGTTCCGAGTCTTCTCGAAGCTTTCTCTCTGCGTACGCAGCGAGCCTCTCTTCCTCCTTTGGAGCGATGAGTGGCAGGTCTTGTCCTTGGTCGATGTAGGCTTGGGCGAGACGAGCGTTATCCTTCTCGGCCTGCTTCTGCTCTTTGCTCTTCCTGGCCCTACCAGCTCCCCCGCCACGGCCGCCACGTCCACGTCCTCTGCCACTAACGGTGAACTCGGGAGTACCTTCTTCATTGCCAAGACCGGTGTTGCTGGTGTAGAAGGAAGTCATAAGTCCACCATCCAGATTGACCTCTCGCTCGCGTCTTCCAAGAGCTGCTGTAGTATGGGGCGATTCATTTCGGAACTCCTTGGACGGTGTGATGCCCTGTAGGCGACTTTGCGTATCTCGGATCTTTTTGTCGTAACGCTGAATGTCACGCTCGATACGTGCCTTTTCATCCTCGTCCTGAACAGTTGCCAGTGTCTGGATCGCTTCGTCACGCTTCTGCTGTTCGTCCGCGATGGCCTTCTCCCGTCGTCGCTTCCGCTGCTGATCTTTCTTTCGCTCCTTGTCCTCTTCGATCTCTTTCTGTCGTACTTCCTCGGCGACCTCATGTTCATGCTGATCAATGAACAGGCTCTTCTCAGTCTCTGCTGCCGCGGCAAAGTGATCGTGATACTTTTGCATCAAGTTGTACCGTCGTCGCTTGCGCTTCACGGTCTCTGCAACCTCGTTCTCCAAAGCACGCTTTGTGGTTCTCTGCTGAAATTCAGTCCTTGGCACTTCAATGCCTGGCATGTCCACTTCCACATCAGACAAATCCCGTGCTTCTATCTCCTTATACGCAGCCTCCGTGTCGCGAATAGTCAAACTGGGAGGCCCAGTCTGCGGCGGTAAGGCGGATGTAGGAGCTGGGCGAGAAGTGGTATCCGTACCACGCTGAGGAGCGATATGTGCTGGTGGTTCATCCTTGATTCGAGGTTGAGATTGTGATCCGCTGTGTGGTCTGCTTGACTTTCTGCCTGAGGTCTTCGTTGGGACGTGTGGTGGCGGAGGTGCTTCAACGACAGGTGCTGGCGCAGAAGGAGGAGCCGGCGCAACTGCTGGTGCGGGTGCTGGAGCTGGAGCTGCTATCTTAGGTTCCTCGTTCTTTGCAGGAGCTGGCTCTCTCGTGTCGTCGGATAGCAGATTCATCATCGACATTGGGTTTGTAGATCGCTGAGGCGGAGGAGCGGCAGAAGCAGACTCGGTGCCGGCCGTGTGCGAGTGATGGCCATTGCTTCGTACTGGATCGTACGCACCTGGCGACCTCGCATCCACAGGAGGTGGCGGTACGGGGTGCGCATGTGATGAGACGGGCGGTGATGATTGACTCGGGTGTCGGCTCATGACTGGGCGTTGCTCGAGGTGATGGCCGTTGGCGTATGGGGGAGCTGGTGGGTGCTGCTCGTAGGTGTTGCGACTCTGCACGGGCGATCTTGGCTGGTATGGGGTACTGTTCATGCTGACATCGCGTGTTCCTGCTCGTTCCTCCTTGGTCGGGTCATAGTAGCTCGAGGTTGGACGTGTGGCCGAGGGTGATGGAGGCACGCTCCTGTATGGGGGGCCGCTGTTCTGATACGAGTTTGAGCGCTCGCGGGAGGTATAGGTGTGAGCGTGGGCTTGTGACGGGCTCTGGCTCGGCGGGCGTTCCATGTTTGCTGGTGGTGCCCAACTGAGTCTATCGTGTCGGCACTCTTGTTCTTTCACCGCGCCATTTATTTGATGTCTGCGCCAATGGCTTCAAGTCAGAGGCGATGGGTGTAGCGATGGTATGATGGTATGGCTGGGGCGCGAAGGGTTGGGCGGCGGAGGTCGTCGCTCGGCTGGTCTTAGCTGACAACGCTGGTCTGATCTGGTGGCAGACTCGCGCTTTATTAATCGACCCCTTCGGCGATGTGGTGGACGCGGTGTCGCGATGGGGTGGGGTGGGGTGCGGCGACGGCGATGGTGGAAATGGAGATGGAGATGGGAGAGTTGGCGATGATGATGACGGCGGCGGGTGGTTGGTGCTTGTCACTACGGGAGCAATATAAGGAGTTGGCTTAGAACCGGCTCCAGACTCGCGACCAGCTGCTGTGAGTTTCTCAGAACGTACGCGATCCAATACACGCGGCGTCTAGCCACAAAAGAGGTAGCAGTCGATGACGGCGGTATCTTGTGACTTTGACGGTATTGTTCCTATCGAGTGTTTTCACATTGTCTATGCGCTGCGCGTTGCTCCCCGCGGCCGGCCGTCGTGCGAAGCCTGCGACATCCATCGCCATAGGTTCTTTCAGTGTTCAGATCTCGAGTGGGTTCTTCAGAGAAACGAGCCTTCTGATTGGTCAGAACGGCCTGTCAAACACTGCACCCTCATTGCCGTTTATCTACAAGAAACGACATCTGACAATAATTTGTACTGGCAGACTCCTCTCATATTGCTCAAATCAATCTCTCGAATAGCTAATTCTTCGTGCATCTCATACAGAAGTGAATCTCTTGACCAAGACCTTTGCCCGCTAGTCTTCGACGCTAGCATCTGAAAGTCTCGACGATCTGCTTTGCGGAATTTCAGGATCCAAGAACTCGACCTTCATTGCCTCACAAACCACCCTCCCAACACCATGGCGGCCGTCTACAAATCCGTCAGCAAGCAGCCAAATGGCAAAGCGAAAACAGACGACAACGAGCCGAAACCCAAAAATCGCCAGCGAGTCCTCATCCTAACCTCGCGAGGCGTGACCTACAGGTAAATGATTTTCTCTCAACATTACCCATATCCAATACTGATGTAGATGTTTTACAGACACCGCCACCTCCTCAACGACCTGCACTCCCTCCTCCCACACTCCCGCAAAGACGCCAAACTCGACACCAAAACCCAACTGCACCAACTAAACGAACTCGCCGACCTCTACAACTGCAACAACGTCCTCTTCTTCGAAGCCCGCAAGGGCAAAGACCTCTACATCTGGCTGTCCAAACCGCCCAACGGCCCGACGGTGAAACTGCACTGCCAAAACATCCACACCATGGAGGAGCTGAACTTCCCGGGGAACTGTCTGAAGGGCTCGAGGCCGGTGTTGAGTTTCGACGCGAGTTTCGAGAAGCAGGCGCATACAAGGGTGATTAAGGAGTTGTTGACGCATACGTTCGGGGTGCCGCCGACGAGTCGCAAGACGAAGCCGTTTGTGGATCATGTTATGGGGTTCACGTTGGCGGATGGGAAGGTTTGGATCAGGTGTTATCAGATTCAGGAGACGGAGGCGGTGGCGAAGAAGAAGGAGGGGGAGAAGGAGGAGAAGGATGCAAAGGCGAAGGTTGTGGCGAAGACGAGCAAGGGCGAGACTCAAGTTTCGCTGCAGGAGATTGGGCCGCGATTGGTTCTTACGCCGATTGTGATGTTGGAGGGAAGTTTTGGTGGACCGGTCATTTATGAGAACAAGGAGTTTGTGTCGCCGAACCAGATCAGGAGTGATTTGAGGAAGGCGAAGGCTGGGAGGTATAATCGTCGTACTGAGGCGACGGTTGAGAGGAAGGCCAAGAAGAGGGACATGGGTCTCAGGACGGGTGAGGGCACGAGGGAGGTCGATGAGCTGGATGAGAGAGTACTCTTTGCTTGAGAAACGAGTGCTCTACGGTACCTTGTACTCGATAGTCATCTTAGCGCGGCGCTGGGGAAGGAAAATCGACATGTGCTTTGCTTCATCTCGACATCACATGTTGGTCGGTCACACAGGTCATACCCACTTCGAGAGACGACTTCACGACATGCTGCGTGACATCTATATAGGATGTTCAGGTCACGATTGCGTGTCTTGTTCAATGCATTCATCACATTACATGAGTGAGCAGAAGAAGGGGGCCGTATCTCACGACCTTGATTTCCCCATATTGACGCCTGAGCGAGCCATTGTGGCCACTGAAACCCATGTCTCTCCGCGCCTCCAGCTAGTTTCCGTGTAGTCTTTTCTCATGCATGCACCACGCCTAATCGCAACCCAAAAGCCAGCTCCACGCAGACCTCGTCGTCAATTTTCCTTGACGTGCTTGGCCGCACTCATATCGCGCTGGGGTAGAGCATGATGCGCACCATGGCGCCGAAGGACTTGGATGGCAGGTTGTGCCTGAACTGTGCTCTCACGAGGCCCGAGTTGCCTGTGTCACAAAATACATATTAGCCATCATCTTCTTTTCCTCATCCCCCTCAATACATGAGAGGTGATGGTGTAGCTCGTACCATGTGTCCGCGTAACCTTGCCCCAAATGACCCGAATCTTGGTGCCTCTAATCTCCTTCTTGCCACGGTAGACGTATGCGATGCGCTTGCCCAGGTAGAAGGATGCGGCCTTGGGGTCGTCGACGCCCTCGATCTTAATGAGCGACGTGCCCGGGTTGGTGACGTGCTTGGAGCGCTGGTACGAAAGGTGCTTGCCCCTGCGGAAGAGTCACGTTAGTATGGATGGCATATTTTCATCGTTCGAAGTCTCGATGTCGGGGTTGGGTAGTCATTCGACGGTGGGTTTTGATCGCGACGTACTTGACGTAGAGTCGGTGTCCTTGCTGTCCCTCAGGCATTGTGGCGGTGTTTGTCGAGCGAGATCGTGGGTGGGTGGTGGTGTCGCTGCTTGATGTCGTCGCTATCGCACGCTGGAAGCCGCTGAGGTTGGAATTCCGTGGGCAAGTGGTCAGGTCTTGGCGAATTTCCAGCTAGGCTCAGTTGAGACACGATTGGCGGCACAAGCGAGGTGCGGGTTGGGCCGCTTTCACGGCTGCGTACATGTACCTTGCCTGCACAGTGCCTTCCATCCCCATTACTTCCAAGCCATCTAAACAGCTCGGAGTGCAATCAGCATCGCAGTCGCTTGTGACGAGTGGGAGAAATGGCAATTCTATACGTTCCAGAACGAGGAGGGTAAATGCGACGCGCGCCGACGATTCGCACAATCGAAGGCCGTTCTTGAAAATCACCTACAAAACAGTTTGATTTTCAAACACGCCCATCAAGCAGTTAGGTCTTGGAGACTGATGTGTTGATCATGTGCCTTGGAACGGAGTGTTCGTCAGCTTCAGCGAGCTGCCATTTGGAAAACGCCAGTCGTTCGACACCATGAAATCTCTCGATGGCCAGACGACGGCCCAAGATGCAACTTGTCAAGATCAATGACATACTCGTGGGTATGAGAAAAGAGACTGATGAGTCGTGTCAGATCTCTCGCTATGCCGCGACTCCTCGCTCCCCGAGTCTTGATTAGAAAACTTCGTCGGCTGCTCTGCGGATTCATCGGTACAGTCTATTCCATGGAGTCTCTGCTCACAAATCGAACACAACAGCTTTTGCTCTGCGATAAGGGCATGGAAAATCTTCAGGATGGGGTGCAGTATTGTAGTCACGCAACAGCTGGCGTCAATGGCAATGGATGGTGGAGTTGGGACGTACACAGATTGTGAGTGATACTGCAGCAATACCCGATTCTCGGTCTTAAGAACCGGCCCCAGCTCGCGGTATCCTCGATATGGCTTCAAGGTCTGACTCGAAGACTCGGAGGATATCAATAGATAGCATTGTCGGTCTGTCCATACGCCCCGGAATCACTCGGATTTTCTACATGTGTTGAGTCTCGTCAAGATGAATGTAAATTCAACCTAACGGTGTGGACGAGGTTGAACGGCGGATGCATACGGCATATGCTCTGGATAAAATGCTGCCGTCACGCTTGGTGGTCGGCGGAACCTTACGTTGCGCTTAGAAAGCACATGGTCTAAGAGCAGACAATCACAAGTAGAAAACGTTTGTTCGCATGTGGCATTCACGAGCCTTCCTCCACCGCGCCTGCCTCATCAAATAATCCATCTTTTTCCGACGTTGCCACTGCAACGCACCAACAACAACGATTGTCCGAACTGGCCTGATTTGAGAGCGAGACCGCCATCGCAAGACTCTCGGACCCTGGCCCTACTGCGTCACTTCGGGTGCCCCGCCAAACTGCATCGAGCTCTTTCCTCCCTAACACTCAACAAATTCTACATCAACCTCATCGCCTTCCTCTCGCTCCTCATCGCCTACTCTCTTCTCGCACGACCGTCGCCCACTCGCCCATCCCACGACGTCGCAATGGCCAACACGGTTATTCATCCGGAGGTCGAGGCCAACGCAGGGTAAGCATCACAGTTGCGGTGAACTTTTGTTGTTGTTTCAGCGGCGAGCGGCGGGCGGCAGAGCAGGTGGACATGGATATTGTTTGGCGGGCGGGTGTGATGGCTGTACTGACTATAGAGGACTTGGGCGTGCTTTTCCATCTCCATTGTTTCGCACATGATTACTCGCGTCATGTCCATATCCGTCTCGAGGGCCAATGCTGACACGCGGGCTGTTGCAGCACGATCGAGCTCAAGGACAACACTGTCGTTGTCGTCCTCGGAGCCTCTGGCGATCTCGCTAAGAAGAAGACCTTCCCTGCCCTCTTCGGCCTCTACAGAAATGGCTTCCTCCCCAAGGATGTCAAGATCGTCGGCTACGCCCGTACCAAGATGGACCACACCGAGTATTTGAAGAGAGTCAAGTCGCACATCAAGACCCCAACGAAAGAGCTGGAGCAGCAGCTGGATGATTTCTGCAAGTTCACAACCTACGTCGCCGGTCAGTATGACAAGGATGAGAGCTTCCAGGAGTTGGAGAAGCACCTGCAGGGTTTGGAGAAGGGTCAGAAGGAGACGAACCGTGTCTTCTACATGGCGCTCCCACCATCCGTCTTCATCCCTGTTTCCGAGCATCTCAAGAAGAACAACTACCCCAAGTCTGGCATCGCCCGTATCATTATCGAGAAGCCATTCGGCAAGGACCTGGCTTCTTCGCGCGAGCTCGACCAGGCTCTGCGGCCAAACTGGAAGGAGGAGGAGATCTTCCGTATCGACCACTACCTGGGCAAGGAGATGGTCAAGAACATCCTTATCCTCCGATTCGGCAACGAGTTCTTCGGTGCTACCTGGAACCGCAACCACATCGACAACGTTCAAATCACCTTCAAGGAGCCGTTCGGTACTGAGGGCCGCGGTGGCTACTTTGACGAGTTCGGCATCATTCGCGACGTCATGCAGAACCATCTCCTCCAGATCCTCACCCTCCTCGCCATGGAGCGCCCAATCTCATTCAGCGCGGAGGACATCCGTAACGAGAAGGTCCGTGTCCTGCGCGGCATGCCAGCCATTGAGCCAAAGAACGTTATCATCGGCCAGTACGAGAAGTCGCTCGATGGTTCAAAGCCAGGCTACAAGGAGGATGACACTGTGCCGAAGGAGTCTCGCTGCCCAACTTTCGCTTCAATGGTCGCCTACATCAAGAACGAGCGTTGGGATGGCGTGCCATTCATCCTCAAGGCAGGCAAGGCTCTCAACGAGCAGAAGACTGAGGTTCGCATTCAGTTCAAGGATGTCACGTCTGGTATCTTCAAGGACATTCCGCGTAACGAGCTGGTGATCCGAGTTCAGCCAAACGAGAGCATCTACATCAAGATGAACTCCAAGCTTCCAGGTCTCAGCATGCAGACCGTCGTGACCGAGCTCGACCTTACCTACCGCCGCCGATTCTCCGACCTCAAGATCCCAGAGGCCTACGAGAGCTTGATCCTCGACTCGCTCAAGGGCGACCACTCCAACTTTGTCCGTGACGACGAGCTCGACGCCTCGTGGCGTATCTTCACTCCTCTCCTTCACTACCTCGACGACAACAAGGAGATCATCCCCATGGGCTACCCATACGGTGAGTGATGACTATTCTGATGATATATACTCTGGCTAACGTTCATGACAGGCTCCCGCGGTCCAGCTGTCCTCGACGACTTCACTTCTTCATACGGCTACAAGTTCGCAGATGCAGCAGGGTACCAATGGCCACAGCACCAGATCGAACCCAACAAGTTGTAGATTTGAACGGCGCACTAATCTCACTTTGGTTTCTCTAGGCGCGAGGATTGAAGCTCGATGACTACAGAAGCGAATAGTGCGACTTTCGACAACAGCGAACAAGCGATTTGAGTAGATGAAGGGCAGGAGCTTCTGGAAAGGCTGTTTCTTTCTCGACGATTACTGTGCTATGCGACGATCCAGAAACCACAAGACGACTAGATGTGATGCCCAGAAGGGCTGGTAAATAGACCTGAGCTTTGGGTTGTGAATGAGAAAAGCTCTGCATGACAAGTGCGATGTTCCCGCTACGTTTCATTGATGATTTTCATGTGTTTCGTGACTTTAGCGCGGACCCGGGGAGCTGGAGACCGCATGCAGTTACCCGCCTTTTCCGCGACTCGACCTCGAGCACTCGGCAGCCACCTTCGACGCTCGAGGACAGTATCACTTCTTCTTTCCGCATTACAATCCTCTCAGTTGGAGCTGTAGTTCTCGCGACCTTCCAAGCACGATCGACGCGCGTTTGGCGAACTCATCCATGCAACGGCCCACGCGTGGCAGCAGCCAGGCCAATGCTGACCTGACACCTTGCACCGACCAACTTCACGACTGAGGGCGTGTCCCCTCCTTCCACTCGTTCACTATAGATCCCCACAAACCTTTCCTCTGCGATCATGACGACGACCTCCACAGGCGCCTCGTCATGGACCGGCCAACCTCGAATCAAGGGCAACTCGGAATTCATGCGCCTGTTCCTCCTCACCCTCAGCCTAATCGGCCTGCAATTCTGCTGGGGCACCGAACAGACGTACGCAACGCCCTACCTCCTCAAACTCGGCCTCAGCAAGGGAAAGATGTCGCTGGTGTGGATTGCGGGGCCTCTGTCGGGATTGATCATGCAGCCGATTATTGGTATGATTTCGGATAAGAGCAGTAGCAAGTATGGGCGGAGGAGGCCGTTCATGGTGGGTGGGACGGTCGCGGTGGCGGTCTGTTTGATCATACTGGGGTGGGCGGAGGATATCGTGGGGTGGTTTGTTGAGGAGGGGGAGAGGGTACGTTTCATTGGGGATGAGATGTGTGGGTGGGGATTGATGCTGATGAGGATATAGAGGAGGCATACGACTGTCATGCTGGCGGTTGTGGATATCTACATACTGGACTTTGTGATCAACATCGGTATGGGAGATCTTCGAGAGCGAAGTGGTGGCATGATGTTGACATATTCTCAGCGCAAGCCACATGCAGAGCCCTGGTGGTTGATGCTCTACCGGTATCGCAGCAGCAGCTTGGAGCAGCATGGGGTAAGTCCAAATCAACCTATCAAAACATATGAGTGGAAAGTCCTGAAGTTCTGAAGTGGCTAGGATGATTGGCATTGGCCATATGCTTGTGTTCGGCTTTGGCGCGCTCGACCTGAACACCGTCCTCCCCAGCGCTCTCTTCGGCGACACGCAGTTCAAGAAGGTGTGCTCCATTGCGGCGATGGTTATGGTGGCCACGCAGTTCACGACCTGCTGGGCTGTGACGGAACGCGTGCTTGTCTCTGATGGGAGCAAGTTCACTGGAACGGATCAGAGCCTGTGGTCGACTGTGAAGCAGATCTATGAGAGGGCGATATTCTTGCCGGAACGCATACAAGCAATATGCTCGATTCAATTCTGGTCGTGGATCGGATGGTTTCCAATGATGGTAGGTGTCCCCTCGTGCATGGTTGAGGACTTGGCTAATGCGTCTTTAGTTCTACGGCAGCACTTGGGTCGGCGAGATCTACCTCAGAAACGCAGCGCCCAACGCTTCAGCAGACGCGTTGACTGAGGTCGGCCGCATTGGCAGTACAGGACTCATCATTCACAGCACGGTCGGCTTCACAACGGCCATTGTCCTTCCGTGGCTGGTGACGAGTCCTGGCGAGGAGGAACAACCAGGTTATACACCTCGCCCACCCGAAAGTCTAAAGTCCGTCGTTAACATTGCGAAAGGGACCAAGAAGCCATCCCTTCTCAATGTCTGGACGGCGGGGTGCGCCATGTTCGCGGCCTTTATGATCTGGGCGCCTGTGGTACAGTCAGTGGGCTTCGCCATCTTCCTCATGGCCATCACTGGCGTCCCATCCGCAATCGCAGGTCTCTCGGTGGGCACGTTCATCGGGGTAGAAGTCCAAAAACTAGGCTCCTACCTCCCCGTCTCCCACACCCCCAACGCATCCTCCAACACCCACCGCTTCTCCGACGACATCGAACTCGACAACAACAACGCCACACCCACCACCCTCCACGTCCGACACTCCTCGGCCGAATCCGTCGGCAACGCGTCCACTGGCGAGCTCAGCGGCATCTACCTAGGCATCCTCAACATCTACACCACCTTACCGCAATTCGTAGGCACGGCGATCAGCTGGGTGGTCTTCTCGATCTTAGAACCGGGCAAGAGTCCGGAGCTCGCGCAGGATGCGCACCCGGATGAGCATCATTCGACGGAGGGGTTAAGTGGGATCGGGGTGTGTCTTTTTATCGGGGCGCTGTGTTCGATCGTCGCGGCGAGGGCGACGAGGCGGCTGAAGGAGGGTTGATAGATGAAGATTTGAATGTGAGAAAGATTGCTGCGAGGTCGTGCCGGGTTTACGTTTTCATGTTTCTCTGAGACGTGATTCTCACGCGACACTACTGCTGTCTGCCGCGGACTGATGAGTCCGTCGATTGCTAGACTTGATGCCGTCGTGTCAAAGTCGATGCATGTCTTTTGCTCCTCGTGCTCCTTCGTTCCGCGGCCCCGCCCAGCCCCCCGGCGTGCGAGCGAGTGTTTTGGTCTTGTATGTGTGATGGATCAGGCCGGAAGAGTGTGAGAGTGAAAGTCTGGGCGCTGACAGGCCTTGATGATGGAGGATTTTTGGCAAGGTTCATGGGATCTTGTGCATGCAGTTCTGCAGAGAGAGAGAGAGAGGTGGCTGGGCGTGTGATGAAGACGAGTAGGAAACTTGAATACAGCGCAGTAGTGTACAAGATCGTGCTTTTATTTGATGAATATGTGCAGGATGGCGGGTGGTTTGTTGGAGCATATGATGGATGGTGTATTGCTTCTCTCTCGGCCCCGAACTTTGTGTAAATGCTAGCGCTGGCTTACAGTTTTTCTTGGTGCTGTTGTTCTACGGTTCTTCTTGGAGGGAGCAAGCTTCCAGACGATGTGTGTAAGGTAATCTTGGAATGGCGTACGATGGCTAGCCGTTTGGACTAGCGATACGGAGCTAGTTTCGGCGCCACCTCGCCACTTTGAAGATTGATGTTTCTCGCGAGATGTGCTGTATAGTACAGTACAGTATCCGAGGCGAAGCATAGAATGGTATGGAAGGACGTTCTGGAGTGATGGAGTGAGACCAAACCCGAAAACGAGCTTCACGTCAGCTGCTGCTCCAGAACTCCATGGGCCAGGCCAGGAACATTGCAGCTTGCAGCTTGCAGCAAGGTGAGAGCGTGAAGGAACAAAACCTGAGACAAGGACTTTATACAGCACAGCATCCCCAAAGCAGGCAAAAGAAGTACGCGGCCTCTCGACCAATACGAAGAGCTTACAAGGAGCCTGTGTGGCTGACTTCCATCTCACTGGTTCAATGGCGATGTGTTTATTCTTGGAGCTCTTTTTCAAGCATATGGATTTTTTGGAGGTGTCGAGGGAGAGCTTTCGCCACAGCAGCGCCATTCGGTCCATCGTGTTCCCGGGCCTTGTTTGTCGCGCTCCGCGATGTGTGGCCAGGAATAGGTGGCGGATAGCGGCCAAGATTTGTTTTAGTTGACAGAAGTGTGTGCCGGAGGTGTGATAGAGTGCGTGAGATGAAACGTCAAACTCTACAATTTGTTTCGACAACAGCATCGTTAGGATGAGAAGGTCGGCTGTTCTTCGAGGAATTGATGTGGTGATGCTATGCTATAGACGATCGCTATTTTATCAATGCTCGCTTCGACGAGTTGCTGCGTCATCCAGCGGCTTCTGAAACACGATCAGATACGAGCAACGACTTTGGATTGTCGATACAGGCCGCTGACTGGCAGTGACCGGAATTCGCGTGTTGCAAGCGGATGATGGCCGTCTTTGATGCATTTGAGCGAGGCTTTGTTGAGTCTTGCCACGACTTTTGTGAATGAGAGCGGCTCGACGTAATGCGGCCATGAACCTTGAAGGCTGCTGTAGCTAGAAGGCTGTGGTGGCTTGACTGAGTGGATATCGTGGTGGTGGTGGTGCTGCTGGCGTTGTCTCTCATTCCTACATACTACCACCGTCTACTACGTTCTTCTTCTATGCTATAGTCTGCGCGGCGAGGTATACGCGAGACCTTGTTACCACCATCACCTTCCCGCCATCCAACCCCCACCATCAGCCAGGCGCTGTCCGGATCCTGTTATGCTTTCCGCTCTTCACTAATTGGCCCTCGACCTCACCCAGCCCGGCTGTTCACAACCTGGAAAAGGCTATATCTCAATGTTCTAAGATTCCGCCAATTTCCGCCAGCGCCTACACACTCCACGCCAAACCGGGGGGATGTCCGGCAACAATAATGACAGCTCATTTGGTAGGCGAAAGAGCCGCTTCGGCCTCCCAGCGCTCAAATTGCCTTCAACACACGATCTGCTCGCCGACAGCTCATCCTCCAGCGCCAAAAACCACAAAACTTTGACCAAGAAGCACAAGCACGTCCGATCCCCGAGCCTTCAGACCACCCTCGACCACCCGGATGCGCCCCGCGAAGACCACACGAAGACGAGACCGCTGTCCGATCAGCCCACGTCCAAACCTCATGTCAGGAGACCTTCGCTCAGCATGAAAGCCGTCAAACGGCCGCCCTCCGTCTTTGAATCGTTGAAGAACAGTGTACGAGCCAGCAGCGAGGAATTGATGGGCAACGGATACGGGAATGGCGAGCCACTGTCCACTACATCTTCCAAAGCTCCCTCGCTGAGCTTTGACAATGCGGTGGATGGCGCAAGTCCCTCCAGGTCTGTCCTGCTGCATGGTGAGGTTCAGACCAGTGCGGGGATGTTCCGGAAGAAGAAGGAATATCTCGTTCTTACAGAGGTTCATATCATACGCTACAAGTCGCAGGCGAAGGCGGCGGAGACGTTCAAGTCAATACCGCATACAGTTGGTCGGAGCCCAACCATACGTCATGGATCGATGCCGTCGATTGGATCTCAGAGCGACCTGCAGACTTTGTCAGATTCATCTGGCGACAAAGATGGACGGGTACCCCTGAGGCAGGTGGTTGCGCTACAAAAGCTCGACGATGGCAAGCCATACTTTGCTCTGGATGTATCGTATCTGGATGAGGAATCAGGCCAGGCCTCGTCAATGACCTTACAGTTCAACAATCCGGAAGATCGAGATGTCTGGTTGAAGCGCGTCCGCAGTGCTGTGTATGATTACAGAGCACGCCAACAAACGCACATATCCTCCTTCAACTTGGAGAATGCAGCTCGGATAGTCGAGAGGGACAACGACTACGATCCTTATAACTGTGCAATCTTCAAGGTTGTACAGCGGCAGACTGCACTCAAAGCAGGGAGCAGGGCATCTACCGACGATCTCACGAAGGTAGCTTCGACAGTCTGCTTTCTTGCTATTGGTGTGCACAAGGTACATCTGATTCAACTCGTCAAGCCGGTCGTCCGAAGCTCCAGTCCTTCTCTTTCAAACAATCCCTCTCAAGCATCACACGGCATCCTCACCCTGACCGCGATCAAAGTGAGCAGCTTGGACGATACCCTCGAACTCACGTTTCGACAGCCACTGCAAAAGCCCAGAATACTACATCTCGCATCGTCTGCATCACATGAGATTGCCGCGCGGTTGCACTATGCGGAGAATTTCCTACGCCCAGAATGCGGCCATCGATTGTTCCGTTTCACTGCTCCTGCGGAAGTGGAGGATCTTCTCCCACCACCTGCTGCATCTGATGTTGAGGAGCATAGCTGTTTGGATCGGACACTGAGTGCATACTGTGTGGCATATGGGGTGAACCCTACCAATGTGCGGTATACGATCAACTACGCCTGCGAAGACGCTCCTCGGTTCGAGCTGCTACCTCCTGGCGATCCTCGACGGCCGAACTATGGGCCTCTTGAGTTACTGGCTATCATGCGCGCGTTGCGCTATAACGAGACCTTTGGCAGCTTGTCGTTTGCGAATATACCATTGGACAGCCTGAATGGATTGCATGACAACTATGGGCAGGAGCATGTATGTTCAAAAACGAAGCGTGGTACACCAATACGATTGTCGACCGCTGAATTGAGTCGTTCCTCTCTACTGGTGCAGGAGATTCGAGCACTGGCTGCAACGAGCAAACGATTACGACGGATGGACTTTTCCGGAAGTATCACAGTCAAGCACACAGCACCAGAACCCACCGACGATGAGCCTTCACGGGTCAAAGACATTGGATGTGGCATTGTGGAAGCGCTGTTCCCGCTTTGTAAGCATCAGACGACCAATGTCGACTGGATTTGCCTCAACGGTATCGATCTCAGCGAAACGGATCTGGATTATCTGGTGGGCGCTGCGGTGGATAAGTCCTGCCATTTCCGTGCGGTTGAGCTGAATAGATGCGGGCTTAATGACAGGAGTCTGGGCCTGATACTGGATGCCCTGCGAGCTCAGGAGAATACATTGGAGTCCTTGGAGATTGCAGGCAATGCAGCGCGACTAAATCCTGGCGCTTTCGACAGTCAGCTCGGCATGTTTGGATTCATAAGGAAGCTCAACCTGTCTAACGTGTCTCGAACATCCGGGTCGGAGTCCTTCATACAAGCTGAGACGCTTCTGATCTGGAGACTGCAAGAGCTGCGGCTGAGTGGTACTACCCTGAATGCAACGACTGTCGATGCTGTTTCGACATATCTCGCTCACCCACAATCGAACAGTCTGCATGAGCTGTATGTGGACAACACATACCTGTCAGGCGGTGATGTGGCCACGTTACTGCATAGCCTGGCGTGGGAGAGAAAGGAGCCGCGCAATATGCATCTCGACATCAGCCAGTGCCTTCTGACTAAGGGCCTGGAGCAGGTCACAGATGCCATCACGAGCGGCGCCACACCCACACACCTGAGTATGAGGGCCATCGAGTATCGTGAGGAGCCGCAGTTCAGGAAGATCATTGCGGCCTTGACTGCGAACAAAACTATCCAGTTCTTGGACATGTCGCAGACGGCATTGCCAGGAGATGCAAGCGAAGACACTTGCCGTGCTCTGAGCAAGCTACTGGCTGAGAATGATACCTTGAGGGAGCTGGATCTTTCCGGTGATGACTCGAGGTTGGCGACATCGAAGTTTGGCGCCGGTATCAACGATGCGCTCACTGGTTTGAAGCTCAACAAGACCATGCACATCTTCCGCGTTGAGAAGCAAAAGCTTGGTTTTCAGGGTGCAAGTACACTGGCGGAAGTGTTGAGGGAGAACCGCACTTTGCTGGAGCTTCACTGTGACAACAACGACATCCCTCTCCACGGCTTGACTGACCTTGTCAACTCGCTTGTCGACAACACGACGCTCGTTTTCCTACCGCCCATGAACGATGGCCGGGCTGCAGCTTTCAAGTCTGCCGAAGCCACGATGAAGGTCATGGCAGACTTCGAATCACCCACATCGCCAACGCATTCCAAGTCGGGCTCCTTCAGCTCGGCCAGTGTGATGCGTCGGAGCGTTGCCAACGTTAAGAAGACTGCGCAGAGGACGAGTTCGGCATACACACCTTCGCAAGCACTGCCATCGCATAGCGGTCGTTCGGCATCTTCTCCGCATCGTCGCAACAACTCGCCACTGTCCTTGTCGTTGCCTCCTATTCGAGCAAAACAGCATAGCCCTACGCCTTCGCTGAGTGGTACACCCCCATCTGGCTTCACTGTTCAAGACATTCAGACGACGCATCTCTTGCTCACCGAGCAATGGGATCGTCAATGCAACCGCCTCGAGCAGTACCTGAATCGAAACTGGTGTCTACTCAACGACATGCCTTGCGATGTGGAAATAGAAGACGAGCACTCACAGCGGCCCAGCTCGGTAGGCTCGATCGGCAAGATGCTGGAGCAAGTCAAATACGACACAACCCCCAAAGCTGAGCGAGACCATTACTTCGATTCGCCTCAAGATACGGACGTCCCCGAACTACCAACTCACCCACCTTTGCAACCTACCACCACCGTCGATAGCGACAAGCATTCGATGAGCTTCAAGCACTTCATCCTCGAGAGCGGCCCGCGCTCACCTGGCGACGAGTACGACATCGAGGGCAACATGAGACAGATGCGCCTCGATGGCAACTTTGAGGAACCCCGTACCCCAACGCAGCAGGCTTTCACCACCGCTTGAGCGAAACCCTTCTTCCTATTCGATTTGACCACCGTACACTTTTTCCCACGCTGAGCGGTTTTTCTGGACTTTTTTGATTACCGGCATTCTTGGAGTTTGAGCGAGCGTGTGCTTCCTTTTCTGGTTTCTTTTGCACATGTTGGTTGGGCGGGCTGGCATCGGCGCAACGATGCATGCGATGCGATGGGATGCGATGTAAATATGCGCGCGATGAAAGTAAAAAGCATTTCTTGGGAACAATATCGTTATGTGAGGATTTTTGTGCGAGAGACGTACAGCGTTCGAACGCGAGATCAGCGAACGAACGGGAACGAGAGTAAGAGACAGGTTTGCCGCAAGAGAATATAATTTCTGAGTGGAGATGAGATGAGATGGGGACTTTGTCTTTGTATATTTAGCTTGTTTTGCTTGCAGGTTTGGATGGGGTGTGGTTGGGTTGGGGAGGGTTGTTTACAAGTACTACCACTGCTACTACACAGCGAGGGCGTTTTTGGGTTGCATGTAGATGATTGGGAATGAGATGAGATTTATGTGTCTGTTTGTATGTGCTGGTTGATCGAATGGATGTTCTGTGAGCGGTGAGCGGCGATGGATTTTGAGAGCATGTGAGTCTTGTCGAGCACATGCCAGCTTGCCATTTGCTGCCTTAAGCTTTCTAGCCGGTCAACACTACCACTACTTGTCGCCATTACACTCCATTCATCCAACCGAGTGATGCCCAACATCCCACAAGCCTCCTGAAACTCTCTATCCTCATCCTCATCCTCCGCCATAGTCTTGAAACTATTGAACCACAACGTGAGAGCCCTTGGCCTACGCTCATGGTTTTTCTCCACTCTACTAGATTCGGCGTGCCATTCTCTTGTTTCGTATCAATATGTCTAGGTGCTTCTCGATATACGACCGTTGCGGACTTCTTCCTCGTCGTGGTGTCGCTAGAATAGGACGCATTGTGCCCAGAAGGCGCAAAAATGAAGTCTGGCAAAGAGCGAAACATAAGCAGCGATCATTCTTGCAGCTGTACATTAAGTAAGACCCTATAGAACCCATCATCATGAGACCCTCAAATTGCCTAGCAGGGCCGTACAGTCACACAGCATGCCGGAAATCTTCTGCTCCACTTGCGACAGATCAGCTCCTCGCCCCGTCCTCGTCTGCCTCGAATGTCCCGAGACTCTGACATACTATTGTGATGAAAGATGTCGAGACAAAGACCTCCAATCACACAAGCTCGTCTGCCACAATCCCATTCGCACAGCGATCTACCGCGCCGGCGACCTCCTGCTAGCAATTTTCTACACGTTCCGAGAAGCGGCCTTCGAGGATCTGGAGAAGGATGGCGATGTTCTGCATGTCTCTTTAGCGGAGTCGAGTCATCAAGCACTATTGCATCGCTTTCCGAACCACCTCGTACGACTCCGAAGCGACAAGGAGAAATTGCTGGCCCTGGCTTCCTGCACAGCTAGTATCGCGTGCACGTACGAGTTGAGCAAACATTTGTTAAAAGGTAAACTATCAACACACACAGATAGCATGACCAGCATCCACCTGCCTACCAGCCGAATCCAGATACAACCACCACCATCGAAGAAAGCCTCTTCCGCGACCTCTCCAGCCCCACTAGCACCATCCGCCACCAGCCCGACAGCACCGCCGACGAAACAGATTACATGCACAGCACACTCAGCGTCGAAGCCCGCGACGGCGAGGCGTACGGTACGTCTTCGACCTAGCCGGGGCGCAGAACGATCAATTCGAAGCCGTGCTTCCCCCTTCGACGTGTACGCCCGTCGCGAAGGCCGGGATCTGTGCAAGCTGCGCGCGCATGGGTATCATGCATTTCGCTGTTAAGGGGTCGCTGAGGGCAGGCATCGGCTGAGGAGCACTGAGGATCCGAGGGTTTTGTGCGCTTTGAGAGGGGTTGAGGGGTGTTTGCGGAATGCTGTTGGTGAGTGGGAGGCGGGAAGGGGTGGGCGGATTGAGGGACTTCTTAGGCTGGATCGGGAAGGCTATCAAGAGTTTAAGATGTCGCTTTTGGAGAAGATTGAATGGGATTTGGAGGCTTATGTCGCGCGGTGGGAGGAGAGTGGATGTCCGTTGGAGTCCTGGGATCGGATTAAAAGAGGGTTCTTTTCGTTGCCGGAACTGGATGAGGGGGTTGGCTATCGAGGGTGCGGGTCGAGTGCTTTGAGGATGTGGATGGAGAAGTATGGATAGCGAGTGGTGTTGCATGGAAAGGGCTGCGCGTTCGAGGGATGTTTGACTGATGATGAGGCTGGAAGATAGTTCGCACTTACTACGCTGGAGAAAGGGCGGAAGGAGCAGCTTTGAGTGAAGTCTGGAGGTAAGCCGCTAGTCCAGCTCGCATATGTCTTGGCAATCACATGCATGCACGTTTCCGAAAACGACGCTACTGCAGACAAACAGCGAAATGGGCAGGACTTACAATCAGACAAACAACACGTGACAAACAGATAGAAACGAGATCCGTTTAGTGAACTTGCTCTTCGAGAGTCACTTTTCCACCGCTGCCCAGAAGGCCCGGTCGGCGACCATTCACTCGAGAGCACGGACCTTCTCGCTTGTTTGCGTCACAGTCAATTACTCTGTCTCTTCTGCTTTTTGGATTTAGCATTCTTAAGTCACCGTCATCCACGCACTCACCAACTTCAAGCACCATGAGCGACTGGGCCTGCTCAGTCTGCCAGAAGGCCGTGCCGCTCCCTGCCCTCATCTGCACCATGTGCACCGAGACCCCGACCTACGACTGCGACACCAAATGCCGCGACCGCCATCAGACCCGCCAAATCGTCTACCGTACTGGCGCCTTGCGTCAGGGCATCTTCTACGCGTTCCGGGAAGTCGCTTTCGACATCAAGATCAAGAAGGTCGAGAAGATCGGCGGCAAACTGCACGTCTACGAAGATTCGTACACCGATGACAAGAATGACGGGCCCCTGTACCGGTTCCCTGCACATATGCTCCCCGACGACGAAGACAAGGCGAAGCTGCTCGTCTTCTCTGCTTGCAATGACGCCTTTGCGTACACTTTCGAGCTGGCGGCGACGCTCCTGCGAGGTATGACCATTGAGTCTCTTGATAATGGTAGAGAAGTCCGCATGCTGATCATTCCCACAGACATCAGCGCCACGATCGAAGAAGTCAACATCGACAACGTGAACCGCAACGACACCATCGTCAAGTACGTCTCGACTGGAATAGTTGACGGGACGCCATACGGCCACAACGCGATCATCGTGGACATCAAGCCTGAACTCGGCGGCAAATCCTACGCCTTCGACCTTGCTGGCGCCCAAAATGGCCAGTTGCATGCTGTGGTCCCCTTCGGCGAGTTTGCGAACAAGGGAGGCGAGGTCATCAGCCAGATCCATCCACACGGCTACTTCAGAGACCTCGGCGAGCGGATTCGACAGGGAAAGCAAAGCATGCTGGAGACCCGCGAACCCCGCGTCTATCACGTTCAGCACAACATTCATCAGCGCATGCTCGCGGCTGTCAAAGAGTGGGAGGGCGAGAACAAGACCAGTCTGCGGAAACTCGTGCGTAGCACTTCGAAGGGCTTCATCGACGGCAAGGCGTCGCTGCTTGCGAGGGTCAGCACCGAGATGAAGGCGTCTGTCGTCAAGTGGGAGCAGGAGGGACGCCACCTCGAGCCATTCACTCCTTTGGTTGTGTCATTCGCCCAGCTCCTTACTGAGAAGGTGGAGGAGTGTACGGTGAAGCCTCAAGGAGGCGGGTCTCGCGCGTATCGGAGATTTCAGGCAGACAAGAAGCGGCGCGGTCGTTTTCCGGCGTCCATGAAGGAGTTCACGACTGCAGAAGGCACGACTTTCAAGTTCTTGTGATGATGTCCTAAAGGGCCTGTTCACTTGGGAAGAGAAGCGTGTATGAAATCAAGAAGAAGAAAGCACGCCAACGCACATGACACGAGCTTAAAAAATGATAGATATCTCTCAGCTCAATCCATTCTCGGGTCTGCTACGCCATCCAGATCCTATGCCTGCCTGCCTGCCTGCCTGTGGTATCCAACGCTGTAATGCCGCTAGTAGATTGATGACGATGTGGGAAACAAGGAAAACAAGTGATATGCCAACGACTGAGACTCTCCCGTGCAAAATGAAAGGGAGGTGACGAGCGAGTGACCCCTACCCGCCAGCGGGGACATCACCCTCTCAGTCACTCAAATCGGGATTCGCCACGTAGAGCCGTACGTTGCTCATCGTCATCGTCCGGTCGTCTACGCTGCCTCTTCGTTTGAGATCTTCGGCGGTTGATTGACGTTGGGCTTTCTCTTCGGCTGTTGGGCCGAGTGGTTTGGGGAGGCCGCCGACACTGCCAAACTTCTCCTCATCACCAGCTTCGTATTCTTGTCCACTGAAGTAGCTTTCCTGCTCTTGTTGATTCGGCATTGGCGTCTCTTCCTCCCTCAGTTCGCCCATACTGTCGACTGGGCTGTGTGCTGGTGGGGTCGAGCCGTTGCTGTAACCGTGGTTCAGACTTGAGGCTTGGTAGCTGTGACCTCGTCGACCGCTACCCAAACTACTCCTACCGCTGCCATTCCTGGCGTGGTGCCGAGCTCCAGTATCCTCATCACTGTCATTGCCGTCATCCACCTCGGAAGCACTCAGCCTCATAGGCACACCAGCACCGCTGATGACCGTAGCGTTGTAAGCACTCGCCTTGGGAGCGCCATGGTGTCTGATCTTGCTTCTTACTCCACCGACTACGCCTGTACTGCTAGTGCTCGTCCGTATCGACGCATAGCTGTGTCCTCCTGCTACTTCCGCGGCTGCCCGCATCTTTGCTTGTCTTTGTGCAGCCAGGATTCGAGGGTCTTCGTGTTGCGCTCTGTCACACCAGACAGTGCCCTTTTGCTTACGCATCAACGCTACGTAGGATGTGGGCGAGACGGAGGAGTTGCTCCGCGATGAAGTCGAGCGTCTGACTCCGCTGGTCGTGCTGTACCCGGAGTTGGTAGGGACCCGCTGGAGGCCGGCGTTGGGGTTGGCGTTCGTGTTGGTCGAGGATGTGGACGAGGTTGCATTGGAGAGCGTTCGGCGGGTTTGCTGACCGGAGAATGGCGGCTGTTGCTGCTGTTGCTGCTGTTGCTGCTGCTGCTGGGTCATGCTGTACGCGGGCGAGATGTTGTTCGGCGAGGTGGTGTTGTCGTTGAAGGGGATTGCGTTGGACGAGTTGGTACGTGTCCGACCATGCAGTCGGTCGTGCTGGCCGTACTGCGCAGGCGGCTGCTTGGGTTGCATCGTGAAGGAAGCAGGCGCGGGAGCAGGCTGGGGTCGGCCTGGCACCGGTTTCCGCGCGGGCGGCGCGTTCATGACCAGCGCGGACATGGTTTGTGGTGTCGCAGGCGATGTTTGCGTTGCGAGGTGTGCGTGCCGGCGTTTCGCGGTGAACAATGGGCACTGCGGGGTTGGGAGGGATCGCTGGGCGGCTGGGGAGGAATCGCACGTTTCTTCGTCCAGCTCGCGGTGAGGGCGTCGAGGGGAAATATGCAGCTGGCGTATCTGGACACTGCAGCGCTGGTGGTGGTCGAGCCGGGGTCAAGGCGCACCTGCATGCATCGACTATGCAGCTGCTGCAGGATGCCGTGCGAATGAGGCGCTCGGGCGGGGCGGTGGTGGGTATGGAGCCTTGATTGCGCACCGTCGATAACAATATCGCAATCGCTGCGCAGCGAGATGTGTAGATAATAGTGGGCAGATATGGAGGGAGGAGAGACGAGCAGGCGCGAAGTCCGAGATAATGTCGGTCCAGCGCTCCACTATATTACGGACGTCTCATGCAAGGATGGTGAGAGGCTTTCAGACTGGATTCTGCTGACAAGACCGTTAGCCCATGCTCACGCCGTTGACCACTGCCGTCTGCAGCACTGATTAGTCGCAGAGAGGGACGATGGACGACGTGCTTCTATCGCCAGCGCGGGAAATATTGCGAACACGCTACGATTGCGTAGATGATGCCGGCCAAGACGCGGCCAATCAGCGAAGGGGCTTGGGACACTCACCACTCCGCTCGAGCTCGAAATGGGGTCTTCAACCAAGAGCCAGCCAGACGCCTCCAAAGTATCGCGGTGGTGGCCGGAATAGCTAGCCCAATCTCACCCAAGTCGAACGATAGGAAGAGACGTATTCGTATGGAGGATTTCGATAGCCGTCGTTGCCAACCAGCGGCAGAGGGGTCATCAAAGTGGTGAACGACAACTTATACCTTGCAGGCTGACGAGCTACTTCTGCAGGACGAGCACACCGTGCTGCAGCGTTCGTGCCTATATCCGTCCTCCTAATAGCAGCCACGCTATGCGGAGACGAACAGGATCGGCCACACGTCATGTGTGATGGACGGGATGCAGACACAATACGAGACGCTCGCCGTCGCCTCCCAATGAGCGCGCGTTACACCTCGATGCCACCGATGGCCAGCGGGACACGAGCCGCCGCTGAAACGTGGGAAACCCCCCCCGATACATGCTCTGCTCGTCATCTGGTGGGGACCGTCAGACGGCGCTGCTGGCTGCAGCAGCTGGAGTGAACTCTGTCCCAGATCGTCTGCGGCTCTGCGACTTGCTATCGTCGATGGCCGTCGCAGCTTGGATGTATTGCAGGATCCTGCTTGATCCTCAAACAACGCAGTCATCGTTCTCGACCTCGACCGACCGTCCAACAGCTATACCACTCGTCGGCAGCTGTGATTGGAGCTGTCGTATGATGGAGGATGCAAATGCCATTGACTTCGTTAGATCTCAACGACTCGGTTGTCGGCTCAGCCTTCCAAGCACGAACTCTGTTACGCCGCCACTGTATTTGGCAGCGAGCTCCCCCCCAAAAAGATATCTCCCGCCGAAACAAGCTGCACGCTCGCTTGTCTGTCCTACACACCATCTTCTCTAAGATAGCTTTCGGCTCTGTGCAGTATCTCGCAGCTGTGGTCTAACGACAATCTTCCATCTGGCATCTTCGTCTAGCAAAGCGAGATCTCATGACGTACTGTTCTCGAAAGTCAGGGTCTATTCTAGGGGGTGCTACTGGGAAAAACGGCTACTATTTGGAGAGCTCGCATTCGCCGGATGCAACCTCTTTTCCTCTCCCGAGCCGGCTTCAGACACCGTTGCACGAGCTGGTCGCCGCTGTTACGAGATGTCAGCCAAGAGTGGTATGGTGCCTTTTCTTTGCACTTCCTTTTCGTGTCTCTGCAGTCCCAGGAACCGTTCGAACCCTCTGTCAAAGCCGAGTCGTCGGGACTGGTTGCTGCACAGCATAGCCATCGCCGCCGTATACATGACACTGCGTCATGCACGCTATAGGAGGGTTGAGATATCTTCGTCCATCTCCACTGCAATTGCCACGCGTCTGAGCGATCGCTTTTAGAACGAGTCGGACTGTTTCGACCCGGAGAGGCCGACTGAATATTTTCGACTTCTGGAATATCGAGAAGAAAAGGCGCAGAGAGTCATGCCTATTCTTCGGGCCGCTAGCATTGGGGATATTCTTGAAACAAGAGTATTCTGATCGTCATGTCGTCCAACGTCGTGCGAAAGCGTGGAAGGAGCGAGTCATCAAGAATGCCTTTACGGACCTCTTGTCACTCTCGCCGCCTTGATGTCCCAACAACATCTTGGACTATTCTCAAGATGAAAACACAACGGCCCTGCTCACCGAAGCAGACTCAAGTCGTATATACCGATCGTGACATCTTGTCGGGAGGTGTAAAGAAGCAGTCAATATCGGAGGCCAGCTTCAACATCGTGGCTACGAGTGTCGACAAACCACAACTCGGCTCTTATCTATTCTCTGCCCATGGTCTACTCCGTGATTTGCATTTTCTCCCATTCTAGTCACTCAATCATCTTGATCGGTGGCCATGCTCTCAGGCCGAAGACTGCGGTCCAGTTCACGTTGGTCCGTCACATCTCACATAATAGCTAACATTCGCAGCAAGAGACCATCTATACAGCCCCGTCAATCCCTGCCTTTTCGCCCTCTGGGTGCGAGTTACGGACCGGGCAGAAAATGCGAGTCTCGGAGACATGGCCATGGCGATCAGATGATTGGCACTGACTAGCTATGAAATTGCAAGAAACAGAACCATTACAGCTCGTGAGTGTCATTCTCGTGGACTGGCAATGGCTCGTGCGATCAACGGCGTTGTGCAGACCACTGGTATGAACCAGAGCGGCTGAACGCCGAACATGGTTGTGGGGCAGCTGAACGAAAAGGCCCTTGTTCGTCCTTCATGCGACTACTGTCGAAGGATTCGATGACAGTAGGGGACGTTTACATGGGTATAGACTTCACTTCTTCAAAAAGACAACTACACCACGTTCGCACTTGTTATTCCACTAATCATTCACAGTTTGCTCCAGCGCTTCAATAAATTCCCAACACAGTAACACCAACAGTCAACATGGGCAGCATAGAGACCCCCAAGTTCACGATTCCTTCCGCCAACAGCTCAGAACTGAAAGTTGTCGAACCGAAAGACACACGCTCCGATCAAGAAATCCTCGAAGCCCTCAGCCAACATGTCCCCGTCACATCAGAAAAGAATGTATGGGCTTTCTGGGACAAAGGCATCAGGAAGATGCCCGGATGGTGCCAGAGGAACGTTATCAATTGGGTCCGCCTAAACAGCACCAGCAGCAACCCTTGGACTGTCCGTGTGGTCGATGCGATTCCAACTTCACCAAACTACGCCTTGAACTTCGCAGACGGCAGTCTTCTACCTCAAACTTTCGTTCATGGCAACATGCAAGGGCCGTATATTGGACCACATTCGGCGGATTTCCTCAGAGGAGCCTTGCTTTATACACACGGTGGAGTGTTCATGGATGTGGGAAATATCTTGTTCAGGGATTTGGATCGTATCGGTTGGAAAGAGCTGGAAGATCCTGCTTCGCCGTACCAGATTTGTACGCCGATAAGTGAGTTCAATTTGCGAAACACAAAAGCAGAACAAACCTGACGATATCCTCCAGTGTACGGCCAAGTAATAGCGAACCACTTCACCATGGCCCGAAAAGCAAACCCCTTCATCAAACGGTGGCACGACCTCTTCATCTCCTTCTGGCAAGGCCGAACAGACCACAAAGGCATCATCGCCAACCCGCTCCTCGAATTCGCCACGAAGCTCGATTTCAGCGACGGCCAAGCCTCAGACTTCCACTGGGATTTCAAAGTCGACGCCCAGACCGTCTTCGAATACATCAGCCAAGTGCTCGCCTGGGTCCGTCTGACCATGCTCGAGGACGCCGGCGACGGCTTCAGCTGTACCGACTACTGGCAGCACAACGTCCTGGTCTTCAACGCGCTCCAGGAATGCTGGGGCGCGGAAGCCACCGTCGGGTTCAATGGCGAGAAGAAGTACCGCCTCCTCTCGACCCGAATCGACAGCGATCCCAGCTCCGAGGATCATCAAGAGGCTGAGAAGCTTGTGTGGAGGCTGTTGACCAAGTCCAGTCTGCAGAAAATCACCCACGGGAAGCATCTGACCAACGACACGCATTTGGGGATTTTGTGGGATGAGAATGAGGGGAAGGATGTTGAGCCGGGGACGTTTGCGGAGCTGTTGAGGTATGGGGCTACGCGTTTTGAGCAGACGAGGGGGGACATTGTGAGGATGGAGGCGACCAAGCCGGCGGTGACGATGAAGAAAGGAGTCTTCGAGCCGTGAGCTTTGGTGGATGAGGTGACGCGGTGGTGATGGAGGCTGGCAATAGATTTAGTTAGAATATAGGAAGGAGGGATTGATGTTTGAATACATCGACACTTTCCCCTGTCTGGCTTTGCTCTTTCCTTGCTTTGAAACCAACGCCTCCGTTCCCTTCACTATCCATCTCACCCTCCTTCGACAACAACAACTACACATACACACCACATCCCCAGAAAACATCCCCATCCCCACATTCCTCCCCACCAACCATCAACCATGGAAGAACCCACCCTCCTCCTCGACTCCGGCGGCAACCCCCTCTTCGCCCCCATCTACTTCTAGCGCGAAGAAGACCCCATCACCGGCTACCTCTCCCCCTTACACGCCAGCCCCTTCCGCATCGACACCAAAACCTTCACCTCCCTCGAACAATACACCGCCTACTGCGAAGCCCTGCTCCTCGCGCGGACTAGCGCCCAAGACCTCGAGTCCATCTGCGGGACCGACAGAGACGCTATCAAAAGGGAGTTTGACCGGAGGCAGCTCTTGCCGGGCGCGGTGCTGGGCAGTGCGAATCCGGGGGAGGCGAGGGAGATTGTCAAGGCGGTGAGGTTTGTGGGTGGGCAGGAGGGCGTGTGGGAAAGGGTGAGGTTTGGGGTGGCGGTGAAGGGGTGTTATTGCAAGTTTCGGCAGAGTGAGGAGTTGAGACGGAGGTTGTTGGATACGGATCAGAGGGTTTTGGTGCAGGCTAATCCGGTGGATGGGTGGGTATTGTGGGGGTGTGAGGGTGTTGATTGTGATGGCTGATGGCTGATGTTTGTGTAGGATTTGGGGGATTGGGTTTTTGGCGCATGATGCTGGGAGGAATAGGCATCGGTGGGGAGGTATGTGTTTTGGAGTGAGGATGCAGGATGATGTTGACGTGATGCAGAGAATCTCCTTGGAAAGGCCCTTATGGAAGTCAGGAAGCAATTGCAGAACGAGAAGATGAAGGAGATGCTGAACGTGGAGGTCATGGAAGTGGAAGACGAGACCACCGAATAAGTCGCAGTCATAGATGACACTCAACAGAACACTCACTGATCATCTTCCAAACCAACCATCTTCAACGAGTCCCTCCACAACCTCCCCTCCTTCTCCTCATCATACGCCCACTCCTCATACCCATCATCCCCGACATACATCGGATTCTCCTTATGCTGAAACGCCTTCTGCTCCACACAATCACTCAAATACCTTCCCCCTTTCTGCTTCCACTCCTCACTCACCGCGGCATACACACTCGTCGCCGCGCCCTGCTCCACACTCTTCATATACGCCTCCTGCTTCTTATCCAACTGAAACCCCGCCGGATCGACATGTTTCTGCAAGCCCGTCCAAATCCCGCCCGGGTGCAAGCTCGTGCTGTGCAGGTTGCGAGAGCCGTACCGCCGCTCAAGTTCGTTGGAAAAGTAAATGTTGGCCGTTTTGGCTTGCCCGTAGGAGACCCAGGGGTTGTAGGACCCGGGCGTGGAGAAGTTGTAGTCGTCGAAGCGGACTTCGCCCGTGCGGTGGCCGAAACTCGAGACAGAGACGACGCGCGAGGGAAAGGCGGGGGTGGCGGAGGCGAGGAGGGTGTCTTTTAGCAGCTGGAAGAGGTAGAAGTGCCCGATGTGGTTCGTGCCGAATTGTGTTTCGAAGCCGTCTTGAGTTTTTCCTTCGGGCGTGGCCATGACGCCTGCGTTGTTGATTACGATGTTGAGGGTTTTGGTTTGGGAGAGGACGGCCGAGGCGCCCTTTTTGATTGAGGACAGGCTGTCCATTGACATTTCTATGAGGGTGATTTTGCCGCCGGAGGGGTTTTGCGATTGAATTTCGGAGACGACTTGTTTGCCTTGGGGAAATAAATGTTAGAGGGAGGTGTGGTATGGGAAGAGAGGTGGAAGGACTCACCCTTCGCAACATCGCGGACTGTGCCAAAGACGTGTCCTCCAGTGGCGTGTAGAGCTCGAAGGGTTTCGACGCCGATGCCTGATGAGACTCCCGTCACGAGGAAGACTTTGTCTGAGAGCTTGCCGATGAGGTCTTCGTCTTTGATGATCTGGAGGGCGGTTGGTCGGGCATCGCCTGGACCGGCGTAGTTTGCGTGGGCTTCGGCGTAGCGAGACATCTTGTCGTTAATAAGAACTGGCAATTTGATGGAATGCTTTCTTCTTCTCGAGATGGTTTGATCGACGGGCGAACTGATGAGATTCGAACAAGAAGCAGAAGAACAGGAAAGAAGGATACTTATACCGCCCACCTACCTTGCAGCGTACCAGAATTTGTCTGGTGCTCTCGGACTTTGGATCCGTCAGGATGTCTTGTCGCCGTTCACCAAAAGCATTGCCCTTGTCCCTGCTCGGTGTTTTGTTAGATTCCAGCTGCTAGACCTTGCAACCCTATGCCGCCAAACGGACATCACCAGCAGTGCCCTAGAGCGCCAAGGCCGTCCCCTTCTCTCGCTGAGTCAAGAATGCGGCCGCATTGCCAGCGTCGGCCGAGTTGCTGAGACGTCAGCTTGGCGTTTGTGCAGGGGGGTTGCATAAAGTTGGAATTTTGTGAAATGCATAGGGGATTTTGGCGGCATGTGGGTATAGGGGTCTGGGCATAAGGTGGAATTGTTTAGTTTGAGGATTGTGAAATGGCATGGGGGAGAACGAATACGCATGAAGCGTCATTCCTCATCTTTCTTGGGCTAAAGGTCGATGTCAAACCCCTAAATCCACGGCTGCGACCGTGATGCAGTCCCAAACCCATTGAAGAGCCGTGCTGCAACTGAAGACCGACTTGACACGACCCCTCCTGCTCATCGTCGCTGCTTGCGTTTCACCTCATGCTTCCTTCACAAGAAAACCGTCGTGGCGAGAAGACTGCGATGGTATCAACTCTGAACAATATGCGCTGTCGATCTCGACGACTTTGTGCATATGCTCAAAGATCTCAGGTACGAATCCAGGCACAGCACCGAACTCGTCCAACTCCGTGGGCGACAGTTCACGCATCTCATAGTCGTAGATCGCCTCCCAGACGAAGAAGTCTCGCAGCGGACCGTCCTTGGTGACCTGGAACGCAATCTTGGCGGCTTCGACCGTGACCGGACACTTCTTGACCAGATTGATCAGACCAATCATCGCGAGGTTCGGCAGCTTTGGCATCAGGTAAGCGTCGCCGAAAGACCAGAGCTGAACGAGCGCGGTCTGGAACTCGGCGGCACGAATCTTCGCATCCTCTCGGCTCGCCGGCTTCGGGAACTCTTCGAAGATAGCACCGAAATCTGGAATGTCGAGCTTGGTGATGTAGTAGAGGAAAAGGCGAAGGGTCTGCTCATCGCATCCAGGGAGGTGCAGTACTTTCTCAGAGGTCTCCTTGAAGCCGCCGTCCAAGGCCTTGCGAAGGTAGTCGGAGGCGCTGCACAGCAGTGCTTTGGAGATGGAGAAGCGTCGAGTGCTACCCTCGAGAGCGACTGCGATCTGCTGGTCTTCGACAAAGGAGCTGTGTTGTCGTTAGTACGACGTGTATGCCAAAGACGACCCGGGTCCACTCACTTAGTGTGCTGTATGACCTCCTCCATGATGTATTGCTGCGAAGTTGGACGCAGCTGGTGTGGTCAATCGCTCGTTGTTTGCGGATTGCGAGTGTTGTCGAATGAAGGAGTTGGCGAGCAGCTGTGAAGTTGAGCTTTGTAAGTCATCACATGCCTCGTGCGGGCCTTCTTGCTTTTGCCGCGTTCACATGCAAATATCACCTGCCCGATCACTTCACTCTGAAGCTGAGACAAGGTGTGACTCTTTGATCACGGAAAGAACAACAAGTTATTGCGTCATTTCGATCAACTCGTAAGGCCCCCGAAGATGCTGCGCTCGAGATGGACAGCAGGGCATGTTTTGGCGACACAAGCAGCCATTCCGGCCACACTCTTCGATCGACATTGTCTGTGCCAGTCGTCAAACTGCGTCGCAAACGCCGATCTCACCTGCACCGCGTTCACATTCCAACGCAGTCCTAGCAGTGCGTAATTTCCAAAATCCCCTCTTCAATTATCCTGACTAGTGCTGAGACACACTACAACTCTTTCCTGGTGAAATGGTCTTCAGCAGCCGTGTTAACCAACCATGTAAGACTTACGCTCTCTTTGAAGAGATGGACGACAAGGCTTCGATTTATGACACAAGCAGCCCCTCCCACGACACTCTTCGATCGAATTCAGCATCATGCTCATGAAACCCGGTATGCCGCCCAGCAATGTCAAATCGTCCTCGTCATAGTAGCTGCTTCTCCAGTCGTTTGCCGCCTGCTTCACGCAGAAGTGCGCCAGGAGATCTCTGCCAGACACCTCGAATGTAACATGGGCCGCTGCCGGCTGTAGCCTGTGGAACATCAAGAAGTCACACAGACATTCCATTGTCTCGTTCTGCAGCCGTGGGAGTAGGTACGCCTCGGCGAAGCCCCACAGCCTGAATAGCTTGATCTGATGATCGATTGCAGCTTTCAAGGCGATGTCGCTTTTGGCGCCGTGCTTGACGTATAGGATTGATTGGGCTTCTCCGAAGCACGGAAGGGTTCTGCGGTAGAGCCAGTATAGAAAGAGTTGTAACGTGGGGGTGTCGCAGCCGGGAAGTCGTAGAACACGCCGTTCAGTCTCTGCATAGTGACCCTTTAGAGCTTTCTGGAAGTACTCGGACGCCTGAATGAGAAGGGCTCGCGGGACTAAGAAGATCTCGTCCGAATCCTGCGGCTGTATGGTGATCATCTCATCCTGCTGCAATGACCTGGGAGATTGCTGTCAGCAGTCGAAGTCTGGAGAATGAGGTAACTCTGCGAACTCGGTGAAGTGAGTGACTTTGTCCATTTTGCGAGCTCGAGTTTGTGTTTTGTAGTGATCGATGTCAATTTGATGCTGATGGAATGTTTGCGTATCGAGATGTCTCTGTTGATGAGAGGATGTTGACACTGACAGATACCATCGTGCCGTACTCATCGCCAGCAACCCTTCGTGTGGCAGTCATGACTACCAAATGAAATCGCGAGAGGAAAGACGTTCCCGCGGAAGGTGGTCTCCCTCAAACATTGTGAAGAGACATCATGTTCGCATAAATGGGCAGTCGACGTCTTTGCCATACGCAACGCAACGACTCCTTGCGGAGATCAGTCAGATTCTCCCACGATGACCCTTGTGAAAGAGAAGAGGTGGAGGTGAAGTCAACAGCCAAGAAAACGTCCCAATCAATTCCGCCCAAGCTTTGATTAAGGTTTTTGATGTCGTCTTGTGCGGGTGTACGGACCGCTGTCTCGGCCATTGACCCTCGTTAACTGCTTAGCAAACATGAGTCTTCTTCGATATATCAGCAGGTCCTGTCTGACAATGTACCCAGAATGCTCGGTCGCAGAGCACACAAAGCTGCTTCAACTGGAGGCCGCTTCTTCTCGACACCCACTGCAGCCATGGCTCGATTGAGGATCGGATATATTCCTGGTGCGGCATCAACGACGGAGAGGTAATGTTCGAAGCTGATGATCGTCCAGAGCACTTCAGCACCCCCATTGCGTTCGCGCACAAGCACTTCGGCCTCGATGCTGACTTGATACCCTTCCCGACTGGTACTGGAGCTCTCGCCGGTGCACTGAATAATCCAGACCCAAAGAAGGGCATTCAAGTCGCCGTTGGCCTGACGGAAGGCTTCATCGCTGATCTGGGCAAGAGCAAGTCCGCAGGAGAGAAGGCTGCATATGGTCTCGTTGGAACCTACGTCGAATCACCTCTCTGCTGGGCGATCTCGACCGGCGCGAAGCGCGAAGACGTGAATGATGTGAGCGAGCTGAAAGGCAAGAAAGTGGGTGTCAGTCGGATTGGCAGTGGATCATATGTCATGTCCTTCGTTCTGGGAGACCAGCGCGGTTGGCTTGAGTCCCCAGGCAAGGAGCCGTTCCCGGTCGTTCCAATTGGGGATTTCGCTGCACTCCGCAAGAGCGTGGGCGAGGATCGATCGAGCGATTTCTTCATGTGGGAGCACTTCACGACGAAGCACTTCTGGGACAACGGCGAGCTGAAGAGGATCGGGGAGATCTATACGCCGTGGCCGAGCTGGATGATCGTGGCAAGAGATGCGCAGAGTCAAGAGGTGAAGACGTTGCTGGAGAAGATCAATCAGGGCGTGCAGTACTACCGCGAGAACAAGGACGAGGCTGTGGAGTACATTACGACTGCCATGCACTACTCGAAAGAGGATGCGCATGAGTGGATGAAGACTGTCAAGTTTGCAGAGGACGTCACTGGCGTGAGTCCGAAGATGGTGGACAGCACGGCAGCGACTTTGCGTAAAGCAGGTGTGCTGAAAGACGATGCTGGAGGGAGCGAGCACATGGTGACATTGAAGAGGAAGGACTCGGACCAGGTTGCCAACCCCGCGGACGTGTAACAATGTCCTCTTGTACGACGAGTGTACGATCATACTGCTTCAACGGCCTTCTGCTTTCCACCAGCCGATATCAGATCCAAAAATCCTTGCTTCGACATCTCGTTCACTTTCTCTTCCCTCTTTTGCATGCCCACCACTCCCTGCGCCCTGGCATCTTTCATGGCCTCCTCTGCCTTGACCTGCGCTGCTCTCACAGCATTGAACAGCCTCACCACACCTCTCTGCGCCGTCTTCTTCAGCCTCTTCTCCTGCTCCATAATCGCTCCAGTATCCACATTGGGCGTCTGTAGTCCCAACACATCCTTTATCCTCCCCTTCTCCAGCGCCTGCTTCTTCTCCGCCCGAATCTGCGCTCTAGCTTTCTGCTCAAGCTTCGAATCTGCCAGCGACTTGTTCGCATCCGCCGCGGATTTACTTCGTGAGAGGACAGGGTCTTGTCGTTTTGCGGTGCTGAGTTTGGTGTCGAGGATTTTGGATATGCTGGTCGCGAAAGCGGTGGGGTCGTTGCGCTTCTTTTTGGATCGCGCGGCTTGCGAGGACGTCATGGATGCTTCGCTGTCGGAGGGGAGGTCGTCGACATCGTCCTCTTCCTCTTCTTCTTCGTCTGAGCCTGCTTCGAGGTCTGGCTCGTCATCTTCCTCCATTACCTCGTCGTCTTCGCTGTCTTCTGCTTGTAATGCATTAAGCGCGGTGTTCTTCTCGAGCTCGTCGACTTCTGCCTCATCATCTTCATTGTCATCGTCGTCCTCTTCAGGCTCAGATTCTTCCTTGGGTGCCGGCGCTTGCTTCAAAATCGATTTCGGTCTCGATGCGATCTTCGTCTCAGGCTTCGAGACGGTCGCCGCCTTCATAGAGAACTTTGGTTGTACTCTAGGCGCATCTGATGCCCTCTGCTGTCTCGGGACTGCAGATTCTTCATCTTCATCCTCGTCCTCTGAAGAGCTGTGGTATCTTGCCTGCTTCTTGAATTTTCTGATCTTCTTCTTCGGCCGCACCTCATCCTCCACTCGTCGTCGCTTCCCTGCGATCGGTGCCATGTTCGACGATGTCCTGGACTGTATTGTCACTGAATTTGATTTTTGGCGTTGCGGTTGTATGTTGAGGCAGAAATCTCAAGTGCTCGGAATTTAAATCCCCACGGAGATTGATTAGGTTTGATACAAAGCTCTGCCGAAGCCGAAAGGAACCTTGGTGACGTTCAGAGCTTCTCTTTCACCACCCACGCATCTTCTCACCTTCAGACTTGTGCGATTTGACTGGTCGAGCAACAATGCCTTCAATCAATCGCTGTGTACCAGCCCTGCGGCGGCTGCGACTCGCCAACAACGATTTCCAGCAATCCTCTCGTCTTCGCCTTCAAGCTGCTCGCTCCGCCTACCAACCGTTACAACGAAGATGGCAACACGCCGAAGCCGCAACCGCCTCGTCGAATGCCGACGAAGGCCCTCCACCTTCAAGATCAGGTCTCAGTCAAAGCAAAATCAAATTCACAGCAGACTCATATCCCGACCTCAAGCGAGACTCCCGGTTCAAAGAGATCAGCTCAGAAGATGTCAAGTTCTTCAAAGACGTGTTAGGCGCCGACAATGCGATTATCGATGGCTACAGTCAAGATGCGACCAGCGATTTGGAGGCCTACAATGCGGATTGGATGCGCAAATATCGGGGGCAGACACGATTGGTATTGAAACCGGATTCGACTGAGCAAGTCAGCAAGATCTTGAAGTACTGCAACGATAACTTGATTGCTGTCAACCCTCAGGGTGGAAACACTGGACTGGTCGGTGGCTCGGTACCTGTCTTCGACGAGATCATTATCAATCTGGGGCGGATGAAGAAGATTCGGTCGTTCGACGATGTCTCAGGCATTTTCGTTGCTGATGCTGGAGTTGTTCTCGAGGAGGCCGATAACTACCTTGCAGAGCATGGACACATCTTCCCACTGGATCTTGGAGCCAAGGGAACATGTCAGATAGGAGGCAATATTGCGACCAACGCCGGTGGACTCCGACTACTCAGATATGGAAGCTTACATGGGAATGTATTGGGCATTGAAGCAGTGTTACCGGATGGTACTATCGTGGACGACCTAAGCAAGCTTCGCAAGAACAACACTGGATACGACTTGAAACAGCTTTTCATTGGTGCTGAGGGCACCATCGGCATCGTCACTGGAATTTCGATAATCTGCCCGCAAAGGAGCCCCGCAGTAAACGTGGCATACTTTGGACTGGAATCCTACGAGAAAGTGCAGGACGCATTCAAGGAAGCCAAGAAGCAACTCCAGGAAATCCTGTCTGCATTCGAACTCATGGACTCGGAATCACAAAAACTCTACAACAAAGCGTCAGGCAACAAACTCCCACTGGAGAACGAGCACGCATTCTACTGTCTCATCGAAACCTCGGGCTCTAACACTGACCACGACAGTGAAAAGCTCAATGCTTTCTTGGAGCATGTCATGGGTGAGGAGATTGTCGAAGACGGTGTGGTGGCGGAGAATGAGACGCAATTGAAGAATCTGTGGGCTTGTCGAGAGGGTATCTCAGAGGCCAGTCAGCACTTTGGAGGCGTCTACAAGTACGATCTGTCAATTCCACTCCCTCAACTTTACGACCTCATCGTAGAGTGTCGACAGAAGTTCCAGGAGAATGGCCTCATGGATCCAGAGGACGAGTCCAAGCCAGTATTGGACGTTGTGGGATATGGTCACATGGGCGACGCGAATTTACATCTGAACGTTGCAGTGAGGAGATATGACAAAGCGGTTGAGAAGACTCTCGAGCCTTGGGTGTTCGAATGGGTGAAGGAACGCAATGGCAGCATTTCTGCCGAGCATGGCCTTGGTCTCGCGAAGAAGCCCTTCATTGGGTACAGCAGGAGTGAGAATATGATCAATTTGATGGGGCAGATCAAGAAGCTTTACGACCCGGTATGTGTACTGTGCGTCCTACATTCAACCAGACCTGCTAACATCTCTCTAGAACGGCATCATGAACCCTTACAAATACATATAGATCAAATGCGCATAGCGTCGTTCAGACGTCGACACTCTCAAGCTCTTGCAGTCTTCCTTTCAGCCAGCCGGATAACGCAACGAACATTCTGTCATTACTGAATCTTTCACAGAACTTCAACATACTCCGCGCCCATGTCGCCTCGTTCGTTCCAGTCGCCATCAGAACCTTTGCCAAATCGACAGGACACAGGTATGGCGGTTGACAAGCGTCTTCTGTCAGGCCAGCGGTGCCTTGCATGATGCAAGCGTAGTACACGCAATGATCCATACCAAAACAATGGCCGAGCTCATGCGACGCAGTTTTGCACAGTCTCCCGAGCCACAGATTGCGAAGTTCATCGCCTGTCGTTGGCGCAGGTAGAGACTGCCACGCAGCGACAGCTTGACGGAGAGGCGATGAGTCAGGATTGGTTGTCTTCTTCGCCTTGTTCCTGAGCACTGTCTTCTCATCTGCTTCTCGACAGGACGCATCAACATAGTCTCGACAATGCGAAGCCGGCCAAGGATGCTCTCTCTCGATCTCCTGCAAGTCGTCCAACGCAGGATTGTACCTGGCCGTCGACACTACAGCGACACGACTACCGCCATACGCCCTACCACAACAAAAGTCGTCCTCCTCATCCTCGTACAGGTCGTGATCGACCAGCATTAACAGAGCATATGCGTCTCTGGGCAGCATGGCGATCGCGGCGTCGAGCAAGTCGTTGAGGTTCAGCTGACCGGAGAAGATCTTGTCCTTGGAGGCGCGGTTACGAATGCCGACGATCTGCGAACCGATGTTGAGGCCAACGTACTTCGGTGTCGCCGTGGAGCTCTCTCGTGAGGTTTCATCCCAAGGCCCAAACTGGAGTCTGGGTTTTGAGAGAAGCTTTACTGGAAGCCCGTGATAGAAGGCTTGAAGGTACTGGAGGACATCATCCGCCTTGGGGTTATCAACCGATGATCCCGGAGACACCTTGCCAGGTCTCGCCCAACCATCTACAAACGCAGCCGACTTCGACACTGCGGGTACAGGCACAACGTAAAGCGTTCGACGCTCGTCGGTCACCTCATTCCTGTATGGCTCATCGATCCACGATTTGAGACTCTGCGGCTCGTACTCTGGGTCGAAAGACAGCTCATCTCCAGGCAAAACCAGAGGAGCAGGGAACGTGGAGGGCGATGGAACTATTCGATCTTGTTTCTTTGGTGCTTTGCCTGAGGGTTGGGCGGCGGCTAGCAGCTGCAGAGGAGATGGATGTTTGTATCCGACCGTCTTGGCGTTGTCGGAGGGAGTGAAGACGAGGGTGTCGTGTTTGCATGGAGGCATGATTGTTGATCTGTAAAGTGGGCATGGATTGGACTTTTATATTCGACGCAAATAAATAGGCAGCGAAGGGGATGGCCGTTGCTATCGATAAGAAGTATCACGTGCCGCTTGGCGCGAACAGATCTCCGACTGGGATTGAAGAACCTTGGAAGGTTCGTTGCAGCTCACGTATGCACGACCGCGACTTCACATGCCAATTTCAACAACTGGGCATTGTCAGTCTGCTACGACACGCTTGCCAAACGTATTACCAGTCTGCACAATTGCGCGGCGTCGGCAAGCAGCCACATCTCAGGTTTGGCCAAACATTTCATACCTCGCTCGTGTGATCCCTACGTGTTTCTCGCGTGATCCCTACCTCTGACAGCAAGCACGACTACCAAGTCCGAGTCACTCACGGCCTCACAGCAACCTTCACTGCGACTGACCACAGAGCATGCGCGACCGTCAAGCCCACGAGGCCGTTTCCTTTGTTACGATCAACGACTACCTTCCCCCGTAACTTCGAGCGTACCCACACCACAATGGACAACACGGTCCCTTGGTCGGACTCCTCATCTTCGGGATCGAGTTCCAATGCGCCAATGCTGGATGCTTCAGACCAAGACCGCCAACATGTCCCGCTACAACGCCGATCGAGACCTTCCACCGAGTCTGTGCGAACCTCGCCCCTTCCCAGTGCGCGGCCAAGCAGGAGCGAGGATATCAGAGCGCAGGAGGAAGGGGACATCATGAATGACGAGCAATCCCCGTTGCTGCCACCGCGACGGAGCGACGATGGGATGATCTCGCAGCTTGGTCAGATCATGAGTTCCGGGGATAACAACGACTTTCAAGAATCGTGGCATCAATACGAAAACATGGATCATCCGAAGAGGGGCGTGTGGTATCTGTTCTGTCTGACAGCTTGTTTCTTCGGGTAAGTGAGCGAAGACCGAGTCGCGTTGGATATCAGCTGATGAAACTCAGTCTTCAGGTCGCATGGTCGGTCGAGCAGTCCGAGATCTCTCCATTCTTACTGGAGCTCGGCATATCAAGAGGTGTCATGGCGATCATATGGATAGCTGGTCCACTGTCAGGTGTACTGGTGCAGCCATATGTCGGAATGAAATCGGACAGATGTCGATCAAGATTCGGAAAACGACGCCCGTTCATGGTCGCTGGAGCAGTCGCTACCATCGTCTCGCTCATGGTGCTGGTATGGTCGTTTGAGATCACTCGTGGCGTACTATGGGTCTTTGGCGTCCCGAAAGAGAGCAACACGACCAGGGTGACCGCCATCGTGGTCGCCGTCTTGATGTTATACGTCCTGGACTTCAGTATCAACGTCCTCCAAGCATCAGCTCGAACCTTCGTCGTCGACAGTGCACCGGCGTTTCAACAGGATATCGCGAATGCATGGGCCAGTCGAGTCTCTGGTATCGGAGATATCATAGGGTTTACCTTCGGATACCTGAATCTTGGTCAATATTTACGCGCTCTCGGTGACAGTCAGTTCAAAGACCTGGCGTTTCTCGCGTCTATGGCGCTCATCATATCGACGGCAATCACCGTCACGATCAAAGAACGAGGTTCATCCCCGCGAAATCAAGACCGACCACGCCATGAAGACGATGAACGAGCCTCTTGTGGAGGGGGAGATTCCGGGGATGATCGACAGAAACAGACGCTTGCCGGGTCATTCAAGGAACTCTGGCACGTCACCCGTCGACTGCCACCCCAGATCAAGAAGATCTGTTTTGTGCAGCTCGCGGCTTGGATTGGTTGGTTTCCGATACTCTTCTACACCTCGACATGGATCCGAGATCTCTATATTGCGCCTGTTCTCCGGAAACACCCTGACGTACCAGCAGACGATCCATCTCTCTCGGAGCATGGTACAAGATTGGGGTCGCTGGGATTACTCGTCAAAGCGGTAGTTACCCTCACCTGCAGCGTGGCCTTCCCCTGGATCGTGCGGAAAGTTCACCTGCTCACCCTCAAGCGCATCTGGACCGCATCACATGTCATCTTCGCGGTGTTAGCGGGCCTCACCTTTCTCGTGGACCGGGTGAGATCAGCTATCCTCCTTACCGCGTGCATGGGCGTGCCCTGGGCAATCACCTTATGGGTGCCATTCTCACTTATCGCGGCCGAGATGAAGAAAGACACGCGAAGCGAGAGTGACGCGGGCGCGATCTTAGGCATCCACAATGTGGCTATCGCGGTACCTCAGGTCATCGCGATACTGGCGAGCAGTGCTATCTTTCAGTCCCTACACACTGAGGCTGGCCAGGCGGATCCGGACAGTATTGCGTGGGTATTCAGATTTGGAGGGGTGATGGCTCTGGTGGCTGCTGGGTTGACGTGCAGACTGGAGGACAAGGTGGAGGAGGGTTGATATTCTTGGACTTCCTACGTAGGCTTGAATATGAGATTCATCCCCGCTGCAGCACTCATCACAAGCTCTCCGATTCGTGTTCTGTCGGCATGATAGGTCTGAAGCTGATGGGGATATGCTCCTGAAATCTAGGCACTGCGTTACTATGAGTACCGGTCCAAGGCTCGAATATGACATGGAACCCGGCTGCGGAATATGGCATCCATCCACGTTGCAGCACTCATCACAAGCTTCCCAGTTCGTGTTCTGTTCCCACGGTAGGTCTGAAGCTGATGGGGATGTTTGGACCAGTGCTAGCTTCATGACGCCTCGTGCTTTGCCATGTTGAAACCCCTTAAATATAACATCGATCCCCGCTGCAGCACTCAAGACTAGCTCTCCGATACATATCATGTTCGCACGGTAGCTCTTAGCCTAATAGGGATATTCTTCCTGAGATCTACTGCGTTACCACAAGGACCGGAATATCATCGACGTGACGTTGATGCTTGAGGGGGATGAGTCGTAAGTTATGGATTCAATGGAGATCCTGCATTGCTTCTTGTTGTCATCCCCGATACTGCATGGGTATTCCAGCTATCGATGTGGAGCGTGGTGTGGTTGTTGGAGATGCTGCTTTGGAGAGCGTCTCGTCTTTCTGATGGAGAGAAGCTTTACGGTCTCATGGCTTGTTGCTCCTGGACTGACGTTACGACTGGCAGAGGATACGTCGGTCTTGTCATTCTCTCCGACACTGCGCAGCTTTTCTTGCCATGGTTCTCGAGCAGTGTCTAAAGATCGAGACATTGCTTTGGAGAGTAACTCGACTTTCATGATGAGAAGCTTCATGGTCGTAGATCGCCAGCAGCAATTCATCATGTTCTCACAGCCTTGTCACTCAATCTGACTCTGGATATGACCAGATCACCTTGTTACGAACTATGAAACACACACTTCCCTCACCGTTCTGCTCAAAGTGGAACATCCATCCCAATGCTACCCTATGGAGTAATGGGTTCTTGCTACACTTGGCAACCCGATCGCTCCTATAATTGTGGAGAGATTACATGTATCTTGCGTGCATTCCTCTTCGAGCGAAACAATGAGACATAAAAGAGGGCCAGCTGACCTCGTCGATCTTTACCGTCTTGCGTTAGACCGTCCCAAGCGAATCATACACAAGTGAAAGTCAACCAACCGCACCTCACCTCACCTCCCCAATTCCCTCACATCACAATCCAAAAATGACCAACAAAGCACAAAATCCATCCACCAAGCAAGAAATCACCGCCCACCTCGAACACCTCTCCAACCTCTCCCTCGAAGCCGTCAACAACCGCGACTTCTCCCCGACCTCCCCGGGATGGAACTTCATGGCCCCCTCCTTCACCTGCAACATCCTCTACGACGTCAACAACGTCTACGGCGACACCACGAATACGTCCCAACGACTCCTCGATCTCGACGAGCATCTCGCGCGCTTCAAGCGCATGACGACCGAGTACCCCGAGTGGCGATTGAAGTTGCTGTCGCAGAATATCGAGGTTGATGTGGGCAAGGGGCGGGCGGAGATTTTTCATGTGCTGGAGATTACGGGGCATCCGCCGGGACTGGTGACGCAGACCGTTTTGGCGATGGAGTTTGTATGTTGGGAGGGACGGTGGTGGTGTATGCGGAAGAGGGCGGTGAGAGGGGTTGAGGTGCTGTAGGGGACTGTTCGTAATCTTTGATGGGAACCAAATGTGGCGTGGAGGGTTCGACGTGAGAGCGAAGGTGAGCACGCAGATTAAGACTGTGATGAATGCCGCTGCTGATGCTCATCCAAGCGAGATTCCGCCCTACCTTGCACGCCGATGCCAAACCAGTGATTAATGCAGCTCATACTCGTCTGCAGAGCAGTATCCTCAGATTAGATTAGACAGTGGTTAAGGGGGTTTGAAGGGAATATGTTGTCTGTGTGATTTGGTCCGGAGTCTTGGCGGGAGTGCGCTAGGGCGTTTAGCGGCGTGAGCTAGGCTGGAGGGGGAAGGTACGGGGTTGCCATGAGCATCGTGATGAGTGCTTTGCGTGTGCACAGGTTGATGTTGATGCTGTGGTAGGTCAGAGGGTTATGGCACAGTATTGTTTCTCGCGCCGTGCAGGACATTATCCGAGGAGGTTGACTACCGCGCGAGGCTAGACACCTCTGTGCTCGAGCCCAGATGTCCAAAGTCGCAGGATCTAGAGCTCGCTTTCAATTTGAGTGTTGTCAAAATGAAGACTGATCCACCTGGGTAGGGTGCCCGTTGAGTCATGTGAGATCGCTCCTTCCTCGCGCATGCTCAGTCGTGCCTTTCCTCGACTAGCCTCATCCACCGGTGAATGCCTATTTCTGAAGACGTCTGAAATCACAGACTTTCTAGACACCACATCAACCCCAGTGAGTCGTCAGAATGGCGGGGCCGGCATCCAAGCGACTCAAGTGTGTTCCTCCCGCATCACCACAACATGTCATTTGACACTAACATTCAACCAACAGGTTCGACTTCAGAGACAATGTGACTGTGCTCGTCGGCCCAAGCGACTCGGAACGAAGCTTCTCCATCCACAAAGAAGTCCTCTGCGCCCGCTCGAAGTTCTTCCGCGCCGCTTTATCTTCCGGCTTCCAGGAAGAGAAGGAGATGCTCGTGCGTCTGCCCGAGGTCGACCGGAGACATTCTGCACGTACATGCAGTGGGCATACAGCGGCCGTGTCGTGGCACTCTCACCAGAAGATCTCGCGAAGGACGACAGCGGCAGCTCGACAAGGCTGGTATACGCCGAGCTCTACATTCTCGCGGACTACTTGGAGGATACCCAACTTTGCAACACGGCTCTGAGTCTGATGATCAAGAGCTTCGTGAAGTACCGCCAAGGTCCATCACCGAAACTTGTCAGGAGAGTATGGGAGTCAACCAGGGAAAACAGCAAGATCCGCCAGCTCATTCTCGACCGGTACGTGGCAAGGGCCGACGAGGAGCGACTCAGAGCGTTTTGTGACGCCTTGCCTGCGGAGTTCTTCGTGGACTTGGCTATCGAGTTTGCGAGGGTTAAGCCTGGCGTGGCGGCTGCCGATGAGCTTGCAAAGGCTGGGAAGTACAAGTACCACGAACACGGTGATGGTGTGCCTCCTTGCAGTTGATCTGCGACAGGGTCTTGAGGCCTCTTCGATCTTCGGTGGATTTGGTGGAGGGAAAGGCTGGGTGCAGCTGGAACTTCTCGCTAGCGAATTGGTTGTTGGCCGGATTCAATGGGATTACGATGGCAATGGCAGGCATCCTCAAATACTCTCATTCCCTCCATCGAATGGCCCAATTTCCTTTGGCATACGACGGCTCCACGACCGTACCATTCATCAATGCTTCAGCTTTGCGTACCTCCATCTGTGACACTTCCACACCATCATCATTGTCCTTGCCTCTCCCTTTCGCTTTCGTCTTTGACTTAGTTCCCGCTGTCTCCCTCCTGGGCACCTCAAACCCAAACACAATCCCCCTTCTCGCCGCACGGCGAACCATCTCACGCTCTTCAGCTCGCCTTGCCCCTTGCCTCCGCTTCTCCAGATCATCTGCAGACTCCTCGATCTTCTCGGCTTTCCCTCTTTCGCCACCGACACTAAAGTTGACCTCGGACTGATCCTGCGGCGGTCGTATTCGGACTCCTCCATCAGTAGAAGGGACTGAACCTGAATCATCACCATCGTCGTCCTCACTCTCGCTCTCATGGTCCTCCCCTGACACCTCGGATTTGCTGTCTTCCATATCAACGCTCATCCACTGCGCATCCGGATCGCCAATCCACCGCTTCTTGCGATTCTTCCTTCTTCCATAGACTTTCTCAGGATCAAATCTACTCCCAAAGAAAACTTCCTCAATCTCATCGCAGGTAACGACAAGCCTCGTATCTCCTTTGACGACTTTCGACTTTGCGGCGGTCTTTTCGATGCCCGAATCCGGCTCGTCCTGGAGAAGAGCGACGATCGTCCGCTCGATCTTCCTGTCTTGGGCTCCTGGTTTTCGAGATCGGCATTTGTCTGAGCAGTACTTGATGGGGTTTTTTTGTTTCTTTGTGGCCTTTTTGGAGTCTGGCGGTGGGTTAGTGGATGCTTGGGACTTTGCTGGGTTGACGGACTCATCACTCGTCCACAAGTATGACAGTATGAGACATGTTGTCCAGAAAGGTAGAGCGGTGCTGGTACTTTTGAGTTGGCAGATGGCCGCGACCAGGAGTCCATCCACGACATGGCGGAGGAGAATGGTCGCGAGATGGTAGGTGCTTGAAAGGTGGTACGTCGTGCTGCTGTGGCAAATCTAGCAAAGGACCTGATACTTCGCATATGTACAAATTGCTTAATGCGTTGAAAGCAAGGGGATTGGAAAGGTGCTTTACTCTTGTGAGATAGGGGCGTTGGTGACGTCAATAACACCTACTAGTGATCATATGCAATCTTCGACCTTAAGATCGGCGTCGAAGGGGACGAAAGGTTGGATTCGCCTCGCTGCAGTCCAGCCATTAAAGCCTCTGGTGTAACAGCACAGACAAGTCGTAGCGAGGGCTGGACAGAGCAAAGGTGGTAGGAGGAGAGTTCGTTTGACGAGGTGAAGTCCGTCGATTAAGCTCGCCGGCGATACCGCATTGAGACTGGCTACCTCGTACATCCGCGAGCTGCTTTCACCCTTCAACTGTACGAGACGTCCGAGCCATCAACATTGTCAGGTTTCAAAACAATACATGTCCATCGAGCAGAGACACAGAACAACCGGCAAAGCGGCTTGCACAGCCATCGATAGCAAGCACCGAAGGCAGGTGTAAGAACACTTCCCCCCGGTTCCTCGTCGTCAGCTTTCCTTGAACATCCGAACTCACCTGCAGACATTTGAAAAACCGCGCAGCAGCAACTTAGAACACCACTCCCGCTCAGCTCGAAGCAAGACTCCACCATCACCGCGAACATGAAAATCGTCCTCACCGGCAGCACGGGCTTCGCCGGCGCCGAAATCCTCTCCCAATGCATCGCGCACAACTACATCGAGCACGTCTACGTCCTCACGCGGCGCCCGCTCGACGCGCGCTTCTCGCACAAAAAAGTCACGCAGATCCTGCACGAGGACTTCGAGACGTACCCGGAAGACCTGCTGCAGCGCCTGCGCGACGAGGGCGTCGAGGCGTGCATCTGGGCGCTGGGCGGCAAGACGAAGGACCTCAAGAGCTTGGATAATTCGCGGAAGGTGAATGTGAACTTCGTCGCCGCGGCGGCGGAGGCGTTCGCGAAGGGCCTGGCGCCGGCGTTGGGGCCGTATCCTGGGTATCCTGGGAAGGAGCCTAAGCCGGGCGTTGGGAGGTTTCCTTTTCGCTTCGTTTATGTGTCTGCTTGGGGCGCGGAGCATAACCAGTTTCGGAAGCTGTGGGTTGGGGACGATGATCGGAAATTGAAAGGTGCGGCGGAGAAGGCTATCTTTGCGACGGCGGATGAGTCGGAAGAGAAGGAAGGGCATAGGTGCTTCGAGGCGATTGCGTTGCGGCCTGGTGGGATTCTGGCGGGTAGTAGTGAGGCTATGGGGACGATTATCACGCAGGCGATTATCCCGAGTGTGACGAGCGGGCAGCTGGCGAGCATGGCGATTCGGACGGCGTTCAGTGGAGGCAAGGATGGGAAGAGGATTTTGGAGAATAAAGATTTGCTGGGGGACGATTGGGCAATGGTGAATTCATTGAATTGAAAAAGATCCAAGAGTTTCATTTGGTTTGGGGTGGTGTCCTGTGAGCCCTGTCTGTCTGTCTGCCATGGTGTTACAACGTCTTTGCTCGAGGCTCGTTGCAGCATTCCCAACATCCGCCAATTCGCATCCATCTATCCTCTCAATCGTCGCCATGGACCGCTCGCATATCTTGTGGAACGGAGAAAGTCTCGAACTTGGTTGTGTGCCACCTAGACGAGCGGCTGGTAGTCGCTGACATCGGAGTCCTCGGCTGCAGCTCTGTGGAAATAGTCGAAGTTGGAGACGGGCTTCTTGGAGACGGACCGGGACGCAGTGCCGGTCACCTCATCTCCGTCGTCGACGCTGTTGCGCTTGCTGAGGGGAGAGACGTAGCCGGTCGTGTTGGTAAGAGCTGGGTTGACGAAGCGCGACTCGGGGCGCGCAGAGGTGAGGATGCCATCCTCATCCTCGTCCGCATCACTCTCCGGCTCAGCATAGGCGCGGGCGGCTTTGCTGCGTCGGACAGTGGACTCCCGCTTGGGGATGTTGGTGAAGTCGATCTTCTGATCCTCCTCGGAGTCGTCCTCATCCTCGTCACTCATGCTGCGGTTCTTGCGCTTGCTAGAGGTCGGAGTCTTGGGCACAATCTTCTTGCTGCTGCTGGGAGTCGATGGCTTCAGAACACCCGCTGGTCTCGATTTGGCGGCACCTCCGGAGCCACCACCATTCGCCTTCTGGAGCTTGTTGATATGCTGGCCGATGGCGCTCGCGGTCGGCTTGGAGTCATCGTCCGCTGTGTCGATGTTAGCCTGGATCGCGAGAAAGTGATGGGGTCCAGTTACGATACTTCTCGGCCCACTTCTTGGCGACGATGTTGTAGTCGATTTTCATGCTGTCGACGATCAGGAGGAAGAGCTGCTGATCGCGGGCAGCGTCCCAGGCTTTGGCTTTGCCCATTTTGCTGGTGGTGCACGTGCTGCTGTTCGAAGTCAGTTGTGGTCGATGAGGTTGCACTGTGAAGTATCGGGATGGTCTGCCAAGGGTGTCGATGGCGAGACAGAGGTGTGACTTACTGGTATCTGGTGTCGGGGGCTGGTATGCTGCTGTGGCGATGTCAGTTGTCAAAGGTCCGGTCGATATGCGCCTTCAAGCGGCTGAAGTTGGCGAGACGTACTGCTTTCACTGGGAAAGTCTTGCTATGGGAAATGTCAGTGACGAAGACCAGTTGCGTAGTTGGAGAAGGGAATGGGGAAGGGAATGTGGTCGTCACAATGTGAATGGGGTTGATGTGAAGTCAGCTTCAGATCAAAGTGGATCAACTTACAGCTTTGAGAATATCGTCGGTGTTGAACTGGAAAGTCGCAATGCAGTTAGTCGTGTTGTTGTTGCAATGCAAGTCGAGGGGAGGCAAGTCAAGATAAGACCTTGAAATCACCAAGTCTCGCAACCTTTGATTGGCTTGTGACTCGCCGTGAAGCGTCGTGAAGTTCTGTGAGAAAGCCGTGGAAGTCGAAAGTGAACCGCACGTGCGACGAGACTGAACCACCGCCGTTTGCACCTCATGAACCAATAAGAGACACAGAATCTGCGCCTTCCTCCTCTTTCCGCCACACATGAAGCTGTCGTCGTTATGTTTCAGACACTGGGCAAACAACGCCATCTCACGACCTTTAACGAAACGTTCACGAACCTCCACATCTCCCTCGAAATTCACGCGATCTGCGTCATCCTGGGAAGTGCTTGCAGAGGGCATGGACTAGCATCGTGTCGGATAGCCAATCGTTCCGTCTGCAGATTGCTGCAAGGAAGTTAAATGGACGGAATGTTGGGGGCTTTGAGCGTTCACGGGGCTTTCACAGCGCTTCACAGAGACGGACGAAAAGCGAGTGGAGAGCAGAGATGAGACAAGTGTGTTTGATTTCATGATTCCGTGTACTCCAAAACCGCAAGTCAACTCCAGGCCGTTGTTAATGCTACATTTTCATCAAGGAGCAGTTCTAAACTACTCCAATTCGTCGTTTTCGTCGTTACAAGTTGAAGGACTTCCCTCCTCAGACGAAGCCATTGATGCCGAAGTCGTCGTCGTCGTTGAGCTGGTCGTAGCTGATCAGGCCGGAGTGCGCATCGCTGGTGAAGGAGAAGTCTTCGCCGGTGGTGAAGCTATCCAGCGCAGAGGCGAAGCCATCGTCGGACATCTCCCGCTTGATGCTGCCTTTGCGGTTGTTCTTGTTGGGGGTGCTCTTGGCGACGCGGCCGTTGGTGACAGCTGCGAGAAGTTTAGCATGTGGACATGATCTCAGGTTGATGAGGATGCATACCGCTGAGGGCTGCCTTCTTCGGAGTGGCTTTGCGCGGTGTCGATGGATTGGACTTGGTACGCGAGGGCGCGATTTCGCCGCGCTCGCCACGCTCGACTTCTTCCTTGAGGACGGCGGACTCCTTCTTGATCTTGCGGAAGCGGTTCTCGAGCGTGTCGTACGTGGTGCCGAAGTACATGGCGGTTTGCTTGAGATCGACCTGGAATATGATTAGCTTGATGTTAAATGTTCATGAGAGGCAAAAACACCTTGACGCCAGTAGCGAGGATAGCCGCGATAACACGCTGCCAGGTGGCTTGCGAGTCCCAGTCGACCTTGCCGTTGGCCATGATGTTTGTGAATGTCGGTGGTAGAAGAGAGGAGTGTCGAAAGTTGTGGATCGGTTTTGATCGCTGTCGCGAGTTGTGAAGGAGGTCGTGAGAGTCTGTTATAGAAACAGAAAGAGGAAGAAAGTTTGATGACGTGGGGTGCTTTTCAATGGCTCTGTGAAGTGTCGTGAGAAGTTGTGAAGCGCTGTGAGATTTTGTATGCAGGTCTGCCGCCTAGACGACATGTGACACAATGACAGTGAGAGGTGAAGGACATAGCAACGACTCTAAATCGTTCACTTACGGCTTCTCGCCTCTTCTTATAGTCTTACGTGACGTCTTGGTTGCTGCGGTGATGGTTGCTTGGAAACTACAGGCCAGAATCGACGCATTTCAACGACCGACAGCTTCGAAAGAGGTCACAAACAAGGTCGCACATGCAAGCACTCTACACGACATCTCACAACACGCGACGAGGCCTCAACGGCCGCGGGGGTGTCCTCCACCAAGCCAGGGCCGGTCTGTCAGGGCCAGGGCCAGCATCCTGATCTATCACTTTCGCATGCAGGTACCGGGGCCTGCTGATTCGACCGGGGTTTCACAAATGGCTGGAATAGGCAAACTCTCTGGTGAGTCACGGCCGGAACATCGATGTCGCTTCCGGCGATTCGATGGCGTGTGCTGGTGAGAATTGGAGATGGCTGGGGAGGAGGTGAAGTCGGAAACTTAATTGTCCTGACGCGGGCGGGATTTCCGGAGTTCGGCATCGACCTGGACCTGAGCCCTCTTCACGTTGCCATCTCGCAGGCTTCCCATTTCGATGGCTGGGCAGAACGAGAGAAACGGCAACCAGAAGACAGAGCCATTCGAAGAATTCTGCAGTTACTAACCCCGATGGTACTACGTTCACCGAAGAATACGAATGGCTTTGACCTCAAGCGTAACATGTCGACTCCGGGCAGCCCAGGTGGTCGTCCTATTCACACATGGCTTCGGTGCCGTCCTACTTTGGCTGTCTCTGGAGTTTGAGGTGGCTCGAATGCGGGACAAGGACTCTTGCTTACAACCGATCTCACAGCCTGGATAAGGAGCAGTGATTCCTTGGCGTGCGTCTCTACTACCGTGAGCAGGGAGGAAGTTGTATTGACGGGAAGTCGGCAGCAGAAGCGCAACGAGCGGTTTGCTGCTGCGGATGCTGGCAAGAAGACCAATCGAGTACAGGTGTCTGATGTTCGAGGCTTCTTCACTCGAACGAAACCGTGAAGCGCGAAAATTCACCATGTCTCAGCGCTTCAGAAACTCCGCCTGCAATGCTGGTCAATAACACACGCTGCATATTTACTTCTCTCGGGCCAGAAGTTCTTCAGGCACATCCCACGCGCGTGGAAGCGCAGTCTACGCTATGATTTGTAGGCACTGACAACGTCGGGATAGTATACGTGTCTTGTAGGTGATGCAGCGCAACCAGGCCGCAATGCCTCTGGAGGTATCTTGAGCCATGGCTTCGTGGTGTCGCATATGCATCGAGCTAATGTCTGGATTCGATGTCCTTAGTCTGGAAACGGCCAGACCTCCGACCATCTCCGTCTCTCCGCCCCCGTCGATGAATGCCGTGAGATGAAGTCTTCCTTAAAACATGCCATGTGCTCTTTTCCCGCCTGGTATTGCTCATGGGACACCCAGCCGTCCCAGCCACGATATCCACCCATACTCGTCAAAAATTCGGTCATCAACTCGATGCTTTGCGTCCAAAGAACGAATTGCTCATCATGGGCGGCTCTGTCCTCATCTGTGAAAGACAGCGGGCATGGGTATGCGACAGGATCATCCACAACCTGACTCCACTCTTGCTGTAGACTCATCAAGAGGTCCTGGACGAGTAGCTCGCCATCGCTGAAGATGTTCCCCGCAAGACTAGGCAATCGACCAAGCAGGCCTTGGCCAAAGCTAATAGCCCGTCTGACATCGTCGCACTGGCACAGGAGCTCGACTTCGTACAGTTTCCATAATATCTGAGCCCCGCGTAGCTTTCTAGCAGCCTGCTGGTCTTCTCTGCTGAGCTCTCCAAAGTTGTCAGGTAACTTGATGGCGTCCGCGTCAAAAGTGTCTGGGATTTCACCGTCGAATTTGAGAAATTCGGGATGCCGGGCTTGCGCGAACAGTGGAGCGATGTGGACTGCCTGCCAGTCGATGATGGCTGTGATTTCCGTCGGATCATTCTCGTCGACGAATATGTTATCCCAGTGAAGATCAGTGTGCCAGACAACTGGCTCAGAGAGGATTGGATCCGTTGGCTTCAGATACTGAGCCACCTTCTCGTAATCTCGCAGAGTCTGAATCTTCGTTCTGGAGTTTTGCTGGTATTGCCCCGGGCCGTTGTAAAACCCTTGCGGATCGGGAAACTTTGAGGACCTCTGCAAGCAAGCGATTTCACGCTCCGCGATTGCGAGATTATATTCTTCTACCGTCGCCCAGGGTCCTTGGTTGGTCGTTGCACCGGCCCTGCCATGATCGAAGAAGTTTCTGTCGGTGGTTGGGCCAACAGCGAATGCTGGAAATTTTGTGTCTCCTTCCAATGGCAGAAGGATACGTTGATCGGTCTCGGTGGCATCAAGGTCCTTCGCGTAGTAAAGGCTCCCATAAGCGGGGAGTTTTGATGACGTGAATGCAGCTTCATAGCTCACAAGTTTGTGAATGATGGCGGCTTTTTGACGATCGGTTATCGTGTCCCAGACCTTATGAAGTTCGAGCCCGCGGCATTTTTCCATCAAGATGTACTCGGCGCCGACAGGATTGTCTGCCGACGAACTCCAAGCGTAGACTTGCGGTACAGGGACACCAAGAACATTCCGCACATAGTCCATCGTAGCCACCTCGCTTGCGGTGGTAAGATGCTCGTAGCCTGCGTTGGGGTTAGGCAGTTTCGCGATCATCTCCTTGCCGTTGTCCATGGTGAGCAGAAATGCTTTATTAAAACTGCCCTCGGACAGCTTCGCTAGTTTAACACAGAACTGTGACCCGACCGTCGGCGCCGCAGCCTGCGCCAGTTCCGTGACGTTGAACCTTCGCCGTCGGCATGCCATTTGTTGCTCCTCATTCCACAGCCAGCGTCCCGACGAGTAGCTATAAAGCGACTCCGGGTCATTGTCGATCAAGAGCGCACGACCGCGTGAAGCGACGGAGCGCCTAAAGACATTGTTGATTCGGGAGAGCATGCTATACAACAGTCGCAACCTGAACCGAGTGTTCAAAAGTGACCATGAGGACTTGGCCGAAAGGAACGAGTTGGTGATTCCATGAGGGTATAGGAAGGAGGAAAGACAAAGGCGGATTTCAACGCAGCGCTTGCTCAGGCACGGCAGGTTAGTGGCACGTGAAGTAGAAATATGATTGGATGGCAGCGCCCGGGCGGGCGGGCGGCGCCAGGCCCGAGCCTTACATAACCTGACCTTCCCAATTATCATTCACCACCGTAATAACTCTTCCCACGCCGAACATAATCATTTGCGATTGAATATGGCTGCAGCAGTCTCACAGCAGCAAGGGCGCGCTCCTGCTCCTGGATGAGATCTGTTACAATTTGCCGATAAGCTGGTCTCTGACCTTGGCAGCGTTATCTTTATTCGCCTCTTGCTTTGTATCGACGTCGACAGACGCTAGCACACGATGAGAGTCCTTCTGTGCTATTTCGCGAATGATCTTATTCTTCGCGTTCGAATTTGCCTGCAGATTCAACCGTATGACCCCTGGCTTTCCCTTGACCGGTTCCCCCTTATCCAGGCGAAGGCCAAACTTCTCGTCGTTCTTCGCAGTCTTCGGTGGAAAGACACGTTGGCCAGCACCACTCTCGGACATATGCAATACTCGTTTCAGGTTTGACTTGGTCTTCGTGATCTCCTCGAAGATCTCCCGGACGGCCTTCTTCACAGTGCTCGACATTGTGGCTAGTCTGAACAGGTTAGCGGTGCTATGGGGACTCTGCTAATCACACACGCTCTCGAAATCTTTGTTGTCTTTGCTCTTCAGCTTTAACGTTCTTGCTCTAGAGCCGAGAGGTCTCGAAAACGGGATTGGCTTGATTGGTAATGCCCTGAAAAGTAATATTCGAATGGCACTAATGGTCGTAAAAAAGTGCCTGGATCGATTTGTGGGAGGGTGACAGTGGCAGAATGCCAAAAGCTCATCAAGTTAATTTGTAGATATACAAGTTTGGGAAGATCAAGTGGAATGCTGGGAGTTGGAAGGTGTTGGGCATCTTTCTCTTCTTGTATAAATGTGCAGCATTTAGGGATAGGCACCGTCATCTGTATGCTACTGCTAGCCACTGATCACTCGTGCATTCAATTTACCCGCCGTCTAGCAGAAACGGAGCCTCTGAGATGACGATCGTAGGGAAATTTGTTGGTCACCATGTCTTGCTGGCTCCATTGGCTCCATTGGCGCTCGCCCGACTCGTAGATATTGGCACTGATTGTATACAAGCCGCTCTCGAGACGGTTGTAGACGCCCAGTCTTTACACGTTGTTTCAAATAACCGTCGCGACTAGGTTATGGACAGTCGCGGGAAAAAGGGGCGGTAAGCCATCTAGGCAACGGTTCGATAGGCTCGTCTGGACTGCGACTTGACTTGTAGCAATGCCTCAACAGTGTGCTTTGTCAAACGCTTATGCGCTATTTGCAGGACCCGAAAATTCTGCAAGAGCGTCGCAGTGGGCTGCGATCATCTTGGGTGACTGTCGACACGCCAGTAAAAGGATGCTTGAGGTACCTAACCAGGTCTGCCTCGCGAGGTGCATCATCGCCATAATCTTAATTGAAGCACCAACGCCTGCGAACAGTACCTGTCCAACCATTAGTGTTGAACACGAAATCGACCAAGGTGCATACGTACTCCTCCTCCCCAACTACGGCGGCAGCATCGGCAAAGGAGCCGCCTTCGCCTCCTACTCCACCACGCCGGGACAAGGCCAGGGCGACTACCACGCAGAACGCCATCAAGCTGGGGTACGTCGACAAAGAGCGCCTCGTCGTCGGCGGGGTGAGTCAAGCCGGGTTTCTGTCCTACCTCGCGAGCGTGAAGAATGGGATGCATGGATCGGGGGGTTGAGAAGTATATTGGGGTTGGAGAGAGAGTTGATTCGTAAGATGTGAACTATCGCCTCCTCGCGGCTCGGGGCTTGGGGAATTCGAGTGGGAGTTTCAGTCTCGCCATTCTGGTCACCGCCGCTTGAGCCTTGCCGATTTTTCTTGCGGTCTTCTCGGCCTCTGTTGGTGCGCTGACTTTGCAGCCCAGCTCGTTGAAGTACTGCGAGATCTGCTTCGTCTCCATTTTGAGATCATCCTTCAGGTTGCTCGTATCCGTCGTCCAGCCGTCGATGTACAGTGACAGCGCACACATATGAGTGTACATATTGTCAAGCTGCCACTTCCCCAGCTCTGAGCCCGAGTCATTGGTGAAGCGCCGACGAACGGTGTCGACAAGATTCTGCGGCCAGCCAGGAAGTCGCTTGGAGAGGATATCTTTCTTGGGGACTTTCTTCCCGCCTCGATTGCTGCCCAGAACGTCGTGGAACTCGAGAAGTAGAGTCAGATACCGCAGAGCCTTGAGCTTGATGGCATCGTCGCTCTTAGCGATGGCCTCCACTCGATCGGCTGGGAAGCGGTGTTTGAATTGGATGACTTCGTCGGCTCGGACCTTGTCCTGCCATTCCTTGATCTGTATCATACGAGCATCGCTGGGTGGTATGAGGGTGTCGAAAGAGTAGACGTCTTCCACGGTCTCGGCACTGAGGTTGGGCCTTGGTATCGGTTTAGCCGCGAGCTGCGTCTCAGCGTCTTGTTGTGCATCCCTGTTGGCTGCTCCTGCGGTCGTGCCGCCCACTGACTCCAGAATCGCAGACTGCACATCCGTCACTCTGCCCTTGCCTTTCGTGTCTTGTGTGATGGCATTCTCCGTCTTGCTCAGAATCGCCTTCTTCGCCTTCTTGGTTCCGAATTCACGACCTAGCTCTTCCCTCTGTTGCGCTAGAGTCAGCCTGTCCTGTTCTACTTCTTGCACTTCTGATCGTAAAGTGCTTCGTAGGCTGAGGTGATGTGCCGGCGTGACATGTAGCTCTTTTGTTGCAGGGTCGAAAACGGCGACGTAGTGGGAAGTGTGCTGGTCGAGCGTGTCTGGGACTGCGGTATAGTCGAGCCGAGGGTGTTGTGAGGATTGTAGCAGCAGATCGTGGGTCTTTGGCTTCACAGCATCGTTTGCATGCTTCGTCGACGTAGCCTTTGCGTAGGCCTTGAACGGGACTCGTGGTGCATTCACACCCGGTGTCGACAGCAAGACCACGCCATTCTCCTCGGTGTATGAGACCTTGATGTTGCCGCCCGCATCAATTGCGACCTTCTTGCTAGGCGTATCGACGCCGTTAGACTGCCTCTTGCGCTTCTTGCTCTCCTTCTCCGCCATGTTGTTGTGTATCTGGAGTGTGGGTGTTGTTCAAGCTCTCCAAAATTTGTCGATGGTCCTTGCCCAAAATGGTTTATGCGATTGGGTTTGGAGCGACCGCCGACAGCCAATCAATCCAATGAACCCCGACGTCAGCGTAAACTCAAAAAGCGGGCAGCTTGGACGCGACGACACGATCGAGCATCGACGTGAACGAGAATGGAGCTGCAGAAACCGGCTTTGCACAGGCACTACTGCCTTTCCTGCTCGGACTTAGCTCCTACCGCGCGCCTCATATACCTCTGTTCTGTTTTCTGAAGCGTTCAGTCCTCGAACAATCCCTGTTTAGCGATCTCGCCGCAGAGGCTCATCACCACGTCTTCCCACAGCACAGCCGCCAGGGACAAGAGCCCGCGCAAGCTCGAGACTCGTCCAACGGGACACCCCAACCGAACAGATATCCTCCGCGAGACCTCGAGATCCCCTTTGAGGAATTCGACACATCCCCGGAACAACATGGCCGATCAGGCCAAGAATGCAGCCGCTGGCGCGCAAGATAAAGCGCAGGATGCTACAAAGGGCACGCCAGTCTCAGGGGCTCAAGAGAAGGTCAAGACTGCCACAGACTCGGCTCTAGGGACGGTTCAGAATGTGGGCAGCAAGGTGGCAACCAAGGGGCAGTCCATCCTCGATTCGATATTTCCTCCTGAGAAGCGGGCGGCGTTTCTCGCGAAGCTGCAGTCTTTCATGCTCGCGAACCCCAAGCTATCCGTATGTGACGATATCCAAACGTTAGGGATAACAAGCTAAGTCGTATGGTTGTAGGCATTCCTGGGCATGAACATCGCCCTCACCGGCATACCTCTGGGTCTCTTCATTCTCTTCAGCATTGTCGTCTTCATCACGGCGCTAGTCATAGCACTGGTCGTCGCTCTGCTGGCTGCCGTCATATTCACCCTCTTCTGCGTCGGCACCGCATTGGTGATTGTCTTCCCAGCAGTCCTGTTCACGACAGGTGCGGCGTGCTTCTTGTTCCTCTGGGGTTTGGGAGGGTATTACATCCTCAAATGGGCCAACGGAGCAGAAAGCAAAGAAGGCTCTCAACAACCAGCAGAAGGCTCTTCTATCGGCGACTCACTCAATCGCCTCACAGGAGGCAGGCTCGACGGCTTCATGGAAGGTGCTCGAGCGCAGAATGCCAAGAAAGACATTTCCGGATATTCAGACCGCTTCACGAAGCCACAAGAACAGCCTGAAGGACAGGAGACGGGGACGACTCAGAATGGCGCGCCGGATTCTAAGAAACAAGTGGGTGACAACACCGAGCAACCCACCGACGCCAGCTCTGGCACCTCTAAACCGGCGGCTGACTCGAGCAACGCAGTGAAATCCGCGACAAGCACCATAGGCGCGGCCAGCGGCTGACTAGCCGACTGGTGGAATCGCAACCCAGACCAACAGAATCACGAATGAACAGATGAACCCACCTAGGACTTGCACGACAGAACGTCCCCGTCAGCTCAGAATGTACGATTGAATGTATATGCATATATCTGTATAGAACCTCCGCAAACCCCACATCCCCATCATCTCTAATACGAAGTCGGCATCAAACTCATCCTCCCCCCATCCAAAACCATAATATTCCCATTCAAATACGCCCCCGCCTGACCCGCCGCATACAACACAAACCCCGCCATATCGCTCGTCGCCCCCAACCTCTCCGCGGGGACAAAACTCTTCGGAAACGCGCCCTCCACACTAGGATCCTCCGATTTATCGAACAACCCCTCCGCCAAATCCGTCGGAAACAACCCCGGCGCGAGCCCATTCATCCGAATCTCGTACGGCGCCAGATTCAACGCCAGAGATTTTATCAGGTGCGTCGTCGCAGCTTTGGTCAGGGCATAACACTCCGTATTGCGAATATACCCCGCGATACTCGTCGTGACGAGAACCTGCGATTTCACCCCCGGGCTGAATTGGTTTTGCGGTTTATTCCCCTCCCCCAACAATTTCAAAAACGCGAACGTCGTAAACGCCACCGCCGTCGTATTCGTCGCGAACCCCCTCTCCCACGCCTCCGGGTCCTGCGCCATCGCCGCGTCCGCGAACTCCTCGAGCGAGGCGCCCGACGAGGCGAGGCCTTTTGGGTTCAGACGCGGGGTTGGGTAGTACCCGGAGTTCGAGATTAGGAGGTTTATGTACCCCGTTTCGGACTTGATTTGTGAGGCGATGGCGGTGAGGGAGGCTTTGGAGGTGACGTCGCCGACGATGGGGATTACGTTTCCGTTGATGGAGGTTGCTGTGACGGCGGCGTGGAGTTTTTCAGGGCGCCGGCCGATTATGTAGATTTTGGAGGCGGAGTTGGAGGCCAGGGTTTTTGTGAGCATGAGGCCGAGACCTGGACGACGTACTTAGTGTTTGGGTTGCGATAGGATGGGGAATGGATTGTGGTACCTGTTCCGCCGCCGGTGATTACGGCGACGATGCCTTTGACGGAGAAGAGTTTTGTTGGGTCGGTTGTTGTGTGGTCCATTTTGATCTTTTTCTTCAGCTTTGGGAGGTAAATAGGAGAGGCTAGGAATTTGGTGAGATTGTGCTGGATTGTGAAGAGGTGAAGTTGTGTTGGGTTGAGCTCTCTCGCAACTTTCACCGACATGCGGCGCTAGGCTGCGATGGGGAAAAGGTTATTCTGTGGGGTCATTGAGATTCCACCTGCAGGTCATGTTCAAGAAAGGAACGAGTTGATGTCAAGACTCTGGTCGATAGTATGTTGGACAAGGTTAATAAGCATGTTGATCTGTTAAGCACGAAATAAAAAGAGAAAGGAGCCAGTGAAGAAGAATACAAGTAAAGTAGAGAAGAAGCCTCAAAACTCAGCCTTGTCGAAAGCACAACGACGAAAAGAGAGAGAGAAAGAAGTACTACTTCCCCTCCCCCAAAATCAACTCCACCGCCCTCTCCGCCGCAATCATCACGCCCATGGAAGGATTCACCGTCAACGGCTCCACAATACTCGCATCGACCACAAACAAATTCTGCATCCCCTTCACCCGCGTATCAACATCCACACATTCCCCCAGCCGACAGCTCGAACTCCAGTGATTCACATTCCCCAGCGTGTACGCCGAGGGGGAGGTGATGTAGTCCACGATTTCGTCCTTGGTCGCGTTGGCGGGGATGTTGCGGGGCGTGAGGCCGGAGGCTGGGAGGGCCGCGAAGAGCTTGTGGATGAAGGACGCGATGGCGTCGGCGTCGCGGTGCGTGGGGTCCGTGTAGAAGAAGGGCGCGGCCGGGCCGGGGGCCGAGGAGGTTGTGTTGACGGCCACGCGCCCGAAGGATTTCATGCCGGAGGTGCCGTAGATGTTGAGGGTGATGGTGTTGTTGTCGAGGTAGCCGCCGAAGCCGGAGGAGTCGATCGTGCCTTGCACGCCGACTTTGTCGCCGTTCGGGTAGGCGATTTCGTCCCAGAAGGCGGAGGTTTCGGAGGCGAAGGCGTAGGGGCCGGAGCGGTGTTGGAGGTAGAGGTCTCGGTCGGATGGGATGGGCGTCGTGTAGTTGTAGATGTAGGAGTGGATTTGGGGGCCGGAGAGTTCGATGAAGGTGTTGGGGTTGTCGAAGAGGCCGGCGCCGACGGCGGTGTTGTTGATCCAGGAGGAGGGGGGTATTGAGAGGAGGCCGTGTTGGGAGAGGTTTGTTAGGGCGGCGCTGTCGCCGATTCCGGAGAGCATGAGGAGTTGTGGGCTGAAGAGGGCGCCGCCGGAGAGGATGACTCGGCCGTTTTGGTCGCAGGTCTTGAGGTGTGTTTCTTTGCCGTTGATTTTGGCGATTACGCCTGTCGCTTTGCCGCCGTTGCGGACGACGCGCTTGACTTGCACGCCGTGTTGGAACTTGAAGTTGGAGCGCTTGAGGGCGTCTTGGAGGTATGTCTTGACCGGGCCGCTTCTTTGGCCTCCTTCGTACATGAACTCTGGGTGGCCGAAGACTTCGGTCTTGTCGTTTGGTACGTCGTTGAAGGTGACCTCTTTGTACCCAGCACCTTCAACGAGCCATTTCTTGGCTGCCGTGTATCCTAATTGCAAGTAGTACTTGCCGTCCGTGGAAGGGTTCTGAGTGAATGGCTGCTTCGCACGTAGCTTCGAGATGGCGCTCGAAAGGTCGCTGTACTTCCACTTTTGGGGAAAGTAACGATCGAAATCGGTTGAAGGAGGCTGGAAGAATAGCCCAGCGTTGATGGCAGTGCATCCGCCAATCGTGCACGCAGCGTACGCGTTCAGCTGTGTCTCATTGCACAAGAGATTATAGCTAGGGTTGGTGTAGATCGATTTGTACAGACCAGGCACATCGACACGGCCCAGATCGGTGTTGTCGAGCCATGCGGGCCTTTCGCGGCTTCCGGTGATGTAGTATGAAGGTTCGCCTTGTTCGAGGAGAAGTGTCTTCTTGCCAGCTTCGCTCATGCGGTCGGCGACGATGATCCCGGCTGGTCCAGCTCCTGCAATGCATTAGTACAGTCTCTTAAAGAAAGCTTCTGATATCGACTCACCCACAACAATGACATCCCACGTCTCGTCATTGTGAGAGTTGCCTGCTGGCAAGGCCTGGACGCCTGAAAGCGCCAACAAGAAGGCCGCCCTCTCGAACCGCATGTCTGCGGGAGGCCCTTACACCACCGGGTCGATCCTGCGAACGGAAAACGAATGAATGAACAACGAAATGCTCGAGAAAGACCGTCCGCAGCAAATGCAACCGCAAAAGAAGAATCCTCTCTCGTATTTGAGAAGCCCAACAACCAGATGAAGCAAGCAACAAGGAAGAACCCTCTCTATCTCTATTCAAATCAGCAATACCACTTGACGCAGAAAAGCGAAAGGAGTTAAACGCTCAGAACGTGCAACCCAAAACGGATGCAGTTGCGAATCCTGGCGGCACAACTCCAAGTAATAAACATCTGTGTCAGTGGCGATCTCATCTCAAACCTTCAGCCCATGCGCAGTGCGCACGAGCTGAGCCTATAGGGGAGCCAATTATAGCAAGAGTCGCATGTCGGTCTGCAAGTGGTAAGAACTACGACATGGGAGCCAGCTGGTGCTGGGGTAACACGAAAGGTGTGAAAGTCGGCGGTGGAATAAATGGTCGCTCGTATTATGGTGTGGAGATGGACCGAGATTTTCGTGGTGGCAATTCTTCGGCAAGTGTCGTACTTTGATGATGAGCTTGTGAAGGAGCTTGTCGAGACTTGAGCTCGGCGATGCGATGTAGGATTGTATTGTCGCTGTTGTTATATAAGTGCCACGATCGATGACAAAGATGCAGGGTAGTCGATGGTGTGTGAAACATCGTGGAAGTCAATGATCCTTTGCGTCATGGCCGGGCAACCCTTAGTGTGTTAGCATGGTCTTGCCTGTAGACCTTATTTTAGAGTATTTCCACCAACCGTATTATAATTCGATTAATGACGACAGGCGTACCACTGTGCGTTTCCATGCGACTTCATGCATTTCTTCTGGACTTACACAGTCTGCCATCCGGCCGGGCCTCCCAATAGTCGCTGCCAACCGCGGTGAGGGCGTAAAAGGTATGATTCGGGTCGTACTTTTGTTTGATTTGCAGGAGGCGATCGTAGTTGACTCCGTAGTAGTCTTGTTTGAAGTCAGGATCTTGGAAATCCGCCTGCAGTGCATCAGCAGTTGTGTGCCCATAATGAAGAATGTACTTACTTCGTTGATATATGTGCCACTGCCAGGAGAAATGTCCTTGAGGATCGGGATGAACTTGTCAGTCATCTTGTTGGCGTTTGCTACCATTTGAGACCAAGGTGCTGTGAAGTTCCAAGGTGTTGTGACAACAGTATCGAGTAGGGTGTCTCTCCAAGCTGGATTGATTGAATTGTATACATCGCCAGCGACTGACGTCGATACGTTGATGCCGACAATGAAGAAAGCGCCTCCATCGTTGGCAATCTTCCGGTAAGCATGGGTCACCGCAGAGTTGTTGTTAAGCACTGCTGATCGCGGCACCAGTCTTCCACCATACTGAGCAATGCCGACTTGAATTGGAGCGAACATTGTGTTGAACTCCTCGAAATAGTTTGGGAATTGCTTCACCAGCTTGGTGTACTTGATGCCAAGTCGATCCAGTGTCGAAGTAAGTGGCTGCAAGAGTTCGTTCATGCGCTCGGCGCTGACACCAGGCCCGGTCATGGGTGAGATGGCGAACGATGAGGTGCTGAAGGCAGACACACTCATGATGCCTTCATCCACAATCGCTGGCAAGCTTACATGGTAGGCCTCAATGGCTTTCCAGAAAGTGTCCTGCGAGATGCCATCACTCGTGAAAGACAGGTTTCCTCCGGACGTTGGCATGTCTGCATGTGCTTTCACGGTCATGGAGAGCACGACCCCAAACGTTCCACCGCCGCCACCACTCAAAGCCCAGAACAAGTCAGAGTTCTTCGCACGACTGGCCGTGAGGTGTCTGCCCCGAGCATCGACCACTTCCCACTCCAAGACTTGATCAGCTGCGAGACCGTACTTGGAGCCCAGAGTAGAATGACCGCCGCCCTGGGCGTACCCTCCGGCGAGACCGACTGTTGGACACTCGCCTCCGAGTACGACGAGCCCGTGCTGGTGAGCTGCAGCATACGCTTCAAACCCTTGAACACCTGCCCCCATCTTCATGGCTTTTCCGGTATAGTGGCGGGACCTATGATCTGAGATCTGGATGTCTTTCAGATGATGCGTCCAGATGCCAAGGGAGCCAGCACCGGCACTTTTGCCATTGTAGTCGTGGCCTGTATTCCTGATGGTGATTCGAATGTTGTTTCGCTCGGTAAACCGCAATGCTTTCGACACATCACTCGCCGATCCGACGGCGACAGCATATCGATTGTATGTTCCAAGAATGCATCGACCCTGGATTCCAGTGAACGGATCACAGCTTTGATTGGCGAAGAATGGAGCCATGATCGAAGAGGAAGAATCGTAACTGGTCAATGTCAGTCTCTGCGCTCTTTTTGTTTGCCACCTTGGAGCACACTGAGTCTGTGGTAATGTCCACGCCTCTTGCAGCGTATTACATTCCCCGGCATTGTATTGGCCAAACCTCGAGTCGTGGCAAGGAGCTGCGAGGGGGATGGTCTCGACAAGCTTGCCGCCTAATGTCTTGTTGAAGGCGGCCCATCGCTCTCTCGAAGGCCAACATGCGTCGCCAGGAAAACATCGACAGTGCACATCAGCGGATACGGCGAACTGGGGAAGCAGTGTGCCTAGCGAGGCCAGTAGATGGAATGATGAGGTGAGGTTGCCTTGCATGATTCACTGCCTGAAAAGATGTTTCCTCGTGAGAAGCCGCGAGCGCCGCATGTAAGTTGTATACTGTCTGCAAGGTCCATCATGTCTTTTTGATGTGAGAGCTGAAAGATTCGCCAGCCAAGATCTGCAGGCTTGCATTGCTGGACGAGGAGATTCTCTCGGCCTTTGGCGCCTCGAAGGAGAAGGCGTTGTGCCGATCTTCGTGTGACGGCACCTCACCACGTGAGACTCCTTCTTTCTCCTCATCCTCCTCATCACTGCTGTGCGACATGCGGAAGGAGCTGCTGATATGGAATGCGAGAAGCCGCAAAGTCGGGAGTTCTGTTGGCGGGGCGTTATGATTGCAGCGGTGGAGAATCCCTGCAGGAGATGCCGGCCGATATTGAACAACCAGGATGCGCAAAGTGTCTATGTTCCACAACGTGGCGTCTGTTCCACGGCAGCGGTAGCCTCCCAGTGAACGACAGCCGTAGACCACTAATTCTGATGTGTCGATTCCTGAACATCCTGAAGCATCCCATCGCCCCAGTGCACTGATGGGCCTCGCCGTCCTCCGTCCGAACTGCGCAAGGATGTTATCGGCGACCAGGTTACTAGCACGCGGCCTCTAGACCGTGAAACCACAGCAGAGCAAAACACGACGAATGGCCAGAGATACATTGGGCGACGCCGAACATCTTCCAGCGGCGTCCTGCTGCTAGCCGTGAGCCATGCGCGACCAGTCGCTCCTGCCCCTGTGCGCGGCCCTCAGTCCCCGTGGTGATTGCAGCACAAACGCTGGTCGGCGTTCTACAGCGCGTTTGGTCCCCATGCCACCTTCCAACATTCGACACCACCACTCTTCGGCCAGCGCGACCTTCTTCACCATGGCCCATTAGTGACGGCTGCCACGACCGGAAGTGCTATATCACTTCCACCACTCCCTGATGCGAGAGTCATACCGATCCGACATTGAAATGCTCATCATGCCTGACGACGCCGCAAAGAGAGACAGCGCCGTCGCCGGCGAGGATGTCGAAAAGCAGACGAGCGGCCAGACGCTGTTCCTCAACGAAGATGTCACTTCTCTGGCCTGGCAGGACCTCACCGTCACCGTCAACGACCGCACCACTCAAGCCCCTCGAAATATTCTGGACGCATCCTCTGGCATTGTTCGCCCAGGCCAGATGATGGCTTTGATGGGGCCTTCTGGATCAGGCAAAACGACGCTCCTCAACACTCTCGCGCAGCGGCAAACACCGACTCATGGAAAAGTCCTCATCAATGGCGCCGAGTGTCCCCTCGCTACACACCGTGCAGTCAGCTCGTTTGTAGAGCAAGAAGACACCTTGATCGGATCGCTCACCGTCGAGGAGACACTAAAGTTTGCCGCCAAGCTGTCACTCCCCAGGTTGGGTTCCCTGTACCACCATCCTTACAAATGATACTGACACGTGGAATAGCACTGTATCCAAGACGGAGGCGTACAGTCGTGCGTCCAGCCTCATCGCAGCGTTTGGTCTGTCAGAGCAGCGGCGCACGCTCATCGGCACCCCAATTCAGAAAGGCATCTCAGGAGGCCAGAAGCGCAGAGTTTCTGTCGCAACACATCTCATTACCGGTCCTCGGGTGCTGTATCTCGATGAGCCAACGTCGGGACTTGACTCTACGGCTAGCTTTGAAGTCATGTCTTTCATTCGCGACATTGCCAAGCGGAATAACGTGAGCACAGAATGCTTCCAAGGGGCGTGACTTGACTGACTTTCATCGCAGCTGATCGTCATTGCAAGCATTCATCAACCATCAACCAAGACACTCGAGCTCTTCTCCAAAGTCACACTCCTCTCCAAAGGCAAGACCTGCTTCTATGGCGGTGTCAGCGAGGTCGACCAATACTTCCGTGGACTAGGAATGGAAATCCCACATCTCACCAATCCATCCGAGCACATGCTTGACTTGACCAACGTCGACTTCGGGAGCGAGGAAGCCCAAACTAGATTGGACATCATCTTCGAAGGCTGGAAGAACTCAGAGCGCCCTCACGATCTCGCAAACGAGATCAAAGCCCTTTCGAGCCACCAAGCACAAGTTACCCCTGTTGCAGCTCGTCCGCCCTTCTTCTCGCAAGTCCTTACATTGCTTCGGCGTGCGTTCATCAAGAGCTACAGAGACCTGGTTTGCTACTGGGTGAGAGTTGCCATGTACATGGGCCTGGCAATCATGATGGGCACAGTTTGGCTACGTTTAAGTCCAACGCAAGAGCACATCCAGCCGTTCATCAATGCGATCGTAAGAAGCCTATTTCCCGCTCCAGTTCAATGACTAACTTGGGACAGTTTTTCGGCTCTGCGTTTCTGAGCTTCATGGCCGTAGCCTATGTCCCTGCTTTCCTCGAGGATAGGGCGGTCTTTGTGAAGGAGCGTGCGAACGGTCTTTACGGTCCCACGGCTTTTCTGGTGACCAACTTTCTCGTTGGCCTACCGTTCCTGTTCCTGATTGCGTTTCTCTTCTCAGTCGTCAGCTATTGGCTGATCGACCTACGGCCAGACGGCGGTGCCTTTTTCACCTGGATCATGTGGCTCTTCCTGGACCTCATCGCTGCAGAATCGCTCGTTGTTTTGGTCTCTTCCATCTTCCCCAACTTTGTGGTTGCACTGGCGCTTGTCGCCTTCGCCAACGGACTGTGGATGAGCGTGGGCGGCTTTCTTGTCGCCATGCCGGTCTTGAACGTCTTCTGGAAGTACGTCTTTCATTACATCGACTACCAAGCCTACGTCTTCCAGGGAATGATGGTCAACGAGTTCAAAGACCGGATCTACGACTGCGAAGTCCAGAATGGCCAATGCTTTTGCATGTACCAGAGCGCGCTGCAGAAGGAATGCAAGATCGAAGGCCGTGCCGTCCTGGACAATTACGACTATGCACCTGGCAGGGAGGGCAAGTGGGTGGGGATCCTCATCGGCATCATTGTCGTCTATCGCCTGCTCGGATGGCTCGTCACGTACTTGAAGAAGACGTAGGATCGTTCCGCGGCGCAGGGGTTATCGGACTGGGGACTAATTTGTCTTTTGGATGCTCAGCGAGGAGTTCACATGAGGGTGGGAGCGAGCTATGAATTGACCCTCCCGACAGGATCGGAGAGCGGCGAAATGACAACCTGCTATCAATCAATGCTTCATCAGTAGAGATTCACTCAGGTACATCCCCCACGGCATGTGAAACAACCTCACAGTGCACCGGCATATGCACGTATGCGGAAGTCGCAATGGCACGCTTCCGTCTGCAGGGCAAGGCTTGACGTCGGACATGCAACTGTTTTGGACATGGCCTGACAGAAACGGGCCGCTTCGCCATGTGTGTGATAACAAGTGTAGGATTCCCACGCGTTCGATGGCAGGTTAAGGTGGTATTTCGTGTTGAAGACTGACTTCAAGAGGCTCTGTGACTACGATTTGATTGGGTTTCCAAGCGAAAAGATATCGCTAGCGTCAGGGCCGATGTTGAAGCATTCGGCATTTCCCAGCCCCCGACAGAACCTTTGATTGATGGAGAAAAGGATTCGTGGTGCGTACCAAAGCGACGATGCCGTGCGTTCCATGCTGCGTTGGGGCGCCCCCATTCGAGCCTGGCAGGAAGCGTCATTTCGCCTACACAGACACATGAAAGTGGGAGGCGGCGAGGCAAAAGGCCTGGCCAGTGGAAGACGGCGATCGTCACACGTGCGTTAGACTCAGCCCAGTCGGCGGCTGACGGTGGGCTTGCCATCCACCACATGGGAAGGATGCCCATGATGCTGCGGCACGAAAAGCCGCGCCTGGGTGAGGGCAGAGAGCGCACGCGTCGAGACACCATGCGCTCGCTGGCGGCCTCGGACGGGGCTATTGGATTTTGCGCTGCTTGACGAACCTACCCATCCATCCAGGGGCCCGAGGCAGGTCTACAGTAGTTCAAAGTTGTTCCTGAGGCACCGTCGTCGAACCCACCGTGACCCGCGCAAGGCTACGACGACCTACATTACACCCCCGGCCTGCCAGCGACACAGACCCAACTGGTCCTGTCAACCGTTCACCGCATACCCGGCTAAGGGACCAGCCAGCCAGATCGCGCGTCGCGCTTGCCGCCGGGTTTGAGCCGGATTCGAGAGTCATGGCTTTCCAGCCGCTATCCGTGGGCGACATCTTGATGCTGTCGCAGACGGCCTGGAAGATTGGACGAGCATTCACTCACGGCAAGAAGAGCGCCCCTGCCGAGTTCGCAGAGGTGGAGAGGGAAGCCAATGGCCTCAGCGACGCCCTCAAACTCGTTGCCGAAACGCTGCATGCCGATGGCAGTATACTCACCCACGCCGACGTCGACACTCGATCTGCCGTCAATGCCATCCTCCAGAGCGCGCACCAGACCCTAGATGACCTCGACAGCTTCGTCGACCGGTATCAGGTCATCAAGAAGAAAGAGACGAATGGGGGATTCGTGGTGGAGAGGAGTTGGAGCGAGGTTGTCCTTGCGAATTACAAGACGTTCAAATGGACGACAGAGGGCTCGAACTTGACAGAGCTGCGCAACATGCTCAATATGCATACCAACTCCATCAACTTGACGATGCAGGCCCTGCAGTCGAGATCTCTAGCTAGACTAGAGAAGACGGTGGTTCCCATGGCTGGTGAGTAAGGTCAGCTTACGGTGGCACAGCGAGACTGACGTCAAAACAGAGAACATTGCAAGCATCCACGATCGTGTTCACGGAGATCTCGGCGACAAGATTGACGACTTGCATCGCATCATCATGGCTATAGCGTCCAGTACACCCAGCTTACATGCGAGAGACAGGGCGCTGGAGTCTGGTTCTGGAAGTATCAGAGACAGCACAAGCACTACGTCAACGCTCGATCATCAGCCCGCTAGCAGTGCACACTCAAGTCGAATGCTTGAACCGCCTCCTCCTCGATCCTCCAGTTACCAAATACCCCCACGTCCTGCCAGCCGTTCCCCACGGACTTCCGCAGCCAAAGTACCCTCGAGCGCCGCATCTGGTACAAGGTCCACCCGCGAAGACTCGGCCTACTATAGTGCTTCTGGATCTCGTCCCTACTCGGATGGCAAGCGAATGGACTGGGATTTTGAGACCGGCGCTCCCGTCGACCACCGTCCCAGCATAGGCGGTGGTCGAGTCAATTTCGACGCCGGTGCTTCACCGAATGACAGTGGCTATGCTGCGACGGAGCCTAGTTCTCGACGTGCATCTGGACATTTTCGAAGGGAATCTGCGACTTTACCGGCGTTGTTCAAGGCTGTTGAGGACGACTATGATGCCGTTGCCGGTAGTAGCCGACTATCTGAGATTGACAATGTGTCGCCAAAGAGTCAGAGGGAAACTTGGAGTTCGGCGAAGAGTGCTGGACACTTGCCACCGCCGGCTATTCCGTCTGAATACGAACGGTTACAGCCACCTGCGACGCCGACGTCGGTGTTCTCACAGCTTCAGCGCTCGAGGACGAATCCTGTGGACGAGAGGTATGTTTGATGTAGAATAGAGATCGTGCTCGACATTCGAGTTACTAATTTGTGGCAGACCTGTTTCGACCGCATCAAGACCGCAGACAGCAAAGACCAAATGGCAATCAGATCAGCAATCTTTGAAATCGCACGACATCACCAAGTTCGAACGACAATTGTTCAGGAATGCTGCTATACTGTGCGACGTGCGTGGCAAACTTGTAGAGCATGCCCAGATAAAGCCTGACGAGCCGGATCCTCGATACAACGTGGAGATGGTACCGGCCTGCCAGGAAGCACGTATCTTTGTCATTCGGAAACGAGAGAACCGTGAGCATGGTGGGACCAAGGTCGCGACCAGTATTTGGTGTCTTCAAAACGACGGCGAAGTACGATTGCAACACAAACTCTCAGAAATGCAGGAAACAGTCCCGTACTGCTCCTACTTCGAGCCGGAGAAGGTGTCTCTGCCAGAGACGGACGCTCCCATTGCACTCAAGTTCCATTCCGAGGAGTGGGGGAGTCTGCTGAAAGATGAGATGAAGACGAATTGGGTGAATTACTACTTCGCGTCGGAGAATGATGCCACTGCCTTCCAGTCGGCTGTCTATGGACGGACTCTGCTCGGCAGCTATCGGACGACCAAAACCACCGTCATCCACGAAGGGCTTAAGGGTGCCTTTGCATTCGAGGAGCAATTCGCCAACATCGAAATGCTTCGACTTTGGGAAGATGACGGCGTCTCAACACCAGGTGCCGCCGGGGGTGTCCTGGCTCTCATGCACATCAGCTCGAACTTCGGCGAGGGGTGGGCGCGCTGGTGGATCAACAACAGCAAACAGCAAGTGAAAGTGAAAGACGACGGGGCGAAGTTCGCCAAAGTGAAGGGTATCGACGTTACTGTCGTCCGGCCTGGGAGCAGTAAAGCCGCGATTGAGAGGGCGCGAACAGTGTCGATCGGGGCGGAGGGCATGTCGTCGGCGCAGCAAGCACGGAATGCCGTCAAGAGGGTGAATGGAGTGAAGATTGAGTTCAAGACGGAGGACGAGAGGTCGAAGTTTGTGTCGGCGGCGAAGCGGGCGCAGGAGAATTCGATGCCGTTGCCGGAGCTTTGAGGGCAAAGAGGACCGGTGTCTCGACGATGCGCCTGTCGGCTCTAATGGTTACGAATGATATGTCTGGGCTAGAATGGAGATGGAGATTGGGGAAATGGATATGGCTTTTGTACGAAACTTCTTTGTTGGAACGATACCACCATGGCGATGTGTTTAGCGGGAGTTTTTGGGGCTCCGATCGATCTACGAGGAGAGTTAGGTGGATTTTGATACGAGATAGATGTGTATTTATTTGATTCGAAAGACAAACCCTTGAGTGAGTGAGGGGGTGAGTGATGAGGATTATATGCTACGACTTCTTCATTTGGGTGAGCGAGCTTGGACTGAAGATGGTGCGGAGGTGGTTGGCATGTGCGGCGAGGTGTTTCAGTGAGTGTAGCTGGATGGACTGCTGGCTTTGGACATTGACCTGAGACTCCGTTTCATGACGAGCTGCGCGAACCTACTGATTCGACGACTTGTGGGCTCTACTACTTCTTTATCGAGGTTGATATCAACGGTGTTGTTGCATGAGGTACGGATGTGGACGGTGGGATTGGATATCTTTCGTATAATGATATACTCACCAGGTGGACTGCGCGGAGAATAACAATAACAGGCGAGTCTGCCATCCGCCGGCTCCTTAGTGGGACTTCACTTTCTCTGGCAGCCATCGGCGCAATCTGAGGAACGGAAGTTGAAGACAGTGTTGGACGTCTTTCGTCTGCTGACATACTCACCAGGTGAACTACTCAAACAGCAACAACACCTCTCGACTCCTCCGCCCGCCGTCTCCTCACCAGAACTCCTCCTTCTCAGGCATACTGCTCCACGACCACCGATCGAGCCATCACATCCAAGGCTTCGGCAACGTCATATAACGGGGATCCGAGCACTCATCCGAGTATATCACAAACCAATCCGTGCAGTGAGTACTGAGTGAGTGACGGGGCTCTTTGGGGTTCTTCACAAGCTAATCGGTCATCACAAGCCAGCATCTGATACTCCTCACTGTCAGGTGATCCGAGCTCTGCGGCGCCTTTATCTTCCAGCTTTCACGGCGACGACTCTTCAAATATAACAACATCCTCCACCTCTTGCCTTTTCACACATTCGACATCCACATTCACATTCACATTCACCACCATCCTTGCAATACTCAGCATCGACAGCTACTACGATCGGCTTCGACGGATATCGTTGGTCATTTGGACGGCTTCACAGGTTCTTTCTGACGTTTGGTGGTATTATTGTTGGTGGTGTTTGGCGTCTTGTCTTGGGGTTGTGCGACCGGTTTGAGGAACGGACGTTTACGAGAAGATGAGACGCGAAGAAGCTTTCGCAGACATGGCGAAGCCGAAATACGAGACCAGCGGCCCCTTGAAGAACCACTTCTACATTCTCGACTGGCCAGGCAGTGAGCCAGATCCAGACGACACTCTCACAACTCACTTCCAGAAGGTCACAAAGGTCTCAAGGTTGGCAACGGCTTACTTCGACTGCGAGCTTGTCAAAGTCGGTTTCAAAAAGGCAGACAAGCCATTCGACGTCCTCCAGTACTTCCGCGATGCTTTCCGTCACATGCGCGACGATGACATGCTCGTCATTTACTATGAGGGTGGCGCTGCCGACTGCGACAAGGACTACGAGTGGTAAGTCGTCGAGCATCCATCTCGTCTTCAAGCTTTTGCTAACGACAAGATGCAGGCAATTCGAAAACGGCCCCAAGCGTCCAGTGAATGCATACGATCTTATTCAGCTTTTCTACGATTCGGGCCTCAACATCATGCTCATCCTCGACTGCTACATCCCCACGCGTTTCGAGGAGAAATGGAACGTCCGTTCTGACGGCAAGGGCAACGTCGAGATCATAGCTCGAGGTGAGCGCGTGCAGACCGCCAAGGGCAAAGCGATACAAGGCCACCGATCTGACTTCACGGACAATATGATCAAGGACCTGAAGACGTTTGTCAACGATATCGAGAAGCCTGGCCGCGATGGAGGGTACGGTGGATACCATGCTCCCATGTCTCTGTCGCAGCTCATGCGCTCCAACACGTTTCTGGCGGCCAATCCGAAGCGCATCTTCGATCGCAAGACCAAGGCGAAGGATACCGTCCCGATTGCTCGGATTGTCATTTTGCCGGATGAGGTTAGGGCGAGCAAGCGGATCTCGTGGTTCCTGAAGACGATTCAGGACGAGCCTAAGATCGTGGAAGACGGCGAAGATGGGAATGCGACTGTCAAGGCTATTGTCGAAGACGAGGGCTTCGACGAGCCCATGGACGAGGATTTCGATGGGTCGGTTGCTGGCGCATCTGAGGGAGATGGGCTGTTCTGCACGCCGCCACCCGTCTGATTCACTCCTCCATCGATCTGTTCTCGACGAAGACGAAGCATCATCAAAGTGCGACCGAACCTCCAAGACGAGGCAGCGACCCAGCCGCCGAGCAAGTTTTGGTCGGCAGCACAGTGGCCTCGTCTCTAGCCGCGCTCGACTCTTCTACATCGACAGCCCTCCAGACTCTCCAACCTCGTCTCAGATGACGAGGCTACTTGATACGACACGACAAATATCCACGTGTGCTATACCGGCTTTTCTCCTATCTCACACATCTGAACATGGTAAGCTCACGAACCAGATATCCCCAAAACTGCATATACTGACCGTGAACATGACAGATACTCCAAGCTTCCAAACGGCGGAACAAAGACGGGGCCGATTTTCATTTCTTGTACTTCTAGACAAGCCCTCCTAATAATCACACATGGCCTTCGGTCTCTCATGTTTTAACTCAACACAACAGCAGCCAGAATCGAGAGGTGAAGTCAAGGACTTCACGCCTGAGGCAACAAGGCTAGACCTACATAGGAAAGATCAGCCGAACACATGAATGAAATCGTGCGGAAATCTGCTCACCCTTTCCTTTTCTACATCAACAACTAACTCTTCGCATCGCTACACGTTCAGTCTCCATCGCCCTCCATCTCCCGCTCTCCATCTCATCACTCTCTGCAAAGACCATTCCTCGCACTCACGTGACTGCATCTTTTTGCCCAAAACGGAATCGGGCAGCGCCGTCGGCGGCTCCGCAGGAATGCACATGGGAGAGCTCTCTGCCCGCCGCCAACGGCTATCTTATCGCGCCCACACCAGAGCTCCATTGTTGTTTAATCTTTGCGACCTGGTAGCGCGTCTTTCCCAGGCGGGGTTCGTAATGCGGTTTGTAGGTACTTCTACGATCGGATCCTGAGTACTATATCTTGTCTATCTGTGGTGTAACATTTCTTCTCTTCTTCTTATCCTTCGATCTACTCGTCTTCCTTGGGGTTTTTGGCTTCCATTCTACCTCACGCGAGCACGACAAGATGGTTCTCGAACGACTCCAGCAGATGTCGTCCCATATCACGGGACAGACGGCTCCGGTGTACCCATTGGATCCCCTCTCGTCGGAAGAAATCGCAAAGGCCGTCGCGATCGTCAAGCGCGAGTATCCCAATGTCCACTTCAATGCCGTCTCGCTATGGGAACCTCGCAAGGCGGATATGATGAAGTACCTGGCCTCTCCGGAGACCGTGCCACGACCACACCGTATTGCGGACGTTGTTGCCATCGGCAAGGGAAGCAAAGTCTTCGATGGCTTGGTCGACTTGAACGAGGGCCGGATCGTGAAGTGGGAGCTCACAGAGGGTGTGCAGCCTTTGATCACCATGGAGGATCTGCAGATTGTCGAGATTGTGGTTAGGAAGGATGCGAAGGTCATTGAGCAGTGTGGGATTTTGGGCATTCCGCCGCAGGATATGCATAAGGTCTATTGCGATCCTTGGACGATTGGATACGATGAGCGGTTTGGGTCGGGGGTGAGGCTGCAGCAGGCTCTTATGTATTACAGGCCGCATCCGGATGATAGCCAGTATACTTATCCGCTGGACTTTTGCCCGTATGTGAGGCATACCCAAAGACAAGCACTGTGAGCTGACTTTTTGCTCTTGCAGTATTTACAACGCAGACACGCAAGAAATCATCCACATCGACGTACCCAAAGTCCGACGACCGCTAAACAAAGCCCCTCCGATCAACTACCACGCCGATGCGATTGCAAAAGAGACAGGGTTCAGGAAAGATCTCAAGCCGATCCACATCACACAGCCAGAGGGTGTCTCTTTCACAGTCGACGGCAGGACATTGAAATGGCAGAACTGGAGCGTCCACGTCGGTTTCAACTACCGCGAGGGCATGGTTCTGTCAAACATCTCCTTTAACGACAAGGGCAACGTACGGCCGGTCTTCTGGCGCTTGTCATTGGCGGAGATGGTCGTCCCATACGGCAACCCCGAGCACCCACATCAGAGGAAGCATGCGTTCGATCTGGGAGAATACGGTGGCGGATATATGACGAACTCACTTTCCCTGGGATGTGATTGCAAGGGTGCGATTCATTACATGGATGCCGAGTTTGTCAATCGCGCTGGGGAGCCGCAGACGATTAAGAATGCGATTTGCATTCATGAGGAGGATGCTGGTATTCTGTTCAAGCATACGGATTTCCGTGATGATTCTTGCACGGTTACAAGGGGTCGCAAGCTTGTGATCAGCCATGTCTTTACTGGTAAGTTGTAATCTGAATTCAAAGGTGAGATCAGTCGCTCACTTGACATTAGCTGCCAACTACGAATACTGCGTCTACTGGATCTTCCTCCAAGACGGCACCATCCAGCTGGAGATCAAGCTCACCGGAATCCTAAACACCTACGCCCTCGCTCCCGGCGAAGACGCCGCTCCATGGGGCACCGAGGTCTACCCAGGCGTCAACGCCCACAACCACCAGCACCTCTTCTGCCTCCGCGTCGATCCCAACATCGACGGATCCGAGAACACCGTCTTCCAGGTCGACGCTACCCGCGGCGACGGCGAGGTCGGCAGCCCGCAGAACCCCTACGGCAACGCCTTCTACGCCAAGAAGACGAAACTGGATACCATGGCCACTGCGAAGAGCGATTACGACGGATCTACGAGCCGGACGTGGGAGATGGCTAACACGAATAAGATCAATCCGTATAGCAAGAAGCCTGTGTCGTATAAGCTGGTCAGCAGGGAAGTCCCCAGCTTGCTTCCAAAAGAAGGCAGTCTTGTATGGAAACGCGCTGGATTCGCTCGTCATGCGGTGCATGTCACCAAGTGTAAGTCGATCCTCTCTATCCTCACCGCAATACAATGCTGATTTCCAACCCCAGACTCCGACGACCAAATCCACCCCGCCGGCCGCCACGTCCCACAGACCTCCGGCTCGCCCTCCCAGGGAATCCCCGCCTGGATCGAAGCCGACCCCAACGGCAGTCTCGACAACACAGACGTCGTCCTCTGGCACACCTTTGGCCTCACGCACTTCCCGACTCCCGAGGACTACCCCGTCATGCCCGCCGAGCCGATGACGGTGCTCCTCCGACCTCGCAACTTCTTCACCTCGAACCCGTGTATGGATGTTCCGCCGTCGTATTCGAGCACGCCGACGCAGGTTGCGGCGGGCAAGACGGGGATCAGGGGGATTGTGGATGGTTTGAGTCGGTTGGCTTTTGGGGGAAAGATGGAAAAGGGGGGGAGTAATGATTGTTGCAATTAGGATGTTTGTGTATGGGGGAGGGGGAAATTGTTTGTGTTGTTGTTGTGGATGAAATGCTTGAGCTTGATCATTGATGTAGTCATACGAGGATTGAATGCGTATCATATGAAAAAGTTCGATGAGTTGTGAGGACGAATTGAATACCCCTTTGTACATCCATTGCGAGTCGGAGAGAGGGGAAGCCTCCATGTACACACACGGAAGCATCTTCAACGAGAAATGATCTCGAGAACTGACTGTCGTTTCTCGTCGCAGTCTGGCGATGCTGTCCACGTCTGTCAACAGATGATTGTTTTATCCTCGTGGACAGGCATCAATGAAGTCCACTCGAAACGGGCTGGTTGGAGGCAGTAGATGTCCCCCGTGTGATTTTGCATACGCTCGAGAAGCTAAAGAAAGCCTCGTCTTCCTCTCATCTCCTCGATAATAGCATCACCCCTGAATGCAATCCAAAAGTTCGAGATGACAAGATTCAGTCACGGCATGTGTCTGTCCCCTAGGACAAGCGGCGAGGATGCACACACGACGTGCGCTGATTGAAGAAAGTAGATGTTACTTTCATCTTGTCTTTGAATACACGCGAGAGCCTAGGGAGGACCTCGTGATTAGACCTCGTCTTTCTCATCTTGTCGATACCAGTCTCAAGCCGGTCGAACCACAGCCCGTCCTCATCGGACATTTCCCTGAATTTCTTGTGAACGCCTCGTCTTTGGACTTGCCAATGCTTTGATGACTCTGGCTAGAATCTTCTTGATCGCTCGTCGTTGTAGGTCCTTCAAATTCTATCTGTTGAATTCGATCCTTCCCCTGCGGCTACCACCTTTGCTCGTCTCACGTCCTCGTCCCTCTTCCGTCTCTCGTACTCGAGCTCCTTTTCCGGATGCGGGCGTTGGATGTCTTGCAATCTCACCAGATCGTCCTTGTAGCCGGGAAATGGCGCCGTTTTCTTGTGTTTCTCTTTGATGTCCTGGTCATATTCCATCTCATCAAACATGTCCCCAATCTCGTCTTGCAGTTGCCCGACCAGAACATGCTCAAAGTACAGCGATCTGACTTGTTCGACGTGCGAGACTGCCATGGCGGTCCGGAAGACCCTTGGATATAGTCCGCCTTTGACGTACATGAGCATGTTTTTATCATCCAGCGCGAATTCCAACAGCTTCTCAATGACCTGTTCTCTTGTCGAATTCGTCTTGGTGTTGGGCTGGCCGGGTCTGCCATCGAATCCAAGGTTCTGTAGATTTCGTTAGCTGATATCCCGGGCTTGTCTTAATAGGAGAACTTACGAGGGCCCGCTGGAGTTTCATCTGCAGTTGATGAAAAGTGTCCTCCGCCTCGTCGAACTTGCAGAGACTCAGATATGCGTCTTCGAGAGCTTTTCTACACTCTCCGTTCAGGCGGCCCATTCTGGCGACAACATCGCCTTCACCCTCTTGGTCAATCATTCTCTTTGCGGCGTCGTCCATGGCCATGAAGTTGTTGATGTCTGGAAAGCCTTCGGTATGATGCGAAATCCTTCTGAGAATCATGAAGACCGTTTCGTATGTCTCGTTCAGAGGGATGTGAGTAGAAAGGGCATGGCCAGCAATCTCTGTCATGCCCACGCGAGCCAAGTCTTCGAGTATGTCTGCAGCATCATGGTAGTCCGTATCCGAGCCAAGCTTGCAAGCGAACTCTTCAAGACTATTGCGAAGAAGACGAGGTGTCACGGTCATCAAAGCTCCTCGTCTTCTCGCCATTTCGTCCACGTTCGCCTGATACAAATTGTGTGTCCGACCCAATAGTATCTTGAGTTGGTTCTGGAAGGCCTGGAGCACGTCTCGCAACACCAGTGCTCGTCGCATCATGGTAGACGTGAATGCACGTACGTCGCCACTGTCGAGGGGCGCAAAGTCGGCCGGGTCAAGACGAGGCATGATACGCGGCAGGTCCATCCACTCGTTCGGAGAGATAGGCGAGGTGTGGAATCTGGTATCCTCGTCATCACTTGGAGGATTGTCGCTGTCGAACTCGTCGCCGTCGACTTCCATGGCCTCGGTGGGCGCCATTGGGGCCCTGTGTGGTGTTTGGTGGACTGTTGTATTAACCGGCCTAGCGGACTGCGCTGTAGACGGAGCTCGAAGTAGGCGGTCAAGTGAAGAGACGTGATCGGCTTGTTGAGCTTCGGATCTTTCTCTCTTTTCTTGTTCTGTGGCGCAGGCAGGCGGCGGGCGATATCGCGCCTTTCTGCGCGACGGCGTAGCTGAAGGCAATTAATCCGCACCGTCGCAAGTAGAGGGTCTGCGACGGGGGTGGATTAATGTGTTGTGTTTGTGCAGGAGAAAATTGGAAGGTTGTGGAGGATGCGCGTATTTGCTGTCAAGAAGCGGCGCACGAAGCAAATCGTGCTAGTGGGGACCTGTGCACTATTAGCGCAAACTTAAACCAAGTGACGCTAAGCATGTGAAAATCGCGGAGCAGGACAAAGCCACCAACGTCGCCAGCCTGAAACTCTGCATCAGGAATAGCAACATAGCTCTCGGAGTTCATTAGTAACCTTTGCTGGAATACAGTCACGTTCGATGTAACAACATGAGCATCCGATGGGCGCCTCTTTTGAAGATTGTTTGGTATTCATTTCTATCATCTATCATCATTCTACCAAGATGGTAGCACGCACGTGAGAGACTTTTGGCCTCACAAGACCCGCATCGCTTTTCCAAAAGAACACGTCGGGTATCAAGCTTTCACCGTCTGTCGCCCTTTGAGCAGTAAGGCCACAAGCCTTCTAGTGCGTCCGGCTACACTGGATTCTCTCAAGCTCAACTCAACTCATGCCAAACTTCCACCCTCACTTCCCGAGTACCGATGTCCCGTATCCTTCTCCTTCTCGTCAAACTGCTCCTTCTCCAATCCGGCCTCGTCATCACTTGCCTGGAAGCCGTACTCCCTCGCCTTGGAATCGATCTCCTCGTCCGTGAGGAATGGGAGTTCTCGGCTGGCCCGCACGTAGGACATGTTTTCCATGTAGCCCTTGGCGAAGATGAGGTCGACTTCTTCTAGGCTGCGGTTGGCAGTCTCGATGTAGAAGAAGTAGATGAAGGGGAGGAAGAGGGCGTTGACTGCGGCGAAGCTGGAAGAACGTTTAGTTTTGGTCGGATCTGGTGGGGGCTGTTGGCACTTACAAGAGGTATGTTCCCCAAGAAATGTTCGCGATCATGACGGGCGTGATCATCACGATGAGGAAGTTGAAGAGCCAGTTGGTACTCGTGCTGATCGCATTCGCCTTTGCACGCGTCTTTATAGGATTGACTTCGGCCGGGTAAAGCCAGGGGAGTGGAAGCCATGTTGCACCGAAGAAGGCGATGAAGAAGAAGAAACCAACGACGGCACCCTTCGCGGCCTGTGGTCCTCCAGGGATAAGGCAGGCGAAGGCCAGCACCATGGAAAGACATTGCCCAACAGTACCGATGAGGAAGAGCTTTCTGCGGCCCACTCTTTCGATGACGAACCAGGAGGTCGTGGCGAAAAGAGCGTAGACGATCATGTTGACTCCAGAGAGGATAAGAGCCATTGTGCGACCTTGACCGACGCTGTTCTCGAAGAGGATGGGGAGGTAGTAGATGACGGCATTGCACCTAGGAGGTCAGTAAAGTTTCGAGACATTGACATATCAAATCACATACCCGCCGATCTGCTGGAAGAACTGAGCAGAAGAACCCAGCAACATCCGTCGGAAATGCTGCGTCTTCCCACCAGTGAAGAGCTCACGGTACGGTGTGTTGCCTCCGACATGTCCAGATGCACGGATGCTTTCCATAATGATGCCGGCCTGGAGTTTGACTTCATCGTCGTCTCGAGACTTTCCACGGAGGGCTGCGAGAACGGTCATGGCTTCTTCATGGCGGTCTCGGGTCAGTAGCCATCTAGGCGATTCTGGGAGGCCAATCATGAAGATGGATAGGAAGAGGCCGAAGACGATTTGAAAAGCGATGGGGAAGCGCCAGGTGAGGTCCGCTGGGCCGTAGCTGGCGCCGAAGTCGATCCAGTAGGCGATACTAGAGTGAAAAATAAGTAGGTGTCCATATCGACTGATTATGTAGTACTCACACTGTGCCAATCGCAACCGTCCCTCCCTCGATACAGATGAGAAGACCGCGGTTGGTACTGTGGGAGCACTCTGCCTGGTAGGTGGGAATCGTCGAAGTATTGATACCGTTTCCAATACCAGTAATTGTCCGTCCAACAATGAACTGAGCAGTGGCACCCGCCGTACCACTCGAAGGGACAGCAGTCACTTGGATGATGACACCAATAATCATGATGATCCCGCCAACAATAATAGCCCTTCGGCGACCAATCTTATCACCATAGCCAAGCTGGAACAGAGCGCCAATCAGACATCCGACCTCATAGATAGCCGTCACAAAGCCCTGCCATGTTGAGTCGTCTTTGGTCTCTGGGAAGGCTGCGTTGAACTGAGGGGCGGAGATAATTCCTGACATGACACCCTGGTCATAGCCGAAGAGGAGGAAGCCGTTCGTAGCAACCACGGATACTGCAATTGACAGTGTCCTACCCGTCATGCCAAGGTAGTGAGGGATGCCATGTTGGTCGTCCTTGTATGGAGCTTGGAAGCCCATATTGCGGGAAGTCGTTTGGCCTACCGGTGGCCACTTGCTTGCTCTCTGAGGTGAAGCTGTTGGGGAGTGAAAGAGAAAGTAATCGATGCACAGCACGGACGATCAGCTGGATAGTTGGAGAGAGGGAGGAAGGTGGAGAGCTGAGACGGACAAAAGGAGACTGACAGAGATATTTGAACCCGACAACATCTTCTCCTCCACTTCAGCTGAGAGATTACTGTTATCAATACCGACACCTTTCTCTCGCCATATTGAGTAAAGTATCCACACGCATCGCTGCGTTGCATTCAAGGTTGTCGGGAGAGCAAACGAGTTCAAGAAGACGAAGAGCTCCGCCGACGCAGTGCCGAAACTTGAATCAGCTGCTTGGTTGGTCGATGAGCCTGAGTCGTTGTCGTTGTACGTCAAACCCTCTCCACATCGTGGACCCTGCGGACACACGCCCATGCGACTGTGGGAGGGATATGGAGTTTGAGGGATTCTTGGCGGAGATTCAGCTAGCGGGTCGAACATGTTACGGACTCGTGCAGACGAAAAAGTGGTTCCTTGTGCGAGCTGGCGGTTACAGTCAGGCTGTGTACTGGGCGTCATTGGCGTGAAGAGTGCGGTTAAATGCTGGGAGGTTGAAATAAGAGTGGGTATCGGCGTCGGACTAAGATTTTTTCGGGCAAGCCGAACTCTATATCGCGTGAGTGAATCTTTTGATCCTTGTGCGATGACGTCGATTATCATTTGCTTGGGTGCTGCTTGTGTCTCTTGAGTCCGAGCAAGCACCGACTCAAGCAATTGCCAATGTACGCAGCCAATGGTGCCAGCGATTCAGAGTGTTCGCGATGCTGCGATGCATTCTTCTGTGCGCCCCCTCTTGCCAGCCTGTCGTGACCAGAAAAGGCTTTAACCGAACGTCTGTCGCCGCACCCTTCTAGCGATCTAACGGGTGTACAGTCACTCTAGCCTGAGACTTGGAGAACGGATATCAGAGGTGCAATGGAGTTTTGTGTACGAGAAAGATCATGTTGAAGATGTCCTCTAGCTAATGATGCAGAGTGCTGCAATGTACCTTGGTCACTCACTTACAGCAGAACAGAGTTGGCAATCTCTGTAGTTTCGTAACTATCAGGCAGCATTTTAACCTTTAGAGGGTTCTCCGTAGTCTGGCTAAGAGCATGTTTTATCGCCGACCAGGAAGTGTTAACCAAGGGGGAAAGGTTCTTTTTGGCTTTTACAAAATGCTCAAGCGATACATTCAACTAATTTGTTCTGGAAACTGAGTAGAGGGAAAACCTTTTATCCCATTCATGCGTTAGCTGTAGCCTGTAAACCTAATAGAGAGCGCTGTAACTACGAAAGTAAGACGACGGTAAAACGAGGATGGGGTACGAATGCCCAACTGAAGACGAGAATGTTACCGCCAGCATCTCACCCCATAATAGAGATAAAGAGGTCTTTGGCAAAATATCGTCACATGTTTCCATCTGACAGAGATCGCCCGCCGACTGTGAGACTGCCGAGTCTCACATGCTTAGCGTCGACCAAGTTAAAGTTGGCGCTGGCGCCGCACGGATCTCTGTGAGAGAACCGTCTTCTGACTCCATGCTGTCTTTTCCTTCTCCTTCATGAACACACACAATCTGCATGGACAATTGAGTCTCTGCCACAACATCACTGTTGAGCAGCGTCGATACCTTAAACCTCCTCCATTGCATACCTCCGAGAGTCTGCTTGCGAGATCAGCTCGCCGCAGTCTCACCCGCGCAAGACCAAGTTTGTCGAGCTCATCTTGAGGTAGGAGCATCAGGATAGCCTGTGCAAGTCACAAAGGCATATCAGCGCTTCAATTTCTGACTGACAGGAATCGCAGCATCCTTACCACCTCGTCTCGACGGCCGCACGGGGAACATAACTCGTTTTCATCTCGAGCTTATTACGGCGAAAGCGGGAATCGTGCACCTTCGGGATAGGCTTGCAGCTCTGATAGTCATGGACCCCGAAATGATCGACGGACCATGCCTGCTTATCGTGGAGCCAGACAGAGTTGGTCCGAAGACGGACGCCGGCAGGGTTCTGAAGCAAATGATGGAAGGAGACGAAGACCTTCTGGAAGAGCTGTCACTCGATTTGGAGGAGGCGCAGAACAAAACGCAGAGATGGGAAGTGCCGCGGCTCGTTGTTGGAAGGGTCAAAGACCCCGAACACGGCAGACCTACAGAAGACAAGGCCATGATATACCTTGCCTTGTACTTCAAGAGTAGCGGTAATAGTCTGGCTCTTGTCCGCCCAGGCGTGGAGAAGATTAAGAAAGACAAGAAGGAGGGATGGATTACAGCGAGCCGCGACGACGAGCCAGTCACCAGCAAGGACATTCAACGTGGGATGTACGACGAACGCCTTACACCCGCGTACTGGTTTAGCAAAGAAGACGACGGGACCGGAACGGAACTCGCTGCTTACGAGGATGTTGGCATTAAGAAAGAGCAGGTTCTGGGCCACTACGAGCGATTCCTCGTCCGTCTTTGGGCCTTCAAGTTTCAGACAGCCAAATTACCACCCAGAAGCAAACGAGTACACGAGCGAAACGACGAAGACGAGAGCACCCTTTCGATGGATTCTCGACGCAAGAGAGTCAAGACTGGCCAGTCCTTCGGACCTGAGCAAGAAGATGACGACGATGATGACGACGAAGAACGAAGAGCCATAGTTGAAGACGAGATTGAAAGTGAAGGACTTAGCAGAGAGTACGGATGGATAGAGGACACAGACTGGTGGACGGCATACAACAGCAAAGACATTCATCTGACTTTCGAACATCTTTGCAACGATATCATCTGCAATAAGATTCGCAGAGGTTTCCAAGCGAAGCACCAGGGTAAAGGCGAGGAGACTCCCCACTCAGGCCCTATGCCTAGCCAGCATCTCGTACGACGCGCTTGGGAATGGACAAGGTTCGAAAGCGCACAGACTTGTAACGTTACATCCTGTTTCCGACAATTTATGCAGGCGGTTGCCAACGATTGGGATATCTCTAAGGCCAATGCAGCCTACACCATGCCTACGAAACCACAGAAACCTCCAGGGGTCATCTTTCCCCCGGAAAAGAAGACGATGCGTGACGGACGCGCTTCGAATATGGACAAGTCAATGGCCAGGATTCCACTTCTCAGACTGCGAGATCCCCAAGGAAAGAAGTGAGCAGGATTTGGAAGGGCTACGACAACGCGAATGCTACATAGAAAGATGCACATCTCACAGGCACGAGGTAAGGGGCCTGCTATGACGAGCATCGAAAACGAGACTGGTAGGGCTCAAACAACCAGTAGCGAGTAGGGAGACCAGGCATGCTCTTCCAGCGAAAGGACGAGGTATGATGTATCTTCTTTTGAGTAGTCCAGAGGTCCTTACATAATACATGATGTATGATGCATTTCGAGACCGTTCTGAATCTAATTACGAATCGAGAGTTCGAGCCGTTGAAAGGGTCACGCAAGATTTTCTCCCGTATGCCTGCAATCTCGAACACGCTCATTCACTAATCACAATACTTGTGTCTGCGAAACACATACGAGGATCCGACGTATGGTGCCTGTCTCTGGAGTCAACGATGACTTCAGACCTCTAATATTGGTAGAAGACATGTGAGGCAGATGGAGTGGTTAGATTGCTCCACACGTGTTAAAGGCTAGCAAACAGCCTTAAGATACGTAAGTCAGCACAGAGCAGGCCATACTTCTAGGAATTGATTAAGTTGAGCTAATTTAACGTCCTGTTGTTTAAGATTTTACGCGTATTAGCTTGCTCCTATTAGATACTATAGAAAGACTGCAGCACAGGTTAAGATCTTCAGATAGGGGGAGCTACGTTATGTCTATCTCAAACTCTGTGCGAGTCCAAAAAAATAGGGGGGCTACTACCTACGGCTAGCCTACCAAATAGAAGACTAGATTCTCAAAAGACGGGCACTTGCACCGGGTTTCGAGACAACAAGGAGAGCGACCCGGCTAACAGGCTTAGGGAAATTGGGGGAGGGGGGGGGGTGAGAAAATCCTCTGCCTAGAGCACGTCTCACAGAGCAGTGGACAGCCCTGAGATAGGTATATTGATATAGAAATAGGCAAATCGTGGAGAATCGGCCAAGTTCAGGAAAGTCATCGGTAGCTGAACAACGACCGCGTCCGTGAGTAGGGAGCAAGACGTTTTTGCGAGGCGCTGTGCTACCTTATGGAGCAGTATGAACCCCGACGACGGGCGTAACCTCGTCCAATGCAAAACCAAACCGAAAGTATGCAAAACCGCTCCAAAAGCCAAATGCCAGATGCAAAACCCAACCGAAGCCCCAATTTTCCCATTCCCATCAATCATGCCATGCAAACCCCTTTCCCCATCATCGCCCCTCAACAGGACCACCCACCCCATTCATACCCACCGCCACACTCAAAGCCTCAATAGCATCCTCCAACTCATCCTCATAAACGATGACATGCCCTGCGCGGCTCGTGCTCAGATAACTCATATTGAACATCTCCCTGCCGATCCTGCCCCTCATCCCATCCGTCAATCGACTGCTGACGCCACAGACAATTCCCGTGCTTTCGAGCGGTAGGGTTTTCAGGTCCAGCGTGATGGGGATCTGTTCGGGGGATTCTGTCCCCAGTAAGACGTCCTCGCCGTCGTTGGGGAAGTGGGAGAGGAGGTGTTTTTCGAGGGTCAGCGAGGCGGATTCGGAGTCTGTGAGGGTCATGGAGAAGAAGGTCGGGGGTGGTTTGGCGGTGAGGCATTTGGCGAGGCCGAGGTGGAGTTTGCCTTCGGTGAAGTTGGTTGTTGAGGCGGAGGGGGTGGATTGTTTTATGCCGGCGCAGGTGATGAGTTGAATCGAGGGGTCGACGGTGGGGAGGATGTTGTTCACGGAGAGGGTCTTGAAGGTTTTTGTTTGGAGTTCGGGGACGGTGGTCGGTGGCGGGGTCTGGGCGATTGGGAAGGAGTCTGAGGAGGATGAGGTGGAACCTTGCCGGGTATGTGGGTTGGTGAGAGGTGATTGCGGGTTGGTCATCTGGCCAGATTCACCATCCGCGTCTGTCGCTTCGAATACGAAACCTCGCTCTTCCAGGGCGTGAATGACTTTCGGTCTTGAGCTGAAAGGGACCAGGATGAAGTCGGAGTAGTAGCTCGTGATGAAGAATATTGGAATACCAGCCATGGCCAAGGGACTTGTCAAATCCAAGACTCGCTGTCCAGCTTCCAATCCTTCGCCTCCAATCATTATCACCGAATAGTCTTCTTTGGTGATCGATACGGCCTTCCTGAGCGCTGGGCTGAGCCCTTCAATAAGAGGAGCAAAGAGTGTCTCGGCTTGTTCGCGTGGGCAGACGATCGAGCATTCGTTAGGTGTGATCGACACATTGACGAAAGGATGCCAGTATTGCCATGATCTTCTGGGCTCAATGATATTGCCATCCTCATCGATTTGGCCATTGTTCAGCAGGAGGTTGAGTATGGGCTGGACGAATAAGGGGTAGGCCGCGGACGGGATGTGTATCAATGCGAGATGGGTTCTCTATTCACAAGTTAGTAGACTCCACTAAATGAACTGCACTTTACATACCAGAAAGCCAATCTGCGCATTGAGCAGCGTGCTAGACTCCGCTATAGGCTGACCCATGATTTTGGTGACAGTGCTGGAGAGGAGTAGTCACAGCTTCCGGAATTAAAATGTCAATTGACAGAGTATGTAGGGCTTTTCGATTCTTTTTATGTTTCAACGGTTGACTGGCTCAACAGGTAGAGGATACTCGTGGACAATCGCCGCCTGAAAGTTCATCGTCTTGTGCGTAGCAAAGAGCCGAAGTTGTCGCAGCAAAAGGAAGCTTTCTTTGCTGCTAGACGGTGAGACAAGAAGAGGAGGGCAGATGACACCTGACGACACGAGAGAATGTAGGTACAGCGGGTGGATGTAGATTTCCTGGTGGCGCTTAAGTCGGGTTGACGAACAACGTCACAGCGACAAGCCGGCGTTAGCCTTGGGCCAAGTTCGAATTGAGGATGATGGCGTGGATGGAGCTCTGCGAGGACAGTCGTCAGGGTCGGGGTCGGAGGCGTCGTGGTGCTGCAGGTGTGGGCTGGGGACAATCCGGGGCGAGGTAACGAGCTGCAGGGCCGAGCGTGGGATGTGTGCCTTGCGGACCAGTGAGCGTGTGATGCTTCCCCTCACCCAGTGCAAGCCAGTGTCGAGACGGGCGGGAGCGTGGTTGTCGCTTGTCGTAGTGGATGCTGAGCGAGGCGAGTGTGACTTGCAGCGTGGGATGGTGCTGCTGCAGGTAAATCGGCGGGCCGTCTCCAATATATACTCTGACTCTGAACTCCGACTCTAGACAAGGTTGAGGGAAAGGGAAAAAGGCGAGCTTGTTGGTCGAACCGCTTACCACGTGTAGTAAGTGATAGCACAGCAGCTATCGTGGATAGCCATATCCACTTCCCACCTCCCGAGAACAGCCGATGTGGGGAGTTTTGGGAGTAACTGTGAGAAAGAAGAGTCGTGCTGCCAAAAGGAGAATGCCGCAATGGCTGCTTACTGTGAGTGAGTGAGTGAAACCGGGTAGCATAAGACCGCATTGAACGCAGATGGCACGAAGTGCGCGTGACGATCCATTGCGCCTCCAACCAACAACCACCTCATCATTCCAAAGAAAGAAATGTCATGCTGAGTTAGTGGATGAAAGTGGAGGAGGAAGAGGGTGGGCTGGTGAGAAAGAGGGGAAAAGGCTCCCGCCAGAAAGAGATCTGTGCGTTCCAAGCTCAAGCCACCAAAGTGAATTTCAACCACCTTGCTATCTCTTCGGTACTAACAATCAATTCACCAAACCGTCCGGCTCTACATTCCTCTTCACGGCGGAAAGCCGCATCCACCGACATGCGACCGGCGCTGTCGTGTGAGGTGGTCTCGCAGTGGAGCAATCTGGGGGACGGGCGAGAGAGCTATCTCGTCGCACGAACGCGAAATTCTCCGACGACGAGACGAGACGGGAGATTGTAATGTCAGACGTTCATGCGTGGAATGGGTCGGCTCACGCTCAGCCTCTATCGCGTGCAGTTCCTGATGAGTGGGAAAATCCTCCAGGAATAGCCATCGCGCATACCGCGCTTGAAGAAAGAGGGAGTGGGAGAGCGTGAAGAAGGCGGTCCAGGGGCTTGCTCACAGTCTGGCAGGGATTGTGTGGAGTTGGTGATTTCTTGGTGGGTGCACAGCATGTCTAGGGTAGGAGGAAGTGTGCTCGCTCTAGACTCTGACGTTGACGACATGCGAGGTGAGGTTTCACGACGCGAGGAGACGACGATACCGTGATGGTGATCGCTTGCACGAGTAGTTGTGTTCATCTACAGGTACAGTACATGAATCTAACTAATCAATACATCGAGGGAGTCATAGCACGAGGCTTTTCTAAAGGACATGCTCCACAGTCGGCTCAACGCACTGCGCATAGTAGGGGTTGACCTTCTTGCAAACCAACCCGCTTGTACACTTCGTGGGACCAGTGAATCCAAGGCCGCCGCACTGGTCATACTCATCCGCCTCTCCAGAAGCGCTGGAAGCCCCAGACGAAGCAGTGGGATATGCAGAGCCAGTCGCTGTTCCAGTAGGTCCTACGGTAGTACCATTGCCAGGCACAATTGGCAGACCACTCGCAGAAGCCTTCACGCCACTGCCAGTCTGCTTCCCAGTATTGCTCAATCCCAGAATCTTCTCCGAAGCATGCTCTGCCACGGCGACGATCAAGGCGCTAGGGTTCGTCGACACCATACCAGGAAAGACGGAGGCATCGACGACGAAGAGGTTGTCGGTCTCGTAGACTTGCGTGTTGGTATCCACGACCGCTGTCCCGTTGTTCTCGAGCCCGGAGTCCAAACCCATCTTACAAGTTCCAATCCAGTGGTTTGCAGATCTTGAGGACGTGGTGAGCGGGTATGACGAAAGGAAAGCATCTGTCGTCTGGTTCGAGGGAGGGTAGACGATCTGGATGGAAGGATCGGCAGCAAGGGCTTTCTTCAACGATTCAATGCCTGCTGCGACGGCTGCGACGTCGTTTTCATCTTGAAGGTAGGGAACTTCCGAAACGACCATGTTCAAGCCTTTGGTGATGGTCGCACGACCGCGACCAACAGATCCTCGACCGAGGTATTGAGAGATGGACATGGCTTTCTCGCTGTCGATGTCGTGGCTGCTTTCGACACGAGCCGTGTATTGAAGCTGACGAGTGATACCATCAGCGCCTTCGATCTCCTGCCAGAAGACAGCAGCGAGGTTAGGAGCGGACTGTGCGAGGATCCCGCTGCGACTGTCGAGATACAGATTCTTGTCCCCAGCGATGGGTGAATCGTAAGCGGCGTAGAAGTCGTAAAACGACACATTCGGATGCGTGATCACGATATCGGTATTGGTGTGGTCATCGAGGTTGTGGCCGACAGGGAGGTTGATCCATTGCGAGCTGTTGATCATCTTGCTGCTTTCGCCGCTTTGGACGATCTCCAGCTGGTCTTGGGGACCGATGCCTGAGCGCATGAGGATCTTGGGTGATCCAAAGGCCCCGGCGCTGAGGATGACTTTGCCCGTGTCTGGCGTGACGTTAATCGTTCCACAGAGTCCGCCTTCGAGGAAAGCTTCGACTTCGACGCCTGTGATATGGCTTCCGTCTCGAACAACACGGTTCACGGCGGTGTTCATCGCCAGCTTGAAGTTGCTCCTCTCAGAGGCACTGACAAGATACGTCGCCATCGGCCCTCCTCGCTCCCCATGACTGAACATATGATTCGGCCTCGAAAACGTAAAGTTCTTCTCAGCAGGCACATCATCCGCCGTGACATTCTTCCACCCATTCGCGGCCAAAGCCCCAGCAACAACTTCATACCCCTGCGGCTTGTAAATCACATCATCCGTCGACGGACATTCCGTGAACGGGATCCTCTCAAACGTCCTCTCGATCGCGGGCGCCATATCCGATGCCTTCCAACCTTCGGGGAAGTTGTAGTCGAAATCGGTTGGGTTGGCCTTCCACCACAGTCCAGCATTGACAGCTGTGCCGCCGCCGAGCACACAGCCTGCCATGACGCCGACGTCTGTGCATGCGATGCCTTCGGAGTCTTGCCAGATTTCGTTGTCTAAGCCGGGTACGTCGAAGCGGGTGAGATTTGTGTTGTCAAGCCAGCTTGGTTTCATGCTTCCACCCCAGCGACCGGAGGATGGAGGGCCTTTTTCGAGGAGCAAGACGCTGGCGCCTGAGGCAGATAGCTTGTCTGCGAGGGGGATACCGCCTGCGCCAGCACCAACCACGATGTAGTCCCATGTTTGGGCGGTGATGGTGCTGTTCGAAGCACAGGCCGCCGCTGTCGAAGTCGCCGTCGCCGAAACAGCTGAGCCTGTACCAGTACCCGTGACACCTGCAGTAGCCGTACTATTGCCTGCTGGAAAAGGCACACTCGCCGTTGCGGTCGCCAAAGCCGTCCACTCAGTATACGCCGTATTCCGAGCAGACCCAACCGTAGCTGCAAATATCCCCTCCGTAGCATGCTGCTGAAGTCCCGAATCCTCCTCATCAGGATTGGTAGGCGCCTGAGTAGCCTGCGCCCACCCGATAAGTTGAGCAGCGTTCGAAGTCGTGGCTGGGAGTTGTGCACTGGAAACGCCGTCCTGCTCCCACCTCCAGCAGTCCTTGCAGCGGTAGGTCAGAGAGTAGTGCGTGTCGTTGACGTTCGAGTTAATGACGGAGAGCGTCGCGTTTCCAGTGTAGACATCAGGTGAGACGTATCCATCGGCGTAGCGGAAGGAAGTCATGACTTCGCCTTCGTTGACCCAGGTAAGGAGGATGAGCGAGTTAGTCATGCCACTGGTATGGCTGATACCGAACCAAGTCCCGCTCTCTGGATTCGTGACAGCAAAGCGACCGATGTACTCGTCCGACCCGACACTCTGATCAGCGCCAGGAAGCGCCATGCCCCATTGTGAGCTACCTTCGCCAACGCCTGTGTCGACGGTAGCTTGCCAGAACTGGATGCCACTCTCATCCGTGAATTTGGCGAAAGTCTGAGCTGTGGCGGCGGTCGCTAAGGCAAGTAAAGCAGCAATGCGTGAGAACTTCATCGTGAAGCAGAATGAACCTCTCCAGGAGGTTTGCGAAAAGAACGACTTGAGGTCAACTCAAACGAAAGGACGCCCGTCAAGAGCAAAAGAACGCAGAAAACAGCACTGCACGGAAGAAGGGTACTCACCAGAAAGCAAAATGTCCTTTGCGAAAGAGACATCTATGTATTATATTTCGTCGTTTGCTGGTTGGCCACCGCGATCTCGCTCTTGGGAATATGGGTACGATCTCGTATAGATTGCAATGCAATATGGCCGTTCCTCTGGTACTCAGAACTTTGCCGCCATCCTGTACAACATTGTAAGCTTATGTATCGAAGAAAGTAGGAGAAGCTTGGGTGACATGCCGCAGATTGATGAACTGCTGGAGCGTGCAGCCACGCCGAGACCTCGCGTGCCGCTCTTCGAGACAACAGTACCGAATTCCTGCGACATCAGCCAGACTGAGATATATTGCTTTGCTAGATTCTCCGTCGAATGGAGTGTCAGTGGGTATAGTTGTTCGCTCATTGGTGCTTGTGGATCGGACAAAGCGCGGGTTTGTAGGCTCGATTCATGGATTATCATCTGTTTCGAGCAGACTGCCGTAGAGCTACATTTGCAATTGTAATACGCTCGTTGCGAGCCGAAAAGGTCATCCTCCGTGTCCTCGTAATGCCATCCCTGGGGTGTTAGGCGGCTGGGATCTCGTACGCCAGGTCATGCTGCCGAACGCCTCAAATGCTTTGCTGGGAACAATCGTGCCATAACATTCAACAACGCCTCGTTCTTTGTACATTCGTCAATCATCACTTGTCATCATCTTCATCGATGTCCAGTTGCTCAGGATGGCTATGAAGAGATTAGCGAATGACAAGAGTGGACAGGGCATATACTGACCCGAGCAAGTCCTTGATGTTCTTCATCTCGTAGTGCTTCTTGCGCATCTCCTCAAACTTCTTGTGCTTCTCACGCTCGGCCAGTGTCATGTCTTCTTCAGCTTCCTCGCCATGGCGCTTGCCGTCTTGGTCCTTGAACTCGCTGTCGACCTGGACTTTACGCTCACCATCGCTGTCGTGCCTGCTCAGTGGATCCATCTCGGGCTCGCCCAACTCCAAACCAGGGATCTCGTTATCCCTAGCACGCGACCCAGAAGCCTTGCGACCACGCGGCTTGGCCTTGCTCATGTCCAGCTCGTCCACATTGAGTTCCTCTGCGTTGATGTTGGCGATCTCCTCTTCATCCTCCGCTGGGTCATAGTTCCTCGCGTATGGTGTCTTGGGCTCGTCAATCTTCATCTTGCCGCCCATCTGTCCCTCGTTCAAATACAGATTGGCCTCGTCCCACTTCAATCTCATGCTGCCCTCGTCATGGTCACCGTTCGTAGCCGGCGCGGGTCCGCTGCCCTGTTCTGATTGACGCCGACTTAGACTTCCACGAACATTGCTGCTATTCCGGCGGTTTCCGTTCCCTGCATTGAGTTCTGTATTCATTTGGGTAATTTCCTTCTCCGAAAGCTCCCGTGGAGGCATGCCAGGTCGCTCGGCAGGCACAGCAGGCTCCGGTAGTCCGGCATTGCCAGGAAGACTGCCAGCGTTCTCGGACGTTGGACTTATGCGTGCGTCGGGGGAGGTCTGCTGGTAGGAGCCATTGTTCTTCAGGATACCTGCGATGTGTGAGCCACTTGAAGATGCAGCTTGAATGCTACGATGTCTTACCCTTTGGCCTCTTAGGCACAGAGGATGGTGAAGTCGTGGCAGCAGCTGTATGAGCCATGGTGTGTATGTTTGGAGGGTGGAAGATGGAGCAGTGTGGGCGCAGTTATGTGGGCGGTGGTTGCTTTTCACGTGCAAGCTCCGGCGATGTCACCAGACTTGTTTGACGCAGGTACCGCTCCTACAAGAGCTCCAAGTGCAGTGCGGTGGGTGTGGCGCCGCCGGTGAAGGTGGAGCGGTGTATGGTAGAGGCGCGTGTCGAATTGCTGCTGTACGATGGTGTGTCGAAGAGATCGGTCGGGGTGAGGAGGCGTGGTGAATGATGATGACGGGCGGCTGGATGCAGACCGGCTGGAGAGTACTCGCATGTGCTGATGATCAACTTCATGCACGCCGACCGTTTGGGCTCATCAAATCCCACTAATTGTTTTAGCGCATCATTCATTTATTATGTCATAGTCTGCACGTGACAGCAGCCTCTTTTCTTGACCTTCGCAACAAACATGGATGGCTAACGGCACCACAATCAACCTCTTCCACGAACTATCTCGCCACGGCGGGCATCAACATTCAGCATTGTTTCCCGCACTCTACACGCTGTTCAATGGCAACGGCATCCATTCGGCTCTACTCAAGCCAATCGGTCTGCCCCTCCAACTAAAACACTACAGCACAATAGCGGCACGCAGGACCCTGACAACCACGACAATGCCGACGCTTGACCATCTGCCTTTTCTGCGGCATCTACAGCGGCCTACGTGACCATTGCAAGGACACTGAGATCGCCGTCAAAGTGCTCATGATATGTGGTGACAACGACCGGCGAACAACCAAGTTTGAACGATTCCGGTAAATTCTATGTCTGGACTACCGGAGGAAAGCTCGCGATGATCTTCTCTCCAAGCTTTGCGCTGCCGTCCAAACCGACTTCATGTCTTGACTCCAGTTCACCAAATTCTATGTGCAGAGGAAAAAGCCGCTTCTATTTCATGTGGTCTCATCGTAGTCGTAGCCCCAGGTACGTTCTTGCGCCGTCACTCAACGCATTATACTCTCTGCAAATCCTCGAATCTTCCCTCTCAGCCCGTGCTTCTGCTCTCCACCAGCATTGTCCTGTTGAGGAGGAGGCGGCGGCGGCCCTCGAACGTATGGCTGCTTGCCCTGTGGATGAGGCATCGCAGCCCCGCCGTGGTCGGCGGCGGCGTTCTTGCCTCCTACAGTCACGGTAAAGAGCACAGGGTCCCCAGCATTCACCTTGCCCGACTGGTCATCACCATGCGAAGGCTGAACATCATCGTAAGCGAATGCATATCCTTTGCCGTCGATGTTGTGTTGATGCACAAGCCGAGCATAGTGGTTGGTCGGCTCCTGGCAGTAGAAGGTATGTGGATCGCTGGGATGGTCTTCGCATTGGAGGCAAGCCGACCTCACGAATGCAGCTGCTAACCGTGGGATGATGGCGTTCCTCGTAGGTGATGGTCCAGTTGTGAAGGGACCGCTGTTGCACCCCAGGATGTCCGCGGTGTTGGGCTTGTCGAATTCTTCATCTCCAATCTTCAGCTTCCCGTTCTTTCCAACCTGCCCTTCAAGAATGCCATCACCCGCCTGCGTATCGATCTTCAACTTCGCCCCGGACTGATACTTCCTCCAGACATCCTCAACATGCGGCTCATAATATCCATCAAAATTTGCCCCAACAGCTCCTCCGTGCGTGGCGTTCAACACTCTCACAACCCTTCCGTCTCTCCTCACGACTAAGCTCTCCCAAGGTCGCCCATCCTTCTTCGTTTGCTCAGCCAGCGCCTCTGCCATACGATCGATTCCGTCCGGTGCCATTCCTGCCACATGCTGGATCTCCCCCGAGTTCTGTTGCAACGTAATGGCAATCGGTATCCTCGGCACGAAATCCACGTAACTGATGTTGGCATAGAGTTGAGCATCGTTCAACGTGAACTCTGCGAACCCGAAATTGACACTCGCATTCGGATCACTTGGATTCAGCACCGACGGCTCGACCAAGGCAGGACCCGGATTGAGAAGGAATGTAAGATGGCCCTCGGCGATCCATATTCTGCCGCCGGCAATCTGAGGGATGGTGACTGTAACGGTATTTCCTGGAGCACCGAGTGGGATCGCGCAGTCTTCCGCCAACGGTGTCCCTATATCTTTGACCTGTTGTGGGAAATAGAGATCTCTGCCATTAGACTTGAGTAGGCATCGCTGGCCATCTCTCTGGATGGCAATGCCGGTCACGTAAGCGTGGAGTTGGTCAGAGTCGCTGTCGTTCTTGAGAGCGATCTGGAGGGAATCCGGCATCCTCTAAGAAATGTGTGCTGTTTTCACTCAACAGCACTGTTTCGAAGTGTAGAAAGAGCGAATGTTGATGACCAATGTCCGAGAACCTGGTCACTGGGCACGAATCCCGGTCATCTGAAATCTCGGCCGGATGACGTCGAGAAACTGACCGCCAAGTGAATGTTCCACGACTTCATCTGTTCACCTCTCTTACACCTCATGCTTTATTACCATGGTTCGCTCTCACCGGAGCTCGATTCCCTCCAATGTTACAGGAAATCTGAAGGGTGCAATGCGAGTTGAGCAGATGCACTCGCGTGACGTCAATCAAGACCGAAACGACATGCATGAGCCGTGCCGCCTTTTCTCAAGAGTGAGGCTCGCTGCATGAACGCTCAGCCGTAGACACGGGAGGTAAGAATGTTGATGGTATTCAGCTTGGGCAAAGGCAGGCACAGCATGTCTCTACCGTCATCGTTTCGCTCAAGGCTCGATTCCGACACGTCCTATATGGCGAGATCCGTTCAATTGATTCACAGCAGGTTGCTTATCTTCTGGACCAGCACCGCAACCTTCACAGTCGAATGCAAACAGATTTAAAAAACGGACAGCGTTCCAAGAATACAGCGACTGGGAATGGCCAACCGTGTATGACGAGTGAAGCCGAACCCATCTGGAAGATGAATAGACTTGCGAGCAAGACATCTCTAAGCAAACGCCTCGATGAGTTCATCGAGCTTGGTTGGAGGGGTGACCCGAGTGTACCCCCTGAGATCTTGCGACAGACTGGTGCTTGTTCTGGAAATTTTGCGCGATGAGCTGGGGATCACGTCGAGGTCAGGTAATGTCGAGGTTGATGCGTGGGAAGAAGCTGAGCCGAAAGCATGTCTTGTTGCCCTTGCATGAAAGGCCTGGGGTTGATCGTAAGTCTGGTGCGAGCGACGATGGCTGAATCTGAAGGTCGATATAACAAGCATCACGAGTTCTTCGAACAGAAACAATGAGCTTCGTTCCTTGACACGCAGGATCACCGTGCCGGATACAGTAGAGCTTAATGTGGACAGATGGAGGACAAGTACATCTTCAGGTTACTGCGGGCCCAGGCATCAGATACTTCTCTGATTACTATCTCATTCTATGAAGACTTGCTAACGTCAGCAAACTGCAGCATTCTGGATCCTCACACCAAGCCCCTTTCCAGAATTGCCTGAAACGGACAACGGCCTTCAATGATGACACAGCAAACTGATGCTCGCCAAGAAGTCTTGCACTAGATATACATGACCTCGAGGTTGTTAATATTCGCAAAGCCGACAAGAGCATTTGAATCAATCCACCGCCTCGTCCGACACATCTCGCCTCAACATGCCCGGCACACTCAGTGTTCTCCTGGTTGGAGCTGGAGGAGCCTGGGGAAGACCATTATTGGAGCAATTCATCAAGCAAAAGTCTTCGTTCAAACGAGTCGCCGTTCTTGCTCGAGATCAGAACCACGCCGAGAAGTTTAGTGATGCCAAAGCTCAAGGGGTCGAAATAGTGCTAGGATCCTTCCTGGATTCGGCTCCTTACAAAGGTAATGAAAGGACTTACAATCAAGCAAGGCACGCGGCTAAATTCTCGACCGTTGATCAGGCTTCGACGTCGTGATGTCCTTGGTGGGCAACCCTCTCCTCCGTCTCCAGCCGGCAATGATCCAAGCAGCCAGCGCGGCCGGCGTCACACACTTCTACCCTGGAGAATGGAACAGCGATATCGACCAGCCCGAGATCGCGAACATGAGATACTTTCGCGACAAACAAGCAACACGGGCGCAGTGTCACGCCACCGCACAGGAGAATCCAAATTTCAAGTATACGATTTTCATTACTGGCATCTTCACCGAGTGGACGTTGATGTTTGGCTGGGACCATGAGAAGAAATCGGCGGTAGTTTTTGGAGATTCCTCGAAGAGGATTGGGTCGACGAGTATCCCGGAGTATGATTCATATCGCTCTCAGAGGACGCAAACTGATCAGGTCGCAGCATCGCGAGATATACCGTCGATTCTCTCCTCATCCCTTTCAAAGCGGACGGCGGTGCCTTTCCCAACCGTCGAACCATCCGAGCGCAAGGTGGCTCAAAGCCTTACGGAGAGCTTGTTGCAGACCTCGAAGAGGCTCGTGGCATGAAATATTCCGTCGAGTATCGAGACCGAGCAGAAGCCCTGAAGCTGCAAGAGCAGGCGAGGCAGCAGGGAGACGAGGCAGGGGAGATGTTCTGGTCGATACGGACTCTTCCAGCGAGCGGGTATGGAGTTGCGGATGGTGTCGAGGAGGGCAAGTTGGACAACGATTTGTTTGATTTCACGCCGGAGACGCAGAAAGAGACGTTTGAAAGGTTTTGGAGTGGACAGAAGTGAACACAAAAAGTCGAAAGAGTTGAGTTGATCCTTTTTTTTTTAAAAAAAAAAACAAATCTATTGACCGTGTTTCTTGAGATTGGTGTCTATGTCTGACCTGTCGTCGCCGCCCTAGCCAATGTCAATCGCTGCAACGCTGCCAATATCGAGGACCTCAACCCCTCCCAGATATTGTTGAAGAACACGAAAGGAATGCTAGCGTTTGGGTCACTCACGAGCCCACTGCCGAGCCTCCTCATATTGTAATAGAAGAACTCGATCGGCAGGCTGCCACCAACGACCTTGGCAGGAATCATGTTGGCGAACCATTGTCCTCGAACCTTGTGTGACATTCCAAGTGCATGGTCATCGTCAAAGTCCGCATTCAACAGAACCTTACGAGGAAGTTCTGGCTCCAATACCGCAGCTCGTCCAAGCCCGATCAAATCACACACACCCGAGTCAATCGCATCGGCCATTCCCGTCCGCGAACGGAAACCTCCTGACAGCTGAATCGGAATAGGAGACTTCATAGCCTGGATCTTCTCCGCGAACTCCGTGAAGAACCCCTCTCGAATCCGCGTACTCTCTAGCATCTTCGGTGCTTGGCTGATCGTCTTGGTGGGAAAGGAGTTGTGCAGTTTCGAAGTCTTCTGCTCGGCGTTGCCGCCTGAGATTTCGACAAAGTCGATCATGCCGCAGGTCACGAGCCAGCGGACTTGCTCGAGGGCCTCTTGTTGTTGCAGGCCTTCGGTGCCCATGTAATCGCCGCTGTTGAGCTTGACCGAGAGGCAATAGGGAGGTGGACAGCGAGCTCTGATTTCGCGGACGAGGCGCTTGAGGAGAGTCATTCTCTTCTCTGGGGTGCCGCCGTAGTCGTCTGTTCTGCGGTTCGTGTGTGGTGAGAGGAACTGTGAAAGTAAGAAGCCGCTACTCTCCATCAGTCGGGTTTGAAATGACAGAAAGTGGTCGAACTTACTGTGCGCCATGCAACTGACTCCCAGCAAACCCAGCATCCCTCGCCATGACCGCCCCTCGGACAAAATTCTCAACAGTCTGATCAATATCCTCCAACGTCATCTCCTTCGGCGTCCCCAACAACGTATCCAAAGCCAATTTATCCAACCAAGTATCTCCCAACTTTACAGGCACACTACTGGGACACAACGCCTGCATCTCCTTAGGTCGATTCCCAGCCCCAGCCGGACTCATTCGACCAGGATGCGCCAACTGCACGATACACGGCGTTCCATCTGCCTGCGCGATGCTCGCCCATTCCTTCCACTTGGCCATGATCTCAGGCGACGTACTGTCCGGGTGCGTGCAGACGTCACCGGCGATCGAGAAGAAGCGGATGTCGACTTGGACTTGGCCGGTGATGAGGAGGCCGTATTGAGCCTGTGACCATTTCTTGTAGAGGTTCTTGAACTTGTGGATTGGGGGGTCGAAGTTGGGTGGCTCGGCGAGCGTCTCTTGCATGGGACATTTCACCAGTCGGTTGGGGAGTCTCAGGCCACATGGTAGGGTCAAAGGTTCGGCTATGAGGTCCGTTGCGCTCTTGAAGTTGTCCTTGGAAGTATTTGGTTCTACTATATTTCCAGCGTCTCCCATTTTCCTTGTGTTGCTTGGTTGTTGCTTGGATGTGAGGATTGAGTATTCTCTTGAAGCGACGTCGACGCGGGAATGATAACACGTCAAAGGACACACAGACCATACCGCCTATCAGCAGGCGGGAATACCAAGCGATCTGGGTCGTTCCAACTCCGATCCTACAGAGCTCTGGGAAATAGAGTTTAGTCGACGTCAGTGAGCGATAGTGACCATTCTTGCCTCCTGATTGGACAAGAAGACAGATAGAGGCGGCCTATTTGAAATAGATTAAGCTTGCATGGTATCGAGAGACCCGGGTATGTGAGTTTTAATCCTTGCATGGCTGTCTTCAACTCTATCAATTATGTTCTACTCTATTGATCCAATGCTCTGTGTGATCGTGGGTGATCATGCGCCTGCAAATGCTACTTTCTGACTCCCACTGATGCAAAGAGGTGACAAATGCTCCAATTCTTCAGTCCGTAAATGAGTGTCTTCGCGGTATACAACCGCTCTGTCCTTGTGATTCGTCGTTCCCATGTTCATCCGTCACCTTTAAGCCTTGACGCAAGACCAATAGGCAGCCCAGGGAGATGAGCTGTTGCCATTCCATTTGGCAAAGTCTTCCACAGGGAAATCATTCTCCGTGGCCAGATCCTCGACGGGCGTACCTGGTGCAACGAGCTCGAAGTCCTGGCAGCTGGAAATGATGTTTGGCATGATTGGAACAGGGGTCTGGTCAGGGGTGTAATGGGTGCCGAAAGCTGGCTGAACTGGCGGCGTGTAGTGGTACCACGGAGTGTTGATGCAGATAGGAACGTATGCCTGGAGGCCTGTGCAGCTCTGGCCTACATCCGGATTCCATAAAAATAGCTGAGAAACAGTAAAATTGTTGAAGGACTTTGCGATCGACAGGCAGGTATCAGAATCCTGCACTGTGTAAAGGGCGGTGCAGTCAGAAGGTCGAACAGTGCACACCTGTTCCCAAGATTAGCATTAAATGATCTGAGTACTCGCAGGTAGTACTTGCGCAGCCGGCAGAGACAGAGCAGTATTGGGTGCAATTGTTGGCGGCGCGAGACTCCAGAGAGGTCAAGAACGCCTCTGGCATTGCAAGAGGAGAGCATGTCGCAGCAGTTGCAAGAGCTCCGAGTGCGAAAAGAGAGAACTGCATCTTGATTGTAATGACTGATGTTGTTGCTCGCTGTCAAAATGTAAAGGGGTAAAGAAGTGTCGAGATGATGAGTATCCCTCCCTACCTGAGCGCGTGACTGCTGTCTTCTATATTCTAACACTCGGTCTGTCCCTAAGGGGAAGAGGATCGAAGGATCAGAGGAAATTTTCCGGTGCCTGGCAGGCAGGAGGCACTGCCAATCACATGCTCGCCTCGGTGCCTAATGCGGTCCGAACTATGCCTGTTCTCGACAACATGAACACATAGCCGCACCGTGGGTTCCATGACGTATCGTTGCCTCGTTGAATTCATCCTGATCTTCAGGAACAAGCCGTCTTTCAATCCAATTGTAAGGTTCTGTTTGTCAGCTTGGTGTCTCGATGGGACAAGCTGATGTCCTCGGCTCCATGCGAAAAGTGGGGGCCGTTCGTATCGTCATAGCAACAGCAAGGCCATACGGCGTATCATCATGCTGTGCTCCAGGAATGCCGACTCCCATCACCCATTCCACACTCCACGCCCACGGCCGCGAAAATATGCATCGAGCACGATAACAAAGCAGGCATCCACGCTGCTCATGAACCCCAGAGGCGCCGCAGTAGTGAGATCGATGAGCTCTGCAGGTAACCGACATTCTCAGCCGCTGGTCGATATATTGCGTTGCGTATTCAGCTCATCCGAGTCCAGTCGTGGCATTACCACATGCAACAGCTTCTCGAATCAGCCGTGGAGGGAGAGAAGGCGTCTCATGGAGCAGCTGGTACCGACAGCAGATTCTGAAAAGCAAAGACCCCAGTGAGCCCTATGGGGAGACGCCAACGCGGTAGATCCATACCCTTGCCACAGCATGTGCGAATGCGTAGTTCAAAGGCAGGTCGATCTTTTCGAGCTTGGGGCGAGCGAGCAGCGCTACGAATTGCCAGACATTGGGAAATATCGTCCTTCATACTGCCGTTCACAGCTCGTACGAGCCATTAGGACCGCGCCCTTTCTTTACCGAGTTTGTTTGTCCTTGCTGATAGTATCACAGTCGCTTTGACGGCAAGGCTGCTGTAGGGAGGGAAGGCGCGAGCGCAGTCCCGCGCACGTGCCTGAGTCTTCTTTCAACGTCACCTGGTCAGAAACGTGATACCACAACTGACCTACACAGCATCATGGACTGGACCGGCGGTACACGACGCCGCTTCACCAAAGGCAAATACAACTCCGTGGTACAGAAACAGAAGGAGCATTTTGCCAGAGCCCGAGCGGCACAGCACCAGCAGGACGAGCATTTGGACTGGCCTGGGAACTCGGTCGATGCTCTTGCTTCGCGACAGCACCGGCCTACAATGGCCTCATCTCAATCTGCAAATATTCGACATCACCCGACGAGCTCGAAGGCATCGCGTTCGTGCAGAAGGGAGGCCGATCACGCACCATCGCATTCACGAGGACCCTCACATACGTCAAGGATGGCGCTGCCACCGATGCCCGCCAAGTCCTCCCGGCTCAATCCAAATGTGACTGATGAGGAGAGGCTGCTGCTTGCCAACCGCAAACGACTCCTTGCTCGCAGTGATTGGTTGGGTCTGGCGGCTTCACGTCCTGCTCGCATAAAGTTCCCAACGCCGAGCGACAAAGATCGAGTGGGCAAACGACGCAAAATCAGCAAATCGACGTGTGGAAGTCACAGGCCCAAACCTGCCCGTCGAAGATCGATCACGCCTCTTTTCGAGCACAGACTTCCTCCGTTCGAACCCATGATGAGCGGAGCACTTGCTGACGACGAGATTCAAGTCAAGGTCGGGACTGATGCTTTTGTCAGTCAGAGTCAAGTCTCTCATCCCGCTGTACCGCTAGCAAATACCAGTATGCGCCAGCCTTCCACCGAGTTTGGTCCTTTGTCTGAAGAGTCGATGTTGCTGGGCGTGGATGATGATGGATTTGAGATTGATGCGAATGGCCAATATCTGGGAGTGATTGGATCGGCGAGGACACTGGCCAGCGGATCTGAGTACGGCCAAGCTTGGTCGGTGATCCAATCTGTAGACGACTTTGCATCGCCAACGAACTCAATCGCTCCTACTTTTGCAACAACACATCAAGGCATGGCTATGCGAGACGACATCCAGTGCGTTAGCGACGCTCCAGATCAAGGCGCTTTAGTGGCAATGCAGAGCTGTCTATCACATGACATTCGTGACCCGGAGGCCCAAAGTGTCGCGCACGATGTGGAAGCATTCGACCCGGCGATCTTGCAACCTGAGCCCATGAAGGGAACGCCATCGACCGATGTCGATCCGGAAGAGGATGAGCGACGATGGCGGCGTGCTATGCGTATCCCAGAGCCACCTCAGATGGGAAAGACTTCGATTGCGGCTCTGAGGTCATCAAGTGAACATGTGACTGAGTCTGTTGCGAGCGCCTGGCCGGTCCGGAGCAGTCATGAGGCCAGTGACAGGGAACACGCGTTTCGAACAGGATCAGCAAATCCTCGCCCACGTCGCCTTGAGGATCAAGTCCAAGACCACGCATCCCATGACACATCCAATGGGCGACCTGCTATCGCAGATGTTCTGCCAGCAACAGTGCCACCACAGCAAGCTGATGATCAGAGGCTTGAGCCTGACGATCAAGTTCGCGATGATGAAGCACTCTGGAGAGACTTCATCTTGGGTAAAGGACGAAGTGAAAGTGACTGCTCAGAACACGAGGACGGTGTCTGGGCTGCAGAGCAAGGCGAGGCTGTTCAGCGAGCTTCTCAGAGCACGTCATCGAGAGTGGGCATCGAACAGGCTCGGTCGGACCAGGCCACACTTGGTGATTCTATCTTTGCATCTGCACGGCTATCCGAAAACAATGCGAACGGTCCTCTTGGAGACCAGTATGAGAAATCCCATGGCCACACGACCACCTCTATGGTTGGACATGCGACTGTCGTTGACTGCGAGGAAGATGAGATTGACGATGTGTATCCAGACGACTCTGTATCACGAGCAGTGGGAAATACTAACGTTGCCCGTTCGGTCTCTATGCTAAACCCGAGACGGTTCAGACCCCAGAAGCCACCGACGTCTTCTTCGCAAGAACCGTACAATCCTCATCGCTTCAAGATTCGTGCGGTGGAGAAGTCTGTTTGGTAGCTGGGGAAGAGTGATGTGAGGGATATCGATGCAGATGAGCAATGGCCGGCGACGATGATAGTAAAGACCAGCTTTTCTGTTGACAGTCTACGTAGTCTGCGGAATATCTGCTGCGAGTGTGTTCTCCGCTACATGTCACGAAGACTTCGTTGTCCTTTTTGCCTATGCATAAGCGTCTTTCGTCCGCTCACTAGCCAAGTTCAGACACTTGTCCAGAGTCTCCGGCTCCCTCGGAATCAACTTCACCTTGAAGTCTCGCGGAATGGCAACCAGAGCAGACTTGAACTGATTATAGTCCACGTAGTCCGTATTGGGCGGCTCCTCCTCACTGGCGACAATCTTGTAGCTGCAGATCAACCGGATGAGAGCTGTATATAGGAGGCTGCGAAAAAGGTTAGTACAGTACCATCTACAAACCCTTCAACAGGGGAGAGTTTCTCACCGGCTCGCAATATACTGCCCCGAGCAAGCCCGACTCCCAGCTCCAAACGAAAGGTGCTGCAAACCCGTCGAAGGAACCTCCCTCGCCGGCTCCGTCGACTCCAACCACCTCTCCGGATTGAACGTCGCGGCGTCAGGACCAAAATGCTCCACTTCATGATTCCCCGCCTGCGCGTTGATCAAAATCATCGTTCCCTTGGGGATCGTCGAGCCCTCCCATTCGATGTCCGTGTACGCCTTTCGGGGCAAGCTCATGGCGGAAACGGTATAGTACCTCCCGGCCTCCTTGACAATGGCGTTGACGTAGGGAACTTCCTCGACCTCGAGGGATTTCGTCCAGGCGTCTTCGATGTTGGGGTAGTGGCGTTTGATGTCGTCGTACGCGCGGTCTTGGAAGACTTGCCCTTCCTTGGTGGACAACGAGCCGATGCAGCTGGTCAAAGTTCCTGGTATGGTTTCGAAGCCTCCTGAGACGAGCGAGAGGCAGATAGAGGAGACTTCGACACCGCTCAGTTTCGTCTCTTCGTCTTTGAGGATCGCGGCGGAGACGCAGGGTTTGTCGGTGTTGTGCTGGATCATTTCGCGGACTTTGTCGAGGAGTTCGTTGAGGTATTTGTCGCGGCGGTCGCGGAGGGATTTGCTTCGTTGGGTTTTTTCGTTGTTGGGCAGGTAGCGGAGGACTGGTGATGTGGTGTTAGCTGTTGGAATGAGCATGTGAGTAGAGGATGTTGTTCACTTGGAATGTAGTCTTGATAGTTCTCGGAGGCACTTCGTAGCAAGCTGATGGCGCTGCCGACTTCGAGGACTTCTCTCAGCATGTCGTCCCAAACGCTGTCCATCCGGATGCCATAGCAGAGGGTGAGAGTCGTGTTCAGGGCATAGCGCTGAAGGTAGGGTCTGATGTTGAGGTATTCCGTTCCACCCTGATCGAAGTTCGTCAATTGTTAGACCATGGAACACATCCACTCATGCTTACCTTGCTATCTTTGGCGAGATCTCGCACGACACAATACGTCTCAAGGTCCTGTACTAGTTAAATGCACTGCTTCCTAGCCTTGTCAAGCGGAACTTACAAACATGGGATAGTAGCCTTTCATAGCCGGCCTTCCAAGTGTGGTCCCCGCGGCTTTTCGTTTGTTCTTGCAACTATCATCCCACGGCGAAGACCCAATTGTAAACCCCTGCGTCGAAGAAATCACTCCGTGGAAAGTATACAGCTTCGGACGATCGATGACAGCTGACTGCCGCCCCACGAGCATCTTCTTGCAATCCTCGAAGTTGTTGACGACGACGGCTCTGGTGTTGCCGAGACGGATTTGGAAGACGGAGTGTTTGTGTTGCCGCCACCATTTCTGGATAGTCTTTAGCATGTACACGGCCACGGGTGGTACTGGGGTTTTCTACTTCGCAAACGGTGGCATGATCCTCTCCAAGCTGGAGGAGATGCCCAACGATCGGCCAGGCATTTGGGATTTCGTATATGCCCTTGATTTTGGAGATGTCTGTTTGGGTTGATAGCTAGGACTTGCTTTAGCGAGCATATTCGACACATGAGGAAATTGAGAAAAGACTTACACTATAGAGAAGCCATGCCACAGCAACCAACCCACACACTATAGCAAGCTGGCCGAGAGCACCAATGGACTGGGGATAATGTAAGCCGAGTGAAGCCATGGTAATCGAACAAAAGCTCCTGGAAGACAAAGCTCGTCTGGGCGAAGCTTCAGTATTTACGTCCCCATAGAACGGAGCAGTGGCATCTGTTTGAATTAGTCTTACCCTATCGTAGAGGCGGTTGGCCGAAAGGATCAAGTGCTAGATAACGGCCTGGTCACCCGGCAGAGCTGGAGGAGAGCTCCCAGCTCCAGCAGAAGCTCTTTTGGGTAGGGCAGGCAGGCACATCTTACCGGGGTTGAGTAGTGAAGAGCATATGCGTTGTTGATCAATACCAGTCGCTTTATGAGTCATGTCATATGTTCGTTAACGTAAGAATCATACTGTCGTCTATACCGCAGCCTTTGGCAAATCCGCCTTCCCACCATCATACTCCTCCACGACTTCGGCATCTGAACCCTCGAGGCCGTACACCAAGCTGCCACTCCTATCGTCCGAATCGTCGTCGACTTCCAACCAAGTATCGCTGCAAGCTGGAATAGGCCAGAGTCGACAAAGAAGGTAATAGACGGCGGTAGACACGATGAAGCCGCCGAAGAAGTTCAAGTTGTAAACGTACGTCGCTCCAACGGGGACGGTGGCGCCAACCGCACCAGCGAAACCGACCACGTTGATGCAAATACCAGCAATGTAGGAGGCATATGCTCTCCAGCTGATGCCCCAGTGGTAGTAATACGGCCCGCTCTTGAGCGCGCTGTAGAGATCGCGCGTTTGGAGGTAGCCTTTCCTGACCAGGTAATAATCGGAGCACATGACTCCTGCAATGGAGGATAGAAACACCGAATACGCCGAGAGATAGGTCGTGAAGCTGTTGTTGTCGGCCAGCAAGTGCCACGGACACATCGCGATGCCGACAATCGCACATATGTATGATCCTCTGCGGATGTTGATGAATCGGGGAAATAGAGCAGTCATATCGGTGCCTGCTGAAATCGAGTTCGCCGCAATGTTGGTGCCAAGTTGTGCCAGGGTGAACGCTGCAGCTATGACAAAGACCCCGAAGCGTGTGGCACCGCTGACGTTCTCTTCGTGGAGGAACATCTGAAGTAGTGTGAGCGGCGACCAGATTGGATCCCCCTTGAAGATGACCGTCGATGAGGACGAGACGATGATGCCGATGAAGCTCGTAACCGCAAAGCCAACAGGAATGGTAATCAGCTGTGACCACAAGGCGTCGCGGGGTTTTCTCGCGAATCGAGCGAAGTCGGGATCGTTCACAATAAGGGCGGCAAAGTTGGCAATGGCGCTCATGATGCCTTTGACGATGGCCCATGCCAGCGTACTCCCCCCAACAGTGGCACCCTGGTGAACAATAGGGCCGATGCCGTTGGCTCGGACGATAGCCCAGATGAAGAATGCAAGGCCAGCGGTTGGAACGATGAATGATTTGACTGTGAAAAGATGGCGGATCTTTTGGACTGGAGGCCAGAGAAATGGCAGCGATCCGAGCCAGAACAGGAAGAAGGAGACAAAGTCGCGCGTATTCGTTCCTGATGAAGCTGGCATGGTGTTGTTCCTTCCTCCAGGGCCATACGAATCCCATGACGGCCAGATGGATCTGATCATCAGGTATACGCAAGTACCGCCAATCCATCCCTGAACCCCATACCAGACGCATGCCATTGCCGCTCGATTGAGTACCGGCCACAGACTACCCCAAATACCAAAGCTGCTTCGACACACCACGGGAAACGAGATGTGGTACTTTGCAGCGATTCGACCGGTGAGGCAGACAAAACATGCAGCGATGGAATACCCGACCCAGACGCAAATCCAGGATTGCCACCAGGATAAGCCGTCGAGAATGTTGGAGCTCGATATCATCCACGTATTGATGTTGAAGGAATCAGATATCCAGAAAGCCACGAAGTTTCGACTTTTCCATAATCTTCGCTCAGGCTCGACGGGCTTCAGATCTTCATTTGCAAACATCAATTGGGCATTCGTGAGGCCGGGTTCGCTGTCAACAGCAAACTTGTTGAAGAACCTGACGATGCTGAACTCTTTGATCTTCTCCATGATGGCGGTAGTGAATGTTTCGTATGAGTATGTTGTTGGTCGAAGAAGAGGTGTAGTCTCTGAGTGATGTCGTTGGTCGTATGTGCATACAGGAGAAGGAGGTTGCGGCGGGGATGCGTCGCGTGGACAGGACGAGCGTGACCTTCTTGCCAAGTTCATGATGGCGAGGCGACAACTGCTCTTTTAAACTTCGAATCTCAATCGCGTCCGACGATCTGATCTCCTGCAGGGAGCGACAAATTTTTCGTCCTTGATGCACGAATGGCGCATATTGTTGCTTGATGTCTCTCGATGCGGATACTGCAGCCACGCTGTTGCAACGTTGTTCCACGTTTGTGACGATTCCTTATCAGTAGAGATGTCTTGGCACGATAGCTGCTGTGGAGATACACCCGGGGGCCTGGATCCATGAGTTTGTGACTCGATGTCATCGAGTAAAACTCGCTTAGACCTCCTCTTATGGCTTAGGAAAGGCGGTCGCCGAAAGCTGGCTATGGTGTCCCAGGAAACTGTTACGCTGTAGATGCCAACCCGTTATCAGCCAATTGACCCTCCATATGCCCAGCTTCACTTGGCGATGTCAAATGCCAATGAATTCATTGAGCCGTCGAATGGGAGTGGTTCCGCGAACAAGATATCGAGCCCAAAGTCGGCGGCACTATCAGAAAATTGGAAGGTCCAGTCCGATGGGGTTTGACTTGTGAACACATTGCCAAACGTGCCCGAGTCAAGCGGCGCGGTGTTGGTGGATTCTATGCTCATGCCGTTGCTGACAGTCGATAGGAAGCTGGCATTGTACAATGTATACCATTCCTTCAGTCTTGTAGCTGCGACGAGCATACGCGCTGGAGCGCATCTTTCATCGATAGCTTTGACTCTGGTGCCGAGATCAATCATTTTCTCGCCATACTCGTCCGCTCGAATGGTTGAGGGATCCAGTATCGTTCCAAGTGTGTTGCCTGGTGCAGTGACCGCAATGTACAGTTTAGCCAGCACAAAGTTTGCGTATGCTTTCAATTCTTAGCATGTTTCCTTGGAAGACCGGAGGGAATCTGAACTCACCTGCGCGAGAAGCGTACAATAGGCCAGGTAACGCTATTGTCGTCATGGCATCGAAACTCGAAATGATGTCGATGATTGCGTGCAAGGCGCTTAGAAGCTCATAAATGGCCGTGATGTGGTCCTGTGTGACCACGGGCGTAGGGAAGTCCGAGCACGAAAGGTTTTCCGCGACGAAAGGCGCGGCGAACGACCGTTTGTTCGTCGGTGTGTGCAGAACAGCCTCGTACATGTAAGCGGTAGCTACATGCTCCCACAGAAGCAGAGACGGCACTCGAAGCGCTTGGGGGATCTTGACCTTCCAGTTCAAAATTTGGTTTTTGCAAGACTGGACTTTGATCTTCATGCCGACTTGTGACACATCATAGTACGAAGCCAAGTTGGAGAGGTCCATCTGCTCGACCACATCATCACAGAGCTTCTCAGCACGGAAGTACTGGCCTACCCATCGGTCGGTGGGAAGAGAAGTGGGCGAATACTCCATGAACAACAGGCACTGGTCGTGGTGTGAGCCCCAATTCGTCGCAGCTGGGCCTTTCTCGCCGCTACGCATCATCTTCGACATGAATGGATTGGTCGGCTCTTCATGATACCATGCAGGTAGGCCGGTCGCTCTCATCAGATTTCCCATGACAGAGCTCAAATGATAGCAGCCAAGCCAAGCCCTGTCACGATGTTAGTCCCGCTACAAAGCGCAATCAAGATGCCTTCTTGGAGTCGATATCTGGCATCATACTCACCGTAATGCATCGACGGCTTCAACGTCCTGTCCTTCCGCCGAGTACTTCACACCTGGAGCTGTCAAAGGACTACTGATTCCAATGTCATCGGCAAGGTTTGACGCAAGCGATATCAACTGGTACGCGGCGATATGCTTGTGATGTTTCGGGGCTCTATACCAGAGACAAGTGATCTGAATGGCCTGGATGATTTCGAGTGACTTTTGCCCTTGTTCAAAAGTGGTGCTGGAGATTCGATTGAGAAACATCCTCGCAACATCTTCCTGCATGTCCAAGGACAAGACACCAGGACTGCCCGCATAAACGATTGCTTGCAGTAGTATTGGCCGCTCAGCACGGATGGCTTCTAGTGTCGTATCTGCTGGAAGCGGTACTAAGGGAAAGACAGGTACAATATCAGTCAAATACCGTTCGAGGATCCGCTCCTGGAACTCAAGTGGCACGATGTTGTCCAGCTTCCAGAGGTCCTTGTTGTTGCCGTCTCGGGAGTCCAATGAAGTCGCAGAGATGTATTCAACAGATGATGAGGCCGGTGAGTCGTCCAGCAGCCTTCGTTTCCTTGCATTGCCATTTGATTCGCCTGTGGCGGTCGACGGTAGTGGCGACGTTCCTGTACTGTCTTCACCATGCTGGGAAGCGGCCGCGGTAGGATCCTGGATGCCTTGTACTTGCAGCAATTTCGTCAACGCGGCGACTTGTGCTTCAAGCTCTGCGACTCGATCCTTTTGACGCTTGGGTGCTGATAGTACGCATTCTTTGTTTAGCCGTACACATCGTTCGCATGGCGGCTCCAAGCTGGTGTCGCTTCCCAGTTGGCACTTGATTTTGATGGAGGCGCAAGCCAAGCAGGCTCTGCCTCTTTTCTGGGTCGACATTGCTCGTAGTCGTTGGATGGCATTGCGATAGGTGTTGCAAACAAGGAGTTGGAGCTGGAGCTGGAGGCCGAAGTGGATGATCCTTAGCAGGTTGAAAGAGGAAAGGCGCAAGCGGCGCAAAAGTCCGACCAATAAGATCCCCGTCCCCGCGGTCGGGCTTTCTCTACGCTGTGTTGTGAAATTCTAAGATAGACGGGCTCTTCATCAAAAAGGTGTTATGGGTTTCACGACTTCACAGACACCTCAATATTCAACAAGACGCAGGACCGACAGATATGCCAAAAGACATGCAACAAGAAATGCAAAACATTCGACACCCGGTATTCCCACGTGGTCACCCACCATAGTACTAATCAGGCGGTTAGATGCTTAAGTACACCAGAGCGGACGGGATGGTCTGTAGTCATCTGCCTGTGGTCGAATGTGGAAGGCATCCTTTTTGTTCATTTAAGAAGGTGCAACAATCTCTTTTTCGCCGACGACGGCGAGCTGCCGGAAGGCCCTCTCTCCGGGAATTATGCTGAGAACAAGCCAATAGATTGAAGCGGGGCCATGGTCTCCCTTTCCGCCGTGGAGAAACCATCAACTTTCGTCTCAAAATATGTACAAGTAGACCCAATCCTTCACACACATCCATGCCAACCCCTCACTTCCTCTCTCACGCACACAAGCTACGACTTCCCCTCCGGATGCTCCCTCTGATGCTGCTTCGCCGCCTCCTTCTGCAACTGCTCAATATGCTGATCATGATCCTTGACCTCCTCTCGATCCGCGCCAACGACCGACTCGCTCTGCGACTCGAGCTCTTCCTTCTTTTTCCCTGATTTCAACTGTTCCTGCTTGGCCTGCTCGATTTGTTCGGGGCTTTGGTTCTTGTCCTCTTTTAGGCGCAGTTGGCGGGTTGAGGAGAGTGGCCGAGTTGCTGGGAGAGGGAAGCGAATGAGGCGGGACGGTTGCCGTGAGGCGACGCGGAGGATGGGTTGGAACATTTTTGGTTGGATCGAGGCGCGTTTGGGCAGGTACATTGGTAGTTGGCAATCAATCGTTGCTACGAAGAATCAGCATTGGATCCATTTCGGCGGTTGATCTTAAAGTTGCTTTAACTCACAATACTGTGTTCACCAGAGTGTCGGATTCCCAAGGCTCAATTGTCCGCAGCTGTCTTGAACAATAGACTGTTTCAATACAGGAACAAGTAAACAATGCTCGAAGAAAGCTGTAGTCGATCTCCACCAGTGATGATCACTCACATGCAATGACGGCAGAATGACGCCGTTTTTCACTCACCAGCCACAACTGCTCTTTTGGGAAGACCGTCACGCGAGTCGACTTCGAACAACTTACTAATTCACGACTCCACACACGCGAATTGATTGTCTCGCGACTTCAAAATATGAAGAAAGAAGGTCTGTTAGTGGTGCAATGCGAGGAGCAAGAACGTCGCACTCATCTAGAAGCATTGGTGATCGTCTCTGTGCGTCTTCGAATGGTCCAAGAAATCACTCAAGGCCCAAATGAAGGCAATCGCGACTTTTCCATGATCTTGAATCCCCCTCATCGTATCAGAAAAAAACACCACTCCTGCATCACACACCACTCAAGCAAACAACGCCCCACCATCAACCTTAACAACCTCCCCCGTCAAAAACCCCGTCCGCATACAAAACAAGTACCCCTCCGCGCACTCCGCCGCGGTCCCGACACTCTTCCTCAACGTCCCCTGCCCAAAACTCCCCACCGCAGCCTCGCCCATCCCCGCCAACATCTCCGTGTAAATCGCCCCAGGCGAAACAACATTAACCCTCACCGGCGCCATATCCACCGCGAGGCCCCTCGCCAGCGCCTCGATCGCCCCAGCCCATCCGATGAAGTGCGCGACGCCCGGGATGGGCTTGTGCGAGAGGACGCCGGAGGTGAAGGTGATGGAGGAGGAGGCGGAGATGGAAAGGTAGGTTCCTGGGGCGGCGGAGAGGGTTTTGGCGAAGAGGAGCGGGGAGAGGTAGCGGACGGTCCAGCCTTTGAAGTAGGTTTTGGGGTCGACGGCGGAGAGGGGCGTTCGTTTGAACTCGTCGCCGGCGGTGTAGACGAGGTGGTCGAGGGGGCCGCCTAGGGCTTTGGTGGCTTCTTCGAGGACGTTTTTTACGTTCTCGTCCAGTGTGTTTTCGTCAGAGAGGTTGGCGGCTGTGCCGGTGACGGGGGGAGCTCCAGGGTAGAGGGCCTTGAACTCGGCGATTTTGGCGGAGATCTTGTCTGGGTTGGAGGAGGATATGTGCACGCTTCCGCTGCTTGCCAATGCTGCTGAGACGACGGCGGCTCCAATGCCTGAAGTGCCGCCGACGACAAGTGTCCGGCTTGAGGCGATGGCGTTGGGGTGTACTTTCACTGGGAGAGACATTTTGGTCGACAATGAGAACGTTCGACGATATTGTGTTAGGTAGGCGGTGGTGGGCTCGGTGGGCTCTCTACCAATGAGGGGCTGAAAGCTTGCTTAAAGTGCTGCTGTCAGAGACGATGAGCTTTATTGCAGAAAACGATTCGCAGTACAGCCTAGTGGTAGCTATATGATCATTGAGCAACGGTAGTCCACGCGGTCCGGTGACTCGAATAGGTTGGACGGACGACCTTAAACATCCGGCCCACGACCTCGAATGCTACTTTGTCGTTAGCATCTCAACTCCTCCCTGGCATGAAAGCACTCCCTAGGACTTACCGGCAGGAAATAATGCGACCCTCCGTTCCGTGAAGAGAACATGCGCTACTACTTACTCATAAGCTGCACGCGCCGGAGTTCAGCTCTTACATCCGGTGCGCAAAAATGCGAGACCGCCTTTCCGCAAGCGACCTGTGCGTGGCATGTCAGAAGCTAGGGAGTTCAAAATGTATAGGTATGTCATCCTCCTCGGAGCGTCCTCGGACGTGTAAAACAGGCGCTAGATTAGGTAGATGCTCATGCTTCATACCGCTCGAGGTTTACAACCAACCAACTCTGTACCTTGTCACCTTTGCAATATCATCATCATCATCACCACAGCTCTTCGGCTCGCTCCTCGTCGTCCCACATGCTCTGTTGGTTGTTCGAATACCCCAGGTATTCGTGCGTGCTGGCAACGCTATATCCAGAGCCTCCTCCACCTGAGCTGCCGCCAGAGTAGCCGTTGCCGTTCGATCGAGCGTGTCCCGACCCGTTCTGAGACGAGTAGGAATATTGTTGTCTGCCGTATTCTTCGCTGCTTCGTCGGTCGTAACCGTGCGATGATGATTCGCCAACGTCAAGACTACTGCGCTGGCCACCATGGATCATGTCGAAGCTTGTCCGGCTGGAGGAGCTTTGACCGCTCTGGGCAGCTTCTTCGCGTGCTTGTTGCTGTAAAATGAGGTCAATACAAGTTTAACTGTAGGTTTCAGTTCGACTTACCTCCTGCCATCGCTGATACTGGTTATACTCAGGTGGCTGCTGCTCTTGCTCCTTTTCTCTCTTCTGCTGAGCGGCTCGCTGAGACGAGGGAATCTGCATTTGCGGGTGCATCATCTGCACCTTGGCGAGGTAAGAATACATAAAGTTTGATAATAGAACCTGGCTGTACAATGCTCGTCGAGGGTTGGCGAGCTTGATATGCGCCATCCGATAGATGGCTCGTTCTTCGAGTATGCTGAAGCGTGTCCAGTTGTAGTCGATGTCTGGTTTGAGTATTCGTGGTGCTGGCTCCGGCGAAAGGTTTCGATCGGCTTTCTTCTTCTTCTCCTTGAGATCGCCATCTGAAGATTTCTTCTTGCCGCCGAACAGGGCAGATAACAGGCCCGAATCTTTCTCCTTCTCTTTCTTCGAATCCGACTTCTTGCCCTCCTTCTTGCGCTCTTCTTCCAACTTGATGTCCTCTCGATTGAGGACCAGACTTTCCCTTCCACGTGCAGGGACAGTACCATCGATGGAGTTCTGGAGCACATCTAACCTGGCCTTGTCTGCAGAGGCTTTCGACAGCTTCCCCTTTGCCGATTTTGAGTCAGATCCACCATCGTCTTTCGATTTCTTGTCCTTATCATCATCGTTCCCAAGAATCCACTTCCAGCTGCTTTTGCGAGGCGCATCTTTCTTATCCGACTTCTTCTCATCGAACGTTGGAACCATCGTAAGCGCATCCGTCCTTGTGCTTCCGCTGCCCGGTAAAGGTGAAGGATGCGATGAGATATCGTCCAACGACGAAGACGAAGCCTTTTCGCGACCAGGAACGGGGCGCATATGTGCGCCTCCACGCTGGAATTGGCGGGGAACCTCATGAGAAGATTTGCGTTCAGGTATGTGCTGGATGAGATTGTTGACTGGGACTTTGCTTCCATCGGGCAGGGTTTCGATAATTTGCGGTAACGGATTGGTGTTGGTATAACCTGGTAGCTGTGCGGTTGTACGACCTGGAGACGCAATACGAGACTGAAACTGCTTCGGTTGCTGTGAAGGCGGCTGAGAGAGCGGACGTTCGTTGTAATGTTGTTCTTCTGGCTGTTGCTGATACTGGGGTTCTTCATTGAGTGGGGGTGGCGACTTCGTGCCTCTCCTCTCGTGATCTGTTGGAAGGTCTTCTGAAGATTGTGAAGAGCCAAGTCGATTCGCACGTTTCGAAGCTGCCCTGGACGTAAGGTCTCGTGGTTCACTTGGAGGAGGTACGGGTTCAGTCTGCACTCGTGTTAATCCTAGAATCACTGGCTCTTCTGGAGGAGGTTGTGCCACGGGCGATTGAGCAGGCGATTCGTCTGTCTCAGAGTCGGCATGTCGTTGTGCGGCGCGCCTTGAGAATGGCACACGTTCGCCCTTCTTAAGACTTCCTCGACGATATGTTGTCCGGGTCGAACGTTTCAAAGTATTTGCGGGTGGTAGAATGGGCACGTCCTCGCTTGCGTCGCTGCCAGAGTCTACCGATCGCCTCGCCTGGTCCAGACTCATACGCCGTACCAGCTGTGCCGGATCATTCACCAGTTCTTCCAAATCGGCCAAGTTCGCGACAGTTGTAGACCCATCAATGGACAATCCTTTCGACTTCTTCCTCTCCAGTCTTTCAGCGCCATCCTGGTAATTACCCTTGGTGTCGATCTGGTGTGAAAGCATGCTCTTCTTCCGCCGCAAGCTGCTGCTAGTCGAGCTAGATCTGTCCAAACCCTCTGGCGAAAGGCTGTCACTATCGCCCGATCTCCTTCGAATCTTGTCCACCCTGTCTTCTATGAATGTTTTGAACTCTTTAGGAGCCAGCTCCGGATGCAGTCGTGCGGGCACCCAGAACAGCTTCGAAGGATCGTCTTCGTCATCGTCAGAATTGCTGGGGGCAACAGTTGGTATGTTGCTGAATGAGGGAAGGTCGGGGTCTGCTGCATCAATGTTCATCGACATGCGCCGGATTGCCTGGAGGTTACTGAGTTCCTGCTGCACCGCGGCAGGACTCGACTCATAGTCGATGTCATTGAGCGGGAAATGCTGGACTGCAGTATCGGTGGAAGACTGGCGGCTCAGTGTCGGAGGAGATGGCTGTCCGTTGGCGGTATCACTTCCCAATGAGCTCATCCTGTGTAGTGACTTCGGCGAAGGGGCGCTGCTATTGCTTTCGGTAGGTGACGTGACCCGGTCGTTGCTGTGAGAGCGTGAAAGGGGGGTTCGGGCGGTGGTGGGACTGGAGCCGCCGCTGCGACTGCCGGCGGCATCGATGAGGGTGCCATGGCGGCGCTGGCGACGGGCCTCGAAGCTCTCGCGCTCGCTGGGGCTGTTGATGTAGCTAAGCGGGCGATGTTCGCGCACGTCGGGCGGAGGCATGGCGTGGGCGTCGGGCTGCTCGTACCAACTCCCAATGGCCTCGGTCACATGGTGGCTGTCATCGGAGATGGACAGCTGGGGCGAGTGTTTCTTGCTGTTCTTGCGGGATTGGTACAGTCGCTCGAGCTCCTGCTGGCGCGCCGACGGCTGCATTGTCGTCGAGGAGGGTTGGAATGCTGTCGGGTCGCACACTGCCCGCAAAGCCAAAGCCTGACTCGCCGCGGCGTCTCGTGCTCATATCATTCCCTGACACGTCTCGGCGGCGGCGGCGTATGAATAGGGGCGCTTCCGGCGGCGGAGGGGGTCGAGGCGGAGATTCACGGCGGTGGGTGGGCGGCGGTGGTGAGGTGCGGGTGGTGTTTGTCCAAGTTGGCGGATCGAGGACCAAGTCGACACACAGACACGCCTGGCTCGAAGTCAGCCGCCGCCGCGTGCTGGCTGCTGCTCCCGGCGCCGTTGAAAGTCTAATGTCCCTTTTCTTAGCCGCTCCGAGACCTCACTCCATTTTCCCCTTCCGCAGAGCCGCCAACCTACTGCCTCTTCGAGGACAGCCTTGACCGTATGTACATCTATTTAACCGCACGTCACGATGGGTTTGTCACACAACCTCGCGCTGGACTCGAGCTTGCCTTCACACCTGTGCCCTGTTTGTCTGCACGCCACCCTCGAGCCATCTCTCCCACCCCTAGTGCGACGGCCAGAGTCTTGGAATTATGCTCGCGTGTCATGCACCCGGCCAAATCGCGGATGACGTTGTTTGTGCTGCTCGAGCAGTTCAATGCTTCCATGTTGCACATGAACTCAAGTACCCTTATCGTAACTCTGAAGTGGACCAATTGTCGCCCTCACCTCTCTGTTTCTCTAAGCGGCCATGCCCTTGACAGTAGCCCAGGTTGGCTAGACAGCCCAAGAGCGCTGGCGATGGGTGGGCCACTTCGAGCGGACTGAGGAGGGCACTTCACTTGACTTCATTGACAGCAATCGCAATAACCGTAGGTATGGAATTTCTCAGAAACCACAAGATACGTTCTGCCCTCATACTTTCAACAACGAGACATGCACCAGTCCCCTCCGCGCAATGATCTCTTGTTTCTCATTTCTCTTAGGTTGGCCTTCATCTGCCTCCAGCTCTCACACGCTAGCGTAGCAACTCTTCCACGGGAAGATGGAAACTCACCATCGACTGCCATGTGTTTTCACAAGTTGTTCGCCAAACCATGGATCTTTTACGGATGCCCTTCACGGTACATAAATATCGACACAACCCTCGGCGGTCTATACATTGTCTACACTCCGCATGCCACGGCTTATATACTTAGTCGTCAGATCATATCACCGCCGCGATCCACCAAGCGACGGTCGCTCACACATCCGGTAGAGCATCAAGCCAAGATGCGACCAAGTACGCTCTTTACCATCTCGCTCTTCTTCGCCATCGCAATTGCCGCAAATCACAGGCTTACCGACATCTTCAACGTCGACACGAGAGATCCCAACGTCCACCTGAGCTCCTGCTCGCGGAGACTTAACCCGAGTGACCCCAGCACGCTGATCTACGACCAAAACGCTCCTCTAGGGGATCGTACCTACGTACTGAACCGCATCTGGTATTGGGTGGAGTACATCGTGGACACTGCTCAGGTGGGACTCTCCAGGGAGAGCTACCAAAACAACGAGGAGGTCCGCAAGCTCTTGTACGTATTCTTCGGCGTCAAACCTGCTGTGCAAAACTCGGAGAATGAGTCGCCTGAGCCCGGTCTGAACACTCTGCACGATCAGAAGCTTCGTAAAGTACGAGGTGAGTCTCTTCGGCCCCAGAATGTATGTACTCGCGTAGTTGCTGATGTCCTAGCAGACTTCTACGAAGCCGTAGCTGACGTGACCACCAAGCCGCAACACGACCAGCAGAGCAAGCCAAGACTGTTGGTCTTGGAATTTCCCCCTAATCGTCAATCAGCTAACTTCGTCCAGATTCTGTGACCATACGTTCGCCGATTTGCAACAGGGCTATGAGAGCTACCTTGACAAGAACGGCAAACCGACCAGGAAGCCAAATAGCAACGATTTCTACACATTGAGAGAGTGGGAGCAGCTGCACGGGCGAGATTTTTGGTAAGCCAAGGTCAGAACGACTACGAGAGATCACAAGTGTGCCATAAGATTGACAATGAATTGCCAGGTTTAACATGGTATTGGCGGATAGATGCCTTGGACCTGGTACGTCTCACTTAAGAACAAGTCACAGAACGCATGAGCTGATTCAACAACTTTCTCTGATGAAGAGAGGCTATCTAGCGATCCCCAAGAACGACCCCACTGAGCAAATACCGTTCGCAATCGACCCTCGCACCAACAAGCCCAACTTATGCGCCGATCCGAACTACAACGCAATGACTTTTGCTCTATCTGACACTAACCCACCGCTTCTCCCTGGTACAGAAGCGTGGTTGCTCCCTGCAATCGTCGTCCTCTGCCCACGAAGCCTCTCCGCCTACCGCCCCTATGGACCAGATCTCACCCAGCAGCCGGAGGGCACCCATCTCGACTCCATGGACACAAGTCCGATAACACTCCTGCACGAGCTGTTCCACCTCGCAGTGCTGGCGGCAACGGTAAGTCCTCGTGGAAGACTCGACGCACGACGAGATACAGAGATACAGCGAACGAGATCGAAAACACGACGCTAACCAACCAAACCCCAGGACAACAAGCCCTGGCACGCCGACATCATCGACGCCTCGCTCCAAACCATCGACCCCTCCTGGCCCTCGTACAAAGCCGGCTTCGACTTCCTCCGCCACGCCAGCCCCGCGCAACCCCATACCTACGGCGCCCTGCAATCCCTGACCCTCGCGCTCTACGAACTCGCATACCCGGAGACGCTGGACCTCCACGACCTCGAGTCCCTCACGAGCGCGGAGAACTATGCCTGGTTCGGGCTGACGCTCCTCTTGCTGGGGCACACGCAGTAAGTGGCGCGAATGCTTTCTTCTATCTTCTGGAGTGCAAGCTGATGTGTTGCTCTTTTCTTTGACAGTCAGGATTGGTCGACGGGCGTGGCGAGACCTGGGGGGTCTCCGTGGAGTCCTGTGAAGGCAGCTGTTCCGATTATGTTTCCTCCTGGGGCGAAGATTGCGCCTATCACCAGGCTGGTGTCGAATAGTACTGATGAGGACATCACGGCGATGTGGCAGAACCCCACCATGGGGGCCACGGGTCCTATCACTGCGTTCGACGAGTGGACGACGTTTGTGACGTCTGTTAAGGCGAGACTATAGACGATCACGGTTTGGGACAGACGATATAACGACTACGACGACGATGGCGGAAGCGTACATGTACCTACAGAATCAATCAAAAAATGTTTTGCTTTCACAGATTGGAAGAAGGAGAGGTGGAGAAAGCGCAGTGTTTCACTCTTTCCAATTTCGACCCTTCTCAGGTAGGTATCTCTCAAAACATGAGGATCTATCAATGTGTAGCCTAGCCCACAAATTTGGTTTTTGGATGAACTCCTTCCTTCCCCCAAAGGACAGAGACTCCACGCTCGCTTAGAACGCATACCAAGAAAACAAGCACCAATTTCAATCACAATCTCAATTTTCGATCCTCAAACAGCACCTGCTGCGTTTCCTATGAATTCAAGACTTTCGTCTTCATCCATTCACTCGTGCCCACGCCCAGATTCAACCCATTCCTCGCCCACCATCTCCTCACTTCCATGCCCCTCTCTCCCTCATACCCATCTTCGAGCGCTTCCTCCACGTCGCAAGTCTTGTATTCGACCTTCAGGCCCGACTTCTTCCACCATTCCAGGACCTTGACGTTTCCGCTTTTCGTGGCGCCGACGAGGACCTGGTTGTCGAAGATCATTTTGGAGCCTTTCAGGTCGTGCCAGAGTTGGAGGATGTCGACGTGGCCGTGGGTGGAAGCGAGTTTCGCGACGGTGTCTTCGTGCGGGAAGGCGATACCGGATCGAAGCCACCAGCGCACGACTTCGGTGTGGCCGTTTTGGGTGGCGTAGCAGATGCTCTTTCCCGGTTTGAGACGGACTTTGGAAGAATCGACGTTGGCGTTGGTGTCGTCGACGGTGGTAGACTGCGATTTCCACCACTCGAGGACCGGGGTGTGGCCTTGGCTGCTCGCCTGCTCGAGCGCGGCTTCGGTGAACTTGAGGGGAAGGCCAGAGTGTTGCCACCATTCCAGGACGTTGACAAAACCTGCGCGCGAGGCGCCGTCGAGGGCTTCAGAGTTGTACTCCTTGGTAAGGAAAGAGGGGGATGTTCGCCAGAATTCGAGAATCTCGGTCCGACCAAAGACAGAAGATGCCTTATCGGGGAGGAAAGTGTGTCCAAACGTCGCCCAGAAAAGGTCCTTGTGGTTGGCTTCGAGATGCGCTAATAGAGGAGTCATGGCAAAGCGCATGATCAATCGAACGCAGAGCTTGGACAGCCACCGGGGAACACTATGTGTCGCGATGAAATGTTTTACATCTGCCAGATTGCCGCGCAGGATCGTGAGCTCGAGAGCCTCCATGTAGTTGCGTGGACCCTGAGGGCTTGTGTGGGAAGTCCAGTCTGCGGGAGGGGAAAGGTTAGTGTAGATGTGAAGCGTTTGCGCAAGTTCCCAGTCGCCCGTGAAATCGATGATCATGCTCCACAGTTCAGGTGGAAGTAGACTGTCCGGCTTTTTGGAGACTTTGGGAAAGGCAGTCTTTAGGCTCGGGGAGACGTCCATGCCGTGTCCAATGTTCAGCAAGTCGACCTGGTTTCGAATCGCATCGACCAGCTCATCTGCCGCCTCCCACGAAGTAACTCTCTTCTCATCGTTCTCGAAACTCCACAATATTGGCTGTAGCAGCTGCACCCAATTCCACTTCCTACGAATCTTGGTAAGCTGCTTCTTGGTCATGGGGTTCTCCCACATGAGGTTCGACATGCCCGGCAGTAGTAGTATCTTTTTCGACACATTCCAGCTTCGCAAGATCTCCAACAAAAGATTATCGGTGTGTCCATGCAGCATCTTGGCCAGGTTATTTGCGTCTATGGGCGCCAGTACCAGCAGGTTCGCCCACTCACACAACTCAGCGGCCTCTTGCTCGATCTCGGCGACATCGCGCGTGGGCGAGTGCCGGGCGGTATTCGGTATGGTCAGACATTCTGTCGACGCAGTGATGAAGTCCTGCCCACGGAAGCCCGTATCCAAAACTGCTCGCAGCGAAACGTCTGGGAGGGCGGCGATTTGGGGGAGTAGCGTCTCGACGATTTTGGCGTCAGCACAGCCCGTCGAGGCGAAGACGACGTTCAGTTCTCGAGTGCGGTGGTGGCGGTCCATGTCCAGACGGAGGTGGTCAAAGGACGCGGAAGTATCCTCCCGCGGGCGCTGTGCGGGCGGCATCTTTATTACAGACGCGAGGCACGGAACGGCGCAGGGACAAGTGCTGCTGGAGACGGGGTGGCGTGGAGCATGGGTGGTGGGAGGCGTGGTGAGGTCGAGAGACAGCGTCGTGGTGCTGCAAGCGGTGCAGAAGGCGGGCCAATAACCGGGTGACGCTTCTGCACGAGTTGCTAGGCGTGCCGCGGTGTTTGGTCACAGCCTGGGCGTCGCATGTGGAGTGAATAATGAATGGTCAACAAGACTGCAACAATCGCAATTCACGCTCCTCCACATTCAACGCAAACACTGCAAGGCTGGTATGAACTATGGCGTGTGACGATAGACCCAGATAAGGTATCAGAGGAGAAGTTGGGTGCGGCACGTGGATGGCACCACAACAGCCTCAAACTGCCTGATTATGCCACCATCACGGCTCGAAATGCACGTGAACAACAGCACCTTCTCGGCCCTCATTCCTCCATGCACAACTGCCGCACTCAGCTCCGCGGAAAGTAGTCATCCATCCCCAGAGCTCGACATTTTTCGTCCGGCAAAGGTCCGCCGTCTTTGTCCGGCCCACGTCGATCTGCACAGCGCCACAGCAGAAGTCGGGTGTCGTCCAGGAGCCCTTGCTGGCGCCGCGCTTTGCTCCTGGGATCTTTGATCGATGATGCCACCATGAGCACAGCAGTTGGCCGACTGATTTGATTGACCCGCTTGACGCGCCGCCGCCGCCCTGCCATTGGCACAGCGCAAATCTCTGACCCAGGGAGCGGCATGGCCACAAAGGCCTGGAGAGAGCGGGAGTGGACACGGGAGCCACAGAGGCGCAGGTGCAGTCCGGGATCAACGGCCACCTCGTCGTCGCTGCTGCAGCCAGCGCGTGATTTCGATTTCTTGCCTGCAAAGCCCACCAAACCGGCTGGCGTTGGCTTGGTTGATCGTTTGGCAGGGCGAGCGAGGCGGGAGGGCTGTCGTGTCATTTTGTTCCCTCTGCGTCTCCTGTGCACGGTGAGCTGATACATGACAACAATCTCCGCGTGGACACGAAGGGATATACGCGACGCTTTGCTTCTTGGGCAGGCGAGCCACTTTACCTGCTTCTGAACCTTAATTGTACTCGTGCGTGCTGCTTCTAGCCCACCACTAGCATTCCACCTCACTTCTTCCTCCTCCTGCCGCACCCACCAACAGCCTCAGGTCCAGCGCTAGCAACCAGATAGTCTCCTGCTGCCCACCGCGCTCACCACCGCCAGCGCCCCTTCGTGCGACGCTGCCCGCCAGCATCAATCCTCGGCCCTCTCCCCTATCACCCTTCTCAGCATCACGCGCATCTGCCAGCTCTCCGATCGCTATCAACCCATTGCCACCGCCGACACCACCATCATTGCGACCGACCAGCCGACGCGGATATAGATCTATTGCTGTAGCAGGGCTCGTTTCGCGGTAGATGCACAGAGAATCACACTGGAACACAGGTGGCGGAAATCACAGGGCTTTTAGGTCCTCCGCGACAGGAGCCACGGTGTTGGTTGCTCTCGACAACAGAGGCGTTGGGGCATCACGAGATTGGACTTGGACACAATCTTGATGGGCACGTAGGAGTGTGGCGCGCAATCCCTGCCTGGGCCGAATCCAGTCCTCGTCAAAGAAACAAATACACACGTCCCGCTGCGCTTGACATTGTCAGCGAACTGTGCCGACGGCCGCATTGGCCGCTGCCATGTCTTCGGCCCAAAACCGTGACCGGCAGTCGAGCGGCCCCAGCGACAATGATACTACCACTGCCACCACCAGCGACACATCTTCCAGTAACAATGGAGGTCACGACGACTCGGCACCAGCTCGGGCGGCTTCTTCACCCCGAGGCATAACGAGGCCGAAATGGTCGGGGAAGGAACCTTTGCCGAGACCGAATGTCAATGTTGGTGACCAGGTGCGATCACCCACGTCTGCGTCGACCGAAGGGCAACTCAGTCCGGCTGCAGCAGACCGCGTCTTCCCCATCCGTTCCGTTGTTTCTGTTGATCCCACACCTACACCCGCGAACAGATCTGATAGATCTGAGGGATACTTTCAAAACGCCGCGCAAGCCAGGAGGACGTCGATGGGTGCCAGCGAGTTGTTCAGTACCAGTAGCAGCAGCACTACCCCTGCCAGGTCATCCCGACATACGAGCGCGGAACGTGCTTCTTCGCCAAGAGGAACGGATGAAGACTCCCTCAGGCATAGCCGCCACGCCTCCATGTCCAGTGCTGGGGAAGCTCCATTGATTCCCGGGGTGCAACCCGATTCCCAGCGAGTGCTGAATGACATTGTCAACGACACCGCCAGCGAAAAGTCAGCGCCGAGTCAGAGGCCATCATCGCGGCGACCCCCTTCAGTAAGGAGCACGAAGAGCAGTCTCGATGATGCCGGCGGCTTGGTGACAGCGCGCTTCAAACACGTCGTGTCCGAAGGTGGCCACGCAATCATTACTGGTCGAGACGGCGAAACCCTGCAACGCTGCGAAGACGAGCCAATTCACATTCCAGGCGCAGTGCAAGGCTTTGGACTACTCATTGCACTCGAAGAGCAACAAGAAGGCAAGCTGGTGGTTCGGGTGGTGAGTGAGAATTCGAAACGCATGATCGGGTACACTCCAAGGCAGCTTTTCGCGCTCGACAGCTTCACGGACATCCTCTCAGAAGAGCAAGCCGACAATCTACTTGATCACGTGGATTTCATTCGAGATGACGAAGTAGATGTGTTGATGAACGGGCCAGAAGTCTTCACCATGTCAATACGAAACGCTCAGCGCAAAAGCCAGAAGTTCTGGTGTGCCATGCACGTCAACGAAGCACACCCCCATCTGGTGATATGCGAGTTTGAGCTCGAAGACGACCCGGTGAACCCTCTTGTGCCGCCCAATGACTCGACGCCAGAACCGCCCGAGGATACCTTGAACAGCATGCCGACGGAGGAGGAGTATGCCGAGAGCACTCAGAACACCAGTCGGCCTCTACGGGTGCTCCGCAGCGCCCGCAAACGAAAGGGTGAGGCGGCAGCCATGGAAGTTTTCAACATCATGTCTCAGGTCCAGGAGCAATTGGCCGCAGCACCCAATCTGGATAGATTCCTCAAGGTTTTGGTCGGTGTGGTGAAAGAGCTCACTGGATTCCATCGTGTCATGGTCTATCAATTTGATCAGCACTGGAACGGACGCGTCGTGACCGAATTGGTCGACCCTCGTGCGACCAAAGATCTTTACAAGGGCCTCAATTTCCCGGCATCTGACATCCCCAAACAAGCTCGAGAGCTGTACAAAGTCAATAAAGTTCGCATGCTCTACGACCGATCACAAGAGACGGCACGACTTGTCTGCAGGACAGTGGAAGACTTGGAAACGCCGCTGGACCTCACATATTCATACCTTCGAGCAATGTCGCCAATTCACCTCAAATACCTTGCGAATATGGCAGTCCGGTCGTCCATGTCCATCTCGATTAACGCTTTTGACGAGCTGTGGGGCCTGATAGCGTGCCACTCGTACGGCTCCAAGGGCATGAGGGTGTCGTTTCCTATTCGCAAGATGTGTCGCTTGGTCGGCGATTCTGCGTCACGGAACATTGAGCGCCTTTCCTATGCCTCGCGTCTTCAAGCGCGAAAGCTGATCAATACTGTGCCGACTCAGAGCAATCCTTCGGGTTACATCATTGCCTCATCAGAGGATCTACTGAAGCTCTTTGATGCCGACTTTGGTTTGCTATCCATTCGCGACGAGACGAAGATAATGGGCAATCTGGAGCAGTCTCAGGAGGCTTTGGCGATGCTGGAATACCTGCGCATGCGATCCATCAGCAACGTCATGACTTCGCAAGATATCAAGGAGGACTTCCCAGACCTGCGTTACCCTCCCGGCTTCAGCGAGATTGCAGGTCTCCTGCTAGTGCCCCTGTCCGCTGGAGGTCAAGACTTCATTGTATTCTTCCGCAAGGGGCAACTCAAGGAGGTCAAGTGGGCGGGAAATCCGTACGAAAAGTTCATCAAAGAAGGCACTGAAGGGTACCTAGAGCCACGCAAGAGTTTCCGCACCTGGAGCGAGACCGTCGTTGGGAAATGTCGGGAGTGGACAGAGGAAGAAATTGAAACTGCAGCCGTTCTGTGTCTGGTTTACGGAAAGTTCATCGAGGTCTGGAGGCAGAAAGAGGCTGCGCTACAGAACAGCCAACTCACGCGACTCCTCCTCGCAAACTCGGCTCATGAAGTAAGAACTCCGTTGAACGCCATTATCAACTATCTCGAGATTGCTTTGGAGGGCTCGCTGGACCAGGAAACGCGGGACAATCTGGCAAAGTCACACTCTGCCTCAAAATCCCTCATCTATGTCATCAACGATCTTCTTGACCTGACCAAGACGGAAGAAGGGGGCGAGCTCGTCAAGGACGAAGTGTTCGAACTCAGTGCAACCCTCTACGAAGCGACTGATATGTTTAAAGGCGACGCCAGGCGCAAAAACATATCTTATGAAGTCACCGACGCTCCTGGTCTTCCCCGTCAAGTTGTGGGCGATCAAAGACGAATTCGCCAAGCTATATCCAACGTCACCGCCAATGCGATCCAGAATACGACCGAGGGCGGCGTGAAGGTTGAGATGTACGTTGCATCCAGAGAAGACAACCACGTTGATGTGGAGGTTAGCGTATCAGACACGGGCGTAGGAATGACCGCGAAGAAGCTGGATGCGCTGTTTCGAGAACTCGAGCAAGTCCAAAGCGAGACTGCAAACATGCTCTCGGAGCCCATCATCACAGACAAAGCACTGCCTGAGGCTGTTAGGAAGGACGACGACAGGACGCTTGGCCTCGGACTTGCCGTGGTTGCGCGTGTTATCCGCAACATGAACGGCCAACTGCGATTGAAATCTGAAGAAGGCAAGGGATCAAGGTTCATCATCCAATTTCCCTTCGAAATAGCAGATTCGGGGCAAGGCCAACAAACTGTGGAGGGCGGAAGTTCTCAAGGATCGGTAACACCCCTCGGTGAGCAAGTGCCGACCACACCACCAATTGAGGGCATGGTCACTCTGATCGAGCGCGGCAGTGGGAGACGAAACTCTGACGAGCGTGGCCAGTTGTCTCGCAAGAACAGTAGCGAGAGTGCGGCTAGCAAGAAGAGCCTTGGCAGCATGAAATCTGCACGCAGCACGCTCAGCAAGTCATCCAACAAAAGTGGGAAGAGCGAAGCGGACAGGCTCATCGAGGCCATACAAGAACCTCATCGAGTGGAAGGCTGGCATGAGAACAGACCAAGCAACCGCAATAGTACCGAGGTGACCCGACCTAAACTCGATCACAGGCACACGACCAACCTAGCCGAGACCACAGGGTCACCAGGGAAGTCACGATCTAGGAGTATCGAAACCGCGCCTGTACCTGGTCATCTCCGCGAGACGAAGCTGCAGAAGGCCGGCGAAAGCAGCATCGCCGACTCGGGCACACCGTTGCGTCCTGTCAGAGTACCAAATGACTACCCATCCTCACCTACTTCGACATCTACTCGCCCACTCACTGCTCCCTCGTCACGCACCGGATCGACGAGCAGCAAACGCGAGCAAATTGCTTCACCAACGTCCGCAACACCAGCATCTGGTGTGACCATCATGCGTGTACTCGTCGCAGAGGACGACCCCGTGAACAGTCGAATTATCAAGAAGCGTCTTGAGAAACTTGGCCATGAAGTGACACTTACCGTCAACGGAGAAGAGTGTGCGAGCACGTACTGTGAGAAGACCAACTTCTTCGACATCGTTCTCATGGATATGCAGGTGCGTAGATGTCTACATCAAAGTAAACCTACATATATTTGAGTTGCTGACATTATCAGATGCCCATCGTGGACGGTCTCACCTCTGCCAAGATGATACGCTCCTTCGAGAAGTCTCATCCTAGCGGAATTCTCTCCGAATACGCTGCTGCTAATGGACGAGTACCCGTCATTGCAGTGTCTGCCTCGCTTATAGAGAAAGAAAGAAAGATATACATTGATGGCGGCTTTGACGGATGGATCTTGAAGCCGATCTCCTTCCCACGGCTTTCCGAGATCATGGAAGCGGTCATGGACCAGCAAGTACGCCAGGAGAACTTGTACCAGCCTGGTTCCTGGGAGCGTGGTGGATGGTTCCACAAAGGTCATGCAACACCTTTGCAAGCAGATACTCAACCGAGTGAGGACGTGCCACAGAAGGTTCCTGGAGTTGACGCGCCTGATGACATCAAAGTCGCCGCGGCGATTGATGACCCAACGGTGAAAGAGGAGGCGACGAGTGAACAGACTCAAGAACAGAACCGACTCATCGAAGAGCAAGACAAAAAGCAGGAAGCCGAGCAGCCATCGCAGGATGGAAACGTGGTCACAGCAGCACCTGAAGAACAGAGTTGACGAACAGAATCTGCTTGATGAATAAAGGTCTTGCCTGATCCTGGACGACAGTCATCTCCCAGCTTCGATACCATTCTCCGGACCACAGCACGGAATACGAGAACAGCATCGACGAGGATCAACAGTACCATCCTTACCACGAGCCCAAGTATGCAAGAAATAGAGAATACAATACGATGAATCGACCTGGGTTACGATCTCCAACACCCCACCCAAACACACAACCTCTTTCAATCAAACGCCACCAGCACGGCGTGTACGAGCACGAAAGACACAGAAACATGTTTTAGACGAATGACTGACACCGAACGGATGGAGGGAGGCGAAAGTCCTTTGGATGTGATTTTGTGTACTCTCAAGGCGACGACGGCAGAACTACTACTAGCATAGCATCGGTGTTTCTTGTTTTTGTGCTATTGTTCCCAAAAGAGCACACATGACGATTTGATTGATTGATTCATTGCAGAGAGGAGGGAGAGTCCGTCCTACTCTTGTTCCATGTAGCGGTAGGGAAAGAGAGAGAGTTTAGAGCAATAAGCGTCCCCTGGTGTGGGCGAGATGAACCGCAGAAACTACTTTATTCTTGAGTCCTTTACTCTGCTCCACGTTGTTGTTGGTGATGGTGTATATCCGATCCATCGGTTTTCGGCCGAGGGGTCGGGAGGTTTTGGTGAGCATTTTCGTAATAAATGTGGATTGAGGGATTGATGGATTCTGCGAAAGTGAGTACTGACTGTATGTCCGCCTATCTCCTCTTGATGTTGTGCGAGAAAGGACTTGGACTCGGGCCGGATTTCGGGGGTCGCTTCTTTGTCTTTCTGTGCGAGGAGGATTCGAGGATGTCGTGCGAGACGGTGGGCGGGGGGTGGGGGATCTCGTGCTTTTGTTGGAATTTGCGTTGGGCGTCTCTTTTCGGGGCAGAGCGAGGAGGTTCGTGGTTAGCGCTTTTGAACTTTTAGAGGTCGGTAATGAGCGTTCGCTACTCTTTGTTCTCTATCATTGGTGCGAGACTTATTACTTGCGGCGGTTGCATCTATGAGGCTAAGACGTTCGACTAGAGAGCAGTCTTTGTGGATCTCTAATGATGTTGAAGTAGCATGGGGGCCTGGTGGAAGGCTGTGTTGATTTCGTAGAGGAGAGCGGGGATTTTCTGGGAGTGGCTCTCGTTTGGAGTTGATGATGAATTGAGAGTTTTCTGCGCCTCTTCTCATTCACCGTCGTCATTGGCACTCACTGCTCGACTTATAGTCTGCGCATCTGGGAATGTTAGGGCAAGGACTGGCTACGCAGCCTGATGATGAAGAAGAGAGAGGGGTCTTCGTGGTAAGCCCGTGAGCGAGATGTCGCAAAGCCTTGATGTTGTGGAATCCCATACACGCGCAACGTGCGCTTGCAATTGCAGATCGGACGAGAGAATTTACCTACCATCTTTTACAGTGTACGACAGCGGAAGTCGTTGCAAACAATGCCTTTGATCCGTCGGGGACGGGCCAATTTTAACGTCAATCACAAGATCGGGATCACGGCGACTGGCAATCCCCGATCTCCTCCTCCAGCCGAGTGAGTAGCTCTCCCGACCCAAGACCTGCCGCTCTCCTGCCACGGACATTATTGGCCCAGACAACAAGTACTTTGCGTCTTTGCGTCGGTGGCAGCAGGATCGCGTTCGCATGTTGCGTGATCTGTTTCGCTCGGATCCGGTAACTTGGACAACCGCAACCAATTGGAATGCGCTGAAACATTCCTGCTGGGTGGATACTCCATGGACGGGAGACATTGCGAACGCGATGCACGTTTTCGGTGGGGGATGCGTGGTGCGGCTGCTTTTGGCCGGCACGAGGCTTGGGGAGTTTAGGGAGGGGAGATGCGTGCGTGTGTCTAGGCGTGGTGAGTCGATGATGCGCGGTCCCGTCTGGCGTTTGTTTCGAGGCGTCCTTTTTGCTTGGGAGTCAGTCGGCCGTGGGAGGTAGATGAACGCCTTTCTGTCCGGTTCTTTGTCTGTTGTCGGTTTCTTCTCATCCCTATCATCGTCGTGCGCGATACAGTCCATCGAATCTTGGATCTGGTTTCTCGTCCTTATTCCTGGGATCTGGCCTGCTGGGGAGTTACCGGCCTTTCGCGCTCGCTTTGTTGTTCGACGCCAACTCCGTGCTGCCTGCAAAGAGTTTCTGGAAGAGGCGTTCGACGCCGCCCGCGGATCGAGGAGCCTGCCTGCAGTCGCATGGTACAACAAGAGAGGCAGTCGCACTCCCTCTCGAAGAGGACGGCAGCTGCGCTTTTATATCAACTGTAGTACGGCATTCGGGTCTTCGTGATCTTCGCCCCAGTTCCATAATCTCGGCCCCCGAGTAGCAGGCCTTGGCTTCTGCTTTTGCTGGCATGGATCCGACCGAGAAACCTACGCCGCTAGACAGCGATGTCCCTGGAGGTTGGATCTCCAGGGGCACTAGCTCTGTGGACAACGGACGACAACAATCGTCAGAGACGACGACCAGGACGGGCCATAATACCAGCGACACTACTCAAGTCTTCAGCGCAGGAGGCGCTGTAGGTGTCCTGCACAATGAACCCAATGGCGCAGGCAACGATGATGGCTTCGAGAAAGATGTTCATCCAGAGGTTGCTCTTGGACCTGGTATCGAAGAGACCATTACACATGATTCTGCCTCCGACGATGACGATGGCGACATGTCTCCCGTCAAGACGAAAAGGGACCTAGAAGACGAACCAGCTCTTGCAGAACGACGGCCAAGCAAGAGGTCACTCACAGAAGACCACCTAATCCGGCACCTATCACGACGCAACTCGCAACGTTCTGGCGATGGCCTCAGCAGAGCGACGACCGAGACCGAAGCCGCCGAAGAGCAGGAGGAGATCAACCGTCTCATGAGTCGCATGTTCGGCCGCACGCGACAAGAACACTCTGAAGAAGAAAAGACACGGCACGTGGGAGTGGTATTTAAGCATCTGACCGTCAAAGGAATGGGATTGGGGGCTGCTCTCCAACCAACCGTGTCCGATCCTTTTCTTGGAATCCCTCGCTTAGTGAGCGGCCTGTTCAGCAAAGGAAGGAAGGCTGTCGGCAAACCACCTGTGAAGACGATTATCGATGACTTCTCTGGTGTTATTCGGCCTGGCGAGATGGTGTTGGTGTTGGGTCGGCCGGGGAGTGGTTGTAGTACGTTTTTGAAGGTTATTGGCAACCAGCGGTTTGGGTTCGAATCGATCGATGGAGATGTTCGCTATGGTGGTACGGATCACCATACGATGCTTAAGAAGTATCGTGGCGAGGTACTGTACAATCCTGAAGACGATCTGCACTACGCGACCCTTTCCGTCAAGGCTACCCTCAAGTTTGCACTACAGTGCAAGACGCCCGGGAAGGAATCTCGCAATGAGGGTGAGAGCCCAAAGGACTACGTCAAGAACTTCCTGCAGGCCGTCGTCAAACTCTTCTGGATCGAGCATACGATGGGCACGAAAGTCGGCAACGAGTACGTCCGTGGCGTCAGTGGAGGCGAGAAGAAGCGAGTTTCCATTGCAGAGGCCATGATCACAAAGGCTTCTACTCAATGCTGGGATAATTCCACTCGTGGTCTGGACGCCAGCACTGCTCTCGAATATGTCAGCGCTCTTCGAAGTCTCACCAACATGGCACACATTTCCACTTCCGTCGCCCTCTACCAAGCCGGCGAGAACCTCTACAAGCAATTCGACAAAGTTCTCCTCATCGACGAAGGCCGCTGCGCCTACTTTGGCAGCACCGACGATGCCGTCCACTACTTCAAAGATCTCGGCTTCGTGCAACCTCCTCGCTGGACGTCCGCTGATTTCCTCACCTCCGTCACCGACAAGCACGAGCGACACATCAAGGAAGGCTGGGAGAACCGCATTCCTCGCAATGCCGCCGAGTTCGGAGACGTCTTCCTCAAGAGCGAACAGCATCAGCGGAATTTGGCTGAGATTGAGGCTTTCGAGCAGGAGACGCAGAAGCAGGTCGAGGAGCGAGAGAGGGAGCAAGGAAAGTCTACGAAGCGGAAGAATTATACGATTCCGTTCCATAAGCAGGTCTGGGCTTGTACGCATCGACAGTTTTTGGTTATGTTTGGTGACAAGCAGAGTTTGGGTGGGAAGTGGTGAGTGTTGAATGTCCAGGTCGAGATTTGTTCGTGAGCTGACGACTTTCATAGGGGTGGCATCCTTTTCCAGGCGCTCATCGTCGGCAGCTTGTTTTACGATATGCCCAAGACGAGTGCCGGCGTGTTCCCACGTGGCGGTGTACTCTTCTTCATGCTACTCTTCAATGCTTTGCTCGCTCTTGCTGAGCTGACGGTATAGTCTGATTCACGGGATGTAAATCTGCCAGTGCTAACAAATTTGCTCTAGGCCGCCTTTGAATCCCGCCCAATTCTCCTCAAACACAAGTCCTTCCAATTCTACCGACCAGCCGCTTTCGCGATCGCCCAAACCGTCGTCGACGTCCCTCTCGTGCTGGTTCAGGTCCTCATCTTCGATATCGTCGTGTACTGGATGTCGAACCTGCAACGAACAGCCTCGCAATTCTTCATCAGTGTCCTGGTCCTCTTCCTCCTGACAATGACCATGTATGCGTTCTTCAGATCGATAGGGTCCCTTTCCCGGAATCTGGACATCGCCACGAGGATCACCGGTGTTGCTATCCAAGCTCTGATTGTCTATACTGGTTATTTGATCCCGCCGAGCAAGATGCACCCGTGGTTCAGTTGGCTGCGATGGATCAATCCGGTTCAGTATGGGTTTGAGTGTCTCATGGCGAACGAGTTCTATAATTTGGAGATTCAGGTACGTCTTGGCGAGGTCAATTGAACACGGTCTACGAGGGCATGTTTTGCTAATAAGAATCAGTGCGTTTCGCCAAATCTGGTCCCGCAAGGCCCAAATGCGACTGCACAGTATCAAGGCTGTACGATTCAAGGAAGTACTCCAGGGTCGGACATCGTTTCAGGTGCAGACTACATTCAAGTCGCCTATCAGTACAGTCGCAGTCATTTGTGGCGAAATGTTGGCTTCGTGTGCGCCTTCTTCGCATTCTTTGTGGCTCTGACGGCTTTTGGAATGGAAGTGCAAAAACGTAAGTCACTGCAATTCGGGAAGAATACATCCATTTGGCACGAATGCTAACGAGAATGCAGCAAACAAGGGCGGTGGCGCCGTGACAATCTACAAGCGCGGACAAGCTCCAAAATCGGTCGAAGCCGCCTTGGAAACTGGCCGACAGGACAACGATCTGGAAAAAAACAACCCCGACGCGGCTAACGCCCTTTCAGCGGATCCGGAGAAGGACGAGAAGCCTGGTGAGCCGACCTCATCTGATTCGGATGAGCAGACCGAGGCGGTTGCCAAGAATGATACTGTTTTTACCTGGCAGAATGTCAACTACACGATCCCTTACCAAAAGGGTCAGAGAAAGTTGCTTCAGGATGTGCAAGGATATGTCCGCCCTGGAAAGCTCACTGCTCTCATGGGAGCAAGTGGTGCTGGCAAGACGACCCTGCTCAATACTCTCGCTCAGCGGATCAACTTTGGCAAAGTAGAGGGTGACTTCCTCGTCGACGGACGACCGCTCCCCAAGAGCTTCCAGCGCTCTGCAGGTTTCGCCGAGCAGATGGATGTCCATGAGCCGACTGCGACGGTGAGAGAGGCTTTGAGATTCAGTGCCAAGCTACGACAACCTCGCGAGGTTCCACTCCAGGAGAAGTACGACTACTGCGAGACGATCATCAAGCTGCTCGAGATGGAGAACATTGCTGGGGCAACTGTTGGCACTATTGGGAATGGTCTTAACCAGGAACAGAGGAAACGTCTTACTATCGGGGTGGAACTTGCTAGCAAGCCCGAACTGCTCATGTTTCTCGATGAGCCGACTTCTGGACTTGACAGTGGAGCGGCGTTCAACATTGTTCGATTCCTCCGCAAGCTGGCTGACGCTGGACAAGCCATTCTCTGCACGATCCATCAACCGTCTGCTGTTCTATTCGAGGAGTTCGACGAATTGATCCTGCTGAAATCGGGAGGTCGCCTCGTATACCACGGCGAACTCGGCCACGACTCGCGCAAAATGATTGACTACTTCGAAGCCAACGGCGCAAAACACTGTCCCAGCAAAGCCAACCCAGCTGAGTACATGCTCGAAGCCATCGGCGCAGGAAACCCGGACTACGACGGCCAAGACTGGGGCGACGTATGGGCCGCATCCAAAGAAAAGCAAGCCCGCTCCGACGAAATCGAATCCATGATCGAGAAGCGCCGCAACGCAGAAGTCTCCGCCAACCTGAAAGACGACCGCGAATACGCCATGCCGCTCATGACCCAAGTCTATACGGTCACGTACCGGAACTTCGCCGCGTACTGGCGCAGTCCGGACTACCTCATCGGCAAATTCATGCTGCACATCTTCACGGGTCTCTTCAACACGTTCACGTTCTGGCACCTGGGCAACAGCTCCATCGATATGCAATCGCGCCTCTTCTCCATCTTCATGACGCTGACCATCTCGCCGCCGCTGATCCAGCAGCTCCAGCCGCGGTATCTGGATTTGCGGAATATCTACAAGTCCCGCGAGAGGAATTCCAAGATCTACAGCTGGTTTGCGTTTACGACTGCGGCGGTCTTGCCGGAGTTGCCGTGGTCTTTTGTGGCCGGGACGATCTACTGGTGCTGTTGGTACTGGGCGACTTGGTTTCCCAGGGATACTTATACTTCCGCTTCGGTCTGGCTGTTCGTGTGTCTCTTTGAGATGTACTACGTCAGCTTCGGACAGAGTATAGCTTCGTTTGCTCCCAATGAGCTGCTGGCGTCGATTCTGGTGAGTATAGACATGTGCGGAATGGGTGGCGACAAAAAGTCACTACCCCCTTACCCACCACCCCAGACAACATTTCCCCAACACCTCACAAAACACACTTTAGAACCACAGCTAACAACCCCCTCCCCAGGTCCCCCTCTTCTTCCTCTTCGTCGTCTCCTTCTGCGGCGTCGTCGTCCCCTATGCTGGCCTCCCCTACTTCTGGCGTTCCTGGATGTACTGGCTCTCCCCCTTCCACTACCTCCTCGAAGGCATGCTCGCGCTGGTCACAAACGGCGTTCCCGTACGCTGCGAGGAGAGCGAGCTCGCCAGATTCTCAACACCGCCTGGACTGGACTGCCAGAGCTATGCTGGGCCCTACGCTCAGCAGGCCGGCGGATACGTCACGACGCTGTCCGATGGCTTGTGCGGGTTCTGTCAGTATCGGGATGGGAATCAGTTTGCGGCGACGTTTAATGTTTACTACTCAAATGTCTGGCGCGATTTCGGAATTTTCTGGGCCTTCACGTTATTCAATTTCGCGGTGGTGTTCTTTGGATCCTACATGTACCTTTCTGGAGGCAAGAAACTTGTTGCCAAGCTCAAGTGGAAGCCTTGAAGGGTTGCGACTTCCTTGGGTACCATGTTCGTGGAAGATGGAAAGAGCGCCATGCACGAGTGGGTCCATCCCAAAATCGACCTCACGTCGAAATGCTTTCACGGTGTGAAAGTGTTCTGTAACCATCAAGATAGTATCGAAAATGTCGTTTGCCTTCCCGAAAACCCAAATCTTTGGTGATGGAACGAGGTTCCATCTAGCTGATCATCTCATCCCCGTGCCTGAGGTCGTTTTCCCGGCCGACTGGAACTCTCCCTCGGCGGTTGACAAGTCAACTGCCCTTGAGAAGCAGCAGCTCGCTGCTACTCAAGCCAATGCCGCCGAGGGAGAGGCGGAGGCCGTTGAGAGTACGTTGAGCTTGGGCTGCGTCTGGTATCTGCTGACTGTCTGCAGTGATGGCCGTAGATGAGAAGGAGAACGTGGTGCCGGGTATGTTGGGCTCCACAAACGGGTTCCAGTTCCTCTAGCTGACTATCGATGCAGTTGTGCCCGCGAAGAGATCGCTCGGTTCGTCCCAATTCACGATCGCACCGCACCATGACGCCCTAACACTTGTCAGTAGAAGATGACGATGACGAGGAGGAAGAGAAGAAGGAGAAGCCGAAGTAGGATAAGCACTCCTCTTCGTATACAAGCAATGTTGACGTCTCTGCAGGAAGAAGGCAAAGACGGCCAAAGCGGCCAAGACAGAGAAGTCAGCTCCGAACATGAAAATCCCATGTCGAGCGACACTGATATCCCAATAGGAAGCAGACCGTCACCAAGGCGGCTGCAATGCCGCAGGCGCGGCCAAAGAAGTATTTGATCTTGTTCATCGAGCAAAATGGCATTGCTGACCACAAAATAGAACGGGTTCGGCCCTCGCGGCACTTCGCGCCAGACAGGCGCAGAAGTAGCCTTGCGTTGTTTTGTGCCCTCGCCTTTGGAGTTCGTCGTTCGTTCTTGGTCGTTCTTTAAAAAAAAAAATGAAAACATAAAAAAAGGCGTCTGTTGAGTACTTCGGTATTCAACGGACGCCATTTTCATTTCATGTCTCGCTTTTGGCGAGGCAGTCGAAACGACCAACGATCCGCGGCACCATGACGAAATCTGAAACGACTTCTCGATATACGCAAGTCAGCCGGCATTCCACACAGTGCGAACAGATCCCGCGACAACCTTCACTCACGGTCCCAGAGAACGCTTCTTGGTATCGTTGTGGCCATATGCGCGGCACGCACATTACCGATGACTGAAACCCCTCACATCTGACGGCATCATCCGGTTTATGGCCAGCTCTCCAGCTCTCCAGCTTCCGCCATTCGGCATGAGGACTGCAACCGCCAGGAGGACACCATTCTATTTCACGGCCTCTTCAACATCTTCCTGCGCTCCAGATATTCGCAGCCACCAACAGGACGCCATTTTCATTTCACCACTTGGCCTTCGCCTTTCGTCAACATGCAAGTGCGCCCGCAGCACCAGCAGGACGCCATTTTCATTTCAGCTCCTGCCGGACGTCTTTCGCTGGTGGAAATGAGCACGACAGCCTGCGATGGACATCAGCAACTTTCCATGGCTTGTTCAACTCGCGTCGAAAGCCGCGTATGAGTATATCGACCGCCAGCGGGACGCCATTTTCATTTCACGGCTTGCGCCTGGCGTCGACCTTCACGACCCACGACGAGTATCGATCTGCGACAGAGTGCTGTTTACCTTTTACGTACTATCTGCATCGCTGTCCAGAATTGTGGACGAGCACGTTTGCCAGGAGGCCGCCAGTTCCATTTCTCCTGTCTGGTCTATACCGGATCTCATCACGAACCTCGCAACCCTACGCGCCCATACAAGTCATGCAATCGTTCTTTCTACTCCCAGGCGTAGAGTTTGACGACTCTCTTCGGCCTGTGGCCAGGTCATCTCACGGGATTTAGGATCGGTGGAGAAGATGGGCAAATGGTAAGCCTCCACATTCGCTGAAGCATTGTGCTGTACTGACTTCTCCTCGTTCAGATATCTGCAACATATACGGAAGATTTGAGAAAGCTTTGGCATGTTTGAAGATGCAAGAGCAGAGGAGACATACACTGGTGATACTGGGGCAAGGATCTAGCAAGAGGTGAAGTTGCAATACTGGAAAAGTGCACAGAAAGTACTCCGTAGGATCTTCGGGCAGGGGTATTGGTTGCCATGGGAATGGATGGGAGGGCAGGAGCAAATTGACATTCGGAGGAACCTGCAAAGCTTTGTTGGCATACTTGCACTTTTGAAGAGACACAGTGTTGTATTGCATAAGGCTGGCTTTTGAAGGACAGTGGTATCATCATTCGTGGAGCTCCACTGTGTGTCGTCGATGCCCTCAATCACGAGAACTTTCTGACAGCAACCACAAGCACAACAGTAGCCGTTCTACACTGCATGGGGGCTGCGCATCGAATGAGCGGAATGTCGAATACGTTGAGCCAATCCTTACAAATTAGGCACAGGAAAAAGGCTTCTTGTCCTTGTTGTTGGCAAGCCGTCCTCGGACTCCTCGCTTTGTCGAGTTGATCCCAACCTGCAGGAGGTCTTCCTACAACAAGAAGTGAAAGTACGAGGCGGGAACAAGTATCACCCCAACGTACTGTACGTACTGTACACAAGCCCAACAAGGCAATACCACGGAAGCCACTCCCCACGGTCTGTCTACTGTTGAGAATTTGAAATCTTGAAGAAGTTGGAAGAGTTTCTCGCGCTGTGATTGGCTGTTGCTGATTCTGTGAGGAGACGGCACGAACAACTTGGAAACAGCTCAAACCGAACTTTTCACCAGCAGCCAATGAGAGGCCGAAGAACTCCTTCAAACTCCAGCTCCAGTGCACTGCTCTCTCCAACGACAGCCAAAAAATAAAGATTGGTAGGGAACAACAAACTTTTGATTCAGGCTGAAAGACCAAGAACGCTCCAGAACTACATACAACAAGAAGCACAGCAGGCGGCGCCAAAGCGCGAAGTTCCATCCCAGAGATGCCGGTAGGCGACATGAAACCCGAGATACAAAGCAGAGAAGGTAGCCAAGGCAGCTCCCTCCTGCCGTGAATCTCTTCAGGTCAGAGCCGTCACCCTTCGCAGCATCTCACTTCTCCATAAGCTCTCCAGAAAGGTATTCGCCCCACTCGATGTCTGCCGGCGCAGCATCCTCGTCTTCTTCGTAGCCGAAAAGCATGTTACGAACCTTCCCGACCCCGATCTTCTCGATGATTTTCGATGGGGTGTACGTGCACTTCCGTCCGAAGGCGAAGCAGCATTCGCATTCCCCAGTGCCGTACTGGGCTCTGATGCACTCCTTGGCTTTGGGTCTGCCAGATCCCTGAGTCTTCTTCTCGTCCCGGTAGGCGACGTAGCAGGTGTCGCACCTGGAGCGCTTTTGCGTAAGCCCTGTCAAAAAGGACGTACCGTCCCAAGGCCTACCATAAAGCTGAAGACCAACTGCCTCGAGCTGTGCCTTCGTACGGGCGTCATCGATCTTAGGCTTGTCAACGAGACCTCCGAGCGTATAGTTGCCCAGATTGTACGCTTGAGTCCAGGGATCGAACGTCACTGTCTTGACCCGTGCCCTGTCCATCCTGGGATGCTGCCAATCGAAGACTGTGGCGAATGCCTTTCCCTGCAGGAACATGGACAAGGACAGGATGTCGCTGTAGCGACTCAAGCTGCCTTTGACTTTGGGATCTTTGAAGTTGACCTGCAGGGTTGAATGCTGCAGATACATCCTCTGACACTGGTCTTCATCCTCGTCATACCACTCCACGCGAACAGCGAACTTGTTGAGATCGTCACCATTGCTCCAGCCAAGGACGTCCGGGAGACGCCCGAATGCTTGTGGATGGCGACGATTCTTCATGATCTCAAATGTAATGACGATACGCTGCTTGATGTCTGGACCGTTCTTTGCAGGATGTCTCTGGAAGGCTATGCCTGCCTGTTTCTTTCCGGCCTTGTCCATGCCCATGATCTTGAAGAAGGTGTGCGTGTCTTTGTTCGATCCCTTGTTCACGTTGGACGCAGAGCGAGTGTATGTATGGCGGTCGCCTGCATCTATGTGCATGTACAACACCTTCTCACATCTGGTTGTCGAAGCATCTCCCAATGGTGATGACCAGTTCACGCCACCAGACAGATTGTCGCGAAGATGCTTTCCCCAGTTGTGTTTCCGCAATAGTTCACTTGCGATTTGGTGCAATTGGATGCCTGCCTCCTTGGATTCCAGCTCGTCCGTCACCTGACTCTCTGTACTCTCGGTAGCGTCGGTGGAAGTCACACGAACACGGTCCTTGAGGAGCTCTTGTCTGTACGTTCCCAGAAGACAGATCATGACATTCTCGGCGATGTCATAATCTTTGCCACTAGCTCCTAGTGTGGTGGAATCAAATCTGAGCAACTCGATCGACTTCCTGTACTGAGCATCGCGTGCGGTGATGTAGTGATGGCCACTGTAGTTTTGTGCAGTCTTGCTTGTCGTTGCGCTCTCGTGTTCGCCATATCGTATTCCAAAGGAGCGTTCTGTCTTGCCGACGTAGAACTTGGGTTTGTCGCCCTTGTGCTTCTTTTGGAACTCTCGATAAATCCTCAGGTAGATTCCGTTCGCTCCTGACTTCTTGTCGATGACAATGCCCTTGTTCCAGAAATCTTGCACGGTCCATGGGTTCTTGTAATGGAACGCATTCACCGTGCCCGCCGCCTGAGCTGCCTTCGTAAGTTCTCGAAACCAGTCGAGTAAGTTTCTCTGGTTTCAAAACTTCGACTGGATCCAGACTCCGAGCCAAGGTAGGTTTCCTTTGTGGAGCGACTTGAGGATGGCGTTCAGAAGACGATAAGCCATGACTGTCAGGTTGTGTTCTTTCGAGAGGTCTATGTAGTCCTTCCAGTCGATGTTGGTAGTGGCGGGAGGGACATTGGCATTGATACTCTCTTGGCCCCATTTCACACCCCAGTTGATTTCGATGAAGCTGGGGTTGAGGGGCATGATAGGCTGCCATTCCTTCCGTGGACGATTGGGATTGGCTTCGTGTCGACGAGGAAACAGGACCATCATCCTGTTTCTGGTGCTGTCGTAGGCTTTCACCTCGCCGACCTCTCCCTTCTGGAACTCGACACCGTCACATGTGATGTCCTGCCAAACTCTCAGTGGGTGTCCCGTAGGATCCTTGGGTCCTGGCGCGGAACCCGGAGCCATAAAGGCAGTAATTTCTTCATTGGATCTGGCATGTGATTCGGCCAAATCGTTGAGAAAGTGACGGTGTTCGCGCTCGAGGAAGGACTTCTCGTACTCTTGCTGAATGATCTTCTTGAGCTGCTTCTCCAATCGCTTGACTACGAGCTTCTGCTGAGCAAGAGCTTTCGCATGAGCTCGCGCTTCTCGCTGTTGCATGAGCTCGGCATAAGCACGTGCTTTGCCCTCAGCACGAGCATGTGTCTTGCAGATCTTGTGAAGGCGACGGGAAAGTTGGCGCTTGGCCTGGCGGGAGCCGATCGTGAGGGTGTTGTCTTCGTGAGCGTCGGAGGGTCGTGAATCAGGAATGCCCCATTTCAGAGGTCGGTCATCGCGAATTGTGCAGGAGATGGACTCCTCTTCATATCGAGAGAAGCACATCTCCTAAGAAGGAGGAGGCTGAACCGCCTCGGGCAGGGGTGGTTGTGACTGATGAGGAGGAAAGGGGTAATGGTTGGGTGTGGTGTTGATGGTTCGTGGTCGGATGTAGTGTTGGTAGTGGTTGTAGAGAGAGACGAGCTAAACAAGAGTTTGGAAATTACTTATGCAGTGCGCTGCTCGTTTTCATGTGTCTTGCGCTTGAGATGGTGAATAAAGCCAGGCAGGATGTTTCACTTCTGATAGCATGCGACTCTCATTTCTGGAAGCTGCGAGTGACACGGAAGGCATGTGCTTGTACATGTGAATAGGATGCGGCTGCGGACAGCAGAAGCACACGAGCTGCCTTTGTTCACATGTTTGGGCCACGGCGGCCATCTGTGGGTGAAATGCCCGACATATTGTTAACACGTGCAGTCGAATGGTTCGACGCCTGCTCTCTGTATGCTCAAGACGTGGTGGCAATCAAGTTTATCAGCCTGTCATCAAGAGATGATCATACCTTTCATGATAAAATGTATAACTTACCGCGCCATTCAAAAGTCGGTTTTTCTCGAAAGCACAACTTTTCTCTAATGACCCGCAACCTACCAAGCTTACGGTTCAAGTTTGACTGGAGAACACGAGGCAATGCAATGGAGAAATATGTCGTCTCTAAGAAGGTGGACGTGAGGTCGTGGTCCAGCCAAGCCTCTACCCCATGGAGAGGCGCTGTGGAGCCGCAGCGTCCTCGTCTCGCGAACGTCGCGTGCGCTTCGAGCCGTGGATCTATCAGCATTCATCAAAAGTAATACGGCAGTTCACGGGCACAGGCGTCTGGAGGATTGCTTGTGCATCGTCTAGTCGGTTGTGAAAGTATGGTCCGGGTTGTGTGCTTCATCACAGCAATGCCAATTTTTTCTTTCGATTCTCAACCCAGACCTCCATGCATCCGGTCGTCGTCCGAATCTCACGATGTTAGGTAAAAATGCTGGTCTGATGACGTTGCGATGAAGGACAGGCGCTGGAGCTGCCGGAGAGAGCTGCGCTGCTCCTGCTGCATCGGTACAGTCCCGAAGTATCGTGAGCCTTCCTTTTGGTGGTCATCGAGGCGCATCCCTCGCGCCGCGATGAGGGCGAACATCAGACGACAGAGGGCTGGAACCTAGGTTATTGCGGTGTAGACCCAATCCCCGCCTGGGGCCTGCACGATGACATGTAGTGCTTAGACAGGTATATAGCGTGACGGGGGAGTGATGCGTCTGCCATTGTTATCATCAGGAGTAGCAGGAATTGCTGAAGTCGTTGAGAGGGCGATAGTCCAGACCAGACGCGCGTGTTGCTCTTGAAGACGTTGCCCGCCGCCCACGGTTCCAAGCCGGTCGTCCCCGGCACTCCACAGCGTGCTCTTCTTCCGCACGAAAACGCGCCGGATCTTGGAGAATCAAGGCACATCTCAGCCAATCAGCGGAGCCTGCAACTAATCGCTCAGTGCCGACGAACGAGGCTTAGAGGTTTACCAAACCTTGGACATGTCGTCTGGGAACTTAAGAAACAGCGCTCGCCCTGCTCAACCCGTCCGCACGTTCACTCCCGGCCCTCCCTCTAATTCCGGTGTCGACTTCGTCAAGGAGAACATCTCCAAGCAACAAAGAAGCAACTTCCACTCCTCGTCCCTAACTGCAAAGTCCGAGATCACAATGGCTGCGGCACGCGTAAACAAGACGGCCCTGCACCCTGGCGGTGTCGAGTATGTTGTCGCCGACACGGCCAATGGCTTGATACTGAAGAGCATTGCTGACCTGATATCTCCACAGGCCCGTCCACGAGCACACTGAACTCGAGGAGGAACTCCACGAGCGCGCACACATCGACTACGACCGTGTGGCCATTGTAAGCATGACCTGTCTCAGGAGACAGCGAGATTCGCAATGCTGACTCGACCTGTCTAGGTCGCCAACCCTTCTGTCGCAGCACTCTACGAAGACGCGCTCGTGTACGAGACTGGATCGGCCATCACCTCCAGCGGAGCTCTGTCCGCCTACAGTGGAGCAAAGACTGGCCGCTCGCCCTCGGACAAGCGCATCGTGAAGGAGGAGGGCTCAGAGAGCGATGTGTGGTGGGGTCCGGTCAACAAGCCCATGACGCCCGAGGTGAGTTACAACACAGCGACCTTTATCACGCAGCCTCTCTGGCCTTGCCAATGGGCATGCACAGCTGCGCGACATTACCTCGCTATCTTTTCAGGAGGTGGACTTGCACGACGCGTGAGCATGCAGCCCAGCCAGCGGTTCGCGGGGCAGGAGCCAAACCAAAACGTCACTGCCCCTCGCATTAGCCGAGCTGGGTTGCCGTTGCTAGCCTAAGCGCGCCCGCCGCCCGGGTCTGCCCCGCGTGTCGGGAAGACGCGGCCGGGAATAACCCCGCTCTTCACGTGGCATCGCGATGTGAATGTTGCTCGCTGACATGTGATAATCCTTAGGTGTGGCGTATCAACCGCGAGCGTGCCGTCGACTACCTCAACACCCGCAACCGAATCTACGTGATCGATGGCTTCGCCGGCTGGGACGAGCGCTACCGCATCAACGTCCGAGTCGTCTGTGCCCGTGCCTACCATGCTCTCTTCATGTACAACATGCTCATCCGACCATCGAGAAAAGAGCTCGAGCACTTCCACCCCGACTATGTCATCTACAACGCCGGTGCCTTCCCGGCCAACAGATACACCACATCCATGACTTCCAACACCTCCGTCTCGATCAACTTCTCCGAAAAGGAGATGGTTATCCTTGGTACTGAGTACGCTGGTGAGATGAAGAAGGGAATCTTCACTGTTCTCTTCTACGAGATGCCAGTCAAGCACAATGTCCTCACTCTCCACTCCTCTGCCAACGAGGGCCAGAACGGGGATGTCACCGTCTTCTTCGGTCTCTCTGGAACTGGCAAGACTACGCTCTCCGCCGACCCCAAGCGTGCTTTGATCGGAGACGACGAGCACTGCTGGAGTGACAAGGGTGTCTTCAACATCGAGGGAGGCTGCTACGCCAAGACCATCGGTCTCTCGGCAGAGAAGGAGCCAGATATCTTCAACGCCATCAAATTCGGTGCCATCCTCGAGAACGTCGTCTTCGACCCAACCACCCGTGTTGTCGACTACGACGACTCGACCCTGACCGAGAACACCCGCTGCGCCTACCCCATCGAATTCATCGAGAACACCAAGATTCCCTGCCTTTCGACCAATCACCCATCGAACATCATCCTCCTCACCTGCGACGCCCGCGGTGTCCTCCCCCCGATCTCCAAGCTCAACAGCGAACAGACCATGTTCCACTTCATTTCTGGTTACACATCTAAGATGGCCGGTACCGAACAGGGTGTGACTGAACCTCAGGCTACTTTCTCGTCTTGCTTTGCCCAGCCTTTCCTTGCCCTCCACCCAATGCGCTACGCCAAGATGCTTGCGGACAAGATTCAGCACCACAATGCCAATGCTTGGTTGCTGAACACTGGCTGGACTGGTGCTGGCGCTACCACTGGTGAGTTACCCCCGAATTCCCCCCCTCCCCCAAACAAAAACAAAAAAACTCTTTTACAGCTCACACATCCAACAACTATACCTCCGTTGTATTTGAGTCATAGCTAACATTGCGGCAGGCGGAAAGAGATGTCCATTGGCAGGCCTTCCCTCCCCTCTATATCCATTGCAAACGTGGCTAACTTTTTGTAGAAATACACCCGCGCCATCCTCGACGCCATCCACAGCGGTGAGCTCGCGAAATCCGAATACGAGAACTACGAGGTCTTCAACCTCCAAGTACCCAAGAACGTCACCAACGTACCCGACGAACTCCTCAACCCGGCCAAGAGCTGGTCCGGAACCGCCGACTTCAAGGACGAGGTCACCAAGTTGGCCGAGCTGTTCAACGAGAACTTCAAGAAGTACGCCGACGAGGCCACTCCAGAGGTTATCAAGGCTGGTCCACAAGTATAGATGTAGCTCGGAAGGGCATGTGGCATGACTTGTACAGATTGCGGAACCTTTTTTTCCGGCTTCGAGCTCAGATGTCATCAGGACTAGGGCAGGCGCCGTCTTATGCGAGATGAAGGGGGGCGTCTATAGTGTGATTACACTTTTGTGGATAGAGCAATACTAGCCGTTCAGCAGTAGACTATTCCGCTACGTCCTTCTTTGGCATTTCACGTGAAGTCGAGTACAAGTCGGGTACTATACGTGTATTCAATTAGAGCCGGTCCACAGAAGCCCAAAGCCCTAGGTATCCGTACGGGCAGTCTCGTATGAGAAAGGACGGCCGGTCATACCAGTACTCCCAGGCTACGTTCTGTCATGAGTCGAGATGCGAAGAAGAGGAGAATCGGCGAAAAACGTAACCAAAAGCCGGACTATTGTTCACTACGTTTTACTTGAACTAAATGTAGACAGTCCAAGACTTCAGACGAGTGAATGAATTCCCCTGTCACATGATGTTTCAAGCGAAGACGAGGCAACTAAGAATCCACAACTAGTATGGACACGCTTTTGAACGAGGCCGTAAAATTATGTGTGATCACACTAGATCGCAACCCGACTTCCTTCCCAGCATGGGGCACGAGGATCCCTACAGCGATCTTGACAGCGAAAACCGTACGTGTATCGCCCTGCACGATGTGAGGATGAGATTTCGCTTTCGATGAGAACTACGAGTAGTGACTTCGGCTCGCTGAGCGGCTATTTCGAACTTGGCCCACGCGCGCTTGCATGTGATGCTGTCTTTGAGGAAGGACGTATCTACTATAGACCATGCTGAGCAAGCTGTCGCCTCGATCGAGGCCCCTCGGGATCTGGTCGATGACGAAGACTTTCGAAAGAACAGCGCAAGGAGGCGAGGCGTCTACTTCAGACGCTTGAGGATAGGACGTCGAAGAAGGACGAAGAAGGGGCTGCTGAGGGGGCCTGTTATTGCTGGCCCTGATGATGAGGGCTTTGCGGTTGCTGGTCCTGCTTCTGCTCGTCCTGAAATGTCGGCGAGGGAACCTGGCGTCCATCTGAGAAGTAGGCAGTGACATACTACCTAGTAACCTCCTGATGCCGGCGGCGAGCGTGAGCGATACGATCTCGCCATACCACAAACACCCGAGAACCCACATAAGTAAACTGAGCACCGCCGTCCCGCCCGCCTCTTCTCGCACCTGGTGCTTCTTTCTTGTTAACACAAGTGAGTGATTGGACATCAAGCCAGTCAATCCAAACTAAGCCATCTTCTCCTTACAAGGCCGTGCCACCCACCCCCAAGAAAGAGAAAGACGAGCAGCAGGACTCACAGGAGACGCATACCGGTGACATCTTACTGCAAGTTGATGGAGTCAGGCAGACAAAGGACGACAGGGAGTGAGTGGTGTCTGATCTCTCGAGTTGGTGTCGACACTACAAAGCTTGCAAGAGCGTCGGGACTTGGTCGTGTTTCGCTCCTCAAGAACGTGTTGCAGTGTGGCCTGGAATTGACTCTCTCACTCTTTTCAGGCTTATGTGAAGTTTCCGTCAATGTGTCTTATGTTTCCGGCTCGACAATGCAGACACAGCTTGTCACCAAATCCAACTGGCTAAGTCATTGCTCTGTATCGTTTCTCGACTCCCAAAGTTGAATTAAAGACTGACGGCAACGAAGCAGCACTTGTCCTTCATTCTCGAGCTCTTGAAAGCCAACACAGGTTCGACCTCGCCGCGGGCTGGGTATGAGTCGATCGACCAAGCGTTGTCTCTCGTTATGATGTCCGTTTAAATCCTTGCAGAAAGCCAGTTTGGGACCATGGATAATCAAGTGCTTGTTGTATTACGTCTACCTTCTTCATTCCTTAGTCTATGCCTCCAGCGGTCTCTTATCTCAATAACAACAGGCATCGCCGCACCGCCCGCTCATTGTCAACTCATTCCAAGCCGGCAATTCACCTCGGAAACCAAAGCGGGCCCCTGCAACAACGTTGTTCCTGCTGCGCCGCTCGGACTTGGCATTGCACATGCACCCTCTCTCCATCCCGGTCTCTCCCGTAGGCATCACATCTCACATTCCTCCACCATCACCTCATCATGTTCAACTCTTCGAAGGACTTCCAAACTCCGACCTTGCAGGCGTGGCCATCCTCACAGGTTGTCGTGAAGGAGTCCCAGGCGCAGATCCTCCGGGCGTTTCCGGCAGACGTCTGTTGTTCAAGTCGCTTGGGACTTTGAAATCCGTCGAGCGACCCTTGTGGAAGACTTCATCCATGATCGTCTCGAGAACTCCAGCGTTTTGGTATTCGAGGTACTTTCGCCAGAGCTTGATGGCTGTGCGTGCGTCTTCGATACTGTCGTGTCCCATGTCTGCATTCTTTTGGACTTCTTCTTTGAGCACGATCCATGCCAGGAAGCGCAGTGAGAGTTTCCGTCGACCGCGCGTGCCAAGCGAAAAGAGGTCTTGCGTGTCGATGACTTGAGAGTCTGGCACGTGAATGTTGATGATGCGGAAGTCGCTTGAGAGACCGTGACCAACAAATGAGCAGCCAAGATTGAGGAGGACCCAGAGCTTCTTGTAGACTTCCTTGAGGCTGACGAGTTGGAAGCGGCTTTTGCCTACGGTGAGATCGCCTTCGTGTAGTCCAGAGTACTGTGTGAGGTAGTCGTCGATCGGCTCGTCGATCGCAATGTAGTCATCAATAAAGGGCAATTCTTGATCCATCCCATCCCCTCTCAGAACTGACACTCGCGCCAATCCTGAGCGTGCGGGACGTGTCATTGTACGGGAGCCATCTGCGCCAACATCGATCTCCTCTCTCAACAGTCGAACAAATTCAGCGTCAATGCCGACATGCCAGGTGCTGTCGGGCAAGGGCTCATTCTGCGACAGTGCTCGGAAGTTTGCTAGCCCAGGCTGGCTCGGGCTTCGATAGAGGATGCTCGTGTCAATGGCATTCTTCCAACTGTTGTCGATATTGTGCGACATCGTCTTGACTTGATATGTGATCACTGATGGCAACTTCCAATCAGGATTGAAATGCAAGGCATCTTGCCACCGAAGCTGATGAACCAAAAAGTCATTGAACAAGTGCCAATTCGGACTCTGCGCACCATTTCGGTCTGCTTCGGCAACATCGGTATTGATGGATGCCACCAGATGCGATTTCTCGTTTTCGCCCGTCCGGGCCTCGGCCACGACTCCAACCAGCTTGTAGACGGTAACACTATACTGTCCGCGCTGAATGTGTAGCTGGAGATCCGGGCCCTCGAAACAAAAGAATCGACCATTGTTGACAATAACACCAATTTCGTCGGGCAAGATGTTTCGTTGAGCCCAGAACGATCGTGCTGCTTCAGTGTTGACAGCTGCATTTAGCATGAGCGTGGCTGGCAAGCAGTGAATCGCACGATTCGACACCATTGGCTTGTACCCATTGCACCGTAAGCACCATCCCCGATGCTGATTGTGCCGCTCTATGGACGCCTTCAGAACCTGTGAGAACGGTTGGATCTGGTGTCGTGTCTTGGGTCCTCTCGATGGGTACACCAGATCGTGAGTATACCACACTTTGTCCATTCTGCTCTCATAGCTGCAGTGTCCGCATTGTGTGAAGCCGAGTCCAATGGTGCCGAATGCGAGGTGGAAATGATCCAAAGACGGAGCAACCCACTTGAAGTTATCTTCCATCCGCTGGAGCAGGAAACGATTCAGGTTTTGAACCATCGTGGTCAATGTCACGCCGGTCGTAGTCCCTTCCAGCACGTTCTGAGCGGGAGCGTCTGGCTGTCTGCTGAGAGCTTTGAGAAAGTTTGTGGCCTGGCAGTTGGGCGTCTTGGCCTTTTCCAGCATATCAATCAGAAAGCCAAGTTCGCACATGAGACAATTCTCCAGCCGACAGTCCCTCGCAGTGTGATGCAAGGCGAGATTGCGGGCCACTGGCGTGAATCGCAGTATTTGTAGCAAAGGATTGGCGTATGAATTGACAATGTGGGTCTCCAAGCCAGCATACTTTGTCTTATTGTAGTAGCGAAAGTCGAAGTCTTCCACGCCGAATCTGCTGTATTTGATCTCAACGACGCGGTACAAGAACTTGGCATCTGATGTTGAGACACCGTCCAGCTTTGCCTTGTCCAGAGCTTTGATCAAGTCTTCACTCATCCTACGCTCATTGTCATAATTAGCATCTTCCTCTCGAGGCTTTTCGCTCAAGAATTTGGGCGCGGCGAGTGGATCAGACAGTTTCTGCATGGCTTTGGCATCAGCGGCTTCGTAGCGTCTCCCCTTCCGTGGGTTCGGACCAACTCTGCCATACTCGAATGGTCTATAGCTGGCATCTGGCGGCTCAGCGACACGCTGTGGTGGAAGTCCAACTTGATGCAGCAGACTGTTAGGCCAGCCGGACAGCAGAGCCTCTCGATAGTGCGGCATTCCAATCAGATTGAGAGGAGTGTCAGTCGACCACTCGAGATGCTTGTGAACACCATTCGGTTCCGCAAACTCCGTAGGCTTGCTGTATTCTGTGAATTGTAATTTCGAAGGTGAGCCCCAAAGTGTGATTTGTGATTGAGAGTCTGCAAGTGCGAAGCCTTTGCCTGAAGGCATAAGTTCGAGACCCATGAATTGAACGTCGAATGAGTTGGCATATCGCATCGTTGGCATATCGGGGTTTTGAATGTCGATGGAGTGTATCAAGCCACTCTGCGAGATGACAATGCAGGTAGAGGAGAGTTTTGGATGCATGCGGATATGTGCAGCACCGGACTGAAAGGGGACAGGAGGAGCAGGCTTCTGTGCTTTGAGATCAAATACTCGGACGAGTCGTTCCAGGGAGAGACCTTGGTATTGCATCTGAGCCCAGCCACAAGTTAACAGGTAGTCGCCTCTAGCGTCCATATCGTTGACAGGGCCAGCGTAAGCCTTCCAACTGAGTACAAGATCCAGAGTCTTGGGATCTAGAATGTGAATCGAGCCGTCCTGACATGCAGCGCAGATGTATTGTCCCGCAAGTCGCATCAGCGTGTAAGGGGCTGGATTCGGCGGAGATAGGGTCTCGATAACGGTCCCCTTGTCCACGTCGATTCGATACATGTGCGGCTGGCAGCCGGCCACGACCAGCTCTGTGGCATCTCGTCCCGTAAAACTCATGCAGCGCAAGTCCTTCATAGTGGGTGGCGATGCGTGCCATTGTGCGAGGCCTCGGCGAGAAGACAGATGCACACTTCGGGATGAGACCGATATGACGCCCTTGTCACAGAAGAGCAGCTGTAGAACTGGCGCATCGCCAGGACCTCCACGGGGTGCAGCGCTGACATGGCCGAAGTATGATGTGTATCTCTGCAGTTCTGGGCCATAGAATGAAGTGACTCTTCCCTATGCTAGGTCAGAATCGCGCTGTCGCGAGATGCAACGAGGAAAGAAAGAAGTGATGGACAGCTGAGATGATCTGAGATGTTATAGAAAGCTCAACGCACTCACATACTCGTTGCCCGTCCACAGCAGCTCTTCCAACGGGTCAAAGGCGAAAGTGGTGAGAGTCGATGGGGGAGCATTGGGTGTTGGGCCAGGAATGGTTATCCGGGTTGCCTCGCTCCAGTCGGCTTCCATCGCGTCGAAGGCCTCAAGCCGGTCCGCATCGCTGGTGTTGGAGATGGCTGTCGATGAGAGATTCGCCCTCGACTGCTTCGACGCGCGTGGTTGAAGATGCGATCTCGTTGCTGGGCAGCTACACAGCGGCCAGTCCCGCGCTAATTTTAGCCGCCAAATACCTACGCTGTTCAGTCCGACGCCGAGTCTTCCTCACCGTAATGAACTGCTGGTACTACTTTCTTTCTACATCACCTCCCTCTGTCTGTCTCATAATCGAAGACCGATATATCACTTTGCACCACTAAATTCGCAATGCCGAACAATAAACAATGCGAATGCCAAGGCTCTCGATGACCATGTCTGCCTGCCTGCCTCCGTTCACCACGACTTTTGAAGCCTTCGTCGACCGGTGTACAGTTGGGAGTCACCACTTCTGTTTCCTCACTGTTGTGTTCAGGCACCTGCACATGATCGTGAACGATCCCCCGTGGTTGCCTTTTTCATATGTTGTTGCACGCGTATAAGATCTCCTTCCGCCCGACGCTCTCTCACTCCAGTCTCCATCTCACGCCTCTCATCAAAAACAGAAAAATGGCCTCCGCATCCAACATGTTCGAGGACCTCAAGTCCTTTCATGAGTATCTCAGCAAGTCGAAGCGAGTCCTCGCCCTTTGCGGCGCTGGACTGAGTGCCTCTTCAGGACTACCGACCTTCAGGGGGGCCGGCGGTCTTTGGAGAAACCACGATGCTACTCAGCTCGCCACACCTGGAGCTTTCGAGGAAGATCCTGCCTTAGTCTGGCGGTTCTACTCTTGTGAGTATATCTCGAATTCAAATCACGATCGATGCTAAGTTGAATTCTAGATCGACGTCACATGTCGCTGAACGCAAAACCGAATGCCGCCCACTATGCCTTTGCCGAGTACGCTCGCCGCACCCCTGGTTTCATGAATCTCAGCCAGAACGTCGACGGACTGTACCAGATGGCCGACCATCCTAAGGAGCAATTGAAGCTGCTTCATAATACCCTGTTCGAAGTCAGATGCGTCAATCGAGCCTGTGGCTATGTGGAGGAGAACTTCACGGATCCGATCGTGCCCTCGCTCGCGATCCCCATGGACAAATCAGACCCTACGACAACAGAGGCACTGGCAGCAGCTGGCAAAGCAAACCGAAAGGAGCTCGACATCAGCAATGCTGCAGTGCCGATCTCGAACATCCCCGTCAAAGACCTGCCACAATGTCCCAAGTGCAAAGAACGAATGCTTAGGCCAAATGTCGTGTGGTTTGGAGAGAATCTCCCTATGGATACCATTGATGAAATTGAGGAATATCTACACGAACCTGAAGATGTCGACCTGATCATCGTTGTCGGAACGTCTGCCAAAGTCTACCCTGCCGCTGGATACACGACCAAGGCTCGGATGAAGGGGGCGCGAGTTTGCGTCGTCAACATGGGTAAGCTGCGACCATACTTCGAGCAAAGGCTATACTAATCCTTCGATAGACGCGAACGACGCCCCAGCTGGTGGATGGAATAAGGGGGATTGGTTCTTCCAAGGCGATGCTGCCGAGATCATTCCGCGATTGCTCGAGCCAGTGACCTGCGTGGAGATTCCACGCAGCTCAAAGGTCTGAGGTATTACTCGGAAGTTTAGGGTTGACGACGAAAAGTTTGGTATATAATATTTGTATATCCAGCATTCAATTTCAAGCGAAACGACGAGGTTCCAACCGTTCATCAACACTCACGTGCTCTCCCCACTCTTGAGTCCGGGGCCCCATGCTAGCGGGCCGTCCCACTTTGAAAGTGAATGAAACCCAAACTCCACACCTCAAACCTTCATCATCCACCCACCGACACTCCAAAACAACAATGCCCAAACCCACCCTCTCCTCGCTCCGCGCCCTCGCCCGTCCAACGCCGACCTTCCGCAGCAGGCCTCTGACCGCCCTCATCCTCAACAACGCCCACCGCCGCCGCACCCTCACCTCCGCCGCCGAAATCCAATTCGGCCAACCACTCCACGAAACCCACCCACACCTAATCAAACCGGGCGACCTCACACCCGGCATCTCCGCGCTAGAATACCATCACCGCCGCGCCGCCCTCGCTCGGAAACTCCCCCGCAACAGCGCCGCGATCCTGCTCGCCGCGCCGGTCAAATACCGCTCCGGCGCCGTCTTCTACGAATACCACCAGGACTCGAATTTCTTCTACCTGACGGGGTTCAACGAGCCGGAGGCGCTGGCGGTGATCGAGAAGGGGAATAGCGATGTGGAGTATACGTTTCACTTGTTCGTGAGGGGCAAGGATGAGCGGGCGGAGCTGTGGGATGGGGCGCGGAGCGGGGTGCAGGCGGCGCAGGATGTGTTTAATGCGGATGAGGTGGGGGATGTGGAGGATGTGGGGACGTTGGTGCCGGAGGTGGTGGGGCGGTGTCGGAGTGTGTTTACGGATGTTGGGTTTGGGGCGGCGGTGGGGAAGAGGGGCCCGCTGCAGAGGTTGGTTGGGGGTAGAGCTGGGGAGGAGGAGAAGGTGGATGGGTTGGCGAGGTTGTTGAGGGATCGGAATGTGAAGGCGCTGAGGCCTTTGGTGAATGAGTTGAGGGTGGATAAGAGCGAGGCGGAGTTGAATTGTATGCGCTTGGCGGGGAGTGTGTCGGGGGCGGTGTTGACCGAGGCGATGAAGAGCACGCCGAGGAGTGAGAAGCAGCTGTGGGCGGATTTGGGGTATGGGTATAGGACGAATGGGCTGGACGGGGAGGCATATGTGCCTGTCATTGCTGGTGGGAGGAATGCGTTGAGTATACATTACGTGCGCAACGATGCTCTGCTCAAGGATGGCGAGGTGGTGTTGGTGGATGCTGGGGGCGAGTACGGTGGGTATATCACAGACATCACGCGGACGTGGCCGGTCAACGGACGGTATACGGATGCACAACGAGACATGTACAACATGATCCTTGCCGTGCAGAAGAGCTGCGTGAGCATGTGCAGAGAAGACGCCGATGTGACGCTGGACAAGCTGCATAGGATTTGCGAGGACGGGTTACGAGAAGGTCTGAAATCGTTAAGATTCAACGTTGCCGGCGATGCGTTGGACAAACTCTTCCCTCACCACGTCGGCCACTATATCGGCCTAGACGTGCACGATGCGCCAGGATATCCACGGACAGACCTCTTAAAAGCGAACCAATGCATCACCATCGAGCCGGGCATCTACGTTCCAGACGACACCAGGTGGCCGGCACATTTCCGAGGACTGGGCATCAGGATAGAAGATTCAGTGGTGATAGGCGCCGAGAGACCAGAGGTACTGACGAGAACAGCCGTCAAGGAAGTGGCGGAAATAGAAGCATTGAGAAGAAATAGATGACACGTAATGATACTTTTCCCATTTCCAAAAAGGCTTGTACGTTGTTACACTCGCATCTGATAGTTGAGATCCTGTTCGTAGCCGACGCTCAATTGTGGAATCTGTTGATATCGTCCCCGTAGGATCTGGCGGGTGTTTTGGAGGACTTGGATCCAGCTCTGTCGAGGTCCGTACGTTCGCATGCATTCGAGGAAAGCCCAGCTCATGGCGCCGACGTGTGAGCCAGCAATGGAGGCGTCGGCGGAGGTTTGATCGTCTCGACAGCCTGAGTACATCCAGACATTCTTTGACCCTTCGCTACGGTAGTCGTTTGCAAAGTCTTGCTCTCCCAGGCCGTATTGATCTACTTCTGGCGCTTCGTGGGTCATGCTTTTGAAGAAAGACTGCGCGCCGGCGAAAAGCTGTCTTGCTTCGCCGACCTTGTCCATGGTGAAGCCTCCTTGAATCAAGTGGCTTGCAGCTCCAAACAATCGCATCCCAGCTTGGACGTTGTCAATCATGGACACGTTTCCGTTCTCATCAGCTCGGAAGATGTAGGGCAGTTCGACAGCGGATCCGCTATGGCAGCAGTCGAAGAGGATGACCAGACTGCTGTTGGGTGGCAGAGATGTCACGAGGGCTCGATGTAAGACGCCACTGGGAATCTGACCATTTCGCTCGAAGTCGTAGGGTACAATAGTGTCGTCGAAACCGGATACCCGATTGCCGCTGTTATCTGGCACTTGTCCGCCATGGCCGCTGTAGTGGAGGAAGTTCATCGTCCCGGGTTCCGAGATCAGCCATTGCATGGCGGCCATCATATTGTGGCCGTTCGGCCAGAAGGGACCACGAGGATCAGTATACTGGTCGTCTCGCAGTACGACTTGAGATCGTCGGTCGGAAGCGTAGCCCATGGCAGTGAGGAATTCTCGCATGTTTTCAACATCCTGGTGACAGCCTTGGAGCCGGTGCTGGCTTCCGACGTAGTTGATGCCAATGAGAAGTGACTTCTTGCGAGGACCTTGCGCGTGGTATGCCATTGCCGGGACAATGCTTGGCCTTCAAGCGGCGGTTCAGTCGTGGGTTTCAAGTCGCTATAAGTTTTGTTATCAGCTTGGCAGGGTGTTCTGCATCGCGACCTCAGGTATTCATTTAAATCCAAGGCATCCTATTCATGGTCGTTTCGCATACGCAATGCGGCTCTCTGCTGAGGTAATGGCCCGTCGTACAAGAGCGAATCGAAAGCTTTTGGCCACGTGAGCTGGCGCAACGGACGTGATGGTCAGTAAACTCTCATCGCAGAGCTGAACCCAGAGGCTGTCATCGTTTGTGAGTTCTGCGAGAAAGGTCGACTGAGCCATCGTATGAGGGAAAGGACCTTGACGATGAATGCTGGTTGAAAGCAAAGTCTGCAAGGCCATTGGGTGCACGCCAGAGACGGCTTCACAGTGAGTGCTCGTAGTGGCCCAGCACCAACCTCTCGAATACGGCCATTTGCATCTCGCAGACGGAAGTGTTGCATGTCGCGCTGGGACGTACATATGTACATGAGCAGACTTCGACGGGTCAATCATGGCACCAGCCATCATCAAGTCAAGGGCCGTCTGCCAAGCGCCAGGTGGTTGCTATGCAGCGCGAGCAATGCAGAACGAAAATAAAGTAGCGCAGGCCGAAAACAATTGCGCCGGTCTTGCAAGCGGCCATCTGAGTCCTGCAACCCGCCATCGTCTCAGCCAGCAGAGACATTGATTGAGTGGAGGGTTGTGTGAGTGAGTGGCGAGGAGGAGGAGCACTTGATGTGCGTCGAGGCTGGCAGCGACAGCGCTAGCGACATTAGCGAGGAAACAACAACAATTGGGCCTGCACCTCACCTCGCTCGCTCACTGACCACCCACCCCCAAAACAACCCGGACGCCTCGATAACTACGCCCTCCCGCCGCAGCGCCGTGGTCGACCTGCACGCTGCCTCTCCCTCATCCTCGTCTTCGTCGTCGGTCTTTACCACCAGCATGGCCTGCCAGTGCTGCTGCTGCTGAGCTTCACGCGTACCTCGCGATTGCCCCGCGCAACCAGGCGTTTTGAGCATCACAAAGAAGCTTCCCACGCCCACGCCAGTCCCCGTTCACCGTGCATGGCAACAGTATCCATACGACAGCACCCCGATCCGACTGCAATCATGGCTGCCCGTCGGTCCGCGCTGGCAGACGTCCCCAATGCCATCAACTCACCTCTTCGCAACGCTGGCGCCGTGTCTGGCAAGCGCACGCGAGCTCAGGCTGGCGACGGCCGGGAAACGATATATGGCCAACCACCGACCAAGAAACAGATCATTGAGGCTCGGGAACAGGATGAGGAGAACATTGATCCTAGGAAGAGGAATGGAGTCCCCGTCACTGCCCATCACAAGCTCGACGAGCCCTTCTCCAAGCGCTCCAGCCACCCACCTACGGCCTTCGAGAAGAGGCTTGCTTCAGTGCGTGACAAGAAGACAACGCCGCACGCGCGTGCAGAGAAATCGCAAAAGCAGACTGGGGACAATCTTGAATCGGTGCGGCAATGGCAGAAGCACTACCGGCGACAGTTTCCCCAATTCGTCTTTTACTTCGACAACGTGCCAGACGAAACGCGTACCAAAGCTATGCGTCAGATCCACTCTCTAGGTGCACGTGAGGAAAAGTTCTTCTCCAAGGCGGTCACTCATGTTGTCACTACGCGTCCTATTCCGTCTGAACAGTCCACCACCAGCCCTGACGACGGCGACTCGAAATACGACACGACACTGCCAAAGACTGTCCAGCTGTCTGCGGCGACCACCCAAGATCAACGAAAGGGTGCCACCCTTCTGGATGCTCAGATCCAACGGCGGAATCAGCATGCCGCCTCTCAATTGCAGCAGAACCTGGACCAACGCAAGCCTCAGACACAAAGTGCCGACATCCTCTCCCGCGCACGCGCTCTTGGCATCAAGATATGGGCTCTGGAAAAGCTGCATCGTGTCCTCGGCACTATTCTCGATGCCGACACAGCTGATCACGTACATGAGCCTCGTGGTCACGCGACTCAACGCGTTTCGACAAGACAAGCACAAGATGCCGACCTCGAACAACTCCTTCGCCATGAAAAGGTCAATGGTCCTGCTGACCGTGACATGACTGTCGCAACTCAGGACATGGTGACGTTGCGTGGCTGTTATATTTACGTTCACGATATGGACGAGAGGACAAAGCCGACTCTCGTCCGTGACTACAACAAACCGAACTCAAAAGAACAAGGCAAGTGGCCGCAGTTCAGACTGACCTCATCTGGCCGATGTCCATTCATTGAAGACCCTGTCTATGCCAAGAAGATCCAGCAACAGGAGAGGGATGCTGAGAATCAGTTGAGAGCTCAGCAGGAACTTGCCCAGCGCAAGACAAGAGCAAACGCCGGTCTCCAACCGACTCCCGCCCAGGCTCTCGTCGAACGTGAGGCAAACCTGCGCCGCTCGCCGCGCAAGCTTGCCCAGGCCAAACAAGATCCAACGAAGCCACTCAACGCTCCTATGCCAGCTCATCTCCGACGGCAGTCTTCTCTCGATCTTGCAGCACCCTTCTTTGGTAGTGCGCAGGCCAGTCTCCGAGGCTTACCTCGCATGGTTGGAGGCGAGCCCGTTGCTTCAGGCATGCAACCATCCAATGTTACGTCAGCTATTCGATCACAGGCTATCTCGTCTGCGGCCATCTCGTCGACGGCGCCCGGCCTCAATCGTCGCATGGGAGACACTAAGGAGGTGTCTTTACTGAAGCGCAAGGTCTTGGCATCCAACAATAGCATACCTTCCTCGCACGTCAACGACATGAGGGCGGCGATTAATGAGAACCAGGACCCACCTCCTCGAGCTGCGAAGAGGAAAGCCCAGGAAACCTTGGGCGTGGTCCATGAAGATGAAGAAGATAGCCAGCGGCAGAAAGCAAGACTGTCAGCTCCCAAGAAGAAGAAGGTCGAGAAAGACCCCAAGCCAGGCTACTGCGAGAATTGTCGTGACAAATACGAGGACTTTGACGAGGTAAGTTTTCCCATGCGCTGTGCCCCAAATGCCCCAAGGCGTTGGATGCTGACAGTCTCCAGCACATTGCATCACGCAAGCATCGCAAGTTTGCCAATACTCAGGAGAACTGGAAGGAGCTCGATGAGCTTCTTCTAGAACTCAAGCGTCCTCATAAACAAGGACGTTGATCGGCCACGACTCATTACGATCGATCCATGCGTCACGCGACAAAGACGACAGCAGCATCACAAACACACTAATCTTGTATCGTCCTGACGGCAGCATCAGCTTTGTATTCTTGTCTCAGCAGTGGTGTATTCTAATCACACACGGGTTTGTTGGCGGAAGTTTTGAGCGTGCATAGCGGAGGCGCTTTCTGGAGGCCGGATACAGTCTGGCGTTTTATCTCGGAGGTCTACTAGAGGCGCATCATCAGTAATGCCCTGTCGAGCGAAGGTGTTAGCGAGGCATCTCAAATGTATGGAAGAGATAGTGATAGCATAGCATTGCTCCACGAGAGCGAAGTTGACGAAGTTGGCTCTTGACATTGAACAATCCATTATTGTCCAAACGACCATCTATGATGAGCACCTTGTCGGCTCAACAGCAGGAATATGAGGATATCCGTCCATCAACGTCGTCACGTGTGCCCATCAGACCCGATGTCAACCTTTCATGTTTCGGCGTCAGTAGCCGAAAGTTTCACGCCATCTTGCGTGTGACTACCTCCCACTTGACCCGCCGTCCACCGTCCGATCGCGCTCTCTGCAACAGCACTACTACTCCACCACCGCCTACGAGACCTTCCCTCTTGACAGCCAACGGAACCTTCGACTACTTCTCCAACCCACCAATCTCTCAACTCACAGTCCTGCGAATCTAGTGTCACCTGCCAGCCGAACAAGCCACGCCGTAGCCGGAACAACAAAGCGAGCTTATCAAGTGATACCGCTTTCACTCCGGACAAGCAGTCCCTCGTGACTAAACGACGTTAGTTCGCCCATCGGACCCGATCCTGAGATCTGCGGACAAACACACGAGACCAGCGAGACTGGTATATACGTCGAGTACTGGGCGAGATTGCAAGTGAGGGGAGAGCACAGAAGGCAGACACCCCAGAACAGCTCCAGAGGGAGAGAAGGCGGCAAGATGAGCAGTCCGAAGCGCAGAATCGAGACGGATGTATGTTGGTGCATATCTTCAAAAGCTATATTTGCTGCACAAGACTGATTGGGGGCCTTTGAACACAGGTCATGAAGATGCTCATGAGCGATTATGAGGTCACCCTGGTCAATGACAATAGTACGCAACCAGATCCCTCTTCTACACTTTCCCCAACGAAGCATCATGCTGACTGACCTGTCTTGACAGTGTCCGTCAGATCCATGCCGATTCACGATCTCTCCATGGGGAGGATGTTGCTGATGTTTCTACAGGCAGGAGTTCTACGTGAGGTTTAAGGGGCCCGAAGAGAGTGAGCATCACCATCAATATCACCTAACGCGTCGCAATCTGACAACATCACAGCACCATTCCAAGGCGGTCTCTGGAAAATTCACGTCGAACTACCAGACCAGTATCCTTACAAGAGCCCCAGCATCGGCTTCGTCAACCGGATCTTCCATCCCAATATCGACGAACTGTCAGGTAGCGTGTGCCTCGACGTTATCAACCAGACCTGGTCGCCGATGTACGACATGATCAACATCTTCGAGGTCTTTCTGCCGCAGCTCTTGCGGTATCCCAACCCGACAGATCCCCTCAATGGGGAGGCCGCCGCCTTGATGATGAGGGATGTGAAAGGGTATGACTCAAAGGTCAAAGGTGAGGCAGACCGACGTGGATGATAAGGTGGATGGTTGCTGACGGGGGCCTAGAATACGTGGCGAAGTATGCATCGAAGGAGAACGTCGACGACGGCGCGGGAGACTCGAACGATAGCGACGAAATGAGCTCGGTGGGAAGTTATGACGAAGACGAAGAAGACGAGGAGCCCGCTGGAACCATGGACGAAGTATGAGCCGCAAGCAACATAGTGGCTCTGCAAGACCGTCCAACACGGCGTCCTGCATTGGAAACTTCTTATAGCTTGCTTCTGATGGAGACTGCTTTTCGACTCATTGGGTGTGGCGTTTGAGGCAGCAAGGGTGGGAAGGGCTACGGGATTTTCATGCGGGATGCTCCGGCGTTTACGGTGGAGAGCACATAGGAGTCTTGACAGATTGAATGGATGGACGGGCACGAGGAACAGTGCTTTTTGGATGTGGGAAAGGCACGTGGGACTGTTATAAGCGCAGGCGCGGACATTGCGAAGATGGAACTCGTCGTGGGGGTTGCGTGTATCTACTGAAGGAAGCTTTTCTATACTCCTGCTCTCTATCAAGACGATACAGTATCAAACCTTGAAGGGGCCCCTCAACGAAAGTATGTGCGGACGCTGTACACCGCTCCTGATGGACGCGGGCGTTGGTGTAGACGGACGCTTGGCCGTCGTCCAACATGGCAGTCATACCCTTCTTCCCCTGGGACTACTACTGTACATCAAGTACATCATCCAGTACACAGAGCTCAAAGAGGTATCCAGTACCACGGTAGACTTTTTCGGTCTCTCAAGAGGAGTTCGGTTTCGCAACAAGGGTCCTACGGCCGTGAGATGGGATTGGGTCTGGTAGTCAGCTTCCATGTTAGGGCTTGGAGGACTGCGAGGTTTGTCGCTGGCGGGTCCTTGTTGCGCCATGCGGTTGGGGGAGGGATGGGATGCAAGGGGGGTGGAAGGCGAGGGGAGATGGGGGAGGGTCTTTGGTGGGGAGGACGAATGAGGAGTTGGCGGGAGAAGTTAGGTGTGAGAATAGCTCTTTGGGTGGAGGGTGTTGTCAGGAGATGAGGTATGGGTTGGTGCTGCTGGAGCTGGAGCTGGAGCTGGAGCTGGAGCTGAAGCTGGTCCTGACGGTGGTAGAGAGAGACAAGTCGATGATGAAGGTTTGTGCCGAACGCATGGAGGTATCAGGGGGATTGAGTTCATGGACATGTGATAGTATCCATACATAGCAGCACAAGTTACTGTACGCTACCTTTCAGACAGCAATGCTTTCTCATCCGCATCAGCAGTGAGTTCATTTCGGGCGCATTGCTCGAAAGTCGCAGGTGTGCGAAACAGCACGTGCGTTTTTGCCGCAGGATGCCATGGGTGTTCCTTTGCCATGCATCTCCTTGCTGCGTGCAGGGGATCCGGATTATTGGGGGGTTGCCTGTGACGGATTGACAGTCGTCGTGCAGTCCTCGTGGGCAGCAAGGAGTCGCTGTCGATCCCTTCTGACTGCGACCACGTTGTTGCGTAGGAATTCGTTTCGGGCCATACTTTGTCGGACGACCGAGCTTCGTCGTTTGTTTGCTACAGTCCATCTACTTTGAGGATGAGGCGGGTGGGTGGTCTTGTCTCAGCCAAATCCGATGTCTCTCACCTCCTTGTTGGCAATCGTCGTGGTATGACAGCCTGCTGAATCAGGCAAATGCAGTAGCACAGCGCAAAGGAGTGGGCATGAATCATGGATACGAAGACGGTGTTTGTCAGAGCTTGGGAGGGTGGGTGTTTCACGCGTCGACGGCAGGAATGGGAGTGGCTTGCAGCAAGGCCAATTAGGGAGTGTTTCTAGAAGACGTCGTCCGAACGCCTTCGCCGCCTGGTCGGATGCGAAAGAGAGCGTCTCGCCGTCGTGATTCGCCCGTGTGGTGCAGCCGAGGGTCACAGCCTTTCTCCCACGTGTGTAGGGCGGAAGTGGAGATCGCCCTGGGCTGATGCAGGATCAGCTGTGTTTGAGGGTGTGGTGGTCGTGGTGGCTGTTTCTGTGCGTGATGTCGTCGTGGCTCGGTGTGTTGAGAGACGTCAAAATGTAATCAGGCTGGATATCAGGGGACTGAGTTCACGAAGTTTGCGAGGAGACTGGCGATGACATGCTGCAGGGCGGTGACGGCGACAATCTTGTTCGAGAAAATCAGAGTTGGTGCATCTAGCGGCTGACGCTAACGACTGGGAAAAACGTGAAAGTGGCCACGCTGCTGCAACGTGAGCCCGTCGAGGTACCGCGCCGGAGGAAGCGAGAAGTCTTGTTGTCTTGCTGGTGAGAATATCCTTCAATTATTGATGGATTCGCCGATTGATCGATTGATTGATTGACGACCCGCTGTCTCATTACACACTTGACCTGCACCCTGGCCCGCCTCGTAACTCTCTGAACCGCACCCATACCGACCTGCCTGCCTGCCTGACTCTAGGCCAGCGTCACCCTGCGACTCTGCCCTCTCGGTGCTTGCTCGCTCACGCTTCCCCTCCCGCGACCAGCCAGCAGCAGTGAAGGCTGCGGCGGTTGCTTCTCCCAACTCTCCGCCGGCGGGTAGCTACGTCTTTCTGCATCTGGCCGTGATCGATCGCTGCGCTCGCTCGCACAGCGCCAACCTTGCCTACCCTACCAAGTCTCTGGGACGCTTCCGGCGCACAACAGCAGCCCGAACACCACCGCAGCCTTGCCTACCACAGCTACTGCCCTCTGCGTACCACCGTCCACGCCGAACCTCGTGCGTGGCGTCTAGGATCGTCGACGCCCCTCCCTACCGCTCCCTCCTCGCCCTCCCAGCGGCCACAGGGCATCGCCCGCCGCTCGCCGCCCAAACGACCGCCGCGAGACGATGACGCTGCGGTAGTCCACGACCTCCCTCCAGTCAAGAATACCCCCGGGTCTGCATTGGACTTGCCTGTCTTTACCGACCCTTCGCGCCGCCGCAAATGGGCAACTCCAATGGCAAGCCCATCGTCTACACCGATGAGGTCAACCTCAACCACTTCCGCCTGCTGCGGGTGGTCGGTAAGGGCGCGTTTGGCAAGGTCAGGATTGTGGAACGCAAAGATACGGGCTTGACTTTTGCCCTCAAATACATCAGGAAGGATGAGGTCGTACGGTCGGAAAGCGTGCGGAACATCATACGCGAGCGGAGGATGCTGGAGCATCTCAATCACCCGTTCCTGTGTAATCTACGCTACAGCTTCCAGGATATGGAATATCTGTGAGTTGGCTTGGACACGATATGAGAGGACATGAGTGCTGATACATGAGCAGATATATTGTGGTCGACCTCATGAATGGTGGCGATCTCAGATTCCACATCTCTCGCAAGACCTTCACCGAGGAGGCAGTGCGCTTCTGGATTTCTGAGCTCGGCTGCGCTTTACGATACATCCATAAGCAGGGTATCGTACATCGCGATGTCAAGCCAGACAATGTGCTTCTAGACTCAGAAGGACATGTCCATTTGGCCGACTTCAACGTGGCGTCAGACATCACGCCTGGAAAGCCATTGACTAGCAAATCTGGAACTCTCGCCTACCTTGCACCAGAAGTGTATGGGGGCAGAGGTTATTACTCAGAAGTTGACTGGTGGTCATTAGGTGTACTATTCTACGAGTGCATCTACAACAAGCGACCGTTCGAGGCAAGCCATCACGACCAACTTGCCCAAGCCATCATCAAAGCCGATCCGCCATTCCCCGTCACGTCGCCGCCAGTGTCTATGCCATGTAACCATGCCATAAGCTCGTTGCTGGAAAAGAACAAGACCTTGCGAATAGGCGCTGCATCATGGGAGAGTTTTACTGACAACCCTTTCTTCAGGGAATTAGACTTTGAAGCTTTGGAGGCCAAGGAAATCGAGCCCGTGTTCTGTCCATCGAGCGATAAGACCAACTTCGACGCCACTTATGACCTTGAAGAGCTGCTATTGGAAGAAGCGCCTCTGGAAGCACGAGCGCGGAAACAGAAGCCTAGAGCTGAGCTGAGGGAGGATGCCACTCAGCAAGAGATCAGAGCAGATGAACTGCATCGTATGATTGAGAACATGTTCGAGCCATTCAACTACACCACAGTGCCACAGGATAGGAGCCCGGTCGTGTCGCAAGTTGGATCTCCTTCATCAACTGGAGCCTCGTCTTCAAAACGCAGCGAAAAGGATGGAGCCGTCGATCCAACCGGTGGACGAGCGCAACCCAGCAGATCCATACCGACGTCTCGATCACAGACACCCGGCGGCAGTGCATCAAGAACACGCTCATCAACGCATTCCCCGGATGGATCGCCTCCACTCCCCTCAGCAATGCCTGACTACGGTGGCTCCGGTCCAACATCAGAGCCAAGAGAGTACTTCCCACCGCCGACGTCAGATCCAAATGTTGCACAGGCCTTGCAGCAAGTCGTGCCTGAACCGAAAGAGCTGAATCGTGTGAAGACGGCGCGATTCGAAGAGCCGGGTCAGCCTCCCCCGTCTCCAGGACAGTCGTCACGGAATCATCGACCAAGAGGATCGGTGCGGAGCACGTCTCAAGGTGGCGGCGTGCAAGTCGTGCTCAACGAGCAGGGCAGCTGGAGCGACATGGCGAACCAGAGTCAGAACTTGGTGACGCCAAACGAGGACCAGCGGCGAAATGAGAAGCCGTCTGGTATGCTTGGGTTCTTAAGCAGGAAGAAGGGCAGAGATCGAAGTCCAAAGGCGACCAAGGAGAAGGAGCGAGGAGTGCTTGGAAAGGAAGGCGCAAGAGTGGTCATTAGCCACGGTTGAGCAAAAGACTGGAAGCATTGCACGGACCTTACGCCTTGGGAAAGAGGGTGTTCTCTCTCGCGTGAAGGGGCCGCCACGTGGGCTATACATGAATCATTGTGGAACAAGGAAAGAATTGAAGAACGAAAGGGAAGGGATCGCAAACGCACACTTGGGCAGGATCGCATTTTCTGGGCGCCGGCGCATACATCAACCCACACATTGGCGGAGAGGAAGCGAGCGGTTGATTTGTCGTTCTGTTTTCTTGCTGCTTTTGGTTCAGCGTCTTGCTTTTTGTCACTTTACCACCATTACCCCCCATCATCACTTACCGGTTCGACCGACGAGTGAGCCGATAAGCAATAGACTGTATAGTACGTAGTAGTCCCCTTGGGATGAGGAATGAAGAGGAGAGACGTCGCAATGCTCTCAAGTCAATGTCTGTCGGGGTATCATCTCGTTACTTGTTTTGATCATGTTCATGTCCTTGAGAGCGAAACCATCATCACGCTTCATAAAAGTGTGTCCTCCAGACACGAAGAGCTAGCCAGGACTCTCGTACGTCCACCCACCATCTCGCCTCCTCCCATCAATCATCTCGCCCTCCTCGGCCGCCCCACCGTCTTCCCAGCAGCAGCACCACCCTCTCTATCCACCCTCTCCCCATCTTCCTCCTCCATCGCCCCAACGGCCTCAGCCAACATCCCCCCCTGCAACACCCAAGGCAAAACCCTCTCCTGATCCAACAGCCCCAAAACCTTCCACGCCACAACCAATCTCCTCGCCCGCCTCACCGTCCACTCATACACCCTCTCCAACCACTGCTCATGCGCATAGTTCGTGCGCACGACCTCGCCGTCCTTGACCTTCTTATCCGAGCGGTACACCTCGGTGAACCAGTCCTTGAAGAAGTTGCGTTTGAGGAGCAGGTACTCGGCGCAGGTGAGCTGGACTTGGGAGGCGACTTCGCGTTCCGGAGGTGGGAGCGCGAGGATGTAGCGGTCGAGGGAGAGGTCCTTGGGTGTGTCTTTTTGGGAGGCGTAGAGCGGTTCGCAGGATTCGATTAGCCGGAGGGAGGCGCTGGGGTGGAGGATCGGTGGGGAGTAGTCTGTCATCTGCAGGGAGGGGGGAGGTTAGTGAGTGAGGTGGTTGAAGGAAGTGGTGTGCAAGACTTACGGCCATGGCGTTGAGATAGTCCGGATGATCAGGCACCTTGAGCGTATCCATAAAAGCATCCCTCATCCAAACAAACAACCTCCGATGATGCCTGCTGACCTTCGGCTCGAACGTCTTCCTCGGCTGGATGAAGCCCTCTTCGTCGAGTCGAAGCAGCAGCCCCTTGAAGGACGCAATCGAGTACCAAAACCGCACGCGAGGGTCCTTGGGCATGACCAGCGCCATGATCCTCAAGGGCACTCGGCCCTTTCGACCCTCGATCCAGCATGCATGCTCGAGCAGCAACAGCGTGCCCTCTTCCCTGTGCTTCACCTTCTCCACCTCTTGGGTTTCCAGGCGTAGGATCTCGGGTCCGCCCCAGGCGTTGCTGTCGTATTGTGACAGAAGCCATCGCTTTGCAAACTCCACGGCGCATTCGCTGTTAGTACGTTGTGAACTGCAAAGAAAAGTCGCCTACCGGTGCGTTGTGTCGATAACGAAAGCTTACCATGATGGTGCCGACTGCGTTTGTGCAGCGGAACGCGATGACTGGGAAGTCATATTCGTCTGGTGAGAAGAACTTGATGTCGGGAGTTGTGTCTGCGAGCCTCGAGTTCTTGTCAATGCCCTCTGCTGAGACGGAGGTTGGCAGGTCTGCCATGGTGGCGTGTTGGTTGTCAAACGCGGGCTGTTTGTCGTGAGATGAAGTTAGCCAGGCCGAAAGTGTCCCTTATATTTCGCCGCATGTGACTTTCAGGCCGACGTAGAAGCCGCCTAACACACATTCACTCGCACACGCAAAGATTGATTCAGGTGATTTCGAGACGTAACTGTGAATCGTGTAAAGTCTTCATCAACTTATGAGTACATACTTGCCTGACTTGACAAGCTGGCTGGACCTCTGCTTGTCCATCCACCCGACGCCATCCCGAATGCCCCTATTTCATGCCCTCTAGTGTACAGTAACTCCAGCTGCCGGGTCGCCACCGCTTGATGGCTCGGGCTCCTCGTCCTGCTTCGCCAATCCGTGCTCCTTCAGAAGGGTGTCGATCTCATCTGGCGACCACAAGTGGTGGTAGATGGTACCCTTCTCTGTCCGCCCCACCGTCGCAAACTCGATCTTCTCACTTGACAGCTTCGTGCTGTCCATGGTCTTGGACAACACCTTGACTGCCAACTCGCACGCCTGCTTCAGATTGCACTCCTCGTTGTAGTCCTGCTTGAGCAACGACTGCGCACTCGCGTTGTTGGCACCGACACTGGTTGCCTTCCACCCAGTGTAGTTTCCTGACGGGTTCGACTGGTAGAGCTGGAATTGCCGCTGGTTATCCCAGCCTGCGTAGATGAAGGAGACACCGAAAGGTCGCAGACCACCGTGTTGCGTGTAGCCTTGCTTGAGATCGCATAGTCGTCGCACGAGCTGCTCGCATGGAATGTCGGCATTGTATGTGAGGAGGTAGCGTTGGGCGGCTTGTCGGGCGTAGTTGATGAGGATGTTGGCGTCAGCGGTCATGCCTGCGACTGCGGTGATCATGTTGCTATGGATATCGTCAATGTCTGCTTCTTTCAATATCTCTTCCAATCTCAACTCACTCGTTCAGGATGTACAGCTTCTCTGCGCTCGTATCTTGCTCCAACAGTTTGCTCGTGACCTTCCGCTCTGCTGCAAGGACGATGCCATCGGTGGCTAGAATGCCAAGGGCGGTACCGGCATGTGAGATGGCCTCGAGGGCGTATTCGACCTGGTATAACCGGCCTTCGGGGGAGAAGATGGTCGTACGGCTGGGACAATGTTAGAAGAGTTGGGTAGACATTGTTTGGATTCGAGACCTACCTATCGTAGCGCCGAGACATGGTGAAGGGAGTGAGGCGAAGTCGTGATGGTGCTGCTGGGTGTTCGATCGAGGTATTCGCTCAGCGATGATCGAAGGACAAGTTGGAATGAGTGTTGGTGGATGTGGTTGTCGATGAAGGTGATGGCATGTGCTTCAAGCTGGAGCTCCAGAAGGCAGGCGCGACAACGCGGCTCTCCGCCAAGCTTCATGCCCGTCTTCCGCGAAACCTTCCATCAACGACAATCTTCAACTCACAATCTTGCAAACAACCACCAATTTCAAGCAGATGGATTCGTGACAATGGAGTCACCGAACAAGAGGCTGAAGACCTCGCCACCTGAATTCAATGCGCAAGAAGACTTTGTGTCATTCGGAGACGTTGCGACCGACGACGGCGCATTTGGAGCGGAGAACGACCATGTAGAGGACGAGTACCGATCTTTCAGGGAGTCGGCAGAAGCAACAGAGAATCAGCGTGGTCATAGAAGGCACAATGCCTTGAACGATCCCCGTAACGCGAAAGACAAGCCCAAGTCGAAGCATGCATTACCTGGCTACGAGCCATGGATTCTGGTCAAGACCAAATATCGCCGTCGCTTTGTGCACAACACCGAGACGAAGGAGAGCTTTTGGTTCATACCTAAGGATATTTTTCCAGGGGTCATCGAGTTCGAGAGATGGGAGAAGGGTCAGAAGGAGAAGGCAGACAATGCCAAGTGGGCGGAGGAACAGCTGAAGCAAATGCGCAATGAGAGCAAAGCGCCTGAGGTCAACAAAGCTGCAGACAAGGAAGAGAGGAGTAGAAGAAGGAGAAGCGAAAGTCTGCAGCGGGAAGACGAGGAGACCATGATGGCTGAACTGGCTGCGCAGGCTGAGCATGGGGAAGAAGAAGATGCGAAGGCCGCAGCGAGTGCTGTGCAGCCTCTGCAACCTCAGATACAAGGGGCGGAGCTTGAAAGTGACAGCGAGTATGAAGTAGTGGAAGTGACAGACTCTGAAGGTGAAGAGGACGATGGAGAGCCAAAGGCGCAAACAGAAGTAGTGGATGAGGCTGCGGCAGAAGAGGCACAGGAGCCAGAAGATGGGCTGGTCGAGTTTGGAGAAGATGACATCGCATATCAGCTGGCTGCGATGGGCGAAGATTATGGCTTGGACCCGGGCGAATATGGAGAAGAGGCGTACGAGGGCGAGTGGGAAGACGGTGCGGAAGGCCTTCCATTAACTGAGGAAGATGCTGCAAACCTCTTCAAAGACCTACTGGACGACTATCGAGTCAGTCCATTCACACCGTGGGACAAGGTCATAGCCGATGAGTCCGATAACAGCATTCTCAACGACGATCGCTACACTGTTCTTCCCAACATGCGCGCTCGGAAAGACGTATTTGAGGCTTGGGTGAAGGACAAAGCTGCTCAAATTCAACAGGAACGAGCAACGATGGCGAAACGGGACCCAAAGATTCCCTACCTTACTTTTCTGCAACACAACGCCACACCGAAATTGTACTGGCCAGAGTTTAAACGGAAATTCAAAAAGGACGTCGAGATGAACGATCGCAAGCTCAGCGACAAGGATCGAGAGAAGCTGTATAGGGATCACATCAACCGGCTGAAGTTGCCAGAGAGCACTCACAAAGCAGACCTTCAGACGCTGCTGAAGAGCGTGCCCTTGAAAGATCTCAATCGCGACACTAGCCTCGACGCGCTACCGCAGCAACTGCTGTCACATCTTCACTTCATCAGTCTGCCGTCAAGTGTGCGTGATCGCATTGTGGAATCGCACATCAAAAGCCTCCCAGCTGCCCCAGATGCCGATGACAAGACCGACGAGCAGCGGGCTGAGGAGAACAGAAAACGCGAAGAACGACAACGCCGTGAGAAAGCGATGGCAGAACGTGAGCGCAAGGTGGAAGAGGAAAGGCGTCGTACTGAGAAGGACGAAGCTCGGGCGAGGAGGGAATTAAGGGATGGAGAGCGCGAACTTCAAATGGCTATGGCTGTTCCCAGGAAAGCGGCTGAAGGTCCCTATTCATGAACAGCGACACTATTGCGGTCTACCCTCCTCTTTCCGCTCAAAGCCGAGCAACCATCCCAAAAGCTCGCGACATGTCTAAGCAAGCTAAAGTTCGATCGAGCGCGGTCGTTTTCAAAGTCGGTGAGATGGGGGCGCCAAACGTTCCATTTTGAGCACAACGACGGTGGTAGAGAGGCAATCCAACAGGCTGTCGGCCGGCTGCAAGCCATAACACCGGCTTTGAAAATTCACCTTCGCTATTCGCGATGAACATGGCGCCGACCTCTCCCTGCGAATCCTCTCGCCGATACAGTGAACTATCCAAGTTTCAGTGCTTGGTAATACCGCCGAATGTCCTGATTGGCCTCATTTCATGCCATATCAAGCCAACAAGCCAACGTAGGCAGTAAAGGTCTGTTATCGTAGTCGTAAACCGACCGAGAACTCGGTCTGAGGTGAGATTCTTGTTTTCGGCCAAACCTGCCATGTGCATGCGTAAGTCTGATTAGACTTTCGTCTTATGATCGCAAAACGCGAGGTGAATGTTGGGGAGCGCATAGAACAAGCTCTGCCAAGCTTCGCGATAGTGTCCTTTCAACCGCACTACCACCAAGAGAGGGGTTTGTCGAAAGGCGTGCGGCGTTCCAGGCGTGCCAAACACAATCGTCGGCATTTGAACGGGTATCGCGGCTCAGTGGCTAGCGAAAATCGGAGATAGTGACCGTCTGCCAATGCGTGACGTTGCGGGCGAATGGGCGGCGTTTGTTTTGTAACTTGTGGTTTGAAATCGAATGTAGTGACTGATTGCAGAGCAATAGAAGGCGATGACCCTGCATCACTGCGAGTTTTAGCGTCATGTGCGGTTTCCTCGCTGCAGCCAGTGCCTTCCTGGATTGAGACTACTTCACCTTTACTGCTCCTCCGTCTGGATCGGTCGATGACCAACTTGCAATACAACACCATCGCTATCTGTGGGCATCTTGAGGACAGCAGATGGTTCCCAGCACCATGGCTTCACAACCCCACGAGGCAGCAGCGCCACTGGCGCAGATAGACTCAGAGCTCGAGAAGGACCAGTCTAAGAACGACAGAACCGAGGAAGAAGAAATTGAAGAAGAAACCGCCAGCACCAAAGAACTACGAATCACGAGAGACCAACGCCCACTCACTGTGCCATTGAGAAACACTCGAAGTCGATCGTCGGCAAGGTCGGTGAAGTCGTACATCAGCCACACGGATGGATATTCCCACTTCAACGAAGCGAACGATGAGGAGAAACAACGAGCGAGTGGCGCGGATGGTGGCAATGGTCTGGAGAAAGAATTCGAAGTCACGTTTGATGGCGATGCGGATCCTTACAACCCCAAGAATCGTCCTTACTTTCGAAAGTGGCTCATTGTGGTTATCGTTTCCGCGAGCTCGCTATGCGTGACATGTGCTTCGGCTCTGGTGAGTTGATACTTTCATCCCTGATGAACTGGGCATTGCTGATAGATGGGCAGTATACTAGTACTTACAGGCAACTCGAGGAGGAGTTCCATGTTTCTCGCGAAGTGGCGACGCTCGGCTTGACGACGTTCGTCTGTGGGCTTGGACTGGGTCCTATGTTCTTGAGCCCCTTATCCGAGTTCTACGGTCGACGGATCATCTACCTTTGCGCCTTTGGAATGTACTTCATCTGGCTCATACCTTGTGCCGTGGCGAACAACATCGCCACCATGCTGGTCGTTCGTTTCTTCGATGGACTGGCGGGCAGTGCTTTCCTGTCCGTTGCCGGTGGCACAGTCGGAGATATGTTCCACAGGGATCAGCTCTCTGCTCCGATGATGGTGTACACGGCAGCGCCTGTAAGTCTGGCGTATCTGAATTGGCTTGCCCTTTACTGACGCCTTGAAGTTCGTGGGGCCAGAGATTGGACCAGTCGTGGGAGGCTTCATCAATCAGTATACAAGCTGGCGATGGTCGTTTTGGGTTCTCCTGATTTGGGCGGGACTCCAATGGACCTTGATTGCACTCTTCGTCCCTGAGACCTATGCACCGGTCCTGCTGCGACGAAAAGCCATCAAGCTTCGGAAAGAGACTGGCGACGATCGCGTAAGTGAGCTTCTCATTCGACATTGCTGTTCTCGTCCTCTGTCCAAAGTTAGAAGATGCATTTTCTGAACTCGTCCCACGAACTTCACGATGGACCAAGCCTCGTGGCAAGTCATTGCTGCTCCTGCAGACGACGATGATTGAGAGATGCAACTCTGTCTTTGAAAGGCCTAGTGGACGTCATCGAGTACGTCAATGGAATGCTGACGGCTTCTCTTGCAGTGGCACGCACCAATCGAGGTCATGAAGCGGTCGGTATCGAAGACGGTGATGTGGTCCTGCAGTAAGTATGAAGACATCGACCCGTCTGTGCAAGGATAACGGCTAATACCACACCGTCCGCCCATTTCAACTTCTATTTTTCGAGCAGATGTGTTTAAATTTGTGCCTGCTCAGCGCGATTCTGCTGGGAATTCTCTATTTATTCTTCGGCGTAAATAGCACCCGCCCTCTGCTCGTGCAACAGAGTCGAACCGCATGCTAATTCTGGCAGGCGTTTGCCCTCGTTTTCCAAAACAACCACGGGTTCAATCAGTGGCAAACGGGACTCACGTTCCTTGGCATCTTCGTACGTGCTCTTTTGTCGATGCATGCACGTGTGAGACACGTGGAGAATTAACCTTTTGTCAACAGGTCGGCATGCTGATGGGAGTCTCGTGCGACCCGTTATGGAGACGGAACTGCAAGTCGCCCCTTTCGATGTGTATCCAGGTACTGACATTCTGCAAGACATACGCTTGGTCGACAAGAATGGAGGCACGTCCGAGCCAGAGTTCAGACTACCGCCAACCATCGTGTGCGTACATATCGAACACGACGACCTTTGGGGAATGCGAGATGCTGACGCGGACACAAGTGGAGCGATGATAGTGCCAGTGAGCCTTTTCGGTACGTGATCCTCGCATGCTGGGACAAGGATCGAAGTCGCTAACATTGCGATTTGCAAGGCTTTGGATGGACGTAAGTAGTTCCTCCGTCGACTGTCCCGCTCAGACTTGAGACATACAGCACGAGGGATCGATCTTCTACCAGGAAAGGCATAGATGACGCTCATGACCCATTGCCTGGACGTCTCTGCGGCTCGCGCTCTTGCAAGATCTTCGGCTCCAACCTCTCCAGTCTGCGCGGGACAGCGCCAGTACCCTTGCAATTCGTGCCCGTACCTAACTTGTGAACAGCACGTACAGCCATGTCCACTGGATAGGTTGGTCCACGATCGATGAGGCCTTGCAGGATGCATATGCTGAGCAACTTGTTTAGCTCCTATCATTTTCTCAGTGCTTTTCGGATTGGGAAACATCTTCTGCTTCTCTGGAATCTTGTAAGTCATTGAGACGCAAGCGCCCTGGGTGCGGAGCACGTGCTGACATTCCTTGCAGCACTTTCCTCGTCGAAGCGGTACGTGCAATCACACACGGTCCCGCCGACGGGGCCGACGTCTGTGAGGTGATGATGCGCACAGTATGCTGACAACGGGCCACAGTACCCGCTGTATGCGGCATCCGCGCTTGCAGCGAACTCCTTTGCAAGATCCAGTTTCGCCGCAGGTACGTTGCTTCGCTGGCAATCTTGGCTCCAGGAGGGTGTACTGACTTGAAAATCCAATAGCCTTTCCCCTGTTTGGTAACCAGATGTAAGCCTTACGCCATTGAACCGCAAACTATCATGAGACGTGCTGACTGGGGGCTTGTATGCGCAGGTACAACAGTAAGTCAGGGACGCGAGGCTTCCTCGCAAAAGAGCGGTCACTGATCTGGAATCTCCCACCAGAACTTGGATACCAATGGGCATCCAGTTTGCTTGCGTTCGTAAACCCCATTTCCCCTTTGGCAGAGATGCTCATTCTCCTGCAGATTCATAGCGCTTGCGATGACGCCGTTCCGTAAGTAAGACGTCCCAGTACCGTGGAGGACAGTGCTAAGTGCAGCTTGTTACAGCTTTTCTGTTCTTCAGGATGGGCAAGCGGCTAAGGGGCACGTCACGGTTCGCCCAAGCGAAGTAGCCAGAAGAGGGAACTGTAGGTGCATCAAACAGGGACGGCCGCGCTCTGAGTCGACGGAAATAGTGGAAGCAAATGGTTACACGACTTCTAAGCGTCCCAGCATTCCAAGAATCTCCACCAGAGCACGTCGTGCCCTCTCCACTGGAGAAGGTAGGGGTGCACAGGCCGTAGATAGCACGCGGCTCGTATCCTGAGGCAGAAGAATGGTGACATGAGGGCGCTGGAATGCATTTGCTGTCCTGAGTAAGACTCGGCCTTTTCGTCTGTAACATGCGCGCGCCTCAGAGCGAAGCGAACGAGTACCAGCGACGCTGTGGAAGAGGCTCGCGGTGTCGTCGCCAATCAACCCCGTGCCTCCACGTGACACCAGGCGGTAGCACAGACATGCAAGAGATCTCTGGGCGATGGCTCCCTGGAGTCCATACAGATCGCAGGCCCCAACAGCCCTTGCCTCGGCGCTTCGTATTGCCCTGCGGCCCAAAAAGGCGGTGACAGGTTGTGTTGTGAGCGGCGAGAACGTGGCAGACAGGTATGGCTCTGCACTCGACTGAAAGCGGCGGCCAGCCAGGCGATGAGGGACGAGTGTTGACAGCGGTGGCCGTTGTCTGTCTGCGACGGGATGTCGTTGCATTAGGTTCATGGCAAATTGATTGAGAGTTCGGCGGGAGCGCACCGTGCCGCCGACGCCCATGCACTCGCCAGCCGAAGGATTGCTCAGAGACTGCGGAGAAGACAGGATGGCGTGTGGTGGTGCTGCTGGGATCACAGTCCGTACGACCGTAGCTCATTCTTCTCCCACACGACCACGATAGAGGGCTGCTCAGACTGCGCAGTGAACAACCGCCAGCCCCCACCGCGCCATTCGACTCCTCGCGATCGCCTCCAGCACACAACAATAATACGAGCGACGAGCGTGCTACGGCAGCGTGCGTCCTTCCTGCTGCGCTGTACCATCTGCTGGATCGCCTGCCTCGTGGTCGGCAGGCCCTGGGACACACAAGCGCACACGACTCCTCCGCGCGCAGGCCCGCCAGCATGGTAGTCGCTGCGTGAGGATGCGTAGCGATTGTTCCACACGTCGCTCTCTCGGGTCCCGCCAATGCTCCCACGCTGCTCTTCGCATGCGCCGTCGCCTGGTCACCGCAGCAGCGACCCTCCCATTCCCTCCTGCCGGGCCCGCCGCCGTGCGCGCTGATTGGAACGGTCTGTAGCACTGCGTGCACTCCTTCTGGGCGAGTTTAGCGAGGCGCAAATACTGAGCAGCGCTGCAAGAGAGGGCTGCTTGGTCCAGAGACGCCCGGTGGGCAGTGACACAGCGTAATCTCTGCGCCGCGTGATCCAGCGTGAGCGCCAGGCATTCCTGTCGGCGCGGGCCCGTGGTTCTATTCCAGAACGCTGGGTCTGCCTCTTTCGAGCCAACACCGACGGCAGCGTACAGGACGCTGCGTGGGTCAGAGGCCGAGCGGCCTGTGCGCCAGGTGTTGTGTGCGAGGGGCGAGAGTGCTGGCTGCGAAACCGTGGAAACGTTAATATGTCGCCCGACGCCGAAGATGCCTCCCCTTCTCCAGAGCCTGGCACTGAGCAGGAGTCAGGCACCATGACAGAGACCAAAGTCGAGCGTGCCTCCACCGAAGAGAAATCCCCCAATGCCCAAGCGGGCAACGGCACCTCCCAACCCGCCAAAAGCAATGCCAAAGATCCTTCACGCCCACGGCGCAAGAAGGCTCGTCGGGCGTGTTTCGCATGTCAACGAGCGCATCTCACTTGCGGTAAGTCCCCCGACCGCCAGCTGAAGGGTCAAGGGCTGTGTTTTAATAACTGATTGATGAAGGCGACGAACGCCCATGCACGAGATGCATCAAGCGAGGTCTTCAAGACCAATGTCATGACGGCGTGCGCAAGAAGGCCAAGTACCTCCACGATGCCCCACCAGAAGCGCTCATGCCCGGCTACGCCCAAAACTACGCCATGAACGGCAACCAGAACCTATCGACAGTGCCAGGAGCAGCGTCTGTTGGTTCGAACGGACTTGCCGTGTCACAGTCTAACTCCTTTTATCCCCAAACTGCTCAAAGTGGCTTCTCCCCGTACAGCAGTGCCACCCAGCAAGGCCATATGGGTCCGCCACTGATGGACAACAACGGCATGGTTCCCGAGTATACCACCGCTCAGACCGTCGACACGCCGACTCAGTATCAGTCGACTTCAAGCCAACAGGTCTCCCCAGCGCAGGAGCTGACCAACATTGACCAAACCCCGACGATCGGCACCACGGGTAGCCAAACATTCGATACACCCTACTTTGACCCCAACGATCCATCATTGTTCAACTTCAACATCTCAGATCTCAACTTCGGTAATCACTATGGCGCTCTCGAGTTTGGCATGCTGGGACACATCTCCGGCGCGGTTAATACCCCTGACATCGATCAGATGAACTCGATGAGCAATCATGGCAGCGTCTCATATGATGGAACTGGAGGCTACAATGCAGGCTTTGGTTATAACCATGCCTTTCCTTCTTGGCAAAGTGTGCCCAATGCTGCATCACGGCAGAACAGCTCCAACAATCTATGGAACTCGCAAGCCAATGGCTTGGAGGCGTATGCTATAGGGGAGCAGGCATCCTCGATAACGGGTGCGAGTCCACATTCACAGAACCAAGACTACACAGGGTATCAATCGGCCAACATGTCACCGGAGACACAATTTGCCCAACCCGAGCAACAGAATCAACACCCTGACTTGCTCCGCCAAAGCTTGTCTCAGGCACAGCGAAAGCAACCACCGTTCCCTGGTGACCCACTCTGGAATACGAAGAAGGGGCGGCGGAATACGTCTGAGATCTACAACGCCGTTCAAGCCCCATACTCATACACACAAGGCTTCCATGCACTGACCGCCTTCTTGCAAAAGCGATTCCCCTCTAAGAAAGTGCTTCGCATTGCAAAGGCGCTCGCTGACATTCGACCTTCATTCATCTCGTGCAATCAGCACTTGAACCACGATGATCTCATCTTCATGGAGAAAAGCTTTCAACGGACGTTGTACGAATACGAAGGACTCATCGGCCACTTTGGCACGCCCACCATCATCTGTCGCCGCACTGGAGAGATTGCTGCTGTCAGTAAGGAATTCTGTCTGGTCACAGGCTGGCGAAGGGATGTCCTGCTCGGCAAGGAGCCTAACCTGAACGTCAACACCGGCGGTAACACATCGGGAACTCACACGGGTACAAGCTCTAGGGGAGCTGCTACTCCCAGACTTGCCAATGTGGAGGTTGACCCTGCACGTCCACAGCCGGTATTCCTGGCTGAAGTCATGGACGAGGACGCTGTCGTTCAATTCTACGAAGATTTCGCCGAGCTTGCATTCGGAGCATCACGGACTTCGATCATCGGCGCGCCTTGCGACCTTCTCAAGTACCGTACAAAGGATGATCCTGGCTGGGGAGCTAATGAACGATCCAACGACGACGACGACAAGCGCTCTAAGAAAGCAGGCGAAGTCAAGTCGGAGCACCTCATTCAAGGCGAAGCCGGCATGAACGCTCTTGGAGAACGCGACGGCCGAGTGAAGTGCCAGACGTGTTGGACTGTAAAGCGTGACACATTCGACATTCCTATGCTGATTGTCATGAATGTGAGTAACAGCCCCATCTCCACGTGCTTCACAGACGCTGACATTCAACAGTTCCTACCCATGATTTGAAAGTGTCACGGCTAAACGGTAACACTTGGACGGCTACGAGGGTACTCGATCACGACATAAGGACGGCATTGCATTGTCAGCCGTCTGGAACGGTAGCAAATAGACGAGGGCAAACACGGTGTTTCTTTGGCGTTTGACGGCGGCGATCATGATGACCTGCATGCGAAAGGGCATACGGGTGCTATGGGTATTCATTTGTGTTTTAGTTTGACAGACAGGCATTGCCCTGTCTCTATCAATTAATATTCGATCACCCTACACCAATGGCCTGCCTCCCTTCACTCGTAAGCATCACGTGCTAGTCGTTCAGATAGGGTGAGGTCGAACTTGGAAGTGAAGCTAAGGAAGTGCGGCTTGCTCAGCGATAGATGAATCATTGCGCAACCCACCACCACCAACCATGCACATCCTCAACGTTCGATACTGCTATCGCCATGCGACCAGACAAGCCACGAGATCCAATTGCTGGACCTGACGACGGGCCTGAGCCGCCGTTTCCCTTGCGGCTAAATGGCAAAGTGATCAAAGGATTTGGACGAGGCAGCTCGGAGGTAAGTTCTGTCGTCTGTGTGTTGGTTGCTGAGGAAGAAGATGACACTGCCGCGGCTTGCGCTCCCCCCTTCCTCTTCCTTCACCACCACCACCTCTCCCCCTCTGCATATGATATGTCAGGGAGGAGACAGGACGGTTACATGGCACAGTACACGTTGTTTGCGGTCACGGCGCAAGGGCTAAACATGGTGGTGATGCTGTCAGCCGCTGTCATCCTGTGCCCTCCTGCTGGGACCTGATGGATAACGTGTCTGTCACGTTGGTCCCACGGCAGTCGAAAGGGGGTGCCTCCTGCTTTACCCAGGGCCATGTTCGACGGATGCGATCCCGGGCCTCGCTCTTGTTCATCCCAAGAGAAGCAGTCAGCATGCCATCCACCTGCTGCGCAACACACACACACACAGCAACGCACAACTTGTTTCATGAGCACGCTCGCTGACATCCTTTTGTGCGTCCACTAGCTCGGGATACCTACTGCAAACATCCCTCTCTCCGGCCTGTCCATCGGCGGCCACGAGGATGTCGAGTCTGGCGTCTACTTTGGCTGGGCCGGCCTTTCGCCCTCCAAGGCCACCCATCAGCATCCGCCCGGCACCGAGAGCAAGTACAAGCACATGGCTGTGAAGGTGTACGAGACGCTGAATGCGGTGCTGTTCGGCACGATCAAAGAGGAAGAGCAGAAGAATAGCTGGACGAAGGATCTGGGCGCGGTATACCCGATGGTCATGTCGATTGGCTGGAATCCGTTCTACAAGAATACTGTGCGGAGTGTGGAAGTGCACATCATGCATCACTTCGAGACGGACTTCTACGGCAGCCATATGAACTTGGACATCCTGGGCTTCATACGGCCTGAGCTGGACTACGTGAGCAAGGAGAGCTTGATCGAGGATATCAAGACGGATATTGATGTGGCAGGGCGGAGTCTGGCTCGGCCAGCATATGCCAAGTTCATCAAAGACCCATATCTGCTGGATTTCAAAGATAAAGATGAGGTTGCCAGCTAGAGTGCAAGGGTGCCCTCCAAGGCTTCGTGCACTTTGATGGGTGTCTCGTGCTGCAGCATATCGAAGGACTCTGTTGTTGGTGGTGGTCATACAATCATGCAAGTATCATTCTCAGCCGTCTCTGTGTTCCTGAACTCCTGAAATCTTCCACCAACTATGCGCCGCCTTCGCGCTTGGCGTACCTGGTAGAACAGTCAGCACGGAGATTTATCATACCATATAGCAGAAAGACCAATCGAACTCACTCCTCCTCAATCCTCTCCTCATACTCGCGGTCTCGCCGGGCTTGGTCCTCATCGCTCACGTCCTCAATCCTCCGACTGCCTGAATCGCCACCGGGGCCGCTGAGAAGTTCCCGTCCCTGAGGGTCGTATCTCCGAGTTTCTTGAACGACGGGCTGACCCATGTTCTGACTGGCTGATTTGACAGTCGTTCCAGAATTGTCGCTGTAGGTCTGTTGCATGGAGCGTTGGCCACTGGTTTGGCCGTTGCTGTTGGAACTTGAGCTGGAAAAGCTGAAGCTCGAGGATGATGAGAAGGTCGTTCGGTTGGAAGACATCGTTGATAACACTTCGTCTTGGAAATCTGGGGTTTTTAGGTGTCGTTGTAAAGATCAATGGCAGAAAAGTTGATATATATATGTCTTGGAGCAAGCTTGAGGCTCGTGAACAATGACGTTTCAAGCAAGTTTGCACCGCCACACTGAAAACGCCACTTGACTTCCAACTTGCCTTGTTCTTTTGTTTCTCGTTGCTACTCGAGCTTCTTGTGCTTCTACCAGCTTCTAATTGACATTTACACGAGCTCCTCATGGTCGTGTCTCGTAGCCGGCCTGTTTGGCAGCGATACGGGCATCATGGCTTCCACGAGCTCAATGGCAAGCCCGCTGGCTGGGAACGGTAGGCATAGCTTCCTCTCTTGCACATCTACACTCATCTCTCATCTTCACGGCATCTGTGCTGTTTGTACTATCCGAAAGTTAGCTTCACATTGCTATACAGCTCAAGAGCAAGGAAAGCATGAATAGGTCAATATGGGCAGACCCGGCTCCCGAGCCAGAAACCTCACGCGACACCGAGCAAAACAATCCCAAACCTGCTGAGGAAGCCAAACCACAACCCGCCCCAGATGCACCTGCAGCTTCGTCATTGTCCGCCGGCGCTTCGACTTTCGAGCCTGATCTGAGCGCCCCGCCTCCTGATGGCTCGACCGCGGACCTCTTCGCACAAACCGGCGCGCAGCAAGATGATCTTTTCGACGATGTGGTGCCAGTGGAGTCCATGCGGATTCGGTCAGACGACGACCTCTTCAGCGAAGACTTCACTCCAGCGCCGCAGCCTGTAGTGGAGCGATCGAAACCACAACCTACACGGGGGCCAAGTGACGCACCAAGAGGGAGAGGGCGTGGTGGACGAGGCAGGGGCGAAGGCCGTGGGAACCAGAATCGAGGTGGTGGTGCTCAAAGAGAGCCCCGAGGGCAAGATGGAGGACCAAGAGGCGGTAGAGAAGGCCAGACATCAAGCCCGGCACAAGGTGCAGCGCCTGACAATGCGCCTACTGGACCCCGAAAGGAGACTGTGCAGGCCGTGCGAGGTGATCGACAGGCTACAGGAGGACTGCGAAAGCCGAAACTCACAGAGGAAGAGCTTGCGGAGAAGCTGGCTAGGATCCAGATCAAGAATGCCAATTTGACTGCCGCTCATGCCCGCGCTGAAGCGGATGCCGCGTCATTCGCGGAAAGGGAACAGCAGGCGAAACAGGTCGCAAAGCTAAGAGAAAAGGAGGAGCGTAGGGATAGGCAGCAGATGATGGGCGAGCGTGAGAAGAATAGGATGAGGAAACTCAAGGCCATGGAGGGGCGAGAGTGGGATGCTGAGAAGCGTGAGGATGATTTCAGCAGAGGTGGACGCTTCGATAAGAAAGGAGGATTCGCTGGCGATCAACAAGACTACAGCGATGGTCGGGAGTACTTGTATCGGGAACCCAGGCAGGAGAGGGGAAGAGGTGGTGGGCGAGGTGGCCGTGGTGGAAGAACGTCTGAATCTGCTGCTGCTCCCTGGCAAGAGGATTTCCCTGCATTACCTGCTTCTGACTCGAAACCGAGTGCTTCGACGACTGAGCCATCAGAGCCGATTTCGAATAAACCTTCTGGAAAGTCTTGGGCGGATCAAGTCGAGGCAGCCCCGTAAACGCGTTAGGTCGGTCAACCATCGTTGTGCAGTATTGGCTACAACACAGAAGGCATTGATCCGAGCAACAATTGGATATCTTTGCGAAATGGCGATCACTACTATCGTCATATACTGGGCCAGAAGGCTTCATTAACCATTTCAGCATCACTTTCGCTTTCTCATCGATTTTACTCCGAAGAGCAAAATGTAGCATTCGTTCACTGTCAAGAAGCTATAGCTCCATCTGCATTGGAGCTGGCCCCAATTCTCGTGCTCGCAAGTCTCGGAAAGTCTTTCCCACTATCGACAGTGATTTCGTGCATCTCGTGTGCGTCTTCGTCTGCCTACATCGAGCTTTCCTCTCCATCTCTCCTCCCTCGAAAAGCCTGTCCTCTCTCGAATACTTCCAAATACACAAAGCCACCGTGACGACTACCAAGCCCATCAGCAATGTCTCTCGACTTCGGATTGCAGAACGTCCACGTTCTGATCACAGGCGCAGCTGGAGGCATTGGCCTTGAGACGGTCCAGACTTTTCGGAAACTTGGGGCTCGGGTCACGGCGCATTATAATCGAAACATTGGAGAGCTTTCCGGTCTGAAGGATGTTGTGGCGTTGCAGGCGGATGTGCGTGAGGAGAAGGCTGTGGATGAGTTGATGCGTCAGGCTGCGGAGAGGAATGGTGGGCCTGTTAGTGTTTTGGTTGTGGTGAGTTGTTGATTATCGTGAGGATCGAGTTGTTTGTGAAAAGTGCTGAGGCTGGGATTTAGAATCATGGTATATGGCCGGAGAACAACACGTATGTTCTCGAGACAAGCGTTGTTGGTTTGCACAAGGACCTTTAATAATAACTAACCCAACGCTATCTGCAGTTCCATCGCAGACATGTCCCTCTCCCAATGGTCCAACACCCTCGCCACAGACCTAACAGGCCCCTTCCTCCTCTGCAAAGCCTACCTCACAGCCCTCCGCTCCGCCTCAGACGCCGAAAAGGAAACCGCCAGCATCATCTTCATCGGATCCACAGCCGGCAAATTCGGCGAAGCGAACCACGGTGACTACGCCGTCTCCAAATCTGCGCTCATGTACGGTCTCACGCCGACGCTGAAAAACGAGATCGTCTCCATCGCACCTAGGGGTAGGGTGAACAGTGTTAATCCGGGATGGGTGGCTACTCCTTTGGCAGAGGGGACGTTGAAGGATAAGGCGTTTGTGGAGAGGGCGTTGGCTACAACACCCTTGCAGAAAGTGGGCAGGCCGGAGGATGTGGCGAGGCAGGTGGCGGTTTTGGCGAGTCCGGTGTTGAGTGGGCATGTCAACGGGGTGAATTTGCAGGTTGGTGAGTATCGATCGCACCAGGGAGAAGTGGAGGGATGTGATACAAGGTCTTTGGCTGACATTATGAACAGACGGTGGCATGGAAGGCAGGCTGCTCTTTCCGCCGAGCTTGCAGTAAACTGATATTCTGTAGGAGAGCTTGAGTTTATGGATTTCTCTCCTTTCTGCAGATCAGCTGCATAACGATGGAACCTGTGAAGGAGATAAGAAGATCCAAGGGAAAGAGTCGCACGAGTGGATTCACGGCTCCTTTGAAATATAACAATGCATACCGGACGGCAGTGATCTCGTGATCTCTCCATAGAACATGAGCTAGGATCCCCGAGAAACGAAGCCAGACCATGCTGTCTTCAGACCTACAATCATCGTAGTATTCGTCGTTGCTAAACGGGGAGAGAAGTTACTACTGACAAAGTCGTTGCAAAGCCCAGGGCGTCCATCGATATGGGTAAATGTGCGAAGAATGAGGAGACGCAAGCCGCATGCTGTTGACCCATCAATTTGTCACAAACTTGGTCTAAATATCGTCGAACACCACTCGCTGGCCTATCCATCCGGCGACAGTAGAAGACCTGTAGATATCGAAGGCAACGGAGGTGACACTAAGATTAAGCCACGACCATATCAAGGACTAACGGGGCCCCTCTGTGTTCCGTGGGACCGGATTTGATCAAGATTCGTGCTTGTTGGTGTTCAGGGTGGCTTGGTGGCCCAGAGATGTACTCTCCTCGTTTCGCTTTGACCGAATGAGACTGGCATCTTCCCGACTCTTCACAAGCGATTGCGCCGCTGAGTGCAGTCCAAGCTGCTTGGATGGCTTCGAAGTCATGGTGATGAATATCTCACTTTGAGCGGAGCACTGAGAGTAACTGTTCTTTGAAGAGGTGAGGTCGGCGATCCCCGCTGGCATTGGAAGGAATGCACCGCGAGCATCTCATCAGCATCTCCACGAGACACGGGCAAAGACACCGGAGTCCGAGCCTTTTCAGCGATGGCAAGCAAGCCGGGACAAGATGTTCAAATGTACGGGCAAAGGAACGGTGAGATTGCTGACACCTGTGCCTGACAGCATGACGTCCGGAGTTCTCGGCGTCCAAAGAACCTTCCTCGGTCCAAAGACGCGCTTCGTTCCTGAGCGCCTGGACTCATATCTTCGACGCAGACCTGTGTACATGACCCCAAACCAAGTCTGAGCAGAATCCCGCCCTCGCGAACAATGGATTCTGCACTTTTACGATCCGCTGCAGCTTCGACACAAAGCAGGCAACTACCTCAACAACACTTACCCAACCCCGGTTGAAGAGTCGTGCGGTTCATGATGTCGCGTGCTCTTGTGAATAGGGTATCGTATCTGGTTTCTTCGACCACGATCACCTCGACGTCGAAATGTCTACGGAGGAATGCGACTAGAGGCCTGAGAGCAGCGACTCTCGTACAACATGCCGGCTTTCAACAAACACCACCGAACCTCAGACACTCCTCCCACACACCCCTCGGCTCAAGTACCAACCGCAAGAAAGTTACCCTTCAAACCCTCCAAGCCATGTACTCTCGCCAAGAGCCCATCACCATGATCACCGCGCACGACTTTCCCTCCGCACACGTCGCCGAGCACGCCGGCATGGATATGATCCTCGTCGGGGATAGCTTGGCCATGGTTGCGCTGGGCATGGAAGATACGAGTGAGGTCCTGCTGGAAGAGATGCTGTTACACTGCAAGAGCGTATGTCGAGGGGCGAAGGCGCCTTTCATCGTTGGTGACTTGCCCATGGGGAGTTACGAAGTCAGTCCGGAGCAGGCGGTGCAGAGTGCGATTCGGCTGGTCAAGGAGGGTAGGGTGCAGGCTGTGAAGCTGGAAGGGGGTGTGGAGATGGCGCCGGCGATTGCGAAGATTACTGGTGCTGGTATTCCGGTGTTGGCACATATTGGCTTGACGCCGCAGAGGCAGAATGCCTTGGGTGGGTTCCGTGTGCAGGGCAAGTCCGTTGCTGGAGCTTTGAAGCTGCTCCAAGACGCTCAGGCTGTCCAACAAGCTGGTGCGTTTGGGGTTGTTCTGGAGGCCATACCAGAGCCCGTCGCGACGTTGGTGACGAAGAAGTTGCAAATCCCTACCATCGGCATCGGTGCCGGGAATGGATGCTCGGGACAGGTGTTGGTGCAGGTCGATATGTCTGGATACTTCCCACCTGGACGTAGGATCCCCAAGTTTGTCAAGAAGTTCGGTGATCTTTGGGGTGAGGCTTCCAGGGCGATTGAGGCGTACAGGGAGGAGGTCAAGGCGAGGAGTTACCCTGGCCCAGAGCACAACTACCCTATGGCCAAGGAAGAGCTGGAGGAGTTTGCCAAGGTAGCCGATAAGATGTTGGCTGAGAAGGCTTCGTGAATGAGTAGTCTCGAAGTCATGAGCCCTGTGCTAGATCTTGGGTAGAGCCAATACTCACATGAAGTCCAACTTGATCGATCTCCCATCTCTCATCCAAACGCCTGCGTGATGCTGTAGTTCACCACAAGCTCATCATTAACCTTAAAACACTACAACCTCACCGTCAGCACATATCCAACCCCAATCATCAACACTACTATCAAACTCACCCTCCACAAATTTCCCACCCCCTCATCCAACCTCGGCGCAAAAACACTATTCACATAACAAAACACCGTCCCCTCATTTGCCTTCAAGCCCAGCTTCCTCCGCACGAAATTCACAATATACTCGAAGCGCTGGTTGCTCGAGCACGTGAAGCGCGGCTGCTTGAGCTGCGGCGTGTTGGGGAGGGGTGAGAGCCGGACGATGACTTTGGGTTGCGAGAGGGTTCCGGCGGTGCGGAGGGCCTGGGAGGCGTCCTTTGGGAGGTGTTCGAGGATTACGGAGGCGGAGAGGGGGAGGGGGAGGTCGGCGTTTTCTTGTTCTTCTTCGTCTTGGTCTCCTGGGGAGGGGGCGGTTGGGGAGTCGGTTGGTGGGGATTGTTGAGAGGAGGCCATGGTTTGTTGTTGTGTTGATGGTTTTCGATGGTTGACGGTTCGATGGTTAAGTCCTTGGTTTACTCGATGTTTTAAGTTGACTCGCTCTTCTGATGATGCTGTTGCCTCGAAAGTGAATGGTGGTTGGCTTCGCCTTGGCCTCGAGAACGTATAGCGAGTCTTGAGAGATCAATGAGATGAGATTAGTCCTTTCCGTACGTGCCTCTTCTTTGATGATGAGATCTCTCTTGTTTACGTTTGTGTCGACTTAAACGAGAGAGGTGTATTGTTGCGACATCGAACGTCTCACGAGCTTTGGGGGCCAACTCGGCCAAGCCACAACTCGACAACGGCAAAGGAAGAACCAATTGATCCGAAATCTAACGGGACGGTTAGATAATCGACGACCTCTTGGAAGGCCTGACTTCGTCTTGGATTGAACCTCGAACATCGATCAGATCAACGCAATCAAAACGCATCCCACTGTGTTTCCGAGTACGATGGTGCTCCAATGGAAGCTAGTGGAAATGGCTTGGCTGGAGATCATGCGTTGCGACTGCGGCCGCGAGACTCGACAGTCACCTCGACATCCGCCATGAGAACATCAATTTCGACCCACGACCCACGCCCGCATTCTCGACCAATCCAATGATTCCTACAATCGTCTGATCAGGATACAACCGCCATGGCCGAGCAAGCCGAGCGCACCGAGTCGTACCCTTCGCCTGGACGATCCAGCGGTGGTAACAACCTGCCCTTCTACCAGCATGTACAGCAACCTCCGCCACCTTTGGAGCCGTCGCATGAGAACAATGGAGGTCACAGCAGAGAAGGAGCCTCTCCGTCGCCAGAGGCGGATAACGGCACGCATCGCGAGGTGCCAGACGATCCTCAGCTGCGCGCCCACATCGCCAACATGATGGGCAATGTCGGCACCTTTGGCAACTTTGGAGCCCCTCCAGCGCCAATGGCCGGTTCCTCAGATCGATCTCCTCCTGCCACGGCGCCTCAAGGCTCGGTGGCGTACGCGCAGTTTAATGGGTCTGACGCCGCACCGCCTATGGATCGAAACAGGGCAGCTCGTCAGAAAGTTAGTCGCGCGTGCGACGAGTGCCGGAGAAAGAAGATCAGATGCGACGCGATTGATGAGTCGGCGACCATGGCATGCACGAATTGTGCTCGAACAGGTGCCAAATGTGCATTTAGCCGGCAGCCATTGAAGAGGGGACCGAACAAGGGCTACATCAAAGAGTTGGCGGAGCGGTTGAACTCTCTCGAACAACAAGTGCATCCACCCAATATCCAGCAGCATCGCTATGAGATACAGCAGGTTCAGCGAGCTATGGAAGAAGGACTGAACAGTTTTGCTGCTGATCCTCGTACAGGCGATAAGAGGACGCACGAGGTTGCAGAAGCACTGCAGACTGCAGCGCAACAGCCGCACGCGATGATGCCCACCACCAGTGCCCCAGCAACTCTTTACGCAGCGGCTCCTTCTTCTTACCAGCCTCCATCTGGTTCAAGTCAGCCTTTCTGGAGACATGGTCCGGCCGAGAATCGACAGGATCCTGTAGGCATAGCTTACGAACCGGACAATACACCAACCATCACGTCGTTCGACTGGGACGAGACCATTATAGACGAATACTACCGCATCATCCACCAGACTTTCCCTCTGTTGCCGAACAGCAAACATCGACTCCGACAAAAGCTAGCCGAGTGCCCTGCATCTTTGAGAGAGGCGTTTCTTGCTGCTCTTGACTGCTGCATGCGCACGTTCCCAACGACTACACTTCCTCCGAATGCCGGCTATGCGCAGGCTTTGAAACGGTCAGCTGAGCTGCTAGCCAAGTACCCATTCGACAATCCCAGCAGCCATACGAATGCCACAAACTTGGTATATCTCCAGACGCTTCTACTCATGGCGCTTGACTGTGATAATCACGGACCGGCAACGATCAGAGGTCAAGCTGGTCCAAGCCGATCAGAATGGCTTGGTCGTGCCGCTGGTGTTGCAGGACAGCTGGAGATCAATGTCATTCGCACTGCGACAACATCAGTGATGGAAGGCGACCGCGATTCAGAAGAGCGTCTTGCGCGACGTGTGTGGTGGGTTCTCTTCATTCTGGACAGATGGCATGCGTCGTCGACTGCCGATCTACTCAAGCTGCCAGAGAACAGCGTGGTGCTATTGCCAGAAGATCAGATTCTCCTCGGAGAGTCGACTTACCATCTGGCTCGGCTGTCCTTTATCATCGGGCATCTTGCAGCTATCTTAACGACAACCAAGACGCCTTCGACGGATGTGATGGCACCCTCGAATCCAGCGTCGTCACTGCTTGGTCTCACACTTGCTGGTGAGATTGATCGTTTCAGAGAGTCCGTCGAATCGGTTTGGGGATCACTGAACCTCGTGCACCTCAGCTACCACCACTGTCATCTACTCATCAAACGCTTGAGTCCAGACACCGAGCCGACTGAACTGGTCGGTCACGCTGTGAAGGTCGCCACGGTGCTCAACAGCCGGCTTACACCTGTAACTCCACTGAACCACCATTTCGGCGCATTGGCCGCCATGACCTTATGCGAACTATCAGAAGTGCCCAAGACTCGATTTGAGGCAATCAAAGGCCTGGATCACCTGGCCGAGGCTCTCGGAGAAGGACGCGGCCTGGCCGGCAAACTGGAGAGCGAAGGCTGGGATGGTGCGGTGCGCGATCTCGTCAAGAAGAAGCTCGCCAAAATGCAGCCTTTCCGAGACGGACTGCAGAGTCCTGGGAACGGAGCGGGTGGCGGCCGGGATAATTTCGACCCTACGATGCTCACTCGGTACGGCTACTTGACGTCGCTTGGTCAAGGACTCTTTGGCAGGGAGGGATAGATAGATGACCCCCATCGCAGCGGCACGTTTGTGTAATAATTACACGCACTATACCCTTCTATCATAGAACATCAAAATCGCTACACCACCTCGTATACTGCCTCTTATCCATCTCGATACGCCTTCCCCAACTCCGTCAACTTCCCCTCATCATCCAGCATCCTCGCCCACCGGCCCACGGTCCCCGTATCCCTCATCGGCCCAAACCACGCATACCTCTCCACCCAATCCAGCGTGTCGAGGTACTTGACGCTCTCGCGCGCGAAACTCTCGACGTGGTCTCGGGGGAGGGGGTTGTCGGAGTTCCAGTTTGTGGCGGCGAATTCGGTGATCCAGACGGGTTTGGTGGGGTCGAGTTGGTGGTGGCTGGGTATGTATGTTAGAAGGGGAAGGGCGAGAGGGGAGAGGGAAGGGCGAGAGGCGAGGGGGAGAGGCAAGGGGGAGAGGCAAGGGGGAGAGGCAAGGGGGAGAGGGAAGGCGGAGGAGGGATAATGGGATAAGGAGAAAGGACGTACGTGCTCCAGATATAATCATAAAACTGGCCAAGGGTTTCGCCATACCTTTCACATATCATTAGCCCCCGAAACATGCCCTCGAACATATCTCCACCCCAAGGAGTCAGGGTGGTGGATATGTGTAACACGAACGTACCAATGCAAACACCAAAAATCCACATCCCCGCCCCCGTCCCTCACCAGTCCCCAAAACTCCCTCAACCACCCCACCGCATGCCCCGCGCACGAAATCCCGGGACTCCCGCACCGCACGCCTCGCCGCCGCAGAGGCTCGATGTGCGTGAGCCATTCTTGCGCGCAGGTCGCGGCGGACATGTTGGCTTGGTCGGGGAGTTCGGGTTCGTTGAACTAGGGAGGGATTATCAGCTGTGAGGTTGGTGGGTGGGAGGGGAGAGACATACGAGAATAACCGTGTCGCTTCTACTCTCCTCCACTTTCCGCGGCAGAGAAGAAATCTCATGCGCATTCCACTGCATCGGCACGAACACCAGCGAGGAGGGACTTGAAGGGGTTGGGGTGGGGGACCAGTTATCTATTTCGTTCATCACATTAACACATTAACACATTAACACATTAATACATTAACACAACATCCATTAGCTCGACCCTCATCTTTCCGTCTTTTCATGTTCAAGGTGTATACAAGGTGAGAGTGGAGAGAACGTACAAATCCACGAAACCTTACTCCCGGGTTTCGTCCACGGCAAGACTTGGTCTTGGGGGTGGTTTTCGACGGGCCAGCAGAGGCCTCTTTTCGAATTTGAGTTCATTTTCGAGGAAGGAGATGATGAAGAGGAAGTTGTGGGTTTGTCTCCGTCCAGGTGAGATTTGACTTCGGAGGTGGTTTTGGAGAGGAGGTCTTTTAGACCCATGGTGAGGCGTGTGAAATGAATGGATGGGAGTTGTGAAGTGAGAAGTTCAAAGGTGAGGTCAAACGTCCAACGCCAAGGACACTTGCATGCATGCATGGCACGGGAGCTCCACGCGTACAGCATTTAACAAATCACTACCAACTAAACGACACTTGCAAACGGGAGAATTGAAGTTACATAAACTGCCAAAAGAATGACCATTCAGGATACCGAATCTATCAAAAAAAGGGTAAAGAAAGAATTCCTGCCTTTCAAACTTTCTCTGCGTGCGTCGTCCAGTTGCCCCCCTTCGAAACTATCATCCGAGAGACCTCGACAAGATGGTCGTCACTTGTCGTGAGTCTCCCATCAACAACACGGCCCACCCAAAAACGCAGCAAGAAGCAAGCCACGAATGAGATCGCACTCATAAGCCGCACTCATCCCCACCCACCATCCTTCACCTTCATCATGATAAAGCAATAACCGAAGCTCGTGATCCTGTCGACGTCGACGCGTAGTCGTTCCTGTGGTTTGATCATGTGTTGTTTTCCCGCACTGACGCACTCGTTTCATTCAGGAGGTCGGACGGCTTCCAAGCCGCCCGAGTGCTGTTATTGATACCAGTTGCCGGTGAAATCTTGACTTGAAAAGTCCTGGTCGAGGTTGTAGGGACTGGTGAAGTTGTCGGCTGGAACGCTCAGGGAACCGTCGCTCCAGGGTTGGGTGGTGAAGGCGGTGGTCTCGTCCATGGGACCGACATCAGCGGAGGTGTTCATAGCCATGCCGCCCATTCTCTTGGTTGAGGACTCCATTGCAGTAGGGCTGTTGCCTTCGAGCATGGCGTTCTCGAAATCGAACTCAGGAAAGAGCGACCTGATCATGTCATCGTTGGGTGCGCTGCCAGGACCGACAGAATGCGACTGAGGACGGCCTGGGTTTGAGGTTGGCACTGCCGGGCGCTGAGCGATGCTGGTCATCGACGGCATGGTAGGTGTATTCCAAGCTTCAGGCAAGCCGAGTGACTGATCATCGACCAACGACTTTGACTTGCCATCATCAGAGCCAGGCAAGCCGTTGACGGGAGTCTGCCAGTCATTGGCCAAGTCAGGCATGGTGAAGTCGGTGTTACCGAAGAAATTGGGAGGCAGGCTGCGGCGGTTGCTGTTTGAATCACCACCGGCCATGTCATCACCAAAGCTTCCCATATCTTCTTGGATGCTAGGCATTGGGTAGCCGTAGAGGTCATCCATGGTTGGCAGTTCATCGATTTCGGACTGCGTGCCTGAAGACGCTGCAGTCAGCGCAGGCTGTGCGGTATTGCTGAAATCAAAGGCAGTGGCCCACACACCAAAGGGGTTGTTGTTGGGGACGTTGGAGTCGGCAGAAGGGAAGGCGGACCACGGATCGTAAGAAGCATCCGTGATACCCGACATGGGATCAAGAGGCGGGAATGCATTGTCGCTGGCGGCTGAATCGTAGCTTTGGTTAGTTTGAATGGGTCCAAGGCTGCTAAAGTCGATGGAAGAAAGCTTGTTATCGGAGAGACCACCACTGCAGCCGGAGAGTGGGGGCTGTTTGGGCGACGGCTGTTCGGATTTTGACATGCGGCGCTCCTTGTGTTGAGATGCTTTGGCTTGTTGAATCATGGCAGCAGGGTTCCATGGCATGTTGCTGTCGAGTGCCAGGCTGTCTACGGAGCGGCGAGCCTGGGTGTTGATGTTTTGTTCGGTCTGCGCTCTTGGCATGGGCATCTTGTACGGCATACCACACTCATGGGCGGCGTGATTTCTCTTGTGGACGGGTTTGTGGTGCCCGTTGGCAAAGACGGTGAGAGATCCATCCGACTTGGTCGTCTCGAGTCGCGGTTTAGGCACAGCAGGACCGTGAGGAGGCGTGCCGCCATCGCTGGACGGCTCCTTTTTGATGAGCGAGCATGAGCATTTGCCGCCGTGATGGCAACAGCAGCCTTGCTCCTCGGCGACCGCAATCAGGTGATGGGCATCTTCCTTTTTCAGAGGTTCGCTGAAGCCAGCCTTTGCGCGCTCTTCGGCTTCACGCAGGTGGATGCATTTCTCCTTGGGATGATGCGGCTTTTCCGCCTCGCCGCAGTCACACTTGACGTGGGCGGAGCGTTTCTTGCGCTCGAGGCGGCAGTGTTGGCACTGTGTGACCGGACGACCCTTCTTGGGAACGAGGGTCAGCTCGCGATCTGCGCAGCGGTCAGTGACAAAGACTCCCGGGGTGGCGGCCAAGTTCCGGTGGCGAAAGAAGAAGACATACCAGTGTGGGTGCAGCCACTAACTCGGTGACCTTTCAGGCATGACTGGCAGGCCCATTTGGTACCGTCTGGTTTTCTGCAGCAGACGAGAGAGTCAGTATGGAGGTGGAAGGGGGCAGGCGGGTGGTTGCACTCACACTACCATCCCGGGTGAGAGGGTCGAGGGTCGGAGCTTTTTTTGCGCGATTTATGTCTGCTGCGAGAATTTGGGGGAATTTGGACGTCGCCAGTCGGGGGTGGTTGGTTGGTTGGACGAACGCTGCGAAAGGCAGGAGAAAACAGAGTCAAAAAACCGGGTAGAAAAAGGCCGTGACGGCTCTGGTCAAAGGCGTGGAGGGTATCTTTCTAGTCGTCCATGTGATCCGGAACGCCGCTGCTGGATGCTGTGTTGCTGTGGTGAAAACAGGCAGGACTGCTGCCAAGCGGAGAGTGGTCGCTGGGAAGTGGATCGCGTTCAAGGCCTGACACAGCACCAAAGGCGCTGGCCGTTCAGTGGCCGGGGATCGTGGGCGTATGCGCTCAAAACAAAGGTCGGCGTCCGCTGCGGCGGTGGTGGTGGCAGAAGACGAGGTAAGAAGTCGAGAGGAAGAAGACAGCAGCAGCAGCAGCACAGCCGGGATTGGCAGTGCGAGCGACCAGCTCCAGCGGCTAGCCTGGCCTGGCAGAGGCAGAGAGGGTGGCCGTGGTATTAGTGTGGAGCGTGGGAGAGGCGAAAGGACGGCTGCTGCACTGCACGCTCGACTCGACGCTCTGCTTTGCTTGCTTTGCCCGCCGCGTCAAGGCGAAACGCAATGCAACGCTGCCACGCCTGTCTCTCACGGCCTCTGCTGCCGTTACCACATGCGGCACCGACCACCACGCTTCATCATCGTCACCCGACCTGACATAATCCCCAAACTCAACTCACAGCACAGCACAACCCTATCCTACCCTGTGACCGCCGTCTTCTTTGCCGGCTGTCTCTCTCCATCCTGACTTTCACCTCCGGATCTCACGCATTCACTCGCATCGACAGCCCTGTCCATCTGCACTGCCGTGGCACGTTTATTGGCACTCTGACTCCGCCACACTCCTCTCTGCAACCGCATGTCATAGCCAGAGCGTCCGACCAATCTCGACAATGCCGAAGTCAACCACCCAATAATTTCACGCCTACGACGAGTTAGGCCCCATGCGTCCGAGGTCTCTCCAACAATACCGAAGGGATCTCGTGAAACTAGGTCGAAGCCGCTGACACCACACAACAACCACGACAACTTTATTATTCTTACAATCACGGCTGTCCGACTATCATTATGCTAGCTTTCCCATCGCTCCGCAACTGTATTATGGGCCCAGTCTGCATCTCCTGCGCACCTAGGTAAACCTGCGTCCTGGTCGACCACTGCTCCGACGCAAGGATCGCCATCCCATCCCACGCCAATGGCTCGCCGGATCTGCACCAGCACCAGCATTCGTCAACGCCGATGTTAACCTGCAGCTGTTCTCATCGTCAAACATTGCTTTGCGCAAATGCAGGCTAGACGACGTCAACACCGCCCTCCCACCAGATACGTATCCTGTGACAATTCGACGGAAAACTTTGTTCGTCGCGACCCTTTGTTGGCGTCGAGGGCCCACGCGTCGCGCTTGCCGTACTCGTACAAAAGCTGTTGCGACATTCGCTTGCTCATCAGGCTAACAACTTTCGAATGTCCGCCAGTCGTCCAGTCCGAGCAGAGTCTCTCTTGTTGGACTTTTCCGAGAATGCCACCATCATGAGCTTCCTCTTGTCCTTTTGCACCAGAATCGTCTGCTCTTCGATGCTCTTGTCCATGACTAGCCGGAACACTCTCGTTTCCTTTTGTTGACCCAGCCGGTGGACGCGATCGACCGCTTGATCTTCAATCGCAGGCGCCCTGAAAGTCATTAGTTGAAGCTTCTCGATACATATTCCCGTTCAACTTACCACCAAGTGTCGTTGAGGATGACGTTGTTCGCGGCGGTAAGATTCAATCCGACCGCACACACGCCCAAGGATGCCAACATGACCGTCGTGTCTTTATCCCCCTCAAGCTGTTGCAATGCCCCATCGCGCTTCTGCGCCGACATGGTTCCATCTAGTCGACAATACTTGTAGCCATCTTTGTCCAGTCTCGACTGCACAATGTCCAGAAAGCGGGTCCACTGTGAGAAGATCACCGTTTTGTTGCCATTGCCTTTGGTTGCTTCGAGTATGTGCATCAGTGCCTCCAGCTTGCTCGATGATTGAGTCACGTCAAGGTCCTCGTCCGCGCTATCCTCACCGCCATCGCGAGCAGGGGGAACCAGGCAAGTCTCATCTTTGAGCTCGGCTCTGCACATTGGGCACTTGTGCTGAGTCTCAATCACTTTGGCGATGCACTCCTGACCGAACGAGTGCCCGCAGCTGGTGATGACCGGTTGGTGTAAGCTCTCGAGGCAGATCGGACAGTCCTCCTGCGATTCAATCTGTACTTGCAGGATGTCTTGCAGGGCTTTCATGTTCTCGGGCGTGAGTGCGACAGTCTTCGCCTTCTCAAACTGAGCGAGCAAGTTCGTCACTCGCTCGCCGCACAACTGCCAGTGGTTGCAGCATTGCCTCATCCTGAGTAAAACCTCAAGCAGGTGAGAATACGTCGCGGCCGTGCCCTTGTTTTCGAAAGTGTTCAAAGCACCTTTGGCTTGCTTCTCCAACGCATCGTATCGCTCGCGCTCCTTCTCGGTAAAGTCGACGCGATGTACAAACTCTTCCAGTGGCGGCAGCTTGAGATCGATGAACGCCATTTCTTTGCGTCTGCGCAAAGTGAATGATTGCATGATCAACTTCAGCAACCACGTCGCGGACACGTCGCCGTTCTTCATTGGCCGAACCAGCACACGGTTGAAGATGTCCAGCTGTTGCAAGCCGCCACTGACACCAACGAAGCGAAGCAAAGAGTACAGGTCCTTGAGTGAGTTGACAATTGGCGTACCGGTCAACACCCAACGAGATCGGGACATGAGTGCTGTGACCGCTGCAGTGCCCTTGGCTTTGGGGTTCCGGATGTTGTGGCCTTCGTCAAGGATAACACGTCGCCATTTGACGCTGTACAGTCCAGTGGATCGTAGTCGCTTCTCTGGTTGCTTGGAGCTATTCTTTGGCATATAGTCCATGGCCAGGGTTTGGTAGGTGGTGACAACGACATCGTACTTCTCAAAGTCTTCAGCAGACATCTTCACTCGGCCCGCTCCATGGTACGTGTAGACCTCCAGCTTGTGGCTCTCCTTGACGTGCGTGGCAATTTGGCCAGACCAGTTGGACATAACGGAAAGAGGTGCAACTACGAGCGTTGTGCCCTTCCCAGCATCCGCCACGAGCAACGAGATCATTTCCAGCGTCTTTCCAAGTCCCATATCATCAGCTAAGAGACCCCCTGACGCGAGTTCAGGACGTTCTGAGGTCACAAATTGAGTAGCTAGATTTGTGTATCGACCGTTGGTGTTGCTCTGCGTCCACAGTTGGACAGATTCTTCGTTGGTCGACCCCGGTGGCTTGGGTGATTCCTGATCAAGAAGCCATTGCAACGCTTGCAACTGGTAGGGAAGCATCTGTGTCTTGATGCCGTCTGGCTTTGCAGCCATGGGCATGTTTTTCAAGTCTTCCTCCGTGGCACCCAGCTTCTCTGCAGCGCCACTGATTTCTCTGGGGTTGATGCGCTCCGATGCCTCGAGAATGTCCGACAGGTCCATCGGATTGGTGCTGCTATCGCCAGCAGACGAGGCTTGGTTGGTATATTTGCCCTTTGCAGCGACGGCAGCACGTCTTGCAGCAGCGAGACGCTCCTTCTCCTCCTGCTTGCGCTTCCTCTCGGCTTCTTTGAGAGCTTTGGTCGGCAGCTTGTCGGCTGCCATCTTCTCCTGTAGAGATTGACCTTCCGCTGTATTTGGATCGGCGCCATACATGTGAACTGTGAGTGGGCAATCGAATTGGCCGATCTCGCCGGCCAGCTGGCCCTCGAGGTGAAGCAATCGATTGTCAATGTATGGGGCGAGTTTCGCTGCAACCTTTCGAGGTATGTGACCGATCTGGTCGCCGGCCACGTTGTCGATGCGGATAGCATTGCCATCGTATGGGTTGCCAGGCTCTCTGAGTATCAAGATCTGTTGGCCTGCGATGGAGTTAGTACAACTTGCACAAGTGTGGGCATTGACCTTCCTGTTGCGATGACATACCAGCATTTGCGTATCCATTATAGTATCGAACGCCGACAATCTTGGTAGGCAAGTCGCCGTAGTGCTCGAGCTGATCACTGCGTTCGGCATAGTCCTGCGAGGATTCCAGAATCTCATTGACGTCCACATCATCAGCCAGCCACGCGTTCCGCTCCGCCAAGCTGTGTTGTTGCGACGATGCTTGGAAAGAGCTGCTTGGAGCACTGTATACACTCTCGTAGCCACTACGAGCACTACTCGCTGGTGGTGTTGGGAATGCTGATGCTGATGGAGCCCGGCTTGCATTGGTGGACTTTCCGTTCTTCCGGGCCTTGACTGGAGCATCCAGATCGTCGTCTGTCTCGTTGTCGCTGACGGTTAAGTCTATCTCGACGCGCTTTCGCTTACCATCAGCGTTTGATTGTGCCATGGTGTTGTTGCTGTTTCTCTCTGACAGTGCCTCCCGAGGAGGCATGATTGAAAGATGGACGAATTTAGAGAAGGGACAGGGAGCTGCGTTTGTTCAAGTTGTCTCACAATTGAAGTCCAGGAAAGCGCGTCATTGCAGTGGTCCAAGCTTGTCCGACCCTGCATTAGCAAGAACTTATCACGCTATCACGTGCAAAGCGGGTTCCACCAACGATATCTTTACTCCGACTTTCACGCACAAAACTGCATCATGTTCCTCAGTCGCTGATCCATCTCTGGATACTGCACACTCCTGCTCAGAGCCAGCAGGATCCCGAGTCCAAAATCACCTCTTGCCCTCCAAGGACAGAGCCTCACTTGGCAGGTAACCTCACGCTCGATCGCAACGGGCAGGATGCCGACCAAGTCGTTGGAACGACCAAGCAGTCTATGCTACTTGGGTCCGCAACACAGATTTGCCAATTCACTCGACGTCGCCTCGAACTCTTGGCCCGATCGAATAGTCCGCTCTGCATGTTACTAGGCGCAGTTGATAGACACTCGAAGTTCAGCATCCAAGAACCCGGAAGGGATCGTACATGTCACAAGGCCGGAGAGTGAGGCAGCCACATACGCAGCATGTCTGGTCTGTAGCCATTTTGAGTGCGGCTCAAAGACTCTACCGACTGTCTCTTACTTGTCCAGGAACTTCAGCCGGTGAATCGCGTCGCACCCAGTTGTTCATGCTGCGCAGCACATATAGCTGTGCTACACCACATAGAATACGAATGTCGAAAGAAAGAATCAGTGAAAATGTCCAGCCGCAGCAGCCTCCAGCTCATCCTCGAATGCTTGGAATTACTTGGAAATGAGCAACTACATACGGAATATATATTCATCAATCGACAGCCTAGAAATCCGTTCCATCATCCAACCCACCTGCAATCCACAATATCAGACACATCCATCCAAATCACAACCAGAACAGCCTTCTCTGTCATCATGCAGACATTCGTGACAATCCTGAGCCTCCTGCTCCTTTTCAGCACCACCGGGTTCGCCCATCCAGCGCCTAACGCTCTCGCCAGTCCAGATGGTACGTATGCCTATCGAAGAAAAGACGTAACTTCTCCATACTAAACCTTCCAGACGTCCCCTTAGAACGCCGAGACAACGTCCGATGCTACCACGGCGGCTACGCAACCACACGAGCAAAGCTGACTAAAGCCATCGACGACTTCTGCGACAAAGTCCACAGCGACGGCGGCCTGCGAAAGAACAAAGCCGTCGAGAAGTCCTTCTCGCTCGGCAACTCCGCAGAAACGATCATTTCCGTCAAACCGAAGCAGTGCAGTGCCATCGACAAGGACCTCCAGTGCAAGATTACCTTGCGCCAAGCTGTGGACGAATGTAACACTGATAGTGCGAACTTTAAGCAAGGAGGGACTGTCGATACGGGCTGTGCTAAGTGGAGGGTTGATCCGAACTTGTAGTAGAGGTTGTATTATCGGGTGGTTCTGTAGAAGCTGGTCCCTGTTGTATTTGTAGTACCTACACTCGTTAGATGCTGCTAGTCGTTCATCCAACATGAAAGGACTAGTTAGTTGTTACAAATTTTTAACGTTGTCTCTACTCTGACTGCAATCCAAGGACACAAAATGCCTTATTCATACCAAGAACTTATACTATAAACCCAGCGACCTTGCAACCAAGCTGTCTTGCCACGACTTGTAGGTCGATTCAGACAATATTCTGAACTTGGTCGGTTTGTAAATCTACACCGGTCAAACTACGTAGCACCGAGATGTCGCTGTATTGTGGCGCTCGCGGTGGTAGTACATCGCAGAAGCTGAGGACAGCATCGGTGAAGACTCATTATCATTCATGTTGCAGTGGCTGTTCAGCTCGCAGTTTGACGTGGGACGTGGAATTGCAGATTAGTGTATATATATTCAGAGTTGTTCAGCCAAGAGCTCAATTACAAAATCCAGCCTACTCAACTACTTCACACCGCCACCAAGACAGCCTTGCTCATCATGCAATCCCTCGCCGCTCTTTTCAGCGTGCTGTTTCTCTTCGGCTCGAACGGCTTTGCGCACCCAATCGCCGAAGTCCTGAGCAGTCCCGATGGTGAGCATCTCCGAATCGACCAGAGAACGTTGTTGATAGCTAAGTCTCCAACATCCAGACCTCACCCTAGCAAAACGCGACTCCGTCCACTGCTACGACTCCGGCTTCAAGGTACCCCGAGAAGCCTTGACCTCCGTAATCGACAAGTTCTGCGACCAGGTCAACGCGTATGACGGGCTCAGGAAAAACAACGCAGTTTCGAAGACCTATTCGACCGTCGTGGGACACAGCGTCGTCGTCTCTGTCACTCCCAAGAAATGTGGGGCTATCGATCAGGAACTTATGTGCAAGGTCATCTTGCGGATGCCGGTCGACCAGTGCGATACGAGCAGTACTTCCGACAAGCAAGGCGGAACGGTGGATACGGGCTGCGCGACTTGGCGAGTTGATCCGGAAGAGGCGTGGGTTTGATGTCGTTGGGTTGCGTTTCGCTAGTGTGTCGGATAGCCTGAGACTGCGGTGATTAAATTGATTAGAGTACTTACGCTCTCTAGATGCTGAGCGTCATGTCATTCAACATGAGTGGCCCAGCCGGTTGATGCGAATGGAAATTAGTGAAATGAGCAATGTTCGCGGTTGAAGTGGCACCCTTTCACGTTCAGTCCTGCTTCTTGAGTTCAGTACCCGTCATAGCCACTGCCTCGTCTCTATACTTCTCGTCGTCGAAATCGATGATAGGATCCCATCGAATCTCCAACGCAGTAGTGATCTTCTCCTGATCGATTCCCACGTCCGTGACTCACCATGCACAGCATCGCTCATCACACATACAGGGCCGTCAAGGTATGTGCGTGATATTAACTCCTCCCAAACATACATGGCGCATCTTTCTCGTTTGTCGCACAAAAGCTTGGATTCGTCTCAGCATGGCGAGTATCCAACATAGATGCGAAGATGTTTCGTACCTCTGTTACCGCTTTGTCCAGGTGGGAAGGGTCCTCTGGATCTACAAGTGCGTCTTGGATATCTTGCTTGCTCATGGACTTTGGCCAGCGATTCGACCCACAGCGTCTTTGTCGTAACCGGTAGCGATAGTTTGGACGACTGTTGCTTCGCCCAGTATGTTATGCAGCATGAAGGTGCTATTCCCGCGGCCATGACAAAGATCCGTCTATCGTCTATGATAGCCCAAACGGCGACGATATCAAATCACTGCCTTGCAGACAACATCTCCGTCTCGCGATGAATCGAATTGGATAGACAATACTTCTCATTCAGTCCCTTGAAATCAAGCTTTAGGACCGGCTCGTTCAGGAGACATGAGCGAAGTACATAGGATCTGTACAGGTATATCCATCGAGAGGTATCTCGGGAAACTCGGTGACAAGATGCAGATTGACTCAGCTCATGAAGACGTGTTGTCGGTCGCTGAAGCAATAAGCTTCGAGACCAACGGCTCTTCCCGACGCTAGCCCGCCACGCACTTCCTCTTGCGCCGGGACATCAACTCTGACTTCTCTCCTCCATTTGTCTCAAGGTTGACGACGACAATGTCCAAGGCCAACAATGGCGGTCGCACCACGTCTGTCTCATTCTATAATGGTCTGACGCAGGCCAGACCAGTTCCATGTTTAGAAGCACGGCCGTCGGTCCGCCCCTGTACGGCGGCTATCCCAGCGCTTCGACAACCACGCCAGACGCTGTCGATTGGAGATGCTTCCACGCCGCAACTCATCAATCTAACCAGGCCCCATTTACAGCATCGCTCACCCGTTTCGACTACACTCCAGTGCCTTCACGTTCCACATGGCATAGCAACAGTGTTATTGCGCAAGCGGCTCTCCAGAGTGCACTTGCGGCCAATGAGACAGTGGGTTTCAACGTGTTCGTCCTACGTAGTCAGGCAGGCGAGTCCTGGACTCGAGTACATGTTCTTCAACCTCCTACTCTTCTGCAGTTCCTGATCACGGCCGCTTTCCTTTGTACCAAGCCTGTCTTTTTCTGCATTTAACGAGTCTCCTTGGTGCCATTCCATTCACTTACAGCATAATTTCCGGCGCCGGCGCCCATTTACGAACTTTCCGAAGACTGCACAACTCGAGACATGCATTCTTTCAGCGGCAGCACCAGACGCAAATCGTCTCAACGCAACAAACGTTCACGAGGCGCTGGAAAGCTGACCGTAGACACCAAATGTGCAAGTCTGGGCAAGACGGTACCTGCTGAATCTCGAGTGCAAGGATTGACCTTTGTGAGCTTCGAGGAATCGAGGGCTCGTAAGAAGGCTCATGCACAACAAGCTGCATCGCGATCAAAAGCAGAAGAGCCTTCCTACATCGAACCAAACCGCAAACGATCACTTCCACCACCAATCTCGCCGGCTCAGCTCAATCTGGGAAGCGCAGCAATCCTCAAAGATGGCCCGGCTATCTCTGCATCGAGGATCCAGAAATCAGCGCAAGGCTCTTTGACTTTGCCTCCTCTGCACAGTCGCATCAAGGGACTTCGCCCATCACCACTGGACCTCAACAAGGACATCTCCCCTTCCGATCGGGCTATCACCATTGGCATCGCTCTGTCACCATCCACAGTGTCGAATTACACGAAGAGCCCTTCACCCATCTTACCTCGTTCATCGCCGATTGAAACCAGGTATATCAAAGATCCAAAGACCGGCCAAGAGATTGCAACACCGAGAATAGTGATAACACCCGCAAAAGAACATTTCTCCCCGTTAGAGATCTTCCACACCACTGGATATCGACCGGCTTCGAGCATGTATTCCAGATACACCACCGGCGCTCCGAGATCCGCTCAAGATGGCAAAACTCCACCTGTTCCCCCATTGCCATTGTTTGTCAGCGCAAAGTCTGCAACGGTGCATAACTCAAGAGTGTCGGCAACCACCGTTTTCGAGGAAGACGTACAGCCGGGCACAGTCTCTCTCGAGGCACCGATAGCTACCAGATCTCAAGACATCGACGAGAGCAGGGCCGTTGTTCGAGAGTCCAAAGCCTTAACAGCCGGTCTACCGACACCGAGACGTAGCAAAGGCTGGTGGAACATCATCACGTCGCCATTCTCAGCCAGGACTCCAACATTTTGGCGTTCGCCACCTTTACGAGAAGAATATGCCGACCCCATTCTGAGTGACGCAGCGTCGATGGGAGCCTCCGATCCGCACTCTGGGGTTATCTTCACTCATCGCTCGCCAGAAGACACGGCGCTGCGGTCTGCGCCAGCGTCTGGTGTTGATGTTCCAGGGAAGGAAGAGTTAACGAGACGGATACCCAAGAGGTCTGATACCGCACCAGGGGCGATCGATCCAGATTCCTCAGTTATCAACATCTACAGGATTCCGAGCACGGGCGAGGCCGCCGCCTACTACAACCCTAATAGGCACTTCCCTAGCTTGTGTCTGCAGTCTCGTTCGGTAGATGGTGATCTAGCTGGCTGGAGTCCATCCCATAGCGTCTTTATTCCCATCCGAGTGTCGAAGTCGCCTAAGGAGATCGGCCGCAGTGCGTTCAGTCCCGATACGACCATGTCGATGGATGATGAAGCTGCCGCCAGGCGGTTTACTGCAGCTGGCAGGAAAGAAAGTGATGCTCCCGTACCGGAATCGCAAGATTCAAAACCCAAAGGAGTTCCAACCGGAATGGCCATGTTCTCAACTCCATCAGAAGATGAGCTGAAGAGTGCGGGCCTCTCCAGGGCACCACCTCAGCGTGGCTTCACTCAAGCAACCATGGACACGATGATGTCGCCGCTATCTGCCACGCCGGTTGTCGAGGATGCTCATGTAGCGACGATGATGGGGCCCCAGTCTTCTCGGGGTGAGCAGAGAGAAGTTGAAGTCGAGCCCGCGCCAACGCCATCCCAATATGGTCTTGGATATGCAACGCTGGGCGCCGCGACCATTTCACATCGGGAAGAGACTCGAGAGTTGAAGCCAGAGCCACCCGTCCTTGAAAAGCCTCCTCAAAGACCACCTCACACCAGACAAGACTCCCACGGCCTGGGGATATCGGATGGTGAAAGAGAGCTCTTCCCTCCACCCCAGATGCTCAGCGAGAAGCCGCGACTCGGCACAGACAAATTCGGCCAACTCACAATTCGCAGCGGAGAAGCCCAAGGTCCAACAGAACCCTGGTACCGCCGATTCTTCTGGTTCCTGGCCTTTGCAGGCGCAGCCCTCCTCGCGCTCCTCGTCGTCCTTATGGTCATCTTCATCCCGCAACGCCATCATGACATGTCCGTGCAAGCGGCCTGGGTCAATCTGACTGGTTTCCCGCCCCTTGTCACCGGTATCAGCACAATCATCCAGCCGAACAAGACCGAGTCCCGAGACACTTGCGTGCAACCGTCGGGTATGTGGAGTTGTGCGGCTCCTCCTCTGACAGAGAAAAGTGCTGGTGGCCTCCCGAACTTTCGGCTGGAGATCAGGTTTCGCAACGGGACCTTGCCTAACAACGAGACGGCTCTGGCGCAGCAGAGCAATAGGAAACGATCGCAGCAGACGAGCCGTCTACATCGCTTCACGAAAAGAGGCAGCAGCCCCTGGACCTCCTACCTCTACACGCCCTCCCCCTCTCCACCCTCCGAAGCCGACCAAGTCTTCCTCGGCCGCACAACCGACAACATCACAGCCGCCCCGTACAACGGAGAACAAACTCCCTTCTACATCTCCCTCCTAGACCCAATCGCCCTACCCAACGCCGCGTCACCCGCCAACGTACACAAACGCACCGACGCCTCCAACTTCAGCTACCCCTACCCAACACCCGCCTCGGACCCCACCGACAAAAACAACAACCCCAACCCCAAAAACGCATCCACGGCCCCCGCCGACAAAATCCCCCAACCCGCCCTCCTCCCCAACGGACAACCCCTCCCACAAACCCTGTACCCCCTCGTCACCGCGCAACCCCTCCGCCTCTACAACCGCGGCCTCGGCACAGAGCACTACGCCTTCTACACCTACTTCGCCCGCACGCTCTACACCGCGAACCTCACCAGCCCCCTCAGCAGCAACAGCACCCTACAATTCTCCAGCAACGTCCCCCTCGCCAACGCCACCGCCGTGTGCACCTTCGCGCAGACGCGCCTGCACGTGCAGATCTGGACGCGCAGGTCCAGCGTCACGGCTCTGCCTTCTTCGGTAGGGAATGGCAGTGTCGAAGCGAAGAATTCCTCCGCGAATGATATGGTCCCTCCCGGATCGTTTCCTTATCCGGTGACGGTCTCGTTGGATCGGCATGGTGGGACCGCCGCGGAGAAGGGGGTTTTTTGTTATGGGGTTGATGGGGAGGGCCGGGTGGTTGGGGAGCAGAAGGTGTGGGTTGAGGAGGATAGGGGTGTTGGTGGGGTGTTGGTTAATGCGGCGGGGGTTCCTGGTGGTGGGAATAGGACTGATGTTGTGACGAAGCGAGGTGATGGTGATGGTGATGACGGGGCTGGTGTTGATGGGGGGAGTGGTGGGTGTGGATGTGTGTGGCAGAATTGGGGTTGATGAAGGGATGGATAGAGATGAAACGGAAAAGTTGTGAACGTACATACTGATGATCAGCAACGTAATGTCAAAAAAATGGTATTCGTACATGTTTTCAAATTCATCATCACCGCCGCCATCCAACACATGTATATCTCTGTCGCTCAACATTATCCTCCCAAATAATCTCATATTTTCTCAATAATTCATATCCCATTACTATTGTTACATCACGCCTCCAAAGAAATCTGCCGCAAAGCCATCGCCTCACTAAGCCCCCCATCCTTCTCAGCAAGAACGCCATTGAGAGCATCGCGGACCTCGAACTCCTCAATCACCGCGCCAAACCTATATGCATCACGAAAAAACGTCAGTTTGAGTCGGCGACGGGCAAACACACAAAAATTCACCACCCCCTTACCCATAGCATCTGACCTTGGTAGACAAGTCGTGCTTGATCCTTTCGATGTCGCTCTTTTCAAGGTCTCCGACGCGGTCGTTGCCGTAGATCATGGACCAGGCCATGACGGGTGTGATTTCGCCTTCGCGATCGAGGGGGAGTCGTGAGCTTAGCTGGAGGAGTTTGACGAGGGAGGTGTTGTCCATGTCGGGCGGCATTTGATGGGGATACTTCTCGCCGGGCTTCTCCATCAGCGTCGAGTAGGGAGGGCCCGTTGCCATGAGTGCGTGTCCGGACATGTGGTCGTGGTCGGCGTCGTCGGTGGGTTCCATGGGATGGTGGAAGGGTTGGCCGGAGGGGTTGATAGAGCGGACCATGAGGTATTGCATGTGGTCCATGCAGGGCCGCTCGAGCCTAGAGGGAGAATGTGAGCGTCAGCTGAAACGGATCTGTGATGGTTTATGGGGCATACCGTCGTGAGGCGTGTTTGATTAGCCTTGCGGCGGTGGCGATGGGTAAGGACCGGGGAGGTTGATTGGGTTGCCATGGGAGTCATACGTTAAGACAAAGTTGATACCAATCTGGTCGTAGTCAAGTCTGTTTGACGGCAGTTGTGCCATGTTGCGCATTTGATTGTTCTGGAAGGCAGCCATGTTGTGGGCTTGGTTGGGTTGGGAGGACATGGAAGGTGGTGGTGGGCTGAAGCCTGTGCTCTCTGATGCGCCACGATAACTGCCAGAGATGCTGCCGCTGGAGCTGGGCCCGTATGAACTGTTCTCGCGGTTGAATTTGATAGGTGAGCTGCCAAAGTCGTATGAAATGCCGTGTTGGGCGAGGAGTTCTTTCAGTCGACGGTTCTCTTCGATGACCGCGTCCTTCTCACGGCTGGTCTGAGAAAAGCTCTCTTTGAGGCGGAGGACTTCTTGTTCGAGGGCTTTGATGTACATCTCCTTTCTCTCACGATGCGTTCTGATTGAAAAGTCAGTACGCCTCGTAAAGAAGGTGGATAGAAACCGACCTCTGAGCTTGTCGGTTCAACTCTTGTCGTCTAGTCAAAGCCGGTTTGCTGTCAGGCTTGGGACCTCGACGCTTTGGAGGTTGGCCATCTGATAGTACTGTCAGATGTGTCAATCACAGTTTTGAGTAGACGATACCCTTTGTTTGCTTCTTCTCCGAGCTGAGGTTCTTGAAGAAATTCAGACCACCCATTGGGCTTTTGTTATCGCTGCTTGCAACGGAAGAAGGAGCGCCTGTTGGATATGCCACCACAACGGGCGACAATGAGTCGAAAAGGACAGACATGTTCTGCTAAAGCTCTACTCTGAACTGTTGCAGTTCGTTGCAAGAGCCAGTTGCAGTGTCAAGATCCCTTTCGAACTCAATCTCGCCGTTGTCGGGCTTTGAGTCAGTCTTGAACGTACAGTGAACTGAAAGATACGAGTGCTCGGTGTTAGGAATCGCATGACAAGCGACTCAGAATCCTATTCTGGATACCAGAATATGAATGGCTTGACCTTCGGGCCCTGACATGGTGTATGTGGTACTGGTCGATCAGGTGTTCAAGGTGCTGCTCTGCAGTGGACACTGCATCTGCAAGCTCCACCCATCTTGATGTCTCCTGGACATGGCTTTTCCTGGTGTCTGACATTGTTCCTGTTGATTGAAACATTCGACTACGATATGCCTGGGCACGATTCGGACAAGAAATGGGTCTACTCACCATAGCCCATATCCTGGTGGAGCGTGTCATCCTGTGGAAGGCCATGAGGAACGGACTGGCCGCCAGCAGAGTAGGTCGCCATTGTGGCTTGCTTTCGTTGGTTGATGGAAGAACACTAAGAACGGATCGATGACCTGGTTGGCGGTGTCAGCGGTGCGCGATGGAAGGGAACTGTGACTTGTGGACGTGGAGTATTTGGGAAAGACTGGAGGATATTTGTGATATACCGCAGGCAGATCGGAGGCGACCGAGATTCAAATGGTCGTGTGCATGTCGAGGCCTCCTGCGAGGCCGTGTGTCCAACTCAAATTGTGATGATCACCAAGTTCGGCCACACGTTACTCGAGTGGCAGTACGAGGGGACGAATGACAACGGGTGGACATGAAGTAAGAGGGCGCAAAGCGAATGAAGTTGCTCACCCTGGTGGTACGCAGGAACCCGTCGACCTGATGCCAATCTTGAAACGGGAAGTTCGTCACTGCGGTTCGCACACGGGCGTCTTGTGGCCGCCGTGACCTGTTCTCGACGGTCGCGAGAAGATTTGGAATGAAGGCTGCGCGTAAGACTTTGTAGAAGGGTATGCGTGCGGCCGGACGCCTGGATATCGGCGCGAGTGCTGACGAGGCTGCTGGGGAGATCGGGAGTGTACACTGCAATGGCGTATTCGTCCCGCCGCTGTCATGTGCGGCCGAACCTGCGCTACGTCGGGTCGGTGGAGAGCACGGCGGAAGGCGTGTATCGACGAGGTTGAAGAGAAGTATTAAGGCACAATGCGCGATGGTAGCGGTAGTCGTAGTCTGGAGGTCGCACACGCTTATATTGGCCCGCGCGGTCTGGATTCTGAAGTTCAGCTGTTGGCTCTTTGGAATCGGTCGCAGGGATCGTGCATGGCCGTCCAAACTCAATTCGGCGTCTTCATCTCGACATTCGCAGTGGTTTCGCCATAACTCCCCGGATCAGATGACTGTTGGATCGTTTAGACGTGTAATGATTGCCGTTTTGATATATGTTTGCTGAGTGATGCACACACCTGGGCCGCAGGAGCGCACTCACAATCCCGATTGTTTTGCTCTGAATGCTGAATGCTGCCGTAGCGCCCGTTGTCCATGGTCCGTGCCGGTACGTCACTGTCCTGCTTCGGTCGTAGGGTTGACGTTGTGTCACCTGACAGACCACACACTCGACCGACGACGGGCGGTGGCTTAGACTGTGAAACTGTCATCAGTCTGTGATGAATGTGAGTGCAGGAGAGCAGCATGCCGAATCCCCTCGCCGTGTCGCTGCGATGCGCCGTATTCTTCGTGCCATGGCTCGTCCATCTGCTCCTCGCTGATGTCGCTCTGTCCCTGTTGCTGCCCGTGTCGGCGGTAGCACCGACCTTGGCTTACAATCTCTCCTCGAGCATCGCAGAGTCGGTGTGGCGCGGCATCCAGTCCATCTTCACCCGCGTCAACCATGCCGAGATCATCGTTTCGGGCGCTGACAAGCTGCCTCGCGGTGAGAGTGCCATCGTGGTGGCCAACCACGTTGAGTGGACCGACTTCTACATGATACAGGAGGTCGCGGTGCACTGTGGCATGCTGGGGAGATGTCGATGGTTTGCCAAGCAGCAGTTGAGATGGGTGCCTTTCCTCGGATGGGGTCTGTGGGCAATGGGGATGCCGTTGGTCAGTCGGAAGTGGATGCAGGACCAGCGTGAGATGGACAGAGTCTTTGCCGGAGTGTTGCAGCGTCAGTGGCCGACATGTGAGTGGGGAAAAAAACAGACCGACCTGATCAGGCAGGAACGAGGCTGAACGTGCTGCAGGGCTTATATCCTATAGCGAAGCCACCAGATTCACCCAATCCAAACGTATCGAAGCCGAGAAGTGGTGCAAGGCCAACGATAAGCCTCTTCCGAAGCATACCCTCTACCCACGCACAAAAGGCTTCATCGCTTCCGTGCAGAAGCTACGGCAGACGCCCCATGTCAAGGCTGTGTACGACATGACCATTGCATATGCTAAAGACGACAAGCTGTTTCAGGCCCCTCCGACTTTCTGGCAGACTTTGTACCAGCCTCACCTGAACAAGAACTGGAAATTTTTCGTACACGTCGAACGGCATGAATTGCAGAAGCTTCCACGAGACACCGACCAATTGGCGAGATGGCTGGAAGAGCGTTGGATAGAGAAGGGCGAGCGACTTGAGCAACTGAGAGATCGACTTGCCAAAGGCTTACCATGGGAAGGCGACAGACCTGATACTAAAAAGCTCGATTGAAGGCAAAGCATGCCGCCTTGAGAGAGCACTTTCCGCGAGAGCTGCAAACCGACTGCTCGCAGTTTTCGGTGTCGTTTAGGATTCGTTCAGGACCAGGACAACGAAGCACTCTGCCTTCAACTCGACTGTGTAGCACTGTCCTTCGACATGAGTGATTTTGATCCTCTGAGGTGAACGGGCCAATCCTCACATCAGGAAGGACCGATTCACAGAAATGCCTACGCCTTTCGACCTGAACGGGCCAAACAACTACACTCCGATCAGATATTCATACGATTCAAGCTAGCGGTTTGAAAACAAGCACTGGCTCCTGGACAGCTGCAGGCACTGTCCATCCCCGTGCTGAGGCCCTCTCTTCGTCAAACCTTCCCGCGCACATACACGAGGTCTGCTTTGCGCTGGGCTTGTACGCAAACTTGGCGCATAAATTTTCGCCTCTTCTATCTGCTTACATTTTCTCGAAAACCTACTACAAGCTTGATAAGAGCACCAGTATCAACTGGCACGTCCATGCCGTCAGGCTCATCCCGAGCTGTTTGGTTAATGGATTGAGTCTCTCCACTATTTTATTTGATGGTGAGAGGGGAGAATGGCGCGCACGAGGAATGGGAGCTGCGGATATCGGGGTACACTGGCCTCACAGGCCTAACGCAAAGCTTTACGCTGGGATACCTTTTCTGGGACCTGTACATGTGTCGCCGCCATGTCCACATCTTCGGCTGGAGTATGGCTATGAATGCCATGGCATCTGGCACCATGTTCACCTTGGGCTTTGTGTGTTGCCAATGCGCCATCGCCTCATTCCTCGGTTGCTTAAAGGAGTTCTAGCCGCATGTGACGCCCTGAGCCCGACCCTCTACACTCAGTGTTCGTTACTGTTTGATCATAATGCCTCCTCAGTTTGCTTCTCAACTCGGATCGATGGGGCCCGACGCAGGATCCTCAAGCCCGTCCAAACAATGTCAGACACCTTTCGACGGTCAAAACGAGCCAACCCATGGGTCTACTATCAAGTCGTGGAGACTACTCTTGTGGCATGAGATACCGAAATGGCAGCAGGACAATGAGTACATAGTCTCTGGTTACAGGCTGGTCTCACTTCACATGATAGCTACCACACACACTTACACTGCCGCAGGCCAACCTCCGGGTCTGTATGGGTGTCCATTGCGAGTCTATTGTATCTCAACAATCAGACTGTTCAATGCGTATTCGCATATGCTCGGTGCGGTCGTTTTCATGATACTGCCACTTTACTTCTACAATCGACATTTCGTCGAAGAAGCGGGCGCACAGGTGCAATATTTGCTTGTTATATCCATTTACTGCCTCGGCGTCGCCGTATGCTTTGTCTTTTCGGCCACGTAAGTGCACAGTGTCTGGACATACAGCTGTCGCTAACAGTTGACATAGGTTTCATATCCTCTGTAACCATAGTTGCAACTATGCGCATTTCTGCAACAGACTTGACTACCTTGGCATTCTAGTCTTGATGTGGGGTGCAGGGGTTCCGACTATTTTCTACGGCTTCTTCTGCGACAGCAAGTTGAGATGGACCTACTGGATGACAGTGAGTAGAACTAACATAGCTTCTGTTTACCATTGACGCTGATCAGACGAATAGACAACTAGCACTGCTGTGTGCTGCACATACCTTACCCTAGCCCCTGATTTCGCATCGCCACGGTTCCGTCATTGGCGTGCCAGTCTCTATGCAGGCTTTGGGTTAAGTTCAATTGTTTTTGTACTCCATGGACTTCTCATATATGGATGGGAGGTCCAGAAGCAGCGTATGTCGTTGATCTCCATGGGCTGGATGGCCGTCTCAAATCTTGTTGGCGCCGCGATATACGCCACAAGAGTAAGTTGTCCCTGTACCCTTCGGCTTCTCCTCCTTTTCTTGGATCCGATTGCCGGTCACAGCTAATGTGGTCAGATTCCGGAGAGATGGCTGCCTCGCGTCTTCGATACATTTGGCGCCAGCCATCAAGTCTTTCACGTTGCAGTCATGATCGCTGCTTGGATCCACTTTCAAGGACTTGTCGAGGCTTTCCATCTAGCTCGTGGCATGACGGGTACATGCGGTGAGTGATGGCGCAGAGCGTCGTCAGGGCGAAGGCAGAAATATCGAGTCAGTCATACAATCAGGACAGTAAGTCGTCTTCGGAAGAATTTTCAGAAGACGCAATTTGATAGCAGGCTCGTTTCGTACGTAGTACGTACTTCGTTTCTGGAGCGTGTCTCCACGTTATACCTCTGGCATGTTGTGCGGGGAGATCTTTACTCAATATCATGTAGGTCAACGATGAGACCAGCTATACGGAAAGCCATTCCAGGAACTCCTCGAGCAGCTACATCCAGGACAATGCTTACTACTACTACTGATGAGTTAGCGCGCTGAAAACGAGCACGAATGCGCCAGTACGAGGCATGCACACAGCTGCAGCTCCAGCCTTCCAGCCGCCTTTTGCTCGCCTCCACACATCGTCGAGGCCAATCAATTGCGCTGTACCACATGCCAGCTGACGATTACGGCCGGAGTCTGGAACTCAGAGGCACTCACGAACCGCATGAAACAAGTAAAATGTACGCTGAAGCGCCGTATAGGCGACCATATTGGTTCAACCCGAAGGATTTGGGGGTTTGGAGAATTAGTGGCATCCTTAAGGCACTACTGTTGGAAGTCACGGCACAGCACCTTTCATTCATATCTATTGTTATATAGGTGCTGTAGCCTGTTCTGCAGTACTTTGTGCACCCACCGCAACTCTACCACCATGGCTGCCTTCAGCCTCGCACAAGTCGGTTTCGTGGCTCTTGGTCTCCTCCTCTTCAAGATCGTCTACGAAATAATCAAGTCCTACAACTTCGCCCGGTTCGCCAAAGCCAATGGCTGTGAGAAACCACACAACGTATCTGGATCCTGGCCGTTCTCAATCATCAATGGCTGGCAGCGTCTGTTCCGATTCATGGACATTGTGAACAATGGTGGCGATGTGATTGAAGATGGGTTCGGGCGTCTTTTCGAGCATGCCAACACCGTTCAAGCCACGCAGTTTGATGGGTCCGTTGAGATTGATACCATTGAGCCTGCGAATATCCAGGCTATGCTTGCGACGCAATTCAAGGTGGGATAGGTGAATGTTGTGAGAAGGCTGCCGTTAACGCTTGGACAGGACTTTGGAATGGGCAAGATGAGGATCAATCAATTTTACGTGAGAAGCCATATCCTTTGGCAACGGCCCAGCAACTAACATGACCAGCCGATATTGGGCAACTCCATCTTCTCGAGTGATGGCAGGTTTGTAGTCACCCCCTCTCGCCATCTTACCCCGACTAACAATCACAGCGACTGGGAACACTCACGATCACTCTTCCGCCCCCAATTCAACCGCGAGCAGATCAACGACATGGAAGAGACCGAGCAAGCAGCCCAACAGCTCATCAACGCCCTAGGCCCAACAGACAGCACAGGCTGGACCAAAGGCACCGAACTCCTCCCCTTACTCTACAACTTCACGCTCGACACAGCCACAGCCTTCCTCTTCGGCGAATCCGTCAACTCCCAAGCCATCAACACCTCACCACAACACCACACCAACCCCCAAGAAACCTCCCAAGCAAAACAATTCATGGCCGACTTCGAGCTCGCCAGCGAATACATGATGCACCGCATCCGCGGCCAATCCCTCTACTGGCTCGCCGACGGCCTCCCATTCCGCCGCGCCGTGCGCCGCATCCGCGCCTTCACCGAGCACTTCGTCCAGCGCGTGCTCGACCCGGCCGCGCGCGAGAAAGCCGCCGCCACCACAAGCAAGAAATACAACCTCCTCGCGGCCCTCGCGACGGAAACCCAAGACCGCACCGAACTCCGCAACCAGACCCTCGCCATCCTCATCGCGGGCCGCGACACGACCGCGGGCCTTCTGGGGTGGTCCTTCGAGCGCCTCGCCCTCCACCCGGACGTCTTCGACAAACTCCGCGCGGCCATCCTGAGGGACTTCCCACCCGGCGGCGAACCCATCACCTTCGCGAAACTGAAGGCCTGTCGCTACCTCCAGCACTTCCTGAATGAAGTCCTGCGGTTACATCCTAGTGAGTGGCCCCCTCCCCCCTCCTCCCTTCCCATACCACCCAAAAACTAACCCCTTCCCCCTCAAACAGACGTCCCCATAAACAACCGCACAACAACCCGCCCCACCACCCTCCCCGTAGGCGGCGGCCCCACCCAAACAAGCCCCATAGCCCTCCCGGCAAACCGCACCGTAACTTTCTCCGTCTACCTCCTCCACCGGCGCACCGACCTCTGGGGCCCGGACGCGCTCGACTTCCGCCCGGAACGCTGGGGCGAAGGTAAGATCCCCGCGTGGCAGTTCTTGCCGTTCAGCGGCGGGCCCAGGATTTGTTTGGGGCAGCAATTTGCGTTGACCGAGGCCGGGTATGTGCTTGTGAGGATGTTGCAGCGGTTTGAGGGGGTGGAGGGGGTTGGTGGAGGGGAGCGGTTGAGGAAAGGGATTGGGTTGACAATGTGGCCGGCTGAGGGGGTGAGGGTTAGGTTTAGGAGGGCGGGGGGTGGGGAGTAGGTCGTGAGGGGATGCAGGGGTGAAGGTGGTAATTCTCATAATGGTCATGACGTGTGAATCCATCGATAGCTAGCGTAAAACATCTCTCAGAAACGCTACGGAGCGAATAGTCTCTTCTCTCCCCGAAACTCCTTCGCTAAAAATGATCATCCCACGCTAAATGATGCAGTAGTATAAAAACACATGCTCCCCTCCCGATCCTCGACCCTACCAAAATGCAAATCTCGATGCCTCATCATCAAATACAAAGTAGAAAAAGCCCCTACTTCTTCCCAAGCTTATAACTCAACCGCTTCAGCTTGCCCGAGTCGTTCTTCGTCGACGGTTGCTTGGTGGATGTAGCGGGCTCAGGTGGCGGCTCGACCATCTCCCAAGGCAAGACCTCATTCTTCTTGATTTGCGGTGCTTGACAGGGTCGATCTCTGAGGGTGGTGTCGCTGGGAAAGGCACGAATGGGCGAGACCGATTTCGCGCGATCTGCTGGTGCGATGCTCGATGCCATGGTCGTGGGTCTTGTCGATGGAGATGGTACGGCGGAGAAGGTTGGCGAATGTACTGGAGGTGTGACGACGGTTGATGATCCGCTGGAGATGTTGGAGCTTGATCGTTGTTGAAAGTAGTTCGAGGGACGCGAGAAGTTGCGCACGAGTCCTGGACTTGCGTCTGTGCCTGGGCTGCGTGAGATGATTCGAACGCTCTGCTTAGATCCTACGTCCCGTTCTTCAGCAATGGGCTCAACAAATTCCACTCTGGTAGCAGATAGAGGAGACCGCAGCGTTGGATAGCTCGTAGGTGGTTCAAGAACGTCTGGTCCTGCACTCTTAACCATGACCTCGTCAGAATCAGTGAGCCAGAACGTCGCAGTGGGATCCATCGCGGAGTTGAGCTGTGCTGAAGCTTTGATTGAATCTTTCGGGCGTGCTATTGACGCTGGGTCGGAGACTGGAGTTCGCGGTGAAGCATCAGGAGACGTGGCCGCGCCGCTAGAGAAGTCTCGATCCTGAAGCGTGGGTAGTTCTGGCAGATCCAGCTCCGGTGAAGTTGCCCATGCATGATCAGCTGAGTGTGAGGGCGAGTGCAAGAATGTCTGATCAATGGGGCCTCTCAGAGCCGGATGTATCATGATTGGAGGTGGCGGAGAATCCATCGTCCTAGCACTCATCGGTCGGTCGTCCTTAATCTCCGCGACCTGAACAGTGGTCCTCTTCTTGTCCTGCGACTGACGCACAGCGGGTTTGCTCGAGGTCGAGCCAAACCGTCTTCTCGGAGACTGCCCACGACCACTGGAGCCCATTGATATAATCGAACTTCTCTTCATCCTGTCCGTGTCCCTCTGATCACGCTTTGTGCTTTCTGGCAGTCCGTCCCACTTGCTATTCACCTTAGGCACATGGTCTGGCAGTTTCTGAGACGAGACACCAGCCATGACGGCAGTAACAGACTTGGCGCCTTTCTGAGCGGTTTTCTTCCTCTCATGCTCGGCGAACTGGTCGAGAGCAGAGGTCGATGGCTCTTTCAACGTGAGGAAGCTCAACACGCCTGAACTCTTCCTCTTGCTGGGCTGACGTCCACGCGGATGATAATCCGAGGCATTGCTGTCCTTGGAGTCGTGGCGGTGATGTCGTTGATCGGTCTTCAAGATGGGCTTGCTCGGTACTCGTCGAACGGTCGGGAGGGTATGTTGGTGGACAGGCACGGGCTGGATCTCGCCATGGATGTCATCTCCAGACTGCGAAGTCTCACTGGCAACGACCTCGTCCGGCGACTTGTTCCTCACTGCCAACCTGGGCAGACGTCGTGGAGTGGCATTGTTGAGGTCCAGAGGGTTGGGCCTGGTGCTCGGCATCGAGAGATACTGCGAGGTCCGTGTCAGTGACGATCCCGACGATCAGCCTAACGGTCCCATGTCGTGCCATGAATCGCGCTGTTGCTTGCTTTCCTCGACGAACAACAAACATACCGAGGACTGCATTTCATGCCGTGCAAAGCCGTCAGCATGCCGCGGACGGGCAGTTGCGAGCATTGCAGGGCCTGTGCAGAGAATGCGAGGCAGGATCAATTGGGCGAATGGAGGTGATGCTGGGGGGGAGATGGTGAAGATGGAACAGGAGGAAAAGCAGACGTTCGCTGCTGACATACCTCGCTCCTGGGACGCACAACAGGGCCTACTCGAGTGGAGTGGCTGTCTCTAGTGGTGACTGTTGGAGAGTGTAGGCGAGGGTGGCGTCTTCAAAAGCAGCGTTCGCGACGGCAGAGGCGCTGGATATCCGCCGCTCGCTTCTCCAACACGCGGCATGCACGTGGTGGCCAGATCCGTCCCAAACTCCGCACGGTTGAGAAAAAGGAAGCGACGATGGCAAGCTTCGACAGAGTCAGACTTCAAATATTTCCCTTCCCACCTCCCGCCACAATCATCATCAACGACATCACGACCCTCGAAAATCCGGCGAAGTTGAGCCTACGACGACGCAGTGAAGGGAAATTGCTCGCTCGTCATTCTAGGAGGTGGTGGCATTGGCGGGGCTGCGCATTCGTTGATGGCTGCTTCCCTGGCACGTAGGAAGGCAATCGCGGCTGTCCCGAGGCGGGCGATTCGGACATCTGCGAGATCTCCACCAACACCTTCTATGCAGGCGTTCCCCGGAATGGACGGTCCGTCTCCTGGGCTCTTGGTCTCTTGTCCTCGTGTCTGCCTCGTTGACGCCATTCCACCAATCGAGAGGAATTGTGTAACAGCCACTCGTTCACCCAGAGGGACTTTCGGCATGTGATTGTGTCGACATAGCAGAAATGGGAGACTTGCTGCGTCTTGGCTGTTGACCTGCTGTCTACGGTCTGTCTTTATTATTCCCCGAGCCCTTCTCTCATGCTATCGCTTCGTGGTCAAACCCTCCGCATAAAACCACTCTTCCCAGTGGGTTTTCGACGGAGCCCGCTGCACAATCCCCCATCTCTGCATCTCATCCTGCACGTCCATATTGATAGGGTCCCTCGTCGTGCTATGCCAATGCTCGAAATCGACAAGAGACCTACAAATCACGTCAGTTCTATCATGCATCACACCGGAATGTCTTACAGAGTCTGCGTCTCCGCCTCCCACAGAATATTCCTCAAAGCACAATCATAAGGATCAAATCCCAACCTCCAAACTTGTCTGTCGCAAAATCTATCAGCTTCACCATTCTCCTTCTCATCATGGTAAGTAAAAGGGCATACTTCAACGCCACCACAAAAGCCCTCCGAATCTCCGCCTTCCGTGGCTCCTCCATACTCCAAAACTTCAAATCCATCAGATCCCTCCCGGGCATCAAAGTCATGACGATATACGCAATGTATCCACCAGGCATCGGTCCATCGTCGCCTTGGACGACGGTTTTCGTTGCCACGAGGTGGGGTAGAGACGGCGATTTGGTATCGGCGAATGTTTTCAGAGCTCTCAGTTCGTCCTTGGTATGTTCGCTTGGTCCTGGTATGGGTGTTGTGAGGCCGCCGGCGAGGACGGATGGTGCTCTACGGACATCATAAGCCGAGAAAGACTGTGAAGCCATGAGTGAAAAAGAGGACGTACTGCACTTTGCACTTCAGCACGAATAAGTCATCTTTCCCGTCTTGTGGCCCTCCAGTCTGGCCTTCAGGTTGTATCCGTCGACAAATGTACAATATTCGTGCCTCTGCATCGTCCTTTCGAAAGTCTGTTATCGGCCTTACTCGCTCAAAAGCTGAGCCCAGATCCGGGAAGTCGACGATGGGATCCAGAAGCCGGTCTGCATCCTCGACTGTGAGGCCGTGGTTGGCCATGGCTCGTCAAGAATCTTGCATGTAACTGTTTTGAAGAGGTGTTGAGATCAAAGTCTTGCTTTGCTGGTTATTGGGTGTCACTTAGTCCGACTGCCGATCACGGAAAAGTGGAAGTTGGAAGCTCGAAGATGGTGGCTGGTAGAGCAGAGCTCTTTGGCTGCATCATTGCTTCCACATTCTATGAGAAGTAGGTAGACATTGTTTACAATCCTGCAGGCGTCTATTACTTTTCTCCCGTTCAAACTGTGTTGAGAGAATACTTTTCACCACCAGATCGACCGATCATGGCGACGAATGAGAGAAACATCAACTTCCCTCAAGACCGAGGTCGAGAAGACCCCATCTACAAGCCCGCGACAACTCCCAGCGAAAATGCAAAAAATTCTGCAGCATTCATCTTCGTCCACGGTCTCGCAGACAGTGCAGCAGCAATAGAAAGTCAGTTAGTTCCTCACCAATCCACTCCCATTCCCAAAAACCCTCAACAAACGATACCAAAGACCAATCACTAAAATCTTCCAGACGTCGGCGACCAATTCCAACAAGGAAACAAACTCCCCTGGCTGAGCTGGATCTTCCCCAACGCCAAACACAACCCCATAACAATGGACAAAGCCTGGTTCACGCCCAACAGCCTACCCTACCTCACACCCTCACGGCCTGAGCTCGTACCAGACGAAGACGAAGAAGGCATGCTGGAGACTGTCGCGTATCTCGAATCACTGATAGACACCGTCGTCGAATCCGGCACACCACCAAATCGCATCGTCCTCGGTGGTTTCAGTCAAGGCTGCGCGATGAGTTTACTTACCCATCTCACGTCCTCGAAGTATAGCGGGCAGCTGGCGGGGATCGTGGGGCTGTTGGGGTATCTGCCGCTGTCGGATCAGAAGCAGCGGATTCAGGAGATTCGTACTGAGAAGGGCCTGAAGTGGAATGAGGAGCGTAAGGTGCCGGTCTTTCTGGCGAGGGGCACGAAGGATGAGTTTATTCCGAGGAGAGCGTGGTTGTACACTGTTGATGCTTTGAAGGAGCTTGGCGTTGAGGAGAGTGTGACTGACGTCCAGATATATGAGGGCTTGACGCATACGTTGAATGGAGCCTTGCTGCGTGATCTTTGTGTGTGGTTGGAGAAGGTAGTGCCCGCAATAGAATGATGATGTATTGATGCCGGCGACGACAGTTCCCATCAATGGTGCGATTCGATCCCAGCCTTCCTTGTTCTACCTTTGAATCCTCAGATCGTCCCGTGCATGTGTTCCCGTCTATTGGGCGTCTTCCGCCTAACCATTGACATAGGCCACGGATGTGAGGCAAGTAGAATCCGGTCGGGCATTCATTGTTCTGCTCGGCTCTTGAAGACCACTGCCGGCCTTGTTTGACGAATTCTTCTCGCAGCTGAAATTGCCTCCACGTACAGTTAATCTCGTGTTTTGTACAGTCCTCATCAAGGTGTACACGTGAGGAGGTACTGGGTCGGTAGGTTGGTCATCGGCCAGAGCTTTAGAGTTTCAAGGGTCTGGATCTCAGGCTGGGAGCTCGGTCGTTCCTGCGTCGACAGCAACAAACAAGGCTTGGAATCTCTTGAAGCAAGATGCTTTCCCTCAAACCTCAAGCTTTCGTCCCAACACATGCGATCGAATGTTTTGTCACCTCATCGCACACGAGTTGTTTCCCGGTCGGCGCAAGTCGATCACACGAGCAGTCGCGTCTAGCGTCGGTCGGTACTGTACCCCAGACTGCGGGGCCGCTTGCCGCTAGAAGGCGTCGCAGGCCGGGGTGGTGTGATTGGGCGATGGGTGGCATGGGCATGGCATGTTGTCTCATCAGCTTCAACCACAGCTGTGAGGTCACGCGCGTCTCAGGGCGGGGTGAGGTGAGGTGAGGTGATCGGGTCTGACAAAGGAGACGCCGCGAGCTCGACTCTCTCTTCCCAAGCAAACAGCTCTCTTCCCTCCTCTCTCCTCTTTCATCCAACCAACCAACCATCCACCCAGTCTTGCCAGCCAGCCAGCCATTGTTCCTGACTACTGCAACCGAGTGCTTGCTTGCTTGCCCAGCCAATCCACGCCCGCATTCCACCCAGCTACAATGTCCGCCGAAGTACAAGAGCAGCCGTCGTTGACCAAGGTCGACTCTGCCGTCGATGACACCGTGCCCGCATCGCCTACCGAGAGCAAGGTGAAGCACCGGAGAACGAGCAGCACCGTGAGTGGTGTCTTCAACATCAATGACCTTGGTGAGACCGCATCGTCCAGCCTGATGAGAGAGCTCCAACCCCGCTGACACAGCCCCTCCAGAAAAGGAAGGAGTAGAACTCAAGATCGCTCCAGAGACCCAGAAGCTGAACTGGTGAGTCCATCTCCAAGCCTGGCATCCCCGTGATGATGAGAGTGATGCGATGTTGCTGTTATTGCCTCACCTCACTCGCTCCTGCCGTTTCCGAACATCGGACGCTGATCCGTAAGCAGGAAGCTGAACACATCGCCCACGTCAATTGACGACAAGGAGGTCCTCAAGAAGCTCCTGACAACACCCCCCATCAAGAAGATCGACCTCGCCTTCCCGCTAGGCCTTGAGGTCACCGCGCGGAACCTCAAAGGCGTCACCATCAAGGATGCCATGGATGCCATCCACAAGCAGTTCAAGAAGAAGGTGAGCATGACCCATCTATCGTTCTCAATGGAGGTTCAAAGCTGATTGTAATCCGTCCCGCAGGCCGATGATGAGCTAGAAAACCCCTACCTCGCTGGATTCGAGTGGGACCGAGAGGAATGCTACACCAAGTTCATCGTACACCAGAAAGCCACAGGAGAGGCACCAATCGGCGGCTCCAAGAAGAAGAAGGGCAAGAGCGAAGACGCCTAATCGCTATAATGAACACCGAAGAACAAGCCAGAAACCTTCTCGTTGCTGCCGTTCGTTTCAGCAAGTGAAGGATGGGCGGATCGTTGGAACCAAGAATTTTTCGGGGGAAATGGAAGAACACCGTTCCCCAATGGCGTCGAACACTTGTATCGGAGCAGCATCTGCTGGGGTGTACTGGTAGACGTTAGCGTTGTTGCTCTCGGATAGACGCTGATATGCAACTTGCACTCTCCTTGCGAAATTTCCACCTCGAGATCTCGATCCCGTGACCTGCTTCCCCTTTCAGCCCTCCAGAAACGGCAGTTGCTGAACAAAACAAGTAATTGCTCAAGTTTGCCACATCTGTATTAGGACCACCGGCCAACAGTATTAGCTCAACATGGCTCGTTCCTGAGGCTCTGCAGAGGAGAGAGAGATTGGTAGGAGGGAACATCTTAAAGCCGCTGAAACGCTGCAATAATAGAAACAACTCCGCTCTATCTCAACCTCTAGCAAAGAACACAAATGCTGTACACTCAAGACCAAATCAAGTTCCAGCAGAAAAGCCTCCTTTTCCCAATAAAGGAGGTAACAAAAAAAAGATGCACGCAGGCATGGGTATCGAAAGATCCATAAACCTTCAAATGCAAAAAAAAGTCGACTCCCCCCTTTGTTCCAACAGCACCGCCGCTCACCAGGTTGGAGGATGGTGGTGGTGGTGGTGGTGGTGGTGGTGGTGGTGGTGGTTGCTGGATCGAAAGGGCCAGCCGTAGAATACAATTCGCGCTTCATCGCATTTCCTTCCCACTCGAAGAACGCCACGCTGGTGGTACATTCATATGCGCTCTCTCTCCTTCTCCCTCCCCCTCTCTCTCTCCGGAAAGTCGTCTCGCTCGCTCGCTCGATGCGTCTGTTCTGTCTGTCTGGGTTTCGTCAAGTAGCTACTTGTATCGGCATTAAATGGTGGTGGTGGTGGTGGTGATTATGATTAGTGAGTGACGTTTTTCGATTCGCGAGCCTGCTGTAGTAGCTCTAAAGTCGTCTGATAGGCCGTCCGTGAAAGGATTCTGATCGTAGTCGGTAACTTCTTTCTGGGCCGATCCCTGCCCGGCGTCCTAGGATTTTGTTGGAGGTCGTATGTCATCTTTTCGTGCTTTGCTTGCTGCATCTCTACAGTTTCTGCTCCTGAACTGCAGGTGGCTCCTCGCTGGCTGGTGATTCTGCTTCTGATCTGTTCACTGCTGTATCTGAGCTTGCTGACGAGTCCATCTTCATCGCCTTCTCTGAGCTGGCCGCTGAATCCGTGAAAGGCTTCTCGGCAAGCCAGTGGTAGCTCGTGGTGATCAAGCGTGCCTTGTCTGCCTCGATGAACGAGTCGCAGTCTTTTGTGAGGCGGTCGAAAAGCGTCTTGAAGTGCGTGGGCAAAAGACCCACTCGAACCAGGCCAAGGAGAGCGCGCCGAGCCGTGCGGAAATAGTCGTCGGCTTTGATAATCAAGGGCCACTGGACTCCATCGATGCTCGCATTGTTAGATTCCAACACTCTGAACCCAGCCGCTTCCAACGACTTCGCCAGACTCTCCGGAGTCGGCGTACCAACGGCCCCAATCAACGGCTTGATCCTCTTCATCAACTTCTGATGATACGGGTCCTCCGGATCATACGCATCCAAACTCGCCCAATCCAGCAACGACAACTTGGCCCCCGGCTTCAACACGCGGAAAAGTTCCTGACACAGCTTCGTGTGATCCTTGGCAAGGCTGAAAGCCTGAATCTGGTAGAAGCCATCGAAGTGGTTATCCGGGAGCGGGAGTGGCAGATCGTTAAAGTCGGCGCGGATGAATTCGTTGGAGAGCTTCTTTTCCTTGTTGAAGGCCTTGGCGCTGGCGATTTGGTCGGCGTCGATGTTGAGGCCGGTGACTTGTGCGCCTGTCACTTTGGAGATGTGCGCCGCCACTCGGCCACGGCCGCATCCCAAATCGAGCACTTTGGCGTTGGGAGGGAGTTGGATTTCCTTGGCGATTTGTTCCTCGTACAGGATTTGGTTCATGGTGAGTCCTTCGTCCAAATCCATTGCTGGCGGGATGTACATTTTCTCCAGCTCGCCAATTGCGCACAGATGATTCAGCACGCTGTAATAATCCGCCAGACACTGGCCGACCTTTTTCTGGTAATCCGGCCCCAGCGTTTCGATCATCATCTTCTCGTCCGCCCAGTCGAGGTCGTAGATGATGTACGAGTTCATGAACGAGTCCACTTGCTCGGGCGTCAGTCCTCTCAACACGCGAAACGATCGCACGGCCGTTTCCAGGCGCCGCAATCGTTTGTTGCGAGTGCCTCGTGACTTTTTGCTCAAGTCCAGCTTGGGCGAGGCGATCGTAGGCTCCTGCGGTGTAGCCATATCTGCCAACATGGTTGTGATTGTTGCTGCGAGGTAGCGACTGGTGAGGCGCGAGCCAGCAGTTCAACAAACAACAAAACCCTAGTCAGTGGCCCTGCGGGTTTCAGGCAGGAGATGATGAGTGACAGGCAGCTGTGCCGAGAGAAAGCGACTTCTGCAGCGTTGCAGGTGACCTCTGTCGTCAGGCGAAAGAGGTGGTGTACAGGACAAGGCTTTTGTTGAAAGTTGGCAGCAGGGGTTTGGAAAACCGTCTTACAGCAGCGAACAGGTTATGAAAGAGTAGAAAGACGCGACTTTGGATTTCTCGCGGTCGAACACAGTCATCAGGTTTCAGCCACGGGACCTTCAGCAATCCGCGAAGCCGGCGCGAGATTAATCGGCCAATCCAACGGATGACAAACCTTGCAACCCAGGACGGGGCAGACCCCGTCACGTGTGGGTTGAAAAGGGCAGCAGACAGATGATTCAACCCTCTGAACAGCCAGTGGTTCTAGCACGCAGGGAGGGCGGGCTGAATTTAGCGCCGCAAAGTAGTCGGTGAGGTAAGAAGTGAAGCATAAAACAAGCCTTTTTCGGCTCGCGCCCAGCACGTGTTGGAGAGCTCGGAATTCCGCCAGAAACATGATGAATGAAGCGGGAAATCGATCCGGCTGTGCTGTCCGCCTTGTGCGCGGATACCAGCACAACGTAGCCGTGTTGTTGTTGACCACGCCCGGAGCTCGAGTCTCGTCGCCAGAAAGTCGTACGAGAGAGGAACGGCCCCGCCGTAGTAGAATGGTGGCCCTGAGGAAGCTGTTGGCTGGCTGGGATCAGCAGATGCATCCGCTTCCGCCCTTTCGGCATACGGTGCCATGGCCGTTGTCATTTCCAGCAAACGGCCATCCAGCACATCGTAAAATCTCGGGCGCTTCCTAACACCGAAAGCCGGAAGGGGTAGTAGGCCAGCCAGCAGAAAAGGCGAGGCAGCCCAGCGCCGGCGGGTGTAGCGGTCCTCGCAACACAGTCACCTTCCCATCCATGGGGTGAGGTCCGCCGCGACCTGGCAGGAAGCGCGACTGCTGCAGTGCTGCTGATGCGTGACGTCGACCGAGCCCATCCAAGTTCCAACCCTGCGGGCGTCTAGCAAAGCGGCTTACCACAGCAGCAGCAGCGACCTTCCTACCGCGGCCACTCCTTCGTGACCCGATCCCTCTCTGTCTCTACCACATACCGCTAGCGGATGGCTTGACGAAGCTAGACGAGCGAGCGAGACGAAGAGGGAGACGTGCGCTGACGCGATTCGGCGCTGAGGGGAGGATCCGTCGTGCATGCATGCACACCTCTCTCACCACCCTGCTGCTGCTGTCATCTTCAGCCTCATCATCCGTGCTGCGCGGGAGATGATGATGACGATGATGCGAGGAGCCTGTCAGACCGGCTGAGGGCTGCAGGGTTTTGGCCACGGCGGATATCTTGCGGCAATCGTCCAGGAAGAGGGACCCACAAAAAAACAGAACGACGACATTGTGTGAGAATGCCGACTGAAAGTGCCCTGTGGTGAACAGGAAGATCTCTTTGCAGAGGTGAAGATAGCGAGGTGAAAAAATCGACAGACTACCAAGCCCTTGCTGTCGGCCTCCGCGGGATCGCAAGCGTGCCGCTGACCAGGCAGGAATAGGCTAACATGCCGGCACGACGACAACCAATTTTTATCGTGAAGGATTGCAGTCGAATACCCGAGTCTGCCATACGCGAACCACGGAGTTCAGGATTGTTATGTCAGTCTTGGATGTCGTTCGGCTCGGCGTTGCTGACTACATGCACGAGCCGATGACAATGTGCGAATTCGGTACGCTATACGATACGCGTATCCTCACTCAAAAACACCAGCGATGGACACTTCAATACGAGCAATGTTGGTCTAAATCAAAAGGGTATCATTCTCGCAAACTACAACAAGCTCTCATACTTGTCAAGACCGGACTTCTGCGAGCCGGACATACCACTCTGCTGCTGTTGCTGGGCCGGCGCGGCTGCTGGCGGCTGTAAGCTTGGGAAGTTATAACTCGACTGCCCTATCCCTTGAGGGCTTGTAGGTGGCGGTGGTATGCCAAACGATCCTGTCGACCTAGGCGCGCCTCCGATGCCATTTATATTAGACTGCTGAGTCGACCGTGACGTTGGACTCTTAGCGGCTGCGGACCAGTCAATGCTGGAACCGCTCGAGGCGTTCGACTGCTGCGCTGGCCGCATTGGCATGGTCGAGGTTGATGAGCTGGTAGAGCGGCCGGGTTGCAAAGGCTGGGAGAACTGGCTGTTTGGCGTCAGAGCAGTGAATGCTGCAAGATCAGGTGTGATTGATCGTTGTGTGGACGATTGCTGCCGAATAGAAGACATCGCTGGCTGAGGCGTTCTTGTGCCGGACGCTGGTGTCTGCCACGAAAAGGTAGGAGTGTCGTTGAGTTTGGACGAGGACGAACTTCGAGGGTTCGCAGGGACCGCGGCCGGCGCTCCCCAGTCGTTCATGAGGTCGTTGTTGTCTGCCTGTTTGCGTCCAGAAACGAGGGTCTCGAAATCCGCATCGTCACCATTGCTCAATTCGTTGCTCGATCCAGATACGCCAATGGCATTACGACTACCTGCGTTGACTCTGCCAACACCCGCTGTGCCGTTGCTGGACGATAGCTCCTGTAGTTTTCTCGTGTGCTCCCGCTCAATCTTCCCACCCATGCTCTTGATCAAGCTCATGAAAGCTTGGAATTGCTGCAGATTGAGCAACGGCCCCAGACTCATGCTCCAGAGGATCGGTAGAACCTCCATAGCCAAGAAGTCGGAGTCAGCCACCTCGCCGACTTGTCGAAAAACTCGCAGTGCCGCCATCATCACGCCGGGCTCCTTTGTCTTTATCCCCTTCATTAATGGGACAACTTTCTCCTGCACAGTATACTTGTCCAAAATGACGCTACTTGATGAGTTTTTCTTCTTGTCAGGCACACCAATGCCATTCAGATCATCGTCGTTCGAGCTGTCTCCAGAGGGTGTACCGCCACATAACGTGTAGAACGCCTCCAGACCTCGAATCTTGATGGCCAGACTGCTCGTCTTGGCGAAAACATTCGCAATGACAGGGAACAGCTCATTCTTCGCTGTGGAAAAGTCCAACACAGTCAACACGAATGGCAGTGTACTGAGGGCCGCATCGACCAGAGCGTGAGTAGGAGACTCAATGGCAACCAGGATTATCGGCAGGATGTCATCCCTGAACTCCTTGCCAGAGCAGTTGGCCGCAACAGTCTCCATGTTTTCCAGAAGGATCATCAACCCAGCCTCCTTGGAGGTATCTTTTTCTGCTGATCTATTCGTGATGAAGATCTCCCTGAGTTTTGGCACCACACGCTCTGTGAATGCACGTTTGCCAGTGGGCATTGCTTTCACCATAGCGAACACATTGGTCATGATCGGTGCAAGCAGATCCTTATCCTTCATCTCCTCAAGCAATGCCGGCAACACCTTCTTTTCGAGAACGCTCTTGGGGAACTGGGGCATGATCTTCGGCAATCCTCGCATGAATTGGGTCTTTTCGTTTGGAGTCTTGCCCGGCAACGCATCTAGAAATCGAATCGTAGACACCAAGATGTTATCGAAGTAGCTGGCCTCTTGAAACTCCCTCGCTGACATTCGTTGGGCTGGTCGTCTCGTTATGAGCCGTGGCAGGAGCTCTGATGCGAGCTTCGGCGGCAGCGGATGAGATGATGGTACAAGGAAGTTGTTGTTCTGGGTCGGTACCGTAGAAGAGCTGGAGAAGACCCTCTTGTATGAAGAAGGTGACCCTCCAACACTTATTGGCGAAGTATGAGGATGGTTATACAGTGCGACAATCAAAAGTCCCAGGCTGAAGAGATCTGCCGACGCCGTCAGACTATTGTCCAACACAAAATCCGGGCTGGTGAAGTCCAGATTCAATTGCACAAGCCGGGGCAGTCGTGGATCATGATTGAGCACTTCGTGCAGACTTATAGGTGGTAGGGATGTCGCCGCCGTACTGCTCTCGTGAGGGCCACAAAATGCCAGTCCAGATATCTTCCAGTCTCCCTTGTGGTTCACCAGCACAGCCTCAGGCGTCAGATTCGCATGGACCAGACCTGCACTCTCGTGCAAGAACTCCAGTCCTTTGCCCAGCTGCAATAGCCCTTTCTGTATCTCCAACTCATCAATCTCTAATTCCCTCCTCTTGCGTGTGCCGTCTGACTCTTCCACGACATATCTGCTCGCCCGGCCACCTGTCCGCTCTTGCTCATCTTTCTCCTGTAGCAACGCCGCCAGACTACACGTCACAGGCTCCGTCGCGAACATCAAACCCCCATTCCTTGTCTCTTCCACCGGCTCAGCCAGCTCCAAGATGGAAGGATGTCGCAATCGAGCAAGACTACTCGCTTCCCTCTTCAACCGCTCCAGAACCTCTTCATGAGCGCGTTTCAGCGAGCTCGCACTGCTCCTCCCACCCAACCCACCACTCGGAGCTTCCAAGCTCTTTTTCTCAAACACGAACACCGAAGCCGCCTTGCCCGTCTGCTTTCGCTTCGCATCGAATATCTTCCATGGTCCTGCTGTGCTGCTCGGTTGCGGCGCGATGGAGTAGTTGCTCGAGATGTTGGATTGGAACGATTTGAGAGCGTTGGAAAACATGGTGGCAGAAGTCCCAGGACGCTGGCTATCTTTCGTGCTTCGTGATCATGTCGTACAGTAGGCAGCCGTCATCTAGGATTTCCTGGTCCAGCCGAAAGGTCAGCAGATCAATGGCAGGAGGTATCCCGCAACAATCACAAGGCCAGATACGCTATGCAGTAAAGAAAGGTTAGAAGACAGAAAAGTTGACTGTGTGAGGTGGTTGAGATGGATTCACTTAAGGTCCCTTCCTTTGGAGACATTCCCCGCTTAGCGTCTTGGCTCTGACAGGGGTCGATAAATATCACATGCCGTCTCCAGGGAGATGGTAAATGCTGTGGTCTATGTACTCGTGGAGTGGTACTCGTGGAGTGGTACTCGTGGAGTGGTATCTAGTAAGGAACAAATCACAAAGAGCATTAGTTACAAGCGGTTCTCCAAGTTTGTCCACCAAGCCATAGCTGGTCATCATTTTCGTCAAGCACTCCAAAGCGCCGTTGTAGTCGAGTCGTGACTACACATCATGTCGCAAAGTCGGTCTAAGCAGGCGGGATATCTTAGGAACGGAAGTGCTCCAACAATGTGGTACCGCTTCAACGAAATGGCACCATCATGTGTAAAAATCTTGCCATACACCACCAGCGGCCGGCGATATCTCAGTCAGCTCCAACTGAGCGTTGTTGCCAGGCAAGTTTTTCGTATCCGGCCACCACTCCTCTTCGGTACCTGGCTCTTGTTGAGGAGCTTGTCCTTGTTGCTGGCCTTGTGCGGGCTGCTGTTGCTGATGCATGCCGAACCTCGGCGATAGACTTCGTGGCGCTTCTCGCGCGCCATCGGCACCGAACTTCGGTGCAATCGTTCGAAGTGGCATGTAATTATGCGGAGGGACGTCGCCGGCGAGTTGTGGTATGGCGCGAAAGAAGTCCATTTCCATACGCCAGTTTGCGATGTCAACGATTGCCGTCTCGAAGCTCGATGCAAACTGATACAGTGCTGTTTCCGGCTTGTATGACACTATGCCGACGGGTTCGGATTGCCAAGTGAAGCAGATGTTTTTGATGTAGTAGGACCAGAATCGGTTCGTCATGCGGTCTTGCTCGGATGTGATCATGCGTTCGCGTAGTCGAGGCCAGGCGAGGTGGTCTATGACGGGGTCGTGGAAGAACACTTTCTCGGAGAATCTGAGGCAGATTAGCAGACGTATTCAGTGGATGGGAGTTCTACTTACTGTGGCCTGAACCAGGGCGGCGGTGGGCCAGCCGTCGGCAGATTCGCATTAACTTCGAAGAGGTACCTCTTGTGGAGCATCCTCATCATTCCTATCCGTTCCATAACGTTGCAGTCTTTGAACAGATACATGTCGACAAGCCGCAGGACCTCCCACAATGGGCACTTTTGGCTATATCTTGATAGCGTGTAGTCCCAGCCCTTGAAGACTGCCGACGCGACCAGGTCCTGATTGTACTCATCGTCGAAGCAGATCACTGTTGGTGATAGATGGCGTATGTAGTTCACCAGGTTGTTGAGGAAGCACGTCAAGTGTCTACCCTCTGGCCTGGACTTTGTCGTCGTGTTCAGATCCGTATAGTCAGGTGGTGTGACGTCTTGACCTTCCGCGCCCGAGTCGACAGCCATGGTGTTGTCGTCAGTCGTTGAGGCCTCATACACAGTTCCATGCGCATTGTTTGGACCACGCTGACCAGTCGCGGTCCCGTTCCAGTCTATGAGCTTTCCAGGGCCATTCGACGACACACCGTGAATGTCGGCGCTCTCGCCAATGACGCCAGAAACTCCATACGGGATGTTTCCCACGCCAGAGCCCAAATCACCGGCGGCGATGCTGTTCTCAGACGGTGATGTCTTCTCGAGTTCCAAGACGCGTGCTTCGAGTTGGGACAACCTGTCCTGGACATCTTTCTTCAGGAAGCGATTGGCCTTGCGGTCTGCCTCCTGCTTCCTCGCACGCTGCTCAGGTGTGAGGATGCGCCCAGACGCCCATGCCTTTTCTACGCCGCCGCCGCTCGCACGCCGATTGCCGGCAGTTGAGCGACCGCTCATTTTCGTTTTGCCTTGTTAATCACACAACAGCTTTCCACGGTTCCTGATCCTGCAGGGGAGATCCCAACAGGCCGCTGGCCGGCGCAGAGAGCTGTCGTTTTGGGAGGGTTCCTTTGAAGCTGAGACCTGGCTGCGACGATGCAAGCTTTGTTATTGCGTATGCGCAGACCCAGCTGATATTGGAGCAATCGATGACCTGTCACGATCATCGCCTCCATGTCTGCCCTTCCCCGCAGGCTTCTCGCCGCGGAAACATTGTGGGCGATGATCTCCATGGGGTGTCGATCAGCGTTATTCTAGGCTTAAAGCGAAGCTTAATGAGGCCGATGGTTTGACTGAGCACTGCTGCACGTGGAAAACAAATCCACTTTGTGAACAGAGCAGCACAGTTCGGGGTTCACTGGCAGGGTGGACACCCGGAGGTCTGATGTTGGAGTATATCGAGCCGACGGCATCACAGCAGGTCGTTGAGGTGAAGGTGACGTCTTGACCGACGCCAAGGCACTTCGTATTGAAGTACGAAGCTTGCTATGATATACACTCTATCGCGCTCAATATACAAGACCCCATCGCTGCAAGGGCAATTCGAAACAACTACCGAGACCTTAGAAGGGTCATCATGCTTTTACACTGTAGCGAAGTTAGCACGTTCATGCGTTGTGGCTCAACAAGATTACTGCTTACCTCCATGGGTGCTCTTCGTCACCGTATTGAATGCCGTCGAGCCAGTCCTTCATTTGCAGAGCAATTGGTCCTACTTCTTCGTTGTCTGGTAGACCACAGTTCACGAGCTTGCCCTGGTATGAGATCACTCTCACCGGCGAGACGGTGGCAGCGGTGCCTGATCCGAACACCTCCAGCATCCGACCTTCATTCGCAGCTTCAACCAGCTCGCGCATGGGGAACCTCCGCTCAGAGATCTTCCATCCTTGCGGCACTAACCTCTCCCGCGCAAGAGTGAGGACAGAGTCTCTCACAACACCTTCGAGGATAGTGCCGTCTAGAGGAGCAGTCATGAGCTCCTTCTGACCGTCCTTGTTGACAATGGCGGCGAACAAGTTCATGGTGCCAACTTCAGTGACAAAGTCTTCTTCCTTGCCAGTCTCGGGGTCGATATCTTTGAACAGCCATAGATTCTGATGGAAACCCCGCGTCGCTGCCTGCATCTGAGGTACGATGCAAGGTGCGTAGTTTGCACCCAACTTGCTAGCACCGACACCACCAGGCCATGCGCGAACAGCGTAGTCAGTTGCCTCAAGTGAGACAGCCTTGAAGCCAGTTGGGTAGTATGGTCCTACAGGAGACGCAATGACATACAGCATGGCGCTGCCTGGCGGTCCAACGCCCAATGTCCGCTGAGTTCCAATGATATTGGGTCTGATATACAGACTGTATCCACGCTGCGAGGGAATGAACCTCTCTTCGAGCTTGATGAACTTCTTCAACAATTCAATGACTGCTTCCCCATCGAACGTGGGCAACGCTATCCGTGCCGCACTCTTGTTCATGCGCGCCATGTTCTTATCGGGCCTGAAGAGTCTGACATCCCCATTCCGATCTTTATATGCCTTCATGCCCTCGAACGCTTCGAATGCGTAGTGGAGAACGCAGGTCGCGGGATCGAGTGACAGGTTTTGATAGGGTGTTATCCGCGGCGGTAGCCATCCATCTGTTGCTGTCCATTCCAAGGACATCATGTGGTCGGTGAATGATCGCCCAAAGATGAGCTCTTCGCTGGGGGTGATGGGCTTCGGGGAGGTGGTCTTGGTGATGCTGAGGGCCGACGCATCGACGGCTCTGAGTCGTGGATCTGCCGCATCTGGAGCCTGCAGGCTATACTGCCGCCGTTGATTTTGTGATGCGCTCCATCTTGATGTGAACAGCAAGCTCCCGCCAGCTCTTCTCGCGCTCCGTGGGATCAAAGTCCGCAATGAGGATGCCATGGTGATTTGTTGAGAGTGTAAGACAAGTCCAGCCCCTCTTGCGCCGACCCGTCTGCCTTTATATCTCCTGTGGAGCTTCCAATGGCTCACACCCGGGCGATAATATAAGAGTCAACAATTCGTGGAAGGGCGTGCATGGTGTATGACTGGGATGCTGCGAGACCGGCGGCCAAGGACGCCGATCCGGCAAGCTCTTGGGCACACAGCACACAACACTCTTCGACTTCACCAAACAATGAAGAAATATTCATCTCAGCGAATATCTGAAAAGGACGTGTTAAGTGGAAAGCGGCTCTCGAATCATTTCAACATTTGTATCTGCCGAAAGAACGAAGACAAATTAAGAGTACACGCATATTTTCACACGGCCCCTATCCTGCAACAATGGTGGCCAGCACCCTTTCTAGACACTTTTCACATCAAGATGAACAATCTAGAGACCGACAGCCTGCACAATGAATTGAGCCGCTGCATCAGCATCTGCGGTGTAGCTCAAATGAGAGCCCGACCCAGTAGTACCGCCAGCACTGCAGAGGAAATCTCCAGATCCACAGAACTCCTTGGTCTTAGCAGCATCTACACCCTCGAATTCTTGACCGTTGAGGGGGTCACCAAAAGCAACGACTGCCGCAACCTTGCTTCCATCCAGGCCTTGAGATGACAGGGCGTTGTGGACGACCATGGCTCCCTGTGAGTAGCCCGATAGGACAACCTTGCTGTCCGGGCAGGAGCTGAAGACTTCCTGTGCTTGGGATGCCATGGCCTAGAGAGCGTAAGCTAATGGAAGTGTTTTAAATGTTGCACGGGAAAACTCACGGGGCCACCTGATGCGCCCATATTGGCGTTACCACCAGCATCAGCAGGGTAATCAACTCCTTGCGACTAGACCAAGCATGACGATTAGCATCACTCCATGATTTGTAGTCAGACTCTACTCACGCTGACTTTGTCCGCGCCGAGAGCGCTTTCAAGGGCGCTGGCGAGAGGTGGGCCGATCACACTGCCCATTGTACCCATCTCGCCAGTGCCACGGGCGAAGATGAGAGTCAGAGCTAGAACGCTGTAAGCAATGGCTGCGTTTGGGACACCACAATCCTGCTTACCTTTGCAGCCTCCATCAGCAGCGGACGATGAGTCTGCAAACACGTTAGTTCTGGTCGGAATGTCACGAACATACGCCGTACCTGTAGAGCCAGTGCTGCCAGTACTGCCGGTCAGTCCACCAAGACCAGAGAGTCCGCTGGCAGAGCTACCGAATCCGCTGAAGCTGCCCAGGTCCTGACGCTCCTTCAAAGTCGTGGATGGTGTGAGACTGCTGCCGGAACTGAGCCCACCGAGAGAGCTCAAGTCACCGCCAGAGCTGCTGGAACTGCCAGACCCCAGACCACCAAGTCCGCTAGAACCAGAACCAAGGCCTGGGATGCTGCCAGAGCTCGATGAACCGCCGAGCCCGGGAATACTTCCAGAGCCTGATGATCCGCCGAGACTTGGGATACTGCCAGAGCCTGATGAGCCACCAAGACTGGGAATACTGCCGCTGCCAGAGCTTGAACCGCCGAGACCTGGGATGCTACCAGACCCGGAACCGAGTCCTCCACTGCCGCTGGGGAGACCAGTCGTCAATGCACCGAGACTCTGGCGCTTCTTCAGTGTTTTGGACGGGATGTCCAATCCGGAACCAGAGCCGCCGAGACCAGACAGGTCACCTGTAGAGCTTCCCAGACCGCCTGAGGAACCGAGACCTGGGATGCTGCCAGAGGATCCTCCAAGACCTCCAGTAGATCCACCGAGTCCTCCAGACGATCCTCCAAGACCTCCCAGCCCTCCTCCTGACGATCCCCCGAGTCCACCTAGTCCACCAGAAGAGCCGCCAGCTCCGCCAGTCGGCAGCGCAACACCGCTGAGAGAGGGCAAGGAAATGCCAGAGATCGAGGGCAGCGACCCGCTACCGCCGCCAAGTTGACGCTTTTGGTTATCGACAGGCGCCGCGAGAGCAGAAGCCGCGAGCGAAAGCAAGAGGTTCTGAGTAGTGACCTTCATGATTGTTGCTGAGAAGCGAGCAATGCAGAATGCTTGATCTTTAACGAAAGACAGGATGGCCGATCAACAGCACTAGAAAACGAGGGACTGTGCAAAGAAGAAACGAAAGAACGATGCGACTGCTGCAGATGAGAGGGGATATTCTCAGGGCATCTCGTCGCTTTATAGCACCTCCAACGCCGTCATCGATTGACTCCCCATCGCCAAGGCATCCTCTCTCTCCAGACGTTCCATACGGACATCACAGACCAGCTGGAGCAGCAAAATGGAGAGGTCATTGTTTCAGCCGAACGTCTGACCCAGAGATTTCCGGTGTAATGGTTGGCAGCAACAACTTCGGTCCTCGGCATGCGGACTCTGAGGCGTAGCGTCCATTGAAGATGTCTGGCCCAATGCGATTTCCTGTTACGGATCCAAGTCTCCGCCACGAGGCTGAGATGATCGTTTCGAGACCAATATGGTGAACACGATAGATTAGCTGATCGGGCAGGTGCACCCTTTTGGGTAATAGTAGTCCACGAAAGTCATACATCTACCCAGAACGGCTCAAAAGTGAGGCGCTCTTCAACCCATGCTTCGACAGTTCCATCGACGTGCATATCACCTAGTCTCGGGGAATCGATGTGCGGATCATGATGTTCATTTTCCAATCTTCAGCAGATTGATGAGCGAAAGGATGTCGTCCTGGTTTGTGGTACAAGCACGGACGCAAGATTCTGATCTGTCTGAAACACGGTTTCCCCAAAACCTCGGGAGACGACTTTTGATGTCGGAGACTGATACGACGGTCGGTTCGAAGTAGTCGCTGGACTACTTGTGTATTCACAGTGCGTCGTGACGAAGTCTAACGCGATACGTTGATGAAACGGGATGCTTTTCGGAGATGGCTGAATGAGTGATCAGTCGTAGATGAGCGCTGAGAAAGTGCTTCCATTGCGTGAAACTAATCGGGTGAGCTCAGACTTGGAAGCTCGCTCGCAGCAGAATGACCGAGAACTTCACCTTCCTAGGCACCGTCTTCACGTGCCTCCATCTGCTTCGAGGCATCGCCCAGGTTTCCCGTGATGTACTCCGTCGGTTGCCTACTAAGAGACTGCCGTCGTCTCAATTACTTGTAGCACGGCAGGCCTTTCTTCACGTGCTCGTGGTAGTCGCAGCCCGTGACCCTATCATAAGGTGGGACGTTCTGACGGTCTTGATGCGTCGAGTTGAGCAGCTTTCCCGCCAAGTGCAGCAGGAACTCGCCATGTTTCGCAGGATCCACCATCTCTCTCAAGTCTCTATGATTCCACTCGAAGAAGGCGATGTCCACCCAAAGTCGACTGAGGGCATTCGGCGTGGATGTGAACGAGTAGATAGGCTCGTGCAGCTCATCAGGCGTCGCGGGTAGTCGGAATATTTCCTCCTGAAGCGCATCCATCACAGCGTCTTGGAAAGCAGTGCAGAGCATCTTTTCGCCCAGAGCCCAGCAGCGGACCATGAGTTCCGCATAGCTAGTATCGGCATATTCGAAGCCATAATCCGCCCGCTTGCGAATGTCTCCTCGGTAGATGAAGCGTAGGAAGAGCTCGAAGCTCCCGGGAGTTTGGTCTGGGAGTCTGACAATGTGTTCCTTAGACTCAGTCCAAAGGCCGCGAAGTGCCGCGGCGAAGAAATCGGAGTTCTTGGCCAGTATCTTCTCGTGGGCGTAGAAAGCCCTCAGTTCATCTTCGGAGTCGGCACCAACGACGATGGTGACTTGCTGTGATGTGAAGCTGGAAGCCGCACTGTCAGCTAACGTGATGCATGCACGATGGAAGAGGGTGACATACTCGAAGTCTTCTGGGAGATCCGTGTACGCCCTCTTGTGAGGCCGGAGCCGACGGTCTTTGTCTTCAGCATCCATGTTGTGCCGCGGCTGTGTCGTTGGAGTTGCCAAATATTGAAGCTGGAGATGGATGGAAGTGCTCCTTTGCGGTTGCCGTGCCGACACGCCGTTTGTCACATGCAGGCGGGGTAGTCGCGATGAACACATTGCACAGACCTCAGAATAGCAGCAGACTTTTCTTTTCTCCTCTTTGATAATCTAGTTTTTCTCTCCGAACTTCAGGTGGCATAACTGAATGAACTCTTCCATACCCTCCGCCAGGTCAGACTTGCCACTGCTCCTCATGGCATGGATGATGTCTTGAGCCTGCTTGTTTCCCTTTTCCTGAGTCCAAGCACCGTGCAATCCGTTGTCTGACGATGGAGTATCTGGAATGTATCGTCCGCCTGAGAATGAAGTTAGGTTCAAATAGCACATTTTGAACTGCATTGCAATGTGACGAGTCTGTCCACATACCACGCCCTCGAATGCGGCCTCGTCCTCGTCCACGATCGCGAAAGCCTCCTCGATTTGACTCGCTCTGCTCATCGTGGCCATCTTTGAACCAGTTCTTGCGGGCCCACGAGGAGGTTTCGTTCGGCCCAGGTTCCAAAGTGACGCCGTACACCAGCTGTAGCTGATTCTTCAGATTGGGAAATCTCGTAAGGAGATGCTGAAAGTCCGTATCATTTTCGAATCCAGAAAAGTCTACTTTGTCGAGCTTTTGTCGTTTTGGTCGATCAGTTGCGGTCTCCTGTGGCTTTTCAGCGGTCGAGATCCCGTTTTCAGAAGCTTGGTTGATATGGACGGATTTATGCGATTTGTAGCATGGTATAGAGCAGCTGTACACAAACAGTCAGCATCATATTCTGATGGTATGCAAAAAAGACCTACTATCTCAGTTCGCAGATGGGACATTTGTATTTGGAGTCTTGAAGATGGCATACGCCACACTTCGGTGCCATTGTTGCGAGACCATTTCTTTCGGGTCTGAAATCTGTCTCGAAAGGTCAGCGTAGATGTCGGGCTCTATAGCTGTATCTGTTGAAGGCTCAGAAGATGTCGCGTGGCAGAGAATGCGGACCACGAGAACGAGCAGGAGCCATGTGAAGTGCAGAGCCGTTGCCAAGACGCGGAGCCATCTCCGCGCGCATGTGCTTCGAGGTTCAGACGAGAGCGTCTTGTGACTTGTTCTGCATCACTCCAATCCTCACTAACCATGTCGCCGCCACGATTTCGAAGCTTGCTGGAACTAGCCGCCAGACGACAGCAATGGACGTGCTCAGGGTGCATGCGAAATGGCCAACCGCGATCCTGGAGCAAGCCATCAAGGCGAGGTATTCAAACATCTCCAAAGTCCAGCCAAGGAGCGGCCCCCAGTATGGAGCAGATGAGGAAACCATTTGAGAACAAGAACAGGAATACGCTGTACGTAGGATCCCTTTCTGGTCGATCGCGATCGATGGTAAGAGGCTTTGAGCGACTTCGACTAACCACTTCGTAGCTACTACGCTCTCTCCATCATTCTTGGAACAGTCGCCTTGAGCTATGGCAGTGTACCACTCTACAAGACTATCTGCCAACAGACTGGTTGGGGAGGGCAACCCATCAAATCCGCAGCACACTCAACTCCCGAAGGCGAAGACGCTGTAGCCGAGAAACTGACGCCCGTCACGACATCGAGACGACTACGAATCACGTTCGCTGGCTCGACGTCAGACATCCTGCCTTGGAAATTCACACCGCAGCAAAGAGAAGTGAGGGTATTGCCGGGAGAGACAGCATTGGCATTCTACACAGCAACCAACCAGAGCAAAGATGAGGACATCATTGGGGTTGCAACATACAGCGTGACACCTGCGCAAGTGGCGCCATATTTCAGCAAGATTCAGTGTTTCTGTTTCGAGGAACAGAGATTGAACAAGGGGGAGACTGTGGACATGCCCGTGTTCTTCTACATCGACCCGGACTTTCTCAAGGACCCCAACATGAGGGGCATTGATACCATTACTTTGAACTACACATTCTTCAGTACATGCTGACCCGGATCTGACGACCCTGGCTTATCGTAAGTTTGCTGACTATTTCTGCAGAGGCAAGATATGACAAAGATGGACACCTTGCGCCAATGCCGATGCCTTACTGAGATTCGACACACCTCACACAAAAGAGCCGTTTCTTGAACACTGTACGATATCGACGAGGAAGAACCCGCAACTGCTAGAGAGCTCAATAGCATCTCATCTCGACTCAAGCGATGCCTGAAGAAGAAGCCAGCCCTTTGTCACACTCAACAGTCTAAATTGAAGTTCCGAAACATCGTTCAACCACTTCTAATCATGATAGGTAGACTCGATGGGCGCGACAATCAGCGGCTTGATTGGCAGTTGGTGCAGCCGTACCTGCATACCTTGCAACCTACTTCCAGCTACCCCTCTCCGGAGTCCGAATCGACCGCGAGGAAACTAAACCGCCGACACCGCCTATTCAATGTTTTGGCTTACTTGGTAGACCCCTCCTTCATCTTCTCCCAACACAACTCTAAAGAAGACGACGAAATGGCCGCAAACGACCGCAAGCCCACCAACAACCAGCTTTCTCTCGACTTGCCTGGTCCAACCGCATACTGGACCGGCCACAATGACAGCAGTGGGAAGGCCATCGTCCACTCGAAGCACCCAGTCGATTGGGTGAAGTACGATGATGACAGGCTTGCTATGGCCGTTGCCTATACGACTTCTTTCCCGGCGGATCTCAACAAAGATGCGGACGTTGCAAAGCACGAGGAGAAGGTCAAGAGCGGAAAGCTTGGTCTGGTCTCCGGTGGTGGAACCGTCCTCCGATACGTCGACTTCGCGCCTGGCTATGAGTGCATGATGCACCGCACGCAGTCGGTGGACTACGGCATTGTGTTGGAAGGTCAAGTCGAGTCCATCCTGGACTCAGGAGAAGTACAGCTCATGGGTAGAGGTGATGTGATGGTCCAGAGAGCCACCATGCACGCGTGGAGGAACCCCAGCAAGACGGAATGGTGCCGTATGATCTTCTGTTTGCAGGACTGCCAGCCGCTGTTTGTTGCCGGCCAGAGATTTGGAGAGGACTTGGGCAGAGGCACTGAGGGTGTGCCACCATCTGGCAATGACTAAAGAGATGCTATTCCCGTTCGCGAGAAAAACGAGTGTGATTAGAGAAAGACGATTTCTACAATAGTCAACTACCATCGGCGACAGTACGCCCAGCCTCAAGGCAATTGTCCTCCTCTCTACTCAATCTCCACCTCCGTGCAACACATCAACGGGTTATCCCTCAAAACCCCCTGCTTAAACTTCCGATCAACCTCCACATACGCCTCATCATCCGCCATCTTCCCAAAATGCCACACACTAGGATAATAAATCAACGCCGTATCCTCCCAACCCCCTTCCTCCTTCCCCTCCTCCTCCTTCCGACTACTCCAATCATGCACCCCAAACCCCAGCACCACTGGCTCCCCGCCGTACTTGATCCCTACGGATTCCTGGAACGCCGCGACGTACTGCAAGTAGCGGGGACGTTGCTCGGGGAGGTAGCTGAGGAGGTTGAACATGGCGATGGGGCCTGGGTGGGAGGTGCCGAAGGTGCGGATGAAGTCTCTCAGGGGTAGAGGTGGGGAGTCGGAGGTAGAGCCCATGGGTTGCGAGGTCCCGGACAAGGAGAGTTCCAAGTCCGGTGGGGAGATGGCGGCGTCGAGGGCGCTGTGGTCTTGGGGACTCCAGCCTGGTGGAAGGGGGGCGGGATCTGCTGCTGCGCGGCGGGCTTTGGCTGAGGGGAGGGAGGCGATGAGGTCCTCTGAGCTTGCGGCGGTGATGGACCAGGTCTTTTCGACGGTGTTGGTGAGGGAGGGTTGGTTTGGGGTTTTGGTGATGATGAGGTAGTCCCATTGTTGGAGTTGAGGGCCTGTGCCGTTGAGAGCGGCCGTGGAGAGGTGAGGTTGGTGGATCCAATGGTGGCATTTGCCGAGATAGAGGAGGTTGTCTTTGATGGGGGAGGCTTTGACGGAGTCAAGGAGGGACTGGGTGCTGTGGGAGCCGAGGGAGACGAGCGTGAATGTTGTTTGAGACATGGTTGTGTGTTGGGATGGTTTGATTGAGGTGATTTGATGTTGTGAAGGTTGTGAGATGGATGTGATGTGTTGATTGTTTGAACTTGCCTTCGTTCTATCCCAACCACGACGCTCTTATATGTTCATTTCACAACGGTAGACCCTACAAGCACAACGATCATATCGCCGTGAACGTCTCCATAGCATCGTTGACCGAGTGACTCACCATTCGCTTCAAACGTCCAATGTCTTGGACAATGCAATGATTCCACACCCATGAATGATCAAGAAAGAGACACCGCCGACGTAAAAGTGTGGAGATGGCGCGAACTCTAGTCTTGATGGTTCCTAGGATTGCGAGGAAGAGGTTGTGATACGATAATCTCTGACCATCTTGGATGTTGAACGTACGGGCGTAGTGGCTCCAAGACATCGGCTCGTGGTTGTCGTGAGGCTGAAAGTCGTGAAGGATTTCATCACGTGAGTGCCTCGATGCGAGGAAAGGTGCGCTTTTCGCAGTACTGAAAGTCGGAATCAAAGTCTTCTGCACCAGTCTCTACCATGGCCAACCTGCCATCGACACAAAGCAGTCTCCATACCTGCGCCAAGAAGGCCAGCACAGAAGATGCCAGCGCTATCACTGACCGTCGCTGCCCCTAGACTGAACTCCCTCTCCGCTTCAGGTACCTCTTCTCGAATCGCGGCAAACGTCGAAACATAGACCAGACCGCCGAGGAGTCCTTCCCAGAAGATAATGACGAACACGAACCACACCGTGGGAACGAACGGCCATAATGCGTGGGCGGTGAGAGCGACCAGATTGAGCACCTGGAGCAAGGTTGGGACGTACAAGCTGCGTATCCGGATGAACGGTAGGGACGATCTCGAGATGAAGACGCCGAGCTGGTAGATCGTTCCATATGTCGGGTAGAAGGCTCTGAAGTGCTTGAAAGGGGATTCGTCGAGTGGAAAGAGCAGTGTTGGGGCGACGCCTTGGTTGATCGTGTACTCTGCGAGATAGACGAGAAACAGCGGCACCATATATGGAACTACTAGTGACCTCGCGCGGATCAACTTGACTTTGAGGTCTGACATGGCCTGCTTGACAGAGCTTTGGTTATGCTGATAGGCGGGCGAAATCGATCTTTCTGGTGGTTGTTCGAGTAGACCAGAAGATTCGTGGCCTGGTGTCTCAGCGTCGTCCGTCTCGATTTGGTGGTATTCCATTCTGTTCTTTTGTGCGCCCTTCAAAGGGCCAAGAGGAAGGAGAATGAAGTAGCTGACCAACATGACGACTGACAGCAGGATGCTGGACAAGAGGGTTCCCCTCACACTGAAGCCCAACGTTGTCGTTGCGAGTGTGTAGACACCCGCGCCTATTAGACCTGCTCCTCCCGTGCCACTTCCCCAGGCAGCTAAGCTGAAGTGGCCATAGAAGTGTGTCAGGCTGAGGAAGTTGACCTCACCAGCACCAGAGCTAATATTGGCCAAGACGATGCCAGCTATCTTGCCTGCAAGGCTTCTTGCATCCGTGTCATCTGGAGAGAGTGCCACAGCAAGCATTCCACTTGCTGATAGGGCCGCAAGTATTGTTATGCGAAGCGAGTATGGGATCAAGTCGATGATGTATGGGGTCACGATCTTGGTAGACAGCTACAAGCAAGGCAATCTGTGTCAGCAAGTGATTAAAGACGTGAGAGGCAACATGGATTCTGCAGTCGTACTCCTGGTATTATGGATGCCAATAGAACTGTCGCTTTGGGGATCCCTGCTCCGACGAGATCGAGGGCAGCAGTGAGGAGGATTACGTAGAAGCAGTTGTTGACCAGACCTGTGAAAGAACCATGAGCTCAACTCCGATGAGCATCGAAGACGCATCCTTACCGAACAACCAGAAGGCAATGCTATTACGACGTCAGTATATGTCTAAGACATGGTTGATAGCTCTCTCTATCATTTTCGTACCAAACTCTGGGCGATGCTCCCTCAAACTTGGACATGAGACGCGCGCGGTAGAGTCGCCATGATGAGGACGGAGTGCCGGGCATGGGGAGCATTGGCCGCGACAAGAAGGAAAGACTGTGACAGAAGAAGCATTGAATGTCCCAATATCTCAATGCAGGGCGTCGGCGTCGGTGATGCAAGGAGCTGCAAAATCGCAGATGAGCACGTGAGGCTCCCTTCCATCACATGCGGTGAGGTGTTTCGGGCCCAATTCTTCCCTCACTATAGGCCTAGCGCCCGAGCCGCTGCCGACCCATGTTCCACAGGGATCGTCTTCCCATGTCGATCGCGTCCGTCGTTCCTGAGTCCCGACCGTCTTCTCCTCCTCTTCGCTTTGCGCAATCCTCTTCCACTTCCGCCCGCTGCACTACTGGCTCTCCTGACACTGCCATCGTTCGAAAAGCATTTCCACACCGCGAAGGCCATGTGGTACGGTGGGTGAGCGCGACCGCCATGCTCGAACATCGCACACCCCCATGATTGGGCTCGAAGAAACATTGCAACAAACACCATTGCTGTGCCACGGCGACAACAGTACATGATGGATCGCACACCCTACCACCGTCCGCCTGACCACCAATCCGCTCACCACCAGAACGCACCGCCGCCCTCGACGGGCCACGCGCCCGGTTTTGCACCTCCCACCGCTCAACAGCCACCCGTTCACATTCCCTTCGCGGACCCTTTTCACACAAACAGAGACCCGTTCCTACCGGGCGCAGACCGACGGGGCAGTCTGGGACTGTCGTCAAGAGCATGGCCTCCTTCGCAAGGTAAGAAATTCACACGTCACATGGACCAGGAGAGAGGTGCGGGAGAGCAGCGACACGGATGGGCTGCCAGCCTGCAACATGCGCCAAGCCCCAAGCTCAGAGGCTGCGGCTGCACGACACGCTGCGACGTGGGATAATTTCAGCTCGCACGCCCATCCTCGGCGGCGAACGGCGCCGGCAGTTCAGGACCCTGTGCAGACGGTGGGCGTGAGCTGGCCACTGCACGATAATCTGGTGACCGCACTGAAAAAGGCGCGCGTGATGCCGTCAGCACCTCGCACGATGGTGCAGGGCGCGTTTGCCGTGCTGCAAAGTCGGCGAACTGGAGCTCTGCTGGGATGCGGGCCTTGCTGGGGGGAGGTGCCACCAACGGACCGGGGCCCTGGCAGCGACTCGACGACGGCGGCGGCGCAAGCGAGCGGCTAGCGTCGCGCGCTGCCGAGCCCCTCTCGTCGGGCCAGGATGCTGTTCTGGCGGCGCATCTGTGGCATCAAACTCAAATCGCAAGCTTGACGGAGCTGCTGGGAGCTGTGAAACTTAGTTGACTGACTTTTGCGCGCGATCCAGGAAACAACAACGCCCTGCCCGCTGCCTCACAGCAGCAGCAGCCATACCACCCCGCCGCCTCCGCCCAGCACTCCCCGTCGTTGCACGCCGCGACGCACCCTCAGACACACCCGGCGCCGCCTGCAAATGGTCTAGCGATGCAGCATTCGTACGATGACGCCCGCCGTCGCTCGCTCGGTACCGCGGGCAGCCCGCAATATGGACGAGGTGAGTTTTGGACACCATACATGTTTGCGCGCGAACCTCACAATCGCGCGTCAGGACCACTAGAGCCTCCGCCGCAGCCTCCTTCCTACCCCACCCGAAACATGCCCCCACCGTCGTCACCGCAAACAGCACCAACCTCGTCGTCGCAACTTGGCTCTGCGCCGCGGGGCCCTCCCACAGCTTCACCCTTCGCCGGTGTTCGCGATCTTGCCAGTAGCCATCGCCCTGGTATGTCCATATCGGCCATACTCGGCGGCGGCGAGGAGCGCAAACCGAATGGATCGCCGCATAGCACCGTCGCTGCGCCCACCTATACACCAAAGTCGATGCAGCCCCCATCACCAGGAAGAGCACGCTCAGCTAGTATGCGAGAAAGTGGCGATAGAGGGATGAGGAACTCGAGTCCTCCAAGAATTGGAATATTTGGTGAGCCGCCACGGACAGCGTCGGAGCCGCGCAGGGATAATGTATTTGGCTCTCCGCAATTTCGACGCGAACCAGGTACGTACGGTAAGATATACCTCACATGGGCGCGTGCAAGCACCAATACGACCGTGCATGATGCCCTCCGTCTACACACTGCTTTCGCGAGGGTATACTCTGACAGTCGACAGGCCACAGCTTCCGCGCCTTCCAGCCAGGCGTTCAGGATCAACCCCATCACATCAACGGACATGGAGCGCCAGCACGCCCGACTAGTCAGCCGGTGGAGACCGTCGCTCGTGGACTACCTGAGATGGATCATCGTGAAGCGCCCCACGACGGACGGGCAGGCATGTTCCGTCCCTTCGGAGAGCCCTTACCACCACGAGCCGAACCAGCGCATCGAGTCGATCGACAGCCCTTTCACAATGGTATTACATCACATCCGCAAGATCGACCGCCTTTTAGCAGTCCACAGGCCGAACGCGAGAGATTGTCACAAGGCCCTCCGCGATTTCCTGGCGGTTTTGGGGGTCTCCTACGGGATGAGCAAAGTTCACTGTTCAGACCAACTTTCCAGCCAACATCACACCCAGTGGACAATGCTCGGGAGTCTATCGAGGGAAGAGCGCAGGAAATGCGCCGTCAGCTGTCCCGCCCGTCGCCCGCTCCAGCAGAGGCAGCACCGTACGAGCGGCATCGCAATGGATTTGTGGAACGGCCTCTGACGCTTGAAGATCACCAGAAAATGGACCCTTTACATCGTGGACAATCACGAAAGGAGAGTGAGGGATCGGTCCACCGCGCGATCCTCAACATTAGTCCCGAGTTGAATCGGAAAGGCCGAAACTCACCACTCCCTCAAGCCGTGCAGGGTGCTCAACCCAGACATATCGGACCTGGAGGCGACAATCCGGGAATCAAGATGGAGTTTGGGCGCATGTTTAGTGGTCTTGGATCTGGCGTAGGCAGCGTCACCCCCAATCCCCATCACGCGGTGAATGGAATGTCGACACCATCGCGCATGAGCCCTTCGTCGCGACACATCGACGGACACGACATGGCTCGGTCTGCAGTTGCAGATATTGACCAGAGGAGAAGCGGGTCCAAGGCTGGGTCTCGAGCTGGAAGGAGAAACGGACGTCGTTCGAGAGATGATGGAGAACATCCAGACGGCGGCGACGGAAGACATACCCCAGATCTGCAGCGTAACAAACGCGCAAAGACCAACCATGCCACACACCACCACCATCACCACATGCACCCACATCATCATCACCATCACCACCATGAGGCCGCCGAAAGCACGCCTGGATCGTTCAGCATGCTTCGCTTCAACTCGAACCCAGGCGCCACTCCCCAACCTCACGTTATGCTAACTCAAGGACATCATCATCACCACCACGCTCATCCAGGGCATCATCATCAACATCCGCCTCGTGCGTCGCATCCTGCCAAGAAGCCTACAACGACAGTACGAAGCGAGAAGGTGCTTGCCGAATGCGCGGACAAACCCAGAAAGCATCTTGGATCGCAGCTCTACACGACCGAATTGACGATGCCTCCGGCTACCAGCGCGCCAGTTGACAGCAGGATCAAATTTTCCAGCAAGATGAAGCCCATCCCTGTGTTTCAGGAGCAGGAGAACTGCACGTTTACGGTGCGAGTCCCGCGGTACTATCTCTCCCCAAGTGAGCCCGGATCAGATCGAACTCCGAGCCTGGAGGAAATATGTAGACACCGGCAGCTTTGGGGCACGGAAATTTACACCGACGACTCTGATGTGGTTGCCGCAGCTGTGCACTCGGGTTGGATCAAGGGAGACTTTGGCGACTACAACGATGATCTTCACGAAGTCGGCGATGACAATCCGGAGCCTAACGACGACCAGACTGTGACTCTTTCGCTACCGGCGCGGCCAGGTCGGCCGGTGAAAGTCCCGCCGGGTCATGATGCACACATAACCGTGCTCGTCCTACCACCGTTGCAATCGTACGCGGCAACGAATCAACATCACATTCTATCTCGGGATTGGAAAGAGGCTCACGACGGGATGTCATATATGATCCACAGCATTGACTTTGTTGACGAGGGTGCTTCGAGCCGCTTCATGGAGCGGAGCGCAGCCGCAAGAAAAAACAGAATCGCAATCGAGGAAGCGAACAGAAGGCAAGAAGCTGCAGCAGGGCTGCTGATGTTTGCTAACGGCAATGGGACCGTCCGCGTGGGAGCGTAGACGGACAGAAGAGTTATTACAGTCGCTGGGGGGAACTCCTAGCTTGCGAAGACGGAGCCTCACTTTCTCTGGCTGAATTTGACAAAGACGGAAGGAATACAAAAACTTAGCGAGATATCCTGTACGATGTATATGAGCTACGGCCTGTAGTCATGCATATGTAAATGTCCTGTATACCTACGTATGACCTCCTATTACTTATTTCTCCACTCGCACGAAGCTCGGCATGTGAAACCCCCGAAGCCTCCGCAAATTGTTGGATGGAAGTCGCCTCTTCGCACATCTCTCGACTTCCTTCCTACAACCATCCTGGAAAACAATATGCATCGATGCCATTGCTCCACGCGAGCCCTCGAGACCTTCTTCAAAGACTTCGCCGGCCTCAGTCTCCGCCAGCAGCGAGCGCAGCGCTTCTTCCAACACTCTCGAAGTTTCGGCACGCGATCTCCCCTCAGACAAGTACAAACCTCTGTCAACGGTGAAGATGCGTTCATACCTTTCGATTTCGAGGCGGTGAGGCAGAAGAGAGAGGGGGTGAGGAGGGTTGAGGAGGAGGGGGATGGGTTGGAGCGGGAGGTGGGGAGTGGATGGGAAGAGGGGGGTGAGGAGTGGTGTGCTGAGGTTGAGATTATGGGTTCAGATGCGCGGGGACAAGAGGGAGGGGGCAAGAGCGTTGAGTCGGTGTCGTTGCGAGCATTGCATACGGGAGAGGGACAGCGTGAAGCGTCAACTTCACCCGCCATGGCTGTCCTCCATCCACCTGCACTTTCGCAGCATATGCCCACAGCAAATTCTAAGTCTGGAGAACTTGATGCAAGTGCAAGGCCAGCAGAACCTCAGGTGTCGAAGCGCATTTCGAGAAAACTTCGAAGGATGGAACAAGGTACATGGAGGCCAAACGCGCAGAAGAGAATGGAGATGGAGGAAGACGAGGCCGAGGTCGATAAGGAAACTAGGGATACAGATGCCATGGCGGATGTCTTGGAAAAGATCGAGGCGCTTGAGGGCCCAGCTGTGGAGAAGAAGGTGAAAAGAGGGCAGAAGAAGGGCAGCGAGAACGGTGACAGCACGAGAACAAGAAACCCCAAAGGCAAAGCCGGAGAATCGCCCACAAAACTAGGAAAACTGAACCTGTCATCCAAAACTCCAACTCCCACCACCCCGTCACACCCCCCAAAAGAACGCTGGCAAACCACCAAAGCCGCCCTGGTCAAAAAACTCTCCGGCCAACCCTGGTCCCCCAACAAACGCCTCTCCCCCGACACCCTCTCCGGAATCCGGGCCTTACACGCCTCAGACCCGACGATCTACAGCACCGCAACCCTCGCCTCGCACTTCCAGATCACGCCGGAGGCGATCCGCAGGATTCTGAAGTCGAAGTGGCTGCCGAGCGCGGAGGAGGCGGTGAGGAGGTCGGAGCGGTGGGAGAAGAGGGGGTTGAGGAAGTGGGGGGAGATGAGGGAGGTGGGGATGAGGCCGCCGAGGAAGTGGAGGGTTTTGATGGGAGAACAGGGGAGGAGAGGGGGGATTGGGAAGGGGTGCGCTTGGGAGGAGGCGGTGGAGCAGGCGGGGAGGTTGCCGATGGAGGGGAGTTTTGCGGATAGGATCTTGTAGAGTACTTTGTGAGGGAGATATAAGGGGTCTCTGCTTCTCGCAGTGGTTACCGCTCAATCTCGTCTCAAGAGTACATATGAAAGCTGTTTGTCTAACGAGATATGTACGGAACAAGAAAAAGAACATCATCCTTATTCATCAACTTCATTCATACAATAGCTAGCTAACACCCTCTCCCGTTTGTACCAGATCCTGTACTACTCACCAATCCCAAGTAAAGACCCCTTTCGAGCGAGCGGCGAAGTAAAGAATTACAGATCTGACGAGAAGCCGGCGCCCTCGATCGAAACCAGCATAACGCCGAGAAACGAAAGATTCTTGCTCGGCCCTGTTTTCAATCTTCGCACATTGACTAATTGTCACGCCATCGAGGAATGAGGGTGGTGCCAACTTAAGTAGTGCGGTGGAGGATATGAGATTGCCGTTTGTAGGAGACTTACATGTTTGAGAGTGAGAATGGCGTGGAAGGCTCAGGCTGATAGTAGCGGCTTGCTTTCTTCATACAATGCTTTCCATATTCAGTCGTCGTCGTCGTCGTCATCATCGGCAGTGCCTGGTACGTCCAACACGCGCTCGCCAGCTGACTCGAGCGTTCGTCTGCTCCACGCTCGCACGCCTTTCCAAACGGCGTAGAGGACTGTGATGAGACCAACCACTATGGAAACCCAGCTGAGCTGCTGCAAGCGATCTCTGCCCGAGCCCCCAACCGCACTTCTGCTGCCCATGAGACCGCCAGTCCGGACGTTAAACTGGAAGGGTGAAAGCGAGAAGAGGAATTTGGCGAATCCTAGAAGACCCAGCGAAGCAAGTCCTTTGATCATGTGCTCGAGCCATGTCGTAGGTTCGTCTTCGTAGATCAGAGAGCCCGTAGGACCGCCAGCCGTAGCGATGGTAGATACCGGGTCCAGATACATGTTGATGATGGGGTCCGCGATGAAGCCTAAGATGAAAATGGAGGTGATGAAGATGAGCAAGGTTAGACCAAGCTGGGCCGATGTGCTGCTGATCCACGACGACCACGTCAGGCGCTGGAGGTGGTACCGGTAGCGACATGTAGGGCATTCCCAATAGTTGCGCTTCTGCATGGGATCCGCCTTTCTCCACGCATTCAAGCACTCCTCATGCACGTATCGCTGGCTCCCTTTGCACTTGCACGGACTCAGCAGCCGACCACCATCTTCGCTCTCGTATGTAACTCGTGGAGGAGGCTGAACGACATAAGGTAGGGCCGAAGTAGTGTCGTTGTGAAAGGTCGGCTGCACGACTTCGAGGCAGATTCGACATGTGCGGGGCGGCCAGTGAGTGCGTCTGCGCTTCGGCGGCGGCTCGCGAGCAGTTGGTTCTGGCTTTGTGGTGTCATCTCGAGGCGGTTCTGCAGTGTCTTTCCTCTCGTCATGTTGAAATGAGCCGGGAATGTCGTCCGGAAAGGACCAGCTGGCGCCTGTCGAGTACGCTGCCATGGTCGGTGCGGACTGTGTCAATGAGAGGGACGGGTGGTGGCAGAAAGGTACTTATAGGGCGGCTTCAGCCGCTGTCAAAGGCGTCAATGTGACAAAGTGAAGTGTGCGGGTGCATGCTGGCATGGCGTCGAGAGCATTCACACCAAGGTCGAACGTTCGAGAGGAGCAGCAGCTGAAGAGGAGTGAGCTTCATGTCTCGTGTCCTTCGGCGTTTGCCGAAGAATTGGCGACGTCGAAGACTTCTGTCTCTGACGGAAATCACTGGGACGATTGGCCAAGGCCCTCTCCGCGAGACACGTCCGCTGAGCTGCCTGTAGCTTCGTCGAGGTGCTGGAAACATTCAATCAACACTCACTCCACCACCACCACAACACCCATTACCGCCAATCCACCAGCGATACCAGCACCTACACTCACGCCCATACCGCCACCGAATCCAACGACATCAGCTCTCTAGGCCACCATGGCCGACAGATACTCCTTCTCCCTCACCACCTTCTCGCCCAGGTATGTCTGGTCGCAACGCATATCAGATGAGCTTCACTAATGCATTGTAGCGGAAAGCTGGTGCAAATCGGTCAGACCATCCATCCAAACGTCCCACGAGCAGAATACTGATAATCATCTAGAATATGCGCTCAACGCAGTCAACCAAGGTGTAACCTCACTGGGCATCAAAGCCGCCAACGGCATCGTCCTCGCCACGGAAAAGAAGTCCTCTACCCCCCTCATCGACGCCGCATCCTCGTCCAAAGTCTCGCTCATCACCCCCAACATCGGCATGGTCTACTCCGGCATGGGCCCCGATTACCGCGTGCTGGTCGACAAGGCGCGCAAGGTCAGCCACACGGGCTACAAGCGGATATACAACGAGTACCCCCCGACGCGGATATTGGTGCAGGATGTAGCGCGAGTCATGCAGGAGGCGACGCAGAGTGGTGGTGTGCGGCCCTATGGTGTGAGCTTGCTGATTGCGGGCTGGGATGAGGGCGTGGAGCCGCAGCAGGAGGAGAAGGAGGCGGCTGATGAGATGGCGGTGGACGATGGCGAGAAGAAGAAGACGGGCAAGACGGGTGGTATTCTGAAGGGCGGACCTAGCTTGTACCAGGTCGACCCAAGTGGAAGCTACTTTCCCTGGAAGGCGACGGCCATTGGCAAGAGCGCGACGAGTGCAAAGACGTTCTTGGAGAAGCGGTATACCGAGGGTCTCGAGCTGGAGGATGCGGTGCACATTGCGTTGCTGACGCTCAAGGAGACGATCGAGGGTGAGATGAACGGTGACACGGTGGAGATTGGCATCGTGGGACCACCAGCGAACCACCTCCTGGGCTTCGAGGGCGTTGAAGGTACGGACATACATACGCATGAACGAGATTACGCACGTGCTAACAATTCCATACAGGCGCGGTAGGACCACGATTCAGGAAGCTGAGCCCGCAAGAAATCGAGGACTACCTCACCAACTTGTAATAGTACCAACCCAGCAGCGAGCATATTCGGCGTTCCAGGAGCGATACGCCAGGTCTCGCATATAGAGACATGTATGAAATAGCTGATCAATGGACCACGAACACGCCAAACAATCTTCCACTTCATCGTCTACTTCATCAATCATCACTCTCCAGACTGTCCACCTGAGTCGCACCCTCCTCAACCTCATCATCCCCACCCACCCCATCAAACTTCCTCTTCCTCCCATTCCTTACTCCCCCCCCTCGCCTCCAAAATCCTACAAGCCTCCCACGCCGCCTTGACCTCAGCCTCATCCCTATGCCCACACCCATCCACACCCACAACCTCCTCATCCCCCACCATGACCACACACCCAAACACTCTCTTGCCGTCCACATCCTCCCCCCAACGATTGACATACCTCACAGCCTCCCGATCCGCGACAACCCCCAACCGCTCCTTCGGCGAGAAACACTCCACATGCTCATCTAGTATTCTGTCCATGTGGTCTAAGATCCCGAGCTTCGACACGAAAGCCTCGCAAACGGACAGGTCGCCTCGCGTGTCGATGTATAATGCGCCGAGGATCGCCTCGACGATGTCGCAGAAGTATTTCGGGGGGTTGAGGGCGACGAGAGCGGGCCAGGGGTATTCTTTTCCAGACTGCAGGGATTCTTGGAGGGAGGGTTGGAGGGTCTGGAAGAGATCGAGGGCTTTGCGGCGGTGGGGGATGAGTTGTGCGCTGAGTTTGAGGAAGTCGTGGAGGTGGACACGGCGGGTGGAGGGTTTGATTTTGTGGCGAGTAGCGGTGGTGGTGGTGGTGGTGGTGGTGGATTTGTCTTGGACGACAACGACGTCGAATTTCTCCTCCTCGATGGCGTAGGCCATGCAGCAGTACCCGAGGAAATGGCTGTTGACGAGCGCCTCGTGGATGCGGTGGAGTTCCCAGTGTCTCAATTCCCTCCGGTGGGCGAAGAGTTTGGGCGTGATGATCAGGTCGAGGACGCTGTCTCCTAGGAATTCGAGACGTTCGTAGGAGAGGCCGGTGCGGTTGTATGGGTAGGAGACGTGGGTTATGGCTTCGAGGAGGAGGGTCGGGTGCTGGAATTCGTGGCCTACGAGGCGTTCGAGCAGGGCGAGGTGGGTGGATTTCGAAGGGTGGAGGTCGTGGAGGAGGTTGTCGAAGCATTGGGTTGGTGGATGCCATCTTTCGAGGGGGAGGAGGGTTGAGATGCATGTCAGGCTCTTTGGCAGACCGCCGTCGACGAAGGCTGCTCCGATGAGAGCTTCTACTACGTCGGCGAGGGTTTTGGTCGACATGTGCCTGGTCTCTGGCGCTTTCGCGAGTAACTCGGTGAGGTATGGAGGGCGCCATTTGTTTCCCGTGAATGGCTTGATTAGGATGTACTTGTCTAGACCGGCGGAGAGAGCTGCTTTCGAGAGGTTGCTGTTGCGAACGATCCGGTCTCGCTCGAGGGAGAGGTAGGACTCCGGCCAGTTCGTGTGCTGCGCCATCACCTGGAGCTCGGTGCAGTGCTTGAGAATCGTGTCGCCAAGGTACTCGAGGCGATTGTAGTCAATGATGTTGCTGCTGTCCTTGACGGCTGGAGCACCTTCAGGGGAAGCGTCTCGCTGTAGACCAGAGTCTTGGAAACGACTCTCCTCTGCAGATGGAGCACTTACCGCTTCAAGGACGAGCCCAAGGTCCGAGATGTCCACTTCGCGCAATAAGGTCGTCTGGAGATCAATGGCCAGCAATGCTGTCTCGATCTTGTGCATGATCGAAGGCACAAACGCGGCGAAGATGGCATATTTGACTGGGAGGTTGTCGATCGTGCAGTTAACAGCCGGTATGCTCTGCTTAACACTGTAAGCTGTCGATTTGTTGTTCTCGCTGACCATATGCAGAAAGTCTTTTCGTTTTGGAAAGTTGGTGACCGTGAGCTGTGCACCTTCCTCAGACGAGGCGTCAGATTGCAAGTCTTGAAGGATGTAGGCGTGTCCAACCTGTCCCTTGACCCTGACCAGACCAGCATCGATGGCATCGCTTTCATCTGTACTGGTGGCTTCGCGAACGCCTGTAGCATCAGCAAGCCATTGAGACATGTCCTCGTCCAGGTTTGGCGTGAACAGGACTGGAAAGTCTGTCGCGTGTGCTGGCATCCGGTTTCCGTGAACAGACGACAGTAGCAATTGCGTGCATTTTTGACTCAGGGAAAGGGCCTTGTGGTCTACCACTTCTGATGTTACATCGGGGCCGCCTATCGTCACGTTGTACTCGTCCTGTTTGTTCCAGAATAAGCGAAGCTTGAGTGAGGGCAGTTGACTGGATGGCAGCCAGAGTCTTATCTCGCAAACCGACTCGCCGCGGAACCAGACATGGACCTGATGTGACAGCCACTCCTGAGTTGAAGTGTTTTCATCAGTATGAAGTTCTTTGTGAGAGAGATAGCGTCCAGTAACCTGCACGATAGAAGGCTGGTCGACGTGTTGCTGGCCAACATCTGGCCCGTAGTCTTTCACACGAGGCAAGAGATTGTCATTGATCAGCCCGGCCTTGTGAAGAGTAACATAAGCTTCGAAGGCAGCATCGGCAATGGCAGTCTCTTCATTTGGCCATTGTTTGGAAGATTTGGCAGAGCGCAGATCAGCATGGACAGAAGAAGGCAGGTAGACTGACGCCGACCAGGAGCTGGTAAGTGCAGTTCCACCGGGATGCTCTTCTGTGTCGAACTCAGGTCGCACATCTACGTAGTTACTCGCAGGCGTCGAGACGCTGCAGAAGTGGTACAGGTGCGCTTTGGCGTTCTCCAGCGTAAGCATTGCTCCAGTGGACGGAATCTGGTAGACTTTATCGCTCAAAGCGAGCTCATCGTCGAGTCGGCTAGCCAATTGCCTAGTGTCGTCCATGTATGCTTTCTTCATTTCAGCCTCGAGCGTCGCCCATTGCTTGTTGTTGCTCTGATCATCTGGCACGAACAGGTAATAGTGGGACTCCTTCTGCCTAGCTCGGCCTCGTCGTTGCACGAAAGAGACGAGATTCTTCGGCGGGTCGAAACAGATGACCTAAGACAGATCAGCAAAGGCATCCTGTTCTCCAGAATTGTGATGACTTACCAGATTGCAGGCCGATACATCGATGCCTTCCTCCAGCACGTTTGTTGCTATCATGAGGTTCTTTTCACCGTTCCTGAACGCGGCAAGGTCTTTCTCTTGCTCCTTGATTGCGACCAAGTCTGCCACGGAGATCTTGCGTTTAGAGGACGAAGATGTTCCCACGAAAGTTGCAACCCGATGTGACACGTCAGGCAGCCGTCTAAGTAGCTCAGCCAAAGCGGTGACTTGAACCCTTTGCTCCACGAATACAATGCCTCTCGTGGCAGCCTCACCATGTTGGTCGAGGATTTGCAGTAGCTGGCTGACTTTCTGAGAAATGGAAAGATCGGCCTTATCATCGACCGGGGCTTGACTCTGAACTTGATCGAAGATGCGCGAAAGATGCTTCCTTTCTTTCTCGGACAAATCAGGCATGATCGCGGCATCCGACACGATCCCATCTCGAAACCTCTCAATGCACGTATTGACGTACCACGCCGCCATGCTGGTACCAAGCTGCTCTTGCATCGTTGAGGCACGGAGATCCAGGGCTCTGAGGTTCTCCCAACAGTACGTCTTCCGCTTCATCATGACCTTTTGATACTCCTTCCTTGATCGCGGATCGTCCTGCTCGATGAGTTCCAGGACGTAGGGATCTTGAGCGAATTCGTATCCCTGAGTTGCTCTGGTAAGACCAGCCAGAACGCCATCTGTCTGTGCGTATGGATCGATCGTTTCCCTTGGATAAAGCACGGTCGTGACGACTGGTGCGTTCACATGAGCTTGGAGGTCTTCCCGGTTGTGTTTAGGGGTCCTTGTAATGGCGTTCAGATTTGATTCGATGGTCCTGTCCTCATCAGCGTGACCGAGAACGATATGGATGGAAGACTTACTCTAAGCTTCCATGTTTACTGTTGACCACGGGACTAGCAGTAAGGCCCAGTATGTCAGGGACAGGTCGTCCTTGCTGGATGGCGGGATGATAGAACAGCTTCATGATCGAATTCATGGGGTGTGATTTGGTAGTTCGATGAGCTGGAACGGATCAGTATGCATCGATGAAAGCGCCCTGGAGTGTTCGAACGAACCTTCATCGAAAACACACAGCCCAAGCTGATCGATCTTGACGAAGCCGTGGGTCAGAGCATCAAGAAGTACAGCCGGCGTGCCAATCACGACATGTACGTTGGCCAAGGTGGCATCCCAAAGCTTCTGATCGGTCCATTTGTCGACGCCATCTAGCCCGGTGAGAGTCCGCACATGATAAGCGGGAAGGTGGGAACTCAACAGGTCGGCTTGTTGCATCCTGGTACAATGTCAATGGGTCCTCGACGGGAAGATCTCCGATCAGTTTACATACGACAGAGCTACTGATGGTGACAGGAACCATACGAGCTGTAGTAGGTGATGTTAGTATGTCTCCGAGTGAAAAGCGAGATGTCATGTGAAGAATGCGGTAGATCAAGGCAAATGGTGCCACCTACTTTGTCGCTTCGCTCCAATGCAGTGAGGATGCGTGCGATGGCAATGTGTGTTTTGCCAGAACCTGTATCCATCTACGGTATTTCCACTTCAGTAATGTGTCCTGGCAACGATGTTCGAAGTGCCTACCGCCACGATGATATTCCTCTCCAGGCTAGCATCGAGCATCTCCTGCTGGTAAGACCTCAACCGCAGCGTTGTGGGCGCCGCTTCGGCCATGACAGAGTCGTCCTCCATGACATTGACGGCTTTTCGAGCAAGTCGAGAGTTGTATGTTTCGTTGTATACGATCTGATGTACTCAGGAGCCTGGGCTCTGAGCGCTCGACGTTGTTGTGCTTGTGCTGTGCTTCACGTGGAAGCAAGGGCGGTGCAATGACATTATCGAGCGCAGCACCCTTGCAATGCGATGAGAGCATAGATACAGCTGTCGTACAGACTAATTTGCCGCAATGCAAAATAGGTCTGCGAGACAGAATGTCAAGTGAAGTTGGAAGGCACGTGAAATCGATATCGGTATTCGGATTAGCGCATGCGCTAACGGGTGTTCAAAATCTGGTGAGTGTTATACACGCTGTGGGGACGTGCGCTTCTCACGCTCGGACCACGTTTTCAAACGCCCGGACCATGATTGTGCTCTCCTCAACTCCAACAACAACTGGAGGGAAGCTAAACGACATAAGAAACAAATCTTTATGCAAGATCTCAATTATGCAATGCCCACGATCGAGTCAAGAACACGATTCCACAGCTGATGTCTTCGAGCGGAACATATGGAACTACCATCTCCCGGTCTTTGACACGCAACTGCGCTGCTGATTACACTCAAGGGATGAAAGTTCCACTTTGAGCGGAACACCGAGCATAGGCCGTTTGATTGCGGATATGACACGCCCTTCACCTAACTACCGGTACGCAAAGAGCGTCATTGACATGCCCTGAGAAGACCGGACACGTCCACTTCTCTGCAATCTAGGACCCGGCACCTTGACAGTGAGAAGGCTGTCCGGAATAAAGATCAATGCCTGCCATCCTGACCTTCGCTTTCGGCCCCCGTATAAACCTTGCGAATGGCCTACGTATTCGAATCGAAGCTCAAGGTTCCGTCCCGTGCAAGGTATGGACTTCTATACATATATCGCCAATTCCGCCTGGCCTCCAGTTGTAGTCCATTCTGCTACTTTACTCAAAGAATCCCACCAACTTGCTGCGATAGCCCAACCATTCATCATGAAGGCAACATTACTCGTTTGTCTTTCCTTAATGCACCTCCCGATGCACACAATCGGTCTCAAGCTGGACGACACCAACGCACTAGGTCCATGGCACGAGGTAGTTCAAGCAAGGTGCGGTGACGACAGCTGTGTCTTGAATGGCTCCCCTGCAGGCGCTGATTGCACTGTTTATTGTCCTGAGGTATGAACATGCCATGCTTTTCACAGAATGAAAAAATCCTCTGATGTCCCTATAGAAGAAAACTGGAACATGTCGCAATCCTTCACCTGGATACCCTCCGACTTGCTGTATTACTGGACTGCTCTGTTGAGGACGATAGATACTGGTATGGAGTACGACGGGATCGGAGCCTGGTCGAGTTTGAGTCTCTTAATGCCCTCCTTGCTCGAACCTGACAGGCGAAGTCGAACCTCTTCAGCAATACGAACGTGACCTGTCTCCTTGCAAACGTCAAATCCTGTGCATGTGATACAATCTTTGAGGTATTCGCACGGTAGATGTGTGATTTCACGTGCCTGCCATGTGAACTGCACCTGAAGGTCATGCCTACCGACTTCGACCCACGGCGACGATAAGGCAGGTACTTAAGAATCTTCCTCTTGCATCCTCCAAGTTCTCTTTTCCGCCGAACAAACACTTCCGACAAAGCAATCACTTCGGCACAGCATACGTCTAAATCGGCATCAGATACCACGCTTCCAGCGCTACTGAATCTCAGCAACAGCTCACTACAACAAACCGTCGTCTCCAAGACATAAGTCAATATGTCTCCCTCCGCCGCTATGGCTATGCCGAGTTCTGCTCCAGGCATCAAGAAAGCATCACTACTCGGCCTCCCTTCAGAACTCCGCCTCCTCATCCTCGAAGAAGTCTTCCCTCCAGACACCGTCAAAGACATGTGGTGAGTAGAAACCCACCACATACCCATCGAAACCATAGCTCTACTCACGCACAGTCACAGGCCATCATTCCTCATCGGCAACTCCGTCTACGACGCAATCCACCGCTACAGCAACCACCTCCTCCCCCCAAAGCTCACATCCATCCTCTCCACCAACCGCCTCCTCCACGCCGAAGGCCTCAAAGTCCTCTACTCCCACTCCAACGTCCAAGTCGACCTGACCCTCACCGACCACCCCAGCGTCCTCTCGAACCGCCGCGCCATGCTAGTCCACAGAATCGACCGCCTCAGCCTCTGGCCTCACGTCCGCAACCTCAAGCTCACCGTCAAGCTGCACAGATTCGACTGCGCCTTCTGCGGTCGGTGGGCGTGTAATTTGGACGTCCTGGTCAAGGCCCTGGAGCGGGGTAAGAATATCCGGAAGTTGCACGTCAGAGTCGATTGGGAGGATCACAAGGCGTTGCCGTTGTTGGCTTTTGAGGAGACGATCTTGGCGTTGGAGAATCTTCGCATGCCGGATGCGAGGACGTATAGGACGGAGGTGGTTGTTGATATGGCGGGGGACATGGATATTGAGGAGAAGACATTGGTGGAGGAGCGGATGAGGGATGTGATGCTGTCCGGGGTCCGTGGACGTGAACCGGTGAGGTTGGGGTGCGGGTTTGTTGCGCCGGAGCTGTCGTGGAAAATCTAGTAGCTGAGTGGGTCAGGTTTTCTCATCATTAACGTTCATCAATCATACATACCGTCCACTAACTACGACTACATCGCCAACGTCTGATTCCAAATCGACTGCACCGTCACCCCCTCAACCCACCTCCCACTCGTCGCATCACTCACCACCGTGTACCCAACCTCCCTCCTCTCCCCCCTCCCCAACCAAAACCCATTATCATCAAAATGCGCCACCGCCCCGCTCGGATAATCCAACCACACATACGCCGCCACACCCTGCGTCGCCGTCACCGTGAAATTCCTCGAAACCTCCGAATAACTCAGTTCTAACCCCGGATCTCCGAGTTTCGCCGTGTTGAGTCCAGTAGGCGTGAACCAATTCGAGTGTTTGAACGTTTGGGTTTGGTTGGAGTTGGGCAGGGAGCCTTGCGCGGAGACGGAGAGTTTGAGGATGGTGTTGTTGGGGTCTGGGAGGGAGGTGGTGAAGGTTTGGAGGACTTGGGTGCTGTTGAGGCCGCCGACGGTGAAATCTACAGACTTCGTCGTGTTTGGGAGGGTGAGTTCATTGCCGGCCCAGTCCAGCCAGGTGAAGGTCGCTGTGCCTTGGGCGGACGTCCACAAATCGCTGGAGACCCACGCGGTGAGGTTGCCGGTGGTGCGGTTGTAGTACGGGGCGATGATGATGGGTTCGTAGCGGTCTTTGGCGGCGTAGTGGAGCATTTTCCAGCGGCCGTCGTATTCGACTCCGGCCCAGGTGGGTGCGACCCAGATGTCTTCGAGTTGCCAGTAGAGGCTGCCGAGGTTGCGGTTGGGGAGGCCGGCTCCGCGGCGGTAGAATTCGATTTGGGAGGTGTAGAATTGGGCTTGGAAGATTTGCGTGGCGTGGCACCAGGCGGAGAAGTTGGCTACGGAGTCGGTTTTGTTGGGGATTGGGAGCCATTGCATGATGGCTTCGGTCATTTGGTACTGTCCGGTGGAGGAGTTGGCGAGGTTGGTGATGTTGAGGTTTCCTGGTGGGTTGTGCTGGTTGCGGAGGAGGATGGTTGTGGAGTTGAACTGGAGGTCTCTTTCGGCGATCTGTTGGCGCCAGGACTGCAACGATGGCATGGAGTGGAAGCCGAATTCGTTGGAGAAGCGCGCCACTGGGTAAGACGATGTGTTGCCGAGGAACGATGGGTTGTAGTTGTAGTAATCCGACTCTCCATAGACTGCACCTTCAGTCTTGTTGTTGTATCGCTGAATCATTGGCATTGGCGCCGAGTGGTTGAGATACAGCCAGCCATTGGAAGTGCTGGATGGTTGATATGAGATTGACCTGCTGTTGCCGTATACAGCTGGCAAGAGGACTCCCAGGAAGAGCGTTTCGTATTCTGCCTGGAGACGTGGAAACTCCTCAGGTGCGGTCTCATTCGCGGTTGCGAGCTCCAAATTCTCCATTTCGTTTCCTCCAGCCCACAGTGTCAAGCTGGGATGATGATTGACTCGCCTCACTTGATATCCAGCCTCTTCGCGAACGTTATCGAGGAACTCTTGGTAGACCGGGTACAAGGAACACCCAAACTCGAACTCGCTCCACAAGAGCAAGCCTTTCTCGTCCGCAAGGTCGTACATGAAATCCGGTGCATACGCGCCAGAGCTCCACACGCGCAACATATTTTGATTGCCAGCAATCGCCGTATCAAAGAGATCACTGATCCTCTTAGGGGTGACTCTGGTCCAGAACGCATCTGGTGGGATGAAGTTTGAGCCCTTAGCGAAGAAAGGCTGACCATTGACTTCAAAATGCCAGTTATTTCCGGGAGCAATCCCTAATGCCAGTTCCTCATCTGAGACAGGGTTGCCATTGAGAATGATTGTACGGAATCCAACTCTTTTGGTCACCGTGGCCAATGTCTGGTTCGCAGCAGAAACCAGGTCGACGGTCATGTAGTAAAGATTCTGATCTCCCATCCCTACGGGCCACCAAAGTTCCACCGCATCCGAAGGTAGCGTCGTGGAGCCTGTCACAGTCGACGCCGTAGTGTTCACATCGCCCAGCGAACCGGTAGAGACCGTCGTTTCGTTGTCTCGGCTTGTGAGCTTGTAAGTCAGCGATGCTCCTTGAGGAAGGCTGCCAAAGTAATCCAAGCTTGCGTTCACAACCCAAGGTTGGCCTTGAGGCGCAGGTAGATTGTTGAGTTGACCTTGTCTGTAGATGTCCACAAGACTGTTGCGGACCTGCACTTCGTTTTGTCCCAATTGCACCACCCAAGCTGGCTGCCATGGACCTGGTACTCGTCAGCAACGCTATATTTGTGCCCAGCGAGATGTTTGCTCTCACCAGCGGGGACGAAAGCAGGGCCCCAGTCCCAACCAAAATCACTCTGCTCTTTTCGTACAAAGTTGCGGTTGACGAATTGGTACAATTGGTTGACTCCATCAGGCCACGTCTCTTGCCCTGGCTCATTCGCAATATCGTTGGCAATGTTGGCTGCAGAGCCAAAGTTGATGCTCAATATCTTGTCCTGTGAACCGCATGATCGCAGAATGTCTGAAACGTCGAACCAGTACTGCCGAAATTGATTGTTGGTGGATGCTACATGTTCGCCGCAGAACGAGATGGACGTAAATGTGTCTAGGCCGTTGAAGAGTAACCAAGTGCTGCTGGCGTTCGAGGACAGACCTTGGATCGGCGCTGAAGTGTAGGTCCAATTCGACCAGACGATCCAGCGGAGGTTGAAGTTGTTCCTGCCATACAGAGGATCCCCAATGACCTGGTCGGCGTACAGATCAAGCTGCGCATAGCTGGGTAGTTCGGCGGGGACTGAGATGTTGAGGGCGTCGTTCGAAAGGGTCCAATCGCTACCTACGAGACTGACAATGTTTTGAGAAGATACGAGAGAAGTAAGACATGACAGTAAGAATGCCTTGGACAAGACTCGCATGGTGACGATAAGCTTCCCAAGCAACGGCGAAGAGTACTCACAAAGCTCGAGGCGGCGGGCAAGACAGGCCATTTATCGCACCGTCAGCGCAAACAGGGCCATGAGGTCAGTGCAAGAGCGACGGGCAGGTGAGGTTACAGCACAATGTCTCGTGTGAGGGCGGGGTCTGGTGGTGGAGGCCAAGTGCAACGCAGAACGGAGCGCCTGAAGCGTGTCGAGGAGCGTTAGATCATCGCGGCGAAGGAGCAATTGGGACTTTATCACCTCCACTTTCTCCCAGCCTGCTTCGGAGGAGGTGAGGGCGAGCATCATCCTTCATCAAAGTTCGGAGCCGCTTGACGTCGGCCTGCAGTCGCCGCCGCTGGAAGCTGTGCCGAGCGCCAGGGGCAGACATCAGCCAGGCATCGTGGCCTTGTCAAGACGGGAGTTGAGAGCTTCTGATGCCCGGAGCGTGGGCGCGGAATGCTCTCGGCCGTGGTGATCGAGGTTGATGCTCGTTGACGCCTTCAATGGCCGGGACCTCGTCGTCTGCGCGGAGGAGGAGGTCCGCCGAGGGGCTGGCATCGGCCAAAGTCTAAATTCGTGCAGAATATACACGCTTGATGCTCTGGACGTGATGAGCGCATGTGAATGAGTAGAGTAGGTGAGTGAGTTGACGTCCACGAGTCGTGATTCATGGACCTGCGGCGAGTCAAGATGACTGTGCCTAGACAGCGTCGAGGGGGGGTGGGCAGCGGAAGTGATGAGGCATTGCAGCCAGCACGAGTCAGGGATTGCATACGCGGGTCCAAGCGCGTCTCTGGACCGGCGAGGCAAACGCAGTCAGTAGTCAGGAGTGTGTGAAGGCCGCCCAACTCGCCGGGAAACTCTGTGTAAATGTTCCATCCTATCCTATCCTCCACCAGCAGCTATCCTTCGTCCCAGCAAACCATTCGCCGTGTGCAAAAGCTGGCTTCGTCAATCCATTGATGGAAAGCCAAGGGTGATGTCGATACGATAGCAACTGCAGCTGCTCCTGCGCATCCACGACATGCCTTGGAACTCGCTGCCCTCAGTCGCATTTGCAATATGCACCCACCCCTTTCGCGCCACCGAATCCGACGACCTCCCACTGCAGATTGGCGACCACATCTACATCATCGAACAGGGCGGCCGCTCCAACGACTGGTACCGTGGCTACTTGGTAGCTCCCCCTTCGCTGCTCGCTGGCTTGACCAGTGATCGCGGACAACAATTGGAGCATCGCGTCTTCTCGGGAATCTTCCCGGTGAATTGCGTCGAGGTTCGCGAATACTTGGGCAAGACTCAACATGAAGCGGCGGCGGAGAATGGGACGAATGGAGCGCACGATGAGGAGGATGGCGACGAGGAGACATTGGCCAAGAGGAGGAGCCAGGCTTTACATGCAAGAAAGCTCAGCAGGAGACTGAGTCGCAAGAGGAGCACGCGAAGCTTGCACAAGAAGACGAAGTCCTTGCTCGTACCAAACGAGCCAATGCCACGAGATCCAAACGCGCCCAAGCCACTTGCGCCTGTACCCTTACTCCGCGTTGGCGACGAAACTGCGCTGTCTGGCGCAGAGCCATTGGTGGACGAAATCGCATCATGTCTGAGGGAGTGGCACGATGCGCGACTGCACGAGTTACTGCTGGCCCCGGGTTATAGCCAGCTGGCGAGAGTGCAGGACCTGATCAAGCGGGTGGACAACAGCAGAAATCAGCTTATGCATGATGTCTTGACAATGCGCGAACTGGCAGAGCTAAGAGAAGATACCGTGTGGGATTTGGTGGCTGGAAACAAGATGCTCAACGACGAGATCATCGTCCGAAGTCCCACTGAGAAAGGCAGGATCCTGACTGCGGAGGACTCTGTGATTGAAATGACAAAGCTCCAAGCCAACATGAGCATCCTCGACAGACCGCCTAAGCCAGTGTCGGACAAGCATATGCTGTATCACCTCTTGGTGGATGTACGCAACCTCGTCTGCGACTCAGACCAGCCTGCGACTCTTCAAATGGCTCTGTTCACCAAGGACCACGGAGAGATACCGAGACCTGTCAGTGAGAACTACGCAATTTCAGTCCCGATACCCGTCACGCCATCGCAATCACAAGAGGAACAAGCTAAGAGTCTCTTTGTGAATTTGAGCAACCTCGATGTTGGTATAGGCGCAGACATGACCTCGTTGTATGTGGTCTTCAAGCTGTTGAGGGATGAGCCGGTCCGTCAAATGGTTCACGGGCAAGGCCTCTCGCATCAGCACAAGCCATCCCTTTTGAGCAACGCCAGCAGCGACAAAACACCTACAGTGAAGGGCAGACGGAGTGTGTTTGGTAGCCAGAGGAAAAGAGACCCTCACGCGCGGACTCCTTCCAATCTTGATGTTCGACCCAGCACGAGCCTGTCACAACGCTCCGAGCAAACCGACGGACGTTCAAGCAGCTCGAACGCGGAAGTGCCTCCTTCAGCCGATGTCAAGACCGTTCGAAGAGCGATTGGTGTTGGTGCGATCGATATAACGAAGGTTGCTCAAGCCAAAGGCCAAATGGAGAGGTCCATCACCTTGTGGGTCCCATCGAGCGCGGCGGACGACAGGAGTGACGAAGGCGAGGACTGGGCTGAAGTCATTCGAGAATTGCAGCGCAGCCAAAGTGGTGGCTTTGCGCGTGTAAGTCTCATCAAGCGATTGGACGTCTTTGTCAAGGCCTTTGCAACAGCAGACTTGGAAAGCCTGGTTCGCAACACTCCGCAACTGCTCCACGACGTTCTCATGACACCAAAGCTTGGCTTCTCTGGTGTTCCTACGGAAAAGCGGAGTGACATTTACCTGACACTGTCAGAGCCACGCTTGCCTCGAAATGCGACTCTGGCACACTCCAAATTCGGGGCCGTACCCTTGAACCAGCGTTGCCAAACCAGTCTAGCCAATCTCCAACTCACTCTTGAGGTGAGGAAGGCAAATGGCGAGCGCATTGATGACTGCATCTTCACTGCGTCCAACCATCAAGGACACACTGCTTGGCGCACGACCGGCATAGAACGAGGCGAAGGATGGAATCAGACAATTAGGCTGGCCGTGCCCGCCGAACAGGTCCCTGGATGCCATGTGGTCATGAGCATCGCAGACTCGCCGAACTTCCCCTTTGCACTTGCTTGGGTACCACTCTGGGAGTTTGAAGCTTTCGTAAGGGATAGCGATCATCAAGTGGCATTGTACGTCTACGATGAGTACTCGTCGAGCATCATCGGAGGCAAAGGTGCTTACCTTGCTCTTCCACCTTGGCATGACAAGAACGATCCCGCGCAACAAAACGCCGCAACAGTCTCATTAAGGACTTTCTTGTGCAGCACTGAGTACTCACAAGACCCGACGTTGCTGGGAGTTCTCCACTGGCGTAATTACCATGGCGAGCAATTGATTGAGCTACTCGAGCGCTTCCCCTTCGTTCCCGAGATCGAAATTGTCAAGCTTCTGCGGGACGTCTTTGGTGCGCTCTTCGAGATTCTGCATGAATACGAGACCATGGAAGAGTACGAGGATGTTGTCTTCTACAATCTCATCGTGATCCTGAGCATAGCCAGAGACAAACGATTTGGACTTGGTAGAATCATCGAAGACTACGCTACGACACGACATGACTGGCCCAATGCAAGTCGATGTCTTGTTCGAGCCTATCATCGTCTTGTGTCCAGCCCGATGGATCCAGACGCTTCTCGAAAGCTTCGCGCAACGTTCAAAGTGGGTGATCAGATGCTCAAACTTATTGTCGAGACAAACAAGCGGTTGGGGGTGGCAGAATCTACCGAAGACCAGGTCAACGGGTCGCCGCAATCTGACGGAAACACTGAGCTCATGCGAGAGCTTCAGAAACTTTTCGTTGCCATCATGGCATTACTGCGGAACCCCATGCCAGTACTACTGGGGACACAAACGCTCCTTATACAACATTTTCACTCCTGGTTACCTGAGCTGGAGTCGCTCATGAGTCCTGCAGAGATCTTGGAGATTGGGACCGATCTGTTGGATTCATGCTCCCGCGCCAAGGGCAAGATGATCTTGTATAGGCTGATTCTGATTGCGAATTATAGCCATCTAGAGCTTTTCAAACTGCCGGAGACTAGGACCACCTTGATTGCGAATACTTTCAGGTGGCTCGATCCGTACTGGGGCCACACTACGAACGTTGATCAGCAGTATAGAGACCAGGTCCGCCTTTGCTGCTCGGTGGTAGCTGCGCAAATGGAGGAACTGGGTGAAGAAAGCTGCCAATATGTGCCGAAGCTGACGGATTCGTTCATGGCGCTGCAAAACAGCCCTCCTGCACCCAAGCGTGTTTTCAGCATGCTTTTCCCAACAACATACCCATTCCCGTCCAAACCAACCAGTCAAGACATCGCCATAGACGAAGGGCTACTCGAGATCTCGGCTTTGCTTGCGGCAGCATTGACTTCTGAGAGGAAGCTCTACTTCGACGCCAATCAAGTCGACATCACGAGCGTATTGCTACAAGCACTCAAAGTCGGACAGAGTATCCTGTCTTGTGAAGCATTCCCTCGAAGCTGGCTTAGTTTACTGGTCTGTCATCATCGATACGGCATGACTGCGTTGGAGCGGATATCGGATGTTCTGGTTGACTCGTTACCGGATGTATACGCTGCCGATACCTCGCAAGCGCTCGACTTTGACACGGACATCTGGCGGGCATTCTTCAACACGCTCTTCGCCTCACTGAGCAGCCCTGCTCTTGCGATGGAAACCTTCCCAGAGCAGAAGAGGAGGGCTGTCTGGAAGATTGCAGGTGACGTACGCGAGCTCGGAGCGAACCTGCTCACGCGAAGCTGGGACTCGATCGGGTGGGAGACAGATGGCGACACTGCACGATTGCACGGATTCGAGAAGCTGGGTGGATATCAAGTGCAGTTCGTGCCTGAGTTCGTGGCACCAGTCGTGGAGCTTTGCCTCAGCGTACATGCCAGTCTGCGCGCGGTTGCCATTGAAGTGCTGCGGTCTATGATTGTCAGCTCCTGGCAGATCGACCAAGATCTCTCTGTCATTCAGACCGCCATGATCGATTGTCTGGACAAGCTGTGCCGGACGAAGAGCGTCACCGAGAATGTATTGCAAAAGACATTCGTCCCTGAGATGCTGGAGCAATTCAAACCACTCCAGCGTACAATCGAGGACAGCCTGTACATTGCTGTTGTCGAGATGTTTGGCAAGATCGACGATCTCCTTGTCATGCTCGGCAGCGTCCACCAAGGCGGCAACATCAGCGACGCAAGCAGGCTTGTGGACACCTTGCATTTGATGGAGTTCCTGCGAGACGTTCAGTCAGAAGAGGCATACATCAGATACGTTCATCAGCTGGCTGACATGCAAATCAGCAGCGGGAATGTGACCGAAGCTGGCTTGGCTCTTCAGATGCACGCAGACCAATACGAGTGGGATCCATCACAGTTCCTGTCGGAAATGACAGACCCAAAGATGCCTGCCCAGACAGCCTTTGAACGAAAGGAGGCCCTCTACTTCCAGATCTGCCAACACTACGAGAAGGGCAAGTCTTGGAAACGAGCACTGGCCGCGTATCGAGAATTGGCTGTTCAATACGAGCTCAACGTTTTCGACTTTGCGAAGCTCGCACGTGCTCAACGAGCAATTGCGGGCATCCAGGAGAGAATCGCCAGTGGCGACAGGTCCAACCCTCGCTACTTCAGAGTTGTGTACAGAGGGTTGGGCTTCCCTGCGACCCTACGTGACAAGCAGTTCATCTTTGAAGGTGCCATGACGGATCGACTGGCCATGTTTGAAGACCGCATGCAACAGCTCCATCCTCAAGCCCAAGTACTTCGTCAAGGGGCTGAGCCGGAGGTCGAAGGTCAGTTCTTGCAGATTTATGCAGTCGGTCCAAACAAAGACCTCGACCATATGGTCTATCAGCGCACCAAAGTCTCGCAGGCGGTCAGAGAGTATAACCTCATTGCGAACCCGATCAAGTTCGCCACGACAGCAAGGCAACCTGCTCGTGATGTGCCTATAACAGAGCAAGTCGTCGAGAAGGTGCTGTATACCACCGCTGAAGAATTTCCAACGATCCTGCGAAGGAGCGAGATTGTCAATGTCGAGACTGTTACACTCTTACCTATCGAAGCTGCGATTGAGCGCACGACGAGGAAGACGCAAGAGTTGTTGATGCTGGAGAAACATATGGTCTCGCGTGAGGATGAGAGTTCCATGGAAAGACTCACAGACGACCTGCTGAGCTCTGTCGATGCCGACTCGGATACTAGCGTTGCGCGATACCACGGTCTGCTGCCTGCCTCAGAGATTGCGGACAACACCTCTGGCGAGATCGACCCCTCGCTCTATGGCACCGAGCAAGCACTGGATTCGATGCAGAATGCACTGAAGGTCGCTCTGCTCGATCATGCCCTCGCCATCAAGCGATGTCTCGGCCTGTACAAAAAACCACAATACCTCCCGACCAGGGCAGAGATCGTGCCAAGATTCGAAGCGACCTTCCAGCACGAGCTCTCGATCCTCTTCCCGCAGAGAGAAGGCGTCATTGAGGATGTCAGTCCACGAGCTTCTACGACGATCGACGCACTGCCGGGGACGGAAAGCAAGCAGCAGGCTTCCGCGGGCGCGCAAGAGGAGCAAGAGCCGGAGAAACGCACGGGAGGACGACGCATGTCGCTGCCGTTCCTGCGACGAGCTTCGTCCCGGCAGGGCCGCGAGAATGGAGTCCAAGAGAGTAATGAGGAGGGCAGGAGATCCCGTGCGGGCAGCCGTGGACGAGAGCGGAGTTCGAGCAGGTTGAGTTTCTTTCGTAAGGATTCGGAGCAGGAGAAGGATGGGGAGGGTGGTGGTGGCGGTGGTGGAAGTGGGGGTTTCGGGGGGTTGAAGAAGAGGTTGAGTTTTTTCAATAGTAGCAACTCGCGTCTTGCGGGTGATGGTGGGGCCTAGGACGAAGGCGATGGGGCTGGATTGGATTGGGGCTTGTTTGATTGAGCGTTTGTCTGGCGAAGCGATGCAAGCGAAGGACGATTTGCACGATACCACTCTCTCATGGAGATGAACAATGTAAATTGGTTTGCGGCTTGTGTGTAGGATGATGTGTAAAAGAAAAACTCCCTTCTCGAGATCGATCGAACTGTTACAGATCTAGGGAGGGGAAAAAGCCCTCAACGCCTTGCTAACTAGACAACTTTTTTTGGGAAAGGTCATTGCATCCGCGGCCCAGCTTCATCGGGGCCCTCCAGTCCTTGCATCGGATCATTCCCATTCGGCTGCTCGCCTCCGTCCCCGTCCCCTTCCTCGATCGCATCGCCTTGGTTGACGTTGTATTTCGTCGCGTAGCCCTCCTAAAAACAGAAACAGAAAAAGCCTTGTCAACAACATTCGAAGACCCCTACACCCCACACGGGGATGGAGGAAGGGGAAGGAGGAAAGAAAGGTGGATGGGCGTACCTGCTCCCAAATCGCCGTCCGGGACCCCAAGCCTTCGCCGGCGTCCTTTTGGGGTTTGGCCTGGTTCACTTTGATCACGCGGCCGTAGAGCTCGGCTTGGTCCATGTTGTCGAGGGCTTCGCGGGCGTCTTGGGCGAGGGAGAATTCGATGTAGCCGAAGCCGCGGTGGGGGGATTTGTTGGATGGACTACAAGACCGGAAAGTTAGCTCTTGTGATGGGGGGGTTGTGTTGTTTCGTGTCGTTTTTGGGCTTTGGGTCTTGGGGAGAGGTGGTTCAAAACGTACAGCTCGGGTTTGGGAAGGGAAATGTCGACGATTTCGCCAAAGGGGATGAAGGCGTCGTGGAGGGTTTGGGTGGTTACTTGGTGGTCCAGGCCGCCGATGAAGAGGGTGGATTGTTGTTGGCGGGTTGCTTCTGCCATGATTTGAAGATTTTATTTGGTCGGTTGTTTTGAGGTTGATCGATGTGAGTGAGTTGAAGTGTGGTCAAATATTGGTCACGTGTCAAGTGGGTCCATGTTTTCATTCGCTTTGGAAAATTTCCTGGCTTTGCTTCGAGCTATTCTTCTCTCACAACACGCACCACCAAAATGCATCCCGTGCCTTGGCCTTCATGGAACTCTACTTGATCCGCCATGGAGAGACAGTCGACAATGTCGCGGGCCTATACGCTGGCGTCCGCGATTCCGCCTTGACGATCCATGGCGTCGAGCAGGCACGCCGTCTGGGCGAGCATTTCGCTACGAATGGCGTGAAGTTCACGCACATCTTCGCGTCACCTCTCTCGCGAGCCTTCAAGACTGCTCAGGCTATCGAGACAGCTCAGCTGAAGCCTGATGAGGATGATGCTACTGCCGCCATCGAGATCACACAGGTGCCGGAGCTGATCGAGCAGGACTTTGGATACTATGAAGGCAAGCCCTTTCATGCCCGCTCGGATCCGAAGAAGATGATAAGAGAAGCACATCACGAGCAGCATAAGGATGAGCCTGGGTTTGTTGATGTGGAGAGCAAAGAGTCGATGAATAAGAGAGCAGATGTCTTTCTCGATGGACATCTTATGCCTCTGCTCGCACACGTCTCAACACCAAGCAAGCACATTGTTGCAGTCGTCTCTCATGGTATGCTGTTGTCTCATCTGTGGAGACGCATACTCAAACGTTTGCCGTCCAAGAGCGTCACGGTCAATCCAGAGATTACCGCTGCTCGAGGCAGTATTGTGCTGGAGCACCTGGGCGGCTGGGGTAATACTGGATATCTGGAGCTGTTTCTCAGCCAAGATAATGCTGATGAGGTTGTGAAAGATGCCAAGTCTTCAGAGGCTGGTATTGAGAAACCACTTGAAGAATCTTCAACCGAGACTGGCACCACAGAACAGAACCCTTCTAGCTCCACTGACTTGACAGGTATCGACCCTTCCACATCTAGCTCTCAGGTCCTCGTAGGATGGAGTCTACTCATCCGAGGTATCGACAGGAAGGACCATCTCGTTGGCCTGAAACGGCAGCGAGGCGGGATCGGTCGCACTGCACATGACGAAAAGCAACAAAAGATACACAACTTCTTCAAACGACCAAGGCAGTTTTGACGAACAGACAAGGTTCGCCACCTGGTGAGACTCCCCGGGCTTGCTGCGTGGATGAAGCTGTGACAATGGTACGTTTCTATACTTTTCTCCTCACCAATCCCTTTCATGATGATACCACAAAATAACACAGACCTGTTCTGAACCTTTTATGTGGATTCAATTTTGTCCAACTGCTGTCTGATCAACGTACACAACGACATCTTGTTTATACGAAGCATAACTTGAAAGAACATCGCTGACAATGTCCTTCAGATCACGGAACGAGTTACGATATCCACATAGGCCTTGGATGGAGCGGACATTCAAACTAAATTTTCATCACATCTGATCCATACTCCTTCTCTTCCTCTTCTCAACCATAACTGCATTCCCCCGGTAGCACAGTTGAGCACGCGTAATCTACTTTCCAATTGTGATACATCGACGGCCATGCACTCACCCAGAAGGTCAAGCGTGGTCGGCACAGAGCCTCCTCTCGACTGTCCCACCATGAGGCGCACGATCGAGCCATCGCCCCCTGGAATCAAGCGTTTGCTCCGTCGTAGGCAATTCTGTCTACGCCACGAGATAGTCTCAGGGTAATTAAAGTGTTTCCTTGCTGGTAGAAATGGAGGGAATGGAGGTCAGAGCCCAGCAAACCGGTAAGCGGAAGGGAGTGTATGCCGTCACCCTGCGATCCGCGATTCGCCTCCTGTGGTAGGACATTGACAAAGACCGCTGTTTGAGGCGTCGTGGCAGTGATATTGCATTTCCTGCTTAGAGTGGCGGTTGGCCATGTACATGACACTACCTTTATCAAGGCTGTCCAGCAGCTGCGTCAACATGTGTGTATGGGATGCAGTGGTTCGTATAGAAAGGATTGACTACATATTTCCCACCTGATATCCTTGCTTTCGATGCTGGGTCGAAACATGCAGACCCTTGCCAGATGAAACGCGTGGCGTCAGTGCTCGAGCTCATTATTGGCTGCGGCTCGAGCCGATCCCAGCCACATGCAGCGGCGCGAGAGCTTCCTTCCTGCTTTCACGCACCTCACCTCTTCTCAATGGCATGTGAGTCGCCGCGAGAAGACTCCCATAAGCTGATTGTGCATCAAATCGCTCTTCAAAGTGGCGAAAAGCCTCATCAAAGAGATAGTATCGTGTCATCTGGCCTGTGGCGGCCGTGCGAGGCAGGCACCAGAGGGGAAGTTGCACCATGTCAAACGCGAGTGCCAGAAACCGGGCATCTACGTTGGTGTGTGCAAGAAAGCGCCTTGCACAAGGAATTGAAAATCGCAGCCGCCAGATGCGCTACTGCTGTGCGACGCGCATCGCAGAGGCAACTGCGCTGTTTGTACCTGGAAGGCGGGTGGCCGGGTGGTCCGTGCGCCCAATGCCCGCCTCTCGCTTTTTAGGCTTTCAACTCCTCGACCAGACTTCTTCCTCTTCACCACAGTGCAAAGCATTTGATCCATCCATCGGTGTCGGCAGTCAATCCATATTGCATCGCAATCCATCCACACCCACAGCACCCACTACCACGCGCATTAATTCATCCCACCGACACGTACACATCAACCACCCGCACCGACTTCAAGATGCACTCCATCATCGCTTTCGGTATTGCCGTTCTCGTGGCCATGGCCGCTGCTGATACGACCGGTACGCAGCCCCTTTCATCCCCTTTTCATCAAAACCATACTGACTTCACTCGCAGTCACCGTCACGGAGTACCCAAGCACCTGCTCGGCCAGTGAGTGCAATCAGCCCAGCCCAGGCCCATCCAACGCACTCGCTGTGCTATCACAAGCCCTCAGCACATACCCTGCCAGCACCAATGCCCTCAGCATCCTTGAATCCGCAGAGGCTACCTACCCAGGCCAAAGCACATACACCGTCACCGAAACCGCTCCCCTACCGCCGTCACAATATCCCTCCGCGAACCCGTCATCATCGTCAGGTTCAGAAAGCTTACCCTCAGACTCAGCAGGTCTCACCTCTCCTACTCTTCCGGTGCCATACCCAGCACCAACCACCTCCTCTGTCGAGGTCTCGCCAACTTCACCTGCCTCTGACAGCACCACCGTGGTTCAGAGCACCATTGCTACGACTGCAACCACCACCGTCCCAGGCTCGGAGACCTCTCCTGCCCCGGCTCCTGAGAGCTCCACCTCCATCATTCCGGCTCCTGTCCCAAGCCCATCGTCGGTCTCCAGCAACGTCGTTGGCCCCACCACCGCCAGCGAGTCCACCCTCAACACGGTTACTTCCGCCACCGCTTCCGGCAGCGAGACTGGCACCGGTGTTCCATCCGCCACCACGACCGAGGCACCAACCGCCGACACGCCAACCGAGGGTTCTCCAACTGCCCCATCCGAGAGCTCCCCAATTCCTCAGACGACCAACGCCGCCTACATGCAGCAGCCAAGTATCATGGGCCTCGGTGCCATCATGGGTGCTTTGTTGTTTATCTAAGCTGAGATGACGATTTTGTCGAGGGATACTACCGCTTGCAAGAGTGGTCACGTTCGCTTTGACACTACGAGTTTCACGGTTTGAGATGATTTGCATGAAAGGGACACACAGCGAAGGTGCTCAGGCGTAACTGGCGCGATGGATATACCCCAGCGTGCATGACTAGTGCTTTCTGGGTTTTATGGGAATCAATGACATGGATGGGCGTTCAGCCATGATGAGCAGGCCTGAGTAGGCTCTGTTGTAATTGTAACTTCCAGCGTGCATAATGTAATATGAGTCGAGGGTGGCTCTGTTGCTGACATTGATCTTTCCTTTTTCCTTCTCACATTACCATCTTAACTTCGACGTGATTGCCCGCCACCGCACCCGGTCTCGTATTGATAGCTTCTGCACATCGTCGATGGTGCATCGCCATTTCCACGAGCATCTCGACAACTTCGACAATGTCTTCCATCTAGAGTGGAGGTAGATGAAAGGTGTAGTAAATAGTCATCAACATAGCCAACCCGTGGCATCAACACATTCCATTTCCATATCATTTTTGTACCACACTCATCTCAGCTATACAACATCATCATCATCACTCATTTCAACCATCACGCCATACCATCTCCCCAAAACATCAACATCAACCCTACCTAAACAACCACATACTCCCCATCCACGCGATCCATCGCCTTCCTCCACCGAAACGCCTGCCCATACCGTCCCGTCCTGCCCGCCTCACTATCCCTCCTCCTAGCCTTAACCTCCGCGGCCTCCATCCCCTGCACATGCCCCACCATCCCCACGTCCCGCCAGACCTTCTCCAGCACCTCCAAGCCAGAGATATTATTATAAAACCCCGATTCCTTCTGCACCTCGACGCAGCGGGCGCGGATGATATTCCGGTGCCCTTCGTCGACGCACTCGGTGCCCGTGATGAAGAGGGGCCAGAGGAGGAATTTGTTGACGCAGGACGTGATTTCGAGGGCGGTGATGTGCGCGAGGGCTTTGGTGACGTACGTTTGGAAGTTGGGGTGCGAGGAGGGGAGGAGCGGGTGGCCCAGGCGTTCGGTGTAGAGGAGGGCGGAGTAGCGGAAGGATTCGTTGATGTGCAGGAGGTCGCGTTGGCCCATTTCGAATTCGGGGGCCGTGGTCGAGGTCGCGCCGGGTGGGGGCGTGTTGTTGAAGGGGTGGTGGTCCATTTGCCAGGTTTGGAGGCGCGTGCGGATGTCGGTCCATTCGGACCAGAATTCCGTGCGGGAGTCTTTTGGGGGTGGAGTGCTGAGGGGGGAGGACGTTGGGCTGTCGTCTTCGGAGGTGGGTGGGGAGATGATGGGGGTGCCCCAGCCGTTGCCGTCGATGTTGTCGTAGTCGGCGAGTGAGAGGGAGCGAGGGGGCATCGGCTTTCGCGTTGGGGGTGAAGGGTTTTGGAAGGGAGGTTGCATTGTTGGGGGGCGAGGGACGGCTTTGCCTTGGCTTTTGACGGGTCGGCCTTGGGCGAGGAGGTTGAGACGGCCGAGGCGAGCGATGAGTTTGAAGAGGCGGCCGTCGCAGCCGGAGAATTGCTCCAGAGCGCCTAGGTTGGCCGAGTAGTCGAGCATGTCGAGGGATTCGCCTTTGATTTGCATTTCTCGGTCGTTGACGGCGCTCGTCATGACATCGAACCAGATGAAAAACATTTCCACCCATTGCGTGAAGTCGGATTGTCCGTGAGGGCTTCGTAGGGAGAGCAGTTTCTGGACGCCAGCCAGCTGGGTCTTGAACTTGCTGAAGCCCGAGTCGCAGACGTGGAATAGGCAGAGGATGAGAAGAGTTGCTAGGACTGAATCGTCCTGAGCGGCTCGAGGATCCGTCAACTGCATGTTCAGCTGATCGATGGACATTTGCTTGTAGCACGTCTCTTCCGGTGTTGGTTCGTTGAGTTGGCTATTTCTCGAAGTCCCGTCAAAAGCATCGGTGATCTCTTCGACGAATCCCATCTGCCTTCGAGGTTCAGCTTTCCGCATGCGTAGATTATTAGTAGCCAGAGCAGCTACAGCGTTCTGCAATCCCTCATTCTGCATGGCGAGCTGCAAGATGTACTTTCGATAGGGATTCTCAGCACCGTCAAAAGCAACCAGATACGGGCATATATGACGATCGTAATATTCCATCAACGATTGTAATCGAGGCGTGACGTGGTAGAACGGTCCCCCAAAGCGAGGGTCGAAAATGGCCAGGCTCTTGACATCATCCTGTTCACTGTTGTCCTGCTGGTGGTGGTCATTAAAGTCGAATGGGTTGTATCCTGTTTCGTAGCCTGGCGAGAAGAGGATATCATCGTGACTGGCGATGCCCTGGTTGAAGTTGTTGAAATCTGTCCTAGGAGGCTCTAACGAAATGGTGTCGTTGAACGAAGCTGCACTGTGTAGCGAGTCGACGCTCGAGCTCAAGGTATCAGCCCACGAATCGATCGAGCTGCTCAGAGGCTGGCTTGTATACGAAACCGGTGCCGACTGCGAAAAGGGATCGGTATAGGTGGTCGAGCCGGGTGTATGCGGGTATTCCAGTGGTGAGTGGAACTCAGCATCTGCAAATGAGCCGACCGAGCTTCCCGACGTTGGCATACCATGTGCATCGTACTGTGGGCCCAACGAGGTATGGATGTGCTGCAGAGAGTGATGTCTCAACACGGAAGGTCGTTCACTCCGCTGCTGCTGCGCTTGGATGTGGTCTTGGTATCCCGGTACGTGCCACCCTTGCTGTCCAGATGTGATCGTGGGCAGCGTTGGCTGGAATGCCGGCGCATGACTAGGCGCGGATGTTGGACCGCTGAACTGCGGCTGTTGGTGGTGGTTGTAGATTGGCGCACTGGAGATGTTCACATCGTTGCGCTCTTCCTCTTTCACCACTCTACTGACGGAATTCTTTCTTCGACGGACTTCATCCTCTCCGTTGTCAACCTCAGCAACGTTACCGTTATTCTTGGCAGTCACCGGACACGAGAGTCCTCGCAGCTTTCCGCGGCTGGCAACGCCGACACCCCAGGTCAGGGTGGTCTTGTATCCCGAACACTCTCTACCAATCTCAATGCATTGCGTGCAGTACGGTCTTTTGCGATCACAGACAACGTCGCCTCGCTTTCTGCAGGTGAAGCAGTCGTCGGTGGCACCGCTCGCAGCGGTTCTTCGTCGCCTCTTCTTCGGTGGCGGGGCGGCAGAGCCATCGGTCGTGGTCATGGTGGACGGCGGCGAGGCTTATTGATCCAACTTGGCTGCTCACGAGTGGAGAGTAAGCATTCTGTTAGGAAGGTGGTATGAGGGCGCAGGCTTCAGAGGAGGAGGAGTAGTCAAAGACAAAAAGGGCGTTGCATGCGAATAGAAGACGGCGATGCGGGTGCGTGCTCTGAGCTGTCGACGGCCTCCAGCCCACGAACTAACAGACGGATGGTCGACGGATGGCCCAGCGGAGAGCGCAGGTACTATGGCCGCATGCAGGATTCGCTCAGTGCCGTAACGCCAGGCCCTGCCTGCACGAACGGCTGTGGAAGAAGGACTCTAGAAGGCCACGGGGGGCTGTCGCTGCTGCACGACATGGCGGGCATCACACGGGCTGGTCGGCATCAGTGCCACTGCGGTCATCTGCCCCGTCCGCCGCCCTCCCTCCCACCGTGCTGCTGGCGACCACCGGGCGTATCGCTGCGGCGTGCCTGTCTCTCGTCGCGGGCGTGCCTGATGCAAGAGCGTGATCACCCCACGGAGACCGGTTCTCGAGCGGTTCCTGGCCATCGCCCGGCCCAGCACAGCACAGCAGGGTCTCGCTCAGGCCGCTGCAGATTGCACCGTCGCATGCGTGAGCGCCACGAGGCCCACCAATCAAGACTACCTGCTGCACCAATGGCCGTGGCCTCAGAATCGGTCCAATCCCAGTGCGATCGCGCCTTATCTTGCTACCGCGGTTCGAGCATCGCTCGAAGCCTGTCCCATTACTAACGCAGGCGACGTCCTGGAACCTCTAGCGCCAACACCACGCCTTCCTTCACTTCTTCCACCACTCGACGAGCTGGCTGCAGCGAGCGTGGTTGCTATCAGACCAGGCGACGTCGAAACACACATATCACAAGGCCCGCACCTCCCATCAGAGGAGCCGCAACTCTCGCGATGACCAATGCGAAAGCATAAATAGAAGCGTATGCACTGCTTGACATGATGATGGCCAGGATGCACCGAAACGGACCCTCCATACCCCGCAGCAATCAAGCTCTAGTAGAGTTCGCCATGCCAGCCGGGGTGGTAAAGCCGTCTGCACTTCGCCTCAGGCGACAGAACGCTCTACACCACCACGACGACAAATACTCCAAACGACATTGGCCTCCACCGCTCCTTCGTATTTGCTCCAGTCTGCGGGCTCGTAGATATTAAGGCCACCACCACATCCTGGCGTCCGTCATTCACTGATAAGATCACGTGCTTGGAGAGCTGAATGACGGACAGCGCTGTCGAAAGGAATGGGCTGCGAGCTGTTGCGCCGGCCGTTGACAACCGTCTGTAAGCGCAAAGCCTAATCGAAACTCTAACGGACTACATCCTTCCTTCACGTGGGCTTCCATGCGCACAACACGTTGTGTTGGTCGAACTCTGACCATGTCAAGCATGGGTCGACAACGTGGAAGAAGTCTACGATGTGATCGAAGTATGTTGACGTTGAAGTACGTCGGGTCATCAATGCAAGGCCTGTCGATGGTGAGGGATGAGGGCATTATCGTCGAATGGTAGGTGAATGTTGCTGGGATTGAAAGTCAATCCGACATCGAACCTCTTACTTCGCCAAGTTCATCCCCTCACGATATCCCGGACTGAAATACTGGATTTGAGGTTGATGCCACTTCTTGACAAGATCAAGTTTGACTGCCAACCTCGATTCTGATCTTTATTGCGCCTATTCTGCTATGGCTCATGGTTCCAGTCACGTCTGGACGAACAGGCCACCCAAACTCTCGAGCAGTACAACTCCTCTTCTCAAACATCGAAGGCTGAATTACGAATCGGTCACTCCACTCCACACGTCGTCAAGCGAAGCTTGGTTCAATTGCGCAACGTACGTACCCCACGCCTAGGTCCGAGACCGAATGTACGAGTCCATGTGGTGCAGAGCCAGTTCTTCACATGTCTCAACACAATACGCACGCGACTGGCTGGATTCAGAGAGTACCTGAATAGGAAGGCTTGGCCACCAGGCATCTCAAAGAGGCAGCCTCTGTCCTGCCGAGAGGCCGCTACCCGACGGCACAGCATGGGCACGAGTTCACTCTCACGTCTTGCAACGCCATTCCCGACAGCCGCGCAGGTAGGACCGCCCTGACATGTGTTCGTCGGTAGGAAAGGCCGGCGGCGACATGCAGCAAACATGCGTTGCCTCGTTGCGGCTACACAGACGACTTTACCATGGATGACAGACTCTATGCCTCCTTCTCAGAGCGTGCATTGTATGATCATGGCAAGAACACAGACAAAAATTCTCACCTTCATGTCCAGAGACAGTCGCCATGTCAAACCGTTCAACACCCAACCGCTCAACATCACCGTGTGAAGTCCCATCTCTTCACGGTGGCGATATCACCAATGCCCCCGAAACGTCTCCACCTCTTCATCTCCCGATTGTGCGGCGTACCATGACAAGGTACCTAACCCACGGCTATTGGCATTGCTCGAAACGGGCATCGCCAGGCGCGGATAGCGACGAAATTGGCTGCGCGCACTCGTGATGTATCTCAGCATGGCACAGGCTCAGCAGCTACGGAGACGAGCGTCTACGATGTAGAAGTCGTCGGAATGAGCAAGTATAAGAATATGCCATTCCTTGTCCTGTCCTGTCCATCGATCGTCTCTCCCTTCACCCCCTTCGTCGGCTTGTCAACAAGAGATTATTAGATCTCGCTCAAGGGACTATCGATCGCCATGTCGCAGCCTCAAGGATATGTACGCCTGGAAGGAAGACAGAAATCTCCCTTGGGATCTCTCGTTGATACTGACACATCGTGACGCATAGGTCCGATTCGCCTGCATCCATCGGAATCTGGGATGTGCCAACTGGGTGTGGCAGAATGGCGCTGCTTGCGGCTCTTGCATCGTGAGTGTTGTCTTCGTGCAGTGGAGCAAATGTCGTGATCGATGCTGACAAGGGCTGAGTAGGCGTCCGGACGCAACCCTGGCAGGAGCAAGAGTGCTGCTTGATGGAGCCGCTATTTGACGGTTCGCGAAGGGGATAAGAGGTAGTAGTGAGACGGTGGAGGGTGGTTGGGAGAGTAAGGGAAGCGAAAGGCTGTATGACTGAAGGAAGGAAACACTAGATGAGCGGCTTGGTTAGAGTAGTCTGCCGACTGTTAGGGGTTTTCAAAGCGTGAGAGCCTTTCCAACGTGTCAAAACCTCCAGTGGTGCCTTGAAATCTCACCCCTTTTCTTTCCTCTTCACGGACCAGGAGTCAGAAGTTCATGCCGGCATATAGTCCCGATGCAGAGCTGCAAGGAGGACATGAAGACAGAGTCTCGAGAGATGAAGACTTGAAGACATCGAGGTATCGGACTGAGACAACATTGCGTAAAAAGCTCTCGGTGTAGCTACGGTTCCTCTCTCCCCAACCCCTGGATGTACCAATCTCCTCACCACGCGCAACAGTACGTACTTACCTTCCTCTCAGCCTCCAGATGTTATTGCATTTCCCACGTCCGGCCACAATATAGACCGTTCACGACCAGACCCTCCGTCGATCAAAACTTCTCCTGCGCCGGCCTCAAATCCAACTCGTGCGTCCACAACGCCGGCTCCTGCTGCGCCAACCACAGATACGTCTTGCCCACCGCGTCGGCCGACATGTGTTTCCCAGTGCGGGTGTCGTCGTTATCTGCGTCGACGATGCGGCCGTTGGCGATGGTGTGCTAAGAAGCGTCTTGGGTTAGAAGAGGGGGAGAGATGGAGGGTATGGATGGGGAGAAAAGAGCCTGTAGGACATACCACGACGTGCACGCCCTTGGGAGACATCTCGCGCGCGAGGGCTTGGGCGAGTTGCCGGACGCTGCTACGTGAGGAGCCGTAGCTGGCGAATTCGGCGTTGCAGCGGAGGGCGCCTCTGTGAAGTTGCTGTTAGATCTTCTATCCCTTGGGCAACGATGGAGGATATGGACGTGATCATCACTTACAAAGTCCCAGTGAAGATCTATCACCACCACCAAAGCACGTCAGCACCCCTTTCCTCTCCCCCTCAGACTCAACAGAAACAAAAACTCACCAAAGTCCCCTTCTTCCCACCCCCCTCCACCAACCCCCCCTCCCCATTCTCCTCAAACCACCTCCTCAAACTCTCCTGCGCGAAAACCATCGCCCCGCCCACATACGTCTCGAGCGGCTGCACAAACTCCTCAAACGACTCCTCCATGAAAGGTTTCTTCGAGGAATTCTTAATCGAGAAGATGGCGACTTTGAGCTTCAAATCCCGGAAGGATTGGTGGGCTTTGATGTCCGCGAAGGCCTTGCGGAGGGAAGTGGGGGAGGTGTCGGTGGGGAAGGCTTCGAGGACGAGGGAGGGGGTTTGGGAATGTAGGGATTTGATTAGGTCGGCGAGGGAGTCGGGGCGGCGGGCTGGTTGGGTGGTGAGTTAGATGGATGGGTGGATGGTGGGTTTGCTTTTGGGAGGTCTTGATGTTGACGAACCGAGAAGAGCAACGGCCATGTTGCCGTGGTTCGGATGTGAGAGGATACGCGCAATGCCTACAGAACTCTCAACATCAGCTTCAATGCCTCTTCTCACACAACGACTCGAAATAATCAACACATACCAGCCCCAGTCGCAGGACCAGCTCCCAAAAGAATCGCCAATCCACTCGGTGCCATGATGAAAGATGACTTGGGTCGTTCGAAGGATACAAACAATCGAATAGTCCGAAAGAGTCAGATCCAAGGGAAAACAGATAGATGTGTTTGGCAGACCAGCTATATGTATACTGGCCTACTGTACCTTTGTTATGTCCAGACAATGACGCAAACGTCATGATGGGCCGCAGGTACCAAAACCTAAACTGCAAGGTGGAGAGCGCGGAGCTCTTGCAGAGGGCATTTGGAATACGTGAGAAAGAAGAAGCACCTATAAACCAGCCCTGAAAAAACCGTCGGATTGGCGGCCTGGGTCGGTCGGTCTGATCTGGTTGCGTGGACTGTGATGTCTCGTATGAGTGTCCTTCATGGATATCAAAGGATTGGTGAAGCAGCTTGTCTGGCGCGGACGCGGGCGCGGACCTGGTCACGACCACGTCGAGAAGTCAGACACCTCCAAAATTAAGCCGCAAGGTGGAACGGATGTTGATGAGATTTCTATGTCTGTTCAAGATATTCATTTTCTATCAGATAACAACATATGAATTACACAAACGCTCAAAGCCCAACAGCAATGACACCAGCAACTCGAATCGGGTCTGTCTGCGTTTTGTGGCCCGCCGCGTCAAAGCATTTTCTCATCATCATAACGGGATCATAACATGAACGCATCCTATGCCTGCTGCTCGATGGGTCCGGCAGCTGGTGCCGTTGTTGGCGCGCCGTTCGGAGCCTTTGGGCTGTTTCGTTGGCTTTCTTGCTTTGTGGCCGACCGCTTCTCCTCATCGCCGCTGTCGTCATAGTTCTCGTCCATCTCCATCTTTCGAGCTGCAGGTTCATAGACTGGAGCTGGCTGTGGAGGAGGCGGAGGTGCGCGTTGCTCTTCTTGTGGCGGTGTCGACATTCGAGGCGATTGCTGCGTGATTGATTGCATCGATGGGAGAGACGGTGGATGGTGCGCAGCTTCAGATGGGTGATACGCGGACGTAGGTCGCTGCTGCTCGTCAGGCCGCCTGAGCTCCGATGGGCTGTGATGTGGAGGAGTGCCAATCTTCTCTGGCGGCGAAGGTCGCTGCATCTTGATCTCATCCAGTCTCGACCGACCCTCCTCAGTTGTGGGCTTCTTGGATGCATTCAGATTCGGATCGTCATCCCACTCGCGGAGCCTCTTGGGAGCAGTGCTTGGTGGTCTGTCTTCCCTCTCACGCGCAGCGGCATCGGCAGCTTGCTGAGCAGAAGTCGGGGCTGGTGCACCACTGGCAATACTGGGTGCTCCAGGTTTGGGATGGTGCTCATAAGGCGTTCTGGGGTACTGTCCAGCGCTGGGCGAGGGAGCTGGATTGCCTACCAATGGACGAATCTCAGGCTGGGCTTCTGGCTGACGAGCATACGGTGGCAAAGCGTTTTGAGCCGACGGCGTCGACATGCCGTTTGAAGGAGGCGGTGGCGGTCCATTCGAAGGCTGAGAAGTGTAACCAGGACGAGGTGTTTCCTGCTGTTGCGGAGGGGGGCCCGGATGCTGAGGAGCAGGTGGCTGCCCTTGATGCGGTGGTCCTGGCTGATACTGCGCGGGAAGAGAGTGCTGGCCCTTTGGCGATGGCGAGAGACCTCGGTGTGGCGGAGGCGGTGGGCGCGTTGGCTGGTCCTGATACTGGCGAGGTGGTGGCGGGCTTTGCTGGCGAAGGGGTGGTGGTTGCGGCTGTGCAGGCTGCTGCTGTTGCTGAGGTGGCGCCTGTTGTTGCTGCTGGGGTGGGCGATCTCTCTGGTCATATGGATTCATCGGCTGTGGCTGCATCTGTGGGTTTTGGAGATCGGCGAGTCGGTTGCCACCCCAGTTGCCTCCAGCAGCAAGCGGTGGAGGCGCTGGGCCTGGTGGGGGCGGGTTCTGCGAATGTGCACCCCATTGAGGGCCGGGTGGGCCTCCTCCAAGGGCACCAGGCTGATATGCTTGTGGGTGGACATCTTGGGGTAGAGGTGCACCCCCTTGGTTGGGCAGACCGTTCGTCGGCTGGCCCTTGAGCAAAGCGAGTCGAGCTTTGATGTGCTGGTTGGTAGGATCCAAGTCAGCCGCTCTGGTGTATGCATCGAGAGCGTCGCTAGTCTGATTGTTGCACGACTCGTACTGTGATAATACATTAGTGATTATGTCGCATTACTGGGACGAAGAGCAAACTTACCAGGGTACCAAGATCATACCAAACCTCAGATATGTTGGGGTTCAGACGAATGGCGCGAGAGTATGCATCGAGAGCGTCTCGATACTGGTTGATCTGGTAGTACAGGACACCAATGGAGCACCAGAAGGTTGGGTTGCGGCCGTCACGATAGACAGCTTGTTGGTAGGCTTCATATGCTTTCGGGTACTTTTGCTGTGACATGTAGCATCTACCAAGCAAGTACCAGCTTTGTGCGTCGGTTTGGTCTGACATGCATTAGACACGAGTGAAACGGAGCTTGTTGCACAGGCTACTCACCAGAATTGACAGACTTTTCCAGATATTCGATGGCCTGTTCTTGGCTGCTGAAGCTTGTGCTCTGCTGATGATGGAGCCAGCCCAGCTGTTGCAAGACTTTGGCGTGCGTCGGGTCACGCTCAAGGACGCGAGTATAGGCGGCCTTTGCAGAGTCGTACTGCTACAACGTCAGCTCGGAGAACATGTCACACAGCGTCGGACGGCACTAACGTCTTTTTGTTGCTCATGCACGTGGCCAATCTGGAACCAGATGTCTTCTTCGCTCAGTGGACGTGGCGGATCATTGACGATGTAACGGAAGCACTTTGCAAATTGTCAGCGCGTTTATACCTCAACTTGGAAGCGAAGGTGGACATACCTCAAGACTCTGCGCAAACTTCTGCTGCTGCTTGTATATGATACCAAGACGGAAGTAGATCTCGTTGGCCTTTTCGAAGTTGGGCTCCATCCGCATGACCTGCGAAAACGCTTCTTCGGCGTGCTCCAACGATCCGTAGCGGTCATAGAGAATGCCTATGCCATACCAGAGCTTGGGCTCCTTGGGGTCTGGCAGGTGGTACAATGCTTGTTGGTATGCAGAGTACGCTTGCTGTAGGTCGTCCATCATCAGGTAGCAGTGTCCTAAACTACTCCACACCTCGCCATTGGACGGCTCGACCTTGAGAATCTGTCGCAGATACTCGACAGCGGATGTGAATTGGTCTTTGGAGCGCAGGATGCAAGATATGGCGAGCATAGCCTGCACCGACCATTGGTTGAAGTTCATGGCGCGTTCATATGCTTGTGTCGCGCCGTCGAGCTCGCCCATGACTTCTGAGAGGTTGCCCAGCTGTAGCCATACCGACTCATTTGTTGCCGCCAGGTATTGCGACACGGACTTGGCTTGTTGGGGCGGCGGTGGAGGCTGCTGGATGGGCATGCCAGCAGTCGGCGGCGGACGACCTGGGCCCGCATAAGAATGGTGGCGAGGCAGCGGGCCCGAGGGTGATTGTTGCGCTGCCATGGTGGTGGAGGGTGGAATTGATCACTGTGGGGGAGGAGATACGCGTTAGCTGATGCGATCGGGCTGTGTCCATGTGACAGCGCAGCGAAAACGAGCATACCTATTTGGGGGAAGCGACGAACGTCATCCAACCGATTTCGAGAAATGAGGCAAGAGCGCTGGCGAGTTAGAATAGAGGTGGAAGGCGGGTGCGGTGTGCGGTGTGCGTGAAAGGGAAAGGGCGACGCACACGCGGGAGAGTGTGAGGCAGGTCGCGAGAAAAGAAGCAGAAACAGCAGGAGCGACCTAAGAGGCTGTTGGCAGGTGCTGGAGGTCGCTCCTGCTCTCAGAATCGCGGGCTCAGGTTTAGTATAAAGTCGTGGGATTGAGAGTGGATGCAGACATCCTTGTTCGTTAGCGTGAAGCCCGTGAGCCTGCCTGCAACCGCGACTGTGCGACGGCGGACTGGCCCGAGATCCACAAATATCTCGCGCCTTCTCTCATTATTAGGTAGGTATATCAGACTGTCCGGTATCCAACAGTGCATCACTATCCGCGGACACGCGCGCAGATTCACTCGCCTTGTACTGGAGATATCGTGTCTTGATGACTTTCGGACCCTCGCACCGGTTTGGTTGCCCCAGCCTTGCATGCTCTTGCGGAGAAACGGCCATCTATTCGGCGCGATCTGGATTTCGATATACAGGACACATGCTCTGCCTCCCACGGAACCAAACACCGTACCAACGCCCGCAACCGAGGCTGGTGGATGGGACGGCATACTTGTACACACACAGCTGGCCTTCCATGGATCAGCGCCGTGCCGCTAAGTAAATCCCGATCCATCAGCGCACTACTGCAAAGGCAGCGTAAGGCGGGCGCCGGGAACCCAACCACAACGCCTGCATCGCGAATGTCCCTTTTTCATGATGCAACGCCCATCCGCCGTTCGGCCACCCGCAGCGAGCGCACAGAGCAACCGGCCACCTCCTTCCTTCCACCCTTCATCAGCAGCAGGCCAGCAGCCTCTTTCCGCTGGCATGCACATACCCAGCTGCGCGGATGGATCATGTGCAACGTGGCGTATGTGCGCTCCGCTGGCGACGCGACGGGGGACGAGCAGGTGACAAGGCTTGTCGCAGATGGCGACGCTGTGTGCCCAGCCGAAATCGCCGCCGCGTTCGCCGCTCACCCCTGGCGCTGGCGAGGCTCTGGCAACTCTGACAACTGCTGGGTCGGTGGCACGCAAGACCCATGGCTGGTCTGGCTGGCGCCCACAGCCGTTGCCGAGTGGAGAAGAGGAAGCGAAATCCACGAGTGAGATCCACCATCGCCGCTAAAAACCGTGCTCATCATCAGCCGAGGACATCCTAGACTGTTTTGAGGGCTCCTGCCGACTGTGGAGACGCCCACCAAACCTTTAACCCACCATCAGCCACCCGGCGAATTCCCCTCCAAAATTGACAACAATTAACCGGCCGTTCGGCTGCGTCATCAACGTGTGTAACCTAGCCTATTCAAACACGCCGCACGAACGCTGGACCACTACAATATCAGTTCTGCCTCCTAATTACAAGTCTGTTCATCATAGAGAGGTTCGGCAAAGCTCGACAGCCAGCACACCTTGGAGATGACGAAGGCAAAGTTTGAAACGCCATGGCGTTGCAAGCACACCTGCAAGACGAAGCCCCCAGCGAGAGCGTGATCAACTCAGGATCTCATCGGTCGCTGGTCGTCGTCGGGCCGTTGAACGGGCAATCTGCCAACGCCTGATGACTCGCCACGTCGCCCACACACCACACCACGCACATCTGCTGTGAAACACAGACAAGGTTGTTCGACTTTGGTATTAAGGTTCTGCGGGTGACAAGCTTCTGCGTGGGATAAAACGGCGTCTCTGGCTCCTGCTCGCATCCCAAGTTTGCCTGCAGTCTCCGCCCCCAGCCACAGATTTCGCATGCATGTTGCAGGTTGACGCTCGTGAGCTGCCTCGTCGGTTTAATTTGCTGGCAATGCAGGTTGCCTATAATAAAAGCACCAACAAATTCCAAAGTGAAGTTCAGATGATCAGGCAGGTAGGAGACGATACAACTAACACAGTCCGTCTTTGCCTGGTCCCTTCATGACATGCTTGATCGTCGCCAACTTGACAGCGATCATCACGACCCCATCATCACCCCAATCTTCCGAGCACACGACCACCTCTAACTTTCCAAAAGCACGCATATACTTTCTTAAGTATTTGCGAATTACAAGAAGCAAGTCTACAAAAGGGAAAAAGGGAGGAAGGATGCAAGCCACCCCGACACCAACCGATACAATTTATCGAACTTAACAGCGGCAGTGGCTGGCACACGTGGGCGAAGACGCCACATCATCTCGGAGGGATCTTGACTTTTATTCTTTGGCTTAACAAACAACGGTTCTACTAATTGCTAGTCGTGACGGACGACATCAGTACCACGCTTCTCGCCCTTCTTCCCCATACTAGTCGAGTGACCAGCCGTCTATTCGTGATTTTACCCCTGATGCTCGTCTCGTACTGCCCGCCGCGCAATACTTGGTTGGACCCGGACTATAGTCGCAGTAGTAGAATAGACTACACCTACGCTTTAGTAGCCCGACCAATATTAATGAGGCGCTTAACGCCGACCTATGACGAAGTTAGTACCACCATCTAGCAATTAGTCCATCAAACCAGCATCAAACTTACCATCCAATGCGTCCCTTCAGTGTCAAGCTTAGCCGACTGCATCTCGGTGAAGAGCGCCTGCGCCTGATCCCACTGCTTCTCCGCCACGAACTGCGAGATCTGCACCATTTGCTGGACGGTGTCCGGCTGCAGAAGATCCTCATTGTTGAGGTGGTCGAAGAGGATGTTGATCCGCTTGTCCATGTCGTCGACTTGGGGTTTGAACGCTTGCGGGGCGACGGTCTTGATGCGTGCCACTTCGGGGGTGAGGAGATCGACAATTGGCTGTGCCGTTGCCGGTATGTGTGATCTGTCGCCTCGAGGGTGTTTCGCTTTGGGCGGGGGAGCTGGTGATGCTGATGTCGCGGGAGTATCGGCGGCGGTCTGGGGCAGTTGCTGGACAGGAGGCGCTGGACCGCCACGGATAGGGGGTCCTTGAGGTGGTGGACCGGCAGTCGACTGAGGCGGTGGCGCCGCTCGAGGTGGTCCTCCTGGTGGCGGCCCTGCTCGCGGCGGCGGTCCTTGCGATTGCGGCGGCTGACCGTATCCTCCCTGCTGAGGCGCTTGTTGCGGTGCGTACGGGCTTTGATGCTGTGCTTGGTAAGGGTTTGGCGCGACGTTTCTCTGGGGAGGCATCGCTCCAGGGCCTGGTGATGGTTGAGAACCAGCCGCAGGGGCGTACCGGTTCGACGGTGCTGCCGTGGATGTTGATGGAGGCGGCTGATATGGTGAAGGCCCACGCTGTACAGGCGGAGGTGCAGAAGGAGCAGGCAAAGTCGAACCAACAGTTTGAGCACTCGGCGGTGGAGCATAAGTGTTGGCAGCTGATGATGCAGGGCGCGAGATACCTTGGGGCGGCGCAGTAGCGGGCGACATGACTCTAGGTGGTGCCTCGCCAGCCTTTGGTGGAGGCGGCAGAGGTGGAGTTGGCTTTTGGAAGCCTTGCGGCGGGCCAGCAATTGGCGGTGGGGACATAGGGTTCGGTACAGCATTGGGAAATGGTGAGGCTACCGGCGCAGGGCCAGGTGTGCCACGCCGTGAGTTGGGCGCTCGCTGATTGAGGAAGTTGTCAGGCATGTCGTTCCAGTTGGTCATGTTTCTCGCGGCTGACGGTGGAGGCGCTGAAGGCGATGTAGTGCCAGCACGGGGTGGAGGCGGCAGCGGTGCTTGTTGCTGCGCAGCCTGGTATCCGCCATAGCCAGCTGGCTGCCCGTAGGGAGCAGAGGGCTGAGGTGGTTGGTATCCTGCTGGCGCATAAGTGTTCGAAGCTGGTGCGTGTGGCCCGGGTGCTGCTGGAGCTGGTGTGCTGACACCGGCTGGAGAATACAGAGAGGGTGGATTCCTTGCCTGGTTGATCAGAGGTTGCACGGGCTGCTGAGGCTGTTGGGGCAGGAAAGGCTGCACTGCCGGCTGTGCTCTAGCCGTTGTTCGCTGCGCCGTTGCACTTCTCCCCTGGGAGGCTGCCGCTGCTTTCTTCGTGGCCTGCTTGATGCGTTGTTGCGCGGACTCTGCGCCTTCAAACTTGCCCGGCAACAAATCGAGATATCGTTCTGCGATGCTCAGTTGACCATGAGCCGCCAAGATCTCAGCGTATTCCGCGTAGAGATTGTAGAGTGGTGCGAGTTTCCAATCGGCAGTAGACTGCAGCTCTGAGTCACGGAAGTTTGTGACCTTTCTGAAGACCGAAACTTTCTCGATGAACTCCTGCAAGCTTTTAGCATGTACAGAGAAGCTGTTGTCGTCCTCCGACTTCTCCAAAGCCGCCTTCTCGTGCTCTTGCAGTTCCTCGACCCAGTTGTTGACCACCTTCTCCAGCTTGGCGCCAGCCAGGTAACAGAACGATGCATCTCGGCGCAGCGTCTTCGCGCCGTCTCCTGCCTGGTATGCTTCCTCGAGACGGTCGCCAAGAGCTTCGCAAAGATCTGGAAACTCCTTCTCATCCGCGTAGGTGCAAAGCGTGGCCATGACCTCCTTCCAGTTGCTCAAGTCTGCATTATAGACGAAGTCCCACAGGTTGTTGCCAACTATGCTCGCGAGCAAGCGCAAGTAGTTCGGACCATCCGCCTTCTTTTTGAGATACGCGCTCTGTGCTTTGTCGATGCACTTCTGGCCGCCGCACACTGCAATCATGAAGGCGTCTGACATTCTGTTTTCTTTGAGACAAATTTCGAGTGCTTTCTCAAATTCGCCAAGCATCAACGCCTGCGTGATGCCCTTGTCTGCCTCGGACTCTGAGCCGGTGTAGATGCTGAAGGGGTTGTTTGTCTTGGCGCCCTTCGTTGCCGCGAGATCAGCAAGGAAGTTGTCGCCGTCGCCATCGTCTCCGCCGCCGAATAAGTCGTGTTTATCGCCATTGACCTTGCTGTCGGCTGCGGCGTCACCGTTGATTCCTAGCTTCTCCGTTTCCTTGGCCAGATCGACATCAGAATCATCGTCAAAGCCGAGAAATTGCCTGAGCTTCTTTCTTGACTTGCCCGCATTCAACGTCTCGATGACCTGCCAGTCAGCCTTCTCCTCGTCGCTCTTTGCGCTCTGAATCTTGCTTTCGCAAATGCCTGTCAAGTCACCACTGCCAAGCTTCTCCTCAAACTTGACAGTAGAATCTCCGATTGAATTATCTGCCGAGAAAGTCTCAATTGAGACCTTGCTCTTTCGCGTGGCATCCGAAGTCACGCGAATGAGCTTGCCGCCGAACCCGAAGGAAACACTTGCTGGCCTAGCCGCCCACTTGGGAGTCTTTGGAATGCTGAACGAGATACCTTGGGGTTGGGTCTGCGCCTTCGCGAAGAAGTCTTCGCTATCTAGTGCCTGATTTGCAGCGGTCTGCTCCTCAGCTTTGGCATTGGTGCTTTGGATGGAAGTAATCAGAATCTTGCCGTCGAATGATGCGCTTGCAATGAGATTTGGATTATGCGGGTTCCACCTTGTCTGGAATGCCCAGTTTGAGCCGGCCGCGAAATCACTGTATCGCTCTCCTGTCTTCGGGTTCCAGCAAATGGTGCGATTGTCTTTCCCGCAAGACAAAAGCAGGTCAGGATCCTGCACACACCATGCCAGCCCTAGCACGCCCAGCTCGTGGCCCTTCAGTGTCCGCTCTGGCGCACTGCTGTTCCTCAGGCTCCACAAAAAGACCAGCGGATCTTGATCGTTGGGCGTCGCAGTTGCCAGCTTCGTGCTCTCTTCTGGATCCCAGGCCACAGCACTGACAGCTTTACGGCCTTGATTGTTCAATGTCAAGATGTCCTTCTTCTGCTTCACGTCCCACACAGTCACAAAGCCACCGCTGCTGCCCGTAGCCAAGATATGTGCCGTCTTCTCTTGCTTGTTCCAATCCAAACACTCAATGTCGTCCGCTCTTGCTACCGAGGCACCCAGCCTGAATGGGTTGGCCATGTTGTTGAGGTCGTAGATGAAGATCTCGCCTTTTGAACCCACTGAGGCTAAGAGGTTGTGCCTGTACGGGTTCCACTGCAATGCCTTTGCGCTGCCACTGTGCTTGGTCGTTCGCGAAATGAAAGCGTCCGAGGAGCCATTGCGCAGCTTTTGAGCGTCCCAGAGATCAATCGATCCATTTTCAAACGCTCCTGCAATGACACCTAGGGGATGGTCGTCGCTGGGCTCGCTCCAGGCAATATCGTTGAACCCTGAGTCGGTGGTTATGGGGTTGCCAGCTGGCTTCAGGTCGCTCTCGTGGTCCAGCTTGTCCAGTCCCAAGTCCCACAACTCAAGCTTCGTTTCGCTGGAGAAGTCATCGTTGACCGCGCCGGCTCGTGTGCCTGTCACAACCAGAGGAGCACCGGCTCCAGGGGACCAGGCGAAGACGGCGGTGCGAGGGATTTCTCGTAGGCGGACCATGGTCGCTGATGGGGATTATGATCGAAGCAAAAAGCCAACGCCGAATTCAAGGCCCGCGCATACGAAGAACAGAAGCGGCCGCAAAGGGGGAATGCAAGGTGGTGGGTTGTTGGAAAGGGAAATGTGGCAGCTTCTCCCCTGGTCCCTGGGATGGCCTCAGCCAGAAACCCAAACAGACGTCAGGCCTTGGCAGACCCTGCATCCCACCCAATACAATATCTTCTCCCAAGCCAATGCGACATGCTGTTTTCCATAAGATCTATTGCGAGTAATTTTTCTGATGTCCATAATGCAAAGAATGAAGCACTACGCGATGATACCAACGTCACCTCACATGTTGTTCGATACCAATACGCTCCTCATCTGGCCATTGGAACTCGACACGTTCCAACAATCTCAAGATAAGACGAGATTTTATCACAGGAGCCTCACACCGCTCCAATCGCCTGGCCAAAGCCATCCTCGCGGGCATACTATTCATTTGCACATGAGTTGGACCAGGCCAATCTTCACGAGCCAGACTGCCCACTCCTTGCGGGACAAGACGTCGTTGAACCGATGCACAATCCTCAGCCTTTGACCTTCTTCGAAACACAATCGAGGAGAGAGCGGAAGCCCATGACACAAGGACGAAGACTTTATCGCCAAAGGAGATCTGCTTGACCTGCTGCGCCTGCCAGTATCCCCGGCAGCACAACATTCACCTCACTTACACCCTCTTCACATGAAGGCCGGGTAAGGCTTGCCTCACAAGCACGGGGTCTGAGCTCAGACGCTTTCTTCACTTGACAAGTACTTATACTTCCATCTTCTCTCTTGTTCTCTCTCGACTCCATTCCTGCCCATCTCCACAAGGCATTCTTACCCTCTTGACCGACACTGACCTTTCCCAGCAGTAGTCATGGACGACCCGGCCGCGCATGACGACAGCCTTCAGTGCGAGCCATCTGATGAAGGCTTCGTCGACGTCGAATTGTCTACACCACGGGATCCTTCAGAAGATTCAACCCCTATTGTGGATGATCTCCAGAACTACACCAAGCGTGAGCTTCGACCTCCGAGGAGAGGACTTCAACCCACGACGTGGCTCGACAACGACGACACTGGGAACTATGATCCTGCTGAGGAGCGAATGAAGAGACGGTTCCGCCCCAGGCCACAGCAGAGGACCAGAGCTCCTGGCGATCAGACCCGGGAAAGGATTCCCATCGAGAAGCCGAAGTTGGACGTGTCCGTGACATTCACAAGCGAAGAAGCAAAGAAAAGCTTCAACGAGATCATCTCTCAAATCCAAGAATTGGATGTTGCCGATCAAGAAGGGTACAAGTTGCGCACACGTGCTCAAGACGAGGAAATCAGTAGCCCGACCACTGAGATCGACCTCACTGCGAAGCCTTTTGCTCGTGGTTGCTGGGGATGTGCGGCCTTGGCTGGAGATGGCCAGTCGCAATGCTCTCTCCTCGTTGACGAACGTTACTGGCCCTGCCTCACGTGCGAAGAAGACGACTGTGACTGCGAGCTGATTGCACCGCCGGTCCGAAAGCGTCAGTGCGAGCTATGCAAGCGGCGCAAGGTCCCTTGCTCATACACCTACACCAGAAACCATGGTGCTACCTGCTCTCAGTGCGAGTCAGTCTCACAGCCGTGCATTGCTGGTCCCGTGACACAGTTCACAAAGCAGCGGATCAGACTGGATCGGGATTGGGAGAAGGATCCATTGCCAACAAAGAAGAAAGGGAAGTTTCGAGCAAACGAGGAGTGCTGGGAGTGCTCACAGGCGGGCACTTCATGCAGCTATGGGTCTGACGATGACGGTACTCCTTGCGAGGCATGCAAGCAGAATGGTAACCCCTGCACGATTGGCAAAGGTCCACCGCCACAACCGACCAAGAGTAAGAAACGAAAGAGGGTTACGGAACAGGAAAGTGATCCCGCCAATGCTGAGACGGATACACCTACGACAGAAAGCCAGGACAGCAAGGCCGAGGAGAAGAAAGAAGAGACTGTCAAAGGCGACAGAAGGGATTCGGCCGCAGAGCTTCCCACGACCCTCAGGATGCCAAACACCTGCAACCCACATGCAATCGCGGCAGCGAGGAAGAGGGAGCAAGGCATCGAAACTCCTTCGACATCATCAGGAGTCAACTCGACATATCCCCGACCACCCCAACACCCCCGACCACCACAGCCCCCGATCTCAGCACCTCCCCGCGTTCCTCAGCACCCACGAGGCCGCCCAATCTTCCGAAAGATAGCGACCAGCTTCTGCCATCCCATCCACTTCAACTGTGACAAGTCTCCAGAGAGAGACGGCAACGGCAACACCACCTCCACCAACCCCTCCAAACCCTGCTCCTTCTGCACAGCGCCTCTTACAGCCTTCCACGGCCTCGGCCACAAGCCAAACGTCGAAATAATCGACTACCAAAACAACGAGCCCTACACCGAAACCCGCAACGGCCACAAAGCCCTCGGACGCGAAAGCACCCGCCTCTGCGCACAGTGCACCACCGACCGCCTGAACATCCTCTTCTGCGACCACCACCGCATGCGGCCCATCCCGGGAACAGACTACACGGACGAGGAACTCGACGACGCCATGGACGACATCTTCGAGGGGATCGAACCCAAGGACATCAAAGCGTACTGCAACCTCTGCGGCCACCTGGCCCAGTACAGGTGTCGGAATAAAAGGGAGCCTTGTGGCTTGGCGCTCTGCGAGGGGTGTGCGGTGACGTTGGTGGAGAATCACGGGTCGGATTTGCAGCATATGCTGAGCCATTCGATGCATGAGCCGACCGCGTCGGCGCCTTTGGGGTTGAGGGCTGATGCGGAGCTGCTGGATGAGGAACGGGGGGCTTTGGCGAGGTTTTTCAAGTTTTACATGTCTTTGCGGAACTGATGACGAGGATAGGGGAATTGGGACGGGGGAGGAGTGGATGACTGGGACGGCGAGGGAATGATGTACGATTACACACTTTCTGAATATGAATCTGAATCAGGAGCTTCTGCATTTCCTTCCCGTCAGAAGGACATGCAGTTGGCGATGAGACATAGGAACTGACGAGCCCTTTCGTGACAATGCTCTTCGTCAGCGTGATCTGTACCGGATGAGAGCACTAAAGAGCAGAACAAAGTACTGCTGTCTCTCCGCCATCGAGCCCATAGCCAAATCATGAGCCCAGTCTCTCGCAATCGCAGCTCCTCGAACGCCCATACGCCAACCCTCCGCGCTATGCACCGGAGAAGAACCCTCGCAAACGATATCGAACACAGCAATCACGATCCCATCCGATACCCAACCTCGAATCCCCGAAGACCTGACCGACTCTAAGCGCCATTCTTCGCCTTGTCAAGGTAGTCTTGGCCGGCATGCTCGTACTCAGCTGAGAGATATTTCTCGGCACGCTTCGCCAGCCATTGAGTCATCTTGGAGAGCTCCTCACGGAGGCGGCTGACACCCTGGGAGTCCATGTTGGTGTGGGCGATGAGGTCAGGCATGGAGACTGAAAGTCTTGATTAGCAAAGTGCCGTACCATTACTGCTGACGGCTAAACTTACCGAAGAGACGAAGAAGATGCTCGCAGCCGTACATATCGCAGAGGGTCTTGCCAGCATGCTCGCCATGACCAGACTCAATCCACTTGTGCACATCGTAGAACTGCGGACGCTCGAAACGGTAGAGAAGGATGCGACCAAGAGAACGGTTGAAGTACTCCTTGACGCCAGCGATGACTTCTTCGAGAAGATCGGCGTCTGCGGAGCCCCGCCGACGATTGGCGCTCTCGGCGCGGTAGTAGTCGTCGAGGAATTGGGCGACGGGCGTTGGGGCGGGCATGGGTACGAGCTTTTGCTCTTTGGTGACCTTTTCCCAGTCGTCTACGAGGATCGATTTGAGGGTATCGGGGATGAAGAGGCGGACTGCGGGTCGGCGGACGAATTCCTCCTCCTGTTCATGTTGTCAGTGCTGAGCGTAGAGTTTATATTGGTGAGCGATTGTTGTGCAAATCTGCGGAGGCAGGTCGAGGCACGGGCGACGTGGCACCCCGGATCTCAGCGCGTGGGCGATGAGTTTTGAGAACAAAGGTGCATCACAACGATATCGCCCACGAAGCATCGCATCAGGCGTCGCAGTGGGCCCCCGTGACAGACGCACGAGGATACCGCTCCTCGACATGCCTCGTAATGGATGTAGTAGAACTCATTTGGCCACCCGAGTGCCGCCAAGACCCCTTTGAGTAGACCAAACAGTGAAAAGAATGAACGTACCTTATCGATGCCCTCGATCTCGCGTCCTCGCTTCGTGCCTCGAGGTGGTTGAGGTGCCACAGAGCTCCTGTCCTCGCTCCCACGTGCTGAGGAACCGGTCAGGTCGGAGCCAAATGGCCGCTTCTTGGAAGTCATGGTCATGGACGGAGGCTTGCCCGAGGCGGCACGGCGCTGTGCGTCCATGTCTTTCTTGAGATTGGAGGCGAGCTCCTTGTTCTCCTCACTGAGCTTGCGGATGCGTTCTTGCGGTACCCAGTCGTCCCAGCTGCCTTGAAGTCAGCACACTGTTTGCTAGCGTTCGCCGCCAGAGGTCGCTGTGATTCTCTCAAGTCGTTTCCGCGACTTCAGAATGCAGCATGGACAGATGAGATAGCAGATGAAGAAGCGTGAGCAGTGTTCAAGGCAAATAAGGGCGACAGATGCCGGGGGAGAGGGAGAATCTTTCGTGACCGAAGCAAAAAATGTTTCTTCCAAAGAGCAGGAAAGGGAAGCGGCGGAGGGAAAATACGCAAAAGCGAAGAAAAGCACTCACGTGTTCTTCCAGCCCTTGTAGTGAACGCGGTAGACATAGCCGTCCTTCTTGTCGTTGGGGTCCTTGACTTTGCTGTCGAGGACTTTGGCTTCGTAGAGAAGCTCGCCGTGACTGCCGGCAGACATTCATAGTCAGCACAACGTGAATGGTCGGTCGAGGTCATCACTGATTCCACTTACAAGCATAAAACGCGCTCGTCCTTCGCGAACGCAGGCTGGCCACTCGCTGCTGGTGCCATGGCGGATGCGGTTGCGGCAGGAGGCGTTTGAGCAGAAGACGTAGATTCCCGGTAGCAGGTCTTCTGATGTTATATTGTGTTCCGGTAAAGTTGGACAGTGTATGGCTTCGCGTTTGACTCGAGTTTTGGGTGTTGGGCGTGTCGGACTCAATAAGGTGGATGTGGTGTGGAAAGCCTCAGAGAACGAGGAGGGATGAAAGCGCAGCGCACGGACCAATATCTTCACCTGCTACGCGTTTCGAGCCATAACAATCGACAATGTCAGTCTTAGATCTTCGAGCAGTGGCAAAGATATGGACAACAGTAACTCATAGAACGCATGACTTTTCTGATCGCGTTGATAGTCTGTTTGATCTCTATGTACTGCTATCTGCTCTCAACCTCCGTCAAGCTCACCCTGACTCCCGGGTCCAAATGAGGCTGGACACCAGCAATGCTGGGATCGCAGCAGTCGCGATGGCAGTCGATGATCTTGTTTGCACGAACGTCTACATAGCACTGCGGCACTGCGGCACTCTGGAGTGAGGAGTGACATGCTGTAAGCATGCTTGGCTCGATCCAACGAGGCTTGATCGGATGAGCTTCGCGTGGGAGTCGTGCTTCTCTCCTGCTCCCTCAAGTGCTACTCACAACATATCGTCTTCACCGCGTTACATCGGCCAACAGGCTCAAAGTCTACTCTGAACCACAAGGGTCTTTTCTCGCAGTCGAAATGAATGCTATTAAGCGGCTTTGGGATCAATCAACGCCAAACGCTTGTCACTGTTGAAGATCACGCAAAGCAGAATCTCACCTTGTCGAAAATGATACGGCGGCGGACAATACGACGAACGAAATTTGACTCACCGGACACACCTTTCATCGTCTTGCTTGGAACTCTAGATTTTGACATGAATATTTCATTTCCGATTCTGAACATTTGGGAGCTTACTAACCTTCGTGGACTGCATCTCTCACTGCAGGCGAACTCCAGCGGTCTTGTTCTTCTTGCCCTCCCTTCCTTGCACGTTGGAGAATCCACCTTCCTCGCCCACGTTGAGCATGCCCTTGGCGGCATTCTTCTTCTCGTCTTCGATTTTCTTGAGTCGCTTCTCGGTCTTCTGCTTGCCAGATCCTTTGCCGTGGAACATGTGGCTGAGGTGCTTGAAAGCCTCTTTCTGGTTCATTTCGCGACCGAACTCGTCGTTGTACCGGAGTTTCACGTCGGGCTTGTATTCCTTGTTGAACTTGTCGGCGAGCAGACGAGAGATATAGTGTTCTCTCTGCTCGTTCTGTTGCCTGGCCATGGCGTCTCGCTCTCTGTTGCTCATCTTGTCAAAACGACCACTGCGGCGATCTGCCTCACGCTGTTCACGGGCTTTCATATCGTATTCGTCGATCAAATGCTGCTTGTCTGCCAGGAACTTGGCCCGCTGACGCTCCTTCTCGGTCAAATCCTGAGAGGCGGGGTCGGATATCAAACCACGTTTACGAAGCATAGCCAAAGAAGCGCCAATGCCTTGTCCAACCATACTCTCTTCATCGTCAAGGCCTGTTGCAGTCAAGTTGGTTGGGTTTGACGTCTCAAGTTTAGCTCGGGCCTGCCGCTCTTCCTCATCTTCGAGCTCGGCGTATGACTGAGCCATGTTCGTGTCGCTATCGTCGTCTTCGTCTTTGACATCTGGTGACCCTGCGGTCGCTGGCTGTGGGGTCTTACTCTTGCTGACGGCATCCTCGTCGTCCTCGGGTTTTTTGAGATTGGCAACAAATTCAGTAGTCTCGTCGATGATCAGACCGCCTTCTTCTGGCTCAGCGTCGTCGACCGGCATCTCTTCGCGCATTTGCCGTGCCAGTTCAGTAGCGTCTGTCTTCTTGCGCTTCCTGAGAGCCTGTCGCCGCTGCTCGGCCAGTTTCGCTTGAAGGTCATCATCATCAAATTCGTAGCCTCGCTTCTTTGCTGAAGTGGAGTCGTTCCCGGTGCCACCATCCACTTCCATAGCATCTCCGTTGGGCTCGACAGGGGCTTGTGTGACAGGAAAGATATCGTCTTCATCTGCTGCTTTCTGTCTTGACTTCTTCTCCTTCTTGCTTTTCTTGGGCTTCTTGACTTTGATCGTAGATGGGTCGACATAGTCTGATACCGGGGCATCATCTTTAAGCATGTCCAGGCTGATCTTGACACCCTTCGCCTTGACCTCGCCATCATCAACGACTTGTCTTCGCGCTGCCTTAACACTGCTCCCCTGTCCATCTAGCGTGAAACGTTTTTGCTTCTTGCCTTCGATCTCCTCGTCATACTTTGAAAGTAGATTTTGGGCCTCGCCTTGCTCTGTTGGGTCATAGTCGGGCCTCTTTTTCAGCAGCTTCAGCTTTTCCTCAAGCTTCTCCTTTGCTTTGAGGTCGGCGTTTTCCAGCTCATCATCTTCGCTCTCCTCGCCAATCTCGGTATCTTTGAGAGTGAGCACTTGCTCGCCAGTGAATTCGTCAAACTCGTCGGCTTCGTGGGCAACCTTGACACCGGCAAGATCTCTCGAGGTGTACTCCGCCTGCTTTTCACGCGCGGCCAGTTCTTCCTCAATCTTGCGCGCCTTGTCAATCTTCTTCTGACGCTTCTTCTGCTGCAGCAGCCAAGTTCGTGTGTCGACCTCTTCGCCTTCATCTGCATCGCCCAGACCCTTGCCCACAAGCTTCTCATTCCGCGCCGCGGTATCTCGTGCTTTCTTCGCCGCATCTTTGCGCTTCTGCCGCTCCTCCTTGTCCTTCCTCTCCGCCTCGAGTTTCTGCCAATTGGTACCAGCTGCGGCTTGGCGCTTGTCGAGTGTGCTCATGTCATCGCTTTCGTCGCTATCGCTGTCGTCGCCGCTTTCCTTGAATTGTGGTCCTTGGCCCGGTACAGGCAGCGGCGCGAGGCCCATGGACAAACGGACCTTGTTCATCTGCTCGATCTGCTCTGCCGACATTGCGGACGCCATCTTTGCGGTTGACGTGAGGTAGAGTTGGAGGCGAATTGTGTAGACAACACGAGGAGGAAGAAGAGGTTGATTGCTTGCAGTCCACCATCGAAGTGCAGTCACGCCGCCCCACTCCCGGCGCTAGTAAAAGCTTGGCGCCCATTGCCATCAAAAACTTCGTTTTCCGCTGGCGGATCTCTGCTTCTCTTCCACAACCACAGATTTGTGTCCAGCGGTCCTGGCGCGTCCTTCGGGGTGCTGTCGGTCGACTGCTGCGACAGTTCGGCCATCCATGGTAACCTTCACCCTTTTACGGGCAATGGAGCGAATCCGGTCGACAAATCTCAGAGCAACCGCGGCGGCCTTGTAGTTCTTCGTGAACTCGGCCGTCCGGGCACTATATTCCAAAACGTTTCCTGAGCCCGTCGGGCGCTGAAGGTTGGGTAAAACCATAGTGCTTACAAACATATTCATCTGCTGGAGTTCAGATTGAGGTTCTCGCTATCAAAGGACGAGGTATAGAGACTCCTACTGCAATCACCTGCGAAGTCACTTGAGGTATGAATCATTCCGTATATGCAACAAGCACCTTATCAAAGCCTCAAATGTGCTTGGTCTCAATTGCAGCTAGCAAGCCACTATCTGCAGGTGCTTCTGTATGTACAGTCAGCCGCAAATGCGAGAGATAGTCTCCACTTCCCTTCTTCCGTACATACATTCTATGCCATCTCCCATCGCTCTTTAGCCCCATCTTCTCTTACGAATCTGCGACGGTGAGGCAAGATGGCGAACAAAACACAAGCTCCGACCTGCAAGATCGATCTTCCTGGCGGCATTGGCATCAGAGCCTACGTGAGTCGAATGGTGAATGTGCACGAAAACAATCAGCCTTGACACAGAACCAACAGCGAGACAGCGACACCGCATCAATATCGCGAAGTGCCAATAACCCAAATGTGGTGAAACATCTAAGAGACCGATTCGTATTCACTACTCCCTCTTAATATTCAAAACCACACACTGAGACCTGCATAGCCATTTCCCTACACCGAAGAAGTCGCCAAGTCCTGGTTCGACATCGTCACCCAAGAAGAGAACATGACACGCTCCGGCAAGTGGACGGTAGAACACGGCGCAGAAGGACCCCTCACAGTAACAAACTACGCCGTCACCGTCAACGATGAGGCCGTCGGAGCAATCGGTCTCGATTTTGGCAAAGGTATGTATCGACACACATGATCCGCCTCGTCCTCCTAACATATCATGTGTACAGACATCTATTTACGGACCGCAGAAATCGGCTACTGGCTCGGCGAGGAGCACTGGGGCAAAGGTGTCATGTCCAAGGCGGTGCCGCCGTTCATACAGTGGGCGTGGGATACGTTTGGGGTCCTGGCTCGTGTGAATGGAGAGGTCAATGCGGAAAACAAGGGGTCTGCGTCGATTTTGAAGAAGGCTGGTTTTGTTGTTGAGGGGCATAGGTCCAATGGTGCTTTCAAGAATGGAGAGTTTGTGGATTTGGTGATACTTGGGATGGTGCGGCCGTCTTGAGTTGCCTTTGATTTGCTACACTTGCAGATGAAGAGGTGCTCGACTTCTGATCGAGCCATCAAGCTGCTTGTTCAGTTGCTCTCATATTTGGACGCACTGATACGTCGAGGGCAGCCATGGGCCATGTCAGGTCTATGGTAACCTGAGGCAAGCCAATTGTCGCAGGCCTCAACGGTTCTTCTGGAGTTGCTATAATCGAAAGAAAATTACTCGTACCATGCAGAGACCGTCCAAAGACTTACCACATTCGACCTCATCCTAAGCGCTGTTCGTTTCAAAATGGAGCTATCTGTGTGTAGTCCGTTCGAAGTCCAGCCATTGCGACGATATGGTTAGGCGATCGGATGCAAAACACTCGCGTGGTTCCCAAGCCCTGACCACTTCACGAGTCATGGTGTGCGACTTGACTTGCGGCTGGCATAGCCTTGTCAGAATAGTATGCTGCGACAGAGAAGGTCGTATTGGCGAAGTCCGAATGGCATACCGAGCACTACGTTCTGTCGAAGACGGTGGGTGGCGCTGTTTACCCTGCGCAGGTAGTCGTTTCACCAAGAGCTCGATACGAATGGAGCTGGAGGGAAAATGACTCGAGTTCGGTCTGCTCTTCGCAGAGTCTGTCTCCAGAAGCGCTGCTATAATGCAGACGATCTTCCCAATGGCAGACAATTGAATGCACAGCAGTTGGCCAACCTACCATCATGTCGGAGAAACGAGTCAGCGAAGGCAGCGGCAACTGGCGACTTACCAGTCTATTCCGGCCCATATCGCAGTTGAGCTTACCGCGCAGCAACCGGACGAGCAACCGAAGCTTTCAAGAAGCGTTCCCACCGGCCTTCTCGCTATCGATTCCCTCCTACTTCGGCCGTCTGACATCAATCATCCCAGAGCCAGACGAAGCTCTTCTCATAGCTAAGAACGATGAGGAGGTGGGCGATCTGGAGGGAAACAACTTGGAGCGATCACCTTCAGAATGCGCGAGTACATTCGAACCCGCCAAAGAGGAAGCTGACGAGATCAAACCAATCTCTGGACCGCAAAAAGCTGTCATCGCAGCTGCTCCTCAGAAGCCTCCAAGGGCGGTATACGCTCGTAGGGTCGGGTCCAGGTCCAGCATCAGCAGCCGATCCACCCGGAGGCCGGAGTCGAGAGACACGGAACATCTGGCAGAACTGCCTGCGTTGCCACCAAAGCTTCGGTCGGTCCGTGTAAAGCAAGCTACGATCTCAGAGCATAGCAGTGTCAAGCATCTAGCAGAGCGAAGAGAAAGCATTCGCCCTCCTGTTCCTTCGAAAGCCCAAAAAGACGAGGAGGCTGATCCCAACCTGGTATCCTGGAGTGGGCAACAGGACCCGGAAAATGCTCTGAACTGGAGCAACAGCAGAAAATGGACCAGTACACTAGCCCTCGCCTTTGTCACTTTCTGCGTGAACTTCGCATCTTCCTGTCTCAGCCCAGCAGTGAAGACAGCAGCAACAGAATATGGCGTCGCATCAGAGGTGAGCAGGGACACAGGTATGAAGTGGCAGTGCTGACGAGGAGCTTTGCAGGTCATGGTGTTGGCGACGACGCTGTTCATGTTGGGCCTTGCAGTTGGTCCATTCGTCTGGAGTCCGCTTATCGAGATATGTGGTCGTAAGAAGAACCTCTTCTTCGGTCTCGCAGGTTTCGCAATCTTCCAGATCCCAGCGGCAGTCGCACAGAACATCGAGACCGTCTTGGTCTGCAGGCTTTTTCAAGGCGTATTTGGGTGCTCGCCGCTGATAGCAGTCGTGGCGTCCTTGACTGACCTATGGACTTCAGTCGACCGTGGCCATGCCTTCTCGGTGTTCTCGGCAACCATGTTCATTGGCATATCTTCTGGTGCCCTCGTTGGTGCTCCAGTCACCGACAGTGGTGTGCTTGGATGGAAGTGGAACAGTTGGATCGTCCTGATACTCTGCTTTCCGTTCGGCATGGCTTGCTGGATGGTCTACAAAGAATCGTCCGCGGCAGTACTGCTCCAGCGTCGGGTCAAAGTACTGCGTCGTTCCACTAACAATTGGGCGCTGCACTCTCCAATCGAGGAAGAAGAACCCGGTCTTCGAATGGTGCTTGCTAAACACGTTCGGAAACCTATCTTGATGTTGGCATCGGACAGTATACTTCTGGCTGTCACCGCGTACATGTCCTTCGCCTACGGCATCATGTATCTGGTTCTCGAGGCGTATCCATTGTCTTTCGTAGACCAGAGGTACTGGCCACTAAGACTAAGTGGGCTGCCTTTTCTGGCGATAATCGTTGGAGTCTGCATTGGATGCTTAGTGGATGTCGCCTTCACCAAAGCGAGATTCCACGAGATGGTCCGCAAGTACGGTCGACTCTGCCCTGAAGAACGCCTCCTACCAATGCTAGTCGGCGGAGTCGCATTGCCATTCGGCCTGTTCCTCTCTGCTTGGACAAGCGCCCCAGGAATCAGTCCAGTGCCTGAGGTGATCGCAGGTGTTCCGCTTGGGATCGGTATGTGATCTAAACGAGAGAGAGGTCCCTAAAGAAGCTGACAATGGATGCAGGCTTCCTGCTCATATTCCTGGAAGGCAACATGTATATCATTGAAGTATTTGGTACGATCTCTTCGAGCTTTCACGGGATGCTTGCCGCTGACCGCAAGTAGGCACACATGCCAGCTCAGCCATTGCTGTGAACACCTCCGTGCGTTCCCTGGCAGCTGTCGCCTTTCCTGCCTTTGCCAGAAGCATGTACTTGGGGCTGGAACCGCAGTGGGCAGGCACAGTACTCGCAATCCTGGCAATGGTCTTTCTGCTTGTCCCCATGACACTGTTGAGGTACGGTGTCAAGTTTCGAGCCATGAGCAAATGGACCCCGAAGTTGGCGCCAGGGTCAGGTAGCTCTCCAACTGAAGGTTACCAAGAGAGCAAGTGGTGACGGACTGTTACAAAAGTCAACTGTACGATTAGCGGGCCTGTTTCAATAGAATTCAAGACGCCTTCATGTGCTTGCTTCACGAGGAATCTAGCCGCTTTGTCGAATGATGGTCCCTTCATCCAGGTGGCCGTGGTTACAGAAACGTGTGATATCGTCTTCTGACCCGTTGAGCGTCCCCGAGATCAATGAAAGCGGCTTTCGTGCTTGTCGACAAGCTCCTCGTTAACAAAATGAGCTCCATTGGTCCTCCAGCGGCGAAGTTCTTGACTTCATACTGTGGTGAACGCCATGGCTGGCGGGGAGATGTGATGGCCACGAAGTTCGCTCGGCACAGTCCGATCTGGTCGCTTTATGAGATGCTCTATGCCGCAAAGAAGCATTGCACAGATGCTGCGGTGAGATTGCGAGAATCCAAAAGACGTTGCATCGCGTTCTTAACGTTCATTTAAGAGCAGGCGCTAGCCAAGAATAGCGACTTGGCCGGCAACTTTGCCGTGCTTCGACTCGACCTCACTCGATGGCTGCTGCTGGTTTCCACCAGCATGGTATGCGCAAAGGTTCACATCGACGTCTACAGGCGACTGCATTCTGTTGCAACTCTCGAAAAATGGCCATGGCCGTTCAACAGACCTTTTTATCTGCCTCACGAGCATGCCGACGAGGCTGATGAGTGTTCAATTAACCTCCCGTGCGGGATGGATAGACGTTCAGGAGAAAACGTTTTGGGGCGCCGAAATGCCCAAAAGCATCGCAAGAGCAACAAACGTCAGCACGAAAGCAGCAAGACGCTCATACCTGCCCACCTCAAGAGGCATAGCTCGACTCATCTTCGCGTGGACAGGACGCTTTATCCTTTCTGGTGGCGTTGATGAGGAAAACCAGGTCCCATCGCACAGAGTGGGTGACGAAGGTAGGACGCTGGACGGCTGACTGGACCGATATACCCTGTCACAGATCCTCTACCTTCTCTTCTCTCTCACATGCTGTTGGAAGTGCTCTAGTTGCATCGTCACTAACTAATCCCGCGACTCGCCTTTCGCACCGCAGTGGCATTCGTGCCACGTCCATTCGTTTACGAACATACCGCCACAATGAACAAGATCCTTACCTCAGTCGCTCTTTGCATTGCTATCGCAGCAGCACAACAAATCGACAACAATGCTACCGATACATCAGCATCCGTCTCGGCCGTCGCATCGTCGACTCCAGCATCGAGCAATGCGGCCTCAGGTAGCACGAGCGGTCCTGTAATTCTCGTGCCCGTGTCACAAAGCAGTGAGGCCGCATTAGACACACCGACGTCTTCCCCAGCGACGACATCAGAAGAACCGGTATCGACCAAAGTCTTGCCACAATCAGTAGCATCGAGCGCAACGACCTCGGACGATATGACACTCGCTTCCCCTGCTACTGAAACCTCCGCAGCAGCTCTCGCCACGCCATCGTCGAGCGAATCGCCCTCGTATACCTTTGCTCCAACCACGACTGCAGATGCTCCTGCAAGCAGCTCCGCCGACTACACCTACGCTCCTACCACGACCGACAACACCACTCCAGTAGCACCAATTCCAGCAACTGAGAGCTCTGAAGATTGGCTGTCCACACCGACCAATGTCGCCGATACCACCGACTCTGCAACTTTGCGCGTTGCACAGACCGAGACACCTCAGAGTCAGCTAGACACCCCGACGGCATCGTCGCCAAATGACACTCCAGCTGCGACTACCACCGCCGAGTACTCTTTCGCACCAACCTCCACTGCCAACGAGGCTGCCTCTTCCAGTCCAGAATATTCTTTTGCACCGACGACTGGAGACAACACCGCAGCCGCCTCGGCCAAAGAGAAGTCGCAAGAGTTTACATATGCTCCCAGCAGCGAGGAGAGCTCAGCACCCACGATTGTTCCCGTGCTTGTTCCAAGCGGCAGCTCTGCTTCCTTCGCCATTGGCACAAACACGATCGGACTGGGCGAGACTGCCACCGTCGGCTCAGAACCTGTCATTGTCAAGACCAACTCCAAGGGCAACACCGAAGTGCAGTTCGGCGCCACCGGCACCCCATCTCTGATTGCATACTCTTCCGGCGTTGAGCTCCCCGCTTCCTTCACAGACTACGCTGCCGACCACGCTGCCTCTGAGCAAACATCTCTGCCCAGCGTCACCCAGAACTCCAAAGGCGACTACGTCGTCGGCTCGCAAACCCTCGCCCCAGGCTCCGCCATCACGCAAGGCTCCGGCAAAACCACCCAAGTCCTCGCCCTGAGCACCAACAGCGAAGGCTCCACGCAGCTCTACATCGCCGACTCCTCCACAACCGGCACACAACCCATCCCCATCGGCACCACCGCACCCTCCACGCTAGAAACCCAAGTCCTCCCCCAATCCACCCCCGAAGCCGTCACCCTCAACGGCCACTCCCTCGCCCTCGAATCCCCCGCCTTCACCGCGCACACGGAACCCGCCATCCTGACACTCAACGGGCACACCCTAACCGCGACCCCCTCCCCACCGCTCCCCTCCAACATCCACGTCCTCAACGGCCACACCTTCTCCGACTCCCCCTCCCCCTCGCCGACCCTCCCCTCCAACGAAATCGAACTCAACGGCAAAACCCTCAGCGTCTCCCCCGTCCTGAAATCCACCTCCGTCATCGACCACGTCATCACCTTCCAAGGCCACCCCATCTCCGTCGGAGCCGCGACCCTCGCCGCCGAACCGATGGGTGTTACGGGCGTGGATTCCGCGCCTTCTAGTACGGGGAAATTGCAAGGTACTGCGTCGAGGTTGGGCGCGCAGAGTTGGTTGTGGGCTTCGTTGGGTGTGGTTTTTGGAGCTGTGGCGTTGGTCATGTAGAAGGACGCTTGTTTATGGTGGTTTTGGATACTCTACCTGCAATGATGTTATGTGGTTTTAGTTAAGCTATAGCGATGGTGTTGGGAAAATCTGTACGAACTTTTGGGGTACTGCACAAATCATGCTGAAGAGGCAGGAATTTATGTATTTAATGCTTTGTTAGGCAGTCTGAGAAGGGATACGTGGTATGGATATTCAACACGATAGAACTCCAAGCGCTCCTCATTGGTTTCTCTGCGGCCGCGCTGGAGAGTACGACTTGACCACAGTCAAGCGTCAAAGTCGGACTAACACCCTGATGTGGACGTCCTGAAAGGATGATGAACCGACAGCGAGACAGAGTTTGAACATAATCAAAATTCCCAGAAGAAGAGTCTCCATTCTAAGCACAGCGCTACATTCGACGGGGAGGGGTACAGGAACAGAAAGAGTCTTCGCAAACAACGAAATCTTTCTTCATGAAAGTCGTCAAGGTATATTCCATCAGAGCATTTTGCATTGCTATAGTACCCTATGCAGGAGTATAAACCCTCCCACTGCACAGCGCTGCTTTTCCCTCTCGCAGAACGGTGCGATCTTTGCCCATCCTTGCCGAAATGCAGCACCCAGCCATGCCAAAACGCCTCGCAGAAAGTAGAGTGGAGATGTGGTTGCTCTACTTTCTGATAGCACGCTGGTAGAAAGCAAGCTCCTCGCCCTCCAAGACGTAGCCGTCGACACGGCCGCTCTGGCCAGGTCGGCTGGCGACGACGGCATAGAGACGACCGGCCTCGAACTGGCGCTCGAGGGCTGACTCGACCTTGCCGGTGGCCTTGGTGCGCTCTGCCTGCTTCTTCTCGACGCTCTTGCTCTTCTTCACGTCCTCCGCAGTCTCGGTCTTCTGCTGGCGTCTACGGCCGAGGGATGAGCCGTAGTGTGCCTCGTACCATTGACGGAATGGGGTGGCGTCGATCTGGACGATGGCGGCCTTGGTGAGGGTGTTGGTTCGGACCAACTCGTTGTTCGAAGGGTGGTAGGCGACAACGATCACGCGGACCTTGCGGGTGATGCCCTCGCTGCCCCAGGAGAAGTTGCCGGAGTCGAGACGCAGGGCGCGGAACTTGCGGTTGCCGCCACGGGTGCGGACGAGGTGGACGCGCTTGGCACCGATACGGGTGTTGGCGGGCTGGCGGCCCTTCTCGAAAGCTCTGCAGACACATCGTCAGAACGACATGGCTGGGACGAGACATTCGGGTTATGCATACCTCTTCTTGCGATAGTATGCGCGCTTGGCACCAGAGGCGCTGCGCTTGTGACGCGAGTCACGAGAGATACTGTGAAGGTGTTAGCAGGTGCTTCAATGGAGGAGTTTGCGATTGGTATGACTGTACCCCATGGTTGCGGTTGGTGAAGTGTTCTGTGAGGAGCAGGAAATTAGTATTGGGACATTCGTCTGGGTAGCAACTCGCAAGATGTGGCAGACGTACAGATTGACGAGGTCTTCACCGGGGCGCTGGGTATGTTGGCTGCTGCGAGCTGTGGGTGTCGAGAACTTTGAAGTTGAGAGTCGTCGGGTGTGTGCTAATTTCGAAGTCTTGGCGATTTTAAATGCCTGAGGCAGGAACAATCACGTGCCACACTCACTCCCTCCAAACGGAACTTACAGCACTCTTGTTCCTCAGATTTACTCTCAAAGACCTATTAGATAGTCTGTACGTTTTGAGGATGCATGTTCCAATTTTCAGCGTAACGGAGAGTACCACAGCTTCTCCACATCACCCTGTGGTATCTCAAGCCCGTAAATCATCCACATATAAACAAGTCTTTATACCTCCGCTACAATCATGCACATAATCTATACAAGTAGCGACTCGCTCTCCGCGCCCACAACATCCAGCCCAACAGCCCCATACACCTTCAACGGCACCGCAATCTCAAACGTATCAGCCGGCAGCCTCTCCTTCGCAATAAGCGTCGTCCCTCTCTCATCCGAAGCGAGCTCTTCCAACAGCTCATCACCTTGGCCGTTGCTTTCAATGCCGAGTCCTCGGACGGCTCGTTGGGTCATGAATTCGACTTTCAGACGCCATGCCAAGCTTATGCCTGTTGTCTCGAAAGACGGGGCGGCGTTGGAGGGTATGGCGAGGTTGAAGCTGATCTGCCGCGCGAAGAGAGCGTTGTCTCTCACCGAGGCGTATACCTTCCTTGTCACGCGGTTGATGGAGTGGCTGCTTCGAAGTGCGAGCGAAGGGTCCACGTGCTCGGCAGATTCCAACTCGACCAGCACAGAGTATGTAGGTGCAGGTGATGAGGTTCCAGGGACTGGTGCAGGAGCAGTCAGGTCAATCGTGCCTATCACGGCCTCACCAAGTCTGAACGCCGGTCTGAGTACGGTCAGAACCGCGACTGGCTGTCCCGAGCGAGCAATATTGAAGCGATTCGCGCTTTGTGACTCCGCCTTTTTCCCACCACCACTGGCTTGATTAGACCGGAGAATCGCAAAGTCGATGGCTTCCCGTGTGTTCGCGGGCGGTTGATCGATTATACTGCCTTGCCTCGAGAGGACAGGTTGTGCAGAGACTGGGGATGTAGGTGATATAGGCGAGAGGAGAACGCCGTTGGCATCCTTTGGTGATTCCAGTAGTCTTTCGGTGTAGCGTAAAAAGTCTTCGAGACCTTGTTTCGGCGTCGTCTTTTTCTTTGCATCTTGTTTGCTCTGAAATTTAGGGGCGCGGTTCGGACTGACTGGGTCGGGTGATATGACAGCCGTGCGAGCGGCATCCTGTAGTAAAACGTAAGGGGACATTAAATCGTGACCAAGTGTATCGCCTCGAGAGTCGTAACTTCCAAGGACTCGGAAAGGAGCCTCCACGCGCTTCACGACCTGTCCTTCGGGTCGCTGCACCCCTAGAGAAAGCTGATAGGACACCTTCATCGCTCTCCCTCGATGGCTAGGGGGTAGTCCGCGAGGAAGGGAGAATCGATAGCTGTAGCTCTTGCTCTCCCCTGGAGCAAGTCTCAGGTCGACGAAGAGTAATGTTTGAGGTGTTGATAAAAGCGGTATGGTCTTCGAGCCAGCACTCGCCTTCATCTGAGCCATGGAGCTCATCTCGTCCCCTCCGAGTAGGCCACCCAGGGATTCACCAATGTTGCCCCAACTCAAGGCACCAAATAGTCCAGATGACCTTTTCGATCGTTCAACACCCACGACACCTCCACCTCCTTGCACGCCTTTGCGTTTGACCTCCTCAAAGGGTGCGGCATTGACAAGGCCGCCATCCAGGGTGAAGTACCCCATGGTTTGTGCGTAAGCCATCATCAGCGTCTCTGGTTCAGCCGGTCGATTGTGGGGTGAACGTGATGGGTGCCTCGAATGTGGCATCTTGGGTAGAAGTCGCCCAAATTGCTGATGCAGAGGGATCTCTGAAGTCAAAGTCTCATCGCTATGATTGCTCATGGAGTAGAATTCGCTGCTCGTCCGCGGGGTACCATCTTGTGAGGTTTCAGACATTACTCGGGAAATAGGATTGAGATTATTCGACCATCCTTCTGGAGGTCGAGGAGAATATGACCGCTTCTGTCCTGAGTGCATTGTTGAAGGAGTCCGCACAGGCTTCGGCCCAGGTTGCGAGGTGGCTGTGGCCTGCTTGTCCGTGGGATCGGGAGGAAATTTGAAGTTGTTGAGACTATTATGGTGTCCATCGTGACCTGGCTTCTTCTTCAAACTGGGTTGTCTTCCCAGCTGTGGTGTATTATCGGCAGACACAGTCCCTGGCCTCCGCCGTGCGGGTCTCAGGGAATTCGGTTGTCCTTCTGGCAGACCCGATGGACTCGTAGTCTCATAAAGCGGCGATGGTTGTCTCGGGGATGGCAGACTCAAGCCTGCTGGAGATTGTCCCATCAGCTTGGGGGTGTGTTGCAGACTCGCGCTACGAGCGTGCATCTTCGTCGGCCTCTTTCCCATCGCCTGCCCAGCTGTTGGTGTCCTGCCGTCACTCGCCGGCTCGCTTCCCAAAGACATGATGGATAATGATCTTGCATGGCCCTTGCCCGGCCTGGCACTGTTTGGAGGTGCATTCTGCTGCAATGGAGCCGTCTGAATGCCACCTCTTGGAGACGAGCTGACCACGTTCAACGACAGGGTAGGGCGATGGCCTCGAATCGGTTGGCCTCCTTTTGTGCTGGCAACCGAATGCTGCCTCGATAGCGGCGGCGGTCTGACTTGCGCGACAGAGCTCTTTCTGCTGTGCGGCGCAGACGGCTGCGCGATGGAGGATCTTCTGGTATGTACACCTCCATTAGGCGTGGGAAGTTCCTCCTCCTCTCTCTCACCTGGAGGCCTCGCGATATTCCTGAATGTAATGATGCATTCGATCTCTTCTCCAGCGTACACAGTCGGTTCCTTCCAGTGGACAAACGCCCTGATATTCGACGCGGGTTGCGGAGGCGGCATGGTCGCGATTCCTTGACTTTCCTAGATGGCCGGCATCATCGCGCATTGTTGTTCTCGTGGGCGGATCTTATTGTGGACGCGGCACAGCCCGTCGCTTCGGTATAGACATGGCATTGATCATGATTTGGGGGACAGAATGGAATGCAAAGGGCAGAGCGAGGTGCGATGATGCCCGCCGGCAGATCTGGCCCAACGCATGGAGGTGGTGATTGAGCTCCGCAAGCAATCGCGGATTTGCGGCTCTGTGAACGAACCACGCAAATCGACCGGCCTATATCCCTGAACGCGTCACGCTTTACGAACGGCATGCTATTTGGCGAAATGTCAAGTGCATATCTTCAACACGAGTGGCTTTGGTCTTTGTGAGGCTATGTTCATGAGATCAGGAACAGAAGAAAGGAAACGGGCATCTTGAGAGGTCGTTGATTCTTGATCTGAAAAAGGGCCTTCCCAGCAATGCAGACTTCGCTGCGATGCTCAAATCTTTGCACATCCATGTCGTATGCCCTCAGGGTATCTTCGCCAAGCCTAAGCCGCACTCTCAACAACCTTCTGCACAGCTACATCTTCTGGCTTCACTCTCGCCAACCCTTCCTTCGCATAGAAGTCCATCGGATACACCACCTCTGCTTTCTGTTCACCCTTCGCATCGTTTGCTCCCCGCTCCCATCCCTGTCTCCCACCGAGCACCACGAGCGCCTCGTATGGTGTCAGCAATGGCCTCGGGAATGCATAGCCCCAATCGATGCTCAATCTCGGACACGCCACCTGCACCCAGCACTCGACATCCGGCATCATAGCCAGCTTCCCCGGGAAGATCTCGCTCAATAGCAGATTCACCCACGTGATACCTCGTTCTCGGAGGTGGTTCTCGATGAGAGTCATTGTATGTGGATTTCCCTGCCTGCCCAGACTTCCGAGAATGAGGCCCCATTTCTTTGCCGTGCGAGCTTGGGTGAGAGCTTTCGAGCGGTCGCTGAGCAATTGCTCGTGGTCGTACGTCTCGTGAGTGAGACGTCGAGAGTATGGGTCGTATCTGTAGGCTGGTAATGAAGGGTTATGAATCATGGCACTCTCCAGGTGGAATCGCCCGTCTCCCAGGTAAAGAATCATATCAACATTCTGTTCTTTTGACAAGTGTGGGGATGTGCAGCCCAGGATCTCGCCCTTGGAAAGTGGCATGATCTGTGGCACAATGATGTTGTACCCAGCTGCTCGTAACTGCACACTGGTCCCATGGAGTGTCGCGTTGAATTGAATAGTCCCTACCATGGCAATCGTGCTTCCTGGCTTGAAGTTCTGCTCGATGGTTGCAAGCAGGTGCTCTACATCAATCTGAATGTCCACAAACACATACAGCGTTTGGATCTTGGTGACATTGACGGGGATGAGACACGAGTGTGCGTAATGCACAAGCATGTCGCAACCCAGTGCTCGGGCAGTGTAGTCGTCGATACAGCATGCCCCGTATGTTACATCGCCCATGATGAGCGTATTGGCACCGGGGCAAAACTGGGACAGGATGTCTGATATGGTCGTGGCGAACAAGAGAAGACCTTCTGGCATCTGCAGTGCGATCTTCTTGGCACCCGAGGTTCGTATCCGATGGATCGTCTTGTGAATCTCGAAGTTATAGTTCCTCGGCAGCAGCGCGATAGCATCGTTGATGTCCTTGTCGTACAGAATATCATCGGGCACGTTGTTCAGGGCACGCGGTGGTCGTCGCCGAGGCGCCACTGTTTCAATCAGCTTGGCCACTCTCCTATCGCGTACAGTAATGCACTGCACCTTGTACTGCGCCTGTCTCCTCAATCGACGCATTATTGCCTCCCTCAGCAGCTTTGGCGGCGGCTTTGGCATCCGCAGCTCTCCTCCCAATGAAGCGCCTCTTTGGCGTCTTCGGGATGGTCTCGGCATCCCCGTTGATCTCTGTGGCGGCGTCAGGTCCGAGGTCTGCGATGGCGCGGTCCTCCTCCATCTTGTCGCAGGACAAGCCGATGCTTGTCTTGACGTTGTTGTGTCAGGCTCGCTGTCTCCAGAGGAACAGAACTTGTTGATGTTGGATGTCAGACGTTTCGCGAGCCGTGCCGTGGTCTAAGAATCTTTGCTGGGGCTAAAAAGGTTTTCGTCTCAACGCCCTGCTTACATGTACAGTGGTGAGCCGAAAATGTGTCCCTGCAGAGGGCTGAAGCTTAACGGATGGCAACCCGGCCAACGCGTCTGTCGTACCTGATCCTGGCAGCACTTCAGCTCGTACGGAAGCTTTGGTGTCTGGGGCAATTCTTGCTTTGCACACTGCCACACACACACGTCGTGTAGCACGTGCAGAGTGGGCGCTGGAACGGGTAGCGGATCCTTGGGATTTAGCCGGAACCAGCGCGTGCAAAATGAGAGGATCTAGCACGCGTTGGGGCAGGCGAGCAAGGCTGGCCAAGCGAGTCCTCGTTAGCAATAATCACGAATGAAGCCAGCGGCCGTGCTAAAAATGAGAGGATGCAGAAGGTCAATCTCTGCGATCCTTGCCGTGTCCCGGCACCCGTCGTCGGAGTGGCGGGCCGTGGCTGAGGGAGAGGCAAGCAGCAGCAGGTGGGTGTGCTGGTGTCAGATGTTAGCTGGTGTGTTCGTCTCGCTGCAACAGCAGAACCGTGGCTCTGCGCTCGATGAAATAAGGAATCGTGCTCTGTCCGCACACGTTGGCCCGCAGCCGCCTATCTGGGCGGGAAACGATAGCACCTCGCACAGTCGCCGCTGGCGGAGCGGGTCGTAGCTAAACACGCGTTCGTTCTCAGGAGAGCCGGACCCACCCACAGACCATCCACTTGCTCTTCCACCCACTCACTACTCACTCCGGCAGAACGCCTCGACAACCACCACACTGCACACGACCGCCGCCCCTTTGGCCTCCTCGTCCGCCCGGAACTCACCCTCCACGCTCGTTGCTCTTGCTGCTGTTGTTATTGCGCTGCTGTGTTTGTTGACGGGAGTAATAAGAGGAAGAGACTGAGGAGAAGGGGAAGGGTTTGCTGCATCCCAGCAACGTGGACAGGCCGGTCCTCTCCACCACGACCACCATACACTACAATCCCCATACATCCATCTTCCCGGCGCTGACACACGCTCGACCCTCGCTTGACGCCCTCCACGACACTCGTTAGACCGCCCTGTTTCGCCTCGAACCGCCCATCATGGACTCGGATTCGCCGCCGCAGCGACACAACCCACCGCACATACGACTCAATTCTGGCAGCGATGATCTACTGCAGATGGCTTCATCTGGCACAGACTCAGAGTCACGGCCGCAAGCCCAACGCCAGACCTCCGCGCGCTCATTAACGAACCCAACACGGCCTGGCACCGCGCCCTCAATCCGCGCCGCCCCCAGCGCGACCTCGCTCTATTCCTCACAGGCCCCGGCCGAATCAGCAGAACTCCTCCTACCGCCGCGAAAAAGTAAAACGCGGAGATTTCGAGATGAAGACAGTCCCATGCGATCGCCTGTTGGCAGTGAAATGAACAGCAGAAGGACGTCGTGGTCTTCAGAAAGCGCTGGCAGCAGAGACAGCCGATACGGCGGGCCTTTTGTGTCTCCATTCGACGATTCGCGCGCACCATCAAGAGCAGGCAGCGATGATGAGGGTGTGAATACCCAGACTGTGAGCGAGAAGTACAACATCTTGCCGTCGGCTGGCCTTCTGCTATTCCCTGAAGATGTGGAGAAAGATGACTACCTCCACAACCCGGACCCCAACGACAAGGATGGCAGACTGAATTGTGCTGATTTGTTCAGCAAAAGAGGTATTGTGAACGTTGGAGGTCTGGCTCTCATAACCATTGGAATTCTTATTCTCTTCATCGGATACCCCATATTGTGAGTAATTGAAATGTGCTGTCAAGACACTCTCGCTAATCGTCAACGTAGAACATACGTTCAAGACGCGATCAACCCAGGAGGTGACTCGTGCACGTCAAATCCAGACTGCATATCTCAAGACACGGCGCTGCTCAAGAACCTACGCAAAAGTCTGATCGACCCGGACACGCCAGACAGTGTCAAGACGCGCACTGGCGACAACGGTAACAAGCAGCAACTGGTCTTCAGCGATGAGTTCAACGAAGCAGGGCGCACCTTTTACGATGGCGACGATCCATACTTCCAAGGCATGGATTTTTGGTACGGAGTCACGCAGGATTTGGAGTGGTACGACCCCGATGCGATTTCGACGTCTGGTGGTACACTCAATCTACGTTTCGATGCCTTCCAAAATCACAATCTAAACTATCGCTCTGGCATGTTGCAGTCGTGGAACAAGCTGTGCTTCAAAGGCGGATACTTGGAGGCCTCCATTTCTCTGCCTGGCCGTGGTGACATTGTTGGATTCTGGCCCGGTTTCTGGGCCATGGGCAATCTCGGCAGGCCAGGTTATGCAGCAACGACGGACGGCATGTGGCCATACAGCTACCACGACGTCTGCGATGCTGGCATCACACCGAATCAATCTGATCCCGATGGACTCAACTACCTACCTGGCATGAGACTACCTGCATGTACTTGCCAAAACGGCGATCACCCGTCCCCAGGAAACAGTAGAAGCGCGCCAGAAATCGATGCCATCGAGGCTCAAGTCGAGTATCTTGATCCCCCGATTGGTCGAGCTGTCGGTGGCGCCTCGCAGTCGTTCCAGGTAGCACCATTCGACGTCTTCTGGCAGCCGCAGGGCGATTGGATGGAGATCTACGACTATTCAGTTGTCCAAGCAAATAACTACCAAGGAGGCCCATTCCAGGAGGCCGTATCAGCTGTAGCTGCACTCAACAACGATTGGTACGATGGGAACGCATATCAAATCTACGCTTTCGAGTACGAGCCTGGCGCAGATGGATACATTACTTGGTATGTCGGCGCCGACAAGACTTGGAAGGTCACTGGCAACGCGGTTGGGCCGAACGGCAACATTGGCCAGAGAGTGATACCAGAAGAACCGATGGCCATCATTGCCAACTTTGGCATGAGCACGAGTTTCTCGACTGTCAACTTCACTGGTATTGGTCCCCTCTTGCCGGCCACTATGCGGATCGACTACATCCGGATCTACCAGAATGATGGAGACGAGATGACATGCGACCCTCAAGGATACCCGACAACTGAGTACATTGAGAATCACCCTGAGCCATACGCTAACTTCAACCTGACGCAGTGGTACGTTGATAACTCTTCAACGAACAAGGCGAGCAACTAACACTTTGCAGGTCGGCAGCGGGATACGATTTCCCTCAAAACTCGTTCATGCACAGTTGTACGGCGGAGAACTACAACGGCAACAAGGACAGCAACAAGGCCAAGAAGAGCAAACGGTCGAGCCGATCTGCGCCATCTGACAAGACAAGCTGGCTGCCTTGGAGCTGAAGAACATCATGACGAAGGACTCTTCATCGCCTCACTCACACTCACGCGTTTCACGGCTGAAAACGGTCACGAGGACAAGAATTCCAAGAACTATAATTTTCTGCATTTGCGCCGAGACTGCGCTTCCTCTCCGCCATGGAAAGGACCACGAATGGAATGGCCTTGTACTGGTCGGGACTGGAGCCAGCAAACAGCGCCCATTACATCGAAACAGTACATTCGGATTGACGACGGGACTCAAAAGCCTCCTGTATACATAGACGCATTCGACAACCCCTTTTTGTTTCCTTGTCAACTGTAGATACCTACCACGCGCATATTGTCTTTTTCTGTGTGTTTGTCTGTGTTCTCTTCTGCGCAGCATTTTCAAGGGAGTCCAACGGGAGCAAAGCGTTTCTGGATCTTTGGATAAGGCTGGGTCATCAAGGGAGGGAAATTTGTCATTCGTTCGAACGTTTTGCATAGGGAGGCAGACAGAGCAAAGGAAAGAATTCTGGTAATTTCTAAAAGAAGGCAAGGGGATTGAAGCGAGAAGTCGAGAAGAAGAAGGGCTATGATGAATCTGACCCTATTTTTGGTTCTGGTCTTTTCTTTTCTACCTGAGAGATATGACGGGATGGGAATGGGAATGGTCAATGGGGATAGGTGGAAACGACAAAAATGGCAGCCTCACTTTTTTCCGGTCGATGAGAGGCTTTTGTCTTTTGCCTGGATTCATACGTAGAGAAGAGGGAATGACAAAACGAAAAAGGTCAAAAATTCAAGTGAATGTACACTCTTTCGTTTGACGTCCCTGCTAGAGTGAGCGACCCAACGCACGGATTCTTCGCCATCGTCTCTCAGATGTAGCTCGATAGCAACCATTGAAAGATTTGAGCCATACCACCTACTCAACCTATCACCCTAAATCCTCTCATCGAATCGTATACCCCCCATCAACAACCATCGCATGCCCCGTCATCCACGCCCTAAAAAAACCCACAAAGTCAGCACCCACAACAACAACCCCCCGTCCCCAAGGCAAAGCGAGAAACAACTCACGACTCATCCCCACACAAGAAAACCGCCGCATCTGCCACATCCCTGGGCGTGCCCAGCGCGCCCCACGGGTGCGCGCCCGCCAGCTGGGCGGCGTTGTCGGCGTCAGTCAGGAAGTGCTGGATCATGGGGGTCTGCACGAAGCCCGGGCAGACGCAGTTGATGTGGATGCGGTCTGGGGCGTAGTCGAGGGCGAGTTGCTTTGTGAGGCCCACGACGGCGTGTTTGGAGGTCGTGTAGGCGGGGGTGTTGGGGTGGGCGATTAGGCCCTGGGTGGGTTAGGGGTTTAGAGGGACGCGAGGGATGGGATGGGGGTGGGGGAGGCGTACTGTGTCTTAGGTCAGAAACAAAAGAAAACATAGCATGGAGACAGATGATATCGTTCACAACTCACCCAACATACTCGCCGCATTCACAATCCACCCCCTCGTCCTCTCCCCCCTCGCATTCACCTCCCTCGGATCCTGACCCTCCAGCATCTGCCTCAACGCATACTTACAACACAGATACGTCCCCCTCAAATTGACACTCATCTCCCAATCGAAATCCTCCGTGGGCAGCTCATGCGCCCGCCTCGTCATCGCATTCCGCTCGTACGTCTCGACCGCCACGCCGGCGTAGTTGCACAGGATGTCGATGCGGCCGTGGCCGAATTCGACGGCTTGGGCGATGAGCTGCTGGATTTGGGTCTCGTTGGTTACGTCGCAACTTATGAAGGTCGCGGTGTTGGGGCCGTGGGTGGCGTTGAGGGTGGAGGGGAGCGTGCTGGGGGTGAGGTCGGCGCAGATGATGCGGGCGCCTAGGGAGGCGAAGCGCTGGGCTGTTGCGGCGCCTAGGCCGGAGGAGGCGCCGGTTACTTTTGCGTCGTAAGTGTTAGTTGATTGTCCTTCAGAGGAGGGTTTGTGGTAACTTAACTGATGGCTACGCGGTCTTTCAGTCGGTTGTCCATGATTCCGACTCACGAGCGTAGCATGTGTCCACGACTCTTGTTGTGTCAGCAGTGCTCTCTCAATACATATATATTGCGGCTTCTCCTAGTTGATGAGACAGCAACCCTTCGTTACATCCTCATTCCTCACCATCCTTCCAAAGCACAATCCTATCATCTCTCTTTCGTATGCATTCGACTCAGTACCCTCGACTCGTGACTGCAGTGCAGCACTATCCGCGATTGGTCGTTGCATGTGTCAAGCTAGTCAATAGAGTTCAGCTTCCCCGCAAACTTTACGCAGATGAATGAGGAGAACGATGCACGTGAGTTTACTTTTTTCCGCCCCCGGGTACAACCTTGGTGTATCGAATGAGAAGGTATAAATAGATGTGGGCTGCGTGCAATGTGTGTTACTTGGCAGTGTCGGTGAGAACTTGGAGGGCTTCTTTGCAAGTTGTCTAGTGAAGTCGTTAGAAAGATATCCTTCTCGTGACCTCCGTCTCCCTCATTCAAGGTGTTAAAGAGAGCAGAGTCGTCTGCTTGGGTGTTTGGGACGGTAAGAGGTACACTTTCAAGGGAAGTCTTCGCTCGTTCATTCATTGACCATGCTGGTCGTTATGTCTCCTGTCGAAATCCGGAATGGGCTGCATGCCTGACGACGATGAACCGGACTCTTCGCTTGCCATGCGTTGCCGTCTGCGCCTCTATTGTCGAAGAATGATCGAAACGCATCTCTCAACGGTCGACGCAAGAGCAACGCTCCTGCGAATCTGCAGTGTGCGCGCTTTCTTCAAGCAGATCAATTCGTCTCTTGAAATATGTCGAACAGAATCTCTGTCATGCTTATTGCGATGCAACAACAACATTCTGTGGGTTGCCTGCGGCGAAGGCTTCGAGATTCGTCTTCACCGAAGCAATGGTGTTCTTGATTGTCTTTGAGGCGTACCAAGCAAGATGAGGGCTGAGAACGAGATTTGGTATCGATGGGTCTATCAGAGGACTGTTCTCCCGGGTAGCGGGCTCGTGTTCGAAGACATCTGTTGCAGCGCCGCCGATTCGTCCTTCCCGCAGAGCGTTCGCGAGGTCGTGTTCGTTGATGACGCCTGCAATAGATTAGTACCTAGCATGAGCGCTTTCACTTTCCACATACCGCCTCTGCCAACATTGATGATCACTGCAGATGAGTTCATTGCTTCAAACTCAGGGTTTGCGAACATGTCTCGAGTGCTGGCGTCGGAAGGTGCCACTATGATGAAGACAGTGCCTTCAGACAAGGCGTTTTGAAAGGAAACACGTCCTCGTCGAACCTGGCTTGCGCCCTTTCGCTCAGCTACAAGTACTCGCATGCCCAAAGCTGTTCCTATCCTTTCGACATTCTTGCCTGGTCACGTTAGCGTCATACTTGGCGAAGGAGGGGTGGTTCTGTCAGACCTAAAGCGCCATATCCAACTACGACCAATGTCTCTTCACTATTGGTCCGTGGTGGTGGACCGAATCTTCCATGGAGCATGTTGTCTTGTGCCCAGGTAGTGCCGTCCATCGCGATATTGTGAAGAGGGATGATTTTCCTCCTCACAGCGTAGTAGAGAGCAAATGCATGTTCCGACACGCTATCTGTATTTTGAGCTGGTACGTGACAGACAGTTATGTTTCGTTCCCGGGCGTAGGCTTTGTCGACGTGATCTGTTCCCGTGCTGATATTCTGTTAGACAATGATGGGTGGTTGAGTCGTGTATCTGGATTTTCGATCCTGCGACTTGGAATTGCTCGGATACGAATTGCTTCAAGAAAGAAAGGTTCCTCCTGCGTCTAATGTCACTCACCCGTTGCAGGCGATCAGCTTCAAGCGAGGAGCGTTCTCGATACCGGCTCGGGTTACACGTGTAGCAGACGTGACAACGATCGTGGCATCTTTCATTCGCTCTGGAAGTTCCATGGGCGATGTATTCACATGTCTTATGAGCTCGTATTCAAAGTTGAGAGCAGGTAAGGAGACCCATGAATCAAGAGCGACAATGGTATGTTTGGTCATGTTTGAAGGTAATCTGGATATAAGGTAATCTGGGCAATTATGGGAGGAGACAGAAGTGAGTCCGCAGACATGCTCTGCGTGACGGAGAGTAAATGTATAGTTGGTGGCATGTGGTGGGAGTTGTCCGAGTTGGAGTGCAGGTGTGGTCGGTCGTTTCGCTGAAGACCCTTGTCCCGAGCTAAAGCCGAGCAGCGCAAACTCTAATGTCTGGCAGTAAACATCAACAACATGTGAAGCCTGACATTTTCCGCTTACGATCCAAACAACCTGATACATGAACACGAATCTGGTGTAGCGACTGGAACCGGCTGAGGCGAGCACAGGAAGGGCTTCCTAACTGACCTTGGAAGCGAAGGACGAGCTCCACAGCCAGCAAGCTCACGCCATAGCTGATCTCACTCGCCATCACTCGCAGCAAACGCAAACACTCGACTGCTTCCATTCGCCAGCGTCGCATCTATTATGTCGACTAGTCTGCCGCACGCATGGCTGACCAAACGTCGCCACTCGCCAGGCAGATGTCCTTGATTCCTTACGCCCAAGACACCCGTGAGATTGTGCTGTACGTTTCATCATTACCTCACTAACGTTGTACGTCACTAACATTTCTTAAGGCGCCGCGGCAACGCTGTCGTGGTGTATGATAACAACTCTCGCCAACTCTCGGTCCGCGATGCCTCTGATCAGCCTGTTGAGCTTACCGACTGCCCCTACTGCCACCGACCACTGCGAAACAGGGACTCTTCTGGCGAGGATGGAGAACATGGCCGCGCTTTCGGCCCAGAGAGGCCTTTCGTCGATCCCGACTACTTCGCCATGCTGGCCGCCAGCCAGAGACCGTCACCCGTAGGATCTGGCAATTCGACCCCAAGTCGGCGAGTGCAGCCTGCGCTACGATCTGGACGATCGCGAGAAGTCAGCGGGTCGGCAGATCCACCCACAGGAGCTGAATTCGTCGCCAGCGAGCCCGTAACTGCCGGCAGTCAGGGGATTAGTGCTTCAGCATTCTCGTCAGGCTACTTCCAACAGTTCTTCAGAGAAGAACGAGAACTAGGGCGTGGCGGCAACGGCGTTGTGCTACTCGTGGAACACGTGATTGACAACGTCTCACTAGGTCACTTCGCCTGCAAGCGGATCCCTGTCGGTGACAGTCGAGCGTACTTTGAGAAAGTCATTGTGGAAGTCAGGCTACTGCAAAAGATCCCTCACAAGAATCTCGTCGCATATCACTGGACATGGCTGGAAGACCACCAACCATCGAAGTTTGGTCCGAGTATCCCCTGCCTCTGGATCCTACAAGACTACTGCAACGGTGGTGACTTACATAGCTACGTCCTGGGCCCGAAGACGGAGCAGTCAGTGGCAGACAGGCTTAAACAGAGGCTACGTCGAAAGTCAAGGGGAGACGCCAGTCCTCCTGGCGACTTACGCGGGCCCAGTAAGCTTGCTTTCGACGAGATCTTCTCATTCTTCAGAGACATCACCTCTGGACTTCACCACCTACACTCAAAAGGCTACATACACCGCGACCTGAAACCTTCCAACTGTCTGCTTCAACGAGACGGCGGCCGCACGAGAGTCTTGATCTCAGATTTTGGAGAAGTGCAAGCTGCAGGAGCGACCAGGGGCTCATCTGGTGCTACTGGTACGATCTCCTACTGCGCTCCAGAAGTGCTGCAGAGAACAGTCGATGGCTCACTCGGCAATTTCACTACCAAGTCAGATATCTTCTCTCTGGGAATGATCGTTTACTTCATGTGCTTCGGCCGCCTGCCGTACACAAATGCCGATGACATCAATGAAGAAAATGAGGATCTTGAAGAGCTCAGAGCCGAGATCACAAAATGGTCCGGATTCAGCGACGAGGCACGTTTGAGACCCGACTTGCCAGAGAGACTGTACAAATACCTGAGAAGGCTCCTCAGCGTAGACCCGAACGAGCGTCCATCAACAGATGAAATCTTGGCGAGCATCAAAGGCGGCGTTGCTCCAGACGAGAACGAGTGGTCTTTTGACGACACTACACACCGAGTCTCTGCGGTCGAGTCTCCAGGTTCCAAAGCTACGTCAAGATCGCGAAAAACGTCCTACATCTCGCGGCCTGGTTTGTCAGGAGCTGGCAAGCATCGATCAAGTGACAATGTCAGGGCTAGAAGTCCAATCAAGCACGACCAAAGTCGAAGTCGACCGCTAAGTCCGCTGAGCCCTCTCGAGTCGTCCGTCGCTCTCAGCCACAATCATAAGAAGCTGGAGCTTTCGACAACAGAGGAGCCAGACGATGACTTGCCTCAACAAAGCCCGCGTTTGATGCTGCCACCACCTCCTGAGCGGCCAATGGTTAATTGGATCACCCAAATCGTCCACGACACACGAATAGCACTTGCACTGCGCGTGGCCAGCTTTCTTGTAAAGCTGCTATCATTGTCGCTGCCCTGTGCACCTTACGCCGCAAATCAATGGCTGATGTACCCTCTTCTCTCCTTAGCTGCACTGGACCTGGTCCTGGTACCTTTCAGCTTGAGGCTGTCTTCATCATTGCTTGCAGTACACTTCGCCGTTGCCCTCACTGCCTCGAATTACTCTCGACTCTGCGAGGCTGGTAATATTGTTTGGGAAGGAATATGACTGCAGCAAAACACTAGCGCGGCGTTTGGGAGTCCTCTGCTGCACTCACGAATACAAAGACCAACTTCATGTTGCACAAAGCAATTACTGACTACTGTTACAGAGTAGTGTGCATACTCGATTTGTTCCAAAACATGATGAGCACTTTAGTGCTGACTGCAAAAAGCTCGCTCTGCTCGGTATCACATGCGTACTACACAAATCCATTCACCTCCCTCGCAAACTCTTTTGCTCATACCTTTCCTTAGTCAAGGCAGTGGGCCGATGTCTTCAGCCTTCACTCCCCGTCACCGTTAAACGAACGTCCTGCAGCTACCGGTAGCGTCGTCCACCGGCCAATCGTTACGTCATCAGGAAGAAGATGAAGAGCGCAACGGCGACGTCCGCGTGGTATCTCGCAAGATAACACGATCTCCGCCCAGAACGCTTATCATGCGCCATCCGAACTCTTCTCTTTCCAGGAACGATCTAGTCGAGCCGCGGTACCTCGCGACTATGCCTTTACTGGACGTACAGGCCGCGTTAGGCCCGCATATTCTGTTGGTCCACCCTGCAGAACTCGTGGCAACCCAGCCTCTCTAGACCGTTGGCGACGAGGGCATCTTTTGCTTATATTTTTCTTAGTATCGCTTGTTTGTGCGACTATCATCTTGTCCTCCCTTTGACGGCTCAGCACGATGAAGGTTCAGGCATTGACGTTGGCGGCCAGCGGGCTGCTGTCTGGCGTGGCTGCGACCATTGTACCAGCGAAGGCCGCTACAGTTGGACGTGCGCTTGAATATGTGGTCAAACCCAAGATGTTCATCGTGTCCATGTTGTGAGTATGCACGAGCGAGTACTGAATGGATTTTGCCTAATGGTCTCGTAGTGACCCTGAAGCCGAAGTGTGGTACGGCATTGAGGAGTTCGATATCCTCGCCAGAAACATCACTGTGCCGGGACTGTCGCCGCTCTTCCCAGACGTCCACTGCACGGAAGACGGGGACGTTTGCCAGCTGACCATCGGAGAGAGCGAGATCAATGCTGCAACTTCGATTGCTTCGCTCGTGCGCTCCCCTCGCTTCGATCTTACTACGACTTACTGGATGATCGCCGGTATTGCGGGTGTGAATCCGGAAGTTGCCACCATTTGTGAGTCGAGAACGGGAAACGCTTGGTGGCGTAGAGAGTAGCTAACACAGATGAACTTGCAGGCTCTGCAACTTTTTCGAGATATGCTGTTCAGGTGGCTTTGCAGTATGAGTTTGATCCAAGAGAGATCCCTGCCAACTTCAGCACTGGATACATTCCATTGGGAAGCCATGCTCCAGATGAGTATCCTCAATCAATTGTGTGTCATTTCAGATCAGCAAATTCCTTCTAGAACCACTTTGCTGACGATTTGCCCAGTACGGCACCGAGGTCTTTGAAGTCAATCAAAACCTTCAGAAGATCGCAGCCAACTTCGCCCGCAAGGCCACCTTGAATGACAGCGCCGATGCTGTAGCCTACAGAGCCCAGTATAATGCTTCATCTGCGTACGCTGCTGGTGCTCAGCCTCCGTCGGTCGTTGAATGCGATGTCGCCACTTCGGATGTGTATTACAGCGGTGCTCTGCTGTCTACTGCCTTCGGCAACTTCACTAAGCTTCTTACCAATGGCACTGGAAACTACTGCACGACCGCACAAGAAGACAACGCGACTCTGGAGGCTTTGCTCCGTGCTGCCGTGAAGAAGGTAAGATATCTCTCGCCATGACTTGAGAGAGGCCATTCACTGATGATTTCTAGACCGTCGACTTCTCCCGAATCATCGTCATGCGCACCGCCAGCGACTTCGACCGCCCATGGCCAGGGGAGGCCGCTACCACCAACCTCTGGTGGGCCGAGCAGGGTGCTTTCGAGCCAGCAGTCATGAACATCTACTTAGCCGGCATCGAGGTCGTCGAGGGGATCTTGGACGGCTGGAACACCACCTTCGCAAAGGGCGTGAACGCCACGAACTACATTGGTAAGATCTTACGCTACTTTGAGGCTTTCATGCAGAGACTGACATACGACAGGCGACATCTTCGGAACTCTGGGTGGCACGCCTGACTTTGGTCCTTACAACTACAACAACAAGTATGATCCTCTCTCTCAAGACACTCCACATGCAATATACTAACGGGATCTCTAGCCCCGTCAAGAAGCGCGATGTCAAGGCGAAGAAGGGTAAGCGCAGCGCCATCAAGGTGGCTCGCAAGCTATAACAGACATGTATATCTACAGTACCTCGACATTGTACAGACATCTATATCCCTAGCCAGCCCCTTTACACCTGAACACGTACGCTCATCAAAACCTACACGCTCCACCCACAGCCAGTCTTTTCGATTCGTCATCGAGGATCCTTAAGCTCGAGCTCGCGGATCCGAAGGGCGTCTGTCGCCCTTCTCGAGAGGTAATAGACACGAAGCACGTTTACTCATGAGGGAAGCTTTACCACTTTCGTTCGCCACGCCGAAGAGCTATGAGGGGCACCTTTGGGGGTCACAGCAGGGTGGGGTTGGATGTGCTCGTTTTCAGACGAACGAGCCTATTAACCGCCCATACGTTCTAACACTCCTCGATGTAAGCCCCCAAATACCACTCTCATAAGTATCAATCCTCACATTCTCATATCCCCTTCCCAACTCTCAAACATCCTACAATCTCTCCATCTCCTTCCTCCACCTCAAATATCGGAAAATGCCCTCCCTCACCCTCCCAACCCACCAAACCGTCGCCCTCGTCCGCTCGCTGGGAGGCCCCGTCGAATTCGTCGACGACTACCCCGTCAAATCCCCCGGACAAGACGAAGTCCTCGCCAAAGTGCTCTACACGGGGGTTTGTCAGAGCGATTTGCACACGAGAGCTGGGACTGCGGCGGGGCCGGATGGGAAGCCGATTACGGCTATCAAGTTGCCGGTAGGAAACAGGAGAAGACTTGGGTGGGGAAGATGGATTTCTGACTATGTGTGTATAGCATATCGGCGGCCATGAAGGCGTGGGAAGAATCGTAGCCCTCGGACCAGGTCTTGCCCAACGAGATCCTTCTATCAAGCTTGGTGGGCTCGTGGGGATTCGATTCTCGAGCAGAATATGTAGACGGTGCTCTTATTGCTTGGTACGTCTCCCTCCCCTCCTCCATCCAAAAACAACACAGGCTGACCATACCCTTCCAAAAGGCCGGCACAGAGCAATATTGCCAAGGCGTCGAGGACATGAAGCCCACGAACCATCTCCACCACGAGGACGGGAGTTTCCAGGAGTACATCTGTCTTGATGCGGGTTACTTGACGCTGTTGCCTCCTGATGCGGATCCGGTGTTGACGGCGCCGACGCTTTGTGCGGGTTTGACGGCTTATAAGGCTACGTTGAATGCGGAGTTGAAGCCTGGGGAGTGAGTTGCGTGTGGTGTTGGGTTTGGAGGTTGTGCTGATGGGGTGTAGTTCTCTGGTTGTTGTAGGCGCTGGTGGAGGGCTGGGACAGTATGCTGGTACGTGTTCCTGGGTGTTAATCGGTTACTCCTGGCGGACTGACATCTTTCAAGTCCAGTACGGCCTCGCTCGAGGGGCGAGAGTGATCGGCGTTGATACCGGCGAGAAGAAACGACAACTCATCTCCTCATTTGGCGCACAATTCATCGACGTGAGTCTTCCCATACAGCAGCCTGCAGCCGGTACTGACCATTTCCCTAGTTCAAACAAGTCCCAGACGCCGTTGCCTCCGTCCGCGACCTCACCCACGACGGCGCAGACGCAGTCATCGTCGCAGCAGGATCGTCTGGCGCCTTCGCCCAAGCGGCTTCAATGCTGCGAATTGGCGGCACCATGTGTCTCATCGGAATTCCACCAGGAGGCGGCCAGATCTTGACCAGCGTCGCTGAGATTGTGATCAAGGGGCTCAAGATTAAAGGCAATCTCGTGGGGAGTCTGAAGGAATGTTTAGAGGCGGTCGAGCAAGTCAACAGTGGTATTGTCAAGCCAAAGGTGTTTGTGCGTCCTTTCAGGGATCTGCCGGCTGTGTATGAGGAGTTGGAGAAGGGTGATATCGCTGGGAGGGTGGTGCTGAAGGTTGGTGATGATCCTGGACCTAATCTCGAATAGGCACATGCTCCTAGAAGTTGAAGTCCTCGAATACGAGCTTTTCTCCTGGCAACCACTCCATGAGTTGCTTGCGGAGTGAAACAGCCGTGCATAGGTAGTATCTGGAGGCTTGCAGAGACTGCAAATCAGACTGCTGCATTCTTCGAAGATGAACCTGAGCTCCCGTGTGCTTCAACCTGCTGAGTTCAGGATCATCGCTTTCGGCATTGGTGATGAAGACGGAGAGACTTCCCGCCAGCTTCAGATGTTGCTGCAAAGTATCCAGGACAAGTCCAATGTCGTCTTTGCGTATCGTCCACAGCAAATGCAGTCTCGAAAGGTCAAGTATCCACAACGACGGCAAGACAGGTGTGATCCCGACTCCCGCAGCAATGAAAGCTATCGTCTCTTCCCCATTCTCATACTGAACTTCGAACTCACCGCCGAATCCCTTGATGCCGACCTCAAGACGCATACGATCACTCTCACCAGCGTGCTGAAATAAGAAGCCAGTCGCAGGACCAACTTTTCGGATCGTGATTTCGAACTCGTCGTCTTTGAGATTCCTAACAGGTATTGGGGGATCGCCAGGGGGACTGCTAACAGTGAATGTCCGAACGAAGTCATCGTTGATGCTCTGTGGATCGTCATCACGCATGTGGGAGTATCCAATATCGAGATGGTCGGAGAAGTCGAACGTGACGTACTGTCCAGCCTTGTAAGCCGCCGCATTCTCCAAGCTGAATCTGAACCTGGACACCGTCGGCGTGAGTTCGGTCTGGCTGAGGAGTCTAGCTTGTTGCAGCTGTTGTTCCTCAACTCGTGGAGCGGTCTTCTCAGAGGCGAGATATCGAACGACGGGGTTGTATGGAGACAGTTCTCCTGGAACACCACGAAATGGAAGAGCCTGTGTGACAAAGCGCGCCGCCGTGACCTTCACCTTCACGCAAAGATTCGACCTTGGGAGGACTGCTGCTGCATCTTTGCCTACGAGGATCTCAGTCGTCCCTGTGAGGTAGAGCATATCGCCTGTATCGAAGTCTGGAACGCACAAGCCGGCGACGGGGTTATCGTAAAGGTTTCCCAGCGTCTGCCAGAGCCTGTTACCTGAGTACTCTGGCCAATACAACACAGCGCCGGACTCGTCGTTCGATCCCACTCGAAGGAAGCCGGGAGGTCCACCACGATGGTTCGTGTCCATATCCTGCTCGGGCTGCGCACTCGACACGAAGAAGAGATCCGCCTTCTCCAATAGATTCAGTGCTTGCTGCGGTAATCTTGGAGAATCCGACACAAGCTGCGGTTTTGAAGCCGCAGCCACAATGTGTTTCTTGTTCAGATACTTCGGACAGTTCCCCAAACTCTGCTCAATCTTCAGCACAAGCTGAACTTCGGCGACGCTTTCTTCGTGGCCAGTGACTTCGTCGTCCCGACTGCCCAGAGCGCCTGCGACCATTCGCCCGTACATCTTCACTCGTTTCCTCGTTTCCAGATCGATCGTTAAGCCGCTGACCATCCTGCCTTTTCCTTCCTCTCTAGTAACCTGGCCCGTGGCTTCCTTCCCCACCAGCTCCTCCACCACCGGATCGAACTTTCCTGTAACAGGCGTTCGAATACCCACAATGCCGCCACCGAGAGGCTGCGAAAGACCCTTCTCACCAGACCCCCAAAGCGTCGTCCAAGGTCTTCCCTGAGAATCCAGCGTCCCGATAGCAATCAACGGAGCAATTTTGAGATGGTTGGAAAGCTGCGGCGAGAGCGTCGGAACAGTAGGATTGTCGTAGGGTGGAGTTTTCATAATTTCGGCCATTCGTTTCTCGCCTTCGGACCATTGCATCGCTTGAAAGAACGCCATGGTTGGGCGGGAAAGAGGATACCTACGTCTTCGCAATAATGATGGACGGGAGAAGAGCTGAGGTTAAAGAAATAGGTTCGGGTAGAAGCTTATTATTAGCTGTCCGGTCGGTAAACTCGACTTTGTCGCCAAGTACAATAAATAATCATCACATGTTACATGTGGCATGAGTAAGCTGCATATGTCGATGGGGTGTGGTCATGTACGCAGACTGGGATAGTGTGAGACAGTGACGGAAATGCCCTGGCTCGTGGCTGGTTCGGTGGAAAGGATTCCTCACTGTCCCAAAAGGGCAACAGCGAGCGATGTGGTCCGAGCGTCACTTGACTGTACATGTTTTTTGTGAATGACAACTTTCACTTTACCAATTTATGACGACTATAAATCTGGGCGAGCTGCCCAGTGCAAGCCAGCAATACGCCTGTAGCCGGACATCTGAGGCCAAAGCACCTAAACGCCATCTCTCTCCAAGCATTCGATGTCCATCTCCGTTCAGTTCAAGCAATGCGGTCTTGCTCCACGCTCTTCAAAATCGTTGACCGACAACACGCCCTACACTCCCTCAGTTAGGGAGGTGGTTCGCTGGCAGACGATTGAGCTCCGCAAGCGCCTGCTCCAACTTCATCTTCTCCCCCATGAGTTCAGCTCTCTGTGCCTCACGCTCTGGATCCTCGGCCAGCAGCTGAGCACAATACGCCGCATCGGTAGTACGAAGCTCCTCCATCAGCTTGCGATGGATGCGTCCCTCGTAGGCGTGCATGAGTCCAGCTTCGAAGAGTTTGGCGATGCTATCCACAAGCTGGGTCGCAGCGATGTCGTAGTAGGCTATGGGAGTAGCCAGTGCGTCTACCTCTCTCTCGTACTCATCGCCGCCTAACGTAGCGGTGACCCACGCAACGTCTGCCGCCTTCTTCTTTTGGTCGGCCTGAGACACCATGCGATGACCTTGAGTTTCGAGCATCTCATAGTGCTCGGCGACACGCTGCTCGCGGCGCAGCTGGTGGTACTCGGCGTTGCGAACGGCCTTCTGCTGCTTCAGGCCGGAGTTGTACGTGATGGGACGATGAGTCTCGGCAGCGATGAGCTCATGGATAAAGCCCTCCACATTCTGGAACAGCTCTTCGAAGAGCGCGTGAGTGATCTCTACCACCTTGTTGTAGAGCTCGGTCTTCTGTCTCTTGGCAAGTGCAGATGCGACTGCGCTGTCTAGCATTTCGATGAAGACTTGTCGTATGTTCTTGATCGCAGCTGTGATAGACAGGTTAGCATCAGTCAAAGTCTTGCGGGATATGGTGTTCTTACTATCGGTGCTGCTTGGCCAGCCAACAAGTGTGTCCAAGATCAAACCTCGGACGACAGACTCGGACGCTTGAGCCTGAAGATCAGCTCCAGGTGCTGCGTCGAATTTGGCTCTCACATCGTCCAGGCGAAAGACGGCGAAGTTCTCAGAAGTCTGCGAGTTGGGAGTACTGGCAGGAGTGCGTCGGGGTGGTCTGCTGGATCGATTGGGCGTGTTGACGACACTCATGGCACGGCCGTTCATGGTTCGATGCATCTTGGAGGGAGACTCTTCCTCATCGCTGCTCTCCACCGAGATGCTCGGCTTTTGGTAGCCTGGGGTAGTCATCTTCACCTTCGGCTTCAGATCCTGAAGCCTCTTCGAAAGCTTCCGGAAGATATCACGGTAGTCCTTGCGCATGCTGCTGCGCAGACTGTCTGCATTGAGTTGGTCGTACAGGGACTTGTTCACCTTCTCGATGTCCACAGCTACGCTGATTCCAGGAGCAGCGTCTTGCTCGGGGAACATGGCAAGTTGCGCGTTGATCTCGAAAAGCCTCGTCTGAACACGCTCCACGATTTCGGGAAGGTCGCCCAAGATGTGTTGAACCAATTTGCGTGAGAGCGCAGCCTGGAGATTTGGAACACCAAAGCGTGAAGCATAGCCAGCTAACTCGGTAGACCAAGGCTCGCCCGAGAAGAAGTCCTTCTCCAGGTTTCGCCCTGCCTCATAGCTCGTCTGCTGGTCGAGCTCTCTCTGCGAAAGCTGTCGGGTGACATACCACTTGTTGTCGAGATGATGGTGGTTCTTGTTGCCTGAGAGCAAATTCTGGAGGTATTTGACACGCGCTGGAGTCAGGTCTATGAGATCCGGCTTGGTGAGGACACCCATAGTGCGGTAGCTGGCCCGACACTCGCGAAGGTAGCGGAATGCCGTGGATGTTTCCAGATCCTGATTGGCGGCGCAAGCAAGAAGTATGAGAGCTTTGTCCTCGCGAACATAGCACTTCAGGAGACGCTCAACAAAGTCGACCAAGTACTGGTCATTCTCGTCTCCCAAAGTATTGATCGCGCCTGGCAAGTCGTAAAACGACAAATCTGGAAGACCTGGGGCGGTGATTTCGAGGCTGATGACATTTGGAGAGAATCTGACAGTCTGGCTGTCGCTGTCCTCTCCGTTGAAATCCACGTTGGAGTTCAAGAATTGGGTGTAATTCTTGTCCGGGTTCAGGAGGGCAAATTGTGCACGACGGAGGATGATTTCGAGTTGAGCCTTGTCAGTGACGTTGGCGAATGGCAGGCTGAGGGTGTCCTTGTTCTCAGACCAGCCGTTGAATGATTCACCACTCTTGTTGGCCCGAAGGTGTGGATTGTAGCTGTATCTGATTTGCAGCGACACATTGCAGGTCCACTCCTGCCCGTCCTTTGCCGCCGTGGTGGTGATCCGGAACGGGCATCTAGTGCAAGTGCCCGCACTGCGTGGCAGAGTGATCTCTGAGACAGCTTCGATGATAGAGCTCTTTCCAGCAGACTGATCTCCGATGACGACAAACTTGGGTAAAGAGGGCAGTGTGGCATCGACGTTCAGGGCCTCCAGCATCTGGATTGCCTGGATAAGTTGACGGCTGTGATCGCCTAGAGCGTGAACGCCCGCAGTGGTGGTGGTGTCGTGAGCGCCGTTGGTGGTGTTGGAATCGGCCATGTCGACGTCGCCGTTCGCACCAGCAGTGGCGTTCGACATCACGCTGGCAGCTCTCATAGGCATATTGGTCATGTTGGTCATGGTGTTTAGGTTGGCTGGTGTTTGAAGAAGATCGTCGTGCTCGTCTTCTTCGACAGGAAGAGGCTCTCTCTTAACTCTCATCCTCCTCGGGGGCATGTCACTCGCTTCGTCGGTGTTGTTCGACGGAAGAAGTGCGAGCCTGTCAAGAGAAGTGTAAGCGAGCGAGTTCGCCGGAAGTGAAGTGAAGTGAAGTGGCTAATGACGCAACCCAAGGCGGCAGCGCAAACGGCGTGTCTCGCGCGCAAGTGAAGACAAACAGGGTCAGGCAGACATGTGAAAGCCAAGACTCACCTCTCGCTGGTGGTGGTGTCGGTGAAGTTGCTGCTGCCAAAGCGACAGCGAGACCCTGCGACAAAAGCTTTGACCAAAGAGTGTGCGAAGTGCCCAGCGTGCAAAGACAGACTCATGGACTGTCATGAAGAGAAACACAGAGTGAGACGAGAGGAGCGTGGAGAGGGAAATAAAGAGGAAGAGGAGATACATAGATCTTTATGGTCTGGAATGCCAGCACGGGCGTGAGGGTTGTGACGGAGGGGATGGTGAGGATTAACAGGCCGCTGCAATGGGGAAGCCATCTGTCCAACGGAGCTGGAGATTGTAGTTCACGATGGCAAACGCCAAGGACGTGGTGAGGTCGAGACATCTCCCACAGAAAGGCACAGGAGGCCTGTTGGGCTGCGTGCGTGCGCAAAGGGAGGGCGGCTCCTAGGTGTGTTGCATTAGTGACTGATGACGTGAAACAACGTCCCACGTTAGCAAGGCCGTAATGTAACGAAGTTTCACAGAGATTTGCGCCGCGTTTGCTGTGTTTTCACTGAAGAAAGACGGGCTTGTCGTGAGAATCCGTGAGCTGTCGTCGAGATGTGTGGGGTCTGTGCATGGGCCAACAAGGTTCGGACAGCATGCATTCCTTGCCGGCTTCCTGGGGAGCATTGACGAGGGGGCTAGGGAGACATTGTCGGGGACAATGGATGATTCAGAATCAGGGTAAAGAGAGGATAGTCGTTGTTGCTCATCCGTAACATACAGCATTTCCGCCTGCCGGGCTCACTCAACGAAGAGTGCCTCTGAGTATCTAAAGCTTCACTCACTGCCGAACTCCTTCCCAAACGCCTTGACCCGTATTTTCGTGTCGATAGTGTAGCAAGTCGTGTCATAAAGAAACCCCCTTCCGTGACAGCCTCCCATCATTGTCGTTTGTCCCTACCAGACTCCTCATCGTAGATGCTTTCCATTTTCAATCAAGTATTGTTTCATCTCCAACTGTTTTTCTGGGCCTACGCCTGACCATTCTGTAACTTTCTCAACACATTGTCCCTATTCCCAAAGGTTAGCCTCACAGATTCAATCCAAAGACGTGTTTACTCACTCACCAGCTCTCTTGCTCAAACATCAACGAAGGCATATCAGGGGCCTTTCCCTTGTCGTCTTTCTTACCCAGCTTACGCAGCGCAGCGTCAACATGATCTTGATCGACCATGACACCAGACTCAGAGCATCGAGCCTTCGCACGGAGCTCTGAGCAGAGACCGTCTAGGTCGAACTTGCCCTCCTGGAAGTCGGGGTTCGACTGGAGTTGGTTCCAGATGTTGTTGCAGCTAATCAGTTTGCCGTTGACCTCCGTCTTCTTGGACTGCGTGTTTGGAAGACCATAGTCGTCATCACCACCAGCGCACGTCTTCTCTACCTCTGCCATTAGGTGCTTGCTTGGGGCTGCTCCTGACGAGTTGACGTTCGCATTGATGGAGGCATTGGTCTGCTGGGGTGACTGCAAGATACCAAACAGGTTACTTGGTGATCCATAATCGAACGGTTGCGAATTGAGTGCTTCGTCGAAGAATCCTCCAGAGAAATCGCCGTTGCCGACAATTGCATCGTTGCTGTCTCTGTAGTCTCCAAACAGGACGGGGTCAAAGCTGCCCATGGAGGAGAAATCGGTGTTGGGCAAACCGAACATGGCATTCAATCCAGTCTGGTTGTTGGAGTTGAAATTAGTCTGCTGAGACAAGTTTGACTGTTGCTGCCTCTTCGGATTGATCTTCTCGCAGAAACTCTCAGACGGCTTCTCTTTGTTGGCAGGACTACCGTGCGAAGGCTCCGGAGATGTGCCACAAGAGCTGTTAGCACCGTTGCCATTCCATTGGCTTGAGGAACTGGCGCTTGGCGATGTGCTATCGCTGGCATTGCTGCCGCCATTGAACTGGAATACACGGTTGAGGCCAGACGTGCTGTCGCCGCCGGCATCTCCATTCTGCAGTTGATTGGAAGGCGAGTCGCCTGATTGAGGGTCAGGGAAATAACCATCAACGCTGGCGCTCTTGAGAATGCTTGGACTAAAGAGATCGCCAAATGGATCGCCAGCTCCGTTCATCTGAGGTAGAGTCGATGCGAAGCCGTGCATGTTGTTGTTGGTGCTGTATGCAGCGAAGTTTGAGTTGAGGTGGGCGGCTTGGGCAGGACTGTCCGCATTGGACGCGTTACCACTAGTAGGACTCAGGCTCCGACCGAGGCTGTTCTGGCGCGAATTCTGCGACTGCGTCTGTTGACCAAGACTGCCGTTCGTGGTCGGCGACTGTGTTGGAGGCGTGGCACTATCTCGTGTAACAACACCATTGGCATTGCTCTGGTTGCCAAATATTTGACTGCCTGGCAAAGCGCCAAATTTGGGGAAGTCGAATTGAAAGTTACCACCATATGATGATGGATTGCTGTTGCTGCGATGCTGGCCCGTCGCGCTGAGAGGTGGCGAACGGCTTACTCCAGAGTTCAATGAAAGCCTCTTACGATACTCTCGCAACTCGACTTGCAGACGCTCGACTTGGGCCTTCAGCAAGCCGTTTTCGTGCTTATCAGCTTCTTGTGTCTTGGTGAGCTCGGCGACTTTGGTCTCGAGATCTTTCAAATGCTTCTCTTTGCGCTCACGGAACGCACGTTGCGCAGCTCGGTTTTGCGCTTTGCGTTTCTGATATCAATTGTCAGTTAGACCTCAGCAATGATGACTCTCCATCACTGACCGTTGTTGGCTCGCTGGTGAGCGGCTTTCTGCCCGGCTTCTTGGCACCCTTCTCACCTTCTTGAGTCTCTTGTCTGAAGTATGTCAGTATGCTGTGACAATAGTCTCGTCTTCGACGTGCATACCTCTTTGCATCTCCAGTCTCGCTATCGCCGTTCTCGTCCGGACTCTTCCTCTTCTCGTGACCGTCGCCATTCATGGTGAGATCCTCGCGGCTGTCGCCGCCACTGCCCGGAAGTGCACCGATCATCTCACCTCCAAGGTCGGCGTTCTCGAAATCAAAGCTGTCGCCATCCAAATAGTCGAGATCGGGTGTATAGTCGACATTGAGATTGTCGAGCTCGGCGTTCTGCGGGCTCATGAAGAGCGCGTTCTCGTTGGTCACGCTCATGTTTTCGGAGTTGGATCGCTTCGTGGAGGGTTTGATGGCTGACTGCGACTCCAAGGCGGCCAAAAGGAGATCTTGTTGGTTTCGAGAGAGGTAGGAATTCACTGTCTGGTTGGACTTCAGTAACGGACCGGCCATGAATTGTGCCGCCGGTTGTTATGGGCGTGCTACGAACATGGTGTCAGTGGGCGTATAGAAAGGGCATTGATAGAGAGATAGGTCAGGAGAGGCTGAAAGAATTGGGGTGCGCGGAAGACAAGTGTGTGTGCGGGATGATCTGACCACGCTACGGGGTGAGGCAGATGGGCCTGGCGGGGTATGCAGGGCAGACGAAGAGGATCGGCTCACCTGTTCTCGTGGCCTGGAACCAAGCTGCAGTCTCTAGGCCAGCTCGGTGGCGAGAGGGTGGTGTGTTGAAAGAAGACGTCAGCCAGGCAGAGAAAGACTCGAGAGGAGGAGGAGTATGACGGCGGCGCTGCTGGGGTGGAAACAACTGGGCGAGGCGGCTCTGCCCGGAGGAGCTGATCTTTCGCGCACCGCTCACCGCGGTCAGGGTCCAGCAGTACTCTCGTTCTCGTGGACCACGACGCTGCGGCCTGGACGCAACAATGGACGGGGGGCGGTGGTCAGAGATTGTGGATGGGCGCTGCTGTCATTGGTGCACCCGACAATGATGGAGCCAAGGAGTGCTGGCAGTCGCAGAACGCACCGTCAGTCGATGCTGCTGGAAAGGCGCAGTAGGTTGGATTGATAATCAAGTCTCAGCCAAAATAAAGCCGACTCCGGTGCTGAAGTCCGCAAGAACGCCAAGCTCAGGCAGATCGTCCCCAGATGGAAGGGATCCTTTGCAGGTGGACGCAGTGACTCTTCGTATGCAGTTGTCAGATGGCGACGTCATGCGTTTGTGTGTGCAGTGGGCGGGTTTGTCGCATGGGTTTGAATAGGACCACGGTTGGCATCATCTTTGTTTGTGGCTTGTCACGTGGGAACATAATCACAGATCGAGCCTAGCGTGAACCCGGCTGAGACCGAATCTCCAAACTCTCTCTCACTTTCAACTTCTACACCACACCCCGCGACAGCAACGCGCACTGCAACCCACCGCGACGCCCACTTTTCCCCTGCACAGCAAGTATCGCACCACTCTCGCCAGTCATTGCTGCTGCTAAACGCACCATGAGCACCCTCGCAGAGCTCAAGGAAGAGCTCGCTACGTCTCAAAATGACTTGGACTGGCTGGTCAACGAGGCACTCGTTGCCGACCCCAACGATGCCGACTCGCTGGAGATGAAGGCCAACTTGGAGGAGTCGATCGCCGACCTCAAGTCTCGCATCGCCGCCAAGACGTCTGCACCACCCCCACCCCCACCCGCTGACGGACCTGCACCCAAGTACGACATGAGCAAGCACCCTAAGTTCCGCAAGACTTCGGAGGAAGCCGCACCACCGCCCCCACCAGACGAGACTCGCGTCCAGAACTTCAACACCGGAGACTCCGTCATGGCCAAATACTCTGTCGACAAGCAGTGGTATGCAGCGACGATTGTGGGCAAGACAGGAAGCTCTGCTGACCCTGTGTACTCTGTCAAATTCACGGGCTACCCTGACAGAGAGAACAAGCGCAAGCACGAGGTGCGCGCTGTCGAGAACAAGAAGCGCAAAGCAGAAGGTCCTCCACCACCTCCATCCGCTCCAGCTACTGCGGCAATCCCACCTCCACCTCCGCCCACTACCGTACAGAACGGCGCAGTCATTTCAGCTGCGCCCTCTATCGATCCTTCCCTAGTTCAAAAGCGCGAGCCAAGCAAGGTCAGCGACGGACCAACGCGCATGCCACCAGCACCAAAGAAGCTCAAGGGCGGCCGCACGCTGGAGAAGACCAAGAACAGCTGGAAGGATTGGCAGAAGACAGGCCCCAAGAAGCCCGTTGGCAGCTCGGCGAAGATGGTGAACAAGGAGAGCCAGTTCCGCACCCCAGACTTGCCAAATGCAAAGGGTGAGCATGATATCATTATGTGGTCTCAGAGATGTTACTGACCGTACTTCTTCTTCACAACAGTCGGCTTCACAGGCTCTGGCAAGGCAATGACCAAGGACCAGGCTCGTACGAAGTGGAACTACACTCACGAAGAGCCAGAAGAAGATTGAGCGCCCTCTTCTCATAGCCTTCTTCTGCTGCAGGACTCGCAGTTCATCGGTAAGTGCAGGTCTTGATCGTGCATTGATGGTGCACAGCGGCAGCAGCGAGTCGAGCAAGCAAGCAAGCAAGCAAGCAGTCGAAGAGCACCGAGCAGCAGAACACACGAACATTCAGCAATCGAAGACTTTAGCGAGGCGTTTTGGGTATGAATCATCATGGCGCTGCGAGTTGGCAAGAGCCTTGGGCAGGACTTGGATGAATCACGAATGTCATGGCTTTGCGTGGTACAACGGTGCAACGGTGGGCTATGGTCAAAGACATGCGTTTTAGCAGCGTCTATGGAGAAGTATTTCCCGTCCTCGAAGAAAGCGTACTAGCTAAGTGCTTTCATAGGCCCCTTGGGCAACGCTCTAATGGAGCTTCAAGCACAAATCATCAGCAGTGGACAGTGTGGTGTACAGTTCAATTCATGTCATCCTCGTTACGATATTCGTACATGGCCACTGTTACCCTCGCGCCAGCCGCGGATTCGCGATTTCTCCCTGCAACAGGCCAACCAGGGCAGCGTGCACGTTTGGGGCATCTTTAGTCTCGTAGGACACCTGCACCTCTCTCGTCACCACTATTCCAGCGCTATCCACACCGGCAGTATCGTCGTAATGGACTATGTTGTCCAAGCTGGATGTGCTCGTATGCTGTGGGGTGTGCATTCGAGAGACATTCTTCCCGAACGACGTCACCGATCCAAGATGAACATCACCAAGTTCATTGGGCGGTCTTCCTTCATGTCTCTTCTTGCTCTTGAACAATGGCCGTAAAAGCGGGATAGACGCTGTGACGATAACGATGTTGAGCTCGACAGATACCCAGATAACATCTGATCAGCCTTGTCAGCCTCCATACATCTCACAATCCTCAGTCCGACTTACAGAAGCAGAGGTTATACGTATAGTCCGTCACTTTACTGAGCATCTTGGCTTCGTACGTCTTCACCACCGCCGCAATCATAGCAAAAGCACTCAACCCAAGCAAACACCACAACCCAATCTTCGTCTTCCTCGAAAGCCTCGTCTGCTCAATCAACAACGCCGGGAAAACCGCCAGAAACGCATCCGTCACGACATTGAACGCGCCCATGAAGTATCCATACCGCGTCTGGATCTTGGGCGACCAGCAATAATCGTGATAACTCACCTGCTCCATGACGTTCCAATAGACGTTCGAGTGCGATCCGCATTGGACGTAGAAGAGGGTGATGCCGACGAAGTTGACGAGGACTTGCAGCACGATGAACATCCAGATCGGCCAGGTCTTGGTGCGCGGGTCGGAGCGCGTGATCATGAGGAGCGTGTAGGCGAAACTTATGCGGCCGATGGTGGGCGAGAGGATGTCGAACATGAGGGAGAGGATGCCGAATTTCCTGTCAAAAACAAGTTCTTGGATCAGCTTCTACATCTCTCGCTGGCTGGTTTTTGCGAGGGAGACTATATGAAAGCACTCACATCGTCTTCTGCACCTCCTCCAACGTCAAATAAATGATATGCCTCCCGAATCCCGTACTCACGGCTCTCGTTATAATCGCCGAATGCGTGATCCCGACAAGCAAAGCCATCAGCATCAACCCATCGTCAATGTACAACCGGTTCGTCGTCCGCCATTTCGTCCAGAAGCGCAGCGCGACGATGATTATGGAGATGGATATGAACACCCAGACCACTTTATCGACCAAGGGTCCTCGATTGACGTCGGGTTCGTCCTGGAGCGAGTCGAAAAGGGAGCCGAGATCGAGGGGGCTGGACATCTTCGTCACCGGGGTCGGGGTGGTGCGCCTGTTCCAGGCGATGGAGGGGATCCTTTCATGAAGACCACAAAGTCTGGTGTGACGGGGTACCTTATTCTTGCTCAAGCGTTTGAAGAAGAAGGCAAAGAAAGAATTCTTCTCCCCGTTGGTCGGGCCCGGTCGTCTACCATAGCTAGATATCAGAAACATACAAGTCTCTTCTACATGTGCTAAGTCCGCTCCTGCAATCGCGTGGAGTCTCACTACATGAAACCCACCGTCAACGAGCGGGGGTCAAGACGGGAGGCCCCATGCCGGTAATCTTGCAAGACTATAGGCTCTCTCTCTTCCACACACATACAAAGATCGAGACATTCGCCGGACTGCCGTGCCCATTCGGCAAATCCACGACGACTACTACGGCAAATGCATCCGCTTCGACAGTTACGGCATTGCTCATTTTGAAGGCTGTTGATTCGAACAGTTCCACCATGGTACAGACTCGGTTCTGGACCGAGCGAACAACCATGCGGAGGTGGTGCGTGTGTTAAGGACGGGGGGAGGGTAGGACGGTGTCGTTTGTGAGATATTGGGGCAGGGCGGGCATCGGGATATCTGCGGGGTTGTTCGTCTGGAAGGACGATATATTGCCTGCTTCTCGCTTGCCATGTGGTTGAGCATATTGCCTCGTGCGTGGGATAATATCGAAGGCTTTGGTGGTGTCAACGATGTGTTCCGTCCTTTAGCTTGAGAATGTCAGGAAGTGAGGATAATGCACGATGTGACCGCTCGTCTTCCGTGCTCTTGCTAGTGGTGACGGCACTGGCGGGCTGTCTCGCCTAACACGATGTGGCCTCTGGTCATTGGCCAGGTGTCGAAGTGGAACTTCGGCATCGAATTCTTTGGCTCGGGGATGGAGGATGTTCGGCTGCGCTTGCAAGGCTTTCCCTGACGGTGACCAGGTCGTCTCTGCGCCTCCTTATCGATTAGCCTGACAATGCACCACGCGTGGCGATAGGAGATATGTCCGATGAGATGCTGCTGAGATGCGTGGTGGTTGAATGCAGAGAATCGCACGCAGGGACTGGCTGCATTAGTTGAGATGTGCCTTGAGATTGGAAAGGTTCGAAATGTCATCCCTTGTCGATATTCGCGGTGCTAGAATGAAACGCCGTCATGGTCGTTGCCAGCCCTCCAAGTAATGCAACCAGCAAGCAATAGCAAGATTCGTCAACCACGAATCCAAATGCTGTCAGTTTGATCATGTCATTAACTATCCTCCCCCTTCCTTTCGTTCACCACCTCGTCTTGTCGTCAGAATCTCGGCGTCAATCTCTCCGAGGGAATGCTGATGGAGAGCAAACGTTCTTGAGTCCTGCTTCGAAGCTGCGGCTAAAGCTTCGGCCGACGATGGAACGTTGCTCATTCGCCTTGGGCAGCACGGCCTTTGCCACAGGCGGTATCATCGTGGAGTCCAGTCCATCGAATGGCTGCTTGGAGTCGATGGCCTGGGACGACATAGAAACTCTTCGCCCGCTTTGGACTTCCGCGTTCTCATCGTCAATGTAGATGTTCCAGTGTCAGGGACCATCGACCCCTTGTGTGGGCGTGAATGGCGGTAACCGCGGTCCTACGAGGGACGAACAGTATTCAGCGAAAGGGGCTTGAGAGGGGCATTGTGAACTCTGCCACGCTCACATGATGAAGCCTGTATCCTCTGAGCCTCAGCACATCGATCGGCCCACTTGTTCTTCTGCCCATCGACAAAGACGGAGTACGTGAACAGCTTCTCGTTGTTCAGAACGACGCCAGCCGTGTTCCTGTTTGATCGTGAGCTTCAACCTCGAGGATCACATTCTCGCTTCCACTTACACAACCAGATCGATCTTACGATGTTCAGCAACGACTTCGCTGAACAAGTCTTCGACAGCAGCAGCGGAGCTCAAGTCACCGTAGTGCATGCTAACTCTGATGCCGGCATATGTTCTTCGAAGCTCGTCACGGAATAGGAGGGCTTGATCTCTTGTCTTCGCCGTGTTGTAGTGAAGAGCCAGCGCAGCACCCTCTCTGGCCAACTTCCTGGCGCTGTCGGCCGGAAGACTCTTGCCACCTCCTGTGACAAGAGCGACTTTTCCTCGAAGTGACATGTTTTCTGTGTCGTTGGTCCTGGAGCGTGAGCTAGAGGCCGAAGTCGTCGGGCGAGTGATGGGGATAGCAAGTCCGTTTCTTGTCGTTACGTCCGTTCTTCTTGTTGCTGTGATGGGATGCGAGAGATCCAGCGTCGGTTGCCTCCTGAGTCGACTCTTGTGGCTGCGGCGCAGTGTGACCGTCCACCCCTCTGCTGGCCAAAAGAGGCCAATGCCAATACCAATTGATCCCAGTGGCCGAAGGATGAGTCCTTCAGTGCATACGCGGATTCGGTAATGCCGTCGGCTCGCCGGTGGTTGCTTCCTTTCCACGCAAGAATTCCCTGTAAATGGAAGGCGTTGGTCGTATGTGGCTACCTCGAATGCGGGTGACCATGAGGATTTAGTGGCAGCACGACAGCCGTCAGTGTCAGGCGACAGGACTGCGAAGGATGTGTACCAAGCCAACAGGCTGTGCAGTCGGGGAGGACATCTGTAAGACCGCCGAGTGCATACAGCCCACGGGACATAACCATCATCCGTCACGAGAACCGTTCTGCACAAGGCAGTCTATTGCCACTTGGAGCCATTACACTTGCTCGTTCCGACGAATCATGGCGAGCTATGCGGAACGGGCAAAGGTAGCGTAACCTTGAGACCTGGTTCATCTTTGGCTGCTGCGAGGCCAGCAAGGTGGTCCTCGGCCGGCTCAAGGATATATAGTAGTGTGCCCATGTTCAGGCTTGGACGCTATGATCGCAGGAGGCAGTGGACTTCCTATTGCGGTAGGTTAGCGAGCAAGAGGAGCAGGGCTGGTAGTAGGCAGTTTGCTGCTACTGCCGGTGCAGGATCGAAATGGCCCACTACGCCAACGCGCTCTTTTATCGCAGTCAGCTGCAGAGAACTGCTTGTCTTCCCTGCTGGCGAAGCTGCTTTGTCGTGGCGAATTTCGAAAGCCGTACATATGTATTTGAGTGAGGTGAGGCCGTAGTCAGTCTCGACCCCTCCACCGTTTCTTCGACGCTGATTGTAGCCGTTTCTGGAACTGCGAATACTCCCCAGAGTTTAGTTCGCTCCTTCGAACTCGTCAAGGCCACGAATCATAGCAAGCAGCTGCATTGGTGGGGATAACATTCTCTGCTGACAGCAGACCTCCTTCGTTCGAGTACGTTGACCGGCACAGTGTCAGCTTCTCTGTAGTTCGTGTGTTGCCTTTGCTATTACCACCATCATTCTTATTCTTCATCAAGTATTGAGCCTTTTCGTACACCTTCCTGAGTCCGTCAAACGCCGCACCGTCTCCAGACTCCGCGGCTGGGAGGCACAGCAGGATCCGCCCTAACCGCCGAGGAAGGTCGTCATTCATATATTAAGATGTTGGTCGTCAACAGTCGCGATGCCCTTCTCAGTGGCAAAGGAACGAACGATGCCGCACCAAAGACCAATGGCTCCATGCATGAGCCATTCGTCTTTGTTCCTATTACGCAGTCCGAGGCCGCCAAGGGCAGAGGTGCAGCGAAGCGTATTGTCAGAGCCCATGTGACAAGGGTACAGCATGCCAAATCCAGCACTCTCAACGGCATGGACCTTCAATCTTGGACAGTCAAGCCGTACATCCATCGAGACGTCCAGGTTCGTAAGAAGCCTCGAGCGAACGGCGCCGCGGAGAAGAAGGCTCCAGCTGTGAAGACCCGGAAGAGCCCCAGTGTAGAGTCGTCGACATCTTCAGATTCCAGTGACAGTTCGAAAGCTCTTGTGAAGATACCAAGGATCGCGGACAATGGAGCGGAAGACCCGTTTTGGTCGTTCCCAGTGGATTACAAGCCAGAAATTGCCCCCATCTTCGCACATTGTAAGTCGAGCGCCTCGCTTTGGTCTATGCACAAGCTAACTTGACAAGACATTCAAAACATCGCCGTGGACATTGCTGATGTCGATGGTCCAAATCAAAAAGGCCTTCTCCGAAGGGAGCTCTTTCCTCTTTGCATGACCGAAGCTTCAACCATGTATGCGGTCCTGCTTATGGGAGCCTCACACTACTGCATCGTGAATCCTCACAAAGCATCACTGATCGATCTACTCGCACTTAAGGCACGAGCGCTCTCAGAGATCAATTCGGCATTGACAGACCCCAAGAAAGCAGTCACCGACGCGGTTATCATGGCTGTAGCTAAGATTGCCGCGTATGAATCTATCTTTGGGGATTCAGAGGTGTTTGCCGCGCACATGAAAGGCTTGCAGATGATGCTCAAGATGCGAGGTGGTCTATCGACTCTGGGACTCAACGGCCTGCTGGAGCGAATGCTAGTCTGGATCGACCTTAACGCTTGCCATTTGACTGGACAGACGGTATTCTTGGGCGGAGACGATTTTCCTACCATCGTCGAGTTCGAAGGGCCGGATCCATTCCACTTTGCGGGCATCTCATGATCGAAAAGCGAGACTTGGGCGTTGTGTTAGCCATTCGTTTGTTGGAGCGGACGAAACTTCAGATCTGCTTGTCGTGTGTTAAGCTTGGAGGGTGCAAGGAGTTCCAGTAAAGCGAAAAGGATCATGGCTAGACCCAAGGAGGGTGGCCAACGAGTTGCGGCGACCGGCCGGCGCAGTAAAGAGTGTCTTTTTTTGGTAGTAGCGAGGAGGAGATATTGGAATGGCGTTGTGGACGGCCAAACGATGCCATTGTGGACTTTGCTGGGCGAGATAGGCCAATGGCGACAATGAGGCGTCTCTGGCGTGGTGCAGAAGGAGTTTGTGTTTGTAGATCCTGTCGATTCTTCCAACACTATCACTCGATCTGCTCTTCACTTCGAATCTCTTTCTCAATCTCCAGAACGTCTCTTTTCGCGAGTGGTTTATGTCGTGATGGAAGGAAACTAAGCGCTAAAGATCACGGCGGATTTCGGCAGGAAGATTTTGAGTCAGCAGGCGCTGACAAGGATTCACACCTCAACAACGACATCACGTCAACATTCACTTCATCGCCTCACGACCAGTTTCGACGGTCTACCAAGATGCCGCCGAAAAAGGACAGCCTGAGTGTCGTCGCTCCAGAGCCTGTCGACGAACGCTCTCCGCTGCTGAATAATGCCAATGGCCATCCGACAGAGCAGGAGAACCTCGATGCCCAGGCCGAGCAGGAGAGACGCGAACATGAGGCTGGCACGGTTCCACTGGCCGAGGAGCCGTCTACGAAGAAGCTGTTACTTACAATGGGCAGTCTCTGGCTCATAACGTTCTTTGCGGCCTTAGGTCTGTGCAGTGAAGAGACATACATGTAGTGTTCATGATCACTGAGTCGATACCCACAGATTCCACGGTCGTAGCGACGCTTTCTGGACCCATTAGTTCGAGCTTCAATTCGGGAACATCATTCTCTTGGATAGCATCAGGATATCGTAAGTCAATCGAATCAAATTTAATACTTTCCATTCAGAACGATCAGATCTAACTCCTCTACAGTCCTCGCCAACGCTGCCTGCCAACCACTATCGGGCAAGCTGACAGACATCTACGGCCGTCGTGCCGGCCTGGTTTTCGCTGTGACCTTCTTTTCAATCGGTACCCTTCTCTGCGGACTGGCGAAGCAGGACTGGATGATGGTTCTGGGCCGTATCGTAGCAGGATCGGGTGGCGGGTGCTTAAACACCGTCAGCGTGTTCATTGCCTCGGACCTCGTCCCCCTCCGCAAGCGCGGCGTATGGCAAGGGATATCGAACATTGTCTTCGGAGCAGGGATGGGGCTGGGAGGTGTTTATGGAGGATGTAAGTTTTAAGTGTCTGATGTGCGCTCGTGTTGACGCTGACAATTTACTCGTAGTCATCAACGACAGACTCGGCTGGAGATATGCCTTTCTCATCCAAATTCCATTTATTGTCGTAGGCGGCATTCTCGCCATAATCATGGTCAACGTCCCTGTCAAGGAGACCGACACGGCAAAGATCAAGCGTGTCGACTTCCTAGGCGCATTCACCCTCGTGTCAGCATTGGTCCTCTTACTGCTTGGCTTAAACTCTGGCGGAAACATCGTTCCCTGGAACCACCCTCTGGTCTACGTCCCAATACCGCTCAGCTTCGTCTTCCTGCTGATCTTCGTCTACGTCGAGGACAAGATTGCTCCGGAGCCTGTCATTCCGGTTCGCCTGTTGCTCAATCGATCTGTCACGGCGGCACTTCTGACCAATTGGTTTATGACGATGGTACGATGAACGATAAGCTTTTGAAATTTGATGTGATGCTGACATTTCTGCAGAGCGTATTTGGCCTCCTGTACTACGGCCCTATCTTCTTTCAAGTCGTCCGCGGAGTCTCAGCAACAGAAGCTGGCACGCAGTTCATCCCTCAAGCAGCTGGGATGTCACTGGGATCTCTGCTCGCAGGCATTTACATGCGCTGGAGCGGCAAGTACTGGTGGTGGCAGGTCGGTGCTCAGTGCTTGTCCATCACTGGCACGGCACTCATTCTCGCATTCTTCGACGAACATGTGTCGCTGGCAGAACCATACATCTTTCTTTTCGTTGGAGGCCTTGGATATGGCTCCATGCTGACAGTCACTCTGCTGGCCCTGATTTCTGCCGTCGACCACAAATACCAAGCAGTCATCACGTCAGCGAGCTACGCATTCCGCTCCACCGGGTCAACGATTGGCGTCACGATAGCCAGTACCGTCTTCCAGAACCTCCTGAAGTCGTTCCTCTATGAGAAGTTTGGAGATCGACCAGATGCCGCACACAGGATCAGAAGGATTAGAGACAACCCCGAGGAGATCAAGTATCTGCCTGATGCGTGGAAAACTGGGGTGATTGAGTCGTACATTGCAGCGCTGCGAGGCGTGTGGACGGTGGTGTTGGTATTAACCGTGGTCTCGTCCATAACGTGCTTGTTCATTCGACAGCATACACTGTACAGCAGCCTGGATCGGAAATAGACAATGAATGTATTCAAGGCACCGGAGAGAGCTCCTGCAAGTTACATTAGTAACTACGTTCGTCGTAGCGCGCAGATTCGCGTACGTAGCCCTCTTCTTCGTCTCGAATCCGTTGGAAGCCACTGTTGGGGCTTGTACGTCCATCGCCATTCGGGAGCGAGTATGGCTCATGGCATGTACTGCTAAGCAGACTTGGGTAGTAGCGTCGCCAGTTGAAGTAAGTTATGGCCATTCCTAAGAGGGATCCCGACACCACGTCAAAGACATCGTGCCTGTAATCTTCCAGACGCGATATGGCAATGAGCGCTGCGCCTAGCAGCGGCACTAAGCAGAGCAGCACCACAGTCATATTCGCTCGCGGTCTCAGGACATGCGTCTGGCTCGCAAGCAACAGCGCTGTCCATCCCAAACCCGCAAACGCAAACGAGCTGTGCCCGCTAGGATATGACCTCCAACCGTCATGCAATACATGATGATTCGTCTCCGTACAAACATCAATGGTAACCATCTCATTCTTTGGTGTCCCAGACTCTGGCTTGCAGCGCGCAATCAAGTCAGGTCTCGGCCTTCCTATGGCATCTTTGAACAGATCGGTGAGGAACGAAGTGGTGATCACGGCGATGACGAGGCCGAGGAATGTTACGTGGGTGGCGTGGAGGGAGGGTCGGAGGGCTATCGCCCAGATTATCAGGACTACGATGGGGAGGGCGGCGGCGTACACCATGAGCCAAACTGTACGGATACTGTCAGCGAATGTCGTCTTCTCGCAGACGTTCTGAAGACATACCAACCGACACCCGCTCGACCTCAGCATGCGGATGCTGAATCCTCGGATCATCCAAACGGAATTGCGCATGGAAGGGCTCTCCAAACAACTTGAGCAGTAACTCTCCAACCACTAGGATGCTCAAGCCGATGTAGTCCGCGGCGTGTGTCTTGCGGGCGAAGCGCAGGAAGGCGTCGAGGTAGCCATTATTGTTGTGGGGAGGCGATTTGGAGTATTTGGCTCCCGTGCGCGAGGATTCGCCAGAGGGCATTGTTCATGTCCAGGGAGTGTGGTTGTGGTGGAGGATGCAAGAGACGAGGTGAAGTGGGCTCCCGAGGCCGTGTTGGCGCGTCTCGCGCGTCGTCCATCTCCTTTTCTTCTTATTTCTCGACATGAACATGACCATTTCAAAAATACTCACGACAAAATTGTCTCTTCAGGACCATACGGCTGCCTTCAACTCATTCGATGTGTACGATGGAGACGCGCTGACAAGCGTGGATGAGAGCACGATACTCACGTTCAGGAGACATACAACAGAGTATCATCTCTTTCTAATGAGAAGTATTTGAAAGGTCCTTTCCTGCCCTGACTGCTCAGCCCATCACTGTTTCACCGAGATACCCTTGAACTCGCGGGTAATGTTCGTGATGGCCTGTTCGACCGGCAGTCGCTCCATCGAGCTCGCTCCAAAGAAGCCATGCACGCCGCTCACTTTGTCTTTCACGTATTTGGCGTCGTCTGGAGCTGCAATCGGACCTCCATGGCATAGGACGATGATGTCCTTGTTGACTTGAGTCGCAGCATCGCGGATCGCCTGCACCTCCCGCACACAGTCGTCGAGACTCTTGCCAGTCTTCGCACCGATTGAGCCCGACGAGGTCAGACCCATGTGTGCCACCACGACATCCGCTCCAGCCTTTGCCATCTTCGTTGCATCTTCCGGTGAGAAGACGTACGGCGTGGTCAGCATGTCCTCCTCGTGCGCCAGTTTGATGCACTCGACTTCCAGATCATAACCCATGCCAGTCTCCTCCAGGTTCGCGCGAAAGGAACCATCGATCAACCCTACAGTCGGAAAGTTCTGCACTCCAGCAAAGCCCAGGTCTTTCAGCTGCTTCAAGAATCGCGGGATGTCTTTGAAAGGGTCTGTCCCACACACGCCAGCAAGTACGGGAGTCTGCTTCACCACCGGAATGACTTCCTTGGCCATATCAACGACCACATCATTCGCGTTTGAGTAAGGCATCAGTCCTGCGAGCGAGCCACGACCTGCCATTCGAAACCGGCCAGAATTGTAGATGATGATCAGATCTCCTCCGCCTTGCTCAATGAACTTTGCGGAAAGTCCGATACCTGGTTTACAGTCAGATGGCATTCGATATCGAATGTGCTCACTCACAAACCGGCTCCTGCACCAACGATGGGTTTCCCATCTTTGATTTGTTGTCTCAGGCCATCGAGGATTTTCTGCCGATCTGTTGGAGGACCCATTCTGGCAGAATGGAAAGTACGTTTGGGAAAGAGCAGCCAAGCGTCGGATATCCTTCAATCAGTCCTTTACGTCTCGCAAAACGTTCAGCACCAAACGATGGCTTGTGGAAAAGTTTTGTTGTTTGTCAAATGGAACATCGGATGATTGGCGAGTGCAGTGGACTGGACCCATGGAGGAGCCGTGACGCAATGTGTGTGTACCTGCAGTACATCCACAGCTCCAGGAGCTCTCGGTTCTGACGTTCTGCTTCTCAAGCTCGACTGACCAACACCATTGAACCGGGTTCAAATCACTAAGAGCGTCCAGAGAGTGCAACCGACCATGCATATAGTCATCTTTGGGACGTGCGACGTGAGTTCAAACAACCCAAACGCCTAGCCTTGCATTGGAAGGTTTACTGACTTGCCTGTCAAAGTCTAAACTTGACGAGTTGCTCTACTTGAGAGCACAGATAGTCCAACTCGGCGGCAAAGATTGCAAAGTCACATTGGTGGACGCCGGCCGTTCTCCAGTTCAACACGAAGCGATCACCGTCTCACAGGACACTTTGACCTCGAAGTATTCTCCGGACTCGTCACAAGATGTAAATAAGCTGTCTCGAGGCGATGTTATCAAGCACATGATTACCTGCGCGTCGAACTGGCTGAAAGAAGCGCTCCAAAAGGAAAAGGATGAACCCTCACAAGCTATCCACGGTGTGATCAGCGCAGGAGGCACCGGAGGCACTTCCCTTTCTTCTGGAGTTATGAAAGACGTACTACCAATTGGCTTTCCGAAGCTTATTGTTAGCACTGCCGCATCGGGCGACACTGGACCTATCGTTGGAGAGACAGACATCACCTTGACCTATTCTGTTGTCGATATTGCTGGTACCAATAGCTTGTTGAAGACAATCTTGTCCAATGCTGCGGGGGCAATTGTAGGCATGGCGCAGGCTTATGAAACTCGATCAAAATCTGAGGCGGCGACTTCAAGCGGCTCCAAGCAGCGCAAACGTGTCGGATTGACAATGTTTGGTGTCACCACTCCATGCGTTGACAAGATACGAGAGCACCTTGAAGGCAAGTACGAGATCGAATGCTTCGTCTTCCATTGCACTGGCCACGGCGGGAAAGCCATGGAAAGACTAGTCGAGCAAGGTGAACTTGATGCCGTGCTGGATGTAACGACGACCGAGATTTGCGACTATCTCTCTGGAGGCGTCATGAGTGCAGGAGAGCATCGACTTGAAGCCACGTTGAAGGCGGGCATACCGTGCATTATCAGCGTCGGCGCAACAGACATGGTACTATGTCGTCGAGGATCCAAATCTTTTCTTGTGCTAACAGTGCTCCAGGTCAACTTCGGGCCAAAGGGCACCGTTCCAGAGAAGTACAGAGATCGAAAGCTCTACGAACACAACCCGACAGTAACCCTCATGCGAACCTCTCCAGAAGAGTGTAAACAGATCGGAGAGTTCATCGTGCAGAAGATCAAATCTGCTGCGAGCGATACAGCCAAAGTCCAGGTTGTGCTGCCAAAGGGTGGTGTCTCCATGATTGCGACTCCAGATTCTCCATTCTATGACGCTCAGGCCGACGAGGCAATCTTTTCCACGATCAAGAATGGACTTCAAAATACCGATGTTCAGTTGGTCGAGGACAACCGCGCTATCAACGATGAGGGGTTCGCCGTGGACATTGCAGAAAGACTGGTCTCGATCATGGACGTCGCCTCTCGAAGGTGATACATCTTGACTGGCGCAAAACGTTATTATCTAAGCCTGACTAGCTTGAGGTCGCTGCAAACCTCCAAGCGCTTTGAATCTCTCCGGCGGCTGAACACTGAAGGATTCTGAGGAGGCGGCGGGGGATTCGCTCATTGGAAGAGCGCGAGCCGGCCTTCTACCGAGTCCGTGCGCAGACGTGCCCTTTACAGCCGGGGGCAGTAGTCAGCAAGTTCGCTCTTGAGGGTGAGCTCCAACACCGAAAGCGACTGCGAGCCAAGGTCTCCATGAGAACGCCACGGCTCTGTCAAACCATTTTGAACAGTCCCAACTGACGATGATTCGATGATTGCCGGTCTTGAGCAGAGTATTCGCTACATGCATGCGTAACGCCACCAGCCGGGCCTCTGCTTGCAGTATCGTCTACTTGCTAAGCCGGACCTTGCTTTCGAATTGTAAAGCGAGCTAAAACATTAATCGTCACCTAGGGCTATTGCAGATGGCAGAGGGTAGACGTTACTTAGGCACTGGTCGCCTTGGAAGCCTTCTATAAAATGGTCTCTCATCTGTCTCCTAAGCCAGGAACATCAACATCGCAACCCAATCCGCAATCCGCAGTCAGAAGCTTCACAAAAACTTTACTGCAACCATCTGATCAATATCTCCCCGCCTCCAACCCCAAGAACAACTTCCAACAACATGTCGGTCAAGAAGATCCTCACCATCTTTGGTGCCACCGGCAAGCAGGGCGGCTCCGTCATTGATGTCGTCCTTGCTCATCCAGAACTCGCAGCCAAATACGATTTGAGGGGTATCTCTCGAGATCCCTCCAGCGGGAAGTCCAAAGCATTGGCCTCCAAAGGCGTCGAAGTGGTTCAAGGAGAGCTCGATGACCTCGAATCTCTCAAGAAAGCCGTCAAAGGCTCGTATGGTGTCTTCGGCGTTACAGACTTTTGGTCGATCCTGGACAAGCAGCGAGAGATCCGACAAGGCAAAAACATCTTCGATGCCGCCAAGGCTGAGAATGTCCACCACTTCGTCTTCTCCAGCCTGCCATACGCCGAGAAGCTCACGAAGGGCGAGCTGAAGCATGTCGACCACTTCGATTCCAAAGCACAGGTTGCAGAATACGCCGAAGCCAACAAGGGCGACATGATCTCGTCGTACGTCATGCCAGCCATGTTCATCGACTTCGCCAAGACCATGGTCAACGTCGTTGAAGGGAAGCCAACTCTCGCCATGCCATTCCCATCAGACGACATCGCCTGGCCACTCATCGAGCCTCGCCGAGATCTGGGCAAGTACGTCCTCGCCGTCTTCGAAGCGGAATTCAAAGCCAACGGCGTCCACGTCCACGCCGTGTCAACCTGGACGACCCCGAAGAAAGTCGTGGCCGCCCTCAGCAACGAGGCTGGTCAGGAGGTCGTCTTCAAGATTCTCCCGGGTCAAGTCTTCGCTTCGTTCTTGCCTGAGAATATTCGAGAAGAGCTGCTCGAGACTATTCTGTTGGTGGGGAATTACTCGTACTATGGTCCGGGAGAGGAGAAGAATCAAAAGGAGCATGACAAGTGGTTGGTGCCTGGGTCGGAGCTGATTTCTTACGAGCAGTGGGCGAAGGAGAATGGGCCTTGGAAGTACTGATTGAATTATCAGAGCAAGAGCATGGATTAATGCAATGTAATGAAAGAGGCAGCTCAATTCTAGATTTCAATCTTCCCTATTACCTCTTTTTCGCTCTCTTTCCTTGCTTGTGATCATCCAGATATGCACCCCCACTGTTCGAAAAACACCAACCGACTGGAGAATTCATTCACTTGCACACCTCCACTCATTTCCTCCCCAAACCATTCCCTATAATACAACCCGGAAGTAAATCTCCCCCAACCCCCACAAAATGCCTTATCGTGCGCAACCCGCAGCTAGACAAGCTCGCCTCAAGAGCAGGCGAGAGAATGAGGAGGTTGGCACACACCGACCGCAACCCGCACGTCACCAGTCCACGTGTGAGATTTAGACTTTCTCATGTCCGTCAAAGGTGGATACGAGAGAGGAGCAGAGAGCTCTTTCCTTTTTATTGCTGTTGTCTTGCACCGCCACATCTCTTATTTCTGGCTTCGTTCACTTACCAAACACAAGGCAAGTAGAAGAAGAAAGAGTGAGGGTTGGTGGTACAAGATCTGAATCTCATCTGGATCGTGGAGAAGAGAGATCTTGCCCCACTTTTTCCCGACATCGAACTTCACTCCACGACGACAACAGATCCTGGTTTCTGGGCATTGGGGTAGAGGTGTGGGTCAAGATGGGAGTCCTCAATTTCTTTCAGGATAAGAAGATGCAGGTAAGTCAGGAACCAATCCACAGGAGGGAAACAACTTGCTTATCATCTTCACCAATGCCCAGGTCGTCGCCTTCTCCTCCTCGGCGATAGCCTTGTATGGCTACGATCAAGGTAACCTACCACCCAATTCCAGAACCCTCACATGCAAAGTCCTAATGTTCCGACAGGCATGATGTCCCTCATCAACACCAACAAAAACTACCTCGCCACCATGGGCATCGCCTCGGACTCGCCCCAAGTCGGCCTCATCGTCGCCGTCTACTACCTAGGCTGCTCCGTGGGCGCCGTCTTCTTCTCCTGGTTCGCCGACCGCTTCGGGCGGAAACCCGCTCTGTTCGGCTGCCTCGCCATGGCGTCTCTGGGGAACCTCATTATGTTCGTCTCCGGGTTAGGGTACAGCCAGGGCGCTCTGGCGGTGATGTACGTCGGGCGGGTCGTGATGGGCCTGGGCGTGGGGGGTGTAGACTCCGTCGTGCCGGTGTACAGTTCCGAATTATCGAGTGACGACGCACGCGGCAAGGCTCTCGCGCAGGAATTCCAAGCGAACATCTTCGGCCTGAACATGGCGTTCGCGATAAACCTCGCCGTAACGGTGCAGCTAGGCAAACGCAACGAATGGGCGTGGAGGATCCCCATCATCGCCATGCAGATCTATCCGGTCGTCCTGATGCTGTTCATCGGGGCGTTGCCGGAGTCGCCGCGGTGGTTGGTGTTCCACGATCGGCAGGAGAAGGCGACGGCGTCGTTGAAGCAGTTTTTGGCGGATGAGGAGGCCAAGCAGAAGTGCGAGGACCTTGTTGAGGCGAGCAGGGAGGAGAGCGGGCATAAGATTGGGTATTGGGAGATGTTTACGCCGGGCCACGCGCAGTTTCATCCGACTATGTTGACGATTATGGGGCAGGTGAATCAGGCGTTGACGGGTTATGGCGGTGCGTATGATCCTGTATCTTCCTGAGTTCTTGCTGTTAACTGACCATCCCACCCAGCCGTCTCCGTCTACGGACCCCAAATCTTCGAACTCCTAGGCTACGGCGTGCGGACATCCGAGTACCTAACCCAAGGCAACTACGTCTCATATCTCATTCTGATGACCTTCGCCTGGCTGCTCATCGACGCCCTCGGAAGACGAACAATCATGCTCTTCGGATCCGGCACCCTGACAATCTGCTTCCTGCTGCTCGCCGTCTTCGGAGGCCTCGCCGTCCACGCCGACGACCTGAAAATCCACACCAACGCCGTCGCCGTCCCGGGAATCGTCGTCCTCTTCATCGCAACAGGAGCCTTTGGAATCGGATGGCTCACACCAGTATGGTAAGCCCACCCCCTCCCCCACCCCTCCCCAAACCCAACCCAACTAACATCCCACCCCCCTCTCCACAGGCTCATCCCCACCGAAATCTACCCCACCGCCGCCCGCGCCCAAGGCACAGCCGTCAGCGTAATAATCTGGGGCCTCGCCAACTTCACCATAACCCTCCTCACCCCGCTCATGTTCAACAACCTCAAATTCTGGCTCTACCTCATCTTCGCCGCCACGAACCTCTTCGCGGGCGTCTGGACCTACCTCTACTCGCCCGAGACCGGCGGCCGGGCCTTCGAGGAGAACCAGGAGTTTTTCCAGGATGCGCAGCGGGAGGGGACTTGGAGGGTGAGTCGCGTGCGGGAGGGCGAGTTTAGGTGGTTGCCGTATCCGAAGCCGGAGGGGGCGGAGGGGGAGAGTCAGCCGCTTTTGAGGAGGATTCGGGATCAGGCGGAGATTTAGAGGGGTGGGAGGGAGATGTTTCTTGCCTAGATTGAAGATTTCCTTACGGTTTGAAGCGCGGGCGCGAGTGGGCGTTTTGATAGAGCGAGCTCATGAGCGTGTTGTTCCGCATCGATTGACGTGTAAAGTGGGAAGTCAGCGTTCTCTGCTGGCTATTATGACTGGGTGATGATGACATGCACAACTGTAGCATGTTTATTGTTGAAAGCGCAAGCAAGCAAGTGGGTATTTTGTGATAGGGCCAAGCTCTAGGCCTCCCATTCAGCGTTGATCAATTAATACATGGCCACTGACCCGACGCATAGCTGGCATGCAAACTGTTCTTCTAACGACACAGAATCGCTGAACGCCGCGCTCAATGGACGAAACCCCACAAAAAGTCCCTTTTTCACGAAAATGCTCATCCCCAAGGCGACGGATTTTGTTGTGCGGTTTGTTGTTGGCCGGTCATCTGCCCAGGTCGGGGGAAGACAGGCACTGTTTGGAGGTTCTCGAGCCCGCCCATGGTGGCTTGTTGGGAGTTTTGCCATCCCTGACCGGTTTGTTGGTTCATGAACATGGATTGCCGGAATGGGTTTGTGCTTCCTGTGGGCTGCACTTGTAATGCGTTCGGAGGCGAGACGGGTGTTGTCGATTGTTGTTGTGAAGGCTGATTGCGCGCAAAGGGGTTCGTGCCAGTGACTTGAGATTGTAGCGGCTGGGCTTGGAAGTTTGGTTGCGAGGCAAAAGGAGAATTCGTCTGTTGTTGTTGGAGGGCTGGCGCCGGGCCATCCTCGGGTATTGATGGCGGCATCGTACTCCTCGAGAAAGGATTGCTTCCTTGTCGTTGGGGTTGCTGCTGTTGCTGCTGTTGTTGCTGAGCGAAACCTGCAAATCCACCACCTGTTCCAGAAGCCATCATCGACTGACGGAATGGATTCGTAGATTGCGGTTGTATCTGAGCCGGTGACTGGACCTGTGCTGGACTTGCCACTTGCTCTTGACCAAACGTATTCCCAGTGGCGAAGGGCTGCTGCTGCTGCTGCGTCGGCTGCGGTCCATAACCTCCAAATCCAGCTCCAGTGAACTGTGTCTGCAGCGGCTGAGTTTGCGTCTGTTGCTGGAATTGCTGCTGCTGTTCGTAAGGATTAGTTGACACGCCGTTCCCGTATCCATTCGTCGGTTGTTGCTGAAATGGCTGCTGATATGCCGCAGTCTGCTGAGGTTGTTGAAAAGTCGGTGGTGGCTGCGGTTGCTGCTGTTGCTGTTGTAAGAATGGATTCGTCTGCATCGTAGCCTGGTTCTGCTCAATCGATGCGAAGAAGTCGATCAAATCCGGCGCAGGGCCCTTGATCTGCGGCGGTTTCGAGTCCGGCTTCTCATCGAATGGAGTGGACATCTTCGTGGCTGTTGGTTGCGGTGCAGGTTGCGATGGTTTCGAAAACGGCTTCCCGTCCTTCCTGGAGTCCTGCTCTGCCAAATATTGCCTCCGATTCACCTCGAAATCCTTGTCATCCAAGTACTCTTGCAACGACGCCGCCAAGCTCGTCGGCGCATGTTTCAGCTTCGGTATCTCCAATCTCGTCGCGTATTCATACTGCCGCGCGATACTGAGGTATTGCACCACTTGGTCCGTCTGCTTGCAGAACGTCTTGTAGATCCGGATGGCGCGTTCCGCATCAGGCCGCGACATCTCAAAGTAATGGCTCAGCACGTTCATCACCGCCTCGTTCATCACGTTGTACAGATCCAGCAGATCCCTCGTGAGCAAGCGAAATGCCGTCAACGATATCTCATTCTCCACATCATTCTGCAGCAAATCGCACTTGACCAGCGACTTGACCTGATCTTGCACGATTTCCGTCTCCCGCAGCAATCCCTTGTCCACCGTCAGCCCCTTCATGCGCCGCTCTCCTCCTCGTACATGATCGAACTTGGACTTCTCGAACGCCTGCGCACGCGCGAGCAGATACTCGGAGTAGACTCTTATGTTCTGACCCTGGGTCTGCACGTCGGTGAAGCTGTTGATGGCGAGGCGGTTGCGGGGCGCGACGGCGAGGTAGCGCAGGGTGACGTCCTGTACGCCCTCCTTGATCATCAGGTGCACGATGATCAGGGCCTTGAAGGCGACGGTCCAGGTGGAATCGCGCAGGCGGTGGGTGAGGGTGCGGAAGACCTCAGCGACGCCGGCCTCGCCGGACTGGGTGGCCAGCAGGATGTGCTCGACATATTTCGACTTGGGCGGGGCGAGTTTGACCTTGGTGCCGCCCTTGACCGACTTCTCGAAGGAGCTGGACATGGCTGGGTTGCTTTGCTGGTTGCGCGAATCTGGCATGGGGGAGGAGGAGGAGCTATCGCAGATGCATCGCGCGGGTGGCAGAGGACGTGGGTTGTTCGCAGCAAGGTGGGTATATACTGGATACTGATTGAGTGCAGTCAGAAGCAATACGCAAGTCCCAAGACCGCCGCCGGCAGGTCGGAAGGGTGCGGTGGCAGTGAGGTGTTGTGATCTCCGGCAGCTAGCTGGCAGTGCCTTTAGGTCCAACTGCCACACAACTCTACTGTTCGCCAAACGAGATTGGCTCGAGATGACGTCGGGCAGCCCCTGAATCTACTACACACCAAATCTATTTCATTCACTCGACGTTCTGCTAGAACTACAAACCTGCATGTGGCTAACCGTCCTCGTCCAGTTGCACTGCCTGAAACTGGCGACTTTCACGCCACGTGAAGCACGAACGGCGCCAGGCCGACGTCTCCGAGCAGACGCTCCATGGCCTCGTCGGTCAAGCTCACCATCACCTCCCACACCTTCGGATCATCCTTCAGTGGCAGCAGCACGCATCCATACGCGGACTGATTCCTGCTGACCTTCCTCGTCCACTCCGGCTCGCCCAAACCCAAGCCTAGCGTCGTCTCGTCGCCCACGGGCAGGTTGGCCCAATTGGTGATGAAGACATCGGTGCTAAAGTCGATGTTGGGATGATTGAGCGTCTTGACATCCTCAGCCTCGTTGATGATAGCAATGGCTGATCTGGCTTTCGCATCCGTCATGCTCGAGGTTGCCTCCCGAATACGACGAGCGATACCCGACAGCGTGCCGACACCGAAGGGCGCAATCAAGTGGCTCACCGGGTCATCGACGCAGCCGAACAGGACACTGTTGCCGTGGAAGTCGTCTGGAAGTTCTTGCTCCATGCGTTTGGCCATGTCGACTGGTATGAAGATCCTCGACCTCAAGCCGTTCATGTTCAAGTTTGTGGGCCATCTGGCACGCGTGATGGCCTTCCAGAGGATCGCGGCGAGACAGTCGAATCCGGAGAGATGGACGCCTGGCTCGTCGTGCTCGAAGTGGAAGCGTTCTCTCACCATCTCCTTGGTCCCATCGAGCATCTCCCGAGAGAACGTCAGAACACGGCTGGTGCCCTTGCTCGGCGCGAGCGACTTTCTGATGGCGACATCGTACTCTGGATGCTCGTTTAGGTTGGCTTTGACACCTCTGGAGCCCGACAAGCGGTCACGCAGGTGAGCCTGATGTTTGGCGTCTTCTTGCAAGGTTTCTGGGACCTTGACCTTTGGAAGGACCCCAGACATTATGCGGATCACTTCTGCGAGACCCTTGAGGTCGGCCACAGAGTGGTGAACGTAGAAGCACACAATGACGCCTCCCTCGATGAAGTTCGCCTGGACAGCGAAGGCTGGAGCACTACTGTCCTCGTTGCTCGGCGAATCCGGAAGAGGAGTGAGAGCCTCGTTGATGAGCACATTCGCCGGCATCTTGGCCTTGCTCAACTCCTCGTAGGTATGTGGGAACTCCTCATCGCTCAGGACCTTGATCGTCGGCTCGAAGTCGTTGACTTGCGCGTGGGTCACTCTGGCTTCGGCCCTGCCTCTTTGCTCCCCACTGTCGACTTTGCCCTTCGGCTCGTCGACATGGCTGTAGCCATCACCTTCTTCTTCACTATCGCTGTCCTCGTCGTCATAGTCGTCGCCACTACTCTCTCCCTCCGCCTCCACATCAAGATCGTAGACTCCACCCGCCAAGATCGGCCTACAAACCAAAAAGTCAGCCTCTCAACTCAGCCCATCTCACCAAACCCCAACATACATATACGTAACAGCCCTCTTGACATTCTCCCTCAGACTCTTGCCAACCCTCTCTTGCACGCCCTCCTCCTCGCCCTTGCAAGGGAAGCACAGCGCATAACGCACGTACGCTCGAATGAGACTCTGGTCGATCGACGAGAGGCGGTAGGTGACTGCTTCGTTCTCCATTTCGGTTCTGGTGTTGCTGTTGTCGAGGCGGTTGGTCGTGTAAAGTCAAAGGGATATCAGAGAAGTCGTTGTGAGTCGATGGACGAAGGCAGCCAGCCGTTCAAGGGGATATCGCAGCCGCGCGTTATAAAGTGAGGTTGTGAAAGTGAGTGAAGGCGTGGTGGAAGTGAGAGGGTAAAAAGGCTTCATTCACAACGTCACTTTCACGTGTCAACGAGTGGTTTTTTTCTGACATACTCTAATGCTGTCTGTCTGCTTTGCACTGATGAACCATTGTATAGTAGCGAACCCGTTAACCTCATGCCCAGTACCCTTCTAACCTTCCCTGTTGACTTTCTGTTTTTCCTGCTTGCGCAGTTGTAGTGTTCTGGCGTAGAAACAAGCCCGCCTGTGTATTCGTCATTTTCTCTCTCTCTTCACTTTCCATGTGAGTATTACCCAGATTCCTTCAACGCCCAAAAAGAAAAGTAAACGCGCTTCGATGCTCAATCAACTGTTTTTTTTTCTTCGTCTTTCTTTCCTCTCTTTCGCTTCCAAAATGCTTTTCCATGTCATCTCAATAAAAAAAAACTCCGTGCTGTGTGTAGTGCCATGCAATGCTGGTGCGAAATTTCTCAAACCAAAGGGTGTCCTGCTTCTTTCAACTGATCAACGCCATCATGTGATGTTTCCGGTCTCGTGTCAAAAGCAGCTTTCACGTGAAGTCTCTTCACCTCACTTCAACGCCTTCCACTTCCGCGCGCACGTGGCGCCGGCGAAGGTGTAGCTGCTGCCGTTGTCCTTCATCCAGTCGCTGATCTTCTTCCAGGGGATTCGGCCGTGGTTGTATCTAGCCGAGACTGAGTCGGCAAACATGTCGACCGCATCTTCAAGCAGGCGGATCTGATGCATGGTCAGTGTTATTCACGATTGAGGGTGAGGTCGACTTACATCGTTCGCCTTCCATACTGGCTTGCGTACACGCTGGCTCTTGTGCTTCGTCATGACACGAACACGTCCACGCAGCGTCGACTCTGCTTCGGTGAAACGGCCGCGGCGCTTGATGTCCTTGTAGGAATACCCCTTCTCACGCATCTTCAGCAAGTATCTGTCTCGCTCACGGCGGTGAGTAGCCTCAGAGACGGCGCGGTCACTCGCTTCAAGCTCTGAGCTGTGCTCGCTGTCGGTGTCGGTGCCAGAGTCGGAGTCAGTATCTTCGTCGGAAGTGGTATCGAGGAAGGGTCGATCGAGGTCCGGCACGGAGGATGCTGATGACATGTCGAAGGAGTCAGCAGTAAGGGTGGGCTGGGTAGAAGGGGCGTTGAATCCCTGATATGCTGTCATGTTGTTCATCAAACCGCCGTGTGCGTGCGAATGGAGAGCAAACGACGTTTGCTCGGCTGGCGGCTGGTGGTGCTGAGCTTCGTTGAAGATGACCGACAGCGGCACGTGGCAAGTTGGGGCACTCAGAGAGGTGTTGTCCAGCATGACATGAGGACCACTCAGCAAAGGCGCACTCTCCACCTTTGGCACAAAGCTATCTCTCCTCATAACAGGGAATGGGTCGTCGAAGGAGGCACGGAAGGGGCTGTTTGTGACTGGAGTGGGTGGGCCGTTGCTCTCCGTCTCGATTGTCGATGGCGAAGAGCTCTCATACTCCATGGGCCGCGTGATGTAGTCTTGGTAGTCGACATTCTCGTACTTGGACGTGTCGACCTTGTAGGGGAGTGCTGGCAAAGTCGGACTGTTCTCAACCTTTCGTAGCACGACATCATCAGCGTCGATGGCAGTGGATGTGTTGACGGAGCCAAAGCTGCTGTGGAAGTTGTGCTCGGTCGGCTCTGCCGGACGGAAGTTGTGCAGGTTGGTGTATTGAAGATCAGGCCAGAGTTGCTGGGTTGCACCGTCGCCACTCACGGACGTGAAGTCATATTGAAAGGAGTCTTCGAAGAAGGAAGGCTCGTGGTGATGAAACGTAGGTGTCATGCCGGACTGGTTTGACTTGGTCGTATGTGAGCCGTGCATCATTGCCATTGTTCGATATGGTGGCGGTGGTTGAAACTGTCTAGGGCGGAAATACGTCTGATGAGGATGGTGCGGGCGCGGCCAGTTGGCTCGGTGAAGGAACGGGGTGTTGGAGGCAGCCATGGTCGGCCACACCGACACCTGGCCTTGAAACGGCGTGCTTGATGTTCTGCATCAATGGTAAGTCAATTGTAAGTAACCGTCAGTTCGGTGTGCACTTACCCTTGCATGTTGGCGTGGCTTCACGTGGGAACTGGTCGATGTGAGGAGTTCGGTGCAGCTCGCAGCAGCTGGTATCCGGCAGACGGCAGAGTTCTGTGCAGCAGCGTAATCGATTCAGAGGCGGTGGGAGGTGTTGCCACAGTGCCAGGCCAACCTTGCCGTTCTCAGAGCAGTTCGAAGCTGGTCGGTGAATGATGAAGTGAGAGTGTTGCGGGTGACTGCCGAACGAACTGCAGAGCCGACGAACCAGAGAGCGCGGAACAACCGTCGACTGTTGCGGTGTGCAAGGCACTTCGGTCGATAGCGTTGTGGCTGCAGTTGATGTGATGTTTGGAGAAGAGGCGTTGTCGATGGGCCCGATGTCACGTGGAGCGGAGGAGGATGCGGTCTTTTCTGATGACGATTCTCTTTCCAACCAGCAGTCTGCAGAATGTTCAAGAGCTGAGCAAAGATTCAGGCAACCACCACAAGTAAATGATTCAATACAGCCAACCAACAAGTCAAAAGCAAAAGGCAACCCAGCAACAAATTGAACCGCCAAGGAGAGAACACAGGATTCGATGGAGAGAGATCAGCTTCTATACGGCGTTGGAGCTTGTTTTGTGAATCTCCTCAGTGTTGTGAGTGCGTTTGGTGCGTTCGCTTCGCAATGCTGGGTCTGAGGCATCTCGGGAGCGATTGCCTGCACGGCCGGTGTCGTTGACTGTCGTCCGATGTTAGGCGCACCGGCAACCTGTCTCGACCATATTCAAGCCAGCGCGGAGAATGCACCGTCTTGAATGTTCCACTCTGCAGAGCTGCAGCTGCGGCTATATGCAAGGCTATGGAGCTTCGGAAGAGCGCGCCGTCTGTCTCCCGTTATTGAATAGCGGCAAAGGCGAGTGTTCGTTCGTCGTGGGCGAACAGCGATTGCTCGGAACGGACCTGTCAACGACGTTCTCCCTGTCAGTATCCGTGACAGCTTGGCAAGGGATTAGGTCATCGCCATTTGCTCGCGTGTTTGATGGCCTGGAAAGCAAGAGATGGTAACAGGACACCGGGTTTGCCACTTGGATAAGCTGCCGTAAGGTGTTTCAATCTTTTGATCAGCACCGTTCTCTCATCTGAACGACATTTCACGGCACAGGGATGAGATGCTCAACACCGGTCCCTGGACAGGACCTGCGTAGCATCAACACAGCGTCTGCAGCCAGCTTCACTAGAACGGCACGGTAGCATGCGCACCAAGCCAACGCATGCATTGCTTGAGCTCTTTTGCAGAGCACGACAGAAACTGATAGCTCAGCTTTGAGCTTGGTCTGATATGAATGCTTCGCTGCGGTCATTGCGAAGGCAGGTGTGGGATGAGTGACCGCAGTGCTGTTGACGGAGCAGCTTCATTCACGTCGTCTAGATTCTGGGCGGCCATGAGGCAAGACGCGTTCCCTGGTGGCGATCGCCTGTCATGCCGGCCCGATGCAGGTATGCGAAGACAGCTGCGAGCATCCGAAGGCATGCTTCGTACCGGGCTGTGGGGACGGCTTGGTGCAAGATGAGGATATCCCATCCGCACAAACGCAAGAGAGGCCGCGATCTAGGCCGTATCGATGCTTCGATACAGCAGCTCACGAATCACGAGATGCAACAAGATGATCGCCAACGAGGATGTGACAAGTGCCGACCCAGAGAACAGAGTGGTGTTCGCAGCGACAGCTCATGAGGAGAAAGAGCTGAAGTCGGCCTCACTTACCTGGCGTCCGTGCGTAGCTTTTCCAGGCTAGGCCCTCTTGGTCACAGCTGATCCACTCTCTGCTCGTCAACAACATCTGAACAACATCAACAAGCCATCCTTCGAGCGCTCGCAGACGACGAAATTCGTTTCAAGTATTATTTCGCATCTGCAAATCAGAAGACGTCTTTTTCCCTATTGGATTGCAGGCTCATTGCTTCACGTAGACGCCCATTGCTACAGCCAATCACAAGGCGTTGCACGGCTGAATCCTGAGCCAGGGCCTGGCACAGACCTACACTGTTTACTCCAACGACACACCAAACACCATCGACACATTCGCCTCTCCCGCCCGGCCATGAGATCATCTGGATCTCTTCTAGGCCATTCATCTGCGACCTGAAACCATGTGTCTTGGGCGCGTCGCTGTCTGCTGCTTGACACAGAGGCCCGTGAGTGAACGGCCCCCTTCCAGATGTTACACAACCCCATGAGCATGGGCGCTAATCTCCATAGCCAGGCCTAAACAGACCGGTGTCGAGACGAGCTGCTCATTGAACAACTCATCATTACGATCAACACACATCAGGCCTGGAACAGCAATGGTCCGCAGGAGCATCCACCAAATGTTAGAGCCATTCTGCTGGGCTCGCTGTGCATTGAAACTCTCATCCTGCTCGAAGATGGGCTCCTTGAATAGCCGCCTGCTGATGGCCTCGCGCTACTGCTCGTGGCCATATCGTGCTCGATACGCACCTAATATAGTTCGAAACAGGCGCGACGCTTGCACGAGCCGCCAAAGGTGCACTCCATGATGTCTCGCCTGAGGCAGCGCTCGACGACCGGCCACTGAGCTGGCCGACTTGCCTCTGACACTATGTGTTCTGGCACGGCGCCTACAATGATGTGAGGCCAATAGTTTCAGCCTTTCTCAAAGTCTGGTCTGCAGAACTGTAGACGCGGAGAATTTTGTCGAATCGTTTCATCATATGTTTTCCGCCGTCTCATAGGGTGGCCGGACAGCCTCAACAGGCGTGTACAGTCTGATATAAGTCGACCATGTTCGCCACATCCTGGACCTTGACTCCACAAAGCACCCAACACAGCAGCACAAACGATTCCCTTTTTCTTCTTGTGTTTCCTTATTTCCTTATTTCCTTGTGTACTTCTTGGTCATTTGTTCGGTCTGGTACTGGCGTCTACCAGCAATTCTAATCACTAATACACTCCTTCCTCAACTCATCGATTGTGCTTGAGGCACAACATACGCCTGGCTTGCGTCTGACACTGGACCATACCTTCACCCTCGCCACTGGCCATCGCACGACACTGCCTTACATGCCCCTATTCAACACCCTCCCGATCATGCCCAAGGAGAGCAAAATTGCCATGAGTTCGCATTCTGCATCAATCTCCGCACCTTACCCTTCCGCATCGTCGAGCGGACAGAGGAATGCTGCGATATGGAGTTCTGCGGATGACGAGATTCTATTGAGAGCACGAGCGTCTGGGCTGAACTGGCAACCGATTGCGAGTCGACACTTTCCCAATAAGACTGCGAACGCCTGCCGAAAACGACACGAACGTCTCATGGAGAGACGCCTTGTGGACGACTGGGATAGCCACAAGCTTGAGCTCCTCGCTCAGGAGTACATGGCTTGCAGAAGAGAGATGTGGGAGATCCTCGCCGCAAGACTTGGCGAGAGATGGGCCGTTGTCGAAGCCAAGGTCGGTATTGTCAGACATCGAGGCTCCTCAAAATACTGACAAGTCTTCACAGTGCATGGAGAAGGGTCTCAAGACACTCCAAACTGCGGCTCGGACGGCACACAGGAAGGCTGCAGCTGACAGCCAATCGTTCGAAGATCGAGGTATTTCAGACCACAATAGCGACTCTGGCATTGGCCTGGGATCGGACACTGAGATGGAGGTAGGCGACGAGGCCGGACCTTCTACCAAAGCTTCGTCCTGGCATGCTCACCCAACGGTACAGCAACCACATCACGACCACGTACGATCACGAAGCCTCCCACAACCGCTGCCACTGTACCAACCACCGCCTCCAGTCATCCAACGACGTACTTTTGAGGGAAGCGCAATGACGACGAGCCCGCAAGATGTTTCCTTTCAAGGATCGTCAGCATCTCAACGATGCTCGCCAGAATCACAAAACGGACGGGGCGGCATCAGCATTCAGTCCATCGTTTCCAACTGAACGATCCAACGACATACAATGTACCAATATACACGGCAAGGCGCCGTATACGATGAAATGATACCCCACGGCGCATTGGAGCTGCATTTTTGTATTCTATTGCATACGAAGCGACGGACTGACTCTCTTTGGTCCGAGTCTTAGAGCAGTGAGAAATGAGTAGCATTGGGAGGGACATGTACTTGCATTGGCATAGATACTGCATCATGATAGGGTCTGAAAATAGAACCCGGCAGCTCGACCCAACTATTCTACTCGCATCTGGTGTGTTGAACGGCCAAAGAACATTCACATGGTCGACGTCGGCTTCGATCCTCCACCTCCCGAGACAACACCTCTTGGCAACCGTCTCTCGCTTGCGCTGTGCCTCCTACTCACCAGCCTTTCGACATGCACATGCAGTCGTTTCATCTCGTTCAAGCTCTACCAACGTCACAGCACACAGCTGATATCTGCAACGCCATCATACAGTATCTTTCATCACAGCGAAATGTTTACGATATACTCGCTGAGGGGTTGGGCATCTTGCCGCGGTTTCGCCTTGGAAAGATACCGCAGGAGGACCGACTGTGACCGAGTTCAGCAGGACTCGCCGTGAGCTGCACCGAGTCTGTGAGGGCGTGCGGGCCTACTGGCCCTGCCGGCGTGCTCAAGACATATAATAGCCACCGGGACGCCCATTCTCGTTGACTTTGTCCTTTTCCTTTGCCCGCTCTCCTCAGCGAGCACCGTCTTCGAGGCATTGAACTCGAGATGCGTTCGTCGACATGGCCCATGGACACGCGAGAACTTCGGACTTCGTTTAAGCACCTCACACACCTTGGTCCACTGTTTTTTCCCACCAGCAAGACGCTGGGGCGGACCTGGAAACGCAACACCTTCGCGCTTCGCGAGCAGTCTCAGCGCGAGCGCCCGTCCGGATGCCTTGGGGGCAGATTCGACCACCGACGCTCCTGAAAACGATTCCACACGGCGGGCTGTTGGGAAGCCTGCACTTGCCGGCGGTCTGCTTACAGGAAAGGGCACTGCACAGCAGGCTTCGAGCCATGCATCCCCAAGACGACAGCGCAGTGGTCGTGAGACTGTATCGGACCGACAGCAGGGTGTGGCGCCCTGGCGCTTATGCACAATGTCCTGCAGCCTTACCGTAGCTTGCATCGTCTATCGTCGGGCGGGAACCGCCGGCGATAGATTCGCTTTCAGCTGCTGAGACTGGCCGGCGGACCGCTGCGCCCAGCGTGAAGTGGCCGTGATGATTTGCTGGTGCGGTACCAGTCCTTCAACATCGGCCCAAGCCGGAGTTCTTCGATGCGGCGAGAAAAAAGTCTCTGCATGAGCTCGCGCCGCTTTGCGCCACGCCAGTGCACGCTACGCCCATGCTGCACGTCGTCATGGCACCTTGACGTTCCTGTCCCAAGCCTCCCAAGGCGTGTTTTGCATCTGTGGTAGACCATGTCGCCGCAAGTGGTAGTGGGGTTCGTTGCGTTGAGGTGCTTGCTCTGCGACCAACGTCGATATGCTTCGAGCCTCTCCGGCGCCGGTCGACTTCGCTCGCTGCCATCTAAAGCGGCCCTTCTTTTCGTATTGTTCCTTCCACCACCTCTCCTTCGCTCAACCTGCATACTCATCGACATACTACTGCTCTTTCGTGCTAGCCTTCTCACTCTCAGCTACTCAACCCTACGCACGCGGGGAACGAACATCATCACCATCCCTTGTGCCAGTCATCAGTTAAACCGGCCAACCCCTCCTTCGATGCCTCTGTTCTGATGTTGATCTCCACACTACCCGGCCCCGTCGAGGTCCCTGTCTCCTCTCGTGGGCACAGTAACGTTAAGAAGATGCCAGAGTCATCGTCGTCGACCACCCCAACAACATCGGTCAAGCGCGCCTGCGATGCGTGTCACAGACGAAAGGTCAAATGCATTGGCGAAGGGACGCGACCATGCAAGAATTGCACGTCGGCTGGTCTTGCGTGCACCTACAACGCAGTACGTGTGCCCCTAAGCGGAACCGCCCCCCCCGGGGACTTTTTGCCCCGAAACCCAACCACCACCACCCCAAACCCTTCCAGAGCACGTTGCTAACGTTAAAAGGTGCCGTTGAAGAAGGGCCCAAAAGGGAGCAGAGCAAAGGTCATATCTGAGTTGAGAGAGAACCAAAGACAATCCCGACTTGCCGCGAAACGCCATGGCATCGACTTCGACAACCCCACCCACTCTCCGGCCGACCTCAAGACCGCAGGACTACTATCTATGGACATGATTACATCCTGCGTTGACTACTACTTCGCTCATCTGTATCCGACCCAGCCAATCCTTCACCGTCAGAAAGTTGGGGAGACCATAGGCCAAATGGAGAACAATATCGAAGCCTATTGTTTGGTAGTATCACTCTGCGCCTACATGATGATCCAACCGAATATGGTCATCCCTCCAGAGGCGTTTGAAGGTTTGGAGGTCCCTCCGCAATCAAGCCTCCAGCTGGGCCACACCCTTCTGGAAGAAGCTCTTCGAGTACGGAAAGGCCACAACTATATCGAAAACCCCTCGATATGGTCCGTCATCACATCATTCTTCTTCTTCGGCAGCTATTTCTGCTTGGATCGACAGAATACAGCCTGGTTCCATCTACGAGAAGCGACGACGCTAGCGCAGATCATGGGCATGCATGATGAAGTGAATTACCAATTGGAAGACATTGTCGAGAGCTCAAGAAGACGGCGGTTATACTGGCTTTTGTTCGTTACAGAACGAGCTTATGCTTTGCAGCAGCATAAGCCGCTTACACTGCATGCTACCATCAATCTTCCGACGCTGGACGAGGACCCAGCAGAGACGGTGGAGCTGAATGGATTCATCCACCTTGTCCACCTATTTCGACCATTCGACGACACCTTCGTGGGGCTCTGGAACAAAGCAAGGGTCGGGTGTACAACTGAATGGCTCGCACGCCTACAGCAACAGCTTTCAGACGCTCTGCCAACATACCTGCAATGCACGGAGAGCCAGGCAGTGGATCTGAGGACGTCACAGCAGTGGTTGAGGACAATGGTGTGGCAACTCTCGATCAGCCACGGCTTCCTCTCTTCTGCAGCGGCAGACAACGCAATGAGCTTCAAGTTCCCGATCGAAGTGTCCCGTGACTTGGTACAATCGGCTACTCAATTCACTCAAGCATCGATGGAGGTCCACGGCATTGGACTAATCGAGAAACTCTTCGACGTAGCCTGCACTCTTACCGATGTCATGTCCGTCATCCCTCACGAGCAATACACCTTCGAATTCGGGCCACGCGACTATCTCAACCAGCTCATGTCCCTAATTTCGACACTCCGAGGTGGCCGACAACGATATCTACCCTTACTCATGCAGAAGATCAACGACACCATGGCCAACACCCCTGGCTACACGATCCCCGCCATCCCGCCAAGCATTCGCGGAGAAGACTTATACGATGGAAGTCCAAGTCACAGTGGTGATTCTACACCGTTCGGCAGCCCACTCAGTTCTGGTGCTCGCCCCTTTGGAGGATACCCAGAGATGGCTGTGAGTTCCGCGATGCAATACTCGCAGGCTCCCATCCCAGTCTCTGCACCTGGTGGAATGTTTGAGGATGACTACTCGGGAAGTCAGGCCAAATACGAGTCTAGTGGTTGAACACCAGACCATGACTCTTAAACTGGAGAAACAAACATGGCGGATGAAGAAGGAACTGCACGCATGGCCGATCTGCGAGATCGAGGGCTTTGGACGCCATACTGCGACTTTCACGATCGTGAGGCAGAACGATCCCGGCCCCGAATACCCCAATGAAACAGCGCACCGACGAAGGAGTCGGCTGGAAGGCCGAGTCGCTTCAAGACTGCCACGATGGATCACGGGAGCGAAGCCAGCGAATTGGCTCGGAACTCTAAACCGACCAGATCTGCAACCCATGCATCTGAGCACATGCGCCTGGTGGGGAAGATCGATCGTATGAGTCGTGGGAGAAGGTCGACGTAATGGATCGATGCCAACTCCTCAGCAAGACAACGAAACTGTTGGCAGGCTCACCGACGGTGAAAGCTCGTCTCGGGCATGACATGGGACGAAAACGTGAGCATGAGGAATTGCTAGGATAGCTGCCAGTCGTGTATATCACGACAAGACATGAAGACGAATGAAAGAATATCAAAATTCAGACCCACGGTCATTCCCCTGCCACACTGCCATCGATTGACAACTGCACTCCTAACGCTCGAACCATGAGACCGGCATCTGACGGGCGTGTCCAAAGTCAATCGTCAATCCTCCGCAACGTCCACAGATCGCCAAGCTTCTCGACCAGCCAGCCGGTGTCGATCCATTCGACGAAGTCAACGACATCTCGTGGACGTCATAGTACTCTCCCACCCCCTAGCCCACAAACAGGAACGAGCCAGTCGAAGCATCACTGCGGCTTCACCTCACGCAGTCAGCCAGTCACTCACCCCTTTTTCACAAGCCCTCAACTCAACACTACCTACTACTTACAGAACCTCTCTATGCAATTTCCCCATTCCACCTAGTTCATTTCAATGGTAAATCCTCCGCAGTAGTCTCCAGTCAAACTTCCAACGGACTGCATACATAATTGTTAGAGGCCGCTGCCTTTACATGGAGGTGCGTACAAGGTACATGTGGTACCACACCCCACCCTAGCGCCAAGCCACACGGCCAGACTGCTCTGGCTGAGGGCCAGCCTTTTCTTACCTACATCCATCCAACCTATCCAACTATTTGCTTTACATGCATACTACAAGTCAGGGGTCTTTGGAGACCGATTGAGGCTGTGCAACCGCTTGACACAGCATCATAGCAGACGAACGACGTACACGGGTCATTCGGTCAGTCCGAACCAAGAGATGGTTACGATCCAAGTCATTCGTATAAGCTATTTTAGCTATATACGGGGTCCAGAACGGCGTCTCGCCCAAAGGCCCATGATTGTGGTTAGAGTTGCGTAGAGTCTCTTCCCGACCCAGCCATCGCGCCGGCGCCTTCGAGCCGGTCTGGGGCTATCTGTGTCTCGCCACTTTGTGGCGTCTTGCATGTACTTGCTTATTCTCCTTGGCTGCCCGCCGTTTTGTCCAAGCTGTATGGCAAGATCCTGGGGTAGCATGGGTGTAGGTGTAGTCCCCGAGCTTCACGACGAGTGTGTCATGTTTGACTGCTGCCACACCAAAATCCGATTCCCAATTTCGAAGCGACTTGCGGGTAGCTCGGGCTATTTTCTGTCGTTTCCTGGATGTCCATCAAGACACACATTGTACCGGTGCGCAAGACTTCAAGGTCGTAGGCACGATCGTCGTCAACCATCCTCGAACGGATGCATTGCAGGAGCCTTTGAGCCAGGACGGTTGCTTTCCAGGAATGACGGGCCCAGCGCTGCCACCTTCAAAGCAAGAGCATGTTTCGCGCATGAGAAGGGAAAATATGTCAGTCATCAGTGGCCAGAGACAACAGAGCCGCTCGCCATCGTGTGCGTTATGGTGTCGTTTGGGGCGGGCAAGATCTTTCTGCCGCGCAGGTAAAGTGTCGCCTTGACATCTCTCACTTGCGCTTCTGGGCAGTACCGTTGGTCGTCGAGCTGGATGTCGTGTGCCCGTTGCTATGAGCATGATCATGATCATGATCATGGCCGTGCTCGTGTTCGTGGTCATGGTCGTGATCGTGGTCATCCTCAAGCAGTTCCTGGTCCTTCTGCGTAAATTGATCGGCAAATGGTACCTGGTCTGCTCCCTTTGTGATGAATCGAATGTTGACTCGCTTCGTCCCCTTGACCTTCTCAACAATAGCGTCTCGAATCTCGACTTCGATGTCGTTGGAATGTGCAACGGACCAGTCCTCTGGAACACCCACTTCGACCTCGAACATCAGGTTTTGACCGCTCTTGATGCCTTGCACACCGCGGACTTCTGCGTCGTTGTTCTCCAGGGCGGCCTTTGCGGCTGTCTCGGCACCCTCCCTAGCGTCCTCATCCATACCCACATCCGCAAGCTCCAGCAAGGCAGACTTGGTGTTGACGAAACCGGCCTGAACAATCATGCCGCTAATGATCAGACCGCCGACAGGATCGAGCCAGCGTGCGCTCTCCAAGAAGTGGCTGGCAACGATGGTGAAAAGAGCGACGAAGGCAGTCAGACTGTCTACTCGGTGGTGATAGGCCTCGGAATGTAAGCTTTGTGTATGGCAAGCTGAGGGGGTTTAGGACTTACATTGCTGGACAGGACGCTACTTCGCTTCTCCTTGGCAATCTTCATGGTTGCTCGGTACAACCACTCCTTGACAACGATACTCCCAGCTGCCAACCAAGCAGCATTGATGTTGGGTCCCAAGTCGATGTGTCCGTGATCATGGCCATGATGATGTGCATGCTCGAAGATACCCGTATGAGAGAGCATCTCAAAGATCTGAGGGAAGAACTGTTGAGTGAGCGCCATGACAGCCTGCAGGCCTATCATCAGACCTCCAGTCAACAGGATGCCAGATACCGCCAGGGCGCCAAGCGATTCGATCTTGCCGTAGCCTAGGGGAAACCGCGTAGTGGCTGGGCGAAGCGAATAGGATATGGTAGCGAGTGTCGTTACATCAGAGATCATGTCTGTCAATGCGTGGACTGCATCTGCTGTTAACCTGTACGCCAAAATATCAGCAAACGTTCGGTACAGCTCTTAACACGTATACAAGTGCATGTATGGTATATATGCTGCTTGCCACGAGCAATGGACATCCTTACGCTTGCGAGTTGAAGACGTATCCACCTGCGCCCTTTGCTATTGCCATGCCCAAGTTCACGTATAATCCAATTCTTGTAATGCGTACCCCTGGATCGCTCTTGTTGGTGCTAGTAAGGTATGTGTTGTCATGATGGTGATGGTGGTGTCCATGGGAATGTCCCATGTGCGTTCTCTTCTGCTGGGAAGCCATTGCTGTCGTTGCGTTTGGTGAACGAAGGTGGTGGACAATATGAGACCACTGGTAGGGCGATGATATATGCGTCGGCAGCGGCGTGTTACCCGCGCGGTTGTTGGTGGAAGAACGAGTATACGTGTCCGCGAGGGTCAGCAGGATTCGGCGTTGGGTTCGTGAGCGGACTCGGACGCTGGCGGTCTTGGACAGCCACGCAGTAGGTGTTGTCGTCGTCGTCGATTGTGTGTTACATCGTCGTAAATGAAACATCGGGGCCGTATAAATAGAATTCCCAGCAGGCGGGAGAGGGGAGTTCAGGGGGGTTTTGGCCCAGCGACTTCTTCTACCTACCGGCCCCCTGATACACCCAGAAGAATAGCGATGCAGCACGTCTATCCACCATGCGAGGCCTCGAGGACTGTGCAGAGCGAACGCGTCGGCGATGAGGTGTGTCGAGGCGCATTGTCTGCTCGCAATTCGCTGCTAGCCGAAAAATGCATGAGCCGCGGAAGAAGGTGGACCTCGTCGCGGCGGCTGTGGAGGAACGAAGACGACATTGGGCTTGGCAGACATTCACCTCCACTCACGCCTCACATGCCAGCCATGACACTAATGGCTTCCACGGACTCGATGGAATGAACAATTCATCATTGACCCGGTCACGCTGCCGAGTCGGGTATCGATCTTATGCGGCCGTAACAATACATACACTGTGAAGATGCCGTACACTCACTCACACGCGTCATGAAGGCGCTACTACATTTCCCCCTTCGACCAAAGTAATCTCTTCGATTTGCTTCTTGGTGTCTTCACCGCAGCACTCGACACGCTTCCACGTGGTCATGCGTCCAGCATTGGTGTCCACCTCCCACACTCGCACGCGCCGATGGAAGCCTCCATACCCGGCATATCCACCAAACCCAGAGCCACCGGCATAACACATCCAGGGCCCAATGTGATTGTTCTTCTTGCCATGTTGTGGATGCTCAGCGTCGGAGTCAGGATCGTCTCGACCTTCCGACTTTGGTGGTCGCAGCGCACAATAGTCATTTACATGGTCGTGTCCACAACCAACCGCCACAACACCCTCTTCAGCCAGCGCATCGTAGAAATGGGAGTTATATCCAGGTGCGGTCACGCCCTCTTTCCACTTGCCGCCTGCTATAGTATTCTTCTTGTCGGCGTACTCCGGCAGAGGAATGTGAATGAATGCCATGTCCATATGAATGTGGCTATATTTGTGATGATTCTTTTTCAGTCCTTGGGCAGTGTTTTGAAACCAATCAATTTGGCCTCGCTTGATCCAGTCGTAACCCTTGTAGTTCTTCTCATCCGGCGTGAGCGAATGCGAGTCCAGGAGATACAGAGTGATTGCAGAATGTTGTGATCCCGGCGCCAGCACCTCAATGTAGTAGTTCCCTACACCCTCAATGTTATCCGGACCAGGCTGACTCATGCTGAAGGGGAGAGTCTGAAGCAGAGCCATTTGGGCTGCTCTGGGAAGCGATTTGGGTCCTTCGTCATCGTGATTGCCGAAGATGGCAGCGAAAGGTATTGAGCGTTCAATGAGAGGAGCTACCATCTTGAAGATAGCAGTCTGCGTATCTGGCGCAGCAGGACCCTCGGTTTGATCGCCTGACAAAACGACTAAATCCGGTTTCTCATCGTCCAGTACAGCCTCAATGAACTCCAAAGTACGTGAGTCTGCTTCACAAGCAGTACTCGGTTCGTTCTTAGGCCCGATCGCATCTCTGCATGCACCCAGGCCAGTCGAGAGATGTGCATCAGACACTTGAAGAATCTTGAACTTGCCATCTTTTGTCACGCGTGGAACAGGCGGAGAGTGATCCGTTTTGGGCCTACCGTGTCGGACACTCAACCGTGGAGGACGTCCCCCATCTGAGCCATCCACCAGTAGAGGCAGCTGAGCAAGACTCCAGTTTGGCCTAGGATCCACGGCATCAGAGCCAAACAGCACATCGATAGCCGTCACTGCTTTGTCCGAATCGCTGTCATGTCTCTTACTGCTCCTCAGAATGAATAATCCTCCAGGCCTGCTTTCCCAAATCTCCGCTCCCTGACCCTTTTCGCTCACTTCGGGCTGTAATCTGCCAACCTTGACATCTATCACAACCCTGTCCTCAGTCGTAAGCTCCTCCTCCTTCTTGCGCTGAACATGCAGATAGGCACTGTTGAGCCATCCTGTCCCCAAATACAGATCTTTCTCGATGCGATTCCACTTATTTGCGTCCAGTCGGCAGTTGGATAGAGGATTCACAGAGGAGCAGAAAGCGATCGTAACGTCGGTAATAACGGTCCCAGTGTGATGTGAAGGTAGAGCAGAGTGAATGGAGTCTGGTAACACTCGGTAGCGGGAGTCGGCGATCCAAACGAGTATGGCGAGGAGGATGACCAGGCCGCTGACTTGACCCAGTGTCCGTACCTAGAACATGATATTAGTATGTGGAGATTTATGGTAAATACCAGTGGTCTCACTATGCGCCGGGTCATGGTGCCAGAAAGCTCTCCAAGAGCTCAAGAGGCCTGGACTAGAGTATATGTGTCAAGGTGGTTGCTGTGTTGACGAGGCGCCCGCCATGGTTCGTCTCGTTAGTATACGGACGAATTAATGCAGCTTCTGCTGCCGTCGATGTGTTGTTGCTGCGGGTTGCTGAGCTTGGCGGGCAGGCGGAGGTGGTGATGCTGCCGTGAGCAGCGCGACAGGGGTGGGTGTTGCCTTGACAGCTGATGCGCTTGGTTGACCCGACCTCACGTGCTCTTGACAATCCATTCACTTACCTCTTTGCAACCAAGCACATGCGCCTTTCGGGCTCGCGACCGACCGCGACGCTCTTACAGTCCTCACGACAGCGACGATGGATTAGTGACGGGCGTCCCTTTGCGCCAGGCGACTTGGTCATCTTGCGACAAAAGATCGACCGCTCTGCTCCCCCGATCTTGACGAAACCTCTGAAACCAGGACGGCGCATTGAAGGCCATAAGGGCATCATTCAACACGATGATATCATTGGCAAAAGAGTCAGGGACATTGTCAAGTCGAGCACCACGCGGTCGACCAGGGATCCGACCGAGTACAGGCTGCACGAGGTCACACTGGACGAATACACGCGGTTGAGCAGGCGATTGGTGACACCTATCTACCCGGCAGATGCCAACCTCATTGTAGCCTTGCTTGACTTGCATCCCGATGCTGGTGAGACGGAAGAAGTTGCTCCACGACTCGAGATCTTGGAGGCAGGCACAGGTCATGGAGCGCTCACACTTCACTTGAGCCGCGCAATTCATGCACAGAATAGTGGCATCCGGATCGGCAGCGAGGATGTCGACGAGTGGAAAGCGCACCGCCGTGCCATAATCCACACCACCGACATATCATCTCAATTCGCAGCTCACGCTCAGACTGTTGTCGAGGGATTCAGGCGTGGAATCTACGCAAGAAACGTCGACTTCCATGTTGGCGATGTCAGTGAAGTTCTAAGATCTCTTCAAGCATGTCGCGATACAAGATCATTCTTGTCTCACGCTTTCCTTGACATGCCTGCAGCAGACGCTCACCTCGCCACGGTTGCCGACGCATTGAGGACTGATGGCACGCTCATAGTCTTTAATCCTTCCATAACACAAGTCATTTCGTGCGCGACGAAGGTGAAGGAGCAGGGCATCCCACTCGATCTCGAGAAGGTGGTGGAGCTAGGAGTGAACGGCGGAAGTGGAGGGCGCGAATGGGATGTGCGATTTGTACGACCACGCTCTGAGGAGGCGCCACTGCGAGAGACTCCACCATCAGACACAGACACAGACTCAGGCCACGACGGCGATGCATCTCCCGAACTACGATCCCCGGTCTCCGCGGCTGATCGAACGTGGTCTTTGGTCTGCCGACCAAAAGTTGGGGAGCGCATCGTGGGTGGTGGCTTCCTGGGCGTGTGGAAGAAGCAGCGAGACATGAGGGCCGAGTCCAATCAGCCTTCGCCATAGCATGGGCCTGGTCGACTTGTCTTACTCCGTCCATCCAACAAGGAACTGCCCAAATCAGATCAAAGGATCTATGTTGTGTGTATCTGGCTCGGTGCTGTCATGTGTGTCCAAGATCAGACATGACATTCTCCTGTCTGGGGAGCCGGAGTAGAGCTGGATGAGTCTAAGTCAGTGCTTTCACGTTCCTGATATACATTAGTAGTGCCAACACAGCGCAAACAGGGACTAGAAGAACAATCTCAAATCACCATTCCCCATTGTCTCTATTTCCTCTCTCTTCTCGTCTTGTGACTGACTCATGCTGTCACTTCTTTTTCATCCCTAAGCCTCTTTGTCAACCTCTTAGTCGTGCCCTGCAACAACGCCAGCACTCAAACCAAAACCAAAACCAGCGTACAGAAGAGTTGTCAGACATTACACAGTTCTGGAATCCAGGAACAAAGTGATTGAATTTAAGGCCTGAAAGTAGAATTAAACTTTCGTTGCAAAACACACGCATGCCCAGTTCCGCAGCCACCCGTAACGCCGCGCTGAAACTCAATGATGTTTTTACTATTAAAACAACTCCACCACGTCAAAGTTCTTCTTCGAACAACACACTCACCCAAAAACTACTACTACTCCAACTTCTCATTCCCAGGATCGTCGCTTTCGCTCGGCGAGTGCGCAGCCTGCGTCGCCATGGGGAACGTCGGGGCGAAGTTGGACTTCTCGCGGATCTTGGAGCCTCGGAGGTAGAAGTAGACGGGCATTGGGACGAGCGCGAAGGCGACCTGGAGAAGACGAAGATCAGTAAAGGTTCTTGGTGGATTGGAGGGTATTGGCGAGACTTACACAACCGAGGAGGGTGCCGGCCCATTGGACGCCCATGCCCTTGATCATCTGAGTGGCAAAGAGAGGGAAGCCAGCGCCTGCTAGGGATCGCAGGAAGGTGTTGGCCGCAATTGCAGAGGCGGCAAACATGAGATAGGCGTCGATGAGGCTGCACAAAACGTCAATATGGGCTCGTTGAAGCTCAGATGTTAGCAGACTCACTAATTCAAACACTGAAGGAAGATGCTCATGAGGCCGAAGCCAGTGCAAAGACCAGACAACGTGGGCGCGATCCAGTGGATGTCGGCTCTGTACCCAGTCCAGCCATACCAAAGCAACCCGATGCCGAAGAATACGCCACCGACGATGACAGGAGGCAAACGCCATTCGGGGATGGGCATGTTGTTGTTCGCCGCCAGCTTCCTGTTGTAACCGGGTTGCAGCAAGATCATGTACAGACCCGCCAGCATCTCACCGACGATCATGCCAAAGAAGGGCAGGCCGCCGACTCCAGGGTTGAATCCGTGGATCTGCTGGAAGACGATCGGGTAGAAGGTTAAGAAGAGGTACAGCAAGCCGTAAATGAAAGCCATGTAGATCGAGATGAGAAGCACGATCGGTTCGGTGAAGAGCATGCGCATCGGACGGGACAAATTCTTCTCCAGCAGCTCGCGGAAGTCGACTTCGATCTCTTCTTGCTTGGCGTGAATGCCCCAATTCTTGGTCCGCTTCCTCAGATCGGAGGCTTTGTTGACGAGAATGACCGGTGGATACGTCTCTTCGAGGAAGATGACCGACAAGCCCAAGCCGAGAAAGCCCATGATGGCAGTGATGTACTCGGTCCATCGCCATCCAAGATAGCTCATATTGATGAAGCCACCAATAAAGGGTGCTAAGAGCGGTCCACTGAACACAGTCATACTGAAGACTGTGATTGCGAGTCCACGTTGCCGGTTGCTGAACATGTCAGCGAAGACAGCACCAACACACGTCAATGGACAAGCCCCGAAGAATCCAGCGAAGAAGCGGCAGATGAAGATCGTTTGTGCATCCTTTGCAACAGCCACCGCGATGTTGAAGATCGAGAATCCAAACGACGAGATCAGGAGGGGAGCTTTGCGTCCGTACAGCTCTGACGACGGAGCCCATACTATGGGACCCGTAGCGAACCCAAGAACGTATAATGAAACGCCTAGGATGCCTACTTCGCGCGATACGTTGAACTGCTGCGCAACAGTCTGGGTGGCCGTCGAGAAGATTGATGAACCGAAGGCTGCCGTCAAGGTCACATATCCGAGGACGATCGCCACCGGCAACTTCTTCTTCAATGGCCAATTCTGAGCGTGGAGAGGATCGTTTGGCCCATCAAACTCCACGACGTACTCTTCTCGGTCTGGTAGTGGCGGCGGAAATGGCTTCCCTGCACCAAAGTTCGGCAGCGGTTGCTTGGTATGTCTACTAGTCGTCCTAGACCGCAGACTTGCTCCCACTGTTTGGCTGTGCTGACTTCTTCCAGTCTGTATCCGGCTCAACGCTGTTGGATGCCTCTCGAGATCGACATCGTCCCGCTGCGTCGCCATCCTCGAAACTCCAATCTCTTGTCTCTCCACCGATTCGCCCGAAGAAGAGGAGCCTGAACTCGAAGTGCTCGCCCCGGTCACTGTTCGTGACAGCGCCTCCCTCCTCTCCTCTTTCTCTGTAGGATGCATTGGCCTCTCTGTCGACGGCGTAGGCCCACCTCCAACCGCGAAACGTTCTGGACTGGCTTCCAGCTCGATATCCGCTAGCCTCTTGTCTTCTTCATTCATGGCGGCTGGCGACTGTCTCAAGATGCTGAATTCGTTCGTCCAGGTTCGGTCCCTCGAGTGGCCAGGTCTGTCTTTCCCAGAAACACCGCAGACACGTTCAATGGAATATGAAGGTCGAAGGAACCAGCCAAGAGAAGGCGAGAGAATGACTTAAAGAAACACGTCCAGGCGTGTCGTCCCACTCGGCATGCAGACGGTCCAAAGAAAGTCCAGACGGAACTCCGCAGGACAGGAAAAACCGACCTGCAACGACGCAACGACGCAACAACCTCGTAAGCAAGCCACTAGAGCCTTAGTCAAGGCCCGTCGACGTCGTCTGGCTGCTGTCCAACCCCACCGAGAGAATTCGCTTCCAGTCAAATCTTTCTCGCTGCAGATATCTGCCGACCTTGCAGAATGCTTGTTGGTGTTCGTGCCGAACCCGATCCGGTGGGGGCCTGTCGATGTGCTTGCCGATGTTTAGCCCCGGGTCGTTGGAGGGTATGTCCTTTTGCACTGTTCTGGCAGGTTGTGTTGTTTAAAAGACTCAGATATCAATCACGCGCGCAGAACTCGTTTGGTTCATAAGACCTGGACCCTAGAATCCAAACACGAGGGAACCGCTAGGCTAAGAAACTCTGCGAAAGGTGAGGTGCATTTTGCCGCGTAGGTTGCTCCCGCCTCGGCCGGACGCCGACATGCCGATGGACGACGTCTCCATCTGCTCACTTGTCAGAGCAAGATCCTTTGTGCATAACCACGAGAGTGACACCTATACGGCCGAAGAAGGCTCAATAGGCGATGCAAATGCTATCTCCGTGCATACGAATACGTTCCAGCGTGATTTCTAAGTCGGTCGTCTCTCAGTTCAACCGCCGAACGATGGCCACAATACGGACTTCGCGGCCACACCAAGACAGGACTGCGCAGGAGCCAAGGGATCCTTCTGTACACTCTGTGATACTGGCCAACATCAGGGAGGTCAATGAAAATATCAGACTGTTAAGATTGAACGCCACCGATCCAAATCGAGCTATCAAGGTACATTCGGATGTTTACGTGCTGCTCAATGGATCACTAACTGACACAGTAAAGTTCTTGCCTGGACAATGGCTAGATACATTCATACCGGGCTTGCAGAAAGCTGGGTACGAGCGAATACTGCAACCTAGATGCAGATACAGTTGTTAATGGTGCTCCTACAGTGGCTTCACAATCACATCTACCCCAGGCGAAGCCAGGCCGAGTTCTCACTCACCACCATATCTCGAGCTTGCGGTTCAGAATAGCACGAATCCCGTCAGTAGTCGTAATGAATACAAGATGCTGGTCACAACGCCCTGATGGCTAACCGAAATCTTAGCCTGCTAAATGGCTATGGCGTCCAAGTGAAGAGATCTTGGGCTCCGAACTCGTGGTCAGAGTAGGCGGATCGTTTACATGGCCGCCTCCTCATCTGGACGTCCACCAGATCGATAGATTGGTTCTCATCGCAGGCGGTGTCGGTATCAAGTAAGTCATCGCAATAAACCAATCTCAAGACTCTTCAAGCTAACAGTATCAACCAGCCCGCTCATATCGATCTTCTCCCAACTCATCAGGGGCTCTTCAAGACCGAAGGAGATTCACTTCATATACGGCACCAAAACAACATCGGAGCTGGATCCTCAAAGAATCCTCTTCGTCCCACGACTCATGGATCTTGTCGCTGCTGAGGCCGATCCAAACGTCACCTTGAGCTTATTCCTAACAGGCACTGGAGATGAAGGTCCCATCGAGCATGGCAAGCTGCCAAATCGGACGTTTGGTAGACGGATCACAGAAGCAGATCTCGTCAGAGCCATCGATGGATACAAGCAGAATGTCTTTGGAGCCGAGCACGATCGTAAGAACACTGTATGCTATGTGTGCGGTCCACAGAAGATGACAGACGAAGTTGGTAAGTCTAGCTGAGCAATGAGATTACAATGTGTATATTATGCAAGGCTGATGTGAATAGTATCCTTCCTCCGTGGTCAAGAAGGCTTGTCTGAGGAGCGAGTGCTACAAGAGAAGTGGTGGTGATTATGACACTACATGGAAATCCAGAGCAGAATTGGAATCGCCACCAGTATCCTGTCATGTCGTGAACCTCACAACGCTAGCTTCTTGTGGGCCGGATCACATGAAGCTGCATGACGTGGCCTGAACGGAAGGTCCATATCTGTGCTTTTGGTTGGTGAATGATTCCTGTCTTCCAACTTGGACATCATGATCTAGACGCTTTACAGAATCCCAAGAAAGGATTACCTCAAGACTATGACATGCCGTCGTACCATTCGCACTTGAAAGTCCACAGCTTTGGGTCACTCCATCGTTCAATTCATTGATGAGGTGTCGCGCTATGAAGTGTTTCGATTCGGCGGGATGGAACTGCAGCAACCTCGCCTACCACGACGCATAGTAGAAACGCCAAACCCTCGCCATGATCCCAGTCTGCCCCAAACATGCAGTGCATCTAGAAGACCATCTCATGCGGCCTGTCGCCCTTTCTCAGGCTGAAGTTGGAGCTGAGGTATGCCTGGAGCTCCGGCTCCTTCTTGATGGCCGCCAACAGGGCCTTGTCCACCTTCTTCTGGTCCTCAGCACGCTCACCAGCAACCTCCTTCTTGGCTGGCTTCTCGCCCGAGGCCTGCTTGAAGAAAGACTCCTCGCTGCCCTTCTTGTCCGCCTTCCTGTCCCGAGCAAAGTAGCTCTCGCTGGCGACCTTGTCCAAAGTCGAGTTGTCGAGGCCGTCGAGAGAGACGGTGGTCTTGGTTGCGATCACGTAGCGGGCATTGACGCGGCGGAGTGGGACACCGTTGACCTTGAAGGGACCGGTGACGATGAGGGTGCCCTGGGGTCCGACCTTGAGGAGGACCACGCGCTTGCCTCGGAAACGACCAGCGAGGAGGATAAGGACAGCGCCCGGCTGGAGAGATGCGCGAGGCTTGTATGGGTGCTGGGTCTTGCGAGTCTGTTTATCTCGAAGTCAGCTCCAATTCCATCAAACTACACATCCTCCTTCATCCAATCTCTGCATCTCCGTGGCCGTGATCCATCGTCGGTATATCGTACCTTCTTCAACTGTGGCTCGTCCTCAGCAGGGTAGTATTTGCTGGCCTTTTGCGAGGCTGGCGTGATGGTGCGCTCGCCCTTCTGGAACTTCTTGGTCTGGGGCGCCTCGGACGACATGTTGGCCAGCGGGTGGATGGAGGGTGTGGTGCTGTTGGTGTTAGTTGACGTCGTCGTCGAGCGTCGAGAGCGGCGGATCAGGTCGAATTTCCAAGTGCTCCAATATTCGGGCTTGGCGACCTGACCAAGTGTGCGGCTGAACTTCGGCCGCGGACCGTTCCGGCGACTTCCCCGAGCTGCGCTGCCGTCGTCGCATGTTGGAGCTCTCTCCATCAACAGCACACGACCAACAACTTCACTCCACCTTCATCAAACAACAACCTCCACAGCGATGGCGACGAATCCACTCATCACATTCAAGGCTGGCAGATGCACGTTTGCCGGCCGCAAAGTCACCCCCGCCGACACCAAAGGCTACGTCTACCTCTACCACGAAGATGAGCTACTTCACTTCTGTTGGCGTCCACGCTCAGCACCAGCCACCGAGCCCGAAATCGACCTGCTCATGTTCCCACAAGACGGCACATTCTATCCACTTCCAAAAGAGCAAGGCACAGAGGAGCTTCATTCGCCTACCAACGGTCGCATCTTCGTGCTCAAGTTCAATTCGAGCAGCCAAAAGTACTTCTTCTGGATGCAGAGCAAGGCAAGAGGTGATGACCCCAGCTTGTTCAGTCTGAGAGATCAGAGAATCGGTCAGATCATCGACAGCCTCCTTCAGGGCGAAGACGTCGATGTAGCGGGCGAGCTGGAAGAGGTTCGTCTCGGTGGAGACGGTTCTGGTCCGAACGGTGATGCAGATGCTATGGAAGTGGACGGCGGACCATCTCTGGAGAGACAGGAGACGGGTGGCGCTGGACAGGACGCAACTGGCGGCGATCCGCGAGAAGAGGGCGAGGCGAGCAGAGAGGGAGGCGCGGACGGAGGCAGAGCGTAAGTCACGGAAAGTTCCTTTCTGGAAGCAAGGAGCTAGGCGCAGCCCGGTGATGGCAGAAAAAAGTCACCAAAAGCGGCATGGAATCATGGGAAGGCGCAATGGGATGCATGTACGCAATGCTTGAAACACATCTGTTTGCTGTGCTCGATGCAATCTGCTTCCACTGCTGTTCTTTCTTTGTTTGACCACATTGGTAAGAGTCATGCTTACGTCTTCTACCTAGGTAGTGCCGCATCTTCCTCATCAGCACCACAAGACACCAACGCAATTGTACAAAATTTCCTCAAGTCGCTCAAGGGTGGCGGTGGCGGAGGACAGCAACAAGCAGACAAGCCTTTCACGACCCTTCCGGACCTCCTCACGCCGTCTACAACGACGGCCTACATCGCCAGCGCCTCAACACAGCAACTCGACCAGCTTTGCAGTTTCCTTCCTCCCGAGCTCTTCCTCCTAGCCCAAGAATCTTCATCGACAACATCTTCAGCAGAGACGACGGCCGCCGCGGGCCAAGCAGCCATCGAAGCACTATCCACAAGTCAGAAGAAGGAGATCCTTAACAAGGTTCTCCACTCGCCACAGCTCCAGCAGAGTCTTGGATCTCTGACGGTGGCATTGAGAGACGGTGGACTGCCGATGATTGGCGAGGCTTTGGGATTACAGGTGGAGAACGGTGGTCTTATCAGGCATGGCAGCATGCCCCTTGGTGGTGGCGAAGCGGTGGAAGCCTTCGTCAAGGGCGTCAAGAAGAGCGCAGAAGAGGAGTCGAGGAAGAAGTAGGAGTGAATACTTCGATATGAGGACTACTTTTGCATCTGCACATGAGTCAGGGTGGCTCGTTCCAGACGACATAGAGCAAATACACTTGTAAGATACAATGTAACCCTATTCCCTGTACTGTATAGTGTTTCTCTTATGACAATCGTCCCTCTAAGCCAAGCAGCCATCCATTCGACTCCACGCACCACACACTGCATCAGGGATGCAAGATCCATCAACAACGCCCAACCACCGTCCTTCCTGCTCAAGTCCTACAAGCAATCTTAACTTGATCCGCAATAAACTTCCCAAACTCCGGAATAATCCCAATCGCCACCTCCAGCGCCGCCCCCAACTTCCCACACTTCTGCGCCGGCGGCACAATCTGCGCGCTCTCCACACTCACCGTCAGACTATCCGCGCGCAGACTCCCATCGGAATTATACAGCGTCAGCGTCATCTCCGACGGCACCTTATAATTCCTGCTGCTCCCGAAACACAGATCCATCGCCTCCCCGCCGCCGCCGTTGTTCTTCTGGCACGCGCACATCTCGGGCCGGAACTGGCCGCAGGCCGCTTGAGGGTTGTCGGAGCAGCCTCCTAACCCGCAGCCCCGACAGTCCTTCCAGATGACGCCGCTGTCCTCCTGGATCTTCTGCACGAGTTCCCACATCGCCCTCACGGGCTGGTTCCGCACGGCGAAGCCGTCGACGCCGGAGACGACGCCCCAGTTGCCGGAGATCTTGACTTGCACGCTGAGGTCCGGGGAGGAGTCTTCCCAGACGCAGGCGGCGCTGTAGCCGTATTGGTTGTAGGTGTCGTCGGTGGCGATGCCCGTGGCGTCGCCGGAGCCGTAGCCTTTTTGCCAGATGGCGGCGAAGAGGTCCGTGTCGCCGACGGTGACGAAGTTGTTGGTGTAGTGGAATTCGAGGTAGTAGGGGAGGGTGGCACGTTTGCTGATGGATTGTGGTTCTTGGGGGTGGTTGTGTTGGGGTGCAGCGGCGGCGAGAGATGCTGCCGTGAGGAGGGGGGAGAATCTCATGGTGATGTTTCCTAGTCGAGGAGAGCGGTAGGTGTAAGAGGGATTGGAACAGAGGTCGATAGTGGAGGAAGGAGACTTGCTCTTGATGCCATCAAGCCCATATTAATACAAAGAGGAAAATTGATACTCATCTCTTTCGCCATGGTGATGGTTCCACATCGAACACCTTACCTCGCCCTCCGAATCGTCGCTACCGCTGCATCGTATCAAACGAGCATCTCAACCGAACGAAGCATTGATCCATTCGATTGGCTGACCAACTGAGAACAACCAAGTGCTTCTCCCAGAATAGTCCTCTTCGACCACGCCATGCAAACACCCGGGTTAGATTTTCTCGTCTTTCAGGCGCACGTGCAAAGTCATGAGCTGACGATTGGGGATGTAATATATCTCGATGAAAATGGCCTCTTCAGACTGACAAGGCTGACCATCGTAGTTGGGTGCTACTGTAGCGTCCGGGTAATTAATGGTCATGGTGCTTTGCAAGATTCTGTTTTACCCGGCATCTGGCAGTTCTGCGGCGGCGTTTCGAAGGTGAGACATCTCTACGCCAAGGCTTTTTCTTCTGGTAGACCATCGCCGTAGATGAGGTAATGAGTAATCTTAGGTAATATCAAGTTGTCTCTTTGGACTAGGAGGTGCGGTGGTCGAAGATGCTTTCTTGCTTTTTGAGTCTGATGGGAGAGCAGTCTGCTGTTATGTGTCGAACAGACCCCTCATTGAATCGGTCAGCTCCAAGAAACTCCTCAGTCAGATCTGTAGAACGTACCATGACAAAGAATGTCGACACGAAGCACGATCCAGAAATGCACCGATGTCGAGAAGGACGAGGTGAAGTCACAGCAGGATTCGAGACATTTCTTGGCAAAGTCTCGAACTCTGTCGTCTGCCTTGTTTTGCGAGCACCTCCTCTTCAACGAACCCCTCTTCTTCCCGACATCATCACCATCATGCACTTCCTCTGCTTCAGTCGTCTAGCATTGGGCGTAGCCATTCCATCGGTCGCGGTATACCTGACGCCCAAGAACGATGAACGGCCAACACCACTCGCCACTCAACCCACGAAAGGACAATCTGACGGAAAGGCGACGAATGCTTGAAGAAGAAGACATGCTGTCCAATTCGATGCTATAATCCGGCTCCTGGCCTCAGTCTGGGAGGCGATTATGGTATTTACAATTCCTTGATCTTCCATGAGATCCGCCTCGAAACCACCAACGCCGTCGCATAAACCGCATGAAAAGATCCAAATCCCATGGCCCTCGTTTAACCATGACACATCGCTTCCTGATCGTAAAACAAAGACTACCGCCTCGACATGGATCGATGGGTTCTCGTCCGCCTGTCGTCTGAGCTTGCGCTGCCTGTGAAGTTGGTCAGTATATTCCCGTCTCATCTTGCTGGCTGGCTTTTACTCACTGGCACTGGTGTAGTAATCACTCGAGTATGAGTACTCGCTGTACTTCTCATCCCTCCTATTTTCCCGCCTTCTCTTAAGACCCAGGATGGCCCACAAGGCTGCCAAACCAGCCCCAATACCGAGTAGGTTGCGTCCTGTGTGGTTTTCTCTCCGTTCACGGTCGACTCTCGTGGCTGGCTTGGCCGCGCCGTACCATGTCCTGCCACCACCGCCACCGCTGGCGTGGTGCGATCGACGCTCATATTCCTCCACCTCAACGCGCCTCTTCCGCTTGCCGAGACCAAAGCACGCAAGACAGCCATCCAGCAAACCGCGGAGACAGCAGTAGAAGCAGATCAACGCAAGCAGAAGAATACCAGCGAGGACACCGATGACGATACCAGCAATCGCTCCACCAGACAAGCCTCCGCCGCCGCTTGACTGTTCTCCTGTGACTGTCACATTTGCGCCTGTTGCGACGGGTGTCGAGAATGGAACCGTGGTGGTTGGGCTCACAGTCGCAGTGATAACCGTCTGCCCAGAACTGGTCGGCCGAATTGGAGCGCCTGCTGTGTTGCCCGCACTGGTGTAGGAGCTGTAGTATCCAGAGCTTCCACCACCAGCTGCTGGTCTGCAGTCGCTGGTGTTTGGATCGAAGCAGTACTCGCCGCTCTTACAGCACGTACTTCCGCAAGCCTGTTCGTTGAGAGCCCAAGTGCAGGTGCCAGCAGTGGCCGCCGCCGTGGCGCCAGCGCCTGAGAGGTAGCTGCTCATGGTGCTGGTGATTGTCTCCAGGTCTGTCTGGACGTATGTGGTGGTATAGTACTGCCAGTACCCTCCACTGGCCGCTGTTGCTTGGCTTCCTCCATTGGCGGTGCAGGATGCAATCGAATTGGCGTCGGTATAGCAGGCTTCTCCCGCCGAGCAACAGAGTTGGTTGTAGTAGCCGCACGGTGTACAGGCTCGACCGAACAGCTCGTTGAGCGAGAAGCCATTGGGATAAGCGAGTGTGGGTTTTGGGCTGAGCAGAATGGTTGTAATGAGCTGCAGCAGCGGTCGGGGCGCTTGATGGAAGCGCATGGCTCGTGGGAGCGCCCTCGTGGGCAGAGGAATGCGTCGTTTGTGCTGGAATGGAGGAGGTGTTCGAATGGGGTTGACCGCTCAAGAGAGCAACTGGCGCGAGGAATGCAACCCCGCTTCGAGCGGTGGATTTCGCTTTGGAGCTTCGACTTTCACATGCGGCGGATGGCGTTTGTGTGCGACGGGCGGAAACGATAGCAATGCTGCAATAGTCAGAGACACACCCAGTAGTGACTGAAAAGGCTGAGGTTGGAAGAGTTGCGAGGACAGAGGGAGGGAGAAGGCGACTGGCGTGAACGAGTGCTGCTTCTATCGCACCCGCGAAGCTCGATGGTTGGAGGTGGCTAGCTAGCGGGCGCGCCCCAGCCCACCACTTTACCTCCCGACGACACCGGGGAAATGCAACGAAAATAACGATCCGAACCGCACGCAAGATTGCTTGAACCGATGATGCGTGCAATTGTGTGTGAAGTGACTTCTGTTGGAGCGCCTTCCGTACCAAGGTGCTGCATCGCGCCTGCGAACTGTCAACGTTGTTTCCACAGGAACCATTGCAGGGATCTTGACGCCAGCCAACCAGAGCTCACTTTCAGCGCACTGGCCACTTTCGCCCGCTTGGAGCTCCCCACTTGCAGAACATTCACTCACTCTGCATCTTCACATGCCTATCACAAAATTTGATCGCAACTAATTATGAAGCAACGATATGCGATGACTGGACATTTGGAGTCCAGTCATCCGCACGTTTTTAAGTATCATATGTCAGTGTGAACATTCGTATTCCACTCCAGCTGACTTGCAATGAAAGAAGTTGCGCTCAACGCCATACATGTCTACGACAGCATATATAGATAGTCGCTCCATTTGTCTTTGCTTCCTATTGAAATATCAGTGCTTTGATATGCCTATAGTGTTCCTCCCACGAGTTTCTTTCCGCATTTGCTGACACGAATTCCTCGCTTGCGGATCTATGGTACTGTATTGTCACATCCAAAACAGTTCAACATTGCTCGACGCATATAAAAGAGGCGGCTAGGACCGCCTTCTCGTGGCATACGGTACTCTGCGCGAGGAAGTCCAGGGTCATGGCGGCTTTTGGCACAGCGCAGGCTGCTTTCTTACTTGATGGAAGGGGAAGATTAGAAATGAAGGAGAAGAGAGCCGTCACGTTGACCGGTTCTTCAGCTTGATCTGCAGTTGAGTTAGGATAGCCTAGGTGAAGTGATACATGTAAGTGGTTCGTACACTGAGCTATCAAGTAAACCATCAAATGAGCTCTCGAATGAGCCATGCAGTGCATGTCAAGTAAGCCACGAAGTGAGCCATGAAATGAGCTATGGAGTGATCGATAAGTAAGCCGTAAAGTGAGCCGCAAAGTAGACTCTATACCGAGCCCAAAACCCACATGAAGTGAGGCATTAAGCGAGCATCAAGTAAAGTCAACAGTGAGTGAAAGACTGAATGCAGAATTGAAACGGAAGTTGAGGTTATGTCCCAAGTTGAAGCAAGCCCTTTGGCTCGCCCGAAGCAGCCATCGTCTCATGGGGTTGCCATGATCGTGCACTCGGTCTCCTGGTCGTATCTGTTGAAACTGCGCACGAGCGAAGATATTCAGTGTAGATTAGTGATATCAGTAGTAGATGGTCTTCGACCTCTCTGGATTGGGCTGGTGGAAGTCAGTCAGGGGCAAATTGTCGGAGTGCCATCGTGGTCTCGACCAACCACTCAAACGGAAAGCAATCATCTGAATCAAAGAAAGTACATCAAGAATGATTCATAGCCTCACTACATATTCCTCTGGTTCATATCTGTTCAATTCCGAGCTAACCCCTGAAATCCAGCTCCACCCACGCTTCAACCCCTTTCTTCCACTCCACACCACCCTCTACCACTTCCACGTCTGCGGCCCAAAGGTCTCGTCACCACTGACGGTCTTCTGCACGGCCGTGCCGTTGAAATCGTACGTGTTGATCACGTTGGTGCCCCACCAGCTCGCCATTTTGCCTCCGGGGAGCTGGACGCAGAAGAAGGCGATGATGGCACATAGGGCCAACCCTACGTCGAAGCCAGCGCTCGTAATGTAGTTAAATTGCATCCTAATGATGAAAACGGGGCGTTAGAGAGTGTTGTTTGATTGTTAAAGGTGGGGGGGGGGGGGCGCATTTGACTTACCACCAGCCTCGGAAGCGGTCACGGATGAATTTGTTGAAGATCCAGCCAACGGAGCAGTAAGCGAGCTGGAATACGATGTTAGCACAGAAAACAAACCATACATAAATATATAAGAGTGATGAACGACTTACAATGTTCATGGCACTGTAGGGTGGGACATAACCCATGGACGAGAACATAAGCGGGACGTTCATCTTCCTGAAGATGCCGACCTTGGGGAACGCACGAGCCAGACCGTAGACGACGAATGGCAGGAAGAAACCAATCAACCAGAACCATTGGAGGTCCTTGTAAATGGCGTCGCCGGAGAACAGGTGCTTGGGGCCGATGGCACCCCAGATGACGGAGGCGTTGTAGAAGGTCTTGATGTAGCCGCAAGTGAAGTAATTGGACGCCTCTTCCGTGCAGACATTCGAGATGGCACCGAGAGCCCATTCGACGGCGCCGAGCTGGCAGAAGCAAGACCAGATGGTTGCGACCAGCTGGGCAGCGAAAAGCGAACGTTGAGGAACGTGCATGTAGTGGCCGAGCTTCAGATCCTGGCAGAAGTACAACGCCTGGGTCATGGTGATGTAGCCGAATGTCTTGAACATCATCATGGCGATGGGGTGGCCCGGTTGCAGGTAACCGATGATGAACTCAGTGAAGACGTTCAATCCGAGCTGGATGTTGGTCATGGCTTGGATCATGCCAATGGGGATAGTCCAAACAGCGGCGATGACCAGCGAAAGCACAACTGAGTATGCCGCCATGCCAGTGGGATAGCCGTTGGAGCAGGCAAAGGCGAAACCAATCATAATGACCAAAAGTGCCAGATACCACCAGGTAGGCACCGTCTTGTACTTGCGCATGATCTTCATGTGGACGTCGTCGAGCTCGCCCTTGGAGGCCTTCCACCTCTGCCAGATCTCTCTGCCATGGAACAGGTAAGTGTGGGTGATGAGGGCAGAGATGGTGGCGAAGCTGACACCGTAAGCCAAAGCGAACGAGGTGGACAGGAAGAGAGGAGAGTATTGCTCGTAGGCAACTGGATCCACAGTGTTGTCAGGCTTCAGAATGCGCGTGATGTTGTAAGTGGAACCAGTGTTGTCGGTAATACCGTTCTGGCTGATCGGCAAGTACTCGGCGTACCACGCCCCGGTGTAATGGAGGGCTGGAGTGACGATCCACAGGAGAAAGATAATGCCAGCAAGCGTGTTGCTGATGGCGTGCCAAGGTGCGATCAGGGGGCTTTGGTAGAAAGAGTTGATCTGAGCCCAATCGAGGGTGAAGCCAGTGAAGGGGAATCCCAGAGAGATACCCGTGGTCTGGCCGAACAGCTGATTGACAATGACGCCCTTGGGCTTGATCCAAGTGACCCAGGCAAAGTAGCTGAATGCCGGGAAGATGAAGTCGGGGAACCAAGACCAGACGAACATGATGACCATGACGACCAGGAACCATTTATAACGGGAGATGGACCAGCCGTGAGTCTTGGAGGGATCGCTGGGGCTGTGGTCATGCAGAGCGTACATAAACGCGGTATTGACCAGAGCTGTAGGCCAGATCATTGCGGCAGGCTCAACCAACCACTTGCGCACAGTGCCCGCGAGACCGAAACCCAAGCACTGTGTTGACAGCGCAAAGAGGATGTTGAAGCCCCATCCGAAGCTGGGAATGTTGTAGAACTTCTGGATCGAGACGACAGTGTCGACGAAGTAACCGGTTCCACCACCGAAAGCAGCATTAGCCATGGCGACGATGATGACGTGCTCCTTGACGTTGAATGGACCTGGGTTCAGGTTCCACTTCACGCCCAGTGTCCTGAACTCGCGGTCTGGCATGACCTTCGCCCAACCGACGCCAATAGGGTAGGCGACCAGCTGGACGACGTAGGGGGAGATAGTGATGATTGGGTATCGCAAGAAGAACAGACCGTTCACACCGGAGACAATGGTCGTCAAAACCATGCCGATCGTCCAGGCACGAATGGTGCTGCAAGGGAGGTCCTCGTCATAGTTGCGGACTACAGCACGCACCTAGCAATGGAAATCAGTACGCGCGCAAGTAGACTGGTAGCTGCCAACTTACTTCAGGGTACGGAGAATCTTCGACGAGCTCATCAACGAGGATGGCCTCGCCCTTCTGGTCATGCGCTTGTGTAGCATCGTTGATAGCATCCCAGGCGGCATCGGGCATGTTGGGGTCCCATGTGTGCTCACTTCTGAACTTGTTCAATCGACGGTTGGCCTCCACCTCTGAGATATTCTTGACGGCATCCGCATGGTCTGACTTGACCTCGCCGCCGAACTCGCCCGCGATCTTGGAGACAGACGCGGCACGAAGACCATCGCCATCCAGATCCGTCAACTCAGTCTCGGTAGGGACGGCCACGACCTTGCCGCCATAGTCTTCTGTCGTGGGGATCTCGCCCGCGGTGTTGGTCCTCTTGAAGCCAAGCCTCTTGAGAGGGTTCTTGGAGCTGCTCGCCATGGTGTGCAACGAACTACCCTACAGTCACAAGACACGAAGGGAACCCAAAGGCGGGGAGAACGCAAGCTACGCCGTTGGACACATGGCAGGGTTCGAGAGTTAAATAAGTGGCCATGCCGAGTTACGCACTAACGACCGTAGATCTCAAGGTGGCAGGTCAATGGTCTACCAACACCACTCACCAACACCTCGTCAAGCGGCGAGACCGACATGGGAAGTCGACAGTCAATCTCCGCAGTACGTATGCGGTAGAGGCGCCGGAGTGGCGATCTCGACGACGATAGCTATCGCCAGCAGAAGAGGTCAAGCAGCAGATCTGCCTTTGGGCCACTTGACGTTTTGAGCAAGGTCGCGCAGGTCGATGGCAAGCCGGGTGAGTGTCGCGTGCGGCGTCGAACGCTGATACGCCCGGCTTCAATCATCAGCTATCGCAGGAGTGTTGGTTGCGTGTTGCAAGCGGGTGGACGGCCTGATGAACCAGTGGTGGGCGGTAAACCGACCATCCACCTGCCCGATGCAGTTGGCGGCGCAGATAAGACTTTGCGAGAAGAGCGCGGGCCGTCTTTCTTCCACACCTTGGACGCTTCTTTTTGCGCCTTGAAGCAAATTAGCTTGCGAGTCGACAGTGGTTTAAAAAGGCTTAGTAAAGCTTGGCGGCGTCCGTTGTACGAGAACGGCGAATTACAATCAAGTAAGTAGACTGTGGAGTGAGGAGGCGGCGAGCAACCCCTCGGTCTTGTTCAGCCGTGGCTGGTGTGGTATCCGTGTGTACATGTACTTCTTGAGCCGCTGAGCTCTCAATATGTTCCTGGACACCGTAAAGAGCTGGTACCATATCAAGTCGAGCTTACGTGCCAAGTCCGAGGACTACATCGTTGCATCGCTGTGTCGCGTGGGCCAGTCGCAGTAGCGCTGGACCCCGTCGCCTCGTGTACCCATGTTCTGAGGTGAGATTGTTTCCAATGCGCTACTGCGGCGCCGAACGGGGTCTTATCGTTCGACCATATCGTATGTACGAATCCATTGCCATCGTTTGTAGGGCTGCAGGCCGTAAGCCGTTCGCAACCAGCGATAAGGACAACGGAGACGTTGACGTGTTGAGTAAGTCCTTTGCGGAATCTTGCAGTCGTGCTCTTGCTATCATGCCTGTATCAATGCGACAGTGAATCCTCTTCGGAATGCCTTCTTCTTGTGTGCTTTTGCTGGCGGTTCAACACGGCACAGTCGAGAGCCGAGACGATAGTGCGATTCCTGCCATGCAGCACATGCAGCGACGGCGTGGCCTGGACAGTTGTTCTCGAAGCTCGCTGCGTTCTGTCGTAATCGATGTCGGAACGATGAGGGCGGCATCACAAAAGAAAGAGTGAGGTTGAGAAAAATCTCGCGCCTTTATCCATACTCGCTGGGAGCTGGCTCCGAACACCGAATGCCGTAAGGAACAGTGGATACGCTGACTGCTCCTCTTGCTCAGCCCCCCTCCATCAATGTCGCCCGCACGGTCATGTACAAATGGGCGGAGGTGGCATTGAGCACGTTTCATTCGTTCCTCGACTCCTGCGGCGGTTTAAGCTGCTCAGGCGTCTGGCTGCCTTCCAACTCCGTCTGGATCCCACTCCCAGGAAGTTCATACGAAACATGCTTCGCCGGCAGCTCGCTCCAGTAACTAGGAGCACGCGGTGAGTACTGAGTCTGCGCCGGAGAGCTCTGCCAGGAGCCTATTCCCGGAGAATTATCGTAGCTTGCTACAAGGCTGTCAGCGAGCGCATATCAGGCTGAAGACGGGAGGGACATCGACTCACGAGCTACGTTCTTGAGCACCGTACCTTCCTGCGCCGGCAACTCCTGGATCTGTTCGGTGGGCTCGTCTGGCTTTGTTGCGGCTCGTCGTCGTCTGCGCAAGTACCAAAGAATCCCGAGAATGATTATCGCGACCCCGACGATCCCGCCGACAACACCGCCGGCTATGGCGCCTGTATTCGATGAGTCGTCGGATGACGAGCCGTCGTTGTAGGTTTCATTTAGGCGCAAGAAAGGCTCTGCGGTTCCTGGATTGCTTGATATGAATGCGCCGGATAGTTGATCTGACGGACAGCCATCGCCGCATGGTGAAGTAGCGCAGCATCCCCAGAATGGTCTTTGAGAGCCTTGATCAGCTCATCGTTCACCCAGGCCCGCCAGACAGTACTTACGGATCTGTGAAGGCGCAAGTGTAGAACAAGCCTGCGGAGCACGATTGGTCGGGTATCTCTCCGTGTTGATCTGCTTCGAAGCTCGTAGGCTGAAGGTCGCCGGCGGCGCATCCCAGCTCGCATGGATTTCTTCCGCAGCATCCAACGAACCTGCTGCCTTCAGTACAAGCGTAGAAGTCCCCTCCCGAGGGACACGACATATTAGGCGTCGTCATGGCTGGGCGATATTAAGTATTAACGCGACCGTGAGTCGTAAAGTAGAAGAAAGGAAGACGAGATCACAAAGACACAAAATCGAGTAGGAGAGGAACGAAAGTGTCAGCGAAACAACCCGAGGCGATGCTCCGCTGTTCATTCATAGTTCGTTGGCCTTACAGTCAGCGGCCGGATTTATGACCTCCCAAGAAATTCGAGGCTGAGAACCCAAGCACCGAAGACCATCGTGTATGCAGATCTGGTGTGGACGCACAGGTCCATCGCAGGTATACATTACGCATTGTCTCGGCGGTCGTCGATGCGGCCTCGTCCGACTACACTGAACGGTTGTTGCCAAGGACTATCGCTGCAGTCCAAATGCAGGTTGAGTTGGCAAGCAGCTCTCGCCTAATCGGGCGAGTTCAAACCTTTCTCCAAAGCACCATCGTCGACCATACCATCTAGGGCTCAAGCAGTGGCATGTTCAGTCGATGTATGGAAGGATTGTCAGCTGCAGTGTAGTGTCTTGGAAGCCAAGATCACAGCTGAGCAGGTTGTATGCAATCTCGCGTGAAGGTCTTCGGGATTCCCTCGAGTTGTGTGGCGCGGTGCATAGGTCTCGAACGAACACGCCATGTGCTGTGGCCTGACGTCTCGGTATTCCCCAAGATTGTCCGCGGTGACGGTGAGAGCGCAGATTGTTTGTGAGTTCGCTTGCATGGGTCGCTACACCGCAGCAGATTCGCGTGTGCACGATCCCAGCATCGCTGACACGAGCAACAAGACATGATGTTAGACATGATGTTGGACATGATGTTGTTCGTGATGGCGTTGCTCATGGTAGGCCTGATGGAAGTACCGAGTAGATCTCCAGAACAGTTGTTCGAGTCGCAATCAAGATAGATGTGCGCCGTACTTGTTTGTGCCGACTCAGGTTCGCCATGCGACCACAAAGCCAATACGCAAGTACATACCCACAACTCTATCTGCGTCTCTGCTTCTGGTGTTGGTGTCGGTGAATTTGTTGGAGGAGACCAGTTAGGAGAATGCCAACAAAGTTGAAGAAACCGCCCCGCGAGAGACACGACGTGTGGCGGTCAGCACGGGCCGCTCGGTTCTGCCGACACTCTCGCGATTCTATTCTCGACCACACGTCGATGAACATATTGCCTCCCTCAGAGGTCAGCTAAATCGGCGAGATAGATAGCACGGATGAGATCCGACTTCAATAAAACATTACGCTACGGACTGGGGTATCTTCCAAAACTGCAATCTTTCTCCAACATACACACCAGCGCCACGGCTATGCATTTCATCCTCCTATCACTTCCACCCCCTCATATTGCTCAATATCACCCCGTTACAACCTTCCATTGTGCTGACCGACCCAATACCCAGCGATCTCAGTTAACACATCGCCCATAATGATGGGACTGGCCATCAAACCGTGACCTTCACCTGACAGAACTCGCACCTCACATCCTCCTTTGGCGGTCGCGTCAGCCCAACTTTTGCGGCTCTCCCGCGCATCGTTGTCCAAGTGCAGGCCCAAAGCCCGTCGATTCATTTGTTCTCCCAGCCACTTCACGTTGGCGATGGGCACTCGCTTGTCCTCGGAACCATGGGTGATTACAACCTCTCGTCCAACATCTGTATAGCGGAAGCCGACATCTCGATGGCGCTCCAAGCATACCAGTAGATCCGTCGCAGGATTGCTGTCTCGAGTAGCGAGATCCCACGTTCGCTGGGTGAGTCGACTCGTGTACTCGACCTGTCGTTCCCGTTCGGCATGTTCGGCAGCGTTCAACCCGTTGGTGGCGTACGCAAGACTTGGGTCCATCGGTCCTGCAGTAGCAGAGAGCACAAGAGATCCACGTTTCATGGAAGCATCGTTGTCTTCCTCATTGATGACCGGGACGAGGAAGTTCTCGAGCGGGTTGGTGTTAGGCATGAACTGATCCATCAGCATCATCGATTCACGTCGATTGTATTCCGGTCGATCACTGGTCGTGGGCCTTTTGGCTGCGCCATCATCGGGGTATGTTCGTCTGGGCGGCGTTCGATTTGCGTTCGTTCTGATGTTGCGCTTAGTCGCTGGCTTCAACGATGCCGAGGTCGCCGTCATGAATGAAGAGTTCGCTGCTTTGAGAAACGGGGTCGGCAATACGCGAAGGAAGCGTTGACTCCGTGGGAGTGGGTTAGATGGCGGTGCCGACGCTGCCGTGTGCGAGATGGCCTCGAGTTGACTTGGAGGGACCCAAGGCGCCAAGAGATGGACTTTGCCCTTCACCAGATGAGGGAGAATAAGCGCTGTCGCCAATGCATAGATCGCTCCAGCCGAATGAGCCAGGATGCTGAATTTGACAATCCCCAGATGCTGACACACAGCTAGAACATCCTCTGGCCAATTCAGGGGTCCGCTCTTGTCGGTGGGAGGGAATGGATCGCTTCCACCGACACCTGGCCGGTCCAGAGTGATCAAGCGCAGTCGCAAGGTCGTCGCCAATTCGTCGAAGAAAGCAGTCACGTATCGAGTCAAGCCCATCCCAACGCACACGAATACAGCAGCTCCCTCTGGATCACCCACTTCTGAAAAGGCTATTGTGCGACCAGACGTGCTCTTGATAGTGCGACTCAGGCGTTGGTCACTCAAATAATGCTCCACAGCATCTTCGATGCTGTCCCTTCGCTGCAAATTTTGAACGTCTTCAAACGTCTTGGCATGGCGCGCATCGCTCATCGACTTTCGTCGATTCCTCTTCTTGTCGAAATCCAGCAGAAGATCGGGATGAACGGCCGTCCACCTATCGGAGGGCGATCGTTTGGTAGGTTTCTTCGCAGATCTATTGTGTGGTGGGGGTGCAAGCGTACTTTGCTTGGGGGGAGGAATATCCAATCCTTTGAGTTGGAGTGAACCTCGATCCGATGATTCGCGGCTCCGTTCCTCTTGATCGTAGTCGATGCTGTTCAATAGATCGACAGCCCTGGCATATGAATAGTCCAACGATGGCGGCGGTATGGGTGAGTTGTCAGACTTGGATGTTGCTGGTCTGTAGTGCGCTGAGGCAGGGCGCTTAAGTTCCAAGGAGTTCCTGTTCCGACGCTTCGTAGCGGGGATATTGCGCACGTCGTTAGTGCCGTTCACTGCCGCGCCATTGACATCTTCAACTTGCGTCTTCTCACCCTTGACTCCCAGCAAGTGTTGGATGGCACCAGGCTCAGTCGAAGCTCGATTGGCTACAGGACGCGTTCGCGATCCTCGCTTAGGCTCTGCGGCTGGTGGAGCTGACAGCTCATAAACAGGGGCCCATTTTGCATCAGTCTCTTCATGGGGTGACTCGATGGGAGAGGCATAAGAAGTCGAGTCCTGCAGTCTTGATTTCCTGCGTTCTCTCAACTCTTTGATACGTTTCACCGTTTCGTCCTCTTCGCCTAGATCGATCCAACTCGAGTCCGGGATCGACGGTGATATTTGCTTGACGCTCATCGTTTCTGACTTGCTTGGAGTAACAGTATGTCTTTTCGACTTTCTGTGCTTCTTCTTGGTGCCAGCCGGACTGTTACTTTGACGAAGCGAAGATGTCCGGGTTGGGATCGAATCTGAGATTGGACTTGGAGCCTTTGCGATGGGCCCACCATCACCAACAGAGAGCTGGCTGTCCGACGAAGACAACTTGGTGGTAATGATGGGTCGCTGCTCCAAAGGCGGTGTTTGAGAGATTGGTGTCGGCAAGATTGGAGACTCGATCGGTTGGTCTTCGTTAACTGTCACGTCGGTAAGATACAGTCTTCCCTTGGACGTAGAGATTGGCGGGGGTGTCCTTGCAATGATCTTCTCCGCGAGCGAGACTGGCGGCGCCTCAAGTGTGGGCTGAGATGAAAATTCTCGCGATGTCGACCTGAGCATCTCCTGCGAGCTTACCCGCCGCAAACTCTTCCGTGGTGTCCTGCCTCTTGAAATATCTGATCGGGCGTCGCTGTCCTGATTCTTCCTCACCCAACTTTCCGAGCTCAACTTATTCCTCCTGCTGCCCGGACGGTCTATACTCGATCCAGAGAACGAGCTTCTACGAGAGCTCGCGCGGTTACGGAAAACGGCGGTGGTGTTTGATTTGGAGAAGGATGGACGGCGTTTGGCGGTGTAGTGGGAGAGGCCAGATGGAGGTCGCGAGGTCGGGATCGTAGGAGGAATTGCAGCGCCGCTCACGCTCTCTTCGTCATCCAGAGACAAGCTATTGCCATACTCGACACCGAAGCCAGGCGAGACAGTGTTGCGGTGGATGGAGGCGGTGCTGGCGACGGAGCGATTGGAGGAGTCTTGACGAGAGTGCTTGCTGGCCGTGTCCGACTGCTGGTCACTGCGCTCAACCACGGGCAGAGGGGTCAGGGTGTCTTCGAGCGAGTCGAGAATTGAAGAGATGACATGCGGGTTGGCAGCTTTGGCCTTGACACGGTTCGGATGGCGTTTGGTCGGCTGGCGCAGGTCGGGAGTCTGATGGGTGTAGTGGTTCTGACTGCCGGCTGGCGGCTCTCTCGACCATGGTCCGGACTCTGCAGGTGCAGGAGAGGCGCGCACGTCGAAGTCCATGGTCTGCACGCCCGTTGGCTCTCAGTATGCGCGCTGGTGCTAGTAATACTATTGAAAGCCTGCGCGCGCACTGCTGCACCATATCTGGCTCCTAGAAGAGCCCCATCATCTCATCTATTCTGAACCCTATGCAGTACGGTTGGCGGCTTGCGTTTGGTAGCGATGGATTGTGCAGTGCGGTTTGCCGGGGATCGTGGTGTAATCGTTGTCCAATGTTTCTCTTCCCAATGCGCCTCACTCTTTCTGATCTGGTCGCGCCAATGCGCGCGCGCAGCCCTGTGAGCTGCGGTTCAGTGCGTCTTCGTGGCGATGAGGTTGTGTTGTTTGTTGGCGTGCATCATTCCAGCAATTGATGGTGGTCCAAATCCACGCGAGTAAAGTCTGATAGCGGGAGGGGAGCTTCCCGAGGGCAATAGGGGAAGGTCGTCCATTGGAAGCCACAACTGTGTCGATTCATGTCCACCTATTCCCAGAAACCCTTCACTGCCCTTTTGCTTGCGGGTCAACCATCCACAGTGATATTTGATCAAGTCCACAACCAGACAGGGGTTTTTAATCTATCCGGACGTTGGGCCATCCCGCAGCCCAACTCTAATTTACATTTCCCCAAAGCAACATGGAGATGAAACTCATCCTGAAACACACACTTCTTCACACAGGACCACATCCTTCACATGCCTCCAACCCAGAAAATCCCAAAGGAAGAATCCCCCGACTTGAGACCTTGTATTTGAGACCACGTCGATGTCACGAATCTCACCGAAACGGCGAAATTGCGTGAGCTGCCGATCCCTGCGAGTCGATCCTCGTGGCCATCCGCCATCCAACAGCAATCTATTAGAATTCCGACCTCGTGCCAATGGGTGGGAAGCACGAGTCGGGCTGAAGGCAACGAGCAATACAGGAAGGACAGAGACTGATTTAAAAGAACCACACTTTCACCCCAATATGTCGGCCCATCTTCATCTCTCTACGGAATGGATGCACCTACCTCGTATGGAAAGCTTCGTGAAGAACGGAACTCCTCGGCGCTCGCAGAATGGTCATTCCGCAGAACACGGCATGAAGTCCGCAATGAATATGTTCTTCTCCAAAAACTCAGTCTCCAAATCCCCAAGTGCCAAGTCGGTATGGACTTTCTTCTTCGGTGCCGGCCCGCCTCCGACGCTCATTCACCGGCAAGCCGCGCAAGCAACTCAGCAGAAAGGATGCATGCATGCACTCCTTCTGCGAGGAAAGGCGCCTAGTCCGATAGATCAGCAGCAGTGGCCGGCATCATGCAATCATGCAAGACCTACAGCGGCCGGCCGTAGGGCTGAGGATACCGCATACGCTTTTCAGCTATAACTCGTTTGATGCTTCAGCATGCAGGACGCATAGGCGAGTCTGGCGAGGACGGGAAAAGGCATGGCTGCGGCACGGCAGTACTACTGACGGTACAGGTACACAGTGATAAAGTGTGCCGTGCCATTCATCAATGGCCATGGCCATCCCGTAGATCTTTGACCAGCCTCAGTAAGCCGTGCCATGCCAGTGTTCGTCCAAGATGCACTCGCCGTGAACGCTCCGTCCAAACCTCTTCTCCCGAAAGGATGCTCCACCTCTCCGCCGCTCCTACCGCCCTACCGATACAGTCACCGCAGCTGCAGAGCTCGGGTTCTCGGGCCCGCTTGACACTCGACCGTGCAGAGAGTTCCGAACCATATCGACGCGGCACGTAGGCTATTCTTCATCATCACCACACATTGGGCGCACGACGAGCCTTGGTATTTTGATAAACTCTTGTTCATGGTCGAGGAACGGGACGCCGGACGACTACTGCAATAAGCCTCACAATGCACATCCTCTCATCACGGGAACGGAATACCTCGCGCCAAGTGCGAGAGTTTCGTTTTATTCATTCTCTGGTTGGCCCTATCGATCCCATTCCCTTGCCCTGCCCACTCGCCCTGCGGAAGGAATAAGGCGTGGTGCGTCAATCATTTCCAAATCGCACACGGACGTCAGGTTCCTAATCTGAACTTAAAGCCGACGACACGTCTCGAATTGGCATGGCTAACACGTACGTACTGCGCACAGGAGTTAAACATGGCGTTTACGACGGAGAGTTTACACCAGGGCTTTGGGGAAAGGGAAGAAAGGCATATTCTTGGTTGTGTGATGGTCTTCACTATCGCCGTGGGCATAACGTTCCTACATAGTTTCTGACGGCATTAGTCGAAATAGGTGAGATGACGCCAACGCAGCGCAGCAACTTCACCTGGCGCCATGCATTACACCACTCCCCTCCAAACGTGCACTGCCCAGCCCAGATCCAGATAATCATCCTACCCCCAGGGTTCTGCTCGAAAAGGAACATCTATCCCCATTACTCCTAAGCCGTCTAAGCAGCTTGGAGTGCAATTAGCAGCGCTGTCGCTTGCGAAAAGACGGAGAGACATCTCGGTACTTTATCAGTAATCCGATCTCCCCAGCGATAAAACGGAATATCACACCGCTCCGAACGCAACTCAATCTAGCAAGTATATGCAACGAACGTTCTAAACTCTCTTCCATTCCCCCTTGCTTGCCGCTCGCCCTCACCTCCCTTCTACGGAACTGGCAAACAGTCTTTCGCCGCGTCGGCTCCTCCACGCATTAGTCGCGGCCAGCAGGTCTTCACAGCCTTGCAGCAGCAGCCCGAAGCGCCTAACGAACGACTCCGAGAGTTCCCAGCTCGCGAGCTGGTCGGGACTACTCCATACGACCAAGCCGCCTCGCAACCAAGAACCTTGGACGTTCTCTAGCGCGCCTGAGGCTCGCAATGCTGCCGAGAAGGCTGCTGCGTCCAGTTGTTGTGTCGCCATCGCTTTCAGAATGTTGTATCGAAATCGTGGATGGGGTACAATGTCGATGATCGGATCGTGCGGTACTTGATGCTGAAGAGAAATCGGTTGCAATGGGGTTGGCAGCTGGTTGTTGGAGACTCTTGGCGTCACAACAGGTCTCGCCCCGGACAATGCTGCGGAGTCCAGTCCAAGCTGTTGGGCGTTGGTCGCCGCCGCAGACATGAGGTTTCGATTGATCAACTGTGCCAATTCGTCCCAAACTCGGCCTGTCAAAGGGTCGGCCACGCCATTTGGTCGAACTGCCCCAGGTGCTGAAGTATGACTTTCACTTTGTGACTCCTGCTCTGGCGATGACATCTGCTGTTCGTCCTCATCTACCTGCGAGTTTGGCCCGCTCGAGTTGCTTCGTGGCTTGTACTGCTTGGGGGATTCCCCTGCGCGCTGTCGCTGTCGAAATGCTCTTTGATTGATTCTGTTCTGTATACGTCTCCTCTCTGTTGGATCGTTCTTCCCACGCCAGTTCTCGTTGGTGACCGAGCAGATGGGTATGCTGGGGTCCGGCGAGCGACTATGTGATGTATGCTCTCTTCGGTAGTCATCCATCGTCTCGGTTTCCCGTTTGATGTATATCATCTTGCCGGTGGTGGTGGCAAAAGCCTACTTGTTAATAAGGTGAAGTGAGGTCGAGAGAGTGGCAAAAGGATGTGGAAGCCCGGCAGCAAAGAAGAATGATTACTCCCAACGATGTCATCCGTCGAGCGAGCTGGTGTAGTCCAGAATCTGAGTCATCTGCATACCTTATTCACATCGCAAGCGGCTGGCAAATACGACAGGCACTAGCGGCAGGCATACGGGCGACATGGCTGCCGTCTGCCTCCCCTTCAATGGGTAGGAGGGGTGTCGCGTGGTCCGGCCGTCCATCCATGCCGCTCAGCCGCTGGATACGTAGCTACGGCGCCGCGGTGGCCGCTGTCGTGAAGGTGAGCAGCTCGGATGTCCACGAAGGTGCGGCTTGGGGGACGCAGCGCCGGGCAGCACGTCGTTTTGCCGATGCATGAGCAGCACTACTATTCCTAGGCTCGACACTGCAAAAGTATTTAGGTCCATTTGGAGGTTCGAGGCTAGCGCGCTTGGCCTGCAGCTTCCGGTTGCCATTCGTGGGTAACGGATTCAGCCCTGCGCGCATCGCGTAGCTCGGTCGAGCAGGTTGTGTCGATGCTGACCTAACTGTGCCGCAAGCAAGCAACGAGCCCGGCCGCGGTCAAAAACGTGCGATGGGAGTGAGTGGCCGGTCGCAGCGCCGACGAGGTGCGGCTGGTGGACGTCGCGGGCGAGCAGGCCGAGAGGATGAGTTCAGCAGCAGCGCAAGCCGCGAGGTGAAGTTGTTCGCAGACCCCTGACGCGGGCCAGCATCGCTGTCGATTGGCCCGTTAGGCGGCCGGCAGGGGTGCGGCTGCGTCACCGTGCAGATCGTTGCCAAGGCAGGTTGCTCCCCAGAGTCGCATTTCCCAGCGAGGTGAGCCACAAGCCGCAACTCAATCATCGCCAGTCGCGCGCAGAGTTGTCGTCGACACAACCTTCTGCCACGCCGCCGCGCACCCTATCCGTATAGCTCCGGCTTCCATTGCTGCTTCTAGAGCCTCTGCCACCGGGTCCGCAGGCAGGCAAGCAAGCAGGCGGGATCGCTGGATCGCGAGTGGAGCGCGGCTAGCACCACCCTCACTGCAGTAGTCCGCGCCTTGCGAGCCTGCAGCTGAACACTGCACGCCCTGCCCTGCCAGGGCTGACCTCCTGCGACCACCAGCACCGAGCCAGGAGCACCAGCTTCGGCATCAGCAGCACCAGCTTCGGCACCAGCAGCACCGGCCGGCAGCAGCATGGCCTCAGGCGTCAACGCCATTCGCGAGAGGCTGCAATACAGCTTCGGCTACCTCCAGGGCCGCAGCTTCGCCCTTCCACGGAGCCTGTCCGAGTTCTATGGCGCGCTGGTTGCCAAAGTCACCAGTTGGGTCGCGCTGCCGCTGCCATTGCTGTCGTTTCTGGCGCTGCCGCTCTACGGTACGTACAGCAGCATCGTCAATCCACGGCCTGTCTGACGGACATCTTACACATCTCGTTTGGCTCGCTTGCTGACCAGCCGTGATAGGTGGTTCGACGGCAACCGTCAATTTGGTCTTCTTCTACCTGACGTGGTCAGCACTGGTCATCTCGTACGTTCGATATCGATCCATCGATCTTTTGACAAATCATAAGCTGATTATGAATGCCTGCCAGCCACGATCGACTTACGTTGGAACTGTACGGCACGCTCCTGATCCGACTTTTTTGCTTTCTTTTGCCAGCCTTGGGCTTCTTGGCCTTCGACATTGCTGTCCCTAAAGTTAGCAAGACTGTCAAAGCTCGCGGCGAGCGGCAGCTCCCCACTCGTCATGGCCGTGACAAACTCCTCGCGATAGTCGCGGTGGCGGTGTGCAACGTCTTGCTCGGTGTATTGATCCAAGCCGGGCTAGAGTTGTTGTTCACTCGCATATTGCACCTCAAGAGTCTGTTGAAAGTGACCACCGTCGTTCCGCTTCCGTGGAGCATCGCCATGTCCCTGATCCAAGGTTTGGCCATTCGAGGGTCGCTGCATTATGCCGTGCACAGATTCGTTCTGCACACGAATCCATCGATCCTCAGAACCTGGCATCTGGACTGGCAACACAGCGTCGAGCATCCATTCAGCCTGGTGGCAGCGTACGATCATCCGGTGAACTATCTCCTCGCGGATTGGGTTCCAACATTCTTGCCGGCGGTGCTCTTTCGATGGCATGTATTGACTTGGTTCCTGTTCTTGTCGATCGCCAGCCTGGAAGAGTTGTTTGTCTTCTCGGGATACTCCGTTCTCCCGTCGGCCATCATCCTACCAGGCATGGCTCGTCGCACAGAAGCGCATTTTGACTCGGTGAGGAAGGGAGATAAAGCCGGTAACTTTGGTCATCTTGGGCTTCTTGACTTCTTGTTGGGTACTACGTGTAGTAACGAGAGTACCATTGTCGACGACGTCCAGGACGAGGCCCAGCAGCGCCAACTGCAGGAGCGCGTCGAAGCCGCAGTCCAGGCGGCTTTGGCCAGTATCGAGGACAAGAAGTCCAATAACAAAGTTGAAGACACCAAGGAAGAGGATACTAACGAAGATAATATGCCTGCTGGAGAGGACGACCAACACCAGACAGGGGAGGTCGACGATAATGACGGGTCCGAGGAAGGCGAACCCGCCGACCGACGTCCAACCGCACCACGTAGGAGCGGAAGAAGGAAAGGAGCTAAGGGCTGACACCGCAGCTTGTACGATTTGCTTCTGGTACTAAACCACTCAGTGGGATGGAGCTTGGTTTGAGGTAGTTGTTGGGACAGCAGGTGGTGTGGCGTTAAAGTGTTTGAAGATACCCCATTTCGAAGAAGGAAGGATGACAGATATTTTCTTCCCGTCTTTACGACATCGACAGTTGATTTAAGAGAGCCGGTTAGCTGATTACCTGAGATGTACTCATTTCCAGACTTGTAACACATATAGCTGTAAAATAAACTTACGCCATCCTCTGCCAGTCTTTGTCATGGTTTGTGCGTTACCGCCAACGCACGACAGCCTCACAAGGCGCGGCATGGCAGTGGCAGAGTCAGAGTCAGGTTCGAACGGGATTACGAAAGAGGGCATGCCCTTGGCCGAGAGAAAATCACCCTCCTCGTGGGGGCGATGCGTATCGTATCGTTTCGAATCAATACCTGATGTAATATCGAACAGCACAAGTCATTTACATTACCCAATATCTTCGACCCTAGGTACGTTAACTTTCCTTACCTTCCCCCTCCTCGTCTTTTCCTCTGACCTGTGAGCACCATCCACCCGGGTACGACCACATGCGACCACTTGCAGCAATGCCCACCCACCTTCTCATCCCGACCAACAGCAGCCGCGCAATGTCTTCGCCAGGATCCGAGACGGACCGTCGTTGCTAGTCCGCACGCTCGCTCGCTACTGTTGTGCGTGTTGGTGGGTACAGCGCTTCGTCTCGTCTCGTCTCGTCTCGTCTCGTCTCGTCAGCCCAACCCGGATGGGCCACATCTCACCCGCTGCTGGTCGGTACGAGTGGGAGTGATTACTAGGTTGGACGTCAGCTACTAGTACTAACGCTGGTAGTCTATTCTTTGGCTATGTTACTCACGCTGTAAAGTTCTAGGCCGCGTGCTCTCTTTGTGCTACCATGTTGGAATTTGGAGGCGACTTATGCGAGAGCGTGTCCTTGACGACGCGCCGCGGAAAGTCAGCGATTCGTTCGCGGTGTGAATGAGAGACAACGCGGACGGTTGCGGTTGACGTCGCGAACTGGATTGCTTTCTTCTACGTCTGAATCGAACGATGATCGTGCTGCCGGTGCCGACCTGGCTTTGCCAAGACAGCACCGATGAAAGTCGTTGACAAGACACCCAATTCCGATTCGGACCAGCCCTGTTGGCCTACCCGTGTTGGAGGTAGGACGGTTGAACTTGGACCAAGGCCGATCGATTATCCCCAATGTGGCGGCTTCAGCCCTGTGTCGCCAATCTTCTGGATCGCTAACCGGAGACAGCCCGATGAACAGATTGACTGCATCTGCATCTGACTAGTCAGAGAATGAAGGTCACCTCATGCCCATGTCAATCTGGACGCGTCCGCCGAGAGCATGGCAAGTTTGAACGGCAGGGATCGACAGACTATGTGGTGCGGTACAGGGCTGCCAGCCGGGACGGTTGTCATCATTGATTCAGGATCGAGTAATCAGCAAGCCACTTGGTTGCCAATGCGGTGAGGCAGGGACCGGTGGACAAATACCGTTTGTCGGTCGCATGAAGTGATTAAAAAGGGGCTTGCTATGTCAGCCACTTCGTAATGGACCGGGGTTTGGACGGACGCGTCGGCTTGATAGATGAGGCTATTTCGTCCTTTGTGACCTTGCCGGTCCTTTTACTGCTGACTACCATTCCACTTGACGGTCTTCCGACGGTCTTATCTCACGAACACCTTGCTCAGGACTGCCTCGTCGGTTCGCGACAAGAGCGAGCAGGTTGCAACGACGGCCCGAGAATCGATAATTGACGGACTCGACTATGAGCGGGAGATCGGAAGGTATCTCGTCGTAGTGCAACAGCAGTAGCTTGGACACATCGTCGCCGAGGTATCGTGGCCACAGCCCTTGCAAGAGATATACCGCTGGAGAGCGGCCATCAACGGACAATGCCCGGCTTCGCAGTCGTCGTGCGATGGACAGTAGGAACATAATGACAACCAAGGTTTCCTGAGGTACCTTCTTGAAGAGCTTTGATATGCTGGGCCAAAGATCTGGAAGCTTTTCTGGCCGAGTCTTTGCCTGGGCGATCTTCTGATACATCGCCCACGACGTCTTCTCGGGCACCATCGGAATCTGTGCGTTGTCCAGGCTCATTCTCAATGCTACCACGACGCTCTCCAAGCTGTGCGCTCGCAGCGCATCCAGTGCCTCGTCAGGATCTTCGGCAGTTTCCAAGGTAGCACACAGCGAGTGGGCCCGCTCCTTCAATTCTTCGTTCTGAGTGATCTTTGACTCATCTGCTTTGAGCGCCGGCAGCCGGGCAGTCAGCAACATCGAACCACAGATGGCGGCGGCAGATGGCAGCTTGCTGGTAAACGACGGCCTCCAGTATCCCTGGTACTCTCTGGCGACCATCTCAATCTCCGCTGATTCGGATGGGTTATCCCTTGGCTTGGATGAGCGCTGAGATAACGAGGAGCTTGCTCGAGATTCAGTGCGGCGCATGTGAGGAGGAAGACCGCTTGGCGGCCAAAAGGTGCTGTTATGCTCCTTCTTCTTGGACTTTTCTTCATCGCCGGGTCCTAAACCCGCCAAAGTCGCCAGGGCATTTGTCGCATTCTCAACAGTATTGAACGTATCATCGCCTTCGCCGTCGTTACTGGAGAGATGGGACGTCGTCTCTGGCAATCGGTATATGTCAAAGTGACTCGACGAGGCAGTGGCAGCTGAAGAGATAGTATTGGCTGAGACAGTGGAAGAGCTTGTTGTGGAAGTCGAAGTCCTTCTGCTGGGCGCAGATGATCGTTCGTTCTTTGAGAGCCAGCATGGCTTCCACCTTTTGTTTGCAGAACGATGGACATCCGCATCTTCGCTCCTGCTGCTCGAAGCCACTGAGCTGGATCGTTGCGCCAGAGAATCGATTCGTCGCGGCCAAGGTTGATCGTGGTCGGATGATTCGTCTGCCATTGGGTCGAGAGTAAGACAGAAACAACGGAGAACTAGAATCTTGCGGAGCTTAGGAAAGACCGGACAGGTTTGAAAGGATGCTGTATTGATACGGGGCTTTGAGAAGGCTGTATAAGCGTGGAGGGAAATTTGTGTAGGAAGAAATGCGTAGAATCACTCAAAGCACATCAGAACCAAGATCCGAGGCACCACCACCAAGCCATCTAGTCCAGCCTGCTGGTTGCACGTGTGTCGAAGGTACCTGAATGGGCGGTTGTGGCGGGGCTCGTCTCGCTGGCCGGCACGAAAGCGATTCGAGCTGCATGTTGGACCAGTTCCCGCGTGTCAGAAGAGTCACCGGCGAGCAGCGCGACCTGTCAATTGTTGAGACGCATGTCCCGATCTCGTGTGTGCCAGCTGCGCGGGTGCACATCCGGCGCCGACCCATGTCGTAGCGACGTGCTTGGGAGCGCTGCATGTGCCCCAAGACGTGCAGTGCCAATAAACCTGACACCGCGAGGAGTTGGCCGCGGCGGCAAGGAAGAAAAGGCCGCACAGGAAGGATGGACGTTGTCCACTGCGCTGGGTTTAGGTTTGCTAGCGTGCCGGTGCGTCGGAGTTCGGTGCGCGGCAACGCTTGCCCTTTGCCCTAGCGAGACTTGGATTAAGAATTTCTGCAGAGCTCGTTGAACCTACACCAATCTCTTCCATACACATTTTCCTCACACAATGGCCAAGAAACGAGAAGCGTCGGGTCGCTCACAGGAGTCGAATGGTCCCGCAGAATTAGATCCGCGCGATTCGAGGAAGCGGATAAACACATACGAAGACGTGGCCGACTCGGACGACGAATTCCATCTGAATCAGGACGAAATCCGACTGGGAGAGGAGCCAGAGGCGAAGCGACGACGAAAGTGGGCAGAGCAGGAGGAGTTCCTTCAGCCGTCGGATGAAGAAGTGCTAGGTTATTCGGATGATGAAGAGGCGTCAGAAGATGGCGAACCTGCGAAACCTCTCAGGAAAAGCAGAGAAGATGAGGACGAGGACGAGGAGGACGAGGAGCAAGAGGACGACGATAGAGATGCACAGCTAGGCTGGGGTACATCCAAGGCCGATCTGTATGGTGCAGACGAGATCGAGACGGAGGAACAGGCATTGGAAGAGGAGGCTGAAGCTCTACGACTCCAGAAGAAGCAGTTAGAGTCGATGCAAGCAGCTGACTACGGCTTCGACGAGGATGAGTGGCAACAAGGTGGAGAGAAGGACGATTTCCAGGAAGACGATGAGGCGGCTACTGTGACAGAAGTTTTGCCTCAGTTACAAATTTCGCCCGATCTTTCTCCTGCTGAACGACTGAAATTGCTCAAGTCTCGATATCCGGAGTTCGAACTTTTGAGCAAGGAGCTTCTCAATCTTCGAGACAGACATTCTCAGCTGGTGAAGGTGGCCCCGCTATCAAGTCTCGCGCGCACCAAACTCAGAGCAATATCTGCTTACATTGGTGCTCTTGCAATGTACTTCGCAATATTCACTTCTGCAGCGGCGCAGGGCGAGAAGGGTGTCACTGCGATCTCTGCGACACATCTTCGCGACCATCCTGTCATGGAAAGCCTGATCAAGTGCCGAGACACGTGGGCCAAAGTCGAGCAACTCCCCGATGAGGAGGAGCCAGCATCCGATGAAGAGGAGGAAATTGACGAGGTGGAGGAAGACGATGAGCTTGAATTGAGGGATGCGTTACCGGAAGCACCTGCTTCTCGAAAGCTGTATCGTGCCGAACGGCATGCCCAGGCAGTTCAAGCTGCTGCTGAGCAACGAAGAGCAGAACGGCTGAAACGAACAGAGGCAGGCTTGGCTGATCTCGATGCTCTCATTGCGCCATCGAGGACCGGGTCGAAAGCAACGAAGGCGCAGCGTAACAACACCAATGATGAGGAGTCTGACTTTGGCGAGGAGGCTGGCTTGACCGCACGTGAAGCAGCGGACAAGGCCAAGAAGAAGAAAAGCTTGCGGTTCTATACCTCACAAATTGCACAAAAGGCCAACAAGCGTGGAGCTGCTGGTCGAAATGCTGGAGGCGACGACGACATACCATTCCGCGAACGACTTAGGGACAGACAGGCAAGGCTCAATGCGGAAGCTGAGAAGCGTGGTCAACGCGGTGCTGACATTGGTGCCGAATTGGGTGGCGATAGCGACGAAGAGGATGGTCGTCAAGCCCGACAAATCCGTGCAGACGCTGACGAAGATGATTACTATGATCTGATAGCTGCCCGCACTGCGAAGAAGAAACAGGATAAATCAGCTCTCGCCGAAGCTCAACGTCAAGCGGCTTTGCAAGGCGGCCAGGTCGTGCAAGAAGAGAGCGTAGGAGCCGACGGAAAGCGCAAGATCTCCTACGCGATCGAGAAGAACAAGGGATTGACGCCTCATCGCAAGAAGGACGTGCGAAACCCACGCGTGAAGAAGAGGAAGAAGTACGACGAGAAGAAGAAGAAACTGGCGTCGATCAAGCCAGTCTACAAAGGCGGCGAGGGGCGAGGAGGATACGGCGGAGAGTTGACGGGTATCAAGAAGGGGCTGGTGAAGAGCACCAAGTTGTAAATGTCTGCAGTATACGACCACTCCACAGGGCAGTCAGCCGACCTCCACCAACAGCTGATGAAGCTGATCTCATGCTTATCCAGCGTTGGCAGCGCAAAAACGGGAAAGATCTTCGCAATTCATGCTCGAATCTAGTAAAATCCAATGCTTGGGGCTTGGGCTTTGCTGTGTTGGAATGCACGTACAGCTGTGCGCACGACCAATGGGCCAGCTGCAGTGCAGCTTTGTTCGTCCAGCCTCGCCCAGTGAGTCGATTCCACGTTACACGTATGGGCATCTTTGCGCGCTGGGCGCGTGTGTGTCACTGATGAGGAAACAGCGCTGTGCAAGCCATTCGGGTTTTCGTGGCTGTGATGTAATAGCAGGCAGGCTCATGAACCTCCAACCCGTTGGAATCCCAGTCACACGCACACACAATTTGCCCAGAGCGATATCTTTTCTTGGGAAATCTTGAGGCATAGCCAGGGCAAGCAAACTCGAGTACCACGGCGTGTGAAGACAAACGATTGACGCATGTACTCACATGTTCAGGTGCACAAACGTGGTTTGAAAACAGAGCAGTCCTTTATTTGGACTGGAACAAGGCCTCACCAATCCAAGTTCTGTGTCTACTGCTGCTCTCCTTTGACGACCACCAGTTTCCATGGACTCCCTTCCCAACGACACTCACAATAGCTCAATGCCGCCAGGCCTTCTATTAGGATCTGCCTTCCTCCTCGTCGCCATTGCATTGGCACTGCTTGCCGGTCTCCAGATTCGAGCAGGATATCGCGAATTCGTTGAGTCCCTCGCAAATACTTGCCAACGACCCAAGCTTATACTGACATGAGAGCAGCTGGCGCTGGGTCCAGGCGGCACGCCGAGCAACTTCGCAGGTTTCATACGAGTCAAGTTCCTGGCCCAATTCGAATTGAGAAACCGCTACGTTCCTGGTCCAGTGCCTCGAGATTCGAAATGGAGCTGTCTCACGGCCTTACCGTTGCGGAGTCGACCTCGTCCGTTGACCAAGGGGATCGCACCACATAGGCAAACGGATCAGAGGCCGAGCCAGAAGGTGTTTGTGAAATTGGCGGCATGCATCGAGCGGATAGCGCAGGGCAACAGTACGGATCTGGCGATAGGGACGTCTTGCTTCGAGAAACACGGTACCGGCCTCTTCTCAAAGTCACCCGCGACGAAGACTTGCCGAGGCGAGATCGTCCATTTGCATGGATCGGATGGGAGCATGCATCTGACGCTTCACCCAAGCGATGCGAAAGTCGTCCTGGAGGCTGGCTGGGGCGAGAGACATCCACTTGCGGGTGTTTTCAAGAGATGGTTTCTGCCCCAGCTGCCTGTTGGATTCGTCATGCTGTATGCACCACAGAACGATGAGGAGATTGAGATTGTGCTGGAGGTCATTGGCGCTGCTGCTGCGTTTGTTCATGGGCAAGTGACTGGGTTTGCTAAGGGGTTTGAAGGTGGTCATGCGGGGAAGCAGCAGTTGGGCTTGGATCGCTGTTGCGAGGTGGCGGTTAATGCTGCTCGTCTTGTGTCGACGGAGTAGGAATTTTTGGTTACGAAAAGGTGACGTTGAAACTTAGGGTATGAGTGAGGATGAGAGTGAAGATAAGGGTGAGAATTGGAGTGACGACGAGCGTGAGGACGAGAGTATGGAGACAAACAGGGAGAAGAGCGAGGCTAAGAGCGAGGTTAGAGTGAGGATAAGATGAGGCTAGAGAGGTGTAAAGTGAGATCTCCAGCCATATCAGAAGTTGAGGCTGCCGCTTGACATTCACATCACATCTTCACCGACAACCCCAAACAGTACACGAGCCTGAGGCCATCATACCACGCACGTGAGCAGTGGACCTCGCTTAATTATGTTCTTACAGGAAAGCCAACCTAATGCCAACGAAATTACGCCACCGACGCGCCTTGTGCGCAAAGCCAAGGCGGATTTGGCACTGATCTTCTCTGGGCAACTGTAGCTTATCCACGACTTGACAAGACATTGAAATGCCTTTCGAACGGAATGATATTGAGAGGACATACCGTAGCACTAATAAACGATATCATAAACTTTCCCGCTTTCGACAGCGGTCTAGACGGCGACAGTGAAGTTTGCGTGCCTCAGCGATGATGCCGTGGTCGGTCGGCGAACAGAGTTCACGTCCCTCCACCACTTCCGCCGGCGGCGCGCATCCTTTAGAGGCGATTGACGTGCACCTTAACCAATTCCATGCCATCAGAAGCGGCTGAATATGCACATTTCGATCCACCCACGCGATGTCACGAACCACCATCCCCAGCAGTACCACGGCCGCACCGAGCCAACGAGCTGTCGAACATCCCCACTAGGTCCCTTCTGCTTCTCGCGGGTTGCGCATTGCGCGGCGAAGACAGATTCCTTCGTGGCCTTTTAAACAACCTTCGTCATTCTACCTTCCTCTGCGAGATCCCGACCTCCGTTTTGCGCACGAAGACATCCTCCTCACACCCATTCTTTGCGAGCAGCAATCCGTGCCTGGCCATCGCCCGTAATTAAATGCTCTTGATCCACGCCAATACCTTCTTCCACTTCCTAGGCGCTTTCGGTTCGACCCCCGCCTAAGTCGCAGACTCGAAATCGGCACCTATTTATTTCACCATGGCTGTTTTCGGACTGGGTGAAAAGAGAAATCTGTCGTCGGCGGGCAACAACAATGATAGCGACGAAGTCGATACCGGGAAGAAGGCCTCTTTCGGCGGCAATGGATACTACGACGGCTTCTCACCCTCTTCTCCAGAGGAGGGCGGTCGCAAGGCTGCGCCGCGCAAGATGAGCAGAATCGATCAACCCAGGACCAAGTCCATCTCGGGCACCCTCTCTGGGCGGGACGGTGTAGACGGCGATGAGTCTGACCCTGACACCTCTGTTACGAAGCAGATGGAGCAAGAGTCGGGCAACGAGATCCAGTACCGCACGTGCAGCTGGCAGAAAGTGTGTTCCCCAATATCTCGTTTTCCGTGACTTGTGACTATGCGATGGAGATGGGTTTCGCGTATTGCGGCCCCATCAACGCCAAATTCCCCCATGCATGCCCTTCAAGGTTCGGTGCGCTATACTGTTCAGCTCTAATCATGCCTTAGACCGCGGCCTTGTTGTTCTCAGAGTACATTTGCTTGGCTATCATGTCATTCCCGTACTCGTACGCCATCCTGGGTCTAGTGCCTGGCCTCATCCTGACCGTTGTGGTCGCGGGCATGGTGCTGTACACATCTTTGATCGTCTGGTACGTTGAGCACGTGAGGGGTATAGATCCATCCGAGACTGACACAATGCACAGGGAATTCTGTCTCCGCCACCCTGAAGTCAAGGACGTTTGCGACGTCGGACAGGTGATCTTCTTCGGCTCGAGATGGGCTTGGTGGTTCACTGCGGTCATGTTCCTGCTCAACAACACCTTCATCCAGGGCTTCCACTGCTTGACGGGATCGAAGTACCTAAACACCATGAGCAATGGCGGGCTCTGCACTGTCGGCTTCAGCGCCATTGTCGCGGTCATTTCTTGGATCAGCTCCTTGCCGCGTACATTCAACACTCTTTCGAAGCTCGCAGGCGCCTCGGCATTCTTCACCTTTGTCTCGGTCCTGCTAGCTACAATCTTCGCTGCCATCGAAGACCACCCAGGCGCAGGTTGGCCCAAATATGGCGTGAATCCCGAGGTCTTGGCCATTCCAGCGAAGGGAACTACATTCGTTGCTGGCATGAACGCTTTCATGAACATCAGCTACACATTCATTGGTCAAATCACGATCCCGTCGTTTATCGCTGAGATGAAAGAGCCGCGCGATTTCCCCAAGGCGCTCTGGGCTGTCACCATTGCGGAAGTCATTCTCTTTTCCCTGGTCGGCTCCATCATCTACGCATACACCGGAACGAATTACTACACTTCCCCGGCGTTTGGATCTCTGGGCAACGAGGTCTACCTCAAGGTCAGCTTCAGCTTCATGATCCCGACCATCATCTTCCTGGGAGTGTTGTACGCCTCGGTCTCTGCGCGGTTCGTCTTTTTCCGCCTGTTCGCTGGAACTCGCCACATGTCGAGCAACACTGTCGTCGGATGGCTGGCATGGGCTGGTATCCTGGGCTGCACTTGGGTTCTAGCCTTCATCATTGCTGAGGTGATTCCATTCTTCTCGGATCTTCTGTCGCTTATGAGCTCGCTGTTCGATAGTTTCTTCGGTAAGTCCCTATCTCAACCCGCAGCCCTTTCAAGACATGTTCTAACGTCAAACAGGCTTCATCTTCTGGGGCACAGCTTACCTGCGAATGCGACGAGCAGACTACGGTCCAGACTTCTGGAAGACCAGGGGTTGGAAAGGAATTGTCGGAGCAGTCGTCAACGTGATCTTGATCGCCATCGGGCTCCTCTTCCTCAGCGCTGGAACGTACGCTTCGGTCGAGAGCATCATCCAAGGGTACGAGGCCAACAATTTTGGTGGGCCGTTCACTTGTCAGAGCAATGGATTGTAAGGCAAGGGGGAAATGTTGTACATGGGCTAGCAATATCGCCAAAGCGTCGGGCGGTTGATTAGATTGGATACGAATAACGAAATCGTTTGGCTTCTGGAATTACTGCTTCGTCACTCTATGATCATTCGATGCAGGTTCACCTTCCAACTCTTTCTATCTTCCACACATTCGCAGCTTCGTCTCGTGGCTTCAGCGATGTCCACAACGTGCAAACGGTCTCCAATCAAACCCCTCAAATGCCGCCCCCGCAGAGACTCCACCTGAGCTTTTCATGTGACTGTTGACGTAGCAGCAGCTTCTCAATGCCGCAGCTGTAGCAACGAGACTTTAAATTTTGTTGGCAGTAACCGAGCCTCATACACTTCACCACCCGTCCTCCTTACCACTACCAAACCTCCACCATGGCCGCTCTCACGGAATACATCGACCTCAGCCAGCCGAGCTTCTGGAGTAGGTCATCGAGCTCGCCATCGCAGGCAGGGTAGCTAACCACAGAAACCACACAGTCGCCGCAGGCGCCATCGTCTTCAACCCAACCTTCTGGAACACCGCCGCGCGCACAGAATACAACTACAAGACGATCACGAAGCTCGCCGGCGGAAACCCGTACTACGGCTGCTACGCCCTCGCCGTGACCATCTTCTCAATAGGTCTAATCCGGGATGCGCTGTACGAGCGCGCGCTCCGCGCCCAACCCTCGCACCCACTGCTCGAAGGCTTCGTGTCGCAGGGGCTAGCGGTCGGCCTCGTCGCCTCGGGCAACGTGCTCGTGCTCAGCAGCATGTGGGCGCTCGGCGTCACGGGGACCTACCTGGGCGACTACTTCGGCATCCTGATGGACTCGATGGTGACGGGGTTCCCGTTCAATGTCAGCAGTTCGCCCATGTACCACGGCAGCACGCTGAGCTTCCTGGGCACGGCGCTGTGGTACGGTAAGCCGGCCGGGATCGTGCTGAGTGGGCTCGTGTTTGTGGTGTATCAGATTGCGTTGCAGTTTGAGGATCCTTTCACGGCGGAGATTTATGCGAAGAGGGAGAGGAATAAGGGGAAGAAGGCTCAGTAGATTGGGGAGGGGGGAGATGGGAGTGAGAGGATGAGATATACCCCAGTGTTTTTGAATGCTTCATTCAACATGAGCGAGGGCGTTCGGGCATTTTGAGCGATAGGGACAAGAGAATGGAAAAGTTTTGAGGGTTTGCACAGGGTTGTTGATAAGTTTCACGGATGTGGAAGTGACTTCGGGATATAGGTCCAGAGTAGAGCCACCGAGAATTATATTACAAACTGATAGCATTCCAACGATCGAGCGTCACGGCCGAGAAGCAGTCTTCCAGGTTCCCACCCTCGGTGTTCCGGTCATAGTGGAACGTCCTATACGTAATGGAAGTGCCATCTCCCCGGCTTTTCACAAGCCACTGCGCTGCTAGTTGCACTTTAAGCTGCTTGTATGGCTTGAACGTAATGGGGATGAATCAATCTTCCCTTCCGCCTTGGTGGACTGCGAAGACTCAAAGTCGGCCGCTACACAGCTCTGAACTCGATCACGCACATCGCCTTTCAAGTTGCATTGCCGGAGTTGAGCTGGAGTCGTCCAACTCTCCGGATGCCAGTGTCGATCTGCTGGTTCCAGGAGCAGTCCTCACGGTAGTCATTGATATGTCTTGCCGATACTTGCTAGCCTGTAACTCCTCACTTGATGCACAAGCCCATCGACTCATTGAACTTCTCCAGCGTCTCGTCGTACTGAGCATACGCTCGGCGTCGCAACTCGCGGTCAGAATTGCGTCTGCATTATTATCAGTTAACTGTTTCCAATAACACAACGATCAAGTTCACATACACCACCCTCGTCCCCAGTCTCCTCCTCTCCCAGGTCACGAACACAAAGTTCTTGAGGATCTTGTGCTCCAATCCGGTGGTTTTCGATGCGCACTCCAGGAAATGTAGTGTGTTTGCTATCCGCTCAGGATCATAGCCATGTGATGAAGGTTTGCGGAAGGCATCTCGGATCTTGTCTCGACAGACGAAACGCGCTGGTTTGGCGTAGCGGACTGCTCTTAGGAGGTGCTGGTAGAGATGTCGGTAGGCGGTGACGACCTCATGGTTGGTGACGGTCATTGATCCTTAGTCGTTCATATAAATTCGCCCATTCGATGTTGTTTCTCGAGATACTTTTTCGTGGTTATTGTCTGTGGAAAACGGGGTTCCTTCAAAGTGAAGCCGGCTGATGTGGAGCAACGCCGAAAGACTTCGTCCATCCCGACCTCACCTCTCCATGAACATGCCGCAAGCAGGTCTTCTGCCACCATCTCGCCGCCTCAGATGCGACCACGGAGCATCTTGAAAGCCCCATCGACGCAATGTAAACACTTCGCCAGCGACCGCGGTCCACGACCCATCCCCATCCTCCCAGACGGCTCCCTAGAGACTTTCACCACCCAAGCCTTCAATCCCGCCAAACCAGCACTCCTCCCACGTAAACACTTCGCCGACCTCCCCGCGATCCACAAATGGTTCACGAAACCAACGCCGACGACACCCACCCTCCTTAACACGCCCTACCTTTCCAAATTCGGCGCCACGCTCGTCCCGATCGAAATCACCAACGAAGCCCACTTCACCCGCATCCAGCAGTCCCTCTCCTTCTTCCTAGAGTGCGTCACCGCTTCCACCTCCCACTACCCAACAACAACCCCCCGCACCAGCCGCTACTTCAGCGCCTACGTACCCGGCGCCCGCGCTATCAAACGCACCGCTCCACCCTCTAACGACTTCTTCTCCAGCAGTGCCGCCCTGTCCACCCCTACCGCTCGCGTCTACCTCGCCCAAGCCCCGCTATGCGACCTCCCCCGTGCTGTGGTGCAGGATGTCCCGACGCCGGAGGTCGTGCTGAAAGCTGGCAAGGGGGATGTGTACGATTCGTCGATCTGGTTGGGACAAGCGCCTACATACACGCCGTTGCATCGGGATCCGAATCCGAATTTGTTTGTGCAGTTGGCGGGGCAGAAGAGGGTGAGGTTGTGTAGGGCGGAGGTGGGGAGGGGGATTTTCGCGAGGGTGCAGGAGAGGATTGGGGGGAATGCGTCGGCCACGATGAGGGGGGAGGAGATGATGGCTGGGGAGGAGAAGCGGGTGTTGGAAGAGGAGGTTTGGGGTGGGCAAGAAGATGAGGCTGAGTCCTGGGATGCGGAACTGGAGAGTGGTGATGGTTTGTTTATACCCAAGGGATGGTGGCATAGTGTCAAAGGCACTGGGGAGGGCATGACGGGTTCTGTGAACTGGTGGTTTCGATGACAGGGCTTGAATGCGACTGTACAATCCATCAGATTCTTGCTCGATCTACGACTTGACTCTATAGAACTCAGGCGCGTACTCCAGCAACCACGCCTTCTCGATCTTGGTCACGTCCCGGATGAACGTCTTGTCTCCCGTCTCCATGACCTCTGTGAAGATGACCCAATCCGCCTTCCGATTGAACATCAGAGAGGATGGATGAGCATGCAGAACCGTGCCGCCGTCCACAGTCCTGAACGTTCCATCTGGCATCATTCGAGCAGCGTGCGCGAAGTAGCCACTAGTGAGGCAACGTCTGATCGACTCTTCCTTTGGCCTCCCTCCAGCTCGCAACACATCGTTCCCACCCAGCGACTCCGTCACATCGATGCCGAAGCGCTCGAGATATCGCCTGAGCTGGTTGCGAATACTGACCGCCCGACTCATCGACTTGAAGTTCAGATAGTGCTGCTGGCACCACTTTGAATCTTTCTTGCCTTTTGTGACAAACGCTTGGTAAACATTCAGGAGTGTCAGATGATCGCCTTCTTCGACGGCGAACTTTCTTCTCGCAGTCTCTTCGGCTTTCTTGGTGTCGTGTGTGAACCACACACTGCTTTGCAGACTGACCATGGCCGCAATGGTCAGCATTTCAGAGAGACACCCGAAAGATGTTGCGGAAAGGAGACATTTCGCTAGCATGGGCTCTAATGCGAGCTCGGCCATTCGTGTCCCCATTGGCTTTGTGAGCTTTGCATAGTCGTCTAGCGCTCCCAGTGAGAAGAGGAGCTCAAGGGCGCGAATGATCAACTCTGCTGGCGGCGGTGTGATGAAGTCGAATCGTGCGATGTTGTCGATACCGAGTGCCTTCAATTGGAGGATCATTGGAGCCAGGTTCGATCGCTGGATCTCAGGCACTGTAACGTCGTCAAGAGAGTTGTATGCTGCTTCAGTGTATAGTCGGTAACATTTGCCGGGCTTCGTACGTCCAGCTCGGCCAGCGCGTTGTGCTGCAGAAGCCTTGGAGACAGGCGTCGCTGTCAAAGTCTCGATGCCCGTTGTTGGATTGAACGCTCGTAGCTTGACAAAACCACAGTCGATCACATAGATGATGCCATCGATCGTGACGCTTGCTTCTGCGATGTTGGTCGCACAGATGACTTTGTGCGTGTTATCGGGCGCTGGCTCGAAGACATACATCTGTTGCTCTGTAGTGAGACCTGCGTAGAGAGGGAGTGGCAGGATCTTCTCCGAGCCGTCTGGTAAGGACGGTAGCCGATTAGCGATCATTTCGGTGATCGTCTCGATCTCGTCTCTGCCCGTCAAGAACACCAAGATGTCTCCTTCTGGCTCAGACGAGTGAATGTCGAAAATGGTCTTGACGGCTCGTTGGAGGTACTCTTCGCAGGGCTCCGTCATGTAGTGAATGTCGACAGGGTGCGTGCGGCCTTCTATGGAGATGATCTGTCCGATGGAGTTGTATTCGGTAGTCGTATCCTCGGAGTTGGTCCCCGAGAAGAAGTTCAGGAACTGCTCTGCGTCCAATGTCGCGGAGCTGACTATGATCCTCAGCTCTGGCCTTCGCTTGCAAACTTTCTTCAAGACGCCGAGTAGTACATCTGAACTCAGGCTACGTTCGTGGGCTTCGTCGACCATGATCACACTGTATCTCGACAGTAGCGGGTCAACAAGCGCCTCTCGTAAGAGCAATCCGTCAGTCAAGAATTTGATCCTAGTCGTGGCAGACGAGACATCCTCAAATCGAATGGAGTAGCCGACTTGCTGTCCAAGTTGACATCTCATCTCCTCCGATACCCGCTTGGCTACGGTCGTGGCGGCCACTCTTCGTGGCTAAATCTCATCCTGTAAGAAGCCGTCAACTATCATAGCATGAATATGGGAGAGGGTCGTACATGCTTGCGTAACAGCAATGACTTTCCCGTCGTTGCACCATCCTGCCTGCTCTAGGTATTGCGGCAATTGAGTCGTCTTTCCGCTGCCAGTCTGCCCGATGAGGACTGTCACTTGGTGCTTCTCGACCGTATAGAGAAGAGCTTCCTTGTGGCGAACAATTGGTAGAAGCGAGGTCGGTCGGTGAAGAGCTGGTATGAAAGACTCGAAGTCTGCCATGTCGAGATTTTCGTAGGGATTGTCTTCGCTTGTTTGCTCGAGACGCTTTCCTGATCGTATTCAGATGTTCTTTTCAGATGTTGTTTCCTTCCTTAGCTTGTGCCTTTCACATGCCTCCCGTTCACGTCCCGCTTCACCCTTTTAAGATCTGTCCGAACCTCTTCGAGACTTGTTCCACTTCATCATCATCTCCAACATTCTGTTTTGACAAGAGACACATCCTTGTTCTTCAGCCACAGTTGACGTCGAAGTCCACAAAGTCGGCTAAGCCCAAGATGGAATGCCACGCGACTGCCCGAGGATCGGGCCGTGACAGCTGCGTCAGTCCAACTTGGCTGTCCACACCCAGCTGTACCAACTCGCAGCAGGCAACGGTTTCTTCATTCACAAACGACCGCGGTTTCCCTCGACACTTTCAACTTCCGCAGCAACTCCACACCTTTCGTCAATCACCGCTGAGCGCTGGCGCACTTCATCACATTCGACAACTGAGAGCAAATCGCACAATCATGGCAGACCACCAACCAGTATCACCGATCAAGCCTGAAGAATCGGCCACGACACGTGAGGAAATGAACTTTGACGACAACGAGCAGGAGACTGGTACTGTTTCCCCCCAAGGTCACGAGACGCCAACCAAGCCTCCAGCCAAAGCACCCTCACCACGACCAAGAGTTTCTTTCCAGGAGGGCCACGAAGAAATTCCTCCGACGAAGCCTCCAAGGCCACTCAGTCCGATGCAGCAGGCCGAGCATACTCTGATCGAAGCCTTCCCGACCATCGATACCAAGGTCGTCAAGGCGGTGCTTGTTGCTAGCAATGGAAAAGTCGAGCCAGCTTTCAATGCACTCCTAGGCATGTCCGACCCCGACTTCAAGGCAGAAGAAGCCGTCCCTCCGCCCCAGCCGCCCAGACCTGCCATGCGCCAGCCGATGAGCCAATTACAGGCAGATGAGGCTTATGCGCGGCAGCTTGCGGAACAATACAACAACGGCGGACAGAGATCACAGAATCGCTATAATCAGCGAGAGCCAGGTCGGCGTGGACCGAATCAGCAATCCTACGACGACGATGAAGACCGAGAGCGTAGTTTCTTCGATGACGACCTCCCAGAGATTGGCAAGAACATCCAGCAGGGCTTCTTCGAGACGCAGAAGAGGGTGAACAGTTGGATCACACAGTTCAAGAAGAAGATTGATGGCGATGATGAGGATGAGGACCTGTACTCGTCTTCAGAAGCTGGCTCGAGACAGAACACGGGCAACTGGCCAGGCAGACAGAACTTTGGTCCAAGCCAGAGCGAGCAGCTGTATGGCATCAGACGGTCGGCAGAACAGGCACGTAGAAGCACTGAGGCGCAGCGATATGACGCGGATCCTCATGAGCTTGGCGAGGAGGAGTTTGAGAGACTGGAGCTCCGAGATGACGAATCAGGTTCGTGGCAATGCATGGATTATTCGAAAGCAAGATACTGACATATCCTAGCACCTGCGCAGCCTCCGCGTACCAGCAGCAGGAAGACTGCCAACCCCGACCTCTTCAAGTCCCAAGCCAAACCACCACAGAGCGGCCCTGTCGATGAAGTCGATGCCGCCGATCGTCGCTCATCCGGCAAGGACGCTTCTGAAGCTGAGAAGAACAAGAAATGGCAGCCACTTACCAGCGTCGCACCACACCCTGAAGACGACAACGATCCATTCTCTCTCGGCGATGATGACGAGGACAAGGAGAAGACAGAGGATCTCCGCAAGGAAGACACCGAGCGCCTGAAGGAGTCGGCCAGGAACAGCGTGTCTGCAGGCGCAGGTGGCGAAGCCAGCAAAGGATTACAACCGTCCGAATCCAATGATGGCGTGCGCAATAAGGAGGCAGAGGAGATCTTGAGTGGAAAGAAGTCGTAGTGGAAGGGAGTTAGAAAACATGTGTCTATCCCCGGAATTGAGGGGCTGTCCATGCTGTCGATGGAGAGTACGGCCAGTTTGACCCTGGGGATGATCATGAGATGTGGTGAGGTTACGAGGGAGATGAGCTATCAACACGGCCAGATAGCAGATCGTGTTGGAGATGAAGCATCTTTTGGATATTTGGGGAGTAGGCGACGACAAGGTGCCTACAATGGAAATGTGACATGAATAGCATAAGCCTAGCATTAACAAGTCAACGGCCGATGAATAGAAGAGGTTGCATCTTCTTGCGTGGCTCCAGCTCCAGCGTGCAAGTTGTGATGGTGCGGCGGTTTTGCAGCGCATCCCCAGAACTTCGCAGCAGACGACGCCGCCGCTCCAGCTGTCGGCCACTCGAGAATTTGGAGAGAATCCGAGAGAGCAATCTCGACGCTAAAATTTTGAGCACCCGTTAGCGTCGGTCAGTACGGCTGCTTCCCGTACCAATCGGCTTACTACCTCAGAATTTCTTCACGACGTCCAGTCTTCCGGAATTTTGAGAACAGACTTCGCAACCCATCGCCAGCTACATTCAATCAACCACCCAAATGGCGCCCGCAAGGAAAAAGCAGAGGCTCTCAAACGGCTCAGTCGCGGCTGTTGAAGAAACTGAAGAGGCCGCAGAAATTGCAACGCTACCTGCAGAAGAAACTCCCGCTCAAGCACAAGAGAAAGCAGTTCAGCAGCGCCGCTCGCTATTTGTACGATCTCTGCCGGCGTCCACCACGAACGAGACTTTGACCGAACTGTTTTCCGATTCGTACCCCATCAAACATGCTGTCGCGGTCACCGATCCTGCCACGAAAGAGTGTCGCGGATACGGCTTCGTCACATTTGCAGATGCAGAGGATGCGGCCAAGGCGAAAGAGCAGTTCAACGGACATCTGGTAGATGGAAAGAAGATACGTGTTGGGGTTGCTGAGCCTCGTCATAGGAATGGAGAAGGGCCAGCAGCGGACAAGAAGAAGCCGCAGCATGAGGAACCGCAAGCAGCACCACGTTTGATCGTGCGTAATCTGCCGTGGTCTATCAAGCACCCTGATCAGCTCTCCAAGTTGTTCTTGAGTTATGGCAAAGTCAAGAAGGCTTACATCCCCAAAAAGGGAGGCGGCTTGCTTGCTGGTTTCGGGTTTGTGGTCATGAAGGGGAAGAAGAATGCTGAGAAGGCGATTGCAGGCGTCAACGGCAAGGAAGTTGATGGAAGGACAGTGGCTGTCGATTGGGCTGTTGAGAAGACCACGTACCAAGACTTGGAGGATAAGAAAGAGGAAGAAGATGGGGGGTCAGAAGTTTCAGACTTGGACGACGCCGAGGACCAATCCGAGGGCGATGAAGAGGACAGCGCTGAGGATGACAGCGAGGCTGATAGCGATGATGAAAGCGTGGACATCAAAATCGATGGCAAAGATGAGCCACAGCATCACAGTGAAGACCGATCATCGACCTTGTTCATCCGCAACCTACCCTTCACTTGCGCTAATGAAGATCTGGAAGATCACTTCGAACAATTTGGAAGTATTCGCTACGCAAGAGTGGTCATGGACCATGAGACACAGCGCTCCAAGGGAACTGGTTTCGTTTGCTTCTACAACAAAGAAGACGCAGATGCTTGCCTTCGTAGTGCACCAAGTCGAATGATGACCCCAGCGAACGATCAGAAAACAAAAGATGGAAAGCAGGCCCAGCCATCTCATTCCATCTTGCAGAACGTCGATGTTGACTCGACTGGTCAGTACACTCTCGACGGACGAGTGCTCCAAGTCTCCAAAGCCGTGGACAAGAACGAAGCCAGTCGATTGACTGAGCAAGGCGTTGCGCATCGGAATGAACGCGACAAAGATAAGCGTCGACTATACCTGCTCTCTGAAGGAACGATCTCGACCAAATCGAAGCTGTGGGAACAGCTCTCCCCATCTGAGAAAGCAATGCGTGAGGAAAGCGCGAAGCAACGGAAGAAGCTGATTGAGAGCAACCCATCGTTACACTTGAGTCTCACACGTCTGTCTGTGCGCAATCTTCCACGGACAATTGATTCGAGGGAGTTGAAACAACTGGCGCGCGATGGCGTTGTGGGCTTTGCCAAGGATGTCACTGCCGGCCTCAGGCAGAGGCTCTCTGCAGAGGAGCTATCTCGGGGTGGCGAGGACATGCAAGAGGCCGAGCGGTACCGTAAACAGGCTGGCAAGGGCATTGTCAAGCAGGCTAAGGTTGTGTTCGAGAGTGCGGGAGGCAGCAAGATCAGTGAAGAAAATGGAGCCGGGCGGAGCCGTGGCTACGGATTCATCGAATACCACACTCACCGGAATGCGCTCATGGGTCTGCGCTGGCTCAATGGTCACGCCGTGGGCTACCAGGTCAAGGAAGATAATGGCAAGTTGAGCCGAGAAGATGTGCAAGATCGCAAGAAGAGGATGATTGTGGAGTTCGCTATTGAGAACGCGCAGGTAGTCATGCGGCGTAAGGAGCAAGAGGAGAAAGCCAGGAAACGGGGCGAGGCCGTGAGACAGGGCCTGCCAACGGACCATGATGACACGGCGAAAGACGTATCGAAGTCGGCGAAGAGCAAAGGAAAAGACAAGGGACGGAAACGGAAGCGAGGCTCCGAAGTAGCACCATCATCCACACCAGCGACAGCAACCCGGTCGGACAACTCCAAGGGCGGCACGAAGCAGCCCATTGACGACAAGCAGGCTCGTCGTAACCAAATCATTGGTAGGAAGAGAGCCATGAGAAAGACTCGTAAAGGCGGAAAGGCCTAAGCGACCTGGAGTGGAACCCAACTAATGTTGCACTGTGCATGAGCACAAAGCAGAAGGTTACACATCAACAGTGCTCGAGCAACCATGAGTACGACGGCCGATAGTCCGATCAAAGTTCAAAAGTGATGTGCTCAGATCGCACTCTGTGCTGTCAGAATCGTCACCGACCCATCCCAAGCAATACTGTCAGGCTTGCAGCGGCAAAACTTTTGATAGACCAGGAACCCTTGGTTCTCCGGATCCGCACGTTTCATATACAGACCTCGCTTTTCACGGCTATCGAAAAATCTGCAACATGGGGGTGGTCAGTGGTACCGGAATGGATCTTCCGTGATACCGGGTACACAACACCTGTCCACCCTCGACACTGTACAGACAGCGGCCTGCCATCCCTGCCAACGGGAAAGAGCCGTTGCGAGCGGGCCAACGTCAGGTCTTCAGATGCATTGCGATCCAGCCAGGACGCACCACTACGGCAGACATAATGCATGGTCGAGCGGAAACAGCGGTTTAAAAATGATAGATAGCATAAAAGCGTCTGGAAAGCACCCGGTTCTTCGACGACCTTTCTCGCCCTTTGCCCACTTTCGTCCAAACTTGCCCCCGTCGCGACTGGTTCTTGTGTCATCTGTCTCGACAATGACAGGCTTTCACTCTGTCGACATGAGCGCTTGTATCACGGCGACTCCGCACTCGTCACCGTGGACGCTGGCTCGTCCAAGCAAGTTCCTTTGTTGAAAGAGCTTGGACTCGTTGTTGAACCCCCACGGGCTCTAGTCGACAGGGAAGGATGCGTCATTGTTACTACGCTATCGAGGACGATGTATGGATCTCGGGTCTGTGACTGTGATGACTTTCTCCGCATTGACATGGCGAGATCAGAGCCGGGGCAGGAGGATGTCTGGAGTCGAGACCTGTCGATTCTTCTGAAGAAAGTGGAGAGCTACGGCAGGCTCGTGCGCTGACTATACTGACTGTTCATTCGAAGAGGCAGATATAAATATGACAAGATGTATCCCCGAAGTCCTCTACTCAACCATCCTCTCGTCTCATTTGCTTCAGTTCAAGGGCTCGCGTTGTCACTTTGCTTCGTTTCGCTGTGGTGGTTGGCTCTTGTGTCTCTCTCTGGTGGCTCCGCTGTTCGTACTTCCAATCCCACGTGAGGAGCGTTACGCTTTGTCTTGCGGGTGAGCTACCTTCATGAAGCATTGACCTCCGTCGAGGGATGTGTGCTGATAGACCCATCACAGCTTGCGTCTCTCAAAAAGATCCAACCAGCACCCGGCAACAGACAGAGACTTCCCCTTGCCTTGCCCACGATCCAACATGTGCCAAGTACGCACCCCGTCAATACCACACACGTCCATAAGCTGACAACCCTCCAGTTTGAAGTCATCCACTTCCACTGCGGCCACGCCGGCCGCCGCCTCATCAAGCACTGCCACTTCGCCCGCAACGACCCCAACCACCAATGCTTCGGCGCGTGGTCGATCAAGCGCGAATGGATCAGCGCCAACCAGATCTGCCAGTCGTGCGGGCAGCAGGCTATGATGCGGCGGGCTCAGCAGGCGCAGCTGAGACTATGACCATCCCGACAGAAGAAGAGAGGGGTTTCCTTTCGTCACGATTGTCACTCACGATTATGATGTGGTTCGGTCTTTGGGGAAATGATTTCTTGAGCGTTTGAGGCGTTATGTTTGGACGGACATACCCACTTGAGTGCCTTTCTCGAATTCTTTTCGCGTTCACTTCAGTTCAGGTCGTTAAATGGCGGGAAGCACATACCAGGTCGAGGCAGGCGACATGTACACAGAGACGGAAAGTCAACCCACACCAAATAACGACCAACTTCCCATCTGTATCATTCAATTCATCTCACAACCTCTCCAACCCAAGTCATTCGCCCGTATTCTGCGCACCCTCGACTTTCCCCTTGATGTTATAGCGCTTGCTGAAAAACGTATACCAGTCGTTGAGCACTTTCTTCTGGTCGTCCGGGAGGTCGTACCAGTCTGGTCGGCATTCTTCGTCTTTGAGGGATGATTGTGCTAGGGCGCGGGAGGCGTCTCTGCCGGCGAAGACTGGGAAGTGTCGTTAGATGTAAGTCAATGGGGATGGGATTTCTTGAGGATGGGATGGGATCGAACCTTTATAGGAGCCTTCGGGACCGTAGGCTTTGTTGCCGGTTACGTCGAAGATTGTGCCCTGTGATCATATCAGTCCGTCGATCGAGGGCATCGAGACAGTGACTTCGTACCTTGATAGCGACATAAGTCGGATATCCTTCATGCTTCCCTGCAAGCCCTCATCATCAGCTCCGATGTGGCGTTCTCCAGAACGAATCTCACCAACCATCACATTTGGACAAATGATCCAGACTGATGATGTCGTCTTTCGGCGGATCAAGGTCGACCTTGTGCTTGGGCTCGAACTTGCCGGACATGGCGGTGGTGTTGACTAATGGATGTAGTTTAAGACGATGATAGATGTTCGGGAGAAGTTCGTTCTTTCTCCATTATTGTGGATTTTGGCGCAATGCACACAGGGAAGGTTTGGCGGGAATGGTTTTCTTGGCATTTGATGCAGAGGGAGATGGATCTACAACGGCGTACATATGCAGGCCCACGATACACTGTCACTTTTGTGACGGGACAGGCTGTCCTGACACGACATGGTCACGGCATAGAAGTGAGTACATGCTGTGCAATCTCATCTCTTCGCGCTAATCGATACAAACTCCTTGACTTTGTCAATCTTTCAACGATTTGACCGGCTTGTCAGCCATTAGCTGGATCAAAGAATGGGCTACTTCAGCGGCGGCAAGTAGTGTTGTTTCACCAGGATTGTCATATATCTGTGCACAAGGTCAGATTGCTCATTCCATCAGAGGATCAGCGTTACAAACTCACCGGTGCAACTTCGACGACATCTGCTCCAATCAACTCGATGCCCGTCAAGCCATCCAGAATCGTAAGAAGTTCTCTCGTAGTCCAACCTCCAACTTCAGCAGTGCCCGTAGCTGGTGCGAACGCAGGATCAAGCACATCGATGTCGACGGAAATGTAGACCTTGGAGCCTTGCACTCTCTCCTTGAGCTTCTCGATGAACCCAGCCGTGCCGATCTTGTCAAGGTCGCGGGCCTTGAGGATATGGAACCCGCAAGCCTTGTCGTTCTTCAGGTCGTACTTCTTGTTCGAAACGGGCGCTCGGATACCAGCGTGCATCGACGTGTTGCGGATAAGACCTTCTTCGTGGGCAATGTGCAAGAATGTGCCATGGTTGATACCCCTAGCCACTTGGTCAGTCTTCGAATACGGGAGAAAACTGGAAGAACTTACGCATAATGGGAGAGGCCACCACCTAGAACGTCTGGGTCCCAGGTGTCCAAGTGGCTGTCGAAGTGGATCACAGACACCTCTCCCCAATGGTTGTACGTCGACCGGAGTGCTGAAAGCGTTGTTGTGTGATCGCCACCAAGTGTGACGATTCGAGGCACGGTATAAGCTGTGGCGTTGGCAGTCCGCCCTGAAATAATCTGCTGTTGTCTCAGCAATCAAAGCAAATATCAGCCTTATTCAATCGAACCTTGTGAGCTTTGTCAAGCTGTTTCAACGCGATGGTGTTGTCCTAACTCCAATTAGCGTCACTCTGCCATGAAAACCTAGAAGCACGTACAAGAAAGGTCAACGGTACATCGCCACAATCGACCGCCCTCAATCCTTGCTGAAATGCGTTCTTTCCTGGGAACAGTTCAGCCTCCATTTCTCATGCGTTCCCTTGAAAGTCACAAACTAGTATATACCGAGTAAGAGAAGTCTGGAGATATACGAGTCCTAAACCAACGATTGAGCCAACTTATCATTTTGACAACGAAAAAAACGTAGCATACTCACGACCCTTGACGAATGCCCTTTGGACCGAATCGTGCACCCGGACGAGCAGTAACACCCTACCACCATCAAAATCAGCAAAAGCCCCCCAACAAAACACCACTGCACACCACACAAAACAGACATACCGTATCAAACGGCGCCCCCAAAATCGCAATATCATAAGGCTCCACTTCCTCGCCCTCCCCAGCCAAACAATGAACATAGGGCAGGTTCGCATACGTCGATAGACCAGCGTACATAGCGGATGAAATGTCGAGACCGGGATTGATGGGGCTTGCGCTCATGTCGACGCCGGCCATTGGATGTTGGATGCCAGATACGGGTGGGAAGGTGATTTCTCTGGCGGATGCGGTCACCGCTAGGGCGGCGAGCCAGGGGATGCTGTTGGACATGTTGTGGTGTGGTTGTAGGAGGGATTGAGATGGATTTGGATTTTGAAGAGAGAGATGTTTGTGTAGAGGAGAGTTATCAGGAAGACATTACCTAACTGTCATGTCGCGGTGCGCGGACCCCGCCGCGGCGGGCAAGATCCTGCAGATTCAATGGTGGCTTCGGTTGACAATCTCTCGAATACAAGAAGATTGTGTCGAGGGTCAGTCCTTCGGCCGTGTCATGGAAGATCTATGTAGCGCAAGCAGGGAGAGGTCTCGGCTTTGTATGAGCGCGACATCAAGGTTCTCGACGTGGACTGGCTGGCTGCCAGAATTGTGGACACTGCGTCCACGACTTCCGACACGAACTGATGCCTCTCTTATGTTCGACAGTGACTATATGTAGTCGCGATCCACGAAGCTTTGAATCATGCCCTCCGGTGTTGCTTCGTACTCCTTCAAGACCACATCATCGCCCTCAAGGAACGTGTTGGCCTGGACAAAGACCTTTCGAGGCTTCGCGCTCTTGACGACGATGGGACGGACCTTCTTGGCAAACCACTCGTTCACGTCGGTGTACTTCTCGTACAGAGCCTTGCCGCCTTCGAAGTCTGCTGTTGACTTGTAGATGTGCAACTTCTGCAGGAACTTGTTGACGGCTGGTCGGCCGTGTGATTCAATCTTGTTGCGGTCGAGGCGAATGGTCAGATCTGAGAGGTCGTCCTTCGTGTAGTCGAGCTTGCAGAAATCCTCTCCAGCCTCAAGGAATACATTGAGGATCGCAAATCTAGCTTGCATATGCGGCTGGCCATGACGGCGGCTGTTCGGGTCCCAGAACTGGAGGGCAGCAAGACCAGCTCTGGCCATGGAGAGGTAACAAATGTAGAGGACGTCTGCCGCCTCATGACCATGGAAGCCAAAGATCTCAAGGATGCCATAGTCAGGGCAAAGGCTCTGTTGGAAAAGGTAAGACGTTAGCTCCACGAGCGCCGACGGGAATATCAAGGACTTCTGAACCTACCATGGCCACGCTCTCAGCTCGACATTCCTCGTACGAGGGCCCCATTCCGCCAAAGACGGTACCCCAGGTCTCGGAAGGCTTGTAGTAAGTAGAAACGGGCTTGCCCGTGATTGGATTCGTTGGAGGATTCTTGTGGTCGAAGTTGAAGACGCCGGGTGAAGTCTCCTGGAGCAACTTGCCACATCCATGGCCGAGCAATTCGTGAAGGCCAACCTGAACTTCGAATGACTCGTTGTTGTACTTGTCCCAGACTTCTTGATCTTCTGACTTGATGAAAGGAGTGGGCTCTTTCGGCGGTTTGGCGCTGAGGACGTTGCCGAGTGACACGTTCTTGAAGCCCTCATCCTGTCTCACTATATCGAAGTTTGGAATATTTATTCCTGCAGGGATTCCACTACCAGCAAAGGTCAAGACCTCAAGGCTTGTGAAGTCGGGCGCCAAGAATTTGTCCTTCTCGAAGTCCTTGGGCCAAGGCAGCTTGGGGATTTGTGATGGGGCTGACTCCACCAACTTCCCAAACGCCTTGGTTCGCTCCTTGTTGACCATGGCCGCAAAGCCTTCCCACTCGCCCTACAACTCGTCAGCTTCTGGTGGTCAGACGGAGGTGTGCCGTGTTGGGACTAACGCGGATGCCGTGAGGGTCTCGGTATGTCTCGATGAAGCCGATGTTGGACTCGACAGTTGGTCCTTTGTCCTGGAGCAACGTTAGCTGTATACCGACTTACTCTGTTGTAGTTGGGGTTTTTTGTAGTTTGACCCCCGAGGGGGGGGGGGACGTCAGGTTACCTTGATCCAATGTCTCTGCGACTCCAGATGTGCGAACATGGAACCATCGTGGAAAGCACGGATATATTCACCTTGCATCTTGTCTTCCTCGTTGTTGAGTGCATGCTTCTTGGCCTCGGTAAGGTTGCGTGCCACTTTGCCCATCTCGACGCTGTAATCGCCGTAGACAAGCGTGAGCTTCTTGCCCTTCAAAGGCCCCTCGAGAGTCCACTGGGATTCTTTGAGGTCCCGGTGGGCTGGCTCGGTGACCGCAGAGGCGATGAGTAGCTCATAGTCACCGGATGATGTCTTTCGCAGTCTCGTGTTCTCTGGCATGAGGCCCTTGTTCTTGAGGAAGTCCGACACGTGTTCGATCTCGTCGTGCGTGATGTCAGGCGAGTCAGGGTAGTATGTACTGACGTGGCCTTTGTCTGGGTAGCCGAGATGCATCTTGCCGATGGACGTGGACTCGTATAGGTCATCTTTGATACGGTGCCATAGCTGCTCGGCCTGTGGCGAGGCCTTTGCAAGAGCTTCGATCTGTGAGGCAGGCAGACGAGGAATAAACTTGGAATCTCCGAAGGACCTGACAAGCATCAGTACAAGTGATTGAGACCGCAATGTAAATAAGTACGCACTTGTAGTTTCCAGTATTCCCAATAAACTGAGCAGCATAACTCAAGAAATGCTTAAGATCCTCATCCGAGACGCCAGCCTGAGACTGCAACTTCTTGCAGTCGCCTAGAACCTATCAGGACATCGCCCTCGGACGAACTGAACCCCAAAACACACCATTGCAGCTCTTATGAAGAGCAAGAATGAAATCGTAGATAGGCTCCGACTCCGGCGAAACTTGCCGCAAATTGATCCTCGTCCCGGAGAAAGCAGCACGAGAGATGTAGTGTGCGTACCTGCAGATGGCATGGTTAGCCATCAAGGTCTCGAGATTGATGTGGAGTGTTGGCTATAACCTACTTCTTTTCCTGCTTGCTGAGAGCTTCGAAGTGAGGCTTGATGGCCAGCGGCACGACGGTGGGCGGGTCGTCTGCCAGATATTGCTGCAGAGTCGTCTGGTCTATCGCGCTCTCCAGCATTTTTGCGGAGGTACCTGAGTCGTGATGTTTTGTCGTTCTTCGGCTGGAGGTGATGTTGGATTCAGCGTTTGGAGGGTCTCGTGATGAGGGGTGGTTGTGGATTCAGAAGCGGGACGGGTACCTTGCAGCTGTTAGTGTTCATGTTTGTTTTGTCTGCGTCCCTTACATGCTCAACGATCACATGAACAAATCAACAGACTAGTCACAACAACAGTGACGGAAGCCCCATGGCACGAAGGACCTGTCTGGAGACTGACGAGACACAGCGTGCTTTCGCAAAGTTCATACAATATGCTATTACGTGTAGCAAGAAAAACCATGCTGCTACGTGAAAAACTTGTCGGGTATTGACATCGTAATCTGTCGTGCGCCTCTGAATAACGTCCCTCAAAACCAGAATTGCTGTTGTCCACGCTGTATCCACACTATGCATTAGACTTTTTTTCCTATACAAAAACCAAAACCATCTCTTTACAGGAGAGCAACGAAGAGAGCACCAAGACCGACAAGGCTGCCGGATGCGATCTTGATCGAGTCGGCGGCCGACGAAGAAGTCGAGCTAGCAGAGCTCTCGGTGGCAGAGGGGCCGCTGTTGCCAGTGTTGGAGGCCTCGTCAGAAGAGCCGGAGCCAGAGGAGTTGTCAGAGTCGTTGTCGGAAGAGCTTCCAGTGGAGGATGCGCTGGATCCAGAGCCAGTCTGGCTGCCGGTCGCGGCAGAGACACCGGAGCCAGCGACAAGGGTGGCGTCGGTCGCAACAGCGCCGCCGACAACGCCAGTGGTAGAGCTGCCAACACTGACGAGGAACGAGCTGAAAGAAGAGCCGTTGCCGATGTAGACAGTGTTGATGCCGGATGGGAGACCTGATGATGAGTTAGTTTGAAGTTCTGTTGATACTCGGGGGAACCTCTGGAGTGTGCTCACCAGCAGGGATAGTGGCCACCTCTGGCTGCGAGGTGATGGCAGCTGGGAGATCAGGCTGGCTAGTGACTGCGACGCCGCCGTTCGTAAGGGTGGGCTGGCCAGTGACGACGCCGAGCGAGTTGGTGAGGGAGAGGAAGTTGGTCAAGGTGTTCGAGTAAGTGTAAGTGCTGGAGATGGTGGTGTCGCCCGAGACAACTGGGACAACCTGCGATGCTTGTCAGTTGATCCATGCATCGAAGGGAACACCTGGAGACGGAAGTGACCCACGGTTGGCGCGACAGACTCGGTGGTCTCCGAGGACTGCGCATAGGCAGCGGCCACGAATGGCGCAATGGCGATGATGGAGTAGCGCATGTTGACTGTGTTAATGGGGTGTTTATCGAAGTGTTGTTGGTGGTCAAGAAGATGCTCTCTGCTAGATGAGAAGTGAAGGAATCGCAGGTGCTATGGTAACGACCGGAGGCTAGTAGAGGATGCAGAAGGGAAGGAGAGCAAACTGGGGCGAGGGGCGATGCACTGGTATTTACTGCTGCTGGCGCGTGCAGGCCGCTATGGGCTTCTCCATCCGTCCAATCTCATTTGCCGCTAGGGGGGCCTGTCGTGAATCTGCAGCGGTGGCGCTCACACCATCATGCACAATTGCCTCTGTCGCAATGCGCGAGGTCATTCTGAGACATCTTGAATGGACGGCGATGCACTTCGCCTCGTTGCGAAACCTGCTTCGTGGTGGTTGCTACCAGAGCTCTTTCACGATGGACGCGTCGTCGCAGACTCAAAATAGACGAGAAGCGGCGCCCACGCCGTTGAAGAAATACGGGTAGCGATCAGCACGCGACAATGCGGAGATCAACCAAGCGCACCTCTCCAGATCTTTCCCTCTGACACGCACCTGCCTCTAAACGACGTTCCACTGCCAAGTGAATGCGCTCAGTTTCGACGACTTTTCGATTGAAGAACAGGCCTTGGTCCCAGGCACCTTGAGACGCGACAGAGCTACGACATCCTGGGACTGGCGTCCTTCGCCAGCTGCTGCAAGATGCGACATCCTCTTCCGCGGCGTTGACTGGCCGACGGGCAATACACTTGAAAGAGCCTCAGTTTAAGGTCCGTTCCGACGCTGACAGATCTTCCAGATCACGTGAAGTATGGAGATCCAGTTTCCAGCATCCACAACATTCATCAACCGCATATGGCGTCTTCTGGCTTGATGGTGTGCTGGCAAATCTCCGAACGCATGCAAGTTGGATGTACGGCCTTGTCGAGCGGGGACTCTTGTGTTCTTGTGTGACAACTTGTCAAACCATACACGTGATGCGCCGAGCGCTTTCACTCGATTGGCTCGAGCGCCCGGAAAAACAGGTTTCTCCATTCGGAAGCTCGACGACATCCCTCGGACTGCCTCTGGTATAAAAGATATACCGTAGCTTCACGGTCTCGTCGCAATCAAGCCAGCGAACAAATCCACCGCCGACGCAGCTGATCGCGCGATAATGGAAGGACCGGAAGCGGTCTGCAATGTTCATAAGAAGCGCGATTTCCTCTTCTCTTGCTGTTTCCTCTCTTCCACCTTTCCATCAGCTTCCGCTCACTCTGCTCTCTCGACTTCCCAAAGACGTGGCCTCGCTGACACTTCTACTTCGTCTGTCTTGACTCTCTTGACACAGTGCACACAGTCAACTGTCTCTGCTGGTAAGCTTCTCGTCGCTGTCATCATCACCAAACCTTTCGACGACATGTCGACTTGCCCGCGACAGCCACCATCTGCATGATAGTTACTGACAGTCAAACAGTTTGAAATACACCAAAAACAAAGATGGCACCTCACGCAAATGACCCAAGTGGCCTGGCTACTGGTCTGTCCGCAACCCAGCTGACTACCGCCCAAGACTCAGCCTTCGTTGTTGACAGCCCCAACGTGGCCTACAGCGATGCCGAGATCCTCAGCAAGTACAACTACCGCACAACTCAGATCAAGCGTGTCGACGACAAGGTCGTTGCACAGCCAAAGTCGTCAGTCTACGACTTCAAGACCCAGCGCAATGTCGGCAAAGTCGGCGTCATGCTTGTTGGTCTTGGTGGCAACAACGGAACTACCGTCACCGCTGGTATCCTCGCCAACCGCCGCAAGTTGCAGTGGGAGACTCGCGAGGGCCCTCGTGCTGCCAACTACTACGGCTCCGTCGTCATGAGCTCGACGGTCAAGTTGGGCACTGACAGCGAGACTGGTAACGATGTCAACATCCCACTCCAAAGCATGCTTCCCATGGTGCATCCCGACGACCTCGTCATTGGCGGATGGGACATCAGCGGTATGGATTTGGCTGCTGCCATGGACCGTGCTCAGGTGCTTGAGCCTACCTTGAAGTCGCTCGTCAAGAAGGAGATGGCTGCCATCAAGCCACTGCCCAGCATCTATTACCCAGACTTCATCGCGGCCAACCAGGGTGACCGTGCGGACAACATCATCCCTGGGTCCAAGGCATGCCCAGAGCACGTCGAGCACATTCGCAAAGACATCCGCGACTTCAAAGCCGCCCACGGTCTCGACAAGGTCATCGTGCTCTGGACTGCCAACACCGAGCGTTACGCCGACATCATCCCTGGCGTCAACGACACCGCCAAGAACCTCATGGACTCGATCAACGCCGGCCACGAAGAGGTCTCGCCCTCGACCGTCTTCGCCGTCGCGAGTATCCTCGAGAACGCTCCCTTCATCAACGGCTCGCCACAAAACACCTTCGTCCCAGGCTGCATCGAGTTCGCCGAGCAACACAAAGCCTTCGTCGGCGGTGACGACTTCAAGTCCGGCCAGACCAAGATGAAGTCGGCGCTCGTTGACTTCCTCATCAACGCCGGCATCAAGCTCACCTCCATCGCCAGCTACAACCACCTGGGCAACAACGACGGCAAGAACCTGTCGTCGCAGAAGCAGTTCCGCTCCAAGGAAATCAGCAAATCCAACGTCGTCGACGACATGGTCGCCGCCAACAATGTTCTCTACGAGAAGGACGAACACCCAGACCACACCGTCGTCATCAAGTACATGCCCGCCGTCGGCGACAACAAGCGTGCTCTTGACGAGTACTACGCCGAGATCTTCCTCGGTGGCCACCAGACCATCAGCATCTTCAACGTCTGCGAGGACTCGTTGCTTGCATCGCCTCTCATCATCGACTTGGTGCTTGTGGCTGAGCTTATGACTCGTATCCAATGGCGACACGATGGCGAACAGGAGTACAAGAGCTTCCACAGTGTCTTGAGCGTCCTCAGCTACATGCTCAAGGCGCCGATGACGCCTCCTGGTACGCCTGTTGTCAATGCTCTTGGCAAGCAGCGCAGTGCGCTTGTCAACATCCTGCGTGCGTGTGTTGGTCTTGAGCCAGAGAATGATATGACGCTGGAGCACAAGCTCTTCTAATTTGATGTTGACTTTGAGAAGGACATGATGATGGGATCGGATATACCCTTAATGACTTGTTAGCTTCAACAGAGTAATAGAGTCGACGCCAATAGCGGGCGATTAGAGCAGTAGAAGAAGACAGCATGCATTGAATGACAGGATGATCGTTCCATACTTCCATTCGTCCAACCGCTTTCTGACTCGATTGGTCCAGTGCTGTCTCTACATGAAGTCGTCCAAGAAGTCTGCATCCCGGTCCTGATTGCTCGACTCGGCCATCTGATCATCCGTGTGAAGATCATCATACATGTGATCCTTCTGCCACTTCAGTCTCTGTCGCTCGTCCGCAAGCTTCGCATCTTCCTTCTTCTATTCAAATCGTTAGCCCTCAACTCCTTCAAACCCGACCCTGTACAGTCCATACCTTCTCCTGCGCCGCAATTCTCGCCTTCCTCCTCAACTCCCTCTCCTTATCCGCCTTCTCCTGCCTCAAATCCGGATACTTCTCCACCTTGGTCTTATTCAACCGATTGACCACCACATTCTCCCTCTTAGCCACATACACCCTCCTCACCAACTTCTGATCCTTGAACCCCACCTGTCCCGTCGCCATATCCCCGCTCTTCTTCAGATTACTCCACGGCGTATAGATGACCGTGACGTTATCCTTCTTGTTCCCCTCGATGCTGTTCGCTTTCGTGAGTTGCGCGCAGTCGATCAGGAGGTCTTCCGGGAGGCTGTCCCATTTTTCGTTCTCGCGCATGCGCAGGTAGACGTGCGCCGAGGAGAGGTTGTCGACGTGGAACCAGACGTCTTCGTCCCAGCCGTGGGCGATTAGGTCCTCATCTCTAGCCGAGTCAGTGGGTGGATTTGGGGTTGGGTGGGTGGGTGGTCTTTACTTTCTACTTTGTCTTTGCCCATGTAGATGTAGGCGGCCGGGGAGACGACGTTGCTGGTGAAGTAGAACACCATCTTGACGACTTTGATTCGGCAATCGTAGTCTTGTTCTCAAGTCAATGAAGATTGTGAGAAGCAAAGGCCACGGTCGACATGGAGGGGCATTGATGAGGCCGAAAGCCAATGCCTAATTTTACGCTGTATAGGCGCACATTTCAGACCACAAAAGATCTCGACGCGAGCTGAAGAGGCGCGAGCAGGTGCTCCTGAATTGTTCGTAACTCGTGAGGAACACACTCTCACATTTCAACATCTCACGCGGCGATGTGCTGGGTTTGCCAATGGCATTAGGACTGTTCTGGGCCACGACGTGCCTCTGTATTCTGCTATTCGTCTTGGCGCTGGACATTATGGGTGTCTTTTCGAGAAAGAACCACTTTGATGTGGATGGGCGGGTAAGCAGGATCCAGATCAGGTACACCAAGCTCTGAACTGACATGCTGCCAGACCGTCGTTATCACTGGCGGCTCCCAGGGCATGGGCAGAGGGCTCGCCAAGCTGTTGGCATCAAAGGGAGCCAATATTGTGATTGTGGCACGAAACAAGCAGAAACTCGAAGAGGCCCTGAAATACATAAGTGTATGCCACCGGCCCCCTACATTCCTGACATTTTCCTAACGAAGACGCAGTCTGCAGCGAAGAACCCTCAAGCTCAGCGATTCCATTCGATCAGCGCAGATGTCACGAAAACTGAGGAGAGCGAGCGGATCATCAGTGAAGTCACTGCCTGGAACAATGGAAATGCTCCCGATATAGTGTGGGCGAATGCTGGATCTGCACACCCTGGCTTGTTCGTCGACACTCCTCCGGAGACAATTCGGTCACAAATGGACATCAACTACTTCGCTGCCGCTTATTTGGCCCACGCCACTTTGAAGACGTGGATCAAACCTTCTCCGAATACTACAAGCAATGCGAACCCGAAACTGGTGAAGCCAAGGCACTTCGTCATGACTTCGAGTACCCTCAGCTTTTTCAGCATTGTGGGATATGGGCCGTATTCAAGTCCCAAAGCAGCCATGAGGTCTCTGGCAGACACTCTTCGTTCCGAAGTGAACTTGTACAATGGAGCAAGGAGGAAGGACCCCATCAATGGTCCGTCAGCTGATATCAAAATCCACTGTGTCATGCCAGGAACAATCACGAGTCCCGGCTTTCAGCATGAAGAGAGTCTCAAGCATGAGGCCACCAAAATCTTGGAGAAAGACGATCCGAAGCAGACAGAGGATGAGGTTGCCAAAGCTGCTATCAATGGACTCGAGAAGGGCGGATTCATCATCACGACGCAATTACTCGGTCATGCAATGCGTGCATCTGCTTTGGGGGGAAGCGCGAGGAACAACTGGTTCGTTGACACGATTTTCAGCTGGGTGGTAGCTATTGCATGGCTGTTCATTGGGCCTGATCTCGAGGGCAAGGTGTTCGACTATGGAAAGAAGCATGGCCTCGCAGCACCGAAGTGAAGAATGTTTGTGGAGGCATCGTTCTTCTTAGCCAAGTTTTAGCGTTCTGCAATCGAACACGGGCTAATCTAAGAGCGGCGTCACCAACCCGTTGTTTTAGCCAACTCTTCTCTTCTCTTGCTCGGGTGACGCTTGGCAACTCAATGTTCCGCGTAAGAGTTGAGTGGCTGGTAAAGCACAGACTCACTGTGATTGGACGGCACCCTTTTTCATGGAAAGAACAGAGTCGACTCTGACTTGCCTTTTCATCAGAACAAAACAATCACAGTTGGAACGGTATCTTGTTTTTGACCCATCATTGCTACTGTCCATAGGAACCAGGCCTGCAACTTGCTAAGCAGCCCAACAACAACCGAACAGCTGCACCCGCCGCATCCGGCAATTGCATTGCCCCAGAATGGAAGCTCACCAGCAGGCTGTGGCAGCTATTTCATCGCGGGTAAAGACGTTCTACGACAAGGAAGTGCCCTTCCGCCTCTACCATGGCAGTACCAATACCACACAGCAACGCAAGATCGATCCCAACAAAGTCATCGACACCAGCAAGCTCAACCATGTCCTCAAAGTCGACACCGAGAAGATGACATGCCTGGTCGAACCGAATGTGGCCATGGACGAGCTCGTCGAAGCAACACTACCGTATGGCGTCCTACCTCCTGTCGTAATGGAGTTTCCTGGAATCACAGTTGGAGGTGGCTTCGCGGGAACGGCTGGAGAAAGCAGTGGCTTCAAGTATGGATTCTTCGACTGCATTGTGAATTGGATCGAGATCGTACTTCCCGATGGCGAGATTGTCACGGCTTCTCCCACAGAGCGATCAGATCTGTTCCACGGCGCTGCTGGTAGCTTTGGCACGCTTGGGGTTGCTACGCTTTTTGAACTTCAGGTCATTCCCGCGAAACCTTATGTCGAGCTCACATATCATCCGGTAACGAGCATACAAGAAGCATTGTCGACGATGGACAAGGTCACGAATGATGGGTCGCTGGACTATGTCGATGGCATTCAGTTCAGCCTGAACAAAGCTGTCATCGTCACCGGTCGTCTGACTGACACACTCGACATTGGCGTAAAGCTGGTCAAGTTCAGCCGATCTATCGATCCTTGGTTCTACATGCACGTCGACAGAACGACCGGAAACAGCCTAGAAAAGGTCAAGCTTGCAGCACCTGTGCAGGACTATCTCTTCAGATACGACCGTGGTGCCTTCTGGACGGGCAAATATGCCTACCAATACTTCCTCACACCTTTCAATCGAATCACAAGATGGGCTCTGGACTATTTCATGCATACTCGCGTCATGTACCAAGCACTCCACGAAAGCGGACATGCATCGAAATACATCGTTCAAGATCTGCTACTACCACGCAGCGGAGTCGAAGAGTTCATCAACTGGATCAACAAAGAGTTCGATTTCTGGCCCCTATGGCTCTGCCCTCTAAAACGCGGCCAGGAAGTCTCCTTACACCCAAAACTCGGCGGCGGCGCCTACAACAAAGACGACAAATCCGTCTCCTTCGTCAACGTCGGCGTCTGGGGTCCCGGCTCCACCGACTACGCCAAATTCATCAGCCAGAACAGACAAATCGAGAAGAAACTCCGCGAACTCGGAGGTATCAAGTGGCTGTATGCTCAGGCCTTCTACACCGAGGACGAGTTCTGGCAGATCTATGATAAGAAGTGGTATGATGCTTTGCGAGAGAAGTACCATGCGACGTATCTGCCGAATGTTTGGCAGAAGGTTCGGGTTGATCTGAGCAAGGCTTATGCTGTGAATGAGAGCTGGACGGCGTGGGCGAAGGGGTTGTTCTGGAATACTTGGCCTATGAGTGGGTTGTATGGGGTGGCAAAGACGTTGTTGGATAGGGATTATTTGCTTGCGAAGAAGTCGTAGGCTGTATCCCTCGAAGGTTTCGCCCTGAACGGGCTTGTACTATGATAGGAAATAGAGAATCGAACTGTGCTAGAGCTTTTGTCCCCTAGACCGACTTCCAGAAAGGAAGTCTCTAAACCAGATACGCCGCAATGACACCTCCCCAACTCCCAGGATTCCCCGCTTGCGTCGCCGCGACCTCCCCACCAGGCCCCCCAATCGTCACCAAATTCTGCACCCCCTTGGTATTCAAATTATACAAATCCACCCCATCTCCCCTGCTCAACCCCTCCAAATCCACAATATTGATCTGACAGACCCCATCAGGGCCCGTACAAGCACCATAATTCGGGCCATTGAAGAAGACCCAGAAGCCTTGGCCGTACAAGGGCAAAGTATGCGTTTCTTCGCCGATGATGCGGAGCGCCCATTGCATGTAGCATTGCGAGACGTTGCCGTTGCAGCCGGTGAAGTCCGGGTCGTTCCAGGCCGGGTCTGGCGTCCAGGGGGCTGGGGCTCGGGGCGTGGGTTGCCAGTAGGGGGTTTCGACTTGGAGGAGGGAGGCGAAGACGTTGCTGGCATCGTTGAACTGTACCGCATATAACGTATGGTGTTCGGAGCCCAGGCCGTGGAGCCATGTTCCTTGCGTGGCTTCGATGAGCATGCCTCGACCTGTGCCGATTTGTTGATTGTATTCGCCATCAAGATCGTGATCCGCAGACCAGAGCCACGCGTTCTCGATGTAGGTTGAACTGGTCTTCTTGAGGTGCATCACGAGAAAGGCGGCCTTGCATGGGTCTGATTCGGTTTGGCAAGCGGTTTCGGTGAGAGAGTCTGCGGCGCCGCCGATGCGGTAGTGGGTGTTGTGGAAGGAGACGTCGCCTTGGTTGGCTCCGGCCATGTTGATCTCGGTGAGGATGGCTCCAGGGAGAATATCTGCGACTGTGAAGAGCATATCTGTGATCTCACAGAGGCCGACTTCGCCTGGTTTACCGACTTGGATCAGAGGCTGAGGGTTGTTTTCATCTGCGAAGTGATCGCCAGAAGCGGTGATTGTCGACCAGACTTCGCCCACGATACGGCTGCCAGGCGGGACGTAGATGGTATCTGTGACCAGGTACACGCCATGTGGGAAGTAGGTGATCTTGCAGTCGGCATTCGACGCCAAAGCCGCGTTGATTGCTGCCGTGTCGTCCGTAACACCGTCGCCTGCTTGACATTAGCGTCTCCTACTCTCTATAGGGGACCAGGGCACTCACCCTTAGCTCCAGCGTCTCTGACGGACGCAAAAGCGGAGACAGGATACTCTTCGTATTGAGGAAGCTTCTTTGTGAAGTAACGTCCATCGCTACCAGTAAGGCTGCCACGAGTGGTGTAGGGTAGGAATGTGCCGTTACGAGCAATTGGAGTCGTTTCGTTCGAGGAGATGCTAGGCCGGCCAGCACCATCGCGATAGACATGCCCCTGAACATATGTCTTGCCTGTCAGATCACCAATAGGACACGCAGTGCCGTTCACCTTCAAAGTTGGTCCGGAGTTTCTGACAGAAATGTTCTCGAGCAAGATCGAGCTCGTGCCATTCACGACGATGCCACAGGTCTTGCAGCTGCTGTCGATCAAGTTGATGGACCCGGCTACATCAATCGGTCCCATGTCGACACAGATGCCGACGTTCTCACAGTCGATGCCTTGCATGTTGAGGACGAATGCGTGCTTGACTGCAATTCCAGTGCGGGTGTTTCTAATCTTTACGTTCTTGATAGCATATTGCTGATTGTTGAAGAGGATACCAATGAGCCCGCCTTCGAAGGTCAAATCGCCCATGAACAGACCAGAGCCGCCTCCACTATCACCGCCATCCATCTCGATTCCGATATGTTGACTGTCGACAGGCATGACGAAGTCGACATTGACGAGGTTCGTAGCCTGGGAAACGGCCCAGTTCAGAGCGTAGATGGTATCCCCCGCAGCCGCGCCGGTCGTGTCAAGCTTGACGTTTCGGAGGCCAATGTAGAAGTTTGTGGTAGATGGTTGACCGAAATCGTATCCAGCAATCATCACTGTATTGTTCCTCATCTGGGACGACGCTTTGATCGTTGGTGGGTTGATGGCATCTCCAATGACCTGAGTATCGATGAACAACTGCACAGAAGACGAGATCAGATAAGTTCCGGGTGGGATGTAAATCAGCGCTGGTTGTCCAGTGCTTCCACCAGCACCTTTGCCGCCACCCATTCTGCTTTGATCAGTGATTGCTCTATTGAAAGCGTCTGTATCGTCGGTGTGGCCATCTCCAGTAGCGCCGTAGTCTTTGACATTGCGAAACACCTTGTAGTCGTGACCGTCAACCAGGAATGGAGAAATGCCTTCGCGTGCACCCTCAAAAGTCGAAAGCCAGAACTCTCTCTGAGGCGAAGGGTTCTGCACGCCACATACTGGTGGGCGTGGGTAGTGAGGAGGTCGGGGATGATGCCATGGCTTCCATGGAGTAACAGAATCGTTCTTGTTTCCGAAAGAGAAAGAGTACGAAGTCGGTGGCAGCCAGTCTTGGTATTCTGTCGGGTCTGGAGCTATAATGTAGGCTGGAGCTGGTTCCCGGTACTGTTGTTGTGCTGTGACATGTTGTAAAAGAAAGGAGCAGCAAACGAATGTCTTGAGTAAGGACTGCATTTTGGCCTACCTGCAGATAGGTGAGGTTAGGAAGCAGACGCAGAACACAGAGCCTATTCAACCATCGGCATGTCGAATAGGGCCACCAGTCGTCGATCTAATGAAGGTCTCACCTATACGGCCATCATCCCTACCCCTCTGGAGGGTGACATCGCCCGGCATCCTTCTCATGCCTTTTTGGGAGGAGGTCATCAAGCGGCTGTGGGAAGATAGACTTCCCGTACCTGGTTGACGCAGGGTGATGCCTGTGGAGGGGAACGCCGCCCGGACGTCGTGCAGCGGGCTCTGCAGGCAGGTGCTACCGTGGCATAAAGGCGGTACCAGATGGCGATCAGCATCCGCGAGGAAGACGACGAGGCTTGTTCTCTACGAAGTTCTGCCTGAAGTCGTCGAATCTATGAGACATGGAAGCTGAAATGAAACCCACCAAATGAGGAGAAGCGCGCTTCGCAGCTTGCTCTTCATCCCAACTCCGAACCCTGCTGCAGTTGATACATCCCATTCGTAACGACATCAAACCCGCAATCCGCAGATTCCCATACGCAGGTCTCGCCCATTTGTTCACGACCCACCCAACACCAAGCCGCCGTGCGCCCACCGGTTACCGGAGCACCAAGCTCATTCGTTTTTGATCAGGGACACCGGAGCGATATATTTGCGGCCACCTCCTAGCAGGTAGTAGGCCAGCGCAAGCAAGCACGCGGCCGAGAAGATGACGATCGCGTAGTTGAAGTTCTCGAAGTTGACGGATGTGTCGGTGGGGAAGAAAGAGAAGACAAATATCACGGCGAGGAACGCCAGCGTCATGTCGTTGATAGGGCCACCCCACTTGCCCAAAGACCAGCGACGGGGCAGCAAAGGCTCGCCGCGCAGGCGTTTGAGTCGAATACATCCCACCGAGACGATGTAAGAGAATCCAAGTGCCGCATTGGAGACGCCGACGACAGCATTGAACGCAGTATCCGAGCCGAAGTTGATGACTGATATGACGAGGGAAACTCCAAGGCACACCAGAAGCTACACCGGGTTAGTGGAAGAAATCCCAAAAGAGAACCCTCGTCGACCCGCCCAAAGTGGAACGCATTGAACGGACATCCCCATCATTCTCACAGCTAGCAAGCTCTCAATCGTTCCTCAAAATACCTGAACAGCTCGAGAGTATCGGGGATAGACGTTCCACTTTGAGCGTAACGAGGAGCGCGCGGTAGACTTACAGCATTCACCGGGATCTCGTACTTGGGAGCAACCTGTCGTATCCACGTGGAGAAAGGGAAGCCCTGAGAAAGTGTCAGTGGAGGATGAAAACAACGCATGTCGAAATCCTCACCTGGTCTCTGCTGAAAGCCCAGATCTGTCGAGAGGCGCTGGCAACTGTGGTCACCGTGGAGAAGAACAGCAGCACTACCAGAATCGTTCCAAGGACAACGGTGGCTGCGTGGGAACCGGTCGCGGTGAACAAGACCTCAATAATGGCAAAATCCGAGTCGGAATTAACCAGTGCTTCTACATCTGTGATGCAAAAGCTGTTGAGTGTCAGCAGGAGGATCTCACATGCGAACATCGTCTGCCTTACCAAAAGCTGATCAGCATAGCAACACCAAGTATGCCATTCAGAATTGTCGAATAGAGCATCGCGCGAGGTAGCTGGATGGAGGCATCTTTCAATTCCTCGCTCATGTGCGCGCCGGCATCCTGTGGCATTGTCAGTTCACATACCTCTTGCAATCCTGATTTGATCTGCTCACAGGTCCAATGAAGCACCAAACAGGAGTTGCAAGCCCGACCAGGCAAGACAAGCCAGTGCCCCAGCCGCCTCCATCACTGTGGGTTGTCAGCTAAGGCCACTCTCACACGCTCTTCAAACTTACTGGAACTCAGTGAAGACCTGTTTGGCTGGAGCATGGTCGCCCATTATCCAGAACACAAGCAGGAAGACGAAGAAGGCAAAGATATGGACGAAAAGGATAATGCCCTCCGCCAATGGCAGGTGCTGTGCGAAGAACTGCCACATCCTCGTCAGCATTTGTTCAGGGGTCGAGACTGTTGTTAAGTACACTTACGATGTTGAACGCCACGGCCAGTGCGATGAAGCAGTACAGGAGCAGAGTCGTTTGCCAGAGCTGACCTACATCGGCGTTTGGATGCACGAGGAGTACCATGGTCTGGACCATGCCCGCGAGTTGCACACAACAGGAGGGCACGCCAGCTATCCAGCCGAGACAACAACACCAGCCGACGACATAGCTCAGGGGCTTTTGCAAAGACGGAGGTGCGAACTCGCTGACCTATCGGCGAGGTCAGTACAAAGCAAGATGGACAAATAGCACGAATTTCTCGATACCCAGTGGTATTGCCCTGGAAACGTCAGCAATCACATCAGGCTTGAGATCATTCGATCGACGTACCGCCGCTTGTCGGAGACATGGAAGCCATCTCTGCGCTGTCACGAAGTCAGACGATGAATGATCATATCAACCTAAGATGGCAACTCACAGCGAGGCGATCATGCAGAGCATGAGCAACCAGACTGCGATGGTCATCCATATCAGACCTAATTCGGAAGTAAGCGAATGATATCTGGAGCGGTTGAGGGACTGTCTCACCGGCAGTACCGCCATTATACAAGCCGAACCAGTTTGCGAGTAGCACGTTTTCCCACGTGGCCTGCAAGATGGTGACGAAGCCGACGATTCCTACGAACTTGAAGTTACGGCGCAACTCTTGCGTCTTCCCCATACGATTCATGTCGGCTGCGTCTGTAGAGGTGCCGCCTCTCTGGACCATGGCGCCCTCGTCGCCATCGAGCTGGTCCTCTGGTTTGAAGTCTGGTAGGGCGGTGGTTCCCATTGTTGCGGATTGCAGGAGAGCCGTTAAATGTTAGGTTGGAGCAGGCTGCGAGCGGTGAGGACAGAAGAGCACAGGCGGCGAAAACGCAGCGCGAGGGAGTTCTTGAAGTGAGAAGGAACGGCCGCAGGCCGTGTCGAGCAAGGCGCACCACGACGCCGGGTTACGCAGAAAGCGTGGCAAGCACGTCTGATGAATGAAGTGAAGCGGACGGATGTGCCAAACGGCTTGCTGCCGCACTGCCGACGACCTCGACTGCTGTCAACTTTTCACATTTGTGACGGATGGGAATCGCACAGCAAACACCCCAGGCAGGACAGGACAAGCAGCGCTGGCTCCATCTTGATCTCCGCCAGCGCCGCTGCCGTTGTTGTTGTGACACGTTGGACGGATGTCTCTACGTACAGATGCAACTGGCTTGAGTCCTCGATGCGCACCCTCGCCCAACGGGTTAATGCATTGGGCCCCGAGGCCTGCGTGCTCCAGATTCTCCTCTCGCTGACAGGTCTCACCACTGCCCGTGACACGATCTGGGTTCTGGTGCGCCGCCATCGCCTGCTGCTGTAGGGCGGCGGCAGACGCGATGATTGCATGCCAGCGACGCCCCTTGCTAAATTGTCCGAAGAGCAAGCCAGGTGGGCGGATCGCAGGTGTCACGACGCACGGAATTGCGCATCCGCTCCCGTAGCACGAACTTCGAACAAACGAGCAGCGCCGAGGAAGAGCGATGTACCAGCCTGTCGTGTAACGCCCCACCGAAACGCTCGTCTTTCCCCTGCGGTCGCCCGCCTTGACTGAAGATACATGTGAGTCCTCCAATGGAGGTACATCTGAGTCCTTCAATGAGGATATATCTGAGTCCTTCAGTGAGGATGCAAGTGAGGCTCCGAACAAAAGCAGAAGCAAATGAGCCTTCCAATGAAGGCACAAGTGAGCCCTGCAGCGTAAGCATGGGTGAGGCCACTGAGCATCCATGCCCTGCCCGGCTGTGTCACATGGCTGGATGCTGAGAGGTTCGACCACAACATGTGTGCCCAGATATGACGAGCGTCATGTCATGTCAGGGACCCGCGGACAGCGAAGAGGTTGTGTTTAATGGAACGGGTCAGCCGTGCTGTTAAAGCAAGGTAAGTCTCTCTCCCTCTCTCTTTCATCACTCTGCTGCAAACTGTGCATTCCCGCTTCAGGGACGCTCCTTGGGGACATTGCGGCGAGGACGCCCCTAATCTGTGAAGACCCGAAGACAGCTGATGCGCGTGTGGTTGCACACAGCGCTCACAATTACACTGCGCTGTTGCGAGTGCTACCGGGCTTGCCTCCCGCCAATGTAGGTCGATGTCTTTCCTTCAAACACCTGCTTCAAGCCCAGCCTACAAGTGAATGACCGCACCGTTTCCGCGCGCTCGGTGGCGGTTGAGGCCGGCCAGACCCGCGTTTGCTTCGAAGTGCTCCAACACCATTTCCAACGTGAGGTCTTGACTCGGCCGCATTGAATCAAATCACACAATCCAACGTCCAGACGTCCGTTTCCTCGACTCGCCTGAGCACTCGAGGCTCCACAGCGGTTCAGAAATGCCTCAGCGCGAGGGGCACGAGAACTCGCTCCTATTCGTGATCAGTCTCTCACTGGTCTTCACCATATGCATTGCCCTGCTCCGACTTTGGATTCGAAAGAGCGCGTACGGTGTCGATGATGTGGTCATTGGAGCGGCGACGCTGGTATCGCTGGGACATACGGGAGCCGATTACGCTGCGATGAGTTACGGGTTGGGAAAGACATGGCCAAGCATCCTGCAACAAGGCGACTTGGCGCGACTCAATGAGGTGGGCTGAGGCGAGAGTGAAGTGAAGGTCGCGCATCGATGCTGATCGTCCTCCAGGCCTCGATTGCCGGTATCGTGCTGTTCTTCGTTGCGCTTTATCTGTCGAAATGCGCAATGCTCTCCTTCCTTACGCGCATCACCAAGACACCATCACAGATCATACTATATCAGAGCTGCAACGCCGTTGTGGGAGTACTGGGATTCGTATCGATACTTGTTGTGACGGTAGGATGCCATCCAAAATCTGGTACGTAATAGGAGGCCTATATGTTTTGAGTTGCTCTAAAGCATGACAGGATACTATTGGGCGTTTAGCGACAATTCGGATACTTGTGGTTCCCAGGTAGACAATCACTCACTGTCCGTTGACCTCTTCTGATTCGATGCCTAGGCTGCTCGATGGCAAGCGATAACTGGACTGGATGTCGCTACCGAGATCCTCCTGTTGTTGCTGCCGATCCACCTCGTCTGGAAATTGCATATGGCGAAGTCGAAGAAGCTCTTCATCACCGTGGCTTTCTGGATCAGATTACCGTAAGTCTCGGTCAGTGGCGGGATATGCTCCATCTAACGTCAGTCTCCAGAGCTTTGGGGTTCTCCATCGGAAGGAATTACTACACATTACTCTTGAACCACAAGGAGACAGATGTGGGACTAGATAGCGCACTCGTCACCATCTGGCTGGAGGTCGAACTCGCGTACGCCATCGGATCGAGTACTCTGTCAGCCTTGAAGAGCTTTACAGACAACTTCGCGACAGGCTTCGGCTTGGGTTTCACAAGAGGCAAAGGCGAGGACAGCTACGGCCTCTCCAACGTATCAGGATCGACCGGCAACTCATCGAAAACGGAGAAAGCCAAATCCGCATCGCCGTCCCAGAGTCGCACGGATAACAAGAGTCCCGAGAGCAGGAAACCGCCAGATCTCCGTGTCCCACCGTCAGCACATGTGAACAACGTGGCAGGCGATGAGCCTCTGAGACTACGGCCAGAGGGAGCAGTCGCGTACGCATCCGTCTCGGCAGAGCCGTACAGCCCTGAGCTGTGGCGCGCAAACAGCAGCGTGGGAAGCGACAGCTCAGGAGACGAGATGGTGATACTTCGCGAGACGGCGTACGAAGTCCAGCACGACCAGGCCCCGATGCTGCCGTCTAGAGAAATGCTTGCATGACACACGCGTTGCGGAGTTGTGGATTTGGATCGGTGGCGTGGGACTAGCATCGGAATGGCGTTTGTCTATGATGATGAGACGGCGGTTGCAAAGCCTTGGGTAGGACACGGGACCAGTATAGGCAACAGAAGATGAATTTGTGTAGTTGGGATCAATCATGAGAAAGTTGAATCTTTGCAGCATGTTGTTTGGTGAAGTTAAATGGTCACGTGATTGGTTATCGCTAAACCCGTTCCGGCCCATGCGACTTCAACTTCAGATGCTGCCTTTCAAGTTGTTCGCTGTCGACCTCGTCGCTCGTCAAGAGGCTTCCACTATTCATCCTTCGCCGCCGCCACTCCCCGTACCCCCTCTCAATCTCGCGACACGACACGAGCGACCGGGCAACACTTCAGAGCGGAAACGCAGTTGGTGCCAGCAGTTTCAACTCGAGAAAGCTGTGGACTTGGAGGAATAGACCCTCTGGCGTGGGTGCGACAGTATCCGTAGCGACGTATTCGCAGAACTCCAACTCTCGACTCGGGCTGCGATAGTAGAGGCTCGGACACCACTCGACGTCCACCCACGAGTTCTTTCCGCGAACAGCACACTCATTTGCCAAACCACCCACCCCACCTCCGACCACCATGTTCTTCATCGCCCACCGCGAGCGCGAGCTCACGATGCACCCCTCCTTCTTCGACAGCGCCGCGACCGAAAAGATCAAGGAACAACTGCACTCCGACCTCGAGGGCACGATCGAGGGAACGCTCATGATCATCCAGATCATAGAGATTGACGAGATCAGCGAGCCGATGCTCGTGCCGGGGACGGGCATGGCGAAGTACAACGTGTCGTATCGGGCGCTGGTGTGGCGGCCTTTCCGGGGTGAGGTGGTGGATGGGATGGTGACGAACGTGGTGAACAATGGCTTCTTCGTGGATGTTGGTGGGATGAATGTGTTCGTGAGCAAAGCGGTATGTTCGGAATTATGAACAACGTGTGGATAAAATGCAGTGTGAGAGGGATATGAGACTGACGAGATGAGCTGGGCAGATGATCCCGAACCAGCTCAAGTACACTGTCGAGGGCTCGACACCTTCCTTCACCGACAACTCAGAGCAAATGATCGAGAAGGGCAGCCAAGTACGGTTACGGATCAAGGGTATCCGAGGCGAGATAGGTGCCATGTTCGCGATCGGCAGCATCCGCGAGGATTACCTGGGGTAAGTCTCCAACAAGTGCCAAACTCGTTTGTGAATGGATACTAACTATATCCGAGGCCGTTGATGTTGGGATACTAACTCCCTCCTCTTAGCCCGTTAATGTTGTAAGATACGGTATGACATGCTCTTTGCGAAAAGGACAGCATGAGGGTTGCATGCGTGAATGTGGTTTTATTAGAGCGTGGCGTTTTGGATTGAAAGCGAAGAAGCTAACGAGGCGATGCATTTGGGACGGCATGGACCACGAGATACCCAGAGCTAAAAACACGTTTGACCTGTTGTGCCTTGACTTCTTCTCCTCCTTTCAGGTTGACTTCGTTCGTGTCTCTGAATCAATCCCGGACATGAGAAATGTCGAGAAAGGTGGGGTTCTTGAGCCAAATTTGCATGTGACAATTCGTTGGATTCAGCTCTACCTATACAATGCGAGCGTATATGCCCCTCGAGACATTCAACAACAGTGAAGCCATCCAACTCCATCGCTAAGATAATGCCCGCTGTAATGCACTCGTCCGTATTCAACGCCTAAGCCAAAGCCATGTAGTTGCCCATTCGTGTCCCGTTAAAGCATCAACGTCTTAGAACTTCTTGCGAGCAGCCGCGCTCTTGCTAAGAGCCTGAAGTTTCCTCTTCCGCTCTAGCTTCTCTCGCTTGTGACGCTCTTCCTCCTCCAGGGCCTCCTGGTCTTCCTTCCTGGCCGCGGCGAGTGCCATTTTCTCCTCAGACTCCATGTCGTCGAAGCCTGCGTCCATGTCGGACTCTGAATCGTAGCCCTCTTCCTCATCATCTTCTGCATCGTCGAGATCCGACCAGCTAACATAGCCGTTGTACTTGCTCTCACGAGCCTTCGTGGCGGCTGTCTTGGCCTTTGGTGCTCCAGGCTCTGCTTTCCGCGCAGTACCCTTGTATGCGAATTCCTGCCTCTCCACTCCCTTCTTCATTGTTCCCTTGTATGTAGGCTCTGGTGCCTTCTTGAGTCCGCCCTTCGCATCAACTGGTGTACCGCTCCTGCTTCTATCATTCGCGACCAGCTTGCCCGCCTTGCCACCCGCCTTTTGCTGCTTGGCTGCCTCTTCTGCCAACTTCGCCCGCTCACGCTTCGACAATCGCTCCACGGGCTTGTGCTTGATCGTACTAGAACCAACGGCTTTGGCGGCCTCTTGGGCAGCCTTGGCCTTTTCCATGAGAGAGGCGAACCCACGCTTCTTTGGGGCGGCATTTGGCACGGCGGGGCTTTGGGTGGTGGATGCTGATGCGGTGGCTGTAGTGGCTGTGCTCAGCTTTGGGACAGGCTTTGCGATCGGTCGTGCTGAGGAGGTAGTCGCTCCTGGACCTCGCGCGGTTCCTCGGTATTCGCCAGCGGGGGCAGGCGGGGCAGCCTTTGCGGTCGAGGATTGCCCAGGTGGCCGTACAGGCACGCTGACCTCAGTCTTGACTACCTTGGACTTTGGGGCTGCTGCCTGGTCTTCGGGCTTGCGCTTGACACCCGCTGCGGCATTGCTCGTCTGAGGCCGGGCCCCGTTTGATAAGGCCTGCGCACCGGCCGATGCGCCTGAGGGCTTCGATGTAGTTGTAGGCCTCGGTTGCGGTGCCTGAGGCTGTCCAGAGATGGACGAGAGGAGTGATGAGAAGGACTGCATGTGAGTCAGTCTCGACTGCGGATATGGCCAAAGCGAAGAGTCACAGATGCTTACCGTCATGGCGTATCCAGAAGGCGGAGAATCGCTATCTGGAGAGTATGCGGCTGCGATGGAAGAGCATGTCAGTGAAGACACACAGAGGCGTCTGCGTCCGGCGGATGCTGAAGAAGAATGCAGAAGACAAAGGAGATCGCGTGAGTTGCGGGCCTCTTTATATGTGCCACGCTGTTCGAGAAGCCCGACTGTCGTTTCCAGCGAGCGGGCGCTAGTGTCGGTAGCTCCCGTTGACAAATCTTGGCAGCCGTCCACTTCAACAAATTAGCGAAAGCCCCAAAACCGACGACATATCGCGACAACCCACATCCAGGACTTGAAGTCTCAGTCTGCGCCCAACTCCGCGCTTAAATCGATTGATTCTCCTGTTCTCCTACACCTCATAACCCCAACCGTGAGCGTCGCCGTTCCCAATCCACCAGGAATCATTCACTGACAGAATACTCTCCAGAAACCATCAAAATGAAGTACCTCGCGGCATACCTCCTCCTCGGCCTCGCTGGCAACTCCTCCCCATCCGCCGAGGACATCAAGGGCGTTCTCTCCGCCGTCGGCATCGATGGTGATGACGAGCGTCTCAGCTCGCTCCTCAGCGAACTCGAGGGCAAGGACATCAACGAGGTACGGCTAAATTTCAAGCGAGGGATGAAGAAACACATGTACTAACTAGACATCTGCAGCTGATCTCTGAGGGTTCTGCCAAGCTCGCCTCCGTCCCATCTGGTGGTGCCGCCGCCCCAGCTGCTGGCGGTGGTGCTGCCGCTGCCGGTGGTGCTGCCGAGGAGGCACCAAAGGAGGAGGCCAAGGAAGAGGAGAAGGAGGAGTCCGACGAGGACATGGGCTTCGGTCTGTTCGACTAAGCGTGTCGCAGTCAAAATGGAGGAAGCAAAGCATTCGGGTTGGAAGAAAAGCGCATGTGTACGGTGGATCCATGGAATGTGGTTCTGTTCTGCATGCGCCTAGGAATCTCAGTGATGGGAGGACATCTACAGACTTCTCGAATGACATGACGTCTCCGCCAAGTTCCAAAGTACCATCTGCAATCATCATCCCGCGTACTATGTCCCGAGCATGACCATGCCAACCAATGTATTGATGTTTTGTGAAAATCTATGTCCAACCGCGAGGACTCTCTATCATACGAAAGGTCCTATTCGTTCTGCCACTCAATCCTCCTCATCAGCCCCCTCCTCCAACGCCAACCAAGCACTTCTACATTTCACAGCAGCCGCTCTCACGTTCCTCTTCGCATCATCAAGACATCCAAGCAGCTTTTTAACCACCGGTCTCCGGTACGGCACCACAGCTTCACTCTTCAGCTGCCGCGGCACAAGCGTCAGACACTGCAGTGCCTTCTCCCTGACTTTGGCGACGTTGCCAGGGCCCGAAGTTGCGTTCAGCAGTCGCGTGATGAGCGATGCTGAGTGCTCTGCTGCGATGTTCGGGTCGTGCATCAAGAGTGATTCGAACACGGTCAGAGTGGAGTCCTTGACAGGTTGGTCGGCTTTGTCGTTCAGATCCAGGCTTTGAAGTAGTGAGGGCATTAGGGAGCCTAGCGAGGACTCGATGATAGAGTAGGGAAGCCATCTCAGAATGCCCGACATGGCAACGAGGTACTTGGGCTTCACACTCGCTTCTGCGGTCCTCACGCTTTCGACCATGGGTGAAATAGTCTGGCTGAAGGTCTTCTGCTTGTAGAGGTTCGATACCAAGCAATGGTTGTCCTTGGTGAGAATGTCATCGGGAGCCAGCAGTTCAGCGAATCTTCGTGCAAATGTCTTGTCCGCTTTGGGCAGGGTCTGTAATAGGAGTTGAATGTACTTCATCATCAATGCACCGCTTCGGCCTTGGATGATGAGAGCCTTGACAACTGCGAAAGCCACGGTGACTTTTTCAGGGGTTGCTTCACCACTGAGCAAGGCTTCGACTTCTATGCCTGCATCCTGGAGCGTTCTCTGCATCGAGTCGGACTTGAGGAACTTGTTGATCACTAGCGACAAGTGTCGCGCAACGATGCTCGAGCCTGTAGAGTCTTGTGTTCCGCCCAGAAGATAGTGAGAGACTGCTTTCAGCAAGGAGACAATGTTCGATGGATCGACGATTTCAGGGCGTAGGGAGGCATAGTAGTACGTCGAGAACGGCGCGAATCGACGCACTCTCGAGTCGGCGGTGTCGATGCCATCAGCGGAAGACAGCATCCATTCCATGTTCTTGTTGTATATTGAGCTTTGAAAATGTGGCGATTGTTGTCTGAGAATCACATTGGTCAGGCGACCGATGATCTCTGCAGTCGAATCATCCTGTTCGGAAGGTAGAGCATCTCGAAGCCTGTCAATCAGGGGCTCAGCGTAGTCGGAGAAGTACGAGCTTCGAATTGTGCCGTCTTCTCGCATGGGCGACCCGTAAGTGAACACGTAGAGAAGAGCTAGGAGAAGCGCACGCTGGTACTCCTTCGATGCATTTTGAAACTTCGCAGCGTTCAACTTGTTCTTGATGCGGACGGCAACTGTGTCAAAGATCTGCTGCTCTGAGCTGAGCTGGACAAATGCTTCTAGCACCGGCTTCCAGGACGCTCCATCTTGCGGTACATCTGGTAGCTGCACCATGAATGCTGGTATTGATTGCTGGCGTACGGCCTCCGGCAGGGCGTGGGCAACGTCCACCAAGCTCTTGACAGCTTCCGCACTGATGTCGCCATGGCCTTCGATTCGCTCGTGCAGGATGACTTCGTCGATCGCGTCTATGGCACGCTTGATCTGATCTTCTGACAGAGCACTGCGAACAGTTGCTAGTTGCGAAAGGCCGCTTAACGCTGCCAGCCGGAAGGAGACTTCAGCCTTTGGTGCATTGGCAATAGCACGGACCATAGCGCTGAGAGCATCGTCGGCAAAGGCTTGCAAGGCCTCTGCATTTGCTTTTGGATCTGACATTTGAAGGTCTCGATATGCGCTCACGATCTGATTGAAGACCTCGATAAGCCCTCTCCGTTTTGCAATGGATTCCGAAGATTGGAAAAGCGTGAACAAAACTGGGAACACCCCTTTAGCAATCTTGTCGGCTACTGTAGGGCCAGCCTTGGAGACGGCATGCAGAATCCTGCCAGCGCCTTGTGATTGCTTTGTCGGCGCGTCTTCGAGGTGCTCGTTGCACTCCTTCACGATGGGGCGAATGTATGAGTTGAGCGGTCCTTCGGATGTTGCGAATTTCTCAGCGATGAGTTCGAGAGCCTTCAGCGCCTCCTGCGCAAGGTCTTCCTCTTGAATGTTTATAATCTCGAACTTCAATGCGTCCCACAAGGTAACGGAGTATAGGTTGATCGTGTTGGCAAGGTACCGACTGATGCATGCTTGGAGCGTCTGCAACACATCTCTCTTCGTGTTGATCGAGGTCGAGTCCAGCTTGTCCAGCAACGCCGGGAACGCATAAGGAGCAAAATCAGAGTTCGCCGCTATGCAGTCTCGCAGCCGATCTTTCAGATCCTGCGCAGTAATACCATATGGATCGTCTGGCGGTGGCTTGAACGTAATCGGGAAGTAGTTGAAGACAGCCTCAAACATATCCTGTGCGTTGGCTTGAATATCCCACTCAGCCATGGGGACCTGAAGCAACGAGAACACAATCATCAAGTTCCGTGGATCCTTCTCACCTTCGAAGTACGATATGAAGCCTTCCATGAACTGTGGGTCATCCTCGTGAATCTGCTTGATAGCCGTCCGATACTTGGCCAGCAAACGGTCCACGAGTTGAATGATCGGATATCGCTCCGTCTGGAGCTTGAACTGCCGAATAGGATGCGTATGGTCCATGAACGTCCGCATCACCTTCTGTGCAGTCTCCGCGTCCCATTTCCCAAGGCTTTCGAGCGCAAGCAGCGCCCTCGCTGAAGCCCCGACGCCTTCGACATCGCCCTCCAATCGGCCAAGAATGAAGTCGTTCAGAAGCCTTCTTTCTTGGCCCGACAAGACCTTTAGAGGGACATGTTCGAGCACATCGGCAAGGTAGGCGACTGCTTTGGCGCGGATGGCGCCGTCGCTTTTGTTGTTGATGTACTCCTCGAGGCTGGTGATGAGGTCGATGAGTTTTAGTTGTTTTTCCTGGAGTTTGGTGGCACTTTGCGTGGCTATCCGTTCCGCTTCAGGCTTGTTCTTGTCTACCTCGAGCAGGTAGAGCTGGATGTCTGACATTGCCTCATGTCTCTTGTTAGTTGAGTTTGTCCTTGCACATGGAGTCAATCTATGGATACCGTAGTTTTTCGATGCCAAATAAGCCTCACGTCATTCGCCAATCTAGCGGGATTGCCGCTAGCGCATAATCACACTAGGGAGCAGAAGTTGTGGTTACGATTCACTTAACATCACTTTCACATGTTTCGAGAAGTAGTCACAGTATTCAGCAGTACTATTAGCGAGCGAATTACACTATATACATGAGGTGCACGTGTGCACCTCCCATTCCGATTGACATCCTACAAAAACGAGCTCGGCGTATGTCTAGAAGCCGAATGGATTCTGAGGAGCTGGGAGAGATGGTCAGCATTTGAAAGCTTAGATGTTCTCATTGAGAGAAGAAACTTACTTGCTTTGGACAGATTGGCTCTGCCAGTCGGCTGTGGTACTAGCGGCTTTGCTCCGGGCTGCACGCCAAATCGTACGGGCGGTGGCGGTCCTGTCTTCTGAGCCACCAAGGGCGCAGCAGTCTGCTGAGGCGCGACAGGCTGGGACGGGCCAAACACACCTCCAGTCTGCTGAGGTGGTAACTGAGGCGCTGGTTGCGTCGGCTGTGCTCCGAACCCATTGATGCCGGTCGGTTGCGATATGCTGAAGGCCGGCTGGAAGCCAGTCTGTTGCGGAGTAAACGAGTTCGACAAACCAGAAGGGATGGGCTGGAATTGCTGCCTTGGCGGATCTGCAAAAGGCGAGCCGCTCTGTTGACCGTTCATGATTTGCTGCTGGTAGGTCGGTTGACCCATACCCAGCTGCTGTGCTTGCTGCTGACCGAATTGTGATTGAGGCTGGAAACCCGTTGGCTGTGGTTGCAAGGCAGGGTAGTTCTGCTGCATCGCTGGGATGCCATTCTGCTGCGGTGGCATTCCGTTTGATTGTTGGAAGCCTGGGCCATATCCTGTGGGGGACTGATACGATGTTTGCTGCGGCTGCATCGGCTGGAATTGTTGCTGTGGCGGCGGCATTTGAGGGGGATACCCAGTCAATTGAGGCTGCAAAGGTGAAGGCCCAAAAGAAGACTGTTGAGGGAATCCTGGAGCAGAGGAAGCCCGCGGAGGCGGAGGCATATTAAGCGAACTGCCAGTCGCTTGCTGAGGCGGTGGTGCCGGTCTTTGTCGTGGCATCGCCGTCTGCTGCGGTTGCATGGGCTGCTGCTGCTGGAAGCCAGTCTGCTGCTGTTGCATGGGGGGCTGCTGCTGAAAGCCAGTCTGCATAGGGGGCATGGGCGGCTGTTGATATCCAGTCTGCATCGGCTGTTGTTGAGGTGGGCGATTAGCAGGCGCGAGGGCAGCAATCTTGTCGAAGATAGCCTGGTTTGCACCAGCTGGTTGCTGTGGTTGCTGTGGTTGGGCAGGTTGAGCGGGCGCCGCAACTGGTGCGGGAGCTGGTGCTGGAGCGGGCGTGGGCTGTAAGGGCGGGTTAGAGATCGTAAGCGAAACGAGGTCATCGTTGAGCTTTGGCTTGGGCGGTTCAATCACTGGTGCAGGAGCTGGCGCAGGGGCTGGCGCAGGTGTAGAACTGGCTGTGGCAGTTGGAGTCTGCGATCTTGCTGGCTTGACGTCCCAGGCATCATCATCGAAACCACCGGTAGGTTGCCGTGCTGGAGCAGACGTGAGCGGTGTTGCTTTTGCGTCTGTTGGTGGCTCATTGGTCGCTGGACTCTCCGTCTTTGGCTTGAACGCGCTTTCATCCACAACATCGTTCGTCTGAACCGCTGGCGCTGGTCTCCCCTTTCGAGTATTGTTTCTGAGCGCACCGCCAGGCCCAGAGAACAAACCTCCCTCAGCTCCATTTGCATCCTGTCCGCTCGGTGAGGCAACGTCCCGTGTACGGTCGTATTTGTTGTCAAGGAACTTCATCACCCGTAGAATGTCACCTTCCTTGAGTCCAAGCGTTCGTAGTAGTTGCTCGTTGACCTCAGGCAGGATTTCTGGGCTCATCTGGTCTCTTGAAAAAGCGCCAGCATAACGCTCACAAATCTGAGGATTGACACCGCACTGCAAGAAGAAATCGAACCAGTCGTACTCGTCTTTCTTCTGCACGCTCGCTCCAGCTCCGGCACCTCGTGTACCATTTTGGCGATCACCGTCTTTCTGTCGTTGCGTGTTGCGTCGCTTGATGTCCGACAAAGGCTTGTCCTCATCCAAGCTCGCCCCTGTCGCGCGCTCCACATACTCCAGGTCTTCGACCGCCATTTTAGCCACAGGCACTGCGATTTTGACACCATTCAACTTGTGAAGATGAATCTTGCCCTCTCGAAGTCCAATAAATTCTGCCTCCACTTTGAAGCTTCCTGATCGATCTGTCCATGTCCTTATTCTTGATGAGTTCGGCTTACTCTTGGGCTGCTCTTTTGAGCCACGCTTATCAGAACCACGCATCGATGTGCGTCTCGTGTCGCCTGCAAGACTGCTGCGACGCTCTGGAGGTACGACCTCTCCATCGCGCTTTTTGTCTCTTTTAGACGCCTCTTTAGCGAGACGCTCCTCTTCCAGTCTGTTTTGCTCCACCGTACTTCGCGCCGCAGTCAATCCGGAAATGCTGTCTGAGGTGGAGGGTACAACGCCAGTGATTTCGACATAGGACGATGGAACCACGCCTTCTTTCCCATTCTTCAATCGGCGCACCATCCACCACTCTTCACTCTTAGTGTCGTCAAGAACGATGACCTGATCGCCGACAGCTACGGTGACCTCGTCGGCGCCCTGTGCCATGAATTCATACAACATTTGACCCAGCTTTTTGCCAGCAGCCCCAGTGCCCGCGCTTGCAGCTAGGACCTCCCGCAGACCTTCTCCTCTTGCAGCGCCGGCGAGCTCACCCAGAGCCGCGACGATCTCCTGCGCAGTATCTTTTGCTCCGGCGTGGAAGTCTATGCTCTTGCTGGGCCGCACGAGCTCCACAAACACGTGCTTGCCTTCAATACTGTAATGGGTAAGCTTGTCGGCGGTCCATTCCTTGCTCGGGCCGTCTCTGCTCTTCTCAGGACTGATCATGACAATTCCTTTGGCAATGTTGATGCCCAATGTTGTCGGCATTTTCTTGTTTTTGCCCATGTGTGAGACCATCTCGTGGATGTTGTAAAGGTGGAAGCCACCAGGCGAACGTTGAGCTTCTTCTCCATATTCATCCTCATACGATGTCGAGATTACTCGGTTGTGTGGAGGTGAAGGTAAGACTCCTGGTGGCTCTGTATCCCGAGGCGAAGCGAATTGGACTTGTGGCCGGGACGGCGGTGAAACAGGGTAACTCTGCGAGGGTGGTCGTTGTGGAAGAGAAGGTGCTGCCTCCTCGTCGCTCTCTTCGGGTGTGTATTGCGGTCTCTGGGGCAGTGGAGGCGAAGCGAGTCCGCGCTCTGTGCTCGGTGACGGTTGTGTGCCCCCAGTCCTTTGCGCAATGATTCCTGCTAATTGTGCAGCAGGATTGTTGGCAGGCGGATCGGGAGACGGCGTTGGACGGGTGCCCGGATCAGGATAATCGGCCTCACCAGGGATCGGTCCATCATCAGCAGCTGGTGGCCTCGCGGGCATGGGTGGAGGTGCTGGTGCCAGGTTGCGAGTCGGCGGTGCCGCCGCAGCAGAATCTAGACGCTCAATGTATATTGCAGGGGCGAAGCCATACTCGCCGTGAGCGCCCACCAGTGTCCAATCTGGGTCGCTAACATCGTAAACATCCAGCCGAGCGTCCTCCTTGAAGCTCAATTCCTCATCTGTCTGCTTGGTGTAGTCATATAAAGCCTTGGCCTGGTAGATAGGATGCACCTCTTCAATGTAGTTGTTTGGCACCAGGCCCTCAGGCTCTTCGTCATCATCAGATGTCGCCTTCTTCTTGCATCTCCACCAATCATCCTCTGTGCTCTTCTCCAGAACGAGTAGAAGGTCGCCCTCCTTAATTTCAAGCTCCTCGTCGCTCTGGGCCTGGTAGTCGAAGACCGCCCGGTAGCAGCCAAGGAATAGACCCATAGTCAAAGCGGCGGCGGCGACGCGTGTAGTGAGGTATTCACTGAGTGCTGAAGGCAACCAAATGGGTAGATGTACAAAGTGCGACCAGAACACGTGGGCTGGCCGTCAGACCAGCAATGTCACGGCTTGCCGCTGTCACGGCTTGCCGCTGTCGGCTCAGGAGACGAATATGTCGGTTGCACGCCGGCGGAAGAGGGCGGCGGAGGGCAGCGGGAATGTCGACGACGACGGTATGGGAGGAGTGGCCCAGCGACGTTTCAGGCAGCCTGGTCGGTGGGCATGGCAGATGAATGTGAGGTTTCCTTGTTGTTTCCGCCGCCGCGCATGCACACCTCATGCAAGCTTGGACTTCGCTATGTCATCAGCGCCAGCCAGACATCGGCTTCTCTGCCAGCCACTGCAATCTCTCTCTGACCTGCATTACTTCAACAACATTTCACCTTTTTAAAACTGCAGTATCCACATGTCGACGACGAGCTTAACCTTACGACAGTCTACGGTCATGCACTACAGCAATGAAAGAAGCAGCTCTCAACTCCCACCGCGTTGGAATTGTCTACGGAACTCGTCTTCAACTGAACTCCGGGCTGAGCATTGGATGCATCTGGGCATGTCAAACTTCACGCCAGCACAGTGTGCTTGTAGTTCTGTAAAGCAACCCGCCCGTATTGTTGTTTTACAGGAGCCTGAACCGCCCGCCAGAAACTCAAGACTCGAGGCGTATGTCTCCGTGGACAGGTCAATCACAGCATGTTCCGAGTTCAATGCTCAGAAAGGAACACCTCACGGGCTTCGAACCAAGATCCTCAATTCTATAAGCGTGTATCTACATCAAATTCAATCTTGTCGGCCAAGCACGTAGGCGGACGAGGATATTGTAGAGCATCGTCTGCTCCCCTGCAACTCCTTTCTCAATTTCCTGCGTCGTTGCCCACTAGCAGGTGACAATTTGCCAGCCCAGTGCTATGACTTCGTTCTCTCCTTGTTACAGGTTGTTCTGTCCAAATGTTTCCAGACTTGAAGCTCCATCATCAGCTTGCAGGTCCAGTCAACCACACGCCTTGATGAGGCTATCATTGCCTCCGTAACCTTCACTCCTTCAACGTTCGACCTTTGGACCCACTTTTTTGAGATGGAGGTACATATAATGACACGGCTATATCCGCTCTGATTCTGCAAGCCTCCGAACTGGTTGAGAGCAGTTCAAAGCTACGGTGGCCGAGTGGTCTAAGGCGGTAGATTTAAGTCAGGCGCATGCCTGCAAACACTCTACTGGGGAGACCCGCGCGCGGTAAATTAACTCTGTGTATCTTTCTTTGACGTTTCTCTAATTAAACGCAGTTCGAACCGCGTCCGTAGCATCATCTTTTGCAGACTCGAGTTGATGTTTAATTTACTTTTTGGAGGGTAAGGGTGTGGTAGGGTGGTCGTTTAGAGGTGTATGAGAGTGAATTGGTTTTTTGGCCTTCGTTGCAGGGCTCCGTTTGACATCGACTTTCCAACTATGGAACCCCACAGATGAATTCTCCTTGCGTGCTCACTTCGATATACACTGAACGGAGTAATGCGACTTTTACTTGTTGAAAGATGCCCTAAAGCAGACCATTCGACAAGGAAAATTGATCTGGACTCTACCAACCTCACAATTTGGCGCTCCAGAGCAACACAAGCAAGCCTGTCATTCACTCCATGAAAGGTCCGTGCTTGCCAACGGCCGGCTGTGCAGGCGGCATTGCAACACGGCTCTCAACGCCTTCGCAAAATCCAATGCAAACAATTGAACATCGTTCTTTGGACTCGTTATCGACATCTGATGGATTGCATTGCAAGACCTTGCGCCGCCTCATTGTGAGCCATTTGATTGAGATGGACGGGCGGCCATACTGGGGCAGATGGATCACGAGATGCACAGCCCTGGACGGCCGGCTGCTGCGCATTGAGGAACACATGATCTACCAACCACTCATATCCAGGCTGCATCTCCCACAACATGGCAACGGATTCTCCTCCGCGGCTGCCTGCGCCTCAATTGGCGGAGATGTCTGCAGGAACAAGGCACCTCTGCATCTTCAACTTCCGTCCCGAACTAACTCCTTCACCGGTGAGGATGACTGAGGATGTTCTTGAGGAGGAACGCCAGGTTTTTATCGCGTGCGAACCACACTACATAGCCCTCTATAGCTCACAACATAGCCCCGGATTCAACACTTTTTACGAGGGGTTGTTTATTCCCCAAGGTTGGCTATGCAAAGCATGGCATGGCCTGCTGTTTTATTATCTTGGGAAGCGTCGCAATCGTCTTCTCGTTCCCCTTCTCTCCCTGACCTCTTATCGTCATCGTCGAGCTTGGCGTCATCTTCCAGGTCTCTCCTCTGGTCCATCTATTCTGTAAGCGGACACGCAAACGCCAATACCCAAGCCCGCAGACGTCAACCCAGCAAGACGCATACTGCAACTACTCCTAGCGCCAAGCTTCCATACGAATCGACAAGTACCTAGACCGTCGACCGTCTGACAAGGAAGCGCCGTTGGAAGGCTGTGAGCAGAGACCAACTAGCGCTCTCGACCTGCGTAAGGCTGCCTGGCATTGAAGGTTCGAAAAGCATGTGAAGGTGGGCGGTCGGTGAATGAACACAGCACGCTAACACTTGGCAGTCTTCTACACGAGAGGAATCAGTTAGCCCAAAGAGGCAGTTGCGAACCCGTCGTCTGGATCCAAGAACTTCCTGTGTCGGTCGGACACACTTCCGTGTCGGACACCTATCGTGCGAACAAGTTGCAATACTCTTAGACCCTATCAACCTATTACTCAACGCCATTGACTCGTCCCGGCATCCAGAATCCGATCGTTCACCGGTCTCCTTAGGCTACGAGGTTCTTGACCCTCTTGTACCGACGACAAAGGTTTCCCTAACCTTGGACACCTTCTTCTCTGTCTTCGTGAACAGCTTTGGTGCCTGAACCTTGTGTCGAAGTACATCCACGGCAGTAAGAAGAACCACAGCAAGCGCTGGCACGGATGGTTCTTCTTCGAGTTTCGTAAATCCAAGCGTCCGCCAAGCACGACATGGCCCTGGAGCATCCGACCTTCTCTCGCTATACTCTGGGCTGCCTGCTGGATGTTTTATGACTCGGAAAACCGCAATCCCATCTTCGACGACCAAGGAAACATGGTCGACGCACAGGGGACCGTCCTGGTGCCAAGCCACATAATCGACCACTGGCTACCCGGCGTACGGCGACAGCACCGCCCAGCGCGATACCAAGGTGAGCGCAAACCATTCCAGATTCTGAAGTCGGTGATGAGAGAACGAAGTTGTTAATTTGTGTACTGCAGCACACGACTTGGCGAGCTTCGGCATGGTCTCGCCCAATCAGATGCCGCGTGGCGTGCAGGGGCCACAGCGGTCGCAGGGCGGCCAGGCATCGATCTCGACTTCCTCGATGGCCGCTTCTTCTGCTCAGCCACACTCCACCGGCTTCACCTCTTCCCCATCGCCCTCGTCCGCGCACCGTGAGTCACTGCGATTCGCCCACAACATCAGCAGCAACAGCAACGCCAACGTGTCGCTCGTGCCTGGAGGCGGGCAGCACCAGCAGGCAGGCGGACCATCACATGACCAGATTGGCAGTCTAGCTATTACCGGTACAAATAACACGTACCGCAACGCTACCGCCGCTGCGCCCACGTCGGCTCACGCGTACTCCCCTTCCGCGGATTCCCTCTGGGTGCCTCAGGATTACTCTCACTCATCGGGCTCAGCAGGCTTGGCCTTTGACAACAACGGCGGCAGCGCATACCCAGCTGACGACATTTCATGGCTCCAAACGGAGCAGCCTGGACTTGTGTATGAGCAGTCTTCGCAGCACCAGCCTTTGCCACCGCGTCCGCGCAACCCGTCCACTCCGGCCATAAGAGTCACTACCGACTTCGCCGGCGCACAAGACTTCTCACAGCCTCAGGACGCGACCTTTTCCGCGTCATCTGCCAACTCGTCTTTGCCACCTCACGAGTACCACGCCTATAACAACTTCTCCTCTGGCCATTTAAGCCCCCAAAGGCCGCACTTCATGCCTCAGGTGCAGGATTCAGAAAATATGCAGACGCCCGTTTCGCCTGTGAGCCCTCAGCATTCGCCCCACGATACATCTATGGCCGAACCGGGATCGAGAAAGCGGTCGCATTCAGAAATGTCACATCAAGATGTGGCTGCAATCGCGAATGCAGCAGCGCACAGTCGATCGGGTTCGATAGTCTCTGCGACGTCACCAAACGAACCGTCGGATGAGTTCTATCCTAAACGACAGAATACACGCGCGTTCAAGCGCGGCGACCCTCCTATGAATGAAGAGCACAAGTTCATTTGTGATTTCTCAGAAGAATGCAGAGGGCAGACATTTGATCGAAAATGTGAATGGAGGTAAGTTGGGATGACAGTAGTCGCTTTCTTCACAATACTAACAAGCCATAGCAAACATATGGACAAGCACGATCGGCCTTACCGCTGTCCGCATCCATCATGTGCCAAACTACAAGGTTTCACGTATTCTGGTGGACTCCTACGACATGAGCGCGAAGTTCACGGGAAGCATGGTGGGCCAAAGGCTCAACTAATGTGTCCATACACGGATTGCAAGCGACATTCCGGAAAGGGCTTTACCAGGAAAGAGAACCTCAACGAACACTTGCGACGTGTGCATGCGACAAGAGAGCAAGACTCGCAGAATCCATCGTTGAGGAGAGATGCAACTGATATTACCTTGGGCCTGGACGAAGGAGAAACCCCAGCTTCACGACTATCTGAGACTGGCGATCAGGACGAACTGGTCACATCACCAATGCTAGGGAAGCGCAAGCGCGAAAGCCTCTGTGGCTTGGAGACCGATTCCATTGACGACCTCGAGAATATGAGGCAAGAAGTCAAGCGTCTACGTGCGGAAGCCGAGCAGAAGGATGAACGCATACGCCAGATGGAGGAGGCGGCCACCAAGAACGAGGAGCGAACACGACAACTTGAGGCGTTGGTCAATATGCGACAATTACAACAGGCACCGAACGAAGGATAGGAAGCTTTGATTCGCGGAGACTATTGATTGTTGAGAGACTTGGAAATGGCGAGGCGTTAGAAGGTGGGCTGTGTTCGTTAGGCACGAATGCCGTGTGATCAAAGCGGAGCTTTGCTGGAGGGGTGTCGTTGGTTGATAAGAGGAGTCAGAATGCTGCTGCCTTGAACTAAAGGACTAGGCAGAGCTGGGGTCATGGGGTGAAGAGGAGAGAGATCGTTTGCTTCGCAGCTCAATACCCACAGACCGTTGTATGCAGTGTATCGATAATAACAATGAAAATATTCATAAAGCTCGAACTATCCATATGTCGTGAAGTCGGAAAGCATGTGCAAGTGCCTGAGGCAGAAGTTCCTCTTAACATTCAGAATGTACTGCCGATGTAAACATGACTTCCCACTGTCCAAGATGTCAGATTTCCTCCCGCTTTGGAGGCGATAGTCCTCCTGCTGTCTCCCGCAAAGACGTCTTCACCGCCACACGCATGTAGGTTATCCAGCGCTTGACCACTGATAACCACCACAGCCGTATCCGCATCCCCTCTCAACAACACCCTCCCCTCACCAAGGCAACTCATACCCCTCCCGATGCCAAAACTTGCCCGTCTCCTCCAACCCATGCGCCATAAAGACTGACCACAACTTCCCCGCCGCCTCCTCCGGCTCCACGCTCTCCGCGACCTGCTCCGCCCCCGGCACCATGCCCGTCCTCGTAATCCCCGGATGCAACAACGTAACCACAACCCCCTTCTCCCTCAAATCCACCGCCAGACTCTTCCCAACCGAATTCACCGCCGCCTTCGACGCGCGGTACGCATAGCTCCCACCCGTGCTATTATCGCCTATACTCCCGACTCTGCTGCTGACGATGCCGACGCGGGGGGCGGCGGACGCGAGGAGGTTCTCGAGGAGGGACTGCGTGAGGAGGAGGGGTCCGAAGGTGTTGGTTTCGAAGACGGAGGTGAGGGTTTCTTTCGTGACGTGCCCGAGGGTGTCGGCTTCGCCTGGGGCCATGATTCCTGCAACGTTGAGGAGGATGTCGATGGGTTTGCTGGCGAGTTGTTGGGCGAAGCCGGATATTGATTCGGGGGAGCGGACGTCGAGGCCTATGGGGGTGGGTTGTTAGTTGGGCGTGGTGGATTGGGGCGGGATGGGTGGGTGGCAGACGGTGTAGACGGCATTGCAGTGATTGCAGCCGCTCTCCTACGGCCACATCGGCAGCCTGCCAGGGTCAGTGTCTGGCTTCATGAAGCCTGATCGGTGTGCTCGTCGGTCAAGTGCATACATGAACTTCATAGCCCTTTGAGTCGTGTCAGTCGGGCTTGCTGCGTCGATGGCGTGGTGTTTGCCTCATACCTCTTGAATGAGGAGTTGAGCAAAAGCGTGTCCAATGCCACTGTTGATCCTCTCAGTTTGGTGTTTGACTCGGTAGGAAGCTCTCGTTGCTGCCCAACGCTGCTGATGTCGCGTCCTACCTGTTGGCGCCGGTAACCACTGCTGTCGGCATGATTGTCGTTGTTAGAGCTGGTATCCTGTAGTCCTTCGTAGTCTATTTTTCGTCTCCCCACACAAAAGAGACTGGTTCATGAGCGTGATAGCCTTACAAACGCCTTTGAGCTGGAGAGACAGGATGCGGGACGACACTGTCCAACGTCATACCTCGCAAGACACAGCCAGCCAGTCAGCCTGCTGTGCCGTGCTGTCTCCCCTCACTTGACCTCTGCCAACCGTCGAGTGGAGCAACCTGGCTTCAGGAACCTCATCTTGTTGATGATGAAAAGTTGATGAGACGAGCTTCGTACTGATGAGGTCGAGTAGCGTCCTCTAGCTCGACTCGTCAAAGGAATCCTGGACACCATTGAGATGGATCACATGACTCGTGGCGATGATTCAGAAGACTTCACGTTCCATGGAGATGGACATTGCGGAAAACGCGGATTCACATCGTTACGTACATACTGAACCCTTCATCATCGGAGACTCAACGACATATCATCACCGTCAAGCCGCCACAGGAGCCACCTTCCCAGCCGCCTTATCATTAGGAACGACACGGAAGCCCTCCCACTTCGGCAACTTGGCACGAATCTCCTGCTTGTAGTTCGCCAGCCCTCCAGCGTAGTTGACCTGCTCGAAAGCCTTGCCCGGAAGAGAGCCGCCCATGTAGGTCGACTTGGTGGTCGGGAAGAGGGAGCAGTCGCTCAGAGCGTTGATGCGCTTCTTCCACTCCTTGCTGGCTTCTTCGGTCGGGTCGATGAATTTGATGTTTTGGCTGACGCAGTTGTTGATTGCGTCGCGGATCCAGCGGCCTTGGACCTGTACGACGATCTGTCAGACATCGAAGAGCATTGATTGAATGTTCTATCAAGACTCACCTCAACACTCGTCGGTCCGTTGGAGAGCAACGTCGGTCCGTGAGGTCCGTACAAGTGGAACATGTTCGGATAGCCGGAGACCGTCGTGCCTGTGGCGATCTGTCAGCACAAGATGCATTTCGATGCCAGCGAGCATGGACATACCAAGGTAAGTATACGCAGCCCTCTTCCACTCGTCCTTCAGATACGTGCCCTTGACGCTCTTCAAGCCCATATTGGTCATACCGCCGGTGGTGATATCAAAGCCAGTTGCAATGGCAATGACATCGAAGTCGTATTGCTTGCCATCGGTCGTCTTGATGCCCTTCTCGTTGACTGCCAAGACAAGTCAGCCTCCCTGAGTACAATTGCAGACCAACTTGGATGAACGTACACTCCGCAATGCTATTGCCCGACTTCAACGAGATATCCACGACATCAACATTCGGACGGTTGAACTGCTCATAGTAGTTCTGCTCAAGACATGGCCTCTTGACGCCGAAAGGATGAGGAGGCTCAAGCGGAGCCAGCAAGTCACGCTTGCGAGGATCGTGGATTCTGGCCCGCTGCTTCTTCGCCCAGAAGTTGTATGCCTCCCTGTTCGACTTGTTGTCGTACAGGTAATCTGCGAAGTTTCCAAGCCAGAAGGCGACTAGAAGACGTCAGTATCGATGGGCAGTGATGGGATAGGGCGGGCTTACAGCCACCATGCTCCCAGAGCATCTGGTAGAACCTCTCACGCTCGTCCTTTGGAACATCGAAGGTGTACCTCTCGTCCAGGTCGAAGCAGAAGCCGCCGAAGCAACGCTCGCGGTAGGCGAAGAGCTCTGGATAGAAGGGCTTTGAACGTCAGCATTTACCCCAGTGGTCAGTGTCTCTTCGACTTGCCTTCAACTTGTTCTGCTCTTCGACGCTGAGGTCACGTTTGCCCATGGGGACTGCAAGGTTGGGTGTTCCTAGAGGGGGTAAGTCATGCTTTTAGAAAGCGGTACTTTCGTTGCTCACGCTGGAAGACATGCAGGGAGCCAGCGATTGGTCCCCATTCTTGAGCGATCTTTGTAGCTGGTCAGTATGCTGAGCCCAACCTCACACTTCAACATGATGGCGTACCTGCACACCAGATGCTCCTGTCCCAATCACAGCACATCGCTTGCCACGGACATCGACGCCCTCAGGAGGCCAGAAAGAGCTGTGATACATCGTGCCTTTGAACTTGTCAAGCCCAGGGAAGTCGGGAATGTAACGCTTGGCCGCAACTTGAGGGTACCGTTAGCCAGTGTCAAGCATGACCATCCTTCTTGTATTCCACTCACATCCAGCTGCCACAATCATGAACCTGGCCTTGGCAGTTCGTCCATCCACCGTCTTGACTGTCCACTTGCCCTCCTTCTCATCGAACTCGGCCCCAGTCACACAAGTCTCGAAGGCACAGTCCTTGCTCAGCCTGTGGAATGTCAGTGTACGTGTGCTGGCGGTAGAGGAGAGTGATTGCGTACTCGAGGACTTTGTCTGCATGGTCAAAGTATGCTTGCAACTCTTGATAATTTGGATCTGGCAAAGTAAGTGAGATGGTCCGACGACATTCTCATTGTTCACTCACAATTGGTAGACCACGTCCAATCCTTCCACACTTCTGGTATGCTGAGCTCGTAGATGGGTACTTCAGAGTCGACACGTGCTCCCTTTCCCAAGTCAGCTTGGGCTTCGTATTTGCTTCGGGTTTAGCAAAGTCATACAGGGTAGATGTTCCATCTCCAAGTTCCACCTGGCGAGGTCAGTGAGTACGACTGAAGTAGAGGGTTGATTGAGCATACCGAAGCTCGTGCCTGCCTCGTACAAGACAGTCTTGTAACCAGCCTTACGCATCTCGTGGAGGAGGTAGACACCACCAAACCCAGCTCCGACGATCAAGACATCGATGCTGGGAGAAAGAGTTCAGAGTCATCGTTTGGGTATGTCGTCCAGAAACACTGACTCAAGGTTGTCCGCATACGGACCATCCATAGCACGGCGTCGACCATACTCAGCAAGCTCCCGGTGGAGCACGCGCTCTTGTGGACCATACTGCTCGACCTGATGGATGCCAGACATCTCTGCTTGCAAACCGCGGATGGATAGGACTTTCTTCAACGACGGCATTTACTCCAGGAAGGAAGGGAAAACTGAGGACATGCTGTCGAACCTTTGTATACAGCGGATTTCCCCTCAACAGATCTCGGGCCCGACAGTATGGGCGTAGAAGGAGGAGCTTCGACATTGGGACAGGGTGAAGGGGAGACGCAGGCGCAGGTACTGGGAGTGGTGTTTGAGGGGATTCTGACTCCTTTAAGCCATTGACATGGGGTTGCTCATTCTGTTTGGTCCAGTTCGTAAGCGGAGGAGAAGCCTATGTGCGGAGATGCTGCCAATTCTGCGTAACATTGGGCTTGGAAGAGTGTGGCCATGTCATCCGAGTCAGTCTTTTGCTCCTGACATCCGCTACTTGGTACACGGATGATGGGAGAAGCTGCATGGCGGTCGAGCGGTTCTGTGGACTTGGCGCAAGACTCTGGATTATCCAAGTTGGTGATCAGGTCGTTCGAAACGCTGGTGTTCCGTTCTCTTGCTAGTCTGTATGTGTGTTCATGTCGGCGGCAGGGTCTTTTGGGCAAAGATTGTGCTTCATGATGTCTCCGAAGGTGAATGAGACTATCGTCTGTCGTACTTCCGTGAACATGTCGGACGCCGTCTTTAATGCTTCGCCGAGCACTGAGCTGGTATACGAAAAGCTAGAGCTGGAATGCACCACCAGGGATCCTAGATGAATGCGGGGATACATGCCTGTATGTTATCAGCCGAGACACCTGAGCTTCGTGATCTGACGCCTCAGAGAGGAATCAGAGAGAAGACAGAGAGAAGTTTGACCCGGGTGGGCCGATGTCCAACCTCTTTGCTGATAAGACACCCAATGAAAGCGTAAAGTCGCTCGACCAAAGACAGAGAGAAGTGAGTCGATCCGGGAAGCTGTGGTTGAATCTTCAGTGAAAGATACCCAGGCGAAGTTGAACATGCTGGAGGGCGTGAGCGTCCGCGCAAAACAGCCAAGTAGTCGATGTGCTTGTATGATTGTCAAGCCAGGTTCATCGCTTGAGGTGATCTCATGCCACCACTCATCACCATTCACCAAAGGTCGTTCCAAAATCAATCCAATAAGCCGCAGCGGCTTGTCAGAGATTCATGATGGCACACGTTCAGCACTCATGTTGAAGAGAACTTTCCCTTCTCAACGTGATCACTGTTGCTGGGTGATACGTCCTAGACCATTGCCAAGATTGGACAGAGGGCAGCACATGAGAGCCCCAGCACGTTCCGTAGACTGCCAGTCACCCTGCGAATGCTTTCGCTGACGACGCCGGCGTGTGCGATTGACATGGCATTCTACTTCGACTGTGTGCAGCCTCAGGCAGAAGACATGTTCGAGCAGGTCGAAATAAGCAGTTTGGAGCCAAAGTCAAAAGCCACAGCACGGCAAAGCCCCTGAACCGTTCACACGCTAGCGGTCGTTGAGGACCCATAAACGTCGTGAAGGCAATATCAATGACCCTGATCTGCAAAAGGGTCTTGGGCGTTGCTGTCGACATCTGCTGCTGGCGATGAAATTTCTTCTGCTCCTGAAAAATGGGACGCCTGACGTGAGTGTCTGTGTGCAGCTTCGGACACTGACTGCCTGAGAGAAGCTCGGCGAGCTCTTAGTGAGTGGCCGAGGATCAGTTTCGAAGTATCGAAGTATCGAAGATGAATGTCTATCATCATGCTCATTGGGTTTACTGACGAAGGTGGCTGCACAATGTCTCGTCACGACCAGCGATCGAACTATGCTCCTGACCGAGGATCTCTTGCGACTCTAGAAATCGCGTACAGCACTCCAAACGTTCGACGCAGACGCGGTATGCCGCATGAAACGTCAACGCCGCGCACGCAAGCCAAGCAAGTTGTGTTCATGACGGGCACCGGCGGGCAGTGTGATCAACGAGAGGTTCTCCGGCCGAACTGAACGACGTGTAGGCACGATACCGCATGACAAACACAGGCAATGCAGAAGGTCTGTACGGATAACGGAGCTTCAGTCGCAACGAGATGCACATCGGGGTCTCGGCGCGGTCAGCACTCGGCGTAGGTGTGTCCGCGATGGGATGCGACTGCATGGCAAGGCAAACAGCTTTGCAGACCCCGCGGGATTCCACGAAATAGCGGTCATGTGCGCGGAGCTGACAATGAGAAGCGGATTCGTGCAGCAACAAGGGCTCGGTAGAAGGACTGCATTTCGACTGCGGTGCTGTCCCCGGAGTAATAATGTTCAGGATGAAACGAAAGCAGTAATCGCTCGTCAGACTCAGCCTCCTGGACGACCCGACAAACTCCTTTCGCACAGAAATATGCCGAAACTCAGAATGTGACAGCTTGAGTGCCGGACATGGTGCTGGCTACGAAACACTGTTGTCTGACCGTCAGACTGCGAGGTCCTGGTGAATCTCGGGCGAATGTTGTGACTCGCTTTTCTTTCGAAGACGTGAGCGAAGATTCCACGCAAGCGGAGTGCAGATGCATCCCTGACTCTGCGGCAAGGGGCCCTGTCAGTCGGCAGACTCGGCTCAACTCGACCTTCATTCTGTGGCAGTTTCAGGCCAGTCGCAGCGCCAACGCATCGGATTGATATGTGGTGGGTGCAGGCGTTAGCGACGTCGTCGCCTCGTTTGAGCGCAGTGCCGACTCTCGGAACCGTCGAGTTGGGCCATGCCGCCATCGTGCTGGGACTGAAGGGCACTGGGCGTGTAGCAAACTCCGCCTGACCGCCGTCGTCCGGTCGGCGCGTTGTTGTTTTGTTGTCAGACGCATACTGGGCCATCCTCACGCAGGTCTTGCGCGCCAATCGTCCGTTCAGACCGGATTTTGCGGTGACGACACACGACGACTTCACCGGGATTCAAACCTGCTTGCCAGAACTTCTCTGTTGCAGACCGCCATGCTCAGAAGGCGTGACGGCTCAGCTGATAGCTTGTGCTTCAACCCAGTCATAGACCTATTCACCGATTCTTTGCCATGATTGGAGGACCGTTAACCTAGATACGCTGTTCCCGCGAGCGTTCGGTAGTGCTTCAAGGGTGGAGTCTCTCAAGCACCCCTGCTACGAGTCTAGTCGATCTTTCTATTTTATCGCATGCGCGCATAGTGCCAAGCGACGAAGGAGTCGCTCGCTCGGGTAGCTGCGCTGGACTGAGCCTCCTGTCTCGTAAGCAGTACCGTGACAGTGGTTAGAGCGCAGCCAGGTGGTGTTCGCGAAGAGCTTATGAAGATTCGCGAAACTTGGACAAAGGCGAGTGCTGCATGTTGGTCTTCGGCTCCGAGGGTTCCAGAACAACGCCCGCAAAGCAAGAAGGGCGAGTGGTGATGCCAACATGACTGACTCAGGCTTCACGTGGTGCTGGTTGGGCGCAAGACTGAAGGCAAACGGTAGCTGCAGCAGCCATGCCCTGGCTACGAGGTGCGGCTGGGGTTAGGCGAAGCATGGCATGGCAGACGGCTAGCGGCAGTGCGCAAGAATGGCGATATGATTTCGTGCGCGGTGCACAGCCTGGGGATAGGCAGGCAGAGGGTTCATTACGGCTACGAGACAGGCATGCTCCGCGGGAGGAATGCGAGCGAGGGAGCAAGAGGTGAAGCAGAGGAATCCGAATCCTGCGCCAAGAGCAAGAAATAATGCTCTCGTATACAGCTGGGCTGGCAGCTCGGACAAGCCGTATAGCAATCCATTGGCTCGTCGCGCCGGACTGACGGTGCCGGAGTGAAGCGGCAAGGCAAGGCAGGTCGACACAGGCAGCGCGAACCGCAGTGAGTAGTGAGTGGTAGAGGAGAAGAACAGGGCCCTGCAGTCACGACGGGCAGACATGAGGCCGCCGCGTGACCGGGTGCTGCGCGCAAGTTCCAATGCCCAAGTAATCTGCCAGCGCATCGCATGAGGAGTGATTGCATGAGCGCGGTTCGCATGCAGCAGCGTCGTCGCCGCGGAGCTACAGAACGCCTGCGCGACGAGGGCGTCCTTTCAATCAGTTGTCCGTCGTCGACCATGTGGTGGAGAGAGCGTAAGAGGCGAGTTGTCGCGACTGCTGCTGCGAAACACAGGAGCAGATTGCAGGCCAGCACGGCTTGCGAGTCATTGGCGGAGCGCGGTGGCCCATGCGCCTACGTCACCGCGACGGCAGCTGCGACCGCTAGCTCGTCGTGTGGGGGAAGGCACACTAGGCTAGCACCTCGCCCGTACCTGAGATTTCGGCAGGCAGTGAGACGAGACGAGAGCGCGCGAGCGAGCGAGCCCCGTCGAGCAGCAGCAGCGCAGAGGAAGTGGCAGGGCACGCGCCTTCCTGCAAGTCATCATCGCGACTGCAGGCTGCATCCATTCAGTGCTTGACGCGCGCGAGCTGCGACGGCGGCCGTCCATCAAACAGTCATCGCCGCGCTGCAGCAGGAAACTTTTCGGTCCTCGATGCTGTCAGGGAGGTCCAACGGCACGCCAAATAGACTTTGCCCATCCCTGTCCCAGCGCTCGCTTTTCCCGCTGGCGTCGGGCTGCACACACGACATCCGCTCTTCTGCTTCGAAAGTCGCTGCCACCCGTACCACGCACACCCACACTCCTTCATATCATCGCCCTCTCGCCGCAGCCGCTGCGCGCTGCTCCTCTCCTTCGCCTCTCGACACACCGCACCTCGACGACACAGCACCCGCTGCAGCGCGCTCCTCCTCGCCCTCAGCCGCGCCATCCGTTGCTGGCCCCCATTCCTTCAGTCACCGACGTCTGCTCTCGACATCCGCAGCGACACCCAAGATAGCTCGTCGCGGGGTGCATCTCAGCCTTACCACATTGAAATCGCCCTGCATTTGGACATCTGCAGCACGCCGCTCGTCTGCCTGGCGCAGAGAGAGAGAGAGACGTAAAGATAGCTGGAGGCCGGATCCTCGCCAGCGCGTCCGTTCATGAGGCCCGGGAGCCACTGAAACGCCCTTGACCCTCCATCGTCGTCTACTCTCTACCGCCGCTGTGCCCTCTGGCCCCCAGGTTTCATCTGCCCGTCCGTCTGCTGCTGTGCGCCTGGCTGGTCCAGCCTGCTGCCACCCGTCCTCCCAGGCGACGCTCGTCGGCCAACTACACCTGTCACGCTCGCCGTGCGACACGCCTCGCTGCCTCTCACCGGCCCAGCTCTCCTTGTGTTACGCATTCAACGGGCGGCGCTCTGATTCTGTCGGTCACCATGCGCAGGCGTGCTCGGATCGAGTAATTCCCCTCCACCTTAGCACGGCAACCGCAACCAACATGAACCTACCCTCCGACACGCACGATCAAGATGCCGCGCGCGCACAGTCTGCCTCGTCTGCTGCCGGATCGACCCCAAAAGCGCAAGCTGCCGCATCTTATCCACCTCCAATGGCTACCATCAATACCACAGTCGCCATGACTGTGACCCCCGCTTCTGCTGCTACGAGCGCCGCTGCGTCGAGCCGTAGCAGCTCTTTCCACTACTCTACCAAACCCTTCCCAGCCGTATCCCAGGATTCGCTTCAGGAAAGCAACGGCTACTCTCCTCAAATCTACGCCTCGTCTCCCAACCCGCGTTCGGCCATGTCAGAGATCTTCTCCGAACGCTCCCCGTCACCTCATACTCGTACCGCCCCGCCTGGCGCAATGGCAGATGCGATGAGTATAGGGCGAAGTCCTAGCCTGGGACGGAGCCCGAGTCTGATTCGCAGGCTCTCTCGAGGAGCACATAACAAACTTCGACGCAGGGCGTCCACCCAACATTCAATGCGCATTCGCGACCCTAGCGCTGGCCCTACTCTCATTCGCCGACGAAGCGATAGCAATGGCGCCTCTGATATGGGCCAGGACGTCTCAGATCTGGATCTGGACAGCACCGCAGAGGACGTCATTGAAGACACTCCTTATCCCGCTTTACCATCTTCCTTCCGAGACCGAAGCAATGGCCTCGGCATCAGCCTTGGCAGGCCCAGCTTGGCTTCTAGCAACGGCAACAACACTAGCGTTTTCGAAGGAGGCATCGCACCAGCCAATTCCGCTGTCTTGGAAAACGGGACCTGGCTCACGAAACTTACGAAGCGTAGCACGAAACGGATCAAACTCTGGTTGGATTCAAACTCGGCGCGGGTATGCTGGCATTCGTCGAACCCCAGCAAATCGTTCTTCATCGACGATGTGAGAGAAGTACGTGTAGGCATCGAGTCGAGGAACGCCCGAGACGACGTCCAAATACCTGACGAGCAGGAGGGTCGTTGGGTCACGATCGTCTACGATGTACCTGAACGATCAAAGGGCAGGACCATCAAGACAATGCATGTTCTGATGCCTGACGACTACTTATTGAAGCTCTGGACGGATGCACTCAACACCGTGACCAGAGAACGAATCGAGATCATGAACGCCTTGTCTTCGTCACCTGAGAAGAGCGAACGAAGCATGACGATGGCGTGGCGACAAGTCATGGCTCGTAAAGGACAGCCTGTCGAGGAACGCTTCTCTTTGGACGACGCAAGATGGTTATGCCGTAAACTCGAGATCAACTGTTCCGACTCTGCTGTCCAGACTCACTTCAGGGCGGTCACTGCCGACGAAGCAGCTGGCTTGGACTTTGAGCAGTACCGCAGCTTCGTCCAGTCTTTCCGCGAACGAAAGGACATTCAACACATCTACAGGAACATGAAATGCGGCACTGACTTGGACATGGACCTGAGGACGTTTCTGGATTTTCTCAAGACTGAACAGGCCGTCGACGTCATCAAGGAGAAAGCATATTGGGAGAGCGTGTTTGACAAGTACTCCCGTCCCTCGCAGAACCGACCTGCTCTGCCGGACGCGCCACCCGCAGCCCCCCAACGCATGCTCAACATGCAGAGTTTCCAGAACTTCCTCACATCGTCACACAGCTCACCACTTGTACCACTTCGAGGCGAGCCCACACTGGACAAACCCCTGAACGAGTACTACATCTCTAGCTCGCACAACACCTACCTGTTGGGTCGCCAAGTCGCGGGAGCATCCAGTGTGGAAGGCTATATCGCCGCCTTGGTAAAAGGCTGTCGATGCGTGGAGATCGACTGCTGGGACGGCGACGATGGCAGACCTATGGTCACGCATGGTCGAACGATGACGACCAAGATCCCGTTCGAAGACTGTGTTTCCGTCATTGCCAAGTACGCCTTCAACAGCTCGCCTTATCCACTGATTGTCTCTCTGGAGGTACATTGCAGCGCGGATCAGCAGCTTGTCATGGTCGATCTGATGAGGAAGTACTTCGGCACCATGATGGTGACGGAGCCAATCGTGCCGAATCCTGTCAGTTTACCATCTCCTGAAGAGTTGCGACACCGGATCCTGGTCAAAGTCAAGGCCTCTGAAGACATGCAACCACCTCACCCGCTTTACGACGTGGCTAACGGTCTCTCAACTGTTGGGCGCTCTAGGGCACGAAGCATCAACAGCTTTACCCGAACCCCCTCGATTGAGAATCAAAGCAACGTTTCTTCACCTTTGGTGGCGAGCTCAATCGCGACCAGTCCTTCTGAGATTCAGCCCGCCTCGACGCCGCGAGGCTCCACCACTTCTGGTCTGACCGCGACACCAAGTAGCTCTGCCGAGGACAGCGATGAAGTGCCTATGATGAACTCTGACCTGAAGTCGGAGAACTCGAAGAAGCGCACCAAGACAAGCAGAATCACCGGCGAACTGGGCAAATTGGGCGTGTACACTCAGGGCATCAAGTTCAATGAATTTCAAGGACCAGGCGCAAAGACCTTCAACCATGTCTACTCTCTGAATGAGAATACATTCGACCGACTTTGCACCAAGAACACCGATAACAAGGCAATTCTCGAGAAGCACAACCAGCGGTATCTGATGAGAATCTATCCTGCCCCAAGGCGTATCGATTCCTCCAACTTCAATCCGCTGCAGTCGTGGCGACGTGGCGTGCAGATGGCTGCGCTGAACTGGCAAACCTACGACGTTCATCAACAAGTCAACGAGGCCATGTTCGCTGCCGGTTCAGACCGCCTCGGCTACGTTCTCAAGCCAGATGAGCTTCGTCATGCCAAACACGTACCCATCGCCGACACTATCGCCGAGATGCCCGAGAAGAAGGAAAAGAAGGGCAAGAAGCTCGTCAAGTTCAGCGTCGAAATCATCTCTGCTCAGCGACTGCCGCGACCACGAAACCAAAATGCCGAGGCCGGTATGAACCCCTACATCGAATTCGAAATGTACTCGGCCGAAGACAAGGCTCGTGGTATTGCGACGGCTGAAGGTGGTACTGACGCGTCAGCGCGTGATGGAACATCCGGCATCGGGTCACCGCTTCGCAAGCGAACGCGCATTGTCGAGGGCAACGGCTTTGATCCCCAGTACTACCAGCTCATCACTCTTGCGGCGGAGACCAAGTATCCGAACCTGATCTTTGTGCGCTGGACGGTGTGGAACGCCCCAGAGGGGAAGAAGTCGGCCTCCAACAGCGCCCTCCTCGCTACCTTCACGGCAAAGCTCAGCAGTCTGCAGCAAGGGTACCGGCACCTGCCATTGTTCAACCCCCAGGGCGAGCAATATCGCGACGCAAAGCTATTCGTCAAGATCAAGAAGGAGGGGCCCATCCCCTTGCAACATGAAGACAACGCTTACGGCTTGATGGACCCGTCAGCGTCCCCTCGGCCCGAAGCCATCAGGCCGGAGCGGTCTTGGCCACGTCGCATCTTCAGCCGTAACCCAAGCGAGCGGCGGAAGAAAGACAACGGCAGCGAGATTGCCGGGCCTTTGAGCCGAACTTCGAGCATGGACCGCGAGTCTATCAAATGATGGGAGAACGATCTTCCACAATCACCATCACCACTACATCTCATTTGGGTCGGCGTTTTTCCAAGGATACAACATTATCATCAACGACTAGCGCGCAGCAGGACACTCGCGCTTCATCATTGGGTCGGCATTCTGTATACTTCGTCTTATACCCCTTTGCGTTATGTGGAGAATTTTCAGTTTTGTATTTGGCGACGGCGTTTCGTGGTGGGGAGCCTCTTGGGAATACCAGGCATAAGGGGGGTTCATCATACCCTCGCTCAGACGGGACGTATTTGCATCGCCGGCGGGGAAAGGGAAATAATATGCGCTGGCTGACGACCAAGAGCTGGGAAAATCCCGCTCGACGTTCTCCTTTGTTCGTGTACATTATACAAACACCATTGCATCTGGGGGGAAAACATGCATTGGGGAAATAAGGGGAACATTGGGTATCGGGGAGGGCATTATCTTTTGGTTTTCTGTTTACCTTTCGATTCTTGCACATCGCTCTGCTGCTGGCTTGGAGGGGATGATGTTTGTATTTTGGTATATGATGTCCGGAGAGAGAAAAAAGCTGTTCGGAAGATTGCATTACTGCACCATCGAAACGGTTTGCTACGGCCATTTCTCAAAGAGCTGGAAGTTTGTACGAAAGGAGAAGAAAGTCTTGATGACAAGAGTAGAGCAGAACAGAAAGCTTTGAAATAGAAAGTCTTCTCTGTTTGACCAAGACGTTTTCCCTGTATTTCATATCTACAAGATAAAGCGCTCCAGATGCAGTTCTTTAGACATTATGATTTGCGCGGATCAGTGGTGACCGTCGTCGGCCGTGATGAATCGACCAACTGCCAGCTCGCCGACGAAGAGTCCTGCGAGGACCGAGAGGAAGTAGCCCACGTTGAGAGTCATGACCGCCAACATCCTGTCACCCAAAAACCATTAGCCTCTTGATCAAGAACAAGATAAGTAGAAGAATGACTTACAGAAGATACCCAACCCCCGCCTGCACAAAAAAAATCCCCGCCCTAGGCAAATCGGTACTAAACCTCCACGGCACGACCTCCATCCCCCTATTCCTCGCCGTCCGCACGACCCTCACGCTCTCATCCAAGCCATTCGTCGTCAACGTCGCCTCGGCGCTCTTCTCCTCCGCCGGCAGACTCTGCCTCTCCCGCTCGCGCTCGCTCTCCCCGGCCACCATGACATACCGACGATTCACGGCGCGGTCGTGCCATTTCCGCTCGAGCGTCGAGCGAAAGGCGAGGAGCAGGCGCGAGATTATCGCGAGGATTATGAGGAAGATGCAGGTGCCCGCGTAGGCGCCTGTTGTGGTGGGGGTCCATTGGGAGGAGAAGAGGGGGGTGGAGTGGTCGGTCGTGAAGACCATGGACATGGACATTGAGGTCATCCCGCTGGAGGTGCTGGAGGAGGAGGAGTCGGTGTGGCCGGACATGTCCATTTTGTGCGGTTGGGTTAGGAGGTTGTTGGATCCGTGAGCGAATGTGGTTTTCTCTTTCAGCGACGGGTGTTTTGCCGTTGATATCTCGACTTGTTGGTCTGTCTCCTTTGACCTGACGTCCCAAGGCCAATTTCCGTGGGGTCCGAAGTATTCCAGCAGGGCTCGAGGTTCGCGACTTCCCTGTCTCGCCGTCGCCTTCCGCTGATCGTTTGGTCGTGGCTTCTATTCTGGCAACAGCGACGGGTGATTCGATTTTCTGGTTACTGTTGCGATCCGAGCAAGGGTTGCGAGGAGAGTTAGAACGCCAACGTGCTCATCGACGTCGATATGTATTTTACCGGACTGAGCAAGTTTTCGCTTGATTGACCACTCTGGGGACGGCGAGGGAGCCAGCCAAGTTCTAAAACTGGCTTGGAGAACACCACGACGGCCGTCTCTTCCTCAACAACTTTGGGGATGGATTCGTCCATTGCCATGAGCTGGCACTCGCATAGGTTGTCTTCTTATGTGGAGCAATTGATTGTTAACACCTAGTTCATCAGAAATGGGATAATGCAACAACGCAGACTGCACGCATTTTTGAAGGAGCAGTTCGCCAGCCACAAGCAGCTCGTTTGGTCCAGGCCATCATCAAGCCGCCAAGCCCCTCATTCAGCTGATGCGGCAGGTAGGCGAGCGAGTATTAAGGCCTTCTGCCAGCGACACGAAGTCTGAAATCGTAGGTCATGGATCAAGGCAAGTTGTCATGAGAGGAAGGAGTGTCCACGCACGACAGACGTTCTTTCCTTGGGTCAGGAGAAGAAACCCCAGGTTCGTGCCACCTACCTTTCTCGAATACTTGTACATGCATCTGTGCGACACACGACTGTACTAAATCATAGACTGCGCGCGAGATGTCGAAGAGACGACCCCATCGGCGGCGACCTACCTGGGACCCCGGCAACGAGCCCATCGCCATTCGAGTCGGGAGCAGACGCAGCTCGACCAAGTACCACGAGATCCAAGCACAAGGCCCCCGAGATGCGACTCGATTTGCACGGCTAGTAGATGAACAGACACGCGCTCATCCACGAGATCCTCTCGTCATCGCGGTGAATGGGTACCAACCATGGCTGGGCGACGTCCTTCATTCATGCATCGAGGACTACTGGTCTGATATCTCCGACCTCGACCGTGCGGTGCAATTCGCTGGGACGATGCAGTTTCCTGAGAAGGCGAGTAAGCGTGGGCAGTATGTGCCGTGGACTTTTATCATGGAGTATGTTAACTCAACCACCAATCTGCCGCCTCTGCTAATCATCGGACAGCCACATGAATGTGCCCCAAGTCTACTACTGGTCCGTGGATATGGATCCACCTCGCTGGGAAGACCAAGGCCTACCGTCAATGAAGAACTTCCGCTTCCGAACAGGAGTCTGGTTCTGCGGACGAGGAGCCTGTCGCTTCGACCCCCAGATCTCCGTCACCATCGTCTTCACCAAATCCGACGAAGTCTGCGAACACATCGTTACACAACTCCTATTCACCTACCTCTGGCGCGACGAAGACTTCGACCAACCCCGCGAGGATGAAGAAGGGATCTGCTGGACCTTCTCCCGACTCTACTGGCTCCTGACCGACTGGCAGAACATCATCGGCGAAGTCCTGGCTCGGCTAGAGGAAGCCGAGGAAAACAGCCACGGCCGCCACCTCCCCGTCAAGACACGAACGCGTAGGATGCATATCGAAGTGGATCGACTGTACGACATGAAGGAGTACCTCCACTTCCACATGCGTGCTTTCAAGAAATTGCAAAAGTTGAAAGATGATGTCCCCAAGAACGAACAGAAAGACCCTTTGTGGGCGGATATGGACGACGCAGTGGAAGATCTGGAGCAATTCGAGAGCACGCTCGATGGTTTGAAAGATCGTACGCTCCCCAAAACCCCGATCCCCACCCCTAATAGCTAACAACAACGATCTCAAAGGCTTCAACAACCTCATCGAACTAGAATTCAACATCACCAACGCGATCCAATCCGACAACTCGGCATTCCTCACCGCCGTCGCCACCCTCTTCCTCCCCATCTCCTACCTCGCCTCCCTCTTCGGCATGACGACCGTCACCTGGCCCGCAATCTGGTACCTCTGGGCCGCGATCCCGGTCTTCGTCGTCTCGGCTTTGTTCACCGCGATATTTCCCTGGGCGAAACGTAGGGTCCAGGCGGGGCTGTATCCGCTCGAGGAGAGGAGGTTGAGGTTAAGGAGTAGTCAGTTTACGATGTTGGGCGAGGAGTTGCCGGATAATGTTAATGCGCCGGGGAGCCAGGGGAGTGGGAGTGGGCAGGGTGGGGTTGGGGAGAATCGGCCGGGGAGGTTTAAGCATAGGAGGACGGGGACGGGGTTGGGGAATGGTAGGTCGGCTTCGAGGAAGGGGTCGGTGTCGGTGTCGAGGAGGAGGGGCGAGAAGGATTATTGATGGATTGATGAGGGTCGATCTTTTGCTCCACGGCAGCGATATGTATTTGGAATCATGGCTCGATGTGTTGATAGCTTCATGTTCATGTTCAATGTATCATTTCATGATTTCATACATTTCATTGATCATGCCATTCTAGGTCACATCAACTACTTCATCAACCATCCACCTTGCCACCCACCCACAAAACGAAAACGCCTCCTATCCCATCCACCGCGATCCCCAAAACCGAATCGAACTTTTTCGCATCATTATCCCAGGGTGTATATCCAATCTGACAAAGTCTTTACTCCCATTTCTCCTTCCACTCGGTCGAAATCTTCTCCAATTCCCGATTCAAACGCCTCTCATCGTCCTCGCCGACACTCCCTTCCTGCGCCAAACGCTTCGCTTTCCTCATGACCTCCTTGTATCGATCCTGTAACCAGAGCTCGGCTTCTCTGCGTTCTTTCGATTTGCGGGACAGGTACTTGATGTCAGAATCCTCGACCGCACGCTGGAAGACCTTGCGCATTCGCCGTGAGTAGAGCTGGCAGCTGCTTCCGATACCTTCGCCGTAGACGGGCTGGAGGGTACGGTTGAATTTCCGCGCGACGGAGGAGTTCTTTCTAATCTCGGGTTCGACGACGGATTCGAAGCAGTCCTCGCAAATGGTCAGTGTGGGAACGTCTGGTGCGAAATGCCAGAGGCCGCCGATCAGCATGTTATCCCGAGTGCATTCTCGCAGACGAGTCTTGCGTTCGACCAAATCAATGAGAGGCATTGGATCGGCTCCTTTGCGGGATGAGACGGCTCTTTCGTGAGTCGATACGAGAGCGTCCAGGTATGCCGAGAAGCGGTTGCTATCCGTGCGAATTGCGCACACTCGCTTCTCGTATGATGCGCGGTGTGGCAGCTTGACGAACGTTCCAGACAGAGTCGGTAATAGGCGTTCGATCTTCCGGACATCGCCAAAGCAGACATGAAAGTCTCGCACAAACAAGCCATCGGGATCGCGCAGTCCATACCACGACTGCATAGTCTGCACAGCACCAGGACAGGGATCCGTCGTGTCCTCTATCTCGGCAAGATCCTTAAGCAGACTCAGATCGGTCCGTTGCTGCTGGAGGGTGAGCAGCCATGCCAGTCGGATCCAAGGAGATCCAAAAGCGCATCGAACTTTCGTATTAAGATTACGCGGTAACGACCGACGAAAGTGTGGCCGGAAAACAGTTCGTTCAAATAAAGTGTCAATACAATCTGGGCAGAAGTCAATGTTGGTGGCACCGGTGACGGTATACCAGTCGTCGTATCCGTCGATGGGATCAGGTCGAGGGCATGCAGGGAGGCCCTTCTTCATCAGTACTTGAAGTTGTTTCTTCGCCTCGGACGAAGTGGCGAATGATTCTGTTCGTTTGACCTCTGCTGGTCGAGGCCGTGCTTGTGGGCCAACCTTTTCGCCTTGTTGGAAAGCGAGGTATGCCGACCGTGCTCGGTCCAAGCCAGGTCTGGCCGATGTCGTGGAAGTGTACGATGAGGTACTTGGAGCTGGTGATGACGACCGTGCAGCATCTCTCGATTCGTATGAGGAAGGTGCGAAAGGTGTCTGCTTCCCATGGACGTACGCGTGGTCTTGCTCCTGTGGCATGGTTATGCTTGAACCCATCAACGTGGTGTCTTCTGGATAAGGTAGAGAGCTCGTCGAGGTAGGAGGGCCGTCCCTAGAGCTGGTTTTCCTCGGAGACTCCGAATACTGTTCCCGAGGAACAGTGGATGTAAGTCGTGAAGGTGCCTTGGTTTTCCTCGCTGCATTGGCGGCTAATAGCGCACTCCAATCAAGGTCGGTTCTACCCAAGCGTGGTGATTCCATGGAAGGCGTCTGAGGAGACGGTGAGCTAGGTCTTGATGCCCCTGCCGAGCTTGGCCTTGAAGCGACTCCACTGCTATTCTGAGAGAATTCTGCACTCATTCGTGGTGAACGAGCCCCTGGAGCTGGAGCCCTCCCGATCGAGTCAGCTGGTGATACCGGACGAGACGAAGCGTAACTCGACTCCCTCGAACGAGGATATCCTGGATATGTATCGGCCGACTTTGGATTCAATGTTGCCGACGAGATAGGATCTGTGTTTTGAGCTTCACTAAGTGAGGTCGAAGCCATCAAAGGGGTTGGCCGGCGAGACTTGTCGACATTTAGTCTTCCCAAGGTTGGCAAAGTGTTCTGCGTATCCGTGTTGCGTCTAGCATCGAGATTGAGTTTTCTAATGGGTTGAGAGTTGACTGACGGCGCGGCAAAGTCGACAGCAGAGACTCGAGGACTCTCAACCAAAGGTCGATCAGTCACCTTCTTTCCCTTGCCTGACAACGTCTTGTAATCGACGTCTCCATCGTCAATGGCGCTTTCATTCTTCGTATAACCTGCATTGAAGTAGTCGTTGCCCCTCCTTACATTCGGGCTGTGACGGCCTGAATCTCGTCGTGGGGAAGATGGAGTTGAGCTTGCGAAACGGGTTGTCTTGACCCCAGAAATTCCAGATGAAGGCGGTGTCAATGTGTCACGCGAGCTATATCGATCACTCGAGGTGGTTGGTTGCGGCTTCGTTGGCTTGGTGAAAGCATATGGCGAAGACGTTCTCTTAGAAATCTCCGGTACTCTATCGTCGTCGTCGATGACCAACTTGGACGGTTTCCGCCTGGCCTTGCGGACTCTTTCATCTTCGCTGGTCGGAGGAGTTGGCATGCCACTGGGCTTACGCGTGTCTCGCTCGGAGTCTGAGGCCGCATAGCGACGTTCGTTTCGACTGTTCACGTCGCCATTGTCGATGATGAGCGGCTCCTGATCGATGGTTCCGCGTGCGGCTGCCTCATCCTTGCCTACATCTTGTAGCAGCTGCTGTGCGTTCGATTCACGGCGCAGTGAAACCACCTCATCCTCCGCAAAGGCCTGCGGGGGCCATGACGAACGTCGCTTCGTTACCGGCGAACGAGGAGGATATCGCGAAACCCGTTCAGAGGTTGGTGATCGCGGCGCATAGGACGGGCGTGGTTCGTAGCGGTCGTAAGGGTAGCGGTTGGATCTGCTCATTGCTCTGCCATTAGTCGCGAGTCATCAGGTGGGTGGTTGGTTGGAAGAGAGAACGCACCCCGCAGCCGTTGGCGTTCTGGCCTGAGGCTCTCGTCTGTAGTCTGTGCGCTGAGGGTAATCCCGTGATTCCATTGAGCGCCTGCTTAGATCGTGGTCGTCGCCGTCTGAGGCATGAGGTGAGCAGAGGCGGTGAAGAGCAAGGAAGAGTCGCGGAAAAGGGGTTGTTCTCGCGACAATGGATTCACGGAGAAGATGATGCAGCCCGCGGTTGATATGACGGTTCAACACATGTTCGTGCCAGCGGCGACTCTCAGGCTAGGGGCTCGAGGCACGCGGCGGCAGCGGGAGGTGGTGGTCATGGTGGAGACATGAGAAGAGGACTCGCAGTGCAGATGCAGTGCCAGACGGCGACGAGCTGCAGCGAATAGCCGCCGTCTCGGGCGTGGCGCATATGCAGGCTCTCACCGCCGCTTCTCCCCAGTACAAGACCAGGCACACACCAATCCCATCTCCCCACTACTGCGCTCTGCCACATTGTACCACCAGCGAGACATGTGCTACACGCATGAAAGGGCTGCAGTCTGGAGTGGCGTCGCCCGTGAAGCCAGCAACAACAATCGCAACCTCTACCACCAGGGCACGATTCAGCGTCTGCATATCCCCTCCTGCCGTCCCCACTACAGCATCGGCCGCCTACGCAATCCCTGGTGGAAAAAGAATACGTACCCTGGAGCGGCATGCTGCAGCAGATCGATGTGGTTGGGCCTCCCACCAGCTGGTTTGCCGCTATGTTGAGTCTTCATCGATCTTCTAGGCCGATTGACATACGACTTCTTACTCTTCATGGCTGTGCCGACCTCCGCAGCCTATGACATCGACATCGACATCGACATCGACATCGACATCGACATTCGCATACCCGAGGCGCACAGGCAGCATCTTCTGACTGCAAACTGCACCCCGTCCCGCATACCCATAGCCTTGGCACGCAAAGACCTGCTGCTATGAGCACTCACGCACCTCTCCATGCACCTCGTCATTCGCGACACTGCCTCGTACGACCGGGGCTTCCTTACCTGCTATGCCGTACTCTGTCCACCAGCAGTAGTCCGTGTGATACGACGTCTACTGACAAACTCGAACGCTATCCTTCTGCACAGCCCGCTCTCACCACACCTATACGAGTCGGCAGGGAACCCGGGTACCTCATGCCCATAAGCACTCCTCTTCACTGCCACTGGTCGCCTTCTCTGCAACTGGTCGAAAATTCCTCCGAATCCGGAAAATGCGGATGTACTGCATCTAATCATCGTCGACGTCTTTTGACGATCATCGGCGTGAATGAAGCGTTCAAACTATGGTTCTTCTGCCCATTGCATCTCAACAACAGGACGAACAGACTATCAGCCTTCAGACCTCACGAGACTTGCCACGGCCACCACACCACTGCAAAAACAAGACTGCATGCAGAATGCGCTGTCAACCCTCTGTGAAACACGTTCAAAACTCCGCCGCAGAAAGCTTCCCAAGAGTAACCGTTCTGCCATGACCAGCCGCGCGAGTCTTCCAACACTGCGGGTTGGGATGAATGTTGGGTCGCAACTTTGTGGCCACGTCTCCAGCGACATGGACAGGCTGACTTGACATTCAACATGCGCAAGACAGCTGTCACGGGCAATTGCCCGACTATCCTCCAGCCGGCCTTGCATTGCCTTCGTGTGAAGTACACCTCCCACGCGATTGGCCGTAGCGGATTCATTGACAGCTGAAGCGCCTCATTTGTGCTATCCCATCGGGCGATGAGGCATGTTCGACGAAAATGAGAGCCCTCAACACTTTTGCAAGGCGTCCATCTGGGTCGTGGAGACTCGCGACTGGACGAGAAGTGCAGACCTAGGTGGCTTACGACAAAAGTTACGACCTCTACTGCCTCCGTTAGGAGTGAGCGACAAATTACACGAGAAAGTGGCAACAGAACAGTGAGTGCAACCGGATCTTTTCGTGATTTCTTCTTTGGCTGGCGTGGCCTTCTGGGTGAGGCCCAGTGCGAAAAGACCATGCCGAAGTTTCATCTCTTCTCTCAGAACGTTCTCTTTGCGGGAGGATTCTTGAAGACATGGTCACGAATCGCGGAACGACAATCAATGTGGTGCTCTAAGGTCCACACGGTTGTCGAGGAAGAAGTGTTCTTGCCAAGCATAGCCTCTCACATCCCTGCGCAAATCATCATCGCCTCTCATTGTCTCCACCATCTCTCTGGTGAAGTATTCAGCAAGCGAAAACGTCGTTGTTGCCCTATACAGGCACGGGAAAAAGTTCAGACCAAAATGCCGTCGACGTCTGCCATCGACAATGGCAAAGCCAAGCCTTGCGCTTCTGCCGTGTGGAGCTAACAATGGCAGACCAGGAATGTCTGTGGATACTTGCTCATGCCAAGGTGTGAAGTCTTTCGAACCGGCCACGCCTCATTACTACAACTCGGTCTCTTCTTCCATTCGATATCGGTTTTACAAGGCCTCGATTCACGGAAGCGAAGAGGTGGGCGTTTGGGACGCTGCAGCCGTTTCACTCAAACTCACTCAATACTTCTTGGCGATGGGGAGACATAACTAGCTGGAGATCGCTGCTTTCTTGAGAGTAAAACGAAGGAACGATTTTGCGATTTGACATTCAACGACAGCATCGATAGAAGGCCGGAATCTATTGTTCATTAAGATGGAAGTCTTCGCCCGGCACATCCAGGACCATGTCGAAGCCAACACGACTGAACAGCACTACTGGGGCTACGCGAGCCGTATCATACCCTGCAATAAAGATGTTGGCACTTGCGAGTACCTTGAAGCTGTCTATAGCATGCACGAAACGTCGATGCTGTACACATTCATCCTGTGGGCTGTCATTGGCGGTGTGCTCTTGATTTGGGCTGCTTTACGATTTCGACGAATGGGTGTGGCATCTCAGGGAAGGGGAGGATTTATTGACGATCTTTGCGATCAGTTTGGGGCTTTGAAAAGATCGCTACTCCCTGATGCACCGATGAGGTGGTTATTTGGACGAGTGTCGAGGTTGCAGGTCGTGGTATTGGCTCTGATGCTGGGGTATCTGTTGGTGTTTTCGTAAGTCTTATCAGAACCTCCGTCGATGTGGATCAGTCGACTAACGAAGACCACCAGCTTAGTCGGTATTGTCTACAAGACCTGGATAACCCCAATCAGCGGCACCACGTATTTCAACACTCGCACTGGCCTGGGCGGCTGGTCAGACCGTATTGGCGCCCTCGCCTACGCCTTGACCCCATTCACCATCCTCCTCTGCATGCGCGAAAGCGTCCTGTCTCTCATCACGGGCATCCCGTACCAACACTTCAACTTCCTCCACCGATGGCTGGGCCGCGTCATCTTCATCCAATCCTTCCTGCATACCCTCGCCTGGACGCTCGTCGAAGCAAGATTCTACCAGCCCCAGCCGTCGGTGTATACAACATTCATGGCGCAGCAATACATTATCTTTGGCGTCGTGGCGATGTTTCTGATAACGTGGTTGACGATCTTCAGCACCAAAACCGCGATTCGATGGACGGGGTACGAGTTCTTTAAAGTCACGCACTGGATCGTTGCAGTCTTGTACGTTGCAGCTTGCTGGGGCCACTGGGATAAGTTGTGGTGTTGGATGGTCCCAAGTCTCGCCTTGATCTTCCTCGACCAGACCGTGCGCTATCTCCGCATGGGATACGTGCACTACACCGGCGGGAAGAGCAAGGCCCAAGGATCTGGCTGGTTCAGATGCGCAGAAGGCCGCATCAAAACCCTCACCGACGACAACGGCACCGTCATCCGTCTCGACATCGACCACGAACACCGCCAGCCCTGGCAAGCCGGCCAGCACTTCTACCTCACCTTCCCGAGCCTGAGCATCTGGCAAGCCCACCCCTTCACCGTGGCCTCCCTGCCCGAACCCAAAACCTCCACCCACCACCACACATACCTCCTCCGCGTCCGCGCCGGCCAGACCTCCCAACTCGCCCAACTAGACAACGACACCACCCTCCCCGTCATCCTCGCGGGACCCTACGGCGACTCCTTCCCCAGCTACGAAACCCAACACGTCCTCGCCGTCGCAGGCGGCACGGGCGTGACATTCACCTTACCGATCCTCCAAGCGGCGATGCGGCAATGCATCAACCGCGCCGCGATCCTGGATTTCATCTGGGTCGTGCGCAAATCCCAAGATTTGCTGTGGTTGGCGAAGGAACTCGACGAGCTGAAGGGGATGCTGGGTGAGTTTCTCGGGTTGAGGGTGAAGGTTTTTGTGAGTCGGGAGGAGGGTTCTGACTGCAGCAACCCGGAGAAGGAGAAGAAGAAGAGCAATGGATCCTCCTCCTCTCACTCGTCCGACGAGCATCAAGATCCTGAGAAAGGCAAGCAGCGCGAGGAGACGACGGGTGGGAAGACTACCATGACGGTCTCCTCTGTCCACTCACATACCTCGCTGGACGACCTCCTGTCTTCCAACCACCCTCGCTTCCAAGTCCACTTCCTCAAAGACCACCACCCGTCCATCGAGCATATCGTGGGAGATTTCCGCGAACGGACGATCGATGTAGGGGGTATTGTTGAGATTGTCGGGAGTGGACCGGAGGCTATGGGGAGTGATTTGAGGGGGGCGGTTGCGAAGGTACAGGAGGGTGATGGTATCAAGTTTTATTGGGATTCGAGAGAGTAGATGTGCTGTGTAGATGATGTGAATATATGTCTTCTCATGAATCATTTCCTGTCGCTAGATTTCAACACGCCTATCCAAAACACCCCTATAATGCCTTCGTGGTGCTTTCATCAGATCATGGCCACATTCATCTACATCACCACAACTTATCAAGCTTGTTCAGATACTTCCCCACCTTTCCTTCCACCTTCCCTACTTGACCATGCAGTTTCGACGGCTTGCCATCCACAGATCCCGTGTTCTGCCTTTGAGGCTTATGAGCGTGATGTCCATGGGTATTTGCCTCAGCTTCAGTAGGTCGATACGCCTGGTTGTGGATGTCGCCCGTGTAAGCGCCATGTGCGTTCAGACTGTCTGAATGAAGTTCCTGAGCGGAGGTGTAGTTGTAGTTGCTATAGCCACCTACCGGTGTTGGCTGCTGTTGCGGAGGCGGAGGCGGAGGGATGCCCGGTGACTGTAAGGGATTCGGGCCAGAGTATGCCGGTGGTGCGGATGGTGTTGGGGGCAGGTTTGGGTTGTATCCTGGAGAGCCTGGGTAGTTGTTGGCTTGGATTTGAGGGTTATAATTAGCGTATTGGGTTTGCGTGGGGCCGTAGGAGGATTGTCGTTGGAAGGATTGCTGGTTTGGCGGAGGTGATTGTGGGAGGGTGCTTTGAGCCATAGGGCCAAAGGATGGAGCTCGGTTCTGTGGAGGTGCACTGCCTGGCGGTCCGGGTAGGCTTTGAGAAGGCGTGCTTGAGTGTGAGTGTGAGTGTTGCGGTGGGCCGCTGAGATAGCTCTGATGCTGGCCTGCTGCAGATGGGTACTGTGAAAGGGGAGCGCCTTCGTATCGAGGATGGTCCTTGAGGCCGGTACCACTTCCATCGTCTGGTGGTGGTGGTGTTTTCTCACGATAGGATACGGGCTCTGGAGCGGGTGGAGCAGCTGGGTTGTAACCCATTGGAGTTGCTTTGGGTGAGTTCCCGGTAGACACGGCTGGAGTAGGGGGACCTGGTATCGATTGAGCAGAGACAGCGCTCGGCGCTCGGGGTGGGAACTGAGAACCGATTGCTGTTCTCTCCAGCTGTTGGACGACCGGGCTCATCGAGTCACGGTGTTCAGCATGAGGAGTGCTGTTACCTTGAGCATCCTTGATCTCCAGTCTGTCCGAGCTCAAGACGTTCTTAAGCTGGTTGACGAGATTCGACGCATCTTTCTCTGTCCACAGGTATACGTCCAAAGCGTGCAGCTTGTACATGTACTTTTGATCATTCCTCTGATCGAAAGCTGGCAGATGCCATGTCGATTGATCGGTCACAGCGGACGTGTTGACCAGAAGTGTAACGAGGTTGGGTTGGAGGTGGGAATGGCGAACGTTGGCGACGTTCAGGTAGCCGTGGAAGGCATCCTGATCTGGAGTTCCGGCGTGGTTCGCGATCTCGAGCTTCGTTTGGCGCTGAGCTGGATTGTAGAAGAGATAGACATAGCTGCCTTTGTCGAATCGGTGGTGGGGTGGTCGCAAGGCCGGATCGTTGAAGTAGTAGTGGACGTCGGCGAAGCTGTGTGGCTATATAAGTTGCCGTAATGGTCGCGTAGGAAGGGGAGACCTACCAAGTGATTAGAAGAGACTCGCCTGGTCCAGCAGGCATTGTGAGTATGCGACGGTCTGCTCTCTAGACCCTCAGCGGCAGCCTTTCCTGGGTATATAGCAGCTCGATGATCGATAAATAGTCTCGTGCAGCCTGGCGAAGAGTGTCTAGGTAGTCGCGAGCGAGGAACAGAGCAGCCCAGCGCGTGAAGAGGAGAGCAGAGGATTTGAGGAGGAATTCAGAGAGGAGTGTGGCCAACATGAAGGGAAGAGGGAGCTGGACATGGTCAGCGTGGTGCAGCCTCCAAAGGCCAAGCTCCATTGCGAGCGCTTAACGGGCGGCAATAGGCTCTACGGCAGACGGGATGAATGGTCGTGTCTTTAATGAATGGCGTTTCCGGCGATCCTATTGGTTGCAGGCATATATGTCGAAATGGAGCTCGTTCAGGCTGCAATCACGACCTGAGTTTACGACAGTATGGTCGCCAGGGATCAATGAAGATGCGAGTCTGTGGTGCATTAACAGATTGTTCGATGCATGAGTTCTGCTGTCGAGAGTGCCTGTGGTTGAGATTCACTTGGTGGTAGAGTGTAGATTTGAAGAGGAAGGTCTGCCGACCGCATTTCACCTCCGTCCACATGCTTCACATTTCGTCTCCCATTGCCATTGCACATTTCTCGGATCGAAGTCTTTCCAACGAATAATCGAACCCCCAGCCTGTTGAAAAGACCTTCAAACGATACTGCGCCTTGACAATTCCTCCGGGCCCTTGTGCCCACGCGATCACCTCCTCCCCTCGACGCCATGTCTCTCGTTAATCTGGCCCACGTCTGCTCACATCTGCAAAACGCCTCTCTCGCACGACTAGGCCTAACATCAATACCCTACACCAAACTTCACCTCTCACTGGCCCTCCTCTTACAAAAGCAAGGCTTCCTTTCACAAGTCAAACTCGCCGGTCCATCACCCCCAGCATCATGCTTTGGCCAGGGACCCCGGGACGATCACGCCGTTACAAACCATCCTCACGGCGCTGCTGGAAGGAATAGATACAGCCCAGAGGCAGCATTGGCATTGGCGATACGGAAAGGGCTGGATCGCGAGGGACTTCTCGGTGCAGGCTTTGGCGAAGAGGCGGTAGATTTTGCTCAGCAGCATGCATATAGGAGTAGAGAGGAGCTGGAAGCACAAGGATGGCGGAGACTGGCGATACAGTTCATTCAAAACTCACAGGCGGAGATCGATAGGTTGGCCGAGGAGACAGAAAATGAATTCCAGCTGAGAAGGGGACGCTGCGCAGACGAGGAAGAAGAGCAGGCGTTGATGAACGAAGTGGGCAGCAGCCCGCGAGAACGACGAGAAAACGTGGAGCAGGACTTCCTCGCTCAATTACCACAGGAGAGGAGCGAACTCTTCCAAAGATACGGCTCAACGCCAGAAGAGTCGCTAGAAGAGATCCCCTTCACCTGGACCGACCTCAAAGCCATCGCGGGCCTGAACGCCTTCATGAGCGAACGCGAAATCCGCCAAAACGGCATCACAATCAACGCCATGGGCCTCGACGTGCCCAACCAAGGCATCACACTCCCGCAAACCCGCTTCCACGACCCCGACATGCTCGAAGCCGAAGGCGTTGTGACGCAAGCCAACCGCGCCTCGCGAAGACTCTGGCTCGGACTGAAATACTACCAGAGCATGCCGGTCCTCAGCAACGCCAAGATGATCAGCAAGCCCACGAAGCGGATATGGTTGAACAATCGGGATCTCGCGAGGGTGGTGAGGGGGAACCAGGCGGGGGAGGTGAAGCCCATGACGAGGATCGGGGAGATTATGGCGGTGAGTACTGATAAGGGGGTTATGGAGGCGAGGGAGTGTGTGGAGAGGAGGATAGGGGGCCAGCCGCTGTGTCGGGTGTGGTAGTGTATAGAAGTTTGTCACTGGCCTTGGGTTATGGTGGCGAGATACCCCCCAACTACTGCTCGGCTTTGAATGTACAGTATTTGATATAAAGATGGCCGGCGAAGGGCAATCTCACATCGAAGATGACGGGATGGACGGACGGGGGGCCGTTTCTCTCATCACTTCTTGACACACACGAGCTCCTCCCCAATCGAGCTGCAACGCTCCCCACGACTATGCACACAAGACGCACAGAGCATGCAGCGTGACAATGAAGCGAAGCAGGTCAAACTTCGTAAACGGAGTCTGGTCTCGTGCTCATATCTCCCGCCAAGCCCAACCAACCAGCCACTGAGCGGCACTCGATAGGCCGTCTCCAAAACCCACCACCACACACGACCAGTGAGCCCTTCACGTAAAGAACCACATCCTCTGAGTCACGGGCGGCCAGACAAGCCGTCAGAAGCGTGGGAGGACAAGGGCAGAGACATGCAGGTTCTTTGGGACGCGAGGGGAGGAGAGTGGAATATCGCACCAATGTGCGTGAGAACGCGCACGTGCTCACTTGCCTCTTCCAACTAAACCTTGCATGTACGTGCGGGACGAGACGAGCTGAGCGGACTTTCGCGGCGTGGCTCTCCCTCCCTGCCCTCCCTCCCTCCCACGCTGTCCGTCATCTCTACCGTCTTGCAGCATGGCAGCCAGCTGGTTAGCTAAAATCGAGGATGCCGTCCTTTGCGACGATGGGACCAACGGCGGCGGCGAATTCTGCAAAGATGCCCTTGAGTGATCGGGCGTCGAGTTCGGAGCCGGAGGTCCAGGTGGCGATGTTCTGTGCAGGCACGCAAAGTTAGCGTCAAGGGTTTGGGTGCGTGGGTTGATGCCGGCTGAGTTGTGACTTACGCGCATCTCAGTGATGTGCCCGCCGCCGATGCGGACTCGCATACTATCTAGATCGACGTGCTCGTGGATCTCGTCAAGGGATAGCGTCCCTGGCATGCCTAGCTGGAGGAGTGATAGGCCGGATTTCATGGCGTCGAGGGAGGACGGGTAGAGAGGTTTCTGTGCTTCATCGAAAGCCTTCAAGACTGACTTGGCCTTTTGAACGCCAGCATGCTCGGAGTCATGTTCGCTCTCAGCAGCTTCGACAGCCTTCTGAAGCGACTGTCGTTTCCGCTCCTTGGACATGCTAGCGTACTTTCGAGTATCCATCAAGGTCCTCATTTCGTCGTCCAAAGGATCCCATGAAAGGCTGTCATAGTCGAGTACATACTGCTGCTTGTAGTCGCCCTTGTACCGCATCTTCTTGCAGCTGTGGATGTAGTAGCCCATGTAGTAGTATTGGTACCCTTGTTCGTGGGCGAGTGCAGCTTCACGCAGAGCGGAAAGCTTGCCGAACGAGCACTTCTCGAAATCGCTGTGATAGATGAAGTATACGCCGCTGACAGCGTGGGGCAGGAGATCCAATACGGCCATTGCGATGAGGCGACCGTTGACTCGGTAGCATTGGTGGTAGCTTCCAAGTCGTTTGCCATTGGAGTCCGTTCGTCTTGATAGGGGTGACCCGCAGAGGAAGCGTTTGAATCCAGGGCGACTGACGTCGCCGTCACCTTCATGGTGGACATGACGTTGATAGTTGTCGAATAGTGCAAACTTCTCTTCGGTGAATCGATCCGGTTCGATAGTCACGGACAGAGTGTGCTCAGGGGTGATTCCTGGCTTCAGGTTGGTCTCTTCGCTCTCATTGATAGTGGACAGCAGATCGAACGAATTGTTCAGACGCTTCTTCTCCCTGCGGGAATGAGATGATGCCTGACTGAGACCTCTACTTTGACTTACTCTTTCGTCTTGGGAAACTTCTTCTCTACTTCCTTGACATACTTCTCACCAAGGACATATCGATTCCACCTATTCAACGCCTGCCGTTGATCACGACTAGGCTTGAACTCTGCAGCCGGCAACCTTCGTCAGTCAGCAATACGTGGATATACAGTAACCGGGTTAGCCAATGCTTACCTGATGGTGTAGTGTGGACAGCAAGACCGGGATACGTCAGGCAGGTAGAGCAATGTTCCTGATCGCCTCCAACCCCGGTCCATAAGCTCCTGGTAATGCTCAGGGCTCAACGCCTTTGCACGCATGTAGTAGGAAGCACCTGCAGGTTCATCGTCAGATGAAGCTCGTGTCACATGTTGCAGACGGGAAACGGCATTGAAAGCCACTGCATGCCAACAGCTGCCATGTTGAACTGTTGGGCAGCTATGCAGAGAAGGACGACGACAGCGAACGATGAAAGTCAATGCTGCAACGGTACGGCGTGGGTAGTGATAATTGCTCAGGAAACGCACGAGAATCGGGAGTTCGCTGACTTGAGCCTTCTGATTTGCAGTATCCGCAATCGCTTGTCTGATATCCTAGCCACAGAAATGCATACTTAGCCTCTGAACATTTTCATTGAGAATCTACTAGCTTTGTAGCGGTAGTGATTGGCAAACGTGGAGCAGCGAGGTCGTGTGCCCGCTTGGCCAGAAAGGAAACGAGTGAACAAGGAGTTAAAGAAGGCGAACGACACACGCACGAGCATGCCGAACACGCGCTCAATGCCAGGAAAACGATTGGACTGCGAGCATAGCTTACCTATGGGGGTCAACAGCGATAGCGCTGGGTCGTCTGGGGAGGAGCTCTGCATGATGAACACAGACAGCGGGAGCTAGGAACAAGATGGCGAACGAAGACGGATGTCTAGCTCGAGACTGCCTGGCGAAGTGGGATTTCCTGGCGCCAGGATGGGTGCTTGCGTTGGTCGGTCGGGTCAGCAGCGTGGTGCTAAGGATATTCTGGAGCCGATGCGGACCAGGCCAGGCCAGGCAGAGTGTGTGCCCGCGCCGTCGGCTTGAACGGCAATGTGTCACGGCGTCGGGGCGGAGCTGGCAGGTGTAGGAATGCGAGTGCGCTGGTGTCTTGGTCGGAAGAGAGTGTTGTGTTGGCGGTGGTTGGTGGTGGTTGTTGAGAGGGTGAAGAAGAAGTGGGATGTCGCGGCACTTTGAAGCTCTCGCTGCAAGACCCAGCTGCGCCGCTGCACCACCGCCCACACGCACGGGAGCGGACGCTGCTCCTCCTGACGAAATTCAACGTCTTGTTGATGGGCAGCCCATCAATTCGCCAGGCGGCATTGCCGTAACTTCACAGGGGGCCTTCTAGTGCCCTCGCGCTAATGCCTCCTCCATCACGTGCCGCTTGGTCCAGTCTCCAATTTTGCGCGAGCCCGCCGTGCTGCGACCTGTACAAACACTGCTTCCTCTCTCACAATGTCCATCTTCACGCGAGGCTCTCGCCGCCTCCACTGCAGGTCAGACATCCTCGCCCGCTCGCGCAAGCGGGTCTGAGGGATCGACGACGGTTGTTGCTGCTGCTGCTATCCCACGCGTGCGACTTTGCTCCCTCTGCGCCGCGCTGCTGCCCTCTACCGCCCTTCTGCTCCTCCTCCCACTACACCTCTACCGTGTGGGGCCTATAAGACCTCCCTCCCCTCCAAATACCACCATCACCACGGCGCTCTAGCTGTCGGGTCGACACTTCCCACTTGTACACTCCTTTGACGATCGGACACCACAGTCGCTGCCACGTATGGCTCAGCAACAGCAAGGAGAGAGGTCGATGCAGGCCAGGACGGGCAGGGACAAGCAGAGGTAAGTCAAATTCCCGTCTCACATCGCGTTCTCCCGACTTTGAGTATGGGTGAAGTCGGTCCTGGACGATCACGTGCTCATATTTGAGAATGTCCCACTGACACCGTGACACAGATATGGACCCAATGGCGAACGACTCGTCGCGGGCGTCGTCCCTCTCAACTCAGACCGCAGTCAGGTCCTCCTCATTCAAAGCTCCGGACGGAAAGGATGGGTCCTTCCCAAAGGCGGCTGGGAGACCGACGAGAAGACCCAAGCAGAAGCCGCGTGTCGAGAAGCCTGGGAGGAAGCCGGCATCGAATGCAAAGTAGAAAAGGATCTGGGGACGATTGACGAGAAGCGGTCCGAATCTCAAATCCGAAAGTACGGCATCCTGGCCCCAAGAGCAAGCTATCGTTTTTACGAAGTCAAGGTCCGAGTGGAGAGGGACAATTGGCCAGAGAAGCACAAGAGAGATCGCAAGTGGATGACTTACCGCACGGCTAAGGATCTGTTACAAGATCGTCCAGAGCTGCTCGAGGCGTTGGAGAGAAGCAGCATCAGGCGATAGCATCAAAGACTGCCATTCGCGTTTCGTTTGCTTGACATTGCATTGGGCGGCAGCACTCTTTTCCAGAGTCGAAAAGAAACAGGATCATCGAGCGTGTACTTTAGACTTCCTTCATTACCTGGCGCGGAAGGAGCAACTCAACTTCCCGCTGCGATAGATGCAGATCGGAAAGAACCACGGTCGAGGGACCGCCTGTTGTCAAACTGGCCCACGTGTCATGCATGCACCCAATGTAGTCGTTCCATCCTGACTTGGCGCTATGCGCTGTGCGTCGGTGTATCATTATCGAACGCCGTATCCCATGAAAGCAAACGCAAAACTCTCCCCGTCCATGCTGATCATCCTTATGCCCAATAACGCCATCCCTTCATAGAAGTACTGTTACAGTTGTGTGGTATCAATCCCTCTTCAGTCGCTCCTCAACATGCTCTCCACGAGCTCTCCCAGCGGTCCGTACCATTCGCCCTTCTTGTTGCCCTTCTCATCTGCAAGACCAAACTCCTCGATGAACAGCACATAGTGCTTGAAGCCGGTGTTGAGATGTGCCTCCAGACCCAGACCTCGCACAACGCCGTAGTGGTGGCAGTAGATGTGCGCGTAGATTCTGTACAGTCTCTTGAAGATGGTACGGATGGTTTGCTGGAAGTTGGGCGGAAACGCAACTCCTGGGTAAGTTGGGAATACGGAGGGGTTGGAGAGGTGGTTGGAGGTCCAGGAGAGGAGGAGCGAGATGTAGGTAGGTGCTGGCAAGCGGGTCGGCTTGGGGTAGGCTGGTGGATCGTGCCAGAGGTATTCGAACTCGTCGGTTGCCTTCATCTCGGGGCATGACTGCGGGGAGCAGAATTCCGTGATGGCGCCATAGAGGAGGTTGATCTGGTTGTAGAAGTCGACGACTGTAGCGATTAGCAAATGAATCATGAATCATGAGATGATACAATCACACCGTTGACTGCGAGCCACTCATCTCTGTCCTCTCCCTCAGGCAGCTGGACCACCTTTCTGAGACTGCCACTTCCAAGTGTCGCTTCAGCGAACTGCTTCAGCTGCCAGCTGTTGGTGCCTTTCTGGCCCTTGCGCGGTTGGAACGAGGCGGTGTTTCGGTTGCGCGCATTGCTGTTGCTGCGCGTCAAAAGGTCAGCCTTCTTGACAATTTCTTTGAAGCCAAAGCTCAAGCCCAGCCCGGGCCCTCGATGTGTCTCGTGGTGTCTGTACTCTTGCTGAACAGGCACGGGGATTTGAGAGCGCGGCGAAGTGGTGTTGCTCTGGTCCAGCACATTCTGGATATGCCGCTGCAGTGGCGAGTGATACACCGACTGCGGGCTCTCCGGACAGTACATGTGCGGGTAGGACTCGGAGCTGGCGAGCACGTTGGACTGCAGGGCAGGCAATGGCTTGGGTGACTGGGGGTATGGTTGCGGAGGAGAAGTGGGCACGAACATTGTGTTGATGAACGAGGTCATGCTGCCTCGTCGCAGACCGTGGCCTGCGGTTGAATGGGTTGGGCGGGATTGAGGGGCTTGCTGCATTCCTGTCAGTAACTGGGGGTTGTCGGGTTGGTGACGACACTAACAGCGTGCCAGTGAACAGCCGGGTGATGGTGGTCGATCTAGTCGGGGTCTCGCCGATGAACGAGTGGGTATTGTGTGTAATGCGGGTGTTCGGTGCGGTTTGTGGTGTGAGTATGAAATTGTGATTGTTGTCTTGGAGAGTTGTTGGCTGCTGCCCAACTTCGAGGAAGGTGGGTTGCGTGGTTGCCGGGCGATCGACAGACATCAACAAACAAAGGGTCTGGGCGTTTTGACCTCACTTGCTCTTGAAACTCATTCACGCTGCATAAATGTTTCATAACAGCGATATTATTCCAAGCTCGAATACCCTCAATTCAAGGTAATGGTGTATCACGCTCATGTGGTCGCTCTCATCATGGCTGCGCTATTGTGAAGAAGTCGGCTCAAGCTCATGGAGACAGAAGGCATGAGAGAGACACAATCTGGTCAGAAAGGCGTCGGCAACCCTGTCATTTACGGATGCGCTTTTCGGTGATTTTTGGTGGCCCATGATCAAAAGACCCAGAAGACTGCCGGAGAGTGCCTGATATCACCAGGTCTCGCTGACATCAACTCATCAAGTCGTGGACTGTCAGGTATCTTTCTCGGAAGGACCATTCACGGTTGAGAGCCTCAGACTTGATCACCTGCGTTGTCATACAACCGGGACTCAAGGTCTATCTTCTGGACTGGACGAAGATTTTGTTGTGGTATAAGCAACTTTGATACTTGCGTTACGAGACGCAAGCCGTTTGTAGCTGGCTGAGGCACTGAGAACATTACTGGCCCCGAAAAGCAATAACCGTTGTTCTTTAACAAGATGTTGGAGGGAATGAAGAGATACAGATTTTTACCACGACTGGATTGCGTTTCTGGGGCAATCGTGCTGTTGCCAACGCCGCAGTTGCGACACGTCGTCTACGTGGCCAGCGATGGATTCTTCACGGCTGGTTCTTTTCACTGCAGACCAGCCGAGCTAGGCTACTCTGAATTCTCGAGAGTATTTGTAAATGTTTGGCGCCTTGTTAGGCATTCTCGAAACGGCTGATTTTCGAATAGGAGGTTGAGCGACTATGGACTCGATCGTCGCGATCGTTGGATGCTGGAGAACATTTGGCGAAGTAAGACTTCGAGTCGGGAAATGGCTACATCACCCAGTCAAATCGACAGTGCAACTCAATCAATCGAGTGTACTCAAAGCGAGGCATCGTCGTTCCATACGCTGCTGGGCAAGTCTTAAGTGAATGTCGAGGAACGCAAGTCCATGAGACCACGTACGCAGACGGACTGCCAACAATGAGTTGATTGATGGAGCCGGAACAGACAAATACTCTTGGTGGACAGCATTGCTAGATGATCAAACCATCGTCTCGCTGGATCAATGATCGCCGTTGATGGTCTGCTCTATGAGAGCATTTTCATAATCGTCGCCGACGGGTATAGGGGTCGAGATTTGTGTAAAATCAAAACTATCCCAATAATTCCTTTTCACGCCTCAATCAACAGACAAAGTTGGAGCCAGATCGTAAGCTCGGGTTCACAATAACGGAGAACAGAGAAGTGTCGTCGTCGTCGTCGTCGTCGTCTTCGGCCTCTTTCGCCCCACAGAACTCGGCCGGAAGCCGGCGGAAGATATTGAGCTTTATAGACGAAAAAGTAAATCAATCTCCCAACCAATCAGCGTTACCATTGGCACTTCAAGATGCCATTAATCAATTCGATTAATTCCTCAATGGTCTAGGTTCGTTGAATCTTAGCTATCGGCTGTCAGAATTATTACTGACATTGAATCAGTGGCTATGATTTCCGCTTGTCATCCTAATAGAGATAAAGCGCGGGAGGTAAGCATCCTATCACTTCCATTACGTCCCGAGTCCACTCTAACAGTTTCAACAGACCAGGGTTCGATTCCCTGTTGGGGAGTTTACCAGTATCTGTTTTTTTTTTGATCGAAGTAGTGCTTGTGGTGCAATTTCAGCCTTGCCAAGACTTGCGATGGACTCGACCATCCCCCACCTTTTTGGGTGGTTGGAATCGTCAGGGGCAGTGGATGAGATGCTCATAGAGGCGTACAATTGTCACGGCGAACGATATAACGGGGGCGAAGATTCTGATCGAAGGAGGTGTGGCTGAATTTTGATATAGCTTCTCCCAGATCATCAAATCGGCAGTTGTTTCGCACAACTCAATGAGTCGTCAGTCTTCTGGATCGTACGGTGCTTTTAACACGATTGCAATAAGAATACAAATAAGTGAGCACCGTGAACAAACGTTTGTCGCCTGCCTCTTCGAAGCCAACTCCTAGCAAGACTCGCGAGGACTCGACCTACTACATACACAGGAACAAATGCCATTCATTTTCGACCCGTCACAGTCTCTTGTGCGAGCGGTCTCAGTCAGCGGCATCTTCATTCAGACCATATCTTCATCTTTCAAAGTATCTGCTCAACAGTAAGTCGCCTTGCTCGTTTCCTCGCCCAGAATCTGCACAGGAGCGAGGCAGACCAATCGAGAGACTGAGATACAATGAAGTCAAGAACAGTCCTGCCAAGCTGACAGCTGAGATTCAACACTAGCCAATACACATAACACTCCGTGGTATCGATATGCAAACGCCTCCAGCTCCATCGCTAAACCCATCCATCATTCCAGCATTAAGCATCAACGCCATTCACAATCTGGTCAATTATTCTTCCCTCATACTCCTCACAAGCCACTTCTCCCACCAGTTCCGCAAAGCCATCACAGTCTCCCTCCCGTCATCCCTCTTGTCAGTCCCTGAAGGATCTCCCACCACCGCAGATGCACCCCAAAACACAGCAACAACCCATGCGGCAACCATCATGCCAAGGCTGAGGAATGGCGATAGTAGTTGCACCGTCAAAAGCATGCCTGTCCGATATGACGAGTCTTCATCGGCGTGTGGTGGTAATGGAGTGTAGATGCTCTTGAGTTGAAGGTTGAAAGCCGGTCCGAGCAAACCCCCTAATTGTTGGCCAAAGGTCGGTCTGCGAGCACACAGTCGTACTGGTTGGGCCAAGGAAGTAATGATCAAGGAAATGAATGTCCAGATTGCGTTTAGAAAGGACATCACCACGCAAGGCCCCGACAAGTATAAGAGGATCTTGACGGCCTTCTCCTCTTGCAGCTGCCTCGCCTCGTCCAACTCGTCATCCTCGAGATATGCGACTCTCTCCGGGTCTCTTCCTGGTTGTCTGTCGTGTGAGCCTGGGCTCCTGCTATGTGCAGCCTTTTCTGGATCTCGACGTTCTTTGCTGTGCCGATCCCTACTTTGTCGATCTCTTCTGGTGTGCTTCTTCTTGTTCTGGATCTGTTCCCTCCCCAACGCTCCCTTCTCGAGGTCGATGGATGAGATGCCGGTCATCATGGAGCTTTCACCACTTGATGACATGGAGGCTGACTTGTAGGAGTACGGCGCCTTCTCATGGTGAGGTCTACCATTCGGCGAGGAAGACGTAGCGACGGGCAGCGCGGATTGCGATCTTGACGATATCTGAGCGACCGGCTCGGGCGGCGTTGGCAAATCCGCAGGGTTGAGTGTTGGAGTCGCAAACGGGTCGCTGGCGTGGCCTTCGGTAAACCCTTGGTCGTGCTGTCTTGGTGCCAAGGATGGATCTGTCATGGTCGTAGAGGTCGATGGGGAGTGTAGAGAGGCTGGAGTAGAGCAGACATCAATCACATAGACTCACGGTTGTCGTGCGAGACCACACGGGTGGTGACAGCTCATAAGTACGACGTCGCCGCCCCCAGAGTCCTCGCCGCGCCCTTGGTGCTGAAGACGCCAAGCATACCCAAGAACTCGCTACTTGGCGACGCCGATTCAATCGGGGGGCGCATGGCAGACGCGCTCGAGGTTTTGCGCCTCCAAGGATCGTCTTGCAGGTTCTCATTGGGCTTGCCCAGACATCTGCGACACTGTGCTGCGCGCTGCCGCGCGCCGCCATCGTTGAGGGCGGTGATGCTGGCTGTGGTATAGCGAGGAGGGCTCAAGCCGGGCTCACGGCCGAGGAGATTGCCAAGCGCGCCAGGAGGCGTCAGATCAGTCTCTGCCCCAGCTGTTGCACAAACCCTTCCTTGTCTGCTTGTCCATTGACACAATTACACCACTGAATTCACACGTAGAGCCACCACTTGCACTTGGCGATTGACGCGAATTTGTAACATTGCCTTCTCGTTTGGACGCCAAGTACGAACAACCAAGCGACACGAAGGACTTGCGTCCGCCAGGAATCACAGGCAAGACTCAGCAGCAGCATTGGCAATTGGCACTTTCCGAGCATGGCGTCTCGATAGGAGGACATTCCTACAGCTCCGTACGCCACATCATGGCATGCGCAGATGAGGTGCAGGTCTTCTCGCTGTTGGACGATTGCCTGCGCAGCGACTGCCTGTGCGATAGACGTCCTGTTTTTGGGTGCTCACTGGTAGCACGAATTCGGGATTCTGCCTTCTGGCATTTGAACAAGGAGCCATTCCCGGATCAAGCTGTAGCAATATGGCGTTTCTGCCAAGTTTCAAGAGTCGGGTGTACGTGTTGATGACTGTGTAGACGAGCACTTGGAAGTCACGCACTTGATTGCGGCCGAACATTGACCACACGGCGATGCGTATTGTTCGCGAGGCCAAGTCGGCCAAACAATCACGACAAGAAGTGTTGCTGTAGGAGGAGAGACTCTCCATCTTTGTCCATCTTGGCTCCCTTGGCGTGTGTCGGACGCCCAGTGGCAGGGTTCTCGAAGAGCATTTCGCGACCAACTTCATCCCTGATCGATGCATACGAATGTCCAGACTCCAGAGCGGCGCTCGCCAAAGTCAGCCAAAGTCGTCCGTTGAAGATGTCAGCGCCTCGCAGGTATCGTAATGAAGGCTGTTCGATGCCATCGGTGGCTGTTGCTGGCTTGCTGACCTTTGACAAGATTAAAGAGGATCGCTTGGCACGGGTGCTACGGAAAGCAAGAAGAAGTCGCCGAAGTGTATATTTGTTTTCTTGGCCTCGTAGAACGACATTGCAGGCAGGAGATGCGCTTTGAACCATCATTGCGCGTGTTGATGTGATGCGCTCTGTGACCCTGGCGGATCCAAAGAACGCTCTGTCTCGATGCCGATGCTGGTCGTTTGTGATGCTGGCTGTCATTTCTCCACGAGAAGGCATCATTGTGCTGTGTGTCCATGATATGAGGTCGAATGAACGGACAAAGTTCGAAGATATCTGAAAGTTTAGGCAAGAGAGGCAGGTAGGGAAGGCACGTCGTGTAGACGTCGACGAGGGAAGTCGCGCCGCGTCCATGCAACATCCCATTTCAATTTCAACGTCACCTCATCAGGCTTCGACAGCGTCACGCGAGTTGTGGCCTTACTCCCTCTGCGCTGGATCTTTGGTCTCTCCCGGCTCCTTGAACGAAACCTCTCATAACAACCCGTGCCTTCTCCTGCGCAGCGTCTGCAATGCGCAGCAATGTCGCGGCTCAAAATGCCGCAGAAGAAAGAAGCTATGGACAAACTTGTCCAGGATATTTCAGGTGAGAGACCCCAACTTGCGGTGTCTTGGGCTCCTTTACGCTGACTTGGGAGGCTAGACTTTGCGACAAGGTTGCATGACCTGCTGAACAATCGACAGCTTTTGTCCGCAGAAATATCGCGGGAACTGGAGAAGTACACCAAACAGCTACCGCTCAGTAGCAATGTGCCGGATAAACAAGTGCGGACGCTGGATGCATTGGGCACTGAACTATGGAATGTCTCCGCAGGCCTCGTTCATAACGATATCCAACGTGACCCACGACCGAAAGCGACTGACCCTGTGCACCAAGCCGCACTGATCCGCGCATTTGCCTTCCTACTTCTCGATACCGCTGACCCCACACAGTCCTCGAAGAAGAAGAGCGAGGACGTGCAAACAAGGATCATTACCGTTGCACTCAGAGCAACCCGGCTCTGCCTGGACAAGAACGAGCTCGATTTGGCGATGAGAGTCCTTGAGAGATGCAGCCAGCGTATACCTGATGAGCGAGACGAAGACACACTGCTCCAGATGGCCATGGACCCAAGCGAAGACCGGCAGACCTTCGAAACGTCAATCAAGGACCTAAGAAGCGAATTCTACCTGCTACGCCTTTTGCACTCGTGGAAATCGGCTCGCCTAGACCTTGCTGAGCATTACCTTGCGAAGGTCAAGCTCTCTAGGACATCGCCAACGAGCAACCTTGCAGTGAAAGCTGCCGATCTCTTCTACGAAATCGCAAGATCCTTGTCAAAACTCAGCAAGCCGGACGATGCTGTGAAGTGGTTTGAGCGCGCCTGGGGTGTGTCAGATCAAGTCAGCCCAGATCACCTCAGTCAAGAAGGAGCAGAGCTGCTTATGAGCATTGGCGTATCATTTGGTGAGTCAGTCTACAATTCGTGTGGGCGCTTGCTGAATGGTAATAGCCGACGTTCTGCTGTCTTCTCAACAACCGTCTCATCAAAAGCGCGCGTGCGAGATCGCAAGCAAGTTGGAGCAAACACATGGACTCAGTAATCGATTGACGATACCAATATTGAAGTTCCAGATACTTGCGAATGAGCGCCGCGTAGATCCCGACAACATGACCACTATACTCTTACATATCGTGAAGCTGGCAGTGCTTACCGAAGAGAACTTCAACATGTGAGTAACATCGCCTGACGAAGTTATATCGATGCTCATACAGTGACAGGATTATGAAGACGATGCGCAAGGCATGTGAAAAGTCTTGCACTACCGCCTTACACGCTCTCAGGATGTTCATCAGCACTCGGTTGTTACCGGATGTTGAACACAACCAGCACAGCAAAAGTGCGTCTCAGGGATGGCTGGAGAAGGCTTCTGTCGCATACATTCTCTTCCACACTCGATTGCCGAACTTTGCGCTAGCAACCTCGCTAGATGATCTCCAGGATCTCTTCGATACTTTCAGTAGCGCCGTTCCGTCGCCATTCACGGCCAAGGCAACACATGCTGCTCAAACGCTGATGTGGAAGGCAATTGGACAATCCACCCTCAGCCATACGTTCAGATGGTGTCAGTTGTTGAGGCACCCCCTTTTCGAGAATGCTGGATACGTCAACAAGGCACGTATTGGCAGGTAAGACTCGATCTCGTCCTGGCTTGTAAAAGAAAACTGACAATGTTAGAAAACTCATGTGCATTGCGATCGACGAAGGTAGTGTTGCAGCCGCGAGAGAGGCCTTTTACCAAATGCCCGAGACTGCAAGAAATGACGGGCCCTCGCGACTCCTCGCTTTCAGGACTGCATTGATTTCGAGAGACGACGACTTTGCCATGGAAAGTCTTCAGGTCATCGCAAAGACCGTTGCAAAGGATCCAACATTTCTCTACGCATGTGTGCTAGAATCGCAGCAACATGGCATGGACCACATGACTCTTGCCACTCTACAGGCGATCTTGGGTCAGAAGCCTGCAGGCATTCAGATGCCAGCTCTTTTGCGCTGCGCTGCACGTCTTGCTGTATCCAGAGTCAACGATGAGCGCTACAGTAGTGACGATACAGCTCTCGAAGCTGTCAAGACATTCGAGACGGCTTCACATCACATACACGACCTACGACAACTTGCAAAGACCCAATGGACTGCTGAAGTCCAGTGGTGGAGCAAGAACAGCTACAACTTCGCTCTACGCCATTGCAAGAAGATGCCTCCAGATTACACTATCCGAATACTAGACGTATGTGCGGTCTTCACGGAATGTTACTCAACCGATGTCGAGCAAAGACAGCAAAGCGACCTGAGACAACGCAGGTCTCTCTGCTCGTTCCTCTCGACAACAGCACTCATCGTTATGGGACGCTCAGGAGAAGTGGGTTCGGAGCACACGAATCAGTGCTTCCTGCACGCTCAAGACCAAATTACCAAATTCAAGTCACTGCAAGCAGAAGTTGGCGACAAAGATGTGGGTCAAGAGTCAACGGCCAGAACGTTTGCAATGCTCAAGTTCGAAGTCGAGTGCATACTGCACCTACAGCAGTGGGACCGGCTGAATGACACTCTTCGAGAGTGCCTCGAAGTCCGTTCGGTCGAGCGATGGGACGCTTTGGCCGACTTGATCATAATAATGCACGAGCATCTGGATGCCTCTACTCGAGACTCTCATTTTGAGATGATCAACCAGGTCCTCCAGCGAGTCATCAACGACACGTGGAAGAAGCAGAAGGAGATCGTGAAGGTGGCCCGCTGGGTCAGATTCACATTCACGCTATGCTTGAATCACGTTCAGGGGAACTTTTCACTACGGCTGCTCGAGCAAGCAGCGACCATGGCAGAGAATGGGTATCGTGGCAAGCACGAACACTATCCGGAATCAGAGTTGCAATGGCTTGCCACGACGAGCTTCAACCGTGGCGTGGACGTTTTGGTCGAGGAAGAGAACGAAACAGACGCTTTTCGCTGGATGAACACTGCGCTAGCACTGGCCAAATGGTCGCAGGACAGCGGCAGCCTGCACGCGATCTTGACAAGCAAGGAAGAGGCTGCGGAGCAGCATGTAAGGGATCGGGAGATGCAGACTTGAAGCCATGACGGGATTGTTGATCAAGGTTTAGCATGATATTCATAGCTTCGAACGTATCATCGACATTCGTTGGCCATTGCATGTCGCATCCTGCTTCCCAATGCTATTGCCATTCGTGGACGCGGTTTGGACGATGGCTCCATATGCATAGTATGGCGAACCCTTTCTCCGGTTTCGCCCTCGCAATTCCGCTCCATCTCCACTCGCTGAAGTGACATCGCGGAGGGGTAATGGCAAGGCCAGTCGAAACGTTAAGGTCGTACTCAGTCATCTTCGTCTGAGGAGTATGCAGCGAGCCCAAGTCCAGCTCCAGAAGTGGCCTTTGGTGGTACGGCTGGCTTGTCGGCTGGAGAAGCAGTCTCGCTGCCACGTTTCACCTCATCCGTAACCTTGGCCTGTTCCTCCTGGGGTGGTGACGGAGAGGCCGCTGGCTCAGCCGCTGCCGATGCCCTCTCCCCCGAAGAAGCCTTGCGAAGCTTCACGCCCCGCAACAGTCCCTCCCGACCTTTCTTCCTCTTCTTGCCCACGGACCAGCTCGTACCATCCACCGCCTCCGTTGAATCCTCAGGCCCACCCACCTTAGCAGCCTTCTCAGCCTCCTCCTGCTGCCTCCGAAAAGCATCCAGCTCCTCCCTCGTCTGCCTCTTCACGGCGGCCTCCTTCACCCTCTCCCCCTCCAACACCGAGTCCAAAAACTCCACCTCATCCTCATCCAGCGACCGGAACTGGTTCTTCAACCGAGCGGATTCTTCAAACTGCTCCTGCTTCGCGGCTTACGCGACCACCTAACTCGTCAGTTCGACGTGATGTCTGTAGACTCATATGTAGTGCCCGTAAAGTCACCTTTGTTCGCTTGCAGTTTCTCGTAGAGACTCTGGCCGTTTTCCTGTTTGCCTATTTCCGCCTTTTCCCGCGCGCGGGCTTCGATTTCTTCTTGCGCTTTGAGCCATGCTTCGTCCCGTTCGGCGGGCTCGTCGTTCGTGCCGCCGAAGACGAAGCGCGACATGGTGGAATCGAGACCGAGGGAGGTGGTTGGTAGGAGGATGTTGTTGTGATTGAAGGAAGGGTTGTTTGGAACTGCCGTGAGGTTGGAAGCTGGGCGGCGGGGCCCGAATGCCCGCGATCAGGCGGAGTCGCGAAGGGACACTCACCACAACGTACCTTACTCTGTGACAATCTTGTTGATCACATATGAGAATCTACATCTGATATGACTGCGAATACACAGCGGTAACCATCTATAAGAAGATGTGAAGAGAGCAATGGAACAATCCTAGGTCACACGAGAGGTCCTGAAGACCAACCTCCCGGATATCGAGGACTCTTTTCCGCCAGGTACCGGAATGGAGGCCAGTCCACCAGCGTCCAAGACGCCGAAGCATCATGAGTCTCCTTCCGATGGACCCAGCGGGTCACCAGGACGGGGAGTCAAACGTCAAAAGGTGACCAGAGGTGAGTGAAATCATTCCATTGAAGCCAATGCCTCGTGCTACTAATGATCGTGTCGCAGCTTGTGATAATTGCAAGTCGAGGTGAGTACATCCTTCTGCCGGAGAGACTCTTGGAGCAACATGTACGTCTTGCTAAACGAAATGCAGAAAGCGACGATGTACAGGAGAACTGCCATGCACAGCATGCCATTCAACCGGTTCCAATTGCACATACACTGCCTCCTACACGAGAGGTAGGCTGGTCCAACCTGTGCCTGCTGCTCACCGAAGGAATGGGAGCGGATCACTCTATGTACCTCATCCCGACAACGTACTCGTGCAGACTACTTTGGCGCCCACCAACAATGGCCAAGAATCAAGGACCTCCAGGGCCGCTTCTCCAGAGGGTGCTTCCACATTCGCTGGCCAATATCTTGGACCGACTTCACCCTACACATTCTTGCGCCGAGCTTGGAAACGCTTCGAGCAGGATGGCATGCGTGTCGAAATCGTAGGAGGACCAACGGAAGACCTGGCTCAATCAGAATCGATCTGGGCCTTTGGTGACCGCCCGATCCCGCCTGTGAACTTCCAGGGCCTGCAGCTACCACCGCGTCCAACGAGTTCAATGCTTCTGCACAACTACTTCGATCTCGCAATGCCGACGTATCGGTTCCTGCACAAGCAGACCATTTCGCAATGGCTAGAGGAATACCACCACATGGAAGAAACCGGTCTCGACGGAAACGCCCTGCCACCAACTCGGCAAGCAGTCGTTCTGATGGTGCTGGCAACAGCGCGATTCTTCAATGTAGGCGGCAACAGCAAGATCCTGGACCCGGACGAGCAGTCGTGGCGTGAGAGTGAGCGGTTCTTCCAATTAGGTCAGACGAAGTTGGACGCGGAAAGGGGTAAACCCAGGCTGGAATCTGTCCAGGCCCGGATTGCGAGTTGTCTCTATCTGCTTCACACGTCTCGTCCAAATCAGGCGTGGTATCAATTTGGAACGACGATCCAGCTGGCCATGGCGCTTGGATTGCACAGGTGCAGCGCTGGCACCGTTGGCCAACCCGACCCTATCACGAAAGAATGTCGAAAGCGGGCGTTCTGGGCAGCGTCAACATTGGACACCTATTTGAGTGTAATCCTTGGACGACCGCCCTTGATCCATCTCGACGACGTTGATCAGAAATTCCCGGATCCAATAGATGACGAGGATCTTTCAAGCACTGGGAGTACTACCGAAGGATTCCCAAGAGACAGCGTCATCAGGGCTTCGATTTTGCACGCGCAGATCACACGCATCGTGAAGAAGGCAGCTCGTGAGCAATACTCTGTTCTGCGGAAAAGCGGATCGCAAAAGCTCGACACCGCTGCGAAACTCAATGCGGAGACTGCGGCATGGCACGAGTCCTTACCGGTCGTTTTGTCTGGGGCGATACATCCTTCCAGTCTGATACCGATCTTCAGGAGACAGATCACCGTCTTGCAGTTGGCACATTGCCATGCTCAGATGCTGGTCAATCGACCAAGCCTCCTACTGGATACCAGCCAAGTCGCCGTGAAAGAGTCCCAGGTCGACATCTGTCTGTCGGCTGCCAAAACCACCCTCGATGCCACGCTTGCTGCCGGACTGGGACAGCATATCTTTCAAGCCTTCTGGTACACCCAATTCGTCTGCTTCAATGCCTTGTCCATCGTCTGGGTATGGGTGATCCAGAGAAAACACAGCCGGCTGCCACCCTTGAAGAACATCAAGGATGAGGAGCTAATCAAACTTGCAAACCACGTCCAACAATTCCTGGGCGAAGCGACGCAGGCCAATGCTCCAAGTCTGAGGTATAGCATCGTGTTGGAGGAGCTACGAGAGGAGGTCGAGCGTGCGAGCGGCAAAGTCGGGCCTCGTCCATCATATCTGAACGTCGCGGTCGAGGCCCCGAGCAATGGCTCCACGAGCTACGACACCGTGACGGACACCATTGGTACTGAGCGCACGTCCGATTCTCTGGTCGATACTGCCACGGACAACTTGATAGATACTATGGATGCATTCTCGACTGACTTCCCGCTCGATCCAGACCTCTGGCTCAGCCTGGATGCTTCCCGTTCTCGGACTTTGGCCAGCTAGAGTAGGAAATCATCATCAAAGCAGTTACTTCTTGACCGGTCGACTGTATTGAGTTGTGGAGATGTAATCCTTGCTAGGCCCACGCACCCTATGTATCGTTTCGAACTTGTGCAGCGAGATACCTTTGAGAGGTAGCTTGTACTCCGTGGTGTACATATCCTCGACGCAGAGGTGGTCAGCTTTGGCGATGCAAGCCCCTTGCTTTTCCGCTTCCGATGGCGCTACGAACGCCAGGTTGTGGAAAAGGTAGTCGACCTCCAGATCCGAGTCTGGCTTCACGAACCATACGCTCAACTCGTCGCGTTGTTCAGAGTACCGGTAGACGTAGCGTCTCTTGGCTGGCATAGAGGCGCCGTTCGATAGGAAGAGCACGCCGGACTCAATGTACAGATATTCGAGGTCGAATGGCAAGCCAGTGGCATCAGGAGTTGGAGACCGAGGGTGGAAGCTAGCTTCACCTTCCAAGGTTCCAGAAGGGAAGCTAGAAAGTGCGCTGTCAATAGTACGGCGTATGTTCCAATTGCCTTGGAGAGCACGGAAGGCTGCACGTGCCACGAACTTGCCATGTTCCCTGCAGTCTTGCCAAGTCCGATGGAGGTCTTGCATGATGCCGTCTGCAACGGCCTTGTCTGAATCCGCAGACAAGTACCGCGCGGGTGACGGACATCCCTCTCGATCTGTTGCGAAGGCGCCGTTGTTTCTCTCCAGATTCAGATGCGCGGACACCTCTTCCATGTACCCAGCATAGTCACCAAACCAGTACTGCGGCACGTCGAGGCCTTTCTCCTGCATGGTCTTTCTCAGGTCCAGCAGCTTCTCCGTCTCCTCATATTGGTGTGCCTGAGAGTCGCTCTCCGAGATCCAGCGTTCGGCTGTGTATCTCGCTTGCATTTCGATCATGGGCCAGTATGGACCTTCGTAGAACCCAAGGAGAGCGAGTTCCGGGATCCCTGCGGCTGCGGTCTGCCAGCCCTCGAGGATCAGGGGCAAGCGCAGGCTTTGTGGGTCATAGTGCAGTGCTGACTTGACTTCATCGTCGAGGAAGTCTACTGCTGAGGATGGAGAGTAACCTGTTGCGTAGACAACCGCGCCGATGTTTTCGATGTGCAGGTCTTTGCCTCCGTCCGACGATTTAACGATAGCCGTTGCGGTGTTGCTGCCTTTATCCTGAAGGGCGATGACCCGACCACCGACCACCTCGATAAGGCCGCTGCGAACGTATTCAGGATACGTCTCGCTCAAAGCCACATACACCGTCGATCGTGGCTCGTCTGCGGGAATTTCAAGCGCAGGAGTTCCGAGATCTGACTGGTTGCCGCCGATCGTGCCCTGCAGAGCAGTATGAATCATATCCTTGACAGACTTGGTGACACGTCCGGCATTGCCGACGATTGGGCCAGGAGGACGTTTTGAGAGATCGTACAGTTTCAAGTCGATGGGCATGAATGTCGTGCTCGCTGCTTCCACCGGGACGTATGGAGGTAGAGCGTATAGTGGTCGAGCAGCAACATGTACGATATTGCAGCTCCTATATGTCTGCTGCCTTGCTGTCTCAGGCGAGTACTGGGCGTTGGAGAGCTGCTGAGCTACCGCGGCTGCAGCCTCGCCAGCAGAGTTTCCGCCTCCAATTACGAGGATGCTCTTGCCAGCAGCCTCCTCTGGACGTGGGAATAAGTCCTCGAGTTTCCGAAACTGAGAGCTATGGATCGCTCGCACGTTGCTCAACGAGGCTTCGGGCACACCGAACTTGAGGGGTCGTGGGGTGGAGAAGAAGCCAGATCCTAGCATCAAATAGTCGAATTCAGATGTCGTCTGTTGACATTGATCGTCCTTGATCGTCAACTTCCATGCCGGTCTACCGTCTTGACCCAATCTTTCTGCCTTGATAATCTCATGCCTGAGGCGTATCGTACCTTGCGGTATGTACTTGGCCCTGTAAGCTTCGAGGTACTTGTTCACCTGCCACGCTTTCGGGAACAGGGGGGTCTTTGGGTTCTGCATTGCTCCATTCTGATCATGGCCATTCGATGTTCCATTGAGCTGTACGGAATTCCAGTCGAGATCTGAAAAGGCTACCGAGAACCTTGACAAGTTGGTCGGTGTGTCCGGGTGGAGAAACCCAGCGGTCGATCGTTCATCCAGTGCCCATATGCCACCTATCCGATCTGCTTTCTCAAAGACTGTGACATTGAACTTGTTCGTCTTCAGTAGCACTTTCGCGCCGGTGAGACCGGCTGGTCCCGCACCGACGATAGCGACGCTTTTCATTCTCGATATAGCTTGGTTGAGAGTAAGAGGAAAAAAAGATTTCTTCATGAGCAATGGCGTCTTACCTCGTTGTTCTCCAGCTCAGCTGCTGACCAATTGACGCGTCGGGTATTTCCCTACATTAGCGACTCGGTTTCCAGCGTGCTTGTTTGCCGTTTTAGAGTAGTATTCGACTTTGTTGCCCTGCTGAGAGCGAGGTGAGGTCGGTCTGGGATCCCAACAAGCTTCGTACGCATTCGGCCGCATCACATCTGACGTATCTCCTCAGCCACAGCTAGGCGGCATCTAGAACAAGAACATAACCGGCAGACAACACTCAGACTCTACATCTTCCAAAGCAGTCAACCAACGAGACCGAATCATCATGTCGAACTCAGGCTATTACCAACAACAAGGCTCGCAAGAGCATCAGAACCAAGGCGTGCCGAACTCGAACCCGTGGGCAGATCAAGTCTCGCAGCCCGGCCAACATCAGCAACATCAGCAGTATCAGCAACAGCCCCCACAGCAACAGCAGCAGCAGCAGCAATATGGCGCACCGCAAGGCTACAGTGCGCCGCCTGGAGTCCCTCCTCGAAGGACCGGCACGTTTGAAGAGACACAGTTTGTGCCGGATGCCGAACGTGAGTCGAAAAGTCCATCCTGAACGGGGACACCAAATGGTGCTTGATCTGTCGGTCTGACCGTGAATTCAGGTGGCGAACAGCGTGAAATGATGGAACAATTCGAGATGAGCCGCAACAAGCCAGAGAGCCAGACCGACCGAGACGTGGCGACGTTGCAAGAAGAGTTTCCTACTCTCGACGGCTCGCTGATTGCTGCGCTGTATGGTGATTCGCAGTCTCTCGGTGGCACGCGGGAAATGCTGCAGGAGCTGGCTTCCTCCCAGGGACAGCGCTGATGATGGATCAGAGAGAGGCCAGAACAGGAAAGTGGTCTGCTTGTACTTGTAGACGACGAGACGATATCGATAGCAACGGCCACGAAATGAAGGCATCCTGCGATATCGGAGCCCAGTCCGTTGCACCGAGGAGCTCTCTCCACACCTTCAGGCTGTTCTCGTTGTTAACTACCTTGCAACCACTATCCACGCGCACGGGAAGTGCTATAGTGAACTGCATGTAAGGCTTTTCATTTCGTTCACAATACCTTCATCATGTCTTTAGCCTTCCCCCGCCGGCTGCTGTCGAGCCACACTCTTTCAGCCGCCCGTTTCTCTTCACGCACCTTCTCCACCTCTCGACGGGCATTGGCAGACCAGGTTCGCATAGTAGAAGTCGGCCCAAGAGATGGACTGCAAAACGAGAACACGAGTATACCTGCCGAGACAAAGATTGAGCTGGTGAGGAGGCTTGCGGCAACAGGTCTCGATGCCATCGAGGCTGGCAGCTTCGTGCATCCCAAATGGGTCCCACAGGTAGGCAGATGGAGTGTTTAGTATTCGAGCGAGGAGTATTGATGGCAGTAGATGGCGGCCTCTGACAAAGTCCTCTCATCCATACTCGCAAATCCACCTCGCTCGCAAAAGCCTATGACATACCAATGGCTGCTACCGAACAGCAAAGGCCTGGACAACTACTTCAAAGTCATGAACACTTCTCCATCCGCGCCAGACGGCTATCCTACACCGCCTCCGTCCCCCGGCAACGACAGTGGCCCAGCGTTGAACACCTCTTCACAAGATCCCAACGCAATGCCATCGGCGAGTTCAGGCGCAGATGCAATGGGGGCGAGCTCAAATACTGGTGGGCAGACACATGAAGTGTCCATCTTCATGGCAGCGACGGAATCGTTCAGCAAGAAGAACACCAACTGCACAATAAAAGAGAGTTTAGATCGCTTCGCGCCGCTCATGGCAGAGAGCAGAAAGGCTGGATATTCTGTGCGAGCATACATCTCCGTGGCTCTGGGTTGTCCATTTGAAGGGCCCGACGTGGACCCACACAAGGTCGCTGAACTAGCAGCGTCGCTGCTAGAGATGGGTGCGGACGAAATCAGCGTGGCAGATACGACAGGCATGGGAACAGCTCCAAGGACACAAAAGTTGCTGCAGACGCTCAAGGAGGCCGGTGTGAGGAGCGAAGACCTGGCTTTGCACTTCCACGATACCTTCGGGCAAGCGTTGATCAACACCATGGTATCTTTGGAGCATGGCATCCGAACGTTCGACAGTGCAGTAGGCGGACTCGGAGGATGCCCCTACAGCCCTGGTGCTACGGGCAACGTCGCTACTGAGGACCTGGTCTACTTCTTACATTCCCTCGGCGCACAAACAGGCGTAGATCTGGACGAGGTCAGTCGGATCGGTGACTGGATCACCGCAGAGATTGGCAAGTCGAATAGTGCGAGTGCTGGCAAGGCGACACTGGCTCGGCTGAAACGAGAAGGCAGCGCTTAGTTTATGACATCCATGAGACCGCAGAAAATGTACAGTATGACGGAGCGAGCATCGAGAAAATCAGAATCGAAAAGGAGAAAGTCGTTCACGAGCCAGCATTTCGTCTATGTCAACGAGCGATCCTGCGGTGCAGGCACTTCAGTACACTTGGCCATCAGCCCTCCCACACTGAAGGAATTCACACCCGTAACACCAATCTTCAAGAACCCTGCATCGTCCAAAATCTTCTGCTTCATCTCAACGAGGCCCTCCGCATCCCAATTCGCCCAGACGAAACGTCCGTGCAGGAACGCCGCCGCAGGAGTCGATAGCCACAGCGCCATGTGTCCGGCAAGGCTCGCTGTGCGAAAGGGTCAGTTTTGCTACATCAAACGTGGAAAAGACGACAATGTTCCGACTCACGATGATCCCATATCGGCAAATCAGAACTGTATTCCGCAGACCCAGACGCAGCCGCCGTGTACACGGCTCCAGGATGCATCGTCACCAACCTCATCTCCCCCTCCGGCACCTCATCCGCCAGATGGCAGAGGTAGTTCGAGAAAGCCGCCTTACTACTGCCATACGCGTTCATGGCGTAGGGATAAGCATGCGCAGCCGCAGACGTAATGTCGATGAGGACCTTATGCCGCTTCTCCTCACCCGCGCCGGCTTGCTTCTGAAAATTCTCAAGCATATACAACTTACTCGCGACATTGAACTGAAAAAACTCCACAACCTCCGCCGCGGTCGTCGTCGCGCCCACCTTCGCAGCATTCAAAACCAGCACATCCACAAACACACCCTCCTCCTCCCGCAGCCGTGTCCAGAACTTCCCAATCTGCGCCACATCGGAGGAATCCAGCGGTATGGACGTCACCGCGCGCTTGACGCCCCTCGCGCGGATTTTGGCGACCGCGTCGTCGAGTTTGGCCTGTGAGCGGGAGGAGAGGATGATTTTGGAGGCGTTGGCTTGGGCGTACGCGAGGGCGATGGAGAAGCCGATGCCTTCGGAGCCGCCTATCACCAGGACGGTGCGGTTGGACTGGTCGTTGGAGGGGTTGGAGGGGCTGATGGTTGGGTAGGTTGTGCGGCGGAAGGTGGGCGTTACGTCGGTCATTGTGGTATGGACGATTGGGATTTGTGATTTGTGATTGTGAGAAGGTGGTTGGGATTGTGAAGTCAATGGATGGAATCGAAAAGATTCAAGTCGATTCCTTCTGTTTTTGCTACTGCGAGTCTCGCATGCAGGCCAAGAGTATACTTGTCTTAACCCCGTCCCATCCTTTTACATGTGCGTTCAGCTGGAGCTAACGGAAGACTATCAGTCACCTGATGCTGCGGCTGATCAGCTAGTGATGGATTCATTCGTATGTAACTCTTTCCGGACACTATACAACTTTGGCAAATGTTGAGGATCGACTTTGAGCCAATGGTATGCCGGCATTGATTGTTCTGAAGTGGATATTGTCAGGGTTCACTATCACATACATCACTACCTTCAGAAGGCCCCCGGTAGCATATCTAATTCAGTCGTCTACGCTGTAATTGACCTTGGCCTTTGCAGAGCGACGTCCGCCTTTCCTGGAGCCTTCAGTCTTGATAGCGGGTACTGGAGGTCCATCCTCATCATCATCGAGTCGCAATTCATCGCCCTCCATATCATCGCTCGAGCTTGGAGTAGGCACAGACTGCGGCTGCTTCTTAGCACGACCTTTCTTCGGTGGTGCTTTGGTCGTCTCTTTCGGCTCCGTGGTTTTCACAGCCTTCTGCTTCGCGCGCATAGCTGCTTTCGCTTTCTTCGTCGCAGGAGTTGCATCGACATCGGAGTCGTGTTCACTCGCTGGTTCGTCTTTGATTCTCTTCTCAGCTTCTTTCGCGGCGTATAATTCAGCGGCCTCTTTTTTCTTCTGCTCGGTAGATTTCTCCCCTGGGTCCTTTTTCTTAACCTCTCGCTTCTTGGGCCGTAGCCATTCTTCCATTCCCGGCGGCCAGTACACTCGTCCTTCAGGACCTCCCATGCCGACATCTTCCTCTGGGATCAGCTCTGGCTCGGGTTTTTCGGCCTTCTTCTTTTTCTTGTTCATCACCGCGAGAGCAGCCTTATTATCGTCATTCCTCACATATGGGAGGACATCGTTTATCTTGTTGAAACCGGGGAGCTTGAACGCTCTCATCAGCTCAAAGACAGCCTGCTCCTTGTCTTTTGCTTCGATCATTAGATCCATATCCGGCGGGCAAGGTGGGAGTGTAGCAACTCTCGGGTTATGCTTCCGTCTCTGACGCGGCGTGATAGCAGCGGGTGTTGGCTCAGAATAATGCATCTTCTGCGTAATCCTTTTTCGATCCCAGGTGGCCTTGATCCGAGGATAGAGCTCCATGATGTCCTTGGTACCCTCGCGGATCTGGTCTGCATCGAAAACGATGTTGTGATGGTGGAAGTCAAGCACAAACGGTATATTCAGCTCTTCGCAAATCGGCAACAAGTCGTGTACGCTCCAACCCATGTCGTCGTTCTCCAGAACGAGACGGTTCTTGACGCCCTGTGATAGATTGGCATAATTCGCTCGGAAGCGGTCAAGAGTCTCCTGCTTGCCCTCGAACATGCCACCCATGTGGAGAATCATGACTGCGTCCCGGTTTTGCTGTTCAGGCAACTTCAGTAGTGAGAGCATCTCATCGTGATAATCCAAATCACGAATGGCATTGTCAATGACCGGCTTCCTCGGACTGCCCAGCTGCGTGAACTGTCCAGGATGCGTCGTCACTCGATGCCCCAGCTCTGCAATAACTTTCCCTGCCTCTGCGAGGGCTTCTGTGGCGAAAGGCGCAAGCTTATAACCATACTCTGGGTGTGACGCAAATGGAAACATCTCAGAAGACAGTCGGAAGAACCGAATGTTGTACCTGTCGTTCCAACGCACCGTCTTCGCAATATCCTTCACATTGGCCAAGCATAGACTCTCGACATATCGTTGCCCAAGCTCGACATCCGCGGGCTTGCTTCGATCCGGTCGATTCTTTGTAGGATGCTCCGGCTGAGAAGGGTCCTGTAACGGATGGCGATGCTCCAAGATGGATTGAATTCGACACGTTCGCGAGCTGAATACTGGTGGGTTGGAGTTTCGAAGGTATGTGTTTAGACACGCGAATCCTAGACGTCCGGTCCATGGCAGAGGCAAGTATGCACTGTTGACTGGTGGTGGTCTCGACAATGCTTCCTTGACCTCCTCTTCATTCACCTCTTCCTCTCCACCTGCTTCTGGATCGAACCCGCCATCTGCCTCCTTCTTAGGCTTCTTCGCAGGGGTCGCTGCGGCAGTGCTTTGTTGTGCATCCTCGTCTTCCGTCTTGATGGCCTTCTTGCCCCTGGCTATCTTTACCGGCGCTTCCAAATCCACACCATTTTGCTCAGCTTTTGACTTGCCCGATGTCTTGATCGCTTTTGCCTTCTTCTTAGGCGGCTCGACCACATCAAGCGCCTGGCTCAGAGGGCTTTCATCTCCTGCACCTTCCTCCTTCTTAACAACACCTGGCACGATATCCTCGTTAACATCACTATCAGGCGACGCCCGCAGAGCGTTCGGTGCATCTATGACCTCCTCGTTCTTGTCTGGGTTGACGGCCGCTGCAGCAGTGGTAATCGTTCTAGCAGACGAGCGACGGTTTGGCAACGCATCGCCATTGACCACGCCGTTCGTATTATCAGCAGCTCTTTTTCTCTTGGGCGCCATGATGAAGTAGTGTAATGAGCGAGTACTGAGACAGTACGTTCGAGACGCGCAAAGTAAGGGGAAGGTCACAGAACGAATAGCAAGACGTCGCGAACAAGTGACGGGTAACATCCAGAAGCACTGGCCTGAGGTGAACAAGGAGAGAAGGGAGAAGAAAGAAGAAAAGTACTACACCTCTACAATGCACGTCCCTCGCAAGGTAGACGTCGATGATTTGCAAGGACACGATCTTGGAGACGCGAGATCGATGAGATTAGCGAGGACTGATGATGCAAGAATTTGGGGGGCCCCGGCGAACTTTGGGCTGACTGCACGTGCCATCGAAAGGGAAATGGGAGAGGACATTCTCTCAAAATCAAATCGTACTTTCTGCTTCTGTCATCTACAGACGCGTTGTTGTGGTGCAGGGTACCGCCTCACCACACGTCCTCCAATCCACTGACGATCCCCATATCGATGCTCTGTATTCTGCTCCAACCTCAATCATGCCCTTCCGATAAGGGATCGCGGTGTCATCCATTCATAAACATGTACTCCGTCAGGCGTGCAGCACTCAACTGGAATGGGTGCTCAGCGTCCTGAAAAAGATCTTCCTCTGCCGTCGACATTGGGTGGTATTGGAAGTAAGTGGCTGGCGGTAGATGAGGAGTGGCAGGCTGGGATGGCGTCGAGGTGCCGCCACGGCAGTGTGGTATCGAGCAAGGCGGAACGCCGCACGGCTCTCTCTCAACAAGATCGCAGTCGGGGTCGTTGCAAGGATCACACGGATCGCAAGGCTCGCAGGGGTCGCAGTCAGGCTCACCGCACGGTGGAAGCGAATCGTGCGCGGAGTGAGCGTCGTTGCAGAGGATGTTGCATGGCAAGCAAACAGGAATATTGCAACCTTGCTTGCTGCACTCGATGGACGGGTTGCGGTGCCTTGCAGCGAATGAATGGACCGACATGCTCGAACCTCGAGACATTGGGCTGCCGCTCATGACAGACTGCCGACGACAATGCGACTTCTTGCAGTGTGTCTTGAACTGCTGGACCCACAGATTCCAGGCGTGAGGATCTCTGACAGTTTCCAGGCCGTGTCCATCGCGTTCGCAGTGCTCCTTCATCTTGTCCTTGCGACTGTCAACATACGTGCAGCCATGAGTGTGTCTGGCCGGGCACTTGATGCCGGTCTCTGGATTGTGGACCTGCTTCTTGTGCTTGGACAGATTCGAAGAGTCGTCAAATGCCTGCAAGCAGTATGGGCAAATGTGCTTCTTGGCTTTGAGATGGACGCTGTTCATATGGCCATCCAATGCATGCTTGACAGCAAAAGAGCGACCGCAGCCTGGCCAAGTGCAGACAAAATCCTTGGCGCCCGTATGCGTGGTCAAGTGCTTGTCGAGCTGGTCTTTAGTCACGAACGCTTGCGAGCAATGCGAACATGGAAACGGCTTGTACCCAGTGTGACTATGCACGTGCCTCACGAGCTTGTTGGCAGTTGGAAAGCTGCCTTTGTCGCAGCCTGACCACTGACACACGAATGTTCCAGCACCACGCACATGGTGTGTTCGGATGTGGTCATTGAGAGATTTGGCATCTAGAAACTTATGACGGCATGCCATTCCGTTGCCAGACCACTGGCAGCAGTAATGGCCGTTCACTAGAGCAGCAGCACCCGCCAGACCTGGGCGTCTCATAGATCGTGATCCCGTTGGCGTTTTGACGGTCAGAGAGCCGTTGAAGTCCTGGGCCGCCTGATTGAAGTCGGTCAGCTGCGAATGGGCCGAACTCATGTCAAAATCCAGATTGCCGTGTTCGTGAAGGTGCTCCCCGTTGAAGGCCGGGTAGTTGATTGCAGCCTCGCCGTCCGAATGGTGGATGCCGCTGGCGTTGTGTATGCTGGCATCGTGCTGAGGGTTGATGAGAGACGAGAACTGGCTCGAAGGGTGCCAGTACGGTAGAGTCGAGGGGTTGGCATCCCCCGTTGCGCTGTTGCGCAAAGCGCTCTCTTCGAACCTCGACATGACTTCTGTGTTTCAGTGACAGGCAGAGGGTCCGGACACGAGTGCATCCCGTGCGTGAAGGGACTTTGGTGGCAGCCGCGGGGAGCAGGAGCCGCCTTGTCGCGTCACCTCGAGCACTCAAGCAGTCAGGCTCTGTCGTTCAGAGGTTGCGTCGCAAGTTGCTTCGAGCCGGGTGCTTCATGAGGAGGGTATTCCTTTTGAAACAGCGCTGCCAGAAGACAAGATTGGCTTCGTTCTCACAGACCGCGGCGAGAGTGTGTCGCGGGCTGACAAGATCCGGTCCCTCAATTCCTCTCATTCATCATTCTGTCGAGCACCGAGCACCTTGATGGACAACAGTTGGAAGCAAAACTGCTGGGACAGATGTAGCAGAAAGCTCGTGATCGGGACAGATGTCGACGCGGCCAAATCGTTTTTCTTCACTCGGAAAGACTGCAAGAGCGACAGATGATGATCTTGAATTCTTCTAGCTCTGCCTTGTGCTCAATACGGATGTCGGTCGAGACTCTGAGACGTGTTTGGTAGAAGTTTCGTCGTTGTTCTTTGTTTGCTGCTAAAGTGCTGGCCGGATAAACTGATGAGAAAGCGCGAACCCATCCCGGCGCCAGCTAGAGGCCAATCGGCACGTCCAGTGAGGCGATTGTGCGTTGAGAAGTACGAGGTCGACGTATCGAGCTTTTGCGTACGGTAGCACGCCGCGGGTGTCTTCTGTTTGTTCCTTGGAGGGTTAAGGTGTTGCGGGTGACCACGGCCAATCTGCTTTCCTGCTTACTCGATGTGAAGTGCTGCCCCGTGCTGCAGCGGCCCGAAAAAGTCCACGTGCTGCTGCCGCCGCAACGAGACCCTTGTTGTGCCTGCTTGGTCTCTTGGTGCACCTCCGCTCGTAGCTCCAGCATTGTATGCATCTATCCGCAACTCCATATCCAGCGTCGAAGTTGAAGATACAGAGGCAGAAGTTCGACAACATCTTCAGCGAAGCTCGATTACGCCAGGAGACTGCCGATATCGGGTCACTATCCCACCCGCCGCATTGATCGCCGTACAATCCACCCTCCTCACACCTCACCCATCATGGGCAACTGCTTCGGAAAATCGAGTTCAACCTTCCAAGGCGAAGGCCGTACACTCGGAGCACAGCCAAGCAATGCGCCCGCCCAATCGAACAACGCCAGCGCTGCAGCGCCAGCTAAGATCAGCGCACCGGCTGGTGGACGAACGTTAGGCAGGAACCCACAGGCACCAGGCGAGTCGCATACACCTGGCGAAGCAGCAGCGAAAGCAGCAGAAGTACGTCCTCTTTCTTCGGAGCAAAAGAATCTAGCACGCAAGAGAACGATATCTGTCAGCTCGGTTGGACCAATCCTATGAAGGTTGCAGACTGCGGCCATGGGAGGGACGAGCTTGGGGCGATACTCTTTGCGTTGAAGGTTCAGAGCAAGCGGTTTCTTTCAGATTCTTCTAGTGTTTGGATGACAACGCTAACGGCTATACGTCTGACAGGAACGATTAAAAGCTTCACAAGGAAAAGGAAAGCTTGGGAAGCAATTGGACGCACAGAAAGGACAGACACAAGCTGGAACATTGGCACAAAACGCGAGGGATAATGTTGCGGCACGAGATGCAGATGCAGCGGCCGAAGCAAGGAACTGGAACTAGCCCCTGAGACTTGGATGAAGCGGGCGACGAAGTAACGACGATGACGACCACGTGTGCATAGCATTAAATTCGGAAGAGTGACGAGGAACAGAATAGACCACGGCAAAGGTTTGCACAAACACCGAGCAATTGCTACCTCTCATGATGGAGCTTTCCAAAGCCACACAGAGCCGTTTCTATAAAGCTCGTCGTTGTCTTGCACCCTGCCCCAATACCCAATCATGCCCAAAGGGGTGAGTTTGAGTTTCCAATTCCACATAATGCCGGCACCATCACCATACGCTTTGTGGCCACGAAAGGTGAAGACATCATCGACCTGAGAGACGCTTCCCCTGACCACGAACGAACCTATCCCATCAACGCCATCGTCGGCCGCCACTTCCAGTGCCTCCGTGGGCTCGCCATGGGACGCCTGACGACGGACAAATCGGATCTGAACCATAGGAGGATCGAACCGCTCTAGCGAAGGGACAAACGAGCGAAAGTACGTGTAATAGCCACTCCAGGTCCCCTCAAACAAGTACTCCTTCGCCATCTCCCGACTATGGGTGACATACCAGTTATCCCAGTTCGAAATGGGTGAGCTAGGATCGCCAAAGGGGAGCGGCAACTGATACGACGAGTTCGTCGGCCGCATGTCGATATCTGTCGCAGTCGGCAGGGTCATATACGGCACAGCGGCGGTGTGGTAAGGTCGCGCTGCGGGTCTCGTGTGCAATACCTTTCGAACTCGGAGGATCATGAAGCAGAGGCCCCAGAAATAGGCCTTTGACGACTCATCGCGCCGCAGGTATGCGTCTTCGTGCATGGCGAGGGATTTCTCCAGTTGCTGCATTGGCTCGTGGGGTTGGGCAATAATAGCTACGTGTGGTTAGCTACCTTTGTGAATGTTTGAATACTGTGAGCGTACCCATCGCGAAGCAGAACATCTGCTTCGCAGTTAATTGCGGTGGATCCCATAGAAACCGGCCCCAGCACTGTTGATACATAAACGGATGCTTGACGACAAACAACTCCGGCAGCCAGTTGACAAAGTTGGCGGGCGTCTCAAGAGGGCTTTCTTTCTGTGCCAGCTCCCATGCTTTCTGGTCAGCTAGAGCGTATCTCGCCCATTAAGTAGCGTCCTTGCCACAGCGATTTTCGAGGGCTTCGACGTCTAGAGAATGAATGGCCCAGAGATTTGATTGATTACTGAGGAGTTCACGGAAGACAAGGCTGTCGTAGCAGGCTGAGCGGATTGTTCGACATGTTTGGGATAAGCGGAGGATGGAGAGGGCATCTGAATTGACGGCGATGTGTGATAGGAGCTCCTTGGGGAGCGCATCAAGACGAGTTGCCATGGCTAACTTGAGCGTGGGAGGAGAGTGTTGGATAAGCTGTTCACGGAGGTGAGGTGTAGTTCTCAGCTGCTGATCGCCGTATCTGCCTAGCTAGCTGGGTAGCGCTAGCCAAGTGAATGTTCTGCCTGAGGCAAACACTTGCGCCTCGATGGGCTGTGATTAGAGCAGCCACGAGATGTAGAAACTTCTGATAAAGTGGAAGGTTATGAGCCACTGTAGCCACATCCTGTGGATCGAGGTGATCGAAAGTGTTCCTCATAATTCATCATGGCGGGCCACTCTTTTGCGTCCCTCGATACGTCAAGTAGGCGTCATCACATGCAGGTACCAGTTGACACGAGAGAGCAATTCAAAATGTCGTTGTTGTTTGCATGTTTCCTCTGGTCAAAAACTCTACACTGAATACTCAACAACTCACACGACCTACTTTTCAACAACTACACACACATCCAACAAACATCACCAATCCATCAACATGCCTCGCCAAGTCGCTCCACCACCATCTGGCGAGTTTACTTTTCGTTTGCAGAAGCCATTCTCTGGTGAGCGTTCCTAGACACACAAGCTGTGGTTTCCAGACTGACCTTCTGCAAAGGCACCCCAACCCACACCGTCGAAGTCATCGGGGAGCCAAACCGTCCAGCAGTTGTCCGCGTGTCTCAATACAACGGCGGCAACAAATCTTCAGAGAAGACCGGCGATGTTCCCAAGTAAGCTCCGAACAGACTGCCACGAATCCGGATCATGGTTGACGTTATTGCAACAGGGACGACGTGAACGAGCTCACCACCCTCGTCAGCACCGTTCGAGGTTTCCCATCTCATCCCTCGAAAGATGTCTACGGCCAGGACGCCAAGCTCGAGCTCAACACCTTCGAGATCCAGTGGTCGAATGAGGATGAGGATGCTGCTGCCAACGAGGTGTCTGAGATTGCGGCGGAGACCAAGGATGACTTCAAGCGTGTGGTGGACAGCATCGAGGCTCTGGGTCGGACGTTTGCGAAGAATGATTCTGCGGTGTAAGGAGGGAGGGTGATGAAAGATGAGATCATGACTGTACTTTTATAAAAGCGTGTAATAGCACGTCATAGGGCAAGACAGCATTGCGGATGTGTTGTCGGTGTCTCTAGAGAGCTTTCCAAAACCTCATCGTCTGTTGATCTCGTGACCGATTGCCATTTATGCCGACTAGCAGCACAAGTACAGTGCAAACACCGAACGGCTAACCATCCACAAACGATTGTTCTGCGAGCTCCGATCCAAATTGCGGAGTTCGAGCTTGGCCTGCTTGACATGTGACAGCTTTCTGGAGCTCCCAGGCACCAAACAAAAGCAGTGATACGTCATCGTATGAGGTTGCATTCACAGCTGTCGGTAAACCTGATATAAGCGCTTCTTGTTAATTATAACTGATCCTGCTCTTCATCAATACTCATCAAACACCAATCACATACCAGACTTCCGCAAGAACCATCAAGCACCTCAGATCAATCCATTCCAGAACCTCATCCAAGATGCCTCTCGTCGTTCCAGGTCTTCAGTCGAACAGCGGCGACCAGACCCAGCAATGGTTCCAGAAGCTCGCAGGCAAGAAGATTGGCGAGAAGCACGATGAGAACGTATGAAGCACCATGAAATGTTGTTCAGTCTTTCGGATTGCTGACAGTGCGAGCCAGACCTTCGCCAAGGGCGACCTTCCTCAAGAGCACCGCGTCCTCAAGGGCGACTCGATGATGACCATGGACCACAAGCCAGACCGGTATGTTATCACTTCCGTATCCATGCTCTTTCCGGAGACTAACAACGTCTCGTAGTCTCAACATCCACACCGGGGAGGACGGCACCGTGACCAAGGTCACTCATGGCTGAGCAGATTGAGAGGTTCAGATGCCTGTATACCTTCGTAGCGATACCCAGTAGTTAGGGAATGGAATACCGTGAAAGCACCACAGCCTCGTCTTGCACTCCAAAGTCCACGAAATGTGAAAGATCGCTGCCGCCGGTCGCTCGGTGCCGTCTCCTGAGTCCGAGTCTCGCGCCATTCGCGAGCCGAAAAAGACTGCCCCTATCGCATCTCGCCGCAGTTGTAAAAAGATCTGGCGTGTTAACGGACGTAATGTTCGTTGATGGCTTGAACCGTGCTCTCAAGAAGACCGCACGAGTCATGTCTGGCCCAGTCACTGCTTCATTAAATCCGCCTCCTTCAGCCCTGCTGACGCCATTAAAAAGTTCTTCCAGAGGCGATACTGACTACACCCGTCTAAAGCCCTATGCCCTGCATTCGAAAGGGGAAAGAGTTGCTCCGACACATGCATGTACTCTTTCCTATTCTAGGTCAATTGGAAGAAGACATTGGGCGAAGTATCATGTGCGGTTCAGAAGTACTCTCTACAAGCCGGAGAAGTCGATACAATGGCGTCATGCACAGCGGGCAATGCTTTCGGTCTCGTATTTTGGTCTGCCGATGGCTTGCTGCGTTCTGTGTCCTATCATCCATCCATAAACACCGTGTCGCTGACTCGTTGATCTGGAGATAGAGAGTACGGAATTCATTTCAGGCCACGCTACGTGCTTCACTTCGTTTGAGTAACTCGACCACCGGCTTGAAGGATTCGTAAAGCCGGATTCGCTGGGTCTACCTTTCCAGAAGATATAATACATCCTGAATCACGTCGCAGAGGAAGGCCAGAACAGCAGCAACAGATCACAACCACTACACAGGCCAACGCCCAATACTTTCTTCACCACAAATCAAGTTCGAAACATCCACAATGGCATCCAATGTGGTCGAGAAGGCAAAGGACGTCCTGAACCTGAACAAGGACGACATCAAAATCGTTGGACAAAAGGTCCATCACACTGGCTATGGACTCATGGGCTTGACATGGAGATCCAACCCTCCATCGCAGGAGCAGTGTTTCGAGGCAATGAGTAGGTAATTTCGATATTTACGACTGTGAGATCGTTCTAACTATCCCGCAGAGACTGCCCTCGAGAACAAGTCCAATTTCTGGAACGGAGGCGAGATTTATGGTACTGTGGAGAGGAACAGTCTGCACCTGCTTCGCGAATACTTTGAGAAGTACCCAAAGGACGCTTCTAAAGTCGTGCTATCCATCAAAGGTGGCATAGAAAAGGGTGGCCGCAGACCCGACGGATCTGCAGAAAACACTCGACGCAGCATTGACGAGTGCCTTACAGTCCTTGCCGGCACCAAGAAGCTGGATATCTGGGAGGCGGCTCGTGCTGACCCAACGACCCCGATTGAGATCAGCATGCGAGCGGCAAATGAATACGTCAAGGCTGGCAAGCTCGGCGGTATTGCTCTGTCAGAGTGCAGCGCAAACACCATTCGACGCGCAGCCAAAGAAGTCAAGGTTGCGTGTGTGGAGGTCGAATTCAGTCTCTTCTCGACACAGATCTTGGACAACGACGTTGCAAAGGTCTGCGCAGAGCTTCACATTCCGATCGCGGCCTACAGTCCACTGGGTAGAGGATTTCTCACCGGCCAGATCAAAAGCCCCAGCGATATTCCAGCAGACGATCTTCGCCACCACATTCCCCGCTTCTATCCCGAGAACTTCGACAAGAACCTCAAAGTGGTAAATGAACTTGAGCAGATCTCGAAGAGGAAAGGTTGTACTTCTGGTCAGGTCGCTTTGGCCTGGGTACGAGCACAGAGCAGGAAGCCAGGCATGCCGACGATCATCCCCATTCCAGGTGCTTCGAGCCCAGAGCGTGTCAAGGAGAACTTGGTCGAGGTTGACCTCAGCGAGAACGATCTGAAGGAGATTGACAGTCTCCTTGCCAGCGCGGAGATCGCTGGTGGGCGTTATGACGGCCCATTGGCGGCGCTGGAGCATGCTGATACGCCAGAACTCAAAGAGTAGACATGAACCTCAAGATTCTTAGCATTAGCCGTGCAGCGTACATGCCTCCTCTGCGATGTATATATCAGCCTCAGTCCGAATGAGTTCTTTATTTCAGACGTGTCCATCATTATGTGACCTCAGATCAAGTGTAGTTTTGGAATAATCCCCATGGGCTTCGTGTCCAAAGGACGCGGAAACCGTGAGCATTGCAGAATTCTCTATGTTCATCATAGTGAATGTAAAAAACGAAGATGCAAAGACTCACATAGAAGGCGTCGCAACAGACTGCGCTCTGAGTTATCACTTCTCTGAGTAGAAGTATAGATCCGATAAGAGATGGCCTCGAGTTCCATATATATTCGAGGTTTCGACTCTTTCACCCAGCAATATTCGTGATATTCGGCGCCTCATACGTCTCCAACTGCCTCTCGCCTTTCCTCAACAAGAACTCAATGGTCTGGAAATCCTTCTTATCCCGATCGATATTCTTCTCGAATTCTCGCCGGGCGAAGGCCTCGAAATTGGGTCGCGTGTCGGAGGGTTTCGCTCGTGCGGCACGAAGACATTTTCGGTACAGGGCGAGGACGTCCCGCTGGAGACCGGAGAGACGGGTAGTACGCACCATGTTGTTAGGGTGATGGGTATCGTGGGAAGGAGAAGTGTATCATGGTGTGATGACGGTGAATATTTGAAGAGAATCGTGAAGGCTGAAAGTTGAAGTTCGATGACAGCTCGTGGACTCGAGCGAGGGTCCGTGCGCAGAGACATTTCGACTTCACTCCTTGCCACGACCTCGTGAAAACCAGATTTGAGAGAATAGAAAGATCACCAGACATGAGTGATGAGTTTGATCTACACAGGTCATCGTCCTGTCTTTGCACCATCACAAACCTCCAACAGCGCCATCGCCAAGCCAACCAGCAAGGCTGCATTTGTCGAACATTGATGATGTAAAGATGCCAAGGCAACCATCTCATTATTCCTGATTTCTCACCCATCATGATCTTATACCTTACGGTAAGGTGCTGGTATCCCATCTGTCAACGCCAAGGTCGTCTGAGAATGGAATGGCACTTCCACTCATCAAGGTCTCCATGAACGCAGTATCTACGCCTTGGAACACCCACTCGTCGAAGTCCGCGGCCGCATCTGGGAACATTGAATCGTGTTGAATTGGTGAGCCCGTTATTGCCGCTGGTGTACCGTGTGATGCTTGAGGCTGTTGATTTGGTTGACTGTTGTCCTGCTGTGTCAGTGAAGTCGCGGCAGTGTCACGGCCTTCGTCGGAGTCCATCGTGGAGACCTGCTGCACAAACATGGATCCAAGTCCTCCAATGGTCACGCTCTCTTCTGACAGAGCCTTAGCCTGCTCCATTTTGGCTGCAGGCATGGCCGCAACCCCATTGCGAGATATCTGGATGCCACCCAGGTACGGCACCCGCATGTTCAGAACGTCCCGCTGATTGTCTCGGCCATCTCCAGCATCGTGTGACCCGCTTGTACGAAGATGATACTGTCGTGAAGCATCCTCTTCGATTGCCAGGAGGTTCTTCAAGAGAACAGCACATCTTTCAGCAAGGCTATCGCCATGTATGTCAGACATTGGAGTGATGCAATCAAGAGCCCGCTTCACCGTTGCACGGTCACCTAATCGCTGATGTCTCAAGAGTTGATCCGATTCATTCCCAGAATGGCTGGTGATATGGCCTATCATCAAAGACATGCCCACAATAAGCGCCAGGAAGTCGCTCATACGACAGCAAGCCGCAATAGGATTGAACGTCCGCATTTCAATCTCTCGGGTCAGTACCTCTCTGCTAGCATTGACGCACGCGATTTTGGAATGTAATCGTCGAGCAGCATTGGAAGGGTGCAGCATGTGCGGCAGATGTAGTTGTAGCACGAGGCTGTAATAGCACATATGGCCAAAGGCTCGACGGGTTTCCATTAAAGCTTGTACGGAGTCTCTCTCCAGTCCCGAAAAGCCCAGTGGTCGCCAGAACTCAGACGGCATCTGTTCGGCAGCAACGATGATTTCTCGATCTATGTGAATCGTCATGTCCAGCGCCGTTTGTGCGCAGTCCTCGTCGTTGCGTTCGAGAATCTTACCAGCTAAGCTCGCTACCAGCGCGGACAAGCTATTGGTATTGGAGGAAATACTTGACGTGTGAGACAAGAGAGACATATTGCTTGTGCTGGTGGGCAATCCGAGCAGTAGGGATAGCATACGCTCCATCGAGACGACGGTAATCCACATGAGATCCGGATCAAGATCCCTCTCATTACTGATTCGCGTGAAGCGATGACGGCCGGGTCGATGGAGTCCAAGCATCTGTGCAGCTGTGACAGCTCGGTGGGTCGTGATCCAGGCTCGACGGAGATTGCTGCTTTCGACGTGATAGAACATCTCGAAGATGAGATTCTCCAGCGACTCCAATGAACCCAGCAACGTGTCATTCATGTTAACCCACTGGATGGCAGATTCCGCTAGCCTTTTCATGATGATATGGTGGTGTTCGCCGAGGCCGGACACGAGCTCTTTGGGTGATAGATGTTGCACAGCAGCGGCAGACAGCAGCATTTGTCTCGCCAACATAGTGGGATGTCTCTCCGGATGCAGAAGATCTCTGAACGGCATAGGACGCTTCGAAGTCTTGTCCGACCACGTCCCATGGTATCTGTAGTCCGTCTCATACTGCAATGCCGAGAGCGTGCTGAGTCTGTTAGAGAGGAGCCGGATGTCGTTCTCACAAGGTAGAGCGCGGATGAGCGCCTCTCTGATCGATGCGTAAGACTGTGGTGGTCCATCCGCGATCCGGTAAGAATGTCTGCCTGTGGGGAACGGTGTCTCCACCGATTGAGGCGTGGGAAAAGTATCGCCCAGCGTTAGTGGGCCGTCTTGTTCTCCATGGCCCAAGTCTCCATCGTTCCCCACAAGAACTCGAGCATCGACGCCATTGCCACCGTCATCACCAGTCTTGTCGCTGTCGTGTGTGGGAGAGTCGTATTGACTGACACACTGCACACCTCTTCTCTCACACACGATGCATCTGGCACTGCTGTGCGTTGCAAAGATACACTTGACTTTCCTCCTTCTACAGTCCAAGCAACTGCGAGTCCCTTTCCTCAGTTTTCGACGTTTGACAGGCACCTCTTCGTCCGGCTCGGTCCCAATCGTGGTGTTCATCGTCGCTATAAGTCGTGGTAATACAACTGGACGCTCGAATGAAAGTCAGTCCAGAATGTTGTTCGACCGAGGACAAAGATGGGATGATGATGGGAGATGTCCGAGGCTGACAAACGCATCGGACGAAATGGGGCAGCTCGGTCGAATGAAGAGGTCTCAAAGTGGAACACCTATCCCCATTCCTTGCAAGCTTTCTGAGCAACTTGGAGAACGACTCAGAGCCTGGTCGCTCTAAAGGTCGGAGGGATGACTGAAGATGCCAGGCGTTCCACTTTGAGCGGGACGACGAGGGTAGGGTCCAAATTAGAGATGATTTCTCGGACGAACGTCTGGCGCTCTGTTGCATTCTCCCATCCTGGCCGCTTCAATGATTTGATGAGCAAGCCCACATGCCTTCGACCGAAGGTACCAGTCAAAGATGTAGGTGCTTTCTCTCAATGCTTCTTTAAGTACCACTCTCTCCCTTTTTCGAAATGAAGAAAGACATCTCTCAAGCTTCGCACCATGGCAGAACCAATCCCACCAAAAGAAGAGAAGCAGCCTGACGACACTCTCGTGGAAAAGTCTGAAGACTATGCAGGCGGAGCCGTCTTGGGCGCCTTGGTCGGTTCCCTCATGCTGGGGATGTTCCTGGTAGCACTCGACAATGTAAGTCCACTGGACCAAGCACAGTCTTGAGGGTATGCAGCTGACGAGGGTGTTTCCCAGACCATCCTCAGCACAGCGATCCCGAAGATCACAGATCAATTCAAAGACCTAAGCAAGGTATCGTGGTATGGAGCCGCATACTTCATGACGTTCGGTGGCTTTCAATCGACCTGGGGAAAGTTGTTCAAGTACTTCCACATCAAGATCTGGTATCTGGTTGCCATGGTGGTCTTTGAGGTTGGCAGTCTGGTCTGCGCTGTAGCTCAGGATCCAACGACGCTGATTGTCGGTCGAGCAATTGCTGGTCTTGGTGGATCCGGTGTGACCGTTGGACTTTTCACGATCATTGGATTTGCCGCTCCACCAGAGAAACGTCCTCAGTTTCTCGGTATGCTAGGTGCGACGTACGCCATCGCTGCAGTGCTTGGTCCCTTGATCGGTGGTGCTTTTACGGAGAAGGTGTCCTGGCGATGGGTAAGAGAATGGCCGTCTTCGAGTTTCGAATGCGTCGCTGACCAGGTCAAGTGCTTCTACATCAACCTCCCGATCGGTGGGCTCGCCGTGGTGATCACTATGTTCTTCTTCAAGCTCCCCACAAACGCGAAGCCAGTAGCAGCCTCGCTCAAAGAGAAGTTCTTTCAGCTAGATCTCGTGGGGGCGGCTCTGATGATGGCGTTGCTCATCTCGTACATCCTCGCTCTCCAATATGGCGGTCAGACGTATGCGTGGGATAGCAGCGTTGTAATCGGCCTCTTGGTAGGCTTCGTCGCCATTCTGGCGGTTTTCGTCGTCTGGGAGCTGTACCAGAAGGAGTACGCCATGATCGTGCCACGGCTGGTAAGTCGCCTGTTCAGTTACTCTTCTCCCAAAGGCAATACTAATGACCATATCAGTTCGCCGAGCGATACATCTGGACCGGCTCACTTTTCCTGGTCTTCTTCAGCGGCTTCTACTTCGTAACCCTCTACTACCTTCCAATCTACTTCCAAAGCGTTGACAATGCGAGCCCAATCGGATCCGGTGTCAGAATGCTGGCTTTGATCTTACCGCTCACCTTCGCTGCCATTGCACAAGGCTTTGCATACACCAAGATCGGGATCACACCTCTGTTCTGGGTCGTTGGTGGAACACTTGGCACCATTGGGTGCGGCCTCCTGTACACCATGGACGAGTCGACGTCTACTGGCAATTGGATAGGTTATCAGATCCTGGTCGGGGTCGCAGTTGGTCTGACCATGCAGGTCGCACTGCAGAACGCACAAGTCCAATGCCGACCTGAAGATCTGTCGCAGGCAACTGCCGTTATAAACTGTAAGTCTTTGAGTGCTCTCGACCAGAACGAGCTGACACTCATCCAGTCTTTCTTACCCTCGGTGGATCCATATTCATCTCAGCAGCGCAGTGTGCCTTCAACAACGAGTTGATCAAGTACATTGCCGCCAACTTGCCCGGGATTGATCCTGCAGTGGCCTTAGGGACGGGAGCCACGGAGATTCGAAAAGTCTTCACTGCTGAGCAGACATCCATCGTCATCGATGCCTACGTCGCTGGTTTGAAAAACGTCTTCATCATTTCCACTGCTGCCTTCGGAGCCGCCACGCTCGTTGGATTCTTGGGAAATTGGAAGAGGCTTGATGCTGAGAAGATCAAGAAGGCTGCCGGCGGTGCGGCCTGAAAGCCTAGAAATGGTGGTAGAGATCGCAACGATGGTCACACTGTGCAATTAGCTCACTCTTTCTCCCGCCTGTATCGTGGAGATTCCCGGAAGGTAAGTATGTAGAAGTAAGGAGGATGAAGCTCCAGCCCTGTAGGAAAGTTCAAGATCGCACCGAGCTCGCGATGACGGCACAACACGAGCCTCACTCTTACCAAAGCATCATTGACACCTCAAAGCTCCCGTCCAGACCTTCAATCCTCCCAACACATACCCAGCCTGTCCCGTCTCCTTTCACCAGGCATCACAATTCCATGCACTGTCCCAAACAAGACATGCCATTGAAAAGCTAAGTACCTATAACAAGACAAGATCTTTCTCGTATCCTCGATCCGTCCAAACCACAACACAGACGAACAAACAATGCAAGACCTCGACCTCCTCATCCTCGGCGCCGGCTGGACCTCGACCTTCCTGATCCCGCTCCTCAAATCCCAAAACCTCACCTTCGCCGCCACGACGCGCGACGGCCGCAAAGTCGCCGGCGTCGAAACAATCAAATGGTCCTTCGACCCGGACGAGAAAAAAGACTCCACAACCACGACCAAAGAAAAGAGCCAATTCGCCGCCCTCCCCTCCGCAAAACACATCCTCATAACCTTCCCCCTAACAGGCCCCGGCCAATCCTCTCAACTCGTCCACGGCTACTCCAAAGCGCAGGGCAAAGGAAACCACGACGTGCGCTTCATCCAGCTAGGAAGCACGGGGATCTGGCAGATCCCTCAGTCCTCCCTCTGGGTGGATAGGAAATCGCCCTACGATACCACGAACAAACGCGCCGTCGCCGAAGACGAGCTCCTCACGTTAGGGGGCTGCGTGCTGAACCTCGCGGGCTTGCACGGCGGGGAGAGGGATGCGCGGAAGTGGGTGGACCGCGTGGCGAAGACGAAGGAGGATGTGAGGAATAAGAAGAGCGTGCATTTGATCCATGGGGTTGATGTCGCGCGGGCGGTGGTGGCGGTTATGGGCAATTGGATCTCGAGTCAGAGTCAGAGGTATATGCTTACGGATGGGTTGGTGTATGACTGGTGGACGTTGTTTGCTGGGTGGGCGGAGGGGGATCGGGAAGATGAGGATCCGAGTAGGGAGCCGAGTGAGCAGGCGAAGTGGGTTTATGAGTTGATGACCGAGGAGAGGGTGCAGGCTTTGCCGAGGAGTATGCAGACGTTGGGGCGGTGTTATGATAGTAGGGATTTCTGGTCGACGTTCTCGCTTGCGCCGTTGAAAGCGCGCATTTGAGGTAAAAGTGTAGTGTACATGCTGTATCTATATCACTGTATCATGGCATACCTCAACAGTAACTTCCAGAAGCGATGATTGTTGTGAGCTCTTCCCAACCGCCCAAAGGATAGCCACATCAATATCTTGTCACGGGTCGCCAATGCATCGTGGACATTGCGACTGAACATTTGCGTTCTTCAAATCCAAGCCAATCATTCGATTCGGCTCCTCTATTGCTGCCGTCCATGTCTGGGAGAAGAGGAAGTCTTCGAGCATGGCCAAACTCGTTCTGCTCTATTTCGATCTCCCTGCGTCCAGCGTCTCGGGCGAGCGGAGTTTGACATACCAATGTCAGATGTAAATATATTCCGTGCCGCAGCTCTGTCTCCTCAGCCATCCCTCATCTTCTTCTGAGGCGGCCGAAGCAAAGTGTCATCCGGCAGTCCGCTACGCTTCGTACCCGGCAGACTGCCAGTGCCGATCTCATGAGCATCCGTGCTCACTTTTCGAGGCGGATACTTGGTCTCCAGGCCCTCGAAGCAGTTCCAGGAAGGTAGCTTGCCATCGCCGGTGAAGTAGGGGTGTTTGAGAGCTTGTTCAGCAGTGAGCCTCTTCAATGGGTCATACTCCAGCAACTTCTTCAGGAGATCTAGAGCACTGTCGTCCGGTGGTGGTGATTGCGGGCCACCATAGTTGTTGTTCTGAATCGTGTTACGATACCACTTGTCCAGCCCAAGCGGTCGGTTCACACCGGGGTTGTGCATATTGACAGTCTGCAGGTTGGGAAACTCAGGCATAGCTGGTAAGAGCGGCCAGTCGGCTTTCTTAGGCAGTCCGAGAATTTCTCCAATCTTGCCCATCTGGTTACGTTGGAAGGGGACAGCCTTCTTGGAATCCTGTTTTGCCTCCTCTCCCTTGAAGATAGGTCTCAAGGACAACAGCTCGGCGAAGATACAGCCAACGGCCCAGAGATCGATTGCTGGGGTGTAATGGCGACTTCCAAGAAGTAGCTCTGGCGCACGATACCAGATGGTCACGACGACCTTGTCGCCCGAGAACAGTGCATGTAACGGCTTGTAGAACAAACGTGCAAGACCCAGATCTCCAATCTTGATAGCTCCAGACGAGGTAACCATGATATTCGCGGGTTTCAGATCCCGATGTATCACCCAGTTCTGGTGGAGATAGAGCAGGCCGGAGAAGATTTGATACATGCAGGAGCGAAGAGCAGAAGCTGGGATGGGCGTTCGCGGCAACAGGCTGTGGTGGTGAATGATCTGAAGCAAGTCATGCTCTGCATACTCAAACACCATGAAAATGCACTTCGACTCAAGGATGATCTCCACGAGATGAATGAGAGCAGGATGGCTCAATTCAGTGCACAGCGCCATTTCTCGAATAGCCGATTGAGATATTCCGGTATACTGGAGCTCGCCTTCCTTGTCCGGCTTGAATTTCTTGATCGCAAAAGCCTCGATCGTCCTGCCATCGGGATGCTTGGCCTGGCTCGAAGGCTGACTTGATCCGGGCGTTCGTTTGCATACCGCCTTATACACCCGGCCGTACGTGCCGCTGGAGATGAAGCCGACGATATCGTAATGGTCGTTGATATGCCGCTGAGGGGCATACGGGGTGCCATTCATCTTGACGATGGCCGGGGTTTCGGGAGGCTCTGGCGAAGGTATAAGCGTTTGAATGATATCTCACAGCATGACGGCAAGCGTGGACGATTGCGAGCCTGAGCCGGTAGCCGAGGATTTCGTAAGGAAGTGGCAAGGTGGTGGAGGATTTGTAGCGTGAGATTTTCCGCTTAAGGCATCTACGAGACCGTCTTTCTATGCCAACCGTGCCGCATGGGGAAAGAAGGAATAGTAGCTCGCAATAGCGTTGAACCACGAGCCTCGAAGTCGGCGGGACTGACCTTCAAAAGCAGCCTGTGCGCTCCTTTTCAGACCCTGGGCCTGCACTGAGCCGGCGCTGGCGCTGGCTGGAGCAGGATGGGAGGCCATGCTTCCGGCGGGCTTGTACCGCGCAAATTGACATCAACCGCTGCTCCGGTCAGGCGTGCGTGCGTGCGTGCGGGTGGAGGTGCTGGAAAGCTACTAGACGATGATGTAGCTCGCTCGAGCACGAGATGGGTTCGCTTCGTATCGACGTAGGTTGCAGAACAGGCGCATCGGGCCGCCGCTGCGTCGACAACGTGCTCGCTAGCGTCGCATGTGCGAATCGTCGCAGGGACAGATCTCATGTGGTGCTCGACCGATGCTTTTGATCCGGTTCAATTGCTGCCCTTTCTTTCAATCCAGCTCGTTAAGCTGCTTCATCGACCGTCGGCAGAAAGAACATCCCCACTCGGCAGTTCTTCGGCAGTATTAGCTCCCCGCCCAAGCATTCACCTCACGCGCTGCCCTCGGAGAGCTGCCTGCATGTGAAGAAACGCACCATCCCCACCTGCATCTCTGCTGCGATGAGAAACGAGCCCAACTCCCAATAGAGCATCGTCCAGCCAGCATGGCACCAAAAGCCCTCGCCGACCTCACGCCCTACTTCCTCTACCTGCTCCTGACCGCAACCCTCGGCCCTCTCCTCTTCGGCTACCATCTCGCAGAGCTCAATGCTCCCCAACAAGTCATAACATGCGTCAAGGAGAGCCTAGGCACATCTACCTTCCATCGAATCAAGAACGCCTTGACTCAAACCTCACCCGAAAACGGCGGTCCTCTCCCGCAATGTCTCCCCATGAACCCGACCGAGTTCGGCGTCGTGTCGTCCTTCTTCACGCTGGGAGGTCTCATTGGCGCTCTATCTGCTGGCCCCGTCACCGCAAAGCAGGGCAGACTGCTGACCATGATCTACTCGTCCGCCTTCGCGGTCGTAGGTCCCGCCCTCGAAGCTCCCTCCATCAATGTTCCCATGCTGGCCATAGGACGACTTGTATCTGGAGTCGGAGCAGGCGCTGCCACAGTGGTGGTGCCCATCTACATCAGCGAGATTTCCCCACCGAGCAAGAGAGGGTTCTTTGGCGCTTTCACGCAAATCTTGACCAACTGTGGTATCCTCATAACACAGGCGCTTGGGCTGTTCTTGAGCAGAGGGCAACTTTGGAGAATCATACTTGCCGTGGGGGGTTTGATTGGTCTTATACAAGCTCTGGGACTTGTGCTTGGTGGTCAAGAGAGTCCGAAGTGGTTGGCGGAAAAAGGCAAAACAACTAGTGCGAGGAAAATATTACAGAGGATAAGAGGGGAGAATGCCAATGTCGAAGACGAATTGTCAGGCTGGGCAACAGGAGATCAAGACGAAGAAGAGGAAAGATTACTTGCAGCAGGAAACGACGGGAACGAAGACACAAACAGTGGCGCCCCTCGTCTACTGAGAAGACCAAGCCAACAACACCGCCAGAACGTCGGCGTATTCGGCGTCCTCAAACACCCCGACTACGCGCCCGCCGTCTTCGCCGTCACGATGATAATGGTCGCCCAGCAATTCACCGGCATCAACAGCATCGTCATGTACGGCGTCGGCCTCCTCTCCGACCTCCTCGCGGCCAACTCCGCCATCCTCAACGTCCTCGTCGCCGCCGTCAACGTCGTCATCACCACCTCCTGCGCCCCTCTCTCCGATCGCTGGGGCCGCAAAACCTGCCTCCTCATCTCCATCTCCGGCATGGGCATCAGCTCAATCCTCCTAGCCGCGGGCATCATGAACTCCATCAAAATCCTCAGCGCCGTCTCCGTCATCCTCTTCGTCGCCTCCTTCGGCTTCGGCCTCGGCCCTATCCCATTCATCCTCGCCTCCGAGCTCGTCAACACGGAAGCCGTCGGCGCCACGCAGTCCTGGGCGCTGGCAGCCAACTGGATTGCCACGTTCATCGTCGCACAATTCTTCCCACTCATCAACGATAAGATGGGCAAGGGGCAGGTATACTTCATCTTTGCGGCGTTTGCGCTCTTGTTTGGGACGTTCATCACGTGGTGGGTGCCAGAGACCAGGGGGAGGAGGGATGCAGATGAGGTTTGGGGACGGAAGAAGGCGCCGGATCTCGAAGATTAGATTAAGCACTTGGAAGTCGTACCTAGCGATTCAATTCACAATCATTTCCTCATGCGAACTCTCGATGACCACGTTAAGTGAATCACGCTCATCGTTCTCCGTGATAGCTGAAGACGGGTGAAAAGCTCGGCCTAACAGTCGCTTTCACATGGCTGCCGAGACACGCTGCACGTCTTATTTTAAGACCGCGTGATGAATCGAACGAACATATCTTGAGTTTTAATACTTTCTATTCTTGTTGGATTACGTATGTACTTCAAAATCCAAACTCCATCATGAAAAGAACTGCCAATGAGTAACGTCTCTGCAGTGTTTGACCCTCAAACCCAAAAAGAGGAGGGCCACCTCGCCGGATGTCTCCCCAAGTCGTTGATGTAGCCAGCCAGCTGCACCTGGATCCGGAAGACAGGCAAATGCCCATCTCACAGATCAGTTTGTATAAACGCCAGGGAAATGCCGATGGCAAAGAGCACCATGTCTTCCATTCCGATCAACAAATCTTTCTCCCTTCCATGCTTTCTCTTAACATTGATGCTTTCAGATATCTTCAATGCCGAGAAAAGCATTTACACGAGGATCATGCCGAACATGGTGAAGAGAGCCACGAATCCAGAGCAGATGAACGGAGTGTATCCAACCTCGCCCAAGAGAAGAGGGCTGGCGGCGGCGGAAGAAGAGCTTGCAGAGCCCGAGCCTGATGAGCCCGAGGCCTGGGCGGTGACGCTGCCACTACCTGCGGTGGCGGTACCTGTAGACTGGCCACCAGAAGTGTCGCTTCCAGACTGGCTGCCCTTGCCCTGGAGACCTGGACCCTTGCCAGCACCATCCTTGAGGAAGCTCTGAGCAGCCTTTGGCATGTCGGGAAGCTCTTGGCCGGAGAAATCCTTGACCTCCCAAGTGCTACTCTCGGATGGGCATTCGCTGGCCTTGCCGTCCTCCTTGTAGCCACCGTCACCCTGTGGGTTGGTGTTTTTGTAGGCTTGCATGAGAGACTGGAAGTCGGAAGTCTCCGTCACGGAGTTGCCGTTGATCTTAACAAGACCGTAGCCGCTGCCCTCCTCCGAGTACTCGTAGACGAGACCGCCAGAGTAGACCGGGGTCATCTGGTCACCGTAGAGTGCCTCGACTTCCTCAAACTTACGCTGATTCGTAATGCAGCCGTATTCAGACAGGCTATGAAAGATTAGTTCTGGTCTCGGAGATGAGGGTTTAGTGTCAAACTTACAAGAGCGGGATGCTGTAATTGCCGTATTGCTGCACCTTCTGGTCCCAGCCAGATTTTTGATAGGATGAAGGGTCGCACCACGAGTAGTCGTTGAAAGCAAAGAAATCACTTCGCTGGTCGTCAGTACCGCAGTTCATGTAGGAAGCCATCTCGTAGCGGTTGCTCTCGACATCGGCGGCGGAGTAGCCGACAGGGACGGAGCGGTAACCACGGCTCTGGATGTAGGACTTCATATCACGGGTGACGGCCTTGATGTAAGGAGCGCAGTTGGTGTTGTTATCGGCGTTGATGACCTCGTTTCCGGAGAAGAAGAGCAGCGTGTTGTCGTACTTCTGGAAGGCATCGATGGTGGCGAAGATGCTCTGGAGGTACATGTCGTTGTATGAGACAGCTGGGTCGGCCCGGTTGATGGAGTATTTGGGGGTGTTCACGTCCAGCGCGAGGTAAATGCCAGCAGCTGCCAGCGCGTTCATGCACTCGTCATGGTTGGCGGTGTTGTCGACCGTGTAGACACGGACGGTGTTGATGCCCAGCTTCTTGAACTCAGCAATGTCTCTCTGGCACTTGTCGGTGTCTGCGATGGGGTCTTCGGCCTGGGAAGAGCCACCAGGCTGGTAGTCGACACCACGGATGTAGAAGCGCTTGTCGCCAGCGAAGAAAGCTGAAGATGGTCAGTAATGCGATGGAGTTGGTGAGTCGAGGCGAAGACTTGCCGTTTCCCTTGACGGTCACAGTTGGAACGGAGCCGGAAGAGCTACTGTCGGCCCTGATCTGAACTGGGGTAGCGACGGCGTTGGCGAGCGCAGCCGACGCAGCGGCCAAGGCGAGAGAGGCCTTCATGATGTATCGTGAATTAGTAGTTGGCGTAAGCAAAACGAAAACGGGGGCAGTCCCGTGGAAATTCGGAGACAGGCGAGTGTGGTCGTCGCGTGCGCGCGGCGAATGTCAGGATAGAAGAAACGACGGGACGAGAAAGTCTCGAAACGAAGGCGAGACAGTTCAAAGAAGGTGCAACGAGCGTGGTGGTGAAGAAGGCGTGAATAATGGGAAGGAGGTGTGGAGGGAAGAGAAAAGGCAGGAACGAGGTAGGAGACTCAAACGCGACGGAGCCGCAGCACACACCACCAGCTTTTTGCCTCCCTCCTCCCTCGCTGTCTCTCCGCTCTCCTGACCATGAGGCTCTGCCAAGCAGGAGAAGCTAGTGCCGCAGGTACAAGCATCCCGCCAGCCAATCCACGAGCCCCATCCGCCGCAGCAAGGTTACGATCAACACGCTAGCCGAGCTTACCTGCGCTGCGATCATTGGCGAAAAGGCTTCTCACCACCACCACTCGTCCGCGCCGATGCGAGCCACCGCTGGAAACGACCTTCATGAAACTACCGTTCGCTTGCGTGTCGTTTCGTCGCTGCCAAGATCGAGGCTTCGCTGGCTATGCTGTCATCGCCCACACCACTTCTTTCTGGCTGTGGACGCAGCGTCGGAATGCTCTGCATTGGACGGGGAAGACAGGGTTGATATATTTGGCTCGTACATGCCCCAACTGGCTCCTCCCCCAGACACTCCACCCGACCCACCCTTACGAGATCTCGCCGTGATTCGCCGTCGTATGGCAAAGAAAGTGTATGTCATTGAAATGCATCGATGAATGACATCGTATGGTAAGAACCACAGATACAGAACATACGTGTAAAATTGGAGCTCTTGTAGTCTTCATTGTTCATCAATTGCGTGCTATACTTATGCATACCTCATGGGTGACCTGTCCCAGATCACAACGTGACGGTCCTTCTCGTGCCATCTGCATTGGACGACCGTCGCCACCTTTCCCGTGTTGGCGTAGACCGTGACCTTGGCCCGCCTCTACATGAACCCCCAACTAACTCCCGCAAAAGATCAACTCCAACCTCTCCCATCCAATAGCCTCCGTCAGAGTACCTGTCGAATGATTCCTGCAGTGCGTAACGCTCATAAAACTTCAATCCCTTCCCTGGCCTTCGCCCAAATATTAACTATCATTACAGTAACGTGTCCTGCTCGCCACCCTCGCCATTTCACGAGACCGTGGATGTGCTCGCCTGTCGGTGCTTGGTCTTCCAGAGTGCGCCCATCAACTTCTTCAGTCGGTGTTCTTTCTTCTTGGGTGCAGTGTTCGGAGCCATGAGTGAATCAGAAGCTGTCTGCGGCCGAGAATCGTCCATTCCATTAGGTCGGGGTCCAAACGAGTTCCCCATGAGCTGTGAAAGACTCTGGATGCTGGACCGCTTCCGACGCCGCTCGTTCGCCAGAGTCGCAGAATCCAGCGTGCCCGAAGCCACCGAGGGCGTGCGTAAACCGCTTACATCGCGCCGGGATGAATTCGCGTGCATGGTGCTCAACATCGTAGAACGGCTGCTGGTCAAAGATGGTACATCGTCTACCGAGATGCGCATGTCTTGCGCTTGCTCGCAAGTTGTGTACGAGCTCATGGTGCGATTGTCGGTAATCGAAGATGCTGAAGTGCCCACCCGAGAAGTCTCGAACGAACTCTGTCGTCCCCTGAGATCTGGTGACGAAAATGCTGATGAATGATAGCTTTCAGGAGTTGTCAATGACGGCTGACCGTCAGGCAATGCCAGCATCCCGTTGTCTGTAGCCAAGATCGTCGGTGTCTCGCTACTGTCGGAAGACTTGGTCAGGGAGTGAGCTCTTGGCTCCTCATGAGCCTCCACAATTGCTGGCTCCACAGGGCTGGCTTCTTCGAAGATGGTATCTTCGATGACAGAAGACGCTCGTCGGTCCAGAATTGGTGTCGACAGCCTGGAGCTCACGTTGCCATAGGATGTCATTGGTCGCTCAAGCTCCCACTCATCGTGCTGAATGCGAAGACCATCGTCGAGACTCAAGCCTGGAGCTGATTGGGTTGCGCCAATGTCAGAATCGACAATCTTCACGCCCATGCTGCCTTCGTCGTCTTGCGTAGAGTAAGCACTAGTAGGTCTGGCTGCGAGAGTACTGTCCTCCTCGTGCTCCTCATCCTCTTCGAACACGTCGGCCATGATGTCGTTAGGCGGAGTCGAGCTCCTCATCTGCTCAAATGGAGTGAGCATTGGAGCGCTTTCCGTGCGTCGGTGCATCGGATTTGGATGGTAGTGCAAGCCAGGTCCAATAAAGTCCCGCGTACCACGGCTGCTATGAAGCTCTTTCCGCGGCCGGGTTCCCAATGGTGGTGTCTTGAAAGGGCCAAGCGCTGCGTCCAGATCTAGCACCGTACCATGGTCGGCGCTATCTTCACTCTCGTATTGGATGCTGCTTGGGGTCACGAATTCAAATTGTCGTCTGCTGTAGTCGTTGCTGGTAGTGACTTCATCGGCATCGAGATTGAATACAGCGTCGAGATCGGTCTCAGCAACAGCAGGCTCACTCAGTGGACTCTCGTCAGGTGCTTGCTGTTCGCGCGCAACTTCTTGTTCTGCATCCGGTTTGCCGCTCTCTCTGGCCTTTCGTGAGATCTTGGACACTGCCCAGTCCTTCAACTTCCGCGAAGATGAGCGGCGATCCACGGGAAAACCTCGCTCTATCGCAGAGCCTGGCGCTGAAGGCGACGTCTCTTGCAACGACACTGCAGACAGGCGTGACGGCTCAACAGCGTGCATGCCAATTGCTGGCTCGCTTCGTCTCCGATCGAAGCCCAGGGCGTGGCTGATGGACTGCTTCTTCTTGTGCGCCTGCCGGGGCTTCTCTGATGGCGGATTTGGCGCAAACGTCAATTTGGACGGCTCGTTCACAGGCTCTGAGAATGGCCGCTTGAGGTTTTCTCGCGAAGATGCACCCTTCAGCCATTGGCCTTCGCGTTCAAGCCTCTTGCTGATTTCCAATGAGGATTTGGCACGATACGTGGGCTCGTCCTCCATGGTGGTCTCCAGAGAGATGGCGCGTGGGCGCGAGGATTGAGGGCTTGGGCTGCTCAAGCTCAAGACCGAGGAAATGCTGTTGTTAACTGAATGACCTCTGACCGTTGATAGAGAGCTCTCAGTCTCGGACGAAATAGTGGATAATGGCCGCGGAATGTACTCGACGTTGTCCGAAAACTCCACGCGGGGACGTGATGGTGGTCTGGTGGCACCATCGTCGAACGTGTGAGCGTCTGACGCATTGTTGGTATCATACATGGGATGCTCCAGTGGTGTTGACGGCAAGCTAGTGCTGACGCGTGGTTGGACATCTGAGTGAGTAATTGCTGCATTCAACTCGTTGCTGGACAAGGTGACTCGAGATCTAGTGTGTCCTCTGTGTCGCGGCTTGCGCTCAGGTATTGCCATTGGACCAGAGCCTCTTGTTGGGCTGGAGTTTGTCACAGCAGTCGTACCAATGCCTCCGACGAACTCGCTGTTGTTTCTTCGGTGACTACTGCGGGCGGGAGACGTCTGTGTCGGCTCAGGTTGCTGTTCGCTCAAGCCTGAAGCATCGCTCATGTTGAAGCTAAAATTGGGCAGCATCGACGCTCCTCGGCGGTGTGTATTCTCTGCAGTATGGGGTCGGTGACTGGACATGTTCATTGACTGTGGTCGGCTGTGGCCGGTAGACGGGCGTGAGGAGCCCAGGTCCTGTCCAGGCGGTGGCAGCCTAGGGAAGGAGAAGTCTGGGTTTGGCAGCATCTCAATCTGCGGCCCAGCGCTGGGGGCTGCCATCGCAGCGAGATTCTCTGACAGTGGGCGTGCGACTGCAACGTCGGTCATTTCGATTTCTTTGTCCAGCTGCAGGTGCAATTTGCGGCGGCCGGGTGATTATGCGCGCGAAAGCCCTTTGAAATTGGTCGAGAGTCGCATCGAAAGGTAGAGACAACACCGCCTGCAAGGCACAGTGAAGTAGCTGCGGATTCGTATACGTGTGCGGGAGCGGGTGGGTCGGCGAGTGTGGTGTGGTGCAGTGCGGTGACGGGTGCAGTGCGTGAAGTGCGGGCTCGTGTGGAAGGGAATGCCTGCGGCGTAGGTGTCAGTGACGGTGCTAGAAGTCGTCGAAGCGCTGCCGGCGGCGGCGGCGCATGCAGGGCGTGGCGTACTGAAGTAGACTGGCTGGATTTGCGGAGCCTACCTGAGGCACAGCCGATGGCAGTCGGTAATGATGGCAGAGCGCGGCGCCCACGGCGGAAAAGAACGACGGCAACAATAAAGGAGTGGACGTCAAGCAAGTGACTGGAGGCACCGGGCGAGGGCGTCGTGGTGGAGGAAGAGAGGAGGAGGGGGTGGTCGAGGCGAGCGGTGGTGGAGGTGAAGGAGAGAAAGGTGAGGGAGATTGAGGCAGGCGTGCACGGACGCTAAGGAAAGCGCGGCTGGCAGGGATCTCCTACTCCGCTCTTGGCTCGATTGGCAACCATTCTCCTCGAGCGCGGCGTGTCGTCGTCGTGTGCTGATACGAGCAGGAGAATAACAATAATTGCGTGTGCATGCGGTGTAATTGATGATTTAGTATTGCGACATGGATAATTCATTGCTATGCTACTGACTACGATCCTGCTTCAATGCCGTTCTGTTGTTGTTGTCGTCGTCGGATCGCCTTAACACGGGCCTTATGATCGACTGCTGGCCGTCTGGGGCGTCAGACACACAGTCCAGCCCTCTCCGCGCGGGCCACACGCAACCGTGGGTGTTTGTTGGAGCGCTGCGTCTGCTGCGTGGGCACTGGGCATGTGTGTGCAGCGCGTTGCCAGGTCAGCGCGATGGTGGCCTCCCTCATCCGCCTCCTAAACGGCTCGGCGTGGTGGCCAGGATCGGCTTATCACCTCATCCAAAGCCGCACCTCTTGCGTACCACCCCGTCCCTGAACGTGGATTGGTGCGTCTCCCGTCGTCAAGCTCCTTGCGTTGGTGGGGACGCAGATCCACTCTCTGTCTCTACAACGTTAGGTGCCCCAAACCAATGCACGACCTCTGCCCTCGAAGCGCATCTGCGAACCATGGGACTGCCAGACCCTCACGAATACGGCCAGCAAGCGGTCGGTCTCCCGGGCAATTATGAAACAGATGAACAATTTCTCCAACTCACCGCGAAAGCTCGGAACCTGTTCTGTGCCTGATGCAGGGGAACACGCCATGCATGAACTCTCGCGATCCAGCTGCACGAGACTGAGAAAGAAAGCTCTTTTTGTCCTGTTACGCCGACTTTTCGTTTTTGGCCAAGTCGCAGGACACCGACAACTTCGCAACGTAACAATCGCCTTGCGAACTGCACTCTGAGGCGGCTATTAAAAACCCAAACGGCTCATCAGCCTAGTCGTTAAGGTTTAATGCCAGGGTCCATTCGCCAATCTGTCGTCCACCGGCTCTACGTCAACGCAGAAAGACTGCACGATAGCGGACTAACGTCGTCGACCAGCCCAGCCGACCGTTCACCTTGTGGCACTTCAGGTCACTTTGCTGCTCATGCTGCGCGCCTGTTGAACTGCTCAAGACGCGTCAAGTCCAACACTGCTACACAAGGCATTGCGCACAAAGAGCGTAGCGGCGGCAGATCATGCCCCTCGTACGACCATGACTCGCATGTCTGGGCAGCAGCGGATGCCACATTTCCAGCACACTGGGACGAAGAGACATGTTTGAGTCGCACCAACGACTCACCAAAAGCCTCATCAATAAGGACGTTCTATTAACACCGGTCCCTGCAGCGTATGTCACTGATGACTCGTTCGTCATTCGCAGACGTGCGTATTCCATCTAGGGTAAGACAGGACTATTTTCAGATAGAAGTGGCTAACAAACGGTCTGCTTTAGTGATCCTACCTGGCAACGGTATACAGATACACACAATAATTATTCCCCCGAGAGCTTTCCATAGATGCCGGAAGCGATTTCAAGCTCAGGAAACTTCAGCGCACTGCGTCTGGATCCTCTGCTCCACAAACGAATACGCCAAAGTACAGTTCTTCCCCTGAATCGGGCCTCTGCTCCATATACTGCCATTGCATTGCAACCCATGACAGCGATCCAGTTATTAAGCCAGGATGCCGCCACGGTGTGGTACAACTTCATTTGGCTGTCCTCGTAAGCCTTCACTGCCGGCGACGAAGTCTGGCTTGCAGAAAGCCTCATGTCAACGAACCTGCAATTACACCGCACAGGAGCTACACCGACAGCATCTCGAAACGACATCCTTACCGTGCTGCCGGGTCAACATGTCGAAATAGCCTCGCCACACGATTGCCCATGGCTTGGGTTCGTTACCAGCCATCCCTTCCTTCGTACACAGCTGAACCGGTTTCAGCGTAATGTGGAGGAGGACTGCAGTCGTTTCAAACACGCAATAAGATCGCCGCAGTGGCACGACGGGCTTTGCTTATGGCTTTGAAAGCTCACACGGAAGGTTTCTCAAAAGTCCGTGATCCGCGCCTCTCCATCCAGCTCAGGATTGAGATACTGCATCTGACCGATCCTGCAAATTACTCCGATGACCTTCCAGAACGACAGCTAGAGTTCGAAACTGACCGCCAAAGGCAGTGACACTGACGCGTTTACCTCTATCTATGCATTTTCGTCGAGGTCAGCGAAATACCAGATACTGATCAACGAGAAAGAAGGGGACTTCTTGATCGAGTGCAGATCCAAGGCTGGCACCGAACATCTCGAACTCTGATCTCGAAACAAAACATCTACTGACTTGACTTATCGATTCTTTCCTACAAGAGATGTCGTTGCGGTGCCCACCAATCGAGCAAACATAGCGAGCCTTCCTACGGTGCCGAGGTCCGCTTCCTCCCCACCTCCACTCAGCATGTCAATGTGACAAGTCGTGCTCACAGACGGCATTCAAGTTGCGAGGGCGAGGATTAATCCCTTCGGATAAGAATGCCAACCTTAGCCGAGAGGATGCTCCGCTAAACGGTGAGTGGTCTTTCTCGCACCTCTTTGCAAGTCTACCATTCGACTTCCCTATCCCCCTCTCATTCTCTCCATCGCATAGCCAAGCAAAAGACGAAGCAATTCCCTGTTCAGTCATCATGCCGTGGAAGTCAAGATGGTCAACCGACATTCCTGTCTGTTCATTACCCACCTATCTTTTCCAATCTCCCACAGCAGCACTCGACGATAAGCCCATCCTCATCGAAGGCGAGAAGCCAGAGTACTTCCTCACCCTCAGGACCTACCGCGAATGGAGCAAACGCCTCGCAGCCGGCCTCAAGAAAGCCGGCTTCCAACCAGGTGACCGCCTCCTGCTCTTCTCAGGCAACGCTCTCTTCTTCGGTGCCGTCCAGATGGGCACGATCATGGCCGGCGGCATCTTCACCGGCGCGAACCCTACCTACGTAGCACGCGAATTGGCTTATCAAGTGAAAGACTCCGGAGCCAAGTTCCTCCTCGTGGGTGAAACCGTCCTCGATACAGGCATAGCAGCAGCAAAAGAACTCAACTTCCCCTCCTCCAACATCTTCGTCTTCGACAGCGGCATCGCCACCTTCGACGGCACCGCCAAACCCCAAAAAGGCATCCAACCCTGGTCCAATCTCCTCGCCTCCCCCTCCGAAGGCGCTCGCCTCCAATGGGAAGAGTTCAACTCTCGAGAGCAACAAAAAGACCGCGTCGTCGTCCTCAACTACTCCTCCGGCACCACTGGCCTCCCCAAGGGCGTCGAAATCTCCCACTACAACTACATCGCCAACGCCCACCAATCAGCCTTCATCCAATCCCTCACCGCAGACTTCGAGGAGTGGCGGCAACGAGCACGCGGTATCGCTTTCCTCCCCATGTACCACGCCTACGGCCAGACGTTCTACGGCGTCAACTACCCCAAACTCGGCGCCGTGCTGTACATCATGCGAAAATACGACTTCATCACCATGCTCGACTGGATCCAGCGCTACCGCATCACCAACCTCACCCTCGTGCCCCCCATCGTCATCTCCCTCACCAAACGCAAAGAAGTCAAAGACTACGACCTCAGCAGCCTCGAAGGCGTCGGCTGCGGCGCCGCGCCCCTCGGCAAGGAAAGCATCGTCGACTTCGAATCCAAGTTCGGCGCCACGAGGATCTTTCAGGGGTGGGGAATGACGGAACTGACGTGTTCTGCCGTGACCTGGGATCCCGCGACCGAGCACCCGGACCCCAGCGCCGTGGGGGAGCTGATGCCGAATATCGAGGGCATGGTGGTGGACGAGGAGGATCGGGAGCTGGGCGTCGACCAGAGCGGAGAGTTCTGGGTGCGGGGCCCGAATGTCATGAAGGGGTATTGGAGGAAGCCGGAGGAGACGCGAAAGACGCTGACGAGCGATGGGTGGTTGAAGACGGGCGATGTGGGGTTTCGGGATCGGAAGGGGTTCGTGCATATTGTCGATCGGAAGAAGGAGTTGATCAAGGTGAAGGGATTGCAGGTTGCGCCGGTATGTTGGAAGAGAATCTCACCTGCACTCGTGGGTTCGTTTATGCCGCTCAAAGAGGAAGGCATGGCCGGCGTCGTCAGCCTGTCATCCTTACGATTCCTGGAGCGAATAAGCTCTGGAACATCCTCCAGATGACTTGCACATCTCGCAAGCGTTGGAGATGGACGTTCCACTTTGAGCGGATCGACGAGGATACTACCCTTCTGCTACCCGAGACCTAACTAACAACCCCTCCCAGGCCGAACTCGAAGCCCTCCTCCTCGACCACCCGCAAATCGACGACGCGGCCGTCGTAGGCGTCACAATCAACGGCGACGAAGCCCCCCGCGCATACATCGTGCCCAAAGAAAACTCGAACGCCACCCCTAAGGACATCGCGACCTGGGTGGCTGAGCGCGTCTCCCGACACAAGAGGCTGGAGGGCGGTGTGGTTCCCGTCAACGAGATCGTAAGTGAAACGAGAGAGAAAAAAAATCCACATGTATCGTTCAAAGCTAATCTGGATTGTCTGTAGCCCAAGAACCCCTCCGGAAAGATCCTGAGAAAGGCGCTGCGAGATCGCGCCGCGAAGGAGGTTGGTGATGGTGGGAGGCAGCAGAGTAAGTTGTAGATATCATGGCAGTGGCATGGCATGAGGGTCGTGTAGATTTGATAGAGTCACGACGACGGTACGATGTGAATGCGCACTGAGCCTCCATGAATGGCGAAATAGAACGCTGATATGCATCGACGCGACGTCTTCCATTAGTGGGAAGCTGGATGAGACAGAAAGATCAAGTTATTGATCTCAATGGATCACGAGCCGCTGCTGTGAGAAGGTTGAATCATTGATGAGCAGAGCGGGTATCATTATCAGCATAGCAAAGGATAAAGGCAGCATTCATGAGATCAGCCCATCCTCGTAACTCTTTCTTTTTGGCGTTCACGAGGCACGTGAGATGTTTTTGCGAATAGAGTGGGACAATAAGAAATGAACAAAGTCACAATGATGTGTGATGTCTCGTTGTCTCTTTTGTAAAACCGATCGCTTTTGCCGCCATGCGAAGTAGTTTACACCGTAATCCGTCCGTGGTGCTGGGTATCAAACGTGACACGCCCATGCGTGCCTGCCATCAAAAAGTCCTCCATCCTGGACCCGTACCTCAATCCATCTCGATCTCTCCCACCACGTTCCGCGAGTTGTGCATGACACCCTTCAGCATGCGCTCCACATGCTCCCAGTCGGCAGTATCGAGGCGCGTAGGCTCGACCTGGAAATGCTTGCAGATGGCCATCAACCCCTGCCAGCTCTTGCGGTCATGCACGAAGCTGAGTGCGACGCCGGTACGGCCGAAACGACCAGTACGGCCGATGCGATGGAGGTACGTCTCAAAATCGGGTAAGCCGTCCACGGTCTCCGGGATGTCGTAGTTGACAACCATGGTGACGGTCCGGACGTCGATGCCACGAGAGAGGACGTTGGTGGCAATGAGCACCTTGGCAGTGCCGTTGCGGAACTTCTCGAACACGGCGTCGCGCTCGGCTCCCTCCAATGCACCCGTCAGCTGCGCAACGGTGTGTCCCTCTGCCGTCATGCGTCGCTCAATCTCCGCTGCGGTGACGCGCTCCTTGACGAAGATGATGGAAGATGCGATCGTCATGAGGTTGTAGAACTTGACGAGCGACGTATACTTCTCTTCGTCGTTTTGGCAATCTAGATAGAGTTGCTTGATGCCCTTGACAGTGAGCTCCTCGACTTGCAGAGTAATAGTGTTGGCCTTGGGTGCGAAGACTGCGACGAAGTCTAGCACTTGCTGAGGGAACGTCGCCGAGAAGAGCACAATCTGGGTGTCTTTCGACAGTGCGTTCTTGATGCGGCGACATTGGTCGCCCATGCCCTGCAAGTCAAGCATGTTGTCGGCCTCATCAATGGTGAGAATCTTGACATCTCGTGCCGAGAGCTTCTTGCGTCGAAGCAGGTCCATGACAGTGCCGGGTGTACCCACGACAACCTGTGCCTCAACCGCGTCGGTGCTTCTGTGTGATGGATCTGGCACAGCCTGGAAGACCTTCAGACCCTTATCTTGTAACATGGTGCCCATGACGGAGCAGCCGTTTGCGATCTGTCTCGCAAGTTCACGGGTTGGTGCGAGGACGATGGCTTGTGGGTTGAGGGAGTCAAGGTTGACTCGCTGGAGGATATTGAGCAGGAAGGCGGCTGTCTTGCCCGTGCCCGACTGCGATTGACCGACGAAGTTCTGCGGTGGGTTCTTCAGCAGCAGTGGAAGTGCACGCTCCTGGATTTTCGACGGCTTGCGGAAGCCCATGGTCGAGATGGCTTGAAGAAGTTCTTCCTTGCTATATAGGGTCAGCACGTGGCCTCGAAGTGAGACACCAAGTGACTTACAGGTTGAGGTCTTCAAAGTGTTTCACTGAGAAGAGTGGGTTGTTGGGATCTTCTTGGAGATCGGCGAGCTTGACATTGACATCGAACTCAGGCTCATCGAGTCCATGGGAGCCATTCATCCAACTGGTCGCACCGTCGGCCTGCGCTTTGGCTAGGCTGCCCTCGCTCGTGTCCTTCTTCGCGTCGGCGGTGGTGTTGATCGGTGTGTCATCGTCGTCATCTGCCCAGCTCTTGCCTGCGGGCTTGGGCTCAGCGGATGTTGGCTTAGCGTCTGCCATGTTGATAGCGATTGTTGGAGATGAGGTGTGTGTGAGTGAGCGGGCGGTTGCTGGTGGGTTGGAAGTTGAAGTTCAAAGAATGTAGCTAAAGCGGAAGGCACCCCGCGATGCGCACGGATCCGTGCTGGTGCCTGAGCGGGCCGTTCCGCTTCAACGATCTCAGCTCGCTAAATTGGCCAATGGCGTTCGAGATCTCCGGACTCCTCACATGCGCACCTGCTTCTCGTCCTACTTGTCTTCACTAACAAGCGCACATGTGAGCTGTGAAGTGCAAGCTACGATCACGCAATGAGACGCGCTCGGAAGAGCCATGCGTCAGATATACAGTATCGCCTGCACATCAGTTGGGGAGATTCCTCACTTCGTGTTGATGTTGCTCGCAAATCTCATCGTCTCTGCCTGTTCATGGAAGTGAAATCAAGGCATAGCTACGACGGACCGTATGAAGACTAAGACGTTTAGCAGTGCCATTCCGTCAAGGCGCTTCACACCTCCTAGGTAGACATGAGTACGTGGGAGAGATCAAAAAGTACTGTAGCCGGTAGGTGGATTTTCGTGCCACGGCACAAGGTTTCTCGAACAACGGGAAATGTTACTGTCAAGCCATATCTCGGCCTTTCCAGATCTCTCATCTGGGTTTTCATGGGGAATCGCAGGAACGTAATGTGAGTCGTCGGATCGTCCAGTTCGACAAACCGTGAGTAGTGCCCTTAGTATGATCATTTCTTCGAAACCCCATTTGTGACCGGCTGGCTATGATCGAAACACTAGACGGCGGTCTTGATGCGCCTGAAGCTTGCAGAGAGTTTGCTTAACCCGGTCGAACCAGAAAGGCTATCTGCGTGCGGATGTGGTGCCAAGCTGAGCTTGAAGAGTCATGCTAGCTGTGTACAATTGCTTGTTTGTCTTCGAATAGAAGCCGGTAATTCTCGTGGCATACATTCTGTAAAGTATGCAGTTCCCAGTCGTCCTGCCGTGTTGTTGAAGTTTGATGTTTGCGCTGTCGAAGGAAAGTCTTTGGGAGGGATTCCCCGCCGGATCTCAGTGGGGCTTGGCCGGCCGCGTGGCACTAGCGATCCATCCTCATGTGAGAGACGAGGTTGGAAGCGTCTTAGCCGGTGACATGTCTGTGTCGGAATCCACCCTGCGACAATGGCCGAAGTCGATATTGCGCCTCAGTTTGGCGCCGAACTGAAAGATGGCTTCAAGCCGGTCCATGCCTGGGTCTTGAATGGCATTGCCTGGCTCGATGACATTCAGCAATTCTACCGGGAACGCAGCGCGATTGAGAAGGAATACAGCCAGAAGCTCAGCGCTCTCGCGAAGAAGTACTATGAGAAGAAGGCGAAGAAGACCAGTAGTCTCAGTGTGGGAGATACACCAACTGTAACACCAGGCTCTTTGGAGAGCGCTTCTATGACTACCTGGGGTGTCCAACTCACCACGCTGGAGAGTCGGGCTGCCGAACATGACCGCTTCTCGAACCAATTGATCTCCTCCCTGGCCGAACCGCTTAAACACTTGGGCAATAAGTACGAAGACTTGCGAAAACAGCACGCCGAGTACGCCACGAAGTTGGAAAAGGAAAGAGATGGCAATTACGCCGATTTGAAGAAGACCAAGGACAAATACTACGGCGTGTGCCAGGAAGTGGAGAACAAGAGGAAGAAGATTGACAGCAGTTTTGACCATGGCAAACAAAAGGCTCAGACGGCATTTCAACAACAGCAGAGCGATATGCGCAATTCCAAGAACACATACTTGATTACGATCAATGTCACCAACAAGCAGAAGGAACGGTACTACCATGACTATGTACCTGAACTGCTGGATGTAAGACGCCCTGTACAGATGCTTTGCGATCTAGAGCTGACCACACGTTGCGATCTCAGTCACTGCAAGCCCTGTCTGAGACTCGAACTTCTGCTTTGAATAGACTATGGACCACAGCTGCTTCTCTGGAAACGCAGACCATGACCCATTCGACCCAATTACTGGAGCATCTGTCTGCCGAGATCCCTCGAAACAACCCCGTGCTGGACAGCATGATGTTCGTACGCCACAATGCTGTTCAGTGGCAGGATCCAGCGGACTTTGTTTTTGAGCCTTCACCAGTCTGGCTAGACGACGACACCATGGCTTCAGATCCACAGAGCAGGACGTTCCTTATGAATATACTAACAAAGTCCAAGTCATCACTAGGCGACCTACGACGGGAGTGCGACGCCCGGCGGCGAGAGGTCGAAGGGGTGAAACGAGTTCGACAGCTCGTCATAGAAGGGAAAGACAAGCGAGACGAGGTTGAGGTTGTCCGAGCGCAGTTTCACAACCAGGAACTGCTGCATGAGTCCGAACGGAAGCGGGTTACTGCGGAAGTTGAAGTCAGTACAATCACGTCTGCTGTTGGAGATGTTTCTGCTTCAGCACGGAACCACACTTTCAAGAACCAGACTTATAAAATCCCAACGAGTTGCGATCTATGTGGTGACAGACTATGGGGTTTGAACGCCAAAGGGGTCAGCTGCGAAGAGTGCGGCTTCACATGCCACACGAAGTGCGAGCTCAAGGTGCCGGCAGATTGTCCCGGAGAGTTAAACAAGGAGCAAAAGAAGGCCATCAAGGCGGAACGTCAAGCAGCTGCCCAGGCGCATGCCGCCAGTCCTCCAGCGACCAGCAATGGCAACTCCGATGTGCCGCCCAATCTGCAACGAAGCGATACGATATCATCCATGAACACGCTATCATCTGGCTACGCGGCGAGCGCGAACCGAAGCGTGTCAGGGACGGTCAAATCTACGGATGAGACCAGCACCGCCACGGCCCCTTCGCCTACATCAAAGATAACTTCACCGGCAAGGCATCGTGTCATGGCGCCCCCTCCAACGTCATATGTCAAACCGAACGGCGACTCTGCGCCAGCTCCCGAAGACCAAAGAGGAAAGATGCTCTACGCATACCAAGCCAACGGCGACGGCGAAATCTCCGTCTCAGAAGGCCAAGACTTCACAGTCGTCGAACCCGACGACGGCTCAGGCTGGATCAAAGTCAAGCCCTCCTCATTCGGCGCCGCAGCAGGTCTAGTCCCAGCATCCTACGCCGAACTCCAAGCCCCAGCACCTCCATCGAAATCCCCCATCGATGAACGACCGGTGAGCATGGCAGCCTCCGCGTCGACGACCAGCCTTACGGGTTCGGATACAGGCGCCAAGACGAAGAAGCAAGGACCTGCGGTGGCGCCTCGGAGGGGTGCGAAGAAGGTCAAGCATGTCGAGGCCATGTATACGTATCAGGCGTCCGGGCCCGGGGAGGTGGATATGGTGGAGGGGGAGAGGATGGTGCTTGTGCAGGCGGATCAGGGCGATGGGTGGTGTGAGGTGGAGAGTCGGGCGGGGAAAGGGGTGGTGCCTGCTAGTTGGGTGAGGGAGGTTTAGGTGTGGCGTGGAAGTAGGTGGACGAGCGAGATGAAAGACGACAAAGAAACATTAGCGTTTTGCATGGTGTGGGAATCGCGTTGAGCGTAAAATGGACGGATGAATGGATGATGAATAAGTCGATGTTGTGCATAGCGAGCATATGTGTGAAGAAGAAGTTCTATTCTTTCCATTCATCCTCAACCTTCCTGATCGATTGATGAGAAAGATCGAAAGACAGCCAACAAAGCTCCTGATGAGATGATGAACGAGCATGTCCCATTTCTGACCACCCACTCCTTCGGCAGCGGGTGATGTCGATTGTTTGGTCCGACGAATCGGGTGATTCACAGCTTTGTTGGCTCGTCACGTCGATGGCGTCGTGCGTTCACACGAGCGAGCATGCACACACACCGCAATTGAGGCGACGAGTTCTTTGCTGTGCCGATTTCATCACGATGGTGTGGGTTGATCCATCTCGCCCGTGTGGGTTGTGTGCTCGTATGCTGATGGCATGGGCTTACTAAACGTTCTTTCTTCAGATGGGGGCGATCGTTGCTCGAGGACTGTTCTCGGTATGCGAGCAGCGAGAGGAGCAGCACGAAAGGATGTCGATGCCTGTGGTGAGTGAACAATGTGTTGCTGTTGTTGGGTTGGGTTGATGGTCGCGCAGGCTGAAATGAGTGAGGACAAGGGTAGCTTTTCATCTTTGGTTGGGGTCCACGTGTGCTGTGTGGATCAACCTGGTTCGGGATGTTGGTTCTCTGTACCGGATATCTTCTCACTGCTCAGGGTCATAGTCATGTTGCCTTTCACGATGGGTGTTGACTGAGATGCTTAGGTGTTGCTTTGTAGTTTACAGTCGTTGCAGAGATGGAGACTGGACCTGTGTGCAATGGCCTGACGTTGATGGAGCTGCGACAAGACTTGTAGTATAAGTCAATTAAAACATAGCGAGCCTGAGAATATGGCCTTGTTGGAAATTGGAAAGTCATGCTGAGTCGCGAGGAACAGTTGTTGTTCATGAGTGACGTTTTCAGCAGTACGATCAGTTCTGGATGTTAGGTTGTACAGCTATAGATGATTTTCAATGTCGAGTAATGGCACAGCGACTCTTATGCCTTTCGAGAGAAGAACGACGACCCTGATCTGCACTTGCTACGTCGATTGACAGTCGGTCCATCAACACTGTTGTCATTCCCATGGTTCTTGACTTGGATCGCTGTGCATTCCCTCTTGTCTACCCATCGAGCCTGCACGTCATTCTAGATCGGGTCCTCGTCGAGGTCAGGCCAAGACACGGATATGCCGATTGAGACAGAGGGCCTCCCGAAACACCGCCTTGTCCTACCCGCAAAGTCGACACCGGTCTCGAATGTTGAAGCTGGTGTAACGTGAACAGGCGTGATAGAAAGTCGTCGGTTCAAAGACGGGATTGCTATGTTTTAAGCGCCGGGCAGTGGTGTGGTGCTTGTTTGGCGCAGGTAGCGGGCCCGTCAATGCAGGGAAGAAAGCAGGCCCAGACATGAAGATCGGGGAGTCCATGCGCGCCAGGTGAGACATTCGCACGCGCTAGGTACCGTGCCAGTTGGCCCTTGCACGCTGCCTCTCGCGCACACAGGCCCTCTCGACAGCGAAGTGTACCGCGCGCCCAATGCAAGCAGACGGCGAGGGCGAAGTGCAGCGGTGGTGCATGTCGGCGGCGCCTTGGAGCTTCAAGGCAGAGGGCTTGCGGGAGGTGTTTGGGCGGGCGTGTCATTGGCAAAAGACTCTTCGGAGCGGCATGGATCTAGCGCGGCGGCCGCCCAATCACAGCGCCCATCCCTCCAGAGCGTGAAGACTGGCGTTTGTCTCCTCTGCACTCGCTCTGCTTCCTCACCACCACCTCCACCACCGCTGTCCGTCCGTCTCTCTTCTTCACCCCTCCGGTGCACTCACTTCCGCGCGTGCTGCTTGCATTATTTGGCCGCATCTTCGCTCTTTCTCATTATCCTACCCGCCCACCTGCGACTGCCTCGCGCCTCAACGCCGCCGTCCGCCTGCAGGCCCCTGAACTGAACCCAACCCACGGCAGGCCATCGCCATCACTCCCTCCGCACGCGCCTCTGCCCTCAGCTCATCCGCCTCGCACTGCGACGACGAGCCTCGTCCGCGTCCGCTCGCCCGTACATACTACACTCCTCGCCACTCCGCTTACCGCACCTACGCACACGCTTCCGTCCTCGAGAGTCGCCCTTCGTCCACGCTCGCCTGCCTCCCGTCGACAGTGATCCCGCATCACGTCCATCCAGACAGACAACACGCAATCTCCTACCGACGGTCCGCACACCTCCGCTGGACGAGCACCCTTCGCCTCTCGACGGCTTCACTTGGCGGCAATCTCAATCGACAAAGGACCTCCATTGTCGCGGCAGCTGGCTCTCCGTCCAAAGCGCACTATTTCTTTGTAATTGCATAATCTGTACTTTGCCAACAAACCCGACCGCCTGCTTTGCTCGAGCAGCCTAATTCGCACGTCGACCCACCCGCTGCGACCTTCGAGCATCCTACCTAATCTTGCGCACTTTGCTTTTTTCCCACGCTTTCCCCACGGCTTTACGACATACACAGGATCTTACGATCTGAAGAATGAGCATTGACGCTGGCGGTCTTGCTCAAATGACTTACAACAACCCCAACGGTAACGGCTTCCCTTCTGCTGGGCTCGGCATCCCCGGCTCTGGCTATGGCGCTCGTCACTCGCGTCTCAATTCCAAGAGGTTGAGCGTGGCCCTCCCACCCAAGGTTGCGCCCATCAACGAGAACCAGGTCGACAACCCGACCCCACGCACCAGCCGCTCGCACCTGCTTGCAGGTTTGCGCACCCAGCCAAAGACTCAAGGAGTCCCGGCATCCGCTCCTTACCACCAGACCCAGCACTCAGTGGGCGGCATGTCTGCTTCGAAGTGGGCTGATCACAACTTTGGCGGCGGATATGGACAAGGCGTGCCTCAGACCGCGACTGGTACTGGATTCGATATCCAGAACCAGTATGGGATGAATGCTGGCCGCCAAGTCTACTCTCTGCCAGAGCAGGTTCTGGCACCCCCAGCCATGTACGAGCAGCAGGAAGAGATGGATCCTAGTGTACTCCAGCAGATGCAGCTTCAACACATCTTTCTTGCTCAGCGTCAACAGCAGCTGCAACAGCAATTGGCCAACATTACGGCCGCAGCTCAAGGCTTGAACTTGAATGGCAATGCGGGCCAGCGTGCATCTTTCCACCAGAGCCCAATGACGCCTCAGACTCCCCAGAACTTCTATGGTCAGCAGCAGCAGATGCAGTCCCCGATTGAGGTTCCTGGACAGCCTGGCGTCTATTTGGTCTACAACCCTGCTATTCAAGGCTACTCTTACGCTGTTGATCAGAATGTCCAGCAGGCTCAGCAGACCATTTCCCCGATCCAGCAATCTCAGATCAACCCATTCTCTCCAGCCAAGTCTGAGTCTCCAGCGCAGGCTTTTGGATATGGGCAGACTCCACCAGCCACCGAGCGGTCCACGCCTACCAACACCCGATCCTTCACCCCTCCAAAGAAGGTGCCTTCTCCACCATCGACTCTGGAACACGTCGAGCCTCTGCCACCGCCATCTGCAACTGCCTTCCGTCGAGGCCACAAGAAGGCAACTTCTTTGGCCATCAACGCGTTTGGCAACGTTGCTGAGGGCCCTAAGACGGCTTCCAACGCCACTTTCGGCTCTCAGCGTACCGTCTTCCCTCCAACACCCATGACTGGCACTTTTGGTCCAGGCGCTGCACGTGCTGGTGAGCATCCAATTCGTCAACCTCGTGGCCCACCGCCACTTGAGGAGCTCACTTCTGCTCCTACCAGCAAGCACGAGGGCAGCAAGAACTTTGCCACTCGTCAGCGCCGTCGTGCACTTGACAGTCTTATGAAGGCAGGCACCGTGCGCCGTGGCGTCTCGCGTTCGTCAGGTGGCAGCCCAGTCAGCGAGAGCGAGATCAATTTCGGCGTTCCTGAGGAGCCCGAAGATTTGGCGTCGGCTGGCGGCAGCAGGAAGATGAGCCCGATCGGCTCCGAGATGAAGGAGAAGCGTGGCAGTCAAGGCTCTGACGGTGGTTACTTTGGCCTCAGCTCTGCGTCTAGTAGCGAGGGCGAGGACATGGGCGCGTTCAAGCAGCCACCGACTCCAGCAACTCCCGGTGGTGCACCAGGCGGCGATCGCAAGAAGATGCTCGGGTTGTTGAACGCGGCTGAGAAGCGCCGAAGCCACTTCTTCTAACTTGGCCACGTTGGTGGTCTGACTTTTGGATGTTGCTTGTACTTTTGATTTCTCTGCTATGAAGCTCTTCAGGTTGGATGTGTTGGGGGTCAGGATCAGGAAGAGAGACACCAACAAACGCGAGGACATGTTCTTTTTATCGGCAACAGCACCCGACCGCGCGGACTCCGTTGATCGGTCTGCTTCTGCGCGTGGAAAACTGCTTGCCTTGTGCATATCGAAATTCGAAAACACGACCAACAATGCTCTACAATACTACTAGCAAACATGTCACCATCCGAGAGAGTGTGTGAGAGAGAAGGACATGAGACAGATGGGAAGTGAAGAGAGGAAGGGTGAATTGGGAATGCAACTTGCTTTTTATGACGGCCGCCTTTATGACCCCCTTTTTCATTACTGTTCTTCTACATTCGTTTGTGCTTGGGACTCGCCGCTGTACCGCTTCTGCTTGTCTGTGGACGAGTCACAACGCTTTCTTCGATTCTTGCTATGCTTTTACAACTCGCGGCGAGGAAGTTTCTCATACTGAAAAGCCTGCCTCCTGATGGTGGTATGGATGTGGATGAGGCAAGGAGGCAAGGGGGAGGGATAGACGGGAAGGAGGAAAAAGGTTCTAGCTAGCTAGCAAGAGGGACAGACAGTCAGACAATCAATGTGAAAAATGAAGAAAGAAGACTTCGTTAAGTGGATTGGAAAAGACGCTGCTTTTCTTGTCGTATCTCTCGACTGCAACGTGTTTGCTTTTCGTCTGAGTAGCGAGGACAGTAAAGAGGAAGAGGGATATGTCTCTCATCGGGTGGTTTATAGGCTCTCCTTTTCCTTGCGGATTCGCGGATTCTGTTGCTTGTGAATCACTTACTTTTGTAGTGTCTGTTCCAAGCCCCCATCATCGATATATCCTCTCAATCGATGAACCCGCTCTTCACGAAGTCTCCACGAAGGACTTCTTTCTTTCTCGTGATGATCACGTCGCCGCCGTCTATCCGTCTGTCTTGTCTGGCGTTGTTCGCTTTTCTTTTTCCAGCCACAGCAACAAACAGACGGTCGATGGGTGGATGGATTGGTCTGTGTAGACTACCATCATAAGCAGCAGCAGCAATCATGGAGTCCTGCATCGTGGAGTGTAGATATGTAGCAGATCTTGAGATTCGCCCAGCCGGCCGAGTCACGACAGTGCTCGTGAGTGAGTGAGTGACTGACTAACTACATAGACTCCCTTTTATGGTCTTTGGATCTGGAGGCGCGCATCAAGCAAGGTGAGAGAGCGAGAGAGAACGCTTCATCAGCAGATAGTTGGTACCTCATGTTCATGCGAGAAACGCCTTCAACGAAGATAGCTTTCGTAGTCTTTACAAGGCGTTTCTTGTTCTTTCCTCACCAACCTACTCGCTCCTTTACCCTCCATCCATGTAGCAAACGCGTTCAAGTGATATGAAACACATTCCTCACCTAACAGAGAGCGAAGGAAACCAGACCCCTACTTTCTTTCGACTTGCAAGTTTCAGATTCAGTTTTCATAGCAAGCAAACTATGGTGGTAATAGATACTCTTCTTCCCCCTCCTCCATTCCACACCCCATCCCTGCCTCCCTTAATTCCCTTTAGAGCCCACCTCCCACCACCAAAACCGTACACATATGAGAGACTTTCAAATCGAAGGTTCAGAAGTCAGAAGAATGAAAATAACAGGTTTAGGCTCTGGTAGTAGTTCGCTCTCTCTCTCAATCACACACACAAACACACGTTCTCTCTCTCTCTCTCTCGTACAGCAAGGTTTTTTTGGATTGATAAAATGCTGCCAGCCCTTTTCTCAATTCCAGTCGTCCCAATAATCTCTGGCCGTTATGGTGGTTGTTGTTGTGGTTGTGGTGGAGAATAGCAGATATCAGTGTCGAAAGGGGCCAGCCAGAGTGAGTTGTCGTTGTTGTTGTCTTTCCACCAGTCTGGGGATCCCAGTGGCCAGGTAGTCAGTCGGGAGTAGTGGTAAAAGGGTGATTCAGTTCTTTCTGCGCCTCTCAAACGCCCATTCCAGTGGTATCCATAATTGTTGCGAGAAGAAAAATCCTCTCCCCTCGCGCGCGCTTGCTTTTCGCCTCCCATCGTTGTGAAGCAAAAAAGCCGCAGCAAGCAAGCAAGCAAGCCAAAACAGGACTCGAATTCTTCATCAAAAAACACACAGAACAGTAGCAGCAGCGCCTTCAAGCCCCTTGTAAGCGTGTCATATGCGTACTGTTGCGATCCACACACCCCCATCCATTCCTTTTGCTACAATGAGTTTCCACAGCCCACCCTCCTTTCATCTACCACGTCATGGAGACTTGCACCATATGTGACGGCCGATTATATCAGTCCGCACATGCGCAGGTTCTCCTGGATGATGATGTCGTTCACAGCGGCCATGACGAACCGTATTTGCATCGTGTCCGTGGCGCATGTGAAGTGGGTGTAGATCTGTTTGGTAGGATGTTGGTTGAGTCTGGAACATGTTAGTACTGGTCGGTGAATCTCACACGTAGTTCAACTTACGATACGAATCTGTTCAGGATGTAGTCGCATGCAGCGCCGTAGTCCTGGCCGCCCTCATAGTCGGGGAAGTAATTCTTCATCGGTGACACGGGCAGCTTCTCCTTGAACCGATCGATCTTGTTCAAGAATAGAATGATGCTGGTCTTCGTGAACCATCGACTGTTGCAAATCGAGTCGAACAGAGTCAAAGCTTCCTGCATTCTGTTCACGGTCTCATCTTCGAAGAGAAGCTGGTCATATTCTGAGATGGCGACCAAGAAGAGGATCGTCGTCACGTTCTCGAAGCAGTGTATCCACTTCTTTCGCTCTGATCGCTGTCCACCGACATCAAACATGCGGTAGGTGAGGTCGCCGATGATGAATGTGGTCTCGGTGATACCCGTGGTCTTGACACGCGATCGCAGAACATCCTGATCTGATGGGATGTAGGTGGGTGATGCGATGGTGTCGATGGAGTCGAAGTAGTATTTGGCGCTGTCGTTCAGCTGGTACTCCCTGCTTCTTTGAAATGCAGACTGGACACCTGCATCCGCCCACAGGGTCTTGATTGCTTGCCCGACCTCCGGTGGAAGCACGTCGCCTTCGATCTGCGCGGGCTGCATGAAGATTGTCTGCACGTGGTATTCGGCACGCTGGTCGTCAAGTGGCAGCTCTAAACTCTCCATGGCCTCCAGGATGACGCGCATTGATTGCACGGTATTGGAGAAGATGATTTCCCGAAAGCTCTCCCGCTCATCTCTTGAGTAGCCGCCCTCGTGGATGAGCTTCATCTGCTTCAGAATGGTCGACTTTCCTGATTCACCTGCTCCCAGCAGCAGCATCTTGATCTCATTCCTCAGGTTCATTTTGTCCCTCTTCAATTGATTCTCAATTTCCTCATTTCGCTGCTTGCCCTCCTTGGACTCCGAACTCTGTCCACAACCCATGACTGCGGTGTTGGTGCGCGATGGCCAGCGCTAGGAATGGAGGGTGATGCTACGCTCGAGTCTGCGGGTGGTCGATGTGCCGTAGATCGTAGGGTGCACGCAGTGTGCTTGAAGGTGACAGGTTCAGCTGCTGTTTGTCAAGTGGTCAGTGAGACTTTCAATGGCGGTTGATGGCGAAGTCGCAGCCGTCAGGGAAGCATGTGAGAAGAAGGTGGTGGGCAGTATTCACGAATTGGTCATGCCCGCCGCACCTGCTGGAGCACCTGACGATACGAGGATGCGCGATATGGGTGTGGCTGGATGGTATCTCGTGACAAGAGCTGGACCGTGGAAGGCCGGCGTGGAAGGAAGGCCGGCGTGAAAGACTTTTCCGCGATGCGACGGGGAGCCGTGTTCAATGCATCGCCGCAACAACAATGCCAGCAAGAGCGGCGAGGGGGCTGAAATGCGCTCAAATGTAGACTCACCTTGGCAGGAAACGATGGTAGGCGTCGTCGATGGTATGGCGCCCAGTGCGGCTCAGAGGGACGGTGCGCAGCTCCCGGGCGAGTTCGCGGTCGGGGTGGCGGGGAGCGACGACGAGGTTGAGGAGGACGTCGAGGGCGGGAGGCGGCGAGGAGGTGCAGGGCGGTCGAGAGTGTGGTGGTGGGATGTGGGAGTGGTGCTGTGCCACTGGGCGACGGTGAAAGTGAGGTTGTCGAATGGGCGGCAGCCAGCCAGCGAGAAGCAGCAGCAGTGGCCGGGGCGGTTTGATTTGTCGGAAGCAAAGCCCCTTAGTAGGTTTGGATGTGGAGAGCGATGAGCAGCCTTGGACACCTTATTTCGCGGCTAGCTTGCCCTGCCGCCAATGATTGCGAGCGCCGTTGTGGCCTGCAGCGTCCGCGACAGAAATGGGCACGCAGGTGGAGGGAGAGCAGAAGGGTGCAGCAGCGGTGGATGTGAGATGGTGATGGAGAGGAAGAGAAGGCCAGCGTGTGTCAAGTAGGGAAGGGACAGCGCAGCAGCAATTGGCAGACCCAGGCGTCGCTTGTGTGTGGTGCAACAAGACAAACCCACCCGCTGCGTCGTCTGTCCGTCTGTTCGTCGTCCTGCTGGCGACAGTTCCCGGCCGCACGTCAAGGGAGAGCCGTATGCGCAAGCCCCTTAGGCACGACACCCGCGCCACCGAGTCTTGCTCGCCCAGCCATATAATACGCTCTATACCACGGCCTTCGAGAAGGCGCGTAGAAGTCAGAATATCTTACTCTCATTCTTCACTCTCGACTACTGCGGCAACCTGCGACAAGACTCACATCCTCGCTGCGGCCCCCTGCTGGCGGTGATCCGAGTCGAAATCCAATGTCCATCAACTGCCCCGTTCGAAAGTGAGACACGCCCATGATCTGCACAGAGGGAGGGAGCAGTCCACCGTCCGCCGGTCTGGGAACCGCGCCCCGCAGCGACCGCCGACAACAACAGCAGCCTGCATCGTCGTGCAACACAACCGTCTTGCCCGTCTCACAACGACCTGCCTCCCGCCCTCTCGACGCTGTTTCATCGCGTCCTTGTCCACGTCGCACACCCCGCCGCTTCGTTCGCCCATCCCCAAAATTGCTCCTAGTCTCGAGTGTGCGATGCAAAGCAAAGCAGCAGCGTCGAGCGGACACCCGACGAGAATCTCGTGACTTTTTCCGCCCTCGCCAACTACTGACGACTGACGATGAAAGCTACCGGCCATATGCAAGCTTCGACAATCCTTCTGGAAATTGCGAATAATCCGGTTCGGCAGGCCGAAGGATTTCCGCTTGCGAGACAATGCCGGCGAGGTACCAGACAGACTCATGACTCGTGAGCCACATCTCTCTCATCATCTCAGGAGAAGACAAGAACTCCTGTGTGAATGAATTGCATTAAATGCCCATCCCGGGCCGTGCACAAGTTGTCGTCGTCGTTGTTGTCTTTATCGCCTTAGGCGGCTGTTTCTGTGCGACACTCAACTACTCCTTGCCTTGTCCGTTCAAGCCTCCCACCAAACCGTTGACCGACTCCCAAACCCAATCTGCATCACACACACGAAAATAGGCAAAGACGAGCAGGGGTCAATTTCGCGAATCTTTCTTGGCTCTCGGTGCATCGCATCCTTCACAATCACATTTTATCTCCTCAACAGTAATGTGGAGAAAAAGCTTCGAGTTCTGAGAAACAGCACCGTTGCTCTATGCTGCTAGACGGAGATCTTCTTCAGGAATTGTTCTTCCTCTCATCAATCAGCTGCCAGACAGACAGCGCTGAAGACCTTCTCAGCCCGCCGCATACCAACCTGTAACCATCAACCACGAGAGTTCGCCGTAAAAGCGACCAAAGAAGTAACAAAGAGCCTGGTCAGGAAAGCCATCGCCATCGTCAAACGAACGCAAGCTCGACTCCGAGCCAGCCGAAGAAAAAACGTTGATAAGAATAGATACGCACTCACTGCATCTGTTCAGCAAAAGCTTTCGAATTTGCAAGGTACACGACACAACGCTTGCATCTCCTCGAACCATTGATATTGTATCTCTTACACTCCCGGACTCACAGTCCAGTCGTTCGCGTCGAAACAAAAAAGCAATGCCTCCATTGAGAATTCGATTTGCCCTGCATTACACTCTTCTCCTACTTGACGAGGCGATGTGTTGGCTCAGGTTGCACTGCCACGACCAACTGCTTTGTTCTCTTCCTCGTCTCTCGCTGTATATAGTAAAGGCTGTGGTAGTAGTAGTATCCGGTACTACTCGCCGTCCTGCAAGTGCCTCCCAAAGAAGAAGCATGTACCTACTGTATTCACCGGAGACACTTCCGCAACGCCAGAGAGGGTGTGTGTCGTTTGTTACATTCCTTGCGATTCGCGTAGCTGTGACACTTGGCAGATGTCGAGACGTTTCAGCAGTATACGAAATACGAAGGTGGGTTTGTTGTAGTTGTGACATTCTCCCGTTGTCATATATACATTACATGAACGTAAAAGAAGATCAGCCGAAGCTTTCCCTTCATCTTCATCTCCCTCCCTTCCCTTCCCTGTCTCTCTCTTCTCTCGCCTTTCACTCCGAATAGAAATTAAGAATACAAAAGATCAGTCCTCCTGGGCTGTCAACAGTAGCAATAACGAGACCCGCCGTTGATGGGCAGATGGAAGAAGCAAGTGTGGGTATCAACAATCAAAAGCAAATCTCTCTCTCCACAAAAGTCAGAAAAAAAGGCCGTGGAACAACGAAAGGCCAAAAGTAATAAGATCCGAAAGATGTTCCTCTTCTGGGACAGCATAAACGCTATCAGGTTCGCCTTGCAATGCAGCGCCGGTATGATGGTTTGAGAAAAGTCGCTGGAAACGATGGTGATGATGATGTTGATAACAACAATAATGATGATGATGAGAAGCCGTGATGTCGTCGTAAAAGGTGTTTTCTGTCGCAAACGTGATGGGAGGTGTTGGATGAATTGAGGAGCCCGGAGCCTTGCTTCGCCAAAGTCCAGGCACCCTTGATATGGGCGCAAAAGTCTTCTTCCTGTTGAGACTTTATTGTAAGTGAGTTTCTCACGCCATCATGGGGTTGATCAATCGAGTCGTTCGGCGTTCCGCCATCAAGCCCCTCTGATTGGGGGCTTGGAGACCCCCGGCCATTCTTGCCTGTGCTCGCATGGCCGCCAATGCATGTCTTTCGCAGTAGACTTTGCCGGTGATCTCGAAGTAGTCGCTGGAAAGTACTACACGGCATTCGCAGCAGCAGAAACATCGAGGGTGGAACTTCTTCTCGATGCTGCCGAATCTCGTCGAGCTGGAAGTTTCGAGGTATTGACCTTCTATCCCGCGATGGCAGCCGTTACAAAGCGAACCGTTGTGTTCGTGGTAATGCTGTTCGCAGTATGGCTCGTTGTTGATGACATAGAAATCTGCGGTCGTGAAGGGCTCATGGCACGATCGACAGACGAAGCAAGCCTTGTGCCATCTGCCAGTGAGTCGACCATCTGAGGCCTTGACCGACTTTCCTTCAATCATCTGGCCACAGCCTCTGCACATCGGCTTGGCGTTTGTTGGTCGCCTGCCATGATGTCTTCTTTGCTGGTCTTGCGGAATGGCTGGCGGCCGTACAGAGCTTGGCGAGACATTTCTTGTGCTCGGTGCAGTCGATTGTGGACTTGCGTTGCCCGGTGTTCGCGGTCGAATCTCTGGCTCAGATCCCGACCTGACAGGGGACTCCTCTGCGATGGAGCGTTGGGGAATGGTCACTGCAGGTGCTTGTGGAGTCTGAGATCTTGGGACTGGGCCAGGGGCAGTCTGAGTGCGCAATGGAGCCGGCCTTGACTGGCTAGCTGGAGGTTGAGGAGCCTTGTGCTGCATGTTTAACAACATGGGATCCATGGGCGATTCAAGAGGGGTCAGGGAGACTTCGTCTGCCTTCTTGGGCGTCTCGCGGGCCGGTCTCGATACAGTTCTGGGAGGTGATCTCTGCGTTGGCTGCTCTGCTCGCATTCCAGGCTTCTCTGGGCTCTTCACGTTCAATCCAGCAACACGCATTTGCTCATCCTCCCCATACTTCTTCGATTCGAAAGTGAGGGGAGAAAACGCGTCCACGCTGCTCGCAACACTCCCCACAGGACTTACGCCACTGCTGTTTGTGGTGCTTCTCGAGTTGTTTGAAGATGTGATGGACGAGCCAGATTCCGACGGCGTATGCGCGCTGTCTTGGCGATACTGCTGAACAGCTCTTGGAACCGGAGGCGCGTCTTGTATCCTATAATCCACTCGGTTCCCAGTCCTGCTGTCGCTGCGTGGGGCAAACACCTGGGTCTGCGGGATTGTGGATGGGTCTGATGCAGCGCCGTGTGCTAGGGACGGGCGCCTGTTGCTGCCACTCAACGCGGGCTCACTTCGCATCCTTGAAAGCGACTGCGCATGTTCGCTCTCAGAAGTCTGATTTTGCACGGGGTAGGTGTTGCTTCGATTGTGTTGCTGATCGTCCGATTGCGGCTCCAACGCCATTGACGATGAAGGCTCCGCGCTTAACTGATCCAGAAACCTGGGGGACAGTACCTCTTCTGTAGGTCTCGCCGGCCGTGGGGGTGGAGTCTTCTTCTGACTCGGCTGCGGAATGTTGAATGATGGAATAGAGGGCCGTCTTGGTAGCGAATAGTTTGAACTGGCAGTAGAAGGACGCGTTGGCAGCGATTCTACTGTCGGCTCACTGGGTCGTCTTTGCTCTGAGAATGCGGATCCATCTTTTGAATCACCGCTTCCTTGTCTCTTGTTCGCACTGAAAGGCCCACTCTTGATTGTATTCAGTTTCTGCAGCACGCTCTCGCTGCCATTGCTCTTGGGTAATCTTGGCTCGACATTGAAAGGCTCTGGCTCGGCCGTTACGACGTGATCTAGTCTCGAGGCTGCACGAGACGGCGCTCGCTCGCTGCCTGTGGGTGTTCTTCGACCATGGCTGGTAGATGGCCTCGGTGAGGACGAGGCCGCTGTTGGGAAAGGTGGGAAGGCGCAATCAAGATTGGCAGACAGTCCAGGACTCGGAGGTCGAGGATCGTACAGGCGAGGCGCGGGACTGGTCATGCTGCGAGCAAAGGGCGGTTTGCCAGTGCTGCTTCCCGATCGGTAGCTAGCAGCTGGTGAGATGGGCGAATCGAGGCCTGGTTGTCTCGGTGCGAGGAACGGCCTGTTCGCTGCGTCTGGGTTGATCTTAGGCAGGGCAGACTTTGGAGGTCTGGCGCCTGGAATCTGCGATACTTTGGGTGGTGATCTGAAGCTGTCGTTGACTTGAGGCACAGGCGGGTGATTCGAGGGCTGTTGTCCACTTGCATTGAGCCGCCTCAAGGTGAACGGATTGCTCATTGTAGACATGTGTCCATTGGGAGTGGCTTTCGTGTCCTCGCCGCCACACACATGCTCTCCCATTTCTGCTATCTCAATCTCTCGTCCACAACTTGAGCATTTGATGGTTGGCAGGATGCTCACAGGCCGCCCGCCGTCCGCGGCGAGGGCAGCAGCTAGTGCCATGTTCGGTGTTGATAAAAATGTAGGTGAATGACTCGTCCTGGTCTGTTCCCATTCGAGAAGGCTGTTCTACGGTTTGTCCATTCGGTGGTGTCGTCGACTGTCTACTCTCGCCGCTGGCGTGTAGTGAAAGAGTGGGCTTTTGTCGCGGTCTGGCGCCTCGTCGTCCTCAGCGTGATGGTAGGTTGTACTCTAAAACGCGTAGCAACGGTAAAGACAGACAGTCCCTGCGAAAGCGAGACCTGGAACAATTGCAAGGAGGTAAGACAGTCGGGTGGCCCCAGTCCAACGAGTGAAGGTAGCAGTGGGGAGTGTTGTCGCAATAGCAGAGCAAGGTTCGAAACAAAATCAAAACACCAGCAGAGATCGCAGATAGGAAGGTTACCACAGGCGAAAGGCTAACTGGCGGCGGAAGATTGGAGTGGGAGGAGAAGCTCTCAACGAACAGCAAATCGCGGCCGTCTTGGGAGTTGTGATAGCCGTGAGGGTGCAAGCGCTTCCACGGCTGGGCGAGGACGGCCTGCGAGCCGCTGCTGGGTGGTGCCGAGCCAGTGCGCTTGTGAAATGAATGAGGCCAAAGCTCAGCGCAAGGGCGGCACGTGAAAGGTCAACAGAGGACATGAAGATGATTGTCCTCGGTTTCAGCGCGTCTGCCATTGATCAATGACGGCGGTTCTCGAGTACGTCGTGGATGCGCCGCTGATGATGGCCGTCGTCGTGCTGCGCTCGTCGTCTGGCGGCGGTGGAGCAGTCCACCACCGTGTCTTGCTCTCTGCGGGTTTTCCTTAGACCGCCTCAGAGTGCAACGCCGCAACGGGTCCCTGACGTGGCCTCCTCCAGGCCGTGGCGGCTAGGACCGCGTTCGCAGAGGTGCTAGAGTGCATCAGGCTGGCGACCGTCGCGTACGCCATTTGGGAGCATGGCGCTGGGGCCTGCGGAGATTTCGAGAAACAGGTGCAGGGCGCGCAGAGAGGTACCGTGGCCCATCCCACCAAATCTGAACTTCCACTCAGCGAATCACAGCGCCGCCCCCCGATCCCTCCTCGACACCACCTCCCACTTGCCGAACTCACTCGCACCGGACTTCGAACCGCTTTGAATCTGTGATGAAGATACGACAGACCCCGAAGCAACACCACTGCTTCAGATGCTCGACTTCTCAAATCAGCGTGAAGTCGGTCGATTCATTGCTACCGCACTACTCCTCGCGCCTCTCCAGGCGAGGGCGAGTGTATCGCAGTCCTGGACGACGATCATTGACACTATTGGATACTCCTGGGCGAACGTCGATTGAGCGGCATACCAAGGAACAGCCTGCTTTTCTAGGTCACGCTCCAAGACAAGGGATATCGACCGCTTTCCTCCTTCTGCCCGGATGGTTAGGACACCTAGCATCGCCTGTTGCTGTGCATCTTCGCCATCCCTCGGCCGGACGACACTCGTCTGAAGAAAGCACCTGATCAAACATCATCTCAGCTCGAGTGATCGTGCTCAATTCAAGGATCCATCTCCAGAGAATCGCCGACTTGTGGAGAAGCATCAACACGGATCACGATCATCAGAGGTCTCCATCAAGCATCGTGCGACCCCGAACATGAGGTCACTGTCCACTTCTTGACTTTGCTCCACAGCCCCGTCGAAGAAGCCTGAGCCCTACGTGAATTGCACACGACAGCCTGTTGGATCTCAGGATTGGAATGCTTCATGCTCCTTCTCAGTTATTGCCATGATAAGGAAGCTCGCCGGCTCCGTGAACCACCGCACATGCTTACAGGACTCGCGAAATATGCCACTTGACAAGCTCCATCGCCGAATTAAGACTATTTTAAGCATAAAGGGACGTACTTTTTGGCTGAGCATATTATTTCAACTCAATCGGGAAAGGTGACCACGTAGCAGTCGCGTATACTGCATTTCTTCCTGCGCACTAGATGGCATGCAGCCGATAACACGTTATAGACTTTCCGCCGTGGATCGGTATGTACAAGAACATCGTGCAGGCATCGGAGTCCGCATTGATACTGGCTGGTTGCATTCACAAGAGGTGGGTCGCAACCCAGTGCTGGTACGGAGTATCCATCCCGACTTCGAGACTCTTTCAAACTTGCAGCTGCTGTGAGCCAACTGAGCTCGTCCCAACAACAAGCTTTGAAGACGATTGCTGGCTCTCATCACAGTTCAGGAAGATACGCAACAGCTTTCCGGTGCATGTCGACCAAGTGTTGAGACGAGCTATCCTGCGAATGCCGTCCATGAACAAAGCCATGTCGCGTTATCCACGTGCGAACCCGGGCACCAAAGGCTGCTGAGGACCTTGTACTTGGACTGAACACCCGTGCAGAATGGGTGTGAGCTCGCCCTTGGTCAAGATGTCGTAACTCGTAATAATGAGCCCCTTCGAAGGCCCACGTAAGCACGATGGATGGATGCATCTAGGAAATCCCGATGTATCTCGACCTCCGTCAGGCTGAGTCGTTGATGTTCAAGGCCCACTCACATCTCTGCAATGGCTCGGGGATCAGCATTGCTGCTGGAGCAATTGGGTGGTTTGACAACAGATTATGGGAAGTACATGAATAAGTGGCTGCTGCGCACTTTCCTTCTGCTTGAGTCCGATCAAAAAGAACAGGCTCGCACCTGAGCTGTCTCGAAATACACTCTGCTAACCTTCAAAACCATGAGCACCAAACAGGTTGATGTCCTCATTGTGGGTGCAGGCCCAGCTGGGTTGTACACGGCTCTATTTCTGGCTCGCAGTGGAATTTCGAACATTGCCCTGATATCGAAACACCCTGTGGCAACCCAAGTCGGTCATGCGTCTGGCATTCACCCCAGGACGCAGGAGATTCTGCATACTCTCAGTAGGTGAAGAACGAAGCCTCAAATTTGCCGACCATAACCTCTGCTAACTACGGTCTTGTCGTTTAGACATCTACCATCAGCTCGCTGCCGGTAGTGGTGGAGTTGCTGAAACGGCCTTTTGGTCGAACAGCAATGACGACCAGCACCTGCAAAGGATCAGCGTCGCTACTGAGATCACCAACGAAACGATGTATCGACGAACGATCGTGCAACATCAGGGGATCACAGAGAAAGTCCTCGGAGTCGAGTTGCAGAAGCGTTGAGTGCCAGTCCACTGGCCGTTCGAGCTCCTACACTACACATACACGCATTCCAGAACCCATCCCATTCGTGCTTCGATCAAGAACCACATCAGTGGAGAGGTGGAAAGCTGGGACTGCAAATACATGATCGCAGCAGACGGGCGATCCAGCCGCCTCAGAGAGCTCGCTGGCATAGGTTCTGCTATCAACGACACCGAAGCCACATGGGCAGTGGGCGACTTCGAAGTCGAGACGGACTTTCCAGACCTTCGACGTCGCTGTCCTATCCGAACGAGCCGTGGCAATCTCATGCTAATACCGTCACTACACAAGACGCTGCGCATATACATGCTCTTGAACCAAGAAGAGCTCGAGGAACTAAACGACAGTATCTTCGAGGGCGGACGGGACGTTACCAGCCATGGCAACCACACAACTCTCTTAGATCTCTTCGAACGAAAACTCCCCACCATCTTCAACCCCTACACCATCAAACTGAACAAAGTCCGCTGGATCAGCAGATATACCGTCTCCCAACGCGTCGCCGACCGCTTCTACGACGGCAAGCGCCTCCTCTTCGTCGGCTACAGCTGCCACTCGCACTCCCCAAAGGCAGCCCAAGGCATGAACACGGGCATCCAAGACGCCCACAACCTCGCCTGGAAACTCTCCCTCATCCTCCGCGACCGCGCCACCCCCGACCTCCTCGAGACCTACCACCTCGAGCGCAAACACATCGCCCAGCAACTCATCGAATTCGACATCCGCTTCGCGAAACACTTCGCCGAGCTGTCCTCGCCGGAATTCTACGATCTCTGGAAGCAGAATCAGGGGTTCACGAGCGGGCTCGGACAGCACTACCCGCCGAACGCGCTGGTCGACGAGCACATCCCAGCAGACATCAACGAGTTGGCTGTCGAGCCCCTGACGCCCGGGAAGCGGTACCTCCCCAACACCGCCCTCATCCGCCACATCGACGGCTGGGAACTCACCTCCCTCGACGTGATGCCCTCCAACGGCGAATTCCACCTCGTGATCTTCGCAGGCGACATCAGCATCGAGCCTCGCAAGGCAGAATTCAATTCCCTCTACAACACCCTAACATCCTCCTCCTCAGCCCTGACGAAACTCAACGGTCATCAGAACAACAAAAGCAGCAGCAATACTCCCGAGGCAAATGCCTGGCCCTGGGAAGACATCCACACCAACCACGACCACAGCCCCCAAAACACCAAACTCGCCAACCTCTTCGTCATCCACACCGCCAACCACCTGCACATCGAACTCCGACCGCGGTATGAGTTGTGGAAGTATAAATTCTTTGAAGATCGGGAGGGATGGGAACATGCGCAACATGGCGTGGATCCGAAGGGGAGGATGATGGCAGTCGTTGTGAGGCCGGATGGAATTGTAGGGATGGTGAGACCTGCGGATGGGAGGTTGGATGGGGAGGTGGACAAGTTTTTTGAGAGGGGTTTTGTGAAGGGTTTGGGTGTGAGGAAGGATCATGATGGTCTTAATGGCGACTGCTATGCGAGTACGAATGGACTGGTGAATGGGATATAGCGTAATGTAGGGTCATGCCTTTACGATTTGGATATCAACAAGAAAGGTATCGTTCAGGTTCTCATCAATCAGGAAAGGAGGCAGACACTGTCTACATGCGGCCTCCCCAGCACTTCACTTTCATCTCATGCAATCTCTCATCTGTACTGTGCGTTCAAAACTCTCGCCAACCCTCTCAGTGTATCCATCTGATCAGCGCCTCGTCCACCAGCCGCACGTTGCTTCTCCCGTGCCTCCAGTGCGTTTGCGGCGTTTGCGAGCGACTTCTCCGCGACCCGTGAGGCAGTCTCCCGCGTCGTGCTGAGTGCATGTACGCCATGGGCGAATTGGTCGACTGCGAACTCGAGATTATCGGAGATTGTTCGTAATCGCTGCTGCAAGACTTCTGGCTCGGTCGTGGAGTCTGCGGTCGAAGATTGCAGCTTTTCGAAGATCGCACGTTGAGGGCTGTCTAAGGCGTCTTGTCGAAGGGGTGACACTGATCCTGGTTGTATATCTTCACGTTCTGGCTGTTGGTTCGCTGATGATGCCGATTGAATTACTTCGTCCCATTCGGCTCGCTCCTTCTTTAACCTGGGTTTACTGTCAATATGGGGTCAAATTTGAGGCTCCGGCGAAGCATACCTTTCCAACTCTCTTTCCAACTCCTCAGCCTTCGCAGCATTTGTGATATTCCTCGGATTTGGTTTCTTTCGCAATGGGATCTGAGGCGGTGCAGTCTCATCCCTTGAAAACCAATCGCTCAAGGTTCCTTTCGTAACCAAATCCTGGGAAAGCTCTTCTTGGATGATGTGTGCTACACAAAGTCAGCGTGCAGTCCGAGATCTGTCCATTCTAACCAACGTACCTGCTTGCAGTGCTTGAAATTCCAACTTCGAAGCAGAGGAGTTCTGATCGGGCGGCGGAGGTTTCGAAGGTAACGATCGCGTGCCACACCATCCAAGCAAGCAACGCATTCTTCTGGGTTCCGTGAGATCTTCAGAGATGTGCTTGAAGAACTCTGAGGTGGGCACTTCTCCATGCGGCAGTGCTAAAACAACACCATCTTCGTCAGCCAAAATTTCTTCTGCAATTGAGCATGCTTTCTTGAACAGCCACAGCTGATCGAAGTCGCTTCCGGGTCGGATCTGCGACTCGTGAACAGTTGTTGGCCGTTCATCGTCCGCTGCTCGAGAATGTCGCATAGGCGAACCTTTTGACATATCTACGAGTAACAGCGTCAGGGGTGAATTAGTACATCCTTGGGAAAACTCACCATGACCTCTCCCTTCATCAATCAGACTGCTGGCTCGCTTTCCTCTCATCCCAGCACTACTTCTTCGGTGGCCTTCAGCGCTGGTCTTTCGCATTTCCTTGTTCCTCCTCATTACAGGTGTATCGGCAAATGGAAGCGCGATGGTAAGGGTCTTCTGCTCTTCCACGCCATTGGCTCCATGTTTTCGCTTCTTCTCAATTGTCACAGGTCGTGCCTTCTCTGGGCTCGGAGAGGTATCGGTGTTGGCATGTGATTTCGCATGGGCTGGCTTATGAGGGGATGATCTGGGTGCAGTGTCTGCCTCGGGATCTTTCTCGTTCGACAAGCGGTTGCTTCGGCGTACTTGCTTCTGGGGTCCATCGCGTTCGGGTGTCGTAGGTAGCCGCTTGCGGGTCTTTTTCTGTGCTGTCTTTGGTGCGGGTTCTTCAGCAGGCGGCACAGGCACAGGCACGTCGCTCGAGGTCGAAGGTGTTGGTGCTGGTTCGGCAGGTCGCTTGTCGTCTGTCGAGTTCCGTACAGCAGGTTGCTTGGTCTCCTTCTCTTTTCCACCGCGCTTCTTTTTGGTAAAGACGAAGTCATCATCCGTTCGGTCGTATACTGTACCCTCTGTTAGTACACGCCAGGATGCAGTTGCGCATTTGCACATCATACCTCTACTCTTCTTCTTGCTCGAAGCCTTTCCCTCTCCATCCTGCTGCTTTGTATTCACCGTGGTGGTTGTCTCATTGATCTTCGCCTTTTTCGATGGAGGCTCACTCTCGCCATTCCCTTCCTGCGACAGGCGCGCACTGCGTCGCTTTTGCGTCCCCGCTCCGTTCATTCCAATTATTTCAAGAGGCGATCGCGTTGTCACGACCATCGACATGTCTTATCCGCGTTGGTCTCCTTGGTCGCGTCGGAAAGCGCGATTCGTCCACTTTGGTCGGGTGCACGGCCGTCTCGCATTCCACGCGATTTTTGCGCGTACATTAACTCGTGAAAGTCGCCGTCAGTGTCAAGGGAGCGTCGAGGTCGTGGGTTGCGTGTAGTAATGCTTGCGCATTGGAGTGAAGCTCGCGGCAAGTCGTCGCATGTAAACATTGCGATGCAGCTGCGGAGCGCGGGGATTCCCGCTGACGCTAAGCTTTGAACAGTCCAGCCAATCAGAAAGTGGCATGGCAAATATCAGTCTCGTGATGCTTCCATTTCACAAACAATATGTATGGAGTCTACTTTCATCTTTCAGAGCTAGCAAACATGGCTTTCAAATAGCGACCTCCAAGAATTGACTCTGCATAGCGGTCCTCACATACATGTTCCCCTCACATGCGAACACCAAGAACACAGACTCGGCCTCCAGCTTTGCGCTCGTCTCCTGTCCAGCCAAACATGAGAGACACTCGACAGAAGAGCAGGCGATCCGCCAGATATTTGATCTCCTCGTAGCCAAGCTGTAACAAGTCGTTTGGTCCCCTGCCCAATAGATTCCGCCACGCTTGGTCTGAGAAGAGCATCTTGCCGGCGGAAATCGAACCAGTCTCGTCAATGACCTGTCCGAGTATCTTGGGATTGAGTCTGAGCTGGACTTCTTGGTCACAGCCTTTGCATTGCACTGTAAGGGCATTGGCGTAAATCGGAATGTTACAGCACTCGTTCGACAGGAGCATGTTGCGCCTCCACAGGTCGAGGAGTTTGGTCTCCATGATGATGATGCTCAGGTAGCCTTGAAAGGTCTCGTTTGGGGCGCAGCGCGCGAATTCGTCCAGCTCGCCAATGGTGAAAAGGCATCGTATCGGGCCTATGGTCAGGGCATCGATTTCGAAGACGTCTTCTGGGAAGGGGGGATTGATCGCTTCTCTGCTTTTCTGGCGCAGTGCCCAGCGTCGGAGCCAGTCAGCATCAGGAATGTCTGGGTCAATATCCAGAATGGTCGTGGAGGTAAAGCTGAGGTACGTCTGTCAAAGAGTGAGTATGTCTTTGGCATCTCGTCTCACGGCAGTTCTCACCGTCCGCCCGAACTTCCAGCCAGGGGCTTGCATGAGAAGCACGGTCTCGCCTGGTACCCAGCCGTGTCTTGTGGTGGACTCTTCTGCATCGGTCACACTTGCATCTATGCTCTGGCCAAATGGTGAAAAAGCTAGCGTGCCCCACAGACCCAGCGTAGCCTCTGCAGTATCATCGTGGACCTGCAAGTTGATGTTCTCGACAGTGCTCTCGTCCTTGCGCGTCACTGTGAGAGGAGACTCAGCATGCTGTCTTAAAGATAGAAGTGCAGGTGAAGTCAAGTCAAGGCGGTATACCTTTCTTCTTTGCGCCAATGCTCTTGACGACTACCAATATCTTCGCGTCGATAACATCGTAGCCACCGTCAATGAAGTTTTGCAGCGTCATGAGCCCGTTGAGAGGTAGACCTGCTCGATACCCCAGTGGTATTCTGAACATGCCATTGTCGCTGTGGTTGTGTACCATTAAGTGACAGTTACGATCACGCTCCGGGAAGAGAGAGGCAAACAGAGGTGCGCTGGAACTAGACAGAGTTCCACTCTCACCATTGCTGACTATAGAGGAGACGAAATTTAGCATTGTGCGCGCCTTATCTTTGGATAGCGACATACTGTGGTTGGTCCATATCGAGATCTGCTGTCCCAGTCTGAGATTCGGCATGCGTGAAGCGTACCATAGACGGACTGTGATCGCTGCATCGCAGTCCTTGACGCAGAGCTTAACGCAGCCCTTGGCTGAACGCGGCGTTTTGGGAGTGTTGACCACGTCGTAGATGTTGGCAATGCGGCCCATGAATGTCACAGCTTGTGGTCCGGGTTGAAGGGCGCTGATGCCGCAGTCGACGTACTCATGATCAGGGTGCCACGAGTCGATGGGCTTAGGTTTCAGCGCTTCTTGGACCTCTTGAGATGTGAAGCCGTCGCCGACGAGGGGATCCGAGGTCAGTGAGACTGCTTGCTTCTTTGCTGGTGAAGAGTGGGGTGTTGGTAAGAAGAATTGTTGTATGGAGGCGTCGCCTCTGCCAGTGCCGACCATCTTGAGGTTGCTTGACCAACCGAGCGGATGAAATGGAATATGAGAGAGGAACGATGATGACAAGGAGGGTAGCAAAAAGGAGATGGGGCGAGATGAGGTTGAAATAAGACTCGCTACTTCCCTGCTATGCTCTTTCCCTGTGAAGCTGCTCGTCGTTCCTGCCTCACGTTGCAACACCCGGGCTGCTGCACTCTACCACACCACATCGGGCGGCGACGTCCAATGCATACCTCGATCTCCTGCACGATGTCCTTCTGCCTCGTGCTTCCACCATACCTCAATAATTACCCAGACTGTCTGCTGCTGACGGTAGTACTTGGAGCGTGCATCGCCATTCTTGCACTTGACATTGGTTCGAAGTTGATGGCGAGCCAGTGATCTGATCTGGTCCCAGGGGGTCTGCATGCATTGAGATCTCAATGAAGGTTGAGTCTTCTTCAACTTTTGCGACTCTTTTCATGTTGCCTCGCGCCATGCCCCTGCTGCCTTTGCCTCGTCCTCCAGAGCCTGTCGAAGCCACGGCTCTGTCTGCGCACCACCATTCGACATTGCAGTGTCCTCGCCGACATGCCCAATCGCCGCAATGCTGGCCTGCTTGGCCATGTCCGCAACCTTGCTCCACTTATCGAAATTGAAGTTACCGGACGACTCATTGAGAAGCTGTTCTCCGTTGGCGCTGAAAGCCATTGCGTGTGTGCTCTTGCAGCTTGCAATCTCCTTCTCTTGAGGCTCCAGTACCACTCGACCGTCGGAAGAGACAGTGGCGAGAATTGCGCTGGAGGTCATCGCTAGGGGGATGCCACCATCGACAAGGCTAGTCACTGCAGCGTTCAGGAGCGTCGGAATGAGGGAGATATCTCCAGACGTCCTCCTCAACTTCATGCTCGGTTCCTTGGTGATTTGCAGCGTGATCTGGACGAGGGTCCTTGGAAACATGTGGACAAGCACAATGCTCTTCAACACTGACTGGAGCACAGTCTCCAACCACCTCTCTCTAGGACCTCCCACTCCGGACGCAGGTCGCAAGTTGACCTCGATAGCGGCTTCTTCTGGCAGTTCATCGCGGCGCTGCACTTCGATTGGGCCATTGACACCTGCGATGACTGTGTATGGACCACTGGAGAGTACGGTCGATCCATCTGCGCGCGATAGCGGATGGTGAACCAGATCCGGACCCATTCTGTTCGCGCTTTTGAAGTTGTTGATGGGAATTGTCGAAGCTCAAACAAAAAGCTCAAAAGCTCGGGCAATCGTTAGAAGTGGTCCGTGCGGATGTTGTTAACTTCACATAGCAACGAGCAACAGTCCTGTCTTCAACGACTGCCGTTAAATTTATCGATACAAGAGTCAGCAAAGGCCAGCTTCGCCCCATGATATGTGTCTTATCGGAGGACACCGTATAAGCCCTAAATACTATAGACTTAGCGTTATCTTCGCTAGTTCTCCTTAATCGATTAATTACGGGAACCTTACTATAAGTCTAACTAACGGAGTAAATACTTCCTATAACGATAGTAGACTTTGCCTAAAGCGGCCGTAGATAACCCTATATAAACTATATAACCCCGGCTAGGCTTACTTACGCGCTATAAGCCTATATATTATATCCGGTCCCTATTAGCTAGCGTATCTTAAATATACTATAGTTAGTATCTTTAGATAAAAATATATCTAACTCCGGATAGTACGAATATCCCTAGTTAATTATATAGCCCCGAGATATATAGCGGTCTTTCCTACGTTAATACGTAATAGCTAGTTATTAGATCGCTTATTACCTACTACTCTACTCGTCCTCTTTAGCGATCTAAAGCTATAATATAAGACCTTAGAAGTAATAAGAAGTTATTATTATAAGGTATATATTATCTAGATTTAAAGACTCTTAAATAAATTATAAATTACGTAGGCGAAGATAAAGTAAGTAGTAACTAGAGCTCTTAAGACGAAGACCCTATTATAAAGATAAATATCCTAAATACTATAAACGCGATATATTCGGAATAATAGTAAATCCGATTAAGATAAAAATTAGATAAAATATTACCCCTAGTCTACTAACGCCTTTATTCGTAATCTAGATATCTATTATATAGTCTTTACTAATAAAGTTACTAGCGAGTTATTCTCTTTAAAAGGTAAAAGCGTATTACTCTTACCGTTAGAATTCCCTTTTCCCCCGTTTAGTTACTTTTCGCCTAACGTTACTACTTTACCCTACGGCGATACTTTTATCTCGAGTTTAGTAATAGAGCTACTAATACTAACGAGTCCTCGTATCATTTCTTTAAGAGAGTCGTTATTTATATAACTACTAACCTATCTAACGTACCCGTAGCTTTTATTTTTACCCTAAATAGTTTTCTCGCCGGTTAAAACTAGTATTTAGATAAAGTCGCCTAATCTAGAATTCTCGATAATACTATAATTTGTAAGCTACTCTACTTATAAATAGATATCTTTACTACTCTAGATATCCTCCTACTCTTACCGAAGGAGTATAAGATCTATATAGTAACCGTTAGAAAACGCGCTCGTTATAGATTTTTCTAGCTACGTAGAGAAGAGTTATTTACTATATACTTTAAGTTAGCGGGTAGTATATAATAAGTCGTTTTTATATTTTTAGAGTCTATAGATCGTAAAACGTTCGGGTATACTTTACTATTTAGTTTAGCTATTATCTCTAATACTTATAGGTATAAGTTAGATATCGGTAATATATTCTATAAGTACGGCGTAAATCTATAAGTATTTCTTAGTACTTTAGCGGTCTTCTTTAATTATCTTAATTTCGTAATTATTTTACTCGAATATTATAATACTTCCGCCTATACTATTAAGCTTCTCGTTAATATATATAAGTCGGTCTTCTAGGTTTACTTAAGTATCGCTAAAGAGACCGCTAAGTTCGTCAATTTTCTCTACTATCGCGGACGAAGCTCGACTAATAGTCGCCGAATCGGATTAGCGAATAATAATATAGCCCTATATATAGTAACTTATATATTAGTATCTAGTAGTACTACGCTAATTATCTACTTATAGCTAGAAAGTAGACGCCGAACCCCGTCGATATTTTTACCTATATATTTTAGCTTTATCTAGTCGCGGAAACTCGTATTTGTACTATTTAAACGCGATAAGTACTTAAGAAAGATATTTATAAAACTCCTATATACGGTTTTATATCTTCTAATTAGTAACTCGAGTAAAAAAAGGTTAATCTTAGTATTAGTATTAACCGTTTCTATAAGTCGATAAAGGACTTCTAAAAGACTAGAGAGCTCGCTCTAAAGGTCGTTAACGCGGTTATTATATAAGTTAAAGCTTTTAACGAGCTTATATAGTATAAAGATTATCTAATAAGTAGCGGCCGCGATAGTTAAAAAAGTAGAGACTAGCTCTACTATAGTATTTAAGGTTTAGAGTAATTTACGAAATTTACTACTATTATAAAGTAGGACTAGATAAAGTCCGAATATATTCCTAGAGGTCGTAGGATTAACTTTATAGACGGTACTACTAAATATTCGAAATAAGTACTGTCGCCTAGCGGCTAGCTATTTACTAGAAGATTCGGAACTCGTAGGAACGAGGTTAGCTACCGAAATCGATAGAACTAATACGTATAACCTAACCTAATAATAGTACGGCGTTAGCGAGACTTAAAATATTACTAGTAGAGTATTTATATAAATAGAATTAGCGCTATATTAGAAGCTATATACGATGCTGAAGTTCCGTAGAGCTATTAGTTAGCCGCTTGTGTAGTTGTCTCTAGCGCTACTAGTAATATTAGGTCAACATACCACGAGTGTGCCGTGCGCAATTCCGTTGTTCTATCCACACTGCCGCTGGGTATCCGTGACCTTGTGAGGCAGATTTCACCTCGAAGAACAAGGCGAGCATGGAGTGTCTGGAGCTGCGAATTAGAAAAGCATAGGATTCGGCGTCGGCGCCAACACACTAGGCGCTAAATCTTCACGCACGTCTTGTCACATCATCAAAGGACTCAGCGCCTTGAGTGGGCGCAGAACGAATCTGAAACGCGATCTTGGGGCTCTGTATATGGTAACCTTCCGTGCATCATCGAATTAACATATGTGTAGCTTTCGTCCGAGCGGTTCCTGAATGGATGTCTGATTACTCCCTAAGCCCGATGGGCGTCAGACATGGTCTGCAGTTGGTGCCAAAGGACGCGGCTCGCCGCGTGAGGAGGGGCCTCGAGCTTCGAATGGAGGTGCAAAAGAGAGTGAAGACACGAGGGCGGGCGGATCGTGAAGTTATGCAAGCTCGTGTCGCACGGACACTTCCAAACGCAGGCGCGTCCATTTCCCATTGCGGAACATCCGCCAGGCCAACAACACGTGTTGTTATCCAAAAGCATCAATTCGTGTCCTCATCGTCAAAAGACAGCACAGTCTTCACCAGCGATCGGCGAGCCGTACGATACGACGCACGCCTTCCAAAATGGCCTGTCATCCTCATAGCACCGTCCATCTGGGCCAAGTAATCCCTCGCCAGCAGACCATGGGCAGAGTGCGGGTTGGTCCAGTGGAAGAAAGAAGCTCGACTTTAATTTAAACCTCCAGCGACCTCTTCGAAAGCTGAGAATGGTGCCAGTCTTTCAGCTACCTCCATAAATGTTGTGTTACGCCTCCGGCATCTACGGAGATCTTCGAATTAGACCATACATCTGGTACGTGGCGCTCCAGTACTATCGCTCACCCACTAACGACAGGCCCCTTTCACTTCATCCAAAAGGCCGGTATTCCCTGGAGGGTTCTAGATCTACCGGATGCTGTCGTCCTATAACCTTGGCCTGCGTGCAACCAAATGTCAGTCTGGGTGGGCGTTCGTGCGTGCAGACGCAAGTCAACCCGCCGTAACGAGTGTATATAAACCGTGAACGCAGACAACCATCCCTCAAGCCTCATCCATCAACTCTTATCACTCCGTCTCGGTATACACACCCAAACCGGCCTACCAAAGTCAATCGTGCAACATGGACAAGGAACCCACAAGTCACGCATACAGCGTCAACCCCCTTAACGGACAACAGTATTACCACAACACCGATGCCCCCGGCGTGTCAGATTCCATACCAACCCAATTCAGAGGCACGACGGCAGACCAACCTGACATGAATATCCTTGGAAAGCAACAAGTTCTACGCCGCAACTTCAAATTCTTCACGGTGCTGGGATTCGCTAGCACGGTGATGGTGTCTTGGGAATGGCTGCCGATCATATCCATCTACGCGCTGCAGGACGGAGGGCTTCCTATCGTATTTTGGGGATTGGTTGCTGGTTGCTTGGGGATGGGCCTTGTGTATGTGTCTCTTGCGGAAATGGCGTCTATGTGAGCCCCTGTCTCGCCAAACCAAGCACAAGGTTCACCTACTGACCTCTCCATATCAGGTGTCCTACGGCCGGGGGACAATATCACCTCGTATCAGAGCTAGCACCTCCATCAATCCAAAAAGAGCTCAGCTATGCCGTTGGATGGCTCACCGCCATGGGCTGGCAAGTCTGGGTCACAGGTCTCTGCTTCGTCATGGCCAGTGTCATTCAAGGGCTGATTGTGCTCAACAACCCCAAAAGCTACGTCTACCACGCCTGGCATGGTACTCTACTCACTATCGCAGTGGTGATCTTCGCCCTAGCCATCAACGCTCTGCTTGGGCTCCGACTCCCAGCAATCCAGAGAGTATTCATTGTGCTCCATGTCGTTGGATTTTTGGTGATTGTCATCACACTCTGGGTCACGGCACCACATGGCAGTGTCCATGATACCCTCCTGCACTTTACATCGACCAGTGGCTGGGACAACCTGGGATTAGCATCAATGATCGGCGTCGTGAACCCAATAGGGTCCTTGTGTGGATATGATGGCTGCTTTCACATGGGTACATACATGCCTTCAAATAAAGCATTCCTAAACATCCTCCTCAGCTAACGATATAACATCAGCCGAAGAAGTCCAAGACGCCTCAATCGTCATCCCCAAAGCCCTGATATGGTCCTTCACCCTCAACGCGCTCATGGCCCTGATCATGGGCATAACGTTCATCTTCTCCATCGGCGACCTCGACTCCGTCCTCGCAACCCCGACCGGTCAGCCCTTCATCCAAGTCTTCTACAACGCAACGCAAAGCCACGCGGGAGCTACTTTATTAACCTCAATCATCGTCGTCATGCTAGCCTCAACCTGCATCAGCGAGGTCGCGACCGCGTCCCGTCAGCTATGGTCTTTTTGCGCGAGATGGCGGCTTGCCCTTCTCTGGCTGGCTCTCACAGGTCTCTCCTCGGTGGAATATCCCGCTGAATGCGATATACATGACAGCCGTGATTAGTTCGCTTATCTCGCTGATTGATATTGGTTCCTATACGGCTCTGAACGCGATCAACTCGTTGGGCGTGGTGTCTCTGCTGTTTTCGTACACCGTGACGATTGGCTGCTTGGTCCTGCGGCGTGTGAGAGGCCCAGCTCTGCCTAGGAGGCGATGGTCGCTTGGGACGTATGGATTGGCTGTCAATATTGCGTCGCTGTGTTTCATTATCCCTGTGCTCTTCTTTGCTTTTTGGCCGGTTTCACGGCCAGTAACACCGTAAGAAGTATTGTCCTGCTGGCGGAGACAAAGCTAACGGTCTGTACAGGGCGGGATTCAATTGGTCTTCAGTGATGTTTGTTGGGGTTTTGCTGATAGCTTTGGCCCACTATGTGGTGTTTGCGAGGCATCAGTACTAGTGAAGCGGGAAGATTGAACAGTGGTAAGACATTATTGCTCCAAGACGGCGTGTTGAGGGCCAGTTTTCTGGCGCTATGGACGACATACTATCACTGTTGCCGCTGTTGCGTGTCTCGAACACCTTCCCACACAAGCAAAGGTCAAATCAACGTCCAAGATCGATATTGTGTCCACGACTGCTTCACTGCTTCTTATGCTGCGCATAGAAGAAGTTTGCTCCTGTCGATGATTAGAATCCAAAATGAAAGCTCTAACCTCAGGACGCCTACCAATAACAGCCAAACCATTGTCCTCCGCCCACTGACGAACGCCCATCCTCTCCTTTCCATAACCCCAATGCTGGCGATCAGCAGGCGCAGTGAGATTCAATGGCTCGTGGGTTCCGTTCTTAGGAGTCAGTGCTACGAACACGTATCTGTGCTTGCCAGTCTTCTTGGGCGGAGCAGGTGCTTTATAGGGAACAACCTCCTTGAAGTCTTGAGACGTGTCAATCGTTCCGTCGGATGTTAATGGAATGCCTGTAGCAATCCAGTGGCACATCTCGCTCCAGACCGGATCATCTCTGCTTTTCGCATCGGGGTCAGTCAAGGCGAGGGTAAGCTGCGGGAGCGTCCTCTTCAATTCCGGTAAGTCATCGATGAGCTGCACGTCTGGTGTATTCTTGACTTTCTTGGGCTTGATGGTGTTGCCCACGTCGACGTCGGCCTTCTTCCATGAGATGGAAATCGTAAGGAATGGATGGAACGCGTCCAGAACGGTTGGAATGATCTCAGCCTTCTTCAGTCTGTTTCGCTTTAATCACTTCCTTGAATCGACCTTTCGATGGTCTTGAACATACTGCTGGATCAGGTCAAATCGGCCGTCTACGTTGAGAGGCTTCTGGTCAAGCAATGGCTTCGCGACTGCTACTGCAGAGCACCATGCAAAGCTGAGAATGGCAGCTGAGAGCTTCATGTTTCGTTGTTGCTTTGCTTTCTTCACAGTATGGAAAGTGGAATGATACGTTCGAGAGAGGACAAGGAAGGCAGAGAGGGAAAGAGGTCGCGTGCCTGCAATACTTCCCCGCCATTGGTCTCCAGAGCTGCACGCTGACGTTGAGCTTGAGCATCTCCTTCACGTTCTATGGTAGCACCGCGAATGGTCTGAAGGCAGCTTGATGGTCGAGCCAGCATCGTCAATTGGTGATGGAGACGCGGTCGATGCCAGAGGGACGAGACGAGTCGAATTGCTGGGCCAGTGCTTGCTCTCCTGATGCGGACGCGGAGAATGATGAGACACTGGGTCAGGAGGCGGCTATCAGGCGCAGTATCAATCGGATCAGCCTGAATGCGCAGGACTCTGCGTATGTAGCAAGAGTGCTTTTCGTGCAGTGCAAATTATCCATGAAAGACGATGCATATTTTGTTTGGAGATTGTTGAAAGTCGGAGCGCAAGACCGAGAAAGTGAATAGATCGGCATCACGTGCAAGTCCGTCGCCCGCGGCACCAGACGCGCCAACCCAAACAGAGCGACGGGACGTCAAGTCGACCTCCAGGTTGGCGCAGGACGAAGCAGACTTGGACTTGCACCAGTTCTCCTACCCACGACCGCTCAACAACTCCCTCCAGAGCAGAACTCTACACCTCGCGACCGCACAGACACCGCGACTGACTTGAAACGGCGAAGCGTGGCCGGGGCGGTCCCGGTTTCGAGAAGCTTTTGAGGCCCCTCTGCTTTGGCTTCAGGTCGTCAAACAACAAAACACTACCCGTCTTCCGCAGCATCGTCTGCCCATCCCATCAGCCATGGCGGCCCTCGGCGAGGACCTTCTCAACGTCGTCAACAAGCTGCAGGATCTGGTCTTTAACACCATCGGAAACGACTCCTTGGACCTCCCCCAAATTGTACGAAGCTCTCCCAGCTGCCGCATGCGCCTTAACATGTTTCAGCTAACGTCCTATAGGTCGTCGTCGGCTCGCAATCCTCTGGTAAATCTTCAGTCCTTGAGAACATCGTCGGCCGAGACTTTCTCCCTCGAGGCAGCGGCATCGTAACTAGGAGACCACTCATTCTCCAGCTCATCAATCTCCCCTCCGACCGAAACGACAAGCCCACCGACGATGAAGTCCATGTACCGCACACGCCTGCTTCAGTAGCAGGGCAAGATGAGTGGGGAGAGTTCAACCACATGCCAGGGCGCAGATTTTACGACTTCCAAGAGGTGAAGCGCGAGATTGAGGCAGAGACCAACAGAATAGCTGGCGCCAACAAGGGCATCAACCGACAACCCATTAACCTCAAGATCTACTCGCCCCACGTCCTCAGCCTTACGCTGGTGGATTTGCCAGGTCTGACTAAGGTACCAATCGGCGACCAGCCCACAGATATCGAGAAACAGACTCGCAACCTCATCACAGAGTACATTGCGAAGCCGAACAGTATTATCCTTGCTGTGTCTCCGGCGAACGTAGACATCGTCAACTCAGAAGCGCTCAAGCTTGCTCGACATGTCGACCCTGTTGGCAAGCGTACCATTGGCGTACTCACCAAGCTGGATTTGATGGATCACGGCACCAACGCTCTGGACATTCTATCAGGACGAGTGTATCCATTGAAGCTTGGTTTCATCGGCGTTGTGAACAGGTCGCAACAAGACATTCAGGGGAACAAGAGCATGTCTGATGCGCTTGCTGCTGAGCGTGAATTCTTCCGTACCCACCCCGCCTACCGAAATATTGCACCGAGATGTGGCACACAGTACCTGGCAAAGACACTCAACACGACTCTGATGCAGCACATTCGAGAACGGTTACCGGATATCAAAGCCCGTTTGAACACTCTTATGGGACAAACACAACAAGAGCTTGCGTCTTACGGCACCGACACCTTTACTGGCAAGGAGCATCGGGGCTCACTCATTCTTCAACTGATGACACGTTTCGCCACCTCCTTCATCTCTTCGATTGATGGTACCTCGTCCGAGATCAGCACCAAAGAACTTTGCGGTGGTGCTCGCATCTATTACATCTTCAACTCTGTCTTTGGAAACAGCCTAGAGACCATAGATCCTACACACAACTTGTCATCTCTCGACATTCGCACAGCCATCCGAAACTCGACTGGACCAAGGCCTTCTCTATTCGTGCCAGAGCTTGCCTTTGATCTCTTGGTCAAGCCACAGATCAAGCTGCTGGAAATACCCAGCCAGCGGTGTGTCGAGCTTGTGTACGAGGAGCTCATCAAGATCTGCCACACATGCGGCTCAAATGAGCTTTCGAGATATCCACGGATGCAGGGCAGACTCATCGAGGTCGTCTCAGATCTGCTACGTGAACGGCTTGGACCCAGTTCGTCGTACGTCGAGAGCCTGATTTCGATACAGCGAGCATACATCAATACGAACCATCCCAACTTCCTCGGCGCTGCCGCTGCAATGAGTAGCGTCATGCAGGATAAGCACGAGAGAGAGAAGAAGGCCGCTGCTGCTGAGGAAAAGCGGAAGAGGGACGCCAGGAGGAAGAAGGAATTGGAGGGTGTCAACGGGACCCACACTCCAGAAGACGATGAAGAAGAGCTACCATCTGTGTTACCGATTCGGAACGCGCCAAAGACTAAAGAGAGCAGAAGCATGAGCCCTGCAATTGGCAGAGACGGTCACAGAATTGGTCATCCCGCCAATGGAGGTCCTGGAGGAAAGGATTCTTTCCTCAACTACTTCTTCGGCAAAGAGAGCGGTGCGAGCGCTGGCGCTCTGCCTGGGCAAAACACGGCAAGCTCACTACCAGGCACGAACTTTGGCAACCGACACGTCAGCCAGAACACTGAGCCCAGCATAAGTGCTAGTTTCAGGCGAGGGGACACACGGCCGCCTCCAGTACAGGAGCTCGCTGTGGACGATTTCGAACAAGAGGATAATGGCTTGGTGAGTATTTCCATTCAGTCGACTGGGGTATGATGCTAACAGACGACTTCAGGATGATCCTGCCGGACCTGCACTGACCGAGCGCGAATCTCTCGAGACAGAACTTATCCGCCGCCTCATCAGCAACTACTTCAACATTGTACGAGAGACAATCGCCGATCAAGTACCCAAGGCCGTAATGCACCTGCTCGTCAACCATTCAAAGGACGCAGTACAAAACCGACTGGTGTCTGAACTCTACCGCGAGAGCCTTTTCGAAGAACTTCTCTACGAAGACGATGGTGTACGGGAAGAACGCGAGAAATGCGAGAAGCTGCTCGCCACCTACAAGGAGGCCAGCAAGATCATCGGCGAGGTGTTATGAGCGGGCGGGAAAAGTGTTGTCGGGCACGCATGGTTCTTCTGACGGTTTAAATTGTACTACTCTCACCCTCTGAGGAGCGCAAGTGCTGTAGGCGATGGCGTTCGGGACACTGCTCCGTTCTTTGGTGGAGCCAAGGATGAAGACGAGAGGCGATCAGAATCGCCGTTGTGTATAGATGGATTGTCGGGGGTGTTTGTACACTATACTCAATGTGCTACTGAAGAGAAAAGGACTGAGGGCACACTTCTGAATGCTCTTGTTTCAACTTTTGTTACTCTTGTCAATGCTCCGGATATGTGAAAACTTCCAGATCCTTGGAAGTTGGTATCGCCCAAGTACTGGTGTTGCCGTATCGCCCAAACCCAGCTGGAATCGTCACATCGACCGAGTGCCCATACCTCAAGTATTTACTGCTGCTTTCCCAGTCGATCTCTCGCTACCTTCACAAAGCTCATCCAGTTCACCATGGTCTCACTTCTTCTGAGCCCATGGAATCTTGCTTGCGTTGATGGTCATGAAAGTCAGATCTCGATGGGAATGGCCTTCGTTGTCCTGTTGCATCGACTTGTTCTTCAGAATTGGCGCGAGGACACTTGCGGCCATCCCAAACGTCTTATACACCTCCTTGGACACCTGCGATTCCTCCAAGGTCGAGTGGCACTTAGTCAGGAAGCTGGTGACTTGCTGCATCTCGTCCGGTGTGGTGTCCGACTTCCGCTGTCTTCTCGAGATATCTCGGTATAGCGCTGCGTATCCTGCTTTCATGTGAGAGCCGCCGTCGTTGCTCAACTGCTCCGAAAGCCACTGCCGGAAAAAGTCGATGGCGAGCTGACCACTGCCCTTCATTTCGGCCGTTGCCTTGTAACAGTAGGCAGGTTGCATCTCGAACAATCGCCTTTCGCAGGCCATGAGTTTCTCGCGGAAATGGGCTCGCTTCTCCTGAAACAGATCCCAACATCCCATCGCACGCAGTCCGGGCTCGCACTTGGCGAAGGCCCCTCTCCACAGGCCAAGGATGGCAATGGAGGCTTCGGTGAACAGCCACTCTGCTTTGACGGCCGAGGCGAGTTCCAGCATTTGGAGAGGGTCAGATGCGCAGCTGTCCAGGACGTCATTGCGGGAGAAGTTCAAGTGGTTGACGACGTGGATCTTGGCGACTTGTTGGCACTCGTATGCCTCTGCCACCTCCGTGACCTGTAGCATTGAGGTTCTGGCTTCTTGGAACGAAGTCTCGAAAGTTGGCGTGATGTGGTACATCGCTTCGAACACGCGCTTGTGGGCATTGACACGAGGCAGCCGCTGCTTGTGAAGCTTCTTGACTGCCGCAGACGCATCTGCTGGAAGTTTGCGTGTAATCATCTCTGTGGTAGTGTTCTCCGACTCAGTTGCCTTCTCTTGACGAGCGAGCAGACCGAAGGCGTCGTCCTTGTCGAAACGCAGCACGTAGACCCAGCGGTCCTTGCCGCCATCAGTCGTCGACTTGGTGCCGTTCCAGCGCTCACTGATGCTTGCTTTGAACCATCTGGAGTGGAGGGCGAGGACGTAGCTATGCAGCTGGAATGTGTCGTCTTGGTCATCGGAGGTCAGAAGGATCTCGACGTCTTCGTCGCCGGATATTGGAAAGCTGGAAGCCATCGCTGCTGAGTGTGCACGCCCAGCAGAGAATAGCAGAAGGGTTTGAAGTTTCGCAAAGTCGAGAGAGAGATCTGTGGCTGTCGCTTGTATATCAGCCGGGAGCTCATGGGAGGAGGATATAGTTTGTGTGCTTGCGCTGTACCTGGAGTAGTACTGAATGTCGGTGTTGATGGTGAGTGTGATTGTGCTAGTGGAAGTTGTGGTGGAAGAGTGGGCTTGCAGAAGTCAAAATGAGGAGACGGTGCTGAAAAGCAGCTGAACGAAAGTGAGGTGCATGTGACGGTGTCTTCATTTCATTGCCTAGTCTTTTCATGTGCAGAAACGCTCATGATGATCTGAGCATCGGCGAAAGCCATGATATTCCCCCCAAAACGCCCCGACCCACGTCTACTTCAATGGGATGAAACGCGAGGAGTGGGTGGCACCGATACCTGGACGACCGTGCTTGACTGGCTTGCTGTTTGAGTTGTTAGTCTCATACTCACATCGCAATACTCTCGGTTATACGTACTAGGAGATGGAGAATTCTGCAAGGTAGTGGCCAACCATCTCAGGCTTGATCTCAACCTGGTTGAACTCCTTGCCCGAGTAGACACCGACGACAGAGCCAATCATCTCTGGGACGATGATCATGTCACGGAGGTGAGTCTTGACGAGGTCTGGCTTCTCGTTTGGCTTGGCCTCCTGCTTGGCCTTGCGAAGCTTCTTGATCAGACCCATAGGCTTGCGCTTGAGACCACGGTTGAACCGACGGCGAGCGCGGGCGTGGACGACATCACGGAGCTGCTCGGACGAGAGGTCGAGGAGCCTGGTGAAGTGTCAGTATTGTGACATGGTCTGCCCGAGGACTGTCTCCAAAGTGTCCAATTTTATGCACTCACTCGTCAAGGTCGATGCCGCGGTAAGAGAACTTGCGGAACGCTCTCTTTCTCTTGAGCTCTGTAAAAACCCATTGTGTCAGCCGATATCCTATCTTCCAGCGCCCCTTCGTGGCCCGTCCACAGGGTTTTAGCCATATAGGGTGCTCATGAAGGAGCGCCTGGATGAGTGCAGAGTGCGCGTACCGGCAGCCTCCTCAGCGTTCTGTAGAGTCGTTAGAATTGGTAGAAATGCGAGCAATGCATTGATGAGCACTCACGTATTCTTCGTCAGCCATTTTTGCGGTGGTGGGCGATGGACTGGGTGTTGTCGGATGTTTGTCGCTGGTCGAGATTCGCAGAGAACGAGAATTGGAGTGAAGCGCTCGCTTGAGTGTGCGGGCTTGGCGTTGTTAGCGCCGCCGATAACGCTCGGGCCACCTCGAAGCGCGACCTCTTCTGTTTCTTTCAGTCGCTTCCATCTTCTCGACACAACCACCACCACCGCCACCGAAACAAGCCTGTCGAGGCGCAACAACAAAACCCACCTCAGACAGTGACATTTTGTAGTTTGCATTTCGCGCGTACTAACTACCACCAACATGAGCGACCCGGCCGAACTGCAGGCCAAGATCATTGCACTCCAGGGCCGAATCAACAAGCGCAAACAGCATCATCCCACCCAATGCGGCGGTCGTCACTTCGCGCAAGATGCGACTCGCGGCAATGCTCGCTGGGCACCATTTGACAGAGGAGGTAGACCGCGACATCACCAAACCCACAAGAACCGTGTCCTTGTGCTTGGAGGTGGCCAACCTACAGGAGCAGTCGACCGCGAGTCTGCGCCGTCCACACCAGCCAGCCAGGCGCTCATTTCAGGACAAGCAGCGGCAATGGGGCAACCTCATCCAGTGACCTCGTCCGCTCAAGAGCAAAAGCAACTCCAACCTAACCCCTACCCCTCTACCCGTCCGAACCCCGCTACTTCGATTCCTCCAATACCCACCAAGGCAGCAGCAGAGCCCGCTCGTGAACTCGTCATCGATGGGATTCGATTTCAGATACACGCAGGTGGCAGCAAACTGATTCGTATCACCGGTGGGTGCTCAAAATCGCATAAGCAAGAGAAGGAACTAAATATATCAGACTCGGCGACCGCCGCGAAGAAGACACCCAAGATAGCGAAGGTTGCAGACGTACAGTTCCTCCGCACGAAACACGGTAATCTGATACGCGCTGCTCCTGGCAAGAAGAGGTATTGTGGAAAGGATGGCCTGTACATGGAAGATTTGGACTTACCTGAACGCCATCGCAGTCGCCTCCAAGTTCCGCAATGCGAGAATTTCACGAAGCACGGTACCGAATTCCTATCATCCCCTACTCACTGGCCACGCTTCGGCTCCCCGTAGCAATGGTATGCCGGTAAGCTACCCCCTCAGAAGCTGATATCTGTTACAGGTACTTGTTCTTTCGGCCCAGCCTGCCGATTCACCCACGATCCCACGAAAGTCGCCATTTGCAAAGACTTCATGCGCACGGGCGCTTGCAAAGCTGGACGCAGTTGCGACTTGTCCCACGAACCGACCTACCACCGTGTGCCGGCGTGCACCCATTTCCTTCGCGGCAACTGCACCAACAGTGCATGCCGCTATCCCCATGTCAATGTTTCCCCTGCCGCTTCCGTTTGCCGTCCTTTCGCTACCCTGGGCTTTTGCTCCAAGGGCGCTGATTGTGAGAAACGTCATGTTGTCGAGTGCCCTGACTATGCCAACCATGGTCGCTGCGCGAATCGTGAGAAGAATGCTTGCAATCTTCCACACATCGATCGCGCCGGCGCTCTGCGCAAAGCCGCTGAGCGTCAAGCCAAGACCGGCTCTGAAGATGATTCCGATGTCTCGAGCAGCGATGACGACAAGAATGAGGGTGATTCAGATGTCGCGGAGGACATCGACATGGACGACGACAGTCACGAGCTTTCGCAACAACAGGATTTCATTGCCTTTTCTTAGGATCGGAAGCCTGCCTTCCAGATGCATACAGCTTCGGGCAGGGCCTCAGGCAGGACATTGATAGCTCTCGAAGAGCCGAGTATGGTTTACATCGATCATGATATCCACATTGAGTTCAGCAAAAGGAAAGATAGAATCAGAAGAATCGAGAAGAAATACAATGCACTAGTTGCTTTCAGTCTGGTCTGTGCTACATTCCTGAATACTTTTCACAACTCTCGAGCATACCGAAAACACTAACCACTGCTCGTACCGTGACCTTGATGTTTCATTGCATCTTTCGCTCGTTCATGTCATCACCGCACTGCGTTTGGTAGCAATCTTTTTGGCGCCCAAACGCGCACAGCCACCAGGCTCAGCCAGCTTGGCCTGATGGATCAGCGCGAAAGAAAGCAAACACACTGCCTCCAATGGCCTTCAAAATATGACACGCCTCTGTAGGACTTGAAACACCCAGAACACTCCTCGGTAGGCCGATTTTCTCAAATCTCTTTGTCCTATTCACTCCACCTTTCCGCGACCAATATCCCTACGGCCCCGCAGCCAACGCGTCCTGCCAAACACGACACACACACGGCCATGCCGCACCTGAAAGATTTACTCAAGAAGAAGGAGAAGATTGGGGCAGATCAAGAAGCTGCGAGCGAATCGCATTTGGACGTGCCGCAGTTCAAATTCATACGCTCGACTACGGAGTCAGAGGAGATCATCGAGCCACCAACGCACCCAGATGACCACACCGGCCGCCCCAGCACCGAGAAGAAAGAGCACCGAAGGACACTCGGCTTCCGCCACTCTTCCAGCTCATCCATATCCAAGGATCCCTCGTCCACGGCAGTCCTCTCCAGCGTAGCGGAAACGTCCAGTCAGCAGCTGCCGGTCAGAACTAAGGGAGAGCGAAGGCTTTCGGAAAGGCTGCACCTTCGCCGGGATCGCTCGAGATCCGCATCGGCGGAGTCGAGCACGCATGTGCCGGAGGATCTGCCTGCCGCGCCCGATGCTTTCGCGCCGACGGCGGGGACGAGTGTAGATGGAGCTGAGGACAAGGCGGCGAAAGAGCAGCGGGAGGCGCAGTGGGAGAAGAGAGCGACAATTCTGGCTATGAGCAGTCCTTTGAGGGAAGGACAGGGACAAGAACAAGCTGAACAGAGCGAAGGGACGTCGAGGCATAGGAGTAGGAGTCCGAGCATATCTGACGCGGCTGGCGATGTCAATATCCAGGAGGCCATTCGGCTTCATGAGGAAGGGGACCTGAGGCTATCGACAGAGATGTTTGGACAGCTTGCGAATCCAAAGGGAGCAAACAACGCTCTTGCGCAGGTGCTCTACGGCCTCGCTCTGCGCCATGGATGGGGAATACCTGTTGAAGCGGACAGGGCCATACACTACCTCTCACTCGCAGCATCCAACTCGGCATCGATCGAAGAACAGGCCCTCTCATCCGGCATGAAGAAAGGCGGTGCGGCCAAAGGCGAGCTGGTTCTGGCCATCTTCGAGCTGGCCAACTGCTTCCGACACGGCTGGGGCGTGAAGACGGACGCGATAGCCGCACGACAGTACTACGAAACGGCAGCAAATCTCGGCGACACAGACGCTATGGAGGAGGCCGCTTGGTGTTACCTCGAAGGGTTTGGGGGCGCCAAAGACAAGGTGAGTTTGACTACTCTGTTCTCCTACCAATCTATTCCACGTGAGACCCAGAAAGAGGAGCACATGCGACTCCCGGACGTGCATATACATGACGCCATGCACAAAAGGGCCGGTATGGCAGATGCACGAATGCCTTACGTGCTTGCCTGCCTGCCTACGCCATCCGGCCGAAGACAAGACAGCTGCTGGTAGGATCTCATTGCTCGCTACTGCAGCAGCGAAGCCACGGGCATAGCGCCTCGAAAGTTGGGCACCATCCCCCATTCCCTTCCATCATTCATGCAAGTCAGATGTCAGGAATTTCCAAGGCTGACTGCGATGCGACATCTAGTTCAAAGCGGCGCAGTACTTACGACTCGGCGAATCTCAAGGGAAGAAGAGTGTTGGTAATTCATGGTACGTATCCCATCGCGATCCTCTTTGCATCTCCCTCGCTCCCTCATCTACACACCACCAAGAAGTCATCTGTCCATCAAGCTATGCGGCAACGGTCTCTCGTCGGGAAGGGAGGGTGTGGCTCTTCCCTCCCTCCCTTCGATTGCGCGTGCGGCGGCAGCCCCAAAGAAGCTTGCATGTACCTGCCTCTCGCAAGTCGCAACAGCTGCACGATGCAACGCTTCCCGGCGATTCGTCTGTCGAGCCATGCAGCTTACGACACTTCCAACATCTCATGGCCCTGCCAGCCTCCCTCCACACCCACCGTTTCCCGTCTCGGCAAGATCGCGGCAGTGCTGCTGTTGCTGCATGCATGCATCACCTGCTCTTCCTACTCTCATGCACTGCATCGAACAGAAAAGCTGACCAGACTTGTGCGCTTGTAGGATCTGGAAGGACAAGTATAATCCAAAATAAGTACACGCAGTCGCAGGCCGTTGCGTGTAGGGCATCCTCTCACTACCACAATAACCTCCCGCGGGATACCTCTCATCGAAACCCGTGTCGAGGTTCAGGTCGGGATCTTGAAGTGGGAGCCTGTTCTCGAGCAAGTCACGTTCACGTTTTTTGACAGGTGTTTGTTTCTCCGGAGAGCTCTTCGTCGAATTGGGTGTATTACCGCCTGCGTTGATGGTTATGCAGGTTGGAAGTCTATGAGAGCACACGGGGTAGAATGATTGATGAGCGGTCAGGTCATCAGGTTTTTAGGAACGACCGGGAAAGTTGGTTCTTGCAGGAAGTGTGTGTAGGAGAAAGTTTACGGGTCTTTTACGATGATGAGCCGTCGGGCATTTTTGTTCTTTTCCTGCGAGGCGTTTGGGGGGCATGTGCATTCTTTGATACTGTAGTTTCAGATGATCACAAGTATGTATCTTTTCCAAGTATCATGCTTGATTGTGTGATGATGATTACACTATCTACCAATTTTTGTGTGTCTGTCTGGCCAGGAATTCTGTAGCCGCTCTCGAATAGATACAAGAACATCTCTCTCAGAGAAATCGAGTCAACATGTGTCCCCGTCAGATCTTGCCGATTTGTACAAACAGAGCTCCTCGTCGGGCTCCTTCGCCGCCAGTACTCGTAGATAGAGAATGTGACCGCTGCCAAAAAGATGTGTTTCAGGACAAAAGAGGATTGCAACCAGTTTTTGTTGTTTGGTCGATCAATCGCAGGGTATCGCCAGAAAAGCAAAATTCAAAATGTGTCTAACAGCTTGTTGGTCACACAGCCGTCTTTGCATGGACATCATCCATCCTTCCGAACATGTCCAATAGAATGGAAAGGGTAAGAAGAAGCCGAAAAAAGTATGTTGGAGGATCCGGTAGCTGGCCAGATGCAGCTGTCTGTCGTGTAGTTAAAAAAAAAGGTCTGCATGTTGACAAGGAGGTGGAAGAAGGTGTTGGTGTGGTGGTTCATGGTGAATCGTGAGTTCATTTTCTTCGTGAGAGGAGGTGTCGTCTAATGCCGCGTGATTTCGTTTCCATCATTTCATCATTCATTGCTCAAGTTTGAATGCATAGTCGTGACTTTGTCGTCGGTTGGTTTGCTGCTGTCGGGCTTCGATCTCACTGTGGTCTCGGACAATCTCCTTGAATTGCCGGACGACGTCAACAGGGATCTGATCCCACAGCAGACTTCGGGTGTAGACTTCCGCTTTGTTGTTGCGAGCGTGGTCTTGCTCCAGGTTGGCCAAAGCCTCGGCGAGATTACGTTTTGGGGGTGGCGCTGGCTCACTCTGCGCTAGGGCGTGCGGCTGGTCGTAGCCTGGGAAGTCCATGTTGGTAAGCGACGCGTACTGTGCGGTCGTCAAAGCAAATGCCTGGTCGATCTCTTGCTGCTTCGTGGGGGAGGTAATGCTGCGGTGCATCCGATCTAACCGGCTAGCTTTGGGGCTGTTGTAGGCTATGTTGGACGGCATCGGTTCATGGCCCATTCTTGCCACCGCCCGGGCGTGCTCATGCGTGGGAGCCGGATTCGCTTCAGCGAGGAGATTGTTGAGCACAGTGGGCGCAACAGCGCGTACGTTGGCGGGCATTTTTGGAAGATCGGGCGGCTGCGAATTGGCTGGCTTTGATGCAACAAAGGCGCCGCAGAGTAGCAGCATGAAGAGGAGTCCTGAAGCGATTGGCTGGTCTGTGCTTTCGTTGCCCTTCTTAGCCGAAGCTTGGGTGACAGTGGCGGAGGAAGACTTCTTTTCGAGGACAGGCGATGGCTTGACGAGCTCGGGCTTGGGGTCGTAGGGAAAGTCGCTCAAGCCATCGGCATGGAGATCATTCGCCAAGATGAACTGATCCCACTCGTGTGGTCCAGCCATAGTAAGGGCCTCCATTTCGGCGTTGAAGTCTGTGAGACCGGTGCTGCTTTGGGTAGCAGACATGGGCACAGGGCCGGCTTCCAGCTGCTCCGTGAGAATGTGCACTTTCTTTCGCAGGCTAGAGGCCTCTTCGTTGTGCCTCACAAGCATGTCTCTCTTTTCGTCGTGCATGGCATCGATGATGCGCTGGGCTTCCTGTAGTCGCTCCATGGCAACGTGTCGCTCTCTCTCCCGCTCCCGGTGAAGCTCTGCAAGTTGCGACTCAAGCATGGTGATTTGCTGAGTATAGCTCTTCTCTTTGACCTCGAGGTCCTCGGTGTGCTTCTTCTTACGCTGTCGTGATGCAAGCCTGTCGTGCGGTCAGTATCAGATGAGGCAGTCATACGGTAAGGGATACTCACGCGGCCTCTCGATTTCGCAGCAGGCGCTTCTGTTGCTTGAGCTCCTTGAGCAGATCATCGTCAGTAGTCTTCTCGATCATGTCGTCGATAGTCTGGATATTCCGCTCTTGCGGGATGTCGATGCGGCCATTCTTCTTGCGAATGCCCTCTCTCCTCTGCAGGTCCATCACACTTCTTGATGGACTACCTGGTCTCATCCGCTTGTGAGATGGCCTGCCTTCCATTTCCTGCTGCGCCATTCCCATCCAGTCCTGGTGAGAGTGAGGAGACATAGGCGTCTGAACCTGCGGGGCGGGAATGAAACCGGCCTCAGAAGTCTGAATGTTGAAGGGAGCAGGAACTTGGGGCGCCTGACTGAAGCTGCCATGTGCGCTGTCTGATCGATGATAGGGAGCTGGTTCGAACTGTGGTGGAGGTGGTGGCATGAAGTCGACGCCAGTCGTAGGCGTGCAGTTCCCTGAGCCATGTTCGAAGGGCCACGACGGGGCGTGATGCTGTTGCTGGACGAATTGAGGCGCATTGGGATTGCCTTGCCTCATGTACATGGCGCCATCCTCATGATAGGGATTGCTCGCTCCAGCGGAGGCGGCTTCGACTGGCATGGCTCCGGCATGGTAGCGTTGATCCCACTGATGATGGGCATCGACGGGCGACAGCACGCCGGCGCTGTTGGCGAAGGAGTCCTTCCTGAAGGCGTTGTTGTGAGGACTTTGCATGATGTCAGCATCCAGTATGGAGGGATCCAAGACAGCCGAATCGTCGTCGTCGATAAACGCCGCTCGTTTGTTGTCAAGCGCAGAGTCTGTTTGGGGGTGATGATAGCCGTATCTGGAGCTGGCGTATGCCATGTTTGGGTTACTTGTATGCAAGTAACGGTGTAGTTGCAGCGGTGAGCGGTGAGGACGGGTGTATCCGACGGGCCTGCGCGGTTCACGCGAAGCCGGCGCCTGTTCAGAGAGCCAACGTGACTGCTTCTGCTACATCCAGGCGGGCGGGCAGGCAGCGACGGGGAGCGCCAGGATCGACGAGAGGGCGTCGACGGGGCGGCGGAGGGAGGGAGGGAGATGAGCCTCGAACGACAATCAATGCTGGAAGAGTGATAGAGAGTGGCAAAAGGGAGCAGGGAAGGGCTTGCTTTCTTGTACTAGCACCTCGCTCGGGGCCTGAAGACGAGTGGACGGAACGGGCTCGGGAGCAGCGCAGTCGCAGCAGCAGCGGCGGCATCAGCAGCGAGGAGCAACAGACGACAGCGCGGCGGGCAGGCCCCGTCTCATTCGGTGCCCAGTCGAGCCTTAAGGATCGGGTCTTCGTGCAGCAGTGGTGCATTAGGGCGGCAGCCATTCGACGCTGACGGGCGGCGGCATTAACGCGCTTCTCGCCGCGCGGGCGCACCCAGCGGCAGCAAACAGAGCAACACACTGACGAGAGCATCGTCCATCGCATCGCATCGCATCGCCCAGGGCACCCGTCCGCACGGCGCTGCGGTCGCTGCTGCTGCAGGTCATGATCATGCGGCTGGGGAGCTCGCGGGGAGTTCAGGCTGGCTGGCAGGCTGGCAGCGATGGGCGAACACATGGCTGGGTTTCAGATGGCATGTGACGCTCGCCTGATCGACTGGCCGCCCGTCGCTGCGTTTCAGCACGACAGCTGCCCACGCTGAGCGCCGTCGATGGGGTGACGGCGCTCGCAAGCAGTGAAGCCCACGACATGTCGTCGGCGCCGCACGGTGGAAATGGGAGGGAGACGGTAGACTAGCACGTAGCGGCGCTCCGGCTCGAATCACTCACAGATGGGCGGGAAGCATCGTGTGGGCCGAAGCGAGCAACGGCAACCTTCTTGTCGCCGTCGGTCAGAGCCCAAGGGACTGCAGGGGTTCTTTGACGTCGACTGCATCGTGCGTGTGTACCCAAAGGTGGACGAGCCCAATGCCCTGCCCGACGACTTCACTTAAAAAAGCCCGCATCGCTGCGATTCGCGATCTGGCTTTGGCGGACGGCATTGCCTGTTGACTCACCTGCAGCTCCTCCTCCTCAGTGGCCTGCCTCGCCCACACCTGCTCTGCCGAAACTTCCTGGATCTTTTTCTTCGCTTACTCCCAGTTGGCTGCTTGACCGCGAAACGCGCGCCAGGGGTGCTCTTCTTCAGCATCATCAACATCATGACGACGGAAGAGCGGTGATACACCGCTGCTTATGACTCTCCAGCAGTGCGCGTCCCTACGCCGCGAACAGGGCTCTCAAGTGGAGCAGCGGATGTAAACAGCCTTGGCATTGAAGGTCTGGAGCGGCGGTGGAAGGAGAAGGTGAATGCGGCAAGACATGGTGGTATCGCAAGATCTGATTGAGGCGAAAGAGGCAAGATGGCGGATTTGCTACACGGTACAGTACGGATGGATGCACGCCTGGAGTCAAAAGCACCCCTCCTGCATCCATCCCACGATTTCCTGGCTTCGATTTCTCTCTCGTCAACCGCGCCCCGACTTTACCTGTCGTCAGCAAGTCCACGTCCACGAGTCAGCTCACCGCATCCATCTCGCTCGCAAAAACAAAATACTGTACGTCAGTCCACACAATAAGAAACTGCTCTCAGTGCTGCTCAAGGCCTTCAGGTACCCGCAATCGCGTGGAATTGATTCGGCTGTGCAGGAGCCCGAAGCATCGGGTTTGAGGCGGCCCCATTCGGTCTCTGTGCCCCCACAATGCCTTGATCGTGCATTGCAGAGTGCTCGGCTGTAACACATTGAGCCACCGAACCCGTATGGACGCTCAGACGAACACCGTTTGCACTGGCCGGTATCCTCTGCAATCACCCTGTGTCAACTGCACTTGACAGGACAATCACACCAGGCTGGTTTGCATCCAGTGATTGCGGTCGCAGTAAGCCTTCGTATTGGCATCAACTTGCACCGCATGGCTGCCTTGCACAACCTGAAGGGAATCGATGGCGCTCAGCAGGCGTAAAGGAGCATGGCAGCTGCAGCAAAGAATGAGTTTTGCAACACGCGATCCGGGTTTGTTGCAAGGCGCACAGCATCCGCTCGTATGCCGCGGCACCGTTCTACTGCTTGCATGGAACATATACCCCACCAATTGGGCAACAACCACAAGCTGCAGGCGCTTGCTGCAGCTGCAGCGGCCCTCAGCCTATCAGCCGCCTCGTTGTTTGGGAGACGACACAAACTCGAGCCCAAACCGATCTAACGATGGCGGCCTCACATGATTCTATGAATGGCTTCAAGACATGGACGCGCATTCTCAATACAGGCAAAGGAGCAGAAGTTCAGGCGAGCCGAAGTTTCAGTCGTCGAATCGTGGAAGATGGCGCCTCGTTTGCCTCAAATTTTGGGCATTCTTCAAAATCGACCAGCCTCAGGACCTCCGCCGTGGGGACTGCTGCATCATCTCAGCGTACGGTCTGATTCCAAGGGCAATCAGCGCTGTCAAAAGGGTTCATTCCTGGCCAGTCAATCATGAAAACTGACTGTCGCAACCAATTGTTTGTCGAGGTCGCACAGTGATCTTGATCATTGGTCCGCTCAGCTTGCGCTGCGAACACCGACGCAAACCTTGACATCACCGCGATGTTTCTTGGAATGACAATCACGCAAAGAGCTGTCTGTGCACTCGTAACGACGTGATGGAACTGGAAGCTTAGAACATGTGACTGAGGAGCACTCTCGCGCGGCAATTCATTCGACGAGCTTGTTACTAGCCCACCAGCTGAGCCGAAAGACTGCCTCTCGACGAACATCGCCAATCGGATGCATCGTTTGGATCGCCCTGTCCAGTATACTGAGCACGCTGTGGGTGAGGACACAACGGTCTCTGCCTGAACACCTTATCCTGCAGTGTGTCGTTGTGCCACTTCGTTGCAATGATGTACTCTGGAGCCTGACCTTCCTCGGTCCATCTCATCAGCGCCAGCAAGATATCATGCTCGGGATCTCTGAAGCCGGGGACTCCAGAAACACATCCTGGCCGCAACCCAAGTGCACCAGCTTGATTTCCTCCTGCGAAGTACCAAGGCGCATTGACGTTGGATGGTGTTCCTTGGCAATGTTGCATCCCTGGCACGAGGAAGAATCGATACCACGAGTCCAACTCGACTCCCTTCGGCAGTAGTGTCCGCATCACCTGCCTGTAGAAATACTCCGAAGAGCCGGTGGGTATCAGGCCGTCTGCAAAGCCGTGATATCTGTGCATCGATTAGCACAACCCCTTCAGCACGCTGGGGACAAAGGTGTGACTGACTGCAGCAATTTACCGCCTCTGGCATGGAAAGGGCTGATGTCGAAGTCTATGGCCGACGCGTTACCAGGCTGAACTTTGTCTGCCTCTTGGACGATGCCGTAATCGAAGTCGTAGAAGTTCCAGTCTGGCTGGTTGAGCAGGAAATATCGAACATAGTCGATGCCCAGACCGTTCGGCTGATTCCCTCCTATTAAGACCTCCCACTGCGCCTCACTTCCTGGCTCCAATCGAGGAAATACGAAAGTCTGTTCGTATCGTTAGAGGAAGGCTTTCAGTGAGCACTGGGTCATCCGACATACCTGGTTCGTCTCAACGTAATCGTTGAAGATCTTGTACAGCGTATCAATCTGTGGCCCAGTCAAGCAACCTGCTTCGGTTTGATTCGCTACCTGCGATTTGCATAGAAGCTCTTCTGGGATGAACTCGCAACCCCTTGGATCAGAAACGATAGTATCGATCAGCCCATCCTGTGCATCGCACTGTCGCAACACCTCGGCGCCAACGATGGGAAACAAGGCAGGTGGTATATGATGAGCTGACGTCGTCGGTAGGTTATACAAAGCCACTTTCACGGTCCAAGTCTGCAAATGACTTGTCCACCAAGCAGCTGAGCCCGCCAGAACGCCATCAAAATCTTCTGGGAACATCTCGACTTCTTTGAGGCCTTGACGACCGCCTGTCGAACATCCCGAGTAGTAGCTGTACTTCGACTTGGAGCCGTAGTACGCCTGAACGACTTCCTTTGCCAACACGACGGATCCATGCATGGCTCGATAGCCCCAATCGGTCAGTTTCTCCTTGTTCAAAGCCCAGGATCCATCGGAGCTGTTCGAGCTGTGTCCCGTGTCTGTAGACATGGAGGCGAATCCATATCCAACACCGGCGGCCTGCACAAGATTAATATTCCTTCATCACTCTTTTCAAGGATGCACATTCACGCACCAAGTCAAGCCAGTTGATTCCACCAGCGAATCCTCCGTTACCTACTGCCAAGAATCGATTATTCCAATCATCTGGTAGGAATAAGCCAAATGAGTAGGCCGAAGTTGGACTCGAGGTGACGTTGATCTGGACCGCGCAGACGCTTCGCAGGAGAACTGGCGAGGTCGGGTAGGCGATGTCTCCTGCAGGTACCGTGAATGTTGCGTTTGCTGCTACTGTTCTTGCGAATGCCACCGACGCTTGGGTTGGGAGGATGGCCTGGAAGGTGTATTTGGAGCATTCGAATGCTGTTGCCAATGGCAGGGCAGCGAGGAAGAGACTGGACTTCATGACGATGGCCGGGTCATATGTCGTCAACAGTCAAAAAGATGAACGAAAGCTGAATGGTACCGTCCGTCCACTACAGGAGGAACAACGACGAGGGGCAAAAGAAAGATCCCAAGAGACCGTCTCCGCACCATATCATAAAAAATCTCGGATATCTCTCTTTTGCAACCCTTGCTGGCAAGATCGGCTTCGCGGCTTGCGTGCGTGTTTCGGCTATGCTGTGGAGGACGTCACAAAACCGACCCACCCACCGCACTACTGTATGTACTCCTCCATCGGTCGACAACCTTTCAAAAACCAGGCTTTTTTACTCGACTTTCCATTCGCAAGCCTTACCGCAAGACCTCTAGTAGACCGGATCAATACCGACTGTGAATTCATCTTCCTGCAAGCCTCGCGAAATGCCCGGCAAAGTCGTTGATGTACGATGTATAGTCAAACTTCTGCCACTTCCAACGGCACGCTAACGTCCCCGATACTTCAACGCGGGGGATCCATGGCCGATTGAACTGCCAGGTTCGACTGCCGACTTTTGGGGTCTTCGCTCCACCCGGTACGGCAACGTTGCACCAAACCTGCAGCCATGCGCATCGCTTCAGTCGCAAAGCACCAGAGCGACGAAATAACAGCGTGAAGTCCGAGGAAGCTTTTGGTTGGCGCAAAGTCAAACCGAATTCGTAGAGCCTCGACTTGACTCGTGTTGGCCATGGAACCTTGCACACAAGTGCCACCCGGGCTATTGCGCACCGAGGGTACGGCATGTGAAGAATCTGGGTTCTTTTTGATACAAGTCGTCAGCTTCTGGTCACTTTGTATGATTGACAGACTTGTCACTTACCACATAGCATGCAGAGCAATGCGAGTTCCTGGCAGGTAGCGAAAGGATTTGAGTTGCAAACCCATTTCGTCTGAGCCGTGCTGAGTTGCATGCATCGTGACGCCGTGCTCGAATCACAACTTTGCCTTGATGGGTTTCTCATCACTGGCGGCCTCTTCGACGGCGATGCATACCACGACAGCAATATCGTCAGGCTTGCCGCCTTCCCAGCCTTCCCCAGGGTAATGTTGCTTGACTTCCTTCGCGAACGGACCTTCACGTCTTCGGTCCAAACCTGCGAGTTTCGCCTCACGCATGACGGCGGCGGCAAGTTGGCCAGGAAGGTAAGACTCCTGGATTTTGTCCTCGATGGTCCTTGGCAGTTGTGTAATAAGCGTGTCATTGATCATCGTCTCGGCGCCATCGAAATTGTGCGATTTGAACCAGAACCCGCCCTCCTCCATTATGCGTGAGACGATCTGCAAAGTGTCTTGGGCGGATAGATTGTCCCAGACGCCATCCGTTGCGAAAACGACAATGTCACCGTGCTTGAGTTGGTGAGTAGAGACATCCGCATCAGCAGGGGTCTCGCTGAAGTATGTCGAGCCAAAGATCTTATACTGAGCCTGAAGCTTCGCTGGGACCTTGGACATTTGATATGGTGTGTTGAACGCGTGCGTCTGACTCTCGGAACGATGGACGACTTTACCGGGACCAAAGACCAAGTAACCAGAGTCACCAAGGCTGCATGAAGTCAACGACATGATCGAATAATGATGAGATTGCGGATCTACGTACTTTGCTGTTTCGATGCTGCCTCGTCTGTCCATTACACCCAGACTGGCTGTGCATCCGCCGGCCGCAATCCGTGGATTATTCATGACCGCGTCGTACGCCTGCTGCAGGAGAGGCTGAGGTTTACACGGATTCTCTTCGATGCCCTCTTGTATGTTGGCAGAGCCAGCCATCAGGCCACACAGTGCCTGGCTGAACTCTGAAGGATCTACGCCTTGGTCCTGCCATCCACCGACTCCGTCCGCTACGCCGAAAGCTACGTGACTTTGGCTGCCTCCGACTGTGGTCGCAAAGAAGGCGTCTTCGCCTGAGTCTTGCTTGGTCGAGCGAAGGTACGGAGGAGAGGGGTTCTCGTGCGTAGATGTATAGTTCCAGTAGTCTCGCCCAGGCTTTGGTGGTCGTGGTGAAACACCTTTCGGAGCCGATGCAGCAGCGATTCGGTAGGTGAAGTTGGTATCGTTACAGCTGGTAGAGTACGAGGGTGGTATCCGCAGCGGCATAGATGGGTGAGGCGTGCGAGGAGCTGCAGCAGTTAGAGTCGCGCTGGCCCTTTTTACAAGCAGGGCACGCAGGGAGGCTGACATTGCAGCTGAGATGTGAGTATGTAGCAGAGGACGGCGGTGGTGAGCAACATCACGAAGACATATCGTAGACAACGATGCAGACGTAGGCGAGATGTTGAAGTAAAGCAAAACTGCGCATACGAAGCTCAGAGATAGAGAGGTGGTCCGCCTGAGATGGCGCGAATCCTCCTCCGCGTCTCCGAGATAGACTTTCGGTCTCGCAAACCTTATTTGCGCCTCGAACTGCACTCCACTTCTCTCAAGTTTCAGATCACCTGAAGACACACGACGAACCCAACACTCGACGACGAACAACCCGCCAACATGTCGATCCACCCCTCGCGACAAGCGTATGTGGAGGAGCAGCAGGAGGTAAGCATTCTACCTATTCCCACCTCGAAATGCAACGTCGCATATTCACATGCTACGCCAGAACCAGCGCTGCGGACACTGGAGACCTTGGAACGACTGACTGATGTCTGGTTTGGTAGGATGATGCAGGCATCAGCATTGCCGAATTGCGTGAGTACACCGTCGCAACAGCTCGTCGACAATTTCACTGACAACTGTGCAGCGACCGACACAAACTATCAAATTCCATCCGCGTCTGGTGGACCCTCTCAAAATGCCTCTACCGTGTTCAACGATTTTGCTCGAAAGCGCAAAGCAGCTGCTATGGCTGTCCCAACCGACGATCAGCGAGTGCGGACCGAGCTGAGAGCCAGAGGAGAACCCATCACCTTATTCGGCGAACGCAAAGAGGACAGACGAGATCGATTACGCGAGTTGATGCTGAAGGAGCAAGAAGGTGGCGATGATGATGTTTCAATGGCAGACGCAGGCGAGGAGGGCGGGAAGGACGAAGAAGAAGGCGAGTTCTACATTGAAGGGAGCCAAGATCTGCTAGCGGCGAGACGAGATATTTCGCGATATTCGTTACCGAGAGCAGCACAGCGCATTGCACATCAAAAGATCGAGAGTAAAATCAAGGTCGCGACGCATGTGAGACATCGGAAAGCAATCAAGGAGAAGTTAGAAGGCATAGAGTTGTTTGGAAGTCAGATTGCCAGCGAGCGACCTGTCAGTGTTGTGCGGTTCGCCCCAGACGGCAACACGGTGGCGTGTGGCGATTGGGGAGGAACCGTCAAGCTATTGGATGTGCCGAATCTCGATACTAAAGCCGTGCTTCGAGGACACAAGGGCATAGTCGGCGGATTATGCTGGTTTCCAGGCGCCACCCTTTCGACTTCGAGCGTCAGCCCAGACAGCATCAACCTCGCGTCCGCTGCGCAAGACAACGAGATCCATCTCTGGTCGCTCAACAAGGACACGCCTTTGGCCACTCTCAGCGGACATAGCTCACGGGTTTGTCGAACGGAGTTCCATCCATCTGGACGATATTTGGCCAGTGCAAGCTACGACACTACTTGGAGGCTCTGGGATGTCAACACCACTACTGAATTACTGCTTCAGGAAGGTCACAGCAAGGAAGTCTACACCGTCAGCTTCAACGAGGACGGTAGTCTCATCGCGTCTGCCGGTCTGGACTCGATTGGTCGAATCTGGGACATGAGAACAGGTCGGACGGTCATGCTCCTCGAAGGCCACGTTGCGCCAATCCACGCTTTGGATTGGAACAGCGACGGAGTACGAGTCATGACAGGTAGTGCGGATGGCTTCGCGAAATGCTGGGACCTTCGCAACGTCAAAGAATCCGCCAGCATCGGAGCTCACATGGGTGGCGTTTCAGACCTCAGATGGTTCAAAGGCACAGATGGTCCACTCTCTGGCAACACGCCACAAGCTGATACTACGATGACCAATGGCGATGGAGAAGAGCATGAGGACATTCAACCGAAGAAGAGCGGGACCTTCATTGTCTCTAGTGGTTTCGATAAGGCAGTCAACATCTTCTCTGCGGATGACTGGGCGCTGTGCAAGTCTCTCACAGGTCACGACGGAACGGTTCTGGCAGTCGACACGACCTCCGACGCCAAGTGGATCGCTTCGTGTGGCCGTGATCGTACGGTTAAGCTCTGGGCGAGGGACGATATGGAAGGCTTATGAACAAAGTTTTAAAAGAACTGAGTATTGTATTCTGTCGTCTAAATGATGGCTACAGCTTGGGTAACGGCTTATCGAGAACGTAGTGCGGGATCGGAGGAAGGTATTTGTCATGCTGTGCGGTCGCTAGCATAACGCCGTCCTTCTCCCTCTTCATCACACCTCTAATGACCGCCAAACGCTTGCCAATCTGAATCACTTCACTCTCAATCAGGATATCATCACCTTCCACCGGCGGCCTCAAAAACGTAACATCCAACCTCCTCGTCATGCCCGTCGACTCCCATCCCGCAAAATTACACCCGATAATCGTCAAACTCGTCGGCAAATCGAAAAACATTCCAAAAGCGCCACCGTGCGTCGTCTGGGGATGTTTGCCAATAGGTTGATTACTATAGTTCGGCGGCACTTTGAAGTGAAAGACTGCTTTCGCTGGCGTCGTTGGGGTCTGCACTGTTGCCGATCGAACGGTTGTGCTTCGCATGAAGGCGACGTCGTAGTTGGTTTGTGGGACGGAGTCGGCGTGGGAGTCTTGGAACCATTGCATGAGAGTGCGGGCTTGGGAGTCGTTGAGGATGCCCCAGGTTGGTTCTTTTTGTTTCTGGTTGCTCATGGTTGGAGAGATGATGAGGTTGTACGGTTGATGAAATGTATAGGTTTGTCTTGCTATCTTCCGGGTTAAGTGGTCGTTGGTAGATGGAGGCCGGAGACTTGGGAGGAGTTTTGGCTGAGATGAATGTATTTGCAATGAGAGATCACATTTGACCAGAACGAGGTATAGCTCACGCCTGGAGCTGTACTCGTCGAGATCAATGAGAAGTCGACCTGGAACAAGACGTGAGGTGCGGTTTAAAGTTCGAGGTTGCAGCCGAGGTGAAGCGAAGGACTTCTCGAGAGTCGGAGAGTCAGCCTCTCTTGCTTCTTGATTGTAACATCCAACAAGTCAACACCCTCCCGTCTAGGACACAGCGAGGAGCACGAACTGTTGTATTGTCGCAGCAGCTCTCAGCGACGGACGAGAAGATTACGTCTCTCCAATCTGGAAGGCAAAGAATCGCCGGTGCTCTCGGGATTCTCCTCAAATACGCGGTTCAACAAGCCATTCGAGCCGCAACACCTCGATCCACGCAACAAGGTCTTGTTATCACTACATCCAAGCCATCTAGTGCATGGTCTTCTTCTCTATAGGATCGATATCGCATTGGAAAGATGCTGCGGACTTCACAGTGCCAACTGCGGCAAGATGATGATGGCTTCAGTGTACCGAACACATACTTGCATTCGTTCACCTCGACATCGCCATTCAAGCGCCCTGAAAAATTCTTGTCACGACCTCTGCCTCTCGTGTTACCATCGCTTGTTCGATATTTGCGTCATTTGCTAGGCGTTGTGGGTGATGACTGAGGCATCCGGCCATACGGGCAAAGTTCCCCGTATGTGCACCTCACCTAATAGACATACGGGGTCGATCGCCCGGATCATGAAAACAACAACAGATCATGGGGATGTAGTACGGCCTCTACGCCGCAGACAAACGACATCTTCGCCGTATGCACGGTAGGTGAAAAGGAAGCATTTCCCTCCTCTGCCGGTCTCGACAAGACGGATTACGCTCTTTTAAAGCAAAAATGTTCAAATTCAAGAACAAGAAGACGAAGGACGAACAGCCCACGGACGTCGAGGCCCAGACAGCAGACCAGACTTCACCACAGGACAGCGATGATGGATATCCTCAGGGCCTTATTCTGGCACTTATCTTCCTCTCGCTCGTGCTAACGACATTCTTGGTCGCATTGGACGCGACTATCATTGCAACGGCGATTCCAACGATCACGGCACAATTCCAGAGTCTCGACGATGTCTCCTGGTATAACACGGCCTTCCTGTTGACGCAGTGCGCTTTTCAACTTCCCTTCGGACGGTGCTACAGGTATGTTTGGCTCAATGCCGACATCCACCCCCCAGGCGTCCACTGACAAGACGCAGTCTGCTGAGCACCAAGTGGACGTTCCTGTCGACTATCTTGATCTTCGAAGTCGCAAGCATCATCTGCGGAGCTGCCCCCAATTCTATTGCTCTCATCATCGGACGAGCAATAGCTGGTATTGGGAGCGCCGGGATCTTTGGCGGTGCATTCATTATCATCGCTGAGAGCACGCCTCTTTCGAAGCGGCCGCTTTACAATGGTGTGATTGGAGGTACATTTGGTATCGCCTCAGTCGTCGGCCCATTGCTCGGTATGTTGAGTTATCGTATTTTCCTCCCCAAGTGTATGGCTAACCACACGCAGGCGGTGCCTTCACAACGAGCGTCACCTGGCGATGGTGTTTCTACAGTGAGTTGCTCGATAATCATTCACGGATAATTGGTACTGAAATCGTCACAGTCAACCTCCCTCTAGGCGCAATTGCAGCGGTCGTGGTCGTCTTCTGCCTCCCACCCGACAACAAGAAAGATCCCGACCGCTTCAAGGACAACACATGGCTACAGATTGCGGCAAAATTTGATCCCCTCGGCATCGCCATCTTTGTGCCGTCGATAATTTGCTTGTTGCTTGCCCTGACTTGGGGTGGACAACAATACTCCTGGAGCAACTGGCGCGTCATCCTGGTCCTGGTCATCTTCGGCGTCGGGATCATCGTATGGGCCGTACAGCAATGGTTCGCGGGAGACAACGCCATCGTACCTAGGAAGATCATCTCGCAGAGGACCGTGGCCTGCGCTTCGCTGTACACCATGTTCTCCAGCGCGGCTTTTGCTTTGATCGTGTACTACCTTCCTCTGTGGTTAGTCTCCCATCTTCCCCAATGCCCCCGCCACCGAAACAACGACTGACGCTCTCAATCAGGTTCCAAGGCGTCAAAGGCGAGAACGCCCAAACCTCAGGAATCCACCAACTCCCCCTAATCATCACCCTCGTCATCTTCTCCATAGCCGCCGGCGGAATCGTCGTCGCAACAGGCTACTACGTCCCCTGGCTCTACGCCGGCACAATCTGCACCTCCGTTGGCGCCGCCCTCTTCACCCTCCTGACCCCCACCTCCTCCACAGGCACCTGGATCGGCTACGAAATCCTCTTCGCCGCCGGAATCGGCATGTCCCTGGAACAATGCAACATCGCCGTGCAGACCGTGCTCCCCAACTCCCTCATCCCCGCGGGGACCTCCCTCGCCGTCTTCGCGCGCAGTCTCGGCTCCGCCATCACAGTCGGCATCGCCCAGAACGTCTTCATCCAACAGCTCGACTCCGGCCTCATCTCCAGCTTACCGGAACTCGACCCCTCCGTGGTCACCGGCGTCCTGGGTGGCAGCGGGGCGACGGATCTCATCCGCAATGTGCAGAGCGCGACGGGCGGGAACGAGACGATTGTGCAGACGGTGTTGGAGGTGTATAATGATGCCTTGACGGATTCGTTTTATGTGGCGGTGGCGTTGGCTTGTTTGACGCTTTTGCCGGCGTTGGGCGTGGAGTGGAAGAGTACGAAGAAGGAGCAGGAGAGGCGGAAGCAAGCGGAGATGGAGGAGAAGGAGAAGGCGAGGGCTGAGAAGGAGGGAGAGGGTGATTTTGAGCAAGGTGGGCTGGAGAAGGGCGTGGTAGAGGACGGTGTGCCTGCCGGGGATAAAGACCTTGAAGAGCCTAGAACGCCAGATTCCATCAAAGACCGCGATAGCTGAGAGGCCGAGAAGAAGATGCAGACTCCCACCAGCGATCATGCGGATAGAATAGACTGTACCATAGAAAGTGATAATATGCGGAGACCCGTAAAACATCAACGACTGCACGTCTTCATCATAATTTAATCGTATTCGCATCTCTACATATCCATCAACGGCGTCTCAGGAGAAAAAGGTATCATCTCAACAGCAGGCTTCCAAACGCCTCCTCATGATGCTCATTTTCGCTCAAAACGCTCTCACAAAAGCCTTCCCCCATCAAAATCTATTGGGAGTCGGCGCCGACTCGTTCGGCGATCGTCGCTGGTAAAACATCAAATACGCGTTATCGTTGTCCAGCGCTCTGGAAGCACTCAGCTCCTCGGGCTGGAAGTCGGTCGCGGTGGTGTCGTTGAAGTAGCGCCAGCACCCTCTCGCTCGGTCTTTGACGGCTGCGGTGTAGTGGCCGCTTCGTGTCGACTCGCCCATGTGCCTCACGACCGCGTACAGGTCGTACACGTAGGGAGGTGTCAGGGAGACGTCAGTCTTCAATGCCTCAGACCCGTATTGAGCTGCGATCTCTTGTGCTTCCTGTGGCGTCGGCTGGGGAAGTATGAACTCCTCCATGTCAAGACCATTGAGCGGGAAGCGAACAGCGGTGTGCAGCTTTCTTTGATCTCCCGTCCTCGGATGGGTCTTGAAGCGCTTGAGCCCAACGACCAGGAACGGAGGCGCTCTAGTCATGGTGAGCTTCTTCCACGCTCGGCGAGGAGCCTTGCACTTTGGACACGTCCATTGATTGTCCTCGTCCAGCATCTCGTCCTTGAAGTGCTGTCTGAAGCAGTCTTGTAGCTTCGCTTCTCGACAGTCCGGAATCTCAACCTGAAGCAGCGCCCACGCGTCGTATTGTGTGCTTGTGATGCCGCACTTGGGACACCTCAGTCGAGACGAGTGTTGTCCGTAGAAAAGGGAGGTTAAGAACGAGTTCTCGCGATGTGTGTATCTTCCCCATTCAGTCTTGGCGACTTGAATCTTTGGCATACGCTCTCTCTTTTGCTCTTCCGCATCAGTAAGAGCCCGTAAAGGTGTACGTGCCCAGTTCGCGTTGAAGTCCTCATGCAGAACGTCAACAAGCATACTGAAGAACTCTTGCGCATCTTGCTGCTGGCCAGGGTCTCTGAACATGCTGTTGAGCCGACCTACGAAATTGAAGAGCGTAGTGGGCTTGATGCAGCTCACATCTCCTTTCCAGAGTGAACGGATGGTGTTGCTGTAGATGTCAGGTAAGAGCCCTCGGCTTCCTTTCCAGTTGTCTTTCTGCACCAAATTCCTGAACTGATCGTCCAAAAACAAGATCGACAGGGGAGTCGTTGCTGAAAGAGCCTGCAACGTCGCGTTCATGTAGCACGTACTGCCAAAATTGACTAGGCCAGTTCGAGGTATCCGCAAATTGGCTGAGAGGTATTTCTGGGGTATGTAAGGGATCATCTGACTTGACGTCCTTGCCGTTGGAGTGGTCTGCGTGACTGCTCGATCGCTTACGCCCATATAACTCATCCTCGGTGCTGCCGGTGCGGGTCGACTCGGCACAGGAGGATAGACAGAGGCGGAAGGTGCAGCAGGATACTGAGGAATCTTGGCTGGAAGTTGAGGGGGTGGTCGGCTTGGCGTATTGTTGAAGAACTGTGTCTCGAGTGTCCCAGCTTCCGGAAATCGTGCGTTGAAGTCTTCGATGGTAGGATACTTGGGCATGGCATCTTCGCCTTCGCCGTCGGTCCCATCCTCATCACTTGACGGGACAAAAGCGGACGTCTCTGGCACGCTCTCACTTTTGGCACGTTCTCGCCACTTCCGCTCTTCTTCTGCATCAAGGGGATTGTACTCTCTCAGTCGTCGTTTTGGTACTCTCATGGGTCCATCTCGTGGAGGAGCTCGTCGTTGGATGGGCCGGCCTTGCTTGACCCTTGCCTGAGTATTGGACGACAAGAGAGCTTGACTTCCTATGAGGTCGACCCAAGCACTGATGCCACCAACCAAGAGTATTGGTGGCCTTTGAAGAGGTTTGTCCTGATTGAAGTCGTAGAGCGCTTCGTGTAGCTGCTTTAACTTCATCTCTGCGTCTCCGTAGGGTCGTGAAAGGTAGGTATCGGACTGAGTCTGCGAATCGTAATAGACAACTAAATCGAATTTATCCCGGTTGTGGAAGACTTCCTGCTCTTCTTCTGGAGATAGCACCAATTTATCGGCGAGCTCTGCTGCGCTAATGCCCTGCCGCATGATTAAGGGCTCAATGCAAATGATGTTCCTGGTGAAGATATGGCCTTGGTCAAAGTCTTCGCGTGACCGGAAGTCGATCAAGAGAATGTTGTATCGTTCCAGGTAGTCATAAAGTTTCTCTGCACTAATGCGAGTCTCCTTGGGCATGTGAACAGATTTCCGGCGTGGCATTTGCCCAGGCGTGGGAGCAATGGCCCCATTGATGGTTCCAAAGTAATCGCCATTCCCATTTGGTGCAACAGCGGAAGCTGACGAAGGCGGAATCAATGATGATTTGCGGCTACTTGAAGTGGCCAGACTGCGTGCGCTGTGTCGGGGGGCAGTGATGTTGCCCGTGATCTGCATGTTACGAGCAGGACTGTAAGTGGGACTGGGAGCCTTGGGCATGGCAGCCGCCAATTCTGTGTCAAGTGGCAGCTTCGAAGGCCTTGGAGGCCCCGGTAGCGCGCTTTCAGGCATTCCGCGAGGACCTTGCGGTTTGGCGCTGCCAAAAGGTCCTCCATAATCGTTGACGTTTGGCATCGAGAGCTGGGCGCTGCTTGCTGAGGAGGTGGAGCCTCTGGAATCTGGTCGCGTGAGACTGTCCGTCTGTCCAAACCCGCGCAACTTGGCGAATCTGTCGGCGAGGACGTCATTGCCAGACGCCAATGGTGAGCCATTCAAATTGGCGGTGGCTTGTGATATTGCCCTCGCATGCAACTTTTCTGGTTTGGGAGAAGGAGAAGGCTTCACCTTGTGGGCGCCAGACGCGGCCATGACACTTTCAGACTCCGAGCGCGAGTGTCCGCCATTTGTGTATTGTTGTTGCTGAGCTTCGGGCAGAACGCCTGAGCGTCTGTTGTTGTTTATGATGATTTTCTTGATTGCATCGAACTGATCATCCAAAGCGCTTATTCTCCGCTGGAGCAGTTGCAATCGGTGCTGGCCGTGTCCATCGTGTGTGAAGAGCACGAAGTCACGATGCCTGGGCAGAACTTCGATTGTAATCTCACACGCTCGTAGGTACTCAACAAAGGCGAGGTCGGGACGTCGAAAGTCGATTTGAAGCTTTGCCTGGCCCAGTGCTTGCTCAGCACGATCGTATAGTTGGCTGACCGACTGGCTGGTGCTGAAACCAGTCAAGGCCTCTGCTTTGAGATCCTCGATATGTGCAAATTCGCGATCGCCTCCTCCCCCATTTGCAGTTGGCGGTCGCGAGGTGCCGTTGGACGGGGCGGGGGAGGAGGAGTGGTATGGCGGGAGAGGCCCGGCGGCGCTCATGGTGGCGGATGGGGGAGGGGGCGCATGTCGTGGGGGCCGACGACGGAGAGGTTCGAGTTGAGGATCAAGTCAAGGACGACTGCAGCAGAGTCGCAGCGCCCACGTACGCGTCGGTAGTAATCAGCCAGCAGGCAGGCGGTATTCGGTATTGGCAGTCGTTGTGTTGGGCGGCGGTGCGAGACGTCGGTGCGAAGGTGAGTATCGGTGGTGAAGAGGGTCTTGTTCAAGAGGTCTCCACGGCCTTCCTGCAGCGTCTTGTCTGGATCTTCTGAGACACGTGGTGTTGGGGAGGTGAATGAAAGACGGCGGAACAAATGGTGCCTCCAGTCGAATGGCCCCCAGCAATGACGCAGCCGCAATCCAGTCGCCGCGAGCGCCTCACAAGCTTCCGAGATCTGGACCTCTGCATCGCTGACTGCCACCACCACAAATACTCCCCCCTTGGAGATTGATCCTTCTAATACTAATCCTCGCCGCCAGGCTGTCACATTGCTGCTTGCCACGTCGACCCAGCTGCCATAGACGACCGCTGTACTGGAAGACGGCCTACGCCCCCACCCCAACCAGGCACCGGCAGAGACACCACCAGCAGCACCACCACAGACAAGCACCAGCCATGGCTTCGTGGTTTGGCAACGCCGCCAACACCGAGCTCGACGCCCAGATCGAACGCGCGACATCGAGTTCGTTAGAGGATATCGCGCTCAACCTCGAGATCAGCGATGTCATCCGCAGCAAGACAGCGTCGCCCAAAGAGGCCATGCGGAGCCTCAAACGCCGCATAGGCAACAAGAACCCCAACGTCCAACTCGCCGCCTTGAACCTCACCGATACCTGCGTCAAGAACGGCGGCACTCACTTCATCGCCGAGATTGCCAGCAGAGAGTTCATCGAAAACCTCACCAGCATCCTCAAGGCCAGCGGTTACGCCGAGCCCAACAACGACGTCAAGTCAAAGATTCTTGAGCTGATTCAGAACTGGGCATCTGCCGCACAGGGCCGAGATAGTCTTTCATACATCTCTGAGACGTACAGGACGCTCCAGCACGAAGGGTTCCGCTTCCCGCCGAAGGAAGAGGTCGCTAGCAGCATGTTCGACTCCTCCGCCCCTCCTGAGTGGGTGGACAGTGACGTTTGCATGCGATGCAGAGAGAAATTCACATTCACAAATCGGAAGCACCACTGTCGAAATTGTGGAAACGTCTTCTGTGGCACATGCTCGAGCAAGTCGCTGCCGCTACCACATCTCGGAATTATGCAGCCTGTGAGGGTCGATGATGGATGTTACGCGAGACTGACGGAGAAGAGTCGGGGAACACCTGCACCACAGAGTCCAATTGGCAGTAAGAGAACGTTATGGCAAGGATCTAGCGTTGGGCAAGAAAGAATGCAACCACGAGGCGCACGGGTGACAGAGGACAGCTTTGATGCAGACCTGAAGAGAGCGCTTGAGATGAGCCTGGAAGACAGCAAGGGACACTCTGGTGCTGGCTATGTGCCCCAGTCACAACTGCAAACGCCCAAGCCGCAGACCAACGGAGCAAGCAAGAGCCAAGCTAAGCCAGAGGAAGAAGACGATGCGGATCTGAAGGCCGCTATTGCCGCGAGCTTACAAGACATGGAGGAGCAAAAGAAGAGGCACGCAAAGGAGCTGAAAGAGCAATCTTCGCCCTCAACAGCCGCACCAGCTACTCAGTTCAAGCCGAACAATCAGTTTGAACTAACACCCGTAGAGGCTGAGAACATCAACCTGTTCGCTACCCTCGTCGATCGACTACAGCATCAACCACCGGGGACCATTTTGAGGGAGCCACAGATTCAGGAGCTATATGAGAGTATAGGTACACTAAGGCCCAAGCTCGCCAGGACGTACGGCGAGACGATGAGCAAACATGACACTCTTCTGGACCTCCACTCGAAGCTGGCAACTGTTGTGCGATACTACGATCAGATGTTGGAGCAGCGGATGGCGAGTGCGTATACAGCAGGTCGGTATGGCGCGCCCCAAAGGTCGAGCATGTATCCCAGCATACCTTCGACCGTGAATGAAGGCCAAAGTGGGATGGAAAGCTACTACACTGGGAATGCGCCTCAGATGGATGGGTATGCTCCGCCACAGCCTCAGGCCGCATTTTCGGGCTACCCCCAATCTCAAGCACAAGCGCCTTACCCATCCTTCGACAAGCGCGTATCATCTTACGGCGCACCGCCGCCAGAAGCGTCATACTACCAGCAACCACAGCAACAGACCTCCGCGCCTTACCCCCAACAACCACCTCCGGAGCAGGCACCACAGCTGCAACGACAAAGCTCCGCCCAGCACTACTCACAAAACTCCTCACAATACGCCCCGAGCCATACTTCGCAACACTCAAATCCACAAGTCACCTCTCCGCCAGCAGATCCTGCGGCAAGCTTCTACTTTGGCGACCAACAACAGCAGCAACCATCTGCCCCCCCTGGAACCGGTCACCAGCAGCCGCCAAGCCCGGAAATGTATCATCAACCACCACCTGGCCCCCAACAACAACCCTACCCACAACAACAGCCACCTCCTCAACAATACCAACAACCACCCCCTCAGCAACCGTATCAGCAGCCACAACAACCGCCGTTACAGCGCCAGTCGTCGCAGCAATACTACCAGCACCAAGTACCGCGTCAACAGCAACCACAGCCTCAATCTGCAGGCCAGTGGCCTCAAGCGCCGGCTGCTCATGGAGGCTATGGACAAGAGGCCTTCCCAACCGCGCCACAGCATGCGCCGCAGGTCAAGGAGGAGAGCTTGATCGAGTTGTAGTTAGTAGCACGAAGAGACTCATGTGTGCTTCGGAAGCTTTATACCCAAATTGCAAGAGTCATGATCAGAAGCCACAAATATGACGGAATATGAGTCGATGAACGTAAAGGTAAGTCTTCTCAAACACTCCTTAATCTCTCATAAAAGCCGAATGGTGTACACACACGACAAAAAGACTACTAATTCATTTTCATCAACATCAATCGCATCAAATCGTCCATCCCTAGACAATCCCCTTCTCAAGATCAAAATCAATTATAACGCCCCGTCCTCAACCTCTCCGCCTGCCTAAAAATCCACTCTTGCGCATTAATTCCCTCGCCCCCACCATCCTCCCCATCGACATCCCCCTCCGGCACGCCGTCCCCCTTCAACGCCTTCAACTTACACTCATCATTCGGCCGGACAAAATACACCACGCTATACCGCGGCCACTTGCCCTGCTCGCCCGGCGAGGGCACCACGCGATGGCGTCCGGAGCACAGCACGCCGTTTGTGAATTTCACGGCGGCGTCGCCGAGGTTGACGATGGCGCAGTTGGGTTTGGGCTTCACCCACAGCCAGGAGGAGTCGCTGGAGTCGGAGAAGTCGAGGTTGCCGAGGATGTGGTTGGGGGAGCCGTAGACTTGGAGGCCGCCGAGCCAGTTCATTAGGATCGTAATACTACGAAAGAAACGAGTTCAGTATGAGACGGGAGGGTGAGAAAGGGGAGGGAGGAGACTCACGTCCCAAAATCCGTATGACTCGGCGTCTGAATCTCCGGCATCTCAATACTCTTCCTAGGAGGCCCCCTCGTCATCCGCACATGATCGCCCGCCATCTCCTCCAACCGATGTCTCGAATGAATCTCCTCCGGATCGATGCCCAGCTTCCTCGCCAGAACATCCAGAATCTGCAGGCCGATCGAGTGCGCGGTGGTCGAGTACTTGGCGAAGAGCTGCTTGTTGTCCATCACGGGCTTGGGCCATTTGCGCGTCATGTCCTTGTCGGGGATGATCATTTCGTTTTTGGCGACGTTGAAGAATTCGGCGGTGTCCGGGGTGCGGTTCTTGTCAACTTGGGTTTGGCCGGTCATTTTGTATCTGTATATATAAACATCATCGATCAGTCCTTCATCCCAGATCACACACGCACGTATGTTGACGGAAACCCACCCCCAAAGCTGCTTCCCCGTAGGCCTATACTCCATCTTCTCCTCCAACGGCAACTGGAACACCTTCTCGGCCACCCGACACACATCATCCGCGCCCTCCTTTATCACCCGGCCCTGTTCGGACTCGGGCAGTTCGAGGTAGAAGAAGCCCCAATTCTTGCACGCGTCGAACATGCGGTCTTGCTCGGCGGCGTCATGGTCTTGGATTTTCTTGAGCGAGATGGTTTGCAGGTCGATGGTGGGAAAGTCCGGGCTGGAGGGGAAGGGAGGGTAGAGTTCGGGTGTGAACTCGGTGTAGCTTTCTGCGTGAGGCATTTTATTGGGTGAGAGGTTTAGATGGTGGCTGTGATAAGCGACTTGAGAGTTGAGATGATAATATTAAGAGGCGAATAGAGAGAGAATTCTCAGCTCCTTATGAAGTGAAGTCCCTCATCAGCGGGACTGAGGTAGGGTTTTGGAAGTAGAACGAAAAGGTATTCGTTGCGAGTCGTCCGTCTGTCAGATTGGCATGGAAGGAATGGAAAGTATGGAAGACGGTCCCTTGTCAGACTTGAACAGCCGAGTTCCGTTGTAACTACGAACCTCCCAATGATACTGCGAGGCTGGCTGGCCGCTCATGCTTCTTGATGAATTGCCGATAAGAGGTACTCAAGAAGGATTGTTTCCGCACTCTATACTCGACTTGAACTGTCCCCAATTCCGCGATGACGTTGAGCTGAGAGTGAGGGGTAAGGCTATGGCCTCGCGGGGCGGGGACTGGAGATTTAAAACCGATGATGAGGTCGTTTGGCCCGGGATGGCAGTTTAGAGTCGAGTCTGACATTCTTGCTAAACGATGTTGCGCATTACAGCGTCTCCCAGTCATCTCAAACCCTTTGTGCCGAAGATCTAAGGAAGCAGCTGACGGACATGGACATGGACATCCAAGAACGTGGGGTCGTCGTTCCCAGTCTTCTCCACTGGGGAATCCCAGCCCTGCGCTGTGATGGAACAAGGAACCTCTCGTGATCGTGCTGGGATGTGTGTCGAAGAGCACGATGAGCATCCACAGACACGGACCACGGACCGGTAACCCGTACAGTATATACCTCAAAGGACATCAACGAGTGTCGTCAAGCATCAACCGACACCTTAACAACAAAAACGCCCACATTTCGAGCGTCCCCACGGGCTATAATTTCCTCTTGTGCCGAAAGGGAGCAAGCTATGCCACCTCCGCACTTGCCAAGACGTGGTAGATCGTTCAGTCATGGGAATCGTAGGTTTCTTTAGCCGGCAGAACTTCGATGTTTTGACATGATCTTATTCCAAAGGAGAGTCGGTACGTTGTTCGACCGGATTGTCGTGTATAGCTGTAGAAACACCGAACAACCGAATGCTAGGTCCAGGGAACGTTAAGTAGACGAGTTCCCTTCCTTTTGCCGAGTTTCTTATGTTCAGTCGTTGTCCTGAGCTAAGTGAAAGATGGGAGTCCTTCAATATTGCCTTCTGGGCTCTGCACTGTACGCAGTTTTGAGCAATGGACAACAATGTGCGCCAGCGATCCAAATCGACAAGAAGCCTCAGGTCTTCATCATGTCCGATATCTCGAACGAACCGGACGACACAATGTCCTTCATCAGGCTCCTTGTGCATGCAGACCAGTACAACATTACCGGAATGGTTGCAACAACATCGACTTGGTTGAACAGCTCCGTCGTTCCCGAACAGATCCTCAACACCACGCACGCGTATGGCAAGGTCGTTGACAACCTCAATCGACATTCGGCAGGTTCGTTCCCGACGTCTGAGTACCTCTCCTCGATTGTGAAGGCGGGACATCCAGTCTACGGCACAGCAGCGATTGGAAAGTCACCGCTTTCTTCCGGAGCGACTCGCCTCATCGACGTGGTGGATGGCTTAGGCGACGAAGAAATCCTCTTCACGCAAGCCTGGGGCGGCGTCAACGTCCTCGCAGAGACATTGGCGCATATTCGCGCGACCAGAGCACAAATCGAAATCGACCGATTCGTGAAGAAACTCAGAGTGTACACCATCAGCGACCAGGACAACGCAGGTCTTTGGATCCGGGCAAACTTCCCGACAATTCCGTATGTCGTCTCTCTCCACGGATTCAACCAGTATCAGTTGGCCACTTGGTCGGGCATCAGTGGCGATACTTTCTACGGCGGTGATGGTGGAGGACCCGACCCCTCGCTCGTCTCGCAGGTATGTCGCTTTGGGGCCTCTTCCGTTTCAAAGTCCACTGACGTGTTGTAGGAATACGTCTCCAAGCACTTCCAAATCGGCCCCCTCGGCTCCCACTACCCAGACATCGCATACATCATGGAAGGCGATTCGCCCGCTCTGATGCACACAATGCAGAACGGCCTCAACGGCGGGCCCTTCGACTTCCCCGAATGGGGCGGCTGGGGTGGTCGTTACATCCTGCTCGACCCCTCGCGTCAGACAATGGTGTACTCCGACACGACGGACACCGTCGTCGGCAAAGACAACAACACGTACAAGTCGAACCATGCCACGATCTGGCGGTGGCGACAGGCGTTCCAGGATGAGATGTCGGCGAGGATTCAGTGGACGGTGCAGTCGAATTACTCTGCTGGGAGCCATCCTCCTGTCGTCTCCGTCAATGGATCCTGTGGTAGCGCTCCGTTCATTGTTGATGTGGACCCCGAGCAGGAGATCGTCCTCGACGGCTCCGCGACGTACGATCCAGACAGCAATATTACCGGTCGGAATCCATTGCAGTTCAAATGGTATCAATACCGAGATGTGTCGTCAGCTCAATCGAGTGTCTCTTCCGTTCCTCAGCTCAACTTCACGCTGAGTGACGATGGCCGGGTGGCCACCACGAAGTTGCCATCCGCTGAGCTGGCATGTGCGCCTGTTGAGGCTGCGCAGAATGCAGGGCTGGGAGTCCAGGAGACATGCCAGCAGTATCATGTCATTCTCGAAGTCATCGGGAGTGGCGAACCACCGATTCGACATTACAAGCGAACGATTCTCAAGGTGCGGCCGCCAACTGGGGAATCTGCGGGTGCAAAGAGTAAGAGAGATGAGCTGTAATGCGAGAAAGATCTGTTTCGATCGTGATAAGTTCTGCATCGATTCTCTAATTAGCGCATCGTACTGGCAGAGACAGACACTTAGCCCTCATTATCTTCCATGCTTATCTTGTACATCTTCGTGCCACTCCGCCCGCCACTGGGCGCCAGGGGTCGCTTGCCGTTCGCATTCATGACACTGCTCAGCCCACCATTACCGAGCATGTCTTGCCTTCTCATCAGAGCGTTCTGTTCAGCGTAATTTCCAAAGGCAGCTGCTTCATCTTCAGCTTCGCCCTCAGCATCTGCATTTGAATTGCCCTCCTCGTCATCAGCACCTTCCACGACAGCGCCTGGGTTGGGAGGTGTCTCATAGCTGACGGAGTCGATTTGTCCAATCGTCTCTGTATGCGAAGGCCGTTGACGAGGGATCGGTCCGTTTACGTTCCAGATCGAGCCGTTCATGACCATGTCGTCGCGCAAGCTGTTGGTGCTTTGCTCATTATATATGGCGCTGCTGGGAGTACCAGACGTCTGTTGAGCTGTGCGTGAAGGTCGTGCCGTGGCTCTAATGGTAGAGCGCCACTTCGACAACAGAGCTTCTGCATCGAAGCCCATCTCTGATATGTCGGACTTGAATTGGGAAGGCTTTACCTCTCGCATCACGTTTGGAGGTATTTGAACTGTGTTGGGTGGGTGGAGAAGGTATTCTCTGGGCAACTGGCACCGGGACAGTCGGTCATACTCGGCCTCGAGGTGGCGTACGCGTTGTTGGGAGCGCTCTAGCTCAGTCCGTAGCTGTCGCCTTTGCTCCTGTCCTCGAGTGAATGATCGCAAGATCTCCAAGGTCCAGGCAGAAGAGCGATCTGCTTCCGACATGTTTTGCCAATGCTCCCATGCTCCGGAAAGATGGCTGTGATGCCTGAACGCGACCGAGTCCAGTGCACCTTCCCTCTTCCTCTTGTCATTGAACTTTTCATTAACAAAGCGTGTCATCGCCTCAAACTGCCTCAAACCAGGAGGCCCCAACGTCCAAGACTCTGCGGATGGAAACGGCGTCGGACTGAACAGCGTAGTTGGTGGAGGAAGTATGGCCAGACATAGGCCAGGGAAGGACAGCGAGTAGAAGTCGAAATCTTCGAACAGAGCCTTCGACTCTGTCTTCTTCTGCGCCGCCTCCAGACTCCCAAGAACCTCACGCAGAGCCATCTCTGCTGCTCGTCCCAACTCCGCAGCTTCTTGTAACTTCCACATGCCTTCGCTCTCGTACTCTGGCCGCTGTATCTTGTTGCCGCCAGTATCGCGCCGCATCTCGTTTATGCGCTGTGCTTGTCCTGTCGCTGGTCCATCGTTCCTCGAGGGTGCCCTCGGCGGGAGGTTGTTGATAACTCCCGTGGCTTGCCAGTTGGCATGGTTCAGCAACGTCTGGCCAGAGTCAATCTTGTCTGCATTCACAGGCGAGATGACAGGGCTATCTGCGACGATTGTCGAGTCTGCATGCGCGTGCCGGCCAGCGCTGCCGTGTCCAGGTGTATGGCTGTTATCCCTCGTTCCACCACTACTCTGCCCATCACCAGAATTCTTTATACTGGTTCTAGGCTGCCTTCTTGTGATCCCTCCCCGTATCTTCTCGATTTCCTCCACATCATGAACTCCGTCTGCCGGTTTGGGGTTCTTGGGCTTGATATACAAGTCCAGATGTCGCCCGAGACTCGAGGAAGTGAAGGCCTGTCCACAGAAAGGGCAACTGCGATCCTTCGCCGCCTTGGTGTTATTCTGTGCTGCACTGTTCGAGTTTGGAGTGGACGCGGAAGTGTCCGGATGGTTGTTGGTGTCGTCTTCGCCCATTTTGTACTCGTTTCTCTCGCTCCTTATGGCGTTTTGCGCACCACCGGGGCCGCTTCTCGAATCACTCAATCATGCCACTTGCCGATGCGGGAAGTCCAGATATCTTGCTGATGCTCGCTGAGGGGTGCGCTCGTGGAATTCGTATCTAGCAAGACACCCTGGACTCCTTACCAAGAGATCGCGTCGTCTGCATTAGAAATCGGATTTCGGATGCTGTTCTCGACTCCGCTTGCCGTCCGGCTCTCACACGTCCATCGCGAACTCTAAATTCGGTACATATAAGTTTTCAGAACACAGATGAATCAAAGCGAGAGCAACGTTGAAGGTATGGAGAGTAGAGTGCAAGCGTAACAAGGTATCATTAGGTATATTACTACTCATCAATCAAAGAAATTATGCGTTGGGTATAATCATGAGGACTGTTGGCGTGTTTCCATCTCGTGCATTGCTCCTTCCCGTCTGCTTCATATGCTCATACGATGCTTTTAAGCCTTATCAGCGACAACCACACCTTCCGTCTGTCCAGCGGGACCACCAGTCGTACTCGTTGGGCTGGACAGTGACTCTGTCTTTCCAGTTGCTGGGCTGGAAGGTGTGCTGTCAAGCTTCTCGGTGGTGGTCTGGCCTGCGACACTGGCGATGACCGCGTGCCACTTCTCAGCGTCAGATGGGGTGTGTGCCTTGAAGGCGAACTCCTTGGACCTTGCCATCTTGTTAGCGACCGCGCTACCACTGCTGTCCTTTCCGCGGACGTTGAACTTGACACCGTCGACAGCACCAATGAGGCAGTCTGGAAGGTACAGACTGTTCTCAGGAGTTGGGTCCTTGGCGAAGTCGTCGTCGGTCTTGAACTCGTGCAGGTACTTGGCAGGAGTAACGACATAGAAGCCATTGTCATATTTCTTGAGCAGACCACTCTTGCGTTCCAAAGATCCGGCGATCAATGGCTTGGTTGATCGATGGTCCTGGTTCGCAAATCCCACGCTCTCGACAGTCCTCTTCGGTCCATTGGGATCAATGAGTACCGTAGCGTTTCTCTGCACGAACCCGTTCCACTCGAAGTCTGGTCCAACGCGTTGAGCCGTGCCGAGCATGTCACCGTACATGTTCCTGCGCTGCTCTGCATCGTTGGCAACGACTTGGTTAAACTGGGCGAGCCCATTCTGGAAGCCCTGGATGATGCTCGTCTCGAACTGGGCGAAGTTGTTCTGTACCGCAATCATATCATCGCGGTTGTTGTTCTCCTCAATGATCTGCTTGTTAAGGCGATGGTAGACTTGACGATGCAAGACGTATGGGTCATTCTCGGCCTTGATTGAGCCGCCGTGTGACTCGTGGGCCGCCGTGTGCTGTCCAAGCAACTCGATGTGCTTCTGCGTAGTGTTGCGGGACTTGTCCACCGACTTCGAGCCCTTGCCAGCGCCTTTGTTGAGCTCTTTGGTTTTGTTCTTGATCTCGGTGTGCAGTCGCTCAAAGATGGGAAGGACTGAACCTTTCAGAGTCTTGCCAGTCTCGGTGCTGCTGTTGGCGATACCTTGGGTGTTGGTGCGGATGTTGTCGAAGAGTCCAGCGATACCGCCCAAGTTCTGATCGAAGTGGTGGCCTTCCTTGAGAGGGCTGCTCACGACCTTCAAAACTTTATCGTAGTCCTTTGAGTTGTCCGTAAAGACTTTCTCGGTGGCCTTGATGTAGTCTTCGAGGTACGCACACGCGTGTTTGTACGCTTGCAGACGCTCGTGAAAGAGCTTGGTGACTTCGCTGCTGTCCTCGTCTGGAATCGCATCGTCGGTGGCATTCGTTACCGTGCGGGTAGGGAGATTGGTGGTGGGCGAAGCCATTGTCGTTTGGTCGTGTGAGGTTACAAGATCTTGGAATCGTGTCAGTGATCAAGCATTGGAGGGAGACACCCTGGCAAAGAAGTTGGTGCGAGCTTCAGACCCCTGGCGACAATCCCTGGTATCAAAGCCCGCGAGGGGAAAGCTCACCTGTGATTCAAGCGGTCAAAGCAGGAGCGACGGGAGAATTCTGCTCGAGTGGTGATGGAAGGTAGATGGAGACGGACTTGGTTCTTCGCGGAGACGCCGACGTACAAATACTTCCCTCACAATTTCTTGCTACACCAACTTTTCGTCGGCCCAAAGTTCTTTCAAGCTCCAGATCTGCGTTCTCCTACGTCACTTCGTGAATGTCACTATGTCCCCTATGTCGAGCATTGCACAGCCACAACGAGCCTGGAACGCAATCTCACGACCCCTAGATTGCCCAATGTCTTCTTCTCGTTGGTGAACTTTGGCTTTCCACCTACGTATTCACTTGACGTGTCCATATTCAAGGCTAGGTAGAGCGTGTGCTCTTCGGGTAAGCGGCCATGAACGCACCCACGAACCGGGCAGACAATACATGGGCTTTTTGTCAAACCGTGGCAGCAGTGGGCATGCGTATCAGAGCCGAATCTTTCTCGAATCCTTCGAGAAGCCTGAGTCAATACCCGAAGACTTAAATTGCCGTCCACCAGTGATGTGGCATTTCGATCTCAACAAACTCTGGCGTGGCGCACAAATCGCAATGACCCAGAGAGGAAGGATGTTGTCGAGCTGTGGCTATGCTTTGAATATTTGGTTGCGTGAATCAGTCTCTCGTGCAAGTGTGCAAGCATTCTTTGTCTCGTTGCCGTTCAGAGGTTCTATTCTCTCCTCCGTCCTTGGCAACAGCGTTGATGCGGCAGGCAAGAAGATCTCGACCCGTCATCCCTTGATTCCATGTGACCCCTCCTCCGTATCATAGTCATAGCGACTGGTCGACCATGCGGATGCAATTCAAGTCTGATGGGAAGTCTCGCTGTTGACGATGAGAGCGGCTAGGTAGGCCGGACATCTGGAAGGCTGATGAATCTCGTGTAGTCGGATGACCGCTCCGATATGCTGGCAGCATGAAGCTTCGGATCCAGAAGCCGTTTGTCCCCTAGAGCATAGATCACATATCCGTACCAGGGACGAAAATCAGACGGCTGAAGCGACACGTCGGACGGCGTAGGAAGTCATGCATGTGCTGCCAAGGCCATGTTCCTGCATAAATCGCGTCGAGATATTGCACTGATGTGGCGCTCATCATCGCGTGGCACAACGGTCGCGCAGGTCGTGTCGTTCCATAGCCCGTTGGTGAGGTCATCCCACCATCTTCTTCTTATTCACTGCTGCTACCACGCAGGCGACCAGGAGCCCGTGACGAGGATACAAGCGTGATAAGGCTAAAAGCAATAACGGTCGGTCACGCAGGTCAAGGTGTCGTGCTCATCAAGCTTTGACGCATCCATACAGCTCGTACAGCTCGGAGGGGGTTCGACCAGCACAGCTCCTCGAAAATATCGCTCTTCGCCGCGAACCGTGCAACAAGCAACGACATCCCTCCGCTATCATCACACTGCTTTTGCGCAAGGCCGGGCTGTGGGCGTGGGATGAATCATGAGACTGCCACCTCCGTCGCTGCTTGGGCGCCGCCCTCTCGAACCGATCCTCGCCGACGTCGCAGCAGGCTCTTGTGATGCGTCATCTGCTCTCTCTGCGCTAGGAGCACGAAAGAAGCTTGTCAACCCGAGGAAGCACCAGAGCTTGCAAAATCATGTCGGTACATCTCGCGCCAGCAGTCGCGTATCTCGCGACCTCTTCTTTCTCTCCAGCTCTTCCCCACCGTCACCACTAGCCACCATGTCTATCTCTGGACCCTTAGGATCGTTACCTATCCCCAACTTCATCCACAAGCGCCTATTCTCACAGAGCTCCAGCAACCGCAGCCTCAACATCAACAACATCAACCCTCATGTCAAGGAAGCCAAGTACGCCGTGCGTGGCGAGCTTGCCATCAAGAGCGAGCAATACCGTGCCCAACTAGCCAAGGGCGAGGGCAAAGACCTGCCATTCGATTCCGTCATCAGTGCCAATATTGGTAACCCACAGCAGCTCGACCAGAAGCCCATCACCTTCTTCAGACAGGTTGCGAGCTTGGTAGAGAACCCGCAGCTCCTTGAGAAGGAGGAAGTCCTAAAGAATGGTCTGGGGTACAAGAGCGATGTCATTGAGCGGGCCAAGAAGCTTCTGAAGGATGTCAAGAGCGTTGGTGCATACTCTCAGTCGCAAGGCGCTCCTGGTATTCGTCAGAGCGTTGCCGACTTCATCGAGAGACGAGACGGATACTCCGCAGACCCTCAAAACATCTACCTCTGTGGTGGTGCCAGCGCAGGCGTCAATGCGCTGATGAGTGTGCTCTGCGCATCTCCTCAAACGGGTGTTCTTGTGCCCATTCCACAATACCCTCTCTACACTGCCACTCTGAGCCTGCTGAACGCCCAGATGGTGCCCTACTATCTCAAAGAGGAGAGCCAGTGGAGTACCGATGTTGGGGGCATGAGAACAGCCCTGAAGGAGGCACAGAAGAAGGGCATCGACGTGCGCGCCGTGGTCGTCATCAACCCTGGCAATCCGACTGGTGCATCTCTGGCCGCCGACCACATCTCATCCGTTCTTGAGCTTGCTGCAGAGGAGAAGCTCGTTGTTCTCGCCGATGAGGTATACCAAACTAACGTGTTTGAAGGTAAATTCCAGAGCTTCAAGAAGAGCTTGCGCGAGTTGCAAAGCAGCGAAAAGAACAAGGGTGGCAAGTTCGACTACATCGAGCTTGCAAGTCTGCACAGCATCAGCAAGGGCATGGTTGGAGAATGTGGCCACCGTGGTGGTTACTATGAGATGGTCGGTTTCGATCCAGAAGTAAGCGCAATCCAGAAGAGCTACACGTAAACATATTGCTAATACTGCACCAGGTCGTCGCCCAGATCTACAAGTTCGTCAGCATCATGCTCTGCCCGCCGGTCGTGGGTCAATGTCTTGTCGAGACGATGGTCAACCCTCCTGTCGAAGGCGATCCATCCTACCCGCTCTACCGTGAAGAATACGACACTATCTTCCAGAACCTAAAGCAGCGCGCATTCGCACTGTATAATGCGTTCAAGGAAATGGAAGGTGTCGAGTGCCAGCCACCGCAAGGCAGCATGTATCTATACCCGACGATCAACCTCCCACAAAAGGCGATCGAGGCCGCGAAGAAAGAAGGCAAGAACCCAGACGATTTCTATTGCTTGAGCCTTCTCGATGCGACGGGTATCTGTATTGTTCCTGGTTCAGGATTCGGTCAGAAAGAGGGGACGTTGCATTTCAGAACAACATTCTTGGCACCAGGCACGGATTGGGTATCACGGATCACGGAGTTCCACCGGAAGTTCTTGGATGAGTACCGGTGATGGAAGCACGTGGTTAGGCATATGGGTCGGCGTTGGAGTGGAGTCTCTCAGCTGTGAGCGGAGGGAGCATCTGATGGTTAACGGCGATAAATCACAGGAGTGTTATCGAAGCGAGCATGAAAATTGCGCGCTGTAGGTTGACGAGTAACATGTGCAAATTTGTGAATTCTACAATTTCCAACTTTTTTCGCACGTGCCGTCCAATAAATACTACTCACCTGAAGTAAGCTGTCAAGAGCATTTGACGTCCGAGCTTCCAGCGCCGCCCCACAATCCCTTGAAAGTCAGTTTGGAAGCAGGCCCTCTTTTCTAGCACCTCTCTCGCTGTCCTTCGACACCTCCGCTTGACATCGCTCACACACCTTTTGTGGCTTCGACTCTCGTGTCCGACACCCCGTCGCTCAAATCGCTGCGTCCTCCGCCGCAGCCACCGCGTACACCGCTCCCTGACCACCTGCGAACATTCGAGAAGAGGCCGCATGAGCTCTTGATCCAACACCCTCAACCGCACTCGTCTACCGGAATATCGCATCTGCTACCCCCACCGGACACCTGATACAATGGCAACCGAAGCAACGACCAACGGCATCGGCGCCAATACCGAAGGCCTGTCGGCCGCTGAGAAGCTGCAGCAGCAGCACGAGCTCAAGGAAGCCCAAGAGAAGGCAGCCCACAAGGCCACAGTCGAGGATGTCGAGGATGAAGAAGCTACTCTTCATTCGCCGCCAGCTGCTGCAGGCACCACGTCGCTGCCCATCAGCACCGACCCGTCTCGCGTGGCCACGCCATCTGCCGACCCGGTCCCTGGCAGCAAGGCCGCGGGCAAGCAGCCAGCTAAAGAGCAGCCAGCCGCCTCGAGACCAACTATCGATACTCAGTCTGAGGAGCTCTTCCCAGCCCTTGGCGCTCCCAAGGCTCCCGCTGCTGCTCCTACGTCCATGTGGTCGAAGAAGCCTGCTACGGTCGGAAAGGCGGCCAACGGCGTCAGCAACACCCAAGCTGCGGCTACCAATGCATCTTCCCGCTCGTCTACCCTGGCGTCCGGTATCGTGACCCCCAGCTCTACGGCTCCATCCCAGCGTGGTCCAGTCCCTCAGATGAACCTCCCGGGTCGCTACACCGAGCAGGTGTCGCTGCACCCATCCATGATGACTCCCAGCAACCAGCGCAAGAAGCCTCTCCAGGATATTCTGCGCGACATCAATAAGCGATCCCGAGCCAATGTCGAGATGAAGCCTGGTCCTGGTGATGCCCTCACCTTCCAGGGAACTGGGCCTGTTGACGACGTGCGCATGGCTCTCAAGGAAGTCGCCAACCAACTCTGCTCCAAGCAGAATCTCAAGCTTCCGGTTCCAATTGGCGTTCGTGGCAAGATTGTCGGTAAGCAGGGTGCTACCATTCAGGCGATCTCCAAGAAGACAGGCGCGAAGATCAACATCTCGAAGCAAGAGGCCGCCGAGATCCTCGAGGATGACGACCTCGACGCGACTGTGGACGTGACTATCGAAGGTGACCCATTCGCCGTGCAGATGGCCAAGCAGGACATTGAGAAGATTGTGAATGAGCACACGTCGTCCGCCAACACCCGCCTGAAGCACGTTCCTGCTGAGTACTATCCTTTCCTGGCCGCCCGAAACAATCAGCGTCTTCAGTCTCTCCAGCAGGGCCGTAACCTCCGCATGCAGATCCCACAATATCACACCTGGAACCAACAAGCTCCACCAGAGGCTCCAGGTAACCGCCGACCTGCTGCTTTCGCGCCACAGGCCGGATTGCCAATTCAGCTTGGTGGTGACCGACAGGCTGTGGCTGATGCCAAGGCTGAGATCGATCGCCAGGTGCAGGAACTCCAGCGTCAACTGACTCTCGAGCAAATGCCAGTCGAGCGCGGTCGCCATCAGTTCATTGTCGGAGATCGAGGCACTGAATTGCACGACTTTGTTGAACAAACCGGATGCTCGATCATTCTTCCTCCCGACCATGCCGACTCAGAGATGATCACGATTGTGGGCCCGCCTGACAGGATAGAGCAGGGCATGGATAAGATCATGGATCTGGCTTCTAGCATGGCAATGGCAACTGCGGATGTTGCTCGTGCACACAATTCGGCTCCCCGTGGAGGTCAGGCTCACGCTCAGGACATCCATCGCTACCTTCGCCAACGCCAAGCCATCGAAGAGCTCGAGAAGCAGCACGGCGCCAGCATTGTGCCTGATAGCACTGGTTCCTGGCAGATTTATGCTCGCGATGCCAAGGCGGCTCAAAAAGCTCGCATGGACATTGTCAACATGATTAACGGGCATCCCCCGAGTCGATTTCACCCTCTGGAGGTCGACCCGTTCTTCCACCAGCATCTACGTGAGCAAGCTGCTCGTGAGATCAGAGATCAGCATGGCGTGAGCGTGGTCGTCCCCGACGAAGACGGTTCTCCTGTGCTCCTGGTCTTCGAAGATCGCACGCCTTCGCCCGAGTACCAGTTACCGCGTTCCGCCCCCTCGGCGCAAGACGCTCAGGCCTTCCAGCAGGCACTACGAGATGCAGAGCGCCACATCGCTGAAATCATGAACAGCCACCAGGGCATCGTCTCGAAGGAAGTTGAGGCTCCTGCCAAATTCCATGACAAGATCCGTAGACATGTTGACCGTCACCACCAGTCGTGTGGAGACAGCCGCATTCCAGTCCAAGTCAACTATGGCGGACCTCGACAAGAAGCGCAGAGACGCTCGCAAGCTCCTAACTTGAACTTGCGTGGTCCCCAGGACGACGTGGATGCCCTCGTGCAGAGTCTGCTTGCGTTCATCGAACAAGAAAAGCTGGACGAGCTCGAACGCGGCTTCACCCTGAGCTTTGACTTCCCACAGAAGTTTGCCAACCACCTCATCGGCCGCAAGGGAGAGAACATCAACCGCCTGCGTGAGGAATTCGACGTTGAAATTCAACTCGGTGACGGCAAGTGCGAGATCAAGGGACCAGAGGCCAAAGCGAACGCTTGCAAGAAGCACATTCTCGAGCTCGGCAAGAAGCTTGAAGACGAAGCTACTTACAGCGTGCACATCCCAGCACAGTTCCACAAGGATTTGATCGGCCCCCAGGGCAGTCAGGTCAACCGACTTCAAACTCGTTATGGCGTTCGGGTCAACTTCCCGCGTAACAAGCAAGTCGAGGACGATGCTTCAGTCGCTGATGACCGTCGTAACAACCAGAAGCCAGACGAGGTGATCATCAAAGGTCCAAGCAAGGGCGCAAACGCATGCCGTGACGATCTGCTGGAGCTCCTGCAGTACGTTAAGGATAACTCGCATACTGCTATTGTATCTGTCGCACAGAGCCAGCTGCCTTCCCTGATTGGTGCTGGTGGAAAGGAGATGGACCAGCTGCGCCTTGCCACTGGTGCGCAGATTGATGTGCCAAGCTCCAGGGAAGCGGCCAGTCCAAGTGGTCGCGCCGAGATCAAGATCAAGGGCTCAAAGAAGGCTGTGGACGAGGCCAAGAAGTTGATCGAAGAGAAGGCCAAGGTCTTCGACAACACCGTCGTCAAGACTTTGGACGTCGACCGGAAGCACCATCGCCTCATCATTGGTCCACAAGGTAAGAATCCCATTCATGCTCTGTCACTCTTTGATCACTAGCTAACAATACCCATAGGCACGAACCTACGCAACATGATTACAGCGGCCGGTGGTCCTGAAGACCAGCGTCTCCACAACCGCATGATCCGCTTCCCCAAGACAGACACCGAGGGCAACGCTATCCGTATCGAAGGTCAGAAGGCAGTCGTCGACAGCATCTGCGCTGCAATTGAAGCTCTCGTGGCCGATCAGGAATCTCAAGTCACGGAGTTCGCTGAGGTCAAGCCAGACAAGCACCGCCTCTTGATTGGCCGTGGCGGCGAGACTCGTCGCCAACTGGAGCAGCAGTTCAACGTCTCGATCAACATCCCTCGTCAGACCGAGACTGGACCACAGCGCTCCCAAGTGCGCATCAGTGGCAAGCCTGAGGACGTGGAGAAGGCCAAGGCCCACATCATGGAGGTGACCAAGGACCAGGAAGGCGAGACCGTCTCTGTGCCTCGCCATCTTCACCACATCATTGCTGACAATGGGCAATTCTTCCGTCGCTTGAGGTCTGACCACAAAGTCACTGTCGACCACAGCGGCCAGCGACCACCGCCAAAGCCGTCCACCCCTCAGCCTAGCCGTGCCAGCGGTGGTGCCATGCCACTGATTACCGATGATCCGGGAGCCAGCTCCGGCAGCCATTCATGGGAGACACACGACCTGCACGCTAGCGCAGAGGACGGCGAGATTCCATGGATCCTTTCAGGGTCTTCTCCAGAGGCAGTACAGGCAGCCAAGGCGAAGCTCGAGAAGGGTCTTGAGGACGCTGCTAAGCGGGACACGATTGGTTTCCTCATCCTCCCTGACCCACGCGCTTACAGACACGTCATCGGCCCTGGTGGATCAGAGATCAACCGCATTCGAAAGGAGACTGGCACCAAGATCCAGGTCCCACGCGATCAGAACAAGGGCGAAGCAATTGAGATCACCGGCGCAAAGGGCGGTGTCGAAGAAGCGAGAGACATCATTCTGGAGATTGTCCAGAACAACGCATAGAGCGACGGCGGAGCAGGCTTCAGCAGCCAGACTTGAGAGTGGCATTCAGCCAAATGATACCTTGTGCATTTGGCAAACGGAATCGGAAAAGCGAAATTGCATTTGTAGTGAAGCGTAGCGTAGATTTGTTGTAAGTTAGATACTGATTCGATCAAAAGCAGCTTGTGCATATTCAGATTCAGCGCTGCATTTCATTAATACCAGCCATCTCGAGTCTCATGTAATTCCGCGATTCTAGCCATCGGAGTTCGGCAAAGTTGCCGTCCTTGCGCCTGCGGAAGCAAATTCCGTCGACCTCGACTTTGAGATTTCCAACTTCTCTGCTCAGAACTTCCTGCAACACACGTCGCCGAACATGTCCAAAAGAAAGCGAGGTGACGATGTCGAGGATGACGACGCGACCGCGACCGCGGCCGCCAACTTTCGCCAGCAAAGGAGAATCATGGCGGCCTTCTCAGAAAGCACGAAGCACCTCAGCAGAGCGTTCAAGCTGGCTAAGGGATTGGAACAGCAAAAGATGGGCCGAAGGTTGAAAGCTGCCGCCACGAAGAAGGATCAAAAAGACATGGACAGGATCAACGCAGAGAAAGGAGCTGTAAAGGTGGGTGTGGACAATCGCTGCGTGCGATGCAGATTGAACATGGAGTCTGGGGACTGACAACGGTAAGTAGGCTCTTGAAAACACTGTCTGCGCTCAGCACTACCTGGCGAAATCTCTTTTGAAAATCAAAGCTATTGCAACCAACCCAGACTTGCCTGCGGAGCTCAGCAAACCTGTCGCGTTTCCACATGATGCGGCTTCTTTGAACGTCAATGGCAGGCTTTGCAAGTCGAAGCCTGTGCAGGAGGCTTTTCCAGCTGCGGTTGCGGCTGTCAAGAGGGAGTTTGGGATTCGCGATGATTCAGATGGGCCGGCGAAGAAGAGGAGGATAAGAGCGAAGGACTATGATGCTGCGAGGGCAAAGAGTGAGGAGAGTGAGGAGACGAATGGTGTGGTTAAGGCGCCCAAGAAGGCCAAGCGTGCAGAACCAGACGACTCGGACGCTTTGAGTCAGGCGGACCTTGGCGACAGCGATGAAGAATCAGGGGACGCATTCGAGCAGTATCGAAGTCGACTGGCATCGTCCGATGACGAGGAGGATGGCGACGGGGAGGACGTGGAAGTTTCAGATATTGAAGATCTCGAACGCCAGTCGGAGCAAGAAGGCCTCTCGCGAAAGCTCAAATCCTCGAAGACACCACGGTACGACCCTGCGGCAGATCTGTCGCTGTCCGACGAAGAATCAGAAGACGAGTCAATAGACGAACGGGCGCCAAAGAAAGGTGCCATTGCGAAGTCGAATAAGTCATCATTCATTCCGTCCTTGACTATGGGTGGCTATATTTCTGGCAGTGGCTCTGATCTGGACGATGAGGTCGATGTCGCGCCCAAGAAGAATAGACGAGGTCAACGTGCGCGACAGAAGATCTGGGAGCAAAAGTACAAGTCAAAAGCAAACCACCTCAAAAACCAGGAGAAAAGTGCAGGCTGGGATCCAAAACGAGGCGCTGTCGGAGGTGCGCAGCGCCAGCCACGCTTCGCAAACGGGGCAAACAGTATGCCTCTGGAGAACAAGCGACGGAATGTCGGCGCGAGTGATGCGAAGAAGCCGCCCCGTAAGGACGATAGTGGACCTCTGCATCCCAGCTGGGAGGCAGCGAAACGGGCAAAGGAGAAGAGGGATGCTCCTGTGCCGTTTCAAGGCAAGAAGATCAGTTTCGATTAAGAAAGGACTGAGAGAAGCGCTACATCATACAAGGCTGTGCCAAAATTGGTGGCTGTCGACTTGGTTGCCTACAAGCAGCTCCTTAGCCATCTTCGGGGTCGTTGCGAGCTATGCGAAGAATGTGCGTATCGCGAACCGCTTTTGGACCAGTGAACGTGAACGAGAGCGTCACAGCTGGAATCCATATAGCGCAAAGCCCGAGCTAGCTCGCGTTATAGATCAGAAGGATTGAAGGCTTAGCACCTCTCCGCCGATCTGATTGGTTTTCGACCTCATAAACGGACCACGCCACGGCTGCTACTGCAAGTCGGACCGCTCGCGTGGTCTATGCTCTATGCGATGGCCTAAGTAAAGAATCACAGTTGATACGCAATACGCAGGACAATGGGATATATGAAGGCTCGATCCAATGCGAGTTGGAGGGAGCGTTCAGCACGACTCCAATCCAACGAACAGCCAACAGAAACCCTTCTGCATCGAAACAATCGTTCTTCACATCGATCATATCGACTTGTTGCAACTTCATCATCAACCACACCAGGTGAACAACCCAATATGTCCAACTCAACAAGTACAGATTCCGGTAACTCGGGCTTCCAGAAGTGTACGCTCCATCTATTCTTTTACTCTCTCCACATCAACTAACACTATCCCAACAGACCCCTACGACCCCTCCGAAGCAGCAGCAATCATCTTCACCGTCCTCTTCGCCCTAACAACCTCCCTACATGCCTTTCAACTCATCAGCAAACGAACATGGTTCATGATCCCCTTCTTCATCGGCGGCATCCTCGAGATCGTAGGCTACATCGGCCGTGTCATCGCCGCGACTGAAGCCCCAGGTCCCTACGAAACAGGCCCGTACATTGTACAGACCATCACGCTGCTCGTCGCGCCTGCTTTGTTCGCGGCGTCGATCTACATGCAACTGGGCAGGATCGTGTTGATGCTCAAGGCGGATGACAAGCTGTTCATCCGGAGGACGTGGGTGACGAAGATTTTCGTCGCGGGCGATGTTGCTTCTTTCCTGCTGCAGGCTGCGGGAGGTGGACTATCTGGTAAGTGACGAATACATTCAAGCGGCACTACAGAAGTGATGGACTGACATACGATGTCTCAACAGCCTCCGACGACTCCAACACCTCCAAACTCGGCAAAGACATCATCATCGTCGGCCTCTTCGTCCAAATCGTCTTCTTCGGCCTCTTCGTCGTCGTCGCCGCCCTCTTCAACATCCGCCTCAACAAGAACCCCACCCCCTCCGCCCACACCCTCCCCTGGAAGAAACACATGTACACGCTCTACGCCGTCAGCATCCTCATCTTCGTGCGCTCGATCGTGCGCGTCGTCGAGTTCATCCAGGGGTTCGAGGGGTACATCTACTCGCACGAGGTGTTTTTGTACGTCTTTGATGCGACGATGATGTTTATCGCTATGGGCATTATGAATGTGGTGCATCCTGGCGAGGTTGCGGTTATTGTCAGGGGGCAGCTGCAGGGAGAGAAGGATGTTGAGAGTGGGAGTGAGTTGGTGGAGTCGAGGTGAGATTGGAATGGGGGAAGTTGATGGGTTGGTCTTTGGGAATTGATTGGGTGGTTGGGTTGGGGTTTAGCGATGGTTACGAGTCAATTGGCCTTGTATCATAGAGCCGTATTATTGGCACAAGGATGTTCACAATCAAATGTTCTCATCTGAACATTTGTCTTCAAGCCGAGCTTATCATCGCCTCCCTCATTGAGGAAAGTTATTTTGAATGTCAGCCTCGCCTTGCACAAAACCAGACGGATCTACAAGGCCAATCAACTTTGCAGATGTCGTGATTGTGCCTATTCGCATCTGGGGCTCGCGGTTAAGGTTGATAGGGCTGGCGACCGTCAATCCGGCCTCCTGATGAACCCAACAACGGGGGAAACGGTAGTGTTAGAAGCAGCGTACCTCCTCACCGCCATCAACGATCTGGTGATGGCGAACAGCCACCGACGTAGCCATGCCCATGAATACGCTGCTGATCAACAGCCACAATGCAACATGAACATCCAACAAGGCTGATCGAGCGCAACAGCTACCAAATACACATCTCACCCCTCAAGCCGCCTACGAGATCTGGCTCTACTCACTGATTCTCCATCACAAAGGGCTCGACACCCGACGAGCCCTTGTTCCACATGTTCCTTCAAACATCAATGGCTTGCTTTATCACCGACATTAGACCCGTGTTGGCCTTTCTCACAACACCGACTCCACCTACCTGGTAATGCCGATGCCGAGGGGATGAATGGTAGGTAGGGCCGAGTTATGGGATCCAGTGGGGTGGGTGCGAGGGCAGGGAAGGAGGGCTTCTTCGAAGAACGCCAGCTGATCTTGGGGGCGATGCTTGCTAATGAAGCAAAGACGTGAATGAGGGCTTCGATCTTGGGCTTGGCGAGTAGGCTGAGCCACACTATTCGGGGGACTGTCGTTGGTGCAGCAAGTGTTGCGCTGAGGGCGGTTGTTGCCTTGGCGGAGTTGGAGGGTCATTGTGCCCAGTTGTTGCCAAGATATATAGTAATGTGGCTATTGATAGATTTGCCAGAATGGAGGGCCTGACTAACACGTGAGGATTCTTTCGTGGCCCAGTGTCCTTGATTGCCAATCTGGTCAGTAGGGAGATCGGACTCGGAGAAGGATCAATATGGCCACCACCCTACGTGACCTAATTGTCGAAAGGAACTGGATCCGTAGATGGAGGGCAGGATTCCCCAATGCACTGATGGTGATCACTACTGCCCAATCAGCTTCGCGAGACGAACTGCCGACGATGTCTCCTGTGACGAACCCTACCAGCCACAGCAGAGGATTGGAGGACTGAAAAGCTTAAGTCAAGCTTAATAACGCAACGAGGCATTGAGAAGCCACATGGCTAGCCTCTAGCTTGCTGCTGGAGTGAAGGACGAAGTGCCCTAGCATAACTGTGGGGAGTCGGAAGGAGCTTAAACATGAGCCAACTCTGATCTTCTCCCTACGGGATCTTGGCACTGCAGGCGATGTTTGGAATAGTGCGCCTCTCTTGACAGACTTGCTCTGAACCAGGAAGGGAAGGAGCCGGCCCTAATACACAAGACATGTTATGAGTTTCAAAAGGAGAAGGTCGTAGCGGCCTGCGCTTGCATAGCTTTTGAGCGGATACTGAGAGTCCCGTTGGTGGTATCGTACGGATCCGTTGTTGAGTTGCACCCCCAAAACCCCAAGTTCGATGTTTGCTGGAGTCGCCGGGCAGCAATCTCATTGGGTGCGTCTTGCGGAAGGTTGGCTTCCAAGACACGGCCCGTCGGGCTTGTGATATCTGCGTTGAAGCTGCCACGTTTCTAGCCCTCTTCCCGAGGGATGGCAGGATGCAGTGGTAGTGCAGTAGATCAGACTTTCTCCGAACCTGGTCTTGCTCATTCTTCGTCATTCCTTTCTTGCTTCTTGGAGATTTGCCGCTGAACGAGTCCCGGGGCAGTGCATTGATAGCTGCCTGTCCATCACGCGTGCAGCTCGCTGTGGCATCGGTTGCGCTCGGTAAATTTGTTCTCTCCACAATGCTCCAACTGCTGAGAAATCGCAGCACAATCTGTCCGCCGAAACAGAATGTGGTGCGTCCAGAGTGGCTCGCAAGCAGTCTCCCAGCGACGAGTGCGGTCAAAGTTGAGGTTGTTGATCCTGAATCCTACGCTAGCGAGAGCGCGAAAGGGCATCGGCGTCCGTGCATGACGCTAAGCCCTATGCCAAGCTCGGGGGTCACGACGTGAGTGAAGGACCATACTGCTTTTGCCTCACTACATCCTCAGCTGCACCGCGCGCTCCGTTACTACTCCAAGCTACATGACCTCACCCGCCCGGCCAAGGTCTGCCAAGCAAGCATTGTCATCGACATTAATCAGCCTCCAATTTTACCGTCGCCCCCGAAATGCCCTCTGGGCCCGTCCATGTGCCCTCCATCTACCTCATGCGGGCACCTCTAGCTGCAGACCGACAGCCCTGTACTACTCTTAACTAGGCAGGCGACTGTCCAACGGACGAGGCGCACGTCCCGACTCTAGAGTTCGGCACAATCGATGGTGCCGAACAAGCCTCCCATCCTGGCCATCGTAGCCTTGCTTGGGGTGATGAGCAAGCACGCAGAACGTTAGGCCCCGAATCTCTCTAGCCCTCACGATGTACTTCAGTGGACAGCCCCTTGCAGGTCGCTCCCCGCGGTCGCCGCTTGTTGGAACATTCCTTGGCGGGCTACCAACGTGCAACCTTTGATCCGACGCTTGGTTTATGAAACTCGAGCGGTGCAGTGTGCCAGAAGACGATCATCCTGAACTGCCCCATCGCCCTGGCCTTGGTATGTTAATGCCTAGCCTAGGATATGCGTGCCAACTGCGGCTGAGGATCTTGCCTTCGTGGAACAAGATATATCTCACTTCACTTCGTTCCCAGACCGAAGCCTGGTTTTGATCTTTGTACTACCTATTGTATGACTGTATATTTCGTCGACCAAGATGACACAACTCGGAACGAAGAAGTCGCGAAAAGGATGCACTAACTGCAAGAAGAGGAGAGTAAAGGTATGAATGCGAGTTCTTCACACGACTACAAGATCACTCCTCTGACTTCTTCAACAGTGCAACGAGCAAGCACCTTGTGCCAACTGTTCAAGGCGAGGAGAGCAATGCAGTTTACTTGGAGCACCTGCTGCTGGTGTAAGTCATTCACCTACCAATACCTACACAACAACTCTCTCCTCCCCCAGCAAGGCCATCCCGATTTTCTGCCTCTGGGCACAAGAGCATCATGGCAAAGCCGCTGCTACCCATGCCCAGCATTGCATCACGACCAATCTTCACGACCTCGACACACTGTAACCCTCTTGCATATCGAAGTTCGAAGGAATGCATCAACGCTAGTACTAACACAGCCTCACCTGCAAGACCGAGTTAGGGCCCGAATCGAGCGGCCTGTCCCCAGAAGAATGGATACAGGACCTCGAGCTCATGCACCATTACGACCGCGACACACTGCTCCAACCGCTCGGCATCCGCGAAGACTGCCAACACCTATGGCGCGAAAACATCCCCCGCGAAGCCATCAAGCACTCCTTTCTCATGCACGGCATCCTTGCGTTATCCGCCCTCCACATAGCCCACACACGACCTGAGGAAGCCGACAAGTACCTTCGGTTATGCGACAAACACCAAACCAAAGCCCTGGAGATGTTCCGGACCGTGCTCTGTACAGACATCACCCCTGAAATCAGCACAGCCCTCTTCGCCCTCTCAAGCACCATCTCCATCCTCTCCATGGGCCGCTCCTGCGCAGACGCAATGTCCATGCCGGAACCGCGATACGTCAGCATGGAGCAAGTCGCGGAGCTCTTCCTCCTCACACGTGGCGTGCGCGACCTAATACACACATGCATGGAATGGGTCAGCGCCGGCCCGTTGGGTCCAATGCTCGACGGGCACTACATCCCCGACCAGCACGAAATCCAACTCCCCGTCGCCGTGCAGAAGCAATTCCTCAACCTCCAGTACATGCTCGACGAGTGCTGCGCGATCGAATACCGCCCGGAATGCGAGCGCGCACTGCGGCGGCTCGAGGACGTCTACCGCAGCGTGCTGAGCGCCTCGGCGACAGGGGAAGTCGAAACGGGACAGATCTGGAGGTGGATGTTGCTCGTGCCGTGCGAGTTCGTCACGATGATTCGGGCGTGCTTCCCTCCCGCCCTGATCCTTCTCGCACATTTCGCCGCCGTGTCGCTGACGGTGCGGAAGGCGTGGTATACGAAGGACTGGGGCCATTATGTCTTGACGGGGATTTCGATGGTGTTATATGGGAGTGATATGTATTCCCATTTGGACTGGCCGATGGAGCAGGCGAGGAGTAGTATGGTGGGTTGTCACACATGTAAGAGCTCTTTATCAGGAATCTTTGCTGATGGATGTGGATTTAGATGATCTTGACACAACCCGAGGAGATCGACAGCGTGATGAACGGCAGCCCGCCTACGGTGTCACGATTTCCCTTTGACCAAACGCTGAGTCTGGAGCAGGAGTTCAACGAAGCAGAGCTGGGGTTTGTTGCTTTCTAGATGGATAATGGATGATTCGAGCTGGTCATCTGACAGTGCCCTGTGTTTGAGAGTGGAATGCCTAAGAGAATAATGTAAGCTGACTTGCACTGTCCGGCCACTCGGCTGAGCATGAAGCCGCTGGGAGAGTATGCACAAGATGGGCTATACGATATACGAAACGAGTGCTTGCTGGAAGGCACACGGGCAACACTCCAACAAGGACGAAGATTATAATGCCGATGAATGAAAGTATCTACTTCAAGCCATGCATGGCATACTCGAAGCGAATACCCACCCACCCATATCCCAGCATTGACAAATGTCCATATCACAATGATGTGAGAAAGAAGTATATGTATTTGACGAAACCCGCTTCTCTCTCTCTCTCTATACGTGCTCGCTGCATACATCGACCGCTCTCTCGCCCCAGGATATGTCTCCATCCCAATGTCTCCTCTGTGTCTCTTATTATCCTCTCCAACCACTTCTTCAAATCTCCTACGACTTGTTCTGCTGCTGCTGGAGGTACTGGTATGCGAAGAACGCCGCCGCGGCACCGACGATGATCACCGCGTAGACACCCACGCCCAAGCCGCCGCTGGACTGGGACGACTTCCTGGTGTCGGCGACTTGCTGTGCGGCGGATTTGGGTTGGGGGTCACCCTCCTACCAAAAAAAGCCACATTAGTTACTGAATGTAATCTCGCCGAGCGAGTCGCCAATTGGTGTGGGGGTTTGTTTTTTATTGGCGGTGTTATTGTAGGATGTGTGTTTCTTCTTACCTGTCTCTTGAGGTTCCCAATCAACAAGCCATTGAGGATCTCGCGCGCCTCATCGCTATGGCCGACGTCCTCGAAAGCCTCGGTAGCGTCCTGACCGCCGACGTCGAGGAGCACTTCTTCACCTCCACTAGTCGTAGGCAACAGCAATTAGCAATTGGTCCCATTCAATCACAATCACATGCACAGAAGGAAGTCATCCCTGCCTCGGCTCACCAAGACTACGAATTGTAGTCTTATCGGTGAACGAGATTCGCGAGGGAGGAGCAAGGGAAGAAGACGTACGGATGCTCATCCACGAAGCTGGAGGAGTTGTAGACCTTGTCGTGGATGACGAGGTAGAGGTCCTTCTTGGTGGTGTGTTCGGAGACGTCTGAGTAGGTGAATTCCTTGGTGTCAGACATGTTGGGCGGGTTTGGTCGGTCGGTGGTGGTAATCGTATGACAGTCGTTCGAAGGGGACGGATTCGGGGATGGGTTGTTCGCTTGAGGTGTGAGCACGGATATACTCCTATGCCGGCGTGTGTGTGGTGAGGCAGAGAGAAGAGTAGTGGTATGTGTAGAAGAGCGACGTGGTACACTCCCCAATAGCAACAAGTAACTAGTAGTAAGCGAATTGGCCCAGCGTCAGACTGGATCCAGCGTCCAATTCCCTTCCCCACCACAAGCCAGCATCGGCTGAGCAGCTCGGGCGGGAGATTTCTGGCTCTGCACGCTCCCTCACTTTCACAAGCAGAAAGGAAGTGCGGAACGATGGCCGAGAACGAGCAACACTTCCCGGCCCCGGCGTGTCTCGTTCTCGTGTGCACTGCACTTTTACTTTCCTTACTGCCCGAACCGACTCTATGCTCTCGTTGGAATAATTCCGTTGTTTTTAGTCGTTCTTGCTGCCTGCTGCGAGATCCGGAGGCCAAAGCCAAAGGACAAGCACATGATCGGGGCAGATATACACAACTCGGGTCCCGACCATCGCGGCCGAACAGTCTATACAACAGTCGCGGAATTGCAGCACTCGGCCAAAGCTACCATTGACGGCTTTCTCGAGTTCATATACATTGTACTGCTTCAGAATTTTTCCCCTCAAAGGAAAAAAAGGTGTCACATAGCAACCCGTGTTATCTGTGCTTTTTGAAAGGAACCCCCACAAAAGCCTCACGCATCCTCTCTCGAAGCGGGCTGGGTAGTAGCAGCAATGGGGCGAATCGCATTCTCCACCTGGCAACAACACACAAGAAGCAGATAAGCAAGGACAGAAAAACGGACAAAAACAACATCCTTTTGGAAAAAAGGCCAGTGTCCTCCCTTTAACGCTCCTCGTTTCCGTCATGACTCCGTCCTGTCTATCTGCGCGACGCCCATTTCCCAATCGCTTGATTCATCTGGCGCCGAGCCCCGTTGAACTCCCTTTGAATTGTTTGCTTTGCTTTGTTTCGTTCTTGGTCTGAAATTCGCTGCAGACCATGTCGTGAGAAGATAGATCTCACGTCCGTTGGCGACGTCCTTGCGCCCGATTCGAAATGTTGTCGTTGTACATGCCGAACGCTCAGTCAAGTGATGCCGATGATGCTGTGAAAACAAAAAAGAAAGAAGTCTGGTCCCGAGCGTGTCCTTTATCAATCCGTAAAGTCGTTTCATCAGTCTGCGCCTGCGAAAACATCTAGTTGCCCTTGTTCTTACGCTCCTCGGCACGTGCAAGTCGAGCGGCCTTAACGAGCGGTGCAAGAGTCGCCAAGGGTTCTGCTGTCTGAATGAAGCCATGCTAGAAAGATCGTCAGATTGTGCCAGAAGGGCGTTTCATCTAATTGCACTTACCTTGAGCAGATCGTGTGCCGATGCTCTCTTATCTGGGTCCACCTTCAATGCAAATCCAAGGAAGTCTCTAAACAGAGGCGTCAGGTTGTGCTCCTCTTTGATGGCAGGCGTTCCATTCGTAGCAATCAGGTACAGAGCACGAAGAGGTGACTCTGTGAGATACGGTGGTTCGCCTTCGATCATTTCAATCGCCATGATGCCGAGTGACCAGATGTCGATCTTTCGGCCATACTCCTTCCTCGTCACGACTTCAGGGGCCATCCAGTACGGCGTACCGACCATTGTCGTCCGCTTCATATGCGATTCATTGATTTGTGCGCAGAATCCGAAATCGGTCAGTTTGATGCTGCCTTCCATGGAGAGCAGGATATTGTCTGACTTGATGTCACGGTGGATGACGCCCTTGGAGTGTAGGAATTGCAGGCCGTGAAGCGTCTCCCGGCAAACAGCAGATATCTGACCTTCAGACATCATGTTGAAGGTCACAACGTCTGTCAGACTCCCACCCTCCATGTACTCCATCACCACCCAGAGATCGCCTTTGACCAGGAAACTGTCCATGAAGTTGACAACGTTCTTATGCTTGCTGTCTTTCATGACAAGGATCTCGTTGATGATCAGGTCCTTCTTTGGCTGTTGCTCCAAGTTCATTTGCTTAATGGCCACGCATTTGTTTGTGCCAACCTCGAACGCCGTGTACACGCCACCAGAAGCTCCTTGTCCAATCTTGATGAGGTTTCGATATTTCTTGGTTGGGTCGGAGCTGTTGCAGATGTGCTGCAGTCGGGTCAAGACTTCCGCATTGGTGATTGATTGTCGCGGACGCTGTCTGGGTCGTGGTGCTGGTCCAACCCTTGGGTCTGCCGCAGCAGCGGGGTGAGCGAGTTGTCTTGAATCGATCGGCGAGGGTAATGTTTGCTGTGGCTGCGCCTGTTGTTGATGGTACACGTTGTTGGGATTTCTCTGAGATTGTGACCTTTCGAGTGAAGTCTGCTTCAGTGCTTGCTGCGCATTCTTCATGGCCTGTTCCTGCTGCTGCTGGTACTCCTGAGGTGACGATACGGGTGAGTAGGTTTGATTCGCCGGGCCAGTGTTGGATCGACTTCGATTTTGAGCTGGCTGTGTATTGGACGATATGTCTGTCACCGTGGGAGGCGCGTATCTCACAGCTGGCAGTCCGCTATCGTTTCGAGGCGCCTCGCGTTGAGGACTTGGGATTGGAGGTGCCGGTCGTTGCGGTACCATGTTCTGTGAATGAGACCCTGGAGCTTTCGGTGCTGGTCGCAATGGGAGCATGTTGCCATTCATTGCTGGGCTGACAGGTGTGCTGAGCCCAAGCCCTGGAGCTGAGCCTTTGGGTACGGGAGGCGGCGCTCGTGGGTTTTCAAAGCTTTCGCCTTCATTCTTGGGAAATCGAGGACTTGCTGGAGGGCTCATCATCTGGCCATACCCTCCCGAGCTGAGTGCGCTTTGCTGGTAGCCATGTGGTGTCAACTGTGACGGGCTTTCGTGCGGTTTCGCGTTATCGAACTTGTGGTATGTCCAATCATCGCTTCCATTGTCGTTGTTCTCGTTGAAGAATGTGACCACATCGATGATGGCCTGTGGGTTCTTCTTCTGCTCCTGTTCGGTGATGCCATTCGCTTGAAGCGTGCGCTGCCATTCCCTGGGTAAACCCTGTTATCTGCCGTCAGCAAACACTCCAACACGAGCCACATCTTGGCAGTCACAAGCACGACCGCTCTCTCAATGTATACTATATAGAATGCACCTACCGTGAATTCCCCAGTCTCTTGATCGTATCCAACGTGCGTCACATGCACTGGGTTCTCCGGCGCAGATATCGTAGGCTTTCGCGGCGTGCCCACGAGGTTGGAGAAGATGCTCGAGAACCCGCTCTTCTTCTTAAGAAACTTGCCCTCCTTGCCCGACTCATCGCTGTATCTCTGCCGTGGGCTGCGCATGCCGCTGGGCTCGCCCCGCGACGCCGTCAGATCGTCCATCCGTCGTCCTGTCGCCGCCAACGACTGCGAGAGTCGTACGGCGGGATTGGCGATTGCGGGGCTGTGCGTGTGCGACGGTGGTCGCGAAAGGACAGGCTGTGGTGGTTCAGATGGCTGCTGCGGGATGTGCGGCGACGGCTGCTGGCTGTACGGTTGCTGATCGGTGGTGTAGTCAGCTTCGTAGGCGACGGCGTTCAAGTGATTGTTCAGGACGTCGGCGTCAAAGCGCTGGCCGAGCAGGTCGGAAGAGGTCTTCTGCGTGACGGACAGGCGCGGAAAGTGCTCGTGAAGGACGGCGGGCGCGTGATAGAGGGTTTGGTGGTGGTTGTGAAGGACTGCGGCGGCGGAGGCAGGGTCTGGCCCAGAGGAGCCGATGGAGTTGGGATTGGAGCTTGGACTGGGCTGCGCGTGGGAATGGTGGGCGGGCTGCGGAGAGCGCGACGACGACGAATGGCGGCCGGGCGCGGAGGGAGCGCGCTGCAGCGTGCGCGGTTTGGCGGCGGCGTCGTCGCTGGCGGAGGACGGGGTGGTGGTGGCCGCGAGTGCAGCGGTCGTGTGGGTGGTGGCAGAGGGGTCGTGGACAGGCGGCGCGACGGCAGTTGGCGAGGGTTTCTGGTGGTGTTTCTTCCGAAGCTTCCTCTGGCCTTCGCCATGCATGTTTTCAGACCAACGTCACGGCTGTTCGGCCGACGCAGGCTTCGCTAACCATGGATCGATTCGCAGCGCTTTCTTCTCGAATAAAGTGCCCGGGGCGTCACGAGCTGAAGAGGCGGACGAGGCCAGGGGAGCAGGTCGCAGCAGCAGGGCACAACAAGGAACTGGCGAGCAAACGCTGATGACACGGGCGGGTAGCTGTGCGAGGAGCTGCTGAGAGCTGCGAGCAGACAGACGCGCCCGCTCAGGTCTGGGCGATAGCAACAATAATACGATATCTAGCAGCAATACGTGATGATGGCGCAGAGACCTCGTCGTCAGTGCTGGCTCGCACAGATACCGTGTACAAAACTTGGAACACACCAGCTAACCACAGATCCAGCCGCTCCACCTCACATACTGGGAGCTCGCGCCAGCAATGTCATTCGTCACTTGCCAACCGACCACGCACGGCATGGTATAGTGTATATTGCATTATAACCTGCTGCTGCTGCTAAACCAGAACCTGCGTGCTGCACATCGACGCCCAACGCTTTGCGCAGCGCCGACAACCACTGCTGCGGTGCCCAGCGTCGACCTTTGCGGCATTTCATCTGTCAGAAGAAGCCACTTCGTCCTCCACGCAGCCGAGCGTCACCAGCCCGAGCCTCTGTTGCACCAGAGCAATTTGGCAGTCGTGCACAAAGGCACTGGCAATCGAGCAGGGGACCCCCCTTGTTCGGTGCCAGCGCTTTTCCGTCTGCGTCCGCCGCCAGCGTGGACAAACGCTGCAGCACTGCGATCGCAACGTGTGGGCGATATGCGTCCTCCAATCCACCGCAGACGAACACCTCAGGACGTTCCTGATAACTCTCCCATTCGAGCCCAATGTGTTGTGCGAGACCAAGCAAAAGCGCCCGCCTCGCGGCTTCGGACTGCCGTCCCACGGAACTGTCTCCAACCACACCTTGCCTACCTGTCGCAACGGCGTTGTTCCTTGCAATCACTGTCTTCCCGGTGAGACTCCACCTTTCTGCTCTCGACTCATGCTGGTGGTAGCAGTCGCCATCCGCTTTGGTGACACGCCGCCCACGTCGTCCAGCTGACGAGCCGAAGGGGGATGGGAGATTCCCCAGCGCTGGGAGCCGCCCGTGTTTCAATTGTTCCTTCCTGGCATTGCGCGCAGTCGTTATCGATCGAAAAGCCCACCCCACGTTGTTTCTTTTGTTGCCCTGTGTGACCTTACGAGAGAGCCTCCTCACTTCGCCACGCTGCAGACCAGCCTTGCCTATCGAGAACGACAACCTTGAACAAGTAAGGTTATTCGGACCGCCTGGGCTTTTTGACTTGCCGTGGAATATTCTCCTGCGGCTCACGGTCCGAAGAGAGGAAGGAGGTTTGAAGAGGCAGCCCGATCTTGGGCGTCAACAAGGTCGGTCAGATCCGATGTGGTCCTTGTCTAACATCCAGTATCTTTTGTGGCTGTTCTTCGAGAATGTCACAAAGATGCAACCTGCTGAAAGGGTCGATTCTTCCACGGCATCGAAATGAAGCGGTTGATTAACATCTGCCACCTTCCGTTATACGATTCACAAACGAAGACATGACACGTTGTAGAGCAAATATGACCTGTCAAAGCCGAAGTGAAGTCGAATCAAAGTTTTGATCAGAGAACGTACCTACCTGACAAGAACGATCGCACTTTCCATTTCGCGATTAAACCGCGCTTCCAGAACAAAACCAAACACCGTAGATCCCGTCCCATCGTGACGATCACTCCATAAATCATCTGATCGTCGCCGAACCTGCATATCCCAAAGAGCCATAGCACTCTTCACAAAAAGCCCATTCTTCATCAACTCCAGACACACTACTTACCGGGTACAACAGACAAGCCACCTCCACGAGCGCCAACAGCGCCGATCACCACATGCCAACCGTACGCAGACATCGAGGCCAATCGCCTACCTGAGCCCTTTCTTCTCGAGAGACGGGACACAAAAGGCACCCCATCTACCACATGTACGCGGCCAGTGACAGAAAGAAGAACAGTGTGACAGTACGACGGTGTTTACCACTCTCTTGGTAATTCGACGAGGTTGCTTTCTCTCTTTCGTAGGCTTTCGATTCTTCATACATACATACAATTTGCTGCTTGGCTCGCTATCCTCATCATCTGTAAAAATCCCCCGGATCAGCTTCATTTCCTCCCGAAGGCACTCTTGGCGGCTGATATTGCTGTTGTTGCGGTTGGTAAGGTTGATATGCCTGGTACGGCGCCGGCTGGCCACCTTGTTGGATGCCGGGACTCGTAGGCACGCCGGGCGGCGCGGCGGTAGGTTGTGGAGGCGGTGGCGCCTGTTGTGATGGGATTCGTTGGCCGTCGGGCTGCGTGGAGTACATGCTTGAGGGAGACTCGAAGCTCTGTGTCCGCTGTCTGCTCGGGAGCCCATCTCGATCGGATCTGGGCTGAGGTGGAGGAGCATGCTGTGGCTGTTGTGGCGCCTGTTGTGGTTGCTGCGCGTAAGCATCGTAGCCTGGGTTTTGTATGGCTGGCGGTTGTTGTTGGAATTGCGCAGATGGGTAGGAGTGCCTGTTGTCGACGGGAGATTCATAGCCTCCAGTCGCGAGCTCTTGAGGGTTGCCACTGTTCAGAGTGTGAATGCTATTCGGTCTGATCTGGCCTTGGAAGGCTTGTCCTGCGACGTAGGGGTCATTGGGTGGATGCGCTGCTCCTGCGTTTGGACTGGGCTTGCGCCGGATGTCACTCTGTGGCGGTGGTCCCGCTTGAATCCCACCAGGGATGAAGTGAAATGGCGCAGGACCGTTAGGAGCAGTGCTGGGAGGCCCGTTCTGCTGAGGGTATGGACTAATAAAGCCAGGTTGCTGAGGTGGTTGCTCTGCTGGAGCCGGCGAGTAGTAACGTTGTGGGTCTTGTTGAGGGGGAAGATGTTGTTGGCTTTGCTGTGCGAAAGGCTGCTGAGGTGGATAGCCTGATGCTGAGGGAGGCCCCTGAGGAGGATATCCTTGCGATGGTTGCGGCCCACCGTATGGAGGCTGCTGATGTTGAGGAGGGTAGCCTTGCTGTCGCTGCCGGATCGGGTATTGCTGCTGATATTGAGGTTGTGACATGGACGATTCGAGCAATGCTTCATAATCTCGCCTGGCCTTGATGAACTTCTCGTTCAGCTGCGTGAAGTCGTCTGTGAATCTTGTCAGTCACGCTGAGCATATAGTCACCCTAAAGTCAAGCTCACCTTTCTTCTGAGAGTACCTTGCAATCAACTCAATCAGCTTCGGCCGTATGCTCAACGTCCGTTGGTAGAGCTCGCTGATCTCCTCTTCTTCACGCGCTCCTCTCCTACCACCTCCCTCTCCACCTGTGCTCAGCAACGCCAATAGCTTCTCCACATTCTTGATCTCCCCAAACACCTCCGCCTCCATCTGCGCATCTCGCTCCAGCTCCTCCTTGGTTGGGTCCTGCAGCTTCTCGACGTAGTTCAGAGGGAAGATTCCAGTCTGTCCCCTCAAGCTTCCCTTCCACCAATCCTTATAGACAGACTCCAACACTGCAATGATATCGTTCTTCCTGAAGGCGAGTTCGCCGGGCTCTGAAGGCGTGAAATCGTACAGCGCTCGGACTCTGCTCACTGTGGCTGCGGTTGTTCCCTGCGGAGCGACTGGCTGCGATTGCTGTACCTGTTGCGCCGCTCCATTATTCTGCTGCTCGGTCGCTGCAGGGCCCTTGTCCTTCACGCTCAATGCCAGAGCCATCTGCAACTCTTCCTCCTCCTTCCTCTTGTCATCGCTGCTAATCTCCTTCTTCACAGGCTTGCTTGGAGGCATAAGCCCCGGCTGCTGCTGTCTCAACTTGAGGTATGCCTGTTCCATGATCCCTAACTCTGGCGATGACCTGAACTCCTCCGTCCATGTGCCCATCCGCTCCAAGATCTTCTGCTTAACCTGTCCATGGGTATTGCGATCGGCCGCCAGCCGCAGCAGCGCATCCGTGAAGGCTTTGGAGGCGAGTTCGCGATGTAGCGGAGGCCCACAGTTCTGCGACAGAGCATTGGCGAGTTCGAGGGTATACAGCTGGACGTTCGCGTTGCGATGGGCCAGGCGTTTGATCAAGGAGGCTGTCGCTTGCTGCGGCCCTGCCGAGTTGGCAGAGACGCGATCGCAGACATCGAGGATGTACTCCCAGTTCTCGCTAGTCAGGTTCTCGTCGGTCGCCTTGACGACTGCGCGGAGTGGTCAGTAGTCTGCATGCTTGAAACCGTTCCTACTGCGGGAGATGCGGCGGAGCTCACCTGCGTCGTCCATGGGGTTTGCTTGGGCTCGGAACATGATGTGCGGTGCGTTGGCAGGACTGAACGGCAGCGAGAGGATATGGTCAAATGAGAAGAGAGAATAGGTTGCCTGGCGCGCATGTGACACTGCCGCCACCACTGATCGTAAGGCCGCGTGCTACTAATGGTGGAAGGCTGCCACCTTCAACCACTTCGCCTCCTCCAAGCTTCCTACGTCAGAGATGTCCCGAAGTTGAACCTTGAATTTGGTAGGCTACCCACCTCACTTCATATGCGCTCCAGCCTTTTGTTCCAGCAGCACCAGCGACTGCATTTACCCTCAACCGTCGACATTGACTTTAGCGGAAGTCTTTTTAGACGTTAGCAGATAACACAAGGTCTCCCAGCATTCCAAGATTCCATGTCCCGCTGAAACGGCCAAACTGCTGCGCCACTCCTCGACGTGTGGCCCTCGCCTGTGGACTACAGGGCATCATGGTATTTGCGAGGCTGAACGTTGAATCATGGCATCTCCTAAGTGGCGTTGCACGCGGTCACAGCCATCGAGCGTTATGGAAGTGCTAAAATCGAACCGTCACAGCCACTTTCGAATGGTCATCAATTCTCATAATCCGTTGTATCATCAGTCAATTGGCACATCAGCCCAAAGTTCGCCAGTCCTCCAGGAACTTCATCCGTACGGCCATCTCCTCCCAGCCGTGCTTCTTCTCCAGCTCCTCTATACCTTGAGCGTTTCCACTCTCCAGCACCGTGTCCTCGTCTTTGGTCCAGACACCAGAAACATCCGCGGGGAAGCCTTTGCCAGCCTTCTGCTCGATCAACACGAGCAGTGCCAGATCCGGTCTCATGGATGTAGATTTGAGTGCCTTGACAACCGCACCTTTTTTGTAACCCCGTAATGCCATTGTTGAGACCCAATCCTTTACTTGTTCGGGCGTGTCAAGAACTTCAGGCGCGGTTGGTTTGCTCTTGCCTTCGTCTCTAGCTGTGGTGTTCCGCGGTTGGACCGTAACATGTTCACCGAGCTCGTCATCTGATGACATTGGCAGAGGAAGTTCCAAGTCAAGCTTCTGTGTCTCGGCGTTGATTATGTCCTGGGTGTCTACAGCGTGACTCCTCCCGCCGTTGGCCATCGGACGAGACCAAGGCTGTTGTGATCCGCGAGAGCTCTCGGTGTACGGACTCGACGACTCGTGCGACGATATCTCTATGACACTGTGAGATTTCCGAATGGCGTCTTGGTCGTCAAGATCGTTGCCGGGTTGGAGGTCTTCGCGGTCTGGTGAATCGAAGCCACCTTCCGGCTCTGGCATGCTCAGATCCAAGTCGTCATAATCGTCGTACTCGCCGTCTTCGATATGTCCGTCTCCTTGTGACCGATCTTGGTCTTCATCGACCTCAACAACATCGTCGTTACGGAAAATCTCCTCAAAGTCTGGCTGACTTCCAGAGCCTCGGCGATCTGATGATGTCGGTCTGTTAATCTGTGACATCAATGCTTCAGCAGGGTCCTCCATGGCGGCGTCATCAACCTCTGAAGCCTCGCGTCCAGGCTGTGAATGCAACGAAGGATACATGCTACGTGGCTGAAAATTCTGCCCAGGCTCGACATCCGGCCTTCTTCGTTGGGATGGAGATGCTGGCCTGAAGCCATTTTCAAAAGCCTCATCAATCTCTTGCGGTGATGACAGAGGAAGAGGTGCACGCGTTTCAGCGTTTCTTGGTGGGTTATGAGCAGGAGCAGGCTCGTCAAGCATATCGCTATCCCCTCCGGCTTGTCCCTGTCCTTGAGCTGAGAGTGCAGAGCGTGCATTGATTAGCAGATCATGTCCCGCATTCTGACCAACGAATTGAGACAGATACTCAGCATAGTTTGTCTGGTCTGCATCGTCGTCGTCTTTCGGAAGATCAGTGCCGCGAGTCAGCGGTGGTTCGTGCTGCGCTTGCTGACTTGCTAGATTCTCTGCTGTCAATGCAAGCTGTGGCTCGCTCGGTGGCAACTGCGTTTCGTCAGATGGCCTCGCTTCTCGTTCATCCTCGATATCGCCGTCTTCATGACGAGCATTGTCATCACTTGCTCTCCAATCTCCAAACTGTGCCGCCGCCGCTCTGTTGGCCTCTGGGGTAGGCACTGTTGCCTCAGAGCGCAGCGTGTGGGAGTTGTGGAAGTGAACACCTTCCGATTGAGAAGTGGGCAATCGATCGACGCCATTCACATCAGCTTCCTGCTGAAGTTGCATATTCGCGGCTGCGTTTAGATCAGATGTGATAATGGGCTCCTTCATAATGTCCTCCGCATTGTCGAGAACATCAATGGCTTTGCTAGCCATATTCTGTATCAATCTTTCCGGGAGTTCTGTGGTTGGCATGTCGCTCATGTGTTCGTTCCGCGCTGGTTCATGTTCCCGTCTCTCGTTAAGCTCTGGCGTCGCTGTCTTCTGCCTCTTGGCTCGGTCTCGTGAATCGAATTGTTGTTCAATTCTCTGCTTTCGCTTCTTGCTGGCATTGTCTGGCTCTTGGTCGATCTCTGAATCCTTCTGGTTGGTTTCCATTCGCTCCTTGTGGTCTTCTCCCTCACCAGCCACGCTCTTCAAATACACCGGACGCACTTTCGACCAGTAGAAGGATGCCCATTCCTCTCCGGTGTGCGGAGTCTCCTCTTCAGCTTTAGCGAATGCCTCCCATGCCTCTTCCCACTGATCGCCTCCAATAAGCTCGATATCGCTCGCCTGCAACATCAGCTTGTCGAAGTCGACGTCGGTGAATGGCCTAGGTTCTTGAGCAGGAGGTGTCTCATTCTGCTCCGCGGCCACAATGGGAGGAGTCGGAGGCGGATTCGCAGAAACGGTAACACCTGGTGGTGGTCTCACGGACAGGTACTTGACATACCGATCTCTCCAAGATTGGTGTGTATGCCGTGGATTGACTGCCTCCAGTGCTTTGTATATCGCGTTGCCCTTCAACGGATCTCCTGCCGCCCTTGCCTGCTCTACCCAGTTCCACAAGAGCTTGTCGTCATCGGGCGTGAAAGGAGTGCGGGTGGTTCTGCCCATCGCAGTAGATCCGACTTCTCGTACAGCATCTGGCGGCCGTATCGCGTGGTCGGACGAGTCATGTAGCCGGCCATCTCTTAAAGCTGCCTCGATCAATGTGTACGAATAGCTCCCCGCAGGCGCATCCTTTCGCATGTGGTCGGCGATGACATAGTCGGCTTGAGATTCGACCTTGACGACTCGTCCGCCGTTCGCTTCGATGTCTCCCACGAAACGAGATCGACTGGGTATGCGCTGGACTAAGAAGAATTTGATGTCGTCAAAGACCTTGCCAACTTTAGGCGTGTGAGCGGTGGAGCCGGTAACGACGACGTGTGCGTTCGCCATATCGCTGGTGTCGATTCGGCGTCATTGAGCGGGACTGCGGTGTCTGTGTCGGAGGCGTTGAGGTCTTGCGGTCTTAGACAAAATGGACGATGTCGCACAGTAGAGCCGACGTGAAGTCGCGAACCTAAGCGCGTCGAAGTTCGGTCCAAATCGGCGCGTCTGATTGGTTGATGCAGATCGCCAATCAACGTGACGCCGCTTCCTCCAACATTCACTTGCATGTTGCTTTCTACTCCCTACTCCCAACTCACCAGTATCGACAGGGACCGTTTGACTGACTCTTGAAAAGTCATAGGTTAAGATACGAGAGATTTGATCGCAATAGGTCAATGTCGATCGATCACATCGAAATGTCAACAACTTCTGGGCTTTGACAAACAACCACAAGTCGCCTTTTCAGCTGTCTGCCTGGCCAACATAAATCCACGTCAACAATGCGAACAACATGGAGATACTCTACAAGGTCACCAGCGGCATTTTGGTCGTCTCCCTCATAACCTTCGTCGCGCTCTTCGGACAACTGCCAGCACTAAGAAAGACTCCCATCGGCTGGCTAAGACGTATCCTCTGCCTGCATGCGCCTAACGTCCTCAAACGAGTCGACAATCATGTCACCGGTGGCCACGTTACGCGGAGAAGCCAAAGACTCGGCCAGTATCTCTTCTACGAGCAGAATCCTGTTGTTCTCGTCCTGTTCCTCATCGTCTTGACAGGCTCGACAACGCTTTTCCTGAGGAACACAGTCCACCGACTTCCCGCAGGATTACTACTTCCCGTTCCGCCGATTGTAGCCATGCCGTACATCTTCACATACCTCTGCGTCACCTCCAGATCCCACTACATCACGCCCATCAACCACAAAACTCGAATGGCCGAATACCCATACGACCACATCCTCTACCGCCCACGCATAGGCTGCCGAACATGCCGCATCGTCAAGCCAGCTCGATCAAAACACTGCAGCCTGTGTGGCGTATGCATCGCGCAGTGTGATCACCATTGTCCCTGGATCAACAACTGCGTCGGACGAGGAAACTACCGCTACTTTCTCGCGCTGTTGCTCACTCTCGGTATTATCCAGATATACGGCGCGTATCTGAGTTGGTACCTGCTGCGATCGCACTTCAAGGTCGACACTTCGATTCCATTCTTCTCGTTCGATCGCCTAGAAGACTTCAGCAACGCATTGCTCATCACCATTAACAAGGGTGGCATATCCGTCGCTGGTGTCGGCCTCTTAGCAGCTACTACAACAGTCCTTCCCCTTGGACTGCTGGCGTACCACTTCTACCTCATCTGGGCCGGCATGACGACGAACGAATCACAGAAATGGTCAGACTGGCGAGAAGACATATGGGACGGCTACGTCTTCAAAGCACAGCGCTCAGAGCTGAACCGACACCACAGCGGACGAAGATACGACGATCCGCGCGGCGACAACCCTGCGTTGGATGGCTTTGTCGATGACGAGGAGGATCAATTCTATGTCGAGTGGCCGATCAATAGTGACCAAGTCCTTGTTAAGACCAACGACGGGAAACCGCCTGCCGGCCAAGAGAGCTTGTGGACGCGAGTGGACAGTATGACTGAAGTCGACAATATCTACGATCTGGGCGGGTGGGAGAACTTCAAGGAGGTTCTGCGAGGCAGATGATGTATTTCATGTACATATGTATCGCTCACAGATGGTATCTTCATGAAAGGTCAGCTCACAACTGGCGCCAGCATGCCTTCCAATCCACTCGCCCCTCGAATCGCCATTGCGACGTGAAGCGGCACTAGTTGCATATCCTCACGTTCTAAACCCTTCGCTTTCGTCAACAACGCCAAGTTGCGATACAGCTTCAACAGCTCCCTCAATGTCAGTTCCGCTTGTCGAATGCTACCTTCGTCCACACCACCAGTGGGCTTGACCTGAATCGTCCAATGCAGACCAATTCCCAGGCTTGGAAGCCCCTCGCTGGGAGTCGCTGAGGAGCTGGTAGGCACTGACTCGGTATCCCCTCGCTTGAAGATAATGCCATTAGCCAGACCAGTATTAGAAGCCAGATGGGTCAGTTTAGGCGACAGCAGGACTCCCCACGTCTCGTCCGTGATGTCCGTCAGATGAGCGTCAGGATCGTTCTCCGCGATAGAAGCAGCCGTCTCACTTGGCGCTGGAGTCAACGGCGCATTCGCAAGGCCGCTGACATCTGGAGAACTCGTGAAGTTGTTGCCTTGCGGCGTGGATGCTGGCGTGAGGAAGGCCGAATCCGGAGCGTCTTTTCCAGTTGCCTGGTCGCTGGCGGCAGCGGGTGGGAAAATCTGAAGCGCAGAGTCGATCTGTGCCGATGACATTGTTACGCACAGAGGTTGTGGCCTCGGCTTCGTGGCGAGAGCTCGCCAGCATTGAGAGGTCGCACGATCGACGGGCTCTGGCGTGAGTATGAAGATGCGCCACATCACTTGCCTCGCAGCCATGATCTCCCGCGTTCGCTCCCACACATCTTCAGCGACGTCGGCGAAGGATCTCCCGCGTAGGCAGAATGTGACAGTAGACTGGTGCTGGCCAGTGCTGTCAATCCAGCCTGCGGTCAGCCACTGCCTATCTCGACTGATAGCATAGGCGACGTGTAGTACAGACCCTTCGTGCAACAGATCGCTCGGAGGCTCTGCAGTGAGTTGAAAGCCAATCCTCTTCGGTGCTGTGCTCGCCAACTCAACCGAGGGAGCGACGAGTATAGGAAGCGGCGAGAGATTTTCGGAGAGCTGTGTCGAGGATGAAGGTGGACATCGATCATATACCTCTCGCGCCAGCATCGCCATTTGCTTCGCGTCTCGCACGACAAGCGAATCCAGGGAAGCGATTGCGTCGATGGGAATCACCTGCAGGACTATGTCTCCAAGGCACTGGTTCCTGCGAGCTTTGGGTAGATTGTCTCTGTAGGCCTTGAAAAGCAACCAGAAACAAGCGCAGAGGTGCTGGAGTGTCGCCCTGTCCTGGAAGGGGTTTATCATGTAGATGACAATGGTCTTGTCACTCTCATCGAAGCTGATCGTCGACAGAGCCTTTCCAAGCTCTGTGGATGCAGCAGCATAGGCTTTCAAAGCCCCTCCCAAAGAGACATCGTCGCCAAGTTCTACGGGTGCCATCCCATCTTCGTAACTATCCAGCTCGTCCTTCTCCGCAGCATTGCGTAGGTAAACATGCGAACCAAGTTTGCAACTTTCAAACGCAGTGCCTATATCGGCGACATATTGTTCAACCAAATGCTGCAGATCTTCATTCGCGGGAAAGAGGGAAAAGGCACGCAGTTTCTTGGGTCCACTTGCAGGGCCGAGACCAAGAGGCTCCCAGAAGGACAAGCTAGCCGGTAGCATCTCCCAATTGTCTACCCCTCGCTGGATCTTCACGTACGGAGCAGTCAGAGGGAAGTAGTCCGGGCCTAGCATCATGCTATCAGAGCGCTGTGGAGGACGCGGCTGCCCTTGAGGCGTTTTGCCAGGGTTCGGTCCAGGTCGCGGCGGTGGCTCTCTCGTCAAAGCGACCTTGCCCAGATCACACACCTCGGAGTCTGGCAACACGCTCATGAGCGCACTTCTCAGACTTGTTTCCGAGCCACCAAGTATAGAGAAAGGACCTGTCGAATGTGGATCGTCGTTGCTGAGATCTTGGGGAGCCGTATGCAGGGTAGTGATTGCAACTTCGCAAACGATTTGTGCGATGCAAACAAGATCGTCTTTTCGAAGGTCGTACACATCCTCGATGTAAGGCATGGGAGTGGCGCCGGAGTTCACAGCGTCATTACGCTCCAAGGGATCGACTCCAACTATGTTCCTGCCATGGACTGGTTTCTTGCGGAGCTGAGTGGTATCGAATGCCTTGCTGGAAGCCAAACATTTCTCAAGTATCTTTGCCACTGTCGCCGGTGAAATGTCATCGTCGGTCCTATGCTCGATAGATTGAGACATGTCAAGCCAAGCGAGTGAACCCGCAGAGTCGTGGTCAATGTAGCGCTTCCGCTTTTTGCTGTCCCATGGTAATTTGGGAGGAAGCTCTGCTTCACTTTCACCGGACTCTGACTCAAACGAGTCTTCCTCGCTGTCACTTTCTTCGTCGGATTCATTGCCCCTCCTTAGCATTCGCGACTTCTTGCGAGTCGATGGAAGGTTGATGTCAGGTTCGGTTGGACGGTTCTCGCCAGGTTTCTCACTGCCAGTAGGAATCGTTGCGTCGGCGTACTTTGTTCCCAAGTGCAGGCCATCTCTAAAAGCAATTGGACTGAAAGTACTCCTTCTGCGGCTACCCTCAACATTGACACTATTCTGTGCTATGCTTGCCGGCACAGGGGGCGGTAGAAGTCGCTCTCTTATGCCGAACGGGCTGAGTGGTTTTTCTGGCTCCAAGACATGCGTCGCAGATGGTTGCTCGTCCTTGGGAGCGTCGTCAATCTTTACTTCCGCATCCAAAGGCTTCGGCAGCCCAGATCCTTCGGCCATTGTAACACCTCCAAGTGGAGGCTCAAAAGTGTCCTTGTCCATGTCCACGGACAGAGGCATTTCAGGCTCTGTAGCCATTGCCTGATCACTACTGTCGTTCGTAGCTGGTACTGGGGCCTCTAACATCTCGATATCTGCCGGAGAGGGCGCAACAGGATCATCATCTGGTTCGTCGAAAAAGCTAAAGTCGGCATCACCAACTTCATGGTCGCCAAACTCCATCTCTCCCACATCTCCAAATAAGTCTTCCTGCCCCATCTGATATGGTTCTGGTTCGGCAGACATACTGAATTCATTGCTCTTGAATTGGGTTTCGTCAATCGTTGGCAGAAGATCACTGCTGGCAGGCGCAACCTCCGCTTGTGTAATGGAGGGAGTGTTTACTGCATTGATATTAGGCATGGGCTGGCTTTGCGTGAGACCATCTGGAGGTGTCGGATATATTCCAGCCATCGCCGCTTGTTGTTCCAGATTGCGTTGATTGAAAAGAGGCGACGTCGCGAGACTCGTGTCATTGACGGATTGAGGTAGAGAGGCGGGGATAGCAGGGCCAGATTCGATCGAGTCGTCTAAGCCGTTGACAGACGAATCGATCTGGCCAACCTGCTGGGCTGCACGTTCCCGAGCAGCAGCGCCCAAGAACCACTCTTCAGCTGTTGCGAGAGGATTTCGGAAGGACGCATCATTGGTCGCTCCAGTGAACCAGGAGCGCCAGTCATGAAAGTTCAGACCAGGCATGGGTATTTTTTGCCCGGATATGAAGCAAAGTCGTGCTGGCCATTCGAAAGCGTCGTTCGGTGGGTCGTCTTGGAATTGTATTGCGTGCCATGGCTCATCATCATCCAGATGAATACCTTCCGTACGGAGTGCATCCTGGACGTGCGAGTACCAGTTTGCACCAGAGACAGTGGTCTTCACATCGCCGTCGTCAGGCACTGTTCTTGCGAGTCTGCCAAAGGGCGCAATAAGTACATCGAGGTTGTTCCTCACACGTGCTAGATCAGCTGGAAACCACTGGGAAGATACAGATTCTGGAACCAAATAGAGGGCACCGGTTGGGGCAAATCTCGCGTGAAGTTTCATGACAGTACTCTCCAGACCGAATGGTTCCTCGTCGTCGCGGCTGCAGTAGATCCAGGTCCATGGTGCCACATGAATACCGGTGCTGTCCTTGGCTAGGCGGAAGGCGATCGCACGCTCGATGGCATCCAGTAACACGTCTTTCACAGGTCTTCTGCCACTGATCTGATTCGCGCCATACTCTTCAATCTTGCCCTCGTCTCCCAAGAATAGGCTATCGTAAGATTTCAAGACTTCTTGCTGTTCCTTTGTCACATCTCCAAAAACCCAAAGATCGCTTTCTTGACGCGAGCACAGGACGTTCTGTTCTCGAAGGGATGCAACGGTCTCTTGTGTATATTGTCGCCATTCTTGGCTGCCGATCTGATCACCCTTCCAGCTGTATAGAAAGAATCGCGTCTGTCCTAAGTTCTCCACCACGTGAACATTCGAGGAGCAGAGTTTAGGGAAATCCATCGTTGTGGGCAATGCTCCTTCGCGGTCAAGGGACGTTTCGATGGTGAAATCGTCGCCGCTGTTTGGTGAATGAGGTGGAGACTGTGCGCATCGATGTTATGTCGGCGTCGACTTTCTGGTAAGGACAGTGGTATGGGTCGAGTTTGGGGTATTCGGATGTGTAAAGTGTCGTCACGCAGCTGTACCTTATCACGCTGCGGTGAGGTGATGTTAACTTTCTTCTGCCTGAACGCCTGGCTCCGGGTCTATCCGGAGCTCCGCCGAAAACGTGGAGAGAGAAAGCTTAAGATCCACCTTTTGATTGCCGAAGTTCTCCAAAATTTGGGCCAGGATTTGCGCTTCGTTCTGCGTTTGTTCTTCGCATACCAGCCAAGACTCGAAAAATGTCAAAATGAAGCTCAACAACAAGGGGACGGTCCCCGTGTACACCATCGCGGGCGCGGAGACTGCCCGACCTCTACCAGAATGGCTGGCTCGGAAACGGAAGCGCAGTCTGAAGAAAGACGCTGAGTATGCGAACCGGGTCGAACTGCTGCAGGACTTCGAATTCGAAGAAGCCAGCTCCTGCGTGCGTGTGAGCGAGGATGGCGAGTGGGTGATGAGCACCGGTAAGTCCAACATATCGAGGGAAAAGCAATATATGACTGATCGCTGACAGTGTGAACAGGCACATACAAACCGCAGATACATACCCACTACCTCCCACACCTATCTCTATCTTACGCTCGCCACACCAACGCCCTAAACCAGAAATTTGTATTATTATCCTCCGATTATAGCAAATCATTACACCTTCAATCAGACCGATTCCTCGAATTCCACACTCCTGGTGGACTCCACTACTCAACTCGAATACCGCGGTATGGACGAGACTTGATTTACAACAGAAGGACTGCAGAAGCACTCGTACCCGCAGTGGGTGTAAACGCAGATGAAAATGGGGAGGTGTTCAGGCTCAATCTGGAAGTTGGGCGGTTCATGAAAGGATACGAGGTTGACGTTGGTGGCGATGACCTGAATTCGTTTGGTGGAGGAGCGCTACAAGGAGGTATCAACGCAGGTGCTGTGAACTGTGCTGCAGTCGCGGATCAGAGTCATGGCCTGCTCGCTTTCGGCACATCTATTGGCACAGTCGAATTTTGGGATTCAAGGTCAAGAAATCGAGTCAGTGTCTTGGGGCCTCCGACGTCGACATCGGAAGCGGATCTGGACATTCGACCGGAAATTACGGCTCTAGCATTTCACCATTCAGGACTGAATCTGGCAACTGGCAACAGCAGAGGCATAGTCAGAACGTATGATCTTCGATCACCAGTTCCGTTACTGGAAAAATCACAGGGCTACGATCAACCGATACGGACACTCTCCTATTTAAACTCACCTCTTGCATCGGGCAAGATTCTCAGCGCGGACAAGAAAGGCATCAAGCTTTGGGAAGCCGAGTCCGGTGACTACTGGACTGGCATCGAACCAGTTGTGGATCTCAACTACGTTGAATGGGTACCCGACAGTGGCATGCTGCTCACAGCAAACGAAGGCCGACAACAACATGCCTTCTTCATTCCGCAACTTGGACCTGCTCCAAAATGGTGTGCATTCTTGGACAACCTAGTCGAAGAAATGGCCGAAGATGAGAACGACCCAAACGCCTTCAAGTCGAACGGTGCATCCGCAGGAGAAGTATACGACAACTACAAGTTCCTCGACATGAAGCAGCTGCGCGAACTCAGCTTGGATCACTTGATAGGGACGACCAATCTGCTGAGGCCCTATATGCACGGATATTTCGTTGCGCAGAAGCTGTATGAACAGGCGCGACTGCTCACGAATCCGGATATCGCCGAGCAGCAAAGGCAGAAGAGCATACAGGAGAAGATCGATAAGGAGCGCGAAAGCAGGATCCGAGGCAGCAAGAAGGTGGCTGTCAAGGTCAACAGGAAGTACGCCGAGAAACTTGCCGCCCAAGAAGAGGCGAACCAGAGAAGAAAAGCACAGAGAGTACTCAAACAAGGCGGCGACGAGCCACAAGCACAGGCGACTGCGACGAAGGACCAAGAAGGTGCCGAAGAGAAACCAGCGGAAAAGAGTTTGCTGGACGATCGATTCAAAGCCGTCTTCGAAAACGAAGACTTCGAAATCGACGAGGAAAGCCGAGAGTTCGCGCTACTCAACCCATCCTCTGTACCAGACGCTGCCGCTCCCAAGAAGAGAGGTCTCACAGCCGTCGAAGAGGAAGACCTGGACGAAGGTCGCAAAGGCAGTTCAGACGAGGACGATGAATCAGAAGACGAGGCGCCGTCACGACCACTCCGGAAACCACACGAGTTCGCCGACTCGAAAGGCCGTATTGGCTCGACATCCTACAAGAAGTCCGGCAAGGAGCGTCAAGAGCGAGGCCCCAAGATGCGTGTATCGTCTTCCACACAAAACGCCCAGCCCCAGCAGCGGAGGGACAGATCGTTTGGTGATCTGGCATCTTCTCTACCAAGCCGGCAAAGAAAGACTGGTGGAGGCGGGTTTGGTGACGACAGACCGTTTGGAGAAAAGGAGATCACGTTTGAGCCCTCGAATTCGCAGAAGAAGAATCGGCGGGCGCAGAGCAATGGAGATGGCGGTGGTGGGGATGACAATGGGAGGAAAGTCTCGAGAGGGAAGGAGAGGAGAAGTGCTTCTGGAAACGTGTTTAGACGGATGTAAAATCAATAGAGCATCTGAAAGAAGCCATGTTCGTCGTCTCGGCGACATCCACCGTCCTTGTAAGATGCTATATCAATGTCCATGTCAATCCACCAACGCCGCGCTAAAACCAGGGTATCATCATCCAAAGCAATAATCATACATGCCCGCCCACGCTATGCAACGCAACGCAACGCAATTACAAGCAGATCAAAAGGGATCTTCCATCTTGACATCTGTCGCCGCGACCTCCGCCCTTGTGGTGCTCAAGCCCTCCGGCTCCTGTAATTTCTCCCTCTCAACAGCCTCGTCGGCGACCATAACGCCCAACCCGCTAAAAGCCTCGCAAAGCGCCCTGCCAGTGAAGCTCGCGATGTCGTAGCCGCCTGCAGAAATGAGTACGTCTCGCTTTGCCTCTTGCAGTCCTTCCCAGACGTAATCGCCTTGCAAAGCAAAGTATCTATGCTCAAACGTCAAGCCGCCGAAAGGATCCACAGGCGCCTCGGGCTCCAGTTTCGCCTTCTTGTTCTTGAGGCCTTTGATCACAAAACTGCTGCTGCCGTTCCTGGCGTCCGCCGCTTGCAATTGTGATTGTCTGTCGGCAGCTTCTTGCTTATTCAGACGTTTCTTCAGCTGCACGGCCGCGCGCTCCTTCTTGACCTCCTCCGGATCTTGTCCATTCTCTAGCCTTCTGAGCATGTCCTTTCTTGTCGCCTCAGCCTCTCTCCTCTCCTCGATCTCCTCTCTCCTCGCCTCCTCCCGCCGCCGACGCGCCTTTTCTCGCTCGGCTTTCTGCTGCTCGGCGTACTGCATCTGCTCCTGCTGGGCCAAGGAGGCGTTCTCCTTGATGGCCTCCCTCCAATCATCTTCATGCTTTTGGAATCGTCTCTCTGTATTTTCAATGTCGATTTTGTGGACAAGGTTGAATGTAATGTCCTCCACCTCGTTCAGATAGTCGTTGTACTCCCGTAAGCTATCAAACTCCTCCTCTCTCCGGTTGAAGACCTTAGCCACCTTCTTCCTGATATCCACCTCTCGCTCCACCTGAATGTCCTCAAAAGTCTGCCTCCTAAACCTGTTCTTCCTCAACGTCTCACTGCACCCCTTGATCGGACACGGCGCAGGCCCATGACTGAATATGCGGTCCACGCAGGACTCGCACATCTTGTGGTAGCATACCGGGTTGACGAGGAATTTGAGGTTGGGGTTCATGTATTTAGTGGATTTGCAGACAGGGCAAACCTCTGTCGCAAGGGGATCAGTATGGGTGCTGCTGTAGGAGAGGGACATGCGATCCATCTGGCGCGTGGGTAGCTCACCATCTTGTGGCGTGAGGAGGGAGTCGGCTGTTGGCCGCACTGGACCACCATCGCGACGGGCGACTGGCGATGATTTGTGCTGAGCCAGACGCGACATGGCGGCGGAGATGGTGTGTTGGTGTTGAGAAGTAGGTAGCTCGTCGGTCGAGGTGCAGTAGTTGTGTGGACGTCGGCTCTGGAGGCGGACGTCGGGCAATGCCGGCGGCTGGCTTCTGCTGGGCTCAAGGGACGAGATCGTCATGCAAGAACTTTTTATCGCTGCCATCTACCAACGACCACCACAGCATACACCCCACGCCGGTCATTTCCACACGCCTCCGCCTTCGCATCGGTTTCGCCTGATCACGAGTGTCGCCAATTCGATAGACCCCGTACAGCAGCAGCAGCACCCGTCGGCGACCTATACACCTCCCCCGTGGCGATAACCCCCCTCTCCGTCCGTCGCATCTCGATTTCGACCTCTACATCGCACCGCTATGGGTGAGCGAGGGCATGGCTTGGATCACTCAAGAGATCCGTGTCCCTGGGTGGCACTTTCAGATTTTGGTGGAGCATTCTGTATGGGAGTACGTCTCTTGAAAGAATAACGCACATACGGGAGACAATGGCACTGACCGGTATCTGCTGTAGGCAATAGGAGGAGCAGTATGGCACGGTGTAAAAGGCTTCAGAAACTCACCGTATGGTGAGCGACGGATAGGAGGTATGCGCACAGCTTCACAAGTTACCATCTTGGCCCAGCTTCAGATCAAAGACTAATGATACCTTCTACAGCCCTCACAGCGATAAAAGCCCGCGCTCCAGTCCTCGGTGGTAACTTCGGTGTCTGGGGCGGCATGTTCAGCACCTTCGACTGCGCCGTAAAAGGCATCCGCAAGAAGGAAGACCCCTGGAACGCCATCATCGCCGGATTCTTCACAGGAGGCGCCCTCGCCGTACGAGGAGGCCCACGAGCGATCCGCAACGGCGCCATCGGCTGCGCCATCCTCCTAGCCGTCATCGAAGGCGTCGGCATCGGTTTCCAGAGAATGATGGCCGAGAACACGCGGTTAGAACTCCCACCTCCGCCTCCCAACTCGACGAGCTCGGCAGGAAGTGAAGGGCGGTTAGCAGCTGCTTGACTACCTCGCCTCACTGTTCGTGCCTTGGAAATGGCGGAGTTGGGGCTCATCTGCGCTTGATTTTGTTGAAAAATGGATCAAAAAAGACAAAAGAAAAGATACAAGCTACAGTCGCTCCCTCAAAACAACCATGATCTGCTCAAGGGGAACTTTGAGCAGTTCACGAACCGGTCATTCCCAAGAATCGGGTGCAAGAGATTTTGATAGAACAACACGGAAACAGGCGAGGCGTTTTATCACCACGGATCGGACTTTTTTTGAAATGTTGCGGATGGGTGATGTGGGTCGGGTTTGATGGGTGGGTGGGTGCATAGCGTTACGAGCGTGCTGCATTCACACGGAGTTCCAAGATACTGGAAACGAGAGAACACTACACTCTACCTCTATTCTATCACAAGCAGGAAAGGGCAATATATCTTTGCCTATCCTCAAGCGATAGACCTGTATTATGGAAAGGGAGCCAGACACACACTTCTCGCGTCGTCGAGGAGCTGGCTGGCGTAATGTACAAATCTTTACACAGCTTACCTCGATAGATTATGATGATGGCGCAGTTTCAACAGTAGTGCGAGGAATGTGCGATTTGGGTATTTCGTTACATCTAAGGGCGCAGAGTTGTCAGGGGTCATTCAATCCCGCACGACTGTTATCAGAATCGAGGCCGCCGGGTCAGAGATCCCTAGCACTCACTGTAGGACCGCTTCTGAAGTGTAAGCAGCACGGAGAACAGGCTGCCGCACTTAATGAACGGTCCACCATTCAGACAAGATCAACGAAAAAGGGGCGATGATTTGCAGCGAAGAGAGTATTTCAATATCTCATTCCAGAAGATATCCGCAACGCTCTATGCAAGGGGCGTCCTGTCGTTGGGGAGGAGTAGTACTCTCTCTTAACTACTCGACGGCTGTATTCTCGCCGCCTTGAATCTGCTGACCTTCTTCACTTTTCCGTCGCGCTCCTCCATCAACTCGCCTATCTCGTCTTCGTCGGCTGGGGCCTTGAAACCACCCTGCTGGCGGATCATCTCGTTTCGACGGCGGTAGTACTCGGCTGCCAGTTCCCTACGCTGCATAATGGGATCGGACTCATCGGCAGAGGGCGCGTCGGTACGCTTTGGCGTTGGACGCTCCACGAGAGTATCGGCCATGATCGGTCCTCCAGAAGCTTCGTCCTCCATGACAACGTCCGAGGAATTCGAGTCATTCGAGATGGGTGCCGTACGAGCTTGCGTGAATCGAGACGTGTTGCGCTCTTGTGCAGTAGGACCTTCGAACGATGCGGTACGCTCTGTGACAACGTCTGCAAGAGGAGCTGTATTCTCGCCTTCCTCATGCTTTGCCGCTTTGAGTGGCGGTGAGCTGGGTTCCGCAACATCGAGAGCGTCCGCAAAGCTGACTCGTTTCTTGCCAGCAGTTTTCTTCTCGCCGTCAGAGCCCACACTTGAAGTGGAGTTGCGCTTCTCGCGGATGACCAGACGGCGGACATCGCCCGTATCGAGGTCGGGATCAAGACCGGTCAGTTCCTGTTCGCTAGGCGTGGGTCCCATATTGCCAATAAGTCTGCGCTCCAGCTCCTGCATCTCCTTGTGGTAGTCGTCGCTTACAACACGCTTCTTGGTGCGACCAAATTCGTCTTCGCTGTCGTCTTCGGATTCTGAGAGGCCGCTAGTGTACGGAGTGTCTTCGTCCTGGTACTCTGAAGAGGCAAAGTCGGAGGCGGACGCAGATTCGTACTCATCCATATCACCTTCATCCAAGTCCATTTGCGCAACGACATGGCCAACCTCGTGCAAGTGGTAGTCCAGCATCTCTCTTCGAATTCGTGCATCTTCTTCCGACTCATGCTCCGGGATGACAATGTGCGCACCGACTACATCGTCATCGTCGTTGAGTTCGTGGACTTTGTCACCTGGTTTGAACGTTCCGCGAAAGTCGTTCTGTATGGCCGTGGTGGAGTTTGCCTGAGCGTCTGGTGGTACTTGTGCTGGCTCTGCTGGTATTTCTTCGACCTGGGTTGAGAATGAAACCGAACGAGTGTCGGCTGGTGGTGCGGCTGGCATGACTGCAATCTTGTCGTTGAACGAGACTGTCTTCTTGCCATCTTCTGATTCCTGTCGAATTGGCTCTGGTGATGGCTTCGTGTCGGCTGTGAATGAGACTGACTTTTTACGGATGGGAGGGCGATTTGGTCCGATATCATTCGCAGTGGAGTTACCGTTGGTTTGTGGTAGGTCGCCTCGTTTATCGAGGTTGACTATGGCCGGCGGCAGGGTGGATGGTGCAGCACCTTCTGAGCCGTCATCATCGGTGTCTTCGATGGCAGACTTGCTGGATGCAGAGTCGCTCAATTCGGTTTGAGAGACACCTGCTTGCCGCAAAGCATCCACAATTTTGGCAGTCGAATCTTCGGGATGGGACAAGCTTGAAGAGATCACGTTGCCATCGTCATCAAGCTCCTCGTGAATCTCAGTGAGGGGCAAGCTACCGCTATTACCACCATCGCGGTTGGACGAGACAGAGATGAAGTCAAGTTCTTCGAGCTTGGCCTCGGCATCCCAAAACTGACGTTGGACAGTCTCGATGTTCTTCTGCACGTACTCCTGACGTCGTGCCACAACGCCAAGGATTGCTTGAGCCCCCCGAGGCGATGGCGTGTCGAGGCCAGCGATGTCGCGAATTTCCTTTTCGTTGACGATGTCGCCGTTGTAAGTCTTGCTGAGGGTCTCCAGGTCTAGGTCGTCCGAGTGGGTCTCAATCTCTTCTTTGAAGCCTTCCAGTTCGGCCTCGGAGGTTTGCCAGTATTTAAGTGAAGTTCTCAGAATCTGCAGCTGCTGTTCGAGTGCCTGGCGCTGCTGTTCGAGCCTGAGTAGGTCCATGGTTGGTGGAGAGAGAGATGGGTAAGTGTGAGGAGGAGGCGAGGTAAATAAAGTCGAAGAAGAGGATGATGTTGTTGTTGCAGGGTAAAGGCAAGGCAAGCACGCTAGCAAACGGGCCGTGCAGGATTTAGGTTTGAGCCTCTCGCTCACGTGCCAGGCTTGGCGGTGGACCTGGTGTGAGTGGTGAAACGTGGACGAGTGACGGAGTGCAAGGGATGCAAGCAAAATTCTTGCTCAAGCAACCTGCCTTAGTGTAGTTGATTGCAGGAAACTACAAATGCTAAAACGCTCCAACCACCACGAAGCTGCTGCGAGCTACGTGCAAATTCATTCACTACTTCAGCGCCAGTCAAGCCTATTGGCGACACGAATCCGTCACTATCGTGAGAAGAAATCCCACAACCACGCTTTGCCGGTCCTCCCCCAATGCCGAAGAACGACTACTGCAGCAGCGGGTCGCGGAAATGCTTCTGGTTGTTGGCCTTCTTGTTCAGGTTCCACTCGTACCTCGCCTGCGCTCTCTGTTGCTTCTTGATGTCGCGCTTCTCCACTGCTCTCACCTCTCGCTTCTTTGCATCGCTCACACCGACCATGCCAAGACCACCGTTGGCACGACTGACCAGTTGTCGGCCACGTGGTGCTCCGTCCTGGTCGGCTTCCTCAGTCTCTTCGTCATCTGCATCAGAATCGTGCCGCTCGTCTTCGATCATTCGCTGCTGGGCACGTTCCTCGGCTGATGGGTAGTTGCGCAGATTCTGTCGGAAGTACTTGTTCAGGCTACGGTGTCCTGCAGTGCGGCCTGATGGAAGGTGCAATTCGTAGTCGTCGTAGTACACTGCATGCGAGCCCTGATGAGCGTGAGAGTGGAAGCCGTCGCTGTTCTTGTGTGGTCTGCGATCCGTATGCGAATGGTGACGGTGCAGCCCAAGCTTCTCGTACTTGGGAGGATGGTCGATGGGCACTGATGTGATCTCGTCTGTTGGCACTGACGACACCGTGCTGTCACTCTCCCAGCCCTCATCGTCTTCCTCCATCTCCACGTCCTCGCCGTCCTCGTTCTCCATGGTCGTCTTCACCGCACGCTTCACACCTAAGCTGACACCACCTGCTGCTTCATCCTCCTCGCCTTCCGTGTCTTCGTCCGAATACGTTGATCGGAAGTCGTAGAACTCGCCCACCTCCATTTGCTCATCCTCTGTGCTGTACGCGATCATGCAATGGCCCCTATCCCGCATATGCGTTTGGACACCAGTGGCCGTGTGGACGGACTTGTGGCAGAAGATGCACTGGTGCAAGACCGAGATCGTCTCGCTGAGATAATTGATGAGACCAGTCAGGTCGACAAGGAAGTCCTTTTCGGGGATGAAGAAGCTGTGCTGTCGCGACATGTGGTGTACGTTTAGGGCCATGGTGGGTGAAATGTAGTTACAGAAGAGACACTGGTCGAGATTAGCTTTGTGCTCGTAGTCTCCATCTTCTTGGTCCTTCTCGGCGGCATGACCATTCGAGTGGGTGGAGCTTGCAGCTGGTGCTGCCGATTCCTCGATACCAGCATTTTCCATGTCTTCTACCAAGTCGTCGAGTTCCTCCTCCGTGATGTTTTCACCGTTGATCGTACTCGCAGCTGTACTTGCGGTGTCCAAAGTTTCGCCAAGAGTGAATGTTGAATCTGCCAGGCTGTCCGTCTCCGCACCATCTCTTCGAGCTGACAATCTTGCGGCCAGCGTCTTGTGCTTCTGACTTCCCAAGTGATTCAAATATGCCCCTTCGCTATAGTACGTCTTGTCGCAGGCCTCGCATCGCCTCTCGAAACTCGCTCTTGCGGCTGTGGCTGCAGCAGACGCCTTGTTTGCCAGTACCTTTTCGGCGAAGATTTCTGATGTGAGGGGCGGGAGAGATGCGACACGGCGCTTCAGGTTATAGCGGTGCCAGTCCGATTGCATGTGGGTTCTCTGGAGGTCACTCGATCGGAAGGCGACCTGGCAAGTGTTGCAGGTAAACGGATGGGCAGAGCCATTTTGCGTGGCGGGCGGTTGTTGGCTGTGTGCGAGAGTGGCCATGATTTCGGACTCTTCGACTACGCCAAATCAGTGTCAATGTGGGTGTTTATGATATTGTGTTCATCCAGCGGTGGCGAAGGCTTTTCGGCGTGGGCAATACTTCGGCGTCGCAGATAGGACAAGAAAGTGTGAGAGAGGGACAGAAGAGGTTTCTCAGCAAGTGCGATGACGCCAGACGCAGGGACCACTCGCTTGCTTCCGAGCGCTCGTGGCTGGCTTCCCAAAATATCTCCTTCGTCCACTCACAACTTACGCCCTCTTGCACTCCAAGCGCGATGAAGATTTCGTGATCGCCGTGACCTTCCATCAGCTGGCAACATGCAAGGCTTCAACCAGGGGCGGTATGTCCCTCCAGAACTCGAGGGAACTACGACTGGCAACAAGCTTCACAATCGAAGAACACCCGGCACCTTGCGTAAGGATGGCACCCAGACTGTGCGTTTCGAGATGCCGTTCGCGGTGTGGTGTCACACGTGTAAACCACATGCCATCATAGGACAGGGTGTTCGCTTCAACTCGGAGAAGAAGAAAGTGGGCTACTACTACTCGACCCCAATATGGAGCTTCCGCATGAAACATACGGCTTGCAGCGGTACGATCGAGATCAGGACTGACCCTAAGAACACTGCATACGTGGTGACAGAAGGTGGCAAAGCTCGGGACTACGGCGAAGCGGAAGATCGGGTCAGAGAAGGCGAGAATGGGGTGCCTATCTTGACAGCTGAAGAGCGAGAACGAAGGCGAGACGACGCGTTTGCGCAGTTGGAGGGAAAGGCTGAGGAGAAGGCCCAGGTCAAGGACAACACGAAGCGCATCCAGGAGCTTTACAGTGCCCGAGAGCGCGACTGGGACGATCCGTGGATGGCCAACAAACGCGCGCGAGATTCTTTTCGAGTCGAGAGAAAGGCACTCAAACGCGAAGAAGATGCCGATGAGGCTATAAAGGATCGCATAGGCACCGATATTGATCTGCTACCGGCTACAGCAGAGGACAGTGCTCGGGCCAAGCTGGTCACCTTTGGAGAAGAGGAAACGACGCAGCATAGAGACGAGGCAGGTTCCAGGCCCTTATTTCGAACGCCTCTCACTCGAGTGTCCAAGTCGAAGCCGTCAAAACAAGCCAAAGACAGTCGGAAGGACGCCCTACGTCGACAATTGTTGTCGAACACCCGAGCTACTCTCAATCCATTTGGATAGTGAGGAGAGACGTATTTTCTTTAGCGCGGCGTTCTGGACTTTACCATGGATCAAAGATACCCCCTGAGCATTGCTTGATATATTAGATGGTTTGAAATTGCAAGAGCCTATTTTGCGCCAGGCAAACTTCATCTTTGTGGACTGTTCAACGTTCTTCTGACGGACGAGGGTGAGAATATCGGGCTATGCTTTCTTTTGAACAAGACCAGACAAGCGTTGCAAATGATCGAGGCTCTTGTCTTCGTGTTGTGGCTGGTGGAAGGTTTGGGACCAATATATGCCCCAGACAACCAGACAAGCCTCCAAAGCATCGGAGAGTCACATGAAGACAAGAAAGCTTCCCTCCATCCTTCCGGTAAGTTGCCGTGAAAGCATTTGGTGGCCAATGGCAGCTCTCGGCCAGCGACTCCGCTCATCTTCGCACAACGGAGGATGAGGTATTATTCCCATTCAGCCGACATCACCCGAGCATGTTTCGACGGCACAGCTGTTGGTAGTTAGAACAAGTGCCCCTGAGCATTGTTGGTGCTAGCAAATAGTGAAGGGCTGTTGTTGTGAGAGGTAGCCTCGGCAGAAACGTCAGAGTGCACAACGTGGGGAGAGCAAGGGCTAGGTTGTGCTCGAGGTCTCGTGAGTGTGAGAGTCACACACTGACCTTGACCTTGATGTTATTCACTCTCTTCGACTCACTACCATTGGCCCTCTTCTCTACCCTTCTTTCTTCTCTGCCTGATTGACGCACCTATATCCTTATTCTATACGTTGTCGTCCCTCATCACAGGCCAGGCCACGGGGCCTGCTACAACTGCCCGCCATGTCGTGGAAGAAGTCGGGTATATACATCCAGAAGACGCTGCGATGTCCCAATGCTCTTGCTGACACCGTGAAGCCCAGCTGATGGAGACCATCAAGCACTACTCCAGCTTCCCAGCGACTGGCGTGAGTCTGCGGCAGATGGTACAGTTCGGGAGTAACCCTTCGACCGGTATGACGGAGCAGCTGTCGGAGCTTTGGATCTATGTTGAGCATGAATGTTAGGAACACTTTTCCGGGCTTCTCAATTCCTCTCAGAAGAATTGCCCATACGCCTGGCGCATCGAGTGCAAGAGCTAGGCGATCTTCCCGATGGCTTGAATGAGATGGAAAGCATAAAGCGAGTACAGGATTGGTATGCGCAGTCATTCGAAGTACGCATCTCACTCCTCGGCAAAATATACATGGACAACTGTCTAACATTCACAGGAAATTACAACCCTACCGAAACCCAACCTCAGCACCGAAGTCCGAGAGCGTCTGTTGAAGCCGATCAAAAGCAACAACAAGACCTCGCGCATCCTTAGCGAAACCACCCAGAATCCAAGCATAAGGCCTGGACAATACAAATCAGACGTCAAAGGATTGAAATCGGGCGAGGATAAAGAGAATGGCAACGGCAACGGCAACGGTCAAGCCAAAAAGACAGCCGCGAGGAGGTACTTCACAGCTGCAGAAGACGGCAATGACTGGCCTCCCGAGCTCAGCGACTATAACACAAGATTTGCCCAGACACTGGAGAAGATCAAGCGGCGTCACGACAGCGTTGTCACGACAATCGCACAAGGAATCCTCGAATACAAGCGCAAACGGCAACGAATGCAGATCGACCATAACATCCAGGCCTTCCTCGACAGATTTTACATGTCACGTATAGGTATACGAATGCTGATCGGCCAGCACATCGCCTTGACAGACCAACGGACACACAGCGACCCGAACTACGTAGGTATCATCTGCACGAAAACGAATGTCAAAGAGCTGGCGCAAGAGGCCATCGAGAATGCGAGATTTGTGTGCGAGGATCACTACGGCTTGTTCGATGCACCCAAAGTACGGCTGGTATGTCCGGGCGATTTGAACTTCATGTACGTGCCCGGCCATTTGTCGCACATGCTATTCGAGACTCTCAAAAACAGTCTGCGAGCCGTTGTGGAAACACACGGACAGGACAAGGAGGAGTTTCCAGTGACGCAGGTGATCGTTTCAGAGGGCAGGGAAGATATCACGATCAAGATCAGTGATGAAGGAGGTGGCATTCCGCGAAGTGCAATTCCATTGGTCTGGACGTACATGTACACAACCGTGGACCAGACGCCGAATTTGGATCCCGACTTCAACAAAAGCGACTTCAAAGCACCAATGGCAGGTTTTGGATATGGACTTCCGATTTCCAGACTGTATGCTAGGTACTTTGGAGGAGACCTCAAGCTCATCTCCATGGAGGGATATGGAACGGATGTGTACCTACATCTGAATCGCTTGAGCTCATCTTCCGAGCCGCTGCAGTGACAACGGTACGTCCAGACACGAAAATCTTCCTATGCGGCTCAGCTAATATTGTTCTCAGACCAGTCATGAGGGATGAATGGAACATGGTCCTCAACGGCCAACAGAGGACAGCCGAGCGGCAAGAGCAGCAGCGAGAGCTGCCATCGACTCGCATTCATACAACACATACCCAGGGATTGACGCGCGCCGGAAGGCAAATCGAGTCCAGCGGCGGCGACCGCATCGCCGGCCTCACCATGGCCTCGCGAGCGATGCGGTTGAAGGGCATCAGCGGAGGCGGCAGCGGGAGCAGCGGCATGGGGGATTTGAGGAAGAGGGAGGTCTCGCCTAGACGACAGGTCGGCGATGCGGCGGATCAGATCAATCCGCCGCCTGCGTCGACGGGCGATGGTGAGACGCCTTGGTGGAAGAAGGTAGGTATGGAGGAGGGGATGTAAGCTGTGGGATTTTGATGAGGGAGGCTTCATTGCACGTTGATTGCATGGCCGTGGCGTTTGGTGGTGGTTGGGGAAATAAGAAAGTTATCCTTTTTTTTCGCTGGGCGTTTCGGGAGAAAGAAGAAGATATATGTCTTGCAACGGCAGATGACGAGAGCAAGATGAAAGAGGGGATTTTGGGTTTTCTTCTTGCGGGAGATATGTTTTTTGACAGACGAACAACAGATGTACAGATGTACGTAGCTTTGACTGGGACGAGCAGAAGAGGGTATAAGATTGAGATCAAGAGTGTAGAAATCTTCGTTCGAAGTATCCAATCCCTCCTACCTGATCCATCCATCCATTCATCAAATGAACAAAGGTCTTCGCAAGCATGTGCTGCTTTCGATACGACTTGCACTCGAGGTTCAATAGGCGAACAATCCCCAGAAAGCTCTCAAGCCATCCATCAAACACTCGAGGACCATTCACCGATCCATCCACTCTGAACTCACAACAGCCCTCGTTCTGATCGTGCAAAAATCCTACCCGCGAAAATCCTTCCAGCCATCCATCCATGGAACACCTCCGACTCCCGCGCATCCCATATCGCAAAACGCACCCTCTCGACAGACGAGTATTACATCGAGGATCATGAGCTCCCTCACTCACCGCACCACCTCCTTGACGTGGACGTTCAAGGGCGGTTTGTTCCACAACGTCATCACATTGCAGCGATGGACCCAGTCGCGGTCTTGGGGATCGAGCTGCATGTCGAAGGACCAGATGACCTTGGCGAGGATGAGGCGCATCTCGGCGTAGGCCAGGTTCTTACCGATACAGTTTCTAGGAGAGAAGTTAGCAATCTGTGCAAAAGGGAAGGCTTATTCGTGGTGTTTTTTGTGTACCTTGGGCCAAAGGAGAAGGGTTGGAGAACGCTCTTCTTGTCGTTGGCGTATTCAGGGGTGTCCATCCAGCGTTCTGGCACGAAGGATTCGGCGTTCTTGAAGTTGGACTCGGAGTGGTAGGCGGGATACTGCGAGACAGATACAGCTGTGCCTTCGGGGAGGTAGTATCCTGAGACGAATTCGCCACCTTTGCCGACGCGGCGCTCGAAGCCAGCTGGAACAGGAGGGAAGTAGCGAAGGGCTTCGTTAAGAACGGCGAGGAGATACGGCGCATTATTAACTTCAGCAAGGGTGATGTCGTTGTAGTCGTTCCATCGGCCTCGAACTTCTTGCTTGAGCTTCTCCATCTTGTCTGGGTTGGTGAGAAGGCAGTAGGTGACGCCAGAGAGGAGGGTCGCTGTCGTCTCCGAACCAGCCACGAGGATCAAGTTTGCGTTGGAGTCGATCTCGTCACGCGAGAGCGTCGCACCTTTCTCGCCGTTGTGGGCGAGAATGTGGGTCATAAAGTCAGGTCGCTGGGTCTCCCTCTCGATTCGCTTTTCAACCTGACCGTGGATCCAGTTGAGGAACTCTTTACGCTTCTCTAGGGCGCTCGGGTCGATGATGAGGCTGCCGAATTTCTTCGCCCATGGCCAGTAGCTCAAGATGTAGCCGAACTTGAATCCCATCATTGATCGGAAGAGCAGCGTGATGTATTTGTGGGTCGACAAGTCTTGGAGACAACCGAATGGTTCCCCGAACATCAAGTCGGCAATGATGTCGAATGTGATCCAGTTGTACCACTTCGTCATATCCTGAGGCTGTGAAGATTGTGACGTGACTTCCTTCAGTCTGTCGACGAGTTGATCGACGTATTGCTGGAGTAGGAGCTCCTGTTCAGAGAGTGCCTTCTCACTGAACGCGTGCGAGAGGATCCTTCGTCCGCGCGCATGATCATCGTCGTTGGCGATTAGAATGCTTGGAGCGCCGTTGAGTGGCCTTGGATACCATACAGGGTCCTACATCACGGTTAGTGGACACCCCTTCGGTGCTGATCGTTTGGCATACTTTTTGCATGTTCAAATGTCCCTTCATCTTTCCAGTTCGAAAGCCGTAGATCTCTGGCCAGGCGGTCTCGCCTGAAGTAAATGAGACCTCATTGGGTGAGATGCGCACAACCTCGCCAAATCTCTTGTGGAGGTCGACAGCATTATCAACAGTCGAGCCTTTTAGCAGATGGCGAATGTACGGCACTCTTGACAATGCATTGAGCTTGGGTCCGGGTATCTTGCTGAGTGGGTGAAAGAAGGCATTGTATACGAGAGTGCCAACAAAGTAGGCAAGTGACTGGAATCGTCAGTAAAGCTGCAACATAACAATGAACGACATACGCACCAGTACAGCGAAGGTGCCAATGAGCACCAATGGCTTGCCGATTCGATCGTTGGAAGTCTCCATTTCTGAGGTGAGTTGATGTACGCAGACAGTCGCTATGGACGTCGTATGGTTCTTAAGTAGCTTGCAGTGCGGCCGAAAGGTTTGTTATCAAAGTGTGTTCGTTGTTGCTCCCTTGATCAAAATAGTCTACGGGCATTACTACCAGATCAAGCAACCCTGGTACTCGTCCGGACAGACCGACAAACTCAAAGAAAGCCTGGGAGTAGAGGGAGCAGGCTGCTGGGAAGTCCTCATTATCAATAGCTCGTCATCGGCTGATGGGCTCCTAATCTAACCCTAGAAACTTACCAGCTGAAGTTCGCACTTTTCCGTCCAACGCTCCTTTGCACGGATGTGGGCAAGGGTCTAGTCTTGGTGGCGTGGCGACAGTAATAGCCTGATGTGCGACATCTCACTAGTACTCGACTCAGCGTTCAGTCAACCATACAAAAGGCCAATCAGTAGGAGCGCTGTGCATGCTTACCTCATACCTAGAGCGCCACGCGAGACATCTACCCGTACGCGAAGCAATCTTATTTGGTCGCCAGTTGCGCAAGTAGGCCTGACGTTGCCAGCTGAAAATGTAGAGGTTGTGGGTTGTGACTCGAAAGTCTGGTAGTCAAGCGGGCCAGGAGGATCACAGGACATTTGTTGGCACCTCGGTAAAGTAGTGTCGCATGTAGCAGGTACGGTGCGCTCAGTAGTGACGAAGATAGGTGGAATAGTAAGTTCGAGTTTTGAATTTCGGCCGTACATGAGGCCAGGTGGAATCATATAAGATCCTTGTTCTTGTCATGTTTGTCCGCATTGAAATTCTTATTGCCGTGCGTGCATCAAACAAACTGCCGGGCCAAGTCGATTTCAACTTCCGCGGAAAGCCAGAGGCATCCACAAAGTACCGGTAGTTGGATTTCTCGGATTTCGACGTGGATGGCACTTGTCTGGTTACCCATTGGATTACCAGGTGGGCTGACTTCAACTCAAGAGGACGTGTCCCGGTATACGGAACTAGCGTCTAATCCTCAAGCACAAATTCTTCTTGGTCACCACCCATTGGCTCCGGTCGATGCGTGAAGAGAATCTTGAAGTGAGCGATTTCCGCAATCTCCACCTCATCCCCAGCAGCAGGAGGAGCATCGTCGTCGTCAGCAGAAACATCAGGCCTCCTCCGCCGGACGATTGCCAACGGTTTGGCGAGCTTCTTCACCTCGCCCGTCATTCGCTGGTGTTTTCCCACGAAGAGGAAGACCCGCTTGCCATCCCAGTCACCGCCATCCTGGCCGTCAGCAGATGGAAACACTAGCTTGCCAAGCGGCAGTACGGCCGTGGACCCCTCCACGTCGCCGTGCTCAGCCAGCACGCTGCCCTGGAGCTCGAGAATGGCGAGTCCTGAGGGGGTCTGCAGGAGGGGCGGGAGTGCATTCGATGCCGTGTTGCCGTTCCGATCGGCAGCGGGCAAGCGTAAAGAAATGGTAGGCATGGCGATATCGCGTCTGTATGCGTAAGGTGAGATCGCCTCTTTCTCAGGCCCCTCGCCGAGTCAGGTCTCGTGTCAGCGGAAGCTGGTTCTTCTGAACACAGGCGGCTATAGCCTTGGACTTTCGAGGGTTGTTCGCCTCGGTGTTGTTGACGATGAGTGATATGCGCAGCTTTGCCCTTGGTCGTCGTTCAGCCTTCGGTAACGGAACGTGGGAACGAGAAGCTCCCAGGACGCGCCTAGAAAGCTTGTCTTTACCTAAGCTTGCATACGCAGTGCACAGTTATGTCAACTTTCACATCCAATCCTTCCCGCTGCCGACATGCTCTAGAAAAGGAAGGGTTTGGGAAGTCGGAGACATCTCGTACGCTGCTGCATTCCTACTCCTACTACAGGATCTTCTAGGGCAGCTTTGCATGCCTATACGAGTACAGCACTAGCTGTTCCATCTCACAGGATCGCATATTATACTTATACTGGTCCTTGGTCCTCATGTGTGAATACACCGGCAATCAGGTCAATTCACACCGTGGTTGTGGTCCCGATCTTGGTCATTTACGCCCTTGCCATGCCATGCCGAGACGTACATGTAGATGCCGAATTGTGACACGGCATCAAATTCACTTCGCCGCGCTGACGTTTCGTACAACAGCTGATGATAGCAAGCCGGGAGACTCTTCCGCCCTCGTTCACATGGACAGGTTTGGCTTCGATCACTGCAGTGACACGCAAGCGATGAGGAGGCAAGTACAATATACACATCTTTCGGTGAAGGCTCGGCTTCTATCATACATCCCGTCCGTATCATGCTATGCTGTGCGAAGTCGTGCATGAAGGCGACTTCGTCCAAAGAGGAGAATTTACACTGCTTTTACTTCGCCAACCCAGGCGTTTGATGACGCCTCGACACCCACCCTCTTGCTATTCACACATATTTCCAGAAGATCGAGAGCCCTGCGCTCCGTAAGCTGAGAAGTGTTCGTATCCAGGCGATTATGAGTTCTTCACGACGCCAACCTTGGCCGCCTGAACGAAGACATTGTCAGCGATCCATCTCGCTCAAATCTCTCTGCGGAGACTTACCCTCAGTACTCTGCCATTGTACAAGAAACCCTTCTGCTGCGTGAAGAAAACGGTGCCATCCTTCTTGTCGGGTTGAGGCGCCTGGAAGGTCGCCTCGTGGATGTTTGGGTTGAAGGTCTCACCCTCAATACTTGGATCAATGCGCTCCATGCCATGCTTGGCCAGCGTCTTCATCAGGATCTCCTCCGTCATCTTGAGACCGTTGTAGAGATCCGACAATTCCTTGTTCTCCTGCGTGATCTTCTCTTGTGGCACATTCTGCAGAGCTCGATCCAGGTTGTCAACGCTGTCGAGGAGGTCCTTGGCGAACTTCTGGAGAGCGAAGTCTCGTGCTGCGTTTACCTCTCGCTTCGTCTGTTCTTGGAGGTTGCGGTAGTCTGCGACTTGTCGTTTTAATCGATCCTACAGACCCATCCATCAGTGTCCCGAAATTGGTTCGTCTTTTCATCTACTATGTGAACGTACAGTCAGGTCCAGGTTCTCCTTCTTCTTGGCTTCCAGCTCCTTCTGCACATGATCCTCTTTTGCGCCATCTTTTGATGCATCTTTGCTGGGCTCAGCCTCAGGTGAATCCTTGAGTACCTCCTCTTGCTTCTTGTCAGACTCTTCCTTCGATGAATACCATCGCCGAGCTGATAGTTGCTGTGATGCTGCCGGCGCAACTCGTGATCGGGCCGCGGAAAAGGGTGTGAATGCGGCTCTGGGTGTTCGTAGGACCTGTGACTGTCGCGAGAAGGTCTGAAGAGACCGCGCTAATCTTTGTTGAAGCATGGTATGGGTGATTCGTGCGTGTGTGAGGGCGTAGAGATGAAGGTGGTAGATGGAACGTCGGAGCTCAAAAGTTTTGGGCGATTGACGTTTCGAAGACGCCACCAAAGCTGGGCTCGGGCGATGTCGCGTGCTCTCCTCTCCATGACCTTCTGCTTTACATCAACATCAACAAAATCATCAACTTTTTCATCGTCAAGGCTTGAGGTTCAGCAATTTACTGTCACATCAGAACTGATGTGAACGTATTCCCATGTGGCCTGCGATCTCTGCCAGGGGAGCACAGCTTGCGCCAGATACTCGGAGATGCACCATACTTTCTTTATTGTATTGATATCTATCGACCTGCTATGACTTCACATCGAACAGCTCCTCAGCATTCTTGACCAGAACCTGCTCCAAACTGACCCCCTCCGCCTCAACCCAGTCGAAAATCTTCTCCAGATACTCGGCCACCTCCAACCCGTCAAACCGAGTATGCGGCCAGTCCGTAGCAAACACCACCCGATCTGGTCTCGTCCGCACAATCTCTCTGCAAAGGCTCTCCGTGAGCGAAGACCCAGGATCACTCGACAATCGATACGACGCCGAGATCTTCACCCACGTGCTCCCTTCTTTCAACAGCTTCTCCAACGACGCAAAACCTGGAATCTCCCGCGCAGTCTTCGCCGATTGAAGAGATGGGTTCGTTGGGTGGCCGAAATGGTCGATTATGATCTTGGCGCCATCCAGAGCAGGGACGATCCTCTCCAACTTCCCAACCTCCTCGAGAGAGATGTACAGTTCCAACGACCACCCGAACGGCCGCACTGCATCCGCATAGCTACGCATCGTCGCCATCAGCTCCTCCTCCGACGGCAAAGCTCCCACGCTCTTGAGATTCAACCTGACTCCCCTCGCGCCTAGATTGTGCCATTCCTGGAGTTGTGCTTTCGATGTCGTCGCTGGATCGAACTGAACCACCGCTCGTCCCTTCTTGAGCCCCAACCTTCTCAACCCATCCAACGTACAGCTATTATCGTTCGCATAAACGCTCGGCTGCACAATCACCATCTTCTCAATGCCCAGTTCTCCAAGGAACGCATTCGCTTGCTCGAGTGTATGTGCAGAAGGTTGGTACGTCGCAGCCTTGTCCAGGGGGTACTTGTTCGGATCTACGACATGCATGTGCGTATCCCTTCAAATCTCAATAATCAGCAACAGCCCACAAAATCTCCAAAACAATTCAATCGTTCACTTACCACGTCCCCCTCGGTATCCTCTTCGCAAGCCGCGCCGTAGCAGCACTGCTATGTACCCCAAGCGAGCCCATGACTCTCTAGATCGCGTACAAAGCCGGGGAAGCAATGATCAAACGCAGTGGACGAGCAGGACTCGAAAAGATACGAATACGAATATATAAGAAACCAAAACGATTTAGTAGGTATTACACTCGTGCCAGCGCGCGCGTCTGTGCAGCTCTTTAATAGAAACCACGGCTACCACACGCCGGCGGCTTTCCAAGGGAAAAGGCCGAGTTTTCATGTCTGTCCCCATCTCGCTGCTGTCTTCGCCGAAGCAACCTATCGTGGTATTCTGGACGGCTGACTCGCGTGCAGGTGTTTGACGGCTTTTGAAGGCATGTCATTGGATGGGGACAGGCTGTGGGAGCGATGTCGGCCAAGGATTGTGGTCCTGATGTTCCTTGTCGGTCGGTATGTGGTCTGTTGCTCTGTGACTATGATCTCCTCAGACATGTTCATGTTCTTGGAATGTGAGACGTTGTTCGAAATGGACGGATGAGTCGGTTTGGAGAAGACTTGCTCCTTTGTTGCTGGACATTTGGGCCTTTCAATCAATGATGAGGTGTAATATGAACGATCTCGATTGACGAAAGAGCACATATGCGATCCGGCTGTTTCCATCCACCCCAACGCCATGCTACTACAATATCTCATGAGTGTCGTGACGACCGTTCGGCCATTGGCATGTTTCTGCTTCTTCCCTCCTAGACTTGAGCACCCGGCGATGGGTTCCTAGCCATCTTCTCATCGTCGAGCGGGCTGCTGGAGCTGACACGAGGAGCCTTTCCTTTCTCCAAGGCGATGGTGGTTTGAGTCCATTTCGTTGTTGACTGCGGAGCAGCCTTGTCATCTGGCTTCTTCTCTTCGACTTTGTCTTCCTCAACACGAGGCTCTTTGCCAAACCAGGACGAGTCTGCTTTCGTCAGCACAGCATCGTATACGAATCGATGGGATTCAACTTACAAAGTCCCTCCACGACCACACTGGCCACTCGAGCTACTCTGTTCCCCTGACCCTCAACACCTCCCCTCTCCGGCGTCAACGTCATCAAGATAGCCAGAGCCAGTTGTACAAGCGTGGGAAGCCACACAGCAACAACGAGGACCTGTCCCAGATCCCAGTCGGGAGTCCCTTCCAGCCCATCTCTCGTGTATGTCAAATGGTACATCCAGTATCCAACACACAACAAACTCCCAGCAATCCACACAACAGCAATCAAAGCCCCCAGCACAACACTGCTAAACAACTTCTCGATCCAGCTCCACACCTTCGGCAAGAAGACAGAAATCGCCACAAAGAGCAGCACCAACACGACGCCGAGCACAGCCCCGACGATCAAAGGATTCCATCCAGGAGCCTCGGTGAGGTTGAGTTCCGGATAACTCTTCGCACCCTCATCAGCCTTGGTGCACAACCTCCCGATGATCCTTACAGAAGCCGTAGCATTGATTCTGCGCTTCAAAGACCACGTCGCGAAGTTCAGAATTTGACAGCACAAGTACACGCCACCAAACCCCCACGCCCGGCTGCCGCGAGTGACCTTCGCAGGCGTCTTCATGAGGATGTACGATGCCATGGCGAGATTCTGCAGCATGGAGTGGAGATCCGCCATGTCGCGGATGACGCTACGTTCCAGCGCCGCGACGGCGTAGAGCGAAGTACGAGTGAATCCTGTGGCCATGATGGCGAACGCGAGGAGGGTTCCGGTCGTGTAAGCGGTATCGAGAACGGATTGGAAGCGAGCGAGGGAGAGGTTCGTTGACGTGCGAGCGTGTGGCGAGAGGCATCGTGAGACGAGGACTTGGAAGGGCCCGCAGAGAACGAAGACGGCGACTTGGGTTAGGGTGCTGTAGTAGAAGCCCGTGCCGACAAGGTCGAACTTGGCGGAGCCGTAGACTTGGTCACAGGCTTGGGGAAGGCATGGCTGGAGTTGGGAAGTGAAGTCGATGTCGCTTATGTTGCCTGCCAGAAATTGCTTTTCGATCGTTTCGAGGAGTGTAGCGCACTCTGTCGACGCCATATCTGTGTATTGTGGTAATAAAATGAGGTTGAAGAGAAGAAGATGAAAGAATCAAAGCTTCGCATTTGCCCAAGTTCATGGGAGGGGCTTGTGTCACTGATCTGCAGGCTGAATCCTGCTCACCGGTGAAGAAGGAAGCTCGCTAAGCTGGGATTGGCTATTGTTCGCAATGGCATATCTATGCTGTCGTTAATCGTTCCATTATTATGCCTTCAGAATTGTCTGCAACTCACGGACAGTAAGCATTTCGAGCGTGTCAGCCTGGATCTAGCGTCATCGTTCAAATCCTCTCAGCAATCCAGCTCTCAACAACCTTGGTGGCCTCTGACTTCTCCTTCTTGCCCAGGAACACATCGGCAATGAAATCGTCGTGAGCAGCACCAGGCTCAATGACGATTTCCGTGTTCTTGTGTGCAGACTTCAACTTGTTGGCAAACTCGTTGATGCCGTCAAGAAGACGCTCGGCGCCACCACCCCAGATGATCACGTCTTTCACGACCTTGTCCAAGCCGGACCACCAGCTTGCGTCTGCGTTGGCGGCTTCGACATAGTTGTCCGCTGATCTATCGCCTGGAAGATGACATCAGTACATCGACTCTCAATGTGTTCCGCGAAGGCAATCTCACCCAGAAACTGTGATGCCCACCTCTCAACAGCACTGACTGCAAGCATGTCGCTGTTTTCAAACTGTTTCCAGCTGCGTGTGTTGGTATTGAAGCTGACCCATGGCGACAACAGTACTGCCCCAGCCAACGGCTCTTTCAGATCGATTTTGGACACAGCTGGATGTGGATGAAAGAGGTGAGACATGAGCGAAACGGTCATGTTGCCGCCTGCGGAATCGCCAGAGATGAAAATCTGAGAGTGATCAGCACCCTCGACTTGACGGCAGTGTCGTTACACGTACATCGCTAGGCTTCTTGCCTTGCTTGTTGATCAGGAAGTCAAGTGTCTCGGCGGCTTGCTGAAGCTGCAATGGGTACTGTCCCTGGGGACTCAGAGTGTAGCTCGGCATGATAACACTGAGTTTCGTCTTCTTCGAAAGATCCTTCGATAAATTGAAGTACCAGATAAGATGCTGTTCAGTAGCTGGGACAGCATAGCCGCCGCCATGGAAGAAAACAAGGACCTTCTCTGCTGATTTGTTGCCCAGCCAATGTACCTTCATGCCGGAGTCGAGGACATCGGAGTCAGGCTGGAAGCCCTGTTTCTTCGCAAACTCGAGGTATGTGGCTTCGGTACTGGGTGGAAGGAGGAAGATCTCTTGAGCAGTGTTCAAGTTTCCCATGTGCGTTCTGAGACCAGTAAAAGCTATGTCCTTGAGCATCATGTTCGCTTTCGTGCCGCCAGTGATGGCGACTAGTGGGTAGGTCACCAGGCGGATGCATACTGCTGTGATTATTTTCGCCTGGCGAAAACGCTGTCAGCAGAGTTGCAATCGTGGTACGATGCCGTAGCTCACAATGTGCGGCACAAGCATCAGCTTGTCCACGAAAGTGGCCTCTGTCCTGTGAGGAGCCATGTCTGCTGAGGTTGAGAGTCAGAAGAGCAAGACCAGGAGCTGTTATCGCAATGAAAGAAGCCTGGAAGAAGAATACGAGAGCTGCTAGTGGGGATATAAGCAAAACAGGAACAGGTAAAGAGCTCTGTCAGCTGTGCGTAGGGAAGACGGAGGCCGCGGACTCGGAGGTGTTCTCAAGAACAGTGCTCAGCTTGGCATACATGCATGGCTCCATGCGTGCTCGGTTGAGCTGCCGCCGGAATCGCCTTGAGCAATGTGCTGTGTGACACCTTCAACATATCGCTTACGTAGAGCCGAAGCTGATGAGAGGTGGAGTGAACTGGAGAACAGAGAGGAGGCCAGGATTCACCCACATTTCTTGGCAAAGAGGGGCCTGCCGACGTCGCCCCGTACGTGGGGTTGCTCCATCACCAAACATCAATCAAGCACATATCAAAACCGTCAATCCAACCCCGGCAAAAGGAAAATGTCCACAACCACTATCGCGTCTCTACCAGAAGAGATCCTCCTTACAATCTTCGAATATCTCGACTCGCCACCTCCATCACAGCTCAAATCGCGTCTGGAACCGACTCTCGACCTCACCAAGAGCAACAACCACATCTACAAATCCATCTCCCAAGTCTCCCACCTCTGGCGCCGAATCATCCTCCCTCTCCTCTTCCGCTACTCGCGCCTCCGCCTCGATGTCCCACCACGGAAAGAATGGTCCGAATGTTCAGCATGTGGCGAGCATCAACCTGCATCCACAACCATCGACCATCCAGTAGATGAACACCATAACCCCCTCTTCGCCACCGCCTACAAAAACATCAACACCGCCACCGCCAACCACAGTGAACATTCCCCCTCCCGCGGCCCCAATTTCATCCTCTCCACCCTCCACTGGGCCTCCCGCATCCACCACTCCCTAACCGACTACCTCGCCTTCCTGCAACGCAACAACCTCCCCGCGTCAATCCACTCCTTCGCCCTCCTGACCAACTGCATGATCGAAGAATCCCAACATCGCTTCCCGCACCGCATGGCCGCCACGTATGACTACCGCTACCGCGCCGCCGCCGACCTGTGGCATCAGTTATTCAAAGCCGTACCGGGACTGAAGCGGGTGGTGATCGTGGCGCCGCCGGCGGATCTGGCATGTTTGACGAATTGCGCGATTGATTTGTTCGGGGATTGGGCGTTTGAGGATATGGGGTTTCATGTTTTGGAGGTGAGGGTGGATTCTTCTCCTCTTACTAACAACGCCACTCCAAGAGGGACGGTTCATGGGTATGGACAGCTATACGCACACGAGGTTATCAGCTCTACAGCTACAATCCCCTCCTACGTCCCCGCCGAGTATCCCGGGGTGGCGCCCTCGAGTATCCTCAAAATCCGCGCTTGGTCGCACCTCAGCCTCAACGAAGGCTCCTTCCTCCGCGCCTACGGCACCTACGAATACTTCGAACGCGGGCCCCCTTCCCTCATCTACTCCATCAAAGACTGCGTCTCGTCCAACCGCCGCGCCTGGCGTCCCCACAGCCAAAGCTGCATGGACCTGTCGGCGCTGAAGTCCTTCACATACACCGCCATCCTGCCCTTCGCGAACCACTGCGACTTCCGCGGCTTGCTCCCCTACATCGACGAGCTGGACATCAAACTCGCGCCAGATCCCACTTCAGGGATCTTGCAGGACAAAGACCGCGTGGGCAAAGCCGAGTTGGAAGATTGCTGGTCCGAGTTCTTCCACGCGTATCGTGCCATCACGAAGCCTTTCCGGACGTTTGAGATTCGAAAGGATGGGACGCCCAAGCTCAAGAAATTCATATGTCGGGATGTCAGCACACCCGCGTTGGTGTATGAGCTTGATGAGGAGTTTGTGCCGCTTTGCTTGCCGGTTTGGGCGGAGATGGAGCCGGGCGTGTTTGTGAGGCGGGAGACGTATCCTCCTTCGTACGGTCCCGAGATCATGTGATGGCACAGGCAGGCGATCTCGTGAATCTTGGGAATAGCTGTTCTCGTGGGACATCCAAAGTTGATATTATACAAATGCTGTAGATCAGGGACTTAATCTGCCGTTCATCTCGACGTCTTGGGGCTCTCCATTGAGCGCCGGGTGGAAGCGGATGACCGCAATCTAGTAATGTGATTAGCTTTCACGAACCGATTTTCACTTCACAAAATTTGAACATACCTGCTTCTCAACAGTAAACGCCAAACTCTCTCCATCAGAACTCCAGCTGAGACTCGGCTCCGCGACAGGCTTCTCCTCATGTTGGCCGTCAACCACTCCATTGGTCTCAGATATTGGCCGCCACGTCACCGATGCTTCGGCCACATGCCGCACGCCGTTCTTACGTCTTAGTGAGTCTGCGGACCACATTTGCACCAACTCTCCATTGCCAACGGCGAGATGCTCTCCATTCGGCGACCACGCGATCGACAATGCAGGACCTTCGCTCAAAGAGAGAGATGCAAGCTCAATGCATTTAGCGCCAACGTCTGGCGATCGAGTAATGCTGTAGATGGAGCAGGTGCCATCCCCGAACCCAACAGCAAGTAGACTGGGAGACTCGTGCTCGTTTGAGGTTTCATCTTCAGTCTTTGTCCAGGGCCGGAAATCCACCGCGACGGGTTCTTCAGGCAAGTCCAGTTCAACGTCGACTTCAGGCTTGGCTTCGCTGTCGTAAAGCCTGGGCGTGACAATCATCTTTTTGGCCTCGCTCGAAACAAACACTGCATTCTTTCGTCGGCGATCGAAGCGGAACTTGTCAAGTCTGTAATTCGTGTCGAGGATCTTCGAGTTGTGCGATATCAAGCCGCGCATCGCAGTCGAGCCTTCAGAAACGGTGTTCATCTCTTCTTTCTGACTGACGTCCACTTGATACATTGCAGAAAGGCCATCGTCGCCGCAGACCACAAACGCGTCGTTCCCAGTCCAGCTGACGTCCTCAAGTGGGTGATCGAACATCCGCCAGGCAATCGGTTCCCGCGTTGAAGAATCATCGTCGACTCCTTGTCGTGGCGACTTCCAAATTTGCACCAATCCTCGCTTCATGTTCGACCGCGCAACCAGTAGGTACTGCGAATCTAGGCTGTATCTTAAACTTAGTACGATACCTGGCGGCTCTAGTAATGGAGGTCCAAGTTGAAAAGATGCGCTGCCGCCGTTCTTGTTGTGTTCAATGAGCAGTTGCGAGTCCAATTTAGAGCCATCTGGTAGCTCTCGTAGACTACTCACAGCGCAGCATGCACCTTGGCCGTCCGGTCGCCATGCCACAGCAGTCACGATAGCGTTGTCTGGCATGGAAGGCTCGTCCACGTGAGTAATCTACAAAATCACTTGTTAGTCTCAAATCGAAACACAAATGCCGGTATAGCTGACCTGTTGCGCGTCGTCTACTGAGGCAGGCACATCATAGAAACGGCAAAGCGACTCGCCCACCGTGAGCAAAGCCTTGGCGTTGTTAGGGTTCGAGTCTGGGTTCCACGCGCTCTGGATGACAGGCTTGTCGACAGTCCAGTGCACAGTACTAGTTTTTGGGCCGGTCTTGATCTCGGTCTGCGTCGCAACGTCCATACTATCGTAACGCTCGATGACCTCGGCCTGTTCGGGGTCGGACTGGACGGCTGGGGAAGCTGCTTCACCATCGTCTTCAGCATCACCAGATCCAGATGCAGCGTCCACGTCCATTGGGTCGCGCTCGCCATTCACCTGACCTTCGCTGCCCTCGCTTCTCCGCTGGCGCTTAGGGACGGGGGTGGGAAAGTTATTTGGGCGCCTCATCACAGGCGGCCTGCCCTTCGGCTTGCCGCTGGAAGACGGCCGGGCACCAGCGCCATTCTCAAGTCTATCATCGTGTCTTTCTATGCTCTCGCGCGCATCTATGCCGGTCCATCTGAATTTGCGCTCGCCCTTCCTTATGCGCGATTGTAACTCGTCGTGGAAGAGGCCCGCTTGGATGACCGAAACCAGCTCGTTCCGCTGGACCTCGCGCGCGAATGGCAGATTCTCTGGGTCGTAGCAGTCGCGGGAGCGATGCCAGTCGGAGTGGAGCGCGGTGGCAGTATTCTCGAAGCCGACTTCCTGCAGGTAGCGAAAGATGAGGAGGTTGACGTGGTCGCTGTGCAGGGCAGCAGCCGCGGCGGACATGCTAGGCGTGCGCTATTGGAATGGCGGAGTCGACGTGTGGGAGACCATGCACTGGCGGGCGGGAGTATTTTCGCGCGATTGTTCAGGCGGTGAGGGTAGGATCCGGGTAGTATGCGACCGAAAGGATCTGACGTGTCGTGTGCGATGTTGCCGGTGGTGTGGGTGTAGTGAAGTAAGTGAAGTTCCAGGTCGAGGATCAGATCCCGCGCTCTTGGGTTTGGCGGGCGGCAGGCTAGACGTGATTCAATCCGCCTCCACGATCTGCTGGGGCGCCAACAAGTCTTGGTCATCGTGGGAATAAGAATGCTCCTGTTTGATTAAGACATTGATGAATGTTGTGTATGAAGTTTCATTGAAGTCAAGGCAACATTGGTTTCTACATAAAACAATTGTATTCATCGCTACACATGTGAGACCGTGCAACTGTTTGTTGGCTGCCAGCCACGACTTCCGATCTGCGGCGTGGAGAGGCCCTTGCAGCAGCTCGTCACGCGGCGGGCCAAACACGCTGCCTCCACACCCGACTTTCACTCCTTCACTTACACACGAGCATGCGACACACCCTCTCCTAGCCGATGCCGCGCATCAACCTCCCGCCGCTCACCCGCGGCCTGCTGCTCGTTGTCGTCTCCCTCTCCGCCCTCAACGCCGTGCTGCGAACCAACAAATGGCGAGTCCAACTCGATGCTGCCCCTTCGCCCATCGCGCCCACCAACTACCTCTCCAGTCCAGAATGGGCAATCCCCTACCTCGTCTTGATTCCGACCAAGAGCATTCGCTATCCATGGACCTTTCTGACCGGCGCGTTGGTGGAGAACAATCTGGTGTCAATGGCTGTCAGTGCCAGCGTTGTCTACTTTGGAGGCAGATATCTTGAACGAGCATGGGGAAGCAAGGAGTTTGGCAAATTTGTCTTGTTTGTTACTATGATACCCAACGTCGTCGCTTTCTTTCTCTACGCGTTCTGGCACGGCGTTACAGCGCATACTCCTGACTTGTGAGTACCCAACTCACCCCTGAGTGAAGCTAAAGTATGAGCCACTAACGCACCCAAGTCCAACACCTCTCAATGGCATGGTTGCCTTGGAGGCCGGATTCCTTGTCAGCTTGAAGCAGCTTGTACCTGAGCATACCGTCTCCATCTTCAAAGGCGTCATTCGAATGCGCATCAAGCATTTCCCGGCAGTGTTTGTCCTGGCCAACATGCTCTCCGGTCCACTCCTTGGCACAGATACTGCTCTCTGGCTAAGTCTCTTTGGCTTTACTACATCATGGGTCTATTTGCGCTTCTTTAGAATCTCGGAAATAACCAGCACGGCCACAGGAGGCGAAGGTTCAGTCATGAAGGGCGATGCCAGCGATACTTTCAGTTTCGTCGCATTCTTCCCAGACGTCCTTCACCCGGTCTTGTCGCCCATATGCGATGCTATCTGGGCTGCTCTGGTGCAGATACGGCTCTGCACCCCCTTCTCGGATGAAGACATCGAAGTTGGCAACGAAAACGCTGCGTCACGATCTGAGGCCGGTCTGCCCAGCATCATGAATGGCAGAGGCGGTGGTGGTGGAGGTGGACGCAGAGCGGAGGCCGAAAGACGACGTGCTCTTGCACTCAAGGCCCTGGATCAGAGACTGAACGCTGCTGCTGCAACTCGAGGTACGAGCCCAGCACCGCCGGCCACAGCAGCTCCGTCGGATTCAAACGCAGAAGAACCCAGTGCTGCAGCAGCTGGAGTAAGCGACTCCACCGAACCAACTACTAAGGAAGAGCAGACATAATATACCCACAAAAGATAATGTTGACTTTGGAGAAGCTCATCCCTGTCAACTCTTCACATTGCATGTACTGACCCGACCCATGACCATGTCGCCTTCATCAACACCTCACAAGTCTCTGGATCTGGTCTGCGGTGTTGGTACTGTGGAAAGACGAGAGACAACGAGACGAATAATTTGTCAGGATCCCTCATGCACCCCAGTTGAATTGGCCCCGAACAGCTTCCTTCCTGGTCAAGCCACGAGCGATCGAATCGCGCTCCTTCCCCACTTTCTGGAGCCGCCTCTCCGCATTTCGACGGCAAAGTTACCCTCGAGTGGACCTCGCCTGGCACGCCTGGTTTAATGTCATGCGTGCGTTGACACGAAGAAGCACGGCAGTTCGATCTCCAGCTTGTCGTGCTCAGCATGTGAAGCCCTGCCACTTCGCTTTCTTCCAAGCTCGCCATTCGATGAGCAACGACTACTTTTGTGCGAGATTAAGTGCTGATCTCCAAGCTATAAATCATACTATCCTGAGCATAGCACCCGAAGAGGGCATCGTTGGATTTGGCCCGAAGCGTATGTGTCGTCGAGAGTCGCAACACCGCCGCCGCCGGCTGATGACCCCAGCTATCTGCCGGTTTGGTGGAACCTGGTCCCTAGTCGACTACACCTGACTCCACCCTCTACGCCATCGATTGCCTCCTCCTCCTCGTCGTAGCTCGCAGCCCATCCACAGCGGTACATGATCGCGGCTGGTGCGGCATTGACATTTGATCCCGTTCGTAAGACGACGTGGTGCTTGATAAGTTCGGCTGAATGCGTAGGTAATATAGGTAGAAATACATTCCTTAGGGTCTACGGCTGTCTTCAGCCGCTGGCATGAATGGTTTCACATTTGAGGAGTACTTATCCTTTGGTCACTCTTTAGCGAAACGTCCACTTGGTCGCTATCTTGAGTTCCAAGTCTGGCCCATCTCTTATTTGTCTTCTGACGTTCGTCAAGATACTCTCCCCTCTTCCTTTCCCTCTTGATCATGTCTGCCATCCCCAACGTGCCCGAGGCTATCTCTCACAGCCAACACAACAACGCAGACGCTGCTCTTACCCACCTCCTCAAAGCAAAGCAAGGAGCCGCCCAACATATCGAACACGCGGCCAACGGACCACAAGTCAATGGAGAACACGGCGTCAAGGCCAAAGCTCCCTGGGTACTGCACGACGTGCCCATCGAGAACCAACGACCTATCAAGGTGATTGTGATTGGAGCTGGTTATTCGGGGATTTATCTGGGCATTCGTATACCTGAACGGATACGCAATTGTGAGCTGGTGATTTATGAGAAGAATGATGGCATTGGTGAGGAGAATAGATATTCATGGGGTTGGGAACGCTTAGCTGACGTTACGTTGTCTGACAGGTGGCACATGGTAATATTACCTTGACTTGAAGGCGTATCTCCAGCCTCGATACTCCGCTGACTGCCTGTCTCAAGGTACGAGAACCGCTACCCAGGAGCAGCATGTGACATCCCCTCCCATTCCTACCAATTTAGCTTCAACCCCAAACCGGACTGGTCATCCCTATACGCCCCCTCGTGGGAGATCCGCGACTACCTCCAAGAATCAGCACGCAAATACGGCGCGGACAGGTTCATGAAACTCAACCACGAAGTCAAAGGCTGCACCTGGGACCAGAACCACGGCAAATGGCACGTACAAGTCCAGAGACCCGACGGATCGATCTTCCAGGACGACTCCGATGTTCTAGTGAGTGCAAGAGGCAACCTCAACAACAAGGCATGGCCCGACATCCCGGGCCTCTCAGACTTCAAAGGGGAAGTGATGCACTCGGCCGCGTGGAACGAGTCCTACGACTTCACGAACAAACGCATCGGCATCATCGGCAGCGGCAGCAGCGCCATCCAGATCATCCCTAAGCTCCAGAAAATCCCCGGCGCGCATTTGTCCTGCTTCATCCGCAGCAAGACCTGGATCTCGCCCCCTCTAGGCCAGTCGTCGATGGACGCCCTCGGCATGGGCACGCAACTCCAATTCCAACCCGAGCAAATCGAGACGTTCAAAAAAGACCCCGAGGCATGGTATCGCTTCCGGATGAAAGTCGAATCCGACGCGAACAACATCCACGCCATGACGCTCAAAGGCACGGAGATGCAGAGAGCCGCGGAGAAGGCGTTTGACGAGGGGATGAGGACTCGTCTGGCGAGGAAGCCGGAGTACTACGAGTGGTTGAAACCGTCCTTCGCGCCGGGGTGTCGTCGCCTGACGCCTGGGCCGGGGTTCCTGGAGGCGCTGGTAGAGGAGAATGTCGAGTTCGTGCGGGAGAAGATCACGTGGATCACGTCCGACGGTATCGTCACGGCGGATGGTAGAACCCACCTCGTCGACGTCCTCGTCTGCGCGACGGGCTTCCACGCCAGCGCCGCGCCGCCCTTCCCCATCACCGGCCTCGCGGGCGAGACTCTCTCCACACACTGGGCCACCCGCCCCACGACCTACCTCTCCCTCACCACCGACGCCTTCCCGAACCACTTCCTCATGCTGGGCCCCAACGCCGCCATCGGCGAAGGCTCCCTGACCATGATGATCGAATCGACGGGGACCTACATCCTCTCCTGCATCCGCAAACTCCAGCGCGAAAACATCAAATCCATGCGCGTGAAGCCGGCGCGCGTGAGGGATTTTATGGCGTATGTGGATGCGTACTTTGAGGGGACGGTGTATGTGGATGAGTGTCGGAGTTGGTATCGCCAGGGGGGTGATGGGAAAGGGGAGAAGGTGACGGGGTTGTGGCCCGGGAGTACGTTGCATTGCGTGGAGGCGTTGAGGGGGGTGAGGTGGGAGGATTTTTTGTATGAGTATGTTGATGCTGGTGAGGAGGGAGATGGGAGGGAGAGGAATGTGTTGGGGTGGTTGGGGAACGGGTATGTTCTTTTTTTTTTCCTTGTGGAGACTCTTCTTCTTGTTGTGCTGGTGGTTGTCTTACTGACTCTCTTCAACATAGCTGGTCAACCAACCAGTTAAAAGACAGCCCAACCGAGGAGGAACTGGCGTGGTACTTGACGCCGCAATTCCAAGCCCGCGAGATCCCCCTCGAGGGACGACCGGAGCAAAAGGAGGAGTATCGACTGCGGCCTTGGTCGTACTGAGCGAGTGTTCGAAGGCGTCCGCATCGAGGGAGCGTGGTCGAGAATCTGGACTCTGGAGGACCTCTGCGACCGCGGCATGTATCGTTGTCTCGGACACGACGATGATGAGGAGGAAGAAGCCTAGGCATCAGCTGTTGGACGTCCACTGGTCTAGATGATGGCCGAGAACGACAACGACGAAGATGACGAGCGATCGAGACGTACGGACGGAGGAATGAATGAATGAGTGAATGACGAGGCTTACGAAGGATCTCGAACGATGGAACGAGACCAAACAGATATATACCAACAGTCGATAGCTCCAAGTCAAATCGACCAACAAACACAACCTGGATCACCAACATACATCACAAGAAGCTTGTTCTTAGGAGGAGGAGAAGAAGGTCCAACAGCACATCTTTTCTCCGAGACACTTCTTCTTCAGCTGTTATTTTAAACCGCGTCCCGTGTTCGTTGATGACAGTTGTCAGTCCAAAAAGTTCAATAGCTTGCCTTGCTCGTCGTCCACCCCTGCTAGCCGCGAAGTTATTCATCGCGAAGCCCCCATACATGTATCTGTGCCATCCCTGTCGAAAGTTTCGTCCACTTCCCGCGCCTCACTTTCCAACTTTCCGCCATTCAAAACCAACCACCAACCATGCAAGCCACGATACAATTGTCAATCAGATGCCGTGGATGGGGGATCGACAGACACGCCACGCATGGTATGATGAAAAGCGCACGCACGTCTCTTCTTTCTATGATCATCATCCCAGCTCTCCACGCACGCAGGTCGAGATCTTCATACTGATCAACGGTTCCTTTCGCCGTTGTCGTGGTCTTAAGAACGTGATTGCGGAGTTGTTGGCGTGGAAGCATGTGGAGGTCTGCGGAGAGAGGGTGGAGGTCTGGACGTGACGTGTGGTCTGGAAGGGGTAGAGGAATGAGAGGAGAGTTAAAAGGGTGTAGTTGATTCAGGGGATGGGGAGATAATGAGAGGGCTGTACAGGTCACTTACGACGCCTTTTCTTTCCTCCCCTTACCTGTACGGCCGATGTGGGTTCTACTCTGGTTCCTCGAAGCCCGTCAGGAACCACTCTTCTTGGCTCTCCTTGTCTCTGTCGTCGTCGTCGTCGTCGTCGTCCTCGTGCTGGTCGTCCTCCTTCCCCGTCTCACCTCTCGACGCGTCCGCTTTCACGCCTTCATTCCCTCCTCTCTCGTACCTGTTCGACTTCAACGCGCCACGAGCATCGCCGGGGCACCACTCCCTCATGCAAGGCCCTCTATGAACGTAGCCGGGTGGAGGCTGGACCATAGTTGGCCGGTCAGTGAGCTCGTGAAGAAAGGGACACGCGAAGCCGCGACGGGCGTCTTTGGACCGTGAGCAGTGTCCGTGGTACCAGAAAAAGCAGGTCTCGTTTGCTGCGGTCGCTTTGACGCGTTTGCTTTTCTTGCGGGGAGGGGTGACATCGTCTTCTGGCGATGCTTGCATGGCAGTGTTGGCATGGCCTTGAGATGTTGGCGTGGTGGTGTTGGCATAGGCTGGCGATGCTGACGTGTGAACAGAAGCTTCACGTCCCGTCTCTATGGCGCGAGCTTGCTTGAGGCTGCCAATGATCTGTTCGATGGCTTGGGCGAGAGGCATTTCTGGAGGGGCTTGGAGGTTCGTGGATGCTCTCAAAGATTCTTGAACGCCAGGACCGGTTGGATGAGATGTCTCACTACCACGGTGGCCATCGTAATCGATCTCGTTGGCTCTGCTGGAATCCCACTGTCTCGCGTCGTCGTAGTGAAAGTCGACGAACTTTCGCTTCTGGCCTTGAGTTTGCTCAACGACTGTCTTGTGCTGCCCGTTTTGGACACCTGGAAAGCCGGATGAGAAGATGCTGGGCCGGTCTTGTAGATCACTAGGAGTCGTGATGGCCGGCTGGCTCCCATTCAGTAGACCGACAGTATTCGCACCCGTCACGGAGTCCTGACGACCATGCTTCTTCTTCTTCTGCAACGGGACTTCGTTCTTGAATCGACACCGATCAAGGCCACATGGCTTCCTATGCTTCACGAGGTTTCTTGCCAGCTTCAACGAAGGCTCTAGGCGATGCACGAACTTGCAGTCCTCTCCCAGTTTGCAGCGGCCGTGATACCAGTGATTGCAGATGTACGGCGCCGTCCCCAAGCTTTTGGTTCCTATTGGAGGTTCGGTGGCATGTGCGTAATGCTCTTCTATGCCCTTGGTGTCTCGGAGAATGTGCATCTTGACCTCATCTCTGGTCGCCTGCTTTTCCATATTGGGCTGTGAGGTCGACGCGGATGGCTGGTCGAGACACGACATTGGACCCTTGTCTATGTCCGTCAGCGGCATGTGACTTGGACTCAAGGAACCCATCTTCGAGCTCGTAAACCGAAGTCGGGATGTCTCGTATCGCCAGGAGCAGCTCTTGCCGGAGATGACAGGGCGTGATGAGGGTGTTTTGTAATCGAATATATTCGGGGGCCCAGCAGCTGGTTGCCCTGATGTCTGAGAACGGATGCTTCTTGGGCGCCGATGCCGGGAAGTGATAGGTGGCCGATGCTATGATACGACGAAGACGTATCGCAGTCAGTGGTGTATGTCTCGCACTCGTATGGTCCAGTACGAGTTCCAAGAACTTGGTGCATGACCTTTGATCAAGAGAAGAGTTCATTCAATGAACATGTGTTCTGAAGGTTTTGACATATGACCAGCATTGACGGTCTCGACTTGTGATGGAAGCGCCTTGTTTCTTCACCTACGGCAGCCTTGATTGGCACAATTACGACAAAGTGAGTGCGAACTTCATCATCAGCTGCTAGCATATGCATGCATGCATCGTTACGCTCTCATCCGCAATCAAGGCAGCTGCGGCCGGTCGCCTTCTATGCAGACTGCAAGAGTCGACGTTTGGCAGGTGCAAGTGCCCTAACTTCTTTGCATGTGCAGACGACCCTCGCCATCTGTACAGATACATCGCTGCGGCATATGCCACTTTGAGCTGGTTCCCAGCCCAGGGTCGAAGTTTGCTGCCCGCTCAGTCCTGCATGCGCCCACCGACTAGACTGGCGTTGACAAGCCATCGTATGCAGGCGGCGATCGACCGACCAGCGTACCTGCAGCATGCATGCATACGTGAGGACTCGCCCGCTGGTGTCAACAACAATAACAGGCGTCGAGGAGTGTCAATAACAATATTATTACAGTGCCCAAATAACCTCGGGAGATGGAGGAGAGAGCACCCTGTTTCATCGGCATCGGGGGTCCGAAATAATGGCGAAGAGCAGCAGCGATAATGCCAGGCGAGGAGTGGTGGTGGAGTTCGCGGCTCTCCCTCAGCGCGCATGAGTCGGTCTGCAACAGCGGTGGTCTGAGCAGACGTGCATGGCGCTGAAGCCAAACCGCGCACCTCGGTGCAGTACTTGGAAGGGCGGCTGATTGGGCGGTGGTCTCTATACTGCGACATTGAGCAGTTGTGACGAAGGCAATCGCGCAGGCAGTGCTCGGACAACGTCTTTGTGATTGCTCGAAGCGGCATTCAGACCTTTCCGGATAGACGGCCGACAAACACGGCACCCGACTGACTTCTCGCCTGGGGCCATCCGAAACCTTGACGATGGCTAGCCTGTCCTAGGGTCGCGAGATTGCGCAAGGCCATGCGAGACGGCCCAATGAGCTGGGCCGGCGATGTGTCAGGTAGATCTCACAATATCGCCTCACGACTAGCTGCTGGCAGAGAGGCGGCGTGGTGCGGTAGTCGCACGCCGCACAAGGAGATCATCGGCTGCCTGCCGACCTTAAAGATGGAGAGGGAGCCCCGGCCTGCTGCGGGCGAGAGCCTGCGGACGCTGGCTGCAAGTCGACAAGACGGTTTGCACCTAATGCGCCCGCCGTCACACTCTGTCCTCGCCGCTGCACCCTGTTTAAAACCACTGGGGGCCCCTCAGACTCTGCCTTGAACTGCCCTTCTGGCACCAGCGACACTGCCGACCCAGCATCTGCGACTCCCACTGCACGACTGCCACGATACGACCACCTGGAACGACGACGCCGACCTCCGCAGCCAACGACATGCCGTCTGCCGCCGCTCACTGAAGGCCGTTACCCAGAATCTGCGGGCAGGATGGAGCGAGCCATCTCCCCGTCGCCCAGCAGCAGCTTGGATGTCGGCAAGCCAAGTGCAGCAAACCCGCAGCAGCAGCAACAGCAGCGCAGCCTCGTCGCCGAACGCAGAGCGTCGTACCGCCTCTTTCCCATCGTCGAGCCAACGCCCCCCGCCAGTCCCGTCACTCTGCAAAGAGTCTCTCTTGGCAAAGCCGCCGGCAACCACCGACGCCGATCCTCATCATTGGACCACCACCATGTCGCCAAAGACCAGCCCAGTGCAGCAACCGGACACGCGACCTCGTGGGCCAGCGCGCTGCGATTTCGGGAAAACAGCAGCAGCAATAACAGTAGAAAGGGCAGCCTGCCCGACATCCTACCCCTGCGCGCCGTGAAAGCGTCGAGTGGTGATGTCTCCGCCAAGCTTCAGGCTTTGCCTCCTCGCCCCCATACCGCCGTGGACCGTGCTCTAGAAGGAAGCGTTGGTGGCCGTTCCAATAGCGTCACAGAGGCATCGACGCTGGGAGATTGTTCTGCTCCTACGGGGCTCGAGCAAGATAGAGAAAACCACGCTGTCGCCGGCCGCGGTCTTGGTGTCAACTTTCCTCACACCCCTGCTCTTCAACCAGGGCGCCGCGTGCGATCGAGACCAAACCTACGCATTGCCGTCTCCGCGGATCACGACCACGACGAGCAGCGCCCACCGCCCCCTCCAAAGTCTCCGCGGCACGCACGTGACGGGTCCGACGAGTCGCAACAACAACATACTACTCCGGAAAGACATCACGCGATCAGCAACACTGCTCATGTCCGAGACGATTCCGACACTCCCAGCACCCCATCCGTCGCCCAGAAACAGGCCCTCGTCTCCCTCAGTCCTACGCTCAAAGTCCGCGAGTTCACGGTTTCGCCGGTTGCTCGCGGACGAACTGTCCGGAAGGAAACCCCAACGAAGATGCACGAGCTCTTGCCCAGTGACTTCTTGGAGGATAAGCCATTGCCACCGGTCATTGGTGATACATTGCAGCCGCCATCGAGCAAGTTCAAGGACCAGACAGCACGTCCAGTCACGAGTGAAGGGACAAACGATGCGTCGACTGTTTGGCCCGGCGGTTCCATACCTCCACCGCAACGACAACCGCCCTCCAGACCTACCGAGACCCGACCGGCGGATCAAAACAGTAATCGATGGAGTCGCATGATGAAGTCAAGCGCAAAGAGCAAAAGCACCCAGGACCTTCACACCCGTTCGATCAGTCCCGAAGTCCACCCACTCGCCTCGCATCCGGTCAAGTCAGACTGGAGCGACCTGCCTTCGTTTGCATCGCGCCCAGTCCAGCGGAGCACAACACCTGAGCCTCAGGCCACGCGATCTGATGACGCTGACATCACCAGGACTGTGCCGTCAAGGATACACCTCACAAGCCGGAACAAGTCGTCAGGTAGCGTGGAACAAGCAACGACGGACTACATGCCACCCGAATCACTTTCCAAAGCCGGCCTTGCGCTTGCCGTGGCGGGGGCGAATGTCGCGGCTCTGCGAAACTCGAATGCTTCTGCTGGAAGTTCTGGCGCCGACCACAGGAGTAGATCGTCAGGTTCTGACATTGGCACGCTCAGCAGACATCCTTCCGATGGCCTTTCTAGGAGACCATCCAGTCCAGGTGCAACAGACCCGGTCGAGACATTGAAGGATCTGAGCGAGCAAGTGGAAGCACTGCACGCACGTTACACTGGCCTAAAGGCTGAGCGACAAAAAATCTCGGCCTCCATCATTGCAAGTCTTAAAGACCAGAAATTTGGACCAGAATCTGCCAACCTCATTCTTGACGAGCAGTTGTCCCTGGCAGCGGTCAGCTCCTCGATTGACATTTGCTTTGCCAAGTTGAAATCGCTGGAATGCAGGAAGGAAGACGCTATTGCAGCACTGATCGCCAGAACAACACAGGCACAGAAGAGCCCGACTGAAAACATCTCGGCAATGATTGCGTCAATGGCATTGACTCGAAAAGCATCGCTGGCGCCATCCGACTCTGGAAGCCGATTTGCTCCCACTGGACGCTCCACGCCTGATCTAGTGGATAGTTTTAGCTCTAATCGCTTGACGCAACCCAGTACTCGAACTTTCTCCTACGGAAGCGAACCGGAAACTCTGGACTATCGCATGTCATCGTTATCACGCAAGCACTCGAATGGAGGTGAAAGCATTGTGTATGCAGAGGGCGTGGAGCGACAAACACCAGCGACCATACCTGAAGATTCAGAGAGTCCCAGATCGCAGCGCGTCTCAAGGATCCACGAGACAGCCAGTGATCTGAACCAGAGGACTTCTGATGTATCAGCATTGAGCCCTGTGCTTGAAGGCCACCCGCGACGTTCACTGTCGGAAGCAGCTCTTCATTCCGTTGACGAGAAGGAACGAGTAGAGCTTGTGCAAAGCTCATCATCTGCCACTCCTCGTGATCCCTCACCCACGTCGGAGAGATCGATGTCACCGGATGAGTTGCTCGATGAGCGCCCCAAGAAGATCCGCGTAAACGGCTCCAAGGCGGCGAAGATTCTGGGGCTACTTGGAAACTCCGCAGACGGCAAGGACTCGCCGTTGATCAGACTTCCAGATGAGAAGAAGGCTCCTGTGAAGGTGTCGGAGGTTGAAGTTGAACTGTACGACTCCTCAAAGTTGGAAAGTCTTGACGACACCAACGCCTCTCTCCTCTCTGTCCGCACCAAAGACACTGAAGGCTCTATAATTACCACGGACACGCAGGCGTCGTCCGAGCCGCAGAACCTCGAAGACCAACTCAAGTCATTCCCTCGACCAAATCCCAACACACTCTCCACCCACTCGTCGGACATGTCGGACGGACGACGCGACACGGGTGGCTCATTCCTCACCAACGGTTCATCGGCAGAATCTTCCTGCGAGCCAGACGAAGCCGAGCCTCCACCTTTGAACACAACACGCCTAGGCAGAGGCGAGAAACTTTTATCGACCAACAAGCCGATGACCGACATGAGGAAACGTGACCCTTCAGCACATACCATCCAGGTGTATCTGGAGCATGACGAACTTTTGGATTACTACAACCGCATGAGACGCTGAGATACCCCCCCCCCCCCCCCAAACATTTACTACTACTACAACAACAACCAAAACCTGCATCAGCAGATTTCCCTTGACTTTGTAAAATTAGCAACGTGTGAAAAGAAGAAAAGGCGTTTGTGTATCATAGCGAAAAGGGCGAAAAGGCAGCCATATGACGATATGTAACGATTTTTGGTGGAGAACAAGATGTGTATGAATAGGAGGATGTGGAATGGAAGACAGCGAACAGCCTCTTCTTGCGAAAGAAATCGCGTCTGCGATGTTTTCCAATACTCTACCGACTGTCCCGTCTCATACCATGCCAAAGTAAGTAGTAGTAATGACAGGATTGAGGCTCTGTCTACGGACGCAATTCGCCGTGCAGACGTACGGTACCCTTAAGCCCGGCAGCCAAGGGAGTCCAGCAACTGTACGACGAATGTGCGGAGGCTGTGTGAGTGAGATCGATCGCCGCGCCCAAATCACTTCAATTAAAGTTCAAACATCGTTCACCTTCCTTCTCCAGAGAAATGCATGACGTCTCGCACACGAATCTCGATTCCTCATACAGATTTGCATTTGCCTACCTTGCAGTGTCTAATAACGTGTCAAGGTGGAAGAGAGAAGGAGCAAATCTTCTCGGCATATTCATTCGTCGTCCCACGCATCACGCGACCGTCGTGCGACCGACCAAAACGCCAACCTCCCCCTAACAAGCCGAAGCGAACCCCAATTCCAAAAAGCATATTCCCCGACCGCCCACTTCCAGCCCACACCACCCACCTTGTCTTACGCAGACGCCTCAATCGCGAATCCGACACATTTCGTAATAATTCTGGATACCGGCTGTCTGTCCTTACTGGCGATGCGATGACGCTGCACCTGAACTTCCCCCACCACCGCCACCACCACGCCAGCAGCAGCAGCAATGCGACCGAGCAAGCACACGAAGTGCGCGAAGCGCGGAGGTTTTTGAAAGAGCGCGTGCGCAATGATTGGGAGTATCCTACGCTGCCCGCGTGGCGGTCGAGTGGGCGGGAGATGAGGAAGAAGAAGGGTCAGGCGGACGATGAGGAGGAGGATTTCGAAGATCGTGTTGCGGGGTTCAGGTTTCATGTACCTGGGGAGTTGGAGAGGGAGAGGGGGGTGCTGGGGTTGGAGTTTGAGCCGGTGGAGTGGAGGGAGAGGGTGTACTCGAGTAATGAGGATGAGGAGGAGGAGGAGGACGATGTGGAGGGGGAGATGGGCAAGGTTGCGAAGAGTGCAGGTGGGAGCACGTACAAGTTCGAGGCGCCGGATAGTGTAGGGACGCAGCTGAGCGAGCGGAGGGTGAAGAAGAAGCGGAAGAGGTTCGTAGCGCTGGAGCGCGAGATGGAGTGGAATGACGGGTTGGCGCATTGGATGCGGAGGCGGGATGCGTGGTGTTGTGCGCGGACGGCGACGCAGGTGAATTCCGCTGGCGAGGATATGAGCACCAGCGAGACGCTCCAGGCTACCGACTCGGCCTCTGCATCCTCCAGCAGCCCTCGCTCCTCGACATCCTCCTCCTTTCCCCAACAATCTACGTCCACCCCGGGATCCAGCCCATCTACTACCCCCGACCTCGCCGCCATCAGCACCACCACCTCAACACCAACAACCACAACGCAAATAATCCTCTCCCCCACCGAACTCCTCCTCCCCATCGCCCCACCCCTCCTCCCCAACCACCCCGTCCGCCGCAAAATCACCCCCAACATGTACCCGGAGATCTACACCAAAATCATTCTGCAATCGCGCACGCCCTCGGTGCCCATCAACCTCCGGACGTTGGTGCACGCTCTGGTGCAAGGCTGGAAGACGGATGGCGAGTGGCCGCCGAAAGCCGCGCCGCTGGAGAAGAGTATTGGGAGGAAGAGGGGCAGTCATTCGAGTGGGTTGAGGGAGGGGGTCAAGGCTGTTGGGAGGGTTTTGAGGCTTACGGGGACGGGGACGGGGGAGGTGGGGAGGGGGGAGTCGTGAGGAAAGGCAAGTGGTTTTGGTTGGGGTTTTGTATTGGTTTTGGTGGGGTTGGTGGGGTTGGTGTTTTTAATGTGAAGGGTGCATAGCGGTGTGCATGAAACTGAAGTTTGACGATAATGATGGAGGCGGGCCGTGTACATGAACGAAGGACAGTTTCAAGTGTATTTCTGGATTTTTTCCATGAAGAAGCGAATGCTCCCCAAAATGGCCCATGGATTCCGCAGGCGTTGTTCTTTCTTTCTTGTTCCTCTCCATTGCTAACATGAAAGCATGAAAGGACAAGACCGTTTCCCCCGCCGATCGATGCCAAGGACACGGAAACAAAACGTAACATGTGATTGTGCGCTAATTAATTGGTGGCGTTTGGGACGTTGAGGGTGAGCTTACTGAGACCTTACCTTACCTTACTTCACGTCTTGTTGGAGAAACCTGTATAATAGCGCCGTTACTCTTTCATTGTGGTCCTCTGCTGGAGATGAGTGTTGTCGTTGCTCGTCCTCTGTAACGAGTGTATATGGGCGTTGAAACGTCGAGGAAATCCGAAACCAGGCTTATCAAGGTATAGGAGTTGTTGAAGTGAGGTGTTTCGATGAGTCTGGGTTTTATGAAGTTTTATTTTTCTACACGCAATGGATTAGGGAGATTGGGAGGAACAGAGCTGAAGATGAGAAAGAACGAAAGAAGAGAGAGCGGTTGTGAGAGTTTTAATGAGGGAAAACCTTTTCAAAAATACCTACCCCGAAGATATGACCAGTATCCATCACCAAGAATGCCCTCCAAATCCTTACCTTTTCACAGATACCAACCCGAACGAAACCGATCAGTAGCAAACAAGGGGAAAAGGGGAAGACTTACCTCGCCGTCCTCCTCGGCGCCGTCACACCACCATCAACTCTCCAACTACTCGTCGCCGTCGCCGTCGTCGTCGTACCAACCGACTCCCTCATAACAACCTCCGAATAAGCCCCACAAACCCCCGTACACCAGCCCCAAACCTTGTTCTTCCAACCCACACCCTCCGTGGCGGATCTCGTCTGAGCTGGGGGAGGAGGAGGAGCGAGCAAATCCCGCATCTCAATCTCCTCATACGGCGTCGATGAAGCTGTGAGGGAGGGGGTGGTGTGTGCGCGGACGGGCGTGCTAGGCGGAGGAGGGGGCGTTAGTGCAAGGTCGAAGGAGTTGGAATAGCCTTGTTGTTGGCGTTGCTGCTCCGAGGCGAGTTGGTTGGCGCGGTGGAGGACGAAGTCGAAGCTATTCACACGGGTCAGTTGTGGTCGTGATGGTGACTGTTGTTGGAGTTCAGCGGTGACGTCGAGGTCATCATCGATGTCCAGATCGATGTCGGTCATTGATGGGTCTGTTGGGGAGGTCACCTGAACCTGTGAGTTTTGTTGTTGTTGATCAGTACCGAAACCCGCCATCTCGTTCTCCGTAGTTTGGTTGTACATTATTGTGCGCCAGCTGGCCTCGTGGAACAGCTCTCTCGGGACTGCCTGCGGGCCGAGGGAGGTGGTGGAGGAGGACGTGTCCATGGTGTAGGGGTTGCCTGTGAGGTGGGTGTACGTCTCGGCGTCCATGGTCATGTCGAAGTGTTCGATGAAGCGGGGCTGGCGCATTCGTGGGGGGAGGTTGAGAGGGTTGTTGGTACTGATGGGGAGGAAAGAAAGGAAGGAAGGGGATGCTATTGGGGGTTATATATCTTGATTGATCAAAGCCGTTGTGTGTTGGGACAAAGCCTTTGAGGATGTCAAAGGAGCAACAGACCAGGACAAAGAAGCGTCCCAATGCCATTGTCAATGATTTGTCTTGAGGACGTCTCACCTTCGTGATGTCTGTCCGCATTGTGGACCTTTGAGAAAAGTGATCATGCTCGATTCGAATCCGTCTTCGTTGAAAACACCGCTATGCAATCCTCCAGACCTGCGCCAGCAAATAGATACAATAGCGGGTATCATGTATGTGAACAGTCCTCTACCCAGTGGCTATAACATACATTTCTTTTCGCCGCCACGAACGCCAGGCTGCATCTTTCGACGAGCTCACAAATGCCAGTTTCCATCTATCAATGTCGATTATCGCTCTCAATTGAGGGTGTTCGCAATGTCGACTATCGCTTTCGGTTGAGGGTATTCGGTTTCGGTTGCTTCACGGTAATGGTGTCACTCTCATCACCGTCCGACTCGTCCTCCTCCTCGTCTTCTTCCTCTTCGCTCTCAGCTTCTTCATTTGAGCTCTCTTCTTCGTCGTTGTCAGAACCTTCTTCGGCTTCGATATCGAGCATGCCATCAAGGTCGGCGTCGTCTTCATCGTCAGAACTATCATTCTCCGCATCACCGCCGAGTCCGTTGGGAAGAATGTCCATCTCCTCATCTTGACCCTGATCGATATCAAGCCTGCCACCCTGCTTCGCCTTTTGCTTCCGAGGTTGATCAATTTCGTCACCTTCATCCGCCGCATCATCGCTGTCTGATGAATCGTGGTCCTCTCCTTCAATGTACAAGACGCCATTCGGATCATCCAGATCCTCAGCGTTCGCAACCCGCGAGTCCGCCTGCATGTCGCGACGGAAGTCTAGCTGTGCATGGAGTAGATCGAGCTTGCCTTTGAGGTGTAGTAAAGGCTGTAGGCCTGCCGCTCGCTGCCGTACGACTTGAGCCAACGCCTTGACCTTGGTCATCAATTCTGGCTGGTTGGCGAGATAGCCACCGTGAGCGACGAGCGACCACTGCACCCAGACCAAAAGGTTTCCAGTCCTGCCAGGCTTGCGATGTATCTTCTCTGCTATTCTCTCGAGCAGGATGGCGATTTCGTGCGACTTTTGTCGGGCGATCGTGCGTCTTATCGTGCTTGGGTCGGTCTCGGCAAAACAGCTTTCGAGCAAATCCTTGTCGTTGGTCTTCAGGGCTTGTGTAAGGACGGTACCAAGTGAATGTCCAGCTGAGGCCCCTGACATGGGTACAAGGCCGCGGGAATCTTGGTCGGCAGCATCTTGCAGTGCCTTTCCAACGTCAATGGGGTCAGGGTGGCGCGCCTGTAACAGATCTCCAAAGGTAGGCTCGTCCTGCTGGTCTCCTCCGTCTGCGTCCTCCATGTCGGCATCGTCCACTGCTGCATCATCCTCTTCTTCCACATGACCGTTCGCAGTAGGCATGGGTTCTTGTGCCGCAGCATCCTCCTCCTCCTCATCATCATCATCCTCCTCCTCCAGCTCGCTCGACTCTTCCTCTCCGCTGGTAATGTCGATGACTTCGGGCACTATCTTCTGCTTCTTATGACTTCCATTGTCCTCATCGATACTCGTTGCCACTGCCGCATTCGACTCGTCCACCCGTGTGGACTTTGATCGTGGAGTGCCATTAGTGAGTTTGGCCTCGATCTTCTTCCCGGCTCTGGCGTCTTCGTCGACGAGGAATCCAAGGCCCGACTGGGCCGGCACGTGAGTGGACTTGAGGCGTTTGGAAGCGGGCAGCGGAGAAGCAGAAGCTTGGTGCGACTCCGCCTGCCGCCTCTTTGACCGCTTTGCGGTGCTCATGACGACGGCATGGCGCGGATCAGACAGACGGAAATGCTGGCGGCGGTGTCAGATGCGAAGGGGAGGTGAGGTCGTTTGCGTCGTGGGATGGCGTCAATGAAGCTCGAATTTCTCGTCTCAAAGTTTTCGGATCGATGCGCGCTAACGGAGTTAGTGCGTGGTTCCACACGGCTTGGCATGTTTTGACGGTCATCAAACGGCGTCACCATTTCAGCGATTGCGCTCTATATACAGCGGGAAGGTGCGAGTTGGAGCGTGAGGGCATGCGACGGAGATGATGTCGCGCCTTCCTGGGGCGATGTGTGATGCACAGAGCGAGTGCGTCGCGGTTGCCTCATCGCTGGAGATGAGAAAGGGGGCAGGCGCTGGCGGCCAATCAGAAGCCGTTGAAGTTTGAGAAAGCACGGGCGCGCCTGGCGGGATCGCTCTTAAAGGTGGTCGTCGTCCTCGAATTCTGTCGTCCGCAAAACACTCTTGCTGCTGATTACCCCGCCACCCACCCAGCCAGCACCGCACCTCTCGCCTTAGCGCCACCTTTCCGACCGACCTTTCTGCTGCTGGCTCGTGACGATAATTCCTTTGGCCCTCTGCTTATTTGCGGCCTGCATGACACGCCTGCCAAAAATCACCACCACCGCAACCCAGAGCCGCGTGCTCGGTCGCTTTCACTAGCCGACCGCTGTTTCCAGTCGCTTCGCGCGCACCCACGCCGCATCACTGCTGTCGCCTTCACGCGACTCCGTTGTTGCCACTTGTCGCCGCTGCGTGCTGCGCTGCGACTTCTTAAAGCGCCGCGCACCCTGGACCGTCGCTCTGCGCGTCATCTTGTTTCCGGTCCGTGCACACGCTAAGGCCGAAGCATAACAATTTCTGCCTCTTCATACGGAACCTCTTCTTAAAACAATCCCCCGCAAACCAGTCGGTCACGTGCCACACCACTCTCGCTGCACGTGCATCTTTTTACACCACCAAATGGCCGATATCGACTCCAAACCACCCGTCCTCGACCTTCCTGCTCTGCACGGCGACCAAGACGACCATGCTACCGCCGCCACCAACGACCTCTCCAACAACACTGGCGCCTTTGCCGAGAATGCTGCAGTTTCAGGCATCACACCTGTCGCCGACTACATCCCCAAAGATGCGACCACATCCCATCCAACTCCGCCCCCGGACGAACCACTCGCCACTTCTGAAGCCAACGTCGACGTTGACATGAAAGCAGATGAAGTGCCCAAGGTCGAGTCGGTGTCGGAACCCCAGTCGGCGGTGTCAGAGCCTGCTGTTGCACCAGTCTTCTCATCAACTGACTCAAGTCTGGTGCGGCCGCGCGAAGATGACGATGACGGAGACGACGATGAGCGAGCGGCGAAGCGCAGCAGGGTTGACGGCGATTTGGATCAGGATCAGGATGTGACATTACCTGACGCTCCACCGGTGGACTCAGTTGTGTCTGCGCCACCGCAACCTGAGGCCGATCCACCTGTTACTACCACTGCCGACATCTCTCAAGCGCCCGAAGTTGCTGCTGCGGCACCTACAGCGCCGGAAGCAAGCCCTGATCCGCAGAGAGCACCGTCAGAGGACCCTCCTGCTGCTGATGTCGACGCGCCTACCACTAACGAACTATCTGATGATCCCACTTCTGTCCCTGCCGCTGCTCAAAGCGCAGATGAACCTCCGGCGCCTTTACCCAACGGCGAGAGTGCATCACAGCCACCGGTGCAAGCAGAGAATGGAGAGGTTGCTGCCTCAAAGCCGCCTGAGGCCGAAGCAAAGCCTGAGGATGCGAAGCCTGTACAGGCTCCAGCGCAAGATGCTGCTCAACCTGCAGCGCCATCAAATCCCACCTACAGCAAAGAGCCTCTGACGCAACCACAGATACGGTATCTTGTGGATAAGCTCAAGAATATGAAGAAGACCAAGCACGCTAGTAGCTTCCTCTTCCCCGTCGATTATGTGGCTCTCAATATCCCCACTTACCCCGATGTCATCAAGAATCCCATGGATCTCAGCACTCTGGAAAATAAGTTGAAGACTCTCAAGTACGGCTCGGTCCAAGACTTTGCTGACGACTTCGATCTCATCATCCAAAACTCGCGCACATTCAACGGAGACGCTCACCCTGTCACTGTGGCCGGATTTTCGATGCAAGCGTACATGCGCAAGATACTCGAGACCATCCCTAGCGCCAATCAGGTCGTGCTTCAGAAGCCGCAACCCAAGAAGGCGTCCCCGAAGCCACAACCCCGTCGAGAGTCCCGAGCTGTAACCCAGCCCACGGCTCCTCCAGCTGCTGCTGCACCTGCACCAGCGGCGACTTCTGTCGAATCCTTCGCTCTCCAGCCAGATGGCACTCCACAGATACGTCGCGACTCCACGATCAACCGTCCAGCCCGCACCATCAAGCCACCGCCCGCGCGAGAGTTGACCTATTCGAAGCCAAAGAGAAAGGAGCACCAACTTGAACTCAAATTCTGCGAACACGTCTTGTTTGAGGTCAAATCACCCAAGTACGGCTCGCTCAACTCGGTCTTCATGCATCCTGTCGACCCGGTCGCGCTGAACATTCCTCACTATCGTCAAATCGTGAAGCAACCGATGGATCTGTCGACCATGACTCAGAAGTTGAAGCAAGGCCAATATGGCAAAGCCTCTGAATTTAAGAAAGACTTCGAGCTCATGATCAACAACTGCCTGGTCTTCAATCCTCATGGCAATCCAGTCCGCGACATGGGCGTCCAATTCAAGCGCGAGTTCGAGGCATTGTGGCAGACCAAGGAGAAGTGGGAGAAGGCACGCAAAGCTGAGCTGCAGCGTGGAACGTCTGCATCTGCCGACGAATACAGCGGCGATGAGGAAGAAGAGGAAGAGGAAGAGGGTGAGGAGGACAAGTCTAGCACCATTGCCGCGTTGCAGAAGCAACTGCAGCAGATCCAAGGCGCTCTGGCAGAGATGAACCAGCCTGCCAAGAAGAAGACCTCGAAGAACCCCAAGACCAAGACGACGAAGAAGTCCCTTGGTGGCGGCGCTCCACCTCCCAACAAGAAGCCGGTACCCAAGCCAAAGGCGCCGAAGAAGCCAAAGCAAGTCACGTACGAGGAGAAGCAAGAAATCTCCGACGCAGTTGGCCGGATGAGCGAGGATCAGGTTAGCAAGCTGACCAAGATCATCACCGACAACTGCCAGAAGTACGCGGACCAGGAAGAGATGGAGCTCGAGATCGACGACTTGCCAAACGACGTGCAGGCCATGCTCTTGACGTATGTCCGTTCGTTGTTTGGCAAGCCCAGCAGAGCCGTTCGTGCCGACTCTCCTGATGATGCCGCTGCCCTGGACGATGACGACTTCGAGCCCACCGAGCGCGGCGGTCGTCGTGGCGGCGGCGGTGCCGGCAACAAGCGCAAGAAGCACAAGCCTATGCACAAGGAGGAGCAGCAGAAGGCTATCAACGACATCAAGAACAAGCTCGCCCAGTTCCAGAACGCTACCAGCGCCTCTCCCAGCCAGCAAGAGGAATCTTCTGGTGACGAGAGTGAAGAGAGTGAGGAGGAGTAGATCAGAGCAGGTTGGCTCGTGTAACGATTGAGGAATTTGTGTTTTCAATGAGATGTTTTTCAGCGGGAGAAAAGGAGCATTGAGCGTTTTGTTGTTGTTGTAGAAATACTTAGGTAGTAGTTTCACTGGCTGGAGGGGCTTGTGGAAGAGAGTAGAGTAGCTGACTTTTTTTGACAATCCACTCTGGATAGCAGTCTTCAATCGAGACTGCTTGTTTGTACGAATGATACCCCATTACGCAGATGGTGGGTGCAAGGTAGGCTTGTTCTTATTCCATTTCACTCCACTACGATCCATTTCGATCTCAAGCATCGTCTTCCTTCCCCTTCCATCACACCGCCCTTCTTCGGCGATAGCCTCACATTGTCTTGCCATCATTCAATCCCATCAATCCCATCATATCAAACATCACATCCCATCAAACCACAAAATTCTCCCTCTCCTCCCACCCCCACGCAGCCTTCAAATTCGCAATCGCCACCCCAGTGGGCCACGCATGCATCTGATCGCACTGATCCAACACATACAACAACGCCTCCTGCTCGCGGCGCTCGACGAACCTCTCCCCCGCCATGCTCGCCGCCATAGAAGCATACGTGAACGCCGGGGCGTTGCCCGGGTTCGAGAGCGACATGCCGCAGAGGACGCGGACGTGGTGCCGGATCTGGGCGTCGGTTTTGCGCAGGGCGGCGGTGCGGCCGGGACCTAGGCGCGGGATCGAGGGGTTGTGAGATGTTAGGAGGATTTGTGAGAGGTGGTAGTGTTGGATGCCGGTGGCGTGGGTGTCGGAGGCGTACCAGATCTGTGGAGAGAGGGTCAGGGGATGGGGGACAGGGTGGGAGGGGAGGGGATGGTGCTTACTTCGGGGAAGACTTCGGCGTCTGTTGGGTCGCTGTGGAAGATGGGGGTGAAAGATGCCGGTTTGCTGTCGTGCCTGGTGGAGATCAGTCAGCATCAGGCTGTAGGAGCGAGAGGGAGGCAGTCCGTACCATTGCTGGACCTGTTCGACGAGGTACCGATACGTCGCCAACGACTGGGCTTGAGAATCCTGCGACTCGCTGAAACAGTATCTTATGACATCCGCACAGAGGACGACCATTCGACAGGCCCTACTCGAAGATCAGTCCTGTCATCCCGGAGAAGCACGACGAGATTGGACATACCAGATATGATCCTCCGCCGCCTCAAACGACCGATCAACATTACAGTGCTCCAACGCCGGCAGAACCGGCCTCTGATTCACAAACGCCACATAGACTTCCTGCCTCAACCCGACCCAAAAAGCCGCCTGTCTCAACCCGCCCGTCACAGCAGCCCTCTCCTGCGCCGCAATGAATGCCTGCGCCCCGAGCAGATGACTATGCTGATCCGCCGGCTGCTGCCCGGAAATCGGAACTTCAAACTCCTCCAGATGTCGCAGAATGATCGTGGACGCGAGGAGGTTCTCGTCCAGAATCGCGGCGGTGTCGTCGAGCATGGGGATGAGGTGTTTGAGGCATTCTTGGTGGTATTTGTTGGAGATGAGGGGGTCGTATTGGCCGATGCGGGAGAGGTGGCGGGCGGAGAGGGCGAAGATGGCGTTCATGAGAGTCGGGCAGATTGCGGCTCTTTGGGGCACGACGGAGCGGAAGTGTTGAAGGGGGTCGGTGAGGTCGAAGTTGCGGGAGAGGGTTTCGACGAAGTAGCGGAGGAGGTTGGCTTCTTCTTTGTCCTGTGGGTAAGTGTTAGAACGTGCAAGCTAATGAATAGAATAAGAGATGAGCTGGCTTGAATGACCAACCTTCAAAGGCCAGATGGGAGTCTCCAAGTAAATTCGTGATAACGACTGAGACACAGTAGTCTCCAGCCCCGGGAAAGAAGAAAGATCAATCTCCGAATTCGATGCCACATTGTCGATAGTCGCAGAGGGAGTCCACCCCGTATGCCACGAGTCTGCCGGTGACTGAGCAAGTAGATTCCCTGGGCTCCCAGAAGTCGCAGAGCTCTGGTACGAACTCTCGAAAGTCAACCGCCGTCGTTTCGGTAGGGACTGGCCAGCGGGAGACGTTGCTGATGGGATTCTATCTGAGTATGGATGGCTGTCTGCGGGCGATTGGCTTGGATAGCTGTGTTTCTCGGGCGAGGTTTGGGGCTGTGAAGTGACCTCGCTCTCTGGCCATGGGTACTGCGGTGCTTCTGGGCGTTGTAGCACTGGGAACTGTTGGCTCGTCGTTGCAGGTGAGTCGCTTGGAAGCGAAGACTGCTCTTGCGTGGCCTGGGATGTGCTCTCTTTCCGACTTCTTTGCTTCGATGGCTGCTGAATCGATGGAGCATTGTCCGGCCATCGGCAAGGTGTTGGATACGGATTGTCCTCGTCAGGATTATGGTCGTAAATATTGACAAGCTCCGGCGTCTCATCCAGAAACGTAAGATTCTTCGCAATCTTCACCCAGGTTTGCTTATTGCTAAAGTCGTACTCGGTCTTCGCCAGGCCAGAGTCCTTGAGATTGGCGACACTTCGCACGAGTTAGTGGACGGTACAGCATTGAGTCGTTGGTGGCGATGGCGATCATCACCTTGGATTTGCTCCATGACGAAAGCGAATGTTGTATCCTCTGACGCACTCGATGCCAGACTTCTCGCAGCGGGCACAGGCAGGTCTTCGAGAAAGGTCAGCATTGGAAAGTAACCCATTGGGGAGGACAAAGTACTCACCTCCGCTCGTCACACTTCAGATGTCTTCATCAATCAGTATGGAACTCAACCAAGTCAAAGGAACAAAAGAAACGAACCTCTGTCGACAATTCTGACTACACACAACAAACAGTCAGAAAACAACGTTCTCCAACCAATAACCACAACCACATTACTACCCACCAACCAGTCTTCGTCCTCTGCGTCTGTGCAGTCGCAGTCGCAGTAGTCACCGTCTCCGAACCCGACTTTCCTGGCGACATAACTCAACCTAGACAGCAGCCATGGTGGCAAGACATCTCACACGACAGAAGGCAGCAAGGGCCGGGGCGGGACATATCACCTCCATCGGCATTTGGAGGCAAGTCGAGGGCAAGTCCTTGTGGCGGCGGGAAGATGGGTACATGCGTAGCTGCGGGGGTGCCGCGTGCTTGGAAGTGAGAGCTTGTGCTTGTGGGAAAGGTTAGGTTGAGCTGGGGTGTGTGGGGACGGCACATTGTCGGGCAGGTGGTGAGGGGAGATGGGTGAGATGCGGGTTGGCTGGGATTGGGAAGCCGTGATGGGGGAGATCTGGAGGGAAATGTGGCGGTTGTCATGTGCTTGGGTCTGTGCTGAGGGCGCCTAGAAAGGCGAGACCAGAACAACTGAGGTGAGGATGTAGGCGTGTGCATTACATTCTGGTTCATATAGGTATAGTATAGGCTTTATATCCATTTATTGCGCTGTCCAGAACAACTCGAACGCTGACAATTCGTAACTTTTCAAAGTCCTCTAAAGACGTGCCTTCTCCTCCACGATCTCCTCGCCAATTTCATTGAAATCGATCTTCTTGCCCGTGCGAAGCGATTTCTGAAGAGCGTCGCCAATCTTCAGAGCCGAGATAGCACCAGAGAGCTGGAACGGTGGCTTCTTGCCATCCAAGATGCACTCGGTGAACTCGTTTGACTCGGTCACGAAGGCCTGCTCGAAGCGGTCGTAGTAGGTCTGGGGGACGTCGCGATGGATACCAGTGGCTTCGTGCATCTCGACGAGGTTTTTCTGTGGGTTGCCGTTGACGACGATCTTGCCGTGTGTACCGATGATCTCGGTGGTGTCGGTCTGGCCAGCTGCCATCATTCGGGAGCTGTAGAAGTAGGCAATCTTGCCACCCCAGAACTCAACAACACCGATGCCGTTGTCCACATCGCCGTACTTCTTCAGATCTGCTAAGCGAGCGTTGATGCCCAAAGCAGTCACGCTCTTGAGAACGCTATCCTGGCCAAAGTACCACAGAGCAAGATCGATGTCATGGATATTGGCGTCAACGAAAATGCCACCGCTGAACTTCGCGTACTGAACAAAGTAGTCGTCGTTCCTGTGCTTGTCACAAGTCTGGCTTCGAATGATAGAGACACGGCCAATATCGCCAGATTCAACCCGGTTGGCTGCGTCCCTGTAGCTGGCATCGAATCGTCGCGAGAAGCCGCACATGACAGTCAACTGTGGCTTTTGGCGAGCGGCCTTGAGAACACCCTCGCAGATCTCCAAGCTGGTAGAAAGAGGTTTCTCGCACAGGACGTGCTTGTCTGCTGCGATGGCGCGGATTGACTGAGGAGCGTGCTCGGTGGTAATGCCAGCCACCACCACGGCCTCGAGGCCTTCGTGCTTGAGCATCTCATCGAAGTCGTTGTAGATCTTGACGCCGAACGGCTCGAGGCGCTGCTTGGCCCAAGCCAAAGCCTTTGGGTCTGGATCGCATGCAGCGACGAGCTCGGCGCGAGGAGTGCGGTCGAGGAAATGAAGGGCGTGGCGAGCGCCCATGCGGCCGAGGCCAGAGACAGCGACTTGAAGCTTGCGGACCATGTTGACTGCTGTGGTGTAAGATGAAGAGGAGGAAATGATTGGGTCTCTCTCTAGCTTTTTGAAGCTGAAATGGCTGGCGGTGGGGAGGAATCGGTCGCGCAGAAAGACCGGAATACGCGGAGATGGAGAAACGATGATGATGAAAAAGCTGAACAGAAGAAGGGACTGACCTTTTTATTTCCTCGACACCTTGACGCGCCCACGCGTTGCACGATGGAGAGCGTAATGCAGTGCTAGAGAGGGTAATGCATGACCAGCGAAAAGGTGCTCCAGCTGTGGTGGGAATTGAGTTCCTCGATGGCCTGTTGCTCAGATGGCGGGCGCGGGAGGAGTTGCCGCCGAGACGTGGCTGGGGCAAGACTATCCTTGAGGAGCTATACGGACTATCCGCGCCGACGAGAGATGGCGGCCGGAGGTGAATGGGGTTAAACTGGCTGTGCGGTATTGCTGGAATAGGGAGACAAGACCGCTTTACAGTGGAATAGCCTGGGAAAGGCAGCGATCAGGCTGGCAGCTTTTCATTGCTCGCCTCTAAAACATTCAACCGGGTATCTCGTACCGACGGGATTCAAATTCCGATACAAACTCAATCGTTGAACGACCTGGTCACGACAACACGTGTCTATCATTCTCTATTGTTTACACTACCTGGCCATCCATCCTCCATCGACCGTGAGAATCTCACCAGTAACATAGCCACTCGCCCGACTCGCCAGATATACCACGCTGCCCTTGAAGTCCTCCGCCGAGCCCCATCGCCCCGCTGGAATGCGCTCCAGGATCGATGCCGCCCTCTTCTCGTCCGCCAACAACGCCTCGTTCATATCGGTCGCGATATAGCCTGGAGCAATGGCATTCACCGTGATGCCCTTGTCCGCCCATTGATTCGACAGCGCCTTGGTCAGCTGGCCAACACCTCCCTTGGAAGCCGCGTACGCCGGCACGTTGATCCCTCCTTGGAATGTCAATAGACTTCCAATGTTGATGATGCTGCCTCTTCGTCCGTATTTATCCGCATCTCGAGAGAGCATGTGCGCGCCAACATCTCGGCAGAGAGTAAACACAGCGTTCAGGTTGACCTGCAACACCTCGTTCCAGTCGTCGTCCGGGAATTCGTGTGCAGGATGCCGTTTTTGGATACCACCGCAGTTGAGGAGAATGTGCACCTTGTGGCCATCGCTCAGGACTTTGGGCAAGAGTGCTTTCATCGAGTCGTTCGAGGCGAGGTCTGCGGTGTATATGTGGGCTTTTCGTCCCAGCTTCTCGATTGCTTGCTTGGTTTCTTGATTTGAGTCATTTCGCTGTCTCTTGTTAGCACAACTTCAGCATGCATGGTCTGGCTCATCTCGTACCTGTACCAGCAAGACGTTTGCTCCTGCTTCTGCCAATGCTATCGCCATTGCTTGCCCAATGCCTCGCGTTCCCCCCGTCACCAAAGCTGTCTGCCCTTCCAGGCTGAAAAGTTGCTGTACCGTCGCCATCTCTGCTGCTTTCTCTCTCTCTTTCTCTCTCAATGCCTCTACCGCACGCGCAGAAGTCCAGCAATCTTATGAACAGATCGCGAAAATTGGTCGTGCTTCTAGTGAGACATCATGCTCCCATCTGCGAGCGCCGCGACTTCGTCCCATTCAATTGCCGGCATCGACTTTTCCCCTCCGCTCAAACGCCGACCCCCACCAAACCCCTCCAATCGCGTCCCCCAAATCAATATAGCCTCCAGTCGGAAAAGCAGATGCGTAGGAAATAGACGGATAATAACGGCCGGTCAATGCTGTGAGAAGAGATCAGAAGGCAATCGGTACAGTGGACACTTTTTCTTCCATACCATTCCAACTGCTCCAAAGCAAAAGAGCGACCTGCGAGACAGACATCAAGGTGCAACAGCTTCCCTCTGCTCATCATGGCTACTGAAATCCACGCCTCGGTCCTACATGCGGCCAAAGACCTTCGCGTAGTACGTCTCCTACCTAACATGCCGACTCGATAGCATGAAATAGTAACTAAAAGGACATTCATAGGAAACCCGCACCGTATCCCCACCCGCCGCCGACGAAGTCCAAATCCACATCGCCTCCACCGGCCTCTGCGGCAGCGACCTGCACTACTACTCGCATTTCCGCAACGGCGACATCCTCGTCCGCGAACCCCTCAGTCTCGGCCACGAATCCGCGGGCATCGTCACCGCCGTAGGATCCTCCGTTTCAAACTTCCAGCCAGGTGACAAAGTCGCCCTCGAAGTTGGTCTTCCCTGTGAACAATGCCAGCGGTGCAAGCAGGGACGGTACAACATCTGCAAAGATGTGAGATTCCGGAGTAGTGGGAAGTGTTTCCCGCATTTCCAGGGCACGTTGCAGGAGAGGGTGAATCATCCGGCGAAGTGGGTGTACAAGTTGCCCGAGGAGTTGAGTATGGATGTTGGGGCACTGTTGGAGCCTTTGGGCGTTGCTTTGCATGCTTTCAGACGGAGCCTTATGCCTGAAAATGCGACTGTGGTCGTGTTTGGCGCGGGAGCTGTGGGGTTGCTATGTGCTGCTGCGGCGAAGTTGAGGGGCGCTGGGAAGGTGGTTATTGCGGATATCGATGCTGGGAGATTGGACTTTGCGGTGCAGAATGGTTTTGCGCATGCCAGTTATACTGTGCCGATGAGGCGGGGGAAGGATATTGACGAGAGTTTGCAAATCGCCAAGGAGACGGCGGAGGAGATTGGGAAGGTTGATGGGGTAGGTGAGGTGGATGTGGTGTTCGAGTGTACCGGAGTGCCATCCTGTGTACAGGCTGGCATCTACGTAAGTCGAAAAAGCTCAGTTTATAGTCCCTCCAGCTGACAGTCTACTACAGGCAACAAGACCAGGCGGCCGCATCATGCTCGTAGGCATGGGCCATCCCATCCAGACTCTCCCCCTTGGAGCCGCAGCCTTGCGAGAAGTCGACATCGTCGGCGTCTTCAGATACGCCAACACCTACCAAGAAAGCATCGACATCGTCCTCCAAGCCCAGAAATCCTCCGAAGGACCTGACTTCTCGAAGCTCATAACGCATCGTTTCGCTGGCTTCGAAGACGCCGTCAAGGCCTTTGAGATGGCGAGTAAAACGAAGGATGCGGACGGCAAGCTTGTGCTGAAGGTGGTTATCGATAGTAGTGAAGACGCAAAGGCGAGGCTGTAGATGTTCGTACCTTCACCGGTGGATTCATGCAAGGCGACGAAATAGGAAGGAGCGACGTCGAGCAGATTTTACACTTCACAGCCGCTTCGAAGGATTCGCCCATACTATTTCTGTCGAGATTTGCAACGCTCAGGCGCCAACTCAGGTAGCACAGCAGGACACAATGGCATGTGGGGGCCATATAGCAGCTACATCCCGTCCTTCAGCCTTTCTCCCCTCTTCACTTCACCTCGCAGTGCGCGAAGTCGCCCATACACAATGCTCCTCGTCCTAACGACCCTCGCTGTCGCAGCCGTGTCGCTCGCCGAATACCAAGAATTTTTCTTCACAGCCAACGGCACCTGTCCCGGACTCGCCTGGGGGTGCGTCGCGGACGGCGTGCTCGCCGCTTGCGCGTACGACAGCACCGTAGACAAAAACTACTGTTGCGGCGGCGCCGCGCAGGGAACGTGTCGAGTCTCCGCCCCGGATTGCTTGGGGGGTGATGGCGGGCCCTCGTCGACGCAGCAGCTGTGCAGTGTTGGGGACACGAACTGGTGCTGTTTGAAGGATACGGAGGCTTGTACGCCTAAGCAAGGTGAGGAGATCGCATGCGTCATGGAGAGAGAGAGAGAGGAAGACAGACAGCTGATGTGATCTGTGATTTTGAACAGGACAAATCAACGTCTGCATCGCCACGCAGCCCGATACGATTGCCAATGTCAGCCAGGAAGTTTTGAATGAGACGTTTTCTTCGCTGTCCTCTGCCGCGCCGACGGCGACGACGTTCTCGTTCGATGCGGTGGCGCTTGCTGCTGCGGCGGTTTCTACGAGTTCGTCGTCGACGGTCACATCCTCTCCGTTACCGTCAGACTCGTCTTCAAGTTCTTCGACTTCCAGTCCGAGCCCAACACCCTCCAGCAGCTCCTCCTCCAATTCCCTCTCCGGCGGCGCAATCGCCGGCATAGTCGTTGGCTGTGTCGTCGGTATCGCCGCGGTCCTCATCATTGCATTCCTGATCTTTCGTTGCCGGCGTAACAACAACAGCAGAAGTCCCGCGAACGAGACAGGTTATACGAGCGTGCCTACGCAGTCGATGGAGAAGAGAGAGATGGGTACGGACGGGAGATTCGAGCTTTTCTCCCAAAAACCTGCAGCGGCAGAATTGGAGGGCACGCATGAGCCGAGAGAGTTACCTGGTGGGAGGGGGATAGCGAGCGAGTTGCCTGCGCATTGATTGATTTGGCGTTTTACAAGATTACGATACCCATGGGACGCATTACATTCATCATCTAGTCATCGACAATAACAAACATTCCCAAAACGCCGCGCTACCTTTTTTCCAAAAACACACAACCACTACGCCGCAACAATCTTCCCACCCTGACACGTCGTCCCAGCAGCCACACTCCCCATCCTCACCCACCCGCCGTGATCACAAACCATAAACCCCTGGCCCCCATCGACACACTGCAAACTCCCATCAACACTACAATCGCCATCCGGCCTTGCTCTCACAATCCTATCATCCCGATACTGCCCACCCGCCACATTGCCCTGCTGCGCGTACTGCTCCGTCTGGCTGTTGTCAGGCGATAGGGAAGTCAAGCACTCCATGCCGGCGGCGACCTGGCGTTCGGAGACGTAGACCCAGGTTTGCGAGGAGCTGACGCTGCCGTCGTTGTAGTTGCAGGTTTTGCAGGTCGTGGCGCTGGTGCAGATGAAGGAGCCGGGGACGCAGGGGAGGTAGCGGGTTAGGTCGCCGGTGGCGTAGGGTGGGCGGTTGTTGTTGTTGTCGCCGCTGCCGCCGTTGCTTGGTGATGGAGTTGGGGGTTTGGTGGATGATGGTGGAGGGTTGGGCTTGGTTGATGGTGGAGGAGGGCTGGGTTTGGTCGTGGAGGTGATGATCCTTGAAGATCTGGTCGTTGGTATGTTGGTCGGTGTCGGTTGTGCTACGCATTGCCACACACAAGTGCCAACCAGTTCGCAGCCGTATCCTGCAGCGCATGGGCATACGGCAGCCGTTCCTGTGCAGGCGGATGGTGGTGCGGAGGTTATGTATGTGGCTGGGCGGCTGGTAGTTGTCGGAGATGGCGAGACGAAGACCGTGACAGTGCTGGTACAGTCGAGAGTGAGGGTGGTGGTCGAGGAGAAGAGATCTTGGGAAACGGCCAGCTTTGGCGGGAAGTCGGCTGCTTTTGCCAGTGGTTGCGGCAGTGCAGCAGAGTGTCCTGCCGCAAAGTGATGGTAGGCCGCATGTGATGAAGGATGTGATGTTGGGCGAGTCTTGGTTGCTGAACTAGAGCTCGACGTACTCTCAGTGATTTCTGGCGTATGCGCAGCAGCCTGGTATCCATTCGCCACAGAGCTCGTAGGCGTTAATGATGTGCCGTTGCCACCAGGATCTGGAGACGAAGAACTGTCACTCAGATCTTTGTACGTTTGTCCATACGGCATCGGAGAGTCACAAGATCCAGAAGTAGGAGGATCTGAGCTGCTTCTTCCATTGCCGTAAACTACATCCGGGCCTGGACTTGGGTACACCGGATCCTCTCCTTCACTCGTTGCGCAGTCGTTGACGCCTTCCAGATTTGCTTTCCAGATGTAAGGCAGGCTTTCGAAGGTGTTATATGTATCTCTTCGCCTACGCCTGGTCACTCCAGAGATGATACTGACTTCTGCGCAATTCATGTAGAACTCCCGATTTCCCATATTGTTCTGCCACGTCCATCCTAGCAAGGCTGTTCCACTGGACACATAGGATGGTATTGTGAAATCGTAAGTCGAGACCAGAGGACAGCCTCCAATCATGCTTTTGATTACTCGGAACGTCGCTCCATTATCGTAAGAGAGCGATATTTGACAAGAGCCTCCACCATGTGTTGCCGACCCCGCCAAAGTCATGTTGTATGTGGAGCCTGCGGCGTATGTTACTGTTGTGCGAATCGGTCTATCATTTTGATAGCCTTTGCAAGGGAAGTTCGATCCATCGGGTTCGAGCGGCGAAGTCATGCTGTAGTCGATGTTCTGATATGATGTGTTCTCTGGATCGAATTTGCTGTGTAGAGGATATGGCCAACTCATTTCCATATGACCCAACGCCTGTGGCGCGAGCAGTAGTAAATTGCATAGTGCCGAGGCAATGGGTGTAGATCTTCGTGAACTCATGATGTGAAAATGTGGATATGGTATGCTCAGGAACAGGAAAAAGATCGTTTCGTTCTCAAGTATACTTACATACTATCGAGCAAGGGAGATGCGCATCGTTCTTGCTTGCCATCTTCTTTCTATCGTGCGATCAAGGTATGGTGGCTAAGGTGTCGCGAAGTGCTGGGAGAGTATGGCCAGACGTTGGAACAGCCGCTGGGAGGAGGTCAGTCCAGCATTCTTCGCGCTTTACGGGGCGCGTCTTCGCTGCAGGTCCGCATTCCAAGGCCCGACATGGCGATCCAACACTCCACATCGATAGTTCTTAGGCTATGCATGATCGATGGCCAGACTCGTATGCAGTCCTTTTCGGAATGATGGGCGCAATGGTGCAGCGAAGAGTCTCTTTCGGCTCAGATGCTAATGGGGAAAACCAGCCCCCAGGTCAGTCATACAGATCGTAAGGCCCGCAAGAGATGCTTTGATTCCGAACAAGATGATATCGCGAGGACGATGAATGTGTGGATGTCGTCCTTTCTTTTACTGCGTCGGCGGAATCGGCTGAAAAGGCTATCTCGAAAGCTATCATCGTCTTCACCTCGGAGCTGCTTGGGATGTGGAGGTCAGGATGCGTCATGCCTGGGCTCATCAATCGCTATTTTGGTAAAGGTGAAAGACGGGTGGTGAAGATTAAGGTCGAAGGTTGACTTCCGCTCGGCCAGGCAGCTGATTCCGCGAGACCAACGCACGGATCCCAAACCTTGTCCAGCTCCCATCGCGTCTTCTCCCTCGACGCGATCTGTTCAGCAACACCACCATACAATGCCGGATCTCACCCAGCACAACGCCGCCAATGAGGAGCGCCTTAAAGCGGCCTTGTGGCATTCGATCGGGAAGACAGTCGACGCCATCGCCCTCGAGAACAACATCAATGCGACTCCGCAGTTCATCGGCAGTCTCACGGAGCTGGTTCACGCGAAGATCACTACTGCGGCGACAGATCTGGAGGCTTTTGCAAAGCATGCTGACCGGTCGACTATCAATAGCAAGGATGTGATGTTGCTCGCGCGGAACAACGAAGGGCTCGAGGACATTCTGAAAGAGAAGGCCGATGCGGTTCGCAAGAGCAAGAATTGATGAGAGGACCATCTGCCGTGGAGGGAAGTGCATTACAAACCTTTGTCGACCACTTGTGGGGATACTGGGGACAAACATTGGAAGAACAACATGTTTATGACATGGGGTATCTTCATCTATCGCTCTAGGACCTCTGCGCGCTCAAATTGCCCAGAAATGCAAAAGCACCATCTACGACGACTTGTCGGGGAAACCGAGGTCTACGCCAAATGGTGGGTAGACATACCGCGTCAGACCTTTCTTCTTGTGGATGCTGTCTAATGCTTCCAGATCAGAAGAGTCGAGCTTGACCGTCTTCAGGTTCTCCTCGATGCGCGATGGCGTGACCGACTTGGGGAGGACAACATGGCCCTTGTTGACTGCCACGCGATTAGCATCATCCAACATCAGTCTATCCTCGCGGGGATATGGGAGGTCTTACTTTGGTAGCTGATCAAAACCGTACCATGGCCGACATTATGCTTCTTTGCGACCTCTTTCACGACATCCTCCTCGAAGAGTGGACTGCCGGTGGAGCCCAACGGACTGTAGGCTTCGATCAAGATGCCCTTCTCTTTGCAGAAGTCGGAAATGTCTTGCTGGGGGAGCAGAGGATGGTTCTCGATCTAACAATCATGAGCGAAGCTGGTCTGGCCAAAGTCAAGAAATGCCATACCTGGTTTGCAGCAGGAACGATGGAGGCCTCGGCAAGGAGCTCTTTCAGATATTTGACGCTGTAATTCGAGACACCAATAGCCTTAGTCTTGCCTGTCTTCAGGAGCTGCTCCAGGTTCTTCCAGGTCTGGACATGCGACCACTTATGATCGATGTCACGCGATCCGTCCTCGTGCTTGGGAAAGAGAGGGTGGTTGCCATTAGGATTCATGTGGACTGGCCAGTGAATGAGGTAGAGGTCGACATAGTCGAGGCCCAGTCTCTTCAGACTCTCATCAATTCCTTCCTCGACCTTGGAGTGATAGGTGTTCCAGAGCTTGGTGGTGACAAAAACGTCCTCACGCTGTCAAGTGTCAGACCATCTCTTTCAAATGTGGTAGATGCTACGCTGGGTGTACCTTGATGCCGGAATCGAAGGCTTCCTTGAGACCCTCTCCAACCTCTTTCTCGTTGCCATAGACGAGGGCCTGGTCATCACGTCAGTATACAATCATGTGATCGAGAAATCGACGACGGCAAGCACACGATGCTGAAAAAAGGCTTCACTTACAGCGTCAATGTGTCTGTAGCCGCTCTTCAGCGCATGAGCGACGGCAGTCTTGACCTGACCTGGTTCTGTTGAGGAAGGCACACGTCAGGAATTGTGAGTGGTGTCTCAAGCATCGCACATGTACTGACCAGATTGCCAGGTTCCGAGGCCGACCGCTGGGATCTTTGCGCCAGTGTTGAGGCTGAAGTACGTGTCTGCCATTGTTGGTGGATGGAGGATGTGCTGCGGTGTTTTGCCAATCATCCAGTTCGCAAGTTGGGGATTCATGCTGGCACCCCTCGGTGACACGTCGGTGGAGAAGAGCCCGAAACGCGTGCTCAGCACAAGGGTCGTCCTGACGCAAGCGCCGACAATTCTTCCATCACCTCCAGCTTCGGCCATTGAAATCCAAAGCGGCGCCCCACCCACGTGATCGGATACCCCGCCATGTCACGAGCGCCATCGGCGAGTGAGGGTCGTACAGACGGCGTCTGCTCTACGGAAGAACATTGCGCCTATTCCAACCTGCTCCGACGCTCGAAGAGACAGGAAGTTGGAGCCAGGAAAAACAACACCTCCGACACTACGGCGAAACACCCCGGCCAGGTCAAGAAGAGGAAATGTTTCCCATCGATTACGACAGCAAGAACCACTCGGAGGAGCTGATGTGGAGCGTTGAGGGATTTTCTTGTGTCCGATGACACAAAAGACCCTGCCGAGATGCACGCTAACGCTCAAGTTTCTCCGGTCCTGACCTATCGTTCCCTCCACATGGGGCAGGCTGCATTGCGGTACGAGTTCTGGCTGGGACGGCGCTGTCGATGGTGCATGAAGGCGTATCAAAACCCAATCTGGGCTCAACCGCCAACCCACAGCAAGGCGGATGATGACCACCAAGGCTCTTGGAGAGGACAATAGACTGGGGAACGCTGCTATGTGCGATTTCATCCGTCTTGCCCCGTGTGCTCTCCAGAGGCAAGTGGAGTGCCAACATCTCTGGTAAGCCGATACTCAGGAGTGCCCATAAGTATACTGCCATTTCACTGCCTCTCCTCCACTCCCTCTCTCCCTCTCCTCAATCTATCCCATTCACATCCCCAAGAACAAGTCCACACATCCAATCGACTTGTGCATTTTGAGGACTGTCTTTCATCAGTATTATCCACCATGGCACCAGCAGCCGTCTTCGAGACGCCCAACGTCAACGAGAACTTCAACGACCACAAGGATGGGCTCGCACTTGAGGCGACCTCAGATGCCATCGATGAAGTGAACGTTCTCAAGGCTGCCATGCGGGTAAAGAACGGCACCGCTACTCAAGAAGAAGCCGACATCTACGAGAAGTCGCAATTTGACTCAGAGAAAGACAAGACCCAATTCCGACAATACGAGGATGCGTGCGACCGTGTCAAGAACTTCTACAAGGAGCAACACACCAAGCAGACCGTCGCCTACAACCTCAAGGCACGCAACGACTTCCGCTCCAAGACTCGTGCCCAGATGACCATCTGGCAAGCAATGGAGAAGCTGAACACCCTCATCGACGAGTCAGACCCAGACACCTCGCTCAGCCAGATTGAACATCTCCTCCAATCTGCTGAGGCTATCCGCCGTGACGGCAAGCCCAAGTGGTTCCAGCTGACCGGCCTCATCCACGACCTAGGCAAGCTGCTCTTCTTCTACGACGCCCGTGGCCAGTGGGACGTCGTCGGCGACACCTTCCCAGTAGGCTGCCGCTTCGACGAGTCCATCATCTACCCAGGAACCTTTGACGACAACCCAGACAGCAAGGACCCAATCTACAGCACCAAGGAAGGCATCTACACCCCAGGCTGCGGCATGGACAACGTCATGCTCAGCTGGGGCCACGATGAGTACCTCTACCACATCTGCAAGGAGCAGAGCACTCTCCCCGACGAGGCTCTCGCCATGATCCGTTACCACTCCTTCTACCCCTGGCACAGCGCTGGTGGGTACCGATGGATGATGGACGAGAAGGATGAGAAGATGTTTGCTGCTGTTAAGGCGTTCAACCCTTATGACCTGTACAGCAAGAGCGACGGTATCCCAGATGTTGAGGAGCTCAAGAAGTACTACATGGAGCTCATCAACACTTACTTCCCACCAAGGGAGGGTGAGACTGAGCGTGTCATCCAGTGGTAGATTGGTGCTGAGCTGGTGAATGCATGAAAAGGCGTTGCGGTTTTGTTAGATAGTCGGCTCCTGCTGGAGAAGTGGTTGAGCGACATGATGTTTGCAATTTTAGCGAAACGAGTCAGTAATGAAGTTATGATTATATCTCGACTATATTGATTATTACTTTCGCTTCTAATGATTGGATGTCTTCCCTTGATACTCTCTTTCGATGGTGATGGCTGAGTTCAAGATACTCGCTCGCTTCCCAAGAGAAGTCACGTGATTTTTTTCTGTAATTGGCTAGATCCCATTCTTTCTCGGGAGTATCCGCCCCTACCACACGCGCCAAGATTTCAAAATTGCGGAAGGGAGTTTGCGACGCACGACTTCGCTGCTCGCATTCTCTGCACCCACGAACGGCGTAGGATACCCATTTCTTTGCGCCCAACAAACACCTCCAATACCTCCAAAATGGTTCAGGGACCAGTACGTATATCGCTTTGCTGCCCGCCGACGCCTTGAATGGCTTGTCACTTCGGCATAGAGCAGTAGGCTGAGACAGGAATTGTAGAAGAGACCAACTGCCGGCGGCGGCGGCCTTAAGGGCGCACCCAAGAAGGGCCAGAAGGTGACCAAGAAGGTACTGATGACTCCCAGTAAACCACTGAGCCTCACACAGCAGCCAATGCTAACACAAGCTTCTTCCCAGTTCATCATCAACGCAACCCAGCCAACCCAAGACCGCATCTTCGACCCCTCCGCCTTCGCGACCTTCCTCCAGCAGCGCATCAAGGTCGACGGTCTCACCGGCAACCTCGGCGACAACATCACCGTCTCCAACCTCGGCGACGGCAAGATCGAGGTCGTCGCTCACCAGGAGTTCTCCGGCCGCTACCTAAAGTACCTGACCAAGAAGTTCCTCAAGAAGCAGCAGCTCCGTGACTGGCTCCGTGTCGTCAGCACCAGCAAGGGCGAGTACAGCCTCAAGTTCTTCAACGTTGTTGGTGAGGAGGGTGATGAGGATGAGGACTAGGGGGAGTGAAGGGGATACCTTACTTGCTCTGATGGGGTTCTTTGGGACGGCTTCGCAAGGAGTGCAGGATGTACATTCGCGGGATCGCAAGATGATACTGCTGTGGTCTCGATAGCTGTCAAAATGGAACCTCTGAACCTCACATTCATTCGAACATTTCTCTTGAGCTAATAACGTCCAAGCTTGTTGCGGCTGAACACTTACGTACCTACAGCCTTTGACCATTCATCACAGATCGTCGTGTCGCGTCTGCCGAGCCTCCGAGATTTCGGGGTCGACCGTGAACCTGAGACATGATCTCGAGGATTCGCAAGATTTTTCGGCCCCGAACACTTCAGAACTTCAGAACATGATGCCGCATATCGCAAAACTTTGGACGACCGCGAGAACGAGCCCGGAGTTGGTACAGTATGAACGTTGACACTATACAAGTGCTCTCAAATTACTCAGTGGGCCATCATATAAATGCCTGGAATTCGCCGTGTCCGAACTGTGGCAGCACAATGGTCTTACAATTCTCTTTCGCAAACGCTAGTCTACGCTTACACCTTATTGCCCGACCTACGACCAGAAGATCTACTCGGCAGTTCCATCGCTCCCCATCTCTCGCAATGAAAGGAGCTCGCGTCACCTCATGGGGTTCTCCTCCAGAGTACATCGATGTTCCAGATCTCCCCGAGCCTTCGTCTACACAGCTTCGTCTCCGAGTCCTAGCAGCTGGTGTCCCTCGTGCCGTCAAGGGCCGGGCTGCAGCTCAGCATCCCAGCGCCTTCAACCAACCGCTACCATATGACCCCAGCATTGATGGCGTTGGACGACACGAGACCACGGGTGACCTCTACTTCATAAACAGCTTGGCGGGCTCAATCTTCGCGGAGTACGCCAACATTGATCGAGATCAGCTGTACAAGCTCGACCCTGGCACCGACCCCACGGCCGTAGCTGCTCTGGCCAACAATACGCTCAGCAGCTGGATGGCTCTGCAATGCCGAGCAATCGGCGGCTGCAAAGACCGCACGGTCGTGATTCTCGGTGCTACCAGCAACAGCGGGAGGTGTGCCGCCAAGGTCGCTCGCATCCTCGGTGCCACGAAAGTGGTTGGCATCTCCAGGAACTCCGAGACTCTAGCCAAGGTGGAGGGCCTAGACGAACGCATCGTTCTCAAAGATCCTCTCGAACTGCCACAAACGATGGGTCCAACTCACATCGTCCTGGACTTTGTCGGCGGTCCTGCTGCGATTCAGCTGCTACAGTCGGCCGAGGCGGATCCAGTTGCGAACTTGCAGTACATCCAGACGGGTGGCTTGGCTGGTTGTGAGTTTCTCAATGTCCCGGCGCGGCTGATAAATGTCAAGCCCATTCGGATCATGGCCTCTGGGATTGGTAGTCTCAGCCAAGAGGAGATCACGAGAGAGCTGTCGGGGTTCGTGGGCGCTATGGTCAAGCTGAAGACGCCTCCTTTCGAGGTCCTCGCTGCGCCGTTGAGTGATGTGAATTCGGTTTGGGATTCGGACGATGCTAAGACGAAAAGGCTTGTTCTACTTCCCTAGGCAGGTCAGAGTGATGGCCAATATTGTTGATTGGAAGACTTTCTTGTAAGATAGTACGAAGACGATTTAAATCTTGACTCTCAATGGTTTCTGCGTACGAGGTGGTTGTACCGTATAGTCGTTCCGGAATCAAGTCCCCGCCGAGATGCTACTGAGGCCGTGTGTACCATCTGTATCCTTGCACTGCAGCCTGTAAGAGCTTCATCGCAGTGCCAATCATGGCGGAAGACGCGGGCAACAGCTTGCCAAGAGTACTCAACGCTCTTGTCCTGTCTTGAGACGCTCGAGACTGCGATCTCAGACTAATCATACTCATCCTCGTCGCTATCATCGGCTGCCTCATGACTGCGAAGAGCGGCCCATTCCTCATCAATGTTCTCTTTCAAGACTTTGAGCTTTTCCTTGTCTGAAGCATCATGAGTATACGTTTGCTCCGCAAGTTGTAAAGCTTTCTCAGCCTCTCGTAGATGGTGCCTAGTGGCAGCCCAATTCTCCCAGGGCTCGTCCTGTTCATCTGTGGCACTCAGGACGACGTGTGCTTTGACTTGATAGTACGGCGGCAAATTGTCCTGTTTGAGAAATCGCAGCATGACCCCGTATATGTTTCCTGTCATGTCGCTACCGTGGCAGGCCTGAACCGAGTAGTCAGCGCGATATTTTGCACCGTGCAACCAATTCCTGCTTTCCTCCAGGAAGGCTTCCGCATAAACCTCCATATCATCGTGAATCGTTCGCTTCGCCACACCCTTATCTCCTGGAGGTTCTTGTTTCGTTGCCATGGCTTGCCGGGAACCCGATAAATCACGTTCGAAGTATGGACGGGACCCTGTACAACACGTCGTCAATCGCTTGTTGTAGGCTTCGGGAGTCCAGAGTAGGAGCTTGCGGTAGTAGAAAGATACGGGACTTTGGTCTTAGCAATGAATGGTGAGCCAGCGAAAGGCAGGGGGCGGGGCCGGCGGGCGCCTGTACGTTTTGCATTTGAGCTTTCTAGTGTAAATGGATAGGTGAATGCTTCTGGTCTTGGTACCGACTTTCGGGCACTTGTCGGCTCGCTGTTCTTTTCCCCGGCCATTGAGAACTGTCAATCAGTCCAGAGTAGTTATTTCTGAGAGCATGTCTACTCCTCAGAGCAGCTCAGATGTTGGAGTGATTCCCGCGAGCAGCTGTATCCTGGTTGCCGAACTGGTCAGTATAACTTGAACGCAAAGATCAACCGAACTCACCCATCTCGCATCAAAAGGAATCTTGGTTGAGTTGTAATTTACGAACTCTGGCTCGAAGTGCTTGTTGAACTGGAACAGATCCTCCATAGCAGACGCCCATTTCACGAGCCTGCCTTCTTCGTATGCTCTTCCCCAAATTCCCAAACCCATGGGCACGTTGAATCGAATCGACGTCGATTGGAATCGTGATGCCTGGATATTGTGCAGCGTCGACAACACTGGCGATGGCTGAAGACGATCCAGCCGCGGCGACGTTTGGAATCAGTACTGCGTCGAGCTCGATCGATGTTCCGTTCCCAAGTCGATATGCGTATGCGCCGTTGATGCATGCCTGTGACCTCGATTGTCGCCAGAACAGAGCTTTCCAGTATCGTTCATCTCTGACACCTCCCGTTGCTACGGCAGCAATGAGTGCGTCTTGCCCGCTCTTCCATGGATACGCACCACCAAGAGCACCTGTTGTATCGTTGTTCTGCTGGTTCCACACGACCATGTCGCCAAGGTTCTCCAAGGGAAGACCACCGCTCGTACCATTCGGCCAAGTGATCTTCTGCAGCCATTCTGTGTAACCGTTGTACATGTCCACGTTCAAGTAGCGTGCACTTTGCAGCCAATACGGTGTCTCTATGGCATCGCCCCATCCATATGCATTCTGAATCTCGGTGGCGTAAGGCAACGGCGTGGTAATGTTGACAATAAGAGCACCAGCCTCTTCTAGCTGACGAAGTCGTTGAAAGAACTTCGCTTCGTTGCCTGGCGCCCTGATGCCTGCTGTGGTAGACCACCAGATGGGATAGGGAATCCCAAAGACAGCGCCTTTCAATGCAGAAGAGTTGGTCAACGTATATAACGCGGTGAACCCGGCCTGGAGGACGAATCTCATCAACACGGTCATTTCCGTCCCGTACAACAACTCCGCACCGCTGGAGGAGATGCAGGCGCTGCAAGATAAGATGACGGACGTGCTGATTCCAAGACTTGCGGAGCTGACACCTGATGGATCGGCGTATCTGAGTGAGTCGGACTTCCAGCAACCCGATTGGCAATCTGTGTTTTATGGTGAGAATTATGGGAGGTTGAACGAGATCAAGGATCGTTACGATCCACTTCATACTTTCTGGGCTACCACAGCTGTGGGCTCGGAATACTGGAGACCCGAGCCAGACGAGAGTGGGCGACTTTGTAGGGCTCATCTGTAAGCATGTTGGAATGATAAGACGCTTACGCTCCGGATGTGTCCTCACCCGCCCTGAGCTGAGCCGCTCGGGCGCAGGAAGAGCCGACGTTCAAAGCATCATGTATTACTTTTGTGCATTCGTTGTACATTCGGCCACAGATGCGTGAAAACAAGCGATCCCGTCCGCTCTCGCATATTTAAGCACGTAATCGCCTGATTAGTACTACGGTGGGTGACCACGTGGGAATACCGGGTGCTGAATGTTTTGCTTTTTTGGTGGTTGAAAATTGGAGTGAATGAATTTGGGCTTGGCGTTGCACAGGCCAGCTCAAAATTTGCTCGGGCCGACTCATCGAGTTGGACTTGATGGTGATGAAAGAAGAACCTGAGTCGTATGTTGTCCAAAGGGTTGGACTAAACACGTCCATGATGGACTTTCATACAACAAGCGCACGTGCAATTTCGTATTATGGAATTATCCAGAATCGTGTTCTCATGTTCACCTTGTCGCACCAACGGCTTCCGTCCGCCTTTGCATTCCCAAATGAGCACACCCTACCCATCAAGCTACCACATCGCCACCGCTCAGCCTGACCTGCATCCTTGCTCGTAACACGAGGTCTCTCCAGTCCAGCCCCCAAAACTTGGCTCATGCCCTGAATGAGCGGCATGGTACACATTCGCTGGTGTCGGTTCCCAGCATCTTCTTTTGGTAGAAACGACACTGGGAAATGTGTCTCTCATGTGGAGTGCAGTATCATACAATACCAGAAGCTGACCCAGCACGTCTTCGCATCTTCCGCAGGCCAGGAAAAACCTCCTTCCGCTTGCCGCCATTATCAGAGTTCTTGTCCTGGCTGTCAGCTGACTGCCTTGAGCCGTCCGAGGATGAACTCGTGGGAGAATGATTTCCAAAAGGTATGGAAGGAAGCTTCGCCATCCAGGATGCAGTATGGTCCTGCTCTTCGCTGGTCTTATCTTTGCCTTTTTCTTTGAGCCATGCAATTGAAGCACCGATTGCCGCAAACGTGACCACCAGCGATACAACTTCAACAACAGCTGCCATCGTCAGTCTCTGAATGACGACAATCAAACAACAACAGGACTACTTACCGGCTTATTTACCAACGTAGCTCGTGGTGTACATCTTGCTGAAGGTCGAATATGGATTGTCCGCCTGGTTTTTCTGGAGCTGGTCGATTGGAAGGGCGAAGAGCGCAGTCACGAACGACAATGGGGCGAAAATTATCGTGACCACTGAGAACCCAAATACTGCAGTGCTCATGAGTGCAGTCGCATGAGACTCTCTGATACTGGCCCCTTTTAGCTTCAAATCCAACTGTGCCGTTATGGACTGCTTGACTCGCTCAGCATCCTCGTTAAGTTCGAGAATCCGACGACGGAACATCGCAATCTGTGGTTTGGCCTGTAGAATCGTGCTCCACTCATCCCACTCATCCCGCTCCTCAGAGCGAAACTTAGTATGGTAATCGCGCGGCATTTTGGCTCGTTCATTCACAGGGTCCCAAAACTGCGATGGACATGCATGACTGACGAAATCGTCAAACACCCTTTCTTGCTGATTCAAAACACGCCCAATCATGTTCAGCTCTTCCTGGACGTCATCAATCAATAGAAGGTACGTCCTTTCTTGTGGTATGCTGATTGTTCCAACCCCGGTTCTCCTTGCATAATCGTTTACGCGCTTCGAGACGAGTGTGATAGCCTGCTCATATACCGCAAGAGGTAATGTCCACCCTTGTCTATTATCTGGTTTGTGACCAAATGAGGCAATGAGGTTGGACAAAATAATGCCAATACTCCTGTACCTCTTTGAGTTGTCGCCATTTGAACTGGTAGGATGGATATTCACGTTTTCATCCTTCGCATATTTTGGTACATTGAGAGAGTTTTTGTCCCCAAAGTGCTTCTTGTCAAATGAAACCGTCGAGGTAATGAGCGTGCTGCCAATATTCCAGATCCAGGCTTGACCAACCATCAGCAGTAGTGCCTTATCTTCTGGTTTCCCGATGCGTGTATCTTCCAAACGCGTCCAGTGTTCATTTTGATTTAGGGCGGTTGTCCAATGAAGTACCTGCAGGGAGTTGCGCTCATCAAGGCTTTCCTGAGGCAGCTTTTGGTTGCAGTACTCATCCAAGGTAAGCGGCATGTAGATATCGAAGTCCTCTGGATCATGTTCGGAATTTGCCATGGGACGCGGTCGTTTCCGATCGGTTCTCCGCGCAGGGTGTCGGCTAAAAGTGTTGTGACGAAGGCCTCCGTCCGGTTCCTTCCTCCATCTCTGAAGATGCGACCATTCCTGGACGAGGAAGACTGGCATCTGTCAGACGTTAATAGGGAGTGCGGGCGACGATGCTAGGCAACTGACCACGATAGCTAGATACTCATCGCGAGACGCTTCTGGTATCGTTGATTGGTCCAAACCCGGCCTATCTATCATCTCCCAGACACAGCATGGCTGCCTTGTCCTCAGAATATCATTCTGACTATCGTCGAAGAAACCCTGGAGGAATAGATCGACTACTTGTGGTCCTATGGTTTCTTCCTTTACCAACTTGTACAGGAGGAACTGTGCTCGAGTCAGCTCGAAATGAACAAAAAAGCCGTTACAGTGTCTCAGAAATTCGACGCAAAGGCCGAGGGTTGCCATAAGAACAGCATAGAATACTGACGGAGGACTTACACTCGGTCCTGCGCGCTGTGCATCATTAGCCTTTTGTATAGCATGAAAGTGCGGGAAGTTGTCCCTACATTGTTTACGCGGAAACAGTACCGTTCTTGGTGATCTTTCAGCTTCTCGGTGTTCCAGAGAAGCAGCTCGCTCAACTCGACCCAATAATATTCCTGACTAAGAAATTCAAACATCACCTCAAATCGCTTTCGGGCGACAGGCAGCTTGCTGGCAACACGCCGAGCAGTCCATCCTCGTGCGTTCTTGATCGCCAAATCAGCCTTGTGCATGCGGGAAAGTAGCCATCGTACCACTTCGGTTTGTGCGTTTCTTGCAGCGACGTGGAGACATGTTGCCTTCCCGCCCCGGTTTCCTTCCGCAAAGGTCTGAATGCCCATCCACCCGGCATCCTGCTGAGACGCCTTTTTGATGCTATAGAGCTTCTCAAGGAAGGCGACTGATCCATACTCGCACGCATAATGTGCTGCCGTACAGCCCTTTTCGTCTCGGGCTTCTGCATCCACACCCGCATCAACGAAGGTCGACACGATGGCTGGTACAGAAGACTTCGCAAATCGCTTCTTAGTGCTTTGGGCAAAGACGTGAAACGCAGTTTCCCCCTTCGCATTGCTTCTTGTTACATATTCTTTCACAAGCTTGTCGTCACCTTGGCTTCGCTGCTTCATAGTGTTGATAAGGAGCTCAGCAATTGTCCAACGTCCCTCTTTGGCTGCTCTGTGGAGAGGTGTATTTCCGTCTTCATCTTCAGTATCAAGTCTTGCTCCGTGCTCGACCAGAATTTGCGCAACTTGGTGGTGGCCTTGATCACAGGCTAGATTTAAGGCGTTCTCTACGTGGTCTTCAGGCAGCTTGTAGTCCGGCCCGAATTCAGACAGTTTCTCGTCCACCTGATCCTTCACAACCTTCACTTTATTTGCCTGGACAGCGCTGCACAATCTTTGCGCAAAGGCTTTGGCTTCGTTCGCTGCAGGCGGTCGTGGTCGGTCTCCATGGGCCATGCTGGGTTCCCTTCCTCATGCGTCTCTGGAAGAAGGTGTATCTTGCGAATATGTAGAGTCGTAAAGCTGGCTTGGAGATGCCAATAGGGTGATATAGCTTCTCCTCAGGGAAGGCTGAGCCTTCGGCTACATGGTACAGGATACATCGAGGCAAACTTCGATCTGCAACAATGTTATTCACGTCACCACCAAGGTCAGCCAACGCCTCAGCTCGCTAGATCGAGAGTGTTCATTGGGACGCTCATGTTGCACAGCATCTAGCTGAATCATCGTCTTCAGCCACAGCGCAAACGGGCTTGGCAATGATTGGCCGAAGGCCAATGAACAAGGACGGTCCCCTCAAAAAAAAAATGTGACGCGCCAAGACAAATCAATTGGCTGTCGTGAATCTGCCATTCTGGTGTCCTGTGCAACAGCTAAGAATAGTAGTTGGAGACGCGACGCGAAGTGTAGGTTGACCATGCAGGTCCACTTAAGGTTTAAGCTTTGGCGCTAAAGAAACTCTACTCAGGAAGACACTACCTATGCCTGCACTGCAACGTCGACCGCCATAATTTTACTCTCACGGACTCCGTCCATCAAAGAAGCCCTCAATTGCCAGAACTGCCTTATCAATCTCTCGCTCAGTCATGCCAACGTGCAACGGCAACCTGAGCAATTGAACTGCCGCCTTGCTCGCAACATCTTCTCTGGTAAGATATCGGCCCAGACTTCTACCTGGAGGAGTCGAATGCAATGGAGCGTAATGCGGCTCAGAAGCGATGTTCCTCTCCTTGAGATACCTCTTCAACGGCCCTCGCTGAGTAGCGTCGACGACTTTGATGTGGAAGATGTGGGCATTGTGCTCTTGACTTGGCGGCGTAGGAAGTGCAATCTCGCCCCTTTCAGCAAGTGCAGACAGACGGTCGTAGTATATAGCGTAGCCTCGCCGATTATGCTCCAAAAGTTCGGGGAGGACAACGAGCTGGCAGTAGAGTAGTGCAGCGAGCACCTCTGACATCTGGGAGTTGAATCCTGGCCCTATCCAAGTGTATTCCGGCACCAGACCCTCGGCAAAATCCGCTCTGTTTGTGCCATTCCAGTATGCGTTCTGGACGGACTTGAGTAGTGCGGTGTTGCTGACAATGACAGCGCCGCCCTGGCCTCCGGATGTCACCATCTTGGTCCCGTGGAAGCTCAAGCAACCGATGTCTCCCATAGATCCCAGAGCACATTCTTCAGATGTGGATCCAAGACCCTGAGCTGCGTCTTCCACGACGAGAAGGCCATGTAATTGGGCGATTCCAACAAGACCATTCATATCACAAGGAACGCCAGCATAATGAACAACAACAAGAGCTCGTGTCTTGGGTGTTATCGCCCCTTCTACGAGCGACGAATCCATGTTCATCGACGTATAATCGACATCCAGAAAGACAGGCGTCGCCCCACGCATTGTGAAGGCGTTGACTGTCGAGACGTAAGTAAATGTTGGCATGATAACCTCGTCTCCAAGCTTGAGGTCGATGGCGAGAGCGGCGATATGCAAGGCCAAGGTTCCGCTTGTTGTCAGAAGAATCCTATCATGGCCCTGAATATTTGCTAGGTCTTCGCATTTCCGAGTGAACTTGCCATTTCCAGCCAAGCTTCCATGTTCCAACACTTCCTTCACGTGTTCCAAGCTGTTTTGCCCACTACATGGTCGTGAGAGCACAGAAGCACCTGGTTGCTCAGCCGTGCTGCTTTCGTTCTGTGCGTTTGTGGAAGACAGAGATGCCCGACCTGGCTTCTTGTAATACCAATGTGCAGTCGAAATTGCCTGGCCACCTGTCCTCTGATATAGCCGCAAAGCAGCCAAATTGCTCGTCTGCGTAGCAACAAACAGCTTCTTCCGTCCAGAGCTGTCGCAGAAACCCTTTGCATGTTCGAACAATCTTGATCCCACGCCTCTCTTGCGCGATTCCTCGGAGACTGCGAAGAGACCGATCCGTCCTTCGACGTCATTGAGCCATCTAATCGTGATGAATGCAGTGACTCTGTCTGCTTCATCTGTGTGGACCAAACAGACGTGGTCGTAACGACCCTTTACGGCATTTTCGATCCAGGTTTCATACATCTTGTCGGAGTCTTCTGTTGTGAACCAAGGGCTTCGAAGGCGTGTACGGCCTCGCATTGATTCGGATGCTAGCCCTTTGAGATCTCGTAGATCATCGAGGGTAGCCTTGCGCAGACTTGTGGTGTCTTCGATGATACCGGTCGTCTCGAGGTTCACCTCCAGGTCAATCTCGCCCTCGACATATTGAAATCCATTCTTATTCAATACGTCGATTGATTCGAAGTCGTCTGACGGGACCTTCGCGCACAGCAGATCGAATGCTTGCTCGTTCGTTCCTCCGTCTGAAGCACGACTGACTGTCGCCGTTGCGATCCTTTTGCCAGTCACACAGCTGTCGAAATCGGCCGGGTGTAGACTTATCGAAGGCATTGCGATAGAGTTGGGTATTCTCCAAGTTTCGAACTCGGTCAAGGACCTAGTCGTGTGCCTTCGAAATTGTGGGAACCCGAGCCACAGCGAAGCGGTCTACGGGGTTCGTGCTGTGCGACCGCACCACGCTCATTGTACTCCTCGAAGTCCTGCTTTTGCCGTTTTTGGTATGTAGCACTTTGGAAGTCCTTAGCGTCAGACCAGGCGTTCAAGTGTGCAACCAACTTACGTCGATGGCAACGCCTCGTCGTGCCCGCAGAGGGACCCTAGCGGGAAGAAAGCAACCAGCGAATTGTTGATATGGAGGCGAACGTCAAGATGTGCAGACTGGGTATCCTGTCTTCTTCCTTGCAACGACTTCCTGGAGCGCGATATGACAGCCGGCTCTGATAGATCCTCGCGGATCCTTGTGACTGGGGTAAGTCAAATGAGTCGATGAAGAATCCTTGGATCCTGACTGACACATTTGACAGGGCGCTGGCTTCCTCGGCAGCTATTTGGTGAAGTCGCTACTAAGTACCGGCCACGAAGTCGTCGTACTTGACAACGGCTGTTTGAAGAATCTGGAAGAAGTCAACTCGAATCCGCGGCTCGAGATCATCCAGTACGAAAAATGCATACGATTATTCAACGCCGTGAGACTGACATCCACCCAGAGCGAGCGTCACCTCCCCCTTCCCCTCGCACATCCAAGCCTCACGCATCTACCACCTCGCCTGCCACGCCAGCCCAAAACAATTCGGCCTCAGACCCCTCGAGATCCTCGAAACATGCTACGTCGGGACCAAGAACGCCCTCGAAGCAGCCCGCAAATGGAACGCTCGCATCCTCCTCGCAAGCACGTCAGAAGTCTACGGCAACCCCCAGGTCTGTCCCCAACCGGAGACGTACAATGGCAATGTGAATTGCTTTGGTCCCAGAGCATGCTACGACGAGGGCAAGAGAGTTGCGGAAGCGCTGGCGTATGCTCATCGTGAGCAATCTGGCGTGGATGTGAGGATAGCGAGGATCTTCAATGTGTACGGGCCTGGCATGCCTGCGAGCGATGGACGAGTCGTGTGCAGTTTCGTCGATGCTGCGATCAGTTCCAGGGATTTGGTCATCACGGGGAGCGGCGCTGCGAGTCGATGCTTCCAGTATGTGGACGATTGTGTGGCGGGCGTACGATTACTCATGGAGAGTGCCTGGTCTCAAGGGCCTATGAATATTGGATCTGAGACCGAGACAACCATGGCGGAGTTGGCTGAAATCGTGCTGCAAAGGGTAGCAGCTCAGAGACACGGCCGAAGATCGAAAATCGTTTACGATGGAGCAGTGAAGGATGATCCGCAACGCAGAAGGCCAGACTGCAGTCTTGCGAAACGAGTGCTAGGATGGGAACCGTGTGTATCCTTGGAAGACGGCACTGATCGAACAGTTGCGTGGTTTCTCGCCTCTGATGAAAACGATAGGTGAGACCCATCGTAAAGCAAATTGGTATCTCAGCAAAGCTACTCACAATTTCTACCTCTTCATACCTCTGCCACGGCGACTCTGAACTCCATGCTTGAACCCTCCACCTCGTGCTTTGTGAACTTTCCCGCCGCCAGGTGAGAATGCGCCTTTTGGCTTCTCTCCAGCAAGACCTCTCCTCTGTGGTTTCTGCTTGCCACCACCACGGGGACTCTTATTGGCATCCAGCTTCTTCTTAGCAGCAACTGCGTCATCATCGTCGATATCCATCTCATCACCGTCATCGCCACGGATATTTTTGAATTTGAGCTTGCCACGCTGTCCGCGTTGAGGAGCATTCTTACCCTTGATAGCATTCACGTAGGCGTTGATTCCACCTTCGAGCGTACCATCACCAGGCTCCTGTCCGTCGAACATGCCCTCGTCGTCAAACTCAACGACTTCGAGATCTGAGTCCTCGTTGAAGACCAACTTGCCATCCAGATCCGTCTTGGCCTTGTTCTTCTTGCCTTCGACACCGCGGTTCTTGGTAGGTTTCGTTGAAGAGACGTGCGCGAGTGCCTTTCGGTCAAGTAGGTCGAGCGGCTCTTCGTCATCTTCCACAATGTACTGGTGGCCTCCCTTCTTGGCTTTCTGACCCTTCGCGACTGCTCGACCAAGGACCTCATCATCTGAAATGTCTGACCCAGAATCATCCGAAGCAGAGCCGTAGACAGCTTCGTCGTATTCACTCTCGAACTTTCCTTGTCGCTTCTCAGCCGGTACGGCATCCTCATCGTCATCGGCATCTCGCTTCTTCTTTCGCCTCTCGCGTGTCTTTCGAATATTCGCGATGAGCTTTCGGTCCGCTTCTGGAGTGTGTCGTTCGACAACCTCAGCTCCAAATCTTCGTATCATGCGCTCGAATATGTGCTTGACCTTGGCTTTGAAGTGTTGCTTGTGCTCATGACTCCAGACAATCAAATTTGGAACGAGGGATTCGAGGCGAGGGAGCACAATGTTGCTGGGCAGTGAGATGATGCAGACCTTGACGAAGCCGAGAACCGACCGAACGATCTCGCGATTCTTGGAGGTCAAGAAGAGATCCATGGTCTGCACCAAGTCTGTAACCGTCGACTCCTGCAGCTGGCCGTGGAACTCGTAAAGGAGTCTCGTCAGGGCCGTGATGGAAGCTGAGATCATGTGTGGTGTGGAGCCAGCGAGACCAGCGGAGACCATGGTGAAGTACTCTTCAAGACTTGCAGGCACGGGAGGAGCATCGTCAGGCATGTGCGGAACTTTAGCGTTGACGACTGTTCCGCCTTCTGCCATCTTCTCGCCCATGAGCACAAGAAGATCAAAAGCCGCGGTTCGAGCTTTCTCGTTGACCTCTTTGACGCCAATCACGACTTCCGAGATGATTGAAGGAATGAAGTGCAGGTCGGACTGCGGCATTCCAGGGATGATTTCTGCAATGGAAGCGAGACGGTCCCTCTTCGCAGGCGCAGACACTTTGTCGGCGGCTCCCAAAAGTAGCTGCTGCAGATCCGCGTTCCGCTCTTCCAGTGCCTTTCGACCAGCTTCCGACTCTGAAAGTCGTGGTATGAGCTTGTATGCCTTCTTCTGCAGCTGTGGATCATCCTGTTTGTTGACGATGTTTGTAGCCATGTTGAAAAGTCCGGCGAAGCTTTCTCTGGGCAGGTATGTGGAGATTGTGATGATGAGATCCATAAGGGTATGCGATGTGGGTGGCATCTTGTCCTTCGAATCCTTGTTTGAGCCCTGCTCACGCTGCTTGTCAGCTTGAGTCTGGGATCCCTCCTCCGCCAGTGAGCTCTCCAGCATCGTCGCCACGCGTTGGAAGGTCTCCAGTAGCTCTTGTTCTTGGGTTATGCTGAGATAGGCGTTGATGCATTGCAGCAAGTTGCCGCGATTGTGTGGCAACGTCTGGCTGTACACGTTGAACAAGACAGCGAGGAGGTTGCCGGCGAATGAGGCCAGATGCTGAATGTTCTTCTGCGCAGCTTCTCTGGTCACTCTGCCCTGCTCGATAAGATTCTCGTCACCTTCAAGCTCAGCAATGGCCTTGTTTGTGTCGACGAGGTTCTGCAGAGCTTTGCAGATATCAGTCCTCATCTGCGGTTGTTGATACAGGAGATTGCTGAGCATTTCTGCGAATGACTGGTCGAATGCGTGCGTGAGATCCACTGGTAGCTCGCAGTACCCAGGAAGACAAGACCAGATCTGGCTGACAATCGTTTCAAAGATCTTGACCTCCATGGTCTTTTCCTTGCTGCCGTGATTGAGGACTCGTTGGAACATCTCCTCGCTGAGTGGGACCAATTCGTAACGGAAATGTACAAGTTTCGTGTTGCTGACAGCGTCTCGTATCACAGGAAGAAGCCAAGCACGTCCAGCGCCAGAAGCATTCTTCCCTAGATTAAGAGGCACAATCGCCAGGACATTGTCGACACCTGCATACTTGACAGCAGCAGCCAGAACTCCGTCAACCTCTTTCTTGCCAGTGAAAGAATCGTCACCTCGAAGATCTCCAACGGTCTTTACGATGCTGTCGAGCATTGGCTGCGAGCGCCACCTGAAGACCTCGAAAGCGGCAGACAGAACGTTGAACACCTCCATCCACGCTGTCTGGAACTTCACACTCAACAGATCTTTCAAAGTCTTGCTTACTCGCTCCAGCACCTTTTCGTCCATGACAGAAGGCTCCAGAATCACCGAGTCTGGTACGCATGTATGGAGCAAGGAAATCAAGCACTCAGATGCAGAGACACGGATGTTGTGCGACGAAGACGCAAGGAAAGAAGAGATCTTGGCGAAAAGATCTGGCAGCTTTTCGAATGTCTCCTCTGGCTCGATCTGCGAAGACACTTCATAGCCTCTGCTTAGGACTGCAATCCAGGGCGGTAGCAATTGTGAATCATTCTGTGACGGCTGTAGCTCCGTGATGACTTCGAGCAGTCTGGGGAGTTTCGAAGACGAGATCTCATCAGCCAGACCGGCGAAGATGATCTCGAAAATCTCAAAGGCAGCCATGGTCATGAATTCGTTGCTTCCTCTCGAGATGTTCAGTAACACTTCACACAGTGCGTCGATCTTCTTGCTAGGCCAGCCATTCTGTGCAGAGGCAACAGTCTTGACCAGTTGCAAAGCATGCATCAAGCTGGGATCACTCGAACCTTCATCTCTGTGCTTGTGCTTCCTCTTCTTCGTACTCGCCGCCTCTGCGGCGGACTGCAAATGTCGAAGTGCAGTCTCGGCACAGATGTCTGAAGCAGGGTGATCCAACGAAGGAGAAGGAGGTGGATGCTTCAGCATATTCGCCAACGCATCTTGCGCCCTCTTCCTAACCTTTGGTCGGTGATCCATGGCCAGAGCAAGCAGCCCGCTCACTGCGCCTCTTGGGCTGGTCTGCGACTGAGGCAGAGTCCATGCTTGTGAATCTTGTACGACCAAAAGCGACTCCAGACATCCAATCCCAGCTCTTAGTATCGGCGCCTCTGAGTCCGTGTGCGTCAAGGCCGGAGCAAGACTCGAGAGGATTTGCGGAAATTTCGATTGCAGCAGCGGCGCGGGCACATGGCTAGTGACAAGGTCGAGAAGGTATACGACGGAGAATGCAACATCTTTGTTGACAAGGCCCTTGTCTGCCGTGATGTACTGTCCCAGCAATGAAAGCAGCGCTGCGAAGTATGCGGTGGGAGTTGGATCGCTCTTTTGCGTGCGCAGAGTATCTTCGATGGCGTTGAGGACGACGGAGGTTTGCTGCTGGTTTTTCAGCTTTGGCGACGATCGAATCTTGTCGAGTCTCTCCTGCAGAGTAGACATCTTGGGCGTCGGTGGTTGCTGAGCAGCAGCAAAGAGCTTGGAGATTTCGTGGGTTGAAAAATGTCGAAGTCCCTTCGAAAAGCGCGGAATCGTCCCGCATTTGATGGCATCCATCAAATTTGTGTCAAATATTTACTTGACATTGATTGACATCCTTGCATGTGACAGACATGGTCTCGCCTACCCAGATCGCACTTCACCTCATGAAAACAAAACACATTTGACCTTACAATTGCATAGATTTCGCTATGTGGCCTTCGTCCTACAAATGAAACTCGTTCAAACACCCATCCCTACCCCAAGGAGAGCCATGGCATAATCCGTGGCCGTTCATGCATTCCCCATGCCTTCCTTTTTTGTGTCCCACCCACCCATTTTTTACCCACCCCTGGAAAATGCAAACGACCCAATGCAACCCTACAGTTTCTTGAAGAATCCAATCACGCTCTCTCTCCGCTTCACCTTCTCCTGCTGCTGGATGATCTTGACAGCATCGGCTATCATATGGTCGTTCTGAGGACCAGTATACTTCTTGGGCGACGGCGCCTTTGGCTCTGCGAAAGGCGCCAAGATGCTGCTGTGACGATTCGTCTGCGCAGCTTTCCTTCCAGGCCGTGGGAAGAAGCTGTTCAACGTGTGCCTGAAGTCGTCACCGTCCTGGGACTGCTGAGTCCAATTCGGTCTATCATGCGGTACCAGCTTTGGTCGTGGGTTTGCCAGCAGGCTTTCGTCTACTTCCGGTATGGGCGCATCCAACGACGCCTCTTCTTCCAGGAATCTTGAAAGCCGGCTTTCCGTAATAGCGTGGAATGATATTGGTCGGAGATCTTTCTTCACTGGAGTTTGCTCTAGAGGCCAGTGCACAGGAGGAGGAAGAGGATCTGCCATGGTACGGCGTTTCGCTGCGTCACCTGGACGATACCGTTGTCGCCCTCGCTCTTCAACCACATGACTTGGGCTTGTGTGTTTCTGCGGGCTAGTACGCGGGCTCGATCGTCGACGATGTGGCGTGGATTGAGTCCCACTGGTGTCACCATTCTGACTGCCGTTCTGGGCTGGGTTCATGGAGTCACGTTTGGATCCCAGTCTCGTCAGATTGTGTTTCTCCGACTTAGCTGAGCCCCGTGTCTGCGGCTTGAACGGATCATACTGGTCCCACTTGAATGATGTCGCGGTTTCCGAATGTTCAGCCTCATCAGATTGGTTCCAGTCCATATTGAGCGCCTGGATCAAGGAGATTGCACGCTGATCACTATCGACGTGCTCGCTAGGTTCGACAGGCTCTTCTGCAGACTGAACTGAGGCCTGGATTGCGCTGGTTTCGTCCTGATTGATCGAGGGCCACCGTTCATCCCCTCGTGCAAGTTCCAATTCCTCAGTTCTTAGAGGGGAGACTTCCCTAGGAAGACCCAACTCTGGAAGCTGATCTGTGATACGTTCTGGCTTGCTCGTCTCAGCATGCTCAGGCATCTTCGGTTCTTCCTGAGCAACTGGCGGCGGAGCTGGCGCGGTCGACGTTGACTTGGATCGCTGGAGTTGTGTCGGTTGGATGGACGATCGCCTTTCGTTGATAGCTGGTCTTCGTTCCGCCTGCAACGGAAGCGATGCCTTACGTGGAGCGGCAGCTGAGTTCTTCAACTCAACGACACCCTTCTTGGCAGGCTTGTACGGACATCGCTCTTCCAGCTTCTTCAAGTCCCGCTTGGGATCACGGGTGCCCTCGAGTCGATAAGGCTTGATTGGGGACACCTCCTCGTCCTCAGACATGCCAACAACGTCGCTATTTCCAATGCCGAAGTTCAATGCCGCATATCGCTGTCTCGCAGGGATACATATCCTGCCGTCGACCGTAAGCGGTTCAGCGATGAAGTTGGGTGGTGCAGATCGACGCTTCGCTCCAGGACCTTTCGGCAAATTCGTGACATCCCTCATTGGCGTCGCAGTCGCAGCGAACGATTTCGCAGCACTGCGAGGGACATATGAACCGTTCCGGACGGCATTTCGCTTCTCACGACGCAGTCTGGCGGCCTCTTGCTCTCGCTGGTGTTCTTCCAACCTGTTGCACAGCAGCGCAGTGTCAAGAGGTCTCTGTTTTTGTTTCGTGGCCTTGACGGTGTCGTTACCACATGTGGTGGTGTCCTTAACAGGCACGGACTGCGCAAGTAATTCATCGAATCAGCCAATATCTAGGCCAAGCACATCACGACTCTCTTACCTTTGCCGGCAATGGATCGGCAGCTGCCATCCTCTGTCGAGACACTAACTCGACCTCGAAAATTTCTCCGAACATCGGTCCCCCGACTCTTTCTACGTCCAGCGCAATATGAACCTAGACGAACCTCGCACGAGAGGAGAAGAAAGATGACACTGGTGTCTACAGTCCTGAAGTAGGAGAAAGGCGGTTTCGGGCTCCTTTGAACTGTAAACCCAACTCCGGATAGGCCCCAGCAGGTGCGGTCGGCCCCCTCAATCGCAGATCAAAAGGTCTTGGCCGGCAGAGGAAACAGAGAACAATCTGCACATCGCGTTTAAGGCGCAGCGAGCAGGCGCCGCCTCGTCGCCCATCTTTTTCGATGGGAGGGGATCACCGGCGTCCCAAACTCCACGGGTACTGGTGCTGCCAACAGGGTCAGCGGCGAGGCGTCGCGATTAGCACCTATCCAGCGTAGCTCGCGACGGGCACGGCAAAGCGTTGCGTGAATCTGCAGAGCTACAGAAGCCACTGCAGGAACCGTGCGGAAACGGGTTCGTTCTGGCACACAAGCATCACACGCATCGCGAAGAAGAGCAGCAGCGAGAGCCGGAGACAAGATGGCTGACTGAAGTGAAACTCGCGATCGCGTGATGCTGGGATACGACCGTTGGACTGTTGTATTTGGTGCCCGGGTGTCCAGAATACATGGCTTGGCAACCAGACTTCCACTACGGCGAGAATCGACAGCCACTTCTTCCCTCTGCCTAGGTACGAAGCGCCTCAAGAAACTGCCTGCGTATGCCATCGCTGAAGCAACACATATTGACACACGCCTCGGAAAAAAGCCGTCTGCGCCGCCTCATGCCGGTGCAAGGACGAGCGAAAAGCAGTCGAATTGGAAGAAGCTGGCGACCTGCAAGCCTCGCGACTCGCGAGTCACAAGTGTGCAAGCAAAGTCAATTCAAGCTCTGCTCTGTTCGACCCGCATCGAGCCGCCCATGGCGCTTGTGCGTATTCGTAGATAGGATTTGCTGGATTGGGCATGTGATCGACGGTAACTTCTTCTTTCGAACCGCGGAAAGCCACACAGGGCTCGTTCCGTCAGGATGGATACTGGGAGTGTCCACTTTGCTGTGTGGTACGGTGCGTCATGGCATGCTGGTATGTGAAGAAGACTGGACAGCAAGTCATCGAGAGATGCTGTCATCATGCTTGACTTGTCATAAGCACTACACAGGAGTGTGAACCATGGCACGAAGACGGAGTTCGTCGCTATATCGATCCAAGGGGTGGGTGGGAAAAGCCCCCTTCCTCATCACCGAGCGAACCGCGGAAGAAACATAGCACCTCGATCTAGAACGATTGCAGTAACAAGTCACGATTCACGTTCACATACCACTAACTACTACCCCACGACACAACAGCAGCAACAACAAGCTCGAGCCCCAACAACAAAACGAGCAGTGCCTGCGGCTGAAACACAAGTCTCTGTTTCTCGGAGAAGCAAGCGACAGAACAGTGCAAAATAAGCGTGACCTTGGCCGTGCTTCGCTGTTGGTTGAAGCCATGGCCTTCTTGGCATCTGGAGATCGTTATACCACTTCCCTTAGTGACCGTTGTGCGTGCGGGCGGGATGGCTTGCACAGCCTTGCGCCATGAACATCGCTGACATTTTTCGAAATTTGTTCCGTAGGTACGGACGGGGTACGGCATGCCGAGGGTAAAAATTAGTAGAAGATGTGCATGGTCTGGACTTTTGGGATTTTGTGAATCTTCATCCTAACTGTTGTCTGCGCATGTTCGATGTAACATTATTATTGCCAGCGCAACAAGAATAGCCATCGTGACTTAGCCAGCAACAGTATCAATCGAGCCCTTGCCAGGACTCGAAGGCGGCACTTCCCCCTTCTGCGCCTTCAACTTCTCCTCAAACTTGGCAAACTCCTGCATCGCAACCTCTTCTTCCTGATCCATCACCTGCTGCACGCCCTTGACCTCCTCGATATAATGCATCAACATGCTCTCAATCCCGTTCTTCAACGTGACGGTGCTGCTGTCGCACGTCCTGCACGCCCCGCGCAGTTTGAGCAGGACCTGTCCGTCGTGGAAACCTCTGAATTCGATGTCTCCGCCATCTTCTTGGATCGCGGGCCGGATTCGAGTCTCGAGGAGCTCTTGGATCATGCCTACAATTTCTTCGTCTTCAGGGTCGTAGGTAGCCTGCGCTTCGCCGGCTGCGCTGCCTTGTCCATCCTCACCCGTCTTATTCTCCACAATGTTGACGATCGGTTGTCCGCTCGTCACCGCTTCTGTGATCAAACTAAAAACCTCAGGCTTGACATGCGCCCAAGGCGTCGAGCTGTCCTTTGTCACTGTGATATAATTCTTGCCGTAGAACACACTCGACACGCCATCTACATTCATCAAGTTCGCGGCCAGCGGTGAGGGATGGGGCGGCGCGAGTGTCGACCGAGGCGACATGTATTCCAAGAAGGAAGAAGGGAAGTTCTCGGGGAGCACATCGTGGTTCGGGATGAATTTGAGCGCATCGGCATTGGGCGTGTCTTCGGTTTGGATGAAGATTGTTCGCTTCGCTTGTGTTGAGGGCGTTGTTTGCCTCGCTAAAGGTTGTGCATATGGTTGTAACGTCGGCCTCTGTCTCTTGCTTGTTGACGATAAGGGTGTCGCTCGTGACGCATCACTGAAATATCTCGTTGAGGTGTTCGGAGCTGTGGCAAGACGAGCGCATCGGGTCGCGGTCGTCGAGTTCGCAGTCGGTCGAGTCAGCGCCTTTGCGAGGCATCGCACTGCAGGTTTGGCGGACATTTTGGGTTTGAGGGTATGGTTGTAGGTGATTTGGGAAACAAATGTTATTCGAGTCGCCTTCAAAGCTCGAATCCTACGTCACAGCGCTGAGTAATGGGAAATAGATTGCACGTGATCTTGGGCAGCACAATCAAACAATCAACTGATCTGATCTGATTATCGTTACAGATCTACTCTATCTGTCGCTGTACGCACTCGACTGGGCAAATACTGCAAAATCTAGTCTTCCACTAGTAGTCTCAGGGACCTTGCTGCCCGCAGACACGCCTAACGGATCACCCTCGTCCATCTCCAGCTGAGAGGCAGGGGGCTTGCTGCTTGAACTGGAGCTCGCCGGCTCTGCTGCTTTTACATAGCCCTCGACTGTGTCAGGATTCGTCTCCCGCGATTCCAGTGTCGGGCGTGCTGGAGCGTTGCTGTTCTCAGCAGGCTGTTGGGCTTCATTTGAAGAGCCGTTTTGAAGAGAGTTGAAAGTCGATGGGAGCGAACTTCCAACAGTGCCAATGTTAGGAAAGCTCTTTGCTTCCTTGACAGCACCAGCACTCGGACCTTCACCCTCGATCTGCTTCCCACCATCTTCGAGCGACATCGTCGAAGGCTGCATCGACAGGCTGGGGACCTTCTGCTCTGCAGGTTGTGTATCTGGCGGCGCAAGTGCTCGAGGCGTGTTCATATCCTCATCTTTACGCCCGAACAGTCCACTCCACCAACGCACCTCGATCTCTCGGAGTGATCCCTGCCGCTTGGGGAACAGCAACGGGTCGTCAACCTTTGCCACGAACTCAGGGTTAGTAAACTCCTGCCGTCGAGACAAGAAGTGTGGCCAGACGGAAGGAAACTTGCTCTCATGCTCTGAGCGGTCTTTCTCATTGTTGAACAAGAACTCGCCGTACTGGCCAGAGTGGGCTTGGTAGAAAAGTCGCCGCAAGAATCGCTCGTTGAACTCGAAAGCATCCGGGAACTGGTATTGCAATTGGTAAACAGCATCCAAGAACTGGTGGAAGATGGGTCCCATCTCATTGGTATTCGTCTTATGTTCTCGATCCTTCTTCGTGCTCGATGTAGGCGGCGAGTGCATCATTGAGTTAGGAGGTGGCGAAGAGGGGCGAGAATCGTCGTCCTCGCCGCTATCTTTGCTCTCATTCTGTGGACGGAAAAGCCCGCCACGACTCTTCTCAAACCAGTTCTTCGCTCCAGAGAGGGCCTTCGAACCAAGTGCGTTCAAGCCTGTGGACTCATTGTTTCCATTCGCCTTTGTTCGTGAAGGCAGGACTCGCTCATTCTCGATCTCGAACCACTCTTCGCTTCCCTGGATGCCATGTCGATGATTGAACTTGTGTCCGAACGCGAGGAAGTCTTTCTGTATCAGCGTGATGAATCCGTTCAACGAACGATAGTGTGGATCAAGCATGACTTGCGCGAGTGCTGCGACTTGCGCAGTACGGTCCCATCCATCTGAACAGTGCACCAATGCATGGCTGCCACCTAAGCCAACTATTCTCGCCACCATCTCTGCACCGTCGAGCATTCCAGCTATGTGAGTGAGCCAGCCAGAATTCCGCAGTAGCTCCTCGTTCGGCTTCATGTCCAAGTAATCCGAGTTGGCGAAGCTCTGTACAACCTTTGCGAGCGACTTCTTCATGACATGGATGTTCTGGATGTCCATGAACGTCCGTTCGACAGTTGTACCAGCTGGTCCAGAGTAATTCGATAGATCCTCATAGCCACCACCAGAGCCTTTGTTCACTAGCGCATTGATCTTGGGTCTAGCATCGAAGATCATGTTGCGTCTCGTGCTGCCATAGACCCTCTTTCGAGGTATCACTTCTTCGTCGTTAAAGTCATCGTCAAGATCGGTCTCGCTCTGACTAGTGGGAAGTCCTGGTATGTCAGTACCGTCAGAGGGAACCTGAGCCGGAGAGTCCGTAGGTGACTGCTGAGGCGGTGTATGACTTGAGAAGATTGCAGATATCAATCGTTCATCCTGAGGGTTCCGCTTGTTCGATATTCCAACCATTGGCTGTGATGATCTGGTGATACTTCCACCATTCGAGTGAAGGTATGTGAGCGCAGGTATCCTCCCCTTTGAGCGGAACACCCCTCCATACTTGAGCATGTTATCGCTAACAGCTCGCGGGACACACAACACGCTTGGGTAAGTAGGTGAGTATTCGTAGTTCTTGTTGATGTCAGAGATCCGCCACGCACTGCCAGGCCCTTCAGCAGCCTTCCCACCAACACCCATCCTCGCAAACTCGCGGCGAGCATCGTAACAAGGCTCCTCCACAGCCAGCTCCTCAGGAGGTGCTTTGAAGTGGAAGGCAAGCATATCTTGCACATTCTCGAAGACACATCTGCTTCTCAAGCAGTAAAAGACCTCCCTCGCCGTCTCGTCCGAAGAATTCTTATCCGAAGGTGAAGGATGGAAATGGAAAGCCATCATCTGGAAATCCCGTCGCTGGATACGGATAGCGGGCGCTCTCACACTCTCGCTCGCCACAGGTAGTGCAGTAACACTGCCAGCAGGCGAAGCAGATCGCTGAGGCGAAGAATACGGCGCAAGATGCTGAGAGTCCGTCGACGGCCGGCCATTGTACGAGCTCGTCCCATAAACCGGCGGAAACGCACCGTCCTCGAAACTCCCATCAAGACTCTCTGCATTGTGATTCTCGTACGCGCGTGATGCCGCCGAATGACTGGGCCTCAGCACACAATGATTGATCATAGGATAAGGCACCCAAATCTCCTTCGGCCTCGCCTTCGAGGGCGTCGCCTGCTGTGACGTCGAATCGCTCGACTCTCGAGAACCTCGTGCACCATCAAGTGAGGCACTATTCCTGAGCTGGTCCACCTTGGATGAAGTGCTCGTAAGTACTCCTGAGTCCGGCACATAGCTGAAGACCAAGTGGTGCCTGGCCAGGTAGAGGGTTCCAACCTCCTTCTTGCCTCGACTGTGGAGGCTGACATTGCGGATCTTGAGATCCTTTGAGGGCTTGGGGGTTTCCATGGTCTCGTGTATACTGTCGTCTTGGGCCAGGAGTCCAGGATGATCCCCTTGCTTTTCGAGATTGTCGCGTGGCAATCGCAGGCTTTCCTATGAAATCGCGGTTGACACAAAGCGGTGGTGGGCGGAAGGCGGCGGAGCAGAAGACAGCATGTCGATTCGTCGTTACTGTCTCGTCGTTGCAATTCGTTTTGCTGTTTGTTGGTTGCTTTAATGTAGCTGCGATAAAGTTGTAGATGTCACGTCGTCAGCAGCAAACGATGCCAGGACTTATGGCCGCTGCAAAAACCTGTGGACATCTTGGCCACTGTCACATGCTTCTGTGCGGCGTTTTGACCAATAGCGCATGCTTCCAATCATCACAAAGGATCAAAGATTATCTACCAAGAAAACCCGAGAAAAGACACACGATCTTGAACCTCAAACAGCTTCAACATCTAAGCTACCTACACATTCCACCGAAGAGGAAGAAAGAATCTGTATCTACGAGAGCGGCCGTATTGATACAAGAATCCACAAACCCTCACCCGCAGCATGAAATGATGATAAGGACCTGCACTTCCATCATCATCCATGCCGACGAGATAGGTCAATAGTCATCGCTCCATAAAGACACACATCCACACGAACCCCAAATGCTCTCATCTCGCGGCTGTCCGTAACCGCTGCATTCTTCGAAAACGACGCCGCCCAATATGCATACTACCAATGCCGCAAACGCCATGCTTCGCTTCGAATCGCAAATATGCTGGTGGTGAACTTAGGCAAAGCCAAAGTACTCGCTTCCCGCGGTGATGGCGGTGTAGAGCTGTTGTCGGAGGTGCTCGTAACTCTCGTACTCTGGAAGATCGAGTTCTGTGAAGACGGTCAGTATTGTGTGCTAGAAGTAATTGTGATGGCAGGGTGTCGTGACTTACGATTGAAACAAGTGTGACTGGACGGCAACTTCTCCTTGTTGCTGTAGTCACGATGAATGTTGAACTTGGCGAAGCCATTCATGCCCTCCAACTCCTTGAAGCCGTTGAGAGGGACCTTGCTCGTGCCGGTGACGAACTGCAGCAGCTTGGCCTTGTCTTCCTTGTCGAAGCTGCGGACGGCACGCCAGAACCACTGGATCTGGGGAGAAGTAGCCTGGTAGTTGTGATATTCAGTGTTGTTCTTCCAGTCATCGACATCGATGTCTGGCAGGCCAGAGATGAGAAGTTCGAGCTCCTGCTCGTTGAAGATGGAGACCAGCTCGGCTGGAATGATCTCATGGAAGCCCTCCAGGAAGTTGTCGAGCTGCTGCTGGACAGACTTGATGAGACGATATTCAACGACAAGGCGCACATATTCGTGCTTGTTGTCTTCGGTGACCGCAATGTTGCGGCCGTTGGGAATCAGGTCCACAGTCTCGACAACGCCAAAGCGGTCAACATCCTCAGAAAAGGTCTCAAAGGTGACGTCGGTAATGTCGTTCTCCAGAATCCAGACGAGCGACTTGTAGAAGTCGAGATCGAGACTCTCCATGTCCTTGAGCGATACAGACTTCCCGAGGATTCGTCTGTAAACCGCTCTGCTGAAATGGCAGTCAAGGACGCGGTTCTCGTACAGAGCCTTGCCAATGATGCGTCCGATGAACTTGAAAAAGAGCAGATGCTCGCCATTGATCTCGCTCAGCTTGTTCGGGTGGAATGTCGTGCGATCCGATGCCACTGGCACAAAGAGGCAGTAGTCAGGGTTGAACATTTGACGCGACATGGCAGCGAACCACTCGCGCGAAACACCACCAGCGTCAATACCCTCTTCACCTATGAAGCGAATGTTGAGCTTCCCGTACTTGATCTCGGGGCCAGTCTTGTAGTACAGCGACTTGAACGAATCGAGGAAGACTTGGTCGCGGCGGACGCTGAGCTGAAGAGCTGGCTGGGACATTCGCACTTCAGAGCGACGGTCGTGGAGCTTCCGGCTGAAGTAGTTGCGCTTGTTGTCAAACTCCAAGACCTTCGAATTCTTAGCCAGAACGGAGAGATTGCCATTCATGAGCTTGGCATTGTTGCGGATCAACTCGTTCAAGATCTTGCGATGCTCTTCAGTGAAGTTGAAGAAGAGACCCTCCATGCGTGCTTCTGGCGGAGGTGTGCTGACTGCAGTGTCTGCTGGAGAGACCACAGTGCCAGCGCTAGGCGCCTCCTTCAAGGCGCTGTTGCGGCAGACGACCATCAAAGACTCGATCAAAGGCAATAGAATGGTAGCAACATTGACCATGTTGCCGCGTTGGCGAATTGCGGTCAAGCATGCACTGAGGTTGCTCCAGAGCTTGTCAAATGTGGAGCTCTCGTACAGAGTAGCCAGGATATCTTCCTTCAACTTCTGGTCGACGTCTGAGCTTGACGATGTTGCTGTCTGAACAGTCGGGATGCGCTTCGGGTCGAAGAGGTGATCAAGGGCGACAAGAGCGCGGAGCAACTTCTTCTGCTTGGATCCAGCAGATGAAAAGCTCGCAAGAGCCATGCCTTGCAAGTCGGTACCCGTCTGGGCTGTATTGATCTGCTTGGCAAGCTCCTGAAGATCGGTCAGAAGGTCCTGGCCGAGTTGTTGTGCTTGACGGATGAGCTCCTTGCCAAAGACTTCCTTTGCACCAGGAATAGCAGACAGGTGTTTGATGATGTCGAGGCTGTCGCTGAACGTCCTGCTGGGGCACTCGCGGGCTGCGAGGATGTTAACGACCAGCCGAATGTTCTCAACTGGGACGTCTGGTGGCTTGAGGTCCTTCTGCTTCTTCTTGTTGTCGTCTTTGCTGTCGCCAGCGGAACCATCTGCGGCAGCGGTCGATGCTTCGGCGCCTTCAGCATCTGGCGACTCGACCTCGGCTGCCTCTTGCATGGGAACGTCTGATGCACTAGTGGTTGGACGATCTTCCACCTCTGCGTTTGCACTGGCTTCGGCTTCTGCTGCAGCAGCTTCTTCCTCTTGTGCCTCCTTAGCCTTACGGAGCAAGCTTGTGAGTGGTCGAGTGATTTGGCTGAGCAAAGAAGCCAAAGTCTCCATCACCGAGATGTTCTCAATAATGAGCTTGCGGTCTAATAGAGCAAGCAGAGCGTTGATGGGGAACTTAGCGGCTTTGCTCTCCTTGCCCTTGCCCTTCTTCATGGCCTTCGATTTCTGGCTGGTAGACGTCTCATGTTCGTTGAGGAAGAAGTAAGACACTCGCTGGTTGTTGTTGGCAAGAGCATTGAGTGTTCCGAGACACTGCTGAACGATATTCAGAGGCGAAAGCTCGGTGCTTGGGGATACACTTGGTTGGCCGGTCAGACTACGCTTCAGAGGCGTCGGCGTCTTCGGTCCGGCAGGCTGCTTGGCTCTGAGGGACAGCTGTGCAAAGCTTCTCTCGACAGCGTTGACATCGGCAGTGCCGTCTTGCAAGATCGAAAGCAAGATGCTTATAACCTCTGCACGGTTCTGGGTGTTCTTGCAGACATCAGACAAGATGCTGTGCAAGTTTGTCTTCGACTTGTGGTTGAGAGAGACGAACATGAGGCGAAGCAGAGTCGCCACGCCTGCCTTGTCGAGCATTTGGCCCACGGGACGACGCTGTCTGCTGGCCTCACTAGCGGCTTGGTTTGCGCGAGCGACAACAACGTTGCCATTGGGTCCACCACGAGCAGCGTGGGCAGCTAGCCCTCGGGTTGCACCATGAGGTCGGCGATCACCAAGAAGAGCGCGTGCTTCGGCCTGCATTTCCTCTGGGAGTGCAGCTAGCACAGTATCGTCAGCGTCCATGAGAACGGCCTGGCGAAGACCTGGATCGAGCATCGCCATGAAGTCGGCATTGTTCATCTCTTCCGGCTGAGCGGCAGCACCTTCTTGTGCAGCACGTCGCCTGGCCTCGTCCCGCTCTCGTCGGCGTCGCTCCATCTGCTCGGATCGAATGAGCTCTTGTTGAATGTCGCGAGGTAGTGCTTCGAGGAACTCTCGGCTGATCTCGCTGGGGCCTTCGCCAGATTCGGCTTGTTGAGAACGTTGCTCTGCGAATTGGGTCATGATGACTTCTTCACGCATCTCTTCAGGCAAAGCTTCAATGTACTCGCGATCGATGCCAAGGCTAGTGATGTCGAGCTCACGACCGCGGATAGAGATCGTGATACGCTCTGCCGGCGGATCTTGAGCCGTCTGAGTGGACTCCGAGGAAGCTTGGGCCTCCGGTCCTGGTTGCGACTCTTCAACGCCCTCCATGCCAGTGGACTCTTGGGCTTCTGGTTCAGCTTGTGCTACACGCCCGGCTTCTTCACGAGCGCGTGCCTCTGCTTCCTCTCGCTCTCTGGCCTCACGCTCCTCACGCTCCTTTCTCTCTTGCTCCTCACGCTCTGCCTTCTCTGCTTCGGCCTTCTTGCGTTCTTCTTCCGCTGCTTTCTCCTGAGCAATACGGCGCTCTTCTTCTTGCTTCTCATGAGAGCGCTTCGCTTCCATTGCTGCTGGCACAAGTGCACGCAAGACGCTTGCGATGAGACGAGTGGCCTTGTCGTGGTACCGACCAGGGAAAAGCATGCGAGCCTCTTCTTGCCAGCGGTTGGCAGTCTGATTTGGCCTGAATTCGATGGCTTGGACCTCGTCAGTCATTCCCCCTGCACGGTCGAGAAGTCGGCCTCCGGGCAGAATGTTGGGCCAATTTGACGCGATCGTTCTCCTCATGTCATTCTCATAGTCGATCATCGGGCGTGGTATACCATGGCCATGCTGTACTGCAAACATGGGCGGAAGTTGTCCAAGATCATGCAGCGCTCCTCGATCAAGATTGACGTTGATGATGCCAGGACCATTGGAACCGACATGGGCGAGGACGTCTTGCAGAATGTGCTCGCCATGACGAGGCAGGAATGTTCGGCGTCCCGGAAATCGTGCCGGCATTTCGCCGAACTCACGATCTCGAGCAGCGCCGTTGCCGCGTTGGAGAAGTGGATTAATGCCATCCTCATCTCGGGTGTTGGGGGTCGAACGATGAGTGCGGAAGTGTGTCGGCCGCAGATCACCGCCCAACATGCCAAAGACTTCGTTGATGCCTCTGTGATGGTGATGGACGTGGTGATGATGATGGTGAGGTTGTCGTAGGATCGCAGGGGGTTGTGTATCCCAAGCCCATCCACCGTCGTTGTCTTCTTCCTCATCGTCCATCTCAGGCTCGTAGACAATGTCTTCGCCGAATTGGTCTTCCTCATCGTCGTCATCATCTTCAGGCGGCATTTCGTCTTCAAAGAACTCTTCTTCACCGTCGCCAATATCGATGCGCACAATGCCGTCTGCATCGTCGGGGTCAGATGGATCATCGGCACCAATGACGTGCGCAATGTGCTCAAGAGGCCCTCCATGTGGAGAGCCGCCATCATCTGGAGGCGCCTGATCGTCGAAGTCAAGACCATCATCGTCCCAATGGCCGTCGTCATCGTCGTGATCGCCCATGCTAGCATTCTCGTCATCTCCGGTGATTTCGTCCATATGGTCAACGAAATCATCACCCATGTCCGCATCGTCGTCGTCCTCATCATCGTCATCATCGTCGTCGTCCTCATCGTCCTCGTCGTCCATCATCATGTCGACTTCGATCTCAACGTCGCCTGGGACACCCTCGACCTCGCCCATCCCATCGATGTCCTCGTCTTCGTCGCTGACAACTTCATCATGGTCCGGCTCTTCTTCATAGTCCATCTCTTCGTCGTAGCCGTCGTAATCCATCTCATCGTCGTCATCATCTTCAGACTCCGAGTCAGACTCATCATCATCACCTGGGGGATCCAAGAGACCAAGGGATGAATCGCGATACATGTCAGGCGTCTGTTCGCGATCGTCTTCGTCCTCTTCAGACCATGAGGTGGCTGAAGATATTTCATCGTCATCTCCACTAGTCGTAACGCCAGAAGATATGTCCGATGTTTGACTCAACGCGACACCCAAATCGGTGAGCTGCTTGAGTGGCGTCAAGATGTACTTGACAGCCCGCTTGGCGTTGGGGAAGTTGAGGTCCAGCTCAGCAATGGCAGATGTGAGTGCGCCAATGAAGTTCTTCTCGTACATTAGTCTGCCCATGTGCTGGTTTGAAGCATGCTGACCGATTGCGACCACATTTGATCGCTGAAGGTCAGGCTTCTCGTCCAGCATTCGATTGAAGAGATCGCCAAGCGCGAGTAGTCGAGAATAACGCTCGTCGAGTGGATCTGCCGATGTCAAAGCATCTCTGAAAGCTCGCAGAGCATGCTCGAGGACGAACTTGCGGACGAAGGTGAGCTCAGGCTCAAGCTCTGCGAACTCGTTTGCATCAAGTGTGCGAGTATTAGTCGCGAGCCGCTCCGACGTCTTGCTGCACAACGAAACCAGAACAATCGACGCCCAGTTTGCGGTCGCTTGCCGCTTGCGATGGTTGAGGTCATCGCGGTGCTCAAGTGTACCCACTGGCAACAGCACGTTCAGCAGGTAATTGAGGGTGCCTGCTCGTGGCTTCGAGGGCGTCGCTGGCTGCGTCTCTGATTTGCGCGAGAAGTTAATGAACTCAATCTTCGTCTTGTTGTAGCAAGCGAGGAGCTCAGCCAAGCACTGAAGAATGAAGCACCGGTAAATGTAGATGGCATGGTCTTCAGGCTTGAACACCGACTTGACTTTGTTCGCAAGCTCGCGTGCTCTCTGTGCCGTGGGGCGGTCCGCAGTTGGCGCATCTGCCATCTCAACATCAGTCGATGCAGTCGATGTAGTCGAAGTATCATTGTTAGGCTTGTCGGTCGACGTGTCCTTGGGTGGCTGAGGAGGCTTGTCCTCGACGTCTCTGTAGTTGGACAATTCTCTCAGCAAGAATTGAACAACGCCGTCGGTGGTCTCCACCACCGGCATTTTAGGCTCTGCCTTCTGAACCTGCTGTTCCTCGCCTTCAACAGTCGCCTCGGCAGTTTCACCGGCATCGTTGCCGTTGCCGTTGCTTTGATGTTCTGCAGTGGCGGTTGTCGTAGTGTTTCTCTTCAAGTTGAGGTGTTGAGGGCGATGAGGATGACCATCGAATCGCGCAATCTCCAGCATCTCCTGCGTGACTTCTACGAAGATGTCAGGGTTTCGAAGAGCGAGATGATAGAGGTTGCGGGTGTAAGCCGTCGTGTCCATTCCTCGAGCCGAGCGAGAGTTCTCGAACGCAACACGTATTTCAGCTCGCATGGTCTGACGTATGGACTCCTCGTCCTCAACCATATGCCTCAAGATGAGCATGAATGAGCCGCGAAGCTTCTCATCCACGCCACCAGCCAGCTGTCGAATCATCAGAAACAGACGACCCATGGTGTGCTTGTCGCTCAGCTTTCCGGCCAGTGCACGTCTCCGCGAAAGAACAACCAACACGCGCGCAACGGATAGCGCCAGTGTCGAGTTCTTGCCAATCTTGGGCAAAAGGTCGATCAGGGCATCAAACAGCTGCGAGCGCAGCTCTGCTGGCACAACAGGCTCTGGAATCGACGGCTGTGGCATGGGCTTTAGAGGGTTGTCGGCTGGTGGAGCCTCCCAAGCGACGTCGATGGGCTGCTCGTCTTCTGCCAGAACACGCTCGATGATGAGCAGGACCATCTCAATCCATGGAGCATCTTCTGTCTTCTGCTCAGGCTCCAATTGAACCCAGTTGACAAGAGCCTCAAAGTACTCCTTCAAGTCATCGAGAGTTGAGTCGAAGAAGTCGCGGTCTTGGAGAATCAGTGCAACAAGATGAGCATAGGCGTGAATCTTGCGCCCTGACTCTTGGCTCAGCTCCTCAGCTTGGAGGGACATGAGCGAAGACACCAACGTGGTTCCAATGTCCGCACGTGGGTTTGCGCCTTCTCCTGCCTTCGCCACAGCTGCTTGAATCAGGTCCGCAAGCTCGAAGGTGATGCCAGGATACGTGCTAAGGACCTCAAGGCAACGCTCAATGAGATCATCGCGGAGGGCCTTGCGCTTGTCGTCAAGATCATCCAGCGTCACATACGGCTGCTTGGTATCCCGAGTGCCTCGAGGGACTGAAGGATTCACTATATCGATCATGCGTTGATCCACCATTGCGCTTAGATCCTCTGTCTGCAAGTCCGCGGGTAGGCGGCCGAGAGTGCCTGTATCGTCGTCATCGTCTTCCGAGATACCATCATTGTCTGACGACAGAACAAGGCGAGGGGCACCGCCTGCGTCCACAGTGATCTCTTCTGTGTGCAAGCCACCATTTGTATCCTCCATGTCGACAGAGTTCCCGTCTTCACCTGAGGCCCCGGACATCTCCACGTCAGGTCTGCTGTCCGATGTTGACTGAGTGGCAGCGGCCTCTGCATGGCTGGATCTGGCCCCTGGGGCCGATGAGCCGGTAACAGTGAGGTCTGAGTCTCCACGAATGGGAAATCTCGGGACACGATGGTCTTTGGCCCGTAGCTTGCAGTATGCCTCTGCATTTGAGACGTTGTTGTTGCAGCGATAAAGCGCTTCTCGACTGAGCTGGGGATCGTATCCAAGTTCCTTGTGCAACTTTTGAAAGCCATCGAGACTGCGAAGTCCAAACACTGGATTTGAAGCGTAGACGTGACGATTAATGCGTTCGTTGCGACGCAGTGCTCGATCTTCGCCTTCAGCTTTGAGGATCAGACGTAGGATGTCGACAACGAATCTCATGTTGTGATTGCCGATCTTCTCTACTTCTGTTGAATGCCATATCTTGCTGACGGCAGGTAGGACCGCATCTCTGACTTCAACCACGAATTGGCCGGGCTGGAAAAAGTCAGGCTGGGTCTTCTCTCGCTGCAGCATGAACTGCGCCTGGGGCGTCTCGTTGATACACTTGGTCCGCACGACTTGAGCGTAGAACATAAGGATCGCCTGGATGGCGTCTTTGACATGGCTGTCGGCGTTCTCGTGCCCACCCTGCTTCACGAGGAGCTGAATGAAGCGGTCGAGGTACTCGTTCATCTTGGCGAAGCCGCCAGCGACGTAGAATCTAACCATGACCATGACCAGTGCCTCCTTGCTGTTGATTGTCTCTCCAGAATACGAAGCGCGCAGAAGCATGCGACTGAACATTGACAGCATGCCTGCCGCGTACCGCATCTCTAGAGCCTCGTCATCCGACCCGTTCCTACGGAAGTCGAGTTCCCAGATCAGAGCTTTCGCCAAGTGGTCGGCAACAAGCATCGCATGCTGCTTAGTAGAGCTCTCCAGTCGCTTGGATACGATCGCTTGGCCGAGAGAGTGGAAGAAGGATTCAATGCCCATGGGAACTTGGCTGACCAAGTATCGAATCGTTCGAAGATTCTTGCGGCTGAGCAGCTCCTCTCGGCTCTTCGTCTCCTTTGTCTCACCATTCGCACCGTTGCTGTTGCGGCGACTTGCCTCCAAATCTCGCTTGTCTGCATGCTCGACAATTCCGTTGGCATCGATGCGGCGCATCACGAAAGGACGAGGCTCAGTCTCGGCCTTTTCCTCCTCAGACAGCTTACGCATGAGGAGCAGACCTTCCCAGACACATGCGGCATGGAGTTTGCAGAGCTCGTCAATCAGCTCAATGTAGACCTCTGTGAGGTTGAAGTGATGGAAAAGGAGGTGCGTTTGATTGCTGTGGCGCAACGTGTAGCCTGGGGCCGACAAAACCCTACCCAGAATGTGCGTGAGCAAATGCGTATTCACGAGGCCCTTAACCACCGTGGTAGCGTCACGACCGTCCGGGAAAGGTGATTGCGTAGGTTCGGCGAGGTTTGTGTAAGACTCGAATGAGCTGGTTTGGCTCTTGCTGGAGATGAGGTCCTTTACACCAAGACTCGCATGCTGTGTGCGTCGAATGATGCTTGGAAGAACCAGATGTCCTCGGACCTCGCACATGACTTTGAATACTGCCGTGACTTTGTTGAACAGTGGGAATGCCACCAGATCATAAGGTACACTTGGTGACGTGGCAAGATCCAGCAGAATCTCTGCACCTGATTCTTCGCAGAATAGCGCGCACATGCTGTTGTTTTGGAAGAAACCTTCCAAGAACTTGAACAAGGCGCTGATGAATGGGACGGAAGGTGCATGGTCCCACGGATCCTCGTCGCTTGAATCCTCCAGTGGCTCAGACCCCTTCGTTGGTAGAAAATCTGCTGTTCCAATCCGTGCTTGCTCGTAATCCGAAGTAGTAGGCCCCTTGAGCGCAGCCAGACCTCCAGCAATGGCAAGCTTTCCATCCTGATTCACCCAGAGCTTTGCACCAGATTGCTGCTTCTCTGCCAGAATGTCACACAGATCGCGCAGACGTCTCAGCATGTTGAGCACAGCGGCCATGATCTGAGCCTTTAATCGCGGGTGATGTCGGGCAAGCTCATCAAAGGAGCTGCCCACCGAAGCCGCTGTCTGGCCTTCGTCTTCCATTGCACGGACATGCGTGGGAGACAAGAAAATGTCGAAGTACTTGTTCAAGGCGCCAGACACCTGGAAAAGCTGCATTCCATTCTCGTTAAGGCAGATGGCGCCAAAAGCTGCTGGGATCTCATTCATGACCTCACCGACAGGAAGGATCCCGCGCACGGTGGGATATGAAGGCTCGCCGTCTGCAGTGAGCTCGAGCTTGTGTGGTTCTTGTGTAGGCACAAAGTCGTCCAGAGAGGGCAGCTCGTCTGGCACCTTCTGCTCGGTAATCGACTCCAAGAATGCCTTGCTAAGGCCAGCTTCACCGATGACTTGATAGCTTGTCGGCTCGTGATGGATGAACTGCGTCACAATAGTGACAGCGCCTCCCCAGACATTCGAGCCAAAGACTCTTGCATTCTCGATGACCTTGCGTAGTGAGCCTAGGATCTGCGGTGTGTCGATCAGGTTCCGCAAAAGTCGATCGTGGCTACCGGCATTGTGTTCGAACATATGCCCAGTGTTCTTGAACAGCTGACGAAGCGTGGATTGCTGATAGAATGGGATATCGTAGTCAACTACCTTTGACTTGTACTCAAACGGTAGCCCATTGCCGTTGCGAGCGTTGTCCAATGCAGCATCCACCTCATATGCTGTGAGATCGGCGATGATATCGAGACCCTTCACGCTGGCCAGTGTCTGGAACGCGGTTGTCACTCCATGGATAAAAGTGTCGAAAAACTGCAACACCCGCTCGTGGAACTTCTCGGCTCGAGCGGTGCGAAGACTGAGTGCTTCCACCAAGATGCCCATGATGCCAGCAGACACCATCTTCTCGCCGTATCTGGCCTGAGCGTTGGACGACAAAAGACTGTTGATGAGATCGAAGGTTGACTCGCGCCACTCCGCCTCCTGAAGCTCAGCATGCTTGTCGGCATGCTCTTCTACGTTCAGGGTGCTAATGACCTTGCGCAGCTCATAATACAGTACTCCATGGTTAAGAGAGATAGCAAGAGCTTCGGCCACTTCAGCGGCTTTGTGTCGACTCTTGCATAGCGCATCTAGTGTCATGATCGCGGTAGTCTCGGTCGATAATGTCAGAGCGGTTTGGCCATTCGTCGCCGGTTGGAGGAGATCGCAGAGCTGGTGGGCCAGATGAAACCGACGAGGCTCTTCTTGATCAGGAATGCCCACTCTCTCTTGGAATTTCGATTCTGTGAGGGCAAATGCGAGGTTTGCAATTGCGAACAGGCGGATCTCCAGGATCTCTTGGTTGCTCACCTCCTGCGAGGCGAACGCCTTGGCAATACGAATGCGATTCAGAAGCTCGTATCGCATCTCTGATGCCATGTTGGGGACTGCCTCCTTCACAAGTTGCCAGGCTGGTGTCTCTGCAACTTTGCTGGCTGGGATGTGGAACAACTTGGGCGCATTGGACGAGCTATCGGACTCGCGTGACTTGGATGGAGTACTCGACACATCGTTCGCGCTCACGCTTCTGTCACCAGGCGAAGGCCGATCTCGCGAAGGTCCGAGGTTTGAAGTTCTCCTGCTGGGTGTTGGGGTAGACGGTGATGCCTCGCTTGGGAGTTGAGCCGGCCCTTGACCTGGAGCTTGTTGGGATGTGGCTGCCGGCTGCTCGTAATAACTCATTGCAACACTCGACATCTCACTTCTCACTGCAGGCGATATGTGCTCCTTCGCAATTACGACCAGGTCTGATGGGTTGAAAGTTGCTGTTTGAACAGCTTTATCCTTACCCTTGCCTGGGGTCTGGCCCAAGGGTGCACCTGAGTTGTAGGGCCTGGGGAATGGCTGCGCGATCTTGTGCAGATTGTCCAGGTTGATGTTGTAGTGGTTGGATAGAAGGATGGCCTGAGCACTTGGGTGATGGTTCTTGTATCGCGCGACTTGATACCGCTGGGCAAGCCGTAGGCTCAGCTTGAGACATTGCCGCAGCAAGCTCAGGGATGTGGTGTGGAGCAAGTCGTTGATATGCGTGCTACTGGCGTACAGGCTACGATTCCCGCAATGCTCGAGCAGTATCCGAGTGAAATGCAGTGTCGACTGTACCAGTTCCCTATCGCCTTCTGTGGAATAGCCCTGACCATCAAGCTCCTCACTCGTTGATCCAGTCGATGGGTATGGCATGCCCTCTTCGGCGTCACCCTTTTGCAGCAGTCGCCGCTCGAACGGCTGCATCTGAGGTCCTTCATTCAGAGCATAGTCCTTGATGAAGAGCTCGAGTATGTGGTCGAACCGGTCCAATAGTGGGATCCAGTGGTAGAGATCGCCACGCGGCAGCGGCCAGTATTGCGGAAAACTATCCAGCAGTGCAGGTAGCTGGCATAGCGGTACCTCCGTCGCTTGCTTGACGAAGTCCTTTACGAACGGCGACAGCGTGGCCATATGCCGCTCCGTGGCAGCCTTCTTGATCCTCCCCATCGCGCCAGGCGCCGCGAGCAGCGCGGTGCTCGTCTGCCAATCTCTGCTATCCGGCTACCAAGCCTTGTAACAGTCTCTTACTTTCTGTAGCGGTGATGATCGGTCGTGTGGAAAAGCGGGCGCTTGATGGTTGCGGAGGTGTGATTCTGACGGATGATGGATTTGTCGTTCGGCGTCGGTTTGCACGAGCAAAGTCCCAGGTCTCCAGTGGGCCAAGTGACGTCACGTGCGACGAGATCGTGCGGTTGCCTCGAGGGAATTGAACGTGGTGGTGGTGTAGGTACGCAGTGGAAGGCGGGTTTCACGATGCTGCCCAGGTAGGGTATGTACAGCTGCGGCTCGGTGGTGGATTGGTCGCGGTGCAGGCTCGCCCAGTGTCGATGGATCGAGGCCGAGCAAAGGTGTTCAGCAGCTGGAACAGATCTGCCGCCGGGTATCAATTAGTCGAAAGAGAAGGCAGCAGATGGCAAACCGCAGGCGGCACAACCAAGCAACCGACGATGACTTGCTCGAACGAAGCTCGCTTCTCAGGACGCGGCTCTGCTGGCGAAGCGCTGACCAGATGACGAAAGTTTTCAAGCCTGAGGCCACAACCTGTTCACCCAAGCTTAACTTCATCTCTTCACTTGACTAACATCTTCACGTGCAAGTCTCGATTTCTGATTTCTACAGAGCCACTGAACGTACACATTCCTATCTGATACGGCAATCTATCACGTGGTTTTATGCGGAATCGCTCTCACGCTCTCACCCGAAATCGTCCCCGAGGCCGGAAAGCCGTCAATACCTACGACTACAGGTTGTGCCCGAGTCCCTCGAGCTCATTCACTCTTTCGTGTTCTGTCATTGTCGTATAATGGACAATACAGCCGTTGGTGTCTATAAGTTTGGTTGTGCCCTGTCCCGTTCTATTGTGCTTGGCGGAATTACCATTGACTATCTATACCTCTCTATTGTCCGTTTCCTCCCTCTCTTCTGCTATTGTCCATGCCAACAATGAAGCCTCTCAACCTCAAATACTTTCGCCGTGCCCTCCAATCTCTCTTTGTCTCCCTCCATACCAACATTCCGCTTTCGATCCCATCAAACCTTTGTCTCTCAAACCCCCCAACACAACGTTCAGTCCCACAGAACCACCAACTTTCCCGGAGAAAGATGGTCAAACGCAAAGCCGTTGACGACGAAACGTCCTCAAACAAGAAGGCCACACTCACCGCCACCACTGCCAAGCACAAGGCACCCAAGAAGGGCACAACATCCACCCGAAAGGGCAAGGGCAAGAAGAGCGAAGATGTCCAAGAGGCAGAACCACCAAAGCCGCGCGTGAAGCGCATCAACAAGACCCTCAAGGCCAAGGTCAAGCAAGTGGGTGACTTTCTCGACACCACCAGCAGAGAAGACTCGCGCCTGAAGAGAAGCAGCGCCAACGAGAACCATGTCATCATCACCGAGGCATGTCTCCTCGCCAGCCTCATGGCCATGCGCGCTGACTGGGAGCTCACCGATCCTCGCATGGCTTCCTTGCTCGATGCAAGTGAGGCGATTGTCGAGCAGTACGAAGAGAAGTGGGCTTCCAGCGAGCAGCTGGTGAGAATGGTTGCCGTGGACCTTGAGAAGAAGACTGCGTTTGTGGAAGGCATTCAGCAGAAGATCGAGGGCTGGGACCTCGAGGTGAGCGCTTTGCTATTTTGAAGTGATTGAGAGCCTTGCTAACGTGTTTTTGAAGGGCATCAACTTGCTGGAGGTTGAGCTGGAACTCACCCAGCAGAGAGCCGAAGATGAAGCTGCTTTCCGCCTTTTCTCCACCGCAGAGACGGCCGTCCAGGCCACCGATGCCAGCAATGAGACCATCGTCGAGACCGAGACGACGGAGATAGCTGCCGAGATTTCGGCAAGTGAGGTTGAGGCTGGTGAGGCGAACGAGGGCGATGCGGTGAGCACCAAGAACAGCATCACCCTCGAGAAAGAGAGCGGGCGTGAGGGGGTTTGCCCTGCACCCATCAAAGAGCTGTGACCACACAAGTACAGCCTACTCAAATGCTACATCAACAAGCGTTTTCACCATGTACACAACATGTCCATCTCGCCCTTCTTCTCCACTCTTCCCTCCATCTAATACGTGAGGAAACCTTCCGAACCCCAGACGTAGATAGAACTTCTCAGCACCTTCATTCGCCGCCAACATCCCCAGATGCACGCCTTTACACCCTTGCTGCTTGACATGATTCAGAAACGCATCCATCAACTGCACACCCAGCCTCTGCCGTTGCCACTCAGGTCGGATATCGATATGCAAATGGCCAAGAAACTCCTTCAAAAGCTCCCGCACAGGCGGCTCCAACAATTTCTCCTCTGGTGAATGCGCATTCAATCGCATCTCACTCAATGGATCGGAATCATTCAAATCTGGCTTCGAAATCCCTTGGTCTTGAAGCAGAGGGATGTATTTCTCTCTCCACTGCTTCACGAAGTTGCGGTTGTCTGGCGTGCCGATTATGTAGCCCACAGCACGGCCATTCCCGTCGTCGACTACGAAACAGTTTTCGGGTTGCAGGATGAAGTAGGGGATGCAGTATGTGTGAGCGCCTATTCGAAGAGCTTCTTCGCCTTTGGAGGCTAGGACTGGGTCTGCTGTTTCGTTGAACTTGATGGCAGATGTTAGTCAACTTCTGGATTGCGATGATGCCAGGTGCGGACTTACAATCACCACCATCTCATCTTTATCTTTGGTTTCAAAACTCCTTATGAATGGTGGAGCCATGGCTGAATGTTGTCAATTCTGTAATCTTCGAGGTATTGTTCCAAGAATACTATCTCTCCACGAACTGTGCTCGGAATTACAATAGCATCATTGACACGAAAACGGTATGATGTAGTCAATCCCGATGACTTGAGTCAAGATAGGACCTGTGACGGATGTGGTCTTGACTCTTGCAGTTTAATGTCGTTAGCTCATCACCAGCCATCCGCAGCGCTCCTGTCAGGAGTCCGGGCAGCATCGTCATCGCTTCGCATCGTGCCAAGATCTTTCACAACGACTCGCATTCAAGACGAAACCACACAAGAACTCCATCATGGTTGTACAGACAGATGCCAGCTCATGTAGGACAGCACATCACCAGCAAAGAAGCAAGCAAGACGTTGAGGACGATAAGCAGCCATTGGCCAGTAACGCACGTGGCAGATTGCATGGCAGTACGCAGAGCCGGGTGATGCCAGAACGAAACACCTGAGATCACCTCACCTCACCTCTTCTCCCTCCAACTCGTTCGTGAATGACCTCGCGTGCCGCCGTCGAGCCGCCGAAGACTGCCAGCGAGAGAAGACGTCCACGTCCGGCCAGCAGCGTACGTCCCGACCATGAACGGCACCATCACCGCCGAGTCGCACCACAACCGCGACCGCTCCACGTCCAGGACCAACTACACCTTCGCCCGTGTATGTAATGCCTCTCTGCTGTTTCTTATACGTAGCCGTCGTGATGAAAGAGAAACCCATACATATCCACTTCTTGTGCCTCAACAAAAGGCCACCACCATGTCCCCCGGTTCGCGGCGAAACTCGATCTTCTTCCGAGGCCCGCAGTCGCCCTCTCTCGTTCCCTGCGTCATTTCCTCGAAATGCTCTGCGCACGAGACTAGCTACATACTCTGCACCGCACACTGCATTGCAGATACTACCGCGGACCCGCTTACCTCTGCCTCCTCTTTCTACGATACGCCGTTTGAAGGATCGACCTCAACCCACCACGCCCAAAGATTTCCAAAATCCAGCCTTGGTCCAGACGACTATACCCCACATTCAAACAAGAGCCATTGGAGTTGCTGTCGGCGTTTGATCATAGCAATCACCACGAGAGCGTGAGAAAAGATAGAACACCACGTGTACAACCGGCTGCAGATTTGCTTGGGGCAACTGTCCACCGAGGATACCGCCGGCCAAATTCTTGACTGCTGAAGGCCAACACCCACTATTCACCACACTCTTTTTCCCGGCAGAGTGATACTGGCCCTGGCGTCTCTTGAGCGGCTTTCATCTCCTCCTCTAGCACATCTCTCAAAATGCCGTCCGCTCTCGACTCGTCTACCTCTCCCAAAGAGGCTGTAGAGCAATACAGGCCGAACCTCATGAACCAATCCCCCGCAGAATTCATGCGTCCCACTACGCGCACACGGGGCACCTCAAATGCAAAAACTAACGGCGTCGGCGTTCAGGTCGAAGACACGCGGATATGTGTTGTCATGGTCGGCCTACCCGCGAGGGGAAAGAGCTTGATTGCACAAAAAGGTAGGGCATAAGGCTGCGAGACATGGAGGACTGCAAATTCGTTTGGGGTTCTGGCTGACCTCTCTGAAGTGGTTCGCTACCTTGGCTGGCTGAGCATTACCGCAAAATGCTTCAACGTGGGCAACTACAGACGTACAGCAACGCCGCAACCCAACGCCGCATTCTTCGACACATCCAATAAAGAGGGAGAACGTCTAAGAAAAGCAGCAGCAGAAGCTGCTGTTGCAGACATGGTCAAGTGGTTCAAGAAGCCGGACAACCTCATCGCGATTCTCGACGCTACAAATAGCACCAAAGCTCGGAGACGATGGATTAAAGAGCGATGTGATGCTGAGGGCATTGAAAGCTTATTCGTGGAGAGCAAGTGTGACGACGAGGACATCATCATGAGCAACATACTCGAAGTCAAGACGACCAGCCCAGACTACCAAGGTCAAGACCCTGAAGAGGCGGCGAAGGACTTCAGAGAGCGCATCAAGATGTACGAGAGGGTGTATGAGACACTAGACGAGGATGAAGCAGACATGACATACTGCAAGATCATCGACGTTGGCGCACAGGTGATTATCAACAGGATCCAAGACTACCTTCAATCAAGGGTAGTCTACTATCTCATGAACCTGCACATCAAGCCGCGGTCAATCTGGATCAGTCGGGTGAGTATGCCGGAACATCTAGATTGTGACACCAGCTAATGCGGTTTGCGAAGCACGGCGAATCAATGTACAATCTTTCCGGACAAATTGGTGGAGACGCAGATTTATCAACCCGCGGCGAGATGTATGCAAAAGCGCTTCCTGATCTTGTGAAGCAATCGGCGGGAGATCTGCCATTGACGGTATGGACGTCGACGCTCAAGCGAACCGCTCAGACCGCGCGCTACCTACCCTACGAGAAGCTCAGTTGGAAGGCGCTGGATGAGCTGGACTCAGGGGTCTGTGACGGACTGACCTACGCCGAGATTGCACAAAATTACCCCGAAGACTTCAAGGCACGAGACGACGACAAATACAACTACCGCTACTTGGGTGGTGAAAGCTACCGAGACGTCGTCATTCGACTGGAGCCCATCATCATGGAATTGGAGCGATCAGAGAATATCCTTATCGTGACGCACCAAGCCGTGCTACGATGTATCTACGCGTACTTCATGGGATCACCGCAGGACAAGTCCCCCTGGATGGAGGTGCCGCTACACACCCTCATCAAGCTCACTCCACGAGCGTACAAAACCGAGGAGGAGAGGATGTTCGCCAACATCCCTGCCGTCAGCACGTTCCGTGAAAAGGGGAGCAAAGCGCAGCATCAAGAGACTGAGTCGTCGACTCGGCGCAACTCGCCCATGATATCAGGCGAGGCAAAAGCATGAAGCGCGTAACAGTGGGAAGGATTCAAGATTGGGCATTGACGGACGGCATAGCATGGCGCTTTTAATGGAGGAGATGGACAGGGCATGTCCTGTTGGCGAGGAGCAAGCAATTGGATTATCAGCTACAGCGTTCACGGACAGAGGAAGTCAGTGACAGCAGCAAGCAGGCAAGCAAGCAAGCAAAACGGTCATGTGGCGAGTCCGGCAAAATGTCATATGGTAGAAACAACCGTGTAGGTATCATGCATGCCTCCACAAACATCAGTACCGTTGGAAATCATCTTCCACACCAATCATTCCCAGTCCCCATTACTTTACTACTCACCCCAACCATACCACAGCACAGCAGCAGCAGCAGCAGCAAACCATGTCTCACCGCAACGACCACGAGCACGACCACGAACCACTCCTCGCACCCCAAAGATCCGCCCTCGTCTCCCAAAACCTCCTCCGCACCATCGCCCGCATCTCCTCCCTCACGCTCGAAACCACCGCCTCCCCGCACGCCCACCGCGACAACCCCACCGCGCTCTCGCTCCTCAAACGCGCCATGGAAGTCACGCGTCCTTGGCTCGAAGACGTCCGCGCTGAACTCGAGGAGCACGGATATACCCCTGCTAGCCGTGACATCGAGGCGGGAGATGAGGGGTTCCGAGGGAGGTTGTTGAGGGAGTTGCCTAGTTTGGTTCCGGTTGTGGCGGGGTATGTGATGTTGCGGAGGGGGATGAGGTGTGAGGGTAGGAGGGTGGAGTTTCTTGGGGTGCTTTGTGGGGTTTTGGAGGGGAAGGTTGGGGCGGCGGAGAGGGAGATTGAGAGGTTGGAAAGGCTTTTTGCCAGGGAAGGGGGGAGGGGGAGGAGGAGTAGGGAGGGGATGTCTGAACGGGAGAGGATGGCTGGGAGGGAGAGGGAGGAGAGGGGGTGGTATGGTGAGGAGAGGAGGCGTGGGGCGAGGGATGAGTATTATCGTGGTGATGATGTTGGAGAGGAGCGCTCAGGGGAAGACGTGAGAGGGGAGGGGTTGGATGTTGGACGACGGAGGGAGAGGCGGAGAAGGCGTAGAGGGGCCAGTCGAAGGAGCAGCATCGTCAAGGATGAACGATCAACCCGTGAAGAGAGAAGAGAGTCTCGACGAGAGAGTCGTACACATAGGGGATCGCGAACAACCGCATCAGAGTGCGAAGACCACAATCGCGAGACCCATGATGATGGAGAGCAACGCAGAGGTCGCCCACCACATGGACCAGGATTCAACCAGATGTCGCCCGAAGAGCGACTAAGAGCAAAGGAACGGCTTCTGGCGATGCACTTGATGCGGAAGAACGAGGATACGACGAAGACGACAACTCCTGCAACGACGACAACACCTCCTCGTGCAACGAAGTCGGTGTCTTCTGGGTCGACTGAGTCGATACCTCGCTTTCCTCCGCTGCCTATCGGTGTCCATGCTCCTCGAGGGGAGAATGCGAATGTTCTTGAAGAAACCGCTAGGTAAAGCACTTTGCGAGGAGACATTGTGGTTATGTTGAGAATGATGGCGTTGTCTCTTGGCTTGGTTGCATGTTGTTGCGAGCCAGTGTATTGGAGGTATGTACTGTTGCCAGAATGTTGTGGTGCACTTCTCATTTGTAAAGCTGGAGAGATAGTAGAACGGACAAACCACGCCCCTTCCAAATCTCCTATTCAAAATGCCAGCCCAAAGGCAAAGGCAGGAGGACTTACCTTGTTTCGACCTCACCCCGTCCAGACCAGCTTGGCTACCAACTACCTCCGTGAACCAACACCCGGCCTCGCCACTAGCCCAAGCATGTGGTACATATGTATGGTACCAAGATTCCCAAAAACTGCGCATGGCGTTTTGAAACTTTAATGCTGATTCCCAGAGGCTGGCGTGCGTAGGTACCTGCGTCGAGATCGCTTGGGGCGTGGGGGTGGTGGGTGTTTGGCACGAGGGACTTTTTGCGCTGGAACACTTTGGAAGGAGTTGCTTTAGTATTCGATGTGCCATCCTTCGTCGGCCAGTCCGAAGATCAAGTGTTACGATTGCATTGCAACGGAGGAGTAAGCAACACCAAGACCCTTGGAATCGGATTGTTTGTGAAAACTTGAAAGGCACTCGGGAGTTGGTTCGTCTGGCGATGCTCGGCGCCAAAAGTCGAAAAGTCAAAGTCGAAAAACCCTGCAGGCCGCCACGTTTTGCGCCCTTCGCTTCGAGAAAGCGTGGCACAGGCGTGCGAGGATCCAGACAGGCGGGAGCAGGCGGCGGTGGGATTCGAGTCCAACGTCCGCGAGTTTTGGTGATGACGACAGGCTCGCGGATGTGCTTTTCACACACAGTGCAAAGGCAAGCGATGCGAGCACAAGGTGGATGAGGTGGTCTAATCAGCGGTTCTCGGTGGGTAGCAGTAACAGCTGTGCTGCCAGCGGTGGCGAGCCAAGCCGCGCACAAGACTCGCAGCTCTGGGCGGGTCAAAGAAGAGAGTTGCTGCGGGCGTAGTTAGCCCCGTCCTCTGGCGGTGCGTGGAGGACGCTGCGCTGCGTTGCGTTGCGTGGAGTGGGCGTGGCACAAGCACCAGCACAAGTGGGTTTCCTTCTGCTCTCAGCTCAAAGGCCGAGTCCAGCTCTCCATCATCATCCACTCACTAACGACGCCTGGCCTAAGTGTCGTCGTCGTCGGTCTTTCTTCGCGCTTCTCTTCCACTTCACTTCACTTCCTCTCCACACGACTTCTCCCCTTCCTCCTCACCACGACTGCTCCAGTCGCATCCCCGTCGCTAGTCCGCAACTTTCGCGCAGAGGGAGGACGAGAGACATCATGCCACTGTGGTTACGTGTGGATCGAGACCCAGCGACACCACACCCTCCGTGAAAGGCCTGTCTGGTCCGGCATCATCCTGGTCCTGGTCCTAATCTCTGGCGGCCATGACTGCCTTGAAGGTAGAGTCATGGATCTGGTATGCGATGGTGATTATGGTCGCCGCGAGCAGATAGTGAGTGGGGCGAACAAAACGGTCGTCAGGTGATGGAGGACTGATTTTTCCCGCAGTGTCTCGAGATACATGACGCTTCGAAGTCTGCGAAGATTCCAACTCGATGACTATGGCATGCTCATAGGTAAATTCGGTGCAGCGGATCTTGGGGGAGAGCAATAATGTCTGACGCAGAATCTCAGTCCTCTGCTTCTACACTACCATGATAGCCACCATCAACATCGTGCGCAACACCAGCAGCAACCTGCAAGTCGCCCTCATCACCTCTTTTTCCACCACCTTGCTAACCAATAGCGTAGACTGCCGCCAGGATTCGACCTCGCCACCTTGACGCCATCTGGAAAGGCAGAAAGGGAATACGGCAGCAAGCTCGTCCTCGTCGTGGAGCAGTGTCAATGCGTCACGGTCAGTGCACGCATGTGAAGTCTACCCACGCCAATGAATGCTGACGAATTACTAGATCTGGGGAGCCAAACTCTGTCTTCTCGTCCTATACCTACGCCTGACTCAGTTCCGCTGGGAGAACGTGGGCATCAAAGTCCTCATCGGCTATGTCATTGGCTCGTTTGTCATCATGGAGGTATTGTACTTCGCCGTCTGGTGTCGTCCGTTCCATGAGTACTGGGCCGTGCCTACCAACTCCAGCCAGTGCGACGCCGCTACGAACCACCTCATCACGAATGCCGTCTTCAACCTGTCCTCGGACTGCATCATGCTGGCGATCGGCCTGCCCATGTTCCTGCGGATGAAGCTGCCATGGAAGAAGAAGTTGCCTCTCGTGGTGATCTTCTCACTCGGTGTCTTCGTCATTCTCGCCGCCATCTTGAACAAGGTGTATTCTTTCACTCAGCCCTTTGGTTCGATGTGGTCGTACTGGTATGTGCGTGAGAGTTCAACAGCACTGCTAGTCGCCAACCTCCCCTTCGTCTGGAAGTTCTGGGCGAAGATTACTGGCATCAACTCTTTGACGGGTGCCACGCGACAGGACCCCACTCAAGCAGATTCGGGGCGTGGTGGCAGTGACAGGAAGGAGAGTCTGATGAACTTACCAGGCTTGTTCAGTGAATCACCACCTTCGTCTCAACGACGAGGCTCCAACACGTCGAACGGGCTAACGTTGATGGAAATGTTGAGAGGAGACCCTCCACCAAAGGCCCAGCCTGAGCTGCGTCGATATGATAGCAACGATGTTCTGCCGGCGATGCAGAAAGTGGTGATCAATGACGGACCAGCTCGCGAAACACTGCGTCGCGAACATTCGAATCAGGAGCGTCGTCAAAGCACAACGCCTCCATCCTCAGCATTGCCGCCGTCGATACAGAGTAGCTGGTCCGCGGGGTCTTTTGTATGAACAAAGGTCAATGCACCAAAAGATACGGCGATGCGGCCTTATCGTGCAATCTGCGACAAGGCGTCCACAATACGGAAGCCGCATGATCTCATCACCGCCAGGCGCAATTCGCGAAACGAGTCCGAAACATCACGAATTGCTTCTCCACTTAGCATGGCGCCAAGGAATTACCCTTTGATGGTCAGCGACGGTGATGAGGGATAAATGGGCTGGAATTTTGTTTTACCGCGAATGATACCCAAGGATGCTTGATAAAGCAATCCAGCCATTGACTGTAGCACAGACACGAAGAGGCTAAGAGAAATCCAAGAAAACCATGTCGCACAGCAGAACAGAGAGGCGGAGTCCCGCATTATATCAATTCGCGTGTCTTGTCGTGACACCAGCCATGAGTTTTGAGGTGCGACCTGCCCGGGCTGGGAATGAGAGACAATCCAGCCCGGCGCCGTAGAGCGCGTACGTCTCCTGCCAGCTAGACACAAAAAGTCTTGCCTCGCTAAGGTGCAAGAAAGAGTGGTACGGCGATATTATGACTCCGTGAGGTTGGGCGGTTTCGACTGATGACAAGAAGAAAAGACGTTGGCAGGTGTTGCGACGTGACTTTGGCTTGTCATCAGAGACGTTTGAAAGCCGCAATTTACGATGAACCTTTTCGCGCATAAGGGGAAGTCAAACGTGTCCTGAGTTCGCCGCCGTCGCTTCTTCTTGCGATGTCATTCGGAAATGAACCGACGAAGCGTGGAAGTATCGCGTCTGGAGGAAGATACCATTTCTGGTGGGTCTTGCGAACTACTCCGAGGAGGAGGTAGGTTGTCTTGCTGCGAACAGCTCGTGGTGGTGATCGGGGAGATTGTTTGGTTCTGGTGGTGCGCGTGTGCAGCTGCAGCCAGCCCGGGGCCGGGCCGACCACGCATTTCGATCTCCACCTCTGGCTTCACCTCCTCACCTCCTCCTGCACTCGATATATTGGTATGCATCATACCGTCAACCTCGTCCAGCCAGGCCAACCAGAAACACGCGAACCCGAAGCGCCCAGCACCGGAAAAGGCCCATTCGAGGATGATGATGGGCGGATACGAGCTTGTTGATGAAAATGGCTATCACCATCACAACGGCCGCTAAAACGGTCGCCGCTCGAAGTTTGATTCATTCTCTCACCACCGTGAGAGGCCGCGCGAAGGACCCCCTGATCAATGCGTTCGCGCAGAGCCTCAGGCTGCGCTCGTGGCCGTCTGAATGGCCAACCCAGGCACACATCCGTTATCACGCCCAACACCCTGCGTGGTGCTGCTGTATCGTCGCCAAATTGCAGGCGCACCCGCCCTCCCGAGCGAACACGGCGCGTTGCAGCGTTTCGTGGAACCTCAGCCTAGCCTCTTCTCATCATCACAGGCTCGTAGACGAAGGGAGACCCTCTTGGCGTGGCCTGCCTCGTTGTGGTCGTGTCTGATATACCCAGCGTAGGTCTCCGGTACTTCCAGCCCTGTTGTCTCGCCTTGTTCTGCCTGTTTCGTTGACTGCGCCTGGCCTTGCATCGATTACTGGGAGACACTCGTTTCCTTCGTTCGTGCGTGCTTTTTATTCAGGGCGCCGCCTGCCCTCTGCCATTGTCACTCTTTTTACCACTTTTCGTTGTTGGCAGAGAGATCAAGCATGCGTCGAACAGTTCATTTGGCCGCGTTTGCGGCGACCGCTGCTGCTTGGGGTGGGGATTGGAACAACAAGGGCGGCGAGGATTGGGAACATTACAGCGCACCACCACAGGCACAGGCACCGCCGCCGGCAGCTTACTACAACTACTCTTCGACCGCGATACCATCTTCTTCTTCTTCGACATCAGCTTCTACCCAGCAATACACCTGGAGCAACGCAACGCAAGTTACCTTTAAAACGACGACCCGGGTTGTCATCACGGAGACTGTGTCCCCAGTTGGATCGCCATCATATTCTGCATCATGGGCAGAGAGCTCATCGGTAACTCCTCCTGAGTCGTCTTCACCAGCATCGGCACCTGAGGCACCATCGACCTCAACGCCACCATTGACGGAGAGCGGATCTCCGTTCCCTTTGGAGAGCTCCCCGGCAGCACCAGAGTCCACTTCAGCGCCCGTCGTCACTGAGATCGAAACGAGCACTGAGGCTGTTTATGTTACCTTCGACAAGACTGTTACAGCCTGCCCGCCGTCAGGCACGGGCGCTTGCCAAGCATCGTACCCTCCTGGACCGCCGTCGGGATCTGGACCCCCTTCAGGATATGGCTCGCCTCCATCTGGCCCACCAGGGGCCTGCTCACTTCCCAGCAGCCCACTCACCAACGAGGAGCAGGTCGGAAACTCACTTTGGGGCACGACTTGCCAGCCAACGTTCCCGAAGTGGCTCCCTGATGAGCACGGTAGAGAGTATGAACAGGCGCCTTGGGGCAACCGCAACCCCAAGACATCCGACCCTTCCAACGACGCCGACATTCCATACTCGAACGTGACCAGATACTACGAATTCACCATCACTCGTGGCTCCATCTCTGCCGATGGCGTTCTTCGCGACGTCATGCTCGTCAACAACCAGTTCCCTGGACCCGCGATCGAGGCCAACTGGGGCGACATGATCGAGATTACGGTCCACAACAATATATCCTACCCAGTGGAAGGCACATCGATCCACTGGCACGGTTTCCTTCAGCGTGGCAGCAACTGGTTCGATGGCGTGCCGTCTGTTAGCCAGTGTCCTATTGCTCCTTTCCATTCCTACACTTACCGCATCCCCGCTCAACTTTACGGGTCCAGTTGGTACCATGCTCATTACAGTGCTCAATACACTGCTGGTATCGTCGGCCCGATCATCGTCTACGGGCCTTCCCAACAATCGTACGACATCGACATTGGACCGGTGTTGTTGAGCGATTGGTACCACATTCCATACTTCAGCATTGTCAGCGACGCCGTCGGCACTGACCTTTCAGAAATTCCACCGACCAGCGACAGTCTCCTCATCAACGGCCGCGGCCGATTCGATTGCTCGAAGCCTTCCTACGGCAACGAGACCACCGAGTTGCTCGCCAGCCATGTCAGCGCAAACCTCACGTGGACCTGCAAGGACGGTGCAGAGCTGTCGAAGTTTGTGTTCCAGCCTGGCAAGACGCACAGACTTCGTTTAATGAATGTGGGCGCCGATGGAATTCAGAAGTTCACGATCGACGGACATCAATTGACGGTGATTGCCTACGATTATGTTCCAACAACGCCGCATACGGCCGACTTTGTCACGCTTGGGGTTGGACAGCGCGCGGATGTGCTTGTGACTGCAAATAACTACACCACAAACTCGTTCTGGATGCGATCGTCTGCTCCCGGCGGTGCTGCTTGTGGAGGCTCGAACATGGGCGAGGTCATGGCGGCGATCTACTACGAAGGAGCAGACACCACCGTAGAACCCACAACCCTCCGTGGAAGCAACGACACCGTCTGCGAGAACGCGCCCCTGAACACCACCGAACCCGAATACACCATCACACCGACGCCCGAAGGCGCTTACGTCTTCGACATCACCCTCTCCCTCGTCCTCAACTCCACCGGCAACTACGAATGGCGCATGAACGACCAAACCTTCCGCGCAAACTTCAACTACCCCTCGCTGATGCTCGCAGCAGAGGGCAACACATCCTTCCCGGACGACCCGCAATGGCAAATCCACAACATGGGCTCGAACAAATCCGTCGTCCTGAACGTCACCAACCTCACGCCCTTCGCGCACCCGTTCCATTTGCACGGCCACAACTTCCACGTCTTAAACACAGGCTACAACGGTACCGTCTGGGACGGCACGGCCGTCAACCCCAAGAACCCCATGCGCCGCGACGTCCAGATCATCCCCCAGGCGGGCTGGGCAGCGCTGAGTTTCGAGTCTGATAACCCCGGTGTGTGGCCTGTAAGTTGACCATCTAAGCCCTAAGCAACCATGTCTTGTGCTAACATGTATATTGCTCTACAGTTCCACTGCCACGTCGCCTGGCACCTCAGCGGCGGCCTCGCCATGAACCTCGTCACGCACGCCGACCAGATCCCCTCGATCCCCAGCGGCACCAAGGCGGACACGTGCACGGACTGGGACTACTACTCGAATAACAATGTCGTGGATCAGATTGATGCTGGATCATAGAAATCAAACCTGGCTTTGATGTCTGGTATTACTTTTTCACGGCAGTCGTTGTTGTTCATGTTGTGGTATACCCCCTTGTTCATGCATCAGATGGCGCTATGGGATGGCTTATTTGCGTTTATTTCGTTGGACATATTCGACAGAGATAGGGACAGAAAGAGGAGGATCAGAGTGAATTCTTCAGGGTTGAAAGATATCTCCCCCCGGGCTGGAGACAGAGCGACGCCCAACAGCTCACCATGTCCATCCGTCCAAACTTCTTGTCTAGATCTATTTTTTGGCTTCTGTTTTCCAGCAGCAGCACCAGCAGCAGCCAGCAGCCAGGGAGGGCGGCTTTATTCGTTCTATCAGAAGGCAACAACGAAGATAATGTGTGAACAAGATGCAGCAAGTGTACATGTACATAGCACAAAGTACAGTCGCAGCAGATAGATTATCATCGGTCAACGAAAACACGAGCGTTGAACGCCTGACAACACCTTGTCCATTCTATACGAGCCTCGAATCACGTGTAATGAGTGTTTGACTTGTCTCCATCCTTGTGAGTTCAATCAATCTCTTGCCCAAATCGCTCAGCGTCATCGCCGGTACACGTTGGAGGAAAGAGACCACACGACGTTCGGATTAGATGACTGATCTATTCTACCTCCCTACATCCAAAGAAGCAAACCATACCAATTTCACCACCAATCGCCAAACCTAACTCTGCCCTGATGAAACCTCACCAAGGCTGAAACCCGCCTCCAGAGTCCACCGTGCACGCCAAACATATGATTGATGATGTTCAAGCCAAGCCTCTTCCTAACCGTTGACGCCAAAGCCTTCGTTCGCGAAGTGGCTTCAAACCCTGACTTTACATCTGCACAGTCTGTGCATTACCTCCAACGGCCCGTATTCCCAAAACACGTTCGGCACCGGCAGCGGCAGTACAATCAAGGGAAATTGCGATGTTGAGAAGGGACGAGGCGGCCACGTTTTTTTTTTGCTTATCGGTCTCTCTTGTGGATGGCTCGTGAGTCTGCGTCATTTGGGACGGGCGGTTTCGGTGTCGTGTCATTGGACTTATTTCAGACATGATGACAAGCGCGCGGTTATGATTAGTAGTAGTATTTGATGTGAAGATGAAGGTCGTTGGCAAAAATCGATGCTATTGTACATTTTCTTTTCTGCGAAGCTGGAAGTCTGGATAAGCTATGAAGAAAAGCCTTTTTGGTGAAGGATGGTGCGGTAAGCTTGTTGCTGGCTCCTTGCCTGGAGATGCGTTTCTGCCATCATCACATGCTGAAGTTTGGCGCGCGCGCTTATTAGGTTTGTGCATTGTCCGGAGTTCACGGACCTCTTCAGCGCTTGCAATAGAACGCCGGAGGCCGGACTTGAATGAACATTCAGCGCGTTCGTTATCTTCGAGTCATGAGGTCGCGTTCGCATTTCAGGACGGAGGCGTTCCACCACAATCAATCCACGCGCTGGAGGTTGTTCTCGACGGCCTCTTGTCAAGCCTCCTCCCGCATCTGTGTATTTTGAACAAGAAGTCGTCAAGAGCACGGCGCGGTGCCCCGTAATGTGATCTGCTCGTGTGGACCTTTTGGCGCTCATGAAATAAATTCGGATGCCCGCTCTCTCAGCTGACCAGCGCTTCGTCCAGCATCCCAGAATAGCGATGTGGCTTCTTGAACGTCGGTACCGCTGATAACGTTGCCTTCGCTGCCACGAGCGCGTGCCAGAATGCTTGCTGGTGCCAAAAGCTGCAGAGCGTATCTCAGAGATACGGTCTCGCCACGCTTCGTCAATTCCGAGAGCGCCTCTGGGCTTAACGTAGCTGAGACCTTGAGGGCTTGCGGATTGTCTGCTAGTTGAGGTGCAGTGGGCGTAGCGAACTCAAGCTTTGCGCGGGTCTGAATGATTGTACGAATCTCGTCTGCCGTGTACGGGTGTGTAGGGATGATGAGAAGTCGGGCAAGAAGGTCTGGTGGTATGCCATGTGCCGAGATAAGTCCAGGGTCGTTCGAGAGTGTGGAGCCAGTGCCACGGATTGTGGTCTGACCTCTGTTGGAGGCGAGGATGACGATAGGGGAAATGCTAGACTCCAGTGCCCTGTTGAGGTACGTGAAGCATTCGATGTCAAGCATGTGGACCTAAACAAACGTCAGTAACTGGTTCTTCCCGCGAAAATTTAGACTCCCACATACCTCGTCGATGAAAAGTACACCCGGTACTAGTTCAGCAATGCCTTGATCGATGTACTTATTGACGACCTTGTTGATCTCGCCTCGCAGCTTCTCCGTGATCTCAGTCTTCTTGGGCTTCATAAGTTGGCCCATCATGCTCATCACGTCCTGGCCACCTTGCGGCCGTGCGTTGGCAACATCCAGGTCATGCAACGTCACGTCCTGAACAATGTCCTTCTTCTTGTGCACATCACCCTTTGGTACCGGCACGTACTCTTCGGCCTCAAGATCAAATTCGGTCGAGAATGCATCCGATCTGCCAACTCTCTTGACTGCGCCAGTGTTGGCCTCGATGTAAATCACATCTCCCAACCTGACACGTTCTTTCTGAATGGCCTCGTAAATGCTTGGATCCAATCGAAGCTTCTTGGTACCCTTCGAACTTCGCAATGTGATCAAGAGATGGGAGATGGTCCTTCCGTATGCGCCGAGCGGATTCTCACTCTCTTCTGGTGTAAGCTCCGCAACTTCGCCCTCGTACACCTCCTTGCGCTCTTGTACTCGGAGCCCAATCGCCCTTCGGAAGTTCTCCATCAACGCTTCCGTCTTCTTCACTTCTGCGCTGTACACCTCGCTTCCAGTCATGGGGCAGAATGGCACTTTGGTTCCAAGCTCTTGACTGACAGCCAGAGCGAGAGCTGTCTTGCCGGTTCCTGGACCACCTGCAAGCATGACCGCCTTGCCAGCCATCTTCTTTGCCCTGATGAGATCCACCACTACACCACATGCTTCTCGTGCTGCCGTCTGACCAACGAATCCTTGTGCATTCGAATCCGCGTAGCCATCTGATCTCAATCCCAGGCCCTTGATGTGCGAATGGGCAGCCGTACGATTCTCGCGTGAGTTCGATGTCTGTACTTCGCGTATCTGCACTGGTTTGTTGCCCGACTGTCCCGGTGCTGGTGGTTGCGCCGCTGCGCCGTTGGTAGCCATGTTTGTTGTTGCTCTTCCAGCAGCACAAGGCCTTGCAATTGGGAGAAACCGGCCAGATGAGAGAGACGTGAACGTTTATTCGTAGCCTGGATGGTATGGGCGATTGGATGGCAGTCGATGGCGGGTGGATTGGCCTGTGGTGATGTTTCCTGTGCTCCTGGCGAACTGCACGAGCTTCACGAAACGCGCTTCTTCGCTGGATCACGTGCAGCCAATCAGCGATGGCCTAAACTGCTTATGGTGAAGGCTCGAACGTCATGGCTGCTTAGAAACAGTGACCGAGGCTTGCCTCTATTCACGATACCTACAACAACACCACCTCTTGGATCTCTCCCTTCCCCGCATTGCTGTTGAATCTTCCTAGGAGATTCGGATAGCGATTCTACACCACAATGGCGACTTTTCGAACCGCGGCGCCCTCGATATCGGCCATCTTTCGCTTCTCCTCGCAACCGGCCGCAACCAAGCGATGCGCACACTGTCTCAAAGCACAACGATGCCCATTTTCCTCATTCAGACCCAGAGCGGCCTCTTCTAAGCGACCGCTGATGACAGAGTCCGCTCATCGCCCGCAGACCCTGGAGCCAGAAATGCCGCCACCGAAGAACAGTGGAGTTCCTGACACCAGTATTTCTTCAGGTTTGCATTCAAGCTGGCCACCGACAGCGCCCTGGGAAAGGAAAGATGGTGCATCGGCGGTCAGTGAGAGGGAGGGCGAGGCGCAGAAGAGCAAGCCTACTGCGGCGTCTGCAGCAGGCATGGGTCCCGCAAAGCCTTCAACAACACAAGAAACTTCCACAACAAAGCCGAAGAAGAGCAAGCTTCGACCGCGAAAGGCTCCAATCACATTGACACCTAAGGCTGTGGAACAACTACAGGGCTTGTTTGATTCACCGGAAAAGAAGCTCATTCGGGTAGGAGTGAAGAACAGAGGCTGCAGTGGATTGGCATACCATTTGGAATACGTGGACAAGCCTGCAGCTTTTGATGAGACAGTGGAGCAAGATGGCGTCAAAGTCTTGATTGATAGCAAGGCGTTGTTCAGCATCATTGGGAGTGAAATGGATTGGCAGGAGGATAAGCTTAGTGCGCGGTTCATCTTCAAGAACCCTAACATCAGTAAGTTGTTTGCCACCGCGTCCTTCGAGATGACCCACTGACAACTTCGACAGCCGAGCAATGCGGATGCGGCGAATCATTTAGCATTTCATGATACAGTTGTATAGCGGCATCAATGGCATATGCATCACCGGCGTTTGAGCGCAAGGTCCTGCGAGATCTCCCATATCTACATACAGCAGCAGCCCAGCCTAGAACTTGCCCGGCTCGAAATCAACGACTCGGACATTCTGAATTATCCCCTCTAGCGACTTCACGAACTCCAAATGCGCTGGATCCTTCTCCAAGTAGTATTTCCTGTCTTCTTCGTTCTGGAACTCGCTCACGAAGCCGTGGTTGAAGGCTCCCTGGAAAGATAGTCAGAAAGGGTGGGGCTTGCAAATGTGATTGACGTCCTACTTGAAGTCCTTCAGGACTTGTGTCCCTGCCCCCGCCATACGACTTGACATAGGGCTTTTTGCTCTCTGGGTGTATGCACTTGTCTTGTAGTGCTAGCATTCGTTTGCAGACCTGATCTCATGTCAATCCAGTTCGATGACGGTTTGTCGAGATAAGTCATACATCTTCGACTTGTGCATGTGTAGTCACGGGTTTGAATTCAAACAGAACAATGTGTATGATAGGCATCTCTTCGTCGAGCTGTTTGTAGAATGTGTTTGTGAAAGAGATGCAGGCTTGATGCTCAATCGGCGACTGCTAGTAACCGTGAGGTGAGCTCCACCTGCACTACACTTCAGATTTTACGTAAGCTGGTATGGAGCTCTTGGACTCCGTACATATGACCAGGCAATCTTTACAAGACCCAGTCGACGAAGCAACCACCTACAGACCGTACAGAAAGGACCAGTCTGTACCGCCCGGAATCAGCATGACAGCTGCAGGGCAACTAAACATGATCCGCTGACACAGCGACGTACATACCCTCACATCCGGAGCGCTCGGATCGCGACATCACAAGCTACTTCCACTCACATCCTCGCCATGTCCACCGACGAACGTCCCCTCGACGTCGTCGTGCGATTCTCGACCTCCAACCCAGACCTCATCCTGAACATCGACAAGCCCAGCACCACCTCCAACCTCACCCTCAAGCAGCGCATACGATCCCAACTCGAATCCCCCGCGTCCGCTGCTCGCCTACGACTGATCCACTCTGGCAAGGTCCTCGCGGACAATGCAGCCCTCGAGAAGAGTGTCAATGTCACTCGGCCCCCGCCTACAAATGACGAAAGTAAGAGTGCGAAGGCAAAGGGGAAGCAGCCGGTTAGAGATGCTGTCCAACCTGCGGCGAGAGTCTACATACATTGCTCGATAGGCGATGCGCTGAGTTCGGCGGAATTGGCTGCTGAAACCAAGGCTGCGCTGGAGGCGGATGCCGCGTTGGAGTCCAAGACTGCGCAGCCGATATCGACAACCGCGCTGTCCTCTGGTCAACAAGATGCTTCAACGACGCCTGCACCTCGAGGCTTTGATCGCCTGCTTTCTGCTGGGTTTACGGCGCAGGAGGTTGCTTCTCTGCGTGCGCAGTTCCTCGCTATACAGGCACATACGCATACACCGGATACGATGCCCACTGGCCCGGATTTACTAGCTTTAGAGGAGCGATGGCTGGATAACACATCAAACACAGCCGCTGGAGGTGGAGAAGGAGATACTGGAGGCTTTGGGGCTGAAGATGCCGGGGGATTGGAGGACATGCTCTGGGGAAATCTGCTGGGGTTCTTTTGGCCTATTGGAGCGATGTGCTGGTTGATGAGAGAGGAAGGCGTATGGACGCGGAGACGACAAATTGCGGTCCTATCTGGATTCTTGGTGAACCTCACCTTTGGCTTCCTGCGGGTTATGAACTGAGCAGGGTCTATGTCGCTTTCGTCAAGACGAAAGTCGACTTTGGGCCACACCCGACTTTCCTCACCTGGGTGAGATTGGGAACCTCCTGCCATTCTTCGAGGAAATGCTCTTCGCTGCCAACACCCAGTTGGCCATTCCGGTTCTCGCCTACAGCGAACAAGCGATCGCCCTCAGAAATGACAGCGATGTGGTTATCACCCACTGCTACATCTTGAACATCGAGAAAGTCCTCGGCAGAGTCCGTCAAGTTCACAAGAGCGACCTGATCTTGATCTTCTAGACAGCGAATGCTGCCTTCGACTCCCGGACTTGTGGCGCCCCAGATGTAGAGCGAGCTGTCTGCAGATAGAGCTGCATCCATCCATCCACCGCTGGCGATTTTGAAGATGTTCAAGCCACCAAGGGCATCGACCACCCCCGGCTTGTCTGCTGGCATTGCTTCACCGATGGCACGTCCAAGCGACTGGTACCTCGCATCACCCCATGTATAGACTTCTCCTCCCTCCATTAACAGGATGAAGCTGCCTGTGTTGGCGAGTAGCTGCTTCGGTCGACCTGGTATCATGTGGTGGCAGGCAGGGTAGTTGCCTTCACCGCTGGGGTCTCGAAACCATCTGACAAGAGCAAGTGGAGAGTCAAACTCAGCGATGTGAGCAAGGTTGCCGTTCGGTGCTTGCCTGAACGTGAGTGCAATGCGGCCATTGCCTGCGGCAGCAATGGTGCCTATCTTTGGAGACACATCAGTGCTCTGGCACGAAAGACGCCACCCTTCGTCAGGGGATTGCGGCTGTTCAGCAAGATACAAACGACCCTCGTGGTCTAAACAACCGAGTATGCCCTCATGATCTCCGAAGCCACATTGCAACTGAACATCGACTTCGAAGTTGTCAGAAGCAAGTTTTTGATGCCCGAGACTGAATATGCTCCTCCCTGCTTGAAAGACTGTTGTACTCCATCCCGCAAACAGCACATTTCGTGGAATAGTCGCATCGGCTTCTACCATCGCGGTGAAGGCGCGTGGGTCCTCATCGAAGGCGAATAGTTGATGGTGGCCATTGAAACCTGCTGCCAGGAGACGTACTGCTTCTACACCATTGACCTGGGCTCCACCGTTGGCAGGCATGGCCTCTGCGACAAGAGGCCCAAGCAAGCTGATGTCGAGACTTCGCCGCTCAGAGATGCGGTGTCATGCAAGTCAGTGGCGAGTGATCAGGCTGCAGTACGCGAACAGCTGAAGCTACAGGACGTCGTGTAGCATTCGCTCGTGCAGACTGGCTTCTGGCCTGGTCACGGGCGAAATCTGATGTTGTGTGAAGTAGATTTCGCGAAGAGCTTCCCAGATGGAAGTGCTGACGACGACCCCGCCCCCACCAGGACACCCATGTCTACGCCGTGTGTTATCCTTGCAAAGCGATCAAACAGCATCTCTTGGCCTCTGTACCCCCAAAACAAGAGAAGATTGATGCAGGGAGTTACCCATTTGCATGCCACAGCCACCACTGCTGCTCAACCGCTCGCTTCTAGCCTTGTGGCGGTGATTGCGATCTAGACCACCAGCCACAGGTCTCACGATCGCCTGTGGCCGTTCGCTCACGATGAAGACCGATGAACGCGATCAAAGACACAGCGAGCGGGGGCTTGTCTATTAGACTTTGCTAACCTGCCTTGGAGCCACAAGCTGGCGATGGGCGAGCACAAACAAGCTGAGTCGGCTTCGACGGTGCGACCGCGGTGACGCTTCGTGCTCCCCTCTCCCAGGCCAGTGTGATTGGGCGGAGGGGGTGGTGCAGCGACGCATTGGCTGAGTCGTGTCCCCAAAGCTGGAGGAGGTGGCTCAAACTGGGCATGGAAATTGAGTTCAGATCGGTGCGATCGCCGTTCGGTCATTTTTTGGTCGCAGGAGCAACCTTGGAAATGACGTTGGAGAAGCGAGCCAGTAGTCTGGAGCTGCGGGTGGAAATGGCCATCGTCAGTCAATTGCGACAAAGCGAGCCCTTTTGCACCTCACTTCTTCTTCCTAGTAGACCCTCCGTCTGCATCTCGCGACCTTCATCTTGCCGTACTGCGTCCGATTGACTGCTACCATTGCTGTCAACATGGCCAGTCTCGTCGGCGAGCGCGCGACTCACGCGTTTCTCGTACCACGAGCATCAGCTGTTAGTGTTGTCATTCGAAGCATTCCTATCCATGTCCCTCAACTAACACATCCCCTCAGAGCAGCAACACAGGAAGCCATCGAGACTCAGGCTCCTCGGTATCAGCGCTGCTGTCGACATTGATCCCCGTCCTCGCCGTCTCGGCAGTCCTCTTCATCGCCTTCCTGATCTTCCAGAAGAAATATGAGCGTGTCTACGGCCCTCGAACATACCTTTCATCGCTTCGCAACTGGCAGAAGTCGCCCAAGCGCACAGCTGGTCTCCTAGGATGGAAGTCGGAGTACCAGCAACTCAAGGATGAGTTCGTCCTCGGCCACTCGTCCATCGACAACTACCTCTGGCTGCGCTTGTTCAAGATGCTGGCTATCATGTGCTTCGTGGGAGCTGTCATCACCTGGCCTATCCTGTTCCCTGTCAATGCGACGGGCGGCGCGCCAGGTGTCAACGGCTTGGACATTCTCTCATTCAGCAAGATCCAGCCAGGTCCACGATACTATGCGCAAGTTTTCGTCTCATGGATGTTTCTCGCTTTTGTCATGTTCCTCATCACGCGCGAGGCCCGCTACTGTCTGCGTCTGCGCCAGCAGTATCTTGCCTCGCCTTACGAGAAGAGTCGCATCTCCAACAAGACGATCCTGTTCGTCAATGTCCCCCAGGAGGCGCGCAATGAGGAGTACCTGCGCAAGGAGTTCTCAGACGTCAAGCATGTCTGGCTGGTCTCCGTGCCCGAGGATCTGGCCAAGAAGGTCGAGGAGCGTGACAAGGCCGCGGCGAAGCTCGAGAATGGCGAGATCAAGTTGATCAAGAACCACATCAAGAGGGAGAACAAGCGCGCAAAGAAGGAGGCAAAGGGCAAGCTCGAGCCACGCAGGGTCGAGGAGGGCCGCGAACACATTGTCAACGTCGAGCAGAAGGATCGCCCAACACACCGTCTGCCCAAGTTGAAGTTCCTCCCAATCGGCAAGAAGGTCGACACCCTCGACTGGTCTCGCGGCGAACTCCACCGTTTGATCCCAGACGTCGCAAAGGAGCAAAACGAGGCCCGCACCGACAAGTCCAACGTTGGAGGCGCCTGCTTTATCGAGTTTGAGTCCATCTACGCCGCTCACACGGCGCTGAACCAGGCAGGTCTCAAGAACAAGGCCAAGTTAACACCCAAGGATATCGGAACGCCGCCGCAGAACGTCATCTGGAAGAACGCCGTCAAGCCCTTTGCCAAGTTCCAGCTGTTCAACATCCTTTGCTCTGCATTTGTGTGGTTCCTCTGCATCTTCTGGACGATTCCAGTTGCGGTCATTGGTGCCATTTCGAACATCAACTACCTCACGGACAAGGTGCCTTTCCTCAGCTTCATCAACCACATCCCGAAGGTCATTTTGGGTGTTGTGACTGGACTGTTGCCGGTCATCCTGCTCTCCATCTTGATGACTCTGGTTCCGATCGTCTGCAATATCCTCGCGAAACTCTACCAGCCGACTCAAGCCAGTGTACAGATGAAGGTTCAGGGCTGGTACTTCCCCTTCCAGGTCATTCAGGTCTTTTTGGTTACCACCTTCGCATCAGGAGCATCGTCTGTGGTGACTTCCATCATCAACCAGCCGTCTCAGGCGCCGACTCTCCTGGCAACGAACTTGCCCAAGGCTTCCAACTTCTACATCTCGTACTTCATCCTGATCGGGGTCAACACGGCGGTGATGCAACTGCTGCAAGTCGTGCCTCTGCTATTCGTGTTGTTCCTAGGCAAACTTCTCGATACAACGCCCAGGAAGATGTTCAACCGATACGTCAACCTTGCAGGGCTCGGATGGGGCTCACTCTATCCTGTGTACACGAATCTGGGAGTCATCGCTCTGTCCTACTCTACCATCTCGCCTTTGATCCTTGGCTTCGCCGCGATTGGCTTCACCCTCCTGTACGCCGCCTTCCGCTACAACGCTCTCTTCACTCTCGGCACCACGGTATCTACGAACGGCAGGTCTTATGCGCGGGCATTGCAGCAGCTCACCACTGGTATCTACCTTTCAGAAGTCTGCCTGATTGGACTGTTTGCCATTGGTGTGGGTCAGACCAACCAAGCCATTGGACCACTCGTTCTGCAAGTCATTTGGCTGGTTGCCACAATCGTTTGGCACGTGTGGTTGAACAGGTCGCTCAAGAAGATGGAGCAGACCCTGCCAGAGGACGAGGTCGTCGAGAGGATTGCGCAACAAAACCAGGACGTCGAGAAGGCTCCCAATGGCGAGTCCACCAAGGCGGTAGACTCGCTGGATGGTCGAAACGACTCCATCGTCAAGCACCCTTCGACCGACAACCCTAACAATGAGCGCGGGTTCATTGGTCGTGTCAAGGGATACTTCTTCCCTTCGACGTCGGCTTCCACTGCCATCTGGTCCATTGCGCCACATCTCACCTCGCCTGTTCGCGAGTACACCCCTAAAGAACGCGAGGAAGCATACATGCACCCTGCGATCATCTCAGATCCCCCATTCGTTTGGATCGCGAGGGACAAGTACGGTCTTTCAAAGCAGGAGATTGAGGCTTCCACGAAGGAGGTCGGCGAGGGTTTGGAGATTACTGATGAAGGCGCGACGTTTAATGAGAAAGGCAAGGTGGAGTGGAACCAGGAAGACGTCAAGTCGGCACCTCTGTGGGAGGATGAGGTCGTATACTAATGAAGTCGCCCGGCGGGTGTTGAGCGACGAATACATAACGAAGCTATGGTTTCGAAGGGTTCTTGGATTGGACAAGGAAGTTGATACGAACTTCTCGGAATACCCCCAGGTAAAGTTGGTAAATGACTCGGAAAAATAATGCAGAGTGTACACGGAACTGCTACTCCTATATAGCAGGCATATCGATCTCATGAAGATCAAAGACCGAGATATCTCCTTCATCTATCCCGTCCCCGTAGATGTCTTCTGCACTAAGAAGAGCTTACTTAACTTCTATCGCTCCGTCGAGACGGCCTCTAGCCTTACAAGCTCGGACCAAGTCGCTATATCTACGAGTTAAAGGAAGCTTCGTAGACTATTATAATAGATCAGCTTGTCTATTCAGTGTCTTAGTAAGCATACTCTATAGTCTCGACCGGTGTTCCTAAAGTGCCTCCCGACGTACATACTTCATCGAAGGTAGCCGGATAGAGTGACTCGCCTTTGACGCCATGTAACTGCCACGCCAAGGACATGCCCTGCATGATGATCGTGGCGCCCAGACAACCTTGGAAGGTCGTACAACAAGATGTGGGAGGAGCGTTGCTATGATACATTCTACTACACCAGCTCATGCCATGACTGCATTGCTCCCCTCCATCGTTCAACTCTGTCTGTGTCCTTCGTTTCCCCGTGGGCACGTCACTTTAAACAGCCTCCTGGCACCGTTCCCTGTGCACTGCTTTCCGCCGGACGCTGGCATTGCCATCCAGCATGTCTACCCACAAGCTGCAAAAGATAGGTTTGACGAGGACGGCACCGGTGCAAGGCGAGGGCAATGACAATGACAATTGCACTGAACAAGCCGCAATGCGACCCGCCATGGGCGTTAGGGTAACTTCGTTGGAGGCAGTACCTCGAATGGCGATCTTGTGCTGACAATTGGCACAGCGACTGTTCTCCTTCACCCAGCTGTACTTTTTCGCCCTCAGCTACATGTCCTCATGGGAGGCCATGGCCACAAACATCGGTCTGGTGTTTTATAACGGTGGTCCGCGCGCCATGGTATGGGGCTTCTTCATCGTAATCGCCGGTGTGCTCTGCCAGGTCGCCTCACTGTCTGAGATGGCTTCCGTACAGCCCATTGCCGGTGGACAGTATCACTGGACATGGCATTGGGCCCCGCGGCGATACCAGCGATCAATTACGTGGCTCCAGGGATGGGTGACGTGGTTTTCGTGGATATCTATCCTCGCTGGTGTCGTCAACGTTGCGGCCAACGTGACAACCACGCTCGTGGCGGCCAATTATCCTAGTTACGTCTTGCAAGGCTGGCACACTGTCCTGGTTATGTACGCATACTTGCTCGTGCTCGGAGGTAAGTAGCACGGTAAGAAGAGGGATCGTAAGCCTGCTCATCGCTTGTTCTCAAGGGGTTTTGATGAATTGGTATTCTAACTTCTTGCAGGACTCAACATGTACGCATTCTGGTTGATTCCTTGGGTCGAAGTGCTCGCCGGTTTGCTGCATATTGTCCTTTGGATCGTAGTCGCCACGGTCTTGCTCACGCTGGCCCCCCGCCACACCGCTGAATTCGTCTTCTTCGAGAAGTCCAATTTATCAGGCTGGAACAACGACTTCGTTGCCTTCAACCTCGGCATCGTTCTCATTACTTGGGGCTTCGTCGGCTTCGACGCTTCCGCCCATCTAGCAGAGGAGACCCGCAAGGCTCGGTTATCGACTCCACGTGCCATGTTCTGGTCGATATGCATGAATGGGTTGCTTGCGTTTGGCATGATTGTCATATTCTTGACCTGCCTTGGTGATGTGGATGACGTCCTGACAGCTACCTACCCTCTGCTGGCCATTTCCTTGAACGCAACAAATTCTGTCGCCGGTGCCTCTGCTCTCCTCGTTGGCTTCCTGTTCACCGTCATATCGGTCTCCATTGGCTCCGTCGCGTCAGTCTAACGTTTGACGTGGGCATGGTCAAGAGACGGCGCGCTGCCTGCATATTTCTCCTACGTCGACCCCAAGCAACGTATTCCTGTAAGATCCGTCTGGTTGCCGCTGATCATTGTTGCTGTCTTGGCGCTCCTGAATCTTGCCAGCTACACGGCCTTCAGCGTCATCATCTCGCTGTGAGTCTACCTCAGAGTCACCATGCGCCACGAAGGCGGCCCTTTGCTGACTTCTCGCAGATCGACGTTCGGGTTGTACCAGTCGTACTTCCTCTCCATTGGTTGCATGCTATATGCTCGTACTCGTGGTCACTTCCATACAGCGCCGTGGTCGCTCGGAAAAGCTGGCATTCCTGTCAACATTTTTGCAATGCTGTACAGTGCATGGCTTGGAGTGAGTAGCATTCGACATCGCTTCTAGGAGCCCGAAGCTGATGTTGAGTAGATTTTCATGTGTTTCCCCAACTACCTACCTATTACGGCCGGTCTCATGAATTACGCTCTTCCGATCAACGCCGTGGTACATCCCTCCTCCCCGCAAATGTGCTATTCACCACTTGCTAACTGCTGTTCGAGATTTGGATCTTCGCCTTTGGTTCGTGGTTCGCTTGGGGCAGGAAGCGGTGGCCTGGCTTGGATGTAGAAGTCATCGAGTACATCGTCGCCGACGGCGGTGAGTAGTTGGGTTCCAAAAGCTCGTTTCTTCTGTAAGGCTGTTTACTAACTCTTATCTAGACCGCGACACGAAGGAGTAAGACTTTACAGATCCTTTCTGCTATTAGCATCCAACATGCGAGCGTCGAATCGTTGCCAGTCCTGTATCTAAACCGTCTATGAAAGCAAATTCATTTTCGTGAAAGGTTCCGTCTTTGAACAATTGGATATCTGGCCTAGCTCGCAAATCGGTGCCTGATTGGAACGCCATATTCCGCATAACTCCAGCTTCGAAAGCAACTACGGGCTGCACATGACCCAGAACCATGCTGCTGACATGGGGACGTTTTCCGAACATCTACCACAAGACTGAACCCTCGGTACAGAGAAGCCGGTAGACCTTATTGGCGATTCAGCTCCTCTTCTTGACTCATGCGCCCATTCGTCCAGGCGGTCAATCCGGAGATCCACCACGTCATTGGAATTGAGAAGCCCCGAAGAACCAAGAAACGCCACCACCATGCTCTCGCCAAATTGTCCCTTTAGTATACTTTTTAGAAGTAAGATACTCGATCACGTTAGTGAGGAAATGAAAGAACGATAGCCCGAGCTCCTGATGCTCTACACATTCTCAAGTGCTACCGTACCACCAATGACCGAAGCGAGGCTTGGGCGGGGAACTTTGCATACACACTGTCGTCGAGAAAGTGGAGGGGTAGATTCAATCGTCCAAAATCCCATCAATCTCCACTATAAAACCACTCGCACGAACTAATCGCAAGACCCACCCAATCCGTCAAGAAAAACCTCCCTTCCCATAGCTGCCTTATATATGACGACCAAAATCCGCCACGCAGCGTCCATAGCCGAACGTCGGATCCTCGAACTCGTCGCTCAGTTCACCACCACCACCACCACCACCACCACCAACTCCCCCTCCAGCAACAACAAAATGCCTTCCAAAACCAAAACCATCCACGTCCCCCATCTCGGCGGCATCGACGCGGGATACCAAATGTCCGAGAACTACGATGCCTCGAAACCCACGCTCGTCATGGTGAATAGCTTCACCACGAGCGCGGAGTTGTATAGGAAACAATTTGAGGATGAGGCGTTGACGGGACGGATGAATTTGTTGGCGGTGGAGTTGTTGGGGCATGGGGAGACGTATGTTGATTTTTGTTACTTGTACTTTCTGTTGTTGAGTTGGAAGGGGATGGGAAGGGGGTGTTTGGAGTGTTTTTGTTTGCTGACTTGATGAATGTGTAACAGGAGAACCGACACGGAACACTGGACGTACTGGGACACGGCGATCATGAATTTACAAGTCCTCGACGCGCTGGGCATCACCGGGAAGGTGTTTGTGCTGGGCACGAGTCAGGGGGGTTGGATCACGGTGAGGATGGCGTTGTTGGCGCCGGAGAGGGTACGTCGATTTGCCCCCTTTACACCCTTTCTCTCCCACCACGAAACGACCACTGATGTTCAATCTGTCCAGATCGCGGGCATCATCCCCCTCGGCACATCCATGGACTACGAATCCCCGCGCACGCGCGAGCTAGGCTGCTGGAACGGCCCCGAGGCCCTGGCGGCGAGTATCGACGCGTGGACGACGGCAGAGCCCACGCCGGAGTTCAAGCCTTCGGAGGAGTATTGTGGGTTTTTGCTGGAGAGTGGGTTTGGAGGGGTGGCGGAGGAGGCGGAGAGGAGGTTTTGGATGTGAGTTTTGCCCTATCCTTCCATGTTTTCTTTGGGAGAGCTTGGTGTTGACGTGGATGTTGACGTTTGACGTGAATGAATTGTAGTGACACGATCCAATCCAACTACACCGGCGATGCCGGCCGTCGACGCATCCGCATGGCGGCCATCAACCTGCGCGAGCGTGATGGTCTCCACGGTCGGTTGTTTGACGTGCGATGTCCTGTGCTCTGGCTGCATGGCACGGCGGATCAGGTCTACTCGGTGGCGAATGCGCAGGAGGAGATTCGATTGTTTGTGAATAGTCCTGATGCGAGGGTGAGGGTTGTGGAGGGTGGTGCGCACTTCTTGAGTTTTTCGAATCCGAGGCAGGTGGATGAGGCGGTGGGGGAGTTTGTGGGGAGGTATGCGTAGGAGGTGGGAGAGGGAGATAGGGGTGGCGATGGCGATGGCGATGGCGATGTTGATACGTGTTGAGTACTGACCGACAATGGCGGGATATGTCTAGGATGATCATTGCTCGTGTTGCAGGCGGCATCTTTTCTTTGATGTTTGTTGATGTGCTGGCCTTAGGAAGTTGACTCCAGGCAACGACGTTTCCAATGCTCCCGAATCTTACAAAAAGCCATTGACAGCCTGACCAACCAACCTCAATCACAGACTCCCGTCTTCATAACAAAAAACCCAATGTCCTCCCTCACCTCCCCAAAATCCTCCCCCAAACCCATCAACCCCCAACCCACCTCCCAACTCTTCACCCTCCTCCCGCCCGAACTCCGCCTCCGAATATACTCCTACATCCTCCCTCCCACAAAACCCCGCGCCCTCTACCTCACCCGCGATGTCTGGACGAGGAAAGAACCCCGACCATGCCGGACTTTCCTCGGGATCTTCCTCGTTTGTCGGAGGATGTACGACGAGACGGTCGATTTTCTGTACGCTCGACATGAATTGCTGCTGGGGAGTGCGCATCCGCCCCTGCAGAATCGTGTCGGGGCTCTGGAGGAGTACACGCGAGTTTTCCAGCGTGCGCAGCGGATCCGGTTGACGTTGTTCGTTACGGGCGAGTTGGCGCAGGATAACGTCCTCATAGCGTTGATGGGCTGGTTGAAAGCCGTCTTGACGGAGAGGGAGAGGCCAATGAAGTTACTGACGTTGGAGTTCTGTGCGATCAGACCGACATTGGACTGCAGACCTACTGCTCTCTTGTACGCCGCGCAGGGGTTCCGCAGTCTGGGGCCAACGAAGTTTGTGTTTCAATGTGGGTTTAGAGGCGTGGGGAGTGAGAGTGCCATGGAGGCATTGATGCAGCATGCGAATGAGAAGATGAGGGTGCCGGTGAGGACGCCGGTGTCCGCTGAGGAGGCTTTGGAGAGGTTTTTGGTGGTTTGGAGGAGGAGTCAGCCGGCTGGGTTAGTAGATCGGGTCGCAGATGTGACGAATGATAGGCTGACGGGTGGTAGATATGTGACTTTTTCGAAGTCGCTCAGTAATCGCTGGTTGAAGACGACGTTCGAGGTGTGAAATTGCATGCTCGACTTTCGTGGTGGTAAATCTGTACAGAAGAAGTAAAGTAGCAGTCCACGCCTTCCTAATCCTCCTATGCGCCTTGGAACACCTTCATGTCGTTCGTCGATCATCTGAACTTGCTGACAACAACTGCGATAATGAGAATCACCAGCACCGTGATAATGGCCACTGTGATGATCTTGTTGGTAGCCATTCTATAACACAAAGTCAGTCAGAGATGCTTGCCTTGATATCTCGTCACCACAAGCTGGGTAAATACCTTCTCGCCATGCCCTTCAACGTCTTATTGCTCCTGTCCGTATATCCCTCGCTCTCTAAGAGCGTGCCTCGAGTATGTTCAATCACTTCTCTTTGTCTGCCCAAGTCCGCGAGAGTGTCCCGGCCAATGTCCTCCGTCTCCAAAGCGATTCTCTGAGACTCTCGTAGTCTTCCACTCGATCGCTCCAGTCTATCCGTACCGCTCAACAGCTGCTGCCTCTGCTCCAGCTGATCATCTTGTGTTGGGTTGTCCGTATACCGCTTGCCAAACAACGCCGAGCGGTCCTCCCGTAGGCTCGTGAGTTTCCGCTTCGCCGCATCCACATCGCTCTCGTGGTTCCTGAATCGCTGATTGACCTTGACTTTCGACGCCTGTGGAATGTTCTGCTTCTCCAATCTCATCGAATCGAGCAGTTCCTTGGCTTCTTCCAGCGCTCGCTCGGCTTGTGCGACGGCGGCTTTGCGTGGCTCGCCTTGGAGCTCGGGGATCTGGTCCAGCTTTTGCGAGACATCTGCCTGTACCAGCTTCAACTCGGCCTCGTAGTTGCTGAAGAGCTCGGAGCCTGCTTCGGTGTCGAGTGGGTTGGACATGGTCGCGAGCGGATGACGCGGCTGGTCGAGAGAGAGGTGCGCTGTGGTGGACAATATATGCCGGATGGATAGTCAGGGGGTATGCGACTGCAGCGGTGATGTTGCTGAGTGGTCGATGTGTGGAAGTTGAAAGGTGAAGTATGTTGATGCCTCGGAGGATGATGCTGGTCAGTCGCGACGTTGAAGGTGGCTGAAAGAGCAACGGTCGTGTGGCGCTCGGGCCTAGAAGGCGCACATCACTGCATTCACCTGCACGACGGACAAACACCTCCTGGAGAGTGCATCGTTATCGACTGCCAGAGAACAGCCACTCACAGCGCCACGCCATACTCCTATCTCCAGGCACAATTCGCAGCTGGACGCATGTGAAAGACCAGGCCCTGCTCGACCCTGGGCTCATCCTGGTGACCTCATCATTGGCCAGCCAGCAGCAGGCGAGTTTCCCACCAGCTTCCACCCTTCCCACTGTTCTTGTTCGTCCACTATCTACTATTATATTTCTCCAGTAATGTTTGATTCTTTCCAAGACAATCACTAATGAAGCTGTTCAGGCGCAAGCAGCCCGAGGCCACGGAGCCCAACAGCTCCAAGAAGCGGATGCCTAGGAAAGTCGCCATCGTAGGCAGCGGTTGCGCTGGCCTTGGTGCGGCGTGGGCGCTGAAAGATAGCGACTATGAGGTGCACATCTTCGAGAAGTCCGAGAAGCTGGGTGGCCACACGAATACGCAGAACTGGAAACATGGAGACGAAACCGTTCCCGTCGATACGGGCTTCATTGTCATGAATACCGCAACCTATCCGAACTTTATCAGATTCTTGAAGGCGGTCGGCGTTAACCCCGTCGACACTTTCATGACCTTTGGGGTCTCGCGCGATCATGGTGCTTTCGAGTGGTCCGGTGAAGGCCAGGGAATCTTTGCTCAACGCCGAAACATCTTCAGTCCCAGACACTGGCGAATGATTTTTGATATTATCCGGTTCAACCAGTTCGCTCTGGACCTGCTGGCAGACGAGGATGAGGATGGCATCGACAGACTTGGCTCGCCAAAGCGGATCAGAAACGAGATCGCAAACATGAGCATCGGCGAATACCTGGTCAGGGAAGGCTACTCGCAAGGCTTCCGGGATGACTACTTGATTCCTATGACGGCCGCCGTCTGGAGCACATCGCCAGACAAGGCCAGCCTAGAGTTCCCTGCAAAGACTCTCATCCGATTCATGTGGAACCATCATTTGCTTTCTACACTGGCCGAACGACCTCCTTGGTTGACGATACCAGGCGGATCTCAAAGATATATCGACGCCATTGTCGATCAATTCCCTGATGAGCGTCTTCACCTACACACATCATGCGAAGTTGCCAACGTGCTACGTCCTGGTCGTGAAGGCGAGGGTCTCGTAACGGTCTCATGGATCAACGCAAAGTCTGGTCGGATCGAAGGCGACGCATTCGAGCATGTCATTCTCGCATGCCACGGAGACGAAGTTTTGCCCCTACTTGCAAAGCATGGCGCTGAGCGGCCCGCTTCTTCGTCCTCCAGCACAGCCAGCGCTTCTATCAAGGGCAGTACCCCGACCAAGTCCAACGGATTTATCAAGGCATCCAGTGGTGTTCAATATGTGACCCAAGAGGAAGTCGATATCTTGTCAACATTCCAGACTACAGAGAATGTAGCGTACCTCCACTCAGATCTTGCTCTTATGCCCAAGCGAAGAGAGGTGTGGACCAGCTGGAACTACCTTATCAACTCATCGCCATCGAAATTGTCGCATCCCGCTGGTGTGAGCTTGACATATTGTATGAACATTCTGCAGCACTTCGACGAGGACATGTTTGGACCGATCCTGGTGACAATGAACCCGGACCGCGAGCCAGATCCACAACTCACACAAGGCAAGTTCGTCTATCGGCATCCCTTGTATACAGTAGAGGCGGTGGAGGCTCAGAAACGGCTGGAGACAATTCAGAACACTCGGGGCGTGAGCTATTGCGGTGCTTGGACTAAGTATGGATTTCACGAGGACGGCTTCAGCAGTGGATTGCGAGTCGCGATCGAGCATCTGGGAGCCAAGCTGCCCTTCGAGTTCGTGGACTCTACTTACAGCAGAGGACATAAGCCTGACCTCATCTGGAAGGATTACCTATTGAGATTGGTTCTTTTGATTCTGCTGTTCTGGCTCCGCATTCTGGACGTCGTGGTGAGATTGCCACTAATATCAACTGCAGTCCGGCTTGGGGGAGGAGTAGGAACATTCGCTCTTGATATGGGCGAAAACGTGGGATTATTATGATTTGAATGAAAGGATGGAACGGAACTTCCATAATAGAGATATATTGTAGATTTCCTCGACAGATACCCAGATTGTTTGGGGTGGTACTTGAGAATAAGATTGATATTTCCCTGCTCACAATGGCTGGCTTTTCTCTCACATCTCCAACTTCAAGCCCGACGACCTTGACCTGTAAAATCACCACAACATTCAGCCATCTACGATGCTACCACCCGTCGATCCGGGAATACTATCCGCAAACCCTCAATTCGATGCTCTCTACCGCGATTTATGTTCTAACAAACTCGAGGAAGACGGCACGACCAAAGTAGACGCGAAGGCGCAAAAAGAACGCGATGCCTTCAACGAGGAGCTTCGGAAGGCAAGAGTCTCGGCGGCGAAGCAGAATCTGATCAAGTCGTATCTGTCGGCGCTGTCTTATCGCGGAGATGACTTGCCGAGCGAGGTTTGGAGAGATTCAGTGTTTTTCAGGTGGTGTTCCGGCTGATGGTGATATTGCAGCTTCAAGAATTGGTCGGGATCATTGCGGCTGCTTTGAGCGCACGCCTTTCGAAGGAGGATATGAATCTTTTGAGGGATGATGTTGAGAAGTTCAAGGTATGAAAAACATCGACAATTGGCCTTGTATGGAGATACTATTTGCTGATCTACTCTCAAAGGAAAACATCGCCCTCATCGCGCTCGTCGTCTCCCACGCCGCCGCAGAAGACATCACAGCGCTCGCCCGGCTCCTCTCCCCGTCCCCAGGAGACAAACCCCTAGACTGGCGCGACCTACCTACACGACTTCAAAGTCTCCAAGAAGAAGCCTCCCAGACACGCTCGGCAATAAACTCTACTCGCCTCTCCCTCATTCAGCAGAGCACTACCATCCACGCCCTCTACCGTCAGGCTATCGAACTCAGCATCCGCACCCTCGAACAAACGATCCACGGCTCCGTCTCGCGCGCCACGAAAGCCAAGGCGGAGTACCTCGCCACCGTCGCGAAAGCCATGAGCGCGAAGACGCAGGTTCAGTTGAATCAGCTGCTGGCGCAGACGCAGTCGGAGGAAATGCAGGGGGCGTTGAAAGGGAAAGTACATGACTTGGAGATGGAAGCGGCAAGCTTGAGGAGGAAGGTGAGGGAGAGGGAGGAGGTTCTGGAGGAGTATAGGGGCCAGGGCGGTGGGTTGGAGGGCGTGGCGAGGGAGTATGCGCAGGTTTCGAGGGAGGTGGAGAGGGTGAGGGGGGATGTTGAGAGGTTGGAGGGACGGATATAAGGGAAGATTTTGCTCGTGCGAGGCTTGCGTCTTGCTTTTCTATCCTTCTCGTGAATCGGACTCTCACATGCACCTTGGCCGGCGCGGCCACGACTTTCGAGACGACGACCACGGAGCCTATGGAATCCTTCGCATACCTCGGTATCGGCATCTTTCAGCCCGACTTGAACGGGCATACTATCGACGCGAATGCCTGTGAGATGGTACGACGATACACTCGTTCACTAGAGATCCACCAAAAATGAGCAAGAAAATTCTCGAGAGGTTCAAGGACCATTTCGATCCCAAGGAGATCGCGCAGGCGGTACGTTGCAATCGTCCTCATCCTATCGACCACATCCACATAGCGAGTTAATTGTGTTTCTGGTTTATTGGATATCTCGATGGTCACTATATGCAGACTGTTCGATCTCGCATTTACTCGCTATGGTCGCAAGAAACCTCTTTTGAACCCACACAGCTAACCCATCTCCCACCTAGTACAAAGAAGACAAACCAGGCCACTTCACAACGACCTGGTTCGAAGACCTCGAAGTCGTCTCCGCCGAACAGACGTCCCCCACGACCGGAAAACTAGTCTACCGCTTCCCTGTCCAAGCTGCGTATCTCAACCCCACAGGCAGCCTCCACGGCGGCGCCATCGCGACCATCTTCGACATCGGAACGTCGTGGTTGTTGTTTCTGATTGCGCGGGATGGGTTTTGGAGTCCTACGTTCGGGACGACGCGGACGTTGAATTGTACGTATTTGAGGCCCGCGATGGAGGGCGAGTGGTTGCGGTTGGAGTGTGAGGTATGTACCTTATCGACGCTGGCTTCTACATTGGTGCTGTGATGTCTGGACTGACGGGTTTTGGTGGTAGATCGTCCATGCCGGTAAGCGCTTGTGTCTGCTCAGAGGCGTGATGAAGCGCGAGAGGGATGGCGCTGAGGTTGCGACTGCCGAGCATAACAAGTTCAATGTTGATGTGGAGAAGATGTAAGACTGGCCAGGCTCGCGCCCTTTCCTTGCTCTTGGGTGGACATCTTCGATACAGACGTAAAGTATGGATAGACAGACACACGCTCAGCAATGCTCTTTCGTCTAGAAATCCGTCACTCTTCCATTGTAACTCCAATCCCCCTCCACTCCCCATCTCAACGGCTCGTTCTTCGGTCCCCCCACTTCCCCAGTCTTGGGATTCTTATCCCCCTCAAACTCAGGCGCCGCCCCTCGCCTTATATTAGGATGCAGTTCTTCGCCATCTCCCTTCGCCGCCAACCGTGCTCTTTCCCGTAGCTGATCCAACATCTTGTCTGCTTCGCCAGACCGCTTGCCGCCTAGTTCGAGCTCTTCTTCCGAGACTTCGACCTCGGAGGTTTTTGTCGTCGTTTCTTGCTTCGGTGTGCTAAACGCGCCTGTGGACTGCTGCTGCAGGCGTTCGAAGATCTCTTGTTCTTCCTTGGGGAGGCGTGGTGGGGAGGGGCCCGGTCGCCATTGCGAGTTGCGTGGCGTTGTCGTGAGCCTGCGTTTGAAGAAGCCGGGGCGGATTTGCCGGATCATGCGTGTTGTGGACTGCATTTTGGGTGTAGGGATGGGCAAGGGAGGTGGGAGTCAAGTCGTGGCTATGAATGTGCTTTGAATGTCCATGACGAGAGGCGAGAGCGACCGAAGACGGACCTGAGGCCGCCAATCAAAGCGTGAAATGGGTGTAGCCCGGGAATAATGGACGCGTCTTTCACTTCACCTCTTGATGTTCTGCTGCTTCGCTGGGCGTACTATGTGCTTCTTGTACGTCAAAATCATCGGTTCAGTACTCTGCATGCTTCGGCAGCAGATGAGTCTAGTCGGTGTTGAATGATGTGAAAGCTGGAGGACGCCTGATGCCAATCCGTGTGAAATGGAGCGAAAAAGGACGAGTGGAGTTGGGTGAAGGGCAGCTGGAATGCCTTGGTGGCGGTATGGTATAGCATGTGAGCGGAGCGAAGTGAAGGTAGTCAGACTCCTCCATCATATGAAGGCTGGCGCCCAAAGCTATGAAAGACTTCCTTCGCTCTTGCTCCTTTCTCTCTCTTACAAACACACTGCACTGCACATGCAGTAAACAGCATCCACATCTACTGCTGAACCCCTCACCGATCGGTCCAGCACATCCAAAAACACTCGCAACCATCGCACCTGCCTTGTTTGTGACAGAGCAGGCGTCGCTCTGACGTATATCGACGTCTCACACCTCTTCGCCTCATCTGGCCGACACCATCCAACATACACACAATGTCGTCCCCCGCATCCAACACGAAGGCAACACAGTGGCCGGTCGTCCAGCGCTTCCGCAACGGCATCCCAGGTCCTTTCTTGGCGAAGCTCTCGCCGCTCTGGAAGATCTACCACGTCCTGCGCGGCTCGTACAGGAAGAAAGTACGGAAACTGCATGATCGCTACGGTATAACGGGTATCAAACATCTGCTTTCACGCCCCAGGCTGACATGTCGCAGGTCCTCTCGTTCAAGTCGGCCCGAACGAGTTCAGCTTGGGCGATAAGGGTCTTGTGTACATCCCGAAACTAAAGCCCAGTCCCTTCGCCGTCGACTCGGAAGCGCTGCAGCGGCTCGAAAATTCCGTACGAATGGCCAACGTCTATCGCAACGAGCATTTAATCGAGAAGTGCAACCACCAACTCCTCCGCCTACTTTCAAATGCCGCTGAGACTGGAGAGTCTGTCCAACTTTCGCCACTTCTTGCTCGATATGCATACGAGACCATGCTTGCCACCACGACTGGGCAATTCGCGGGCTTCCTCCAAATTGACCCTGACGCGGATCGCATTCAGGCTCAGATGAAGGACTGGAAGTTCTTCGCTGTCTTGTATGGCTCGTATCTGAAATACCATCCACTCATCGCCAAGATCTTGAAGAAGTGTGGCGTTCGCGGCGACTCGCAGCATGAGCTGTTTCGAGGAACGCGTTCGAGCCAAGAGACCGACGACAATGCCGATAGCATGCCTGACAGCTCTTCTGGCCAGCAGAAAGAGGAGCAAGCATTACTTCCTGGTGATGCAGAAGCGCGCATCGCTCTCACGCTCGCCGGTGCCGACCCAGCTGTGATCCTCATTCGAACTGCCCTGAGCTACATTTACAGCGACACTGGCCTTTTGCAGCAACTACGCGAGGAGATGAAGACCGCGGATGTGTCAGAGACCCCGAATTTCAAGGAACTGATTGCAAAGAGATTCAAGATGCCCCTACTACATGCTGTCTTGCTCGAATGCATACGCCTTAACACACCTCTAGAAACCGGCCCAACCTACAAGACACGCGAGGAAGATGTCCTGGTTGGAGGATATCCAGTGCCCAAAGGTGTAAGTCATTCCCCTCCTTGTACCTCCAGCGTTTGCACTTTCGCGGATTTCGCCAAGACCGTCGCCCGATTAGGAAGGAACAGATATCGCATAAACTTTCACAGCTCCTCGCACCTCAGCATATCCCCAGCATGATCACGCAAGAGCACTGCCCTGCTTGGTCCCAACGCTGACAATAGTAAAGACGACAATAGCCATTGAGCCCACAATCGCACACGTAAATCCGACACACTTTGGCGGCGATGCAAACGAGTTCCAGCCAACCAGATGGCTCGATTTCGAAGTTGGCTCAGCAGCCCGACGTCACCTATTGGCGGTAAGTCTTCTCACAATAGCAAGCTTGGGCCTCTCCCGCCCAGTCACTCCCAGCCATCCTATTATGCGGCCAATGGCTATTGAGGACAATAGTCCTCAATGGTCCTATTGTCCTTCGGCGATCCCCCGAGCTACTTAAGTCTGCTTTTTTCCTCTGCACTCCTTCTTCCTTTCATCTCAACCAACACCAGACTTTTCTGACAAACACGCCAAGTTCAACCTCGCATACAGCGCAACCAACCTCGAAGAGTTTCAAATACTCCTTACCTGCAAGCTACTCACTCAACTCCTACCCCAAGTCACCATGTCCGTACCACACCACGAGACGTTCAACCTGCCTGGCCCCATCGAGTACGACTTCAAAGTCACTCGTATGACCGATGTGTTGCTTCACATGAAGCCTGCCGCGTTGTACGGTGCCCATTCTTGGTGAGTTAAACACAAACTGGCTTGATTGCATTCATCGCTGACATGAGCAGTGCTGGCGGCGACTGGGTCAACAAGAAGACTCTCGACAGTCTCAACATTGTCGAGGTCATCCACAACCACCTCACACCAGAGGTTGCCAGGGCTATCTGCAAGGGCGGCCGTTTCGATCCATCGCGCGAGAGCTTCATCGGCCAGCCGGCTTTGTTCACCAACCCTATTGCCAACCCAATGATTCGAGCCAAGGTTAGAGACGTCTTCGAGAAGCTGTTCGGCGACCGTCTCCAGGTGCAGCGTCACTACACCACCAATCGCTACATCCTGTTTCCTCCAACGCCATACAACATCAACAAGTACGCACGCAAGACTTCGCGCAACACCACGTACACACCATCGCCACGCAACAATTTCCAGCCTATCTCGAGCGGTGCTGCAGTCACCAAGGCATCCAATTCGCAGACTGCAGTCGCCAGCCAGCCTGCATGCACGAGAGATGCAAGCGACACTGCTGTCGTCAAGGCGTCCAACCCAGAATGCAAGACCGACGCCAGCACTGCAGTCGCCAGCCAGCCAGCCTCAACCGCCCTCGTCAAGGCTTCCGCCCCATACTGCAAGACTGAATCCGCGAGCTCCAAGTCCAAGAAGTCCACCAACAACGACGAGCCGTGGGTGCCAAGAGAAGAACGCAAGGTCGTCATACCCAAGGGGTTCACGTTCACCGACGAGGGCCTCAAGAGCACTATGAACTGGGGTGGCTGGTGTTTGGGCTCTCAAATTCACGAAGGTACCTTCGTGAAGCACAACACCTACGAAGAGAGCAAGAAGCTCCTCGCAGAGCAAGCACAGGCACTCGAGAAGGTCAACTCCGAGAGAGAGTACGGTCCGCAGGTCTTCAAGCCGACGCGCATCGAGCCGAAGAAGACGACTGAGAGCACTGTCGAGACCAACAAGCCTACTGGCTTCATCCCACCACACCTCCGCAACAAGCCTGCTGCTGCCGCCACCGAGGTCCCAGCTGCTGAGGCCGAGCCCAAGCAAGACTAAACAAGATGGGGTGATGCGAATGAGCTTTGATGACTGATTGAATGGTGTACTGGCGCTTGAACGGCGTTGGATGGTGGTATTCTGATGATACCCACACACACATCGCAGAGATGTTCCATTGATGATGACGGCGCTTCTTTTTCCTTTGTAACTACTTCATGAGCGGCACAGACAGATACTCTGACACGCACGCAGGCTTCATGCCTTGCACTTGCTGTCGAGTCGTCGTAGCAGTCGCAGATGCAATGCAATGAATCAAAAATCACTCAATGTCCTTCCCATCTCATGTCATCCAACTCGTGATGTGTTATGCCTTCTCCTCTACTTCGTCCACCTCATCCATCACACCTCATCTGCACCATCTATGATCTATCGCACCCTATCCTTCTCACCCGTCGCTTCCACACCATTTCTCTCATACTCCCCTCTGCTCCCCAGCGCTCGACCAGCCTGCCATCACCGCCCATGAGCTGCAACAGGCTGGGATGAAGTTGTTGAGGACAGCATCGCACACAACCTCACAGCAATGAGTTTGAATATCTCTTTCCATTCTCCTCTACCTGCCGCCGCAAAAACAGCAAAGTACCGCCTCGCTTGCTACATGGGTATCATCATAGTTCAAGCATCCTATGCAATCGATCCGAACACACTTCACCTTCTCGCTCTATTCTCTTCACGCAGCAGCCACCTTGCTCCCACCACCACCACCGCCTCCTCTCACCACACTCAGACTCGCCCTATCAACCAACTCCTCCCTCCACAACTTCCAATCCACCCACTCCTCATTCCTCCTCTCCACCTTCCACCGACTACTCTCCTTCGCCGGCCGCCACGCAAGTTTGTTCTTCGGTATACTCGTGAGGTCCACGCTCGGTGGCAAGGTCGCGAGCTGCAGCATCTGCTCGAGGACTTTCTGGCCTTCATTCTGCAGCGCCGCGTGACGCTGGGCTTTCTTCTTCGCGGCCGTCGGTGCTGGGAGGGGATCGTGGAGCCAGGACATGGAGGCTGTGAGGTTGTGCGGTGCGTCGGGGGCGGGCAGGCGGAGACGGCGGTTATCTTGTTCGAGGAAGCGGATGGCGCTTTCGAGGCCGGCGATTTGGTGTTCTTGTCGCTTGATGGTGATGCGCACGCTGGCGCCCATGGCATTGCCGTCGAGCTCGCCGCCGACACCGACTGCGCCGCTTCCACCTGTTCGTTGACGTTCGTCGGCGAGGCGGGCCATTTCCTCTCGCACGCGATCCATCTCTTGCTGTGCCTCGAGTTGCGCACGCGCGAGTTCGGCTTTGGCGTTTGTCTCTCCCTCCTTTGCTTCACGCAGTCCGCGTTCCAGCTCTGCGATCTTGGCGCTGCGTTTGCTGGCGTCCTTCATGCGTGCGTCGAGCATCTCGATGCGTACGCTCTGCTGGTCGAGTTCTGTTTCCTTCTGCTTCAGCATAGCGTCACGCTCGCGGACAGCTTCCAGAGCGCGTGACAGCTCAGCTTCGGTGTCCACAGACGTGATCTTGGTCTGCTTGAGCTCGTCGGCGCGTGCGACCCATGGTGCTGGAGCACGCTCGAACTCGACTGTGTTATCCAAGTCGGTCGGAAGAGAAGAGAGGTCAAGAAGAAGGGTGCTGAGGTCGCGGAGTCGAGAAGCGAGGGTGTCGTAGGGTCCAGACTCTGGTGCGCCGAGGGAGAAGACACTCATTGCTATGCGCGACAGGGCGCTGGCGATTTCGCTGGGCGTGAAAGGCTCTGCGCGGCCTTCCTCGAGGAAGATCTCCTGCAAGCTATTACCGCTCTTGCAAGCAAACGATGCGATCTCGGTCGCCACGCCCTCTGTGCTTTCGAAATGCTCCAGCAGTGATTCTTCGAGAGTCAAATGCCGTGCTTGGAGGTCGAACAGTGCACGATGCGTCTTTCCTGAGACAACCTTGGCATTCCTAACCTGCTCAACGATCATCTTGAGGCGACTCAGTATCCTGGCGGTGTCAGATGCGGTCTCCTCGTCCTCCTCGTCTGCTTCGTCATCACCAGGCTTCATGCTCGTCTCAATCATGGTCCTCGTCAGAGCAAGCGCAGATGTGGCAGTATCGAGGCGACTCTGTAGCAACAACGCCCTCATGATGAGGTCGTCAGCGTGATCAGCAAGGCCATTGTGAAGGTGAAGGCTGGACAAGTGTGTCATAACTTCAATCGAGCGACCCAGGCGCACCGTCATGTCGCTCTCCTTGAGTTCGTCCCGTCGTAAGGCATCCACGTAGTCGTTCAGTGTACGCTCCACCACTTCCAGCTCATACAGTGCACCTCCATAGTTGGCGAAAGCCTCCGCACTGCAGCCACTGATGGAGTTGACCAGTCGCTCGGACATCGCAGCGATCCATGTAAGCTTGTCGAGAGCGTCACATGCCGCAAAGACATCCTCATCTTGACCACGAGTGCCGAAGGAAGCAACGCGCTCTTTGATGAATCCTTGAACGAGGTTCGCCTTGAAGCCAATGCGCTTGAAGCGGAGAAGAGCAAGCACGCTGTCCCTTTCGGCCTGGAACGACTCTGGCAAGAATAGCTGCACGATCGCGAGATGCTCTGATGCCTGCTGTGCTTCGAGCTTTCGAAGCTCGAGATCGATCGTCTTGACTTGAGTCTTCGCCGCGCTTGACTGCAGCTTATGGTTCAGATCCATCATCACTCGTGACTTGCTTGACAGCTGAGCTGCCTCGGATTCTGAGATCTGCTTGCTGGCCTCCAGGTCTTGGAGGTCGCTCTGAAGCTGGCTGACGAGCTCGCGGAATCGATTGATGTTGTAGTCTGCCTCATCCAGTGCCGCCTGCTGTTCCTTCGCAGTTCGCTCACGGTCGAGCAACAAGCTGTCCTTGAAGTCCAACTCTTCTTGCAACTGCTTCTCAACCTCGATGTGATTGACTTCGAGCTCGTCATTCAACTCGCGCAGACTCTCAAGATCTTCAATAGCAGCTCGTAGGTCATTGATCTTGTCTCGCAAAGACTCGTTCTCTTCCGTGAGTCGTTCGATCATATCCTCGGCATTGAGAGCCACTTCCAGTTGCTGGCGCAGATCTTCTGTGTCGGCCTGGCTTTTCAAGAGCTGTTCTTGAGTCTCTTCGTACTTGTTCTTGATGCCTTCGACCTCCTTAACTTGCTCCTCTAGGCCTTCAATCTGCTCTTTGAGCTCGGACTCTCTATCTTGGGTCATGTCACGTAGACTGAGAAGAGCCTCCTTTAGTCGATCATTGCTCTTCTCCAATTGCAGCCAGCCAGCGCTAGTCCTCTCTTCTGGGCTCATCTCTTTGCTCAGCTCTTGATTCTCATCCCTCAGAATATCCAGTTCCAGTGCTTGCTCCTCATTCCTAGCACGCAACATCTCCAAATCTGCCTTGGCGGTTTCAGCTTGCTCTTCGGCGAGTTCCCGTTCAACCAGTGCCTCCTCCAGCTCCATTTCATGCTTCGCCTGGATGTCGTCGAGTTCGTTGGATCGTTTCTCAAAGTCTGCCATCTCTCGTTTCAGCTTCTCAAGCTCCTGCTGCTGGGGACGGTATTTGTTCTGTAGTCTTTCAATTATGCCCCTCGCTTGGTCTCGCTCCTGCTCTGCCTTTTCAAGGTTCTGTTTGAGCTCGCGATCTTCTGCACGCTTTCGCTCCATCAAACGGACTTTCGCCTCCAGCTCTTCGATTTGCCTGTTCGATGCCGCCGTGCTACGAATGGTTCGCTGGGAGTGTATAGATGCCGCTGTCGGTGACGAAGGGCGTCGCTGTCTGCTCGTGCGGTCTGGCTCTTGAGGAATCGGCGGCACCGGGGGAGGCGCGAAGTTCGGTCGGATTGTGTCATCTTCTCCATCCTGGTCTTCCGTCTCTGCCTGACTTGCTGCTTCAGACTCCGTACTCTCTCGAGGAGAAAGTATGCCAGAGCGCTCGCTTGCCTCATCCCCAGTAGATGCTTCTTCTCTTGCAGCTGACAGACGCTCTCTAAGACCTGGCCGAGTGCCTGCAGTTGTCCGAGAGGTCGCAGCTCCAGGTCCAAGCCGCGAGGTCCCTAAACGTGAAGTTGCCGTGGAGGTAGCAGGTTGTCTGGTAGTTCTCGAGGCAGTAGTGCCTGATGCTGGTGGCAGCGCAGACGTCCTTCGCCCTGCGGCAGTCGTACTTGAGGGTACAATGCTGGACCTGCTGCTTTTCGCAGCTACCCCAGACACTGGTCTCTTGCCTGCCGCGGGCGGTGTGCCAGTCCTTGATGTGGACGCACTCGATGTGCCATTCGTCCCCAGCTGTTTTGTCGGACTCTTGACAGGCGACCGTATGCCACTCGCTATTCTTCCAGCCGGAGTAGGCGTTCCCTGCAACGTACTCGCTCTCCTCCCAGGGTCATCTCTTACAAGCGTCTGCCTTCTCGTCCCGTTCACTGCGGCAGAGCCCTGTATGCTACTCGGCCGACCGGTTTTTGTCGGAGCACCATTGCTCGTCGCTGCCTTTGGCTTCGCTTTTGGCACATCCTGTATTACTCTTGCTACTCCTGAGGCTCGACAGAAGATACCATATCCTGCGGCGCATTCGAAATATCGCTTCCCCTGGACGGAGCCATCGTTCTTTCCGCTCTGCTCTTCAAGTTCCACGCCAACCCATTCGCCAGTCTGGAATGATGTCGTGCCCACAAATCGCACAGTGCCTATGCGGGCGTCGTTGAGTTCGATCTTCTGCCCGGGGGGCAGCGGCGGATTGCTGCTCATGATGAAGTCTTCATAACTTCACCGATCAATTGGTCGGCTGTAAGTATGCTGCAACTCGTCCGTTGTGGTATTCAAGAGGTTCGCTGTGGTCAGGCACGCTCGAGATGTACGGACTGTTTGTGTTGATCTAATGTTTCCTGGAAGCTTGTCTCCGCGATGACCTGAAACGACGCGTTGCGGATCGGACCGCCAAGATATGCATCACATGCCTCCAAATCCCCACGATCAGATCAGATCTCTTGATGATGTTTGGACTTTCTATTATTTACTTGAGATGTGATATGAGAACTGCAAATCGAGAGGAATGCTTTTGTGTTGTCATTATAGTACAGAAGTAGTATGTACTCGATCGAAAGGAAATACTCGCAAGGCTCATTCCACAAACCCCGTGCTCTCGCCTGACTCCTTCGCTTCAAGCCCAAGATGACTAGACGCATACCGACCTGCACTCGAAACAGAGGACCATTCTCCAGAGTACAACTGTCGACAGAATGCGATATCCAAAGAAATGGTACCAGGAGACAGAACGTGTCACTACGTGCGCGATCAGTACGGTGAATGCAACGCCAGTTCACACCACATACGCGTCAAGTTCAAGACGTAGACGTGCCATGCCCAGTATGACTTCATGGACAGACAAGATCGACCTGAGGAGAAGCGTAGAGTCGAGAGTAGCACGCGGCGTAGCTCACAGCAGCGGCGTGAGTGTGAAGACGAGAAACCTCCGGGCGCATATCATGTCGCTTTTATGTCGCTTGTGAGGGACAAGCAGTCAAGTGCATGCGTTTCTACCGAACGCGGGTATCATCGAAGAGAAGTCACCAGCCCAGGCGTAGGAAAGCAATGGTCGAAATGGTAAGTGATCCGGAAACACCATGTCACCTCATCACCGTCACGGTACGTTCAGCATTTCGCGCAAGGCAGGCTTACTGGGTTCCGGGTGCTTGCTGTTGTTGCTGCATGTACGCTGCCCATTGGGCATACCACGCCTGGACTGCCTGAGGGTCTGGAGCAGGTTGCTCGCCAGTTGGTTGAGGAGTGGCATGCTGCACCGGCATCTGGTACGATGGCATCTGAGGCGGCACCTGCGGCGCTGCCGCATACGATCCGTATCCCGGAACTGCTGGCGGCGCGTGCTGTGGCTGTGAGTATGCATCATACTGTCCTTGGTCATGGCCTTGAGTACGGCCGGCAGCCGCATCACGTTGCTTGACGGTCTCCACCTTTTCCCAAATGATCCGCTCGGCCTCATCCATGGCCCTGGCATTGCCTGCAAGATCAATGTTACGAGTGTGATCCGGTGGCTTGGGTTGATTGACATTGATCTTGCAGCCGGTGGTGCGCTGCATGTCCTTGATGGTCTCACCACCCTTGCCGATGATCATACCAACTGCTTCGGACGGCACTTGGATTGTCTTCTCGATGTGATCGCGTCCGCCATGGTTAGCACCACCACCGCCGCCGCCGCCACGACCCTCGCTTTGGTAGCCGCGGTCGCGTGGTTGGCCAGCATTGTTACCACCGCCGCCACCTGGGGCACGGCTGTCGCTCTCCACAATCTCAAGAATCAGTTCCTTCGCCATGGCGGTAGCACGTTCACTGCCGATCAGGTTGACTGGTCGAAGACCGTTGACGCTCTTATTCTCACCAACGATGTTGACGTGGCATCCTGATCGCTCCTGAAGATCTTTGACCGTTTCGCCGCCGCGGCCAATGATGAGGCCGACGGTCTTGTCGGGAACCATGACCTGAGTGCTCGCCTCACCATCTCGTAGCGCCGGTAGGTTTACCTTGGCCCTACCGGGCATACCTGCAGTGTACGCGCCCTTCTCCTGAGTTGGTGTGCCGCCGTTCTCTTCAATGATTGCGTTGATGGCACCCTTAGCGTTCTCTCTAGCACGTAGTGATCCAGAGATGGTACACTGCCGCTCTGCGACGTGTGAGTCCTTCGCTTGGATGAATTGAACTCGTGCGCCAGTTTCTGCCTCGACCTTGCGCAAGTTCTCGCCATTGCGACCAATGATCAATCCAACGAGCTGAGACTTGACGCGGATTGTTTCAGTCTCCCCATCAGCGCCACGACTTCCTATCGGCGGGTCACGAGCACCTCGAAATCCACGCTCTTGTGAAGGTGAGCGGCGGTAGCCACCTCGACGCGGGTCTTCGCGACGCTCGTCTCGATACGGGTTACCACCATAGGCATCGCGGCGAGGTGGTGAACGTGATCGCGATCGAGAACGCGGACGACGGTTGGCGAGACGAGGGTCTTCTCGAGGGGTGGACGATGCTGCTCGGCTGTCGTATGCCTGAAGACCGCGGTTCTCTGCGATGTTTCTGGCCTTCGCAATGGCGTCCGCGATACTAACGGAGCCGCTGCTCACAGGCTTGATGGTGCTCAGATCGACGCTCCCGGTGCTGGAAGGTTGTGGTAGATACGCTGCCTGAGGCGGTGCGCTCGGTGGTGCGCTCGGTAGAACGCCTGGCGGAGGGTATCCAGGTGGGAGTTGGTGGCTAGGAGGCGGCTGCTGAGGAGTGGCAGACTGCTGCGGAGTGCCATTTGGCTGTTGCTGCGCTGGGTGATTGTCAGCTGCTGCCACGTTGCGCGTGTGCGCGATGATCGGGAAGGAAGTGAATCTACCAAGTGCTGCCAGAATCTGGCTAATGTCTGGCTGGGCCATGATGGGTATCGGTGTCGTGCGCTACCGTGTGTCGTCGGCGCGCAGATGGAGGAAGTGGGCGTGCGATGCAGTTATGGAAGCGGTGTGTTTGCTGGGGGTTGCAAGCAGGCGTGGTGCGGTGCGACAACAAAGGGAGGAGGTGGTTGTTGTGACTTGGAAGTTGGTGCTTGGAGAGATTGCAAAGGCGTTTCGCAGGGGTCGTGGATGTGGTCTGTGCGCCAGCCAATCATGCGCGCCTGCTGATATTCACTTCAACTGGCCGGCAAGCGTTCGGCATGTGACTCTTTCCGTATATTCACTACCTTTGCTTGGCTGGATCACAGTTAGGGCACTCATCTCAGACTTCAGGACCTGAATCGGAGACAAGATGGCAGAAGCAAGCGCCTCTCGAAGCAACGCCCTAATCATCGGCATATCTGGCGTCTCTTCATCCGGAAAGACCACACTGGCCCGGATACTTCGAGACATCTTCCCTCGCACCTTCATCCTCCACGAAGACGACTTTTACAAGAACGACACAGACATTCCCCTCAATCAAGAACACAATATCGCAGACTGGGACTGTCTGGAAGCTATCAATCTCCCCCAATTCCAACAAGCCTTGGAATATATCCGCCAACATGGGATGTCGCCACCTGACTTTGTGTCCAAGGAAGACCAGAACTCTGTTGGAGAGGTTGATGTCGACAAGGCCTTGATCGAAGACCTGCAGTGGAAAGCAAGCAAGTGGATGTTCGCGGATGCACCTCCAATAGCGATCATCGACGGCTTCTTGCTCTATTCGGAAGGCATGAAGGCCGTGCGTGATCTGATCGACGTGAAGCTATTCCTCAGAACAGACTACAAGACCGCAAAGACCCGGCGAGAAGCCAGGAGTGGTTATGTGACTTTAGAGGGATTCTGGGAAGATCCGCCTGGCTATGTTGATAAGGTGGTCTGGCCGAACTATGTCAAAGACCATGCATTCATGTTTAAAGGAGGAGATGTGGAAAGCGAATATTATGAGGAGCAACTTCAAAGGCTGAAGATCAGGGCTGCGCCGGACGCTGCGCTGAAAGAAATGACGAAACGTGTTCAATGGGCTTACGATGTGCTGGAAGAGGCGCTGAACAGCTTCACAGAGCCAAGGTTGGCACCTTGATGATCAAAGATATACCAGATGCATAGAAGTCTAGACCAAGACCAAGACGGGCTATCTGTCTTTCGCTAGGATGAGACCAGTTGAGCTGCATCAGTCACAGCCACTCGTGCAATCTTCTTCAGCTCCACCTTGTAATCGGCCTCTCTGAACTTTTCGACATGATCCAACCCCTCCTTAGTCTCGATCGATAAAGTGTCGTAGCCCTGCTTGATGATTTTGTTGACCTCTCTCGGCGTCAGGTGGGTGCTTTTGCTCTTTTGCGTTTCGATCAGCTCTTGGTAGTGCTTGGACACTCCAATGAGAGTGTTAATCGGCGTGTTGGCATCCGGTTTGCTAAGGTTGTACACATCCCGAAACTTGATGAGGGCTTCGCCTGATTCGACGAGCTTGTAGAACAGATCATCGTACGCCGCTGCATCAGGGAGGAAAGCCTCGCCATTTGTGAGTGCGACCGTGAGGAGATCTACCAGGCTTTCGACCAGCTGATTGGTGCCAGAAAGAGTCTTGAGGTCGTCCGCATAGGTGGTGAGAAACCGGACAAAAGACAGTAAGGATCGCCAGACTTCTGCCCAGTGGTAGGTGAGCTTGGTGCGCGATTTGGCCAGATATGCCAGGGCTCTTGACAAGACTGCAACACTTTGGTTGTAGAAATGAGTATCGAGCCTCTTACGCAAGTTGTGGTTGATACCATCAATAATCAGGTCGATGATCGTAGCAACGTATGGTCGCTCATGTCGTGGGAGGGGAAGAAGCGGAGGTCGCTGCCGACAGAGTCTGACTGGAGCAGATGTCTCGGATAATAACTTCGCGGTGTTGGAATCTTCCACTAAGACGAGGATGATTAGAAGTGTGAGATAGGCGTAAAGCGAGGCCCGCACGCTTCGGTAGGCGTGCTGGTACAGATATGATGTGAACGAGAGGAATGTGCTGAAGGGCGGCGGCTGGTCTTTCTCGTTCGATGGTAAGCTGATGAGGTTGTGGCAGAAGAGCTTGTTTGCGAGAGCGAAGTCGTAGAGGGTAAGTAAGGAGGCACTCTCGCGACCAGGTCTGACAGTAATCAGTCAGCTGTGACTAGAAGCGGATCGGATAAGACACTTACTGCTGTGCGAAGAGCTCCTTTTGTTGATCTTCCGTCAGTGCTGGCGCAGCGGGCTTCACACCAGCTAGTGCTCCAAGGCCAACGTAGGATAATGTGCCTCCAATGGTCCAGCCTACCGGTGTATCGTCTTGTATCGCTATGTAGCGCTCACGAAGAACAGCTGTCGTCCAGGCCACGCTATGAACGACTTTCGACATGGTCTCCTCGTTGACGAAGTCTGCGAAGCGTACCCGGTATTGATTGTGCACTTCAAACTTGTTGTAGTTTGCGAGTAACCCTGTCAACAGCAGTGGCTCGGATGCTTTGAGTGGGTTGTCCATTTGATGAACGAGCTGTACCAGAGCAGTCAGTATGAGGGCAATAGAGTAGTTCTTAACATATGAGTACCTTCATGAGCGCTGGAAAGAAGTCGCGGTGTACAAAGTACGAAACCAACGCAGTCTGATAGCCACCAGCAACGACTGCGATCGCAGTTCGGACCGCTTTCTGACGGACTTCATCTGTCTAAAAGTCAGTTTTGTGACCTTTGAGAACCATTCCTCTTTCATACCGCTCCTACCATCTTTGATGGCTTGATCCAGCGTCCCGACCAGATCAGAGAAGACTGTGTCGACATTGTCTAAACCGGCCAGCACTTCGATAACGTCTGAGCTTGGGTTGGTGAACTTCTTGGCCAATATGACAGCGAAGAAGGCTGTCAAAGTCTAAGTCATGATTGGCAACCTCAATCGATGTAGAACCATGCGTTGACTTACATCCAAAGCATTTTCGTCCGTTGGTGCCTCGCCGTCCTTGATCTTCGCCAAGCCATGAAGGAGAAGTTGTTGGGGTTGGTGCTGCAAAACGAGTAAGTGTCACTGCCCTTGAGCCATGAGGGTTTCTTATAGCGTGATACCTGCAAATGAATGAGGAATTCGGCGTCGGTATTGTCGAGGATCTCGCGAAGGGCTACGGTGTCTGGCTTGAGAAGGAAGAATGTACTCCAGAAGCCATCGTCCTTCTCGTCGTCCTCAATTTCCTAAGTCAATCAGCCAAGGCCAACATGTGATATCGAGCTGCCTCTCCTTACTCGAAACAGCCGCCTATACAGCCCGACAACTTTGGGCTCAAAGAAATCCGGCCGAGCTTGCTGCGTGAGCGGTGATTGAGCTTCCATGAGCGGACTCAGCACGACCCATTCGCTCTCAAGATGAAGTCGAAAAGATTCGGTATCCCAAGGTCGTCGCCTCGCTATCTCAAGTCGCAGCAAACTTTATTGTCAGGTGTACAAAGCCAAGAGAGACGTTGCAGATGCCTCGGCGGCAGTCGAAAGGAAGGGAAGCCGAAGCAGGGACTTCATTGGCAGCAGCACACGCGCGTCAGCAATCCGAAACTCCTACCGCCCAGCCTCGTCCATTCCATCCAACCCAACTCGCAACAACATTGTACCAACTCCGACGACAAGACATCAGTGGACAGGCAGACGGACAGCTTTCTCGCGAGCTCCATGAAGAAGCAGAGAAAGATTCCTGGACGACCTCATTCACCATTCCCTGAAAGCAACTCCTGATCAAGTGGTACAAGAAATTGGTTCCACGAGGGACTGAGCCTGCTATCGACATTCGATCAGAGCCGTGCGTCATTGCCCACTCCGAGCGAAGTTTCGTACGAGGCCTATGAGATCTATGTCGTCTCAACATATGTGCTGCCTTGCCTGAGAAGAAGCGGCAAACGCATCAACTCAGAGACCCGCAGAGATCAAGTCGGATAGAAAGACAGTGCTCACAATTCACCCTTGGCTCTATCTATTCACAGGTGGGCAGACAAAGTGCTTGTCTTTACTTTTTCTCACCGTTGTGCATTTCATGAGCACTTTTGTTCACTCACATTTCGGCCATTCGAGCACAGACCATTTAACGACGTCATAGTTCATGCGGCTCACACGAACAGGTTCATTAGGTTGACGTGAGCTTCAGCAGTAGGTATCCTTGCTCCAACTTCCGTCTGACCCACCGAGAACAACCAAAAAGGACCCCGGGCTGGGTAGTGGCTCTCACGACAACCTTCAACCGCAATCATGTCGAAGATGTTCTCCAAGGCTACGTCGGCCTTCAAGGGTCACAACGATGCTGCCAGCAATGGGAGCGAGGAAGGCGAGTCGCTCACAACAATCCTCGAGAGTGAGGAGGATCGCAGCGCCCTCACGATCCTTATTGCCGACTGCACTGAGTCTATGCGACAAGTCATCGTCGACGCCTTCGATGCCAAAGAGACAGGCCAAAAAGGCGATCAGCTGGTCAATACGAAAGGCAAGGGAGACGAAAACACACCGCCTGCAGAGCAAGAGAAGACAGATACTGCTGCCAAAGACCAACAAGCGAAGGAGCTGGCGAAGAGAGAGAAAGAGCTGAGCGAAGAGAAAATGCAAGACCTGAAGAATGCCGCGTTGAAGTTCTTCGATGAGTGGAGGTCATCGGTCATTCAAAGAGTAGGCGAAGTCGTGAATTCACGCGAGAAGGCTGAATCACACAAACATAAGGCGAAGCCAAAGAAGGAGGATGAAGAGCCAAAGGCAGCACCAGAGATGAAGTTCCCTGATCTGCCCAAGTACGACGAAGGTGTACAGCGTTCGATGATGGAGCTGTATCCGCCGGTCCAGAACACTCTACGGCGTCTTCCAGAAGAGCAAAAGGCACTAATACTGCATTCCTTGCTATTGTTGCTGCTAAGCTTGGAGCATTATCAATCACACTCGCGCGTACTGATGCTACACATCTCCACCAGCCTCCACCTACCGATCGACATACTCGCCCACGACGAATCGAAAGTTGCTCGCGTACTTCTTACAGCGGCTGAGAATATGAGTGCGGATGACGAGAAGAAGAAGAGGGCAGAAGAGAACAAGAGCGGGCGAAGGTGGAAGGTTGGTCTGGCTACAGTGGGTGGTGCAGCACTCCTGGCTGTGACTGGTGGTCTTGCGGCACCGCTTCTCGCTGCTGGCATCGGCACAGTCATGGGTGGACTTGGACTTGGGGCTACAGCTGCAGCTGGATACCTTGGTGCCCTCGCTGGCAGCTCCGTGTTAGTCGGTGGTCTATTTGGAGCATACGGTGGACGAATGACGGGTCGAATGATGGATCAATACGCACGAGAGGTTGAGGACTTCGCGTTTGTGCCGGTTACGGACTTTCACAAACCGAGGAAGATCGAGAAAGAATACCGAAGGCTGCGTGTGGGCGTTGGTATCACTGGCTGGTTGACGAACCAAGACGAAGTCGTGGACCCATGGAAAGTGCTCGGTGTCCAGCTGGAGTCGTTTGCTTTGCGTTGGGAACTCGAAGCTCTGATGAGCCTGGGCAATGCCATGACCACCATGGTGACATCAGCAGCGTGGAGTGTCGCCAAAGTGGAAATCATCAAGAGGACTGTGTTCGGCGCTCTATCTGCTGGACTGTGGCCTCTGGCTTTGCTAAAGGTTTCTCGAGTGCTGGATAACCCGTTCAGCGTTGCCAACTATCGAGCCGTCAAGGCCGGTGAAGTCCTTGCAGATGCTCTTATCAACAAGGCCCAAGGCGAACGGCCAGTAACATTGGTGGGATATAGTTTAGGAGCGAAGGTCATCTTCACCTGCCTCCAGCATCTGGCTCAACGCAAGGCTTTCGGTCTTGTCGAATCCGTGGTCCTCATCGGCACACCCGCGCCATCGACAGCCGCCGACTGGAGAATGATCAGGAGCGTCGTATCCGGACGAGTCGTGAACGTCTTCAGTTCAAATGACTACATCCTCGGATTCCTCTACCGGAGCCACAGCGTCCAGCTCGGTGTCGCCGGTCTGCAAGCCGTCGAGAACGTGAAAGGCGTGGAGAATGTGGATGTGAGTGACATGATCAAGGGCCACACTAGCTATCGATTCGCAACTGGTAGCATCCTCCAGAAAATCGGCTTCGAAGACGTTGATTCCGAGGCCGTTGAGGAGGAAGAGATGCTCCGCAAGAACCAGGAAATGAAGGAAGAGCTGGAATCTGAACGGGCAGAGTCAGAGCAAAAGGAGAAAGACGATGCCACGAAGACAGGAGATGCAGCGACCAAAGCTACTGGCGAAAAAGGCGATGTCTCTGACGAGTACGTCAATAACCTGGAGAAGGAAATCGAGAAGAAGAACGAGCAGAGCTACGTCGGCTGGGCGCAGGAGAAGATGGTCGGCGCAGGGACTTCTGCCAAAGTGGCTCTGGAGAAAGCGAGACTCCAGTGGCGGACTCGTAATCAGACAGGCGAAGCTGGCAATGCGGCGAAGAGTGCCGGCGAATCGGCTTCCCATGTGCCATCGGCGGCGTGATGAGATGAATGATACCCCTGACACGTACCATGAGATTTGCAAAACAGATACCTATTTTAATTCCTTCGATAAACTACGACCGCAGTCGACTGCCTCACGATCCACTTGAGCAACGTCAGCCTCTAGATATACTTCTCCGCCGACCTCAAACGGGACGCATCCTAGAAGGAACCTCCTATTTCGATCCCATCCTCCTTCCTCTCAGTCCAAACCTCCACCCACAGCCCCAAACGTCGCCACGACATGACGAACTGGTCGTTATGAGGGATTCTTTCGACGATGAAGACTGGCAGTGTTGGTGCCTCTCCTCTGCGGTTAGTCCAGTCAATCGACCCGGGTAGGAGATGAAGGAGAATGGACGTTCACATTGGCAAGAGGGTTGTGGAGTTTCGACGATGGAGTGCGGGGCGGCGAGAGAGCAGTGGAGATGAAAACGTCCAGCTGCTGATGATAAAAGATGCTCAGCAGACGACCATCGCAAGGACAGGAGGGATTGAAATGCCTCTCCGTTGCAAAGGCACATCGTACAGCAACTTACTTCGACCTAGTGCGCGCAGTCAACAAGCAGGGCTTGTGAGCTACTTATTCAACTTAAACGCAATCCTATCACATTCGGCCACAGGCAGCTGATAAATAGGCCATCCCGTCCGCTCTGGCATACTCAAGCAGCTGACCGCCTGATTAGTACTACGGTGGGTGACCACGTGGGAATACCGGGTGCTGAATGTTTTTTGTCTTTTTGCTTGCCAATTTGTTCTTTTTTGAGCCGAGAAATTGGTGAGTGAAGGGATCGGGCTTGGCGTTGGATTTGCCGAACCGGCTTTTTTGCTCGGGCCGAGATATTTAGGTCGGGTCTGAACCACAGTCACGGTGAGGGGGTGGTTCGTGCGAACAGACTGGACTATATAGGTAATCTTACTCCAATAGCGATGTATTCGTTGTGTCCACTAGACTCGTAGTCCCTCGTGCGCTCGAGGAGTTCGATGGTCGCAAGATGTCTATCTGCTTGAAAATCTGCAAGACGCCGTTATTAGACTTTTTCTTCTCACATCAACAATCCTCACGCGTGCTACAATATAGCCAGCATCCCGCAAAATCAGAAAGAGCTCAAGTACAACATGGCTGAAATAGTTCCCGCAGCGCTCCAAGCTGTATTGGAGATCTTCGTCGCGGTAGATTTCGTACATTCCCAAGGCGTCGGCCTCGGCATCACACAGAGAGCCATCACACCTACCGCACGTGTCGCAACAGGATGCATACAAGCGACAGAAGAGATCAAGCTGGGGATTCCCCGCGAGAGACTCGCGACGGAACATGTCAAAAGCGCACAGAACGCCCGCTTGCTGGCCCTCTTGCATGCCCTCGGATTGGCGTCTCGGACGATTAGGAAGCAAGGCGTCAACAGCAAACCGCAGATTCGACATGTCAAGCTCATCTGCGATTGTTCGAAGGTGGTGGAGACGGTCAATCATCACGTCGAGCATGCGCCGGAGAGTTACGACGACATTGCGCAAGTGACAGGTCGGAGCATGGTTCGGAAAGTAGTTGCTGGCGTCGATAAATTGTCTCGATGGGGGTTCAAGGTTTCTTTCGTAGCTGCGGAGAGACATGGCCGGGACAAGATTGCAGCCAGGGCGAGAACTCTCGCGAGACAGAAGGGGCGCAAGGCGTGCCGAGACCGTCGGCGACATTTGCAGCTCACACGGAACACAGTACAGAGTGCACATCAACATCAACCATCAGCTCTACCGATCTAATCCGTCTTCACCTTCCTCCTCTCCGCTCCCTCCGCCATCAGCCTCGCCACATCGTCCGCCGTCGTCCCCCTCGACCGATTCTCCATCGTCTCCTTCCCCAACTCCGTTCCATTCGCCACGAAATCGTACACCCTCGCGATGCTCCTGAAAATGCTCTCGTCCGCATTGAACCCACCATCTGCTTCAAACGTCGCCGCGATCTCCTCCATCTCAGCCACCCAGCGGTACGCTTTCGGGGGCATGCCTGTCAGGCCTTTCTCGGCTCTGGCCCTATTGCCCGGGGCGTATTCATCCAGGTGTGTTCTGAGCTCGTCGAGGACGCCGAGGTTTTGGGCGGTTGTGAAGGATTGGATCGCTAGGGCTGCGAAGCCTTTGGAGAGGGAGGCGAAGCACATTTTGAGGCCGGTGGCGGAGCCGATGGTGTTGTTGATGTGGCGCATGTTAAGGATTTGTGCGAGGTGTTCGCCAGAGGGTTGGGCTGAGGAGAGGCTGTGGGGGCCTGAGAGGGGAATGGAGGGTTTGGACCATGTTCCGTCGTCTTTCAGGTTCGGTGGGCCGCCGATGATGCCGCCGTCGATGAAACGGATTTGCGAAGATTGGGTGAAGAGGGAGTCAATCTCGCGGGAGGATTTGGGGCTGATGGCATTTAGGTCAAGAAAGTAAAGCGGGTTCGAACGGGCCTTAAAGTCCGGCTTCATAGCTGCTTTGGCGATTCGTTGGGCTGTTGCGATGGCGTTTCGTGGCGGCACGATGGACAGTACATAGTCCGCTTTGTTGCATAGGTCTACATCTGTGTCGACGAGCTGGACGAAGTTACGCTTTGCGCGATCTTGAGTTGCCTGGCTGACTACGTTCAGTCTGTGGCAGACACTCGAAGCAGGATACTCACCTTCGATCAGAGGCATTCGTGATTACTTTGTAGTTGTTGGCAATTGCTAATCGAGCTATACCCAGACCCATGTCTCCGATCGAGATTATGCCAAGAGTCGCAAGAGCCATGTTGAGAGACGTGGTATGTATGCTCGAGAAGATTGTATAGTCTTTGTCGACACTTGAGAAGCTGATGACCTGGAATGGACCTGTCTGGAAGTGAGGTTGACTTTCGCAAGCTTCCAAGTTGCCCCACACGCCGCGTTTTGCTCCCGTTCGAGCATCGAGTCCTACGCCATGGCAATTTGATCGTGTCAGACTGCAATGTGAAACTGGGCGGCCACCACGCCGGATGTTCGTGACAATACGCCAGTTCCGATGAACGCTTCTTGCACAGACATCTTCCCTTCACGTTTGTGCGTCGACTGTCCATCCATGTGGCCCAAGTATTCCTCCATCCTCAGCAGTGGGGTCCATGGACCATTTGCGTATGGGTTCGACGTCCAAGGAGCATCGGTAGCCAGCATTCCACATCTCGATTGCGGCCCAAGCTATCATCAGAGCGTTGTCTGTGCATAGATCAATAGGTGGAAACTCCACTGCGATGTGTTGATAACCTCGTACGTCGAGCATTGCGCGCAGAACGTGTCGTAGAAATGAGTTTGACGCCACGCCACCGGAGACGACAAGAGCCTTTATATTGTCTGCGTGCGATGAGGACAAGTGGAGGAAGATCCGTGAGGCTAAATGTTCGAACGCCACGCGCTGAACTTCGCGAGCCATTTCTTGTCTTTCTTCAAATGAAATGTCTGCTGGAGTACGTGGTTCGTTCAAAAGCGTTCCTTCGGCATCGACCTTGTTGACCATGAAACGTTGGACAGATGAGAGCAGACCAGCGAACGAGTAAGCCATTCGTCTCGGCGTCTTTTCACCCAAAGGTGGTCCAAGTCCCCAGCCCCACTTCGTCTTTCGTCGCTCCAGTTCCTCCTGTCTGCGGGCAGGCGCAACATAGTTGTAGTCTTGCGCTCCATTTGGAAATGCAAAGTCTTCTAGAGCCTTTCCATACGGCATCTTGAGGGCCTCAGGGGGAAGTATCGCTCGAGCCGACTTGTCCACACAGTCTCCCAAAGCAATGTCCTGCGTTTCCGCGAGAATGCTGTGCTCTACAAGGCCGGTGGACTGGATGAGCATAGAATGACCGCCGCTCGCTAAGACCGTCAAGAATGGAAAGTCAGGCTTCGGACAGGGTTGTAAGTTTGTCGTATGCATAGCATTGACAAGTCGGGGAGTCAATGCATGAGCCTGCATGTGGTGAATGCCTAGAAAAGGGACACCCAACCCAAGTGACAATCCTTTCGCAGTGTCCAGTCCAACTGCAAGGTTGCTTCTCATCCCGGGTCCTCGGGTGGCGGCAACGAGATCTGGTGAAGGCGAGGATTGTAGAGCCTTTTGAACGAGTGGCGCTAAGATAGTCTGGTGACAGTGGAGTGCCACCAGGGGATGAATTCCGGTATATGCATCGTTGTTGGCTGTGATCTTCTCGTGGAAGTGCACTTTAACTGGATGCTGACCTGTCGAGTCCTGCTCTGCAACCGCGACCGAGGTATCATCGCATGATGTTTCGATAGCGAGGACCACGAGGCCTCTAGCGGCCCAAGGGGTGGGTCTCTTCACATGCTGGAGGCGAAATGACCGCGTCGCGTTCCGTTGCAGGAGTCGCGGGATCATCAAGCAGTTGTCATGTGAAAGGGGCGTGAGGTGAGTGAGTGGACAGGGTGAAGTGCTTCCCACGCGAAAGACGCGCTAGTTTAAGCTTTGATCCGCGTGCACGGGCGTATGACGATGGCTCGAGGTCAGGGCCACTGCAACGTCTGGAGTCCCGCTGGCTTTGTATGCACCACCACTCCTCCTCGACCTACCCTCCGCGACCCCTACTTGCTCCTACAGCAATGAAGTGATGTCTGCATCAACTCGGATCAGACCACGCTCTACGACATGGCACAGTCAGAAAAAGCCGTTCAACAGGTGCCGGTGAAGGAAGCGTCCGGATACGACTACCACAGCTTGCCCGACTGGGACAATGACTTCGTCGACGACGAGGCGATCCAGGCCTTTGCCAAGGCAATCAAGCCGGTGAGCGCACTCGCAACATCACCGTCAGAGGAGGACCTCGCCAGCCCGCTTCCAAGAAAGACAAATACCGAGTTCATCACCGCCTTGAACGATTGGCGACCAGTCCGTCAGCGTCAAATCCGCGCCAAGGCCCGAAGAGGCAAGAAAAGACCACGCAGGGACGAGACAAGAGAAGGCTGGACCTATGGACTCGTCAAATACCCCCTGCTTTTCTTTGTATGCGGCTGGATCGCTTGGCTCGGCTTCAGCTACCTCCTAACGAGATTCTACATCTATCTATACGAACAATATGTCACCTGGCGAGGAGCAAGAGACAAGTTGAGAAAGCAGCTGAGGGTGCAAAGGAGCTACGAGGGCTGGGTCGAGGCAGCAAAAGAACTGGATAAACATTTGCAGAACGATGAGTGGAAGAAAATACCTGAGGGTTCATACGACTACCAGACCTTGAGCTACATTGGGAAGCAAATGAAGAAGCTCAGAGAGGAGGCACAGAAGGATGAGCAAGACTCTACACAGCAGCAAGGTCACTTGCAACGAAGAGCAATTGACGAGCTCCGATCCATCCTTGAGACTTGCGTCAAGAACAACTTTGCTGGAATCGAAAGTTCGCGACTTTACTGTGAAACATACTATGGGACCAAGGACCTGATACAAAATTATATTGATGAGACATCGGCTTCGCTGAGGTTCCTTTTCCAGAGTACCCAGCTATCGGACTCAGACAAACGTGACATTGCCCAGCACCTCTCCGCGAACTTTGGACGTACGGCATTGTGTCTGAGCGGTGGAGCAACTTTTGCATACTATCACTTTGGCATCGCGAAGGCTCTTTTGGACGCGGACCTTCTTCCCAACATCATCACAGGGACGTCTGGTGGCGCACTCGTTGCCGCTCTGCTTGCGACCAGAACTGAGGACGAACTGAAGAAGTTGCTTGTCCCTGCCTTGGCACACAGAATCGTAGCTTGTAAAGAACCGTTTTCGGTCTGGTTTCGAAGATGGCGAGAGACAGGCGCGCGATTCGACTCGCTCGAATGGGCTAAAGCATGCTCCTGGTTCTGTCATGGCAGTCTTACGTTCCGCGAGGCATACCAACGGACTGGTCGCATTTTGAACGTATCGTGCGTCCCTTCAGACCCACATTCTCCAACGATCCTGTGCAATTATCGAACCACCCCAGACTGCGTGATCTGGTCTGCTGTCATTGCATCTGCTGCAGTTCCCGGCATTTTGAATCCCGTCGTACTGATGAAGAAACAGAGCGACGGGACTCTGACATCGTTCAGCTTCGGCACGAAATGGAAGGATGGATCTTTGCGAACGGACATTCCCTTGAAGAGTTTGAATTTGCATTTCAACGTCAACTTCAGCATCGTTTCTCAAGTCAACCCCCATGTCTCATTGTGGTTCTTCTCATCGCGCGGGACTGTCGGACGGCCGGTCACTCACCGTCGAGGGCGTGGATGGCGAGGCGGCTACCTGGGATCAGCCATTGAGCAATTCATCAAGCTCGATCTCAACAAATGGTTGAAAGTCCTCCGGCATCTCGAGCTCCTGCCAAGACCACTAGGACAAGACTGGAGCGAAGTCTTCCTCCAACGCTTCTCCGGCACAATCACCATCTGGCCCAAAACGAAGATCTCCGACTTCTGGCACATCCTCTCCGACCCTTCACCGCAACGCCTCGATGGCATGATCCGCGCGGGCCAGCTCGCCGCCTGGCCCAAGCTCAAGTTCATCAGCAACCGCATGGCCATAGAGAAGGTCATCGAGGAAGCCAAGGAGGCTACCAGACCCCCCGAGCAGCCCTTCCCGACGCCAATGCCTAAGGAGCGTTTGCGTAGCGTACTCAGCGAGGAGGACCTACAGGGACTACTGGCTAAGGCGCGGGAGAACGATGGGGTTGTGGAGGTCCCGCCGCAGCTGCTTACACCGGCAGTTCAACGACCGTCGCTTCATCCACGCCAGGACTCTCCCTCCTTCGCCAAGCGCTTCTCGAACTTGTGGGGTTCTCTGCCGTCGCCACGCAACAGCACGGACACTGCTCGACCGGCTTCGAAGGACATCCCTGCGTCGTCGTCTGCTGCTGCTGCTGCCGCTACTCTCACCGCCGCCGACGACACGCGCCGCAGCAGCATGATGGACGAGCTCGTGCGGCAAAGCAGAGTCTTCTTCGACGACTTTGCGGATGAGTCTGAGGCGCCCAGCGACGCAGAGGGGATCCAGTACGAGACGGCGACGGAGGACGAGGAGGGCGGCAGTGAGACCGATGTGGCGCCGTAGAATGGGGTCGCTGCACGTCCTGGCGCTCATCATCATCATCAACATGGTCGTCTGCCGAACCCTACCATCAAGATCGACCTCTGTGCGTCGAGTGGCGACGAGGACGACCGCTCCATGGCGGTCTCGAAGCTGGCTAGGAGGAGGCGGAAGAAGCGGAGTCGATCTGGTGAGAACGTGAAGGGTTCGGGTTGATTGATCGACTCACCACCGGCGGAAACACCGTTTTCATTGTTACGAGATTGTTCCTTTTTGTTGTTGGAAGCGTTCAAGCGAATTCTTGGGAATGGGTATTGGAAATTTTACTAGACAGACAGATAGGCCTGCCTACAACAATCAATAGAGTTCACTTTGCCTCTGCGAGGTTGAGCCGATCGGATGAGTTCCTGTTTGTACGCTCAAAGTTATGAGAGAGGGCACGTAACTTCCTTGCGAGGGCTGCTGATGTATGCGCGTGGAGAGAGTACTGTACGCTTCTGTTTGTACTCCATAGTCTGCCAAGTTTCTGTGTTCGCGATCGCTTGCCCAGAGAGAAAGGTAAAGATTGTATTTCCGAAGGCCTCGCAAGAAACGACGTCAAACCCACGCGCTACCTTGAGGATTGCGCGTGTGGATTGCATGCAAGTGTGGCATGGCAAATTGTAACAAATTCATACCTGCTTCATGCCCTAGAATCTCCAAGAACGAAAAGTCTGGCTTGCAGAGTCTGGCGCATGGATACTCACATTGCTACTGTACATGAGGTTGCTGAGATGCCGGTCGCAAAGCCGGAACTGCTTCTCCTTGGCGTAGTATGTGGCAGGTAGTAGGAGAGATGGTAAGGTCAGTGCAGTACATACATAGCCTCGCGAAGTCTCCCGACGCCCTCTGAGGCTCTGAGGGTTCATTGGGCGAAACTTTGGGCCTCGTCTCGCTCGCTCGTTCGTTGGAATAAGCTTATTGCGCCCCAGTGCGAAAGTTTGGACGATCCGAAAAGCCACAAGGGTTTCGAGCGAAGTACTGTACAATGGATATTCGATTTTGCGGGATTGGGATTCCGATATTTCGTGGTGTGTTTCAGGCTTGTTGAGTTACGAAGTTATCACGGACAACGGGTGGTGGCGACGGCATCTGCTTCTTGATGCTTGCCAGACCAGGAGGGAGGTATCTTTACCGAGATCATCATCTCACGGGAGGCACATCTTCGGCATGATGGGGGCGTGTATCTTTTGAAGATGGATGGATATGGCACATGCTGGTGCGTGCGAACAGAGAGTTTGGAAGGGCGGACGTCAATGCTCTGGTTTTCGTTCTTGTTTGCCTGTGCATGGACTGGGCTTTCCTTTAAACGCTTGTTGGTATGAGAGCGACCGAAGGTCTGGCTGACTTTGCGCAGGGAGTCAGCCTGAAGTCGCAGCGAGATTTGAACATGCGTGTATCCTGAACGGATCTGTGAGTTCCCGACATGATGGGTCGCGTTTGCGAGATAGCCGCTGCGAATTACGAACGTCTTCTCGATCATCCAAGTAGCATCGTTGGCGTGCTGTTTGATGATAGATAGTCGAAGTTCTCCCCAGACCGCCCCAGATTGCGTTGGGGGCGAGGGGGCGAGAAGACGCACAGAAGCACGCTAGAAAAGGGTCGGCGGATTCCTTGCGTTCCTTCCTTGAAGAGAGTGATTATCTCCGAGTGTGCTGACGGTGATGATCCGAAAGCGACCAAGGAATCGTCGACTGTTCGCCCGAGATGCGTCGGAAAGTGACTAAACGACGGTGGTCAAGGGCGTATCTCTCATCACCAGCTGCGTCCGATTAAATGGACCAGACGTCCGACGTGGTTAGTGGCGGGATGTTCCCGGTTGGCTTCCTTGTCGTGGGTTTGAGATGGCTGGTCGGTTGGAGCATGGCGGACCGCATGAGGCAGGAGCAGCAACGGCAGGGCTGACCAGCGCGAGGGTTCCGCGAGACGTGGAGCGACAGCGAGGCGTGTACAACGAGTCTTGTACTGCGTCTGACATGGATCTTCCGAAGGAGCCGCAGAGTTAGTGTTTTCCAGAGCGACGTTCCTGCGTTTGGGTGGCGACGGAGGAGGGCAGCAGTCACATGTGCTGGTGGGAGTGAGGATGAGGGATAGGGAGCGAGGGACGTGCTTGGGCGAAGTCGTCGAGGACATGTCAGTTTGCAGGCATTGCCTCGAGTCAGGCCGGATCAAACTCGGGGCGGCGTTTGGATGGGGCCCATCTGCAATCATGGCACAGATGGGCAGCCGCAGCACATGGCCCAACAGGCACACAGAAGCATCGGTTCGCGTGACAAGGACAAGTCACGATGCATCCAGGCGACGGGCATGCGAGCGCACGCAACTGCCGGGCCAGCAGCGCGCGGCCGGGTGCAGCGTGCAGTATAGGTGTAGTAGGACACATAGCCGAGCGGCCGGGACGAGGTGGTCGCAACAGACCAAAGCAGCAAAGGAATACGGTGCGGTATGGCTAGTGCGTGCGATGAATGGGTGAATGAATGAATGGACGAATGAAGGACATGGGGCGGGCTGCGCATCTGACCGCGACGTATCACTCACTCACTAGCAATGGCCCCTCTTCATCCTGCGCTGCTGCAGCCGGCCGCGGTGTGATTGGGTGCCGTGGCGTCGATCCCGGCCTTCTCGAAGGCTTCGGCGGCATGGGCCAGCGCCAGACAAGCACCAGGGCAGCGCAGCAGAGCAGACGACGCTGCGCTCCAACGAGACAGGACCTACCTACCTCACCGCGGGAAGCTGCTCGCTGCAACCACGCCCGCCCGACAGTCTCGCTCACTCTACCACTCCGATTACCTCCTCGCCCTCTCCACCGCCGCCTCTCCACCGCTCCACGCCGCCGTCGCCATGGGCACCGACCTCTGACGCTGCGCAGCTCGCCCGCCCGCACACCCTCGCGACAGAAACAGCAACTGCCCCATTCCACGCCAAATTGCCTGCCCGCAGCACTCGCACCCCCCAACACGCCCGCCTCGCGACTGCTCTGTTTTGATGTCGATGCTCAGATGCCGTCCTGCCTGAACGCCTGCACCACCACCTACACCATCTCAACCCCCTCCGCGCAACCCATGCGACATCTCGCCTCCGTCCTGCACTCGCACACCCTTCCTCGCCCTCGCACGCCGAGCACACCCGCGCCTCGCTGAGTCGTCGCATCGCATCGCGCATTGTCTGGGCACGCCGGTGACAGGTCGGCGCATAGTCGCTGCGCCCATGGAAGAGCCTATCGAGGGGTGCAGTCTCATATATTACTGCCCCTCGACGGATGGCATTGCATCGTCCACATATTATCCTTCGCACCTACCGCCCACGACATCAGATTCGCACACAGCACCCGCACACCTTTACAAGAACGTGCGAAGACTGTTGGATGTGGATCAGGGCAACTTCGCCCAAGGTCAGTCATCACCGCCCATTGTCATGTCACGGCTGCGCTCACACCCCTGCAGTCTTCCTGTCTTCGAAACCTGAGTCATGTCTCAATCAGTTAACCACCTTCTCCAAAACAAACCCCACCGCCGTGCTGGTCGAATTCAGCTACGCCGCCGCAGACGATAACCAGAACAGTGCGATTGGTCTCTTGCGCCGAATATCAGATGAAGTGCAAAGCAGCCGTTACGAGCGCCCTGTCATGCCCTTTGTCTTGCTAGCGCCATCATCGCCTCAGGATGCCGAACCATTGGCCGAGTCTGCCTTCGAGACGAGCTATCTCAGCGCCTATGCTCTCGACACCATGCAAAGTCCTCTCTGTTCAGAAGCCATCAACCAGCTGGTCGGCCATGTCAAGGAGACCACGAGACCATCAGCAGTGTCTCTGGGCGCAGGAATGGCTCAGAGCTTGGTGTCTAGTATTGCTGACACGTCTGAACCGCAACTCGCCTCACATCGTCCCGACGAGGTACTGTCAGCTCAGCGGAAAAAGGCTGTCGAAGATGCTGTCGCAAATTGGAAATTCCCTGCACACGAATTCGACATGGACGAGCTCACTTACGGCGCCCTATTCATGCTGGAGCACGTGCTTCGTAACCCAGCGTTAGAGCAGCACCGTCTGGATCGAGCGGAGCTTATGACGTTCTTACTCGCTGCGAGACGACAGTACAAGCATGAGCGGGAGGTGCATTATCACAATTGGCGACACGCCGTTGACGTGACTCAGTCGCTTTACTGCTTCTTATGCGATGTGCGCCTATGTCCACCTTCTCCAACGAGCCGAACAACGAACAAAGAAGTCAACCCCCTGGAACGCTTGCTCTCACCTCACGATGCTCTGACGCTACTGGTGTCCGCGATAGGGCATGATGTTGGGCATCCAGGTGTGAACAACGCATTTCTCGTGGCCTGCAATCACCAACTAGCGTGCATGTACAATGACAAGTCTGTCCTGGAAAATTACCATTGCGCGGCTTATACGCAACTGCTGCGACGGCACTGGCCCTCGCTCGTTGAGATTCCGCACTTTCGGCCGACCATGATATCTACCATCTTGGCAACCGACATGCAGAGGCATTTTGAATACATGGGCCAACTCAAAGAACTCAAGCAAAAGATCGAGGACAGCGATGCTGAGCTCACAAACTGGAATGACAAGGACAAGGACCACGCGCGAGAGCTGATCATGGCCTTGTTGTTGAAAGCTGCCGACATATCGAACGTGGCGCGTCCATTCGATGTTTCTGCGCAGTGGGCCAAGATCCTGATGAATGAGTTTTCACGACAGGGAGAACTTGAGGACGAATTGCAGATTCCAACATGCTTATTCGGAGGGCCTCCAAACAAGGAAGACCTCCTGGCTGCAGCACAGAGCCAGAAAGGGTTCATGAATCTCTTTGGCTTCCCACTCTTCAGAGGCATCTCAGAGGTGATGCCAAACGTTTCATGTACACTACCGGAGCTGGAAAAGAACAAGAACGTGTGGGAAGCACGCATTGTTGACGAAAAGGCGCGGAAAGAGGCTCGCGGCGACGGACGCAAATCGCCTAGGACGTATGGATCTGTGACCGAGGCCGAAGTAGAGGAAGCAAGAAACCGTAAGAGGGAGTCAGAACCTATGGCGGTACCGACAGAAGTTCCACAGACACCAACATCACCAAATCCGCGGCAACCGGTTCTGGAACGTCAGGGACAAACAGCGACACACCCTGCCAGTGAGCAGCGACATCACCTACAGCTGGGCGTTTCCCCAAATGCAGAAGAAAAGCGGTCGTCCACTCCCGTGATCTGGCCTAGTTCACTGCAGTCCCCCACTGGAGGATCATCTCGGCGGTCAAGTAAGGATGTCGCCCTGAATAGTATCCAGGAGTGGAATCCACTACGCGGACAGGCCAACCTCGCCCCTGCAGGTTCTAGAAGGGGATCTGCTGATGCCGGATGGCAGATCCATCAAAACTACCCAGGATCAAGGAGGGGCAGCAAGGACGAGAGCTTGACCACTATCTTGGTTACCAGCCAGGGCAGTCCAGCATCGCTGAGCGTGCCTTCATCACCCAAGGTGAGCAAGCCCTCTTCACCGAGCAAAGCCACTGGATCGGGAAAGAAGCAGCCGGCCCCAAAGCAATCTTCGAGCACAGTCCGGCATTCTGTGCCCTCTTCTACTTCGCAGACCACAACCTCAGCGACAGTCACGACTGATCAGCAGTCGCCATCTACTCATCCCTCATCACTAGTAACAACAGATGACGACGCACCACCGGCTGCAGTGACCAGCAGCTCAGAGGTGAGGGGGGAACCGAACGCTTTTGGACCGTCGCCGGACTGGCTGGATCAGCTGGAAGGTGGACATCATTCATCCGCCCCAGCAGCGCTTCCCAGCACCCCTCCAGACGCGGGTTTCATTCGAACGGTGAAGCCTGATTCACCGCGTATAATGTCACGTATGGCTAGCGGCGACTCGGGAGTATCAGGATCACGTCTGGACCCACGGAAATCGGATCCTCACATTCGTCAGTCACGCAGCCGCAGTCGCCTGCGAGGGCTCAAGTTCTGGAAGAAGCGCAACGTTACAGGGAGCGTTGATGGACCAGCGGCAGGCTCAACTTCTCCATGAGACAGCCGTGTACAACATCGAAAAGGCGTTTGGCTTCTGCGATAGAAGTGGGCGGGAATCTCACTCTGCTTCTGAGAAAGCACACGAATACACGAGATGGCAGTTTTTGTAGTCCACAGCATGTATCATGCAAAGAGACGGACACCGGCGCAGGCGCACATTGGAACTTTTGGAAGGCGAAACCTAGGAATGGGTCATGTTTTGTTTTGGAGCAACGATATACCTTAAGGAGGCATGTTCTGATGATTGGAACGAGGGATGGATGAGATGGCTCTTCGCTTCTGTTTCTTTGCGATGCATGGATGGGTCGTGCTGGGCCTTTTTGCCTGGTCTGCATGCATGCTTGAGCATCTGAATATCTTGTACGATGAAGAAAGCACGCAGCAGTAGCAGCATGTGATAGACAGTACACGAAATGTGGTGAATGGACATCAACTCGTGAAGTGCCCGTAATTGATTAAGGTTGAATAGTCTCTTAATCAATTGAATAAAGTGTCGGCAATTTGCGCGCGAGTCATGGCTGACGCTATGCTGCATGTCGCCCGCAGCGCATCCCAGCCCGTCTTGACATTTGTTGTTTGGGACCCTTTCAGGAGACACTCTCGAGTCAACAGCAGCCATAACTATTTCCTTTGTCTCTTGACCGCCGCCACGTGAGAGGACTCCATCAACACACGCACGACGCGACCCGCATTCTCATCGCTTGAATGACGCGGTAGAAGTGAGGACAGTCCTCAAACGGCACAAACGGCTGTCAAATCTTGGACGACAACTCCTTGTAACGCTTGCCTTGGGACCTGTAATCGAGACATCACAAACAAGACACGCGACGATACATCACCACCACGCGGGAGTCATACCTGGAGAAGCACGAGATGGAGTTCACAACATCACCGCCTGCAACGCCGAGGCGGCAGCACATGGTGTCGCCCATCGACACATCTGCCCCAAGCCCGACCAATTCCTTCCGCGAGCACCTGAGACGGCGGACTAGCAGTTTCTCGTCAAACCACGACCGGAGTCCGGTGACGCCTCGATCGCGGCATAGATTCTCGAACGCATCTCAATTGTCAGGAGAGTTCGGCACGCCGGTGGATGAAGGCGGAGGTGGACTAGGTAACCTCGCAGATGAGTTGGATCAGTTGGATGACGAGGACGCTTTCGAGGAAGGAGAGACCGAGGGGGCTATACACTGCGGTAATGAGGAGGCGGAAAAGGACGAGGCATCTCGAGACTCGGGCATCGATGTGTCGTACAGGGATTCCGCGAAGAAGCAGCAGTCGCCTAACAGCGTGCGCAACTTCTCGAAACCCTTCACCGGCAAGGAGAAGCCGCCTGATGAGGAGGAAGAGGATAGTGAGGAAAAGTTCTCGCCGGAGCTGGAGGATTTGATGAGTACGATTGCGCGGATGACGAGCTATACATCGACGAGTGAGGATCCTCTCATCCCTCGTACGATTGGACTGCTGCAGGACCTGGGCAATCAGACGAGCCTCGAAGCGGCGGCTCAGCGGTTGACGACTTCAACTAACAGCTTGACGCAACATTTGACGACTCAGACCAAGACTTTGCAGACATTGGCGCAGAGTCTGTACCCCATGTTTGCTTTTTCTGCGCCTCTGGACCCTGCCATCATCGAGGAGACACTACCACTTGCAGACGCACTCCTCAAGGACATCCCACAACCGGACTTGGTCCCCGTCCAGAAACTTCAAAAGCTCGACCGCGAAACCGCCGACGTCATCCATGCGCTATCCCAAATCACCGACACGCTCCAAATGGGCAAGCAAAACACCAACGCCGCCGCCCGCCATCTCCGCACAACACAAACCATGGTCCTCGAACTCCGCCAGGAACGCGAGCGCGCCGAACTCTCGCGCCACGAGCTGGCGAAAAACGACTGGGACGAGAAGCTGAAGAGCCGGTGGTGCGGCGCCGAGTGTAAAGATATCATCTCTGGATTCGAAGACCGCTGTAATGCTTTGCGGGGGAGTCTGGAAGAGGCGGCCAAGGCGGGAGCGTAAAGAAGGAAGGAAGTGAATGAGTGCTGCGATACAATTGTTACAACAAGACGACAAGATACCCAAATTTTCTTTGCTGTTGTGGTCTTTCCAGTTTTATGGGGCCTTTGGTTTTGGGGTGGAGTATGGGTTTTTGGATGGACTGCGATGAGATGGACTATGGATGGGAATGGGAAGGAAGATGGCAAGCGATTGCCCGCCCCTCGATGACTGAGAAGTTGCGGTTTGGCGCTGGGAGATGGGGGAGGCTATAAATCGTAGTCTAGATGGTGTTGTATCACTAGATCAACTCTAGACTTATCGAATGTCTAATGCTGAAGCCCGAGAGATTCCTCGTCCACCATCCGTTCACAGCGTCTTCTAGGTCAAAGACCACTATACCAGCATACATCTGCGGGCCATCGCGCAGAGCTGGGAGAAGTACAGATGCAGTCACTTCGGGAACGACGTCTCGGGCTCGGGTGATCACTCCAGTGCTCCTCTACCAAGCTCGCTCAAGCTATGCGCTGGAAAGATGCGACGGTGGAAAGGTAGGTGAGGTGACCCGGGATCATCACAGAAGGATTGCAATCCTTCCGAGATCCTGCTCACAGGTCACTAGCGTGCGGGCACATGCCAAGGCCAGCGTTGCGTGAATCGATTGGCTGGCTGTGGTGGTGGAGCCAGGGTGTAGGCGGCAAGACACCACCTCTCTTTCGCCAGGGCTGATCTGGAGCATCCATTCGACGTGCCCAGGTGTGCGCCGCTGTGTGCCGACCTGCGTGGCCTACCGCCGCCAGCGTGCGCATGTTGAAGTCTCGCTCTCTCTCTCTCCTGTCGTAGTATTCCTCTTTTTCTTTCGTCTCTTCGTCGCTGCTGTATACAAGGTGTTCCGCTCCGATGTGCCTGGATGTTAATCGCGCCGGCTGGCTACCTGGACGGAGACTACGACTATCGCGAGCACTAGTCTGAACGGACTGGTCTGCGACTGCGACTGCGAACGAACGAGACGGTGACGAAGACGAGACATTCATATCTGTGACAAGACGCAAACATGGTCCGAGTCTGGTTCGCGCGACAATGGCGCATGCCGAAACTCTTCACGGCGCTCTTGATCCTCGAGTTTCTCTTGACGGTCGCGACGCTGACCCTCATGGGCATCGCGGATCCCAACACGTACCGGACGAAGCTGTGGCAGAATGGATTCGATCAGGGCTTCAATAGCTCGCCGAATTCGATCCTGTATTACTATGCGAACTGGTTGCCGGCGAAGGTGCCGACTGTGTGGAGTCAATAGTGAGTCTGGTTGCGACGATCTGACTTCACTCGACATGACTGACGATTGACCAGCATGACGACCTTTAATGTGGTCATTTCCGTCCTCAGCATGTTCATCTTGCTCGTCAAGAGTATCATGTTTGTCCTCCATATCTTCATCCCCGCCTTGAGCGTGTTCGTACACGCCCTCCTCGTCGCGCTGTACGCTGTCAGCATATACAACCAGTCGAGACCGGATATGAGTGATCCCGATCACCCGTCGCCTGGATTGCCTTGGTATTTGAGTAAGGGGTGCAGTTATGCGGAGCCGGGGAATCATGGATATTGTTTGCAGGCAAGAGCGAGCTTTGCTGTGGTTATTGTAATGACGTGAGTATCTCGTAAAGATAGTGCTAAACATTGGAGGTTGGCACGACTGACTGTGGATGTAGTGCCCTTTTTGCTACATACCTTGGACATTCAATATGGAGTGCGATCCCAACTGAACGAGAGAAGGTTGCTCGGGAAGCCGAATACCAATCCGACTTGGAGATGAAGAAGTTGTCCATGTATCACGACGACGAAATGAGCAGGGACGAACGCAGGGAGATGCACAGGCAAATGTTCTTGAACCTGCCAAAGACGCCAAACACACCTGGCTTTGGCGTACATAATCCCATGACGCCTAGGACGACTGCTTTCACGCAGCTGAATGGAGGAGCGATGCCGACCCCTGTGGGCATAGGACCAAGCGGGTCATTACCATTGAGGGACTTCAATGGAGCAAAAGACGTTCCTGACGGACGATGATTGATGATACACTGAGACGGCTGAGATTGAAAAGCCATTCCTGCGATACCCAAGGCTGTACGGGACATAGCCAGCCACTCTAGTAGACTGTACAAAGTTTTGTAATCTGAAATCATCAACATGTGTGGACGTTATATTTTGCATGCAACGATGGAACAATGCCCCGCAAACGCTAGCGTCTTTTCTTCACTTTAGGCACGCGAGCCTTTGACGACTTCTCTCTCACCACCCACACTGCCGCAGCTTTTCCGACCACATCACACTTCACGTCACCGCAGCCCGCTCTTCGACGACTCTGCACTCACGACGTTCCCCGAGCAGAAGTGCTAGAGATCGCAGCACCCCGCCGTCTTTTCGACTCACCGCCAACACATTCCATACCAACCGAACTGAAGCCCACGATACGAGCAGCCATGCGGCAATAGAACCCCCTCCCAAGTTGCAGCGTGCACCGCGCTGCCATGTTCGGTCCAACCACGCACACATACGAGACCGTCCTTGACCCTGAAAAGAGGTGAACATGGACACACAAGTCGAAAGCGCAATCGAACTTGCTTTCAACCCCACCACCGACAACGCCGTCAAAGCCCAAGCATATGACTTTCTGAACCAGCTCCGAGGCGCTTCAGATGCCTGGCAAGTCTGTCTGACCCTCTTCACGAGGCACCCCGCGCCATCGGAAGTCGTCCGGCTGGTCTGTCTGGAAATTGTGAACAATGCGGTGCAGACGCAGCGATTGGATCATGCTGGGCTGAACGAGACACGATACCGCTTGATGGAATACATCCGTAGACGCTACGTCTCCGATTCTGCAGAGCTGGATACCCCGACTATACAGAACAAGCTTACTCAGACCGTAACCTACCTCTTCACCTCTCTCTACGCCTCTGACTGGGCGGACTTCTTTGACGAGTTCATTGCTTTGTCGGGTCCTAACGCCGCTACCAATGGCCCAGGTACGGTTCTTCTCCTGCGGATCTTGGGCTCCATTCACGACGAGATTGCGGATGTAATGATACCACGGACTCCTGAAGAGCAGAGACGAAGCACGGAGTTGAAGGATCTGGTGAGAGCAAGAGATGTGAACAAGATTGCAACGACATGGCAAGAGATCCTCTCCCAGTGGAGGCAGATTGATTTGGGAGTGGTGGAAATGTGTCTCCGGACTATTGCCAAATGGGTCAGTTGGATCGACATTTGGCTGGTCATCAATGAGAGGATCCAGACTGCGCTGCTCGAAATTGCTGGGCAGCAAGGCACCTTTGGCGCGGAGAGCAAGGAGGCAAAGGCTCGCGACGCGGCTATCGACACCTTCACTGAGACGGTGGGCAAGAAGATGCAACCTAACGACAAAGTCGAGTTGATCAATTACCTGAACCTCGGCGCCATTGTGGGCCAGCTTGTGGCTAGTCCAGCGCTCTCTGAGCTGCGCAATACGCCAGACTACGATACAGATCTGGCGGAGACTGTTGCGAAGCTGGTCAACAATGTCGTCTTCGATATCGTCAAAGTCCTGGATGGCAGTGAGAATATCGATGACCAGACGAGAGCCAAGGCAGACCACCAGCTTCAGACCTTTGTGCCGCATTTGCTGCGTTTCTTCTCTGATGAATACGATGAGATCTGCTCTGCGGTCATCCCTTCCCTGACTGACCTGCTCACCATGTTCCGGAGGATCGTCCAGAAATCGAAGGCCAGCTTGCCAAACAACTACTCAGGCATGCTGCAACCCATCTTGGACACCATCATCATCAAGATGAAGTATGATGAGACCGCTTCGTGGGGCGACGAGGACGAGCAGACAGATGAGGCCGAATTTGAAGATCTGCGGAAGCGACTGCACGTCTTGCAGCAGACAGTGGCGGCTGTGGACGATACACTTTACATGGACACACTCACGCGAGTTGTGGCTACTACCCTTGCTCGCTTGTCGACAGACGACAGTCCAAACTGGAGAGATCTCGACCTTGCTTTACTAGAGATGCATCACTTCGGCGAGCTTGCGATCAAGAATGGCGGCCTCTACACAAAGAGCAAACCATGCTCGGAAGCGTCGTCTCGTCTGGTGGAAATGATGTCGACTTTGGTCGCTTCCGATCTGGCTTCGTACCCTCATCCTGCAGTACAGCTGCAATACATGGAGATCTGTGTGCGGTACGAGCAGTACTTCGAGCAAAACTCCAACAGCATACCAAAGGTCCTCGAACACTTCGTCACGCTGGTGCATAGCGAGCATAGCAAAGTACGGCTACGGTCTTGGTACCTTTTCCAGCGTTTCGTCAAGCACCTCAGAGCTCAGCTCGGCGAATACGCGCAGACGGTGGTGCAAGCCATTGCTGATCTGCTTGTCATCCAGGCGGAGATGCCTGCCGCTAAAGAAGAAGATGACGGCTCCTCGGACTCCAACACACAGTCCTCAGATGCTACCTTTCAGAGTCAGCAGTACCTGTTCGAAGCGATTGGACTGGTTGCTTCGACGCAGAATGTGCCAACGCCGACGAAGGTGGCCATTGCTAAGACCGTCATCGATCCACTGTGCACTGATCTTAGCAATACTATACCATCTGGGAGGAATGGGGATGAGAGGGCAGTCCTTCAGGCACACCATATCATCACTGCGCTTGGCTCACTTGCTAATGGCTTCTCGGACTGGTCGCCTGGAGTTTCGACGGGCGGTCCACCGCCGTATGAGGTATCTCAAGAGTTTGTTGGCGCGAGCGATAGCATTCTTGTCGCCTTGGAGAACCTCAAGCGGCACTCCGAGCTTCGTGCTGCGGCCCGACATGCATTCTCACGCGTTCTGGGAGTTCTTGGATCGCATGTCTTGCCACAGTTGCCGCGCTGGATCGAAGGACTTCTATCCTCGGCGTCCTCGAATGATGAGATGGCCATGTTCCTACGCACACTGGGTCAAGTTGTGTATGGGTTCAAAGCTGAGATCCTCGACATCCTCGATCAGCTGCTCTCTCCTCTCTTCCAGAGGGTCTTCACCGGCTTGTCTCAACAGGCTGCTGGGACAGATGACGAGATCCAACTCCGAGAGCTGAAACGAGAGTACCTCAACTTCGTCCTGGTTATTCTCAACAACGACCTTGGAGCCGTCCTGGTGAGCCCAGCCAACCAAGGCATCTTCGACACGTTCATCACCTCCATCACGCGCTTCTCCTGCGATATCTTGGATCCGCAGAGCGCGCGGTTGGCATTTTCCGTTCTGGTCAAAATGACGAACATCTGGGGTGGACCCGACATGGCGAACTTGGGCGCAGCAGATCTGGCACCTCAGCCTACGCTTCCCGGCTTCGACGGCTTCATCCTCTCGCAGTTTGCGCCTCTGCCGTGGACATTGATCGCTACCGACAGATTCAACGCCGCGGATGCACAGATGCGGAGTGTGCTGCAGGAAGCTGCGAGTCTCCAGTGGGCGATTCTGCGGAAGAACGGGATCCTTTACCAGAACCAACTGCAGGACGAGCTTAGGGCGCTGGGCTGCAGTGACGACGGCGTTCAGTCGTACTTTGGTAGTATCGGCGGGGATCTCGTCGGGTTTAGAAAGTTTTTGGTGACGTTCGTGCAGCAGGCGAAGCGGTGACGTTGGAAAGGGGGCGGACTGCGAGGAAAAGTTCTGTGGGAGTGAGTCTCTACAATGCATTGAAGCAAGCAAGCAAGCGTCGTGGGAGTATGTGCGGTGAATCTTGATTCTCGCAAGCGGATTTTCGTTTGCCAAATGATGATACCCTGGCATTGGTTCTTGGTAGGTAGCCAGCATTAGCATTAGCACAGCGAAATCTTCATCTACAATGGTTTCGAGAAAATTCGCGTGCAAGATTCAGATGCCCTCCAACAAACGTCCAGTCATTCCGTCTCAAGACCAAACAGTAAGACCCCCCCTCCCATCCGCCACAGCCCTCACCCGACTCCTTGTCGTCAGCGGATTCCCCTCAAACACCACAAACTCCGCCATCTCACTCCCCTCGTCTTCTTGCAACCCCAACACCTCAAAAATCCCCTTCGACACCAACCCCAGTGCCTCCCTCTCACTGATCCTCCCCTGACTATTCGCGGCCACGATCCCGGCCTGTAAATACAAATCCCTGGCTTCCCAGTCCTCGTCGACGCCGATGGCGACTTTGACCCCGGCGGCGTGGAGGACGTCGATGGCGGTGCCGTTCGTCAGAGGCGCGCCGGTTAGGGCGCGGCGTTGTTCCCAGGTCGTGGCGTAGGAGAAGAGGGGGGAGAGGATGACGGAGACGTTTGCGGAGGCGAGGGCGGGGGCAAGGAGGTGGGATTCTGCGGCGCCGAAGAGGATAAGGTTGAGTTTTGGGGTGGTGGTGAGGGGGAGGGTGTTGTTTGCGTGGATGGCGGCGTCGATTTCGGCTTTGAGGCGGAGGAGGGAGGCGATTGTGTCGGCGGAGTGGACGTCGATTACGAGGGGCAGGGTGCCGGCGAGGACGTTTTCGAGGGACTTTTCGGAGGGTTTCTTGGGGGAGTGCAGGGGTTTGAGGAGTTTGGTGCGGAGGTCGTCGATGGCGCTGGAGAGGGTGGGGGTTTTGCCTTGTTTGGCGGAGAGGGTGAGGGTGTAGTGCAGGGCGACGGTGGGGTTGAAGACGGCGTTTTTCTCGAGAGCGTGGTTGGCGCCGAGTCTGAAGCCGGCGCTGAGGCCTTTGTGCCCGGAGTATCCGAATTTGGGCGCGGTGATGGCTTTTGTGACGCCGTGGGCGTAGGCGGCTTCTATGTTTTTGCCCTCGAAGGTAAGACCGTCGATTGCTGCGCTGAAGGAGTCCTGGCTGTTCGCGCCATCTGATGTGTCGTCTTCGGCGCTGATTTCTTCGAGGCCGAGGAGGGATCCGAAGGCTGTTAAAGACGGGGCGATGTAGCCATTCTCGAGGCCGATGACCTTGTTCGAGGAGGAGACTTCAGCTGCGCATTCGCCAATGCAAGTAATGCTGCCGCTAGCGACAACAACATTGGTCGATGACTCGAGGACTTGCTCATGACCTGGAAGCTGAATTGCCTTGACGCCCGTGAGGACAACTTTCCCGTTCTCTGTAGACTTCTGCTCATGGTCTTGGTACTCGAAGTGTTCGAGAGGCGGCGTGAGCGGCTTAGTCAGGTTGAAACGGGCATCGAATTGAGGAACGCCGTCAATGAAGACTTGAAGTGGTCTTCACCATAGTATTAGCAGCTGCGTCGTTCGATCCTCGTTTGCAGGCTCAGTACTCACGTAGCGCCCAGAGAAAGTGGATCCGAGTCCCAAAGCACAACATCGCCATCAAAACCAGGCTTGACCTTGCCGACTCTCTCACCTAGACCTAGAAGCTCGGCAGAAGCACTGGTAACGCCAGCCAGTGCAGCGTGGTAAGGTAGGCCATTCTTGTATGCTTTTGCTGCTTCGAGAACTACGTGCTGGGCGTTGAGGACGGGGTTGTCGCTAACATATACTACATTCACATGAGCTTGCGTGGGTTATTGAAAAACTCGAGGCTGACATTGACTTACCAGGAGTGAGACCGGCTTCATACAAAACCTTGCCGGCTTGCTCAGAAGCGACGTAAGATTCTGTCTATCATTCGGTCAGTCCAACCTACTCCAGCTGCGCGAGCCTACTTACCTTGTAGTACATGTTGTCCGCAAACAGCGCAGCAGCAGGCGGCCTTCCTCCATATGCCCTTTTGAGCACCTCAGGCACGAGGTATGTGGCATGAGCATGGTGGAACGCTCGAATCGGGAACTTGAACTCATTAGTGTAGCCAATATAGCTTTCAAGATCTGGAATGGTGTAGCAGTGAGTGTTGACCATGACCTGGCCACGCATAACTGCAGACAAAGACTCCCACTTAAGATCAGTGGGGAGATAGGAGTCCATGTTCTCAGCACCAAAACGATCAGCGGCGGCACACCAGTCGTCCTGGGCATTCTTGAGTTTCGTTGCTTCTTCGAAAGCATGTCTAAAGTACCAGGCTTCTCCCAATCGCGAGAAAGGACCAAAGTTGCGACCGACACGTCCATAGACACTCTTTGCATTTTCGCCGCAAGCCATCTTCATGTAGCGCCAGTTACGATCAGGATCCGCCAATAGGTCTTGGATGCTGAGCTCGGGTCTTCCATTCTTCTTGCCGACACTGTGCTTGATCACGTACGCCTCACCGCCAATGTTATTGCCGCTGCCAGGCAGAATCAGCGAAGTAGTCACTCCTCCGGACTTGATGACTTGAATCTGAGGATCCAGTGGGTTGAAGCCATCCAGAGACCGTACAAATGGCGTGATGTCACTCGATAGTTCATTGGTATCTTCGCCGCCTTCGAGCGAGGGGAGACTGTCCACGCCAGTGTGACTGTGCATGTCAATGATCCCAGCGGTAAGTGGTCTCCCATGAGCATTGATGACCTCAATGTCGCCCGGCAGTTCAGAGTCGAGGATGACAGACTTGACACTTTTAATCAGTCCGTCTTGTAGCAGAACGTCAGATCGAACCCAGCTATAGCCTTTGCCCTTCCTAGCCTCTTCTGGAGATACTTCAGAGCTTGGCTCTCCTATGGTCATGGTCAATCGTCTGTTATAGTATTCGCTATGTATCCCATATTGGTTTGCACTCACCGGTCCAAACAGTCGCATTGCGGATCAAGATGGGTTTCTGTCCATCAACGAACCGAGCATTGCGCTCACGATGACCGCTTGGATCGCTCGGGACTTGGCGAAGCGAGGCACAAGTTGCATAGTCGCTTTGCAGACGTTCCGTTGATAGCAAGGTCGTGTGGTTGGAGCTTTGCCAGTGGGTGAAGATGGCATATCCTACGCAAGCCAGAACCAAGAGTCTGATCACTCGTCGCTTAAAATGACGCCGGCGATGGACATGGGCGAACTGATCGACTTGGCTGTATTGCGGGAGCCCATCCGAGCTCCAGTCTTTGTCCATCTCTCAATGTTGCTGTGTATGTTCCGTACTGCTGCGCAATGTCAGATTCCAGGCCTGTGAGTTGGGATGAGGAGATTCCCTGGCACTTACTACCACAATCAGGGCTCTCCTCTTGCGTTTCACCGTGCAAATGTCGATAGTGATTGATTGTTGATCAACTTGATAGCAGGTGAGGTTGGGTGAAGCACAGACCACAACACCTTGCGCTATCGTAGCTGCCGATATCATCAACATCGCAACAACATTCGTCTTGGTTGATTAATACAGCATGAGGCGGAGTTGGACACTGTCAAGGTGTCTGGCATTAAAGTCTGCGGGTCGATTCAGATGGTATCGTCTCCTGTCTGATACGACATCTCTCTTTCGAGATTCCGTACGAGAGAGCTTACTAGCAAGGAGGAAACAAAAGCAACGCCCTAGAACCTCTCCCGAATGACTTGAACCACATGAAGAAGAGAATCCGACAAAGATGAAGTTCCAAATGCAGAGAGTAGAAGTGCATCGACCGCAGAAATCATTATTGTTGTAGCGGTTACGATCGAACGACATTCGTCTGCCAGCCGCCGTCGTCCTTTCAAGTCTCTCTACAGGGCTTGAATGCACAAACCTTCACGAGCTGGTCCTCCACCACGAAGCGTGCTTCAACATGAACCACGAAGAGCTGCGCTGCCCTTGTCGAAGAAAGACTCCTTCCAAAGCACGATGACCTCGCTGGCTTTTCTGACCTGCAGCTGGCGGCGCTGCAGAGTGTTGAGCTACTCAGCATCCCCCTATTGGAGAAGACCATACATCCTTCTGATTCGCACCCACAGGACGATGGTCGCCCTTCTCCTCATTGTCCGAATTGCTCCACGGTCGCAGCACGCGAGAAGCAGGCGGATCAAGACCCGTGGATGAAAATAACACGTTTGACCCAAGCTGTTGGACTCGCACTCGTGCAACTTGACAGTCTCAACGACCCAGAGTTGGTGAGCACAACAGACCAGAGCCTGTCTACCGGTTGATGAGTGAAGCTCCTTCAAGCAATTGGGCCAGCAAGGGTGGAGTGCCAGGAGTGCCAACCGGCCGACGCAATCTTGTCCTCGCAAGCGTGCCGCGATCGCTCGCCGCCTTTCTAGCCGGGCCTGCTGCAGTCAATATACGACGCCGGATAGTGTGGTTGCACTGATGATCGGACTGTTTGGGGTTGCTGAGATTGCAGATCACACCGACTTGCATGCGGTGCAACAGCACATGTGCCTTCCATGTGGCAAGTGACACAATTTGATGATTCGGTCAAGACGTCGTAAAGGACTGTTAGTGCTGATCCAATGCTTTCGGCAGATCCATGAGCAACGACGGATTTCCTGGTTTGGGGTCCGAGACACAAGATCACTTAGGGATTGCCGTACTACACAATACTTACGACCTCCAGAATCATAAATTCGAATCCTCGACGAACGCAGCCCCCAGACATTGCCATGTATGCTCCACAGGCCAAGGCTCGCCAGCTCTCAGCACGACAAGAAAGCCGAATGCTCTCGAGAGACATGCGAAGATGCATCGATGCATGCCGCAGATCTCGATGATGCTGGGGGCCTCTTCGCTGTGTAATGCAGTGGCTTCCGGCCAAGGATGCCCGTGGCATTCGCTAGCTGCTCGTTACCAGCCAGACGAAAATGAAGTGGGATGAGGGAGCAGCCTCTCGCCACCTTGACACTTACGTCGAGACGTAATCACCTCGTTGCATGCCATCTCGCTCTTTACCCTCCTCGGTCCGCTCAAATTGGAACGTATCGAACTGCCATCTCTCCGGCTTGTTACAGGCGACTGCGCTGCCAATTGCACTCTAAGCTGCCTAGAAGGCTTAGGTGTAAAAGGGATAGGTGTGCCACTTTGAGCAGAACACCGAGGGTACTCGTCCGCAAAGGCGGGTAAATGCCCACGGGACCTCTGGTATACAAGCAGACGAAACGCGTGTTTCTCGGCATCTGCTGATGACGTACGTATAGCCGCGCATTTAATTTCGGTGGCCAGTTGGCGCAGCAGCATTTCGACGGGGTCAAGCGACGAGCAGCCTTGCGGCGAATAGGAAAATTGCTGGCCTCGCTTGATCCGCACGCGTGCGGTGCCCTTCCATCGCTGGGACCGGCAACCAAGTGGCAATGCGTTTGTCGAGTGGGTCAGGGCACTTCGCTTCTGGAGAGATGAAAGGTTGGTTTGCACAGCCTTGCCGGGTCTCCTGAACTTGCGTGGATGCCATGAATTTCTCCGTGCTGGTGTCGAGGCGGATCGTGAAGGTTACATGGAAGTGAACGTAGAATGTCTCAGACAACTTGCCCGACACGTGCCGTTGCCGTCGCGTGAAAGCTTGCCGGTCGATCGCTATGCTAGGCCGAAGCGGGCAGATCGCTACGCGAAGTCTTAGTCCCATGCAAAGTCTAAAGCTATGGACCACCACCCCACCCTGGCGCCGTCGTCGTCGTCGACACCGCATAGCACCAACCTTGGACGCTCCTATACCAACAATACGACTCTTTTTGCTGCAAACGGTACATTTCGGAGCGATTTCTGCCGCCGTCGACTACGTCTATTGCTTGGACGCCCAGCCGAGCGCCAACAATGTCCGCCGGAACACATGGCCAAAGTGGCACAGCAGTGAGCGCGACATCGGTACGCGACTCCGAGGCCGTGGACTTCCTTTCCACTTTATCAATGTGCTTGTTTGGGGGTTGCAAGACATTGTTGTCGCCGCCAGGGATTGCGTGGTCGGGAAGAGTGCCTTTTTGGTAAGGCATGCAAGATTACCGCGGGCTTGTCGTATCCTTGTCGCATGGTCTTCGGTAGTCTGCCCTGGTCCTGGCCATGGTCTTGACACAGAGCGACAGACCGCCCAGGTTGGAGCCGTCCGTCGTGGTGAGCGCGGCACGCAGCCGCGCAGATCACCCTCGCTGCCAGTGGGCCCAGGTGATTCGCGGCCACATGTACATGCCGCGAGTCGGATCGGACAATGTTCTCTGGTGATAAATCGTACCTCGTGATGTGAACAGCGTTGTGAACGCCACCGACACTCGTGGAAAGTCTGAGGGTATTTTGTGCAGCGGGCTCGCGTCGCGGTACGAGGACAGCAGCATAGTCGATGGCCTGGCACCACGGATCCTTCATGCTGTTCGACGGCGCGCGTCCCAATCACGACGGCGCCAAGACTGGACTCGCTGCCACAAGGTTTGGGCGTCCGTTGATCGTGATTGCCGCCCATGCAGCAAAAGCCCACGCGATCTCCACTTCTGTCAGACTTGGGGCGCCCATCCCTGCACCCACGCTTGATCGACAGCGCGCTGCACGCACGACGACTGCATGGCATGATCCAACAAAACGTCGCTTAACCACCCGCTCTACTCTGCTACTGCTGCTGCTGCTGCTGCTGCTGCTCCTTCGCCGCCCGCTCCAACGTCGAATAATCGAAAAATGCCTCTGCCCACCGCTGCTGGGTGCGTGGTAGATCGTCGCCGTTGATGATGATTGTGCTGCACCGACCGTGCCTCCCGCCATTCGCCGTCCCCTCACCGCAGCCTGCGTGCCGCATCGTCAATGTACATACTGCTGCTAGCCACGGCCGATGACTGCATCCGCAGGGTGCTGAAACGCATCCCTTGCTGAGTGCCTCCTCCCCCCATCTCTGTGCTGCTCGGATGGCGCAGTAGGCGAAATGACACGCCGCCGTGCGAACGCCCGCGATCTTTGACGGCCCGCACTCTCAGTGTCTAGCGTCGCGACAGGGCGCATCTGCAGCTAATCCAATGACAGAGACGCGGTCCTGCTTGTCCCACCGCAGGCCCGCCGACGATCTTGGGAGGAGCACGGAAAGGCAAAACGTGAGCGCACGCGGCGCTGGCCAATGGTTCGTAGGTCCAGTAGTAGACGCCCTGTAGCAGCAGCAACGGTCGCTCGCGGTGGTGGTGATGACTCTATGAGCAGCCGACGTATGGGCGGCGGTGATGGGGGGCAGCGTAGATTGCAGCGCCTCCACTCGTCCCGGGTGTCACTCAGGATCAGGACCCTGCCCGCGTGCGCTAGATTGACAGCAGACGACGACCTAGGCAGGACCTACATCACACTATTCTCCGTGCAGGGATCGACGGGCCCAACCGCCGACGGTTTGGGATCATTCACCGTTCGGCCACGCTGCTCGGGTGGCTAGTCGACCACCATTCACCTGCCAAACCCGTACCCCGGCCTGGTCGTCGCCCACTACCACTAGAACCATCTCCCGCCGGTGCTGCTGCGTCAACACTCGCCCGGGCAGAGACACAGGCCGACCTTCGACGACAGCACCAGCGCCGCCCAGTCTCAGACACCTCCCAGCCTGATCAGCGTTCAGCTCGTCCAACAGCAGCTCCTCCACGACAATAGCCAACACTGCCGTCTCTGCTCCTGCTGCACAGCTGCTCGTCGCCGGCCAACGACAAGCCTGAAGAAGGCTTCCTTCGCCAACCTTCAGCACCTTCGCCCAAGCCAATCTGGCCGCCAGAACCGAGGTCGGCAGGCTCTCGACACACCACCACTCGACTCGATACACTCCCACGACCCTCTGGCCGTTGCCCACCACCGCCAGCAGTCCTTCACTTTCCCCCGTCGATCCTCATCGCATCTCTGACCGACTGCGCACCGCGCCTGCTGGCGCCCTGACAGACTCTTGCTCCCCGAACGGTGATGCTCCCGGCCCTTTAGATTAACAGCCAGGATTCACCCGCAAGTCAGCACTTTAGCCTTGCACAACGCACGTTTTCAGAGCTCTGCGGAACGTTGTTAGCCGACGCCCACACCTTGGTCACCTCACTCCTGCCGCCGACCAGGGCCGCTGTTCTGGTGCTTCCTCCTGCAGGCTAGAGACTGTCCCGCTCTTCGACGTTGACCCTCCCGGTAGAGCCAATTTACGCCATCACCGGCTGCTGCTGTGCCTTCAATTTGCGTCCAACCGCGGTGTGGACTGTTACCCGTCCTGGACCTCCCGACTCTCCAATATCAAGTTGCCTCTGCTGCTCTTAGGTCGTCTGCACACCGACGCTACCAAACACCCGCAACAATCAACCCTATATCCCGACCTCTCACGATTACTTCTCGTCGATTGATCAGATCATCATCGTCTACGAGACTCGATTGAATGGCTTCAGTCAGCGTTATGGCCCAACCAATGCGCGACGGTTACCACGGCTATCAGCAACACTACAACATGTATCCGACTCGAGCCCACTACCCTCAGGTTGAGGTCGCACAATCGATACACGTCAACCCATACGCCCATTACGCCCAAGCACCGCAACACCCAGCCCAGCAATCGACATACGGTCATCACACGACCCCTCGTTCACCACAACCGTCAGGCTCCCCTCTATCAGACGATGGGTTCAAGCCTTCTTTGCCTTCGATATCGAATCTACTTGGCATCGCTGACCGACCTGGACAAGACAACGGTGAGTTCCCCATTCAATCGATCGTTCGAAAGACCATCGAGCTAATCCGTTCGTTACAGCCATTCGTCAAGTTCAGGTGTTGTCGCAACAAGCACAAGACTCGTCGCAATCGACACATCAATCGCCACAGGAGACGGTCGACAGCAGCATCACATCGAGATACCCAGCACACACGCTTGGAAGCAGCCCTCGAACCATCATACAACCACCGCCGATCCGTAACGACTCGGTCCTCGAAAGCACGCAGAGCCCTTCGACAATCTCATCTGGATCGACGATATCAGACCCCTATTTCGTTGGATCCGCCATCAACAACGTCGAGCCTTCAGACCAGCGCGTTGCTCCTGTCCAGGTTCTGAAGCGACACTCGGTCCCCTCACAACCAAACGTGTCTCCCTACGGAAACACTCGTTACACAACGTCTCCGTACGCGGTATCCCCTGGATCGGTATCGGCACCATCGTACTACTCGCCAACCGAGCCTCAATACCCCGTCTCTTCAAGTCTCTACCAGCAGCGACCGCTTCCGTCGAACTTCCCACCGCCAGCTCCTGTCGTTCAATCATCGACCAACTTGCCCACCAGCAACCCCTGGGAGCACCACCACTACATCAGTCCTTCGTCGCAAGCGACATTCCCGCAATCACAGGATCGTTACATCTGTCCGACATGCAATAAAGCTTTCAGCCGACCGTCGAGTCTGAAGATTCATTCGCACAGCCATACCGGCGAGAAGCCCTTTAGATGCCCTCACACGGGTTGCGAAAAGGCCTTCTCGGTGCGGAGCAACATGAAGCGACACGAGCGAGGCTGCCACGGCGGCATGTCAAACAATCACCACCTACCGCAGCACGCTCATGGCCATCCCCACGCACACCCACATGCACACGCGCAGCATCATCCACGGATGCTCTGACATTGACGACGATGATGGATTTGAGATGTTTTTCGGGGGTGATGATCGCAGAAGTCTATTTGGTTGCGGCAAAGCGTCATAAGCATGCTCAAGCGAGGAGTTCCTGGCGTACATCGTTGTTCTTTTTTTTCCCTTTTGGATGAGGCCGAGAGACTTGGGGCAATTGACGGTCACGGCGTTTTGGAAAGAGTAGAAGAAGCTCAGGGCAAGGGCAGGGCAAGCAAAGATGGAGGATCGGGCGGAGGACCAGGAAGAACCTTGCAAGGTCCCTTGGCCTCTCGTCCTGGAAGGAAGGAATTCGGCAGGAAGAGCAAGCAAGCGGGCAAGCAAGCACGACACTGACTGACACAAGCGTCGGGCAGCAATGTCTGAGGATGGGAAAAGTCACACACGGCTGTGTGTGGTGTCATCCTTTCGCGTGTACTAGTATAAGACGAAGAAAGAGCATCATCGTATAAGCATAGTATATATATCCCGCCTAACCATCCCGCCGGTAACGTTTCAAAGACGACGGCGGTATGGTAGGAAGAAAGGCAAAAAGTCGAGTCGCGACGACATGCGCTCTCACATGTTCAGCCTTTCCATTCGTGTTTGAGAAGTACGGTCTGTCTGTCTCACCTTCTGGCCTTGTGCTTGTGCCTGTCCCTTCTTCGCGTCGGCATTGTTCGGTCGTCGCTATAGTGGCATGTCCCTTGGAAAACGTCGACACTACGCCTATAGTAACCTCTTGCTCCGTACGAATATGCCGTCGGGTTTCGCCAGTAGTACTGTTCAAGAGAGACACACTTTACGAGCAAGCAGTAGTAGCAGCATCGTCCAGGCTCCCCTGACTACCACGCCTGCGCATCACCACCACCACCACCACCACCAACACAATTGCGAGACCTACCATGTCGAAAATCCCAACACCCGACCAGCATGCTCGCTCGCATCATCTTCCCTCCCTTTTCCTCCCTCAGAAGGATATCCCTCCCCTCCGCCTCCCCTGCCACACACCCCGCAAGATACATACTGTACATCCCTTGTGCTTGTGAAAAGAAAAACTCTCTTGCCGATAAGCACCTTGCTCACCACCCCTTCTACGCAAAAGACCAGGTCCAGGTCCAGACATGCTAGTATGCAGGTAGTCGACGGACGGCATTTCCTCGTCCGACCGAGCGGATTCTTTTCCTTCCTTCTGGAAGGTTAGGCTGATTCGGCTGAAATATATCCCTCTCTCTCTCTCTCTGCGAGTCCTAGGACATGGGTACATGCGCACGGGTAAGCTATGTATAAGCAGCATGACTGTGAAACAAATGTCACGTTTTGAAACTCGACCAATAACTCTTTTCGCTTTTAGAGGAGGAAGTGTTAGCCCTGAGTTGCTCGGTCTTGATGGATGATGGCTTTTTGCGATGAGGCTGAAGCAAGGCATCTGCTTGTTGATGACCTTCGATTGACAGTAGAGACGTGAAACGATTGGGCCGTCCATCGCGAAGGGGGATTCTGGGCGAGACGAAGGAGCTGGCCACTCAGGAGCGAGGAAGGGCTTTTGCGAACTCAGTCACGTTGTAGGCGGGTCAGCACGGCTGCGGAGCAACAGGGTCATGTTGATCATGATGGTAGTGGTGAGAGCATCGCGATAGGCACCTGTAACTTGTTCTGTACTTTCTGCGAGGTTGGCTTGCCGTATCTTGCGAGGGCAGATTCATCGAGAATAGATAGGGAAGTACGGCAGGCATGCGCGGGCGATCTGTGACAGGGCGACTGGTCTCAATATGCATATATACAGGTGACTCTATGGAAGGTTTGCTGCAGGAGTCGCTTAAAGCACAGAGAGGTTGCCGAACTTCTCCTGTTTTGGGGGTCAGTGATCCGATCGTAAAGTTTAGTAGGAAGTGTGAGAAACGAACCTGGTAGCCAGGCACTTGCCAGCGGCCCTTGGACACGAGCTGTTCGACGCGCTTGTCGATATCTGGGCGAGCAGCCACAACCTCGTCCTATGGCAGAGTTAGCCGAGCATATCACGTGATCATAGCCACCATCGTTGATGGCTATCCCGTCTTTCCACCGTATACGCACCACAGTGAGGTCCTCGAACGGACGAGCAGACTCAATGTTCTTAAGAGTCTTCTCAAGATCCTTCAACTCCGCATCAACCTTGCCCTTGGTCTCCTCCGCGCTCTTCACGGCCTGGGCCTCGAAAGCCTCAATCGCCTTGATCTGCCTCTGAACATCATACTTCTTGGGCTGGAAAGCATTGAATTGCTTCTCAATGTCGGCGATGACGTCCTGGTTCTTCAGAAGGCCGCGGTAGTGGGCGAAGTCGACGGTCTGCGGCGTCTCGGAGAGGACTTGGACTTTGCGGCGCGCGTCATCGTTGCGCTTCTTGAAGTTGGCGAGGGCCTGGGCGGTGTTGCCTCGCAGGCCGAGCTTGGTGCCCAGGTTAGCCCAGTCGATTTTGAGGGCAGCAGAACGCTGTGGGAGAAGCATGAGTTAGCTTGAGGTCTTTCCGGTTGTTCAGAGAATTGCCGGCGCTGCACGGGGCCGGTCGGAGCGTGGTAATTCCAATGGCAACGCCACGAGAAGTACGAGATATTGTGCTGGGGATTAGACATACTGTAGCCGCCATTGTGAGGTGTGGTGGTTGTCGATGCGTGGGTTGCGATGTGGTGAAGTGTCGTCGAGCTCTCCTTCTCGCGGTGCACGGACCTCATTTGGCGACAGCCGATCAGTTGCCAAGACCAAGAGCAAATGCTTCAACGATCAACAACTGAAGTGTGTTCTCGAGGAAGACAATTTCTCACAAGCTGAATACTCGAGGCTTAACAAGCGCTGCAGCAGTCCCTATCCATAAATACTTTCAAGAGATAGATGGTGACATGATCATCATCATTTTGAGAAACTTGGAAAAGGTAAAAGTCTCCGCGTATGCATGGTTTGTTTGATACAGTTCCCATTTTAGGGACACATAGCATGTCAAGATGCATAGCTATAGTCTGGTCTCATCTCCATCGACATCATCCAGTCATTGGCGACTCAGTGCAACACAGGTCTCGCTATATGCTCAGCGCCATGATACTGTTGACGATGTCGTTGTCGTTCTCCTTGAGTGCCTTGACAGCCTTCTTGCGGCTGACGCTTGCTTGAGCCATGACAAGCTCAATGTCCTTAGCCTCAAGACCGGTGTCGTCGACCTCCTCGCCATCGTCCTCTTCCTCCTCGGCAGCCTTCTTCGACGCATCACCCTCAATGGCCTTGCCCTTGTCGGCGCCGTCTGCGGAGTGGTCGTGGCCGGCCTCGTTGGCAGACTGGGCGGCAAGCTGCTGGGCAGCAGAAGCCTGAGCCTGCGAGTTGAGATCCTCAATCTTGGCCTCGCCGAAGATGCTATCAAATAATCAGCTTGTGTTCTCTTCCTCCATTTCAACTCCCACATTGCTCTTACATCCAAGTGTTGCTGGAAGGCGACTTGTAGACGTCGGGCTGGCTGATGACGAAGAGGATGTTCTTTGGCCGTCTCAAGGTGACCCGAGTGATGCCCTCGACATGCTTCAGACCCAACTTCGCGATGGCCTTGCGCGCCTTCTTCTCGTTCCTGCTGTGCACAGCGACCTGAGCACCAGCTGGGATGTTGGCCTCTCCACCCTCCTCATCAGAATCCGAGGACTCGTCCTCAACCTCTGGTGCGTCCTTCTTCTCTGGCTCGTCGGGGAGCTCCTCAACACGTGGGTTGGCCATTGTCGGAGATCGGAGGTGTTTTGGTGGGCTGGATTGGCAGAAACATTAGCAAATGAGCACATGCGAGAGCTTGCCAGTATGCAGCATCTTGCGACGACTCTTTTGAGAAGAGCAGCGGTGGAATACTCACATCTAGCAGTCAAATGCCGAACACGAAAGTCTCTAGCGACAGTTCAGCAGCGTCCTCCTGCTATTTTAACAGCTGTCGAGAAGATGTGAAGTCGTTGGTTGCAAGCCCGCACACACGTCTTGGCAGCGAGGTGCAAATTGCGTGGGGTCCGTGCCCTCACGTGTTCAAGATTGACGTACATATGGAAGGTGCATATGCGATGGAGTTGGAGTATGAAAGGACGTTGAAGAATACAATTAGAACAATAGAATGCACGCGTAACTTGGTTCATGATTTCACAGCCCTCGGAGGGGAATGCATTGAAAGCGCTATCAAAAGCCTGAAGACAGCCATCTCATACCCCCCATTTCGCCGGCCTTTCGCCCCAGACGGTCATTCTTAGACCATCGTTTGATAATGTTGACGATCGAGGTAAAGTGAAGTGCCCTGATGCAGAGATCCCACGAATGCTCGTCCTCTATGCGCTTGCCTTGGCCTTGGCAATGGCCTTGCGGGTCTCGAAACGAGCCTGCCGTACCTTGTTAGCATCCCTTCAAAATCATGTATACCATATAAAGCCAACATACCAGCTTCCTCAGGCGCATGACCTTGAAGCGCTCAAAGTCGCTGAGGTTCTTTCTCCGCGATGCCTTCTCGAGCTTCTTTGCGTACGAGCTCTGCGTCCACTTGCTGTCCACCTCAGCAGCTGCCCACTTCTTCTTCAGAGCACCAGATCCAACCGCGCGTGGGAGGTTCTCGATGACGATGCCGGTGAGGGAGAGAGCGGAGAGAGGAGCAGCCTGTCGTGGCACGGCGAGTTCTGGTTTGTCGGATGGGCCCTCAACAAGAACCTGTAAAATGTAAGACCTTGCCATTCACTCCTTCTTCTTCTGCAAACGTACGCGCTTGTGGTCGATGATCTGGACGATGGCAGCAACGCGGCCCTGGAATGGGCCCTTGGAGAAGAAGGCCACACGTCCGACCTCCACGGATCTCCAGTTGCTTGCGGTGACTTCGGCCGACATTTTGCTGGTGTCGTTACTTCCTAGTATCCCAGAAGTTCGAGGACAGCGACAGGTGCCGTGATGTCGCTGGCGGTTGAAGGGATTGTCGAGATTGGTGGTGCCGTCTCTCGATCTCGGAGAAGTCGAGCCGCCGAATTGAGAGTGGGTGTCGAGCGAAAAGCTTGGCGACTCTTGCGCTACGGCGCTGGTGCCCGCTCTCCCGCTCGCGTACCTTCTCTCTCGAAATCTGCAGAGGCTTTCTTACTCCATCCTCACCACCAAAATCATGCCGGCTCTTCAGCTGCCGTCGAGCAACTCGAATGTTTGCAAGGTATGTTCTACTTCTCTCCCCGTCAACATGCAAGACACCACGCATCTCCATATGATGTTATAATTTGCGATTGACCCTCCCGACCGGAGATTCACGCCTGTTTCTCATAACGGCGGGACGCGATGTGATATTCAATTCTTACATATTCTGAATAATTTCTTCTCACTACCTGGCACTGCAAGAGACTTGGATGGCGACAGAAGCTGACCATTTCACAGAGTTGCCGACTGGGGAAGTCATCCATACCTTCCAAGAAAGAGAATGACTGAGAGCACATTGAACAGCGATTCATGATTGCAAGTAAGTGCTCTCCCCTCTTCTTCTCCCTTCCAATGATTACAACCAAACGCACTAGATAGTAATTGACCCTTCTGGGCATGATCATCTTTTACACCAAGATCACTGAGGCACTCTCGTTATCCACGAAATTTCACTGCTGCATTCGCAATCACATGTCACTGACCGTACTTTGACAGATCCCACCATTCGCTTGGCAATTTCGACTGAAATTTGTCCAACCGCCGTACTCTTTCTGAGTCGGTGTTCTTCATGGCGCGTCCTGAACAGGACACATTGACGCCCATTCGAATCCGTGGCAAACGCCGTGGCACGCCTGCTGAAAAGTGGCACTATGGCAAGCGCCGCAACCCACAATTGCAGAAGCGCCGCACGCCTTTGGACCAAACAATGTCAGGAACAACTCCGGCGACCTCTCCGACAAGACCGCGAAAGCGCAGACGGAGAGATACTGCCGAGTCTCCACTGGAGCGTTTACCTGCCGAAGTGACTCAAATTATCTTTGAGTATTCAGCGAACATCGAACTTCCCTTGACGTCACGGGCTCTAGCATTGACCTTGTCGAAGAGCCAGCACCTGCAACATCAACTGACCACCGAAACTTTGCAACCTGTTCTTGGGAACACAGCGACACCTACAAAGGCAGAGCTATGTCGCGCAACCCGTTTGTTGAACAGCAGATTCGTGACTTGGCCGTTTTTCAGGGCGTGGCTCCGAAGCCATGTGGCAGCCCACTCGCAGCCCAGCGGTGACTCCGGTGAAAGCTCTGACGATTTAGACCATGCCATACGGTTGTGGGCTTCTCTCGGACCATCGCCAAGCTTACTGCCTCCAAAGAAGCTACTTGATCCGGTGAACGGATTCACGCAGGAGTGCTGCACTTTGTTGGCGGTCTTGGCTCACAGTGTTCGAGACTTACCACGAAAAGACCCTGCCTACGGTGAGCTTGCGTATGAGGGTTTGATCAAGGCTATCAAGACCGAGCACGAAGACGTGGTGTCTTTGATGCTCAGAATGGGTGTCGTAGCAAGTACCGAAACTCTACGGATGGCTGTCACGGAAGGTGGCTGCAACGAGGACATCGTTCGGATGCTGTTGTACCGGCCCAGTCGTAACCAGCAGACGCACCTGTCATCATCGCGTTCTGAAACTGAGGGTGACGGGGAAGGAACCTTAGACTTACTCGATCCTGAAATATGGGCATGGGCAGAGGAAGCTCAGAAACAAGGGAGTCGAAGAAAGGGAGAGTGGCTGGTTGCGGAGCTCAGGTATGCACAGCAACGGAGGAGTGAATCCGAGACCTAGATATCCTTCAACCGTTGGCGGTGCAGCGGTCTTGCGATCCCGGTTTCTCGTATCCTGCCTACTATTTTCTGACGGTTTTTGTCTCATCATCATACAACCAACATGTCATCCGCACGCGAAGAGAAAAAAAAAACCAATGCCGCGGTCAATGTGGTTTCCGTCGCAGACTTGTGAAGAAGCCGCCAATTCTTCCCCACGCAAACCCCCTGAAGGTTTCCCTTGCCAATCTCCACCTAATCCGGGGCGAGTCAAAGCTTTTTGGATCAAGCGAAGACTGGCGTACCTCGCACTGACTCCCTCACGTTCGTGTGGCGCCCTGACTATTGCCAGCCGTCCAATCTGACCTCGCCCTGGATCGCAACGGCTGGAGGCGTGCTCCTGTCAGGGTTGGACCACGCGATGGCAGCGATGGTGCGGTATAATGGCTTTCTAGATCCTGTTCCGCGAAACACTGTTCTGCTCACCTCCGTCTCTGCGCACCACTTCGCTCTCGTCCAAGGGAAGCCGTGGCGGGCGCCGGGTCGCGTGCTATTACAGCCTCTTGGTAGGCTTTCCGTGCTGTTTATGTTATCTGGTTTCCTCGGTCTCCTTCACTTTCACCTTGTCCCTGGACGTCCCTTTCACCCTCCGTAGGGACATTCTGTGTGGCCCAGCATGAAGATATCCTTCCATATACCCTCCCATGATGGGAACCGGAGTATTTCAGTCACGGCCATATTTCACCAAATTTCGCACAAGAGCCGGAAGAAGTCAGCAATGTCAATGGTGGAGACACATGAGGACTATGATATTTACGACATGGTGGCTGCTGGCCCGCCCAGAAAACAGAAACGGAGCACCGTCGCGGAGTTCTTCCGAAACTTGGGGAATGGCAGGATGTCGAACAGTGCGAGGTACAGGGCGTCACGGATAGTGAGTGTTCGAGATGATGGTTGGATGCCACCGGACTAACCCATTGTGCCTCTCAAGATGAAACCACCGTCACCCAAGAACAAGCCACCCATGAAGTCCCTCGACATTGACGAAGCGATGATTGATCGAATCATGGGCAAGCCCAAGGATGCGAAGAAGGCCTCAGACAACTTCATCCTACAGCAAAAGATTCGAGCACGATCTCGTTCGCGAACACGTGGAGCAAACTCGACCGACGAACCACGAGGAGAGGATGGCAATCGAGGACGTGGGCGTTCAAGACCGCTTACGACCGAGGAAGCACAGTATATGTTTGTTGGCGCACCATATTTCAACGTGGGGAAGACCAAGAATGGATATCGGCCGCAGGTGGTGTTTGTGGATGAAAAGTCAAAGGTGTACAACCCGACCTCAACCGATCATGGCCCTTTCAGCCATCCTTCCTTCGAGGCTAGCACACTGGCTACCGAGTCGGCCAAGAAAGACGCACGAGCTGTCTTGACGAATTCAAGAACAGCACTGATGGAGATGCCAAACATGAGCAGCTCGAATGGAATGGACATGGGAACGACCAGCTTTGAACACTTCCTTCAACTTGCTGTGTCTGACAGCGTTAAGTTCGCACCTGAGCTGTCCAGGCTCGACAGCCGCCGGCTATTGTATACCAGTCCTGAGAAACTGGGCCTCCTGGAAGTCAACATGGACGCGAACATTGATCGCCTTTCTGAGCTCGGTCCTTTACACACATCGCAGCAAGATCATCAACGAATCATGGCCACGACCAACGATTACACGATATCAGAGATGGGGCAGGCACTTTTCACGAGTTTCCTCCATCTCCCAGACGGCATCGAAAGGAAGAACATCCCACTGAGAACGCAGATCGAGGCCCTGCAGAAGATCCTGGCTCAGAAAGATCTGTGGCATGATTTCAGTCAGCCCGATACGCGTTTGAGAGTCGGACAGCTGCTATGGTCTGCACCGAATGTGAGCAGACGACCATCCTTTGTTGAAAGAGACCTGGAACCCAACGAGCGTGAAGTTGCTTTGCTGCAAATCACATTAGCTTCCGAGCTTCTAATACGACACAACATCGCCAAAGCTTCAACGTTGCAAAGAGGACGAGGAGCTGGCTTCTTCACCGAAGCCGATCGTATTGCCATCGAGGGCCAGAGGACGGCCAAGGTGAACTGGGATCTCGTATTGGCAGAACGCTTTTTGGATAATGTCGAAGTCAGCGTCCGACTGCCCAACAAGTCCAATCGAAATGGCCTTTTCAGCGCCATTTCACATCTGACTTCGAAGGATGGACCAGAACCATTCTATCAGCCCAAACACCAGGACGAGCAGATCTCTGGTCTTCTCCACTTCGCGGAAGCTATTCATTGGCCAGACTCAGAACGACTGGAGAAGGCCCTAATTGCCAAACTTATGCGATCACCGGCGGAACAAGCTGCCAATGTACCCAAGGATGATGACAGTCTTTATGAAACGCCTCTACAGAGTCCTTGGCAAACGGGGTGGACTGGCGACTCGGACCCTCTCAACGCAAGCGAGAAGGCACAACGATTCTTGGGCATCCGTCGACAGAGCCGGTCAAGTCGGCCTGGTACAGCGAAGAGCGATCGTGCCAGCCATGTTGGCTTGATGCGTGGCGATAATGCGTCCAAGATGCAGCTGCACCGAGCAGTCAACGCAGAGTATGCTGGAGCTGAAGTGAATGTCGGTGGATGGCTCAGTCGGTCCTGGTTGAGCGGTTTGGTCATGCCTGGAGATGCTGCCCACCACTTCCTCATGAGCACGCTCTTGGAGAACACGCCTGCTGCCATCGAGACTCTCGGAGAGTTCGCCAATCTGCAAGGTGGATTCGTCTACCGAGGCCGCAGCTACTGGAGCAATAACCATGTTGTAGGACGAATCATGGCAGCCGTGAAAGGAGCAACGGAATCCATGGGCTGGATCTCCGTCCCAGGTACGCCCCTAGGCTACAGAGAAGGCTGGGTGGACCTCGAGATCCAAGACGTACCGTACTGCGACGCTTCAACCACCAGGATCACCGAGTCGGAAGCTGTAGGGAAAGACTCCGACCCCATGGGTAACAACGACCGCATGGCCGTCCAAGAAGGCGACTTCGCAAGCCCTCACGACGGCTTGCCTGTAATGGGCAACGAAGCACGATCGCAAGGCCTCGCCTTCAAAGAGTCTGAATTCGCAGGGGAGGGACTCACAGCATCCATCACCTTCAACTCGCCCATCAACAGCAAACTCTCCGCCCTCGAGGTCGCCATAACATACGACGTCCACTTCGTCTCCTCTTATCCCTGCCACCCAGAAGAACGCAAACCCCAGATAAAAGCCAAACCCAAGCAAGACCCAGGAGAATTCTACGGCGACTGCCTCCCCTCCGACTTCCAAGACGAAGAGATCATCGAAGAAATCGGACCAAAAGACAGCGCTCGCTGCTCGCACCACTCCAAAGGCGGATACATCATGGCCGAAGACGCCATGCGAGAAATGGCCCCTCCGCCCTGCCACGCCCTGCACATCGACTACAAGTACGAATCGATACCCGTGGCGACACTCCTTTCAGCGCCACCGGAGGAACGACCTCGAGCACTTTCCGTACCAGATGCCCGTATCGCATACCCGGAAGACGCCCCGGAGAACGTCGTCGTCCTCGATTGCCGAGGGACAGAAGATCTCCAATTACTCGCCCGCGCCTGGTGCGCCAAAGTCGGCGAGAATGCCATCGTGGCCAAGACGTCTCGTACGTGTCTTGCGTGCTCTATTCGGGAGGCCAAGGCGCTAGGTATTGCGGTTGTGATACGCATCTAGACGATGCAAACCATTCTGATCTCTTTGTTTATCAAGATTTTAACGGACTCGCGTCTGGTTTTGGAGACCATGTCATTTGGACAGCGAGGCGCTTTCTCTTTTTACGTGTTACGGAAGCATATTGGGACAGAACAAGTGAAGAACATCGACAGAACTGAACGGATTCATCTCATAACATCTTGTACATAAACATTTCATGCGATACGGCTGTGGTATCAAACTGTATATATGGAGACTGTAAACCACATTTCCGAAAGTCATTAAGCTGTGTCAGATCGCTTCTTTGGAATCTCAAAACTTCGTTTTGAATGCCACTCGTTATTCGTCATATGTCTGTTTCACAACCACTCCTTCCACCAACTCTTCGACTTCTTCTCGCCTGGAAGCTTGGCCTTGCTGACCTCCTCCATTGTCTTGTTTCTCCACTCCTCAATCGGCAGCCACTCAATCCGAGCTCGGTCTCCAAATCCACCGAACCAGTATACGTGATCGACGACTAGCTGGACGTAATGACTGGCGTGAGAGACTTCATTGCCAGGTTGCCAGTACTTCGAATCAGGATGGGCTCTCAGGAAACATTCCTTGATCTTTCCATCTTTTAGCCTCTCATCCGAGACTCGCTCGAGATGCCCGTGCAGGGAGAAGCGAGGCAGCGCTGCAGGCGTGTGTGGTGTTGGTATCTCCTCGTCATCCTCGCTTGCCCAGAAGGAGTATGTGTTCTTTCGATCAGGCCACCACCTTATTCCGAGACTTATGTTGGATCCCTGATTATAGTTTCGGTACGGTGTTGCGATATCGATGGCGAGGAGGATTGGGTTGCCGCTGAGAGGGTCGCAGTCTGCGTAGTATTCCTGATTACAACATCAGCTTCTCTCCAGAGCTTGTGTGCCCTCTCTGGTCATACCATCAAGCCGATTGGACTGCCAGCAATGTCCTGAGGTCTGTTCTCTTGCTCTCCGACTTCATTGTGAGAGGCTCCAGGAAAGACAGTGATAAGGTCCCCGATGGTCGTCAAGTGCATGATCTTCCTGGCCATCGCAGCAGACTCGCTGACTGAGGGTATCCTGTAGCTCTCATCGTGTACGGGTGGATTCGAGAAGATGTGTTGAGGCGAATCGTGGAGGACTGATTTGGCTGAAGCAGCGCCTAGCAGTGCTGTTGATACTGATAGAGCTTTCATCGTTGCTGGAGGCCTGTCGTTGCCTATAGATCAAGGATACTTGATGTGTTTGTTGATGATGCCTCGACGAGGTGAAGTCACATCCAAGATTGATCTAATCTAATCAGCAGACCCACCCGACCCCTCTTCCGGCGTAGCGGCCTTGGCACCACTCGCTTGGATTTCGCCCTCAGCACAGCATCCGGCCGACGACATCGACATCGACTCACAACACCGCGAAACCCATCAACCCAACCGTGAGTCATCCCGCCATCCATCGAAACCGCCTATCCCGACATACTTCAACTTTTTCCATCCGCCCGCGACCTCCACAAAGTGCGCGAAAACTGACATCTTCTGCCACCGCAGACCACACAGCACAACTCGCAACCCCAACACCGCAATCATGGGTAAGGTGCACGGCTCTCTCGCCCGTGCCGGAAAGGTCAAGTCGCAGACTCCAAAGGTACGAAAAAAATCATCCGAGGTTGATGTGAATGCACCAAAAAGGGCCGCAGAACTGACGATCTCATGAAACAGGTCGAGCCACAAGAGAAGAAGAAGACCCCCAAGGGCCGCGCCAAGAAGAGAATCACATACACCCGCCGCTTCGTCAACGTCACCATGACCGGCGGCAAGAGGAAGATGAACCCCAACCCAACCTCGTAAACGGCGCCCTGATGATCGCGTGGAGGAGCTGAAAGAACGGAGAGATGTGACGGGGGAGCGAAAGGAGCATCATCACAACGCGTTTTTTCACGAACGAGGGAGGAGGATGGGCAATGATTCTCTGCTGCACATAACATGGCGTTTTCAGGAGGGCGGAAGGTGCTCTTATTGGTAAGTGCACGTCTCGAGAGCCCTTTCTCCATTCATGTGATACTGGAGAAAGGCTTGAAGATGAGATCTGAAGCCAGAAACGTCGTCATCATCTCAGGAAACTGAAAGGGAGGCTCTGTCTTCCTGCATGCAGTTGCTGTAGCTTGTATTGCGAAAGCTTCTCATGCACTTCTGTCTCTCCATTCCATCCATCACATTGTAGTCTGCCTTTGGCGTACGGCCGACATCTTCATTAATCTCGCCCCACGCGCATACCCCAAAGAGCCCCTTGTGCAAAGCCGCCAGGCGGACTATGTGCCTCCATCGATGTCCGAGTGTCTAATCATCATCATCTGCAACAGAGGCTTCAAGTCCACAATCTCAGCTCGGCTGCTCAGCACCGACGAGAGTACGAGACACCGATCTCGACCAAGGACTGTTGTATGCGCCGTTCACGAAGTTTGACCTGGCCCTCTGCAGACGGACGGCAGAGACTTCAACAAAGTATCTCCAACCGATGCCGTCCTTCCCAATTCGAAGTTAAAGTTTGGAGAAGTCAAACATACAACTGATATCACGTAGACAGACAGAGAAAGGAAGAGGTAGAGACAAAGAAAATCATCCCGTTAGAAAGCAGCAATTGGTTGGCTCGCTATAAACGCTATCGCAATGCAGACCGCGAAGCTCACGAAACCAACGCACCCCAAAAGTCGCCATCATACTCAATCTTTGCCATCCTGAAAGTGCAGCAGCAAGGCACCACGCGCCAAAGAACACCAGACGCCACGAAAGCACTACTGGGTCTCCGTCTGCGTGCCCTCCAGCTCCGTCTTCTTCGCCTTAGCCTCCTTCCCACGATTCTCCTGCGCCGTGAGTTCGGCCAAGTAGTTGATGCTCTGAGTGACGCCCGGGCTGACCTCCTCATGCGGTGCTTCGGCAGGTGCTTCTGCAGCCGCAGTGAGGTTGTCGTCGCCATCGGGAGCCTGTGTATCATCGTCATCATCGAGTGCCCAAACGATGTAAGTGACTTCGACTTCATCGTCGGGACTCACCTGGCCGTTGCCATTGCCGTTGCGGTCGACGATGGTGATTGTCCGCTGAGTATCAGATCCAGCCATGGATCGCGTCCTGTATGAAAAGTTAGAAGGGTTCTCCTGGCTGGAGAAGGGTTGACGTTCGTTGAGTCGCTGAGCGAGGCTCTTTGATGGTGAGCGACCATCGTCGGTGGCTTGGACGTTCTGATCATTTGGCATGGTCGAGCTGTTTGGTAAGTTGGCATTGGCAGACGGCTGGTGGGCATTGGCATTCGATGGCTTCGGTTCCTGGGCTTCCTGCGAGGCATCCTTTGGACCTAAATCATTTCCCTTGAATTCGTAAGTGGACTTGCTCGTGTGGTTGTCAATACCAGGATGGGACATCTCAGTTACCGTCACCTGAGCTTGGGCTGGCTTCTTCTTGTTTTTGGGCTTGGTTTTCTTCTTCTTCTTCGGCTTAGATGTCTCTGGGTTGGTGTCGTGAGAGATACCCAGGCCGATCTTGCCCTCGTCTTGCGCTTCACCATCCTCCGGCTCTTGCTCCCCAACCTCAGTCTTCTCCTCCGACTGGGCGGTGATGTCGTCAGAGACGGAAGTAGTCGACTCCTCTGATCGGCCCACTGGCTGCTTGCCGGCAGCTTTCGCACTCATCTTTGGCTTGGAGCCATCGTCTGCACACACAACTTGGTTAGTATCATCGAACAGGTCATTCCGGACCGTCGAAAATTTCAACGGCCCAGAGGACATGGTGAAATTGGGGCAAAACGACTTACCGCCGCCCGCCTCAGCTGCCGTGGTCTCATCTGGCTTCGAGTCGCTGGGTTCGATGATCACTGGATCAGCAACCTTCGTGATGTCCTGCTTCTGTTCGTGTTCAACGGGCTGGGCGGATGGGTCCTCTTGCTTGATGTCGGCCTTCTCGGGCTCTTCAGGAATGGCAGTACTCTCCTCGCTCTTCGCAGTCGGCTTGGTGTCGGTTGACGTCTCGGGAACAGCAGAAGAGCCCTTGCGCTTGCCAGCTGACTTCTTGTCCTTCGCTTTGCTAGACGCCTTGCGCTTGCTCGTCTTGCCAAAGATGCTGAGAGATTCCGTCTGATCAGGTCCCTTCTCCTTCGGCGGCTTCTTTGAGCGAGGCTCCTGCGTAGGCTCTGGAATGGCCGGTGTGCTTGGTGCGGTAACGAAAGCAGCCGTTGTGGCATCCGAACTGCCAGAGGTCGAGCGTTGCTGAGGAACTTGCAAGAACTCCGTCTGAGCTTTGCCGAACGCCTCAGCTTTCTCAGTGTCGACAGGTGTCACAGCGATCGTGACATTCTTCTGGCTGGGCACTTGAGGGATAGGGGCCTTCTTCGCATCCTTGCCGGGCGACGGGCTCTTAGCTGAAGACTTGCCCGGAACAGACTCGTTGCTGTGGGCACTACCCACATCGCTGACAGAAGCACTAGCGTTGCCCTCTTGGGTATTCTCCTGCTCTGGTGCTGTTGGAATGGTCGGCGTAGTGGCATCAGCGCCCTCAAGCGTGACGTCTTTCTCAACTTCAGGCGAACCACTAGCCGTGTGGAAGCTCTCGTCGTTGACATCTTCATCCTGCTTGATTGGCGGCGTTGCCTTCTCGGCGGTGCTGTCGGATTCAACTGGCTCGACTGGCACCGACTTCTCCTCCTCAGAGGCGAGAACAGGCTCGGCAGCGGTGATAGTTGGAGTCTTGTCCTCATCTCCGCTGGCTTTGGGTCCAGCATCATCTGCGACTTTGACTTCGACCTCCTCAGCTGCGGATGGAGAAGCCTCTGAGCTAGCTGTCTCAATTGCTTCAGACTTCTTTACCTCTGCATCTTCATCGCTTGGTGATGGAAGTGGATCAGGCTTGTCGGTCTCCTTGTGAGCAGCGTCGTCTTTGGCATTCTGAACTTCGCCAGCCTTCTCACTCGACGTGTCCTCCTTTTGCTCAGCACGCTTCTTGTTGCCCTTCTTCTTCTGTGACTTCTTGTTCTTGGGAGTGTTGTCACGAGAGGCAGTGGGCGTAGCGCTTGAATCTGTAGCGATGGGAGTGGAATAGCCAGACTGCGAGTCGCGACGGACGGGTGGCTCTTGGACTGGTGGCTCTGGGACGGGTGGCTCTTGGACAGGAGCTGTCTGTGGCTGTGCTGGAGTACCCTGCACGTCTGGGGCAGGCATCGGCATACCAGTTGTCGGAGCTCCGTACGAGATCGACGGTCTCTGATATCCTGGACCTGATCTGAAGTAGCCCATGTGAGGTGGATCCCAATGATCCTTCGCAACCTCTGGCAGCAAAGTGCCTCCTGGCCACTGCAAACCCTTGCTGGCAAGACACTTGCGGGCACCAGAGACGTCTTCGAAAGTGACCCACATGTACCACCTAGGTGGCATTCCCGGAGCGGGTGCACTCGTGGCTTTCTTGGGCTCTGACACCCATCGAACAGGCCCGAATTGAGAGAAGAAATGCTGAACCTCGCTCGCATGTATCGTAGGTGTCACGTTGAACAGGATCAACTTCGTGGCAGTTGTACAGATGTCGCTGATCTGGAACTTGGTGCAGCCGACAGTACAAGCCTGGTAGTTGTTACCGCCCTGAGCGAAGGTGTTGTCTGCTTGGCCACGACCCTGCCAGTCTTGACGTCGCTGGTGTCCCTCTCGCTCCATGCTGAAGTTTCTCTCATGCTGCGGAAACGGCGCAGCACTAGCATCGTTCGGGGCATTGCGTGGCATGAATTGGCCTTCGTTGCTGAAGCTACCTCGACCACGATTGCCTCTACCACGCATGCTGCCACCAAATCCACCGCGGCCCTTGGACGTGCGCGAATAGGTGCTGTCATGGCGCTGGTTGCGGTAGTTGGCCTGATTCTCCATTGGGTAGAATGGCTGCTCGTTGTTGTAGTGCGTCGTGTTAAGGTGCACATTGCTTCGATCAGCAAATGGTGCGGGCTGCATGTTGTACGCGCTGGGAGCTGCATTGTACTGGTATGGTCCTGGTGGAGGGCCTTGCATGAACATCTGCTGCTGAGGCTGCATGTGATGCATGGATGGATCGTACGGCTGCTGCATCGGCTGGCCCATCTGGTAGCCAGGAACTGCTGGTGGGCCGTAGAACTGCTGGCCCTTAGGTAGAGTGGGCATTGGTCCGACTGGGCTTGGGAATGCTCCACCGGATGGCATACGGTGCATGACTGGAGCAGATCCTGGCGGCATTGGGCTCATCTGCGCAGGAGGGCCACCGTATGGCGAGTATGGGTTCGACGCATGGCGAGGATCACCATAAGCAGGCTGTGGGCGTGGGGGAGGGCGTGATCCGTTGAAGCTGTTGCGCTTGTTGCCCTGGTTGCCACGGCCTCTACGGAATGACTGTTGGCGCTCTTCCACCAGGTGATGCGAGCCACTGCTGAAGTTGCGAGTCTGCGAGCCTTGTGCATGGCCAGTGGCAGCTGGAATGACAGCAGGAGGTCCAGTCTCGGCCGAAGCTGGAGCTAGTGGGATGACTCCGACGGCTGGAGTCGCAGTCGTAGTGGTGTCTTCATCCGTGACCGTTGCAGTCGCAGTCGTTCCTTCGCCTTCTGGAGCCGTAGTCATGTCTTTGCCTGCTGAAGTCGTCGCCACATCTTCGCCGGTCGGAGCAGTAGCCGCTGCTTCACCTACTGGCGCCGTAGCTGTGGCTTCGCCTGCGGGCGCCGTAGTTGTGGCTTCAGCCGCTGGAGCCGCAGTCGTGTCTTTGCCTGCAGGAGCTGTTGCTGTCTTCTTGCTGGCTGTAGCTGTAGCCGTGTCGTAGTTTGCTGCCTTCGTAGCTCTGGCTTGTCTCGCAGCGTCATCGGCTTCTTTCCGCAGCTGCGAAAAGGTTGGCTTGTTGGGGTTGCGAGGCTTCTTGAAGAACGCCGATGAAGGGTCATGATGCTTCACAGGTGGCTCTTCGGTCTTCTTGATGGGCTCTTGCTCAGATGGTCGTGCGCTGGTTGCAACAGCAGCACCTTCAGCGGCGGCCTGGACTGGAGCTTGATCTTGCTGGTTGGACTGATCTGCCTGATTGGCCTGGTCGGTCTGCTTGGCCTGCTCAATGCGCATGTATCCCTGAATGCCCTTGACAGCCCAATGAAGAAGCTTGGGACCATACTCCTCGAGCTCATCAGGAGCAAAGAAGGTACTCGGCTGCACATCCTCGCTGAAGAAGTGCTGCGTCATGGAAGGGTCCTTGACCAAGTCCTGGTTCTGCCAGAGCCACTTGTCGACGATGGCGGGGATGCGATAGTTGACATTCCACAACGCGCAGCTCATCCAGACTTGCTTGAGGAAGCGGTAGCCATTGCCAGGTGGAGCGGCGCCGCCTTGCTTGCGGATCTCGCGGTCGGTGAAGAACGTGCGGAGGAATTGCTCTTCGGCCTCTTTGCCGTCGTTTTGAGGGAACTCCCATGGCATGACGTTCATCCACTTCTTTGGGTCCTCGGCGAAGAGGTTGTTCATGTATGGTCCGACGTCGTCGGCGCGGTTGGTGGAGACAATGACCGGCTCGCGCAGGTCGTCTGGCTCGAGTGGCTGTGGGAGCGCCATGGTTGCGACGATGGTGTCGCGGGTGGGTGTGGTGTGCGCGAGGTGCGCGATGTAGGTAGTAGTAGCAAATGCTACTATGTCTGCAGTTGGTGAAGCGAAGTTGTAGTGGAGGATGAAGTGTAAAGTGAAGTTGGGGGTGGTTGTCGGTGGTGGTTGAAGCGAGGTCGCGGCTGCTGTTTGGAAGTGGCGGCGACTGATTTCAAGCGCGGCGGCGAAGTGAAGCGAAAAAGGAAGGAGCGCTTCACTTAGTCGGTTTCACATGTGCTGAATTTGGCTAGGCAGCAACCTCACTGCTGTCGTCCACCATACCCCAGTTGTCGAGAAGTAAAGATCTTGACGAGGTCTTCTGAACTGGCGTCCAATGCGCAAACGACGGCGTTTGCATCTGCGCGAGCGGTAGCATGCCACCAAGCGAAGCGAGGATAGGAAGAGACGGGAGAGAGCTTACTGTACGCTGCCTTCAACCTTCACACCGCATCCAACATGTGGATAGCCATCTGAAGAGGCAATTGAGGATATCTCTGAGCGGTGGAGTGAAGTGTCGTCCTGCCCCTTTCCGGGACCATCTGTCCGCGCATGCAGCTATCCGCGTTTCATTTGAGCCCTCACTGTTCGACTCAATCGGAGCTGGAGATTCGTATGCTACAGAGTGACGACGAGTACCTCCCCATGCCATTTTTCATTTTGCCTATCTGTACAAGTTCCTTCGAATCGCTGGGTAGTCTATACCTTGCCAGTCTCCTTGGGCAAGGAGCGGACCAACTTCAGGATCTCGCTCTCGTCCTCGCCAACCACTGCGTCATATTAGCCATTGTCTCAAATGTAACCCATATCGTCCCAGACTCCTGCCGAGTCCGCATAAATCACCTACCTGCCCTGCCGTTGTTCCAATCCACCGTCACCGGCCTCTGGAACAGACTCTCATTCTGCTTGAACTTCCGCAACGCATCCGTAGTGCCCGTAGCATCCTGAACCACGCTGCCGGCTTTCGAGGGGCCCAGGTATTCCAAGATGCTGGTCAATTGATCCGTGGTAGGGGCACCTTCTTGTACGTCTGCAGTTCCACCCATGTCAGCCTCTTCCTTCTCCATCATCCACAGCGTTTGCCGTGTATTTCCCCTCTTATGACGTCCATCTTCCAAACATACCCAACTCAAACTCGGTCCTCTCAAGCTTGCTCTGCTTGGTGTGATCGCTCGCCTGGTCCTCCGTAGCATGAGCCACGGCCGTTGCGTGCGTTTGCTTCAGAAGGGTGTAAACGCGTGTCGAGACCGGGTTCTTGGGGGCGTGGAAGAGAGTGATGACTTCGAAAGTCAGTAGTGATTGTTATAAAGCTCAACTGAAGATGTAAATACCATCCTTCACGCCAGCCTGTATAGCTTGTCAGTTTGCTTCGACAGTATGGTGACAGCATGCATTTAGCTGCGGCAAAGGGAGCTCGAACATACCTCCTTGAACAGGTTCTTGAAGAAACTCATTTTCACGCTTGTTGACAATGAGTATCGTTGATCTCTCGAAACAATTCGAAGAGGATACTTCATGAGTGAGTTGAGCTGTTTGCAGTGACGTCGGCGTTCGGCAGGATCGCTCCGACGAGCCCTACAAATCCATGCAATAAGCTTTGGAGCTCTACAACGCGCCTTGCATGTGCCAAACGTAGATTGATGGAGGCAGAGCTATGTGTACTGGGCAATATGGACTTCATGTTCACGACGACTCACATTACAGTGATCACTGGATGACGATTGAAACTTTGGAGACGGTAGCAGCAGGTAACATGGTTCGGTATGTAAGAGCACAGCGCACAGGGACTCGTCATGTCATAGCAAGGATGCATGCTCATCCTCGTCCCATCGCGCGGCACAGAACCACGCATCGTGTCCTTTGGCAGCGCCGCGAAGCACGCAGCCGGCGTTCTTTCCCTTTAATCCATGCAAACAATCGTACAAGCACCGTCCGCCTTTGAGTGAATCGTGAGGTCCAGTTCTGGGCCATGCTGCATCCATGCTGCCTTCCACAGCGAAGCCTTCCCATTCTTGCGTAGAAAGCAGCATTGGCTTTGCAGCGAGGCCGCGTGAACGTTCAGTTGATGTAGGCTAAGAGTCGTCTGTTGGTAGCACCTTATCGCCTGCCGAATCTGCTATTGCAGCGGTTAGAAATGGACGACATGATGGAAAGAGGTCGGGAAACGTACTTCTGCTTCTTCTCCGCTGGCTTGAGGATCTGGAACGAGCACAGCAGGGACTCGTCGACGCTCATCATCGCGCCGGCATTGTCGAACTCTCCGCAGTAGTTTGGTGCTGAGAAGAGAGTGACGAGCTGACGCTTCGAGAAGAACTCGTATCCGTCCTCCACGACTTGATGCGCACGGCAGATGAGGTCCATGTCGTGCTTCTGGAGGAAGCGCGAGACCACGTCTGGGCCGAAGGTGAATGAGACGCCACGATCGTTTTCAGACCAGCCAGTGATGTCCTTGTCCGGATCCGACCACAACAGGTCGCAAAGCAGGCCGCAGTCAGGAATCTAATGATCTTCAGCGCAAATGTCTTATAGAGTAGCGTTTCAAAACTTACGTCCGTTGGGCGCATCACACGGCGGATCTGCTCCATGGAGTTGAGATCGGGGCTCAGGCCACCGTGCATGGTGAAGATCTTCTCGTCGATGATGGCTGCGATGGGCAGGCAGTTGAAGCAGTCCGTGAAGGTCTTCCACAGCTTGATGTTGTAACGTCTCTTGCACTCATCGTAGAATCCGTAGATGCGGTTGATGCTGGCGCACTCGTGGTTGCCGCGCAGAATGAAGAAGTTCTCGGGGTACTTGATCTTGTAGGCCAGGAGCAAGCAGATGGTCTCCAGCGACTGCTTGCCACGGTCGACGTAGTCGCCGAGGAACAGGTAGTTGGCCTCTGGTGGGAAGCCGCCGTATTCGAAGAGGCGCAGCAAGTCGTAGTACTGGCCGTGAATGTCGCCGCAAATCTATCCACTGTGTCAATGTCTTTCACTTCCGGCGCATTCATCTTTTCATACCTTTATCGGCGCCTCCAATTCGAGGAGGATTGGCTGGGAGATGAAGATCTCGCGAGCCTTGGTGCAGAGGTATCTTATCTCGGTCTCGAGGAGCTGGACTTGCTTTCCTGGCCGACTGCCGCGAACTTCGAGGAGGCGGTCGATGATGGAATCTAAGTCCACATCGTTTTGGTCCGCCATTGTGGCCGGCGGTTCGTGGGGTGAAGTGGGAAACTCGTGGCCCGCAGCGCAAGGTGCTCTGCGAGAAGCGTAGAACGCCTAATAAACTGCGATTCGTCAGTGGTACACCGCGCAAGGGCGCAACAAGAATGGTTGTCGACCTGAGCCGCGTGCGATGCTGGAGAGCCGCAAGATGGGAGCTTGCCCGCACGTGACTGCGAGAGAGTCGTGGATGCCCAACGATAGCAGTCTGCGTACACCTGCTGCTGCAGGACGGTATAGTCGTGTCTGAAGTCGAATGATGTGCTCGTCTGCTCTTGCTCGTGCTCTGACTGCTACCGCCGCCGCCACCGCTGACTCTCCTCCGTAAACCGCAAATAAAGGAAAAGTGTGCCTACCGAAAGTGACGAATCGAGCGCAAAGGCTCCTGCAACCGTACAAACTCTTCTCTCCCGACTCTTGCCCAACTGCGTGAGGGAGTGATAAAAGATTGCTGTGGTTGGCCGCAACCTCTCAACCCGATACCTGAGCGGGATCACGCGACTGCTGGTGCCTTTTTCGCGGCGGTTTGGTGTTTGCAATCGTGAATCACACACACGCTCTTACTCCGCCGGAAGTCGTGTGGATGGTGTGCGCGGTTTGTTGGGTGGTGTCGTCGCGCTGAGGGCGTTGTTGTTTTTCAGATTCACCGCTGTCGAGGAGAGGGGTCGGCGTCAGCAGTTTGTGTGCAGAATCGATGCTGGTGTCGAATTCGATGGGCCGCTGAGCTGAATGTGCGGCGATGGCAGCGTAGGAAGCTGGTGGACAATGCACTGGAGTGGGTGTGCGGTGCTGTGCGGTGGTTGTGGGTGCAGCGTGGAGGGTTGCTGGTCAGAGAATCCAACCTTGGAAGGAAGGAGCCTGCCGAACAAAAGTCTTGGTCAAGCTCGGACGGCAGCTGCGTTGTCTGGGTACGCGGTCTGGGTCAAGTAGTGAGGAATATTCACTCACGCACGCAAACCTCACCCGGACGAATAACAAGCTTTCTAGACCATTCACTCGACATCTATCAATTCGTCGATTACGCGCAGGAAGGGGAAACCCGTCTGCACATATCTCTACGTCCACAAGTCTCCTACAGCACGTCGTGTCTCGAAAGCCGCCAGCTCCGCCAACAACACACTCAGGTCCGGCACGTTGGGGAACCAAAGCAGCTCCAGCAGCAGCCCTCTGCTTCGTCCTTTCTCAGCGCTAGCAGTGCTGCCTTACGTATGCTGCCAGTAGTAGTGGCCGGCGACCTGTGGCCTATGTACGAGATCCGATTTCTCTCTGCTCTTGCCCCCCTGGATCCCGCAGATCGTTCCAACTTGCTGCTCTGCTGCCGACCAATCCGCGGACGCAGCGCTATTTCAAGACGACGAGCGAGTCAAAGAGTCGGCCGCCACTGCATTCTGTAGTTGTACGTTCTTGTAAATAAGTCATAGATGTAAGACTAGATTACATGAGCGATGCTGAGAAGAGACGCAATGGCGATGAGGCATTCTAGCAATCAACGGCGATGCATTCTGGCAGGCAAGGTATCGTCGAAGTCGAACCAGTTCCATGGAAACCACATAGCATTCCAATATACCCGCCGAAGTTCAAGACAACTGTCTCATTTCTCCAATATCACCTCCAACAAGCACAACCAAGATTGAAACACAATTGTCATGGAAAAGGCTCAGCTCGTTAGATTCAGAGATATAACCCTCAAAAGACCCTCGCTCCCCAAACGCCTCGCTTATGAATGCTTCGACTTCAGCAGCTTCTAGTGCTCAAAGGCACTCCCAGACCCATCATCATCTACAACAACACAGACCCCGCGAGCCTCCCTGGTTCGCTGCATGAAGAACAAACAAAGACATTGACTCGCCAACCGCAAACCGCCGCAAAAGCAAAGCAAAAGAGAAGAACAGCAAAAGGGGTATTTTTTACACGAATCGAAACTCCAACATGGACAATGCCCAGCCCGAAAACTGGAGGAGGCCGCGAAAGTCGAATGGTCGTCATGATGGAAAAAGTCAATGCAATATGCTGAAGGGAGATTCAAGACCAGAAACGCCGTCGCCATGCATAACGTGAGGTAGTCGCTCCTGCGAAATGTCGTGGGTTGCTGCTCATTGTGTTTGTTCAGCCAAGGGTGCGTCCTCCCACGCTGACGCCCCGGTGTGGATGGTCAGGCCTTACGGTCGATGTGCGCGAGGCAGGACTGAAGCTTCTATGCCTCGTCTGACTCTCGTTCTCGTTCAGAGCACTGAGCCAGGTTGGTCCTAGCTCACTCTTCAGAGCTTCGACCTTCTGCCGGTATAAGTCCGTGTTCGAGCCCAGGTCTTCAGGCGACCGAATGGGCGAGTTCTCATCGTCAGACGCATCCCGTATCTTCGGCGGAGGCGTCGGCGATTTAAAAGCTGTATCGAGTCTCGGGCGAACAGCCAGTGAAGTCCCTTGCTGCAGATGAGTGGACGGAGCGGTATGGTACGGGGTTGCTTCTGGTGTCGACGGCTGATCGCTTTCAGTGGTGGGAGTGTGCGGCATTGGCGGAAGCTCTGTCAATTCTGGGACTGGTGGCTCTGCAGGTATGTCTTCGGTTTGAGCACGCTGCTCAGCTTGAGAGAGCTCAACTATTCTCCTTCTAGGCGCTTTCTTGCGACGAATCGTCGAGCTTGGTCCCATATCTGATGTCGTGCGCCGATGTCCTGGATGCGAAGAAGGTTTGGGGACAGCCTCAACGCCGGCATTGAAGGTCGAATCCTCCGCACCTTCCTCTGACTGACGCTGCTCATCTTCTAACAGCGGCTTGACCACCGGCTTGTTAGCAGGCTCTGGAGCTCGATCCACCAAATACTTCTTCTCGTGGTAAAGCGGACCCATGGTGTCGATTGTAACATCATCCACATGGCCAGGTGACGATCGGAACAAGTTGAAGATGGTAATCCGATAATTGCTGTGTGTTCTCGTGAACGGGTTCTTCATCACATAGAGGTCGGTGATGTCAGGAATACCGGTCAGTCGAGCCAGCTCAGCGGGATCATGCATTCGATTTTCCCGCAGGTCAACCCGTTCCAGAGAGAAGAGTCGTTGGATGCCAGCCAAAGAGAGGAGCCGGTTGGAGCGGAGGTTGAGTGTCGTAATCGCTGGAAGAGGACTTCTCGACAACGAGGACAAGCTGTCGATCATACAGTTGCTCAGGTTCAAAGCTCGCAGTTGGGTCATGCTCGCGAGCGCGTCCGGAATCTCGGTGAACATGTTTCCAGAGAGGTCAAGCGACTGCAATGTGTTGGCCACTGGAGCCAGACTGCTCGTCGTCAGCTGGGTCAGGCAATTCTCAGCCAGGCTGAGATGTCGCAGGAAACGCCATTTGGAGGACGGAAGGATCCCCATCGACAGCAGGTCTGTGGCACTGTGTCGCGGCGTCATTTCATGCTGGCTTGAACCCGAGCTTCCTGAGGACCTGCGGTTCTTTCCACTGCGACTTGGATGCGCCTTGTGTATTGAGCCATGCCTTGCGGTAGCTGGTCGCGGCGGCGAGTTGCTTGACTGTCGCGACTGACCCGCTGCAGGCTTGCCGTCTGACCCAGCCCTCAACAACATTTGCGGGCTACCCACTGACGCACGTCGTTGCAGTTGTTCTGCGAATGGCGAGTTGGGAGCAGACACAGAGCGGGCCAGCTCTATCTGCCTGGCGCTGGGACTGCCAGAGGGCCAAGGCAATCCTGGGGTAGAAGGCGTCGTGGGGACTTGGGTCTTCGATGAACGTTTTCGTCGTCTCTCTGAATCATCCAAGACTATGTTCTGCAGCAAGTTTATGGGGTCGTCGAGGCCGGCACGCTTGACTGTCAAACTTCGCAGCTGCTCTGCCAGCCTGTCCCATCCATAGAACTGTCTAAAGTCGAGGTCGCAGATCTCGAGTGAACTTACGTTCTTGAACGCAAACAAGGGCACGGCCGTGTCAAAGGGGAACTCCTCGTAGCCACTGATCAGCCGAGCCCGGTGATCGGGCGACAGCCGTAACGCTGGGATCTTTGTGAAGCACGAGTAGAGGTATTTGATATCATCACGATATTGCGCCATCTGTTTCTCGGCTTTTGCAGCGCTGTTCGACAGCGTCAGGGCAGACCACATGGACGACATGCTCGACATGACACTCCGCACACTAGATACCGACCGAAGAGAGTCTGCATCTGATTGCTTGCCTCGTGATTTGGGTGCATGGCCGAGGAACGAAACGTAATTCGAGGGGGCAGCATCACTGTGCAGGTTCTCCAAGCGTACCGTCATGGGGCCAACATCGACACCGAGGTCTTCGAATTTGCTGAGGAGGTAGAAGAGGTGGTGCGGCGTCAGGGTGAGCTTCGCGGGTCTGAGGCTGTGGGAGGAGAAGGACAGGTAGGGTCGCGAGAGTGCCTCTGCGAGTGATATCGTGGTCGATGAAGCTGAACCGCTGGAAGCGCCAGCAACTGCTTGCTCTTTGCCATTCTTGGTCTTCTGGCGCTGCAACTGCAGCGCGTTCGCTAATGCTTTCTCATGCGTGCGGACAAAGTATGCTAGGTTCTGCAAAGTCGTCATGTCAGTTGCGGCCTCGAGCCGTGAGAAGAAATGTCGAAGCCGTGAGAACGACGCACCTTCACGAATAGCTGACCATCCTCCGAGTCCATCGTAGTGCGTAGGCTTGAAATCCACCAGGATACATGCTATAGAGCAAAAGGAGCGACTGCGGTTGGCGGCGGCGGCGGCGTAGTCCCCAGGCCTGCGAGGCCGGTGACACAAGACGGGCTGTTGTGTGACTGTGCGGATGCAGAAGGCACCGACAAGAGAGCGTCCTCACACGGCGGCACACACGGCGAGTATATTGATTGTTCGAAGGCGCCAGACGCAGGACCTGTGCAATGCAGTTGTTAGCAACAGCGTTCCGCGTGCCGACGATCACCTGATAAGGGCGGGCATGCATGACAGCAATCTCCAATCTCGCAGCCATTGTGGTGGTCTGCAGGCGGCGCTCGTGATGTTTTGGCTTACCGAGATCCAGAGGGTGAGGGTGGTCACGCTGAAAGCCTCACGTCAGCGACCGCTCAGCCCACGCACCCGATATACCAGCAACAGCAACAATAGCAGCAGCAGGCAGCTCGTGCTGGCTGGTGGGTGCTGGGGGAGAACGAGTGCACGCCGCGATGTCCGCCTCCGAGAGAGATATACAGGCGTGCGGGTCTAAGATTCTGCTGCAGCTGCGCTTGACGTCTGACCAATGGTGGCGCTCGAGTGGGATGCAGGTGGCCCTGCTGGCGCGCCTCTGTCGTGCAACCCTCCTCCGCAATAGTAGTGCCCAGTTAGTTAGTCGGCGCGCGATTCGATTCTGGAACACATGCAGGGCGCTCGAAGCAGCAGCGGTGTGTGCGAGGTCCGGTTCGCGCAGGCGCCGACGAGGATGACGGCTGCGGTACGGTCGTCGACGGGCGGCGCGTGGGTGTAGCAGAAGGGAGGGAGGAGGATGGAGGGGTGGTCGTGGTGTAGACGACGATGTGAGGGCCCGTTACATGAAGGTTCGGCTAGAGCGTTTATTCGGTGGGGCACTGATTGTACGGGCTAGCACGTTGAAATTGCGACTTCGAGCCGAGACGAGGCCATTGCTGTCGAATAGAAACATCGCCAGCCCCGTCGTGGTGCATCGCGCAGCAGCCTCGTGCCCTCCAGTGCTCGCCGCCGCACACAACCTGCAACACCACCCGCCACCGACACCGACGATATCTCGTCCATCACTGCATCATTCATGCGCGCGGTTGATTACGGCTGGCCTCGCTGCAGTAGCTGCGCTGCTACTGCTGGCTTGGTCGCAACGCCGGTACGCCGGGATAAGCTCGCCTCCCGCCTTGCGAATCAATGGCACGGCGACTCTGTATCATGAGCGCATCTCCCGAACCCTCGACGATCGGGACAGCATGCACGTTGGCGAGGGCCAAGCCTCTGCAGCGCTGGAGCTGTGCCCACCTGGAGACCCCAAACCAAACACACGAAGACCATGGATGTAATGACCCCACGCGAGAGACGAGGTGCATGAAGCTGTATACCGCGACCAACCAACACACGCCGCGCGGATACTGACGGTGAGCTGCCCCAGTATTCGCCTCCGCAACATTATTCACGTCTACGCATGCTGTGCGACTTGACTACACGCACACCTCGTACGCTCACACCTACCTCACCGGAGTATAAGCATCCTCTGTCAGATGCTGTCCCATCTGCCAGAATGAGACACTCATGTACCCGCACGCCATTGTGTCTGCACTTTCACATGCCATAGCTCTCGGCCGCCAGCTATCGAAAGAATCTCCGATAGAGCGTGGGAGGCTACCGGGGTCCCGCAGCGATGTCCATCCCTCGACCGCGAAACGGCAGCTGGAGAGGGCACGACTTGCCATGGCTGCAACCAGCCTCCTGTACACGATTAGTGCGTGGTCAGGCAGATCAGCCAAGCTCCATTGCTTCGTGCATGATGGTGTCCAGTGGTGCGGCATTCGCGGCTCCTGTCCAATAAGCAGCTCCAGTTCACTCTTTCGACGGTCGTTGTACGCGGGAACTCACACCGCTGTCATCCTTCGCAATTCACCTTCACCTATGGCGCGAGCATTCTACCTTGGACAGCTTTCTGTTGTGCAACCGCTGGCATCCTGTACCACCCATTTCGGCGTGAAATACTCGCGTGGGCAATCTGGCGGACTGGGCGGCTATGTGTCCCGCCTGTCGTGACAATTGGGGCGAATCTCAAGGCATGACCCTTTCGCGTCCAATATGTCGTGATAGGCTCAATCAGACTCATCGCCAGTGCCGGCTATACAGAGCACCGATTCCGCCAAGTCGTGACCTCTGCACGCGTAGTGCGTCTGGGCTCTTTTCGGACAAAGTATGAAGGACGGCCGCCGTGGTTGTGGTGGAGGAGACAAAGCTAGTGGCAAGCGATGCGTCCGGTGGAGATCAATGACGCCGCCTCAGTAATGGCAGCCTGTGAAATGTGTTTCCACGTATTGCGCGGAGCCTTCTTCTCATGGGAACCTTGGTTGCTCACAATGCTGCAAAGGTCATGCGCAACATGGCGGTGGGCGACCCCCACCATCGCTCCCGTTTGCTTTTCGTGCTGTATTGCGGTATCCTTGATCTTGAATCGGTGTGGAATGGACGCGTTGCTCGAGACATACGACTCTGCTATCTGCAGTAATGTCAAGGACTCGTGCTCGGGAGTCCGTTATAATCTTGGAAAAGTCGAGACGTACGTCAGCGTGCTGTAAGTGCCGTTCAAGCATCTTGCCTGCAGCTGCTTCGAGATGCCGAACACATGAGAGCCAGACATCTCCTCGCCGGGGTTGATCATAGCAAAGCCTAGGAAGACATCCTTGGTAGCCTGAAGGATGTTATCGATCGCCTTACCTTCGAAGAAAGCCATTCGCTTAGATGATGTTGTCGCTCGTTGTTGCAGTTATGATCGAAGTATTGCACTCGCGAGACAATGCGATGAGACGTCGGGAGCATGAGTATGCGTGCCATTGGAGGTTTGTCGAACCGGATGTAGCAGGTGGGTTGAGGATGAGGGGGCGCCTTTGCCTCGAGCTCCGAGTACTTATCTGAAACGCTGCAGCACCGTCGCGCTGCTATGAGAGCCAACGAATTCTCGACAGACAAGCGGTGGTCGAGGCCGTTGTTACTGAGTCCTGCGCGAGCACCTCGTGCTTGCCGTGCTTCGACCACGGACGCGAGCCCGCCTGATCATCAAATGCTCGCGAGGCGAGGGTTGTTGATGTGATGTTTTGGTTTTGGCTCACGCGTCTTACCGCATCAACAACGCGCACGCACGTGAGGGCTCTGTGAAGTGATTGCCCCTTGGTATTGTCGCTATTGTGGATGAGTCGTGCTATAGTACTGGTGAAGAATAGCAACAGCATATAGGCTGTTGTGTCATTGCCGGCGACAAGTTTAATTGAATAGGCTGGCCGTTGTTGATCTCTCACGCCGGCAACGCGACCCTGAAATTGAAGCCGGGTGCACGGACGCCAGCGCTCGTGAACCGGCCGCATTCCTCCAGCAATCGATACCACGCCAGACCTCACCTCCATCAACAACCACCAAACACAACGACCGTCTCGCCGACACTCATTCAAACAGCAACAACCCGTGCGATGCCAGCGTCCTTGCAATCTCAATCACGACAGGTGGATCGCCTGCGCCCGCTCGAGCGCTGAGATTGCGATAACCGATCAAGCCAAGGGGTGCACTTCGCTGTGCACTGCATAGCAACCAACCCATTCGCTTCACCAAACTTTGTCAGCGTTCACGCAAGGACTCTGATACGCAATTACACCTCGTGCGACCTCCCGATTGCCTCATCTTCGATCGCTATCGCCTGTGGTTTGGCACTCGACCAGCCACTTCATTGCCCGACTCCCACATCACAACATGGCGTCTCCGTCGCACGATGAGTCGACCCCAGCAACAGCACAGCTGGTTGATGAACTGGCTGCTGAAACCACAACACCCGCCCCCCTCTCGCCTCCCCGCAGCAAGACACCGCCGACCGTCATTGGGAAGCGCCCGCACAGCGAGACTCAGGCGGCAGCCAGCATTGGAGCGAACCGAAGTGGCAGTGAGCCGGTCAGCGCAACAGCATTGAACAAAGCATTAGAGAGGATTGAGCAGACAGGACAGCGGCGGGTCAGCACTCCCACAGCGAGCCCCAGTCGCAAGCGCCAGAAAGTAAAAGCTGGCGATCGGTTCATACCAAACCGCGCGGGACAGGATCTTTCCGCCAGCTACAACCTGCTTCATGAAGATGGTTCCCCGGCGACCCCTTCCAAGCTCAAGAAGGCACCAAGCGACCTCCACTTCCAGAAGCGAGAGGCGAACCGGCAGTACTCATCCATTCTGCGGTCCGAGATGTTCGACAATGAGGTCCCGCAGTCTATCAACGAGCGATCGGGATCACGAGCTCAAACGCCGCCCGTGGCTGCCTCGACCTCAAACTCGGCCCCATCAAATTCGGCCCTTACTCCTTCAACACCTCACAAGAACCTCTTCTCATACGGCCCGAATGTGCAAGTATCTCTGACGCCCCGATCAATATCACGGAGCGAGCGTGGACCAAACATCAACGCAAGATCGGAGATATACAGCCTCTCGCCAGTGAAGCACTCGTCCCAGTCGATGCTTCTTTCTCCACGAAAGACGCCACGCGCGGTGAGCAAGGTGCCTTACAAAGTGTTAGATGCACCTGACTTGGCGGACGACTTCTACCTCAACTTGGTTGATTGGGGATCGAACGACGTGCTTGCTGTCGGACTTGGTCCTTCGGTGTACCTCTGGAATCGAGAAACTGGCAAGGTCACTACCCTCTGCATGCTGGATGGAGATAGCGTAACGAGTGTCAACTGGATACAACGTGGCACTCACCTCGCCATTGGTACCTCAAAGGGCCTACTTCACATCTGGGACACAGTCGCTCAGAAGCGGTTACGGACGATGACTGGACATACCTCGAGGATTAGCAGTCTTGCGTGGAATGCACACATCCTCTCAACTGGATCCAGAGATCGGACTATCCTGCACCGAGATGTCCGACTGCCCACGATGTGGCTGCGGCGACTTACTGGGCACAAGCAGGAAGTGTGTGGGCTGAAATGGAATTCTGACACAGAGCAGCTAGCGTCTGGTGGTAACGATAACAAGATTTTCATCTGGGACCGCATGGAGGAGAGGTGGCAGCATCGGTGGGGCGAGCAAGAAGGCGGACACAAAGCAGCGGTCAAGGCGATTGCGTGGAATCCCCATCAACGAGGAGTGCTCGCATCAGGAGGTGGCACGGCCGACCGGTGCATCAAGTTCTGGAACACGATCTCCAGCGCACAGACTGCGACGTCGAGGAATGTACCACCCGAACAGACCAATCTCGGCCTCGGACTGTCTACATCACCTACGCCGGAATCGCCACTCTCGCCGCAGATGCTAAACCCGCATCTCATTAGCTCTCACGATACTGGAAGCCAAGTCTGCAATCTACTGTTCTCACAGCGCACATCTGAACTGGTCAGCACGCACGGCTACTCGCAGCATGCTATCAACATCTGGAAGTACCCGAGCATGAACCAGGTCGTGAGCCTCACGGGTCACACATATCGTGTGCTGTACTTGAGCATGAGCCCAGACGGTGCCATCATCGTGACTGGTGCCGGCGACGAGACACTCCGGTTCTGGGACGTCTTCGCGAAGCCCAACAAGGAGCCAAAGCGAGGCATTGTCGGAGAATGGGGTATAATTCGGTAGGCTTGGGGGTACTGAAAGACTCGGAACTTTTGGTTTGCTCAATCCGATGGCGGCCAAACGCTGGCATGATCACGACTTGGCCAGCGACCACAGTCTTGGTCTATTTGGAACGGTGGGAGCACAGATAAGACGGCTATTTGATTTGAGCGAGCATTCACGACCTTTGATGACGAGCGAGGCATGGTTTTTTGGGGCATGGCATGGCGCAGGTGGTAGTCTTTGACAGATACTCGAAGGCGACAGATGCCTCAGACAGACAGTATCATACGCCAGGTCACTGATATTACCTGACGAAGAGTCATGGCTCTGTTCACGATCTATTTTCCTTCCCAGCGTATCCAAAGTGCCACGACTAAAAATACCTACTCACCGCGCGCAGCGACTTCACCTGAACATCGGTGAACTTCTAGCTACATGTTCTTCCGTCGTCTTGTCCTTTCGGCTAGGTCTTTAACAACTCAAGCTTCTTTTCAGACGGCCCTTTCACCTCGTCGATTTGCAACATTCAGAATGGCTTCACCGAAGTATCTCACCGGCGACAAACCCGGCATCGACGCCTTCATTGATCAATTCGACGTGAGTTCCGAGTTGAGTGGAAGTACTAGATTACCAGACTGACATACACCCTCGCAGACTTTCCTCTTCGATTGTGATGGTACGAGCCGAGCTCAAGAGTTGAAAGAGGATGGACATGTTGACTAAATGACCGAGAAGGATAGGCGTCCTCTGGTCTGGAGATCACCTGTTCCCCCATGTCCCGGAGACGATCGATATGCTTCGCAAGAGAGGTACGATAGAATGGGATGGAATAGAGGGATTGAGCGAGTGCTTATCGGTGGGGCAGGAAAGCAGTTGGTCTTCGTGACGAACAACAGCACCAAGTCACGGAGTGATTACAAGAAGAAATTCGATAAGGTTGGCATTACGGCGAATGAGGTAGGAAGGTCATGCATGAAACATTCTTGGCTAGGCATACTGATTATATCTCAGGAAGAAGTCTTCGGCTCAAGCTACAGCGCAGCCATCTACATCTCGCGCATCATGAAGCTCCAAGCCCCCAAGAACAAAGTCTTCGTCCTGGGCGAGACGGGTGTGGAACAAGAGCTGGCCTCCGAGGGCATCCCCTTCCTCGGCGGTACTGACGAGAAGCTGCGACGAGAGATGAACGACGACGACTTTAAGAACCTCGCGAACGGCTCCGCCCTGGATCCAGACGTCGCCGTCGTGTTGACCGGCTTGGACTTCCACCCAAGCTATCTGAAGTACTCCCTCGGCTTCGCCTACATCCGCAAAGGTGCACACTTCCTCGCAACCAACATTGACTCTACATTACCAAACGCAGGCTCTCTATTTCCCGGAGCAGGCTCCATCAGCGCCCCACTCGTCGAAGCAGCAGGACGGCCGCCGCTCGCATTGGGCAAGCCCAGTCAGGCAATGATGGATGCGATCGAGGGGAAATTCAAGTTCGACCGCAAGAAGGCTTGTATGGTGGGTGATCGACTGAACACTGACATTCAGTTTGGTATTGAGGGAGGATTGGGTGGCACGCTGGCGGTTTTGACGGGGGTTAGCAAGAAGGAGGATTTCCTTGCTGAGGGGGCGAAGGTTGTTCCTTCTGCTTATGTGGATCAGCTGGGAGATCTTGTCGGCTAGACTGGTGTTGACGATCCATACATTCATGGCTGCCTCTGATGAACGTGGGCGGCCTTTTAAAGATAGAGCATTTGAAGCTTTGCATTCGCCCTGAATCGCTTTCAGGACCAATGACTTGTTATGTCTAGGTACGTTTCCCGCTGTGTTACTGACTAGGACCGCCAAAAAGCAGTCCTTTCTGCGTTGACGAAGGACGCAATGCGCAGCACGTATGGAACCCCATCACTCCACCTTCTCAACAATAACATTCCCCTCCGCCTTCTCCCCATCCTCACCCCCCTTCCACCCCTCCGCCTCAACAGCCCTCGCAATCCTCTCATCCTGCTCCACGAAAATCTGCGGCCTCGCCAACTGCGTCGTCAGCTCATTCCTACACACAATGATGCCCGGCTTCGTCTCAAAGAACCGATCGATGTCTTCGAGCGTGCGGTTGGCGGTCTCTGGGTACAGAAAGTAGGTGATGGGGATGAAGGCGAAGCAGATGACGGCCCAGACGATCCAGAATTTGTAGCCCAGGTTGGCGACGCCGGGGAGGGTGGCTTGGACGACGGCGTAGTTCTAGGGACAGAGGAGGTTAGTTTGTGTGGATGTGGTTAGGAGGAGGGGAAGGAGACGCTTACGCATATCCAGTTCGTTGCCATGGCCTATAAAGAGGCTCGGGTCAGCGAATAGTTCAGAAAAATTTTGGTGATTCACTCACCAAACTCGCCCCCTTAGTCCTCATCTCCAACGCATTAATCTCCGTCGGATACAACCACGGCACGCCCAGCACGCCCATGCCAAAGCTCGCGAAGAACACAAAGAAGAAGGCTACAGCCACACTCCCCAACACGAAACTATCCCCTCCCTTCTCAGACAACCCCGTCGCAATCGCGATGACGATCCAGCAGATTGAGCACGCCGCCGCGCTGCACATCATGACTTTGCGCCGGCCGTAGCGCTCGATGACGAAGTAAGCCAGGCACGCGAAGAGGAGGTAGTCGACGGAGCCGCAGGCGGCGAGGATGCGGGAGAGGAGTTCGGAGATTCCTAACGCGTTGATAAAGATGTAGGACATGTAGTAGGATGTTACGTTGATGCCTGAGATCTTAACGGAGGAGTCAATTCATGTACTCTCTTGGGTTGGAGTGGGAGACTTACTTGATTCATGGCTTGCATCCACGCGCCTAAGAGCATTCTGCGGAGGACTCCGGAGGGTCCACGGCCTGTGAGCAGCTGCCACCAGGTGTAGGTGTTCATATGCTCTCGGTCGAGAATGTCTTTGATGACATCGAATTGAGCTCGCACGGAAGGCGTCGCAGGGGTCGCTCCGTGTCCTTGTAACGCCGCAATGACCTCCAGCGCTTCCTCATGCTTGCCTTTCCGGATCAGCAGTCTCGGGCTATCAGGCAGAAAGGGGCATAACGCGAAGATGCACAGCGTGAAGAAGATCTGGAAGGCCAGGGGGAAGCGCCAGGCGATGTCCCTGGGGGCGAAGGCAAATCCTAGTGTGAGCCAGTTCGAAATTGAGAATCCTGTTATGCAGTTCGCCATTTGTACGATGACGAGTTTTCCGCGAGAACGCATTTTGCTGGTCTCGGCTTGCCAGACGCCTGCTGTGGCGGTGTTCATGCCGGTACCTGGTGGACATTAGCTAGTGAACCGGCAATCCAACGTCTCGGGCGATGGAGGCGAGACAAGACTTACCAAGCCCAGCAACAATCCGTCCGACATACATCTGAGCAACAGTGTAGCTGGCGGTTTGAATGATAGCTCCAACGGCTATCACAGCACTCCCGACGAGAATTTGACGAGGACGACCGAAATAGTCGCCAGTGAAGACGGTGCTCATTGCTCCAACAAAACAGCCTGGAAGTCTTCAGCATGCATCGTCCGCCATAGGTATGAGAGGTCGGCTAACCGATATTGTAAATCGATGTCATGGTTCCTTGCGTGTCTGCACTGGGATGACCAAAGGTCTCCAGGAAGTTCTCGCTAATGATCACGTTCCCGAAGACGCCTTGATCGTACCTAGCGAATCACTTCAGCCTCGTCCGGAGGGGAGCTAGAGGACACTGACCCATAGAAAATGAGGACTGTACTAGCTGCCCTATAACACCATTAGCCTGACGCCATATCGGGATGAAGGTCATGTACTCACACAGAGATCCAGAAAGTGAGGGCATCACCACTGCCTCCAAGGTATCGTCTTCCCATCGCGAAGTACACCCCGTTGAACAAAAATTCAAAAAACGACTTCACAGAACAAAACAAGAATCCGATACCTACCTGAGGACTTTATCTCTCCTGGCTCCAGCGAGTCAACATTTTCGCTAATGCCGGTGGTGAGAAACTCGTGTAACCGATTCCCTGCAGGCCTGGGGAAATCGACGAATCGTTCAACATCAAGCTCGCCAAGTCGTGTGGAGGTGCCCATGGGGTTGCGGTAGACTATTCCCGCATTACCTGAACGAGTATCGGGTCAATGTGAACCACATGCAACCTACAGCCAAGTGACGTTGTTGTGGCAGGTCCAGCGAATTTTTCCGGGTCTGAGGTAAGTAGGGCGACGATGTATAGGCGGGATGGCTTGGGTGCATTCTTAGCCTTTGGGGGTCACAAGGGCGCTGTGGATTCAGTCCATGTTCGTCATCAGCTGTGATTTTGGTAAGACGCGTGATAGCGGTCGGGAGCAAGAGGGTATTGCTAAGAGACTTGCTGTCGTGGTTTCATCAGTCATAATAAATTCGGTAACTTCGACAAGTTGGCCCTCCCATTAAGGCAATATCATAGCCGCCATTGTGGTCCAAAGGCCAAGCAAACGCTTCCAAAAAGGCTCATGAGGAGCCAAATATCCGGTGAGAAGGGTAACACATTCAATCTCTTTCTTGCGTGCCGTTTAGGCAGCCTTCGACGGCTTTGTAGCTGACTTGCGTGGTAAGCCGGTCTTTGGACGACTGGGTACCCGTTGAAGATTTGGATTGTTCTTCACCTGCTGGCACTTGTATGCATGGCGGAAGTATGGAGTCCGCCAGCGTTCCGCTCGGCCAACGACAACCCATTGCTTACATCCTCCACAGAGGGCTTCGTACCCGACGGAGCCTTGGGCGGAGCGCCAGGCTGCTGGCAGGTCGAATGACTTGCCCGTCAAGCAAGAGATGCCGTGGGAATAGTGCATGTGATACCAATAGGCAGAGTCCTTGAGTTTGTGCCTGCGAACGATGTAAGTCATTGCATTTGCCTTGCGGTTTGGAATGTTCATTGTCTTACCAGGTGCTACATCTTGAGCACCAGCCGGCTCTATCGAGGCGATCGCCCCGAACCCATTTCGCAGTGTACTCGTCTCCAGCGAATCTTGGATCTTGACGTCGAGGAACCAGACCATCCTGCGACGGGTTGGGGTCATTGAGCGATTCAACGGATGTCGCTGTTGTCCCTGTGAACTGGCGTTGCAACGATGACATTGTCGGTTCGGGAAGACCGTGCGGCATCGAAGGTCTGCTTCGCGCTTTGTGTCGTTCAGCTGCAGTTCGTGTGTCCGCTGCGATAGGTTCGAAGGAGTTTTGAGAGGCAGATGATGTCGCTGCGTCGGTCGCAGACAAGGGCAGTGGATTCCAGAGCCTGGAAGTTTCGCTTTGAATGCTCTCATGGCTTGGATTCGAAACACTCCAGTCACTGTCACCATTTGCGAGGGCACTGAAGTAGTAGGCACCAGGTGTCTCAGTTGGCGCTGTAGACCAGCTGATGTCTCTTACGTCGTACACCTGCAGTGTTGTCTGTAGATTGCTGGTTGGCCCTGAATAGTAGTCTGTAGAATACTCTTCCATCAAATTATAATGATCCAGAAAGCCCTGATCGTTCACGCCAGTGTTCCAGCCTCCCATGTCCTCCCAAGGCGTTGCGTCGGTGTAGTACGAACCCATAGGTCTGTCTACGTCGCCAAAAAGACCGGATAGTTGCTGCTATACTTTCGCAAAAGCGGGGACGACCTGAAATCTGCAAGTGAAAGATGTGAAGAGTGTTGACCAGCTTGATAGACTATATGACACTTTCGTACTCACACCGGAGGCTACCTGCATGCTGCCGAATTCCTGTACACGCCTGGGCCGCTGCACATGCATGCATTTAGGAGAAACCAAATGATAAGGCAATCGGCTGCTTCGACTTCGCAGGCTGGTCGTCCGATGTGAGCTTCCTTGGGATTGCTAAATGAAGCACCAGATACGGGCTACAAGGACAATCCAATAGTCCATGTTTCCTAGACAGACACCCATAGCCTTTCTTGGGACCGAGCCGATCCTTCCGCAAGGCCTGTTGTGCAAGGGAGAGGCCCACGCGCCTGTCATTGGCGCGAAAGGCCGTAAAGGTGGTGTCGTGGTCAGCACAACGCTAGCAAAAGCACTGGCTGGATTGGATGGTGATGGCAATCATCATTGCACGACAGGTACTTCCTGGGAGGCGAGCCGCACGCAATTGAGGACGGAGGCTGAGAGGGAGATGCGGATCGCTCTGGCCGTCATGCAAAGGTTGCCTTGAATGTCTTGGAATGCTGGGTCAGTGTGCAACCTATAATGCAGGTGTGAAGCATCACGTGGGCTTTGCATTCTTTCTGCAATGACAACATGCTCGAGCATTTCGTTCAAGCGGTGAACGCGCCAAAGTGGGTCCGCCGCAGAGGTGTGCTGAATTCCACATATATGGACGACAAGATCAATGCGTATGCCAGGAGTTTCTCATGAAAGGTCTGGAATGCTCGGTATGGCTGTCTCGGTCGGGAAGGACACGGCTCGGCTGTGGGCGAGTGCCTATCATTTCAAGGACCAGAGAGTGTGACCATCGTCAGGGTCATCGCAGGCTTCCAGCCGCCCACAACCTTCTACCAAGCATCATTTCGCAGTCACGAGACTATGTTGGTTTGAATGTCTTGTCAATGCACTGATGGCGATTGTTCACGGACGGCGTGACGTTGAGTGGAGAATTCTGCCCGGGCAAGCAGCAGCGTCAACAGGCCACGATCGAGAAACGTTTTCCTTTGTGGTCCTCGACATGGCAAGTCGTTACTGCTGAGCGCCGTGATAGATCGAGGACCGTGGTACAATGTCTTGAGGTCGTACAGTGACGCCGGCAGCTGTGAAAGGGAGGGTGCGGTGGAGCGGGACTAGCCGGATCCACTGCCCACGTGCCGATCCACGTTCCCGGGCACGTGCCATTGCAGTTGCGGGACTTCACCTTGTCTATTCTCCTCAATTTACTGTTCAGAAGCGTCCTGACTCCACTCATCCTACCTAAAAGCACATTGCTTGACTGTTGTATTTGAGTCTGCGCCATCTGAATCTTGACGCGGCACCGCTACGCTTCCTATTTCGATCCGACTCACGCCACACCAAGTATGAGGCCTTTTGCACGCTTAGGGTCCTCGTTGTTATCCTGGCATTGCTCGTGATGGCATCCGCGGCCAGTCCTCCCGATCTCGATCTGCTGGCCAGAGACATCGGCTCGCGTATCAACGAGGAGCTTCCCAACATTCTGCGTCAACTTCTCAATAATGGACAAGTTGATTGGGCTGCCGGGCAGCTCCATTTCGAATGTTCTCTTCTTAGTGGCAATGTCAGGGCTGGGAAACGTTCACAGGCATTTAAGGTAGCGTCAGTCGAGCTTGCCACAGACATTGGCACCCCTCCAGGTCTTCCGACACCTACCGCAGATCCCGAAAGACACCGTCTGCAAGACCCTCAGCCTCAACCGCCGTCTCAGATTCCTTCTGAAACAAGCACAGTAGCTTGGTCTCCAAGGACATTCAGAGCTCGACTTCCCGCTCCCTCGATATCTGACGATGAGTCTCGGCCTGCTAAGCGACGAGCAACTGGAGGTCTTAGGATTGGTAACGGTGACCAACAGCCTGACGCCAACAATTCAATCACGAGGCGCCTTGAAAGTGACGGGAGAGTGTTTCCCCAACGTAAGAAGCGGTCGCCAGATAATCCGAACTTACAGCCATCGACATTGGAGAAATTCATTGGCGGCGTATGGGAGAGCATCTTTTCAGGTGTAAAACTGGACCCGGCTGAAGTGATTGAGCAATGGCAGGCCATAGAGTCAAGCGGTCAGCCGAAACTGCTGATGGACGCCGAGAGCGAGATAGCCGGGCGTGATGACTCTGTCGTGCAAGGCATGTTCGGACGGATGAACGTTCTCGCGCGAAAGATTAGCCAGACCAGCCGAACGTGCAGGTCTTTGGAGGTCATTGTACAGGCACGTTGGGTGCAAGCTTTCGATGATCGAGTGATCGAGCTGACGGCAAGTATGACCAAGGAGAAGGCCAAGAAGGCAGCCATTTCAGAAGCCTGTGTGGATTTCAATTGGAGCGAAAAGGAATTGAGGAACAAGATGGGCATTTGGCGAGGCTATCACGACATTGCCAAAGCTGGAGGATGGGCTGCTCTTGTTTTTGCTGGTACGCATGTCCTGTTCCGTGCCTTATGACCTTGCTGACACTTCACTCTTTCCCCAAAGGCATGGGCCTCTATCGCTTCTGCAAATATCGAGTCTCATTCACAGAAGAAACTTTCCAGACACTAAAAGGTCTGAGACATCGCTTTGAAGTCGCAGCAGACACTCTTCACCCCCGCTGGCGAAACCTCCTCGCCATCGTCGGAATCATGGAAGATCGAAAATACACCGGCCATCCCCACGACTGGGTCGTCTGCGGACCAAATGACGAACCGATTCCCCTCCCCATAACCTATCACCAGTGGGACAAGAGCTTCAGCTACAACCACCTGGAAGAATCCCTCATCGACGAAGACGCATGGGGCCTCTTCGACCCTCGCACCGTCGTCCTATCCACCGAATCGTCGCCCCACCGTTGCACCGTCTGCAGCGAAGAGCAATCCGAAGACCCTCGCCTCAACAGCTGCGCTTGCTTCCCGAACCTATACGATGCTAAAGCAGGCTCCATACCCGTCCAAGTCTACCGAACACCCAACGGTAAGAACAACGGCCTCCTCGCGTGCTGTTCCTTTGAGAGAGGCATGGCAGTCGGGGAGTTCGTAGGCGAGATCACGTCCGGTCTGAGTAACATGGACGTCATGGTCGGCCAGACGGAGCGAGCGGCGTATCAGATCTGGCAGGGAAAACAGGGGAATCATACCCGCTTCGTGAATCACTCGTGTCAGCCGAATAGTCAGTTTGAGAGGTTTGTCTGGTTGGGCACGCAGCGGATCGTGCTCGTTTCAAAGGGCATTGAGGCTGGGGAGGAAATTACTGTTGACTATTCGGATACGTATTGGAAGGTGGGTAATCCGATACTATGCGTCACGTTGAATAACATCCATGCTGATGAAATTGCAGAATCTCGACAAAGAGTGCTTGTGTAATCAACCGAAATGTCGCTATCGAGGGCGTAATAGGCATTTATTAACACCGCCTGAATCTACGTGAAGACCTATACATACCACCTAGAAGTCTAATGTACGGTTGATTGATGAATTTTTCTCGGCGGTCTTGCTGATATAAATTTAGTATTTCTCCGATACCACAGTCGTTCATCATCCCTACATGCTCTCTCTCGCCTTAAACCTCGTCTCAAACCCCTCCTGCTTCACAAACCAAGAATTCCTCGTCCGCCACTCCAACCCCTCGTCCGCCATCTCCACCTCAAAATTCCTCAACACCGTCGGCACCAACTTATAAATCTCCAACAACGAGATATTCTTCCCGATGCACGTCCGCGCACCCGCGCCAAACTGGAACATCGCCGCCTTCATGGCCTGCAACTGATCGGGTTTCGCATCGATCCAGCGTTCGGGGCGGAAGACGTCGACGTCGTGGCCGAAGATCTCGGGTCGCCGGTGCAGCACCCAGGCGTTGCAGCCGACGATGGTGCCGCCTGGGATGTGCTCGTCGAGGATGCTTATGCCTTGGGGTGGGACGACGCGTTCCATTATGAGGCCTGGGGCGGGGTGTAGACGGAAGGACTCTTGGATGACGGCGTCGAGGTAGGGGAGTTTGAGGCTCTCGAGCCAGCTGACTTTGCTGTGAGGGCGTTGGGCGATGGCGCCGTTGGCGGAGGCTTCTTCTAATTCGGTCATGAGTTTGCGGTAGACGCGGGCGTGTTTGATCAGGTGGTAGAAGATGCTGCTCAGGCTGATGGCGGTTGTTTCGGATCCGGCGAAGATCATGCTGGTGCAGCTTGCTAAGACTTGCTTGTCTGTCATGAACTCGGGGTGGTCGTGCGCTGCCTGTGTGAACTTCATGAGTAGGTCTACGCTTTTGCCTGAGCTTTCGTTGAGCGAGCCGTCCTGCTTAATCTTCTCCATTTCTCCTGATCTTTCAGCCGACCGAGCGAGTGCGAACTTCGTGACTGGGAAGACTGTCTTGCTGATACCCCATTTCTGCAGCTTGAGCTTAATGAGGTTCTTCTCGAATAGGAGGTCCAGTAGTGGAATTTGGCCAACTGGAGCAGCATAGTCAAGGAACTTCCCAACGAAGGCCACGATGCCATCGACATCTTCGTCTAGATTAAGTGTGTCAGCATGATACTCCTCACATAGGCTCTTAGGCTCCACTCACTTCTCTCAACAAATCCGAGCCGCTTGCTCCAAGTCAACTCTCCAATGACATCAAAAGCAAAGAACTGCAGCCATCTCGAAAAATTGCAGCGAGCACCCGTATCGCAATAACGTCGACGTGTCTGCTCAATGAAAGCGTCCATCGTGCTATCGACCAGAGGTTCGTAGTTGACCAGAGAGCTCATGGAGAATGCTTTGTTGACACATCTTCTGTACTTGGCATGATAGTCCTCATCTTTCGTCGAGAAGAGTGATTCCAGTCGTTCCCCTTTGGACGTGGCTTGCTGGACAATGTAGAAGTCGCTCTTGCGCATGCCCTTGTTGAGGCCATAGATCGTCTTGATGGCTCTCGGATCCGCGAAGGACAAGACGTTGGGTCCCAATCGGACGATGTCGCCATGCTGTCGATGCAACTGGATATGAGTGTGTTCAGTCCGTCGACCTAGTGCGTCGAAGAATCTCCACCAGTCCGTGTATGCTGCGAGAGGGTGGCCGGGATACTTGTTCAAACCGTGATAGTACTTGTTTCGAAGCAAGTGTGTGATCACGCCGGCGAATAGCAAGGCTGGCCAGTAGGTATAGACAAGTGGAATAAGCTCTTTGGCAAGCATGTTGAATGTAAGTGCCTCTCGTGTTGAGATTAAAAAAGCTCAGAAGTACCTCGAGTCTTGAAGTTGAATGCTCACGAAGAAGATCAGTTAATAGACTACCTTGAACAAGTGCCGGCCAGTTCGTGTTGACAAGCATATTCTAGGCAGTGTCTGCAACACACGGCAGATGATGAAGACACGGCAGATGGGCCTTTACCGTATCAAGCTATTAAGTCAGCTTAGTAGTCGTGGCTCGTACAGCACTGCGGTGACTGGACCATGACCTTGCCCTAGAATAAGCCAATGCAATACGGTGCTCTATCGAGTCGCCGACACGTTTGCTTTTGTTTGAAGTGCAAACGCAATTCGTTGCTCATGGTAAGAGTGTCCAAAAAGAAACGCGGTATCGAAGTGCCGATGGGCAGCCAACCCTGTGGTCTGGAAAGGTGGAGGTGGAGCCCAGCCCCAAAGTCTCCAGGTTCGGCAGTTGATCAGTCTTCCTTTCGCCAAGCCTTGAGTATGATGTTGGTGAAAGCACTTCGCACACACAATGCCCTCAATGAGTGGCTTCATGGCAGATGGATTCAAGAGTGATTGGTGGTTCGCAGTGCATCTCGACTTTCAAAATCGCGTGGTGGCTGTTGCTTGTCCAAGTCCAAGTTTGAAGCGTCGAAGACAAAGCACTTACCTTAGAGTGCTCCATGATGGCATCGCTCACCTTAAGAGAGCCTTATATTGCAGTAAGCAATGATTTTGGACCATGTCCGTGTATCTGGGCTGCGACTTCCTCCGATCGTCGTTAAAAGCGTCGTCTTGAAACCGATAATCAATGCTGTTCTCGCTCCACTGTGCTCGCTGCTCTTTCGACAGCGACGTCCGGTCCTGAATGCAGCCGGGGACAGATACCAGGCAATGAATTTCCTTGCACTGCACGAGCTGCAGTATGTCGTCTTGGCTGAATGAGCGTAAAGACTTGGCGTCTGCAGGTTCGACATGGAACATTTGTGATATCGTAACAGGTTCAATCCAGCTGCGGGGATTCAAGGGATCTAGTAACAACCTACTAGTTCAATACCGCCGGCTTGAACATGAGGCCTCGTGCAGCTGAGCAATGACATCAACAGGGCAGTAGTCACAGTGTTTTCGGCAGTCCAACATTCCGTCGGTCGTTACCTGACGAGTCTACGCTCCGTGACGCAAGTGTATTCATGCTTTTCCTGTTGCTACCCATGTGAGATGTGGGACACTTTCAGTCTGCTTTCTTCGGGTAGACGGGCAGGGCGCCAGTGGTGCATTGCACGACTGTCGCTGCTTAGCATCGGGGCGCTGCTGGTAAGCGAGCGACATAGAATCGGAGGTCGCTCCAACCCTGGCGAGACGAACGTCGTCATCGGCGAGCACCAGCATGCAGTCTGAGGTGGAGCTGCAAGAGGTCGGGGAGATGCGAAGCGGCTCAAGAGAGAGCGGCCTGGACTCCATCGGCGCCGGCGCTGTGTGTGCTTGTGTAACACAAGTGACGCGGTGGCTCTCCAGGTTCGTGAAGAGGCGTAGAGACCGTTCCTGTTCCTGTCTCAGCAAAGTCGTCAGTATGTCATTGCGGATGATGTCGCTTTGCAGCAAGGCCTGCTCTCCTGCTGCATGACATCGCACTTGCAGGAGGGGGACTTGGTGCGGCCCGCGCAGTCTCCACAGTCCACGTGCAGTCGCATCGATCGCCATTGAGCCTCAGGAGACGTCTTTGCTCAGTGAAGAATCAGCGATGCGACATGCATGTCAGGCCTGTACATCCCGATGCCTGACAGTATCGTTGATACCCGCGCTTCTGTAGAGATATGTCTCGAACAAGTGAGATGCAGGCGAGCATGAGCTCCTAGCAATGGTCCCAGATGTTGCGATGGCGAGGTCAGTGCGCCCGGAGCAGCACTGCTGTGTTTCTGGGACGTCCATATAGACACTTACGTGCCTCGAGGTACAATCATGCTGCAAGATCGTCATAATGGCCCCCAAAGTAGCCGCCTTAGCACAGAGTGAATCGAAATCCAAGTTCTTCCACCGGCTTGGTCTGCGAACGGACAAGTTGCACGACCGGCGACTATATGCAACAATGAAGGCAAGTAGATCCGACTGCTCAGTGTTGATGGCGATCTGATGGTGCTGAATAGATGGAGGCTGCCGAAGGGAGGAAGCACTTGATCGACAGTCATGCTCCGTAAGTCTTGGCTGCTACATGTATCCAGCTGGAGCCTCGTGCGCCTGACGGAATCCGGCAGGGACGAGACAATCAACGAGACCGCTATGCATCGCGAGATTCTGCGTATATATAGTAATGCGAGCGAGCGGACCAAGGCCGTCTACGAACTTGGCCATGATACCGAAGGCGTGGGAGAGGAGAATTGGGTAGTTCGCTGGCTATTATGGCATGCATTCAGATACCGGGATCAGCGCAACAACCGCAAGTCGAGGTCGGGTTCGCAGATCTCTGTCTCTGGAGATGAAGAAGACCTCTCTTCCAGCGCGGATGTTCAAAGTACACCAGAGTTTGGTTTGCCGGCCGAAGGCAGTAGCATCGGCGCCAGTCGTGTCGAGAATGTGGAAGGTGAGGGAGGTACTACCACGTGATATTCGTAAGGAAGCTGATTCTCGATTGATGTAGTTGCGCGGAGCCCCCGTCGATTCTGGGATCCTGTTCGCGGCGCGTGGCAGGATGCATGACACCGGGCCTTGATGTTTATGACCACATTCGCCGGACGAGTGCCTCCGACGTAGGATTAGCTCTACACGGGCGATGCTGGCTAGCTGCGAGACGCTATCGCGAGTTCGCCGTACGAAGGGCGACCGAGTTCGTGAGCTGCTGACAGATGTGCCTCGAGGATGTTCGGTCCAGTCAAAACTGCGGCCATCGTCGTAGGGAGCCTCCCGATTCAGACGCTCCTAGAACGGGCCCAGTAACTTGTCCACTTCGCAAAGAGATGGTCTCGTTCGCTGCCGACTCCACATAATGCGGACTATCCCCTCCATGTAGATATGCGTATCTCATCACGTCTGTTCACGGATCGTTGAATGTTTTGCAATTTGGAGCCTACACCAGCGTCCTCTTCCCATTTCTCATGTTCACCTTTCCCAGCACCAGCATCTTTCTGTTCTGTCCAGCTGAAAATGGCAGCACCTCGCCGGTATGGACTGTACAGTGATTTGGTGATAGTTGGCTGACTCGCACTGTTGCAGCGCACGCAGCACGCTCACTCTCGAGAGCTTCGCACAGATGGGGGGTTTCCTGGCTCGGGGGCGTGGTCATAACCGGAGGGATGGAGAATGGCCAATTGCTGAGTCGATGTATTTCGAGCGGATGGAATAGTCGAAGAGGTACTGAATCGAAGCGAAAGGCCCCGGATCCACCACAAGCTACTTCTGTCTCACCACGGCTCTACTTCTGGCAGAATGGAAAAAGGGTGGATGCCGTTGCAGTGATGCTTTGATGCCGCCATGTAGGTAGCATCTTCATCGCGATTGCATAATCCCTGAAGACTGCTTGCCGGTGATCTTTGTCGAAACATGATCTTGTCGTGCAACGTGAGGTCCAGGATCGATCACAAGCATCCAAGGCAGTCGCCCTGCTCGCTCCGGACATGGGTCCGTGGCGCTTGTCTTGGAGTCCAACCGCGACGTCGACCACTTACCATCGTTTCGTGAGCTTGATCAACATCGACGTCAGCAGAATAACAACTACGAGCCAACCCTTCGCACATGATACGATGTCTTGCTGGACCTCACGCGCGTACCACTGGCTTCCACACCGTACGGCCCCTTACTCAACTCCTGACGACCAATATACCCCTTTTCTTGCTCGCAGTACTCGACACAGTCAAGAAAGAGTCTCGTAAGCGGATGTTTATCTTCAATTCATGCGGAGATCAACACTATTTGCAACCTGTTCATGGCTAGGTCCATCGTATCTTTGCCGACGGAAGACCACAATCGGGCAGACCACGGCACACAGTAATGCTAGCTGTACACAGCTTCGATGCAAACATATGATGTTGTGAAGACTGGCTATTCTATCACTTAGAGTCCAAGAGATAGCAGTCTATCAATCATCTTGGACCCCAGGCACGATCACGTTGCGCTTTCGAGCTTCCAACCTAAACGCAACCACGCTACAATATCGACGATTTTTGCATTATCAAGGGTTCAAAACTCATACTGGCTGGTCTGCGGTGGGTTCCATCGGCACTCGAGAAGTTGTTAGGTCTTGCCGAAGGTGTATATTCAATGAGTATGCTCAACAAGAGCTGGATTTATAAAGACTGCGGCGATGTGGTTTCATCAAGCCTTGGGCTGGTATCGCTAACGTCTCGTTTCCTTCGTCAAAGCAGAACATATCAATTATAACAAGTTCGAGACCAGACCACATCGATGCCATTTGTCCACCTAAGACTGAGGCCGTATTCTTAATAAAGTCGCTGCCTTTTCGCTACTCGCACAACCGGGATCTCAACCTTGTGCTAACACAACCCACTTCCGAAGAACGCGCCTACTGTCACATGTCAAGAATGCTGCGATGCCGATTCGAGTAAGGCCGTGGCCGTAGAGTGTAGATATGAGTCTCCGTCGATGCGCACGATGTTTGTCCCTAACGCTGTCTTCACATTCACTCGCCAGACGAAACATATCATGTCTCACACAATTTTACAGCTGCACGTCGCCGTCATTCTGCAGGGATCAAGGGTCGACAGTCGACTCCACATATGCGGGTTAGCGACATCGTGCAGACGCACGTGGCCTTCGGACCACGACTCGTGCGACGACATCGCACCTGGTTCCCGGAGTCATGTTTGTTGACTCTTTGCCTGTTCCTTGCCATGTCCCGACTTCACGCAGCGGACTTCGTCCCTCACAGACTCTCGCTGTCTCCATGTGCTCCCCTATCCCATCCTCACTCGAACACGTCAGACACCCTCACGATGAAGCTTGCAAAGGCGTGGCTGGACTGAGGAAGCTAGCTGGCTGAGCTGCGGTGTAAGCAGTGCCACTGGAGTGCTGCTCTCGTTACACGTTGTCCTCTGCCCGTCTGAGACGCGACGGGCATCACGAAATCTTCAAGAGCAGGGAGCGGCAAACATGTTGTGATGAGTGGGTGGGAAGATCAGGAATTGGGCGGGAGATAACTTGACACTCGCAGTCAGAGGAAAGCACCCAGAAACATTGACATGATGTATTGAAGGAGAGCGAAATTGGCCTACATACTCGCGGCGAAGAAGCGTAGCTGCGCATGTTTCAGTGACTATGAGAGCGAGTACGCTTGAGCAGTCGTTGACATACTTGAACATGTAGATCGGAATCACTCAGATACATGCGAATTGGTTTGGCACTGCGGTTCTAAGTCAGGCTATTATCAGCGGTCATCAAGACGGTATGGTAACATCAAAATCTGATGTTCCGTTTCAAGACTGCGTTACTCCATCCAAGCGAAGATTTGTCGTAGTTGCATCGTCGTTGTCGCCGCATTGATGGAAGCACCCTCAATTGATCGCGAGTTTGTGCAGACAAGCTGTTTCGTGGCCGCATCAGACTGCGTGGTGGGTCGTTAAAAGTATTGGTGGATTGGAGAGAGCCTCAGCAAGACCAAGAGTTGCTTGCCTGAGGTGTTCAAGGGTCCAGCATCCCGCTCCTTCCCGCACTACTTCAGTCGCTCTCACCCAGCTCCTGTCTCCAAATTTCTCTCAACATCACAGCAAGCAAACATCCAGCACTCTCAAACCAAACATCAAACACGCAGCTTTCAGCAAACCGAACTCGAGAAATCGCAGAAACATGTTCTACAACATCGCGAAGGCTATGACCGGCTGCTAGAAGCAGCTCATCAGAATGCCTACCACCCACCTGCCGGGTCATCTCGACAGCGTCCGCCAGAAGGCGCGCCCAAAGCACCAGCTGCTGGTCCTCAAGTGCTACCCGCGCTTGCCCAAGAACTCCACCGCCGACCTCAATCCCAACAGCTCCGAGCTGTCGTATCTGCTCTACTATGGCTCGACGCGCCCCAACAAGCTGCCCAAAGTCGGCACCTTTCTCGAGCAGAAGACGGCGCACGACGTGTGGCGCTGGCAGTCCGCCCGCGTCCTGGTCACGCTCCAGATCCTGACGTCGATGATCGAGCACAAGGGCATTGGTCGTGCCAGGAGCAACTTTGCGCTCATCGCACCATCGGTAAGACTCGCTCGCGCTGAAGCCACGCTGGCCGCGTCTTGACGCTGACGTAATGCCTAGGTGCTGAGCATTCTCCGCGAGATCGTGGCCAACACGAACGACATCAGTCTCATTGAGGCCTCCACCAACACGTGGGATGTCTTCTGCCGTCACCAAGACGTGGCCCATCTCGCCGCCGACTCCGGCTACCGCGCTCTGTACGAGGAAGTAGTGCGCCTCTACGGCTCCCTGGCCAAGAACAACGCCAAAAAGCTGGGCAAGCTCACCACCATTGTCGAACAACACGACGCTACTCGTATGCGCAAAGCCGGAGTCGCTGCCATCAAGAGCATCTTCGCGACCACCGAGCTCGATCACCAGTGGAACCGCGAGTACGATGCAGCCTTCGCCGCAGTCCTGAGCAATCTCCGCAGGGACTTGAACCGTGACGAAGAGCCACAAGACTACCTCAAACACCTCATCACCCTCTTCAACAAGAGCGAGGGCGATACCCAGCGCGCACCAAATCTGCGCCGCTCAAGCACTGCCACCGTCATTGTCCGCTCATTCTCCGGACTACAAGACGAGGTCGAGACAGACCCTCGCGTGGCAGAGGGCACAGCACAAGATGCGGATCGTCTCGAGGAGGAGGAAGTCGGCATACTCGCCCTCGATTGTCTCAAGACGATCTTTCAGTCTCAGAACCGCGCGCAGGCCAGAGGAGGGGCCATTGCATACATGCGGTATCTGGCCGACGAAGAACAGCGCTACATTGCTGTTGGGAAGATTACAAGTCTTGAGCAATGGGCAGCCACACTTTTCCGTCTCATCACCACCTGGACGCCGGTGCATGTGAGCATGGACTGAATCTTGCATTGTTGTTCACATACTAACATCCTCGCAGGACCGATTCATACTCCTGGTCACGGCGTCCGAAACCCTCGTCAGGCACCCACTCGAGAAGACACACAACTTCCGGGTCGCCTTCATCTACGCCAAGGTCATTCAGAGCGTCCTCCGCTCCGACCTCAACCTCATCGGTCTGTCGGCCATCGACATCTTGCTCGCGTTGATCAACCAAACCATTCGACTTACAGCCCTCGCCGGGGCTCGTCCTGCGCAAAATATCGAACTCCACCGTGTTACGACATACAACACAGATTTCAAGCGCACTACCACCTCGTCGTCGCAAAAGCACGCAGCTGAAGAGTTGATAACATACCTCAAGGACTGCATCGCCAACCTAGCCCGACACGTGTACTATGCGAATCAGGTTACGGACATGATCTCGTTCATAATATTGCGAGTCCAGGCGACTGCGACGACGGTCAACGCAAGCAAAACCTCATCCGAAGAGAGCCGCCCAGCTACCAAAGCGGAGGGCCAGGCGGATGGGAAGGTGTCAAGTAACGACCTCGCATCATCAGCGGGTCGGCCACAGACGGAACCGAAGGCACACACCAACATTCAGGTTCGTACCACCACATTCAACACGGAGGCCGGGCGACAACTCGCGCTCGAAATCATCAAGGACATCATTGACGTTGCCAAATCCTCACAACAATTCTCCGCGGGATCAGTGGTTATCAATCGTAATAGGGTACCACTCGGAGTTTGGGAAGGCAGTCAATGGTTGTCGCGCGACCCATCAGAAGGGGTTCGCAAAGCATACAAAGAAGCCCTCACCATGTGGGCTCTGCATGAATCGGAGGAGGGCGAGAAAGCACTCGGCCTGATCGACTTCGACTCCGATGATTGCATCGAAAGACTGGCTGAGAAAAACAAGCCAGCGTCACTCCAGGGCAGCACGGGACAGAGTCACCGCAGTGCTCATCCCCAGCTTCTGATGCTGCCCAACACTGGAGTCGACCGTCGTATGAGCTCGGCCAAGAATTCGAGCAACGACACGGAGGAAGCGCCCAAGCCGCGCTACAGGTACGCTGATCTCAAGGAGGTGATTGAGGGCAAACGGTTCGTGCAACCATTCAAGTCCAACGATGACGATGAGCCGTTGGACGTGAAGGCGCTGCTGGCTTCGATTCCCAAGCCGAAACCCAAGCAGATGCCCTTTAGCATGGAACCGCCCAATCACCGTCCGTATTGATTGATCGCTGCCTGAGGGGGAGATATGAAGGGAAAGGGGGGTGTCACGCTGTCGCTTATGGGAGATGGGGTGGAAAGGAAAGAGCCTCGCGGTCGTTTTGCAACCTATAAGCATCGACTCGCGCTATAAACGGGCTGGCGGGCACTCATTTATGCCAGGAGATGTGAGAGAGATTTGTTTGAGGGATTTTACGGTACGGTCTGCGTCATTTGGACAGGCCGGTGAGATGAGGATTTTTGATGAGCGACATTCGTGATACCCCAATGCGTTGACTTTTGTGCGGAAGATTTTCAACTTTCACTTTCACTTCTCCACGAATTGGCTACTAACAGGTGAAAGTGCAGACGTGAAAGATTGATATGATCCAAAAACTTTCAATTCATCGCAGGCCTGTATCCCGCTCCCCCACACAATAAACACAAACATCTACAAAATCTTAGCCTTGACATACAAATCCATGTACTCATCCACGGGGGTCTTGTACAGCTCGGCCGGGTTATTGCCCAAATCCACCAGCTTCTGCACATGCTCCTTGGGGAAATGCGGCGAGATGTGTCGCAAGTACTTGGCCATGATCTCGGGCTTCGCCTCTTCTCTCCGGAGTCGGTGGCCCAATGGCGCCTCGACGACCTCTTCGTCCAACACGGTGCCGTCCTTGAGCGTGACGGTCAGGGCGTTGGAGATGGTGCGCTTCTCGGGGTCGTGGTAGTCGGTGGTGAAGGCGGGGTCTTCCCTGCAGGCGATGCGTTGGCGGAGGGATTCGACGAGTGGGCTTGTGGCGGCCTCGCCGCCGTCGGTGTAGTCGTCGGCGGTCAGGCGGCCGTAGACGAGCATGACGGAGCACATGTACTGCACGCAGTGGTCGCGGTCGGCGTAGTTGTCCATGGGCTTGAACTGCTTGTCGATGATGCGGATGCAGGCTTCGTGGGTGCGGTTGGTGATGGACTCGATGTCCTCGGCGGATTTGCCCATCTTCTTCAGCTTGTGGTAGATGCGCTCCGAGGCCTCGACGGCGGTTTGCGAGTGGAATTCGGCCGGGTAGGAGACCTTGAAGAGCACGTTCTCCATCACGTACGAGCCGTATGGGCGCTGGAATTTGAATTTTTGGCCGTTGAAGTTGACGTCGTAGAAGCCCCAGACTGGGGTAGAGAGGACGGTTGGTAGGCCACCCTCGCCTTTCATGACCTTGAGGGCCATGTCTACGGCACGCTGGCAAGCGTCACCGGCAGCCCAGGACTTGCGGGACATGGTGTTGGGAGTGTGGCGGTAGGTTCTCATGCTCTGGCCGTCGACCCAGGCCTGGGAGATGACGGCACGGGTCTGCTCCTCGTTCAAGCCGAGCATTTGGGAGACGACAGCGGCGGAGGCAACCTTGACGTTCACGACGTGGTCCAGACCGACCTTGTTGAAGCTGTTCTCCAGAGCCAAGCAACCCTGGATTTCGTGTGCCTTGATCATGCCGTGGAGCACATCGAGAATGGTGAAGGTCTTGCCATTGTTGATCTTCTCGCCTCCTGCCTTGTTTGTCCTGTTCATCCAGTCTGCCACAGCGAGAATGGCTCCCAGGTTGTCCGATGGGTGACCCCACTCAGCCGCCAGCCAGCAGTCGTTGAAGTCGAGCCATCTGATGATGGCACCAATGTTGAAAGCACCATTGACTGGATCGAGGACGTAGGGAGTACCTGGCACGCGGGTACCGTTGGGAACGACGGTGCCTGGGACGACTGGGCCGAGGAGCTTGGTGCAGGTTTGGAACTTGAGGGCTTCGAGACCGCAGCCCAGGGTGTCGAGGAAGACGAATCGAGCAGTGTCGACCTTGTCACGGCTATCAGTACATGATGTGTTACCAAGAAAAATGTGTTCTTTCTTACAGCGAGATCGGAGTTGATCTTGTAGTTGTGGATGTAGTCTGCCATGTCCTTGATCTCGGGATCATACTCTGGCTTTGGCCCCGCGGGGGCAGCACTGTGAGGAGCCATGGTGGTGGAGAAAGCTCTTGCAGATTGCAACTGGGAGAGGGGAGATCGGTGCGGTCTGAGGGATTGCTGGACGAGTTTTGTAGAGGTGCAGAGTGGAGCTTTGCTGCTGCTGCTGCTGCTGCTGCGGCTTAGGCTTCTGGACGTGGTTCGGAGGAGGCTTCGAGCAGCAAGAGATGACATTGCTGCGGGTTGTGTGGGTGGTGGTGGTATATGTGGAGGGAGAGGATGATAAGGAGGAGCAGCTAGTTCAACACTTTTCTTCAGCTCCTTGACCAGCAGCGAAGAAAATGTGGTATGGCTGGCAGCTGGGACAAGCCTACATCAACACAGCAACCCGCACGCTGCAGCTGTTTTCCAATGGCCGAGGGTCAAGGAATCGCTCTGATTCGACGCTGGTCCCTGCAGAAGCTGGGGCCGCGCTCGGGCAGATGAGCGATCTCGCTCACATCGACCTTGTCTCTTCCAACAGCCGGGAATAACCACCCCACGAAGTCGCTCATTTTGCCGAATACCATTGGCGACGAGAACGATACGGAAGGACTGGATGCAATAGAACAGTCACTCGACATGGCAGACCTCAAGGACGACCAGGTCGACCGGCTTGTGTCCGAGATCCATGACTACCAAATCACACACGGCTCCCTTCTCAAGCTGGTCAGGCTTCAGGAGCATGGGAATCCGAGTGTTCCATGTAGGCCGGTCAGTGTCAGTCTGTTACCGACTGCATTCCCTGGACGTCTGTTCGATGATGCTCTCGCGCTGCAGCAATCATTCAATGAACTGTACGTCCGGGCCTCCAACGATCACCAATGGTTAGAAAGTGTCCTTCGCCCATTGCTACAATACGACGAATTCGTGCGTGTTCTATGGAAGATTGTCCAGGACACGAGAAAGCGTGGTCAAGCTCAGCCTATTGTCTGTGGTATCTTTCGATCCGATTACATGGTTCAGAAGGACTCCATGAGCCTCAAACAGGTCGAAATGAACACTTTTTCGGTAGCTGGCGCTTGCCATGCTGAGCGGGCGGCCAAAATGCATCGTCATGTACAGAACGCTCTTGGAATCAAGGTATGTTCTCAGTATCCATATCTCTTACTAGTTGCTATTTGTGGAAGCTGTTGACATTGTTGCTGACGATCGCCTAGCACAACGGTACTTTGCTAGAAAGTAACAATACGTCCTCACTAGTGGAGTCTCTCGCTCTTGCTCATGAGCACTACGAGCAGGCGACATCGCATAAGGTCTGCGTGCTCATGATCGTTCAAGGGATGAACTTCAATATAGCCGATGAAAGGCCGATTGAATACGGATTAGTGCACAAAGGCATCCCTTGCTATCGTTGCGACTGGTATGATGTACTCAGTAGTACGACACTCGATCGAGATGGCACGTTGCTGTTCAGTCATTCTTTTGACGGAGAGCACTTCGAAGTCAGCGTAGTAGTAAGTGACACAGTAACTGCTCCCTTTAAGCATCTCCCAATTTCTCGACGCATTGTCATTCTCTCGTTGAGTCAACCTTGTAAATCGATCAAGCGTTTTCAAAGAAATCATCACGACCTACGCGATCAAGCTGATGTATTCACAGTATTACCGAGCAGGCTACGAGTACGCCGAATACGAAGAAGACGGCATACGCATCCGCCTACATCTCGAGCAATCCCGTGCAATCAAGTGTCCCGACGTCCTAACCCACCTAATGACCCTCAAAATAATGCAAGCCGCCCTTGCCAAACAAGGCGTCGTAGAACGATACCTACCCCTCGACGACGCCTCTGGAGTTCGAGGGACGTTCATGCCAATGCAACCCCTCGACGGATCCGAAGCCAGCCAACGACTCCGACAAGAAGCCATGGCCCCGACCGACGGCGCCAGGTACGTCGTGAAACCCAACCTGGAGGGCGGAGGCCACAACATCTTTGATGAAGCCGTGCCGCAATTTCTAGAGTTGCTCGATCGGGAGGTATCGGGCGGTTATACCATCATGCGGATGATTGAGCCACCTCAAGACATACAAGGGCTTCTCAATACTGGAGATAGGATTTATCGAGGCCCCGTCGTGAGCGAGCTAGGAGTCCTTGGGACATGCCTCTGGCGCAGAGGGAAAGAAGGTGTGGAGATCCTTTCGAACAAAGCAGCAGGTTGGACGTTCAAGACGAAACCCACGGGCGTGCAGGAGATGAACGTCGTCAAAGGCAACGGCTGTTTCGATTGCCCTTTACTAACCTAAATCAACCCACCAAACCCATCCCACATCCCTCATCAATCACAACTCAATCTCCACCTCCCTCGTCGCCGGCTTACTCCGACAAATAAAAATCCCCTGCGGCCCATCCCCCTCCGGGCCATACACCTGTCCTTTCAGAATTCTCACCTCGCACGTCCCGCACATGGCGCTGCGGCAGCCGTAGTCTGGTTTCAGGCCGGCTTGCTCGGCGAGCTCGAGGATGGAGAGGTTGGAGGTGGCGTGCCAGCGGACGGTTTTGCGGGAGAGGGTGAAGGTGACGAGGGCGTCTTCGATGTCCGGGGTGGTGGACATTTTTGTTTTTTATTTTTGTTTTTTGGTTTTGGGTTGGGTTGACTGGTGAGGATGTGAGAAAGTGGTGGATGGAATTGATAGTACGAGGTATATTCATTCACTTACGTTGTTCAGATGTCGACGCTATAGCTTCAGCAGTGTCCGTGCACTCGGCGGCACGCGAAGTAGTCTAGAAATCGTTTCGCTGCGGGCATGTGAACCGCCAAAGAAAATAAAGGATGAAACGACGAAGGGCCGAGGAGATAGGCGGCAACACTTACATTAGCTCGGCCAACGACGGGCAAGCAATTGGCCTCCAAAGTAAAGTCCGTGGAAGCTCCGGTTCTTACATGAACTGCTCTAATTCTACCCTCCTCATATCGCTTAAAACGCGATACTATCATGCCCATAGAACATGTTTTGGATCTTGTCCTCGTTGACGGAACTATACACCAAATATCGTCTGCCTGTCTGCAGTCTGCTCACATCGGCTCAAGCTGAGATGCCGTCAAGGCTACGAGTTTCCGTCTCCCAGCCATCGGCTTCTGCACCGCCTCCTGTGAAGTACTCAGCAGCGGAGTGATCATCTTGCAGAACCCAGCGAAAGAAATGTTATGCAGCAGCACCGTACACGCCTCCCTTTGGCTCTGAGTAAGTGCCCAAGTGACCTGTGTCGACGTTTCCCACCCAGGTAGGGACGCCTTCCGGAACGGCATCGAAGTCGCGCATACCCTGTAATGCATGTTAGCGCTGTCGATTCAAGCCCACCTGCAATGTCGTTGTCCCTTACATTCTCATAAGCAATATCAGACGGCCCACCAAGGAAGAAAAAGATGGGCTTCATCACCTTCGACACAACCTCTTGCGTCCCCTGTTCCGTGAACTGCCCAGAGTTAAAAGTCCCAATAGCGCTCACCCGCTCGTCTTGAGCCTGCTCATAAGCCTCAAGACCACCACAGCTCATCCCCGCCGCGGCGATCTTGCTGGCGTTCATCTTGACATATTCGCCTCTGCCCGCGTTCCCCTGAGCCCAGTCGATCAACTCGGTCATCATTTCCGGGGCTGTGCTGCCTGAGGCGCCTGGTTCGCCGGAGACGAGGACGATGTTTCCCCAGGCGGCGATGGAAGGTGCGGTGGGTGTCGGAGTCGGCGGAGCAGGCGCCGTTGCCCCAGACGATGACGGGGAGGGTGTTGTAGTTGGTCATGTCGAAGGGGCGGTAGATGGTGTGGCCTGGGAGGGTTGGATCGGAGACGATGGTCTGGAGAGGTGAGGTTTTCGTTCTAGTTCCAGGTGATGATTGGAATGACTTACGGGCTCGGAACTCGTTGCTGCTCCTAGAGTCGATGTATTGCTTGGTGCAAGAGGCGTTCCGGTACCTTGTGGGAGAGCCAGGGCCGTTGTGAAGAGCAAGGCCAGTATTTGGATTGATAGTGTGTTTCGTAACATCTTGGAGTAATGCAATCAACGCATTCAGTCTTTTGCGGTGAGAGCAGATCTTGTTTCTGGAAAAGGACTGAGAACGCGAAAGACAAATAAAAGAAGACTGAACCAATACTGGCCTCACATACTATCATCTCAATGGACTCGAAACGTCCTGCAATGCAGATACTTCAAGCATTCTGAACCGCATAGTACGAGACGATGGCGCGTCTCCCAGACCCAATATATCTGAGGGCCCAAGAAGGAGCTTCTCTCGGCTGAGGGACGCTTCAAACATAAGGCGCGAGGTCGTCTCGGACCTGTCAGTAGCTGTACAAATGACCTCGAAGAATACATGGCTGTTGAAACTCAAACTGGGGCCTTCATTGATATTCGGTGGGGGCTATGTTGAAGCGGTCGAAGCATTGTTAGTTTTGCCATGGTGGTGCTTGGTGACGACTTCGCCTGAGGTGGTCAAGATTTCGTCTTTCTCGTGGAAATAGAGACAGTCCATGGCAACGAATCCACCAGTGTGTTCTTCGAAGGCATGTTGCTTAGGAGAATAGAGGACGTGCTTGGCTGTTCTCTGTACATGGCTTTGTTGAACTTCGACAAGGTTGATACTGCCAGATTGCTTCAGCTCTTCGTCTCGTGTATGCAGCCGGGACGTGTCTCTCGCGATGCTGGCAGAGTTGGAAGTGGACGAGGATGGAGATGCATGAGGAAAACGCAAGCCTTCCGGAGGATCACCACCAAGACGCGCCAAGCAAGTGCCAATGTTCCAGGTTGACCACATCCTCCTCCTCCTCCTCCTCCTCCTCCTCGTCCACCTCACACCATCGTCCTCATTTTGACCAGACGCCTCTCTCGCTTTTTACACTGTCGTGTGGCATAGCTGCCGCCGACTCACAGCCCCAAGGCATGGGCAAGGCATCCATCTTTCTTGCGATCTAGCAGTAAGCGTTGCTGCTCAGCCGCTCTGGACAAGGGTATTTCGGGTGCCTTCATAGGTCTGCTCGCCAGACAGCCGAAGAGATATTGGTGATGGTCATTCCGGCGGCTCATCCGAGCTACAGCGCAAATGCAGGTACACGTCGTTGCTGGGGCTGCTGGGTGGACGTATGACGTTGCTTGAACACGCTGGATCCGCCAAAGCAGGAAAGCATACGTACATACTCGAGGGCAGTATCAGGTAGGTGTGCACGTGGTAAGGTATTAAAGATTCCACCTCCTCTCTTCTCTTCAACTCCTACACCAACCAAGCCCTCCAACTCTACATCCACTGCATTCAGCTATCAACATGAACGGAGAACAAAAAATCCCACCACCACCAACAGAGCATCCTGCTCTGCCACCACGTCCCCAGCATGTCGACCCACCGCCGTACAACCCCCAAGACTACGCTGGTCAACCCATGGGCACTCAACAATTCGAACCACCCGCAGACCACGTTCGCCTGAGTCTGGAGCAAGAAGACGTATCATCCCCGATTCACTTCACCCGAGATCCGAAGAAGTTGATAGGCTACCTGGTACCTTTCCCTAAACCCAAGCTACACAACGTGCCGGCAGATCAAATTCCTACTAGATATTTGATCTACACACCACCGCCTCCGCCGATCCGCAGCGACTGGAAGCCCAAAGAAGGCGAGAAAGAGGGGAAGATTCACAAGGTACAACGGAAATGGGAGCAAGAGCTTCGCGAGGCGAAGACTCAGAATGTCAAGACGATGTCATGGAAAGGTGTCAAAGGCAAGGTGACCAAGGGGATTAACTGGGGCATGAGCCAGACCAAGACATCCAATTTGGAATTCCTGAACCGTATCGGTGGCAACCAGGAGGACGATGCGCACGCTGATGACGGCCACCATGAGGGCGAGCAGACGAACAAGACCGTGAAGTTGGAAGAGGTAAGATTGCTGCGACGGTGGCTGAGTATGTGCGATTAGACTGACTCCCTTTTCCAGATGCTCCTTATTTATCCTGCTTCGCTGCCGCAGAATCCAGATCAGATCCGCGAAGAATTCGTCAACACGATGCTTCGATCAAAATCAAAGGCCCAGCGAGACTCGATCATCGCCACGGGTCTCCTCCCCGTCTCTTTCGCCATCGACGTTCTTGCAACGCTGATTTGGCCCTTCGGAGGTCTGCTCGAGATCGACGCCGTCTGGCTATACTCGAGCATTCGGGGTGCAAAGACGAGTCGAAGCGTGACCAAGCGCCTATCATCTACCTCTGACACGAACCACGACGAGGACAAACTCCACTTGAACTTCACGCCGTCATCCCGACTGGCGGTTTTGGAAAAGTACCTTGCAACCAGGTGCCACGAGAAAGACGACAAGCTGTTCCCAAGCTATGTGACAGCGCCCAGCGAGACGGAGGCCCTCGAAGCTATAGGTTGGTTTCCGTCCAGCAAAGGTGGTGCGGAGAGGAATTGGGAGGACGAGCAATGGGAGATCACCGAGGTGAAGGATGATCTCAAGAGTGTAATGACGAAGGGAGCGAGAGAGTGGGATAAGTGGTGCAAGGCCTATGAGAAGCAGCCCGAGAAGGCGTTGAAGAAATGAAAAGATAGATAGATTATCTCGAAAACTAACTGGGCGGCCATGTGGTCGAACACGGATTACAAGGACTCGTCCTAAAGTTGCAATTTCCACGATTAGTGACACCATTAATCGTGGTTCATATCCTGGCTCCTTCACATGCCAGGGGCGTTTTAGAGCCTCAGGCATCAATGCAGCACTGTTTATGTCATCCTTCTTCGATGTGTTTCTTAGCAACCGCACAACTCATCACCACTTCGCCACGTACACCCCGTTTGCCCCTCTTCTCCGACGGGAAGCAATACAGCGAACACATCGGTATATTGTTGGACAAATCGCAGCTTCCATCAGCTGCTCCAACACCGACAACATGGCGCCTGTATCGATCAAATGCAAGCATCAAGGCACCACGTACGATCTCGATGTCGACACCGACTCGACTGGAGAGGAGCTCAAGATGCAACTCTACTCCCTCACGAACGTCGAACCTGAAAATCAGAAGGTGCTTGCGAAGAAGATCGTCAAAGATGACACCCCACTCTCCACGTTGGGACTGAAGTCGGGCACGACCATCACGCTCGTGGGCACACCGTCAGCGAACGTTGTGTCTGAAGTGCCGAAAGAGAAGATGAAGTTTGCAGAGGACATGACAGAGGCAGAACTGGCGCAGCAAGTCGGTGCAACACCTGCGGGTCTTCAGAACATGGGCAACACGTGCTACGCAAACGCTACACTCCAGACTCTGCGAGCCGTTCCTGAGCTGGTGGAAGAGCTGAAATCGTATAGACCTGGTGCAAGTGCGCCAGCCGCAGGCTCATCGTCATCGCTCTTCACGCCTGAGCAGCTCGCACAGCATGGTATTGGAGGTCTTGGTGGAGGCGACGACCTCACGTCTGCTCTGAGGGATCTGTACAGGCAGATGGGAGAGACTCAGACAGGTTTCCCACCTCTCATGTTCTTGACGACACTACGGCAGAAATTTCCTCAATTCGCTGAGCGCGCAAAGAGCGGACATGGTTATGCACAGCAAGACGCTGAGGAGGTCTGGACAAACCTCATTCATACTTTGAGCGAGTCGCTCAAGCTCAAAGAGGGCGATGACGCTGCTGCAGGCTTCAAGAGCTGGATAGACAAGTACATGGGCGGCAAGTTTGAGCTGAAGACGACTTGTGACGACGCACCCGAGGAAGAGCCTGTCATTAACAGTGAAAGCTTCAACGACCTCAAGTGCAACATCCAGGCCGAAACCAACCATCTCCGAGAGGGCATCAGCATTGCCCTGAACGAGAAGATTGAGAAGAACTCCCCAACCCTTGGCCGGACCGCCATGTACACCCGCGTCTCTCGAATCTCACGACTGCCAAAGTACCTTCCAATCCACCTTGTCCGCTTCTTCTGGCGTAAAGACACTGGAAAGAAGGCCAAGATTCTGCGAAAAGTCACCTTCCAGCACGAGATCGATGTGACTGAGTTCTGCACCGACGAACTGCGGAAGAAGCTTATCCCCGTCCGCGACAAGGTGCGTGAGGTGCGCAAGGAGGAAGAAGATGTTGAGCGTGCCAAGAAGCGCCAGAAGCGGATGCAAAAAGAAGCAGAGGAAGCCTCCAAGGACGAGGGCAGCGTTCGAGCCGATGAGCCTCTCCAAAAGAAGAAGGAGAAAGAAGCCGAGAAGACAGCAGGTGCCAGCAAGGACGTTGAGATGGGAGGTACGGAGGAGAAGTTCAAGACTGACGAAGAGATCGAAGCTGAGCGTGCTGCTGCCATTGCCGCCTCGAAGAAAGAATTGCTTTCCTTGGTTCACCCTGACCTTGCTAAAGACGATGGCGCCAACCAGACCGGTCTGTATGAGCTTCGTGGTGTTGTTACCCACCAGGGCTCGTCTGCAGACTCCGGTCATTACACAGCTTATGTGAAGAAGGCGGCTGCGCCTGGCAAGACGGAGGATGGCAAATGGTGGTGGTTCAACGATGACAAGGTTCAGGAGGTGGAGAGTGAAAAGATCGAGACGTTAGCTGGCGGAGGAGAGACCCACAGCGCACTCATCCTGCTCTACCGGGCTGTTGAACTACCAAACCTGGAGGAGACCAAGTAGCCGTCTGGTGGGAGTAGTCGAACGTGGACGAGCGTCGTCCTGGTCACCAAATTCTGCTTACGTGGTGAGCCTCTGCGAAGAAGCGTTTCGTGGCATGGAGCAGCTGAGATAGAAATTCTGAATGCATGATTGAATTGTAAGTGCTCCTGCCTAAACTGTGCCCGACGTTATGCACGTGAAAGCCAAGCTTTGGTCCTGGCTCCACTCGCTTGGTTTCACATTCTAAGCTTCACTTCACTTCACCTCACCTGCACTCTCACCCTTCTTACCTACAGCGCTGCCTTCATCTTCACTCCCTCCCGCCATTCTTCACATGCTTCCCACCTAATTGAGCACCTTTCATCCCGTCATGTTCTACTCACACGAGGGTACGTTCTCCCAACGCAAACGCGGGCTCAAACGCGCTCACTGACATCTGCTGCAGTCCTAACCTCGCGCAAGTATGGCGTGGCAACTGTATGGTATGTTTCAACCGCGTTCCACTGGGCGTGAAACCCGCTGACGACTCGGCACAGGCTTGTGGCCACTCTCGGCTCCAAGTCCACTCTCAAGAAGGTGTCGCGCAAAGCGATCCTCGACGTCGACGTGGGTAAAGCCTGCGAGACCATCGTCGCGCCCCATGCTCCCATGGCCTTGCGCCTCCAGAGCTCCCTCCTGTACGTATCCTGCTCAAATCGAAGATCGCCATAGCTGACAGCAGATAGGTACGGTGTCACACGAGTATACGCGCAACAGTGTGGCTACGTCCTGCACGATGCGGAAGCTGCACGCAACAACATGCGCACCCTCACTAGGATGATGCATAAGGCCGCTCTGGAGCCAGAGGGCGTGCACAAGGCAACGTGAGCATACGTTTCTCAAGATGGGTCTCATTCTAATGCTGATGATCATATAGCGCGGCGCAGCTCAACTTACAAGACGACCCAAACTTCCTACCCGACCTTGATCTCCTACCCATGGACCTCGACAACCTCAACTCCAACTTCATGATGGAAGAGGAGACCCAGTCTGTACTATCGCCACACAACTCGCAGCTCACATTCGGCTCTCAACAAAGCATCGGTGGCCTCATGATACCCTCGAACAGCCCAGCATTTGGACAATCGATGGATGGTGTCGACCTCTTCGGCGGGCAAGGAGGATCCAGCAGAGCTGGGCGAATGGAAGAGCTAGCACAACCCCTTGACGACGATGATCTTGGCCTCATTATCGACCCAGAAGGAAACGTGGGAATGAGTGATGCTCCAGATCAAGAAGCTCGGGCACCATCTGGCAGGATTGATCGCACATCTCCAATTATGTCCGGAGGTCTAGGAGGCATCCTACAAGAGGACGTAGCTATGGTTTGTTGTCTTCCAATCCACTTCTTGCTTGTGCCATAGACTGATGAGCACTAGCCATATCAACCTCAGGTTGACGACAACGGATTTGTACCCTTTCAGGACGACTACGTGTTCGGAGAAGGTACTGGTCCCGGTCAACAGCGCGCGACACCTACCGAGGAGTCTGCAGCACCGGCGCAACAGCGAAAGAAGCGCGAACCAAAGGCACTTGAGCTGGATCGTACCACCACGCTTCACAACAGCGACCTGAACAGATGGAGCGCGAATTACCTCACGAACATGCGCGAGCAGTCTCGAGCCAAGCAAGCCACCAAAATGGCGGCTCTGGCAAAGAAGAACGCCGAGTACTGGTTCATGGGTGCCGGCTCCTTGCTCGGTCAAGGCATGCGTGGTCCTCTTGACCTGCTCTCTAGCGTGCAGCTACTCGAAGCATTCACAGGCGTCGACATCCTCAACCCTGGAAAGAAGCGTACACGTCAAGATGAGGGACCACCAGCATCTCGCAAGCGATCTCGCGGCGAGTCGTCTACAGATGAGCTCGCCCGCGGCCAAGAAGACACCGGCGGCCTCCAGTACGACGACGAAGACATGCCCATAATCAACGACGACACCATCGAGCAAGGCCGAGAAGCACCCACGCCCCTCGACGACCGCCACCTCTCCAGCCTCTTCCCCTGGAACCAAAGCGCAGGCTCGCGCCAACCCACCGACGCCCACGTAACCTCAGCCTCCTTCGGCGGAGGCCCGCAATTCAACCTCATCAGCCGTCGCGGCAGCCGTCTAACCTCCGCATCGCCTCTCGTCGGTCGTGGTCCCCTTGTTCCGGACATCGACACCGACGGCATCCAGTTCGGCGGTGGCTCGGACATCGGCATGGGCGGCGGTCTCACCGGCGAGGAGGAATTCGAACTCTTCGGTCCGGCTGCACAAGTCGACACACAGACTGCCGCGCAGACGCAATGGCAGCGGGCTGCTCTGGGGGCGGAGAGTGCCAACTTTCTCACATTCCTGCAGACTGCCATCGACGATGCAGATATCGCGCGAGCGGACGCAGCTGCTCGCGACGAGGAAGACGAGACTCTCGAGGGGACTGTGGACTTTGAGACGATTCTGCCCCCGGAGACCAATAGCCAGATCGTCGCTGCGCAGGCTCTGCTGCACGTCCTTGCTCTTGGGACGAAGGGGTTGATCCGAGTTGCTCAAGAAGAGCATTTCGGACCCATCAACATGCGGGTTGTGGCTGCATGATTCGTTCTTTTTTTTCGACATCGACTTCTCGACGCTATATCTTGGAAGGGTGGAGACACATACTTATTCGCTGGCTTTGCTTCGACATGTACGGAGGGAGAAGGAGGGGTGCGTTTGCTCAGAGATACCCGGCACTGAAGTGCTACTACCACTATCACTATTGCTAGCCACACTACGTTTGCTCAATACCAATGTTTCAAATCACTGAACCTCTCCCCTTGCCTCCTTCATCATCTCACCTCCCTCATGAACTCAGTCACCAACCTCGCGATCACTTCAGGCCGGTCCACATGCGGAAAATGCCCACTTCCCTCAACAACCACCTGCCTCGCCCTCGGCACCCTCTCCCCCAAGAATGCCATCCACCTCGAGACCTGACCCTCCCTCATCGGAATCCTCTGATTTTCAGCCCCAATATCCGAACTCTGAATATTCAACACAGGAGGCTCGCCTTCCTTCCCCAACAACTCCACCGTCTCCGTCATCCGCTCGCGGTCATAAGAAATCATCGCCGCCCGCACGGCTTGGCTGTGATCCTTATCCATGTCCGCGATGTGCGCTAAAGTGGAGTCGCGGAAGGACTGGGGCGTCAGAGGGGAGAACATGTCATTGAACGCTGCGGTTCTCATTGCGGCTTTTTGGGGTTCTGTTAGGGCCGTGCTGCGTGCGTCGCCTTTGTCGAAGGCGAAGAGGGACGGGCGGAGGGTGTAGTTGCTGCCGTCGATTAAGATGATTCCTTGGATGGATGGGGTAGAGGGGGTGTTGTCGAGGGATAGGCGGAAGGCTTCGAGAGAGATGCGGACGCCCATGCTGTGGCCGGCCAGCACGACCTTTTTCAAGCCCAGTCCCTGACAGAGTTGGAGGACGACTTCTGCGAAACCGGTCATGGATGGCTGTGGAAGTACTTGCGATGGCGTCTCCCCGTGGCCAGGGAGGTCCATGGCGACGATTCGATAGTCGACGTCTTTCTCGGGCTGCAATTGTTGGAGAACAAGGTCGTAATCTGAATGGCGGCATCCCCAGCCATGGATCAGAACGAGGCCGAAGTCGTTCTTTTCTGACCCAGTCGCTTCGTAGGCCAGGCCACATTTGGCAACTTTCATCTCGAGAAGGTAGGCTGGGTTGTGCTGAGGTATGAATACGCTACACACTATTCGCTTCCAATGGCGGACTGTAGTGTTTTTTCCCAATGTTCAGGTTTCGATAGTTACGTCGTCGATGCTTTCGGATTTAATGAGGCTGAGAGCACGGGGCTTAATGTGTCGGGTGGACAGCGATTGTAGGTCAAAAGAGGTAACTGCTGATGCTCTTGCTCCGTTAGCGCTGCTCGTGAAAGAGTGGGTCTAGCTGTATCATCATCTGGCAGGCGGGGAGACACGTGACAGATGGAGCTTAGGCCAGCATCGTTGCATTCATGTCGTCGTGTGTCGTCGTAGTCCTAACTCTGGCGGAGTTGCGTAATCTGCTGTAGGCTACGAGTGTCCTCCAATCTCGCCAGCATATCCAAAGCTGCCCTTGAAAAGTCTTGCCCCAGCTTCAAGACACCGTAAGTGCACTGATGGCCCCGTTCGTCAACACTTCGAACGTCAATCCAGGGAACGAATACAGCTTGGTGTTACCGAGCCACTGCTCGCTGCTGCTGCCTGTTTCCACTAGATCCTGCTCCTCGTCAGGCAAGAAGAAACTGCTGTCGCTCGGATCTGCACCCCAAGTTCTGTTGACGACCTTCCCTCGTCCCATCTCCGATTCTGGCCAAACGTTGTGGAAGGCTTGCATCAGGTCAGGTTTGATGTCGTCGAAGGGGTGTTCAGAGCTCAGAACAGAGCTGGCATCGCGAAGCTCGATAGTCCACCGTAGACGACGGTGTCGGTTGAACGCATAGCTACCAGGTATGTTGCCATGTAGGACGATTTTCAGCACGACCAGATGTGGACTGGACGAAAGTGGTGTAGGGTTGGCACCGGTGTCCTCCATAGATGCCTGGTCGCTGGGAGGGCCAAGTAATATGTCCACACCATGGCCAAAATAGCACCAGAACGTTTCCCTTCCAATCCTCTCCGCCATTTCATCTTCAGCATCTCCCGAGTCAAAGTCTGTATCGAAAGTGTCTGTCCCAGTTGAGGAATAGCTGGACGGCGGTGTAGGGTGGGGCCTCCCGTTTGAGAGAGATCTAGAGTTAGTCCTTGGTCGTGGATGAGTCGTATCATCCTGGAAAACTTGCTGGTCTCGTTGATGAGTGGCGTCTGGCGGTCCCAGCTCGGTGATCAAGTCCTGTGCGGTGGTCTGGTTCAATATGATGTCGAATGGTGCGGCAGGTGAACGTCGAATGAATGTAACCTTGCCGGCACCTTGTACAGACGCAAGCTCGATCTCTGGCGGGAGTACGTCGCGCGGCTGGCTGGAGATTGCAGGCTGACGTGGACCGGACGGTGTCTTTACGAAAAGAGTACTTCTTGTTTCTGGCCAACTGTTGCCTTCGAAGACAGCCATTTGAGTAGCTGCAGATGCTGCCTGAGAGCCGAGAAGGGAGACATGATCCTTGTCTGGAGCCCAAGCTGAATGCTGGAGGGGAAAGTTGAAGGCGATGCCTGGCCACGATAAGACGTATGTACCCGTACGACCAGTCTTGGGAGCAAGATATTCGCCTGGATATGAAGCCCCGAACAGCTGATATATACGCTTGAATGTAGCCGACGAGCCATCTTCCTGCTTCTTTACAAGTTCGCTTCCTTTGTAGGTGAGTCTGGTCTTGGTGAAGTCGAGCAGCTCGATGAGACGTAGCCTCTGGTCGGTGGCATCAAATCGCAGGCGAATACCGTTGTGAGGAAGGGTGACTATTACGGGCGTGGTCAAAGGGGTCGCGGAGGATATGGCCAGGTCGATGGCGGGGAACTGGGCCTTGTCTTGCTTGATCGTAGTGAGGACGGATTGCAACGAAGCGCCGAGTGCTGTCTATGATCAGAACATGATTCCACAGCCTCGTCTATTCAAGACTCACTGATGAAGCCCAGCGAGTGGCCAGGAGCCACAGCCATCGGGTCTACAGCCATGTTGATAGTCGCAAGAGTGAGCTCTAGCCAGGCATACGTCGTCTATGGAGGAGACGTGGAGAAGGATGGGTGGGACTCAGACATGCCCGCTTCTTTCACGAGTTCATGTCATGTGGTCGTTGGTCTTCCAAATATTGATTAACAAGAACACTTCAGCAACGTGGAATGCTCAACGTGGATCAGATGCATGTGATGCGAGCTCGTGAGTGACATAGCTCGCCTCGCCTTATCGGCGCCTATCGCCGTTAGACTTTCGGGTTGCTGAGCTGCGTGCCGAGCCGGAGTAAACACAAACATCCGACGCCAAACCTGCAGGTCCATCCCAGCACAAGCCTCTTGCTCTGTGGGAATATCTTACTCGCGACACGGCCATGGCGGCATCTTCAACCTCGAGAGGCTCCAGTCAGTCTCGCAAAGTGCCCACCATGCGCCCCAACATCGGCCGTCCAGGCCCCAACAGAGCGCACACAGCAACACCAACTCTGACAGGCAGAGTATCACCCGCCGACAGTGTCGGATCGTCGAGGAGCCGCACGCCCAAGCGAAAGGCCCCAGGCCCGGCGCAACTCGAGATAGAAGGAGCAGAAGAGACGAATATCAATGTCGTGGTGCGATGTCGAGGACGCAACGATCGCGAGGTCAAGGAAAACAGTGGAGTCGTCGTTTCGACCGATGGCATCAAGGGCAAGAAGGTGGAATTGTCGATGGGACCGAGCGCGCTCAGCAACAAGACATATCAATTTGACAAAGTCTTTTCGCCTGCTGCCGACCAAGGAATGGTCTTCGATGAAGTGGTTGCACCCATTCTTGACGAGGTAGGAAATATCGACGACATTGTGCATACCAAACTGACGGCTTGCTAGGTTCTGAATGGCTTCAATTGCACAATCTTCGCATATGGACAAACTGGTACTGGAAAGACCTATACCATGTCGGGAGACGTGACAGATGTGCTGCCCATCCCAGAGGCGGCAGGCATCATTCCGCGCGTCTTACACACATTGTTCGCCAAGCTTGGAGACGATGAATCGGAAAAGGTCGAACACAGCGTCAAGTGCTCGTTTATCGAACTGTACAACGAGGAGCTGCGCGATCTCTTATCTGCCGAAGACACCACCAAGCTCAAGATATTCGACGAGGCAAACAAGAATGGCAGGACGACAACTCTTATTCAAGGAATGGAAGAGAGCCACATCAAGACAGCCTCCAGAGGAATCAAGCTGCTGCGAGACGGAAGCCATAAGCGACAGGTGGCCGCCACCAAATGCAACGACCTCTCCTCTCGTTCGCATACCGTCTTCACGATTACAGTCTACATCAAGCGAAGTACCGACGCCGGCGAGGATTGCGTCTCTTCCGGGAAACTGAATCTTGTTGATTTAGCTGGATCCGAAAACATTCAACGATCTGGAGCCGAGAACAAGCGCGCAGCAGAAGCCGGGGTTATCAACAAGTCGCTACTCACCCTTGGACGAGTGATCAATGCACTAGTTGAACGAAGCAGTCATATTCCATATCGCGAGTCAAAACTGACCCGTCTCTTGCAAGATTCGTTAGGAGGCAGAACGAAAACCTGCATCATCGCAACTCTGTCTCCTGCGAAAAGCAACTTGGAAGAGACGATCAGCACGCTGGACTACGCTTTCCGAGCAAAGAACATTCGAAACAAGCCCCAGATCAATCAGATGATGTCCAAGAAGACTCTTCTGAAAGAGTTCACTTTCGAGATTGAGAAACTGAAATCAGAGCTCATCGCTACTCGCCAGCGTAATGGAGTATACCTCACCGCCGAGACGTACGAGCAAATGACAACAGAGTCCGAGTCACGGAGAATCTTGAGCGAGGAGCAACGAGACAAGATCGAGACAATGGAGAGCAACCTCCGCAACAAGGTTCAGGAGCTATTTGTGTTGACCACCAACTTCCAGTCACTCAAGAAAGATAACGAGGGCACTAGAACGAGACTGGAGAACACACAAGGCGTACTCGAAAAGACTGAGCTTGTCCTGGAGCATACCAAACAGACGCTCGCCGAGGAGACTCGTCTTCGCCAGGCTCACGAGGAAACTGAGGAGAAGCTGGCCGTTGTAGGTGGCGACTTGCTCAGCACCCTGGAGACCACTACAGGCCATGTTGACAAGCTGCACTCGAAACTGCGAAGGCGTTCAGACCTACAAGATGTGAATCGAATGCGATGGGCCGACTCGCAGACACACGTTGCAGGGGCGACAAGTAGCTTGGAGGAGCGTATTGAGGGATTGCGAGGCCAACAAGAAAGCCTGGTGGCAGCACTCTCGGATCGGATGCAGTCCTTCGTGTCGGATGAATTGCAACAGCTGCAAACTTCTAAAGACTTCTTGAAATCAAAAGCTGATGCTTTCGAGGTATCTCAATCGGAAGTCAACGCACAGACCAGCAAGGCGAGAGACGACATGAACGGCGTTCTCGAGGAGATCGGCATCCTTCGCGAGGACGTCAAGCACAAAGTCGGTGCTGGTCTCAACGACCTCTCGGCGGCCGCTCAGCGGATCAGTGCCGGCATTGCGACTGAGCTAGACTCCTTTCACGGACAGTTACAGGATTCTTACGTCTCCTTAGGCCGCGACTTCAAGACTCTGTTTGAGGATCTCCTTCGACGCATGAATGAGCAGCAAGCCGAGGCGCAAAGACTTCGAGAGGAGATCATTGAGGCCAACACGAACTTCGTGGAAGCTGGTCAGAACTCGCACGAGCAGCTTCGGCAGGCCATCGACAAGGAGCGAGAGGTGGCGGCCAAGGAGAGGGAGACTTTACTCTCTCAAATCACTTCGCTCGTCAGCAACTCGGCAGCTGCACAAGAGGCTAGAATGACTGGGTACCTGGAGACTGCCAACAAGCGTGTTAAGACTTCTGAGGACGAGTATCGGGTAGCCCAGCAGGCGTATGGGAGCAGCATGGACTCTTGGACCACCAACGGCCAGACTCTCATTGACTCGTCTATCCAAGCCCGAGAGTCTATCAAGGCTAAGCTCAAGGCAGACTGGACGAACGCGAACGATCGAACCATCAAGATCACGGAGACGACGAATGCTGTCCATGGCGAGACCGTCCGGATCGTCGATGGGCAGATGGCAGAGATGGACAACCAACTGGTCGCCCTGGACGAAATAGTCTCCCGCGTGCAAGCTCAAAACGAAGAGCATCACAGTGCACATACCGCCAGTCTGGACCAACTTGCAAGCAACGTTCAGGAGAGCTACCGAACCATCGGCGACCACTTCGAGATATCTTATGGCCGGACTCAGGGACTGGACATCGACATGAAAGATCGTGCCGATGCCTTGATGCAGACACTACCCACGATGGCACCAGACGGTGAGGTCCAGCAATCTCTGCGCGAGCTTCGTGAAAACAATGCTGCAGCACAGATTGCAGAGTACGCCATTACCGGCCAGACTCCAGCCAGGATGCAATATACTTATCCGACGACTCTACCACGAACAGAGAACCACCAGACGCTTCTGAACCGCATGCGTGGTATTCCAGAAGTTGGTGAGCCACCGGCATCTCCGCCAAAGTCACCTGGCAAGCGATCTCCTTCAAAGATCAAGAGCATCCCGACCAAGCTGCAATCAAGTCCCACGAAAACAAACGTCTTCCTCGATGCACCTCCTCTGCTGGGAGCGCCAGCGTCGGCTCCTGTATCGCGCCCCCAGACTGCAAGTAGCCATAACAGTAGCCTGCGAGAGCTAGATGTTAATGTGCCAAATGCAGGAGTCACAGTTGTCGCCGCTGGCAATCAGGGTGTTGAGGAGGGACTTGAGAACAGCAAGGTGCCACCTCCTCCACTTAAAAAGCAGCGTACTAATCCACTTCCCATGTCACAGAGCGAAAGCAAACTACCGACGAAGCGTAGCACGCGGATGACGGTAGCAGGTGGTTTGCTGGCGGCTGATGACAGCCAGAAGGAGAATGTCGACCTCAGCGCGAGTGTGGGCTCTGGCCTGGGGAGGAGGCTGAGGAGTCGTGGGAGTGATTGATGGAAGGGGAGTCTTCTAAGACGTCGCTTGTGGTCGACGACCAGCTCTGTGCATAGGATAGCTGCTCATCCGGCTTTGTCGGGCCCATGACGGCCGCGCGTGTTGTAATGAAACATTGTAATTGCTCGTTCCATCCTCTCGAGGAGTCTTGTGCTTCCTAATTGTGAGCATGGCAGAGACAGACATGCACATCGTACGTTTATTCGGGCGCGGGCCCCCGCACCCAATCCTTCGCATTGACCATTTCGGGGGTCCAATTGCTGGGCAACTCGGTCTCAATTGACACTCCTCCTCTCTCGACTATTAAAACCTCCCTCGACCATTCACCAATCGACGTGCTACTGATGACCACTTCGTCGACCCTCGCGCTCCATCTTCGGCTGTAGCAGAAAAATCGCACTGCTCGCTCCACCCGGCTTTGACCCACACCGCAGCAGCTTTTTTTCTTTCGCGGCCACTGTACAGCCATGCCTTCCGCCGCCGACGTCGCGTACTACCTCTTCCACATCTCCGAACTGCGTGCCATCATCCAGTGGAAGACATGGCACAACCCCGTGCACGAGCGCGACGAGAGCAAGGAAGGGCCTGATCTGAAAGAATGCTTTCGCTTCCTCGACCTCACCTCGCGGTCCTTCGCTGCTGTCATCAAGGAGCTGCACCCTGAGCTGCTGGTCCCAACATGTCTCTTCTACCTGTGCCTGCGTGGGCTCGACACCATCGAGGATGACATGACCATCGACATCGCGCGGAAAGAGCCCCTGCTGCGACAATTTCACGACCACCTCGAGGACGAGACCTGGACGTTCAATGAGAATGGGCCGAATGAGAAGGACCGTGAACTGCTGGTCAAGTTTGATTGCGTGGCGAAGGAATACAACAAGATCAAGGAGGAATACAAGGTCATCATCAAGGACATCACTCAGCGCATGGGCAATGGCATGGCAGATTATGCGAAGAATGCAGACCTGAACGCCAATGGGGTCAAGACGATCAAGGACTATGAGCTGTACTGTCACTACGTTGCAGGTCTCGTAGGTGAGGGTCTGACGCGTTTGTTTGTTGAGGCGAAGCTTGCGAATCCTGTTCTTCTGCAACGACCAGAGTTGATGGAGTCAATGGGACAGCTGCTGCAACAGACCAATATCATCCGCGATATTCGAGAGGACCACGACGACAAGCGGTACTTTTGGCCAAAGGAGGTGTGGTCGAAGTATGTCACTAAGTTCGACGAGCTGTTCCTGCCAGAGAACCAGGAGAAGGCGCTGCAATGTAGCAGCGAGATGGTGCTCATCGCCCTCAACAGAGCCGATGAGTGTCTCTTCTACATGGCTGGCATCAAGGAGCAGTCAGTGTTCAACTTCGTCGCAATCCCACAGTCCATGGCCATGGCAACGCTAGAGCTCTGCTTCCAGAACCCAACCCTCTTCGAGCGGAATATCAAGATCACCAAGGGTACTGCATGTCAGTTGATGACCGAGTCCACGCAGAATCTGCAGCTTGTCTGCGACGTCTTCAGGAGATATGCCCGGAAAATTCACAGGAAAAACAACCCCAGCGACCCTCACTTCCTCGAAATCAGCATCGCTTGCGGCAAGATTGAGCGTTTCATCGAGGGCATCTTTCCAACACAGACACCACGAGTACTACCTCCAGGAGCAGAGCAGACCGTGGCACAAGACTCGGCGGAAGAAGCGAGGAGGAAGGCCGACGAGGCCGAAGCGAAGAAGGATGTGCTGTACATTGGGCTCGCGATTGCTGTAACGTTAGCAATCATCTCAGTGGTGATGGTGAGTCGTATTCTGAAGAATGAGTCTTTGGGAGAAATGCTAACAAATGGGATAGATTGGCGCAGCTTGGTTCTTTGGCGCTCGCTTCGATCTCGCCTTTGCGGAGCTCAAGAAGGGCAACCTGAAACCGCCAAAAGAGCCCGGACAGGTCGAGAACATCGCCAGCGCATACGAAGGCCACAACGAATTGTAATAATAATACCATGTACCATTCTAACCCAGACCAACGCACCACTGCGATAACGTGGCGGACTGAAAAGTGTAAGTTTCCACACAAGAAGGCAACTGCGACTAGCGTTGCCAAATCCTTCTCCCTCCTCACTCGATCGAGTCATCGAAATTACAACCCAGCACGGATGTCAAATTGCAATGCAGCCCACCTCTCAATGGCTTCCGTTGTGCCGCGTTTAAGAAGTGCAAGAAGAAACCCCCACTGCCTCACTCACACCAAGAGGCCGCCCAAGCTTGCCCCTAAGAGCGAATCGCTTAGCAGAAGGCAACCGCTTCGGGCGGACGTGCAGACATACCAACCACTATCCATTGAGACGGAAAGGCTAGGTGCTACGCCCCGGTGCGTCGGCTCGCGTTCCTATAGAACAGAGCTATAGGCATCGCGAACCATATTCGTTTGCCTTTTCAGCCTCGAAGGATTTGCGAGGCGGGCTCGAGAGGTAGGCTGCGACACGTGATGAACATATCATTGCCCGCCTCGTCAATGCTATCGCCAGCCTACCTACTGGAGGAAGAAGGCGTATTGCTGTGCCGCGGCTTTTGGGCGTTCTTCATGGCTCGGCAGCCTTTGTCGGTGTCTTCTTGTCGATGGAGTGAGTAGTCCTGTCTGCCTTGTCGCGGCCTTGCTCGGTCGTATTTATGTAGTAGGTAAGTCCTTCCTCCCTCCATTCCCTGACTTGGTGCAAGTGTCTCCTCAACTTCACCGGTGATCCCTCCCCTATCTATCTCTACAAGGAACATGTACCGCTCCATCGACCTCTCCTACTCCGAACAACGCCCCGACCACTCCCGCTACGCCTACAACATCTCAGCGTCGTACTTCACGCCCGCGCCTTCGGATATCGAGCTCGACAAGGCCATTGCAAACTTTGCGGCGTTGGGGCTCAATGGCATTGGGGGCATGACGGGGCCGTTGCCAAACTACTCGAGGGGTCTCGACGATTCGTACAGTCATTCTGGCACCGGAGGCTGCGCTCAGGACCCACCGTATCAAGGCGTCTATGCGGGGAGTATGGCGGACAGTTACTATGGCCAGGGAAGCGTGAGTCCTCTGAAGGCTATCGACTACCCACGGAGTGTGATCAACAACGACAGCTATGCTGGGAGCCGAGTCTCCTCATCAAGACACCACCCCTCATCGCAGAAGTCTCGCTACGGAGGAAGCAGCGCCGCGGGGAGTATTCGACCCTACTACCAAACCCTCCCACCCATCGACGACTCCAGGGCTTTGGTCAAGTACGCCACGAGCAAGAAGTCCAAATCCAAATCCAAATCCAAAACCTACCAGAGTCGGGCGAATGACTACGACGACGATGACGACGACATGTCCGTCCTGCCGGAGGATTCGATTTCGCAGGTTTCTTCGTCGGAGAGGATGGCTTCGCGAAGGGGGGATGAGATGAGGGAGAGGGCGAGGAGGAGGGATGGGAGTGCGGTGTCGAGGTCGACGGTCGTGCCGGGACGGGGGATGGGGATGGGGGCGATGGTTGGTGGTGGTGGGGGGAGTGGTGTTGGGGGGAGAGGCTTTGTGGAGCCGGAGGTTTATTATACTAGGGAGGTTACGCCTTGGTAGGAGGAGGGATGTCTGATATGCGTGAGGATGTGGTGTGTGATGGATGGATGGGAAGGGAACGGTTTGGAGGCTATGAGAAAGAAGAGGTTGCGATTCGGACAGATTTGAGAGTCGTCCTTTGGTTTGGTGGATTAGGTCCGGAAGGATCTCGATGCCTTGGATGTACTTTGAATGATAAAGGAGATCTTCCTTGGAGTCCTCATTGCTAGATTCTTATGCCTTTGCTGGGAAGCTCATTCATATCTTTACTTTTATGCTCAATCTCCTCCTTTCTCTGCTCCTCGCTCCTTGTGACTCCTTTCTTTACTTAAGCCCTTGATTGCGATACTCAATTTTCCCTGGTTCTGTCCTCACTTCTCCGCTCACTCTCAACATTACCCACAGCTGGGCCAGGAGCAAAGCTCCTGATCTATGCAAGCGAAAATCTGGGCTGGAAGATCGCTCAGATTGACCTGAGCTCAAAGCTGACGCAGTCGTTGGCCTTGAAAGGATGCTTTCCGCTCCAGGGACGGCATTGCGCCAGAAGAAGGGCTCGATGGTGAGATATACTCGTTGAGGTAGGCTCAGATATATTTCGGCGGCAAATGGGGGCTCGACGTGGGAAGTGCGCTTGGGGTGACAAGTTCGAGGAGATATATTCAACGAGGTATGCACGACATGAGGGATGCTCGACATGAGAGATGCTCAAAGAGGGGTTGCTTTAACGGATGTGTTCACGGAAGATTGCTCGGCGTGAGGGACGCTCGACGTGAGAGACGCTCAACGTGAGAGGTGCTCAACACGAGAGGTGCTCCACACGAGAGGTGCTCGACGTGAGAGATGCTCGACGTGAGAGATGCTCGACGTGAGAGGTGCTCAACACGAGAGGTGCTCAACACGAGAGGTGCTCAACACGAGAGGTGCTCAACACGAGAGGTGCTCAGCAGGAAATATGCTCAACACGAGGAATGCTCGACATGAGGTATATTCGACATGAGGGATGCTCATTCGAGTGATTTCGAGGGATGCTCGACCCTGCGAGGTATTGCAGGAGAGGAATGCTGGACATTGTGTGATGTTGAAGGATGTTCTGTGAAATGTCCGCGCGAGAGGTGCTTGACTCGCGAGTATGTGTAGCATGAACAGACAAAATTGAAATGGAGGCGGTGATTTGATCTCATAGCATTTGCATTCAGCGCTATCAAGAAGGTCGTACAGTAAACATTCGAGCAGTCGGTCCCACAAAGCCCTCACGCACCAGGCGATATTGGCAGCAATACAAGCGTCTCCCAAACAGTATCCTTCCTTCCATCCTGACAGTCCGTAAAGCATGATCAAACAAAGCGCTAGCTGTACAGGGTATCTTCAACAACAAGCAGCGTTACTCGTACAGGGGTCCCAGCAATTCGTTCTTCATCTTCAAACAAGCGTATCGATCCTATGACTCGAATCAGTATAGATTCTCAGCATGTGTGAGTCACAAGGCGGCGGCGGTGGCGTACGGTCAATTTAGGCAAAAGCAGTCGTGGTGTACAGTGTGGCGTCCGTCCAGAGTGGTGGGCAGTCGCGTGTAGTCAAGCAGTGGTGAGTGGTGAGGTGTCGTGCCGAGTTCGGTCTCAGTGACGAGCGCGGGTTGATCACCGAGAGCGGGCGGTGCCAGCGGAAGTGGAGGACGAGGCACGCGAGTTAGCAGCGCCAGCACCACCGCTGCCAGGACCAGGGCCAGAGCCGCTGGTCTTCTTGGAGTGGGCGACCTTCTCGCGGAAGACCTGGCGACACATTGGGCAGCGTCCCTGCGAGGCCTCGGAGCGGATCCAGTCGGTGATGCAGTGCATGTGGAAGACATGCTTGCACTCGCCGATGACTGCAAACAGGTTAGTCAATATCGACGACGACGATGCAGGTGCAAACAGTAGACTTGCCGATGGGGCAGTCGTCGCCCGGATACTTGCACTTCGAGCAGCTGCCCTCGAAGACGACGCGACAGATGCCGCACGTGTCGTCGCAACCTGGTGGAAGAGCCCACTTCCACTCGGCGACGGCGTTGTAGCCCTTGATAGTGACCTTCATCTTGACGACGGTGATGATGCGGTGTTTGTACTTGAAGTGGATGTGACGATAAAGGTCTGTGCGGGAGTGTGTGGCTGCCAACGGGCGCGTTGTCGGTGCGGATGTTGTTTGTGCTGGTGCAGGTGCAGACGGAAGTTGAGCAGGAGTCGCAGTTGCTTTAATAGTTGTCGAAAGCGCGAGTGAGGTTTGGTAAACAGGGTTTCTCGCTTGCTCCCGCCCTCCCGTGAGCTTGATCCCTGTACTTCAACGTCCGTGCGCCTGCCTCATCGGAACATTTCGCGTCAATTTTGTGGGGTCTCGCGCGACGACAGTAGCTCCTTCCTGCGCTGCTAGGACGGAGGGAGCTTTTATCGTTGTACAAGGGAGCTCTTCTGTAGACACGCCCTTCTCCACTTCGTCGCTCGCCCTCTGTCCCCAACATGGCAGAATTCAGTTAGCGACAAACAATCCGTTGAGAAACGAAAAACTGATAACGATGGCTGCCGCTGTTCTCCTTCGACGTCCAGTCCTCACCACCAACAAGTTCCTCAGATCCCGTCTCACATCCTCCGCCATGAGCCGCCCGTATTCGTTCGATTCGTACCTCGTCACACCGGCCGAGTTGGACAAGTCACTGCAGAAAAATGCGCCCTCCCGACTCTCGACGGCGCCCAGGACAGTCCCGGTGTGTGGTTCTTGGTTCCTGCCAAACGATCCCGAGAAACGCAATGGCTATCAGGTCTTCAAGAAGGGTCACATTCGCAAATCGCGATTCTTTGATCTCGATAAGATTGCCGATACGTCCAGCCCGTATCCTCACATGCTGCCCAGCCCAGAGGTCTTCTCCAATGCCCTGAGCGAGCTTGGAATCAAGAGAGACGACACCATTGTTGTGTACGACACCGCTGAGCTTGGGATATTCTCTGCACCTCGTGTCGCATGGACGTTCAAGGTCTTTGGTCATCCGAGCGTCCACCTCTTGAACAACTTCAAGTTGTGGGTTGAACAGGGCTATCCCGTAGAAGAAGGGGAACAGGAGACGTTTGAGCGGACGGAATACCCAGTTTCAGAGCTCGACAAGAGCAGAGTTGTTGCTTTCGAAGAGGTCCGTGAAATTGCTTTGGATTACAACAAAGAAGGCAACGAAGGTGTGCAGATCCTCGACGCACGATCAGAGGGGCGGTGGAAGGGTGTTGATCCGGAGCCAAGACCTGGTCTCTCTTCTGGACACATGCCAGGAAGCATCTCCGTCCCAGTACCGGCTCTCCTCGATCCAAAGACCAAAGCGTTCTTACCTCCAGATGAGCTGCGCAAGATCTTCGAGCAGAAGGGTGTTGACCCCAAGAAGCCCGTCATCTCGAGCTGCGGCACTGGAGTCACCGCGACTGTGATCGATGCTGCATTGACAGAAGCAGGTTATGGCGATGGGAGCAGACGAGTCTATGACGGTAGCTGGACAGAATGGGCGCAGAGGGTCAAGCCAAGCGAGAACCTCATTTTGAAGGAGCAGTAGGACGGCCGAGCTGAGTAGAGATCGCGAGACGATATGAAAAAGGCCTATTCTCAAAGTCGAAGCGTTGGCGTCTGGAACATGTAGGATACCACTCTGCGTGCTTTTACGGCCAAATTGTGAAAACGGGATCGATGCTGGACATCAAGGAAGAAGAGCGTGGCGACCTGCTTGAGGTTTTAGGAACTGTATCAAGAGCTACTTCATGAGCCAGCCGTATTTTTTGAGTATCACCCAGCCTCCCAGTGACGCGACTAACGCATAATCAAAGGGCTCGGCAGTTGTACCAAGCTACTCTGCTTCTTCGTCGTGCATCTTGTCCGACTTGCCCCTTACACCGGCTCCATGGCGTCGTCATGCCGTGTGAAACCATCGGCCAAACCACATAATTTTCGCGCAGTGCCTTTCGCAGATGCAAATTCAAAAGATTCAAAAGCAGTTGGTGTCGCTCCTGCCTTTGTCGCTTGCAAACGCCGAGACACGTGTTTGCTCACATTCACTCACGCGCAGCCCGCGAGACGAATTCTTCAAGTAGCGCCATCTTTCCTCCACCGCCACTCCTTCATCTTCAGTGCCCTCCACCTTCGCACACACCACACCAATTCTTCCAACACACACAGCACTTCGACAACCGCCACGATGCTGTTCATCATTCTTCTCGCCATCCTCCAACTCGGCCTCGCCCTCAACCCTGCCTCCTTCCGCAAACTCGTCAAGGACTGCGACCCGAAAATCGAGGAGATCCCCTGGCAAATCACCAACTTCGTTTTGTTCGAGAAGAAGGCTGCTTCCAACCAGTCGAGCTACCTCGCCTTCCACTTCATCGATGTCAATGAGAGACTCGAGGTGAACACGACATGCGTTCGGACGGTGCCGCTCAACTCGACGTCTACTCTGGACAGTTCCGGCTGGACTCTTTGCAAGAACAATAATGTGGCTTTCGAGTGGGATGGTACGACGCTGCAGTTGTCGCGGGACTATAAGGATAAGTGGTGAGTTGACCTCACACCTGCCTCGCGGACCGCAACTGACATGTTCACAGTCTCGGCAAGCCTCCGTACGACACCGCAACTGCGTGGGGTCGCATCAAGCCCAACGCAACCTCCACGACTGCTGTCGATGGCGTGTACGGCATGAAGACGGAGATGCATATGCCAATCACGAGTTTGTCTTAGATGATGGCGAGTGGGGCGTCGAGCGGTGGGCGGTGGAATGCTGGGCGTGCATGAGATATGCAACGACGTGGGTTCGACGACATCAGGCGAGGATTGACGATGAGATTGCTTTTGCTGTACACCTACTCTTCAACCGAGAGAACATGCAGCGTGACACTTGATAGACACACTCTTCATGCACTGAGCGGCAAATCATCATACCCTTTCCTCATGTATTTCCTCATCTCCTCCAATGATTCCTTCACGATCTCCGTCTTGTTCACGTAGCCCACCCTCACGTACCCCTTGAACTCTTCACCGAACCCGACGTCACCCGGCAATATCATCACGCCAGTCTTCTCCTGCAGGTCCTTGCACAATGCCGCCGCATCGATCGGCTTCCCATCCCGCTCAAACTTGATGAACGCCGTCGTGCCAGCCACCGGCTTCGTCCACGAGCAGTACTCATCATGCTTGATGATCCACCGCTCCAAAAGCTCCAGATTCGCCTTCGCAAGTTGGATATTCCGACTCAGCAGCGAGTGGATCGTGTCTTGAGACAGTGCAAACGCAGCCACGGACTGATCGAGCTGCGAGACGGAAATGGTCGTGTAATCTCTCGTCTTGGCGCACTCCTCGATAATCTCTGGGCTTCGACTCGCAATCCAGCCGACGCGGAGGCCGGCTAGGCTGTACGCTTTCGAGAGACTACCTGTAACGATGGTGTTCTTGTAGCCCATGGAGAGGATCGAAGGCGGGAAGTCCTTGTCCATGGGCGTGATGCCGTGGAATAAGGGCCGGTAGACTTCGTCGGAGAGGATGGTGATTTGCTTGGATTCGGCGAGGTCGATGATCTTCTGGAGGAGGGATCTGGGGAGGATGGCGCCGGTGGGGTTTTGTGGATTGTTCAAGATGATGAGTTTGGTGTTTTCTTTTATGAGGGATTTGAGGCTTTCGAAGTCCGGGAGCCAGTTGTTTGCTGGGTTGGATTTCCACAGGTCGACTTCGGCTCCGAGGGTGGCGGGGATGGAGTAGAGTTGTTGGTAGGTTGGGTAGTGGCAGATGACATGGTCGCCGGGGCCTGTGAGGGAGTAGAGGACGAGGTGGTTGGCGGCGATGGCTCCGGGCGTTATGAGGACGTTGTCTGGGGATAGGGGCGTTCCGACTTTGCTGGAGTAGAGGGCGCTGAGGTTGTTTCGGAGCTCATTGCTTCCCCTGGTGGTCCCGTAGCCTTGTGCAGAGGATAGGTCGATGAGGTCGCTGGGTTTGATCTGTTTGTTGTCGGATAGTTCGACTAGTTCGTTGATCGATATCGATGCACAGCATGTTTCCGCCATTTGGTATTTGCATTTTGTTTCGTATTCGTCCATCCACTATAGGAGCATTCTGTTAGCCTTAGTTTGACTTCTTCTGCATGTGGCCTACCTGCTCAACGGCAAAGGGTGGAATCGGAGCCATCTTAAAGGATTGTTAGATATCACTAGAGTGATCGAGCACAAGATGTGAATCCCGACCAAGGAGAGGCAAATGTTTTAAACCATCCACATGTCTTGTCTAGGGCGTATGTATTGCACTTGCGAGTGGATGTAATTGCGACTTTCTATTAGTCTCCCTCAGCGTCTCCACGTCTCCGCGAAGTCAGCCAAAGTCAGATTTGCGACGCCGGTCAACAAACAACCACTGCCGCGCCGTCGTCGTCAAGGGAGCCGTTCTCGGTTGATGATGTCTATCACGAGACCTGCCGACGAGTCACGCTGGAGCTGTCAAGTGAAAGCATGCCGATGCTGTGCAGGCCACGTGTAGAGCAGCAGGCATCGTTTGGGCGGGCCGGCGGTTGAATCCACCAGTCCACGAGCTGTCCCCGCCACACCGCGGCCGTCACCCTACCTATCGCGCTAGGCGTATGCCCATCATCCACCTGCCTGTCTCGTCTGCAATTGCTCGCATGCCAACTCCCACTCCTTACGCCGAGTCCGTTCTTCTCTTCTTGTCCCTGTCCTCGTCCATGCGCCGGGCACCGTGAATCGAAACACCTTTGGCGCATCTGCCTACGACCCCGAGCTCTCCAGCTTCGCCATGTGGCGCTCCCTACAGATCGCGTCGATAGCGACCTTTCTTTCGCTCCCTTGGGTAGCTCTCGCCGGCCACCAGATCAACCAGTACTATACTACCAACGACGCCCTCCTCTCGCGCGACCCGTTTGCCCTCTACGACAAGAGACCAGAAGACTGTCCCCCATGCTTCAACTGTAACCTGGAAGACTTTGCCTGCCTGCAGTTCGGTAACTGTACCAAGAGCAGCGGAAAGTGTTCTTGTCCTCCTGGCTATGGCGGTGAAGATTGCAGTCTTCCTTTATGCGGCTCGCTTGCAGATGGGAAGGATCGTGCACCCAGAGATGGTGACAACCCTTGTGAATGTAAAGAGGGCTGGGAGGGCATCAATTGCAATGTGTGCAAGACAAATGACGCTTGCAATGCCATGATGCCGAACAACGAAGATGGAGTGTGTTTCAGAGAGGGTGTGGTACAAAAGGAAAACTTTCAGATCTGCGATATCACCAATCGCAAGATCTTGGACATTTTAAAGGGGCAGAAGCCGCAGGCAACGTTTAGTTGTAATGCTGAGAGAGCAGAGTGCAACTTTCAGTTCTGGGTGGATCAGAAAGAGAGTTTCTACTGTGCTCTGGATACTTGCGAATGGAAGCTCGAGGCAGCAGAGGATAAGAACACCACACAGTACAAGTGCGAGCATATCAAGTGTTCTTGCATTGCTGATCGCATGCTCTGTGGTGGAGAAGGTCTTGACATCTCAGATTTCCTGGCTGAGGAAATAAAGGGCCCTGCTGAGTTCAAGAGCGTTAGCACTGACGGTGGCTCGAAGGACGATGGAAGCAGCTTTTCGGAACCCGCCATGAACGGCTTGATCTCGAGCGTGTTTGGCGATCGCAGCATTCTTCTTAACTGCCATAGTGGGGAGTGCCTGTACAAGACCGAAGTCCCAGGATACGAACGGCCGATCAAGACCATCAACACGCCACTGATTGCCGGCGTCATCTCAGGCTGTGCCCTGTTCGTGGTCGCCGTGATCTTGTTGATTTTCTTCCTCAGTCGGCGATCAGCACGACATGGGTACAGCGCCATCCGTCTTGGTGACGACGAGGAAGAAGAGAATGCTCGACTTCTGGCTGACCACAAGCCGGCTGCGCTTTACTTCGAGAACGTTTCTTACAACTTGAAAGGAAGACAGATTCTGTACGACATCCAAGGTTCTGTGCATCCTGGAGAGCTTATGGCCATTATGGGCGCATCGGGTGCAGGCAAGACTTCGTTCCTGGATATTCTTGCTCGGAAGAAGAAGCGTGGCACGGTGGCCGGTGACTTCTGGCTGAATGGCGAGAAGGTTGCCGACGATCAGTACCGGAATGTTATCGGCTTCGTGGACCAAGAGGACACCATGCTTCCAACTTTGACTGTGCATGAGACAATTCTGGATTCTGCGCTCCTGCGTCTTCCCAAATCAATGAGCCGTGCTTCGAAGGAGCAGAAGGTGGAAGATGTTGAACGTCAACTGGGCATCTACAACATCAGACATCAGATCATTGGGTCTGAGGAGACTGGACGTGGTATTTCTGGTGGCGAGAAGCGACGAGTCGGCATTGCCTGCGAATTGGTCACCAGCCCCAGCATCCTGTTTTTGGACGAGCCAACTTCTGGTCTGGACGCTTTCAACGCTTTCAACGTTGTGGAGTGCCTGGTGACTCTGGTCAAGACCTACAACAGGACTGTTGTCTTCACGATCCACCAACCTCGCTCCAACATTGTTGCTCTCTTTGACCAGTTGATTCTCCTAGCTGAAGGACGAACTGTGTACAGTGGACCTTTCAAGGACTGTCAGGGTTACTTCGACAGCATTGGCTACTCATGTCCACCAGGTTTCAACATCGCTGATTACCTCGTCGACTTGACCATGCATGCTACTTCACACAATGAGATAGACGATGTCGAAGATATTGGACTCGGCTCTGACGGCGGCGATGGCAGGACAACCCGTGCAAGCTCGACCATGGCAATCAAGAGCATCCCAAGCGTGAGCAATGTCAGCATCGGCGAGTCCGTCGGCTCAGGCCAAGCAGAACCTCTTCTTAGACCAAAGGGCAAGCGAAAGACGAGCATTCGCCAACAGCAGGAGAGGCAGCTCTACACCAGGAAGAGCACAGACCAGTACCCTCCACCATCGAGTGTTCGTAGCGATGACAGCAACTTCGAAAGAGATATACAGAGGAGCCAGCAGCAATGGCTCAGACTTTCGAAGCAACAAGGCGTGCCTCCACCACATGAGGATCCTCACAACCTGCCGCCACCAGCTGAGAGCGGGACGGGCACGAATCTCGACATACTGGTCTCTGCGTATGCGGAATCGGAGGTGGCGAGGCAATTGCAGGAAGACACCCGTAATGCAGTGTCTACCGCAGAAGGCAGCAATGGTCACCCTCCAGGGGCTCCAAACGGCACGAATGGCAGCAAGGTCATGGGTTATAAGAAGCCATGGCCACACATTCAATTCCTGATCTTGTCGCGCCGCACATGGCGAAACCTATACCGGAACCCGATGCTCATGCTCACTCACTACGCCATCGCAATTGTGCTGGCAGTCTTCCTAGGATTCCTCTTCTATGGCCTGACTGACGATCTCAAGGGCTTCCAGAACCGTCTGGGATTCTTCTTCTTCCTGCTGGCTCTTTTCGGCTTTAGCACTCTTACATCCTTGACAGTCTTTGCGCCTGAGAGGCTCCTCTTCCTCCGCGAACGATCCAAGGGATACTACTCGCCTATCGCCTATTACCTATCCAAAGTCGTCTTCGACGTGGTCCCTCTACGACTTCTTCCACCACTTATTATGGGCTGCATCGTCTACCCAATGACCGGCTTGATCCCCGCCTGGGGCGAGTTCTTCAAGTTCATATTGTTCATCGTTCTCTTCAACCTGGCCTCGGCTATGATTTGCCTATTCATCGGCATTGTTGTCCGCAATCCGGGCGTGGCCAACCTTCTCGGCGTGCTTGTCATGCTGTTCAGTCTCTTGTTCGGAGGGTTCTTGCTCAACCACGAGACGATCCCAAAGCCAGTCTTATGGCTGCAGGCAGTAAGTCCTATCAACCAGTACGGTCTCGACAATTTGCTAACATGCACCACAGTTGTCCATCTTCCATTACGGCTTTGAAGGCCTCATCGTCAACGAAGTCCGCTACCTATCTCTCATCGACCACAAGTACGGCCTCGATATCGAAGTCCCAGGCTCGGCCATTCTATCCAGCTTCGGGTTCAACGTCCTCGCCTTGTGGAGCGATGTCGTTGGGCTTGCCGTCTTCTGCGGCGTTTTCCTTCTGCTGGGCTACCTGGCCATGCACTTTTTGCTTGTCGAGACGAGATAAATCTGCCGGACCAGCGGCACGTCTGTTTGTTTGTGGAGGTATCATAGAGCGAGTGAGCATTTGTACAGGCGTTGCATGTATAGATATGAGAGGAATGGCAGACGTAAAGTAATGTTGAGATACAAATGAGCCGTCTCGGTGTCAAAGACGCTGCTGCTGGCTTGCTCTTGAAAACGACTGGATTGCCAATCAGACTCTTGGTGGTGTTCAGCGATCCCCAAAAAACCTTCGCGTTCAAGCAGAGTGAAGAGTAACAGATTGCCATGGTCCCCTGTCGATTTTCGGGGATGGTTGTTCTCGCAACGAGTAGGATGTTGCAATGCGCGAGACTTCTATTTGCTGTGCTGTTCGTATCTTCAACCTGTTCTCATGACCGTCGATTCACATGCGAACTCAGAGCTGGTGAATCGGAGGCCCCGCACCTGTCTTGGCGGAAACCGCACCGCGGAAACAGCCGAGCGTCTTCAACTTCATCACCAACATCTCGACACTTCCACCCACCCGTTTGTCGATGAAAGAGCTGGTCTGATTTACAGCTTCGAGGCAAAAAATTACAATCATGGATGAGGCCAAGCTGCAACGCATGCAGAATGCAGTCCGCATTGGTATGTTCTACGACTTGCGACGACCGAAATACCTTCACGTGCGGTGAAATTGCGTTTGAATATGTACTGACCGCTCGCAGGGTAAGCAAACTCCTCCCTGAACTATCGCATCCGAGAGAGTCGTAGTAGGCATTTTGCCACTGCGCGAGACTATTGAAAGAGTTATATCACGTGGAGATGAAATGGCATTAACGAGTCGTTTGCAGAGGAAAGGGCACCCCGAGACGAAAGGTCAAGAAGGTCCACAAGAGCTCCGGCACCGACGACAAGAAGCTGCAGACCACTCTTAAGAAGATGAACGTCCAGCCAATTACGGCCATTGAGGAGGTGAACATGTTCAAGTCCGACGGCAATGTCATCCACTTCTCTGCTCCAAAGGGTGAGTCAAGCATATCAGCATACACACATGAACGGACACTGAGACTTTGCAGTCCACGCCTCTGTCCCCGCCAACACCTTCGCCATCTATGGCGCTGGCGAGGACAAGGAGCTGACCGAGTTGGTCCCCGGTATTCTCAACCAGCTCGGCCCAGACTCGTTAGCCTCCCTGCGAAAGCTGGCCGAGAGCTACCAGAGTCTGCAGAAGAGCGGCGAGGGAGAGGAGGGCAAGAAGGATGACGATGACGACGAGATACCTGACTTGGTCGAGGGCGAGAACTTCGAGACCAAGGGCGACGTCGAGTAGACACGGCCAGTCCCCACGAAATCCGACCATTCGACCCATTTCTCATTCGGCGTACGACGGGATGCATTGAGGGCCAAAAGCAAGGCGTGTGCTATCTCCGGTCAAGTGCATGGGAGAGCACCTCTCGCAGATGGCAAGTAGCAGAATGTGTAAATGCTTTGAGCGCTGCTGTATATTAGGTACGCGGCATGAGAAAAAGGCCTTCACGATGAACACCCAACAATTGTCTTTGTTCCTTCACTTTCCTGTCACATATCCAGTGGAGCCGTCAGGTGAGTGGAGCGGTCTTGGTGCCGCTCACGATGGCCAGCTCGTGCTCCAACGGTGTCCAACCGCGATCAACATAAGTGTACCGAGCAGCTTCTACGAACTGCTTAACATTCACAGCGCAATGAAACACCGCCAAGTATGACGCTATCTCCGGTCGGGCTACATTACTTCGAACGACAAGCGAGCTCGGGACTCGATGCCATGAACGCGAGGCTGAACTGCAATGACCTCGATAGTGCACTAGGGCTCACAGTCCGATCCTTCCTACCTTCTATGCCCTGGATGAGGTCTCATCATATTCGGTCCATATGGTGACTACAAATTGTCAGCGCTGTAATCAGGCGGGAGGGACTTGGTTGTTCGTTTGTTTTTCTTCTTTTCATTCCATCGATTGTTTCACTGCAAGATGAAGCTCGCTTCCCTACTCTCCGTCGGTGCCCAAATATGTCGACCTGGGTCTGACTGTTTCAGCAATGCCACGAGTCGGTTTGTGGCGGGTTGGGCGGCGCCGAAGTTTGATATGGCGGTGGAGGTTGCTACGCAAGAGGATGTACAGAATACGGTACACCACTCTGCCCCCTTCGAGCGGTTGAAGACCAGGTATTGATGTGTCGACAAGATCAGATATGCCAATGAACAAGGGAAGCCGTTCCTTGCCGTCTCTGGAAGACATGGCTTCACGAAGTCTTTGGGTGAGATGAAGAATGGTGTTGGTATATATATGAGGCAGATGAACGATGTGACCATCTCGGAGGATGGCAAGAGTGCTACTGTTGGCGGGGGAATCACTTCGAAGGAGCTGATTGACCATTTGTGGGCTCGTGGCAAGCAGTCGAGTAAGTTGGTAGCTGCAGGATCAAGAGGACATGCTGACATGGTTTGACAGCCACGGGAGCCTGCGAATGTACAGGTATTGTTTCGCCGATGCTAGGTGGCGGCCATGGCTTTCTAAAGGGGCGGTATGGACTCATGACAGATAACTTGATCTCCACGGACGTCGTTCTCGCCGATGGCTCCGCCGTAACCGTATCAGAATCACAACACCCCGACCTATTCTGGGCTATGCGAGGTGCTGGACAGAACTTTGGGATTGTCACTTCGTTCGAGTACCGGATCCACGACCGGACTCCTAAGAACGAACTGTGGTCTTACGATGTCATGGCTTTCTCCACGGATAAGCTTGAGGCTGTGTATGAAGAGGCCGAGAGGCAGCGACAAAAGGCTCCGGTGGAACTTGGACATTGGGGTTTCATTATTCCTGTGCCAGAGATCGATCCTTCTGTCGTAAGTCTTCGAGCGTAGGAGGATACTATTGGGCATTGACGACATCCCAGCATACGCTACTCTTCACAGTGTTCTACCAAGGCTCCAAATTGCCTTCGAAATACACAGACCCCTTTCATGCTCTCGGACCCATCATGTCGACGCCGAATGTGACCGAGTTTCCAGGCTTCTCCAAAGTCCTCGGCATGGGTACGTATCTTCCATAGACGTATCCGCATACCTCCATCTAACATTCCACCTCCAGACCTATCCTCCCCCGTCTGCCAACCCGGCGGCCCCTCCTACGCAGACTACCCCGTGAACCTCTCATCCTACAACACCACCGCCCTCCGCGAAGCCGTCGACATCCTCCAAAGCACCCCTCCGGACCTGCACTTCTCCTCCATGCTCATAGAAGGCTACAGCGGCGCCGCCGTCCGCGCCGTCCCAGAAGCCTCCACCGCCTACCCCGACCGCAAGCGCGGGATCCTGATAGGGAATCTGATGAACTGGCCTCGCGCCCGGACTGATCTCGCCGAGGAGGCGAGGAGGTATGGGATGAGGATTCAGGAGGCGCTTGTGAGGGGTAGTGAGGATGGGAAGTTGCATTCGTATGTGAATTATGCGGCGGGCAATGAGGCGCGGGAGGCGCTGTATGGGTATGAGCCTTGGCGGTTGGAGAAGTTGAGGGGGCTGAAGAGACGGTATGATCCGTATGGGAGGTTCAATTTTTATTTGCCGGTTGAGGGGGAGGTGATGGTGGAGGGGGTGGATGGGGGGAAGAGTGAGTTGTAGAGGGATTTGTACAGGTGTATGCAGGTATTACTAAGGTGCTTCGGACTATTACTATGTACTCTGTCGTATGGATGATGTGTACAGCTTCGAACCGATTGCCTAAATTATTCCCACTTCTTGAACTGCTCCTCCGTCCACTCCCACAACTCCTTCGCCAGATTCGCTTTCTGCGCGTAGAATGGACTGCCCTTCGACGCAATCGCAACAGGCTTCCAGTAGTACGACTTCTTCACTTCCTCTGCTGGCGCCGTTGCCGCCCATAGCTGGTTCTTCGCCCCTCCTGGTACATCCATGAAGAACGGCTTGATGAAGGGCAGGAAGACTTTCGCTAGGATGTTGGTCTTCAACTGCGAGGCGTAGAGATCTGTAGCGATGACGCCCGGATGAAGACTCGTCGCTGTGATGGAAGGATACCTCTTCTGCAGCTCCCGAGCGTGGAGGATGTTGGCCAATTTGGATTGGCCGTATCGACGGAAGGTCTGATACTTCTCAAGTTTGTCTTGGTCGTAAATGATACCAGGAGCGAACATATGGCCTTCTGAGCTTACGTTAATTACTCGAACATCGGATCCGGGTTTCTCTGCTGTGCTGAGGAGTGTTGGCAGGAGAAGCTTCGTGAGGAGTGCGTGGCCGAGATGGTTCGTGCCAAATTGAATCTCGTAGCCTTCTTTGGTTTTGGAGTAGGGAACGGCCATGATGCCTACGACAGGTATGTCAGTCAACATGAAGCCTTTGTGAGAGAACATGCTTACCAGCATTGTTTATCAAGACATCCAATCGATCTGATCGCCTCCTGAACTCCTCAGCAGCATCTTTCACAGACGCAAAGGAAGTCAAATCCAACTTCAGGTACGAGATATTGCCATTGGGCACCGCCTTCTTGACCTCTTCGATCGCAGCTTCCGCTTTTGACGGTGTTCTCGCCGCAAGATAAATCTCCTTGGGATTATGCTTCGCGAGCTGCAAGACCGTCTCCTTTCCTAGACCAGTGTTTCCTTCACATGGAGTTAGAGAAGGACGAGGCAGGATCATTAAGCTAGAACATACCTCCGGTGATGAGGATCACTTTGCCTTCAAGACTTGGGATTTCCTTCTCCGGGTCGAAGCTTTTGCCAAATAGCCATTCTAACATGGTTTCCTGGGATTGAGGACAGGTCTATATAGACCTTATCTGGTTGTTCTTCTCGGGTTGCTGTTCCAATGGCTATGAAGTAATTCTGAGAAGTTCGTCTCACCCTTGCACGATCTGTATTGTTGTGGACAGGGCTAGATGCCTTATGCGTCTGGATTTCTGCTGGTATATTCCTATGCAAGATGGACTCCTCCCATCTCGAAATCTGGCATCACATCATCACCACGAAGATGCACGCCGCGTAGACCGCGGTCTTCTAAAGTCCATGTTGATTGGGCGGATCGTTAAGGTTCAAAGTCTTTCCCAACGCGGCCTAGACCCAAATCTCGGTGAAGCTGCCGCCGACTTCACCTGCTAGCCCAGCCACAAGAAGCGTCACAAGAACTCGAAGCTTTCCCCTCACCATCTCGACGTTCCACCTGCATTAGCACGCGGTTCACGATGGCCGTTCCTGACTACAGCGCCCAGAAATTCGCTTCGTGCTGCCGTATGCGGTGCCGCCAGAGGGGTTACGATGGATACGATGGGCGTAAAGGATTTGCGAGACGTAGTATATATGTCCTAGCGGTTGGTAGGTGTTGAAAGATGCTCCTGAGCTCACTTGCTGGTCCTTGAAGAAGATGGCCATGTTGTACCTCTTGTCGCTTTGCGCAGCGGCGGCTTCTCCAGCTCTCGCGTGGAGTCCAGGATGGAATGGATGGGGTTCACAGTCTTGGGATTGGAATCACCATTGCTCGAATCCAAACACTGGGCCAACTACAACTGTAAGGACCTTGAAATGACAGGATGCGCTTGCTCACCTTTTCCAGTCACCGGCAACTTGCTCGGCCACGCGCACAACTGCGTACAGCCAGTTCTCGTATACAGTCCTGACCACAACGAGATATGCCACAGCTATTCCATCGCCGCTGCAACTTACAACGACATATGCGCCTCCGTTTAGCCAAGTGTCAAGCCTCCTGCCTCCGAGCCCTACTTACACCACGTATTCTCTCGACCGAAATGCTACGAGTGTTCAAGACGGTCGTTATGGACAAGGTGCTTACGCAAGACTGTGGGCGCCATTGAGCTATAATACCAGCATCCCTTTCACGACTACCGTCTCGCCCACGCCGGTGGCTAGCAGTGAGCTCGTATATCCACCGGCGCTATACACCGCCTGCCCGCAGCAAGCAGACACCTGCGTTGACTGTTATAAGCTGCCGAAAGATTTCATTTGGGGCGTGGCAGGAAGTGCCTTCCAGATCGAGGGAGGACTAACAGAAGACGGACGAGGGCCCAGTCAGCTTGATCTATTTGGATCGCTACCAAATACTGCAGACGAGGCCAATGCTGTGGTCGCGGACATGAATTACTGGTTGTACAAGCAAGACATTGCTCGTCTAGCAGCGGTTGGCATGCCATACTACGTAAGCATGGTACAAGAATTCAACCTTAGAGATTGTGCTGACAACAATCTAGTCATTCTCAATCTCCTGGACAAGAGTCGTACCGTTTGGCGAAGCCGGCAGCCCTATCAACACAGCTGCCCTCGAGCACTATGACGATTTGATCAACACTTGTATCGAATACGGGATCAAACCTATCGTCACCCTCTCTCACAATGACTCGCCTCTGAATGTGACATTCCAGAACCCGGCGTTCCCAGATGCTTTTCTTTACTATGCGAAACATGTCATGACCCGCTACAGCGTAAGTAGAACAGCTCCTAGGTTGTCTGTTGAGCAAAAGGCTGACCGTTTCAATAGGATCGTGTATCGGCGTGGGTGACCCTCAATGAGCCCAATATCAATTTCGGGTCGGACTACTACGCTGTCCCAAACATCTTACTTGGGCATGCCAAAGTTTACCACTGGTACAAGGAGACATTGAAGGGCACCGGCCAAGTCACGATCAAGGTAACAATTCCTTCCAGAAATTGATATGATTGAGCTTTACTGACGATGTCGTACCAGTTCGCCAACAACCTTGCCACGCCCCTCGATAGCTCGAATCCCGACGACACTCGAGCGGCACTGCGCTACCAAGATTACATCTTAGGCATCATAGGCAATCCGATATTTCTGGGACAACAGTACCCCGCGGAAGTGCTCAACACGAAAGGAATCAACTTGACTGCTTTGACTGATGAGGAGCTATCGTACATAAATGGAACTTCCGATTTCTGGTAAGATGTTGAAGCCTGGAGAAGGCTTCCAGCTAAATGCAAGGCTGACTTCTGCAGGTCCTTTGATCCATATACAGCAGGCTTTGCTACCAGTCCACCGAATGGCATTGATGCTTGCGCCCAAAATACGAGCGATCCACTTTGGCCCACTTGCGTCGTTAACACGAATGTCCAGCAAGACGGCTGGCTCAACGGGCAAGGTGAGCGAATCTCGATAATGCCGGCCGGATCTCCAGCTAAAACATGACAGGCTCGTTTGCATACGCCTACCTCGCGCCTCAGTACGTTCGTCAGCAACTGGGATATGTGTGGAATGTCTTTCGACCAAGCGGCGTTCTCATCGCCGAATATGGGTTCAACCCCTTCATGGAAAACGCAAAAACTCTCGTCGCTCAGCAATACGATCTTGAGCGGACGCTGTATTATGAAGCATTCCTCCGAGAGACCCTCAAGAGCATCTACGAAGACGGCGTCAACGTGATAGGAGCTCTTGCGTGGAGTTTCGTGGACAACGACGAGTTCACATCCTACTATCAGCAGTGAGTATAATAACTGTCGTAGAGACTCATGGAAACTGACAGGATTGGCCTTTAGGTACGGGCTTCAGCATGTGAATCGAACGGATGGACGACTTACTCGATCGTACAAGAGAAGCATATTCGACTATGTCGACCTCTTCCACAGGTACGTGGAGAACTAGGACGTCGAACAAGTACCAAACGTCTGTAACACATCTTCCCGTCTGGCAACGATACTACTGCAATCACAAGATCCTCGCGATAGCAAGATCCGACATCGTTCTCTGAGTCTTTCAATTTTACTGGCGTCCTAGTGAAAGATATACCTACATTCACTCTCATCCTCGTTGTCGTAGCATCTTTGCCATGTGAATGTGCTGTCGACCCTGGATTGACTTTCTGAGACCTCCTCAAGTCAACGCACTCCGGAGCATATAAGTAGCTCTAATATGTGGTAGTGCGACGTTAAGACGGTAACACGAAACATCATATACATGCTGGCGAGAGTTTCATACTTTTTGCTTAAGCAAATCCTCATCAAATGCTTAACTAATGTGCCCCACATCCCGCCAATCCAGCTTGACTTTCGCCAGCGCACACGATCACTTGCTTTAAACCCTGCAACAGCTGCAGGCAGAGCTGTCATCCTCGAAGACTTTGATGAACGCCTGACCTGGTTTCACTCCTGTTCGAACTATTGCCTCAATCAACCGCACCAAACGAGCGCGTATTTCTGCCAGCTGTACCAAAGACAAGAGCTCGAGACGCCAGAATGGCGGAGAGCGAAGCAAAGGAAACGGCGGACCAGACTCTCGCGTCTGATCTTGCAGACAAGTCCCTCGACAACCCGACCAAGACGTCTGAAGCTGCCGACGACCTAGCAAACGGAACACACGAGGACGACGAGGAGGGCGACGAAGAAGATGGAGAGGAAGAGGTCGAGGCAGACGGTGCCACAGCAAGCACATCTGGGAAGAAGAAGCGCAAGCCACGAAAGAAGAAGAAGAAGGCGTCTACAGACGGGAATGTAGCCACGCAAGACAAGACTGTCCAGCAGCACAAGCCTGTCCCTGTTCACGACATACCCTCATTACTTCAACAACTTGCACTGTCGTCGCCGAAGAAGGAGGGCAAGCCGCAAGATGAGTACAAGTTCTGGAACACGCAGCCCGTGCCCAAATTCAAGGAGCCGAATCTCCTGCAGACAACGAGTGGAGGGGAGGGTGAGGCGCTGCCCGAAGGACCCATTCTTCCCAACGAAGTGTGCAAGGCAGCCGCGAAGCCTGAACCGGAGAAGCTGGTCGATGGGTTTGAGTGGTGCTTGATCGATCTCGACGACAAGGAGGAGCTGCAAGAGTTCTACGACCTACTCTACAACCACTACGTCGAGGACACAGATGGCTCATTCCGCTTCAACTACTCGGTAGAGTTCCTCGCCTGGGCGTTGAAGCCGCCTGGATGGAAGAAGGAATGGCACATTGGAGTGCGCACAAAGTCGACGCCTGAGGGCAAGAAGGGCAAACTGGTCGCATCGATCTGCGGTATTCCTGTCACCTTGCGAGTTCGAGGGCAGAAGGTTGAAGCGAGTGAGATCAACTTCCTTGCCATCCACAGAAAGCTACGCAACAAGCGACTTGCCCCTGTTCTGATCAAGGAAGTGACGCGACGATGCTACATCAACGGCATCTACCAGGCCCTTTACACTGCTGGCACATTGCTGCCAACACCGATCAGCACTTGTCGGTACTTTCATAGGTCGCTCGACTGGGAGCACCTGTACAAGACAGGTTTCAGCCACATGCCCCCAGGTACATCTGTTCTGAGGCAGAAGTACAAGTACCGAGTGGAGTCCCACATGCAGATTAAGAATCTGCGACCCATGAAGCCAGAGGATATCCCAGCTGTGAAGGACTTGCTTGTGCGATACACCGAGCGCTTCCAGCTTCGCCAGGAGTTCACGGATGAGGAGATTGCGCACTGGATCTGCTCAGACACTTCCAAGGGAGTTGTCTACAGTTACGTGGTTGAGGAGAACGGCAAAATCACTGACTTCATCTCCTACTACCTTCTCGAGGTGAGTGCTTACCTTACCTATCGACACTTCGTGTTTGGCTAACTCTCGCAGTCCACCGTCCTGCGATCCCAAAACTCCAAGAAGGAAACCATCCGTGCTGCCTACTTGTATTACTACGCCACCGAAGCGGCTTTCCTTAGCCAAAAGGTCAAGGCGAAGGATGCGCAGAACGCTCTGCAAGCACGTCTCGAGTTACTCGTCCACGATGCCTTGATCTTGGCCAAGAAGGATGACTTCCACGTCTTCAACGCCCTCACTCTCCTCGACAACCCACTGTTCCTGAAAGAGCAGAAGTTCGAGCCTGGAGATGGCAAGCTGCACTACTACCTGTTCAACTGGCGGACGGCATTGCTGCCAGGAGGAGTGGACGACAGCAACCAAATCGACACCAACAAGATGGGCGGTGTTGGTGTTGTCATGCTGTAAACTAAAAGAAAAGCAATATTGGTGGATGAATCGAAATTGAATATCCTCATCAACAACCCTTCTCCAAGCTCATCCTCTCACCTTCTTCAGATCCTCCCGAATCAAATCCGCCCCCTTCTCAGCCGTCGCATAAACAGTCGTCATGATATTCCCCCTCGGCTCAATAGGAAACACACTCGCATCACAAACCCTCAGATTCGTCGTCCCGTGCACCACCAACCGCTCATTGACCACGCCCCCCAACTCCACCGGCATCATCGCACACGTCCCGCAGGGATGGTAATTACTCGTCGCGCAGGCCCTCCCGAATTCAATCGCCTCCTCCAGAGAATCGATCCTCCTCCCCTCGGGGAGCCTCTTCCCATCAGGTTTCAGGAACGACCTGAGCGGTTCGACGCTCGCGAGGGCTTCGCACTGCAAGATGCCCCGGCCGAGGATTTCGGCGTCGAGGGGGTGCGAGAGGTAGTTTGGGCGGATGGTCGGTTTGGCGGAGATGTTCGCAGAGGAGATGTGTGAGCTCCCGCGCGAGAAGGGGTGCGAGAGTTGCGTGACGCAGGTGATGTAGTTGTCGGGCGCGAGGAGGGACATTTTGTCCTTGACGGGTTCGAGGTGGCCGTGGAATTGCACGAGGATCATGCAGATGGCGAGGGGCGTTTCGTCCGGGGAGGAGATGATTTTGCGGATGTAGGCGTTGTGGAGTTCTTCTGCTGCGTATTTTGGAGGGGAGGAGGGGGAGGTTGGGGGAGGGAGGTGTTTGTCGAGGAGTTGGGTGAGGGTTTCTTTGGGTTCGGGGGTTATGAAGTCGACTAAGGGGCAGTAGGCGAATTGGTGGCCTCCGCCGTTGGCGAGGGGGCCGGAGGAGGTTTCTTGGTATTGTTGGAGGGCTTTTTGGATTACGCTGGGGTCGCGGAATTGGTCTGCTGTTTGCACGCGGTCTTTGACTTCCCAGCTGGGGCCGGCCATCAGGTGGTCTTGGAGATTTTCTGAAAGCGACGAATGTTAGCGAATGTTAGGTGCATGAAGGAAGATGTCTGGCTCACCACCAATGTTGGGGTTATCGATGACATTCTCGATCCCCAAAGATTTGCAGAGCTCAGCAGAGCCAATACCAGACAATTCAAGAATCTGAGGCGACCCAAACGTGCCAGCGGAGACGATAACCTCCTTATCTGCCTTCGCGACATGCTGCTTTCCATCGACCGAGAACACCACACCCGTAGCCTTAACAGCACCAGGAGAACTCCCATCCAACTCAACTCTCTCCACAAGAGCACCGGTCAAAGTCTGAAGATTCGGCCGACCCTTCACAGGCTCATAATACTCCGTGCCAGCAAAACTCCTCTTCCCCGTCTTGACATCGATCGAAGCCGGCACCGCAAAACCGCCATTACCCACTCCATCGATGGGGTTCCCGCGTCGTTGCAGATTCTTCCAGGAATCGATCCATGCCTTCTGCAGAGGATCTAGCGTTTGCGGGAACGAGGCTTTGATAGGTCCGTCTGTGCCGGTGAATTCGCCGTCGAGGTAGTCGATCCCGAGAGCTTGTTCGACGTCTTTAGGTGGCTTTATGTGAGTTTGGAACTTGCGGAAATAGGGCGCCATGCTCTTCCAATCCCAGCCGGGGTTTCCAAGTTCGGCCCAAGTGTCCAGCCCCGTCTTTGAAGGATAGACCATGGCCATGAGGTTGATCGCAGACGAGCCGCCTATGCATTTGCCTCTAGGGTGGTGGAGTTTCCTGTCATGAAGGCCTGGGCTTGGCTCGGAGAGGAGTTGCCAGTCTCGTTGCGGGTCGTCGTAGAGGGAGGGGAAGAGCGCTGGCGTGGTGATGCGAGGATCGTTGTTTGCGTCTTCTCCAGCCTCAAGTATGAGAACGGAGACATTCGGATCTTCTGTTAGACGTGCTGCGAGCACACATGCGGCCGTGCCTCCGCCGCAAATGATCACGTCGAATGACGCCTGCTTGAGTAGCTTCGACATTTTCGCTAGGATGCTGTCGTAAATCTGTACACGGTTACACAGACGACAGCCCAATGCTAAATACTTCCGCACCTTAGGGTCTTGCTATAAGGTTCAGGGCTGAGAGTGTCTATAGCAGCCGCAGTCGAAAGAGGTAATTGCTCAGCCACCATCGGTAGGTTCTGCCGTGCTCTTATACCTCGAAGTGGTGAACATGCGCGTTGACACGGACTTGGCGGTTTTGGCTCTAAGAGGTAATTGTCAATCAACCCTATGAAGCTCAAAGGTTGGGTAAGCGACTTACTATAGATCCAGGTCTTGGAAGGGTTCGGTATACGTTTTCACATGTGAGTTCGCATTTTTGGCGCTCTGCTCGTCAGCAATGTGCGTGGTCATGCTCGCTGGTTTCAATGAGCACAGGCATTACAACCTCCGCAATCTCCCATACGACAGTGTTGCTGAGAACACACGCTGCCCAAACCGCAAGGATGTAATGTCGTTGCATCTCTACAAGGACAGTCCAGTCGACATTCCGGACCTCAGAGAATAAACGACGAGAGCAAGGCCGCCTCCAAGTCTTCCGTTATACAAATACTTGCAGCTGAGAGTCCTTGGCGTATGATGTCGATTGGAGGTTGAATCGAATGAGGTGAATGGTTGCCAGTCTCCTGTACGTGGCACAGAAGACCAAGAATCAGGCCAAATGGCTAAATTGTAGGTAGATATATGGCGGACCTCGAGCAACATAGTGACGCGCAGACGGATATCTATCCTCGATCGTTGGCGCTCAAATTGTTGGCAATCCAGACAGACCAGTTCGCTGGTTGCAATTAGCACGTATATTGCTGGCCCCATACTTTCGATGCCCAGCTGAGACTGCGATTATACCAAGCCATGTCCAGCGTGTGCGTTCATCTGGCATCCTTTGGAGGTGGCCTTAGGCGCGCAATGGCCTCACGGTTCAGCGAAGTAGCCTGGGAAAAACCTATCACCACACGTAAGCTTTGCTACGCATCACACCGCCGCAAGCCGCCTGAAACGGGGATGTTTTTGAAATAATGTAAGCCGAATGAAAGCTGTAGTTATGCGTTGACATTCCATCGTAGGGTATCATCAGCGTTCCGATTCTATCCTCATCACGTCTGCCACCCCAAGGCAAATGCTGCTTCCGCTCGATGCGCCGCCGTTCATTCATGGTTCGTCTTTGTCCTCCCTTCAATATTTGCAAGCTGGTTCTTCGTAACTTTGCGACTTGTTCGCCAATCTTGTCTCCAGTGCGTGTCCGTACTTGTCTGGTCGTTCTCTCTTCACTGGGGCAGCCTCGCGTTCCTCGCCGGTCCGCCTACAGTAAGACGGACGCGTCAGCCCGATGCGCCGCAAAAGACTGCAAAGGGATTACCGACTTTCGTCTCTGATGAGAGCTACAATCATCGAGTAGAGATAGAAGAAGAACATCAACAAGTGGAAACCCAGCTTGATGAAAGACTCCTTCTTATGGACGTTGAGCTTGCGGAAGATCTCAGTCGCGTCAAGGAGATGTTGGTTTTCGAAGATCCTGTTGAGTAGTGGTTAGCTGCTGCCTCGACTTTGCGCGATGTTGCGACATCGTAACATGTGCTTACTTCTTTCCGTTCCACGCGATCAGGGGCATATTCAGGAGCAAAGGCAGCCAGTAGCCGTTGATCAAGAACAATATTGTGAGGAATGCGTGGACGCCGGCTTCTGGTACAATGTACATGTTGAGGCGGTTGCAGAGGTCGATGGGGTTGATGTAGTCGCATTCGAGGTCGGAGTACATGATGGTGAAGAAGACCTGCAGGAAGAGATTGACGGCATTGAGAAGGACGGCGAGTAGAAACAACCTGTCGCCTGATATCAGTATCGTCTGGTCTACGAAGCACCGTGTTTCCTCGCTTGTTGCCGTACCACGCCTCGCCCGACATCTTGTATGTACTTCAGCACCCAGCTAGGATGCTATGTGATACTGCAGAGTCGCTTTCTCGTACTGCTCGCAAGCGATCGCCGAGTATTCGTGGATGAGCGAGTATTGTTTTGGTGCGTTCGGAAGGCTTTATCGGTGAAGTCGTTGAGGCGCGAGTGGATAGGTGTCCCGACGAGCGGCCGCGGTAGCTCACTGATTCCAAGATTCGCAGTCGGCTGCCTGGGGGGCGGAAGTGGTGTAGATGAGGTGGGCAGTGAGAGGGGGATGGATGAGGAGGAAAGGGCGGCGTAGGCAGAGCTGGAGCTGGTGAAGCTGGCAGGCTCAATTCTGTTGACCGTCGCCGGCGGGAGAATGACGTGTGGAGCCCGCAACTCTTGGCACCATCGCAACATGCGAATGCTGTCGACTACATGAAAAGACGTAGAAAAGTCTACCATAGACTCAAACGATCTTGATTCAGCTTCTAGACTACACGAGTTCAATGTGAAGTGCCGTTCGTTTTCGCAACGCCATTCGTCTCTGCAGCACCGTTCGTCTCTACCCGCTTTCCATCTGCCATGAACCCTTCTGGCATCGGCACCTTTCCACCAGGCGAATCCTCGGTCCGTGCAGTCAGGATCTCGACGCCAGTCTCAGTCACCAGCAGCGTGTGCTCGAACTGAGCTGTCCTTGAGCCATCCGTCGTCACAGAAGTCCAATCGTCCGGCCACGTCTTGTCCTTGTACGACCCGATAGTGATCATGGGCTCGATAGTGAAGCACATGCCAGGCTTTGCTTCGCCGACGGCCTTGTTCTTCGCGTAGTGAGGGACATTCGGTGCGCAGTGGAAGAGCTGGTTGATGCCGTGTCCACAATACGTCTTGACGACTTGGCAATTCCGTGACTTCGCCACCTTCTCGATCGTGTTGCCATAGTCTCGGAAGAGCGCTCCTGGCTTGACGAGCTTGATGGCTTCATCCAGGCAGCCTCGGGATGCCTCGACGACTCGCACGTTGTCTGGGTTCTGGGCCGCTGACTCGCCAACGTAATAGGTCTCATTCAAGTCTCCATGGAAGCCACCGTGGTAGAGCGTGACGTCGATGTTGAGGATGTCGCCGTCTTGCAACGGTCGATGATCCGGAATACCGTGGCAGATAACTTCGTTTGGACTCGTACAAACCGACTTCGGGAAATGGCAGTAGTTCAGCGGGGATGGATAGGACTTTGATGGCCATTAGTGCGAAATTCCAGAACTCCAGGAAATTCAGTACTTACATCTCGCTCCATGCATGCATCGTGTACAACCTTATCGATATGGTCGGTTGTCACCCCAGGCTTGACTTCACGAGCAGCAATGTCGAGCACCTCACGAGCCAGCCGGCATACTTTTCGCATGCCTTCTTGTTCTTGCTTTGTGAGGACCTTGATCTTGTTGCGACCGACGAAAACCTTTGGAAGAGTTAGACAACATATTCAAGCAGCGTGCATGGTGGACTCGCCTGTTCGCTTTTGGGTATTCCATTATGCGCATAGTCTGGGTGCTTTATCCGGTCTGGCACCGTGCGGCGCGGAGACAATGGGTAGACAGGTCTGAGGCTACCCGTGAAAGGGTAGGCAGGGAAGGGGTTGAAGTGTCCATCTGCGTCTGGTAAGGATACGACGCTAGGTGTCATGATCTTGGAGAGCATACTGTTCTGTGCTTTGTGGAGGACCTTATGTGTACTCTGCAGATTGTCAGCCATGACTCTTTTGCACCGTCACCCCCTGAGCAATCTCATGATCTGTCCAAGTCCCCCGACGGAGCACTAACCTACCCAATTCCTCTTGAAACAATCTTGACTGCAGAAGAAGGCCTCTTTCCCTAGCTTTTGGCATGTTGGGCACTGTAATGCTCCGGCATCGTTCTCGCAGTCGGCACCCTCACACATCCGCTTCTTCTCGACCGTCACCTCTTTCGCTGGGGCCTGGTCCATCTCAGCACTTCTGTAGGCGTCGAGTAGACCAGTTGATCAGGTGGTCGGCTTTGCTGCTGATGGTACTCGATCGCGCGAGGTGTAGGGCTGTATCGTCGGAAAGGGGAGGCGACGTGAATTGGAAAGCAAGGTTTACTGCAGTCTGCTTGGTGTCGGGTGTGCACCAAACTCAAGTCAGTGTACTTTGCAGGGCGTGTGCGAAGATTCCGAAGCAGCTGTGGTTGGATTCTTGCGTGCAGCTCATGGCATGGTCTGCGTATTAATCAGCATTAAGATTAAGAATTCTAGATCTGGTAGTCACGAACTTAAGTGAGTGATGAATGCTTCTTGTTGAACTTGCAATGTTGACTAAACATGGGAAGTAGCGAAGAACAGTTGCGATGTGCACGCACAACTTTCAGGATGATTCTTTGTCTCGTCTGCCATAAGATCAGTGGAATTGATTAGAATTGATTGAACATTAGTTAGACGCGAAAGCGACCCGGAACTAGGATCTCGGATCACCAGCGGAGGCACGCGACAGTGAATGGCGAGGTCGGCCTTAAGGCTTTTGGTTTCTTACAAATTTCTGTTCCATGACACCATCGAGTCCAGACCTTGCTGGGCACAGAGGAGAGTCATATATCTTCTGATCCGGTCTGTTCCCTTGCCTTCCCGCTTGTTTCGTCACTCGCGTTCTCCCTCGCACCTACCACGACGCGGCAAATGAGCTACACGCATTGCTTCACACTTCCCAGCGCTCGCCTTGGCAGAGGATAAACATGACCATCAAGTGCGTTGTGATCGGCGCCGGCCCGGTCGGTGCTCTCGCAGGTCTATATGCCGCACGGCGAGGCTGGGAGGTCGAGATATACGACCTCAGGCCAGGTTTGTTTGCAAGCAGTGGCAATGAAGCTTGGGCATTGACTGACACGGTTCAGATCTGCGAGATGAATCAACAACGCCTCTCAATTTCACCAAATCAATCAATCTTGCCCTATCTGAGCGAGGAGTCAATGCCATTCGTCATTCGGACTCTCCAAAATTGCTGGAAGCCATTCTGGCCGAAACGATACCAATGCACGGCCGAATGATCCATGGCCAGGGCAAAGGCGGCGAGCTCACTGAGTTCGCTCAACAATACGACGTTCATGGTCGTGCTATCCAGGCTGTCGATAGAGGAGACCTGAACGCAAGACTTCTGGACGAGCTGGAGAGTTTGCCCAATGTCAAGCTGCGATTTAACCACAAGCTCACGGGCGCTGACTTTCGTCGGCGTTTGGCCTGGCTCGAACGCAGGGGCACGTCCAGGAGGCAGAGCGATGATGACGGCGCTCGCCTGAGTGGGAGGCCGGGAAGACCTGAGGAGATCGAAATCGACTTCGATCTCATTCTTGGGTGCGACGGAGCCCACAGCTCCGTGAGGTTCCACATAATGAAGTTCGCACGAGTGGACTTTGCGCAAAGCTATATTGACACACTCTGGTGCGAGTTCAATATCCCTCCTGCGGCCGACGACGCCAGCAAGACTCCTTCTGCAAAAGATGGATTCAGGACAAGCCCGAACCATCTGCACATCTGGCCTGGAAGCGACAAGATGTTCATCGCGATTCCCAGCGTCGGCAAGTCCTTCACCTCGACACTTTTCGCACCCGCAGAGGATTTCGCGAGGCTTGAGAAAGACCCGTCCAGTGTTGAGCTGTTCTTCAACAAAAACTTCCCAGGTGCTGTCGATCTGATCGGGCCGGCTGCTATTCAGAGCCAATTCAAAGAGAATCCTCACCTGCCACTCATCAGTATCAAGTGCTCGCCACATGTTTTCGACTCGAGCGGGGTGATTCTAGGAGACGCTGCGCATGCGATGGTTCCATTTTACGGCCAAGGAATGAACGCTGGGTTGGAGGACGTGCGCGTGTTGTTCTCTCACCTCGATGCTCACAATTCCACCAAGGATGGTCGTGCCAAGGCGCTGGCTTCGTACAATCATGAGCGAGTCGCAGACGCCCACACGATCAACAACTTCTCTTTGGACAATTTCTGGGATATGCGAGTCGGGGTCCGCTCCAAAACCGCTCTCTGGCGCAAGAAGATCGAAGAATTTCTTTCCGACAAGCTTCCCAGTACCGGCTTTGCCACGCAGTACAGCAGAGTCAGCTTCAGCAACCAGCGCTATTCTGAGGTCGCAAAGGCTGTGTCGCGACAGAAGAATGTTCTCCTACAAGGCATGTATGGAAGTGCGTTGTTGCCTGTCGCGGGCTGGGCACTTTGGTTTGCTTGGCGATGGCACAAATCACAAAAGGGCATACCGCTGTTGGCTGGGCTTCGTGAACTTACCCAGCGTCTTGGGAGCGCTTTTACCATCGCTACCACTGGAAGATGATAATGGCTCCGCACACAGGACAGCAAAAATCTCCACTCCTCTACCAAAAGTCCCAATGTAAAAAATTCCGAGCAGATAAGTATGACGCTCTTTCAATCTCGTTCCTACGAATCGTCACGGTTCTGTCAAGTCTACTTCGAGTCGACCAGTTCTTTCGTATTCCACATTAAAAATGGGGAAGTGCCTCAGTAACGTGTTTCGCTTTAGATCAAGGAGATCAAAGAAGCAACAGTGTCAAGACCAAGAGATCGAGCTGGCGATAGCTCCTAGGTCACCAACCCCGACAGCCTCTCTTGTCTCTGAGCCAACCTACACTCAAACCCAGGCGGCCGAGCAGAGCTTGGAAGACTGTCTGCCACCTCAGAACGAACGCAGTGTCTGGCAAGACGAGCATGACCGCAGCTGCTTCATCTGTTAGTTACCACCCCTTGATCTGTCGCGATCGATTGTCCCTGACACGTCTGCAGTGGAAGCTCTGATCTTTATCTCTGGCAACGGCACTTTCAACCTCGAGGACAAAAGCATCGCCCTGCGGTACTCAAAGAGCAATGATAAGTGGCGCGCACGGCTGGTCACCATCTTCAATGGAGAGGTCTTTGGCCCCCAGCTCGAAAGCGATATCCCCCGACCAAGCCAAAGAGAAGCTTTCCTGGATCTCAAAGATGAAGTTCGCAACAGGTTCAAGAGGCTTATAAACACCTACCTTCCAGAAGCCGATCCGAGCGATTTGGTGCAGCGCTTGGAACTTCTCAGGGGTGAACGAAGGCGCGAGGATAATATTTTCCAGAAAGTCAAGCCCTCACGCACTTCGACTCTGCCATCACCATCACCACCAGCAGCAGTATTGACTTCTAAATGGGACAGGCTGGTGAAGACGTTTCGTGGCAACACCAAGCCGCTTGGTGCGGGTCGAGTCAAATGTCTCGAGGCTGCAACCCCCTCAGTTTCCGACGCGTCGTTGCCATCACCCACGACTGCCGGAAACGTGATCGGAGAATATCAAAGCAAGCCTAGTCTGAAGGCACTGTCGAAGCGACCTGTCAGGGACCACGGCCCTTCCTCAAAGACGGCGACAAACCAAGATTTGAGCGCAGAGCAGCAACAGCAGATGATCCGAGCACGCAGCACGCAGTATTGTCAAGATCTTCTAAAGGAGAAGGCCCGCATATGGCAGAACATGCTCTCGGAGTGTAAAGAAGGAACGTGTACCCATCAGGAACCCCCCGAGGAGATCCTTTACGAGACTATCCAGCGAAGGCAACAGTGCATCGCACTAAGCATGAACAATTATGATGCAGGTTGGTTGCTATCACTCCCTATAAGCCATATATATTATTGGAGGAGATTTCCGGACATCAAACCGCCACGAGAACCATACCAGTTGGCACCAACCCCGCTGATACCCAAGAAGGATTCGATTCCGCGACGTCCTAACACACGGCTGCCGTCGCCTCGACGTCGACGTCGACCTTGTAGGGTGCATACCGAAATGAGTGGGCTGATGTCGGTTCCGGATCAGGGGCTTAGCCCGCAAAGCCAGACGTTTTATCAGACGACGCCGCAGCCCGTCAACATGGGCGGACAGATCTTCCCCTCACCAGTCCAGGGCAACATGGGCGGGAGGACGCCGTTTCACGACTCTACCTATGACCCGCAGGCTGGCAGGAACCGAGCGTTCCAAAAAGCCACGCCACAGCCTGTCATGACGCAGGAACGTACCTTCGCCCCTGAGCCTCCACCAGTTCAGACTCACATGAGCAGCCGGACGTCGTTCCCGGACCTTGGTGGTGACCTGTACGAGGACATTAGCCCAATGACCAAGCCCGAGAGGCCACGATCTGTAGCCGTGAAGCAAAAGACCTGTTCACCTCAGCGTGTTATAAAGAGGGTATCGTTTCCGGACCTTGAAGATGACCCGCAAGTGGGCAGTAGTAAAACTTTCCAGCGAGAGAAGCCACAGTCCGCCGTGGATGGACAAGAATTTTCACCTGAGCTCCCCAAAGTCCAGAAATATGTGGGGAAGACGGTATCGTTCCCCGATCTTGACAGCGAGTCGCAACGGACGTCTGAATCAGAGGAGCCACAGTCCACCGCCAAGAAGGGACAGGAATCTTCACCTAAGCCCCCTAGAATCGACAAACCTGTGGTTAAGAGGGTTTCGATTCAGGATTCTGACTGTGAGTCGCAGTCGGGTAGCCGGACGTCCCAATCGGGGAGTTCACAGTCCGCCAGAGAACATCTTTCAGAAGAACGATCGCCGCCCAGCAAGAAGTTACTAGAGCCTACTGAGGGAGAACTGACCCTTTTTCCTGATCTAGAGGACGACGAGCCAGAGGTGGAGAGTGGTACCGCATCAAAGCGGCAGACCATCGACAACAAAACTCCTTCAAAACCCGACTTGCCCGAGATCCCGCAAGTGGAAAGCAAGAGCAAGAGTGACGTCGGCCCAAACGTGGAGAGAAGCGAAGCATTACGTCTGAGTAGGAGGCGCTATAAATGTCGTTCCAAGCCCAACTTGTCTCGGAATCAGCAGGCGGAAAGCAGCAGCAAGGAGGCCATTGATCCCCAGGTGGAGAGCAGCAAAGCGGCAGCTCAACGGGCTGCCGATGTCAGTACTCCTCCCAGTCCCGTCCTATCGCAGCTTCTGCAGGCACGCAGCAGTAGGGGCGCTGTAGGGCAAGGACCGACACCTCACTGCGGCACGAACACAAACAAACCTTCTTGCCTTAAGCTTTCCAAGGCACCAATGGTTGAAGAGAACGTACAGCGACCACAGACGACTCGCCAGGCTAGCATAGCCTCACGCTCGCATCCCCTCCCTCAGGATCACATGGCGGCAGACGTCCCATGGATAAAGCAGCCGCAGATGGTTCATCAGCCCAGTATGACGAGCCTCCCTCAAGACTCGGTAATGGGAGGTTTCGAGATGGCCCAACAATTGCATCGGGAATTCCTACACCAACAACAAATGCATCACTTTCAGCAACAGCAGTATTTTTTCAAGCAGTCCCAGCACTTGGCATCCACGCAGCCACAGATGGAGTACCCTCAACAACCGCAGACACAATACATGCAACAACCACAGTCGCAGTACATGCAACAACCGCAGTCGCAGTACGTTGCACAGCCACGGCCATACATCCAGCCCCAGCAGCAACAATACATCGAGCCCCAGCAGCAGCACCAGGACCAACCCCAACTCCAGGGATACACCCGACAACCCGGGCAAGGCTACTACGAACCAGTACACTACTACATCAAAGAAGCCCGAAAACCCGGCATGCTGATCCAACCCCCCAACATGGCACACACCCCTTCCCACCAAGTGCCACCAAAACGCCGCCCCCTCCCAGGAGACCGCGACTGGGTCCGATCTTTACGACCTGCCAAATCGTTCAACGAGGAGGCTTTACGGTATCGCGAGGCGCAGAATTGGGCGAGCCATTATGATAAGCTGAATCAGATGTTCGATTCGAAGTACTATACTGCTGGGGATTTGGGGAAGATTCGGACGGCATTTCGGCCGAGTTGGTATTAGGCCAGGAATGCTTGGAGAGAGAAATATGTTCAGGATCTTACAGGAAAGGAAATGTAGGAAGATAGATATAGATTGTATAAACGCCAGTTAATGATATTCACAATCTTGAAGGTCCCCTCTTCCAGTTTTTGGGGAGTCCCCCTTTTAGCTACCCCTTACGATCATCACATTAATGAACGAAAATCTCCAGACTAACCTCATTATTCCACCCAGCATCCTCCCCACTCTCCCTCCACGCCCTCTCGACATCAATCTCCAACACACGCCCATCCACCTCATTCTTCCCCACCGTGCCCGCAGGGATCGGATTCCCGAAAATCATCACCATCAGATCCTCTACTTTCCTGCCCGGTAGATCCGAAATCCACAATCCGAGCACGCCGAGTGCTTTCACGATCGTCCAGATCCTCAGGCGCCCGTTGTCTTCGACGTACATGTCGCAGCCTGTGACGGCGGCGCTGCCGGTCATTTTGCCGAGGAGACCCATGTTGGCGATTTGGAGTTTCTTCTCCCGTACTGTGAAGGTTCGCAAGGCGTACGCGGTGACGATATCCCAGCCATATGTTTCGAGCTCCAGCCCGACCATGGCGTGCGGCTGGCCTCTGCTGATGGGCGGGGAGACTTCACCCGATGTAAAGGAACCGACGACGTATTCGCCTGTCTCGGTGCCGGGGAAGTCGTCGAGGTGGATGAACTCATTTAGGTGTTGACCGGAGACGTTGAAGATGCCTAGGATGCCCGAACCCGTCTCGGCGTAGCCGACGTAGGTGCCGATCTTGAGCATGGCGAGCGCTTTGTTGCTGTTGTAGGGGTCGATGGCTTTGCCTATCATGTCGGGGCGTAGGATGACGGTCTTGCCGCGTGGAGTCTGGGCGGTCATTTGTCGGATGAGCTTCACGTCGTGCTGGCCTGGGACGTCGGTGAAGTAGATGGGTCCGCCGCTCACGGCACGAGCGGCTGCGTGGAAGGAGCCCCATTCGTGGGAGGTTTGGAACATGTCCCAATCCGGCAGAGCGTTGAGGTGTTGCGTTAGGAGACTGTTGTGTGCGTTGCAGAAGATGTGCCATGGATGAGACGCAGCCACTTCGGGGAAGAAGTCGTCGGAGTTGCGAAGCAGAAGACGGGGCTTGTCCGTTGGAAGCTGGCTGTGGAAGATTAGTTGCGGGCTTTGTGACATGCATGAGATGGCTCTGGCACTGAGGTGGCGGAGATGAGCGACGGTCCAGGCATCTTGATACACGGTCGTGAGAGCTCTTCGGTCAGGCGCGTGCTGCAAGAGATCGAGGAAGCACTGGGCGTCTGTTTTGACAGAATCGATACCAGATTCAGAGAGGAATTTGTAGAAGTCGTTGTACATTCGTGACGCATCTTCAGCCGCGACGACGGTAAATGTTCCTCCTGCCACGCCAGCTTCCTTTTCCACCTCGATCGTCTTGTAGTTCTTGGCGATCCATCCGTTGGGCTCTATACCGCCCCAGTATCCGAGAAGAGCGTGCCAGACACCAATGTGATTGATGTTCGGATGACGCTTGCGAATCTCAGATGTTGTAGCCTTCATTCCATCAGGAAAGCCATCCTTGTTGGCCTCGAAATCCAACCAGCCTCGGACAAATTGTGTGTCTCCCTTGGCCAGCGATTGCCAGTTGTCGTCGATGATGAGATTAGTGACGATGATGTTCTCTTTCGAAAGCGAGTCGAGTGCGTCGAGGATCTTCTGGGAGGTGAGATTTTGACCCAGGCCGTTCCAGGTGCAGTATGTGAGTCCATCATACCATTCCTCCAGGTTGTCAGTGACGAACCCATGGAAATGTGGGATAGCTTTACATACCTCAAGCCATTCAGGTTTGACCTCGCTCCATCGCTTGGTCACCTCATCGTCGGTAGAGCTGACGTCGTATGAGCGGACAACCTTACGTGCATGGTAGAACACAGCGGCGTTGGCAATCTCGAAGGTCTGCGCCACTGCTACCAACACTCTCGCTGTGCCGACTTCTGTACGGTCGTTGCGGCCTTTGATGATGACGTTCCCATGTCTGTCGTTGAAGAACGTCGTTATGATATCGTCAATGCCACTGATGCCAAGTACCACGACATGCAAGCCATCTGTTCGTAAGAAAGACAAGAGAACACCATCTTTGTCCAAGTCGAGCTGGCCTTTGCCTTGCCTGGGAGCTAGCCACGGCACCCATAGTCTGACAAGACTAAACCATCTCGAGCTATGATTAGGTAGGCCCAGCTGATGATGCTGCCAGCCAGACTCTGTGTCTTTCGCAGGTCCGACAGGGGCCGTCAAAGAGTACAGGTAGGTGCCCTCAGTGTCTGGCCTCTCACTTTGGACTTGAATATCTGGACTGATCTCACTGAACCAGTGCTTGAGATCGTATGAAGAGTGCTTCGCGAAGTCGGCACTTTGGTAGTGCAGCTCGCCGTCATCCACGCCGGTTGTGTCCTTGATCCATCTCCAGCCATGGTCGGTATCAACCAAAAACTTCACCGTAAAGGACATGACTTGACCATGCTTGGGGAGGCCAGGCAGCTCGGCTGTGAACCATCTTCGTGAGATGGATCGATCCTGTGGTCTGTTGAGGAGCAGGACATCTTTGCCTTCTGCAGTCGGCTTCAACGACAGCTCAGCCCAATCGTGATGGCCACCATGATTGTGCCAGATGCAGACCTGAGGCTCGTCTTCCTCCACGCGACTAGGAGCGTTGGTCTCCAACAACACAGAGAAGCGGACGCTGTCTTGGTGGCGGCAAATGGTAGTGGCCTGGCCCAATGATGGGGAGCAAGTTACTTTGAAATACATGTCGTCTGCAGCCTTGTCCGTAGGGTAGAAGGCAGGCTTCGGCTCCAATGGTTCTTGTTCAGTGGGGACACCGATCATCTGCGACAGAGGAGGCTCCGGATAAACTCTTTGGCCGGTCACAGTATCACAATCTGGGGAGCATGAGAAGTGGTAGACGCTGGAGCTCAACCGTCTGGCTTACATCCAAAGGAGATCTGTTTCTGCTTGACTCGTTTGAGAACCATATTTGAGGAAGTGGCAAGGTATAGATTTGGGGGGCAAGAGAGCTGAACGTGCCGCCGGTGAATCGGGGAAGGGCAGTGGTTGGATGAATAGGGAAGTCGATGGACAGTAACAGTACATTCACTCACCGTTGCCTCGAGATCACAGTCTCCGCTCCCGTGCAGTGTTGAACGTCATCCTGGCTGCAAGGTACCTTGAGAGCTCGAGGAGGATGCATGCTCGTCGTCGGCAAGCTCCACCACAAACGCCGACCTCACTTCATCACTCCGCCACTGCGCAATAAACTACCATGCACCGATGGTGATGCTCGACACGCTTTGCGCCCTGCCGCTGTCGGCAGACTTGTTCGCGCAAGCTGTTCATCCCACTGAGCCGTTGGTCACGGTCGGTCTGAGCAGCGGCCATGTCCAGACGCTGAGACTGCCGCCCGTGGACGACGACGATGAAGAGAAGGAAATCACAAAATTGCCGGGCAGGAGAGGCAGCAATGGCACCGACATGGTGGATACGGCCTGGCGCACCAAGAGACACAAAGGAAGCTGCAGGTGTCTGGCATACAGCGTCGACGGGAGGCAGCTCTATTCCGCTGGCACCGACGGCATTGTCAAGGCCGCGGACAGCGCGACGGGAACCGTGACTGGAAAGGTCGCCATTCCCCTCGACCCATCCAACTCGAGAGATCGCATTGACGGCCCGACAGTCGTCCATGCGCTGAGCCCACAGACCCTTCTACTCTCGACCGACTCTGGCGCATTGCACCTCTACGATTTGCGCGATCCGGCCCCAAGTCTCCCTGTCGACCAATCCAAGACCGCATTCATCACCACGAAACCTTCGCAGACCTACTATCCTCACGCCGACTACATCTCCTCCCTCTGTCCCATCCCTGCGTCCGCCGCATCAACTTCTGGTTATTCGAAGCAGTGGCTTACCACGGGCAGCACAACTCTAGCTCTGACTGACTTACGACGCGGAGTCCTCGCCAAGAGCGAAGATCAGGAAGAGCTGCTGCTATCATGCCTGTACGTGACGGGGCTCGCCGCTAAGAAGAGCAGTGGAAGCACGGGCGAGAAGGCTGTTGTAGGAGGTGGAGATGGAGTCATCACATTGTGGGAAAAGGGCCAGTGGGACGATCAGGATGAACGAATCGTCGTCAGCAGGGAGAAGGAGACGCTCGATTGCATGGCATACATCCCAGACGGTATCGGCGGCTTTGGAAAGAAGATTGCTGTTGGAATGGGTGACGGTCGAGTGCGCTTCGTGAAGCTAGGCGCAAACAAAGTTATTGGCGAGGTCTTACATGACGAAGTGGAGGGAGTGGTGGAGCTCGGCTTCGATGTTGGTGGAAGAATGATATCTGGCGGTGGACAGATCGTCAAAGTCTGGAGGGAAAGCATACAGGGAGAGGATGATGAGGATGAAGAGGAAGACGATGATGAAGTTGCTGGGGCTGTCGGCAAGCGTCCTGCTGCGGACAGTGACGACGATAGCGACGAGGATGAGGACGCCGACGACAGCAGCGACGATGAGAAGTCCCGCAAGCGCCGCAAGAAGAGAAAGCGAGGCAAAGGCCCTGCGACTTCCAGCAGCTTCAGCTTCGCTGGCCTTGATTGATAAAATTTTCACGGAAAAGTTCTGGATGTCAGCCTGCGTTGTATTGCGAGAAGATACCCTACCAAAAGTTCATCGGGCGTTTCACGCTGTACCCAAGACAAATGAAAATCTTTGCAACGACACACAAAACAGTCCCTACTATGGAGAAGATACGTCTGAAAGTGAGATGGTTTGATTGTTTTTTGTGATCCAAATTTCCCTCTACTGATACAGCCAGCTCACTCATTTCAACAGTACAGAACGCGACAAAATTACCTACCTATTCGACCCGACCGTGAGCGATGTTCATCCGATGGTCCTGCCACCGCCTAGATGTTCAAATCATGTCAATCATCCCAAACTCACCTATGCAGCAGCCTCGTCAGCCTGCTCCTGAAGTCGCAACTCCCGAGCCCACAGATAGCGCTCGTAAATCGGACCGATCTCAGGAAACCGAATGAGACCCTCATCACCAGCTTGGTCATACCAATCCATGATGCATGGATGAAGCAGAGCAACCACATTCATGTCGTACGCCCGACGCTCGAGGTCTGGCTCGAAGTGGATGGTGTAGACCGTGAGCGAAGTGATGAGCCCCGAGACCAGCAATGAAAGACCAATCAACCAATCAGGCATGGCCTGCTCATTTCCCGCATGGGGTCCAGGTGTGTGGAGAGTCTCGCGCGAAATGCGATAGAGCGTTTGCCGGTGTTCGTGGCGCGTTATCCGCTCTTCGGACGCGCTCGGCGGTGGAGGGTCATATTGGTCGATTCCCGCATTCCTCACGCCGAGACGCAGGAGCCGCACGACGATGTCGTCGACGTCGACGTCGTCCTCGTCCTCGTCCTCGGGAGCGCTGTCGTAGATGGCATTGTCTGTTCCCGGCTGGCCCCAACGTGGGCATGGCATCCCGAGATTCCAGTGGCCGCTGTCAGCTCCAGCTTCCAGGCCGCATCTGCGGACGCGTAGCGGGGAATGCAAGTCGGCACTGGGCGGAGGGATCGAAGTGTCCGCGGTACAATCAGCCCGGAGCAAAGAATGCCGTGTATTATTGGATTGAGCCCGACGAGAGAGCAGTAGAGCAGGAGGCTAGGGAGGTGGTGAATGCGATTGCTCTACCAGGCAATATCTCGGCGAGGGGACTTCTTGTGGGGGATGTTTTTGCGGGGAGGTTGGTGGTGGAGGATGCGTATGAACAGAAGTTCTTTGTCGAGCTGAGGCGGTTTCAAGAGGCGGTTCGCGAGCACCTTGAGGGCGAAGGTCGAGTGCCGCAGTGGGTAGAAGACCACTCCCTCATCGACATCGAAGCGGTTTTCGAGCTCAGCCTCCTCAGAAAGGCGCGCTTCTCGAGCCTGAAGCCAACGAGCGCACGAGCCGCGAAGCAGAGCGATCTTCTCGGACGGGTTCAATCGAGAATTTCGAGGTTCTTCGCCACTCGCAACGACCTCCTTCGAGATATCCTGCAGAGCCTCCTTCCGGCGGGATTCTATCGGCTCCCACGCGCTGACGAGGCGATTCTGCAGCACGAGCTCGATGGGCCTCAGGATGTCGAGGAAGAGGGTGAGCTGGAAGAAGAGCGAGACGGGAAAGACGGTGAGGAAGGGGACCTCGTCCCACTTACGTTCCCACCCATCTTCATCTCAGCCGCCACCCCAAACATGCTCTACGACTACACCATCACAATTCCCCTCACGCAACTCTTCCAGACGTACAAAGCCCACTCCGACAAGACCCAAGATCAAGAACTCCTCCTTCCAGGACGCAGAATCGAGGGTACCGTCAAGATTTCCTTCTCGGGGGACGTCGACGAGCCCTGGATTGAGCGAGCGTGTATCGAGGAGATGGAGTCGGCCGTGCAGGAAAACGGAAACCGGACGAGAGAGTTTTGGGAGGGGTTGAATGAGCAGACGGGGCTTTTGGCGGAGTTGGTTCAGGTGATGATTTCTTGATGAAAGTCCCAACCTCGTCATTCAACGCGGACAGTACAGGATTCGTTCTCTCCTGAATTGTGGAATCGACCGGAATGGCGACAATACCGCGAGATCATCGCGTTGTTGCCTGTAAGGTGATTGCGTGTTCCTCTCCGAGCAGAACTGCTTAGTGAGTGTCTGCAGAAGGGAGGCGATCGACCTCGGAAGATGATAGAGGTGGAATTGAAGTAGTCGCTATGCTCCAGCAGGGGCAGATGGCATTCACTGGGACATTAGCAGGTGGCAGACGCGAGAGTTGGAGCTTTGGAGAGATGAAAAGGAGGAGTCAAGATCGTGGTTGTGCTCCAAAGGAGCAAAGCGGCATTGCTGCCCATTCTTTTGATCAGTCAAGGCTCCTCAAAAGAGTGCAGAGAAGCCAGGCCACTGAGGCCTTCTGAAGTAAGGCTTGTTCCAAACATGGTAACCCTTTTCTTTAGGATAGTCCAAGATCGCTTTCCCCTCGTCCCAAACTCCAATGTCATTTCACATCACCTTCCCAAACACCGCCTCATGGATGCACTAATACACGTCTAGAACCTCAGATCCCAACCGATCTTAGGTCCAATAGTCGGCAACTCCTCCGCAACAGACTGAACATCCTTGTCACCTCGTCCAGAGACACAGATGACAATGTTCTGGTCCTGTTTGAGCGTCTTCGCGAGCTCGATGGCACCGAAGACGGCGTGGCTCGTCTCTAGGGCTGGGATGATACCTTCCAGTTCAGAAAGGAGCCGGAAGCCGATGAAAGCTTCTGCGTCGGTGGCAGCGATGAACTTGGCGCGCGAGCTGTCTTTCCAACCAGAAAGCTCAGGTCCTACGCCAGGATAGTCCAGACCTGCTGATACGGAGTGCGTGTCGTTGATTTGGCCTTCTTCGCTTTGGAGGATGTAAGTTCGAACGCCGTGAAGGACGCCTGGCTTGCCTCCCGTGAGTGTTGCACTGTGCTTGTTGGTTTCGACACCGTCTCCTCCGGCCTCGACACCTAGTAGTTGCACGCTTGGGTCCTGCGAGAATGGGTGGAACATGCCCGTCGCATTGCTGCCACCACCAACGCAAGCTACGACAGCGTCAGGCAAGCGACCGGTTAGCTCGTGCATCTGTTGCTTCGTCTCGTTCCCGATCACGCTCTGGAACGTCCGCACCATCGTTGGGAAGGGATGAGGTCCAATGGCAGAGCCGATGATGTAGTGCGTAGTATCCAGCTTCTCAACCCACTTCCTTAATGCCTCGTTGACAGCGTCGCGAAGAGTCTTTGATCCAGATTCGACAGCAACCACTGAAGCGCCCAGCAGCTTCATGCGGAACACGTTCAGAGCTTGTCTCCGTACGTCTTCGGCACCCATGTATACCGTACATTTCATGCCGAATCTTGCGCAGACAGTAGCAGTGGCGACACCGTGTTGTCCAGCGCCTGTTTCAGCAATGATCTCAGTCTTTCCCAGCCGTCTCGCGATCAGTATTTGACCAATGGCATTGTTGATTTTGTGTGAGCCAGTATGGTTGAGATCCTCTCGCTTCAGATACACGTTCGCACCATAGCCGTCTTTCGAATTCTGACGCACATGCTCCGTAACTCGCTCTGCTTTGTGTAGTGATGAAGGCCTGCTCATGTACGGGTAGTATGATCGGTACTCCTTCCAGAACTCTGGGTCGTTGCGCGCGTCGTTGAAGCCCTTCTCGAGTTCCGACAAGCAGTCCATGAGTGATTCTGGCACATATTGACCACCAAACTCTCCGAATCTTGACCGCATCAGCTCTTTGTCAGCGCCATCAGTGTTTAGAGCTTCCATCTGGTCTGCGAGTCCCGGTCCATCCGAGCCTTTCACAATCCCATCGACATGTACAGTGCCATTCGAATGGTCGCTCTCGCTAGCAGGTTGCTTGGTGGCATCTACTGTGGAAATCTTCTTCGCGGACTCGTTGTTCGATTGTGAGATCCAGCCGCTGCCATCGCCATTGGGGTTTGCTGCAGTAGAGATTGAGTGACCGTTGGTTGCTCCATTTGGTACGGTTTGTGGGTTTCGCCGTTGTGTGATGGAATAGCAGTACTCCTCCACAGCCTTTGCGCCTTTGCCCTTGCCTGCATTCTTGATCGTAGTGATGATTTGACTGCCAATCACAACGCCCTCAGAGACCTTGCCTACCTCCACAAAGTGCTCACGAGTGCTCACGCCGAAGCCCACAGCAGCTGGCGCTCCATTCGAGTATTTGTGGACCCTCTCAAGCAATGCTGGCAGACCAGTGCTGAGAGCACCAGTAGCACCAGTGACACCCATTCTCGACACGACGTAAATGAAAGAGTCTGCAATGCTGCAAAGCAACTTCATGCGCTTCTCACTGGTCGCCGGAGCAATCAAAGGCACGTATGAGAGACCATATGTCGTGCAGTGTTGTCTGAATCGCACAGCCTCCTCTGGTGGCAGGTCTACCATAATGAAGCCGTTCACACCAGCAGCCTTTGCATCTTGCAGCATCTTCTCCTCCCCGTATGCCAACAAAGGGTTATAGTATCCCATGAGCAGAACAGGAGCCTTGAGGCCTCTACTCCGCGCATCTCTCACGATTTGAAGGCAGTGCTTCGTTGAAGTGCCGTTCGCCAATGCCTGAGTGTTTGCGGTCTGAATCGTTGGTCCGTCTGCGATTGGGTCTGTGAATGGTGTTCCAAGCTCGATCACATCTGAGCCACCAGCTTCCATTGACAATAGAATGTCGGGCGTCTCAGCGATTGTAGGATACCCGGCGGTGGTGTACGTGACCAGAGCAGGGCGGCCTTCGCTCTTTGCACGAGCGAATGCCTTCTTGATGCCCTCCATGGTTGCTACTCCTCGGCAGAGTAGTGGATAGTGTGATCGAGTATACAAGTATTTGGTGTTGGGCGTTACGTCCAATTTACGTTCGAGGTCGAGAGGATTGGGGAAGAAGGCTGTTATAAGAAGAGTTGGTGAGTCAATGGGATATCACACAAGTCCAATGGCGGGGACAAAAAAGATGACTCTATTGTCGGGCTAGCTTCAGTCACGTGTGGCTTTATCGATAACGGCTCAGGCTTGGCGCAATCTCAACTTCCCTTCCTTCTTTGCAGGTGGATTCTATCAGTCCTTCCACTATTTGGTATTCTTGCCGAGTGGATGACGACTGGCAGTTCGCGTCCAGTCGACTACTGTGTTCACGGGATCTTGTTCCTGGCAGCGAGTCTCGCCGGAAGTCACATCCGTTGCACATTGTTGCCAGCGGGCCCGAATCCATCATACGCAAACCTTAATTCGACCTCCTCCATCACGCCCACTCACTCACCTGGTAGAAAACTGGCAGTTGTGAAGCGTGACATTATTGCGGCGACTCCATCTACGTCTATCCCACATGCGTCCAGATCAAACGAAATTGGCAGGGCTTATGATTGCGTAGCCGCCACAGACCGTGCAGTAGTCGATTCTCATGAGTCTTAGGAAGTTCATGTAGTTTCCTGCGGACGACTGTGTCGATCCGTCAACTTCAACAGTCTCTCCGCATTACGAAACGCAATCTTCTCAAGCTGCTCTCGACTAACCAGCCCAGACTCCTTCAACTCCTCGATAAAATTCCTCGAACTCCGCCCATCATTAAAAGGATAATCAGCACTAACCATAATATGCTCGATCGAAGTATTTCGAAGAATACAATACATCGGATCAAGACTCCAATTACCCGTCGTCGTAATCCAGATATTCTCCTCATAGACGGTCCGAAACGACCGCTCCATCGCCCAAAAGGAACAGTTATTCTCGATCCGGCCCAGCATGAAGGGGATCGTCTCGCCCATGTGGCCCAGAATGATTTTGACGCGCGGGTATTGATCGAAGAGCCCCGACGCAAAGAGCCGGATGACATGCAGCGCGACGTCGGCGTGCCAGCCAAAGGCGCTGGTGCCGATCATGGAGGACTTCAGGTGCTCGTAGTTTCCCTGGAACTGGGAGATGGCCTCGGCGTCGCTGGGGTAGGTTGGGTGGAGGTAGATTGGGACGTCGAGGTCTTGCGCGGTGGCGAACATTGCGTGATATGCTTCGCCGTCGTAGTAGGTGCCCGTGTGGGTGTGAGAATCGATCAGGGCGCCGACGAAGCCGAGCTGTTCGATGCAACGTCTGAGTTCTGTGGCGCATTCCTGTGGTTCGGCAACGAGGAGGACGGCGAAACCTGCGAATCGAGAAGGTCGGGCTCGTACGTGAGCTGCTAGTTTGTCGTTTGCGGCTCGGCATTGCGCTGCGTTGAGATTGTGGTTCAGTGGTGCGTGGGAGATGACTTGGTAGGTACAGTTGATCTTGTTCATGGCTTCAATTCGGATGGGTCCCACGTCCAGTAAGGACTCCTTGATGCCCGGGAGGTAAGTGCTGAGGTCGATATACGGGCTTGCAGGATCTCCCATGCGCATGCATTCTTCTGAGTAGCAGAAGTGTTCTTCCAAGTTGATGATTGGGGGATCCATGTTGCCCATTAGGGAGTAAGCGACGCTCGACGATCGTGGATAAGGCTTCGTTGTACTTGCAGGCGAAGAAGAGGAAGTGTGGTAATGCGCAGTCGTGTTCACTGACGTTCGAACTTCGTAATGTCAGTTTGCAAAGAGCAGGCGGTCGAAGGTTGCGCATCCGTTCCTGGCCACCATCAGTTGTTATATAGTTTCAAGTACCGGCTCAGCGCTCCGAAGCACGCCGCGGAGTCAAGGAACTTCGCTCTCTACAGTGTCAGTGACCTTAGCGGAGACGACACGGTTTTGAAGAGAGTGACCACTTAGTCCAGTTGGAAGCTGAAAGAAATATTGAAGATGTTTTCGAAAAAGTGTCGAATTTTGAAAGACATCTCTACGGAGACTGATAACAATTCAATGGCCAACTCTATGCTCACGGCCCAATATTCCCAATTTGGTGACCTCCCAGTGGATTATGTTAGGGTTTTCCTTCTCCGTAACGCCTCGCTATGCCAAAACATTTTCTTTCCATCCCGATCAAACTCACGACTCCATGAGCTCCACAGGCGGCCGAGCCGTATGCATAAACTTCTTCTCAACACCCTCCATCGGGCTCAAAGGCAGTGGACTCTCCGTAGTATCTTCGACAGCAATAGCGGGAAGATCAGGCGAGTTGCCTTGTTCCTGCGGATCATATACCAGTGTGGAACTGCCCGATCGATGTCTGTTGATCAATGGCTTCCATTCGTGCTGATGTTCGGTCTCCATCCTCTCTTTCAGTGCATCGTCGGCGGCAGGTCGTGCGTGTAGCTTTGCAAGAGCATCCGCGAGATCCTCTGCGTGCACTTCTTTGTTCGGAGGCTCCTCGTTGCGCATCTCCCAGCCGACCGGTGGGCTTGGTGGCGGCGAGATGAAGAAGAGCTTTTGGCTTTGCGGTGCCTGAAGATGTTGATCTTCTTGTTGGATCTTGGTCTCTGTGCCGAAGTATACTCTCACTCTGTCTCCCAGAACTGTCTCGCCATCGAGCACTTGTCTGATCGCGATGGCATCCTCCACGGTGTAGAAGCTAACAATGACTCGTCGGAAGGACTTGAGCGGCGAGAAGGTGTGGATCTGGGCGTGTTGGTTGATGGCTTGTTGGATGCTTTCCAAGTTGGCGGCAGTGAAGATCTCGAGCGCCTGTAGGTTGGTGATGATGAGGGTGTTGCTTGGTGGCGTGGGTTGCGAGAGGGCTGGGAGATCGCTGAGGTCGATGGAGAGGTTTGGCGATCGGCGCCTCTTAGGCGATGTGGGTGAAGCTGGCGGCGACATTTGCATAGTCATAGCTGCCATGGAGTGTTTGAGGCGATGGTGGAGAGGTGGTGGTGGTCGTAGGTCCTCGGTTTCGGAAGTGCGGTTGTTGCTGCTTTGGGATGATTGTTTGCTTGGTTGCGGTGAGTGCGATGTTTGATGGAGAACAGTGAGGAGGAAAGGGAAGGCTTTTGTCTTGCGCACCGCAAGGTCCAGCAGCTTACGCTTCTGCTCCGCCCCTCTATCACGGTGGACGGCAAACGGCGGTTCCCTGGCCTTGGGGAGTGTCTCGACGAGCTTCCATCGACGCCGAGACTGGCACAGCCTCTAAGAAGGCCACAAGACCACTCAAAGCCACGTTTTATTGAGCAAACCCACAGGCGCCAAGGGCTCGTAACCACGCCGGCCGGTGGACTGTCCGGTGGGTTTCAATGTGGACCACACACCCAAGACTCGTCATGTGCAAACGCTTGGGACTCTCTGCTGCAGGAGCGCAGCAGCGGACCGTCCTTGCAGCGCGTCCCCAACCCGGAGCCTCCTCGACGCGGCATCGTCAACGGCGCTGTTGCAACTGAGCCACCTGCGAGTGACCGACTGGCCCGCAAAGCCTCGACACACGCCGACGGAATCGCGTTTACCCTTCTCCTTTGCGACACCAAAGCGCTCAACGTGGTGGCGAAGAGGGTGACATTCGTCTGAGACAGCACAGCACGCTTGCCACCGAGGCTCGCGCGAGGTGTGATGTCCTGTACATGAGCGCGCTTGGGCGACACTGCTCACTACCGCCATCTGCTCCGCCTTGCACCTCGACCGCCAAGCATCGTGATGGCTCTCTCAACACGGCAGCTCCATCCACTCTTCCTTCTTGGCATCCCTAAGTCCAGAAGTCTCTGTTGCATACCACTGTCACGACGGCTCGCCTTGGAATTTCTGAATTCTCCAAGTCTTGTCACGACAAGTTGCTGCGGCCGATTGCTAGTCGAACAACCAGAGCCACAATATGTCAGACTGCAGCTTGCGTGAGAAAAGTGGACGGTCTGGCAAAGGCAGATATTGTCGCAGCGCTGATGAACTGTGATCAAAAGTACAGGCAGTTCTTTATTGACCTCTAATAAACTAGGCATGTGAGGACGACATTTATTCATCATCCCGAGATGCGTGTAGAACACGAACATCGAGCGAAGGATCATCATCCGCGGAGCTGAACCGAATGTCCAGTCCAAATACTACTTATATTAGGCAGCACTGAACGATCTTCCAAAGGCATATTAGAAAGTGGTTTCATCCCGGCCACTGTCTCGTGCGCATCGTCAATTTGTCTCCCAGATGGGACACATCAACACGACTGAGCCTACGCAATGGTCCGACGAACGACGCAATCCAGCAATTGACTTTGGCCTCTTCGCATTTCCAGCCTACGTGTTGCCTGTGCTGGTGGCCTCAATATTCGTATGGATTAAGCCTCATTGTCGCTTCCTCCAACGTCTGAACAGGAATCCTGCCCAGTTAGGACCAGGAGTACTGAATGGGGTTCGAAATGACCGGGCTGGAGACTTCCCACGACAAATCCAAGGTCTTCTGGCACTCTTCCATGTCTTTTGTACTGGCCCAGCGCTTACTCAGGATAACAAGTCCTACAAGGATGACTTATTCGGATATGGCTCTGCTGAGGCGCTGTCACTGCTTATTGGGGCATTCTACCTGGATCCTGCAATGCTGACATCCTACTTGGCGACATCGACTGGATGGATCCTCCTCGCGATCAACAAGAGATTCTCCAGCGCGGCTATGTTGCTGTCTCTGCCATGTGCTTGGCAGATCACTGGATATACGGGCATCTATCATTGGCACTCTGGGATCTTGCTGTTTCGTCTGGCGTCGGATTACATTGAGCTTGACCTAGTTGATCATGTCCGCGAGAATGTCACCTACTACCTCAAATCCTGGAATCAAGCTTTCTACATAACCTGTATCATCATTGGCGCCACCATCAACCTCGTCCGCAGTGCCGCGCGTCGCGAGAGTCTCCAAGAAGCCGTAGATACCATCCTAGCGGGTTTATACGACGCCTGTCTTCAGGTCGTGCGAGCGATCGTACACTTGGCTGCATTTTTGGGACCTGTGGCTCTCAATGCTGCAATCACTGGCTTCTTGGCGACTTGTATCGGATGGCGCTGGATAGTGGTGGGAAAGCCAGCGAACTCACCCTTCTCATCACCACTGGCCATGTGTTTGTGGGCTCTCTTCTACCTCGTGCTTTGGTGCCTCGTCCAATTCTTGACAGAAAAGCGAGACCGGCAAAGGCGACAAGATGTCGTGGACACGTTCCTGTATGAGATGGTCATATGCGCCGACGTTACGGGTTTGGCGGCTGCCTTGATGGTCCTGTTGTGGTGGACAATAGTTGTGCTTCTTCACACGAAAATCCTCGTCTGAAGGTAGTCTCCACCTCGCAAATGGACGTCTGGCTTCGTGGTTCTGCTCCAAGTTGGCTATCCCCACCATTCGCATGCTGTCCGAGCTCTGCAGGAGAACGCCTAGTCGCTTCCAGGCGCAGCGACAGAATGGCTCAATACGTTTCACATCGAGCCAAACGCGAGGGTACAATCTTTGGGGAGAAGCGACTCCTTCTGAAGCTCAAAACAAAGGACTTCGAGTCGCAGGCCGAATCTAGCGCAAAAAGTTAGAGACCGGACTGAAACCCACAATGGGATTGTTTTCAAGAATGGCATTGGTTTCACTGCACAACGTATATAAGTGCGAGAAAGACGGCATCAGACACTGTTCAGATCTTTTCGGCATTTTCAACACCCAACCACACTTCACCCACTCGTTACGACAGACACCTGCCAAGCAGCCTTCAAGCCACAGTTGCCCATCATGCGCCTCCCTTTCAGCATGCGCTCTGACTACCTCGTTTGGGACCCTCCTCGTTACCAGGACGAGAACGACCGTCCAGAGAAGCCATACATCGCACCAGCACCAACTCCACCAGAGCCCGCCGCGTTGTTTTTCAACGGGGTGCGAAACTGCAGGGTAGGTAAGAGGCCCTTCAAACTCCAGCATACTCCCAACTATCGCAGACCACATTCTCGCAATCGAAAGCTCAGTCGTCGGCAGCAGACCAGAAGGTACAAGACGATCCTGAAGGACCTGACATGGCAGTACCAGAACTTCGTCGATGCTGCATGCAGTGCGGTGGGCTGTACCTTGAGATCGACACCATGTTCGCATCTCACACCTCGCCATGGGATCGGTTCAGTCCGTACTTCGATCTGTTGGCTGAGTACTTCGCTGACGCGTTCAAGCAAGACAACGGCGCAGACAAGCTAACTGCAGATACCAGCCTTCTCTTGGCTATGGGACAGCCAGTGAACACAATGAAGGCAGTAACTTTCCAGCCGACGAAGACTGTACCCAAAATCGCGAATCTGTCCGGGAAGATGGATGTCGAGACTGATCCTGTGGCGATCCAAGCTGCTCTCCAGCGATGGTCTGACTCCCTTGCTAGCGAGTCGAAGAAGATGCAGCACTTGCTGGAGGACTTGCGTGCTCGCGATGCCTCGGTCAAAGAGTGGGAGGCTGAGGTTGCTAGTCTCAAGAAGACGTGGCAAGATCGTCTCAAGTCATTGGAAGAGCAGGATGTCTCCGTTCAGGTGCCAGTCCAGACGGTGAAGGTAGTGAAGGTATCTCCCAGCTTGTTGGATGATGTTGGCGAGGCTGGATCCTCAACTTTCAAAGTCGAGGTTCCTGTGGGACATTCTGCTACTCCTCACCGGTCTGCAAATGATTCTCAACAGATTAAGACCGAAGTGAAGACTCCGAAGCCAACAAAGCCTCAAGTGAAGACACCGTGTGATGCCAACAACAAGAGCAGCACCCACCGCCAACCGACTGTCGAGGACGGTCCTGCCGTAGATTGCGATGCTCCTGACGAGTGCTCGAGCGAGACGGATACCTCTAGCCAGAAGACGACAACACCGAAGACAACGACGCCGAAGACTTCGAAGACCTCGAAGACCAGTACCTTGCATCCCTGTCTCAGACCTTCGGCACAGAGTTCGCGAATGCTGTACGGTACAAGGCAGTCAAAGCAGGGTCACGGTCAAAACCCTAGGGGTCCAGGATGGACAATGTATCAGTAGCTCTGGTGGAAAGTAGGAAGGTAAGTGTTTCACGATTGTCCTCAATTTATTCTCTCCTCATTTCTTAGACTTTCGCACACACTATTTTTTGCCACTATAGTCATATTCTGCCTTGTTCTCAGTGCAGAGCAACACGAACGCCTGAAATACGTTCGAAGTCCCCCACATGCCAAGAAGCATGTGATCACATCACGTGTCTCAATGCGCTATATTCTTCCATCCTTTCGTACCCGTATCCGCATCAATCTGACCACGCAGTACAAAATCATCAAAACATCCATCCTCAACCCAAGTACAACATAAACCAGCAATCCCACTACCCACACCTTATTATACCACCCTCCAAACTTCCACCCTCAAAATCCTAAACGCACCTTCAACCCATCAAGCGCAAACCCCCTCCTAACAACCTTTCGACCAATCCCAAACAACAACAATGAACTCCAAAAGCCCCAAAGGAATCACTCCCGCAACGATAACAATCTTCGCCATGGCTTTCCTGGCGACGGATTATTTTTTCTATCGGCAGGAATTCAGATACGTCAATTCTTTGGTTTGGAGGCGGGTGTTGGGCGGGGCGGGGAGAGAGGATTATGGGGGCGGTGGTGGTAAGGGCGAGTGATGAATATTCCATCAACGAGAGCGTTAAGGAAGGCAAGGCTTGCTATGGGGAGGACGGGGAGGGGTTGGTGTTGGGAGAGAGAGAATTAGGTAAGTCGGACTCCTCATTGAAGTTCCGGAATCATTTTCGTTTTGGCTTTTGGGTTTCGTAGCATTCACTCACCTAAGTCTTGTTCTCTGTGTAGATGGACACAATGGCCACGTTGCGAGTGGTACTTCTCGGGTGGTGGCTACACGCACTTTCGAGAAAGGAGGAGCCTTGTTACGCGGGCTCGCTCTTTCACTCCCTTCGACAGGATTTTGGGTCTTCTAATGTTGAGCCTGGATGTCGACTCGAGGGTGCGACTTCAGCACTGCCGTTTGATTCAATTGAACTGAGTTGCTCTCTACCTCTCCGTTCAGCCCACTCTCCTTTGGATGAATGCACTTCTGTCAGTAGTCCTTTATTCCCCATTCCCATTCACCTAAATACAACGTCTTTGTCTCTTTAGTCTCAAGTCACACTCCCGTGGGCAAGTCACATACGACCCTCCTTTCAACTCTCCTTCATCCTCTCTCTCTCCACAACCCCATCCAACCCCCCCCCCCCCCAACAAAACCACCTCACAATCACAACTCCCTCGCCCACAAACCCTCCTCCGGTCGAATCTACAAACCCTCTCGACCTCCCCATCTCCATCCTCACAAACCAACGCCCTCGTTCCCCCCTTCAAACTTCGTCCGCCTAGCGACGAAACACATCCTCCACCACCTCGCCACGCTCAAAACTCCCCTGTCCACTCTTAGCTCCTCTTCCCTCCAGCGTATCGTCGACACGCAGATGGATGAGCTGCTCGAGTTGAAAGAAGATTTTGAGGTCGAGGAGTTGATGAGGGGGATGCGGGAGTTGGATGTTAGGGTGGGGCTGGGGAGGGAGATTGAAGAAGGGATGGCGGGTTTGGTGTTGGGGGATGGGGAGAGGGAGGGTTTGGCAGATGGTATTGATGGGGAGGGGAGTGATGAAGAGGAGGAGGAGGAGGAAGAGGGAGTGTTTGATCCTTATGAAGATACTTTGGTGGCGGCGGTGGAGACGGAGTGGAGTTCTGAGGTAGACGAGGAGATGGATGCTGCGTTGTTTCCTTTGCCTGATGACGATGAGGAGGATGAGGATGAGGAGGAGGAGGAGGACGAGAGTGAAGAGGAAGAGTGGGAAGAGGAGGAAGAGGAAGGAGACGAAGAAGACGATCGCCAATCTCCATCCTCACCAACCAGCGAGGCTGATGACAGCGTCACAAAGACCAAGTAAGACCTCCCAGAGATCTGACAGATAGTATGCCCACTCTTCTCAGAATGAAATTCATCTGAACATTCCAAAATGAAGGTCTCCCCATTCCCCTTTTCTTTTATCCAATAATACATCCAAAAAGACACTATACACTTTTCTCTTCCCTTCCCAGATTGCCAATTAACACAGAAAGCAGAAACAGAAAAATGAAAAAAATCATTGGGTATCGTCCCTTCTAATGCCCCCCCCCTTCCAAGATCCTAAAACGCCTTCATCAATCAAAGAAAAAACCCACCAACCTGGTCCCCACCTATTCCGATCGTCGGAAAACCGCACCGCCTTTTGTTTTCTTCCTCTCCTTCAAGGTGCCTTGGGCCCTTCAAACTCATACACGCCTCCGCTTTTGCTGAGCGTCATCCCCAGTCCAGACATCACCTCGACCTGAAAAGGCTCAAAAGGCACCTTCTCGCCATCGATAGCGATCAACCCTTCCTTCTGACCGCCCGCACCGCCCAACCACTGTCCGATCTTCGCCCGAAGTCGCCGGCTCTTGGGCGTCGGGTTTGATCGTGGCGTGATTCTGTAAGCCAGGACTTTGCGGTACGAGACGACGTCGAAGTTCATGATGCCGCCTTGCTCGACGGTGCCGATCATGCGTAATGCCGTGGTTCTCGAACAGTCTCCGGGGACTGTGATCATGTCGAGTTGGCCGTCGGAAGGGAGGGCGGCTACGAAGAAGGGTGTGTCGGGGGACATGTAGCACATGTTGCCGACGTAGAAGTTGCCTAGGGTGGGCATGTCCTGGGTGATGAAGTCGGGACCTAGAGGTTCTCCAACTGTGCCGTATTTCAGGGTTGGAAGCTGCGAGTCTTGACCTTCCGGTAGGTTGTAATCTGCGTCTTCTCGATCTAGCTGCTTGGACTTTCGCGCGTCGTGCTCTTCTCGAGCATGTCTGTATGACTCCCTAATCGCCCGCTTGTCCTCGGTCTCTACCACCATCGAAACCTCAGCAGGATAGATGGTCTTCCCCAGCATCCTGACCAAAATTCCCCAAGTGAATCGTAGAGGTCCCATCCATCGTAGCGATTCCGTACCCAGATCCGTCTCGGCGATGATACCGACTGCCTGCGAAAGAAAGCTGTAATACTGCTTGTCGCCTTGGGTAATAGCCGCCAGATCCAAAGGTGTCCTCAATCCCTTCACCATCTCCACAGCTGCCAACGAAGGCGAATCGGTCCCGTGCATATTCAAGCTCATAGCATTCCCACTCCCGCAAGGAATCTGACAAACCGCAATCTTCCTCAGCGTACGTCTAGCATCCTGCCGTTTCGCCAGCCCGTTGAACACCTCATGAGGCAGTCCATCCCCCGAAGCGCACGCCACCATATCGAAAGCCTCAATATCCAGCTTCTCAGCAATCTCAATAGCGTGCCCGCGATACGTCGTCCTCTCCACCTCAATCTCACAATGTGCCGCGGCAAAAATAGGCTCCACCTCCCTCGTCCACAACTTCTGCGCATTCCCCTGCCCACCGAAAGGATTGATCAACACTTTTATCCTTCTCTTCCTCTTGATGCTCGGCGGGTACGCGCGCTCCATCAGCTTGTCCACCCACTGCTTCGCGTGCGTGTGCATGCTCTTGTCCGTCACATTATAGTTGATATACCCCACGCGACAGCCCTTGCCTTTCCGGCCCACGGGCTGCGCGTAATGCACCGTGACATCGAAGCTGCTGAGCTCGGCCCAGAGGACGTTGTGGAACGGGATCGCTCGGGTGGTTTTGGAGAGTTGTGGTAGTAGGCCGCAGCAGTTCGAGGCCGCTCGGCGATGTCGTAGGCCTTCGTCCAGGACGATGAGCGAGTCGGTGCCTAGGGTGAGAGTTGCGTTGCGGTCGACGTTCAGCACGGCTGAGATGTCGAGCGAGGCCTCGGATCCAGCCGGGTCCTCGAAGGGGTTGGTGGTGTCGTTGTGGGTGGTGGAGTCCATGGTGCTGGTGGAGGGAAAGGTGCGCCCGAGCGAGTGAAAGGCGCAGACCTTGGTTTACGCAAAGGGATGTCAAACGTGTGCGGAAGAGGTGGGAAGGAAGGGAGGGCGGTCACGCTCGGCATCATGTGGCTTAGCTGCTTTCGGTAGACAAAAGCCGAGAGCACTTATTTTGAGACATTCACTGACAAAGTTGACGGGCGAGTTGTGCTATGTAGGTTTGTACAATATCTATACAGGATATGATGGAGCTATTCAAGAGCCCTCGGTCTTCGTTTCTGACTCTCCCTTCTCCTCTGGAATTCCCTTCTCCTCATCCTCCAGCATCGTTCGCCTCCCCTCCACCGTCAAGTACAGACTCTTCGAGGCAGCCTCCAGCGTGTTGGTAATGCCAGCTCCCACACTCTGGAGCATGGCCACCATCTGCCCGCGTAGACCGTCCAAGCCGCCTTCAATACTTCCGACCCATTTGGCTCCCTCCATATCGAAAGCCTTGCCCTCAACCCTAGCACCAAGCAACATCAACTTCTGAATTCCGTTCTGGACCGCAGGCTCGTGATAGCCAGGGTTCGTTTTCCGCTTCGGTGCTGGGAAGTCTTTTGATGGAGAAAGAATGGACAAGGCTGCCTTGAGGTGCTGCGGTGATACGGTGGGTAGTGTCAAAAGTGCAAGGGGTCCTGAAAGGAGAGGCTCCAAGCCATGCCTCATGTATTTGGCCCTGTGCACAGCTATCGCGTGTGCCTTCTTCGACAGCCCATGCTGAATCATCTTATCGTGTTTGCTGGGCTTCGTGTTTGGGATGACCGCCGAGCTGGCAGTCTTGGGGTCGGTTGGGTCCTGCTCAGGTATTTTCGGCTCGAACTTGGGATCCCAAAACTCCACGACCTTCAAGGCCGATACAAATATGCCCGTCTGTACCACTTGTAGCTTCACATCACTGCTCAAAGAGTCCTGATCGCCATTCTTCGCGAGCTCTTCATCAACCTTCCTCAGCGCCGTAGCCAATTCTCTCCTGATGCCCATCCACTCTGTAGACTTCAAGTTGTTGTGTTGGAAGACGAGCATTAGTTGCGTTGACCGCAGCAATGACTGGTACTGTCGGTGAAGTTGTGTTTTGCGGAACTCAGGAGATTTGTACGATGGCGGCTGGGTTGGAGGATATCTCGCGATTGGTGCAGCGGCATGGATTGTCTGCTCGATGGGAGGTGCTGGTGTGGTCGCCGATGCTACTGATGCATTTCTGCATTGTCGGCAGACGTATTGTGTTGATGAAGATGGCCGTAGCTGCTGGGGTTGGAGGTGTATCCGTGGAGGCATTGTGTCCGATTTCGTGTCGCGTGAGTCGAGGATTGCACCAGACTGCTACCAGCAGAAAGAGCGCAGCTTCTTTCTCGAATCAATGCGCGTCTTTCTCTTCAATGGATGGTCCTGATGTCGATGCGAGGTGTTGCGATGGTGGTTGAAGGTGAAGTGCAGGGCTGGGCGTTGCCGTTTGCCTTTCCGCACCCAAATCTCGCCCATGTTTTCTGGAACCATCCCGACTAGGGTCAGCCCAGTCATTCACTGCCCGCACATGTTTGCTCCTACAAACCCACAATCTCACTCCCCTCCGCAACTATCAAACAAATCCAGCCTTGCACAACACTCTCTGTCATTTTCTGCTCCATTCGCGATCAATTGCCGCAACAATGACGGACAGCAAAGTGGGCTACGTTTCAATATCAAATCTCCTCAAAAGACTTTCAACATTGGAGGCGGCGAGGAAAGTCAGTGCGAATGAGATTGCTGCAGCAGTCGCTCTCATATTCACCAACAGTCTCTCGCCAGTCCAATTCGGAGTCTTACTGTGGGCACTTCACACGACGAATTTGGATCATCAAGCGGAGGTTCTGGCTGCTTGTGCCTTGTCGATGAGAGATGCTGCTGCGCAGATTGACGAGACGGCTTTGGAGAATGTGTTGAAGCAGAGGCGGAAGCCTGAGGGGCGATATGCTGGCAATTTGGTACTCTGCTTCCAAGTCAATGGCTCGCTAGATTCTGTTGCTAACGAGGATGCAGTGCGATATTGTAGGAACTGGCGGTGACGGACATAACACATTCAACGTTTCTACAACCTCATCAATCATTGCATCGGCTCTGCTCATGATGGCCAAACACGGCAACAACTCTTCGACTTCCCTCTCAGGATCCGCGGATTTGTTACAGCACGCTCCAAAGCCACCCATCATAGCTGCTACTACCGCTGCGAATTTGCCTCAGATCTACGAGAAGTCGAACTACGCCTTCTTATATGCACGGGAATGGCATCCAGGAATGAAACACAGCGCCAGCGTCCGACGAGAGGTCCCCGTCCGAACGATCTTTAACTTGCTAGGACCGCTGGCAAACCCTGTGCATGACTCTGGTCTTGTGGAATGCCGCATCCTTGGTGTTGCGAGGAAAGACATTGGGCAGAACTTTGCCGATGCGCTTCGTCTCAGCGGGTCCAAAAAGGCACTGATTGTATGCGGAGACGAGAACCTGGACGAGATCTCTTGCGCGGGAATGACCCACTGCTGGTACATTCACGAAACGCATGCAACTCACGGAGAAGGATCGAAGCCAGTCGAGATCACGAAGTTCACCCTCTCTCCCGAGGACTTTGGCCTGCCGCGGCACACACTGGATGAAGTGCACGGCGGCAAAGGCCCAGCCGAGAACGCAGAGATCCTCATGCAGATTCTTCGAAATGAGAGACCGGATGACGATCCAGTCCTTCATTTCGTACTGCTGAACACGGCGGCTTTAATCACAGTCAGCGGCATCTGCGAAGTTGACGAGAGCAGTATGGGCCACGGCGACGATGGCAAGGTTGTTCAAGAGAGAGGTCCAGGCGGTCTGCGCTGGAAGGAAGGCCTTCGCAGAGCCATTTGGTGCGTGAAGAGCGGCGAGGCGCTCCGACAATGGGAGGCATTCGTCGAGGTCACAAACTCGGTGCCAACGTAGCGCCTGGGTCGAAGCGTCAACGAGACGGTCAATACTCATATGACGGCCTGCGATGCCTTGTACTTCTGATGCTTGGGGTCAAACAGTAAGACTTGCCAGTCGGAGCAATCTTTGGTGGGCGCCAAGTCGCACGAAGCCACTGGTCGGACTGGAGTATCAGTTGCAAGATAGATGAGCCACAGAGGACTTTTATGTATATGAACAGTGGAGGCTCACAGCAGCACGCGGCGTTGTGTGATAGAGAAAAGGTAGATGCTACGCGCTGGTTGGCCAGCGCGAGGAAAAGTCAAAATTCAAAGGCGACCTCTTCGGCGGCCGCGGTTGGAGAAGAGCGTGTATTTTCGCGACGACGGACGGTTTTGACGTAGCTGTCATCATGTTGCAGTGCGATTCATGTGTGAAATCTGAATCGTCGACTGCATCCGATGGTGAAGGACAGATGCCCAACCACGCAGCCAGGCAGGTGAGCGACCCATCAAAATGCGATTAATTTCGACGTGAATGGCTCGAGTCAAGCGTCCGTGTTCGGTACCTGACTTTGGGGCAGAGCCGGCGGAGGCACTAGTTCGTTTCATCACGACCGCTAGCCCAGGATGATCGGAGAAATGGGGCTGCAGGTGTTCGCGTAGCTCCCGCGCTGCAGGACGCATTTCGACCTCACAGCTCCTGGGGATGCGCGTCGGCGCTGTGCTCGCGGTGAGGATACGGGCGGTGGCACCGGACAAGGTCGTATTGGAGAGGTCGTTGAGGGAGGACTCGTTCCGGGTCGTGTAGATACAACAGCCTTGGCCAACACGCGGATGCTGGGATGGGCAGCCACGCGGAGGAGGAAGCAACAGCAGCGTTGTTCGCGGTGCTAATAATAAGACGCAGAATGGCATAATTTGGCAGAGGAGGATTGACGACAGACGGCAACGGCCAGCAACGGGAGCGAGCACAGCGTCGTGAGGCTCGCTAGAAGGCGCGGGAGAAGCGTCGGGCGGCCGACGAGTAGTCTGGTGTAGTGCCTTGCCCCTTTCTCTGGTGCACTGCTGCTGTCTGGCACTGCGAGACGTTGTCCGCCGCGGCGCAGCCTCACAGCAGGGGCCCAACTCCTCGTCCGTAGCCTGCATTGCTTGCGTGCTGCCGTGCTCGATTTGGCTTCCTCTCCTCGTCCATCCACCTTGCTGCGCGTGCTGCAGAGCCGCAGTGCAGTCGGCCGTGTTCCTCCTCTCTCCCCATTGCTGGCCCGGAGTCGCTCGCTCACCACCTCACCACCCACCCCACGTCGCTCGTTTCTTCCACACTCTGGAGTGCTGTTTCTCGTCGATCCTGGCTGTCGACTCAACGCGCGTTTCATCCCCCGGCGACGCACCCTCTGGCCGCCTGTCTATCACGCCCGAGACCCTTTCGCTGCAGTCCCAGGACGCCTTCCGCTCGCTCTGACAACCACCCACCCACGACCTTCGTTTCTGCCTTCCCCGTCTGTTTTCGACCGACCCTGCATTCGACGACCGATTCCCGTGCGGACCTTTTCTGGAATATACAACCACCCCGGTACCGCTACAGAGCCACTACATTGCAAGGGAAAGGAGGAAGAGCTCGGATCTGAACGCCTTGCACGTGGTGTATCGCTGCACAGAAAGAACGCCCAACTTCCACTGCTACCGTCGCTGGCCTGACCGCCCCTTCCAACCGAGTGTCCTGGAGAACGACACCTTTCCTATCGCTGGCGACCACATGCTTAGCGACCGATCTTCCAGCTGAGCCCGGCGACTCAAGCATCTTCACCCACCCACACACCGCGACACGTCGTTTCCGCTCACCACTCGGCGCTGAGCTCCCGCGCGACTCGGCGCCGGCGCCCATATGTCTGTCCCCACGCCGTCCAAGGCAGTATCGGGACATTGCGCGGCCATCAACGATGATATCCTGTACACCTTCGATTCGGACGCCTTTCAATCGCTGCACATCAAGGAGAATGCAACTTGGTCGGAGGAGGAGAGCGGGCAACCAGTATCTGGACCCGCGTGCGTAAAAGTCGTACCAGATGGAGACGAGTCGAGTTCAGCGCTCTACGTAATTGGAGGAGATACTGACGATGGAGAATACCCTGGACTGCAAAGATACTCCTTTGGCAACAAGACATGGGAAACACTTTCACCTGTGGCCGCAGATGTGCTGCAAACGCGGACAAACCACAGCGCGGTGTATCTCAAGGACTCGCACTCGATACTGGTCTACGCTGGCTCACAGACGAATGCTCCATCGCTTCTATCATCACAAACGTTTCTAATTGCCACGGAACCGCCTTACAACATCCAATCGTTCATTTCATACGCACCGCCCGCCAGCAACCCGATATTACAACCTTGGAATAGCAGCCATGCGGTCATGGTAGGAGGACAGGAGACGAATACTGCAGTTTGGCTGTTTAGCCCTGACAATGGCTGGAAACAGCATAGCACAGACCTGTCTCAGCCTTTGGATCCAGCAGCGCGAGCTATAATCGTTGATGGAACAGATGGCAGCAAAGTTCTACAAGTCTACGATCTCAATGTCTCGCCCAATACAGCGCAAGGCATCGTTCTTCTCGGTGCAGGGGGCCAACCTGCATCAACTGGACAGACTGTTGGCAGCGAGTCATCTTCGTCTTCGAGAAAACGCAAACGAGACCTTACCCTGGACAACTGGCCGTCATACAACGACACCAATGCGCCGACCTCCACACGAACCGACTGCTCACTTACACGGAATTCAGACGGATTGGTGGTAATGGCAGGAGGGAATGAAGATAATCCCCTCGCCATGTACGACGAGAAAGACAACTCCTGGGTTGATGCCGGCAAGTTCTTCAACCGCGACGTACAACAACCCTTGCAGCCGAGTTCAAGTGCAACGAGCAAACCCACTCCAACGGAATCGGTGCCATCATCATCGACGACTGCAGCTGCTGGATCTGGGAGTGGCGAATCGTCTCATGATAGAACCATGAGGACGCTTGGCATTACCTTGGGAGTTCTCTGTGGTATTGCCGCTATATTTATCCTGGTGCTGCTATACCTTCGATGGCGCAAGCTACAAGCGAGGAAGAAGAATGGCGGTGGTGTTGAGGAGAAGGACGGCGACGGCCAAGGCGACCGCATGAGTTTCCAGGACCGAGGAGCATCGTTCATGAAGGAGGCTGGAATATCAAGTTCAGAACTAGCGCCGCCGAGCGCAGCTCGATACAACCAGCAGAACAACTCGCACAGTTCCCTGGCTATCATTGCTGGTAAGATCGGCAATCGAAATATCGGCCATGGAGCCAAGGACAGCTTCGAAAGTACGACGCACCTTGTTAAGGACAAGAACGGTAATGTCGTTCCGACCGAGAACCACGAGATGATGGATATAGGTGATAAGATTGCCGCGGCCAAAGCCTCAAACCTCGCCATACCGGGAGCTGCGCTTGACAGAGAGACGAGGGACGGGAGGAAGAGGAGCTCTGGCTGGTCGAAATACTTTGCCACGAGCGCACCTACTGGGCCTAACGGGCTGTCTCACCTACCTTCAGCTTACGCCAACAACAAGCCAAACACGACGAGCGTTGGTTCTGAGTACTCACAAGATCGTGATGCTTCTTCAGAATCACGAATACCGTCATCTGCGCTTGTGCCGCCCCTCGATGTGGACTTCAGCAAGACCGTGGACGGACAGCGGCTATCGCACGTTGCACAAGGCTCGCCGGCCTTCTTCGATTCACGGGAAGATTTCGCGAGAAGGGGAAGCAGTTTCGACGTACAGGACGGTCAACGAGGTGTCATTGTTGACCCTGCGCGAAAATCGCAGGCCACCAGCATCGACTCCTTCGGCGCCAGGTCAACCCTGAGTAGCACACTGTCAAGTCAGTTCTACAACGAGTCTGGTCACACACCCTGGACGCCCATGAGTGGAGATCGAGCAACGAGCAGCGTGTACACCGAGAGCGTAAATGACGGGCGTAGCAGAAGACCCTCACGAGGGAAAGGAGGAGCAGGCTTCTTTCCAGGAGCTGGCACGAACTACAGGCCACCCAAGATCAAGCTCAGCCATGCCGCCGGCCCGTCTGCAGAATGGGCTTCGCCCAAGATGCCTGCAGCGCAGCCTGCCCAAGACCGCGATAGTACCGTGACCGTCTTCCCGGGCGCCAACTACCTCGAGGAGCGCAGCAACAACAGGAGAGAAAGCGCCAAGCCAGCGGCACAATCACAACAAGCTGGAGCTGGAGCCCATCGTCACTCCCAGTCACAGCCGATCAACACAGACATGAGTTGGCTGAACCTTGGACTGGGTAAGAGCCAGTCATAAAAATGGAAGACCTTGAGACACCCAGCTCGTTGTCGACAGAATCAACGCTGCGAGACTACCCCAAATGTTCACTGCTTCGCTGGACATACCTTTACGCCTTTTTGCCTTTTTGCCCTCTTGCATGGCGCCTACGGCTTCCATTATCGTTATTTTTGCCCAAAAGGAATACCAACATAGAACGACCCAACCAACGCATCGCAAACCTTCTGGACGCTGTTTTCTTTTCTTTTAACGCCCCAAAACTTACCAACCAAAACCAAGACACATGCACGCTACGGCCGTCTGTTTATTCTGTCGCAACATATCGCACCCCGGTCACTGGATTCGACACCTTGGCATGGCGAGACATATCGGGACTTTCCTTTCGACGAACCAGGCTGTCGGTCGGTCTGCACCCTGGCGGGTCCTTTTTTGCTGTCGCTGTTTATTGTCACGAGGAAACATCAATGAGAAAGAGAAGAAGAGAGAAGAGAGAGATACCAAAAGTGTGTGCCCCCGGCGGTCGTTGCTGCCTGATCATGGCGACTTGGCTTTTTGTTGTTTGTGCAGATTGCATTGTTTTTTCTCTGTTGTTGTTGTTTGTTGTGTGTACATATACATTAGTCCTGATCGATAATGTCTGTGTAGTGGACTCTGACCTGACTGACTGGCATTGAAATGTGAAAGAAGAATACAGTGCCTTGAACGTTTGATTTCTTTATTGTGTGGTTTTGGTGTTGTGTGCTGCTGCTATCTCACTACCGACTGACTGTGAACTGAAGTGAACGATATCTCAAGTAAGCTGGACGCTCACTAAGTGAAGCGACTGAATAAAGAATTGAACGTTATCATGTGGGATCCTATAGCTCTCATTCGCACATTCACACTGATATCTATCTCTGGGTTCTCTTCTTCTTCTTCTTCTTTTCTAACATCTTCTCATTCACAATCAACCAAATCACAATTATCAATTCTGACCATCATCTCCAACCACAACAGAACCACGCAACAGACATCATGGCCGACAAGACATCGTCACCCGCGAGACAGAAGCCCAAGAAGAAAGCCGGCGGAAAATCCGGTCTTGCTCCTCTGACATTGAAAGGCCCAGCACCCTCGCAGCCGATGCAGCCGCCGACGACGAGAGTGACCAAGTTGGCTGTGGCGGCGGCGTGAGTGAGCCGTGCAGATTATGAGTTTGGAAAGTCGAGCTGACAGTCCTCACAGCAGGCCCAAAGACGAAATGGTCGAAGTGCAATGTCAGGGCATGAACGAAGGGTTCCAACTCGACAACAGGTTGCTATGCGAAGTCTCGGCCGAGTTTGGGGAGAGAATCAGCGAGCGGATCAAGTACGCGCCTGCGCAGCCGATCGTGGTCAAAGTCCCTCACAGCGAGGGTGCGTTCGAAGTCGTGAAGCGCTGGCGGTCAAGTTCGCCAGCAGGATGCCACGCTGGGTTTGGCGGAGGAGTTGCATGTGCTGATGGATGCGCATGCTGTGGGCGAAGTGCTGAATACTTCGGAATTTCAGGACGAGGTCATGGATGCGATTATCAAGCTGGTCGTGGAGCATGGCCACAAGTTCACCATTGCGCGGCTGTCGCCTCCGAAGGTCAAGGGGTTCCCAGCCCGCACGTCCAAGTTGAGGGAGTTGCTGGCGGATTGGATTGCGTATGGAGAGTTCGACGATCGGAAGTCGAATGCGGGCCAGTTGCCCAAGGATAACGATTTCTGTCGCTTGCTGGCGGCTCCGTTTGTTGAGCGCAAGATCAATGGTGACCCTGCGGCTCCGTTTGTGACGCGGCCTTGCAAGTACCATGTCCATCGTAAGACTGGGGTGTGCTCTTCGACGATGGTCAAGGTCGAGGCGAAGGATTGATATAGATCGTGGACCGACTGTCGAGGATGGAGGACCCCGTTGTAATGGTGGGATCTGTTTTCCCGGATAGCTTCGAGCAGCATAGCGGCCCTGCGGCAGAGAAGAAGCGGCCAGCATCTCGTGTATCACAGCCCAAACCCAGACAGCTAAAATGTAACAACATGCCCTCATGAGTTCTGTCGATATATTCCTCACAACTTCACCTTCCCACACCTCCCCTCAATCTCCCCCTTCAACGCCTCCCTCAACTCCCCCGCCAACACCTCCCCCTCCTCATCATCCAAATCCTCGCGACTCCCCCGTCCAAACATCCTCCAACTCTTCAGCATCCCATAATCCGTGCGCCCATTCCGCTGCGTCTCCTTCCGCCCCTCCTGATACCTTGGGATCAAATGGAAATGAATATGCGGCACGACCTGCGCGGCGCGCTCACCGTTGTTCTGCACCACATTCCAGTCCTCGATGCCCGTGACGGCGCACAGCGCGCGCGACAGGAGGGGGAGGTATTCGCCCAAGGCGCGGGAGGTTTCGAGCGCGGTGGAGGCGGTGCGTTGTGAGGCCCAGTCGGTGTGGGTGGGGGTGGGGGGTTGCAGGTCGGAGAGCTTGCGGTAGTGGTTTCGGGTCGTGAGGAGGATGTGGCCGGGGGAGATGGGCATTATGTCGAGGAAGGCGAGGACGTGGGGGGTGGAGAGGATGAGGTGGCATTGGGGGTCGACTTTTTCGGGGTCGGGGCTTGATGGGATGGGGGAGGTTTCTGCTGGGTAGGCGGAGGAGATGTTGCAGAAGGCGCAAGGGATGGGGTAGATGTCGTCGGCGGACATGGTTGGGAGGTTTGTGGAGAGAGGACCGTGATGGGGGATGTTTAGAGGTTGCAAGGTGAGGTCGAGCTTTGGATATGCCAATGCCGCGGCTTATGGAGATTAGCGGGCTTTATATTCAATGGGGAAGCATGTTGATTAGTATGACACGTTCAAGGAAGACAGCGTCTGATTGCCATTGAATATTGGCATATACAAGTACATACAGTAGCATGCTATAGCAGAGCATGCGAATGAGGCTGTGGTTGGGATTCTAGTTCTTCGATCTCCGCTTGCCTTGGTTTCGGACTCTCTCTTGAACCACGTACTTGTTGGGGTTCCTCTTCTTCCTCGTCTTGTAACCTCCCTTGGCCTGTTTATTTGTTAGTCAAATGAAAAGGCAAACAATGTGATGTTATAAGACTCACCGGTGTACCCCATATCGAGACAGGATGCACATTACCCTTGCTTTTACCTCGTCCACCACCGTGAGGATGATCCACAGCGTTCATAGCCACACCACGAACCGTAGGTCGAATGTTCAACCATCTACTTCGACCAGCCTTGCCCAGCTGTCTGAAGTGGTGATGTGGATTGCTTGCCACACCAATGGTGGCACATGCATCAGCTCCAACTTTTCGCACCTCGCCACTCTGTAACCGAACAGTGACATCGACAACTCTGTTCTTGGATGTCTCCTCCTTGGATATGACAGTCGCGTATGTACCAGCGCTTCGACAGAAGACAGCTCCTTTCTTGGGGTTCGATCCAACACAGTAGACCTGAGTTCCAAGCGGTACCATCTTCATGGGCAGGCAGTTGCCTCTGAATGCAGTCTTTGCGGCCAACATTCCCGGATCCACGACACCACCCATACTCTTCAGCAGCTCCGCAGGAATTCCAGATCTGAAAGACTCCACTGTATCACCCGCTCGCATACCCTCTGATGCAATGATGTAGCTCTTCTTCTTCGTGTCAACACTCTCGATGAGCGCAAGATGTGCTGAGCGATTGGGATCGTACTCAATCCTCTCCACCAAATGCTTCCCCGGATCCATGCGCACAAAGTCCACCGTTCTTATTCTTCTCCTGTGACCACCACCACGATGTCTGACTGTGATCTGCCCAGTGTTGTTGCGTCCACCCTTGCCATGTCCAATCTTAGGAAACGTCAATCTCCTGTAAGGCCCTCCTTTCCAGAGATGGTCATTGATGGGTCGCCGCAAATGCCGCAAACCAGGAGTTCGGGGCTTGTATGTCTTCAGCTGCAAGCCACCCTGTCTCCGCATGGGCGTAGCCGGAGTGTAGACTGTTGCATCTTGCGTGGATGTTGATGCTGTGATAGGCGTCTCGACGTTGGTTGCATATGATCGGACGGAGGATAGGAGGCTTCGACAGGAAGTGCAGATGGGCCGTATCCGTGGCTGCAGCATTGTGATATTGCTCGAGCGCTACATGCGCCTGGTGTCGAGCAGCTATATCAGACAAGGACGTCTCAATGGCGAGCAATGGGTGCTGATCGTACAGTCTGAAGCGTTGGCAGCACGATCGAGATGGGAGGGTCTTGGCAGAGCACAGGTCAGGTGCGGTCGCGTTTGGATTTTCGGTCGTGGTTGCTCCTTGCGACCACGGGAGAGAAGACGACCTGGTCACTCACTTTCGCGCGCCGCTGAACGACTTGCACTCGCACATCGCCTGCACTCACGAATCACTCGACACCCCGTCCACGACCGTCGAATTGGCCAGTAATTTGCAAGTCGCGAGCATTCACGTCTCTGCCTCGTTGCCGCCGCGTGGGCTTGGACCATCAGTGACGGCAAAACAAACTCTGGACGCCAGGACGCGGCTGCTAGTTACAAGCGAGAGCTCCACCTTCAACTACGCGGGTGCTGCATCAACAACACCAACCGCGCCCTCCTCACGTCCATCCACCACCACACCTCCTCACCACCTCCTCTCCGTGTCCGATCGACTCCCGCCGGCATCGTGGTCATATCACGCCTCGACTAATCTCGTGTGAAGTGCTATCCGCTGCATCTTCAGGCCCGCCCAGCAGCGCCCGTCCGCATCCTTCGCAGCGTGCATATACATGTTGATACCTCTCAACACGCCCATCACGACTGCATCCTGCCGCGAGCCGGCCTCTACGAGCATAGCTGATACCCTGTCCTGCATACACGCATAGACAGTAAGTCGCTGTCGCCTCGCCGACGCCTGCAATGCCTTGCCCAAACAAGCTGACTGAAACTTTGATAGTCCCACATAACACCACCATATCGGCAGTTTCGCGTGCTCCTCAGCTTTCGAGTATTCGCGTACCCCTTCATACTTCCACACACATCAACAATGCCGCCCGTAAGTCGCCTGCCATCCCGTCATGCCATCGCTGCCGCGTCTTACTGACAACAAACCAGGCACGAACCGCGAGGCGGACAGTAACCGACGAGAATGCCGAGAATGCTGGAACCACACGTCTGACCCGAGCAAAGGCCGCCGCTCTCGACAGTGCCGCTGTTGGTGACCCTCCCAAGAAGGCTCTCACGACGAAGCGTTCGACTACCACCGCCGCCAATGGCACTTTGGGCACTCGCAAGAGAACCGCTCTGGGAGATGTCAGCAACGTAGCCAAGAAGGAGCCTGCGGGCAATGCAGACGCGAAGAAAGACCCATTGTCGAAGCCTCTCAAGCCTGCTGGAATCCAGAAGCAGCAGCCGTCGCGTGCAAACTCGACAACGACACGTACCGTCCTTGGCCAGAAGAACTCCAACACCTCGTCCGAACTCAAGCGTCCCGCCAGTGTCTCTGGAGTCGCTGGACATGCCACTAAGAAGAGAAACACGTCGGCGGCGAAGCCACGGAGAGATGTCGAAGAGGACGACGAAGAGGACTCGGAGAACGCGCCGCCTGCAAAGAATGGTGCCAGTGCTAAGCTGGAGAAGAAGTCCCGCACCAAGTCCACCATCTCCGAGCAAATTGAGGTTGATGATGATGACGACCACGAGGAGGCCATGGCCAAGATTCTCAGAGACGCCAAGGACCTCGACACGGAAGACCTGGATGACCCATTGATGGTGGCTGAGTATGTGCACGAAATCTTCGACTACATGAAGCAAGTCGAGATCTCTACCATGCCCAACCCAGACTACATGGACAACCAGGGCGAGTTGGAGTGGAAGATGCGTGGCATCCTCATCGACTGGCTGCTTGAGGTCCACACGAGGTTCCGCCTGCTGCCAGAGACGCTCTTCCTTGCTGTCAACATCATCGACCGCTTCCTCTCATCCAAGGTCGTTCAGCTGGACCGTCTTCAGCTGGTCGGTGTCACTGCCATGTTCATCGCATCCAAGTACGAAGAGGTCCTCTCTCCGCACGTCCAGAACTTCGTCCACGTCGCCGACGATGGCTTCAAGGACGCCGAGATCTTGTCGGCTGAACGCTTCATCCTCGCAACCCTCGACTACGACCTGTCGTACCCTAACCCAATGAACTTCCTCCGTCGTATCTCCAAGGCCGACAACTACGACATCCAGACCCGTACCCTCGGCAAGTACCTCCTCGAGATCGGCTGTCTTGACCACCGCTTCCTCGAGTACCCGCCATCGCTCGTGGCTGCTGCGGCCATGTACCTTGCACGCCTCGCCCTCGACCGTGGCGAATGGGACGCCACGCTGTCCAAGTATGCCGGCTACACTGAGGCTGAGATCCAGCCGGTCTTCAAGCTCATGGTCGACTACCTCTTTTCTCCCGTCGTGCATGAGGCTTTCTTTAGGAAGTACGCCTCGAAGAAGTTCTTGAAGGGTAAGTCTTGCAATCCAACAGAGGCGAAATCTCACTGACCTCCTCTCTAGCTTCCATCGTCCTCCGCCAGTGGGCGAAGAAGTGGGCACCCACGTACCTTGAGAACGCTGCGCATCCAAGCAGTGGCAAGACTCCTCGCTCTTAGCGTTTGAGACGTTGCTAAACTACTCTTAGTACGCAACCAGCCTTCGCTGGAGTCGACCATGAGCATTCGTCGCTCGCTCGACTTTGCCGAAGGCGCACGTCTTCGTGGACCGGTCCATACTGGCTCTGAGCCACTCGACCTCTCCATGGAGCTTTAGGGTGTTTCGGTTCCTCTATTCCTGAATGGCGTTGCTTATGGCGGGACGGGCGCATCTCAGAGGCGATAAAGTTGCTTTTAGGCACTTCTACATCGCATCTTCTCTCTTGCTTGCTTCACACCGCACCAATACGCTGCCCTGGGATCGACGACACGGCGTGGGTTTCGAATGGAGATCTCGGGTGCTGGGATCTTGGAGTATTCCCGGCGCAATTGCTTTCTCCTACTGTTTTAAAAGGAGGCGTATGGGAGTATCAGGTGCAGAGGAGTACGCTGTCGGCGGACCTTTCTGTAGCCCAAGTGGCACTCTCTTTGCTGCCTCGAGTGTTTGCGACTGGCTTGGTTACAATTAGAAATGAGCGGGTAGCATGAGCATACGAAAGCATTTGTGTTCAATCATGATGAATCAAGTCATCGCCGGGGTGCTTCCAGCCCGGTCTATCAAACAGCTACCTACAACACTCCAGATACTTGACAGAGGTCTTTCTGGTACTGGAGCTCTTTCCAGTGTTTAGTAATCGTCGGTTGTGATAGTGTCTGGCCAGTGACAGCGGCGAGCGGGTGGTTTGCGAGACCGACCCGGTCGTTGAGACCCTTGGATCAGCCGCAGACGGGTGGTGGTGATGCGACGACTGCTGCGGCCTGAACAAGCACCGCGACGACATCAAACTACTTCATACAGGGATTGGAAGATTAGCAGCATCCTGGACACGCTTCATTTTCTCGAGCCGAACGTCGTCACCGTCAAGGCTTGCAGTCGCCACAGCCTTGTCTCGCGCACAGTCGATGGAGTAACAACCCGTGAAAGCTCACTCTCATTGTCAGCAACGCCGCCCAGACCACGATCTTGAATGCGCCACGCTCGTGAGAGGCGCCTGTCTGCAACTTCGAGCAAGAGTAGATTCATTAGCTTAACCACTCGACACACGACCCACGATCAACATGCCCGAATCGCAAGACGAGTCTCCCGGCGAGGATTACTTCAATGACCTCACCCAACAACCTTCGAACAAGGGCGACGAGCCGACGAATGGCGAGCGCCGCGCATCACAAGAAGACGCCAATGGCCAAGTACCGAAACCGAAGCGCATAGCTTGCGTACTGTGTCGGAAACGCAAGTTGAAGTGCGACGGAGTCAAGCCGTCATGCGGGACATGTACTCGTCTGCAGCACGATTGCTCGTATGATGAGGTCAGAAGGAAGAGCGGGCCAAAGAGAGGATATGTGAAAGCATTGGAGGCGCGACTGGCGCAGGTGGAGACCTTGCTGAAGACACAGGACGACACGACACCGAACGGACAGACCGGCAGCAACGGGAACGCGAATGGACAAACCAATGGCTCCAAGGATGGATTGCTGCCGGATTTTGGAAATCCAGCTATTGGGAGAAGCAATGTGAACATGCTACCGCACATGCAGCAGACGAGGACGCAGCACGAGTTTCCAACACAGTCGCCGAATCCACACAGTATGCTCAATACGATGTCTACTGGCGACATGAATGGCACTTCAGAAGAACCTTTCCCTTGGGAGATGATCGGACTGGGTCTGGATGAGCCGCTGCCTAACCAGGATGTCATTAACGAACTGAATCAAGCGTACTTCGAAAGAGTACATCCTTCATTGCCAATGATCCACCGGCCGAGATATTACGCTGCGATGAACCTGGCACCACATATGCGTCCACCTATCTGCTTGCGATACGCGATGTGGGCAAATGCAGCGGCAGTAACGGACAAGTATGAGGGATTGCAAGAGCACTTCTACCTGAGGGCACGAAAGTACATCCAGCAAGACGAAATGAAGGGCCATGGAGAGAGTATGATCACGATCGCTCATTGCCAGACATGGGCTCTCATAGCTACGCACGAGTTCAAGCACATGTACTTCCCGCGGGCTTGGATGTCTGCTGGCAGAGCGTCTCGTTTGGCTCAAATGATGGGATTGCACAGACTGGACGGCCAGGGCCTCGACGTGAAGCAGTGTCTACCACCACCAAAAGACTGGACCGAGCGAGAAGAGCGACGGCGGACATTCTGGATGGCGTTCTGTGTCGACAGATACTCCAGCATTGGCACTGGCTGGCCGATGACCTTCGAAGAGGGCGATGTAATGACCAGCTTGCCCACCGATGAGGAGAACTACGAGCTCAGCAGGCCGACAAAGACCATGAGTCTGAGTGAAGCACTTGAGCCATCTGGGACATCAGGCCTGTCGAGCTTTGCAGGTGTCGTTCTGATGGCGTGTCTCTTCGGTCGTAACCTAACCCACCTCCACCGACCTACCCCAGAAGACCGTGACGACGACCTCAACGGGGAGTTCTGGAAGCGACATAGGGGCGTGGATAATATCCTCCTCAACACTGCGCTTTCGCTGCCAGACCCATTGAGGCTACCTTCAGGACTGAACAACCCGAACATTGTCTTCATGAATATGAACATCCACACTTCGACGATCTGCTTACATCAAGCTGCGATCTTCAAAGCTGACAAGAACCGGATGCCTGCTAGGATCTCGGCGGAGAGCAAGGTTAGGTGTATTACGGCTGCAGCAGAGATTGCCAGCATCATGCGGCAGATCAGTCATCTTGATCTTTCGGCGGTAAGTACCCCGCGATAGATTCGCATGGCAAGAGAAGATGCTAATGAGTTTGTCAGATGAATCCTTTCATATCGTTCTGCCTTTACGTGGCTTCAAGGGTCTTCGTGCAGTATCTGAAGTCCAGGCCGAAAGACGCACAGGTCAAGGCGTCGCTGCAATTTTTGTTGTCCGCCATGCACGCCATCAAGCGGAAGAACCCCTTGACGGAGTCATTCCTGGTTCAATTGGATGTAGACCTGGAAGGCGCTGGACTCGAAGACTCGCATTCTCTCCGTGCTCAGATGCAGAAGAGTAGGGACAATATTGCGAACCGAATGCCAGGTTGCCCACAAGAACACTTGGGCATGCCATCAGTCGACAGTAGTGGCAGAATTCCCACTTACGGTGACAGAGGACTTGCAGCGTATAACAATCCTGACCAAAACGTTGTCAATCCTAGCAACCTCCAGCAAACGGACAGCATGGGTATCACGACAGGCATGGGCGATTCGCTGTCCCACAATCAACCAGGCGGCACGTTCAACTTCAGCCTGCCAAATCGACAACGCACGCCAGGCTCATTCCGCAGCCCAGACGGTTCACTCAACCAGCCCGAAATGGACACCAGCCCAGACGGCAGCAACAACGACCAGCAAACCCCCGGCTCCAGCACACACTCCCACAACAACCCATCCTCGCACACCTCCAACACGGCCTACTCCCCCCAAAACGGCCACCAAGACCAACAACCCATCCCCACCGCCACCATGCAAACGGCCGACCCGACCCAACTCTCCGGCATCTTCGACCCCGCGGACCCGGCCTTCGCCGACTTCGACATGTCCGGCTTCACAACCAACATGGACACGCAGCCGAGCGGGTTCGTCCTGCCCTCGAATTGGAGCGGCAACGGCGGCAGTTCCAGCGGTATGACGCCCGGCTCGACGGGCGGTGCGAATGGCATGATGGCCGGGTTCAATGGCGCGGGACTCGGTGAGATGATGGGCGGGATGACGGATGCGGATTGGAATCAGGTGTTGGAGAGTTTTACGGGTTGGGAGACGGGCGTGGCGCATGATCAGCAGGTGCATGATTGGAGGAGGTGATGGGGGAGGGAAAAGTTTTGGATGTTGGAATTGGATATGAGGCGTGTTTTTCGAGCGATGGGTTTGGTTTTTTCTTTTGATGAGCGGGATGAGATACCACACTACTTTTTGGGAGTTTGGGGAATATGGTATATGATGTGAGAGGCATGGCTATGCGAACTCTACTCTTATGATGGTGATTGTGGAGCACAATGAAACGAGGTGTACATTTGCCAGTTCTTCCACCGATTCAATATTCTGGCACACTCTGACGGCATGCTCATGTTGGATGTATCACGTGACATTTCCACACACAAGTGAATGACCGCGCGAGCAGGGATATGTTCAGAGACAAGGGAAACTTTGGTTACTTTGGTCTAGGGCTACAAAACTCTCTCTCTCTTCTCGTCCCGTACCGTTTCGTTCTACATATTTACAAGGTTTCTTGGAGGAGCTTGTTCATCTTGGACATTCTCGAGGAAACGCTGAGGTCAATGGTGCGGTCGCCGATTTCGACCACGAGGCCGCCGCGGATTTCTGGGTTGACCTACAAAATATCCATTAGCGTCTTTGTCCGACGTGGAGGGGTTCGAGGGGTGTTTGTGTGCATACCTTTGGAACAACCTTCAACTTCTTGCCTGCACCAACATACTGGCTCTTGCTCACAGCCGTCTCCAGCTGCTTGACGACCTTGGCATCCAGGGGTGCAGCCGAAGTGATGGTCATCTCGACCTCACCATGCGCAGCGCTGACCAGCTGGGCAAACTTCTCGCAGACGCCCTCGAGGACGCTGAGGCGGTTGTTCTCCGCGAGGGTTTCGAGGAAGTTGGCGACCGTGTTGGACTTGTCCTGGGTATTGGTGGTCTTTTGCAGCTCGGTGACGATCTGCTTCTTGTCGGAGGCGGTGAGGGTCGGGGCGCTGATGAGGGCTTGCAAGCGAGTGTCCTTTTCGAAGGTTTGGTTCAGGGACTCCAGGGCTTTGGAGACGGAGTCGAGGGATTGGGATTTGGAGGCCGCGGTGTACTGCGATTCGTTGGGTTAGACATGTCCTCCGTATATCACATATCTCTTCTGGGGTGTTTTTGGGCGTACCAGAGCGCTGGCATAGGTGCCATCGACGCCGAACAACTCGATAGGAGGCTTGCTGCTGGCATCTGCAGGCTTTGCCGCGGCTTCGGCGAAGGAGCGTGTGGCCGCGAGCTGGAATCGAGGAGCTGCCACTCGGAAAGACCGAGCTGCGACGCGGCCGGCCAACATGGTGAAGGTATGTGTGGGCTGGTGTGGTAGAGCGGGCGCAATGCTGCTGCTGGGTGCGATGGGGTCAAGCTCTTGGTCGGTTGTGATGTCTGAGGATGCTCCGGGCGGGAGTTGCCGGTGGCTTGGGATCGGCGTGGGAGGTTGACCTCACCTCGTCTTTCAAACCGTTTGCTCTGTACATTTTAAACGTCTTTTTGTTCTAAAGCACACATTGTTCAGTTTTGAACGTTTTTCTGTAGAAAGAGCTATGAAATTACGGTTCTAAGGGTGCAGAATGATAGATGATGCGTCCCTCCATCGACTTCAACACAGGCTAGCATTGACGCGACTGGAACGAGATATGCGTGAGCCAACATTGCTGTTCTGACTGAATTGGCAACGCTCTGGCTCCTAAAATCCAGCTACCCCAGGTGCCTACCTAGTGATCTGGCCAAAGTGTGCTTCCCAAAGGCCACGGGAAAACTACCGCAAAGCCATTGAGTCGAGCTTGGCGTCACAATGGTCTCTCCATTGGACCCTTTGGCCAGCCAACTGTACTTCCCCGGACCGCGAGCGTCTCTTGAGGCCAGCTTCATCCCTATCGCCCAAGGCTCGCCGTCGACCGTGTCTGCCTCAGGCCGAAAGGTTCCAATGCCCTCGATCTCGCGCATCGATCGCGATGAGCTGTTGGACTGGCCAATGGCATCCGGAGTGGACCCCGTGCTCCCAGCCACGTCCAAACTACCGGGTCCAATGATCAATTGTCCCACAGCTTTTTCACATGGCTTGGCATTGGATTTGGGAACAACACCCTCATGTTGAAAGTCGTCGCATGCTCGCACTCCACCAAAACACATCGAATCTCGACGTACTGAATCGGAGGCTGTAGCGGAAGACGAGCTCTGCCTCCTCACTCAGTTTCAAGGTAAGAAAAAAAGGCATCGATTTTTGGCGACGATGTCGAGAAAATTCACGCATTCTTTCACTCCCGCTTCATTTTTCGCGGGGATGTTGGGGCGCAGCCACCCAATGCTGCTATTGTGCTCTGAGCACGGGCTCACTATTGTCGAGCGCACGAACGAGAATGGTCTTCTCTTCTCTCCTCGACTTCTTCATCTTCCTCACACAACACCCACTCACCTTCTGTACACTACACTTCGAACAGCACACCCTTCAGCAAAGCTTCAGCAACCTCAAGACGCAGGCGTCACCTTAATTCACCTCACCGTTTCCACCTCCAGCACATTCACCTGGTGCTTCAAGCGCACGTGAGTCCTCACATGAACTTCTCTCGTCGCAATCTGCTGACTTCAACTCCAGACACACACTCCAGCTTCCTTACAGCGAGTCTACATACTCGCTCGTGCCGCGAATAACCGCCAACTCACCACCACACATCTCCGAGTCTCACCAAGGTATGTCGCAATTGCACCAGCTCACTTTCAACTCGACTGACCACTCGTGCAGAGACTTCACCCACATCACTTCCAACAACCACTTCTCAACCGACAACATGGGTTGCACCAAGCTCGGACACATCCACCAGTGGCCAACTACCGGCACGTTGGTCATCCAGCGCTGTGAAGTTCGTTGCAACTTCTGCGAGGGCGAGGCGGCCAAGAAGGACTGGAAATATGCCTGGTTCCTGCGCCGCCACGTGCGTGCCATGCACGTCAAGAAGGGCCAGTATCCTCGCCTCAAGGTCGACATGGGATGGTATGTGCTGGTCACCCTCATCTTCTAGCAAGTGCTAACTCTCGCAGGGACGAGCGCAACCTCCGCGGCCCAGGCAAGCGCACTATCAAGAAAGAAGAGTCATCTGAAAGCGAGGTTGGGGAGCGCCAGTTCATCGCACAGCCACTGTACGAAGAGCAGCAGAACCAGGGCATGCTCTACCCAGCGTACATGAACCCTGGCGATCTCAAGCTTGAGGAGGGTGCCGAGTTCGACTTCAACGACTTCCATCCCTTCCCCGCGCTCGCCAACGAAGAGTCGCTCCCCGCTGGAGACGTTTTATACAACGCGGTCAACTTCCATGACTTTCTCGACGACGCTACTGGCGGCCACGGCATGATTCCCGAGGGCACTCGTCACGGCAGCATCGAGCTGGATGTTGACGGCTTGCCTCTCGTCGGCGACTACGAGCTTCCAGGTGGTCCCACACCATCTCCTCTCACAGCCTACGACAAGTTTGCCGAGATGCCATGGGTTGATCAACATGTTGAGGTCAACCCGTTCTTCATGTCCGACTTCAGCTGGCGTTCAGAGGGCACTCCACTTTCTGACCAGCCACTCGCCAAGATCCGCGAGCGTGGTATCTACGCCGAGAATCACACTCGTCAGCAAATCCTCGGTTCACTCTGCATGGCCGGCGACGAAATCACCGCCAATGGCGTCGACATCCACCAACTCATCGACTGCGTCGGCGAGTATGCACGCCTCCTTGCCAAGGTGGCTGAGACGGACGTCAAGCCGGCCTTCGACTCTTACGGCTATGCACTCAGCCCCGACCCGTCCACCTTGCTTTGAGCGACACCAAATGTGCGCTCCTCTCATCAGCGGCTTTCTGCAAGTCCTGACCCTCCTGGACCAATCACCACCCAGCCTCCTTCGACATCTTGGCGCTTCTTTCCTTCCTTCTGTACATTGCTCATGTTCACGACGACCAAACTTACGACGCTCCTTACTTTGATTCGATTCGACACGATGCGACATCGCTGTCGCCGGCTTCAGCATACCTTACCCTTGCTTTCGACATAACTACACCACTTTTAATTGCGACACCATCACGACATGCTTACTTTTTGCAGGCTCAACGACCAACTCCAGGCATGCTTGATCTTCGCCAGGCGGCTTCTCTTCTGAGATGCCGAGGCAGACATTACTGTTGTTGGCTGTGAGCCGCTCACACTCATTTGATCCATCTGCGACAGAAATCGATTGGGACTTTTTTTCATGCGAGAGGGTTCGCTTTGCTTTGCTTCTTTCGTAGGGAAGTTTAATCAGGAGGTTGCGAGAGACGATGATACCCTATTGGTGGTGGTATGTGGCTTTTTGGTACTGGCTCTGCAAGTAATGACAATGTGCTTGCTTCATCGACTGTGTCTCTCATTCTCTCATCCGCATTATTGAGATATTCGTTCTTTGCATCCACATGTAATGCGGTCGTGCGCTCGTGATGCTCATCAGCTCCACCGGTCGCGCATCATCGCACCCGACTCCATCAAGACTCCTTCGCTACCGGCTCAGTCGCCGCACCAGCATCTTTGCTTTTGCTGCCATTGCGCTCCTTGCGCCCAGACTCGCCACCCAGACTCACCCTCTCCTTGCCCTTTCGACTTGACTTTGCCTCTTCCTCAGCTGACTTCGGGTGGCGCGTGAAGTCCTCTTCCCACCTGACGTTCTTCGCCTCAGCGTCACTATCGAAGCCGGCTGCTACGCGCTGGAAGTGCTGTCGGGTCTGCATGATGGTCTGCAGCCGATTCGTGAGTTCAAGATAGATGTGGCAAAAGGAATCACGGGAGAACTACCTCGCATCGATGGAAAGAGAACCAGCTGAGCTTCTCGTAGCTCTGAAGAATCTCTGCGGCGGCATCTCGCGTTCGCAGGGAGTCGAAGGACTCTGGGCTGCGGGCTGATCTTGTGGTTGCTGGGCGGCGGGATGATGAAGCTGTTGACATGGTGGTTGGGTCTGAAGGGGCTTTCGAGCGAGATTGCTCCAGATAATGCGACAAAGAATAAACCAGCACGCTCGAGTTTTGCTCGTTTGCTACGATCTGAGATCAAGGCTCAACTTTTCACATGCTGTAGATATCTGTGGCTCGGTGCGGTGCAGATGTGAGCTGCATGGGGGGATGTGCCCTTGACGATTGTGACCGATTTCAATCGCATCGATATCATCGAGTCCAGGGCATGTCTGTCGCGGTAAGCGCCTTGTATTCGTCTTGCCGCCTCGTTCCTCGATATGCCCGCTGTCCTGTTGGCGGCGAGGTCAAGAAGGCAAGCCTGAAGGATCGACATGCCGACCAGGGACGGCCCCTGCAGCGGCTGGCTGCCGCGTACTCTTCTCATGCAACATTCACGGGCGTCTCGACTCGCGTCTCTCATCAATCTCAATGAAGTCGTTTGCTGGCCTGGCTCAATTGCTCACATCAGGACCTCTCCCCAGAGTAACGCGACCACGCCGCTAGATGATTGACAGCTGAAAAGCTCCCGCTGCTGGTCGGCGCATCAGCAAACAACCCACAATATGCCTACCCGATTAAATCCATGCTCCTACCTGCCACGCCGGCTCCAGATCGTTGCGACGCTCACAGTCTTCGTCCTCCTGTGTATCATCTTCCTGGGGACATCGAACTCCGAAGATTTCAACAAATACCTCGACGAAGTTCCCTATGGACCAAAACTACAGGAGGGAGTCCATCATGCAGTAGAAGGGGCACATCAGGTGGTGGATCACATTCCGAATCCGTTCGGCACACCAGCGCATAAGCCTTTGCCAGAGCAGGCGAATAGCAGCAGTGGCGAGGCGAGATGGTACAGTGACTGGAAGTGGAGGAATCCGTTCAGCAGTAGTACCACGTTGGACGAGGAGAGAGCGGTTCTACCGCCTCTGCAGAATCGGCCGCCTATCTACACATATTACGATGTGTCGTCAAGGAGGAAAGACGCGCAGAGTAAGAAGGCGGAGCAAGATCTGTTGCTGCTATGGCGGCGTGCTTGGTGGGCCCAGGGGTTCAAGCCCATGGTTCTGAGCAAGTCTGAGGCCATGAACAACCCGCTGTATCGCGCGTTTGAGGACAAGGAGATGGATAAGGCTCTGCAGAACGAGCTCATGCGTTGGCTCGCTTGGGGAAACATGGGTACCGGGATCTTGTCCAGCTTTCTGGCTTTTCCCATGGCTCCTTACGATGATCCCATGTTGTCGTTCTTGCGTCGAGGCGAATATCCAACTTTGACGCGATATGAGGGGTTGGGCAACGGACTGTATATCGGCACAAGAGGAGACATTGAGGCTGCCCTGAAAGAAGCCATTGCATCTCAAGCACTTCACCGAGTGAAGTACATTGACGAGGCGGTGCCAGAGGATACCATTCAAGTTGATGCGAAGCACGACGCAATCGCCCACTACAGCGACAGCATGCTCAAGTCGAAGTACGGGCCCATCTCGGAGAAGCTGAAGGATTTGAAGACCGTTGGCGACGGACTGGCGTTGCTTCCACCTCTCATCAACAGCCATCTTCACTTGACTTGGCAGAACATCTTTACCAAGGGAATCTCCGTTCTGAAGCCTCTGCCAGAGCACACTACTATCATGGTGCAGCCGGCTGTCGACATTGCCATGAACCTCACCCAGTGTCCTTACAGCCCTGTTCCAACCTCGTGTCCTCCGAACAGGCCCAAGTGCAAGACTTGTGTTAGCAACTCGGTCAAGATCAACATTGCAAAGGTCTTCAGGAACGATAGTCAGACCTTCACGATCGCTACTGTACCCCATCCGTACACAATACAGAGCCTGGTCAAAAACAACGACCACCTGGAGTTGAAGACGATTCGAAGGCAGACCGATCGAGATGTTTGGATCCTGGCCGCCACCAAAGAGTTGCTGGGCACTGGATTGTCGTCGTTTGCGAGGCTGCCGAGTCTCAAGGACGCCATTGCCTCGGAGTATGGCAGCTCAAGATCGTTGTGGCTGACAGCCGAAAGACCTTACCAAAAGGACAGCGAGAAGGATCTTGAAGAGCTTGACTGGATATTTGGCTTTGAGTTCCCCCGAGACGTTCAACCAGATGGCAAGAGCGAGACTCCAGTACCAGGACCTGAAAGGAGACCAGATCCGCCCAAGCCTGAGTATGGAGATGGCCCGATACCATCTGAGAAAGACCTGCAGAACGAGAGAAGCCTGTTGGAGAAGACTAAGCGAGCGCTGGGAACAAAAGCTGCCACAGAGGTTCGGGACATTATTGAAGCCTGGAATCTGGCGGACACAGAGGCGTGGAAGTTCATCAGAGCGTTCAATGCTCGACGGCGAAAAGAAAGAAGGCAGTGGGAAGATGAAGAGAGTTCGTACTTGGGGAAGGGAGTGTTTGATCGTTGGGTGGATAAAATCACGGGGGACACCTAGTCGTACCTACAGCATTGAGCGTTGGCGTTTCGGAATATAGGGGAAGGTGCTCAGAAGAATCAGTTGATCAAGTGATAGTTTCCTTGTGTGCATTCACCAAGACGGTAGGAACAGTCTGCAATGCGGCACTGCTGTATCTCAGTCAACATCTCACTGTCAAAAGCACTCACTCATGCAACAGCAGAAATCCGCCTGTTAACCAACAGAGATTGAACGCATACCAAGATAACACAGTCTACAAATCATGGATAGATCAGATCAAGATAAGACGGCAGAACGCCCGTCCGACAAGTCAACCTCCTTCGGAGAGACACCTCACGATCGGGACGAGTCGATGCTTGATGCCGAAGGAATCAATCCAAGTACTCGGGTTGCCTCCCTGCCGCCGCAGACCCCTCGACCACAACCTGCCCAACGGCCTCTACCACCGCTTACTGGTCTTCCAGCGGATGGCGGAGAAGATGTTGAGATGACAGCACCGCCATCGCCACGGCCTCGTCCTGCGACCACTGTCCCTCAGCTCAGTCGCTCCACCGAAACGTACGATGACAATGACGAGAGCGACAGACCTGAACAACAAGCAACAACGTCTTCTGGTGCCACCAGGAGAACGCCTATCTTCCCACCCGGCAGAATCGACGGCCTCGACTTCGAGCGTGCACGCCGTCACCTCAGACGCGCCGTCGAGCTCGACAGCCATGGGCAATACAACCAAGCACTCGAATCGTACCACAGGGCCCTCACCCTATGCAGACCAGCCCTCAACTCAATCACCATGTCCTCCGGATCAAGGCGAGCCCTCGAACGAACACTAGCACCCCACCACGAGCGCGTGATCGATCTGGAGGATGCGCAGGTCTACGACGAGACGGAGCCGGAGAAGTTCATGGTGGATCCCAGCCGCGTGACTCCGTTGTCGCGTCGCACGAATCTTGATCCGAGGTTTGAGTTGCCTGGCGTTCCGGCGTCGATGAATCGGCCGGAGTTGATTGGGGAGGGTCCGGAGGTTGAGGCGGAGGATGGCGTTGATCAGTATTTGCTGGATTTGCAGAAGATGTATGGGCGGGATGGACGCTCGCGGCCGAGGTCTCGTGCTGGGAGTGTGCCGATGGTGAGGGAGTCTAGTTCGGTGAAGAGGGAGTCTACCCCAATGAAGAGAGAGTCCACGCCGATGAAGAGAGAATCCACCCCATTGGTAAGAGAGTCCACACCTATCCCGAGAGCTGGACGTCGGGACAGCGGTTCTACTCCACAAAGTGCTCAGAGTGCACCGGCAAGAATGGATCCCAGCAGGGAAGCGACCCCTAGCCCATATGATGAGACAGAATCGATTCGGGAAAGAGCCGGCACTCCTCTACCTGGCGACGTAGAGAATTTCGAGAACCGTCATCCAAAGCGTGGCTTGGCCACCTACGGTTCTATCCATGGAACGCAGTCAAGAATGCGGCAGTACAAACGGCCAAAGATTATGCACGATGCGGAAGGAGTGCTGGGCACGTTGGCCAGCAAGGCATTCGACAAGCGCATGGCTGAACGGGTTCAAAAGGAAGCCAACGGCTCCCACTGGATGCAAGACCTGTACTGGGACCATCGCAGCACACTGCACGGCGGACTGGCCAAGGACAAGTACAGAGACTTGCGGGATATTCGAGAAAGCCTTCCATATCGGGAGGGATACCTCATTGACCAGGACGAGGAAGAAGACAATGAAGTCGTGCCAGGTTGGCGAAAGCACCGTAGTTCTGCGCCGCCTCGGTCGACTGATGTCAAGGCGTGTGCTAAATGCGGCGCGACCAGCAAGCCAGAGGGCGGCCCAGTCTATCCCTGTGTGGTGTGTTGGGGACCATTCTATTGTTCGATGAGATGTCAGGACGCCCACTCCGATGTGCATGAACCGCATTGCATGCCGAATTGGCGCAGCTTCGATAGAGAAGCGCAGGACGAGGACCAGCCTTGCGCGCAATCGACTCGAGGACTCGCGGGCCGCCTTGCCTCGCTATGCGATCGACCTGTCGAGCTCGACATACACAAGATTGCTCAAGATGCGGCTCGAACGGATGGTAAGCCATTGGGAGACAGGACAGACCTCAGGCGCGCCTTTATATCAGGCGACATTGACATGGATGAGCACATGGACAAGGCGATCCAGCGCGGTGAAGCTGAACGCGACAGTTCACCCCAGGGGAACGATAACTTATCATCGCCGGTATCAGATACGGCCGGCATTTCATCACCCAAAACGCCTAACACCCCTGAAGATGTTGATGTCAGGGGCGTTGGCGGTGCTTTCGATATCCAGCATGCAGCCGACAACCTACTGTCAATGCACTCAAACCCAGCATCAGGACGAGGAGTGGCTGCGCTACGACCAGCAAAGAAGCTACCAAAACTCATACTCAAACCACCAAAGCCCCCGACGAGGAACGAGCGAGAGCTACAGACTCCTGACTTCGAAGAATACGATGATAAGTATGACGAGGATGCCGATCACGAATCTCTCAGCAGCAACGACGACAACGACGATGTCGACATGTTTTGGGAGGAACCTCCTCCACACCACTCCGAACGGCAGGCACAGGAAGAGATGTACCCGAAGCGAATCACTGATTTCAGGATCGAGATGAACGGCGGCAGGACGTTGGAGTATCTAGTCTCGGACGCGAGAAGGGACAAGGAGTGGTGCAAGGCCGGCACACTGTTAGGCTCGAGTTGGTGAGTCTCCCTACAGTATTAATCCCTCTCCAAATCACACACTGACAACCCAATCCTCCGCAGGACGAACGCAATCGAAGCCTTCTAGTCGAGCACCGACGCAATCTCCGAACACCGCACCTTCCTCGAACAACCTAACCCGGACCGCGTCGACAACATGCTCCTCACGCCCTTCAAGCTCTGGATCAAACGCGCGTTCCTCAGTCAACATCGGTATATCCTCTTTGATATTCAAGGGTTTGAGCAGCAGGAACAAGGGGAGATCCAGCGGGAGGTTGCGCAGGCGTTGGGTGAGGAGTGGCAGGGGGCGATTGAGGAGTATTGGAGGCGGTGTGAGGTTGCGTTGGATTGGTGGAAGAGGATGGAGAGGGTGAGGAGGGAGGGGAGGCGGAGGGGGAGGGTGCGGGGGAGGGTGGAGGATGTTGGTTTGGGGTTGGAGAATGTGTTTAAGGGGGGATGATGTTGGTAGAGGTATTGTTCGTGTAGAGGTTTATGTTAGTTGGGCTTGAAATACAATGTATGTGACATCCGTCTTGGTTAGGATTTCGGAGATGTCATCCCTTTCGTCACAGACTCGATGTGCGGCCAAGCTCAGGAGAGGCCTCTTGCACGCTTGGTAGATGGACCATAGACTCTATGTTGAGCATCTTTCTCAGGAACATTTGCATCGACCTTGCCATCGATAACAAAGACGACAGGCTGGCCTCTTGTCAAAGATTGGGGCATCGTGTCCTCTTAGGTATCGAAGAACGACGACATGATGAAGGGACTCATATTGAATTGACTGAGCCTTTGATTCAAAGTATCTAGCACCAGTCCACGTAAACCTTTTTTCGACATCATCATTTTGACTTATCCATCACATCATGCAACCTTTTCCTTTCCCTACGCAATCCAAAACCACACCCTCTCGACCCAATTCCTCGGCACAACCTCCGGCCACACCTCCGCATCCAAACTCGCCTTGCCCGTCCAGATATCCGCCTCACTCGCCTTGACAAACTTGGTGCGCTTGAGGATCTTCCAGAACAGATAGAAGCCGACGTAGATGGGGATGCCGACGTACGCGGTGACGAAACTCTGCACGTCCCAGTTGGAGCTGCCGTCCTTGTTGTGCGTGAAGACGGCGAAGCCGTTGAAGAGGATGATGATGACGAAGAAGACGAGGGCCGCGTAGGCCGTGTAGGGCTGGAAGCGGGATTTGAAGACGAGGTCCGTGTTGCGGTTGACGCCTTGGGCCATCAGGGCTTTGCGGAAGCGGATGTAGGCGATGAGGATGCTGAACCAGGTGAAGAGGGAGGTGATGGTCGTGAGGGTTTGGAACCAGTCGAAGACGGAGGCGGCGCCCGAGGAGACGGTCATGTAGGTGAGGAGGCCGATGCTGGCGGTGATGAGGACACACTGTGTGGGAATGTTGTTAGCTGAAATTTCTCTGGTGGTTTGGCAGGCGTTATCTTACCCAGATGGGGACACCGCTCTTCGTGCAGTGAAGCAAGAAGCGAGGCGCTTGCTTGTTCTGCGCCAAAGCGAAGAGGTATCGAGATCCGGTGAAAAGGAAAGCATTTCCCGAAGACGTCGCGGAGGTCAAGATGACTGCATTGATGATCGATGGCAGAGCCGGGATACCAGCGCGAACGATCGCAATGACCCATGGAGACGAGGCTGCGCCGGCTCCGCCGTTCAGGAGACGGTCGTCAGTGGCTGGCACCGTCACACCGATAGCCAGGGATCCAAGGACGTAGAAGAACAGAATACGCCAGAAGACTCGACGCACTGCCTTTGGGATGTTGCGGCGAGGGTTCTCTGCCTCTCCTGCGGCGACTGCGACCATCTCGACTCCGCCGTAGCTGAAAGCAGCGTTGGCGAGCGTGGCGAAGAAACCGGCGAAGCGTCCCGTGTTGCCAGTGCCAATGTACTCCCGCATGGCAGCGTAGGGGTGCTTCCAGTAGCGGAAACCGAGTCTGTCGTGGCTAGGAGCGCCGCCTAGATCGATTACCAGTGCGAGGATGAGGAGGCCCACGATCGTGATAATCTTGATCGAGGCGAAGATAAACTCGGCTTCACCATAAATGGAGACAGCGAAGATATTCAGGGCGACGATTACGACCAAAATAATTGTTATCCATGCTGCTTGAGTAATAGTATCGTTCCAGAAACCAATAACAACAGCAGCGGCAGAGATCTCAGCGCAAAGCGTGAGGGCGGAGGAGTACCAGTTGTTCTACAGCGGGCTTGGTCAGTCAACTTTCTCCGGAGAAAGAGCCCCTTAGCAAGGGATCTTGAAAACTCACCCAACCAGCAGCAAAACCCATAGCCGGATCAACGTATCTTGCACAATACTGTGGAATCGCACCAGGAAGCGGCAACCACGTCGCCATCTCGCCCAAACACTGCATCATGGCGAAGATGGCAATACCGGTCAACGAGTAGCCGAGCAGCACGGAGAGGGGACCACCGGTCACGAACGCCTTGCCGATACCCAGGAACAGACCGGTGCCGATTGTGCCTCCCAGGGCGATGAATTGGATGTGACGAGATTTGAGGCCGCGGGCGACATAGCCATATTCTGGGGCGTGGGTCAGCGACAGGTGCTCGAGGGGCCTTGTTGGATTGATTGACACTCACGCTCTGCGGTTTCGATGTCGCCGTAGAGATCGGCTGCCTCTTGGATGCCGACAGCGCTCTTCCTCCTGTCGTCGTTCTCATGGCCAGAGCCATACTCGTCGCTCGGCGACGAGGTGTTGACGTAGATATTCTTTTCCGGATCCATGGTGGTGGGAATGTGATGCTGCTACCCGTCGATTGGGAAATGTGGTACTCTCTCGCTGAGATTAAGGACGACCAAGGCGTTGGAGACACAGGGTCACCACAGTTACCCTATGTGTGGAGGGACAAGGAACAAAGCCAAGGCAGAATGATGTTCCCAACTTCCACGTAAGATAAGCTGCGCGTTCCGTCCGGACGACAACACAACGCTCTCCAAACAACCAGGGCGACGTGAGAACAAAAGTCAAACCGAACCAAGGCGTTTCGGCGAGAGGCACATATAGAGCTTTATACTTTCACGCCTCAAGCAGCCGGCACATCGCACCAGATGCAGACGCCCAGACACCACGAGACGCCGGAGCAGCAGCACACCATCTGCAACCTCAGCAGTTAGACCCAGTACTACCCTACCTTCCCTGCAGCGGCCATGCTGTCCATGTTCTGTGCGTCGTAGTACGTATCTCCCTCATGTGCTTGCCCATGCAGGCTAGTCCACTAGCCTGGAACCTTGGGACTCCTTGCATGACTGGGAAGTGGGTACACAAGGATAGCCCATCAACCATCTCTCAGCTCGAGCGCTCATTATAGCGGCATCGATCAATGGCCAGCCGATGTTTGAGCGCTGAAACTAATAGATAGGCAGGCGTACCATCTCTGCCAAATGTTCCAGACTGCGAGATGATCTGGTAGATGGCACCAATGCTGCCCCTCGTTCCAAAGTACTTTGAATACGGGATACGGCGATCAACACTTCGCAGTGAGGGGGGTGTTGGTGACGAGTACTGGGATTGTTGACGTGCTCGTACCAACCGCCTCCCGCATGCGCATGTAACGCACCAAGACCCAGAATAGTCCGACATCCGCTGGCACTGAATGGCTCGACAAGTGGCAGAGATGACCGGCTCGCGAGAGCCGCAAACAAGACGAACTGCGGTCTTGGAAAATGGCGGCGCCGAGGACAGTAGGAAGGGCACTAAGCTCCAACCAAAAGCTTCTGGAAGCTTTCGAAAGATAAGGGAGGCGGTTATGGCTGGTCGACCACGCTATGCGATTCGACCGGCTCAAGGCTTAGCGGCCTATCAACCCAGCCTGCCAAGCGTACTGCTCGATAAGGCGAAAGATTGCCAACCCAGCGAAGCATTGCTCGTGCAAAAGGCTTGTTGTAGTCGTGCCTCTTACGTGAATGCTTCATGTCTGTACAGTGTATACCGTATCTTGGCCATGTGATGATGTGAAACCCCACAGTTGCTAGTACACGCAGAAGGCCGAGAACATGCGGACGTGCCTTAGCCGAAGTATGCAAGCGCGCATTATTATGGCTGAAATAATGCGGTCGCCTGAATGGTTCGCTTCGTATAGGTCATTCGATGTGTAGCAGCAACCATTCTCGCGATGGTGACCAACAACGGCAAAAGCTGAACAGCCCGAGGTTGCCACAGGCCTGGAGAGCTCCCTGTTTCGACGTAGCTTCATCGCGTGCGAAACGCCACAAACATGCGTATGTCGGCATGACTGCTGCAGTGGGCAAAGCGTCACGTGGAATATGTGCACAGTGTTGGCCCCGGGGAATTGACCAAGAGGTCAAGACGAAGCCAATGATCGGTCTGCATCCTTATCTGCGCTGGGGACGGCCTTCTTCTCGACAAGCCTGGTCCATCGGCGACGCCTCCATTCGCCGCGCTTTTCGAGGCCCGTGCCTTCTTCCCAGCCGCTCTTGGGGATGCTTCTTATTCGCTTCTTCTTGCCCTTTTGCGGTGTGTCCAACAGTTCCACCTCTTCAGGCGGTATGTCATATACCCATCGTTCGCCCTCTGTCTCGATCTCGACGCCCGTGATCATCCGTTGCTCCACCCATTCGCGACTGAAGAGATCAAGATTCCACTTCTTCTCTTTCCACTTCCATCCTGTAGGAGCCTGAACGTCCTCGAAGAACTGAGTGCCCTTAGGCCGAGCTTCCGCAAGGCGTGCTTGACTGAGAGGATCGTATGGTGCGGGCGAGAAGAGCCAAGATTCCCAGGTGTCGCTCCCTGGATGATATTTTTGCAGTTCAAAGATCTCAACCTGTCGCAACTCGGCCGGCTCGTCCATGATGACGTCCGTCTCGATCCAGTTGCGCAGGGTTTTGTGAAGTAATGAAGAGTGCTGCTGTAGCTGGCTGAGATTCTGCGACGACAACAGCACCTTTTGAGATCGTGGGTGTCCAGCAAGAGTCATGCCCCAACCACCAACGAGTGCGATGACCCTCCATGGTACCAAATGGCTGGCGACGAAAGCAGCGCAGCTGAGCATGAAGAGGGCCAGGTATAACGTCGAGCTCACAGCCTCATCGCTGAAGTTGGTGTACGGAGTGATCATCTCGTTCGCGCTGTCGTGCAGACGTGAGAAGTCTTCCATAGCGTTCTGTAGATCCCGCATGTTCCTCCAAAAGTCCCGACTAAGGTCAGGAGCCGGTCGTACTCTGCTCGCAGGTGCGGTGGGAGGGCCATGGTAGCTGGGTTCGATTCTCGGATCGTTTGTCGGGGTTGGATGCCTAGCCAGGAAAGACGGAATCATAATGCTGAACAAGATCCCCACAAGTGGGATCAACGGCAGCAGATGTGGTTCCAGACAGAGCAAGGTATAGATGGCCAGGAACGACAGCGTAGCCGTAGGTCGTCGCCAACTGAACAGATGTATCAATCGATTCTGCAGCACGAACACAACGCCTATCCGCGCATTGAAACGTCTGAAGTTGAAAGCCATCTGACGAGGCCTAAACTCCGGCCGCTCGACATATTTCTTCGACCGTCTGTCCTTGGCCTTGGGCTTCTCATCGCCCTCATCAGGCGCATCGCCGGGGATGATCTGCTGTATGATACTCGAGAAGACTCGGTCTTGAAGTGTCTGTCGCCCTTCCGGGGTTCCGTATTCCTCGAACTTGCTCTTGACTCTGTTGGCCTGTTGTCTTAGTCTATCACGCTTGCCTAGCTCTTGATCGCCCTCTTCGTCCGACGGCGCATTCGATTCGATGTCTTCGTTCGATGGGATGCGAATGACGGGAATGGGTTCGTCGCGATTGACGATAGCGTGGTCGCCTTCCGTAGCCATCGTGTTCGGATTACTCGCCAGCGAGCATTATTATATTGTGATCGATCCTTGTCGTAGAGGTGTTCGTGTTGTGTAGCCTAGAAGTTATGATTGCATGGTCATACTTTCCGCATCACGAGATCCGGGCAGACGACCTCGGAACCTCGTGAACGCCAAGCCGAACTGCGTCTACATGGCAAAGTATGCAGAAAGGCAGAAAGTGAATGTTGTCAAAATGTAGACATGTGAGTGATCACTGATGATGCATTCGCAAATCGTGAGATTCCGCATCAAAAATCTATGCTGTCTAATTAGGATCTATAACCTGGTATGCTCGTGTCATGGTGGATCGTGCTCATGTCATCCACGCCCTACGCCTCTAAGTCACAACAACAACCGGGCTCGCGTTCGAGCGCACAGGACTAGAGCTTTGACTCTGCACCGCAGAGCCATAGCCACTGTCTCGCTCGTCCCAACCTCCAAGTTGCTTGGCCACGCCCAAGCATAGCTTCACCACTCTGCTTCGCTCATCGTGTCCCAGACCACTTTCCCGACCCGCAGAAGTGCCTACCCAGACCCGTAGACTGCCTGCAAGGTCCTCCATACCACGCTGGGCGATGATAGGTAAGTTCTTCCGTGAAACCATGACGCGCAACAGTCGGAACGCTGCGGCAGCGGCAAGTAGAGTGAAATCTCCTGGTGCAAGCTGCAGATTGCTCAGTGCGGTGTATGCCCGCTCACGAGCAGTACTGGACGACGACGAAGATGATAGCGAGATCAGCTTAGCCAGCGTCAAAGCAGTGCAAACGTCAGGCGAGGCGGGTGCGTGGCTAACCAGGTTCATGCCGCCGGTTGGCGAAAGCACAGGCAGAGCCTCCAGCGCGACGACAATGTTGGACTCCCTGTTCGAGTTCGACAGTACTGCCTTTGCAGCGAGAGCCCTTACGTGTGTGCTGGATGCTGGCGGTGCGACGCTGAGAGCAAGTCCGACATAGTACTCTGTGTCGAAGGTGGACGGGTTGTCGCTGACAGCATCAGCGAGCGTGTCGTCCAGGACCGTGTTAGTGTACCATGCCGCAACCGCATCGAGTGGAGAGCGGATTGCATGATCTTCGACCACGCTGTCTTTGGCAGCATTGGGCACAAGGGCGTATGCGCTGGACTTATTCCATGCAAGATTCCAAGCACGTTGGATCATCTCGTCACTCAGCACTTCGTCGCAGTCCAATTCTATAAGACGCGCGAGGTGGTCTGGCAGTGGCTCTACCTCCTCGTCATCGCTGATCGCTCCGTCATGTGCTCTTGCCGTGACCTCTTTGTGAAGCCTTCTTGCGGAATCCCAGTAGAAGTGGCCAACCTTCTCGGTAAACTGCTTGAAGCCGACCATGTTGCCATAGCCAGCATTGGCAACCTCCCAGAAGAAGACGCGGAAGTGGACGGCCTTCTGCATGAGCCGTGCCGGAGAGTCTGGGAGCGTTCCACTCTCCATCAGTGTCAGCAGCAGTCGGTAGTAGGATACTTGCGCATCACCGCCAGCCAGCTGAGCGTCGATGGCGATATCCCATGCCTTGATGCGAGCAGCCTCTTCTTCTTTATTGGTGCCCGTCAGGTTCGTGAAAGCCTCTGATCCGATGATCCTGCGCAAACTGAGTTGCATCATCTTGAGACAGACGGCAACAACCTCCAAGAGGAAGTGCTTGGGCACCCAGACAGTTTGGATGGCGGTATCCCAAGCCTTACGGCGAACCTCGACAGGAGACGCCAGTGATGGAGCCTTGGGAAGTTGAGCCGACATTCGTCGTTTCTGCGTTCGCCGTGGAGAGAAGCTGAGCAGTGGAGAGAGCAAGTAGACCAAAGCGCCGACGACGAGCACCAACTTCAGAAGTGGCACGAATGCCTGTCGTGACATGCTCATTGGAGATGATGACGAACCGTCGACGAAGCGCTTGAACAAGGTGGTTGGGATGGCGCCAAGAGATGTATCATGCTCGCCTTGCTGTTGCTCGGTGAAGCCCTCCATGACCATGACACCAGCCATGGTGCCAAGCATCATCTTGTTCATGAACCCACCACCTCTACCATTGACATATTGCGGCTGGTTCTGTGCTTCCACTGGCGGGTTGGGTGGCCTGGCATATGTGGGCTGCCCTTGTTGCATGTACTGCTGCTGCTGCACTCCTGTCTGGCCATATCTCGACTGGTCCTGTGGGACATTAAGGAAACTTGAGGCACCTGTCTGCGATGCCGTGGATGCTTCTCGAGACCGAGATGTAGCTGTCGAAGGAGGGCTGCTACTAGTCTGTCTGTCCTTGGATTTGCCAATGGCGGCCTCGACCTTGGACAATTGCGCTTTGAGTTCGGCCATTTCGTCGGCCATGGTCTTATTGCGCTTCTCAAGATGCTTGATGTATTCGGTAGCCTTCGCCATGACCGTGGCCTTGTTCAGCTTGTGAGCTGGTGTAAGACCTTCAAGATCTTCAGTATCTTGACCTTTGTTGGCCCGGCCCAAGGCGCGTAGAGCAGGCACGCTGTTGCGCAGTTCCACGATCTTGTCATTGAGGTTGTTGCGATATCGTTTCTCAATAACGTTATGCGACGTCTTCTTGATCGGTCCATCCTCTCCATCCTGCGAATCTCCTTCGCCATCCGCACTCTCTGCCTTTGACTCAGGCTGCAGCTGTGCCTCAGCCTTCCTCTTGCGACCACCCTTCTTCTTTGGTGGATCTGGGGAGTCGGACGATATGCTTTGTCGGGGTTGAGAGTTGGAATGCGAAGTGGATTCCGGACTGTGTTGTAAGCTGGGGGTGGTAGCGGTGAGGGATACCGCCGACTGGAGCTGTTGGGTCTGGTCGTTGGACAGAGCAGAGAGCGACACACTTGGGTCTTCTACCGCGTTGGGGTGGAGAGGCCATGCTGCGGTGTTCGTGTCGATCTTGGGAATATCAGGAAGGTTGTGGAGAGAGTTGACTTGGGTGAAGTCGAAGTCGGCGCCGAGATCGTGATTGGTGCCAAAGAGGAAGGCATCGTTAGAGAAGTCGGTCGCGTTTCCAAAGCCCAGGTCATTGCCATCGACAATCAAAGGCGGGACAAGTGGTTCTTCGTCCGTGTTGCCAAAGGCCGGGAAAGCAGGGTCCTGCAACGGCGAGTCGTTCTTGGAAGACCCTGAGTTGAAGGTGCCGCCGTCTGGCGAGGTGGGTTCGGCGGTGGGATCCCAGCGCAGCCAGTCCTCCCAGTCCTCGTGGTTGTTGCTGGCGTCGAGCTGGGCGCCAAAGGGAGGCATCTGTTGAGAGAAACCTCCCTGCCAAGAGGAGTCCATATCGCGCGTGTCAATGGCGTTGGGGCGTATGCAAGGCGAGTGTTAGTGGGCGTGGGTGTGTCTCAGCGGAGGGCATTCGCCATTCTCGACTGATATGTCTGCTATCTGGTCCAAAGTGGGCGGCGCGAGGGTTATTTCAAGGCGTGAGTCGAAACAGGCGGTATGATGAGATGCTCTGCGCGTGGTAAGGGCTCAAAAGTGGTTCGACTGCTTGAGGCTTGACGTCTCCGCTGTGCTCAGCCACAAAAACTCCAACCGGCTCTTTGACCTCCGGGGGCTCGCTCTCAGGATTGAAACGGCTTCCTCAATTTCCGGGCGGTCGGCATGCCCGTCAGTCTCTCGATAAAGTAGGTATCTGACGCTGCTGCATCGAAGCGACGAAGATGCTGGTCTTAACAGATGTTTTCGCCTCCCTCGTCGACCAAGCCTCATCTTCGCTTCGAGATACGAGGGGCGCGAGGCTTCATGCCGTTATCGGCCAGAAAAAGACATTCTCTGCAGAGCGTATGGTGGACCTGTTACACGTGGACGACGCATGAAGGCCTTGAGGGCATGATCACGACGTTGAGGAAGGGAGAGGGTTGAACGAGGCTGACTGTTGGAAGTTGATTCATTACTGTCGTGAGGTGGCAAAGCATAGTATCAATATGCCGGCCGTGAATAAAACTGCTTTGCAGCAACACATCTAAGTAAGGCAGAGCCCACCGCCTATGTCGACCTTCCATACGTCCGCAAGGCCTGGCTTGACCTCACATTCGCCCTCCGAGCCACCACGACCGCTCTTCTTGTTGAGGAGACGACGGGTCCAAGCATCGACCGCAGGCTCTCCAGTCTCATCTCTCGCTTGACGCAAGAACTGTATGAGGGAAGTGCCGCCAGTGCCAGTAGGCTCCTTCTTCCCGCCCTCAGTTGATGTGGGCTTAGGCCTATGAGCAAGATTGGCCTTCTTCGACTGCTCGTCGTGCTTCTGCTCGCCCTCTTTCGCCTTGGCTTGTCTGCTCTTAACAATGATATAGCGACTGACGACCTGCATGTGCTTGTCTCTCAAAGCACTGAGCATAGCCAAACAAGAATCGAATGCAAGCCCAAGTGCGCGGTCGTAGAAGTGTTCCTCAACAAAGCTGCGAATGTTCGCCACGCGGTGGACTTGTTCCAAGAAGCGCGCGTGCGGTCCCGGCATGTACTTGCGCATCTCTTTGATGAAGTTCTCATCAGGCTTGGAAGGCTTCTTTGCGCCATGTTGAGCTGTTTCGGCGCCGCCTTTCTGTCCAGTCGGGCGATGTTCAATGCCGAGTACAATATCAAAGAACTGGATAATGCTCGACTGCGCATTGCTACCGCCGGCGTACTGGACGTAACGTTGCTTGTTCATTGGCCCTCCGTTGTCGAAGATGACACCATTAGGCAGTCCAGCTTCGGCCATATTCTTGCCACCGTTGAGGAACGGACGAATACGATGATAGAACACATGAGGGTCGCACTGATCATACATGCGAACCAGCAACGAGCCAATATCGTCAAGGCTCTCGACAAAGCTCTTGAGGCTTTCGGTCACTGTAGTCCGATCGCCATCCTGAGCAGCTTCAATGGCTCGCAACATCAACGGGATCATAGGTCCAGCTCGAACTTCCATGGCGATGCTGATCAAGTAGAACCATTTCTCATCGAGCGAACCAGTAAAGGTGTCGATGGTATCCAAATTGGCAAGAGTGTCGGCACGCTCCGAGTCGAAAATGGGCTTCCAGTTCCAGAGGACCAGCCCAGCATATGTGGCAACAGGTGGCAATTGGAGATGCTTGCATGTTTCCATGAAAGGTCTCGTAACCGGAGCTGGGACTCTCTCATGTGGTCGTTCACCACCCCAGATATAAGCATGTGCAATGAATGCCAACACACTATATGCCCTGCGCCATTGGGGTTCATCCGCCAGGCGGTCTGTCGACAGCACTGGCAACTTCTCAACCACTTCATGCAATCTCTTGCTAAGGATGAGACCTTGCAGGTTCTTCATAATGTACTCCCATGGCTCGTAATAGGAATCGGGCAGTCGCTCGACTGGCGCTTCGGTCGGGAGGAATCCGTTCACGACGGAGACATCGTAGTCTTCAGGCTTTGGGATTGGAACCATATTGATTCCAGCCAGACGCAGGCTTGCGACGTGGGGGCCTTGGGCCTTCTCACAACGTTGCAAGCCCAGCCGTTCGGAATCCGTTGAAGTGAGGCTCTTCGGAGCTAGTATGGCGATCGTGTATGTGAGTATACCGGCGGTCGAATCGCTGGAAACAGGGGTTTCTGGAGACGGTAAAGGCTTGAGCTTGTTAATGGAAGTGAGGGAAGTGGTGTCAGGTTGTCAGAAGATGTTTTCTTAGGTGCGCTAGTCAAGGCATGTGGCGCGATGGCGGAAGGTGATGTCTGGAAGAAGCACATGCGAGAAGGGGAAGGGATCAATGACGAAGAGGGTTTGCGCGACAAAGTACACCAATCAGCAGCCGTGTTCTGTCCAAAGACGACAATGTGCCGGGCACAATTCTGTCGTCGCTGAGCAAGCAAATGCTCATCGCGGCGTACACAAAGCAGTGATGAGAAATTGCGAATGCGTTGCTCCACACAAAGTCCGCCGTGAGCTTCCGCTCGACCTGAACGGGCAGATGGCTTTGCAAAATCCGGTCATTTTGAAGAGCATCGTGTTGGAGGGCGAAACGTCATAAACGTTGTCTGGGTCCTCGTGTACTGTACATGTATTGATAGAGAGAGAAGTATGTTGTTTCGATGATCCGCAGAGTCGTGAGATCTGCGGACTTGGGTTCCTGGCAGAAGCTAAACTCTCTACCAAGCTGTCAGAATTCGTGGCTGTTTGGTGCATTTCGTACTGAGAGAAGACAGTCAAATGAAACAGAGTCGGATCTTTTCTTGTACCTAAATTCTGCCTTGCTTTCCTTGCATCTGCCAACATGTGCGTTGAACAGTACTCGACGCAAAATTTCCTGTCTGGGAAGCAAGTCTTGGCACCGAAGTGAAAGTTTTCGAAAATGCTCGGCTTCCAGTCTCAAGAAGTATTCAGTCGTTGAGCAAGTGTCCCAAAGAGTCCAGTAGGAGGAGAGCTATAACTACTGTGCGGGACATACGTGTGGGAGGTTCAAGGGCAGCCCTAGCCTCATATCACTCCCGTTCTCAAGTCAAAGCTCAAGAAACAAGTGTATATAGGTTTTGTAGAAATCCCAGCACTTTATCAAAGCGCGTATCAACGTTGCAAGATGTTCAACCGATCGGTGAGATGGCCGAGTGGTTATGGCGTGTGACTCGTAAGACTGTCTCAGTGTCTACACGTTACAAAATTTCTGACTCTTGTCACAGAAGCTTTGCTTGCTCGACGCTTTACGTTGAGTAGTATTCTCATGGGGTTCGTTGCACTCATCTACACACAACCATCACGATCTATATACTGATTGGTTCATAGCTCTGCCCGCGTGGGTGTTAGTAATATCTTCTCCGAGTGTATTCTGAGTTCAACTAACGAGTGAACTCAGTCGAATCCCACTCTCATCAAATTTTTTGGCCTTTTTGAGTGGACTCGACATGGTCTTATATTGATCTTTAGCCCAGACATGTTTTGCAGGCAGTTCAAACTCGATGAATATCAATGTGAGTGTGGCCGAATTTTTAGAAGAGTGATAGTGGATACTACCATCCTTTTCTCCCAGTGGACTTCTGTCAATTGGGGACACCGAATTTGCGGCCGTAGAGTCGTACTTGTGAATAAATGAAGTGAGCGAGATAGCATGGAGAAATGTTGAATACCGGTGTTGCTTATGCAATGATCCAATTGTCATTCGCTGGGTGTAGCCTATCGTTCATTGTCTTAACAAATACTAAAATACTTTGCTCGCCATTTGTAAAAGCCCTTTCATGCAACTGTCGTAATTGCTCGTGCAGCCGAACTTGTCACTTGCTGTGGCCAGTGCTTATCAACTGTTCCTTCTTGATGTTTCTTATCAAGCCTAGGTAGTCATTTTCGTTGCGTTCCTGTCTTTGCCCCAAGTCCGATCAAGGGATGGTGCAGAGATGGTGGATGGAGGCAAGGCTATAGGAGGCTCACGAACATCACAGACCGATTCATTATTATTTCCAGGCTCCCAGAGAGGCTCTTTCGGGCTGTTCGAGGCCTTTGAAACGATCGTGGAGTTTCTAATGGGCTCGATGCACGACCAAGAGCGCTCATCGACATTGCAAGCAAATGTCTTGAACCCGAGGTTGTTGTCTGTAGGCAATACCGGTGTTGGTTCAGCAGCCTAATTATAGTCGTGCTTGCGAGTAAGGCCCATAGTGTTCTGCACTGGCTCGTGTTTTTTTTTCGTTCCTTGGTCCATCTTCATGTAAGTGTGCAGTCGTGCATGAGGGTATTTGATCTCTGGGGCTCGGCACTGAGCGCAGCTGCACGAGCCTGAGAAATTAGTTGATAGGGTGTTGCAGTTCCTCAAAGAGATCAGCGGGAGACTACTCAACTCGGGAGAAGAGCAGGAGTCGTAGTTGGCGAATGATCTTCTTCAGAGGCGGTATCGTCGCCTCAAAGACATCAAGCTCGTCTCTTCAACCCGTACGAAATACACACCACTCCCACCCACTCATCCATCCAACCCAACATCACTCCACCCGACCGAACACTCCCTCGCCCTCGACAAAACCTTTTTCCCCATAACCTTCACATTCCTCCACCCCAACGCCTCACAACTGATCGTGCCCTGAAAACTCGCACACTCATTACCACCGTAAACCAGATAACCCCCATTGACCTCGACAATCTTCTTAACACTGGTTCCCCGAAGTTCGTCGACTTCTTTACTAACAACCCCTCGCCACCGCAACCAAAACTTCGGCGGACGGAAAGAATTCTTCTCGAAAGCTGCGAAACGGCGTCGTTCTTTTTCGTCCGCGAGTTCGAGGCTGGTTTTGGGTTGTTCGTCGTCTTCGTCGTCGCTCTCGTCTTTGCCACCAGTACCATCATCATCATCGTTTTCATCTTCTTCGTCACCATCCTCCTCCTCCTCCTCCCCCTCCTCATCAAACCCCCTCACCACCTCCTCAAGAACCCTCCTACTCCCCGCCAAAACCGCGACGCCCTCCAAACCGCCCCCACACTGCAATGAGCACATCAGAGCATCGTCTCTCCCCTGCACGGGTCCGTGAATCTCGAGGGTATTCTTCTTCTCTGCACTCCTCGCGAAAGCGGTACATTCAGCTCGTAAACTCCATACGTTCGTCTTGGATCGAAAGAGCCTCCTTTCCCGCCGCCTCCTGTGCCTTTGCCTTTTCTGCCGTGCCCGATGCGGCGGGAGGAGAAGTGTTCTGTTTGCCAGGGTTCGTCCATGGTTGTGAGGTTTCAGTCGCGAGACATTCTTTGGTCGAATATGAGAATGATGATGAAGCTGGTAGTCTGAGATATAGCTGACTACACCTTACGTATGTTCACAACAATGTAGGTGAGTGAGTTTAGCAGGCTGGAATGAACCACGAGACGGGAGACGTCATCGATGTGTTCCACTACTGTCAAAACTCGATATGGCGTTTACATCGTCAAGATTCCTGCTCCTACTTTATTGGGGTGACTAGACACTGGATCTACATTGTTGGAGCAAAGTGAAAGGGCTTTGTTGGTGAGGGGGGTTCGTGTCTAATTGGAGTTTTGCTAAGCACAGAATCGGTCGAAAGATTCGAGTGCATTGAGACCTCGACGACGAGACATAGGCAGGGACGAAGGGCATCGAGTAGCAGAAGAAGTCGTCGACCTACGTGGGAGTTGGACCAATGGTCCGCAAGCCTCTCGCATCTTCACCCTATGGCGGTTTGCAGAATACGCAGGCGCATCTACAAGGAAACAGCCTAAACATGTATGTTGTCAAACACGTGTCAATGCCAACATACCTCCACATCGCTCAAACCGTCGCGACATGTCAAGTTCCCATCGTCCACAACGGAGCGTCGTGACATCGCATCCTCGGCGTACGTAGTCAACAAATCCTACGTCCTCCACGCATGAACCTCACCCACCGTATCCACTTCCACCGGCAGCCCTCGTCTGGAATGGACAATGCTTGCAGAGCCCTACAAGCATCCAACGCACCTCGGTTGATCGTCCATCAAGCTCCAGGGACATCTTGGCTTGTCCTTGTCCATGTCAACCGTACCAACCTTCTCGCCCGGCTTGCCACGGGCACAGCGAATACCCGATTTCGACCAACCTTGCGATTGACTCTCTTGCACAACGAACCGCATCGTCAACCAGAAAGCATGGCCAAAGCAGACGATCATTCTTCTCATCATCGTCATACCATCCACCGTATACGCTTTTTGTCCTGCCTCTGGAAAAACCAACACGTCGCTGATTATCACGTGCAAAGTCGTTGAGGTGCGGTGCCGACCAATGTCAAGTCGGCATTTGTCCTTGTGTGGCAGGATTGCTCATTCCTTCAGGATGACTGTCGAATAGGCGGTGGTAGCGAGCGAGATACAAACAATAGGATTGTGAGATTTGCAGATCTCTCTTCTCTTCGGGTTCGGCTTACGATGATGCGGGTATTCGTTCAATGGCTTGTTCTTTCCCGAGGAGGATGTTGATGACGAGAGGGCTGTTTTGATGAGTGAAAATTTCAGCATTTGGCGACAGCGCATTGCTTGACGTGTCTATAAGTCATCGATATGAGATCGTATTTTGAGGGCATTGGCGCAAGTTGATCAATGATCGGGCCCCAGAAGTAGATCTTCAGAAGCGTTGCCAGCCCTAGGAGAAGGAATGCACGCATATGCCGATCCACACGCGCGCCATGTGGTCTGACACGTCCGTCGGTTGACGTTGTCGCATCCGTAACCTCGAATGATGTGTTGATCGCACTCACCGTGATGAGATGGGAGTGCGACGAGCGGACGAAGCCGGGCGGGATTTCGGGTGGAGCGTCCGACGGAATCGATGGCCTGAATCAGAGTCGGGTGTGTGATACGGTGACACTGACTCTCGAGTACGGGCGAATAGATGTTGCGTGCAAGTCCGACGGGGTGGAAACCGCAGCTCGCAACAAGGTCAGGCATGCCGGTTGAGAGAGTAGCAACCCGCGGAACGCAAGGCCCGCCCGAATTGAATTGTCGGTTTCAAGGGTAGTTTGAACTGAAATACCAACGGTCATCAATCAATCCCAGGCCATGATTTAGCCAGGCCAACCATGTGCAGTCAGCGCCAGGCCAGGCCAACTTTCCCTCGAGTCTCACCCTGCGCTTGTTCCTGCGCAGTGCTCCGATGGCAGACCGATCCCTCCGCTGAGTAAGGGAACGCAAGCGGTGGTGGTGAGACCCTGCTGCTGCTGTGTCAACAAGACTCGTCAGCGCTTGGTGAGATGTGGAATTGAGAGAGCCGCAGCTGAACGATAGGGCGGTTGCCGGTAGCAGTGGTCGCCATACAGGTCGATTGGGGCAGCCCTCGCCGCGCATCAGCAGCAAGTGGATAGGCAGGATAGGCTCAGCTCGCGTGGACTGTAGTCAGCTCTGGGCTGTGTTTTGGACGTAAGTCATGCCCCATTCGGCGTCCGAAGGGGTGGGAGGCATCAACCGTGGACGCTGGATCTGCGAGGATTGCCCTCGTCGCGGTGGTGCTTATTCCACCGGGTAGCGAGGTGTTGGTTGAGGGCAGGTTAGAGGCAGTTAGCAATGCGATCCTGCACCCTGCTGGAGGTACTGTAGTCCAACGGCCTGTTTAAAACGGACGGGCTGTCTCGTCCGCGCGCGATAACTATTTTCTCCCATGGTTTTGCTGCTGTTTTGATTGTTGAATTCGCCGGACGGAGCAGCGAAAAAGAGCCGCGGGGACAGCAGGCGATCGCAAGATGCTCGAGATGCAGCAGTACGTCCACCGCGCTAGAGCGAACGCCTCGCCACCACCCATCGCCCGCCGTGGCAGCACCCGCTGGTGCTGTAATGGGTCACGTGCAGATGGTTGCATGATCGCGGACTGTCATTATTCGGGCTCCCCTCTCTCGCCGCCCTCTTCCTCCAACTGGGAGCCGCTCTTCGCAGCATGGCGCCTGCAGCTCAATAGCAACAACTCCCTCTCCGTGGGCAAGAACATGGAGAGCATCCACGGCGTCGACGTCGGCTGGCTGCACCACACCCGCAAGGCCTCTGGCAAAGGTGAGTGAGCGTCGAGGGATTCGCAAAGCCGAGTGTCGCATGACCTCATACTGGGACAACCACCACTGACGATACCACTACATAGATCAACAAGACCAAGGACAGCGCAAGCATGCTGTCTTCACTCCTAACAAGCGCGACGCGAAGAAGCCCAACGCTCACAGCACCAGGCTGTCGCCGCCGAGTCCAAGTCTGACCCACGATGCGAACAAACACTCCTACTTCCCCGGCCCTGTAACGCCTCCAGCGCTATCAACACCCGTCAGCGACAACACCACGGCCCTTCCAATCACGCCATCCTCGAATCCAAACGCCAAGACGCAGTCCAAACGCCCTGGTCTGCTGAACCGAGCTAGCTCGGAAAAGGTCAGTGGAGACGGTAAAGGTCCACCACGACGTAGCTCCTGGATCTCCAACATCAGCAACAAGTTCTCCACTTCGCAGGCGACTCCTGAGCGTCCTGGCGTGCAATCAACGCAATCGGCTCCGTCCCAATATGGCTCTTCTCCAACACCCACCAGCAATGTGCCAGCTCAGTCTCCAGAAGCCAGCGAGCCGTCCGAATCCATGTCTTCCACGCCAAAGGGATCGTCGTTCTTCTCCAGCCTTACGCGCAAACTATCGTCAAATTCTCAGGTTGGGAGCACGCCAAAGGTGAACGGCAAGGGTGGATTGTGTCAACGTAGAGTGCTGAACGTAGACCCAAACCGCGAACGATGTCTTGTACCGGAGATGGACGAAAGCAGGTTGAGAAAGGTATCTTTCTGCGTGGATGTCGAGATTGCAGGGGGCCCACGTTACAACGATGACGATGAAGATGACGAGGACGATCAAGAGAAGAAGCGAAGAAACAAGGCTGCTAAACTCAAAGAGAAGGCAGAAGGCGAGGCGCTGAAGCATCCTGAAGCTATCAAAGAAGCGAAAGATGAAGGTGAAGAGCAGAAGCTTGAAGGCAAGAACAAGCCCTTACCGAACCCCAAGGATATCCCAAATGGAAAAGATGTAGGAGAAGAAGATGAGGACCTCACAAGTCCACCCACCGCGGGAGAGAAGGTGATGAGTGACAAGAAGAAGGAAAAGAAGAAGCGTTCTGAGGAAGAGCGCAAAGAACGCAAGGAGAAGAGACGGCGGCGTGCTGAAGAAAATGGATCGATACCTGTTGAACTTTCACTGGACGATGGCGTTGCTACCGGACTCGATTCAGATACTATTTCATTCTCATTTCCCGACCGAAAGCCTCTGCCCAACCTGTCCACTGGATCGACACCAGATCCAAAGCGCGACAGACCAACAACGGATCCTGTGAGAATATACAGGCGGTGTTGTCAGCTTCGAGAAACGCCGATCCTGAAACGAATCACCGAACAACTCATGTCACCGACTTGCTGCGTACCGTACGAGCCTGGTGTGGTCAATTGCCTTGATCTTACAGGATCAAGATTGCAACTGGCTGATATGATCACCCTTGGCGACTGGCTTGCTGTTGTACCAGTGAAGAGGCTATTGTTGGAGGACGCCGATCTCAGCGACGAAGGCCTTCGTTGTATCCTCGCCGGTCTTCTCGCGGCGAAAAAGCCTGAGCCAACGAAGCGGAAGAGTACATCGCCGAAGCATCGACAAGGAATGCAACCCAGACCTCACCGAGAACGTAGCGGCGTTGTGGAGAAGCTCACGATCAAGAACAACCCTCGCATCACCCGCAATGGCTGGAAACACGTCAGTCTCTTCCTGTACATGTGTCGATCCATCAAGGCGTTCGATGCGTCCATGATTCAATTCCCAGACAGCTTACCACCCAGTGCGCACAACACACCAGCCAAAAGCCCTCAGAGCCCTCCCGCTGGACAGGATACGGATGCGGCCGAGACCTTCTTCAAATGCTTGAGCCAACGGTTTGGTGGCAGCAAGCTGGAAGAACTCATCCTCTCCGAATGTGGAATGACCGCGCCTCAGATTCGAAAGATTGTGGATGGAGCTATCATCTGCGGGATCAATCGGTTGGGTTTCGCGGGCAACCATCTCGATGAGGAGGGTCTGGAAGCGGTTATCCACTACCTGAAATCTGGTGTCTGCGGTGGCCTGGACATTGGCGGGAACGACCTTCGTGGCAAGCTGGATGCGATTGCAGAAGCACTAAACAACCGAGCTGGAGTCACCTGCTGGGGATTGAGTCTCGCTGATTGCAATCTTGACACGAGTTCAGTCAAGCCGCTGTTCCCGGCTCTAGTAAAGTTGCCCAACTTTCGCTTCCTAGACCTGAGCCACAACCCAGATCTTTGTGGCCAGGACAATGGTACCATCTCTCTACTGAGAAGGTATATCGGGCAGATGAAGTACCTAAAACGTATCCATCTTGCCGCAGTGAACATGAGCCCCAAGCAAGCCATCGCGCTTGCTGATGTGCTCCCTGAAGGACCCGAGCTGGCCCATATGAACATACTGGAGAACCCGCAGTTGACAGCGCTTGCCAACGCTACGGACGAGGCCAACCAGGAAGAGGCATGTGCGCTATACGCGAGCTACATGGCTGCGGTCAGAGTATCAACGACCCTTATCTGCATTGACATTGACGTAAGTGATCAACTCAGCGTTCTTCTGACTTACCTATACTAACCACTCTCACAGGTGCCTTCGTCAGACAACAGCGAAGTCGTCAAAGCACTAGCCAAGCAGATCGTTGCATACTCTCTACGCAACATGGAGCGCTTCGCTGTGGTAGAGGCTACCGGCAGCAGTGCGGCATCGGACGCTGCCGCTTCACTCACCCAACCTCACGGCGGAGAGCAGCAGCTGAAGGAAATCACCGTACCGGACGTTCTGATGCACCTGGTGGGTCACGTGGAGGGTAACAGCGAGAACCACGACAACGACGACCCAGCTCCCGATACGGATTACCTGGTTGGTGGTACTGGTGTCGTGAAAGCCTTGCAATATGTCCTCGGCGAGAAAGCGGACGACCTTCGGCGGAGTAGCCTTCCAAGCTCGCCCATCTCAGGCAGTAGAACACCACGGGACCGACCAAGTTCATCCGCTGGCTTCGACGAACAACAGCAAGTCAAGGCCAAGAAGATGAGCAAGAACCTATTGGACAGCGCCCGCAAGATCCGATCGAGGCTCCAACCAGCAATCGCCAAGGAATCCAACGCAGGCGACGAGATGGCGATGCGCCGACTCCTCTTCCTAGACTCGACCCTCTCCAGCATGATCCAGCGCTTCGAAGAAGAATACCCCGAAACGCGAATCGTGCCCCCCTCCCCCAAACAAGCCCCCTCCCTCGCCTCCTCCACCACCGAACAATCCGCGCCCCTCTCCATCACCACCCAAGGCACCGAATTCACCAACAAATCCGACGACGAAGACGAATTCGACGATCTCTCCTCCTTCCGCCCCGCCGTCTCCCGCCACAACAGCGACGTCTCCCTCGCCTCGCGCGCCCTCGCCATCGAAGAAGGCCACCTGCACCGCCTCGGCCAACGCATGCGCCGCAGCATCGTCGACTCGCCCTCCGCCCTCTCCGCCGCCGACGACCCCTCCGCCACCGCGCCCTGGAAAGCCGACGAGGAGCGCCGTCTGAAAGCCCTGGCGCAGAAAGTCGAGGCCATCACCGGGCCTGAACTCAAGGATCTCGTCGAGAGCAATGGCTGGGAGGTCGCCATGGGGAAGGTCGGCGCGAATATGCATGATTTGCGCGCGTTGCAGGAGGCGGATCCGCAGGCTTGGGAGGATTTCAAGGAGAGTCAGATGAAGGCGAGGATGAATTTGGCGCAGGATGCGAGGAGTAAATGAGTGATTGTGTCGAGAAGTATGGGGTGGTGGGTTTTCGTATTGTCTGGGATCGTTTTCCTCTTTTTTCTCGGATTATTGTGATCTGTGGTTTGCTTGTTGTTTAGCGAGACGAGGTTTTGATCGAACCGTCGTTACTACTACTACCTCCAGGATGGATGGTTTGAGGAATTGGATTGTATGATTGGATGGACATCACGTCTGTAGAAGCAGATCAAATCAGGTTAATGTTCAGAGCGTCACGTTGAGAAAGCCTTCACTTTATGAATCGGATGTACGCGGCAATGAGGTCTTGACGTTACTTAAGCATTTTCGCGTTGTTCATGGGCTATCTCCGACCGACTGCCAAACGCCGTGCCTGATGATAAAGTGCGGAAGAGAATGCATGCCTTGGTGCTAAGACGGTGCTTAGTTGCCGGCAGCAAGCTCCTTGATGCGGTCTTGCACACGCTGTCTCTTCTCGTCCTTGGTGAGCTTCTTCTGGCGGTACTTCTGCGACTCGGCCTTCCACTCCTCCTTGGTCTTCTTCTCGCCCTCATCCTCATCCTTCTTCCATGGGTCCTCACGGATCTGGCTGTGGGCCTCGGAGTAGAGCTCCTCAAGACCGTCAGCCTCAATCTCGTCGTCGATGTATCCCTTGAACTGCGAGTTGTAGCGCTCCTCATCGTCGTCGGCAAGAGTCTCCATGTACTCAGCGACGTGACCACCGAAGATGTACTTGCGGAGGGTCTCAGCATCCAACTCCTTCGTCTCGATGTCGTAGCCGGGGAATCGCTTCTCGGAGTGGGGGATGTAGAGACCGCCGTCAGAGGCACCCTTCAGGGCGCCGAAGACACGAGCACCAGTGCTGGTGCGGACGAGACCGACATCGAGGAAGCACTTGAATGGGCGGCGGGTCTCGCCGTCGACCTCAGCGTCCTCGGTGAGCTGGTACTCGCCATCTGGCTCCTCAACACCGGTGAAGGTGTCGGCAAGGTCGAGCTTGGCGAGAGCACGGCGGGCGACGAGGAGACCGACGCAGTAGGCGGCGGCCCAGTTGGTAAGACCGTGGGTGATGCCGTAGCGCTTGAGCTCGTGTGCGTAGGCGGCCACGAAGACCTTGTCGCCGGTCAACTCGGAGTAGACGATCTGAGCGATGATGTCCTTGTTGGTGAAGCGGATGACCAGGCGGTACTTGGGCGCATTGTACTTGTTCTTGGCCTGGGTGATGAGGCGCTTGCGGGCGAAGTAGTCGGTCTTACCCGCTCGGCGACGCTTGTACTTCACCTGGTAGCGGCTTTGGGATGGTTAGCAGCGATGTTGGGTAGTTTGCGGTCAGTGAGGACGTACCTGAAGTAGGCGCTGTTCTTGACAAGCTTGGTGAAAGGCATCTTGACGGCCTACCAGCCTGCAATAGAAACCCACGGTCAGCAATTGTCGCTTCAGAGCTCACACTCTCTCCGTCTCCGAAGCATCTTGCGGTGACCTCAACCTGCCATGCCGGCCGTCGGGTTGCAGCGACAATGACGGCGAGGAGCCATTGTGCGCTGCAGCGTGGAAAGACTTACGAAAGACTTGTCGGTGGTGCGCTGTAACAAGCGGTTGGCAAGAGAGAAGTCGTCTCGAGAAGCGGCCTAGAGAATTATCTCGGTGGGCCTAAGCTGGAAGTCTTGGCACAGCACCAGCGCGGGTGTCCAATGCCAAACGCCGACTTCAGCTTCAGCTCACGACACGCCCGCCCAAACCCGGGCATCAACCATCCTCGCACAATCATCACCTGCCATTATTGCTCGCTGCCATCACTCATCACGCGTCGTCGGCCAACCTGTCGGGAACTCCGGCAACGCAAACATCCACTGACGAACGCCTCTGACAACAATCAGTTGGCTCGATGATATGCCAGTGTTCTAGTGAGGCCTCATTCTGGGTCTTGCAGGTGCTAGCTATCTGTGTCCCGGCACGAGTCTGTTATTGTCGCCCTCTATGGCTTCGTGCTGGCAAGACGCTACCTTGCTGCGGAGCAATGTCTGGGACGAACCGCGGTCAGCTGACGTTGTCTTCCCAATCTCTACATCAGCGAGAGTCCAGAAGAGAGTCTATCCCCCATTCTCGGTGCCGAAGGCAGCCACCTGGATTGGGAGTCTTCGCCGCGGAAGCGGTTCATGGTAACTCCAGCTCACCGACAACGTCTACCAACCATACGCAGCATGCCGGCACAACACCTGTCTCAACCTTGACACTACCTCTCAGTCAAAACACAATCGCATGGCGCTCACTACCCAAGGCAGTCAATCGCACCCACCTTACGACCATTGCCTCTCTCGTCCACGTCGAATAGTTTGGCGCAGCTGAGACATGAGCAATCGACCCTGTGATGGTGATCAATGTGCCATGCTGTCGGGTCCCTTAGCCTGCCTCTCTCGCCAGTCGGGCGCGCACAACACCAATCATGGCTGCAAACCAGTCTTTGCGATGTGATCTCTGTGGTCGAACACAGTTCTCAACCAGCAACTGCTTGCGCTGGGCTTTGCGGGTACGAAATGTGTCTCACTCCTCACCACATTCGCCACACCGCGCTGCGCATTGCAATGCCCACCGCTCTGGTCGAACATGTAAGACCTTGATTCGTTCACCCCTCGCCTCTGTTTACCTGCGTCCCTTCCCGCTCTCATACACCCCCGTACATGTTATTCTTTCTCTACTTATAGCAACAATGGCACGAGCAGACTCATCTCCAAAGGTCGGTGTACGTTTCACACGTCACGAGTATGTCTTATTGACGTAGACAGGCAATCGTCAAAGCCGCAATTAGGACGAAATGTCACGTTGTCGCAAGACGATACGAGCATCAACGACTCGAGAAACTACATGGATCGAACGTCAAATGGCTTGTCCTTTCGGATGAATTGTTTGAAGAGGTCTGCTCGGACTTTACCATTCGAAAACTGGACATCAGTCGAGCTGCAAAACGTTCTCTCTTCGATGCTGAATGGGTATCTCAAGTCACCTACGAGCTCATCACAAAGCCAGCTAGACCCCGACGTGGACGACAACACACTGGTGACGACTTCAGTTCGCAGTCCAGAGACTCAGTGACCGAGCTTGATGCTATGCATGCTTCACGAGCGATGCACCACCCGCTCGACACATCATCAAGCCAGCATCCAAGCAGCAGCCACCGCCGACAAATAAGTGAGGGTGCACCACACAGCATGCGACACGACTCCATAGTCTGCCTGGACCCTTCATTATTGCCGACTGGCCATAGGAAGTCAACACCTACGACCCCAGAGAGCAGTACTGCTAGTCGCTCTGGCTGGTTTAACACTATACTCAACTGAGAATGACATGCTGCACATCGGCCACCCACGTTATGAGACGATGCTACTGGATCCAGGGGGTCCACTGATCATCAGATCAACTGGACCGACAAGTACTTCCTATAGTACCTTCCACCCTGCGCAAAGACGACCCTGGCGGTCGTTAGTATCTCCTGCGTCTACTCATTGGTCAACAAGGGCTATGTCGGACACCCTTTGCGGCATTATGGAGTTTCCCATGTCCATCCGCTCACTGCACTGCTCTCTCCTGTCGACAAATCATTATTCCGGCTATCGCGGCAGGAAATACTGCTCTCTACTCTCAATGCCAAGCTGTGGAGAGCTATACTGTTGCACCGCAGCAGCAACGCTCACAAGACCCAAGACGGCATCGCGAGTGTACTGTTGCGCAGATCGCTTATGCAGTCTGGCGAGCGGCTGAATTGTTGATGCGGAAGACGACAATGCTTGCGAGGATATTCCCCCTCGGGAAGGTGGCTGGTCGCTCTCTCCACTGTCGAAGGCGTCCGCTCTATATTCGCTCATCCACAGTGACATACCGACTACAAATGCCTTGGCTAACGGCAACCAGCCACTGACAAAGGCCACGAGCGGAGAACGGCCATGGAGGGCGCTGCGTGTCAGACAAGGATTCGACGGATGTGGCGGACTTTGCCTTTGAGCGGCTCATGCACAGTGACGATTCAGTGACTACTTTGAAGACTTCACACATCGTTGCCGAAACGAGCGGCGCGCACACATCGCTTGTTGGCAGAGTGGTATCGAAGCGCGCATGCACAGATGGAGAGAGTATCGCAAGGAAAGTGTTATTGGAGCTGCAAGTCATCCACGACATGTCCCATGCTCCGATCACGTCCTTTCTCCTCGGGGTAAATAGCATGCTAGACAAGGAAGATTGTGAGGAGAAAAGTACCGTATCTGCAGCTACGCGATCTCTGTCGTGATACCACTCTCGAATCCTTTGACCAGTGCGCAGACATAGGTCGCAGTGGCGCCAAAGTGTAGACACGAGCTCGGCCAAGCCTCCAAGGACGTTTGCTTGAATCTTCCTTTGTGCGCTTTCTCTCGTAGCGCGGCACAGACAGCAGCGATAGCGATGTCCGTCTGCTTCATCACCGATTGCCATGTCTGCTGACACGGGACCCGTCATCACCACCGAACATGCGCAGGGCTTTGACACGGCGGACGGCAACAAAGGATGGAGGGATATTATTACCCGCCGCTGAGCCGAGTGGCAGGCAGGCGGCAGAAACGACAGCGAACAGACGCCAGAGCCGCGTCCTTCACACATGCAGCAATGAGAAGTGATTTGATTGACCCCGCGTTGTTGCGTGCTAGCTAGCCCGCACAAGGTAGGTTCATGTTGTTAGGCGCATTGCCATCTGTTTTTGGCGTGGTGGAAGCGGCGTCGTCATGGAGCCATCATCGTATCGCGGCCAAGAAGGATTTGGGCTATGGGTTCGCGTGGTGCCGACTCTTGCGGTGACGGCTTGATAAGTGGGAGAGGCCATTCGTCAGCAGTATATAGAGTAGTGGCAGCCAGAGAGGGGGGAGATTCGGTCGGGAGACGATACCATCCGACGAACAACAAAAAGTCGCGAAGTACCGCAGCTGTCTGCGTTTCACAGCGCAGGAACGGTGTCGCCAGCTCCACAAATCCGCGCACACTCAGTCGCTGCTCAGTGACAGGGTCCAGCACACGCTCCCACAACAAGGCACGATCAATTTCGCGCTGTCCCGAGTGGGAGTCAGGATCAGAGCGAGGGCATGCGTGCATGCTTGCTGGCCCTGGCCCTGTGACACCTGCCTGCTCCCTTGCGAAAACCCGCCGCGATTCTGCAGCACGAGCCGATACGAGAGAGGCAGATACACACTCCCCATACGTCGGCGCGGAGTGGACGGCGATAGCAACGGCATAAAATAAGACACGCCTATCTGCTGCATCCCAGGACCGCTTCCACCTCGATACAACACACGCACCGTCACAACTGCCACGGCCACGCAGCCGAGGACGACTCCACCAGCAGCAACCCAAGAACCCGCTCAGGCTCCACCGAGTGATAAACCGCAGCAACTCTTTACGCCAGTGCCTGCACCGACGCGGCGGCGGGCTCCACCCTCGGCCATCAATTCCATCAAATCACTCCATTCCACCTGCTTTCCAAACCGAACCATCTCCCGCCGCTGTGCAACGCGCCTCGTCTGCTCAGTCACTCCATCAACTGGTCGTATGTCTTACAACGGGACACGCCTGCGCTCCAGCCCTCAACAAACACCGCAATCCCTCTCTCGTCCGACGACTTCCAACACCCCCAGGCCCTTCAACCCAAACACACCCTCGCCGCTCACACCACGAACCATGCCGTCGCCGCGAACTTCACCGGCCATGCGGCCAACCTCTCCGCTTTCACCCGGCTTCAAACAATCCGCACACTTCGACACCCTGCAACCACCACAACAACGACCAATGCATTCGCGGACAAGCAGCAGCAAGCAACGCCGACCACCCACCAACTCCCTCAAGCTGCCCTCCCTCCCTCGCTTCCACCCTGCAAACTTCCCATCAGCACACAGCAGCGTGCAATCAACACCAGACGGCACAACCTCTCCACAACCACCCGTCTCCCCGCGAGCACATCAACGAATGTACAGCGACGTGCAGAAACAACTCTACTTCAACCAACGCGAGCTGCTATCACGGGGAACATCATCCAACTCAACTGGCAAGCCGATCAGTCCCCGACTCCAACCACTCGGCAGTCCAGGCCCCGTCACACCACTAGAGCTAGAAGGAGAGGAGGAGTACTTGCTTGCCGGGGCGAGGAAGTCCGCGAATGGCACCGCACCGCAAGAGTTGGTCGAGCAGTTGATCAAAGAGGAAACTCGTCGACAACGGAACATGACCGCCGCGTCAGGACGGCCTACAGGTCGATGATGAACATGAACCACAAATTCACGAAACGAAGAGTCACGGCCGAATTGAAAGAAAAGGAAGGAAAGGATACCACACAGTTTTTTCGACAAGCATAGCGTTTTGTTTAAGCGGAAGTTCGTTATTTGATATTCCTTTTGTTGTTGGATTGGGGAAGGAAAGGCGTTCGCATCAGAGAGGAATGGGGAATGAAGGAAAGCCATTGATTTTTCAAAAGGACATCGTTTCGCTTGGATGTCTGTCGTCGGCGTTATTGAACGTGGAGCGCCATATCATGATGCGTGGATGCGGCCGAGCCCCTCGCTTTTTGAAGGAAAGGAAGGAAAGGATTCCCTATCGTCGTTTGATTCTCGTTATGAGAAAAGTCCGTCTCATGAAGAGAGGCTACTGTCGCCACTGAGACTCGTTCATCTGCCAGCTAGCTAGCTAGGATCGTCGTCAACGGATCGATATAGCCTAGCAAAAACTACAATGAACTCGAACTCGACAAAGTGTTAAACACTACGCATCAGCGTAGCATCAATCAATCAATCAATCCCTGTTCCTCTTTCATCTCTCCCCCTCGAATTACTGAATCTTGCCACCTGCACACACAACTACTAATCTCTGATATGACGAAACGGACGGAATGACTGATGACATACCTCCACTCCATTCACATGAAATCCTTCTTCGATCCTTCGTCCACATCTGAGTCTCCACCGTGTCCACAATCCAAGGCTGAGCCGGCAGGACCGACAGGACCGAAAGTTTCGAAGACTCGGAAAGTACGATGCTACTATATTTATTTGCTTGCTCTGTTTGCTCTGATGGGGACGACTTTTTCCTTGTCGTGACGATCACGAAGAAGACATCCATATCTTCTGTGCACACGTGTGTCGAAGATGTTCTCGTTATTCGACGACAGGCTTCGTGGGTCCCTCGATTGTTAGCATGTCTCATCGGTCATCTATCAGAGCCCTCTTGACGTTGAGAAGTCTTTCTCTCTCTCTCGAGAGAGTTTTTGGGTCGTCTAATAAAGCCCCTGGTAGCATATATAGCAAGTATGACCGATGATCGAAGAGACGACCCCGCGGAAACGATCTTTTTCATTCATCTGCTCGTGACGATAAAGGTCGTGAATGTCCTCGCACAGCCAGGTCTTCTCTTCCAGTGTACTCACGGATCGACTTCTTCTTCTTCCCCCGGATACAGACCCGTCACGGCATCAACGCCATCTTTGAACTCCCGAAAACTCGGCCTCGGCTCCCCGTTGATGTACGCTACAGGTTGCAGTCAGCAAGGTTGCTCATATCAACACTTCTGAATAGGTCCACGGTGCTTGCTTGCCTCGTCCCTTCGCCGCAACGTATCGATCCAAGATCCCAAAGGGCCGCGTCGAGGAGAATGGATCCACATAGTCACGAGGCAGCACAGGAGCGACGTCGTTCAACTTGACGGCCGGATCGTCCGCCTGCAGTTTCACTGCGCCGCCAAAGGATGCGTTGACGAAGACGTCGCCTTCGTCCGTGTGAGCTGCGGGCGGGGCCCAGGGACATTTCTCGTGCAGCTTCCTGGTCTTGACAGCCATGTCGCAGAGGTCTCCCACGGTGACGCCGCGGTCGGAAGTGACAACATCGAAGGGCGGGTCCGCCACCTCTTGAATCAACCTCCCGCCTGCGAAGTCCTTGCGCGCTGGTTCGGGGCGCTCTCCGTCGCGAGGCGCGAATCCATAGGGATTGTACATGCAGCACGTCGGGTAGACGCCCATGGTGTAGACCGGTGGCTGACACACCAGCATCGCTCGGCAGCGTTTGCCTATCCTCGGGATTTCATGAGGGAACTTGGCCGTGACGCCTGCGAAGCCTGTGCCCTCGGCAGTAGTATAGATACGGCATGCAAAACCCGGGAACCCACTGCTTGGAAGCGGGCGACCTCTGTCAAGCCCTCTCTCTCGGAGGCGGTTCGAACTCGCGAGAAAAGGGTTCTCCCAGTATCCGCTCAAGGAGGGTCGCAGTCGAAGCCTTTCTTGAAGGAGGGGCGACGACTCGATGGCTTGGTACATGGTTCTGTCCACCTCCATTGCTCGGAGAAGCTCGAAGGTACCAAGATAGCCGAGAATCTGCTCGAGCACCTCTGGAAGGTCGAAGACTCGCCTGGCGGGACAAGAGCCATCGCTCCTTCGCTCATTATGGAGAGCTGTAGACGCAAAGTCAGAGAAGAAGTCATGGAGGCCTGAGCTGCTGTCCGTGAGCTCGTTGCTGAGTTGTTGCATCTCAGCACCGGTCCCGTCGACGGGGGGCGTTGGACCCGCGAGACGAACGACGTCCTGCACGGCATTCTCGAGTTGCCGTTGGAAGTTCAGGGCTAGCCGTATCGTCTGCGTCTGATGGAGTCTGCTGGATCTGTGCCACGCAACCCCGGTTGGTCGGGGCAGGGGCAGTTTGTCGTTGTCTCTTGAGTGGTCTTTACGCACCATGTTTAGGGAAGTCTGCTGGATCTCTTGATATTAACAGTTGACTGCGAAGCAGACTAACGAGTTTGCTTAATTGTAGTTGAGGTTCGTTGAATGCAATGGGGCACGGCGAGCTGCTGTGAGAGATGTACTGTCTACCTGCAGCCAAGCGTGAACGACGCTAATGCAGCAAGCCCCTAGGGGAAGTAAACACACTCTTCGTGTTGTTAGAAGCTACGTTTTGTCAACGCTATTTGGAAACCCATAGTACAATAAGTGAATGTTCTGCAATCTCACTACCTTCCACATTACCCTCAAAACTCCTCCGACTCAACTATTATCAACGCAAGGGTTGAAGGCCAGGACAAAGTCACCATCAGGACAATTGTGGACGTCCAGGTTGTATCCCTTCGTGAAACCGCATTCCTTCGAGCCGGCCGTCACCTATAGAAACACCTCATTAGCTTTTCGAAGAACCCTCTCATTGCGCGGAGAGGTCCATCTCTTACATTGAACGGCTCGCCATCGAAGGGATCCGCTTTCAAGCTATTGACCGTCCACCACAGCCTCCCGTCCTTGACCGAAGAGCCCAGGATGAATCGGGGTGTGTCTTCGTTGTAGTACTCTTCGACCAGAGAGATGCCGAGTTGATCTGTTCGTGTACGTGAGCTCTTGTTCTCGCCATGGACGCCGGTATCTAGTGAACGTACTTCCTTCTCCCGAGATCTTGGTCGTCCACGACGTCGCGGTGGAGACGTTCTGAATCGGGGGAGTCCAGCTCGTTTGGTTGGCGTTGGAGAGGTACAGGGTCTTTCTGCAGAAGTTGTTGACGACGAGCCAGGAGGCGTTGGCGGAGAGGGCCAGGGAGAGGCAGAGAACGCTTGCGGAGGAGAGACGCATGTTGTTCGACGTGTTGATGCGAGAATGCTGTGTGGGTTGATCAAATGAAAATCTTGTCAATGCCATGAGATGGGATGTCTTTCGACTTTATACCAGGCGATGATCACTCGTCCCGCATCCGTAATGAGTGTAACCATCTTGACACTTCGCTGCACCGGCCCTTGCGACGTTGCACCGAAACATGTTAAGCCACCTTTGTGTGTGCATGACAGATCAGACAAACGGGAGTCAAGACGGGCGCGGAGGATGCTCAGTGGAAGGCTGTACGACACAGCTGGCCTGTAGCATTGTTTGTTAGCAACCTCCCTTCATCTCGTTTTATTGCCTTGTCCACGTACCTTGCGTAAGCCCACCCCTCGCGCAAAGCACGAGAGACTCTCGTGACTTGACAGTGTGTCCTCACTGCTTGGTCGAGAGTCAATGAACTGTTGTATTCGTGCCTGAGACTTGTGGTTGTCAAAACAGGGAAACAAGGTGATGTATGAGGGTGTCCAAGGAAACCAGAACTTGATTGACAGCACGCTATGTCTCTTCTGCTCTCCTCCTGTCCGGATTCAGGACGCTATTCAACTGTCCCAGCCGTGGTCATGGCGACAGCTGGCTGCACCGCATTGTGGCTATGCTGGTGTCGCATGCGAGCTCATGAAGCATGTGCCTCTCTCGCGGACAATCTGGCCTGCCCTGCTCTTTCTCGAAGACGTCGTTTTCCTCACATCATCCAGTCATGATCCTCTCTCAACCCTGCTGCTTCGCCTTTGCTGCGGTCTGTGATGCTTCTGTAGACACTCTGTGATCAGTAGACGCCTCCACATGCACAAGTACAGTGACAATTTCGCACCTCTTCGTGTAGCATCCTCGAGCAACGGCGTGTCAACTGCGTTCGCTGGCAGGTGAACGTAGCGCACTACACTGCCTCGAATGAAGACATTCTTGACTGAGCTCTGCACACACAATCGTCAGCTCCTCACGTTCAAGTGTTTGTTCATTCCACCCTATTCGCGGGCCCAAGTGTGCGATATCCATTTCCTCCAAACCCCTGAACCTGACTCTTGCTTCTTACTGACCAGATGTGGGTACTTCAGCTCTTCAACGACCTGAATGTCGTCCAGCTTGATGTTGAGGTATTGATCCACGCTCTTCAGAGTGCCTCGAATCGAAATGTCGTTCTTCAACTCCACCGTCACCTCGTGATTGACCAACGTCTTGAAGAAGCTGAAGAATAGCATGGCGTCGGTCGGGGATTGTGTCGGATGCGAATGCTATCGAAGCGGTGGTGGCATTGTTTGACAGATTGAAGTGCAGTCGCAGAGTCGCGAAGTAGCCAAATATGAATGTCACGTGCAGGAATTTGCAACCTCAGGCACCAATGGGCAGACTGATGAGAGATTCGCACAATTTGGACGCAGGTCGGATATATATGAGTGAGTGTTACGGCCATTATTATGTAGTTATAGTTCAATCATCAACGAAGATCACCGACATTCTTACAAGTCCTTTCTTGCCCAACCAACGAGACACCTCCAGCTAGCGTTCCCTTTGCCTCCCTCTTCCAGCGCTTTGACGACGTCGTCCAACACCTTCTTCTCACTACGACCCATCTCCATACTCAACTTGAGCATCCACTGTTCCCACATCCTGGCGCCGACGAGGCCTGTCATGGCGCGAACATCTTTGGTGCTGCCTGTCAGCGGTGCTGAAAACTCAGTCACAGTGCCATCTGCAGCGATGAGCCGCTCGGTGGTTTGAGCATTGTTCCCAGTCTTTCCAGAGTCACTCCATCGTGGGACAGCATCAGCCACAGGCAGCACCATCCAAGCCCGCTTGATTTCGTGAAAACCTGCACGCTTGAGGCGAGGTAGGAAGTTCTTGCCAGAGGAGGGATCGTAGCCGCGAGTCTTGAGGTTGAAAGCAAACTCCACACCCAGCGCCTGACCTAGCTCATCAGGATGGACCAGCTCAGCGTCGAGCAGATCGAACTCGAGGTATCCGCCAGGCTTCAGCACCCGCAGACACTCTCGCAGTGTGAGCTCCCATTCATCGACAGCAAAGCCCTTCGGCCAGGTGGTCCTGAGGTGGAAGTACAGATTTCGAGCAGAGACGACGTCGAAGTAGTCCATGCCGAAAGGAAGTTCCCATAGCTTGGGTGAGGTCACGACGAAGTGGTTGCTCGGGCCTTCCAGAGAAGCAACATGGGCTTCGGCATCAGACGACACAGTGGTGTAGATGGAGGCATCTGGATGGTCAGAGGCGACGGTCCATGCCCAGCTACAGTGTACTTGGCCAGCAAGATCCAAGACCCTGACATCTCTTCGTGTTTTGAAGCTTTGTACAATCGGACTCGTAAGTAGCTTCCCGCCATTGACTTCTTTCTGTGCCGCAAGGTGCCAAGAAGAAGACCGGAGCTGCTCAAGAGCTTGTCTTTCTCGATCAGCTAGTGCTATCAACTCTTTTCTTTCGTCCTCGGGAGCCGACGGGAGGAAGGACGAAACAGGACGCTGAGGTGCAGGTCTCTCAGTGTCCTTGATCTCGTACTTGCCATTGAGCTGTTCAGCGTGCTGTTTCTGAAGGCTCAAGCGCTTGACGTGCTCGGCTTCCGCTCGTGCTTGTCTGTGACGGAAGACGTCTCTGGCACGCTGCGAACGCTTTTGGTGCCGCCACGCCTCCCAGAACGTACCATCATGGATGGGAGAGATGCGCTTCTCCTCTTCTGGACTCGACTCTGGCTTGACGATAGGAGACTCATCCTCGGCGAATCGCACCGACTTTTTCCCCGGCGAAGTCTCGTCAGACGGCGGTGATGCTTGATCAGGGGTTTTCGGAGTGGCATCTGCGATGTCGCCGAAACTAGAAATAACCTCGTCCTCCTCGCACAGAGCTTGCATGTACGCATTCTGTGCCGAAAGCCACAATTGCGTTCGGTTGAGATTCGCTGCAGCACTTTGCTTCAATGCATCGTCGTACGTGTCGTCAATCTCGTCGACTTCGAAAATCACCTCGATTGGAGAGAAGGCAACCTTGCGTGCTGTCACAGGGTCGGTAGACTTGGTCGGGATCTTGACGGAGAGAACATGCTCCACAGGATCCTTGGGTCGATCGCGCCAAGGCAAGTCGTAAAATGTCGTTGCTGTGCTCGTGGTGGGTATCTGTTTCGGCGGCGAGCGGAAAGGCACGCCGTAGAACTCAGTCGCCGTACTTGTTGTCAGAGCTGGCTCGAAGCCCGACCAATTTTGCCGTGCCATGGTTGAATCGAGCGAAGCGAAGAACCCGCCAGGCGAAGGGACTGACAGTGCAGAAAGCTCATCTTCGGATTCAGAATCATTAGGTGCCGGCTCCGGCGTCTTGATCTTGAACTGTCCTGTGACTGGAGGGGACTCAACAATCTCTCTCATTTCGTGAACAGCTTCTTCTGGAATTTCAATGACCGTCTCCTGAGAATTGTTTCCGTCGTCAGGATGGAGATGCTGTAGAAGGTTTTCGACAGACGGATTGAGTTGAACAGGCGGCTCCCAGGCCAAATCGGACTCGACTGGGTCCAGAATCTCTGGAGTGGACGGACAGCTCGATCTGGCCAGTTCTTCGGATGTTTGGCTTCCATCAAGCGAGGGCGTGGACGATGTACTCGGTACTCGAAGGCTTCGTTCTTGCAATCGCGCAAGGATCGAGGGGGACAGATTCACTTTCAGCGGCGGGGAGAGAGCAGTCGCGGACTGCAGCTTCTCGATAGTCGGCCATTGGGACGGAGATGGAATGACCAGCGACGGGTATCGATTCTTCGTCTGCTTCCCGTAGACTCTTTTCTTCACTGACGAAGACAGCTTGATGGGAACCTCCTCAGAATCACTCTCAGACACATCGTAAAGCTCATCGAAACTCTTTGAACTGCGCTTGCTCCATAGTGAGCTCTGGTCGGACTCGGATGAATCTGTATTGCTGGGATCCGGACTCGTTTCGAGGATTGGTGCCGCTGGAACGGAGGTATTGGCCCTTGGTGTTGGAAAGTCATCACTGAGCGGCGATGTGACTGCGGGCCATGGCTGGAGCCTTTGAGGAGGTGCCCGGCGAAGCGAGACTTGCGGTGTGTCCTCTATTACTGTATTACGGAAGCCTTCGTCACTGCGAACCGGCGCAGAGGGTTTGAAGGCTATCGGTCGTAAGGTTGTGCTAGCCATGCCTTCGTTGGCTATGGCAGCGACTGTTCCTGTGCGTTTCGTTGTGTTCCAAAAGATTGTATGCCGACCCGCGGTGGAGATGTACAGAGGCTTCGATCAACGAAGTATCTCAAACCCGAAACAAGAAAGCAGAGCGAAAGAGAAGCAGATCGGACGAACACCACGAACGCAGAACCGGTGCAGTAGATCAGAAAGGAAGAGTAAGCAGATCACCTGTGCGGCACAGCTCCTTATACAGACCGAAACGACTTCGCCCAGGCATCATTACTGGAGGTCACACGAAGCCCAGTCGCTGGGCGGTTAGCAGGATTCCCATGCCCAAGCCATTACGACGTGGTCAAGGCTGGCGCTAAAGCCGAGCCTCATTTACGGTCGAGGGCGTGGTTGGATTCCAGAAGACTCGTTCCCCATTTCTGTCCGACGGGTCGCATTCAAGGTCGCACACGCGTAGGTGTGCGTGGTGGCCGGAGAAAGTGCCCGTCGAATAGAAATGGGTGGATGGCAGTACGCGCTGAGGATTCGCGGAGGGTTTGAAGAGGGCGCTTAGAAGGTGACCAATGAGCTCGCCAGTTCATGTTGTGCAGGATGGGAACAGCGCGTCGCTGCTCTGGGCAATATATGCTGCGCATGCCGCTTTCAATGATGGGAATGGTGCCGTCCGACGATGAGATGCAGTATGGCACCACCCGTGAAGTTGTGCGAGAGGAAGATGTTGACGTGAAGAAGTGAGGTCGGCTTTCGTCTCAAATCTTCCGACCACCGGCCCGTGGCGGCTCCACCGCTCGGCGCGACACGACGCGAAGCTCTCTATCAAACATTTTGCTGAGCGGGCATTGACTACAGGTATTGCTCGTTTCTTACCGCCAACAGTCGTAGCACTTTTCCGACCTTCCACTCCCGGCTCCCACTCCACAATCGGGCAACCTTGTCGTGAACTAGACGACCTTCTCATCAAATATGGCGCCTCCAGCGATTATAGCGCCCTCAATCTTGAGCGCCGACTTTGGCGCTCTGGGCAAAGCATGCTCGGATACCATAGGGCAGGGCGCAGATTGGCTACATGTGGATATCATGGATGGCCACTTCGTACCGAATATGACCTTTGGCGCTCCTGTTGTGACCATGATCCGTCCACACGTCGACCGGCCTAAGGAGGCATTCGGGAAGGGGACGTTCGATTGTCACATGATGATAGCAGAGGTACAAGTTGACAGTGTTGGGAAAGTAGCAAGCATACTGACCGTCGCAGTAGCCGAAGAAATGGGTAAAGGACTTCAAGAAAGCTGGCTGCGATCTTTACTGCTTTCACTACGAAGCCGCCATATCGTCGACGGCCGCAGAGACGCCTGAAGGCCACAGCGACCAGGAGACTAGCCCTAAAGAACTGATCAAGTACATTCACGATCAAGGACTGAGAGCTGGAATTGCAATCAAGCCCAAGACGCCGGTGGACGTACTCTACGAGATTCTGGACAATCCTAACAAGGAGGAAGTGCCTGACGTACGTGCTGAACTTCGTTGTTGATTTCACTGGCTAACTGTAAGCAGATGGCTCTGGTGATGACCGTAGAGCCTGGATTCGGTGGCCAGAAGTTTATGCCCGATATGATGCCCAAGGTCGAAGCGCTGCGAAAGCGATACCCCGAGTTGAATATCGAGGTCGATGGGGGGCTCGGCGAGAAGACCATCGACACTGCCGCAGACGCTGGGGCAAACGTGATAGTGGCGGGCAGCGCTGTGTTTGGCGCAAAGGACCCGAGCCACGTTATCAAGCTGCTTCGGGAGGCCGTCGAGAAGCGGCGGTGACTTCAGGGCAGCAGGCTGTGATCCCTGAGCCGGAGAAAACGAGCTTATGGCAACTGGGATGTAGTGTGGTGGACTGGTGAAGTCGAGAGGCCATCCAAGTCACAGAAGTAGCGGGCCGAGTCTATCCTGTTCTCGAAATAGTATACAAATTAGACTTTCGTGCAACAGTGGATTGAAGCACACAAGACCGTATCCCCCACAGCATCGATCTCAGCAGTCTCCAGTCCGCAGTACCAGCACGGGCTATACCTGATGTTTTTGGTCGTCAATGGCCGGTAACTCGTGCGGCGCGAACAAAGAAGGCGGTTGCTTGGCTGCTGGGTGAACTGTTTGGAACCAGGGACTGGCTGGAGCTTGTTCCATGGAAGCCGCAGCTGATCGCCCGACTCGCATCTCCCTATCACTTCTCGTGCACCTTGCGAGAGACCACACCTGTACATTACTGTCGTGGTGAATAGGAAGACGCGCCTCTTCGTGGGCTGCTTGAGAATCGCCATCGTGCAGGCTGCGACTGCTGTGCGGTCGTTCCTTTCCGCCGACGATCCCCACGCTATCCCCGTACACGTTGGCCCAATATGCCTCGCCAGGACGAGCGTCATGACGACGAGTCACAGCCTCTGACGGGAGGAGACGACCCTACCAGTCCCACGAGTCCCTACGAAGCTGGCCGGCCTTCAGCATCATCCGCATCGACAACATCGCTCGTTCTGGATCACATATCAGACAAAGCGGCAATGAAGGCCAAGGAAGCGCTGTACTCGGACGGTCCAACACGAGAGACCGAAGAGATGGACATGGAGGACCATTTGGCATGGCAGCGATCGGTCAAGCCCGCGGACAAGAAAGCACGTCGCGTACTCTACATCCTGGTCGCGATTGGAATTGTCGGGTGGATAGCAGCACTGTTCATGTTCGTTTCCCAGGACAGGCATGTGCCTCATTCTGCTCGTCCGCACGACCCACATGCGACAAGCACAACCGGCAATGGCAAGAAAGTGACTTTGGACCAGGTGCTGCGCGGAGAATGGTCTGCGAGACATCACTCTATCCAGTGGGTTGATGGTCCAGACGGAGAAGACGGATTACTACTGGAGCGAGGTGGACAGGATGGTCGCGACTACTTGGTGGTGGAAGACGTTAGATACAGAGGCGATGAACCGTCAGTGCAAAAGCAACACAGCAAGACACTCATGAAGAATGGATACTTTTCAGTTGCTGGCGAGACGGTGACCGTTGACGAGGCATGGCCAAGCCAGGACCACAAGCACGTTCTCGTTCAAAGCAACTACCAGAGTAATTGGAGACACAGCAGCACCGGTCGCTACTGGATCTTTCACGTTGACACCCAGGAGGCAGAGCCGCTTGATCCTGGTGACATCCATACGAGAGTGCAACTAGCATCATGGAGCCCTAACAGTGACGCCGTTGTATTCACAAGGAACAACAACATGTTCATTCGACACCTCGATTCAGACATCGTCAACAAGATCACCACGGACGGCTCGAAGGATCTCTTTTATGGTATCCCAGACTGGGTGTTCGAAGAAGAGGTGCTTGCTGATGGCGGAGCTACTTGGTGGAGCGGAGATGGCAAATACGTTGCCTTCTTCCGAACCGACGAGAGCAAGGTTCCTACCTTCCCGGTGCAATACTTCTTCAGCAGACCGAGTGGCAAGATGCCTAACAAAGGCGAGGAGAACTATCCCGAGGTTCGACACATCAAATATCCCAAAGCTGGTGCGCCCATGTCCGTGGTCAGCCTGATGTTCTACGATGTAAAGAAAGCTGAGGTCTTCACTGTCCCAATCGATGACGACTTCGAGGATGACAATCGGCTCATTACCGAAGTCTTGTGGGCGGGCGAGACTGGGAAAGTGCTGATTCGCTCCACCAACCGCGAGAGCGACATCCTTAAGATCATCCTAATCGACGCTGTTGCACGAACTGGCAAGACAGTACGAGAACGCGATGTTCAGAAGCTGGACGGCGGCTGGTTCGAAGTATCTCACACCACCAAGTTTGTGCCTAAGGACGTTGAGGGAGGACGGCCTCACGATGGATATGTTGATACCATCATCCACGATAACTACGACCATCTGGCATACTTTACGCCACTCGATAACCCCGAGCCCCAAATGCTTACTTCTGGCGAGTGGGAAGTCGTCGAGGCGCCATCAAGCATCGACCTTATGTCCAACGTTGTGTACTTCATCGGCACCAAGGATGGCAGTACTCAGCGGCATCTCTACTCAGTTCCGCTCAGCAATGGTCCAGAGGGCGTGAAAGCTGTGACAAATACCAAGGAAGTCGGTTACTATGGTGTCTCGTTCTCCACCGCAGGCCGATTCATGTTGCTGACGAACCAAGGACCTGAAATTCCGTGGCAGAAGGTCAAGGCCAGCCCAACCAACTATAATTCGAACCTGGAAGTAGTCATTGAAAATAACGAGGCGCTCAACGAGCTTGCCAAGAAGACTGAGCTACCGATTGAAATCTACCAGACGATCAACGTTGATGGTTACGACTTGAACCTGGTAGAGCGCCGTCCACCCCACTTTGACGACAGCGGCAAGAAGAAGTACCCTGTACTGTTCTACCTTTACAATGGCCCAGGCTTCCAGCACGTCGATCGCAAGTTCAACGTTGACTTTCAGTCGTTCGTCGCAAGCAGCCTTGGGTATGTCGTGGTGACCTTGGATGGCCGCGGGACCGGCTACCTCGGTCGCAAGCACAGGACCATCGTCCGTGGCAACATCGGCTCCTGGGAAGCACACGATCAAATTGAAGCGGCGAAGATGTGGGCCAAGAAGAAGTACGTGGACTCGGAGAAGATGGGCATCTGGGGATGGAGCTACGGCGGCTTCATGACCTTGAAGACTCTCGAGACGGACGCTGGCCAGACCTTCAAGTATGGCATGGCCGTTGCCCCTGTGACCGACTGGCGCTTCTATGACTCGATCTACACCGAACGGTACATGCACACGCCACAGCACAACCCAGGTGGCTACGAGAATTCCACCATCTCCAACATGCAGGGCCTGTCGGGCAATGTGCGATTCCTCGTCATGCACGGTGTCAGCGATGACAATGTGTATGTATACCAAAGAGCAAAATTTGTCTCTCCGATATGTGCTAACTTTTTATCAGACACTTCCAAAACACCCTTCAACTGCTAGACAAGCTCGACCTGGCAAACGTCAAGAACTACGATGTGCATGTCTTCCCCGATTCAGATCATGGTAAGTGCTCGAATAGCAGGAGCTCTAGCCTAATCATGTTTCGAACAAGAGCTGACTTTACTCCCAGGTATCTACTTCCACGGAGCAAACAACATAGTCTACTCGAAACTGCGCGACTGGCTGATCAACGCCTTCAATGGCGAATGGTTACGCACAGAAGACCCAACTCCGCTGGGCATGTACGGCATCTCGTGACTGATGACAGCCTTTGTCACGTCTACAACTTGTCTTGCGATATTCTGCCGTTCCTTCTTGAACTGGCGTCCATGTCGCACTCTGAAATCCGTGGGCCGACTGCTGGCGGCAGTGTGTCGATCTGCTTCTGATGATGCTCGCTGGTCATGACATACTGCCATGCGAGCAGTATCAGCCTGCGGCTTCCGCGGACAAAATCGCGATCATTCAATCAACCCAAGAGCTCCGATCTCGATACTTCATCCACTCGGCCACGGACTCACGATTTAACGAACCATCTGAAGCTGATGCTCCCCCTGGCTCCAGGATCAGGGGTTTGACACTGGCTCGAAATACAGACATTTATTCGACCAGATCGAGGGGAAGAAGTACGCAGGACTGCTTGACAGATTCAAGCGCATGGCATGCTTGCCAGGCAGCGGGAAGGTGGTAGGAAAGATGATTGACTTCACGAGGGGGATGAACATTCGTAGATAGAGCGACTGGGTTTGCACGAGCTGTTTGGCTCACATATCTAGATCAATCTTTGAGCAAGAGTACTGGACCGTACTCCGTCTAGGCTCTTGCATTCCCTATCATGTAGTTACGGAACAGAAATGAAGACGCATTACGATGCTCTGTCTTCTCAGTACGGTAGCTACTTTCATTTGCCTGCTGAGCATGAGTATCACTTTGCATCAAACCCCCATTGGCGGCTCCATCGATCACCACATAGCCATCGACCACCTTTATCACCCTCAATAATCTACCAAAAAGGCACAACAGGCACCGCCGCCGTCTCATCATCAGACTCCGGCTCCCCATAATGATACGGCCCAATATCCTCCAACCCCACAGCATCAATCCCCCGAACCATCTCATCCACCTCCTTCTCCAGCACGCCCGCCTTGTCGAGATCCGAAACCTCCCATCTCGCCTCCCACCAAAGACGATGAAGGTCCACCATTTCGATGTGCGACAGCGTCATCGCTTGGAAGTTGTACAGCTTCTCGTTCAGCGACTCGATGCCCATGTCCTGGACTTGCGTAACGTGGAGAACCGTTCCTCCTTTTGCTTTCTTGGTGAAGATGCGTTTGGCTAGGACTCTCTGGACGGTGAGCAGACCCACGCGCTCCAGTGCTTTGAAGGAGGGGCCGCCGTCTTCGGTCTGCATCGAGCTGACGAATTCTTTGATGGCGTCGTCTGAGGGTGAGATGTGGTCGGCTCCTGGCTTGACGAGGGCGAACATGGCGTCCCAGACGTGCATTGGGAAGTGGGCGTATGCCTCTGCGAGGACCTGGTCTTGAAGCTTGACCGTGTAGTCCATCTTCTGTTGCGAAGGCACGTTGATCATCAGCTGCGTTCCGCTTCCATCATGGACCCATATCTCGTAGACAGTCGTGGCCTCTGTGTTTCCACCGATGAGGTTGATGATGTGTGCTGCATCTTCCTTCGATGTGGTCAAGCGAGTGAACATGTCGGTTCGGAGAGCATACCAGGAAGCATTGAGCTGCTTCTGGGAAGCAGTCGGCGTCAGGACTCCTCTGTTGAAATCTTTGCTCATGGGTCGTGTCAAGAGGACGCCAATCGAAGCCACAAGCTTGACACGGTTACTCATATTGTCACTCTCCTCTTCTTCATCTTCGTCGTCCTCCTCTTCTCGTATTCGCTCCTTCTGAGCCAGCAGAAACTTCCCAAAAGCATGCGAATGGTGCTCGATGGACGTGGAGTCTGTGGCTATCTCGCGAAGAGGCGCTGCCTCACCTGAAGATCCCGCAGCATTGGTGGTGCTGGGTACCGTGTGGTTTGGGATTGGTGTTTGCACGGGGACAGGGATGGGGGCCTCTTTCTGCTTGCGCTTGGGCGGTGGCGGAGGCTCAGGTAGTGGAAGTTGTGCTTTGGGCACGGGAAGCTTGGACGTGACCTTCTTGCTCTTGCTCTTCTTGCCAGCTTTCTGCCGCATGGTGTCTCGCTTCGTAGCATAGCTTAGAGGCAGCTGCTTGACACTCTCATGAATCTCCCCGTCAGAGCCATCGTCGGTATGGTCTGGCGTGTTACTTGATCCCGTGGTATATTCAAGTCCGGGCGGGACTCTGACAGGTCCCGAAGTGATGGCAGCGGCGTCATCAATCAGCTTCCGACCTTGAGCTCTGCCCATGACGGGTTTATTGACCCAATCTGCCTCGCGGGGATCTTGACGGACGGTGCTTTGGGAATTGAAGGAAGCGATGGAAGCGGCCCTTGACGTCGAAGTCTCTGTTGCACGGCTTCTATCTCGGGTTGCTGTACTCCTGGGCATGACCCGCTTCGACTTCTTTTTCGGGCTGCGATGAACGTGGTTGTCGCGGGCCCATTGTGCGGCATTGGCAGCATTTCCCATCAAGCCTACGGGGTCTACTGTGGCGTGACGACTGCCGTACTCGGGGAAGTCGCTTGGAACTGGGTGGTTTTGCAGTGTGCTCGTAGTGGTGTTTGTCGGTGTAGAGTTGTTACTGCGATCGTCAAGAACTTGAGCTGCTGGTGAAGGCTTCCGGGATACCGACAGCGGCGTCACCGTATTCGCAGCACTGGCATACGAGGGTGTAGATGAGCGCGGCTGTGGCTTCAGGAGGCCCGGGGAGTCCCAGTCACCTTGCTGTGTGCTCTTCTTTGAGCCACGAGTCAAGATGGCCGTAAGGTCGTTTTCGCTTGTCTCATTCGTATCACTCCCGGCCTCCTCTTCCTCATCGGTTTCAGAGTCTCCAATTTCGCCAGCCAGTAACTTGTTGAACTCGCTCTCTGTGCCCACTGGCGCTGTAGTGGGCTCGTCCGGTGGAGGAAGTGGTGATGGAAGCAAGCCTTGTCCCTTCGGTACTCTCAGCCGACCTGGATTTGCAGGTCCAGCGGCAAGATACTTTCTAGCATCCGTTGGGACATTGGGTCTCTCGCCAGGTTCGACTTGCCGCGTCTGGCCAGTTCCCTGCACCCATTGCTCTACCGTGGGCGGATCTCCTACATGCTCCCAAGTCTTTGCAGGCAGGCCATCGACATCGACGCCGTGGTTTCTCTCATCCCTGAGGATCGAGAACTCAGGAAGCTGAAGCTCGACTGTGTCATCATTTGCCAAAGAGAGGCCCACGCCAGTCCTGCCATTGAAGACCTCACCATCTCTGGTGTGCCAACGGACTGCTCGGCAAGTTAGACCGTCGATAAGCACCTTGTTGACCTTGGCATTCTCGGGGGCGAGGGTGCGCTCAAGCAGACGATCAGGAAGACTGTACAAGGGCATGAACTTGAGGCGCTTGCCCTCAGACTCGGATGTCTTGATCAGATGAGCCCGTGCTTGCACGGATTGGACAGGCACAACTTCCACTTCTTCTGGATCCTGGGCGATCTCGTTTAGGTCAATGAACAAGGCCTCCTTGAAGCGCTTGATAGTTGGAGGGCGCTATGAGGTCTGTCAGTGAAGACTCGGGGGATCTGAACGTCATGTCGCCATCTCACCTCGTCTTCTTCTGCTGCTACCAGTTCCTGCCGCACGTAGGTCTCGATGACGGCGCCTAGCTGCTCATCGGCTTGTGCCGCGATGCCCAAGGCGTTGGGACACTCGAGGACGAAGGTCTACGAGGCGTGGAGTCAGTCGGCGCCGGAATGTTAAGCCTGCGTATGGACTTACCTCTCTGTCAGTGTCGTACCAGCACTTGACAGTGCCATGGCCAACGGCCGCATTGAATCTGGTGAGAATTGCAGTGCGTGCAGTCGCGCTGAATGAGTACAGCGATGTATGGAAGTAGCGTGCTGTGTCCCCCATTGCCGTTCAATCGCGTGCCTTTTGGTGGTGGTGTTGTTGTTGGTCGCGAGGAGGGACACGGCTTAGAAGTGCATGTGCGCTTGTTTGTCCGTGTCTCGCCAGCTTTGAAGGGAAAGAGCAAACAGGTCATTCACTCATCCCGCCGGACAACCGAGAACAGTCATGCTCACTCTTCTTCGCTCATTGATCTTTCACTTTCCGAATTCGCCGACCTGCCTTTCACATCTAGGCTTCTCCGGTCTCCCCTCACGTCAACATTCACATTCACGAATTCAGGAGCCAGCCGGGAGCGGTCCTAAGGAGGCCAGAAAGCCAAGGTGTTGTTCACTACTGTACATGAGGTACCGTGGTCCATCTACCGGTTGATATGAAGGTGCTTTCTATCCCGAAAACGCCCCTCGGGTGCAAGGACCGACCGAGATGTCCTACTGCCCCCATAGTCCAATCAACCAACGCCGAATGCATGCCATGCCGCCGTCATCTCATCAGTAGTTGCCACATGGGTATCCCGAAGCGCCTTCGCTAAAACACATGCTCCAATGCAAAATCCCTAAGACGATTCGTCCAGGTTGGTGTTGTTCTTCAGCGACATCACGTATCGCATCTGCTTGACCACCTGATCCATCTCCGTACTGAGCTTCCGCGTCTTTTCGTTCTCCGTGTTCGTCTCCTCCTTGATTTTATTCATCTCCTGGTTCCAGGCGTCCTGCAGCTCAGACCACTTCGCTAACATCGTCTCCTGTATCTTCTCACGACGCTCGAACTCTTGTCGCATTTGGTCTGACACCACGTCCATCTTGGCAAGCGCCTGCCGGTCTCGGTCTCGCTTAGCCTCGAGCTGGGAGATCTCCTTCTGAACATTCGAGACACGAGTTTCGGTGTCGGCCTTGAATTGCTTGAAACTCTGTTCAAGAATCTCCGCTTGCCTAGACGCCAGCCCTTCGCGGTCCTTGCAGGCCTTGACCTCTCGCTCCTTGTCCATGACTGCCTCATCACGCTCACTCTGCAATCCAGACAGTCTTGCATCCAGATTCTCCCTCTTCTTCCGCTCAATGTTGAGGTCCTCCTTCAGATCCTTAATTTGTCGATCACGCCGAGTGAGTAAAGTCTGATCCACGTCCCTAGCGTGACTCAAGTTTTCGTTTTCCGCCTTCAAGGCATTGATTTGCGGCTGGAACGTCTGCATGCTCCGCTGCAGCTCGTCTCCCTTGATGATTTGCTCCTTGAGCTCCCTCTTCAACCGGTCGTTTTCCGACATCAGCTTCTCGATCACGCGGCCAGACTTTCCGCTCGTGGCAGCGTATCCGACAGCTGAGCTCCATTGTGAATTGTCTGAGCTTGGGGAAAGTGGGGATGGCGGTGCGTTTTGCGAAGTGCCGTTGACTTGCGGCGAGGTATCTCTGTTGCGACTCGATGCGTGGTACTCGCCGTTGCTGATGCGTCGCGCATTGTGCTGTACAGGCGTCAAAAGACTGCCGTTCGGACCGGGTTGACCATGAGTCGGTGGAGTAGCATCGAGCATGGAACCACCACCATTCATGGTTGAAGTGGGACTGTCGGGCACTTGCTCACGTGGGGCTGTGTGGGTGCTTGGGGAGATTTCGCGGACACGCTGTACGATTGTACAAACATTAGCAGGGCGCTCTCAGCTTCACATAAAACGAAGCGAAGTGCGAGAGGGTCCAGCTGAAAAGGCCGAAGGGTTGGCAGCAGGCGGTTCGGCATGGCATGGCATGGCAAGGACAATGGCAGAGGCAGTTGTTCCTAGAGGTTAGTCAAAGCCGCGGAAGTTGCATCCAGTGCTTCCGGCGCAGCTCACAAAGAACTCGCAGCGTCTATTGTTGTCGAAAGTCGAGAGTCGTGTCTCAATGGCTCGGTATCTGTGATGTGGAAGGGAAAGGTGTGCACGTACTCTTCTGTACTGCAATTGCTGGACCATTAGTAATTTGCTTGACCGCTAACGTAGATGGAGATTGTTGGTTACGATGAAGCATCAGAGCTTGGTGGGTCGCCTTGGGCGGCGAAACAAAGATGTATGCGAGAAGGTGAAAGCGGCTGTCAACGCCGTCGAAAAGGTGCGTGAACGCTCACAAAAAGCGCAAAGACGAGACGCGAGGTGGAGGTGGAGGTGGTGTTGATGGAGAGTTCAGAAAGTGTTGTCTTGCCGTCTCAAAGGTGACGCGACGGCACGGCACGGGCGCGGGCGCGACGGTTGTGGAGAGGACCCCTGTTTGCTACCAGGAACAGGCGTCGATCAACCTCACGAGCACAGAAATAGACCGGGATGCAAGCTCTCGAAATATTGGTCTTTGACCAAGCGTTCATGCAGTTGTCCTGATGCTAGGACAGATAGCGGTTCGCGAGATATGCAACCCTTTCATACCCCGTCCACCATGGCCTTTCCCCCGCTATTCATCGACCAAAACGCCAACTGCTCGACAGCCAGACCCTGGCCAGAGATATTTGCCTGTGGGAGCATACCCAAACGCCTTCGCTGAAACTCATCCACAACCACCACCCACTACGCCTCCGCTTTGACCTCAGCCTCCCCTTCCTGCTTAAGCACAGCCGGCCGCCAACGCTTGAGAATGTTCGTAGCTGCGGTTTTTGCGTCCTGATTCTCCCTCCACATCTGCTCAGCGCAGTCGATGGCCAGATCGCGAATCGGGGGTCGGAACATGATGAGGTAGAGCAGTGTCTTTGCACTGATCTCAACTCTCTCTGGATCTTCTGCAATCTTCTTGACTCTGTTGAGCACGTCTCGATTGATCGCCGGAATTTCGGAAAGGAATCTGATGACCACCCTGCCGTCTTTGACGTCAAAGTAGGGCATCATAGCATCGAAGAGCCGTAGGGTCCAGTGCCAGTAGTTCGGAAGCGCATCAGGCTCCACATCGATTCCTTCATCCAGTTTCTGCTTCAATAATAGCCGATCCGAGTACCATTCTTCGTTTAGCCATGTGATGGCAATCCCGATCCTAGCCCGGAAGTTCTCCATCACGTAGTTCAACAAGGCTTCTCGAATGCCGGTCGGCAGGCTGAATGAATTACCCTTCTTCAACGATCTCCGATCCTCGCCTTCTTTCTTCACGCCGACGTTGTCCTCCAAATCAAACGTTGCTCGTGTTGCCAAGCGTGTCACCAGCGTGAGCCAGCCATCCTTGTCATCACCCGATGTAGATATTGTGATCAAGCGATTGAAGCCATGTTCCATCTGGGACGATTTGCCTTTCACTCGAGCCTCCTTTTCAAGCTCTGCTAAGGTGCCAAAGACTCTAGTCAAGGACGTCTTGCTGTAGTCGTCATGTTCTTGCTCAGTCAATGGAGGTGGCGGAGGAAGGCTGAAAGGTCCAATGGCGATATCAGTCGCAGCTCCGTGTAGTGGCACTTGATTAAGCCTGTCAAGTACCTGGTCTGTGTCTCCGTCGAATGACAGCGACGGGTCGTACTCGTCGTCCTCATCGTCCCCTGCTGCTGCCCTTGCGGCATCAAGCGTTGATGTAGACGCTTGCTTGCTAAGATTTAGCCACCGTGATCGAATGACGTTGATGGCCTCGTCGATTCTGGTTTGTGGTATCGACTGCACAATCGCAGGAATCAGTTGTGTCACCACCTGTGAAGGTAATCGTTCGACGTGAAAGCCAGCTGTCTGTGGGTCGTTGGTCAAAGTCCACAGCCGAGCAAGAGACACAGGTCCTGGTGGAAGAGGAGGATGACTAGGAGGTCGCTGCTGCAACGGTGTGGTGCCATTCAGGGCCTCTGCATCCAGTCTCTGCCGCTTAGCGTCGTCCAAACCGTCCACGGGCTCGTCAGGTGCTGGCCTCTTAAGATGGTGAGACTCTGAAAACGCTTCGATGAGGCTATGCTTCAAACGTTCCACCTGCTGCTGTATTCGTCCAGCGAAGGCATTGTTGGGGTTGCGCTTGAGGCAGTTGAGAAGGAAAGACATGGTCGTCCGTGTCATACTCTTGACAGCGATCTTATCCTTCCCACTCATCGGTCTGCCGGCCAGCTTCAGCGGGTTGAAGCTCAACACGGTCGTGAGGATCTTGCTCGAGACGCTTGCACGTCGTTGAACCAGCGTGGCAAGAGAATTGAGCGTTGCGGTGATGGTCAGAGCATCTCCGTTGTTGTCCTGGAGCACACCTAACAACCTATCCAACAGACCCGAAGCCTCAGCTTCTAAGTTGGCGGGAGGGATAACAGGGTGATCTCTAGGCACCAGCGCCAGGCTGATCTCATTCTGCTCCGGCCTTCTGGGGTCTGCAATCAAGCCGGGAGTCTGTGTTTGCACCACACAGGCCACGAACTTTATGCAGCAGGTGTTCACTCCGGGCGCCACATTGTCCATCATCCGTAGAATACTGCTTTTGATGCCCGCAATCTTCCCCCATGTCTCACTGTCGCTGGGGTTGTTGACAGTGTGTCTAAAGACGTATGGGTAGACGCTGGCAGCGCACTGTACAGCACTCTTCACAACGCTGGTGTCCTCTTCCTCGCCCATCGTCTCTTTCCGAGTCAAATAGCCTCTCAGGGTATCGAGTATGACCTGGCACATCTGCTGCTTTTCCTCCGACGTCACCGCCTGGGACGCAAACGTCTCCGCCAGAAAGTCTGCTCCCCATCTCCGTAGCTCAAGCGCGCTTCCTGGCGAAATGACTTGAAGGATGCCAGGGACTACTTGAGGGTACAATGTGTGGTCTTTGAGCACAATGTCGCGCGCAGAGTTCAGCGATGTCAAGGTGTCTGCCGGCGACGCCATTGTGCCCGTCTGTCGCACGGAAAGCGCAGCTTCGTGAGGTTGTTCTGGAGATCACGAGACAAACAGAAGCAGCTATGTAACTACAAAGCCCAGCGGTGTCCGTCCTTTTTGCGCCTTAGCATTGCCGGCGTAGCGATTTGAGTCGAGTAAGTGGGAGAAAGTTCCGGGGCAGTTCAAGAAGGTTCAATGCGGTCGGGAGTGGTGAAGTGTTGTTTCGTGAAGCGCGAGAAATAGAGCTTAGCTGCAGCGCGAAGTCATGGAGCGTCGGATGCGGGACTAGCCGCCGCCTTATGTAATCGTCAATGTTCACATGCGCTTCGAGAGACTGGACTTGGGAGACATCGCCAGCATACATCTTCAAGATGCCACTGGGAAGGTAAGGGACTTGTGGAACATGCTGAAGCCAATACTGATAATTGGAAGAATACCACAGTCGTCGTACTACGACAACAGAAACCGACCAACCGCAGCTCTTTACAGGGCACGCCAACCATACCTCATCAAGAATGCAGCAACCGGGCTCGTAATCTTTGGCTTCGTAGCCGCAGTCTGTATGTGATTGAGTGGACTGTTGGACGAAGCGGAAGGAACTGACAGGTCTAGACACCTGGACCATTAAGGCCATTGGACAAGACGATTTCTCCGACATCCCCATGCCCGACGCCCCAGCTCAGCCTGCCCACGCACCCAACACAAGCACTGCAAAGAGCGCGGGAGGCACGCAATGATACGTGGAATAGGAGAGTGCGATAGATTGAGGTCATTGCATGTGTAACAGCGGGCATTGGGCGGCGTTTGGGTGAAAGAGGAGATCTGTACGAGAGACTAGTGATACCATGGGCTGGAGAGGGACATCCAGGTCGAGCGAGAGGTTCTGGGAGTGGCTAAGCGCCCTCATGTGGGGACAAACAGGTTCGGCCATACTCCACTTACGGCCTGTCGTTGCGAGATACGCAGGCATACGAAATACACGGAGATGGGTCCATAGCAAAGTCTCAAAGTAGTAGAAGACCGAGTCACGCTATTCGAATCGCTGGAGCGTCTCATTCGACGTGAACATGGATTCAGACTCTTCTGGTTTGGCAGCTCGATTTGGTATATGTACAAAAGAACTTCGTCGCAAGTCTAGCTGTCCTTCGCTGCCGACGTGAGCTTCCTGAACGACTCAAACTCCTTCTCCGCAGGCACATTGTTGTCCCTCAGCTGCTTCAGCTTCCTGTCATTCTCCTCATAGGCCTCCTTCTCGTACTTCGCAATCAAGTGATCCAAGTTGGCACTGCCGTGTCCTGCGGGGACGTTCCAGGGCGAGCCGGTGTTGAATATTCTGAGGAATCTGGTCAGCACAGCAACAGCGCCACCCGATTTTAAACTTACTCTGGAAATCGAATATCAACTCTCCGCAGGGTGTTGTTCGACTCGTTCAAAAAGATGACACGGTCTGCCGCAGCCTGCTCCATTGCCTGTGTGTGGGAGGCATTTCTCTCGGCCCATCTATCCTTGTATCCGTTGTATGTGTCTCTGATCAATCGCGTGAAGTATGGCTGCTCATCGGTGCCTTGTCTCGAGAACTTGTAGAGGGCGAAGGAGGCCGGGATCGCGGCGAGGGCAATGTAGAATCCAGACTGTCACGGGTGTCAGTAAGCTTGCTCATTTCCACTGCCCTCTCTGTTCAAAGCTCTTTTCCTGATGTGTAGAAGCTGGGGAGAGCACATACCCCGAAAGACTCGTTCGCAGGGGTAGAGTGGTGGGCATCGTGAGAGCCGTGGGAGTCGGGGCCGTGGGAATCGGAGGCGTGACGGCGCGATTGTCGCTGTACTTGGGGTCGGAGACGACGTGCGCAGCTCACGCCCGTCCGTTTGAGAGGCTGCATTGTGCGTGAGGGTGCCAATGGCAGATGTTGTTCAGTTCGTGCTTCGAGTGAGGTGCAGTCGGGATCGATCCTCGTCACGTGAGTTTTGGACTTCACCTCCAAGTTCTCCAATCAGCGCAGCTCTATCCGTCATCAAGACAAACAACCATCGCACATCATCGATCAGCTCAAATACACGATAGAAGACTTCATTCTTGCCATACAGATCAAGTCGAGCATGTGGACCAAGATAAACGTCGAGTCAACTCACTCACACTCGGATCAAGTGCGTGATCGTTTCGTTAGTGAACCAAGACGAGAGGTTTCCGCATTCTATTTCGAGCAGAGCGATGGGCCTACGAGTCGAAACGACGGAGAAGTTGGAGATCGAGAAACACGTATACATGCTGAGAATGATGTTAGAGAAGCTATGTGCTGCTCTCTGGTCTGATGTTGGGACTAGTGGTACAATCTCATGCCATGTTGCCTCCTGTGCGAGACATGAAGGCCTGAATCTGGCTGGTATGTCGTGAAGGCCGACGGAACAGCTCACTCGGACCATCACACGTACTCGTCCTTGTCCTCGTCCTCTTCTTCCTTCTTCTCGCCCTTGACCTTCTTGGAAGGCGACTCCTCATCATCTCCCTCGCTGGCCTCACCGGCGGCCTTGCGACCTATGATCGGAGTCAGAGTCGGTCAAGGACTATCAACTTGGGAGGCAAACTTACCGCGCTTCTTGCCGGTGCTGGCTGGCGTGGCCTTCTTGGAACCTCCCTTGGCCTTTCCCTTTGCTGGAGTGCCGACGCTCACACCGCTGGCTGCCTGCTGCTGGAGCTCCTTGGCACGAGCCTTGACCTTGCGGAATTGATGCTGGAAGGCTGAGGCGCTGCGCTCGCCATCAATGGCCGACATCATCTGGTAATGCTTGTCTCCCAGAGTGACGCCCGACTCAAGGACACAGTAGAGGACGACTGCCATCGTCTCGAAGTTGAAGCCCTGGTCTTCTTTGCCGGCCATGTTGACACGACGAGAGGGTGTTCTGGTGATGGAGATATTTCAGTGAAAAGCTGTCAATGAGGTCAGTAAGTGTGAGGTCGTTCCAGAAAACGATATTGCTTACTTGGCTTGAGAGGGAAGGTGTGTTTGGAAGAAGTTGAAGTTGGAGGTTGTTGTGTGGAGTGTCGAGGAGCAAGTGGAGCGAAGCCTCGAAGAAATAGTTGCGTCGCCGACCAAACCAGGCAGCCACGTGAGGTTTCGCTATGCGCCAATCACACAACAGCAGTGAAGTGAAATGCTGAGTGAAACAGCACTTCACACCTGGGTGGGATGTGGTGTCGAAATTTTGGTGAGGCGCTCATACAAAACCGCGATTGTCGTCCCAGAGACCGAGCAAACGCTACTTCACTGGAAGAGGAAGGCGCATAAACTGCATGCTGCCAAGCATTATGAGGGCATTCACATGAATCTAGGGGCTGTTTTGTGAGGTGAGGGTGCCAAGATCATGCTTTCTTGCTCACTTGTTTCTCCTCAGAGAGCCTGCAGAAGTGTATACAAGGTCATCGTGCATAGTAGTAGACATTGTTTACGCTGCACACCGACTTCATCCTCAGCAGAGTCTAGACACGCTTCAATCAAGATGTATCTTCCACCTTCTTCGCGAACAGTCCCATGTGGCCAAGGTACTTGATGACCTGCAATGCCAACTTATCTTCCTGCCCTTGCTCTTGCTCCAACAATCGGTCATAAATCGTCTTTCGCTTAGACGATGGTGAAGTCTCGTCCTGTTCATCTGCCTTGTGTCTGCCAGTATGAATGTCCCTCCGCTGCTGATCCTGAGCCATTGATGCAGCTGCACGAGGATCCAGCTCATGCTTGAATGCGCACATGTCGCCATCTCTACAAGATCCACTGGCAGCAAAGTATTTACAGACTCTTCTATTTTGGTTGACAGTGCCCTGGCGGGTCGATGTCGTTTCCTCTGGCGGGCCGTCGTCGTCACTGTCGTCGCTGTTACCGTGTGAGAAAGCAGTGTGATTGGCTTGTGAAGCTGCGACTACACCATCCATTGCGTCCTCAGCTGTACTGGGAAGATCTTCGACATGAGCCGCTGGAGTGTTCCCCTGAGCTGAAGTGGCGATCACGGCTGTGGAAGATAGAAAATCTCGCGCACTGAATCCTGGCTTTTCGAGGTCCTTATTGTTAGGTTCGTCGTCCCTCGCCGAAGAACCATCCAGAGCCTTTATGGATGCCTCCTGGCCAGCCGCTTCCTGGTCGCGAGCGCGTGCAGCCCTATCTTCACTCTTCGCCACGGACTTTCGAAGCTGGTCGAGTCTAGCAGTCTGCACAGCGAGCTCCCTCCTCGCCTTTTCCAGATCGCTCTCGGGCTGAGAGGGCGTTTGTGGGTCGTCGGGCGTGGGGACTTCGACTCGGGTCTTGATGGACTTTGCGTCTTTCGCGGCACGAAGGGCCTGGCTGGCTTCTGTGAGCAGCCTCTTCCTTTCCTCCCCGATTTGGCGTTTCTCCTCCTGTTTTGCCGCCAGACGTTGCTTTGTGGGGAAGTTCTTCAACCGTTCATTCTTCCAAGCCGCAAGATCGGCCGCGGTGTTCAACGCCATTACCGTGCCGTTGTGCTCAAAGGTAAGATTGGTTCCAAGCTCTGCGTACATTGCTTCCTCGTCAATCGCATCGTCCTCGCTCTCGGAAGAGTATTGAGGTTGATCGTCCTGTGGCGTAAGACCCAGCATGTTTGGACCACGCTTGCTTTGTGGAGCCGGCAATTGGGCACTTTGTGAAGCATTGTTTGCAGGAAGAATGGGGTTACCAAAGCTTGGTATCAAAGGAGCTGTGGTTGGGCCAGCCTTTTTGTCTTGTTGTGGACCTCGAAGTGCTTCAAGCTTACGCTTATGGCCAGCGGCGGTCCTACGTGGGGACGTCTGCGAGCCGTTCTGGATGTTGGACTGATTGGTGCTGTTCTGGAAGGCGTTTCGATGGAATGCTGGGTTGACATACGATCCAGGAGGGAGTCCAGATGTACCGTTTAAGCCGTATTGTGGAGAGGAGTTGAAGCTTGCGCCGGTGTTCGTATTGATGTGGGACTGACCATACGAGCTGGTTGTTGAGGTCAGTGGCGGTGACTGGCCGTTGCTTCCTTGATGTTGGCCACGGTTCTGGGAGAAATTGCCACGCCCTCGTCCACCGCGACCTCTCGGGTCTTGCCCTCCACGACCACGACCTCTACCTCGTCCTCGACCCGCCTCTCCATATTGACCAGCCTGGTTCTGGTCGCCATTCGATGGCTTTGGTGGCGGCGGAGGAGGCGGCGGAAATTGGAAACCACTCATGTTGATAGGATGTAGCAGGCAAGCGAACAATCTGCGGTCAGCTCGACATTGTGTTGTTTTAGGATTTGGTGCTGCAGAGTGAAAGTCGCCATCACATGCAAGAGATTGAGATCTTGCACTAAGTGGGGCAAAGGAAATTCTCCGATTGGCTCGTGCGATCTGCGACAGAACTTCGAAAAGCAGACGCGCTCTTTTGGAATGACTACACTTCACATTCAACATCATCCAGTTGACACGACATCTTGATAAGAGCACTTTGCTCGATCATCGTCAAACGACGAAAGCTCTGAATGCGACTTCTGCACTCACCTCCATCAAGACTGAGTCAAAATGTACACACTGGTGGGTCTCTGGCTCATCGACATGAAAGTGCATGTGCTGACATGAACAAGGTCACACTCGCCGATGTGGTGCAAATACCACCGACCGACTTCCACAAGCCGAGCATGCGCTCAATTGAAGACTTCATCAACGCCAAATACGCCGACAAAGTCATCCACAGAGTCGGGCTATGTGTCGGCCTCCACTCCTTGATCTCAGCTTCCGAAGGGCTTATAGGCCATGGAACTGGCATCGTCAACGTCAACGTGGACTTCAAACTTATAGTCTTCCGACCTTTCAAAGGCGAAATCATGCGGGCAACCATCACCAAGTCCAGCCCGGCGGGGATCGCACTGTCAGCCGATTTCTTTGAAGATATGATCGTACCGCCCGAGACGCTCTTCGAGAATACATCGTGGGAGAAGGACGACAGCGGAACATGGGCTTTTGTTTGGCGCGCAGACGATGGAGACGGAGGCTTCAACGAATTCTATTTCGACAACGCGGAGAGCTGTATGGTGCGCATTGAGGAAGAGCAATGGCACGACATCTCGCCTGACGCTCTGAGATCTCAAGAGTATGCCACGGAGGAGGAAGAAGAACTTGCACGTCAAACGCCGCCCTATCTCATACGAGGCAGTATGATGCTTGCTGGCCTTGGTCCGACCTTGTGGTGGATTGGTGAAGGCACGGAACAGGCGACTCTTGGCGCGGAGGACGAGACTATGAATGGGACGTGAAGTTGCAGATCGCAAGTCGGCTCTTTGACTTCATATCTCCCATGAGGACCGGTGGTAGCCACCAGGTGCGGAAACCACGGATGTGCCACGATATTGGAGTGCTGGCCGAGGCAAGACCAATGTGTGACTCGATACCGTGAGATCTTCTGATCGGGTCGTCGAAGAATGAAGGGAAGAAGAGATCTCAGAAAAGCAGGAGCCAGATTCATATGTCGGCATCTTGAAACGAGTCCCGATCGAGACAAGTCCATCTATGGACGTCAGGCAGATGCCGCCAGCCATTTATCTGCTGCCAATTCCCGTGTCTTCGACACCTCAGGCCGGACTGTTGCAGACTGGACCCTCTAGCGTTTGAGGGGGCTGGGTCGGGGTTCGGACTTTTGGATACTGTTTTAGCTGCAAAACTATCAGACTGAGTAGATGGACAGACCCAATACCACGCTGTCGATTTCCTCTCCAGATTTCGTCGTCCTCGTACTCGAACAAGGGGCAGATTGACAAGGCAGAATCCCTGACAGTTCGCCGAATCTGGGGAAAGCTGCCTGCAGCAGGTGACCCACTTTCGCACGTGTTGCCCCATCATCGCTGACTTCACGCTTCAACGCAGTTCGCACACCCCAAACCATCTCTCTCAACCACACCTTTCTCACCCTTCCACGCACCCAACAGACGACCTAAACAACAACCTCAAACCCCACCCCAACCATGCCCACCGCCTCCAGCAGCAAACCCAACCGAACGCGCAAATCCTCCTCAATAACCAGCCGCCCCTCCGCCCAACTCCACAAGACCGAAATCACAATCAACGTCTACGACCTCCTACCCGTGCGCATCCCCACAACGACCCCTCAACAGAACAACAGAGAACGCTAACTAACGAATTAGCCCGGCAGACTCTCCTCCATCCTCTGGACGATCGGCGGTAGCCTGCTGCACTCGGGCGTCGTGATCAACGGCAGAGAATACGCATATGGCGGCCACAACAAAAGAGGCGTGACGGGGGTTTATTGGACCAAACCGCGGTTAGAGCCGCCTGGTGGGACGTTCAGGGTGGATATCTTGCAAGGGTTCACCTTTAGGACGGAGAGGGAGATTAATGAGATCATCAAAGAGGTCAGTCGACATACCCTACTTTGCTTGTTGGAACACGATCCACTGACGTGAGAGGATGGCAACAGGTCTCCGATCAATTCCTCGGCCCTTCCTATAACCTCCTCACGCACAACTGCAACCACTTCACCTCCGCCCTCTGCGAGAAACTCACCTCCAAACCCGCTCCCGCGTGGCTTAACCGCGCCGCGAGCATCGGTCTGGCGCTGCCCTGCGTTGTGCCGAGGGAATGGATATCGCCTCCAGATGTCGACACTGCAGATGGGGAGCTATTAGAAGAGGACGAGGACTCAGATGAACATGCTGGGATGCTGGAGAGTGATCGAAGACGAAGGAGGGAAGAAGACCGAAGGCGGCAGTTGGAGAATCTGGACGAGGAGGAGGAGGCGGAGCCGCGCGCTGCTGGTGAGAGCCTTGCTGGAGGGAAACGGATAACATCCACAGATGAGCCTCCGCCGCGGTTGGTGAGTGTGAAAGATGCTGGAGGACGGGAGTTGCCCGTTGCAGAACGAGCTCCAATACCGAAGACATCAGCAGCATCAAAATCATGATGATGGCGCATGTTGGGTGGCCATCCTGTACAAGTACTGTGATATATATTATCACGACCGTTACGGATCACGATAATAAAAAAGCCATTATCTTCATATCTTTTGATTTTGCAGTAGCAATGCTGTCAGTGGTTTCCGAGTATACATAGGGGTATCTCGCGCAGCCGTTTGAAATCAAACCCAGCAGTCGCCCCAGTTACGGGTGCGATATCTCCCAGCAATGTGCATCCAGCATCCATCCGTGTTGTGCAGAATGTCCGTCCGCCATCTCGAAAAACCGCCCTGCAAATGCGACGCTGTTGTGATGCTAACCATCAAACAAAAATTACAGAAATGCGGTGGATAGTCAATTGAGGAAGCTCGAAACGCTCATCCGACTCCTGTTCTTGGCCGCCTTGTCCTGGTTCTCCGAGTAGGAGGATGGCAGCTGGTCTTTGACCGTTTCATCGGCCATGGTTGCTGGCGATGTGTTGTTCCGTGGGTCCTGCGGTGAGAGTGGGTGCATCGGCTCGGGTGGAATCGAGGTAGCGTTGGAGACTTGTCGCAGCTTGCTGGGGCTCACCATCGGACTTGCAGGGTCGTTCTTACCAGCCCGTGCAGCCATTGCTGAGATCTTGCTGGACTTGAAAGCATTGGTGAGTGGCTTGGTCTTTGACTCTGCTTGCGCCTTCTTGCTCTTCGGACCCGGCTTCGCTTGTGACTTGGGTGTCTTGATATATTTGACGTTTGATCTCTTTGTCGGTGCGGCCTTCTTCGTGCCCTTCGTTGTCGTTGCCTTCTTGGATCTGTCTTTAAGCTTGTCGTTCAGCGATACCGACTTCTTGGTATCCTTCTTGACGGGTGTGTTGCGCTGAGACTTGGATGGCGTCAACAAACCTGAATCGTTTCGAGATGTTCCACTTGGAGTGACAATGATATTATCACCTTCAGCTGACTCGCTCTCGATGCTTGGAATGATTGAGTTCCTAGGACTGACGATCGGGCTCCAATCCGTGGGACCCACGTCCAGAGGCTTGCGAGGCGTTTCGTTGGGGAGCGGCGGGCGGAAGCTGTTGTTCTTGTGTTGTGCGGACGGCAAAGGCGTAAGTGTTGCATGGATTGGATTGCAGTCAGGAAGAAGGACTGACAACTTCTTCTCAGTCACCTTCTTCGCATCCTCGTCGCTGACCTCGGCGAACTCGTCTGATTCTACCGGATCGTCCCACTTGCGCATGGCAGCGTGCTTAGCCACTGCATCGCTCGGGCCCTCGACAATAATGTCCCAGCAATCTTCAAGATCTTTGGCCACAGGAGGAGGGTCGTTGTTGATCCAAATGGTCACGCCTCCACGACGATCGCGCACAGTCGCGCACATTTCTCGAACAATTCTCCTCACGCCGGGCACTTTCAGAGTCGTTCCAACAACGATGACTGCGTCAGGTCTTTTGCGCAAGTCGTCCTTGGTGACGGCGCCAATGGCCTCGTCGTCGGGGTTATGCTCGTTATAGAGGACCATGCGTGGCCGCAATCTTCCAATCCCGTGGCTGCGCTTCCCTTCATAATTTGTGCGGATATCGTTAATCTCCTCACAGGTCTGGCAAAGCGGCGGCACGGGACCATCGAAGCGCTTTGGATCTAGATCCGACAATTCATGACACTTGGAGCAGACCATCTTGTCCAAGCCGCCATGGAGTTGGACAGTGCGAGGCCATTTGTTTTCTGAGTCCTTTTGGAGGGGTACTGAGGTCTTCAATGGGTCGAGGGAGGTGTCAATGCCGTCGACATTCTGCGAGTACAGTCGTAAGAGGCGGCCTTCTTGGGCAATGGTGGCGAGCATGTGGTGAAAAGCGGTGGGCTTGGCATCTTTCGAGAGACGCGACATGGTGCTGACCATGTCATGAAAGGTGGATGTAGACACATCATCTTTGTAGACCGACGCGTCGAACAGGTGTTTACCGGATCCTTTGAGGTTGTGTTCTTCCTTTAGGGTTCGAAACAGGCCTTGTGCAGAGCGAAAATCGGGGACTAGCAGTTCATATTAGCCATTTGACGCGTCGATATCGCCTTTCTGAGTGCAAACCTACTGCCGGCAGATACAGAGATACCGGCGCCAGCGATGACGACAATCTTCTGGCGCTTATGGAGGACTTTGAGCAGACGGTCCAATTGGGCTTGTTGGTCCGGGTCGATTGTATCCGCGTACAGGTCCAAATAGTCGGCGGAGCGGTCTTTCGATATCCTCCTTCGTTTTGCAGGCGGCGGACCGTCCTTGTCGGAGCTAGCGCTAGAGGCCATGCCATCAGGGACGGGCGAGCCGTTGTGGGATGTTTGTTGCGAGGCGGGTGGTGAGGGATAGGCGTGGGACTGGAAGATGGGCGGCATGTCGGGCGGAGGTGAGGGCGACGATGCCAGGCTCGACAGCGGCGAGGAAGGCACGCTGGAGAGCGGCGAGGACAGATCCGACGAGTCGTCCATGGCGGAGGAGGTGCCGGGAAGGTGCAGCAGGCGGAGGTCAGAGGGCAGCGGCGGGCGGGCGCGCGCAATCGAGTCGGCGGCGGTGGTGGGGCGGCGATGGTGCTAAGAAGACTGCATCGTATGTATGTCTGTAGGCGATTTATGCTGGCGTGTCCGGCGTGAATGGCCTGCGCAAGGAGAGACGCGCGCGTTGGGTGAGTGAAGTGTGGCTGGAGGCGATGCGAAGTGAGCGGGTGTATGAGCCGCATCCATGGCTCTGTTTATTCTTCTCCGCAACCCAAAACAATGACTAGCGGCTAAAGGGGCGCCTCTTTCGCTGACCACGCCTGCTCTTTGTCCACGAGGAGAATAACAATCAGAATATTTCTCTCATTTCCAAACCTGTATCGGACTCCAAACCCTTCCAGAGCGACACTCCCGATCGATTCGTGGTCTTGGTTTTGTCGACAGTCAGCCCTCGTGAGCACCTGGGCTTGGCGAAGCGATGTGGGCACAGCATAGTCGAGTCCGAGTCCATCTGCCAACATTCGATATAAAATAATCTGCTACACTTTCCCACCATTTTATCAACCACAATTGATCAGCTTTTGAAGCACCGGATAAATCTGGACAAGTCAAGTTGAAATTCTGGGTCATGGACGCCGGCACGGTCGAGGACCAGGCCATTCCTGATGCTGCCATGATGGATCCCACAATGGAGGACCTGTTCGGCGAAGCAGCAGATGGACTCAATGTCCCGCTGCCTCCTGCTCCCTTACCAGCGGCTCTGATATTGCGTATCGCGGAGATGCAAAGTCGCGGGTGTTGCACGTGAGTCAGTCAGCCTCTGCCTCCAAATCGCTCTGCATAGCTGATCAAGTCGGTCAGAAAGTTGGCATGGTCGAACACAGGCAGCATTGCGCGTGTATCGACCGACGGCTCTCAGATCGCATTCCGCACCATGATCAGAGACAAGAAGACTGCGATGTGGACAATCAGCGGCGAATCCAAACATCCAATCCGGGCTCCTGAAGGACGCAGATTCGTTCATATCGCGTTCAGTGGTATCGGCATCGAACTGGCGGCTGCTGACAATGTGGGAACCGTGCATATATACTCGTTACAAGGACCACTCAGTCGCATGGTCCCCCCATACAATGCCGCCGGTGCGCAGTCGAATAGTTCCAAGACAGAATCCGATTCAGTCGTGGGATTGCACTGGCTGCCTCTTTTCTCAGCTGAGTTCAGAGTAGGTTGTCACATGTTCGAATACGGTATTTCCACTGACCTGGCTGCTAGGGACCTTTTGTGGATGTGGCTGTGAAGAACGGCGACAGATGGGAGACCCAACTCAGACAGAGAGATCAGCACAATCTCAAAGCTCATCATCCCGCCGAAGGCCGCCATGCTTTACTTCACATCAATCGCAGTGGTGAAGTCACTCTGCTGTACCAAAATGAAGGACCCCTATGGCAATCGACGAGCGTCTCACTTGAGCCCATACGCTCATCGAACGAAGTCATTTCACATGCGGACATTGGCGAAGATGGCGCCGATCTGTTGGCAGTCACCTACGATCAGTCGTCTAACTTTCGATTGTACCGCATATCGATCAGTTGGAACGCTTCTTCACAGGCTCGCGGCAATGCCAACATCACTTTGGTTGCGCCAACATTGGAAGTTCAACACTTGACCTGCCTTCACAACGTCCAGTCACAGCATGCCGACTCTGCGAAGCTCACACACCTGAGGCTCATACCGACGGGCACAGAAGCTACTCAAACAGTTCCAACACCACCTACTGTAGTGGCGGTATTCACACATGCCTCTTTACCAAACGATGCGGCCAACAACGCAGCCTCGTTCAGTGCCATCGCCCGATGGCGGATAGAGACAACGACCCCAGCGCTTCACGATGCCTTTACTAAACTCAGCCATAGACCTGGCAATTCGACGGCAGTGCTGAATTCAGTGACTGTATTACGAAGACAGCCAGACGTCGTGACGAACAAAGTGCTGTTATCATTCCAACCACAAGCTCTCGACACAATCTTTGCATTCGGAGCCAGCGATGGGAGTGTCGAATTTCGAGATAGAATCTCTTTGGAAGTGCTTCAGTCCTTTGGAGACCCGAGTACCGTGTCAAGCTTGCCGCAAACTGGCTTTGATCATCTGACTGGGGAGCACAACGTGCACGTAGCAACATCAGCGGATGGAGCATGTATCGCTGTTGTGCGGCCAGATGGTAAATTGGCAGGCCACCCAATGATCTTCACGCACGGATGGTCGACCCTCGAAGATGCCAACAAGCCATTCGTCGAGGCTGGTGCCGTGTGTATTGCAAGGCAGTACGCCTTCCTCTGCTATAACAACATGACCAACGACGAGACGCTTGCTCTACTTCCCCCGGACATCACTCCTGAGCTTCGGGCTACAGTCATCAGATCTTTATTCAGGATCATCAAGAGCTCTCCAGATGTCTCGATGCTGGAGCCTCAAAGACAGCAACTCATGGTCTTGCGAGATCCGATGATTCCCCGCTCAGTCAGTGCTCAACTGGCACTCGGGACGAATGCTGTCACTGGAGAACGTGATGCACGAGCACAGTTCGCTTTTCTCCTACTAAACGTCCGACTGACAGCCACATCTTTCGCCCAGGCCTTATCCGTGAAAGACCACAGAGTCCTCCCTCCGGAAGCCATCAACTCTCTGCGAGGACTAGTCCGATGGCTCACAGACCTGACAATCTACATCATCAAAACCCTCTCCGCTATAAAACGAAACCTTCAAGAAGGCACCACCCCCAAACAAGCTCTTGAACAACTCGCCGCGAAAACCGGCAACGCCCTCGTCTACATCCTCATGTGCAGTTTCACACGCGTCCTCCTCCGCTTCTCGATCCAGCTCATGGGCAAATACTTTGGACTCGTCCAACAAATCGCACTCCCGCGCGCCCGCACCGTCCAAGAACGCCAGGAACTGCAAAGCAGCCTCGACCACCAGAACAGCATCCCCTTCAAATTATCTGATTTCGAAAAAGTCATGACGGAGTTCGACCAGCAGATCCGCGAGATCTACACCAAGGGCGGGGTGACGCCTGAACGGAGGGCAGAGATTGAGGTCTCGATCATGGTCGACGATAAGATTCCGGATGAGCTGGAGCCTGCAATCAATGCGTTGGTGAATACCATCGTACCGAAACTCATCGAGACCAGCGACGTCGGGGCGCTGTATTTCTGGAACACAGAGTGGCTGGGCATATCGAGCGTCAAATCCGCGAGCAACCTCGACGTCGTCCGCAAACTGCCCATCCAGCCCGAAACACCCTTACGATGGTGTCGAAGATGCGGCTCCGTATCAGAAGACTACGTCGGCGACGAAAGACTGCGGAGTCTCCCCGCATGGATGCACCACGCGACGCGACACTGCATGTGTTTGAACTACTGGTTGACAGCCTGAACCATTTTCATCATCTAGCTCAGAAGAAAAGATCCCTATATCCATCTACAACAACAACTCCCACTCCCTTCCATCTCAACTTCTATCTCAACTTATTGTTTCTTACTCGCCGCCCCCTCATTCTCCATCCCCTCACACCCCACCGCTTTTCCCGCCAACTCCTCCGCCTTGCCCAAGCCACTCTGCTGAGGATCCCGGTTCGCGCTTGCGGCTTTCATGGCGTCGATGCCCGCTTGCTTGTCTTGCTCGCCCGAGTTGGTCCATTCTTGTGAGCCGGTGACGCTGCCGATTGTGGACTGGATAGAAAGAGAGTGTTAGAGAATGTACGTGGATTCTTGGGATGAAAGGTGGTGTTCTACTTCTGCTTGGCCTTTGATGTATTGGCTGTGGCCGCCGACGAGCGAGGGGTGGTTCTCGAAGTTGGACATGTTGGGTTGAATGGGACTGGAAGTTGTGGAGCGGTTTTGTTTAATTGAAATGTCTATTGCTCGCCTTGAGATTGTATGAGGAGAAGTGAAAGAACAACAGCTCAATGCTCGAGAGCTCATCAATTCGAAGTCGTTCATCATTCGGAGGCGATTCGATCTCCATGACGCAGGGATGAGGTCAGCTTGCGAGCACATGCATGTGGTAACCTGCCGAGGCGGTCTTCAACTGCTAATGGCACGCGATCGATTGGACATCTCTTTTGAGCAAATATTTGTCTTCGAACGAACTGATCTGTACTCATAATCTTCATAAACACCGCAAAGCAAGTCTTGGTATATCATTCAACGCCGGCCTGAGCAATGCTGTCGGGACACATAGAGCCACCTCTTAGAAGCCTTCTCGTCTCTGTCTCTCTAGTCCTTCTCCAGCTCCTTCGGACTTGGATCGTTTATGCCGGCTTCGGTGATGGCAAACATGCAGTCGGCTTCCGGTAAACAAGGCGAGTCGTAGATCTTGCAGATTCTGGTCTCGCCTCTGCCCTTCTTCAGCGATAATCGTGTTGTTGAGGCGTGAGCGATGATGTTGCCGCCAATAGGCTTCTTGGGATCCGGGTTGAACATGGCTGAAGGACCACCATCCACCTGGGCGACAACTTGGTTTGTGATGACGACGGCAATACCGAACTCGTCGGCCAAACGCTGAAGGATGCGCATGAACTTGGCAAGATGAGTCTGGCGATTCGAGAGCTCACCACGACCCATGAAGTCCGTTCGGTAAAGAGACGTTGCGCTGTCGACGATCAGGAGTGAGAAGCGGGTTTCGGTCATCATCTGAGCCGCCTGGTTGAGGAGTTGCAGTTGATGGTCGGAGTTGTATGCGCGAGCGTATGCGACGTTGTCCAAGACTTCCTCGCCAGACAAACCGTAACGATCTGCTACTGACAGCAGACGCACAGGTCGGAATGTGCCCTCAGTGTCAATGTACAAGCACTTGCCCTCGCCGCCACCCATGTCGAATGGCAGCTGGCAAGTCACTGCAAGTGTATGGCAGATCTGACTCTTTCCCGTCCTGAACTCTCCGAAGAGCTCTGTGATACTGCCGGTCTCAATGCCTCCTGCTAATAGGGTGTCGAGCTGCTTGGAGCCGGTTGTGATTGAGATGAGTTCTGATCGTCGCTGGTGCATTTCGGTGGCGGTCGTGAAACCCATCGGTACGAGTTTTGACGCTGCGGGCTGCATTTAGCGACTATGACTGTCCAGGTATTGGGGTTGACATACCCTCGACCAGGATCTTGGTCGCCTTCTGTTCTGAAACACCTTTGATCGTCTCGAGTAGCTTCTTGGGCCTGCCTAATCATCAGCGCTCGACCCTGTATCAGGTGGTGTCTTCGACGTACGTATATGCCACGCTCTCAACTGTGTTATAACCAGCATCGACGAAGAGTTGAATGTCGCGCTTGGTAAGGCCTGCTATGCCCTGCGATAGATCAGTACCTCTCCTCCTGTGTCGCAAGCATTGGTGCCGACCTCCAAGCCCGACAATGGGGTTGGTGCGCCAGGGCCTCCAGCAAGGCCTTCCTCGTAGCCGGACTGCGACTGATCGTCTTCGGCGCTCATGGTGTTGGTGATGTGTGTGGTAGTTGTGGTGATGGTGGTGAAGTGGCGATGGGACGGCCGAATTCGAGGCTTGGAGACGCGCCGTTTACGCGACTGAGCACGGACCACTTTCTTAGGCAATCGCGAAGCTGGAGCGGAAGTCACGACCAAGCCCTGCTTGACTTCACCTTTCAAGTTCTCGGCACAAGCAATTCTCACACATTGAACACCCCAAATTGCAGCCAGCCTAATGCATCATCTCAGCCTGCAAAGCGTAGGCTTTTTGACGTCTCCCACTGATGCTTGCCTTTCTAGGCCGTCGATGAAGTACGCCCACCGCTCCGTGATGCAGCATCAATACCAAGACGGTCGTCCTTCATCAAGGAGGTGAATCGGCTCTCAATCGTCACAGATGGCTTGTTCGGCCCGCCTTCCTATGTCCAGTTTGGCATTCACTTCCTTCTCGCGACTCTTCACTGTCCGCGGTCCGTGCACTTCGTCCAGCATGTAAAGCTCGACTGAACCGCCAAAACTCGTGAACACCACCGCTGACCTTCATTCTTGACACATCGGATGTCCTCAAATCCCGTCGGTGCTGTCCATCAGGCCAGCGCAGTCTCATCACGCGGCAACTTCGAGCTCCCGTCTCAGCGACCGCCAGCAGCAGACAGAGTCTCGCGTCCCTCTCAGGCTCGACCAAGTGAAGCGCACGACGATCAAAAACAGGCTTATCAGGGCGACCGAAAAGTTCGAGCCATGACATCTTCACTTCGCGTCCACCACTTTGATGGGGAATACGACGACACTTCGCTTTCAGTCTCGTTCGATACTCTACAGGATCTGGTGGCACACGCTCAGAATCTCAAGAACACCATCCAGGCACTTCGTCAACCCGCTCCGAACACTCAAGCCAACTCGAATCAAGTTCAGGCAGAACTGGCCGATGCTGAGAAAAATGCCAACGAGCTCTGCGACTTCCTCGGCGCTTGCTGGGAGATGATCCCTGTCACGAACCGACCCTCTGCTCGCAGCGCCGTCAAAGCGCAAAAGGTCTTCGATACACCTGAGCTTCTCGAGAACATATGCATTCATCTGAATCCACTAGATACGCTGGTGGCTCAACAAGTCGGACGTGTTTGGCGCGACGGTATCAACAGCTCAGTCAAGATCCAGCGTGCTATCGGTCTTCGCCCAGATGAGAGCTCGTACTTCAGCGCTCCATTTGCCGATTTCGATGGCACGGGCAGCATTCTGTCTCGGTATACCCTTCCTGGCTTCTTCCTTGACAACTACGGACCAAACGTCGACTTCGACGCACATGAGGCGGCAGCTGAGGGCATTTCAAACACACAGGCTGTCAAAATACAGATCACTGCCGACTACCCAGTCTCGATCGGGTCGCGCTGCCGCTTGCTCTCCCTCTGTCAGCCTCCGATCAAATCTGCCAGCATGTTTATCGGAAGCGAGTGTGATGGGTGCATCACAACTCATTTCGAACATGAGGCCAAGCTAGTCTCTGAAGACGGTGTCAATGTTGGGCAGATCATGGACGCAGCCCAGCAGTTGATTGACGCTCACAGGATGGGCGAGGAGCATGTGGATGGGTACTGCCGTCCTATCATCGAGTTCCACGCTACCGTCACCCTCGCAGACGATGATCCCATTATGGTGGAACGTCGCATGATGGTTGCGTCTGTGGTCGAGGATCGACGAAAACCAAGCTACCGCCCGTGCGACTGCTATCAATGCAACCTTTATGCTCCACATGCTTAACGCTGTCAGAACGCTGCAATGAGATGGGCGCAGATTTTGATCTGGCAAACGATTCATGTACGCAGCGACGAAGGGTTATGGCGGATTTGGTCAACGTGACCACATGCATCTCACATTCGGGACCGTGGAGGTGGACGCGGAGAAGGAAAACATCATGGAGGCTTGATTGAAGGAGAGGAAATGGCGTAGCATCACTCGTTGTACATTCGACCAGACCGCGGTGCGCAAATGAAAGTTGTTTCATACTTCACATAGCATCCTATCTCCATTCTGTTCTTCGTGTCTCTGACAACGAATCAACCCAACTAACGTTGAACACATTCCGTCCTGCTAATGTTCCATCCAAGATACTCTACAACATGAACTACCCAGTAGAACAACCTCCAACTCCCGCCATCAAATCCCTTCAAATCCCATCAACAAACTTCTGCGCCCCAAACTTCATCGCCAACGGCCCCCCACCCGGCGGCAACAACGTAATACTCGGCGGCGCACTCTGATCACCCACCCTCCGCCTCCTCAACCGCTCATACGTCGCATCCAACGCAACCTCAATCAAACACCTAACCTTCAACGCACAAAGCGACGGCCAAACCGACCTCTCACCCCGCTTGATCCAGAACTCGACCTCTTTCTTCCCAGGGTTCTTGAGCAAGAGGAGCAGATCTCGCGGTTCGATTTCGGGCACGAGCGTGACGGAGTCGCCCTTTGTGGTTTCGTCCGAGAGGATCCGGTGCAGATTGTCGGAGAGCCAGCCCATGGAGTCGGCTTGCGTCATGTAGTGTTTGAGGTGTTTTTCGAAGTCGAAGGGGACGAGGTTGATGGGTCTGCGGAGGGCGTTGCGCACGAAGGAGTCTTGGGGCCGGATGTAGGGGAGGGAGGGTTTCACGATGGGCGCCATGTAGGGGCGTGCTTGGGAGATTATGCAGTGGTCGACGTCGAAGAGCTGCTTGAGTCGGGGGAGGGGTGGGTTGCTTTCTGCGACTGCGTGGGCGTTTGTGCCGCCGGTTCCTGGGACGGGCTCGACTCGGCCGTGGCGGTCTTTGCGGAGGATTTCGATTTGTATGTTGGGGGAGTGGGACATGTTTGCGATGTTGGACGCTAGTGCGGCGGTTCGGATGAGGAAGTTGGGTGCTGTGAGGTAGTTCATCAGGCTGGGGATCTCCTCGTTCGGTGAAGCCACGATGATGTTGAGCACTCGTCCGGTTCGGTCGAATGCTTCTTGGAAGGTGAGGTCGCCGACGTTTGCTCTCACGCAGTCTACAAGCACCTCTGGGTCGAGCACGAATCCTTTCGTGAAGAGTCTCCACACTCGTCTGGAGAGGATCTGAGACCAGTTGTGCAGTCTGCTCCTCGGAGGTGAGATGGCCGTGTATTCGATGTACTCCTCACTGATGTCTCTCGCTCTTTGCGACGAGGCCGTAAAAGCGCTCAAGTCGATGCTATCGCCCGATAGGAAAGCAGGCAGCTCGTCGTTGGTATGAATACAGACCAAAGCTGCCATGAGCGCACCAGTAGCCGTACCCATAACCACGTTGGGAAGAATCCCATGCTCCAGCAATGCCTTGACCACGCCTAGATGGCAAAGCCCAAAGACGGATCCTCCCTGCAAAAGTAAAGCCGTACTCCCATACGCCGACCTCGCATTACTAACAATCTCCATCTTCTCCTGGTCCGTCAGCTTCCCAGGCCCCGGATGAGGCGAAGTCTTGAAATCGCAGATCCATTTCACCGTCTCCACGCTCTCTTCAATGTACGCTTCGATCGTGTTCTTGGTGCTCGCGTACGTTTTCGTATACAAAGGAGATCTTGTGATATTGCAGAAATTTCGTTGAAGTCCATGCCGAAGGTAGTCGGCCACTACTTGGGGTGATCCATTTCTTCTCAGAGTATTGAGTTGACGACGTCGCTTATCCAGCGTCCGGTAGTCGTAGTAATCGCTTTTCGGATTGATTCGCCAGTCGTACTTTGGCGGCAGTTCATCCAAGGCGTGAGCAGCGGCATACCACTCCTCGTAGTCATTAGCTGCTAGAAGGTCATCCAGTAAAAGATCCTCTCGGGCCTTTGTGGTGAGCAAGCTTGAGAACTTCTATCAAGGCAAAGTCAGCTCTTCTGTTCTGTAGTGTACCGTGATTGGTGTGCTTCTTACTCTAACCCAGACAAAACCTATCTCCGCTGAAACAATTGAGAAGTTCAAGGCGCCATGATACAATCTTGGCAGAGAGAACAGGCTCTGCTTTGGATCCGGATCACGCATGCCGAAGGGAAGACCGCCGGAGCGTTGTGGCGGTATGTTTTCAGGCGCCCATCCGCCTGGAGTATCTGAGTTCGTTGTACAGTCGTAGAAAGAAAGAAACGTCGTTCGCAAGTCTCCAGGACCGATATCGAAAAGACGGGAGTGCAGAGAAGGTGATGCCTGTTTCCGCCAAAAGATCGACTTTCACATGTCACGAACCCTTTCCAGAGTGTCCGCGTGCCGCACCTTCACCGACGCGATCTGAAACACCTTGCCCACCACGCATTACCGATACCAGTCAGAGCGCAGATGACCACAAGTCGTAAAGGGGAGCAGCGATGCTAGGGAATGTAGTTTCACCACTTTGAAGTGAGCAATGTACGTATCTCGAAGTGTTTGGTATTTGGTGGTAGCCATGACGAGGGCTCCACTTGCCGAGGCCCCGAAACGGGCCACTGCGACATCCCTTTCACATGCCCGCGTATCGTACAAGCACAACTCTCGATAACAATCCTGCTTTTGCTCACCATCTTGTGCATCATCTCTTCATCACACCCTCTACTCAAGTCACAACCACTGCCGTCTTGTCATCCACTAGATGGAGACTTCATGGTTGTTCTCAAAGCTCTGCGGCGGTCCGATCTCCCACAATCCCAAGTCTTTGCCTTCGCGATCCTTGCGTGGCCGCCACGGCTTGCCCTCCGCCTTCAGGATCAACATCTTCTTGCTAGTCTCTGCAAATGAATCAACCAGCTCCCGCATCCTACCCTCTTTCTTGACGGCCTCGACGAGAACCTCGGTGTTGGCAATGGTCACAGACAGGTCCATCGACTGGATGAGGTTCTCGCGAGAGATGGCAGCTCCGGCACTGTGCAGAACGGTGTTGTACGCGATGAGGATTTCCGGGATGTACTGCTTGCGGATGTATTCCAGACCACGTTCCTCGTCCTCGGTTATTGGGGTAGTCAAGAGATTCCCGTGCAGAACAAGCTCCATGAAATCGTCGACCTGCTCTTTGGCTTCCTTGAGATCCAACGGAGCTGCTGACAGTTTCATCGCCTTTTCAGTGTACTGAGCTTCCTGCTGTCGGTAGTAGACGAACGTCTTGAGGACCTCGACGACGTGCGTCAGGTCATGGTAGGACTGTGCCTGACTTGCGAGCGTACTCCAAGTGTCATACTCTGCCTCTGGGAATTCCCCATATGTTGCCAAATTGACTGATTTTCCAATGACTTGGTACGTCTTTCGCTTCGACAGGTCATCGTATGGGAACTCTGAGACAATTCTCAGTGCGCATGCAAGACTGCCAGCCACTGTAACATGTTAGTGATAGTCTCAATTTCAACATGTCGAAGGTGATACGTACTCAAGCACTTGCGTAGCGCAATGCTCATGCTGTGGAATGTCTGATCCCAGTGCCCCTCGATGATATTGAACCACTGCAAGGCTCCAACAATGGCCTCATCCGTAGTCGGGTAAGTTTCAGGGAAGGCCTTGAGGTTCACACGTTGTCCTGGGTATAGCGGGTCATCCGTTTTCTCGAGCAATCTGAAGGGTGTGACACTATCCAGTGGAGGATTCATATATCGTCTCAGTAGATAACCGAGGTTTGTGTTCAGGATCTGAATGTAGTCCATGTCGTACTTCCTCATCAGACTGAGCATGAACTCTTGCTCACCTGGAGACTTGACATCCTCCAGCGAGCCGGCCATGGTGACGATGCGTCTGGTGGGCGACAAGCGCGAGACATAAAGAGGGATGATGTCTCGATTTCGAGCGTCGCGTAGGTATTGAACGTACGCCACAGTCACATTATCCTCTGCATCGCGCTCGTCTTGCTCGAGAGTACCGGTCCTTAGCTCGGCCAGGATGATACTCATGAGAGTAGCAATCCTCAAAGTCTGCGGGTCGAGCGCGACCTCTGCTTCCGGCTGATTGCCCTGACCAGACCAGAAGGGCTTCAGTCGAACAATCAGGTGGTCCTCATCACTGCGCAAAGAGTCCGTGACCGCTATGGCGTAGCCCATTGTGTGGATCATGCTGCCCACATCGTTGGCCAACAGATAGCTTTGAATGATCTTCATCGGTTTGATTGCTTCTGTGCTGGTCTCTGGCTGCTTCCTCAACCTCTCAATGAGTTCGACAATCTGCTCCTGAGGATCCTTGAGCACATCGTCGCCCAAACCACGTCGAGCTGGAGGTGCCCTGTCCGGAAAGTGAGTTGCTAGGTATTGGTCGAATTGCCGTATGAGCGCGGCGTTGTAGTAAGCGTAAAGCTTGTCGTCAACTTTCTGGCAGACCTTTTGCAGTGCACCAACTCCGCCTCCCAGGAGACCATAGACTGCGGCCTCGTAGTCTCCGAAAGTGTCAGCTTGCGAGGCGAGATAGCACATATGTCGCCAATTTGCTTTGGTGAGAGTGTCCGCTGGGTCCGTAGCCATTCCGAGAGACATTGCTCGCCAACCTTCACGTTGGTTCTCACACCAATCGCTGACCTCTCCCCAATTCTTGCCTCTCCGAAGCATCTCCCAGCAGGTGATCCACACAGCTCGGTCGAAGTACTCGTCTTCCTTCTCCAGTGCTCGTCCCTGCCGCGAGGCTGCGTCGGGATCTAGAGTGGTGACTAAGAGCTGGGTGTTGTCCTTGCGCTTGATGTGCGGTAGAGGCCCACCAGGCGCGTTCGACCACGAGCGCGTCCTCTTCTCGCTCTTGATCTTCTCGCGGGTATGCATCCAGCCATTCTTCCACATGCCTCTGCCTCGGCTTGTCTTCGACTCTAGCTCCTGCGAGATTCCGCTCAGATCTGTCTCTTGATGATCCACAGTCTGTTCCAACCATCTCTTCACCATTAGTCGCTCGCGCGCCAGGTCGTTCTGCAACACGAAGTGAGAGAAAACATCCTCTTCGCCTCTGTACCGATGCACATTCCCCAACCGATCCAACGCATGCTGCCTCGCTCGCTCTACCGCGTCCGGGTCTGGATTGTGGTGTAGCTCGAGCATAATCCGGAAAAGCTCCCAGATGTCCGCCTCCTGTTGCCATTGCCTCGACTCCTGAACTTTCTTCGCCCTATCCTTCGACAGAGGTGGCTCAGAGCCCAACTCTGTAGTGGGGATGAGAGCCGTACTTTGCGTCGGAAGCTTATGTCTCTCATTCCACTCCTTGCGGAGCTGCAAAGCCACATCACGCTCATGATTCTTCTGTAGTGATTTGACAGCGTCTTCTGCTATCCCCTTGAAGCCTTCCACCAAATCGAGTATTGCCTCGTACTTTTCTCGCGTTGGGTCCGACGTTGGATGGTCGTCTAAGAAGCGATCAAGCTTCTCTGCAAACATCTCGGCCTCACGGCCAACCTGCTCGGCCATACTGCGGAAAGGCGCCGAGCGAGAAGTCGTTTGAAGTGGTTCGCGACTGTCGAGGATGTCGTGGTGATTGGGGATGTCATGTGCGAACGATTCGGCGTAGTTCTGGGCGGGTTCGTCGTGCACAAAGTCGTCAATCGGGTCTTGTTCGTCTTGTCGCGAAACCAAATCCCAGTCTTGAGGTTGTTTGTTGAGCGTCTGCCGCGTCTGCCGCGTGACGCGCGAAGGCGGCTTTTTATTCGTGCTTCGAGTGGCCGCGGGCATGGTGAATTAGAAAATGCATGTGATGGCAGGAAGCTCAATTAGCTGAAGCTTTGGATTCACTCGACGCGACACGAAAGTCACGTGCTAAACGGCTCGTACCGTTCGTATCATTTGACATATCAATTAGACCACACTCGTCGTTCAGATTGGAGGCAGAAGGACAGACGCATGGATGTTTGTTTTTGAGAAATTAGAAGAACCATATTTCCATATCTTCCACTTCCAACCATGTCATTTCGAACAGGCCAACAGAGGTACTTCAGTCAACCTTCCGAACCTCACTAATCTCCTCCCCATTACTCTCAGTATGCGTGACACCTCCCTTCTCCGGCTCTCCCATCTCATGGATCTCATTCTCCCCACCACTGCCACTCTCCTCGTCCTTCGGAGTAGTCTCCACGGCCAGCTTGCTCTCGTACTGACGATCCACCGGGATTCGATATGCTGGGACAAAGTTGACCGCCAGAGAGTACGACCAGGCCAAGACGAAGAAGCCCAGTGGGACTGCCATTGCTACTGCTGTGTTGGAGGCATCGGCTGCTGCTCCTAATGCCGGTGGCACCACGGCTCCGCCTGATACTCCTCCGACTACAAATCCAGAGCCTCGTTTACTGTACTTTCCAAGGCCTCGCATAGATAACGCCATGATTGTTGGAAAGCATATGGATTCAAAGAAGAGCGTCAAGTAAAGCATACTGATACCGGTATTGCCTCTCTGGGCGATGGACGGGGATATGAAGACGATGCACCTGTGAGCAGTGTCAGCTGAAGCCTCCAAGAGGGCCTGCGCGGTCTATGTGACTCACAAGGTCAGGTAGCATAAGAAGACCCATCGAGGTCTGACATATCTCATGATCGCCACACCAACGAAACGACCGAGGGCAAAAGCTCCTTGGGCCCCAGCAAGCAATTGAGCTCCAGCTGCTGATGTCTTCCCAGCCTCGTCAGTGCAGTAGTTGATGAAGTAACTTGCAATGGCAACCTGAGCACCGGTGTAGCTAAATCGTTAAATGAATGTTAGCGAGTTGCCATACCTAGCAAGAAGCAGCAAATACTCACCAGAACTGAGCAAAGGCAGCATGGAACAGCCTATACTGCTTCCAGAAAGGGCCCTGGGCGACGTTGGCGTTCGCCTCGTCGGCTTGGAACTCCATATCGGCGTCAGTGATCTCAGGGATCGGCGAGACATAGAATACTGCGGCTAACAAAAATACAAAGCACGCAATCGCTAGATAGACCCATTGTACATTTTTCAATGCATCGGCTCCCTCACCCTACAAGCGAAGGGCGGCAGGTCAGCGAATGTCTCAGACACGAAATAGGGTGCCTTTTGCCCTTCAGTACACGTACAGTGTTCTTAAAGAAGACGTAAGACCCAAGCACTGGTGCAATGACGGTGCCAATACCGTTGAAAGCCTGCGAGAAGTTGATACGGATCTCAGAGTATCGGGGAGGACCGCAGATGGTGATGTATGGATTCGCCGCGGTTTCCAGGGATCCAAGTCCATTACCGATGATGAAGATGGCTGCGCAGAATCCCCCGAACGATCGATATACAAGGCAGGGCCATGCTACCAGGGCTCCAACGCCGTAGAGGCAGAGGCCCCAGATGAAGACGATCTTGAAGCCGTAGTGTCGCAGCCTGATCACGTCAGCATGTAGAACTCGATCAAGATGGGACGTTGTCCACTCACAGCCAGTTTGCGTGTCCAAGACTGGCAAGTGGATAGGCACCGAAGTACGCTGCTTGTAGACCAGACGACCGAGCTCTTGTGATGCCCAAGGTGTTTTGAAAGTGCTTGTTCAGCGTATCAAGGAGGCCATACGAGAATCCCCTACCGAGCTCTCAGTCAGTCAAGGCTCTGTGTTGAGATAACGTTTTACCGACCATAGGAAGAAGAGGATCGTGACCAGGAAGAGCGGATCTATGAAGCTGTCAGTATTTGTATTGGCGTAGCCGCAATGTCGCGCAGTCACCCACAGATCGACTGGCGCAATGTCAATTGGGACGCCTGGGTACGAGTGGTGTTCCCAGTCTTGAGCGAATGCTTCTTGAAAATCGCCATAATGTAGGTCGTGAGCAGTGGGCGACCCAACGTGCCAACCCGAAGCAATCACAAGTGACCCAGTTTTGTATCAATACACCAGCAGCGTAGAAAATGCAAGAGAAGACGGACAGCATGCAAGAGGAAAGACGTTCACATATCACAAGATCGAAACGTTTTGGCCTCGCGCCGTCGAATGCCTATTCAGCACCTGCTGCCGATCTTCGCCCAGATCATGGCATGGCCATGGCATCACCGCATGGTCGTGACCTGTACAGCACCGCGTGCAACCCCAGGATGGCATCCAGTGCTTCTCCACGCGGAGAGGGATACCCTTGCTAGCGAGAGTACGGTAGCATCAACCCCGCATATCGCACGGGTAAAGTGTCGGGAGATTGGGAGCCGAAGCAAGTCGGAATCGTGATAATCGAGTAGAAGCGAAGTGTGGAAGAACCTTGGAACAATGTCGCGTGGCAACGCCTAGTCCCTTGTATACTGGTATCAGATGCAATCTAGGTCGCGAAGATCCATGTTGTGGTGCCCCCGACTTCGAAGCCTTTATTGACGGACCTCATCAGCCTTGGCGCATGTTGCCAGTGTGTGGCATTGGCGTAGAGGTGATAGACCAAGGCGATACTCGTCTGACACGCAGCGTTCGTAGCATTCGTATTCATGCATTTAGCCTGTTCTGCCGTTTCGACGCCACCGTCGTGCAGTTCGACTAATCATGAAGACAGATCGAGCGGATGTTAGTAACGAAGCCTGTGCAAAGCCAGAGACCGGGTGTTCGCATTCGAAGTGTGGGCCATAATGAAGCGGTCCTTGGACGGCATGTGCTCTCCTGAAGCAATCTCAGAGTTTGATACATTTGACATGTCGTCCAAGTCTTCAATCCACCCGTCGCCGACTCGAAGCCGGCGCCTGAGACTCGCCCGTAACACCAGAAATAGCATCCTGAATAAGTCGTCGAAGTTCTCGCTGTCCCTCCTCACCCTGAAAATCAGGATGCGAAGCAAGCTCCTCAATCCGCCGTCTGAACTCCGGATCAGGCTCGTCTCCCGCTTCTCCAGGACTCATAGTACCAACATTGAGCTGAAGACCATTCGGCAGCGGCGGCGGAGGATGAGTGCCATTAGCATCTGTCGAGGTTGTTGGTCGATGCTCGGTGAAGGTTGGCGATGCGTTTTCGACGGCAGTCTCTGTCCAGGTGGAGGCGCCTCCAGCTGAGGCACCCGCTGCGATTTCGCGAAGAAAGGCAGCGATAGCCGGCTGCTCGTCTTCATCGTCCAGCTTCTCCGCCGCGGTTTGGCCTTCGTTGTTGGGGAGGCTCAAGTCTGTTCCGAGTTCGATGAGTTCTTTCGCCATTCGCACCTCTTCGACATTGAAAAGTGCTGTCTCGCCGTCTTCGTCCTTGATGTTTGGGTCGACTTTGTAGTCATTTATGAGCGCCTTCAGTAGCCGGTCGTGTCCATAAGATGCTGCTGCAGCGACTAGGTTGTATCCATGAGCATCGGTTTTTGAAGCCAGCTCAGGATGCGACTGCAGATGCGTCAAGACATCATCTGGCGAGTCGGCCGCGAGGTTGAGTACCCTGTCAATCGTGGGCGCCTGTGCCATGTTGCTTGCCCGGGTTGAAATCTTCGATGTCGGATGTGTTGATGCTGTTCGTGATCTTTGGAAATCTGCAAGTGCTGGTAAGGGACTGCGAGTAAGCCAAAAAGTCATGGCACAGTGTGGTAGACCAGCCGTCTTCAGATTCGGTACATACTACAGAACAGAAAGGATCTCAAAATGCCCATAGACCTTACGCTCAACGACTTCTACAGTAGTAAATCCAAACGCCTTGCTAAATGCTTCATTTTCCAAGGGACACTGAGAGCAGCAATTCCATTCCACCTCACCTTCGAACACCGACATGATTCCGGACAAAGTAGCGTTTCTAGCCAGAGACTCAACCTACAGCTCCATTTCAATCGCTTAAACGCGTTATCAAGGGTGGCTTGCCGCATCGAGTTTATCAGTCGTCGTTGTAGCCCTTGTCCCAGAACCTATTGCAGTAGTCAGCATCTTCCTCTCAATCGATCTACCAGTCTCACTTACACATATTCCTCATAAGTCATGCCACGCCACTCCTTAGTCTTCGTGCCGTCTGCATGAGTTTTGTACTCATACGGCTCAGGCACCGGGGTCATCTCTGACCAGACCTTGAACAGCTGCCTGAAGTAGCAGGTCTGCGCTGCAGGTGTGAAGTATTGATCTCGGAACTTCGCTGCTGCATTGTCGGCAATCTTCTTAGCTTTGCTGTTGTCCGCGAGCAACGTGTCCATCGTGGCTGGCAGCTCCTTCCACTCCTTGTCCACGAGGACGTAGTTTTGGTTGGGGCCGTCGGCCTCGAGGAGGTGGTATAGATGAGTGACGTACGTCAAGGGGTGAATGAGAATGGTGGAGTGGCAGCTGAGCAGGTACTTCAGCCTACCCGACCAGGTGGTGCCCTCCGTGTGTACAGCGAATTTGTACTTGCAGTGATCCGGCATGGTGATCCTGTACTTCGTGGCCTCTTCGTCGTTGACATCTTCCGCCACTCTATGCACATCTGACCAAGCCTTGCCTTCGCTCTGCTCAATCAGCTTGAGCCGGATCTCTGGGTTGAAGTCCGTCGTGCCACGCCAGACGAGCTTGGGCTTCTTCGCGTTGTAGTCTGACCCGACCTCCATCGCTATCCGTTGATAATCCCCATACGAAGGAGCCACTCGTGGATAGCTCCAGAAGTTGAAATCAGGTATCAGCCACACCTGCTCCATAGCCTTGTCATAGATATTGCGGTTGAAGTTCCAAACCGTCGAGTTTGGATGCTCCTCTGTCAACTCGATATTATCATTGATCTTAATGGAGAACTCAATGTTGGGGACCGGCTCCCTCGCTCCAATCACTGCTCTTTGAAGATTGTGGAGTGTCGCATGCGACCGTTCTCTCCAATGTCTGAAATGATTGAGCCCGCGCGACTCAATAATGTATACCTGGCCCTCCCAAATCATAACTCTCAGTCCTCCATCTTTGCTCCACTTCAAGCCCCATTGCTCTTCTGTGAGTTTCTGGTCACCCTGGCGCGCTTTCCAGAAGGCGCGGGATCGATCGATTTCCTTGTAGAGGTCGGGAAATGCTTGGAAGCATTGGTCGGAGGTCAAAGAGTGGTTATTGCGATCTCGGTTCGCGATGAAGGTCCAGTCTCCCGGTACAGTGGGGTTGGTCTTCACTGCATGTGGAACTGTCGCTGGAACCGGAACGGCATCTGAGGGCGCGCTCTGCCAACTGCTGCTGAACGTGTACAATCCAAAAACCACAAGAACCGCGACGAGCAGCGTGACACGCCGCGACTTTGGAAGCCAGGACATTTCGCTTCGATGTGGTGATTTCAGAGCGTCCATTCCCGCGCAGTCATATGGCGCGAAGACAAGCAAAGGCTCAGCCGAAGACACCCGTGATCACGTAGTCGTGGTATATGCTGCGAGAGGATGGTGTCCTGCAGAGATATGTCCAGCGTCTTTCCCGGCCCTCCTTTTTCAGCTCCGTGGATGGACGTTGTTCCCAGTCTCTCAACCGCAGACACCGCTGTCTTGGCCTTGGCTCACTCCCTTGCTTCGCGCAACGTCGCTAGAATCGGGTCGTCGGTAAGGAGTGTCGAGAAGAAAAGCGTAACAAAGAAATAAATGCTTAAGGGGTAAGCGGTCGTCAAGCATTAGAAACACAAGTCAGGTCTCGCATTCGGCTTGAGGCCACGCCGCCACTGCACCTAGTAGATCCTTCGTCAGCTGGGCCGGACCATGCTTTTGACCTGCATCACGACTGCTTCTATATTTACGACTGCGAGCTTAGGAGCGTCAGTCAGTAAAGGCAATCGGCCACGAATGGCGAAATACCATAGTGAAGAAGTTGATTATATAGGCGACGACGGTCCATCACATTCAAAACCAGGAAATTTACAGACCGCCTGCTCAAAGACAAGGGACAATGGGGAACACTATTGAATCATGTAATTTTCAGTTGAACTACATTGTGACTTCCGACCTGAACGCCGGCCATGCTGCTGAACGCTCAAAGTCTAGCTGAGTTATCTACTAGTTGGTATCATGGTGGGACTTAAGTCCTATAAGGTTGGGTATCATCAAAGGCCCCGATCTCGCGTCTCCTTCTCCATTGGCATGCCTCCATCCCCAGCACACAGAGTCGATAGCTCGATATGCTGCAGCGAATCGAGAATACTCGTACACGTCTCGAGCACGTTGCTCATATGACGGACGTAAGGCAGGTCTGAGCACATTTCCATCTCGAAGGACGAATCTGATCGGTGAACAAGGTCGACAGCTGGCACGGGCCTTCGTGTCGTCCTTGTGCGGTCCCTCAGACTCAATTTCGATTCATCCATGAGTCCTGGTCCTTCAAACGTGCCTCCAATTGATCTCAATGATGCTGAAACCGTTGTCGTCCTCGTTGACGTAGAACTGCCTGACAGACTCGTCGAGAGTTTTGACGCCATGTTTGAATTCCCAGCTGATCTTCTCCTTGCCAATGTCCAGTGCCGGCCTGGTATGGCCCATGCTGTGGTGGAATTCGAGCTGTTCTGGCGGTCGTTTGACATTCACGTCCTCCGTCATTGTCAATTCGACCAAATTGAGATCAGGCAGTCCTTTTGGATAGTCGACCATACTGTAGCCATTTGTAAAGACGGTGTTGTTGCCGAACTGGTAGCGCTGCAAAAGAGAGTCTGGTCCGGCGATGTCGGTGACGAGATGCGAGACTGCAATAGGGAAGAAGTGCCAGCTCTTCCAGTGATGGACCGTCAGAATAGGATTGAATCCAGCTTCGTACCAACCAGATAGATCGTTCCACAAGTCGATCTGGTTGAGGCCACGCAGTTCCGTAAGGTGTACAGTAGGCGAGGTGACTTCAAGAATGCAATCGCGCCAGAGAAGATCTCCAAAGAACTTGTCCAGCGGAGTGCATTCGACGGCATTCTCGGCAAGCGTCTGCATGAGAGGCGGTGATATGAAAAAGCCAGCGCCACCCCAAGCTTTGAAACCCTCTTGTGCCACTCGAGTGTGACCTTCGGTGAGAGCTCCTATGTACCACAACTTCTCCGGATCATATGGCTCTAGAGCATCGAGCATACGCGGCAAAGACAGGAAGAAAGTGTCGTCGTCAATGATGCCGAACCACTTGGTTTCCTCTCGACGGTGTTTGTCGAGGACCGTGGCGAGGCCGAAGTTCTTGAGACCCTCGCTATCATGCTCGAAAGTGCCACGGTATGGCTCCAGAATGAGTTCGATGCCGAGTGCTGCTGCTTCCGAGTACGCCTTCTCAACGTCTTTCTTCTTATCCTCGAGGTTCCTTTGGTCCACCAAGAGGCACACCAATGGCGAGCCAGTATCGGATAGCCATCGTGAGAAAGTAGGTAGACTGTCCCTTACTCTGCTGAGGGTAGTCGCCACGCCGAGCATCAGTTCTGCGGTGTTGACACGCTGAGGTGAACTGAACTCCGGCACATCAATGTCGTAAGCGTTTTGGCATAGCGGCAGCAAGCTCTCGGCTTCAGGATCGGGCGCGTCCAAGGACACATCAGTGAAGGCATTGTAGTCCAGTATCTCATCAGGAAACTGGATAAGGGACTGTCGGCTCAGCCCACGCTTCTCCCTGGCATTGATGCAGATGCGCTGATAGCTGAATTTGGCGGGCGCCTCCAGTAGGTTCAGGACTTCGATGTCCAGGGTGATGTTGTTTGACGCTTGGGCCGAGAGCGCCGCATTCTGCCATTGTGAAACGTAGTCCCTTGGTGTCCAAGAAGGCACTAAGAGGAAGTAACTCAATGTGAATACGAGAAGAGCCGCGGCAGCCAGCTGCAGCAATCGTACGGGCGGCATGACGGTCGCGAAAGTGCCAGAGAAGCGCGCATGTAGTTCGCGACTAACAACTGGCACTTGTCACGGCAAACAAATAGAAGCAAGAAAAGCGTGTGACACGCTGCGTTTCCCCGTGGAACAGGATATTAGAAAGACAGGCGCACAAGAAGGAAGTCGACTGCGGGCCTGCCGATGTGGGAAGCCATGATAGGGAGAAAGGGGGTTACGTGGACGACAAGGCGGCGATTTTCACTACGCAAGGATCAAACGCAACTGGAAACGTTTGCACGGCACGGGAAGCCCCAGCAGCAGCCCTGACTAGAATACACTTGTACACTGCTAAACAGCTTTCCGAGCATGCAGGTAGCTTCGCGATTATCGCTGCGTCTATTCGATGTACCACTTCGTATCTTCATTTTGCAGCGTGCTCAGCGCATGGCTGACGAAGATTGATTGGAACCTCTGGAATGCTTGGTTCGACCCGAACATCTTCCCAAATTCGGACCGGAAGTCTAAATAAAATCAAGCCAAGCATGAAACGGCGAAGCTGCCTCCATATCTTATCGTCAACGTCACTTCTTTAGAAGCCTCTCGCTCTTCGTGAGCCACATTTTCGAACGCAATGCCTTGATGATTCACGGGTTGGCTGTTCATATTCACTGTTCGGCAGACGTACGCGTGGCAAGTGCGCCGTACCTAGGTACCTCTTGCGACGGAACGCCTTAAGTCCTTGTGGGACACGCCATCAGCCTCAACCTCGCTGGCGACTCCGACCAGATCAAGATGCAGTTGTGGTGGGCATATCGTGGAGAGAACCTGCTGAGGCGCAGAGGATTGGTGAAGCATCAGACGGAGGCTTGTCCGAATCGTGGCCTGACAGCCATTCTCATACAAGGGCCAGTTACTCACAGACGACATGCGGACATCCACGCGAATGTGAATGAAGCAGCTATGACCGGCACCAAAGAGTCAGCAACATCGGGAATGACTAGACTTCCTGCGTCTGATTCATATCCGGGTCGGCGGTCGTCAAATGCTTGGACTACTGTATGCCTTGGCTTTGAAGCCTCGAGCAGCTCTAGATTGCGCCTTCGAGGGCTTGGTTGGCGTCTGATGTACATGACCAGTCCCTTCTCGAAGGATTGCCAGGAACACAACAGATCGCATATGCAAGGCACGTAGATCTGGTATGCTTCGCTGAGCTTCTGGGTCCTGCGTTCAATCTTGATCACTGCCATTCCTGTGAAAGCACCTCATTGGGCCTAGAATTGAGGAATCATGGATACTGAAAGGACATGCTCGAAAATGAGCAAAGGATAGGCTTTGTTTCCCTCGGGCATTCAGAAATGACGTGACATGATACACCAAAGTTTAAAGGCGGCTCACGGCGAGTTTAATTTCTAAGCATTCAATTACAAGACGCTCGCCTCGCGCGTGTTGACGCCCTACAGGGAAAGGCAACGAACTCACCGCTTCCCTCGCCTTCTTCGACGTTGGTCATCGCTGCTCACCTGCTCCTCACACGCTCGTTTCTTCACAGAGGCTTGCCTATAATACCAAACCCATCGTCGCCACGGCTTCGCTGCAACTTCCCCTCCGTACGCGCCTACCCCTCATCCGCGAGCCAAAGAAACAGCTGCTGCCCCTGCGGCTCTGTAAACCCATTCGAGTCCAACACAGAAATTTGACTGCGATACCACCGCACACAAGCAAGTCGCCCAACATGACCGTCCCCGAGACCAATGGCCACGGCCCCATCGAGACCCCCCCTCGCGCTCCCTCGCCCGTCCACAAATTCGGCACGCTCGCAGTGCACGCCGGCTCGCCACACGATCCAGTGACCGGAGCAGTCATCGAGCCAATCTCCCTCAGCACGACATTCGCGCAGACGTCCGTGGGTGTCCCAGTCGGCGAGCACGAATACACACGATCCTCGAACCCGAACCGCTGGAACTTTGAGCGATCGATCGCAGCGCTGGAAAAGGCAAAATATGCTCTGGCATTTGCGTCTGGATCCACAACTACCGCTATCATTCTGCAGAGTCTGGCAGCTGGCAGCCATGTGGTTTCAGTCTCAGATGTGTACGGAGGCACGCACAGATACTTCACAAAGGTTGCGTCTGCACATGGCGTGCGAGTGACCTTCACACCGAGCATCGAACTCGACGTGGAAGAGTTGATCACATCCGAAACGAAGTTGATCTGGATCGAATCGCCCTCGAACCCTACTCTCTCCCTGGTAGACATCAGAGCAATCGCAGACATCGCACACAAGAGCGGGATCATGGTCGTAGTAGACAACACCTTCATGTCCCCATACATCCAAAACCCACTCGAGCACGGCGCCGACATCGTCGTGCACAGCGTGACCAAATACATCAACGGGCACTCGGACGTCCTCATGGGCGTCGCAGCCTTCAACTCCGACTCCCTCTTCGAGCGCCTGAAATTCCTGCAAAACGCCATCGGCGCCGTCCCCAGCCCCTTCGACTGCTGGCTCGCCCACCGAGGCGTCAAGACGCTCCATCTCCGAGCCCGGGAAGCCAGCAAGAACGCGCAGGTCATCGCGGAGGCACTGGAGGCGAGCCCGCACGTCATTGCGGTCAACTACCCCGGTCTGGATTCGCACAAGCAGAGGAAGATTGCGATCAAGCAACATCGCAATGGTATGGGTGGTGGAATGCTCTCGTTCCGGATAAAGGGAGGCAAGCCGGCGGCAGATCGCTTCTGTGAGGCGACGCAGATTTTTACGTTGGCGGAGTCGTTGGGTGGTGTGGAGAGTTTGGTCGAAGTGCCGGCTTCCATGACGCATATGGGTATTCCGAAGGAACAGCGCGAAGCAGCAGGTGAGCATTATAAACTCTTGATGAGAGAATATGTGCATGTACTGACCATTGAATAGGCGTCTTCGACGATCTCGTGCGAGTCTCTTGCGGTGTAGAGGACGCTGATGATCTCGTTGCGGACATCAGACAAGCGCTCGAGCAAGTTGTTGTCAGGGAGCAAAAGGTCTCCAACGGCGTAGCGAATGGCCACTGAGACACGAAAAAGAGCGAGGGAGACGATACACAATCGATAGAGGCCTCACCGGCCATGAATATTGCCTCAATGCTAGAATCTCCCTCTCATGGGGAGATCTTCTCATGTCTCATTCATGACTACCCATGCCTTGGGATCTACATGCACTTTTCTGTCATGCACGCTCAATCCTCTGGATCCACCAACCCAAACACCTGCTTCTTGACCCGCAGATCCTCCTCCAGACTCGCCAACTTCTGCATCTCACGCTGTCTCAGCAGCTGGTTCGTCATAGCCTGCACCTTCTGTCTCGCGCGCTCCACCTCACGCTCGAGATCAGCCACTTCCTCGAGTTGCTGGGCGCGCTCGGCGGCCTTGGCCGCGGCGTCTTCGTCCACGACGTCGGGGGAGTCTTCCTCGTCCTCATCTGACTCTTCTTCCTCGTCTGACGTGGGCTCTTGCGGGGTCATGCCGACTCCACCTGCGGGGGTGCCGATGGGTGTGAAGTCTTCTTGCATGGCGTTCTCAACGGCCGACATGGATGCGGCTTGGTCGGCGATGGGGGCGGGGGATTCGGTGACGAGTTCGCTCACGTCCATGTCGCCTTCTGCGTCGAACATGGCTTGGAGGTTGGCTTCGAGGTCGGGATCTTCTTCGCCCTCTGGGACTTCTTCTTCGTACTCTTGTCCGTCCGTCTCGACCGTTTCGATGGCTTCGCCTTCTGCGTCTTCGTCGTACTCGTCATATGCCTGCGCTTCCAATGCTTTCTCTTGTTCTGCGGGGGTGATAGTCGTGACAGTACCGCCGTCTTTCTCCCAGTCCTCGTCTGCCTTGAGCAGCTTCTCGACTTCCTCTTCCACGTTGGCGATTTCGTTGTAGTTCATTCTCTTTCGAAACCTCCGCTTGCGTACCCAGTGCATCGGAGGCGTGAGGCCATGAGCGTATTGGAAGTTATCCTTGTTGACCTCCTTCGGCAACGCATACGTCTTGGCCTCTTCCTCGCTGTTGCATCGTCCCAGCACGAGCAGCATCTGAGAAATGTCTGCCACCTTCCACCATCCCTTCTTGTCGAAACTCTTCATTGACTCGACGATGCACGGGATGTCCACCAGAGCCGCGGCGTACATTCGTCCTCGTATCTTGATGATCGCGCGGCGGTAGTTCTTCTCGATGAACTTGACTGATACCTCCGCATCGCCCTGACTCGGATGTGGACCAACTTGTCCCTTGGCTATAGCCTCTTTCAGATATTGAGCGTCTTCTCCGTCCTCCATGCGCAAGACCAGTCCCTGCTGGAGGGCTGGATCTTTCTCCGTGTCCGAATCTTCCGAATCATAGCCAACACCTTTTGGTCGCGGTGGCGCCTTACCACGCGCCCTCAGGTCGAGTATCTTTGGCACAGACGATTTCCTCTTCCCCAGCTGTATCTTTGGTTTGACAACGTCAACTGATCCTTGGGGCGCCGGTGGCTTGATGGAGAGCTTGCGACCCAGGCCAGTTCCGCTGGCGACGCGCTTAGCAGCTGGCGAGTTGTCTGCATCGGCAGCCCGCTTCTTGCTCTTAGCAGACCCATCCTGCTTGCGCTGATATGGCCGCTTCTTCTTATCCGATGGAGCTTCTGGCGCAGTGGGGAAAGCAGGCTGCCCGGACTGTTCGATAGGAGTTGGTGGTTGTGACACACTGAGCTTCAGTTTGACAGGCGCCGGCACAGAGCTTGATGCTGGCTGAGGAGAGCCAGCATTCTGGGCGGCGGGCGGCTGACCATCAGTCGAGGCCGCCGAGGGCGTCCTGTTGCCGAGCTTCAACTTGATCATGGTCGGGTGGATGTGCGGTGACAGTGAGTTGCGGTCGGCGAGGATGATGTGGGACGTGTGCGGCGGTATGTCGATGAGCGGTCACTGTGGCATGCATGCGCCATTCAACAATGCACGCGCCGGGTTGTGGAGGTGTTTGTGGCAGTGTCGTCCAGGTACAAGCGCATGAAGTGACGAGTGACGAGTGACGAGCGTGGACCGCCAAGCTCAAGAGGGCCCACTTTCCTCCAAGTAGCGGGCCGTGCCTTCAGCCCTAATCCTTCGTTTGCTAGCGCAATGTGAATGGCGCAAGGGCCGAGATGTCAAATTGTCAGCGCGACACCAACTCCGAGCCAGCAACAAGCGAGACACGCAGCCCGTTCATGCAGCGACCGGCTGTGCCGTCAACAACCATGATAACGATGTCGCATCATGTGCAACGGAGCAGCACGATGAGTGCTTTGCCGCTTCGGGGCCAACCTTGCGCAATGCCGCAGGGTTGCATCCACACTTGATGAGGCGGAGCAGCCGTGCACAGTCGCTAGCTTCTGTTTCTTCACCGTCCTCACAGGCCTGTGCTCCACCAAATCCTACGCTCTTCGCAGTCAAAGTAGCGGCGTGCGCTTCCACCTCCCTCCCTCCGCTCTCACCACGGCTCATCTAACTCTGCAGCTGGCCCTACGATGCCCGCCCATGGCCCGTGGATTACTCCACCACGTCGACGCCATCAGTAAGCTTTGGCCTGCCCTGACTGTGACGGGCATGTCACATCCGCTCTTCTACATGTCTCTCCGACTGTTTCGTGCCCGCAGCGTAGCACCCACGCTCTTGATGCTGTATTATTTCTCCCCCTGAGACCGCCCCTTCACCGAATCGCCCAGTCTCACCTGGCGGTCGCCCTATCTCACACAGACCACCATCTCTCTACCCCTCTCAGCTGAGCATCGCCTTCTTGCACCTGTCGTCTTGGCACATTGGGCAGCACGTTGTCGGAGAATATATCTCTTAGATCTGCGGCCCTTCCACTCAGGATCCAAATCCTCCAGAGCTAGTCGATCATCTTGGCGAGCATACAACACTCTCACCAACTAGTGCCACCAACACCCTGTCACAATGGGCTTCGATACCATGAGGTCGTTCCAACACCTGGGCTTGAACTCTTCGCCCCATAGCTTAGAGGCCGCCGACGATGGTTCCAGCAACGAAAGCCTCCGACGACAAGACTCTTTCATGTTCAATGAGAGCATAAGACAACGGCAAGTCAACAGCCGCCCCGCGACAAACATCTTCCATGTCCTAACAGTTCACAGAGGAGGTATTGCGGCTACACGAACACGAAACACTTCTGAAGCCGGTCGATCGATCATGCGCAACAAGAGACCTTCGTTACCTGTCACGGCACCTCCATCGTTTCAAGCTACCAAAGCAAAATGGTCACCACCAGCATCTCCCGCAACCACATCACCAACAGCATCACCTACCTCGTCACCCAGAACATCGTCAGCACAAATCAACACCACCAGCTCAATACCCTCACCTTCAAATCTCACCATGAGCGCCAAGGAGAAGCATGCCTTGGGCAATCAACTGTTCGATGCTGCTTGCTCTGGTGATCTGACTGGCATTCAACTGCTCCTGGCACAAGGCGCACCCATCAACTGCTCGGTTCTTGTTGGAGGCCTTTTCGAGTCGTTCAAGCCAGCAAAGGCGGGTCACATCTGCCCACTAGCAGGTGCTGCATCTTATGGCCAATACGATGCCGCCGAGCTACTCCTCGCGCACAACGCAGAGCTCAACCCAAACACAAGCCAGTCTGCCAGCAGTCCACTTCATCAAGCAATCAGAAACAACGACATGGAGCTAGTACGATTCTTCCTCGAGCGAGGCGCGGACGTGAACATCAACAACAGTTACAAAACGACACCGCTGATGTACGCCTGCAAATACGGCTCACCAGAGCTCGTTGCCCTCCTCTTGGAGTCCAAGCCAGACGTCAACAGCTTGTCCTTCATCAACGTTGCCGCGATCCACTGGTCGGTATGGCCCGGCAACACCGAAATCACGGAACTGCTCCTCAAGGCCAAGGCCAACCCGAACCACCCGATGGCAGATGGCAACACCCCGTTACATTGCGCAATCATGACCGGGTCAGTGAGCATGACGAAGACGCTTCTCAGACACGGGGCGGATCCACTACGGCGGAATGAAAATTACGAGACTCCCCTTCAGATGGCCGAGGGTCAGTCCAATTCAGAGGAGATTGTAGCATTGCTCAAGGCGGCCATTCCAACGAAGAGGTCCTGAGGAAAAGCAATTTGGAATTATCACATGTGTTGTATACTAGCGAGGAGTTCGGGAAGCGAAAAAGGGCAGCTTAGGCACCCGAGATTGGAAATTTTGAGATATCCCTATCAGATCTTGTGGAGAGAAGCGGTCTATAGACGGAAACTGTACGAATAGCAAGATACCACCACGTCCCAAACGACGACGCGAAACGAGAAGAATGAAAGAAGAGAAGAAAAAGTCACATCCTCATCTCACAACAGCTTGTCTTCAACTTTTACTCCCATCATTACTCGCGCCCGTACGAGACCGAGAAGAGACCAGGCATCGTCGCCCTCGGTGTCGCCGAAGAAACAGGCGGCGACTCCACATCTCTTCTCCACACGTGCTTGCAAGGGTGTATCCCTGCGAAGATCTGTCTGTTGAAAGGAAGCCGGACTTCTCGCCGCGCGCTCGGACGGTCTGGCGTGGGCTTAGGGTTGTCATGTGATGGGAGAATGAGAATGAGCAGGGCTGTGATAGAGCGCGCGGGTTCCGCGTGGACGGGTATTTCGTGGGTGAAGATGGTGAGGTTGATTCTTTTTCCTGTTGTGGTGATTTTTACAGTCTGCAAGAGAGGTTCTCTGGGGCTTCGGCGGTTTGCTGTCTGAGGGTATGAAGAGTATTAAGGACCAACAAACTTGGGAGTTACCTTTCTTCGGCACGATGGTCGGCCCTTCGAAATTCTGCCATTCGTCATATCGACAAGTCCTGTACATATCGTCTGATTTCTATGGCTCTTCCAGGTTGCTCATCATTCCTCGCCGGTGATATCCCTCTTCAAGCCTTCAACAATCCCTTCTCCTCCAAGTACTTCGTGATGATAGCCACCGCCTCCTCAACGCTCGTCTTCTCAGAGTGGATGTGGATCTCTGCGTTCTCTGGAGCCTCGTATGGAGCGCTGATACCGGTGAACTCCTTGATCTCGCCTGCTCTAGCCTTCTTGTACAGGCCCTTTGGATCTCTCTTCTCCGCTTCCTCCACTGGGATGTCGACGAAGACCTCGATGAATGGGAGAGGGGAGTCGGTGTTGGTGGTGTCGGCGTGCAGTTTTCGTGCAAGCTCGCGGTCGGCTTTGTAGGGGGAGATGAAGGAGGTGAGGGCGAGGGTGGTAGAGTCGGCGAAGAGCTTGGCGACCTGAAGCAGAGATAAGACAAAGTCCTTCACATGTAGTATGGATGTAGACCCACCTCAGCAATCCGACGAATGTTCTCCTCCCGGTCCTTAGGCGAGAAGCCCAAGTCCTTGTTCAACCCAAAGCGGACATTGTCACCGTCAAGACGATAAGTCTGCAGACCAAGGTGAAGCAAGTGCTGCTCCAGAGCCGTGGCAATGGTCGACTTGCCCGAGGCAGAGAGGCCAGTGAACCAGATGGTCGCACCCTTCTGCTTGCGGAGTTCGGTGCGCTCCTTGCGGGTGAGGCCCGCGTGCCAGGTGATGTTGCTGATCCTCGCCGTTAGACTTGTCACATGCTTCCGAGCCAATTTCTCGTATAGCCCCACGTGGGATTTGTCTTCACTCACGTTGCCATGATTGGTGCTGCTGATAGTTTGAGGAACCTTGGTGAAGTTCGACCGGCGCACTTTTTAGCAAATTACAAGAGCAGTCTTGAGCAGCAATGCGGTCAAGGTAAAAGCTAGGACGAAAAACAGAGCTCGATGGACCCTGAGAATGACGAATTCCGACTTGGTCGTACGAAGATAAGCTTTCACGTTCCTTGCATCCGCGAGGCGGGAGGATCCGCACTTGCATATGACGATCTGGTATTCTTTCACTTCACGTCCTGTACTTCCACCATCACATGAACAAGAGAATTATCATGCTCTTTATATCTCATGTCAAACGTAATAACAGATTACCACTATGCTGACAGTTTAGATGCGCCTCTGAAAGGTGAGCTCCAGCTGTTCCCACGTCCGTATTCGTCGACGGCCTGATCCATCTCCAGGTGACGTATTCCATCACTGTATGCTGACCATTTCGGAAGCCAGCGCTCTTTCGTCGCATCGACCAAATGTGAGGCTTTCAAGCCGCTGACCTGAAAGACTAGCAGCATGCCAAGTTGAGCCGCCTTGGCTCGCAAGCAAGATCTAGTGGAAAGTGCGAATCGGCTAACTTGACACTTCCAACTTCGTGTCAACCTCAAGAAGATATTGCAAAGAGGCTAACAAATTCCGTCCAGACACAGCGCTGTCGGAAAGTTGAGTTACTATGAGTAGGACATAAGAACGTCATGATCGAAGACACAAGCCATTCGCGCACCTACCCAGTGAGCAAGTTCACCTGAAGAAGTGAAACTGTGAAAAATGTAGGTGGCGGGGGGCAGCTGCAGGACTTCTATTATCTTTCATTCTATTGGCTTGCGCCAAGAGCCCCCCTAGAATCACATGTGCCTTCACGTTCAAGTCGCTCGCACTCTGCGACACTCATGCACCGCACGACATCACGCTCTCTGCGCACTCGCTTCACATTTACCCTTCACATTCACACGTCGCATCTCCTTATCACAAGCATCGCAACATCACGGCATTCGCACAAGCTATGAATCAGCCGCCGCCGCCCAACGCGCTGCGCGAGGCCATCGAGTCTGGATTTGGCAGGGTCGAGCGCAAGGTGGTTTACCCAGAACGTCGCCCATCGACGGTCGTGGACAGCAACGGCTGCATCATACAGCGAGGCTTCTTGATTCCTAACAGGATGTCACACTCTCACTCCCAGACGGCACGACCGTCGGTGTCAACCTACAAACCAATCATGGGCTTTCCGCGCCCAACCGGAGCTCTCTTCGACTCATGGGAATTGAGGCATATCAGAGAGCACCATCCTAGCTCGCTTTGCCGTCCCACCAAGAGTTCGGGCGAGCTCGAACGCGTCACCAATCGTGACAAGAAGCCTGGGCTGGGCGAGAGGCGGCGAACATGGCAAGGCGGTGCAGCATGCAGCACATGGACGGCAGATGAACTTGCTGGAGTCACTTGCAAGCCATCTCAAACTAACCTCAACCGCAAGCCACCATCAGAAATCCTCCACCTAGACCAGACTCGGCACATGCGTCGCGCGCACACAGTGCAGGGCAATCTTCACGCGCATGGCGATCAGCAGCCGAGAAAGGACAGCACAATGCGACAAGTTCAAGCCCACGAGGGCAAGAAGAGTATGACTCCTGCGAAAGAGGACATCAAGCTCGTTTTGGTAGCCGATGTTGAAGATGCGATCGCGTCCGACAGCGAAGACGACGAGGTCTCAAGCGATGCTAGCTCCAAATTCCGTCAACTGGCTCAGCAGAAGCGTTTGAGCTACGCCGAGCGTAGATCCAGGCAGGATGAACGAGCCGCAGAAGAATCCGACCGTTGCGTGGCGGCGTACGACGCCAAACAAGAACAGGAAGTCCTCCAGCCCATAAAGCTTAGGACATCCGACCATCATGAGAGCGCCATCGAGTCTGATAGCGAAGATGAAGACGACGGCATCGCCAATGCATTGAAGACAGCAACACTGCTCCGCGCCCGCAATCAAATTGCCACGTCACAAGGAGCCGCTGAACGTGGACTCGGAACAGACGACGTCGAAGGATCACACAAGGGAGGCGAACATCGAGCATCGCTCAGCGTGAAGATCGCATCAGATCCATCAAACAACCTCACCGTCCCAAACACCAAGAACAAAGGCGACGTGACACCTAGGGAGGTCAAGTCGTTCGATGTTGGTGCACCTCTACCATGCCGCAAGTTACGCCCATCAGCAAGCCGACCGAAGCCCAACAAGGGTGTCCTGAAGAAGAGCGGGTCATACTCGAGTTCATCATCCTCAAGCGAGGGCTCCTCGAAGCACGTGAAGACGGTTAAGCGCCCGGACTTCGCCGACAAATGTAGAGACGCCTTCATACCGGCTTTCACGGCACTGACCCATATTCAGACGTACTGGCAGGCGCCACGCACGCAGCAGCAGCAGCCGAGCAAGCAGAAGCAGAGCCGAGAGCCGTCGCAGCAGAGCGAGCGCAAGCAGAGCCAGTAGAGAGAACAAGATCACTAGCCGCACCGGGAATACTGTCCGCACCAAGCAAGAAAGCGGCAGTGGCGTTGAAAGATATCTTTCGCCGAGCAAGCAGAGTAAGTGCGCAGAGACCACCTATGAGCTCTTCACATCTAACACATTGACAGGAATGAAAGAGTTGATTCGGCAAAGAGACGGCTGGATACGCAAGCAAAGACAGAAAATATGAACCCTCGAAGCAGGAGTTCCATCGAATGATGATTTTGACGACTTTACTGGACGACTATATGAAGAGTCGTCCGCTCCATTACAGGAGCTTTAATAACAATGTTGAATGCGGGCTGGAGATGCACTGGGGCTAAGCTCTCCAGCAATGTCCCTTCGAAGAACAGGGATGAACCATGGGTCTGGGTAATGATGAAGAGGTCTGGGTAGTCAGAAGCCCACATCACGCACTGCGACTTGCAATTACGCAGGCTTGAAATATTTCGACGGAACAAACGGCATGCGTGTAACCACTGCATTCCTCTTCTTCCCTCTCACGACCACTTGTACTTCCGTCCCAGACTTGTGCATGCCGTCTTTGATGTAGCCCATGGCGATATTTTTCTTCATGGTCGGGCTCGGGCAGCCAGATGTGATCTTTCCGATGACGTTGCCGTCTGTGTCCACGATCTCGGCGCCTTCACGTGCTGGTGCGCCTTCCACTGTGAGTCCCACCCTACGCCGTGAGACGCCAGCTCCGCCTTTCGAGACGGGCGTGAGTTGGGGAATGATGGTCTCAGCGCCGTTGAAGTTGGCACGTTCACCTGCACGGCGGTCCTTGGGGATGATCCAGGCTAGAGCTCCTTCTACGGGTGTTGTGGTGTCGTCGAGGTCGTGGCCGTAGAGACACATGCCTGCTTCGAGACGGAGACTGTCGCGGGCGCCAAGGCCTGCGAAGCGCAGCTTCTCCGGAGTGGCGGTTTCGAGGAGGTGTTTGGTGACCTCCACAGTCTGCGAAGGGTGGATTGAGAGCTCGAAGCCGTCCTCGCCAGTATATCCTGCTCGGCTGGCGACGATGGGGAGGCTTTCGCCCATTGGTAGAGATAATGTGATGTACTTCATGCTGCCGAAGTACCACTTGTTCACGTCGACTTTGCAGGTATCGGCCAGGGCGGATTGAAGGATCTCAGCGGCAAGAGGGCCTTGGAGGGCGATCAATCCGTATGGCCTCCCATCGTGTTCCAGGTGGCGGAGTTGAGCTACAGGGTTCGTAGTGTTGTCCCAGTTCTCGATGGCGGATGACAGGAATTTGTAGTCCTTTTCTCTGCAGCCGGCGTTGGCCACGAGATAGAAGAGATGCTTAGGACCTTCTTCCAGGCGGGTGATGATGCAGTCGTCGACGATGCCGCCTGTTTGCGGGTGCAAAAGGGCAGATAAGGAGGACGTTCCTGGCTTCATGTCCTTCAAGCCAGCTGGGGTGATGGATTCCAGGAAAGCCTCAGCTCCTGGTCCTTCGACGTGATACTGAACCATGTGGCCAACGTCGAATAGAGAGGCCTTCTCTCGAGTCCAGTGGTGGCTCTCGCCGACGGAAAGATCGGAGTACTGCACAGGCATTGAGTAGCCACCGAATGGTACCATCTTTGCGCCATGTTGCAGGTGAAGGTCATATAATGCCGTTCGGCCTGGGTTCTCTTCAGTGAAGAATTGTGGCGCTGGAGAGGCATTGGAGCTCTGTGCTCGCCGTTGCTGGGCGTAAGATGTGTTGAAAAAGGTCTTCGATTTGACTTCTGATTGCGGGTGTCGTAGTGCCTTGGTGGACAAGGTCCTGGAGACGGCTGCTGGTGCTGATAGCAGACGACTTGACTTGGGCACTTTCACAGCTGTCGTCCGTAGGGAGAGCGCTGCCCGTGGGAGGGCTCGTGAAGCCGACATGTTGGAGGCTGGGAGATGCTATCGTACTCTCATGCAATGTGAAGAGCGTGTGGAAAGTGTCAAGGGAAGTGAGTTTGACTCTTCGATCAGTCCATACAGCTAGCAATCCGCCGGTGTCATTCCTTGTCGAGAGTGAGTCGGTGACCGGGAGAGTTGATCCAGGTAAAGTCCCATCGCCAATGCCGCAGCTGGCCATCCCGCCCCACATTTTCTGGAAAGCTTGGACTTTGACGTATCCCAGCTCAGTCTGGAGTCCATCACCAAACAAAGGAAGGCCACGACATCGACATTCACCATTCTCAAATACCCCTCCTGCCGGCGTTAGAGCTCCAGACGCACGATGCCGACCCAGAACTTCTTCCTCGTGTCGCTACCGACCTCGATATCACCCTCTGGCGACCGGGACGAAGCTCTTACCGCACTGCGATCTGGCGTGAATCCGGATCAAGGCACAACATATCCCTTTGCTATACCCGAGTTCAAGATTAGCACGCTTGATGCACTGGTACAACAAGCAGATGACCTGGCAAAGCTCGACCAAGGCTGCAGGAGCGTTGTGGACAAGGTGGCAGATTCACTGAAGACGCTGCTTGAGGGCGATGAAGAGAAGATACAGGAGCAGAAGGTGGTCAATGACAGTATGTAAGATGTGTCTGTCTTGAGTTTGGCATACTGAAGTGAAGCTTTAGAACCCGTCGAGAACTACCTTCAATCCTTCCAGTGGAACAAAGTCAAGTACCGCGCAGACAAGCCCATCGCTGAGCTCGTCGACACACTTCAAAAGGAAGTCGCGTCAGTGGACAACGATGTCAAAGCCAAATTCAACCAATACAACACCACGAAGAACAATCTCGCCTCCCTACAACGAAGTCACACCGGAAACCTCTCGCAGAAGTCATTGACCGCCGTCGTGAACCCAGACACTATTCTCAAGCCCGAAGACTCCGAATACCTACAACAGCATCTGATCGCAGTACCAAACCAGCTTGTCAAGGACTTCCTTAAGACATACGAATCATTAACGGAAATGGTCGTCCCCAGATCTGCCCAACTTCTTGCGAAAGACGATGAATTCCAACTGTGGGCAGTGACGACGTTCAAGAAAGTCAGCCAAGAGTTTGTACATAAGTGCAGAGAACATCGATGGGTGCCAAGAGATCTGAAGTTCACGGAGGGAGGACGGGAAGCAGAGGAGCAAGAACTCCGCAAGCTTGAGAAGGAAGAGAAGAGAGTCTGGGGTGAGGCGCTGAGGTTAGGACGTACAGGCTACAGCGATGCTGTCATGGGATGGATACATGTGCTCACACTTCGGGTCTTCGTGGAGACTGTTCTGAGATACGGGCTTCCGTTGGCCTACGTCTGTGGATTGATCAAGGTTTGTACACCGAGAGTGATCGCAAGTCGACTTCGAGCTAATCATGACTACAGACCGACTCGAAACGCGCAAAGAAGGCCAAGTCATCACTTGACTCCCGATTCTCAGATCTAGGCGGCAACGCCATGAGCAAGGACAAGAAAGGGAAGCCTAAGCAAGATGACTCCAACATGCAACAAGAAATGGCCAGTGCCGGCTTCGGTGGCGACCAGGGCTTCGAGCCATACGTGTTTTACGAGTTCGAAATCATATAGATGGAGATACGGACATGGGTCATGGGCCGGTTGGACTCTTGTACAATGAATCAGAGCTGTTTGACAGGCGAGAAAGCGTGTACTTTCTGTATACTCATAGCGCATGGAAGAGAGAAAGACGCCTTACTGCAACTCGATGTCAGTCTTCGTGTTGACAGGCGCTCCGGCAGTCAGTCGAGTCATGTTGGTTGGTTCGGGTGAGTCGCGCACGTGGCGAAGGATCATCCCACGAGACACTGCCACTTCACCTCCTCCTCCTTCTTCTCCTTCTCAGGCAGCCTGGCACACCAAGATGACTCCTCTACTTGCACTTATGTCACAGCCCACGAGATCGGCACGACGAGATCATCGACATTCCAGCACCCACCATCGGACATGAGCTACTCGAACCAATGCCCAAGACGGGACAGGCCTGTGAACATTCATCTCCACATCGCTGCCCCGGCCAGCTTCCCTCTCAGCCGCACGCAGAGCTCTAGACGTGAGGGCTGGGTGGGCTGATCGAAAGTCTCGCCACGCAATAATCTGTCCTCGTCGGTACCTGTACGCCTGCGCATGTCTCAAAGATTTCCCCAAAGATAACACCGGCCAAAGAAGGTGTGCATACGAAACACAACATAACACACGTACAAAGATAGCAGCAGTGGATGTTGGAAGTCTCATGCTGGCACGCAATTGGCTCGCTTGTGCTCGGGCGCCCTAAAGTGCTTGTGCTGCCGGTCCCAAACACGGTAAGACTCAGCTGAAGAAGAAGAATCCTTCAACCACCACTCTCTCGGGGCTACGGCTAGACGCTCCATGCAAGTACACCGCCGCCGAACATCGCCAGCGACAAGCAGGCGGCGCATTGTATCAGCCGGCGTGTCACTGACGCACAATGAACGACGACGGCAACGATTGTCGCGGATAGCCGCTGCTGCGCCGTGCAGGTGCGGTGGCTCTCCCGCATGATGTGCGCGAGCAGGGTGGCCGTTCGCGTGCCAGGCCGAGCTCTTGGTAGCTACTAAGAGTGATAAAAGACGCTACCTACACCGGTGAGGGTGTTGGAGGATCACGATAGCATCGCGTCACCCGACACCAGCACCGCGCTTGTTTGCTCTTCCTCCACTCCACTACTGTCTGCCACACCCGTCGCCTATACCTTACCATCTCGGCCCCCACTCCAGCTGAACGGCAAGACCAGGAAGGACAGACTAGAGTCCCGACGAGGCCTGTTGGTACCGCACCGCGCTGATTAACTTCCCTTCCCTTGGGCGAGCTCACCTGTTCCTGTTCCTCTTCTCCCTACTTCCAACCCTACGGAACACACATCAGTGGCACTCTCTCGTAATCCGTCAGGCTTCCCATCTGCCTCGAACTGCGTGGCTCTGCTCTGACAAACCGCCTCTATCTCCGTCTATCTCCTACTTTTCTTCTTGCAATCCGCATCGCTTGAAAGAAGCAAGATCAAAAGCAAAGGCAAAACACAACCATGAACATCAACGGCTACTACGGCGACGACGCCTGGGACTATGGCCACAAGCGTCGCCCCTCACCCCACCATGGATACAGCGACTACCCAAACGGCTTCCTTGCGCCTGGCATGGGCGGGGGACTTCACCGAAGCAGATCGCAGGGCCACGGACCTGCGCCCACGATCAACGTCTACAACCGCAACTTCCAAGACCAAGAGGGATCTCCCATGCCTCCATACGTGCCATACCCCGCTTCCCCACCATCCCACCGCGCCTCATCACGCTCGTCCAGCCACAGCCGTGGTCGCAGTCGATTCGGCGAGAGACTAGGCGATGAGATCCTCGAGCGCGAGATTGCTGATATGGTGTTGGAGAACCGCTTGCGATCGCGGTCGAGAGGTCGTTCAGATGCTTCTGCTTTCGATCGGCCGCCTTCTGGACTCGCTCAATGGCAGCTGGCGCAGAGGGAGGCTGAGCTGAGGGAGCTGTCGCGGGAACGGCAACGTAAGCTTGACGAAGATCGCATCAAAGCCCAGGCTAGATTGGACGCTTTGGACAACGAGCGGAAGATGCGTGATGCGCAGGACAAGAAAGAAGCGGACGAGAAGCGATGGAGGGACGAGTATGAGCGAAAGCAGCGCGAAGCCAAGGACAAGGCCAAAGCAGACGAGCAAGCTTTGAAAGACAGGTTGGAGCGTGAAGCCAAGGAGAAAGAGGGCAGAGACGCGGCAGCATACAAGGCGTTCAAGCAGAAGGAGCAGGATGAGAAGGACGCCAAGGAGCGCAAGTACAATGAATTCCTGCGGGAGCAAAAGGAGCGGGAGGAGAAGAAGAAGCGCGAGGAGAAGGAGGCCGAAGAGAAATTCCAAACTGAGATGCGCAGGCGTCTGCAGAGTCTTGGGTACACCGAAGCGACGATCGACATGATGGTGGACGAGGAGAAGGCGAAGAAGTTCAAGAAGACTGTTCAGACCACGGACACGCTCGATGTCTGGCGGCCACCGCGTGCGCCCATCTATCCCAAGATTCGGCGCGAGTTTATTGAGATTGATACGTTGAAGTGTGCGTATCCATCACGATCACACTTACTTCAGACGAAATGCTAATATTGTCAACAGACTACGACCTGCCATGGAAATACGACAGCGTAAGTCCATCAACCATCAATCCTCCACCTGTACACTACAGACTGACTGAACCTGTACAACAGAGCGACCCCGACTACATCATCATCATGCGCGACATGGACAAGCGAGAAACTGACTACCTATTCGAGCATACGTCACGCCTGCGATCCGGCAAGCTGCTGATCGAACCGGCCAAGAAGCAGGACAAGCAATTCGCACTGTACCGCAGGAGGTCGAAGAGTCGATCTGGGCGGCCGGTCGAGGTTGGGATTTTGCGGAGAGGATGATGAGGTTCGGGAGTGGGATACGTTCTCAAGCGGCATGGATGAAATGCTTCTTTTGAGTTTTGGTTTGGTTTGGGGATGTGGTGAATTTTGGGTTGGAGATTTGCGATTATTGATGTTTTGGGGTTGCGTGAATGAGATATACCACTTCGTGAACGGGCACTGGAGGCCACCAGCGACATCATAGGCAAGAGGCGCTGTCGGCTATTTTGAAGAGCATTTGTTATCTGCTTTTTGCGCGCACGAACTCCTTACGAAACAATCCCTCTCCTCAGCAGACAGCATAGCGTACAGGAATCCCTATTTGATTTACGACCTCAACCCCCTTACCCTTGACCATGCTTCAACCCATCAAGATACCCCACCAACCTCTTCTTGATAACAACACCCACCAACTTTCCGGACCCTTCCTCCGTCACCATCAAATACCTCACGCCCAGTTTTCCGAACATCTCAACAACGTACTCCATCGGCGCCGTGGCAATCACCGCCAGCGGCGTCCGATCGACGAAGTGCGAGAGATCGAACTCACCATCCTCCTCTGCGTGTCCCAGCAGTCGAACCTCAGCGTCTTCTTCGAAGATACGACCCAGTTCGTTCAGGCCGAATTCGAGTTCACTCTCGGCGAGGTAGCCCTGCAGCATACCGTTATTCTGCACAAGGACAAGACCAGCATCCATGAGACCTCGAGCTTTGAGCTGATCCAATTTCTCCTCGAGCAGCTTCCGCGGGACCTTATTATTCACCGGCACATGAACCGTGATCTCCTCCATCGTCTGCCTCGGCGGGATAAGATCCGCCGCGAGCGCATTCTCCCTCTGCACCAGCCCGATACTATGATCCAGATCCAAGAACAGATGCCCCAGAACCGCCTGCGCGAGATCGTACACGCCGTCCTTGCCCAGCGCGTCCGCGACCCATTTCGCCACGAGGATGGCGATCATGTGCGGGAGGATGTATTCGATCTCGCCGGTGACTTCGAACATTATCACGCAGAGGGAGATGGTCATGCGCGAGACGCCGGCGAGGAAGGCGGCGGCGCCGACCATTGCGAAGATGCCTGGGGAGATGGAGGGGATCGCTTGGCCGACGAGGCGGCCGAAGGAGGCGCCTGCGTCGAGGGAGGGGATGATGACGCCCGAGGGGACTTTGATGCCGAAGGTGATGATTGTGAGGATGAGTTTGGTGAGGGTACCGTAGATCAGGTAGCCGTAGTAGCTGCCTCGGTCGCGGAGGGTTTCTTGTTGGCAGACCCATGTGTCGAGGGAGGCGTCGCGGCGACAGTCGACGAGGAGGTTCTTGATGATGATGTCGCCGGGCTCTCGGGTGAGGGGGTTGGGGTATTGGAGGAGGACTGTTACTAGGACGACGAGGAAGACTTCGAAGACGGGGTTGTCCTTGATGATGGAGAAGGAGCGGAACCATTTCGACCAGATGAAGTTGAGGCGGCAGAAGAGACCGCCGAAGATGCCGCCTGCGACGCCTAGTAGCACGAAGACTAGGTAATGGATTGGGTTGTATGAGGTTCCGTAATTCGTTTCGAAAAGGACCAATTTGCCCGTGCCGTTCGGATTCAGCGCCTTCAATACCATCGCCGCGAAGAGAGAGCACAGGAATGCTCGCCATAGGACCTTTCTGGGGAAATAGGTCGATATCTCCTCGTAGGAGAAGAGCACGCCACCGATGGGTGCTCCAAATGCAACACTCAATCCAGCAGCGCACGCAGCTGAAAGTACCTCTCTCATCTTGCGGCTATTCTCGCGGTATTTGGGGAAATGCCGGGCGACAAGATATCCCACACAGGTTGAGATATGCACGAACGGCCCTTCCTTCCCCAAAGTCATTCCCGTCGCCACGGCGAAGACTGCTCCGACCGCTTTGACCACGAGGACTTTCAAATCCAGGAAGTTGGGAATGACGAAGCCAGAGAGGATGGTCTTGATCTCAGGGATCCCGCTCCCCGCGGCCATATACATACTCTTCCCCTTCACCGCAGGCTGTCCATACATATCCTTATCGCCCGTCCCCGGAGCCGTCGCCGGCAACGATCGTTTCGTAAGCATCGTGACGCCCCCAGCAACGAGTCCAAACGCCAGCGCAAAGCCAAGATATATCATGAACGCCGGACCAAAGTCCTTCGACCACACCTTGAACTCGGTACACTCGCTACCACTCTGCTGGCCTGTGAAAAGGGGCGTCTTGTCCTCGCAGCATGCTTCTCGCGTCATGAAGGGATTGCGTGTGCAGTAGCCGAGTTTCCAGTCGCTTACGGTGGCTTCTGCGATGTCGACTAGGAAGGCTACGCAGGCGGTTAAGGTTCCTATCAGGGCTGCGGCGATCCAGCCTGAGGCTTGGTCGAAGAGGTTGGTGAGTTTGTGGCGGAGGCCTTTGCGTTCGTTGACGGAGCGGAGGCGGTATGAGTCTTTGACCTGTTGGCGATTAGCCAGGTGAAGTCTGTCGAGATGTGGCTCCCGCTGCTTGCCAGATCATGGAGCCAGTCGATGGTGGTATAATCATTGCTTGGATATCATCAACGATAATTCACGTTCACGAAATGAACCATCTTACTACGCCAATCGCTCGCCTACTGAAGCATCAGCGAGCTTCTGCTCCTCCTCTGTTACATGGCTCTGAACAATCGAGCTGGCATCTTCTTCACGCTGGATCTTGCTCAGCCCTCGATCTCGGGGTACGTCGAGCAACGGCGTTCGCTCGTGCTCTTCCATGTCGTCTCCCGCCTCCAGCAGATGTCGAGCTTTGTCAAAACAAGGCCAGAGGACGGATGAAGACAGAATGGCCAGCTGGGACATCAGACGCAAAGTACATGACGTCCATGTTGCTTTACTTTTCAGCGCAGCTCAGGCTCCTGTGCGATAAGAGACGCCTCTTCAGAAGGTCTGACTGGCTGATAAGGATCGCTGGCAGCCACAAGTCTCGATGAACGCCTGGTTCTCCATGGCGTTGTCGATGTCGAGCACGTGAAAGGCGGTCAGCGTGGGCCATATCAAAACCTCCACAGTTCACGATGAAGCCTTCCCCCACGACCTCGCTGTCCTCACGAATTTCCTGTCACGCGACCAAGTGAGGTGTTTGTTGCTAGGCCGCGGCCGGTCGAAAACCGAAGGACGGACTAAACGCCACCAAGGCAGGGTCCACGCTCTGGATGTCCTGGCAGAGAAGTCGTGGCCCAGCATCAAACAACTCGTCCTGCTCTCTGTGTCTCGCTGTGTTGGAAAAAGAACGACAATGTCACCCGACCTGCTCAACAAGCTCAGTCCTGGCTGGGTACGCAATGGTCTTACGTTGTTCGATACTCGTCACAGCAAGAAAAGGGCCCTGTTACGACACTAGTTTCATCTGATGAAACCGCTGGCGCCCACGACTTGCTGCGATCAGGCTGGCCGCCCACTCTCCCACCTTCCTGCTCGATCACCCGTCTCCGCGGCTGGCCAGAAAAGGAGGCCTTTTCGAAACCTTTCACGATGGCCTTTCGACTCTCACACGTGGAATCTGGGAAGACATTCCACCTGTGAGCCATTGCGCAGGAACAGGCAAGACGAATTGGCCATCCAGCCGTCGAATCCACTTATTCCCGCACGTTCTCAGACCTTGGATCTTCACATGCCAGCGAAATAGGGTGCCTCCAGCCCACCTCGACCTCACTTCGCCCCGCTTCCGCTCTGCAGACTGTACGTCAGTCACAGGGATCGAGCAGCCCTCCAGGCACAGAGGTCCTGTCCACTGGCGCTGGCCGAAATACGCTCTGCCGAAGGAAACTCAAGAGACTGGCGATTGTGTGGCCTATATAGCCGAAGGGTTGCATGCTTTTCAGACGGCCCTGCGCTGTTTCCTAGCGCCAATTGGGAGCTGTACGCAGAGCCCACACGTCGACTGCGACCTTTTCGCCGCAAACCGTCCTATTATAATGAGACATTGCTTTTCGATCGCTGCTGCTGCTACCACTAACAACACTCGTCCACATGTCGTCCATTCCTCAGAACGCGTCTACCGGCCGCCCAATGCCCGACCAAGTCGACTCACCGCTCGCCCTGCGGCATATTCCCTTCACCTTCGACAACGCGGACCCTGAAGCGAGTGCGTTAAGGCTGATCGAGGAGTATGCGCCGCAATGGAAGACGGAGGAAGGCGAGGTCAAGCTCACGCGCTTCACCGATGGCATCACGAACACGCTCATGAAGGCGACGAAGAAGCGACCTGGTCGGACACAGCTGGAGGTGGAGTCGGATTCCGTTCTGATGAGGGCATACGGTAAAGGCACAGACGTGTTGATAGACCGCCAGCGAGAGCTGAAAGCACACAACCTACTCGCGACGCTTGGGTTAGCACCACCACTACTTGCAAGATTTGACAATGGGCTCATGTACCGTTTCGTACCTGGTCATGTCTGCTCACACACGGACCTGGCGAAGCCTGAAATCTATCGCCAAGTCGCGAAGAGACTCGGGCAATGGCACGGCGCCCTTCCCATCTCTGCCATCGCAGCAACCCCCATCTTAGATGCCCAGACCGACCAAAAGCCCTTCGCACCCACAAACGGCCAGAGCACCCGCCCATATCCCAATACATGGACCGTCCTGCAGCAGTGGATCGATGCATTGCCTGAGAGCACTGATAAAGAAACAGAGCGCAAGAAAATGCTCAACGCCGAACTTGTCGATGTATCCGCGAAACTCGGTGACACGCCTGGTCTCGACGGCAGAGACTACGTTTTTGTCCATCATGATCTCTTATGTGGAAACGTGATTGTGACTGAGGCCGAATCCACATCAAACGGAACGTCCAAGGAGAAGCCGGTTACATTCATCGATTACGAGTACGCCACTCCAGGTCCTGCCGCGTTTGATATCGCCAACCACTTCGCTGAATGGGCTGGATACGATTGTGAGCACGATGCGGTACCTACGAAATCGCAACGACGAGAATTCCTGAAGCACTACGTCGGCAGCTTCCGCTACCACTCAATATCAGACAACGACTCCATCGCTGTAGAGATCGACTTTGAAAAGGACATCGAGACACTATACGACCAGGTCGAGCGATTTAGGGGCATGCCTGGTTTCTTCTGGGGCGTTTGGGCGTTGATCCAAGCCATGATCAGCCAGATCGACTTCGACTACACCAAATACGCCGAACTTCGACTGAGCGAGTACTTCGCCTGGAAAGAGGAAAGCGACGGCTCGAGAGCGAGAGAAGGGCGGGAAATGCACGTCCGCGAGAAGAGGTGGCATTCCGAGTAGCTGGACTCCCAGCTGCACAAACACTGAGGGTTAGCTATTCAACAAGCAGGGCCCAAACCAATGCAATCTACACGACCGACTTTTGTTGATGCGAGATTCTCTGGGAGCGGGTGCATAGGAGCATTTAGTAGGGTTGGGGAAGGGGAACCAAAAAAGTACGGCATTACGGCACGATGAAAGACGACTGACCCAAACGGTCTATTTACCCCCCTTTCACTTTGACGACGATGCCATCGGTCGTGGTGTCTTTTCTCTGAGAGATTGGATTTTGAGGAAAGACTGTGTAAATAATGTATCTAAAGAATGAGTGCGAATGTTGAGATGTTCATATGAAGCCATCAATCCATACCGAGGAGGCAACATCTTGACTGCTTCTGTAGATACGGTATTTACAATGTCGTCCACGGTACGATTCGCTGAGATGATTGTCAGGACTCTTAACATCGTTGCTCACAGAGTTGGAACGTACTGTACAGCAATACGCATGCCTGTTCCATATGAAGTGTCTCCTATCTTCGCCTATGAACCTGACAATAATGCTTTCGTCTGTCCAGAACACGGCCTGATCCAGCTCTTAGCTTTTGTACTAAACGGATTGGCATCGTCCTGCCATGTGACGACTCCCTTTTCTCGCCAAGTTCGAATGTAAACATGTCCTCCGAAAGGCTTTTGGAAAGATACCAACACCATTTGGCAAATAGGAAGCTCTTCGCACACGCAAAGATCTATCCAAATAATCAATATGGAGCCTATTGGACTTCTCTTAACGTCGCTGACAGTCACATGGCATTGACAATAGAAGCAAAACGAAAAATCGATATCGACGACCAGAGACGACGTATACCAAAAAAATTGACGGAAAAGGACACAAGAAGGACTTGTTCCAGTGTCAAGGAGCCTCACTGCGTCGTCTGGTTGTTGTTTAATGTCCACTGGCCATGAAAAAATAGCAAGTGAACAGCAAGATTCACATCCATACCCATGTCCTTAAAAAGTTCCTCGACCCAGACTCGGCCAAGATATCAATCCGAAACCACCTCGAGTCCACTTAAAAGGTCAAAAAGAATTGTCTGACCTACGTAGGGCTCGAACCTACAGCCTCTTGATGTAACAATATACTCTCGAAGAGAGACAGTCGTAGTCAAGCATTCTACCATTGAACTAGCAGGCCGTGATAATCCTGATTCGATGAGGGAGTTGAAGCAGTAGTTGAATATGACTGTTGAAAATCTGCGTGCCGAAGTACGCCCGGATGACATGGGCCTTCGTGGGACCCCTCGGTGAGTCAGTGCGGCGTGACTAGGAGCTCCAGATTGCCGGCAGCGAATTGATGTGCTTATTTGGCGTGTTTCTTGCGTCTCAATGGCAACATGTCAACGGGACGGGTATCGATTCGATATTTCGGCTTTGCATCGATCTTGAAATCCCATCACATCTTCAAACAGACCAGGACCAGACGCGAGACATCTATCCGGACGAGAGAGCCATATCGACAGCATTTGCGAGAGCGAAAGGTAGCAAGTAGGGTGATCGTTCGCCAATTCCAAGTTCATCGGATCGATATCGACCCGTTCGATTCGACGTCGAAATGCGATATTGAAATCCAGGCCGGCCGTTCAGCGAAGTAGACCACATATCCACTTTACCGCATTCCAACACAAACGCAGAACCAGCACGTTCCTTATTCTTCACTTCTCAGCTTGGGTTGTCACAATTCATAGAATGATTTTCTCCATCTTCTGCCGATGGCTGGCTCTTCTTCTGGCGGATATGGTTTCGCAGCCTGGGCTTGACGCTTGGGACTGTATGCGGACTGGATTAGAGACGGCAATATGTCCGAAAGTCGGATTCGTCGAATCCAAAGGTCGAGCAATCGACATTGACCGGGTAACGTCGAGTTGCAACGAGGCAACTTTTGAATCGAGGCCTGCCTTAATTCGAACCCTCGTATCACAACTTCCTACACAAAAGGAAGACATCATTCTCCAACTCTTCAAATACAAAAACTCTGGGGTATCACAACTCATCAAACAACCGATTCAGCGCCACATTCTCCCTGGGACTACTCGTCGGCCTCAACACCGCCGTAATCGGACTCGCAATCTCATTCCCAAACTCATCCAACACTTTCGCGACATGATGGATCCTCGTCCCGACCGTACTGCGATGCTTCGCCGTCCACACCCCCAACACCAACATCACAAACCCCAACAGCACCCCCCACACGATCCACCAATTCTTCCTCCGCTTCTTCTGCTTCTCCTTCTCGCGCTTCTCGTACGCCTCGATGCGGTTCCGCGCGGCCTCGAGGCGCGCGTTGAGCGCGTTGGTGTGGTCTTTGGAGGACTTGAGGTGGGCGACGAGGGTGTTGATGGTGGATTCCTGGCCGGCGAAGTTGCCGAAGGCGTTGAGGTTGCGTTTCGTTTCCGACACGAGCTGTGAGGTGTCGGTGGTGAAGGATGCGTGCAGGCGGCGGGACTCGTCGGTGAGTTGGGAGAGGCTGGCGACCGTGGAGCGGAGGATGGAGGCTTTCTCGAGGATCGAGTAGTAGGTGTCGTCGAGTTGACGGGTGCTGCTCATGGCTGCTTCTTCGACGGTTTTGAGACTCTCCCGGAGCTCTTCCTCGCGCTGCTCATTTTGATCTCTAACCCGCTTCACGTCTATCGGCCTGACCTTTCTCTTTGGAGTCTGAATGGCATGCTGTGCTGCCCAATTGGCTGCATTATCCTGCTGCGGTTGATGAGGCCTGTCATTCGTACCACCTCTTGAACTAAGATCCGGGCTCTTTTTGTCTCGTCGAAGGAGAGTATCAAAGCTAATGGGAGGTTTGAGCTCTATCGCCGACTGAACTGTCTCCTTCGCCTTATGCCGGTGATGATGATCCTTGGAGCCCGTAAACGCGCGATGACGAATACTATTCGAATGCAGTCGTCTATGAAGGTGTGATTTATCGTGATGCTGCTGTTCGGGAGCTGGAGGGTCTGTTCGAGACCGCGAGGGGGATACGTTGGGCATGGGAGCGTCGGTGGTCCGCAGAGCCGGGAGTTGTTTACGCAGAAACGAGGCATCCTTCTTGTCGGAGGCCATGATGACCTGATGGACGGATACTAGGGTGTCGGCTGTGCAGGCCCGCCTGCGTTGCTGACTTGTAATCCGTTGCCAACCGCCAATGGTCGCTGTACGAAGGTGAGATGCTTGACGTGGACGTCACATGCAAAGGCCCCAGCTTCTGAAATTGTGGGTCCGGGGAAAGGCTAAAGCACCTCACGTTGGGTTTCACTTCTATAGTCTTCATGTGCACAACAGAACAACGACGATGAACAATCTACAACCGTCGGTTTTGCAGAGATCTCGAAGGCACAGCGTGTGCATTTCATTTCAGTCGATCACCCATCTCAACGCCGCGCTAGAACATTCAAAGCATTCCCGTCTCAGAACATTTCCATCTCGTCGTCTCCACCAATTAGTGGGAATCGACCTTGACTGATCTCACTCCTCCTATCCAGCTCAGCCGTATAGTCTCTCTTAACGTCCTCCAACGTCACGAGCTTCCTCTTACTTCCCACGCCATGCACACCTTCAATCGGGTCCGCCAGCAACCACGCTTGGTCTTCACCGCAGCAACCGAGCGTGTTGATCAGTAACACATACATCTGCGGCAATGTGTCATCGTCGGGGTCTCGAACTGCCAGCTTGTTAGACTTTCGAAGGCGCTCGAGGTGTTCGTACAGAATAGCGGCAGCGCCCCTGAAGTTGGATTGTTGGGTGCGGAAGGCGAACAGGATCTGGTGATAGGGAGGTCCAGAAGGCAGACCTGACGCCATGGCCTTTTTCGCCAAACCAAGCAAAATCGCATCTGCTTCTTGCGCCAGGTCGCCTTGCACGTCCAACTCAAGCATTGCAGCGACACTGTCCGATTTGATGCAAGTCTCGAGCAAGGTACGCAAGCAGTTGCTTTGCTTTTCAGTCTCATTCACACGAGACAGAGCGTCGAATGCCAAAGCAAAGCGGCCGGTCTGGTTGAGGGCGTTGAATTTGCTGCACAGCAGACTGTCTCTGGTGGTCCTAAGCTTCAGGATGCGAATCTCTTCCATGGTGTTGCCAAGAATATCTTGATGCGATCCCTCTTGACTCTTACGAAGGTCGAGATCCATAAGCGATTGGTCGAGATCGTTTTCGTTCAGGTCATCAAGCGCCATCGAAGCGAAGTCGGCTGTGTACGAAGGCACTCCAGCCTTTTCGAAGAGAGCGGTGATATGCTTGAAATAGAAGACAAGGCCTTGACCGAAAAGCTCTTGTGCTTCCTCTTGCGAGACCACCGGACTTGGCAGGTCCTTAAGGGTTGCCATCGTGTGCGCGGCATCTTGAAAGGCGAAGCTCGCCAGTTCGTAGTCACCGGTAGAGACATAAAGGCGGCCTTTCAGGTAGCATATCCACGGTGTGTCCGGAAGAAATGCGACAAAGTCCAGAGCTAGCTCAATGTCGTCGTGCAATAGAAGGTCAGCCAGAATGTGGGCTGTGATGTCGTCGCCCCACTTGCTAAGGTCGAGCCCAAAGGCCCATCGCTTGCTCCAGGCAGTCAGGAGCTCTGGCAGTCCATACTCCATGCTGTTGATGCGCGGTACCGGTTGCCAATCCCGCGCGAACATCGATTCGTATATCGTTACAAGGTCGACGATTCGTCCTGTGGGGTGCACTGACTCTTGTCGTACATTACTGCACAACCAAAGTCGCAGCTCAGTGCGTCTCAAGTGCAACATTATCGCTTCGTAGACTTCCTTCGGACGGAAGTCCGGACTAAGCTCAGACTGCTCCAGCTCACAGTGCATGAACACCACGAGCGCGAGTAAGTCCAGGAGTACAGATTCGGCGCGCTGCAGGGTCTCCTGGACAATCAATACGCTCATAGACCTTCCATATCGTCCAAGAACCTGACCGCCATCTTTTTCGCGCGTTCCGGATACGGGAGAGTCTTCGATGTTCTCCAATACCATGAGGAACTGGTCGTCTGTGAGGCCACCAAAGGTACCGAACTGATCGGCGGCACTTTCTAGCTGAGTGAATTCCTCGTCCCCGATCTCGTCTGCGAAATTGCACTGAGTATCGAGAAGTTGCAAAGTCTCTTCGACGGATACATCAGATCCATGCTCCAGCGCACTCAGCAGCGCCTCTCTTTTCAGCTTGTCTTGAGAAGGACCGGAGAAGAATTGTCGTAATTGGCGAGCCACGGCGAGTACTTGCGCGCCAACGACATCTTCATTGCCGGTGAAGATCCTATTCTTGACGACAGCATCCACCTTGAGAGTGGGATTGTCGATGAGCATGTTGGAGTTCAAGCCTAACTTTTCGGCCGCACTACTGGCCCGGATTGGTGCTACGAGGTCGGCACAGACAGTCCACGCAAGACCTTCCTCAGCATCGAATGCAGATCCGATCACCTCGTGTCTGCGGCTGTGAAGGTGTGCAAGTAGGGAGAAGAAGGTGGTCCACTGCCCGTGTAGGTCTTGTTGATATTGATCGAAGTCTGGCTGCTCGTTGGACGATCGCTTTAGCAAGATCTTTGCCGATACTGCATTCGAGATGCGCTCTTTGAGCGGTTCTTGTGCCCCTCGACCACTCGATGTTGAGATTAGGTTTCGTCCTTTTCGATAGATATGTAGAGCAGTCTCGATCGATGCCTGGCTGAACCTTCCTGGGTAGAAGATGTACTTCAACCATCTCTCGCTTGGCGTCGTTGCGCCATCGCTACCAGGATCAATGCCGTTCAAGTCCACAGCACGCCTCAACTCGTCGACAGTACCGTACGAGGCATCGACGACACTCCAGCCAGTCTTGAACATCTCCTCAAGATCGAAAGCCATGTCATTCTTGTCAAGAAGGTCAAACTCTAAGGTGAAAGTTCTGGAGCTGGATCCGCTTCTGACTCTAATCCATAGCTGGGACCTCTGCCATTGGGGCCCAGGAAAGACAACAAAGTCTTCCAGATGCCAGATATTTGTATTCATCAAGTCTTCCACAGGTGGGACAAGATTCGCTCGTGGCTGCGCATCTTGGATGTCTATCCTATCGCCCTCGATGGAAGTGAATGTTGTCTCGATGTCGAAGAATTTGAACTCGTGGGTTTTGGGCAAGTACGTCACCAGGAAGTATGGGTCGGTGTCGCTGACCTTCTGCCGGCGCGGCGGTCGTACGAGGTGTAACTGCGTTCCCTGCTCTGGACTCATGATGTTACGCGCGTATTTCTTGCGATCTTCTGCTTCTCCACCTTCGTCTAACAGGTCTTTCACTGCCACCACCTTTCCAGTCTCAACACTCCATGCTTTGAGCATGTGGTCGAGAGTGACTGTCCAGATGTATTTACCGTCTGTGCTCTTCGCAATCGCTGTGATTGCATCGCCAAAAAGCTCGGAATCTCCATACCGAACGGTCTGTGGTTTGTAGCCGGGAATCAAGCCTCTGAACGAGCCCACCAGTCCTCTCTCGCCATAGTTCGTCTCACGCCATTGACCGCCGATGTCGTCTTTTTGTCGCTCCAGCCGTACCATGCTGCCGTCATGCAAGGTAATGACAAGTTCATTGTTGCTCACGGCGAACAGTCGATATGGACGCTTGTAGCTCAGTTGCCCAGGAGCCATCCTCTTGACACATGTCGATGAGTCGAAATCTAGAGGGACTGTATTCCGCACCAGCAATTCGCGTCTGAGCGTGATGGTGTAAAGCTCATTGCTCGCAGTGAGCACGAAGATATCCAAAGCATCCTTTTCTTCCGCATCCGCCAATGCCACACCCCCAGGGATAATAGGTGCGGGAAGATCGATGTGAAAGGTGAGCCACGACTCGGCTTTGGCGTGTTTCTGATCGAGCACGAGATCGACGCATTGAACTTCGAGCACTTGTCGGTCGTTCAGCACGCGCCAGAGAAAGCTGCGAGGAGCCTTGGTCTTCGGTCGGAAGAAGATCGAGCCTTCGGTAGCCAGGTATTTGTTCGCGTAGCTCTCCTCGTCCAGGCCACTTATTTCATCGAACGGTCGCTTTCGGCCAGCACCAAATACAGTGACTGCACTGTTTCCCGCTGCGTTGATGTGGAGGATTGAGCCAGGCACGGGCGTTGCTGGGATGCGAGTCTCTTGATATAACACCGGAGCACTGGACATTGTGAGATGGTCTCCGTGGGTAATGCCAGGCTCAGGCGACGGAGGGTTGTTGAGAGAGTGTTTGTGTTTGTGAAGCTGGAGCTCTGAGAAAGTTGGAGGAGCGCGAACCGCGTTCCAGAAAGCTTGGCGCGGATGACCAGCCACATGGCAGACCCCTATCGACTTCACTTCACTTCAAAGCTCAAAACTTGTTCAGAATCTCATGCTTTTACTGGGTATATGGACGCGACTAATAGCAAGTGGTATCATTCCTGTGGCATCTCATGCCAACCCTCGTCATTCAAACGTCGACTTCGTTTTCTCCTCTTCAAGAGCGAATACCTAAGCGGCAACACTGCTTCGCCTCCTGTCATTACCGCCCTTCTTACGGCCGATGCCAACCACCTGGATCATCTCCTTCCAGAAGCCAACTGGTGGGTCGATGAAGGTCTCTTCGTACGCATCGACGAGTGGGCGTTCCCACACGAGGTCAGCCTCAGAGGCCTTGACGAACTTCGTGCGCTTGATCAACTTCCAGCCGACGAACAATACGGGGGCTAGGATCCTGCACAGTTGTCAGCACTCTCAACGACTATGTTTTTTTTGGAGTTGCAACACCTACAACATTGTATAAAATGTAAAAAAGCTGTCGACGGACCATGGCTTGAACGACGAATAGCCATAACAAAACACCATAATTAGCATCCATGCCAACCCGATGTAGGCCGAGTAAGGCTGGAACCATCCGCGGTATGGCAGCGTGCGGCGATCGAGTCCTTCGGCCTTGCAGGCGTTGTAAAAGAAGATGTAGGTAGTCGCCATGACGACGTAGTTGATGATGCCGCCAGCAGTGATGAGGTTGACGAGCCAGGTGAGAACCTTCTCAGAACCGGAGCCCAACTGCAAGAATGCGAGACAAGGGAAGCACATGACAACGCAGAAGCAGGCGAGCGGCACTCCCTGCTTGGTGCAGTATCGCAGGAACTTTGGTGCGCGACCTTCGAGAGCCAATCCGTAGAGGGAGCGAGTGGCACAGTATGTTTAGGTGTTGCCGGCGGAGAAGATACTAGTAACCAGAAGAGCGTTCACAAGGTGAGGCAACCCAGACACTCCAAGATTCTTCATGGCGATGACATATGGAGAAGCAGATGCAGTGCCGCTTCCGGTGCTGTCTCCCGACAGAATTGCGGTCAGAGTAGGGTCGTTGTAGGGGATGAGCACTCCAACGCAAAGAGAGCCCAGGATAAAGAAGAGTCCGAATCTCCAGTACACGGTCTTGAACGCATTCTTGATGTAGATGCGTGGTCGCTTGGCCTCAGCTGCTACCATGGAGATGTACTCCGGGCCGACAACGCAGAAGGAGGCCGACCAGAGACCGGCGAGGAAGCCTTCGAAACGTCCAAGATCGCCAGTCGAAAGGTACTCTGCGAAGGGCCCGGGGTGATTCCAATAGCGGAAACCGTAGGCATCGCCTTGGGGGTTTCCGCCACACATCGTAACGAATGTGAAGGAGAACAGCAGGAAGATCAAGATGACTTTGCCTCCTGAGAGCCAGAATTCAGCCTCTCCATAGGCCTTGACTGCAAGAATGTTCAGGGCACTAAAACGATGTCAGTCATTGTACGATGGTAAAAGGGCGCTTTGGGCAACGGCGCATTGGGCAAAACACGAAAATCCAAGCTGCTATAGGTGGTGGTGCTTTGGTGCTTTGGACTGGTACGAAAGTCGCATCTGGGAGGCTCACGCATAGAGGACGATGGCTACTGCAATCACGGCTCCAGCTGGAATGTCATCGCGCCAGAATCCAAGAACGGTGCACAGGGCAGTGATCTCAAAGGGAATGAGCAGTGCTGGTGAGTATTAGCAAAGGTAGGTATGCCGTGAGTTTGGACACTCTCACCTTCGTAGAGGAAGAAGTTCCAGCCAGCCATGAAACCAAAGGCATCGTCGACCCAGTGACCCGCGAGACGAATAAAACCACCAGACAGGCATCAAGATCGTCATTTCCGAGATGCAGTTGTTGATCAGGCCTAACATACAAGAATATATCGTATAGGCAAGGGAGAGACCGGCTGGTCCAGCATGATGCAGACCTGAGCCAATGCTGACGAAGAGAGCAGTACCGATGGAACCACCTATGGCAAGAAGTTGTATTTCCCTATTTCCCAGTCTTCGCTGGAGGTCGTCCTTGTTCTCGGAGACAATGCCTTCCTGGACCTCGTAGGTGTTGTCATTGTAGACTTGGACCTCAGTCTCTTTCTCTGTGCCGACGAACTTGTCGAAGACGCCCATGATGGCGGTGTTGTCGAGGCCTAGTGCGATTGCAGTTAATTGTTGAGCACCAAGGTAGGATGGAAAAGAGAACCAGGGCTCCTTGGATGGTCGTCAAGAGTCGTTATATGCCGCAGATTGGGCGGGCGCCAAGATGGCGTCGCTGGGTAGTGGTGTACTCAAACCACGCGACATTCGCTAGCGTCGTTTTCACATGCGCCTAGCACTCCACGAGCGAGCGCAGCGCTACTGGCTTCTGGGCCTGACCATGTTCCTACTTTTTCATGAACATCTTTGGCACTCTCAGAATTCGACCATTGTGATTTTGGCCGTCCACCCTGTGAAACATGTTGCTATTATTTGTTGCTCACTATCACGATCGTCGACGATAAAATGTGCAACCGCTCGTTCATTCCTTGTCGTCGTTCACGTCGCTGCCCAGGGCTGGGGTGGCTTGTCAGTCGACGGAACGCTATCTGTGCGTCTCCACACTGCCGCAACCTTGGAGATAGAGTTCGGAGCTGGCCAATAGCGTCGCCGTGCATCGCTCTTGCCGACGACGCTTCCACACGCTCGGCACCACGCCTCGTGCTGCAACTTTTCTCACTCTTGCGCGAGCCTCGACGCCTGGCGCTGCCTCTCTCTGGCATTCCGCAGAGCCTAGGCGCTCGCTCGACCTTTCGACTCGCTGCATGACGAAAAGAGTTCGAATTGCACGTGTCCGATCGGTCCATTGTCCGGACGGTGCGCCGTGGTTGCTCTCCAACTAGGATGCCTTATGAGGACTTCAAACATGACGGACATCAACCTACAATAGTCTCTCCTCAACCAAATTTGCGTCGCCATCTCTCGGTCTGGAAGAAAGGCTAGCGTCACATCCGTGTTGCCGTGCCTCCAGTCTCGAAAAGAGATCTGGGAGTTTCGACGCTCGCTGCAAGGGATCTCATCACACACCTCCAGGGCGTGCAGTCAACATGCAGATTACTACACCTCTTCCACCCGGGCGAAAGATGCGGTACTCGAATGCGGACTAGCTATGCGACAGCACTGCTCGGAAGAGGCGCTTCGATGGTGAGGCTCTGCACTTCGGACCTGCCAGCCTATAGCGACTTGATGAGCCTCGAAGGTGGCAGAGCTGAGGTCAAGCCTTCATGCAACCAAAAGCTGATGTTCCAACCACTGAGTGGTGTATCTCATGCGATTTACGCTACGTTTTACGAATCGCATGGACTGACACAGGCTAGCCCTCGCGCCATCCTCCGAAAAGAGCTGTTCCACCGGAAAATCAAGGACGTACTTGCGCCTCGAGAGTATTCGAGGTACGTAAAGTGCTTGACACTGCAAAGGTCAGGTGACATTTTAGACTTCGCGAAGCACAGACTCTCACCACTTTGCCAACGAACTTTAATCCTCGTGCTGCTGCGGACATCTCGTGCTTGCCGCACTCCATTAGCGACTTGTCAAGATGTCACCAAGAGATCGATTGCTCTAGGCTCTGGGCAGTGGCGGGCATACTGATAACATCGACTATGCAGTCGATTGGGACTAGAACACTATTCCAAGGACCGCGATTTCTCGCTGTCGAAATGCAACGGGCTTCCTGATGGCAAAGTCAACTGCGTCTAGCACCTGCGAACCCTCGCGCTCAACTTCGAGCATCGATAGGCCCCTCAAAGACACCCAACATTCGCTTCCTCAAGCACTTTGGAATACTTCGACGAAAGAGCAGACACCATCGCGCTTTTTAGAGCGCCCTCCATCTCCTTTGACATACCAGCAGCTGTGCAAATGGATGATACGACGAGATGCTTTCTGCTTGCTTGCATTATTGGGGACGTAAAGAGTTTCTGCGGTCTAAGATGATACGGGTGCATTCCCCATCCCAGCCCTTCTGGCAGATAAAACAGGAGTGAGGCTGTCCGCGACGTTGACTTGCAAGTCGGAGATTTCGTCTGGCCCTTCGATGATGATGGCTGCGGTCGAAAGTCACCCCATGCGGTGACATACTCTCCAGGATGCGCAGGCTTTGGCTTGTCCTGTGTTTGTTGCTTGTCCTCGTAGCCGATGGCGTGGAGGCGGAGCTTCGATGGCACATCTTCTAGAGATTGGGGTTGAGGTGTCGAATCAGCGTCTTGGCTCCAGGAGTGATTTCGTTGCCAGTTTGTTCGACGCTCGTTGTTGCTTGCATCGCGTGCAACAGCATTCAGTGTCGTGAGGTAGCGCAATTTCTTTCCAGCATAAAGAATTCGTAGTGAAGCTGCCATGGTGAAATGCTGAACCTGCAGCAGAATGGTGCTTACCAGGAATCATTTTCCTGGCACAGCTGCATGCCTTACACATATACAATCTAGGCCAAGGGCCATTGCTGAGCGTGAGCTGAGGCTGGCTCGCCGATCACATGTGAGGCCTCTCGGCCCCCTCCGAGGGGCTGAGCGTTGCTGTCCAGCTGGGTACGTAGGTACAAAGGACGATATACTGAAACCACCGGTCAAGTCCTTGGGCAACCTGGGCCGACTGAATGGAAGTTGACCAGATAGATCCAGAAATTCGAGAACGCTCAATCTCAATTCAATGAAACAGGCTCAAGTAAAATGTCCTGGCCCCTGAATCTCTGCCATTAACGCCCGTCAACTCGCCTGAGGTAAATACTTCCTAATAGCAGGCCCCGCATCCTCAGGAAGCAAAGGAAAAATCAACCTCGCCCCCGGCTGCTCCCTCACCACCTCACGGACCAAATCAGTGAAATAATCCCCAAGCTCCGGAATCGTCCTCACGCCACCCCCTAGCGAAACACAGTCCCACTTCCGACTCCTCAACACCGACACGAACTTCTTCCACTTGGACGCATCACCCGGGTGTAAGAAGGCGATTTCAAAGGTGGTGTTGTGGAAGGATTTGAGGTCTTGCTGGAGGATTTTGGCGCTGGCGGCGATTTTGGTCGGGTCGTTGCGCGTGCCGATGTCGATGCCTTGGGTGGAGGCTTCTTGGAGCCAGGCTGTGGCGACGCCGGCGATGAGGATAGATGTCATCGTGGGGGATTTGGGGAGATGGAGAGGTTTGTTTCTTGATCACGATGGGTTCGTTGAAGGCAGTGGCTTGGAGTCGGTGGCCTGGTCTCAAAGGTGGCTTTGGGGGATGTCGATACTTATAGGTCTCTGTCAGCGTTTCGATCTCCATTGCCATTTATCTCATGGATCTTACTAGCTACCCTCGTAGCCTGATCACGATACCGGAAGCGGGACCTAACATGCGATCGCTGGTTCTACTGGACTGATGTAACCAATGCGGACTGTCGGCTTCGGGCCTCAAGAGAAATGGCAATATATGTCAACTCTTTGAGCTTGGAAAGATGGCTCTAATGGTGCCAGGAAGCAAAGGTGTCAGACAGCGACGAGGGACGATATTGGACCCACTCAACAGTTTCTGATTGGTCAACATCTGGGTTGTCCTTTCCCAAAATGGAGTGCATGCTGCGAAAGTCTCCCTGCCTTTTAGACGTCACTTCACTATCCGACCTACACAGACCAAGCAGAAGACACCGATTGTGAGCATGAGAGGTGAACGACATTTCGCCAGCTTGGTACATCCGTGCGAACCTCCCGAGGAACATATCCTCGATGGTCGGCATCCCGGGAAAGTCATCTGGCTGTGCAACGTGTCGACGGCGGAAGGTGAAGGTAAGATCTTTCCGTAATGGCCAGTCAACGTGAACCACACTGATGGAACCTGAACTGTGACCTCGCCAAACCGAGCTGTGAAAGATGCACCAAATTCAAGGTTGACTGTGTACGCTCAGAAACACGATCATCCATCCGCCGATCAGCTCATTCTTTCCTAGGAAATATGATCGTTTCCAGCCTTCATCGATCGGATTGCCAAATCCCTCTGCGGACGTGTACGTCTTGAGGAGACGAAGCTTTCTGTAGCCACAGAGCAGGTCTTTGATGTCACCGAAGCTCCTCTAACTGTAGGATCCCTCACGAGCCCTGCCGTCGAAGCCGTCTTCTTCACTAGCTAGGTATGCATCTTCATGTCTGGTGTGATGGCTCATCTAACATCTGCTCCAGTTTTGCGAGACATTTGTGAAGTCGGCACGTTCCAGACATGCATTGGTGGACCCAACATCGATATTGTAACGCCGGTCCTGTTGCTGAGCATCACAGCTATGGGCATTCGGCTAGGCGCTCTGCAGGCGGGATGGCAGCTACTCGAGAAATATTCTTGCCAGTCGAGTTGAAGCCTTGCCAATACAGAAGCTGACAAGTATTGCATCTCAGCTGAGGCAGCCGCAGCAGCGTCGACGATCCGGCAAAGCCTGGCGCGAGATATTGCCGTTGCACTTTGCCAATGTCCACAAGTCGATACTGGCAGCCTTGGTACAGCTCACATGGTCTTCTCCCTTCGTCTGGCTGTTACCGAGCTACCGACTGCAGAGTATCACCTTTCTCGGCCTTCTTGTCGGAGGGATGAGGCACGCTGCACCTTCGATCGTGACAAGTGCGGCTTCCAGCTACAAGGCATCTGGAAAGAATTCTTATCCCAGACGGCCAAGGGCTGTTTGACGGTCTTCTAGCTCGAGCTACCGTTTTGCAGATACACCATGAGCACTGCAGCATACCTATGAGACATCAGCACAGTGTCACATACCGACAGTCTTCGACTTACGCAGCAGTCGCCGCCAGCACTTCAAATCCTTTAGTCGCATTCGTCGTCGCGCCAAACAGCAGCACCGCAAACAGAAAGACGAAGCCAGTATTGATCCCCAAACGCTTGCTGTTCTCCACAACAGAATTCAACCACCAAATCGGGACGAAAAGCATCACCAAGCCACCAGCGATAATCACAGCCGAAGTAAACGTGTCGAACCATCGATCGCTGTAATACCTCGTGGTGCTGGACCGGATCCTATCAGCCCGCTGCCGCACGCGAAAGAGCCTGACGGTGCCAGTGAACCTCTGCAGAAACTGCCGCAGGAGCGACTTCGGCTTGTCGACCAGAGTGATCAGGTCGCCGTCGTTCTGTTCAGCGACGAACTCGCGTTCAGGCTCGTAGATGGCGTCGTGGTGGTTGTCGAACCAGTTCCGGACGTGGAGGATCTGGAAGTTTTGCGCGCCTGGACGGCTCTTGATTTGCGAGAAGGCGTTCACGAAGTCATCTGTACAATGTCAGCCTAGCTGGAGATCGGAGGAGCTCCTCTCGTCAACACGCACAATACTCCCTCAACCGCGGCGCCATCTCCTCCAACAACTTATCCCTTGGCGAACCCTCATCCAGCCGATAACTTCCACTCCCACCGCGACGCTCCGGCTGGTTCGAAGCGAAATCATCCATCTGGCGGAGTTGTTCCTCCATCCTCACCAGCTCGTCTTGGAGTTTGAGCGTCAACCTTACGCCGACTTGGCTGAACCTTCGCAGGACGAGGAAGTCGTTCGATGAGGCCATCCATCGCGTCAGTTCGGGATAGCCGTGCGTTTTCCAGGGCTCGTCTGGTTGTTTCTCGAGGACTGATGGGGTTGGGTTTGATATTGTTGTTGTTGACGATGTGATTGTTCTTTCGGCATCGAAAGATGGTCTTGAAGGAGCTTCCATGTTCGGGACGTTCGTCTTTTATGAAAACGACGACGACGACGACTTCACAACAATCCAGCGAAACCTCAGATCGTTGTTCTGCACCCCGGGCGTGAGAGCAAGCACGCTCAGCCGCTCTACATGCAAGCTACCAAGCACCCTGCATCATAGAAGCCCCAGCTGATGTCTTGCGGCCTCACGTCGTGGCGCAGACCTCAAACTAAGTCTCCACGAGAGACGACAAGTCGTCGCTCTCGTCGATTCGATAATTTTTCAACCCGACAATACTTGTCATTACTTTCCCAAGTTTCCGCGTCCAATACCTCAAGCATCGCCTGTGCATAGTCAATGGCCTAGCCTTCGCGAGCAGAACCATTTCAATCGGGTCGTGATCGATGAACGACGAACGAGAACACGCCCAGCTGTAGACCTGGCGGTGCCTGAGAGAACAACATGTTCATTGCTTGGTAGATGGGCAAGGTAGGAAGTGTACATATCGAAGACATACTTATATGGCAAACACGAAAAAGTAGGCCTCCAACTCCCTCCATGGGTATTTTTCAATCAAAAGCATGGCCTCGCTAGAAAACGCTTCAGGTCGACAACAAAGAGGCAAGCAAACAAAAGCTCCAGTATGGAAGATCGAGTGCCGCAGGGAGGAGGATGCGCAATGTGCAATGCGACATCGAAGTGCCGCCCACCCTCACAAACCCACCACCCCCTTCCCATCAAGCACCGCCCTAACATCCTCCAACCTCTTCCTCAACACCCGACTCCGCGGATCCGCATCCTCCTCACTCTGAAGCTGATGCACGACCTTCCTCAGACCCTCCACAACACTAAACAGCACGGCCTTATTCCTCAGACCCAGCGCCTTGCCGCTCGGATCCAGCAGGGCGTTCACGGCCACAGTCGCGGGGTCCTGACGGGCCAGGGCGCGAGGGGAGGTCGGTGGGGTGCTGAGCGCCGTGCCGAGAGAGCGGGATTGTTTCGGGGTTAGGGAGCCCGGTGGTGCGCGCTGGCTGTCTGTGCTGGGCGTTGGGCGGTGGGAGATGCCGCCGACGCCGGAGTCTGCGCGCTCGGAGCCGCTGTCGCGACGGGGGTGGTGTTTGACGGCTGTTGAGGGTCGCGAGTTTGGCTGGGAAGGAGGAGGCTGGGGAGCTGAGCGAGGGTTGTTTGCAAGATCACTTTCCAGGGGAGACACGTCTCGTCGACTGAAGGTGCTGATTCTCCTTGAAGGTTCTTCCATCGGCAAGACGGGACCTTCGTCATGATCTTCGTCTGCGGTCGCGTAAGTGTCCAGCGTGCTGATGCTCTCATCAGACATGGTCCTTTTGTGCAGGTTGCGTTCGATCTCCCTCAGCTTTTCAGGAGTCTCTGGTGTCGGTGGTGGAAAGAGCTCTGACTCCTGCCTGAAAGCATCTTCATCCTCATCTCCAACCAATGCTGGACCCCTAGCTGTCGAGACCGATGACACTGAAGCTCCACTGGATTCTGAACCCCGTCTGCCGTTGCTGTATGTACCCATGGCGCTGTGCAGGAAGCAATGTTCGTAATCAAAAGCATCCTCGCGATCTTCATGAGCCACGACTGGTTTTTGGTCGTTCTGGTCGTGCTGGGCGTCTTCATAGACACTAGCCTCGTCTTCTGATGGGGCGTAGTCGTCGTCTACGTGTGAAGATTGAGAAGAGATCGGTGATGAGTCGGAGAGATCCGTAGATAGGCCGGGAGATGGAACGTCCAGATAACTGTCTTCATCCACGAATGTACCAGGCATTTCTTGACTATTCTTATGTTGATGATGCGAATACCTGTTCTTGGCGGAGTCGATGATGGCAGTACCGCTGGGTGTCCTTCGGTGTGTTATTGGAGGCATCGGTTCGACATTCTTCGCTTTTCGAACCTGGAACTTGGAATCAGGGGTCTTTGGTGCCACAATCTCCACGATGCGCGCTTGCTGGAGGCCGGTCTGCTTCTGCGCTGCTGCTTGTTCTGCGAAAGCATTCCGACTCCCTGTGACGGGAACGCCATTCTCCCACATCTTTTGCGGCGAGGCTGGACTATTGCTGTTGGACGCCCAACCCACACGAGCATTTGCATCAAGCACTGGACTGCCATAGCTCGATGAGGACGTGTAGAACAGTTCCGGTGCGGTGCCCACGGCATTGTTAAATGGCGAAGAGTTTCGCAAACTTAGCTGGCTCTGTCTTCTGAGACTATCCTCCCGCGCCCGTTCTTTCAGAGTCGATATTTTGCCTTTGAGAGTGCTCATCTGCTCGCGCAGGTCGGATGTCCTCGATGATGGCCTATAGATTCCCAGTCCGTTATTCACCCCATGGTCGACGCCATTACGACTGTCACGAAACGATCGTCTGTTCTCGTCGGCTTCCGGCAGGGGTTCCAGATGGTTGGATTCAGGCGAATCCCTTGCATGCATGGCAACACCATAACCAACACCGCTGCTCCCTAGCGAATCGTGACTGCGACTTCCTCTCAACCCAGGGCCAGCAGACGGATCTACCCCACGACCCGGCGTTCGAATACTCCTCGACATCATGTAATGCGGTTGATCCAACGAAGTGTACGGCCGTTCAGGAATCTCAGTCTCACTGAACCCTCTCGAGTGGCCTTGATAGTCGCGACCCATCGTCGGTGAGCTGTTCTGAGTCTGAAGCCTCCTCGCAGACTGCTGATCCTCGCCATTGTAATCGTACCCATTCGACGCATACCGACGACCGTGTGAATACGCAGGCGAGAAGCTTGCCGACCCAAGAGATGTCGCACGTTTCAAGTTGGCAGCTGTCAACGGCGCAACCAGATCTCGAGCACCGCGCAGATTTCCCTCCATAACATTCAGACGTATCTTCGCGTTGGCCAAAATCTGCTCTGCTCGTTTGCTCAACACGGCCGAGTTGTACTCTTCCTGCCTCCTGCGATCGGCTTCTGCGTCGTGCTCCTCTGCGCTGTTCTCATATCTTGCCGGTGCCGAACTCTCCCCATTCTCTGTTTCATCGTCGCTCGCGCCGTCGGGTTTGCCATACTTGGCCAGGAAATTGGTCATGCCAGAAATGTCACTGGACGAGCTTCCTCCACTGTTACTGCGACGGTCCATGTCGGGCGGTTGGAGATAGTCGGGCTGTTCTGGCGCGAGATTGCCTACGTCCTGCAGAATCGGCGACGAGGGGATGAAGTCGGCGTCGATTGAGCCTTGCGATGGCGAACCGCGCGTGATGCTACCACCATTGGGAGCTCCCCCGCTGGCAGTGCGACTCCGCAGCAACATCATCTTGCGGGACATGAGGCCGAGCTTTTCCTTGCGGCCCATGGCGGCCTTGGGGCTGGGGCTTTCACCTCCACTGTCGCGCAAGTAGCTGGGACTGGGCGGACCCCGGGTGACTCGCGGAGGGGATGAGACAGTCGGCAGGCCGCTGGGCAGGATGTGGTCGGGGTTGGTGAGGGTCGGCGAGGGGAGCGAGGGCAGCGTCGGCAGCGGTTTGTCTGACGGCTGCTGCGACGGCGGCCATGGCGAGGTGTGCAGCGCATGCAGTTGGGGGTGGTGGTGGTGGTTGTGAGGGCCGGGCATGGCGCCTGATGCGGATGCGGATATGCGCAGCAGAGTGAGCACGGCAGGCTGCACGCCGCTGCACTGCGCTGCGTTGTCCTCACTGCGCTGGATTGGACTGGAGCCGTCCTCCCACGCTGCGTACCACCGCGGCGGGATGTCCTGTCCTGGGCAGCAATGGGTGGGAGGTGGTAAGACTGGGCGCGAGGCTCTGCGGCGATCGTCTGCTGCTGATGACACTGGACGCAAGCTAGCAAGGGTCGTCGCAGTGCTGGCGATTCACTTCCTTCTAAACACCGTCACCTGCGCGCACTGAATGGACGGTATTTCGGAGACGAAGGGCAGACATTGCATAGGAGTGCAGCGACCCCAGCGCACACCACGCATATCGTCGCCGCCAGCGCGCTCGTCTGTGCTGCTTTCTGCACGACGCAGGGATCATCTATCTGCAAGGAACAGAGTTCGCTTCAGCAGCACACTTGCAGCCCGCCGCCGCCTCTCATTGCTCGGCCCTCTGTTAAACTCTCGTCACATCCTGCGCTTCGCCCGTAATAAAGGCCGACCACATCTCGATATCACATGCCCACCTCCGGCCTGACGAAAGCGGCGTTTCCGTCCATCTTTTCCCCTTCATCATCATCACAACATGTTCATGGTCGAGCAGCTACCGACAGCCTGACGGATGACTTGATCAACCATGGGCTCCTCTGAGAGCCGCAATGACGAGCGCCGGCCGGCTATCAGCCTCCGCCACGGACCAGATCCATCCCAACCGAGACCTTCGATCCAGGTGCGTGGGTTGGTGGCACCCGGCTGCCGTCCCTCCTCCTCATCGTTGGGCGCGAGCGTTGGCGAAGAAGAAAACGCCCGGCACTGGTCCCGCCCACCGGCACTTTACGCGTTGGGTGAGTGAGACGTCAACATCCCAAAGCAGGCAGTGGGTAGCATTGAATTCAGAGGTTTTGCAACTGGGGAACCCATGCGGGTGACTTTGTGAGCGAGGTACGGTGATGCGACATGCGGAGCGCAGCTCTTCCACTTTCCGTTGGACTGCCCCCAATTGGCAAGCCTGTGTGAACTGGTTGACATGTATATGACAGGTTGTAAGACCGTATATGCCTGTCTATACGCTGCACCTTCCGCTGACATGTGCTTAATTCAATCAGGAACTTCTGCTGAATATTGTATGAGTCCGAACGAATGCAGCGACGCGGCATTTGATTGGCATGTTGAGGTCTCGTTCATCTATTGCATTCCTCTGTAATCCACATTCGTTGTCAGGACTCCCTGGATAACTTGAAAAATTCATCACCCGCCGCTTCTTGCTCGAACACCTCATTCGCCTGCTCGCCTGATGACTGATCCTTGACACGGGTCTGTTCCTGTTCTATAATCACTTCATCATAGAACGCCTCGTTTTCAACAACAGCAATCCACAAAAGACATCAATCTCCGAATTGTTCAAGGCTTCGTTTTGGGCTGCGGCTCACGAATCATGAATCGTCGTGGCTCAGTTCCATCGACCCCAAAAGGACGAAGGTCGAGCTCGTGATACTTGAAAATCTTGAAGCCATGTCTCTCATAGAGATGCCATCCAGCGGCGGATGCAGTCAAGACCGAGATGAGCCCAGCTTCATCAGCCATTTCACAACCATGCTTGACCAGCAAGCTTCCCGCGCCTTTGCGTTGCCAGTCAGGGTGGGTCATGAGAAGCTGCAGTCCTCCATTGCCGATGAGTGACCATAAAGACATGCTCAGGGACTGCGAGACATACTGAAATGTGGCTTGTTGCCATACGACGCCTTCCGCACTCCCTCGCTCTCCTCTCGCAACGCATTCCACAGGGTTTTCCGCTCCTCTTTTGCCTCCCCAACAGCACCTTCTTCAGGCACCGGAGCCTCCACATCCACCTTCTCTTCCTTCTCTTCAAGCTGCCAACTCCACATGGCGACTGACACCAATGTCCCAGTCTCCGAGTCGGTAGCCTTCAGCAAGACGCCGGCAGGATTCGGCTCTTGGAAATGATGAAGCATCATGCCCAGTATCATGTCTTTCCGGTTCTGGCCTTGTCGTCGTGCCTCTTCGTCCATTGCCATTCCCAGTGCCCAGCCCCTCGTCGCCACCTCGTCCAAGTCCGCGAACTCGCGGCAGTCCTCCTCGCGCAACTTGGAGATTTCGAAAGGCATCTTCGATACTTTGATGCTGGTTCGACCGATGGGAGAATCGTGTCTTGATACTGGTACGCGATCGATACTACAAGTAGGTTTTCTACGCCTTTTCAACGCCCTATCAGGCTTTCAGCTGGAGAAGTAGCTGCGCATGGACATTGAAGGATTCGCTGCGCTGCAGCATCGTCCGGGTGACCATCTTGTTATCGAGGAGTCATACTTCAGCTTCACCTTTCAGGACAACAGTCGCCGAGAATGGCAATGTTTCCGGGCCAGACTGGGCAGGTGGTATTGCGAGATAGTACTTCTCATGAGGCGTCGTCGTGCTGAGTTGGAGGTTGAGGACGCGTTCCCTTGTAGCGCGTCTCTTTCGAAGACCCAGACTTCTCCAAACTCTCCGGCGAATGGTCAACAGGAACAGGAAAGGACGTGAAGAGCAGAAGCCACCCCGCGATCAAAGAGCTCCATGGCACGAGCTCTCGAAGCTGGCGAGGATGACGTTTCCACACCGGCTCTCCATGCAACGCCAGACATCCTGGACGGCAGCAATGCAAGAGAAAAGAGCTCCCATCCTGGAAGACATGCAGCTCAGAGTACGCGAGATCGATCGCGCGTAGCAGCTAGCAATCGCATCTTCCTCTGCGACCTCCGTGCTTGAGAAAGTAGGCGTTGGCGCAGCAGGATGGCATTGCATTTCTGGCCATCGCAAACCGACCACGAATCCGCCGGTACACCCAGCCCCCGTCGACCTTACAACCGCTGCCATTATCCTCGTTTCAGGTAACATCCCTGATCGCCAATGGTGGCGCGGCGCGCCCACGGACGGGTTTGACCATGGTCGACGCAAATAGCCCGCCGACGACGACGCGGCAAGATTCTGTAGTTGTAGCCGCAGCAGCAGAGGACGAAAAGCGCCAGAAGCAAAACACAACACCCTCTCTGCGACATAAGGTTGGCTCGGTGGGCTCCGGCACTATGTCCAGCCTTCGTGTCGTCAATGTCTCGCCAGAATTGAAGTCGTCATTGACGGAAACCCCGCTGAGTCCTCTGGACGACGTTCTGGCCTCGCCGCTCTCGACGCCTCTTGAAATCAACCACAATGATCCTTTCAGTTCTCACTTCGAGGAGCACATGTCGCCAATAGCTTCGCCTGCCCCGCCGAGCGTGTTTGACATTCCAGAGGAGCAGGAGCAGCATGACGAGACACATACCGAGTCGACGACGGCGCTGGACTCTGGGCGGGATTCCGATGATCAGGATTCCTACAACTTGAAGCCTCCGCTGCCTCCCACTATTCAGCAGAATCAAAATGGTTTGGAAAGTCTTGCTGCGCGGTTCTTCTCTGCCGAGCACCTGGATGTCATTCTCCAAGACCATTCGCTTGCTTTAAGGTTCACGCGCTTCCTCGATCAATACCGACCACAACATACAGACACTCTCAAACAGTATGCGCAGGCTAGGAAGGCAATCGCAGCAGTCGAGTACGCCAATGCGATTGCAAGGCAGCTCCAACCACGTTCTGGACATAAGCCATTGGGCGCCGCGACACTTGACCAACAATTCGAGGCGAGATCTAAGCAGACCGTCGAAGCTCTGGTCGAGGAAGCGCTGCCGGCATACTTAACGCATCGGCTGGTTTCTCTCGTGACAGATACTCTCGTCAAGGAGATCACGGGCAATAGTGCGCCTATCATGACTGAGCTGATACCAAGTCTTGCGGAGGTGTACTGCATTTCGGATCCGTCAATACCAGACAATCCGATAGTGTATGCCAGTGAAGGTACGGCAGGAATTCAATCACTTCGGGACAGCACTGACTAGTTACAGAGTTCTACAATCTCTCGCAATATAGCAAAGAATATGTTATAGGCCGCAACTGCCGATTCCTCCAAGGACCGAAGTCATCTCACTCGGCAGTGAGGAGACTGATAGAGACACTCAGCCAGGGCGAAGAGTGCTGCGAGACTATCCTCAATTACCGACGAGATGGCACACCTTTTATGAACCTCCTCATGATTGCCCCAATGTACGACAACAAGGGCACCGTGAGATACTTCCTAGGAGCACAGATCGACGTCTCATCCTTGATCGAAGACGGACGAGGACTGGAATCGTTCGCTCAGCTACTATCGCAAGACCGCTCGAGCGCACGATTCAGTCTCCTCGCGCACAAGGACCCTCGAACAGCACTGACAGATCTCGGCCAACTCCTCACCGAAGAAGAGACAGACCTCTTCAAAAACCTCGCCCAACGAACCACCACGCTCTCCCACCCCCCAGCCTCCATCCGCTCAAGCTCCACCCGCCCACCCAACAGCAGAGGCCGCAACAGCAGACTCGTCCTCGGCATGGACGACCTAACCAAAGACCCACCCCTCTGGCCCGCCGCGAGTCTAGGCCCCTCCGGCCGCCTCCCAGGCGTCTACCAAAACTACCTCCTCGTCCGGCCCTACCCCTCCCTCCGAATCACATTCACCTCACCCACCCTCCGCATCCCCGGCCTCCTCCAAACCAAACTCCTCGATCGAATAGGCGGCCCTTCAACCGTCCGCGAGGGACTTCAGGACGCTTTAGCACGCGGCACGACGGGCGTCACGGCGAAAGTCACCTGGCTTACGAGTATGAATGAGGGAGAAGGCAAACCCCGCTGGTTACACTGCACACCGCTGTTTGGGGTTGATGACCGTGTCGGGGTGTGGATGGTGGTGATGGTGGAGAATGAGCAGGTGACGGGGGGGTTGAATCGTGGTGGTGATGGGAATGGTGGGAATGGAAGGTTATCGGGCGTGAATCGTTTTACGTCGAGGAAACTTTATGCGGATTATTTGAGGCGGGAGGGGGGTGGGAGGCCGACGACGCAGGAGACGACGTCGTCGACGAGGGAGAGGAGGGAGGCGGATGAGTTTTTTAAGGACTTCTGATTAACAAAGAGGTGAGGCAGGGCGAGATTTATTCTTTTCTGATGAAGTGAATGAATGGGTATGATGGAAAAGCGTATGATGGTGCATAGATATAGACATTGTCTCTTTCTTCATCGTAATGTATATGTATACATACCCTCCCAAACATGTACACAAATTGTAAAACCTGAACAACATCATCCCTCCCTCCCAACCAACCCAACCCACCCCACCCCAACCAATTCCTTCTCTCCCATCTATCTCAAACCCCAGCCCTCCTCAACGTCTCCCTCGCCGTCGTAATCTTCAACCCAATCCTCGCATCCAAATCAAAACTCTCCCACCTCTCCACCCTCCCCAACTCCTCACTACACCGTCTCAACACCTCCCTCTCCCCATCCTGCCCGCCCGCCTCCTGCCACAAACACACCGCATGCTCATAATGCGCGACCGGCAGAGGCCAGTTATCCGCGTGCGGACAGGCCTTGAGGGCGTGCCAGTCGTAGCAGTAGACCTTCTCGGTGAGGGTGGCTTGCGCTTCGGCGAGGCGGTTGAGCGTGCGGAGGCAGGTGGCGGTGAGGAGGGCGAGGATGGCGCGTTCGTCGATGGGTTCAGGGGGTTCTGCTTGCGCGTGCTGGGTCTCGGACCACGCGAGGCAGGCGAGGGAGAGATGGACGTGTTCGGGGCGCATGCGGCGGAAGCCGGACCAGAAGTAGATCATTTCTTCGAGGGGGCTGACGCCGATGGCGTCGACGAGGTCGGTGGTGGGGGAGGAGGCTTTGGCGCGGGCGGTCCATTTGGCGAGTTTGCGGACGATGAAGACGTCGAGGGGCAGTTGGCGGGCCATGAGGCGTTTTTTGCCAGCGTGCTGGGTGACGCTGTTGAGGAGGTCGGTGGCTTTCTTCTTGTGTGCGGAGGCTTTCTCCGGGTTTTCTTGGAGGGTGTATTGGCGGTAGAGCTCAACGTGGCAGGCGCCTGCGATGTAGAGGTAGAGGCCCGGGCTCCAGCTGTTCATGTCGACGCATTTGATGAAGCAGTTGGCGCATTCTTCGTAGCGGTGCAGGCACATGAGCGCTGTGCTCGTTTCGAAGAGACGGAGGGCTTCGACTTGTTTGAGGGGCGATTTGAGAGGATTGTTGATCAAGATGTCCGCGCCTCTTTCGAGATCTCGACCTGCCATGGCCATGCGCGCTTCTTCCAATACCCACATGACGGATTGAGGGTAGAGCTTGCGGATATCCTGGAGGAGGACAGTCAGTCTTTCTTTTGGGTACGACTCTCTGCTGTGGATATCGCAGAGAGCGACGGCCGCGTTGTGGAAACCTAAGGTGATAGCGCTGGCGAGGGCTCCATTGATGTTATCTTTAAAGGCCGTCGCTCGCCATAACAAGCGCAGCCCATTCTCTCTGTCGCCGCGGAAAGAGAGGATGGACAGGATCCTGGAGAAAGCTGGAGGTACCATGGAGAGGATGAGCTGCAAAAGACCATAGCAGAGGGAGATCCCTGAGTGGATGTACACATCGATGGGGTCATTGGAGACGTCAGCGGTGAAGTCCAAATCGTCGTGCTTGCCAGCTGCTCCCTTGGATATGCTGGATGCGTATGCAGGCGGCATTTCGACAGAACTTTTGCTGTTCCGGCTTCCTTTGGTGCTGCCGTTTATGCTCAGGCTCTCGACTGGCAGGTCTATGTGTCCCTGGTATTCCACCGGTGTAGGCTGATTCCCCAGCCCTTCTTCTGCATCCTTGAAATTGAGGTCCTCCTCGTCGCCCGAGCCGGTAGGAGTCATGACTCCCGAACTCGCTGCTGAAGCCTCCTCAGGTCCATACGGTCTCTTGCTCTTGCTCTTCTCCGTAGCCGTGCTCGCTCTTGAACTGCTCGAAGTCGAGAAGTGCTTGTCCAGATATCGATTCTCCGCCTCCACGATCGCATGCAGCGTCGCGAATGCTCTTCGCAGCTTGTAGAACCCTCGCAGACTCTCTGTCAGACTCTCATTGAGCACGCCGATGACCGCAGACATGAGCTGCGTCTCGGCCTGACAAAGCGCATATTCTGATCCTGTAGGGTATATCTTGCTCTGGTGTGCAGTCGTAGGGTCTCGTGTCGCTCGTCGGTGGTGCTCGCTGGCGGATTCCTCGGCTTCTGAGAGACACGAAGAGGTCTGTTCCATCATCTCTTTCTCGAATCCCAGCGTCGCCCTGAGGAAGAACGTCGTCGCCCGCCCGAGCTTGTGGAAGGGGGAAGTGCCCTTGGATAACTCATTCTCGGCGCGTTCGTTCTCATCGTTCATGATCAAGGCGGCGGATTTGAGGGCATCCTGCAGAGCTGCGGGCTCGTCGAGAGCAGTCAGGCTCTTGGTGGCCGGGAGACTGGTCTTGGAGGATAGCCATCCCCCGACGCGCTTCATGATGGTGGTGGTGTGTACAGAAGTGACGGAGGCAGCAGTGTTGGCAGCCCAAGGAGTATTATCACCGGCTCATGGTGGAATTTCGACCGGTATGCACCACTGCGCCTCAGCACAAGACCAATAGCTTCGACAAGAATGACGGCATGTCATGGCGGAGCTAAAGGCTTATTTATTCCATGCACAACAATGGACAGCTCTAGTGAATGAATCCGGTCGTCGGTATGAAGGGTGGGTCGCTGGACTTTGCTCCTCGGCCTGTGGGACTGCGACTTCTTTTCTCCATCCCAAACTCCGTCCGGATCTCTTTCTCCCATGCACATCGCTTTGTTGACCCTGATCATGTACAAACCCGGCAATCTGGCACGGAGACCCTCCGTACCTGACATGTGAGAGGGATCACAAGTGAACCCGGGCAAGCCGCGTGGCAATTTGACGCCGAAGATACCGGCAGGGCACAACCCGGAATCTATACACTATATGCATTGCTTCAGGGAGAGCTAAGGATTATATGGTAACTTGATTTCAGGAACCTCACTCCTCTACCTCGAGTACATGGCTATTAATCCTTCTTCTCGAGAGCCCTGCGCTCCCTGCCACTGGTAAGGTACACAGCAGCACGCATCTCCAACAGAGGATCCGCACTGGACTCGACGCCTTCAACCCTTGGGACCGGATCAAAGATGATATGCTGCTCCTCCTTCTTGCTCTGGCCCTGCTCCTCGACCTCCTCCAGCTTGATCGTCCCCAGCTCAACCTGCTTGCGTTCCTCCGGCCAAAGCTTCGTAGCATCATCAGTCACATCACCTTCCTCGGCGATCTGAGCGAGGAGCTTCAAAGTCGCTGGGCCCTTGGAGAGACGCTCAGGTAGCTCGTCGAAGAGGTATGAGTCGGACTTGGAAGCCAGCTCGGCATCTGATAGGACTGAGAACTCCTCCGGCACGATGCGGTAGCGCACGAACGTCTCCTTGCCCTCGCTAGAGATGAACTTGAACGCGTTCACGCCGAAGTACTTTTCAGTCGCGAACGACACTGGCGAGGGCTTGGGATCCTGCACGAAGGCTGCTGCGGATGGGTTCTCGCCCAAGAAAGCCCCAACTGTGCCGTTGCCGATAGCTTGTAGGAGGCTCAGAAAGCCCTCGCCGGTCCGCATGGGGAAGTACTTGGTCGAGTGAGCGATGATGTCGGTATGCTTGTGTCCATCGTCACTCAAGACGAAGCGGACAGCCATGCCTCGCGGGTTGGCGTTGGCGTCCGTGTCGGGGATGTTCGGGATGCCCGTGGAGCTGGAGAAGCGTACCACGATCGGCGTGGAGGCGTTGTTGAAGTGTGGTGCCTTGGAAAGGGAGGCTGCTTCGGGGGTGGGTGTGAAGACGCCCTTGAGAAGTCGTCCGCGAGCATGGGCTGTGCTTCCGTCAGTCTACTGCCATCTACGTGAGAGTTGAGTATGAGCCTACCTGGACGATACTCTGGAGGAGTGCCAAACGCTCCCTGCAACGTCTTGACGAGCTTGCCAGCCGTCTCGACGATTTGCTTGTCCTCTGGAAGTGGCATATTGTCGGTTGGTGGTCTTTCTTTCCTTTCCTGACTTTCTAAATTGCTTGAATCTCTACCCTCCCAACTCTCCATCCTCGCGTCGCCCATCACCTCTTATATCCCTCCCCAACATCCCAACCATGCTCTGTCAGCCGCCTCCAGAACCTCGTCCTACACTCCACACCCATCCATTCCAAGCGAACACCGTCCCCCGAAGCCCCGAATAGCAAAAAGCTCCCCCAGCTGCATGTGCAAGAATTTGAAATTGCTCGGGTCTGATTTGTGTAAAAAAAAAGAGAACCTCAGCCACCTGTGCCAGCTAGCTAGCTGTAGGTTGTGAGGCGTTCATGCTCTCTGCTTACAGCTGCTGACTGATGCGTGACGGTAGCGCATATGCGCGCCAAGGAGGTTCGCTCCAATTGCTGGCGAGGCGATTACTGATTGCGTTTTCGCTGGGGGTTTCTATTGTGTCTCGGCTGCTGCACTCGGGTATGGGACTGCTAGAGAAGGTATTTGAGATTCTTTCTTTCGTTCTTGCTTGTTTGATTGAGATGCGGTCGAGATTGGGATTGAGACTAGAGAATTTGGAAGAGATGGGTTTGGTGGAAGAGATGGGTTTGGAGGAATGGATTGGAAATCGAGTTTGGGTTGGCGTTGCCTTTTCTTGTGAATGGGTCTGCCTTAACAAGGTGAGAAGACGCTAACATTCTTGACATGTGAAGATGTTGTGAATCTAGTCGACTCGGTGGCATATGATGGATCGTTCGAGGCATGTTCATTCCCTTCGACAATGCTCCACGGCCGCCCTCCAAGGCCATGCTCCATTACCTTCTTCTCGTAGAGTATTCCTTCGGTCAAGCCTAAGACGTGCGAGAAGTCTCCATTGCCATCGTGTTGGAGTTGCCCTGGACCCTCTCAAGGCTGCTTCAGCGGCGACCTCGTCGAGGTGATAAAGGTGGTGTTGGAGAACATCCCACTCGAATGAAACGCATCAAGGCACTCCCTCGGCGTCGTGGTCATCTCTTCGTCATACGTCGTCGGATCGAGGTGGTTTTCCAGCGTCGTGATGTTTTCGCCTTGATCGACACCAGACCAAAACAACTCCTCGAAACTGACATCTGGAATTGGAACACCTGTGGGCTTGTCGATGAAATGGGCCGGTGGCCTATCGCCAGGGATGGTAGCGGTGACTGGAATATGGGGAGAACCCGCTGGTCTCGCTGCGCCGGATGACCAGTCTTGTCTAGATGATACCACAAAAGTCAGTCAAGCTTGCCCTGCAGCAGAATGTTTTATCGGCATACTGACCCGACAACAAGCTGAATCGCCAGCGTGAGTGCGAACCAAGCATAGCTCTCCGGGTTCCGAATAGGGAGCGATTGCTTCCAATCCATCGTCTCGTCCCTGGCGCGCTCGAACATGGCGAGTGACATCCTCTGCAGCGCGCCCCAGGTTCGATGCTCGTCGAAGTGTCGATATCCTGCCTTCTCCGCGGGCCATCTATGCATGTCAGTGTCTCTCTTCACAGAGGTCTCCACAATGGACTCACCTCGGATCTCGACTCCCATCCGCATTGCGTTTTGCGAATTTGGTCGGCACATCGACAGAGTCCACCGGCTCGGTGAAGTGGAAGAGCTCGTGATAAAACGTCAAAGCCACGATCCCCATCGTATCGAGATGTGTTCCCTCAGGTTGTGGTGCCGTCTTGATATCGTAACTCCTGTACTGCGATTGTTGGAAACTGCGAGGGCATAGTGCGATGTGAGGTTTGTAGATCCATGCGTCGGTGCCGTGGTCATCGTCTTCGGGCAGCTCGTCGTATGTCCAGGTGAAGCCGTCGACGCCCCTGATTTGGCAGATGGAGGGCTGGTTCGTTCGAGGATCGAGAGGCCATGGGTAGTTTCGATTGGCGTCTAGTGGTGGCCAGGTGCTCTTTTGGAAGACCATGTAGCCACGCTATGGAGTTCAGTAGGGTCAGCTGGGCCCCTGAGACTGACGGAAAAGGGGTAAATTTAAGTACCTCGCGGGCAAACTCGAACCAGAAGTACCAATTATTATCTGGAAAGAGACTGTCAGTCGAAGCGCTGGATGTGGTGCTATCCGTTCATGCTCACCGAAGTTGCGGCCATGTTGTGTCTCCCACTCTCGCAGCGTGATGACCTGGTCAGTCATCCTATCCCTGATTTCCCTACCTCTGTGATCGCGGGCAGGGAAATTTGCCTGTTGCATGACTTGATACGTGGTGTCGCAAAACCTATCACGCAAAATCAGTGAACGCAATAGAGCATGCTAATCTCAACGTGCTCACAGCTTGGGCTTCTTCTTGGAATCGGGTTCGACTTTCGCGATTGCTTTTCTGAGGTCGTCATATCGCGCTTTGCTCTGGATCAGCATGATATCAAGTCACAGTCATGGGAATGACTTACTTCTGACTTCCTTCAACTTCGCCTTATAGACGCCCTGTGGCCTGAATGTATCAGCCGGCTGAGGTCGAGAATAGATCGCCCAGAAAGCCGCCATGAGCTTCCTCGTGTCGACATTCCCCTCATATGCTTCGTCGCTAATCTGGCCGATCACACCGGTGTTCAGTTGATTGATGTGAAGCCAGATCTTGTTGAGCGCATGTCGCGTGTCACGTTCGCCTGCGTCGGGATCGAAGATGGTAGAGACGGGATTGTTGGGATCTAGCTGCCTGAGACAGGAACTTGGGTACACGTTCGGATCTTCTCGTGTCGACCTGGAAGACATCTCCCAACTTGCGAATTTGAGCATGGGCACCAGTTATCGCAAGCGATATCAGGGCCGGGGTTAGAGATCGCATTTGAGTACTGGCTGACTTTTCTGGCGATCTCCTGTAGGTGTCTGAAGGGAAAGATGTGATCTTTGTTGACGGTGATGCTCAGATGTTGGACCGATAATGGTGTGTGAATAGTGTGTCGGAGAGGAGGCCTTTTCCGAGAGAACAGACTGTGCAACCCATCACTCTGTTGGCAAAGGTTCTCATGTTTGCATGTGCAACTAGCAAGCCATTGTTAACATGTGAAAAGCACGTGCAGTCAATGGTGGTCGCCTTCCAAGAGAGAAACAACGCTCCTGATCACCGCAATCCTGCCGTTATGTTCACCCATCTTGAAAGTAATTTCCAGTGCAAGGCAACCCGTGAGCACACTGAAGTGGAAAAGGTCGGCCTCCCATCGAATGTAGACCGCAATGACTCCATCGAGGTCGAAATCTCCGTGTGCATGCTCGCAGAAAACCGGACTCGGGCACCCTTCCCATAGCCAGCTTCCAATTACCTCCAGCCTTCGGCTTGAGAATCATCAGCCCCTGGGAATACCGGTTCGCAATGGCCAGAAGAGCAATCCATTTGATACTTCCGCATAATATTGAGAGCGAAGGAAGCCCAGGCGAAGGATTCACGATTCTTCGTCGTTTTGGTTTCGTATGAGGGTGTCTCAGGGCTCGCCCTCTCCCTGTATCGAATCTGTCAACTCAGGCGCAGCAGATCACCTTCTTGGATCACACGTTCATAGGAAGGGATATAGGGCTCGTGACTTACCACGCCACAAGATGCAGTAAGTCGTCCGCGCCGATCGTGACTGCATTTCGGTCGACAGTGAATGCATTCTTCCTTTTCTGCCATCTCCGAAAATCAGCAATGATCCGTTAGTAGCTCCTCAATCCTTTAACACTCACTCACGCACAGGATGGTCATTTCTGCCAACTTTGGGACCACGTCTTCGCTGATCGTCATTGGGAAGGTATAATACGAACCGACCATGTCCTTGCCCATCTCATGAGCGCATTTCCTCTCTGCGTAGACCGGCAGGGGCGCATAGCTGATAGCCTTGCCCTTCGAGTCTTTCATCGGGATTGGTTTCCCATTCTTGTCAGTTGCAGCGCTATGAGAGCCTGTATCTCCATGAATGTCGAGTCGCAGAAGAGCCCAGGCTTGAACTCATCTGGTACAGCCTTGTTGATAAGATTCCGACAGAGCTTGTAATCGTCTGTCCACAACATCAGCACTGCTGTACAGATCTTCTGTCACCAGAGATCGGTTGACTTACCTCTGACCGCTCGCAGCTTTTTTTATACGTGATCATTGGCTCTTGCGGTAACGCCATCGGGATACTCGTAGCTGGTTGGGCCATTTGAGCTGCCGATTCTGTTCGATCGCAAAGAAAGAAAGAAGAAGAAGAAAGAAGAAAGAAGCGAGGCTTTCGATGGAACAGTCATGATCTTGTGAGGGGGTGAACGTCACCTGCGAAACGTATCTCCACGTCAAGATCGCGCAGGTGGTAAAGAAGTGACTTGGACACACGATGGCCGAAAAAAAATCCTCGAACCTTGCATTCATCAAACAGCCATCAATTCACACGCAATAGAAAGCACAACCTCCAAAAGCTCCTCCATACAACTCTCAAAGGGAAAATGGTCCCCTTCAGGTAACTCCAGCACTTTCGCCTGAGGAATGCGGTCAATATTCGCCTGCGTGATTGCCGTCGTCATGATATTGTCTTTGCCGCATTTGATGTAATAGCACGGGTAGTCCTTCCACTCCTGAGCCATCATCGGCCTTAGCCAGTTTGAGGTGCTGCACGGGACCAGGCTGGTCGCCAGTCTGGTGCGGGCTGGCTCCTGGACCTGATTGTAGAAGAGCGATGATGCGTCGTTGGCAGAGCATTTGGTTCCCTAGGAGAGCGTCAGCGAGGTCTGAAAAGGGGTGGGACGGTGCTCGCCTCGATCGCTGTCCAGCTCTGTGCTGGTTGGCCTGCAAACAGGTCTGCGAAGGTCCGTCCGTATTCGGGTGCAAACGCTGCTACAAAGACGATTCCAAGTAGTCGACCAGCCGAAACATGGCTTGCCGCAGTAACTGCCTCACACGCTACGAAGCCGCCGAAGCTGTGCGCCAGAAGCAGAACGTTCTTGTCGTCTTTCATGAATGCTTGGAGCTGCTGAGATGCGTTCCGGACGTGGATCTCGAAGTCATCGTCCGTAACCTGGCCCTCTTCATTCGGTGGGATTGCGACATCGACCTGAATATAGAGGTCTTTTGCGTGCGTTACGAATGAATCGTAGTGGCGTGTTGTATGCCACGATCCTGGGCAGAGAAGGATGGCGAGGCTGTCGTGCTCCATCGTCTAGTTGTCGGTAAGACTTTGGAGATTCGATGGAGTGGAGGCTCTCGCAGTTTAGAACTTGAGGAGTCTTCCATGATTAGCAAGCTTTCCTAGGATCGGTTCTAATGATTAAAATTGTTATGCGCCAAGCATTGGAAAGGGAGAGGTGACATTGACGTTTGCATTCGATTACCACGGTATGCCTGAAGCCTGTGGCCAATGCTGTGACCTCGACGCAACACGCACGTAAGGCTGGTGTGATGTGTGCGGGCCCAAAGGCGAGAATGGCAATGCGTGGGAGTCTGTGCAAAGATATCTCAGCGTGTCTAGAGACAGTATTCGAACTCAGCCGACGTCGATCAAAAGCCACTGTAACCTCATGCATTGGTGGTAAGAGCATCATCAAGATCGCACAGGTAGAGCACTCTCCGACTGAGCACTCTTCGATTCAATGCAAAGCGTCTCTCGCAAGAATGCCACCTGTGTTCCAATATTAAGCTCAAAATTCGGTCCACTATTATCGTCAGCCCCTGTACTGTGCCTCTCATAGCGTCGGAAAGCATTACCTATATCCGTCGAAGTGGCCACCGGGGATGATGTGAAGCTGCTTGGGCTCCCTGGCTCTCGAGTATGCCTCGAGGGCAAGATCCGTGGGGGTGAGAACGTCATTCGCAGCTACTGTCATAAGGAGAGGTGTTGGTGCCAAGCGGTGGATTAGATGGGATGGGTCGTTTGAGCGAAGGTGCTCGATGCTATGTCCGCGTATTAGTAAATGTCGGAGAGTTGCGGTGAAGCAGTACCTTCTCAAGGTCACTTCGTTCTTCCAACAACTCTTCTTCTCCCAGGCTGTGAAGAACTCGTAGCTGTCAGGGGTAGGAAGCGCACTCGGTGCTGCGGGATCGTTTGACACAACCGGGATGACGATGGGATCTTTGCCTGCTGCTCTACCTTTACGATCTATGACCTTCATCAGCGACAGTCAAGTTAATCGAAAAGTTAACGTACCATCTTCCCACATCTGAATCATGCCAGGGACCATGTCCGACCGTACAAGTCTGACAAAGTTCTCGAACCCGTTCACGAGGGGCCTTGAGAGTCAATCATTACGCTCGCTTTGTGTTACGTTCCACTTACATCTGGGAGAGAACAGTCTTGACCCTCTTGTCAGCAGCGCCAACATACAAGACATGCCCACCACTGTAGGAGCTGCCCCAAATGCCAATCTTGCGGCCGTCAACCTCATCAAGGCTCTGAGCATAAGTAATGGCATCCGAGTAATCACTCATCTGCAGGCTTGGTACAATCTCATGCCTGGGCTGATCTTTCGCAGTGTCGCTTGCACCAAAGCCACGATTGTCGTAGACGAGGCAAGTGATGGGCAACTTGGAGGTGAAGTGTTCGGCAAAAGCGTCGAGGTCCATCTCTTTGACTGCAGACCAGCCGTGAGCCATGATCAAGCATGGAAGCTTGCCGTTGCTGCTGGAGGGTGTGAAAAGCCATCCTCGAAGAATCACGTTGTCTGACGTCTTGAACTCGACGTCTTTACGAGGCATTTTGGGGGAGACAAATGGATTTTGGTGTAGTTAGTAGAGCCTTGTGGGAGCTTGAATGTCGATGTTGAAATGACATTGTCAGAGGCAGGATCAGTGAAACATATACAACATCCCAGGGGCCGCTTCTTGGTGATGTACATACAGGTGGGGAAACGCCAAAGACGTGGCTGCTGAATCGTGTTGATGGGCTAACGGAAAGGGTATACAGCTCCAGATCTCGTCAGCGGGTGAACGCTTCCTTCTGGGATCTGAACGCATAGTGGTACAGCGGTACGAGACATTGGCCTTCAACACTTTTGGTGTGTGTTCGTGTCCATGTGAGGTGTCTCCAGTACCTTAGCCCAGTTGCAGTAAGCTTGGTTGACAACGTGCAGCTGGGGGCCAAATAGACCGGCGTGGCGTTCGATGTCTTTGGGATGGGATGATGTCCACTTCGTCGAGTCTTCTGCTCCGAAGGGCCTTTTTGATGATGCTGTCCGGTGGCATGCATAGGTGAGGTCGAAGAGTGGAAGATGGCGAGACTTTCAATAAAACGGCGCCGTTGGATTACGTACTCAAAAGGCGGCTTCCTCCCTTGATGAAACCTTCCCGCTCCATCTTGCAACAATCTACGGAGAACCAAGGAATATACGATATTGAAAGTTGCATTGGTCACCGTCGGCACTTCTTGAGTTCAAAGACATGACTTCGTTTCATGCTGGCTTTCGTCTATCCAAAATCTGTCTCTACTCGACGACCATCGGATAGCAGACGAGTGCAGCCCTGCTGGGACAAACTCTCACTCATTGTCACATAGCGTTTCATGATGATTGGTGTCCTTCAGGACCCTACTTCGAGCACTTGCTATTGGACGGTCAGCCCATTCAGAACGATCAACCTCAATGGAAGCATGCTCACCCCAAGATACCATCAAGGCCTGTACCGGACTTGACACAGTGTCCTCCAGACAAGATGCAGTCACCATCGTCGAAACAAGTCGCTCCAGTCGCAGAAGCAGCTGGTGCTGAGGTGGTAGCAGTGGCCGTGGCGGTGGTGGTGGTAGATCCGCTGCAGGTTCTGCCGGGCGTAAGCTGGGACGATCCATCAGATCAGATGTGTCGATGATATCTCACCCAGTGATCTGGCCCGATGCCTTCACGCACTTGCCGCCGGCGAAGAAGTAGTCGCCATCGTCAAAGCATGTCGTGGCGCGGCGACCGATGTTTGCGCTGGCTGCGAGGCCAATGAGGGTGGTGAGGAGGAAGGCTTGGAAATGCATTCTTGGTATGTGTTGATCTAGGCCTTGTCTCTAGGAAGATGCAGTGCGATATGATGAAGCGTTGGCGTTCCATGACTTCCGTTCAAGGCCATTTATATCTTCGGCATCCTCTGAACAGTGAGCGATCGCATAGCCATAGTCCCAGCCGAGGCGTCACATAGAGTTCTTGTAGGTATGCCAAGAGACCGAGAGCGACCGTCGCTGCGCGGTATAGAGCGACAAAAGAGGAGGAGAAGTTGGCAGGGGTGTTCGACAGATGCACTGACCGGCCAAACTCAGAGGTCGTTCCTGGGGTAGAGGTTTGCTTGATTGATATAAGCGTACGTTTTTAACTCTGAGGGAACTTGCCGAGAGCCTGATGTAGGTCACATATTAAGCTTGACACTACTCGGCATCGCGATGTGGGGGAACACCTCCAAGTCATGGAGGTATTCGATGAATCAGCGTAGTCGACGCTTCATTGTTGCCGAGCTCCGATATTCGAAGAGGCCGAGTGTGACTTTGGTGGAAGCTTTTGTCTCGGCTGTTGCATCAAGGCATGGAGACAAAGCTGAACGTAATGATGTGAAGATGAGCTCCACTTTGCCTGAGAAATCAATCGTCAGGTGGAAATTCGACGTCGGCCGGCAGGCTGTAACCTGGATGCTTGTTGCGATACGGAGAGGCGTTGTTTGTGACAGCAATGGCTTCGTCGCTGCTATACGCCTTCACACGCTGTCCGTCCGTGAAGCTTTCGAAGTATGGCTCGTTACCAGCTTCGGACGCCATTAGGGTGTCATACCAAACCATGATCTGTCTGACTTCCATCGGAAGGTCGAGTCTTTCAATACCGCCTCGCAACTTGATCATGCTGTGAAGCACAAGGGATCAGTCAAATGGAATACCGTATGAATGAGCTTGCAAGAGGCATACCGATTCTGTGCAGGGCGGTGGATCTCATGGGCGGCAGTCCTGTCTCCGTAGATATGCTCATGCAGAGCGACAAACCCCACGGCTTGGATCAAGGCATCGCTCGTAGCTCGTTCAGGATCATCAAGCGCTTCGTTGATTGCCGCAATCGCACACCCTCGTAGCCAGAGCGCTTTCACCAGCGGGAATTGACCGTTCGATACCCTACATCGCCAGAGGTCAGATATCGCGTCGAGAGGCAGGTTTCATACACACCTACGGAATGCCTGTGGCAAGCAGTAGAGACATGTAGTACATTGCCGGTTCAGTAATTTGTAGGCGCCGGGTCCACGAGATGTATCGTCGCAGCTGGTCGTCATTCACTTTCAAACGACCCTTGGCCTTTGGCAGTGTCCCTTCGAACCAGTAGTCGTGAAGCCATTCGTACCAGTCTCTTCGCGGGACCGGTACGACGTTGAGGTCAACCTCTGTTGGTATTGATGTCGTGGTAGTCGAACGTGGCCGTTTGTTGCGTGTCGTTTTGCTGCATGTCTTCGGAGAATGGTTGCCGTCTAAAGCCTCGTCCTCTTCGTCCGGCACCAAGCGTGAAATATGCGGCGAGGGTGGCTTTGGTCTCAGGCGTGGCTTTGCACTAGAAGTCTGGGTGCCAGGTCTAGAGGGAAGTTGGCTGGTGGACGATCTGGAAGCAGACAAGGGGCCGTGTTCATCTTCGTACTCATGTGGCTTGCTGGCTGCATCACCGCTCGATGACGTTTTAGGCGGAGATTGTCGATTCAACGCATGCTGCCGTGACGTGATATGGGCACGAATCGTTCTCCGAGCTTGTCGACTTCTTGCGTGGTCAGGGTGATCGTAGCTGAGGAACAGCCAATCCGTCATCGTTTGTGCATCGAAGATCAAAGTCGAATTCCATCGCAGCCCTACTTATGCTGCATTTGAGGGGCTCCATGTGTGATATAGGGATGTTCATAGATCTTTGGTACCAAGACAGCCTTGGTGGATCTAGATCTGGCGCTAACACTGTAAAAGCAGATCGATTCGCTGAAAGCCAACCAAGCTGAAAGGCGATGCGTTCGTAGTGCTTCCGTGGTGTTCGGCTTCGCCGTTTAGCCCGGCAATTGAAGAGTAGTCTTGCGGCTCCAACGTGAAAGAGGATATTGCACGGGTTGTGATCTTAAGAGGTGGCGAACGATGTTGCTCAATCACGTCCGGAGCATTTGTCAGGCCAGAAACTTCTTCGAGGGTCATGTAGCGTGGCGGAGAGAAGCGAGTTCTCATTCGAGAACCATTAAATCGCGGTTCCTCACGACTACTATGGTCTTTGACGTGCGGCCGCTTCCACAGCGCTTCGTCTACAGCTCGGTCTCGACGGTGTGATCTGATCAACTCCAGTTGTCCTTTCGGTGACTGGCAACAGACTGTTTCGCGAGTATGCCTTGACGAGCGACCTCAAGAACAGGCGAACGCTGCTCGATGTTCGTCTCGTGTCTGGAATTCGTAGATACAGGCTCAACCAGGCTTCTTTTCATCAACTTATCGCCATGTCAAGTCTTTGAAATGATCAGCGCCAGCCGCCTTCGATGATGGGCGACATATTACTCCAGAGCATCCACCGGACCCAGCAAGCATGCCATTGACGAGCGAGCTTGAGGATAAGAGAGTGCTCTGCGGTCTTCGTCTCGTGTCGGGAGCTTGTAGACGCAAATCCTGACGAGGCTTCGTTTCAGAGATCTCTATGTTCTGGAAAGCCATTGGCAGGATCCAGCGGAAGGCCTGGCCGCATCATTCGTCGTGAAAAGAGTCTCTGCTCCTTGCGTAAGTTAAGCCATTCCAGGTCATTGTCCCTCTGAGAGAACTGTGGAGGAGCAGGAAGGAGAGCCCACTCGCACCGTCCAGAGAAATGGGCCTCGGAAAATTTCTTCTCGGTTGCTTGCCTGTTCTATCCCAGCGATGAGCTGTTTACATTCGCGACACGCTGTATGCTAGAAGTGGTGTTTTGGAAGTGGGTGGCATTGAAAATCGAAGACGAGGCGCGTTCGGGCAGGCAGCCTGGCCAGTGGGAAAGTGTGCGTTGGACTGAGGCTCGGCTTTAGACGCCAGGCCACTTTGTGTCGTTCTTTAGGATCGATCGAATAGCACAGTAGCCCGAATGGCAGAGTTTCCTTCTGTCCTCGAATCTCGCCTGGCAAACTCGTGTTAAATGGCCAAGCCAAAGTTGTTGGAGTATCATATAGTTTTTGGGGCGCATTGTCCTCATCCTATCAGCGGTGAGCTCAGCGGAGTTTCATTCACGACAGAGTGCTTGGCACTGTCATGTGACCCGGGTCGGTTAGCTCAGTTGGTTAGAGGTACGAGTCGCAGTGACTGCCGACTGCTCGAACCACCGAACTAACAGCTGTCCACAGCGTGGTGCTAATAGATCATTGATTGATCTTGTCAACGCCAAGGTCGCGAGTTCGACGTAAGCTGCACCCAACTCTATCAGTACTATGTCAGATGCTAACCGACACAACAGCCTCGTACTGACCATGACATCTTTTTTGTCTTTTTGATGTCCTGTACTGGACTTGGATGTCATTGTCATGACTGACTTGTTCAGTGTCGACGTCTTTTTGCGTCGAGACGAGTTACTGAGCCATATCTTCGATGTTCGTAGTTAACTTGATCATCGAGCTACAGATTTTGGTCCATGGGTCTGTTGGTTCTACTCTTTCGTCAAGTCGTGTTACTACACTCCACACCGCCGTCTTCACAACATGTGTTGCACGGCAACAAGAAATGACCGCCTGTGTGAAGCAGCAATGTCGAATACTACAATATCCATACGTTGTCCTGGCCTGGACTGTCTCGGGCCAAAATCGATGAGATGTGCCGTTGTTGAAGCAATAGCATCTCTCAATGACTTGTGGATCTCGCCAGCATCTCTTGCTTTTCATCATATGCTCGCGGAAACTGGGGAAGGTGCACTTTGAAGCGTAGTCGTAACATTCAATGTTGTGTCCAGCCGATGCCCCGCTGCAAGAGCGCTTCCTGTGGAATTTTGCTGGTATGCTTGGACATGGCCAGTACTTTCCAGGACCATCTACACAATCAACTGTACTTTCTGAAAGGAAATTGAAAGACTCTCGTGTACGAAAAGGAAGTCAGCAACGAATATAAAAATGAGGATTCCCGCAGTTGCTGCAAGAGAAGAGCCGTAGAATACGAAGAAGGGCGCTAGCGGCACAGCTAGCTTCGTGTCCACCAGGGCAACACAAGGAACAGGAACGAGCCAACCTCGTGTCGCAGCATCGTATAGCAAATGCTACAGGGGCGTGGTTCTTATTATACGCACCACAAACCGGCGAACGGCGATGGCACCAAGTGGAGACACGTCTTGCAGCAACTCTCAACAGCAGTTAGAGCACACAGGCGGGCGCCAAAAGAGCCATGGCTTGCAGGCGATGAAGAATGCCGTGAAGCCGAACAGTTGCGGGGTGATTCCAGGAGCAGCAAGATGAGCCCGGCGCAGGTCCAATCAGGACATCTGGCCTGTGGTGCATGACACCTTGTCGGTGGTGCTCTGGTGCAGCAGCTGCAGGTCCAGATCGGTGGTGCTCTCGCAAAATGCTGTGCTGACGGGCAGCATATGTATGGGGTGTGAGAGGTCCGCGGAGGTCGTCTTCACGTGCAGCAGCAGTCATCTGCAGTGGCATGTCGTGGTAGCTTTCGATAGCGGGTGGGATTGATGACGGACGGGCCGGGCGTGTGGAGGTGTCAGAGTGAGGGCGGTGGATATTGGAGGAAATTCCATTTGGGTGGTCGACGTGGAAGCGTGGTGGGCGCTGGGCGCTCTTTTATTGCACACGCGGCCACATCACCATCCTGTCGTCTACACCACACCGTCGCCGCTGCACGCAACCGCCCGCACTGTTTGATATTAAATTATCGACGACAACGATCACCGGCACCCCCAGCAACCACCAGCAGCGAGAGAATCTCCGAGCGTTTTAGCCTGCTGCTGCTCGCCCCTGGCCTGGCCTGGCCTGGCGTCTGATCCGCCAACGCGCACGTTCGCTCGTTCACGCATCTCAACCCGCACTCCCCTTGGCACTCGACGACACCCACTCGACACCACCACCGCCCCCCACCACCTCACCCTGCGCCGCCCACGCTCCTTCACGTCGCCACTGCAGCACCACTTCTCACGCCTGCCCCCGCGGCAAATGCTCTTTCCGCCGACAAAGCCCGTCGTCGCTCAATAGACGCCACGACACTCCCTTGCTTCACCACCGCCCGCAGCCACCGCGTGCCGAGACAGTTGGCGCTCTCGGCTGAACCGCCAGTGGTATACACAGCATCTCACCACTTGCCTCCTTTCTACGCGCTCGTCAATACATCCATTCTTACCTTGCCACAGCGCGCGAATGTAAGTACTGCTCGTCACTACCGCACTCAACCTGTCGCCGACCGTACACTGACAACCGCTCCAGTTCTACTAGTGTATACTCTCACGCGACCGCGCGCCATGGACGGTTGGACCGCTCTATACAACTGGGCCGCCTTTGGCGTGGTCGCAGGTGGATTGGCATACTATTATATTCCAAAGAACACCAAGAATACCAACATTCACAGTGCTCCAGCTAAGGAGCTTAGAAAAGAGAGCAAGAAGCCGGCGAGGAAGCCAGATCAACAGAAGACGGCGCCTCCCACCAAAAGTACACCACAGTCTGACGACAGTCGCAAAGAAGTGACCGAGACTGGCAACAAGAAGCGGAAAGCAACCGCACAGCCGACCGTCCAGACACCAGCTGTGCAGAAGGACGATGATGACGAGATTGATGCGAGCACGCGTCAATTCGCCGCATCAATGCTGAAGGCCAGAGAGGGCATCCAAGTCAAGTCTTCCAACGACAAGGAAGCAAGGGTCAAGACGGTCAAGCCAAAGAACAGCCCAGCACAGACTCCAGTCCTGTCATCGGGCTCATCACAGGCTGGTGATGTGGAGGATGACTGGTCGCCCGTGCTGTCAAGTGCACCACAAGCCGGCGGCATTGATGACATGCTTGAGCCAGTTGCTGCTGGTCCATCCTCCCTTCGAATCACCGCGCCTGAGAGGCCTGTGAAGGAGAAGACGAAGAAAGAGCCCAAGCAAGAGGTTGTTGAGTCGAAGAAGGCTCGTCAGAACAGGCAAAAGGCAGAGCGACAGAAGCTGGAAAGACAGGAGCAAGAAGCCGAACAGAAGGCCAAGAAGGAGCAGCAGATGCGTCTTGCTCGTGAGTCGCGCGGTGAGCCTGCCAAGAATGGCATCTCGATCCCTGCGGCCCCAGTTCACAACCCATGGTCCGAGAAGAACGCTGCACGCGATGCACACCTGCCAGCTGTCTCGAACACTGGCTCCAACATCCAGCTGCTGGACACCCTGGACACCGAGTCTAACAGCAGCTCTGACAAGGGCGACAGCACCGCTGCTACTTCCATGACTGATTCTGCCCCTGGACAGCTGGCTGATTTCACCGAGGGCGACCTCGCCAAAGCCATCGAGGAGAGCGAACGTGACTCTGGCTGGAATGAGGTGAAAAGCAGCAAGAAGCTGAAGAAGAAGAACTCGAACAGCGAGAACGGCAACATCACGCCAGTTGCTTCTGCTCCTGCCAACAACGGAAAGGCTGCCTCAGCCAAACCCAACGGCTACTCGGCCCTCACTGACGAGTTCGAGCAAAACGGTGCATCCGCTTGGACAGCATAGCATCACGGCATATGACATGCATTTCGATTCTTTTGGCGTCACAGGCCAATTTCAGTTACGACGTTTTTACCCCACAGGGGCATATTTCGCCTGTATTGGCATTTTCGAGGGGCATCATGGAAAAAGGCGACTGGGTGGCGGGAGTTGCGTTCTTGCTACCTTGTGCTCTTCACATGCTTGCGACCATTACCATACCGACGACCAGCGTGACCAGTAACCAACGGCGAAGGTGTTACGCAGGCGCAAGGAGCGAATTTGGGCACAGGACGGATGGAAATCGTTTTGGAGCGTTGTGGACAAGGGAATTGTTGTATCATCATATCACACATCATCTGGTTCAACCAAGAAAGAAAGCAGGACGGGTCGAGATCTCCATCGATCTTTGACAATGAGTTGTAGCAGTGTAGCTTCTCAATAGGGACCCACCAAAAAGAAGTGCACCGCTCAGTGGCCTCGTGATCGTTCCATTTCCTGACTAGACTGCAGTAGTCGCTCGCGCAAGGGTAGCACGATGCCAGCAAGAAGTGAGGTCAGATCGCTTCTATTCCTGTGTTGCATTCCCGAATTCGCCGCTGCCGAACCTCCTGAACCAAAGACCCAATATCCATCCGCGGGTCTAATAAGCTACTAATAGAGGGCGGGCATATGAGGGACAACAAAGGAGTCAGCGTCCCCTTCTTTCAGCAGCATTATTGAACGTGCCGCGCATCGTGCGGTCTGAATCGCGCTATTTCCCCTAGCAAAGCATCGAGAAGCCAGCTTTACACTCTGACCCTTGGCCCCACCCGCCGGACGCCTCTACTTTAATCCCACATCCATACTCGTCCTCCTCCCACCAGAAGACACTTGTCGCCGCTGCTTGTATTCCTTCGACCGACTAAGCGGACTTCCCTCTCTCAGCGCCCGCATGCACAGCGTCATCTTTTAGTGCTGGCCGCTGCTACGTCGCTCATTATTCAATAAGCCCTCGCCCCGGACGAGACTCTTACGCATCGGGAAGAAAGAATCGCCTCGACCACGCACCGAATATCACGAGATTGCCAGTACGACAACTGCCACGAGCGTGTGACAGCACAGTTCTCTCCGCGCTCTTCCAGCCTCACCGAACGACTCTCACCTCTGTCCACCCACCATGGCGCAAATCAGAGGCACCGCGGGCTACCACCTCGGTAACCAGAACATGTCCTCGTCCTTTGGCGGTCAGCCCAGCTCGTCTGCCACCAACGACCCATCACCCCTCGACGCCATCCGCGAGCAGACGAGCAAGCTCGAGGACCTCCTAGACACCTACTCCGACCCCATCAAGCCGTACCTCCCCGCGATTGGGAGGTTCTTGATCGTGGTCACATTTTTGGAAGATGCTCTGCGAATCCTCACGCAGTGGGGCGATCAGTTGGAATATCTATACCAGTACAGATACAGTGAGTTTTTGGGTCATGAGATGCGCCGGGAGGGACATTTGGAGGCTAACGTGTGCTGCAGTGCCCTGGGGACTCAACCATCTCTTCCTGATCGTCAACGTCGTCGCAATGACCGCTAGCAGCATCCTCGTCATTGCCCGCAAGCATAGCGAATGGGCAGTCGGTGGCTTGATCAGCGTGGTCATCACGCAAGCGCTGGGCTACGGCCTCATTTTCGACCTCAACTTCTTCCTGCGAAATCTCTCCGTTATGGGCGGCCTGATCATGGTTCTGTCTGACAGCTGGGTGCGCAAGAAGTTCGCCCCAGCAGGTCTCCCACAGCTCGACGAGAAGGACCGCAAGATGTACTTCCAACTTGCTGGCCGTGTCCTTCTCATCTTCTTGTTCGTTGGCTTCGTCTTCGCTGGCGAGTGGAGCTTCTGGCGGGTGCTTGTGATTCTGGTCGGCGCTGTGGCTTGTGTCATGGTTGCGGTTGGATTCAAGGCGAAGTGGAGTGCCATCGTGCTTGTCATGATTCTGAGCATTTTCAACATTCTTGTCAACAACTTCTGGACGGTAAGATATAATCTATATGCATGCGAGAGGAGAATCAGTGCTAATTGAACTATAGCTGCACCCACACCACCCACACAAGGACTTCGCCAAGTACGACTTCTTCCAAATCCTGTCGATTGTTGGCGGTCTGCTACTATTGGTGAACATGGGACCAGGACAGGTCAGCTTCGACGAGAAGAAGAAGGTCTACTAGATGATATGCGAACGAGAGACGATGGACGAGCTGCGATAGCATCGGAGTATATGGAATCAACGCCACTGCGTTGCACAAAATCGAGTTCGCAAATGGGCCGAATTGGAGATAGGGAAGCCCGTGCGGCGGGAATTGTGTGTCTTGAAAGTAGAAGAGGCATTAGAGTATCATCTAAAAGCGTTACCTGTGATGAGAAAATGTGAGCCATTGTCTTCATGTGAAATTCGAGAGATCCACCTCCCACAGCTCCATCTTTCGAAGCTGCGGCGGCAGGTTCCGATTCCGAGACGCGCCAGCGAGAGCCAGGAGCAGCACGTCCACTCTCCTCGCCTCCTCTTCGCATCAATCCCTCCTCACAGCTTCCGCACGAACAGCAACATCAATATGGCCGACTCGCCAGGCTCTTCCGACTTGTCAGACCCCCCTAGTGTGGAATCCGACAACGAGGACCAGCTCAGCACCGCGGTCCCGTCCTCGCGACCCAGCGTGGATATCACCTACACCGAAACAGAGACCCTCGCGCCGCCCTCGAAACGACGCAAGACCGGGCCAAACACTCTCACCAGCCTCGATCGTGCGCCATCGTCGCAGCCGGAGCCCGAAGACGACAACATCAGTCTGTCCTCGGACGGCTTCAGCAGCGCGCCAGGCTCGCCCAATGACGATGAATACTCGCTGCGAGAACAGGCGCAGACGCTGTGTCTGTGGAGGGACTGTGACTTTGGATCTGCAATCAACAACGATGAGTTAGTGAAGCATGTGCAGACGACGCATTGCGCGACGGGGGGCCCTAAGAAGAGCAAGTATCTCTGTGAATGGGGGGAGTGTCAGAAGAAGTCGAGCAGTCATCCTAGCGGGTATGCGTTGAAGGCGCATATGAGGAGTCATACGAAGGAGAAGCCGTATTATTGTGCGCTGCCGGGTGAGATTGTGTGATCTGAGACGGCAGGGAGTTGTACTAATATGTGAATAGAATGCGACAAGGCATTCACCAGATCTGACGCCCTGGCTAAGCATATGCGAACGGTGCATGAGCCCGAGCCAGCGAAAGGAGGCCCAGGCTCCGTCAATGAGCCGACACCATCAGGGAAGAAGAGTCTCAAGATCAAGCTCACGAATGGCAGTGGCGCTGCCAAAACACCATCAACTCCGCAAGACATGGGCCCAACCCATGACGAGGACGGCAACGAAATCGATCCATCCCCCGCAAAGGACAACATCACATACATCCCCGCCCACCACCCCATCACGGGCCAGCCAGGTTTCATGATCCACTATCCGCCAGACATCCAATTCACCGCGTGGGAGAGCAGCATCACCGCCGACCAATTGATGAGACTGCTCCGGCGACAAGAACACTGGGCCCAACAAGAAGGCGAAGTGCTGAAGCAGGAGATTGAGCGGATGGAGGCGCAGAGGAGGGAGGAGTGGACTTTGAAGGAGGTTTTGCTGGAGGGGTTGTTGGAGGCGGATCTGGCGCAGGCGGAGAAAGATCAAGTACTCCGAAATGTTGATGGGCGGGTGAAAGAGGCGATGCGGAGGGATGTCGAGCCTGCGAAGAAGCTGGAGTGGACGGGCGGGGAGCCTGCATGGCGGCGGGAGAAACTTGGAGGGGATGAGATGGATGTGGACACGCCCGATCGTCCTCGCGGGAGGAATTCACCTTCGCCACCTCCGACTGGCGTTTCTGGCGGTGGAGGCTTCGATGGCGACGCAGACCCTTACGACAATTATCTTGCTACTAGAATGGCGGAGTATGAAGAAAGGGAGAGGCTGCGATCAATGCAGAACACTCCCGCCAAAGCCGCGCAGGAGCAGCAGGCGGCTGAGCAAGACGCAGTCGGTGCGTTGATGGGATTGAAGGGTGGTGGTGACTAGGAGCATCAGCAGGATACGAGTGCACTCCCGTCGAAGTGTGCGCAGTGTTAGATCCCTTATTAGTTCTTGGAATACCTCAGGACCTCACGAAACGAGACAAGCAGATGGAAGATGGAAGGGTAGGTAGCAGACAGTATACCACCATACACACACATATCCATGAATCCATACATCCCAACCTCTATCTCTACCTCAACTTCGAACTAACACTCTTCCTCTTCCCACTACTCTCCTTCTTCTTCTCCCGACTCGACTCCTTATTCTCAAAAGGAAAATTTCCCGTCCTCTTATCCGCCCCCGTCGTCTTGCTCACCCTGCCTTTCTCCCCGCCAAACAACAACACCCACAACCCGAGACAGAACAACCCGGCGGAGAGCGTCAACCCGGCCCCAAACCCGAACGTCAACCCACCCCGTGGACTCGCGATGTTGGTGTAGAGATAAAACGCGCTGAGGGCGTGGTATGTGGTCGTGATGGTGACTGTCGGATACGCATAAGGATTCTTCAAGCCAGTCCCGACTCCGTTCTCGTCGTCTTTCGTCGAAAGGGAGGTTGTGGAGGGTAAAACGCCCGTCAAGATGAGGTTTAGGGCCGCGAGGGTTAGGAGGGTGAGGGCGAGGGTGCGGGAGAGGTAGGTTTCGAGGTCGGTTGTGCATTGTGGGGTCGAGGTGGTGGTGGTTGTGAGGAGGGAGGTTATCAGGCGGGGGGTTAGGAGGAGGGGCGTCGACTGGAGGGTTAGGTAGCCGGATGTGCTGAGGGTGTAGAGGGTTAGGGCCTTGAGGATGGGTTAGTTTTGGGGTGTGCTGTGGTGTTGGAGGGAGGATGGGAGGTGTGGCTTACGTCCATGGCTGGCTGTTTGAGAGTTTGTAGTGAGGTGGAGGAGGTAGGTGTTGGCTCAGAGGTTTGGAGACATGCAAACACCTGTCCTCCGCATATGTATGTTGCTTGTATCTTGGTTTCGGTTCCTGCAGTCGTGCGGCTCAAACTGAACGAAATGCACACACCGCCCCCAAGCAGCCAGCAGCTTGCCTCGTGTTTGCCGAAAGGATCAACAAGCTCGAGCTACGTCATTTTGCGGTCGGGGGCCGCTAGCGCATTGATGTGAAGTGAATGACTTGTACCTTGCATACTCGGTTTTGACATGTGCAATTTGTGTTTAGCGCACTGGGTAGTCCTTCGCGGAATACATCCGGAGGGAGGTTGTTATGCATCGAATAGATTTAATGCTTATATGAGTCGATGCAAATGAGCCATTGGATGACTACATTCCTGCAATCATAAGATAGAAATCGTCAAGTGTCCATCGCCGTGAAAACCAGAGAAATCCAATAGCGCTCTTTCTCTCCTACTTTCTTCTTCACCCAACCACACAACTCATAGTGACTCATCCCCCATTCACACAATGACTCCTCCAGCTCTTCCCAAACAGGAATCGACCCTAGGAAACGCCGATACCGAGAAGTATATAATCTTTCTCTCCTCGAATAACATGATCCTTCCACACCATCATGATCCTTCCAGTCGATTCCGAGAGCGTTAGATGAACATACCAGAAGCAGTCGGGTAAGTTTGATCTTCTCTCCTACCTACACGAAAAGACCCTCAACTGAACTCATCTCACGCAGCTCTTCCAAGATCAAACAGCGACATGGTCGGCCCCATCGTGTCGGGGATGGGAGTTGGATAAGGCGCCAAATTCCGGCCAGACTCAAGTGAGCACAACAGGGGGGGGCAAAAACCAAACCAAAAAACCCAGCAGTCCATTGCGAAAAAGATCCCCCTTCCGACCATGGACTCTCGTCCTGTCCCTGATCCCCAATCCAATCCAACAGCACCGCCTTGGCCCGAGATCGCCGCGCTCCGGGGTTTCCAACAGCGAAATGTGCTACCAGCTTCACGACATGAATCAATTCGAGTCCAAGCCTTTTTGCATTTCCGTGGCTGCGATTCTTGAGATGGTCATTCGGGAGCTTAGATTGAGACTCTTCTCCTTTGATTTTTGACCAGCACGGAAAGGGTTGAGCACGCTGCGAGACGACGGATGCATCTGTTTCTTCCAATACTTACCCGCCAGCTTCGCGACTGGTTTTGGGGGTTGAGGAAGGTGTATTTCTTGAGTCTTGGGCGGATAAAGCTTTCTTTTTCGTTCCTTTATTAGTTTGATAGTTCTGTCATGAAATGTTCTCACTCTTTCTTTCACGATCGATGCGTCTTGACCTGTCTCAACGCCCTACGCATCCCTTCCAGCTTCGCCCTCTCCTTCACAATCGATTCCTTCGCCAGTCTACGCAGCATCGCCCTTCCGCTCTTGACATGCTCGTCCTGCCACGTCGCCAGCTCCCCAGCGATCGTTTGTTGTGTATACCTCAACTCACACCCTAGCGTCTCCAGCTCCCGACGGGCTTTCGCCGCTTTGTCCCATGCATCCAGCGCAACTGCCTTCTTCGCATCCTCGAAGAAGCCAATGTTGGGTGTCCAGCGGTTCGAGCGCGAGATAGAGTTCTTGCTCTTGTCGATTGAGCGCTGAGCTTGCGCCATGCTGCCAATGAGATATGCGGGTCGGTCGGTGGCTACCTGGACAGCTGTGCTGGTCGAATACATCGAGTGCAGGTTGTAGTATAACCCAGCGAGTGGAAATGCCTCCGTCGGTGTGAGCGTCTTGGTGAAGCGATCATACGCGGTGAGGTAATCCTGCGGCAGGAACAGCAACGATGACATGGCACTCGACGACATCGTCTGCGCCTCCGCATAGTCGTTGTACAGCATCCGGTGTTTATTCGTCGATCGAATGGTCTTCTTGACAGCCTGCGTCACGCCGCGGACTTGTTCCCTAGCGAATGCCACGAAGTTCTCGACCTCTTGTGTGTCTGTCACGGGCTCGTAGTCGTCTCTCACATTCTCGATTCTGGCTTCTGCTTTGCGCTTGCTGCGTTCCGTCAGCATCTCAGCGTCGAGCTCTGGGACGAGGAAGAACTCCCACACGAGCTCGTGCATGAAGAACGTGCCGTGGGAGAGGAGGTTGTGAAAGAAGTTGTCCAGCCTCAGCTGAATGTCCCGCAAAATCGCTCTTGAAGGTTTCGAGGGTACCAGGAATGGGGAGGGTAAATCGAAATGCCTGGGTAGCCAGCTCGCTGGACATTCAATTGCCAGCCACTGTGATAGATTCTCGAAGTCTGCGACCGTTCGTCTGCAAGTCGTCACAGTGACAGTCCCATTTGCGTTCGGAGCACCAGATTTGAGCACCAGTCGTACAGTGGCATCTTCCACAAAGAACGATCGCACGATCGTGGTAATACGACCATCCTTGCCAGGGGCCGTAGAAAGCAGCACCAGATCATCAATCCGATTGCGAACATCATCGTCTTTGGCCAGTTCAACAGCAGTCAGACCTCTCAAGTCTTTCAGCGTCATATCGACACGCGGATCGCCAAACAATGCCCTCACAAGATCGATGCGGCCATACTTGCTACCAACCATAAGCGGAGTAAATCGCTTATCATTAGCAGCATTGACGTCCGAATCACAATGCCTCAGCATCTTCAGCGTCAGTTGCATATCATTGATGACATGCAACAGCGTATTGCCCTTGGCATCGACATGGTCATCGAGATGCAAAGGTTCTCCATCTCCTTGCGTCTCAGTGGCCAGTGCTAGACCTTCTTCGACCATGGCATGGTACTGCTCATGATCGTAGGATCGACACAAAGCAAACAGCGGCGTCTGTCCATTCTTATCCTTTAGTCGCCAGGGCAGCTTCTTGCCAAATCTCTGTATGAGATGCGGCTGGTGGAAGAGGTAGTGCGCGAAACACCGGCCTTTGCTGTCTTGCACTCGGAAATAGTGCTCCAGCTCATCGGGAGATGCGTTGTTCTCTAAGTATTCGATCAGTTCGTCCGTGATGAGCCGGTTTCCAGACTGAGCAGCGGCGCTGAGTAGTGTGGTTCCGTCGTTGTTGATGTCTTCGAGGATGAAGGAAGCTCGGAAATGCGCAGGCATACTAAGAAGAAACGTCAATGCATCCTTCTTGCCCGAGTCGATCGCCATCATCAGAACGGAATTGCCGTCAGCGTCTTGCGTTTGGGCAAGTTTATCAACAGACAAATCGTTCCCCAAGCCCGTGCTCATTTCCGAATCGATGCTCTTGTTGCGCGAATGTGACCTCGAGGAGTACGCCGAGGAGGCTGATTGACTTCGAGGCAGAGAGGCCAGTGACACTCGCTTCTTCATCTTGGCCTGGATCTGTTCGGGCGGCGGTGTGGGTGGTCGTTGGAAAGGGAAGACATGATGGAGCGAGCCATTAAGAGCCGCAAAGTCTTGTGACGAGCTTGCTCCGTCGTGGCGGGATGGCTGAGCATGCTCTTCCTCGTCGTGTGTGAGATCCGCCGAGGTATCGCCCTCTTCTGACGATTCTGGTTCTTCCAGTTCGAGAGGAGATGCAGCGGTGTTGTCATCATCAGGCAGGACTTGAGGCTGCAGAATGGCCTCCAACGCTTGCATATCTCCTGTCCTGACCGCTTGCCACAGCAGTCTGTTCCTCTTGCTAGCCTTCCGGAGAGTGGTCGAACTGCCCGACAAGTGCGCCAACACTGCTTCGAGAGTTGCCAAAGCGTAGCCCTGTTCGCCACTGTCGACCTCGTCAATGAAGATGAAGTACCTCATATACAGCAGTCGGGTATTCAGGTGTCTCACGCCGCTTCGAATCACAACAATAAGCAACATTGCAACCAGAATGTCAGCGTTGACCGTGAGAGGCGTCGAAAGCTCGGCGTTCGTCTCGTCGCCATCCAGTTCGCCCGTCTGTCCCGTTGTTTCGGTCTCGGTGACGACTTTCTGCGTATTGAGAAGTATATCCAGCATTTCCTCCGGACTGCTCGCCACGCCCATCTTCTTGAACGCTTCCACGCCTTTATTGAGCCTGGCAGCCAATGCTCGCTTCCCTTTCATGCCATCCTCGATAGGAACGCCCACCTGTGCAATGTCAACATCAGCCATCTTTCGGATCTTCGACTCCAAGTCCGAATCGTCGGGTCGTCGGATCGCGCAAAGTCGAGGGAACAAAGTCTGGTCGTGAACTTGTTCAGTCACATAGCGTTCAATCAAGCGTTCAACTACCGGTCCCGTAAGCTCGGTATTCGCACCCAAGAGCGAAAGCTGCTGTTTGTCGACATTCTGAAACAGATCGATTGCGTTGATGATAGCCGTCTCCAGTGAAGTCCGCAAAGTCTGTTCTTCAGTCTCTAGTTCGATGGATGTTGGATGGACGGTGCTGCTCCCCGATAGCGAAGATTTGATCGAGGATACTGAATCGCTGATGGACGGCGCAGAACGTTGTGAACTAACGGAAGATCTTCTCGACTTGGGCTTGGGTAGAGGCTTGTCGTTCACTGCCACGAACTCACGAATGATCTTCTCCAGCCCAGTCTGCATCTGTCGCGATATCATCGGAAACTGAGTCAGAAGATCCCCAAACGTCTTGACTTCCTTCTTCTTAGGCGTCGGAGGCCCTGCCGATGTACTCGATGTAGCCTCCGCAGACGCTTCCGTCAAAGCCTTCCTACGCTCTTTACTCGGCTCGTCACTGATGATCGCAGAGACAATTGACGTCGGCTGATGTATGCCTATCAGCGGCCGCGAGATGTAGTACACCAGCCATTGCTGACCATCTGGCGCATCCGGGTAGTAAATCGTATCGTTCAACAGCTGCGCCTGATTCAAAGTCTTGAAACCCTTGTTGCTGTACACGAAACTATCCTTCACAACCACCGTCTTCCCATTGATGGTCGAATACTGCTTCGCCTTGCTCTTATTCTCGCGAACATTCCCAGCATCTTTCCCACTCCCCGACAGCGGCGGCCCTCCACCTGGCACTCGCAAGACATGGCTCGCCAGAAACTCTTCAGTGCCTGCTAGATCGGCGTAGGAGGTATTCGTCTCGCGGTCTTTGGATCGGAGGAGTACTTCGGTGGTGGGGACGAGCAGGACGTGGTGGCTTATGGGCTGACATTGCGCGGGCAGCGCGCTTCGAAAGAAGGCGCGTATGTATGGATTGAGCGGTTGCATTCGGGCGGAGCTTGACGTCTCATGCTGTGATCGTTGGCATTATCTGGCGTGGCCAGAGGGAATGCGGCCTGGATTCGATGGAGTCGGGTTGTCTTTGATTCAGGCGGCGAAGCTAAGTGGATTGATTGTCTTTCGCAAATAGATCGAAGCTGGCGATAGCTTTTTGTTTGGCCGGGTCGTGTTCAGATGAGTGGTTCTGTTTCGAGATGAGAGGGGTGAAGGCGTAGGAGGTAGATGGGCGACGCCGTCAAACAGAGACTTGGGATGGTGGTGCCGAGCGGAACCCTGCTTCTCTCGTGACATCCATGAATCCCTGCAGAACACGTTGGACGGCCCGCGACGGGACCCAATTTAGACTCGGAAGCATGTGACAGTCGAACCTTCTACCCTCCCCGTTTATTCCGGTCCAAGTGCATGTATGGAACTGCCATTTCTCCGACCTCTCACAAGCGACTACGCTGCTAATTGCACTCCAAACTGCTTGGATGAATTAGGAGTAATGGGGATAGACGTTCCACTTTGAGCGGAACACCGAGGTGGTCTTTTACATTCTCCTTTTCTTCCACCATCATGCTGCATATCCTATCAGTGTCGACCTGGAAATGGACACAAAATCGATGTGCTTCACATTCGAGACGCAAGAGCGCCTTTGCTACGGATTTTCTCCTTCAAGGGCTCACACATTCGGCCAGTCATATCATCATATCTCATCTTCCAGTCTCCCCACCTACAACAAAAACGCAAACACGGCACATACCCCTGCCAACGCACTCACACCCACAGCCCCCGCTGCAGCCGCAGTCGAGCTCGAAGCCGCCGCACCACTCCCGGTCCTGGTAGAATTCCCCGCGGTCACACCAGGAATCGTCCCGGTAGCATTGCTTCCCACACTGCTCGTGGCATTGCCATCCGCTCGCACAATCATGTAGATCTCCCCCGTTGAATCGCTGGACATGAAGAGCCGGCCATTGGAATCCCAGGCGAGACCGACGGGTCTGAAGCAGCCGTCGGGGCAGGCGCTGAGGTCTTGATTCGACATGATAGGGACTGCAGCATCTCGGGATGTATTCGCCGCGACTGGCTCTCCGTTCTCGAATTCCACGACACGGAGATCATAGCCGATGGGACTGTCTCGATTCCAGCTGCCGTGGAAGCTGATCCAGGCGGCTGTTCCGGCTGAGTTGAACAAGATATCCAGAGGAGCCGTATGCGCCTGAAAGGCCAGTCTGGGAGCCTGACGGTTCGCAAGGTCGCAGGTCGTGTCGTTCTGGGTGCTATTCAAGGGAACGGCGAACTGTTCACCCACCTGACCGTCGAAGTCCGGAATGTCCTGAGGCTGCCAGGCCGTAAAGCATTCAGGATATCCAAAATTCCGGCCTTGGTTCGACGACTCCGTGCCATTGAGATATCCCAGGAAGTTGAGCTCCTCGGCGGGGTTGTTCTGATGGATGTCCTGGCCCTGGAATCGACGAAGTCAGCCTCAGCCTGATCATACCCCAGCAGCCTTTACGACTCACAGATCTCTCAATTTCATCAGCACTATTCTCGACCGTATAGATCCCCCCGGTGACCGGCTCCTCATCAATTCCCACATCATTCCTCAATCCCCAGCCCAGCATCACGCCATCCGTGTTAAACTCATACGGCTCTGTGGCGTTTGAGATATTGAACGCTTTCACCTGGCTATGACCGCTCGCCATATTCGCAGCGACGGGATCTATATTGTCGTTGCTGCCTCTATTGATAAGCATCATGCCCGGCACCCACATCGACAACTTCAGCGTCCGAGAGGTATGATCCGACCCAGCCATTCCGGTCACCTAAAGAGAAGAGGCGGAGGTCAGCATGTCTCCAAAGACTTGGTAGATTCTTCTCGAAAAGGAGGCTCATCTCGACACAGCCAGCAATGCTGCTGATAGCATAGCCTGTCTCACATTGAGAGAGAACCTTCCATCCTCAGCTTCGACTCACCAAAGCCGTAGGAGCAGAAGTATTCGCCTGCTCAGAAGGAGAGTACTCCCAACTCCACCTACACCACAACACAAAAAGAGTCAGCCCTCAAACACCACCAAAAAGCCCCTTCCCACCCCCCAAAGCTCCGCAAACCTACAAAGTCTCCCCACTACTCCCATAAACCACACTCCCATCCCCCGACGTCTCAATCCCATGATTAAGCGTCGGCTCGTCGACGACCAGTTTCCTCCCACTCACACTGACACAGTCATTCCCGGAATCTACCAAGTTCAACGCGCTGATCCCCCGGCCTTCTTCGACGACGAGGAGGGCGCCTTGGCTGTCGAATTTGATCCCGCGGGGGGAGGTGAGGTTTTGGGCGACGAGGCGCGCGATGTAGCCCTCTGCTACGGAGGGGGTTGCATAGCTCGCCGTCAGGGTGGGTGAGCAGGAGGGTTGGGACGAGGAGGAGGAGGATTGTGCGTTGGCGGCGAGGGCCTGCAGCAAGGCTGTTGCTGTGGCGAGGAGTGGATTTCGAGTCTTCATCTTATCGAGTAACGTAGCTTTGTTAGTAGAAGACGAACAACGAATCCTCAATACAAGAAAGGACGTGGCGATGAAGAAGCAAGCTTCATTTTATGTCTAACCGTTCTTCTTTCTTCTGTATTGTAGATCAGGCATGGAAGCTTTACGTGGTGGTATTGGCATTCGTCCCCCGTGCCTGTGATTGGGGTTGTGTTCGCTTGTGCAAAGTCTTAGAGGCCTCAGAGCTGCATCTCATGACGCACACCCTGCGCCTCTGTACGAACGAATGCAACGGCTTTTGGAGGACCCCGCTATACACTACCTCCGGAGGATCGAAAGATGTCCTATACAGGAAGGTGGGATTGTGATGAAACTGAGAAGATGAAACGACAATTCTTCGCTCTCTAGTCGGACAATCATCTGTCCAACTCTCGATGAATTACTTTCTTGCATTGCCCTTCTTCTTGGCAGCAACGTCTAAAGGTATCTATTCAGATCCAACAACGCTTTCATGACACTCGAGTTGAAGTGAGGTCAATAGTAGTCGTCTCCTTCCACGGTCACATGGTTAGATCCCTTCTTCGTTTTTGTTGAACGCCGCGCGCCTTGCAATGCTTTTTTGATGCCGTTGAAGACAGACCCCCCGAGAAATTTTTGGTATCATGGTATCACAAAAACACAGTGTTGAAACATCGCCCCATAACCTCATAAGCCGTAGCGGAAAAAAAGGCAACTAGTAACGGTACATCTCACTCTTGAAGGGACCCTCGACTGGCAAGCTCATGTACTCGGCCTGCACTGGGGTCATCTTGGTGAGGTGCACGTTGACGTGCTCGCAGTGGAGGAGAGCGACCTGCTCGTCGAGGATCTTGGGCAGGGTGTAGACGCCGGTTGGGAGACGCTCGACCGAGGTCTTTGGCTCGTTCTCGTCCTTCTTCTTGGGGAGACCAACCTCCTCATCATCGACGGCACGGCCGAACTCGATGTACTTCTTGGCGAAGGCCTTGTCGCCGGCCTTGTAAAGCATGATCTGGGCGAGGACCTGGTTAGTGAAAGAGCAGGACATGACGAAGGAGCTGTGGCCGGTAGCACAGCCAAGGTTGACGAGACGGCCCTCAGCGAGGAGGATGATGTGGCGGCCGTTGGGCATGAGGAAGCGGTCGACCTGTGGCTTGATGCTGACGGTCTCCTTGGCGGTCTTCTTCAACCAGGCAACGTCAATCTCAATGTCGAAGTGGCCAATGTTGCAGACGATGGCGTCCTCACGCATGACCTCGAAGTGCTTGCCAACGATGATGTCTCGGCAGCCGGTGGTGGTGACGAAGATCTGCGAGATTGGTGCTGCCTCCTCCATGGTGACAACCTGGAAGCCGGCCATGGCGGCTTGGAGAGCGTTGATTGGGTCAATCTCAGTGACAAGGACACGGGCACCCATGGCGTGGAGAGCATCAGCGCAGCCCTTGCCGACATCACCGTAACCGGCAACGACAGCGATCTTGCCCGCAATCATGACATCGGTGGCACGCTTGATACCATCGACGAGAGATTCTCTGCAGCCGTAGAGGTTGTCGAACTTGCTCTTGGTGACGGAGTCGTTGACGTTGATGGCGGGTGCGAGGAGGCCGTTCTGCTTGCCCTTGTTCTTGAGCATCTTGTAGAGGTGGTGGACACCGGTGGTGGTCTCCTCAGAGACACCGTAGCAGCCCTCGAGCATCTCGGGGTACTTGGTGTGGACGAGGGCAGTAAGGTCACCGCCATCGTCGAGGATGAGGTTGAGGGGCTTGCCAGATGGGAAGGCCTTGAGCTGCTGCTCCAAGCACCACTGGTACTCCTCCTCGGTCTCACCCTTCCAGGCGAAGACAGGGGTGCCACCGGCGGCGATAGCGGCGGCGGCGTGGTCCTGAGTGGAGAAGATGTTGCAGGAAGTCCAGGTGATCTCAGCACCGAGAGCCTTGAGGGTCTCGATGAGGACGGCGGTCTGGATGGCTGTTGAGAAGATATTGTCAGCTGGCTATCTTCACGGTGTCCGGCGGCTTAACCTACTCATGTGCAAGCAACCAGCGATGCGAGCACCGGCGAGAGGCTGCTCCTGGGCGTACTTCTGGCGGGTGGCAACGAGACCTGGCATCTCCTGCTCGGCCAGCTCGATCTCACGACGACCAAAGGCCGCGAGGTTGATATCGGCGACCTGAGCAAATAATCAGCTCAGCCTGTTTGGCGGGGTGAAGTGATGCGTGGAGACGTACCTTGTAGGTCTTTGCGGGCTCTCCGGAGGCCATCTTGTCCGATGCTGTTCTGGGGGTATGGAAAGGTGAAGATGTGGTGGTTTGAAGAGTGTAGAAGAGGGAGGAGTGGGAAGAAGGGACGATGGTGGTTGCTGAGAGCGAGGTGAAGGAGGATAAAATTGTAGCTGCCCCCCACCAATGCCCTGCGTAATGACAGATACGGGTCCAGTTTAGTCGTGGGAGGCCGGGCTCGGAGTTTTAGTCGATTCAGTTCAAGGCACATCTGCCGACTCGCTCAACGGAAGTGGTGCAGGCCAGGCATGGATAGATTGATTGCTTTCATTCTTCGGCAATTCGAATCTACTCTCATTCCACCTCACTTCCCCCCTTTCATCACTTTTACGTCCACTATGATTGTCCACATGTTCTACCATTTTCAATCACTTCCAGTGAGGAGAGCCGCAGCAGCAGCAGCAGTGGTAGCCCGGGCTCCGGCCATTCATGTAACCAACCTTGTCGGCCAGCTGAGCTGCCAAAAAGAACAGCATCCTTCACGACATGGAGACCGTGAAGGAATCGGTCACCGACGGCGCTGCGACAAACGTGGAATGGGCAAAGAAGGGTGTGTAATCGGTAAAGAAGCCTGGCCTGTACTTTCCCGGCCCGCTCATTCTATACCACAATGCTGCAAGACATAAAAAGTCCTTTTCCGTCGCTATGCATCTGCAAAACCTCCCACAAGTGTGCTATGCCTCCCGTGGTGATCCGCCCTATTGTGACAGATGAAACCATAAAGCCGTCATGAACTCATCCGCCGGCCTGTGCCTGCTGTCTTTCTGATACAAGCGGTGCTCTTCAAAGTTTCGTCGAAGCAAAAAAGTATCGTATGCCCAATCCCCTAAAAAAGTCCCAGAAAACGCCCTGTCTATCCTTGCGGACAGTCTTTCATAACGGTACAAGTATACCCGCTGCTGACTTTTGATGGATGCCACGCTAAACTCCTCGATATGCTGTGAGTCAATGGAATCCAAGGCACCAGCCAAGACGCTGTAATGCCAACGCAAAAGTATGGTGGGAATGCTACGACTGTGGGAGTCGTGCTTCAGGTTTCGTTCGGTAAGTTCAAGGGAGTATGCTGATCCTCTGCATTCGTTTCGCCAGTGTCGCACTTTGGCCGGACAATCGTGACTGGTCGTCGCCTCCGTCGTTATCTGTTGCTGCCCTCTCGCGTCGAGAAGGCCGCTGTTTGGTGCTGTGGTTGTTCGAAGGGTCGTCGAAGATGTCACGCAAGCTGTTTCCATCTTCTTGTCGCTTCAAGGAAATCTCTGAACTGTGCGATCGTCGACGGCGAGGGCTCGAGTAAAGACCTTCCGTCTCGCGAAGAGCCTCCTTGACCTTTCGCTTTAGACCATGCACGTATGGAACGATATGTCGAAGAGTGGCCGTGTCGAATGGTACTTTCTTCGCCGCAGCTCCATTGGCGTCAGCCGGGTCAGATATGCTTCTTCTTGACTGCAAGGCCGCAATGACATTCTGGGCTACCAATTCCGAGTCCTTTCGTGGCCGTGTTCTGAATGGCGTACTCTGCGGCGTGGAAGGCGGCGACACGTGGTTCGTATCGGTATCGAGCGTATACGTCTTCAGAGGAACTTGCTTTGGACGGTTTGGCGTATCTTCGAAAGCGCTGTAATCGAACCCAGGCGATGACGGTGGCGATCTTCGTGGTTCAAGAGTCTGCTCTTCAGATTCTTGATCGGCCAATTCAATCATAGCATCAACCTCTTGCCATGATTTCGCGTACGCTCCATGTAGCATGTCAAGTGCTGAAGCTCTGACACGCAGTTCCTTCAGCTCTTCGATCAAGAGACCCCATTCCCTGAGCAATCCAATGTTTGCAACGACATTTTCCTGCTGCTCCCTGATCGACCTAGGCACAAACATCTCGTGGCCACTGTCAATGCGCTTTTCGTCCAGAACGACGGGACCATGATCAGGTACTCGAATCTCGTCAAACTCGAAGTCTTCATTCCAATCCTCAGTGACCGCTTTGCTGCCCACGCCCCATGTGCCGAACTTGTTAGCCACTACGCTGTTTCGCTTGCCATCCAAGTCAGGGACAACCGGGACGCTGTGACTCCGTGCATGCATGCCACTCGCAGGTCGACGTCCAGCAGGTCTGCTTCCTCTGCTGTCTTGGTCCTTCTTGCCGTGGACCGTGCGCGGGCGTGGAGGAGAGTTACTGGGATGACTCGGACTCGGTTGTTGCTCAGCCCAGTCGAAAAGATTCGCTCGATCAATTGGAGACGCTCCATTGCGTTGGGGTGTAGAATTTGCCGAGCGTGAATTGCTGGGTCGGAGTGTTGGGCCGAATCGGAATGGCAGACTTCGATCTGTCGTGGAACCATTCAAAGTGGGCGTGCCAGATAATTGATCTATGCCCAGCCCTCTTTCAGACTTCTCATCGTCCGCGGCATCCCAATCAATCTCATCAGGATCAGGCATGATGTTCATGGTCGGCGGAGACGATGAGAAGATGTGCGGGGCGCCAGGACGTGCCGAAGGAGTGGATGTGACGCTTTTGTTGTGTAAGGAGCGGACAGGGGTGCTCAGCACGCTGTCTTCTTCCTCGATCGTGCTGTGCCGAAAGCGTCCATTATACTCACCACCGACCTGGCCGTCACTGAGAAAGTCTCGAAGTCGAGTACTCTTGCCAGATGAAAAGGCGGGAGGTGAATCGTCGAAGATAGTCTCAATGTGAGGACCCCGGCGACCCGAGCTGCTGCGTGTGGTCCGAGTCTGTATCGAGTCGAAGGCTGCGTCGCTTTGGTAGTCGGTGCTGTTGTCGCCCACAGATCGATATTCGCTGTCGGAGCCTATGGTGGAGGTGATTTCAGAGAGGCGTGCAGGTCTGGACGAAGATGACGAGAGCGCGGCTGACGGTAGACGGGAGTGCTCGGTAGGCGACGTAGTAGCGTGTGCGTTTGTCGGCTCGACAAACAGAGAGTGGTCGGGTGTGAATTGCATGAACGGAGACTCGCCGCCGAGGTTGACGTCGATTTCTTGGCGGGGGTCGTTCTGGGGGGCGATGTTGCTGCTGGCGGAGGAGTAGATGCTGCGCTGCGATTCTCTCGGGTCAGTGAGGTCGCGCCTTTTGGCTGGTCGCTCCGACTCGGCGGCGGCGGTGCTGAAGGCGTGGCCCATTGGAAGATGGCCGGGCTCGGAGGCCACTGGCGGTCGTCCTTTGCGCTGGGCTTTGGTCAGCTTGCCTCTGCTCGTAGATGGCCGCCGCCATGTCGCCTGCGGGCCGGTAGACAGCAGATCGCCTATGGAGAAGGACCGCCGAGGCGCGGTGGCTTCTTCGAAGTGCGGCGCGTGCGGCGGAAACGGCGACGAGGCGGTGCTGGGCGGCATGTGGAAGGAGGCAGCGGGGGCATGGTCTTGCTGCTCGTCGTCGCTCCACACGTCGTCGACCTCGACGCTGCTGCCGGGCTTCACAAGTAGCTCCCTGGCCGAAATGAGGGTGGGCGTGTACTTGCGGTCGGGGTACACGCGCTTGATGGGATTTGGAATGCTCGTGGAACTTCGTCTGCTGCTGCGCGCGCTCGAAAGCTCGCCCAGCGACACCCGCGGCGTGAAGTAGTGCCGCCACGACGAGTCACGTGCTTCTCGACTGCCGCCATCCATGGACACGCGACCACTGCGGTCAGAGGAGGAGAGGCGGTCCTGAAGCGTGGCGGAGCGCTGATGGCTTGTCGCAGGCCTTCGAAACGTCGGGATGGGCAGTCTCGAGCCGGAACCCTGCTGAGGCGACGATCCATTGGTGCTGTGCAGCGAGGCAGACCGTTTGACAAGCTTGTTTGGCGGCAAGGGTGAGGGCGTGTTGCTGAGGAACATGGGCGTCGTCGAGCCACTCTGCGAAATCGGTATCGATCCATTCGTGTACGCGGCGGAGCTGGGACGACTCGTCGGCGTGCGGCTTCTACTGCTGCTCAAACGACGCAACGCACTCGATATCAGCCGTCCACCTCGCTGTTCTTCCTCCGGCCTCATGCCCCGATCTCCCCTATCCATGCCAGCGCTGTAACTCGCCCGCGCAGTCAGACTGATGCGCCTCTTCTTGTCTGCTTTCTGGCTGCCCAGATATGTGGGCCCATTGTTTCCTTCGCTGGCCAGTCGTCTCGTGGGCGGACGGTCGTATGCGTAGGGGAAATCGAGAGGTGTCGAGAGTGGGTAGCTGGCCACGGCGGTCATGTCCCCTCCTGGGGTGGTGCCCGGTCGATTGCTGGGGAGGTGGTGTTGGTCCTCACGGCGGGCAACGACCAGCCCTACCGCGGAGAGAGCAGTCACTGAGCCGGCAGCAGCGATGGAGGACACGGTTTTCATGTCCTAGCCGCAGGGCAGGCGAGGGTGAGAGGAGTGCGCGGTGCGGATGCGGACGTGGGCATGTTGCTCGTGGTGAACAACACTCACGCTGCTCTCGTCAGTCAGAGCTCCACCAGCGCCGCCGGCCGGGTCTCTGTCTGTTTCACGCGCAGCAGCAACAGACCAGGACTCGCCGACACGGCTGGGCCGACTGTCCGTACTGAGAGGAGCTCTGTGGCGTGCTGGACACTGGTTCCAAGTGGGGGACGAAGCAGAGCGGAGAGCAGGGGCTCGATGGATGGAAAGCGAGGCTGAGGGCGCTAGGCTAGGTGAATGCCCAAATAAATTCCCCGTCGTCAACACAACAACGAAACGACTTGATGAACGATGTTATGCAGGCGACGACCACACTCATCGCCCGTCACCGACTCTGCTCACTACGTACGCTTGGGTGCAGCGCTGAGCTGTGCACTTTGACCATTTCAGCGTTGTTACTGGTGTACCACGCTCTCAAGGGCCACAAGGACGGCCGACCCGCTGTTCCGCCACACGCAAACAACTGCAATCAGGATAGCCCAGCTCGCTCTCTTAGACGAGACGTCAGCACGATCCTGCTCGACCAAATCACTGCGCGCAGCTCCATAAAGTCTACCACCCGCGATCCACTCGACCTGACCAAGCCGGTCCCAAGGTCGCCGTACGCTGACGGGAGATCCTGGTTCTGTCCCAAACGGCTCGTCGACCGTCCCTCGGTGGCTCATGTCTGGGCGTGGGCAGATATGCATGTCACGCACGATGGACGCCAGGCCACCGACTACGGTCCCGGGGGGCACGGCACGACAGCAGCAGTCGACATGAATCACCTGCGCAGTCGATGCCGGTCAAGATCTGGTGCATATATGTACACATGTCAGAAGGCAGATTTTGGTCGACGGTCAACAGGCTTTCGTGAGGGCTCCACACCAGCTACGCAAAAGCTGGAAAACGCGCCAGGAAGTTGCCAAGCGTGTTTAAAGCTGCAATCCTGAGAATGATGGCGTATGACGATCTCGCAAGCGCCATGTGGCACGGTCGTTCATCGACAAAGCAACGGGCATGAGGCCGGCATGGCCAGGGGCGTGCGGGCGTCGTTGGGGCGGTCTCTGTAGAGCTTCAACGTGTGACGGTGGACGAGGCCCTCTGGCGCTGAAGTGGAATTGACAACAGCAAGGAGGCTTCTGTACGACGCTGGCAGCTTGCTACGAAACGCGCTGGGTGGAGTGTGGACATCCCTGTCAATACTATTTAGAGGAGTCCCTTGCGGCTTGCAGCAGATCGCCTGAGAGCTTGGAAGCGAGACGAATGGCGATAGCGTGCCAGATTTCGCGCGTCTCTGTGGAGTTTCCGCATTTGGCACGCTGCTCTCGATGCAACGTCTGGATCCCGCACTCAAGTCGAAACACAGCAAGTGCGACGAGAGGCGACGTACAGACACGATGATGAGGGCATTGTTGCAAGAGGCGAGGCGACGCCTGGAGCGCCATTATGTCGCTGCGATATACCGTCTTGTGAAACACTTACTGCGGCGCTAGCGTCGGCCCAGAAAGGCCAGGTACGCTGGGGCTTGACTCTGAGTGAATGTTGGCGACGCACTTGCCTTTTCGACCGCGCGACAGGTCGTCGTCCCAGGCGCGGCAGATGAGATGACTCGCCCGCAGGAAGCTGCAATAATGGAGAGTGTCAGGTGTTCCTCTCAGGAGGTGCAGGGAGTCGCGTGCTCGGAAATGGACGAGCTACTGCCAGTCCACGGCTTTCGGCAGCACGTCTCGAAGCGCGTTGAATCTTTCATTGGCCACCTCTTTCGAGCATTGCCTTGCCAATCTGCCCGCCACCGTACCTGGTTTTGACGGAGAGACGACTGACAGACTGACCAGCACGAGTACGACACGTCCATCTCCGCCGCCGCGACCCGCACGCTGCCACCCGCGCGACACTCCCACACACGCAAATTGTCACAATTTCGAGAGTGCGCCATCCGGTCACGCTCGGCCCTCCCAGCTCCAGCCCGCAGTGGCCTCGTCTCAACCGCACGTCATATTATCCGTCTCATAAGGCGCCAGACCCAGGATGCAGGCTGAGATCCGCGAGCAGCTACCAAACGTTGACCCGGTCGTCGTGGATTATGTCGACGGTTATCTGAACCACGCTGCCCGGCAGTTCAGCACCGACGAAGATCCCCTGGCTGAGGCGGCGGCCGTCATCTCTCAGTTGCTGCTGTCGGCGTCGGGAGATCTGACCAGCGAAAATGAGGTGTCAGTTCAGAACCTCGTGGAGAAGTTCGTGGAGCGTCTCACCAACGAGAATGGGCTTGACAGCGAGCGACGCCAGCAAGCCCCCTCGGCGAAGAAACTTGACCAAACAATTCAGGTTGGCGCCCAAAGAAACGTCTCGTCCACTCTGGGTCTCACAGCGGCCGTCGATCTCGAGTCTGCAAATGCCAGAAAGGTAGAATCACGTGTCGACAAGAAGAAGCTCGAGAAGGCCGAACGAAAACTGCGGGCCAAGCAAGACAAGAAGGAGTTCAAGACTGTCGAGTATGAAGCTTCCCGCCTGCTCGACCAGCCGGACGACCAGCTGTCATATGAAGAATTCTTCATGGCTGTCAACCCTCTCCAGTTGGGCTCCGATTCTCAATCGAAGAGCAAAGACATCAAAGTGGACGGCATCGACATTTCCATCGGCGGCAAACGCATTCTGTCAGATACCAATCTGACGCTTGCCTATGGCCGCAGATATGGTCTCGTAGGTCAGAACGGTATTGGTAAATCTACGCTGCTCAGATCTCTCAGTAAGCGTGAAGTCGCAATTCCTACTCACATTTCCATTCTGCACGTTGAGCAAGAAGTCACGGGAGATGATACGCCAGCATTGCAGGCTGTGCTTGACGCTGATGTATGGCGAACACATCTGTTGAGGGAACAAGAGAAGATCACCAAGGAGCTAGCAGAGATTGAAGCACAACGCTCTTCCCTGGCAGACACATCAGGCGATGCGGCCAAGCTCGACCAACAACGTGAAGGCCTCGACATTACCCTCAGCGACGTCCAATCTAAGCTGGCAGAAATGGAATCTGACAAGGCAGAGTCGCGAGCAGCAAGCATCCTGGCAGGTCTCGGTTTCTCGCACGAGAGACAGCAATACGCCACGAGGACATTTTCTGGTGGTTGGCGAATGCGAATTGCCATTGCAAGAGCACTGTTCTGCGAGCCGGATCTTCTACTTCTTGACGAACCGTCGAACAACTTGGACGTTCCTTCCATCACCTTCTTGTCAAACTACCTCCAAACATACCCAAGCACTGTTTTGGTCGTATCCCACGACAGAGCATTCTTGAACGAAGTGGCCACCGACATCATCCATCAGCATTCAGAGCGTCTCGACTATTACAAGGGCTCCAACTTCGATCTCTTCTATGCCACCAAGGAGGAGCGACGGAAGACGGCCAAGCGTGAGTACGAGAACCAAATGGCGCAGCGTGCACACTTGCAAGCCTTCATCGACAAGTTCCGGTACAACGCAGCCAAATCATCAGAAGCGCAATCACGGATCAAGAAGCTCGAGAAGATGCCAATCCTGGAAGCACCGGAGAGCGAGTACCTGGTCCACTTCAAGTTCCCAGAAGTGGAAAAGTTGTCACCACCAATCATCCAAATGACGGGGGTGTCTTTCGGCTACAGCAAGGACCAGCCTCTGCTGAAGAATGTCGATCTGGACGTGCAACTGGATTCCCGCATTGGCATCATTGGACCGAACGGTGCTGGTAAGACGACCACACTCAAGCTGCTCATTGGGGCACTTGAGCCAACGTCTGGGCTCATCTCGCAGAACCCTCGACTTCGTATTGGATTCTTTGCACAGCATCACGTCGATGCGCTTGACATGAACATGAGCGCTGTGACCTTCATGGCGGCCAATTACCCAGGAAGGTCGGATGAAGAGTATCGCCGGCATCTGGGAGCTTTCGGTATAACCGGCATGACTGGTCTGCAGAAGATGGGCCTGCTTTCAGGAGGTCAGAAGTCTCGCGTCGCCTTTGCTTGTCTCGGATTGACCAACCCTCACATCCTGGTCATGGACGAAGCTTCAAGTGAGTCATGAACTATATTCGTCTTTAAGATACCTCATACTGACAATTGCCTCTAGATCATCTCGATATCGAAGCTATGGATGCACTGAACCTGGCACTTAACCAATTCCAAGGAGGTGTCGTCTTGGTCAGTCACGACGTCCACATGCTGCAACAAGTCTGCAAGAGTCTGTGGGTATGTGACAACGGCACTGTGGAGAAGTTCGACGGCACTGTCCAAGACTACAAGAAGAGGATCACCGCCCAAGCGTCAGAGTCGGGCGTGGCCATCCAGCATTAGATGTACATAGATCCATGTCACGTGTTGATGCCTCAGGCTTCCACGCTAAGGCCCTCACACAAAATTTCCAACACAAGCTCCAGCTCACCACCTCTCCTCATGCAGCTGTCACTCCACCCCTCTGCCCTCACTTCTTCCTGCTTCACCTTCTTTTCTCGACTTCCACTTGCCACACCCGCAGCAGGCTCTGCGTTCAAAGCCCTTGCACGGCCACCACACTACACACAACCTCTCCGCACATACGCCAGCAGCAAAAAGAAGAAGATGCCGCCCAAGAAGGAGGTCAAGCAAGAGAAGGTGCTGCTCGGGCGGCCGGGCAACAGTCTGAAGAGTGGGATCGTATGTACGTGCTCTGCGCGCGCTATTTGTGACAACACTGACGCCGGACACAGGTCGGTCTCGCTAATGTCGGCAAGTCGACATTTTTCCAGGCCCTGACGAAATGCTCTCTGGGCAATCCCGCCAATTTCCCCTACGCAACCATCGATCCTGAAGAGGCGCGAGTCATTGTGCCTGATGAGCGATACGACTGGTTGGTCGAGCACTACAACCCCAAGTCGCGGGTACCTGCCAACCTCACAGTCTACGACATTGCTGGTCTGACGCGAGGCGCCTCGACAGGTGCTGGTCTTGGCAATGCCTTCTTGTCTCACATCCGAGCCGTCGACGCTGTCTTCCAGGTCGTGCGATGCTTCGATGATGCCGAGATCATCCACGTCGAGGGCGATGTCGACCCAGTCCGTGATCTTGAGATCATCGCCGATGAGCTTCGAATCAAAGACATTGAGTTCGTGGAGAAAGCACACGAGAACCTCGTCAAGCAGACTCGGCGAGGCGGTCAGAGTCTCGAGATGAAGAAGTTGAAAGAGGAGCAAGCTACCGTGGAGAAGATCTTGGACCTGCTCAAATCCGGCAAACCCGTACGGCATCACGACTGGCAACCAAAAGAGGTATGTTCAGTATATCTCCTTCTGCACCCCCACCCACTCGCATGATGAACCAGAGATCCAATCTCTATAATCCCAGCTCTTAGAACCCTCACATAAACAACGCTAGAGGTGTCATGATAGAACGTCCCAACTGATCGAGACAAATACTACCAAATCATTGTATACTGTTCGTGGCGAACATGAGCTAATGCAATTGTGCTTAGGTCGAAGTTATCAACCCACTCTTCCTCCTGACAGCCAAGCCTGTTGTCTACCTGGTCAATTTGAGCGAGAAGGACTACATTCGACAAAAGAACAAGTATCTGCCAAAGATCGCCGAGTGGGTCAAGGAGCATTCGCCCGGCGAGCCAATCATCCCAATCTCAGTCTCGTTCGAAGAGCGCCTGACCCGCTTTGAGACTGAGAAGGAGGTAGAGGAGGAATGCAAGACGCTTGGAACCAAGTCAGCCCTCCCCAAGATCATCACCACCATGCGCAAAGCACTCAACTTGGGCTCTTTCTTCACCACTGGCACGGACGAAGTACGTCAATGGACCCTGCGGAACGGCACCAAGGCGCCACAAGCAGCTGGTGTCATTCATGGTGACTTCGAGAAGACCTTCATTCAAGCTGTCGTCTACAACTACGGCGTACTGAGGGAGGAAGGTGACGAAGCACAAGTGAAGGCGAAGGGTAAGGTCATGACGAAGGGCAAGGAATATGTGGTTGAGGATGGCGATATCCTGCTCATCAAGGCTGGTGCTGCCAAGTCATAAAAAGTAAAGGTTTGTTTGATGTCGATTTTGAGGAAGGCAATAATGGCGCAGACTACGCCTTCGCACCTCGTCAAGGTCACACATGACTACGGATGTCGATGAGATGATAGCTTGGTAGAGCGCCTCGTCCATCCGAATGAACTCTTATGATGAAAACAGAAACTCAAATTGCATACCCTTGCCAAACACCTCGCTTTGATCCAAAATGCTACAACGTCCATGCTATGCTGTCGTGAATCAGGTCTAGATTCGAATCTCTCTTCGAATTGACATCGTCCAATGCAAGCGCTTCAAAGCAACAAGGACAGTCCTAAGAACATTCCTTCTCACTCAACCCTACACCCTCCCCGCCTCAAGATCCCCTCCCTTCCCACGCCCACCCACACCACCACCACCACTTCCCCAATCCTCCTCACAAACATACCCAGGCGTCCCCACCCCAATCGCAAACGCCCGCCCCGGACTCCTCGCGCCAAAAGCCCAACCCCTCCCCCTCGAAATCGGTAAATGATACCAGCGAAACGACAACCACGCCGTGACGATGCCGATCAAGGACCCGGAGATGATGTCGAAGCCGAAGTGGTAGAATTCGACGAAGCGCGTGCTGCAGATGTAGACGGCGACGGCGACGGGGGTGAGGGCGGGGATGATGAGGTAGTTTGGGGGCGAGGCGGCCGTGTTGCGGAGGTGGAGGAGGGAGTGAGCGGTTGTTGTTGGGGAAGGGGGTGGGTGGGCGTGTGGGTCGTATTTGGTTTCTTCGGAGTCGCCGCGGGCGCGGTGAGCGTGGAGGGGGAGGAGCTCGTTGTCGCCTCCTGATGCTGCGGCTGCTGGGTGGTGGTGGGAGGTTCGTGGGTTCGTCGCGGGGGTGTTGTAGTTGGGGAGGTAGGGGAGATGGGGGAGGCCGACAGAGAACTTGGAGCAGAAGTAGAGGGTTAGGTATAGAAGGCCACTCCACGACCACTGCGAGTGTCCTGAGGGGAATGAGCGGAAGCCATCGTCGAGCCATTTCTTGTCGGTTTGTCGACAGATTCCGGAGTTCACGAGTACCCACTCGGGACTCAGCTCGCTCGCGAAACTGCCCACGACGTACTGCGCGAAGTTCTCCAGATCCGGGTCACACCTCGCGAGGAGATTCGGGCGCGGCTTGCCGAACATGTTTTTGGTGCCTTGCACAATAAAGAACCCCAGCGCGACGCTGAGACACAGGCCCGCGAGGCCCTTTTCCAGCTCCCATAGTTTGATGCGGAGGACTTGGGCTCTGGTCGAAGTTCGTCGCACCTCGCTCCCGGGCACGAAGAGGATGGTGATGATGGCGATGAGGATCGAGGGGACGACGAAGGCGATGACGCCTAGGAGGCCGACGGAGATTTGTTCGTGCACGACGGGGTTGGAGATGCTCAGGTCCACGAGGCTGAAGGGGCGGTGGTGCGGCGAGACGAGTGAGAGGAGACCTCCGGCGCCGGCGAAGATGAGGATGATGATCCAGTCGAGGATGTAGGAGACGAGGAGTTTGCGGTCGGCGGAGAGGACTTGTTTCGTGGCGTCTTGGAGGGCGGATTTGTTGAAGGTTTTGGAGGAGGCCATGGCGGAGTGCGGACGGTCTGGGGAACTCAGCATGCACAAGGAAGAAGAACGAAAAGCGTACTTCGGCGTTTCTCCAGGAGAAGAGTAGGTCTGGAGTAAGAAAAGTAGTAGAGATGACAAGAAGAACCGTGGAATGCAGTGCCCCCGTCCCGCGGTAACCACGGTGTCAGTGCAGTGCAAGTGCAAAAATGTCAAGAGTCAAGACAACACCCAAGCCGCAAAGCCTCTGCAGTCTCACCCCAAGGCAAGCACCAGAACCCAGGACCGGGTTTCTATACATACCTTACCCTACCCCATACATCATCACAGGACGCACGGAGAGACACACGACCATGCTAGCCAAGACGCCGCGACGTCTCGTCTCGTTCATCAGGACTGAGCCACGCTACTTCTTGTGCAGCGTGTCTGATCATAAAACTCTACGCTGTCGAGAAGGGGCTCAACCGTTTTCTTCTTTGTCGCTGAACGAGCGAATGGAGGCGGTCTGTCTGTCTGTCTGTCATCATCGTACAGTGGCTGTGTCGTGTGAGCCATTTCTGTTTGTGGGTGTAAGGAGAAAGGGGAACCAATGATGCGGAGTGCTAAGAAGTTCCAAGACTGCTGTGCGCGCGTTCTTTTCTTTGCTCTGTGCTCGGCTGTTGCCCGTTTCACGTGCCGTCCAATGCCGTTTCGCGCTAGGGAAAGTTTAATGCTTTAACATGCTGCTACTGTACGAGGTTGGAGTACAAGAGGATTGGGATGGGCGGTGTTGAGCTGAACGAGGTATTGCTTCACTGTGTCTTTTTGAAATGAATTCAATTTTTGCAGTCCGGCGTCTATGTGTCTTGCGATATGCATATGCACACTACTGGCTCCTCAAGATAATCTTCTTCAACACATTGATTGGCTTAAACTCTGCAACTGATGATCTTACCAGCAGCATGCTCCGCCATGATAGCCACTTGCGCCTACACGACTCCGTCAGCCACAGAAACTCATCATCGAAGCACAAAGTGACTTACCTGAATATTCCCCGTCGGCACATCCGCATGGAAAGAAGCATCCGCAACGAACAAGTTCTGCGTTCCCCAGACCTTTAAAGAAAGCGTCAGCAAGTCAAAGACCCATGGAGCCAAGCATAAAAACTATTCCACGCACCTTCGTATCCAAATCAACCACACTCCCCCCATCATTCACCTCCCCAATCACCGCCGACCCAGCAAAATGCAGCCCCGTCCCATAACCCCCCAGCACAAGCTCCCTCGACGTCAAATTCCTCTGCGAAGCCGTCAACTCCAACGTCCTCGACCCCTCGAGATACCCGCGGAACTCGTCGACGAAGGCCACGGCGGCGGAGATGTCGCCTTCGGTGTTGTACCAGGGTTCTTGGGCCCAGGTCATGGTGCCGTTGGCTTCGATGGCTATGGTGCCGGTGGAGGTGAGGCCGTGGGTGAGGTAGACTTTGACGGAGAGTTGGCCTTCTTGTTGGCCGGCGATGGTGAGTTGGATGTGGCGGGTTCTGTTGTCGGAGCCGGTGACGGATGTCCAGGGTAGGATGCGTTGTTCTGGTAATTTGTGTCAGGTTGGATATTGTCAGTGGCTGGTGGTGCGACTTACGAGATTGGGCGATAACGCCTGATGCCTCTGTGTTGTAGAGCTCGATATCTTTGCTATCGGGGGTGCCAAAGTAGAGAGCTGAGTTGTTGAAGAAGGTGAAATCGCTGCTGCTCGTGTCGACGAGCAAGGTCACGATTGGATGGTCACGGATCCTCTCGCCGACGGGTAGCTCGATCCATTGCTTGCGGTCAGGGAGAGTGACACCTGTAGTACCATTCTCAACAGTCTCGATCTGTTCGATGGGTCCAATGCCTGAGTTGAAGAGGATACGCGATGTTCCAAAGACTCCTGCTGTGAGGATGACCTTGCCTCCTTCATTTAGACTGATGTTTGAGCGGGAACCATCCTCGTTCTCAACTTCGACGCCAGTGACGAGGCCGCCATCTCGAATCACACGAGTGACATTGGCGTTTAGTTGATGAGAGAAGTTCTCGTTTTCGAGCGCCAGGGAGAAGTAGACGTGAGGACTGCGACTCATCAGTTTCTGTCGAACCCCACCTCATAAGAAGATACTGACGGTCCAGCTCTGATGCCCTCTCCAGCAGCAACGTTTTGTGGTGGATCTGCACGACCGGTCAGCAAGGATCCAAGCCATAGATAGAAGATACTCACAACTGTACACCAAGTGCTTCTCATTCGGCTGCTCGATCGCATCGACATGCGTCCATCCTTCATTTCCAAGCAAATCTGAGAAGAGCCCAAACGCGCCGGGCTCGTAGTCGTAGCGCTCTCCGTTGCCCGAAGGCATCGTCGTGCCTGGGTTGAGGGACTCGACACGTTCGTACGCCTGCTTGATGTCGTCGTACTCCCAGCCTGTTTCGGTGTGAGGCACAAGACGAATAACATTTCAGGGATAGTCAAGACTCTTACCCGTTGGCCAGTTGTCGTTAATGTCATGTTCCGCCGGTGGAACCCACATCAATCTATCGAGAGATCAGATCAGCGCTGCGGAGATAAAAGTTTTTGACATGTTCTCTTGCCCATTGAGAGACCCGCCTCCGCCAAACAAGTATCCTGTCGTATGCGGTGTATCTCTGTAGTACGCATTCGGGTCGGCTAGCACGATGCTACAATTTAGACACCCTGATCAGTCGAGGACTTTGAGCGCATGACTAGGTCTGAAGTACCTGAAAGCAAACGCCGGAACATCAAAGATGGTCACAGTATCGTTGAATGGCTGCAGCATACGCATTAGAGATTGATCCCCAACAACCAAAGGGCATGAACGATGCATACCATGAAATGCGTGCCGCCGGATTTGGCAGTAGAAGCAGGTCCTCTTTCGAGCAGCAGAGTTTTGGCACCGCTCCCGGCCAAACGTTCTGCTACGACATTGCCAGCAACGCCGGCGCCCACGATGATTGCATCTGGGTCGAGCAGTCAGTACACATCTGCAGGCTCTACTTTCCAGCGTGGTAAAATTACCATAAGAAGACACAGAACTCTCAGCACTCGTAACAAGAGCAGCAGAGACCGATCCCACAGCCGCAACGCTTGCAAAGAGGAGCTTGAGCAGATTCGAATGCATAGTCAATGACAATACTTGCTGGAGCAGTAAAAAGAGGTTCAGCAATGCTTATCAGATCGATCTTATGCGGGTCTCCCGATGTCTTTGTACTCATATCCGCGTCTTCGATGCCAAGCGTCCTTACCCAGTACCGGTGATGAAGGCCGCGCCAGGCAAGACTCGTACGTTACATGTCGATGAACTACACACGACTAGTGCAGATCGGATTACATGAGCAGTGCGGAATGGCCGGCACATGGTATGAGCTGGAGAAATCTACGGGTGATCAGGACGGGCCACGTGGCGGTCTCAGTAGATTCTTCCTGGGATCGATGGAGAGGACGGCGGGCAGATCGTAAGATCAAAAATTTGATCAGGCTGGAGAAAGCCATGGGAGTTGGCACCATCCGGATGAACGTTCTCCAGGGGTACGACATGAAAGTCAACGTGCAGTTCGAAGAAGTTTGTCTGGAATTCGCATCCTGAAACGATTCGGCCGGCTCGAGCAAGCGCGGGATACTGCGTTGGTCGTTGTCATTTTGTCCAGACCGCATCAATATCGGCAGATCACGAAAAATACTAAGAATCCTGGCATGCGCCAGACGCCGTTGATGTTTGATCTTGCCTGGTGCCGACCTCGGAGGTATCTAAACGATGGCCGGGAGCTGTCAAATGACTGGAAAGCATAACAAACAGAAAGGTTTTGTATGTGAGATCTGTTGATGAGAGACCTTTGCAGTGGAGGATGGAGTGGAGTCGAGGTCGCGGAGAAAAAGGCCGGAAAGACTTCGGTCGAACCATATGGCTGCACGTGGATGTCGTGATTGGCGACGGTATTATTTATGAAGAGGACATGAGCTGAATGAGTTTTCGTAGTCGTGACGAATCATTTGGGTATCTCAAAGCTCTAAACTTTTGAAGTGTCGGCTCCGTGGATTTACATTCCGCCCATTCAGACTGTTTTCAAGGAGGCCGCAGAGCCCGATGTCGTTGTGCTATGTCTGGAAGACTCCATCGCATTGATGAGGAACGCAGGCATTGCCCTGAGAACTTTCTGACATTGGACAGAAGGACGTCTTTAGCCAGGTCAGCACAGTCTTAGCCCATGAGTGAAAGCTGGTGGTTTTCAGAGTGCATTTGTGGGGCCCTCCTATGGAAAGGCAGTTCCATGGGTGTAGGTCTCTGGAACGACTCGGCGCCATGCTCGGTCCTAGATTCCTCGTTGCATTGACGAAGCATGCAGCAACTTCCGCATGGTCGATTCTGCCAGACTTATCTGGTCTCGATGCTCTGCGGCTCGTCTCCATAAGGGGTATCGATTCGTGAACAGAATGGCGAGGCCCTATCGCGACGCTCTCATCTCCTGCTGACCATCTGTGCCCTCCACCTTGCCTGGCTCCCGGAAGACGGCATTGAAGGCTTCTTCAAGGATATTCATGCCCTGGTCAATCTCTTCTTCAGAGATAATGAGGGGTGGAACGAAGCGAAGAGTGTTGGTGCCACAGGTGATGATCAACAGGCCACGCTTACGAGCAGCAGTGATGATGGGTGTAGGATCCGACTTCAGCTGCAAGCCCAGAATCAGACCACGTCCTCTGACTTCTTGGATAACATCTGGGAAAGCCTCGTGGATGCGGACGAAGTGTTGTCGGAAGCGAGCCTCCTTCTTCAGAACGGCCTTCTGCAGTTCAGGATCCGATAGCCGAGAAACGATCATATGTGCCACTCGCGAGCCCAGTGGGTTGCCACCGAAAGTAGTTCCATGATCACCCGTGACGATCTTGCTGGAGACATCCTCAGTAACAAGAGTTGCGCCAATTGGAAAGCCATTTCCAAGGGCTTTTGCAGTGGTGAGAATGTCAGGATGTGCCTCAGGTGGAAGCTCTGCATGAGCCCACAGCTTGCCCGTACGACCTAAACCGCACTGAATCTCATCATAGATCAATACTGCTCCTACCTCAGTGCATCGCTTCCGAAGAGCGAGGAGGAATTCATGAGTGGCAACATTTACACCACCCTCGCCCTGAATAGGCTCGACGATAACACCGCAGGTAGTTTCGGTTACAAGATCGTTGATGCCGGCAACATCGTTGTACGTGCCGTACTTGAAGCCTGGAACCATCGGCGAGAATGGCTTCTGGTACTTGGGATTTGGCGTGGCCGAGAGAGCGCCCATTGTCCTTCCGTGGAAAGATGAGTGGAAGCTGACCATCTCGTATTTGCTGCCGTCGGGTTGTACGCTTCGCCCGTACTTTCTGGCGAACTTGATGGCGGCCTCGTTGGCTTCGCTGCCCGAGTTGCAGATGAACGTCCGGGTGGCATTGAAGCCGCCAGCTTCTCTGGTCTTCTCAACCAACAACTGACTTAAAGCTCCAGTCCATGGGTTGTAGTACAGATTGGAAGCATGAACCAAGGTTTGTGACTGTTGATACAAAATCTTGCTCATCTCCGGATCACAATGGCCCAATGCGTTCACGGCGATACCGGCCGTGAAATCGAGGTATTGCCTGTTCTCGACATCGTATAAATAACATCCCTCTCCTTTCTGAAAGACTGGTGGCGGGCGAACGTAGGTCGGGACCATGTACGGGGTGTGGGAGTTGACGAGACGAGCTGTCTGCGAGTCGGCCGCAGGATCTGGCGTGCGCAAAGTAGCCTCTTTCTATTCCAGGTCAGCATTGATCTAAGGTGTTACCTGCCAGGAGACTCACCTCAATGGCGTTGATCCTGTCTGCGGGCAGTGTGGAAGCTGCCGTGGCCGCAGAAGCGTAGCATCGACGGGTGCTGGCTTGAGCATTGCAGCGCTGCGACCGCAATGCGGCGCCAATGCGCTGGCTACAGGTACGAACAGACATGCTCAGTCAAATGTCTGTCAGGGGTGAAGAGAAGTCTCAATCATCAAGTATGAATTAATTTCTGAGAAAATACCTCACCACCAGAGTCATTGACAGCATCGAGAAAGTTAGCCGACATCGCTCGGCAACCTGTGCCGGTTGACATGTCGATCACCACGCGCGATGCCAGCGGTTATTAATCTGCCCTCACCTCACTTCTATATCTTTGTCTTTTCTCCTACATGTCTGTTTAATCGAGCGACGAGATACGCGTTTGGAAGCCGTTTGATTCATTTGCGGGATTCGGAGATGGATGGCGACGATGAGCCCAATACGCCGCTTTTCGCCACGCTCCTCTCGAGGCCATGTGAGTGACGGGCGACCGGATTGACCATCTCCTCTCCAAACAGCGTCAATAGCTGCCCACTCGACACTCTTTACCACAGCACAGTCGGCTCTGGCCCTACCACGAGATGACAGCTGGGAATATAGTCATTCCCGGGCGGAGTGCTTCGAGGCTTGAAGCACGCCCTCGCTGCTTCGCTCCTCAATCCTACCTCCCGCAAAACTCACGAAGGACCTTCCCATCGGCCTCACCGATCATACAGGGGATAGCTCCACTAGCCTATGCTTCCAGCCAAGCCGAGCACTGTACACGAGCAGAGCAGAATCGTCGCAGCTAGGGAAAATGCCCGAGGGACTTTTCAGAGCCCAGACCTTGGCGTAGATGGCTTGCAGGTACATTCTGCTGGGCTATACCCGCAACAAGACTTTGAGACGGACTCTTCTACCCAACCAAGCCTGTCTTTGCTGGTTTATCGAGCACTTCACGCTCCCCGGAATCCTCCCGCGACGAGCTCTTGGTATGCTTCGGCCGGTACGAACTATTGCTGCAGCATGCAGTCGAATCTCGATGTTTGACTCGCGCCAGCTTCGAACAAGGCAGCCGGTCTCATCCGCTGCTGGGGCGATATCATGGTTTGAGTGCTATCATCACATCCATTGTGACCAGTCCATCGGGCCCCGTGCTTTCCGCGCTCAGCTAGAAGAACTGTATCTTCATCCGCCGCGGAGGACTCGATCCAATCTGAGACCACACGATCTGGAAACACCAACTTTTGCTCTACGCCACGTGGTTGCAGGCAACTTGGAGCTACCAAACATCGGATCCGTCTCTGCAGCGGAGCCGATCTCGTCACTTTCGAGTTGTATTTTTTTCGCCTTCTACTCCATACCTCGCAAACGCAGTACCACACAGTCTCCGACGCTTGGAAGGGCTTGGAAGACGCCACGAAAATGCACGCTGCACATGTCAGAAAGTCTAGACTGGTCTTCCCCACGAACCCGACTTAAGCTTGTTTTAGCTCGCCCTTCTCCACGATGACCGCTCGGGCTCCAATCTGGGGTAAACCGATTCATTTGCCGATGCTCTATGCCATGCGAATGGAAGGAGTAACGTGGCTGACTGAGGCTGCAATAGTCGGACTCTTGGGTCCCACCTTCACGTTGTCGTGTGACGGTTACATGGATGCCATCTAGCCCAGACGAGCATGGCCTGCGTCGAGAGCTTGATCGAGGAGCGAAGTGTGGCAAGAAATGAATGCCCTTGCTCTGTCGTCAACCGAAGATAAGAACGCCCAGGGCCCCCTACCAAGCTCCACTGGCTAAGTGAACAGTTTCTCCTGTTGTTTCTTCACATTATCAATCCACAGCCATGGCAGACATCGAGAAGGTCGCGGTTGCTCATCTCGAGCGTACGGAGTCTGATGATTCTGTTGTCTCTACCACCGATGCTCGCCTCAACGACTTCTCCCCGGAGGAAGCCAAGAAGCTCATCTGGCGGATCGATGTTCGACTTGTCCTCACCCTTGGATTTATGTACTGCGTCTCACTTATGGTGATTCTTCTCTCGCCCCGAAGAAATGGTCATCACAACTAACGTCCACACAGGACAGGACCAACCTGGGAATCGCAGTGGTAGCCGGTATGGGCGTGGACTTGAAGTTGATCGGATTTCGCTACTCGACCCTCGTCCTCGTCTTCTTCATCACATACGTTGCATTGCAACCACCAGCGACCGTCATCTTGCGGAAAGTTGGCCCGCGAATCTTCCTGCCCACGATCACGCTGCTCTGGGGGGCCACGATGATCACATTTGCCTTTGTGAAAGATTGGACGGATATGATTCCCCTTCGTCTGGTCCTCGGGATCTTCGAGGCCGGATTCTTCCCTGGTACGTGTTCGATAGCACAGGGCGTCAAATGATCTCGGCGAATGAGCTAACTTCATCAAAGGCTGTGCGTACCTTCTCTCGACCTGGTACCCACGATACGAACAACAGAAGCGCTACGCCGTCTTCTACCTGATCGGCAGTCTGTCTTCTGCCTTCAGTGGTATTCTGGCCTACGGCTTTAGCCACATGAACGGTCTCGGTGACCTTGGACCAACCTACGGCCAACACTATGGCCCAACAAAAGAACACCCAACCGCCCCCAAGGGTATCATGCCAGGCATTGCAGGCTGGCGCTGGATCTTCATCATGCAAGGACTCCTCACCTGCGTCGTCGGAGCCATCGGTGCCTTCACCATCGCCGATTTCCCAGAGAAAGCCGCGAAGAAGTCCAAGTCCTTCGCCATCAGCTTCTTGAACGAGCGCGAAGCCAACTTCATCGTCGCAAGAATCGAGAAGGACCGCCACGATGCCATCGCCGAGCCTTTCAAGTTGAGCACTTATCTGCGCTGCGGTCTCGACTCCAAGATCTGGGGGTTCGCCTCCCTCTTCATGCTCACCACGACCTCCACCTACGCCATCGCATACTTCCTCCCCATCATCCTTCACGGTACGTACAACACCACCCACCCCACCCCATGAACATATCACTAACCCCCCTATCCAGAGGGAATGGGCTTCGACGCCGCCATGGCCGAATGCCTCATCGCCCCACCCTACGTCTTCGCCGCCATCTGGATGTTCGCCTGCGCCGTCCTCGGCGACAAATACCACCTCCGCGGCCCCATCATCATCGTCAACGCCCTCCTCGGCGTCATCGGCCTCCCCATGCTCGGCTTCCTCACCTCCCCGGCCGCCCGCTACGTCGGCGTCTTCCTCGCTACTACCTCCTGTAACGCTAACGTCCCCGCCATCCTCTCCTACCAAGCCAACAACCTCCGCGGCCAGTGGAAGCGCGCGTTCGCGTCCGCGACGCTCGTGGGTGCCGGCGGCATCGGTGGGATCATCGGGTCGACGGTCTTTCGCTCGCAGGATAAGCCGGGGTATCGACCCGGTATCTATGCGACGGTGATTGCGTCCGCGTTGGTGGTGGTCATTACGTGTTTTATGGATTTGAAGTTCCATCGGGCGAATAAGAGTGCTGCTGCTGGGGGTAAGGTTATTGAGGGACTTGCGGGTTTTAGGTATACTTTGTAGTTGGGGTGGATTGTTGTACATGTAGAGGGTTGATACAGATAATCGACTGCTCTATTGAGATTTGTGAGCTTGTTCGAGAGTCTCCCGATGTTACATCATGTCTTCATGCTCCATGCCTGACAGCGGGATGACCTATTTATTTGGCATTATTGGTCATGACCACTTTGATGTGTCTGATATCTTGCATGAGAAGCTGACTCTATGCGAACACCTCAGTCATTGCTTCTAGCAGGCCGTGAAACAAGTATTATAGTCCCTCATGTGCAGCGTCCTAAACTGTCACACATGCCCAGCGTGACACTCCACCGAGTGAAGACGACCCCCAATAACCACAATCTCCACTCAATAAACCCCTGGTATCGTCCCAAACCTCTTCTTACTATACTTCGCGCCCAACTCCTTCCTATACCGATACTCCTTCTTCTTCGCCCACAGCGCCATCTGTCCACCTGCAATCACCAAGAACACCACCGTCGTCCACGAGCGCGTGATGATCGTAATCCCAATCCACGCCACAATCTCAAACAAGTAGTTCGGGCACGTCACCCAATCGAACCCGAATCCTTGAGGGACACCCCGCTCGGTGCCGCCTGGTGATCGAAGGCCTCGGAGCACCAAGTGTGTGTTGAGGTTGGCGATTTCTCCGAAGATGTACAATGCCAGACCGGTGTATGTGAGCGCGGGATTGGTGTCTTCGGCCGCGGCCCAGGAGGTGGGGGAGTAGACGAAGTAGGCGATCAGCAGACCGGAGATGGCCCAGTAGTGAGCTGAGTTCTTGACGATGTTGAAGGCGGGCATGGTGGCGTTGCTGAAGCGGTGGACGAAGAGCGTTTCGAGCTCTCGCTTGAGGAAGTGGAGGGTGATGGTGATGCATGACAGTGTTTGGAGGTGGGAGGGTTCGGCGGGGGCGTTTTTGTAGATGTAGGGTTGGAGGAAGTAGAGGAGTGGGTGGATGAGGAGCGGGCCGAGGTATTCGATGATGAAGACTGTTTGCCAGGCGATTTGGAGGCCTGGGGTTCATATCGTTAGTTGTGCTTATGCATGTGAGGCTTGATATCGAGTACGTACCCAAGTCCTTCACCTGGATCACACTTCCATCTTTCAAACCCAGGCTGTCCACCGTCGTCTTCTTGTCATTAAGTACCAGCGTGCCATCTTCCTTCGTTATCCTCAAGCGGTGAATGTCAAAGCGAGACTCGGCGGCGATGCGGTGGTACAGGTCACCGGTGCTACCCTGGATGTAGATGCTGGTTTCTTTCGGGAGCTTTGGAATGCGTTTGCCTGCAGGATTTGAATTAGAGACCGATATGCGACAAAGCAGCTGGCACCGTACCTCGCGGCTTGATTTGCAGGTTGACCGGTTTGGAGGCCATTGTGGTTGAAGGATGGACCGGTCAAGTCTCAATGGCTGTTTCGACTGGAGAGAGGTGTTGTCTTGTGAGCAAGCGATGCTCGGTTCGGCTCGGCTGAATATTAATAAACAGTAAATAGGTATCCTTTAAACGCTAATGAAATATTGCTTAGACTTGAACAAACGAACACAAACACCTCCTACAACGTGACACAGCCTTCCTTGTGCAAGCTCGAACCGGAAAATGGTTGTACGTCATTCTTATGGGCCAGAACATGCGCATATATTGCAGAATGGAGGATGCGTTTAAAGGGCGGCCAAGCGGCCTCATCAGCTCACCAGTCCCCGAGCTGAGCCAGGTCTCGCCAATGAGGTCTCGAAGGCGGCCTCCAGGTACACGGCGGAAGTCAATACGAAAAGCAGGCTGTTGGTGTCTGCCGTATGGCGTCTTGGTGTTTGCACAAGGGAATCCTCCCGACCGAGGCCTGTTCCGAGCTATCGTCCTACTACTGCAAGGGCGCAATCATGGCTGGCTGAAGGAGACATACTCCGGCAGATGCACGAGTGCTCTAACCTGTCAGACCTCTCCCTCAGTCTCTCAGCTCTTCGCAAGCGTTGCCAGATATCATCACCTTGCTCTCCCCACCGCCAGTTGGCAGGACAGAGTTCGGAGAGGGCGACGACAGCATGGGCTGATGGTCGCAAGCGCTCGTAGCCACGAGGTGGCTTGCAGGCCTTGTCGACCCTAGTGCCCAGCGCCGGCCTCTCAGACGCGAGCTTTTACTGAGAGCAAGTCGCACAAGCCGCTGCCTCTGCTGCTCTTTTTCGAATGGCCCCTACAATTGGAGGCGCAGCGCAAAAAGGCCCAGGAACGGCACGCACGCGGTCGGTATCGGGGCATCCGTCAGCCGCAGCTGTCGACGTCAAAGTCAAAGCGGCGGTGGGTGGTGCGTGGATTGCCTTGTCGCCTTTTCTCGTCCATTAGTATCCACGGCGGCATCTCTTGATATTGGTGGGGCCGAAACTGCTGTATATTTCCCCAAGGCCCACGCCACCACGACTCAGGCTGAGTTCTCGTTCTGACCACCTTTCTAGCCAATGTCCCATTTCTTACATCGCGTCTGACCCTGCTTACCACCACCAATTCATCAGGCCCTCACATATCCAAACCAAGGCTGTAACCGAGAGAAAGGTGCGTCAAATCTCAGTGTTTCATTGGTAGTGGCACCTGCCCAATTGCCCAATTCAACCGTCGGGGATGGACCCAGCTATAGTACCGTCTGTTGCATCCAGACGGGCAGCTACGACCTCAGGCGACTGGAACTTGGAATCAACAATCTGGACGAGACATGGTTGAAAGAATGACTTTACTCTGGAGGGTTTCTCCCCAGCCATTGTCAAACATCTACAGTCTTTCTCATGCTACCCTAAATGCCATCTAAGAGCTCGCCGCCGTCTTTGAAAGTTTCAACACGAGAACGTCCACTCCCTCCTGTGCCGAAGGAAGAGCAAAGCCGATCGGATGCCCTGTCGGAATACAGCAATGGCGCAGGTCAAGCCCGGATCGAGCAGAATGGCCGTCCAGCTGGTGGAAACGCTTCCGTCCGCCTCGCGAATGGAACAAAGGCGACCATCCGGGCCAATGCCGAATTGGTCAAACAAACGGTTCGCCGAGTAGCATCCAAGTAAGGCCAAGCGAGAGCAACAAATACGACAAAACTACCATCGACAATTCTGCTTTTCTCCATCCTCGTCTGTGATCATACTGTGAGATCTTGTGCTAATGCTGCTTAACAGGCTGAAGATGGACGGCCTTGTGAACGGCAGGAAGTCAACGGAGGAGTCAGTGACGAATGGGAGCAAGACTCCAGAGCCTGAGAAGCCTAGTACGCTTCAGCAGCTACTCAATGGCGTCTCTGATTCTGCTCAGCAAATGAGAACTTTGCTCAATGCTATTAAAGCGCCTGTGCCCAATCAAACGGGAGATGGCTCTCAACTCCCCCAACCGCAGAAGGAGAGCCTGATGAAGGACGTCAATAATCTTTTCAAGGACATCAAGAACCAGGATGCGAAGGATCTGGACGGCCTTCTCAAGACCTTCAAGAAGGCAGCACTGAAGGAACCGATCGACGATAGGGAGTATCTAATGGAGAGCCTGGTCGCCGTTGCCGCGAAGATGCCAGCCGCGAAACTGCAGAAGACCATCACCAACCAATTCATTACTACTCTCTGGGACGATCTCGAGCATCCTCCTCAAACGCTACTGTCCGACAAGTACCTCTTCAGGCAACCAGACGGCAGCCACAACAACTACAAATACCCAGACATCGGCAAAGCAGGAATGCCCTACGCCAGGACTGTCGCACCCAAAACGAAGCAAGCCGCTTGCCTGCCTGATCCTGGTGTGCTTTTTGACTCTCTCATGGCTCGCCAAAATCCAAAAGGCCAGAAACATCCGAATTCGATTTCGAGCATGCTGTTCTACCTGGCATCGATTATTATTCACGACGTGTTCAGAACAGACCATAACGACTTCAATCTATCCGCAACTTCGTCCTATCTAGACTTGGCTCCTCTCTACGGCAGCACATGGGAAGAGCAGAAACGGATGCGGACGTTCAAGGATGGCAAGCTAAAGCCGGATTGCTTTTCTGAATCTCGTCTGCTGACATTCCCACCTGGTGTCGGAGCGCTCTTGATCTGTTTCAATCGTTATCACAACTATGTGGTCGAGCAACTGGCGGCGATAAATGAAGATGGTCGATTCACTACAAACCCCAGGAAACCTACGATTGATCGATATGGCGAGAAAGACCTTGACAAGCGCGAAGATGACTTGTTCCAGACTGCTCGTTTGATCACCTGCGGGCTTTACGTCAACATGATCCTGATTGACTATGTGCGTACTATTCTCAACCTCAATCGGACAGACGACAACTGGCAGTTGAACCCTCGCGTGGACATTCCAGATGGTGTCCCAGTCGGCACGGGTAACCAGTGCAGTGCAGAGTTCAATCTGGTGTATCGATGGCATTCTGCCGTGTCCGAGCGAGATGACCACTGGACCCAGGAATTGTTTAGAGAACTGTTCCCTGGCCAATCCGCGGAGGAGGTCTCGCGACCTGACAGGATTGGGATGTTCCTGCGCAAGCTTAAGGAGTTGGCTGACAAGACGGAGAGTCTGGAACCTGAACAGCGACCATTCCCAGCGTTGAAGCACGAGCAAGAGAAGATGCATCGTATCAAGGATGGTCCGTTCAAAGGCAACTTCGAGGACAAGGACCTCGCCGAGCTCCTGACGAGTAGTATCGAGGATTGCTCCAACGCGTTTGGCCCCCGCCAGGTTCCGACTGTGATGAAGGCAATTGAGATGCTTGGTATACAACAGGCCAGGACTTGGAAGTGTGCAACCTTGAACGAGATGCGCAAGCACTTCGACCTGACGCCACACGAGACGTGGGAGGATATCACCAGGGATAAGGATGTACAAGAGGCCCTCAAACACCTCTACGATACCCCTGATCAGGTTGAGCTGTACCCAGGACTGGTTGTGGAAGATGCCAAAGCGCCGAAACTTCCTGGCTCAGGACTGTGCCCACCATTTACGACTTCGCGAGGTGTACTGTCAGATGCTGTTGCCCTTGTACGAGGTGACAGATTCTACACGACTTCATACACCCCAGCTTTGTTGACCAACTGGGGCTACCAAGAGGCTTCCTCGGACCTTTCCATCGACAATGGCTGCGTCTTCTACAAGCTGTTCCTCAGAGCGTTGCCGAATAGCTTCGATCCAGCGTCTGTCTATGTGCACTACCCAATGACTACGCCCGACGAGATGAAGAACATTCTTCGTCTGCTAGAGAAGGATCATATGTACAACTTCGACAGACCCACAGAGATCAAGCAGCCGATCGTACTCTTCAGCCACGAAGCCGCCATTCAAGTGACTTCGGATGAAGAGGCGTTCCAGGATTTTTCGGGACCTTCCATGGAGTTCCTCATGGGCCCGCGAGCGAAGAATATCATGCTCTCCGGCGACCGATCCGCCTTGGAGAGCGCGATCCCAACTGGTGACGAGAAGTGGTTGAAGGCTGTGCGTGACTTTTACGAACAAAAGACCACGGAGCTTCTCAAGCAGAAGTCGTACAAGCTGGCTGGCGTCAACTACGTCGACATCATCCGTGATGTCGGTAACTTGGTTCCTGTTCATTTCGCTTCAGAGCTCTGGGGCATCCCGCTCAAGACTGAGGAGTTCCCTCGTGGTGTCTTCACGGAACAACAGCTATATCTCGTCATGGCGGCCGTGTTCACAGCCGCCTTCTTCGACGTCGACCCTACCAAGAGCTTCCCACTTCGCCAACAAGCAAGAGAGGTAAGTCCTCTCCATCTCTATCTTCCCCTCTTCACAGACTAAATGACATCTTCCAGACCACCCAACGCCTCGGCGAAATCCTGAAACTCCAAGTCTCCTCCATCGCCACCTTCGGCCGCGCCGCCGAACTCCTCCTCGACGTCCTCAAACCCACCTCAGGCCCCCTCAAAGACTACGGCGTCCACATGATCGCCACACTCTGCAAATCCGGCCTCAGCGCCGACGACCTCGTCTGGGGCCAGATCCTTGGCGTCGCCGGCGGCATCGTCGCCAACCAGGGCCAGCTCTTCGGACAAGCGCTCGATTACTTCTTCACGGAAGGCAAAGAGTATCTCCCGAAGATCTTCGAGCTGGCGAGGAAAGACACGCTGGAGGCGGACGAGGTGTTGATGCATTACCTCCTGGAGGGCGCGAGACTTAGAGGGGAAACGGGTCTCCTCCGCGACGTGCCAAAGGACGTCTCCGTCACCGACACGACAGAAATCTTCGGCACGAAAACGCATAATCTCCACCAAGGCGACAAAATCCTCCTCAACCTCAAAGCCGCCTCCCACGACCCGAAAGCCTTCCCCAACCCAGCCACTCTCGACCTCACCCGGCCCTTAGATTCCTACACCATCCTAGGCCAGCAATCTCTCGGTCTCGCCACGACGCGCGTGGCGCTGACGACGATGCTCAAAGTCGTCGGAAGGCTCGAGAATTTGCGGCCCGCGATGGTGAGTATCGGGCACAAGAGCGAGCCGCATTCTGTCAAGAAGGTGGTTAAGGAGGAGTTTGTGGTTGGGGACGGAGGGAGAGTGCCGCAGGAGTGGTGTTATTCGATGTATTTGACGGAGGATTGGGATCGGTTTTGGCCGTTTCCTACGAGTGAGTTTTTCTTTTCTTTTTCTTTCTTCTGGGATGAGATATTGGGATGCTAATTTGATGTGCAGGTTTGAAGATTAACTGGGGTGGGGACATTCCTGGGGTTGAAACGGATTGATGGGCGTTGTCTTGTCTCTCAAGGGGGAAGAGGCGTAAGGTAGGCATGGGTTAGGGGCGTGGTTAATGTACTCGTAGCTGGAAAATGGAAAAGAAGGATAGGGCGCTTTTGAGGGGTTTCAACTTATAGCAGATCAAGGTACCTGAGGATTATTTGTATCCCCAATCTCTCAAACTGAACGACCGTCGCTATGCCGTGTTACCGTGTTGGTCTTTTCGTTTTCCAGTCATACAAATGCTTGTGGTCCTCCTCGCTTTTCCACATCTCAAAACGCCGTCGCTGTGTGGAATCTCATCTTACTGTTACAGTACTTGGTAGAGTTTGAAGTACGATGCTGGGGAGTGCATGAAATCCCTCTCATATGCACAACTCGCGGAGTGGCCAGGAGTGGCCGCTTTCGAGATGCAGTTCAGATTCAATCCTCCATGTTGGTGGGCGGAACCGTTCCTTCGGTCGGAGAGCGCACGCCGTGCTGTGTTAGGCATAGAAGAGGAGCAAAACAAGCCTGAAGCGTGGCGAGTTCTGTGCAGCAATCCTTGCTCATCTTCTCTCTTTCTCCACCACTCAAGGGTATGGCTGGCGTCCGTAAGGCGTAGCGCTGCCACCATATGCAGAGGTGGCTCCCGCGCCACCATAGCCAGGGGTCTGGTATCCAGGGTCCTGACCATACGCAGTGCTAGCACCATACGCAGTGTTAGCACCATACGCAGTATTAGCACCGTACGCGCTCTGCCCTCCTCCGTTGAGACCATTCGGTGGACTGAACCCTCCATCGTAGCCGTTGGTCTGGTTTTGATTGTCAGAATCCAGGTCTCGAATGATGCTCGCGAGTTTGCTCTGCAGCACTTGGATCCCAGAGTGCAGAATTTGGTCCGGCGGCATAACGCCCGTTCCTTCGAGGTCGATGTAGAAAGTCTCTGGCTCGGCCTCGTAGTTGAAGCGTTCGTCTCCTGTGGGTGGCTCCTCCCACTGTCCATTCTTCTCTGGCTCTGGCCACTCTTGTTTTGGATCTGTCTCGTACCATAACGTGGTGTGTCGTAGCTTGTTCCAAGGATCGTACTCGAAACCGATTGCCGCGGTAGGTGCCCACTTCGCATGCTCCTTTGCGATTCCCTTCTTCGCCATGCACTTCACCTTCAATTCCTGACCCCTCCGCAGCTGGCAAATCAGCGGCCCTTGGTTGTCTCTGTCCATGAGGATGGGCGTCCCCAAAGGCGGCATGTCCTCAGATGACGAACCATGCACGCCATTTGCGCGATTGTATGCTGCCTGGCCACCTGCCGCTTCAACGAATAAATCTCTTGCGAACACCTTCAGATGCTGGTCGCTACTACGATTCACCGCACTCAGACGAAGGATCACGGTGCAGCGGTCGCACTGCTCATCGCAGTCGCACGAGCGGGCATCGATCATATCCTCGATTCCCTTTGTGCTCAGAGGTATCAGGCCGAGGCGATGGGCTAGGAATTCGTCGGCGAGGACTGAGGTGTTGCTCTCGATTTCGACGAGGTCTATGGCGATGGTGGGGATTTCGGCGAGCATAACGCGGCGTACTGAGTTGGCGAAGGCGAGCGAGGTGTGGGTGAGGTTGAACTTGATCGTGGTGCGGTCCATCTGATGGATGGGTAGTTAGTCTGTCTCCTCCGTCCTGTGTGTATCTTCTACCAGCTTACTTCTCTTATTGTGACCTTTGGGCCTGTGTCATCGCCGTCGATGCCATCGTAGGCGTTGTACCCGTCCATATCGCCGCTTTCAGAAGCCTACAGCGGCCTCGCGTCCAGTAGGTGTCTGATGCGCAGTCGGGGCTGGATGAAAGATGTTGGGTGTGCTCAGCGAGATTACTCTGGACAGTGTAGAAAGTCGGCGACGAGGTGGGTGTGATGTCGGTGGTGTTGTGTCGATTTGATGTTGTGTAGACTCTCGCGTGTCGAGGGCTTTGAGGTTGATGCTTTGCGCCGGCCGAACTTCGGCAGAATGTGATCGCACAAAGCGAGATGTGGATTCATTCACTTCACCTCTTCATCATTCCATCACTTCACCCACATCCGACGGCGCTAGCATGTGATCCGAATCTTTCACGTGCTATCAATTTTCACATGTGCAGTCAGAACGTACCATGATCGACTGGTAGGGCCTTCCCTTGGTTGTCTGCGCTTCTTCACGGCTAGCATCTTCGGACTGCAGCGTACATAGGCGATCTTGCATATGGAGCAACCATCATTCCACGCCATGGGAACCATATCTTCAAGATAATGCTTGCGCCCCGTGCGGAGTCTGGGCCACTTTGCTGGAAGCTTTCACACCCTATGCACGATTTAGCCCCAGTGAAGGTTGCTGCACTACTGTCTTTGAGAACTCAGGAGCCGTAGCAAACTCTGCCATCCCGCACTACTATCGAGCTAAACAGCTTCGTCTGCTCATGCACCTATGTGGCTGGATGCTTGAGAGCGTAGCCCAGGAAGCCCATCAGTCCAAGTCCAAGTCAACACATAGGGGTAGAGAGGAGTCGCATCTGGAGACATGAGTCTACGATTGTCAACCCTTGATCCCAAGGAAGCCAGAGCAGTGAAAGGTCGGTTCATAAAGCTTCTTTTTGAGAGCTGCATTGACGACTTCAGATTGCCGAACTTGCAATCGAAGGCGCATCAGATGCGATCGTACACTCCCGACTTGTAAGAAGTAAGGAAATCCGGTACTAGTGAGCAGTACTTCTCCTGTCTGACTGTCAAAGGTGTGGCTTGCGAAGTCTGGAATGTCCGGGCTATGGCCTCCGCATTCGATGGGGCCAAGGAGTTGCCAGCAGAGGCAGGTATGTTGATATTCAACTCTCTATACATTTTGACAATATCTATTCTCTCACACATGCCTAGATTGAGCGGAAAGACTGTCCCTGTTCTTGACGATAGTACATCTGCCAGCAGCAGTCGAGACAGCTCCTCGCCGCACGGCGATCATTTTGACGACTCATTAACCTCAGTGCAGCCTTCCCCATCTGAGAGTGGGCAGAATCATACCCATACGTTTGCCTGTGCAGAGTCTATCAATGGCGACTTGGTTCTAAACAACAAGTTTGCCACGGGTCAGGACTTTAGTCTGCAGTCGCTTCCCTCCGGAATCAACCACTTTTCTGCCAAAGGCCTGCTGAGGTACTACGATCATATCGTTGCTCCTATGATGACTTGGTACGACGGTCCAGATAATGAATGGCGACTTATCATGATTCCTCTTGCCTTACGATCCCCACCGCTGCTTCTTGCGATACTCGCTCTAACAGCAGAACACTATGCGTGCAAGACTGGCCTGGCGTGGCCTTTCCCGGATGGCAACACCTCTGCGACTCTCCGGGAACAGAGCCTAAAGATCCTTGCTGAGCACCTTCGCGTGGAGATGGCCAACAACAATACGGCAGGAAACGATGGCCGTGTTGCTGAGATCCTTGGCACTACCATTGTTCTATGCAATTTGGAAATGATCAACTCAGAATCAGAACTGTGGCGCGTCCATTGGAAGGCAGTGAGAACCATTACCAGACGTTGGACCACCACATCTCTCATGTGTCACCCAGTTGACACCGAGTGTCGGACTTTGGTCGCTGAGGCTTTCTTTTACGATGCTATGGCCTCTTCTACTACGTTCGATGGTGGTGAACCGATTCCTGTTGAAGTAATACACCCGGATGACTTTGGTGTTCACGCAGAGCTGATGCAGGTCATGCAAGAGATCACTCAGGCCGAGAGACAGCGTTTTATGGGCAATCTTGGTGTGAGAAACACGCCACTCCGGGACTTAGTGAGTCTGCAAGCACGCCTGCACCAATGCCACGTACGAGATGTCGAGCTCGCCAAAGTCATGCACTTCCCTTTTCCGTCGGAGGAGCTTCGTGCCGACTTTATAACCCTCATCGACTTCTGGCACTTTGCGTGCACTCTCTACGGGATGCAGGCCCTGATGGATCCGCAGCAATCGAGACTACACCGGAAGGATTACATGTACAGAGGCTACGAATGCTTCAAGCTGTTCAAAAACAAGCGACCATTTCAGCAAGACGTCGTCTGGCCACTCTTCATCATTGGCGCTGAAGCAAAGGATCATGTGGACATACAGGATTTCACCCAGCGAGAGATTGTTGAACTCATGGATGTCACTGGGTGGAGAAATTGTACCAGGGCACTTGACTTCTTGAAACACTTCTGGGCAAATGGCAGTACGACCGATGGTAGCTGGATTGATCATGCCAGATTCCAGGCCTCACACGGCTTCTCCTTTCTTCTTGTTTGACGAGGATACCAAGAGTATTATTTCTGGACTACGGCTGGAACACATACATGAAACTGGAGAGACTGGCTCAAAAGATGGAGGGGAACCAATTCCGGTATATCAGTATTGAGTTGGATATTGCGTTAGCTTCGTCAACTAGCCATCATAAGGCGACGGTCGACGCCAGCAGCGATATCCTTTGGAGCCCCCTGAAGAATTCCGGGCGGCGAAAGACAGTAGCATCACATGTCCACAGTCTCCTCATCCTCGACACCAAACAGTTTCCGCATGGGATCCTGGTAGTCAACGAATCCGACCGACGGTAGACTTATACCATAACCCAGGAGTCTTTGCGCTTGTGGTGGCAAATGCTTTGCTATCTCTGGTGGGACCATCAGGAATTGGTTCTCTGCCGGTCTCAGATATGGCTTGCAGAGGAAGATGCCGACAGTCTCGCGAGCTTGGTCCCTGGACGATCGTCAGTCAAAAAGATATCCACAGATACAGCACGTTCTTACGTGGTGCCGTTTCCCCCGCCAGCATGGTACAGATTGCCTACAAAGATGAGAGCGGAGCCTGGCTCCAGCTCTGCCGGGACTGCCTCTTCATCCAACGGACATCGCTCTGGTCCCCACAAATGGCTGCCTGGTATCACAATCGTCGCTCCATTCTCTTTCGTGGTCTTGGTCAACGCAGTGACGCACCCTATCATCGCTGGCATGTCGACGTTCCTGGTATGGTAATCGCTGATCGAGGTCAATTATGCTCAAGGAACGGCCATCGATCAAGCTCACCTATCGTCCCGGTGCAGACATTGCTGCTTCCCGCCTGGGTTGACTCGAAACCCCACCGTGGAGGATATGATGGGCTTGCTGGTGACGGTCTCTTTTGTTTGGCCATCCCAGTAAGAGTACGTTGATGAAACGATACGGTTCGCTACATCGATGTACGTTTTGTTCATGGCCAACTCTACGCAACCGGCGGATCTTCCGAGCAAGCCGGTCGCTCGTTGAGTCGTTGTTGGGAAGAAGCCCGAACGGTCGACCCTGCTATGATTCGCGTTAACGACCGTCGCCGTCGACAAACGAGGGATTTCCAAACGACATACTCTGTGTCGAAGTACGGCTTGAGCAAAGGACGAGAACACTGAAACGCACGACCGATGACCAGCAAGGAGTCCTTGTATATCTGCAAAGACGACATGGACTCCAGCCAACAGCAACGACAATATCGGCCTGCCTAAGTGGGTGTCCCTCTTCACATGATCTGATAATGCCCACTGCAAACAGTCAAGTCGCCGAAAGAGCTTCTAGGCGAAGGGCCCTGCAATTACCTTTCCTGGACGTGCTTGCCTCCATCAGTCGGGTGTCGGCCAGGGATAGAGGAGCTTTTCGACGAGGATGCCAGCCTCGATGGGCCAATTGTGTTGTCGAGAATCAGGCCAGAAGCTTTCTCCATCTACCTTCCGAATTGGGGCTGGCTTGGTTGTATTTAGCTTCTGAGGACAGAAAATGGACCACATGCGCCAAGATATGGTACTGAAAGACTGCACTTGGTCCTGCACAAAGAACAAGCCTGACTGCAAGATGGTGGTATCGGTCAGATCTGGCAATGTGGACTTCTTTGTTCGAAGCGAAAGAAAGACCTTGCCCTTTGGACGTTACCGATCGGTGTCGCCTTTATCCTTGCGACTGCAATACCTCAACTTGGCTGTACGGCAACGCCTCCTGGCTCTGACGATATACATGTCTTGCTGGCTGCAGTATGCTGTCTAAAGCAAACTGCAGTAGCCCGACAAACGACTTGAGCGCTCCCCTGGAACATATCTTGCAATGACTGCAACGAACCTGCGCCAACTCTCACCCACAGCGTCCTACACTGCTTGCTCTTCTTGAATGTAAGAGAAGATTCAACACCCAGTGGAACGTACATCGACCGACCTCTCACAACATGGCCTACGTTCACGACAAACGCTCGACCCCTGCGAGCGCCCTCGCTGCCCTCCGCTCCGCTGCCATTCACCCCCAGCTCTTCACCACCGCTTCGCTGCGCTGTAGGTGAATCTGTCGCGTGAAGACCGTCGTTGCCCTGACAATGCGTCACGCGCGCACCGTGATTGGAGTTGTCGCGGCGGTGGAGTTTTATTTCTTATAGCCTGCTCTCCCTCCTATTTCTATACACCACCCAGACTGCCACCCTTACGCCGTTGTCTTTGTACCTCTTCGAGTACTCAGACTACGGCAACACTTCCCGAATTGCCCGACCAGACAAGCCTCCTGTCTGCGCACCTGTTTCGACACAACGCTCCTTTCGATACTGTACCCCTATCACAGGCTTCAGGTCAATTGTCCCCGGACTTGACTCAAACCTGAAGGCTCCAAATCATGCCTTCCAACATCTGCATGGTGTGCGAGGAAGCCGATGATAATGTACTACAGCTTCCATGCGGCGGACATGCCTACTGCACAGAATGCTGGCACACCGCGGTGGAACTTGCGGTGACCAAGGAGTCGAACTATCCTATCCGTTGTGGCTCCACGGCATGCGATGATCTACCCGACCAATTCGTCATCGACAATCTAGCAGCCCAGGCCCCAGCTGTCCAAACTCTCCTCAATGCTTACCGGGAAAAGATCCAGGAATACAAGATCACTCCCCAGGACCGAACTTACTGTGCAAACAGAGAGTGCATTCTGGTTGAAGGTCACTCTCAGTACATCGACTCCAAAATCTTCGGATTTCAAGGACAAGTGATCTGCCCGTCCTGTGGCGGTATGACCTGCTGCAGCTCCAAAGCCCTCATTACCAACGAGGCATTCCATGTCTGCGGAGACACAAAGCATGATGAGGCGATGAGAGAGTATGTCGAGTCACTGCCAGAGGACGAGCGTTGGCTCTGGAAGAAGTGTCCATCCTGCGGCATCTGGGTCAACAAGGTCACCGCGTGCAACCACATGGAATGCAGCTACTGCAATGGCGAGTTCTGCTTGGTCTGCGGCCGTACTTGGGAGGGACCAACCACTTGCCGATTCGGTTGCCCGAAGTTCGAAGCTCCTGTCTACGATTGGGAAGGGTTCAATCAACTGGGCTTCAACCCTGAGACAGGGCTCGACCGTTAGGGTAACGCTTGGGATGGTACCGAAACCCACCTGAACGACGGCGATGATGCAAATTACGGCTTTGGGGATGAAGACTACGACGACAATGATGGTGACTGGGAGGAGGAGGAAGAGCACGTTTTTGGCGAGGACGGATGTGACCAGTGGGGCTGGGATGTCTCAGGCTACGATCGAGAGGGATTCGACGCAGATGGGTTCAACAGAGAACGCATCAACCGCCAAGGCTTCGACTTGTGGGGCTTCAATGCGGCTGGATACGATCAGAACGGCATCGATCGGTATGGTAGAGACGTCAACGGATTCGACAAAGACGGATTTGACGTTGATGGGTTCGACGTCAACAAGATTAGTCTACGCAATTTGCACCGAGGCTACTACGACGAAGAAGGCTATGACCCTTTCGGCATGGACGTTTTCGGATTCTCTCGGGCTGGCTTCGACGTCGACGGATATGACAAGTACGGCTTCTCCTACGAAGGGTTCGACAGTGAAGGTTACGACGGGCGCGGATACAACGTGCATGGCTACGACATCGAGGGATACGACAGAGACGGCAGAAAGGCTCAGGGCTACAACAGAGACGGCTTTACTGCTCGTCATCGCGATGCTGACGGAAACATCGAGCCGGGCTACTACAAGGCCGCCGATGGCCGTCTCTATCCCATCATTCGCGAGGGGCCAAGCGCAAAGGTGATGGAATGCGATCACCACACGCGCCATGTGTGGACGGAAGCGACTTGCCTTGTGTGCCAGTGGACGTCCGACTTGTTCTCACGTCACTGTGGCGACTGCGGCACGTACTTGTGCAAGCAGTGTGACCGCGCCGGTGTCGACATTCAGCGCAATGTCATTCGCGAGCGCTTCCTCTGGCCTGGCTCCGACAGCTACGGCATCGCCGAGATGTTCGGCGAAGAGGAACTTGAGCAGACGGTCGAGGAGACGGAAGCTGCTTGAGATTAGGTCGTGGAGCACAATCACGACTTCGATGTACTCTAGACGTTCCTCCAAGGCAGTGCATGAACACTGCAACTTCGGAATCGCATGCCAGGAGAGCTCACAACGTGAACGCCTTTCTGAGCATCAAGAGGAGTGGCAAGAGCTGTGTACCTTTTAGATCAACGAAGAGAGCGCGATTGAGCAGAGATGGATTACTATCGGTATTCATCGGTGCGGCGACAGGAACTCGTGAACCGAAGAAAACGGGTTTTGCGTAATAGTTGGATTAGGGCCGGAAGAGAAAGGTAATACTGTTTTCTACATAAAGGTAGTGAGCTGTTTCAGAATGAATCGATAGAATTGAATCATGATCGAAGTGGAGGATATCCCAAACACATTATCTCTACCATCTGTCTTCTAAGCTCGAAAAGTGCGTTCTAGCGAGTGACGTCGAGATGGCCAATCGGAGGGCTTCCTTGGTTGCTGCCGACAACCAAGTGAAAGTTGACAGGTGGCTCGTGCCCGTCACGTCTTCCAAACTCTCTGCCAGGCCCCTCCCGTCCTGCTGCTGTGTAATCGCTTGCCTGTACAACATCCTATCCTGCCCTTCGCCTTGTGTTGATATCCTCCTCTTCGGCTTCATTGCCCATACACACAGTGTGTAACCGATCCTACACCTCCTTAAGCGACAGCCAAGCTAACCCTTGTTGAAAGCTCCTTAACCTCGACTCTCTAAGCCACGCGGCATCCATACATCCATCTACACGGCGAACCTATCGCATACACCTCGAACTCGACATCCTCAAGATGCGCGCCTCCCCTCTTATTCTCGCGCTTCCAGCGCTCGCGACCGCGCAGCAAATCCCCTTCCTCGACGAAATCAAGGGTTTCTTCCAGAAGGCCAGCTCGTCGATATCGTCCGCCGTTCAATCTGCGACAGAGTCTGCGTCGATTCCCGACCCAGTCGCATCTGGCGCCGCAAAGATCGCATCGTTGAAAGTCGATCGCTTGACCGTGGACAACCACAACACACTTATCCAGCCGGGCTCGCCAAATGCCGAGCCGGGCATCGAGACCTGGCTGGTCTTTGTGACTGGAGGCAACAAGACATGCTATGGCATGTGCAACAAGGCTGAGACCGCGTTCAACGAGTCGGTTCCCTTGATCTCTGCTTCGCCCAAACCACCGAAGCTCGCTTTGCTCAACTGCGAGACCGACGGTGTCTTGTGCCATGCTTGGGCAGTCAACCCACCATCAGTCCTCCATTTCCAGCTTCCTCAGCCTTTGGCCGACCAGTCTACCCCATCATCCACTTTCCGTTCCATCAAGGTCAACCGCACCACCATCACCGCTCCAGAAATCGCTGCGGTCCACCTTCAGGACAAGTACCTCGAGACCGAGCCATACGAGGGCTTCTGGCATCCATTTGATGGCCCTCTCGCCAAGGCTGGTCTGAGCATTCCAGTTGGCTATGCTATTTGGGGCTTCTCGCAGGTTCCTTCGTGGGCGATCATGATCGGCGTTTCCATGCTCTCCAGGACTTTCATGTAAGTAGCACCAAAATACACGATAAGACACACAGCTGACATGTATACAGGAGCCGCAGAGCAGCACCGCCTGCAGCCAACCGACCAGCAGAGGGGGCTACCCCAGCTCAGTAGAGACACAAGGCGAACTTGTGAGGATACAAAGTACAGGAGATATACGTGAAGAGAAGGGAATACCCATATGAAGTTTCAGCTCGTTTCTGCTACTGGATGAATGAGATAATACCACCATGAGACCAGGATATGTAGTTGTTAAGGAGACTTTGGCACGTGGAGGGAACCGGTTTGGAGCTTCCAATCCACAAATCACGTGATGGCCTTTAGTTGACTTGGCTTATGCAGTGTATGAAAAGCTATCTTTACGCTCGCGAGCGCGTTCTCATGATAATTGACGGCATGAGTCTGAACTTGTCACGATCATACTCCACGAAAGGTGGTGTGACCTCGCGTACCCTGGTGAAGTGGTCGAGACTTCAACTAGCAAATGTGGCGCACAGTTCTTATCATGCAGCTTCCAGAAGCCCCAATCAGCAACGCAGATTATCATCTACGAACTTGATCTACTGCTGGAAACCGCAGTGACAGCCGAACTGCCCTGCGGTCTGACGCGCGACCGAACGCTTTCCCACGTGGAAGATATACGCCAGTGGACGCCTTGCGAATGGACCTGTGTGACTTCTTCCTTCCTTCATATACCGTTGCTGTGACTTCGTCGACTGGGTCATCGCAGCTATGAGGAGACTAAGTGCCAATGCAGCGCCTGTTGATAGTAAGGATGAGGGGAAGTTGGCAGAGTTGGGATACAAACAGGTATGTCTTAATGTCCAACTTCTCTAGCAGTCTTGGTTGACACATTTCCCAGGAACTAAGACGAGACTGGTCCGTCCTACACAATTTCGGCGTCTCCTTCTCCATCATCTCTGTCGTCACAGGCATCACAACACTCTTCGAGTATGGGCTCACGACAGGTGGCCCGGGAGTCATGTCTATCGGATGGATCTGTGTGAGCTTCTTCACCTTGTTCGTTGGTTTGAGTATGGCAGAGATTACTAGTGCTCTCCCAACGGCGGGTGGTCCTTACACGTGGGCGGCGATGTTGGCACCGAATCAGAAGCTTGCGGCGTTCTTTTCGTGGATGACGGGATGGTTTAATTTTGTTGGACAATGTGAGTGACATATCATCATGCACGAATGAGGATTGGGCTGACGATGAGGACCAGTCGCTGTAACCACTGGCATTACATTTGGCTGTGCGAACCTCATTGCAACGTTAGCGACGGTCAAGGGAGGCTTTGAGTCGACCCCAAGGAAGGTCATTGTGAGCATCCTCGACTATGCCCAGTCAAGATCGGTCTTCTCACAGATTGACAGGGTATTCACGCTGCGCTGCTCGTCAGTCACGGACTCGTCAACAGTGAGTGTGGGGATTCAACACATCAGTAACGGTCTAATGCTTTCCAGCCTTCGGGGTTCACATTCTGAGATATTTAAACAACACCAGCATCGTCCTCCACAGCCTGGGCGTGGCTGCGTATGCGATCGCTATTGTGGCCAAGGCTCCCACCCATCAGTCGGCGAAGTTCGTTTGTAAGTTAACTCCAAACACCGCATTCGTTCAGATAATTATTGACATTCGATAGTCGCTACATTCTATGACGGCACAGGAGACCCAGGCTGGGCAACGCGAGCATCGCCAGCATACGTGGCGTGCATCGGCATCCTGATGAGCCAGTATACCATCACTGGATTCGACGCTTCTGCGCATCTGTCAGAAGAGACTCGCAACGCCTCCTGGAGTGCACCTATTGGCGTTCTCACATCCATCATCTGCTCTTCGGTCTTCGGCTTCTTTCTCCTCCTCTGCTACCTCTTCTCAATCCAGAACTTCGAGGCTACCGTAGACAGCGAGGTTGGCCAGCCTGTTCTGCAGATTCTGGTCGACATCCTCGGTGAAGACGGGGCCATCGTGCTTTTCTGTCTCGTCATCATCTGCGTGTGGCATTGCGGCCTCTTCTCGCTCATATCCAACAGCCGAATGATGTTCGCATTCAGTTCATCCTCCTATACCTCATATCACTGAAAAACCGCTGACAAATGACTCCCAGGCCGCGACCGCGCCCTCCCCCAATTCTTCCACTCTGTCGACAAACGTTTCCAAAGCCCCGTCCGCACTATCTGGCTCGCGGCCATCTTGGCCTTCATCCTCGCCCTCCCATCCCTCGGCTCATCCGTCGCCTTCGCCGCGGCCACCTCAATCGCCACCATCGGCCTCTACCTCTCCTACGGCATGCCGATCCTCGTCGGACTCCTCTGGCCCCAAAACTTCAAGAAAGGCCCCTTCAATCTTGGTGCCTTCTCGCGACCAGTGGCTCTAGTGGCGACGCTATGGATCTGTTTCATCACGATCATCTTTTGCTTGCCGAATGTTACGCCGGTGGATTCGCAGACGCTGAATTATACGCCGGTCGCGGTGGGGATTGTGCTTGTTGCCACTCTCGGGTCTTGGTTTCTTTGGGCGCATCGGTGGTTTACGGGGCCGGTCAGGCTGATTGAGGCGGAGGATGGTGGGGTCGATGTTGTTGAGCATGATGCTACTGAGAAGAAGGTAGATGAGGGAAAGCTTGGTGCTACGATTGGACAGGCACGGGAAGTGTAGCTTGATCAGAGTGCACTGCAACTATTCGTAGACAAGACATGGGAAGAGCCTCTCTGGTAGAGTTTCTCGTCCTGGTTCATGGGTCTACTGCTAGTCCGATCTACCAGCTTCGACCTGCTGTCTTCACCACAGCCTTTCGTGTAGTTTACCTTGCCCTTCCTTAAATTGCACAATCTGCCATACACTACTCTCGAAGAAGACACCGAACGGACGAACGACTTCCGAAGCGAATGGCACTTATCCAGACTCCTGTGACTCAATTGCAACTATCCAGAAGAGGCAATTCAAAATTCGACCAACTCAAAGCTTAGCTTTACACTTTGAACTTCACCTCAACTTCACCTTTCCCAACCAAACCGACAATGGACCTCACCACAGATTCAGGCGTCAAGCAATACCTCCGATCCAATCTCTACCCCTCATGCCACCATGTCGAACGGCTCCCTGAAGGCTTCGGCGGCTTCGTCTTTCGAGCTCACATTGAGGGTGACGGAGCAGGCCCATCAACCATGATCTTCAAACATGTAGAACCTTATGCTGCGAGATCGCCACAGTGGAAACTTGAGCAAGTGAGGCTGGTATGAGAACGGTTGAACTCCTTGAACAAGTGGTCGATAAGACTAAGGAATTGAATCCCAGGAATACGAAGCCAAAGCCCTCAAACTACTCACCCAGCCAGAAATGAAACACGAAGGCGTCCGACCTCCCAACGTCATATTCTTCGACAAGACAAATTGGGTACTCATCCTCGAAGACGCCGGCAGCGTGCCCAGTCTCAAAGGCTGGCTGAAACTAGGCGTGGACGTTGGCCGAGCAGCATCGAAAGGAAAAGCACTCGGCAGATATCTCGCCAACATCCATAACAACACCGCAGGCAACGAGAGTATTCTATCGGACTTCACCGGCAACGAAACAGCGAAGTCCCTCTCCAGCACCCTCTATTTCAAACGCCTCCCCCAAGTCGCCGAATCGCATGGCTTCTCGGGCGAACACATCCGCCAAGCAGCAGTGCAAGGGGAGAAAGATGTCCTCGAAGCAAACGAGGTACTAACCCTCGGAGATTTCTGGACGGGAAACGTTCTCGTCGGCGAAGATGGGACGCTTTTCGTTCTGGATCTAGAGCTTTCGAAACCCGGCACGGCGGAGTTTGATGTTGGACAGATGGCGGCTGAGTTGTATTGTATCGCGGCTTTCCGGGATCATGAGCTGGGGATGGCGATCTTGGACGCTTTCTTTAAGAGCTATCGGTTAGCTAGGGATGTAGTCGTTGATACTGCGAAGGTGGCGATTCGGATAGGTGCTCATTTGATGGTTATTATGCCGAATGCGTGGAAGGCTGAGGCGTCGAAGGAGCAGGTGGATGAGCAGTTGAGGGTAGGGGATGAGCTCATTAGGCTGGGCGTCAGTGGGGACAGTGAAGGGTTGATGAATACCATTCTGAAGCCACTTATTAGCTAATGGTCCGTGTCAGATGAAGGTTGCAATACCTTTTATATCTAGATCATGACAGATGGCCTCTATCAAAGCCATGTCTCGGAGAGAGACTCTTTCTCCATAGTCAAGCGTCACTACGCTAGACTCTGACGATGCCTCCACGCGAGTCGACCTGGCTAGAGGGATGGTCCGGCGGGCTCTCGCTTCTTATCTGCTGACTATGTTTCATTGCCAATGCTGGTGGTTGCATTGCAGAGGTGTAACCCCCTTCTGTGCATTCAGGCTTCTGTCCAGACAGTCGTCGTCGTCTTCAAGAAATAGCCTTAGGAAGATCGATGTCAACGATCCATGGTGCATTCACAGGACTGTATTCAACGTCCATGATGGCGGCATTGACAAGAAGTGTTTCTTCGCCCCTTTTCAAGCCTTGGCCTCCCTCCTTAGAGACATCAACAAATACAGCATGATGCTCCTTGGCGGCGTCGAGATCTGTCTGGACTTTCTCGATGGCTGAGCCTTGCTGAGCGACTCCTGCTTTCCAGGAGCCATTCTGCCACTGTGAGATGGATGCCGATGAATCTGCAACGTTATCGGCATCGTTTGACCTGAGAGGACTTAGCACAGGTGCGTTATATCAATTCTGGTAAGCGACTTACCATTCCACACGCTCAGCTCCCCAACCTTCATGAATGTGACCAAAGCAATGGATCAAAGGACGCGACCGCATGAGAGCTCGAAGTAAGTGAGGACATCCAGCAAAGTCTCCTCGATTTGTTTGGTCCAGCCTCGCATATGGTGGCCCGTGTGTAAGTAAAATATCAACTGGCACTACTGTATGAGTGAAAGGTGCTACTGGATATGGCGCTATGTTCTTTGCGTCGGATAAAGTTCTCAGGGGGCTGTTGAAACGGTCTTCGTCTCGTTCGTAGGGAAATCTATAAGGAATGAGCTTGACACTTTTGTGACATCGGAGTGACCATACCCCCAATCGTAGAACTCTGGCGTATATGGTGATGCGTATATGGTGACCCTCGCGCCATTGGGCAGGTCAATCTGATGTACGCCTTCGACGAGGTAAGTAATGCCCTCTCGTTGGGCTCGTCCATCAGGGGAAGTCCAAAGCTCTCTCGCCTTGTCGACTTTCGCATGTGCTTCAGCTTCTGATTTGGGGTCTTTCTTAGCATGACTAAAGACAAAGTCTCGATCCAAAGTCAAATCGTGATTTCCTGGAATGACGAGTTTGACTGGGGCGTCGATCTGAGCCAGCATGTCTAAGGTTTTGTGGTATTCTGCATCGAGCCCGGTCATCGTGAGGTCGCCGCAGTGAATGAGAACGTCTGCTTTTGGTAATGGAGCCTTGAAAGGAGCAAAAGGTTGCCTGCCTTCATCTTGTTCGGCCAGGGGTGCACAGTGGGTGTCCGAAATTATCAACACTCGCGTATTGACCGTAGCCATGATACGAGAAGGCATCTTGGTAGGGTATTCGACAATTTAGTCCGGGGTATTTACCTGTCGCCTCGTAAAGTTGATGGCGATGTTGATTGAGAGTCTCCCATCGAAGTTGGCTCACGATAAACGAATCAGGGCCGCGGACTCCGGGCAGCTTGATGCATGGCTTTAGGCGGCATTTGATTGGCCTTTGATTCAGCCGCGGCAGGGATCACGAGCAGCTCCCCACTATAAAAGGTGACATGACGCTCTTGTGCCGTGCGGTGTTCGGTGTTGCCAACTCTATTGCAACACGACGACGTCGCGAACGATGCCATCCCTCCTACACGCCCAATAGCACCTCCATCGATCCTTTACCTCCGCCATGTCCTCTTCAGGACGTATGGCCGTCAGTATACCGCAGATTCGAAAGAAGTACAGCGGCAAAACGGCCGGGTCACGACAGCTCATTGTGAACCATGGCTTGGATATCCTGCGCAACCTACTCCTGGCACTGTTCCTCCTACGAATCACGCGCAAGACGATAGTCCAGCTCCGTGGATATGGTGTCTTCGGATCGATCAAGGTCTTATACAAGGACGTTTACAGGCGACTGTATGCCTTGTTCCTCCAGCTGCCGTTTGTACAAGCCAAAGTCCGCGCAGATGTCACCAAGGCCATCACAGAACTCGAAAACAAGCTGGTACCATCAGGGCCCGGCGTGACGAACTTCACAGCCCTCCCTGCGACAGGATGGACGCCAGAGCAGATACGGACTGAATTGGAGAAGCTGGGAGAGATGAAGCATACGAGATGGGAAGATGGAAGAGTCAGTGGAGCGGTATATCATGGCGGTGCAGAGTTGTCGGATCTGCAGACTGAAGCGTTCAAGCGCTTCGGTGTGAGCAATCCCATCCACCCAGACGTGTTTCCAGGAGTGCGCAAGATGGAGGCAGAGGTTGTGGCGATGACGCTTGGTCTATTCAACGCGCCTGAGACTGGTGCTGGAGTGACGACAAGTGGCGGTACGGAGAGCATCTTGATGGCTGTCCTCTCCGCGCGGCAAAAGGCGTACCACGAGCGAGGCGTTCGAGAGCCAGAGATGATCCTGCCAAATACCGCCCATACGGCTTTCCGCAAAGCTGGCGAATACTTCAAGATCAAGATCCACCTGGTCCCATGCCCGGAGCCCAGCTATCGCGTACATATACCCACCGTCAGTCGTTTGATCAACGCGAACACGATCCTACTTGTCGGCTCTGCACCTAACTTCCCACATGGCATTGTTGACGATATACCGGCTCTGTCGCGGCTTGCGGTGAAGAACAAACTGCCTCTACACGTCGACTGCTGCTTGGGATCATTTGTGATCGCTTTCCTCGCGAAATCGGGCTTCCCTTCCCCTGACTTCGATTTCAAAGTACCTGGCGTTACTTCAATAAGCGCCGACACTCACAAGTATGGTTTCGCGCCAAAGGGCAACAGTGTGGTGTTATATCGAACAGCAGAGCTGCGCAAATACCAGTACTACGTCTGCCCAGAGTGGTCTGGCGGCGTGTATGCATCGCCAAACATGGCAGGCTCGAGACCTGGCGCTTTGATCGCTGGCTGCTGGGCTTCCTTGATGCGAATGGGCGAAGATGGCTACATCGACACTTGCCTAAAGATTGTTGGTGCGGCTCAGAAGATCGAGGACGCTATTCGAACTTCAGACAAGCTCAAGCACAGCATCACAGTCATCGGCAAACCGATGGTATCCGTGGTCGCATTCCGTGCAGCACCAAACAGCAAGACGCCAAGCCTGGCTGTGGACATCTACGACATCGCAGATGGTATGTCTGCAAAGGGTTGGCATTTGAACGCCCTTCAGGACCCGGCTGCAATCCACATCGCAGTAACGATACCAATCGTCAGGGCCGTGGATCAGTTGCTTCAAGACTTGGAGGAAGTTGTCGAGGCGTGTAAAGGTCATGCATCGTCAAGCAAGGGCTCTGCGGCAGCATTGTACGGCGTGGCGGGAAGTATACCTGACAAGAGCATTGTGCGAGATCTAGCGAACGGTTTCTTGGATACTCTTTATAAGACTTAGCTGTGTTAGCGAATGAAGACGACAATCTTGCTGGCATTTGACCAAAGCGTCTGCGCGCATGAGAATGTTAAGCGAAAGATAGTCGTTCGGGGTACTCGTGGCTCCACTCCCGAACCAATCGCCAGCAAAATTTGACTGCGCTCCCATCAATATCCCCTGTCTTCCAGCTAGTCAATTTAGCGGATCAGATCCTCGCTTAACATTCCTGCAAACCTGACGCACGGATCACAGAGAAAACTTCACCTAACAGAGGTCGATACGAAAGCGAGATTGCAACACACTAGCCTGCTTTAGGTATATAGCCAAGTAAGCAGTCCCGCGACTCGCATCAGAAGTGTTACCAAGTTTCCGCGCTGTTCTTCATCGAGTGTGTAGTCAAAATTTGGCGGAGAGATTTTTCGTGCGGGTGATAGCGCACTTTCGAAGCGCAGCAAGGGTGTCACTAGAACATCCAGTCGCTTGCACCGCCGGACCGGACCATGCCTACAACTTTGAAGGGAGTGGCTACAAAAGACTGGGCACGAGCCGAATGAAGGTGGTCTTTGGTCAGCGCGAAATCAATCACATCTTGGCGATTGCCAGCGGGCTGGTGCGTCGTTCAATGTATAAGAGACCTCGATTGTAAGAGATTGGATTGTTCCGAACATTGTGTAGAACAGATTACTTCTGTCGAGATGGATCTTACCGAATGGCAACTGAGCTATCAGAGTGACGAGATCGACGCGATGACGATGGACCCAAATGGTGCACTTTTCACGGGACTCTACGTAAGGACCTTGCGTGAAATGATTTGAATCTCGCTGAAGATCGAGGAGGACTCCGCATCTTTGGACCAGTGCTTTCCAAACGAATGTTCTGCATCAAGCTCTTTGAGCGAGGACGACTTTAGCCGTACGTCAAGAACCTTGCCGCACAGAATGTGTGTAGCTGAATGCCAATACAGCAACAGGCTACCAACGCCTCGACCCCCATACAATACAAAATGCGCTTTCAGAGGACGTGAAAGTCCGTTACGACCGACTTGTTGCGGATAAGCAGGCTAAGCGCAAAGCGCAGAATCGGGCCGCGTGAGTAGGAGCAAAAGACACACGGCTTCTATAACGATGCTTACAGTTTTCATGGATTAGTCAACGCGCCTTCCGAGAACGCAAACAGCAAGTGTTGCAAGACCTCGAGAAAGAGAATGGAGACATGAAAATCGAGCTTGGCAAACTCCATGCGGAGATTGCCATGCTAAGGAAGAGCAATGTGTTGTTGCGAGCTCGCGCCGCCGCACGAGAGGAAACACCACTCTGTGTTTCTCCGAGAGACAGAAAACGGGAGTCCGCGATAGAGCGTCTTCTTGTCTTTGCTCAGACCTGGGACGAGGACTTCTCTAGGAAGGAAATTTGTAACGACTAGCAGGTCTCGATTCTATGACAACTCTTCTGGCATCCGAGCGTCAGAAAGTAGCCAGCCCTGCCCGATGGAAATTCGCAGAGCAGATCGGTGCAGTGGTGTGGATGGGTACGCTCCAGAGGCATTTAGACGTCGGCAGAAGGCCAGCCAAAGCGCAAGGTACGAGTACGAGGGGAAAGTGAGAGATCCGGAATAACCAAGTCCTTGGTGTCTTGGCGCGTTGAGCAGAGGGAGAAGCGCGCTTATAAAGCGCGTGAACCTAGATCTCGGCTCTCGAGTTACCGCTATTCTTATCCACCAGTTTTGAACAAGCAGCATCATGTATCACTTTGTAGCTCCTGACGGCCCACAGAGTCAACAGAATGGTCTCGCCAAATTCGAGAGCCAAAAGTACCTGCATGCTGCGAGGCAGCATGTCATGCGTGGTTAGTATCATACCTCTATTGCTCCTGTAAGCATGGCAAACTTACACGCGCACGAAAAACAGGCATTTATTCCGCCAAAAGTAAAAAGCGGTCGACTGCGGCAGAGACGATCGAAGCCAGCAAGGACAAGATCTCTGATCAGCCATCGCGACGAAAGCGCGCAACAGTTGTACGATGCAAGCCTTGGTCGATGTGCAAGCACACATGCCACAGTCCGCTGCAAAAGTCGGTAGTGGATTCCTGCACATTCGCGGAAGACGTGGTACACCACATTCCAACATCAATCTCAGGACCAAGTCAGCTGGGACCCTTCTTGCAATGGCCCATCGCTCTCACGTCTCGCATGCAGTACTTACTTCACTATCGTGAGTGCGCGACGAGATGTTTTCGCCGCAGAGTATCGGCAGATGTCGCTCCAGCTGACTTGTGCTGAAGTGCTGTCCACGAACTGCCAATCGATTCGACCGCTCCGATCTGCGTGTTGGCCTTTAATAAACCTCGACCAAGGCATCCTGTATCATACGCTTGCGATCTCAGCCTTCTGCTTGAGCGCACAGACTTCGTCCGACCGAAAAGACGCCATTACGTCCGAAGGTCTTTTCTATTATACGAAAGGGCTAAACTCAGTCAACAGCCGCCTTCGAAATGGATCTGACGGCTGGGATGAAGGCTTGATTGTCAGTATAATGGGTGTTGCGGTCCATACTCTAACGCGCTCGACCCGCCATGGGTGGTGCTGGGAACTGACGCAGTCGAGCCCACGAAGATCTGAGGGTATCGACGAGTGGTTGCTTCATTTCAGAGCTCTGAAAACTATAATAGACCGGCGCGGCGGCACTGAACATCTAGATTCGAATCATATGCTAAGACTGTGGCTATTTGCGTAAGTCGACCTTGAAGTTCTGCGCGCGCACTCATCGTCGCGGTGTTCGGCTAATTGAGCAGAATGGATGTTGAAGGAGCGGTGACACGGGACTTGCAACCACTCTTCCCTCTACCATTACGCCATCTACCGAGCATCACGTCATCTCGTTCGATCACAAACGCCACTGTACTTGCCTGCACATCTACCTGGGCTGTACACTTTCCGGACGAGCACACGGTCATGGACATCTTTAAGGATCTCGGCGCCTTCACCACTTGGCTCTCGGAGCAGCTCTCTAGCCATGGCACGATATTCTGGACAAGACCAGATAGAGCAATGGGTTATCTAATGGCCCTAATTCATCGCTGCCTCCAATTGTCTAGCCGCAGTGCGTTCAATCATGGATTGGTTGAAGAGAAGCAGCTCGATCCGTGCCCAGAGGCCAAAGCCTTTGAAAATGCCCTCCGTCATGCCATTATCCTATTTCTGGCCCCGGTACGAAGATTGTTCGGGAGCCCTTCAGGGGGAACAGAGCTGCATATCGTTCGTCTGGCCCAAGCACTTGACATTTGCTTGAACGGCACTACTGCACCCCGATTGAAACATTTGCTCTTCTGGATCCTTGTAGTTGGTGGTTTAGAGGCACACACAGTTGGTGTGTGTACAACGTGGTACACTGCGCGTCTGTCGGAATACTGTGCTGCCGTTGGTGCAACGCAGCATCGGCAAGTTCTAATGATGGTGGAGGGTATCAAATCGCATTTCTGGTGGATCAAGGAGGTCTTTGATCCTTGTGCTGCTGTGCTGGTGGACAGCGTCGCTGTTTTCTTGGATGTCGGGGAAGTGTCGGAACCTCATTGTGACGACAGATTGACTCCTTGGGTCGCCAGGCAAGACTGACAACAGAATAGTTGCGATATGCACATCCTTCTTGGACTTTCGGCAGCACACTCGGACGTCACGAGCAAGCTGATAGGAATGGTCCAATGGATACTAGCACGATGCACGATGCGTCTTCCGTTCTTAACTGTGCCAGAGGAGTTACTGCGCACGTATGCCCGACGTGTGGCCCAGTTTACACATTACCTTGTTGACAGCTGATGTGGCATACTTGTCAGCGCCGGTCTTTAGACTCTCGAAACCTTGCCAGCTTGTCAATTGAAAACCCAGTAATGCAATTTTTGCAAAAGGCTGGACCGCGAGCCCGTAATGAAATTGCCATAGCTCCACATCATTATCTGATGAAATGGCATGGCCAACAGCAAGATTAGGTGAAAGCTGACTTGGGTGCTGTCAGATTTGAGGTAGTTCGCCCATTCAACAAGCCTCGCTATCGAAGACAGTAGGGTAGCATAGTATAGGACGTACTTCAGCGCTCACGCACACCTACAAAAGGAAGCATCTTTCAACGCCGCCCAAACACTGACACTGAGACAACATCATATCGCCGACACACAACATTGCACGACAAGTACAGGTTTCGGCCCGAACCTCGCCAACAATCAGGACTGCCACTATGCCTGACCGCACAATTACTATTGGAGGGCTCATGCGACAGTCTCGTGAAAGCATGGAATCACTCATTGAGCGCGACATCAACTTCTTCTCCTACAGCGACCCCAAGGCTCGTCTGGCTGCTATCAAGGAAATTTTCGCCCCCGGCATCATCTGGTCTGACTTCGACGGCAGTACACACTACGGCCAAGATGGCGTCTTGGACCGTTCTTGTGTTCTTCTGGGCGTGGCAATCACTCTTGGACTGTTCTTACTGAGAAGGCGATCGAGTAGTCGACGAACACCTGCACAAGCGACCGTTGAACATGATACAATGAACACTCATCATTCAACCCCAGCTGAGGCGGCTTCACCCGACACGACCAGCAGTCCTGACAAGAAACTTGAAGCTCTGCCTTTTGAAGCTTCATCGCAGAGAGAAGTGGTAGAGTTGCCTGGACGTGAGATTGGAATACCGGTAGATGTGGAGAGGCGGGACCAGAGTTGATGTTGAGCGCGACCATTACAGACTTCAAGTCTACGGAACCAGACGTACCGCATGCACTATAACCTTAGGACAGGACTAATTCTCACTTTGCCAGGTGTTCCTTCAACCACATAGCCGCTTCGAGTATCCTTGCTTTCCCAGCTGCGGTGTCGTCCCATAGTCCAAGCCCAGGATGCCAACAGTGTCTAACTTCATCTACTGTCACATCGGGATCTTGTCGGTCCTCGGACCTTGAAGTCTCGTTTCTCGCCGGCCCAGGTTTCCGCTGTCTCTCGAAGCTCTGTCGCAATTGATGTGCGAGCTCAATCGCTTGTCCTGACACCACAGCATCAGACCCAGACTCGATTCTGACGTTTGGAAGTCGTAAGCTTAAAGCCTTGCTTGGAAACCTGCGTGATACTCTTCGCTTCTTGACAGATTTCATAGGCTCGGGCTCCACAATGTCCGGCTGAGCACCGAGACCAAGCTGCTCACGCAAAGACTCTTCACGTTCAAAACGTATCAGCTCCTCCATTTCGTCGAGTGGTTGCTCCTCGACGTAGTCAGGCACCTCAAGTTCGGCAGAGCGGAAAAACAGCATCGGCGAAGCAAATGGGTCGAAGTAGTGTGATGGCCTGCGGAATAGTGTCTCTCGATACTGAGCAAGATCGTCCCATGCCAACCCATTAGACGTATGCGCCTTAGACTGAGGCTTGAAAGGCATCCAGTTGCGATCATGCACGGTTGTCCAGTCAACGATGGGGTTGTTAATAGCTGCTGCGACAATGCCTGGTTCGCCGATTCGACATTCGGACAGAGCTAATCCGAGACCAAGAGTGCCTCCAAGTAGCTCCCCACAGATTGCTAGACGACCGACATGCTCTGAGCGACCGGGTCGAGAAATGGCCCGCTTGGGAAGAAGGTTGTTTATAATCCAGTCATAACCGGTGAGCATGTCATGAACAGGAGCCGGAAATTTGTGGTCTTTGCCGCAGCGATAGTTGATTTTCACCAGATGACAGGACAGAGTATCCCGCAATGTCTCTACGTTCGAGGCATCGTGGGCTTCGTTCTGCAGGACTGAGCTGCGGGGAAGGTATACCGCAACGGAGGAACTGTCTGTCTGCGAAGAAGCTTCCTTGGGATGGTAGATCCTATGAGCGGTCAGTGAGTATATCAAAGTGGGCCTGCATCAATAATTACTCGATTGAGATGCTGCCATTGCTTGCAGAAGGAACCTCGATCGTTTCATGGCTTGACCGGCTAAACTTGGAGGTGTGAAATAGGCGGGGCGGCCTCGCATCAGCCACGACGTGTTGGAAGCTTCTGCTTCTCAAACATCTCAGCATACCACACCGCTGTGACACACGGCATCGATGATGTGTCGATGGAGTTGGTGCAGGTGAGGGCGCGTCAGAAGAGGTGAAGTCGCGATCGCGTCGTGCACGGATGTCTTGGCTCTCACACTAGACGCTAGCGCGTTCACTGCTGCACTAATCGTGATCATCGTGCGAATGCATCTTGCCTGAGATCGTGTCAAGCTTTATATATGTTGTGATTCTTCTAGTGCGTTGAGATACAATGAGAAAGCTCGCGTTTGGTCCCTGTCGTTGCGAGACCCAAACATCAAACCCCCACAGACTAGGAGGTGGTGGAGGTCCTGTCAGGAGAAGGACCCTCCTTCAAGCGCTACGACTGCGCAAACTTGCTCCTCTTTCGCAGCCGCTCTCCAAAGAAGAACAAGCCGTAGACCCCAAAACAGCACAACGCAGTGAGTCCTCCAAGCAAACTAACGCCACCATCAATGCCCAAGTTGTTGAACATTGGCGTCGAGAACAGGATCGCTCCCGCTGCCAATGCGGCACGAGCGAAGTTGTTGGCAGCGAACAATGATCCAGCGTAGATTGGGTATGTGAAGGGCAGGTAACTGAACATGCACTGTGTGATGATGAAGATGCCGATCATGCTAACCGCAACGCCGAGGATGCTGGGGAACCAGTGAATGTCTGGTCGAGCGGTCCACGCTGAGACAAGGATTAGTTTTCCAACCGCAGTTCAAGTGACAAGACTCACCGAAGATGAACTGCCCTATTGGAATGAAGAACGTGGCAACCAGTCCTGGTCTTAGAAACAATTCAGGAGGTATGGAGCCCGTTTCCTTCAGTACTTTCGACACCATCTTACTGCCGATGAAGTAGTTGTAGAGACAGAACGACGATGCGGCGATGAGCAAACCCACAAGCACCCCTAAGAATGCCAGACCAGACACACCAGGGCTCCAGTGATAGATGCCCCGGTATACCAGCGGAAAGCTTTCGAAGAACGAGTAGAAGAGGCCGTATATCAGAGCAGTGTAAATGGTTGAGAATAGGACGGCAGGGTCTTTGATATTGATCTCCCAAGGTTTGATCAGCGCATTCCAGAGCACCTGAGACGGCTGAAGGTGTGCCTGTCGTATTTCGCTTTGCGCCCGAAGGTCAATGCGTTTTGTGAGTTTGCGTAAACGGCGAGCGCGACGGAGAAGAATGAGCTCGGAGGACGTGTCAGGGAGCGAAAAGAACATCAGCAACCATGTAGGCCCGCCGAGCCAAAGCAATTCCCAGGTCGACCAACGCCAGGTTTCAGCTTGCACCGCAAAGTTGCCGACGATTGGGCCCAAGGACTAAGTACTGTCAGGGCTGATTACAGTTGGAATGCGATGATTCGGATTGCTTACCGGCCCCAGAGTCGCACAGGCACCCCACAGCACTATGGCATAGGTTATGGAGACTGGGCTATAGATATCTCCCATGCTTGCCCCACCAGTCGCAAGAGCCGGCGAGCCAAAGAAGCCTAACAGGAACCGGAGGACGAGAAGACCGGCAAAGTTGTCCACGAGCGCCGTGGGGACGCACAAGATGACGAACAGGAAAAAGCCAGCCACGTACGGAGGATTGCGTCCACAAGCTGGAATTTCCGAAAGAGGCGAGAAGATCAATGGCCCGATTCCATATCCCAAAACGTACATGGAAAGTCCAAGGGAGGCTACAACGGGGCTGACGTGGAATGTTCTTTCGATATCCGGAATGCTGGAAGTGTAGATTGAGGATCCAATGAACATTGCGAACGCTGTTCGCAAAGGGGGGTGTTAGCAACAGATTACTGCACCAAAAAGCACGACTTGAACCATAGCGACTTACTGTAAAGGACAATGACAAACGTTGTCCACGCTTTCCGTGTTCTGCTCCAATTGTGCGGGTTCTCTGGGTCGTTTTCTGAGTACCAGTCTACAATGACCACATCCTCCTCGTCCTCTTTCGATTTCTGATTGGAATTTTCGTCAACCTCTGAACCATCGTTGTTCTCTTTCTGATCTTCGATGGCGACGTCGCTTGCCTTGCGTCTCGAATAGTCGTACTTTGACGGGAGAACAAAATCCGTGGATTCTTCCAGGTATCTACAGTACCGGGTCGAGGAAACGAGGCGAACGATTTGCCCAAATGTAGAATCGCGCAGGATATCGTTCATGGTGAGCAACAGACTGAGTTCTTGTTGTCAAGCTGCAGTCTTCAGATCATGGGCATTTTATACATGTACCCTTGCTGTCGCTCCTTCAGGCTGCGACTAGCAGAAAGCTTGCTCAAAGCTAGCCTCATACGGAATCCCAAGCGATCTTCTTCATCAGACTGGGTCAATGCCAGAGTCAATCTTTGCGAAGCGGGTGGAGGAGCATAGCTGTCCAGATCAGGGTATGTTCCTCTGCGACCTCCCGGAAGACATGGTGCGATATCTCCGAGTCGTCGCTCGTTGCTGCAAGCCGTGAAGCTTGTCCGATGCCAATCTCACGGCCGATCCATCCCAGGCAATGGCGAGCTTTGTGTCTGTGAGAAGCAGAGACAGAGCGGCAAGTCATTAGTACCCAGAGCGGATGCAGAAGTAGTAGACCTCGAGCGCCCCATCCTTTTGGGATACACGCAGAACTGTGCGAGAGTCCCAATGAGAATGATATCGAGGCAAAAATGCCACGCGCAAGCTGATCGACTACCAGCTGCTCAGAGAAAAGGTCGCCCCCGAGATGCAGCGCAGCCTGACAGCGCATGATGATATGCAGGATCATCAAATACGTTTTACGATATGTATTCCACACGGCGGCCACGTAGACTATCGGCGGGGATTTTGATCAGTGTTGTGAACATGGTCGAATGTGCATAGACTCACCATCGATGTACTCATCTGATTGATTCGGGAGATCCAATCCTGGCACGTGTGGTTGCGAGGTTTCAGGTAGCTTGCACGGCATCCAAGCATCGACCTGCTTTCTCGGCCATGCTGCGAATTCACCCGCCATTACAACAGCATCATTCATCAATTCTGTCGCAGCCGGACTGTCAACCGTATCACGATCTAGTATCTGCATTGATCGTATCCAGATAGAGTGGAATCTCACCAGAACGTTATCGAGGCTAAGGACCGGATCGAACGTCGCAGGAGCACACAGCACGGGCACTGTTGCGTGGCCCTTACCCTTCATCAGTAATGATATCAGTGGATAAGGACATGTTCAATCTCACACTTCGACCCTCAGGCATCAAGATAGGATTCGCCAGCTGGAACAGTCTTGTTCCAGCTTCAAGATTGAAAGGTGCGTTTTCCTGAGAAAGGATCGAGCACACGCCTTTGACGTGGGCAGTTGACGCAGTCGGAGACTGGCCATCATCTCTGACTATCTGGAGTCTTGTCAGCGCCGGCTCTTTCATCACACAGAGATTGAGAGACAATACTTCGTAGATGCCGAGAAGAACACATGTCATCAATGTTTCCACTGTGTTGACAGAAGATTGGCAAGCGACAGTGCGACCAAAGGATTCCAGTAGTGTGACATAGCGATCTTGAGCACTTTCAGCTAGCAGAGCATTGCGGGATCTGTTCGAGACAGCTGCGCTGCCTACAATGACGGCGGCCTGTGCGAGATCTGACTGTTGCCCGGCAGATATCACAATATCTCTCAGGCCGTCAAAGAAACCGCGGGAGACCTTTCGATCTACTGACGCAAGGCAGAAATCATTGAAAAAAGGCTCAAGTGGGCCATCGGACTGTGCTTCACTTCGGCGTGCATCAGGCACCTCGAAGTCCTGTCGTGAAGACCACGAAGGTGTGGTTAGAGCTGGTTTCTGTTCTGATGGAGCCTGATAGGGGCGCAAGAAGAGCGTAAAGTCGTCGATGTATCCAGGACAGGGTCGGCTTGCCTCAGTGCATCGCCTACAAGCCTTCAGATGCTCAGCATGGCGAGGATCGGTTGAGAATGCAACTCACAGGCCGTTCTTGGCCGCACTACGAAGACATGATCATGAGTCCGGTTGTCGTAAACGCGAGACGGAAACCTGCCGACACTCACTCGCTTGTGTCTTGCTTTGCACTCGGCGCATGCGCGAGACGCGCCGTGGTTGACCATTCTGATCAGGCGGCGCCTGCAATCTGATGGCCACGATGGTCACCAGAAACCCAAGCAGTGCGAGCTCTCCAAATCCATTGAGGGAATTGCAAGGTCTCAAAGTGACGTGCTATGAGCAGAGGAACTTTGAAGTAGTGAAAGGAGCAAGTCGAGACTGAGATGTAGCGAAATTATCATTTGCAAGAGACCTTACGCTAAATGTTAATTTCGAAATTAACGGTAATGTGCATTTCCTCAAGCATCGACTTCACGGCTGACAATTACAACCATCGAAACTCTGACCATCATCACGACCGTGTTCTATCTGGATTCTGCTTGCCAGTGAGTAACTCATTCAGCCAGTCTCCAAGTAGGGCTTTCATCGCAGGAGTAGACAGGTAAGGCCTGCCCGAAGAGATGACGCGAATAGAGAGCGCTTTGACTTCTCCTTGGGAGCCGCTGGTCACTTGGACTATGTATCGTGCTACACTAAATGAGTGAGAAGCCACGCGGCTGAATACGATGATGAGCAAGCCTGCAGGCTGATGCTTCCACTTCGTCAAGCAACACATGGAAATCTCCGATATGAAGTCGGCCGACGAGCGGACAACACCAAAGAATTTGCGAAGATGGAGGAAATATCCAGTCACAATGCATGCCCCTATATATCTCAGCAGCCAGCACCATTGAAGCGGTTCATCGCATCCTTCCCACCATGCGAGTAAACACGACTTTCCAGCTCTTGGTTTCCGCCGCTCTGGCCTCCGCTCTGGCACCAGGTCTTCAACTTGCCTACTCGTTGGAGAGGCCAACGCAGGGTATCAGCATATCGGCAGATGGCCGCAAATTTCTATCCCAGCGCTACTCTTTGACAGACCCTCCTCAAGCCGTGGAGCTCATTAACGGGAACACAACTGTTCTCTATCCCAATGTTGCGTGGAACTCTTACAATGCTAGCAACTCCAGCTCAGACCCTCGAAAGACTTTTGTCAGCATCGATGGCGCACGTATTGGACCTGACGGACGGTACTGGTTGGTTGATGGTGGGTCGACCGGGGTCAATGGTTCTACCAAGCTGGTTGGCGTCAACCTGACCACCGATTCGGTTGACAAGATCTACTATCTGAGCAGCATCACGGGCTCGGAGGGAGATATCGATGATGTTCGCTTCAACGCTGCGCAGACGGTCGCGTATCTCAGCGACACATCAGGGGCATTGGTCGTGCTCGATCTAGGTACTGGCAAAGGCGTTCGCGTGCTTGCAGAGGATTCTACGGCTCAAGCGTGGTACCCTATGATGTACAACGGTACCCTTGTTCCTGGGTATGGGCAAGCTGGCAGCACGCTTTCAGTTGGTCTTGATCAGATCGAGGTATCTCCAGATGGGAAGTACCTCTATTACCAGCCCTGCAATGGTGGACTCTACAAGGTGGAAACTGCTTACGTCGACGCAACCCTTACGAATGCTACACTCGCGGGTTCTTTGGGCGACTATGCTGAGCCTGTCACCTTGACACCCAGTACTGGCGGCACTACCATCGATGCGGACGGTAATATCTATGTCAGCGATACGAATTTGCTGGCAATCTGGATGGTCACACCGGAAGGCCGTGCGACAATCTTGGTGCAAGATGAAGCCTTGCTCTGGACCGATTTGATGTGGGTCACATCGGACAAGAAACTTTGGCTACCAGCTTCGCAGATGAGGCCTGGCGGTGACGGCCTCATGGCTTCAGGACCGAACTACATCTTCACCTATCCAATTGATGCTGGACCTTCGCCAATTGACCATGCCTGAACATCAGCCCATCGATCTTGTCGCTGCTACCAATCTGGACCACGAGAAGGTCTCGAGATCTCGTTTTTCTTACACTGAATGGCGAAAGTCGATCATCTTGTTGGCCACAAGCAATTGCTTCTAGTAACACATCTTGGTAGACGGTGGGAGGGTGGGAGTGCCATCTCTGCAGGTCCAATGTAGATACCTTCACGAAGCCGATTCGAGCTGCTGACTCTGCAAATTACATGATCATCGACGTCCCTACAGCAGCTCAAAGCTACTTCGCCTGCGTCTTGATCCGGACCATTTGCATCCCATGTAGACAGCGACTTAGCCTTTAGAACCAATGAACCCTGATTAGAACCGTGAGCAGTCACTAGAAATCCAGTCAAGACACAATTTCGTTCCTCTCGTAATGACTGGAGAGCACACTCAGGTCAGATGTCAAGTTCCAGGGCGCAGGAGAAGACGAGGTTGACCTTGTGGAAGCAAAGCTCGCACAGGCTCATCTAGAGGCTATGGTGCTTAGCAAAGGGTTTGAAGTTCATGGCTCAGAGCTTTGGAGCCGTTGGCCTTCCGAATGGGAGAAATGTTACAGCTACTTATTGAACTCAACAGCAGTACTATCACAATCGGCCACAGATACGTGAAAATTAGGCATCCCGTCCGCTCTGCCATATACAAGCACGTAATCGCCTGATTAGTACTGTAGTGGGTGACCATATGGGAATACCGGGTGCTGAATGTTTTGCATTTTGCATTTTGCTCGTGCGGTGTGGGTCCAAGGCAAGGACCAGAAGCGAGGCCGACGTCACGCCGCCATGAGTCTCTTCGTGCGTCAAAAGCGAGGAAATCAGCTTGAAGGTACTGGTGACGATGCTTAGATATTGACGTTGAAAGGGAGCGAGTGGATCACATGTTTTGGTGGAGGACGAATAAGCTTTTTGGTAAGTGAATGAATTTTGATCGTGGATGCCTGAGGCGGAAATCTTACCAACTTCTGTTGCCACAAGGCACCGATTCAGTTAAATCGGGCTCTCACGCTCATTATATGCTGTGAAACCATATTTAAATTGAGACAAATGATCGAGAACTTTCTTGTAGCACTAAACATACTGACTGCAAAAACTACCAGCCAGGAAAAGAACACTTTAACCTCGTTCCAATCACAATAGCAGCCCCATTCGCATCCTGCCCTTGAATATCCTCAGGTACGCAGTAACGACCAGAATTCCTCCCCTTCTCAGTATGCGACCATCTGCCATAGCCAATGTCCTCACTGTCGAACCCAAAGACCGCCAACCCATCCGCTTGAGCGTCGCCGTATGTGAACTTGAAAGTCCCACAACCGATGCCGCTCTTCTCGACTTTCAGCGTCTTGGGCAGATTGCCTTTGATGGAGAACGAGTCGCCATCTTCCATCGTCAACGAAGAGTCTGTTGTTGAGTCTCTAGTGGCGACGATCGTCTCGTCGCCGTTTTCGTAAACAGAGACTTGAGCAGCAACTTCGTCCTGGTCATCTCCAGTGATGGCGAGAGTGACGTGATACTGCTTGATGTCTGTGCCCTCGTAGTCGAGCTGGTATGCGTTCTGCGTTGTCGCATCGTACGGCCAGGCCAGTTGTCCTGTGCTTTTGCTGTTGGTGACGAGTTTACTCATGTGGAATTGCCGGCCGTCGTTCTTGCAGTTGGCATATGGTGCTTCGCAGAAGGTCAGAGTTCTAGAATGAATGTTAGCCACGCCCCCTTCAAGGTGCTGTTGGTTGTTGATACATACTTCCTCACGTTTTGATGATCAGCATTATTTGGATCAAAAGAATCAAAGTTGAACGCAACGTTGAACTCGTCGTATCGAACAAAGTGCGTCTTTGCTCCCAATCGGAAGTTCTCCCATTTACCGCCCTCAGCATATGGGCCGTGACCTCTTCGGAAGTTCGTCCATGCACGAGCACCGCCCTTGTTGCTCTGTCCAGTGATACATCTCAGAGTATGCTGAGGAGGGTTGGCGGTCTCGTCGAAGGCTGGGTTCTCGAAGGAAGCCATTGGCCATTCGTCCGTCTCCAGGTACTTTTCGGATTCCTCAACTGGATTTGGGTTGAACTGGTAGGTATCCCAGAACTTCTGTCCAAATGGCCAGGTAGTGCACGGGCGTCCGCGACTTGTCGTCACACCAGACTGCAGGCGGTTTGCACTGTCACGGGCACTGTTGCGGCCACCGTCTTGGTACTTGATCGTTGTCGTAACTCCTTTTGCATCCATCAAGCAGTTCTGGTACCAGCAGGCGTTCTGGCAGACTTCAGGCGCTTCCAAACAATCGATTTGCATAGTTCCGCGGAAAGCTGCACGCTTCTCGATGCCGTTGGCTCGTCGCACAAGCGTAGTATCATCGGTGGTACCGACGGGAACATATTGATCGAACTCGCCAGAATCCTCCAGTGAATCGTCAATTTCAGTAAAGTCGGCGTCCATTAGAAGTTGTATTTGGTCCACCGTGTCTTCCAGGTGTACATGCGATGCATATTGTTCTTGCTCGCTCTTGTTGATCGGACGTTCGTTACTGGCTGCTGGGGTGGGGAGCGAGATCAAAGTACCTATAGGGGCGGGCCGACCAAATTGGATAGGTTTAACATCATGAGAAGCCGCCAATGGCAACAAAGCAAGTAGAACGGCAAGCATATTGAAGAGACTGTAAAGAGACAACGAAAGTGATAGCACAAGAGAAGGGATGAGAGACAAACTTGCCTCTTCGTGCTTTAAGCAATGCAGAATCGTACTTGTGCACTCTGGCGACTGTGAGGCTGAACGTCGTACATCCTGAGAATAGGCCGCTGCCTCGATTTTCCAATCGAGCAACGCTACACAGCCCTTTCAATTTCAGATCTCTTGGTTCTCCACAGGCGTGAAATTGAAAGGACTCGAAGGAATGCATGCCGCAGTCGCCTATTCAGCTAGTTGGTGCTTGGTTGCACGAGCTCAAATGAGGCGCCATCTTGCAGCGAGACCCCTGTATCTAGGGTCCGGAGCTCTTGAGCCGATGGGCGGGCTGTGCACTCAGCTTGCACTCAAGAATTGGCAGTCTCTCGGATGGTCGCACACACCTGTTTGTCTTTCAGCAACTGCAAGAATATTCCCAGATACGATCCAACATGGCAAGCGAGGCGGAGTTCTTCGAGAAATATGCGGAGTTCTTCGAAGATGGCGTGTGGGAAGACGACGATCAAGCTACCGATGTGATGGCGTTGTTTGTTCTGGATCAGGTTCCTGTCGAGGTGAGTACCAACAATTTACATATTACACATCAACGCCTAACCTTGCTCTTGTAGACACTCAACGACATTTTGAGCCGGAATAAGGCCGATTGTGAGGGGGCATCCTACATCTGGCTTGCGGACAAGTATGACAGCCTTCCAGACTACTCTGGAGGTATGTCTGCTACGGGAACTGAGGCTCCGATCGATGCTGGATGGCAGTCTCCTTTCCTGGGGAAGACTACCCAGGACGCATCGACATTTGTTCGTAATGCACCCAAGCCGCCTAAACCCTTGTGCAAGCTCTTCTTTGCCGTGCTCGAGAAGGAACGCTACGAGCAACATGGGCAGCTGCTTGTTTGCAAAGCCATAGACGGCCACGTGCAGACTATCCCCTGTGCAGCACACGGGATTGGGACGTTCTTCGCCGGGTTCGAGCGCGACGAGTGGGAGGAGAGTCTGAGGCGCTGGGAGGAGGAAGGAATCGCCTTGTAACGAACGAGATGAACGCGGGTGAAGCTGAGCACTGGCGTGTTGTCGCACACCAGGATCATGACTGCCCAGCCGCGCGAAGAGCCCAATGGTGATGGGTGGATGTGCTGGTACCTTGCAGGATTTAGGAGCTGAGGTGGAGTTCGAAGGGGCTGAAGCGAGCCAGTAGCGCGAAAGTCTATTTGGAGAGCCTCATGTTTGATGAACGTGCCTCTGCCTTCTCCTTCTTTTCCACCGGTCAAGGTAAAAATTTCGCATCGTGGAACGAGTGGCACAGCCCCAAGGAGATTGGAATGCAAAGCTCATCAGCCATTGTCACACCATCCAGAATCCTTCGCCTTGTGTTAGACTCACGCCCAGAAAATGCAGCTCGCACGGCCAGGACGTGGTATTGATGGAGGACAGTCCGAGAATAGGACAAGAGCTGAATGTGAGTATGGCCGTTGATCGATCTTCGAAAACATCTTATGAGAGTCTCTTTACGCTGTGAGATCTGTCCTTGATCTATTAGCAACACCTCCATCATGAAGTCAACAGTACTACTTTCTGCCACAGTCCTTTCGTTACATGCGTATGCGCAAAATGCACCTTTTCTTCTGCCAAATGGAACAACAACAAATATCCCAGGCACTGCTGGAACCGCAATTTCTTCAACAACAAGCACGAGTCTGTCCAGCTCTTTTTCCTCGATCGACTCTTCTGCATCCAGTTCGACAAGCTCCATAACGTCCTCCAGCTCCACCACCGGTCAAGAGGCAACGAGCAGCGCGTCTTCATCTTCCACCGGTGGCTCGTCAGGAACCTCATCGATTTCAAGCACGACCTTGAACAACAATGGAACCACGTCCCAGTCGAACAGCATTCCTCTCGGAACTGGTGCCACCACTTCTACAATAGGGGTTACTACGTCAACGACTTCTACAGGAATGACTCTCGCTCCAAGTATTATAGCGTCCGGCAACGGCTCTGGAATAGTCATTGGATCTTTCACGTTGACTCCAGGAGGATCGGCCTTCAGGAGCGGCACAGTCTCCATCTCGTTGGCCTCTTCGGGCATTTTGAACATAGATGGTAGCACAACGTCCCTCCCAGGCGCCAGTGTATCAACTCCAGCGACATCCACCTCTACCAATACGGCTTCTGAGACACCAGAGATCACGTCGACAATGACTACCGTGCCAACGGGAGTGTCTACGGAGCTCATCACGTCTAGCGGAATTACTACGAACACTTGGATTACCACAACCAAAGATGACAGCACGACCATTGTGCCCGTCATTTGGTGCTTTGATTGCGGTGGTGCGGTGGTTATTTGGAACTTTCCCCCTGTTCCATCTGTCCTGTTCGATTGGACATCTGTGTTTCCCAAGTTACCAAAGTTCGACCTTCCTTGCGTTAAGGTCTTTGGCATCCAGGTATCTGGAAGCTGCCCAGACCCAAAGACGCAGGATGATACTGAAAATGACGACGACGACGACGACGACGATGATGATGACAACGACTCCTCCTCTTCTACATCATCGGCAAGCAGCACGTCTTCTACGCAATCGTGCTCAGCGGGAACCACCACAGTCAGCGACTGCCGCGTCGGCTGCTCACTTTCATACAGCACGATTGACAGCAGCATCTCCAGCACGACGGTGTGCTATACCACGACCTGCGAGCAGACGGTAGGCTGCAGTCTGCAACCCACGACCACGACCTCAGTCTCAACTTCATCCCTTTCAGGCGACTCATGCCCATTTTCTGCTACAGAAAGCTACAATGCCGTAGCGACCTACAGCTCGCTTGGCATGGAGTTGCCAGCGTGGATGGCCTTCCCATTAACTTACGTCTTCTCCACGACCGATTCGAACACTGCAACGACAAACTCGTCCACATCAAGCACGTCGACTGAGTCGAGCGAGTCGAGCGAGTCCAGCACCTCAAGCACAGTCTCATCGACCAATACAACATCAATCGCACCAGCTACTTCGTCAGAAGTTATGCCTACATTGACTGCGACAAACACCGGCGTTGGAACGAGCAGTGGTAGCACTTGTGAAAGTACAACAACCTTCGAGCGCTGCAACGGGTCTGGAGGCAGATCGATCTGCGTTACATCTTCGTCTTGCGCCTCTTGGGTCGCCACCGCAACTTCGACAACACCGACGCCAGAGCCAGAGCCGTCGACTACATCCGTGGCGCCTGCACCAACTCCGACGACCGCGCTCACCGTACGCGATCCGGTATGCCACAATGAAGCCGACTTCCCAGGCCACGCCGACATCAATCCAGCTTCGGTGCCAGATGGTGCCGGCGATTTCTGCGGCGATCACAAAGTGGACTTCACGCCAGACTCCGCGAAGATCAGCGAAAACTATCAGAACATATACTCGGTCAACTATCTCTTCGAAGTAGAGTGGATCGACGGCTGTGTGACAAGCGATAACTCGCAGTCAGTGGAAGATCCGGTTGGCAACGATGACTGGCATTGCTCGGATCTCTTGCAAAGGGCGTTCAGTGGTTGTAACAATGGAGGAGTGGGAGGATACGTTGATGCTGGGTGTTTGCGGTATACATTTACCGGCGGGCTGGGCGATAGTTAGCTTGCTTGACCGCGCGTTTTGTTCCAAACTTCAAAATACTTCGCACCTTCAAAGTCATATGATTCCCCGTCAACACTTTCCACGACACCGCGAACAACTATTTGTCCGCAGCCTACATCAGACACGTGATAATGGTATCGGAATCTCGGCGGATACGATGCCGAAAGGATGTGTTCGGAATTTGATTTGAAGCCCTAGCAAACCATCGACAACTTCTCGTACAACAACATCCTACACAGATATCCTGTCGACTTCTCTCATCAACGAGGAATCCTTGGCCGGAAGGAACTCGCATTCGTATTTTTCGGCGCGTCGGTTCTTCTTCCTCTTCCGATCTTGCTTGTTTCGTCCAAGAACACAAGGTTTCCTCGTGGCAGCTTTGTAAAGGCACCAAAATGCAGCCTAAAAGGACTCATCAAGCCACCAAAGTCTCGTTGTACAGAGATAAAAGCATTTTCCTGATGGACCGAACAGGAAAACAGTCCTCGAACAGATAGAGACGCGCCGTCGTGCCCAAAGGCCCGCGGGTTGTTTGGGCGGTCGTACAAACAAGGTTGACGAAGCTTCCGCTCCCGAGAATCTGCGGCTCTGCCGCCTCTGGGACTTCACGCCATTACATCATGCATCCACGATATTCGCTTCCTCACACCTTTCCTTCTTGCGCTACGCGGATATGCGTGCTAGACTTTCAGATCAGATCGCAGCCGTCGCCCACCGATCTGCGCTGGCCGCCGGACTTAACCTTGTGCTTGGCGGGCGCGATGTGCTCATCTCTGGGGCCCAGGCGTTGAGTCCGGGGTGGGCTTGATCTGGCACAGGCATTTTTCGGACTCTTGAAAACGCGATGATGATGAAAGAGGTTGTCAGTCGCGGGTGATGCTTCTAGCGGCATGGTGGACCATTGCCCCTAATAGTCTCCAGCCTTATGTATGAGATTTCCATTGTTCTTTCTTCAAGCTGCATTCTCAACGCAAAAGCTTTCTGCTTTCGACAACAACGGACACTCGCGTCTTGAGCAGTCCACTTCACCATGAGTGAGCTCTTCCGGGATACGGCCTTTGGCCACCTCGTCCGCTTCGTGTCCCGCGGCAAGTTTTTCAAGTACCAAGAGGAGATTGATCCTTCGCTGTACACGCGATTCATCGATGAGAAGAAGTCCGGGTACATGGCCCATCATGGCGATACCAATCCACCAGCAGACGGCACCGAACCACAGACTCTTGGTGGCGTCAGGACTCGCGAAGAGCGATATACTACCGAATCACCACCGAGACTATCGACAAACCGACGATCATCTTCAGAGCAAACGCGAGTCGGCCAGGAGAATGCCAACGTCAACTACGTTAGCGGCGTCCAGATCGACCAGGAAAAGGGCAAGGACGTCCACATCGTCAGCTGGTGGGGCGATAACGATGCTGAGAACCCACGGAATTGGAGTCTTTTCAAACGATGCTTCGTCACCTTCGAGATTTGCCTCTTGACGACGTCCGTTTACATTGGATCTTCCATCTACTCGGCCGGTACGGAGAGTGTCATGGCCACCTTCGGCGTCAGCCAAGTCGCTGCAACACTGGGACTTTGCTTGTTCGTAGGAGGATACGGGCTTGGTCCCATGCTCTGGTCGCCCATGAGCGAGATCCCCTTCATCGGAAGGAATCCGATCTATCTGGGCACACTGGTCATCTTCGTTGCGCTGCAACCGGCTGTGGCCATGGCCACCAACTTTGGCATGCTCCTCGCATTCCGTTTCATCACCGGCTTCTTCGGTAGCCCGGTTCTGGCTACGGGTGGTGCATCGCTGACTGACATTTGGAGACCTCAGAAGCAAGCATACGCCATTTCTATCTGGGGCATTGCGGCAGTCTGTGGTCCCACACTTGGTCCTCTCATCGGCGGTTTCGCAGTCCAGTATGGTGGGCTCAACAACACCATTCAAGCACCATGGCAATGGCCAATTTGGGAGCTCATGTGGTTGTCGGGCTTCTGCTTGGTCTTCCTTTTCTTCTTCTTCCCAGAGACGAGTGCCAACAACGTGAGCAACTCCTTCTGGACCCCTTCCTCGGTGCCAATGCTGACCTTGACGATAGATCCTCCTTCGACGAACCAAGCGCCTGCGCAAGTTGACCGGCAACGACAAGCTCACATGTGAGCCAGAACTCATGGCCGCGCAAATGTCCGGCAAGGAGGTGGTCATGATGTCGCTCGTCCGTCCTTTCACGCTCAACTTCCTTGAGCCGATGGTCTTCTTGCTCAACTTGTATATCGCCTTGATCTATGGCTTGCTGTACATCTGGTTCGAATCGTTCGTGGTCGTGTTCATTGACATCTACCACTTTGGCCTGGGCACTGAGGGTCTTGCCTATCTCGGTATTCGTAAGTTCGACCGGGAAACACGTTTTCTAAAAGACATTCCACTAACGGTATCTCCAGTCATCGCCGTGTTTTTGGTCGTCCCGCCATTCTTTGCCTACCTGTACTACTACCTGGAACCAAAGTTTGACGAGAACGGCAATGTAAAGCCTGAGCTGCGTCTCATCCCAGCTATGTTTGGTGGTTTCTGCATTCCAATGTAAGTGCTACGAAGCAGTCCCAGAAAACGATTTCTGACCATATCGTAGCTGTCTATTCTGGTTCGGCTGGAGCGCACGACCAGACGTCCACTGGATCATGCCCATCATCGGATCCGGATGGTTCTCGATCGGTGCCTTCCTGCTCTTCAACTCTGTGCTCAATTACCTGCCAGACGCATACCCCGAGTACGCAGCAAGTGTGCTGGCCGGCAACGACTTTATGAGGTCCAGCTTCGGTACTGGGTAAGTCATTGCTGTGGTCAGCCTCATTCGCCATCCAAGCCGTAAGCTGACAATGTCACAGATTCCCGCTCTTCGCATCTGCCATGTACGGCAACCTGGGTGTTGCTTGGGCGAGCAGCACGTTGGCTTTCATCTCGCTTGCTTTCATTCCGATTCCGTTCTTGCTGTACAGGGTGAGTAGTACTCAACATTCATTTGCGACGACGCTTGCTAACCAAACTTCCAGTATGGCGAGACATTGAGGAAGAACTATTCGAAGCATGCTCGCAAAGACATATAGATAAGCCCACGCTTACCAAGATGATTACTCTATTCGTTGACGACTTTACGTTGGATTCATGTTATGATTTTATGATGCTTCTTGGGATGAGCGATGATACCAGTTTGGATGGACCTTGTGGCTTCATGTAACAAAATTGGGGATTAGACTTAGACAGTTGAGCGATGTAATTCGAGTTCTAGACTCCATTGAACTACTTATTGGTCTCATTGCCTCGCATTCTCTGTACTCTCGTCATGTACTTTCTGGCTTGCCTTGTCACGGTGAGGCTGGCCTGAGAGTTGCCGCTCATCACATCAAACGAGGCTGGAGTTGTATTGCAGCCCCCATGCGATCAGTCTGCTTTCCTCTGAAGCTGATACTCCTGCCCTTCGATCCGTTCCCCGTGTTTGCAAAGCAGAGTGTCTTGATGCATAGTACGTCATCCTTTCACTCTCCTTCCGACACCTCATCGTCAATGCTCTCATTCTGCGCCTGCAACCGACTCCACCTCACCAATCCACCATCCTTGCTCAAATGCAAAGCCTTCCCCCTATCCTCCATATTCATATTACAGACAGCCTTGTGCACAGCCCAATCTGCACGTTGACAAACACCCGAACAATACGCCGCCGTACCACATTTGCTGCAGCGACTCAACGAAGCTTCCTCCCCTTTCCCACACGTCGTGCACTTGGTGAGATCGATAGCTTGGTACAGCCAATGCGGATTCATCGCGATGCCGTCGCTGAAAGCATCCATTGGTGCGTACTCGATGAAGAAGTCGTGGCGGATTTTCTTGCCGGTTGACCAGGCTTGTTGCAGGATGAGGTCTTTGACGAAGGAGCGGCCGAGCTTGTCGATTTCTGACGGGTCTTTGATGTCCTGATCGTCGAGCATGCTTTCGTCTGTGTTTGGGATCCAGCTACCCTCTTCTGAGATTGTGTAGGACACCATGACTTTCCAGTGTTCTTCCTTGTCGAGGACGCCCATCGTGATCACGTTTTTGATGCGGCCGATTTCGCATTTGGTCTCGTCTCGTTCGCCAGCTTGGATTGTCCTGATCCATGTGAAGGAGAACCAGGAATCCAGATCCAGAAATGCGTACAAAGCATCTGGACACCACTGATAGAGCACAGTGGCTACTCCAATAGCAGCAGTCAGGTTGGTAGATTCTTCATCTTTGAGAACAGTCTCTGGGACAGCGATCCGCACTGGCCTGCCATCGAGGTTCAAATGCTTTTCCACAGTCACCGGCACTTTCAGGTGTGCTAAGGTTTGAAGCTCGATGCCCATTTTCAAGAGAATGCAAGGGCGAAGGTTTGGCTTTTGAAGCGGAAGTTCGTCGTCTCACTAGCTCCAGACAGCTGAGTCGTTTCTACTTGTGGCTAGCCCAGCGGCTGAATTGTCTCACCACATTGTCTTCCCTCCGTCACAAATCCAACTTCGCTTCGGTCTCTCCTGAATCACAATCTGACCTCTCTCACATGCTCTGCGTGTGGCTCCTTCTTATCAAGGTCGATCTCTGCATGATGAGCGTCTGCCACACCCATGAGATTCCCTCCCTTCTCCACATGGTTAGAACCACCAAATTTCGTGTCCATCTCCTCCAGCAGCACTTTACGAGTCTCTGGTATGAAGACTGGCATGATCAGCTCGCGTTTACGTGTTCTTCGCGAACAGAGACTTACACCAGACGAAGACTGCTAACAGGAAGTTGATGCCGGCAAACATGTAAAAGGCATAGAAGCCACAGTTCTAAAGTAACTGTCAGTCATGATTCGCGGACGAGGTGGGTTCCTAGATCTTACCTTTAGAAAGATCGGAAAGAACTGACCAACGATAGCCTGGGCTACGTTCTGGGTCTGGGATGCCATGCCGACGGCTTGTGCGCGAACGTTCATCGAGAAGACTTCTGAAGTCCAAATCCAGACTACCAAGAAAGTCAGCAGCAGCCTATATTATGTCTTGCACAAGACATTGTATTGATACTCACCTGTAGCTCCCCACGTCGGCTTATAGAAGAAGATGAAGAGAAACAGCAGGAACACGATCGATATTGCCACGGATTTGGACTTGCTACCATCCGCCAGATTCGGAGTCTGGGTCTCGACTGAGGCCACGATGATCATGCAAACGCCCATTCCAATGGCACCAACGATGAAGAGGAACTGCGGCTCTTGTCAGCCCTGGATCGAGCCTGTCCTGAAGGCCCCTTACCCTTCGACCAAACCGGTCAGACCAGATGGCATTGAGCGTGAAAATGATGCCCAAGGTAGCGTTCAGGGCGTTGATCTGTGAAAGAGCATGTTAGCAATGCTCATCTTCGGACAATTTTGATCCGTCCAACTCACCAACGCAATTGTGGAGTCACTCTTGAAAACCTTCTTGTACACGATCGTGCTATAAGTGTTCAAAGACCCCTGACCAGTGAGTTGCTGTCCAGCATTGAGGATAACCGCCAACAGCAGCCGCTTGCGAACGGATCGATCCTTCCAGAGGGCCGAGTACGACGACGAGATAGCCTCTTTCTCAAACTCCAACGCCTCGCGTATGACGAGAACTTCATCCTCGACATCCTGCTCCGTTGGCCGAATCCTACGAAGACCAGCCCTGGCCTGCTCGATCTTGCCTTTCTTCACTAGCCAGCGAGGCGTCTCGGGCGTGAAGAAGACTTGTGCAAGGATGAGGACCGGCATCATGAGTTGAAAGATCACCACCATCTTCCAGTCCCATTCGCCGAGCTCTTCGACGTGTTTGGAGCAGGCGAAATTGATCCAGTAGGCGATAAAGGACCCTACAGAGTAGAAGAGTTGCCAGAATGTCATGATGGTTCCACGGATCTCAGGAGGGCAACATTCGCCGATATAGATGCTGCCAGCTGGAGAATATCAGCATTGCCCAAGTCAACGCATCGAACGATCATTTCGCACCGGCTAGAGAAGTGTTAGCATTCCGCGCCAGAAGTGATGGACTTATTCGACTCACTGAGCGCTAACCCCTGTCCAATACCAATCACCACCCTCCCAGCAATGAAGCAGCCAATCTGACCCCTCGGCGAGAACGTTTGCTAACCAAAACATCAGCAACCCGAGCCTCTCCGCCTCACGCGGCACTCACCATAAAAGTCGCAACAACAACACAAGCCGCCCCAGCAGCCATGCCCACCCTCCGTCCAAAGTAATCCGCAACCGGGCCACCAATAAAGAACCCCGCCACGATGGCTCCAACCGTGTAAGAAGTATTCACTGCGCCGATGATATTCGCATCGGGATCATTGAAGTACGCGACCCAGTTGTCGCTGCCTTGGACGGCGTTGTAGACGGAGGCATCGTAGCCGTAGAGGACCATGCACGAGGCGGCGACGAGGGAGATGTACCTTTCGAGATGGTCAGCTATCTTAGTCGATGAGTTGGATGAATCCAACATACCAATTGTAAACTCTCGTCTCGTCGATTCTCGCCATCTTGGGTCAGATCAGAACGTCGACGAACAAACAAACAGAACCACCGCAAAAACATCACCAGCGAACACAACACACATCTTAAATCCCCCATCCCCTCCTCCGTCCACCTTCAAGGACCAATCTTGCAGCGAAACAGCCAATACTCCCGTCCACCCTGCAAGCCACACCAACACCCAAGCTCTAACCGATCCGCCTTCCCGGAGCACAAGCTCCTCAACTGCAAACGCTTAAGTTCCCTCCTGCACCCCATATTGCGACAAGGGTCCTTGTGGCGGCATTCTTCGGTGGAGCACAGCACGAGGTATACAGATTAGCTTTTCCACCAATCTAAACACGGCATACATGACGAGGCGTCCGGGGTATGGAGTGATACTGCAGCCGACTTCATGCACGTCAAGCGGTATGGGGTAGAGAAGAAGCTTCGGTTAGATGGCGTGGACAGGGGTATTTGTTTCGAGGCGGGACGAAAGTGATGGATCTGGAACGGAGACAGCGATACGATTGGAGATAGAATAGGTCGTTTGATTCGTTACTAACAATTATCCATGATTCCTCCTTCGTACAATGTTAGCTTTTGTACGACATGCTCAACCCATCCAAACGAAAGAAAAGCGCAACAAGCGCCAAAGCAGCAGCAGGTGCTGAACAGACATTATGTAAAGTCGTTGATCATGCATCATAACAGACATTAGGGTCATGCCGTGTGGCCAGTGTGGAGTTGTAGGTGGAAGTTGTCGCTGCAGCCGTTCCAGCAGGACGGCGAGCGGGGAGGGACTCGTGAAGCAGCCAGGAGGAGGCTCAGATCAAGCCTTGTTCGTCCTGGCGATTGGGACGACGACCTCGCATGCTGCCCGTGTCGGCCATCTCGCTTCCAGCGCGGCGTGAGTCGGCGCCGTCGTGGGCGGCAACAGTCTCGACATGCTTGGCAGGTTCGACTGCGACCTTCTCGGACGCGACAGCAGCACCTTTACCCGCTCCAGAAGCTCCAGTGCCCTTGGCTTCGGTAGCACCTCCACCGGTGATGCCAGTTCCACCTTTGCCGGACTTCTCACCACCGTGAGCCTTTTCACCTGCGACGGCACCAGCTCCAGCAGCACCAGCAGCAGTCGCACTCTCGTTAGGGAAGTGGACACGACCACGACCTTCCTCGGCTTGTCGTCCAAGAGTTCCAGCGTTCCTAGCTCCGGGCTTGGCTGCAGCGGCAGCAGTTGCAGGACCGAGAGCAGAACCCGCAGTGACCGCATCAGTCCCTGTAGCTGGATCGACTTCTCTTCCAGTGACTGGGTCGACAGCGTGGCCACCCATGACCGAGTTGCCTTCACGTTCTTCCTTCTTGGTCTTCTTGTGTCGTCGGTGGAGTAATGTAAGGCAGCAGCACCCAAGCAGTGCAAGGATAAGGAGGCCACCGAGCGCACCGAGAACAGCCATGAGGACCTTGGCGGTTTTGCTGCCGAAGAAACTGCTCCTCTTGACCTCAGCCTCGCACATACGACGGCATGTCTTCCTGTTCCAGCACTCAGGATCACCTTGGACTTTGGGGTCCGTGAGGTGACCGAGCATCGACTGTGGGAAAGCTTTCTTGGAAGAGACGGTCGTCGCACGTGATTCTCGATACGCAGTCTTGTTGGTGCATACACCTTCGTCGATAGTGGTGTTGTAACCCATTGGGTAATAGATGCCTGCCGTTGAAGTCGTGCCCCAATGCGGTCGACCACTGATGTATGTGATATGGGTGAAGTAGTCGAAGTAGGTGCTCGTACCGTATGGGTCAGTCATCAGAGCTGGCAACGCGGTCGTGATGTTGATGGGCTTCACGAATTTCCACATGCACTTCTCGATCTTGCACTCCGTCTTGTTGCGCTTGCCCTGGTCATCTTTCATGCATTGCGGAGTCGCTTCCTTTTCACACTTGGGCATTCCGAGGATGGCAGGTGGGACATCGTCAAGGAAGACAGTCATTGTCTGCAGCGGCTCAAGCGCATCGAAGCGAAGACTTGATGTAGAATGGCGAACATCATCCGAATGATGCTTACTGGAATGGTGCTTGCGATGGGTCTTGTGTGACTCGCCTTCGGAAGTGTCTTCAGCCAACTCGAACTTCATCGTCTTGCCGCCGTCAGTAAGTGTGGCCGGAGGTGTGATGACTTCGTGTGATAGAAGACCTGGGCCAAACCGCGCGATGAACTCTGTAGTCACAGCAGGCTTCGCTGGATGAGGTGCGTTGAGCTGCGGCCGTGCTCGTGTGTTGCAGGGACAAGTGTCCAGGGGGTCGATCTCGTGTCTCATGCAGTAAATAGCCCGTGCAGCGACCTCCTTTGGATCCAAAATCTTGTTCAGATGGTGAACGTGTTTGATCAGCGATTCGATGTAGTTCCAGCCGAGATATGCGTAATGGGTCTTCTTCTGCTCCCAAGTCAACCCTCTGAGGAATCTGATCTCTTCATTGTACACATCGAGCTTGAGAAGTTCGGTAGCGTTGCAATTAGAGGTTTGCAGCATAGCATCAGGCGTCGATGACGGTAGCGAGAAAAGACCGCGATACCCATGCCTGTTTGCCGTGACAGTCCATCCAGCTTCAGAAGCGATGGGCTCCTCGGACAAGGTCTGGGTGATGGTGAGAGTACCTCCTGCCTTGACAGTCTTCGTCTGGATGTGTGTCTCCACGATCGTGGACACCGCTGGTGCCGCTAGTGTGCCGTTGGAGGCGTGTGCTGAAGATGCGGTGGCATTTGTAGGTTTCGAGAAGTGAGATGCTCCATGCTTCGAACCGGTGGGGTGGGAAGTTGCGTGTGGCAGGTATGCGTGGGCCTTCTGAGATCCCCAGACATCTGTCTGTACAAACCCGACGCCAGAAACGGTGAGAGTCTGTACAATGACTGGAGGAGTTGCGGTTTTGACGATGTGGGCATTGACTGTTCGTGTGAAGCTTCCGCTGTGCAGAGTGACTGCGAATCCAGTATTCGGTTTGGTTGCCGTGACCTTGATTGTGGCCGTAGTAGACTCGCCGTTCTCGACGTTGGTGTGAGTATACACCTGGCCAGGGGTGACTCGGGTTGGCAGCACTCCGTAGAGACGCTTGGCAATTGGCATGCCGGTCTCAGCCGGAACGTCAGAAGACGACAGTGGGATCGTGGTCGTAAGGATTTCGTCATCGTTGATCATTGTCGCCACCACGACAGGAGGAGTGGCCGCGAGGTCAACCTTGCCATGAGCAGTGAACGTCGCATCGTCAACCGTAAAGGTGCCATCGACATCAGGAGACTTGAAGGTCAATGTCGCAGTTGCTGAATGTCCTTGTGCCTCGGTTGTGTACGTAGAGACAAGGCTGGAAGGGGCGTGCAACAAGAAGTCCGGGGCGACAATGCTGGTGAACAGCTCGTCAATCTCAAGACCATTTCTTGCAGCAACACCTCGGTGGGTGGTATTGTGGTGCTGGGCCTTTCTCAGAACATCCAGTGCGTTGCGATCGGCGTTGGCTGTGTACCAAATAAAGGCCGGAGGTTGAAGAGCAGCGTCGTATTGTCCCAAAGCCAAAGTCGTGTGATGATGGTGGTCCTTGTATGTGACTGCAAAACCCGTAGGCTCTGTAGAGTAGACCATGACCTTCCAGTTCCATCGATGGCCATTGGTGCGGGTCTTGGAGGTCGAGGTCCAACCAGGAGTGACATCGGCTGGAATTTTGGTAACGAGGTCCTCAGGCTTTGGTGGGAATGGCTTGAAATTGCGTTCGACGGGATGAGGAGCGTCTTTAGAGCCGTGACAGATGTTGCAATTCTTCTTGGAGACCGCGGGTGAAGCGCAGTGCGCACACGAAGGTGAGACTGGAGGTGCAACAGTCGTGGTGGGATCAACTTGCCGCTCATTGAGCTCCTCGTACTCGGACAAGGTCTCGGCGATGTCCTCGAATCCGTTCTCGGCGACGTCAATCTCAAGCTCTTGAATCAGTGAAGAAGCGGCATCGTGCACAACTTGGTCCAGATTGAAATTGCCTCGTCCGGAGATGTCATTTGCCTCTTGGAGGGAACGCTTGTCCTCGTCGTCGTCATCATCGAGACCTTCCTCAATCTCATCGACCAGGTCACGGACCCATTCTTCGAATCCAGCCTCACCGAGTTCTTCATGGCGGTGATGGACTGTATTCGGCTGGTCGGCGTCTTCGTTCACTCGGGCGAGAGCGCCAACCCCAAGGCTGGCTGCAAGGAGCCACCTGGAGCACCGCATCGTGATGGCGTGACAGCAGATGGAGTGTCGTGTCGTTCAAAGTGCGGTGAAATGAAGAAAAAGGGGGAAAATGCTGTGGCAGATCTGAAAAGTAGAAGGCAGCTGCTCGGTGAGGAGTACAGTTGATGAAGTGGTGGTGCGAAGTTGGTGAGAGAGGGAGATCTGAGATGTGGGCGAGGAAGGGAGAGATGAAAGGCAAGGAGACTGCGTAAACATTGCAGGCCGCGATGTCCATGTTTGGTGTTGGTTCTTGCTGGTGTTGATTGTGAATTGGGGAAGTTGTAGGTCGTGAGTGTGGATTGGGTAGGTGGAGGCGATGGCTGTGCATCGATCAAGCAGTCGCGACGAAGCGATTCGATCATCGTGATGTATTGATATTGATATGAGTGCTACAATGATAGACTTGAATGCACCTGCATGTGATCAGAGGAAAGAAGTGAAGTCTCATCTGAAGATTCACGTGAAGTCCGTCAGGGTTCCCCTAGCGTCGGCTGTTGCCATGGCGGCTCGGCAAACATGCTTCCCCGTTTGGAAGGCCCCGCCAATGCGTCTGGTCGGTGAGTTGACAACCAAGGACCGCATCAAGCAGCGAGGACATGATTAACGACTATCTCTGACAGAGACTTGGTACAACTCCCCCCGGTTGACGACATATCAATTGCTGAACGCATTGATCAAGAACCGCATTCCTCAACCAACATCACCGTCCGCTCCAGACGACCACCTCCCGCCATGCGCTGCTCCGCATTCCACCTCCTCCCCGCGAGCCTCCTCGTCAGCGTAGCGACCTCCCTCCAACTCCCCGACCTCCAACCATTCCTCTCGGCCCTCCCGAACGTCCTCCAAGACTACATCCCTCAGAACCTCCAAAACAGCACCGCACACGACCTGCTCAAACGGCAGAGCAGCAACACCTGCCCAGATGGCTTCGACTCGTGCGCAAATCTGGGAGCCGCGCAGCTGTGCTGTATGAGCGGTTCGGTATGCTCTGCAGACTACGCTGGAGCTGTCGCGTGCTGTCCATCGGGAGCTGCGTGCACTGGGACGATTTCGGGGATCATTACACAAGGCACGATTGATGCGAGTAATGGAGGAGTTGTCGGGGGAGGTGGTGTGGTGACGGGCACAACGAATAGTGGAGGGATTGCGACGGCCAGTGCTTCGACGACGAGCTTCAGCTTCTATAGCAGCGGAGCGAGCACGACTTCCAACAATGGCTTGGTGATGGCGACGTCTCAGGCGACCATTGCTACAGACGATAGTGGGACTTCAGGCAATGGCTTCATTGTAGATGGCACGAGTACGGTGGCTACACCTGGTGCTGGTGTTAGAAGAGCAGAGATCGTAAGTATACTCCCATTCACTACAATAGGTCCGCTGGCTAACTGGATTGGTAGCCCTTCATCGCCAAGGTAGTCATACGAGCTTTGGAATATCTGCCGATGTAACGACGGACGAGATACGGAGCCCACAGGACGAGTCTACGGAAAATGTAATGAACGAACGGCTGTACAGGAAAGAGACGAATTAAGGAAATCGAGCAAGCGAGCATTGGGACATTGGCGTTTTGGGAGAGCAATCGTTCACTGCTATGGAGCATACAGGCATCTAACTGTGGCCCTGGATCGCTCTGGTGACATAGGGCTCTTCAAGATACTTCTCTTCCTCTTCAGTCAATTCCTTTCCTCTGGCGCCAAGTGCTTCATCCATCCTGTAACCACTTATGTCAGGTGCTGTTTAGCCGACATTGTACTTGAACTCACCTCTCGACACTACTGAACCCAATGATCGGACTCGATATCCTCTTGTTGATCCACGCTAATGCCACATGGCTCATCTTCCACCCCTTCTTCTCCGCCAACTCCTGCACCCTTTTAATGATAACCTGATCACTCTCTGACGTCCCAGTCGTAAACATCGCCCTCTTCTGCTCGCCCGCCGAACGCACCGTACTGCCATAATCCGATGGAGGTCGTGCAAGATGGCCTCTGCACAACGGTGCCCAGGGAATCAGACCAACGCCGGTCTCGTGACAGAATCTGTTCATCTCGCGCTCTTCCTCGCGGTAGAGCAGGTTGTAGTGGTTTTGCATGGATACGAACTTGGTCCAGTTGTTCTTCTCGGCGACGAACTGCATTTGGGCGAATTGGTAGGTCCACATGCTTGAGGCGCCGATGTAGAGGACCTCCAAGGGCATCAAAATTCGACTCTTTTCTCCATTATTTGTTGTATTTGGGACGTACCTTGCCACTCTTGACAACATCGTGGAGAGCTTCCATTGTCTCTTCAATGGGGGTGTAAGGGTCAAATCGATGGATCTGGAGCAGGTCGATGTAGTCCACTCCCAAACGCTTGAGACTCTGGTTGACGTTGTCGTGGATCGCTCTTCTGGAGAGACCGCCTCGGTTGACGTATTCTTTGCTGTCGGCAATCTTTTGGCCGTACATGATACCCCTCGTGCCTGGTTCCTCTCCCACATACCCGTAAGCTTTGGTAAGGATCACGACCTTCTCTCGAGGGATGCTGTGTTCCTTGAGAGCCTGGGGAGGGTCAGCTTGTACAGAATCTCACTTTAGAGTCATCCGTAGCAGACCTTGCCAATGATCTCCTCAGACACGCCATTGGAGTACACGTTGGCTGTATCCCATGTGTTCAAACCTCGATCGTACGCTGCTTTCAACAGTGGGAGGGCTTCCTTCTCTTCCAAAACCCATGGCTGCCAATCTTTGTGACCAAAGCTCATGGCACCCAGAATGGGCACAGAGACCCGAAGTCCACTCGTTCCTAGGCGAACATAACTGGCTTTGGTCTCATTGATAGACTTGATGACAGGGTCGTTCGCGTCTTCGGTGGCCATGGTCGGTTTGGTGGATCGTTTGGGAGTTGCGGTATTGCTGGAGTTAGAGGTGGACGAAATGGAAATCGAAGAAGTGAATGATGAAAGAGAGATATATTCTTGTACCACCACCGATCACGTCAACTTGGATGAATCCGCGATCTCCCCACCTGTTTCTCGTTGACCACTTACACTGCATCACAAGCTGGAGCTTTGATTGAGGGGTTCCTTGAGGTGGCGGGGTATTTAGCCGGATATTGCAGCGGATTTAGCAGTTAAGAGTATGAACATCTGGTAAGCTGTGTGGATGATTACAAGGCCATGGTTGTGTCGCTGGAGATGACTGGGTCTGTATGGCGAGGTTGCCGGAGAATGATGCCCTTCGAGGTGGTCCTGTTAACGCGGCGGCACAAGTCTGGGTGGGAGTTGCATGTTCGTTCAGGGCGACATCGGTCGATACATCGTCTTCTGTCATAAGAGGGTCGTATCGCGGACACCGTCATGAAATCGAGGATTTAAAGAAGGTGTGGATGCAATCATAACCCGAAGTCGAGTGGAAAAGTGTCGTGTTTGCAGTCTCGGACAGCACATCGAGACCCTCTCAGACGTGTCCTCGGTAGGCTCATAGCGACCTTTGCTTCGAACTTGGGAAGCATCGTGCTGTTATTTAAAAGAGGATATCGGAAAGCGAAGTGACAGAAGGAGGGCGACTGTTGACCTTGGAGCACGGACCTCGCGAGCATTTTTCTCCACCTTCATCACAAGCACATGAAAGCTTTCTCCAACCTCGCGAACAGCTCGCAGCTCCTCTCACGAGCCATTGGACACGCAGCAGCTCTCGGTCCATTCATGTGATGGAGCAGAGAACAGCTGGACCGGAGTCTTTCTCGGGGCTCTCCTCGTAGTGCGTCGCGCCTTCCTGACGCGTGAGTGGTTGCTTTCCACCTCCACCTCAAGAAGCTGCAGCAGGCAAGTGCGATCCATCGTCATGTTGTTTGAGCGAGACTTTCAGCGACGAGCTTGAAAGCTGTTTCCGTCGTTGACACAACACGGCTCTCTCATACACCAATTCTTCATCTGTGAAGCTCTTTCACTGTCGATACACATAGAGCAAGATGGCGCTCACGGGAGAAGCGAGCAAGCACCGCTGGTGGAAGGAGTCGGTGGTGTATCAGATCTACCCGGCTTCGTTTCTGAGCTCGGGGGCAGGCTCGCAGCCGGGATGGGGAGATGTGCGAGGCATCACCTCCAAGCTGGACTATCTGAAGCACTTGGGAGGTGAGTGTTTGCTTCACGCAGATTCCGATCACATCAGCTAATTTTATTGCAGTGAACGTTGTTTGGACCTCCCCAATCTACAAGTACGCGCAGCACTCAATGACTTGGGAGCACACACTAACAGAGGTAGATCGCCACAAGCCGACATGGGCTATGACATCGCCGATTACTACGACATCGACCCGAAGTACGGCTCCCTCTCGGACGTCGATGAGCTGATCAAGGAGCTCAAGAAACGCGATATGAAGTTGATGGTGAGCTACTCAAGGTTTGAAGGCCGTGCTGGAAGTGAACGTCTGACAACTGAGTCTGCAGATGGACCTTGTTGTCAACCACACATCCGATCAGCACGCTTGGTTCCTGGATTCGAGGTCCTCCAAGGACAGTGAGCACAGAGACTGGTATATCTGGAAGCCCGCCAAGTACGACAAGGACGGCAACCGACAGCCACCGAACAACTGGTTACAGCTGCTTGGAGATGCAAACTCGGCCTGGACGTGGGATGAGAAGACGCAAGAGTACTATCTGTCCCTCTTCACACCAGAGCAACCAGACCTCAACTGGGAGAGTCCTAAGGTCCGAGCTGCTGTTCACGATGTCCTACGCTTCTGGCTCGATCGAGGGGCAAGCGGCTTTCGAATGGACGTTATCAACCTCATCTCCAAAGTACAATCATTCCCAGATGCCGAGGTCACGGATCCCACCAGCAAGTACCAGTCGGGCCACAAATACTTCGCCAATGGGCCACGGTTGCACGAGTTCCTGAAAGAGATCAACAAGGAGGTTCTGTCCAAGTACGACACGATCACAGTTGGTAAGCTCAGACCCGTGTCTAACAATAGAGGGTCGTTCAACTTACATGCTCAACAGGAGAGATGCCTTTCGTCGAAGACGAAGATGAGATCATCCGTGTGGTCGGAGAGAACGAGCACGAACTCAACATGATCTTCATCTTCGCATTGGTCGATATCGACGGCATACCAGGTGCCTCTCGCCTTACCCTCTACGACTGGAATGCTGCCGATCTCAGGAAAATCGTTGCCAAGTGGCAGAACGTCATGAGAGAGCGAGGTGGATGGAACAGTCTCTTTGTTGAGAATCATGTACGGAAACACTTCTCTTCTTGTACCTTGGTACTGACTGCTTGCAGGACCAACCAAGATCGGTCTCGAGATACGCCGACGACTCTGACGAGTACCGTGAGCTTGGTGCAAAACTGCTTGCCATAATGCAAACGACTTTGAGCGGAACCCTCTACGTGTATCAAGGCGAGGAGCTGGGCATGGTGAACGTGCCTCTTTCTTGGGATCCAGTGAGTCTTGAAACATCCATATGTTTGACAGTCCCGTTGACCTTCGATTAGGCAGAGTACAAGGACATCGAATCGATCAACTACTGGAAGAAGATGAATGAACGTTGCAAGGGAGACGGAAAGAAGCTGGAGCATGCGAAGCTCACCTTGAACAAGAAGGCTCGAGACAATGCACGAACACCAGTGCAATGGAACGCCGGTCCCAACGCTGGCTTCTGTAAGGAAGGCATCGAGCCTTGGATGCGTGTGAACGACGACTACAAGACCGTCAACGCCGAAGCACAGCGTGAAGCGAAAGATGCCGATCAGCTTACAGTGCTGCAATTCTGGAAGAGAGGTCTGGAGAACCGCAAGAAGCACAAGGACGTCTTCGTCTACGGAGACTTCAAGAGTCTGGACGACAAGAGCGACAAGGTCTTCGCATACAAGAGGTCCAGCAAGGATGAGGCCTTTGTCGTTGTGCTCAACTTCTCGGGCAAGCAGGTTGATTGGAGCATTCCAAAAGACGCCGGCTTGGAGAAATGGGTTGCTGGGAACTACGCTGCTTCTGCTCCGGACAAGGCCGTCGATGGATCGATTCAACTCCGCCCATGGGAGGGCATTCTGGGGGCGGCGAAGCCATGATCTCGTCTTACAAATGCGTCGTGCACCAGAAGACTTGACTTTCCAGGGTTTCCTGATCCCGGTAACATGGGCTACCCATTCTGCGGAACGTCGGTATGAGGTCGTTGGAGCTCTCCGTTAGATGTAGCTGGTACAATGACCACGGTTCCAGCCAATATCTAAAGTGACAGTGTATGTTCAATGCAGGTAGGAAACTCTAAAGCAAAAGCTTCGTCAGCATTGTCCGGCAGCTGATACCTCTTTGCCCTATCTTCTCATTCCTGGCGCGACTGAATCGCAGCTTCTTGCCTACCTTGTACCCTGCCCTACTCCAGTATACTTCTCAAATTGAAGTCGGGAAAGAATTGCCTCCGAGCCAGTCTTGGTCCATGATACTTGATAATAAGGAAATTGAAGCTGTCGATGCAGTTGGTCTGTTATCGTTGCTTGAAAAGCAGTCAGTCAAGAATTCGTTGTAATCCAGACACCGGACAACAATACTACATATCTCTCGCTCGATCTCCGAGGAATGAAGTCATTGATGAGTGAACCTACGCTTTCACTCACACACACGTGGCGTGCGGCCCGTGTTCAGCCGCAAAGGCCTCCAATCTTTTCTTATCATCAACAGAGTTTGCCGCTCGCCGAAACGACGCTAGAATTGTTGTTGGCATGTGAAAGAGTGGATTCCATCGCTCCATCACACAACATGTGGACGCACTGAACTTGCCAGGGAGTACTTAAGTCATGTACGATGGAGGGTCTGCATTTGCTTGTTTAGCGAATTGAAAAATGCTGCTTTTCGAAGAGCGGTAGAAAGCAGTAGACCGAATGATTGACAGGGGCGCATCGCAATTAGGTTGCTGCCGTATTCTAGCGCCCACGGCAGCTGAGGTCATATCTCCCGGGAAGTCGTTATCAGCTGCGAATTCTAGGGGTCCCAACTTTTTTTCCTTCACACAGAAATCAGCTCCGAGAAAACAGTGGATACAGTCTGCGAATTGGTCGCTCCATCACGGCCGGCCATTTGCTGGCTCTGGGATCTCGCGCCGCGCTTGTCTGAGATCTCTGGCCACATGGGTTTTTCTGGCCTTGTCATGTCATCTGCTGGTACCAGCGATTCCTCTCAGCGCATGGCTGGTTGTCTGCCCGGTCCGAACACGCACCCTGATGGCCCTTCCCTTTCTCAACGTTTCGTGTAATCTGCCATCATCATCCCGCTGATGAATCATGTCATTGCGCCCGACGTATATACTGCTTGGTGCGCCGCGGGTGCGAGGTGAGTTTTCCGTGTTTACTCTCTGCTCGCGCGACGTGACACTCTCCCTCTCATTACTCTGGCCTTGACTTGGAAGACTACACACCATGTCTTGGGAATTGAAGCGCGTCAGTACGCGCCAGACTTCGATGGCTGCCACGGCGCTCCCTCTGGAACTGCAGCAGCAAGTGTTCTCTTACCTCGATACGAAGTCGTTCTACATGGCGCGGAAGGTCTGCAAGTACTGGCACTACGCGTCGACAGATGCCGTGCCTTTGGCAAAACAACTAAGAAGGCTACCTATCCTCCCTCCAGTCGATGCGGCCGAATCGAATCCAGCCGAGCTCGAAGCGCTTTTCGACGAAGCGGCGCGATCACTTATGCTGGGAGTATCCACGGATCGCGCGTTCGACAAACCAGGGTGTCTTACACGAGCGTCGAAGATGGGATTCCCAATCACACCACGAGTAACGGCGACGAGCAATGGGAGCAAGACGGTGACGTTGAACGATCGGATGATTGCGTTGTTCGACACTTCCGGGAAAGAGCCAGTCTGCCTCGCCCAGCGAGCGTTGAACGATCTAAAGGAGACTGTGGGAAATGGCCCTTGGCTGCAGATCAAGCCCAATAGCTATAATGAGCTCGCCCTTTCTTCAGACGGCAGTCTACTCGCAATCGCACAAGAACGAACGATTCAGATCTACGACCTCCTAGCCGAACCGGACAGCTTTACTGTGAATGAGTACGTTTCTAGCGCCACGGGACACTACATCTGCGGCATCGATTTCGAACAAGACGATCACGTCCTGCGTGTGAGATTGAGTGGGAAAAGTGCTGTGCTATATCTGGGTACGCCGGCTGGCGAGGAGAAGCAAGGCCAAAAGGCGACATTGGAGCATTGGAAGAGCAAGGCGGGATTGAAACATACCTTCTTGGACTCGTCTCTGCTCTCGATCCAAGGAAAGACCAACGAGGCGGACCAAATGGCTCGCGTATCTGGCCTCCAATTACTGCAGCCATTCGTGGATGGATACCTGTTCGGTGCACAACGACATGGCGGCGGAGAGAGCAGTTACTACATCCTGGGGCATGTCAAGACAAGTGTCCCTCACAACACCGCAACCCTTGCTGTCGAATCGGCCAATGTAACAGTCCTGGCACGACTGGAGAGCTTCCTCAGCAGCTGGGACTTTACCCTAGAAGCATTGTCCGAACGAGGGATCGGTCTCTGGGAGAACATGCCCAGCGCCCACGAGCACCATCCACGATTCGCCATGAGCCCCGAAGGCAGCTATCTAGCACTGGCCGAGCGCGACAAGAAGAGAATCCGCCCAGCGCCCTTGACTCAGCTTTTCATCTACCGCATTCCCACCACGCAAGAACTCCGCGCAACCCTGACGAGCCACGAGGCTGAAAGGAAGGGTCGATGGACGACGCTAGCCGGCTTCCTCGACAAGTTGGAAAGCCAGAAGGGGGAATCAGAGCGACCTGCGCAATCGTCGTCTTTGGCGTCTGGCACCACCAGCAAGTACACCGTCCCACGCGTGCCTCTCTGCCTGAGCACGTTGCAGGGTGACATCACGGACCTGGCATTCAGCCGCGTCGACGAGGAGAGCACATTCTCCATCAGTGCCGGCACGGTGGAGACGACACGGACGTGGCTCCTGCAGGATTTGTGATGTGTGCTTCCTCACCGGCGCAAGTCATTTCTTGCGTTCCAAGATCGAGGAAAGGCTTGATTTTCAGGCGCAACATTCTTCCTCTTTCGACCATTGGCATAGGCGTTGAGAGGCGGAAGAAGTGGAGTTCGAAGGAGGGCATTCCTTTAAAGGAAAGGAAGAGCTTGGGCTGGATGCTGGCTGCGATGACCGCACAACATCTCCCATTTCCCGCGAAACGTGGTTGGTATTTTGTGTATTTGATGATGATATAGAGATACCCAGGCACATGTATAGACCGAAACCCCCGAGGCGCAATGAATCGAACCGAGCCCTCTATGAGCGCGCGGATGGATTTGCATGTTTAACATATGCACTCTTCGCGTCAAATACCTACTTCCCAAAACGGCGATTGTTGAAAGTCCCGGTTTGCCTTTGCGGCAGAGTGAGTGGCCCTATGTCCGGATCTTCGGTTGATTGCTGTTTATCATCATCGTTTTCAAACCGGCGTCCAAGAGAGTTGAAGCCGGTGTCTTGGGGGTTTTGGGGTGTGCATCAACATGGCTTGATTGATCGATGGTTGCGTTAGCCGCTGCTCCTACACATCCACCCCAAACAGAGGATCTAGTGATCAACAATCGCAAGGCGCGAGCGGGCGTCGGCCTTGCACATGTGTATCGGATTTCCTCTTCGCACGAGAGCCCGGCCTGTCGAGGATGGATAGCACAGGAGCTTTGAAGGACTACCTACTAATGCGGTCCATGCATGTTCGGCTGTGTGCTGGTTTGCTGATGATGAGAACGGCAGTAGTAGTGGTAGGTGGTATGTGAAGAGGAGTGCCTAGAAAGGAGACAGAGGCCGCGACGAAGCCCGATCACGACATACAAACGCAAGTGCTTTCCGCCTGTCCATTCCGTGCCATGGCATACCACCGGTCTAGCCTACCTGCGTACGAAGGTCCTCTTTACATCCGGTCCGGCGGTGATGGCGGACAGATGTGATGGTTTGCTCTCCTCATCGTTCAACCCCGACGAAACAGGTCCAGTGTGCGGCGACACAGCGCATCGAACCCTACCGCACGGAAAACAATGGGAAGTAGGAAGTGCACACTACTTCCCTCCTTCGCACTCAACGACGTCGTTCTTCGTTCGTTCTCCTCTTGCCCTCCCTTCCCTACTGCACTTTGACGATGGACGACGAGACAACTACCGCGTCCAGGCAAGCTCCAGCTCCAGCTCCAAGGCCAGCGAACAATGCCGACCTACCGGATGAATTGAACTACTGCAATCCTGGCGTACCATGTCGTCGGCTTCCAAGGAAACCACCCATCCATGCCAGAAGTTGTGAGTTTGCCGGATCGGATCTTCGGACAGACATATTTTCTCTCTTTCTCGCTCCTCGCTCTCACGAGAAGACGACGCCGTTGCTAGCTACTAATTAGAAGGAAGGCGGGAACAGGAAGGCAGGAAGTAGCTGGTGCAGTAGTAGTAGGAGATATGGAATTCCGACATGTGTGCTCTGTGCTGCTCTGTGTGTGTTTTGCTCCTGCAACGGAGTTTACGGCACTTGGTGCGTGTTTCGTGAAGGATGAACGAGGGCAGGATCCATGGCAGGATCACAGGGATGGGCTCCACAACAGGGAATCGAGACAAAACTCTCGTGGGCAAGACTTGCGATGTCGCTGTGTTTTTGCTGCGAGCGGTGCGAAGATGTCGTTTGTCGAGATGAGAAGCAATGGGGGCGGTGTTGATTCATCCGAACGAGCAAGGCAACGCCCGTATAGAAGGAGTAAAGGGAAGGCTTGGGTCGTACGTACGAGAGAGGTAGACGAACGCGACAAGGTTTCGTGGCATCTCTCGCACGACTACTCGATCCGGCAACGGTGCTGTGCAGTGCTCCAGTCTTCGGTTCGGAACTTGGCGTCAAGTTGCGACTGCGAGAAAGAGCAGTGTACGTACATGATCTGTGTTTCTTGCTCGGATTCGTAATTCCCCCAAGAACCCAAGGACACATGACGATGGACGCCAGCCGAATGTCTTGGTCTTGGACGTGGGGAACGGGGAGGCTGTGTGCTGTTTTTCCCCTGGTGTCTAGTGTCTAGTGTCTTTTCTGAGACACGTCTCAAAGGCAGGACCGACAGGACAGGACACATGATGAACAGCATCCCTCCCGCTTCCGTCGGTCGGTCGCGTGGTGTTTTGGAATTGCATTGCGTACGTATACGCACACCACAAGACTCCCGATGTACGACTTGGCGGGTACGAAGACGAAAAAGTAGGCAGCCATGATGTGGAATGCAAATCCCGCCATCGCATCCCATCCGCCTGTACGCGTATATCCAGCAAACCTCCTGAGTTTTTGGTTCTCCGATCACCATCTCCTTGTAGTTTAATTAGTGCATACGGCAATCCGCAGGAAAGCGTATAGCAGCACCAGCAAGGCAAGGCAAAAGAGAGAAGTTCATGCGACGCTTGTCTGGCCGCGGACTCCGAAAGTTCCACTGCTTGCCTGCTTGCTGCTGTTGCGCGGATCCGCATGGAACGGCGATGCAGGGCAGCCAGGCAGGGCATGGATGGATGGGGAAAGCTGGGCGATGGAAGTGGGACACGTCGTCCTCTTGTGCAGGCCAGTGCAGAAAATATGAAATGGAATTAGTGATGATGGAAACATTCACTTATTACTCAACGCTATTTTGCCTACCAATTCGAACTCCGCAATCAGACGTTGGAATAAGGCCAATGTAGCGTCAGACGTCAAAAAACAGTCAGCCACCGCACACAGTAATACGGAGTTCAATGGCATGTTCATCGCTGCTGCATGGCGACACTACTGGGACGCCTTCTTCACACTCATCTGCCGAGGTGTGGCCGCTCGACCAGACTACTGGGATGCTGTCTTAGTTTGTCAAGGATAGCGCCTCGCCGATTACCCAAAACGTCACATGCAGAACTCATCAGCATTCGACTATCCTCGTAAGCATTGGCGAAGAAGAAGATTAGTCTCAAGATCCGAGCGGTGTCGCATTTCAGCCCTGTGCAGCGTGCGGATAAGGGGCACACTGGACAACTTCCGGTGGGTGTTAAAAGGAGGGAGAAGGAAGGAGGCAGGAGGAGTGTGACATTGGGGATTCAAGCCTCCTAATCATACACTGCGTTGGTCTGGAATCCTTCTTCGAGAAACTCGGTATGGAGGTCTTGTTCGGCGAAGGACGTTGCGGGTCTTGATTCGCTCGCGCAGAGAGCCTGCGTTTTGGAAAGAAGGAGGAGCACAGATACGCCACCGCCATCTCCACCAACATGTTGTTGTTGGTTTGCTCTCTTGTCCTCACTAATCGCTCGATAGCAGCAGGCCCGCTTTCCGGCAGACAAATCATCGACACCGGCCAAGTTGGCCCCCATACATGTAGTATAGCGTGAACAGAGCCATTGCCCCGACCACGAGGTAAGCAATCCTGTTGCGCCCTTGCGTCTGGGACGAGCACATCAGTCAGCAGCTTAAATCCTCCTTCAACCTGCTCGACACTCACATGAGTAAGCTCTCGTTCGGGTCCTGAGTGATAGGGCTGTGAGCGGGCGTTGCTGTTGGTCTCCACCATGCCCTTCTCCAGCACATCAAGGTCGATCACCTCCGCAGCCCTGTCTCCAGAGGGGACCTCGGGAAGGGCAGCAATCGACCGCATGGAGAGTGAGAAATCACCCTCTTGAGTGCCGAAGAAACTGGAATCCGAATCATGAGCCCCAACTTTCGTCACCGAACAGGCAATGCCGAGTCCACTTTACCTGCGCATCATGATGCTCACGCGTTTGATCTTCTTCAGATCAATCTTCTTTGCATCTTTCTTGGGTTTGCCCCTATAGGTGGCGTTGAAGGCGCTCCAAGGAAGGAACACGTTTCGATCGTACGCATGGCCGGGTTCTGCTTGCGGTGGCAGCTCAAAGTCAACCTCGTATGAAACAGTCGATTGCTCGCGCCCGGTGTCTGGATCGATAGGGAGCAGTTCGTCCTTGAGATTGAACGTGTAGCGTTTCTGTTAAGAGTTAGCCAAACAGGAGCGCAACCCTAGCCCTCATCCACCCAATGCGCCCCCCTCCTCTGTTGCCACAATCCATCTCAATGAAAGAACGAGCACATACTTTGTCGCCTTTGGCAATGCATATCTGGATCCCTGCGTAGTCCGAAAGGTCCCACTCGCGATCGTCGCCAGTGGTACGTTGGCTGGCAAAGCCAGCGCCACCGAGCGTCTTGATATCGAGGGTGCCGTGGAAGCGGCCAATCTTGTCGGATGAAGATGTATCGAGGTAGGACTAAGATGCCACATTCACTCACTCGTCAGTCCACACCATCCAGCACCGGTCGAAAGCTTGCTAACAGAGTGTCGTCTACTACTGTACAGTGCGTACCTGGGACTTGCCGCCTCGCACGCGGTCGTCTGAAGCGGTCCAGTCGTGCGCGTTCCATCCACTGTTGATAGGGAAACATTTCTCTTAGCAAGCCTCTCAAGTCATCTCGTTTAGTAAACGCTCACACGTCGCCGCCAAACAGCGTGTACCGTTTCCGGTGGTCGGTAGCAGCCATGATGATTTCCGATGCAGCAGTGCGTGAAGATTGCTGTAACAGGCGTGCAGTAGTTGGTGGGATTGTTGGTCAAACCGCGTGCCCGATGATGTCGTCGACGGAGGGGCGGTTGTATTGGCGGCAACTCCCAGCCGGCGCAGCCCAAGCCCCAGTTTCACTCACACAGGCCACACCTACTTTCCAGCCTCGGCGGCAAAACGCCTGACCCAGACTCCTGCTGCTTCAATTGACAGCTGTGTTGAAGAACTTTGAAGCTACCACATTCCTGAACGGCGTTCCTCCAACTCTGTCGTGCGTTAGAGCGTAGGGCACGCTGGCAGCATTCACACTAGCCAACGATCCCTCCATCGCATCGCAACCTTGCCAGCGAGAAAACGCGAAAAAAGCCGAGCAGCAGGCAGTCCTCGGCGCCGCGCACACCGGGCTGTACAGGGCGAATGTGCGAGGTGCAGCGGCAGCGCAAGTCGACAAGTCACGAGCAACACGGCCAGCAGAGCAGCCATTCCCTCGTTCATCCGCCCGCCATTCACCATGTCATCGCAAACGGATCAACCCTCACGTTTGGCCCCGAGAGATCTACCACCGCTCGCGCCGATCGCCCGCACGAACCGTATACGACCCAACTCGGGGCTAGTTGGCGAATCCTTAGTGTGACTTCATGTTTAGAGGGCTCGAGGGCGCGAAGAATAATCATTGTTCCGAGTGGCAGGAGCGTGGACCGCCGTCGCCGTCGGCATGAATTCGTCTCCACTCCCTTTCGCGCTTTCGTGATGGGTGAGTTCTGGCTGGATAGGGCAGGAGAGCATTATGCGAACTTCGCTACTCTGCTAGTCAACACTGACGACAGCGACGGGTGCTGCACGGTGGCCGTATACCCATACCGCGTCGCCGAAATCCCCTAATGCGGTACTTGCTGGATTGACAGCCTTTGATCCCGCTTTAGCCAATGTCGCACCGTTTGCCTGTTTGAGTGAGTGTATCGTACAATAATGCGGCGTCGACTCATGACTCAACACCGTTTGGGCACAGGATTGACTGAGTCGTTCTTGCTTGTCTGTGACGAAAGCACGCGCATGTGATATTTCTCGTACGTTATACTGCTTCTGCATGCTAACAGTTGATGATGGTGGTGGTAGTTGCGGGTGAAAGCTTTCTGTGCTTTCGACGGCGACCGCTGGCCGTCCTGCAGCGAGCGTGCGACATGCCGCTCTTCCATGCAGCAATCTCTCGTCCAAACGAATGCTCAAAAAACCTCCCGTCGTGGAAAACATCTCATCTAGATTGAATCCATCAATAACCAAAACTCCTGCGCTTCAAACTGTACAACAAACAAACAATTACAAGTTTCCCTCCCATATGATGCATCGTAGACCGTATCATCATGAGCGGTCGTAGACAGTAAGTGGTGGCGTGCTTCGGAGCGATGCCGGTGTCCTGGGGTGGTAGTCTTCTGGGGGAGACCCGGCGTGCCAGTGCTCAGGAGATGCCTCTGAGAGTGGTGGTGTCTGGCCTTGCATCAGCCCCTGCGCGTCGGAAAACTTTGATGATTCCGGTGGTAGGAGGGTGGTGGCTGGTATCTACTCACATAAGGGATCTCTTGATACGACGGCATCTCGTTAATCGCAGCGTATGACATACTGAAGGGGTTCATTTCGTCGTCGCCGTAGAACTCCTGCTTGATGGGCGGCGAAGTCATGGTCTGGACCCCGTATGCCTGCTGGATGGGCAAGTATTGCGGATAGAGGGGGACTTCGGCCCCGGTGGCAGGTATGCCACAGTAGGATGCCGCCGAGTAAGCTGGGTAGCTCACACCTTCCGCAGAAGGAATCGATGCATACGAGAATGGAGGAGGCGATGTCGACAGTTGCCGTGTGTACTGTTGCGAGAACATGCCTCGGTCGTCTGAGGGGAGGACGTATTGCTGGGTGAGGACATCGGGAGTTCGCTCTCGTCGGCTGCCATGCGAGCTCTTTCGTTGAGATGAGGAGGATGAATTCGAGGGAATGGAGTCCGCGTGGGGAAGCTCTTCGTGCCTCTGCTCTGGAGAGGCTGAGCTCGACCCTGCTCTCCTCTCGAGGTCCTCCAGACGCTTCTTTAGCTTCTTGCCTGAGGAAGTTGTTAGACGATCGATCAGGCCATCGCAGACAAACCCAACGACTCACGGTAGTTCCTCTGAGCGATCCGGTTTTGTATTCTCCGTCGTTCTGCAAGGTCTGAGATCTTGGTCCAATCTTCATTGGGGTTGGCACTGGCACTGAAGGCACTGCTCGTGCTGTGTGCAGTTGGGTAGTGCTTCTGGGGAGCGGGAGCCGCGTATTGCGGGTAGGCGTAGCTCGAATGCCGTTGCATGATGATCAACCCTCGAGTAGTACGGGAGACAGAGAGAGGTGTAGGGTGTTGATCGAATAGGACAGGCAGACAGTTGAGGAAGTGCGTGTGTGTAGCAACGAAACCGGTGGAGGGGGGCTTCTAGGCTCCATATATCAGGTCACCAGCAGCGAAGGCATAAGGATCTCGGCGGAAACGATCCCTGCGTACTTGCGGGCTTTGGCCATGTGCCTGCTCCCGCCTCGCAAACCCCTGCTAAGGTTGCTACGAGCGTCGTATACGGATGGACCGCCCCCCCTTGCGAGCAGCCGTTGGAACTTGGACCCTGCACGGAAGGCGTGCATACGCTGGAAGGATGGATGCTGCGATATCGAGCAGCCCTTACGACCAAGCGAGCGGGCCGGATCCAGCGCAGCACAGCAGCACACCACCCAACCCCGCCGCTGGTGCTGCGCAACAGGGCTGAGATTTTACCAAGCTCGTCGCGAAGTCGATTACAAAGGCCCCCAGCCAGGAATAAACCCAAAACGTGCAGCGGCAAAAGTCGTGACCGAGTGCGAGTTGCGAGAGTCGGTGAATGGCACGTCATGGCTGCAGGCCTGCCTCCTCCTAGTGTTGGCTTGTATTGCGACCGGAGATTGTGTGAAGCCGCCTTCCATGCGCTTTGCAAATGCTGTGCCTAATCGCCCTGCTGGACGCGACATGCCATGGCTGCCGCAACGTCCACGCACCGCCAGCAGCAGCAGCAGACTCACGATCGACGGTGGTGGTATGCCGGACCGCGCCCTTGGCTCAGCATCAGTCAGTCCATCAGTCAGTCCGTCCGTCGATAATCATCTCAGTGACAGGTGTAGCAATGATAGCGATGCCGGCGGCCGACCGCGGGTCCGCAGGCGCTGCTGCTCCGTGGTGAAGATTTCGCGAGGGCATCCGCCGCGAGCTCTGCTCAGTGCTGTTGTGCGCTGCTTGCTGTTCCCGCTGAGACATGGAGGTGTTGGAGGCCACGCGTAGCGCGAGCGGAGGGGTTGGAGGTTGCCCGTTTGGCCAGTGCCGCTTCGCGTTTGGCATCTGTCTCCGCCTCAGGGCAGATCCTGTGGCAGCGCGGCGACCACTGCTGCTGCTGCTGCGTCCGGGGCGCCTGAGAGCCTCGCGTTCTGCGGTTAGGCCCTGGTGGCCGCCCTCACCACCTCACCGCTCTCCACGAGGGGGCAGCCCCTCGACGTGCTGGTTACCGCTGCGCGCCCTAGCAGGGCTCTGGAGTGGTATGGGGAACCTGCAGTCAGCCCTACGCACGACGGTCCAGTAGAAAGGCGGCGCAGGCAGAGGATTGTGCCAACGGCCGGTTTGTCATGCTCCCCAAATTTACCAGACGAATCGTCCGCACGCTCGGCTGGTCCCGCTCTAGCGGTCGATCACCACCAAGCATCTCGGTGTGCACCCAGCCTTACGGTGAGTTGTCAGAACCAAAATGATCAAGGTGCTCACTGGCGCAGGAAGCCCTCTGCCACGTGGAGACGGGGTGCGACTCTGCTGCACCACTTCTCCGACTCGCACACGACCGCCATGCTGCTGCGTTGGGCCCTCCATCAAGCACTCTCGCACGCACGCCCTTCGACGCTCGCTTCGAACGAAACTGCAGCTCGCGTACCACTAACCACCGCGAGCCCTACACGCCTCCAGCACTGCAGGACACTGGCGCAGAGCAGGCGTCGTTTCGGGCAATAGGTGAAATCATGCCCTCAGCCGCACCCGTCGGGAGACGCCTTTCAACTTTGACGCTTTTGGGGCGTCAAGAGCGAAAGGTTACAGCAAGTAGCTTGTCGCACGACCAAAATCGCAGCAAAATTAGCCCGGATTGGATGGAGGAGTGCGCAGTCACCACTACTACTCGCGCTGCAAGCTACTCCTTACAGAAGCACTGCAGAGGGCTTGGGCCATCAGGCGAGAGTTTGTCACGACGATAGCATCCTCCCGAATCCTTTCGAACCCCAGTGCCGAGCTAAGTCAGCAAGCCGACTGTCAAGTGCCATTCGTCGTGAAACGGTGCGTCTGCTCGTCAACTCTGATATGCCTTCTGGCGGGCAAGTCACACTGCCGGGCACGACACGCTGGCGCAGGAGTAGTGCGAATGCTCCGTAGCTTGCGCTGCTGTCGGTGATGAATGATCGGCATTGCCGTCGTCTGCTGTTCGGCGCTGTGATTCCAGGGCTTGAATCCTAGCGCGTAGGGCTGAGGATCGCTTAAGGTTTGCTGGGTGGAAGGAGTGAGGATTGGCTTCTGAACAACATCGACAACACTTCGCTGTCGCTCGCGAAGCTGCTTGGAGATCGCTTGGCGACGTGCTGCTCGCATTCGACGTGCAGACGACTGCCCCGTTGAGACGAGGGCCCGTCTTGGCTGGGCCGAGCAGCGCGCGCGCTTGCTGGCTTGCTCGCTCGCGTTCCGCGCCTTCACGAGCTGTTGCTGCGGTGCTCTCCAAGACTCGGAGCGCCTGGACTCGCAGTTCACAGGTGGAGCCGGACCAAGTTGCATCGCACCTCCCTCTCTGGCCACGGCCATCTAAACGGCCTCCGACCTGGTGCATCGGTCCGGGATTACTTTGCTTCGGCCAGACGTCCAGCTACGCTTCACTCTCGCCACGTGGAATGGGCCGTATCACAGAGTCTGTTGCTACTGCTGTGTAACTACGCTGCGTCCTGGGAGACGTCCGACGCCCATTACCTTCCTCTCCTGGATGGTACGCTGTTTCATTGGGGCACTCCCGCAATCTTCAGCCACTGGAAATCCTACCCCGTCCAAACTTTGTACTCCGGAGTCATGGACGAGATTACTGATGGTGGCCGCTGGTAGCGAAGAAGCTATTTCCAAGTCGGTCGGCGACTGAAGGCAAGTGCCAAGTCGTTCACTAAATGTTTATTCCATGGAGGCGCTGGCTAATTCAGGAAAGTAGCGTGTAGGTCCCAGATATAGCGTTGCTCGAATTCCTGATCAGGCTTCTTTGCCCGCAAAATACCTCTTTTGGTGACTTGCTTCGCCACTGAACGATTCCACGCTCATCGATCCAGCATGATCTCCAATCTGGTGCGATGGGGAAGTTGTGGTATCAAACTTCACATTCGGAACATTCTTCACTCAGGACTGGTCTTACTTGAGCGATATTGACTTTTCAGATGCAAGCTTGTTTCCCCAAGGCTGATCGGAGAAGCATACGCTGTTGACTAACCCCCAGTCATCCTCTACCAAGCTGCTGACCCGGGAATGCTGGATCAGAGCCGCTTCCTTTGTCCATTCGGCTGGGACAGTCAAAGGGTCCTACGATGACAACCTCTCCTACCTGCCGAGTGCCGACCTTCGCCGACTAGTTTGCGACGTTGTACAAACTCCAGAAGACCTAATCCGTAAATAAAACGCTCAGTCATCAAGATTTGTCAACTTCCCTGGCTGGACGATGATTATGATTGCTGGAATGACCCTGGTTCACGAATTCCAATTGGCCAGTCGGTTCTTGTTGACAGTTTCAACAATCCAACACCGCTTAGGGTCACTCTCACCCTACCCTGACCTCTTCAACTGAATCGTTGTGTACGACAAGGTCGATTGATCTTCCGTTGATTACGGAGGAGTTTAGACACGACAAGTCCAGCTCATCAAGGGCATTCAGCCCAGGACGTTGATTGACCGCCTCGTTTCACGACCTGGTCCCTTCGACAAAGGCGTAGGCCTCTTCTGTTGATCTCCCCCGAGCATTCCCTCATTGTGGTTGCAGCACCGCATTGTCAATCGGCGCAATGACTTTGTTGACACAGAGCACGGCATCGCGCGGTATTGCGGCCTCCTTCCAATGAACTTCTTGCTAATCTTCGCTTCTCGACAAGATTCTTCCTTCAAGACCCTTAGTTACTCAAACTCTGAGGGTTGCGCGAGCCCACAAAATGGATTGTGGTGACGACGATTTCGACATTCAGAGTGGTCTCCTACCGCCAGGTATTCAGCTAACGCTCCATTTTCATTGCAGTGGAGTGTTTGATACAACATGATTGTCGTCCGCGGACTGTCCCCGGACGATCAGGAATCCAGGGCGACGTCGTCCGAATAGCACCTTTGTCTACCGTTCAAGAAACATCCTTTCAGAACGCAGTTGATCCATTGCGACTCAGACTCAGATTCGGGATGCTTGGTTTGGAAAGCCTAGCTGTAAGCTGAAATCAATGGCACAGCCATTGGAGGTGTTAATGAAGTTTGAGGTTGATCCTGATGAAGTCATGCCATTGACTCTCTCACTCAGATCGAAGCAACGCGTCGAACGATGGCCAACTGAATCAAACAGACAATTGACCAAACGATAAGCACAGCTGAAATCCCAGAACATCAGGCCTAACAAGCAGCCCATGTTATTGCGGCACCACGTGGCTCCAGAGGATTCTGAACCATGTTCGCACCCCAGAACCTCAGTCGCATAAACGACCGACTTCACCTGGCCCCCAAAACGCGAGTACGAAATTGGTAATAATGCTTTGGTGACTCGCCAAACAGCGAGCTCCGCCCTAATCACGACCTCAGTGCGCTGCCCAAAATCCTTCGCTCCACAAGCTCTCAGGGTTTCAGGTTTTTCAACGGAGCAGACCTCGGACACGCATTCATCAATCCTCAATAATTTCAGCCGCACGCAACGAACCCAGCAATTCGTCACAGACGCGATCGAAGCGAGACAGCCGCCGCCTGCTCATTATACAGCAGCACCTGCTACTACGAGCCGCTTACCCCAAGGCAGAGAACGACCAAACGGAGATATCCCTATAGTCCCGCCGATCATCACAAAGCACAAGAGCAAGAAAAGTCTCCGTGGAGATCGCTCGCTAAGCCCGGGGGAGGACTTTCAGCACGGCTGCTACTGGCAGCGATAGCCTACTCAAGAAAGTCTTGCTTTGTCACAGCCTGCCGAGAACTCAGAACGACGTGCGTGGCAATCTCAAGGACGGCACGACGAACAAGCACAAACAAGCACACCGGTCGAAGTCAAAGTAGTCAAGAAACGGGAATCGACTATACCCTACCAAGATCTCAAGACACGCACCATCGAACAGGCAGAACGATTTCGCCCCCAAACGCAGCAAGCCAACCTCACTCCAAAGCAACCGCAGAAGACGGACGGGATAGCGGCACCAGAGACCTCACTTTCTCAGCCCCCAAACCATGCCTCGCCCAACCACAACCCCAGCACCAGGCCAAACCTCCCTCACAGCCCTCATCCGCTCCATGTCCCCCACCCCCGACCCCACAAACACAACCTACGTCTTCGCCCACCTCCCCCATTCCCAAACCTCCCAACTCCACTCCCTCCTCACCCACCCCTCCACCCCCATCAAAATGCTCTTCCACGAACCCGAAGCCTGGACCCTCATTCTGCCCCAAACCACCGCGGAAAGCGAGGGGTTGGAGTACACGTTCCCGTGCAAACTGATCACGTTGAATGTGCATTCGAGTTTGGAGGCCGTGGGGTTTTTGGCGAGGGTGACGACGCGGTTGGCGGAGAAAGTGGGGACTGGCGTGAATCCTGTGAGTGGGTTCTATCATGATCATTTGTTTGTGCCGGAGGGGTTGGAGGGGAGGGTTGTGGAGGAGCTGAAGGCGATGGCGAGCGAGGAGGAGGAAGTTTGATAAGGGCTTGTGAATGGTATAGAGTCATTTCCAAGGGTACATATGTCGTTGCGGATAGCATTGCAAGTCCTGAATCGTTAGCCACGTTCAAAGCGTCCTCCTGTTTAAGTCCTTGCTTTGTGAAAGTTCTGTTCTCCTTGCCGACTCGTCCCTCACGCACCAACCTCCACCATCCTCGACAGCGCTTCGTCCACACCAATACCCACGCCAAACTGCTCTATGGCATCCTGCGCCTTGGGAACACCGATCAAAGCAATATTGCGAGGCACGACCACATCAAGAACATCGAAGCAGCCAAACGCCACGAGCTTCTTGAGGTTCGGACAACTCTTGAAGATGCCAGCGATGACGCTGTTGTCGACGCGGTTGCAGAAGCTGAGGTTGATGTACTCAAGATCGGGGTAGTTCATCGCGCCGTTGAAGACGTCCATGAAGGCAGAGAGCTCGATGTGCCGGCATGAAGCGATGTCGACGTGCTTGAGGTGAGGGCCTGAATGTGCCATGAGTGCTTTGAAACCTGCCGATGCCATGCCGATAGCGTCCTCCGGGCCGTCTGGGTTGTTGTTGTCGACGTCCCGAGTGGAGTTGAAATCAACGAAGGTGAGCGGTGGGTTGGTCCAGTCTGTGAAGAGCGCTTCGTAACCTGCATCGGTGATGGTGTCGTTCTCGCTGATTCTGAGCTTGGTGAGTTGCTGGGAGGAGGTCTTGATCGCCTCCAGAACAGAATCATCAGCGTCCAGGAACTTCTCGAGCGAGAGCGTGCGAAGATTGGGTCCTCGCTTGTTGACCAACTGTACTAAAGCCGGCGTTGGAACCTCCTTGTTCATCATGAGAGACAGATGCTCGAGCTTCGGCATGTTGGAGATAGCCTTGACGGCACCCTCGCCAATATTTCGACACAGCTTTAACTTGAGTCTTCCCAGATTTGGTGCGTGTTTCGCCAACTCCTTAACTGCCAGATCGTCGAATGTCGCATCCAACCACTTCAGCTTCAACACCTCCAGATTCGGGCCTGCTTCCCTGAACACTCGATACCACATGCTGTCAGAGACGAGGTTCGCGGCGTAGAGGTGGATATAGCGAATGTCCTGGCACTTTTCCAGCAGGTAGTCAATTGCAGGATCCTTGAGCTGGCAAGCATTCGAAAGCACAAGCTTCTTCATCTTCGGCACCGTGGCGAAGATCTTCTCGTAATCTTCCTCTTCCAAATATGCAGCTTCGTGGATCATCACAGCGTCCAGGTCTGGCCGAAGGAAGAGAGGCAGTGTCTTCGGCCTGAGCACCCGCTTCTTAGAGAAGATCTCGCCCAAGCGTTCCAGCACCGGCTGAGGCATATCCCCAAATTCGTCGACATCGTCGTGGTGCTGGGCGACTTTGGCAATGCAAAGCTGCTGGAGTGACTTGGCACCGCCAACTGCGATACCGTCCAGCCGATCGCTCTCAGCCTTTCTCCTCTTCCTGCCAGCCGGCTTTGACGCAGCCTTCTTCTCTGTCTTCGCATCCTTCGCCATCTCCTTGCCGCATGGGGTACACAGAAGCCCGCCATCAGGACCCTCTTTGCTATACGGCGTGACCGTGAAGCGCTTGTTGCAAATATCGCAGTGCTCGAGCTGGCCTGGCAAAGGGCGTGACTTCTTATACATCTCCTTCCCCAAGCCATCGTCATACTCTGACTCGTCGTCCGAATCATCTCGCTTCTTCTTGCTCTTCTTCGCCTTCTTCGCCTTCTCTTTCTTCACCTTCTCGACTGCCTCATCCGTCTTGCGCTTGCGCTTCTTGGACTTCTCGGCCTTTTCCTCCTTTTCAGCGGCCTCGGCTGCAATGGCAGCTGCTATCTCCTCCTCATCGACCTCTGGTGGTGTTGGGACTGACGAGCCTTCGCCGGCATTCTCGTCTTCATCGGTGGCTTGTCGACGTCGCTCGTACTCATCACGAATCTGGGCAGCGGAGATGTTGTTGGCCTGCGGTGAGTTAGTATTGCGCTCTTGTGCTAGTGGCTACAGTACATACGGCAAGGAAATCCGTCAATGCGCTTTGAGGGCCGCGGATGCGATTGCCGCCTCTTCTGCCCGACATGATGTGTGCGACGACCGTGTATGGCAGTGTTGTAGTGTCGAGAGAAACGTGTAGAGGAAGGAGGCGGCAATGTCTTTGAGACCCTGAGGGGCGAACTTTCCGCGAGCGACGCGCTTTGGTTCACGCTGTCACGTGAGCACTTTAATTCGACATTCACCTGCCCGTCAAAGCTCGATGAAACACATGCGACTCTTTCATGCTCGTAACAGATTCTTATACTATAGTATATCCAAATATTTATACATGTGTCCCTAATTGAAGTCCGCTTGTACTTTGCCGTAGGGAAGTCCATCCACACGCAACTCGAACACGAGATTCGCACTCTCGATCTTCATGTGCAGCTCGAAATCGAGATTGTCAAATTCGATGTTCTTCGTGGTCGTCAAGCGCGAGAAGAGTCCTTTCGGCACGGCATTCAGATCCGTCGTCAATGTGCATACTTTGAAGAGGTTACTCTTCCAAGAATCTGGGGCTTCATCGTCATCGCAGGCGATCAAGTCATCTTCCACTATCAGAGACTGGCCAGGACGGAAGTTGCGTGTCTGCAGAACAGAGTCAGATGAGTGCCAAACCCCAGGTCAAGACAAGCGAGTAGACATACGTAGTGGAAAGATATTGGCTGGTCGGCGGAGATGGGAGTGCCCTGGAGAAAGTCAGTCAGGACAAGCGAGAAAGTGTAGGAGATACTGCCCACCTTGGTGACGTGCCATTGCATTCGATCGGCAACCATCCATCGTTCCCACAAAGGACTCCAGTATCGGTCGCCCACTGGATGCTTTGTTTCGTCCCAAACGGTTGCGTAGCTCGTCCCATAATGCCATCGACTTCGCCGCTTCTCAACCAAGCTGCCTTCTACACCCCTTATGACCGCCCCTCGCACAACTGCCGTCCAAGCATGCAAAGGCTGCAGCACTTCAACACTCTGCTGGGGCGCTAGGGCGGCTTCATGCGTCGGCGTTTCGGTGTACTGAGGCGGAGGTGCCGCGTTGAAATGCTGTTTCAGTCGCGTGTAGAGGTAGTTCGACTGACCAAAACCGCCCACAAGAATGATTCCGGAGACGTTGCCGCCTCTGTCCCGAATTCCTTCCACCTGTCCATCAACCAAAGCCATGACTTCGTTGATGATGGGTTCAAAGATGTCTTTCACCTGCTCAGAGGTCATGACCAGGAATCCACTGTCCAACCCTGCCTCTTCGTCATCTGGCAAGCCAGGAAACGGGACGTTGACCTCTGAATGCTCCTCTTCGTTGAAGTTTCGCTTCACGAACTCCTCGAAGTACTTCAAGCCCATCATCCATGTTTTTGGCTTCTTCTCTCGCATTTGAATGTACCGCTCTTGACCTATCCGCTGCCTGACATGGTCTTCGAATCGGTAGTTCAAGAACGCAGACCCACAAAGCCCTCCTGTACCGACCGCACTCTCTTCCACTCGCAGAGGATAGACCTGGGTGACCTTATATGCGATCAAATCCACTGTCCCTCCGCCAGCATCACAAACCACAAAGTTGTCTCCCTCTTTCAGTCCACTGGGCTGTATTGTCTTCAGCGTGTAGACCGCTGCAGCTTCCGGCTCGCTGATCAACTTCAGCTTATGTCTATTACCCATCCCTGCTCTTTCTGCGGCCTGCAACGTTGCATTCTTAGCTGCGTCCGACCACACCGCGGGCACAGTCAGAACAAAGTCCACTTTCGTTGTCCTCATGAACCCTTCGCCGTATCGTCTCGTCATGGTCTCCATCGTGTGCTCGTATATCTTCGTCAAGTAGTCCGTGACCGCATCCATCACCGTGCGACCGCATGTTCGCAATTGAGCCGCCGTCTCGAGGGGGCTGACGAAGTGTGGGAGTTTCTGGTTTCGATCGAGGAAGAGCTTGATGCAGCGTAGCCGAGTCTCTTCGGGTTTGAACTGGAATCCCCATCGAACAGTTGTTTGCACTGTGCCATTGACATTGTGGTCGGAAGATCCATCTGGCGTTGGGGCAGCTGCGTTCACGTCGTAGGAGATCTCTGTGGGGACCTTGTCGGACGTGATGCCATTGCCTCCAGGCCAGGTCTTGATGATGTCGACATCGTCTGGAGTTGCACTGTACACAGCAGCAACACCGCTGTACGTCGTGCCAAAGTCCACGCCAACGATCAGCCTGTCTTCTGGAGGGGGGTGGCCATTGGTGTCGTCAATTAGCGTGAGAGCAGCAATGCTTTTCTCCACGCTTGTCCCATTCATCTTCGGCCTTGCTTCGCTGTTGTCGGCATTTCGTGTCATCTGGAGGGCGCGTGCAGTGTCACTTTGTTTACTCGGTTGCCTGATGAGTGCAGAATGTCGTTACCTGCTTCCCCAGGACATCCTTTGCAGGAAAAACAGCAGGAAGACAGCACCGTTTCTCACCCACGAGCTGCTTGCGAGTCGTCGATAGAGGACAATTTCAACTGCCAGTGTTTTAGGGTTAACGTGGGTTCAACTGCTCCGCTCGTAAATGATCCAGGGCGGAAGGGGAATTCCTCTCGAGCCGGCCTCACAGAGCTCTCTCAGCCGGTTTCTATATAAATCGCATGAGCGCGTCCGGTTGTTGGTAGCATTGGTACCGGCCTGCAAGCCTCCTCACCAAGGCGTCCGTGGCGGGGTGGTACACGATGATGCCAGCAGTCGAGACGGTGAAGTTGCGGGAGAGCAAGGATGTGAGCCTGACCTGCCATGTTCATGCGGTGGAGATCTGGGGCCGTTGGAGCTTGAAACCTTGATAGTCATTTTGGGTTCAGCCTTGATCCTGTTGCTGCTGCAGGCGACATGTCCGGAATACACGCTCCGGACGACACCGACACTGGACATGCAGTTCCAGATCGACGCTCGTTTCGCTGATGAGGGCGGTGAGAAAAGCCGGATTGCTTAGATGAAGAGCAAGACCAGTTTTGGCTGGTGCTGAGAACTTGCCCACGGACTTGGAAGAGCCGCCCAATACGTTTCTGTTGCATCTCCCAATGGCCTGAACCTTGCAATTAATATTGGGGTACTTCGATAGCGGATGCGGGACCGTCTTCTTGCGGACCGCTGGTGACAGTCATGGTTCAGGATCACAACGACCCGAGTAATAGAGAAAGTTCAGTCACAGACGTCTCGTCACCCCCTGTCACAAATGGCGACGACGGCATCGTTGGTGAGAATGGAGGAATCGGTGGAGGCGAAGAATCCGTCCTTGCTGGCGAGGACGACGAATCCATGGCAGGCGACGGTAATGGCTCGAAAGACAGTCTTCGACGGACGAGCTCCAAGATCGCAAACTTGAGATTGGCGTTCGAGAAGCAGAATGATGGTACATCGCCGAATGGCAAAAGTGTGTTCGAGAGAAGTCCAGCGAGAAGTCGAGATCGAGGAGGGGACATGACCAAATTGAAAGAGCAGCACGAGGCGGAAATCGCGAAGATCAAGGCACAGCAAGAGGTTGAGGTAGCGCGACTCAAGGAACAACATCAATCAGAGACTGTCAATCTCAAGCGGCAGTTGGGGACTGAGGTGGAAATGCGACAAGCGTTTGAGGACAAGTGTACGGGTCTTGAGGAGCAGATCGAAGCACTGCAGGCGCAGGTGGCACGCAAGGGCAATGAACACGAATCTGAGCTGGAACGAAGAACGACAACTCTGCAGCAAGAGAAGGTTAAAGCACAAGAGGACGCCAACAACCTGCAAAAGCAACTCTACGAACTCAAACGAGGCATCTCAACATCAACGCGGATAGACAACGAAGTGTCAGACTCGAGCTTCACGCAACAGTTCCAGAATCTCTACCACGAGACACAGAACTGGGTGGTCAACAACTATCGCAAAATCAAGGTCGAGAAGACGAGCGAGGAGATATGTGCTCTCTTGCAGAACATCGCAGAGCCCAAGCAGCTCGAAAACCTGGAACCGATCTTTCGAAAGTTCGACTCATCGATAAAGCTCGCAGCCTTCCAAGCCACAGCAGTATGCTACATGATGGAGATCTTCAACGAGCCACTCCTCTTCGGGCTTCCTAGCCAACAAGACTGGCGAAGGAGCATCAAGAAAGCAGCCGAGACCCTCCCGGCAGTCCTCTCGCCGGCATCTTATAACAAATGGCGTTCAGTCACGACAGATGCACTTCGGCAAAGCGAGAGTGAAGAAATCAAGACGTCTCTCGAATCCGCGGCGAAGAGCATGGCGGAGATGATATGCATCACGCTGAATACACTAAGTGATGCGGAGGACTCTGCGGCGAGGGTGACTTCGTTGCAAGCGATCCTCAAAAGGACTGTCTCTCTATCTCACCTCTTTCGCATCCAGCGCGCGAGATATGAATTCGATCTCCCGACACCTGGAAGCACTTTTATGCCCGGGAAAATGGAGGACGCTTCTGTTGCCGATGGTGCTGCTTCGTCAGAGCGCATGGTTCGATGCAGTACCTTTCCTGGTGTTGTGAAGATTGGCGATGAGAATGGCGAGAACGGTGAAGTGCGCCATATTGTGATGAAGGCCATGGTTGTTTGCAGTGGCTGAAGGGAGACGATGCTACAATTGGGATTCCTTTTACTTCGCTGTCTGGGTTGTCCATCATGGTCCAACCCGCAAAGCTGGACACGACTGACTGGCCTCGAATGCTACGACGTGATAGCCCAACAGACTACCATGATAGCTTCCGTCTTGTCATAGCTACGACTCCCTTCGATCGCAAACGGCAGCACCAAATCCCAAGAGAAGCGGTCCGCGAAGAACAACCATCCCCTCGCAAGAAGAGCCGCGAACGACAAGAACCTCGGCTGTCCGGATGCGATTGTTCCGTGAAGGAATTGGTCGTCCTTTTGGTGGCGATGATGGAGTGTGGAGTTCGTATGGAGATGTGGAGAAGGAGGAGAGTGGGAGAGTACATATGGACTGTATTCTCTCCATGACCGTTCATGGTCCGACTTCTTCGATCAACAGTCTATACAACATCAAAGTCTACAGTCGATCAACTAAGCAACCAATATGCAACGTCAGCAAACCCTCGCCTTCCTCCTCACGCTCTTGACCTTCTCCCTCGCTGCACCTCTCGAAGTCGAAGAACGTCAATTAAATGGCATTCTGCTATGCCCATTGACAGGCACACCGCTGTGCGATGTTCAGTGCCAGCTGATTACGCAGTCATGCGGGCAGTGTGCTCCAAACAAGTAAGACAACAATCCATACGCAGTCGGTTATGCAGTATACTGATGCCGTTGTTAGTAAATGCTATTGCTGCAACGGGACGATCTTGAATTGAGGGAATTGTCTGGGCTGGTGTTTGGGATCACAGAGAAGAGAGACTGTTGTCAACGAAAGGGCTGGACGTATTTCAATGGCATTATACGGGAGCTTTTCTACCGGACCCGAGTCTTTGCAAGGCCGACGGGTGTCTCAGAAAACAATCAGAGAATACTTCAGCAGGGCCCTCACTAAAATTATGGTATCCTATCGAGTAGCGTCCAGAAAGAGTCTTCTCGTCAGGAACGTGACGTCCGTCCACGATTTTCTCTATTCCATGGTCTTCAGCCTACCCTATCATCAATCAAACTTAAGACCTGTTGTCTTCGCAAACACCACTTGCTCCGTCATTGGGCCGGCATTTCTGTCTTCATTATAGACTGTTTGTCTGCTGGCTAAAATTGCTCAATGCTGAAGAGGGCTGATCTTCTTTTCTCCATCTTCTTACACAAGTGCTATATGGAGTCGGATTGAGTGCGTGTTGTGCTTATGCCTACCGCAAGTCAAACGGAGACAATGCTCGCTCACAGGTAGCCAAAATCTATAACACTCTGAGTATTGAAACGAGGTTCGAGATCAGGACGTGGGCCCTGACCTATCTAAAGAGCGCCTAAAGCGCTAAATAATAAGGTAAAACACCGTCGACGAAGTCTCGATCGACCGGAAAGAAGGCGCCTCCACGAGGAAAGTCTCATTGACGCGGTGACTGGGGGTAGTCTCTTTGATCCTATAGAATTTGGAGAGGTCGCAAGCGGTTTTCTCGGTCCTGGGCAAGCCAACGTGTCGTTCGAGGATCCATAAAACGGTGGTGGAGGTCGAGAGGCTTTCCCAAAGGACACTGCTTTGCACATTTCGATCACCTGAGGAACACATCAAGTCGCATGGCATGAAAATCATTCAAGAAGCGCAAGTGAAACTTGACCAGGGAGCCTGGAGCTTCTCCATCACTCAAACTTGCAACGTTAATAAGCCCAGAATCCGTGCCATTCACTACATAGGAGACGGAGAGGTCGTTCCCAGTACAGATCGCCCTTGTTTTCGTGAATCTCGAAGACCGTAGTCCGTCTTTACTTCTCAAACTTTGTACAATGCTTTCATCCCTTTCAAAGTCTCCATCTAGTGCTTCTCTGGTCCTTGTCGGTACAGTCGCAGGGTCTTGTCAACCGCGAGCTTGCGGCCCAAGCTGTAGACGGCGGCGAAAATGGCAGCTGCCAGGACAACACCGAGGGGGATCAACTCCGGTGGGATCTTCTTGAGCGTGCGCAGGCGCTGGGAGATTGTGTGGGCTGGATGGTCTCGTTAGTCTCGGCGTTTCGGATGGGTTCGTGGGTGCTCAAGTACCGCGTTGTTCCTCAGCCTGGTGTACTGTTAGCTTTCGTTTCTCACACATCGCATTCGCATGTCACCCGTACCGGAGCCTTTGCCATTCTGAGGCCAGACGTTCTGAAGCCCCTCGTGGCTTGGTTGCGGAGCATTGGCACAGCCCGTGTCCGGAGCATGGCGGCAGCTGGCTGCGAGCGCAGCATATTCGAGGCGAGTGATCGTGTCGACTGCATGGCGGCGAGCAGAGAGGAGAGGGTGGAGTGGAGAGTCAATGGCAGGAGCTCTTCGCAGTGAGTGAGGTGAAGCCGTTCAATCAAGCTCGCTCGAATGACATGCGCACGGGCCTCCGCGGCTCGGCGAGCTTGCCGCTGGCTGCGAAGGAGAAGGGCATCATTGACACTTCACCTGCCAAACACCCACCACTGCGGCGACGAAGCACCCCCTCTACCCTCCGATCAAACACCCAATATCACCGCCAAAATGTCTGACGATGAGGAGCGCGTCACCATGCCTTTCAAGTTCGTGACTGGTACGTATCCCGCCCTCTGCATGTGCATATGGAAGCTCCGCTAACCACTTATCACAGCCGGTACGTATGATTGAACACCTCCAATGCCTCGAACGACCTCTCTGGAACACATCGGAGCACCTTTATGGCTATGCGAGCCCAATTGACATCCTCTCAGGCTTCGATGCCCGCTTTCCGAACCAGAACCAGACCAAGCACTGCTGGCAAAACTACGTTGACTACCACAAGTGCATCCTTGCCAAGGGCGAGGACTTCAAGCCATGCCGCCAGGTATACGCGAACATCTTGTGAGGAGGGATCTAACATTGACTTGTGTACAGTTCTTCCTCGCCTACCGCTCACTTTGCCCGGCTTCTTGGACACAGAGATGGGATGATCAGAGAGACGCCGGCACTTTCCCCACGAGATTGGATCAATAGATGGGATGATGCGATGATGCGTGGCATTGAAGGAGTGGTGGAGTGAAGGGATACAACAGCTTGAAGTGGAGATTCAGCTCAATCGCAGTGTACATACGCGCCCGAACCGATCAAGAGAAGCTGCCGTCCCAAATCCCACTGCGAGGTATTCTAGGGTCCCTCCCATTCTATGACACAAGGTCTATGGGCCTTTCCCAAGCTTGTGCCTTCGAGCCTTCCATCGTGAATTTGGACGATATCCACGATTTTGAGACGATTGCACCTCTAGGCCAACGAACCGTGCTTCGCCGATTCTTACCGACATCACATGTCTCTCACGCCATAGATATCGCCACCATCTTGCGACTCAGACTTGCCACACTGGACTGAGCCAACAATGCCCCCTCGCCTGGTAGCTCATGCTGGAGCGAGGGAGCAAGCTGAATGACCACTGCGGCGCCGTCGTCAGTCCCAAGTACCAAGGAAGTCTGTGTGAATGATGCTAAAACGGTAGCCTTTGTAGCCCTTCTCCTTCATTTTCGAGGTAGGAGATATGTGCATGTCGAAGGTCGATCACTCGTTGCTGAATGCGATTGAAATTCACCCTGCTTCGTTAACTTAGAGCAACAGACAAATGCCAATTTGATGGTCTTGACCGGGGACCTCTGATCACACTGCCGATTCTGAGAGCAAGCAGCATGCAAGACCGCATGCTGCAGACGTGTTATCTTCATCACGTGCCTCCGCGTTGCGCGACATGGATTCAGGGAAGTCGCTCCTCGCTCCTGCCCATTTATGAGACGCTCGCGTCATGGCTGCCTGAGGACCGCATCTGGGCTTCTCGACTTTGACTTCACTTCATGCCATTCCGACTCTTCCTCACCCAGACAGCACCTCCAACTCAATCGAGGACCACAGACTGCGAAGCCGACAGCGAGAGAGCCATCATGCCGGTCACCTTGAGCGCAGGTCTTGCTCTGTGAGTACCGGTGGACATGGGTCTTCTGCAACCAGCACTGACATCTCAACAGAGCAGTACCCGTCAAATCAGACCTGCTCGGCGAGCGATTGGAGGCTTACTCCATAGTCGTCCCCGTCTTGCGCGCCCTTCGACGGTGTCATCGCTTCGGCAAAGGTCCAAAAGTTCACGTCACCAAGCTTCCGGCTGAGATCGAGCTTATCATCGAGGGCCTCATCATCCGTGACAGACAAGAACGCTATCGCGACTTGTCTCGTTGGAAAGATGCATTCCGTCACTACGAGGGACACTGCTCGCCCATGGACCACATCAACGCCTCCCCATTGCACGACAGAGCAGAAGACATCGACCAATGCAAGAGCTGCAGAGAAGCCGAATGGAAGGATCCAGCAGCTTGCGAAAACAGATGTGAAGACGGAAACGCTGATCAGTGCTGGACTTGCTCACAAAAGTGTGACCCCGGCAACTGTATGCGCACTTGTCGTGCCCAGATCAACGAGCACGTGAATGACATGGTCTTGCAATGGGAACCCGGTGTTGACCTGGACGGCGATTGCGAGTCTTGGGAGAAGATGATTGACCAGAAAGGCGACTTTGCCAAATATCAAAAGGTAACGCTTCCTCCGCCACCACGCTCAGAGCGTCGCCGACTCATGAAATTTTGAAGCCAAGCCACTAAATTCTTCAGGTACTTCGCCAACATTTTGGTCTTGATGTCTTCCTATCCAGCACCAGGATCGCTAGGCAAGATCATGCCACTTGGCCCCGCCACCTCAACCACGACTGGCGCGACAAGCAGTCGCTCAAGACCACGCTTTGCTACCTCACACTGGCGGGACAGTTCGCCGATTCCAAGACCTACGAGGAGAGTGAAATGGAGGCTGACTGCGGCGGCGGAGTTTTCGACATGGCGCAGGCTATCCCCATCAAACCGTTGAAACGAAAGGGAGATGCAAAAGCAAGCAACCGATTTCGCCGTGCCATGAACATCCTGGGTCTGGAGGTGTATCTTCATCCAAGCCAGCGAAGCTCCTTGGTCCTACCTGATCACGAAGATGATGACAATGTAGAAGACCCGAAGGAAAACTGCATTGCCGGCAAATCTTGGGGTATGTCTGCGCCTTTTGCAGCCGAAACCGCATACTTACCTGTACAGCAGCTCGCTCCGCAAATTGGCCCAGACTGGTACTCCTCGTCAAATGTGGTTTTGGTGGATGACACTGATTGGCAGACGGAGACTCTGATGAAATCCGCAGTTTGCTCGCGAATAATATAGCTTCGTTTTAGCTACATCAATCACACCGAGTAGCATCCTTTAAGGTGGCACGAACACTATCGTCTCATCGAATTCATGTTCCACATGCCTTTCTTACACCTCCTGCTTGGCCTCCACTGCCTCAACCTTCGTCAAAGGTCCGTTAAGCACCATCAAGCTCATGACCTCGTATAAAGTGTCCGCCGCCGCCATGGTTGTCAGCTCTGCGTTGGTATCGTACGCCGGCGCGACCTCGACGATGTCAGCTGCCACAAGATTGATGCCCTTCAAGCCCCTAACAATAGTGCGAAGCTCTCTCGTAGACCAACCACCCGTCTCTGGAGTACCCGTCGCTGGAGCGAAAGCTGGATCCAGAGTGTCGATATCGATGGAGAGGTAGACTGGGTTCTTGTGGCCCACACGCTCGTGGATCTTCTTGACGATGCCCTCAGTGCCAATGGTATCGATCTCACGAGCTTCAACGATGTGGAAGCCAACGTAGCCATCGTTGTCGTAGTCCGACAGACCACTCAAGGTGGTACGGATACCAGCATGGATGTTGGTGTCGTTGCGAAGGAGACCCTCCATTGCCGCATGGTAGAAGTAGGTGCCGTGGTTGATGCTGGCGATCTTGGAGGGTGCTCCTCCGAAGACCTTCGGCTTCCAGGTGTCGAGATGGGAGTCGAAGTGGATGACTGTGATGGGACCATAGGCTCTGTTCATGCTCCTGAGCAAAGGAAGCGTGATCGTGTGGTCACCTCCGAGGGTGATGACTCGTGGCAGAGTCTTGCCGTGCTTGGAGATGCCGGCCTCGTCTGCACTCGTTGCGGGAGCTCGCATGAGGATGCTGTTGTGGCCTTCTTCGATCTGCTTGAGGGCCCATTCATTGTCGTATCTATAGCATTGGTCAGTCCTCTGCCTTCGTGGCTGGCTCCGTCTACCTCTCAACTTACGAAGTCACAGGAATATCTCCACAATCAATCACCTTCGCCCAGCTGTTGAACGGGTTTGCATCGAGTGGCACATTGTATCCGCCGCTGAAGCGCACTTTGCGTGAGCCTCCAGATCAAAAAGCACTACTTGTAAGTCTGTGCTGTACGTACTAGAGATTGAGACGGCGGCTACCTTGGCGGATGCCTGAGGGACCGAATCTTGCACCTGGTCGATAGGAGGTGCCTGTGTCGAAGGGCGCGCCGATGAAGGCGATGTCGTATTTTACGTTCTCTGTCGCGAGGCAGGGGGAGTACTCTAAGCGGCCGAAGGTCGAGATGCCTGAGAAGACGGAGTCGGCCTGGGCTTTACTCAGTCATTTGTTCTGGCTGGGCCTCTTTTGCTGCGTACTTGAGTTCCTCCATCTCCTGGAAGAGTGTTATACCACAAGCTCTTGTGAGGGCCGGCCAGTGGCTCTTGATCGTGTCCGTGGTCGCCGTGGGACTGAACGGCCGCTGCCAAAGCGGCCAAAGTACCAAATCGCTTCAGCATTGTGTTTCTTCTTGCAATTGACAATCCTCCTAAGAAACGAGAGGAGCTGGACAGAAAACAGAGGACAAGAGCTCACTACTTCACCTTCCCAGACCCGAGACAGCTCGCTATTGACGACTGATTGTTTACACCCGTTACCTAACAGCTACCCAATATCTGACCGGCGCCCAGAACCCAGAGCTCCCGGCGAGGTCCAGGTCAAGCTGCAAACACAAGAGCAACAATGTCGTCAGGACTCGCAGGCGTACATGAGGCTTTCCTTGTTCCTGGCGATAGGCAGAGGTCGAGGAACATTCCTCTTACGTGGTAGCCGCCGCTCGGCAAGGCGCACATGCATGAGATGACCGGCGCGGCAGTCCATTAGTCAAAGAGGCCTGTCAGTGATGATGCGGATCGCGTGTGTTGCGAGGAGGAAGTATCCAAGAAAGGTTGTGTGTTGTCGTGCAGATGATAAGAGGTGGGGTCCGGGAGTGAGCTTTCTTGTCATCGATCGGAAGCGGCAGGACGTGGCAGGAAGGCAAGGGGCGATGGAGATAGGCAGTTCTTTGGAAGATTTTCTGGGTGCGCGGTGTCTTGGGATTTCTATACTCGAATTGGAGTCATCAAGGTGTTAGCACGATCCAGCACAGGCCACCGTTAGGACTTTTCTCGGAGAAGGAGCGTTCATTCAAGTGAATGTTTAGATTTTGGAATGGAAGATCTATCTCTATCGCAATGCATCATGTCATTGTAAATCGCCCTCCCCCTGTTCGATCCGTTCACTCGGATCCATCCTGTTGAATGCCTCGTCGACTTCCTTGTGCCAGTTGCTGAAGGCAACGATTGCCCATTCAAGGACGCCGACGATATATAATGCGATACACTGGCCAACCCAAAGTCCAGCAAGACCCCAGCCTAGATAGAGCGATGTCAGTATTCGAGCATGTACGAGAGAGGTCGTCCATATCCATACCGTGAAACGCCAGATAAATCCCAAGAGGCAAGGCACCACAGTAGTAGCTCACGATGTTAACGATTGCACCAACATGTTGTCTGCCCATGCCTCTCAAAGCACCTCCACAGGAGCCGTTGAGTCCATCGGCAATCTGGAACAAAGCAACATACGGCAAGACGTCGGCCGTGAGCTTGACCACATGCTCATCGTCGTTGAACAGCCTTGCGAAGTTGTTCTTCGTTGCCATGAGAATGGCCAACACAACTGCGCCCAGGACCATTGATAGCCAGGCAGCCGTGTTCGCGGACAGAGAAGCACCTTCCGCATTCCTTGCCCCCAAAAGGTTGCCAATCCGCGCAGACGTAGCAACGCCCACTCCAAATGGTATCGTGTTCATGACTTGGTCAGCAGTCATGATGACCGACTGAGCAGCCAAAGGAATGGTGCCCAGCTGTCCGGCAACGATGGCGACGATCTCGAAGGCCCACCACTCGGTGCCCACATGGATCACTCCCAGGATAGCGATTCGGGCAAAGCTGCCAATGTTCTGGAAACACCTTCGGTCCCAGCCACCCCAGCACTCCCAGCCAGCGACAAATCGGGTGTATAGCAGGAGTAAGATGAACGAAAGCCAGTATGATATTCCGGTTGCAATCGGTGCGCCAAGTAGACCAAGCTTAAAGGTGTAAACGAAGAGGAAGTTAAGTCCAGCATTAATGGGAGAGGTAATAAGCAGGCAGTACGTGCCTGCTCTCATGATGCCTTGTCTGGTCTGAAGTCAGCGCCTGCACTTTGGGGTCAGTTCGATATACTCACGCCTGCAGATACTTCTTCAAACATTCGAAGTAGATGTAGCCCAGTCCTCCCGGTATCAGGACAGTGAGGAACTTGGAGGAGCCACTAGCAATGTAATCCTCTTGACCCAATGCCTTGAACACAGGTTCCGAGAAGATCCAGAGGATGTTTACTGGGATGTAAAAAAGCCCAAGAACGAAGAAGGCGCGCTGAAGAATGACCCCCAGATCGTGCTTGTTCTTGCTCCCGGTGAAAGACGCTGATGCCAGCGTATCCATTGCGGTTGTGCCACCCATGCCAATCAACCAGGCCGTGCACATTGCAAACATGTAGGAAAATGCAGCCACGGCCAAAGCTTCAGGGCTCAATCGTCCCACAATCAACACAGAGACAGTTTGCAAACTGTTTTGTAACGTGTAGGCCAAAATAACCGGGACTGAACTTTTCAGAAGTATCCAGAATTCGGTGGCAATCCTTTGGCTTGGACTCTGTTCGTCTCCCTCGACCACATCACCCTCAAAAGGTTCCTCATCGTCTGGTTTGGGGAGTAATGAAGTCCTTTCGTTTGGACTTGCATCCGTGCACTTCTTGCTGCGAAGGAATGAAGGTAGCCAGGAGCGCGCACCTGGCGCTTCGTGTTGATCGTTCTCCATTGCTCAATGCCAGTAGCCTCAGAACTTGGGTTGTCGAGGTCCTGGACACAAGGAGATACAATGAATAGGAAAGGTCAGCTGCAAAAGCGAGCCATCTCCAAAGAAGTCCGAAAGCACCTATTTTCTTTGCTATTTCAATGATAAACCAAAACGGACAGAACAGACAAGGGGAAATGTCAAGACCAGGTGGGCCTGGCAATGGCCCCAGAAGACCGACGTACGGCCAGAGGCGGTGGATGCGAGTTTTTAGTCACAGAATCAAACCTGCAGCTCGTCCTCCTGTCCTACAGATTGGCTGAGGTCCATGGCGCGCAGACAAAGAAGCTCATACAGCTCTTGGAAGCTTGATGAGCCCGCAGAGATGAGTAGCTGTGGAAGGGCTTATCGTGGCCGACGGGGCGTTGTGAGTAACGTAATCGAAGAACAACGCAAAATGCTTGGATCCTGGTCTTTTCGGCCGGCCGGTGGGTCTTTTGGCATGCAGATCCGCATCGGCTTGGTCGGCGTGGAATGACATGTTTTGTCGACTTTACTTCAGGACAGAAGGATGGTGATGTCTTGGTTCGGAGGCCAAGATGGGGCAGCGTCACGTGTGCATGAAGCTCGAGCCCCTTTCCTTGAATAAGCTTTCGCACTGATCCCGAACCGACATCGCGCTAGAGAGCAGATGAGTGCAAACCCGTCAACAGAGACATGACCTTTGCACGACAACGCATATCGAACATTGATCGCTTCGAGCATGAAAAAATTCGAATGTCGAACGATACGACTTGCTGCACGATGATGGAGTGATCCCTCGAGATCCATGTGGCTGCCACGCAGATAGCCCACTTGGGAAGGAGGCTAAAAGGATCTCTTATCATTGCCCACTGAGCGCGAGCCAAGGGCCGCTCATCTCACAGGCGATAGACGAGGCAAGTCGTCCGGCAAGCCTCTCATGCAAGATGGCACAGGGTTTCGCGTGGGCTCGCGCTCCTGTGAGACCTTGGGCGTCCGGGCCCAGATTGTCTGATGGTTTTCTTTGAAGAGTTTCTTGTTCGGTTGCGCGAGGCTCCATCTTCGCAGCAGGATTGTGTTGTACAAAAGTCGCGTGCTGTATTTGAATCGCAGATACCTGCATGATTGCATCCAGATTGGAAAGTACTGAACGCTGAGAATGGGGTCTCTCGACAAGACTCTCTCTGCCGATGAGAAGCGGCCTCTGGATCTGGAATCGACTCCACAGGATGAGAAGGATTCCGCCAACAGAAAGACATCGATTGCTTCCATTGCAGGTGTCATTGTCAACGCATCTGGTCACAAGGATCAACTGCAACGGCAGTATGGACTGCTCGCCATATGTGGTCTTGCTTTGAACATCGACAACGCTTGGATCGCATTCGCCGGCTCTCTCCAGATCTCTGTCCTCAATGGAGGTCCGCCTGGAATCTTATACGAATACATAGTGGCATGCTTTTACTATGCATTCATCGGCGCATCGATTGCTGAGCTGGCGTCTGCTGTACCCAGCAGTGGTGGAGTCTACCATTGGGCTTCGATCACCGCAGGTCCAAAATATGGCCGAGTGCTGGGCTTCTTCACTGGAGGTCTGAACTTCTTTGGATGGATCTTTGATCTCGCATCGATCATTAGCATCCCTGCGAATGTTGTGGTAAGTCAGTGCGAGTCACATATCATTGTGCGGTGGAGGAAAGCTGACTTTCATCTCGATAGGTCCAAATGTATGCCATATTTCATCCTGACTTCGTCATTGAGCCCTGGCATCAATATGTGGCATTTGTTTGTAAGTCTTGCTCCATCCTAGACTTTTCACTGCGATATGGCTCTGACGATTATCTCGAAGGTATCCTTTGGCTAGTCACGGCCTTCGTGATATTTTGCAACAAGTTGATCCCATATCTGCAACATGCAGGCTTGTTCCTGGTGATTGTCGGTGGCCTGGTCACCATCATTGTTGTCGCAGCCATGCCCAAACAGCACGCCAGCAACTCGTTCGTTTGGACCGACTGGCAGAACCTGACCGGCTTACCCAATGGCATCGCTTTTCTGGCAGGTGTATTGAACGGAGCGTTCGCGATTGGCACACCCGACGCTGTGACACATATGGCAGAAGAGCTACCAAACCCCAAGGTCGACTTGCCCAAGGCTGTGTTTGCTCAGGTCGGCCTAGGCTTCGTCACGGCATTTCTCTTTGGGATCACCATCTTCTACGGCATCAGTGATCTCGACGCAGTCGTCAACAGCAATGGCTCGTTCCCACTGGCCGAGGTGTATGCCCAAGCAACCGGAAGTCGAGGAGCTACCTTTGGGTTACTCCTGATCGTGTTCCTGTCCATCATGATCTGCGCCGTCGGCACGGTGTTGATGCTTGGAAGACTTTGGTGGGCTCTGGCCAGAGACAACGCCACGCCATTTCCTGGCTTCTTCTCCAAGGTCGATGAGAATTTGTCGTGCCCCATTCCAGCTACGATCCTGTGTTCGGTCTTGACCACAGGATTCGGCGCCATTCAACTCGGATCAAAGACGGCATTTACCGACCTTGTGGGATCGTTCATTATACTTACCACCATGTCCTACTTTCTAGCCTTCTTCCCACACATCCTTAGCAAGCGCTCAAACGTTCCTCCTGGGCCGTTCTGGATGGGTAAGGCAGGCTATGTGGTTAATGGAGTTGCCTGCGTCCTCATCGTGTTCTTCAACATATGGTTCTGCTGGCCATTCGCGTACCCTGTTACTGTTGATCTGATGAACTGTAAGTCACATCTCAAGTCCATGGCTCTGGTTCCTGCTAATCTCTCGAACAGACAACTCGGTCATCTTGGTTGGCGTGGTTCTTCTGACCGTGTTCTGGTGGTTTGTTCACGGGCTGAGGAAGTACCCGGGTCCAAAATTGGCGAAGCTGTATCTCGAGGGAGTAGAGTAGTAACAATGTAGAATCAGAAGATGAAGAGCCGCCATTACTGATCATGAGCTATCCTGACTGTGCTTTTCGCTCAAGTCTGGCATGCCTACCGCCTTGCACATTCCCAAGCCCGTTATGTCCACTTGGACATAGGTCTTGCAACGTCATATGCATAAATCAGTCGCGTCAATTCAATTGCCCTGCCCTGAGAGGGGACCACTGGCTGTTGTTGTGATGATGGATCATGACTCCGATGGTGGTTTCAGCCCGGATTCCACTCCGGCATGCCGATGCAGGTCGGAACTGCACGGCACTCGGTGCTCGAGCGGAGTTCACGATCAACACAGCGCTCTGCAGCACTCTCAATCCTTGCATCTACATGCACATATGATGCATTCGCAAGCAAGGTATCCACGCAATATCAAGACGCAAGTCAGCAAGTCCATCGACGATTCAGAGTCCAGGAAATGTCACTGCCTAAGTACGGCGTTCGCCCCTTCAACGCGCTGCGCGCGTCCCTAATCAACGAACCCGAACACCGTAAGCTGAAAACCACGGCATCCCTTCTCTCAGGCACGACATTGGTAGGCTAACGACTCCTGCGTGCCCCCTTCGTTCGTTTGGCGAAGACGTGCGAAGCATGTGTCGTCACATCGGAGTTCTTGCTTTCGTCTCTTGTTTCTCTCCTTCTCTAACAAGATAAATGTCTGGCGATTGACGCGTTTCCTCCTTACACTGAAGAAGACAGCAGGAAATGAGATAAAACATCATTCTTGAACCTCGCCTTGCGCACCTAGACGAAGTCGAGATGGCGAGATCGCAGCAATACTACGAGGGTGCCAGCGAGAACACTTCCACAACAAGCAAACACAGCTACAAGACGTCCTCGACGGCCTCCATCGAAGAAGACATCATGCCTGGCGAGACCTCTCCACTCCTGGCCCATGATGGCCACCGTCCAGCGACCGCCCACTTCCCCAGACGACGGACTCTACGATCTCCTCACAGTATCATGGCCGTCGTCCTTCTGGCCGTGTTCCTCACATGCTGCGGAGACCAGTTCGTGGACTCGCCGGAGACGCGTATCTTTGAGAGCGTGATCTGCTATCGTTACTATGAGAAGGTAGATCCTTCCAAGATCAAGCTGGGAAGAGACGTCGTCGGTCCAGGCGCAATTGGAGGCGTAGACGAGATGTGGTGCAAAGCAGACGCAGTCCAGGACCAGTTGGCGGTCGTGAATGGCTACCAGTCCTTCTTCGATGGTTGGCCTGCGTTGATTCTTGCACTCCCGTTCGGCTGGGCGGCGGATAGGTTCGGACGCTGGCCGTTCTTGTTCATAAACCTCGTTCAGTTCGCTCTCAAGAACATGTGGAGGCAATTTGTCACCTGGGACTGGCAGGCTTTCGATATTCGAGCCATTTGGGGTGCCTCTGGCTTCGCCATTCTAGGAGGCGGATCAGCCACGGCATCGGCCATGTTCTTCGTTTTGGTGTCGGACGTCTTGCCAGCGGAAGAGCGAGCAGGAGCATTTCTGAGACTTGGGGCTTCAAACCTGGCTCCAAGCTTGTTCATACCGCCTCTGGCAGCGTGGCTGATGACGATCAATCCATGGATTCCATATCTCATTGGAACACTGATGCTAGTCCTGGCTGCAGTTTTGTGTCTGTTCATTCCCGAGACATTGGGCTACGGCCGTCGAGATCATGGCGAGACAGCAGAACTTCCACCATCCGAGGAGACGGTGCCCGAGTCGTCCAGACCAGAGAGCGCTGCCGTTCGATATTGGAACGGCTTCCGCTCATCCATCTCCTTCCTCACAGAGGACTGGCGGATCCCAGCCCTCATCATCCCCTTCGTCGTCCACATCCTCATCTCCAACCTCACGCGCCTCATACTGCAATACAGCAGCAAACGCTACGGCCTCACGATCGCACAAGGAACCCTCCTGATCACGCTGCACAACGGTATCCACGTGCTCCTCCTCTTCGCTCTCCTACCATATCTCTCAACCTTCGTCATGAAGAGATTCAACCTCTGCAACCAGAAGAAAGACCTCTACCTCACGCGAGTCTCGCACGTCTTCATGGCCATCGGCTGGCTTTGCGTTGCTGCGTCTCCAAATGTCTGGACTGTGGCCATCAGTCTGTCCGTCGCGTCGCTAGGCGTTGGATCAGCTCTCTTGATGAGGAGCTTCCTGACATCTCTCCTGCCCGCGCATCATATCGCCCGGACTTACAGCGCGATTGGTATCGTGGACACGCTGGGCGCGATGTTTGGCACGCCAGCTTTGGCTGGTCTTTTCAAAGACGGGCTTTCGTTGGGAGGCGGATGGGTTGGATTGCCCTTCTATGTAATTGGGTTGGCCTCGGCGTTATTTGCTGGGTTGCTGTTTCTTGTTAAGTTGAGGAAGAGTGGAGGGAGTGAACAGAACGATAGAGACGAAGAATAGATACCCACTGTGTTTTTAAAGCATACATGAGAGAGCGGAGACAGTCAACGAATACAGATACATGCCAGGTTGGTTCACTAGAATATGCAGGCCCAAAGTCTGTAAAGATTACTGTGAAGTGCGTCTGATCAGTGTTGTGGTGTATTGTACATGTCCATGTTATGATAAGGCTACATCTCATGCTGCTATCGCGTCCTGCTCCTCTTCCGCATCTTGTTTGGCCGCCGACTTGTGCTCACGCTTTGCTTGCTTCTTCGACTCCTTGAATGCCAGCTCCTTCTCATACTTTCTATCCACCAACTGCCTCAGCTCACGCTTGAATTCCCTTCGCGTATGCTTTACAAGCTCCTTGTATTGACGTTCACTCAATTCCAGCTCTGGCTCCTCGCCTTCCTCTACAGGCTCGAGCTTGTGCTTCAGATCAGCCTCGAAAGCCTCCAGTCTCTTCTCCACGTACTGGGGGAAGTACTTCTCCTGCACCCTATCCTTGGCTTTCTGGATGGCGTGGTCAGGACTGGGCTTTGTTCGCACCCAGCCATTTGATGTGAGCATTACATGCTTGAATCGATCCACTCGGAACTTGATGGGTGGCAGATCTGCGCTCTGCTCGATTTGAAAGGCGTCGTCCATTGGCACAGATTCCAGGCCCTCTTCGTCCAGTGATGCATCCTCTTCCTCGCCTAGAGTCTCTGCCACAGCTTCCAGCTCAGACCGATCAGCAGGCAATCCAAGTCTTTGACGCTCAGCAGCGAATCTGTTCTTCACGGTGTGCGTCTGCATGATCGCCCATCGCAGCCACCAACCCGACTCGCCCAGTGACTTTATCCTCGCCGACTTCTCCCCAAGCAGATACTCATCAAGACCGCCCAGCTTGTCGATGGTCCTGAGCACACGCGCGCTCACGCGAACCTGGACATGGCGATTCAATGCTTTGCTGAAGAGTCTCCGTGTGAAGATATTGGGGTGCCATGATCGCCGCGTCTTCGTCTTGAACTCCTCGCTAACGTTGTTGCCGAATTGAATGCGCTGGCCGCCGTAGAGACCTAATCGGGATTGCCTGAACCATCTCGTGGGACCGTGTGGATAGGGAGGGAGGACTTCGGCGAGGGCTTCAGGGTCGTTTTTGTCCCATTGTAGACTGACTCCTCGTAATGATGAGGTCGAGAATGTGCGTCGGCATTGGCATATCGCTCGTGGTTGCCGGAATAGAGCAGCCATGGCTAGTGATGGAGAGAGGGAGGTGAATTGGTGCTGTTTGAGGTTTCGGAGGTCCGCTGCGGGTTCTCCCGTCCAATGTCTCTACCTCGAAAGCATTGAACGACCAACTATCTACATACACACGTCCCCCGACGATAATTACTTCCAATATGGTGTCCCTATCACAGCGAATGCGCAAACTCCAAACCAAACTCCTCGCGATACGACTCGGACCGGGCGCCGTGGTGCTCCCCAAAGAAGTGAAACGGATACACCTACGCTTTGCGCCTAAAATCAATGGAGGGCATATGGGACCTAGGTATGCTCTCAAACCCATGAGCTGGGATTCTGTAGCTCACAGTTCTATTTAGGAGGTTCTGGCGGCAAGAACTCATTCGATTAAAATACCACAATCCGGCAGTCGCCATGACGGTCGATCGAGACATAGAACAAACCGATCCAGCGACAATGTCCGTACATTTCGCGCCAGAGGATGCGAGTCAAACATCAGGAAGCGCGACAGCTTCGTCAGCGCCGTCAACACAGACGGAGAGGGTGGAGACGATCAATATGAAGAATTATACCAATTCTGAGATATTAGATGCTTTGGTTCAGTTGACGAAGGCGTATCCCGTGGAACCAACGCCTGAGGAGCGGGAAGAGTTGGCGAAGTTGGAGGAACAGAGGAGAAAGAGCGAGAAGGATAGTAAGCTATCACAAGAAGTGCGAGCGAGAGTGAAGAGGGAGAAGGAGTTGCTTGAGCAGGCTAGGGGAGATGTTGCAACACAGGCTGCGTAGACGATATTTGAAGAGGGAGTATCACAGGCAAGATCAGAGATACCTTATGGCATGGCATTGTACAGAATAGCACGGCGCTGGTGGGGACATGATGAAACTTGGAAGGTTGAAAGGCATGCTGTACATTACGCTCATACGCTCAGAATCGCAAGACACGATATGGCTAAGCGAGAGTTGCTACACCCTGCCACCAAGCAATGCACCCAAGCACGAAGACGATCACCATCACATCCGTGAAGATCGTCCGCGCAATGGTGAGATACCGTCCCAGTATCCGAATGTAGTTGGCGTACGGCTCTGGAACGAAGCCACTGTTCGCGACACTGGCTAGCATCCCCCCGCCTTGTAATTGGCCCTTCTCGACGAAATACCGCATACTTTGGAGGAGCACCTCTGCGGTTGCGAAGATGACGAACAGCCGTGGACCCAGACCATGGCCTCCCTCCTCTGTGTAGACGCTCTGTGTGCGCGCGAGCTTGCTGCCGTTGAAAGTCGAGGTCAGGCAGATGTAGAATGCCAGGATGAAGGAGAACAGCGCATGGACGATCCTCCACATATATGTCGAACCAGTGGTTGGCGCTGGTGGCTCTTGCGCCTGGGCTCCACCCTTCAGCATATTGGCCATCCACGGCGGGACATCTGGTTGCTTCGCGTTGGGATCGTTCGGATCTCCGCCCATCAGGCCCATCATCTGCTGCATCATCTTCACCATCGGGTCGTCCTGATTATCCCCGCTTTGGCCTCCTTGCGCCTGTCGCTCTTGCTCCATTTGCATCATAGCTGCTGCGAGCGGGTTGTCCTGTCGGCTACTCGGCGTATTTGAGAAGTTGCTGGAGCTGATGTCCACCTCGTCTGGATCGTCTGCGACTGATGCGCCTGGGGGTACTTGCGCCGTAGCTGTTACCATGTCAGAAACGGGCCTTCCTCGCATGATTTTGTAGATAGACACGTACGTCCACCAAGCACCTCTTCTGGAGGTGCTACACCACCATTCAGCGCTTTGATCTTGGCCAGTCTGTCCTCACCCTGCTCCGTCATCTTTTTCTGTCGCTTTTCACGGCGCAGGCGCGCTTGTCGCTGTGTTGGAGTCTCGCCTTCTGGGCCATCGGCGCCAGTCGAGGTTGCGGTGTCCGCCATGGTGAATGTCCTGCGATTGTGTCCGAGTAAGTTGGTTGTAAAGAAGAGACAGCCAGCTTTCAGAGGAAGCAGAGCTCTGGCATGTGCTTGTGACCTCATCGCACGGACCCGCTCGCGAAGCAAGCACCCACCGACTTTCACTTACCTCCAGATCTGCTACAATCACATGCAACACACCCTCGCCTTCTCCAATGTTCACAGAACACGCCCAGGCGCGACTACATACGTGATCTATCCTCCATCAGTCTTGCCGACAGTCTTCATGAGTCACCACTCGGATGGGTTTGCCTGCCTGCTGATGGAATACTTATGAACTGTTCGCGTTTCTGGAGATGTAACAACGAAATCGTATCTTTGCCACGTCGACATCTACACATCCCGCGCAGCATGGGCAAGTACAGAGCCTCAAGAAAAGCCCCGGCGGCCAAGAAGCCTCCTCTCACACATTTCCTGTGTCTGCCTCTCGTGACAGAGCAATCGAAGCCCCAACTGGAGCGGTCATTGAAAGAATTTCGAGATGCCGTGTCTTGGAATGAGGCGGAAGGTCTACTTGGCGCACAACTGCATGGTGAGACCGGTGGTGAAGCTGCAGGCGGTGAAGGCTCTCCAGTTGTGCATCCAAAGGCAAGTTCAATCGAGCACACGTTTGATCGACGTAACCCGGCGAAGATTACAACAGGCCTTTCATCCCATGGAGTCACAGACAAGCCGTGAATTTCGCCTGCACCTGTCACGGGGACCTTGGGCACCGACATACGGCCTAACGCCGGTCTGTCAATGGCTTTGCTGACGGCTGTACAGGCTATTCGACCAGTTGGTGCTTTGCATTGTACCTTGGGTGTCATGAGCCTCAACAATGATCAGCTTTCGCAAGCCACAGCTTTCTTACAAAGTCTTGACGTGGGCTCGATACTCGCCCCATCAGCAGGGGAAAGAGACCCAACATCGGATCAGGCGACCACGACTGCACCGTTGGCACCTATGGTGGTAGACCTGAAAGGCTTGGAATCAATGCATGCCCCAGATAAGACCTCCGTTATCTACTCGGCGCCTTTCGACTCAAGTGAGAGACTTTACCCGTTCTGTCTGGCAGTGCAGCAACTGTTCAAGGACAAGGGTTTCCTGGTCGAGGACGACAGAAAGCTGAAACTGCACGCTACCATCGTCAACACAATTTACGCCAAGGGGAAGAAGCTACCAATGAGACGACATGGCAACCCTCCAGCCCCGAAGCCTCCTGTCTCTGCAGGCGACAGCGAACAGTCGAGTCTCGCAGCCAGCAACCAGGCACAACAGGATGACGGCAGCGCACGAGGCCACGGCCCCAACGCCAATACTCCGCTGAAGCTCGATGCAAGAGAGCTGCTTCAAAAACACAAAAATTTCGCCTGGGCCGAGAACGTTACCTTGGACCGCCTGGCCATATGTGAAATGGGAGCAAAGAAAGTCACGGACAGTGATGGGAGGGTGATTGCAGAGCAGTACAATGAAGTTGCCAGCATAGAGTTGCCCACGTGAGAGCCTATGTGGTACGAACAGCCTACGATGCCGTGCTCAGCTTCTGCGACATCCACAGAGCCATTGTCCTCGGTCTATCTCCACTAGCAGAGTGGCATGTACACGGCAGCAATGACAGTGATCAGAAATAGTGTGGCGTTGCAACGTGGTGAGAAATGCTGTACTCGAGCTAACTGTTGTTTTTACTGACCGAGAAGATCACCGTCATTGTGAAACCAGACCACGCTCCCCGCAGTTCGATGCACGCGAGAATTGTTGCACGGGAACATCGAGCAGCCAACATGGGGACCCTAACTGACCGACTAGAGCCATCTTCCTTGGAACAAGGATGTCAAGCCAGATTGCAACTGGCAGCTTTGCAGTTCTGTCTTACTCAAAGAACAGATTTGTTCAAAGCATCAACAAGACCCCCTCGAATACCAACTCCGTGGTTTTCGTACATCTGGTGCGACCCGGCATCCAGCACCATGGCTCGGATGCGGGTGCGCCATGAACGGAAACGGGCAGAACGCACATCTTAATTAACACTGCACCTTGTTTGTACGATGATGGGTGTTCCCTGTTCAGATCTTCCAGCAACCACGACATGCTGGACAGGTTCTGTGGCATTGGACTGCGACCTCATGTGAAGATCTTGCGGCCCGAGCAACTTCCAATTGCTCCCGAGCGACCAAAACACATCGCCTGAACTGGTGGCACATGATCCCGACTTTCTGCAGAGCAAAGTCCGCTCGACGGCCGCTTGCCTATATCGCTCTGCAGTCTAGCCAGTGCATTTCAACACGTCGAAGAAAGGTCAAACGCCCCTGCAAAAAGTGTTCACAGAACGGCAAAAGGTACCAAGTGCAGAAGATTGAGAGCTTACGCGCGTCTCAGGCGAACCACAGATCCGCTGGTCACCTTTCTGCGGTCACTGGACGAAGTTGTCGCGGTGCATAACTCCGTTGAAACGCACACCAACATGCTACGACAGGTGGATACAGACAGCTGGCAAACTGCATCCTGGTTGCAGCTCTCAACAATGCGCCACCTGTTTGTCCGACGAATGGCTTGCAGCACAATCATCATCACGACGCACGTCGACGTTGCAGCAGCCGCCACGCCTGCATTGCCACCGATGAAGAATTTCTCAGCGGCTGGCAAAACGGGGCGATGGGCGACACTTCCTGTTTCTGTGTGTCAAAAAGAAGAGACTTCCTATAGTCGATGGAGAAGAAAATTCTGAATGCGCGTGACGTGCGAAAGAGCGTTCCATCATCAACGAATAGAGTTCGCGATCGAGAACGTTCAGAACGTTGAAATGTGGAGTTCCTTCCGGGGTGTTGGACCGGCTGTTCGTCAACTTTGTTCACTCGTGGGAAATAGCCGACTAGGCGTTAGTGCGGCAGAATCAACCTCTGTTCCTTGCAAGGCTGCAGGTCCGGAACGCCAACCGCTGGGAACAGCGAATCATGACCGACCTCGATCAACCCGACCGGCCAGTGACAGCTGAGGGCGGGCCTGAGTGCCATCCGCGGTCACATCGCCCCTGTAAGAGCCCGGTCGGCTAATGCAGCGGCGCCCGTAAGGCTGGCCTGTGATTGATCGGGGCAATGCCAGCTCATGCTTCAAGGGGTATGGCTGCTCAGGAACACGTTTTGCAGACTCCGATGGGGCCGTCTCTCGATTTTGCGCGGTGGAGTTGGGGTGCCCGTCGGATAAAGATCGCAGAAGGACGCGCACTCCCACCGCCTTCCCTCCTTTCTCCCTTGTCACGATCACTTTTTACGACTCCCGCCTTCCCAAGCGCTTTTTGGAACGCTCAACTGCTGCGCAGTATCACTCTTTTACTGCACGGTATTCATTCCTTTACGGACTACGGCACAAGACCACATTCTTTCGACTAGGCGCAGGATAAACGAATCGCCTACGTTAACGACAATCACCTTGTTTAAGCCAAGTCGCAACGATCCGACGATCATCGCAAACATCACCTAACGACATTTGGCACTTGAACGACCCACAGCACTGCTATATCGCATAGATCAACGAACAACACCGCAGCAATGATTACTTCCGTCGTCGCATCGCTCGCCGTCTTTGGCGCATCGGCGGCTGCTTCTTCCCTCTCTGTCGGCAAGGCGCACGTTGTCAACAAGTGCACCTACGACGTCTACTTGTGCAACGTCCCAGCCTCCGGTGGTGGCTACGAACAAGAAGACAAGACTCTTTCTGCTGGTGGTACTTGGGATCAGGAGTGGACCTCGCTCTCCAACTCCAATGGCTGGTCGATCAAGCTTTCCAAGTCCGAGGCTCTCGAGAACATCTTGCAATACGAGTACACCTTCCACAACGACGGCATCATCTGGTATGACTTGAGCTGCGTCAACGGCAACCCATGGGACAAGAACTGGGAGATCACGTCGAGCACGTCCAGCTGCAACCCCAAGCAACAGGCCTACCGCTACGCTACGGATGACGCCTACGGCATGCAATCATGCTCTCAAGACGCTTCCATCACTGTCACCCTCTGCTCTGGCGAGGCGGCCGACAACTCGACCTCTGGCTCTGACGGCTCTGACTCTGACGACTCTGGCTCCAGCTCCGCGGCGTACCCAGACGGATACACCTCGGTGGCCACCTCGTACTCCACGCCAGCATCGACTCCGTCTTCGATCGTTGTGCCAACGCCCACTGCCTACATCAACTGGAACAACGACGACGCATCGTCTTCCCTCGCTGCTCAGACCACGCCAACCACCTTCGCGACCTCGACGACCGCCGTTGTCACCGAAGGCCCAGACGGTGTGACAGTGACTCAAGTCGAAACCGCCGTCGTCACCAACATCGTGACCGCCTACGCCGGCCGCATCAAGCCAAGACACGAGCACCACGCTCACGGCCACCACGCGCACGCCGCATAGAGCGGGCCATCGCACTTCCGCGATCTTCGATTCTTTCCCCATCTCGAGCTCGTCCATGCCATCGCCTCACTCTTTTTACGCGACGGCATAACGAAGACTCGAAAGATGTCGGGCCATGACTTATTTGCATTCTTCATTGTTGATATTCACAAATTGTCTTCACACATCATCATCATCATCACGACCCACCACTTTGCACACAACGCACGCAAACACACATTACATCGTCTGGACTCTCTATTGCTGAGACAACGGACTTGCAAGCTGTATTCTTCGTCTCTCCCCTCGCCTCAAACCCCTGTGTCGATCTTGCCGGGCTGAGCGCACTGTGTTCGCGGCCGCCCATGGCGAGGTCGACGCTTTTGAGGTGGGGCAGATGAGATTGAGACCGAGACGCGATCCCTCTAGAAGGTCGATCAAGTCTCGGGAAGGAAGAAAGCTACGATCTACGAGCAATGGCACCCACGAAATGGAAAAAGATTTGGTTATCCCTCATCTACGGATGATGGGGCTAACAAGGCGTCCTCTTACACGGCGGAATTTGAAAAAACAAGGAAAGGAGAGAACCTCAGATATAGATATCCCCCTCGATTCGCACATACCCCAGTACATAGCACTTTGCTTGATTTTTTAAAAAGAATCGCATTCATTTACAATTACCCCCAGATTTATCTGTTCTTTATCTATTCGTCATCTGCATTCGTGGCCTGGTTGCGTAGACCCTTGCGTAGAGGGTGGAGACACGCATCAGTAACCCCCAACACCGTTTGTTGATGAAATCTCGCGCAATGGACATTCGCACTGGTACTTTTGAAACACTTCACTCCTGCAATTCAACGGATATTCGCGAGTTCCTTGCAGCAGCAACAAGAACCCTGTGCTCTTATTCCTGGTCCTGAGACGACTTCGCTTTCAACTGCCGAAAGTCTCACTTTCAGAGTAGAAGGCAATCGAGAGGTAGACTTTTAGCCAGGAGGTCTAGACTTTGCTCAAACAAATGGCTCTGAGCAAGACGATTCCAAGTCGGCTCGTCGAACGGTGTGCTATCGGAACCAGCACTGGAAGAATGGCAACGAGAGGCGTTGTTAGCACGCCATCTCCCTCGACCCGAGTCGGACGAACGACGTCCTCGGTCGTTGCCGAGTCGGCGGGATTCACGATAGATGTGGCTGTTCGAATCGCTCTCCGAGCATGTGGGATTCAGACGCCACATTGCAAAATTTCAAACCGAAAGAAACGTGACTAGTTGCGGCTCTGCATACCGTTCCTACGCATCACCGAACGAACGTCGTGTGACAGTTTCGTTCGACTCATATCTGTGGGTTCCCATGCCAAGTCGTGTCCCTGTCCACGCGCAGGAGACAAGAATGGGCAATGCGCGGGAGGAGTCGGATCAGGCGTTCGCACTTCTTCCCGTTGCTCTGAATTTTCAATCAGTGGGAGAGACTTCGACATTCATTGGGCGATTTGACAACACGCGTGCGATTTCTGCCTGTGGCAAGGCCTAGAATTCGAAGAAGCAGTACACTTTGTGGGCTACAGTGGATGATGTGGTCGAGAGGTAAGAAGCGGACGACACGTGACCCTAAGAAAGCTTGATGTTGCCTAGGCTGGATTAGCGCATCCTTATTTCCACTCCACCTCGTGGGCAGTGGACGTCAAAATGACGAGGAAGTGTGAATCCCACGTTGTCGCTTGAACGCCGAGGCAACGTGTTTTCTGGATGGTGGTTGATTTGACTTGACGTGGCATTGAGTTTCTGGAGAGCTTAGCCTTTGACATGTGAAGTTGGCTTCAATCTTCGCGCTTGTCCCACGCCAAGGCATTTTGTCGCGGTGTGGTGCACTCCAAGAGCCATCCGCATGGGATGCGCTGTTTGAACACACCAGAATCGGACTCAGAGCTATTCAGTCTTCTGGTGATGGCTCGTCACCCACTACCAGCTCGGTGAGTCATAGTCGCACAGTAGGATGCAACGCCGGCGAATCGCGTGCTTCGTTTCCCATTACGGTGAACCAATCCACAGGTATGGAAAGGTGCCCAGTACTTCGATCGGTTCTTTCCAACAGCACTCGATGTTTTGCGCTTGCACCTCGAGCTCGAAATCGCGGGCGATGTTGTCAATCTGCCATGCTCTCCACGTCGCGAGTCTGTGACTCAGAGCAGCGAGAGCTGTCCGGTGACCTCGTCGATCTTGCTCTTGGGCGCAGGTCCAACTCCTAGAACTGTAGCAGAGCCCGCGGCGATTTGAGTCCGGCCAGCATCGTGTATGACCTGAGCGCAAATGCCGAGACTGACGGCCTGTGCTTGGAGCAGCAGCAATTGATCCTCACTCGTCACTTTCAGTGCGACTTTGGCTTGGCCGAGTCGCTCCCATCGCTTCAATATCGGGTGTGCCGGATCTGCTCGCAGCAGGGCCTTGTAGCAGGCGAGCGTGGCATGTGAACACTGAGCGGCTATCTTGCCTGCGTGGAGCAATCAGTATGATATGCGCGGACGGGGGCTATCTCAGATTTGTCAAGGGAATTCGAAAAGGGTGGCCAGCAGGTTGCATATATGCAGCTGCCTTGCTTGGTCCCGGAAGTTTTGAACGAGAGAAGTAATGATAACGACTTACCCTTGCCCATGCCAAGATCGGTCCTCACACACAATACGAGCTTGCATTCCTCGTTGCTGTCTGGGAACGCGTTGATTTCACCCTGATCCAACGCGTCATCGTCGGACATGGCATCGCTGTCATCATCTGTAATTTCACCAGTGTTTGGAGATTTAGGCGATGGGCCGGACGCGACAGGCCGCGTTGGCAAGATGGATCGGAGCTGGCCCAGATAGTACCCCGTGATGCCACTGATCAGAGCTGTGCCGATTGCTATTGCTGCCGCAGACGGCGGGCCACGGTCTTGCACGTTGGCCATGCCTGGTCGTGGGGTATCTGGCGGTGTGGGAGGCGGCAGGGTGTGTTATCAGGCGCGTCGTCGCGAAGGGAATCTGATGCAGAAGTTCGGTCGGGCGAGGGTTTCGAAGTTCGGGGGAGCGCTGACGGAAGGAGGGTGCGCACGCGACACAGCTTAGTGCGGGCGCAAAGTGGCAGTGTGCCTCAGGCCAGCGGCGTCACGGCGGGCAGATTGGCGGCACCGTGCCATAGAACTCGACAACTTTTGCACTCGGCGGCGAGCATGGTGGCTCCTGGACTGAGTTCGAAATTTGCAGCGAGAGAAGGACGGGAAGAGTGCACATCGACGACGTGAAGTTGGAGGAGGTGACGCTCCATGGCAGGGGCCCCATCTTCAAATGCACATACGGCCTATCGGATGCCGCGCCAAGCCCTGCCAGCGCTGAAAGAGTTGCTACAAAGGGCCGTCGGACATCAAATGAGAAAGAGGCCCTTGGCCTCATCTCGACCGTGGATTGCGTGATCTGCGCTGCGAAGGCGGTGACCACGCTCCATGTCTCACGTTATTTATTTCCTTTCTTCTGACCAATCCAAACTCCCTCGTCTCCTTCACCATCCCGCTACTCCATCTTCTCCAGCATTCCAACGTCGTCGATGTGGGGCAAGCTCAGAGATATAAGGACTGGTATCAGCCTTGTGCGGACAGCGGACGGCGACCAGACTTCCCACTGACTGCCCCGCCACCCAAGAAACACCGTCTTCACAGAAAACACTGCAGCCCAAGTCAATACAAACAACATGGCGGACCAGATGCACCGTCTTCGCAAGAACATGCCCGACACTCCCCCAGTGTCACCACCCGTGGGCTTTGCCGGCCAGAATGGCTTCAGCACGCCGCTCTTCCCCCAGCAGCCCAACATCTTGTACATCATGGCCGACCAGCTGGCTGCCCCTCAGCTCAAGATTTACAACAAGGACTCTCAGATCAAGACTCCCAACATCGACAAGCTTGCTGAACGATCCGTCGTCTTCGACTCGGCTTACTGCAACTCGCCACTCTGCGCCCCAAGCCGCATGGCTATGATTACTGGTCAGCTGCCTTCCAAGATCGGTGCTTACGACAATGCCTCTCCCATCACCGAGGACACTCCAACATACGCCCACTACCTGCGGAGTGCCGGATATGAGTGTGTCCTTGGCGGCAAGATGCACTTCATCGGTGACCAGCTGCATGGCTACGAGTATCGTTTGACTGCCGACATCTATCCAGCCGATCTGGGTTGGTCGGTCAACTGGGACGAGCCTGACACCCGTCTTGAGTGGTACCACAACAGCTCCTCGATCTTCCAGGCCGGACCATGCGTTCGCAGCAATCAGCTCGACTACGACGAGGAAGTCATGTACAAGGCCAAGCAGTTCTTGTACGACCACGTTCGCAAGCCAGCCAACAGCCGTCCGTTCTGCTTGACCGTCTCGCTCACTCACCCACACGACCCGTACACCATCGAGCACAAGTACTGGGACATGTACGAGGATGTTGAGATCGACATGCCAAAGGTCCAGATTCCAAAGGACCAGCTCGACCAGCACAGCAAGCGTCTGCAGCACGTCTGCGACCTCGAGGACTACGACTTCACTCCAGACCAGATCAAGAGGGCCAAGCGGGCGTACTATGGCTCTGTCAGCTATGTCGACGACAACATTGGCAAACTCATGGAGACTTTGAAGCAGTGCGGCCTCGACGACAACACCATCGTCATCTTCTCCGGCGACCACGGCGACATGCTCGGCGAGCGTGGACTTTGGTACAAGATGTCGTACTTTGAGTCGTCGGTGCGTGTTCCAATGCTGTGGAGTTACCCAAAGCTGTGGGCTCCTCACCGTGTGCCTCAGAGCGTGAGCACTCTCGACATCCTGCCAACTCTGGTCGACGTTGTTGGCTCCAAGCTTCACCCTCACCTTCCCATGGACGGCGTCTCCATTGTGCCACATCTCAAGGGCAAGGACGTCCATGACAACGTCTTCGCTGAGTACATGGGCGAGGGTACCATTGCTCCCATGATGATGATTCGTCGTGGTCCTTGGAAGTACATCACTTGCCCTGCCGACCCAGATCAGCTCTACAACTTGGCCGACGACCCAGATGAGTTGAACAACCTCGCCACCAGCGACGACGCCGAGACCAAGAAGGTGTACGACGCGTTTGTCGCCGAGTCCAAGGCCAAGTGGAACATGGAAGCCATCACTGCCGACGTCGTCAAGCGCCAGCGTCAACGCCGCCTCTGCTTCTCGGCTTTGAAGCAGGGCAAGTGGACCAGCTGGGACTACTCTGTTCCTGATAACAGCCAAGACAAGTACATCCGCAGCCACATGGACCTTGACGACCTTGAACGCCGTGCCCGGTACCCGATTGTCGACGCCCATGGCAACATCAAGGTTCTCGGCGGCATCGGCAAGGAGGGTGTCCTGTCCCTGCCACACCAAGCTGGTGCTGTCGGACAATAGACTTGTCCCGTCCGCCCAGCCTTGCAGCATGACACAACAGGATCGCCCCAGGCTCGCCAAGTTGTGTAACTGCAGGTTTCAGCAGTCGTCGGAACCGACGATTGGCGGTAACACACCGACATTGCATTTTCATCCACTTCGTTACGATCGTTTTATACTTGTAGCGTTGAGCGTGGTATCGTTTCAGCGTTGGCGCAAGGGGAGAGACATCACAGGGAAAGTGATGCACGGCGTTTGATCATGGTTCGTCGTTCGACTTGGGCGTACAGGCTGCGCAAAAATCGGGTTCTCGGAGCTGTCGTCAATGAGGTTCATGAACAAAAGCCTGCGCTTCGGTATGGCCTTCATGGTCTTGAGATGTAACATTATGGCTGGGATGCAGATAGCATGAGGTATCGCGAGCTTGATAGCCAGAAATGTAAATGTACTCGTGTCGTTGTTCAGTTTCCGGTTGTTGTCGATGAGCTGTGAACTGTGCCTCTTTTCGCGAGCAGAGTTGACAAAGAGTAATTCTCCTCGTTCGGTCAACATGCTGCCGTCTCACGGTCTCAGTTCCTGTGCTGTCGATCAAAGCCGGCTTTCAGTACGTGATACCGAACGCAGGCGGGATAACGGGTCAGCTTAATATTTCTTCCATCTCCTTGCTTCCCAGGATGCAACTGCCAATGCGTTTGGAGCAAGCTCGGTTCACCAAGGTGTTCTCAGTCATCAGAAGCTTCAGTTCACCGTCTCATCAGCAGGAAGGATCCGAGTCGCTACCGCGGTTGTGAAAGACGTCAAAGTTTCATGCACACGCTGCAGGTTCGAATCGCCCACCCCCAGAAGAGCAAGCGCATCGAAAGCCACTCACGATTCTCGACGTTCGCGCCAGCTGTCCTCGAGAGGGTATACAAGCATGCACTTGTGCAGACCATCCTGCAAGTTGCCGTGATGACTTTGTGAGCTCGCACGCGATCACCCTCCTTCTCCATGATCGGAGAATTAACGTTTCGTTAGACCGCTTGCAGGATCTTGCCCTTCTCGGCGTGCTGGTGGGAAAGTCTGTTCGACTGCGAAATGGGCAGAGGCGCTTTCGCTGAATACGAACACTTGATTGCCTGAAAGAGTCGTGGCGTCGAGTCGAGTCCACAGAGACTCGCATGTACCATCTCGAAGTACTTTCGATGTTGGTAGGCGATTGCTTTTACATAATAACGATAAGTACGTGGACTGTCCTTCACACCATCGTGTAGCGCCTCGTGGAAGAGCCGACAATGGTGTGAGGAGTAGCCAAGAGAGCGCCCGCCGTCCGTTGTTGAAGTGGAGCTCGTCTGCTTCCGAAATAGCATTGACTTTGACCTGCGTCTGGCGTGTTTCTCCATGCAAATGTTGAGGCAGATCCTCACACGCTGCGCAGGTTGTTGATGAATGCGTTCTTTTTCACGGCCAGGAGAGGGGGTTTGATGTAAAATCAATAGAAGCATCGAAAGCGGCAGGTCGCACGGTTGCCCCAAGACTTGGCACAGCGATCTCGCGGCAGAAAGCAAATCTGGCCAAGTTGAGATGGCACGCTGAGGAGGCAGGTTCTCCTGCTGGCCTGCGCTCAGGGCGGATCGGTGTGGGAGCGAACGACTGGGCGAGCTTGTGTGTCGCGCCCAAGCAAAAGGCCGGGCCGTTGTGGCGGCAACGAGGGAGAGCTGACGCCGCAGGTGCGGGCGCCCAGTCTTTGTGCTGGTGGTTGCTGGGCGCATCAGAATCACGCGGGGAGCAGATGGACAAGCGCTCTGTCTCCAGCCCCCTCGTGTCCGGCGTCGCAAGAGCGACGGGCTGCGTACTGTTGATGTCGACGGTATGCGGGTTGGCAGGGTGGCAGCTCGACAGGCGCAGTCGTGATTCGCAGGCGGCGCTTTAGCTTCGCGCTACCTAGCCTCTCCTCGACCTCACACCAGCACGCATCCAGCCGTCAGAGAGCCGCATACACATGCGCCTAGCCTATGCACAGGAACCTTGTTCGCCTGCCATCGAACTCTGTGCTCTCCAGCGCCTGCCCGGGGTTGCGACGTCACCGTTTTCTGGCTCGGGGGCGAATTGCGAGCGGTGCGCCGTTTTCGGGGCGGCGTTGGGCCATATCCGCGGCGTGCCAACGGCGAACCCGTCCGTGTTCACTGATAGATTTGCACATGGAGAGGAGTCAGGGCGACGAGAGGAGTCGACGCTGGACTGATTGGGCCACACAGGCGGACCTGAGACAGCCAGACAGGCGACGCAAGCAAATGGGAGTGCATTAGCGCCAGCAGCCTGCAGCTGTGCCAGCCAGCTCTGGGAGCTCTTGGCCGTGTACCTACGAGTAGCTTGATAGCTCCTCCAAGTCGTAATCAACTCATTCTTTGGTGATCGCATGGGGCAACAGCAGCGCATGGCATGGGGGACAGTGCGATACGGCGACGATCTCCACCTCGCCGACGGTGCTGCTCGTCAACGCACGGGCACTAGTCAGCAAGCGTACGTGAATCCGGACGACAGAGAGGAGCCCATCGGCGCCTCCCCCATTGTTGCTGGGCCACCATCGTCCCGTTGCATTGGCCCCTGCACCAAGCCTACCAGCCCCCGAGCATTCACCAATCTTCCGCTCCCGCACGCATGCATCGGTTTAAATAACTGGCACATTCCAGTCCGCAGCTCCCTCGTCACAACAATCACCTTGCACCTCGCATATCAATCGTCGTCCATTCGCGGCAGTCTATCCTCCTCATAGACTCACTCTCGCTCCAGGCGTCTATCGATTGATTGTTGCTCATCCCCGGTCCGGCTTCACTGCATATACTACCAGAAGCGTTAATACCGACCACCTCGATCGCTACCGTGATAATGCGTTACTCGCTCGCTGCCGTCGCCCTTGCGACGCTCGCCTCGGCCAGCCCAGTTGCCCAGGCCCCAGCTCAGGCCGCCGCCTCCAGCTGCTCTCCAAGCTACAGTGGTTCCTTTAACATCCAGGCCGTCAACGTCACCACCTCCTCCAAGCGTTCCCTCGCGAAGGTCAGTGACACCACGGCAAAGCTGATGTATTCGCCGACACTAACATGGACTACAGAGACAATCCCAGGCCTTGACCCTCAGTCTCCAGGATGGTGTCCTCAAGGACTCCCAGAACCGCATTGGTTACATTGCCGCCAACAACCAGTTTCAGTTTGACAACCCAGTGCAGACTGGCACGATCTACGACAAGGGCTGGGCGGTCTGCAGCAACGGCACCTTGGTCCTCGGCCCAGATGCTGTTTTCCAGCAGTGCTTGAGCGGTGGTTTCTTCAACCTTTACGACGAGAACAGCGCTGCTCAGTGCAGCCCGGTCTACCTCCAGGTCATCAACGGTGGTGGTGCAGCGACCGCCACTGAGGAGGCCGATGGACAGGTTACCGCTTCCGGTGTCCAGTCTCAGCAGGCTGGTAAGCGCTTTCGACAAGCGTTGGTTGTTCTACGCCAGACCGGCTAACTTTGTCTACAGATGGTCAAGTTACCGGTTCGCCAGTGACTCAAATCTCTGATGGTCAACCTCAAGGCCCAACTGGTGTGGTCTCGCAAATTGGTAGGTTTAAAAACAGTGGGCGTTGGTCGGCGAAACTCGATCAACCCCCCCCCCCCCCCAAAAAAAACACAATATCACAACCCCAACCATTCCACCACAACTACCATCACTCACACTCCTTCTAGGAGACGGTCAGCCCCAGGCACCTACTGGAAACCCCGTCTCTCAGATTGGTTAGTTGTGTTGGCGTTGCACAGGCAGCGTTTTCCCCAGCCCCCCTACACTCCTGCTCACACACGGAAGGCGATGGACAACCGCAAATCGCGACTGGGTCTCCCGTTGGTCAGATTACGGATGGTCAAGTTCAAGCATCCACTGGTGTTGTTTCGCAGATCAGTACGTAGGCATGGTGTCGCACCCTCGACCCAAGCCTATTCCCCACCCCCTACCCCCTTCACCATCTCCCCTACTTACACAAATCGAAGCCGACGGTCAACCACAAGTTGCAACTGGGTCTCCAGTGGCTCAGATCTCTGACGGGCAGCCTCAAATTACTACCGGCGTCGTGTCACAGATCAGTCTGTCACAAAAACCAAAAACCCCCTGAACAATGTGCTAACTTGCTCCAAGGCGACGGGCAACCTCAGGCCCCTACCGGCGTCGTTTCGCAGATTTCTGATGGCCAACCACAAGCGCCGACCGGTGCTCCAATCCAGCAGATCTGTAAGTCCTTCCAAAAAGGGGTTGTGGTGGGATTTCGATTTTCTCGACCCTATTGCTAACACCACGGCAGCCGATGGCCAGCCACAAGCCCCCACTGGTGCTCCCATCACCCAGATCGCCGACGGACAGCCTCAAGCGCCCACCGGTGCCCCAATCACCCAAATCAGCGATGGTAAGGCCGTGTTCAATCTTTAAATCTTTGGGATGATTGCTGACAGGAACTAGGGCAAATCCAGGCACCAACTGGCTCTCCCATCACTCAGATCTCTGATGGCCAGGTGCAGGCGCCGACTGGTGCTCCAATCACCCAGATTAGCGATGGTAAGTCACTGCTTCAGCCTGATTGAAAGCCAGCTACTAACGACCCGATTTAGGACAAGTGCAGGCGCCGACTGGCTCCCCAGTTGCTCAGATCAGTGACGGTATGTCTATGCTCAATGTCGACATGCTTGAGGGTCATACTAACGGGATGAAGGGCAAATTCAAGTCCCGACTGGCAGCAACGCCACGGTTTCCGCCCCATCTGCCTCTGTGCAGCCATACACTGGTGCCGCCGCATCGTCCGTCGTCCGCAGCGAGCTCTTCGGCCTTGCCGCCGGTGTCCTCGCCGTCGCCCTCCTCTAAGCGATCGAGTAAATCGATCTGCTCTGAGTCGAGTCGACTTCGGCGGGACACCCTTCGACATTCCCTTCTCCTTGTCGCCTCTTTGGGCGGCTGACGATCCTTTTACGACACTGTAACCCTTTTACATTGCTTGGAACCTTTTGGGTGACAGAAACGAAAGTTCTCGCGACCAAAAAGAACTACGATTCAGATGTGCATATGAGACGTTCTCTACGACCACAAGACATAAGGGACACGGGACTACAGAACATTCCCTGGTGGCATTGGACACTTCAAGGTCAACAGGCAAGGCATGGATACTTAATGTTTTTGAATGGGAGGATATCTGAAGCAGACGGTGGTTGAAGCTTCAACCATGGGCTTGGTTTGACCGTCCATTTGCACCTCGGAATGTCATGTTGCATAGCATGGCGGTGTTTGAATTGCTTCTGAATGAAATGAACTTGTTTTTCTGCATGCTCGTCTTTCGCGGGCATTCGAAATTGCATTCTGCGTTGCAATGTTTCTTCCACATCAATCTCACGTTCCTTTTCACCCCATTGGGCTAAGCGCGAGCGGCAAGCCCGCTGATTGGCCAAGCCGAATCGCCCGATCTCAAAGGGGCAGCATGTGAAAGATTCCCACATTCCTTCCACCATCGTTTCAGGTTTCGACCGGAATTCACACACACCTCCCGCCGGCTCGTATACTTGCATACATGTATCTTGTACGCGCGTTCAGAATTCACGGTCAGAGACAAGACGTACCTGCTTCTGGAAGCACGCCACCACGCATCACCAAAACTTTCCAGCTGGTCCAGTTCTGCGAGAGCTGTTTGGTTGAGACGCTTGCTCACGGCTCAATTGATCCTGCTACCACAGATCTCACACGAGAATGCCATGTTTTACGAACTGCCCGTACCACGGACGAGTTCGGCGAATTTTGCGACATGTCAGCACGCAAGGGATTTGAGAAATCCCTCGTGTTGAGCCGGCGAGCCGCGGCTGTCCGACAATGAAAAGGAGCCACAAGATTTGTGTCTCACGGCACAACAACGTGAATCTTAATCTTGTGTGCGCCGTGGGTGTTGCTGTTCGGTCGCACAATCAATCTTGGGCAACAGCGCCGGCACGCCGCGTGAAACGATCATCTGAAACGGGGCAGCATTCCGGAATTTGGATATCCGAGCACGATGGTCGATCGTCGCATACGGTGGCCGATCATCACGTGAAGTCCCACGACATGTCTTCCACCCTCAGATCAAGGCGTCTGCTAATAAGGTAATCCGACAGCACGTAGAGCACGAAGGCGTCATGACTGAGCAAGAAATGGTCAGGATGTGTACACAATCTCCGAAGCAAGGGCTCAAACAATGCACTTCATGGAATTCCCGGACTGCTCGACTCGCACCACGCAGTGGAGATTCCATTGAGCCGTAGACTTCTATCAAGATGACATCACGCAGAAACATCCGATCAAGCGTCTGCCTCAAGTCATAGCTTGAACGCAGCATCAGGTGAGAGATTTCACGGCCTCAGGTGTCCTTTGGATTCCGATTGCATCGAGCAGAACAATCTGCGATCATACATGTTTCCCTTCAACAATATTCTTCCCAACAAGTCACCGCCCGGCCAAGCCACTCCACTGTATTCAATGCTGTCTGCATTATTCAATGCTGTCTGTATGGCAACGTTCGTTGGGGATTGGACAATGCTACGGCATCACAAATGACGCCCATATGCTCTGTGACCTAGGACAACAAGTGCCGCTGGCTTCCATCTTGCCTGAAGCTGTGGCAACGGACGCTGGAAGAGTCTTAGCTGACTCCTCTCCACTTGCGGACTTTCGACCTGGTCCTCCAATAACGAGGGCGAAGATAAGGACCAAAGGATGAAGATGAAGACGCCATCTCGCCCTAAGGCAGCGAGCAAGAGGATGACGAGCTCGAGCCCTTAGGTGTGCTAATCAAAGTGAGCTGTAATATCGACAGCACGCACCATGCTCTATCTCAAGCCTGAAAGAGCTGGCGTGGGTAATATGGAGAAGCACTTCGTGACCCTGCAACAAGCACCTTTTCAGGATGCCATGCGATCAGAATATGAGAGGCTACGTATTCAAAGGGGTTGAAGCACCCACCATCACGCATCTCCACAGAACCATATTGGACCAGGCTGCTTGCATTGCCACGACGCTGAGTGTTGCATGCAAAGAAGTGGGGATGAGGTTCGTCCTACTCATATATATCAAGCACTGCATTGCAGAGTCTCCTCCTCCGCAAGAAAGAACAGACGCCTCGTTTGCACTACCCACTCAAGGGCTCGAGCTCGTCATCCTCTTGCTCGCTGCCTTAGGGCGAGATGGCGTCTTCATCTTTATCCTTACTTTGGTCCTTATCTTCGCCCTCGTTATACGTATTTCGTTTGACGCCGAAAGCAAGACTACTTCTGGCACATATCATGATCTGCCATCCAGCGTGCCAAATGCTCAGGCTACTGCTCAAGGCTCATTGCTCTGCCACCACTCAGATTGCGGCACAGGTGCCGGCTGGAAGAGACAATTCCGAACGCAACAACATCGATACCGCTCATCTATAGCAAAGGATCGGGAGACCACGCGAAATGAAAGATGAGAGCCCAGACAGTTTGGAAGTGGATTACCAGCGACCTCCTACTAGAACATGGTCGCTGCTGGAAGTTTCGGTATGACTTCCATGTCGCTAATAGATAGCAGGGACCGAAGGCGTTCGATGTCGAGCAGAAATCATCGAAGGGGAGGACGAAGCGGCAGTCTTGCCTCGCAATTCGAGTGAATACCGCCGTAGAGGCTTGTCTATGTCGTTGCTGTATATGAAGAAAAACTGCTGGCGGAAAAGGGCATCCCTGCGAGAACTTCACCCGCCATAGCAACTGGATGGTCTATGAACTACTAGACCTCCAATGACATATGGAGATGGCGTGTCTTCAGCGGCAGAGCTCAATACTTGGCCGAGAGGTTTTGGGAGTGTATCCTCGTCCTCTACGACGCTGAACGCCTCGCATGTCCCTCCTCGCCAATTCTGTCTTTTCAGATACGCTATTAGCCCTCAGAGACCGGCATCCCGCGGGCACTATTTGGGGTGGCGATGACGTGGATGCCTCTGTCTTTCCAGCGCAAGTCTTTCTCACCAAATGGACATGCGATGCGGTGTGGAGTGATGAAGCTATAATCTGTGTTAGACTCCGCCTTTACGTGTCGACTCATCGGCCTATGTACGTACAAGTAGCCGCCGCGCGGAAACTCGACGATCCATGGCGTCTGAAAGGGCGGCCCTCACAGCTTGTGTCGTTAAGTGGAAGAGCTCACGGTACCCGTCATCATGCTCTTGAGGATCGAAGTAGATCTGTTGGCATCAGCAGTAAAGAGAACATGCCAGACTGATTGCAGCAGGTAGGAACAGGGGAACGAAAGATTTAAACGCAAGAAGCAGGTTATTAAATGAGGCAGAAATGTTCACAATGTGAATATCTTGGAGTGCAGATGACATGTGGCCCGCGCTTATGGCTTGGCAGTCACATGCCAGGGAACAGTCAGCTTGAGTGAATGGAATTTGTAAAATTCTCCAAATGTCTGTAGGCCTATATGGCTCTACGAAAATTAGAAGCATGTAAATGCTTTTTTACTCGATTCTCGTTGCCATCATATAAATGCGCCGGACTCTGCTAAACGGTGAGTCAGAGGAGCAGCCAATACTTGTAGCAAGCCTCAGACAGTATCAAGTCTGAAGACGAATGTCTTCCCCTGAGATACTATACAATGTCTAGATACACCGTTATAAAGCCTGGTCTTTTCAAAGCTAGCGCTAGCATCCGCTCGATAGTAGTTACGCGGTTGCAACACTATAGTTGCCAGAATACCCTGGACCCGCCTTTGCCCAAGTGCGATTAGTGATACGCCAGCCTTCCTCAAGTTTCTGCAACTCGTCCAGGTAGTAGCCGAAGTAATAAATGACGCTGCCGTTGTAGTATGGATCAGCAAAGAGAGTGCTTTGGTCGTACGTGGTGCTGTTTGCAGTAGAGTTTATCGGCACATCCGCTGGGATATGCTGCTTCAGGATCCATTGTAGAGCATTGTACGGCCATGTTAGGCCCTGCTGCCCGGAACCTTCGTTCTCGTTTTCGTGTATGTCGATGCCCATAACGCTGCCTAAGTGCTGAGACGTGTGTCCAGCAACAGACTCCTTGCAGACCTCGATAATAGCATCGATTCCGTAGAGATCCGCCCATGCACCCCCGTAATTTGCGTAAGCATCTGACGAAAAGACTCTGTCGAGTGACGCAAAATCCTTCGTGTCAATGAAGATCGAGTACCGATTGATGGTATCGTGAATCGCTTCCCAGTCGCTCTTCGCACAAGTACCAGAACTGAGTAGGCCGATAATGAGAGCAGCAGTTGCGGTAAAGCTTTTCATCTTGCCAAGGAGTGTCTGAAGTCGACAACGATTGATTAATGCAGAGGTACAGTCTTAGGATGAGACCCACGATGCAGTATATAAGTGGCGACGTTCATCCGTTCTCTCGCTCACTAGACGCTAGATTACCAATCTATTACACGTCTGCACTAGATGGCACGATGAAGGTGGCGATCGTCGGGTAGCACAGTACAGCCTTGGCATCGCACAAAAGAGGAAAGTACCGTTTTGTGAGGTCTCCCCAGCAAATAGTGATCAAGAGGCGAAGGAGTTCTAGTGCATGACTGATATCGCGGTAAGCAGACGTGACGTCGACCATGTGCGTATTGACTGCTTCTACTAGAAACCTGGATACGAGATTGCCAGTACATAGATCATGCAGAACATCGCGTTGAATCCAGCCTTGTCTACCACTCTGCGAAATGTTGTTAACAAAAGGGACACTCATGGCTTTGGCTACGGCCTCCTCAATGACGATCTCCCAAGTCGCTGCTTCGATTCTCTACGAGCACGGAACGATTATCGGATTCAACACTACGACCGAACAATTTCAGATATACCAAAACGCATCACTTCACATACAAAACGATCGATTCACTGGCCTGGCGGAGGGTGGCTTGTCTTCGGTACCTCCGAATACAACTCAAATCAATGCTTCTGGCCGAATTATTGGGCCAGGATATGTTGATACCCCTACGTGCTCAGAACTCTTGTTGTACTTAGAACGGTGATCTCATCAATTCTTGACAGATCATCACCTATGGCAAACTGCGTTTAAGACCCTTGGATCCAACACCACGCTGGCAGACTACGTTCAAAAATTCGGCGAGTACGGTCCGGCCGTGCAGAACTTCACCACGACAGACATATACCTAGGGCAGCTTGTAGGAAGCTTGGAGTTGCTACACGGAGGCACGACGACGGTGCTCGACCACTCGCACGGTGGGACTCGTTACTTGTTGCTTGTCGAGACACCCACTGACAGTGTCCATTTTCTGTAGCTGCATGGTCTAACGATGGCATCGATGCTAGCGTTAATGGCTCCTACGACAGCGGTGTTCGTACCTTCTATGCTCATACACTACATGTCATTGATAACGACTTCACCTGGAACGACCAAATCTCTAAGCTACGAGCTCTCACCACTGACAAGCGCTTTCAAGATAACGACCTCATGCATCTTGGCCTGGCCTACGACGACTTCTATGGCAACACACCTGAAAACATAACCGAGATGTGGAACATTGTCCGTGAGGGCAACCTGACACATGTCACTACTCACTACATGAACGGGCCATGGGGTTGGCTGAATAGCGTTCAGCTTCTCGATGATTTAGGCTGGCTCAACACGAGCGTCCCTGTCGTTTTCTCGCACGGAGCGTTCCTCACCGCTGAGGATGCACGTCTGTTGCGCCAGCGAAACCAATACATCTCCACGACTCCAGAGAGCGAACTACACTTCGGCCATAATCATCCTAATATCGAGTTGATCGTTGATCAAGCTTCTTTGGGTGTAAGTGTGAAAAGAGACCTATGCTTGCGACTGAACGAACGATCGTTGCGAATTGGATGCATAGCTTTCTGACCACTGTCTGTAGGTCGATTGCCACTTTACCTTCTCATCCAGTCACATTCAGCAAGCAAGGCTTTGGCTGCAATCACTTCGGGCGCCAGAGTCTCTCAAAGTCCTCGAGACTTGGGAAGTTCCGTGGAACAATCCAGTATGTATGACCATTCGTCTAATATGAATTTTGATTGATTCTTGCTCTAGATGTCGGTGCGTCAAGCGTATTACCTCATTACTCGCGCAGGCGGGCTTGCTCTTCGTCGCCAAGATCTTGGTATCATTGCTGTTGGCTCGAAAGCCGACGTCGTGGTTTACCGTGGCGATTCCCCCAATCTTCTAGGGTGGCATGATCCAATCGCTGCTCTGGTGTTGCATTCGGATGTCGGTGACATCGAAGACGTGCTACTTGATGGCAAGTTCGTGAAGCGAGGAGGAAAATTGCTTCATCCAGATTGGGAAGCAATCAAAAGCCGTTTCTTGGATTCCGCTGCTAGGATCCAAGAGCAGTGGCTCTCCTTCGACTGGCCATCTTTGACGTCTGGCTCCGGCTTCAACGATGGTTTCTCGCTATACGCAACAGCTGACCAAATTGACAGCCTCCGCGGGAACGGTACCGGCTACTAAAGCTAAGATACTGTGCACAACGTATTTTATAGCGAAATGGCGCAGATGGGGAAGTACGGTTGCTTCGCTAGTACCGTTCTCGCTCTTTAGTATCAAGTAGATTTTGTCTTCAAATTCCTAAGTCTATATACTAAAATTGGTCTAGCCGTCCTAGAACTTTACACGAAACAAATAGAGACAAGACGGACGACGTTGACCCCACCACTCAATCGGACTATAGCCAGCCACCGGACTACATCACGCCTCACACAAATCTTGCTGTCTTAGGTACAGGGTTACGCAGTTAGGGTCGGGGTTAGTAGTCAGGGTAGGTTAGGGGTTCGGGTTAGAGGGTTAGGTAGGTATTGTAGAAGGTGTTAGGGGGCGTATCGGACTTATTCGACTCAATTGCGACCCAAGAGCCTCTACGGAATGTGTGTAAAATGCGTGCAAAAGGTGTGTATTTACGTGGGGTGTAGTCCGGTATAGTACCGGGGCAGCCCAATTTGCTGAAGTTGACGCGACGTTGAAAAGTGAGAAGCAAGCAGTCAGATGCCGCTCGGCTTAATGAAAAGTTGGTGAAGCTTACCTAAATTAAGTTGCCAAGATTTGATCACCTGAATCCATTGGCACGTAAGGAAACTCTAAGTTTCCAACCTCCATCTTCACTCACCACCTTGATGAATCGAGAAGCTTAACGACACCTCACCTCTTACCAGCTCCAACGCAGACATGGCGCAAAATGTCCTCCTCGAGACCTCTATGGGTGCTATCGTCGTCGAACTGTACGCTTCGGACGCGCCCAACATGTCGAGGCTGCTCTCGAACTATTCCGGATTCCAGGTTCCTGTTGGTGGACCCCGGGTTCCTGTTTGTCGCTATGCGGGCATATGACATGCTAGGAAGGAATGCGATAGGAAGGAGGCGATAGGAAGCGTGGGATGGCCACAATATTGAAAGAGAGGCGACTTCTCGCATTCAGGAATCGGAATGCAGATACAACCTGTGCCTTGATGACCTCAAAAATCCGCACAATTCCGCACAGCACCGGTTCATTGCACTCGCGCTACTAGACATGGTAACTATCGACATCAAAGCACTTGCACACGCATGCGGGACGTCTGGACAACATATCAAGAGAAGCGCTTTACCTGCTCCGAAAAAAGGTCTCGCCTTGCTCAGGAAAAGATGGCTCGAGTGAGTGCATATACTACTCTCGTGACGACAAGCTATTGACAGTACAGGTTTGCGACAGAGGTCGGGCTTGAAGACGTTGACGAGTCTATGCCTTTCTCCACCGCCCCAGCCGTCGCACAGATCTTCGCCTTCCTTACGTGGAGACTTCGTAACAGCCACGGCCTGCTTGCACCCAGATTGCATGTAACCACTCTAGAGAAGGAGTGGAGTCAACTGAAAGGCGGTGTCCGCCAATCATGCGATCATCAGTATTCCAAACGCGAGCAGACTGAAGTGCGAAGAGTATAGTCACGCACCGCCATTGCCTCTCTTCAGAATCATTGCTGATCTGCTCGTAGTTCATCCACCATACCCTGAGAATAGAGGAGAACGCTTCTACGATCTCGCAGAAGAAAGCGCTTGCAAGCAAAGGGGTCGTCACCGATATCATCAATTTTCTCTGGGCTTTCGACGAGTACAGATTTGCTCACAGCCGAATGCGCCTGTAACTATCTCTCGGTATTTTGCTGCTCACTCACCTTGGTGTTAGACCTGGCGAGATGGTCGAGTCTTCGCAACATTTTGGTACCAACGAAGGCATTTTATACAAAGACCTTACCATATACAAAGTGCCCCGAGGGTCGGCATCGATATTCGCCATCTTGGCCAAACTGCGAAACCGAAAGTTCAACCGCGGTTTGCAGCATAGAGAGTATATTTGAGACTCAAGGTAGCGTCTGACAACTCGCTAATATATGTCCAGCACAGAGCTTCCGCTCATTGAAGATGTCGATAATCGCGCTCTGTGTCCGGTCCTCCAGCTTCTATCTCTTGCCATCGCTGATGCAGCACTCCAGGGGGTCGGTGGAGTTGACGACCTCGAGCGGATTCGATATCGCTCTGGCTGCCCAGTGCGGCAAATACTCATCCGGGAAGAGAGGGCTGAAATGCCAGTCATGCGGAAGCTGATACCGGGCGGCAGTCGACATATTTCAGACTCTGAGATCCTTTCTGTAGGTTCGCTTCACAATATGCTACGGGCAGTAGGAGAAAGAGCAGGATATCAAGATCCTTTGAAGGCCTACAATTTCCGCAGAATGCACGGAAACATGCTGGACAGTGAGTTTATTGTGAATATCCGCTACACACGTATCAATTTCGGTTACGAAACAGCAGAACATGTCTCCGCAGCTCGAAGGAGTAAGCATTTTGGACACCGAAGTGAACGCTCATTCTTGTCGTATATCTCAGACATCTCCGATGTGCATATGCAGGCGCACTTCAATGAAGAATCTCCTGAAGACCAGACGATTGGCCTGTTGCAGTCTATGGAACGGAACCTGGACACTGGCGCACAGCAGCCACCTGGATCACAACTCACCGATGTGCCTGTTGCAACCTTCACTGCCGAGGGGCAAGTGCAATATCCAGGCTTAGAGGAGCACCTATCTGCGTTTCGAAGTGCAAAGAAATTGCGGATTGATACACCGCCACTGTATGAAGGAGATGTTGACGGACAAGCACAAAGCCGACCTTCCCGGTCGAGATACCTGGAATGTCTTCTTAGATACGACCAGGGCCGTAAGAACATATCGAACCTTCTGTATCCCAAGACAAGTCCCGAAGGCGATGGATTTGTATCGCGCAGCGAGCTTATGAGCTGTTTTGTGGACCTGGCAGAGGCACGCAAAAGGGTGCCTCGCTATCCGGATGCTGTACCTGCTGAAGACGGCAGTCGCACGTGGTGTCTTAAATCTGGAACTGGAACGTCTTATTCGAAGAACATTCAACCATGGAACATTCATCTTCTGAGCTGCGCGAGGCAGCGTAGGCGCTGTACCAAACTCGCGCAAGTGTCAGCTTTCAGGCAACGCATTTCCCATCGCCGCTGGGGACAGTGCCGTACTGACTTTGAGGCCTGGAGTGATGGCGAGGTGTGCGGGTACATAGGTCGTCACGCGCGTTTGACCTGTCTCTGGCACGGTTGCTGGAGGGACTTTGAGGATAAACGAGATTTGCGGAGCCACTTGGTTGCTGAGCACGAAGTCTTTGCAGCCGTGCCGACGTCGGACAGCTATTGTCACGAGTGCCGCCTGTGGATCACCTCCGCCGAAGACTGGGAGTCTCACTGCTTAGGCCACTTACACGAGATGGATGAATTCTGCGGCCTCATCCGTTGGCAAGGGTTGATCATCAGAGCGCAGTGGGGCACGTTCTGCCTTAGCAACGAAAGCATGCCAGCCTCCCGCAGGCTCCAACAATTTGTGCAAACGTCCCATCTCCACAAACACCTTGCAACCCACTTGGCAAGGGTCGTATGGCCTCTTCTTTCCCCGCACCCACGTTGCACATCGATCCTCGATAATCCTCGCGCTTTCTGGATACATGCTAATGGAGTCCGGTTTCGATTCGCCAGGGCTGCTGCGCTTCCCAAGCAGGAAGATGAAGCTCCAAAACAACAAGGTATGGAGCACCCAGACCGTGTTGAAGATTGGCTCGACGGTGATCAGGACACGTGGCTCGGACCTCTTATGACTTCAGATCACAACGACTTCGATTTTGGATTTGCTTTTTCGGATGTGCTTTTTCGGATGCCGAGTCTCCTGACAATCTGAACTCTACAATCTCGTGGCGGCATGCAGATGTCTATTCTGAGACAATACCTCCACCAGAGACTGGCCCCGGTGACTATGCATCGAGCGACACATTTGCTTCTGCCTCCTTGCATAACGATGCAACCCTAGGGCCGTTCGCTGCATGTGGAACAGAGCTCGACGAGAGCAGAGCAAAAGACGGAAGCCTCTTACGGCCTTTCACCTGTCCGCACGAACGTTGCGACTGGACGTTTGCGACACAAAGTACTCTAGTAAGCCATGCGAAAAGACGCAAACATCGAGATTGCCCAGAAGGATGCGGTGCTGTTTTTGATATGTACAAGGATTTGAAGGAGCATCTTCTCCATGTTCATGGGAGGAAGCTTAAAGGCGGGGCAGGGTGTAGGGTCTGAGAGGATCAGATAAATGAGCCTGGATATTTATCTTGTCTCTCATACTAACACAGAGGCTTGCGTTCCATTGAACCGTCTCCGGCCTTGCTCAACTAGTCGACGCAGGCGATCACGAGTTGGACCAGCACTTGTCTGAAGGCAGGAGGCAGAGAGCTTCTTTCTTTACGGAATTCACGCACGCACGAAGGAACAGGAGCATGCCTACTCATCTCTGCTCCAACCAAAGTCAAGACGAAACTTCTGCAGTTCACATGTCTCGTGCCATTCTGCGCAACGATATTCTGCTCCGTGGCCACGGCAAAGAACACATCCACGACTGACTAGTCCCGCATTGACATGTCTTCTACCAAGGCAATAGTCATGAGTGGAAGTCGCTCCATCAATAACATGTGCGCGCGTTAGGTCGCAAGCGTGACCATGTGTGGACGACTTTCATTCAACAAATCAAGACTGATGCTTCCGTATTCACGCCCGCTAACATCTAATAGTGCGGCCTCCGTTGACTTCAAATTGATTTGTTCGAGGGTGCGAGGCTGAGTACGTTCGGCGCTTAAGTCCTCACCGGTTGAGGCACGTATAGGTACATGTACCTCTCGCTGGTGGCTACTTGTGTCTCGAACGACACGCCTCCTCTCGTTGACAGTCAAAATCCAGTGACCTCCATCACTTAGCCCGGTTGGTGTCTTACCACTTTCGACATCACAATTCAGACTACCTCAGCCTCATGCCAGAGTACGGAACAAGGTCGCAGCCCGGGGCAGCTACTACGACTCCACGTTTTCCTGACAAGGCAGTGGTTGGAGCTTCTCCAGGGACTATACACCCGACTCGAAGGCGAGGCAACCCTGACAGGAATTCGAGGTTCGATGGCGCACGACAAATGGAAGAAGCGAACGATGCGATTTTTACGCAAGGACACGAAATAGCAAAGGCTGGATCAAGTGATATAGCTCCGGCAGAAGCGGGCAGGGACACCTCAGCTGAAGGAAGAGAAACAAAAGCCATTGAATTCAACCACTGTTTTCTGTGTTTCGACACTCAAGAAGGAGGTTACTATGTCGAAAAGGTGGATCTTGAATGGCCCGGAAAAGTTGTCTATGAGTGGTCGTACAAGAAAACAAAGAAGGGATCTAGGAGGCCTACCCCAAAGCCCATGTTCAAGGAGCAAGGGAGTCCAAAAGAAGATTTCGAAAGGATCCAGGCAGCAATCTACAAGAACAAAGGATGGTGGTCCAGATACTTATGGTGCTACGAACTTGAAGTGAAGGAGATCAAAGTAGGTCGTATGTGGTGTGCCCATATCCAGCGTCGCTAGCTGATTTGCTACTCTAGTTTCACTTCAAAGCTCTACTTCGCAATAAGATGTGCGTCAATATTAAGCACTGGTTAGACCCTGAAGCGATCAGGGAAAAAAACTCCAATGATAGGGAGAATCTCCGTTATGTCGAGTGTCATTCTAACTACCACGACTCCAACTGTCCTGAAGCAATGCGCCAAGCCGACATTCCGGTTTTTGATGAGCCGGCTTGTCTACAAGACCAGTACGAGAACGCGGGGAGGAGACTGATCGGTTTCGAGAAACGGGATTTGCTTAAAGAATGCATCGAGAATCCCGAACAGACCGAAGCTGAAGAGATCCTAAGATATGGGCTGCTCCAAAAGAGTTTCGTATACCGAGAAGATGAAGCAGAGGTTTGTAAATGCTCCCATGGTTAAGGGCAAACTACTTACCAGGGTAACAGTGGTTGCGAGATCAATACAATGATAAGCCTCCACCTTCAGGTTGGGAATTGTTGAGACGCTGCATCCCAAGAATAGTCCATTTCAAGGCCAAAGACTACAACAGTCTCAAGAAAGACCCAACGTCAAAGGATGCCAATCACTCAGAGGCGAACGACTCGCCCAGACTAACAAGGATTGACTCGCTTATCGAATACCGCGGGATATATGTCAAAATGAGATGGAATGTGCCGCGCATGATCCGCAGCATCAAGGCCGGCTTTCTTTGGTGTCTGTCCGCATTCACGATCACTTGGATTGGGGTACTGGTATGGGGTAGGCATGGCGATTGGAGCACCGCGTTCACATTTGGCTCGCTTCTTGTTGCGGTCCTCGCCTTGCCCCTTCCACTGATCATCCTATACACTACATAGTTAAGTCAGATACTGGTGGCTTCCTGATTTGGCGTCTATCTTTACCGATACATTGCTGGAAGTAGGAGGTCATGTATTCTTGTCTTTTCCGCATCATTCATAGCTTTGATGCAACTAGAGCATGTGAGTGCCAAGCCTCCATGCTGTCGATAAGAACTCCGACTGCTATTCCCTATCTCTCAGTTCTAGACTTCGGGGAGTCGTAATCTAAAGACCTGATATCAGGTCGCACCGACAGACTTTGTCGCTCACAGTATTGGGCCTTAAGTCCTCGAAATTCTCCATCAGAAGAGCCTTGTCGTGTTGCACTGTGTCTTGCAGTAGCCAGTCTTGAAAGTGCACGCCTGTTTGGAGAAGACGCAATGACGAGCGTCTTCGCGGGTCGAATCTGTCCTGTGGCCACACCAACGAGCACGCCGAGTCGTAAGTGTCAGCGCACTATCCTCAGCAAAGCTGACAGGATGTGCTAATAGGCAGCCAGAGTTATACTGTTGGGTTGGGAGAGTCGCTGTTCTGGCTGTCGCACATGCGACGGGTTGCGACAGACACACGTTGGCGGGCATTGCAGGCCGTGACATCAATGGCCAATTGACATATCCCCAGCGGTACGCAGGTCGGCTGCAGATTCAACTCGCAGTCGTTCGTGGTCATTGCGACGTCTACGCGAGCAAAAGCACAGGCCAATACGCAGACGACTGTAATGGTCTGTGCGAGGCCAGTCCAGTGGCTCGGGGCTGTTTTGCCTTTTGTGGAGGCGGGTGCCTGCTTCTCCGAACCTCGTGGGCAGTTGGCGCGTCAACACTCGATCCCGGTTTCGGTTTCTGGGTTACAAACTTGTGGGACGTCGACCTACGCTGAGATGCATATTGGCAAAGCTTTGTTGGTGTCTCGACCAGACAATCACTCCAAGATTTCGGGAATGTGAAGTTCGGGGTTTCGACTCCTGGACCGAGAACGACGAATCGCGTCCTGCACCTTGACAGAAAGAAGGAAGTGGAAAACAGAAGGTCACAAACACCTTTCCCATGTAGTGTCTGCCACAACGTGGCTGAATCTCGCGTGGTTATCGAGTGCCGTGCTGAAACGCAGGGGGCCGGCAGCGGCACCTTGGAAAGGCCGTTTGGCGGGACGGAATCAAAAGCACGTCCTTGCGCAAGCGTCGGCTCTCCACAGACCATGCGGGCAATGCCCATGGAGACAGGGAAAGAGGGAAGTCCCTGCCGTGAAAGCGACTTTACATACCCCACATGTTCCAGCTTTCTGGTTGATCTACTTTCCACATGGCATGGGTGGAAGCTTTCCACATGAAGCATGGGATAAAAGTCTTAGCGACAGCGACGTAGGGCGCTTCCCACATGGAACTCTTCATAGGAGATTTGAACATGCTATGAGTGGCTGCCCATGCGGGAGTTGAGGATCTCTGAGAAGACGGCTCGCCATAGTCATTTTCAGAAGGGCCTGGCCAGTTTCGCCCTCCCCAACGAATGGCTCGACATTAGATCTTGATGCTGTTCAAGAAGGTTTTGTACTACCAAAGCACACGTTATGGCATGAGACAATTTTCATAGATAAGGATCGCTGTGTCTCATGCACCCACACTGCAAGCAATCTGCGCAGCACAGCGACTGCAAGCGCTTGGCGTGGGTAACTCAAGGCCTCTAGGTTCAATCAACTCGCTCCCGCGCAGCGCCTGCCTTTGCCTTCTTCGCGACCGTGCGTCGTTGTCAAGGCGTAGGACGCATACAACGGCGGGAATGATGGCGTGCAAGTGTGTTTCATCATCCTCGCATGCTGCACGAGCCTCGGGCCATTATGGGACGGCTCGAGCACGGACGGCCCGTGCAGGCAGTTGCTCCGCTTCGCCAAAAGAGGGATCGGCGGACAGCACTCCCGTGCTGCACACGCTCACGCATGCAGCTAGCGAACGCTCAATCGCTGAAATGCCTCGCATGCGGTGAGGTTCGAGGATGCTAGAGCTCTCTGTCCAGAAGAGAAGAAGAGATGTGGTGCTAGACGCTTCACAAATGGCGAGTGGAAGGAGCGGTCTCTGCGTCGCATACCAGGCGCAGACCAAGACGCTGCAATGCTACCACCCTTGCAACCCCGAAGCTCGCCTTCAACGACTGTGCCTCACTGAGCACCCACGCACCTTCCGTTTCCCACGCTACGCTACGCTACGACAAGCGAAGGCTGAATGAATGGAGATGCAATGCCTGCGCATGTGTCACAACTTTTTAAGGAGGCGTTGGCAGACTGACGCACATCTCCATGTCTCAGGCGCACACACATCCATATCCCGCCAGCGCCTTCAGCATCAGTCAGATTGAGTCCTCTCATATCATTCGGTCACACGCTCAATCGACGAGGGAAATCTCGTGGCCTCTTGTTCAACCCCAAAGACTAGTCTCGACTCCAGATCAAACACGATGGTGACGAGAGAAGAGGCCAAGCGGATCGTGGAGAAAGTTGGCAAGCAGCAAGGATACATCAGCGAGACCAGATGGCGGCGTATCCAAGAATGGGACCAAGAATCGTTCGAGGACGTTCGGGAGAGTATGCACAATATGCGGAAGGTTGCCAGTCAATCCATTAAAGCGTTTGTCACCCCGCCACATGGATGCAACATTATGTCAAATACTGAAGTCTTGGCTAATCATCGCATCTGTAGGCTTGCCAGCAACATCTACGGGAGCAACGCGCGCTTCTTTTTCGAGCTTCTGCAAAATGCTGACGACAACTGCTTCACCCGCGCAAAAACCCATGGCTCACAGCCTTTCTTCAACTTCGATCTTCGCCCTGACCATATCATCGTGGATTGCAACGAAGACGGTTTCGAAAAAAAGAATTTGGAAGCCATCTGCACCGTCGGCGATAGCTCCAAAACGACTTCACATGGCTATATCGGGAACAAGGGCATTGGCTTCAAATCCGTGTTCATGGTGGCTCGAAAAATAAACATTGAGTCTGGTCCATACTCTTTCCGTTTTGAGATTGAGAGTCGATCAGATGGCCTTGGCATGATCACACCAATCTGGACAGACCTTCCTGCACCCGAATCGAATCGGTCTGGAACGCGAATGACGCTGTACCTCCATCCCGATGGAAATGAGCAATTCAACCATGACAGTCGTTCTACAATCGTTGAGCAGCTCGAGTCCCTGGACCCAACATGCCTGCTGTTTCTAAAAAATCTCAAGCAGATGAACATCACTATCTGGGATGTGGATGGCAAAACCAACCGCTCAAAGACCTTCCATCTGGATGAAGTGCCCAACGGCGTAGTCCGTCTTAAAGCTACAACGGCAAGCTCACAGGGTGCCACGCAGGAATCATTGAAGCATTATCGTAAGATTTCTCGTACATTCACTGGACTTCCGGTCAACGTGTGGAGATTCAACAAGAATTTGGAGGCTGCATCTACTGAAAACCGATCCAACAAGGACTGGAAAACTGCTATGGAGAAGCTTGAACAGAGCGCTGAAGTCGTGCTCGCATTTCCTTTGACCGAAGACGGCATGCCCTTGGAACAACGACAACAGCTATTTGCGTTCCTACCCATGAGCAAGTCGGACTACGATGTAATACTGATCGTTTTGAACTTCGAAGCTACGTTGATACTGACTTCCGACAGTTCATCATCCACACCGACTTTGTAACCAACGCCAGTCGGGAGCACATCGTAACGTCATCACCAAGAAATCAAGCTCTCCGGGTCCATATTGCCACCACATTCGTGGACGCGATCAAGCAGTTCTGCGACGAAGACTCCGCGCTGCGTTACCGCTGGCCTGCCTTTCTTCCTGCCAAAGAAGATACACACGACCAGTTCTGGAAGGTACTGAATGATGAGATCGAGCGACAGATATCTCAAAGCACTGTCCTTGTGTCACGCAACAAGCAGCAGTTGCGAACTATCGATCAAGTCTTTGAAGTTGCGGACGACTTTATCGAGGAAGATGGGACTCCTTTGCTTGACGACCCTATCACAGATCCATTTCTGTCGCCCTCATACCCATCCTCTGCGCTCCAATCACTCCAAGAATATGGCCTGGAACCTTCAACGTTTGAACTCGCCGTAGACCTAATTAGGAAAGATCTAAATTCTTTTCACAAGTCCAAGATCAGGGATCAATCGACGTCGGAGGACTGGCACTCTAGACTGGCACGGCTAGTTGTGAAAGATGAAGACACTATCGACGCTTTGAAATCCATTGCCGTAATCCCACTTCGAAGCGGGGATTGGGCTTGCGTGGCAGATGGGCCTGTCTTCTTCCCGAGTACGAAGGGCTTTGCCATACCGGCAGGGCTTCCATTACAGATGATTGACCCGACCGTATTGGCCAATACGGCCCGGAAGGCTTTCTTCACAAGATTGGGGGTTGAAGAGCCTCAGGTCAACCAAGTAAGAGCTGCAATTGTGAGCGCTTACGCCGGGCAAGATCCTTCCCAACCGGGTGTCAGCAAAGAGACATCCTTGGCTCATTTACACTACCTCTACCAGACACGGCAAACCGCATCGACATCGGCGACTGACTCGGAGAGAAAACTTGACGATCTCAGAACTCTGATGGATCGTCTCGAGCTCCGACAAATCTTTGTGCATGCCAAATCCAAGTCAATCGTCTTCCCGCATCAGACCGATGTCTATCTACCAGGACGCCGTCCTTTTGGGGCAGAGCTTTTTCTCCTCGCAGCAAATCTAAACGTGCCGGGTTTCGATTTGCAAATACTGGATCCGGTCTACCTGCAGCACCCTCCTTCTACAAGCGGAAGTATCTCTTGGAGCACCTGGCTTTGTAACGATCTTGGAATACGTGAGAGTCTCAGACTCGTCGATCACTCTGGAAAATCGCTTTCGAGTGTATGGAACTACATGGCAGAGCACATGCCATCGAACCTCTTGCCCGTGTTCCAGCATCGTTGGAATGATGTGAAATCAACCTTCATCGACAGTGAGGTCTTGCGAACGCAAGTCAAGAACACCTCGGCCAGGGAACTTTGTCGCTGTGTACAGCCGCCAGCTTGCAAGCTTCAAGAAACGTTCTTGCCCACCCCAGCCCTGCTGGAGACCTTTAAGCGGTTTGCATATTATGATCAAGCTTTTCCATTCCTCCGCGTTGAAGCTGCCGAATCATCGGATTGGGACTTTTTGGTCCACCACTTCTCCGTCAGGAGAACGTGTGACCTCGACTTTCTTCTTGCGATCCTCTCTTGGATCAAGAAGGGCAATCCTGCAGTCCTCAACGAAGAGAAGCAACAGAGACTGCTCAAGCTCTATGTTGCCATCAGAGCACAGTGCGTTAGTGACGGGTATCGCGCCGACACAAAACTCAGAATCAGGTCTGTATTCTTTGCTGTGTGTCAGGGTAATGCTAACAAGTCGAAGGACTGAGATAGAGGAAGGCCAGCTGCTTTATATTCCAGCCTCCGGAAGTCGATCTTTCCATTGGTCAACACCTTCTCGCTGTCGCCTTGAAGGCCCCGCAGGCATGCTCACCAAAGACTCCATATTCCTGGATGCAGTACCCTCAGACGTGCCTAAAGGAGATCTCACGGCATTCTACAAGGATATTCTTGGCATCTCCAGCGCCAGCATGAACGACCTGCTGGATGAATTGTCAGCGCTTCATCAATTTGACGTTGATTTCGACCACGTCCTTGATGTCTACCGACGCTTGGACAAGATGACCAAGGGCAAATCTGAAGGTTACCTAAAGTAAGTCACTTCATTGTGACCTGTTGCATATTGATATCCCACTGATGCTTGGCAGCCAACAATTCGAGCTTCACCAGATGATCTTCATTGATCGCCAGCAACGCCGCTGGTACAAACCAAGCGAGTGCCTTTGGACATCCACCACCAAGATCAGCGGCAAAATAGTGCTCAGCGATCAAAATGATCATTACAAAGACCTACGAGATTTTTTCATAAAGTCTGTTGGTGTAAGGCTCTTGACACTGCGTATGGTGTATGACGAGCTCATCCACTCGAGCAATGGCAAATCAGCAGACGAGCTGAAAAGCACGATCCGTTCATTGAACGCGCTCTTACTGACCGACAATGAAAGTCTCGACCCTAAGCCGTTGTTACAGCAACCCATCTTTGCTGTGCGACATGGCAATGGATCGTCTGAGAAAGTCTCTGTTGCCACCGATTTTGCCATTCCGGACCGTGAGGACCTGGCGAGTCATTTTAAAAACAAAGTCACGATGCTCGCTTATTCCTTGGAGGAGATTGTCCGACTCAGGCCATTCCTGGAGTGGGCTGGTCTAACTACCCGGTATCTGTCTGTCTCGGTGAAGGAAAACACCTCAGTTGTTGACGGTGGCGCTCGGGAAATCTTGAGGTCAGATCGGGATTTGAAACGGAAAGCTCACGCACTTCTGCGGTATGTTGGCGAGATCAGTCGGAAAAGCAGTCTTCAACTGACAATCTTTCAATCCAGCATCGCCGCAACATTCAACAGCCCAAGATGGCAGACGGATCAATCTGCCCTGTACGAAGCTTTTCACAAGACTAAAGTCTTGGAGACTGACGCGATATCGTCCCTGTTGACGCTCCGTCAGAACGGTCAGACTTTTGAGGTAGTCCTCAACGCCGGCGACATGCACATTGATGACAAGCAGAACAACCTGGATATCTACGTTCCCCGCAGCAGAAAGGCCCAGGACATATGCTTCAACTCAGCACTGCCCAAGAATCTAGCCAGTTGGTTGATGCAACACCCACGGACACATGTCATGGAGCCTGTGGATAATGAGCTGATCATTGTATTGACCTCATGCCTGAGTAACAGCCGGTCTGTTGTGGATTCTCTTCTGGAGCGTCATCGTATTATTCAAATCTCGGTACCCAACGAGGACGGCGAAAGTGGTGATGAAGACGCAGCCGGGGAGGGCAATCCAGGGGTCAACGGAAGAAACGAGACAATGGGAAGAGACAACCCGGAATCGGAACTTACTGATACGCTTGCGACCTTGTCGTTGGAAGAAAATATATACAACGTCACACCAAGGCGCTCCTTTGGAAACTCAGACGATTCAAACTCTAGCCCCATCGCCCCGTCGAACGCAGAACGGACGCTAAGCAGAGATTCGGAGCTCTCCTCCGACACTGACACAGTGACATCGCGAGCAGTATCGTCCTTCCAGTCACGATCGAGTCTACAGCCTTCGCTTCATCGGCCATTTGTCTTTGGACCTAGTGGTCGAAGTGCAGATGTACAAGGCCGCGCCTCGGGGGCCCCTGGATCAGCTTCGCCATTTGCGTTTCAATTCGCCACCGATGGCGAGGACAGAGGGTACCGTAAGATGCTTGAACGGGTTGTCGACTGTGAAAGGAGAGCGGCTTTCCCATACATTGAAGTTTTAGCCTTGACTTCGAGTGCCAATGCTCTTCAAGGGAACTTTCCGCTCGAACAATACGATGGCTTGGACAACACGAGCGTATTTCGTTCTGAATCGCAGCTGGAAAGGAACAGAAAAGTCGGCGCCGCAGGCGAACTCTACGTCAGTCCTCCTCCCTCATTGTGTATATCATGAGCTTACCTCGTATGTTCACTAGGTCTACGAGCTTTTGTCTAATCTTTCTCGACCTTTGCAGGGTTGGAGCAGAGACAATTGGAAAAGCAAAATCCGTGACAAAGTCAACTGCCACGCCGACTATTATGATTTGGAAGCCTGGACCGGCAGCGAAACCGCCGACCTCGTGTACAAGGATACACATGGTGACTTGACCGATCTGCTGTGTGACAAGGGCTACCTCGATCACATTCACGAGGAGCAGAGGAGGATCACCGGAATTGAGTATCTGATCGAGGTCAAGACCACCACAGGAGCGTATGACACGCCGTTCTACATGAGCGGGGGCCAGTATCAATTGGTAAGTCGCTTACGTCTGCACTCTTTGGCAGCAACTAATGAGTTGTTTCCAATCTTCAGATGCAAAACGCGTACTCTGTCAACAGCGCGCGAAGATACATGGTCGCAAGGGTTTTCAATGTTAACAGCAGTAACATTGGCATGAAAGTGTATGTGAATCCCGAACGCTTGAGATTGAGTGGAGACTTGGTGTTCTCCGAGCGGACTTACTCTGTGGTCCCGCGACCATCGTGAGGCGATCGACCATTTAGGCTGCTGTCGTTCATGAGTCTGTCTTGCGACTTTGAACGACAGCATCCTATTGTTGCGAAAGAGCGTATCGCGAAGCATCCTGCGACATCATGGAAAGCCAGCTACAGACGGAATGCCTAACAAAAATATCGACAACTCTACTCTACTCTATCTTTGTTCTCTCCACGCTTGAGCTGGGCGAAGTAAGCACGGCACGACATTGTAATCTAGCAGCTACGAGGCGTAGATAGGACATGACATCGGACAGGGGTTTCGAAAGAAGTAGAATGAAGCGGTACCAAGGGAATGCACCATGGGAATAGCATCAAGTAATCACAATTGTTGACCTGTGCAGAGTGGTGGATATTAATAAGTACCAAGTCTTGGTGTGCTTTAGACATTGCTGCTGGTGTCAAATTGCTCAATTCCCTATTAAATCCTTCATAGTGTATGAGCATGCTTGGCGATCCTGCACCTGGTGCCATATTACGTCTCTATATCCTGGGTTTCCTTCGCAGGATGCTCAATGTCTGCAACCCGTGTCACAGATATGGAATCTTCCTCAACCACTTCGACACCACATGCTCCGCTTGAGGATTGGTATCCCACAGCTAAGCCCTGCGCCAGCTCGACCTCTTTTACTAAGTCTTCACCAAACACTCGATCGCACATACGATCCTCATCCAATATCGCACTGATTGCGGACTCCTCCTGACTCTCGAGATCAGCCCTACGCCTTGCGAACTCCTTCCGCGTCGTGGCAATTCGAGTCTCCAAAAGATCTTTGCTACGTTTCAGCTCGTCCACTATCGCTTGGGTTTTCCATCGTAGCTTTGTAAGTACAGAAGAATACTTTTCCTCACTCAAAAGTTTTGCCAAGGACTCTGCATCTGCCAGAAACTGTTGTACTCGACCCACAGTGACGCGAGGTCGGTGTACAGCTGTATGGCGTATGTGGACCATGGAGCCAAGGAGGTCTTCGAGCGATTTGCCGGCCTCAGTCAGGTCTTGTACCGCAAGGACGTCTCTTTGGGCTCTCAGGACACTCGACCAAACGTTCAACTCAACGGATTCCGCACAATCCCAGCCCTCCTTTTCCAGGAACGCAGGGAATTGTCTTTGGCCGAAGGAAAAGCAGGTATCTTCAAGAATACGTTGAACCTCCACCAAAAGCTTGTGTTGCGTTTTCAGCGGCAGATATACCGGGTAAAGTGACTTGACAGCTTGCTGAAAACCGCTGGATGTCCGCAAGCGAGCTGTTGCTGCTTTATGACTAGTAAGTAACAGGGCCGAGACAAAAGTGGTATTAGGCCTTACCGCTCTGTGCCGTCGCTGCTTCTTGCTTAGCACGCGCCCCGGCTCCATCATGATCAAGGGTAATTGCATGGCCTTGCGTAGCGTCTTGCCACACATTGGACTCGTGTCTCGCGGCCTCCAGCTCCGAATGCTCGCGCTCTGCACTTTGTGCTGGAGACACGTCAAAAATGTCGGGAAAGCTTATTTTGGCCTTCAGCGTGGACTCATATATTCCCCCGTCGAGTAGTCGCTTGGCAACGTGGCAGATGGCGTCAATATTGTATTCTTGAATTAGTGACCTGATCTCGGAGGTATTCGACAGCTTCTGCACTCGTCCACGGATTGTCTTCACTTTCATATTCCTCTCAGCACTGAACAGCTCATGCCGAAGCGCGAGGTACACCAGCCTCTCATCAGGTTCGTTGTTCGGCATCTTCTCGTAACCTATTTCTCACAGGATGGTAAATCTGTAAAATGGTTGGGTCTCCAGTATATATTTCATACTGTGGAAAAATCGGCCTTCGCCCAAGAAGCTTGGGAGTGCACTGGCAAAAGGCATCCGTGTGCCATGGACCTGCCGAAACCAAGTTCCATTGCGTCCACACGTAGTGACCAATGACGGCAAGACTTTACCGGTCTCGACACCAGTGTCTCACCGTACACCGATAAGGGCAACCGGATTCGCATTCGGAGTGTAGCGATTCTAGCCAGATGGCAGCAGTAGACAAGATGGCTAGCTGTCTCAGCGGTGTTACGGCGCGAGTCTGTACGTCTACTTTAAGGTTTGATCCAACCGACTCCGGTCCTTGTCAAGGACTGTCCTGTAGATGTTGTTCCTCGACGCAAATGTTGGACTACAAATGGACCAGAACTTAACCCTGGATGAGATCGCGCACTAATCGGAAAGAAACGCATCCCTTATCTGATGGCAATTCAGAGCATGGGGTGTAGCTCCACATGGGCCCCTTCTCGACCTATGAGGGGTGGGGTCGTCTTCTTCCATCCAACGGATGTGATCGCGAGATGGTAAACCCCCCCCCCCCCCCGGGGGGGAGGAAATGATTATCAGGCCCTTGGCGGACATTGTTGAGGTAATCAGGGACCTCCACCTGAGATGTTTCAGAGCTTGTGCTGCATGTCGGAGCAGTGATGGACCGGCCAGAGTGTTTCTTCAGGTTCAGTCGCCTAACGAAGACGTCTTTTCGTCCGATTGCTTGCGCCAGCTTCGGTTGACTTACACACATTCGGTCAAAACAAGGATCATCTGCTTCCAGTCGCAGTGTCTGCAATCAATTACGTTCGAGCGGCGAGGGCCTGGATGATGGCGGCCTGCTGGTGTGCTTGGCGACTGGCCGATAGACAGGCGATGAGGTTGTCAATGTCTCGAGCGAAATCGCCATGACGCGCAGCGCTTTGCATTTCGCCATCGTCGCATTTGGAATTCTCGTGCACGTACACTGCATGACGATCCTGGAAGATGAAGACTTCGAAGTTCGGCTCTCGAGCACAAGCACAGACGATGAGGCGTATGGCACGTGATGGACAAATTAACTCTCGCTTGTCCCATGGGCCGATGCAACATGGCAAGAAGAACGACTACGCACCGACATGCTTCTCTTCCGCGTTTCCTTCACATGCCCAGTTCGCAGAGGACTCTGTACAGATGTGAATCTTGTCGTTATCGTGGTTCGTCGTCGTCGTCGCCGCTCCAAAGCTTCCAGGGCTGCACCACGCACAAAACGCACGAAGCTCTACCGCACTTTCACGCTTCCATCTTGGGCCTGAAGATCCTGTGACAAGCAGCATATCGCAGCTCGGGAGTGTTTGTAACTGGCCAAGGTCACAGTGTCTACTCAATGGCTCGAACCCGCTCTGAACACCGGGATGAGGAACCATATTGGCCACAGACTTATCGAGAAGACAATGATATTCCGTTCGCTCCAGATGGGAACGCACCACTAATAACCGGGTTCGTGGAGAAGGTCAGAGGGACTTCTAGCCGTTTCCAGGACTACAAGTGTGTTCGCAAAACTATTCCCATTGCTCCGGAACTCAGCAAGGAGGCTGCAGCTAGACTGAAAGGAAAAATAATTCGAGAGGCGAAGATGTTACATATGGCGCGGCACCATCACGTTGTCGAACTCGTCCATACCTATTTCGAAGAGATTGAGGGACAGCAGTTGAAATATGCAATCATAATGGATCGCGCGGATAGAAACCTTGAAAGCTATCTCCGGGATGGAACCCTCCAAACAAATGAATGGTTTGGGTGCCTAATTAAAGTCGTGCACTATGTCCATTCCATTGGGATCCGACATCGAGACATTAAGCCACCAAACATTCTGATTAAAGCGGGCAGGCTTCTACTTGCGGATTTCGGTCTATCGCAGATGGGTGTTGGTAAGACTATGCCAACTACGTACCAAGACCGCCGGCCTTCAAGGACTCGAGAATACTGTGCTCCGGAAGTAGACAAGGGCAGCACTCGCGGCCGCTCAGCAGACATCTTCTCTCTAGGTGCAGTGTTACTTGAGATGCTCCTTGCGCTCAACGATCCTAGACTGTCGGTCGAGCTTAGCGAGATCCTGAAGCCATCAGCCGAGTCGGTATCGTCTTATGCCGAGCACGTCGATGCCGTACAGCAATGGATTCGACAAAACCTTCAATTCCCCACGTGGCAGACAGGTCTTTTGAAGACTTGCCAGAGCATGCTCAGCGCCGACAGAGACGCTCGACCTTCCGCCAGTGAAATCTATGAATCCTGGTTATCGTTGCCGCTTCCCAACACCTCGATGATTTGTCGATGTGTGGGGCCCATGGGTTCAACCAACACTGAACGCTTACTTGAGGCGTGCCAAAGAGGCTCGGTGGTGGAGGTCAAAAATTTATTGGATCAAGGCATACAACCATTGCCTTCTCATGCGATTCATTTCGCAGCAGCTTGTGGGTCAACTCCTATCGTGCAAGCTTTACTTGAAGGTGGCGTAGATGTTGATGTCGCAAACTGCGTTGGGCAGACAGCGCTACAGTGTGCGGCTCGCAATGGGAACGTGCATGTTGTGCAACAACTTCTAGCACATAATGCCAATGTAAATGCTGAGGACGAGAACGGCCAGACCGCACTCCATGGTGCAGCATCGCAAGGCTACGAAAGAACTGTCACATTATTACTTGACGCAAAGGCCGACATATTGGCCGAGGATCATGCTGGGCGGACGGCGATTCATTTCGCATCGAGACGACATCATGCCCGTGTGAAGTCTCTGTTGGAGCAACGCTGTGAGCAGAACAATCAGACTTAATAGCAAGAACGAGGGCATTTTTGAACCTTATCAATGGACCTTCAAATCGTTACCACAGTTTCTGCTAAATGTGTTTATCGGATACTCAAGAGCCCCATCGCCAAGGCGACCGCTCGCACATCACGTCAACCATTCAATTTGCATCTGCAAATATAAGATTGCACCCCAGTTGCAGGTTCTTACAGGTACTAGTCAGTACTGACTAAACGGAAATGGCCTTGAGTTGTTCGACGACAAGCTCAGTGAACACAGTCTGGATGCCTACTCCGATTTCCGGGTGTGATTGATCGGACCCCTCCTGTACATGCAAGCCTTGTTCACCGTAAGCCACGAGACATCGTCTAGTTGCTGCCCAGTACTTATCACCGATGAAGTTTTGCAACTCGAGAACGGGGTTGTTCTTGAATGGCGGCAAGTCCTCTTCATCCAGCAGCCAAGCCCTGATCCGACAGTATTCGGCAGAAGGTGTAGGCCACTTTTGGAAGGCCATCAGTTTGTGCAGTGGCTGCCAGTGAGCAATCTCAAGTAGCAGTAAGCCAAGACTGTAAATGTCGAATGTCTTTCTGAAATTGGCATCCCTTGGCGCTTCATTTTGGATGCTTGGCCATCGATATATATCCCATGTCGGGTCCAGATTGCGAGAGGTTGTTTTGTTGCTCTGAGGCCTGGAATACTCGAACCCTGACATGATGGGGCTTCCGAAATCGACCGCTTCGCATTCAGTGGAGAAGACTATGTTCCCGCTGTGAACGCCCTTGTGTAGCCAGCCCACGGTGTGAAGATACAACAGGGACGAGGCAAGCCGCCAGGCCAGCGAAACCCGTTCGGCTATGGTGGGCCTGCACGAGTCGTTCCCGAGCATGCTGTGCAGGGTCCTCAGCCGAGTCTGATCGGTTGATCCTTGTGGCATTTTGTAGATCCACCCGACTCGATGGTTACGTCTCCGATCGTCCACGTAGCCGACGCACGTAGGTGAAAGGAGGTGTCGCGGTTTTTCAATAGACAGCATGGCCGCAAGTGTCGCCGTCCGTACAATGGATTCGTTTTCCTCCACGGATCCAATCATCTGATACTCGGCAGCCCTCCATTCAACCCAGACTTCATGGTTGGTCCCTTTCTGGTTTAGAAAGCCCCTAGGTCGATACGGATCCACCCCATTAGCTATGAAACCGGATGTGTTTGGGGTAAAGCATTCGTTGAAGAGGACGTTGTCATACTTTTTGACTTTGATGGCATCGTCCATGGATCGTGTGACGTCAAGCGCAGCGTGGTCGTGAAGTCTCGATAGGATTTCATCTGAAACGCACTTGATTTCTTTGAGTAGCAGAAGATCTCGAAGTGTTTCGTGGGTTGTCTCACTCCGATCAGGGTCAGTAGAGCATGAGCTCTTTGTGACCTCCATCATGCTGACGACTGCCTGGAACATGTCTTTGATGTCGCGGAGGTCGTTTCGCAGGACGACCATTTCCAGGTAGGTTTTTGCGGTTGTCTCCTGTATCTGTCTCTTCTGGTATGTATCCATCAACTCGTGAATGCGGTCGATCAGCTTATGAAGGTCTACTAAGAGAACTTCGAACGCATCCTTGTCGGCCAACACCCATCGCACACGAGACGGGTGTGCAATGGCACGGTTAGCTGTTGCAGCCCCTTTTGATGCCCATGCGGCTAGTCTCTTCATCCGCTTCGTCTTTTTCCGTTCCTCTAGCTTCTCGGTATGTATGACAGCTAACCCAGATACTTTTGCACTGAAGTCAATCTCGGCAGCCATTTCTCCTGTCACTGCCAGCTCGCTCGCTGGGTCTGATGTCGCTTCGTTTTTCCAGCGATTATTGAGCTCCCTAAACTCTTCCAAGAGTCTGCCAATGCGAGCAACGATAGCACAGAGCTCGTTTGCATTTGTTCCAAGACTTGTAGCGATATCAGACCCATGAGCTGCGCGTACGAGACCCACTGCGTCCCCCCATGCAAGCAGTCGATTGTATTCGATCATGAGCTGCAGTCGACATTTTCCGAATTCTTCAGGCATCTCCACCACGGACGAGAAAAACCTGAAGACTGTGCATCTGTCAAATGGCCGCATTTGATCTACAGTCGCAGGGATACTCACGTTTTATTGAGTGATCGAACACATCGAAAGCTAAAGAGCCTAAACCAATTGCGAGGCCACCAATACTGAGTGGGTCCATAATTTGTTGCTCCTGTCGAGTCGTTCTGGACCGAAGGCTGGTAACATAAATGACATATAGCAAGGAGCATCCCTGAAGATGCTCGTTGCGGTCACTAGCACATTTATACACACCGTATAGCATCTGAGGTCCAGCAAGAGTCAAAATGGGCGGCTACGCACAGATATGCATGTCTTCAGCATTCAGGCGCTACAGAAGGAGGCAGTTGCATATGGCTGCTGATCTCGAGCTGTGGGGCGAGCTTCTCTTCCAATCTTGGATCTTGAAGGATGGCGAAGGGGCAGTGCAGTGGCGTGTGTTGGCCCCACGCGCCCGGCATGCGTCTGTGCACCTGTACCTCTTTCACCACTCACGAAAGCCCCGATATCAGAACATTCGACCTCCAGACACCAGGAGGCAGCGTTACCTCCAAGTTCCACTGTCTCCTTGCCTCCATCATGCAGGCCACCTTAAGCGCTGTTCAATGCTATGCCAAAGCAACGTGATACAGCCGCACGAGAATGGCGCTAATGTGTCCAATCACACGGGTCTGAGAAGCAGAGTGAAAACATACTTCAAGGTGCCCCTCGTCCCGAACATCCATTTTTATCAAGTGTATTCATCGTTCCGTAGCCTGGAATATGGCAGATCCTCTGAGCATCACAGCTTCTTTGCTGGCTATATCTACAGCAGCCGTTCAGACCACCAAGGCGCTTTGTGAGACAGTAAAACGATACAGAGGTCGAGACAAGACTCTGCGCAGACTACAAGACGAACTCGATGACTTAACAAGAATCCTGGAAGCACTGACGAGAGTGACTGCGGCTGATGAGTCGCTGTCGGCGCTTCTCCAGGGTCCTGTTGGACGATGTACTCAGATATGCCACGACTTCGAGTTGTCGATGGAACGTTTCGCCGGGAAATCGAAGACCGGCTTCAAGGACTGGACCAAATTGGAATTCATGAGGGGTGATATTAACGAGTTTATCGAGACAATCTCTGGCTTAAAATCGACCATTGCTGTCGGGGTGGGCACAGTAACAATGTCAGTCAAGGGACGTCTATCTCGTAGTATTTGCTAATGTTGTTGCGCCAGGAACACTGCCAAAATCTCTCAGCAGGTTCTTCTGGAGTATAACGAGATGATTCAAGACACGGTTTATAATCTGGAACTTCATCTACAGCGAGTCGACGACAAAATGACGAACCTCACTACCGGACATCGGAGTGAAGAGAGAATTCCGGTAGACCTGAAAGACGAGAAAGAAGTCACGAGACAATGTCTTCGGGTCTGTGAAGAGGCTAAGATATACATTCAAAAGCTATCCACTGGCGCATCGTCTCTTCTGGATGGCGAATCTCGAGGTGCTGCTCGGGAACCGCTACACGAAGCGCAGATAAAGACTCGTCAGACGCTTTACGAAACCCAAGAAAACTTCGCGCAGACTTTTGGCCACCTTTCAAGGCGTCTTGAGGCCCTCATCCAAAACCAGTCGCCTGATGACGATGATGAAAGGTCAAAGCTGGAAAAAGATATCCAGACTTCAAAGCAGTGTCTCGATGTTTGTAATATCGCTACTGAGATCACGCGTCAGAAGGTATACAAGATCGGAGAGGTGATTGCCGATGGGAACAGTGATCAAGTTGTAGTGACCACTTTGGCGGATCTATTCGACATCGGCAAGGCGACATCCAAGGACAGCTCAGCACAACTGCTTGGTTCCATGTCGGAGGAGGCGTTGCGGCATCTGGCCGACCAGCGGTACAGCAGTCGTTTCGGAGCTGTAGTGACCAATTCTTTATCCGAAGTTCACACCACGCGATCGCAACCTGCCTCCGAGAAGTCGAATAAGGTGGAATCTCAATCAAAGGCTGGCGATCAGGAGCGACTTCCGCGAAAAGATCCAAGGTCAAAAAAGCCATCCAGTAATGAAATTAGGAAACGAACGCCGGGCGAAGATACAGTAGCATCCGACTAGTCAATACAATGTCCCGGGCGGGACGCATTCTTCTGTCATCTAGCAGACGATCTCAAAGGCACAAGTGAAACTGTAGAGCACCTTTTCCCGCTTTGAAAGACACAGGTGTCCTCCGTCCAATCTTTGAGTCACGGTCGGACTTGGCACAGGACAATGACGAAGTCCCATCAGGCACGATCAGTCAGAGGATAGCAGGCAGTTGACCTGTTATAGCACCAAGAGCAGTTGAGAGCAATTCCCTCTTTTCCACGAGCAGCCATGGTGGGACAATGAATCAGAAGTCTAATTCATTAATGAAGAAGGCCACGTAAAAACATACAGTGCTGCAGAGTCAGGAAGTCGAGGGACACCGTCATGAGCAGAGACTGACATTCCCACGACACTTGTACAAAAAACTTCTCCCATAGTGGCAGCCACCCAACAAGCCAAGCATCTTCTGGTGCCGAAGCCTTGCATCGCTTTTGCTCCTTCATTGGACCCTTCAGTTGTCCTCGAGGGAGGTTGCCGTGAAGGCATTTGCAAGCCCGTCAATTTGCACAGTCGTCAAAAGCCTCTGGGCGGTGACTTCTTCCTGTGCATTTGCCACAAGTCGCACCTCATTCTGCCATGCAGGATCGAGTTTTCGCGAGCTGTGATCATACAGAGTACATTCGTTCATCAATGTGACCCATTGATCGATGATGATGCTGGCTTCTTCGACGCTGCACTTGAACCATTCGTTGTGGTACTCGGATTTGCACTTTGTTACCGGGCAAGAGACGTCGTAGCGCTGACAGCTTAGCTGACGATGCACAAGCTCTTCTACTCTATGCCGGAAGCATGTCTCCCGGTAGAATGCTGCCTTTGGTTTGGCGTGGCACATTCCCCATTTTTTGACTCTTCTACCCATGGCCGACAGGTCTCCCTCGAATCCGATATTCACCATTTCTGGCAAATCCTCACATGTGAAGAGGTATACGATACCAATCTCACTCTCGCCTTTTGCAATTGGCTGTCGCAGCTTGTTGCCAGTGCAAGTCCGTGAGCCAGCGTCACTTCGCCGGAGATGGATCGCTGGCAATGGTTCGTGCTCGCCCGCCCATTGTTTGAACTTTGTTCGATATTCGACGAGAAGCACATGTGATGGAAAGTCATCGCTGATCTTGTCTTGATGCGTGCCACAGATGAGTAGACTAAGGATCTTGAGGTCGAGGCCAGTTTCATCATAGGAGCCTTCATCGCCGGTGAACTTGTGGATTAACCTCGTTGCAGAAATCCGGTCGGACGGTCTGACTGACTTTAGACAGGTTCGGCCGTTCGTCGTTCTTGCAAGACATGCTTTCTTATCTTCAAAAAGGACGAGCTTGACCTTTGCCATAGTGACGAGCGATTCAGACTGTCGGAGCAAATCGCGCAAAGTCGTCGGAGTGAGCAAGGGACCAGGAGACGCAGGTCTCGAGTCTCGGCGTTCTCTTGCTGTCCCAGACAAATTGAGAAAAATTGCAAAGCAATTCCCAAACACGGAGGGGAGCAAGAGCTTGATGGGTATGGTCACGGATCGAGATCGATTCGTTGGCGAGCAAAGACGTGGCAAGACAGCATCAATCGGACTGATACGTGGCGGCCTGAGGAGTACTCAAAGTTCCTGCAGTCGAGTCGAAGGAGGGCGACTGGGCCCGAGCTTGCGCACATGTGAGGCGTGGAGAACTTTGGTCCCTGCACGATGGGCGCGTGTATCCTATTTCAGATCATCCCGCAGCCAACTCATGTAGCTAGAGGAAAAGGGTCGATTTTGTGCAGAAGATATTCAACCGCGCTGGCGATTAGTTATGTTCGGGACGACTCCTGCGACGAACCGTGCTGCTATACCCAACACTTGCTGACACTCGTACGCAAAGGAACCGTGCGCTATACGACCGGTAGTAATCGATACCGTTGCAAGGCTGCTTGGGATGGATGCTTTCCAAGGTCACGGAAGAACGGAGTCGACCGATTTGGGCAAGATGTGAGCACTGTCCGCCCAACGTAAGTCCCAGAAGGAGAAAATTCGAGCAGTGCAATGAAATTCAAGCGCCGATGCCCATTGAGTCCCTGCTATACGAGTGAGGTCGGACATATAGCTACTCAGACCACCTCATGCGAAGAGAGAGAGTATTACTATTCTTTGCCTGGATGCCGCTGATGCCTGGGGAACCAACGCGGCGACAGTACGAAGATGCGAATCTGTAGCCCGACTCTCTTGTTCTTCAGCTCGAACTATGCATCGCAAGCATCTACTAGCCGTGCCACGTTATCATGCAGCTGCATGTCACAGTCCAGGAGCACTTGGGTGGATCGAAGTGAGCTCCAAAAGGGGCTCCATCCATTACTGTAGGAGCTTCAGCATTCGGCCTAACCTTCATCCACCTGGTCATCGCGGTTTGACTCGACTCTGAGCATTGTCGCGCCTCCTTCAGTCTCGGTCACTGTGATATCCCAGATAGCAATGGAAGAGTTTCAGCAGCTCAGGCGAGACAGTCTGGAACATGCAACACTTTTATGGAGTCTTACTGAAACACCTGGAGACTCGTGCATGTATAGGGACAAGGCTACGACACAGGTCTTTCGACAGCTGTCCATAGTGCACGAGAGGCAGTTGACCGATGCCTTTGCGTTCATAGCCTCATGGAAGGATGATCCGGACGAGATTGTGGCCGTGTGTGTCGAAGAAAAGCGTCCTATCGACCCCGGCATTGTTATTCGGATCGCGTCAAACACTGGCAACCCGTCAGCAATTGTTGCCAAGTTGCAGTGCGTTGCAGCAATGATGAAGAGAGCCAGCCATCGCAGTAAGTGACAGTGCTAGTGGTAGATTTGAGTCTAGGAGTTTCATTGAGGAATTTCAGATGTGTCACGCTCAGAACTTCAGCAAGAAATGCTCAGTCAAATTATTGCAGTCTGCATTGACCGTATACTGTCTCGACTACGATCTTGCCATGCACGCAGAACGAGGAGAACCGCAAACAAACCTCGCCTTCCCGTACAGCTACTTGAGACATTGGAGCGATGCGTTGCCTGCAAGCAGCCGGGACCAGCCACGAGAAATGTCGTGCAGCATGCTAGGGAATTCGAGAAGATCTTCCACTCGCATGAGACGTCTTTGAAGGAACAAGATCGCAAGCGAGCCCTTATGGGGCTTTTGAAGTGCGCATCTTCATGCGATATTCCGGCGCTGAGGCAAGTGCTATCGTTCAAGGGGGACATTGACCCAACACTAAGAACACATCTCCCAACCGCAATATCCAAACTTGCTCGATACGTCGAAATCTCGCACTACTTGATCAACGCTGCGAAGACGACGAGACACTCGTTGTTCCAAGATGTAGAGCTTCGGGCTGTCACGCATCCTGGATTTGGTCCCAGTCACTTGGTTGGCCCATTTCGGCCTTTTCACGAGTTGTCCACGGAACTGGGATGGCAGCAACAAAGGAGCACATCTGGAATGCGAACGAGCAGAGCGCAGTTCGAGTCACGCCTGTCGAATCCTACAGCGACATGGAAAGTGCACGCAGAGATTCAGATTGTGATGTTCTACGAAATGGAACCACATTCCGTGAAGCCCCGTATTATTAGTGCAAGCAAGCTCGCGTGCTTCTGCTGCGACCTATTCATCCGCGTGCACGGAGAGTTTGTCGTCCCAGGGACACATGGAAGGATCTACAACACATGGGTGTTGCCAGACCTGCCTGAGTGCGACTTTCGTTTCTACGGCCGTATCAACCCAGTTATGCGGCGGTTCATCTCCCAGCTTAAACTCATCTCCACTCAAAGTGCGGCGCGCCATGGAAAACCTCGACCCCCGCCAGCAGAGAGTGCTGTCATGGGGCTTGAGCCGTGGCCTTCTAGGTCGACGATGCGACAAGCGTCACGCTCTCTTTTGTCAACATCCGGAGAGGAGGTTTCTTGTGGGCAGCATCTCCTCGAAGCGCCAGCAAGTTCGGCTCAATCGAATACAAGGTTGAATGTGGTTCCTCCGCCCGGCCATCCTGCGGTTGCCGCTAATGCTGCCGTGGGCTTGGTAGCTTCTGTCGAAGACGAAGGCAGTCAAAGCTCAAAATCATCTGACACAGTTATGTCAGTAGCGGCACCAGTGTCATGCGAGGGTATGATGTTCGCATACCCAGACACTGTTCCCCGCAAAAGTCCGCTCAAAATGCTCGTTACCTCGGATACTAGCACATGGATTCGGACCGACGCGGTGGAATTGTTCATGTCGGCCGAGGAAGCAAGCAACGAAGAAGTAACGCACGATCAGAGCTCCGGTTACGAGGCGGCATTCTGGATGCGCCTAGAAGACGTCAGTAAGAGCAAGTGCGGAGAAGAGGTATACAAACAGGATGTCATGTTGGACCTAGACCAAATGGAAGAAGGCTCAGGATACACCATTCCTGTAGGCGTTGCTCCAACTAGGAGGAGGATTGTGCTTTGCACTGCCACCCAGCGACTCCTCCTGTCTGTGCTCCCAGAGACTTTGATGATGCCACGAGACCGGCAGCGCACCGCACTACGTTGTGTGTAGCAGCGCTGTCGTCGGTCTACTCGTGGCGTAGTCTCCTGTTATTGCGTTTGGCAATAGAATCCAGCGTTGAAGGCCCGAAGACAGTGTCTTCGACGTCCTCCATCAGTTTTTGAGACAGACACAATTGACTACAGGCCTTTCTCGGCTCACCGACGCCTATTTCAATGTGACTTTGCGACTCATATGTAAATGGAAAAACTATCGAGCAGTACAGGGTCTGGGGACCTTGGTGCGCATCACTGGCGTGCGCACGTCGTCAGCGACTGACACGCAATAAGAGGTCGCCGGAGATCACTGTGCATTGTATCTGTGGTGCCAAGGCGGTGCACGAGAGGCGCTGAAGGGGGAGAAAGTATCGATCCGTACACGACGAGAAAGGCTTACGACGAGAAAGGCTAACGATGAGGTGAGGTCGGTGGAAAGCTGCGGGAAGGCATCCCGAACGCTGGCTTCCGGGTTTCGGTATTTCGGCACCTGGTCTCCCTCATTTCGGAAAGTGTAGATCCGAAGCCAGCACAAGTCTCCTGCACAATTCACCCATGGGGATGAACGGACCATCGCCTTTCTCGGCTTCAAAAATGACCAGTACTCAACTCTCGTGACATAGGGCTGTCGGCCACTGCTATCTGGCTTCATAAGATGTTCAAACGGTAGTGGCCGCGCTCTTCAGCAGATGTAGGCACAATGCTCCCGCGGCAACGACGCCCCTTTTGATGTTAGGTCTTTCTGTACGCACTGCCAACAAAAGGTTTCCTTGTCTGGAAGCACAATGATACGCCGTCCGCCTCTCTGTGCAATGAGAGAGGCAGCTGACAATCGAGCTAACCAGTTCCCGAAAGCTCTCACGACGTAGGCGTCCTTCGGAGGGTCAAGAAGCTCGTTCCAGTTGTCCACAGCAACACTCTCGGGTGGTACGCCGCCTCCCGCTCCATGATTACATGCCGAGGACTGTGAAGTAGCGCGGTAGCAAGACGCAAGGACTTCTGGTAATTTAAGGTCACCAATCCATGTGTTTCGGTCATAAACCGATACAGCCGCCTCGAGGAGCCTCAGTTCAGTATCTTGCCGGCCAATGGACTGTTCCCCAATTGGCAGACTGTAATTTGTGAGAGATAAGTGCAGAGATGTCTCAGCGAAGCAGTCCGTAGGCTCTCCGTCAAATTTTGCATGATTAATCACGCGCCAGTCAGCTTGCTCTGGCTTCCGTATGATAGGATCTGGGGGAGCGATGAGAAGACCAACACCAGGCTTTCCCAAGTTTCCGCGAACCGCTTGCACAGTTGAATCAGAGTTAATCATCGGGTCGGATACTAGGCATCCCAACAAAAAGATTTTGTCTCCGGACGCCATGGCCATTACAGAATGCAATGTCTCGGGATCAAGGTCGGCATCGCCAGTTTCCATAGCAACGAGCACAGCAAGCATTTGTGAGCGACTCAATTGGCCAGTCCAAGTACGAGTTCCGTTATGGTACCAGCGAAATCCGCTCAGTGCTTTGAACGCCGCTTTCATCGCTACCGTGCACCCAGGAAGCTGTAAATACACGTTTCTGACCGAAGCCAACGCCTTCAGCGAGTTGAGGTTGCCGTGGTGGGCAGCCAGTTCCTCCCTGACCGAGCGACTCCTTGATGCGTCTGAGGTCGAATGATGGGATGGAGTCAGCCCTGGAAGCATTGACAGCTCGCCATGACCTAGAATTAATGTCGCCAGCTCCCTGACAGATATCTTCGAAGTCTGAAGAGCCCACTTCAAATCGGTTGGCGAGACTGTCTTCCGCATAGATGCATCTGAAATTCTTTGGTCTTGCAATAGTGTTGGCGCAAGGTACAAAGCGCACGAGTTCTTGAGGCCAATGAACATCTTGAAGTCCAAGGTAGAGAATGGCTGGGAATCCCCGTAGTTTGCCAAAAGCGGATCAGTGGCTTTTGGTTTGCCTTGACCAGTCCGGCCAAACCAGGAATCAAGTGCAGTGTCTGAGTCGCTGTCCTCGAGGCAGCCCATTTGCGGCAGATTCAAGTCATCTCCCGTCTCATCTGGGTTGAAGATCGATATGCGACTGTTCCCGATCCGTCCGATCTGAATAGTGGCCCCTGGACGACACGGCTTCCTTAGCAGGTTTGTCCATGAATCCAGATCGATGCTGCAGAACTCGTTTTGGTCGCTGTTACGCTTGACAGACTTAAAGTGCTTGTCCACGTCCTTCAATTTGACGTTTTGATTCCAATTCAACCACCGATGGTGTACTGTGTGGCTCACTGCAGAACCAGACGAGTTTCGTTTCTTACTTTTGGAGGTGATGGGAACAGCGCTTGCATATATGAAGTCCTCTTGGGTCGGTGGACAGCCATTCGCAAATCCGAGCTCTCCTCTTTCGGCGCCTTGATCGGTCCACGCGTACACAATGCACATTTGGTGAGGCTTCACCTGATATTCTTGTGCCAGGTGCGACGCAAGCCGACGCAGGTAAAAGACCTTGGATTCACAGGAGTCGAGAACGCTCAAGAACCGATCGTGCGTATTCAGACCGAAAAGCGATGCCGAATCGTCCAGCAGGCTCGACGCTCTACGATGTCCCAATTTCACCAGTCTGATATAGATGTCCCGCTCAAGACCCACAGCTCGAACCAGAGATCGCGCGATTTGCTCAATGGGTGAGAAAATATCAGTGCTGAGTTGTTGCACCTGATCTATGAGTTGTCGACGACGCTCTTGCTCCTCTTCTGCTCCGTCAGCATTGCGATGTCGAGTATTCCAGTGGTGGGCATCGGCAACGGACTTCCAGTCTTTGATAGTGGCCCGTTCAACTTCACACCAGTTGCGAAGATATTCCACAAAAGTGATGATGACCTCGGAGTACTCTTGTATATTCTGAGCTGGATCGTCCCAATTCGTGAGAAAAGACCCCAGAGCCACTGCAAGATATTCGTCGAAAGTCAAACGTTCACTATCGTCCGAAAGTGTGCGCTGGACACATTCAGGAGAACCGTAATGTTTGAGATGGGCGAGAGGCAAAGACCAGTAAGGTCCTGTGGCCTGCTGCGCGGGAGACGTCTCTATACCAACCGTGACAACACCACTCTTGGAGACCAGCGGGTCCTTTTGAAGTACCATCTTGTCGCCGAACACCTTTCGATTCACGTGATTAGCCGCCACTATATCTCGGTGACAAGCCAGAGGACTTGGGTACTTACGTTCAGGTCCGGATACAAGTGCCAGCTAGAGAGGCCAAGGAGTATGGCTCCAGTCTCAACACGCTGTGCCGTCCCGCAAAGGACCCTTTCCATCATCGACAAGGCACTCAGCCATGTGTCTAAAACGCTGCGGTACGTGCTTCGCTCTGCGCTTATAGGCAGGGATAGATTTCTGAGGATTAGCATAAGCTGTTTTTGCTTCGACTGATTGGCTTCATCCGCAGTCCGAAGCCACGACCGTGCGCTGTTGTCCCATTCAGCCAGTTGATCCCTCGTGATGTGGACCTGCGCCGCAGTCATGGTGGACAAGTGTAGTGGCTCAGATGGATCACAGCGTGAGATATCATCTTTCCTCCCCTCCACCAGCTCCACCCATATCGAGGTAGCCTCTGAACTCGACCACATTCTCGCAAGCATACAGGCAAGCAGATGCATTTCGATAGCACCCTGTCCGGACGTCGCAGCCGCCCAGATGCTTGTACCATCAACGCCGGCATGTTCTGGAAAGACGCCATCAAGATACGCGGGATTTGCCTCCAATCGGGGATCTCTAGCGATTTCTGACGCTCGTGAACCATAGGCCTTTAGAAGTTTCGGCGTACTCGGCAGAAGCTGCTGGAACAACGCCCCCAGCTTTCGAGCTGTCACATGGCTATGGCCTTGCTCGGCTGCCTTTCGACGCAATGGCGATAAGGAAGCCCCGAGAGCCTGGTACTCGGCCGGAGCTTCCAACTATCTCATGTATGTCAGCTCCTTCCAGACCACATCCCCAGAGCAAAAGCACTGACCTTGACCAAAGAGAAATCGAAGTTGAGGCTAGCGAGTGACAATTGATTCTCCTGCGAGGCGTGAGCGATCGAGCCGACCAACTTGCCAAAAGTGGCCATTCCTGCTCCCAATCACACGCTAAAAGGTGCGTAGCGTGGTTGACGAAAAAGACGCGTGTGTCGGGGCAGACTGCTTGAGATAGAGGTACTGGCGTGATGTTGTGAAAGAAGAGAGACTGCAGCGCGAGGCAACGCGCAACCGTGCTGTCCGGCATGGCTGTGCCGCTGCCTTCGATTCCTCAGCCGTACTTGCAGCCCAAGAGTCGGTGGACATGACCCTGATACGGTCCTCAGCATTGGTGCCAAGTATGTAGAGCTAGCGATATTTTCGGGACATGGCCTACGCTTATAGTCTGCAGCGAACACTTTCTCTAACTCGTCAAAGAATGACAGCGCTACTGTACAAGTTACTGTACAGTCCATGTTGCAGTCGCTCAGTTGACAGGCTCTGCCGGCTGCTTGTCTAGCATCATGTCGTTGGGGCTGTGGAGGGAGCAGTGAAACAGGCTAGAGTTTTGCATGTGCGTGCATTTGTACCAATCTCCGAGAGAAGCTGCTTGCCAACGAAAAGTTGCTGCCTAAAGCTTAGCTCGAGGAAGAAATTCAGGTTCAACCCCTATACGCTATGGATGTTCTCAGTCCTCTTCTTGCAGACGAGACGCTCTCTTCCCCACCAATCACATCGTCTGCCATGTCCACCAAGGTTGTGCTCGAGACGTCTATGGGCGCCATCACAGTCGAGCTCTACACCTCACACGCACCCAAGACCTGCCAGAACTTTTCCACGCTCGCGTCGCGCAACTACTACAACGGCACCATCTTCCACAGAATCATACCCGACTTCATGATACAAGGTGGAGACCCCACTGGAACTGGTCGTGGCGGATCGTCGATCTATGGCGAGAAGTTTGAGGATGAGATTCGAAGTGATTTGAAGCATACCGGCGCTGGCATCTTGAGCATGGCCAATTCCGGTCCCAATACGAACGGCAGCCAATTCTTCATCACCCTCGCGCCAACGCCGTGGCTAGACGGAAAGCACACGATCTTTGGCAGGGTGAAGAGCGGCATGAGAGTTGTTCAGAGAATGGGTCTTGTCAAGACTGGAGCAGAGGACAGGCCAGAGGAGGAGTTGAAGATTTTGAGTGCGAGGGTGCTGGAGGGCGAAGAGGATACTTGAAAAGGCACATGAAAAGGCACATGGTTCGCGATGGAACCAGTAAGGCTTTGCAAATTGAGCTTGCTACACCTTGGCCACACTACTACCCAAGCACAAACTTGCAGCGACCCACTACGACAAAGGGCCGTTGGGGTGGAAGAGCACCTTCGAAAAGCCGTCGATGCGTTTGTCGAACTTGTCGTAACTGCGAAGGCGAGATTAGCTGGGGACGGCATTAACGTCTGGGCCAGTAACACATACGCCATTGGAGCATCCTCCAGATCCAACTCGTGCGATACAACGAACGAAGGTTTCGCCCGACCCGAAATGATTAAGTCTCTCAAGTATCGATTGTACGCCTTCACGTTGCACTGGCCCGTTCCAAGGGATAGACCTTTCTCGAAAAGCTTTCCAAAACTCAGTAAAATCTGTCCCTTACCACTCTGAGCATCTGGCGCTCCTGGATCCGAGGGCACATAGAGACCGGGAATGCCTAACAAAAAGACACAAGCAGTCAGTGACTGTCTGACATAGCAGAAGACAACAAGGCTTCTGGTTTCTGATACTTACCTAACCCTCCTGTCGGACGAGTGACCATGATCAGCTGATCGAGAACGACGTTTGGCTGCTCTTTGCTGCCACTCTTGTCAACGGCCTGGTAACCGACTGCGTCCACTGCACGATCGACCATGCCGCCGTTCTGATCAATGATTTGCTGTACTGGATCACCGTCTCGGAAATTGATTGGAATGCAGCCAACTTTGGCGGCAGCGTCCAGACGTTCCTTGACTTGATCGACAACGAAGACCTTTGCAGCACCCCTGATGACACCTGAGTATGCCGCCATGAGACCGACAGGGCCTGCACCAAATACTGCAACAGACTCGCCGGGCTTGAACCCCGAGAGCACAAGTCCATGCCCTGCGGACCAGTTAGCGGATGTACACGACAATCGTATGACTGCTGCTCTGCCTCACATCCTGTTGGGAAAATGTCCGCAAGGAGTGCAAAGTCGGCCTCATGCTCGGTCCCTTCTGGAAGTTTGAGACCGTTGAAGTCTGCGTATGGAACTCTGAGGTATTGCGCCTGGCCGCCTTGATAAGGACCCATGGCTACATAGCTGGAAGTCGGATTAGTGCCGGCCATGCTATACACCAAGCTCGTCGACCTACCCATAGGCTCCTCCCGCGAACCCTGGCTACATCATACGTTAGAACGAGCGTCTTCAACCTTACGGACCCACTCACATTGACACCAGTGCAGAAAGCGGTCTTTCCCTCCTCGCAGTTCCTGCACCGCCCGTCTGCAACGTTGAACGGAAGCACGATCCGATCGCCTTTCTTGAGAAGCGTAACACCAGGACCCGTTTCAGTGATCACGCCCATGTTCTCATGTCCGAAGACAAGGCCTGCCTCAGCAGCAGTCCTGCCTTCATACATGTGCAAGTCCGAGCCGCAGATACAAGAAGTCGTCACTTTGATGATTGCGTCGTCTGGGTGTTGGATCTTTGGTAGGTCGATTTCCTTGACCGAAACCTTGAAAGGTCCGTCATAGTGGAGGGCTTTCATCTTTTCGGAAGACATGATGGTGGGTCTGTCTCGTTTCAATTCTCCTGGGTTACACGGTCCAGCAGTCAAGTGCGGAGAAGGAAGAATATCACCTTTCTGCTCATGGAAGATCACCCATCACGATCTAATATTGAGTCCAAGCGATTCATTGATCTCATGCGGGGTTCTTGGAAGCTCGCGTGCAGAGAGCTCTCCTCCTCACAGACGCGCAGCATCACCCATGGTGGGGACACGGATGACGGGTCTGGATCCATTGCAAACGGCACTTGCAACAAGGACCCTTTGCTTGTCTACCGAGGAGACTGTGACTGACTGCTGCTCCAGCCGACCCTCCTAGCCAACTATCTCGAAAGGCGACTCACCACGGCTACAGCTGGCTGGCTGCTGTGACAGCTGACGAAAACCATGAGCATGAAGCCGAGCACTTCCACTATGACGATGGGCAGAGCTTTGATGTGCAGGGGCGCAAGGAGCTGGAGGAGTGGTCCAATCTGTGGAACTGTATCACGTGCTTTCGCGATACATTCACTTACGCCGCACGCGAGGACGACAGGGGCAAAGCTCCTGTTCCATCACCAACCACGACTCTACAGCACATCATCCTCAAAATCGACCGAACCAAGCGTCTCCCACACTCTGCACGACCACTCCCCAAACGCCCAAACCGCAACAATCACAATCTCCAACCCTTCCAAACTCAACATCCTCAACAGCACTCTCCTGGACCAACTAACCCAAACATGCACCACCCTCTCCACCAACCCCTCCCTCCGCGCCGTAGTCCTCACCGGCGGCCCCACCAAAAACTCCAACACCATCCCATCCTTCATCGGCGGCGCCGACATCAAAGAAATGCACGCCCTCACCTCGCCCTCCTCCGCCCGAGCGTTCATCCTCAAAGTCCACGCGGCCTGCCAAGCCCTCCGCGCCCTCCCTGTGCCCGTGATCGCGAAAATCGACGAGTTTTGTCTGGGCGCGGGTCTGGAAATCGCAGTATCGTGTGATCTGCGCATCGCGACGGAGAGGTCTTCGTTCGCGATGCCGGAGGTGAGGGTGGGGATTCCGAGTGTGGTTGAGGCGGCGCTTCTGCCTGGGTTGATTGGGATGGGAAGGACGAGGAGGCTGTTGTATTTGGCTGAGAGTATTGGGGCTGTGGAAGCGGAGAGGTGGGGGCTAGTTGAGAGGGTTGTTGGGGGTGAGGGGGAGTTGGAGGCGGGTGTTGAGGAGTGGGTGGAGGGGATCTGTGGGATGGGGCCGAAGGCGATTAGGTCTCAGAAGAAGTTGATGTTGGGGTGGGAGAATAGCTCTGTGGAGGAGGGGATTCAGGCTGGTGTTGAGGCGTTTACGGAGGCGTATGAGGATGGGGAGGAGCCGAGGGAGTTTATGCGAAAATTTGTGAATCGGAAAAGATGAAGTGTCAGGGTCGTAAGAATTTCGTTGAGCTACGTGAGCATGCCTTCGGTTGCAGCATCTATTCCACCATGACTCCACCATCTTCCTCCGCCTCGACCAACTGCGGTGCTTCATCTTCCATACCTGGCCTCCAAGCACGGCTCTGTCTTGGCCAAACACGCTTGTAAAGCGACACAGCCACAGCATCGAGAGGATTGATCTTGCCATCAAATGTGGCCTTGAAGTACCCATGAGTTCCCAAGGTCTCTTTGATGAAACCCTGCCTTCCTCGCTTGGTCCACAGCTGCAATGCACGGAAGTACTGCACATCGTCAGAGTTGAAGAACATGTACCGCACAGTGACGAGCTTCTTGTGGATCTTGTATGGGTGGCCAGTAAGGATGATGCGCTTCGCAATGATTCTTGAAGTCGAAGGTGGCATTGTGGTTCCAGTTCCGATCAGCTCAAGGCCAGAAGGCTGCATGGACTGTGCAAGGTCCTCGATTGCGTTGTCGTGCTGTGCTGCGCCAGACGGTTTGAAGAAAAGGCAAGGCACGCTTCCCCAAGTCACCGGCCCCATGAAAGTGGCAATTGCGGTTTGTCCTGGATGTAGGAATCGGTCGAACTTGTGGACGTTGTTTGGCGTGTTGCCAGCCTGACTGAACAGAGGGTTGATGATCAACCGTCGAGGTCCGCACTGGAGGACCAGAGTCTCCTTGCTCTTGATCGGCTTAGGATAGTCTGAAGACAACGTCATCGAGACATTGACTGCAGTCTTCTTGTGTTCGTGCTTGAGGAGCGAGAAGAGCATTGTTGGCTTAGGCAGTGACTTCAACTCCTCGACACGGTCCTCGGGTACGCGCAGGTAGACATTGACTCTTGTCCCGGGTTTCACACCACCAAACATCGCTTGCTTGAGCACACGATTCTTTGCAGACTTGTAGTCTGCAATCTCGAGCAGTCGACTCCACTCTTCCGGTTCATACGGCTTGTCTTCTTCAGTCTCCCATTGGCTTGTCCGTAAGCTCTTCAGTCCTCGATAACGAGCAAGACGCTCTCTGGCATCCACATGAGGATGCAACTCGATCTCGTCAGGAAATTCAAGATCCTCCTCCGCGTCGTCACGCCTTTGCTTTCGGTATGCCTCGATCTGATCAGCTTCGTCGTCAGGCGCGTTGTCTTCGAACATCTCGCTCTGGGGATACTCAGATGGCGCAGCCTCTGTAGGTTCTCGCATAACATCGTCAAAATGCCCATCTGCGGGACCAGCCGCGACGGAGCCATTGAACTCCATGTCCTCGTCTTCATCATCGTCAATGTCTTCAAGATCTGAGCCAGAATCCGAGACGTCACCAAGATACCACGCTGCCTGGTATTTGCTGGTTCCTTTCGGTAAGCGCTTAGGAGCTGGAACATTGTCCTTGTCGTCTTCATGAAAGTAGTGGTGATCGTCAAGTAGGACTGCCTTACGTTCTGAAGGTGCAATCGATGCCGTGGGTATGTCGTCCATCACTGCGTCATCAGGGGCGAGTTCGGCAAGGTCGTCTTGTTCCTCAGTCGGCTGATCCAAAACCTGCTCGCCCTCTGCTTCGTCGACAGCCATTTCATTCGTCTTGGTCCGCTTTTGCTTGGTCTGCAAAGGAGCTGCGGTAATCTTATCGATCTGTAGGTCGCCCCAATCACCAACTTGAACCAGGCGGTCGGCCTTTAACCCTTTCCCTCTTACGACGCCCGTCACGATAGCATTACCTCCCTCCCATCTGCAGTCGTCCAGAAGCATCCAGCTCCTATCTCCCCTCCAGCGAATGCCCTTTGGCATCGTAGTGCACAAGCCTCTCATCACATTGCTGCATTCTTGACGATTGCTCAAGTCATGTACCTTCTCTTGTGTAGCAAAGAAATGCGTAGTGAAACTCTTCAAGCTCTTGACAACGTCCGGTCGCTTTTTCGCAGGCTCCACCTTCTCCAGGCCGTATACCCCAGTCAGGACGTTTGACACTCCTTGCGATTCAATACATCGTAACATCTGCTCTCCAAGCTCATCAACTTCTTCATTTGCGCTGAGAGTAAACAGAACGAAGTCTGCTACTCGGCAAGCGTCCAGAGTTTGAATGAGCTCCCTTGTTGGCGTCAAATACTGCATTTTCTGCTTGAACCGTGGAACATCGACTGTCCGTGAGCCCTGTTGTTGGGAAGCATCTTCCTCCACATCCACACTGGCGTTCAAGCTTTTGACCACCTCCTCAATCTTCACATCTCCACACAAAGGCACCACTGCCACTATTCTGGGAGCACCATCCTTGCCAGCAAATACGCTCTCTTTCTCCCCTCGAGCAGCATGATGGTTCAACCTCAACTGCTTGGCTCTGTTCCTCCTGTCGATTTTAGACATGACTTGCTGATGCGGAGTCTTGCGATTTCCCCTCTCGAATGCCTCGACCTTGCCCTTGGACTGCTCTTTAATCGCTGACTTGGAGGCGTGGCGGGTTTTGAAGGACTTGTTCACCGTCTTTGTGGTGGGACGGTGCGAGTGTTGGATGGGAGCCATGGAGGCACTGCGGGAGCTGTCGCCGCCGGCCTTGAAACGGAAAGGGAGTGTTGAGGCCAGTTTGGCGGTTGTGTGGGCGGAAATGCTCAAGTCTCGAGAAGTTGAGAGGGGACGAAATTGTTGGCTTTATCGATAAGAATTTAGAGTTTGATCCAGGCTTGGCGCGTCTCGAGACGAGAGCCGTGTTCAGACTTAAACGTCGAACTCACCGCGACACATTCCCATCACATACGCACAGCAGGAATCTACATTTCAGATGGTGATCCCGCACCGCACAGGTGATACCAAACCGCTTGATATAATCGCCCTGCGGACATACGGCAAGGCAATCGCGTACCAGAGGATCCTGCCCTTCAGGAGGCTGGAGTGAACAGACGCCATCAAGGTCCAATATGGCACATCAATTGGACTTCACGTGGAGGAAGATAGCTTTCCAATGCTATTTGGGCGACAACACGTCTTGAAACTGGCATCATAAGGGCCCCGAGCGATACCCATAGCACATTGTGGAAATCACAGGTAAATCGGCCGATGACGTTAACATGACTGCAATGTTCGTTCGCCATCAACTTCAAGTCGTCTTAAAGACATGCTCTTTCGTATCTCTCTCTCAGTTCATTACTCCAACTAAAGCCACTTACATTCGACAATCAAAATGGCCACTCAAATCCAACCAGCCTATCGCCTCAAGTGCTCCTGCAACCAGTATCCATGGGGCAAGCAAGGCTCCGAATCCATCTCCGCCCGACTATGTAAGAAGCAGCCAGGCTGGGATGGCGATGGCCCTCAGGAAGACTTCAAGATCGATGAGGAGAAGGCCTATGCTGAGATGTGGATGGGCACCTACCCGGTGCTGCCCAGCTACGTGGCCGATACTGGAGAGGACCTTCAAGACGTGATTGACAGGCATCCCCAGGAATTACTCGGCGAGGAGGTGATTAAGAAGTTTGGACATTCGAAGCTGCCATACCTGCCTAAGGTCCTGTCCATCTCGAAAGCTCTGCCGCTGCAGCTCCATCCCAATAAGGACGTCGCCAGCAAGCTCCACAAGGAGAAACCAGATGCTTTCACGGATCCCAACCACAAGCCAGAGATTGCCCTAGCATTAGGCAAGTTCGAGGCCTTCTGCGGATTCAAACCTCTCGCGGACATCGCGGAGCTACTGAAAATCGACGCCCTCCAACGTTTCTCTCCCCATGATCAGCTATCAAACTTCACCAACGACAAGCTCAAAGAAGTCGTTCGCAAAATGCTCACCACCAGCGACGAAGACGTCCGTTCAATCTACAAAGCCCTCACATCCCTCCCAGAATCCAAGTTCGGCAAAGACACCTACATCCCCAACCTCGCCCAGCGCCTAGCAGAGCAATACTCCTCAGCAGACCCCGGCATCCTCGTCGCCCTTATAACCATGAACTACCTAGTCCTCAACGCCGGCGAGAGCATCTGGATCCCCGCCGACGGCATCCACGCCTACCTGAGCGGAGACATCATCGAATGCATGGCGCGTTCCAACAACGTGCTCAATACTGGTTTCTGTCCCCGCGCCAAGCGCAGCAATGTCGACCTCTTCTGCGAATGCCTGACGTTCTCGCCTCACTCCGCGGAGGAGCGTCTGTTGAAGCCGAAGCCGTACTCGAGGAGTAAAAATGGCAAGACGCAGCTATATGCGCCGCCGATGAGCGAGTTCGATATGTTGCAGACGGAGCTGAAGGCTGGTGAAAGCGAGGAATTAGGTGCCAGTAGTGGACCTAGTATCATCATCGCTAGTAACGGGAATGCGTCGATGAAAGTCTGCGGCAAGGCCTTTGATTTGAACGAGGGCTTCGTGTATTTCGTCGCTCCTGGTTCGGAAATTGAGCTGGACAGCAAAGGTGGTCTGCTGATGCACACTGCTTTTGTTGAGGGCGCTACGAAGTGAAGAGGGATGGTTGAGAGGACATGTCCCCGAAGTTAAACGCAAAGCTCGCTTTGTCTCCCACGCTAGAGCTAGAGATCAAATGACACGACTTCATGACAACGAAAAAACATCTTCTAGGATTGAGCGAATGGACGAAGATGGGTAGCTGCGTGTGACAGGCAGAGCCACGTTGTGCAAATCATAGTAGCTTGAGCTGAGCTGGTGGTCGTGTGCTTCGACGAGAACAAAGGAAGGGGTTCACACATGTTTGGAAGCTAAATAGTTGAGAGCGGACACAACAGATGGCTCAATTACAATAAACTTAAAAAGTCACCGACGTCCCTGATGTGTCGACCGTCGAAATAACCGTCTCGTCCGCGTCAAGACTCAATTCACGGTTCTTGGTAACCCAGATCCTCCCAGAACTAAAAAGAACCCAAGAAATGGACCACCCACCACCCCTCCCCTACATCCCATACATCCACAACCAGCGCCAACCCCAACCAAACACGAACAACGACCTCACCCAACCCACCGCACCCCGACCCCTCTACACCTTCGAAGCCCCACCACCCTCCTACCAACGCGAACGCACCATAACCTCCTTAATGTACTACCCGGGCCGCTGGACAGCCGAACGCCACGGATACTGCCAGTCATCGACATCGTCGATAGAATCCCTTTCAACGGCAAGCTCGAGAGACGAGGAGGGAGGATTTACGAGGTATGAGGTTTTGTTTTTGGTGGTGGTCTTTGTGGTGGTGGCGACGTTTGGGGTTGTGGGTGGGGTTTTGGATGGGAGGGGGAGGGCGGCGGTTGAGGGGGTGTAGGTGAGGGCGGAAGGGGGTTTGGAGATATTTTGTTGGGGTAGTTGGTCAGTCAATGGAGATTTTATATGGCGTTGGATGGAGCGAGTATAAAGCAAAGGATCTTCCAGCAGATTGTCCTCCCGATATTGGTTATTTTATTCTCCTGCGGTTGTCGACTTCGAGGAAGGTCCCACCAGGTCCTCGAGCAGACGTCTTGGATCATCGAACTCATCAATCGCCAGAAACTGTCGAGCAATGGTCTCCTGCAGAGAGCGTTAGTATGCTGGAAAGGGGGCCGACGAGGATGATGCCTTACCGCTTCTTCCAACTCTGCCAACTCTCCTGCTGGCAACTCCGAACAGAGCTCCACCAAGTCCTGTCCTTGAGCAGCGTACAGAATCAGTTCTTCTGCTCTCTGTACGACCGACTTGTCGATACCATTCAATGCCGCACAGCAAGTCCCAAAGCTAGACATGCTGCGTCCTTCGCGGTACACGTAGAGGTAGGTAATCTGGTTGTCGACCTCGGAAGCAGCCGTGTCAACCCTCACCTCCATATGAGCGAAACCCAGCGATGGAGACGGTGGGAGGAATCCGGATTCGAAGATCTCGTGGAAATGCGTTGCACCAAGAACTTTGGGGCACTCAGGACCCCGAGCCAGCAGATGCTCGAACACTGCAGCGGCCAGCCCAGCGCCGTCGTAAGATTCCGTGCCCTTGCCAAACTCGTCGATGATGATCAGACTGCGTCGTGTCGCTAGATTGAGAGCCATAGAAGCCTGCTGAAGATCGGTCATAAACGCACTTTGCATTCGAGACACGCTCTCTCGAGTTGCGATCCGGGTCATAATCTTGTCCGTCAGGCCGATTCTTGCCGATTCTGCGGGCACGAAGCTGCCGATGTGGGCCATGAAGACGATGATGGCGACTTGTTTCAAGTAGACGCTTTTGCCCGAGTAGTTTGGTCCAGTCAGTAGCACCATACTTGGTCCTTCTCGCTCTCCAGGACCGTTTGGCGTGGCAGCAGATTCGCTTGTGTGGTGCAAGGCATCTTCTTCTCCTAATCCTCCAAACAAACGAGTGTCGTTCGGAACAAATGCATCGACAGTCAATTCCTGTAGGATGTGACGCCCGTTCTTGATCTTGATGTCGTTGTCTCTGCTCATTCGTGGTCGAACAAGCCTGTAGTCCTTCGCACCACGAGCGAGGGCAATCAGGCTGTCAAGCTCACCGCATAGATCCGACGCCGTGTTGATTAACGCTTCGTGCTCGAGCACACGATGAGCCAAACCCTGCGTTATCTCAATCTCATAGTCTAGGATGCGTCCATAGAGATCACCGAACTGGTCATCCAGCTCTGCCGTGTTGGCATTCTTGTAATATGCATGCGTCGGACTGCCGAACATCTTCTCCCATGGATCGTTGGGTGGACCAGCATGCGCTGGAGGAGCATCTTCCACGTCCTTCATCACGGAGATCAAGAATCCGATCTGAGGAAAATAGACGACGTTGAGCTGATCGACGAGATTTGCGGGTACGCGTAATGCAATGTGTTCTGCAGCTCGCGATAGTAGGTCATCAATGCCATCGTAGGTGCGGCGAATCTCGTCAAGTTCCGCGTCGATGCCTTGCTGGACGACGGTTTTGCGTTTCAACCTGGATTCGTCGAAGTCGATGGTATCACTGATCGCTTGTCCGATGGCAGCCAGTCGAGGCTTGTCGAACTTTTCCGAAATCCTCGCACAAATGGCCAATGCTTCTCCACCATTCAATGTGGCTAGGTCGTCTGTGATAGTCAGCGCACAATAGGCGAAGGTGCGCAGAGCTTCCCAGACAGACGCAGAGATGCTTTTCTGAGCGCCAAAACCACCTCTGACACCTTTGCGTAGATTGGTCGTGACAGCTCGCATATGCTTGACCCCTTTCAGATCCTTGATGAGAGAGTCCAGAGTCGCAGCATTGTTGGGCGCCAGTAATACAGATATTGCATCGTGCCGCTCGGTGATCGTCTCAAGATTGAGGCTTGGTCGAAGGAAGTACTGCCGCAACAGCAGCCTACCTTGTAACGTAGTAGCCAGATGATGAAAGAGCCCATAGACCGAGAAGCCTTCTTTCGAGCCTCCGGAGGCGTTCTTGCTTGTTGGGCCATGCTGCTGTGCGTTTGGATGTGACTCTGTGGAGGTTATTTGCAGAGATGCCAAGGTGTCCGCGTTGATGAACATGGTCCCCGACATGCTGAACATCTCAATCGAGCTGACTCGAAACATGGAGCCTGCGTTGGGATCAAGTGGCAGAAACCTGGTGGAACGTCGGCGTTGCAAGTAGGAGAGAAGCGCACCCACGCAACCCACGCTCATCCTACTGTCCAAGTTAATCCAGCCAGCAAGACGAAGCAGTTGAGCTTGTTGACCACTATGGCCGGCATCATCGGCCGCACCCTCATCGTCCCGAGCTAGAACGTCGCCAGGTACAACGTAGGAAACAGCGGGACCGTCTCGCTGGCCGATGCGTAGTTCGACAAGCTTATCTTGTGCTGCCTGATAACCAAAATCTGCGGGAGGTCGACATTCCAGCAGATATGGGAGTCTCGTCTGATCGCTCCTGCCTTCGACGGGTGTACTGTTGTTTCTGCCCTCGGGGTCGAGACGGTCGATCACTTCATCATTGCATTTGATCGAAGTGAGCACCACAGTGGGTTCGATGAAGAGCTTGACTGCGTGATAGTTAGCGGTTGTTGTTGACACTCGAGGAAGACGAGTGATAGCGTACGTGCATCGACCATGTCAGCTCCGCCCAGCTGAATGTCCTCCATCATGCACAGCTTCTCCTCTCGAGCCACATAGTAAGCGCATCCCATGGAGCCACGGTCGGTGACATTTACAGCCATGATGACTTCTTGATCGGCATCCACGTCGGGGTCGAAACCATCGCGAGACTGTCCCAAAGGACGCTGGGTAGATGCGACGCTTTCTCCTGGTAACGCCAAATCACCTACAAATGTTCTGCTAGAGGCAACTGAGGGTGATCGCGGCAGTGATGCTGTAGTTCGAGCCACGGGCGTGTCGTAGCGTGAGACTGAGCGAGTGGTTGAGCGGCCTGCCGTGGTGGTGCGAGCTGTACCACGACGGACGACGCTGGTCGTCCCGCTGCTGCGACGTCTCTTCTGACGATTGTAGACCTGCATCACGTTAATGAGGCTGTTGTGGTTGATGGTGAAATTTGAGAAAGATTGAGAAGAAAGGTGTGTGCGTGGATCTTGACCAGCGATGGGAAGGCGCGACCTGCACCTTCCGCGTGAGCCATAACGCTTTGAAGGAGCTCAACGAGCATCTGTAGATATACTTACTTTCTCATATCCTGTCAAGAGCTGCGCGCCCGATGCAGTGAGTGTCATCTTCCTCCCGGCACAAGGTGAGGCCTCGTATCTCGACTTGCCCTTGGAGAAATTCACGCATACACCCACCTTCAGGCTCGAGTCTTTTATACATCATCCATAGCGTATAGACACAGTTCGCATTCCTCTTCTCTATTGTACCTTGTCACCTTGTCCACCATCCTTCACCCAAGCCGCAAACTCCTTCCTCTTCGCCCGAATGTCCAAAAATCCAGGCCTCTCCTCCAGCGCTGCATAAGGATTCCCACCACCTTGTCCAAAGCCCTTGATCTGCCTCGCCTCCTTGCTACGCTCTAATCGTCCCGCCCACACGTTCCATTGAATCGGCTTGAGGTTTGGGCTGCTAAGAACCACTCCGCCACAGAGAAGCAGTACGGATACGATCGTCTCGAAGACAATGTCGATGGGTAGGTCGATGTTTGGATCCAGTGCGCTGAGAATCGTGGAGCTTTGAGGTTCCGGTTGTGATGCCGAGGAGAGGAGAGAGTGTTCGTAGGAGCTGTAGACACTGATGAGTTCGGTCAGTATAAGTCTCTATCGCTGGGCTTGATTCTTCGTACGCGTGTGATAGGAACAAGAGTCCCAGGATGTTGACGACGGTGGCCATGAGCGCCATTGTGAGTGATTTGACTTGGTGTGTTGGTAGCTTCAAGTGATGTCTGAGAGGAAGTTCAAGTCGAAGTCCAGTAGTGGATCTCTAGCCTGCCGTACATCATGTCTTGGCAGTCCTGGATACGGAAAACTACAATGCCACTGAGAGGATTCATGAGGGCAGAGAATAATAAGAGTATACACGCCGACGTGCTTCTGATCTTCGTCTGCATAGCGCGTGACTTTTGCTTTTTTATGGTATCACTGTCTATGCTTTCGTAATCCATCACGACCATGCATTCACCACAACCCTTTTTCGTGTCAATCATCTCTGAGCGTGCCCTGGAACTGGCGATTCACCAGCGACCCGCATGCTCATAATCCAAACCAGTGTCGAGTTCCTCCACGCTGGCTTACAACTTCATCATGGCAGCAATATCGGAAGACTGGACGTACTCCTCGAGGTCCTGGATCTCCTCCTGCAGCTCGTCAAGCGAGACCTTCTCGTCCTCGACGACCAAGTTGATCTGGAGCTTCTTGATACCGAAGCCAACGGGAATCATCTTGGACGCACCCCAGACGAGACCTTCCTTCTCAATGGCACGGACAGATTCTTCGAGGAGCTTCATGTCGGTCTCATCGTCTATACAGATACGTTAGCATCGTTCCAGCCATCTTTTCCCGCAGATTCAACATACCCCAAGGCTTCACATCGAGTGTGACCATGGACTTCGCCGCTGGCTTCGTCTTGCCGGCCTTCTTCGCGGCGTACTCGGCCAATCTCTGCTCGCGCACCTTGGCGGCCTCTGCGTCCTCCTCCTCATCGTCTGAGCCGAAGAGATCGACCTCGTCGTCATCCTCCTCCTTCTCGGGTGCCTTTGCAGGGTTGATGGGGAGCTCAGAAGACTCTGGGCCGTAGGCGGTGGCGGCCTTGCTTGGGTCACCTGGGAGCTGGGAGAACTCGGACTCGAAGGTGGCGATGTGCTTGTACCAGCGGTACGCATGGGGGAACTTCTCGACCTTGGGGGACTCCTTGAAGCTCTGGAAGACCTTGACGTCGGCCTGGGATGGGCCGTAGCTACAGGAACGTCAGCACAGAGTCCAATGGTGGCCTTTCTTGAAGTTGAATGTAGTATTGTGGACAGGATCAGAGGTGCGCGAAGCGCGTTGGAGGTATACATTGACGGGGTCTTAAGCCGCTCATAAACACGGACCAAATATGTTTTCATCAGGGTAGTGATGGTGGACAAGTGAGAAGAGAGAGGTTGCGACTTACCCAACAATGTAGCTGCGAGTCTTGACCCAGTGGTCGAGCACTGTATCATGTCTTAGTCCAGTCACAGGAGGAGGCAGGGGAGGTCGACAACATACGAGTGAGGCCAGCGTCGGAGACGAAGTCGGTGAAACCCATGTTGAGTGTGTAGAAGCTCAGTGTTCGGTGTGCAGAGAGTGTCTTCGGCGACGGGTGGTGGTGCTGGTGAGGTGTTGTTTGAGGTGTTGGTGGATGCAGCAGTAGTTTTTGCGGCGGTGGATAAATTTGAAGGGCGAGGGGCATTTGCTGGCAGGGATCCCGCGGCAGCTCCCGCCTCGCCAGTCACTCACAGCCGCACCTCGACTTCCAGCTTATGACTGCAACAACTTGCGTCGCAATCAGAATGACTTCGTGAATTGACGACAGCCTGGTCAAAATCAGTCATGGCGCTGACTCAGTCTGGAGGTGCTTGAGATCTTCGATAAAGCCCGACGCGCGAGTATCTGGCCAGTATCGAGTGCCTTATGGCCTGACGATCGCATGAAGCTCTGGAATCCGCGAGCACGTTCGATGACTTCGACAAGACAGAACCAATTCAAGATATCAACCATTCCCCTTTCTCATGCATTGTGAAACTCTCCTACGAAGTTGTCGAGTCTTACACCTTTCACTGCCGCTAATTTGATACCGATATGCTCTCGTCTTCAGGGCGAACGGCCGCGAGGCGCATTGCCTCTGTACGATACCCTCTATCGAGACCTGCACTTCGAGCAGCACTCCAAGTTGAACGAGCTGCTTTATCAAACACCATTGCAAAGTCAATACCCGCAGCAACTACACAATGTCGCACATACGCGAACGGGCCTCCTCGATCTCCCGGTGGAACGCATCGAATGAATATGGGAGGAGGCGAGGAAGAAAAGCCAGCCCTCGAGCAGTTTGGCATCGACCTTACAGCTAAAGCAAAAGATGGAAAGCTTGATCCAGTCATTGGCCGAGACGCAGAGATACATCGAACAATACAGATATTGTCAAGACGAACGAAGAACAACCCAGTTTTGATCGGATCAGCTGGTACTGGGAAGACTGCCATCCTCGAGGGACTGGCACAACGTATAGTCAAAGGTGACGTGCCCGAAAGCATCAAAGAGAAGCGAGTGATTGCTCTGGATCTGGGCAGTCTAATTGCTGGTGCCAAGTTCAGAGGAGACTTTGAAGAAAGGTTAAAGAATGTCTTGAAGGAGGTTGAAGAAGCGCAAGGAGGAGTTATACTATTCATTGATGAACTTCATACTCTTCTCGGCTTGGGCAAGGCAGAAGGCAGTATCGACGCGAGCAATCTGCTGAAACCCGCGTTGTCTCGAGGCGAATTACAATGCTGCGGTGCCACGACGTTGAACGAATACAGACAAATCGAGAAAGACGTTGCTCTGGCTAGACGATTCCAACCGATACTTGTCGGCGAGCCATCTGTCCAGGACACCATTTCAATCCTCAGAGGTATCAAGGATCGATACGAAGTTCATCACGGTGTACGGATTACGGATGGAGCTCTTGTCGCGGCGGCTACATACTCCAATCGATACATCACAGACCGTTTCCTGCCAGATAAGGCCATCGACCTGGTTGATGAAGCAGCAAGTGCTTTACGATTACAGCAAGAAAGCAAGCCCGATGCGATCCAAGAACTCGATCGACAAATCATGACCATTCAAATTGAGCTCGAATCTTTGCGGAAGGAGAACGACATTGCCAGCAAGGAGCGGAGAGAACAACTTGAGAAGACGTTGACATTGAAACAAGACGAGGTTGGCGCTTTGACCGAGAAATGGGAGAGAGAACGCGCCGAGATTGAAGAGATCAAACGTGCAAAGGAAGAGCTCGAACGAGCACGGATTGAACTGGACAGAGCGCAACGTGAGGGAGACTTTGCAAAGGCGAGTGAACTTCGATACGCTCGCATTCCGGAACTACAAAAGAGACTTCCTCAGGAAGAGGGCGGCCAAGCAACAGCAGCAACACCCAAGGAGACCCTCATCCACGACTCTGTCACAGCAGACGACATTGCAACTGTCGTGGCCAAAGCAACAGGCATCCCTGTGACGAAGCTCATGTCCGGTGAAATCGAAAAACTCGTCCGCATGGAAGACACCCTCCGCCAATCTGTGCGCGGCCAAGACGAAGCCCTCATCGCCGTAGCCAACGCAGTCCGTATGCAAAGAGCCGGTCTCAGCGGCGAAAACCGCCCCCTAGCCTCCTTTATGTTCCTCGGACCAACAGGCGTCGGCAAGACCGAACTCTGCAAGAAAATGGCCTCCTTCCTCTTCAGCACCGAGTCCGCCGTCATCCGCTTCGACATGTCCGAGTTCCAAGAGAAACACACCATCTCCCGCCTGATCGGAAGTCCAGCAGGTTACGTCGGCTACGACGACGCCGGACAGCTCACAGAAGCGGTGCGAAGGAAACCCTACGCCGTCCTCCTCTTCGACGAATTCGAGAAAGCCCATCGAGACATCAGCACCTTGCTCCTGCAAGTCCTCGACGAGGGATTCCTGACAGACAGCCAAGGCCACAAAGTCGATTTCCGCAACACCATCATCGTGCTCACGTCCAACCTAGGCGCCGAAGCGCTCGTGGCAGACGAAAGCCCCGGCTCAGAAATCTCCCAAGACGTAAAGAAACAAGTCATGGACGTCGTCCAACTGTCCTACCCGCCCGAATTCCTGAACCGAATCGACGAATTCATCGTCTTCAAACGCCTCTCCAAGGAAGCGCTGCGGGATATCGTGGATATCCGGTTGAAAGAACTACAAGGCCGACTGGATGACCGCAGGATGGTGCTGGATGTCAGCGATGAGGTTAAGACGTGGTTGTGCGAGAAGGGGTATGACCCGCGGTATGGCGCGCGGCCGTTGAATCGGCTGATTGCGAAGGAGGTGGGGAATAGTTTGGCGGATAAGATTATAAGGGGGGCGATTAAGGGTGGGGATATGGCCAAGGTGGTGATTAGGGACGGCGGGGAGCATTTGGAGGTTGTGGCGCCGTAAGGGAGAGGGGGTTTGGGTTATGAACTTGTTTTGATGAAGTTATGAGAAAAGGCATAGCGAGTGATGGGATTGGCATTTGTGGCGTTTGTGCCCATGTTTGGGAATGTAATATACACCTTTGTACACTACACTCAATTTAGGCATGCTGCTCAGAGCAAGACCAAGACTGATTTGAGGATTTCAAATCTTCCCATGAATGTCCTCAACTCAAAAGCATTGTTTACGGCCGTCCAAACCTCTCGTTCAGCGCATAATACTGGGCCATATCCTTCACCGACCCTTTGCCAATACGCTTCACCGCCGCAGCGAAGTGCTCAGCAGTGACAACAGAAACCTTTTGACGGATAGCCGCCATGATCGCTTGCTTGAGCAGTTCTCCCAAATCCGCGCCACTGTATCCCTCACAGTCCTTGCTATGCACGATGGTCGCCATCTCGTCTGTAAAGGTCCATCGCTTGGTCCTCGTCAGTGCTCTCATAATGTCGACGCGCTCTGGTGCGCCGGGGAGATCGACAAAGAGTGGCAAGCCTAGTCGTCCTGGTCGTAGCATGGCCTCGTCGATCATCTCGGGCCTGTTCGTGGCGGCGATTACGTAGATGCCTGCTCTGGCGTTCATGCCGTCAAGTTCGGTGAGCAATGTGTTGACGACTCGAGCACTCGCTTCTGAGCTGGTGCCATCTCTCTTTGGTACCAGGGCGTCAAACTCGTCGAAGAAGATGACGCAGGGAGCGCCGGCCCTGGCTCTCTGGAAGACTTTGCGGACGGATGCCTCGGATTCGCCGACGTACTTGTTGAGCAGCTCTGGCCCCTTCACCGAAATGAAGTTGGCCTTGCTCTCTGCCGCGACGGCTTTGGCCAGTAGTGTCTTTCCGCAGCCAGGAGGACCCCACAGAAGTACACCTGATGCAGCTGCAATACCATGTGCCTCATATACTTCGGGGTTCTCAATGGGATCCACAATTGCATTCTGCAGTTCTTCCCGTACATTTTCGAGGGCTCCAATGTCTTTCCACGATACATCGGGAATCGTGGTGAAGCCTTCGCGTTTGCTCGACGGCGTGATCTCGGGCAGCACCGCCAGGAAATTGTCCATCGTAAGAGACATGTCCTCAAAGCCTTCGGGTTCGGGCACGCCCTGCTCTTTACCGCGAGCGATCAGTCTCAGTGCACCTAGTACTGCGGGAGATACTTGTGGTCCTTCGTGTGCCTCGGCCACCAGATTGAGGTCGACAGCCTGTTGCTCCACAGCTTCGATGTATTCGTCCATTCGATGAGTGACAGCTTTGCCAACAAGGTCATGCAAGTCAGCACCAACGTAGCCTGCGGTCATCTTTGCGAGCTTTTTGAAGTCCACATCTGAACTGACAGGCATCTTCCTCGTCTGAGCTTCTAGTATGGACTGTCGCATTTGTTCGTTGGGTACGCCGATGTTGATCTCAGTGCCGAATCGTCCTCCTCGTCGTAAAGCAGGATCGAGACTGTCTGGACGGTTTGTCGCCGCGACGACGATGATTGGGGCATCTACTGTCGATAGTTCATCCATGCTCACAAGAAGCTGCGCGACGATTCGTTTCTCCATCTGACTTTGGCTTGAGTCTCTCTTGGGCGCGATTGCATCAATTTCGTCGATGAAGATGACGCAAGGCGCATTCTTCTTTGCTTCGTCGAATCGTTCCCTGATGCCCTTCTCAGATTCTCCACTCATGCCGGAGACAATTGAAGGTCCCAAGATCTCAATGAACGGCCAGCCTCCTTCCGCAGCGTATGCTCGAGTCAACATAGTTTTTCCACAGCCAGGCGGGCCTTGAAGGAGGATGCCCTTGGTCAACGGCGCAGACAGGTCTCTGTATCGGTGGGATAGCGTCATGGGAGCGACCAAAAGTTTCTTGAATTGTCGCACAGCATTGTCGAGTCCCGCGACATCAGCTAGTCCAAGGCCTGTTGGGGGCGCGGTAGATGGCCTTTCATTTTCTCGCTTCTGTCGCTTCGGTAGCGACTCTCCGTTGGCCTTGCGTTTCTTAAGCCCGGCGTCGTCGCCGTTCATGGTGGGTGTTGGCGGGGGAGCCAAGTTCGATCTCAGTGACTTGTTCATGAGCTGTGCCACCGAGTCGTCTTCTGGGATGTTTGCCTCGAGAGAGGCTTCGGGATCATCGGCAGGGAGAGAGTTTTCCACTCCAATAAAGTCGAGCACGCGCTCGATGCTGGCTATTATTACTTTCTTTTGCTTGCGCTTGAGGGACGAATTCGAGCGCTGTAGCGCTGTGTAAAGGTCGTTCACTTCCGCAGGAACGCCGTTGCTGAGGAATTTCTGCACAGCAACGTGAACTTCGTTGTCGAAAGCGCCCTGGAGCCGCATCGCTGCGCTGGCTGTATTGATGTTAAGTTGGGTCTCGCAGCAGATGCGGTCTCCAGAAATTCAAAGCGGGAGGCGCTAAAATTTTGGTTTGCAGGGATCAGAACGCGCACGGACACAGCGCCCTTTCTTCGAGGTGAAGTCAGCTTTTGTTGCAGTATCCCCGCGAATGTCCCCAAGACCATACGTCAGGACAGCAGATCGGAACTTTGCTTGCCTGCTTATTGCGGGGACTTTGTATGTACGGTGCGACGTACATCGAAACATGATTAGCCGGCATTTGACCGCCCGCACGTGGCAGCGGACTTCGGGCCGCTGATCGCATCCCGCATGACGTGCATGTGCCGACCGAGATCAGGAGAGCCGACTCTGCTCTCACTTGTGTTATAAGGCCTTCGTGGCCTTCAGTCAACAGTCGCGATGGGCAACTCGAACAGCTCCGGCAAGAAGATTTCCGCACAAGACAGGTTGGATTAGTTCAGGCGGATCTTTGGCGTTGCTAATGACTTTGAACAGAGCGATTCTGGACCTCAAGATCCAACGCGATAAGCTTCAGCAGTATCAGAAACGAATAACGACAATCACGAGCCGCGAGACGGAGATAGCAAGAGAGTGCTTACGCAATGGAAGCAAGGACAAGGCACTGTTAGCTTTGCGCAGGAAGAAGTATCAAGAATCACTACTGGCCAAAACGGATCAACAGTTGGCGCAACTGCAGGCCCTGACCAGTGATGTGGAGTTTGCTTTGGTACAGAAAGATGTCATGTTTGGGCTCCAACAGGGTACTGCAGTATTGAAAGAGATACACAAAGAGATGGGGGGGTTGGACAAGGTTGAGATGATATTGAGTGAGAGCGAGGAGGCTCAGGCCTATCAAAAGGTCAGCAAGATCGTAAGTGGAGCGCGAGCCTGCATGCTAACTCGGACACAGGAAATAAACGAGATGCTAAGCGGTAAGATGTCGAATGACGATGAAGACGAAGTGGACCGAGAACTGGGAGCAATGGAACGAGAAGCGCAGCGAGCACAGGGCATCACGACCATGCCCAACGCCCCGTCAGTGACAGCAGGTGAACTACCTGACGCACCTGGTGAGACACCGGAAGAACAGATAAAGAGGAAGGGAAGGGAGAGGGCAGCTCGAGATCGTTCAGAACCAATAGCTGCGTGAGACGATTCTCAGCGACAGAGGAAGAACAGTGGAGGCAGCAATCTTTTAAGCATAGCTTCATGATACCCAGCATAGCCATGATATGAATTTGCATGTCTGTAAGATCATTTGGGTATTCTAGTAAACGTCCTTTCACCGTAGTACTGGTGACATTGGCCTCATCGAACGCGTGATGAGCCCTCCCCTCGTGCCCCACATCCGCCCACCAAAGTTCAAAGTCTTGTTTGCCTTCCAACTTCCACACCACAAACATGTAGACCACATGCTCCCACGATCAGGTCAGGCTTGATCCAAGACTACTTTCAGAATGTCGCACTGCCACGACGAACACGATCACCACGGCCATGATCACTCAGAAGGAGCCCACGACCACACCGACGACCTCACCCCGGCGCTCCAAAACCACATCTACGAGCAGATCGACTTCAGCGCCATCAATACTCTGAACGAGTCTGAGTCAAGATCTGGTTCCAGGATCGTTCAAAAGACATGGATGGAACGCCTCGAACCTGAGCCCGAGCTCAAAAGTGATGCAGACGAGCAGCTCCTGATGCACATTCCCTTTACGGCTCAGATCCGTCTGCACAGCATCCTGCTGAGGACTTCTGCTACCGACGCCGCTCCGATGACACTGAAGCTCTACGTGAACCGCGAGGGACTCGATTTCGCGACTGCATCGGACCTGCAGCCAACGCAGACGCTGGAGCTTCCTCAGTCTAACGAGATTCAAGAGATCGGAATCAAAAGAGCATTGTTCAACACGGTCCGGAGTTTGGATCTGTTCTTCGAGGACAACTGGAGTCAAGGCGAAGAGGACGAGACGAGGATAAGCTACATCGGGTTCAAGGGCGAGTGGATGAAGCTGAGCAGAGAGCCGGTGAACTTCTTGTACGAGGCGGCGGCGAATCCAGGAGACCATAAGCTTGCTTCTGGTGTTGGAGAAAGATTGGGTAGCGATGTTGGTGGAGCTGGGGGTGGCAGGCACGGCATGTGAGAACTGTCGACTCCAATGCACATACGCCCTGGTCAATGCGAACAGTTACGGTCGGCCGGCTCGCAAGAATACCACCTGCAGCTGAAGTTCCTTGCAGTGAGTGAAGCGAAGCCATGCGACACATGAAATTACACGAGCAACACATGGCACGCTCGAGTGAAGTGAAGTAAAGCGGATTCTTCAAAACTCTCTGGCTTTCTATTCCTCTTATTCATTCGTACAAGCACGTTCCTACAACAAATTCCTTCATCTTCGACAAGCACAAACCCTCTTTTACCTCGAGCTTCTAACCGACATGGCATACCTGACTCCGCCATCCAGCAAGCGGAAGAATCGAAGCGTCTTCAACAAGCACAGACAGCCAATCTACTATGAAGACCTCTATGGCGAGATGAACAAAGACGAGGAGTTCGACCGCTATCCGGACAAGTGTGAGACGGAGAGTGAGAGTGAGCGTGACTTTGAGACCGATGAGAGTCCTCTGCAGCGGAAGTCATCCCAGCGTCCGTCTAGGAGCCTCAAGCGGAAGCGTGGCGAGCAAGACACCGGTGAGGGTCAGATCATTTCATGGACTTCGTTGTCTTGAACAGAACGACTAACAGCAACTAGGTCAAGACTCCAACGACGGCTTGCTCGTCTCGGAGGACGAGGATAACGGTACACAGTACAAGATCGCTCCAAAACTCAACTCAAAGCGATCAATTCCTGTTCCTCCAATGACGCCAAAGAAGTTCGGCATGTTTGGTAGCAAGGATCACACCAAGAAAGCACAGAAGGCAACTTTGCCAGACAACGAGAAGGCTCAGCCAGAAGAGCCGTCACCGAAGAAGGCCAACACCCGCGAGCGTACAGGTCGTATCAAGCGTTCAGCATCGCGACAGTTGCTGAAGCAGCAGCTTGCGGACCTCGACAAATCCAAGAAGGAAGCCCGTCGTACTGAGAGAGCTCGGCAAAAGGCTGCGAAAGCGAGTAAAGGAGCTGTGAAGGTGAAGAAGATGCGTGTGAAAGGCGGCTCAAGACTGAAGCAAGCCGGCGGCATGTCCAAGTCGCTCTTAGTCTACATTGACAACGACGACATCGATCGCGAGGAGTATGAGCGTTTCGACGATTGAACGAGGATTCATCGTAGCGTTGAGTTATACCAGCAGGTCGAGTTATACAGCAGGTCGAAATTATCGATGGCATGGCGAGGTCGGCTTGTTGTCGGCCATTCGAACGACGGAGACAAAGTCATAAAACACCCGACAGGGATGTTATTTTAGAGCCTGTCGATGACATCGGCCGCGCTCTGATTCGCAGCATCGGGCCGCATGCTTATTTCGCGGCAAGACGTCAGATCAGAAGGAGCTGCAGTCAATACCACAATATCAAGTCTCTAACAACTAGATATAGAATTGTATTGTGTGAACTTCTGTAAAAGCTGGTCCATGGTTCCCAATGACCTGTGCAAGGTTGGACCAACCTCCCTGTCGCGCGGAGGAACGTGTTTCGCTTGCTGTACGAAGTTAATCTTGCCAAGCATGCTGGTGACCAGCCAAGCCGGGAGCAACTGGAGAGATCCTGTTTCGTGATGTCGTCGAGAGGCAGCGCCTGTGGTTGTCGACTTCGATTACGCAGCGCTCAGCTGTCTGCTCTCTGCACATCTCACATCACCATCCTTTCCGCGCCTTCCACAGCCTCACTGCTCACATCTCACCACCCAGTCGCTCCTTCTACCTCCACCTCCCTCTCTTTAACCACGGCAGCCACGCCACGTTCGACCTTCACGTGTCAACAGCCCGCCGCCTTGGCAAGCTTCACGATCACCGCAGCGAGCATTGAAACATGTCGGCAGCAGTGCAGGATGGGACACACCACGGCAGAGCTCACGCCGCTGTCGAGGCGCTGAAGCACAAGACCGGCCTCAACCACGATGCCGCATACGCCCAAGACCGAGCTGTCGATCCACAACAAACGCGGCAACCGGTCTCTGATACGGCAGATGGCATTGGCGCGGGACCACAGGTCGTGAGCACGTCGGATAAAATCGAGGTGCTCTGCGGGCCTTTGATCAACTACAAGCGAATGAGCAATGCCGGCACGGATCGTCCACAATGGCACGGCAGCATCCTGATCGTCACGAAGCCCGGTAACAAGCCAGGGCAGTTGACGGTGCGCTCTGTCTCGGGAGCGGGTGCGTCAGGCGAACGGGCTTTCAACGGAGAGAGGTTGTTTGAGGATCCTAAGAAGGGATTCTGGAGATTCGAGGTCGATGTGCCATTCGAAGAGCAAGAGACGGTTTGGGAGTATTCGATACCAAACCTGGTGACTGCAGACGGTCTTCAGCCATTGAACAGGCCAAAGCGGTTTGTGGTACCTTCGAAGCACGAGAGCATGCGCATCATGTTCCATTCGTGCAATGGCTTCAGTGTGGGAACGGACATGAATGTGTGGACTGGACCAGTGCTGTGGGACGATGTTCTTCGCGTACACCAAGAGCAGCCTTTCCATGTCATGCTTGGAGGTGGCGACCAGATCTACAACGACAGTGTACGAGTGGACGGTCCACTTCGACCGTGGACCGACATTGGCAACCCCAAAAAGCGCCGCGACTTCCCCTTTAATGAAGAGATGCGATCCAAGTGCGACGATTACTACTTCAACAACTATGCCAAGTGGTACTCGACCGAGCCATTCGCAACTGCAAATGCTCAGATCCCTCAACTGAACATCTGGGACGACCACGACATCATTGATGGGTTTGGCTCGTACACCGATCATTTCATGAAGTGCTCTGTGTTCCGTGGCATTGGCGGTGTTGCGCACAAGTACTATCTCCTCTTCCAGCACCACATTCCTCCACCTCCTTCGACATACACGACCGATGCGCCCCAGACGACTCGCACGACTGGAAAGACTACCGCGGCGGATTCTGTCCAGCTGAAGGACACGTTTGTTATGCTGCCGAAGCGTGAGGATCCTAGTTGGATCATTGGCACCAAGCCTGGTTTGTATTAGAAGCAGCTATGCCAGGAAAGTGGGCTAACATCTTACAGGGCCATACGTCGAAGAACGAAGCCGTAGCATCTACTGCCAACTTGGCAAGCGTATTGCCTTCCTTGGTATTGATGCACGTACGGAACGAACTCGCCATCAGATCAACTACCCAGAGACCTACGATCTGATATTCCGGCGTGCGCATGATGAGCTGGCGCAGTCGAATGGCGCGATCAAGCACTTGGTACTGTTGCTTGGTGTGCCAATCGCATATCCAAGACTGCAGTGGCTCGAGAACATCCTTCAATCACCCATTGTGGGACCCATCAAGTTCTTGAACAAACGATTCGGCATTGCCGGCGGCGTATTCAACCAGTTTGATGGAGGTGTCGATCTTCTGGACGATCTTGACGACCATTACACGGCTCATCAGCACAAGAAGGAACGCAAGATGCTCATGCTTCGATTGCAAGAGCTTTCGAAGAAGCACAGCGTTCGCGTCACGATCCTGGGCGGTGATGTTCATCTCGCAGCCCTAGGACGCTTCTACAGCAAGCCAGAGCTCAAAATCCCTGCGGAGAAAGACTGGCGATACATGCCAAACATCGTCAGCTCAGCCATCACCAACAAGCCACCTCCGCAGGCCGTTGCGAACCTGCTAGCGAGAAGAAACAAGATCCATCACCTTGACCACGAGACGGACGAGACGCTGCTTGAGATGTTCGACAAAGACCCAGCAGACGGCCTCGAAGGCATCAAGCCCAAGAGCGCCAACAACAACCACGCAACGATGCCCAGCCGAAACTACGCCATCATCACCGAGTCACATTCGCACACGGGTGTACAAACCAACGGTGCTGCGGCAGCCAACGGCGCTGCTAACGGTGCCACCAACGGAGGAGCCCTGAACGTCGAAGCCGCCGCAACCAACACCGCCGACAACACCGACTTCGTCCTGCCCAAGAACCCCCGCGAACCCCTCCACAAAGGCGAGACGGACGCCGGCACGAAACACCCAGCCGCAGGCGGCATCAAGAAGACCGGTCTTGCAGGAATCAACGGCCTCGACGTATCCATCCGCGTGGAAATCGAGTCTGGCGGCAAGGAAGGCAAGACGACGGGCTATGGAATCAGTATTCCCGCTTTGGAGTCGGGCGCGTACAAGGACCAGGGGCAGAAGTGGTAGATTCACGAGCTCTGGAGCCTGCATTTGGAGAGGGATGATGTGCAGAGGAGGCGAATGCTGAGGGAGAGGGAGAGGCAGAGTAGAAGCTGTTATCTGATGTGAGGGAGGTTAAAGGGGATGAAGGGAGAAATGAGAGTGTTGCGTGAATAATATACCCTGTATAGTTCTAGTTCTGAAGCTTTTGCGTTCTGCGTTGTTGTAGCGATTGAAAAAGAGGAATCACAACTTGCTTTCTTGCTTTGATGATGGCCTTGCCAACAGTACAGCTTACACTTACACGATGCTTGCTGTATACATAGAGAAGCAGTTCGTACCACTTCAACATCGGTCTTTCTTCAACTCATAACACTCTCATTCATCTATCTAAATCTTCGACCTCCCACTCCCCCTCTTCCCACTCGTCCCCAAAGCCCCCCGATCCTCCTCCGTCGGCTCCGTATCCGACGTCTCCGCCTTCAACGAGACAGGATCCCCCAATTGTGAAGGATTCGTCTTCATCTTCTGCTCTGCGATCTGCTTCAGAGACTTCTTGCCGTCGGATCCTTTGGCGCCGCGGTCGTGTTCGGTGGGTTCCTTTCAGATCATGCGTGGTCAGTGATGAGGTGGAAGGGGATGGGATTATTTTGGCGGGGATGGATGGAAGAGAGGGAGGGTTACGGTGTTGGAGGTCTCGGCGCGGAGACTGACGGGGTCGCCTAGTAGGGTTGGGTTGGCGAGGTCTTTGAGCGGTTTGGGGTTCTGTCGTGGGGTGTTGGTTAGTTTTCTGTGCCTAGTCAATTGATAAGGAAGCGCGAGACATACGGAGGGAGCCATGGTTGGGTTGTGAAAGAAGAGTCAGGTAAGAGATGGTATCGAAAGTCTGGATCAATTCAATTGCTCAAATGTTCGAACTACATAAAGCTGCAGTCCAATTGATCGAACACCTTCCATCTCGCAATGCCCGCTTTCTGAACAGACTCCACATCCTGGTCACAATGTCGTCAACGATCAAGGGCAAGGATTCAAAGCAAGCAAGCATCATCGTCTTTCTGGGGTTTCTTGGCCAGATTGGCTTTCGATCTCAGATCTGACATGTGACGCTAGATCACAACGCGTGCACTTGCCTCGGCACCTCGGCCGGCCCGTCTCCTTGCTGTGTGGGTAGCAACATCGCAGATTCTTCGAAAATCATCAATGCTGTTGTATCAGAAGCCTTGTTTTCGTCTCTTCTTTGGCGGTGGCCTGCCACCAAAGCGGCCAGGCACAACTTGACTCGCTGCGGCTGGACCTATGCTTGGCCCCTGGCTTTGGCTGCTCGCGGGTATCCCTGAAGGCTGGCTTTCTACCTTCAGCACGGCAGGCTGACTGGCACTCATAATTTCCGTCGCTTGACTGCTCGTCATTTGAGATGCCTGGCTTGCAGCGGCTTCTTTACGTTGGCGCAGAATGTGCCGCTCAGCTCGTCGTTGTAGCCGCTTCCGTTCTCTTTCCGTCAGATCGTTCTCTGCGTCGTTGTCTTCTTGCTGGGTAAGATGGCGTGACGGTGAGAGCCAGTCGTAATCGTCTGGATCTTTTCCAACATCCCAGTGTGATAAGACTTTGACCAGAGGTCTTGGAAGAACCATAGGCGCCGGCTTCGCAAAGACAGTGTACTTGCTCAGACGATGCAGTTCCGGAGCAGCCGTCAAGGACGAGCCACTGGATGCTGTAATGACGGAAGGAGTTGCTGTAGGAGAAGGCGTAGGCAGTGCCGAATTCTGCGAGAGGTATCTTGCTGTGCGAGAGCTCGTAGGCAATGTCTGCGCGATTGGCCCCGAAGCCCTTAAGGGAAGGTCCCATGTCTGCTCCTGCGCCTGGCTCTCTTCTTGAATTTCCTGGGACACAGGTGCTTTGATTTCCTGAAGGCGTAGTCTTTGAGTGGCCAGGAAGACTTCGGCTGCCATGCGCTGAGCGAGATTTGCCTTCGCCAATCGTACCCATCCAGGAACGTTTGACGAAAGAGGGGTTACCCAGTTCGAGATGAAATGATCATGGACAGATGCTAGAGTTGCCTTCGAATCAGTCACTTGATCTTCAGGCAAGAAAAATCCAAACGACTGGCCACTTTCGACCTTCAAGCGCAGATCGCGCCCATGATCGCGATCTCCAGGCTCATCATCAATCTCTGCGCCGTGATCCGCTGTCTTGAATGTGTTTTGCAGGAGTGCAGACGCTTCTCCCACATCGTTAGTGGCGATCTCGGCCTTCGCAAAGCTATGCAAAGTGCGCATGGGTCCGGCATTTTCGATGTTCTTGTTGCGCAGGGCAGCAGATACTTCAGATGCAAGGTCCTCTATCGACTTGTCTGGGCCAAGCGGCTGGGACAGAACACCCGCAACAAGTTCAAAGCTTGTTGGCTTTTCTTTCGCTGAAAGGAGAGCCTTTGGTTTCCTCGCTCGTCGAGACACCGGCTCTGGACGTTGCTGGTCTGGCTCCAACAAGGAGTCGCTGTCCTCTACGACGAAGCGTTCCCTCCATAATCTCGACTGCGTGGCCGGACCAAATTTCTGTTCCCATAGTGGTGCTGTAGGTAGCTGATAGTTCGGTGAACGCTGAGTAGGAAGACCATAACAAATCCCTTCGAAGATCGAGTAGTCGGCTCGCAGAGCTATGAATGAGTAGTGGCGTACATGGTCTGCGTGTCTGTGCGGATCCGCAGATGATATTGGCTTGCTGACCATCTCGAGAGGCTGCACATGCAAGTCTCTCAGGGAATGCGCGCCGGAAAGGACGAGCTCGAAGGGCCCATCATGTATTGCGACATCTTTTCCATCCAGACGCAGCCAAAAGACACACATCGGGCTGGGCAGACTGGACAGAAGCGCTAGAAACACGTCTGGAAAGGTATCAGCATAGGACTTGACAAAGCCACGTTCGATGAAGCATACCATCCTGATCAACCCATGATGAAAGCCGTAGACTGAGGTCTTCAGAAGATTTGAAATGCCGAATCTTCGCGTAGCAAGTCGCAACGACTTCATCAGGGCTCTTGACGGTCACCTGGTAGAGTACGATGTGAGTTCTTGTGAGAACAGCAAACGAGTCTTTCACCCCTGGCATAACTATGAGGTCAAGTATGGGCACTTGAGTATCGAAGAGGTCGGGATCGATCTCTCTGGACATTGCTCCCCCATCTGCTTTCAGACTGACCAGGCGTAGGCTTTGTCGGGTGCACGTTACCAAAGTGGAGAGGTTGAGGATCCAAGCAATGCGTGCCCAGCCATCCCTAAGCGTAAAAGTCCTCGTAGAATGCTTTGACTGTACGAGGCCATGCCAGGATCGCGATACACGGTCCATTCTCCGCGAAGAAAACTCCAGAATCGACCATGCCCCGGCGTCTTCAACCATTGCAAGCTGTTGGCCAAAGTCAGGGTTGAAAGCAACATCTGCGTGCATTTTACCACCCGTCTGATCGATGCCCACAGTATGTAAGAGGCTCAGAGTCAAATTTGATAGAGCACTCTCCTGGCTCGACTTGCTGTGCGATGGACGAAAGATATGCGTTTTAGACTGAGTTCGGATAGCGATCAAGGCATCTCGACTACTCGCATTCGGCATTGAGTAAACTTGCAAAATTGGGCCATCGTTGCTGGACCACCTAGCCTCTTCGCCATGCAGGGTTGGTACTTCGATCCACGACGCTCGGTCTGCGGTCCAACCGCGCCGCTGTCTCTGCACTTGTACGAGTCGAAGCTCGGATCCAGTCTGACCGGCAGCTATGACAGCGACTGAGAAAGTGCGATGCCGAATATCCGACCAGACCTTGGTAAATGCTATCAGCCTCCCTTTCGTGGGTTCATATCGTCCTGCGGCTTTCTGAACTGCCTCTGAAGTCTTCAACAGAGGGGGAAGGTGATCCAAGGCGGGTTGAAATTCAGGATAGTGCTCCACCAGGGCCTGAGCCTGCTTCGCTAATCCGACAGTTGAATTCTTCGGGTTGGTGGTTGCATCTTGAGGAACAAGAGTGTCGGACGCCTGGCGCAAGATATGTGGACTGTCTAAAGCCTTGATATAAAGAGGTGCCGTCAAGGTGCGCCCGAACTGAAGGTTGTTGTCATCCAGACTGATCTGGACTCGACCATAATGCCCATATGGAAGGTCGCATTTTGACCGTTCAGCCATTCGGCTTGGCGCGTGGTAATCGGTTTCGCAGCGCCAGCACAGGCCCAGACATAGTAATTTCGCTTTCGATCGGGCGGGCAAGCTGATGCGCTCCTGAAACAAGGTCCTCTTTGAATGCTGGAAAGATATTCTTCGAAACCGGATCGACGGGTGAAGTTGAGTTGAAGAAAGTTCACACGCTAATTTGCGGCACGTGCCGGTTGAGCGGGGCAACGATTTGTTTTGCCCGACTTCGCGCGTCTCGTTGCGATCATTCAAGACTCGTCTATCGCAACTATTCGCAACATACTACAACAATGGCAGCTTCAATGGCAGCTTCAATGATGACCCCAAGTCGTTTCGGCAACTCGCTTTCTGGCGGTCAAGCTCCGTACGCCGCCGTCGGTCCGTCAATGGCAGACACGCTTCCCACGATCGACTTCAACTTCAACGATCTACGCGAGCGCATGGCCCAGTTCACAGTACGATTCGACGAATTCATCGAGCGCGGGAGGAAACGAGTATTAGAGGAACGAAATGCTTTCCGCATGAACGTGGCAGACCTGGGAGGTTCGTCGGCATTTCCAACTCTCTCGAGTCGCAAAACTAACACGAGCACCGCAGATCAACAGCGACAGCGAAAACACAGCATCGCAGAACTAGAATCGAAGTCCTCGAACCATGCCCACATCGTCGCCCGCGAAACACAGGAGACGGAGGAAATGCACGAGGCGATTCGCTCTCTCACAGCACAAAAGGAGGAGCACGTATCACGCCGAGACCAGATCAAGACGGAAATCGCATCGGTGCAGGCGAACATCCGGCAGAAAAGAGAAGCTCAATCCGCCCACCAACGAGCACTGGACGAACAAGCACGACACAACGTGCCGGAGCTGCGGGTTTGGGAGAATTGCTTGGCCATGCGGATAGAAGCGACGGGGGTGGATGATCGGCTGAGATTTGTCTTTCTTAGCATTGACGAGCGCGATGCGGAGAGGGAGTGCTGGTTCGATTTTCATATTGGAAGCAAAGACTACACGGTTGTCAGCACGAAGCCGCGGTTGGATAAAGATGATGTGGAGTCGGCGCAGGAGAGATTGAATGAGACGCAGGAGCTGGGTGTCTTTTTGAAGAGTATGAGGAGCTTGTTTGCGGAGGCGGTCACGGCGTAGGACGAGTGGCTTTGAAAAGAAGCAGCAGTTCACGATGATATCCCAACATCGTACATTGAAAACATGTAACGTTCGATGCGCTTTTCGGTGAATCTATATCATTACTACAGAGAGGAGACTTGCGATGGGTATCAGCCTGCAAAGCACCCTTTACAACGCCATCGTCTCAGCCAGAACCTCCCGACACTGCCCACAAGGCAAGCCCTCTTCCTCAGCCGTAAACTTCCAGCACCTGACACACTTCTCCCCCTCCGGCGGCAGCACAAACACCTTCCCCGTGACAACCTCCCCGCCCCAATCATACTCGAAGCTCTGCTCATACCGCCACTCGGTCGACTTGGGAAGAACGTCCTCCTCGATATCCTCCACCAACTTCAGCTCCGCCTGACTGACGACCAACAGTCCCGGCAATTGTCCATCGTCAAGCCAGTGACAGGGGCTCAGAATCACTTGCGCATGCTGGGGGAGGTATATCTCGATCTTGCAGGCAAGGCCGCTTCCTAGTTGTCTGGCTGCTCGGGCTTCCTCCTGCGCGCTCTTCACGGCGGCGTTCAGAGGATTGAATACGTCGAGGCCCATTTCGAGTTCGGCGTCGTTATCATCTTTGTATCTGCGCTCGCTCTCACGTACTGTATATTCATCAAAAGGCGCTTTCCACACTTGGCGTAAGGGATGGTGGCTCAAGTCGACTTCTCCGCTGGACGAAGTTGTCTGCTTCATCTGCAGCGGCATCCATTCCCAGACTTCTTCCACTAGGTAAGGTGTCGGTACGCCGAGCATGTTCGTGAGCTCCTGCAGAATGTACACCAGGATCGTCTGCGTGTGTCTCCGTTCTGCCAAAGAACCAGCGTAGAGTCTGTCTTTGATGATCTCGAAGTAGAACGCGCTGAGGTCATTGTTGATGAACTTGTTGATCTCGTTGATGCCAGCGTAGAATCTGTAGTCGCGGTAGGCTTCGAAGACTGTCCGGCTACATTGTGCCAATCGCTGCAAGACAACTTCATCAGCGAAGTCCTGTCTCTGGATCAGCTCTGTCTGGGGTGAAGCTGTTGGGTAGTCGTGGAGTACTCCGAGCAGGAATTTGAAAGTCACCCGGTACTTCTGCAATGCTTGTTGCACGCTTTGCAGCACTGGCTGAGATATCGAAACGTCTCTCGTATAGTCTGATGAGGCGACCCATAACCGGAGAATGTCTGGACCCATGGAGCCCTGCTGCTTCTTACTCGGGGTAGGCTTTTGTTGCCCTTTGCCGTGGGACTTGCCCCGTCCTGCCTGGAGCATAGCACCTGATATAATGTCTTCAGGAGAGACGACATTACCAAGGCTTTTGCTCATCTTCTTGCCATCGCCGTCAAGTGTGAAGCCATGTGTGGCCAACACTCGGAAAGGCGCAAGCGGTTTGCTTGCAATATCTTGAGTGGCAACTGCCGTGAGAAGACTGCTTTGAAACCAACCTCGATGCTGATCGGTACCTTCAACATAAACGTCGCCCAACTCAGTATCGGCATCCCTCTTGTCAAGCGAAGTCCATGAGGTGCCAGAGTCGAACCATACGTCCATAGTGTCTTTGCCCCTGATCCACTCTCCAGGCTCGAGAGACGGGTGTAACCAACGCGAATCGTCGATCGGGTCTGAGAACCATGCATCAATACCTCTCACCTCGATGGTAGAGATGATGTGGTCGATGCTTTCGTCCGTAATGCAAGCCTCGCCAGTCTCAATGTGGTAGAGTGCTGGAATTGGAACACCCCAGGCACGCTGTCGAGAGATGCACCACTGGCTTCTTCCCGCCACGAAGCTTCTCAGCCTCGCTTTGCCAGATTCGGGGATGAAACTGACATTGTCGAGTGCCTCTAACGCTCTTTCTTTGATCGCAGAGACGTCGGCGAACCATTGAGCTGTCGCACGTGTGATGACGGGCTGCTTCGTCCGCCAGTCGATTGGATTCTTGTGCACAAACTTATGCGCGGCGAAGAGGAGATCCTTGTGTGACTGCATATCCTCAGGCAAGAACTTGTGAGGTTCATGTAAGACGTCAAGCACGGCTTTGACACCCTGTGTCTGTGCATCCAGGCCTTGGAATTGGATTGCTCCATTTGCAGCTGGAAATGCATCGCTCGTGTACCTGCCCTCATCGTCAAGAGGAGCGAATGCTGGGCCAACGCCGTTCTGTTGGCAGACTTGGTAGTCTTCCATTCCATGGCCGGGAGCCATGTGAACTAGCCCAGTTCCTGATGTAGCTGTGACGAAGTCTGCTTGTAGGATGGGAGACTCCGAAGCCGTGAAGAGGCTGTAGCAAGCCGCATGACCGTCAGCCAGTTGAGATCCAGACACTGTATCCACTACAATCTGGCATGTCGATCCTTCTGGTAGGTATGTTTGAACGTGCTCAACGCGATCTTTGGCCACGAGCATTTGCTCCGGCGAAGTACTAGCAGTCGTGTCGTTGACTTCTACGACCGCATAGTCGATGTCGTTTTTGACGGCGATGGCCTTGTTTGCGGGCAATGTCCATGGCGTCGTGGTCCAGATCAACGCACTGATATGCTTTGGATCAACGGATGCATTCGACTTTAGCGCCTCTGGGAGGCGCACAAATGGCATCTTCACAAAAGCAGCCGTGCACTTGTGGTTATCGTCGTACTCGAGCTCCGCCTCGGCCAGAGCTGTTCGCGAAGAAGGAGACCAGTGCACGGGTCGATGGTGTCTTGATATAAGCCCTGCATACTTATATTAGATAAAGTAAACACAACGACCTACAATCATGCTCACCTTTTCGAACCATCTCCCTGAAAACACCAAGCTGCCGCATCTCGAACTCCTTATCCATTGTCCTGTACGGCGCATCCCACTCCCCCATCACAGCCCATTCCCTAAAGCTCTTCTTCTGCGTCTCGACAGTCTCGCTCGCCAGCTTCCTAGCCACTGCCCGGATCTCCGATGCAGTCATCTGGCTCGATGCCAATGCCGCAGCTTTTGCTTCTTGCCCAGGCTTGTCCTTCAACGACTTCGACTCTTTCGAGGGAGCTTTCGGCTGCTGAAGCGCCTTGAGCTCGATGGGCAGTCCATGGCAATCCCAGCCTGGGCGGTAGTGTACTCTCTTCCCTCTCGCCAGCTCCGTGCGTAGCATGAGGTCCTTCAAGACTTTGTTCAATGCGTGTCCCACATGGACTGCACCATTGGCGTATGGCGGTCCATCATGCAGCACAAATTCATTGCTCTTCTCTGTCCCATCTTCGCTGTTTACAGTTCTCGGTCGACTGGCACGCTGCCATCGGTACAGGTCATCGGCGCATCGTTGGCGATATTTCTCAATCTGCTCAGGCCCAGGCCGAGCAGGGAATTGAGATTTGGGAAGTGCGAGCGTATCACCCCAATTCGTCTTTTCCTGTGCAATGCTTCGGATTTTATCGATTAAGTTATTACCTGGATTCGTCGACGCCTTCAGAATGCGAGTTGGGGAAATGGCGGGCATGCTCGAGCCTTCATGGTCGCGTTGTTGGACGCGTGAAGTTCTGCGATGGCTCGGCTTGACTTGCTCGATCGAGGCGCCGATCTCTTTGGCGTGGTCTTCACATGTTTGAGGCACTCCTTTTCCTCTCGTCGGCGACGACATCCTACCGGAATATGCAGCACTGATTGAGCACTTCTGAGCAGCATGCACGTAATTCTTTATTCGAATCTCGAATCTCGAGGCTTCAGTGTTCGTAGAAGCAGAAGCGAGAATGACCATCCGCCTTTGGTCAACACCCCCTTCCTCTCCAAGTCATCAGTCATTATCGTACAGTCATTTCTCCGTGACTCCAGCCATGTATCAAGACTCAAAAGACGCCTCCCACCCAATCCACAAACAAACGCAGAGTTCAACCTCAAAACCACTCCTCATCCATCCGCCCCAATCCAGACATCGTACACTCCCTCACCCCAAGCCATCTCCCGTCCAACAACCGAAAGTCAAGAATCGTAACGGCGTTCCTCCACATCCCCACCGGTACTCCAGGAACTCCTGTGCTGCCCGCATTCATCACAACTTGCGCCGTCCCGATATTCTCATGGACGGTCGTCGAGAAGCTCGTGATGCGGATCTTGAACATCGGGTTCGCTTCTGCGAGTTTACGGTGGCCTTCGAGCATATCGAGTTTGTTGGTTGCGTTAGGTCGTGCGCCGGTCCCCGAGCCGACGGTGAAGTGAGCGGCGATTTGGTTCCAGGGTTTGGTGTTTGGGTCGAAGTTGCGGGAGTTGATGGCTTCGATGAAGCTGGAGGCGATGTCTTCGAGATGTCTTGCGGTCTGTTGTTGGGGCGATGGTTCTGATGATTCTTTCTTGATGACTTGGTCTGCCATTGATATTTTGCAGGTGAGGTGTCTCAATCTGAGCGTGGATTCCCACGACGACTGCTGGAATGAGGCTACGTAAGGGATGGTGGCCATGGTGATGATAGGAGGTTGTTGGAAAGGGCCTTAGGAACCGCACAAATCCATGAGGAGCTCCATTGTTCTTGTCATATACGAAATGACTGGCCTGAAACAATACCGGTGGACCGATACCATCGGAGTGGCCGCCTGTCCTCCATGCAAGGTACCATGCTACAGGTCTAGCCGCGGCTGAGGCGCATGAAGCTGTGCAAACGATTGGTACACGAAATACTCCGCCCACGTCTTGGAAGCTACACAAGAATAGCAGAGTGGAACAATTTAGTTCTGCATTTAATCAACTCAAACGTAGTGTCATTGCACTGAGTGTTGACTCACTGCTTTTCCCGCCTTGACTTGGCCGGCACCGGTTCTCCTGAGCATAACCCATCATTCACTGTTCACTAGAAGTATTACGATCCGCCTTCAAATTATCAATCTCAGCTCGGAGACTGTCAATAACAAAGGCATCCTTCTCCCTCTCACGTCGAATAGCCTCATCGACGCTCCCTTGCCACGCCCTCGAGACAGCTTCGCTTCCAATCCCCATAGCTTCTGCCTTCCATCTCTCTACTTCCATGTTTGCTCGCTCAAGTTGCTGCAGTAAGATCGTTCGCTCGTCAGGCTCGATGCCAAGGGAGCTCTGACTGGCGGCAGATTTTTGCAAATGCTCCAACTGTAGACGTGCGTCCACCAGCTCAGCGGAAAGGCTCTGTACCTGGTTTCTCAACTCGGGCTGATGCTGCTTGAGTTGTTGCGTCAATTCCTGCACCTGGAGTTGTAGTGCTTCGGAGTGTCCTGTCTGAATCTCGACTTGCTTCTTAGCCGTGTCCAGCTCATTCGCAAGAATATCCTTCTCGACGACGAGAGCTTGTTCGATTGCTTCGAGCCTCTTTATCTCTTGCCTCCTGAGAAGAAGTACGGCATCTTTGATCTCATGGCTTTCGTCAATATCCGTGCGCAAGCGATCGGTTATGCTGTGCTCGACGTCTACCGACTTGAGGTGGCTCTGCTTCAAGCTCTCTGCCAGTGGATGAGGCATTGACCAGCTTCCTGATGGTCGACTGCTGTTCATCGGGTACGTGAAGATGAGCGCACGAACTTCGATACTCTCTCGGGTGGGCGATCCAGCAGGAACTGTGTCTGGTGGTAGATCGAAAGCAGTGTGAAGACACGTTCGGGCGTCGACATCCGTCGCGGTGTCATGATTCTTGAAAAGGAGGACATCTGGCTCGTCTTGGTAAGACATGTAGTACCACTCAAAACCCGGTCGATACTTGATCACACCCATCGTATCCCAAAACTCGCCAGTGTCCTGTCGGTGGCGGTCGCATTCGATAACATCGTCGGTCTTCAACTTGCCACCATCAGCGATAGCCAATCCACAGTCATAGACAGGATGCTTGATGGGACGCCAAATGTTGATAATGCGTGCTCGTCCGGAGAGGAGGTAGTCTGCCTTCATTTCTGTGAGGTTGCGAATCTTCATCAGGACACTCTTCTCGGTGTTGTCTGTATGAACCTGCTTGGCGAAAGGATTGTAACTGAGGCCTTCAACTCGCAGTCCGGCATCATCGGCGTGACGGATACGGGCATCGTAGAAAATAATCTCGTCACATCCATCTACTTCTTTTCGCAGCAATGTCTCTAACTGCGGCAAGTACTCTTCGGCAATCTTTGGCTGTGAAGACCAGTCCTTGAATTTCGTAGGTGCGTGGACATATTTGAATCCGTTGCGATCGAGTGTGAAGTCGCGCTCTTGACCTCGGACGTCCTGGATCGTCTCTGGATGACCAGGGGAAAGCTTGACGTTTGTCTTGTTCTCCTTGTCCAAGAAGTTGGGCGTAATCTGTAATGGCTTTTGCTCGCGGTATATAGGGTCATCCTTGAGGTATTGAAGCTGGACCTGAATGTCTTTCCGGGTTTGCCTCGAGTCCGGCAAGTCGTTAGTGGTGGGAAGTGTTGTATTGGTCGTTGGTATATTCTCAACCGCGAGATCTTGTCGGACCGACGACATCTTCTCCAGAAACGTAGGATCAGAGAAACTGGTCGTATGTGTAGAAGGAGCGTAAGGTGTGTCAGCTCTGGATGTTGGATGAAGAGCTTATCACAGTAGTCGCGCCGTCGATCGACACGCGACTGCAAGAAGCTGTTTTTGCAATTTCTCCTTCGAGAAAACCGACCCGGTCTTGTACGCGTAGTTTCAGTGCTACTCAAAAATCTGTTGAAGATGTCAATGAGCTCAAAATACGATCGCGAAGACCGCAGCTGCTGCTATCGACGTGAAACGAGTTCTGCTGACGTTGCACCGCTGACGTCTTGAGAATGCTTGCCTTGGGAACGACTGGAGCTATGGGTGAGGAGGAGGGAGCGGTGAAAGCCAAGGTCCTGCATATATGTATTCACGTTCTGCATGTCGGGTGATGCGGTTCCACGCGTAGATATGGCTGATGTTCGATCCGCCATGGGCATGGGAAGAAGGTTAGCTGCGGCTCACCTTGGATGTTTGCGATTCCACGCGACCTCATCATCGAGGCAGCGTGAGAGTGTGCGTGGTGTATACAAACTCGGCGCGGAGGCGTAGACCAGCGCACGAGGTGCATGTAGTAGGGAGGCAGAAGCGCAGGAGAGAGGGGAGAAGACGTGGTGGATGTGGTGCTCGGCCGTTGGCGCAAAGTCACCATTTGGCCCGTGTCACGCCTCAGAACCGCATTCCAGGTTCGGCAATCGATTGTCAACATCACCACCATCACCTTTTATTTTCGTGACCCCCGGGCGCTGGCGCCAACGAGAAGTTTTGTGTTTGCTGTTGCGGAAGTCGCGTGAATACTCGCCTGACCTCAGCAACAATGGCGTCTCCCAGTCGATTGCCAGCGGCACGTCGCCCAGCAGCCTCCAGCGCAAAGGCCCGCCCGATGTCCATGTTTGACGTTCCCACTGAGCACTTGAGGAGGTTACAACAGATCGGGGATGGCAGTGGATCAGGTTCAGAAAAGTCGGAAGGGGGTGCGACATCCAAGCAGTCGAAGAGACGGAGTCTGCTACCAACATTTTCGCGGAGGACTCCAGTCGAGGACGAAAGAGAGACCGTAGCCACGATCAGGGAGGATACATCGGATAGTGACGTTTCAGTGAGGCCAGGAACAAGAGATGATACAAAATCAATGCCGCCTCCCCCGAAGCCTAGTCGGCCGACCTCCATGAAGCCGCCAGGCGCCGTGGCTCCTGCAAGAACAACAAGCCTACACGCAAAGACATCGTCCAAAGACACCAATGGGATGTCGAAGGCAACAGGCGGAACGGCCATTACACAAAAGCCGGATCAAGGCATCAAACGAAGTGGCTCTACAAAACTTCCTCAGGGGTCGAAACTGGCAGCGCCTGCATCAAATTCTACGCAACAAGCCATACCAACGCGCGGTAGTAGTGCCAGGGCGACCACCTCAACCACAGCTCAGAAACGTTCCTCAGTGATTGTATCCAAACCGCCAACCCTCGAGCCCACTTCCGGCGACGTGCAATCGATACCAAAAGGGGCTCCCCCATCGCCTGCCCGGTCTACAACATCGCGTCCTAGCACACGCAGCAATGCAGCAGCGCCCACCTCGAAGCCCTCGTTCTCGACTTACCAGCAGCATTATAGCCCTGCTAAGTCAGCGTTACCGAAACCAGGAATACCCAGCGGCAAGCCAGCAGCAGTCGCCAGACCACCTACTGCTAGTGGCAGAGAGGGAGAGGTGCCCATAACTGCAGAAGTTGCTTTGGAGCAAATCGACCTGCTTCAGCTATCGCTTTTGCATCGATCATCAGAGCAAGTGCTGGCCGAGTACGAAGCCAGCGCCAGACAGAAGTTGGCCAAACAACACGCCAGACTGCGAAAGGAGTACGAGTCGATTCGCGGTCACGAGCTGGAGCAACGCAGACTCACGAACCTGTCCGCCATCGAGACCTGGTGTCCCGACCACGCGCTCCTCGCTGAACACCTTCAAACGCTCAATCGCGTGGTCACAGCACTCCGCATGCACACCGAGCCAGGAAGTCGCTACTCCGAGCTATCCGACACCTTCGACTCCTGGGCCACAAAAGCAGAAGCAACTCTCTTCGACGACACGCAAGCAGCAAGCTTCATCGAGGCTCTCCCAGAATCCTGGCGAGCAGCTCATACATCTTTGGCGCTCAAGCTCCGCTCGATCCAACGAGACCTGGACACACTACCTCCTGTGCCGCCACCATCATCTTCGGACGTCCAATCGAGTTTAGAGATCATCATGGACAATTGCTCGTCGCTGGTCGATGACATGCTGAAGTCATTGGAGGTAATGACGAAGCTGCAGAAGGAAGTGCTGCAGCGAGGCAAAGCTCGGATTGACGAGCAGATCAACGCGTTGATGTCAACGGGTCAAGACGCAGAGAAGGAGAATTGGGTACCGGCATGGACAAGCGTTTCATGAGATGACGTGTCTTGACGTTCGTGATATATACACTGCCATCATTGCGACTGTCGATCCGAGGAAGACGACGCTGGCCAGTCCGACGGTAGTCCCCAAAGTTCTAGCAGACTTTGCACGCGATACTCGCTCGCCCAACCCATATCCCGCTCGATCCCACGAAGCAGTTCAACAATCGTCCTCCGCCAGCCCCCAGTCTCAGCACTGACATGACCCAGCTCATCCGGATCATCGTCGTTGCCCAAGACCAAACCGGCCGTCCACAGCGGCTGCACGGCATGGATCCTCGAACTCTCATCAGACCTCCCCAGCGATATCGCTACGATCTCTTTCGCATGAAATCGCGACTGATGTAGAATCGACGAGTAGCTCGCATACCGCGCAGCCAGCGATGTACCTGGCGTCCCCGCCCCCAACAACGACTGTGCAGGCGTCGCGGTAGAAAGCTGCGGCTTATTGTTCAGAAGTTGCACCCTCGCCAAATGGTACCACTGCATTGTGCTCCCGCACATATGCCGGGGGAACCACTTCTCTGTGCCACATTCTCTGTCGCTGGGAATGGACGCGGTGGCGTGGAACGAATCCGGGAGGCCTTCGTGCCAGACGCGGAGCTGCTCTTCCATCGACTCCCAGTAGTCTAGGAGTTCTCGCTGGCGGACGCCGAGACCGAGAGGTGTTATTCCGTCGGGGAGGTCGTCCCCTGCGGCGATGAAGTTGACGACTTTCATTACGAGCCAGATTAGTGCGTTTGAGATCATCTATAGGACAAGCCGCATTAGCTACTATCAATGATAACGTGCTGTTCGATACAATACTCACATCATCGCCCATGGCCTGTTCCACGGCATACTGTGAATGCTTCGGATTCGACGGCGAAACAAACCCCTCCTGCGTCAACTTCAACCCAGCACTACACCACATGGAAAGATCACCCGTATCTAGACGCGTAGAGGTATGATTGATAAACGCCGACAACATATCCTGACGAGTATAATTCCAAAACACAGATCGCCGTTCTTGGCTGAGATGTCGAATCGGCGGTGGCACGTGCTGTTCGGTTCCCGATTGGTCTGCGAGACGCTGTGTGACCTGCTGTGCGATGGAGACGGGCGACGGCGGTAACGTGGGAGGTAACATGCGGTCTTTGGCGATGTCAAATAGTGTTTTGGCCCCGTCCAAGTGGCGGCTCCATTCGGGCCCGGACGCGTCTAAGAATTCATATACACATAGGATGGCTGTTGCGGCTACTAGTTCTTCTGAGTCTGTCGTGGGAAGAGGTGTGCTTTGCACGGTTGAGAGTGTGGTAGGTGAGGCTTCTTCCGGTAGTGAGGATGTCGGAGGCCGTGTTGCGCCTGCTAGAGATTGCCGAAGGAGGGATACTGCAATGTCATAATGTTCCCTCCCTTTGCGAACCCAGCCTTCTTGGTCCAGCGGCGGACCTGGCCAGCGTTCCATTCTGCTTTGACGTGACACTTGACCACCCATCACTGGTTTGCGACCATGCACTCTGGCAAGGCTCTTTGCCGATAACGAGGCACACGCATAGAGAAGCAGCGGACAAGTTGTTGCCAACACTGGCACCTTGGTGGCGAAGAAGAGCCCCAAGTCGAACAAGTCCATCCATAGCCCGGGCCTCTCCGAGTAATCGCGAAGCAGAAAGGCTAGCTCAGGCTGTTCAATTGCAGGTCGCCGTTGATTTCCTTTCGAACGTAAGCTCGTCCGTCCGCCGATAGAGGCATATGATTGGGTACGTACATGAGAAGGGGAATGATGAGAAGTTGGTGGAGGGCCGGTGGCTGTTTGGGAGTGTAGCCGCGGGTCGATGTTGCTCTCCGCTGGCGAGAGATTCGATGTCGGGTTCAAGATGAAGTCGAGGTTCTGGCTGGGGGTTGCATTGTTCTGCTGGGGCGAGCTAGCAGGTTGGGAGGGACGCGAGTGCAGCGAGGCCGTCCGTTCGTGGTGACCCATCTGAGCCTGAGGGACGCCATAGCTATACTGGTCTTGGCTGGCAACGGCACTCAAAGCCTCGAGACCGTGGGTAGCGTAGGCGGGATAGGAAGCCTGGCTGATCCTTAGGTCTGAGTCCCTGCGCACATCTTCCAGACTCGAGTATCCTTGCAGCGAGTTGTCGACAGAGTTGTCGACGACTGTGCCTCCGCCTTCCTCATCCTCATATGGGTTGTTGGTGTGCACAAAGGTGAGGTCCTTGGGTATCGAGACCCACTGCGCGCTCTTGCCGAATGTCTCCTTGTATCCGTAGAAACTCTTCAAACTGCCGTCATCCTGGCCCCCTCCATTCATCGACGGGTTCTGTTGATGACGGAAGGTGATGCCGGAGCTGGGGACGCATTCTCGGTTGGCCTTGATGCACTGGGCGCAGATGGGGCGCTCCTCGCTGCATTTGAGCTGTGCGGTCGGGTTAGACGGTGTCCACGTGTGAGTCGCGAGATGGATATCGCCATACCTTTCGCTGGCGGCAGGTGAGGCTGGGACGAGAGTCAGTTCGATTCTGGTAGGTATAGCGAGGTGCGAAGAGGCAGATCGCGTGGGTCTTTGTTGCGGATACTACTAACCAGCCTGTTCTCGATCTGGGCGCCATTGGCGCGCTTCACTTGAGCGGTACACAGCACGTAGGTCGTCGCTTGTCTCTGTGCTACAGCTTCTTCATCCGAAAGATGTGCTGGTGTTGAAGATCCACTGCTGTGATGCTGAGAGCGGAGTTGTGGAGATTTTAGCGGCGAACCCCACACCGCGAGTCGGCCCTGGTCGGTTTACTGCTTTTGCCTCGCTCGTGACAGACATTCACTTCTCAAAACTCGCTGACATGTGATCGCCAATCGAGGAGTTCATATGACGGCAGGTAAACGGCTTGGTGTTGGAAAAGTGAGGCAAAAATCGCAGATATCTTATGATCATCCGTGTTCTATCTTTTCAAAATCTATGTCTGTAGCCAATGCCTCTGTTACCACTCAATGGTCTCGCCGAAGCGATCGTAGAATTTGCCGCTGTCTTTGCGACTCCACTTGGCGATGAGAGGAAGCATGTCATTGATACTTTCCTCGGCCGAGATGGCGCCCTCCTCTTTACTCCTGACAAGATTTGTCTCTACTCGTCCAGGATGGCATAGACCGAAGGTGACTTCGGGTACATCTGCAGCAAAAGATCGAACAATGTCGTTCATCGCAGCTTTGGAGGCTCTATAGGCATACGCGCTACCGGCAGCTCTCTTAGGATGTTCGTTGTTGCCAATGCTTCCCATCCGAGAAGACATGACAACGACTTTGACATCTCTGCTCATTCGCAAGTTGGGAAGAAGAGCCCGAAGTAGCATGAATGTGCCAGCAGCATTTATATGAAACGCACGCATAAGCGTCTCGAGATCCATCGCGGCGATGGTCTCGGCCGCGGCGACATCGTCTGGCTTCTGTTCATGGATTGCTTCGACTAGACCTCGTACCCCTGCGCTGTGAATGGCTAGATCGATGGGCTGGTCCTCTAACTGGCTCGCCAACGTGTTGATGGATTCCTGGGAGCGAATGTCTACAGCGTGGAACTGTACCCTTGGGTTGGAGATCTCGACTTCATTCCGGTCAATAGCTATAATGGTGTTCGTCTGATCCTTTGCGTAGGCCTGGAGGAAGGCCGCACCCAGTCCACTAGCAGCGCCCGTGATCAAGATGATGGGCATGTTGTGGTGAAGAAGATGAAGTTGAGAAGCAGGTGGTGTTTAAGATTTGACTTTAGCGTCCCTACGGCAATGCCCGTTCCGGCGACGAGCTCGGCTTACCGACCGAATACTCGACTTCGGCTTTCACTGGGACACCACACACACGCTTCGAATCCGCCTGACAGCCATGAGATTGCGCTTGCTCGCCGCCAAAGCCTACGAAACCCGCAAGAGCATGAGCGTCGCAATCGCCGGCGCTGCTGCTGGCATTCCCTGAAGCAAGCACCGACTCCTGCAGTGGAGTGAATGGAAGGCACAAGTCACTGCCGCCGCAGACACCGAATAACAGCATACTTCACATGAAAGCCATGGCTACTACGACGGTGCGCTGACCCTTTGCCGACCCACATTTATAATTCTGTCACTTGCTGCCTTCCCCGTCGCTCGGCCATACACTGCATCATCTCATACATCCCCGCAGACACCTCCGCCCGGTGCCCAACCTACCGCCAAGATGCGTCCTCGACCGCGCCCAGCGTCGCAGCATGGCGCCAACCAGCAGACCCGCCCCGCCGGCACGCGCCCGACTCGTAAAGTATTCAACTGCATCGTCGACGACTCCGCCCTGGTCGCCGGCGTCAAGAAGAGCACTAGGAACGGGATTCGGCAATGGGTCAAGAATGGACAGATCCGCCTCTTTGTGCCTCTGCATGGTATGTACGATACTGGGAAGGTGGATACAGCGAACTGACGCAGTCAGCGTTGGAGGAGTTAAGCCTCCAGAAGGGTGGTAAGAATCGCCACGCCGAAGACGTTCGCGAGACCCTACAGTGGCTCGATGAAGCCACTACCAAGCACCCGAATGTAGTGACGCTTCAGGGTGCGGATGAGACGTACGAGCGATGGGCAGAAGTCGAACGCTTTGCCGTTCCTCGCACACTCTTTTCTGAGAACGACCACGACCTCGAGCCGGAACTCGAGTCGAATCCAGCTCACGATGACAACCCGACAAAGCGGACTTCCATCGATGCTAACTTGAAGACTCCCACAAGCTCAGTTGCCACCGACATGAGCCGTTCAGCCTCGCCGTCCTCGTTGAAGAGCATGCAATCAAGCACAAGCCCTCTCTCACCACCTACTAGCCCAGCCAAAGCTGTCATCTCCCCCGTTCAGAATATGCGATCCCTCGTCGCACCGAGCAGCCACCCACAATCATCCAGTGCCAGCGTCCCAAACCCTCTACAGCCGCTCTTCAACTACATTCTCTGGCGCATTCATCAAGAGACTGATCCAGTCGCCGCTCTCGAGTCCTTCATTTTCCTCTGCAACGACCCACGAAAAGTCAATTATGCCAAGGGGTTTGACATTAAGACGAAGCGACTGGAGCAGCTTCGCGAAGCCGTGGGAAGAGAAGACCGCGACTTCAAGAACCGTCAAGCCATGCTCGCTCGCGAGAACCAGAACGTCAACACGACCGCTGCCGAGGACGTAGAAAAGGAGAGTGATGGCGACGAGATCCCAACCAAGTCGTCGCCGCCAAAAGCACCAGCTGCAATGTTGAACAAGCAGCAGTCTAACGTCATTGACCCCGATGCCTTCAGTCGTGGGCCGCCACCGAAAGGTGCTGGCGTGGTGGACGTTCCAAATGGAGCACCCAAGTCCCCCCGCGTCAACCCTGCGACCCAGCAGCGTGGCTCACCACGTGCGGTCAATGCCCTGCCATTTGCTCCACGAGGCGCTCGTGGCAATGTCCACGGCAACTTCCGTGGAGGTGCCAGAGGGCGTGGAGCTGGACGAGGTGGATTCGCCAACGGCCCTACCACAACGAACGCCAACGCACCTGCCATCGATCCGAATAGCTTCACCAGACCAGACCCACGAGGTGGTTTCCACGGCGCTCGTGGCGGTAGAAAGCTCTGGGTCCCGACGTGAACACTGAGGTACGACTGGCGATTTGAACAATACGAAAGAGTTGCTTCTTGTTGATGAGCTCTGAGAACATCCACTTTCAACGGTTTGCCAAAGTAGCATTCCTGGAGTCCTGGTCCTGCATTGCAATGGAGGTACCTGAAATACACACACCTGGGCCACCTGAGCCGAACCATCACGCAGTCATATCTGCCACGGATCAGTCAAACAGGGGAAAGAGGGGAATGGGAGCGGTGATGAAGATGATATGAGGGGAAAGTAGGGGATGAGGCTAAGGCCTGAGAATGGAGTGGAGGATGGATGGATGGTGAATACGAGCTCGAGATTGTCAGGGAAGGGGTCAGAGTCCTTTGGGGATTTTCTCATACAACACACACGGTCTTTACCTCTGCTTAGTACACACACAGACTGGTCTTTGGGACTTCGAATTACCAAGATTGTCATGTCGTTTTCACATGGACTCCTCGAGATCCTTATTCATTTCTTCCCCTCCCTCACCTCCTCCAAAGCCAACCGCTCCAACTTCTCAAACCCCTCCACCGCCTCCCCATACCTCTCAAACACCCCCTCACTATACCCCTCCGCAATCCTCTTCACAAATGCCCCCTCATCCCACCGCTTCCCAATCAACTCCTCAAACGTCTCCCCGCCATCCCTCCGCTCACACCCCCACACAGCCTTATACGCGGCCCCCAAAGCGCACGCATTCCCTCCAATATCCAGCTTGTAGATCCCTTCCACCGACCCCAGCACCTCGCCGCAGATTTTCGCAATGGCGGGGTTCGCGGAGCCGCCGCCGACGAGGTAGACGCGGCGGGGTTGTGGGGGGAGGTGTGTGCCTGTGGTGGGGTCTTGGACGGGTTTGACGAGGTTGTGGGAGCGCAGGCGGAGGGAGAGGAATTGGGATTCGAGGATGTTGCGGGCGTCGGAGGGGATGAAGGCTGAGGGGGTTGGGGTGAGTGTGTGGGTTTGCGGGGCGTAGGTGTAGCGCCATTGGCCCGCTGGGAGGTTGGGGACGATTTCGGGGCGGGGGAAGTAGAGGCCTAGACGCATCTGTTCTTCTTCTTTTGAGGAGGTGGATTGGGATAGGGGCGGGGTGGAGAGGGCGGTTTTGTTGAAGGTTTCCCAGGTGTTGTTGGGGTCTGGAGAATCGGAGGTCTTGTTGAGTTCGTCTCGGATTTGTTCGCGGGCGAGGCCGCCGTTTTTGTAGCAGAGCATGAACATGTAGAGGCCGGGGGTTGTTGGGTGGTTCATGAAGTGGTAGGCTGGGTCCGGGAGGTATTCGGGGGTGCTCATGAGGAAGGTCGTGCTTGTGCCCAGAGAGACCATGGAGTCTGATGGGCGGAGTGGGAGGGCCAGGATGGTCGATGGGTTGTCGCCGGTGAAAGGGATGATGTTGCAGTCCTTTGCGAAGCCATACCGCTTCACAAAGTACTCGCTCACTTTCCCAAACGCAGCACCACCATCTTCAGGGACGTCGCCCAATTTCTTCTTGAGTTCCTCAACTCCCTCCTTGCCACCAGAAGTAAGAGCAAGCAACTGATCATGCCAACGCCCCTTACTGATCTCCCACAAATTCATCCCGGTCACATCCCCAATGTCAATCGGCGCCACGCGCCCCAAAAACACCGAAGCCAAAAACGATGACACCAGCGAAATCCTCGCCGTCTCCTCGTAATGCGTAGGGTACTTCGTTCGATACCGCAGGATCTGCGGTCCGCTGAATCGATGATGTGCCTTGCTGCCAGTCACTTTGGCCAGAGTCTCCGGATCGCCTAGCTCGGCGTCGAAAGCGTCGCATTGCTTCTGCGTGCTGGCGTCTTGCCAGTTTGGACTCATGGGGTGGGCGAAAGCTCCTCTTCTCTCGCCTTTGCTGCCGGGCTCCAATTGCTCGACCAGAGATTTGCCAGCATCGAGGCTGGCGAGCAGGTTCTCAGCATCTCGAGACCAGAACACCGTTCCATGCTGCATGCCCGCACCAGAAATCCCTTGGACTCGACCGAACTCGAGGCCAGCTTCCTTCAGTCGATCGAGCACCAAGTCAACCGCTTCGAGCCACATGGCAGGCGGCGCAAAGACTTCGCCTTCCGCGGGATTCGTGAGGACGCCCTTCTCAATGCCATATTTCTTCAAGTCTGCGTCGAAGTCGACTTTGGCTTCGTGGATTAATTTCAGATTCGAGTCGACGACGATGCCTATAGTTCACCATCAATACGTGTCGATCGCTGCTGCAGGGGGCAGAATGCACCTTTGAGTTGTTGTGTCGACAGGTCGAAGCCCTTTCGAGGAGTTAGCTTTTGTTGAGCTCGCAATGTGAGTGAATGTTGCGTACCATGTAAAGGGGGCCATTGCCTGCCATTTTCGAGCGATTCTTGCAATACTATATTCAGTCAAGAGAGTCGTAATAGTCAAGGGTCTGGCCAGGCTTAAGAATAGCCAGCATTCTCTCACCATGCGAATGTTTTGACGGAAAGTCGACGGAGGTTTGACACAAGAATCGCATCAGTGCCCCACAAGTTCCTTCTCTACCGGGTAATCCGGATAAATAGATGGGAAACTGTTGTCATGTGCGAGGGCACGGTCACGGGAAAATAGAAGCATGTGTTCTTCCTAATCAGTGAAGAGGCCTAGGCCGTCACAGGCCCAACAGATTCACATGCTGAGCTATACAATTTATCCGTTCAACGGCTTGCTCTACAGATGATGAACAGAGCCCCCAAGCCAGTCCAACGCCATCGCTAATAACATCTCGTATAAAATCATAGCTTTACCCTCATCGAGTAGGCAAAGCTTTGTCCTTGCCATCATCTCCAACATGAATAGATTCATGTCCCGTCCGAACCTGCTGCAAACCAAGCTCGACATCTTCATTCTGACGCCTGAGGGCTGCTAGAACGGCAGGAGATGGCAGGAAGCCTTCCACCCGTTTGACTCTGCGGCCCTCGATGTAACTCGCTACGCCGCCGACGCCTGCCACAATACAGGCAAGGGCAACGAAAAGACCAGTCGACCAAGATGGGCGATCGTATCTGTTCATGCCCCACATGAAGCCAGCGAGACAGCATTGGAAGATGGTGTTCCAAACCTGGCACCAGATGAAGAAGTCCACCTTCCAGATGGCGGTCGGTGGCGCTCGCACTCCCGTGAGGGGATCTTCAGGTCGTTCGGTGGTAAGCAGAGGTATCCTCAAGTCTGATTCCAGTACCTCGTCTGGTTGCTCGTTTGTTGAACTCAACGTGTCAGAGTCTGGCAGACGATACCAGGTGCGATAGTGACCAGCCAGCTTGCGCAGCCCAAACATCTTCTTTGCCTGACCCTGCTTTTGACCGTTTGCGAATCGAAAGCAAAGCAGATAGTACAAGTCGCGGAATCGCCAAGGTACAAGTCCAAAGCCCGTGACGCAGAATAAAGCGTTCAAGATTTGCGAGTCCCATTCGATCCATTTCCTGCGAGGGCTGTTGATATCGTTGCAGTCGAAGAACTTGCCGCCGTTGCCGTCAGAGGTCCAGCACATGGCCGGACTTGCATTGCACAGAAGAAGGAAAAGCATTCCACCCCAAGCGACGATGTTTAAGCCGTAGATAGTGATTAAAAACCCGAAAGGCGTCAGAAACCATTTCCAGAAGGCCTTGAGCCCGATTGCTGTCGAAGTGGTCCAGGGCAGCTTGGGAGGCGGGATGTAGCCAGATGTGTAGACTTTCTCGCCGCGTCTCAGTGGCCTGACACTTTGCGCGCCATCGTGCGTCCCTTGAGTTTGACCTATTGTGGCCGTCCCAGCTCGAACTTCCTCCTCTTCAACCAATGGCTTCGCGTCGCCTCGTGCTGAGTTCTCGCCGCTGACATTCGTGCGTTCCTCGGTCAAAGCTGGGAACGCCTCCAAGCCAATACTCCTGAGATTCTGGTCATGTTCGGGGATTGGTCCGTCGCCTAGGTCTCTCGATCCTCGTGATATCCTCCTGCTTCTCGTTTGGCTTTGACTCCTCCTGTTCTCTCCCAGGCTGCCTCTTCTGATCTCGGCGAGGGTGGGCGCTGTGCTTGTTGCTTCTGCTGTGGCGGCGAAGAAGCCAGGAGGGAGATCTCTACTCAGGACATTCTCGGTGACAGATGCGACCGCAGAGGCGACGCTGGAAAGGGAGGTTCCTCGCCTGTTGACAATTAGTGGTGTACGCCGCGATAGAGGCAATTGAACCGTACCTTCGAAGTGGATTGATGCCCGGCGTAATTGGCGAAGTCGGCGTCGACGAAGCCATTGTAGTAGAGAGTAGTATAGTTGAACCTGCGATCAATTGCTAAAGAACAACCATTGAGGGGCTACCAAGGCTTAAAGAACCAAGCCTGCAGCACTCGTCACGGAAGATTGTGATTGCGAAGTACACGCCGCAGCAGCTGAGCAGCGACAAGAACAAGAACAAGAAATATTGTTTCACTTTGCTGCCGCCTGGGAAGACCAGGACATTGGCTCGACGGCGAGCGACGAAGCAGCCCACGCACATGCACGCCGGGGCGCATTGCGTCGTCCCGGGGGCGCAGACATTGCCATTGTCGAAGAACCGTTGAAAATGCGCAAGGAAGTGTCGAGTCGGGTGGTTGGATAGGGCTTAGCCACAGGCACAGAGTTCAATGTTACTGGGTGCCTGTCGTATGCAATCCTTTCGGTACGAGCCAGCCGCCCTATGCGACTTTTACGCGGACAACGGAGCGATGGAAGGGCTTCGACTTTCACTTCAGTTCATCAACGTAACCTCACTTCCTGCGGAAGATCGAAGGCGCATGATGCACATCAGACATTATTGGTGTGCTCCACAATACATACAGCGAGCTGCTCGTCACAGCGGGTATAATGCCTCCCATACCGTCATCAACAAACACGCGCAGCCATCAACTACTGTGCAGTCCTCGAATCATGCCGCCTTTAGCCATACACTCCCTCGTGCGTATCTCATCATGCAAAGCTGGTACTCTTTGACTTCTTTAGAGCTTGAAGGCTCTCCACCGAGCTATTGGCAGAATCGCCCGCCCCTCCTAGCTCTGCCTTTCGAATTCGTTCTCGTAAAGCGCCCAGACCGCGTTCGGCAAAGTCCTTGCGGCAGTATTTGCACATTCTCAACGCGCACCTGGTCGAAAGTTGTTAGAAAGCGGCATTGGGCGTGTCCGGGGTTGCTACTCACCAACTGCAGCTGAAGTGATCAGCATCGTCGTCAATGTGACAGACTGCACACTCGACCGGCGCATGCTTGTTCCTGCTTGGTAGGAGCCTGTTGTGTCCGCGATAGCACTTGATCTGTGCCAGGGTCAATGGGCGGGTGTATGCGAAGCCAGAAGACTTGAAGTTGTGGCCCCTTCGACGTCCTTCGGTATCCCGGTATGTCGATTGAGGCTTGGTGGAAGACGGACGGGTCGACGTTGGTCTCGATGTCGCTGACGTTACGGTCGTCCAAGCCGAGTCCGAGTTGTCGGTTGTGCGCATGTCGTTGGCTGACTCGGCTCGGCGTCTCGATGTGCTCAAGCCGTTGAGGAATGACTGCGCGGATTGAAGGCTTTTTGCTTCCTGCAAGAACGTCAGTAAGTACAACACGATCTGTTCTCACGGCACGCACGTTGAAAATCTCGAGGCCGCTGCTCTTGCGCCTCATCTTCGCTACATTGATCTTCTCTGGCTGCTCAGGCACTTCAGGCGTGTCGATCTTATCCCTCAAGCCGTACTTGTGCGGGCTGTCTTCTGGCAAAGGCGATGGCGCGGGTAGTGTGGGAGAAGCAGGTGACCGCATGTCGTTCTCAGGCGGTGGAAGGGGAGGCAGCTCTTTGAGGTCGCGAGAACTTGCATCCGTAGCACTCAGCACTGGGCTTTGCTCGTTTGATCTGTAGTCGCGAATGGTGGTTGAGGCGCTCAGGGGCATGCCCGCCTTCTCCTCTGTCATAGTCATAGTCGATGCTGAGTGGACTTTAGGGGCCAGATCAGGATAGCGACCGTCGTACACCTCTGGCTGGTCGAAGAAGGGATCTGTGGGCATACTAATCAGTCCATCGTCGTCCGTCGCGCAACTGTCGCTCTTTTCGTGGGCGTCGCGGTGCAGCATGGACATGACACTGGCGGTGAGGTCGCGGGGCAGCGGGCTTTTGCTGTCGACTCGTTTGAAGATGTTGAAGGAGCTCTTCCTGGAGACTGGCCGGCGCGAATCGCGATGGACGACACTGCGCGCCGACTTGTCGTCCGGGACGGGGCTGCCCGAGAGGCTCGACGGCTTGTTGCCCATGGTGACGGTGAATGGCGTGGTCGGCGTCGGCGGAAGAGCTTCGCGCTGGTCGAGGGGCACTTGAGTGACGGTGGGCGATTCGTCAGAGCGGGCGTCGCATATCTGCTGCTTCAGTTCCGGGCTCCTGAGCGCAGTGTACCCGTTGGTGCCGCGCAGCGTGAGGGAAGCAGGTCGAGGTTTGGGAAGAGAACGTGGCGAAGATGCCTCGTTGGCAGTGTTTGCGCTTGCCTGCTGCTGCTTGGGACGGCCGTGCTGGAAGGCGGTCTGCATGTGTGGCTCTTTCTGCGGCTTCACGGCTGGAGGCATGGTTAGCGCTTGCTCGCTGTTCAGAAGTTGAAGTCGACTTTGGGCTGGGGCGAAGCTGCCGCTGACTACATCAAGTCCATGTATGTACTCACCTCGATCGGTGCGAGCGACCACACGAACCTCGCCAAACATAGCTGCGCGCTCTTTCACTCGTCGTCGGTCTTCCATGGTGGATAATGGTGACGACTCCTTTGACGATCCATTCTCTTTGGCGCCGGCCTGGGCAGGATTTATAGCAGGCGTCTTGCCGTCGAGCATTATAGCCACGATGTCGAGGCGAGTGGTCGACTGCATTCTGTCATGTCGGGCCATGTTCTATACTCCGCGAAGGACTAATATAAGATTAGGCTCTGCGGCCGTTAGCTTCGAGTGAACAAGGACTGCGAGTGGCGGCTGATGGTGATAGGAAGGGGACAGGCCTGTCGCCTATAACCTTTTTGCCTATTGGATTTCACGCGCACATGGCACAGCTTACAACCGACGTGTTATACCCAGCTCCTTGAACCACGTCCAACGAAATTTGCGTCTCGTGACGGAGGCCAATGGCTACAGCACGTACGACGACGAGGCAGCATCGGCGGTGGCACTGCGGAAGAAGACGATGCATCCAGGAAAATGCACGTCGTGAAACCCACAGCTCGCCGCCGTATCGTTTCAGGCCGACACCCCTGCAACTGCGTTCTCGACTTGCTGTTCTGGGCGTGGCACGACGCGGATGGCTGCAAGGTCCCTGAGCATAATAGATTAAATTGAAATCACCCGGATCCCTCATGCTCATCAGCTGGCCTCGCCTCCAAGAACGTGGGAGGGGAGGGAAGGGAAAGGCAAGCCGCCGGAGGTTCGTCTGCCTATCTAGAGTTCGCTTGCTATTGCAGCACCCAAGATTGATCTCTGGCCCGGGCCGGAAGCGCGCAAAAAGTTGGACGAAGTGATGCGAAACTGGGATCTGTGGTTGGTATCGAGTTTTCGGCTTCCACCGCGCCGGCGCCTCTGCTTGAGCACTTTGGATCCATATTCGTCTCATCAGTCAAGCGACTATAGCTCCTTCGTGACTGCTGTTGGAGATCAGCAACTGTATACTCCCGGATTAGTCTCGCCACATTTCATCAATCTTAACAGCGACGAGGAGGCAGGGCCCTGAGAGGTAACGTTGGTCGGAGACGAATCCGCCAGGCACAAGCGAGCAAAACGCCTCCGACCCCTAAAATACCAGCCAATCGATCGCCGAAGTTTACTCAAGCCTTGCATCCGGATGGTGAGGTCATTCATGGCGACGGCCAACCTTCCCTGTGTGGTGCTCTCGTGGTTTCGCAACACCTCCGCCACTCACCCATAATCTCCCTCAGACGACAGCATGTGACGCCCATGCCGTTGATGAGGATACCGTACACCGCGCCTCTGCCAAGTCCCACGATCATCCCAGCGGCAGCGACCACAGTGCACGGTGCAGTCGAGGCTCTGCAGAACTTCCTGCTCGCCTCACGATCCTCTGACGATGGCGGCAAGACGCTCGTTCTCTCCGGCGCTGGAATCTCGGTAGCATCAGGCCTCGCGGACTACAGAGGTAGCCATGGAACGTACACGCTGAATAAGACATATCGACCCATCTACTTCCACGAGTTCTCGGCAAGCCACGAGGCTAGAAAGAGATATTGGGCTCGCAGCTTCCTTGGATGGACCACTCTACACAGAAGCCGTCCCAATACTGCGCACTATGCCGTCGGGCAGCTGGGCGAGATGGGGCTGGTAGGAGGTGTCGTCACGCAAAATGTGGACTCGTTTCACCCCAAGGCGCATCCAGACTTGAAGACTTTGGAGCTGCACGGATATCTCAGGAGCACTGTCTGCCTCACTTGCCGGACGGAGTATGATCGGGACCAGTTTCAAGAGGATCTATCGCGGATGAATCCAGCCTGGGCGGCGTTTCTGGCAGAGATGCTGGAGTCTGGTGCTCTTACGACGGAGGATCCGACCGAGCGACACCGATTGGGCTTGAAGACGAATCCGGATGGTGATGTTGATGTGCCAGGCGTGGAGTACAGCACTTTCAGATATCCGCCTTGTCCGAAATGTCTTCACGATTCGAAACTTGCGGCAGAAGGCAAGAGGGTCGAAACGGATGCGGATGGGGCTTGGTCGTCGAAGTCGAATGCTGGGATTTTGAAGCCTGCTGTCATCATGTTTGGAGAGTCCATCTCCAATCCGGTGAAGCTAGCTGTCGAGACGGCTGTGGACAGCGCGAGCAAGCTGCTTGTGTTGGGATCCTCACTGGCTACATACTCAGCATGGCGGCTGGTCAAGAGAGCAAAGGAGCAAGGCAAACCAATTGCGGCGGTAAACATGGGAGGCGTGAGAGGGGAAGAGGGCTTCTTCGCTGAGGTCCCAATCAACACGAATGGGACGGATGGTGTGAGGTGCAGTCTGCCTTTGGAACAGTTCCTTCCAGCATTGGTAGAGGGATTGAAAAAGCACAACGAACCCAAAAGCAAAGCATTCCAGCCTGCGCCTTGGGCGTAAAGCGGCTGGACATGATATATTCGTCATTACTGCATAGCGCCGGTCTGATACACACATACACATACAAATCAAGCTGCCATTGCAGCATCTGTTCCATTCGTTGTTGCTCCACCTCCGCTGATGTTGGCCGTGAAGTCGCGGTATCTGAAGACATCACCCTTGGCGTTGCCTGTGTGTAGGCCTTTCGATCCGAAAGCGCGTCTGCTGGTGAACTCGCCCAAAATTCCATCAACCTCTCGCTCGCTAAAACGGATCATATCTTCTCCTGGCTGTGGTGCTGTGTGAAGGAGAGCGTCCCGCAGCACTGATACATCGATCTGGCCGCTGTCGTCCACGTCAAAGGCCTCGAATGCCGCGCGAAGCTCATCTGGTTGCGACATGTCTGACAACGGTCCCGAGAGAACATCCAGATATCGTGCTAGGTTCAATTGTGCAGGTCCGGAGGGAGGGAAGAAGTCCTTCAACGCCGCGGGTGTGTTGTCCAAACCTAGCTGAGAGAGCATTTCCGATACTGCCGCAGAATTAACGGTGCCAGTGGTGTTGCTGTCGAGCACTTCGAATGATTCCCGCATACTGTGTAGCAGAGGCTGTGGGACATGGTTGTACGCTCCACCTCGACCTATCGGATTGACTTTTTGTGTTGACGCTGCCGATTTGGGCTGTGATGTGAAGACGGGTGGCTTGATCGTGGTGGTACTCGAGGATGTGACTGTGCGTTGGGCGGCCGGTCTCAAATTCGCCGGACTTGGTGGTATGAAGAAGGGCGAGTCTTCTGGAAGTCGCTCGTGCGAAGAAGAATGTGCTCCATCGAGTGGTGAGGGAGAAGGAGGCGCCACAGCTGGTATGTCGTGCTCTTCAGGCGCAGGCGAGACCGCTGTATACCTCATCGGTGATAGAGGAGACGGGCTGAGCGGTCGTTCATTCTGGCTAGCATCACTTGCCTTTCGCGATGGTGAAGCGGGTATGCTCAAGCTGCTCGATGGTCTGGCGAACAGACTGGATGGACGATCGGAGGCATGGCTGATTTGGCTCAGTCGGCGTACGAATGGACTGGTCTTCTCAGGCGATAGATTGCCGCCTTTCGTGGGTGAGAGTGTTGCGTTGGGCTTTGTTGGAGACGAGCCTGGAGTTGCTGCTCGTAAAGTTGCGGGCGATCCACTGTTCTGGCGGCGGAATGGCGACTGTCGGGCGGCGGAGTTTTCGAGAGGCGATGGTCGACCTGCCTACACTTATTGTCAGTGTTGAACCGTTTCGGCAACGTTCAGAAGATCATACCATGATTCTGTGGTGTTGGATCTTGAACGAAGGTCTGCCTATGAATGTTTACTACCCCAGCCAAACACACAGCTGCACGGAGCAACGCGGGCCGACGCAGGGGTCAAGACGCGATCCAAATGTGGGGAATTGAAACGGTGAAAGTCGAGAGTGCGACAGATCTCTTCCATATCTCTTCATTCACTCGCCTGGTGCGAGGAGTTGGTTAGACGAGATGACTACCGTGCTGCCGCTGCGACCAAACACCAACTCGTCGGGTAGTGCAGCCTCGCGCCGACATCCTTCACTCAACTCATTCCCCTCGAGCTTTCGATCTACTGGCGAGACTGGCAATACGCTCAATGTTGGACAGGGACATAGGCACACTCCCTCCGATGCTTCGCGCCACTCTAGTGTAAACAGCTACCATTCCTCCAATTCTGCGTCGAAGCTAGCAAATGCTCACGTGCCCTCGCCCCAGAAGACACCTCGACGCCAGACCAAGCCGATCAAGTCGCAATACCCTGCCGATAGCAATGAGAAGCATGTGGAATATATACTGGTCGCATCGTTCGACATCGACCGGGGAAGTATCATGGAGCACCAGTATCCTGGCCCAGTAGGAGGAGACGAGCATATGCTTGCCGAGCTGATGTTGCCAGACCAAGCGCATGTGCGAAGTCAAGATTGGACTATCTTCTTTTTACACAAAGATGCTGGGATGGAAGAGGAGGAACATGAATCTAAGCGCAAGCGCAAACGACGACGGAAAGCTGAACTGGTCGGTGACGACCCAGAGGATGACGAGAATCTTGAAGATGGTGAAGAAGATATCGACGACAACGCCAGCGACGATTCCGAAGACGTCAATGTAGACGGCCCTCCGCTTGTCTATGTCCTCAATCTTGTCAACACGAAGCACGACAATACCATCAAGCGTGGAGCTATCGTCAAGTCGATGGCTATTTGCACGCGGCATTCCTTCTTGCATATCTACAAACCTTTGCTGCTGCTGGCTCTTGAGCAATACTTCGCAAATCCCGTGGTTGAGACGCTGGCAAGCCTATACGATGCTGTCAACAGCATGGACCTGTCTCTGTTACCACGCTTGAGTCTGTTTGAGAAGTTCATCCTGCAGGCCAGCGATGCGAAAGACTTGTTCCTGGAGAAATTCGAGACCATTATCGCTCAGCGGATGGCAGAGAAGAAAGAAAATGAAGCCATTGGTTCACCACTTGAGCAGACGAGCACCACCCAGCTTCAGTCCAAGGCTCGATATGGCTTGCCTCGAGATACGCACGAGTTCGAGAGTGTTATCAACTACGCCAATGTTCCGGTCCCCGTCAAGGTGCCAACAGCTGTCAGTCCTGAGACGGTTGGAGACTTCAGCCTGGTAAAATTGATCACTACTTTCAGTACGCCTCATACGCAGTCCGTGGTACCGTTTAATCCAACCCATCCGCATTTGACCACAAGCGGTCCTACGACGCACCCAATCATCGTGCTCATGAACGCTCTCCTGACACAAAAGCGTGTAATATTCCTGGGTCACAATCTGCCCAGCTCCGAGGTTGCTGAGGCAGTACTGGCTGCTTGCGCTTTGGCATCAGGTGGCATGCTACGCGGGTTTACTAGACATGCGTTTCCATACACTGACCTGACCAAGATCGATGACCTGCTCAAAGTGCCTGGTTTCATTGCGGGAGTTACAAACCCAGCCTTTGCACACAAGACGGAATGGTGGGATCTTCTTTGCGACATCAGTACTGGCCGAATGCGCATTTCCAATCACGTCGAGCAAGCAACACTCACCGAAGGTGTAGTGTTCTTCCAACAAAACACCCACCAGGTTCACACCAACGCTGCATCTGGCGGGGCAGGAGGTATCAGCGCGCTCGTCTCTGCTGGAGCCAGTCTTTCTGCCGGGCTGGGTGGTAATGCCACCCCGAACGGAAGCACGGCTGGAGATGCCACGGGCGATAGCGCGTTCATGCAGAGCGTGCTGGCGGCTATCAATGAGCGACACGGCGAGAATGCGATCCGCAGCAAGTTCAGGAAATGGGTTGTGAAATTCACTCGACTGGCCTCGAGTTTCGAAGAGACTGTTTACGGTGCGAGTGCACTTCACATCCACGATCCGCACAGTCCAAAGACGGCCTATCCTGGAACGGCAGAATCGCCCGTCGACAGTCCAAAGGAGTGGCCTCCTGAAGTCACTGGTCATGGTTATGTTTGGCCAACGGCGCAAGCAAAGAACAACGAGCTAGCTGCGAACTCCACGCGCATCGAAGGCTGGCGCAACACTCGAAGCTACTACAACTTCATTCAAGATCTAGCGGCATTCTACGTACATCGGCCTATCAAGCACCTGGATCTACAACATCTGCACGATAAGCTCGCAAAGTTACGACTCGGCCATGAGCAGAGCGCGAACATTTACCTGGCACTGTGTGCCTCTATCAGATCGGATCAGGAGATCAGCCAGATGCTCTCTGTCATCGCGAACGGCGTGTGGGAGAACAAGGCCGGTGCTGGACATTCGCCTGGCTTGCTCTATATTGGAACAGCGATGTTCCATCCTCGACTGGACGTTCGAGAGGAGGTCGCTGAACTGTTGGGTAGGATCAAGGAGCACGAGGCGGGTAGGCATTTCTGGTCATCGCTTGGAAGATTTGTTCGCATAGCGTGGGAACGAGTTATGACCCAACGAGTTGAGAGATTAGGCGGCACGGAGGAGTCATGATGATGAAGGAACGAAATAGAACGACTATGTTTATGATTTGATACCCTGTTCGCGCAAAATCTTCCCGTTGTCGTCTCTTGACTGAATCGCGCACGTGACCGACCCCACTTAAATTCAACCTCACACTTGCTTTCCCAAAAATCTCCAAACCTCAAATACCAAACCACACCCACACACCCCACCCACGAAATGGCGACCAAACGACAAGCCCCCTCCGACAGCGACGCCCGCCAACAACCCCCCAAACGCCCCAAACCCAGCACCAGCACCCCCTACCACCACCAACAACGCCCGGCGCACCACGGCAAAAAGTCCTTCAAAAAAGCCCACCCGGTCAACGAATTAAAATCCACCGTCCGCTCCCTCCGCCGCCTCCTCGAACGCAGCGACGACCAACTCCCCGCAGGGATCCGCATCGAAAAGGAGCGCGCCCTGCAAACTGCGGAAAGGGATTTGCGCGACGCGGAGAAGGCGAAGAAGAGGAGTGATGTGATTGGGAAGTTTCATAAGATAAGGTTTTTTGAGCGGCAGAAGGCGGAGAGGAGGTTGAAGAAGGCGAGGAGGGCGGTTAGGGAGGCTGAGGAGGAGGGGGAGGGGGAGGGGGATGTGGAGGTGGGGCTGTTGAGGAGGAAGGTGGAGGATGCGGAGGTGGATTTGAATTATGCGATGTTTTTTCCGTTGGAGAGGGAGTATGTTAGTCTTTTTCCGACGAGGAGGGGGGAGGAGGAGTCAGAGGGGAGGGAAGGGGAGAGGCAGGGGGATGTGGAGATGTGGGCCCTTGTGAAGAGGTGTATGAAGGAGGGGACGCTGGCGGATTTGAGGGGGGGGAGACTGTCAGCTAGTGGGGAGCGTCTGAAGGATGAGGAGGAGGAGGAGGTTGCACGTCCGGCGAAGAAGAAGAAGGCTGGCAAAGTTACTAGCTCGAAACATGTGCAGAACAAAGACGAGGAGGGAGAGAGCGGTGACGATCAGACTGGAGGAGGCTTCTTCGAGTAACACCCCAAAAGGTCAGGCGCTTGCTTTGCATGATACCCATTCTACACAAATTCCGAAAATCATTCCTCATGATCGAGACATTATCACTTCTTTCATTACGACTTCTCAGCTCGCGGAGCTCTCGAAGCTCGAAAGCCACTCTCCTCATTCACCCATCTCTCAATCCTCTCCGCCACATCCCCGACCAGCCGCTCATACCTCTCATCTACAAAGAAAAGGCCGCAGTGGGCTCCAACTTCATCCACATCCTTCATGAAGACTCGTACCCAACATGGGTCCCGCTCGCCGTTGGCATCTTTGGGCGGTAAGGTGCAGAACTTCCGGTCTTTCTTGGGTTTGGCGGGTTCAATGTCCCTACTTTCTTGAGGAGTCAGGAGGCTGCTACCATATGTCGACGCAGTTCCGACGGTTGATGCTGCGTAGGACTCTGTTCGACTTTCGACCCGAGGCGTGCTATCGATGCTGGGCCGTACTGATGCTGACGGCCTGACTGGCGCTGGCGCTGGTTCCGGTTTGGACTCTGCAGGAGGATCCTTTTCGCCTCTCATTCGTCGAGCTTCGGCTTCCATGCGCTGCTTCTCCTTTTCCAGTCGCAGTGCTTCTTTCTCCATGTGGGTCATTTCTGATTCTGGCTTCTGTGCTGGCTTTGGTTCTGGCTTTGACTCTGGCTGCTCCTCTACCTTGGGCTCCTCGCGTGGCTTGGCCTCAACTTTAGGAATCGGCTCCCGCTGTTTGAGCGCTTTCTCGTATCTCTCGACAGCCTTTTTGTGATTATCCTCGACGAGCTTTCGTAGGTTCTCGTCTTGAATGTAGCTCAAATCGCCAAGTGGTGGCGGGGCGACAGGTAGCTCTGTTGCAGTCGGTGGATGGTCGGCTTGGTCAGATGCGGTAGGCCTAAGCTGGCCGTCTTGCGGTCCTTTGCCAGAGTTCTGCTCCTCTCGTTCAGCTTCAACAGTAGATGATGAGCCTTCAGGGACCGCCACGCAGCCAATAGCGTCTTCCGGATGAAGACTCCCATCTTTGCTTTGCCGCTTCGATCGAATCGACGCCCGAGATCCAGACTCTCTGGACGGTGATCGACTCCCGTGTGGGCTTGGGGAGAGCCTTTGGTGAGAGGATGACGGCTTTCTAGGTCGTCCTGTACTGGCAGTATAGTAGTTGACGAAGTGCACTCTTGGTGGTACACCACCCTCTACGACCGTCTGGCGGATACGGCCGTCTTCTACCTCCAATGCTCTGACTCTCGAGTACCGCGTCTTCAGTTCGCCATAGTTGGCCATGGCACCTCCAAACTCCATGTGTGACGAGATCAGTTTCTTGGTCGATTTGATCAAATCATCAGAGTGCTTGTTGACAAAATGCAAGGCATTCTTCCAGCCTTTTCGCACCGGCAAGATCACGTCGTTGGTGAACTTGGGATTGAAATTCGGATCTGCCTTGTCCCAGAACGTGTCGAGTCGTGAAGCCGGGGTGGTGGGACGTTGGGGTTGGCTTGGACCTTCGTTCTCTTTTGGATCCTGCAGTTGGTCCTCCCATCTATCCCCAGGTGGCTCCTCAGAACCTTTGAAAATGCTTGCAAGTCCACTCTTGACCACGCCTGGATGCATTCCAAGAAAAGGCACATCGAAGTTGATTGTGCCAACAATGCGATGGTTGAGGGGTTGAGAAGAAGGCCTGCTGGAGGGCATGAGGACCACTTCAGCAGAGAGAAGCCCGCCCATGCTGTGACCTAGTAGTACGACATCGGTCGAAGGGCTTTCGTGTGGCTCCAGCCATTTGCTGAAGTCGTTTCGTGCGTTGCTGATATGTCCCTTGGAGCGATATCGTGGGTATATCTTGGTGTGTATGACATGAGTTTGTTCCAGTAGCACAGCCAGCAGGTTGTGCAAATGAGCTGGAAAGCTTCGAAAGCTGGTCTCGTTGCCCATGAAGCCATGAATGTAAATCAAAAGCAACCTGCGTCTCTCGTTCTGCTCTCCAGGCTCGGGGGCCAAAGACTGCTGTGACGAAGATCGGGGGTCATTGTGTCCAAGCGCAGTACCTGAGGCGGACGGGTTGTCGGCGGTTGCCTTCTCCAAGGCTCTCTGTTGATGCGCAACCAGCTCATATGGCGGCGGGGCTTCTTCAGGCTCTGCTTCACTTGGCCCTACTGCACTGCTTTGCCCTGGAGGCAGTGCGGGCGGCGGACGTCGTCCTCGTTCTTCTTGACCTCCCATGGCAAGAAACAAGAGTCGCGTCCGACCTACCTGCTTTATCTCATATCCGCAGGCATTATGGTCGTGTCCGCGGTTCCTTCGACAGGCAGAAGTCGAATGTATCTCGGACTGATACGATGGAAACGAGGTCTTGCCATTGGGGCAGTGCTTCGCCACGGTGTGGCACAGCTGCCAAGGCAGGGACTTTCACTTCACATGGTCGCCATCCATTACACAAACCAACCAATCCGCAAACACCGTCGAGCTACGTACTCGAATACGACGAAACCGAGAGCATATGCTACAGAAAACACAGAAATAGGATCAAGCGATGAACAGATGATGGCGAGTGATTGAGAAGTGACGCTTTGGCGAGAACGCCATGCCTTGAACCAACCTAAGCAGCACACGAAAGATATGCGCAGATGGAGGCGGCCGTACGCTGGTCACCGCACTCGACCAGTGGGAGAGAACGATTCTTGCTGGTCGACGTGATTGACCAAAGTCTTACTCTCAACCACGTTCACCGTCGAAGCCGAACTGATCTCGACTACACGGCTGTCGCGAAATATGGCCGCCTGCCTAGTTTTAGCGCTTTCGACTGGTCAAAGACTGACGAGTCCATTGTAGCACTGGGTCTGGTTTCTGGGAGCGCGTGCCTCGTCAAGCTCCGAGAAGATGGACAGCCTTCAGAAACAAGATCGACCTTCAAGCTGAAGCAGCAACGAAAATGTAATTCGGTTGCTCTGAGCACACGGGACTTGCTCGCCGTGGCTTTGGATAAGACGCGGTCCGACAATTGTCTGAACATATTTGACGCCAATGGTGACTATCAAGGCAACCAGGAGCCAGTTCGCAAACTATGTCCAGCGGAAGTGGTGTCTTCGGTCCGCTTCTTTCCTGGCCAGCCTCAAGAGCTCGTTGTTGCCGCACAGAGGGCGTACATCCGATTGTACGACTTGAGAGGTAAGTCGTTCTTCGTACGTTGTCATCTGGTCGTACTGATACTACGCAGATGGCTATTTTGCCGGCAACAGCAATCTTCAAGTGTCCACAAGATGCGTCAACAACATTGCAATTGATCCACTGGACGACAACTATTTCGCCTCAGCTGGATCCACCGATGACCCTACTGTTACAGTGTGGGATAAGCGTTGGATATCACAAAACAGCCCTGGCGGTGCAGCGAACGGTGCGGTCTTTGAGCTCAGGCCCGCCGTGGATACGACATCGAGGGCTACCATCTGGAGTCTGCGGTATTCTGGCCAACAACGAGGTCGCCTCGCAATCTGCTCCAGTCGAGGTCAGCTAAGAGTTGTGGATATGACTGAAAGCCGCAGCTCGCTCCACCCTGAGACCGACTATGTTCCTGCTAACCAGTATGGTGGCACTGCCTGGAGCTGCAATCGATATGTATCTCAATCACGTTCGGTCTCAAGACCTTTCGAGGAAGGAGAGAACGGTGACAATAATAATGCACGACTCATCGCATTCGATTGGATTTCTGATGGCACCGATCTGGCAGAACAATCGGTCCTTGCTCTCCGACCAAGTCGAGACGTGGATGTCATACGTGTGCCTCTCACCATTCCACATGCCACCGTGACCGCGCGGAACGATCTTAGCATGGCCTTTGACGACTTATCGCTCGTAGAGACAAAAGGTCGTGCCGAGCCTGCAGAACCCCAAGCGCCGTACGAACAGCAAAGAACAGCAGAAGACTTTGGGCCGCACGATTATAGGGGCGAGGAATATGTCGATGACAACGACGAGTCCAAGGCTATCTATTTTCCAGAATCGCCGCAAGTACCTAATCTTCTGGCACAGTTTTCCATTCACCGCGAACGCTGCTACCAAGGGTACTTATGGGACTGTCACAAAAACATGGACATTGTCACAGGAAACTGGCAGCTGGAGCGCTTGTGGGAAATCATTAACCGATTTCGTGAGCAAGCGGCAGACGGTGCTATGGTCGGCGAATCCTTGGACCTGAGTTACGTGGGCGTCACTGGCATATGTCAAGAGAAGATAGGGAACGTCTCTAGACGTACTTTTTCTCCAGCAGCTGCAAAGGTCGAAGACGCCATATCTGCTCTGAACATCTCAAGAGAGCTGCCGCCATTCGAAGGAGAGCGCACAGATTTCCCTGAACACAGACAGTTGTGTCTGGAATTGTGTGGTTGGAAGTTCACTACTGAAACACTTGAAGCCGAATGTCAGGAACTGATCGATCGCGGATTATACTATCAGGCAATCGTGCAAGCGGTCTTACACGATTACAAACACATCGCCCTCAACATCTTGAGAACATTGATACGAAGCAAGACAGTACCAAACATTGGCTTGGGCGCGCTGCTCGCATCCGACTTGATCAACGAAGAACAACGAGAGATGTGCCAGTGGATGGCAGCCGACACGGAAGATGCGGCTTTGAAAGCATTGCTGACCTTCCTCATTACGGGCGATTGGAGGGATGTGATGAAGTTGAAGTACCTGCACCTCGGCTATCGCGTTGCTCTAGGGTTGAAGTATCTCAATGATACAGAGCTGAAGGGATTCCTACAGAGCGAAACCGCACGCGCTGTGAAGAATGGTGATCTTGAAGGTATTCTCTTGACTGGACTGGGCGAACAGTGTATGGACTTGATGCAGACATACATCACGAAGACGAACGACCTGCAGACAGCCGTGTTGGCAACAGCGTTTACGAATCCGCTGTACGTCGACGACGTGCGATGGGAAATGTGGAAAGAGACATACTTCATGCAGATGCAAAGCTGGCGAGCGTTTGTGCAGAGAAGCCAGTTCGTCATTCAACACGGCCAGATGGCAAGAAGTAGTGACGGACATAGTCTTCTGGAAGCGCCTGAACCGCAAGTCAAACTACGATGCAAGCACTGCCAGCAATCCCTCGCGAGACACGATGGACACTCGACAAACAGCAAGAATCGAGGCACCCAAACGAATGGGAAAGGATCTGGTCGGCCCGAACAGATCGCCGCAGCCAGCGCTGGCATCGTCTGCCCGACTTGTGGGCGACACATGCCTCGTTGCGGGATTTGCAGAATGTGGTTGGGTACACCCGACCCGGTTCGAAAGGGCGGAGCGAGAGAATTGCAGAAGCTGGGGGATGTCATGGCGAAGTTTTTGACGTTTTGCGTGAGTTGCAAGCACGGATTCCACGCGAACCACGCGAGGGCATGGTTTCTGAAACATGATACTTGTCCGGTGCCTGATTGCCAGTGTCTGTGCTTTGCTGTGTAGCACTGTATTGTAGCGGATATTCGATACAATTGAATTCTTCCGGTCCTTACATAGGTGAAGAGGTATCTCGATCGGTCCACAGAGACGGTCCAGGGCTAAGGACCTTTTTCAAAAAACAGGCTTTCGTTCGTGACGTCGTCCACACAAAATGGTCGCAGGACACATATGTTCGTAGCTCGTACGAGATATTATTGCTGTAGCGTCGACCGTTGTTGGGATCCTATACGGCATACGCGGACATGGATGATATCTCGCGGCTGACTGTGTTGTCGTCTCAAGAAAGGAGGCCGGAGCCAAGTCCTCGCTTTCACCTCCACCGAACGACTTCTTGGCCGCGGTGGGGCACAGGCAGGAGGGTTGGAAAGCTTGACGCTGCGGCAAGGCACGCGCACGAGACACGCAACCTGAAGCGTCTTGCCCTCGTCCATCACATGTCGCCAGCGCTGCAATTAAGTTGGGCGCCGCAGAAGCCACCCTCGCCGTAGCCCTTCAGTCGTCCGTCGGCCGTCTAAGCTCAGCAAGCACCCTCACCTTTACATCATCACAGCTGCCAGCTTCCACTTTCCTGCCGGCCAGCCCGGATCGCGTCTGTTGCTCGGTCGTTGGTTGATGCGTCGAACCGATACTACTACTGGCAGCACCATGAGGCCGTCCTGATGCTCCCTGCACTGCAATACTTCCAGGGCCCTTCTCCGCCCCTTCCTGCTCCCCTCACGCTACCACACCTCACCCACATGCTTCACCTCACTATCGCCAATCTAAGCGCTATCTGAGGCAATGGCAGAACTCCACGAAGCGCTCACCCACCTAGGTCCCGTGGACTGGGACGACGTGCCCAAAGACAATCTTCCACAGTATCTTGAAGAATGCTTCTCTGCCGGCGAGCTGATATGCAATTCGGTCCCGCAATTGCCCAATGGCACCCCGTTCAGCGACTCGAAGCCGCATCTGCACATCCCGAATGTGGCCAAGTCACACAAGGAGATCCATCCGTCGACCGTACGGTCACAGCCACCGCATAAAGAGCATGAGAGTTTGCAGAAGAATTGGGGCAAGGCCATGAAGTTCAACAAGAGGGACAATCCGCTCGATATCCATGTCTACAAGATGGCGGGGCACGATAGGCATGGGGCTTGGTTTGCGAGGAGAAGCGTGCATGAAGGACTCGGTTTTGATAAGTTCAAGCGGGCGATGCTGCGCGAGTTCTCGGAGACTATGACTGTCAGTGGAGGCCCTGGTGCCGGTGCTGTTCGTGGTCTTACCGCCGATCGACGACTGGAAAGGATAGACGTGAAGGGTGTTGGAAAGTTGGAAGTCTACCAACTCAGTGCACAGTTCCCAGGGCCGGTAACACCGAGAGACTTCCTGATCATGACAATGGGCAGCGATTCCGTCTTGACAGAGAAGAGTGCGGCAGAGCTCGAAGGTGGGAAGAAGCATGTACCGCGACACTGGATGCTCGTTTCGAAACCTGTCACGCATCCGGACGCTCCTGTTCGATCTGGTTATGTTCGAGGACATTACGAGTCTGTGGAATTGATTCGAGAGATTCCCTTATCTACGGCCAAATCCAAGTCGACGTCGAATTTGCTGTCAAAGACTGCCGAGGAGCATCATACTCGGGAGCGAGGTCATACAGTTGGTTTCGCGGAGTCACGAGGAATAGACGCCAAGGGTGAGCACGTGGATGTACCTTCGCATGGAGGACAAGGATCAGATGAAGTGCCTGACGACCCGGAGCTCAACCCTGTCGAATGGATAATGATCACTCGCTCAGATCCTGGAGGTGGCATTCCGCGATTCTTGGTGGAAAGAGGCACCCCGGAGACGATGCTGCAAGATGTACATAAATTTTTCAACTGGGCATGCAGTCAGGACCACATCGCCGATCCGGATGAGGATCTGGACAAGCAAGAAGAAGCCGCTCACGAAGGAGAGGAGACGCAAAAAGAGACCGAAGGCTCGATACCTGTCCACGTACCGAACGGAGATTCGCAGCAAGATCGGTCTCAGCAAGCTCCCGCTCGAGCAGCAACCGATCCATTGATGACAGGCCAGCAATCACAAGGCGGTATTTTGAACAACATTACCAAAGCCATAGAAGCTGGACTGGACACATATGCACCGGCTGTCGTATCGAATGTGGTGCAGCCATATCTGCATCCCGGCCAAGAAGCCGAGCTGTCTGACGACTCTTCTGATTCCTCTTCGATCGACTCCTTCCTATCTGCTGAAGAGATGAGACGGCTGTCGACAGCTCCCGAACAACCAGAACATCAAGTGATGTCCACCGATAACCTCAGCTTGGCCAGTGGCGAGGTCTCAGAAGCGTCGAAAGACCGAAAGCTGAATGACCACGAGAAGGAGGTGCAGAAGATCATGAAAAAGCGTGAGAAGCTGAACGAGCAACTTGCGAAGAAGCGCATGGCGGAGGAACAGAAGCTCAAGCAGTCGTTAGAGAAGGACGAGACTGAGGCCAGCAAGCAGAAGGAAGAAATTGAAAAGCGTCTCAAGAAGACGGAGGAAAAGCATCGAAAAGAATTGGAGAAACTGGAGCAGAAGAAGGCCAAGGAGATGAAGAAAGCTGAGGAGAAGCGACGGAAGAAGGATGATGCCACCAAGTTATCGCTTGTAACGAGGGAGCGTGATGAGTTCAGGAGTCAGAGCGATCTGTACCGTAGGGAGAATACACTGCTGAGGGAGCAGGTAGCCGACCTACAGTCACAGAACACCATTCTGGCGCAGAGGCTCGGCAAATTTGGTGGCCAGGAGGCATTGAAAGGCATTGAGGACGAATTCGGTCATAAGCGGACCCGGAGCATGAAGAGCATGGCGAGTGCTGGGAGTTCAGAGTCGGCGCAGACGCAGAAGGGCGCGCCAAAGACGAGCGAACCAGGGGCGTCGATCAGTTAGAGACGTTGCTTTCTATGCGTTGGGCGTGTATCATGACAGAACCAACGACAGCGGCATGTACAGGGTTGGGCACAAACGTTACGAACCCCTGCTAGTCTAACTGCCTACACTATACCTATCTTGATCTTCATAACAACGCGCTCTCTACTGTACTACGCGTTCTTCTTATTCTTTTAATTAATACTATAGGTAGAGGTAAAGTATTTAGCCCTTTTAAGAAGAGCTAGATCTAGGCCCTTTATAAGTATATATACTAGCTATTATTATAGATTACTAAAGTACTAGATATATTAAAATCTATAATATTAGCTATTTTATTACGCTATTAAGTAGATATATAGTATATACTATAGTAATATAGCTACCCTCTAGTACTTACTATTTATAAAAGATATCGTCTCGTTAATAGAGCTATAACTAATATATTCTTAAAGCGGCTAAGATATAATTAGATTATATTCTTTAAAAGCTATAACTACGATATCTAGACACTTCGAGCTATATTTAAGAAAGAGGGATATTTAAAATATAGTATAACTAAAAAGCTATTTTTAACGAAGAAGTAAAAGAAGACTAAGCTATAGTAAATATATAAGTATATAAACTAGATAGATAGATAGTAGACTAGCGTTATTTAGACTAATAAAGCTTCGATTTATTATAGCTTCTTTAGATAAGTCTATATTATAAAGATAGTAGAAAAATAGTTCTATACTATTATAGTTCTAACGCGCTAGGAACCGTATACGACTTAGTAACTAAGTACTACGTAACTTAGCCGCCTCGACTACTTAGTCGAGGCTTACGCTCTAACTAAGTAGTAGAGTAAATAGAGTAACTAAGTATACTAAGTATATAGATTAGGATAAATCTCCTATAATAGGAGGTTATAGTAATATATAGAACTCTAATTAACCTAGTACTAGGTTAAGCGTAGAATAAACTTCTACTTTCTCTATCCTCGTATACGGCGAGTATAAAATACGTACTAGGGAATTACGTATACTAT